ATGTATATATATATATATATATATCCAACTTTTGATCATGGTCCCATCCGCCCAAGTGTCCTCTTTGCCGTTCCTCCTTAACCTGCTCTTTTTTTTTAAAAAAAAAAAGTTTGTATGCAAATAGATCTCCCCGGGAAAAGGCGCGGGAGGTAGAATGGTTATCTGGATCAGCAGTCCAAAATCCCTGCTCGTCCTGCGGTCCGCCTCTACATCTCTTTCAGAAAGCCCACCTCGATGAGCTTCTCCGTCGGCACGTCCAGGTTGGACATCTTGGTCCGGGAGTTGTCCTTCATCCACAGGAACAGCGCCAGGATGGTCTTCCGGAAGTAATTCGTGCCGTGCTTGATGGTCAACTGCTCCTTGCCCATGATGTATATGACCTTGTAGGCGAATGCGGCGTCGAGACGCGCGAGGGCTTCCGTGCGCTTTTCCAGGTCGTGGTTGTATGGCTGCAGGTGCACTTTCTGCGGATACTGAAACTTTTCGTCCGTGCCCGTGTCCGTGCCCGTGCCCATCTCGCCGTCGGTTGTTGTGGCGGCGTTCGTGGCGGCGTCCTCGAGCACAGCATTGGCATTGGTTTGTGATTTCGACTTGTTTTCGGAAAGGAGATATAGTCGGATCTGCTCGTAGATGACAGAGGCCAGGTCGGGGGTAATCACTTCGTCATTGTAGCCATATCTTACCACCAGACGGTAGCAGTGCGGAATCGCCAATCTCGAGACAGTGTGCCGCTCTGAATGTGGCACGGAAGGCGTCTCCAACGGGCGGAGGTGGAAGAATACCGACACTTCAGGCATCGCGGTGAGTTTGATGGCGAATTGGCTGAAGACGATTGGTGTCGTTTCACCACCCTTGTCGAAGAAAATTCCAAACCCATTGATGGTGCTCAGCGCTGTGCCGTGGAATCGTTCGGTGAGATGCAGACCGTCGGCTCCTTTCTTGATGAAATGGGAGGTCGGGAATCGATCTTCGGCCTCAGCGAACCATTGTTGCTCCTTTCCAAAGCGCCAGAGCATGAACACCATACCCAAAACAAATGCCAACGTAAGAGTAAACCAGGCTCCATCCGGCACTTTGGTGAGGGCTGAAGAAAGGAACGTGCCATCCATGCAGGCGATCGTGAGCCACGGGAGAAGAACCAGAAACGGACTGAAACGCCACACGAAGATGGCCGTCAAGGAGACCATGCACGTGTCGAAGAACGTGACAAACATGACGCAAACACCGTAAGCGTTTCCCAGCGAGGTCGTGTTGTTGTAAATTGAGGCCACAAGGATTGTGCCAATCATGAGAAGCCAATTTGCGAGAGGAATGTAGAGCTGTCCGTGGAAGATCTTTGAGGTATGTTTGACCGAAAGTTGTGGAAAATACGACAATTTCATGACTTGATGGAGGAGCTGAGGACATTAGCCAAGCATCACCTCGCACCACAGTTGTATCGCTGCTCACCTGGAATGTTGCCGTGATAATGGCTTGTGAAGCAACAATTGCTGCTAGAATGGCGATAATGAGAGCGGGATAGATGGTCCCAGGAGGGGCAGCCTCGAAGAACGGATTCGAGTACGCTTCTGGGTGAACGCTGATATAGGCCGCTTGGCCAATGTATGCCAGAAGGAGACATGGAAATGTGTAGCACAGCCAACTAAGCTGAATGGCTCTGCGGCTGAATGCTCCCAAGTCTGCAAATAAAGCCTCGACTCCGGTAAAAGCCAGCAGAACACCCCCCAGCATTCTCCATCCGTGCTCACCATGATGGATCAGGAACTCAAAAGCGTAGCCTGGGTTAAACGCTCGAAAGACCGAGGCATCATAGTTAACGAGGTTGTAGATTCCGAAAACGGCGTTGAAGCCAAGCCAGACAATAACGATCGGAGAAAAGGCAAACGTAATTTTGGTGATACCGAAAGGTTGAATGAGGAAGAGGAGGACAAGAATAGCGTCAGTGACGCCGATAATAGCACCTTTCGAGATGCTCGGATTGACCACCCGGGCACCTTGGACCGCTCCAAGAACGGACTGTGCGGGCGTGAGGACGCCGTCGGACAGGACCATAGAAACGGCGAAAACGCCCATGGTCTTGAGAATCCCGCGCGCCAGGCGACTTGTTTCGAAGCCTTTCCGCATGACACGCCCGGCAAGTTCGAGATCGCCGGAAGCGTGTCTTCTTATCCTTATCAGAGAGGCTTCTCTTGGATCGCGATTCGTGATGTTCATGTAGCGGCTGAGGAGGGAGTACGTGCTGAAAGTCCCTCCTTCACCTTCATTATCTGCATGTAGAATGATGATAATGTATTTCACCGTCACCATCATGATAAGAGACCAGAGAATGAGAGACAAGACGCCAATGAGGTCCTCCCGTGACGGCGCAGAGGTGAAGGTCGAGGAGTAGACGTAAAGGGGACTGGTCCCGATGTCTCCGTAAATGACACCAACCGACTGATATGCGAGCCAGAGAAGCATCTTGCCGCTGAAGACCTAGGACGGGATCAGTTAAGTTGCCAGAGGGAGGCAGCACGGGTCCACCAGACCTGCTTCTCCTTAAAGTCGCCTTCTTTTCGCAGCCCAGGGTCTTCATCTTGTTGCAGAGACCTTGTACGGTATAGACTCAGGTCATGGGAAGATCTCCTCGAGCGCATGTTGTAGATGCCATCATCGTGGGTGTAGATCGAGGTCGAGTCGGCGGGCCGCCCTTCTTTGGCCTGCAGCTCATTTTTGGGATGAATCCCGTCCGCAATGCGAATAGTAGCCATTGTCATGAACGGATTGGAGATTCGGACTGTGCAGGAAAGCAAAAGAAGAGGGAGAAGAAAGAGAAAGAAATCACGGCGGAAGACTGAGTTTGTGAGGAACAGGAAGTGGGCAGGCCGGGATAGCTTTTAAGGCAGAGGGACACCCGTATCACGGATGGTGGGACATCACATCATGGACACGTCCACGCCCGACCAGACCGAAACGCATGGACAACGACCCAGTGAATCAGTCATGGTCGAGCATGTGGTGAGGAAACGGGATAGACGGGGGAGCTTGGCTCTATCAGGTCAAGGACCGTCCAGTCGCCCAAAAGGGTCCTTGCGGTGTAGCTCTCTCAGCAGCATGTATGCATATCGGTAGCATCAGCCATGTAGCCAGGTTAGTCATGTCATGATTGCAGATTTTGCTTTGCTCTCTCGAGGGAATGCAGAGTTGTCGTGCAGTTCCCGGGCGGAGGGACTAGACACTGCGGCGCAGCCCCAACTAGAATGTAGATCCGTTGTTTCTGCCGCTGTCTGTGGGCTAGAACACATGGTCGGTGAGTGTGTAGGCAGGGATCTCCGGCGAGAAGGCAAAGTGCGAGGAGGATGAGGATGAGTGACCCTGTTGCAATCGTGGGAGCTGTGTGCAAGTGTGAAAGTTCCCTGCGCAGTCTTGGCAGCAAACTGCGCCGTTCCGTCTAACCAGCCTCGCATCATTGGCGGTCCACTCGACATTTGGTATGAGAGATTTTCCTGTTGAGTGGAGTCTCATTCCACCTCATTCCTCCCGGCGAGACGGAACACACAGTGGAAAAGCTTATGTCGACTCTGAATCAGGATACAGTTTGGTTCAGTCTCACTGTGTCGAGCAGACTACCTCCTCCACGACCTCTGAAGACCACCTTGGGGAACAAGATAGGCGGAGGAAGACCGTGGACATCTCCACTGTTGTTGTCATGTAAAAAAAGGGGCCTTTATCCGTGTCTGTGAGTATGAGCCATTTCTCGATCTGACCCTTCGGAGTAGGATGCAGCGCAATAGCATACACAGAGGTGCTTGTGGCAATATGAGAGAGCCCTCGTCCGCTACCAGACCTTTCTTGCTGTTTCAGGTTGGTCTTCTGCAGATTTGTTCCTTGGGTTCTTGTCCATGGCGACAGCTCCACAGCCTCATCCTCCTCCTTCCGGCTCGAGTGAACACAGGACAGTCATTACCGTTGCTGTCATTGTGGCAATCATCGGTGCCATTGTCTTCTCGGCCGTCTGGATGAGACGTCACAGCCCGCTTCGAAGGCTCGACGAGCTACAGCTCCAGGCCGAACTGCAGCGCTCTGGACTTCGGCGACGCCAACGAGAAATACAACAAGTCAAGGGAATTGACAATTCCCTGCTCCAGACCGTACCCATCGTCAAATACGATGGTAATAATGGCACAACACGGCGTGCTAAGAGCTTGGACTTGGAAAAGGGGCACCTGGCCAAGGACCCTCAGAAGGACCCTCAGAACTGGTCCCTGGCCCAGAGCCAACAAAACATCAAGGAAATGCACGCAGAGATGATGGAAATCGGGAGAGCCTCTGACGGAAAATCAAAAGATGGCCATGGAAAAGGGCCCTACCTCGAATTGGAAGAGCCAGAGTGTTCCATCTGTGCACAGCCGTTCGTGAAGGGTGACTTTCTTCGAGTCCTTCCCTGTGGTCACCGACACCATCAGAGATGTGTGGATCGATGGCTGCTGGATTACAGCGCAACGTGTCCTGTATGGTAAGTGGCTATTCCGAGCATTTTTTTCCCTAGAAGGGTAGCTAATTTCTTTCTGAATAGCCGCGTCCATATGGATTCTTTCTACCTGCAGTCAGCGAAGCCACCCACTGTTCTAACAAAGCCGGAGCCTGTCGTGGTGATTGGAGGAGATCTTGAAGATAGCCACCATTACCATCACCGACCAGATCGATAACGAACATTGAATTGTCCAAACTGCTCAGATGAGCTTGTATCCGGATGGAGCAAACTTGATGGAAGTCGTTCAATGGACATGCCAGTGTAATCCATCCACAATGGTCTCAAGCCTCGTAATCTGCTGTCGTCAAATGGCGTCTGATGTGGCGTGAAATAGATTCGTCATCTACACCAACATCTTTGGCCTTTGCCTGCAGGTGTTATTCAGTTCCGGTGATTATAAAGTTGTCTGCATTTCCATCCCAGGGCCTTTGTAACCTTCTTCCGGGAAGCCGCGGACTCTGCTTTCTGGACTCTAAGGTCTTTGGTCGCCAGAGGTTATGGTGACATGGCAGCAGTTCGGCTGCAAATGTCGTTAGGCGTAACAGTGCCTATCTTTATGTACCACCTCGACACATAATGTATGGCATGGAGGAGATTCACGGTCCTACTTCCGCAACCGCCCCTGTTTATATCCACAAGCGGGAGAGTCCGAGTGCTTCCAGCGGGGAGAAACCAGAAGCTGTGCCTGGATGATGAATCAACTGGTCACTTCACTGAACATTGATTTCCTCCGCTTCTTGGCGGAACCGTTACAGATAACCACTTTTTTCCGTTCCTCAACTAATCTCCTCCTCAACCGGTTCCAGGGTGTGAGTACCCAGCTTAGCTGGGGAAACCAAGACCTCTTCGATGTTGCTGGGACCGTGCTACCCAACAGGTCTCTTGATCACATTTCGCCCAAGCTAAGTTTGTTGGATCTCAGTCCTCTTATCGTGTCATGTTCCGCTGACCTCTTTGCAATGGAGGGCAGAACAGCTCGTTCGCCAGTGCCGCGTTTTCCTTACTGCTAGATCACTGCTCAAGTCAAAAATTCTTCACCGGAGAACTTTCGACGAGCTACGTTCTACCTAGCACCGTTCCTGGGCAGCAAGCTTTCTCACCACTGCCTCGTGCTAGCCCTTCGACCTTAAGAAAGGGAAAAAGACATTAGACCGATATCATGTTACAAACTCGGCCAAAATGCCCTTAATCTTATCCGCTGTTCAGGCGTCGCATCGCTTGATGGCCCGTAAGAAACACTTCACCCCTGACTTCCAGCAGCGGTTTATTTTCTGTTCACTGGAGCCCTGACACTCAGTTGAACATCACTGTCAAGTACCACCGCCTCCGCTGTTGACTCAGATCAAACAACACAGCAATAGGGACACGTTCCTTCCTATCAACCCCCAACACACACACACATACACAGAGAGAGAGAGACAGAGAGAGAGAGAAGGGGCGGAGGGGGGCCGTGGACCACAGCAGTGATCGACTGTCACGCCCGGTTGGAGCAGCTACACCATGCACGATCCGGGAGTTGGAGACTTTTCTTTCGGAACACACAACGACGACAGAGTGCCCACCCGTGCTTCTCCTTGAGCATCTGAGCCCGACAACAAGTTGCATCAGCGAGCCGCATCCATCAACAACACGTGGGTGCCTGCGCTCACGTCTACCGGTAGACCTCGGGGCACACGCCCCTCGAAGGATGCGGACCGATGGACTTTGAGGACATGCAGGGCAGGCAAGCTTGCGCCAAAAAAGCGAGGGTGGGAGTGTTGAATGAGGATCTTGACCGTTCTTCTGTGCCTCTTTCTCCTCGGTTGACCGGAGGACCAAGGGCGCAGACAACAAGGTGGAAGCCCTAAGTGAAGGACAATCCCTGTACACTAACAAATGAGGTCCCCATGAGACACCGAACGTGACAACTACCAAAGAAGCCAGCCCTCGTTCCTTTGCATTCCATTTTGGATTAGCTCTTGGACAGCGGAACGCATCCTCGTGTTGTTTGTTGGCCGCCTCGTTCTTCTCCCAGCTCAGGCATCCATCCATCCGTCCATCCATCTCTTGTGGTCATGGCGTCGTGAAGTCTGCGTGGTCAGCGCCCTGTGAGCGACGCCCGGTCCTTGGGTTTCGAGTCTCGTCTCGTCTCGCCTCGACCGGGCCGTGGTTCTGCAGGATGTGATGAATCCTCAGCCTCGCGTTGTTGCAGTCGTCGTCGTCGTCGTTGTTGTCGTGGCAAGCCTCGTGACCAGTGGACAACACAACTCAGCACACCGCCTTTTCCTGTTTTTCCGGCGCCCGACTTGTATGTGACGCCTGACCACGTCAACTTTCTGTCCAAACCCCACCGAACCGTGAAGAACTCGGATCTACCAATGTAACTTGGGGATGGAGACTCATTCTGTCCGCGTTTGCGCCGTGTCCACCGCAGCAGCCGCGCGAATAATGCACGATGGCTAGCGAGCCGGGCCGAACCATGCGTTGTCGTCGCCGCCGCCCATGGCCCATCCACGCATTCGGTGTGCACACCCGACGCTCCCTCTGCCAGGATCCACCGGTTCGTGCTCTCGTTCGCCTCCGTTCGCCGTGGAAGCTAAATTAACGCGGCCAATCAGCGTAATCTTTATCTCAACCCCAGCCAGCCCTGACCCGATGTGAGTGATGAGGACGAGCATACCAAGATGCATACAAAGCGTTTCGACAGCTGTCGTGACGATCGCGGGCAGCGGTGAGGCTCATGCAAGAGAGATGGTGGTGTGCATGAAGGAAACCAGCCTGTAGCGAGCCCGAGTTGAGTGTCTGACGTTCGTAATGAGGTGCTGTGCATGCAAAGAATCTCATGATGAGCGAAACAGAGCGATCCCACCCGCGTTGCTGGCGGCTGTCCGTTGTTCCATGCACTCACACCGTGCGCGCCGATTTGACAGATGCTGTGGTGGTTGTATGCCCAAACACCACCTCCCGGCATCCTTCAACACCATCGCTTAGCCCGGCCGGGACAAGAAGATCTTTGCCCTCCGACACCCCCGACCAGCCCCTACCCCCCATGGCTCCCAAGACAGCAATGCTGCTCGTTGTCGCCATGCAGACCATCTTCGAACCGCTGACCACTCCTGCGCTCCCGACTGTCCTCAAACTGTGCGAGCGGTTTTCCCACACCTCGGCGCCCACGGTCTTCACAAAAAATGCCCACCCAGAGGCCGAAATGGTGGCCAAGTCGCGCAGCCAGATGGTGCGTAAACGGGGCGTGTCTGGGTCCATTGGTGAGCGGTCCCAGAGGACGAGATGCTGCCCGAGCTGCGTCAGTTCTGCCCAAGGCGATGGAACGGATAGCGACATGACTTGTCACTGGCACTGGCAGTGGCACTGCTGACGGAGGGGGGAAGATGGCCAGGGGAGCCCGAGGACCTCCAAGAAAATTAGCACCTATTATTGGGAGGAAGGGAGGATCCTAGTTTAGCCTGCAGTGTATTACTGAGTGAATCAATCAATCTCTCCCTCTCAAACTATTCACTGCGACTGAACCTTGTGCAAACCTGCCATTGGACAGAACGAACACATAGACCATAGAAGTCGAATCAGTGATTGGATTGTTTGCCCCCAAGAGACTCTCATCAAGAGCAATGTCATGGCTAACGGGAAGAGTGATTCCCTCCGAACCATGCACGCGCCTTTCTCATCGTCACTCTCGGCATCATTGGATTGCTATGAGCGTTGTCTCCCACACACGCCCCGCCGTCGATCACGACAATGAAGTATTTCCTCCTAAGACGAAGAAGGCACATTCCAATTTCCGACAAATACGACAAGAACTGCTGCAAAGGCACAAGACGCCGCAAAACACTCGGCTCGTTTGGGTCTTGCCACCAGCGAGAGGGTGGTGGAGAAGAGCAGAGTGCACCCGACGATAGCCGCCATCCTCGTCATAATATCAGGTATGAGATAGATTCCAAAGGCTGCGATGGTCGGGAGCACCGAGGCCAGAATGGTGGACAACGTGTCGATGGTGGTCGTGACATAGCTGTCAGGATATTCGATGATGTGTCTGTCTTTTTCTCCCTCTTCCCCTGCCCAGGCTTCGACCACCGAGATAGGGTCATGCAGTCTGCGGCCAATGTGCTTGTGGTAGACAGATCTCACCATTTTGTCGATGAATCTTGAGAGAGCGTCTCTATCAGTGTGCAGTCCGGCCACCGAAGTCAGGTCTTTGATAGTATCCTCATCCCATGTCTCGTACTCGTGAGCCTCCAGGAATGGCTCTCCGCTGCCGTCTGGCTTCTCCAGCAATTCGTGAAGCACGGCCAGGTCAGACTTGTTGACGGGAGCAAGTCGACAGAGAGAGGCAAATTGAAGAAGGGCCGTGTCTAATAGGTTGGTTACGCAGGCTGTCAACACAACGATTCTCTGGAGACAGGGCAGGGGACACGGACTGTACTCTCTGAGCAGACCACGCATTTCGAGGGTTCTGGTCCATTGCAGGCCCGTCCGCGGGCTCTCGTGTGGGCCTTTCATGGCCGAAATGTCGTACTCGAACCGTTTCCTCGTCGGGTCGGCCGAGTTGCGGTCGTCCTTGATGGCGACCCGGAGATCATGCTCGTGGTTCACAATCTCGGCCTGGAGGCAGAGCAGGTTCCTGGCATTCGAGATGAGGAATCTTCGGAAAATGGAGAGCTGGGGATAAGTGCCCATCACGCCTGCGATCTTATTGTAACCTCTCATTCTCGTTCTCTCCATGCTGGCGTGTGCAAGAAGAAGCCGAAGAGTGCCTTCTGAAAGACAGCCTTTGGGGAGAGCGCAGTGTAAAGGTGCAGGATGAGGCTCATACCCCCCTCTTCATCGTATGCAATGCTGAGCTGGCAATCTGGCTGCATGGTGTACCCAAAGCTGAAGAGCAGACCAGTAACAAGAGAGGTTCACTATTCATGGTGTAGAGGCTACTCTGGAGATGCTGCGAGCCTGCGACAAATGGAGTCGTGACCTGGGCGCAGATGGTGGTCTCTGGTCACAGCCAATAGGCTCTCCCATCTGGGAGAAGAGGCGCAATCCATGGCGGTTTGTATCACGGTGACGGAATATGTATCAACGTCCTCAGGGGTCTAAGACTCACACGAACTCCGAATCAAGAAGAAGAAGACGAAGAAGAAGGAAAAAAGGCCATAAATACTCGGACACCGCCCACCTCGATCCTCAGGACACACAGCAACAATACTCTCTCTCGTTTCTTCTTTGCGGCTTTTCCCCCCTTTGGGTGAACTCCGTCCTGGGCAAATGACGCCAATCCAAAACCCACAGATGAGACTAATGAACGAGATCAAAACGGCTGGTTGACAGACCTTACCGTTACGAGGAGGATGTCCCGACTCGCTATTATATGAACCCTGAGCACCCATCTGCACTTGTCTCTTCCAACTTGCAATTCTTCCTGTCCTGTTCGTCGCTCCCAAGAGTCCAAGGACAGCGCCATGCTTCTTCTCTCTGGAATGGGAGCCAGGCGAATGCGGGCGAATCTCGGCGAATGGGAGCACCTTTTGCCTATTCGTGGGCGACGTATCATGGCTGGATACTCACTCTGTCGATCCAGGTCAATGGCCGTCGAACGGCGACGTCGTCCAGACACTCAGCATCGCTGCCGACAGGACAGAACAGCTGTCCAAAATCCCTGAGGTGTTTTGACTCCATACCGCGTGGAGCGGTCCACGTGGTGTCAGAGAAAGAAACAGCCGGTGTTCTGGCGAACAGCCCCAAAGCAGCTAGCAGGCCCTCCCCCAAATCTCGTGGTGAGATGTCACAGCGCCCTTGTTTCAGGCTTTGGTGATACTACCCGGGACTGGTGGATCGCAATCTCACGCAACGGCAGCCACAAGAAGCTAGCGACGGCATCACCTTCGCACGTGGAACAATCCGGCAGACTACTGTATGTACGCCGAGATTCTGGCCCTCGCAAGATCCAGGCAGACACGACAAAGCCTGGGAAAGCAATGCACGGGCACCGACGAAAACGACAGCGATGTCGAGAATTTCCCATGACATGCTCTGGGTGGTCGCAACGGCCGGTCGGGGATCTCCCCCAAGACCGAGCAGCCAAAGTCTTCCAACTTGTCTGATGGCAATAGCCTTGCACGGGGTGTTCATCAGCGTGACTCCTCGACCTCTCCCGGTTCTCCCAGACTTGTGGCTTTCCTGCCAGACGGTGGAGTGGGGATGGAAGCAGCTGTTCAAGAATGCCCTTCCTGCTTCTTCGCTGTTTTTCTCCCCATATTGGCACTAATCAACCCCCCTGAGCACAGTCCACAATGGTCGCTGGGTTACGGGCAGCACGACCAAGACCAGCGAGCTTCATGCTCTCCATGGTCTCGAAACCGCGAGCCGCTTCTTAGCCCCTATTCTTCGTGCGATGTCTTCTGCGTTCGGTCTCCTTTTTCTTTCCTGCCCTCTTCGCGTTTGAATCTCTATTGAGACGATCGTCAGTATCTCCGTTCTTTACGAGGCTTTCTGGGTACACTTCCTTCCGTCTTCATCCAGGGACAAGTCACTCATGGCTTTGAACGTCAACATACGTTCCCGTTCATACAGCCAGCGCCCAGCCACTGTGAACAACTTCGTCACCAGTCCTGAAAATTGTGCAGGAGCAGTAACGCAGCCCCTCACACGATCAGCGTCCGAAATCCATTACCCTGCCCCTACCAGAAACCACCACGCCCAAGAGGTTTCGATCCGCAGCTCGCCGCTACAACTTGAGAGAGAATGTGATGGTGGAACCATCACCCGTTTATGGAGTTTTGTATCTGCAAAATTCTTGCAGTGGTGTTGGACGGCTCCCGAGCTGATCTTGAAAAGATATCTAGCCCGCTGTCTTCGCTTCGTATCGAGCGACACAGGGACAATTGAGGGCTATGGTGGTGCCGGCGGCGGGGCGAAAAGGTTTCGCGAGGCTGCATGCCAGAACATGGATACCAATGGTCACGTTATTGCTTATCGACCACAATCAAGCGGAAATTTTGGCCCAGATCTCAAAAGCCGTGGCTGGCGTCTGACGGACCGTCATGAGCAGCCAGGGAGTCGTACTGAAGAGAGCGAAGACCCTAAGAGTGCGGCAGCTGCCTTTCCCGTGCAAGCGCAGGACAAGGCGGGCATTGACCCTGCGGTGTTGGCGTACAGGGGCATCCTGCTCATGGTGCGGAAGGCTGACGGCGAAGTGGATTCGTTTGTCGCGACGCAGGACCCTGGCTCCGATGCCAGCGTGATGACTCTAGCTTTCGCAAGCTCGCTGGGGTATGAGCCCTGCGAGCGACAGCGTGGCACTCCATTGATATGCCTTGAACAGCTCCTCGTCTTGTCCTTGGGCACGGTGCGGATCCCGTTCTGGCTGCCGTGTAATCGCAATGAACGATGGGTCGAGTTCCATCTTGTGCATGATCTTCTGGGCCACAAGGCTCTTCTGGGCGTGCGCCTGACCATGGATCTGGGCCATCTCCAACGACTGCCATGCGCGTGCGACGACTCCGTGGTCGACTGCGCCTCGCCCTGACCGGTGTAGGGAACTGGATCAAGTGTGCTGCTGGTGGAGGGTACCGTTCTTGTCGTGTGCTGAAATTAATGACGTGGCAAGGGAAACGCGGCGAAATAGGGCGTCTGGCGCGCCGCCTGTACAAATGAGAAGTGCACATAGCCATGGATAGAATTTGATTCGAACAAAGAGCCTTCACCGACAGTCTTGTATAAGGCTCCTTGACGCAACCGCGAGACCTTTAATTGGCCGGTATGTCTTCCTTCAGAAGAAGACGGGCGAATGGTGAACGAACCCAGACCACCATCCGGAGATGGACTCCCTAGCCCTATTCAGCCCTGATGTGATATCAATTAGGCACGTATGAAGGTGGTCCCAATACCGTTTCTGCCGCTGCTGCAGAGGACTTTGCTGCCGTGCCACCTCAATGACGCTCCCAGCTCTGACCGGATAGGTCTGTTCCTTCGAGACCCATTCCTCTGGTTGCCTTGTCCCAGAAGGGCTGTGATCACGAGTACCTTCCGTAGAAAAGAGCAACGGCCCTCCTCTCGGGCTGGAGAGGAGCGACCTGTGTCAGCTTTCTCTTGTTCTTGCACAAGCAGACTTTGGATAGTCAGTTCCCGCCCCTCATGGACCAACAGAACACTCCGCCGGCGGCCGATCGCCAGAGTACCAGTGTGATACCTCGAATGGACAGCGAGCAGCACCAGCACCAGCACCAGCACCAGCACCAGCGGTTGCCAAACCCCGACGAGGCTGGTGAGAAGGTCCGCATCTGGAATGGCCTGACCTGGCAATGGAAAGTCCTGCGGGCCTCGATCGACGACAGCTTGCCCTGGCCTCGAATCGACCTCGAGGCCTTGAGACGAGTCTATGGCCCGGAGATGATGGTCCCCGAGGGGGCACACTGTCATCCCGGCGATCGCGTGAATGGCAGGACCTGCATCGGCACCGTCGAGTTGCGGTGCATGTCGCACGTGTGCCCAGAGACCTTCAGGGGCATTTTCTGCGTCGTGCAGGGCGAGGAGGGCCGCGTGGTGCTCACCAGGTCGTTGTTGCCCGATCCCGACCTGATCGGCATCTTTACCATTGGGTGTGGTGGGAACAAGGGTACGTGTGTCTTCGGAACCCTCCACCGTGATGGGTCTATCCTTGTTGTTTGTCTGTCTGGCCGTCAGTCAGTCAATCAGTCGTTGACTCACCTCGTGTCTATCATCACAGAGCAAAACCGCCTCAAGAAAGAGTCCAAAGAAAAGGTCAAGCCGAGAGAAAAGAAGAAGAGTGCGCAGAAAGACAGGGACCGGAGTAAGAGAGACGATGATATCCGGGGGGAGCCTTCGACCCAACAGCAGCAGCAGCAGGGCCAGCAATCAACATCTTGAAAGATGTGTGAAGGGGGGGGGAGGGGAATGGACAGGCAACTAAACAAAGATATATCAGGGATTTATGACCGTTTATCTTCTCTTTTTTACAATGTTGTATTCCCTCATAGAAAATACCACCCAACATGGCGGTGTGAGAATTGAGAAAACAGAGAGCGAGGCAGAATGAACATGGTCGTTCGAGTGCTTTTTTTTCAGTTACGTTACGTTCCGGAGAGAATAGATAGATAGAGCCTGACGACGGGCAGAGTAGGGGGAACGAGAGATAAGTAAGTGACCATCCTAGGATCAGCAGATGTGCCACAAGATCTATTATCGGTGCCGTAGGGGCATGAGGGAAGGAGAAAGAAGGAGAAAAGGTTTGCACCGTGCAGACTTGTCGTCGTAACACGGCGGCGGCAATTTCCAGGGGCTCTCAGCCTTGTTGCCGTTTTCCAAGGTACGCACAGTACATACTGGACTGTACATGCATACAATGCCAGGCGTCGCACAAATACATGTACATACAACATCAGTGACTTGATTCCTTCCTGAAATCCTTGTCCAGATTTTCAGAGATCGAAATCGGCATTCCTGGTCATTCTATCGAGCCCATTATCGTCTATTCTCTTCCATTGGGATATCTCTATCTCTACAAAGTTGTAGTGACGCCCCCAAAATCTCGGTCACAAGCGTAAATACCACAAATACTTAGTCACTTGTTTGGGCATTGTATTGCACACTCAGCTCTCTTTCGCGACAAGTGACATGTCCCCCCTCCCTCTGAATCTCCTTCCCCCGTCGCTGCACAAGGTACCGTCACAGCATGGCTCCTGCTCCTGTCGCACGCAAGATACAACAAGCTCGCCACCGGATTCGCTGGGTGGCCGTTGTTCGAAAGCTCACGTTAATCAATAACAAACAATAATCCCAGGTTCGGAGAAGTTACATGTCGACGTTACATCCACATCCACATCCACATCCACATAATATACGGACGTACGGAGAGTTATGAGCCGCGTCCACTTGTTCCTCCCACCACATACGGCTCCGCGCGGTGGCTCCTCATACAGCAGCTTGTCCCACCAACCGTGCAGGGCCCCTCTGGGTTGTCTGTCGGTCTGTCGGTCTGTCGGTCTGTCTATGTAGCGGCAGAATGATTAGGGTCCATCCAGGCTTCCGAATTGCTTGGGCTGGTACTTGCGCAGTCGCTGCTAGGACCATTCCCGGTCAGCCAGGTCTCAAATCCAGCTGTGTGGAGGGCGTGGACACTGAGCTACGCTACGCCACATAGGTACCTATCCCGTTCACCAGGATGCCCCCTAGCTTCTAGCCCAAACTCGATAGAGCCATTACATACGTATATGTATAGTAGTAACAATGCCCATCCAGTAATCGAACCAAGTCATGTCATGGAGATAGAGTATTGACCACACACATATACACACACACATATGTTCAGGGGAAGCTTTTTTTTTTTTAAACGACAGAAGCAAAAGAGACAACGAGGCAGTCCATAGTGGTATGGTGTGGATGCACAGTATTTTCGCATCCACATACCACATACCACGCACATTCTACTATACCAACGTAGGTAATTACAGCCATTGGCCCAAGGCACTGAAAGCGACAGAGTTACATGGACCTTTGCTGCTCGCAGCTTCTGGGGGGGGAGGGAAAGGGAACAACAAGGCCCAAACTCTCTTCCACCTCCTTACTACTAACTAGTATTACCCTTTGCCTACCTACCTACCTACCTACCTACCTACCTAAGGAGACCTGGTCACCAACTCTACATACATATGTCCTTGTGCCCGAGCCCCTGGACATCAGAGGTCAGCACTGCTACACGCCTTCGGTGTCCAGGGACGCAAGCCAGCGAGTCAGTAGTGGCCTTCTCCACCCATCCATCCCCGGGGTCGCCGGTTACACTCGTGCCACGAATCCAGCCGATGACAGCTGACAAGTTGATTAAAGGTACTCTACCTGGAACCAGGATTCTGCCAACCTTCCGCTTCTCACCCCCCTTCAAAGCCGCCCGAAAGTGGCCCACTACTTTCCCCCCTCCCCCCTGACCCAGGCTCAGGCTCAAGCTCTGGCACAGGCTCTGGCCCAGGTTCCGCATCGGGGCCCTACGGGCGCAGTCCATGCCCCCAGAACCGACAGACTGCTGCTGCTGCTGCTTGAAAGCCTGGTTCCGTAATTGAAATTCTACTTACATACTGTACCTATGTATCCAGTGGCTAGCTGGCAGGTAGAGTGACTGACTGACTGATTGTGTGTGTGTGTGTGTGTGTGTGTCTTCCTAGAAATGGACTCCCAAAAACATGCTCATTTATTCCTTTTTGTCTTCCTTCTTCGCAGCTCATAGTCCGGGACTCTCTTTCTCTCTCTTTTCCAGAAAAAAAGAATATGAGACCTCGATGTTTCAAGAAAGTCGAGAGGTGTCACTGGTTTAGAAAAGCAATAGTCGGTCAATATCTCTTGTCATGCTGATGGTTGGTTGGGTGGAAACAAGAAAAGAAATCCTCCAACCAAGAGACGACAGAGGGAGAGAGGGAGAGAGGGAGAGAAAACCCTGGAACGGACGCGGAAACATGGCATAATGTCTCAAGACTCGTCGACTCCGTGGTCAGAGCGAAGAGAGGCAGGGAAAATGAAGCGAATGGAATTCAATTCGGGTCGTAGTGGAAGCGACCAGGATCTGTCTATCTGCAACTATGATCGTTTGAAGAAGAGGAGAAAATCCCAACAAGGTCTTTCGAATGTAACGAGCACGTCCATGGGCACTCACGTTACAACTCAAGTAGCAATTACCTTTCTACCTTCGTTCCATCTCATCGTCGACACACCCCCTTCGCCCCAACAACCGTCCTGAGCCGAAACGGCGCCACTCCATCCATCTCCCTCCTCTTTCTTTCTTTCTTTCTTTTAATCAACACTCGCAGCCCGTATTGTTACTAATAAAAACGACCAAGACTGCGGTGAAAGTGGCCGTGGCGACGAAGGACTCGACCTTGCGCGGGGCGCCGACGCACGCCAGGGCCATGCTGAACAGAAAACTCAACAGCACGATAAGGCCCAGACGCGTGGTCTCGTTGTCGATCGCGAACAGGGCCGTCGCCGAAACCGTCGGCAGGATGGGCGCGAGGATGGTGGTGATGACAGTGACAACCCTCGCAATGTTTCGCCGTGGATACTGGACCGCCTTGGACGGCACCGCAGGCGCCCAGTCGTCGTCCACGGCCACGGGGCTGTAGTACCTGGCGCCGAAGAACTTGTTGAGGACCTTTGTGAAGAACCACTCGAGCCACGACGAGAGCGGGTCTCGGTCCTCCTTCTGATCCATCAGCGATGTGAGGTCGTACTCTTTTTCCTTGCTCCAGGTCCGCAGCTCGTGGCCGCGGAGGGAAGACCTCCGACCCGGCGCGGTCATGAGGGATCTCCGAAAGCACTTGAGGTTCGGTACGTGAACGGGAGGCAGGTCGCCGAGTTGGCGGTTTTGGAGGAGCAAGTCATCTTCAAGCACCCAAAAGCCACCAAAACACAAGTCAGTGAGGCACATAGATAACAAGTTTGTCAGAGTGGGAAAGAGAACCACATGCTGTATTCTGGGAGGAGACGACAAATGTCCTGCATCAGCCCCCTCTGTATTTTTGAGCCCTCCGTGTCGCTCGTGGACGTCAACATGGCTTTGAAGCTGAAGGCGAACTGCTGTCGTTCATCGTCACCGGAATTGCGGTCTTCTATAATGGCCGAGATGAGAACGCGCTCCTTTTCCATCAGTTCGGCCTGCTTGTACAACAACGTGCGGTAATTCAGGATCCTGAATCGGCGGAAGATGGCGAACTCGTCATACTTGACCATGTCATGAGCTATTTGGTCGTGACCATCCATTTGCGCATGCATGGTCGAACACAGCAACAGACAAGGGAAGACAGGGGGAGGAGGACCGCCCTCATATCGAAGAGAAACGGGCGTGAATCAGCCTTATACCCTTTCTTCTCTTCTTTTTCTTCTTCTTCCTCTGCTGTGCTGTCCTTCATGTTGCTGCCCGACGTGATGCGGGCGTTGCCTGAGATAAACTGCAGACCTAGTAGAGGGAGGGAGAAGAGGAAGCAGAGCAGCTGACAAGACGAAAGGCAAGGGTGGCCGGACGGGCCAAACATCGGTGGAGAGGAATGCGACGCCCATGGATCCATCCCGCCGCAGGAACCAGTGTTCGCATCAACGCACCGCCCGGTTTCCTGCGGTTGGTGGACTGAAGTAGGTGCGTGACTGCATTTCTGCAAGCCATTGAGCCAGTCGTTGGAGATTGGGAAGATGCAGAGGCGAAGGGGGTGTGTGATAGGGTCCAAGCCAGACGAGGACGCCGATGATTGAACAAAGGATCCCTACGCCACCATTAACCATCCAGGGATGAAGGCTGCTCGTCCCGGTTGTACAGCAGGCATATAAAAGGGCGACAGCTCCCCCCCGTTATGGAGTCTGTTTCCCTGTCCCTGGCCCGATCTTCCACCCTTTCTGTGCCTCCGCCCTTCCATTTCCCCATAAGCTGTGTTTGGAACGGCGTCTGACCCTTCGAGCAACTCCCGAAGCCGCTAATGGTCGATAAACTATGATTGGAGCCGTTTGGCGACTAGCAGCCCGACTTGTGGGATGGCTGAGAGAGGAAGGTGGGAAAGGACTGGGAATTCCATCGAGACGACCCCGTCCCGGAGAGATAAGCAGGCATCGTTCCATATCTGGGCCGTGTCGCGCTGATTCTGCATCTGATCTCCCTTCTAGGTTGCCTTTCTCTGTGTTTTTTCCAGTTCCCTGTCGGAAGAGAACACCTTCGACTTGGCTGAAGCTCACGTGACGCACATTGGGAGGACACCCGATGGAGGAAAAAAACAAAACAAACCCACCAACATGCGTCGAAATACACCACAACGAGGACGTTAGCGGGCAGACGAGGGTCGGATCGTCCCTGTGGACATGATGCAAACAGCCGTCCCTTGGGCGTGCGTCTTGTTCGTCGTGTGTCTTGGGAGTTCGTCGGCAGGCATTACCCGAACTCAATGCCCGGGTCTTTTTCACGTGGTTGGGACGGATGGGGCTGCTTTCGACGGCTACACGCCCATCAAGGTTTGTTCAATTGCTTCTTTCTTATGCGTCGGGGTCATATACCACTGGACATTGCATCCTCAAGGGATGAATGTCGACTCTCCCCATCCTGACTCGAAGGTGAGGGAAAGGACGAGCAAAGTACAGCCTATCAACACTGCCTGAAAGTTGGCCCCAGCTGGTTAAGGTCACGCTAGACACCAACTGTCAGCTTCCCTTAGTGGGACCTAGAAAGCCGGGGAATGATGGAGCCCACCAGCCCGAGCGAACCCCCTAAGCCCTAAGCAATATCAAACCAGGTCTGCTAGACCACCATCGAGATATCTCGGACGGGTTTCGGGGCACCCAACAGATGAACTGGGCTCCTTTCGGTGGGAGACCTCGACTGCGGCAATGCTCCCTGTCTCCATCTCGACGCAAAGCCAGAGTCATCGCATACGGACGCGTCTCCTCCTAAGCCAGGGGCTTTAAGGATCGATCCCTTGTGGTGAGGACTTTCTCACGGCTCTTGCGCCCAGTTGCATGTGCCCGCGAGGCCGTCGCAGCCGCTTTCTCCTCTGTACAGTTTTAGGCCCCGGGGAGGCCAATCCGTCGACATGGTCACGCCGGCACCCGCAGTCCGCTGTAGCGACATCCAGTTCCCTTCCAATGCGTCACTTGTTGATCTGCTCGACAAGATTCTAGTGAACGTTCCCTTTCTGTCCCATTGGCTGCGATTTGACCACCCAACGAGCCCATTCGCGCATCGCCCTGACCGTCGCCTCTGCATTTTGGCGCACAATGCTCGCTGTTTTTTTTTTGGCAATACTCCAATTGAACCCTCATTTCTCTGCGTCTTTTTGTGCGCAACTCTATCAATCCTGTACCCGTTCTTTTCAAGTGTGACCTGAACTGCAGAGAATATCAGATTCGATTGGCCAATATACCTCCCTCGCTTTGATCTTCCAGACCAGACCGTGTTGTCACTTCGGAGAAAAGAGCTGAAAGCCATTAATCCCATACCAAATTGCTTCAAGATCCACACGCACAAGTGAAGAGCCTCCTAGCCAGTACGAAGAGTATCCGCAGAGAAAGGAGACGAGTGACGTTCGCCATACTCTCTCTTCCTCTCTCTCGTGGAAACACAACGAATTTATTCAAGATACAAGAAAGGATCCGGAAGAAATGTCGGCCGTCGGGCAGGATGAAAACAGCAAAGAGCTTTGTGCCGTTATCAGATTCCCATATGGTGATCATGGTGCTGTTCGGCTGGTAATTGAGCAACTATGTCGTTCTGGGTTGTGTGAACAACCAGTCGGCGTGTATGAAGTATTGAGATATCCCGCAAATAGGATCATGGGAGGCGGCAGTGGACAGCCACCGAACGCCGCAAATCGGGTGATTGTGACCGACCTGTCCGGGCAGTGTGGTCTGGATAACCACACTCGCGCAGAGACTTCACAATCAGCCTTGTCAATTATGTCTGCAGACAATCTGTCCCTTGTTGCCTCAGAGGTCCCAACACGTGTCACGGGGGGATTCGAGTCTGGGCCCATGCCTGCGTCTGCAGCAGCGGAAGATGCGACGGTCTGGTTGCCTTCTGGCTCTCGAATCTTGAGCAAGGAGATCATCGAGGACATGCGTCTGCCACTTCTCTACCTCGATGTCCGGGGTCGAGACCGTCCTTTCATGGCCCTGGTGGATACGGGAGCCCAATACACAGTGGCCCGTGAGTCGATTGCGCGACGAGGAAATGCGTGCGTTTGCAAGCTAGATTGCCCGCAGCGGCTGCGCGCGGCCTTTGGCCAAACAGTATTCAGCACGGAATTTGCCTTTCTCGAGCTGCGTAGGCAGGGGGGACAACACAGCGCTCAATGGACAAAAGTTTTTCTGCTGGATGACGGGCTTGTCCCTTTTGTCGATGCGTATCTGGGCCGCAGAGATGCAATGAGGCTCGGCTTCACAATGTATTGGCGTCAAGCAGAATGCAGCGACGCGAGAGATGACCGGTCAGGGAGGATATCTGCTCATAGGCTGTGATTGTAGCATCATGGGCATTTCTTCTGCCTCATTCTTGATGTACTCGCAGGGGTCGACTGGAGGTGCCTTCCTGTTCAGTACACACCATCAGGAAGCCAGAACGCCCCAATAGATGGTTGATTCTCAGACACTGCTCACCGACAATGTTTGCCTAGATGCTCGTTCGCCATAGCTGGCCGCAGAACGGGCCCCCCTTTTTTTCTGAAGTGCTGGACGACGAGGACCCGTGACGGTGCAATGGGCAGGGATAGCTGACCGCCCTTGAACAGCTCATTGATGCCTAAGGTCGTTGGCCAGGGCACGTGCCTACGTGATGGCTACGTGCCCGAATCCTGTCCCGAGCCGCATTGCGCGCCCTGCAGTGTAACCTGATTTGAGTTGGGATGTGCTCTGACTGGTGGCATTGCTCAAGATATGCTGATGTTGTCTCGCGCCTGGAGTCGAGCAGAAGACAGGCGGTGAAGGAGGAGAGAGAATCTTGGGTATATAAAGGCCGGCAGGCCTGTGCTCGAGTTTGTCAGTCTGTATCCTTCTTTCACCTTTCAATTCCTTGTTCTCAAGAGCTCTAGGACCAGCCTCCACAAACCATGTCTGAAACGAAGACTGGCCTTCTCAAGGCGCCTGTTCTGAACATCTACACCCGTATTCAGGGGTACAGAGAGTTCATCCCATTGCCGGTGGTGCGCGACGAAAACGCCACTTGCTGCACCATCACCTCTGCGCTCTTCACCAGCTTCGAATTGGAGTTGGTTTCGGATCCGGTCGAGGATGGCCCTCCATGTTGTCACACTTCTGCCGGCGCCAGAGCTGTCGAAGTGATCATCAGCTGCGACACGATCACATATCCGATGGCCTTTTGTGTGGTCGAAGGCAGTGACATGGTCGCCGTCATGACGGGGAGGGAAGGCTGCTGGTCGCAGCCTGACCGGTCCGACTGTATCGCCGGCGTGTCGATGTTATGGGAGGGTGAAGGTAAGCAAGCAGCCCGATCGACACAGCATCATGGAAAAGAGGTCAATAACAATCTTTTCACAGAAGAGGAAGAGATCATGCGACGAAATGAGGAGGAAGATGAGAGAAGAATGAAAAGAGAATGCGAAGAGGAGAGATTGCGTCTGGCGGCAGAGTTGCAAGCCATCACGGCGAGAGACCGAGCTCGGCGGGAAGAGCAGCGAAAGCAGCAGGAGCAAGCTCAACAGGCACAGGCTGAGGCACAGGCAGAGCCTGAGCAAGCTCAAGCTGGCCAACAGACCAACTGAAGATATGGCAGGTGCAGTACCATGGCCGTAGGAGGAGGAGGAGGAGGAGCAGACAGATCTCTGTTGTGTGGTGGTTGTCCATTGGGGCTTTCTTGAGCTGCCATTAAGCTGATAACTTGTGGTACCCACGGTCTGTGTATCAGTGACAAGAGACCAAACAGGTGTCTAGCTCGTAAAAGAGTATCTCTCAGTGGCCTTTGCCAGGTCGAATTCTGACGTGTCTGAGTTTTTCTCTCCCGGCTGTACTGGTTTCCCACCGTCAAAGGACTGTAGATGGACAAGTGGACGGCCAGGAGATACAGAACAGCATGTCGTGGGTACGTTGGCTCAGAAACCGTGTGAGTGCTTCGAGGGGAAGTCCCAATAAGGTGAGGAAAAGGCCAGACAAATATGCGGTCAAGGCGTAGCGAAGGCATCCACGGTCGTCCCGGCACCTACCAACGAGTACCCAAGGAGTGGTACGAATCAACGTAGTGGTATCTCACATGTGTCGTGGATCTGCCGTGATCCCATATATTTTTATTGTCATTGTCACTGTCATCGAAGCCATGTAATGTGTATAGCATGGGGGTCACACGAAACATCCCAAAAGGACCAAAAGCCAAATGCCAAAGGGGCGGTCAGCCTCGTTGCAGCTGATTGACGGACGGCGACGCGATGACGGCAACCCCACAAAACACGGGCTTTTTGTGTGACTTGACTTGCCAACAGCGAACGATCCTGATGGGGGGTTGCACGGGGTGAAATGCGAAGCAGAGGGCAAAAATGAAGATGGAGTAGATTCGGAATGGGCTTTTGTGTCTCATGTCGGGTTTATATCATTGTGTACTCGGTATATTTCCTTCTTGTGCCAGGACAGGACACACACCACAACACGTTGCCGGGTTCTGAGCAATGCCAAACAAGTGCTTCAGACATAATAGATTGATGAAAACCTTCTTCTTGGGTATCGACCATTATACACTTGTCACACACAGAACATATTCATTTCCCATACAACAAGAGCTTTTCTTCAATCCCTCGGTTCTTGCCATCAGAGCCCTCCTACCAGCCCGTTTCAAGAGAGCATTTCCTCTAACGCCGTCGCTCAATGCAGCATGCCGTCCGATACAATCCACTTTCCGCCATGTCGGCCACCTGGTGCAGGAGGACCATAGCCCTGGAGTCCTTAATACTTGACCCGCCCCAACGTCGGCTTCCAGTCCAACGGATGCGTCTCCGGCGTGGCTTCGGGATCCGGTCTCCAGATCTTAATCGTCTTATCCGCCTCGCCCATGATCAGCCGCAGCCCGGTCTGATCAAATGTGCTGCTCATGATACCCGCCTCTGCGTCCAAAGACCCCGGCTGCGCCAGAGACTCGGTATTTTGAAATCGATGCCCGCTCTTCCAATCCCAGAAGCAGATACTACCGTTATCGCCGCCACTGAAGAGAACGTTATCTTCATTCACGGCTAGGGTGTTGATAATGGCGTTGTGGCCATCGAAATTCTGCATGAACGCGCCCTCGGGGCATTTCCACTGTTTTATCGACCCGGCTGATGCGGACGCGAACGTGAATTCCTTGGGGTGAATAGCAAGCGCCCGGACGCCTTTCTTGTGGTGTGTCAGTACTCCCATGGTTTTGCCCGCGGCAAGATCCCACAGTCGCACGGTGGCGTCCAGGCTCGAGGTGATGACTTGCGGGTCTGCTTCCTGGCACTTCACGTCCGAAACGGTGCCCTTATGACCGGACAGGACATGGATGTTCGAACGTGTGCGCATGTCCCAAACACGAGCGACTCCGTCTCGTCCGCCAGTGACCAGCACGTCGAGCGTGGGATGTAGCGAAAGAGTGTAGACGCCGGATAAGTGGCCGTGGTAGTGGCGAATGACTTTGTTGGTTTCTAGGTCCCAGCATTTCACCATCTTGTCCTCGCCGCAGGAGAAAAGGTACGGATGGCGCGGCGACACAGCCAGGCCCCGAACCGTGGAGATGTGACCCGTCAAGGTCAGGCGCAGTTGACCTGTAGCCAGATCCCAGATTTTTATCGTCCTGTCTCCTGCGCCAGATGCGAACCACTGGTTACCCGGTTCGACCGCCAGTGCGCGCACCCAGCCCAAATGCCCTGATATCACCCTCATCAGCTTCCACGGTGCGTGCCAGTCGGGTCGAGGTTGTTGCATGTTCGGTCTGCGGATCAGACTGCTCCCGATACCGTTGCTCTGTGGTGACGGCGTTTGTGAGTCCGGCTTCGCCTCGCTCTTCACCAGCGCCATCTGATTGTTCCCGGTTGCCATCTTCGGTCTTTTTGGTGCTCGCGCCGCTGCCGCCTTTGCCTGCTTCTCGGCCAGGGCTTTGGGGAGTTCTCGGACGCTTTCATATTCGACCTTTCTTTTGAAGGAGAGGGAGACGGGGAGTGACGATGGGTCGGTCGCTTCACCATAAGAGCTTCCGAACAGCGATCGCGTCCGTTCCGATAGAGACTGTGCTGCGGCGGCCATATTTGCTGGACTTGCACTCAACGATGGATGGGTGAAGATTCGACCTGGTACGACTTCGAAAAGATGCGGAGGCTGCAAACTCGCCAAGCCTGAAGATCGGAGCTTTTCACGTGCACCACCTTAATAGCAGGATGTACCAGGAAGCGACAACATACAGAAACGATTTGACCTCTTTCTATTCGTTATTTGGCCCAATTCCAAAGGAGGATCAACTGTCCTTGGGACAGTCCAAGTATGCTGTTATGTAGTCTTCCATGTCGATTGATAACAACCCTCACCCCTGCCTCCTGCTCGCCCAGTCCACATACGAATTTGGCCCACAGATTCCGACCATCTGGGTCATGAAAATAGAGTCCTGCCGTACTCATGGTTGCCCTTGAAATTGCCTTACTGCTGTGGCGCTTCCACTAGAGCCACCAGCTGGAATTGCATGTTCTTAGAAACGGAACAGTACACGTGCGTCGTTTGTAAAACCATGGCGATGAACACAAGCACTTGGATCATTCCCAGCGAACACTTTTTTAGCAAGTGTCTCCGGGTCCCTTCGACGGTTGCAAGCTGAGTGATCCTGTAGTAAATCTGTACACCGACCGTCTGGGTGAAGAAAAAGAAGTAGAATCCGGCAACCGAATATTTGCATAGCCAGGCCGAGATGTCACTGGCGCCAAAGTGAGCGAGTAGGATGAGCCCTGTGCCAGCCACGACCTGGACGCCGAGGATCAGAAGCACAACGTTGGCGAGGAGAATCATTTCTTCCAGAGGTGTTGGGCTGGTTGTGCATCGTCCACCGGCATCTTCCAAACCGGTGGTCTGAGATGGTGAGGGTATTTCTGCTTCATTCTGGGCGAGATTTGCTCTGATGTCGTCGGCGTTGCTCTCCATTGTTTGAGACGAAATGTACGCTTCGGTGCTTTGGCGAGAACTGGGGAGAGATGGCAGTGTGTGCAGTGGGGTTCTTGGGGTACCAACGGTTGAGGATGACATATTGATTAATGTGCTAACAGTAAATGCAAGGCAAAATTGGCGTAACGTAGAGTAAGTAAAGACAGTGTAGACGGCGAGGCGAAAAGAGATAGTTATGGTAGTAAGAAGCAAGAAAGCAGGGAAGAGAGATGAGATCTCTTGGATTGATGGGACCCCGACAGAGCAAACTCAGCCAGGGCAACGGCGACCCTCCTGATCAAGAAGGGCCTGGGAAGCAGTTGGCACAGCCGGAGCAAGTGAAGGAAGGTATAGAGGAAAAGAGGGTTGGATTGATGGCACAACCACTCACACCGTGAAGCCCAGTATTGTTATAATTGTAACTCAACCTGTGACCGATGTATGCTCTAAGCTTGGGTATCATAATGCTGCCCGTGTCCCTGGCAGAAACATTGTGCAAAACTCCGTCCCGTTTCCGATGCAACGCCTGGCTCGGCCATACAATGGCAGCTGTAATTCCGTGAAAACCTGCTGGTATTTTTGGGACCTCTATTTTCATGGGGTCAATCTGGACCAAAGCTCTCGTCTTCATCACCTTCGTCTTTGTGCGTGGAGCTCATATGGTCGTATCTAGGAAAATCCATGTTCAATGTTCATGTCGCGGTGTTGTTTTCGTGTCCCATCCCGTTTTCGACTCATGGAACAGCCTTGGAGGGCCAGAACTTCCATGGCCCACTGAACCAAGGACCTTTCTTGTCCCAATTCCAATCACCTGTGGTGGCCGATTTCAAATCGTCCACGTTCAAATAATCCACTCCTTCTCTGACTATGGTTCGCCAGAGATAGTTTCTCATGCCTCGGGGCCAGCTGGGTACGCTCCAGTACCTGACTTTGAGACCCTGTGCGTGAGCGCCCGCGATCTGCTTCCGCATCATTTCGAGCTGACGACGAGAAAGGCGGCCACGCCAGGGCCAGCCGATGGCCGAGTTGAACGATACCGAGGCGTAGTATGAGTTGGCTCGGGAGTAGACTGCAGGATCTGTAGGCGCGGCACCGGAGCGGCCTTGGCCCTGATTTTGACCCCACCGCTCGTCCAGCTCACCGCCTTGGGTGTCAATGGGGGCCTCGGCAGCGGCATTGCTGTCAGTCAGCTTTCCCATCAAGTCAAGCGGTGCGTCAAAGAACATATCGCGATATGTCTCGTTGGCCACCACCTCATCCCAGGGTGCATTTCCGGTGACAACCACCGTGATGGGCCCATCAACAACGTCGGTGCCGTTGAAGTAACTGAGGAATCTCCGCTCTCGTAGAGGTTGGAGCTGTGCAGAGACATATGGCCAAATCCTGTGGCCCTCATTCTTGAAATCTATCAGGAGGACCAGGGACTGAGAGGGTTTGGTGTCGAAAACGCCATTCCGGGGGTTGTCCAGCGAGGGGTGGAATGATGTATGAGGATTTTGCTGATCGAGAATTTTCACCAATGGGTTGATGTACAAGCTGCGGAGCGTCCGCTCTGGTGTCAAAGACGCTGTGGAATGTCCCACGTATAGATCTTGATCGTAGAGCCACACATCTGCCTCCACTCCTGTGCAGCCAGCCTCGAGGGCTGAAAACAAAGGTTCTTTGCGCCAGTAGTCATTATGTGAATGGCAGGCCACGGGTTGGATATCGGCAGAGAAATCGGTGGGCCAGTGTCCCAGCTCGCGGGAGGCACTCTTCGAGGGGTTCCATGCGTCGAATTCGTCGTCTGCATCGTCGGGGAAGAAGGACAGGACGAGGCCGCATGCCAGTGCAATGAATTCAAGAATTCCCCTGTGCTCGTGATTAGCAAGCCAGTCAACTTTGAAGAGCACTCGGTCTTACAATAACATCAGCGTCAGGGCCAGGAGGCGTAGCACTCTCCTGAGCGGTGTGGTCGGGATGGATTTGTGTAATGAGGTTCTGTCGACAACGTGCCCCTTATGCACCACCGTACGATACCCACCCAACAGATTGTTCAGCACCGGCAGCGTCTCTGTCCAGCGCCATCTGGAAGAGAAATCAGAACTGCGTTGGTCGAAAGAAGACGAACTTTGCAGGCAGGTGACTGTGGGCCCTTTCAGGGCGTTGGGGCTGACTGCGGCGGCGGTAGCGGTGGCGGAATCTGAGAAAGCGCCATCTTCCAGATCTGGGCACTTTATAAAGGTCTGTTCCTGCGTCAAGAAAGGTACACGCTCAGCACTGGCTGATGATTCGTCGGTGGACGAGGAACTTGAGTCGTTGCGGAAGAGCCGGATGGCAGAGGGCGAATATTGAAGCATGGCTTGGGGGGGTGTGTGGTTTGCGTGGAAGCCCGGGAGTGCAGGTTGCGAGGCTCTGGAACGCCGAAAGCGGTGGGTTTGGGGGACACACCGCACTTGGTCGCGTGATATGGGGGCAGAGGCCAGTCAATGGTTCCAGTACGAGACCCGCTCTTCTCTATTCGAAGGATAGCCGAAGAAAAATGCTTCACCGACAACCCGAAAGCTGGGACGGGGGGGTGGGAATTTTGCTGCCTCTATTATTGCATGACGGGCAGGACGTCGCTGAACTGCAGCGTGTGGTGACGATGTTGATAGTGACTGAGACTGAAACGATGACGACGACTCGCCAGAACTAGAAGGTTGATAGACGGTGGGAGGGAAAGCAGGTTTATCGATAGGCAGAGAGTACGGAGGACTGCAATACCGTTGGGTGACAACGGGGGTCCGAGGTGAGTTAGGTGATGGTGGGGAACAATGTGGGAGGAACAATGTGGGAGGAGCAACACTTGCAGAGGAGAAGACCAAGATTAAAGGACAGTGAAGTTGATAAGTAGACAGAAGGAATCTGTGATTGCAGAGTTGTAGACCAAGTCAGTCAGTTATTCGAAGAGGGACGAAGCAACGGCCTTGCGAGTTTGCCAGGAATGCTGCATGTTTTAACATTGACTACTTTTGTTTGGCACATCGGTGGTGGTCACTTGTCGGGACGAGACGGATTTGACGGACCATGACACACGCACGAAATCTACTAATAGGCTCAACAATCAAGACCAGAAAGATGGGGGGGAAGGGAGGTGGGAGGTGGGAGATAGCGACCCATGGCAAAAAGTTCGTTAGTGGGCGGGATCTAGCAGAGCAAACGACGACGAGCATCAGCCGCAGCTCCAGTTGCGAGATTCCGAGAATATAGAAAAAAGCCAGAAAGAGAGTGAGTCAGTTTCCGAGTCCCTCTCATCGCATGAGAGGCGCAGTCGCCGTCTGTTTCTCCTCTCTCTCCCACACGGGTTCGGCTCGTCCTCCCCATTGGAGGAATTGGGGGGGTTGGTTGGCTTTTGCGAAGGGAAGTATCGTTGCGGTCGCTGCTTGCCAACTGAGAGACGGATATTTGAACGATCTAGAGCCCAATGAACCCCGTGAGCCCCTAACAGCCCCTAACAGCCCCTAAGAAAGCCACCGTTAGGTGCTCGTGGTCTTGCTTCCAGGGCCTAGATCAGCTGCAAATCCGTCGCTCAGCGGCCAATCCCTCCAGCCCGTGTTACACTGAGTTGCTCCCACCCACGCCAAGCTGCCCATCATCGCTACCCCATCGTCTTCATTTTCATCTCCCACACACCGTTCCCGCCTATCACTGTTACCGTCGCCATCACCACCGCCACAACAACAGCTAGTGATGGGCCATCATTTCTGTTTCTCTCCTCCCTTGAGTCCTTCTTCGGGTCTTGATTCCATGTCTCATCTGACACGAGGCCCGAAATCTCAATGCATGATTACGTCGTTATGCGGACCTTGGCCGAAATTCGCCCATTTGGCGCGCCGGGATTCCTCAGGTTGCTGCCCGCGCACCAGTCCGAGATTGTTCGTACATACGAGCCTTGCAGCTTCATCCAACACCAGCCTGACATCTGACGCCTGGCGCCTTGCCGCTGACCACCCCAGATTTTATCTTTAGAGCCCGGGTGACCGCCATCCCGGCGGTTCGTTTTCATTAAGCCTCATATATCCCGTGGTCGGCGCTACCGCCTTCGCATGACCTGACGTGGCCACGCTGAGCTGTCGCAGTTCGGTCGTCTCAGTCACCATTCCCTTCTGCTTCTCCTCGCTCACGCTGTGGGCCATGTGATAGTGCTGCCCAGGAAACGGTGAGGTTGAGGTTCCAATACCACTGTTGCCGCTAATACGACCGGTGCCGCTAGCATTATGACTGACATAAGCGCGCAAATGGCTGTGTTTGCTACCCACACGTGCGAGCCATTCATTTGTCGGTGCCAACTTGTCGCATTCTCCAGCATATTGCATTTCCCCCAACATGCGTCCTGACGACAAATGAAAAAGATAATGTCGCACCCGTGCTGGAAGCCCCCTTCCAGAGGCAGCAGACACCAGCGCGGCCAGAAGCACCACGAGAGACAGCGCCAGGGCCAAGAATGCTGGGATGGCAAATCGCCAGTGATAACGAATTTGTCGCTGATAGATGGTCACAGGAAGGATGGCCTGGTTGAGGGCCGTGCTGGTCGTCCCATCATCGTCACGTTTCTGGAGGTTGGGAGGCAACTGGTTTCCTGAGTTCCAGCTGCGCGTGCCGACCAGCATATTCGCAGCGATGTCCGTCCACACCAAGTTGGGAATCGTGGCCATGGTCGCCGCCGACTGGGAAAGATCGCGCCAGCGCGCATACATGGCCATGTTGGTGTCTCCAGTATAGTCGGCCGAGTTGCCATTGTTGTACTCGTACACTCCTGCCAAGGCATCCCCTGGGCCATCTGCCCCGGGCAGATTTTCAAACCCCGGGACAGTCGTCAGAGTACCTTGACCACCGTAACCGGGGAGGTACAGTTGAGGAGCCCGGATTGTGGACAAATTGACCGAGTGCTCAAGGTCTGGCGAGATGAGGCCCCATAGCTGAGGAAGGTTATTCATCTTGTACCCAGGCGACTCAATGCCCCAAAGAGGCATCGCTTCCTTGTCTGGATACGACTTATCGCTAACATTAACAATAGACAAGGCATTGAGGTTGTTACCAGTCTCTTGTGTCGCGTTGTATCGGAACCGGACTTCCTTGATACTTGCTTTCATTGCCGTGGCACAACTATAAATCTTCTGGGTCCACCACGTTTCAGGCTCCTGGACGAGGGTTATGGTGCCGTCACGGCGCTTCGCGGCCCCGAAGACCATGCCGCACTCGACATGGACGTTGGTGAGATTTGCAAGGTCCCCCCTCCCCGCCCCTGAGCAGAGCAACGAAATGTCACTATAGTTTGAAGTAGTCAGTCCGAATGGGTTGGAATAGTTGGCAGACGGCACGTCGGCAGGGTATAGTTGGACAAGTAGGCTTCCGGATCCAACATGGACGTCCAGGTATCGGTGATGTAGATTCCATTGAGCTTCACTCCCGTCGTCTGATATTTTGTGACTGGATACTTGTTGCCGACCTTGGATTTGAGATAACCGAAGGCATCAGGACTCGGCCTGGTCAGGTTCATGACCAGCATCGTATACGCGTTCACCATCCATGCAGCTTTGTAGGCTCGGCCTTGCAAGTTTAGATCGACCTGCGAGTTTGTCACATTGACGTAGGGCCATTTTTGAACCAGGTTCGCGAAACCCCCGTTATCAATGAGCGAGATGTTGGTCAGGTCATCGCTGGCAATGCCGCTGTAGGGTATCTGGAACTCGACCGAGATGTTCGTGTCGACACAGGCCGACTCGGGCTGGATCCAGAGCAGGTCTTCCGTCCACTCGGCTCCGAGCTGGACGCCGACAGGGGCCGTATGGTTGCGAAAGCCCACGCCCCCCGTGACCGTGTCGACGACCAGCCCTTCTACCGCTTCAACGGCGTTGTTCAAGACCATATTCGACAAGTAGCGGAACGCGTCCACGATGTACTTGCCCCCACGAGCGACCCCGTCCTGATACATGAACGAATAGTACCGGGATTCAATATCAAAGAAGCTGGAGACCGACTTCGGCTGGTGGTTGAGGCCGCTCTGGTAGAGCTCGGCGAGAACCCTGGGGATCCGTGTGTCGTAGTCATCGTTTGTGATGTTGGCTTCCAGGAAGGTGTCGTTACCACCGTAGGTGATGACACTCGTAGTGCCGGGGCACTGCACGGGGAGGAAATCTCCGCACACCCGACTGAACCCAAGGTTGCTCCGTGGAGGCGTTCCGTATCCCATCGGACTGGTGTCTGGAATGTACGAGAAGCTAACAGATTGAGGAGACTTCGCAGGTACAATGTCGTCGTAGAGGCCCAAGGGAGTGATAACGGCCGCCACGGAGACCAGCCCGAGCGCCAGTGGTCGCAACCAGGTCAAGAGCTTGATTTTGATGTCCACCCCTCGACTTGCGGCAGCGTCTGTTCGGAGGATTGTGGGCCTGGTGTCGAAATCAGGAGAGCACTTGAACACCCAGGTACACACGTTGTGTACTTACCACCAGGAACTCAGTAGGCTGCGCTCCACCACGGACCAGGTTACGGCTGTATGTTCATTTTTGAGAAAGCCCACCAGCACGACAATGAGGGCATTGGGAAGTATAAACTGAAGAATAAACACCACCGCGGCGATGACACCAGACACATAACCGATAGTGAGGGAGACCATGGCGAAAGCTGTGTTTATTGCTGTCGGATATCGAGTGAAATGTTCAAGGTTAGGAGTGCTCAGACCTGCCTTTCAGGTGCAGTTTGCAGGGTATCCACGAGGCCTACTTCTTCATGACAAGAGGCATATTCTCCAAATCGCAAAAGGAATGGCTTAACATCAAAAAGAGCGACGTCGCATGAGGAAGAATGATAGCAGAAGAGACCAGTTCACCCACCATCTGACGCAGGACGGCGCACAGAGCACATCGTGTCTTCTTAAGAAAAACTGACCAGCCGGATTGGTCTGTGAACGACTGTTCTTACCTGCGCGGGGACAAAGGCATCGATCCATGTAATACGTGAGATACGAACGACCTCCTGGGACAGCCAATTCCAGGCACCAGAAGCCATTGGCTTGAATTGCCCCGAGAGTGATTGATGCACCGAGTAGGGAATAGGCATGCTCGTGATCGGCATCTGTGCCTGCGCTAGATACACCAGGTACAGGGACGGCTTGAGAATTGTGAAGGGCGCCTATACACCGACTGCCAATGAGAAGCTGAGTTCAGTTAGAAGCCCGCCAGTTGAGGGCCGATGAAGAAAGTTTTTGCGGGAACCAGCGCCATGCATTGGTGCAGCAAGGACAGGCATGGTCGTGTGCTTCAAGCCACCTCCAAACAAGGGCTTCAAGTGCGGCTCAATCGTCAAGCCATTTGGATGGCCGACCGTGTGCTCCGTCTGGCGAGCGAGCGACACCTCGAATACCTCGAAGCAGTGTCTTTGGAAGGGCGTGTGGGAAACGGGAAATGAAAGACGGGGGAAGAAGGGAGACACCAGGTTGAGACACCAATATTGCCAAGACTCAGACAAACCAATCAGACAGAGGGCCCACTTGGTCTATGCGCCCCTTTTATCTCCTTCAATAGTAATACTACTATTATTTCTGGCCCCCTTTTAGCAAGGGGTACGGCGTACACCCGCTGGATATGACAATGTCTGTTATTGAGACTGTCGAAGGCGAAAGGACGTGATAACCCGTATTTTCAATCATTATTCACCTATGGATCCCCCCGTCTCCTCCTTAGAGAGCAGGGACGGGAGCATCAAGGACGGGCCTGCATTGACCGCTCACAACGGCCCATTCGGATGGATCAAGACCTTGGTATAACCTTCGATCCTCTTGTCGAACTTGTCGTATGCCATCTCTGCGTCGTCGATGCCGATCTCATGACTGACAACGAAGGAAGGCTTGGCCTTGCCCGAGATGATGAGATCTCGCAAATAGCGGTTGTAGTTTTTGACGTTACACTGGCCGGTGGCCAGAGAAAGACCCTAGGAGCCATGGTTAACATCTGTGCCGGTGTTCCCCTTCACCAGGACCAATTTGCATCAATGTGCTCACCTTTTCAAACAACTTGCCAAAACTCATGCTGATCATGCCCTTGCCACTGGCCTCGTCGGGCGCTCCTGGGTCTGTGGGCACATAAAGACCTGGAATGCCCAACCCACCGCATGGTCTAGTCGCCCGGATCATATTCTCCAGCACAATATTGGGCTGTTCCTTCTTCCCTCCAGTGTCCACAGCCTGGTATCCGACAGCATCCACCGCCCGGTCCACCATCCCGCCGTTCTTCTCGATGATCTGGTCCACCGCATCACCCTTGCTGAAGTCAATAGCTATACACCCGATCTTCTCCGCAGCTGCCAACCTCTCGGGCACTCTGTCCACGACGTAGACGCGGCTTGCACCTCTGAGTTGAGCCGAGTAGGCAGCCATTAACCCGACGGGTCCGGCGCCCCAGACGGCGATGCTCTCACCGGGCTTGAACCCGCTGAGGGACACGCCGTGCCATCCCGTTGGAAAGATGTCGGCGAGGAGGATGAAATCCTGCTCATGCTCGGTGCCAGGGGGCAGTTTCAAAGCGTTGAAGTCCGCATAGGGAATGCGAATATATTGGGCTTGCCCGCCTGTGATCCTTGTCAGGCCCAAGTCGACGTTGGCTTGGAGAGTCACGTCACAGGTTCTCACCTCTGTAAGGTCCCATGGCTACATAGCCATAAGCGCCTCCGGCAAATCCAGGGTTAACACCAGTGCAGAAGGCTGTCTTTCCTTCCTCACAGTTGCGGCATCGTCCATCTGCAACGTTGAAGGGCATCACGACTCGGTCGCCTTTCTTCAGCAGGGTGACTCCGGAGCCGACTTCATCCACAATACCCATGTTTTCATGCCCTTCGAGTCGTGTCTGTTAGCGCAAAAGTGCCGTTGTTGGCAGTCGGTCCCCGAGAAATGCCAACATACCAAATGTGATACCAGCCTGGGCACCGGTGCGTCCTTCATACTATGTGGCATCAGTGGAACATCCAGAGTATATTTCCTTCCGACGTCGTTCTCTTACCATATGCAAGTCGGATCCGCAGATAGCTATGCCACGTTCAGTGCAATTAGTGACGTTCGTGACCTCTCCCCCACTAACTCCGCTTGTAAAACGTACCGGCAGTGGTCACCTTGACAATAACATCATCAGGATGCTCGATCGTGGGCTTCGGTACATCCTCCACCTTGACCTTGAAGGCGCCTTGATAGTTGACAGCCTTCATGGTCTCGGCTGAACCACCAACTCGAACTTCGGTTGCCGACATGGTCGAGTATTGTTGGGTCTTATATAACTATGTAACAGCGAGATTGGACGTTGCAGGAAAGAAGGAAGACTAGTCCAAGAGAGGTTTGGAGGGACCGTTAGAGGAGAGTAGAGAAGGATGAAGAAAAAGGGAGCGAACATGGTTCCAGGGCTCGCGTTGGCCAGAGATATATATGGCTGCTGAGGAAGGTCATCCACGGCAATTACCTGGATTATCACACTCGTGGCGATACTCAGTTTTGGGCAATCTTTGACGCACTTTCTGGCCACGACAAAAAGCGGAGGTGCCGGTCATCCAACAGCTCGGATTATTGCTGATTTGATGATGCACTGAGATAGGGTGGTTCGCTCAGCCTGGGCTGGCCCTACTGGATGGCCTGCCACCTCCTCTCCCATCTCCTCATCCACATTTGCGGGGTACGGGAGTTACATCACCTTGTCATCTCGCACATCAGCTCGCACTAGGATTGATGGATCGAGGAGCACGACACGAGGGGGTTCTGGGCCACTTACTCCTATAATCGTGGACGTCGACAGGGAGGGTCACCAAGCCCGAGAAAAGAGGAGAATGTCCCCTTCTCACTGGTCCGAGCACGCTTGTTCACAAGAGAGCATGGAATGAATCATGCAGCTGATCAGAAGACCTGCCCGCAATGCCGGACAAACGCCTGCTCTCCATTGCTATTTTCTCTACAAGCTCGTTGCCTGCTCGGGCTCGATGAGCCCGAGATAGCTTACCATGCCGGGAAAAACAGAGCGAGCCGCAGAAGTCCAGAAGCATCGGTTGACTTTGTGAATTCTTTGTATTGGGCATAGAAAGCAGTCGACATACATTGGCATGGGGCTGCAGCTCAATAGGGATACCAGTGGAGGCTTTCCTGCCTGACTTCTGGTACTCCCTGATCTCTCCATCCTCCCATACTTGCCTCTTTCCGCGCCCGTGCCGACCACCCCGAATCCACATTCTTCGCCGAAATAACGCCTCTATCGGATGCTGGGTGCTGGGTGCTGGGTACAAAGTGATGTGCTGTGTCGAATAGCTAGGGGTTACATGACGGGGCATCTTGGTTGTGGGGTCGTCGATGGATCTTGGGAACGTGCTGGTGATGGATGGGAGGGAGTTGTGGGGTCCGTGCTCGTGCGAAAAGACATGGGGGCGCGTTGGGGGTGCTTCGAGGGTGGTACTCTCTTTCAACTCTAGCGAAAATGCATGCTTTCAAGGTGATATCGAGGACGCGGAGTTGTGAAGCAGTCCCGTGGCTGTGCGTTGCGTCGCTGCCTGCGGCTGCTTGAAAGGTACAGCGCCAACGTCAGCTGTGCTTGCGGGGGATTTGTCCGGGTGTATTCCCTGACGCTTCACATATTCATGTTCTACATGTCCATCGAATCATTGCCATTTGCAAAGTTGAATTGGCCTTGAGGTTGGTTCGATCCGAGGGTAAACCCGGTGGCATTAGCTTGAGGCGCCAATTCTTCGATGTCAGCGCCAGCATCTTCCTCGTCAGAGAAGTATCGTTCGATGATGTTGTAAGCCTTCATGTAGATTTCCTCGTTGGCGTTGTTCTGGCAGTCGTGAATCTTCTCCATTCCACCAGCCTCTTCAATGAACAGTGCGTATCGGTTGACCTGGCCTTCTGGGGAACGTGGATCGGCAGCCTCTTTGTCCATTTCACCAACCTTGAGGATATTCTCCAATCCGTCCAAAGCGACTTGAATGATCTTATTGTCCGGGCAAGCTAGCAGATCACAGAGGGGCTTGATGCATCCTTGGGAGACGAGATATCTGATCTGATCAGGCTTCTGAAGGCCTCCCGAAGTGGCATTTGAGATCGCCCAGCAAGCCTCCTTCCGAGTCTTGAAATCGCCATTGGACAGGAGATGAATCAAGGGAGGAATGATACCTGCATCAATGACTGCTTGAATTTGAGTCGAGTTGCCGGCTGTGATGTTTGAAATTGTCCAACATGCTTCCTTGCGGATACCATCTTTTTGAGAGCTGAGCAACGACAACAGGGCCGTTAGAGCACCGCAGTTGATGATCACCTGTGTCTGCACATCATCTCCAGTAACGATGTTGCCCACCGATCGGAGGGCCGGAGTTTGGACGGAGGTTGAGGCATGCATGAGGAGTTCAACAAGACGCCGTGGGATGCCAGCTTCGATGACAGCCTGAATCTTGTCATTCGAGCCATCGGAAAGGTAGGAAATGGCCCAGCAGGCATCAATGAGGACTTCGTCATCCAGCATGTAGACCAGTTTGGCCAGGACCGGGAGTGCTGGTTGAATCTGAGACCTAGTGAGCATCGACTTTGGGTGAAAATTCTGGGGGTGACTTACTGTATTCCAATCGGGCTGGGGTGTCTTCCCGCGGCAGAAGTTGCTCAAGGTCCACGTCGCATTTCGAAGCATGCTCAGCTTGCGCCCATCTGCAATGAGATTGAGCAGCGGCTTCAAGGCACCCTGGCTGAGGACATAGTCACGGCAAGCAGGAGAGTCGCCTGCAATGTTGCCCAATGCCCAAACTGCTTGCTCGCGAACATCTGGTTCAGGGCTGCTTAAGAGCTCAACGAAAATAGGGACTGCACCAGCTTCAATCACGACTTGTGTTTGGGCAGCGCTACCGCTAGCAATGTTGGTGAGAGCCCAAGCGGCTTCGAATTGGACCAAAGTGTGAGGGGAGCGGAGGAATTCGACGAAGCGGCTGACAACACCAGTCTCGATCACTTTCTCGATGGGCGGGTTGCGTTCTTTGGACAAGAGTTTGCGGAATTTTGTGGTGGCTTGGATCTGAGCATCAATTTGGTCCGAGAAGACTCCTTTGACCATTTCTGGCAGTTCCGTGCTCAACTGTGCACCGTCGTCAGCCTGCAGACCCAAGGAAATCAAAGGGAATCATTCTAACCTCATTTTCGATATTCGCCGTTTCATCATCACTATCTGGCTCCGTGAGGCCACCAATACCGATCTCGCCATTCCCGCGCTGAACACCTCTTCGCTTGGCTAGGTTTTCCTCTCTCTTCTGGCGACGGATTTCGACCTGTTGTTCCTCACGACGACGGCGCAGCTCATCGGGCTTGAAACTGTTCTTCGCCTTGTACTGGGTGCGCCGATGTTCAGGGATATATCTTTCCGCCATGATTGTTGTGACGTCTCGGGAAGGGCCTCAACGACAGGACAGTTTTCCAAAGCTTGATTTCAGGCTGGTAGGTTGGCTAAGGAATGCCGCCAAAGACAGGTTCTGGACTCGTGCAAGGAGGGTTTGAGTATTGTGGCAAGTGAAGGCGGTCAGTGATGAGACTGCGCCGGGGTGGATAAATAAATTGAAGCAAATCAAACGGGGGTTGCAGTTTCGCAGGGTGGATGTCGTATGGGAAGTAGTCGCTCTTTGTCACGACGGGGAAGCACATGCCACTTTTCCTTGGCACTGGTCACGTGAACGCGTGTCGCGCTTTTCGCTGATTGAGCAGCCGCTGACACGTCCATTACGCGACCTCATTCATCGATGGCGACGACGACTCTCAAGGGGCCACCATCTATGTCGAACGCGTGTCGATGCCCAAACCCTCGAAAAACAACTCTTCTCTGATGCAATAATATACTAATGGCTTCCAATTTCGTCCCCTTGCCACCGGGTTTCATCGACCTCTCCAACGCCTACAGGGTGAAGCCAAATTCCATAGCAATCAACATCATTGGAGTCTGCGTCGACTTCCTGGCTCCAACAAGATGTCAGGGCGGCCGGCGGGACTACACTATCAAATTCACCTTACACGATCCGGCATGGCCAGCTGGTTTGGGCCTACTCTTCTCCTACTTCGAGAGGCAATGTTGTGAGCTTCCCGATATCAGAGACCAAGGTGATGTCGTCATCCTGCGACACGTCAAAACAAATAACTACAACGGCCAGACGACGGGGTGGTCGAATGGCGCTTCCTCGTGGGTTGTCCTTCCTGCCGCCGAGTTGGAGAAGATTCATTCTCTCCAAGATCTGAAGGACAGGGCTAGATACCAGGGGAAAGCTCCCAGCACAGGATTTAAATCACTTGCTCCCTTCAGCGAAGCTGAGTTGAAATACGCCAAATGGATTGCTGAGCAGGAAGATCCAAGTCTATGGACAAAGCAGCAGCCCAGGACTCAACTGGAAATAGCCAATACCATGGAAGAGAACGGTGGCACTGCTCCTGCTCGCAAAGAGAAATTCCGCACACTTGCTCAACTCGAGTTGACCAATGGCAGAGGTTACATCTTTGTAGATCTCTTGGGCGAAGTGCGTAAAGTCTTCTCTCCGAACGACTTGACCACAGAGCTCTACGTGACTGATTATACTGCGAATGCCGGGCTCCGCGACTACCAAAACTCCAACGACCAGGGTGGTCGAGATGGTGACCCGTGGGGATACATCGAGGACAAATCGTCAAACCACTGGCCCGGTCCCTGGGGAAAGATGACCATCACCGTCACATGCTGGGGTAGGCAAGCCTCGGTTGCCACGCACATTGCGAAATTGGGCAGCTTCGTATACCTGCGCAACGTGCAAATCAAGCTCGACAGGAATGAATCGAGACTCGAGGGCAATTGCCGCGATGATCGTGACTATCCGGAGAAGGAATTGATCGAAGTGGCGGGGAGTGAAGATGCAAATCGGAAGGACTTGCTGCGTCGCAAACGAGCCTACGAACAAAAGATGCAGAGCGAAGGCATAATTTTTTACCGAAACCCGGATCAGGCGACGAAGAAGCGCCAGAGGGAAAAGGCTGCCGAGCAGCAAAACGACGAACCGAAGAGCAAAAAGGCCAAGACAAGAATCCGAAGGAACAAGAAGGCAAAAGCGGAGGCCCTGCAACAGGAAAAGGAGAAGGAGAAGGCCGTGGCCGCAATTGTGCGACACGAGCACTCTCTCTTGAAATCCAACACCCATATTCGATGTAACCAGTACGAGGGAGTTTCATGCAAGCATATTGTTGACATCCTCGACCCAGACGTTTTGAATCGCACCACGGCGAAGGGCAATGCCTACCGACTCCCCTTCCAGAACTGCACATACAAGTCGAAAGTCCGCGTGATAGATTTCTACCCGGACAACATTGCTGACTTTGCTGCCCCACGAAAAGATGGGCAGTTTGATGTATTGTCCGACAACGAGGACTTTGAGGAAGACTTGGACATCGACCTCACCCAAGAGAACCCAGAGGATTTGAAATGGGAGTGGCGATTTCTTCTCCTTGTTGAGGACGCTCGAGCGCCGGCCGGTGCTGATAGGCGACCGACCCAGATGGAATTGCTCGTGGCCGATACGGATGGAGCTTTCCTCTTGAACATGGACGCCTGCAATTTGAGGGATACGGCAAACCAGGACGTCCTGGCGACACTGAAGGAGAAGTTATTTCACCTGTGGGGGGACCTGCAAGAGAGAAAGGAGGAATCCAGCACAACCGCCGAAGAGCCCCATGGCAAACCAAGCGCAAGGCCTTTCGAGTGCCTGATTAAAGAGTATGGTATACCTCTTCCGCGTCCAAATCCCCAAGCCAAGGGTGCTGTTGTTTATGACCGACGATTCCGTCTCTTTGGTACAACAATTGCAGTCTGATCCTCATATGACATTGAGCAGAATACTCTTCCTATTCTTTTCCGAACGCTTTTTCATGCGCAAGATTCTCTTGGGGGGAATTGGAGCAGCTTTTGTCCGTTCCCAATTTGGTTTTTGTGAATCCGAGCTTCCTTGTGGTAATCCACAACGTATTCTTGGACCAAGCAATAGTGACTGCATCCATCTTGGAGCGAGGTTTCGGAGAAGGTGGAGGATGTGTTTGCCTACCTGCTTCAACGGAACCAGCCCCCTAAAGAGGATGTTGCTGCTGGCTGATCCTCCCAACGAACGCCACTAACGCCACTCAAGCCCAAGGTGCGTGGACCAGGAGAGGCCAAGGACAAGGGTCCCGAAAAGAAAATCCAATCAGGGACGGCAGTGCGTGTCTGTTGTGGAGGCAGCAGACGAATCTCTCGTATGGTCTGATGGAGCAGCACATTCCTTTCTCCATGGACAATAAACGAAAGCTACGCACGGAATATGCCAAAACTTGCTACTGCTATTACACGCACATCAGTCGATGGAGCCCTCGCCTTTCAATCATCGTCTAATCTCCCGTGCTCTATATGTGCTCGTTGTAGCGATGTCAAAGAGGGAAGCTTGCATCGAGATCCACTTCGCTCTCTTTCTGGGACGGTGATGGGTGCCCCGTTCGTACGTACCACTAGCTCCACGAGTGCGGTGTGTTGTCACATGGAATGTTTTACGGGACGCGGAGGCTTGGAAATCTCTCGACAATACATCGATCAAGGTCTTGGGACATCTTGATCTTGTTGGAAATAACAAAAAAACCGATTTTGAGCCAGTTTACGACACCGCGTCGAGAAATGCAGGCTTGGACTGCTCGTCACAATGTGGTACGAGTAAGACTGCACCTGTCACAAAGACACGAGGAACAAGTATCCCAGTTAGTGGTCGAGGGGAAATTTGGGTTCAGTTGTCGTGGGTCGGCACCCTAATAGAATACTCTTTCGTTTGCCCTGACAGGAGGGATTCGATTCGAAGAGCACAAGAGAACGCTTACAAAATTCTCAAGACCTACTCCACGTTTGTGAAAACAGAAGCGCTGGTAATCCACTGGTGGGTGCTTGACGGCGATTCTGGCAAGGCTCCATATACATCGTAGTTAGACTCATATGCGTGGTCCAAAAGCCATGAGCAAATTGGACCCCAACAAACCTGCGACGTCGTTACGAGTCGAGACACCGAAGATCTCTGCGCGGTCGCATTTCCGCATCGCCCTGTACATTATCCTAGTCAGAAATAGAGGACTCACTCAACGGTGGGAAAAGCAGTTCAGTTCTCCTTTGCTTGTTGAGGATGTCCGTTGAGATCCGACTTTGGATGCAAGCCACCGTGAGTATTCCTCCTTCCGCAGCACTAACATATACCTGCACACCTGCGTAGACTCTGGTAGATTTGACGGCCCTTTTGCCGTCCGGGAATTTGGCCGAGTTTGCCGTCCGTCGAAGGAATAGTTTTCCGCTGTTGGTATTTGTTGTGTAATTCGACAACGGGGCGTAGTGCGTCGGGAGTGGCACTCGGGAATGCTCAATGCTATACCATGCGCCGATGAGACGGAGGACCTCCAAAGTCACACGCATGCAACTCGGGGCTTGGATGCACGGCGTGGGCCGTCCCAGCATTTTAAGATGGCCAGCACAGTGGCAATGAGAGATGAGGCTTTCGAACACAGCCCTCCGCCAGGGAAGCTGGTCTGTCCTAGCCAACAAAGCTGGTAGACGATCGACCCCGCCTCGTAGCTTCCAATCGCTCCTCATGTACGTAGAAATAGCCTTGAGCACAATGAACCAAAGACAAGGGTATTTGCTTCAGGCCTAGCCTATAGTTCATGCATCCTCGCAGGATTTGGGGCCTTTGAAAATAACTCCACTGGTAAATTGATTGTCTGCCGTCACTACGAGCATTCTTGCACAGGTGGCTCGAGTACATTAGATAATGCAATGGGAACCGCATGCCTGTCCAGGTCTCACGAGCAAGGAATACTTGTACGGATTATATTTCCAGTAATTCTCAGAGTTGTCCAAAAAGAATCAGGTTGGTGGTTCCGGCAAAGCTTGTCGTTAGGAATTTATGAAGTAGGTGGTGGCTGATGATCAACATCCTTCGCATCTGAAGAGCAGTGCTGTGGACAATGTAACGTTATTGAGGCGTTTCAGACGCACTTGAACGAAATACTTGAGAGTGATTCGTTGCATATTCTCGGTTTCCGGAGAGAGATGAGCGTCCCTGCACTAGACGTCATATTCATAAGTGATATGAGATTCAAGCCGCCGAAGCAGCGCTGAGTGCGACATGCGCTGAAGAGCTCGCGGGTAGGACGACAGGGTATTTTAGTTCGAGATAGATCGCAGTAGTGGTTCTCATTTAGTGCACCGCAGCGTCATAGAAATCTGGATCTGGCTGCAAATCGGACATCTTGAAAAGCCACCTACGAAATGGAGACATCGAGGCTGGCGGCGCTTCTATCTCTCCTATTTGGAGAAACCCCCAACAGGCAGCTTATGCTTTCAGTCCTTCACGCACCGGCCAATGGAAGCGCCCTTTCGTCGCTTTTGAACCGGCCCATCTGCAGCCTTCCCCTCGGTCTTCACAAGGTTTTGACCGATGCTGCCGAGAAGTGGGCTGAGAACTGCTAACGGGAGTTCGTGGAGAAGATGAGGCCGAAATACTCTGCGTCAGGTGCTCGATCCTGTAATATTGGTCTCCTCGAGGCTGTTTATCATTGGTGGCGGCAAGCAGAGGACAGGCCGCTTTGCCGGTTATCCACGACAGAGAGAGACTCGTGGTCTTGTGATATGCTGAAAGTCAATTGGATGAAACGATCAGTCGAGTCAGGTTCCAAGACTTTAAGTTACTTTCCCGAGGTAGACGTCCCTCGAGGCTGAGCGGCAGTCAGCCAATTCGAAGGAAACTCTAACGGGGAACCATGTAAGATGCGTTCGCCTCCGTACGGTTTCAGAAACATCGCTGGAATTGTCAGCAAAAGGTATTGCGCCGTCCTGAGAGCGTCCGCAGACCGCCTGGTATGCGCAAGTACCGGCCGACGACTTCTTGTCGTGTGGTCGGGGGGTTGCGGCAATTTTCGACATTTAAGTTGGTGACATATAGCTCCTTCCGCACAATTCATCAGTAAGCGACGGACGCCCTTCATCCCAACGCGTCTTCAGAGGCGCTATAGCCCATGAGAAAAGGGTATCACTTGCTGATTGTGGGGACGGGGCCTGGAGAGACTATTTGGTTTATACGGAGTAGTGCATCAGAGATCGTGCTCGGCCTCATGACCACCCCAGATTTGCATACAGTTGCGGATTAGCGCGGGTACTTTAGGTCCACTGGGGCCACAAGTTGAAGGGCAACCCGGATCAGCCACTTCCTCAGACAAGGAGCTCGGAAGCAATTTGGTACAATCCTCCGTCCACGCTCAACCCTTAAGGATCGGCGGATTGCGATATCGTGCTTTTCGGTGGCGGCCGTCCAGACCGAGGGCTAGATCAATGGTTGCTTAAGCATCGGCACGAACATCCAACGATTTGTTTGTCGTCTCCTGGGCGCCTCCGAAACGTACAAGATCGATCAGAGTCATAGCCATCGAAGCCGTACGCCGGTACTGGCGGGGCTGCACAACGAAATGTCTCTAACACCAGAGAGCGGGCCCGGCTGGCGATATCCCGGGTTCGTCGTATTGCCGTTATCAAATGGATCAAATAGATAACAGAGCGTACCAGGTAACCCCCAGGTAGACTGTATCGGTGGGGCTCGTAGTCCTTCCACGGTTGTTGTGGCATATTCTCGAAGATGGTAAATAGATCAATCCCAGTCTCCGGTGCGAACGCGTGAGGCAAGCAGCATTCAGGCTAGGGACACGCAACAGTGCATTAAGTCGACAAGCGCCCACAGCAATTGGTGTGACAACTCAAAATTTGAGGACTTCAGGGTCGGCAACGGGTTGCAGAAGGTGTGAAAGGTTCAAGGATTAAAGCAGATGATCCTTAGCAGAGTGAGAGGGAGCTTGGGCCACTTGCAAGCTGGAAGCGGGGGAGGGAGCGGCAGCGTGGATCCACCTCATCCATGTGTCGAACGAGTACGAAGGCGGGAGGATTACCATGCACCGTGTACTCGTTTGTACGTACTCGTAGTTCCGCCGGGTAGATGACTAGATGATTTTGGGCGAACGGGAAGGCATTGAGCCAGACCAACGGATGGAAAGCGTTTCCGAAAAGTTCATGTTCAGCTGCGAGTGAACCGTTAGAGACCGCTGATCACTAGGCTGATCGTGATTGACGTGCCACTACACGAGGCCTATGGCCTTTTGCGAGTGCGATGCTTACCTGAAACCTGGGGGAGAGATTGACAGAGTGAGAGGCAGACGGGCGCCTAGGAGAAAAGAGACCAGCGTTGTGCGTTGATCTGAGAACCCTTGAGATGAGCTGCATGTCGGGCTATGCAAGAGAGCACCACTTTGAATCCACCTCATCCACCAGGCCTAAGAAACAGAAGGGGACCGGGTCACTTGGACGGGGGGTTGTTGTGCTTATTTTCTGCGCCACACATGGTTGGCATTTGACGGCGCCTGCAAAGGACAAGTAAAGAGTCGCTGAGGAGGGAAAAAGAGGGCCCGGTAGGTTGTGCAGCTAAGAGGATCGAGGGAGGCCGGGAAGGTAACTGTCGAGAGAGAATTCATCGCTTCGTGGACTGCATCTCGCATTCCTTCCCGTAAAGCGGAATCTTGCCTGTGCTGGACGAGAAGGATTGGTTTGTGTGCTCCGTTCAAGTACCGAAGTACGTCTGCATAAAATGGCAAGGGCTGCCTGTAGATGGTAGGGACTCAGCAAGAAGAGTTGAAACAAAGGTCACTTATCTGGTGCAGGTGGAGAAGAGAGTAGAGAAGTATCTACCCTCGTAGGGTGTCAAGGGTACTCCGGACTTGAAAAGTGTGGGACCCAAACCCACTGTGTTCGCAACCCAGGCAGGGCGCAGGCAGCTCGTAAGGGCCTAGCGGACTAGGTATGCCACCGGCAAAGCCTATATCAATCGGTACCGGTTGTTTGTGAAGAAGGGTACTTCCATCCAAGTACATGAACCCTACCAAACTCACGTACCTCCTTATTACGGGGCATTTGGTTGCCTATGCTGCCCATAGGTCACTGGCAAAGTGCCCAGCTGTTCAAGTACCGATACCTAGGTAGCTTAAGCAACCAAACTGCCCCCTTCTTGACCCCCCTCTAGGCCCCTTGCCACTTTGGTTTCTAGACATAGGCGTGCCTGGATATACTCGTACTGACCAGCTGCGTGCCTGCAGAGTGCAACCCAGTGATTCCCAATGCTGCGTCCGTTGGGGGTGTGTGTGGCACTGCGTACACGACCGCAGCTAGGCCTGTTGGACCCTAGTCTCAGAAGGAAAAAACGAAGAGCCACCAGGGCCTTGTGCCCATTGTGGGTGCGGCAACAGTCCGCCCCCCGGAGAGTGCGCAAACTGGCGTTGCCCAATAAGCGGTACACGGCCTAGCAGGGTCCTGTCGCAGGCTGCCGTTCGATTCGGTCGCTTCAGTCACTCCAGACTCTCCGGCCTCCAGCCTAAAATTCTACTCCAGAGTCTCTCTCCATCTCCCCAAGTCTCCAGACCTTGTTCTGCATCACGCCCGCTGAGAAAAATCTCATTGCGAATGCACTTTGTGCACCACCGATTCCCTCTAATGAGAATTGCTCTCTAATCTGTTCTTCTTCTTTCCTTTTTTCCTATTCTTCCTTCCCCCCTCTCCCACACCCTTTTCTGCCGTCTCCCGCCAATTTTCCGATTCCCTCTTCCCTGCTTACCCTTTCCATCGCCAAACTTTCGCCCGTACCACACCCTCGTCGTACCTTGGCGACCTGGTTTCTCCGTTTCACGGAAAAAGAAAACAAAAAGAAGAGCACAGAGGGAAAGAGACTGGACATAGGCGTTTCTTCCCTTGAATTCTGCTTCCGGGTCTCTCCCCGCCTGGTGTCCATTGAGCTCTTCGCTCTTCACTCCTCCTGACCCCCCAAAAAACGGCGTGGCTTGGAAAGCTGCAACAGCTATACCTACTGTAGCTGTTCCCCAGAGCCATACCCGACAACCAACTGATCCTCGGTCGGGACTACCTTTCTTCTACTAGGGTCCGTCCAGCAGACGGCCTATCCTTCAGCCAACGGGCGTTCCAGAACAGACAGCTACCTGCCAGAAGTGGCAGCCTACCAATCCCGTGGCTTCTCGTTCTGCCACCCTGCACGCTTGGAAGCACTCGTGGCCGCCAACCACCGTTGCCGCCCACCCACCTGTGACGTGCAAAAACTTTGAGGGGGGTTCGTCTGGCTCAGTCGGCCTCTGGCCAAAGTAAACTATTTTCTCCCTCGGTCGTCGACCTCGCGCATTTTCGCGATTTTGTTACTGTTGGTATATTGACTCAGGTAAGTGTACGAGCCTCGCGCAGATGTCGTCGTTCTCTTAGACCTTGCTCCACGTCGCAAATGCCATACCTCCAAGTACTAAAAGCTGCATAGAAAACTAGACTCGAGCTTTGCTCATGTACATGATCTCTTAAAAATTCCTGGCCATCTTCCTTAGTTGCCACCTTTCTGGGACCTTGTGTACAGTCTTTACCATTTTGTGCCTGGAGCATCGGGTTCCTCTTTTCAGATCCGCCTGGAGCGCGACAGTACTTGTGGAATTTCCTCCCCTTGAGCGGCTCGGCGCATTTGACGTTGTCTTCGGGGATCGGGTACATATGGTGGGTGTGTTGGATTCAACCTTCTAAACACCTGCGACCAAGGAACATTCCAAAGTGCCACATTATATCATCCGAGTCCAAGCATATTACGACCGACAAGCGACGTCGCGCATGCTACTTCCCCTAACTGGCTTCCCTGTCCCGTTCTCCGTCACCAGAAGCCGCGCCGAATCGAGACGGTATTGAGGATTGCTTCTCAGGCACAAGTGGTCGGAGCGGAAGACAACAGGCGCTGAGAGCAGATAGCAGTGATGGCGGAGGAAGATAAAAAGTCTCTTGTCGAGACCATGGACGTGACACCGCCTGAAGCGGCTCCTGCTGAAGGGACCTCGACCGTGAATGCAGAAGCTGCTGCCCCAGAAACGGGTAAGTTTTTTCTTCCGAGATAGCTCGACTTGGTGTGTTGGATGCTCATTCCCATCTCTCAGCAGACAAGGCACCCGCCAACAAGTCCCCGTCCACCAAGGTTCCCACTGCGACCAAGAGTGTCATGCCAAACCCATCCTTTCCTCCCCCAAAGACAGACAAGCCCCGTCCTCATGTGTGCTTGGTCTGCCTGCGATCCTTTGCTCGCCTAGAGCATCTGAAAAGGCATGAGCGATCTCACACCAAAGAAAAACCGTTTGCGTGTCCCGAATGTACCCGTTGCTTCGCCAGGCGTGACCTGCTGCTCCGACACCAGCAGAAACTCCATTCTTCCACAACACCATCGGCACGACCCCGGGCCGGGCGAAGGGAAAGTGTTGCAGGAGTCGCCGGTGGCCGTGTTCGCAAGAATTCAACCGCGAGCAGCACGACAACAATGAGACCGAGAGCGAACACGGTCAGTCATGTGGACTCTGCCACTCGAAGACTGAGTGTGCTGTCCGATTCCGTTGGTACTTTGGGGCGCCAGCCCACAAGCAACCATAACCACCATAACAGCATGTCGGCCATCCCGAATTTTCAGGCGTATCAATACCGCAGTGCAACCGGTCATCAGCATGCCTTGCATCTACCAAAGTTGGAGACCCTGGGACTGCCCTCCGACATCCCAAGCGGCCTCCGCACGGCGCCCCCCTTCGGAGGATTTGGTGCCGAATTTGAAAATGCTTTCGACTCCGACCAAGGAAACACCATCAACCCTCACGCACTGCATATGTCCAACTTGCAAGGACTGGGTGTCGACTCGTCGCTTTCCCCTTTCCACCAGATGTTCCCCGGTATGACTCCTTCGCAAGCCATGGCTGACGAGGATGCGACTTTCGACTGGATGACGTTGGGTTTCGAGAACCAGATGTCTTTTGCTCAAGCCAATGAGAACGCTATCGATGATTCCTCGCCCTCGGCCATGAGCACCAATAGCCCGGCTGCTTTAAATGACGTGAACATGAACGGCGACCCAAACATTGCAGCGATGCAACACGCCTCGGTTACTGCAGCCAATATGTGGTCCACCAGCCTTGCGGCCCACGTGCCTTTGCTGAACAGTCCTATGAGTATCGAAATGTTGTCCAACTTTAATGATGTCGTCAACGCTTCAATGGGGACCGTCTCTCCAAAATCCTTGCTGGGTCAAGCAACTGCTATGGACATCAGCCTTCCGACTCCGCCAGATTTTGCCTCAATGGACGCTTCTGCCATGAACTCGACCCCTCAATTAACGGGTTTCCAGCTCTCCCTCCCTGGAAATGGGCCTGGCTCTACTACCTCTACCGCCTCTCTGGACAGCAGTCTTCGTCAGAGCTCGATCACCACGATGTCCTCAGATTTGGTTAATGAGCATATTCGGAATGTGTTGATTGCTGGCCTTTCTCAGAACACAGGCTTCGGACAACGCAAGTATTCGCAACCAGCAATCAGTTCGCCGCTCTCTCCAGGCTCCAATATACGCACGAAAGGGTTCAACGCCAACACCTTTCCGAGCACACCTGAATTGCAGCGATATGTTTCTGCCTACATCAAATACTTCCATCCCCACCTTCCATTTCTACACGTCCCGACACTTAACTTTGAGTCGCCAGACTACACAACCCCGATCCGGCTAGTGTCTGGCCATTCTCAATTTGGCCAGGCTTCTGTAGCTGGTGGAGGCAGTTGCTTAATCCTAGCAATTGCTGCCATTGGAGCTCTATACGAACATGAGGTATCTCAGTCTCGAGAACTCTTCGAGTGTGCCAAGCGCTTGATCAGCAGCTATCTGGAAGAAAGGCGCAAGGCCAACCTGACCAAAACCCAGTTTGGCCCTCGACACTCTGCTGAGCGAGAAGATACGCCACTCTGGCTGGTTCAGGCTATGCTGTTGAACGTGATCTATGGCCATAATTGTGGCGATAAAACAGCAGCCGAGCTTGCAAGTAACCATTGTGCAGCCCTAGTAAGCCTTGCTCGCGGCGCCGAGCTCGCAAAACCTTCCCAGGGCCACAGCGGAACAAGCGCCAGCGGTGCCAACGTCAACGTTCAGATGGGTGGAATGCCAAACAATGGCTGGAGCTCGATGATCAGCGAGATTGATGACTCTGACTGGTTGGAGTGGAAGGTCATGGAAGAACGCAAGCGGACTTTGTATGCGGTCTTCATCCTTTCGAGCATGCTTGTGACCGCTTACAACCATCCTCCCGCACTCACCAATTCCGAGATCCGTTTGAATTTGCCCTGCGCGGAGGAACTCTGGGCTGCCGAATCTGCGCAAACATGGCGCCAACTAGGAGGAGCCAGTGCGGAAACGGGCGCGCTTACCTTTGCCGCATCATTGACACATCTGCTCATGTCCGCACACAGACAACGACGCCGGAACAGTAACGTAAATGGAGTTGGGCCTACGAGCGAGCTCGAACTCACCCCAAGCACATTCGGGTGCTTGATCTTGATCAACGCCCTCCACAACTACATATGGGAAACACGGCAACGGCACCTGGGACGGCAATGGACTGCAAGCGAGACAGAGCAGATGCACGCACACATCGAACCGGCACTCACTGCCTGGGAAGCGGCGTGGGCGAGCAATCCCAAGCATAGCATCGAACGGCCCAACCCATTTGGCGACGGTCCCTTGTCCGCGGATTGCGTGCCGCTACTCGACCTTGCTTACATCCGGCTATTTGTCAATTTCGGCAGGTCCAAGGAGGCTTTCTGGCAACGGGACTACGATGCTATGGCAGAAGAGCTTGCAAAGGGTTCCGAGGCAGTTCCAGGCCAGGGACTGGCCAAAGGAGACCAAACCAACAACTCTCCATCTCAAAAGCTCGAGAGCAAGAATCAAGAGCAAATGCCGACTCCTGTGGAAGAAGGCATGAAAGTGGAACCAGGAGAGCACGAGCAGGAAGCCCGGAAATCTCAATCATCTCGGCGCGAGCGACACCTTCGGAAGGCCGCCTTTTACGCCGCCGATTCCTTGGCCATGTCGGACAAACTCGGTCTGAGTTTTGCTGAGCATACATCTCGAGAGCTGCCAACGCAGTCAGCAATGTGTGCATTCGACTGCGCGCAAGTGCTAGCCGAGTGGATCGCAACTGTCCAAGAACGAGTTGGCAAATACCTCGGCGTCATTGGCCGCGACGAGATGAACTTAGTAGAAGTACCAGGCATACTGCTCCTCGAGGATGAAGACCGGACACTGATTCAAAAGATCGACGAGATTCTAACGAGTGCTGAACGCAAGATTGAAACCCAGGGCGGATTTGATCTCTCTGCGGCACGAGAAGGAGGCCACGGCAGCAGGATCCTTACACTGACGGCGTACATACTAGGAAGGGATTGCGTGTGGCCTGGTGAGTCCATACTCCCGTCTGAGAGTGCAATGTACTAATCCTGTGTCAGTCTTCAAGCTCATGGCGCGATCTCTGGAGACCCAGGCCGGGCATATCAAGGATCGAGCATTAGCTTCAGCTTCAAACTCGTGACGACACACAGCAAAGCTCAGTCTCCAATCTCGAGATCATCTTAACCAACATGATTATTCTTCTTTCTCCAAACTGCGACGGATGCAGGCTTGATGGAGACATTTGTTTTAATTTTGACCCAAATCTTGACGACGCCAGTCGATATGATTTAACAGGACATATGATCACAATATACCCCACGGGGACACAACCCTGTGACGCGAAAAGTTTGCAGAGACGAGCCATTTCTGGCCCAGGGACATTCCAAAAGTGCGGAACTTCATGTATAGGGAGTACATATGGGGCTTTGCCATGGGAGGAACGGACTCTCAATGGGCGCTTTGATTGTTAATGAGCAACGCAAGCAACGCATCCGAAGAATGTAATTGTACGTTGGGAGGAAGAAGTCGACGGACAAAAGTAACAGATCGAAGGCGACTCTGATGAGGCTCTCATTTTTATGACGGTCGATGAAATGGGATGGTTTATGCGTTGAATGGGGTTTTCCGCTTGAGGATGGAGATTATCTCGAGGAAATGTCTGATCCTGTAGCTATGGGGTTTGGAGGTTGTACTTGGGATGAGAGAAATCATATGCAGGACGGAACCCGAGAAACTGCTCGTTTTGCGGCTAAGATGTGGTTGTTTCTTCGGGTCCGTTTTGCTGGTATCTGCAGGGCCAAGTCATGCGCCGTAGCTGCAGCAGTTATTTCTTTTGTTTCCCTTCTTCCTATGTAGACGGATTGATAGGCAGCATTGGCGGACCTTGACCAGAAATGGACACTAGTCGGTATCAATCACTGTCACATGCTGGCCTCTGGGCATCAGGAGGTGCACCGAAGCGACAGCAAAATACCAAATACCGGGCCACAACTTGAGGGTATACAGCCTCGAAGAGTGTGATTAGTCCTTGTGCATCGAGTCGGTCAGTGTGGCGAGCGGTCAGAACGATCTACACCGGAAATAGCGCTTCACAAAACCCTGTCATTTCATGCAGCCAAGGCCGTCCATTCTTCTTAAATCGAGGGCCCTTGGAGCCCATCGACCAACCATGACGCGGTGCGGCAGAATCAACATCCCGCTTCCCGTGGGGAGTTGGAATAACTCTGATAGGAAACAATTGAACGCAGAGGAGAAGAAAATAATGCTGAAAATAAGGATAGGAGGGAGAGCCGTGGCTGGAGGGAGTGTTCCACCCTGTTCGTTCCTCGCCGAGTTGTCTTGTCTGCGCAAATCTAGCCGCCTTGGCTATCGATTCGGAGATACCAGTTGGTTGTCGTGCTCGTAGGGATCAAGCCGAGTGCCCGATGCGATGGCGTGGCATGGGCGTGGCACCTATTTCTGGTTGGTTCGGGACCCGGGAATTCCAACGACCAACTTGCCTAGAGTCACTCGGTGGGTGGTCAACTTACTCCACAAAGGGAATCGGTCGAGTTGAGGGCAGCGTGGGCGTCGATATCAACTACTCCGTAGTGTCGCCTAGACCCAGCAGCCCAGGGAGTTGCCATGCTTGGAAGGCCATGCTGACCCCTCCCAAGCCCTCTAAGCCCCCTCAAGACCAACGGATCTCCATTCGACCTGGCTCGGCGCCTTATTAAGATCCCGGCTCAACTAATTGTCGCCCTCTAAAAAACCACACCTCACGTCAATCCTCCTCGTCGCTCTTTCGATTGTCACTATAGATACACCCAAACACCCGAGACACCTTGCTGAGTGTGCTTATTACTCAATTGCCACAGCAGAATCTGGCCTTTGCTTCCCCACCGAGTCTTCTCAGCACCGGAATCCCACCTCAGCACATATAGCAGCCCCCAAGGGGCGGGTTTTTCTTCCCCTATCCCCTCGATCCTTTGATTCCTCTATCACCACATTGTACCTCTGCGACCTGGAGTTTCTTCACTCACTATAGAAACTATCCTGCCGCCGTACCCGGTTGACCGATCCCTCTCGAAGAAGAACAAAAGCTCTCAACTATTCCTCTCCTCCAACTACACATGCTGCAAAACGCTCTCTGAATGCGGTGGGTTCTGCATCACGATCTCCACCAAAGAGAAGGAAACGACTGGGGATAGTACTGCCGAGAGGGCATTATAACTTTCTTGTCGATATAAATCAATATTTGTGTATACTTTAGAAATACATACGGGAGGGATCTGTCACTTGGAGCAAACAAAATCCTGGCTGCAGTTTTGTTCATCTCTTCAAGCCAAACGCGCCGCCAAAAACTTCTTGCAACCTGGTGCGACTCCTAGGTCTCACGACATCTGTGCACGATGGCGTGGTCGCAGCTCACCATAGACAAGCCGCATTTGGTGTACATCATCCTCGGCGGGTTCACCAGCATATTCATGCTATGCTCGCTGTTCATCAAGGAGAAATTGTACATCGGCGAAGCAACCGTTGCGACAATATGTGGTGTCATATTTGGACCGCATGCGGCCAATCTCATCAACCCTCTGACCTGGGGTAACACCGATCAGATTACCCTCGAATTCTCCCGCATCGTCCTGGTTGTCCAGTGTTTTGCGGTCGGCGTCGAGTTGCCAAAGGCGTACATGGAAAGGCACTGGAAGTCGGTCGTGTTCCTCTTGGTCCCCGTCATGACTTTTGGCTGGTTGGTCACCAGTCTCTTCATTTGGTGGATGATTGCCCCTCTCAGCTGGCTGGACTCTCTGGTAGTTGCGGCTTGCGTCACCGCCACCGATCCGGTCCTGGCTTCATCGGTCGTGGGAAAGGGCAAGTTCGCAAAACGGGTTCCCAAGCATCTTCGAGATGTCCTATCTGCTGAATCCGGCTGCAACGACGGTATGGCTTTCCCGTTTATCTATCTCTCGCTCTACTTGGTTAGGTACCACTTGCAGGCCAGAGAGGTTGTCTTTCACTGGACATGTTTCACCATCCTCTACGAGTGTATCTTCGGCGCTTTCTACGGCGTCATGGTCGGGTACATTGGCCGTCACGCCATCAAAATGGCCGAGCGAAAAGGATTGATTGATCGCGAAAGTTTCCTCGTGTTCTATTTCGTCCTGGCCTTGTTCTGCGCCGGTTCTGGGAGTTTGCTGGGGATGGACGATCTTCTTATCGGATTTGCCGCGGGCGTCGGATTTTCGAACGACGGCTGGTTCACGGAGAAGACTGAGGAGTCTCATGTGTCCAACGTCATCGATTTGCTTCTCAACTTGGCCTACTTTGTTTACTTTGGAACCATCATCCCTTGGGATCAGTACAATGCGCATTCTCACGGCCTCGTTCCCTGGAGGCTTGTCGTCATTTCGATCATGGTCATCTTGTTCCGTCGGATCCCTGCCATGTTGGCTCTGAAGCCGCTCATACCCGACGTCAAAACATGGCGCGAGGCTTTGTTTGCGGGCCACTTTGGGCCCATCGGTGTCGGCGCCATCTTTGCGGCAATCCTCGCCCGTGCTGAATTAGAAACAGATGGAGCGATACCGTTGGCCACGCTTCCTGAATCAAGCGAGGAATATGAACTAATCTACCTAATATGGCCTGTGGTCACGTTCTTGGTTATCTCGTCGATCCTTGTCCATGGTTCATCAATCGCCGTGTTCACCTTGGGCAAGCGGATCAACACTTTGACAATCACTCTGTCGTACACTCAAGACAACGAGAAAGGGCCTGCATGGATGCAAAGACTTCCTAGAATCACGTCTCAATCGAGGTCCATGTCCCGCAGGGAGAGCTCGGATTTGGACATTGACGAGAAGCTAGAGGTTCCGCCTGGCGAACTGCCACCCGTAGGGATCCCTAAACTGCATCTCAGGCGACAGCGGGAAGACGAGTATGAGAAGAGGCCGACGTCTAGGTCTTCGAGTCACGGCAGAGCACGGAGGCGGAGGAGGCGGGATAGAGATCTCGAAGAACGGCTGGGAGGTCCTGTCACTCAGAGTGCCATTGCCCCATCGAGACTTAGTGAGCCTGGTCTTGTGCAACAGGAGTCGGGCTCGGACACGCTGTTCGATAAATCTGGTGAACCTTCACCGCAGAGTCGCCAAGAGCGCCTAGGGGCTGTGTCACCAACCTCGTCCCCAGAGCGCCATGAGGTTGAAGCAGAGCGGGAGAGAGCGCCCGCCCGCCGTACACGTTCTCCACCGCCCCCAGACACGACTGCCGACGTCGAAGCATACGAGGAAGGTGACGACATTATTGTGGAGGACGAAGAAGGCAACGTGGTGGATACGATTGATGCCAGTCACATGTCGCCTGACGAAAAGGCCAAGGCCATCGAGAAGGCCCGAAATCGGTTGGCTAAAGACGAATCCGGAAAATTCGCGAAATACAAGCACGCGCCACACCCCAAGGACGAGGGCGAGGAGATAGAGGAGCAGGTTGAAGAAGCTGTCATGCCCAAGAGTATGCGTCAGAGATTTGATCAGTGGGCAGGCTTCGGCAGGCGGAAGGAGGGAGATGCGGAACCCTCGAGCTCCAAGCCAGCCGAACGAAAGCGGGGTCCGGCTCATGCCTACCAGTTTGGCAACACGGTTATCGTGGAGGACGAGGACGGCGAAGTCATCAAGACGTACAACATCCCCAGCGAAAGTGGTGGCGGCGACAAGACGAGGGAGCAGCAGGTGCGGGATGGTTTACGCCGAATGAGTACGTGGGTTGGTTTGGGACGACAAAATGCACCTCCAGCGCCGGCTGGGCCCAGCACTGCTGCTCCTGCACCATTAGACAAGCAAGACCAAGACCTCAAGGAGGAGCCTCCGAAAAAGCGAGATTTCAAGAGGCGCATCAGCGATGCTTCCTCTGACGATGGCCTGAGAATGACAATCTCTCGGGCTGATCAATACGGTCTGACTGGATTGCAAAAGAAAACACGGGATGTTCCTGGAACCATCGCACTAGGATCTGGCCGACGACTGTCAACAAGGGACTTCATCAGGCAAATGCAGCAGCTGGACCCTAAAAATAAGATTCGAGAAGTCGAACGGAGTGACGCCACCGAGGACATTAAACGAGAAGTACGAAGAGCCGCGAACATGGAACGAGAAGAACTTGGTGAGCTGACGCCCTCTGATGAGAGGCCAATGCGTGGACGGACCGATTCAGATATCGGGGTGGTGTCGGGCGCTCGCCGCCCAGATGCTGGCAGAAGAACTGCCAGTGAGCTAGAACCCGACGACTATTTCAGCCCTCAGCGACGTCCGAAACCCAATCGAGTTACTACTCATGAACGCAACCCAACGGTGAGCGAAGAGAGCGAAGAAGACGAGGAAGGAGAGGAAGGAGAAATTCCGACTCATAATGTGAGATCGAGCGTGGCAAGGCACGGCAAAGGTCAGACGGCGGCGGATTTTCGCAGAAGACACCTAGCGAGGATTCGATCCGAGGAGGAAGAGGAAGAGAACGATGACGAGGGAGAAACCGCTGCAGAAAAGAGGCGTCGACTGGCCGCGTTGGGTCTGGGTGGCGGAGACGAAGATTCGAGCAGCAACAGTGACGAAGACGAGCCCCGTCGAACTGAAGCAGCCGTGCCAGAACCCACGCAGGAGGAAGCGTCGTCTTCGGTTCAACCCAAAGCTCGGATCCAATGGGGCGGCGAGAGGGGTCGAGAGAAGAAAGACCCCTACGACATCTACGCCGGCGACCCGATCGTGGGTGCCGCAAGGAAACTGAGAGGAATGATGAAGAAGAAAGGTTGAGCAATTTGTGCGCCCCTTTTGGAAGCCCATGCATGTATGCCAGCTGCGGTTTCACCCGGTGCTTTTTTGTCGCTATTTGGAAAGATTGTGTGTGTGTATGATGGTCATGGTGATGAAGCATGTCGACTTTGGGTGCACATACTAGGGTTTTGCAATGTGATTACGGTATTTCTTCTTGGCCCTGGAGGCGCCTGTAATATCTTTTGACAGCGAGCTACGGAAAGAGTCTCCATAGAAACGTATATTGATGACACTTTGTCTCTGCCATATTCAACCCCGCCTCTGGTTGTAACGGAAGGGTGGTCTTTTGACCTCCAACTGTGCGGTCAGTCTACAATTGAGGTAGCGGCTGCTGGCTCTTAATATTATCAATGAGGTACATATACATATATGGCGATGTGCCAAGTTGTACATGGGAAACCTCCGCCTCTCGCGCCCTCTCGACTTCCTGGAATCTTCCTCGCCGCCTCGACACACATCATGACTTGCTCGTCAGTGCATGTACTCTGGTCCCCAGGAAATACCCGGCAAGGAGCATGTCACCATTACCGGACTCATTTCATAAATCTCAGAGGCACAAAATCTGCTGTTTGGATGCGTTGGTATTTGCAAAGGCATGAGAGAAGATCTCACGTTGGATCTGCAGAGACGACCACAAACACCGGTCCCTCCACTAAACATTTAGAGGACCGTGAGGCAGTTGACAATTCCCGTGGTTGAATCAAAGTTCAGCAGGGCCACGTTTGTTTGGAGATTGATTGATGCCAGCCTCGCCTGATCATGCTCCACCTCAATCGCTCTCCACAAGATCTACTCGTTACGAGAGCCGAAACCCTAGGTAGGGGCCCGTAAGAACTTGGGTGGAGATAGGCTCGCTGCCATGAGCGGCTGTATCCCCTAAAATGAGTTTATCACGAGCACCAACCACAAGGATCTACCATTTCTCGCATCAGGTACGTCTCGGCTATAACTGCATAGTCGTTCATCCCAACATCCGATCAGAAGTGCCGTGGCAACCTTAGATGCTTGGATTACAGAGGATAGAGGAGCACCAGGAAACGCAACGGTTGTTAATGGCAAAAAGGGAGATACGAATGATCTGATCGGGCTCGGTCTTTGGTTAAGATAGAGCAGGAAGCGGGAATGCGGTGAGTAACTGACGAAAAGAGCGAGGGCGCAAATCGCATCTCGGGTTGTCTCTTTTCTGACTTATCTGGACAAGAAAGGCAAACGAGAGAGGAGCTCATTCGCCAATCCAGCAAGTTGAGGTACTACGTACTCGAGAGTAACTCCGCGACGGTGCCCAGGGGCTACGAAAACATCAAGCCCGCACTGGGGACCCTGTTAGCGTCCATGATCGTCGCCGCCTACAGATACTACATCGACAGGGAGAAGGCGGATGATCGCGATCGACACGGGGGAGGTGATGAAGATCTTGTGCAACGCTTACGCCCGTGCTGGACTCCCCGGCTCTGTGCAAGGACCCGACCACGAAGTATCTCGCCTCCGCTGTCAACTCAGCCGGACCTTTCAACGTGGTGACAAGCAAGTGGGAGAAGTGGTACTCGATTTTGAAGACGGGCGAAGTTATTAAGTGGTTTAAAAGCAAGATCTCGGGCATGAAGGGGAAACGACTCTACTCCAGCAGATTGCCTGATACCCGATTAGGGCCTCCCCCTCGGTTTCCCGATGAAGTCAGCGTCCTATATCTCTAAATCTGAGGCGCTCATCGTCCTCTCTGTCCCAGGTACCACCCCACTTGTCTTGAAATTATGGAAGGAGCAACACTTCTCGTGCGCGTCGGCGAAGGTAAAGTTGTGTAACCTCTCTCACTGTGTCTCGATCTCGGGTACCGTCACTTACTCCCTCGTGTCCATATACATTTTAATGAAGGAAAATCAATGTGGGTGGAAGGACGAGTACATTTGGACTAGCAAATTACGGTGCTCATCATCCGAGGCCATGGCAAATGTTTATCAATTGGAAAAAGAGAGTCCAAGGCTTCACATGCAACATCCTCACTGCCATCACCTTGCTGTCTTGTGAAATGGGATATTTCCTGCCGGAGCACAATCCACAGCATTTGGGGATGGCTCATATCATGAAGGAGAGCGATCCGGCGAATGAGAAGGGCACCGGGATGGGAATGACGAAATTCCATACGAGATAGCATCTATATACACCCCTGGTGTTTCTCGGGCATTCATCGGAATGTATACGGCCTCAGCAAGCAATGGTGGCATGTGGAAAAGGATTATTGCTGACTTCAAAGGTGATGTTCGAAGTCTTTCGTAGCCAACTCAGACTCTGGCTTCGTCTTCAAACAGCTACTATGGTGTTGCCTGCTGCTTGTTTTCGGGGAGGATGATGATACATCGGACCTGACACACACTTGGATGCAACTCTATATTCTTCTTTTATCGACGTTCATGATTTCCAAAACCCCAAGCCCGACGCCATGCATAAGCTTGAACACCTGCCAAGACTACGTATGCCAAGACTGGGGAAAAAAAAGTTCATATATTATTTATCTTTTCAGAATTCGCACCACAATTGAGCCACACATTTCAGATGGTTTCTCTGGTTGTGTAGTGTAGTGGTTAGCACAGTGGATTCTGATTTTCAGAACTTTCCACTAACCCCGGTTCAGTGAGTAATAATAATCAATCATTTCTTGTGACCTTTAACTAACTGTCTCCTAAGATCCCGGGCACGACCTTGAAAGGCAGTTTTTGCTGTATGATGAGTGGTTTATGTTTTTTTGCAGTTGGAAGCGATTGAAAATAAGGATCTTGAGAATTTTGATGCTTAGGGTGTACCGAGTAGTTGTGTGGGAGTTGGTGACTTCGTGTAGTATAGTTTGAGTGGAGTACACTCTAATAGACTGACCAATCATTTAACTGTCCTTTCGGTCTTAGCACATCAAGCAAACTAGAGACTTTCTGCACCTTTCCCATTTTTTACCCGATTCTCCCCAGACCCAAGCCTTGTTGCTACAGGTTGAACAGGGTATTCAATACGATATGATCATTCATGTCTATAGAGATGGGTGAAGAAAGGTCGCGGAAGCGAAGGAGGGTGGAGGACGGTACCCTTCCACGTTCTAATGCCATCACCAGTTCAGATCAGCTTCACCAACTTCTTCAGTTCCCGCCGTCTTCATCTGTCGAGGACATAAGAGCAGGTATGTTATGAACGGCATGTATGTGAAGAAGCCAACTTGTTGACGGGCGCAGCGGTCGACCGATTCACACAGTTTCTGTCCGAACTCACCAAGGAAGATTCCCCACATCAGAGTCGCCAGTGGAAGGTATTGAAGAAGTACTGTGATGAGCAGTCTTCAGCTTCACACGACCAAGTAGACTTCCCGGATCTTCTGTCTGCATGGTACAATGCCAGCCAGTCCAACGCAGAAGCCGTGCTTGCCGCCATTCCTCGTTCTCTGACTCAATTTTTCGAGACAATCTCTGGCCATCTCGAGTTCCGCGACTTTGGAATCTCCCTATGCCATAGCTTGCTCAAAAGAGACCAACTGCGAATCCTCGATCGAACCCTGTCGTCACCGAGATCCAAAGAACATCTCATAACACCGTGTCTGCAGCTTTTGACAGAGATCGTCGGTTTCGATGGCGGTGCCCATGCAAGCAGTGTCTTTAGCCGACGGGATTTCCTCTATCGGCGGCTCGATGCCATTCTAAGCCAGACGCCGGCAACCGTGGAGCAAGCCGCTTCGGTAAATGCATACCAGGCGGCTTTGGAGTTTGTTCTGGCCAACTTGAAGTACCTCGACTCTGCCTCCAAGTCCGAGTTCATCATGCATGGCAAAACAATCTTTTTGGCAATTCGCAACTTGTCCACCTTGCCCGTGTCTGCCGTCATCAATACTTTGAAGACTTTGGAGCGGTCAATTATTGCCGATGAGACTCTCAGCAAGCAGACAAAGACTCGGAGTTTCAACTCTGGTGTCCTGTCGGCGCTCGCCAAGCTGTACGATTACAATACCGGAGAGGGCGGTGGGTCTTCAGTCGAAGTTCGAGATGCTCTTCAGAAGCTGCTTTTGCAGGTCTGCACGACCTCAAAGGGGGTGTTGCTTGCCCAATCGGGATGGTATCCTCCAGGAACAAACCCCGATGTTCTCGGTCAAGATGAGAACATGATCGATCTGGGTCTTGATTCTCCTTTCTACTTCGATGACTATACTGAGAAAGTGCCGGTCAAAAACGGGGCAATCTCTACGTTCATTCAGGCCTTGAGACCCGAGAGTGATGTGCGGCAAGCCGATCTTATCGTGGCAATATTGAATACTGCCCCTGAACTTGTGGCCGACTATTTTACAAAAAAACCGAAGTTCCTCGTTCCACCAGGAGATGACCCAAAATGGCGTGGGCAGTTTGCTTTCTTGTTCTCCGTGGTTCAGTTACCGGTGCCCCCGAACTGTGGCTGGAATGACAAGCTGCCATTGACGCCACCCCCGTTGTCGATTGTTGTTGAAAGCATCCTCCCACGCCCAATCGACCGAACGACGATCGGAAAGTGTCTCCGCATGAACGAAGACATCATTATCATGTCCGCGACACGGCTGTTGACAGTGGCTTTCGAGAAGCTCGATTCGGTCTTGAAAGTCTTTGAGAAGGCACCAACCGAGTCTCATTTATGGCAGCAGGCATCACGTAAACTAGTCAGCCTCTTCATTGAGCGTATCCCGCCCCTTTCCGATATCATTGCGACACTTCAAACGCTGCCAGACGAAAATGAGCAAGTCCGAACCTCAGTCCTTGAATGCATAGCTGCGTATCACACGATTCTGCCCTCAGTAACCGCTGGATCAAAGTTCGATTTTGGTGTGCCTTTGGGGAAACGGCTTCAACTTCTAGACTCTGACACGTTGGATGCGGCAACAAGGGACCTCATACTGGCCCAAATAGCGCACCTCGTGCAGATTGCGTACATTTCATCCGCAACAAAATGGTTTCACAAAGCGGGGTTAGAAGAACTGTCGTTAGTCGTGCAGCTGCTCAGACGCTGTGGCCAAGACTCCGAGAAGCCAGTCACGAAAGAAACGCTTCCAATCATCAAAGGCGTGTTGACTGAGAAGGGAATCTTGGACACTGATGTACGATCTACAGATGCATTGATATTGAGCCTTACCGCGACCAAGAAATGGCGGCCGGAGCTCGTCACCTATCAATTCCTGGACAACTGCATATCGCGCACGGCTCAAAGACCTGTCAAGTATCTGGATCAACTGGAACAAGCTCAGCATCTTTTGTCTGATTCGCAACCTTTGAGTCTACTCGCCTGCTGCGTGGCAGAGCAATGGGTACATTTGCTGAAGAAAGAAGACAAGAAAAACATCAAGAATGTTGCGGAGTGGATCGCCAGATTCTTTTCCGCCCTGGAATCGGCAGGCGAGAATTACCGTGTCATGATGCACTTGAAGGAGGAGATGTTGAAGCAATGTGATGCCAACGAGAAGGCCAAAGAAACACTGGAAAAGGCGTTTGAGAGGCAACGAAAGAAACAGGTTGTTCTACCAGAGGAGGATCTCGACGAAGCGGACACAAAACAGCCGGACGGTTCCACCGACAGTATACATGGACCGGAGCAGCGACAGCACGTCAGCCTCGATCTCGCTGAATCCTTCCCGCCACCACCGACCATCCCAACATCTCTCGCAGGCCTCGATCGCTGGGCGAAACCCGACTTCGAATCCGAGATTCAAAGCGGCCGTCTCGCCGATCTGATCCGTTGCCTCATCTCCCCCGAGCCCGAAGCCCGACTTCAGGCGTTTCATATTCTCCAACATGTCATACACGCCGTCCAACAGTCTAACTACGACGAGAAGACCCAGCTCTACCTCCTTCTCGGAGAGCTCTGTGAGACGATCAGGAGCCATGGTTTCTCCAACTCGACGTCCACGGCCACAGCCCCGGCCTTCTCCATCGTGGCGGAACTCGCGATCCATTTCCTCCCCATCGTCGCCGACCCGTCGTCCCCGTTCTACCGCAAGACCAACACCTTCCTCCTCCGCGCGCCCCAGTGGTCCGTGCCCCACATCTTGCCGTACTGGTTGAAGGAGACGTTCCTCACGGAGCCCGAGATCGACGACCCCGACATCCCCACGAGCCTTCAGCAGGGAGGAGGAGGAAACGTCAATGCTCAAGCACTGGAAGTCGAGCATTTCCTCGACCTGCTCCTCCGCTCTCTTCGGACACAGACGGACATGGACCTGTTCCGGCGCGCCCAGGTGTTTACGCGACTGTTCTCCTACTACCTTTCCCCGATCTGCAACAAATCCATTCGGAAGAAGATCCTGCGCGTCGTCGGCCTCGCCACGCGAATCAAGGGCGGGAGTGACACGCTCATCACCAGGACCGGGGTCCGGGAGTGGCTGGCGATCGCGAAGACGCTCCGGGGCCACAGTGGGCACGGGGTCGCCGGGTTCGGGAAGGTCGACGACGAGATGGTGCGGCTGGTGGAGGCAGTGGAGGCGCATGTGCAGCAGACTTGTGACGCTGACAGTGTTCGCCGGTGGGAGGCTGAGAGGCGCATGTTCAGGGAGGTGGCCGAGCGTGGTTCCAGGGTTGAGGGAGGGGCGGTCGGCAAAGAACAGCAGCCTCCCCTGGGAAAAGTCAGAGCGCACGATGTGGGCCACCCCCAGGACACGAGCGAAGATGACCGTGAGGACGAAAGCGTCAGCGAGAGTGAGAGCGAAAGCGACACCGACACTACCACCGACACCACCGAAACGGGGACCGAGACCGAGGACAAAGGATTAAACTTGTGAGGACTGGCGATCGAGTATCAAGGACCAAGGAAGACAGAAAGTCATTATAGTACGTCGTAAATGAATACATTGACTGTACTGTACTGTACATCCATCCTCATTTGGAAGTTCGTGCAGACTGCCTGCCTGTCTCGTGCTGCGGTTGAGTCGACCAAGAATCAATCACTCATGAGCAGTGTATACGGATAGATCGATAGATAGTTAACGAGAGAGAGAGAGAGAGAGAGAGACAATCGACCACAGCTCAGCCAGGACTGACTGGTATTGACTGGACCAACGAACCTACCTATCTGCCTGCCTGCCTGCCTAAGCGGCATCAATCAATCAATCAATATTGATCCGATACACTTACTCCTTTTTTCGGGGGCCAGGCTGAGATGCCCGATGAGACGAGCGAGCGGGCGGAAAGGAATGAACAGATCAGAACAAAGCAGAGCAGAGCAAACAAACGAACAAACACAAAAGACTTTGATATACAACCGCTAGACAAATGTGTGTGTGTACCTGCCACTCAGAACTTGATATTTCTCACACAGTCTCTCTCCTTTTACTTCGTCCTCGTCTCGTCTCGTCTCTTCTCTTCTCTGTTCTTTTTTGCTCTTCTCTTTTGGTCTTGGCTTGCTTTGCTTACTTCTTCTTGTCGAATCTTGCCCCGTTATCTCCGGAGCGTCAGTCAGTCGGTCAGTCATGAGTTCTTCTCTTCCTTCTAGTGTGGCGACCGCTCTACTCTATCGGCCTTGTCCTGCTGGATCTCTCGCGAGCCCACGATACGCAATCTTCCCCAATCGCCGGGAACTGTCTCACATCCTGGGGCTGATTGGGGCAACCGTCATTCTATCCACGAAGACTGATGCCTCTTCACACCTTCAGAAAGCAGGAAACTCGGCTGGTCGCCAGGGATCACTGGCGTCGTTGTTTCCCATACATCGCATCAAGGCCATATACCGCAGACAAATTGTTCAGAAGCTCATCAGGTCTGCTCAATCGTTAGTCCTATGCTCTCTCGCTCAAGCCGCCAGCGTGACACTCACCTCTTCCAAAAAGGGCCCTCTTACTCCAATCCATCGCCAACAGCATCCTCGTCCGGAAACTGACGCTTTGGGCGAAATAGATGCTCCGCCACAGGTAGACAGCCATCAGCCCACCGCTGAAATTTAAACCGCCAAAATCGAAAACGGCGGCGTTTCCAATATAGGCCAGGGAACCCATGTGGTGATACTCAAAGGCCTTGTAGACGGCCTCGTCGAGGTCACCAAAGTCGACCTCGTTCGCCTTGAAGCCGGGAATGGCGGCTGCAATCTTGTTGAATTTCCGACCGAGATACTGGCCCTGTTGGTTCGCACGTTGGGCCGTGGCGGGAAGAGAGGTCAGCTTGGAATCAATCTGGACGAGCAACTCGTGCATTTCGCCAAAGTCTAGCGTGCCAGATTTGTCCTTGTCATATTCCTCAAACAACTTGTCCAGTCGTTTGAGATGACCGGCCGCTTGAGGGAACCGCTTGCGCACCTTTTGCGCCACGCTGCGCCAATCCTGGAAGGTGATGTGCATTTTCTCCGGATCCTTACCCTGTTCGAAAGCCATGCCGCGGAGGAAAGTGGTGAGGTGGTCCGCGATATTGTTTTGAACGGTGGCGCAGTCTCCAATGGCGTAGACCTCTCCCAGCGGTGCTCCTTGAAGTCGCAGATGTGAATCCGTCTCGAGAGCGTGTCGGTTGTTCTGGAACTCGCCAAGCTTTTGGGCGATCTTCCGGCTCAGTTCGGTCTGCGCGACACCGGTGGACCACAAACAGAATCCCATAGGCAGCTCCTTGGTGACGGGCTTCCCGTCCTCCATCTGTGAGAAGATGATGCGATCGGGTTTGACCTCCTTGACCCGCGAGTTCGTCAGGACTTCGACGTGGTCATGTTCGAATCTCTTCTCGGCGTAGACGGACAAGGCTTCGTCATAGGTATTGAGGATGTGGCCCCTCGACTGGATGACGTGCACAGACACTTCGTTCCGTAATATCCTGGGGAACGATTTCAAGAGGTCTTCGTTCAGCATGTCGTATAGTTCTGCAGCAAACTCCACCCCGGTCGGGCCACCACCACTGATGACAAACGAGAGCAGCCTCCGTCGTTCTTGGTCCGAGGTGGTGGGCAGACAGGCAAGTTCGAGGTTACGCAGGACCTTGTTCTTGATGAGGCGGGCATCTTCGATGGTCTTGAGGAAGTTGCAGTGTTCCAGGCCTTTGACGCCGTGGGGATTGGTCGTCGAGCCGACTCCAATCACCAACTTGTCGTAGGGCAGATAAAAATGTCGCTTGTTCCCGTCGGCGTCCTCCTGGGCCACCTCAACCAGCCTTTCGGTGAACTCGATGTCGATGGCCTCAGCTCTCAAGAAATGGCCCCTCAACCGATTGACGATCCGGCGCACTGGCTCAACGAGTGATCGCAGTTCCAGGGTGCCCACCGTGGCAGACGGCAGCATGGGCGTAAACAGGAAGTAGTTGTCCGGGGACACGACCGTCACATGGTAATCGCCTGGATGGAGTTCTTTCAGCATGGCGACGCTCCCCCAGCCGGTGCCGAGAACGACCAATTTTGGCTTGTCTTTCTGCTCACGCATGTGGTCGCAGTCTTCGTCATCCACCAAGACCTCTGCGATGGGCAGGTTCTTGGGTCCTCCTCTTCTGGGTGACAGCGCCGCTTCCGACACAGCAATGTCGCCGGTCGGATCTGGCTCTTCGCGGTAGGTGGAGGCATCGTAGAGAAAGAAGGCGAGGACCAAGGTGCCGGAGAAGACGATGAAGATGCCCGTCCATGCGAATATCCGGTAACAGAAGCGAACGATGGGTCCCTTGTTATTAGGGAGCTCTTTGGTGGAAATGTATCGCACAGTGCCCACTTGGGTAGGGTAGATGAGACGAGACGAGAGCTTCGACGTCCCAATGCGCAGATTTCTAGACGGTAATTGGGCTGTTCGCAGGGTTGACAAGGCCCTTGGGGATTGCAGGCATGGTCTCGGCAGGTAGGAAGGCTTCAGTCGAGGAGAGGTATGCAGACTACGAACAGAGCGCAGAGGAAGCTGTAGGTATCGCTGGCCACCGCGGGCCAATCGAGGAATGGCCTCCATTGTCGAGAAGCGAGAGGAGGGTGGCGGCTGGTTACCTCATGGTGAGAGGACTGTGGCCGATATCCAGAAAGGAGTGGTTTTGAGGCCTCGTTGATAGAGACGTAAAGAAGAAGAATAGGAATGCTGTGGAAAGATCGAGGCAAGAAGGGGGAAAAGAAAAACAGAAAATAGACGGAAGATAGGATATGATGCGGTGACGCTATACGTGGATATGACGGAATGACGGCGAGCTTATGGGGGGCGGCATCAGATCAGATGGATGGGCGCCGATGGGAAAATGATTGTGACGGGATGTTTAGGTGCTAAAGATGCTTATCCGCTGAGCCTGTTGAGCCTGTTGAGCCACCTTTCGCCCACTATTACGGAGTATTAATTAATTAATCGGTGCATGCACACCCCGATCGGAAGTGCGGCAGCAATGCGACCTTCTCATCATCCTCCGTCACTGCGGCGTCGCTTATCAAACCTCTCAGCTTTCCCCTTGATCACCTAATTGGTCCCCCCCCTTTTTCCTTTTACTCTTTTTACTCGATCCGATCACAGGCCGGGAAAGTTCTCAACGAGGTATATTCATCTATCTACGAGGTCCCTGATGGGTGCCTAAAGCCCTTTCTCCGGCTTCACCGTCGACAGCTCTGTGGGGGGTATCATATATAACAAAACACAACAAAAGAAAACTCCTCGTCCTGTGTCCCAGCAACCTGTGCATCTCGCTCGCCTATCTGCCAAAGAAAAAAAAAACTCTTGTCTCCCCTCAGACATGAGCCGTCTTTAAACCGCCTTTTTTCGCTGTCCAGAGAAATCCTGCGCAAGTGCCATCATCACTCATAAATGCTGCTTCAGCCGTGGAAATCTGCGTCGTCAAAGTCGTCCTCCCCCGACGACACCACACTCGCTGATCGTCGTGCATTCCCGTGCTTGACTGGTCGCCCTCGAGCTCTTTTGGGCGTGCCTCCCACTGACCCAGAGAGACTCTTGCGCTTTCGACCGCGTGGTGCACTCCCTGGGAGGTCCGACGCCACGTCCACCAGGGCACTGATTGCCGCCTCCTCCTCGGCAACCTTCACTTCGTCGTCCACAGCCACAAGATCAACAAACTCCCGGCATCGTGCAATCATCGCGCCCCGACTGTGGAGCGATTCAAGAACGGCGTTGGTCCTGTGCCAAAACTTGTCTCCGGTGATTCCATGTACCTTGACCGGCTCCTTTCCGGCTTCCTTGGTTTGCTTGTTCTGTTGCATCGCCATCTTGACATCTCGTGAGATCCCGTACTGTCTCCTCAAATAGTTCCTCGCCTCGGAGATCAGTGTGATCGCACAAGCGGCCGCCGTCAGCGATTTTAACGTGGCTGGATCCACGACCGGGTCCGGAGCTATTGGCTCTATGACCATCACATCGTCATCTAGATTCTTGACGTCCCTGACGAGAAGCGGGGCAGGGGCCTGGCTGAGATGCGTCTCGATCGCCTGTGCTGTCTCGCTGCCGTTTCTGCCAAACGCCAGCTCCAGCTGTAGCACAGTATGCAGGAGCTCATCCATCTTCTTGTACTCAAAGAATGCCAAGTTCTGTGTCACAAAGAGAACAAACAACACTTGTTCGGGGATCTCGTCCCCGGCCGCCACATTCAACTTGGAGTACTCGGTGTTTATTTTCGAAATCAAGTTGCTGATGAACTTCTTCACGTACTTGGAGCCACTGGTGCTGATGATCGCAAAAGCTGGGGCAAGTTTGGCCGTGTATCCCGGAACGATGCCTCCTTGCGGATCCTTGTACACCTCACTCTGGTAATGGAACGCGGCGACGACGGCATTGATGTACTCTCTTTCACAGACGGATTCGTGCTGTTGATGGAGGTGCTCGTGGGCAATCCGGGCCACGCGGGCAGTTCGGGGATCGGTGCTGGTCTCGAGCGCCACAAACGCCGACGTGCTTTGCTTCGGGTGTGTCATGCCTTGGTGGTCGATGCTGGCCAGTGTTTGAGCCGCGAGCAGCGCCTTGGGACCAGTCTCGGACAGGGCAATATGGAGGAGGAGGTCGACCAGCGTGTTGGTGATGATCGAAATGGCACTGTCGCTCTCGCGGGTCTTGCTGTCGCCGCCAATCGTTTTCAAGGCCTGAACCTCCCCTTTGTCCGCGTTTTTCTTCGCGTCCTCTTTGGCCGTAACCCGCTTCCCGTACAGTTCTTGAAATATCTCAAGCACGGTGATCTGCATTCTATCAATGTCGCTTTGGTCCAAGCCACCGAGAGACATTCTATTCAGAACCTCGAATAACGTCTCCCGTATATGCCGTTTGTTGAACTGGCCCGGCCATGCTTGACAGACGAGGCCGAGACTCTCCAGCGCCCTGACTCGGGTTTAGATAGGGCGGTGTCGGGAGGTGTGTTCGCAAATGCAGTCCGCCAAAAACCCTGCGACTGAACCACCCTTGTATGCAGGGAAGCTTCGTTGAAATTCCTCTGCACATCGTTCCAGATCCATATATTTTCCCACGGCGCCAAGGAGCCGCAAGCATAAATTCCTCTTTCGATTCTCGCTCGCATCGTCGTCGTCCCTCCCGGGTGTCTTGTCCGGTAGATTCCTGGTGGGTAGCACATTCCGTATCAGAGAGATCGTGAACTTGACCATCTTGACGGTATTCTGCAGTACTCTGTCGATGCTTCCTAGACAGGCCATCACCTCCTCGACCACTTCTCGTTGCACAAGCTTCTGACTGGCTTTAAGAAGATCCATTTGAACCTCTTGAAGCAGTGGAGCTTGCGTGCTGGACAGATGTGGAAGAACGAGACGGAATATAGCCACGACAGATTTGAACTTGGGAACGTTATCTTGCTTTGACAAGTCTCTCAGATAGCTCTTCAGACTGGTCAAGTCGGCAGGCACCACTGCTTCCGGTCGAGCATCAACAAAAGCTACCAGGGTCGTCAGTTCTGCTGGTCCCACATCAGAGCCATTGGCGGCATCGAGGAGTTTCTTGACAATCCGGGCGCAAAGATCTCGGACTTGATCCGTATGTTTGGAATCCTTCAACTTCCAAACCAGGAACTCTTTCAGCAAAGGTGCTAGGCGCGCCATATCGCTTCCGACGCAGGTGACAATATGCGATTTGAGATCCTCGATCTCAACATCCAAGCGTGCAGAGTCGTCTGCAGAATCCAGCATAGCTAGTTTGGGATCAACCCAAATCTCGGCCAATATCCTTTTTGCAAGCTCCGCCACAGATGTTTCTTGGTCGGCTGCCCGGTGTAAGAAGGCGACGGCAATGGACTCTTTTACGGCCGATCTCCCCTCCTTCAAGTAGACGTCTTTCAGCTGAGCCATGGCTCTTTTCTGAACTCCGACATTGGAGTCAAGCATGCAATTGAGAAGCACCCTGAATGCTTGCCCCTGAAGTGCTGGCCTGGGCATGATGAATCTGGAAATCAGAGTCAGGGCGGAATCCCTCACCATGGCGGAGTCATCAGACGCACATTTTATGACAGCATGCGCTAAGGTTGTTCCCCAATCGAGAAGACTCGAATCGATCTCCAGCATGGCCGCAATACTCTTCAAGCTGCGGGTGCGAACCTGAGCCTGATCGCTCTCGATCGACGAACTGAGCGTGGTGGCAATGCCCGGAAACATTCGACAGAATGGTCCGTTGAGAATGCTCAGCATATAGGCTAGCTGGGCTTCCTGATCTGTAACCTCGACATAATCCTGAGCGGCTTCACTATGTTCAATGGATCCGGATAGCTGATGTAGCATCGCCGAAACAGTAGACGTGAGCCGCGAGTCGGGTTCAACCTCTCGGTCTACGTCCCGTGGTTGTGTAACGACCTGATAAATTTGAGCGGCAAATTTCACGAGGAAATATGCTTTTGCGGATATAGTTCTCAAGCCCTCCCCTTTTTTCTGGCTCAGATACGAGTGGACGATAGAGAACGGTCCATGAGCTGACACAAGTTCGTGAGCTTCGAGAGTGAATTGAGGTCGCTCCCTGACAGAATCCGACAATTCCTGAGCGATTGGAGTGGAGTGGGACTCTCCATCTCTTGTGATCGATGAAAGCAGTCTTCGAGCAGACGCAAGAGTCTGGGATATTGCAGATGCCATGACCCCCAAGGATTCGAGAGCCATATTCTTTGTAGAAGCCGACTTGTCTGTCTCTGCAATTTTTTTCATGCGGAACGCCAACACCGTAAGAAGCAATTCAGATGCTGGCCAGTCCGTGGATGGGAGCACCAGGGTGAGGTCTTCGACAAACAAGTCGAGAATATTGCGGTAAGGCGAATCCCCAGACTTGGTGACACTCGAGGCCTTGTCAACCATCCACATCACAATATGCTGAGCACTCTTAGCTGCCTCAGACAAAAGATTCTGCGCTATTGTGCCCAGCTTTGATAGCGGGTCTTTTTCGACTTCATCGGCCGTGGACCTTAAGTCGATCTCCATATCATTGGCTGAATCGTCGTCCACGTCTGAATCACCAATATTGATCAATCCCTTCCGAGGTTGAGGCCGCGACTTCCGATTTCTTTTCACATTTGTTTGCATGGCTGAAGCTTGCACTAGCTGCATGAAAAGAGCAGTTACCAATTGGATATTCTTACCAGGACCCAGCTTATACTGTCTGGCACTCCTGCTATTTGAAGGCAGCTTATCCAAGGACGTCAAGACCTCCTCCAATATTGCTGGTCGTTCGTTAGGGAAAGCGGCGTACATCCTGGCAACAGCCGCCATGGCTTGCTTTCTCAGCCGCTCGTACGCTTGAGATCCGAGTGCAGATGTTTTGTCGTTGTAGGAATTTTGAACAAAAATGAGCTTCGCCGCCAGGAATTCGGTGGCATTAACGACGGGGCCGGCTTCCTTGATTTCCACACATGCTCTTGTCACAAGGTCCAGAAGTTTGCGACCGACATCGAGCAACCGTTTCAACGGTTCACTGTGTGCAGACGAATGATCGAAGAGCTGGCTGCTTGGTCCATCTGGGCGGGCCTCGACAATCGGAATCAGACAGTTTTCGAATAAATTAACGAGCACATTGGGTAGCCATTGTAACGCAACTAAATTGACGAGGTCTTGATTCTGAGGAGCCCCCAGGATGGTGTATATCAGAGTACAGGCTGAAATGGCTCCCCTTTCCGCTTTGTGAACTTTCGACAACCAGGCGGACATGTCTTCATCTGAAGGATCCGGAGGTAGTCGCAGATTGATCGTTTGCGCTGCTTCTATCGCTGGCTCACATACACGCTGGAGTCGCAGAAGAGACTCCAGAGAGGCCTCGCGCAACCGACCAGAGGTCAGGAGCTGACTCATCATCGATTGAAGTGTCTCCTGTAAACGCAGCGCAAGATATGGTTCAGTGTCGTCTTCATCATCGGGCAGATCAAAGATGGCATTGGTGGCGTTTGCTCGGTCTGCTGGGTTGTTGGAGTCAATCTGGTCTCGAGCTTCGCAAATCTCGGCGAGTTGGTTCTCAAAGTTCTCTAATAGCTGGTCGTCCTTCTGTTTCTTAGAGGTTGTCGCGACAGCAGGCTTGGTATACCGTGAAGAAACACTCAGGTGCTCCGGTTCTGGATCATCTAGCACAATGACATAGTTATCTTTATTGAAGGACGGAGGCGGCTTTGGTATGTCGACAACAAAGGTAGAAGAGGAAGGCTTGGTTATGGGCCTCTGGAGAGTTTTCTTCCTGACTGTAGGTTGAGATGCGGTGGTCAAGGAGTTGTATGTATAGTCGATCTTGGACATTTTGAGAACCATCTTTTGAATGGGATTCAGGTCTGCCTGGGCCGAGTTATCGTTTTGCACGGGAGATTGAGGGAACTTGATCTCTGATAGGCGGTTGCGATCGAGCAAGACCGAAAGACGTTCTTTAGCGGTCGCAGTGAACAGTTCGCTTCGATATGCCGCCTGACGTTCGGAAGGAGAAGTGAGCCGTGAGTCACTCGAGCGCCCAAGTTGTGGGAGAGGGAGGCAAACTGTGAAGTGAATTAGCACGGCACCGACTTTTGTGTGAAGTGGGCATACTGTGCTCTGGGAGAATCGAGGTCGTCACGGGAGTGTATTGGAAAGCCTTCTTCACCGAGAGGCCCTTCCCAATGGAATTATCTTGTGCTCGTCGTCGCCGAGGGATGACGACCTCTATGTTATCTTTTCGAGGCTCCATGATGAGAACACTTGTGAATGATTGATCTTGTCCTGATCCGCCCATGCGATTATCTCGATGATTTTGCCGACGAGGGGAGAGTTATCGAAGTGGGGAGGTTTGAAGTCAGGAACCACGCCATGACCATCATAGCCCCAGAACTGCTATCGCAGGCTGTCAGTCGTATGGGAATGGGTTGTCTTGACGCAGGGCTCCCACTCAAACATGCGGAGATGAAGGAAATACTGAGAGGAGAATGGGGGTTTGGGATGGGGCAAGGCGGCAAGGCGGCAGGGCGCAAGGGATCTCCAGACTGCGATCCGCTCGGTTAAGCTGCGGTTTTCAATAATAATATGAATATGCGATCGCCCTTAACCGTATTGGGGCCGAGCCGCTGCAGGAACGAGATCGCAGAAGCGCCTCCAGAAGTTTGTTCGTCAGCGAGCATCAAATTTTTTTGGCTGACTTGCTGCACAACACTCGAATCCCCAAAGATGGTCGCCATAGGCAGCCTTTTGTTCTGCGACGCCTGTGGCTCGCTTCTGCCACGGACCGTTCCAGGAGAGCATCAGGACGATATGGTCAAGTGCGACGACTGTTTCCAGTACACCAAGGACACCTCTTCCAAAGTCATAACTTCAAAGTCCAAACCCAGTGCCTTCCCGTCTCCTCTACGGGCGAAACACTCCGAAGTACAAGCTATCAATGCCGACGATTTGCAGGTCGAGGCTGTCATCTCCAGGGAGTGTCCCGATTGCCATCGACCGGAAATGTTCTATCACACCAAGCAACTACGAAGCGCAGATGAAGGCACAACTGTCTTCTACAGATGCGAATGCGGTTTCAAGGATGTTCAGAACAATTGATTTGAGGCCAGTCAATGTCTGAAATGCACGCCGTCTAAAGCAAGCCCCCAGCTATGCAGCAGCCCCTGTTGGTATCGTGGCGTACTCCATTTCCCCGGTTTTTTCGTACACGGCCATATCGAGAGCAACAATGACGCTCTCGCGGACCACTTGCTCAGGATCATCCAAGAATCTCCTCAACATGTCCTCCACACCCGGTTCTTCTCCCAGACTGCCAAGCGCCTCTGCCGCCTCGTGTCGAACCATACTCTCTTCCTTTGTATTCTCCAGCACAGCTACTAAGGCGGGTATTGATGCCGGGTGTGAGAGTTGCCCGAACACGAAAGCCACCTCGTGTCGGAATAGTGCCGATGGATCTTTGAACCCGGAAGCGAGGGCATGAACGGCAGCTTCTGCCGTGGGGAGGTCGGGGGGGGACGCGAGGTCTCGCAGCGCGAACATGGCTCGATATCGCTGAAACATGGGTAATGAAGTGTCGAGGAGCGTCGCCTGTATGGTCGGGATTGAAGGGCTTCCTGAAGACAAAGGGAGAGGAGGCGCAGGGTCGATAGAGGCAAAGTCGCTTGGCTTCAGGCTTTCGCTTTGTCGGCTCTTAGAATGAGCCCAATTGATGCGGTCGACTGCAATGTCACATGTCTCTCTGACCACCACGGGCTCCCGCTCGTCGTCTTTCATTTGCTTCATGATTTGTAGACTTGACATGTCTCCCAGAGCTCCGAGCGCCTCGGCCGCCTCGTGTCTACACATTGCATCTTCTGACCTGTCTTCGAGGACCGCCCGAAGGAACGGGACTGCAGCTAGATTTCTGGTCTGTCCCAAACAATACGCCAGCTCGTGTTTCAAGAGCGCCGAGGGAGAAGCAAATGCAGCCGCAATTGCGTTTATTGCTGCTGTTGCTTGTGGTCCTGGGCTTTGTGAAGCGAGATGCTTGAGAGAGAAGAGGGCGCGAAAGCGTCGGGCAAGAGGGACATTCTCGGAGGTCAAATCTCGCCGCAGGACTGAAATGGTGGCGTCAATGTTCGAAGAAGGCTGCGGAGAGGTGGCCATGATTGATCTTGAGTCCTCTGGCCAATGCACGGATGTCAATAAACAAGGGCAAGAAGGTGGTGGAATTGCTGTTGAGAGGAGTTGTACGCAGGTGACAAGCACCCTTGGACTGATCACCCAAAATTTTCGCGGGGGGAAAATCCCTTATCGATAACGCCAGCCACTGCCAAGCCAGCCGTCGCTGCCCACCTAGTGCCTACTTAGCGAGCTAGAGATGCCTAAGCAGCAACTCCATGTTCTTGAATCTTCCAACCTTCTAGCTGCGCGCTTCTTTAACCATCTCGCCGTCTCTCCTTCTCCTTCTAACCTGTTCCTCTATCTCCAAACATCTCACAAGAACAAGATACTTACAACGACAACATCTCTCCACGATCCTCCTTCTCAACAACGCGATGGGTTCTGTCGTCATCCCTCACCTCGTGACCGGCTGGCACGTCGACCAGGCCATTCTCTCCGAAGACGAACGCCTTGTGGTCATCCGCTTCGGCCGTGACTGGGATCCTGACTGCATGCGACAAGACGAAGTCCTCTACAAAATCGCCGATCGAGTCAAGAACTTTGCTGTCATCTACGTCTGCGACCTCGATCAAGTCCCAGACTTTAAGCAGATGTACGAGCTCTACGACCCAGTGACTCTGATGTTCTTCTTCCGCAATAAACACATGATGTGTGACTTCGGCACGGGCAACAACAACAAGCTGAACTGGGTCCTCGAAGACAAGCAAGAGCTTATCGACATCATCGAAACGATCTACAAAGGCGCCAAAAAGGGCCGGGGTTTGGTGGTTTCGCCCAAGGACTACTCGACACGATACCGATACTAGGCAGCGACGGTGTTGTGATTTTGTCGGGCAAACAAGCTGAGCCTTATTTCGCGACGCTGCGAACACCGCTGTCAACGGCGGAATTTGCAGAAGCCAGGGAAGTTAGAAGATGACTTATGGTATTCGCTGCAGATGAACTGCCACATTGGCCACACGCCCAACGAAGGAGATGGTGCTTTTAGGAACTGGGAAATATGGAGTTGGAGCAGCTTTGGTTGGTCTCACTTGACATTCAATGAAACTCTTGCTGACACTACTTTGAATTCAAGTCTACCGTGACTATTGCTTCAGGAGTCCCATGATCTCCTAATTTGCTTCTCCAGGTACATAACCCTCTTCTGCCCCATTCGCGTTAGAGAAGGGCTATTGTCGCTCCCAATCCCAAGCGACAAACCCCTTCTCTGGATATCTCGCCGGCAGGTTATCCCAGCATGCCGAAGTCCAGCCCTTGCAACGACCCAGGAACACGTAGACGTTTTACCCACGCCAGGAAATATCCTCCCGTGACTCTACCAAGTATTGTGACTCGGTTGATGCCCAGTCGGCTTCCTACGTACAGAATACCCAAATCACTTTCCCTCTGTGTAAGGTCGACGTTGACCAGATCATGGGCCTAACAAGCATAGAAAAGAGTATCTGAATCGATCAATATGTTTATGTCCTTCAAATATACCCCGTACAGTTCTTCAATCAACGGCCATCTCACGTGCCCTGTCCACCGTGTACTTCCTGTCGATCTCTGCGGTGATTTAATTAGGGTGACCAAGTGGGGTGATATGGGAGAAGCGAAACCATCCACCACGCACCCTTGTAACGCCGCTTCGTTTCCATTCTCCATTCTCCATTCTCCATTGCGCCGCCGCCGTCAACGTCGATTGAGATCTGGCCACCTTTACCGCTTTTTCGTCCTTTTCAACTGCCCAACTCCACCAGTTCATGCATGGCTGGGGACGAATTTTTCCGGGTCGCCTGTTTCTCTGTCGTGTTCTACCTATCCGTCTCTCTTTGATTTTACGCACTCCAGCCCTTCCCACCATGAAATCTCGCCCGCTGCGGCCGTCGACTCCGTGCTGCCGGTAGGACTGCTTGGGAATGAAACTACCCCCTCCTCTTCCTCCTCCTCCTTTGGACTGCGCCGAGATCCTCTTCACTTGTACAGTAGTAGCAGTACCTTGACGACACGAGACTTGCTACCATTCCTCCCTGCGACAGCTCTATCCGGCTCAGGCCCCTCCTCCTCCCTTCGTTCCAACATGGCCTTCGGAACGATCGTCACGTTGGCCCTCCTCCCCGTCCTCATCTTCGCCCTGTGGCATCTCACCTCGACGATGCTCCCGCCCATGCCTGCCCTCCTCCGCAACAAGCGCATCATTCTGCTCATTGCCCACCCGGACGACGAGTCCATGTTCTTCTCCCCGGCTCTGCAGGCCCTCACGCACCCCTCTCTCCAAAACCACCTGAAGCTCCTGTGCATGAGCACGGGCGACAGCGACGGTCTGGGCGAGACGCGGAAACTGGAACTGGAAAAGGCGGCCATGACACTGGGGCTGAGGCGGAAGGAGGACGTCTTCGTGCTCAACGACGAGCGGTTCAGAGACGGCATGAAGGAGGACTGGAAGCCTGAGGACATCGCGCTCGTGCTGGCCAGTGCATTTGCGCCGCACCTGAACTCGCCGTGCGCGCCAGCGACCCCTGCGACCACCGCCGCATCGGATTCGGACAAGGAGAAGGACAAGGACCGACGCAAATCCAAAGCCACGCCATTGAAACATACCAAATCCTCCTCGCGGTCACCCATCGCGACCCCGCCAGCAGTTCCGGCGCAAAAGGAGGCGGAGGGGCCCCGCGCCACAATTGACGTGCTCATCACCTTCGACAAGGGCGGGATTTCAGGCCACCCCAACCACATCGCACTGTACCACGGGGCGGCCTTGTTCCTGCAGAAAATCATGAAGGGCCATTCGGGCTACGCGTGTCCGGTCACGTTGTACACGCTGCCCTCGATCAACATTGTCCGCAAATACTCGTTCGTCCTGGACGCCATCCCCACACTCCTGATGGGCATCTACGAGAGCATATTCGGCAACCTGTTCGGGATGACGAAGGAGAAAGGCAAGACCGCCACGGGGCCCAAAGGCGCCGCGGACCGGGTCATGTTCGTGAACGACATCTTCCGGTACTGGAAGGCACGCGAGGCCATGATCCACGGCCACAAATCCCAGATGGTCTGGTTTCGATGGGGCTGGATCGGGTTGGGCAGGTATATGGTGGTGAACGATCTACGGAGGGAGCGAGTCGTTGCCGGCTGAGAAGCAGAGGGAAAGGGGGAGATAGTTGGACACCAGACACCACCAGTAAATCGGGAGACAAATTTCATTCTTTGCTTCCTTCTGTTTTCTCTCGGTTTTTTTTTTCTCGGGACGGAGGAGGATGAAAAGCGGTCTTCAAAAACGAGGATTCATTCCCCGCAAGAGGAAGAAGGAGAGAATAGGAGTGAAAGGAAGGCAAGGAAGGGAAAGGAAAGGGATCAAATTGTCCCTCTTTTTTTTGGGTCTTCCTCAGGACATCCGCTCCCTTCTCTGGTGGCTTGTGGATGGAAGGGATGGATGGATGTGCAATCAATCAATAATGGGCGGGATATTTTTGACTCGACGCTTTCTTTCTTTCTTGCTTGTTCGCTTGTCCATGATATCCAATTTGGCCTTTTTTTTTGTGCTGCTTGTCGAAAGATTTAGAAGGGGAGCACATAAGGATCAAGGGCAAATTGTTGTCCTTTTCCTGAGTGGGAGAGAGACAGAGAGAGAGAGAGAGAGAGAGAGAGAGAGAGAGCCTACCGCGTTCCCGCAGAGGAAAGTTACCGCTCGATATGTACGCACATGATGATGGATGATGTTACACTTATTACACGTTCTGTACCACAGCCGGCCAATCCAAAAAAAACTTTGGCATCACTATCACTCCTGCTGTTTTTCCCCTTCTTCGTGTTCGTCTTCATCCCCCTCTTCGTCCCTTGTCGCCGATGCCTTTTTCCGACGTCCGCGCTCTGTCTTGCTATTCCCCGTAACCCCACCCCAGGGCTTCCAATCTTCGCTGTTATTGTCTGGGCCGGGTACCTGCGACCCCACGACCTGGCGATCGCTCAGCCGCTCTTGACGGACAGCCGCCTCGAACCGCAGGACCCAGTCACTCAGGCGCCCCGAAGAATCACTGCGGACTTCATCTTGAAATTTAGACAGAGCGTTCCCTGTCGGCCCGCGATGAATAAATCCTGCCGCATGGCGGAGACGAGTTGGTGAATAAGAGTCCAGCAGCATACGCATTGTGCCTGCCCTTGTTGTCTGGAGAGAGTTCGCGCTCTGGATGGCGGCGTGCCGGGACTCCCTTCCCCAGATACATACGTGACCTGTGGGAGTGTAGTAGGGGATGATATTAGGCAACCAATCTGTCCACTCTGCGATGATATTGGGAATGCCTCGGTATGGCCAGTCTGTGCCTTCGTCATGAGACGTCCAGTCTTTACGCTTGATCGTGTTGCGCACAGCGATAGAAATGAGTTGGATGTGACCTTCCAGCTGAAGGGAAGCAAGCACATATTTATGTTTCAAATCGAGGAACGCGGCGGAAGGCAAGCCATCATAGAAGATGTAATGATAATCGGCATCTTCAAGGAGGTGTCGAATTTGGTCGTACATTTCGGAGAGGCGGGTTCGTTCTTCTTCAAGCAGGACCATACACTGGCGGAGATCCTCGACAGCCTTGTAGAGTTTCCTGGCTTCAGATCTGGCTTTGACTCGAAATATCAGATCCTCGATTTTCGGTCGGACATTGTAAGGTTCGTTATGAAAGACGTGATAGACCGACTCGACTGCCCTGCGCGCAATGCGGCCTTCACCGTGGCCTCTCTCGATCCTAGCCTTGCTGTGTTGGATTGAGAGCACGAAAGTCCACTCCAGCAAATGGGTCCAGATATATTCCGGAATTTCCAGGTTATAGTTGCGCGAGATGTAGTCGAGGAGCATGCCTCCCAAGGCGACTTCATTGTTCGTCCCGAAAACATGGACGACGGTAAATAACAGCCGTGCAGAGGGCCGGAGGGGTGAGCCCTCTTCATAAAATGTGGGACTCTCCAGTTCCTCCTCGTCGTACTTGTCCAAGGCGTCCACATCTACGTTCCACACCGATTTGAGGACGCTCTTGACGCTGCCGAGGTCTCCTTCACGACCCATTGCAACCATGAGGTTGCAGAAGGTCGCTTCGTTGCCGTTCAAGCCCTGATTCACCAGTTCATTGAAGATACCCAGTGTTTCGAGCCTGATGGACTGTTCATTTTTTGGATTTTTGGGTGAGGCGACACCATGACCAAAGAAGCCGAGCGGTCTGGTCTCCAAAGACCGACGGAACATGTTATGCCGGACTATCCGTAATCGGTACCTTTCATGCCTGTTATATGCCTCGTTCCAGGTGAGGGCCTCCATGAAGTAGTTATAACAATCCAAATCAGGTTCAATGTCGTCTTCTCTCATGGCTTTGCGGAACACATTCCTAGCAAATGATCCCACTCCAGCTGCCGCCGTGCAGCGCAACAGATGGCGATAGACGTCGAGGCCGAGGGAGTGACCATGTCTTTGTCGTTGGGTGACCAGGGAATCGAGGATGTTGATAAATGTAGCCACACGCTCTTCCAAGGATCTGACTATTCGAAATTTCGGCTGGGTCTCCAGACTCGGCTTCAAGTAGCGAAATAGCTTTCCATAAGGCACAATGAAATGTTCGGGGTCCAATGCGCATATGGCACGTGCGAACGTCTGATCGTCTGCATTTTCGATGAAATCGTCTCCGATCTGAGGCGTCACCAGCCCCAGGAGTATCCGATCGGGGTTATTTTCTTCCAACAAAGCCTGCATTGACGCCAGTTTCCTAGCTCCATGAGTGGAATCAGGCGCCGACACCTCTTCGATCTCGTATTCTATCGGCGGAAGTTCATCGTGTTCGTCGAGCAGGGTCGATTGCTTCGGTAGTATGAAGGGAGAAAAGGAGACAGTCGTGGAGGATGAACGCTGGAAGCGGCGGGGGTAACGAGCATTGGGAAGACATAGTCCTGTGTCCCAATGCGCCGAAGAAGGGGTCTGTCGACGAAGAATGTGAAGAGTCAAGTGAGGAATCCGACTAGGCGAGGGTTGCGACAAGCCATTGAGTAACCTCACCAGAGGCAGCGAGCCATGCATCAATACACCGCAGACCGACGGCGACCCGAGCTGGAGCTGGAAAGAGTGGCAGCTAAGTCATTGAAAAAGTGTTCAAGTAGCTGGCGTTGAAGCGCAGTGAACGGATTTCGCATTCAGCAAGCAGCTCAAATTTCAAATGACGCCAAGTCTCACGACCCTTTCCAAACTAGTGGCCAGGGCTCTGCTATTCTTCGTCGACATTGAATTTATTTCACATACCACAGGCCCCAGCCCGTCATGGCCGACTCAACGGACGAAGCAGCCAATGCGGTGTCGGAACCGCTCGATCTCGTCCGGCTCTCCCTCGATGAGATTGTGTTTGTCCGGCTACGTGGAGATCGAGAGCTGAAAGGAAGACTACATGTAATGCTCGTCCGTGAGTCTGCAGCGAACTCGTGCTGACGCCTCCGGGGAACCATAGGCATATGATAGCCATTGCAACCTCGTGCTCGGAGATGTCGAGGAGACGATCTACACAGTTGAGGAGGAAGAGGACGGAGAGGAGACCGTCAAGGTCAGTTCTACCCAGCACAACAGCCACCCAGAGCACCGACTCACATTAGCAGACAACGAAGAAACAATCTGATATGCTGTTCGTCCGAGGTACATGCATCGTGAGGAACCTACTTAGCATTTGCTGTTGCTGACAAGCAAACAGGAGACTCGGTTGTGCTCATCTCTCCCCAGCCAGGTTCATGAGACTATGTGATCCACGTCAGTTTGGGTTCTTGATTCAGGCGAGCGAAAAGGCCATCCAAAGGCTTTCAGGGGTCCACCCCAAGCTCATGATGGAGCATACCAGAGCGATGGAAACCCAATTTGAAGACTGTTGGCCGGAACAGCGCCTCTATCAATGAGTCACTTGAAGCTGCAGTTCGTGGACCAGCGAGGGAAGCATTGGGAGAACTTGTACGTCGCGAGCTGCACTGTCCACTTGACGGTGCAAGAGTCACTTGTCTTGGATTGGTGACGGAGCAGAAGCATTTTTCAAGAGTCAATTTGCGAGACTCTGTGTTCGAGACAAAGGAGGCTGAAGCGCGTGGGGGCTAGCAACTGGGGAGGATGAGTCAGTGAATCGTGGTTCCCCGCTTGATACAGTTGTCACTGTCATGACTCCAACACTGCCTCCGTCTTATTTATGTACGTCTAACTAAGGGGCTCTCTGCATCTCTCTGTCTTGCATCTACTTCTTCTTCCCAGCCCTTCTGTCGACAGCATGGCTCAAGCCACGTCGTTAGCACTAGAGTAATACTGTGCTTTCTCTGCTGCTTGCAGCCTCACGATGATTCCCCGAATACCTCACTGATCGCGGGGTGAATCCGCTACTATTTTACTTTCCCCTCATCTCACAACCATCACAAGAAAGAGCATGGGCAGTCGCAATAAGCAGACACTGCAAGATCGCCGGAAAGGGGAGCTCGTGAGGGAGTATCAAGTCGTGAATGGGTTCAAGTTCTAACGCGGCGTCAGGCGCTCTCCGACTTCGCGGAGTATGTCGAACGACAACGAGCGAAGACGCGCATTCAGCACCCTGAATCCGTCGCTGCCTCGTCCGTCACCGAAGACCATGCCGAGCTCGATATCCTCGATCAACTAGACCTCTCGGACAGTCCCAGTCGGGCAAAACTAAAAGAGTGGCTGCTTGATACCTCGGAGGATGCAGCTGCAACGCTGCAGGATTTGTCGGGACTTGTACAGTCTCGGATCGACGAGGGCCATGGCGAGGCGCTCTTCGAGCTAGGTCTTGAGGATAACGGCGACTCAATGGGTTTCACCAAAGAGCAATGGGACCTTGCTATGAAACGCATCACTGAAGCGGCCGGTATGCTCAACGCTGCAGTCAATGTGCTGCTGACGTATAATGTTGGCGGCGATAAGGAGGCTCAATCAAACACGGCCAACGACCACTCAAGCCACGGCAAACTCCTCATTCGACAAACCCCGGCAACGGCCGAAGAAGTCATCGAGACGCGAATTGCCGTGGTTGGCAATGTCGATGCTGGCAAGTCGACCATGTTGGGTGTCCTGGTCAAGGGGAACTTGGACGATGGCCGGGGTAAGGCTCGAGTCAACCTGTTCCGCCACAAGCACGAGATTGAGTCTGGCCGTACCTCGTCCGTGGGGATGGAGATTATGGGCTTTGACACTCATGGTGAAGTTGTCACGTCCAGCGTGCCAGGTCGCAAACTTACCTGGGCGGAGATTGGAACTCGATCTGCGAAGGTCATCTCGTTTACTGATCTCGCTGGCCACGAGCGATATCTTCGGACTACTGTGTTTGGCCTCCTCTCTTCTGCACCGAACTACTGTCTGCTGATGGTGGCAGCCAACAACGGACTGATTGGTATGTCCAAGGAGCACCTCGGGTTAGCATTGGCCCTGAATGTCCCTGTCATGGTCGTCATCACCAAGATCGACATCTGCCCACCCCAGATTCTCGAACAGACAATCACGCAGCTCACGAGGATCCTCAAATCACCCGGAGCGAGGAAAATCCCCGTTTTCATCAAGACCTACGAAGAGACTGTCCTGACCGCCACACAATTTGTGTCCCAGCGGATTTGCCCCATATTTCAAGTCTCCAATGTCACCGGGGAATGCCTGGACCTTGTTCGCGCCTTTCTCAACATTCTTCCGCATCACGGTCATTACGATGACCAGGCGCCGTTCGAATTCCACATCAACGACACTTTCTCCGTCCCCTTTGTGGGCACAGTCGTGTCGGGAGTTGTGAAGTCGGGAATGATTCACGCCGGAGACAACGTCCTTGTTGGACCTGACTCGCTCGGACAATTCCAGACTACAAACATTCGATCCATTGAGCGGAAACGAATACAAGTGCCGGCTTGTAGCGCGGGCCAATCTGCCTCTCTGGCCCTGAGGCGGATCCGAAAGAAGGAAGTGCGCAAAGGTATGGTTGTGCTCCCGAAGCTCGAAGGCCCGCCGCCCAAGGTCTACCGAGAGTTTGTCGCCGAAGTCTTGATCCTCTCTCACCCTACGACGATACGACCAAAATACCAGGCCATGCTCCATGTCGGGCCGATCAGTCAGACCTGCGCCATCATCGAGATTGATCGTGAGTATATTCGGACAGGCGATCGAGCCACAGTCGCGTTCCGATTTGTCCAGAGGCCCGAATTCCTTGCCGTGGGGGACAAAATACTCTTCCGTGAGGGCAAGACCAAGGGTTTAGGGATTGTCAAGTCTCTGGAATACGAGGAAGGGTCACTGAACAAACAAGCGCAACAGAATGGGCAGGGATCGTCTAAAGGAGATTGGTCAAAGGACAAGTCCCAGGCGGAAGAGAAAGTCAGCGTGGTTTTAAAGGGTTCTGCATCGGCGGCGGCGGCGGGGTCACCAACGAGCGAAAAGAGGAGTAATTAGGTCGTGAGGAGCATTCGGCGTCTAGCAATGTGGGAATCCTCGGCATGTATTCTATGCGTGCTATCTATGCTGGAAGTTCTGACAGGTTGCCAGTACGTTTTCAAGCCAAAGTAAATTTCTTTTCTCTCTTAACAACTCTCTGCACAGCAACTTACATAGTTATACAACAGCACAGCACAGCACAGCAGGACTCTTCATAGACTTGACTCGTAGGTGTATTATACGACTGTTGAGCGAAATGACATGAATACTTTCGTTTCTTGTTTCCCGGCCTGACGACTCCTTGCCTTGGGGACTATTTAATATTGTTCTCAGAAGGCCGACTCTTCCGCCAATCAGCAAGCGGTATGTACTTCGGCGGCCAGACAGCTGCTTAGCGAGTTCCAGTGTGTACAGAGTACCGAGTAGTACGGGGTACATAGCTAGTGGCGCAGTCAGTCCATCACCAGCACTCTCCACTTTTCGAGCTGCGGCTCTCTTTATCGCTTTTCAAATGTCGCAGCAGAAGACAACAACAACAACACGACGACGACGTGTCGATCCTGGTCAGCGTGAAGAACAGACCGACAACGACGGAGGACTTGGGAACGTCAGGAGTAGTGGACAGAAGGATCAAAGAAGAAGAAGAAACAGGAGAAGAGACGGAGGCCAGGGAGAAGGAGAAGAAGAAGACGTCGTCGAGATGGATCAATCCCCCATCGTCCGCGCACTGCGGCGGCAGCCCGTCTGGATCGTGCTGGCCGTGTCGAGCGGAGCGTGTGCCGCCTTCAACGGCGTCTTTGCAAAGTTGTACGTTCTACGTCCGCGAGTAGTGCTGGGGCTCAAGTAGTTCCTCAGGACTTCATTCTCTGTTGGAGATCTTTTTGACCCTCCCCCCCATTTCGTCTCGCTCTTCCATGGCTGTCGTGCAAAGAACTAATTGATTAAACAGAACAACCACATCCCTAACATCCAACCTGTCCTCCTCGATCGCGACCTTCCTCTCGCTCTCGCCCAGCAACACCTTCGTCGACCTGGCCGTCCGGGGCACCTTTTTCCTGCTCAACCTCCTCTTCAACGCGCTGATGTGGGCGCTGTTCACGTCCGCCCTCACACGGGCCGAGTCGACCACGCGCGTCAGCATCATCAACGTCTCGGCGAACTTCGTCATCACGGCGGTGCTGGGTGCGCTAATATTTGGCGAAAAGCTGGGCGGGACATGGTGGCTGGGCGCGGGGATGTTGGCCGTGGGCAACGTCGTGATCGGACGGCGAGAAGAAGGCACCAAGCCTGGCGGGAGCGTTGGACTGGACGAGACGAGGGAGGAGGCGGAGCGGTTGATGGGCGGAGAATCAGAAAGAGGTGGCCGTGCCGAAGTGGACCTGGTAGAGTTAGACGACAATCCCGAGGGACTGTCGACGAGGCAGGGAGAGGCGCAGAGTAGGTTGAGGAAGGGAGAAGAGGTGGACGATCCGATCTGAGTCTAGCGAATGTGTCTGTCATCGTTCATCCTTTCCTACCACTTCGCCGCACACCGGGAGGTTGTGCTGGAAAATCTTGAAGGAAGCCGGACTTCCACGGACACTCGAAACAACATGGCAATGGTTTCCATGGAGGTGGCCCGTCGACTGCGCGACCTGGTATGTCAACTGTCATCGGCGGGAGCCGCCGAGAAGAGTATCGCGATGGAAACATCGCCGAAGACCTACAGTACAGTAGGGGTGTTGTGCTCGTCCTGTTCTCCACGGAAGGACGTATTCCGTGGTGCTTGAGGCGGCCGGCCCCGAACAAAGAGAAGGCATTATTCTCTGCCTTCATTCTCCTGCCTTCATCACGCATGGCACAGAAGCGGCTTTGGGAACGGGACAGCAGATGTATACCAGGTAGTTCTCTCGCGCACCCTTCGGGTTGGTCAGGAGACCGAGCAAGCATTGCGGAGCGTCACTTTCCGTTGTCAGGCTATTGGTCACATCCCGGAGTGGTATAAAGTGTTCAATTGCCGTCCTCACGCCACGAGGTGTACTCCCGCCTTTGCTGCAAAAATGCCATCCTTTAGTCGTCAGAGTCAATACGGATGTTAGCAACACCACCTCCCCTCCCTACAAGGAACTCTCTGAACCCACCTCACGAGAGACGTCCTTCGTCCCAGAGCTGGGATCCCGCTGAGTTCATTTTGTGGCTCCTGACTGTCCCTTGTGACGATGCTGAGTGCGGAATACTTTGGTACTTTTGAACCAGTGGGAGAGTCAATTCTGATTTTGATCACTTTACGCCGCCAGAAGGAATCGGAAACACCCCGCTCGACACCTGTTAGTCGTAGTTTGTATTCCGCCATGTACAATGCTGTGAGATTTGCTGCCGGAATGTGTTAGGAGACAGCCTGAATGATCATTCAAGTGCCACGCTCGATTCTCGAATAACTTCGATTCTCTGACATCGTGCCAGAAGTGGATCCATATGTATCAGTATCATTATTACGAGTACCAATGTGTTGGTTGGATACAAAGAAAGACGAATATGGATGTCATTGTGTCACCTCTGACTGCAGTATTCTTGGAGCCTCATGGCGAGCGGAATGCCAAAGTTGTCGTCGTTCCGCATCTGGTCCTTTGCAAATGCTTGGGCTATCAAAGACGACCGGTAAGTAGAATCTTTTGGCGGCATTTCTCACGACATGGAACGCCAGGGCAGTGGAACCAGGAGCATTTAAAGCGCCGATATTGTGCATCGTGTTTCATCTTCGTCTGAAGACGTTAGAAGTTTCTTCGTCAACCATTGTTCGTGCACATAAGCGCCAACTGGTGCCGGCATATGCTGTTCGAGTAGTCCATGTGACTGGTCTCCTGACGGAGCTGGACTACCGAGACATGAGCTGGGAATGTCCAAAACAGGAGACGTTCTTGAACACTAAGAAAGGTTTTTCGGAACCTCTTTAAACCTCAGCTAGTTAGGGTGAAAAAACCATAGCTCTGTCGGGGTTGACCGATATACCTACTGTACATGCAGACCTGCGTCCAACAAGCGAGATATCCGTGCTTGCAAGCGTGGTAAAGTGGAGAGATCGGGGGAGTCATCTTCAGCCTTGTATCTCGATCGAGTGGGACAGGTGGAGTGATGCAGCAGGGATAATAACAAGGGAACTTGCGTCCGCGAACATTGTGTACCTACAAGGTACGTGGTAGCCAGGAATCCGTGTCTGCCGATACGGGTAGAGCTGAGCAAGGAAAGAAGAACTATCTCCAAAAACCAGACTGGCCTCAATCGTTACGTTGATGTCGTGTCAAGCTGCAACTGAGGCTGGGCGTTGACCCCAGAGTAATAGGGGAGGGACGGGTTACTCTCGGAAACCGCATAATAGACCACGAAATGCTTGTAGAGCATGTTCTGATTGTGGTAGCGGCATTAAGAAAAAGCTCCCCTACGCTGTAACATCTAGGGTAATGTGCTGATTGAGATGATTGAAAGGTTCTGGAAACCGAAGCGAAGGAAGGCTTAGCCGGCAGAGGAAAATCCTTGACCCGAGCGACTTTATTCTGTACCTGTTCCGTACGGTGGAATGCCAGGATGAGCGTCAATGGCGCAAAAGAGAGCTTCGGATAGGCCGGCGGTTGCCCACGTCTCAGGGGGTGATTGGACTCTCTCCTGGCCCGACAATCTTGCACCGTCACCACCGTCATTGGCGTTTGCTTTGCTCAGCGTGCAGTGCCCAGTGGAACATCGGTTTCGAGGTGCATTATTCGGTAACACCAGCCCTTCTCGGACGTACAAGGGACATGGACGAGGGAAGCCAATAATTCTTTCCGAGCTCTTGGGTGCGGTAACAGCGAAAGTCCCTCTTATGTGCGTCGGGGTGGTCCGTAGGGCTCACCGAGTGCATGCCTGCATTGATTCTTAGACAGGAGGAGATGAAGTCGGCTGTTAAGGCGCATTGGATGTGGGGTAGCTGTGTCTGGCCGCTGAGACACCCATAGTATCAGGCGTCAAAAGCCTAGAAGTATGGGTGTTTAGGGGGCCATCTCTTTAGTAACCTGAGGTATTCTCAAACCATCATCTCCGCAGTTACCTCCTGTCTGGGCTCTGCTTTCCGGTCAATTAGTGGTCGGCAGCTCCAGGCACGGATGGCACAAATCGAGGTCCAAAGATGCAGGACTGCCGCTGATCTGCAAGGGCCGGACGCTTCGTAAAGCAGTTTTTGCATCGGCCGAAATAGCCCATGCGACGCGGGAAGGGTCCAAGAAGGAGGGACAGGACAAACGTCCAAGCGGATTGGGTAACACGAGGCGTGGATGGAGATGATTCGTGCACCGGTCGAGTGGTGGGATGATGGAGGGACAGGCGAGAAGGTAGCGATTCCTTCCACATCCATCATGGGACGAGGGGCGCAGGGGATGCAGCTCGCGTCTTGGTGTTTTGGTGGTAGGTGACTAGCTTCCAGGCCAAGTCTGGGGAGGGGGCGGTGGAAGGCAGGACCACGAGGGCAATGAGGCATGAGAGGGCAGGGAGGAGGCAGGGCGAAGGCGATTCGTGCAGAAAGCGCTCGTCCCTAGGCTGGAAGAGATTAGCGGGACTGGCATATTGTGGGCGAGAGCGGGTCAGGATCGAAACAACACACCCTCCAGGACGGGTGTGGTCGGTCCCTGTGCTCAGAATTACGCCTGCACAACACGGCCAGACTGAGGGCTGCGTGCAGAGCGTTGGACTATTCCGAGCCTGTGGAGTCGGGCAGAGGCAAATTTCATGGCTGTCCCCGGCAAATTGAAGCCCTCGTCGTGGACTAGGGCGCATTAGTAGGAGACGCCTTGACGTTTTAGCAGCGAATGACAGGCGTCGCTCCCGGCACCACTGCCTAAGACAAAGCGGGTCTTGTGTCCAAGTTTGTCCTGCACTTTCAACTAGCCCTTGGATGGTGCTGGTCGCCCTGATATTTCCCGCCCTCGCCGGCTTCCTGCGCTGGGTCCCTCGCACCCTCTGGCCTCTCAGCTCTCCCGATTTCTGCCTTTTCCCTCGCCTTCTTGCCTTCCCTCCACCGCCTGTTTGGCCAGCCAGTTCGCAAATCGACCATACATCACCATCCCACCGCTGCTTTCCATCTCACTTACACTGCCATTATCTACTACCTGCCACCCACTCTCGTCCTCCCTTCAGCCTTTTCCTCTCACGCCTTGTTCCTACTTCTCTCCTCATTGACGCCTGTTCCAAACATTCTTGCCAACCAAGATCTGTCCAGCATAGACCCTCTGCGCTTGTTCCAAGAGGCTCCTTCTTGCATCAGCTGACACCTATTGTTTTTTTGCCACTGTTTTCCCAGCTGGCCTCCCTCTCGACACTACAAACTGCACCGCTGCGTTCCCTTGCTAGACCTCTCCTGTGTCCTTCCCGGTCATCCTCAGCTGCAAATCGGATCCAACTACAACATGTCGACCTACTACTACACTGCCCATCAACAACATCAAGCCACCAATCCGCAGCCGATGCCCCAGACTCATAGCCACCATGGCCGGTCTCGACGTGCACCTCGATTGTCGGCGGCCCAAAACTCCCATCGGCAGTTCCGAGCGCCCAAAGTAGTCAAGGAGATTGTTGTCACCGAGCCTCCAAGCATGAGTGCATACCGGGCGCGGTTTGAGGCAGGCCGGTCGTTCGACCTGGACGACGATCTGGAGTTCTGCCCAAACCTCTTGACATTCGATGAGGTTTGTGGCGAGCCTCTCTCCACAACTTCATCTCTTACTGACTTCTTCGCAAAGCGTCAGTCGGTAACGTCAGGGTCGTCGGATCGTTCATCGTTGTCGAGTGGCTCGCCGGATTCATCTCCTCTCCAATCCCAGATTCAACCCCAACAAATAACACCCGCCCTGTCCATCTCCTCTGCCGTCACGTCCGCGTACATGTCCCCGCCGAGCTTCGCCGGCAACCACAACAACCTCAAGATCCACCAGCCGTCGGCGATCCGTTCTCGCAACAACGCCATCCCGATTGTGAATCCCTCCACAGGCAACCGCATTGCGAGCCCACCGTCATCCATCTCGCCAGGTATGATGCAGCAAACAACTGCCGCCCGCCGGTGGTAAGAGGGTCTCTGTCCTTGGGAGTGCTCTACCTCCGTGCTAGTCGTCATTGTGTCGCTGTATTCGTTCTGGTCGGTGTTATGATGTGTCGCTTGCCTTTGTGCTTTCCCGTGCCTGTCAACCCCTCTCCTCACCCCTACCTCGACTTCTCACCCACACCTTTGATTTGTACATATGTATCTCACGACGAGGAAAATTTTGTTCATTTTTCAACGAGCGGAAAGGCATAGCGATTCGACGAAGTTGACATCATGATACCAGATATTTGTGGAAGACAGGATCAACCAGGAGTACGGTGGCACAGCGATTTCAAAAAGACGAACTTGATTTTAGCATGGAGTTTCCCGAGCATATCCAAAGGTCAAGAGGATCATGATAGACAACGATCATCATCATATTGGCGGTTTTCATTTATATGTGGATTTACGGGAGTTTGCACATTCGGCATCTTGGGGGGAGGAAATGACAGATGAGAAAACATAAGAGATACCAGATGGGTTGATGTGGGTTTTCTGGTTGGGTATGTTGGTTCCAGCAAGGATGGAACAAATGCACATCTCACGGTTGACGGCTGGCTTAAAACGATATCGGACTTTTCATGGGCCACATTCTTGTCCAGCACAACGGTCGGTGGGGATAGCCGCCGTTATGAGATGTATTTCTAGTTAATAGAAAGCCGCAAAAATCACGAGTATTGATTTCTATTCAGACATGATCGATTACATCGTCAGCCTCCTGTTCTGTTTTGAGACGTGTAGCCCTCGTACTGCATCGTCCGTCTTCATACACTGTGGGCTACCCACGTACTCCGTACCTGGATTGTAGAAGCTCATGCATAGCCTCGATCTTGTTTCCACAGTTCAGCTCTGCAAGGTACCAAACGTATGTTGACTCATCTCTGCCATTCGGTGTACGTTCACCGGTGGCAGTGCAGATAAGTCCTCTGTGAGTACAAACCGAACAATTGGTCAGATTCAACATGGGATTGGTAGGCGGCCGTCTAGGTGGGGTGGGAGATGTGGCTTGTGTACACGTTGTATTCCAGAACGCTGAACGAGATACCTCTAGCCCTGCTGTCCCGTCTGGCCGGTATAAGGTCAAGTCACTGCACAGTCGGGGGTGGTTTTCGGCGGGTGATATACCTTGGACCTGGTGACAGGTGCTTACAGTGCAGGCCTGAGAAGTACGTCGAATTCCATCTTGGCATTGGGCATTCTTCGTGGAAGACCAAGACCGAGCCCACCGCTTTTTGCTCTGTAGAAACAGCAACGACTTCTCTGAAAACGAGACATCGGTGCACCATGGCTCTATTCACGCGGAATGTCCTGCTGTGTCTCTTTCTGGGCTTGATACTGTTCAGCCTTCAAGCCCATGCATTTGGTGCTGGCAGTGCGTGGCCACCTCGAGATATTTGCTAGGCAAACCCCTCACTGACATTGAGAATAGATATTGCCTCTATCTCTGCTGTAGAGGGCAAGAACTGGCGCCATGGGGACATTGAAGATGTCTTGAAGACCGTGGCGTGTATCCGTCACCACAAATGGAATTCGATGATGATCAAACGTGTCTACTTTGGGTATGTCTATCCCCCATCTGGCGCAATTCATACAGGGCTAACCATCCGTTTGTAGTAACTGGCTTCGAGACTACTCTCAGGCTATGGATACCGGTGCTCTGAAGAAAGCACAGCCGGAAACCATTCGCATTTTGGTCTGGCTGCTATCATTCCTCGGATTCGGTTATGCTACAGCGGAGTTCGAGGTTACTTCGGAACGCTTGGGGGTATATCGACCTGAAGAGCACATCGAGTGTGTTGTTTCCTTTTATTGCTGTCGACACCAAATGCTAACAAGATCGCCAGCAATCCCAAGGACTACAATGACAACGAGGACGCTCGAAAGTACGATGTCCGCCTCCGGGGACCCGTGCGAGACATTGAACTACAAATCGACATGGAGACTGGAATGAAGAACTATATTGCCAATGGGAAAGGTGACTGGGCTACCAGCGCTGCTTTCGTCAAATACAGCTTTGAACGCAGCATCCACCACGGCCGTCTTTATACCAATGGCAACGGGTTCTTTAAAGGGAAAGACGAAGATCTCGCCGAGGCTCTGAGATGTCTCGGACAAGGCTTACACACTCTAGAAGACTTTGGTGCCCACACAAACTACGTTGAGCTTACGCTTCGAGAAATGGGCTTTCACAATGTGTTCCCTCACGTTGGAACCGCCACCGCCATAAATCTGCATGGAAAGCATGTCTTCCCCCTTATCACCGGCACTTTCGGGATGGTTGACTTCTATCACTCGGTCCTTGGAGAGGCTACCGACCATTTCACCCAGAGTGAAGTCAACGAGATGGACAATGCTCTCGGCACTGCCCAGCAAGCGGCGCAGTCATCAAACCCCTTGATGACCCTTGTCAAACTTCTTTCTAAGGTCCCAGGAACCAAAGGTCTCTGCGATGAGGCCGAACAGCTGCAAGCAAGCGCTCAAGCCCAAGGACGTGCCAATCAACAAGAAGGCTATGGGGGCCATGGGGGATACCGTGGAGTAGATAACTATCGAGAGTCTTCAAGGGGAATTGATGACTGGGATAGTAGCCGTGCATCTCATCCAAACTATCCATCGCAGCCTCAGGCATATGATGCAAATCCTTGGAATCAACAACCCCAGTCTGGTTATCAGCCGCATTGGGAGCAGAATCCGCCTCCGTACCAACAGCAGCACCAATGGCATGATCAAGGCGTGTCGCAGAGCTATGACCATCCACCGCCTCCCCAACATCAGTCTCAGTGGCACGATCAAGGAGCAACACAAAACTATAGCACACATGACCAATACGGGGGTGCACATCAGGGTTGGCAGCAGCCACCGATGGAGCCGTGGCAACAGCAAGCGCAACGTCCGGGTGCTGGTACTTCACAGCCTCTGCAGTCAGCTATTCCCGCACAAGAGCCACCTCAACCATCACAATCTGGTGCGCCCGCTTCAAGCGCTCTCGAGGGGCTTCCAAGCTTTGACCCTGCGAAGACGGTCGCTCAGATCTATCCGATCCTGGCATTCCGCGACAAAGTTGTCCGGACAGTCAGCAGTATCATTGAAAAGATTCCGGGTCTAGAGGCGCTTGTCGACCGTATTACCGAGACTCTAACAGTATTTATCCTTTCGCTTTTGGCACCTTTTGTCCGACCGCTTCTCAACGCACTCTCGAAGGCTCTCCAATCGGGAAGTGAGGGCGTCCTGAGTTCATCTGCAAAGCATCAATTCGAAGTCTGGACGGATCCACACTCGACTGATCCTACCCATTCGATGCTCAGCAAGGACCACTTCAGCAACTTACTGAATGAACCAGCTGGCAATGTGGCGGCCGAGATTCTCAAATTCATTGCTCCCCGCGTTCTATATGCCTGGGAACACCCTGATGTCCCAGTGCAGCAGGTCCTGCACGATGTCGAGATAATATTCCATCATCCCGCCATCCGAAATGAAGGGCTAGAGGTCCACCGGAATATGTTCGCTGCCGTGAAGAGATGGGTGGATGGCTTGCCTGACAGAGGACGTAGCCTCGAGGCGGTTTTGAGTTCGGACGCGGTGCGAGCAGGCAAAAATCACAAAGCCGGCGTCAATCCGCATACTCAGCATTCTGCTCCAAACACAAGCGGATCGCATCAAGCGAGTTCTGGCACACTGGGAGGACTTGCGAGTTTCATTCCAGGCCAGCAGCACCAGGGCGGTGGCGGAGCTCATCAGTCCTCGTCAAGTTCGGGAGCATTTGGTGGACTGGCGAATCTCATCCCTGGAGGACACCAGAGTGGCGGCCAGGGGAGCAATCCACTTGGAATGGTAGGTGACGTTCTCGGAAACTTCACGGGCCATAAACCAGCGCAACAACACCACGGGGGAGGTGGCGGTCTGAGCAATATGCTGAGCATGGCCGACAAGTTGCCCATTCCAGGCTCATTCAGCAAATACACGAAGCTGATGGGTAGCTTCCCTGGAAGTGGGGCACGAGGCCTGGATGAACAGGATATTGGACCAAGTGGCAGTGACCTAGGGGGCTCGACAGAGCTGCGTGAAGCTGCGTTGTTGGCAGATCGCTCTGCCGCGGGTGATAGATCGCCCAGTCCCATGCCCATGCAGCCACCTGCTGGATATGAGCAATACGGTCGACAAGACGTCGGTGGTTATGGATATGGTCAAGAAGGACAAGACTATCAATACCAGACTTCCTACCAGGATCCTTACCAGAGCCAGGGGCAGTATTATGGTGGTGGTGGTGGTGGCGGCGGCGGCGAGAGTGCGGGCTATTATGGAGGACATTGACAGAAGGTCGCGATCTAGAGGCCACGAGAGGAATGTGTAGGCAATACACTGTGTTACGAGTGACGCTCACATCTCAAGAAGAGTGTCCGAGTCATAAGATTATCAATGAATTTGTTGACGCCGCTCAGAAGAAGGAAGGATGCAAGAGTTACAACTTATCAAATCCGCCGTGTCTCCCTCGACCACCAGCAAATCGAGCAGCCCCTTGGATGCTCTCCGACTGCACAACCTTGACGCCGTGGTCATACTCATTTTTCATCGCATCTTCAAAGTTCTGGGCATTGTATGCCGCATAGTAGCAAGAATTCCGGTCAGCGTTCATGCACGCGTTGGGGAACCTCAGCAGCAACTCGGCGATTTTGGTGGCTTCTTCAAGCGCCTTACCCTTGGGAACAACTCGATTCGCAAGACCCATAGATAGAGCTTCCTGTGCCAAAACTGGTCGCCCCGTGAGAATCATATCTAGTGCCCGTCCCAAGCCAACGATAGCTTGCAGGCGGACTGTTCCACCATCGATCAGGGGCACGCCCCAGCGACGACAGTAGACGCCAAATACAGCGTCCTCCTCGACCACCCGCATGTCAGCCAAAAGGCTCAGTTCGAGGCCACCGGCGACAGCGTGACCCGCCACTGCGGCAATCACGGGCTTCCTAACCTGCAACCTCGACGGACCCATGGGACCGCAGTTGCGATCTTGGACCGGTTGCAGATGATCTCTATCCAGCGGGTCTAGAGTAGCTGGATCTTGCTTGGATTGCGCCGTCAGGTCGACCAGGTCTGCGCCAGCACAAAAAGCTCCCTCGGAACCGGTCAGGACAGCGACCTTTTGGGATGTGTCTTCCTCGAAATCAATAAAGGCAGAGTACAGGGCCCGGGCGGTGGGCGGGTTGACTGCATTGCGGCGATGGGGTCGTGTGATTGTGATTGTCGTGATCCCAGACGGGGTTTTCGAGACGGCGATTGGCGATTCGCTCATGGCTGCTGTCCTACCGAGAGGTGGTATAAAGAAGAAACAGCAGGGGAGGGAACAAGGCAATTGGCTTTTCTAGGCGAGCTGAATGCTTGACGAGGCGATGCTCGGGTACTGTTACTGAGTAGCTTTGCGAGGTGCAGGATGCATGAGGAGAAGTTCCGAGGCTCACAAGGCTGCGGCACAACCTGCCACGTGATTGACCGACTCACTTCTTGATTCTCGTACTCGGTACCTCACCTAATCTTAAACCCTATCAAGGGTAGAGTGGTACATGGGAATTGTGAGACTTGGCTTGACAGGTCTTGCACAGACGTTTCATACCTTCTCCAGCTGATGAATTGCAGGTAGCGCAGTAATGTAAATAGAGGAGCTCTGTACGGCGTCTCGCCTGTCTTTGTCGCTTGTCGCTACCAAGTGCTGAATCGGTCACCACTCGATCAAATGAGCTCTCCACTGCGCCACCAGTGTGGTTGCGTTGCTGCAGTCGGATGGCCAGGTTTGAAACCTGATGGGCAGCAAACATGGCTGTTTGCCTATTTGCCATAGTACAACCGATGTGGGCACCTGGGCGCCAAAACCGGGCCGCCTAGACTAGGGGGGGTCTAGGCATTGAACCGCTGCTTGGACACGGGCGGTAGTACCGGGACTGATTGGCTCTCAGGGCCCGTTGCCCCCTAGGAGCCTCTGTGCGTTTGGCGGTGCGCCAGCCACGACGTCACTGCGTGTTTGGAGGCATGCGATCCTCACACTGGCATATCTCGATCTTGCGTTCCTTGCCTCTGATCGTCAGAACACGTACTCTCCAAGCCCTTTATCCAACTTTTTGATCTCTTGCTTTCCTTTGTGTTGATCTTGTCTTCATTCTCCATTTCTTACAACGACCTTCATTAACGCCCTGCCTGTCGCTTTGTCTCTGCAACTTATTTCGAGTCCCTGAAAGCACGGTCTCTTTCACCCGTCTTGTCACTGACGTCCCCCTCGGTTTACACCTTCTTTGATCTCAAACGAATACGCGGGTCGTCACGAGAGAAAATAGTCATGCCACGACCGATCCTCTGATCACCAACGTTTAACGATACACTACTTCTCGCCGTGGAAGAGTTGAAGATTTCCGCAGTAATACCAAAATGTCGTTGAACTCTACCCTCAATCTCGGTGGGAATACCACCGCAGCAGAACAAAAAAATGGCCAAAGCGCTGGTCAATTCGCGGCCTCCTTCGTCACTGCCATAGCAGTGTTCGGGATCCAGATCGGATTGTTTCTGCTCATCAAGGACCGCTTCGCTAGAATATACCAACCGCGGACATACCTTGTCCCAGAAAGAGAAAGAACTAATCCATCACCTCCAGGCTGGTGGAAGTGGATAAAGCCCGTGACGAGCACATCCAACTCTGAATTCGTCCAGAAGTGTGGCCTGGACGCCTACTTCTTCCTCAGATATCTGCGGACGTTGCTCAAGATATTTGTCCCCGCCGCCTTGGTCATCTTGCCAATTCTCATCCCTCTCAATCTGATCGACGGTCGTGGGGCCCGATTTGCACTCGGCAAAAACGAGAACGCAAGTAATGTCACGGGCCTAGACCAGCTTGCCTGGGGAAACGTCGCTCCTGATCACACAGGACGATACTGGGCTCACTGGCTGCTGGCTTTGGCGCTGATTGTCTGGATATGTTATGTATCTTTCGACGAACTCCGCAACTACATCCGGATGCGACAGGCTTACCTGACGTCTCCCCAACATCGTCTGCGTGCCTCTGCTACCACTGTCCTGGTGAGCTCGATCCCTCAGAAGTGGTGCAATGTCGAGGCTCTCGATGGCCTCTACGACGTTTTCCCCGGCGGGCTTAGAAACATTTGGATCAACAGGAACTTCGATGAGCTCAGTGACAAGATCAAACGGCGCGATAAGCTCGCCCAAACCCTCGAAGCAGCCGAGACCGAGCTCATCAAGAAATGCTTCAAAAAGCACGAGGAGAACGTGGCCAAAGCAGAGAAGGAGGCTGGCAAAAAGATCACCAAAGAGGAAAAGAAGCTGCGAGCAACCATTAGAAATGAAGCCGGTGATCGAGCAGCTCATGGTCACGGCACCACAACTGGAAATCCTCATCAGGTCGAGCATAATCTTCACGATGTCATTCATGGCCATGAAACTGGTTCTCTCTCGGAGTCGAGCGATGATGAGGAAGAAATTCCCGAACCTCAACGTGACAGATTCAATATCCCCATAATTGGCGGGGGTATATCTGCGGTCACTCGAGGCTTGGACAAGGTTGGCAAAGGGATCATGGGAGGTATCCATGGAGTCAACAAAGGAGTCAACGGCACCCTCGACACCACCAATGGCTTCGTGGCGACTGATGCTGACCGAAAGGAAATGGGCCGAAGCTCTCACGACGACGACGATGATGAAGGAGCTAGTCCAGCGACACCCAAGAACCACAAGAAATTTGGACAGCCGCGAGCAACAGGTGCTAGAGATGCCTCTGCAAAGAATGAGAGCTCAGTTGGTGACCGTGGAAGGTCAATGGAGAAGTCGCCCTATGAACGACCACAAAGCCCAATCTCTCAAGGTAGTACAATGGGGGGTGAAAAGGCTCGACCGGAGAAGCAACTGTCTAGATTTGGCAAGTTGAAAAGGGCCATCGGTCTGGGCTCGGACGAAAAAGAACCTGTCGACTACCCGTCTGCATTCGAATGGAACTTTGAGCACGACCCTGACGATGCAGTGTGGCGGCGTTATTTGAGTGAGAAAGATCGTGACACCATGAGACTACCAATATTCGGCTGGCAATGGATGCCATCGCTGCCTCTGTTGGGCGAAAAAGTTGACACAATTCGATACTGCCGGAAGGAGGTCGCTCGGCTCAATGTCGAGATAGAGGATGATCAAGCTCATCCTGAACGGTTTCCTCTGATGAATTCCGCCTTCGTCCAGTTCAATCACCAGGTGGCGGCACACATGGCGTGTCAAGCGGTCAGTCACCATCTACCCAAGCAGATGGCTCCACGCTTGGTCGAGATCGATCCCAACGATGTTATTTGGGACAACATGTCCATTCCATGGTGGTCAGCATATATCAGGACAGGTGGGGTCGTCGCCATTGTGGTTGGTATGATCATCCTCTGGGCCATCCCCATCGCCTTTACGTCGGCTCTTTCACAGCTCGATACTGCTGCCAAGACGTGGACCTGGCTGCATTGGGTTCTCAAAATCCCAGCCTGGATCCGGAGTGTCCTTCAGGGTGTGTTGCCAGCGACTTTACTTGGTCTCCTGCTGTTCCTGCTCCCTCTAATCCTCCGTTTCTTGGTACGATGTCAAGGCACACCGTCTGGGATGCTGGTGGAGCTCTCGGTGCAACGCTACTACTTTTGCTTCCTCTTTGTCCAGCTGTTCTTGGTCGTCTCGATTGCTTCAGCCTTGACCCAGTTCTTTGCGCTGTTCACAAGCGTAGACGGCTGGACCAACGTCCCCAGTCTTCTCGGCACCAACATCCCCAAGGCCAGCAACTATTTCTTCTCATATATGCTCCTGCAAGCCTTGTCGGTGAGCGCTGGAGCACTGCTCCAGGTTGGGTCACTCATTGGATGGTTCATCCTTGCTCCTCTATTTGACAATACAGCCCGGGCCAAATTCACACGACAGACCCAGTTGCAAAACATTCAATGGGGAACATTCTTCCCCGTGTACACGAATCTGGCTTGCATCGGCTTGATCTATTCCGTTATCTCGCCTCTGATCCTTCTTTTCAACATCGTCACATTTGCGCTATTTTGGTTTGTCTATCGGTACAATACTCTGTATGTCAACCGCTTTACTCGCGACACCGGAGGCCTCTTGTATCCCAACGCCATCAACTTCACCTTCGTGGGTGTCTATGTAATGGAGGTTGCTCTGATAGGCATGTTCTTCTTGGTCAGAGATCAACACGGGAATGTCTCGTGTACGGGCCAAGCAATCGGGATGATTATCATTCTCATCCTCACCGCCGGCTATCAATTGCTGCTGAACAATGCTTTCAGTCCGTTGTTCCGATATCTTCCAATCACTCTCGAAGACGACGCGGTCCGGCGAGACGAGGAGTTTGCCCGAGCAATGCAAAGGAAACACGGACTCATTGAGGACGAGAATGAAAACGAGGCTCTTGAAGACCAGCTGGAGCGTAACGAGCGACAGTCCATGGAAGAAGACCGCCAACAACAAGAAATCGAACTACAAGATATTGAGAGGGACAGACAGGACAGGCTCGGGGGGCAAAAGTCTCAAAAGTTACCCGATCTTGAACCATACGAGTTTCAGAACCCAGAGGTTGCCATGAATTTGGACCAAGAAAGCAGGGGCGTTCGAATGATGAAGGCAGCAGCCCAGAAGACGGCCGATCGGACCAAAGGCCTTGTGCCACGGACCATTTCTCAAAAGGGCTACCGCAAGTCCTGGGCCGACAGGGACAACACCAGGAACCGACGAGCATCCAACTTTGGCGAATGGGAGAGTCCCTCACAAAGTAGAAACCTGACACCAGGGGCGTCAAAGCATCAGAAACACCATCTGCAACAGCCCAAGGATGTCTTTGACAAGCTCAACAACTTCAACCCGGTAACGGGTAACGAAAAAGATGTGGAAGCACAACGCGCGGCTCGGAACCAACTTGCGGACGCTCTCTTTGGCGGAGTCAATGACGAATTGGAGGACCTGACACCGGAGGAGCGCGATAAGCTCGTGCAGAGGGCATTCCAACACAGTGCGCTCCGAGCCCGAAGGCCGGTCATTTGGATCCCTCGGGACGAACTCGGCGTTAGTGACGACGAGGTGCACCGGATGGGCCGCTTCAGCAGTCATCTCTGGGTCAGCAATGTCCGGCAGGGCCTCGATTCCAAAGGCCGCTGTGTTTACAGTGGTGCTCCACCCGATTTCAGCGAAGTGGATGTGATACAGCTCTAAATGCTTTGCATGAGAGCAATATAATGAATGAAGGGAGGGGGGCGAATTGATGAAAACAAATCGCCAGTCATAGCGCGGCGTTTTTTTGCATTCACGTCCGGCGAGTCGATGTGTATACACATCACGAAAGCAACTTGAGCGAAAGAAGTTTAATGAGTACTTACTCTCTCCCCGGTGGTAGAACCACTGCCTGGTTCTCCCACGGCGGAGGTGATGATGATGTATGTCCATAGAGCTCCTGAGGCGATACCAAGTCGAATCCTCTGTAACGATAGTGTGCCGGTAGATCGCCAATGATTTATTTGATTAGCTTTTGGGGTTTATTGGATTTTTGTTCCTCTATAGAATACTCTACAGGACTCGTACTACTGAGTACAGTTCAGCCTCAGGAACGAAATGATATTTGTCCCGCTAAAAAAACCCTCACCCATGAATGAATGATGTTCATTCATCTCTGATCCCTCATCACCAAAGGCCCGTCCGTAACCTTTCGTGCGTGGTTCCCCCCCCTTTTTTTTGTTTTCACGATCCCACCGACGTCAGGACGACACAAGAATCGACGTCGGTGTTACAGACGTCCACTCTGCCGAGGCCTTTGAACTTGGGTCCCGTCGGCCCGCTTACGTACTTGATCTGGCCGAGCAGGTCGACCTGGCCCGAGGCATTGAGGGGGAGCTGCAGGTCGCCCCAGATGCCGTTGAAATTCAACCAGCCGGTGGAGTCGATGTCGTTGTAGGCGGCGAACTTCTGCGTCGTGTTGTCGAACGAGTAGAAGAACGCGTTGGCGAGGGGGTCCCACAGGATGCCCGGGTCGGTCTCGTCTGTGACGGGCGAGATGGGCAGGCCGGTCCCCAGGTTGAGACCCGTGATGTTCAGCGGGTGCGGCCCCGGCGTGGCGTAGTTGGCGTGGGTGCCATTGGCGCTGTACACGATGGGTCGGGTCCCGTTGTTGAATTTCGGGATGGCGCTGAACGTGAAGGCCTGCCCCCCGGAGTGTTCGCTGAACCACATCGCCTGCGGCGTCTCGTTCTGGAACCGCACCATCACATGTTCCCAGTCGCCGACGTGGTCGCCCAGTTCGAGTATAGGGAGTCCGAAGATCCAGTCCCCGCGATTGTAGGCGTAGAAGAAGAAGAAAAAGGCGTCCAGGATGTTGTTGGGTTTGCTCACGGTCACGACAGCGGTGGCGGTCGTGTTATCTGGTAACGAGCCATCGACGACAGGCCTTTGGCCGTTGAACCACGAAGGCAGGGCACGGATGCCCTCGTCGGACGTGAGAGAGACGTTGCTGCCATTGTTGCTCCCGAAGGTGTTCAGGATGTTGAGGTTGGACAAGGTCAAGGGGGCAGGCGGAGTGATATTTCGCCCCGTGAAATCTTCAGGGTGAGTGTTCGCGACTTGTAAGGCAATGTCACTGGGAAAGAATGCTTCCGTAGAGTCGAGGAACACCACCGGAGCTGTCACGGGAAGACTACATCAGCTTCTCTCGTTGTAAGATACACACATATCGGCTTCCTTCTGTTCAGAGAAGGGGCAACAAGTGTAGAGAGCGAAATATGCATACCGAATTGACGGACAAACGCTGGAACTGTCGCTCGTTTCTCGAATCCAATGGCGGACACTGAAATCGCGATGAAAGAGAGGAACACCAAGTAGTCCTGCGCGACACGCATTTTGAGCTGTTACCTACCACACTGCGAGGTTGGCAGTGTGCTGGGAGAAACAGTGCCGGGCCGGCGCCCTCGTCAGGTTTATAAGACGAAACCGGGCGCTTCCCAAGCAGTTGCTAGACATTGTCACCCTGGGCAAATCCATAACCAAGATCTGACAACCCGAATATGGTAAATCTGGATCTGGTTAGTGTCCCAGGCGCAGTCGTCGACAGAGGCGTACTTGATGTCGTGTACTCGGGGCGCTGGGGGTGCGTGAGTATCACAGGATCCGTCATGGGTACGAGGCTCTAAGCTAAAGTCAGTAGACAGGGGTGCGTGCCTCGTCCTTCCAAGGCCCATACGCCCTGATAAGTGACTGTGAAGGCGGAGATTCCTTGATGACAGGGGCGACGACTGTCTGAGAAACCGCCAATCATCGCAAGCAGAAAACCAGGGTGTTTAACCGGAATCTCACAATCTGCAGGTGAGCAATGCTTAAAGGACCGAATACTGATACTGGAGAAATCAAACCTGACTGCTTATAGCCTGGCTCGACGGGGCCGAAAAGAGCCTGATACGGCCGACAGCGCGGGGACGACAACCGCAGCACTGATGTGTTCAATTTCCGCTTATATTGTATCACTGCTTCGACCAAAGATGCGTCAATCGGGCCAGGGGGAAGCCTCTCTCAGATGCCAAACGGTCAGGCTGCAGTTGCGGACTTCGAAAACCCTTCCACGCATGGATGTGACTGGCCGGGTCCAGCATACATGATACACACAGTACGGTGCATAGCATTGGCAGTGATGAATACGGGGGCGAGAGGCCCACTCTGTAGCCTTGAATGTACTGTAGATGACGTGACTGGGATATATATATATATAGATATAGATAGATAGGAGTGAGAAAGCAGGTAGAGCGAGAGAAGCTGCGCGAGTCTATACCACGTGCCAAGAGCACCACGTGACTATTGAGTCCACTGAGGTCGTTTCAGCATTTGCCAAATAGACTCGACATTGAAACACTGGGAGCGCAGTACTTTGATGTGACATATGGCTAGAGATAGGTACAATGGCGGGCTCTCATGCACAGCCTCTGGCCCAATCCATCTTGGTCTGCCTTGTGCCATTCTGCACCCTGACCCATGCCAACACTCTTCCTCCGCTGATCAGCGATACTGTGCTCTTGTTTCCCGTAGCAAGCATGCCTGCTCTGACCACACCATTTTCCCTCCTCGTGGTCCACTTCAGTCGCCGCCTTTAGCACTTTATGGCTTCTTTCAGGGCTTCCCATGACCTTTCCGCATGATTTGCAAGCATCTAGGGTCCGTATAAGGCCCAGGATGATTGATGCTGATTCTGGTGGTCCGGGGTAATGGCGATCGCTGAAGGCTTCCGTCGACTGTGATATGTAGTCAACCTCCGATGATGACACCTTTTCTCGAAGACGAGCAGTGCTGTTTGTGCTCTCAAGTGTGTTGTTCCGCTCGCTGGTGCTCCGAAATGCGGCTTGAGTTGTTTGCTCGAACTCGCCGGAATTATAGCCAGAGCTCAGGCAGTCCAACTCCGTCCTTGACGAGGCAACAATTTTGTCTCATAGACATTCATTCTGGTCCAATCCTTTCGCTTTCTGCAGTAACCATTTTTCGCTCCGAGGTGTCTCAGTCACCTACCATGCCCCGAACTCTCTCAATCCGGCTCACAGCCTTCTCCAACCGTTCTAGCCTCTTCCTCTTTTCGCCGTCCCTCTGTTCCAACACCTTAACCCTCTCTTCTAACTTCGCCCGGGCTTTCCTCTCATTTGCGACCATCTCGTTTGCCTGCCCAAACAATTGTGCAGTGAGCTCTTCCAACTCGGTTTGGGTCTGTGACAAAGAGGATTCGGCACGTATGCGGAGGGTGCGCTCTTCTTCGAGGGACGACTGCAAGGACAAGAGGCTCACAGTAGATTGGTTGTTGTCTATGGTGGAGGAAGACGAGAGGGTCGGTGTAGAATTACTAGGTACCGTTGCAACTCCGAAGAAGGGCGTTTTCGGCGGAGACAGTGTGGTATTGCTGATGAGAGCTGCGTTGTTCTGCGGAAATGTGCCTGTCGCTGGTGTCAAAGGATTCTGTCCCCCGAGACTACTATTCGCTTCCCTCTTCCGTCCTGGTAGGAATGCACTGATGCTTGCCAGCCTCGACTGCTGCTGTTGCGGTGGCGTCTGCCCTGGTGTTGTGATCGAGCCTGTCCCGTCCCCCGGAGAAATACTCAGCCTCGGATTTGATCTTGCTTGTTGTTGCTGCTGCTGAGATTTGGAGTATGCATCACGCAGATATTGGATCTCGTCCTCGTAGTCCGCCAGTTTGTCTACCGCCGCGGCGGCCTTGGAGTTGAGGAGCCGTACCTGCGCTTCGAGATCGCGGATGCGTCGGTTCGCTTCAGTGGCTTCAGCAGGAGACTCGGAGGATGAGAAGAGATGGTAGCCGCATTGCGGGCATGTGTGATCCGGAGATGAGTGGTACGAAGCTGCGGCGGTCGCAAACGTAGGGTCCATGGGTATGGTATTGAGAAGGACCGAGGTGGCCATAAGACATGCTTGGACGGCCCGAGGAGGAATGTGAAGACTGGACAAAGGGGACGTTCATATGGGCCTCAGCTGGCGACGACTGGCCAAGAAGATGGGATGTCGAATGTGAAGGGGACAAAGATTAGGCGCCGGTGAATAGCCACCTGAGGTGATAATTTGGCTGTGTTTGGGCGCCCGCGTCCGGTCAACGCGAACGAGGAACAGGGCCACTCGCAGGCTATGCAACGATAAAAGGCAACGGTGAACAAAACTTGGAATAAGCTCAATGATCTATATACAGACTTCCTGAGCTCCGACGGCGCCCGGAACACGGAGGATGTCGAACGAAAGAAGGCGAGGTACATTGGACCTCTGTCACATGGCGTGTTTCAGCAGCTCGTATACAATAATTAGAGCCAAGTGACGTGCCGGGCTGGTGTCGGTGGATTCTGGGATGTTGTGGCTCCGCTTCGGCCAGGCACGTGACAAGCCACCGGTGATCGGCATCGGGAATATCACGTGGACCGAATACTGGAGACGAAGGATAGAGTATTCATTCCTCCCTGGCCTCGATCGTCGCTTTTCAGCTTGGAGCAGGGAGTCCACTTAGGCCGGGAAACCTCGACACGCCCAATGATGGGAATCTCGACGAACAAATTCGAATTCAATGGTGTCTGCACTTGATACTGGTTTATAAAGCTCGGCCAGTCCATCTGGGTCCTGGGTGTGGGCACCCTCCTGGTTTTGGATTATGCTGGATATTGGAGGAAATGGGGAACTGCCAGAGGGCTTTCGTTTCGGAAAGCGTCCGTCAGTCCATGTCCAACGACTGCTCCGCTGAAACAGGTATCCTCCGTCTTCTGCCTTCCGTGATATGCTTCGCCAATATTGAAAACCCCTCTCTCTGGAAAAATCTCAACAAGTGGTATCTCGGACAAGAAACGTCGAAGTAAAGAATGAATAAAGGGTTTCCCTTTCAGAAAAAGTATGGGATTGCAGCGCTGTAATCGTTAGCCCAAGAATAGTGCTCGGATGCAAACAACTCACGCGATGGCCAGTGTCGCCGTGACACCTAACACTGCCCTGGTTCGGACCTTTTCTCTCTTCAATTTCTCTTCCAATACCCTCGCCTTCTTGGCGGGTTGTGCTGGAAGCTCTGCATCAATGTCGCTCGGCTCTGGTTCTTGCGCTTTGCGCTTCTTGGAGATCTTCGGAGAGCTTTCCAGGGTCTTGGCCTCTTCGACCATCTTTTTGGCCGTCTCAAGCATTTTCTCCGTGTCCTCCGGGAGTGGTAACTCTGGCAGGCCGGCCGGTATCTCCACCGTCACATTCGTGTGCGTAGTCTCTGTCGTGCCATCGACTTCAATTGATTGTTCGACTTCAACCTTCACCATCTCCGGCTCCGGGTTTGTCGTCGGGGGGCTAGGCAACGACGGTGACTCTGGCTTTGATTCGGTTTCCGCCACAGATGCGGCGTCGTCGAGGGCAGACTGGAGAGACGCGCTCGCCGCATTGGCATTGGCGAGATTGGCCTCTTTCTGAGCCTTTGTCTGTCTCTTTCTGGGAGATGCCTTCACTTTGGGCGGACTTGCAGCTTTGGCAGGCGACGCCGACCGCGTTACTCTCGTACGAGGCGCTTTGGCGGGAGGAGTTGATTTAGGCTTATCGCCGGGTAGATCGAATTTGGGAGGCGCAGCAATTGGCTTTTTGGAACTCGAAGGCGTTTGCGTGATGTCTGTTGGGTCGAGAAGCGCGCGAATCCATTCTGATAGCCCGTATTCTTCGGCCAGTTCCAGAGCTGGACGTGATGTTAGCCTGAAGCATCCTGCCTTTTGCGCCGCTCATCCTACCGAATTCCGGTGCCACCCAGACATTGCCCGCGACTTCGTCCTGACTCGTTGATTCAAGGTTCTTGAGGTAGTCGCGCTCTTCCTTTTCCTCCATATGGGCAGCCCAAGGAAAGGCGATCTTGAACATGCCGGTCGCGCTCACAAAGCCATCTTTACTCCTCCTCTGCAAAACAAAGTCAGACGTGACGACGTAGGACTGGTTACCGATGCCTTTCGTACCATGAGGAAATATGTTTCCGGGTGGGCTTGGTTCGATTGAGTAGCGAAGATCTCGGAGCCGGTGAGGTCTTCCGGTAAAGGAGCCCGCAGATGGGCATACTCGAACGGCCCCAGATTTTCTGCCTTTGTCGCATTCGATGTTCCCACTTGCCCCGGCTTGACCGTCAGTTTTGTCTTGCCCAGTCGCCGACGGCTGACCAGCTCTTCATCTGGATTGACGTCAGTTTCCACTTCCGGCAATATACAGCTCATGAGAGATCGACGTACAGGAAGGTGCTGCGCCAGGCGCAATCAAAGGATTCCGCTTGCTGGGCAGAGGTCGCATGTTGATGTAATATACGCGCACAATGTACGGGCGAGTGACTTGAGCGCAGGAGAAGCGGTACGCGCCGGTAAGGAGGGATGCAAAATGTCGAGGCGGAAACAGAGAAGGAGTGGCAGAGACGGCTGCTGAGAGTCCCGTCTGGTTCAAATGAAAACAGCTCGGTGGTCAGGAAGGCCAGATAAGAAAAGAAATGGGATGAGTTGTCCGGCTGTCAGTGGGTGGGCGAATTGAACGAGCGCGACAACACAGAAGTGGAAAGGATGGGTAGAGCGCATTCGGAGAGTGAGGGAACGGGGGAGGATGAGGTTGACAATGGGGGGTGGGAGAGCTGGGCTGGAGCTGGGGGAGGGTGTCAGGGTCACCAGTGCTAGCAGCACAGCGATGGTTGGGTGGTTGTTCCGGCCAGGGCCCCCAATCGGAAGCTTTTTCTAGGTGGCTGGTGGGCGCGGAAGAGATCACACCAGTGCCTGTTGGGTGTGCTGGCTACTCGTAATGTACTTGGTACATAGGACAGGTACACAGGTACTGTGACGCCCCCCATATCGCCCAGGTATCTCTACGTTTGTGTATCAAGTTTCTCAAACGACTTCACCTTTGTTCTTCATCAAACCCGTCCGATTCTTCGCCTTCTCATCCTCCTTCTCGTCGCCTATCTCTAAGACTTCATCACCACGATACTCCCACGGACCAATATCCCTTGGCCCATCGACACCATCTGGAGGCAACGCCCATTGTGGCGCAGGGCTGCGATAGCTCCAGCTACCTTCGGCCACATCGGCATACGAGAGGGCGTGAAGATATATGCCCAGTTCATGAGGACCAGGGTCCGAGTATAATGGAGTGTCGCATACTGGACATCTCTCGCCTGTCATCTTTTCTCCTTTCCGCTTGTTGTAGTCTGCCACCATCTCATCGTGTGCTTTCACGAATGCCCCGTATTGAGCGTCATTGTGCATGGCATCCTCCCCCGATCCTCCGAGAGACCCGGCATGTAACGTGCCAGCCGGTAACGGTTTGAAGAATGGGTCCTCCCCAGTTGAGGCAGATGAACGTGACGCTTCGCTCAACTTGGCCGCCCCAGTCACAGTCATTTGTTGTGTCTGGTCCACAAGCATCGCCAGTCGCTCCTGCTCATATGATATGGAGTCAGAGACCTCACTTTTCCCTACCAATTTGAGCTTCGCTATAATCTCCTCGTCCTTCTCTGGGCTCGAATCATTTTTGGCAAGACCAGGCCCAAAGACAGCTCTGTTGCTGTATATTGGATCGTTCGTGATCGGGTGACCTAGAAACTGTAGATGGACTCGGATTTGATGCGTTCGCCCCGTCAAAGGAAGGCAGTGGACAATGCTGTAGCCTTCATTCTCCGTACCGGAGATTGCTGGTGCCGGTTGGGCCTCCGTCTGATTATTCGTCAATGACCCGTTCGAGTTCGAGGTGGCCTTCGGGTTTGTCGTTGGGTGTGGTTTGTGAGGATAATATGCCAGGCGTCTGAACAATGTCTTCGCAGATTTCCCGCTCGCTCGAGCTCGATTGAGTCCAACAATGGGACTGATTTGCAGAATGCTCTCCTCACATTTCACAATCCCTCCGCGCATTGGGTCACCGTCCCAGCCGTCTCCGTCAGGGAATCGGCCTTTGACTCTTGCAACGTATTCCTTGCGGACTGTCCGCCCGCGCAGTTTTTCACTGATCGCCTCCGCCTCTTTGCTTGTCTTCCCAATAAACATGACACCACTCGTCAACCGATCAAGTCTGTTGCAGGGCAAGGGTTTGAAGGCGAAATGGCGCTCGGCTTTCATGATCTCGACGACCGAATTGTAGTTGTACCGACCAGCCGGATGGACGGGCACACCGGCAGGCTTGTCGATAACAATCATGTCATCCGTTTCATTGATGACTCGAATCGGCTGCGCCGTCACCGGCGGCTCGTGTCTGTGCAGCGTATGTGAGATGACATCGCCATTCTGAACAATGGTATGGACATCTTTACATGGTTTCCCGTTAATTGAGATCTGGCCCGTCTCGATCGCCTGCTTGTAGTACTCGCGCGTGCGGTCTCGAAACTCAGCAGCGAAGATGTCGAGGATTTCCCGCCCCCGCCATCGCTGTTTACAGTAGGTATTGTATGTGAAATGATAAGGAGCCACACGCCGGAGGCCATTCTCGAGGTAATACGGTCGAGGCCACGGATCACACGGTGTGACCGCGACAGACGGAGGATCTGTGAGCGGCTTCCGATCATCGAAGAACTGGGGTGCCTTGGTTTCAGTCGTGATCAGCGCCATGCTGGGGCTGGGATAGCGGCCGCGACTTGCCAGATAGGCAAGAACGCGAGGTGAAGGAGCCAGCGATATTTGTGATGCGGAAGGATTCGGTTGATATCGCCTCTAAGTTAGAATCTGGGGTGTCACATAAGGAAAACTTTTGGGAGTGGATGTTTCTAACTGCGGCACAACTGACGCCGAAGTCTCTGAGCATGGCAGTACGACAGCACTCCTTTCACACAACCGCACAATTCGACGCGAAGACAATAAAAGATGGTAGGTATTTACAGCTTGCCGGCTTACTTCACGATCGTCTTCTGCCTGGCAACGGCGATGCTAGTAGGATCAATACTAGGAAATTGACTACGACTCGAGAGTCTGCCCTGTCGGTTATCTTGCGATAAGTGGTCAAGCAGGAATTCTTGAGGTATCTACCCTGCGAGAAATGAGTCTCACAAATGCTGTAGAGACCAATGACAGGGGGAAACAACAGGTCCACGCTTGGAGAATCTCAATCCTAGCCTTCCCACCAACCCAAGAGCACGGACAAGGCAAGGAAATGTGGCAGCTCGAATAGTACAGTCCAGGAAACATTGAAGCAGAGAAAAAAAGCCATCGAAACGTCAGGTGGAGACATGATGTCCTTGAACTTGAATCGATTTTTTTTCTGGATCTCATACCATCTGGCGCCCAGGTGATGATGCACAGACTCGGTGCTTAGCCATAAGAGGGCGCTCTCTAACCCATCTTCCGCCGCTGCCGCTGTAGACCTGGTTTGGCAACAAAAAGCTCGTGACCACCTCTCATTGATTCATATCCACGAACGGAACCACAACACCCTCTCTTTGTCGCACTCATGACTCGGTAGTAATCTTCGCCTTGGGGTTGGTAACCTTGACGCCCAGTGCCTTTGCCTTTGCAACGATTTCAATTCGTTTCCGCGATGAAACAGCGGATGCGATTTCAGCGGCGTATGTTCGGTTGTGCATGAGGAGGAGTTCGACGTCACGGGGGTTGTGAACGAGGAAAGCCTTGTGGCCGGAAGGCATCATGTGTCGGGTCTTCTTATTTGAACCGAAACCGATCTGTACATTATGTCTGTCAGCCCAATGTTTCTGCGTACCGACCACCTCGCATTCATGGGGTGCGCTGTTCGTGCTCTCGTGTCCTCCCTGCTGCCTCAACCGAAGATGCGAAAATTCGGACGTACCGATGGCATGACCATTTGGCCCTTGAACCGTCTTCGGACTCGGTTGTCGATACCCTTAGGCTTCCTCCATGCTGAAGGCACACACTTGAAGGTGTCGGACTGGTGTCGGTGCCAGGCCTTCTTGTGCTTTTTGATGATGGGGACGTGCTTCTTTGCGGAGACCATCTGTGCGAATGTCAGCTATTCGTCCGGGGTTTCCTGAGAGCGTGCTGGTCTGACCTTGACGATTGTATGGTCTTGACACCTGAAGCAATTACGAGGGGTTGTGGTGAGAAGTCGTCGACAATGGCGCCCTAGTTGAAAATCGGGGTGTCGAATTTCGCAAAATGCCAAGAGTGACTTTCTGTGCGCGGGAAAACCAGACAGCTAACCCTATCTGAATTAGCGTCATTTTCCAGCCTTGGGCCTCTGGTTGCAGAGACAGACTTGTGCTCGGTAAGCGTATCTCTCGACCTTACTCATGCCTATCAGTTCAGCAGCAATAGTTCTCGATGGAGTCTTCTAGATCTTCTACAGTGCTTGGTGTTCTAATTTGATCGGGACTCCTCCCTGCTCGCCACTTCGCAACATAGCTTCAATCAGCTCCAGATCCGCCAGAGCTTCTTCTGGGGATTGACTCTCATTGACCTTCCCAGCAGCTAGAGCTTCTCCCCACGCCCTCACTTCGCCCGGCACACCTGTCCTTTCATCCTGGACCTCTTCAGTCTTATCGTCATACGTGACCTTGTTGCCCGAAAGGCTGACGGAGCCTTTCTCACAGCCCACAGCCCATTCACTCCCCTTATGAGTGGTTCCAAATGAGATCGATATCGTTCCTACCGTCCCGTTCTTGCTCTTTGCTGTAGCTTCAACGGTGTCGACTGGAGGGAGATGTTCTTGAAGCAGTGCAGAGTGAGCGGACAGCGTGACCAATGGATTGTCTTTGCCCATCATCAACCGGAGTCCTGCAGTAAAGTGTACGCCGCCGTCTAGTAAAAATCCACCCTGATGCGTTGGATTCTTACGCCATCTGGCAAACAGTCAATACCATTCGCACAGCCTTGTCGGGAAGGCGGGGTGTTTTACTCAGTCTCAAAGTATTTCCCGCCCTCAACAAGTGTCTGCAATCGGCATCTGAAAGTCAATTGCCGACCCTTGGTCTGCACGACCTCCCCGGCTCGAATAAACGAGTTCGTGTATCTGATGTTCTCGGCGACGGCCCATGTCACCTTTTTCGGTTCGATCTCTGACCGGTACCATTTGATGAGTTCTGCGGCGTCCTTTACATTCTCCGCTACCGGCTTCTCGGAGAGCACATGCTTGCCTGCCAACAAGACCTTGCGAATGTAGTCTGGCTGGTTCTTGATCGGCAGGGCGATGATGACTGCTTGGATATCCGAGCGGGCCAGAAGGTCGTCCAAAGATTTGCCAGCGCCCGAGTCGTCCGAGTAGAGATCAACCTTGGATTCGTCCACCTCGAGCGTCTTTGCCGATTTGAGTGAGCGGGAGTAGACAGCCTTGAGCGTCAAGTCCTTGGACGCTTCGACGGCCGGCTGTCAAAGGCGTTCTCCATGTCAGTAAGAGGGTCGAGGACAGATGACAACCTTTTCTCCGCGCACCTTGTGCTCCTCTCGAGCGAAGATACCTGTGCATCATCAATCAATATCATGGTCGTGATCCAACGACGAACCCAGGTCAAGATCCATACCTCCGCCTAGAATGGCCACCCCGATCATTGTGATGTGACGTGATGTGATTTGTTAGTATTATCTAATGTCGCTCTGATTGAATTGCTCCAGGAATGAAAGTATCAATTTTCGAGCGTCAATTGAGGGCAGAAGTAATTCATATCACCCACTTACCATCTCGCCCGCCCCAAAATTTCCATGGGTGAGGGCCTGTAATTTAGGCTATTGGCCCCTCATCGGGCTCATTGCCGTCTTCAGCGGTTTTTGATACAACATCCGTATCACGTGTTCGGGTATGTCGCGCCTCCGTCCCGCGTTGCACGCGTCGTCGGTGTCGTCACCATGCAGGAAAGAATGGATCCACAGGAGAAAAGCATAACAACACACAGAGAAAACCACGGCGACGGTCGAGTGGTGACCAGCAGTTGGCAAAATTCCTGGATAGGCTGGACGATCCCCCTGAAAGCTACGACATCTCGCTCGCTCCCTTTTGTTGACAACACTCTTTGTTTAACACTATCCTTCATCGATACCAAGTCTTTGCCAGAGCAAGCTCGCCTCTGCCATCACTCAGAACAGCGACATTGTCCGCTCCTTTACACCCGTGAGTGTATGACAAGGTCATAAGACGCTCTCTCAGAACGGCACCACGACCAACACTCGGTTTCAACACATCAAATGGTGAGCTCGCAACCAGAACAGCTCGAAACCGCGCAAATTTCTCTGCCAGAAGAGCTGCGCGCCACCACCCGACATAGACACCATGCTTTGAACGCGCAGATCATCCAGCGGCTGCCGTTGTCTCTCCCGCCAAATGCAGACAGCCCACTCGCTTATGCCAAAGGCATTATAGTCTTTGGTCAGATATACTTCGCCTTCGAGAACTTTTTAGAGACACAACTGGCTTCTGGTCAGTTGGATCAGCGACTGCTTCACATCTACGAATGCGTGCGCTTTCCCTGGCTGCTAAGGTCCGGCCGGCTACAAAATGACATCGATACCCTGGAATCACAGCTCCTTCAGTCTCAAATGGAGGAACTTGAAGCCCTGGTAGAGGAGTCGAGAGGCTTTCGTCTGCAGATTGAAAGTTCATTGTCGGCAAAACCACACGTCCTGCTGGCCTATACCTGGACGATGTACCTTGCTCTTTTCAACGGTGGTCGCTGGATTCGAGGGCAGCTTGTCTCTGCAGGCCCAGAGTTTTGGCGCGCAGGTACGCTCCCGTTATCCTTTTGGGATTTTCAAGGCGAAGAGGACGTGAACGTCGATGAGCCACTCAAAGAGGAATTCAAGAAAGGATTTCGGGAAGCAGCCTCCTCTCTAACAGAAAATGAAAAGAGAAATGTTGTTGAGGAGACTCTGGATTTGTTCGATTTGTGCACCAAAATGGTGGGATTTCTCGACAATAAGACCACGAATTGCTCATTGCAGATAGTTTCCGAAAGGCTGCCATCACTCCTCGCTTCTTCGCAGCTCAGTAATTCAATCGGCGCAAATTCGATGGCAGCATCTCTCTGGCAATGCATGGTTTCTGCTTGTTCGTCGCTGATGACGACGACAATCACAGCAAGGAGACATAAAGCAGCCTCGGCAGGTTGAGATCTGAGCACTGCTCTTTACTGCCTAGGTCAACTGGTCTCCAGCTCGATAAGAGCAATTCTCTAGTTTAATAGAACCACAATGGTCACGTCGGATGACAGAAGTAGCATGTCGAAGTATAAGAGCCGTGGTGGGCACCTAGTCATCATTTGCAAGCAAAGGAATCCAGTATTTTTCGAGCTGGCACGCCACAGTCCCTAAATTGGCCTACCAGAGCAACAAGGCTGTCCGATACCAGATCTGAAACTAACTGCCTTTCTTAACGATGCATGCAGGAAAGAACACCTGAATGGCAGGGCGCCCAAAATCGTCATTTGGATTCGATTGTTGCTGTCTTCCGCTGGGCCACGTAACGTCTGGGACAGTAAATGAATTCGAGCCCTTTTCGCTACCGAAGGAGTGGTCTGAGCTGCCCCCATCTGAGGGCGAAACTATGACATTAGGTCGGGGGAAAATAAGACGGGGCTCCTAAGTTGACTTCAATAGTTGGGCCTGTCATTATTCGTAGAGCTGAAACGAGACCATCTGGAATCGTGCGTCTGAGCAGCTGCCCCTCATAATATGTATGATCCAGGGGTAAGAGCATGGGTCAGAACCTTGTATCGGCACGTGGAATCTGAACGACTCTCCTGCCATTACTCGTGTTTGCAGAGCTTCGACCTTCCACCAGGTCACCGTGAAGCAATCGTACCTTCTGGCGCGGGTTGATGCAGTTGTAGTGCAACGCATGTGGCAGTTCAAGACCACGCTAGATCCTTGTCCTAGGCCATTTGACGGATCGTCCGAATTTCTCTTAGCTTCGTCTGGTGTGTTGCCACGAGAGCCACTAGGGAAGGGTGATCCCGGGGAAGGCCTGTGCGCGATGAACGCTTCGTCGGATCTTGGAGCGCCCTGAATTTGAGATGATAGTAGGCTGAATATTTGATGCTTACAAGTTCAACCCATAGCTCTGTAGATGTGCATATTTGTGTAGCTATTTGGTGATTGCTCGGGCTACGGGTACAGTACACGATTAAACCCACAGTTTAAAGTCTGGGCGCCCCGAAGTAGAGGCATCAGGTTGCTGGGCCCTCGGTTTAAAGCTTCAGCTAAGGACCCAGCAGGAAGGTCATCACAGGGAAGAGGCGATTGCCAGCAGAGAGTTGGGATAACCTGGCACCTCAGAGCAACGGCACGATCGGATGTAGGTGAACCTTCTGGCTATTGGAGATTGGTTTGAACAGTTGCATATCCTCCTGGCAAGAGTGAAGCAGGCAGGTCCTTCTTGTCAAGGACCCAGCTGTGCGTTGGCGAGCTTAAGGGGGGATTCCTTGGTACATTGCTGCCGTCTTGTGGCTCTACAAGGATGTCTGCATGACATTCTAGGCCAGAGCCACGCAGATTTACTGACTTTGAAAAGCCCCCCAACGTGGCTTTCTGCTGTGCACGGGTGCCGTCCGAGAAGAAATCGGCTGCACGTTTCTGTGGGAAGACCCTGGTCACTCTGTGGAGGTTCTCAAGTCAAGGCCTAGAGCGGGTATGTGTGTACTCTGTGTTACGTATCAAAAAGCAATGGACGGAACGCCCCCCTTAAAAGTCAGTATTCTTATGCAATGTGGCCTTGAACTTGGAGATTGCCATTACCGTGTTCCCAGTGATGGCAGCATAGCTCTTCCCATGCTCCTCCGTCCTGGTACCGCTGGGATGGGCCGTAACACCGATGGATTCGTCAAGCGAGGTTGCAGAGCGCCAGGTGGATTTGGCAGCTGGATAATGCGCCGAATCCGCCATGCCGCCAATGGCTGAGGCAAGAGATGGTTTGGGGATGTGCAGGAAATGGTATCGAGCTAGAGAGAAGGAGGGCTGGGCTGCTGCAGGTCGACTAGGTATAGATAATTCGACGGAGCTGGCCGCTGCAAGCTCACCCGCTGCTTTGGAGCCATCGGCGCAACCTGTGCCGGCGGAGGGATCTTCGCTGACTCCTTAGGCACCCATTAGGTGAGCAAGGCGAGCAGCAGTCATACCCTGCTTGAGGGCAAGTCGAATTCTTTTTGGAGCCGGTTTAGGACGCCCACGAAGGAGTTAATATTAGATGTTGGTATGTTCATGATTTGCAAGAGTGGTTTAATCCCGAGGGATATCCAAAGTGGCCAGTTGCATGGCCAGGCAAGAGCTGGACCCTTGGAGGCAAAGACAGCGAAAGAGTTTTCAGGTGGCCTTCCATATTAGTGGACAATGCTGCTGTGCGAGAGTCACATCCAGCATCGTTTTTGTCAAAATTCAATCTGTAGCACGGTTTTCTTCACCTGGGCACCGGATCCAGCAGCTTGCTTGGTGGCAACCTCTATACGAGGTACTATTTAGCATGGCAGGAGCTGATAGGTGGTTGGGGGCCCTTCTGGCAGTTGCCACGTACCCGAGCCCATAGTACCGGTGCTCTGGGGACGCCCCCCATCAGTAGCAGCGGGACTAGGCCTGCACGGACCCAAGCAGCTCCCCGGGCGTTCCTCTAACCTTAAACAAGGTGAGTACTCGGCACTGCTCTTTGGGTCTCGGACTCTCGGGTCGCTTCTGTGCAGATATTTTTTGCGGATGCCCGCCGTCGCCCGTGCAGGCTCCCCATAGGTGGTGTGATAAAATAATGGGCGCCCCTTGTGGCACCCACTGCACCGATAGACAGAACGGTATGGCCCCTCCCTCCCCACCCCAACAATTCCCTATCTCAGGCTAACCCTGAAAGCTTCGAGTACCCAGTCTGACTGCCTCGCTGCCTAACTCCTTGATCCCCAGGCTGGACTTCCCCCTCCTCACCCTTCTGAAGCCCATGCATGACTCTTGTACCCACGCTTTCCAGTTTCCACATGATTATTAGGCTGGAGTCGCCCGCTTAGTTCGGGCTTCTGTTGGCTGGGGCATTGGATTCCGGTAGCCTAACACACGTAGTTCCCACCCTAACTGCATGCCGGTTCCCAGACTCGCGAGACTGCCTGCAACTTAGCGGCCCGTCGACTGCGGTGCGTGTCCCCAGGCTCCCCCAGTAGTCTCGCAAATCCTGTCTGCAGCTCCTCGTGCTGCATCATCGTTGGATCTCGTCGCTCCTAAGCTCGATGCTTGGTGTTCAACACTGCCTCTTGCTTCTCCTTCTGCTTCTGCTTCCATTCCCCATCCACACACCCGCGTGTGTGCTTCTCCTCTTTCCTTCCCTTATCTCCACACTACTTCACACTCCAACCTGCTCATCTCTGTCTTCTTCGACTCTTCTGACCTCTTCGTCGCCCCTTGCTGATCGTCCCTTCCTCCCACCCCCTCGTCTTTGGCCTCGTATTCTAGCATCCCGGGGTCAAACTCTGCGACGCCGTCGATCGCTCACATCCACCACTGCGAGCTCTGTACCTAGGAGAATTTCGCCGGCACCGGTCCCTCCAGGTGTGAACCGCCAGCGACGATCAGTGCTGATCCTCACTCGCACCTGAGACTTGCAAATCTTCAAGAGATATTGCCAATTGAGCCCTCCGTCGACTGCTTGCGGATCCCTTTGCATCCATACCACACCACATCACGACATCCTGCGACACCTGACCTGCTGTCTGAAAGGGCGCGCTGCTGGGAAGGTCGACTGGGCAAGTCAATGGACCGCAGCATTGGGAACAGGGATCTCGCTACCCGACAAGTCACATTGCAATCCACTCCCGCGGAATTCCACCACCAATAATTGACGGCTTACCTTCTTCATCACCTTCGCCGTCCCAATTCCCTGGGTCAGCCAAACAGCCAATAGTCGCACCATCAAGCCATCGGTCTCTGTCTTCCAGCCCGTCCGGTGCGCTCTTGCTGATTGCCTTCCATCTCCTATGACACCATCTCTGTCAGGCCATCCATTCCACTCCGCCAATGGAAGCGGCAGAAGCACAACCGTTGAAGGAAAAGAAGGGCTTGAAAACGGTCTGGAGCAGGATCAAGGATTTCTTTAGAGAAAAACCCACCGCCACACCAAACTCTCCATCTGCCACTGCTACACCATCTGTTCCCGCTCCTTCTATCGCTGCACAGACAAAACGAGCTGCAGAGGCATTCACCTCCCCAGAGACAACGCCACTGAGCGTTGACGACAGGAAACCTCCAACGGCGCATGCGCATGAGAAGGAGGTGGACGAAACATTCAAGGAACCCGAACAGCCCACCGAACTTGTCTCGACGTCGCCGCAAGAAGCGGCTGATGCCAAGAAGGCCGCTACGGCCGAGTCACACATGCGGTTCACCAAAGCACAAGCAATCTTTGCCAGACACAACCTGGAACTGGACGAGACAGAATGGGAACCGAGGTACAGAGGACCCCCAGAAAGGGTGTACAAGAACATACGAATGAGGGTCAGATACACCTGTCACAATTGTTCAACAACGTTTGGTCGCGATAGAATCTGCATGGGATGTCAACACCGACGTTGTACCCGATGCTCACGCTACCCGCCAAAGAAAGATCGCACGAAATATTCGCAAGACCCTACGAGCACTGGCTCTCCAGAACTCATCCCTGAAGCCCCTCGATCAGGAGCCGAGGGCGGAACGTGCCACGAGTGTCAGGGTGGTTTTGAAGTTGATGCTGAAGAATGTCCTAACTGCCATCACAAGATCTGTGAGAGATGTCTGCATGAAGCCACCATTACTGTCGAACCGGGTCACCAAGCTGCTCAAGAAGCAACTCAAGAAGCGTCCGGGGTCGCACAACCTCACCAAAGGAACCCCAGCCTACAAGAATCATCATCTATCAGCTAACTTGAGTCGATATTCGTCTCTGGCGCCGCTAGCATCTCAGGGGCGCGGGCCTCTCCTAGCATTCTTATATTTGACATTTTTTCTGAGCATTTTGATGATGCGACGACGACTTTTCTACGACTACTTGTCCTTTCTCGATCTGAGCGTTCCAGTCCTAATTGTCATGGGGTGGTGTTCACGGTGTTGCGTTCACAGGATTCCCCGTTTGACAGTACTTTGATCCATTTTGAGCGCCAAAAGCGAAAATGTTCGTCTGGAGTTGGGTGTTGTTTTCTTGGGTCCCTTCAATACGTTGCCCATACCAGAAGGGTGATCTTACATTGGAAGAGAAGGACTCAGGGTCCACAGGAAAGTTGGGAATCCGGGAAGTCAGGAAAAGAGATGGGTGACTGGAATCTGAGGATTCTGACGCCGCCACCGTACAGCGGGAGCACATTTCAAAGGGTACAATTGCGGGAGGAGGGTTCAAGGATCAGGAAGGATTCGAGCAGGGATTCGAGCAATGGTGATTGTTGCTCAGCAAATTGGACGGCGACTCTGCAGCCTCGATCTTGTCCTCTTGGTGAGGCTGGTCTCTACGATACAAATGAAGAAAATAACAGCGCCACTCCACTGCCTACACTACTACCTCCGTTTTTTTTCTGTCTAATCTAGTCTCAAGTTTTCCTTTCTCCTTCCTCTTTATCGCTGGGCTGATCAACCACTTCACTCCTCAGTTCTCGAGTCTAGCATTCTTTCTTCAGAGCCGACGTTGGGCTCTGGACTCCCCCACAACACCCTGCAGCACTCACACTACCTACGATACGGAAAATGACGGATCCCCCCATGCCGTAAGAACTCAAGTTCGCGACGGCCCTATGGCATGCGGCTCACTCCCTCGGAGCGTGGTCAGGCTGAAATCGGGTTCCCCTGTCAGCACTGTACAGAACGTGGGATCCTTCCGGACGTAGAGGAGCATTCCGAGCACGTTTCCCCTTCACTTCCATGTCAGACAGATCAGTCCTTCCATTCGAGGCATCTGGATGGTCGGCCCCAGTATGAACTACTCCGCACAACGGCAGCTCCGAGGCGTCGACGGACGAGACTAGGCAGGGAAGAGATGGCCACTACTTGACGCACGATCAGACGAGGGGGGACAGCAGCACGGATTTGCCGTGGATCAATCTGGTTGAGGAGTAGGTGGACGGCAAAGACCGTCGGTCATCCTTGTCCTACCAGTCCCATCCTGCCTACTATGGGCCTCACACTTTACCGAACCGTATACCAAAGAGATGGGACGACTGCCCTTACTAAAGCACTGGCGCTGACACACGAACGATCAAGGTCTGCCCGTGCTCACTTGATCACTCAATCGTTCTGCCTCTCTCACAATCCAAAATCGTCGCTGTTCTCCTAGCGAGTGTGGGAAGGGAGAGCCCTGGAAAGCAAAGCGCCGTCAGCTGGGCACTCAGCACGGCCAACCTTGCGGTTCAATAAACGTCCGTCGACGTTGACTCTGCTTGGAGACTGCGCGGCATTCGACCAGAAGGGGGTGGACACTGACCGTTTGTGGGCAGAAAACCTCGTTCATCACCTGATATATCACCTTATGAACTGGACAGAGTGGGCTTCAAAGAGGCCGGCATGGCACGCGCCAGATATCCAAGTTGGCCTGCCGTATATTCGATTCTGTTGCGAATGGACATCTAGGGTGAAGGCCTGCGCCACCCCTAAAGGAGGCATACACCACCGGAAGGGGAAAATGTCAAAGACTTGGGCTCTTGTCGCCAAGGAGATGGTCTCCAGGTACATCCTTTCACGCCATCCCCAGTCGCTTTTACCGAGAAGAGATGGAGCACCACAAGACGCAACAACATGTGAGTAGCAGTTTGTCCCGGCACACGTCAAGTGGCCGCCACCCTGGATGCCGTTGAAATCTCAGAGAAGAACGTGCGCGGCGACTGGCCTGTCAGCAGCAGCAGCAGCTTAAGGGGAAACGCAGATGCAATGGATTTTGCTTGTGATGATATTCGTCACTTCGGTTCCCTCGAGGCGAGTAGCACTGGCTCGCTAGGCTTGTGCTTACCGAGACCTTAGCGCTGGGCCATCGAAGGCTGTTCGGCACGACGCACAAGCGCCTGGATTGGACAACCCGCGTGGCGATCTCTGACGCGGGTGATTTACTGGGAGGGTGTACGTGTACCTGGAATGGAGATGCAGTATGATGCTACATTGCCTCAAAGCAAAGCTAAGGAGGCAAAGGCACTCATCAAGCTCGTGCCCACTGTCAGGCCATCCAGCTTCCTCCATCTCCGGGGCTAGTCTACATCTGCATCGGCTTATCGATGGGAACGAGACGCCGGCGAACAAGGTACTTTTGAGATGGCGCCGTTTGAGGGTGGATGCCTCGACTCCTCCTCGTGGATATCTTTCCCTTTTTCCCATCATTATTACTCCGGTCAATCTCATCTTTCCTTCGTTGTCGGTTTGGGTAGATGATCGACAGAACGGAGTCTGCGACATTTTCCTCCATTATCCACGAGAATGGGCAAACACGCTTCAGAGAAGCGAAATTCTCCCAGCTGGCGGCGGCGGGCTTGCGGGTATCCTGCATGGCTCCGCTGCTGCTGCTGCTGCTGGGCTAGTTTCATCGTCTTCAATCGAGGGTATATCGTGCGCTCGAAACGGGGGCCTACAGTAAACCTGGAACAGAGCATCCCCTTCTCCAAGAAGAATACCTGAAACCCATGGTCCATGGGTTCAGGTCCATGGGTTCAAGAATGAGGATGGATACCAGGAACGAACAATACATACTACCAGATTACTGTTTACAGTACACAGGACAGACAGGAGAAGATTGTCGGCCTGCTCACGAGGAGCATCACACCACCTGGTTCCACTGGAAGGGAAACCAGGGCTTCCCTGACTGACTGACTGACTGACTCACTCACTCACTCACTCTGTCCTTTGGTGTTTCCCATGAACCAGGTCACCATTATGACTCTCTCATAGTCCAGGCAGACAAACCCCTCGGAGGTGAGACGTGAGCCGGACGACGACGATGACAAGGCTGCGCAAGGCCCCCCTGTTTCCTCCTCAAAGCACGTTTCAGAATGAGCGTCAAGACGAAATGGATATTATTATTACGACGGACCCAGCCGGCCAGCCGCGCGATCCCACTCGGCTTCGGGGCATTTTCATTCCAGTAATATTAGGTAGTCGGTCCCAGACAAAAACGTTGAAGGGCAGATCCAATCCACCCACTACTTGTTACCACTTTCTTCCTCCAAGCGAGATGACCCGTGCGCTGTTTTCTATTTTCTATTTTCTATCTCGTTTGTTCGGCCGAACGTCCCCCCGAGACCGGTGTGTGCGCCCTTTTTGTCGTGCAGCACGGACCTCCTCCTCCTCCTCGAAGCATACTGCGTACCTATACCGACTAGTAGTGGTGGTGGAGGGAGGGGGGGACATCAAGTATCGTCCACCAAGACTGACTCTTCTCTTTTCTCACTTCTCGCCAGCTCGGCCTCAGTCAGGCTCAGGCTCAGGGCTCAGCCAAAGCAAGCAAACTCGGATATGGCGAGTAAATTCATCCGGGCCCGAGAGCGAGGCCCCGGGTGTGCGACCTGACTATGTACATACATAACTATGTGAGTAATTACTCGTTTAGGTCCTAATGGGTGCAAGTACCCAGTGACCCTTTCTTGGGTATCTCTCTCATCGAATAACAATGTCCCCCCTGTTCCCACCGACCCGGAAAAGGGTAATACAACATGTTTGTTCCGGAGGATGATCAGTATTTCAGTAGATAGGTATGGACCTCGTCGTATGTATGAAGAGCCCCCTCGAAAATTCCATAAATCCCCCAAACCAAACTCTTGGGCCGACACACTGTGCTGGGCTCAGTACAGTAGTGCTGCAATGCAGCCAACCAACCAACAGCCGGTCGCTTCCTCCTCCATCGTACTCTCCATAACTATGTATGTACATTTGAAATACTTGTTCTGTAGCAGCAGCTACGCAGAACCGAGTCCTTGGTACGCGGAGTCCCCAAGGTTCACAACGGCCGGCTTTCGTTCGATGTCAGGAAATGATCGTCGCCGTCCGTGCATCAATCCATCATCCATCCGTCGCTGCTCCCCCTCCAGCCATTGGCGTGAACGAAAGAAAAACCCAGTCTGGCGCCCGCAGTAAGTAAGTACAGTAGCATTATTATTAGTGCGCTTGGCCCGGGGCCTCCGGGTCACTACCGCTCCAGCATGTCCCGTATGATACCTATTATGCATGTACCAACCCAAAACCCACAAAAGAACGCTCGCTTCCCCCTGGTTTTGCTCTTCGAAATCTCGCTTGGTCCGTGCGCAGCACAACGGCAGTAACGGCGGGACATACTACTATGACTACTACTAACTATTAGGTAGTTTGTTGGCTCCTCTCATCTCCTCTCTCCCACCGCCGTGGTCCGCCGAGACGGACCGATCCTCCCGCTAAAGGCCCCGTCACTCCCGTCCAGCGACTTAGCGGCGACTTCGACTGGGTTGACTGATGCTGGAACTGCTGGGGGGGGTTTTTCGAGGCACGAGAGATCAGTGACGGTTGTGTGGTACAAGTTCTTGTTGTTGTTATCTATCTATGTATTATCTGGTGCATGCAGGCAACGAACCTACAATAGTACTGTACGCAGTACCTCTATACATCTAACGTGTGGGAAGACCAGGTGACGACAGCGTGTGCGCGAAACGACGTCCAACCTCGACTCTTGCATCAATCCACCCTCTCAAGAACCCGTTAGAGGGAAAAGAGCAGGAAGCTCGGTCCTTCATCAGATAGATATTGCGTATATTCTCGTAAATGGCTCTCTCTCTCTCTCTTTGGGTGGATCCTCGCAAACAGACAGACTCCACCCTCACAGACAGACATGACCTCTTCTATCATCTTTTTCTTGTCGAGTTGGTCTCTCCTCTGCCCCTCTCCCTCCCCTCTGCTTTAGTCTGAATAATGCTGAGATCGTCCCGTGGACCACCCCATGCCCACCCCGGTGCTGGACCAAGGATGGACGGCGGATCAAGAAAGACCTGTGCGGAGCAGGGCGGAGACGGACGAAGATACACACCCTGGCGAATACCGGACAAGGGTTTTTAGCAGTGTCTGGGATGGATCGACGGGTGTGAAACAGACGGGCATGAGTGCAGAGAGCAAACGAGTCCCCAGTTTCTACCTGCTGGAGACGTCCTGAGAAATAGATGCGTCGGAACTCGTCCTGCTCTGTTTCAAGCTGACCCGCAAGGATCGGAATGTTGCACAGACAGACAAAAAGATTGCCAGGATTAGCATGATCAGCATGATCGGCATACTCACACTCGTCGTGGACACCTCTCATGAAGGATGCGAGGTCATGAGGGCTCTCGTCATTCCTCTCTCGTCCTCTTCACTCTCATCTCCGGTGTCGCCTTCCTCGGACTCTTCTTCATCCGTCTCTTCGCTCTCCGTCTCCTCTTCGGACCCTTCTTCCTCTTCCCCTTCTTCTTCTTCTTCCTCCTCCCCTTCGCTCTCGGCCAGCCAATCGTCGAGAGTCCGAGGCTTCGCGTTCGCCTTGGTTGTTCCTGCCGCAACAACCTTCTCCAACCCCCTCTCCTTAACAGCTTCATCTAACCTCCGGCTTGCAGCGACGGAGCTTGCGGTCCTTGCGCCAATGGGTACGTATTCGTCTTTCTCGCCACGGTCGCCCGCGTCTCTGAGCTTAGGATCGGGCTCGAGCCCTTCACTCACCCACTCCGGAAGTTGCTCGTAGCCTGGCAGGCCCAAAATACCCGCCACGTCGGTACCCAGGACGAGGGTGGTACTACCTAACATCAGACCTTTCCGACTTTCCGAGGGAGAGGGCGAGTGTGGAACTGGCTTGGGTGCCAGAAGGAGTAGAGCTGCCAGTTGGGTGGATGTGGGGTTGGCGAGCAGAGCTTTAAAAAGCCGTGCTCGGTCACGAAGGTCGTACGACGTGTCGTAGCGTGCCAGGAGCTGAACATAGTCCCATAGCTTGGAGATAGGGTGGTCCAAGTTGGCGGAGACGTGCGATTCCTCTGTCGGATCGCCTTGAGATTCGGCAACCTCCCTCTCACCACGAGAACCGGCAGTCTCCCTTTGCAAGAACAGCAGGTAAACTTTTGCAGCCAGTAAGACAATCTGTTGTTTGGCAGATTCACTCTCATCCGCAAACCCTTTGGCCAGTATGCGCAAAACATCAGGCGCTATGTTGTTGTCGGGATCGAGGCTCGCGAATTCCCCCACGAGCCATATGATTGTCGCTCGAGCCTCGGGGCTCGTGGTCTTATCCAAGTTTCTCGCCAGGCGCACCACAGTCTTTCGGTGGGAGGCAGGATCCTGTTGAATCAGATGGCGCATGACGGTGAGCACTTCAGAGACCAGAATATTGTCGAAGCTGGATATTTGGTTCAGAAGAACCTGGAAGCATCGGTGAGCGTCCTGCGGATCAGATTGTGCGCATCGCCCAATCGCACGGACTGATTCGCGTGTCAGCTCGACGTCCGCCGAATGAGAAAAGTGCTCCAGCTCGCTTAGGATGATGGACTTGAGGTGTAATGCAGCATGTGCAAAGATGAGGGTCTGGAGTTCGATCTTCAATTTCCATATCTGTGGAGAATCTTGTGCCCGGATCAGAAAATGTGACGCGTAAGAGACAAATAGGTCGGGCGCCGACAAAGCAACCAGCACAATATTGAAGAGGGCCACTTCCTGCACTTCGGGAGGTCCGCGCATCAGTCCGATCAATGGGCCGACGGCTTCTCGAAGGTATTCCGGGGTGCCCAGGTACAAAAAGCAACTGGTCACCGACATGACAACCGCTGCACTTCGGCTTTGTAAGAGAGGTTTGCAAGCTTTCAGAAATAGTTCCAGATCTGGATCCAGCTTCTCTACCACCTCGCCTGTCTCGACAGTCTCTTCAGACTCATCCTCGTAAAACCCCTTTTTGTTGACTTTGGTGACTTTTTGGGTCTTACGGGGAAAGCACCGTCGACTGTAGAACAAGAGAAGCTTCAAGGTGGCTAACTGACTCCATTCATCCATGTCGACCAGTTTCTTGACGAGACTCCTGTAATGCACGTGTATCAGGTCGATGCGATCCGGACACACCTCGAGAAATGCCTGAACTGCTGGACCCACCACGAAATACTGCTTGTCCCCCAACAGCGTGGAAATGTAGTCGAGCAGTTGCGGGAGAGTATTCGGGTCGAGGTTATAGCATTTCGGGATTGCGAGAGCAGCGGCCTTGCGCACGTGAGGGCTCATGTCCCCCACGCCCCGTTTGATAGCCAGAGAAACGATCTGGCTGATAACCGGTACTCGCATCCCAGACATGGTGCGCAGGGCCAGGGCTCGCACCTGTGGATTCTGGTCGGTGAGGGACTTTTGGATGGCATTGACGGAAAGCAAAGCCAAATCGGGGTCCGACTCGGCGTAATGCAACAGATAGATGTACACGAGCTTCTTGACTTCTAGGTTGGGGTTCGCAACATTCTTGACAACCGACGAGAAGTACGGTAGACACGGTCTATTTTGGTACATCATCTGAGCGGTGGTCAGCAAAGAGGCATCGTTGAAGCTGGGGCGAGGGTTAAAATCGCACAGAGACCACTCTTTTCAAGCCATCAAGGATATCGCGGTCACTTCTGCTGTCCAGAAGAGCCTTGAGCTTGACGAACGGCATGTTGTTTCGAGCAGAAGAGCTTCCTCCTTTGATGGCCTTGGATATGCTTTGGGCAGCCTCGACCGTCAGGTCTCGTGCTTGGGTTGGGTCAGCGTACTGCAACCACGAAGAATCCATGATGGTGACCGACCTGGGTCCATCAGGGACGAGATGCGAGAGATGGAATCCATCTTGTCGAGAGCCTAGTGTCGCAGTCGTCCTGTATCACCGGAACATGGTTGTGTAACCCGAAGTCCTCCAGTTGCAGAAAGAATGATGCGATGTGATGTTTGTCGAGGACATGACGCCGGCGACAAGCATGCCAAGCCTTATAACTCCGAAAAGGGCCTCCGCTCCGAGTGCCAAGACACAACGTTGATGGACCTCAAGAGAAGAGAGGCATCACCACGGCACCACGTTCGATCTGTAGTTGGTTTTCTGCAGGACCTACAGTATCTCAGGACGCAGCTCATAGGCTTCAAGCGGAGGAACCCTCGATATCTGCACGAGACAATGGCCAAAGGGACTAAGCACGGCTCTCCCCCAATCACTCCTTCATGAACTCCATCATCACCACTTACGACTACGAACTTGAGGTGCTCGAGGACGTCCTCAAAGAGTCAACTGATACACCGGCAGACTTGGTGGTGTGTTCTTCCAAGGGGGATTTTTTGGACCAGCTCGTCGCCCAGCTTGACCAGTTACCCGTTCAATCCGAAAGGCAGACACCACCACTACAGGAAGAGGTGAACACTCAGCCCGAGGACGGCTTGCCTGAACCCAGACACATTCTCCTCTCACACACTCTGCATATCTTGGCCACAAGCCAACTCGTCAATCTGGTCTTCTGTCCCACCATTCCTGTGCTCCGAGGCTATCTCTCTGGCTATGTCTCAAGCACAGTCGCCCAGCCTCCAGGTCCCATCATAATCCTGAATCTGCTGGCCATGCACCACGGAACGTCTGAATTCACCTTACAAGGCCTCTCTCAGACACTGGCCACCGCAGTTTCTGCCGCTCACCGAACGAATCACGTGCTGAAGCTGGTGGAATGTAAGGATATTAATGATCCTGCGAACCCAAATCGGGGTCCGGGTCTTTGGCAGGCCGAAGTCCAGCTGCTCAGTGCGGCGATCAAGATAGGAGAGCCAGGTCAAAGCTGGGGACGACGCACCATTCCGGTCATGAGGATCGCATCACGATGGTTCCGAGTAGACGAACAGCACGAACGGCGCCGACAGGAGCATAGTCCAGTAGTTCGTGCCAGGGACGACCCAGAAGATGAAATGCTTGTTTGAAGGGCACAAGGGAAAGATTCTTGCTAATTTGGCCCATACAACCCAAAAACCTAGTGGCGAGCCAACACAACCGGGTATCTTCAACAACGACCAACCAAGTCCTTCATAAACGTCGTGACAAATGGCAACAGATCACATGCTTTGCTCCATCTCGGTAATGTACAACTTGATGTGGGATTCAAGTTTGAGGTACTCCTCGTGCGCCGAGTGGACCTCTTGTTCGATGTTCTCCTTAAGATCGGCCATCTAAGTGCTGGTTAGCAAGATCCACCCGTCCAAATTTCACGCTGGATCGACTCTCACCTTCTTCTCGGTCTGCTCGATCCGGACTTTCCTTCTCTCCATCTCCCGGCCCTTGTCAGCCCGCTCGTCCCTGAGCTGCTTCTGAATCTCTCTCAGCTCGTCCATCTTGGCCTTGTTGGTCTCATCTCGGTCCTTGTGCTTCCGACGCAACTCTTCGATACGTTCTTCCCACTTCTTCAGCTGCCGCTGGAGCAGCTTCTCATTTTGCTCCACCTCGCGCACATTGTTCCCCCGCTCGGCAAGAGCATCGCGGTTCTTGGCCGCTCGCGCGTCTTCCTCCTCCTCCTTCTGCAGCTCCACTGCGATCTCTTCCAGAACTTTGACACACGCCTGTACGTCATTTTGAACAACATTAAAACTGTCCCCTGATGTCTGGAGGGCGCGGCATCTGCGCTCCAACGCATCGATCTGGGCCTTCTCGCGCACCAGGTTGTCCGACAGCTCCGTCAGGGTGCTCTGCAAGGCAGCCGGACTCTGTAAAACGTACGGTCTTAACTTCTCGCTTTCTTGCCGTGCTCGTACTAGTCTTTCGGTCTTCTCCTCCAACATTGCCTGGGAGCGTGATTTCTCGGCTTTGGCGCGCTCGAGCTGCTCTGCTACTCGTTCCTGACCTTTTCGAAGCTCCAGCAACCGCGCCTTCAATTCGTCGTTGCGTCGCATCTTCTCCTTGACGGCGACCTCCATTGCCTTTCTATTGCGCCTCATCTCTTCCAGTCTCTGCTCCATATCCTGATTCTCGGTGTACAGCGTCTCGATCCGGGCCTTTGTGGTCTCGGCCTTGTTGAAGTTTTCGTCTATTACGCTGGTGTGAGTTTCCCGGAACCGAATAAAGTTGATGGTGTACGAAAGGATCTTGACGAGTCGATCGTGGGTCGGACGGACGAGGTCGTTGAACGAGAAATCATGGACACCGCACTGTTCAAGCATGTTGCGCAGTTGTACGAAGAAGCCCATGAGCAGCCTCGTCTCTGCAGGCACTAGGTCAGGAAACTCAGAGCAGACGTCTTCGGCGGCAGCGCGCAGGGCAGGATCAAGGGTGTCTCTCGTGGCATTCATGACCAGTTCGCCGAGGTGCTCGAACACCATTTGGATGACTTGCGGATTCGGTCTCAGGATGTCGGAAGGTTGGAAGGGGATGCCCATTTCGCTGATACATGAGGCGATCTCCTTCTCAGACTGTAGTAGACGCCGTCAGCACGTCTTTTGTGGACATTGTTCGCAGACAACAAACCAGTCGCATAAAATCAGCGGGGTCCTCCTCCTTCTTCTTGACCCGCTGCTGTTGCTGCAGCGAGGTACGGTATTGGGAGTTCATGTTGACCGTGGAAGGTGTATCAGGTGTATCGTTTCTGCGTCAGTCTATAGAAGGTGGAAATGGAAAAGGGAAACATCAAAACGACGAACTGAACCTCAATGACGGGAATGGGAATTGCTTTGTTGACAAGTCCCGAATAGGAATAGTTTGCGGGGGTTGCAGTCCCCCCACGCCAAGACCATGTGACAAGGCTCTGATGGAGCCTTGTTGAAATAAACTGTTTCCATACAAATTCAAATTCCACGAACCAGTTTGCCAACATCACATTCCACGCAACATCCGGAGGTATTTTGCATGAAGCTACAGCTGTGTACTGTCGAGAAATAAAGATACTTCACCATGGCGGCTGGTGAGTGCCATCCACCCCCCAATCCATGTTTCCCCCTCCTATGACTCAACCGACTCTACATGGCCCTAGACAATATCTTCAGCACGAGTCCGAGTCCTGGAGGGAACTTGAGGTCCTGGTTGAGATGGAAATCCGTCGCAGCGTTCTATGCAAATACTCTGCGGTTGCCTTGTGAATCCACTAATCATTCCACCCTCCCAGTACCAGCATCAATCTCGCCCACGGCGTCCACCCCCTCAGCAGCCGAAGGGTCGCCATCGACGACATTCGACATTGTCGCGTCCTACAACTCGCTGATCGAGAGTGACCCAAACATCACACCTCCGATCGCGGCCATTGAATCGCTGATCAACCTCCTTGCAACGTCGCCCTTGACCACCATCTCTGAAACCCTCGCCCTGCTGTCAAGTCACTCCCGAAGACTGCTGGAGTCGCAGCGTAACCCGATTCCACTCTCTGCGGGAACAGAGCTGTTCCAGCGTTATTTGATCAGCTCGTTCCAGCAACGGCCGTCGTCGCTAGCGACATCCGACTTCACCGCATTACGCCACCACATTATCACCCAATCGTCTCTATTTGTGAAACGAGCCAACGAGGCACGCCTCAAGATCGCCCATCACGCCTTGCCCTTCATCAGAGAGGACTCCACGATCATCACCTACGGCTATAGCCGAGTCGTCCACGCTGTGCTGACTGCTGCGGCAGAGTCAAAGCGCTCTTTCAACGTCATCTATATCCTGCCCCCCACGGGAATATCGTCGTCGCTCGCCGATTCTATCACCTCGCTTCAAAGCCTTTCCATTCCGACCACCACAATCCCGCTGCACGCCTTGACCTACGCGCTGGCGTCCCTGCCGCCCTCCACAGCTACACCGCCACAGTTCCTGATCGGCGCCACCGCGGTCTTGGAGAACGGCTCCATCGTCACGGAACTCGGCACGCACCAGATCGGGCTCATCGCCAAGTCCTGTTCCATCCCCCTGCACGTGTGCGTGGAATCGTACAAGTTTGTGGGGAACTTCCCGCTCGGGTTTGGGCCAAGTGATCTTCGAAGGATGGGGGTCGAGCAGGACGTCTTGCGCTTTTCATCCGCCAGGGGGGATACCACGCCGGCCGCTACCGCTACCGCTTCGGATTCGGACGAGGCCAGCCAGAAGACGAAGAAGCAGGAAGCGAAGTCCGGCTCCAGACCGCCGCTGTCACCAGGACACGTGGATGATTGGATGGTGGAAATCACGCCGCCGGAACTGATCTCGGCGCTTATCACGGAGAATGGCATCATGACCCCCAACGCCGTCAGCGAGGAGTTGATCAAATTGTGGTTCTGATCTCGTGGGGGGTAGCGTTTGACTCACGCGCGTGGAATCCAGAGTGCCTGCTGAGCCTATGAAGTGTTTTGCACTCAGAGCGACTCCAATGGGCGCAGCTTCGGGGTTGATGGATGAATAGGTAGATGACACACATGGTTGATGCCACGGCGGCACGTCAGCCGCGCGACGGGACTCGAGAATTGATTACCACCTGGCACGAATACGAATCCAGCCCGGTGCGAACGGGGCCGAATCGAAAAGCATAGAGAACAACGAATCGGCCCATCACAGCCATGTCGTCCCACGGGGAAAGGATACGGCCGACATGAACTCCCCTCCCTCCCCCCTGAGGTCCTCAGAGTTGTCAGAGTCCAAGTTCGATCTGGCCGCAGGGTGCCAACGTGCATGCGCGCGACCCGTGTCGCAACAGAACCAGAAGGGTAAAAAACCAATCGGGGGAGACGCGTTTCAGAGGCAGAGCAGACAAGATTGTGGTGGCGGTGGCACGGAGACTTGTATCATCAACACCATCCTTATCATCCCACACGCAGGTCCGGATGTTAAGCAAGCAAGGTTGCACACAGCAGCAAGCCTTGTTTGGTTAGTTGGTTGGGTTGGTTGGGTCGACGATGGATGGCGAGAGAGCAAGCACGGGTTGGTTTCATTCTGGCCCCCGGCAACGACAACGAATACGCGATCACACACCGACGCTCCTCATGTCTAAATGCACTTGCTGATTGCGAAGACATGGAGGGACGGTCCTCTGTAAGGCGTACCTTAGGCTGTCTGTCTGTCTGGGAGGACGACGTGCCAGGGCTCTGATCTCTGATATGAAGGATACAACAATCGATACACAATACGCAAAATGTCCATGACTTGCTTTCATGACTGGTCGAAGCTGGGGGAGGGTGTGGGCAGAGATATTACGGGTTTGATCCTCTCTACACATGTATGTAGCAGGACGGACAGACACGTAACCGACCATGTTGTCTACCACTCTACGCTATAAGGGGCCCTGGCCTGCCTTGCATACCCAAAAACCACTGCCTTGCCCACGAGGGTGGGAAGATATAAAAATCGTTGGAAGACCGGACGGCAGGCAGGCTCTGTGGTGGCTGCGTGCATACATACATACTCGTATGTCGCCTATAGCCTGGCTTGGCCTGGCCTGGCCTTTCTTCCTGTGTGTGTCTGTGCGTGTCTCCACCAACCGCAAGAGTTTTCCTCCGGCGCCTTGCTGTAGCAACATGCATTCGTTAAATCATTTAGAATCTTGGAATTGTTCCGCCCCCAACAATGAATGTCCGCATGCAGATTTTATGGACGAGGAACCTCTGTAGAAAGCCCCCGAGGTCAAGTGAGATCATCAATCTCACGTTCTTTGGCACGCAGCGCCGCCCGCATGACTTCTGCCTCACGCATCAGCTGCGCTCTTCTTTCCGCCCTCCAAGCGGCGCCACCTTGCTGCTCGTTCGCACCGTTGGAATTCTCTTCAGGTTGCTGCACCGCTGTAGCATCCTGTTCCTGACGACGACGACCAGCCTCCACTAATGCGGGGTCAAGTTGCATATCTCCTGCCGCTGCCGCCGCACGTTGAAGTCGAGTGGCATAGTCTTCGTTGCTGTCCTGCGCGGTACGCCGGGCTTCATCCACGGGTGATTGTGGCTCGTATCCCGTGTAGTCCACGGTTGGAGGGGGTCGTTTCCTCTTGGGCCACGGTGGGTTGTCGACAAGCATCGGCTCTCTGGCACTCGCAGGCACAACAGGCTCAGGCGAAGCCGACTGTTGTTGTTGTGGTTGTTGTTGAGACGAACTGGTCGCTGGTCTAACACCGTCCGAGTATGCTGGAACAACCCTTTTCCGTCTCTTGATCGTGGACTTCTTCATTTGTACTGGCCGATGCGACCCATGAAGTTTGTGATACAGACCGCACGCATTGCAGATGGGACGGCCTTGCTCATCACGACGCCACAGTGGAGTTACTGTTGTTCCACAGTTCTTGCACGCAACGAGCAAGGACGCATCTCCGGGAGAGGCTTGTTGCTGAGCGGTAGGACTTGGTGCGCCTGGGCTCGTTCTCAAACCAGCCTCACTCTGCGAGTCGTTCCCGTCTTCGACCGGTAAGTTGGCCATGGCCGAAGTGCTGGCGGTTCGAGCGACTCTGTTGTTGTACGCAGGGCAGCCCCCACAACCTTCGGCCCCGCCTGCTCCGTTGCACTCTCCTCCACCTGGACACGAACCGGTGGTGTGCTCTGGGACTCGGTACGGGATACTCGACGGCAGGGTTTGCGCCGATGCTGACGCCACCGATGCTGTCGGAGATGCCGTGGTTCTCTGGCGTGGACTTTCGGGAGGGGCGGCTGAGTTGGGACGCTTCAAGTTGGTCGGCCGCGGAGCGTTTCGCGTTTTGAGGTAAAGCCCACAGGCATTACATATGGTATGTCCGGTGGGAGACCGTCGCCATAACGGGGTCTTGGTCGTCCCGCAATTGCTGCAACGAGTGTTAGCCTCATCACCAGCCCGGAGCAAAGGAGGCAAGTCGGCGTGGCTCGCGGAGATGACATACCTGCAGATTTGGCCCAGAGCCGGAGCATCTCCTCGCTGCTCAGCAGGTTCCGTCGACATCGATAGCGGTGGTTCAGAGGCTTCTGGTCCGCGACTGGCTTGACCGAGGGAATGGTGGCCGTAGGCGACATCCCCCGCATTATTTTCATGGGTCGGGAGGGAGCCGTGGCGTTCACCAAGTGCCGACGACACAAGCTGATGAGCCGCATCAAGGTCTTCAGCAGAGGGCTCACGCATCAGACTTTGCCGCTCAGACCCGAAGGAGGTGCGACGCAAAGGGTCCATAGCAGCGCGTACAGCCAACATGCCGATCCAACTGTTGTGGGCGTCTGGTCAGGTGAAGGCACCCGCCATCCAGGGACAAAGCGAGCAGGCTGCAGTCAATGTTGGAAATCAACAAGGAGCGAGAGATCCGGGAGGGGGACACCCCAGGTCTCGCGGCGGCTGGATAGATACGAGAGAGAAGTGTCCCAACCAGGACGAATGTAGGCAACCTGGGTGAAAGCGATGTCGGTCAGACGAAGAGCGCTGAAGAGAGGGAGTGTGTGAGTGAGTGAGTGGTTCAGATGGCGGGCGTTGCGATGAAATATCGAGGGGTTCTCACAGGTGAGAGCGAGGTAAGTCGGCAAGTTGGATAGGAGAAAGTCGAGAAGCTGGAATTACCCATGTCAAGCAAATGGTCGCGGCAGCCTCTAAGATGGAGGGAGTGACGGCACAAATGCAGTCCAGGAGGAATTCGTGAAGCGCGACATCCACTCGACGCATGCTGCTGGGCGTAATATCAAACACCTGTCTTGTGATTGGCTGGGATGGCGTGTGAGTCTGGTCACGTGGCGGTGGGACTGTCCTAGAATTGAGCACGAAGCGTGTATCGTTAAAACAGCGACTAAATGTGACTAGAATAGGGCTAGTGGATTACGCGCTTACCGGCATACCAACTGTGCGGCTTGTGCCAGCCATTGCCTTCGTTTCGATGCAACGGTCGTCCGGGAGACACAAAGAAGTGATATGGCTCATGATCGCAAGCCGGTGTGCGGGCCTTCTCTCGGACGGAATGTGGCGGACAGCGTATTTGTCGTTGGGAATGGTTAGACAACATCGTGTTCATCAGACCTGAAGCTTCAAGAACCTCGAGAGCAATGGAACCTTCAAGCGTGCATTGGAGAGATGACGACAATGACGTCCTCGGTCTCTGGAGAATCACGACTGCACACCATTTTCTGAGGGGACATCCACCAGGTATAACGTTTCCTGGAAATGGGCAAGAAGAAGAAGGAAGCCCTTGACCAGGTCATCCGTCACCATTTCAGATGGGTTCCTGTAGCTACTATCTACCACCGGGAAGCGGCAAGAGAGATGGGTCTGCCACACAAAGCATGTATGTGCATATGTTCACGGTAACGAAATCCTTCCAAGATGTACTTCAAGTGCGAACGCAGCACAGCACAGCAAGCCAGCGTATTAGGAGCAAGGACAATTACGAGCTCTGTTGAAATCTTTCCAGACGACGACAACGACAACGACAACAGCACGCAGTCTTCGCCCACCAGCTTTCTCTGATTTCATCAGGGACGACAACTTACTTGACAGATTGCTGGCCCATATACCGGAAGTGGTCTTTTCTGGGACTGGCTAGGTAGCCAGCACCGTAATGTATTCGATACTTATACATGAAACATTATGCAGACCAGGATGTTGCCGGTCCAACGGAGAATACTTACAGCCAACTGCCAGTTCCCTTCCTCGTTGAATTTGATTTTCATATCAGAGACTGGCTCTGCTTATCCTCGATGTCGCTACTCGTAGTATGTCAGAACTTGGCGAGCTTTCAGTACCTCAGGAAGCCGGCCAATAGATACACCACTATAAATACCTGATCATATATTTGCGCCAGCCGAAGTTGCGCGTTCCTCTGTTCTGCACCCACCACCACCATTCTGACGACTTGGGCACACACTCATGGCCTATCGAAGGTTGCTCGTTTGGTGTCACCTCCTCCTGCCAGTCGACCAGACCAAAACCCGACCAAATTAAAATATCATCCACCATGGTGACAGTTGTTCCCGCAAGCGATCATCTGCGCGTCGATCGTTCGCTTAGACTTGTTCAGCGCCCCAGCCAGCATCCGCGTCACGCATGTTGGATGGTGGCTCAATCGAGGGAGCAAATTCGAGCGCGCAGTAACCGACGCCAGTGGCAGCAACAATGGTGCCAGCAATGATTCGCAAAACGTGTCCCTCAAGGATGATGCAGCCAACGAAGATGTAGACTGCGCACGGTTAGGATCTCCAGGAGAATGAATCGCGGGAAGGACTGACAGATGCCGCGACCGAGGAAGGAAAACAGAAAGCTGGCGTATTTGGGGAGATAGGGTGGGACTTGTGGCAATAGTTCGAGTCCGGCAACAGCTGCAGGTTCAGTCAGTCTCTTGCGACCACCGTTCTGATAAAGAGGACTCTTTCATACCCAGCCCGAAGATGATCACGTAGATACCCACGATGATACTTCGACTGTCGTAGGATTTAGTATCTGCACAAACAGGCCACAGGAGGACAAAACCGACAATCCAATTGGGAAGAACTGGCTAATTCCTGTTGCCGTCTTAGTACGAGTGCTTTGAGCGGTGCGCCTCTGATGGCGTTGGATTCATTTCGTACCTCCCAAGACCATAATCGCTCCCACGACTAGATTGACCAGCCGGCTACAGCCTAGAGTCAGCACAAGAATATCAAAAACAACCAGCAGCGGGCATGGCATAAACGCGGTGCGGACTCGAAACGTACAAGATGTTGGAGAAGTCCATGATGATGGTCCAAGCGCAACTTGAACAGGGCTCGGGAGACTGAGGATGCGCTCCGAAGGACAGAGAGAGGAAAGGGGGGACTGTGGTTTCGGAGAGGATAGATGGCGAAGGGGGATGTTTGAAAGGAACAAAGTTAGCAGAATCTAATAACTGCGCAGCGCAGGCAGAACACAACAAAGGGGAAGCTGCCCAGCTGTTCTCGAGAACGACGAAGCTGGCAAGCCCACACGTATGCCAAGCGTCCAAACCCAACCGAAATCCTTCGACTCAGTGGTCCGTAATCAACTTTATCCCCCATGGAGCAAGGAACTCGGATTCAATCAATATTTATTCAATGTGTTTGTTCAATGTGTTTGTTCAAGGAGCTCTTATGTTGCCCGCTTCTTCGAGTGGAAAGGCTCGTATCAAAATTCCAACGAGCTGCTCTCCGTTACTCCATGGCCTCCATCGATGATTTGTTTCTACTGATGTATGACCGGTTTTATCGTAAATCATTGGGGATCCCAATCATGGTCTGGTCTCTAAGACGGGTCCCATTTCCTGACCGAAATCTCTTGTAATCTGCCATGTGCCGCCGACGCTATGCTATGCTGGGGTATCAAAACATGCCAACCCGTGCTATGCGGAATACCTCACCAAGACTGCTGGACAAGTAACCTCAACCTGTACTCCGGTAGTCCCCCTATGCTCGCAATGTTGGTTTGGGCCTCTCGGCAACCGACATCAATCTTGAGCTAGTCGACTCTGATGCAGCGGCTACTTTGTTGGTGACAAGACTGAGTGAGATGCGAGGCTGAGCCTTAGGGACAGGCTTCGTAGGATCGGTAACAGATTCCAGATGAGTGCCCTTCTCCTCAGGGACATGACGGTTGGCCTTCGTCTTAGGATGCGTGTTCTCTTGAGCGGGGTTGTCCGATGATAATTCGGTGTCTTGAGTGCTTGGTGGTGTACCTGTACTTGGCGGGGAGAGTTCATTGTCTGGTTCACAGATTGCAACAGCCATATCTGCACGTCGCCTCGTGCTTTTGCGTCTATCTGCTCTTTTGGTTGCCCGAACAGGTTCTCCATCCTCGTCCAGGGATCTCTTTGAGCTCGAGCTGCGTTGAGACGAGGTCACAGAAGGACTTCGTGCACGGTATTTGTCACTGAGCTGGTCCAGATTGTTCTCCATGTCTCTCTTGCTCTTTTGCAGGAAGTCCTGGATGAACTCCGACGATAGTTCTGCCTTGCTGCTCCGGATCGCTCTAGTACTGAGGATAAGATGTGGCGAGGATGGAGAACCAGTAAGGCCGTTGCGAGAAGTGTCTTGAGGTCTGAGGAGGGGGCTGTTCTTGTGCCGTGGCATGGAGCCATCCCTGGTCCGGGCGGAGTCGTAGTGTGCTCGCGTGACCTCATCTCCGCCGTAGCAGATGTGAAGCGGCAGCACAGCAGCTGGGTCCCTCCGGTGCTCGTTCGTGTAAAGGATCGAATCCCTGTCAAAATTCTTGATGCGTGGGAGGTGCACCGTGACATCTTGATCGAAGACCTGACAGAAGGCTACCAATTCAGGTTCTCCACCATAGGTCCCGCTGCGTGACATGAGAGACAAATATTCCTCAAACGCGTCTTCTGGCTCTTGACGAGAAGCCAGTGTGGCAGAGCGGAGAGTCCGTCGTTGTTGCACGTCGTCCTTGTGGACATAATGTTCGAAAAGCGGGCGGGAGGTTCGCATGTGGTCAATGATGCTCGCACGTATCTCGGGGTGTTTTGCCGGCGTGCCGTAGAGTTGGTCAGAAAGCGATGCAAAGAGACAATTGCCTGAGATCGAGTCAGACTGACATAGACATGAGATGAAAAGGGGAGGATCACATACCGTCGCCTGCTATCTGCTTCTGGTACATACCCATCTTGTCCAGGCCGGGCCATACAGCCCTAGGCTTTCGAACCATGCTGGGAAGCTGCGTGGATGCATGGTCAGCCATGGTCGAGCCAGATCCATTGACCCAAGCATTTGGAAGAGAGAAAAGGGAACGAGAAGGAGGGATTGGGACGATCACAACGACATGACAGGGGCCTGCAAAACGAGGCAGCGTTGAAATCGACAGAGTGGTCGCCTGCTAGGGGCTTTCCTGATGATTTCAGAAACCACGTCAAAGCAGCAGTAACTAGGGGGATGGAAGCCATCTTTCCAGTTGCCCCCAAAAGGTGCACCTTGGGGCCTAGGAGAGGGGCCACGCTGGACGGAGGGCCGGCGCTGTTTGGCTGCGGCTTACCTTCTGAACTGGCAATGACCGCCGCCTAAGCTGCCCAGGCGGGTAAAGGGGCGCCTGTCTTCGGGCGGCGATGCTGCCTTGCGATAGGCGGACTGAAGGAGGGGCTAGGCAAGGAGGCCAAGTGTGACACCAGCTGATAAGGACCTGGTTATCGTAGGTTGACTGATGACGGAGCCGGTACCTGAGAAAGTAGCGGGGATGTCACGGTGCCCAAAGCTGCGTTCTCCGTATTTTGTTCCCTGCATCTGAAGGTCGGACGCCCTGTGAGTACTCTAGAGGTAGAGTCTAGGAGGAAGACGGCACAGGTATTAAAAAACAGGCTGAGCCGTAAGACAGACACGCCCTCTTCACCTTGGGGTCCTCAACCATTGTATTGTGTACCTTATTGTTGCGGCTGGTATAGTGCGGCAGAATTGGCCTATTCACGACTCATTCTATTGACTGGGCACCCAAACAACACGATCCGAACCACCGGGCCCTTGCCCTTGCTGCCTGCCTCTCCCTTCCTCCTGACCGACCAGTCACGATGGCCGAGAAAAAGATTGTTGTCGTAGGGTGGGCATAGGTGACTCAACTTTCTCACAGTGAATGCAGCCTAACACGCATGTAGAGCGGGTGTTGCTGGCCTGACCACAGCGCTCCTGCTGTCCCAGAATCCTCGATACAAAGTCACTATTGCTGCAAAGCACATGCCGGGAGATTATGACATCGAATATGCCTCGCCCTGGGCTGGCGCAAACTACATGCCGTGAGTTTTCGACTCACCTCCTTGCACAACTGTGACACTGCCACTGAAATATGTGAGACAAAAGCGTGTCGGCAAGGGGGACACCCGCGGAAGAGTGGGATAGGAACACCTGGCAGCCTCTTTTTGACTTGGCCAAGAACCATCCCGAGGCGGGGATTCACTTCCAGAGAACAGAAATCTACAACCGGAAAAAGGACGTCTCTTCGGCGACGGCGGCATGGTTTTCTGAGCTTGTCAGTCCCGATCCATGGTTCAGCACCCTCTTTGACGATGTGAGTCGCTCGCTGTACACTTCCCCTCCACCTAGACGAGACTGCTCATGCTCGGCTTTGTCAGTTTCGCCAAATCCCCAAGTCGGAGCTGCAGCCTGGGATCGATAACGCCACGTGTTTCACGTCAGTCTGTATCAACACTGCGATATACCTGCCCTGGCTCGTATCCCAATGTCTAAAGAATGGGGCCACGGTCAAGCGGGCGGTATTCAAACACATTGCAGATGCCGCCGCCCCTGGCATCCATCATTCAGGATGCGCTGCAGACCTAGTGGTCAACTGTACCGGGTTATCGGCGGCTAAACTCGGCGGCGTTCAGGACAAGACGGTCGTTCCTGCTCGAGGTCAGATTGTTGTTGTCAGGAACACGGCGCCCGCGATGTATGGAACGTCAGGGACAGATGACGGCCCGGATGAAGCCTGCTACATCATGACTCGGGCTGCTGGTGGCGGCACCATTCTGGGCGGTTGTTATCAAAAAGGTAACTGGGAGTCGCAGCCTGACCCGAACCTTGCAATCAGAATCATGAAGCGATGCGTCGCCATCTGCCCCGAATTGACCGGAGGTAAGGGCATCGAGCACCTCGACATAATTCGACATGGCGTGGGCCTCCGACCCGTGCGAGAAGGAGGAACCAGAATTGAGAAGGAGAAAATCAACGGTGTCTGGACAGTGCACAACTACGGTGCAGGTGGTAAGTGAAGGCCATGTTTGTTCCCTCTCCTTTTGGCATACCCATCCCCATAAGATGGCCAATCTTGTTCAATTGCAACTCAGCTTGCAAGTGGATTGAACACGTAGCTAATACCATACAGGCGCGGGCTATCAGTCGTCGTATGGTTGCTCCCAAGCAGCTGTAAAATTGGTCGACGAAGTTTTCGAGGACAAGGCCAGGTTATGATCATAGAGTAAAGTGGATCATAGCAGTGGAAGTAAGATAAGGCCGTGGCCGCGACCTCATTTCGGGACCATTTACCGGAGTCTCGATCTCTGGAGTGCGCAGTACCTCGTACAAATATATGATCTCGAAAGGTCCCATATCCATCTGGAGATTAATTGATCAACCTCAACGCGAATCTACCGACCTCTTTGGGCCATGGTTGCTTCCTGAGTGAAATTGCTACACAAGTTCGGAAACCCGCTTCTCCACGCAACATGACTGAAAGCGACCTGGCACCGGGGATGCGAGCTCTTGACGTCCTGTAACTTGACTCGCCGATCGAGAGATTGGCGACAAGGGGACAAGAGCGACGCCGCCGGAGGCTGAAAATGCTCCGATGGCGAGGCGCCACAGCCGCTAGCAACGAGAAGCTAGAAGATGGCGTCCGCAGGTGGCCCCCAATCCGGATTCCATCTCCTACCACCTGCCCAGCCTGTTGCATTTTCATTCTCACTGCATATTTCCGGCTTCCTGGGAATATGAAGTATCGATATTGCAGGGCTTCAAGGCCCTGGAATTATGCACCATGCGGGCAAGAGACCGGCAAGGACTGCAGTTGATAGTGATTACTGGTCAGAATATCCGAAATAGATCATCCGCTGTCTCGAAACAGGGTTGTCGGGTCTGAGACATGCGCTTGGAAAGGAAGCGATCAGATGCAGGAACCGGCCATCCACGACGCACCCATGAACCGGCTACCAGCTAGCCATAGTCCGCTGGTCAGGGATTGGAGGTTCATTTGACTTAAGAAGGGGACTTGGCTCGGGTACCTGGACGGTCCTTTCGAGCTATCAGAGTCCGTTGTAGTTGGCCAACATCAGAAAGCAAGGAATACTGCGTCAAGCAACTTTGCAGACACCAACCACACATGGTAAACGTCATCAAGACTGAAACCAAGCACCATTGTGCATTTTGGCCTTGAAAGCTGGCAGACAACCATTCGCAAGGTTGGAGGAACACCTGAGACGGACTCATTGTTATCCACGCTTTGGCGAGTCACCACGGGCGCAGTGCGATCAGAGGCTTGCTGTGTTGAGCAGGCTCGTGATTTGCCCGCTGTGGCTTTCTCCTGCCCCGCGCTCTCACAGCATTCTCGGGGGCTTTTTCTCGCTGCACAGACACGCTGACAGGAATAACTGCTGTGACTCGTGGCATGGCTTCGTACGCTTCCGGATGACGGTTGTACCTGTGCCTTAACGTCTGCCGTGTTCCTTGCATGTCAGCAAGACGTTCCCTGACCTCCTATCACCTTCCCGTCGCGTACACCCTTGCCATCGGGAGAAAAGAGACCTCGTATTCTGGCCGAAGGCATAAACTGTCGTCGAGCTGACAACGCACCGAGTTCCAAAGGGCCATCTGGCATAGCCTGGTCAGGTTTTGCCATGGGCAAGAGGCCATTGAGTGCTGGGTGCTGACGTCGAACTAGTCTGAACCAAAGCTGTGACAGAAAGGAGATCAGTTCTACGAGAAAAGCAGCTTCGAGCCCTGGCACTGGTCGGCACATGCGGCCACGAATGATTGGAGTAATATCCCCCGAATGATGGTGGTGACCAATGCGAGCTGCCAGATCTGTTGTGATGCCACTTCGTGCAGACGACGTTGATCTCTGATGGAGCTGCTTGGACTAACAAGCACTGTGATGCAAATGACCTTTTTCCCATGGTTGATCTGCACTCAGACATCGAAGACTAGTTGCAAGCGTAGAGGATCATCGTTTTTTTGCCTGGCAGGTGATGGGATGGGGTCGGTGAGGCGTGGAGGAAGCAGGTGGCTTGTTAAAGGGCGGGTGGCTACCTGTGAGAAAACGCGATACCCCTCTTCAGGTTCCTCCCTGCAACGGTGCGGCTGTTGGTTAAGGATGGATGGGCTTATTGTGGGCTCCGGGTCTCCCACGGGCGCCACGGGCGCCATGGGCATCATGAAGCTCCACCCCAGCCCGCATCGATCGCCTAACAGTTCTCAGTAACCCACCGGCCAAACGTCCACCAGGGCTTGCCCGCCGCCTGCAAGACTAAATACTCGTAGTCCGTAGCTTAAGCTGCCATTTCAAACTTGCTCTTCGCCTCCAGTTGTTTTTCTTTTTAGCACTTGCATGCCCCCTCAAGGGAGGTTGGTCCCCTACTGCGTGCTGCTGCCGCGCCCGCCACTCGCTCATCATTCGACATCATCGTCACCATTCGTCACTGACAGCCCATCCTCCAGACCAGCAGAGCAACCTGCGGCCCAGTTGCCTCGCTTCGGTCCTCTACCACGTTTTCCGTTCATTGTTCAAGCCACGCTCATTCCAAAGCTGCCCTGCACAGAGAGTTCTCCATTTCCGCTCTACGAATTATCACCCGCCCTATCTCAAACACCGTATCCGGCCCTCGAACCCTCGCGTGTCCACAGACGAACCGTCATTCTGCTTGTCTCGACTTGCTCAGAATCCATCACACTGCCGAGCTCTTCGAGGAAAAATAAAACATTGCGACCGCGACCGCGTGGCGCTGCCGCCCCTGTGACAATCCAAGTTGAAATAACAACATCACATTTCCGGAACCGCCTGTGCCACGGACGGTCGATTCTACCTTGTTCCTTATACTCGATTGAAATTTGTCTCGTGCGCCAGTGTGGTCGTCGTTGATGTCTCTCATCAGGGTTTGCAAACCTCCGCCTCGACTAAGCCCTGTCCCTTGACCGACCCTCCCCCTTCCACCAAGCCACCTGATCTGCAACTGCTGGGCTCAGCATGGGCTTTTGGCCATTCGGTGCAGGCAAAAAAGGCCGAACGACTCAAGGCGAAGATCAAGGACAACACTCACTGTTGGAGAAAACACGGACAGATCCTCGCACCAGAACAAATACAAGCTCGTCTCAAGACTTTGTACCCATGGGCAGCCAACGTGGACGAGACGAGAAGCCTCGAAGGCTTTCGAAACAGCGGCTTCCTTCTCATCCCGGAAGTGTCCCCCGTGCCTCCACGTTACCCATCAGCGTGCCCGGACCTGAGTCACTCGGCTACAAGAAGAGTTCCTACGGGGGAGGTGGCGGCTTTCAGAGTACTGATATTTATTCGCACAATCCGATGTCACAAACAAGCATCGGCCCCGAAGAGTTCACGGCACTGCCGCAGGCTCCCACGCTGCTAGCTAAGCGTCCAGGCTACGACCCGACACTTCATCGGAGAAAGTCGAGCAAAAGAAAGGCCGAGGACTATGCTCGTGAGAGGGAGGTGCGTGCCATGAGCTCGCCAATCCAAGTTCTGAAGCGGCCCACCACGTACTCCGGATCTGGACTGCTTCGCCGGGACACCAAACAGATTCCGGGTGATCTCAATAGGAGACTGCAACGACCGACGTCAGAAGTGTCTCTGCCGTTGCCGGAAACAATACAAGAGTCCGAGGATCTTTCCAATCAAGCTTCCTTCAAGATTGGGATCCTAGCAGCGTTGAGTCCCAGGCCCACGCTTACTTACGTGGCAAGCCCTCGACCTTCAGCCGGAAAGCAACCTGCAAGAGTGAAACCTTCAATCCAGCAGGCCATAGAAGAGGAGGACCCTGCGTCGAGAAAAAGGATAAATGAATTAGCAGACGAGCTTGATGCCGGAGGATTGAGAGAGTTGATGGACAGAGATCGAAGACGTAAGGAAAAGAAAAAGGAGGCCGACCGTGCTCGATTAGAGAGAAAGCTTCAACGCAAGGCCGATAGGCAGCGCGAGGAGGACATGCGGGGACGTCGACCTAATGATACCTCTGGTGACTTGACTGTCCCAGGGGATGAGGCTGCAAGAAGAGGTCGTGCGCTGTTCGGCAACGTTGGAGAAACATCGCACACTGCTGTTGCACGGGGGCCTCCAAGTCCTGCAAGCCAACCGGCTAATCCATTTGCTGATCCAGGAAGCTCACAAGCTAGGCCGGTTCAACACATTAGAAACCCATTTGAAGATGAGAAAGACATTGATCTCACGCAAGAATCATTCCTGCATGAGGGAGAAGGAGAAGAACCGCCGGTACCGGTCAGGTCGCCTCTCCGAACGGTTCCCGCTGCTCAAGCCCGGCCAGAGGAGAAATCATCTCTGGCAACCACGATCTCCCCTCCCATTTCTCCGGCACAAGGGCCCGTTGACCGCCAGAGCTTCTCTCAAACCAGCGGGCTTGCTCGTGAAATCACTCCAGACATTCCAGAATATGGATCGCTTGATCGACGCGCTTCGGACCAGAGCAACCGACAGCTCAGTTCTTGGACCAGCTTTTTCAGGCGTGGTGGGAGACGGAAAGCCAGTACTGTTGAACGTGGTCGAAGCACGCCGTCTGAGTTCTCGAACACGTCACGAGAATCGTTTGCTCGAAAGCAACAACCACCACCGGTGATGGTTCCCCGAAGCTTTCGAAGGTCCGACTCCTCTTCGGTTCCGCAAAGAACTATGTCTAAATTCCGCGAGGATCTGCCTGAACTTCCTATTTCTCCTCCAGATTCTCGCGTTCAATCTCCTGAAGTGATGGCCAGCCCACAAGCTGGTCAGGCATCCCGGCAACCGCGGCACTCACTGTCGGGGACTTTGGACAATCGAAGTCTTGCCACGAGCTCGAGTAATGCAGCGTTGGATCGAGGGGCGGCTGAAGGCCGCCAACCTCAAGGTATTGACATTGAAATGGGTGGTACCACCTCAGGACATGCTGTGTCCCAGTCCTTGGCGTCAGTTGACTCGGAAGGATCTTGGCTGTCAGGTAAGCCTCCAAAGAGGCTCTCAGGTGGTATGGGACACCCGCTTCGGCAAAGCCAGTCCTCAATTCCGCCCCAGTCCATTCCTGGCTCTTTCGAACCAGAGGACGACGACCTCGCAAACGACGAATATCTCAACAAGTTGTCCCCGGGCCCAAGTGGGCGGCGAGATTCGGTCGCTTCAGCGGGCCGCAGAGCGAGTAGCAACGTCATCGACCTCGAGCGGGAACGCCAGCAAAGCCCCGTTCCCGACCTTCCTCCCATTTCCGCCGCTCAAGGTGCAGATGAGAGATGGCATGCTGGAGTAGCACGACAAGCCACCGTGGTCCGGCAACCCAATCGAGCGAGGTCGAAGGAAGGGCTGTTGAAAGAGACGGGCAAGGATGACTTGAGCGCATCTCGAAGAGCTAGCTCGGACGTGGAGGAAGAGGGCGAACCTGCCGGAACGGAACTACAAGAACAAGAACCCACGCTCCTACGCGCCAGAAGTGTGGACTATAAAGGCCATGCGAAGCATATCAGTGCCGGGAGCGCCCGACTGCTCGACATTCGGCGATCTTCAACCCAATCAGAAAGTGCACCGCGAAGTGCCAGCCTTTCGCAGACTGTACCACCAGCCCAGCAGGAACAGCCCACATTACCATCGAAAGAGTGACAAGGCTGTGCCGAAGCCACCGACGACTATTCTTTTTTTCCCTATGTCCATTTTCTATGTTTGACCCACGGAAGCAAAAAGGCCCAGTGCCGCCGCGGGGACAACCGTCGGGACGGTTGGTCAGATCACTCCTACGACATTCATGATGCAAAATATTGATACCCCAGATCGCTCTTTTAACATTTGTCTTTTTTTTTCCTACCTTGGGGGACATAAGCCACTCGCCTCTTCTATGATGGATTTTGAATTGGATTACAATTAGCGGGAGGAGAGAGTCTGGTTTGAGGGTGAGGGGGATGGATATATAGCTGAATGAAGCAATTGATTTGCGAAGGAGAGGTAGTCCGTGGCGGCCGCGCCCACGATGGAGCCGAATCCTGGTTGATTTGGCATCTTTGGCATCTTTGGCCATTTCTGTGCTCGGTCTACATGTACACCTGTACACAGCGAGGGGTTTTGTGAAGGACAAAAGGACACCAGGGGAGGGGGCAGACAAATAACGCAATATTCCGGACTCGGAAACAGCTCGGGACTGATACCTAACACGCTATATCCGGAATCCGGATTAACCAATGCTCCGTCAGGCTTACCGTAAGAGTCGATGCCGTCATGCTCTGTGATTGTCATCTCGTCACGTGAAACAAATTATGACGTCAACATGGGCCAATGCGGGCAGGAATCTCGCTGCTCCTGGCACTTTTAGTACTTTGTTACCTTCCCCAAAATTCAAATACTGTGAAGCTGCAGCAAAACGTGTCCGGTTGGATTTCTAATCGCGTCATCTTTTCACTCAGTCTTCGTCTATCCACCACCCACCGTCCCTTACCCCCCCTTATCTCAATTCACCATTCACCATTCACCGTCCAGCCCAGCCCGTTGCACCCCTCCATCCATCCCCCTTCAGCCTCACAAGCTCCTTCGTTGCGCCAGAGTTACCCTCTATATAATAACCTTCACGCTGGCCGCCTCAATCCGTTCCTCCTTCTCCCCCCCCATCATCACAACACTTCAACGCCTTCTACTCACAACAACACCCAGAGCCACACTTCGAACCAGAACAACTTCGTTGATCCGGTCTTTCTCAACCACCCATCCGACGCAGTTTTCGCAGTCGCCATCCAAAATGGTCGTCCACAACCTTGCAGAGTATGTAGCCTACCATCAAGCCAAGCTGCGCGAGGAGCAGCAGGCTCGTAGTGCTCCCAAACCTGCTAAAAAGTACGGTGTTAACCCCATCCACAGCAAATCCTCCTTCAACACGTCGGTCGTGGAGGCTCCTGCCGACCGGCTGGTCGTCCTCGACTGCTTCGCCACCTGGTGCGGCCCCTGCAAAGTCATCGCGCCCGAGGTCGCCAAGTTCTCCGAGTCGGCTGAATTCAAGGAAAAGGTCGACTTTTACAAGGTCGACGTCGACGAAGTCCCCGATGTCGCCCAGGAACTCGGCGTGCGCGCCATGCCCACGTTCATGATCTTCAAGAACGGCCAGAAGGTCGCCGAGGTCGTGGGCGCCGACAAACGAGCCCTCGAGGCCGCCATCAAGAAGAATTTGTAAATCTTCCTTGACTACACCCTCACCTGAAAACGCGGGTTTTTCCTTCACCTCGACAAATTGTCGACCGCGGGTCGATTTGTCAGCCACACATACGTCCCTCAAATCGGCTATAACAAATGACCGAGAGTCCAGAGGGAATCCACGGAAGAAGATGTCTTGAGACAAAATGAAAAAAGTCCACGGTACACGGTACTACGAAGGTAGTAGAGGTGGCCGCAGCGAAACGGTGTTGCACTATTTCGCATTAAACAGAGCCCAATAAAGAAATGTCTGTCATTTGCACTTTCCACGTGTGTCATTTCTTTTTAAGACGTTGTCGTTGTCCTCCCCCTTGGTGTGTGGAGCCAGTTGGACATGAATTGCAATCAATCTTCATGACAGTTTTCCTCTGTCGAACTCGTCGGTTGACCGAATGATACTGCCGGGATCGCAAGGTTGAACAAGGTTAGGTGACTGCAGAAGTTGCTCCTCACAAGCCCAATCAATACCCATCGGCTTCCCAAAATGTCACATCCGACCCGCCAACTTTGATGTGCAGCCTCGTTATGTCTCTCTCTCTCACTTACACACTGGCGAAGACCCAACCACTCACTCTCTGTTGTTGTTTTTTCTTAGTCTCCCTGGACTAATCCATACCGCTGCTATTGTTGTTGCACGGATGACAGACACACTGGACCAACCGGAAACCCACGTAAAGCCCCCAACCCCTTCTTTTGCATCTCTGGCCTTGTGTTGAGGAAGAGAGCAAAGAGGAAGCAGGAGAGGGAGAGGCACAGAGAGGGAGAGGGAGCTCTCCGCGCCCTTTTTCCCAACGGGCGAGTACCCCCCCCCCCCCCCTTCTCGGCCGTTTTATTTTCCTTCGGCGCCATGCTTTTCTTCGGACGATTTTCGTATCCGGCCGGTCGCCGACGCCGTCGGGTAGCTGTCATTTCCGCGCCCCGGTGAGCCACGGTCACGGTAAGGGTCAGGGTCAGGCCAGGCCGGGGAGAGAGGGAAGGGGTGGGTTGGGCCGGGCGGGTGTGCAAGCATATATCGTTTGTGCTTGTTTGTGTTTTATACTCGACTCCTCGCGCACAATGAATTTTACTTAGAGCGTGTGGAACGGAGCGCCCAAGGGGGGTGATAGAAGAAGAAGATGGAAAGGAAAGCTTGAGGATCTATCTACTACTGTACCCCCAGTACCTCCAATACCTTCCTCTATACTCGGGTAGCCCGCCGCGCATGTATGCTTGTTGGGGACAGGTCAAAAGATGTATAGAGAAAAAGAAGAAAGGCAACGACGATCGCTTCACTAACGTTCGCGGAACATGGAAGGGTGGAATGCTCTACTGTCTATACATATTTCACACTGACAACAAAACAAGCCATTCTGATCCGGGTGGAATGACTGTTCCCCTTTCGTGTTCCGTTGTGTTCTGTATATGTGTGTCTACGTATGCCCTGACCTTCATATGTGCGACTCGATACTGTGCCTGTACTAGATAGAACATCCTGGCCCTTCTGGTAGTCCAAACTATTTGTACAGTGATGATGATATGTACACTCATGAAGTGCAGTCGTGATACTCGTGCTTCGTCAATAAAGAGAAAGAGAGAGTGGCCCGTCGTCGGCAAATCGATACTGGGTCGTTGAATCGCGCAGAGAAATCAATATAGGTGCCGCCCGGTGAAATCCAATGGCCACGGTTGCCCAGATGTCTCAACACTGTATCCAAGACTCTGGCAAGAATCAAACAGCAGTTCCGCATTTTTTACACCTGAAACTTTGGCCCTTGTCGGTCATCGTCGCTTTGAACGTCGTGCCTCCACACTTTGTGCATTTTAGATCGCTGTCGCTGCCCACACTGCTCCGCCTCCGGGACCGGGGTTTGCGATTCTTGTTCTCCGCCGTCGACGCTCCACGCTTGTCATCACCCATACTCCCGCCAGGACTGGGATCACGTTCGGAACCAGTAAGTTCGCTGGACAACTGGCTTATGTAGCTGGCAGCGCGAGAGAGAGGGTTGCCGTCCGGCCCAATCAAACCCGGCGTCCGGGGCATATGCTTGGCCATGGGTAATAATGTGCTCTTCATATCCCACGCGAGGTATGATTGCTGGTCCACCAAGAACAGCGGATCGTTCGGGCTGTGTGGGAGATCACCTGGCGTGGGATTTGAGGGTAAAGGCTTTAGAGATATCTGTGGCGACAGCAACTCCTGGTCTGGAGTCTTTTGGTTGGCCGAATGGAAACTGCCGGGCGATTCGGCGAGCGGCGACTGCACCGTGATCGAGGGACCGTTCTGGATCTGATGTAAAGGCGAATGATACTCGGGGGATTTGGGGGAGGTGATAGTGTCTTTACGTGGAGGTGCCGATCTGTGAAGTGAAAGACGATGGCCCAGGATCTTCCTAGGCGAGGCGCTGCGGGACCGCTCATTGTTCGCCAGCTGGCCCCGGATTTCCAGCATGCTTGTCGAAGCATTGTTGTTGGCAATATCGTTGGGACTCACAGAATTCCTCCAGCTCAGGATGCGGTCCGTTGACTGCGTCTTCGGATTCATAACCAGTGAGTTCCGGTGGCTGGACGAATTCACCGAATTGCGAGTGGCCACAGAGCCGCTCCGACCAAGCATTTTCCTGGAGAAATTAGAGCTGGCGTCCCACGACTCGTGTCGGCGTTTCTGGAAAGCACAGTCTTGCCGGAAGACCTTGATTTGTCCAGTGTAGTCCGCCGTGACAATTATCTGGCCGCCTGGGTGCGAATGACGAGATAAATACGCGGGTGTCTCGGGAGCACGACGCGGAGATTCCGACAGCCTCGTTTCGTCCCTGATATGTTTGTCATCTGAGTGGTTGCTGTTGTTTGTGGGCGCCCGAGAGGAAATGACAGAGTCTGCACGACTGATCAACGTCACTGGCGGCGGGTTGCAGAGGTCGTACAGAGGATCTCCCGACTGTGCCAGCAGGCGTCTTGTCCGTTCGGGTGCCATGATTGCGGTGGTGACGATGGCGGAGTGGGCCTCAAACACTTCCATCGGGCGTTTGTCGTTCTCGGGCCGCTCATTGACAGATGTTGGCCAGATGTACACCTTACGGTCTTCACTCCCGCAGATTACATATTTTCCATCGTCGCTGAACGAGGCATGTATTTGGCTGCAGGAATTCTCGTTGCCACGGAACTTGACCTCCAGGGTCCTATCCTTTAAGTTGTACATTCGCACCCGCGAGTCGTTGCTGGTGATCAGGAGTTTCACATCGGGCTGACCACCTTCCCGCGGCAATGAGATGGTATCGATCCCCGTGATTTTGCTCCCTTTGGCATTTTTGCCCCGGGCTGACCGGACATGGATTTGCGAGTGCGCCTTGAGACCTTCGGTGTCGTATAGGATGCACAAACCATTCAAGCAGCCGGCGATGGCGGTCTTTCCATCCGGCGTAAAGGCGACGGCAGTGACCATGTCGGAGACCTGCGTCCAGTACGCGACGTTCTTGTCCGGGATACTCCACAGCCGAATCTTGGAATCCAGAGAGCCCGCCAGGAAGAATCGATCATCCCGAGGATGAAATTGGATCGACGTGACGAAGTCGTTGTGTTTGAACGCACACAAGCATTCTACCCGGCTTACGTGGTACAGCCTCACGGTCTTATCCATGGAAGAAGACAGCAGAAAGTTGTTCTTGCTCCAGCTGAGGTCCAGGATACTCGACGTGTGGCCATCATATTCGCGTATGAGCTTACTCTTGAAGACGGGTGCGTTGAGTTTGACCTTTTCCCCATCGTTGTCGGTCTCTGCAAGTTTCTCCTCCATTTCTCGGTCGTCGGTGGATGATATGACCTCCCACACCCTCAACTTTCTATCCTGCCCGGCAGCAGCGAGATATCTTCCATCTTTTGAGAATTCCATGGCCCATATGGCATTGCTCGCCGAGTTCCTCGGGGGCGGCGGCGCGACATCGTCCGGGGTGTCGTTGATGCTGTGGATCTTCGAGTCTATCTCGGGTTTGCGACTTTTGGATGGCGGCGTCCCCAAGAGGATCTGGGCCAGGAACAACCTGTCGAAATCCTTCTGCTTCCTATATTGGGCCTTGACCTTGATGTATCGTGGCGGCGCAGGGAACTTGGGTATGAAGCCGACGGGCTGGGAAAAGACTTCGGCCTCGACGCCGGCAGGTCGAAACTCGGAACCGACCTCTGAAGCATTGTCGTCGTGAAGGTCAAAGGAGTCCCGCTTCTTGTTACCCATGATTCGACTGAGGAAGGAGACACCTTTTCTGGAGAGACATTGGCAATTAGTACACCGCAGGGACTCAACTTTTCAGCGCCGAGGCCGGGGAGCAGCAGATGGCCGAGAGCACATGGAAACAAGGTGCTTATCCATCCATCGAGAACAGAGACAGGTGGAGAGACCAGAGGGTGGTGTGCGCCCGGTGGTCCAGGCTTTTCTATCCATAGGGACTTACTTCTTCTCCTTGCCCGAGTTGCTACTATCAACCCGTCGCAACGAAACGGGTTCGGCTTTCAGACTGCCCGAGTCGGAATAACCGGAGTCTGCATAAGGCGGTTTGGAAGGCACACCGCCTTGCGAAGAGGCAGGCAATTTGCTCTGCGACTGGGTCCTCTCGAGGATTTGCTAGAGGTTATGAGTGAGCCAAGCGTCATGAGCCAAGTGGGTATTTGTATGTTATACGATACCCTGGAGATGGGATCTAGGACGGGCTCAGAGCCAGGCTGGGGCTCCGATGAGCCCACGGTCAGGACAGGAGACATGTTGCCTGCTGTGCTGGCCGTTCCTGGGGTCAGGCCGTAATTGTAATCGCGACGAAGACTGTTGGCAGCATCCGGGACTGAGAAAGCGGGCGAGCACAGTCAGCACAGAGATTGGGCAGTTCTTGGGGGGGACGAAGAGGAGGAAGACGAGGTTGGCGGGCCGAAGATTAAATTCGGTAACCACACTTTGCTGATTGGAACATCACATAATGACATACTGCTGTGGGAAGGAGGAAGAAGCTGTTGTTCGATGTGCTGCTGAGCATTGGAGCTGGCCACCGGCACCTCGCTGCTGGGAGGTGGAGGGCAAATGTTTGGAGCGCATGATGACAAAGACGCCGTCGTCTCTGGCTGTTGGCGGTTTGCGTCACTGTCACTCGTGGCTGCCAGGCAGTAGTTTCCTATTGCTACAATGCCCGCAGCCACCATCTGGGCCATTGTTGAGCCTCACGAGTCACCGTCACCGTCACAGTCACAGTCACGAAGAATACAGATCGTGGATAGAACTCCCCAAGGCAACAAGAAAAGATTGCCTGCCAGGCGAGCCCCAGCCCGTCGGTGAGCGTGCATGGGGCCTGAAGGACACGCTCCTCATCTACTTTCCGTATCCCGTATCTGACTTATGCATCCAGATTCCAGATAGACAAGAAGAACCGGTGAAAACCCTCAGCTAGCCTCGTTGGGTACTTGTCGAACCATTCCCTGCTTGAATCATCCCTCCCTGCAGCTGAGCTCATCATCTGCCCATGCCCCCAATTGGTCCTCTACAGCTCCACGATTTTTACCTACACACTCGCGCCTTTTACTGTTTTGGTCGTGGTACAGGTTGCAAAAAACATGTACTGGTTGGGGCCACATTTGGCACAGAGAGAGAGACAGAAAAAGTCGGCAGCAAAAAGAGACAATGTTTGCCGACACACTTATGCATAAATTATGTATGCCTTCACAACACCAAATGCCCGGGTATCACGAGAGAAATGGCAGAGCCCGAGTGCCCAGAGGCCCCGCTTAACGCGTAAAGACCAATGCGAATACGAAGGCGCTCGTATACATGTCCATTTGACTTCTCAACTATTCCCGACCAACGTCGCACATGTGCTCCCTGACATCCTGGACTACCCCAGCCCGCGCCCAATATCCTTCGTGCCCAGTCCAATCATTATGCTCACATGTTTCATTGCTCCTGGCTTGCGATTCTGCCCAAGTAGCCCAAAAGGAATGCCTTATTTTCAGCGCCTGTTTGTCGCTTTTCGCCCGCGGGACGCCCTGTTCCTGGCCCACTCACGATCGAGGTCATGCTCCCCACACGGGACGTCCGAGTGGAAATGGGCTCAATCCCAGACAGCGGCATCTCGCCATTGGCATTGAGGATTTGACTAGTCGTCAAAGGCGACACTATGCCCGAACTGGGCTGCAAAGTGGTTGCACCAGCTGCAGCTGCAGTGTCCAATCCTCCTCCACCAAAGAGAGAAAGTAATGTTTGTTTTTGCGCCTCTGTTTGGGAAGGCTTCCGGCTCGGCGTCGATTGTTCACCACTATCCACCTTGGCAGTCGAAATCAGCTGTTGATTTGGAGCCTCACTTGTAGCGGTGAGCCCACCAGCTATAGCTGCTTCAATGGTTTGCGGCCGACGAAGAATCTGAGGCTGAAACGGTTTTGCTTGCTCCTTAGGCAATGCCCTTTCCTTCGCTGCACGCCTTGGTGTTGACTTGGCACCTCTTGGAGACCGCGGTGCCTGGGAGCGAGATTCTTCCGACCGTGTCAATATCTTGACCGGTGCTGGTTGATTGGGATCGTATAGGGTCCTGTTGGCAGGGACTGGGTTGCGGCCCATCTCGTTCGCCCCATGCCGCGTCGCCCGAGAGACGACTTCAAATTCGGGTTGATTCAAGGGACCACTGATAGTAGCAGCCGTTTCACCCTCTCTTGGAGACGGACGCTTAACCTCGGCTGCCTTTCGTGATGCGTCTTTGCCACCCTTCCCCAACAGCGAGAGCAGATTGTCCTTGTTCACCTTCGACTTCTGAGAAGAGGTGGAAGGAGCTGTCGCTGCGAGCTCCACCGGTGGTTGACGTGGGGTGATTGAGCTCTCCCTTGGTTTCGGTGGGGACGGTTGAGTGAAAAGCTGAAGAAGGGATGTCTGCTGTGCGCTTTGAGGTCGTCGAGAAGGCAGTAGAGAGGGAACCTGGCTTTCAACCCCTGCATTTGCGGTTGATTGTGCGGGCGCATTCAGAGACCAAGGAGCCGAACCTTGGCCGATGCCTCGGATAGTCTGATCGGCCGGTATGTTCTGTCTTTGCACTGGCGGGGCCTGCAATGCCTCGACCCGGCTCTGAACATTCGTGGCTGGCGTCTCAAAATGCGTTGACGGCTGGATAGGTGGGCTCTTTGCTCCTCTGAAAACATCGAGTAACGCTTTCGTGTGATTTGTCAGCTTAGGCAACGCGCTGGCTGGAGGTATGGTTGCCTGTTCGCGCCGCAACGCGCCTTCAGGAGCAAACAATGGATCGGTGGTCCTTTGGAATGGTGTGACTCGTGGGACGTTATGGGTGGGATAAGCCGCCGCAGCCGCGGCGATGGTTGAATCGTTTGGTCTTTGCTGAGATGCCTGTGCAGAAGGCAACGTCTGGTCTTGGAACTGCGGCGGGAATGGTGCTGGGGGCTGGGCTTGATCAATCCGTGGCTGCCGCACATGTGAGATATGTGGCGACCGTTGGACCTCAGGCGGCAAGGAGATCTGTTCCAGGGGAGTCCGGGGTACGGCAGCGGACTGACCCTGTAGGTCCCCTCGCAGAAGAGCCAGAAGCGCGTTCGACTTCTCAGTGTCGACCTGCGGCATATGACTTGGTGGCAACGTCGCGGGAGGCGGCACAGCTTGTCCTCCAATCTGGAGCAGCTCCTTGAGATGTAAACTTGGGTCGACCGCAGTAGAATCAGAGACTTCGGGCAGATCGCTGATAGCCGACGGTAGGAGCTCTCCGCGGAGTGCGCCAACATCGTTTTCTTCATCCTCAGTAGTCACCTCCTCGGGCACCATGGGGGGTGCTGCAAGGTGCGAGCTGTATCGGTTTTCTTTCTTTCGTTGCTGAGCTATCCATTTCTTGAGTGGGTTCAGGAAGGGTGCCACCATATAAAATTTGTTTGCGCTGATTGATGCACGGTCGGTACCGCTGCCTTCATGCTGGCGATGATTATTCTTTTTCAAGGTGGGCAAATCTGTCAGCTTATACCATGCGATCTTGCTGATCTCCTTTCGTGTCCTGGGTTCAAAATGCGCGTCTCGGGGCACCCCTCGGAAAACATATAGTCTCATGTGTTGTTCTCTCATCGTGACTTCGATATATTTCATGTCCTTCTCATCCTTGACGAGTCCGGCCTCACGGACGTCGAAACCGGTCTCCTCGTAGACCTCCCGCACCGCACAATCGAGATCATTCTCATCCTTGTTAATCTTCCCACGAGGGAAGCTCCAATGTGCGCTCTTTTTCCAACCTTTCACAAGGACGACCTCGTCCATCGACTCATTCAGCAAAATGGCCCCTCGAACGGGGACGCGGGATTTGTACGCGAGGAACTCCGCGTAAGCGGTGGTATGGTGCTGAGCAGACCATTGGGAGAAAAGCGGACAGTGTTGGAAGATGCGTAGACTGAAGGCACGTAGAGAAAGGGAAGGGAGAGAAGGATCAAGGGGTCGAATGAAGTCTTCGTAGAACCATTGCGCCTCCTCGACTTGGAAGCAGATGCGCTCTACGGACTCAAGCTCCTCCGGCGGTAGATTGATGATGAATCGGACACAGAGGTCATCCAGCCCTAGGGAAAGTAGAGCGTCAGCATATGGGCAAACATCACGCCAAATTGAGGAGTCTCACAATCCTCCAGCTGCATCTCTTGAGTTTGTTGCTTGATGAGAATATCTGCTCATCTCCACTGCTCTGGAGATTCTAGGGAGGATAGGAATCACGAGTCCAGGACTAACTGGCTGCAGGATCTCCAGCCTCACGTCCAGATGCTGGTGACCGAGTTGCGCGGATGGGCGTCTAGCCAGTTCAGGTTCTGAGGGGTATGGTAATACGTTTCCGGTTACTGAGAGACACCGCGTGCTGAGAAGAAGAGTCCACGTCTCGGAGACCGGTGGCGGTGCAGAATGTCTGTGGCTGGTGATTCTCGCACAGCCACTAAATGACGACTCAGATGACGTTGGCGCGCATACAGGCGCAGAGAGAGTGTCTGGGAGATCCAGCGCGTAGAATCCCGTTTGACAGCAATCCGAATGCCAATCAATTACTGCAAGCCACACCGGCTTCTGACAGCAACTTGTTCTTGCGACTCATCTTGGCTTTGTTTGGCAAGTCTAGATTTGCTGTGACATAAAGCCCCGGACATCATTAGTTGGTCTTTGTGGCCTTTTAAGCCCTTTCTCAGCCCACCACCTTCTTCTTCCCCTACACTTCCCCTAATTGTCCTCCCTCTCTCTCCTTCACATCTCAACTACAGCATTACAAAGATGACATCGTACGCAGCAAAGTTAGTGGCCAAGAGGCTGTTCAAGGAGAATTCGTCCAATAAAGACGGTCGTGAGGTATGGATCTCGAACCCGATAGCCTTGTTTCCTCCTAACACGATACAGGATCCCTACTTTGAGACGATACCCGCGACCAGGCTAGGAGGACTGTACAAAACCACAAAGAAGCGACGAAGGGCCCTCCCGCCAGGGTTGACCGCAGAAGAGGAGAAAATCCTGACTAAAGCAAAAAGAAGAGCCTACCGCGTCGACCTTTGTCTGGGAAGCTTCTTGGGCACAAGAATCGGCTGGGGAGCGGTCATTGGCTTAATCCCAGGGTAAGCTAAGGGCTCTTGCGTGGGACGTGTATTCATCGAGACTGACTTCTCTCACAGCATTGGCGATTGCCTCGACCTCTTCCTCGCCCTGTTGGTCTACCGCACCTGCTGCTCTGTCGAACCCGAACTACCCTCGTCCGTCAAAATGCGAATGCAAATGAATGTCCTCATTGACTTTGCGATCGGGCTGGTTCCTTTCATCGGTGACATTGCGGATGCGGCATACAAGTGCAACACCCGAAACGTGGTATTGCTGGAGAAGGAGTTGCGTTCGCGTGGCCAGAAGAGAATTAAGGGTACTCCGCAGGCCAACGTTGCAGACCCCAGTCTTCCAGACGAGTTCGACTACCAGAATGACGAGGGCATATTGAACGCCCAGAACGGTCCTCCCCCCAGATACACCTCGCGACGAGAATCTAGAAGATCCCATCGAGAGAGGCAACGAGACATCGAAGCAGCGGAAGGCATACCTCCTCCGATGCCTGCTCGTACCCGTTGAGCTGGCGAGTAGTGACGGTGAGCCGTGCTCTACCCCGACATGACATTGGACCTGGAGTTGGCTATAGAGCGACAGCAAATTTTGAGCGTTCCTTTTCCTCATCAGACGATCCGGAGGAAGAAACAGGGTAATGAAGACCGACGGAAATCGTCGACTTCCAAGATTTGGAGGGATTTCAGGTGCTAATATCCTGCTTCACTCTCGCACATCCATAGCAAAGAACATTGTTTTCCTCTGAGCTCTGTGGATTCGTTATTGTTGGCATACCACAGACCGGGCAAGCGTTCGCCTCGTGGTCAGTGGCTTTGACTTGGAGTTTGCCTGCTGTTCGCACCACGTTTGCCATTATACCAGGGTATTTCACGCCCTGTCCGCTGATGTAGTTGCTGAGGAGCTCGTCAATCGAGGTGCTGCGAATCGTAGCCGCCTGTCGATTGGCATCATGATCTCCCGGCTCAGTCAGCAAGGGATTCGGCAAAGCTTGTGTGTAAATTCGAAGCTCATCCATGAACAGGTCACGGGCGGGATAATTAAAGTTGACCCCGTATATAGTTGGTCCATCAGCGATGGTTGGAGGGACTGACCCACCTCTACCTTTCGCAACATCTGCAAGTGTGAGAGCTGCCAAACGACTATCTGAGTGGCCCCAGAGCACAGCCTCGCAACCTTGTCGTTTTGCGACTGAGACCAGCAACCTTCGTAAAAGAATGGGTATCAAGTCTGCTCGTGCAGTCACGGACGTGGTAGAGGAGAGCATTCGGCGTAAAAACTCGTCATCTGGTTCGCCTTCCTGGCGATTGATCCCAAGATGGGTGAGGTCCCGCTCAATTCTCTGATCTAGCCGAAAGACGTCATGGAGACAGAGGACTGGGAGGAAAGTATGCAAAGGAAACCGGCTATTAATCATCTGATAGTCCTTCTCGATAAGTGCCTGTTTTTCTTTGTCAGGGAGCACGACACGGGCGATGATGAGGTCGTAGGCAGTTCTGTGGCGTTTCTCCATCTGCTTGTGTAGTTGCGCGTCAAGCACTTGCAACAGAACAAGAGAAGAGACACCGCCGGAAAGCGGGAGAAGTAACCGGCGCTTCTGATCCCCCGCAAGGTTTTTGAATGCGTAGGACTCCATACGTTTGAGAATTTTGGCGTTGACATATCGGACGAAACATGTAGCACATAGGCGCCGGTTTCTGATTTTCAAACTGGCGTCACGCTCCTGACAGTCGACACAGACGTCGCCCTTGAGGTTCGTTGGCATTGCGCCAAGTGTAATAGTTGAGTTCGGAAAACTAACCACAGGACGTTTGACTGTTAGTGAGCAGTAAATATCTGTGTTGGACTTTTTCTTAAACGTTGCTTGGGGAAAGTTTTGGGATGGGATCGATCTGGAGTTGCGCCGCTTTTAGGCACCCCGCAAACAAGATCTCACTCAGTGACTCCATTATCACCGAGTGACGTTGCTTGTTTCCTTTCTCTTTCTGCGACCATAATGCGACCGCAATGACAAGGTCAGAGCTATTTCACACCACAAATCTATGTGAATTGCAGCCAATAGCAAGGATCATATCAAACCCTGGCACTCAGCCTTGAGCGTTGCATGCAGTGTTTGTAAGAAGGACCAATCGCTAAACTCGATGATAACACGAGCATCTCATTCAATCGTGTGGGACTTAGCACTCAGATGTACCAAATCCTTCCAGAATACAGGCAAGCTTTTCCAAGTTTACCGTACGATGATCCCCGACATTTGGCTGGTGACGAGGCACCAACACCACCGAAGGCGTGTTTCTATGACGTACGACGAATCATCTTCCACACACCACAAGGGCAGTGGTATGACGTAAAATAAGACGGCCCCCGTGGTGGCCTCCCTTGCGCCCTCGAGGACATGGCGCCGACTGATGCGAGTCGCCGAGATCCAAAAGTCAAGAAGGGTGAGAGCAACCGAGCTAGATCTAGAGCGCTGATAAGACTGCAATGCTTCGACCGTGGAACTTTCTTTTGCCAAACAGTAGTCTCCCTACCACTTGATCCTACAGCAGACACGTATTCGCTGAACTTTCACCGTTATCTTCAAACAGTCCTCGTACAATTCTGTCTCAATTCCCCGGAAGTTATCTCACCCCGCTGTCCTCACTTGTAATGGTCCAGCCTTGACAGTGTTCACCAGACGATTACTGACGCAAATGGATAGAGTCATGGCCGCCAGCACTCTGCAGTCAGGCCAAGAGCCCCCCTCAGGTATACAGGGCAAAGGTACACTAGACGAACCCTACGACCAAGGAAATGCACCAGGTAGGCAGCCAGTGAATACACATGCCCCATGACACCTGCTAAGTGGCTGGTTGGTGCAGAGAACACCGCCGTACGATCAAACCAAGAACCTCTGTCAGGCGTGCAAGGGAAAGGCACAGCGACAGATCCATACGATCAAGGGAATGCTGGAGGTAAGGTTGCACACATCCGGTTTCACTATCTGTATGCTGAGCCAAGGTAATCGCAGAGAGCACCACATCTTCGCAGCCGACGAATGTCCCTGCGTCAAGCGCTTCGACGGCGGAGAAGACAGCCTCGACCAAACCTGCAGAGACACGAACCAATCCATTGAGTGCGCCAGCAAGACGCCGTGAAGAGAGGGATGTGAGCCCCGGCACAATGCCAGATGGCTCCCACGCACAAACAAGTGGTGATCGTGGAGAGAGCTACGAGCCCGCGAAGGGACTCCATAGACTCAAGGGCAAGCTGGGTCTTGGAAAACACTAAAAGGAGGGGCTTGTGCGCATATTGCATTTACCAAATTCATGATCATTCAGTGTCACGCGTTCTGGAGGTGTCTGTGCCCTGCAAGTCGTGATAGATCGACCAGAGTATGCGACTGCTTTGGTGGAAGAATTGCAGATTGAAGGGAATCGCCCTTCTGCGGTTCTCTTTAAGAAATGCTTTCACCCAGACTCACACAGCCAGTGGCCAGCCATTGTCGGCTGACGCTGGGAGACCTTGAGCTTATAGTAGAAGCAAAGTATGGGCCAAAAGAATACGAAGTTGAAATGAAATGATGGTCTATTGCTAGTAGTGAACAAAAGTATTGATTCGACCGCCTGCCGTCCCCGGTCAGAACCACCGAATTCCTCCGTGCGAGCAATACGGAGGATGTCCGACATCACGTCAACGCGCAACACATAATTAACAATCTGCTTGATTGCTAATTGTCAGACCGTCTCTGGATTTTCTTCTGGTAGAACGCAAGTCTGTTTGCACATCTGCTCGCAATCTTGATACAGCCATCTAACCTTTTCTCGAACGCCCTTACCGCCCAGGCCAAGATGTCGGCGGTCGACATCCCCAAAATTGAAGCAGGAAACCTGTTCAATGTCAATGGCCTCGTAGCTGTCATCACTGGCGGTGGCTCAGGTACAGTATCATCTTCCTTGCTCTCTTCTGCATGTTATAACTTTGGCCAGGACTTGGGCGCATGATGGCTAGAGCCCTGGCCGCGAATGGGGCGTCCAAGGTCTTCATTATCGGTCGGCGTGAAAACAGCCTGAAGGAGACTGCCGAATCTGTTCCCGGGGGCGCCATCATCCCCCTGGTGGGCGACGTGACCTCGAAGGACTCGCTTCAACAATGTGTTGAGAAGGTCAAAGCAGAAGTCGATTATGTCGACGTCCTCGTGGCAAACAGCGGGATATCTGGCCCATCCGTGCCAACACTAGATGCCAACCAGAAACCTGTATCCCTCGAGGACCTAGCCAAGAATATGTGGAAGCCGGAACCGGAAGAGGTCACGCAGACATACGCCATCAATATCACTGGTGTTCATTTCACCATTGCGGCATTTCTCCCGCTTCTGGATGCGGCAAACAAGAAGAGGCCGGCCCCGTCAGTGGACAACTTCACACCCCGTCCTCAGATCATCACTACCGGATCTATTGGAGGATTCAATCGCAAGCCTCTAGGGAATCTCAGCTACGGCCCCAGCAAGTCTGGGGTGATGTTTCTGTCGAAGCAGTTGGCGACGGCGCTTGTGCCTTACGATATCAGGGTGAACACGATTGCCCCAGGGCTTTACTATTCGGAAATGACCCATGGAATGTACCAAGCTCAAGGAAAAACCGAGACTCACAATGTCGAGGGCACGTTCAGCAAAGATGTTGTCCCTGCAACCAGAACCGGTGACGAGCAGGACATGGCAGGCGTCATCTTGTGGCTCTGCTCGCGAGCGGGAGCTTATATCAACGGATGTGTCGTGGTCACGGACGGTGGACGGCTGAGTGTTCTGCCTTCAGCATATTAAACGCAAATGAGCAACATGGGATATGCGATATAGCAGTTAGATCTCTAGAGGTATGTCGAATACATCGGAAGGCTACAAAAATCGTACTAGTAAGCATTCCATACCAAGTATAATTACTGGGGGCATTGCCTGGGCGATAGAAGTCGAACCATTCGGCGTCACATTCGTGATCGCCAAATCGAGATGACAAGATTCGACCCACAGCCTACAGGGGCCGACTGAAGCTCATCCCTTTGATTTCAGGGGGTCACGAGTAATGCCGGAGTCGACAGTTCCGTGTAGAACCATCTTTGGACGACGTGTGTTACCATTCACAGACCAGAAAACTACCCGCAGAGCCCTTCTCCTGGTAAGGTGGGCTGGGCCGTGGCCGTGGGCAGTGGCATCATGCAGGAACATCAATTCTGCTTTCCAGTTCCCGGATCATCCCACCACAAGCCCAACGCCGCAGCCACACCGCCCGCAAATAGGCACATGCTATTGGCTGCCACGGAGATCCTTAGGCACGAGCTAAGCTCTAGAACGGAACTTAATCATGCTTAAAGGGCCTCTAGCTCTGGTCACCCTCCCCCAACAGGGCTTCCAGTTTTCGCCTGTTGAAATTTGTGGGCGTCTGCTGCCATCATTTGCTGTCAGGGATAGACACTGCTACTTTGTTGCTACAAAAGCATCTCGAAATCTCTCTATCCCTCTCATCGCAAGGACTTTTCACATCTCTGTTCTACTTGTTACCTGCTCGCCTTCGAGTCTACGTATTCTAACGCCGCCACTCTCAGCTCGCAGACGAAGCGAATACCTGCGCAATTGGTGCCAGTTACACTCCCTCCGCTCTGCTTGCGCATCCCCACAAAAATTATCTCTCGCTCGTTGTTATCCTGCAGTCCCTGGTCTCCCCCACCTCACCGCCTCCTGTGCTATCTGGCGATAAAACCCTTTCTCGAGTTTCCCTCCTCCTCTCACTGGCATATTTGAGAAAGGCACCCTGAAGATCTTGTCATTGGAAACCACATTGCCGCAGACATCATGGCCGCGCGACCTCAAAACATCGGCATCAAGGCCATTGAGATATACTTTCCAAGTCAGGTACGCAAACACGAAAGGAGGCAGGCTTTGAGTTGACTCGTCGCTAACCCACTCTCAGTGCGTCGACCAAGCCGACCTCGAGAAGTTCGATGGCGTCTCAACTGGCAAGTACACGATTGGACTCGGGCAGACGAGAATGTCTTTCTGCGACGATAGGGAAGGTGAGTGGCAAAGCACCTTGGGGACGGCCTCCTGAGCTCAACTAATGCAAGAGCAGACATTTATTCCATTGCCCTTACCACTCTGACGAGCCTGATCTCGAAGTACTCCATCGATCTGAAGAATGTTGGGAGGCTGGAAGTGGGCACAGAAACCATGCTGGACAAGAGCAAAAGTGTCAAATCAGTGTTGATGCAGCTATTTCAAGAGTCGGGCAACTTCAATGTCGAGGGTGTCGACTCTTACAATGCTTGCTAGTAAGTTCTGAACGTTTTGTTACGCCACAGAAGTGTCAGAATTCTGACATACCGCAGCGGTGGGACAAATGCGGTCTTCAACTCTCTAAACTGGATCGAATCATCAGCGTGGGACGGAAGAGATGCTGTCGTGGTCGCTGGGGACATTGCCCTTTACAAGAAAGGAAATGCTCGTCCCACCGGTGGCGCTGGCTGCGTGGCCATGTTGATCGGTCCTGATGCACCCATTGCTTTCGAAGCTGGTCTCCGAGGCTCCTACATCACGCATGCCTACGATTTCTATAAGCCCGATCTCACCAGCGAATATCCTTACGTTGACGGACAGTTTTCTTTGAAATGCTACACCGAAGCTGTGGATGCGTGCTACAGGGCCTACAATGCTCGAGAGAGAGCACTCAAGTCGCAGACGAACGGCGTCAACGGACATGCGCACGTAAATGGCAATGGCGTGCACAAGGAAGAGGACGAGAAGGCTCCTATGGATCGATTTGATTACATGGCCTTCCACGCACCGACCTGCAAGCTTGTCTCTAAATCGTACGCTCGGCTACTGTACAATGACTTCCTCGAGGATCCCAGCCACCCTCAGTTCAAGGAGGTTGCGCCCGAGCTGCGAGATCTGGACTATCAGGCATCTCTGACGGACAAGACTGTGGAGAAGACGTTCATGGCTTTGACGAAGAAGCGTTTTGCCGACCGAGTGCAGCCTGCCATTCAAGTCGCCACCATGTGTGGCAACATGTACTGTGGCAGCGTCTACGGCGGTCTCGTCGGGTTGATTAGCAACATCCCCCCTAAGACGCTCCAAGGCAAGAGGGTTGGGGTCTTCAGCTACGGCAGCGGTCTGGCCAGCTCGATGTTCAGCCTCAAGGTCGTGGGTGACACGACAGAAATGGTTGCCAAGCTCAATCTTCAGGAACGATTAGACGCCCGACGGGTCGTTGCACCAGAGGTGTATGACGAGATGTGCATGCTTCGAGAGAAGGCACATCTCAAGAAAGATTTCGAGCCGCAGGGTGATGTCACTCATCTTGTGCCGGGAACATACTACCTGACTGAGGTCGACGAGATGTTCCGACGAAAGTATGAGGTCAAGGCATGATGGCAGTCAGCAGCAGAGAGGGGACTTGTGTCATTCTTGCACCAGACATTGCGTTTCAGGTTCGGGCGCCGGACTTGCATTGGTGGACCAGGTAGACCGATCTTTCCATAGAGGGAGAAGGGCGTTCCAGTGCATGCTTGATTGGATCAGGTCTGCTGGTGGTGTTGGGCCTGGCATACACTTGTACATATGGGGCCAGCCGATTCATGCTTCGGGCAGGCAGAAGCTCACCTGAGCGGTAATCGATCAGCAGAAGAGCAAAAGCGAATGATCATGAAGCTTTGTTGCAGACCTCGAGTTCCTTGAAACCGACGCTGTGCGTCGTCTGTCAGTCTCGTGCAATGTGGCTCCGGCATGCATTGCTGCTCAGCCTGGAGTCGGCCAGTATTTTGACCTGTTTCGCACCAGCCGTTGGCAAGATGAAACATGGGCCCGATCTCGAGGGCCTTGGACACCAGTAAGGGCAGAGGGAGCACCGTTAGAGTGCTACTAAGAGATGCAGGAAGAGGACAATTGCATGCAAACGAGGAGGTTGGGAAGAGAGAGTAGCATTAGTCGTTCACTGTTCGTGTATCGTTCGTGCTGGAGCTACTGCAGCTGCTACTGCAGCAGACGCATTAGGGGTGCATTGATATCATTTGGTGCAGGTGACTTGGTGCCAGTTTCGCGCGTGGATGGCGTAGGCGGTGAATGCGTGTGCACGATGCCTTCGCGACGGATGGGCACGGGACTTTGCTTCGGCAAACCTGCCCAAGAACAACCACAGCGCTTAGCCCTTTTTGATTATCATCCACCTCTGACTGCGCCACCGTCGTCCACCCACAGACAGGGTATTTTTTGCATCGCGCGCCAACTCCAGCACCAATGAGATACCATACACGGCTATAGAATCTCCAAGCGCCCTAAATCTGAGGGAGAAGGTGGGCAGGAGATTCGTCCTGGGTCTCGCAGCGCGCCTCAGCCACGCCCTGCAAATTCCCCGGTGGTCTCTCATCTCTTCAGATTGCCGCAGGTGCCGCCTCTTCTGCTGGCCTCGTCGAACAGCCGCCAAGTCGCAGGGGAGCTCATCTCTCGAAATAACCAGGCAAGCGCCGACACAGATTGCCTCGTAAGACATGATGAAATGGTCCGGAGCCTTGTTACACTCCCTCTGAGCAGACTCGCAGCCTCAGGCAACAGATCTGCCCCCCAAAATAGCTGCATATGGCGCAAATGTTTCCATACCTCTGGCGCGTACCACGCTCCACGCTCGCGGTCGATAGGCGATCCTGGCCGTTGCTGGTTACCCAGCATCGGATTCTCGAACACCGTGTCAGTCGTGTTTGTTTCCTTGCCATCTTGATTCTCCTGCTCCACGTTTCAGGTGGATAATGACCCACGGGACATTGTTGGTCGGGCGTCATGTTGCTCGCTTTTGGCCGCATACACCCAACCCATTTATACCTGGTTCTCCCTCCTCCTCAAGAGCTCTGAGCCTTTCATTCTTTCAAGTTGCAAGACTGAAGATTCAGTCTGCCTGCTATTGGTAATTCCATCTGCATTTCCTCTTTGTACCTTTCCTTTGTTCTTTGGGTTCTCGTCTCCACACTTGAGAAGCTGGCTTCTCGCTGACCACTACTTTCGCCCGGACTCAACCAAAAAGTTACCATATGTGAGTTGTCTTCACCATGGTGCCTGGCTGTAACCATGCATGCTGATGAGGTCTTTCAGAATGTCATTGGCACCTTATTGCTATAGACCGCTTACGCCCCCAGAGGCTGCTGGAGCTGCTGGTCAGCACGGCCATACTCGGAATGTTTCTCGCTCGTCCTACTTTTCAGTGGACAGCTCCCCCGAGTCGATAATTACTGCTCGTAATACAACTCCCAGTCGGTCACCTGTTCTCCGTCAACATGGCCCGACCTTGCTTCCCAAGATCAGGACCCAGGACTCGTCTCTCGAGCCTCCATGTGCTCATCGTCCATCCACCCACCGACGGAGCTCGTCGACCATCGTCAAAAACCCCAAACATGCTCGACCCGCCATGTACAGGAGCGCCACTGAGCCTGTTGAGTGTATGTCCATGATGTCTCCAGTCTCGAATGCGCCTCACTCGCGATCAAACTCGCTCAATCCCTCTCCTGGGCTCGCCAAAGCACAGCTCAGTGTGCCTGTGAGGACCCATTCTCGCTCGACTTCAGCGTCGAGCATCAACAGCGATGTTCTGAATCGGTTTGGCTATCCCACTTACCGCCAAATGCCCGTCTATATGTCTCAAAACCAACAAACTCCATCTCCTGACCTCTTCGCCACCAACTTCATGCCATATACCAATGCTCCCATGCCTGAGCCTCCCATCATCAACCTGGAGGGTACATTTGACATGCCGATTGATCTCGAAACTATCTCAAGGACCTGCTCTATGAGCCCCCCTCCCATGCTGCCGCCCGTCTCTACGATCAGCATGCTGAGCTACTTGACCCAGCCAACACAGCCCATCAACCTAGTGCGGCACCTCACCTTCCAAACCGGCCGTGGTCTAACCAACCACTTTTGGTGGGATATACGCAACGTCCGATCCTGGAAATCGTTTTCTCTCCAGACCATGTCTGCGATTCCGGATCTTCTGACGCTACTCAACTTCGAACATGATACAGCTTGTCTACCTCTGACCAGCTCCAACGCGAGCACTGTGACACCTGCTTCTGAGGCCGATCTTGCCAATCTCATTTCCAAGATCTACTTTCCCAAAATTAACGCTGCTACACGGCTGTCCCTGGGTAATAACTCTGTTGCTCTGTACGTGGCCCCAGCTCCGACGAGCTCTGGGTTGAGCGCCAACTCCGCCAACATTCCCACGTTTCTTGCCAATTACCCAAGTGACAATGACCGCACGCTCTCAGGACTGCCGCGAGGTCGCGTTGTTGGTTTGGTCCGGTCTTTCGATCGCTGGAATACGGGCATGCGCCGTGAAGGCCCTGCCCGCAAGGTCGAGTACCTACGCACTCTGGCGCACCTGCAGAAATGCATGCGCGATCATAGCTGTCGTTACGGCTTCATCATCACAGAGATTGAACTCGTCTGTGTCCGCGCCGGGTGTGACGATCGTGGTCATCCATACTTCGGCTACCTGGAAGTCGCGGAATCGGTGGAAACCAAAACATTTACTCGAAACGGGAACGAGGCAGATGGATCCGTTAACATGACTGTCACCTTGGCTCTGTACTATCTGCTTATGCTGGCCAAAGCCACTCCTTTGCCCGGCCAGCCAGGTAGCTTCATGGACGTTGGTGGTCCTGGAACACTTACTCGACAAAGAGTGTGGGACGGTGGAAATGGTGGTAGCACTATCACGGTCGATGAGGATGGCGATGTTGAGGAGCTGGGAAAAGACGGCAAGGACAAGTGGATGCCTGAACCACAGATGGGGGAGAAAAGGGAGGCCAGGACGGTGAGAGGATGGGTGTGGCCTAGCGACCCCTGGCACAAGAGGGAAGGGGAGCGCGGTGAACGTGGAAGCGGAAGGGGGGGGAAGAGAGGATAATGCATTTCTCCTGGTATTCCTGGAGAGAATGAACTATGAACGTGGCTATGAACAACGTGGAGGGATCCTGGATCCGGGCATGGGTTTATAAGCGATGCCATCCAGGTGATGTGCTCGATACGCAAGGTTCTCGAGGTGTTTAAACTCGAAATCGTAGAATTGCAGACTTTGGTAATACAATTATATTCACCAAAAAGCCCCAAAGCTCCTGGTCCAGCTGTGTTGCTCTCAGCATTTCATGGCGAGGTTCGGCAGAGTAAAAACCTGTATCAAAGGTCGAGAGAAGTCAGCAGGAAATTCTAGCAGCTTGACGTCCGAAAGGGACAGGAACGAATCTGCGTCGTGCGTTGTCTCATGGGCTCCTCATACTGTTGAGACTTGACATAATTTTTAAAGTCACCGACGGATGGCTTGACATGCCGGATCCGTCTCGTCAGTTATCGTTTGAGCATATAGGTCAAAATCATCGGAGCTCTTCTTGAACGCACGGAGTGAAGGGGGAGCATCGGGGGCGCTGAAAAGGGCCGGCTTACCAGAAATAACATAAGTAGGCCACTCAGAGATGGGTCTACAGGCTCAATACGAAGGAGAAAACGGTTGCAGGATGACCTTGCTTGTTGGAGGGGATGGAAGAGGAGGGTGAACGAAAGGAAGAGAAAGAAATTGAAGCGATGGAATTTTCCTTGGCAGATCAGGCTGTGGGGGCCGGTTGCGCTGAGTGACACAATTTCCACCTGGCGGTCACCTAGCCTCAGGTGTTGGACTAGGCCCGCGGGGTCACAAGCACGCATCTGCTCTCTCTTGTATACACCCTTCGACTGCTGTTTTCCACGTCCTCTTTTGCACAGGCAAGCGAAGTTTGAGTTGTCTCCGGCGCATCTCCCACATCCTCCTCAGGTCACCATTTCGGAGAGAGGAATAGTCGACGATCTGTTCATCAAGATGGGAGGTACGTGCTGGAGTCATCTCAACTCGTCCTCTGCACCCAACTTTCTGGGCGCATGTGTTCTCCTGAGATCGCGGGACTGACAGAAGTGACTCGGACAGACTTCCAGCAAATTGCCCGTGAGCCTCCCTGTCCCTGGAAATCCACTGAGCGCACAAGCATGCCTAATGCGACGCAGAGCAATTCGTCGAGTTCTACTACAAGACATTCGACACCGACCGCACACAGCTGGCTGCTCTCTACGTATGTTTGCGGAACCCACGCCTTTGGTGCAGATGAGTCGAGATGGGGCGGGAGGAAGGAAAGAGCTAGATGTTTTCTGACACGGCAGCACGGGCACAGAGACAGAATTCGATGCTTACATTCGAAAAAGACCCTTTCCTGGGCACGCAGAATATCCTTGAGAAGCTGACGGTACGTGGATGTGGGCCTACACTGTGCGAGGGGTCACTGATGACGAGGGATTTGGCAGAATCTCCCGTTCCAAAAAGTCCAACACCGAGTAGACACGACGGATGCGCAACCCTCCGACGAGCAAGGAGGCATCTTGGTCATGGTGACGGGTGCATTGCTGGTACGTTTGCCACACTGAGGGCTGAGCCCCCTGCATCAAAATCTACGGCGGCGTGGTCTCTGAAAGACATCACACAAACAGGTCGACGATCAACCACACCCGATGAGCTACGTCCAGACATTCAACCTCCGCCCCGAGAGTGGCAGCTACTTCGTGTTCAACGATGTCTTCAGACGTAGGTGGATTCCGAACGTGCCAAGCAGATATCGAATGGGCTAACAGCTCTCGACAGTGGTGTACGCCGCAAGCGGATAGATTCATCAGCAGTACAAGGTCGTGTCAATTCTGACATCCAGCAAATTCCCGGCCTTGAGCAGGGCCCACATGATAGGTCGTCATGCATAGCAGATGGCGCAGGACGGGCAGGAGGGAGGAGGCAGGGATTTGCAAAGCACACAAGGCTATGTCGGTGTTGAGCGAGGAGGCAAGAAACAGTGCGATGATAGAGGGGACGTAACTGGCACCAAGCTTACATTCTTCCATATGCACGTTGTTGGAGCAAGCATCTATTCGACAAGGCTGCCACAATTCCGACTTCGCAGTAACTGTCCCGGCTGCCCGAGTGGCCTGCCACCCTGCCTGCCTAATAATAATTTCTTGGTTGGCGATCCGAGATGCACGCGTGGACCATAATACGGAGTGCTCGGACTGTGGATTTGTTGTGATGGCGCCACGCAGTCAGGCTGCTGCATTTCCCCTCTGTATCCATAAGAAGTGGCGTTGGGAAAGGGAACCAAGTAAATAGTTGTTGTCGAGCAATTGGACCTCATCAAGTCCCTTAAGTCTTGCTGTCTGGTGCTGTTGTTGTGCCCATCTCGTCGTGCTCAGTGGTCCTAGTGGGCTGGTGGGCTCCAGCTAAGGCCACTACTCGGCGCATCCGCATCCCTGTCTCGGTGTGCTGCACCTACCACAACATCAGCCGCAATCCGTCATCTGTCGACAACTTTTGGTCCAACACAACGCAGACGTCGTTGCCAACAACTCGGTCACTTCAGTCCTCTACTCTATACCTTCACGTTTTACGGTCCACATACAATCTGCATCCACGATTAAACCCGAACATTACTGCATCGGCGAGGGGCTCAATCATCAGCCTGCATTGAGACAGTGCCTTTGTGCCACATCTGTCCTCTCCGACTTCGACACTCAAACCACCCCTGTACCTTTAGGCGAGGAATTCAAAATGGCGCTCATGGACGAGTTCAGAATGCGCAACTTCAGTGAGTGTGTTCCTCAGGGTTGGTGTTGCGACTGCACCGGATCAGTGCTGACAGTGAGCCGCAGGCATCTATGGGCAGTGGTAAGCAAAGCCTTCTCGCTCCATGCGCCCTCCCCCGCGATATCTGGTGCTCTTGTGCGCAGCATGACCTTGTTGCGAAGACACCACTGCTTCTCACTCGGTTGAATAACCTGCGGAGCACAATATGGAGGGACCTTGAAAGATACGAGCATGAGGGCTGACACGAGAGGATTACCAGGCTCGGAGTGCTCTGCATCATCCTAGGCTTTGCCTTGGGTATCGCCAACATCTTCCACTTTAACCTGCTCATTCTATTCAGCGTCATACTACTGTGCGTCCCTTACAGGCTCCTGACATCCAGAAGTTGCGCGGTTAACCTGTGATCTTGCAGTTGTTCCTCCCTCGTCCTCATATTCATCGAAATCCCGCTCTTGCTACGCATCTGCCCGACATCTGCCAAATTCGATGCCTTCATCAAACGCTTCACCACCAACTACATGCGCGCCCTTATTTACGGCCTCATGTCTCTAGTCCAATGGCTGAGCATCATTGTGGAAGCCAGCAGCTTGATTGCCGCCGCCGTGGTGTTGGCCCTGGCGGGAGCTTGCTACGCGCTGGCAGGATTGAAACAGCAAGAATTCGTGGGAAGCACGACACTGGGTGGCCGGGGAGTGGCACAAATGATCGTCTAAATGCGCGACTTGTCTCCCTTACCTTCTCACCAGGCCATCTTATCGAACTCAGTGGAACAAAAAGTGATTTGACAATGGTGTATTTCTAGCGGCGTGCCTGGACACCGATTGTTCGAGCGCAGGGAGTACGGAGTTCAATGGAAAAGGCATTTTGGTGACCCGATGGAGTGTTTCACCTAGACCTCCAAGGAATTTTATGAGGGTGGTATATACAATGCCGCTGATGAACACCGCGGGAGGCTGGATAGTCATTTGTGCCATGAGTAGGATTCAGTTCAGCATGGGAAAAGCGCCTCTTAAGACGCATATGGCATCAGAATTGAGATTATTACAATTCGTCAGAAGAGGCTCGGCACGAAGGAATGAAGGAAGGAAGCGTGGGTTGCCTTGGGGCACCACCTTTCGAAGCTGGAGTAAAGATATAATAAACTCGACATTGTACTCCAATGCAGCTTACTGTTCCTTCCATTGACTGGATTATGACTGCATTTGTCACAAGGCCCGTGGCAAAAGGACGGGTTTCTGGTGTTCTGGTGATCGGCAATCTGGACAAAGGGAGCGAGATCCCATTTCTAAAACACCCCGATTCCACCGCCACAGGGACCCCCATCTCTTTCGTGTCATCACCAACGTTTCCTCCCCTGGTGCTTTACTTCTTGTGGTGGGGAGTGGTGAAATGGGATCGTGATCGACCGGAACTTTAACGGCCCAGCGAGATGGATCCTGCCGTAATAGCAGTAATAGTAGCCTGCGGGGAGGCGCAGTCCGCCTTGAAAAAGTATTCCAGAGTAGCTGAATAGTAAGCCTGAGCATTGAGCATTGAGTAGATGGGACCCACGCCCAACCAAGGAATAATGAGTGATGAGTGGCTTCAGCTTGCAAATCTTTGGGGATAGAAACTTGGCGTGTGAGAGGCTGAAGAGTAACAAGGGAACAAGGCTCGTGTGGCGTGCTAGACCAGAACCAGTCCAGTTTCCAAGGCGAAGATGAAGGCTGTGTTTCGTGTTTCGTTACTGTCTTGTCGTCTGCGAAGGTTCGGGCCCCCCAGCCAAATCATCGCCCAGACCTCCGTGTGCTATTCTTTTTCATTTGCGGCTGAGGCCTTCTGGCTTTTCAAGCGAGCGCCCCGGTTAGTCTTGTCCGGTGTCCTCTCGCTTCCTTGTTCGTCCCTGGCTTGGACTCGAATGGCAACTTCGGAGTTTCTGGCCTGAAAAAAAAAGTCATTCCAGTGACAACTCTTCTCTTTTCGGTGAGAAACTTGTTAACACAACCCCTCGACTACTCTTTTGCCCAAGAAAAGAACCACAAGAAACCAAACAAAAGAAAAGCAAAGCAAACGAAAGACAGAACACCAGGAGAGGAGGATGAATTAGCCCAGGCAGACGAGACTCCAACAATGTCGCCCCCAGTGTCTGGCCTCAACCATGGAAGAAGACAGTCGTCCCAGCATCTTGCTCAATGTTCCCATCACCGACGCTGAGCGCCGTGCTCAAGTTGCTGCGGCGGCCGTCCGAGATGACAGCTCCGAACGACTATTACCAGAAGTCCGACAGCCCTCGCCCGAACTCCAGGAGTCGTCGACACCATCGTCGGCTCAACTACAGCCACCACCAGGCCCCAGTCGATTTCCCTCCATCCACGCTCCCCCGGCGATAAGACAGTACGCGCCGAGATTCTCGCAACGACCGGAAGTTCGCCAATATGTCCCCATCTCCCCGGTCCCAGAGGAAGACGAACCCGAGTCCATCAAACTTCGCCCGTACTCGGCCATTACCACGGACGATGGCTATTTACTCGCTCCTCAGGGACCCATGCCCGCCCTGTGGACTCCCATTTGGTTGAAGCAGTGGTTCCTGGGTCTCTTCGCCTTAGTCTTTGCCGCGTTTCTAATCGGCTTGATTCTCCTCTGGCACTTTGACAATCAGAACGATGGTTTCCACATCGACCAGGGAGCAAATCATTATGCATGGGCGTACACGCCTACCGTCATTGTTGTCATCATCGTGGCCGCCTGGAGAATGGTGGACCACCACTCGAAACTGGCGATGCCCTACGATGCGCTCCAAGACGGACCGATCAAACCGTCGGAAAGTCTTTTAGTCGACTATATCTCGAATTTTCAACTTGTATCATTACTCGAAGCATTCAAAAACAGTCATTTTGCGGTTATTGCGTCGATTACGGGGTTTATATTACTAAAGGTGGTCACGGTCTTTGCGACGGGATTGTTGGTCGCTCTCCCAACACAGGTGGCTCAAAAGAGTGCGACCGTGCAAGCTAGAGGTTTCAGTGCTGACTCTTTCAATCCGAGTTCCGCCCTCGATCCATCGACTTTCTCGGCTCAACCGGTGTATGCGTACTATGGCAGTATGGCTCAGGGTGTGCCACTGGAAAATGGCGTTCGGTTTGATCTGGCATACAGTGCCTTCACAGTCAGTTCTGATATCCCGATCGGCGACGATGCGATAATATCTGGTGAAGTCGATGCCTTTGTGCCGACTATGACATGCAAAACATTAAATGTGCAGTTGGAGACTCCGCGGATTGTGAACGACACCAACTCAGCGAGCGCATTCGCGACTTCGAGCAACATCACCTTCACCCTCAATGCGGGCGATGTGTGCCGTCGACAGTCCTCGGTCAGCGTGCCAGCGGACAATCCATACACTGAGATTGTCCCCACGCGCCAGGTCACAGGGACTATGCAGCAGATCTTCTGTGGCACCACGAATGCCAGTGTTCCTGATTCGAATGGCCCGCAGGGGCTGTTGTTTACGGTAACCGATATCAGTTACCGGCAGACACTATTTGACAACGCCACCGCCCTGGCAGGTGGATCGTTTACCATCGCAAGCGATGTTTCTCGGACCCTTGATAATGTGGCGAACGTCTTCTGCATCCCTTCGTACTCCATGACCAGGGCTCAGGTCACGAACAACACCCGGCTCCTCAACAACAATGCCGCCGTAACGGTTGCGTTGAAAGATGGAGCAAGCAATAGCACACTCCCGGGGTTCTCGGACTGGAATGCCACCAATGTTCTCACGCAAGCTTCGATTGCTGCCCAAGTCCTCTTTGGAGATACGATTAACGACGACACTCTGACCGAATCAAGCGCTATATTTACACTCATGGCGTTGACGCAGGGTTCTCAAAACGTCGACACTCTGATCGACCCGGAAACAATGGCATCAGCCGCTCAAGCGACGTCTAATGGAATTTTATCCCAGTATGCCCATCAAGTATTGAGAGCCCCAGAAGACAGCAGTGTGGAAGGGGGAAAAGTGACTCGTCAAGAACGGAGGCTTCGGGTCAACGATGTCTCTGTGTGGACGATGGCTTCGGCTTCTGGATTACTGTTTCTCTTCTGCGTTGCCTTGATCTTTATCGCCCCTAGAGCGGTTGTGCCCCGCGATCCGAGCTCTATTGCGGCAGTTGCGACGACTCTGACCAGAAGTACGGAGCTTAATCGACTTTTGCGAAAGCAGGGCGCTCCGAGCCAGGCGAATCAAAAATCTGCCCTGGCAGGCTTTGAATTTGGGACTGCGATTGCGACGACGGACTCTGGGACGAGGAGTTTCAAAATTGTTACTTCCGAAGGCGAGCCAGACGAATCGACGACCAAACCGACTAGGGAGTTCGAGTGGTGGTTACCGATCACAGCAACATTTCCGGTCTTGACAGTCACCCTGATCCTGCCACTGGGCCTCATCGTGGCGTTGGAGCTCATTCAGCGACATTCTGACAATCACAATGGGCTTTACACGGTGGCGGACGACAAGTGGACCGAGATTTACAGCCATTACATCCCTGGCCTCGTCATGCTGATTTTGGCAGCGCTGGTCAACATGCTTGATTTCAACGTAGCCTTGTTTACTCCGTGGAACAACCTGGCAGAAGGCAATGCGATTCACAGACGATCAGTCCTCAACAATGTTCTTGGGAGAGCACCTCCTTTTGCATTCTTACAGGCTCTGAGGACGCAGAGCCTCGGTGCCATGCTGAGCATCACCGCGGCTACGGTGGCGAGCGTCCTGGCAGTCATTGCTTCTGGACTGTACTACGTTCAGCATTATACCGTTGACGGGGCGAGCATTTCGCTTACTCAGGTCGACTCTTTTGACCTTCAGTGGCCGAACAGCTTCTCTAATGACAATGGAGCGGCAGCCATTACAAATTTGATCATGCATCAGAATTTCAGCTACCCTCAGTTCACCTACGAGGGTCTCGTGTTCCCAAAGCTGTCGTTGAACAATTCCGCCCTGACGAAGGATAGCCTCACGACCGTGTCTGGATCATCCTCACACGTGCTTCCGGCTGTTCGCGCAAATCTCAGATGCGACGTTCTTGCCAGCGACTCCATTTCCTTGTCCACGCAAAAGGCTGGTGCTGACAGCGCGTTCGCCACGGATCAAGCATTCATCACCGCCAGAGCAGCACTTCCTGACTCGTGTCAGCTCGCCGGCTCCTCTGGCACGGACAACTTTGTTCTCTACCAAAACAACTTCGAATTGCCTCCGGGTGGGAAGGGGACGTTTGCCGGTGCACAGTTAGATCTCTTGTTCGGTGAGAATGCAACAACGTATGGCAACTACGGCGAAAATCGTGGTCAATACATCAGTGACAATCCACCGGTTGGTTGCCCAAGTCTGGCATTCACTTTCGGCCACTTCCAACTAGACAGCACGGACACGAGTCAAGTGACCACGATGGTGTGCTTTCAAGAAATTCAAGGCCTCAACGCAAATGTCACGCTGCAGCCCAACAGCACCACCATTGATTCGAGCCACCCACCAGCAGTGGTTGAGAGCAGCATCGTCCTCCACGACAATCCGCTCAGTAACCACAGCGGGGTGAAGACCTTCGACTTCCGCATCCAGAACAACCTCGCCCAGGAGATGACCGTGTTTAACGGGGAGGGCGGCACACCGACGACGAACCCTTCGAGCACAAACACGTTTGACATCTTCTTTCAAGCCATCATCAACGGCTCTGAACCCCATGATCCAGCATCTCTCGCCGGTCCAAACAATCACGATGTCCTCATCAACGCGATAAACAGATTCTATCGCATCTACATGGCGCAGGCTATTTCCGCAAACATGCGCGGCCCCGTAAACAGCCTGAGCACTTCCTCTCGCCTTGATCGACGCCAAAGCTCTTCCACGATTACCTCTCCGACCACGATTGACACTCCACGCCTCGTCCAAGACAAAGACAGCAAATTGATCCTACAGGTTCTCCTCGGAATTATGACAGTCCTAGCCGGAGCAGCATGGCTATCCACCAAATTCCGCCACGTTCTCCCATGTAATCCGTGCTCCATTGCAGGAACCATGTCCCTGCTTGCGGGCAGCGATCTGTGCCACAGCGCGGACGACGGACTCTGTGAGTGTTGTGGGAAGCCCCGTCGACGGTCCTTTGGGTATGATGGCGGTCCCAGACCTGAATCCATCCACGCAGGACCGGACGAAAACGGCGAGGACGTCGATGAACGCCACCAGGTCATTTCCGACGGCGCAGAATGGATGCGCGCCTCCCAATTCGAAACCGTCTTCGGCGGAAACCGCTACAGTATGGGCTGGTGGCGCGAACGGCGACTCATAGGCAAGAGACGGAGATTTGGCGTGGACATCGGTGCCCGTGCCGATGGAGCAGATGACCAGGACTGGGAGCTCGGGGAGAGGAGGCCCGAGGGAACTGGATTTAGTGATTTCATGATGAGAGGCGGCGATCGGGACGGCCGGGGCGAGTATTCGAGATTTGGTCCCCGATCGAGGGGTGCGAGCGTCAGTGGAGCGAACCCTGAGCCTGGGGCGACGGGAGCAGCACCGACGACGATGACCATGCCGCGAGAGCCCTCGCCGGGGATTTACGTGCCAGAGAGAGGGCGCGTGGCCCAGCAATTCGACCCCGACTCCACGGAACCCGGCCCGTCGATATTCATGGGAAGACGAAGTCCCGTCGGAGGTGAAGCATAGACGCCGCTCGAGAATCTACGATCGACAGTACACGAACTCGATTAATGCATGCTCGACAGGGGTGGGCAGGCAGGGTGACCTTGAGATTGATGTTATTTCGAAGCTGCTGAGCTGGTGCTGAAACTCCGCCCATGGTTTTCTTTGCCATTTCCATCCTCATAACGAGTTCATATTTGGTGCTTGGTGCCCGGCGCCTGGTGCTTTGGTGCTCGGTGCTTTAGTGACTTTTCAGGGAGGGGAGAGAGAGGGAAAGACACCACTCTCTGTCTACATATACTTATATATATCTACAGTACAGAACTTCCCGAAATGTATTGCAAGTTATTTCCATCCGTGCTAGCGACGTCGCTCTGTTGTATTTTGTCTAGCTGTCGCACCAGGGCAAGGCATCCCCGTGGGGGCCAAATCACATGGTAATCTCCTTCGAGTTCGCTCGACCAGAGTGACCTGCACAGTGCTGATTGTCCATATCAGAATGAACTGCTTAAGCCGCCACTACACTTGAAGGACTAAACTACATATCTCCTCTCGAAAATCTAGCTAACAAGCTATGATGCTGTTCTCGAGACATCCTGGAAACAGTATCTAAATATTAAGCCCAGCGATATCTGGAAAAAGAAAGTCGACTCTGATAATACCACTACTCGCCAGCCTTTAAGAGAATGTCAGGCGATCTGCCGCGCCTATAGAGTAATGCCAACAAGTCCCTCCGCAGGTCTTTAACCAAATTCTGCTTAGATATTGTAATCACGTGATCCATAGGAGGGCCTGTTCAGTGACTCGGGTTTCCATGCCTGCGAATTTACTCCAGGCCACTCTTCAGCCTGATCAACCACTCTTCAACATGTACTCCCATAATCAATTGGGCTCCCATGGCCATGGCTTGAATTACCTGCTGTGTCTCGGCGGCAGACTCGCGAGTACCCTCTTTCACCCAAACTACCAGGCAACCACTCCGCCGCGGACCCCCTCCTGATCGATCTTCGCTCTACGTGCGACAGCCTCCCGAACTTCACATCCTCGAGGTTGCAAGAAAACATCCCTCAACAGGCAAGAGGCATTCATCAGCAATGCGAGCGATAATCCTCCTCTCTGCAGAGCGGATGCGTGTCACCAAATGCTGAGATCTGAGTTTCACCATGCGACTTTTGAAGTTCGACGATCATGGTGAGCTCAGCCTGACCAAAGACTTGATCGACAATATTCCACGCTACGCGATCCTCTCCCATACATGGGGAGCAGATGACGAAGAAGTGACCTTCAACGATCTAAAATATGGATCTAGCCAGCGCAAGGCCGGCTATGAAAAGATCCACTTCTGTGGAGAACAAGCTCAGAAAGACGGGCTACAGTACTTCTGGGTGGACACATGTTGTATCGATAAAGCCAATCATGCCGAACTCGCTGAAGCTATTGTCTCGATGTATCGCTGGTACCGCGACGCAGAAAAATGCTATGTATACCTCGCAGACGTTTCGGTGGAGGTTGTTGACAAGAACAGCCAGCCCCAGCGGACATGGGAGGCAGATTTTCGGAGAAGCCGGTGGTTCACACGCGGATGGACGCTTCAAGAACTTCTTGCTCCGAAGACAGTGGAGTTCTTCTCGCGAGAACGAAAGTGGCTTGGTGATAAACATACCCTCGAGCGCTTGATCCACGAGACGACCGAGATCCCTCTCACAGCACTCCGCGGCGTCCCTTTGCTTACGTTCAGCGTGGAGGAGCGGATGCGATGGGCTGCGAAACGGGACACCAAGAGAAAGGAAGACAAGGCATACTGCCTACTGGGGATTTTTAACGTGTTCATGCCTCCGATCTACGGTGAAGGAGACCATGCATTCATTCGACTCCAAAGCGAGATCGACAAGCTCTCAGGGGCGCAGGTCGACTCGAACAAGGTTTCCGATGTTCGACATGCTCGGCCGATCTGGTATATCCCCTTTAGCCAGACGTCAGAATTTGTTGGACGCACATGTCAGCTTCGACGTCTTAAGCGAAAGATTGAGGAACTCGGCAGCAGCCAAATCGTGTCCATCCTCGGTTTAGGAGGCGTGGGCAAAAGTCGTTTAGCGTTGGAGCTAGTCTACCAAATCCGTTCAGAACACCCACAGTACTCGCACTTCTGGATCGAGGCGACAGATCGGTTAACGTTTGAAAGGGATCTGCTTGAAATCGGGAAGAAGCTTGGAATTCCAGGGATTGAAGATGCCAAGGCCGACGTCAAAACGCTGGTTAAGCAATGGCTCAACCATCCAGAGGAAAGATGGCTCTTGATCCTCGATAACGCTGACGATGAGGCATTATGGGGAAGGAGATCCGATCCCACCGATGGGAAGTCCACAGCCGCAGAGTGGTTACCAACACTAACTAATGGCACCATCATCATCACCACCCGATCACGACGTGTGGCTAGCCATCTCGCCGGGAAAGAGGTGATTGAATTGACGGCGATGTCACCGGAGGAAGCGAGGACCATGTTCAAGAATGCTTTGGAGAAACCAGAGATTGCCGCAGACGAGAACGAAACGACCATCCTGCTCGACAAGCTGACTTACCTCCCACTGGCTATCTTCCAGGCTGCCTCTTACATGAACATGACCCAAGAGCCTTTGGCAACTTACCTAGAACTCATGGACAAACCCGAAGAAGAAGTGGTCGAGTTACTGAGTGAAGATTTTGGCGATCGATCTCGATATTCTAGTGCCCATAATCCGGTCGCCACCACCTGGCTTATCTCGTTCAATCGAATTCGCGAATACCACCCATTAGCTGCACAGTTTCTCAGCTCGATGGCTTGCCTTCGTGAAAAAAGTATTCCAGAGTCTCTGCTGCCGGAAGTCGACTCCAGGAAAGATGCTATTGGTGCCCTTGCCACGCTGAAGGGATACTCCTTTGTGACGAGGCAGACAGGGAACGACGGTCGGATAAACCATGAAGCGTTGTATGACATGCATCGACTGGTCTATCTTGCTGCACGAAGTTGGCTAAGGAAACAAGGTAAACTTCGTGATTGGCAGAAGGCCTGCATTATACGACTCGCCGAGCTATTCCCTCAGAGAGACTATCAGTACAAAAATGTTTGGACGGCTTATCTACCACACGCTCAGAGACTCTGTGAAGAAAGCGAGACTGAGGATTTTCCTAAGCGGTACCGGCTCCTCGAAAAGATGGGTCTATGTCTCATTGCCGATGGGAAGTTCGGTGAAGCCGTGGACGCCCATCGCGCAGTAGTGCACTGGAGGGAGAAGAAGTTGGGAATTTCCGATGAGGAGACATTGCGCGCCTATAATAATCTTGGGGAGGCATTGAACTGGAAGGGTGATCACCATGTGGCGGAGAAGTACCTTCAAAAGGCTCTTCAGCTACAGGAAATCCTTGGGCCGGAGCATCCCGACACGCTGACTAATATAGATAACCTAGCGTCGACGTACTGGAATCAAGGCCGATGGAAGGAGGCAGAGGAGCTGGAGGTGCAAGTGATGGAAACGAGCACGAGAGTGCTCGGGGCGGAACATCCCGACACGCTGACTAGTATAGGTAACCTAGCGTCGATGTACCGGGATCAAGGCCGATGGAAGGAGGCGGAGGAGCTGGAGGTGCAAGTGATGGAAACGAGGACGAGAGTGCTCGGGGCGGAGCATCCCAACACGCTGACTAGTATAGCTAACCTAGCGTCGACATACTGGGGTCAAGGCCGATGGAAGGAGGCGGAGGAGCTGGAGGTGCAAGTGATGAAAACGAGGACGAGAGTGCTCGGGGCGGAGCATCCCTATACGCTGACCAGTATAGCTAACCTAGCGTCGACGTACCGGGATCAAGGCCGATGGAGGGAGGCGGAGGAGCTGGAGGTGCAAGTGATGGAAACGAGGACGAGAGTACTCGGGGCGGAGCATCCCGACACGCTAATTAGTATAGGTAACCTAGCGTTAACGTACCAGTATCAAGGCCGATGGAAGGAGGCGGAGGAGCTGGGGATGCAAGTGATGGAAACGAGGACGAGAGTGCTCGGGGCGGAGCATCCCCACACGCTGAACAGCATGGCTAACCTGGCGCACACGCTCAAAAACCAGAATCGCGGTGACGAAGCTACATGGTTGATGGCTTCCTGCGTGGAAATAAGGCAAAGGGTCCTCGGCGCTTCGCACCCCCACACCCAAAGCGCAGAGCAGACGTTGAGGGCATGGCTCAGTGCGGACGATGACACGGACTCAACAGATCCAGAGGCCCAGAGTGTCGACGACCCCTGGATGATGCCAGGAGCCTGGGTTGAATGATGATGTGGTACAGAGTACGAGCGAGGCACGAGATAGAGGCGAAGGTTTGTTTAGTGTGGAGCGCTATCACAAATCTTATCATATGCTGCACAAGACCTACCTGAGCAGATCTGAAACCTGCGGTGATAGCTGCCGTAGAACATGGCCAGTGACTGAAAGCGACCCTTCGCTTCTTCACAAGACAGCTTGTTCTTTATTGTATATGTGACGGGACGGCGGCATGGCACACGGGGCAAGGAGGAGGCACCGAAGTCGTGTATTTTCCTGTGTACGAGAAGACTCAGCTAAGGGAGGGAAGGAAGGAAGATAGAGAGAGAGAGAGAGGAAGAGAGCATGTCGCCAGCGTCGACGACGCGACGTTGAAATACCTCGCGGTCGTGCCAAGCCGTGCCAAGCCATCTCATTAAGTGCTGGCCAATCCGAGTGTGCGCCAAGCCGCCGCCACACAATCAGGTGCCATATAGAGCTCGCCGGGTCCTGGAATTACTCCGGACATTGTACAGGGCAAGGTTGACCAAGGAAATTAGATCGCTCCGTTCAGCTGGGTGGGGTGGCATGTGCGCCGGTCCGGTCGTGCGGGACGTCGGTACATATCGTTGCTCAGGCCCGTGACACATAGATGCCAAAGAGTGTGAGGGCAAGGGGTCCCGAGGGCAAGCAAAGTCAGAATAGAATGGCATGGATAAATCCTCGTGTGCTTTTTGTTTGTTGGCGGGCTATATACGAACGTATATATTATATATGTACTCCGGGTTTGCACCTACAGGACAGCAAAGGCCTCTAGGCTGGTACGTAGTGGCAGGAAGGATCGAGTCGCTATATAGCCCAGAAACGAAGGAAGACCGTGTTTCACTTGAAGGAATGGCAATTTAGAGACCGCAGTGCTTTTTTCCGGCGTCTTCATCCTCTCAGCTGGTTCCAAATATCATGCAGAATTGCTGCCTGGTGACTCCTTCCACACACCTGTTCACCACTCTCATGTCTGGAGTGGAGTCGCATGAACGAACAACCGTTCACTGAGCCGTGCCAAAAACGAAACTCAATACGTCGCAGCCAGTCTCATGACCAGATAATCCCCACTGTTGATGCCCTTGTACTTCTTGCCGCTCTCCTCCCAGGTACCCGGCAACGCCTCGATCCAGCGGTCAAAGTTGGGATTGCAGAAATAGGCAATGCTGTAGCGGGCCGGCACCGTGGCGTCGGGATCTTCTGACCCCTCGTCTTCTTTCGGTGGGGGCTGGATCACGCGGTGATTCGTCGACTTGATCCGGTCATTGCTCCAGCGCTGCAGCAGGTCGCCCGCGTTGACCACGATGGTGCCCGGGATAGGCGTGGCCCGCACCCACGTGCCCTTGGGCGACTTGACCTCCAGGCCCCCGATGTCGTCTTGGAACAGCAGCGTGATGGAGCCGTAGTCCGAGTGTTCCCCGGCGCGGACCTGGTTCGGGTTGGCGCGCCACACGCTCTTCTTCACGGGCGGGTAGTGCAGCAGGCGCAGCGTGTTGTCCCCTGCGTCCGTGTAGCTGTCGAAGAAGTGCTCGTCCATGCCCATACCCAGGGCGATGGCACGCATGACGTTGACGTGCAGGTCCTTGAGGGTGAGGAAGAAGCGCTGCATGTCCCGCGTGAAGGCGGCACCCGCTTCGTCCAGGTGGGCGGGCCACTGGTTGGGTTTCCCCTCGACGCCCTCCCGCCCGATCTCCATGGACTCCTTCAGGTCCGGATTGGAGGCGCGCAGTTGGGCGATGACGTCCGGGTCATCGGACTGGGTGACCTTCTCGCGGCCCCAGGTCACGTAGCCGCGGTTGGCGTCCGGGGTGGTCCAGCGCATGGTATCCTTCTGGGCCTGGGGCCGCTGGAAGAAGTCGGCCGACTGGGCGAAGGCACGCGAGACCTGGTCCTGGGGGACGCCGTGGTTCTGCAGGTACAGGAAGCCCGAGGTCTGGAAAGCGTGGGAGATTTGCTCGGCCGTGGCCTTCTTGGTTGCGGCAGAACCGTGCAGGAAGGCCCCGAAGTCAATCAGCTGGCAACAAACGGGGGGTTAAAACGGCGTCTCTGGTCGAAAGGGGAAGGTGGTGTCGTTGGGGGCATGTAGAGAGAAAGGGGCAGGTGGTGCAATGTGTCATGCGTGTATGGAGCTGCTGGTGGTCCAATGGCCACGCACTGCCATACATATATGTGTACGTACCGGCATGATCAGATCATCTTGTTCTACACCCTTCTGGGCGACTTCTCCTCCCACTGAGCCCATGTCTTTCTGTCACAAGGCTGGAGTGGGCCAGGGGAAAGGGGGCAACTGCAGCACTCGGTAGTCTTGGACGGGCTCTTCCTGGTCCTCTTGCCCTGACTAACGAGTCAGAAGGTATGTGGATGGATAGATGACTGGCAGGGGGGACGGCGGGTGGAGATACGATTCTTTGGTTGGTTCCGGGACAATAGCGTCTTCGTCAGTAGATGCGGCTGACTAAACGACTCGGAGGCTCTTGAAACCAGAATCCGGGGTATCTGAGTCTTTCTTTCCACGATGGACGAACAGGAGGGATAATCCAACATGTCCTCGAGAAATATATGTATGTACAAGAGGAGGAGGTGGAGGAGGAGGGGGCGAAATGCCCGTGTATGGCGGGGAGTGACGACGCCACTGATTGGATGGGAGCCTGATAAGGACTCGTAGCTAGTGGCGGAGGAGCCCGTTGAAGATACAAGATACAGCGACAGTATCATCTCACCACCACCGTCACCGTCACCGTCACCGTCATCGTCACCATCACCACCACCATCACCACCACTGCCATCACCATCGTCACCACCATCATTCTCCTTCTTGTATACAGAACACACTACACCACACCACACCACACCACACCACACACGAACACACCTCCTCTCCTCCTCCCTCCCCCCACCCCCCCAAACCTACCTACCACCTCCAACAACAACATGCTGCCTCCCCCCCTCGTCGTCGACATCCACACCCACATGTACCCGCCCTCGTACATCAAACTGCTCTCCTCACGCACCACCGTCCCCTACATCTACCAACCCACCACCGAAACCAGCCCGGATGCCGACCCCCGACTCATCATCCTCGCCTCCGACGACGACCCGTCCCGCCCCAAGTCCTCGCGTGGCCGCCCCGTCGACAGCACGTACTCGTCCTTCGACCAGAAACGCGCCTTTATGCGCCGCCACGGCATCACCTGCAGCGTCATCAGCCTGGCCAATCCCTGGCTCGACTTTCTCGACCCGGACACCGCCCTGAAAACCGCCCAGGGTATCAACGACGATCTCGACGGGGCGTGTGCCGAGAACAATAGTAGCAGCTCAGCAACCTCTCACGAGGGGCTGAAGCTCTACGCCTTCGGATGTCTCCCCCTGTCGGCTCCGGCAACCGACATCGTCAGCGAGATCCACCGGTTAAAGACGCTCCCCCACGTCAAGGGCGTCATCATGGGCACGACAGGTCTGGGAAATGGCCTGGACGACCCGGCGTTGGACGACGTCTACTCGGCCTTGGCCTCCACGGGGACGTTGGTCTTTTTGCACCCGCACTACGGCCTGCCCGACTCTGCCTTTGGCGGCCCCGAGGTCGTCGCCAAGTCGGGGCATGTCCTGCCCCTGGCCCTAGGATTTCCCCTGGAGACCACCATCGCCGTGTCGAGGATGTACCTCGCGGGCGTCTTCGACCGCCATCCACAGCTGCAGTTCCTCCTGGCCCATTCGGGCGGCACGCTACCCTTCCTGGCGGGGAGAATTGAGTCCTGTGTGGCGCACGAACGGGAATTCGTTGCCAACGGTGGTCACCGGCAGGGCCCCCAGCGTTCCATATGGGATGTGCTGCACACCAACATTTACCTTGATGCCGTCATATATGGCCAGCCGGGCCTGAGAGCCGCGATCGAGGCGGCAGGGAACGTGGACCGGGTCATGTTTGGAACAGATCATCCTTTCTTCCCGCCGCTGGGAGACGACAAGGAGGCAAAGTGGTTGAGCGTCGAGAGTAACAAAGGGGCCATCGACAGCTGCCTGCCCGAGGACGAGGTCGCAAAGAGAAAGATATTGGGTGGAAATGCCGTCAGGGTGCTTGGTTTAGACTTATAACATTCTATGTCAGCACGACGAGATCGTGTCGTTTGGCGGCGACTCGGACATTCGACCATACCGCCACAGATGAAAAGAAAAGGCTCAAACATCCCTCCTGCCAGATAAGATATCCCACCCCAAATGCTCCCACACCTCTCCAATGAACCATTCCGGCGAGCAATCTTTGCCTTTGATCTGCTTCACCATTTTCGTCAATTCTGCCTCCTCCTCTCCATCCGCCTCACGCCTCAAAGAATTGTAAAATGCGTCATCGTCATCGCCAAACGCACCTCGAAGAAGGGTGTTTTGGAGTGTCTCTTCGATCCGCCGCCGAAGGCTTTTGCCTTGAGCCACCCCCTTTGCGTCGGACTGCTGCGGCGTGAAAATGAGCTGGGACTTTCGAGACATGTGTTTGGTGTTGGCATGCAAAAATTCCAGCCCCTTGCGCAAGATCCAGATAAGGTATGGCCCTTCAATGTTGGCCGTACCTGTGGCAGACTTCGCGTCCAGATGCGCCACATCCAACAAACCGCGTGGTGCCAGCAGACCTGGTTGCTTTTCGCTCGTCCCGCTCAAGTCGGCAAAGACCAGAAGCGATAGGGACGAGCCAACACGGTCGAGAATTGTGCACAAGCAGCCCTCCAGCATTTCACAATGAGCATCTCTCGAGACGTCAAGCTCGGTTATCATCTTCACCAGAGTCCGAACTATTTCTGTGGCCTCGGCGATGGCTTGTTTATTCGACGCTGCGAATCTCCGGCCTAGAACCTCTCGCACACGAGCTGACCCTCGTTGCTTCGATTTGACGTCTTTCTCTTGTCTGGTGTATTCATCCAGAGCAAGCTTGTGGAGCCGCCCGAGGAAGGCTTGGAACACCTTGGTGAGGTCGGGAACAGCTGGGTAATACCGTGCACCGTCCTCACCGATCTGCGGCTGGATGAATCCCATCGCCTGCAGAATTGACGGATAGGCATTCCCGAAAGCCACACAAAGGTCTTTCGCTGCTGGGCCTTCCTGCCGGGCAGACTTCTTCGGCGGTGCACTCAGCCGCTTTTGAAGTATCCGTGAGACGGAAATTGCGGCAGCTCTGATGGAATTCACAAGTGCCTCTTGGTCAGGATCTGATGAACGCAGGCTGTGGCGGAGGGATATGAAGCCGTGAAGGAACGATTGGCGATCTGTGGTCAATTAGTATCTGCCCACCTTGGAATTCTGGAGGCGTACCTGTGAGAGGGATGTCGAGACTTTCGATTTCCAAGGCCCTGTCATCATTCTCAAGGTCTAGACTGGCTGGTTGAGTTTTTCTCACCATCGGAGCATCTCGTTTGCGCTTGCCAACAGTAGACTGTCGCGTTGAGAGCTGGACTTCCTCGCTCGGCAGAAGAGCATCTCTCTCCTTTCTCAACTGATCCAGCTCGTGGGCCAGCTTCAGACGCTCTGCCTCAGCTTTGTGATATGCACTTTTCCAGTACATCTCTGCGTCAAAGTCCAGAATGGTGATGGAGGGATTGTGAGACCTTGTCACAATAGCCCGACGAAGGTCCTCAAGGTATTCTAAGCAACATCAGCGAGAAATCTCTCAGACCCGGCAGGCTCATACCTTCTATGGACAATTGAGATGGTTTCGATCGGACCACGGCAACGGCGAATGCGATGTGGGCAGGACAGGGGAGGTCATGATAGTTCTGGTCGGAGTGGGGCTTCGCCCGAGTGGTCATATCTTCTGTTTATCTGCCGAAGGATGAGGAGAGCGACATGTTGAGAGCAGAGAAGGAGACAAAGGAGCAATCATGGGAAGAGCAAAGAGGAGTTCAGTGTCGTGGAATCAAAAAGGAGCAATGGAAAGTGTGAATTACGCAGGAAACGAGGAAGGCACGACTCTTCCCACGACCTTCGGATAGAGGAGCATTCGAAGGACGACAGATCTTACACAGACGGGGCCATATCATCAGCAGACTGAATTACTGGCACATATGTTAATAACAGTAGATGATCAGATGTGCATTTTCCTTGTAAAGCCATAGGATGTCAGTGGACGTCTCAGTTGAGTGAGCTTCGTGAAATCAATGACTGCGCCAAAGGGTTGTGTGGTGCACCGTAGTCCCTAGTGCGGAGCATACAGTCTCCGACTCTCCATGTCCTTCACTTCTGCACCAGTCTATGTTTGCCTCCCAGAACCACATCGACAACACACAGACAGTACTCGGCCAACATGGCGCCGTCAAACGACGCAGACATGTCCGTCGACTTCTACGAACTGCTCTCGATCCCCGCGACGGCATCCGAGTCAGAGATCCGCCGTGCGTACCGCAAAACCTCGCTGCTGTACCACCCGGACAAAGTCACGCCCACGCCCGAGACGCTGGAGAAGTTCCAACTCCTGCAGACGGCGCTCACCATCCTCACCGACGCCGCCGAGAAAATCAAGTATGACCAGACGCGGGAGGCGAAGCAGCGGCGGCTGGCCGAGACGGCGGCGCTCGAAAGCCGGCGGCGACAGATGAAGGAAGAGCTGGAGAAACGGGAGGGCGACTTTGCCACCACCGGAATGCCGTCGGTGGGCGGCGTGAAGCGCACCTGGACCGAACGCGAACTCGAAATCAAGCGCATCGCCGAAGAGAACAGGAGGAAGCGGGAAGCGGCCATGGCGCACAAGGCGCAAGAGGCACAAGCTCGCACACAGGCTGCGGCCGAGGCGACAGCGGAAGAGCAGTCTCCTTCCAGCTCGATCGACCGGTCTGTCAAAGTGCGTTGGATCAAGGAAGCGGACGGGCTGGAGATCGACCAGGAGGCACTGGAGGAGAACTTTGCCGCCGGCGACGTGGAGAACGTCCTGATGCTGAAGGACAAGAAACGGCGTGTCGACGGCAGGGCCAGAAAAGTCCTCCTGGGCACTGCGGTCATTGTGTTCAAGTCTTTGGCTATCGCGAAGAAAGTCGTGGCACAGGGTCCGTGGGAGGGCATTGAAAGTGTCGAATGGGCCGCGACCAAGGAAACCGACGGCGGTTGACGGACCGTGGAGTTATGGTTTGTGACTTCTACAATCTAACCACGGCATTCCCCCCGCCGTGAAAAGACTCCATTCCCGCTGAGATGGGGAGTCCTCGAGCATCCGCCCCTGGAATGGATTCGTCAAACTTTTGGCCAAGTGAGTTGCTGCCGGTTGTCAAGCGCTGAAAGTGGCAGCAGAAAGTGTCTCCAAGGGTGTTGTTGTTTCCAGCAGAGGAGCTCACAACAGGAAAGAGCTGGCACCGGAGTTCTACCAGTATCTGAAAACGCCTGTGCCTATACCTGAATCTGACCGACCTGTGCCCCTTGATTTGTCGGAATGCAATGCAAGTCGGAATCCGTGACCGTCCATTCCGGCACACTGCCATGGCACGACCAGCATCCATTTGGTGAGAACCCTGGAGAAATGATGCTTCACATACAACGAGGTCATGTGCATCCCAACATTCTTGCCATGCTGCTAAGGTCAGTCAATCAGTGAGCCAGTAACTCACGGAAACCACCCAGCGTGGCGGAACGCGAGTGTTTCGTGCCTCGGGGTTTCACATGTAGAGAGGGACGTATAGCGACCACGGACGGAAGGCGATATCCATTATTTCTTATATGAGTGTCCAAATCGATTAGATAACATTGTTCTCTTTCTCTCTCTCTCTTATTCAAGTTCCTCGTCATCCTCCTCCTCTTCCCGTCGGGGTTTGACCTTCTTCTCCTTCCTGCGTAAACTCTGCTCGACGCCCTCCCTCAGCCACTGGGGCACAAACGGCTTGAGCATGACCCCCAGCTGCTGCTGTTCGACGCCCTCCCCTGCTTCCCACTGCACCTTGTACTGCTCGGCCGGGTCGTAGTTCGTCCGGTCGGCCGTCAACTGGATGTCCGTCATCATCTCCAAGCGACACAGCGCGAGCCCGATGTTGCCCACCCCCGCCAGCCACTTCCCACTGCTCCGCCCCCGCCCTTTCGCCTTGAGCTTGCAGATGTTGGAACCTGGCGGCGGGTGTGGCATGTCCACGCCGGGCTTGTACTCGGGCAGCTCCTGGTCCGCCGGCGGCAGTGGCTGCTCGTCGGCGTCGTACAGCTGGCACGGGAGGATCCTCTTCCGGACCACGCCGGTGTGGTGCGTCCGGATGGTCAGCTCTTGGCCCAGGTAGCAGCCCTTGAAGAAGTCGATCCCACCGAAGAAATCAATGTTGCTTTCCTGCGGCAGCGCGTGGCCCGGGATGATCTCCGACTGGCCCTCCGCGACGCCGTTGAGCATGCGGTGCACCGTGTACTCCTCCAGCGAGGCCGGTTGGCTCCCGCTGTCTTCCAATCGCTGCAGTGCGCCTGGTTTCGAGGATGCCCGATCGAGCAGCCAGCGGACGCCCATCCCAGGCCGGGGATCTTGCCCTCCGAGACCCCATGTGCTGCTGCTCGAACTCACCGAACCCTGACTACCGCTGGCAGGTGGTGGCCAAGTATAATACACGCCCATTCTCTGCCCGTCTATCCTCTCCAGCGTAAACTTTGCCCGTAGCTTGTGTTTCTTCAGGTGCTTCAACAGGTCCCCCGCGCTCTCTGCATCGACTTCGATGAACCATTCTTCCCCGGGGTGTTCACCAACGGGGCTTGGAGGGTAGACGAAGACGTCGTTCAAGATCCGTCCCTGGGCCGAGAGGAACGCCGTGTAGATTGGGTTCGTGCTGCCTCCGATGTCGAGGATCTTGGCCGGGATGAGGTTGTGGAGGAACAGGGCGGCGTCGGGGCCCGCGAGGCGGATGACGCTGCGGTTCGTGAGATGGAGGTACTTGCTCTGGAGCCGCGGGGATGTGCTGAAGCTAGAGCGGCGGACCAGAGGTTGGTCGCGATAGAGGCGCCGGCGGAGCTGGCATTCCGGGCATACGAATGGTCGAAAGACACCAGATTTGAGTCTTGGAGGCATGGTGGAGGGCTGTACTCAGGTTCTCGTCGTGGTGGTGGTGGTGGTGGTGGTGGTGTCGAGCACGGTTTCGTACGTCAATACAAGTTCTCCGCACTGATGTCGGCCAGTTATTCTCGGATTATTATAGAGCCGCTCCGGGCCAGGACTACCCCGATTTGGCATGGCGTCTTCCCGTCATACCTACTCCACGAGGGAGTCTGCTGTCTTGATCTAACCCTCTCCTGGTCGTCAAGTTCTACAAGTCGCACATGAAAAAGTCGGGCATTGACAAGTAAAATGGTCGAGTTTTCCTGTCATGAAAGAGACCACCGAAGATCGAAGATTCGACACCCTCTTGCTTACCATACTACGAATCCGATTGGACGGCTTGAGGAGACTGAGACGGTATGGAGCCCGAGAGGCAAAGACAACTGAGGCTGCCCCGTCTCCTCCTCTCACGCTGGAACTCCTCCTGCTGTCTCACCTCAACTGTCACCCCTAGTGCAGACCCGGAAAGCCCACCGAACGAGCCATTTCATCGCTTCCAGAACCCCATGTCTACGAGCTCGGTGTACTTCAAAGGGGCACGCAGCAGATCTTCCTCTCGTATGGCCTTGGCGATATCTTGGTGGTGCTGCAGGTCGCGTCGAGTCTGGACTTTTGACATGTCGTCGATCCTGTTCGAGGTAGGGAAGACACAGGTTAGCCTGGGAATGAATGAGGTGGGAGTGCAATGTCGTTGTGTATTGGACTCAGACGTCGAGTGCAATTGATGGCCATTGGCTGTGGTTGCATACGCATTCAAGATCTGCGAGGCAGCCATGATCTTAGGCTACCCATAGAGGCAACAGCTCAAAGTCAAGCTCCTGCTTCCTCTTTGCACTATCTCCAATCGAAACGTCCCCCAAGAACACCCACGAGGACAGAGCAAAGTGGAAAGTCTACCTACCTAAAGGCGATGACATACTCCGCACCGTCTGCCTCGGACGAGCCGCCCACGTGCTTGGCTTTGTACTGACGGTAAAAGCTGACCCACGGTTCATGCTGGCGGACTTGCTCGGCGACGTGGGTGATGAGCTCTTCTACGCGTTTTTCCTTGCCGGGCTTCGGGAAGATCTGCACCATCACATTCGGAGGGACTGGGACGTTTGACATCGTTGACAGGAGTCGGTGTGAAACGTTCGCGTGTAAGAGCTCTTGCTGGCGAGGGAACTATCTTTGCTTCAAGGAGACGCGACCCGTTTGATAGAGACGAGACAGATGCGTAGTCACACAGTGTTAATTCAGGAACGAGGGACAATTATCATTCTCGACTTGCTCGACCTTTCCAGGGGTTTACATACCATTCTCTCCGATGGAAAAGAGCGTATCACGTGCTTGCTAACAAAGTCAAATGGTTTAAGAGGTTCAGCTGCCCTTTTTAATCGAGGCGACGTGACATAGGGAACTCGTCTTCAAAAGCGGTACGAGACATCCTTTCCTGGTCACTGGCTCATCCTGCAAGGGACTTCGTAAGAGGAACTATGTCAAACAAGTCCTCATACTGCATCACGGCGAGCACATGGGAACCTTTCGACGGAGCGAAGGAAAAGATCTTTCGATTGAGTGGAGTCTCGTATTCTGACTTCGGCGGGTGCTTCTTGATTCGCGGACCCCCGGGTTCGGGCTCGTATTCGCTTCCTCAGCTGAACAGCCATGTCAGAGCCGTCTCCTTGTTGTATTGAATCTTGTTTCTGACCTCTGCAGACGCATTCGACCCGGAAGCCAGAGAAGCAATCGAATCGGTCCGAGCTTGAATTCCTAAGGCCTGGTGACATCCTCGCATGCACACGCGTTGATCGGCCAGAGTTACTGCCATGTGGGTGGGTGAGGTCTAGACCTTTTCCCGACAACGTGCAAGGAGTTCTCCAGGTGCTGTTTTGCATTTTGACATCAGCTCCCTCTCTGCCAAAGTCTGCTGGATAGGTCAATAACGCCAAGGGCAAGGTCTCGACCAAGACCCTTGCACATATATCCACCGAGATTTGTGGTTGTGGAGTTTTGGTCTCCGAATGCCAGCTAGAACAAACGAGGCAGATTATGGCGGCCACATGGCATTGCCATTATACTCGGTCAGAGCGTTTCTGATATCTCGGGATCCGACAGCAGTATCTCTACCATGTAAACGTATCCTGCATCGTAGGACGGGTGTTGGGTGTAGACCCGCCAAGTCAGCTCCACGTGACCGACTACACGAGGCTGAACATCCAAAGGGGCGCAGGAGGAGGAGTAGCAGAGGAGCAGCCATGCATGGACCAGCTATCCAAGACTGGAGCCGAGTGGTAAAAGTGAACGCTTCTGCAATGGCAATGTGAAATTCCATGTAGTATATAGCCTCGATGCGGCGGGAAATATCCAGCCGGCATCCTTTCTGCGACCAAAAGACAGGCCGTCCGACCATCCACGATATATATTATTGTTAGTACACCCGAGGATTCTCGGCGCGCTTTTCCAAGGGCAGCTTCTCCCGGTGCCCCGTCAGGACCCTCCGACAAAGCCTTCCGAAGGTGCGGATCCAAGCGTAGGTCGTGTTCAGCCCTCTCCGCGTTCTGCTGGCCCCGACTTTGCCGCGCCACTTCTTCATCCGGAAGTTGTAGTAGAGCAGAGGGATCATGAACAGATCGAACGCCACGTATGCCCAGACGAGGCCAAAGTTGCGCCAGCGCTGGCCCCACGAGATGCCACGAGGACTCAGATACTGGTCCGCGACGGACAGGGCGCAGTACTCGCAGTTGCTCGTTGCCGCGGGATTGTATAGTGTCCCCGGTGCCACGTGGAGGTAAGGCGCGAGGTACTGCCCGCAAGTCATGTTTGGTGGCGGAGAGAAGACGCTCAGTTCGTTCTCTGCGCACACGACCTTGCGGCTGTGCAGCGCTGTCGCCACAATGCCATCGATGATGTACGTGAAGGGGCTCACACGGTACATGAAGTGCCAAAAGCCCGGCAGTGCGTTTGGTGGTTGAAGCACGCTAGGAAAAGTTAGCACCTGTGGAGATACGACTGGGGTATTGTCACTCACCCGTTGAATATCACACACATGGCGAACATGAGTGTTGCGATAATGCCAGCAGTCTCCGCATCAGGCAGAGCCGCGATCACCATCTGAGAGAACGTGCTTGCATACACGAAAAACTGTACACAAAATAACAAAACAAGGCCTTGTCTTTCGGAGGATTGTATGCTTGAGATGAGGGTTTAGTAAACAACATCGAGGAATCTACGTTTCGGAAACTCACCCAAAGACCGAGTAATAATACGAAGCGTATGCCATGATGCCGAGCAGGATCTGGTAGGGTATTTCCACGAGAATGTTGGCGAGGAGGAACGCCACAAAGGAATATGCCTTCGACGGGCGCTCGCGGACTTCGTAGAGCGATCTCTGAATGACAAAGCGCGGGATGATTTGCTGGATTAAAGCCGTAAATATCGATGTGAGCATGAAGACGCTCAGCAGGACATTCTGTAGCCCTTGTTGGGAGCTGTTGGACTGCCAAAACGAGAAGCCAATAAACCTGTTCCCCGTCAGCACCCCTTTCCCTCTGAATAATTGTCGAAACAGAACTCACAGAGCCGAAGCAACACCAAGGCCAAACTTGTGAAGAACATACCCCGGAGTTCTCCAATACTGCTGAAAGGCACGAATAGTCGTGTAGTAGATCTGGGTGAAGACTGGCACGGCGAACTGGCCAAGGTTTGTGACGGTGCTGTCCTCCACAGGGATTTTGCTTCTTTCCTGGTTGATTTGGTCCAACTCCGCCAGCATATGCTTGTTCTCTTCGCTTGATCTCCAAATCTCAACCCAATCACGATTGGCTTGAGCACTTGCTTCAGGATTGACAACTTCCAGCATGTACTCTGCCACATTTTCCGAATCAGTGCAGGGCCTGGCACCGTGCCTCTCGAAATAGCTGGTGAGAGTCTGCGAGTTAGGGCCGATGTCGCCGAAGTAGACAGTCCGACCTCCCGTTGTGAGGAAAAGGAGTCGATCAAACTCCTGAAATAGCAGTGCACTGGGCTGATGAATGGTGGATAAGACCGCTTGTCCATGGTCAGCAAGCTTGCGGAGGAACCTGAGGATAGACCAGGAGCTTTGTGAGTCCAGCCCACTGGTAGGTTCATCGAGGAAAAACAGGAGGGCAGGTTTCGCTGCGAGCTCGACCCCTATTGTAAGGAGTTTCCGTTGCTCAACATTCAGGCCTTCTCCCGGCACACCAACGACAGCTTCGGCGAAGTCTTCCGCGTTGATCATCTTCAATACCATCAGCATATCCACAGTCTCGCTCGAAGAAAAGATATACAAACCTTGATCACTTCTTCCACGTACTCGTACTTCTCTTTCTTTGAAACGGATTTCGGCTGACGTACCATGGCGCTGAAGCGTAATGCTTCGCGAACAGTCGACGTCTCGAGGTGGAGATCCTGCTGTTGAACATACCCTGATGTTTCTGTTAGTTCCTGAGCGGCGCTGAGCTATATAAGCCTTGTTCAAGATATCTCACCTGTTTTTCTTTGGAAACTAGGGTCTAACGGCCTTCCGTCCACCAACATGTCCCCGGTAACAATTCCGATTGAGGTGCGCTGGGCTAAAACGTCCAATAGTGTCGTCTTCCCGGCGCCTGATACACCCATCAGGGCAGTTAGCGTTCCAGGCTTGACCCAACCTGATACTTGGTCGAGTAATCGGCGTGTGCCATTCTCAACCGGAATATCGTAGTAAACATTGTGCCAAGTGAAGATGGCCTTTTGCGGTGGGATTGCTTGGACATCGTCGTCCCGGGTGTCATTGTCATGACTTGCGGTTATTGGGAGGGAGGCATCGGGATCCTCTTGGTTTTCATGTCTCAGACCCTCTTCGACGTAGCGTGGAACATGTCCACGACGGAATAGCAAGACTTCTCCCTTGCCCTCTGGTTTCGAGTTGATCTCGGATATTCCGAGGTAGGTGATCATGAAGAAAACCAGGAAAGCAATCAATATGCCCAGATTCCGCCAAATGTGGCTGTAACTGTATCTGTAGGACTGTTCGAGGTATGTATCACCAGATACAGTCGGTTGGCCGACAACTGCGCCGGGAACGGAACAAATGAACGTATCGCCGACGAGGTTTGGATATGCAGGAACAAAGCTGTAAGCAGGGTGAGTAGTGCGCGAAAAAGGAACCAGATATTTACATACTTGCCACACGGAAATTGTCTCCCGTGGAACTCGTTGACGAGAAGTGCTTCAAATGAATATGCAACTGGATTGCACCACGAAAGCCACTTGAACCAAGGGTGCATATTCGGTCGAGGTATCGTGAATCCGGTGTAAATGACTATTGCCAGGACGAACACGGCGGCAATCGCCAGTGCTTGTGAAATGGTTTTGGTCGCTGCCCCGATCGTTCTGAACAATCCAGTCATTGCCAGTCTTGTCACAAAGGCGAAAAGGAAGAAGATGAAGAACTGTGCAACTTCTCTCCGCAGCCCTGACAAGAAATAGAGGACGACGTTGAAGATCACGGCGGTGAGCAGCTGAACTGGTAGATCCGCTATTACCGTAGCCAACGCCTCTGTAAAGGGGTGGTAGAAACTATTCTCGGGTCAGAATATATCATGGAAAGGCCGAAACGTAGCCCAGGGCTGCAGGAAACCCTCAACCGCCGTTTTGACCCGGGAACACTCACGCGTAAGAGACTTGCTTCTCCACGATAGGCCTTTGGTCATACAAGCGATTGATTTCCGTAACCGCAATTAGAGCGTTCAATAACACAGCAAAGAAAATGGTAGAACCTTTTGCGAAGAAACTATTGGTGTCGTTGATCGTCCCGTAGAAAATGGAGCCGATGATGAGGGACATGCTTCCTTGTCCAATGATCAAGGTGAGTCGGATCACTCTTTCATTCCACAGCCGCTGAAAGCCTCTCTTGGTACATATCTTGATCTGCATTGGAGTCGAAACGGTGTAGGGAGAGCTTGGAGGAACATGGTGCGCTTGGACTGCACGGCGTGCGGCTTTGAATTCATCGGCTGCGGCGGAACCATAGTCTTCCTCTTCATGGGTCCTGATTTCTTGTTGAAGGGACTTGTAAAGTCCTGATCTTCGCCAGTATTTTTCAAATTCGACAGCAGTACGAGGCACCTTTTCTTCGTATCCAGGTCGCGTTTTTCTTTCGTCTACATTTGTGATTGAGGTCAGAAAGTCAGGAGTTGGTTGGCGAGCTGGACAGAGCCAGCCCATTTCTGTAAAGTAGTCCTTCGCAAGATTGGTTGGACCGAAATAAATCTCTTTACCCTCATAGAGAACCACAACCTTGTCAAATGCATCGTACATCGTCTGGGAAGCCTGATAGGCCGCAACTGCGTGGGCGGATCCGCTCAAATCGGCACTCAGTCTGAGGGTACGGACGAATGTAATAGCAGACGAAGCATCCAGACCGCGCGTACTGTTGTCCCAACAACCGATGGGCGAGAACGAGAGAAGCATCTCAGCGATGCTCACTCGCTTTCGAAAGAATTAGCCTATGACAGTGTTGGACAATAGCCAACTCACCTTCCTCTCCCCCCCTGATGCACCTCGTACATAGGCATTTCCTACTTGCGTGTTTTGGACATGGCTTAAACCGCAAACTGCCATTGCGACGGCTGTCATTTTGTGAACGTTTTCATTCCGAGTTTCCCCCAAGATTCGATTTCGAGGAGTACGCATGGCAGCCGCAAATTCGAGAGTCTGTCTGACCGTCAAATGCGGGAAATGTATATCGACTTCGGCGTTGTAGACGATCTCGCCCTTGAAATGCTTGATCATCTGCTGTTGAGGTATTCCTGTCCAGATATCAGATCCACATGGCAAGCTGATGAGAGTAGACGAGTATTACCGCTGTAGTGTATAACCGAGTCATCTCCTACTTTCAAGCCATGGAGTTCTCCAGCCAAAGTCTTTAAAAGCGTCGAACATCCGCTTCCAGGACGTCCTAACACCAGCAGCATCTCCCCAGGCTTCACAACGCCGTCAAAGCCAGTGAGGATCTTTCTCTGCGGCTTCTTCGCAAAGCGAATCCACTCGGCGGCACGCAATGGTGCAAGAAGATAAGATGCTACTGTCGGCTGGAGATTCATAGCGATCCCAGAGCCTGATACATTCAGGTTCTTGAACGTGATCGAAGCACGACGTAGCTTGATATTTGCGCCCTCGGCTTCTCGCATGACCATCTTGGCCCATTTGTATATGTCGAAGGCGGAGTCAGCGGGATCCAGAGCCGGATCATGACTCTTCTCGCGCTGGTCGAGTCCCTGTTGACTGTGATGAGGAGAAAGGCTTTCACGATGACAGCATTGGTTTCCAGGAACTCTTACCTTTGATTCAGTGGCAACCCGTGTGATTTCAAAACGGTCAGCTTCCATGATCGGTTCATAGTTGCTCACGCTGCTGGACATTGACCGGGTGGGCTGCAGACATTCATTCGAGCTCGAACCCGAAAGGTCCCTTTGGGATCCCGTGCTGGAGACAACTTTTTCATCATCATTGGCATCATCTTGCCCTTGAGTGGTTGACGCCATTGATGTTGTGTTGAGAATCAGTTCTGTTTTTGCAAGGAGACAAACACAGGAGCCATAATAGAGACTTGTCAGGGACGACACAGTCCCCCATAAATGCACTTCCTCTCGGGCCCGCCAAATCACTCAATGATTGCATAACTGGCATCGGAGGCAATGCCTCCGTCTGACGGCCCATCTGTATGAGTTTTTCACCGTGTGTTTTCAGTCTTCTGACAATAAGGCCAAAACACTGGATTTCATACTGCTGCACCATATGCGTCGTATGATGTGGTCGGGTCTTGTATGTGTCCGAAAATCCAACGAAACTCTGATAGGTCGCTCGTATATCGTATGTCTCCATGGTTCACGTGATTTAGCGATCAGCCTATCGGCACCCTCTCGCGTCTTTTCACCGATGCCGCCAAGACTGGCTTTCCTCCATCTTGCCTCTTGCGGCGTTGTTCACAATGCCCCCCGCATCTACGGATTGTTTAATTATTTCACTAGTTGAAGCAATTGGACACCAATTTGATGCTCTTAGAGCTCCCTCTTGAAGTGCGGGAAATGGGATACGCTGACACATGAAGACGGACCTGCACTGACGTCATGCTCTAAGAGGAAAACTTCGATTATCGTCGCTGCAACATTGTCAGTAAAATCACACCTTTCCACGGAAATCGTCACACCACCTCCCGCACGAAGTCCCGCATGCACGGCGAAGTGTTTACATTTTGAGAGCCGAGAGAAAGAGGAAACGGGGCGTGTCCGAGGCTAGCTAGCCATGGCCTACTTCACAGACCTGCACACCTACCTGCACCAGTCGTCGCTCCTCCTGCAAGCCTACCCTTCGGCACGGATCACAACAAAATATGCTCTACCCCGGAAACCCAATACGAAGGCCAAGTCAAGACCGAAGGCATCCCGAGAGAAAGATGACGCCCCGGCAACAGCTGGGACTACTGCTCCATCGCAACCGCAAAGCAAACGGGAGCCTTCTGCTGTCCTCACCTTGAAAACATACCACGCAGAAAGCGGAATATGCTTGAAATACCGAACCGACAAGGCTGCCGAAGTTGGGAGGCTATTGACTGGACTTGGGAGATTGGCGAAGGGGGAGATCATTGAGATGCCTGCTGCCCCTGTCTCTGCAGTACCAGGAACGGGAATAGCTGTGGACGGCGATAAGATGGACGTTGATGCCGGCTCAGTCGCTACAACTAACCAGATTGAAGACAAAGTCGTAACAGCCCCGCCAGCCGTGACGCATGGGAGTGGAGGGGGAAAGGGGAAAAAGAAGAAAGGGAAGAAGTGAACCTAATCCTGAGCGGGCTGGCTTCACATACCGGTATGCTCGTCGGCTCTCGAAAAGTCAGATTGGTTAGGTGTGAAAAACATTGTCGGAAATATGATGTGCCCTGGTGAATGCTCACGCGGAGAATGAGCACGAGGCTCAAGTGCAAAGGAGGCAGGAGACAGGGACAAGAAGATACTGGCGAGGTTCGAGTGGCTCTTCGACGGGAAAGGGGCGATTTAGAACCAAAAGTGTCCTGCCGTAACAGCGTCGTGGGTTCAAATCGTCTCCCTAGAGACCATACCGAAACCATCAAGTTGATCGTGCTGACCGCCACGGATCAATATAGACTGAGCCGACCAGGCTGGCTTCCAGCAGGGAATCGAAGTACAGGTCAACTCGCCCCTGGAATTTGTGGATGCAATTAGAGAGAATACAAGAATTACCGCTAGAATTGTGTCTCTATTTCAGAGTACTAGTATGTATTTCGTACAACCTTCCAGTTCACCACGCTATGAATTCCTCATGATTAACCCAAAAGACCCTTTCTCTCTAACTGATTCATGCGTAGGGTAGAAGCAGACCGTTCTCAAAACAGTTTAAGCCACAAAAAAAAGCCATACACTCCTTCCTCACTAAAGCACCATTTGGAGCTGCCACACTGCTTTTCTCGGTGACGGATGCCGATATGGAATGGGTATAACAAGTGTACAAAAGGATGGGACACCGTCTAGGTCTTCTTCCTTCCTGTACCGATGAGACGCCGTGAACAAACAGCCAAAGAAATCGTCGTGAAAGATCCCATGTGATCTAAAAGTCTTCATCAAAACTGATGCCGTTACTTTCGGCCTCCGTCTTCTCCTCCTTGGGAGAAGCGGACTTCTCTTCAGACTTCTTGTTGGCTGAAGTCATCACACCACTCTTCTGGTAGTCGCCGACGCGCTTTTCGAAGAAGTTGGTCTTGCCAGCGAGGGAGATGTTCTCCATCTGTATTACGATAGTTAGCCTCTGAATTCAATATGGATCTCACTTTCTCCAAGAGAGTTGACGTGACATATCTATCACACCAGAAAACGCATTGGAGGGTCACTTACGAATGGGAACGGGTTTTGTGCATTGAAGTATCGCTTGTTGCCCAAGGCAAGAAGCAGACGATCAGCGACAAACTCAATGTACTGACACATGAGCTTCGAGTTCATGCCCAGCAATGCGACGGGGAGAGCATCGGTGAGGAACTCCTTTTCAATCATGACCGCTTCGGTTATAATGTTTTCAATGAGTTGTGGGTCCGGCTTGTGCTGCAGATGTTGCATCAGGAGACAAGCAAAATCCGTGTGCATACCCTCATCACGAGAGATGAGCTCGTTGGAGAAGGTGAGGCCGGGCATGAGTCCCTTGCTCTTGAGCCAGAAGATAGATGCAAAGGATCCAGAGAAGAAGATGCCTTCAACAGCTGCGAAAGCCACGAGTCGTTGGGCAAAGCTCGACTCTTTGTCTGAGATCCATCTCAAAGCCCAGTCCGCTTTCTTGCGGATACAAGGGATTGTGTCGACGGCGTCAAACAAATACGTCTTCTCTTTGGGATCCTTCACGTAGGTGTCAATGAGAAGGCTGTACATCTCCGAGTGGATATTTTCCATCATGACTTGAAATCTTTGGAAGCTGTCAGCAACGTGACAATGAGATGGTGGGAAACTGCCTACCCATAGAAGCAACGGGCCTCTGGTACTTGCACTTCGGCACTGAAGCGCTCGAGAAGGTTCTCGTTGACAATGCCATCCGAGGCAGCGAAGAATGCGAGGACATGGGAGATGAAGTAGCGTTCATCATTGTTTAGACGGTTGTGCCAGTCGTGAAGATCTTTGGAGAGATCAACTTCTTCCGCCGTCCAGAAGCTGGCCTCTGCACGCTTATACATATTCCACTGTACAAAGATGTCAGTCGTAAAAGTTCCAAACATATCAAGTGGCATGACTGTGAAGAACGCAGGACGGCTTTTGCTGCGGGCCAGGACACGTACTATCTCATGATATTTCAGAGGAAAGAGGACAAATCGATGAGGGTTCTCTTGTAGCAGTGGCTCTTCCTTTTCAAGCTCTTTCAAGGTCTTGGGGACCTGGACCTGCTCATTCTTCTCCTTTGCCTCGGAAGCAGGCTTCTTCTCGATCTCTGACTCTGCTTTGGCAATGGAGTCGGTAGACTTGGTGGACTCGAGGACAACTGGCATGTTCTCCTTGTCCTCAACATTGAAGTTGAGCTTTTTGACAGGACTGTCCTTGACCTTGAGGTTCTCGAGGCTTGCAGCCGCCTGCGCGTACTTGTTAGTAATGTGTACACGATGGAGAAAAATAGATGATGCAAGTGGCAAACACACCTGTTTCGACGGCGTAACCTGAGTCGTCATTGTTCAATGATGAGATAGGAGTAATGAGAACACAAAGGAGTAATGTTACTTGGGCAGGATAATGAAGAAGTGGTTGTGGTTGTCGAGTGTGAAGGTGGAAGAGAAATGTCAATGAGAGCAGATGTAAACTGGTTGCTGGGCGTATTTAACGTGAACGCGCTAGAGCGTGCACCGCGACAAAGTGGCCGAGCGTGTTCTGGTGGGCTGGGGCTAAGTGCTGGCCTTCACCGAAGTTGATCCACTTCATCACAACATTGCAACACCAGACACCCGTGATTGTGACCAGGAGTCTTAGCCTGAGTGGATTCCTTACGAAATGCTGAACAATGTCTTCGGATGGGCTTCAGAAGAAGCTCCTTTTCATTAGCCATTGCACCCCAGATGCGAGACAGCTGCCTGAAGTTTCTGCAAAACTCTACCGGGCGTGAAAGTTTCCCCCTCTGTCATGTGATCTAATCTGATCTGATTTTGATCCGAATAATGACGTGCGTCCCTGGCATGAATCGCCATTCCTAACAAGGCAGCACTAGCCACTCAGCAGCACTCCGAGATCGGTCTCGCCAGCACCCCAGCCTTGCCCTGAGCCGTGCACTATTATGCTCATTTGCAGTTCTCAGGGCGGCGGATATGCGCCTCGACCCGGCCAGCAACACAAAGATACAGCCATCTCTTCTGGAGAATTCCTGTAGGAGGCAAAGACACACAATGCCCCTGGAGAGTGCACACATTCCACCCGTTATAGGACCCGCCTTTGAGGTGTGCTTTGGTCAATTTGTCAATTTTGCGTGGCTTGCGATATATGGACACAGCAACCTCCAGAAGCCTTGACCAACAGGAAATTCGCGTTGATCCCAGGAGACCCTGACGCGAAACTCTCAAGATGACGGATGTCAGTTCCAACCAACGCCGTAAGATGCAACGCTAAGTCGGTACAGATCAAATCATGCATCTCAGAGCTTCTCTGTGAGAGACTTCGGCAGGAATCTGCCCTCAACTCCCCGTACGAGCTTGTTGGTCTGCTCTGCCAGCGACAACGTGAGAATCGTGTGCGGCAATATTCGAGCAAGATGCGCAGTGAATCCCTTGTAGACACTGAGAATACCTTCCGTTGAGATGGTCTTCCAGAGGCAGTCGAATATGCCATTGTAGAGATTGCCATGTTGGTTGTACAATCGAGCCATGACGGTATCCTGTATGATATATTAGTACTGGAAGCAGATCAAAGTTCAAGTGTGCATGGAGAGACGTACCGGTGGATGCATAAAGACACAGACAACAAAGCCACTGGCAGTTGAGCTCAGCAAATGTAGTGCTGGGCCATCTTCCATTCCAAAATGGCGTATTAAGCGTCTCTTCGCAAAAAAATATGTCGGCAGCTGAACTGAACTTCCAGCTCCGGTTCTGACCATCGACGCGCCCATGCCTCGGTATAGACCTCTGATGCCCTCTGCTTTGTATATCTGTGAGAGGCCGTCGAAAGCATTGCGGTATTTATGCTGCGTGCCTACAGGCAAAGAGGGAGAGTATGATTGCAGTCGGGTCTTGACCAGGAAGAAAGGTGAGCCTGCCATGGCCCCTAAGATACCAGAAGCCGCGCCGGAGAAAATGTTGATGCCCAGAGACTGGACAGTGGTGTCCTTGTAGATGAGCTTGGTGCATGCCGCTCGTAGTGGCTCGTAAAATCCCAATCGACAGCCATTCAGCAGGATCTGGTAGATGTATGCAGTTCCGAGTCCTCGGTATATCCCTTTCAGCCCTTCGTTTTTTAAAATGACCCCAACCCCGTGGAAAACACCCCTGTATTTCCTCACTGCAACATCCTTGGCCTGTAGCTCTCCCTGGAGCTGTAACCTGATCTTCACGGTTTCGAAAGGATGTGTTGCGGTGACGGCTCCGCAAGCAGCAATGCCGCCGGCAATGAATGCGCCTGTTGTTGTTGACATTATCGAGTTGTCAAAGTGCTCGATTGGCCGCTCCTCTTCCCTTTGACGCCTGGACTGACCGTGATTTTACTGCAGAGTTGATGAGACAAGGCACAACATATCCCCAAACGGGAGGGTGGCCAAGGTGAAGGGTAGTGGCAGGTGGAAGGTCAGCAATTGTTAGAGGCAGCGCGTGCGACAAGAAAATTATTTCCGTCCAGGGTCTTATACAAAAAGCGACCTCGGAGTTGGAGAAGTAGTACAGTAAGATGGCTCTGATCATTGCTCCGTAATTGAGTCAGCTTCAGGGATTGGGGGAGGCGGTTATCACCGGGGCACCTAAAATGGAGGCTGGGATTGGCACCCTGGGCTACGGTTTTGCCGCAAGGTCGCCCGGATCTTAGGCGGAGTTTATGCCGAAGCCTCTAACTGGCAATTGGTGCCAAAGATAATCCAGGCACTAGTACCTGGAGCGGTAAATCAAGCGCTGGAAACGGGAATTTTCTTCCCCACGAATATGAATGAAACCACTCCATAGTGCCACCAACTCAGAACCAGCGTGCGCCTTTAGTTGCGCGGTCTGACCTTGCTCTTTGTCCTCTGAAGTGTACTCATCGCGCTCGTATTGGAGTCGCCTTCGCGTCGGTGTGCAGCTTTTGGCACTTTCTAGACCTTCCTCCTGTTTGTTAGCCATGGCAGCCCCTCCGCAGCAGAAAGTCCACGATGTGATCAGGCAATACCGGCCTGCCAGGGTAGGTCCTTTTTACTCTATCTTTCCGCCTCTGCTAATTCAGTTTAGCAATTTCCCGGTTCTACGCGGTCGGATGGGGTCGAGAGCCGTGTTACATCCCTTGATTTCGACGATATGGGCGAGTTCCTCGTCGCCGCCTCGGACGACGAAACGATGCATGTCTACGACATAAAAGAGGGAAAGAGAACCAAGACGATACCCAGCAAAAAGTATGGCATACATCTGGCTCGATTTACCCATCACCCGCGCAACGTTCTGTTTGCCAGTACGAAGCAAGAGGATTCTCTACGCTTGCTGGAACTCCACAATGAGAGCTTCGTTCGCTATTTCACAGCTCATACGGGCCGAGTGACCTGTATAGCCCTGTCGCCTGGTAGCGATCAGTTTCTGTCGTGCGGCAATGACGATATGGTCTGTCTGTGGGACCTGAACTCCAGGAGTCCTCAAGGGAAACTGAAACTTGTCACTCCCTACCTCGCAGCCTACGATCCCTCTGCGCAAATCATGGCGATCGCGTCGCAATCCACCTCCTCCATCCTCCTGTACGATGTCCGGAATTTCGATAAAGCCCCGTTCGCTACCTTTGACATGGCCGCCGAGGAGGATAGGTATACCCCAACCACAAAGGGTCGCGCATGGACCAAATTGGAGTTCTCGAACGATGGGAAAAATATGCTTCTCGGCACGGATTATCACGGTCATTTCGTGCTGGATGCCTTTGATGGGACGGTCAAATCGTTTCTACAAGGGAAGACGGCTGGCACTGGACGCGCGGCTCCTGTGTCAACATCGGGAAAGCCACTCGGTCAAGGAGACGTCTGTTTTACACAAGATGGGAGGTATGTCGTCGGTGGGGCTGGTGATCAACCCGACCTGCTCGTCTGGGATACCCATAACACCACTGATATTCGACTGGAGCCTATGGTTCGATTGACAAGCCGGGGGATCAAGGCGCCTGTGGTGCAATGCAATCCCCGCTTCAACATGCTTGTGACGGCTGACACCAGGGTGTGCATGTGGTTACCCGGCGACCAGATCAAAAATCCGGAAATATGAACAATCTGCCACACCGTTCAGCGCTTCGGATTGATACCTGGTACCCAAGCATGTTCTTGCTCCCAGGCGCATCAAATGGTGAGGCGGTTTCACTTGAGTCAAAAAGAGGAGCTTGGCAGTGTGCTTGTTCCGCCAATCAGGAAGGTTCTCGGTATACCTACTCCGCAACATGAGTGAGCAAGTTCACCTCACGATCAATCTTCACAAGAGCACCGGCGCCCCCTTTGGATATCACCCCATCACGTCTTTGCAGATCTGGCAGTCGATTCTCGCAAGCTGACAAGAGGACTTCAATGCTTGTTTCAGACAATTACGATGGAAGCGCGCCTTCAATGCCGAGGTCTGCCGACCTGCTTGAGAGTCTCCGAAGCCGTGCCAGTGTTTTGCTACACGAGTTTCAGTTATATCAGGCCTACCTCAAGACGCGAGCGAAACAACACCAAGTCGAAATTAGAGCATTCAAACGAGGAATCGAGTCGGAGGTGAAGATCTTGGAAAGAATAGCACTCCTGTTCGCAACTTCCGATCGCAACTCCCAGAGTATTCTCAATAATCCAATCGAGCAGGATGAGGAGAGTCCACAGCTACACTCCCTGAGAAGCTCTAACTTGCCCTTTTATGAAGCTGTTTGGAACACCGCGAAATCATGCCGTCACATTACTGCGCTGGGGAAGAAAATGCACTTTACAGGAAAGTACAGCGCGGCAAGTGAGAAAAATCGGGAGGAGAATTTGGTGAGCTGGACAGACGTTTCGAGGGATGTGCAGAAGAAAGAGACTCTAGTGGACGTCATTGCTGACAATGGATTGCAATGGATAAAAATCTCGACCTTGACGGAGAAACGGCTCCTGTTCGAGATGGCCAAGGAAGGCTGGGAAAAGTATGGAGACTTTGGTGGAGATAGCGATGTGGAAGACGGACACATCCCTGAGACTGACAGCGATGCCATGAGGACAAATAAACTTGAACTTGTGCGGCTTGCTGAAGATTTGAAGATCGCAGCCCAGGAAGTCAGAGTTCAATTTCGGCACCCACGGATTCGATTTGTCCTGCCAAACATTCGCGAAGGGATTATCCCTGATGTGGATGCCTTTCTCGCCGACTTACGCGCGACTGGTGCTGTTGTCGAATGCAATGCGGACGTGTGCTCGTTCGGTGAGGATCGTCAGCTTGATCTCGTCAATATGATGCCCACTGCGCCAACTGTCCCTTTGACCAGCACTATCAACATCGATTGTACGATACTATTGGCATTGGTCTCTGACATATCACATTTCCCGAAGCACCAACTGTTGTCAACCTCTGGACAAAAAACCGAAACTTATCACAAAGCAATTGTGAACCAAATCGAATGCGAAGCATCCTCACCGATGCTCCCTGGCGATATCTATCCGCTCCTTGTCACGCGAGACCTAGAATGTACTGTGCACGCTGCTCAGCGAATGCGAGAGATAGTTCAGTGCATGGGGACATCGAGCGAGTTGAGCCGCGCCGAGATCCTCCTGGGCGAAGGACGATACACAGATCAACCGGCCTCGACCCTGCGGCGGGTCTTTAGTGAACTATCAATGCATGCTGTCCCGACAGAGATACAATTCCCAGTCAAAGTGGTCGATTTCGATGTGCATTCCCTCTTTGGCTCAGAGACCACCTCACTGGCGCTGGATGTTGAATCAAGCAAATCATTCCCTGCCTCTGTCGCTTCCCGTGTGAAGGACAGGCTGCGGCTTACTCCTATCAACGCCTCAGTATTCTTTTATGGCTGGATCGGCCAGATTGTAACACTAACAAGCAATCGCACGGTGGCCAACGAGCTTCTCAAGACCATCAACGACATCCTGGATTGGGATGAGTCGCAAGGGCAAGGCTGTAAGGGCGACACGGACTTCCTGGGACCACTCATACGTTGTGAGACGGCGAGAAGCTTGATAGGAAAGACCAAATTCAGGTGAGGGTTAGGAAGCAAGAAAGGTGGATGAGGAGGCGGCATCAGCGGTGGCTCATCCTCTACTCGGTAGAGGGCATCGGAGGCTTGGTGCATGGTCAAACCAGGCAGTGAATCCTGCCTACCACCTTTTGCGAGCTGCGTCTCTAGCGAGTACTCGGCATTTGTAGTAGCAAGTGCGTGGATAATATGAAGAGTTTGTGGGTCTGCATGAAAGATGGCTACGAAAACAATCGAGCAAAAGTGCGTTGATTCCACGGTGCAATAGTAAATGAGAATCGATCAATGGGTTCTTCATGGTGAAGTAGCTGCGCTGGGGCGGAGTCTGGAATTGTCTCCGATAAATAATACGTATGTTGGTACTCCTCCAACTCACAACATCCACGACGGGAGTGACTTTCCTTCGAATAACAGAACATGCCTTTCCCTCTGTCCTCCTAATAATTCCTTCGAACCAAAGCAGTTCCAAACCTCAAATTGAACGTATTCTGCATTTTCTCTTGCCCTTGATTGTGTGTGTGTACGTCTGTCGCCATCCACGGTGCTGCCTTCACCATGCGCCGATGGGTGCCTTCGCTCGGCCTCCTGGCATACCTTGCAGCAGTTGTCCTGGGGAATGAAGTTCAAATTGTGAGGACAGCATGGAGCTATGTTGCGTAGTACTCTGCCCGCTGACCATCACTAGAAACAAGATGATGAGCACCGCCAGCGATGTTCAGGGATGTACAGCCGGAAATCTTGGGGCGGGTCAATAGATCCCTTCATCCTCGTCAAGTTCCTCCCAGACCACACCGAAGACGACTCGGACCCAATCGCCAGCCTCATAATATTTGAGTGGGAAGATGAGCCGTTGATAGGCAGGATACCGCCTGGCGGGGAGTCCTACCGAGATCTCGAGACAATATGCACCACGGACGCGGTCGCACAAGGGTTATGTGAAGAGAAGGATATCGGCGCGTTCATACTGGCCCCTAATGCCACCGAAGCCTCGAGGAACCCGATCTCGAACGAAGCAATCCATTTGAAAGACCCGAAGGCTATCAACTACCCCATCCGTCGAACGGGCTACTATTGCGTCTCAACCTACGCTTTCTCAGATCACGAGTATAACGGAGTGGTGACGTTCAGGAACTCATACGGTGAACTGCCAGCGGCTCAAATCGCCAAACTCCCATTCTACGGCGGCCTCACTATTGTCTACGCCGTGCTGGGTATATTCTGGGCGTTTCTCTACTTCCAGAACCGCTCTGATATCCTCCCGGTGCAAAACTACATCACTGCCATCATCATTTTCCTGATTGTCGAACAGCTGATGACCTGGGGATTCTACGACTATCAAAACCGCCACGGCAACAATACGCTCAACAAAGTCTTCATGATCATCGTCTCGATCCTCAACGCGGGGCGAAACTCGTTCTCTTTCTTCCTGCTCCTGATTGTCTGTATGGGCTATGGAGTAGTGAAACCCTCTCTGGGAAGGACCATGATCTACGTCCGCATCCTCGCTGCCGCACACTTTGTCTTCGGGGTCATCTACGCCATCGCCTCTATGGCCGTCACCCCGGAATCCGTCGGCCCCTTGATTCTTTTCGTCATCCTACCACTTGCGGGTACCATGACAGCTTTCTATGTGTGGACATTGTCGTCTCTCAACGTCACTATTAAAGACCTCATTGACCGCAAACAAAAAACGAAGGCAATGATGTATAAGAAACTGTCGTGGTGCATTCTAGGGAGTGTGCTGGTCATTTTTGCCTTTTTCTTCATCAACAGCTTCGCGATTGCAGGGTCGGGGTCCGCGAACTTTGTGCCAGAGCATTGGCAGACTAGGTGGTTTGTGCTGGACGGATGGCTGAACCTCGTATATCTGTTCAACATCGCGTTTATTGCGTATCTGTGGAGGCCGACAGCGAATAATCGACGATTTGCGATGAGTGACGAGGTGAGTCTCGCTCGTGTTGTTGCGTCCCGGTATGGAAGCCGTATGAAGAGGCTAACATGATTTTGCTTGGACAGCTCGCTCAAGATGACGACGGTTTTGAGATCCGCAGCATTGCTGACTCCATTGACGATGACGACGAGGAAGCCGCCAACGCACGAAAAGATCAAGAAAGAGCAGTTCCTCCCTCCGGAGGGGGAGCAGCGACCTCCATCACGGGCGCAATCGCACTCGAACCTTCGCCAGCGAGGAGGCCTTCCCCAGCCCCAGCGCTACAGAATAGTACCCAATCCGCACCGCCTGTCAGGCCTCCGAACCCGCCGCAACCGAGAATGTCGTTGGATGGCGAGACCATCTTCGCCGTCGGCGATGACGGAATCGAATGGAGCGATGGCGAGGAGGAAGATAGCGGCGATGAAAGGAAGAAGTTGACCGGTAAATGAGGGACGTGGCGGATTTGGACTGCTGAAGGCCTGGAGCACGAACTGAACTGGCGCGCTTTCCTTTGGATTCTTGAATGCTGGGGGCTCTCACTGGGCCCTTTTTGACTTTGACAGCGGCGCGGGAACCCGGGGAAATATTGATGTCGATGACAAGCAAGACAAATCGCTGGGAGGCCAGGGAGAAATCAATGGGTTTTGCACACAAACAAGAAGCGAGTTTGAATCCCTCCCATTGAAAGCGACAACTCTATCCCGATACGCTACACACACGTAGCGTGAACTAGTGATGGCTTTGCCCGTCCCCTATTCCCTATCAGGGGTCCTCTGTGCTCCGAGGAGCACAACAGCCTGGACATCACACCCGCGCCAGACGCAGCAACGAGAGGCAAGGGGAGAAGGGAGAGAAACAAATGACGCCTCTTCGGAAGGAGAATCAGAAATCAGATATGTATTTGTATTCAGAGCATGGGATCCCTCAGTGCGTGGAGTGGTCTTTCTGCACCACTGCCTGCGAGGCTGGCGTACATACCTAAGGTACGAATCTTTCTTGGCGGATGCGGTTGATCCAATCTCGCTGTTGTCAAATGCCCGAAAGAGTTCGTTCTCGGTTCCTTCGTGCCGTGGCGTGCCATGCCATGTTCCAATCCCTTGAGACGTGTCGGTTTATGGTGAGGTCAGATAAAGTGTCCCAAATGCGACGTTAATCGGCCAGCTTCTTCGCTCGATCCTTTGCAATGTCACACATGGCCTTTGGGCGAGGAGAGAAGCACGTATCAGCATGTTTGACTTTATATCGAGGCTGCACGAGTTCAAAAAGGATGGGTGGTCTACCTTGATTGCCTCTTGCTTTTCTAGCAGAATATCTCCTCGGTCTATCCGCCTCTGCATATCTTCCATAATGACAGGGCGGCTTCGTCCGTTTACAAACACTCTAGTTTTTTCCCTCATCAATCATCACGACAGTCATGGGACAGGGAGGATTTTAGGGAAGAACGGGCAGACAGCGGATTCAGGGGGAACAGGAAGCCATACACATATCTCAGACCTGGAAACTTGTCTTCGTATTTGCGGTTCAATTCCGCCAGCTTCTCTGCCTCTTCCACTCCGCCTTGGTTCAGTTGAGCTTGCTCCTTGCGACTCTGCTCGCTGTCAACCTTCTTCTCACCTAACCGCGGATGGGCGGACAATATGGTTTCCAGCCATTTCTGATCACTCTCCAAGTCTGATCGGTAGAGTCCCAGGAGCTGCTCGCCCACGGCATCAATGAGTGAGTCGTAGGTTTGGAATGCCTGTTCCCGCAGTAAGCTGACGGATAGCGTGTGCAATTGCACACACGGCTCGAAGAGGGTGTCCAGAATTTGTGCCCTCTGTTCGGCGTCTAGTGATGGTAGGGTCGATGTTGGTGGAAGAGATGCCATGATAAGTAAGAAACAACTTCTATTTTGGTCAACTGTGCACAGGAGCCTTGGGATGGACTGCAGAAAAATACTGGGGGAAATGAAACGTCCAAGATTCAAATACTCAACGTCATTTGGATTGCCCTTGCACCACCTGTAAAGAGGTAGTCGGCGTTCGCCGATACATTTGAATCCGCCTCACGTGGTTTGGCGTTGAATTCGTGAAGAGGCTGGAATGCATGACGATTTCGCTACGTGTCGGTGAAGTCGCAGTAGTCATCAACTGCCGGCCTATTTGTGCCCCAACCTGTCCTCATTGTCCGTTCGGATGATTACTTCAACGTGCTGCCACGCGAATGGACGGTGTGTCAATAGCTCCGGGCCGGCACCGTTGGCTCTGGGGAACCAGAAATTTCTTGCAGCAACAAGCCACTGAGCGTCCATTCGGTCTCTCAGGGACAGCGTGTCTGCAGAGCACGACATACTCGAGATTTACCTTTCGGACCGGTAGACATCTTGTCATTGTTGGACACACGGGGAAACGCCATGCTCAATTATTAACAATGAATATAGAAGCAGTGGAGGAAAAGCTCCACCTCGATCGGAGAAATGTTCCCGATTGTTTCAGATCAAGGAACAGTATTCGTCGAGACGAATCTGCATCCTGTTGTGCACTCAGCGTGCAAGCCATCATTCTCGTCTTTGCTGGAGTCAAGATCGGCTCTAGACCCGTGGCAGTCGAGATTTGAAGCAGAGAGATCGACAACAATTCGCAATTCGTGATCAGCCATGCCCAGGGTGTCGAGTCTCTGACAGACTTTCGCTTGTTTTACGTAGGGGGGAGGAAATTCAGGCCCGTGGAAGAGGCATAGCGTCGGTCTCGCTTGCGTCTAGCCGCAGTGCCCGAGGCAGGGATTGGGAAATTGGCTCGTGGAAACTGAGGACACAGGCGAATAGGGCGCTAGCATCAGCCGTTTGGTCGAGAGTTTCAGCGTCAAGCTGAGCTCCACCATCACGCAGTAAATGGGGATTACCAGGGTACATCGGCCACGGACTGTCGGCGGGCTACCCTTGTCGTGGCTCCAGCTTTGACCCGTTGCAACACCCCCCTGAACTGCAGATAGCATGCCGCGCTGTGGTCCCATTCGCAGAATGTCCCTGCGACCTGCATGTGCCTTCCCCTCGAAGCTGCACCTCCAAGCTGAGAGAGGGCTGAAGTAGTTGCTCGCGGTTGGCGTTGCTCTGGCCGCCTCAAGCCTTACTCTTCTGCGTCTCTCGGTCTTTTGTCTAGCCTACCGCTCATTCCTGGACTGTATGAGATCGGATTCTGAACCATTGCGCAGGCTTGGGCCTTCTCAATGAGGGCTGAGAAATGTCATTGATTGGACTTGATGGAGCTGCTGTCGCCGATGCACATCAGGCTGCTCAGGCGGACGCAGGAGGATGGTATGTCGCGCATTCCTTGACGTTGTGCTGCCTCATGGCTACCTGCGCAATCCGTCTGCTGTGACGCCTGCTGACACGAACCAGGTTCTTACTGAAATATGTCAATCGCGACACCGTGGAGTTGTTGAGCAAGGGCACAGGGGGCGTGCCGGCTGTGCGTGGAGTGATTGAGCAATATGCAGAGAAATCGCCCCTATATGGGTTGGTGCAGTATCGGCGCAAGAAAGTCGTCCTCAAATATGTGCCAGAAGGGACATCTCGGTTGCTGCAAGGTGGGTGGACGCGCTGGCCTTGGAGAGATTCTGACTGACCTGCTTCACTTGCTACAGTGCGGCTCACCGTGCAGTTTCAATCCGTCCTGGAAACCATCACGCCTCACGACACCATCTTCTCCTTCACTGCGGCCTCTGAGTTGACGGAATCCGCCCTCGGCTTATGTACGATGCTCGTACCCTCCGCGTCATCATTGACCTCGTCAAGCTCTTCCCTGCGACGGCGCCGACTCAACGAGATTAGTGAGGATGCTGAAGATGCCGTGTTGCCGGCAGAGGACAAAGAGAAGGAGAAGGAGAACGTGGGCCTTGCTCTTCGCTTCGCAACACCCAAGCTGGAAGAGGCGCCACCGGTGCTATCGATGACGAGCTCGACGTATGGGAGACATGAACTCGATGAACTACCGGCAAGTGCGGTTCTTGCAAAGGCTCTTCTGGCAAAGAGGAAAGAGGAGGCTGCCGCCGCCGCCGCAAACAGCAAGGCCACGACCTCGTCTCTATCAGACAAGAATATTCATCCTCCGCGTAAAGAGAGCCTTCTCCCATCACCCAAACCACCGGCCTCGCCGTTACCATCTCCACTACCTTCCTCCATCATCGACAAGGAGCTCCCAGCGACCCCCGAACCGACGCCCCCCTCTACTAGTGAAGGAGAAGGTCCACGAGCTCCAGATTTCGAAGCCACCAGCAACATCCTGCTCGAGACCACGACAGCAACAGCAGACACCTCCAATCCACCGACCCCTCGCCCTCACGCTCGTCATCTTTCAGCCGCCGAATCAGACAGTATCAGCCAATGGAGTAGCAACGTCGCGTCGTATACGACAGTTAAGCCGAAGAAGAAAAAACTAGGACCGCGACCTCACGTTGAGACGAGTCATCGTCCTAAGACGTCGGGAACAACAGATAGCGGAACAGGGATACGGCCGGTGGCGAACCTCCCAACTTCCATCCGTGTGAACAACAAATCCCTAGTCAGCCTTGGTCTTCGGCCAGGCTCTCAGCAGTCGAGTCGAAGCGTCCCTGGCCGTTTTGTGCCCACCAGCAGTCGGTCTGTCAATGGTGCACCGCCTCTGCCGTCGCCCTCGTACCTTCACGCCCCCTATAACGTTGGGGACAGTCGTTCTGCAATCCTCCGGCCAGCTTCGGTGACTGGAGATGTCTCTACAACTACCCCAGAAAAGCTAAGGCTGATGAAGGCCTTGCAGTTGCGGAAAAGGAACATGCTGCTGGCCCAAAGAGCAGCTTCGGCCGCGTCATCAGCCCCTTCAAATGCATTCATTCACAATGCGTCGGAGTCGAATCCGAGCGGGAACGGTCCGAGTGCTCGTCTGTCATCGATTCCGAGTCAGGAGCAGCTCTTGCACGGCGACGATGAGTCAAAGCTGACCCAGTCATCTTATACAACGTCACCAACCATAATGACCAACATTTCAGAAGAGCCTTCAACGAAGGCCTCTTCCATCAGCGAACAGGATGATTGTTCCCGTACTCGCCGATCGTTGTCATCTGCCACAAGCTCATCCCTCACGCCTAAAGCTTTCTCGCAAGAAGACAAATCTGCCATCGAGTCTAACGAGGCTCCCAGCGATGTAAGACCGCCTGCCACTGTGGGCCAGGGCACCCCAGATAAGGAGGACAAGCCTGACTCTAGAACCGATATGAAGGCAGCACTCGTTTACCTCGAAGCCGAACCGGTCAACGCAGGAGCAAGTCTCGTCTTACCTGAATCAAGTTCGGATGTTCAGCAACCGCCATTCAATCCGTCGCTGACACAGGATGCAGAGTCACCGAGGAAATCTAGGCGCTTGGGACCTCCACAAGCCCTAAAGCTCTTGCCAGGAGGCAGTGCGTCAACCTCAGATCTCTCAGAAGATGATTCTTTGATGGACGAAATACAACACGCTACCGTCCATGAAGCTATGCCGGTCTCTGTGGCACGCTCGCCAGCGACTCCAATAATTTCCAAGGGAAGTTCAGATCGTCTGCGTGATGTTGTGGCCAGACCGCTCAACTCCAGCCATTCCACAGGCCGACCAAATCTTGTAACAACGCCGGATGGAAACAGGCCCAGCAGTGGTAGCGTACGAAGCATTTCAACGGCGCTTCCACAGTGGCCCCCATTGCCTACCGAGTCGGTCCAACTGCCTCTTACCAAGAAGGCTACGCTTGGTACAGGCATCTCTAAACGCATCAAAGCCTTGGAAGTACTGAGGACAAAAGATGTAAGCCCTCCGCGGCACCCCCAGTCAATCCGAGAGACAAGTGCCGGGACCTCTGCCTTCTCGACGTTCATGAAGCGCTCATCATTCCTTTCGAATCAGCAGCAGCCCCTGAACGCCTCCACCGAAAATTCACCCCCAAGGCAATTGCCTACAGCTGGCTCGCACTATGAGCCACTTTCATCAACCGCAGGAAAAGAACCACGACGTCCCTCGTCGGACGTGCATCGGCTACAGAAAGGCGAGACCATCTCTGTCACAGCAAGGATTGTTCGTGATTCCAGCAATAAACATCCCCCACTGGCTCCCAGCTCCAGCTATCATGCACCTCTCAATCTCTACCGAAGTCCTTTGATCGTCGAACATGAGCAGGCCGACCAGCCGTCCTTTGATCCGGCCCTGGCTTCGAATCAACCCAGGATTAAAAGCCCCACGAAGTCGGAGAAGGGCCGCTTCTCCTTTTCCTCCCATCGGTCAGGATCTCACACCAACCTACCTCGATCAGAGTCGAATCAAAGCAAACTGTCCAAGTCAAGCCAGAGACGCCATGGTCCGCGATCAACCAGTGACTCCGCATCATTTTCCGAGGACAAACCGAAATCTTCCATGACAAGCAGACTCATGAAGCGCATGTCGAATCTAGCAAATGCGCGAAATAGGATTCAACCGTCGACGAAAGAAGAGGCCAATCAGTCGCAAGTCAATATTCCGCAGGAACAGCCCGACCTAACGAGGGAGAGTTCGATAGCAGAGTCATTGATGCATGTTGTCGACATTGGAGACGTCAACGTACAATTCCCAGAGTCATTTTTGTGGAAACGGCGGTTCATAAGAATCGATGATCAAGGGTACCTGATCTTTTCTCCGCCAATGACTGACGCGAATATGAAAAGTGTCAGTCGCAAGTACCACCTCAGCGACTTCAAGCGGCCTAGTCTACCTGATCTCGAACGCGAAGAGATGGCGTGGAGTGTCCTTCTTGATCTGAAGGACGGGAGATGTTTGCAGTGTGCGTGCGAGAGTAAACAGGCTCAGCAACAAGTACTACAGAGTAAGTCCCTGGTGTTTTGCAGCATTCGGTAGCGTCATTACTGACTTTGTCCCGCAGTGCTCGTTGACGCCCACAGTGCATATCACCAGTTATACGGAGCCGGATGAAAGGCAACAGGAGGATCCAGTCCAACAGGGGCCACCGGCAATCACGACCACCGATCAACTGTTTTGCATAGTTGTTGATGTTTGAACGGCAAGCAACAAGCGAAGGCGAGAAGCGGCGTTGGGATGCTGTTGGAGAAGGAGAAACACATTCTCTGGGAATTTCTGATCCTGCATTTTACGAGACAGTACAAATCTACGTACATACCCGCCTAAGTTAATGTCTGTACCCGAAGAGAGATGTTGGCTCTCGAACGAGCCCTGGTGAGTGTAGAAACACCGAAAGAGGAGGACACACTGTTCTCAAGGACATTTACAATACTTGGTAATCACACTCCGGAACATGCCTCTGTAGATCCTGGTTAACAAGGAGACATGATTGGACCCTGAGCAAACAAGGCTGAGTCGCAAGGACAAGTGGCTTTTCAGTCTCGAAAAAGGGGGCGCAGACAAGGGCATGTTGGAGGTGGATTTTTAAGCATTGAAATAAAGCGGCGTTCGTATATATCCCGCCCACACGCCCAAGTATTCACTGTTCTTCCCATCTCCCCTTCCCAATCGCTTTCTCTCTGGATATACCGCCTCGCTGCAAGACGTACTCTTTATTCTGCGTTAGCTCGACTCTTTCGTACCACTTCTTTCCGCTCGATACGGCGCCATTATGGTGCAATTCCGCTCGCTCCTCCCGTGGGCCACACTTGCCCTGCCCCTCCTCACGGCGGCCTCAGACGTGGTCAACCTGATCCCCTCAAACTTCGACACGGTCGTCTTTGAGTCGGGCAAGCCTGCCCTCGTCGAGTTCTTCGCCCCGTGGTGCGGCCACTGCAAGAACCTCGCTCCCGTATATGAGGAGCTGGCCACCGCCTTCGCCACCTCCGGGAACAAGGTGACCATTGCAAATGTCGATGCGGACAAGCACAAAGACCTCGGCAAGAGATTTGGTGTTCAGGGATTTCCAACCTTGAAGTGGTTCGATGGGAAGCCCGGCTCGGAGCCAGAGGACTACAATGGCGGCAGGGATCTGGAGAGTTTGACGGCGTTCGTGACGGAGAAGTCTGGCGTCAAGGCCAAGGGGCCGAAGAAGGCACCGAGCCACGTTGAAATGTTGACGGATACAACATTCCAATCTGAAGTCGGTGGGGATAAGGATGTTTTGGTGGCGTTTACGGCACCTTGGTGTGGACGTACGTTTGTCCCTTGAGACCCCTGCGGAGGGTGTTTGATGCTGACATCTGGCTTGCAGACTGCAAATCCCTTGCACCGACATGGGAGAAGCTCGCCACCGACTTCGCCAACGAGCCCAACGTTCTGATCGCCAAGATCGACGCGGAAGCCGAGAACGCGAAGGCCACCGCCCAGTCCCAGGGCATCACGGGCTACCCGACCATCAAGTTCTTTCCCAAGGGCTCCACCGAGCCAGAAACCTACAGCGGCGCCCGGAGCGAAGAGGCCCTGGTGGACTTTGTCAACTCCAAGGCCGGCACCTACAGAGTTCCCGGCGGTGGGTTGAACTCGCAGGCTGGGACGATCGAAGTCATTGACACCCTGCTCGCCAAATACGTCACGTCCAACGGTTTGAAGGACATCGAACAAGCGACGGCTGAGATCAAGAAGGCCGCGAACAACCTGAAGGACACCTCTGCCGACTACTATCTGCGAGCCCTGTCCAAGTTGACCGGCAACCCGGAGTACGCAATGAAAGAACAGACCCGACTGGCGGGTCTGTTGAAGAAGGGCGGCTTGGCCCCGGAGAAGATCGATGATTTGCAGAAGAGGAGCAACATCCTGGCCAAATTCCTGGTCAAGGAGCCGGAGGACAAGACCGAGTTGTAAGCGATGCAATGAGGAACCATCGAGTGTGGGCACTTTGGAAGTCACGAGCAGATCGGGCAAAGGCAAAAAGGTCTGCAGGCAATGGATCTCTGTAAATTGACTATCAGTAGAGGAGTTCAAAATGGCTTTTGTGTTTTTCCACTTTCTATCCACGCGTAGTGTCGCGTGCCAGTCGTCGATGTTTTCCCTGTGGCGGTGCTTCATCTCTTTCTCGACCCGCGGGGGTCTTTGGTCTTCAGTTGCTGGGCCAGGACCTTCGTGACTCGCACTCTTGTACATGCATCATATCTCATTTCTTGACCCTCGGCATCGAACCTCGAGCCTCTGATCTAGGGACAGCGGCCCAGTCGCGGTAGCAAAGACATCCCGCGCGTCCCGTTCCAGCCGTCGCGAGCACAACGTCGCTCGACCACATCAGCCCGACCCAGCGGTGCTCCCTGCCTTCCCACCGCCCACGTTCTCCATCGCGCTCGCGTCTCTCAACAGCATCTCTTGCTCCAGCCGGTCACACCGCTCCGCCATGTCATCCAACTTTGTGAGGATCTCGTCGCTGATGCCCTTGAACTTCTTCTCCAGGTCGCCCAGGAAGTCGTCGATCGCCTCGGCGAGCTTCGTGGCTGCGTCGTTTGGATTCTTCTGCAGGGTGTCCAAGGTCGAGGAGGCGGACGGGGGTGCGCCGGCGTTATGGAGTGATTGCGAAGACAGCGGCGGGCTTCCTGTGCCTCGAACAGTGGACGGGGGACCGGGGACGGACTGTGGTAAGGGAGAGGGCTTCAGTCAGGGCATGGATGCCGTTTGTCTTTGTGTCACCCCAAGCTCTGGGGCTCAAATACAGGGTTAGGGGAAAGGGGCGTGGGCAGTCTATTGCAATCGTCTCCTTTCCCCGAGGAATTGGGCCAGTGACATTGTGGTGGATATTTGCACTTACCATGTCGCACGGCGACCGTTGTTTGCGTATTCGTCCTCTGTGAAAGGGAAGAGTCTGGAGTCGAGGCAAGTCGAGGGAAACGAAATCAAGGGAGCAGTTTGTTTGCTGCGCCCTAAATCAATCAGCAATAAAAAGAAAACCCCCAATTCACATAGGATGATGCATTTCGAAGAGGGCCAGCGCGCGTCACGAAATGGAACGCCCTCCCCCAGTGACTGAACGGAACGTGCGAGGGTCACAAGAAAGACGAGGTCTGGGGAATAAATATACGCAGCAGTAATAAACAATTATTATGTATGTACTTGGGAGCTAATTGATTATGAAACCTCGGGGAATTTTTCCGAAGTTCATGCGGAAAGTCCTTGCATCATGCTGCATCCAATATCTAAGCAAATTAATATAATCTAATCCGGCACTCCTATGTTTCTCAAGGCTAGAAGGAGCATGTCACTACTGAGTTCGATGCTCATCCGCTCCCAAGAATCTGTCGTGCATACAAACAACATGACCAGTCCGTACTTTTCATCCAATTGCCCCTTGAACGAAGAGAATGGGGAAATAACAAGAAACACTACTGTCGGCCAGATATGAGGATGACAGTGGTTGAAAGTGCGAGAGGTGATGGGAGAGTGCTACCACACGCTTGCTTTCCTTGTCCATATAAGCGCCGACCTCTCCAATTGCAATGAGGTCCCTCTGTTCGGCGAGAGCAACACAGCACTGGAAAGCACAGTAATTCAGACGCCTCCGTCCACCCTATCGAGCTTATGGAGCCTTCATCCTGGAATCCCTCTTCACTTGAAGAGCTGGAGAGCAAGGCACGAGAAGACCATCCTGGAGTGTGTGAAAGGTAGGTCGTCAACACCACCGTAGCCCCTATATGCTAAGGTGTACGCGTGTTCGATCTTTTCGCTTCTCAAGGCTGGGAGATTTATATTTGCATTGAGTCTGGAGTTTTTTTTTTTACCAGGCTTTGGAAGAAATCGACACCCTTGTCTTCTCGGCTTCAAGTACAATGAAGGAAAACCTGGTCAAGCCCGCTCGCTCTGTACAAGAATACCCGTTGAATGACTTTGCTTCAATTATTCTCTGAGTATTCTTCGGTTTCGGCAAGCTGGATTTCGCTAATGGTATATCGTACTGACTTACAGTGTATAATACGACTGATCATGCCGTGGACGAGGAGGTGGACCTGAAGCTTTGTGGGTGATCGCCCCCAAGTGGGCTCCTACCGACCCGGACACAGACTGGTATGGATACCGTGCAAAGGTGAAAGTCTCAAGTTGTCTATTTGGGCTGTGGCATAAATCCCACGACAAAGTACGGTGTCCATGGCGGGAGCTGTAGAGAGCAAATCGCCGGAAGATAGTCCTGCTCATCATGAGCAAAGGGAGAACAAGGCGAGTGGATGATAGTGAGTGGTGGAGGAGATGGGCAATGGCGGGTTCATCACTCCGGGGGGGGTGGGGGGCGGTTCTGTTTAACATGTTGGCTTACTGCATGGGGGAATTTAAGGCCCATTGACACCGATTAAGCACCTGTCAAGCACTGCTAAGAGTGCAAATCCTTACCGCCTCCGATAGTTTAATCCAGCCGCACCACCACCACCATATTCTATCTCAACCACCACCACTGCCGCCACCACACCCACTTCAACAAATGCCCAACGCTGGCAACATCCCTCGTATCCTGGGAAAATCCAGCTCGCGTCCGTGCCCCCCGACAGGCGGCACGGCATCTTCAGTTGCCATCGCATTTCCACCTTCTGCAATCTGCTGGCCCTGCATAGCCATGTGAAAACTTCAGCCGCATGGCCAAGTCCAGAACACCCCGCAACGATGTGCTGCCCTATCTCGGACCGGGGGAGAACGATGTGGTGCGAACCAGCAAGAACAGCTGAACCATGACATGACTGGCCAGCCCATCCACGGTTTCTGCAGCCTGACAATGGCGGTCTCTCTGTTCTCCTCCCACCCAGCTGCTCTTCTTTCGGCCTGGACTGGGCCATTTCCGAAGCTGAAAGGCAGCTTTACGCCAGCCACAAACGCTTTTGGGGGACCTTGTCCATTGCCGGCCAACTGATTAACAACCACGTCGCCAATGTCTGGATAGCTTCACCCACCCTCGCGAGTCGGCGAGCCCTTGAGGAGCTCTATCTCGCTGCTGCTTCCGTCGGCTGCATGCTCCGTTCGTAGCCTGTTCTTCGTATGGCTGCTGCGTGATCGAACTTCGCCTCGCTGCCTTTTTCAGAACTGGTGGTGCATGACCTTTCAGGCAGGCCGTCCAAAAAAATGGGAGACTCAAATACCCGCCGCCTGCTTCTTGCTGTGGCGCTTTTCTCTGGGTTCTCCAGTCCACTGGTTTGTTTTGGATAGGTTTGTGGTTGACGTACGTTCTCCTGGTCGATCGCGCAGCACAATGGCCGCAATGCAGGGACAGCCTCTCTCACCTACCAGGATCCCTCTTCTCTCTGAAAAGGCTGCTGGGACACCGGCCACACAGTCCACCAGCTCAGATAGCCCTCCCCCAACCCCCAAGCCCCACCATGCGGTCAAAGACAACATGGAGGGTGCTCTGCCGTCGTTGCTCTGGGGAGCATTTGCGCCTTGCGTCCCGGTCGCCGTCATCTCCAGCGTGCTTCTCACGGCCATCCTGTACAATCGGATTGACAGCAGTTACGTCTTTCTTCCCAAACATCAAGGAACAACCAGCACGAGTGAAGGGCTACAGACTCTCCAGAATATCCAGCAGATCGAGAACAGTGGCGGCGATCGAGCTTACTACCTCCACTACAACACCATCACCAATCCCGCAGTATTGCACATGATCTCTTCATGGACGGCCAAGATCATCCCCTTCGTCACCGGGGCATCCATGGCTCTCGTTGCTTTCTTCGCAGGCCAACGCATCATGAAGGCCACCGCCAGCAAATCCGAGAAGTTGCCGAGTCCTCACCAGGTATCCATCCTTATCGGACTGCTCAACGGAGGCGGGACGCAACCCCTACTCGACACCGTCAAGTATCGTTGGCAAAACCACGAGAGCCTCGTTCAACCGGTTCCTCTCGCCTTTTGGTGCTTGTCATTCATTGTGTTCATGACGTACGTCAACTATCCCTCTCTGTGCTCCTCATTGTGTTGTGCTGACTCTGTGGCAAATTCAGCTTCGCGATCGGCGCCGTCGACAGCTGGTTTGGTACCGTCACCACGGCCTTGAATATTGAGTTGGTCGTTCCAAAAAACCACACGGCCTTCTTCTCCTATGGACGGGGTCTGAACTCCAGTCAATGTGGGCCTGGGGACTGGCAGGTCCGGAGTTGTCCAGGCAATGCTCAAGCGAGCTGCAGCTACCCGTGCAGCATTACGAACTGGACTGCGGCGAACGGCGAGCGCCACGGTGTGCTCAACGCACAGCAAGCCGCGGAGGTTCTGATGTCGAACTCGTATAATAACACCATCTACAACGTGACGACCGGTGGCTCGAATTACTACTTCCTTGGGGATGTGCGGAGCAGCACGACGCTCGACTTTGCGGCGACAACGCTGGCGATCAAGACGCAGTGCCACATGGTGACCCAGGATTGCAATGTCACCAACAACGGCGATCTCAGCTCCGGCTTCACGTGTGGGGCCTACAGCGCGCCATCCTTCTCGTACTCGGGAGAGGTGGGCGTGGACCCGAAGAACGCGATGTCGTCGCCAGATGAGGCCATGGTCGGCATTCAATTCTTCAATGACACGGCAAAGACTCAGCCCGTCGGATTCGGCAGCAGCACCACCGACCTCTTCAGCACGCAGAACCCCCTTCAGTTTCTGGTGTGGTCCAAAGGCTTCCCGCCGGTGGACACGGGTGAAGACCAATTCAAACACATGCGGGATGCCTACTTCCTCAAGTACGACGCCACGGGCGATACTGTGTTTATCCTGAATTGTTCGGCTGTCATTGCGCAGGTCAAATACCACTGGATCAACGCATCGGTGAGCCTTGTCGAGCTCGAGGCCGACGAGGACGTGGCCGACTACTACGGTGCCGTCTTCAGCGCCCCGTTCGCCATCAACAGCGCACTCTCCCACCTGTCCCTGCAAGACGCCGCCGCGCTGGCCGCATATCAGAAGACACCGGAGGGCCTGTCTAAGGTCTTCGGTGACCGGTTCTCGCAGGCCGCCGTGGCCCTCAGCTCCGGCATCGCCATCAAGGTCCAGAACGAGCAGGAATGGACGCGGAACAACAACTATCTCGCGGTGCGGGTTCCCTACGTGCCTCTCTATCTCCTCGTCGCGCTAAAAGCCATCTACGCCCTGTTCGCGCTGAGTCTGGCCGTGCTGGCGGTGTTCCTGACGCAGCCGTCGCAGGCGCAGGAGGTCAAGGAGCGGCTGACGGTCGACGGTCTCGCCGCGGGCTTCTTCGAGCCCCACGCCAACCACGAGAAGGCGGTCAAGAAGGTGTGCGACCTGTTTGCGGAGCACCAGAGTCCCGAGAAGAGCGACGACACCCAGAAGATCGGCCTGTTGCAGACCGACAAGGGCGGCTGGCTCTGGGTCAGCGTGGTGAAGAAGGCCGCCGAGGGCCTGGGGATTCAGCAAGCAGCCGACTACGCGATAGGCCAGGTGGCCGACGCGGCCGCGACGCAGATGGGCGCGGTGGGCACCTTGGGGCAAGGGTACAAATTGGTCAAGGAGATCATTTAGGGCAGCATGGCACGAGCACCGGGCAGGGGCACGGACACGGACACGGACACTGGACACGGATACTGAATTCGTTTTTGCGTACTTCTCATGAATGACTATTATGTGTACAAGGAAGGGACCCACGGAACACTTTGGGGCGGAGGGTTGTAACGAGTAATAGGGATAATGGATAATGAGGGCAGGCATTGCGCGAGAAAAAAAGGTCTATCACTTGGTTGGATGAATTGAACAGAGCCGCCTATTCCTTTTTCTTGGTCTTTGACAATATTACACTGGGCAGATCCCCCATTGAATTGGAACAGATGATTTCCAGCGACCAGCCTTTTTCGTTTTCGTTTTCCTTCCCTCTTTAAAACAACAACGATTCATTCCCAAGTAAGTAAGTCGTCAAGTCCTCTTCCCCTTCGCCTCCCCAGCGTTCCCCATCCCCACGCCCAAGAGGAACGCGGCCCGGAGCGCGCCCAGGCCCACCAGGATAGCCAGATTCGCCCACTCGTCGGGCGCGACCAGGCGCCAGGCGAGCCGGTGCTGGGCCGCGAGCGAGCGCACGACGGCGCCGACGACCGCCACGTCCTGGATGAGGATGCTCGCCTCGAGACAGCGCCACACGGTGCGGTCGGCCGGCCGGCGCCGCAGCAGCACCACCTGCAGGAACATGGTCGACAGCAGGTACCCGGCGCCGCTGTCGAGGAGGACCGTGGTCTCGGGCGCCGGCCGGGTCGTGGCCGCGGCCGTCGCGGACACGTTGTAGAGTCTCAATATCGTGGCCGGCGCGAACAGTTGCGTCAGCGCGCCGCTGAGCGCGATCAGGGGGTCGATGGTGCTGAAGAAGACGCGGTAGAAGCGCGGGATGGTGGGCGACGACGACGACGACATCTTGGAGGGGAATTTAATTCCTGTGCTTCTTGTTCTTTGGGATGTAGCTGTAAGGGGTATATTGGTATGTACAGTGGTCGGGAGACACGGGGTCCAGCTGAGAGGAAGCTCTCTTGAGGGTTGTGGAGACTGACTCTCTCTCTCTCTGTCAAGTGAGACGAACAAAGATAGCTAGTTACTGCATGTGATGATGCGTGTCTTATTACATAGCACTGAGACGGACGGATGAGAGACGGTTGGTGACAAGGGCCCTCAAGAAGAAGAAGAAGAAGTTTCAGGGAAGAGAAACGGGGCTTCTTTGTCGCTTTTATAGAATGATTCCGATGTGTACTACTGAGTACAGTACAGTACATGTATGTATGCATGTCGCTAGCTGAGGTGGTGCATGCAGCATATAGTAATACATACCGAGTGTCCACCGCCGTGTCTTGGCCCCTACATATGCATGCAAGACGCTGTCAGCAATACATAATTACGTTGACCGGTGCGTGCGTCCAGATGCGGGCGTGGGTGAGGCTGAAACGGCGGAAAGTGGGTGGGTGAGCTGACCTGTGGCTCCTTGTCATGTATTATGTATTATGTACAGAGAAAGGGAACGTCAGGTCGGCGAATGAAGACTCACGTAACAGTCTGGATATACAAGAAACCCACATATGCCACCAGCAGCAGCAGCAGGTTGACGATACATGAGCTGAGAGTTCTCGGAAGAGTCATCTATTAGAAATGTCCGTGACAAGATTTCACCACCCCCGATCATGATAGACACAGTGCCTGTCTCATCGCCCTTGTGAGCTCGGCCTGAGGATCAGACACCTGCCTCCGCTGGCGCCACGCCACAAAGTCGTCCGGACGCACAAGGATCGCGCCTCGAGACGAGATGCCTGCGGCAGATTCGAGTCTTCCCTTCGGACTGACCACATCGCCGTCAGGGGCGGCACGATACGCGGCCAAGTCGACGTTCATGGCCGAAGACGCCTTCTTCGCTGCTTCCACCCACGACATGCCGTCTGCCCCAGCGAACAACACAAAGGTCTTGCCGCAGAGATCGAGTGTCGAAACACGTTTCCCCCGGTGCTCGACCCACAAGTGAGGAACCCTGCTCCCAGGTCTTCCGTCGATCGCAAGCATCAGGCTCGGCATGGTCCACGGTCTCCAGGTCCATCCTCCCAGGGGAGAAGTGTTCTCTGCGCAGATCGCCTTGCTGGCATAGAAGGCTCCGTGGCCGGAAAGCAGACGGAAGCCTCGGGCTAAAACCAGTGCCAACGTAAGTGGTCCCTTTGCCGCGATGATTCCATTCTCATCAGCGTTGCTTGCCGAGAACTCGGCAGCCGCCCGTCCCACGGGAATCCGCTCCACGTCGTACGTCTCGAGCAACGACTTGCTCGCATGCCCTTGCAGAACGGCCGCGAGCTTCCAGGCGAGGTTATGGACGTCTGCGATGCCCGAATTGGCCCCCTGGCCTCCCCACGGTGGCATCTGGTGTGCCGCGTCGCCCGCAAGGAAGATCCGACCGTGCTGCAGTTGCTCCGCAATCCGCACAGACGGTTTCCACGGGAGGATACTCTTGATGTCGATCTCAATGTCCGGGATTCCGAGGGCCAGACGCAGCAGTTCTTTGCATCTCTCGGGTGGGAAGTCTGACGGTTGCTCGCCCTTCGACGGGTCATACAGAAGGTGGAAGACCCAGCGGTCGTCGTTGTTGATGGACGTGAAGAGACCGGTTACTTCGGGACGTTCAATCTTGCACAGAGAAAATTCTCGTCCTTGCACCAGAGATTTGAGGTCAGCGTGGAAGAGGATGTTGAGCAAATGGCCCATCGTGCCCCTGCCCGACGTTGGAACCTTGAGACGAGTGCGGATTGGACTCTCCGCGCCATCGGCGGCAATCAGGTAGCGTCCTCGGATAGTCGCATTGTGCCCAGTCTCCCGATTCTTCAAGACGACAGTAACACTATTGTCATCTTGCTCGATATCGATGGACTCCGTGTTGAACCTCACATCCACCCCACGCTCCTTGGCAACCTTCAAGAGAACGGGCTCGATCATGTCTTGAGTGACAAATGTCCCGTTCACCGGGCTCAGGGGTGCCAGAAATCCAGTCCACGGTATACTTCTGAGAGCTCCGGAGCGGGATAGGGGCTCAATGACCTCCTTGAGAGAGGCGCCCTTGTAGATGCCCTTGCTCGGTGACAACGACGCACCAGCTTCATGGACCAGTTCCTCAATTCCAAGTTGCCGATAGAGCTCCATCGTTCGGGCATTGACACTGCGCGCACGCGGATGGATCGATGTCCCTTTGTGGCGCTCCACCACCATGGAATGTATGCCGTGGTGAGCGAGGAAGTTGGAGGCGGACAGGCCCACGATGCCACCGCCGATGATTATGACGGGCACTTCTGGTTCGGATGACATTTTGCGAGCGGTTCAGGTGTCGAGGTACGAGGCAGAACGTGTTGTCTTCCTCTCCGGTTCGCCAGAATGCCGTTGGCAGTGGGTGGAATGGGCACTTCGAGATAGGACTGCATCCTTTATAAACGGACAGTGCAAAGTATAGGCACAAGGTTGCCTGGTCATGGAACCTATAGTTGACAAGTCATTTGAGGCGTCAATGAAAAGATCGTCACTGAACCTTAATAACTTACCGTTAGATCATGGCATTCTCATAGGACCCGAGATTGGGATCGCTCGGCCCCGAAATCACCACTGCTGGCTACATGTGCGCACCACCTTGCTATAAATCCACTTACTGGCCCTAGAAGTCCCGATGGGACCTGTATCTGACGATGCTGTTCTTGACGTATTGGTGGCATGATCAGAGAATTGATATTATTGTGTACAGAGAGAGAGACGGAAGGCCTCCGTAAAGGCGGACGAGGCAATGAAAAGGGGATCCACATAGGTTGAAGAACCGAATTGGCAGCCAGCGACTCTCCTTTGGCCCAGCTGTTTCCAATGAAGGATTTTGATCATCTATCGGGATCAAGAGAATAGGGACATTCAATGCCAGTCAAGGGACAGAGCTGTGAAAGGGTCTTTGCCTTGTGATGCGGGATAGATGCTCACCGTGGAACAAAAGCCAAGTGAGAGGTCAGCTGAAAAGCTTTCTGGAGAGCATATGTTCTGCTCCATCGGTATCAGGAGACACTGTGGATCAAAGAGAATGGTATGGGGTTGTGAGGTGCCCCTGGTCTTCTCAAGGTTGATCCTATATGCGAACCACAACACCCGACGTAGATCGGAGAGTTTGGTAGCGACATGAGGCAGCTCCGAATATTGCCGAGTCATACGTTTGCTGCTGGCCGTTTTTGGCCTCATCGTGAACCTGGAGAAGGCATTGAATGATACAGTGACAGCACTGGGTGACTGGGTGACTTGAGATGGAATTGACAAGTGCGGTCACATGCCATGTGCTCCACCATATTACTCCGCCGTACTGCACCTTCCCCCAATAGGCAATTCATCCACGACGTTGTGTGGAGTAAATTTCGGTGTCGACGCTCGTCTCCAAAAAAATTTGGAACCAGCGAAAGTCGACAAGTCCCTCCCACTCGCTCAACTTCCTCACCGCAGCTTGGGCCAGTCTGAAAGCCCTCCATTCACTATGGCAAAAAAGAGCAAATTACTAGCTGCCCTAGATGCCCACAAAGGACGAGATTACCAGGCAGAGAAGAGAAAGGCACAAGTGAAAGCCGCCGAGAAGCGGAAAAGACAGAAGCTGGAGCGAGGAGACGACGACGGGGAAGCGAAGGACGCAAAGGAAGAAAATGGGAACCTCACCGAGCTTGCAGAAGAGGACACCACCTCAGACAACAAAGCAGACGCAGACAATCAGAATGGGGTTGCCGGCCATGCAGTCGGCGACGGTGCTACTCCTACCATCCCCCGCCCAGCTCAGACGGTCGACGCCTCGGCCTCAGAAGCCGAAAACGAGTCGGACGTGCCCGTCTCCGACCTCGAAGACTCGGATCTCGAGGACACGATCCCCTACCAGAAGATGACCATCAACAACGGGCCTGCTCTGATCGCGGCGCGCAACCGCATCGCCGTGATCAAGAACCCCCAAACCACGCCCTTCCACCACCACAACTCCCTGATATCGGCCCTCCCACCCACCGCGGAGTCCGTGCCGGACCCCAACGACGACCTCACGCGCGAACTGGAATTCTACCGCGTGGCCCGCACGGCGGTCGTCGCCGCGCGCGACCTGCTCCGCGCCGAGAAGATCCCTTTCTCCCGCCCGGCCGACTACTTTGCCGAGATGGTCAAGAGTGACGAGCACATGGGCCGCGTGAAGCAGAAGATGCACGACGAGGCGGCGAACAAGAAGGCCGCCGAGGAGGCTCGCAAGCTGAGGGACGCCAAGAAGTTCGGCAAGGCCGTGCAGGTCGCCAAAGAGCAGGAGCGGGCCCGGGAGAAGAGGAACACGCTCGAGAAGATCAAGGAGCTGAAGAGGAGTAAGTTTCATACACCGTTTTCCCGTTTAGATCCTTGTGTGTTATTTGCTGGATCACTAACATGGATGTGTGTTTTCTCTCCGCTACAGAACGCAAGGGCGCCGACACGGGCAAAGTGACCGAGGGCAACCTCGATGACGACCTCTTCCAGAAGATCGACGTGGAGAACCCGGCGGAGAAAGGAGAACGCTCGACCCGCGACGGTCCCAATCGCAAGCGACAGAAGCGCGACCAGAAATACGGATTCGGGGGCAAGAAACGGCACGCGAAAAGCGGCGATGCCCTCAGCAGTGGCGACCTGCGCGGATTCTCGGCAGCCAGGATGAAAGGCAAGGGTGGTGGAAAGGGAAAGCCAAAGCGGCCCGGGAAGAGCAAGAGGATGGCGACTCGGTGATGCTGGACATCACACGACACACGGAAAGATTCAGGGAAAAAGAGATTTGGACTGTTCATTAGTTCGATTCTTTTTACAAAGAGGCGTAATGCCGTATAAAAGCACATGGGGTATCACAATCGCAAGGACAAACGCAATGCGAAGACTCGCCAACCCAGCACAGCCCACCCGCATCCAGAACGCCGTCACCAAGTTCTTCTCGTCGCAAGGGCTGCTCCCGAGGTACCCATGCTCAAACAACCCACTGCCCCAGGAATGCTTGCAGATGACCGGTCTGATGCTGCCGACCGACTCGCTTGGCCTCTTGAGCAACCAGGTCGAGCATTTCTTGGGCCTCCGGGCCAGGGGGCAGCTCAGGTAACGCGTCAGGATCTGGATGGCCATTGAGTTGTCGGCTGGGACTATCTTCGCGACTGGGTCCTGAATCTGCCGTGCCTTCTCTCATCCTACTGGGCGGCAGAGGACCTGCTTGCCGTCGAGCTACTGGCGACGAAATGGGGATATCACTCATCACTTCGTCTTCGTCTTCGTCCGCGAAGCCTCGAGCGCGCTTGTGTGATTTGCTAGCGCCACTGGGACGAAGCACAGACTTCATTCGGTGGCGCTGGGGTTTCGCTCCGTCTGGTTTGCCGGGTGTCTTGATGGTCTCGTCCGCCACCACGCCGGCAAGCGTGGCTTCCAGCTCGTCGTAGATTCTCCGGGTAGACCAATTGAATTTCTTTCGGAGCTTTGCTTCGTTCATGAGTTTCAGTAACGGTTCTGCTGAACGTTCAAAGGCGGCCACTGCGTCTTCGTGCGACCCAAAGAACGCTGGTAACTTCTGCAGCTCCGTGGCGGCTTCCTCGATCCCACAGTGTCTCATATTGAAGTTGGCTGACTTTCGGAGGACATTCAGCATATCCCATATAGTTTTGGTCCAATCAACGGGCACCGCCTTGATTTCGACCACACTGTCAGAGGTTGCCTCGGAACTATCTTCAGATTGGTCACCATCGGATTCTTCTGACGTGTCCTCTCTGTCCTGCTGCGGTCCCTCCTCTGCATCTTCGTCTTCATCGTCGTCGTCGTCTTCTTCCTCTGTTTCCTCTTCTTCAGAGGTGTCGGAGGCTTCCGGTTGGGTATTCCGATTCCCTCTTGCCAAAATGGCCTTCAACTCCGCCACTTCATCGGCGTAAGTCTCAGCCAAATGTTTCCAGAGATAGGTCTGGGACCAGTCGATCCCTTCTCTCTCTTCAAGCATCTGTCTCAAAAGAAAGTGGTGATGTTTGTGGATCGTCTCCATGGCTTCGTCATCGTCGTTAATCCGGTAACCCGTGTGCTTCTGGTATTCGGTGAGAAACGGGTCGATCAAGAACCCCAACTTCTGGCGCTTTCGTGGGAGCTTTTGATGCTGATCGACCATGAAATAGAACAAATCGATAGCCTCTAATGTATCGTTGTAATAACTCAGATAGCGATCCGAGGGTGAAATTTCGTACCAGCCTGCCTTCCCTGCAGCCCAGATGACAGGTTTCGAATTGTCATCTTGACCAAAGCTGTAATTCGTGACCTTCTCGATCTTTATTCGTGCATACAATGGCTTGTCTATCAAAGCTGGCGGGTTTTGTCAGCGAGCCCGGAAGGAAAAACGGTAGAACCCTCCATACCAAGATGTTCCTGCTCGTCATCCAAAGGCATCAATTCTCCCACAACACAGAGGGGTGTCTCTTCGGAGGCGTGTAACAGGTCTGCATATCGGCCTTTCCCTTGGTAAAAGATTTTTGTTTCTCGCAAGGCAAAATCCGGCCAGTCATTGACATCATCGGGGACGGGATCGAGGGGTTTCAGGACTCGTTCTTCAGGTTGAGTGGACATGTCCAAACGAAAATGCGAGGCTCATGCTTGTGTGCGAGAGAACGGTGCTATAGAACAGGCAAGGCAGGGGATCTAATCGTCATGTCGCAGTCGACTGTCAATAGGAGTGAACACGCAGCCTCGATCGTGTTGGCTCGTTGGGTGCAGTTGAACTGTGGTAAAGGAGGGGGTGACAGAAACAAGCGGCGCGCAGTATGTATGGTGAGCAAAGTGAAGGAGGCTGGAAGCTGGTAGTGCAGAGCCACGGCTGAAGAGGGACCATCGCCCTGTGATTGGCTACGCTAAGATTTAGACTCTGGGGCTCACGTGGGGCTCCACTTACCTTTTTCGCGTACCTCTGAACTCGTTCCGCAGTCTTTCTCGAAAGCTGCGCGACAGTTCGTTCCTTCGAAGGGAAAACGTCAACTCTCGTGTTGGCGGTAAGGCACGTTGCTTCGATTGACAGCCCTGCTCTGTCGCATGAGGCCATACTTCATTCTCAAGATGGCCCAGCCAACAGGCAAGGTCCTCGAGGGGGTCTTTGGTGAGGCCGATTCCTCTCCCAAGACTTTCCCCTTCCTGTTCCCGCCCATAGTCTAACTGGTCACTGTGTCTCTTAGCCATCAACAAGCCTCCCAGTATCTCTTCGGCTCAAGTCCTGCGAGACCTGCAGCACAAATTCGCAGAGTCTCAAACCTTTGCACCCTTGCTCGAAAAGACAAGAAAAGCCCAAGAAGAACAGGAGCGACACCAGCCAAAGCGCCGCAAACGGGGCAATGACCAGACATTCAAGATGGGTCACGGAGGGACTCTGGACCCGCTGGCAACTGGTGTCTTGACCGTTGGACTAGGCAGGGGTTCTAAATCCCTTGCCGACTTCCTCAGTTGCAAGAAGACCTATGAGACGGTAGTGTTGTTCGGAAAGAGCACCGACACTTACGACATTATGGGCAAAATAGTGGCGGAGGCCCCGACCGAAAATATCACCAAACAGGTGGTCGAAGACGAATTGACACGTTTTCGGGGCAAGATGAAACAGATCCCCCCCATTTACAGCGCAATCAAGATTGATGGCATGAAGTTATACGAGTATGCTCGAAGTGGCAAGGAGTTACCCCGGGAGTTGGAGAGCCGGGAAGTCGAGATCTCAGACTGCACACTGCTCGACTTCTACGGCCCTGGAGAGCATGACTTCAGGTGGCCGGCGGAGGAAGCGAGTGACGAGGAGAAGGCTCTCGCTCAGAAGATAATGGCGGGAGCTGAAGCAACAAAGAAGTCATTGGGGCAAGAAGCAGCACCCGCGAGCCCCAAAAATCCCCCCAAGGAGAGGCACCGAGAACACCACCAAAGCAACAAGCTCACGCCTGAGAAAAAGGCGGAGCTGCATACCCACCATCTCCCGACACAGGAAGCTGAACCTGCCAATGCCCCGGCGGCCCGCATCCGCCTGACTGTGAGCAGTGGCTTCTACGTGCGTTCGTTTGCACATGATCTCGGCATCGCGTGCGGTTCATATGGGACGATGGCAGCCTTGGTTCGAAGCATACAAGGCGAGTACACCAATATCGACCCCGCTCCGGAGGGCTTGATTCCGGCACTCACGTACTCTGATCTGGAAGCCGGCGAGGGTGTATGGGGTCCAAAGATTGCTGATGTGCTGGAGAAATGGATCGAGGCTCACCCAGCCCCTTCCAACGACAAAAGGCCTGACGACCGTGATCGATCAGATAGAGATTATCGTCATAAGAGGTTCGACCGCGGCGGGCGGGATGACAGCCGGCCCCAGAGGGCTTGGACCGGTCAGAGACGTTGGGAAGGATCGAATAGATCAAAGCGCCGTAACAGCTCGTCACCTGAGCTATGACCTCCTGGTTAACAGGACCGTACAGGTTGTGGCGCCGCCCATACATATGTCGTACTCTGTGTACGAGGTATATAATGGGTACTCTTAAAAGATCTCAAATGACGTAGGCCGAGCCAGCCCGTTGGTGCCGTTAATCTGCCGATCTAATCCCTTTTCGCCTGGCCAGGCGGCGCGGAAAAACTCATGCAGGTACGGAGTACGAAGTGCGCGCCTCACTTGCATTCCTTTCAGGTTTGTTGCCCGCCGCCCGCTCGCTCACTCAGTCGTGTGCCTGTGATCTTCTTGTGCTGTCGCACGCTCGCCCAACATTTATCATGTCGGCTTGATCTCTACCGCGCTCCTTTCTTGACATCTATTCCTGCCATATTCTCTTTGCCTATTGCAGTCTCGTCGTCCGACATGGGGTCTCTGCCTGCGGAGTCTCGACCCTTGTCGTTTGCAGCCTTAAAGGCCAAAAAGGCCCCTCTCAAGATTGCCACCAAGGTTGTCACTGTTAATTCAACCGCGAAGCCAGTCGCAAAGTCTTTACCCTCTGTCACCTCCTCCCCTTCCTCCTCCAAGCCTAAAGCCTCCCAGAAAACACTCAGCAATGGGCATTCCCGTACCGCGAGTGCGCCTCGGAAGTCAAGCACTCCAGTCTCCGTGCATTCAAGGCAAGGCAGTGGCGAGCCGATAGAACGGATCAAGAAGGAAAGGCAAAATAGGACGAAAAGAGCATCCCCGGCTGTCTCGACGCCGAGATTGACAAGCTCCGACGATGAGAGCGAAGAGGACGACGACAAGCCTAGAAAGCGAATGCGCCTCAATCGCAAAGAGAGCATCGATGAAAAGCGCAAAGTTCGGGATCTGAAAGCATTCTCTCAAGAAGAGGGCAATGGATTCCATATGGTGCACGCATACGACATCGCGAACAGCACTCTCGTGGAACATGGGCGAGACAAGTACGAGGCATTCTTCACAGCCTTGGAAGGGGACGAGGACGAATGCCCCATGATCGAACTTCAATACCCAACATCTCTGCAAAGCGAGAAATACCAGTTGGTCAAGCCTACAGACACTTCTGACTTTAAACCCCTGGATGAAATCGAGGCGACTATGAAAATCGTCGCGGAATACTATCTCGATAGCGATTCCGCAGAAAAGGTCACCAGCGACGATGGCTCCGGCCTCGTTCAACAGCTGCACCGGCAAGCCTTGCTTGGAATGAGAGGACGCGTCGGAGCACAGTCGAAATACATCGACGTGGTGGAGAAATTCAATGCGCTGGTGGCCGACAAGCGCAAGGACGGAACGATCGCAAAGAAGCTGGATCAGATGCGACGAGTCGATCTCAGGTTGGTCGAGCATATCATCAAAAACCAAATCTACGCCCGGACGGTGTCGCCCCAAGTCAACCTGGTGAGACATTACGAAAGCTTCTCCGACAATGTCTACGGCGAGCTATTACCCAAGTTTCTCAGCCGCATATTCAAAGAGACGAATCTGAAGTCCGACCAGGTATTTATTGATCTCGGATCTGGTGTTGGTAACTGTGTCCTTCAAGCCGCGCTGGAGACCGGAGCCGAGTCGTGGGGCTGTGAAGTCATGGACAATCCCAACACTCTGGCCCAGCTGCAGGCCGACGAGTTCCCAGCTCGGTGCCGGCTCTGGGGAATCAAACCGGGTGAAGTCCACCTCATTCACGGCAACTTCCTGACCAACGAACAAGTTCGGCAAGTCCTGAAACGCGCAGACGTCGTCCTCGTCAATAACCAAGCCTTCACGGCCGAGTTGAACGACAAGCTCAAGTACGTCTTCCTCGATTTGAAAGAAGGATGCCACATCGTTAGCCTGAAACCCTTCCGGTCGCCCGCGCACAAGATCAAGGATTCAAACGTGAACGATCCGGTCAATGTGTTGACGGTCGTGGAGAAGGAGCGATGGAGCTCCATGGTCAGCTGGAGCGATGATCCGGGGAAGTGGTATCACCACCGCAAGGATTCCAGGGAGCTGAACGCGTTCGTCAAGAGCATGGGTGGGTTCGAAAACTGTTAGAGGCGAATGATGCCCCGGAGAACCAGAGCAGCCATGGCGCGGTGGAAAGCATGATACGGGTATTAGGATACTGTAGGACGGGGACTTCGGCCTACTGGGGTTTGAAACGACTTGATGACAACTCGCATAGCGACGGGTATGGAGAGCACCATGCTGCGGCCAATTTGATATGAGGAGACATTACTGCTAGATGTAGTTCATTCACTAATAATGGCTGGGTGCCATTAACCCTCGTTCAATGAGTAACGCCGTTCACATCGTCACACTGTCTCTTCTATAGACATGTCAGTAATGGTGACTACCTAAAGATAAGAATCTGTGCGGAAGAATTTCCTGACAGGACTTATCATCCATTGAGCTCGCCGCAGGGGATCCTGGCAACGCCTGCGTCAAAGTAGGTCCGTCTCTAATGCCAGTGTTGAGTAGCTGTGGACGAGGCTGGTGTGGAAAGAGGAGGAAAACGGGCAACCTTGCGGACGACGACGACGCAGGTCCTCCTTTCCACGTCCTCGAGGCTCCCCTTCTCAGCTGTCGCTGGCGACCACGACAGAGACAGAAAATAAAAGTCGGGAACCAGAACTCCGTATCATCATCCAAACTTGCCCTCTTCATTCATCTTATCCGCTTCCCTCCCCTTGATCGCCATCAGTCGATCGACCAGCTCCTGATTGTCCTTCTGGAACTTTTGCGCCTTCTCCTCGGCCATGTGGAGCTCCAAATTCAGCGTGACGTTCTCGTCCTGGACATCTTCTATCAGTTTGGCCTTGCCACGCAGCTCTTCGTCGCGGTCTCTCAATTTGACCGTCAACTGCGAGACGGAGGCGTTGAGTTGTGCCATGCGCTTGGCGTCCACTTTGGCTTTTGCCTTCAGCGCGTCCAGCTCACGGAGGGCGGCGTCCAGGCGGGATTGTAAGTCGGCACGCTCGGTCTGAGCTTTGGACAGGTCTTGCCTCAGCTGGGCAAGGCCGGTGGTTGTCGCCGATGGAGAGTCTGGACGAGTTCCCTGGATAGATGGCGAGGTGACTCTCCTGATCCCCCAGCCGGGAGACGTGACAGGCTCCGGCTGCACCGGTGTGTTTTCTGACGGCGACGCTCTCTCTGCAAGGCGGGCCCTTTTCTGCAACTCGGCCCTCTCATCTGCCAGCTTGGTGCAGTACTCGTAAAGTCCAAGGTTGGCCTTCTCCACGCCGTCTCGGGCTTGTAAGGCTGCTAGATACTGCTCTTTCCATGTTGCCATGATCCAACGTCAGTCATTACCGAAACCGATCCATCCGAAGCACGAGGTGAGGCAGAGAAAAAGAGTGAACGTAGTTGGAAGGAGACGAGCATCTATCGCAAAAGAAACGCATTCAATCATCAGCCAAACGACAAAAGAACATGGAATGTGGAACGTGGAACGTGGAACATGGGGGCGTCAGGCAGGTGGACCTCGACGGGTATTTGATCCCCGGCTGACCTTCCCGCTGGCGAGAATGCGTGTCTGAGGCTGGAGATGGAGCAAAGTGGCAGTCCGTCGCAGTCAGTGGCTGGCTAATAATTAATATGACGGCTCCTCCTCCTCCTCGAACCGCTAATACAGCCAGCCCAACGATCCCGATCGACTTGGTCGCTCGCTGCTCTTCCGTCCTCGATCCTCCCATCTCGACTTCCCAAGCTTCGAACTCCCACATCCCAAGAAACTGCCTACGACTGGAAAGCGCAGGCATCCGCCACATCCTTCTTCTAACTAGTACCTCGGGGCTCGACAAATCGGCCTATCGCGTGACTCTCCAGCGGAGAACCACCTCGCAGAGCAGCGCCATAAATCCCGACAAGCCACCCCAGCTGTATCTGTGACACCAGCACGGGGCTTCTCCTGTTCTCGGAGTCTGTAGGGACAGCGCACCAGTCACAATCGCATCACGGGCAGTCATGGCGTCGAGGAAGAAGGTGTTGTTGAAGGTAATCGTGCCCGCACAGCTCTTTATCGCTTGTCAATGTACGTAACTGACCATGGCTTTGCGCAGGTCATCATTCTCGGAGACAGCGGTGTGGGCAAGACCAGTCTGATGAACCAATACGTACGGCGCTCTCCCCCATGTTCCCACCCTCGAACCGGCGCCTTCTGACCTTTTTTTCTACAGGTAAATAAGAAATTCTCTACCTCCTACAAAGCCACTATCGGCGCCGACTTCCTGACCAAGGAAGTCACCGTCGACGATCGGATCGTGACACTCCAGATCTGGGACACTGCCGGCCAGGAACGGTTCCAGTCGCTGGGTGTGGCGTTCTACCGGGGAGCCGACTGTTGCGTGCTCGTCTACGACGTCAACTCGGCCAAGTCGTTCGAGACCCTCGATTCCTGGCGCGACGAGTTCCTCATCCAAGCGTCGCCCCGCGAACCCGAAACGTTCCCCTTCGTGGTGTTGGGGAACAAGATCGACTTGGGCGAAGACCGGAGAATGGTTTCGCAAAAGAGAGCGCATGCCTACTGCCAGAGTCGTGGACAAATGCCGTATTTCGAGACCAGCGCGAAGGAGAGCATCAATGTGGAACAGGCGTTTGAAGTTATTGCCCGAAACGCGCTGGCACAGGAGGAGAGCGAGGAATACGGCGGTGACTTTTCGGATCCGATCAACATCAACCTGGAGCAGGAGAGAGATGGGTGTGCGTGTTAGAAGGGAGGACCTGGGAGAGCGCACAGAGCTGACGAGCTTCGGGCGGATGGTTTGGAATGAAGTTGATGCCTGCTTGGACGAGTTAAGCCACGAGTATCGAGTCACTGAGTCGGAAAGCCCTTTGTTCGAGGGATCTTGCCCAGCCCTTGGAAACGGTACGCACAGCGGGCCTCTGGGCATAGAGCAGGGGGAGGCACGTCAGAATTTAATCCGGGGACTCCTTTCATGCGAATGCCATGGATTGCACCGGGTACACTGGGGATCACGGGAGTCTCATTTCTATACGGAGTACTTGTTTCTATGGTTTGCACGGCCTTTGATTCTCAAGTCGGGTTCGAGGTCTGGCGAGCAAGCGAGTCAGTCGGGACGGCGTGTACAGATATACAACTACAGCACAGCAATTCAACGTTGAACACAACGAACGAGTTAACGTCCCAGTAGCCACCACAGCGTCCACCCACTCCAGTCGTCAGCTGGAGGACTGGGCGGCAACGACCTCGAGTCTATCTACACTTGTCCACACACAAAGTCCCGTCACATAGGTGTTTTGTTTGGTTTCAAAGGTGGAGGGACCTCGATACATCAGACACTGTAGGCCCAGGCTCCCTGTGTGTGCTACAGGTATTAGGTGCTTGGTACATTGCTAGAAGTGGGAGGAGTAAGCGGGACACTCGATCCGCTCTTTTTTTCACCAACAGCTTGGTTCTGTAAATTCCCGGCTTCACAGACCGGCGTCAAGGAAGTGCTGCTGGCAACAATGGAAGATTGGGAAAACCTCTGGTAGTAGAGACACTGAAGATGGAATTCGGGAAAGGCCCTCATTAGCACAAGCGCAGCCACGACTGATAGACGGACAGACAGACTCCTCCCTGCCTTCCCTTCCCTTCCCCCTTCCGGTTGCAATTTGAACAAAAACCCTGGAACCCGCTGTGATCGATTCGCACATTCACAAAACAATTGGACTCGAGAACTTTTTTTATGGTCGCGTGCTCGCCATTGCTGAACCCCTTTCAGCGTCTCTATAACATCCTCCCCAATGCCGGTGCCTCGCTTCCACTCTTTCTGCATAAGTCGTCTCGGTCTCCTAGATCCTTTCTTGGGAAAACACCGCACGCAGAAGAATGATGGAGCAAGGTTGCCAATATCCGAGGTTTCACATTTTGGGATTTTTCCCTTTTTTTGGGGTTTTCTGCACTGCAGTTCGCTCACCAGATCTGCAAGCAAGGCTGACTTTCTGTTGTCGTGAGTCAAGCAAGAAGAGCTTGAAAATTGTGTTTGTCAAGATTAGACACGAAACAGGAGAACGGTGATGAACTCCATTCGCACCAATGTCGGGTCATAAGGGTCGTGCATTGGAAACAACGTGAGCGGTGTGTCTTGCCAATGTCTTGGAGGACAACATAAGCAAATGAGCGATCCTCCCTCCAGCCCACACAAGAAAAGCCTATCCAGTAAAAAGATTTTCAGGGCATTGGTGAGAAAGCAATTGAGCTCTCGGGTTCGCGCGACGGTCAAGTTGGGGGCGAGGAAAAGGAAATCGTCAGAAGCTGTCGAAAGGATCGTGCACAAAAAGGGTGATCTGGTCGATGGGCCCGCCCCTTCGAACATGACCTTGAAGTCAAATCGCCGCTGTTGGAACAAAGTATATCCTTCTCCCAAAGCCGTTTCTACCACGCCCAGATTTTGAGCTGCAAGAAATGCGTCAGCCGAGTTCTCCAATTTGGTTAGCAAAGATCAATGGCGACTTACTAGAGAATCCCACGAACCAGTACATAAACTGATTCCGTCGTTGCTAACTCCAAGACAGCTGACTCGGTTTTCGTGGCCGTTCAATGAACCGACCTTATCACCACGCAAGGTGTCCCAGACCTAGGATTCTCGTCAGCTGCAAATAACAACAGTTATACATCACAGATTGTACAAACCTTGCATTCAAAGTCATCATAACCTGCGAAGAGTAATCGGCCAGAAACGGAGAAAGCGACGGAGGTGATGCCGCAGAGAACTTGTTCATTCTGTTCCAGTTGTCAGCCAGTGCGCGGTAACAGAACGCATATGGAGGTCCCAATATTCACCTGGTAAGACATCAGTTCTCGGTCTGCGCGAATGTCAAAGAGCCTGCAGGAGGCGTCGTCCGAGCCGGTCCCGAAGGCATTTCCATCAGGGAAAAATTGAATGGCGTTAATGTCAGATTCATGTCCGGCAAATGTTTGGACTGCTTTTCCGGTTCGGACGTCCCATAACTTGGCAAAGGCGTCGCAGGCACCGCTCACGAAAATGTTGGCATTTGTGGGATTTATGCTGATGCTCATCACGTCACCCAAATGATCCGCAAACTCGGTGACTTTGGAGCCCGTCTCGATATCCCACATCATGCAGGTCATGTCACCAGAGGAGGTGATGATTTTTCGGTCATTGACAAAACGACAGCAGGACAAGTATCCAGAGTGTCCGGATAATTCGCGAGCCACACGTGTCGGGCCTTCTCTCGTGGAGAGGTTGTAAATTGAGCAAATGTTGTCGAGACCACCGCAGGCGACGTAGTTGCCACTGGGGGCATATGCACAGGTCATGACCCAAGAGGAACGGAGGGGAATGGCGTGGACCTTGTTGGTGGTATAGGCATCCCAGATAATGAGCTTGCCATCCTGAGACGCCGATACCAGATGCCTGCGATCTGTTGACCAGTGCATGGCGTAGATCTTTGCAAGATGGCCCTTGAGATTCCTTCGGGGCTTCATGCCTATCCGAGGTAAAGCCTCTGTGTTGTTGAGGGCGACTTGTCGCACTGCAGAACCCCGATTGATTAGCAATCCGCACAGTGGTGGGCAGGTAGGCTGCGCGTGAGTTTAACTCGAGGGAGGGGGGATTGTGAATCGACTTACAGCTGGTATCAGCCAAGTCATCCTTCTTGCGCTTAATTCTGTCTTTGAGGCCCTCTGCTTCTCTTCTGGCAGCTGTGATTTTGGCCTGCATCTGCTCTCCCGTCAAGTCGGTCGACATCGTGCCGCTCGGGCCCCTCGTCGGACCAGAGTACAGGGGGATTCGCAAGTAAGTCAGAGCTCAAAAGGTCAGCCTCGCTAGAGCGACGCGCACAGCAGAATAGATGTCTGTTTGGTGTCAGGGCACGGTGGGCGATGAACGAGCGCAGGAGCTCCGGCGAGCGAGGTATCAGGGATGAGGTGGATAAAATACTGGGGGGGCCAAGAGCTGCGATTGGGGGCGTCTCGGGATAGCGGCAGAGCGCAGAGAGGATCGACGGCAGGAGACACGGTCGGTCTGGGAATTTCTTAGAAGATATGAAGCAATCGACTGCCTGGAGGGCGGCGAAAAGGCGTCGACGAGGAGGTGGGCAGAAATTGAGGGCTTCGGGGTGGTGAGGTCGGGTCACAGAATTGAAAAGGGCCCGTCCTTGGGGGAAGGCGTGCAATAGGAATGGAGGCCACAGTTGGAAGGTCCGGGTCTGGGTGCTTGGGGCTCGGGGCACCAGGGGGGGGTTCTTTGACCTGATTCTTGGTGTCTGGTTCGTTAAACCCCAAGTGGGGATTGTGTCGGTTCGGGGGGTTGGACTCCCCTGTTCTTTCCCACTACGGACGGTTTCAATTGGCGAGCTTCAAGCCAGGGATTGAACTGTCCCGGAGTGAGGGACTACTACTACTACTAACTTACGAGGAATGACAAAGGGACACACAGCCCACGATCTTCAAACATCAACCCGCCCATCACCACCATCCATCCCATCACCCAACCGCAGGTCAGGTGCCTTCTGACTCGCCTCTTCAGATCGCAGATCATCACTGTCACCACCTATACCCGTCCTTCTGATGGAAGCCCTTCCCCTTCGAGTTAGCCTTAGATGGCCAACACCTTCGAATGCAGCACATAGGGGTCTTGCAAGCCAGTCCGCGGCCAGCGGCACACAGACCAAAATGAACATGAGAACATGTCCTCCTAAACGAGATCCTAGCGAACAATAACCTCTCTCCCTTCGGCTACGGCCCACGACTACTGGCGCTCACGGGGTCCCCCGATTGTTGCGTTAGTCCAACATCGAGCTGGCCCGGGGGAAGCCTGCCGGGTGGCTCTCAAGCTTCGAAGAGGCGCACCGGCCTAATCCCAGGCAGGTCAGGGATATGAAAATGCCAATCCAACATGCAGAAACCCGCCTGAGAATTGGGGACAAAATTGGGAAGCGAGAACAACTCTGGCAAAGAGAAATTGCCCGGCCGCGTCTAATGTGGGCTAGAGATAAGTTGGTGCAACGCCCGATCCCCCGTTTTCACGACAGGTATCCGCTATTGCAACAAGGAGGCAGAGATGAGGTGCGCCTTCGAATCCGCTTGCAGCCCTCGCATTCAGCCTGGTGGTCTTTTTCTCCATGCCATAGGCACTTGGACGCTGATCCTTTCCACCCGCTATCGGTCCACTAGCCACACTAGGCTGGACATGATCCGCACGGGCTTATCGTTGTGTCCACTACGTACGTTGCCTGTTCGTGTCAACTCTGATGGCTGTCCACCTGCCTTGATCTCTGCACACGTTGTCGGGATAATAGCATTCATGGCGATGGTCCCTCTTCAACAACGCTGGTGCCCCAAACACCTAATCAGGAGGATCTACACGTTGCTGATCCCTCCGTCTTTATCACGAACTACACGTGGCCTTCGCTAATCTAACAGTGTTGAATGCACCACGGTCGGAAAAGAGTTCCTATAGCAATCAACTCTAGAAGTGTTGGGAGAAAGGACTCGAAAAAGGCAGCAATCTGAACCGATACGAGTTCCGATCACAAAAGCCAAGCTGTCACCCGCACTCCCCTCATTATGCAAGGCGTTAACCCTTTCACGGATGGCAGGGCCACCATGGCTTCTAGTAACAGTCGCAGGAACCTTCTGAGCAAGCTGTGGCCACACAAATCAGCTGCTCACACGACAAGTTTCATCCAATCGAGGAGCCCAGCAAACTCATTGCTCAACGCAACTCTTGTCTGTACGAGGATAAGATGGCGAGTCTTAATCTCGCCGAAACAGTGGACCTTGTCTCTCACTGATCGCCAGCTCGCTGGGTCCAAATATAAATGCAAATGCTGCAAACTCTGCAAACGTGCCAAAAACGGATATGCGTGACCGTCTGCTGTCCACTCGTGCCACTCCATCGACTGTGCTTTCTGTCATCTTTCTTTCCGGGTATTATTATTTGCTTGTCTTCCGAACAGCAGTCTCCTCCCTGTTTGCTTGATTAAACCACTCTCCACAATGTTCTGGACCATCGGATGCGTTTATGGGGCATCTTCCGTCATATTCGGGGCCTTTGGAGCTCACGGGCTCAAGAAAACCATCAGTGACCCCGCAAGGCTCGCAAACTGGTCGACCGCTGCTCAATACCAGGTAACTCATTGAGCTTTAAAGAACAATGGCATGACCATCTTCTAACATGATTCCTCTCGCACAGTTAATTCATAGCGGTGTCCTCCTTTTGACTGCCACAGCAGCTCCAAAGAACAAGGTGATATCCGCTGTCTTCGTGTCTATGCCGGTCTTGATTCTAAGTAGGCCGACAGGTTGCTGCCGCACTTTTCACCGCCGGGATGACGATGTTTAGTGGCAGCATTTATCTTCTCGTTCTGGATCCCCAGCGTTTCAAGGCTTTAGGCCCTGTGACTCCGCTGGGAGGCATGTGCTTGATCGCCGGATGGGCCGCCCTCGCTTTTGGCAGTCGAGGTCGATTTATTCAGTGAAACAGCATCAATACAGAGGGTAGCTGGGGGCGTTTTAGGTGCCGCTGGGTTGAAGAATACTCATCTCAATACTACTACCATTATCACCTTCAATTCCACAACATTCTCGCTCGATTCCCCTCCCCCTGTCTTATGCCTCTGCGTTCAGCGCCTTTGCCATTTCCAACAGATTCCTCACAGTACCCACGACAGTCGTTTCGAACGATCGATACGTCAGCCCCAGCATCTCCCGCGACGATGAGTTGTCAATCTTCAAGGAGCCTGCAGGTAAGGGGTACCGACCTGGATGCCGTGGCGGGGTTTTCCCATCGAGCTTCGGGAAGTGCTTTCACAAAATGTCGCACGTCTCTTGGTTGCTGTTGCTGCCTGGAGTGACGAGGAACCGATGCCCGCCAACGCAGGGGACAAGGGCGTCCTGATAATGTGTAAATGACAAGTCCTGCGAAAAGACAGACACGCAAAAAATTAGCCCGGGGCGCGGAAGTTCAATGGACACACAGGAGACAGTCCGTCGTAGTCTTACCCGAACGTCGACGAAGATGTGCAGAGAGTCCTCTGGGATTGGAGTCCCCTTTTCAGAGGTCATGAACTTCCAAAGCACGGTATCTGTGTTCAAGTCGCTCATCGAGTCAATGCTGTGGCTGAGGATGCCGTAAACGATGGGCGGGTTAAGGACGACGAGTTCAAAGCTCGGCTTCTCGCTCTGCATGAATTTCCAGCCTGCGTGCAAATCAAGTTAGTCTCCTCGAAATGACGAAGGGTCGTGTGACGGGAACAGGTCCTAGACTCACCTGCTTGCTCGGCGAGGGTCTTGCTTGCCCAGTAGGCCAGGCTCAGATCACCCGCGTATCCCTGCTCCTTCGTCACCGGGTCCCTCACATCGGACAGTACACTCTGCCATTCTCCTGGAGATCTAACGGGTTGCCGATGGCCGCGTCTACTTGTGATGACAAGTCGTTTGAGCCTTGGTGCGTGCTTCGCGGCGGATTCCAGGATTTCCGTTGGGCAGTGGATCGCTGGGTCGATAAAATCGCCAGGTGTCTTGGCTTCCGCATAGTTGAACGGGGAAGTGGCATGGATCATCACGTCAATGGGCTGGGCATCCTTGAGGCACTGGTCGAAAGCCCCGGGCGCTGTGATGTCGAGGACGATGGAGAAGTCGAGCCGGGATCTGTTAACGCTGGGAAAGTCTTTCATGACTCTCTTTCGCTTTGACTTCGGATCACACCACGGCTTGCACGAAGCACGACTTTTCCAGGAAGAGGGACACCAGATGGCTTCCAATAAACCCGTTGCTGCCCATCAACAAAACTCGAGCGTAGCCATCTGGAACTCTGATTGTGGTATCGACTTCGTCTTTGGGATTGAGATCTGGGTATTCGAGGTTTGGGTTTCAAGCTGCTGAACTTGAAATACTCACTCGTTAGAGATATTCTCGTTGCCTTTTTACCTGGACAACCAGGCTCGAAGCGCAGAGAGCGTTCATGCAAGGTTAAGGAGATACGAACTATTGTCCGTCCCATGCTTGATGCAAGACGACGTACACGCCCAACCAGACTGACACAGACTTTTCGATATACCCATCCACCGAGATGCTTTCAACAACATACCCGAATATGACGTGATGTATATGGCCGACAAAGGAAACCAAATCGACCCCGGCGCCCGTACCTGAGGGCGGCTCCATTCCCATGACAAAGAGGAGGATATGAACGCCGATCGCGTCTTTAAACGTCGCTCCCTTTAACCTAGTATTCAACGCTAAGCCAGGAACGCTTGTTGAAGACAGCAACCAAAGATATTTGTCTGACGCCGACGTTATGCACGGTGCGGGCTGTCCGCAGGCTTGCAAAGGTTCCCTTGTATCCGCCAATTCCAGGGCAGTGAAGGCGCTGATGTGCGCGATGCGGCCGCTTAAGTCGGCCTAAGTATATGGCCGACTCAGTAGAACCATAAAGCGGCCGTCCATGCCTCGTTCAAGATAGCAACGACATCTCTTTCCAATCGTCCTGTCAAACAACGCCGGGGAAAGGGAGAAACATCAGATGCGGTCGTTCCGAGATCGGGCGCTTCTCATCCCGCCCTGCATCGTATGATGTCTGTCGTCAGTCAATCGTCCGTGAGAGTGCGTTGACTCGCAATGGCTGAGAAGGAGCCTTTCGACGAGAAGATCAGGGTCGACGGCATGGTACTGCATGCATTGATCGCACGAACCGAACGATACGTCGACGAAGCGCCCTTTTGAGAGACCTTTATTCCTCGAGCGTGCATCATCAGAGCATTGCCCTACACGAACACATGAAACGGCACTGTAAATAGTGCATTTCATACGGGCTCCCTGTCGCTAGCAAGCCCCTGCAGACGGCAACCAAAATGACACTTTAGGTCACTAACTGCACCAACATTAATATGGAAGAAGATCTGCGTCGAAACCATCAGGAGAGGAGAGAGGTTTTTGGCGATTGGCCAAATAGCCGCTTCGGAACAGCAAGCAGCCCCCATTCTCGTACCCAACGATCGGGCCAAAAATAGGCCTCAAGCGAGTTCTATGAGTCCAGCCTATGATGGTCGAGGCTGCATCCTGTTGGACCACGTCATATACCAAAGTTTCGAGAAATGTATTTGTGTCTTCCGCTGGTGCCGCATAGTTTTCAGGGAACCCCTCAGAAACATCCCGATGTATCGGCACCACAGGAACCAAACATAGGAGGAGGAACAGACGGACCAATGCCCAGTCAGCAGGATCAAACCCACATCTGACGGCGAAAGCGAAGATCAGGTCCAGACCTTGGGCGACGATGGGCTTAGACGTCTGGGCCCAACTCTTGCAGCACTGACCACAGTGTGACCTCTCATACCACGAGCATCACAGCAAAAATTCAAGAACGATGGACAAAGCAAAGTTAAATCATTTCGAGGCCTGGACAACGGAGAACATACCAGTAGTAAAGCCACATCCGGACCCCATCTTGATTGGCAATGGGTGCCGTTGCCACAATTCCATCCTGGCTTGGCAGAGATTTATCCTGTATGACTAATTGCTCGACCTACCATGTATGGTGGTGTCCCGGGAGAAAGTCGAGACGCACGCTTCGAGAACATGGCGGGCCAGATTGTTTTGGCTCTTATTTACCTAAATATCTTTCTCGCCGCAGACAATTAATTTTGTGGCAGTCGACGTTGATGTGTTTGTCGCCCGGTTCATTGGGGAATTCCACCTGATGAAAACAAAAGTGACTTTGTGCTGTGGCAAGGAGAGCCGTGTTGCAGAATAATAATCATAATGGGCCAGGGCAGTTGGGCTTTGGGAACTGCCCAGTCTTGTCGTAGTCGATGGTAAAGGCGCGGCTCCAATTGCATAGCAGGATGAGGGTTGCCCACAAGATTGCGCCAGTGGAGACGAACGAAATCAGCGACAGCCGCCGTTTGTTTCTGCAGAGGCCAGACGGGAGCTCGTCATTTGGCGGAAGGGTCTCGCCGCTAATTAATTGCTGGGCAGTGGGCACGGACACCAGGGGGAGAGGGGAGGAGATAGCATTGCACATACCGCACTGTGCTGGGTGGTATTACTGGTAGGGAACTAGGGTTTGTATACGGGCCCAGGAGAGTGGTCAAAGGGAGCTTAGGTCGGAGGAAACCAACTGAACCAAAAGGCGACGGTGCCAATCGAGGGTGAAGCTGGTTGAATCTGAGACGCTCTCTCCAAACTGCACCCTCGCACCCTCGCACCCTCGAACTCTCTCAGTTGGAACTGCGACCTTGCAACCAACCCTCACGCTAAATCGACACGGACTACCACCACCATTACTCAAACTCCAACCTCACCACCTCCTCCTCCCATCATCCATCCGCACCACCACCACCGCAAACCCTTTCCATCTCTCCTGTTGCTTTGCTGCATCTCCCGCATCTCGCTTGTCCTTCTCCCTCCGCGGCTGCTTTTAGTTGTTCCCGCCGGCAGCTGGCCAAGTCCTCCGAGCGGCGGATCGATCTGTCGAGTCCTGCCCTGCCCTGCCCTACCTCGCATCGCCTCGCCTCGCCTGACCTCCGCCTCCCAAATTGCGAACTCCGCGTCCTCGAATCCAGCCGCCACACTCTTTACTAATTCTCCCTATACTCGCTGTTCGATTCTCTTCTGTCGAGATCCTGTTCATCAAAATCATTCAGCGAGCCATATTCTGCATTTATTTTCTGGCTGCCGACATCCAGCCCCGACCCCCCCTCTCGAATCTTTCACGCCCTCGGCCGGTCATCCTTCCCCGGTAGAACACGAAACTCCGCCCATCTGCGTCCTACACTTGATGGCTACTGGTCCTTTCAGTCTCTGTGGATAACCAGACAAGTTCTCGTCCGGTGACGGAGTTGGCCTTCGACGCCGTCGCGGCTCAAGGACCGGTCAACGTCAGGGGTGTTGCCACAGCTCCGACGCCGATTGCGCTGTGAGAAATTCAAAAACAAATACATCTACCCTATCACAAATACCAAGCTGCAGACATCGAGATATTGCATGGTGGAGGACTACTGGACAACATGAGAGAAGTCAACTTCAGCATCCCTAATGTCAACAAGGCCTCTGTCCATATTACTACCACCCTCTATGACCGTCGGGCCCTGGATTGCACTTCGACCCTCCCCCTTATAAACTCCCTCAATCATCTAGCATACCTGACGACTTCCTCTGCACGCATTCGAGATATCCTTACTGTCGATGGCGGCGTTGAGCGCCTTGTCTGCATATTGAAGGAGGGCCGAAGCAAGGATGAAATGCACATGTGGAAATGGAATCTCGCTTTTCAATGCATCGTGAATATTGGTGTCCGAGGCTCGGAAAATGTACGGACGCGTGTGGTGGAAGCAGACATGGTACCGGTTATTGCGACAGTTTTGTGGGACTATATCTTGGTCATTGAAAGGGAAAAGGCAAAGGCCGATGCTGAGCAGGAGAAACGCAATGGGTCCAAGCACTCGGGGAGCTCGAAAGCATCCAAACTGTCTCGAGAACTGACACAAGATCCCGCCACGAGGACTTCGTTCTTTGAGCACCTGCATGCGGCGACCGATCAGCGTTCCAATCGTCGGCAAGCTCCCCCTCCATCATTGGATCTACCTCAATCCTTTTCGCAGAGCTTTGGCGCTGCAGACACAGGGCCGGCTGAGGGAGCAAGCGTCATGCCTCCCAGCGTTTTCACCTCGCCTCCCGAACGGACCATGTTTCCTCGGCGTGATTTGCACCATCACAACCGGGGGCACGAGAGCCGGAACTCGTTCCACAGGACCTTCAACTTACAACCTCCAGCTACAGCAGTGCCATCTATGGATACCTCCGACGGATTCTCATTGCGGCCAGTGCGAGAGGTGGATAGATTACCTTCGATGCTGCCACCACTGAATACAGGTGTGACATCCCATCCCGACTCGCCAACGACCCCATCTGCGCCACTTCATCGCGGAACGCTGTCTCCCGTTGGCCGCCGCATGAGAAGACCATCGATTCGTCATCAGAACTCTACTGGCGACAACGACGACATGAGCATGGATGACGTGGCTGGTCCAGACGACGAACTCTTAGATCCCGAGGCTCCAGCTGAAGGTCGAAGCAGGGCCCAAACCCGGGATCCCAGTCCTCACGATCTTCACGAGCTGGAGGGCCGACAACCACTGACCCTCGCCATACCTCCGCAACAGGCTCGAGAAATCGACAACAATGTGGACATTGCTCAACAAACGCCCATCACCGCCGGTATGGGTAATCCCTTGGGCGCGGGTGGTCTTGAGGCCATGGGTGTATCTCCCCTTCCTCCGGCGCCCACCACTGCCGCTTCTCCTGCAATCCCGCTGAACGCATACCCAAACTTCTTCCTGCGAAATGCGACCAATACGGCCACGACCGCCTTGATGCCCCGCGATGAAGATGTTCTTATGGGCTTGCAACTCCTGGCTTACATCTCTAAATACTGCTATTTGCGCCATTACTTCCAGGCTACCCATTTGGTTCCCCGACTGAGAATCGATCGAGAGGTTGAGAAGATCTATGGACCAATGCGAGGCTGTGCACTTCTTCCAGAACCCACCGAAGACGAAGACGAAGAGTTTCTGCAACCTGACGACTGCAACATTTTTCCTCTGGTGGAGAAGTTCACTGTCCGTCACCACTCTAAAGACATGCAGTACTGGGCATGTGTGGTCATGCGTAATTTGTGCCGAAAGGACGACGCCCGGGGAGGAATTCGCCAGTGTGCCAACTACAAATGTGGGAAGTGGGAGGAGTACACCCGCCAGTTTGCCAAGTGCAGGCGCTGCCGTCGCACGAAATACTGCAGCAAAGTACGTGATTTCATTTTCGGATGGTGGTGATACTTGATGCTAACTACTTTGACCAGGAATGCCAGCGGGAATCGTGGAGCATGCACAGGCACTGGTGCCACCTGGAAAATGCATACCTCAATCGCAGGACCAACGCATAAATTGCCGTTTGCAGTTGCATAGCCGTGGAGTATTTGGATCAAGCGTCGTTGGCGTTGGCGCCGTGGAGTTTGTCGACTTTTCGAGGCATGGGCTTTCAGCATCGTTTCCGCATCCAGCCTTTGGCAAAACACCCAGCACGATTGATGTACAGCGAATCGATATTGTTGAACGAGGGACGCAAAGACTTTTGAGAGTATATATCATCAACGAATGTAGCAGAAGACGAGGCGTTTGACGCGACAACGGACGGGTCCACGATGAAGATGAGCTGCAGAGGTATTTTTGGATTGCGCAACCTTCGGGCTGATCTCGTCGAGTCGTCAGGCACGGGCTGGTCGTCGTGAGGAGATTGTTCCCGACAACACCAAATGTGTAATATGACGAGCCGAGTAGTGAACAAAATGATGAATATTGATATTACCACCATCGACGTCGCATCGTTTCTTGCTTCGCTCTGTTCTATGGTGTCGACTGAGCTGTTCCCCATGGGTGCCTCGGCCATCAACCGAGAATGCACGATTGTCAGCAGTTCGATCGAGTCTTACTGTGGCTATCCGAATGACTGGGTCGAGGATCGTGGGCCAGTCCAGAACGACGGGAGTCGAGAGTTTTTCGGAGCTCGCCGCTTGACGACGCCAGCCAGATTCAGATATATCAAGGTTGGGTGCTGCCAGTGTGTCATATTATTTTCAAACACCAGGCTGTCCCTTCTATACCCAAGGTGCTAGCACGGAGACCTGGACGTCTCCTTTCTTGTCTCCTATGAAACCCTTCTCCTTATAATTAGCCGTTGACCTTCGCATTGAATAGTTAGGAGCCCCGGGTAAAAACTATGGGGTCGATCGAGGGAGTCAGCAGTGCCATACAGCTGCCTGTCATTGATATCTCAGAATTCACTGAAGCGGTGGGCAAGCGAGTACTGGACGCTGCCACCAAGTTCGGCTTCCTCTACATCGACACCAATGGCACGGGCTTCACGGAAAGCATGGTGGATCGAGAATTTCAACTCTCGCGCCAATTTTTCGAGCTGCCTGAGGCAGAAAAAGAGCCTTGTCGCATCGACAAGACCAATCGGGGCTGGACAGGAATGCACGACGAAATCCTGGACCCCAGGACACAGCGCAAAGGCGACTTCAAGCAGGCATTCAACATCGGGGAGTTCCTGAATGGAAAGCCGCAACAGCCTTTCCCTAAGTTCCTCGAAGGCCATCTTGACGAGCTGGCCGAATTTGAGCGGACGTGCAAGCAAGTGTGCGATCGAGTGCTTGATCTTCTCGGGCTGGGACTTGAGGTTGAAGAGCCCAACTTCTTTTCCTCGCGGCACACCCAACCCAGCGGGTGCACTGTCCGCCTCCTGCACTATCCGGCCATCCCAGCTGATGTGGACTATCAACCGGATGTCGATGTCAGAGCCGGCGCCCACTCCGACTATGGAAGCATCACGTTGTTGTTTCAGCGTCCCTCACAGCCTGGCCTCCAGATCCGAACCCCAGAGGACACCTGGGCACCTGTCCCCGTAATCCCTGACGGGTATCACTCGACCACCTTCCCGCCGATCCTGGTCAATATTGCCGACTTGCTGTCGTACTGGACCAATGGAATCCTGAAAAGCACAGTCCACCGAGTCATCTTCCCCAAGGAGGCGAGAAGGGGAGGGGAGGACCGGTACTCCATAGCGTATTTCTCACATCCAGGGAACGAGGTCGAGTTGACACCTGTACCGAGCAAGCTGGTGGCGCAGCACAAGCTGGACGAAGACCAGGAGGTGGGATATGGAGGAGGAGCAACGAGCAAACGAGCCATGACCGCAAAGGACCATCTGTTGTCTCGGCTGGACGCGACCTATGGATTCAGAGGGGCACAAGCCAAGGAGGTTGATAGCACTGCTTAGTCGGGAGAGAACTCTGGTGTATATTGCGTCTGGCCCTGGCTTGGGGCCGAGTAGGCGGAGAAATCGACACCGCGGGCACCAGTCGGGTTCCCTCCTCAGTTAAACAAGCCCGTACTATTAGCACCTATTAGTACTAAGCGGCTAAGTGGTTAGCGCGCAGTTTGCATCCCAAAAGTTACAACGTTGACACTCTCCGACTTTCACGGCCGCCAGAGCGCAGACGTCTGCTTGTTACTTATATCGACTTGCTTGGAAAGCGTGCGACCTTGTCTTCTATTTGATTCACTTGCTCATTCACTCCTTTCCCGCGGTTTTTTTTTGTCTTTCCGAATCGCCGAGTCTCGTCTACGTCTAGTTGTTTCTCAGCGGCCCAGGATGTCAGGTATGGTCCCCTCTTGACCCCCCGGAACCGTTGTGTCTTCTCACATTGCGACCAGTCCAGAAGTTCGACCAGTGGGCCAGCAGACATGTTGAACTCTGCCAGCTGCAAATGCTGAGAGATGCCGTGATTGGTGTCGATGCCTCGTACTACCTGAACCTGCGCCTCAACGGCAACAACGAAGAACCTCTCAAGCATGCCCTCGGCGGGCAGCCATTCGTCTTTAAGAAAGCGATAGAGGATGACATTGCCTTTCTGCGACAGAACGGCATCACCCTGGTGTTCATCTTCAATGGCCTCGACTACGTGAACAAAAGCCTCCCCGACTCGCAGCTGGCGGATAGCCGAAGAGTACAAGATGAAGCCTGGCACCACTATATGAATGGCGACAGCAAGCGCACGGTAACAGACTTTGGGAAGGCCAAATACCCCGTCGAAATCATGACCCGAACCCTTCAGAAACTGCTGTTTGATAATAATGTTCAATACATGGTTGCTCCGTACAGTGCGACTGCGCAGGTAAGTCCACCCTCTGGGAACTGTTGGGGGAGTCGCAGCTGAACAACCGGGCAACAGTTGTCTTATCTTTTGAAACTGGAAGACCAATACATTGATGCCGTTATGGGCAGCACCGAGTGCTTTCTCTTTGGGGTGGATCGAGTGGTGACAGATTTCAACCTCAACGACTCAACCCTGAGCATGGTCAGCCGGGCGGTGTGCGAGGACATGCTGAAAGTCCACAAAGACGTGCTTCGAGACGCCCAGCTCTTGCTTGGCACCTCTTTCACTCCGACCTTCCCCATTCTCGAGAGCATGGCCGCGGCGAAATCGACGGGCATTGTAGACGCTATCACCCTCCTTAACGGGGCTGGCAAAAGTGTCATGCAGCTGTGCAACTACCACCGGGACAACCCTCAAGTTCAGAGCATGAAATATGCCGACCGGTATAAGAAAGCAATCATGACCATTAGACACCACGTGATAATGGAAAAGAACGGCGTCGTCGGTCCTCTCAACTTTGACGAGGCGCCTGGCGACGTCCACGAATTTGTGGGACAAAGACTGCCCGAGGAACTGTTCTTCTACGTCTCCAAGGGCATGCTCGGCCCACAGGTACCAAACTGGCTCACGTCTGGTGAGATCACGCTTTCGCTTCCGGGAGGTGTCTTCGATTCGGAACCCTACCGAAGATTGGTGATAGAACTACTCAATCCCTTCCGCACCGAAGCCCTCAAAATCCTGGCCGAATCACTCAACTACTACTACCAGTCCCGGGTCATCAAGGTCAGTCCCTGGATCGCTCAGGATACTAGCAACTTGACAATCGAGATCCGAAACACTCCAGCAATGAAACCGAAGTTGGTGCAGTGGAGAGTCCGAGGGGCGAATATTGAATCCGTCATCGGCAAAAGCGAGGTAGGTCTCAAAAACGCTTGAGCTGTCCATCTGCTGACACCAAGTAGAACGTCGGTTTATTTTTGCCTTGTTTACGGTCTCTCAAAGACGTTGCCTTTGCGAAAAAGACCATCACCCTAGGCAAGATGGAATTCCCAGCTCTTCGAACTGCCGACGAGGTCGCCGTCAACACGGTCTTCCGGTATCTGCAAGTGCGTGGTTATGTCGACGACCAACATAACGTGACTACATGGGGGAAAGCTTTGGAAACAGCATTGGCGATTGCCGATGAGGACTGTACCATCATCGGCGTGGAGATGCTGAGAATGGGTCTCTTCACTGGCAATTTTGCGTCAGGAGACCCTGTCGCGAAGACTGGTTGGTTTGACCATCACTCTCCCCGGATGGCTGCTAATTCTCTTGTAGACAAGGATCACGACCGGAAAGTCAACACCAATCTCATTTCCAAAGTCGCGTGTCTGGGTAGAATCCGGCACAAGCCTATGGGATTTATTGGATCTCTCGATCGACAACTATTGACATATGCATGGAAGATTTCAGCGGTTCGTACGACCCTCAGAGATCTCTTGGAAACTATCATGACGAGCATGTTTTTGAACGGAGACGTCGACCGGGACCGAGAAGATTGGATTGCTCTCGCCCAAAGGTACGCATAATCCGCTGTTCGATCCCCACGATGTACATGACTGACCCAGTTCCATAGACTCCCATTCTCCAGTGACAATGGCTCAGGGCTGGGAATCGCCGTCAAGACGTATCTGGACGCAGTCAGCGAAGAACCTGAGCCAACCGACGCACTAAAAACCAGCATTAAGCAGCAAGAGGGAAAGTACAACTGGTTCGCACAACTTCGAGGCAGTGGTTACTTGACCAAGAGTCTCGATCAAGCCTGGAAGATATGGGATGCTGTAAGTCCAGCTGAGACGGCTGGCCAGAACAACCAATGCTAACTGCTGGTAGATTTATGCTGCAAGTCAAGTGCCAGGCACCGACGTCAAGGAGGCCAAGCTCTTCTCAGAGGCGAACGAATGGCTTTCCCCACGACGATGAGCGGCTTTGTCAGACCGTGAAGCAGGAACGTGAGGTTTACTCCGTGAAGCATCATATCACAAGCTCTGGCTCGCAGGACCTGCCGTCCCTGAGCGAGGATACACCACGCCACAAGGACCACCCCCCCAGCCAGACTGCGCTCCAGCGCAGCGTTGTCCGCTAAGAGCACGCTCGCCAGATTTGACTCCGGTCCACGGTGTGTGCATGTTAGGAGCGGTGGGGTCAGCGGGTCTTGTCTCTCTCTCTCAGCGGCTGGCGAGGAAAATACGGCTTTTACAAAGAGAGATTCGGGGACGAAGTAGACTGTAGGCTTATGGTTGCAGAGACCCCAGCAGCAGAATTCCTCGAGTGACAGCCTCTCGTCTGTTATGGTCGATTGAGTTGCTTTGCTTCTGGAATCAGATCCTTGGGTGTGGCTCAAGCCTCAGGAGTTCCATATCACACGACATGGCTGCGTTGAAGCGGAAATGGCCGCCTAACACGTACGAGGCATGCCCTTCCGACTGCGCAATGACATATTATTGCATACTTACTCCGTCCATTCTTTGCTTCTCCCTTAGCTACCGTTTGACTTTCAACCCTCAGCCACTTATCGTCCGGGAGTTTGGGAGAAAAACATAAAAAAAAAACTCCATCCTATCATTAACTAGGCACTCTCGTTCAACCCCCACGAGCCCGGACGTCAGGGCCCCCGTACGGGCGTCCTTACCTAACTGAAATCTCCTTCTCATAAGCAATGTTGGGCGCGAGGGGCCTACACCATGACCGTCCGTCTCCCTCCATCTCGATCCCTTGAAGAAGAGCACATTGAGATGGAGGACGGTGGCATGTCGAGGAACTCCTCGAGGCAGAGCCTCCTCCACCCTCGAGCACGCGGGGATCGCGGACGGCTCGCTGGTCTGGCCTCTCATACCCTGGGCTTGATCCTTCTCCTTTGCGTCGTCTTTTTATGGACCATGTCCAATTTTCTTGGTAGTGTATGCATGAGATCGTTCCAGCCCCGATTGAGAGAGTGTGTGAGAGAGAATACTGTGCTAATCTCGGACGCATCCAGAGCATCTTCGCTGACAACACGTATGCCAAACCCTTCTTTCTGACGTACCTCAATACGTCCACCTTCATGCTGGGCATGATCCCAACCCTCGTCCGGACCGCATACAAACGGCACCGGGAGCGCGGGGACTTGTTCGATACGATCCGAGCGAATGTGTTGCGGACAATCAAGGGCGAAGGCTATCGACGACTGTCGAACGTAGACGAGCCACAAGATCCTGAAGAAGAGTACGACTCGGAACCAGAGACATTCATTCAGAAACCAAGCAGAGACGGTTCTCGCGCGGGCATCCGTCGTCCGGGGCGTCACATTGGGGGAGAAGGAGGAGGAGCAGGCAAACACCTGGGCATCATCCCCACGGCCCGGCTGGCCTTTGCCTTCTGCATCCTCTGGTTCAGCGCCAACTACTTTGCCATGGCGTGTTTGAAGTACACCACGGTCGCGTCCACCACGATCCTGACCTCGACATCGAGTTTCTGGACGCTGTTCATCGGCGCTCTGACGGGGACGGAGAAGTTCACGTGGCGCAAGTTGTGTGGCGTGCTGGCCTCCTTCGCGGGCATCCTGTTGATCTCGAGCGTCGACTTTTCGGCCAAGACGGACGGGGGCGATGCGAGAAGATCGATTTCGCGGCGCGAGGACACGTTTCCGGACAAGTCTCCCTCCGAACTCGCCCTGGGGGACGCCTTTGCGTTGTTCTCCGCCATAATCTACGGCGTCTATACCATCACGCTGAAGAAGACGACCGTCAAGGCGCTGCCACGGTCTCTCAACATGCCCCTGTTCTTCGGGCTGGTCGGCACGTGCAACCTCATCCTCCTGTTCCCGCTATTTCCCATTCTGCATTTCACGGGCCTCGAGCCGTTCTCGTTCCCCCCAACCCGGAGAATCTGGACGATCCTGCTAATCAACAGCTGCGCGAGCTTCTGCTCGGACCTCTGCTGGGCGTACGCCATGGTATTGACCTCGCCGCTCTTGGTGACCGTGGGGCTGAGCCTGACGATTCCGCTTTCTTTGGTCGGCGAGATGGTCCTCCAGGGCCACTACGAGGGGTGGGTCTACTGGGTCGGGGCTTGCATTGTGGTCGGCAGTTTCCTGTTTATCGATCAGCAGGAGAAGAACGAGGAGGTTTCTCATCACGCCGGCACCGGCCAGGGTATCGAGGCCCAGAACGAAGATCATGACGTCGACGACGATGACGATGCTGACGATACCCCTGGCGCGGCATTTTCTGCTGCTTCGGCAAGGAACGACTACGGCGTTGACGGACACGGACACGGACAGGCGCATCGACACGCATCCTAAACACAAGTAGACTTGGGGCGGCTGAGATTGTGACTTTTTGCTTGGTTGGTTACTATATATATACATACTCCTGTTCAAGTACCCCCATCCACGTACCTCTGTTGTACCATCTGCAACGTACCTCGCGGTGTCCTTGGGACAGACAGAAATATCATACATGAAAACAATGACCATGTATGAAATGCCTGTCGACCGACCACCCGCAAGAATATAGTAGGAAGCCAGGCTGCATCCCCCTCCTGTCTGATAAAAAGGCGGCGATCCGCGTGGCAGGATGGGAATATTCCCAAGTATATTTTGATCGTAATCGAAGTCTGCTGATGCAATGGATATTCCATAGTCCCGGATGGCATTTTTCTTGAAGGGCAGACATGGTCACTGATTGTTTGTAGCAGGAACCAAGAGACCTTATTCATCAGCACACGGTGTTCGATGGTCATGGTCGATGAGAGTCCACCTTAAAAATCAATAAGGGGCGCACGGGTTTTCCGTCGCTTTAATCCGGGTTCATTTGGCTTTGTGGAGGGCTCGAAGACCTGAACGCTGCGAACGCCGCCAGACCGTCCGTTTCTCGATCTCCATTGTGTCCTTGGACATCTCCTCCGTTGGAAGATTTGATGTTTTTCCCGAATCACCATCTCTGGAGTATATGCTTGAGTTGTTTCGGACTTCGCATGTCAGCTAGAGGTCCTGCTTGTTTGGAGGACATAGAGCCAGGCTGCGCTCAGTATGGGAGGTCCAGTCTTACTTTAAGAAGAACTGGTCTTCCTCTGCAAGGAGGTGGATAACCTCTTCATGAGATCTTCTTTCTTCTACGTCAAGTCGCAAAATATTTCCGCGACACAGGTCATATTCGTGATCAGGGATGCATCTGGATCGGCCCTTCGGCCTTTGACACCCCTCAGCCTTGTCGCTCTGCAGCAACATGTCGACAAACACGCGTTCTCGTTCAGAGGAACCAACGCTTGACGCAGGGACAACTCGATGCTCTGAAATATGAGGTATGAAGTCCCGACGGAGAAGACTTGCAAACCAAGTCGAGATATATAGAAGCTGGCCCAATTGTCGCAGCCTGGTGGACGTCGAGTAGCACGGGTCTGACCTCACGTGTCCTGGTGGCAAGAAGGTCCATTAGGGAACTAGACAAATCGTTCGACCGGTCCATATGGGTCATTGGTGAAAGGAATCGACCTGGGTACTCTCGCACTCTCAGACTTGACAGCAGGTGAATGGGACATATGGATGTCGTCCATACTAAGAAATGGTCCACAGGAGTGGGCCTCTTGTCGTTCCTACAAACTGCTGCTCCGCCAGAAGCCGTCCGCTGTTTCCCGTCCAACACGGTACCAAGGGACTTCAGCATTTCGGACCAGGTCATCGTCATAAACTGGGAATTCGACAGTTGGTGACATACAAAGAACTTCAAAAAGTATGTGGCTGTCCGAAAGTGCTGGATATAACGCTTACCGTTGACAGCCCAATGTCCACCTCACTGAGTCCAGCGAACATAGAACGTTTCCACCGTCTTGATGGATATCTTCAAGACAATGACAACATTGCCCTGACAGGTGCAAGCGGACAGAAAGACTCCAAGTCTCGCCTTATCATAAGCACAACTGCCCAGAGGGCGAAGGAAAGGGAAGCGGAAAGAGAGCTCGAAAGCTTCATGGATTCCCTTTCTGACCGTGAGATGATTGAAGAAGCCAGAAGGGCGTGGCAAGATCAGAAGTAGTGGTCGAGGAGGTGGTAGGCGTCAGTAGTGAGGATGATGGCTGTAGTTAAGGAAGCACAGGTGAGTCGCAGCCAATCTGGATCCAAGCAAATCAGCAATGAACCTGATGAAAACGGATGAAGGTCGGATACACGTCGCTGCAGTCAACAGGAAAGTGTAGCCAAGGTGGAATCTCTGTGATAGGATAGGACTCGGTGGCAGCTCATAGGCACCGCAGGATGATAAAAGAGTAGGTCGAGCGGGAACAGCGGCATCGACAGCGAAATACCTGGGACTCTGCTCCTTATATGCTTCTCGAAAGAGAGGGCTTTCGGACTTTTCAGCTTGGGACTTGATAAATTCTGACTCTGTGCGCTTCGTTTCATTTGCTTGTCCATACGCCCCAGGTATCCGAGGCTAGCGCGTTCCGGTCCGCGCCTGATTCATCCTTGTGGTCATGAATATCCTCACGATACTCGTGGGCTTGTCTGCTCACACGGAGTGCCTTGCCGAACCCAGTCTCCGATGTTCGACTTACTCTTGCAAGGGTCTAACTTGCACATGATCCCGTCATTCCAGGCCAAGCTCCTGCATAGTCGGCATCCCGTCTCTCCAAGGCCTCGGCTCACCGTCGCCGGGCATTTCGAACCCATTCGGTAGCTGTACTTTGGGAAACCCATCTCTCTTCCAAACGTATACCTCGTCGAGATCGAGGCTCTCAAATGCACCTGGCATTGAGCGCGTCTTGTCGTCGTCGCTTTCTTGCCGCGGCACAGCCCACTTGCTGCGTACCTCGTGCGCTCTGTCCTCGTCAACAAGCACCAAAGCTCCGCTGTGCCAGCCTGCAGCTGCAATAGCAATTGGGAAGTAGGATCCGAGATTTGCGTAGTCCCCTGTAGTGTGGTTCTCTGGTGCCTTGGCAAGTGGCTCTGTGATCATCTTGCTCGCAGGTCCTTCCTCCCAATGTTTGCCTTCTTGCTCGACCCACTCGCTGAAAGCAGCTTGCTTGACTGTATCAGTGTCCCAGATATGACGAGCTGGCTGGCCGTTGACGGCGAGATGTGGTTGGGTTAGCTGGTCTTCCATCCATTGCAGCCAGTCCTTCCGTTCAGGTTCAAACCAAATTTGACGACCACGGATGTTGGCGATAGGAAGCAGTTGAGCATCACTTCGGGGATTACGTCCTTCTCGACGCAGACCACGGAAACGACCACCCTGATCAGGGCCGGAAAGGCCTAGAGATCCACAGCTTTGAGAGTCCGTGCCGTATGATGTGATTTTGCCGTCAGCGTGCAGGGCGTGGTAGTGGTAGTCACCATAAGCCAGTGCTATAACGCCCGTGCGCTGCATGGCGGGCACGTCCTGAGGTCTGGAGGCAAGCAACGCCGTCATGGTAGACCAATCGTTTGTCGATAATAAGTCGGGATGGTGTCGGACGGCTTCACCACAACGTCTGATGTAGCTCGTGTCACCCGCAAGGACTTCGCCTGTGGCTGTGAAAACGCCAAACCTATGAAACTGGCCTTGAACATCCTTCAATTCACGACCTGGTCCGTCGAAACCCGGTAGTTCGAATGGAGGGTGAGTTGGACCCGGCTGATCGGGGTGGTCGACGTGCAGGGCACATGCGTAGATCTTGGACTCGTTCGTGATCCAGACGACATATTCTTCAAGAACGACGTGCTTAAGGACTTCCACGTCTCCAGTCTCGGTTCTTCGCCTGGCGGTTCCTGGAACAACCTTCTCTTTAACTTCTTTTCCATCCAGCATTTCGTCTGAGTGGTCATTTTGAATTGGAGTCCAATAGACAATACCTATCTCTGGCACATAGGCAGAGCTCTCTGCCCAGCCAGCAGCAACTCGAACGGGCTTTCCACCAAAATCAGTCCCACTCCTTGAGAAGACCATGAGACCTTTCGCGTTGATTCTGTCCCAGGAGAGAATTTTCCCATCATCCGTGAGTGCCAGAATATGGCGACGACCTGAAGAAAATTGGCGGATCGCGGAAGTACTCTGAGTTAGATACTCGAGTTGCTGAAAATGGTTGGAAGATTCGCCCACCACTCTGCCGTCCATGGAATCTATTGAACCAGTGGTGTACAGCTTACCATCAGAGGACAAAATGGTAGTGGACCAGCCTCCACATTGGAGATCGGCTATCACCCCTACGTCGTCGTCGATATGAGCTTCTGTAGGCCAGCTGGAGGAAGTTCGCTGGAAAGCAGCCCTGCCAGGATAAGGGCGTATCTGGTGAGGACGTGCGGGGATCCGAGGGAGGACCCTCTGGGGGAGATGAGGCGGCAAATGAGTCGGCGGTCGGCGAGGCACCGAAAGAGCTCTTCCAGGCCCCAAGCTCCCTCTCAATCCTTGACCCCAGGTATAAAGCCGAGTCTGGGTCTTGAGTCGTTTGTATAGCCAGTACCAGCGAGGGCCATCGGCGGCAAGAAGGGGGCTAATTGGGAGGCGGAACGTATTCGAAGCCTCGTGTCTCCAATAAACAGGATCCTGTCGATATTTCGAGTATACAGCTTTCGAGGCCCGACAAAATGCGAGGTAGTCCTTCGGATCCAGATAGGCTAGGACGATGGGAAGAACGTCGTCGGGAAGTTCGAGGAGAGGCATCTCTGCCAGATTCGAGCATCACCTTACAGGCAGGATGTAAGGAGAGACAACAGAGACTATACAGCAGGGAGATGAGCAGGCATCAGGCGAACTCGACTTCACATCACACCAGGTTCTACAGCAGGTCTGGACGGAGGATGATGTCATTAAGGGGGCTGTCTTGGCGCCAGGCGCTGCAGGGGCCCAAGCCTCTGGCATGTTCAAATCATGGGTGACTCTACTTGCAGGAGTTTGATATTTTAGTGTGGGGTGCCAACAAACACCTGCAATCGCCTCAATCTACCGCCCTCTCTATCCTTCAAATCGCGTCTGCTCTTCGAGTACTGCCAACGTTACGTCCCCATTCAGTCTTCGCATCTCTCGTAAACATGGCGGACTCCGGTGATGCCAAACCTACTCCCTCGGCGGATCAGACTGCCTCGTCCGAGTTGAGACCTGCCGAACAAGAGACCAATCTCGTGACGAATCCTCTGGGTAATCCTTCGTCTGAAGCCCCGGCAACTGATGCCCAAGACACCAAATCTACCACCTACACCGAAACCGCTGCCAAAGCCGCGACCACTGCCGCGAGCACTGCCAGCGCAGCCGCAAGCGGCGTCAAGGACTCCGTCTTTTCCATGTTTGGTGGCGGAGCCAAGAAAGAGCGCAAAGTCGACGAGGATGACAATGCAAAAGATGAACCCAGCGGCAGTTCCAAGGCCCAGAAAAAGGAGGATGATGACGATGTGAGATCTACACCACCCATGGCGAGGAAGGACGTGCACTGACCATGTTGATGTATTAGGACAAGGCCGAGGAGGAGGAAGTAGACGTCGAGTTTGAACCAGTAGTCCGACTGACCGAGAAGGTCGAGACAAAGACCAACGAGGAGAGCGAGGAGCAGGTCTTCAAGATGCGTGCTAAACTGTTCAAATTTGACAGAGACTCGAAGGAGTGGAAGGAGAGAGGCACTGGCGATGTCCGATTGCTCAAGCACAAGGAGAATGGCAAGACACGATTGGTTATGCGTCGCGACAAGACTCTCAAGGTCTGCGCAAACCACTATGGTATGTCATCGCTTGCGTGGGGTGCTCGCTGTTGTATGGATTTTTGCTAATTTCCAAAATTAGTCACCCCTGACATGAAGCTTTCACCAAACGTGGGCAGCGATCGCAGCTGGGTCTGGAATGTTGCGGCTGATGTCAGCGAAGGCGAGCCAGAGGCCCAGACTCTGGCAATCCGGTTCGGAAACAGCGAGAGTATGCCATGCTCCTGCGTCGTCCATTGCTCGCGTGCTAACCCGTTGCAGATGCGAATCTCTTCAAGGAGGCGTTCATCAAGGCTCAGCAAGAGAACGAGTCCCTGTTCCAGAAGTCATGATGATGCATTAAACAACAGAAAGCGGGGGATGTGTGATGATTGATCCAGCATGGAATCTACAGCTACCAGCAAGCAAAGCAATGCAGAGCAATGGATATGGAAGGAGGATGCTATTCATGGTTTGATGTGGACTGATACCGTCGTACCACCTGAGCTTTAGATAGAGATGAGTCCCGTCCAGAGGCCGCCCTTGGCAAGATTTGAAAGGAGATGTGAAGGTGCCACTACGACTTAGCTCGTCCTCGCCTCAAAAACAAAAAATTCTTATAAACTCTCACTTCTGACCTGACGTGGTGCTATCACCTCGGCTAACTTGCCATCCTTGATAATTATATATACAGCCCACTTACTCTCTGGATCGATCCACTTAACAACGTTTGTGAACGGCAAAGCATCTTTCCACCCAAGTGCGACAACCAAGTTGCACCCCTTGTTCTCAACACCTTGTATCAGAGTGTGGCCTCTCCTGACATCGCGACATTTCCTCGACTCAGTCGTCCTCACCTCGTCGGCAACCGGGTCTCACAAGTCTCTCGGCTCTGACTACGTCCTCACCAGCCCCGACCCATCGGATCTCCAGACCCCACCCTGTCGTGGTTTCTTTAGGTTCAACTAACTACAACATCATCATGCCGGACGTAAGTCTCAAATGTCGCGCTCTTTGCACATGGCGACGCGACTAACACTCATCACAGGTCAAGAGGAGCATCAAAATTGTGACTGAACAAAAGATCATGTGCGTGAATTTTGAGACCCAACTTCCACTCACTCCTGCCTCACCCTCGCATATCTACAGTCTCAACCTGCCACGACCGACCCTTCAGCGCTTGCGTTCGCTTGCCTGCTACTTTTCATAAGGCCATGTTCTGACACCGTGTTTACAGACCCGGCGCAGACAGTGGAGTGGAGGGCTTCCCCTTAAGACACTGGTCCATGAGGATTTTCCTTCTTCATGCAGATACCAAGCAAGAGATCGATGCGGACATCTTTGAGTCGGTAACATACATTCTCCACGACTCATTTGGTGACAAGGCAAGACAAGGTATGTACCTGGCGCAACAACCTCTTTCGCAGCCGGTGTCAAATTACTGACGACTGGCGATCGTGACAGTCTTCAAGAAGCCCCCTTTTCGCGTCGCTGAAGATGGATGGGGCGAATTCGAACTGCAAATCGACATGAAGGATCTCAGCGGCAAGGTTCACAGCATCATCCACGACCTCAACTTTGCCAACCCCCGGTATGAGACCAAACAGATCATCACCTTCAAGAACCCGAAGGGTGCCCTTCTCGACGCGTTGCGCAATTCTGGCCCCATTCCAGGAGAAACTGCTGCCAACGGTACGGAAACTGCTGGGAAGAAACGCACGAGCGAGATCGGCGGAACACAGCAGAAGAAGAAGAAAGCAGACAGCAAGGCGATTGACATGGACAAGCTGGCGGAAGGCCTTCAGAAGCTTGGTGAAGATGATCTCCTCGTGGTTGTACAGATGGTGCACGATAACAAGAGTGACGACTCGTGGATGCGCAACGATGCCGAACGTACGTGCAAACTCCAACCCTTCTCGTCTGTGTTTTCGGCAAATACATGGTTACTGATACTTGTTCCTAACAGAGGGTGAATTCCATGTGGATCTGTACACTCTCCCAGAGAATCTTATCAAGATGCTCTGGGACTTCACCACCGAGAAGAATGCCATTTCGGCATCGGCATAGCCAGGCTGTCAAACACCGTGCCTTCTGCATACGGGTAGAGCAAGGATGGCTCCGCATTCTCTGGCCGGCCCAAGTCTTATCTGACTCTTTTCTGGATCTTGAGCTTCGATGGCGAGGCGTCTTTTCGTGGCAAGAGAACAGGAAAATAAAAAGGGTTGGATCTTGTACCATCACATCTATGAACGACTCAGGCATGATATGGTCCGGGGTTTCCCATATGCCGACCTTTTGTTGCGTCTTGCACCACTCCCCTGCACACCTCTCTGAACATTTGGGAATGAGCCTGAACCAAGTGTTTCTGCGCTCCTGTCAACATTTCCAGGGGAGAGGCACTGGGGCATTCCGTGGAACAACGAGGGTGGTTTTGATCTTGTTTCTCTTTTCTTGTTTTGTTTCTCCTTTGCGCAGCGTCTCGGTGGGATGGCATGGCATGGCATGGCATGACGTGGTACGACTGCAACTTGCGACGGACGCACTGGGAGTTGGGAGGCAGGTGATGTACTCTACTATGGCGGCGAGGATTCTATTCAATTCATATCTCATGTGCCATTCATCCGCCAACCTACATAGCTGGTCGGCCGGACACCGCGATCGCAGTGCCTGCGAGCTGCCGGGATTGAAGGCAGAAGCTGAAAGAAACGCGGTGGGGGGAAAAGCATGCTCTCAAGGTCGTTGCATGAAAAGCGAGGTTTCTCTGACATATTAGGTGACAGACGACAGATATGAGCAACGTTCTAGGGACGAAACCCCCCGAAAAAGAAAGAACGCAGAGATGACCAAGCAAAGAAATGACATGAACTCATTTCGACGATGGGATTGATTTGATTTGATTTTTAACGTGTTTTTTTTTCTGCTTTTGTTCATTTGGGGATATGCAGTAGATTTTCCCCTGAATCCCCGATATTGCAGAACGCGAGTTCTTTTCCCCCTGCCAGTCAGGTACCTGGTAGGTATCCAAAGGTCTAATTGCGCTGTGGCCGCATCACATCACATCACATCTCAATAACAGCCCGCCCCGAGTCCTCATGTACCGATGAATTGATTGATTGATTGATGGTGGTGGTATCTACGTAAATGGATCGTAAGTGGTGATTTCCAAAGCAAGCTTCTCGGCTTGACTCCCAGGGTTTTTTTGTTGTTTTCTTCAAGTTGTTTTCGAGGGAACAGCGCCCAGTGCTTTGGCCGACTGGTGCGATCGTGACTTGTTCTGTGCTGCGCTGTGCTGGGCAGCCGCAAGTATGTACATAGAAACAAGGCCCAAGGAGGTCGAGAGGCCGGCCGACATGTGTTGTCCTGTGTTGTCGTTGGTATCGTAACGGAGACGTGGGGCGGCTGCTGGAAAGCGCAGATACCCCAGAGTGGATGGATGGCTTGACTGAGAAAGCACCATCTACCTAGGAATCTCCGGGTCTTCGGGTAAGGGAGCGCCAAGTTCGGATGTCATTACTCGTAGAGAGGGTTTTTTTCGGAGAATATTCCAAGATCAGCGCTGTCCATTTTTTGCTGTCGGAGCAACAGAAAGGTGGGCGGGATCTTGAGTTTTAAGTCGTTATGACGATGGATTAATATGTGGTGTGTGTGGAAAAGAATAGCATGCTTTCCAACATGCTTGGTATCAACTCATTGAATCACACGGTTTCTGTGGGAATGGGGATCAGCTTCAGTGCCTTTCATCACCAGGAGGAAGGCCCATGTTTACTCACTGTAGCAGCACACCTTCCAAGCCCTCTGCCCTTGCGCCTGATACCGTAGCAAAGACATCTCCAGCCTTGTAGGCCAGGATAGCGGGGATCTCGACCGTCTCCATCTCCGCAATCTCGTGGTGCAACTTGATGAAGCGGGTGGTGTTGTGCTTGTATGCAAGCATACTCAGCTCGTCTTCCACCGCAGCACTGGCACTCGACGAAGGATCGTAAATCATGACGACGACGACAGTCTCGTTGGAGACCTTTTCGATCGCGTCCAGGTAGCCGTTCGCGTCCACTTCCACGAACCTGCCCCAGGTGCGTTGGCTGGGGGAGTGTCGTCGGTGAGAGTTGTAGGCGGACTGGGACTGGGAAGAGAGCTCTTGCAGGCGGTTTGCTCGCCATGCTTTCATGAATTCCGAATCGGCCTCGTCATCCGAGAGGGTCATGTTCGTGTCCGAGTTCGAGGAAGGAGTTGATTTGGGCGATCCAGAAATAATGGTTTTGCGCTTGTCACTCTTCTCTGTGACGGTTGGGATCGCTGCTGCTTTGCCATTCGAGGTCAGGTTGTTGGCAAAGCTGGTCAATCGCTGCCGAAAGGTTGACTGTTTGGCACGGGCAAAAGATTGAGCATCTGCAATGACTCCCTTGGGGCCGGTGTTGGCATAGTGCACTTGTGAGGGCAGATGGTAGGTGGTCTTTGTGGTGGTCATAGTCGCCATGTTGCCGGCGGTGTCGTCGTCTGTACCAGGGTCAGACAGGTTGTCAAATGCAGGTTCAGGCTCAGCGTCGACGTCCGATCTGTCTTCGTCGTCGTCGTCGCGATCTTCAGGATGAGAAGTCAGGTGGTCACGGTGGGAGAAGTAACGGTCGGCCTCCTCACGGGCGAGGTCGGCCATGTTGTATATGAAGCGCCTCTCCCCTCTTTCGCTCAATAGCCTGTTGTTTGTAGGGCGGCAGGGGTGGGCGAGTGGAGAGCGGTTGAATGTTGGATCGTGTCAGAACGATAGCAGTTGGCGGAGCCGGTTGGTCGGTGTCTCTGTGACATAGGTAGGGTAGGTAAGGGGGGTCCAAGAGGCCCGTCTCAAAGTTTGTTAGACCCTGCTGGTGCTGGTGAGACGATGAGCTGGAGTTGATCAGCTCAAGAAAAAACAAATGCGGCACCAGTAGTGCGACTTAATGACAATGTTGGCAGTTTGAAAAGAGGTTACGTGGTGGAGATTGGGCGGAACGATGGGAAACTTGTCGTGAGACCAGAATGGACGAGGCAACGCCTGAAACACAAGCCTAACAAACCCTAGCGAGGAACCACGGCAGGACGGTGGGTCTAGACCAGGCTGAAAGCTCTTGGGCATGTAATCGTATGGACTGTGGCCTGCGGACCGGCAGGGCGGTGTTCATGGAATGCGGCAAGTTGAGTGCAAAGAAATGAATGAAATGAGTTGTTTAGAAGGAGAGAAATAATACACTGATAGGGGTCACCACTGTACACTTGTATCTGCCAGATCGAACGAGGAGCGATGGCGGTTCTTCTGGAGAGCATGAAACTTGTTGGCTACTTGTCACATTCGTCTCCTGATGACATAAGCGTCACACTGCTTCTGACAGCGGCTGCGGCGACAGTGGGCGAGGTGAAGGATGAGATCATGGGCTCCTAGCAGCTATGCATACTTGTGCCTAGCCCAAATGTAGGTACGGGTAGTACCTAACTTCTAGGTGCTTAGGGTACCAAGAGTGCCTAGCAAGTAGCAGCAACTAGCAGTTACATAGTTAGAACTTTGTTCCGGGTCTCTTCTGCCGATGCCTCCCGTCCGGCTGGATCTGCCAGATGCCAATCGTCCACTCCACACACTCAATGCCACTTGTTGCTTATATGGGTCAGACATTCCTTTGACCTGTCGATCTCGGACTTCAACTACCCTATACCAACCCGGGTAGCTCGTTGTTCAAGGTACTATAACCCTCAATGTCTGCTGGTCCTGACAAAAGTGAGTTCCCACTCAAGCCAACGGCCTCTCCTAAACCACCAGCACAGATAGTCACGGAACTTTTTCTATAGAATCGAGCACAATCCAGTCTCCGATCTTGTCCCTTCCGAGTCCTGCCTGGGCTATACCGGACAGAAAATCTCTCCCTCTCTGGCCCCCCCAAAGATTCATTGACGCATGGTCGATCAGTGGAGCTCCAAGTCAGCTTGGGAGACTCACTAGACCCGTAGCTATCTTGTCCTGCCAACTGTCAATATCCGTGCATTTTGGCCCCTGAAACTGCACCCATATTGTCGATCATCCTGTTAGTCATTTACTTGCAGGGTTTCAGCTCTTCTGTGCCCCGGTTCGAAGGATACTCTTCGATGAAAATATCGATTCACATCAATGACTCTTTCATTATTCGACAAGGGCCCAATGCCAACGGCGCACAGTTCTGCACAAGATCATAGAGGCAAACAGGGCCGACACTCGAGTATTCAAAATTCCTTGATCCCTTGATCCGGCGGACTTCGTGGTTTATGCCTAGTCCGTCTTCCAGCACCCCATCCAGCATTGACAGTTGTCAGTAGATCATCGTCTCGAATCTTACGATCCGCGGACTTCAATCGCCTCGCAGGTGGAGCTTGTTCAACGTCGTTGTTTGGCCTGCCCTTCCCGGATCCCTTTTTCCTCGATGCAGCCAGTTTCTCCCGCAACAAGATTGCTTCTTCCGGGTCCTCATAGCCTAGCTGCGTCATGGGCGGTGCCGCATCTTGCTCCGTTGGGAAACCGACATTTCTGGGCATATCCGGGTCATCCATCTCCAATGGAGCTGATTTGAGCGCGGCCAGGGTCTGCTTTGCACGGCCAGTGAAGTTGAAGGTGCCTTTCTCAGCTGTAGATGCGCTCTCACCGCTCTGGGTCCCGACTGATTGTATGGTAACAATCTCGCTACCCATTCCGTCCGTGTTGATACTGTCAATAGAACTGGCTCTCGAGCACCTCACATTTGAAGCCGTTGACGAGTTAGAAAGATTACTCAGTGCTCGCCCGAACAACCGGTTCTTTTTCTTCAGTGGATCGCTCTGATTGCTGCCGGCAGACTTTTTTCTAGAGTGCTCGTTCAGGATGTCTCGGATCGCACCATTGATTGCTTCGATATCTGCGGTTTTGCCGTGGAGTTCAGGCCGGACACCACTTCTTGAAGGCGCCGGAGCATTCTCTTTCGATGTCGAATCGTCCGTTCTCGAGATACCGTCCAGGGTGTGAATCACGGGTGGCTTGTTCACCAAGCGTGTGTTTCTGCCATTCGGAGACATTACCCGGAGCGGACAGTTGTCATCATCATATGAGCGTTCTTTTGTCTCACTTCGTCCCGAAATACCATTCGCGCTACTAGGAGCGGAGGGTCCTTCTTTGGCCTGCTCAGATGTCTCTTCCGCCGATTGCTGCTGGACATCCAGACGAGGGCCTGATTTCTCAACCGGTTTCTCTGGCATATGTCTGTTCTGTGTTCCAGTCCCGGCTGGCTCGGACTCTAGGTTCGCTTTATGGTCGCCAGGATTTCGTGGGAGAGGAATTGTGCTCACTTCGACGTAGTCTTTCGATGCGCTCCTTTTGACTGCTGGTCTTTCACTCTCCGCTGGACCCAGTCGAGCTTGTCTAATGAGATAGCTTTCAACATTTGCCTTGTGCTCGTTCTTGATCGTGGACCACAACCATTCCTCAGTGACAGCGGGGATGTGCAGATGTTGTGCCAGATCAAGCTTGTCCTTTTTAGCATTGCCAGCCTTACAGATCAGTATTGAAACTCCAGCAGCAAACATCTGCGAGTAAGTCCCCCCCAGTAGTGTGACAATCTTTGAGATATGCATGGCTTCTAGTCCGTCGAAGCCGGTCGCGTTGATGGTTAGATCCTTCAAGCATAAAAGGGGGGCACTCAGTATTTGCCCAAGCGGATATTTGACGGGGTGGATGAAAGACTTCGCAAGCATGCATTTTTCAAGCCAGAGCTCTGACACCGCCTGGGAGGCTGCCTCGATGCGTCCATTTGTCGTTGAACCGGACTTGCTCATATCATGGGGCTGAATGACAATTATATTGTTTGGTTCGATACCATTGAGATCGTCTCCCTCATTGATGATTGTCGCACCGTACTCGACTAACACATTTCGAAGATGTTTTCTCTAGAGTGTTGTAAGCAAGGAGCGGGGACAGCAGAGCCAGGCAAGACGATGGCCTACCTTCTTCTCTTCGAAACCTTTTACTATAAACAGGCGACCAGTTAGGAACCCTAAACTTGCAGTTTTCGTGCCGGGAGCAGGCTCCCCGTTGATGAGGTCGGCTTGATGATTGCCAGCAGCAGTTGCTGGTCGTGCAATCTCTCGAAGGCCAGGCATCGAGACCGAAGGCTTCAGCGCCGGACGCTCAACCTTTTTGGCCTCAAATCCAGCACCGCCCACAATGTCCGACCACATATCTTGAGTCTGACTCCCAAACTTGGCACTTGCCGTCCTCCGGAGCTTTCTCAAGGGCTCTGCACCGATATTATCTTCCCTCGGGCGTTTGCCCAGCTGAGGAGAACCCCGAGCTTTTCGATTCCATGCCCCAAGACCTTGTTCGGGAACAGGAACAGTAGGATGGTAGAGTCGCTCATCCAATTGCATGCCTCTTTCCAGTGTGTCCTTGTACCATTTGAGACTGACGACCTTCTTCTGCCATTGCATACCATATTCATACTTTTTGCCCTCGGGCTTGGCGGCGATGAGGTGGGTTACATCCTTGGTCAGATCTCCCGTGTATTCTCCGCCATTCTCTTTGACGTTCTTCTGCAGCTGGGCACGAAAAGCAAGGTCATCAAAGCCTGTGATGCAGATTTTCAAACCGGCCAACGTGGGCATCCGATATTGCTGTGTGAGGGCGTCGAGGTCCAAAGGTAAGTCGTTGATCCAGTGGTCTCGAACGGCTTCAATCCACTCCGGGCGTAGCACTTTTATATCTTCTCGTTCTCGAGCCACGTATTGATATTTCAAGGTGTCCGTGCTACCGACAATGAGATGGGTTGTATCGGAAGTCAAGTCGAGCTTGTGTTGGGCTCCCATCTGTATTGCAATGTCGGCATATCGACTCTATGGTCTTCGTCAGCATATAATCCGAAGTCAACCGTTTCAATTTGCTGACTCTGTCCTCTGGGCCGACTGAAGTAAAACACAGCATTACACCTTGGAGCGGTTGCTCGGCCGATCCTAAGGAACACAGGTTAGCAAGTCAGCAAAACTCCGCTGATGGAAATACGTACCCCGAGATTCGATTCTTGCCATACTGCATGGTAAGCATGGGTCACAGAGTCATACAATCCTACTCTCCAGGGAGTTGTCTCGAAGTATCGGCCTGCGAAACTATCAGCGAGCTTTGGCGGCGCCATCAACGTGGACGCGACGGGGGCGCGTCCTGCTGGTACAGAAACTTAGCCGACGTGGGGTCCACATCAGGGTTACGGGCGCTTGGCAGTGTGGGGTTTCTCCGTCGTGCCCCTGATGCCCTGTTGCACTGACGTCCCCTCACTTGTTATGACGTCGTGCTGCATTTGGTGGACGAGACTATTACCTGAGTGTCATCTCGTGCATCCGCCGTGGCTTTCTATCGATCTTGAAGCTAACAGTAAGAAAGCAGATCAGATCTCCTCCATTCTATGGATTCTAAATCTAAAACCAACTACGTATCTCGCCAACAGTTCATGAATTCCCCTTTAGGGACTTTGTGTGCTGCAGGCCGCAATAGAACAGAATCACCTTCAATATGGGGATTTTGCCTTAGTGATCACGTGCAGCCGACTTGTAAACTACCTGAGGGACTCGTGACAGGAACGGAAAGACGGAAACTATGCCAATCTCGCCATTCAAGACCCTACAAGTATATCCCAGGGGGAGCTGTGGAGAGGTGTGAAAAATAAATAAATATCGCATGACATGTCATGCATTTTGCACCACATGGCAACCGTGACGGGGCCGTCCGGTGCGTAATCCACGACAGTCAGTCAGATCTGATACTGGGTAAGCGAGCCGAAGAAGCCGCTGACTTGCCCAAGGGCAGACTGAACCCTGAAACCCACACGGAGAGCGCCTTCCCTTCCATCTGACAACGACCCTCAGGGTCTTTTCTGGAAATAAAAATCATGCCCACGACCGACGGGGCAGAGCGACAGGGCGGATGGTAGATACTTGTAGAAGTGACTAGTCGGTGTAACAAGCGAATCCTGACTCATAGGAAAGCTGACCTCTCCTGCAAGGCAATCCTTCCGAGGACGAGCTCGGAAGTTGCTCAGGCCCAGCCAAACGCGTAATTCCAGAGCATCTGTATGCAGTCTGGAGAGGTCGACGGCCGCTGGCTGGACCATTTCTGTGGAGATGATGTTTATGCAGGGTCAATACCAAGAATGACAGTGCCAGAGGCATAAGAATAAGCCATAGAGCCTGTGGCAGCGACTGCATTACAAAGAATGCAGGGTCAGTGACTCAGTGTGCACTAAGGCGTTTCGTCCTGAAATGCGGTTGTCGTTATCATCTGACATATGCTCCTTGTAGGGTATAATTCGTTAGTGTGAAATAGATCTGCTCATCCGTATTTAGAGAAGATGATGTGCAAGGCACAGGGGCTTCGGGAGACTGTGCCTGGACCCTGGGCTTGTTTTTCCGCTGTAGGGATTGTACGGTAAAATACACCGTAGTTGCCGGTGCTGTAGCTGACTCAACTCACAATTGTGACCCTTCCCCAAACTCCTGGTCGTTGAAAGAGGCAAGTACAAGCGGGGCATGGGCAAGGAAAGGGAAAGGAAGGTCTCGGAGAGCAATGACAAGCATGTAGTTTTCTGTGGTATTGTGGAGATGGTTTGTCCTCAAGCTTAGACCCAGATTCATAAAACGGACGGGATATGGTTGGGCGGCGAGTCATTGATGCCTCGAACTTTCTGCCCAGGCGGGATGACACGGGGGATCGTGAGGCCGCAAACCTAGGCATTGGGAACATTTGAAGCTCACAAAATTTGGATAGATGGAACACCGTCACAATCCGAAAATCGGCATGCCGTTCCTAGTATACCACCTTTTAACTGGAATCATACATCAAGGCCACCCATTCGATGACCGAACAGACACGAAATACGCAGTATTGGCGGAGTCGGGGAGGCGACGTGGCTAGCACGGGATGCGGGAGACTCGGCTTTTTATTTTCCTTCTTCGTGCCTTTTCTTTTCGGTTGTCAGTTGCTGAGGGGCGGTTGCTAGCTGTCCCACGACATCCGAGAGGATGAGCAGGTTGGAAGGGGCTCAGGAGGAATGATTTGAATTTTGCATTGCTTTTGTGGCGACCAACAGTATGGATGATGCCAAAGGGATGTGCTCTGTCCATGGTCCTGGTGACCCGCTGTGAACCATATGGTTCGATCATATCAAGACAGCAAGGGAAAGAGAAGTGGTCAGACGCCCAATTTGGCTCTTCTCACATGTACTGTAAGATTGGGCATAATGCAAACTGGAATGCCAGATGTAAGTCAGGCACACGACATGAGTAAGATGTAGTTATTAAGTCAAGGAGCCACAGGGCCACGCCACTTGCTCTCTTTCTCTCTCCACTTCGCAGCGGACGCCAGATTGCTGATCAGCAGCTGCTCTGGATCAATATCCGCCGAGCCGATTCGAAGGCAACCCGGTTGCTTGTTGAATCGAGGTGTGGGAGACTTGAAAAGAACAAGGTCTGCAGAGGTGGGGAGAGGCTGTCCGTGCGTCAAAACGATCCCCACAAGAAACCGGCTTCTGGAAGTTTGAAACGGGAGAAGATCATTGATGCTTTATATCATCGCCATCATCAACTGACGGACTGACGACCAACTGACGAAACAAACCACAAAGAGTCCCCCACCCTGCCGAGTGACGCCCACTACCCCCCCCAAGTTCAACCACCGATCCACCCACCACTTAGTCAAGGAAGTGCCTGGCGAGCTGGGAGTCTGGGCTTTTGGTTACCCACCGAGCCTAAGCTGCTTCGGAGCACCTGAGGCCTTTTGCTTGGTTCTCCGGGCCGGGCGTGCCACTCTCTGCTGTCAGTCCGCGTGTCATTTATTCCCACCATCTCATCCTCAATCATCATCATCCACCGTTCCGAGCAGCCCAGGACCACAATATCTCACTGGGAGGAGTGCTCTTGAAAACCCAGTCTGTCTCACTCTGGTCAGTGAGCACCACTTCCTTCAGTTCGTCGGGCTCCTTCATCTCGACCTTTGATTCCCGCCCTCTACTATATCACCCACACACAAAAGCAATGCGCCAATGACACCCAAGAGGGTCATTCCGGTGAACGGCACTCCCTGAACCCCGACTAGTTCCTCACGCTGCAGTTCTCCATTCAGCTGAATGGTTGCTGCTGCCACATTAGGTGCGTTCTCTCCACGCCTCCAGAGCCAAGCGCAAAAGCAGGTCAGAGTTCAAAGCTCGTTCCCAATAATTCAAATCAAAGTTGCGGGTTTGGGGAAAACAACGTGAAGTTGGCACTTACACAATTGCTCACGCTCCCCCTCCCACGGTTAATCCTGCTGCGTGCTACGGATTGCCCACTACCATCAACTACATCTCCCAACCCTCCTTCTGTACTGCTCTACCAGCGAATCTGACAAGGATCAATTACAGTTACCTCGAGTCAACCAAGCCTCCGCATTCGTCTTGCTCTTCCTCCCTGACAAGTTGCATAACCTCTGTTCCGCTCGTCACCACCACAAACCCGACCACTATATTGTCCTCTAGTTGCTCGCGAAGCTGGCTTTCTCACGGGAACACGCAAAACGATTCTTCAGACTCAACCTTCCTACGGTCTCTTCACAACCGGTTACTCTTCATCCGGTAGTACCTGATCGAGTGTCCCGACGAAGAAGTTCAGTGGGAACGGAGGACATGGTGTTCGCCGACGCCGGCAGGCGTTCACCCGAACGACGGGGAAGAAGTCCCAGTGTAGTCAGCGCTATAAGCCATCGATCCAGACACAACAGCAGTGCTCGAACTGCTCCTGCCCAACCCCCCTCCCCCGAGACACACCCTGCGGCGAACGTGACCCTCCTCGCAGATGAGAAGCCTGTTGCAAGCGGCAATGGCGTCTCTGTTTCCATCGCATTGGCGGAGCCAGTTCTGTTTCTGCAGGGGTTTGATGCCAATGATCCCTCTACCCACAGCACCACAATGCTTCGTGGGAGTCTTCTTTTGAGGGTGCAAAAGCAAGCGAAGTTGAAATCTATATCCCTGAACTTTCGGGGCAAGTCAGAAACGGAATGGCCGGAAGGAATACCTCCCAAGCGCGTCGAATTCCGAGACACCACCACAATCATGAACCATACGTGGTCGTTCTTCAATGCTCAGATACCCCAGGCCGAATATAGCTACGGTGCAGACATTGTCCAGCTCTCCAAGGGTGCCTCGGTGGAATCGAAAGAGGTCGGCGTTACGGCATCGTCATTTGACCTCTTCCAGCGTAGTGCCTCTCCCGCCAAAGGGCACCCAACTGCCCGAGACCTCAAGCGACTGTCCCTCCAGGCGAACCATTCGAGGAGTTTCGGCAAAGGGGACACGATCAATGGGGGGCCGACCGTCGCCCAAAGGGGATTTAAAGTGTTCCATCCAGGGGACTACGTCTACAATTTTGAGCTCCCACTTGACTCGAGGCTGCCCGAATCTATCAGTGTCGATCTCGGCCACGTCAAGTATGAGTTGGAGGCCCTTGTCGAGCGTTCCGGGGCCTTCCGTGCTAATTTGGTGGGCACGAAGGAGTTGACCTTGATCCGAGCACCCGCCGAGGGGTCTTTGGAACAAGTCGAACCTATTGCAATATCTCGGAACTGGGAAGACCAATTACACTATGATATTGTGATTTCTGGGAAATCCTTCCCGCTTGGCTCAACGGTGCCCATTGCTTTCAAATTGACTCCCCTCGCCAAGGTTCAATGCCACAGGATCAAGGTGTTCGTAACGGAGAACATACAATACTTTACAAACAACAAGAAGGTACACAGGCTGGAACCGACGAGAAAGGTGCAACTTTTTGAAAAACGGGCCGATGGACATAGTGTGACATCCTACCCCGGAAGTTCAATGCGTATTCTAGCCGGTGGTGGTGTCCCCTATGACTATCGCCAACGAGCTGCTGCTGGTGATGAAGATATCCCGCGAGACCAGACGAACTTGCTCGGCAACTTGGATAATGACGCCGGCAGTATTGGTCCCACTGAGATGGAATTCAACGTGCAACTGCCCAGCTGTCACCAGATGAAGGACAAACTGAGAAGCGAGCGATTACATTTTGACACCACATACTCCAATATTCAGGTCAACCATTGGATCAAGGCAGGTCTATTCCGTTACTTTCATGTACTCTGCGGAAACTAACCACGACTCTCAGATTGTGATGCGACTCTCTCGACCAGATGAGAACGATTCAACTAAAAGGCGGCATTTCGAGATCTCCATTGATTCGCCCTTCAACATTCTTTCTTGTCGCGCCACACAAGCCAATATCTCTCTTCCTGCCTACAGCGCCGGCGCTGGTGTTCCGGCCTCTACTGATGAGTTCGAGTGCGGGTGCCCAGGCGCTGCAATCAGAAGACGAAATACGCCACCCATATCCCAGAGCCGGATTCAGTCTGTCAATAACTCAACAGATTTTAGTGCTCCAGCGCCCGGTGTAAGCCGAAGCTGGACGAATGACTCGGGTGGCTTGACGATGCCGACGCAGGCACACGTGCACAACGACCCTAATGCTGGACAATCCAGACCTATCCACTTGCTGAGAAGCCCCTCGTTCAATCCACCCGCCTTTGACGACGACGAACCACCTCCACCTTTGGTCACTCCGCCTCCCTTGTACGATAACATTGTCCCTGGCGATTCGACAAGCGCATTGGCGGATTATTTTGCCCGTCTGGCAGATGAAACTTCTGACGAAGACGATCGCTTGGATCGGTCACGTGTAGACTATCCCCTTACTCCGGGAGGCCGGGTAAACAGGAGTATGGATATTCCAAGGAACTGGATGCCGCTGGGCACGGCAGCCAACACTGAATCGGCTCCATCAGGACTGGCATCCTCGACGTCAGTAGCAAATTGAGCGATTCGCTTGTTAGTTTTGGTCATCAACCAAAATGGTATGATTAACGAGAATGGAGGAATTTATCACGAATTTTGCAAACTGCATCTATGCTAGCGGGGCCTTCATATTTGGACCAAATTCAGGTTGGAACTGCAAGCAGACAGGTGTTTAACGAGATTTGATGACGAGGGAACCAGGCTGAGTTTCTTCGACAGGGGGCGGTAGGAAAAGATTGTCCTACTATCTGTCCGTAGCAGCTGAGAAGCAGACTTTTGTACTTAAATGTGTTTTCTGTCCAAGTCCAACCTCAATTGATACATGTGCTTTTATCACCACAAAATCAAGACGGATGGATGGATGGCACTCAGGGCGGAAGACTGGTAGCGGACGAGGCTTGCCACAAGCAAACATGCCAAGACCAAATGCTCCATCGCGGTCGGCGTGTAGCTACTGCGATGGATTTTTGGAGCTGCGAGTTTTGCTTAGCCAGACATTCACTTTTCTCTATTGTCCGTGCCGTGTGGTTGTCGTGGCAGATACTTGATGCATTGCGTGACATCAGACATGAATTGTTGATAGGCTTTCCTCACTCCGGTCGCGATCCAGCCATTGACTCCGTGCAGCGTCCATAATGGCGGCTGTCACTGCCAATTCAATGGCTCATCAGATACCTCCAATGTCCATCCCTACCATGCCACGCATACGCCCTCCTAGAATGTTAAAAGGAGAACCTCACCCTAATCAAGCTCTTCAACCAACGATCGTACCCAAAAAAGCCAATATAAAATGGGTTCAGGGCAAATGGCGGGCGGGAGGATCCAATGCGGCCAAGAATAAAGCAGCCACGCAAGACATTCAAGTTGCAAAGGCGCTCCGACATCAGAACCACGGTCTAGATATCTATGCCTACCGTCATATTCGAACTAATCAAGTTGTGTACAGCCTGACGAGGACTTTGCAGGTAACGGGCTCTTATGCTGCCACGCTCGCCAGTTGCTAACATTTTGGTTTCAGGAAACAAAAATCCTCAAGCAGCTGCTTTACCACGGCAAGAAGACTGTGCCTGCATCGATACGCCCGGATATGTGGACGCCATACTTCTCCATACACTTTCCACCTACTGCCGCAGGAGCGTTAGAGGGCCTTTTTACTTTCCAGAAACTCCGCGAGCTGTCGACGCAAAGACAACTATCACCGCCTGAAGACTTGATCAAAGCTACACAAGAGGACATAGATGTCGTGAAATCGAAGCTAGGATCTCCTGTGACTCTTCAGGAGATGGCCGTTCGTGATGGGCTCGTTGGGAAGATCCCCAAGCTTGACGAAATCCTGCCGAAGAAGTTACGGGCACGAAGATTGATGGATCAAAAAGCCACCAGTGTCGCCGACGCAGCATTTGTGCTTGACTGGATATCCTCGGGGCCCAGTCCTTGGGAGAAAGTGACGATGGTGGAAACAAACCGGCTGATAAACGCCTCGAAAATGACAAATCGAGCACGGAGGCGCATCAACAAGATACGGAAGGAGCTGGAAAGAAAAGCCGCAGAGATTCGAAAACGGGCGGCACTGGCTCTCCAGGATCTGCCCGCACACGAGCGGGCACTCCTGCCTCTCACGCGCAACACGGTCCAGCACCTCAGTATGGAGCACCACGGCATAGTCCGCGGACGTAGACTTGACGTTGTGGAAGGCGAAAACTCCAATGATCTGAAGGGGCCGAAGGAATACGATTCCGAACAGTTACGGGAAGAACTGAAACAGCAGAATTTTGATGTCTTCAGGCAACGCCAACAGGTCGCGAAAGCAGCGGAGCAGGAAGCTATGAAAGAATGGTTCAGTCGTAACGACGTCCCGGTCACCGAGGTCGGCTCGGTCTGGGAACAAGTTTCCGCCGCTAGAGAATCAGCTCTCAAGGCATTTGACGCCCAAGAAAGGTCCGACGGACAAGCTATGGAGAGTCAGACACCGACGTCGAAAGAACCGCAAGCGAGTACAGGCGCGAACCAGTCACACGGCACCATCTCGAAACCCGAGTGGGCCAGCAAACCGCGTGAAATCAAGATGTACTGGGCGGACTTGAATGACGGACTCTTCGCAACTTCCTGGCCACGAAATGTCGTCCACGGCGCCCTGGCACCTTTTGGCCTAGCGAAAGCTTGGAAGACGAAACTCGGACTTGATGACGAGGGCGAATTCCCGAGGGGAGAGCCGCAGCAACAATACCAGGCTGTTGTGTCCAAGAGCGTGCATGTTATGGGCAGCGGAGTAAGTGATGGGTGGATGCCCCAGGAGATGGCCAACGGACATACGCAACCGCCATTGTGGGAACAACCGCTGTCGACAGAGAACGGGGAAGAGACAGCGGGGTACCCGACTGAGCAGGCGGAGATGCAGGAGTTCGGAGCTGGCTCGCCTGAAGACAAAGTCGTATACAGGTCACCGGCGGAGCAGTATGAAGATGTGGTGGTTGAGACTAGGCCGAGGGGTTTGTGGGGACGGGTCAAAGGGCTTCTTGGTCGATGAATATCGAGACACAGTTGGCACGCAAGCGTCCTCGAGAGGTCGGAGATACGATCACTCCGCTCAGTGAAGGACAATGATACCCTGGTGGAAAGTGAGCAACCTGAGCGACGCGCGCGGGACATGTCCGGTAACAGCCGAGTCCCCTAGATTCTCAAAATGCTCAGCTCCTTGCGAGGCCAGGCAATAGGGCTCGCCGTGCTTACCTGTTCTGACTCTACCTTGGATTGTGGGATGGTGTATCAAAAGGCCGGTTGAATCTCTGCCTCCTCCCCTTCAACCATCTCGACAGAGTATTTGTGTATAGATATATAGGGCTGTATTACTACTATAACTACAGCCATTTGCGATTGCTCCTTCCCTCTCACAGACACCCTTAATTATCTGGGATCTATGTCTCCCAGTTAGATCTGACAGTCTAGCTCGTATATGGATACCTTTTCCTTGTGCTTCTGATCCCGGATCCAGAATTTTGAAAGCGGCAACGGAGCGCTGTATCAAGTTACAGAGGGCTCAAGGTTCGGAAGTGAGATTGCGCCATTATACAGTATCAGGTTACAGGCCCTTTCCTGCGCATATATTTCACCGTTACGCAAGGGCCCGGTACTGTACCTCTTTTACAGAGCTGTGTACAACTTGTACGTCCTGCAGACCAAGACCTTCTTAGCCTGATCAATTTCCGTCTCCTACAGATAAGCTTGAATTTGAAGCGGCCCCTGAGCCATAAGTAACCAGTCTTGTCCCCTGAATTTGGGTGATCTGGCAACGATCTCACATATCTCAACTGTGTTGGTAGCTCCCTCTTTTCTGAATGCAGTTGTGAAACCAACAGTGACTGGGTGGAAACGCCTGAACTGGTTGATTGTCTAGGGAAGATGCTCGAGCGCATTCACAAATCCCTGCCCAGGAACCGTTGCTGTCTGCTAAATACGGTCATGAGCAAATGATTATGGATTTCAAATTTGGGAAACCTTGCCTGTTGTTGGCCCTCAACAGACGTGAATGTCAGCCCATATCTCTCCCGCAACACTTCTTGATTTGATAGGATCTCTCCAATAGCGAAGAGGGCAGCGTTAATTCCCTCAACTTTATACGGATTCTGAGAGAGATATTTCTGCAGTTTCTCGTGGGTCTGCACCGATTCCTTATCTGATTTGACTTCGTGGCGATGAATCTACCAGTAGAACCCCCAGGCTTTCAAAATAGACTCCTGGATGCTCATATCACGGGCTGTAAGCCGCATGACATGCTCAGCTGATCTGACATCGGAGTAGAAAATATAGCAATCTCGACAAAGGGAGTAGAGTCCGACAACAGAGATAGCAAAGCCGACGGGATCCATCCAGTGACGGAGTTATTCGCCCACAGTTGCCTGGGAATGGGGCTGAGACGTTCAAACTGGAAGCTGTAATGACCATCAAGACTTAAAAGGTAGTTGTAGGGTGGAGCCAACAAACTCAGAAAACTTCGTGCAATTGTTTGTACATATGAAGAGTCAGCCAGGAGGGAGCGGCTCAGGCTTGGGTTTGGCAAGCGCGGGCTAAGTCGCCTGTTTATCAGGGCTGGACAACGTTCTCCAGATCAGGGTATCTTGAGCAACCCCGGCGTGACGTGGCCGGGGATGCCTTCGCGCAAGGGAGCGCGACGTGGACCAATTGCAAGTTGGATTGTCAATCTTGCCTCGCATCGGGTTTCGCTACAGCTACGCTTTTATGCTGCAGCCAATGTAAACGCGTGAAATCAATGTGCGGCTGAAAGATAAGAGAGTCTGGCCGGACGCTCCTACGGAAGCGCGGGATTTGATCAAGAAAAACGAGGATCTGGATCACGAGAAAACGAGGAGAACTGATCGATCGAAGAGAAATGGATAGGTAAATAGCTATTACAGTAAATCAGCTAGTTACGTCTCTTTTGAGGATAGACAAGTTAGTGCGGTTTTATATGCGGACATCTACATAAGCAGCAAACTCTGTTCATTGGTTGGACAAGGAGATCTGTGCTTAACGAGATGCAGCCTAGCTTCATTTCACGTTGTCCACAAATCATGGGGCCGAAACAATTCTGAGTACATATACAGTATATACTGTAGTGTATACATAGTGGGGAAGCCGGAATTGTAAACGACTGTACAGTAACAACAACAACACCGCTATCACTATAACTACCACTACCAACCCCTCTACATCATGTATGCCATAGTATTCATTGTTTGATTATTCGAGCCTCAGTACTTCTCTCAGAACAGCGCGCTAACTCCCTGCCTCATGTATAGATGTAGATAGGTATATGTATCTGTATACAAAGTACGAGTTAGAGTCATGTATAGATAGATAGATGGGTGGATGGAGAGATGGAGCAAGGGAGAGCCAAACCGCATGCCCGAGCCAATTGACCGTCAAGCCATGAGTGAGTGTTGTGGTACGGACAAGTTAGAATACACATACAGAACAACCAGAAATTGGGGGATGATGAGGGTAGTACTCGGTGCTATCCTATATACGAGGTATTCAAGGCTTCATCCACTAGCGACGCTGTAACCCTCATCTTCTGGTAGGAGGCTGTGCAACGTGCAATGCGCAATATCATTGCGGTTTTGATTGTACTATCCAGTGTACGCAACGCAAAACAGGCGCAAAAGGGGGTATACAACGCTTCCCGACAGGTGTGGTCATCCAAAGTCATCAATGCATAAATAGCGTATTCCTCGTCCCCCGAAGACTTTGGTCTCTGGTCGGAGGCCAATGCTCGTCCCTCGTGGTATTCATCATCCAGCGTGGTAATGATCATCCCCTTTCACCACTTCTCCACATTGTATATGCAACAGTCCACGATATATTTTTTTGCACATTCCGGGTCGTATGAGTCGTGACGAGGGTATAAACAGCTTCATCCAAATATTCATTGCCGCAGGCCGACTGGAAGGGATCAAATCGCTTGCTGACGCAGAACCAATGCAGCAGCACCTTCCAAAGTAGCCATGACTTTCCCTTTCTCCCGGTCTTTGTCCTTGGCCTTTGCAGCGAAGGCCTTCTCCACTTCGTTACGCCTGCTCAGCACACTCTTCAGTGCACCCAGCCATTTGTCCAACTCTTCCTCGCTCGGGGCACAAAATCTGTACGTCTTATCATCCGTGATAATCTGAAAGCAGAAATTCTTGGACTTGCTCACGGGGTCAATCTCGGCGGCGTTGACAATGGAGTGCATTGGTAGGATCTTCACGGCTGCATATTCTGCTTCGTTCTTGTAAAACGATAGGCTTCGTGAACGGAGTACAACCCAGATCCATTTCCACCCTTTGACACCCGTTTTGTGAGATTTCAGGATTTGTAGGTGACCTTGGCGGACAACGCGTTCTGGATCGGTAACGGATTCGGAATGTAACGGTGGTTGAGGTAATTGTACATTTCCTTTGGCTTCGATCTTGCCATTGAGTTGCTGCGACGAAGCAATCGGTGTCAAAGGCGGTTGTTGTTTGGCAAGCGACGAAGAGGAATTTTTGGGCAATGAACTCCCCATGGTATCCGAGAAATCGGAATGTGATGTTGTAAATTGCTCGTTTCCTGAATACTCCTGAAGATTCGAAGGCCGTCTTTGGCTGGTCGCGAGCAGTGACCCAGTCCTGGCTCGGTTCTGAGTGGCTCTCGGTTGTCTCTCAGGGGAGCCCGGAGCACGGTGCATTTCATCCGCTGAGATATCGGTAGACTCGTAAGTGTTTGATAGATCACCGGCCCTACTCGAGAGCTGGGGAGCCGTAAGATCCAAATCGTCATCCTCATCGGTCCTGGCTTCCGAGCGGATGTGCATGATCCAGTCCTCGGTGTCTGCCTCGGACATAGCTCGAAAATGATAGTTCTTCGAGGGGGAGAACACACCAAATACATGCTCGGTGTGGGCTTTTCGAACGCGGGCAACCGCCGTGACCTCGGACAAGGTGATGGAAGCTTTGAGATCAGTCTCGTCGGGATTTTGGTAGACGGACAAGAGATTCGGGCGGAGGACGAGGTAGGCCGGCTTCCATGACGGCTTCCAGGCTCCCTTGTTTTTGATCCGCCGGTACACTTTCCCGCTCTTGATCACACGGTCAAAACAAAAGCTCCCATTCTGGTCGACCGGGGAGAAGACGTCAAGCCCTAGATGACCCGATTTGTAGGATGATTGAGAGGCGAAGGCGAGGGGTACTCGGCTCGGAGAAAGATGGGGTGTGTTAAACACAGGTCGAGCAGGAGTGGACGGTCGTAGAGGAGAAGTTGCGGCCATGCTCAACAAAGTGAGAACGCTGGGTGCTAGAGAGGAGAACGGCAACCATCAGGGCGCGCGTAGGCTCGGGGGCGTCACTATTATATCATTCCATGCGGTGAAGTTCAAAGGCTCGTGATGCAGGCATAGGCCGCCGCGTATGGTGGGTTGCGGCTGCAGGAACGCGGGGAAAAGGGTCTTTCGAGGCCTAGTGAGCCTGACAGCCGCTGGGCAGGATCAAACAAGGTGTTTCAAAACATTACAATTGAACTTTGATCGATTGGGAAGAATTGGGAGGAGGTCAACAGGCGGTCATTGCGAGGTTTCGGGACGAAGTCGCAAGATGAAGTGGTTGCAGATTCAGGGTGGTTGGTGGCCACTTGTTTATGCTGTCAACGTCAACAACTCCTCATTAGCTCTGTGGCGAATGGAGGCTGGGTGGGAAGATCGAAGTGGAGGAGCAGTTGGCAACCGGGAGGGGGAGGATCGGCCGTGTGAAACTGACGCGCCCAGTGACTGAGACTGACACCCCGAGAGGCAATTCTTAGGCTGCGCCCACCGAGCCCAGGCCCCCTTGGGAATTGTCCGCTTGGGTGTTGGCCTACTGTTGGGGGCAACTTAAAAAGCCTCCTTTTCGCTCTCGGCAGGGGGGCGACCCTGAGTTGACCACCCAAGTGCCCATTGGTGAGTATATTTGGGCGCAACATTTGGCCACTCCGTCCGTACTCGGTAGTCTCGAGAACATTTGACAAAAAAAAATATGGAAAAGGAGAGGCACCGCGGGTGGTGATTCTATCAATACTCAGTAATCATGGTGTCTCATGACTGCCCGTTGCATAATGTGTTGATCGTGCATCTTTGCGAGTGCTTCCTCCGGTTGAGCTGCGATGTCGATGTGATACACATTCGAATGGACGTCCCCGTTGATGTATGGACTTGTAGTGCTGATTGATGGTGCTGATGGGAAATGAGTTACTGATATCGCTGCCACGGCACTACCACCAAGCTGCTATACGGAGAGTGGTCGCTAGGAGGTGTCTTGGCAGCTACGCAACTCCCGTGGCTCCTCAGTGGCCCATCTGCGTCCGGTAGTGGTTTCTGGTCCCTGGAGGCCGTGGTGCTGTGGATCACCATCGTCTTGCAACTTCGAGCCAAAAGTCCTTTTCTCCTCTCCCAACGTCCATGAAGAGCCATATCTGTCCTCATACTTTGTTGAATCAACCCAGTGAGCCCATTATGTTGCTTTGGTATCGCTCCAGATAATCGTATCGCGCCAATCCGTCCGGCCCTGAGCTTCTCCTTGTCCGTTGCGCGCTCATCCCTATCAGCTCCGTCTCCGACCCTACACGTCCCCAATCCTTCGACGCCTGCCAAAAAAAAAAGGCAACGGGACATCGATCCAGCACAGAATACACGAACCCACCTGACGTCCCCCAGTCAACATTCGATGACGATTGTATGTCCGCGAGATAAAAGTTTGGAAGCAGCGCGGGAAGCCCTCCTCCGTCCGGGGTAGAAGTCCTCAATAATGGGTTTTGCACAGCGGCTTTATAAACGCCTGCCTGCACTTTACACGTCGCCCGCAGTGGACGACTACAAGCATGAGAAGCCAAAGACGCTTTCAAGATTATCATTCTTCCGCAGGCGCATCAGGCTAAAAGGCAACTCGTCCATATCCATTCCGTTGGGCTTCCTGCTCCTTTTCCCCAGCTTGGTTGTCTTAATCATCCTCATTCTTGTCATAAAACATCCTAGCTCTCCGGGACGAATATTGGTCCCGGCTGGCACGCCTCCCTCAATACGGTATGCCACAATCCTCGCCCTATCCTCCCTGTACCCACTTCTAACGCTGCAGCAGAAAAATAAGCGAAAAGCATGATCGAGTGTTTGCGACGGGATGCCTAAACCCCGAAGACGCTGCGAAGCAACCACGAGCTAACGCGGCGTTTGTTGTCCTTGCCCGGAACAAGGAGCTGGAAGGAGTCATTCAATCGATCAAGAGCATCGAAAGACATTTCAATCGATGGTTCCATTATCCTTACGTTTTTCTCAATGACGGAGAGTTTGAGCAGGATTTCAAAGACACCGTCACCAACTACACAAGCTCTCCCGTGGAATTTGGCAAGATTGACCCCTCGATGTGGGGATACCCGGACTGGGTTGATCATGAAGTCGCCAAAGAGGGCATTCGCAAGCAGGGGGACCAGGCGATCATGTACGGTGGCATGGAGAGCTACCACCACATGTGCCGCTTCTACTCGGGGTTCTTCTACAAACACGAGTTGTTGGACAAGTACGAGTGGTACTGGCGCCTGGAACCCGAAATCAAATACTTCTGCGACATCACCTACGATCCTTTCATCGAAATGGCCAGAGCCAACAAAACATATGGTTTCACCATCGCCGTCAAGGAACTGAAGGAGACCGTGCCGAACATCTTCCGCTACGCCTCGGCTTACAAGCGTAAGCACAACATCCAGTCTCAGGGGCTCTGGGAGATGTTCATCGAGCCCCAACCTGAAAAGGAAGCTACCGCGGACGACAGACGAGCCAAAACATTACCTAATGAGATCCTCCAGACAGAACCCGGCCATCAAAACATCGAAGACATCGACGGAGAAGCGATGGAGGGGGAGAAGTACAACATGTGCCATTTCTGGAGCAATTTCGAGATCGCACGCTTGGACTGGTTCAGAAGTAAAGAGTACAACGACTTCTTCGAAATGATGGACCGAAGTGGCGGATTCTGGATGGAAAGGGTGAGTTTCCCCTCGAACTATCATCATTGACCACACCTCAACTAACTTTGTCCCAGTGGGGAGATGCCCCGATACACTCTCTTGCGGCGGGGGCGCTCCTGGCGCCTCGTGATATCCACTATTTCCGCGATTTTGGCTATCGCCATACGACCATCCAGCACTGTCCCGCGAATGCTCCCGCCCGACAGTTGCCGAGAATCCCCTGGCTGGAGAAGACCACCGAGGATGAGAAGGAACGACAAGAGGAAGACGATTACTGGGCTACTCCAGATCCACCCAAAGAAAACGGTGTTGGATGTCGGTGTCGATGCGACACGGACATTCGAGACGTGGAAGGAAAAGAAGGCAGCTGTCTTGCCGAGTGGGTAGAAGTTGCCGGCGGCTGGGCTTCTCCTTGACCGGAAAGGCCAGGGACGGCACGCAGACGGCAACGTTAGAGCCAGATGTTTGATTATTGCATGGCAGCCTGGCGTTAGTGTCCTTTGGTGCAATTTTGAGACGCAACATTTTGGCGTCGGGACAGTACAAACTGTGCCGTGCAAGAAATATGAGAAAGAGGCTTGGATTCAGAGGCACACTGTCTGGGTTTGTTCTCCAGAGCACTGAACATGTTCCCTCCCGCATCTGCAGAAGCGGAGTGATGCAACAAGAGAGGTAGAGCTGAAGAGATGAGGGAGACGGCAATCCAAACAAGAAGGAATGCCAACTTCTCGAAGATGTCCTGGCTAACGAGGCCTGTTGGCATCGAGGCATCGACGGGTTGCTGATGCCGATGCTGATGCTGACGGGGCACAGCTAGTGTCACGAGTCGCATTGGGGCCTGGGGCCATTCTATAATTGGTTTTGGTTGGGCAAAGGGGAAAGAACCCATCCATATACCCCATGGGATTGAAGTGTATGGTTGGGCTTGTGTGAATACAAAATATACTACCGAGTACTTTGGCACACCTTGGTGATCCGAATAGTTCGTAGGCTGGGCAAGGCTGGAGCCTAGCCTTGCTTATCGAAGGTGGAGCCTGGGGAGGCACCAGAGGCAACCGCGGACAGGCAAAGCACCGCGGCGTGGAGGGGCAGGAACCAAGGAGCCCGGCATGCATGGGCGCGCGTCTGCGGGGTTCCTGCTTTGGTCTCGCCCATTGCCTTGCATTCAACCTGTGCTGAACTGTTTGGTGCCTAACTGCCTCTCTCCCTTCTTCAACTCTAGGATTTTGTCCCTCGACCAGCGCTTCCGACTCATACTATCGTCTTGACCTGGTGGACTTTCCCCCCTGCGTTCTCATGTACTCAGGCTGATGACCGTACCGGACTCGTCCCATTGCTCACACAGAGACACTTAGGTCCCGCACCTCATTTGCTGAACCAGAGAACGGGAAGATCTAATTCACCAGAAGTTGGAACACTGTTGAGACTACCAGGAAGGTGTCTGGGGGCGTTCCCATTTCATTCAGTAGGTTCACATCACAGCATCTTTCTATTCTCCAACAACGACGGTAGGGAGTGATACCCCTGTCATCACCACGTGGACTCGCTCAACGCAATAATGACTGACACGTTTGAGCACAACCACAGCAAGGTTGGTCGAAACGAAGTGGAACCGCCTTCGCGCCCCGGAAGCACCGATTCACACCACGTCGACCTCAGATATCCGGAAATCCCTCTACACCTTTCACTTGATTCTCTGCTCGCGCATTCGTCTTCCTCGTCCTCCTCCTCGTCCAGACCCTCATCTACTCCCAACACCATCATGCAGCCGTCTGATCCTGACCAAGGCTCGCTAGACGATAGCTGGGCTTCTCTTGTGGACGTGGAATCCTCGAACGAAGATGACCTGCAGTCCGAGCATACCGATGTTGGATCCCTCCTTGATGTGCATAGCTCAGATGACATTCAAAGCGTCTCTGACGGAGTCCATATCCATGATATTGCGTCATCAGACGAGGAGGGCCTTGAAGATACTCTCACAGAGGAACTAGATCGCCAACAAAATATGGACGTTCCGCATGAGCGAGGATTCATCTACAACCATCCGCCCCGCCCGCTTGTCCAAGCGACGTACTCGGAGAAAGAGGATGAGGAAGCTCGGCAGGGTCCCATCAGCACCTATACAATCAGTCGACTTCTCTCTGAGGAAGAGACTCGAAAACTGCCCCATCGTGGTCAAAGTGAAGGCGAGTTCTCTAACTACTTCAGTGTCATTCGAATGCCTATACTGGACAGTGGCCTAGACTTGGACGTCCACAACTATTTCAAGGTTCTTCTACTGGGGCGACATGTCGAACAGTTCAGGCCAGAGCTTCAGAGAAAACTCGGTGACGTCCTGGTTGCACGGCCGTTTCCCTCTCATAATGTCAGCCAAACATCTGTTTCGAGATACCATCTGGTACCAAACACATTTGGGCCCGGAGCAGAACCAGATTTTGCGGACCTTGTTGCCATCGACAAATTGATAGACTTTGATTGCTATGATCTGGTTCAGTCCTCCAGTGGTCACGGCCAGCAAGAACAGTTGATTCTTCGCAACAGTCAAACACACTCCGAAATAGTTTCAAAGTGGAGTGGTTCCAGGTTTGTGGTCGGCAATCCTCGTTGGACTCTTCCGGATGTTGCGATCATCTGTGTCCATCTCGATGACGAGGGCAGCATGAACAGTGACAGTCGCAAGATGATTTCCTTTGTGGAAAGACAAGGCATCCCCAAGATTCTGATCCGGATGGATCGAGGCTGGGATGGTGACTATCAAGGTAGTGTGAACTCTGATGCTCTGCACGAATGTGTACAGACGCAACCCTCGCGGCCACAGTTGATGCAGCACGAGTCCTCGCCAAAATTGCCCCTGAATATGGCGGCCTTTTTGAACTTGGACGCTACCGTCCTTAACAGGCACATTGCGTATGCTGTCTTGAGCGCCGAGCAAACCCAAGCCCAGGAGGTCGATGGGTTGGACTCGCTGTCGAAAGAGCCTCGCGAGAAGCCTTCGAGAACATCCAGGCTTCTTCCAGCAGTTAATACTCCACTCATGAAGAATGTCTTCGTCGTTCTTTACGTTGTCAGCATGTACATTTTTGTGTGGCTCCGCATATGGCCGATGTTCTCCGACCCAACTGCCTTCGCAACTCCAGGCGATATAATTGTCAAAGTTACCGCACATGAGCAGGCACCATCAACGGGAATAGAGGTCCCTATGTCGACATGTACAACCTCCACCCACAGTGATAGAGAGGAAAGCGAAATCGGCCGACAATTGCTTGACACTGCCTCGATCAATGTCACTCCCACCCTTGCAGACGATGCATTGCACTTTCAGGTCGGTATCGCAGGTGAAGGCCAATTGCTGGTCAGACTACCCAAGGTCGCCCTAAGTCGCAAGAAGCGGTCTCCGCTATCTGTTGAGCTGAAGCGGAAGAATCAGACCGTTCCCGTGTCCGTACAGGAGCTCTTTGAAGGGGTTTTCAGCGTCCACTTACAACCACGTGATACTCATGGCGATATTGAAGTCAACTTGACGATGAGGAAACCTCACCTGAGTGAGACGTTCACTGTCTCCTTTCAAGACCGATCGACCACTGAGTTTTCGCGCCTCAAGAAGCTCCTGAGCCTGCTGATTGGACATGACCATGAGAAGGCGAGCAGCGCCTGGGCTGTTTGGAAGGGTGTGCGAGAACGGTTAATCGTGGACGATGAAGATGAAGCTTCGTCGGCGAGGCAAGCCAGAGAAGGAAGGCAGAGACAAAATAAACACAATGCACCACGGGACTTCTTGGGCATGTCGACACTTCTCGAACTCCAATCGAGATTGGGAAAGGGAACACAGTTTCTACAGGGTGAAATGGCGCGCATGACCGAAGGTTACGCGATACCAGAAATCAAACTCGGCGACGTACTGTCTGACGGACTCTCCAATACTCGACTGCGCCTATTGGATACGGCAGAATTTGTGAAGATGCAATTTGCCATGCGTTTTACCAAGAGAGCAGCCCTTGAACATCTGGCCGCTGCGCAAGGAAGAGCAAAACAGATCGTGGCCAAGGCGGCAAGGAAAGTGAGGGCTTCAAAGGCACGAGTCTGAACCCGGATTTTGGTGTGCAGCACAGAGCATGATGAGGGTAGGCTCTGAACCATGTTCATTTTCGCATGCATAGAACAAACACCAGGAGGGAGCATCGAAGGTCAACTGAAGGCGTTGGGTAGGCGGCGAGTTCCTGGCGGCTTTGGGCAAGGATGTTACAGTTAAGGGACGATGTGCTGGTTATGAGGAATGATGTATACCCAGAGGGAATTATTCGACTAGGCAGATCGGTCTTTAGTAGATGCATTGAATGAGCCAGCCATTACGAGGTAATACTACGTAACTATTCTGTGCCCTGGTGGTCGACGTTGCTATTTCCGGGTCACGCCAAAACAAGAAGTGGTCTAGTCTAACCCATGTAGGAAAGGCTGTGTTTGGCCGGTCAGAGCCTTGTTTCGGCCCTTCTCGTTGCCCTAGAATCACCACCAACACCACCAACCTCATCTTCGATCCAAGACCTCGATCGTTTACACTTTTCTCGTCATTCTCTAACCGCAGTCCGTCCCTCGTTATCGCCCAGCAGCCGCGTCGGTCGTTTCTACCGCCTCAATACCTGTCGATTTTTCCTCTCGTTTCCCTCGATTACCCCCTAGCAACGACTCGCACTCATTACGAACAACCATCCTCACTCCTCCCGGTGTCCCGCAAGGAAAATACATCTGATTCTCGCATTTGGGACTTGGTGCTGAGCGACGGTCGCGTTATCTCAGAGTCACTCAAACTTGCCCTGCTAAGGGTATTCGGCCCAAGATGGGCTTCGGTTCCTTCGACTCGATCTGCAGGCAATCTGCGCTGCCTCTCTGTTACCTCTTGGGTCCTCCCGCGGAGTTTACATCGGCCAAGAACCCTGTCCTGTTGCCAGGATGCAGTGCGCGATCCATCGAACTCGCCAACACGATCATTTTCCAAGCCGCCTCCGATTTCGCCCACATTGCCGCCCTCTTCATGACCGCCATCATGATCTTCCACGTCCGATCTAAATTCACGGCCGTCGGGAGGAAAGAGATCTTGACGTTTTTTTACATATACAGCCTGTTGACCGTTGTCAGCCTCGTGCTGGACGCAGGCGTGATCCAGGCCACAAGTGAGAGTGCATATCCTTGGTTTGTGGCGGTGCAGAATGGTCTGGCCACGGCGTTGTGCACGAGTCTGTTGATCAATGGGTTCGTTGGGTTTCAGCTTTACGAGGACGGAACCACACTCTCGGTGTGGTTGTTGCGACTCGGCAGTCTCATCATGTTCGTCATCAGCTTCGCTGTCAGTCTGCTCACTTTCAAGGGCTGGGCTGGCTTGTCGCCGACGAACACGACGGGCCTTTTCATCGTGCTGTACATCATCAACGCCATCTGCCTTGCGGTCTACTTTGTCATGCAGGTCATCCTCGTGGTCAACACTTTGCAGGACCGGTGGCCGTTGGGCGATCTCGCGTTCGGAGCATTTTTCTTCATCATTGGCCAGGTCATCCTTTATGTGTTTGGCAAGAGAATCTGCGAGGGAGTCAGCCACTATCTGGACGGCTTGTTCTTCGCCACAGTATGCAATCTATTGGGAGTCATGATGGTGTACAAGGTAAGTCCTCGGCAAACTCAACGCTAGATTGCTCATCTGTGCTAACATGGACTCTAGTATTGGGACAGCATCACCCGAGAAGATCTCGAGTTCAGCGTCGGCACAAAGCAAGGACATTGGGACGTCAAAGAAGCACTTCTCGACCCTTCAAGCGAAGACTACCGAACCAGTCTTTACGGAGGGGGAAACGCCCCGACCGGCAGAGAGTCCGTTTATGATGCCAGCAGTATGAGCATGGACTATGCGCCCCAAGTGCCCGCTCACTTCCACCAACATCCATCGATTGGTGGCCACCAATATGGCAGCCAACAGACTCACAGCCAGAGTCATCAATACTCGTCAAGCCGGGATCGGCTGTCGGCGTACGGGCATCTAACTGAAGGACGACAGAGCTATGGCGATATAAGAAGACAACTGCCGAACTATGAAGATTACCCAGAATCGCAGACGCAGCGTTCAGGGTTGAGGAGTCGTGATGGTGCGAGGGAGCGGGAGAGGGAGTACGCCTACTGACCTGAAGTTAGGGTGAGGGATGAATTTACCCGGCACTTAACGCGAAGGGCTTCTGCCGCCATGATCCTGGAGTTGTGAGCAGACATATTTCACCACATTCTGCTGTGCCATACGGGCAGAGGTCGATTTTTGTGCATTCTGCTTTATGTGAACGTGAACAAAGGAGCTTGACACCCCCAAAAGAAAACATATAATAGAAAGCTAGCTAGCCCCGGTCCTCCTCGCGGCGGTGGCGTGGGCGTTAATGAGATGATTGACTTTACAGGAGGTAGGCATGGCATGGCATGGGACAGACAGGCAGGCAGGGCTGGACATCAAAATGGCTCAGGATCAATCAATCAATCAATCAATCAATGCAGCGAGTGTGTTCGTTACTTTTTGGTTTTCTTTTTCTCAGCATACTGTATACACATACTTAGGTTACCGCAGACGGAGCGAGAGCGGAGGCGGGGGGGGGACCTGGGAAGGCATGCAAATGATGACCTTCCAAATACAGTACATACCGTACCGTACATGTCATATATAGCATTTTTATTTCTTTCTGCTACTGAGGACTAATGTTTGTCCTCTGTACGCATCCGTCTGTCCATCGGTTCATCATTAGTGATCAAATCCCCAGAAACCCGTCTTGCCTGCCTGCCTGCCTGCCTGCTTCGAATACAATTTGCCACGATCACGGAGTGGTTAGCAAGCTGGCGGGCTGGGTGGGTGGTGGCCGTCGCTGCTCCCGAGTACCCAGATTGAACCACTAGATAGGGAGTACAGAAGTAAGAGAGAGAGAGAGAGAGAGAGAGAGAGAGAGAGAGAGAGAGAGTGTGTGTGTGTGTGTGTGTGTGTGTGTGTGTATGAATAGGTGAATGGGTGGGTGAATGAGTGAGTGAGTGAGACAACGCACGCCTTGTCGATATCATCGTGTTGAGCATACCAAATGCCAAGTTGGAGATACTCTCCTGTCTGTCTGTATGTGATTTTCTTCCTTGGTCATTGTGGTGGAGGTAGCTAGCTAGCTATCCTGTGCATATATGTATGTAACCATACCATACACAAGGGTTCCCCTTGCTCTCTCTCCGTCTCTGTGATTTTGGAATCCGCTTTCCTGTCTCTAGGCTCTTCGGCCTGCCTATCCATCCGTCCTCGTTCGCGGGAGACCGGTCTCCCTTGCACCCCCACCCCTTATTCGTTTTAAAAGCTAGAACTCAAGCTCTATCGGCGTCGTCGACTTCACTTGACGCGGAACTTGAACTCGTCGCCCCGGTCGAGATAGACAACTTTGTCCGAGAGGCCGGCCTTGGTGACGGCGTCCTTGAAGTCCGAGAGCGGCGAGAGGAAGACGTCGTAGTCACTGTTGAATTTCGGCCCTCCCCGACCCCGAGGAAAAGGGGCGGGGAAGAGTAGATGTCAGAATTTTAGGTGAACTTGGTAGTTTTTATCTTGTTTCCCCTTCTCTAGGGGTCTGCTGGGGTAGGATTGGAGGAGGAGGGACGAAAGGAAAGCAAAGGGCACACAGAAGGGAAGGATCTAAAAGGTCTTCTTGTGTGGAGGGGCACAAAAACAGGGGTAAAGCACTTCGTTTGCGGGCCATAGGGATGGGGGTGAGGCTCTGGCCTGGAACGCTCCAACGTCGCAGTCCTTTCTTTCTTGGTGCCAGGCCATCTGCCAATCTCAAAAGTGGGAGAAAGACAAACGTCCACTGCAGGCAGCGTAGGGGCCATCCCATCAAGGGACTTCTTCTCTTGCGCAGACAGACGTGACGAAGCAGGTTTGAATGGAAGGGATAACGAGACTTACTCGTAATGAATTGGCACTGTAACCTCCGGCTGCACCAGCTTCACCAACTTGATCCCCTGTGCGGCGTCCATGGTCACCATCACCAAGGGCATATGCGGGCCCGGCACAGTTGTTCCGCCCAGATGTATCAGCATCAAATCAATCGGTTTGCCCGCGTGCGTGTAGAGTTCGGGTATCTTCTCCAGCTCGGAGACGTAGAGAGTGTCACCCGAGATATAAATCCGATATCCGCACTCGAAATCGGCGCCTGACGCGTCACTAGTATATCCGAGTTCCAACATCCACCCGTTGGTAGGTGGGATCGCGCCGAGGATGTCGTTCGCTTTGGCGAGGAGGCCATCGCCGACGTGTTTCCCAGGCATGCCGGTCACGCGAAGATGAGGACATTTGGTGGGCGCGGCGGAGGAGGTGATATTTACGGACATACTCTCCCACGCGTCAAGGGGATGCACTGCCGTGAAGGCTTCGCCATGTCCCTTGTGCGCCAGATGCTTGTGGGCGTGGGGTGTTGTGATGATGGGCAGATCTCGACGTAGCGAAGCTTCGACTTCCTGGTCAAAATGGTCGGCGTGATAATGCGACAGGAGGACCAGATCAACGTGCGGTAGATCGTGCAGGTCAACCGCAGGGTTCGTCTTCCGCGTCCCTCTCACACCGGGTCCCAGATGGACGTGGTCACCAGCATGCAAGAAGTTGGGATCTGTCATAAGGCGGAGACCCTCCCACTCCAAGATCGTGGTTGCCGTGCCCACGAAGAACAGTGAGGCATTTGACTCGGCTGAGCTCTGTGGAGGATATGTCTGGCTTGACTTGGCAGGAGGAAGCTGATCCTTGAGCGTTGCGCCTTGGGCCGCATTGCGGATAGGGCTTTGCTTCTTGGACGTGTCGACGGTGATGCTCGAATCGGGGGCCATTGTGTGTATGGACGCGAAGCACGGACCGAATCCTGGAGATGCGATACTCAAGGTCGTTTCTTCCCGACTTGAGGGGCGCAATTGTAAACAAACATCGAACTCGGGCCAAGCAGATCACCTGCTTTTAGTATGACGCTGGGATGACGACACCTGCAGGAACAAATTCCGAGTTGCCCGCTTCCAAGTGTAGGCAGTAGGATCGAGTAAAGGTAGACTTCCTAATAAAGCTTGAAAGACCTGCTTCTTCAGGTTTAGGGGCTGTCTGGGGAGAAAACCAACCTGAACATATCCTTGAGAGGTTTGATGGAACCTACCTTTAACGACGAGACAGGCAGTTGTTCCCCAGAGTGAAATGGTTCGCAGCAGCTGGACCCTGACGGTTCGTCCGGTGCTTTTGGATGGACTGGCACAAGACTCTTTCTCAAGGGCTCTCTTGACCCTGAAGTCATTGACGCCATGACCAGCAACACCCGACCGACAGGGTTCGAGGGATGCGTTTGGGAGTCGGATGCACAGGACAACCGAGATCGAGCTGTGGGACGAGCTCAAACATCGTATAGCCAAGTCATTGTCCATGGTCATCAGTACCACTGGTTGCAAGGTCGTAACAAGTCCGGGGGTCTGGAAAACCGTCAAAATAGGGAAGCGCTGCATCTAGATGACAAACGCGGTCCGTAAAACAGACCTCTGGACATTGCTATAGTCAGCAGCAGAAACCGGAGCGACCCCATCATGGTGCCGAGGCATACTCGAGTGAGTTGGGACAAAACACAGTCACAGCTTCTGAGCGATGAGATAATAGTCTATGTGTCGATCTCGTTTGTGCCCGACTCGCCCTACCTCTATGTTCGTATCTCAACACCCTGAACCAGTGTGGCAAAAAAGCGCCATAGTTGTTCTGCAAGAAGGAACACGAACAATGAACGCCCGAACAATGAGGTGAGAGCCGAACAAAGCCTGTAAGACCGAAGTTGCAGGTGCGACGCCACAGAAGGACGAGTTGGGTTTCATATAAATCTACGCTGGCAAGAGGCATTTCTCGCTCAACGCGAAGGACAGTCCCATCTCGCAATTCCCCTGTTGGAACTTGGGAGCGAAGGCAACCAGCGGCGTGGTACTGAGGCATGGCTAGAGTCAGATGTTTGGGTCCTCAATCAGAACACAGGTGAAATCTCTAAGATGGACTCAATTCAGACATTGAACTGAGTTCTTCCATCCAGTATTAGCACGTTGAAGACGATGCACTCCGTTTGAGCATGTCAGAGCATGACTGATCGCATGATAGATTGCCAAAATTTCCTCTCCATTGGAGTTGCTGTGACGGCAGACGTACTTGTGCGATTAAGCAGGAAACTGCAATTTTTCAACCGGAAAATGTCCTGGAAGCCCTTGGTGACGCAAAAAATGTCAGATGAGGTTGCACGCTTCGACGCTGCCTGAACATGTAGATACTCAGGTGCACAGCAATGCAAGAAGCCCCTAGCCTCTGAGCCATTAGGAGCGAATTCCTGAGCTGTGAAGTTGAGAAGCAGGCCGACGGAGAGCCAGAACCCCCTAGCCAGCATATGTGCACACAACGTCTTTCCTTACAGGGGGTTCCCGAAACAGCGGTAGATGCAAGGGGATCAACAGCGCCGGGAATACAGCTGATCGGAGGTCAGACAGCACTGGACCGTTTCGGTGAGCTGCAACATCAATATCAAAGGTTCCCTTTAGCTCCAGTCGCGGATCGTTCGAGAGTGGCGTGCTAGAGTGGACCGACGTGGATCGCTGGTGATGAGTGATGCGCAAGTTTTTGAACACCGTAGTGCAGGATGGTCCTCCCTGGAGGCAGACCAGATGCCTTCCTGGACAGCTATGTCAAAAGCCATTGTTAGCGAGCCAAGGCGTTGAAGACAAGACATCCCTTGCCCATTCCACGTTAGATCTGCCACCGAAGCCGCCTTGGATGGAAGAAGGGTTTACTGTAGGGTAGCAATAACCGGAAAAGGAGAGCCCGGGTGTCCTGAAGCATTATTCTGTCCCCTGGACTCGGTAGACGGAGCAATTGAAAATGTGGTTGGCGAATACTGGCGTAGGCTTGTGGAGCGGTGTTCATCGTGTTTGACCGGGGTCAAAAAGGGACTGAGACTCGAGTGCAGATTTTGGTCCCTCGCTCCATTTCCATGTCCATTCCATTTCCATTTCCAGGTCACGACGCACGAGCCTGATTTGGAATGCGAAGATTAGCTTCAAAGAACACATTGCGTTCAGCGCGGGATCCCCGAGACAACATGTCACCCTCAACGGACGACGGCAGATATTCCAGATTCATGTTAGAGGAACAAGGAGTGATATGGAGACAGCTGCAGGAGTTTCGCGTAGTCCTGAGAGAATAGCCTCGGGCAGAAAAGAGCGGAAGATGGCCGAGCAGGTGTGGCTCACTCTCTGGCAGTGACATACAGATACGAGATATGTACCATAATCAGTCGGGTCAAGCGTATTGGCCCCAAGAGACTCAAGAGAAGTCGCCAGCCTAGCCCCGCGGACAGATATGAATTGCCCCGTATCGTGCTGCATGCCAATAATGGAGGTCACAGCCGGCCAGCAGCGGAGAACAATGAGGTGGCCTCCGTGCCCCCTTTCCGTGACGGGGCGACGTGGACCACAACTCTGTAAAGTAGTTGCCTTGAACAACGGAGAGGAGACGGGAGGACCGGGGTGTAGCTGGACAATGGCACTAACGAAAGTCACAGAGAGAAGACAGTGTAGTGAATCATGAGGGATGAATGCGGCTGCCAGTGGATATCAGGCTACCGTTTGGCTTGCAGGGCCGAAGGTCTGGAGTGCATCGACAAGCACAATTCAGCTGATGAGGTGCAAACGCGTCGGTCGAAACGTACTGTAGGCAGCAGGGGAGGGATGACAGGGCAGTATTCAGCGGGTCTGGTCGGTGGCCGTGGCAGTACCGAGTAAGGGAGGAGGAATCGGAGGATCTTGGTTGGGTGTGGACATTGGAACCATACGAGTAAAATCAAAGCTTCCAAGCTAACAGAAGGAAGCAAGAGGGAAAGAGGGAAAGATGGGCGACGATTTGGCCCGTGGTGACAGCAATGGTGGCGGCACCAGAACGCGAGGGCGACGCGAAGGCGCAGGCGCAGGCACAGGCACAGGCGTGTAATTTTCACTTTCATTTCATTTCAACCACTTTGACTTTACGCTTCTCACTTTCCACTTCCCACTTCCCACTCTCCAACCTGACCTGCACACCTCCGACGACAGGGGATCGATGGGCGAATTGGCGGATGACGAGGAATGCAATGGGCAGCTGCTAAGTGGAGCAGCCACTGACGAAAAAGTGCCCCCATGATGGACACCAAATGATAATAATGAAACAATATTACGAATGCAAGCACAGCAGCAGAGGATGACGAAGACGGAGCAAGATAATACTCTGGTGACTCGGTGCTAGCCGTTGATGTGTGGTGGACTGGTGGACTGGTGGACTGGTGGTGATGGTGGTTCCGATGCCGCCGCAGCAGCCATGCAACGATGCATTATTAAAAAGAGAATTGCAGGAATGGTCGAAAGGGTCAATAAGTCACGTCACAGGACATGAGGGAGGCGATTGGATTACTCGTACTATGCGAGGGCGTCTGTTAGGGCCCGATGCGAGATGGGATGCTCGTGCTCTTTCTTCTACGCAGTATGCTCCCCATTTTGTCGACCTCGTTGCCACCCCTCTGCCACTCTGACTGTGATTACGAGTGTGAGTTACAGCACCGACAGAGTAGTCGGTTGGGCAAACTGCGGCGATATGCAGTGCATTGACGTGCACGACTCAGTGCAAGTCAGAGATGACTGAGGCACTCAACATGCTGCCACCAACTGCATGCCTCCATGCAACTAGGCGTTATGAGGCACTAGGGGCAACCTGGAGCTTCTCCAGGGACCATGTCGATGATTATTCCTTCACCCAAGATCATCATCCAATAATCCCCCCTTGGTGCGTTCACCATAATTTGACAAGAAAAACCCCGACATAAATCCTCGTCAATCACGACCATCACCACCACCACGACCGGGTACCACTGAGCCGCTCATTGTGTGATCAGCATCCGGAGTCGTAGAACGCCCGTCCGTGGAGGCTGTTATCTCACCCTGTTCTGGTCGTCGAAATTGGTAAACGTTGATCTTGAAGCTGGCGCCGACTTTCTCGCTTCCGTCAGCTTCCTGTCCACTGGGGTTCCAGGATGGAGTCCGGTATCAGCCCTTGGACTTTGCTGCGTCAGGCAAGTCCCAAGTTGCTCGTGGCACGCTTGGCAGCAGTTCCTCGCAATATTCCATGATTGGCTCGCAACCTGGACGCCGCATGGCAAATGCGAAACAGACATGGCTTGGATGACGGCGGCTCAGATGGTTTCGCAGTACCGAGCAGAGCGGAGGGTATCCATCATAACCAGGTTGCCTCTTTGTCACTGCCTTGCTACAGGGAAGTGATGCCAATTACTGCTACTCCATGCGACGAGGACTAGGCCACCACCACCACCACCACCACTTCCGTCCTTTCCAGGTCGCCAGCTCCTACCGGACTTCCCCTGAGAAAGCCACTCTCCTCGTCCTGTCGCTCGTCTACCTATCAATCTCCCAGGGACCTTTGCATGTTCATTCCGGGTACGGAGTAGCAAACTTACATACGCCGCAGCTCTTGCTTGCTCTTTTGTGGGGCATGTCTTTTTGCCCCCTTCCCCCCAAAAAGGCGTAACCCATGTTTCTTCTCGTACATACTTTTGACGTGGTTCTTGATGCCAGGTTCCATCTTTTTTATCTTATCCATGCGCCTCAAAGGCCCTGGTTTCTGACGAAACTCGTACCTGCTGTAACCAGGAGGATTGACTGAATGATTATGCTCCACGCCATTCCGGGAAATCCTGGGAAATCTCGATCAGCCCGGAGGCATTGGAGGTCCAGCTTGGACGGCTTCCTGCCAGCCTCTCCTGCCGTGGGATTTTCCAGCCAATATCCATGTCCTTGACTCCTGCTCGTCCTGCAGGGCCTAGTATCAGCGAACCCTTCCTCACTGAATCCAAGGACCTGACTGTATCCACGACCATTCGAAACAGTGCTAACGGGCGCCCAGGAGTGGTGGTAACGACGCATCAGCAGCACACTCCGAGCGCCTTCCCGTTCGTGGTTCTGATGTGTAGCCGGTGGTTGATGGATTTCCGCGTTCGACCTTTGATACCTCACGGCCGCGGTGGTCCACAAAATGCTTCTCGGCTAGCAATCAACAGATTTTAAAAAAAAAACTCATCATGTTACCTCATTCTTAGTGTTGGTATTCGTGCTGCATACCTTTCCGTGTGATCTACGAGCACACCAAAGATTTGCACATCTCGTTCGCCATCTGACCAGCCCCACTGCAAACATGGCGTTGCTTTTCTCACTCTATGCTGCACGGACACTGCTGTGCCTCTTCCTCCAACCAAGTACCGAGTCATGCCAGCCAAGGCGAGGTCATGTTACCCGTAAAGCATTTTACGGCCAACAGGTGGCTTGATCCAGAAATGTCAAGTGTCTCATTGTTATTATTGCTACGAATGCCTTGTCGTATCAAGCCCCCTCTCGCTTTGGCCTGCCGCTGCATCGGCCCATCGAAAAAATAAAATAAAAAGTGCCACTACTACACAAGGACCTGGCCCAAAACTACTCGAATGGCTATTGTGGTCCTCAAGGCTCCAATCACAGCTGGAATGCCGCAGAAAAGATCGGCTTCCTGAGGAAGACCAGTGTCTCCTTCTTTCTGGTGCCCTATCTCCAAGCTCCACTCGTCAGAGTTCCCAGGATTATTCAGTGTCTGACATGTCTGATGAGTCCTCATCCACGGACGGGGCGTGGCGAGTGGTCTTGGAGGCTTGGAACAGCCTGCCCTTGCACTTAGTCGCAGCTGAAGGGATGCGCAGGTGGAATTTGGAGCATCCCTTCCAAACACTGACTGTGCTTGCACCCCCTTAAACCCGTGAGTTAGTCGTAGTAGTGGGCTCTATCACCACGGGACTCCTTACGGCGTACGGACGACTAAGCCCGGAAAATGCGGTGTTACTCAGGCATAACTTTGTGCCCTGTCTGGCCCGCTGTCCTGCCTACCACTGACACCCAGCTCACCGACGCCGACCGCCCATCCGCCGCTCGTAATCTGCAGTAGCAAGCAACTAGCCAGAGGGAAGCCCTGCTGGACCCTCCTGGGGCCTGCCTAGTCCACAATAATCGAATGACTTTGGAGCCGGCAGCGACACCGCAACGGAAACAACTCTGCGGACCATTGAACTGTGGCCATGGTGCTAGACGACCCTTGGGGGGAAGTAGGTGTGGCAGCCCAGACGATCCTCCAATAATAGGGCCGCCCGGGTACAGCTGCTGTTTGCCTGGGCGCCCACTGTGCGCGCGGTAAGAGACCAGCCGAAAAATCAAAAAGCATGGTGCTTTTGTGGCCCAAGCTGGGGCCTGGTGGCCTCCGGGTTGCTGCCACCCCAACCAGAGATGGGCGCTCTCGAAAGTCTTGTGTGTGAGAAATTCTGGCGAGCCCGAGTGGCTGCATTCGGTCTAGACGTAATTGTTTTCTGTTGGCCTTCCCTGTCTGGCAAAGAGGGACCTCACACTCCGCCAGCCGCAGCCTCCAGACGACACGATGACTTCCCTTGCGAACCCGGGATCCAACCTGAGGGCTTGTCAACTCGCTAAATGTTTCTCACTGACAGGCTCCTTGACTGTGCGACTGACTATTCGACTCCTGGGTCCCAGGCCCCAGGCTCCAGGCTTCCAAACTCAGCTGGCTGCTCTCCCTCCCCAATTCCGTCCAGATCACCACCTGATGAGGCTTCTGAAGGGGGTGGCCCCAACCAACCGCTGCTCACGGCCATCCTTTCGTCCCGTTTAGCGTTCATTTCCTGGATTGCTGCTCATCGCCGACACCCCCAGGCAGCTCAACAGATGCAGCCGCAGTCGCAGCAGCCACGGACCGGCGACTTGCAACGAAAAGTCTTACCCGTCTGCATCCTGGAGCGAGATTATCATTCGACCAAGCCTCCAGTTTCTCAATCAGACACTTCGTTCTCACCTGCACCAACTAGCTCCTTTCCCTTTCCTTTGCTGTGCCCTGCTTTGCCTTGTCTTGCCCTACCAAGTGCCACCTGGCCTAGCCCATTGCAGGACCGGTGTTAATGTTTGTCTGGCAAATGGGAACTCCGTACAAAAGTTATTGGGTTGTCAAATTCGTGGTATGTACCACGGATCAGAATGGGCCTGCGTGTCTCAATTTCACATCGTGCTCTGCTGGAGCTGGCTAGTTTCGTCCTGTAACCGCGTAACCACCACGGAACGTTGCCTCGCCTCGCCTGCTCTGTCAACGCTGTACCCGGAACTGGCGGTGGTATTTCGACCATCATCCGGTGGTTTCGTTGCAATTCGTCACTAGGGCGGTTTTGCATCGACAGCCCCCGAGGCCAAGGCGAATAAGATGATGGTGATGGCAAAGACTACGGCCCCAAACCCTCCTCCACTCATTCGTCCCACTATCCCTGTTCGACCAGCTCCCAAGAAGGTTGGTCCTGACAAGTGGCCCTGTGAATAAAAAACATGATAATAATACCACCCGGAAAGCATGTCACTAGTACCAACCAGTCTTGAACCCTGTTCATCCGGCTGGTACTTGCGGCCCCAAACAATCCACACGGGCACGAAGCAACAACTCGGTGCACTTACACAGCCCAAAAAAAGGCTAAAACTTGGGATCGCTGAGACGCTGATACGATGATGCCGAGCTAAATGCCGTCAGGTCGTCGGCTTGCCCCCTCACAGAGTCACCACTACTCCATCCATGGTGGCCATTTTCGCACCTCTCTCTCAGGGCCATGCCGGCGACTCCTCGCTCGTCACCGTGACATGACCGTGTGCATGACCATGACCATGACCTTGACTGACCTTGATCAAGACCTTGACCTGGACCTTACCTCAACCTGGACCGTTGAACACACTTTCACCACTACCCCCGTTTGCCCGTTTCCCGTTGGCTTTTTCTGGCTCCTCCTTCTCCCCCCCCCATCCCCCATCCATCATCATCCTAGGCCATCCTTCTTTTTCCAAAACATCCCTTCACTCTTTTTGACTGTAACTTGTCCTCCGCCAGCCAGCCCGTCTTAGTCCACTCTGGCAATCGTTGCGCCAGTGTGCTCCTGTCGCTCCATCTTTCTGTCCCTGGTGCTCCGTCCTCATTGGCTCCCGCCGCGCGTACCCAGCCCGCCGTCGTAGCTTCCCCTTCCACTTCTGCGGCTTGCCTGGCCCTTCTGACTACTACTGCTGCTACTGCTGGCTTGCTTGCTGCTCTTCTTTTTCCCACACCCACACCATCCCACCCCCCCTCGCTCTTGCGTCGTCTCCGTCTCCCCTTGCCTGTAACTGGGTTGAGCCGGGCTCGTCAACCTTACGACGGGGAAAGGGGACCCTGACGGTTTTACAGCCGAGCCTCGAACCGCCTTCGATCCAAGACAAGGCCCCGGTGTTCCTGATGAAGTGAGTTACGGCGCATCATGCCTGATGCAGGCTTTGATGGGCGAAAAAAATACCAGATCATCCTTTCCATCGGTCCTAACTGCCTGGTGCCGCCACAAACTCTGCCTGCCGAAGCGTGCGTTGCTCGGCTGACTGCTTTCGTCTCGTGGATTCACTCATTAATCACGGTTCTTGTCATTCTTGATTGCTCCAGTGTATCATCATCCTGTCCCCTCTGATTGAGTTGGGCCGGGCTCGGACTGTCACTGTTTGAAAGGGCGTTGTGTGGGTGAAAGGTCCTCCTGCCTTCTGATGCTGCCAAACATCCAGGACCCACCTCATTCAATAACTTTGCCTTCATTCCAAACCCCCAATTCTGTCAAAGACTCCAAAACATCCAACGTGCCTCCTCGCTTGAATTGGTTCTTGATCCTCGTTCTTGTTGCAATGTTCTCTGTCACCGGAGAACATCACTGTCCTTTCATTGCCTTCACTTAGGCTGAACAAGGCCTCCCTGACCCGTCACTACACGAGCCTCTCCATTTCCAAACCCTCAACGTCGTCCGCGACATGCTCATGCCGCACCCGTCACCTCCAACTCACACGACTACTTAACACCGACAACTTTTCCACCTCGACCTTGTCCCAACATAACCTGCAGCCCATGTCGTCCATGTCTGCCATCTACAGTGTTGTTGGCCCCTCGGATCGGTCGAACTCGACGTTGAACACATCCTATCCAGACGCAGCAGCATATGGGTGCAAAAGGTGGAACAACTCTGAGACCTACTTCAACAGCGGTTTACCTACGCCGCCGGGCTCAAGGGCCATGCCTGGGGTCGTGGTAGGCAACAGCTACGCGGCACTGCCCGCAGCAGCTGCTCCCCAGCAGGACCGCAGTGGTTTGCCAGACGCTGCCAACGCTGTCCGTCAACGCAGAACCCCGTCCGCAATTTCGACGAACCATACATACACTCTGGCTCCGCCCACAAACGGAGGAGGCATGTACAGCCGTCGAGCCCCTGATCAGACCAACGTGAACGCCATTGCACCCCACCTCCAAATACCAGAATCGGTGAACAAGAGCAAAGGGAGTCTGGCCGAGTTTGCTGCAGAAATTGCATGCCTCTTCTGGTTTGAAACAGGGCCAACACTGCAGTACGCAGAGAATCTTCCAGAGGATGCACCAGTCGACAGAGGGTTGCTGCCAGATACCATACCCTCGATTGGGTTCCGAAAATGGGTGACCACAATCATCAGCACCACGCAGGTGGGGAAGAACGTAATCCTACTGGCCTTGTTGTTCATCTATCGGCTCAAAAAATTCAACCCCTCTGTGAGCGGAAAGCGTGGCAGCGAGTTTCGGCTCCTGACGGTTGCCCTCATGCTGGGAAACAAGTTTCTGGACGACAACACATACACGAACAAGACGTGGGCGGAGGTTTCTGGCATATCAGTCACCGAAATTCACATTATGGAGGTTGAATTTTTGAGTAACATGAGGTACGCTCTCTACGCCTCGGCTGAAAAGTGGAGCGAATGGAAGTCCAAATTGGGAAGGTTTGGCGCGTTCTATCAAAAGGCCTCCCAGCTACCCCTGGTGGACGAGAGCAGAGCAAATGGAGTCACTCCTGTCACGCCCATTGCTCAGAGCTTTCCCCAAAAGCTCCCCTCGCCTCCTTCCACTCATCACAGCGCCGGTCCTTATGGTGTCTCGCCGTCTATCAATGGTCACTATCCCATCCTGCCACATCCCTCGTCTGCAGCAACATTTCTTCCGAGCTCACCTCTTCGGCAACAAGTCGGTCTGAGGGGATATCAACAGGAGCGGAAACGCAGTGCCGACTTTTCTTCGGAGCTTCCTCCGGCGAAGAGGCAACAATACTCAGGCCAGCTTTCGGATCATGTTGGAAGCAGGGGAAATTCACTTTCGTACGCTCCTGGCAGCTTAAGGGTTTCTCCTACACATTCCATTAGGAACGCGGATATTGGCGTTCCAGCAACGATGCTGGACATCCCAAGGTTGGACATCCCGAGGCAACCACCCTCGCTACCGCTCTCAAATTCACAGACGACCATGCTACCGATCCAGACGAATAGACCACTGCCAGCCGTCTATCCGGCCGCAACGGGTACCTATTCCCATCCTGTTACGCCAATATCTGCCGTACCACAATCTCTCTTCCAAAATCCCGTTCCAAGCCTGGGCGACGGTTCTCGACCCGTCACGACTCTGCCTTCGGCTCACACCTCTCCGTCTAATGGATACCATACCACTACTCCCACAATGCCGGGACTGTCACCTTCATACTTCTTGACGCATCGTACGTCCCCATATCGACCGGTCCGCCACGTCAACACGCTCTTAATACCTCCGCCATCTGCTGCATTGCAGATGCCAGTCAGAAACATCCCTTCCGATCAGATTCACTACCACCCTCTGAGCAAAGCGATCACCGAACGCCGGACTGGACCGCTTCCCAACTTCCATCCCGATGGCTGGCAGCATAGTAATGTTTCTACGCCCATTACTCAACACCAATACCCATTTTAAGCATTGGTTCCCACCTGCTCTAGATTTCTCTTACCATGAGGGAAACTCATTGCACTCTTCTACATGCATAGCTCGGCGGGCTCTGTTTTGATATTTTGTGCTGAAAGCACTCGGTTTAGCGAAAAAGCATTGCAATGGCGCTGGGATTAGATGGCATTATGGCAACATACGGGGAGGGCTCGGGATACCTTGTCTGAACAAGACAAAACAAGTGTACAGAATTAGTAGATGCAGCATCAACCGGGTCAAGACTTGACTCCCACGATGCTAGAGAGAGAGAGGAGGATAAGGCGAGGGATTGAACAAGTCGATCCCGATCCAAATCCAAAGCTTGATACCCTTTCCAATGTTTTTTTTCCTTCGTACTGATCCTTCTACCATTACCGCGATTCTCGTTACCACTTGTAGCACGCACGCGGGAACTGGTGGGCGGCTGACGAGCTGCGATCAGGTGACGCATGCCAAGCCAATTCCAACATCTCCATACCTGCTCAGTAAATTCCCAGCATAGAGCTCGACACAGCCATCTCGCAGAGATGGTGCCCAACAAAACCTAAGGCGGGCGCAAACGATGCAGTGTCCATGTGAGCAGCCTCTTTGCAAGGATGCGCAAGACACTCTTCCTTGTTTTCATCCATGGGTTCAAAGTAAGTTCAATGCGACGACACAATCTTCTGTCCGGCAGCCAGCCAGGTGTGGGCCTTCGGTGCGGCACCTTTGGATACCCAAGATACTGATTCTGCCCTCTTCAGGGCGGAGATGACACTTTTGCTGTCTTCCCAGAACATCTGCGAGCACTCGTGAGCCATGCCCTTCCGAATATCGATGTTGTCACTGCGACATATCCCAAATTCGAGACCCGCGGCGAGTTGAGAGAGTGTGTGGCACGGTTTAGAGAATGGTATGCGGTGCCAGCATCTGTCTGCTCCGGAGCGCCATGCTAAAAGTTCACAACTGCAGGCTACAAAACAAGGTCATCGACCTGGAGGTCGCTCGCTCGACTCCATCTCCAACTGTGGACCCCTCCGTCCATGTCATACTGGTCGGTCACTCGATGGGGGGCATCGTGGCGGCTGAGACGTACCTGCTCCTCGCCAGTGAGCAACCTATTCCAGCGCGATCTTCCGCCCAAAATCCCGAAAGACCCAACTTCCCTTCCAACACGACCCTGGGTTCGACAACATCGACCTCCCATCCGGCGCCAATACACCATGAGCCAGATTCGACGTCTTACACTTTCATGTTCCCGCACATCCAAGGCGTCCTTGCTTTCGATACGCCTTTCCTCGGGCTGGCCCCGGGGATGGTGGCTCACGGACTCGAGGGGGGCCACAAAGTTGTCGCCAATGCGTACAACACCTACTCGGAAGTTGCTTCCATGTTTGGCTGGGGTTCCAAGTCCGAACCCAACGTCTCATCGACATCCCCCGCCGCCGGCGCGAAATCCATAGGCGCCCTCCCCGCGCCAGCCGCCTCTTCCACACAAGACGCGGCAGCCGCCCCCAAATGGCAGGCTTGGGGGAAATATGCAATGTTTGCTGGTGCTGCTGGCGCCGTGGTTGCCGGGGGTGCCGCGGCCTTGTACTCCCAGCGTGAGAGACTCAGTGCTGGTTGGAAGTGGGCCAGCGACCACCTCTTGTTTGTTGGGGAGCTGTTCAAACCCGAGCACTTGCGTAAGCGGGTCGAATCTCTGGAGCGGGAATGTAAAGAACGAGGAGCTGGATGTGCCAACCTGTACACCAACCTTGGAAAAGGAGCCAGTGGCGGATATGGTATCACGGAGTCTTTGGCAGGTAAGGAGAGGACATTTTGCAATCTGCCTGTGCAGGTCAGCCGCGATCGAAAAGAGGGCAAAGAAGGCACGCGCGAGGGAACTTCAAACGGATTCAAGTGGATCAAAGCTGTTAACGACAAAGCTTCCGACGAGACCACGGCGCATGTGTCCATGTTTATTCCACGGGATAACCCCGGCTTCTACGCGCTCGGGGAACGTGCAAAAGAGTGCATCGCGCGCTGGGTTGATCAGGGCTGGTACCGCGCGAGCAATGGACCGACGTTTCTGAAACCTGAGTTCAATCGCGTAGAATTGGGCGAATCACCGGACGGCGGGTGGGTGAAGCCCGACGCGGATGAAATCAGAGCCCGAGAGAGAGCAAGAGATCGCTATGGCAGTTCTTACAAGGACGCCGACGCCGACGCCGACGTCGGAGGGAATCTAGGTAAGGATTGGGACTCTCTTGAGTTTGACCGTGGTAAGGATGGTGATGACGACTTGGATGGTGAGAACCTCAGGATGAGAGAAGAGGACGAAGAGCTTGAGGGGAGCGTGCTTGTTGAGAAAATGGCCGCCAATGGCGAGGTGCCGCTGCCCAGGTCGAGAGGTAATACTGGAGTATGAGGACTCGACAGAGGAGTTCCTCTATGACTACAGAACCGGCCATCACCAAGAGGAGGCCGGCACAATGAGACAGCCATGAGATGACCTGCACGACACGACACGACACGATGAGCCCAAAGTTGCGATATGTCCCGCGATTTGGATCCGAAAGCACCTCCCATGACTCGGGAGGGACATGCCTTGAAGTATGGGTGGTTCGTCCCGGGCGAACTGGCATCCATCGAGATCGATTTCAACAGATGGCCACGGAACCTGGCGTTTCGCTCTCAGCAAGTAGACTACAGAATAACACGAACACGAGTACTTGATGCGGCCAACGGAACCACCCACGGTTGAACCTCCTTGGCGGCGGCTGTCAGGACTTTATGGGAATCACAACGGCCCTTGTACCTGACCGAACTTGGTACAGAAAACGCATCCTCTGATGGAATGATTAACTTGACTCAACCTGTGTGGGCTGAAATGTGAGCTTGGCATGATCAGAACATTGTCCGACGGAAAGGAAAGTATTTGTCAGAGCCAGCGAGTGTCAGGCGGGAATCTGCCTGTGTTGTGTGCCATGAGCTCCTCAATCTTGGTGTGTGGCTCGTTGTTATGTTGCCAGGCACTTCTCTCCCTTCCCTGCTACTCTGTCATTCACATATTTCAGCCTGTTCCACTCTGCTCCTCGGCGCCTCTCTTCTCGGGCAACCTCTTCATACCGTCATCAACCATGCCTTCACAACCCGTGACCTTGCCCGCCGCGTTCTCCACCGTGCCCAACAGCGATGACTGGGTGGGTTGGCCTTGGGAGGAGTCGGATTGGGCTTTGGCGTCCTTCATCTCTTGCACTGCTTCGGCTTTTGTCTGCGCCCCCGATTCGTATCCCACGGCGGAGGAGACGGCGCCTTGGACGTACTGGTTTTCAGGTCAGAACGGCGGAATCAGTGTTGTGCGGCGGATGGGTGGACGGTACTTGCCTTGACGTGGCCGCCGAGCATTGAGGGCTGGGACTCTGACGAACGCTGGTCTGATGACATTGTGATGGGGATTCTTTTATTTCTGCACGTTGACTGATCGATCGAAATGTGTGACTAAGTTGGAAAAGAAAACGACGCTGAGAACACACCCAAATGTTCGTTTCGTTTAAGAGTTCAAATCGAAAAGGTATCTCAATTCAATCACTCAATCAATGAATTAGTCGTGCTTTGTCTCACCTCTTCATATGAACTGCACCCATAGTGCTTCGATTCAATGACGCCCATGCCAAGCCAGTCACGGTCGAGGATGATGTCATGGCGATTAATTATTTACGCCGCCGACGGCACGTGACGGGGGTCTTTCCAGCTTCCATACATACTAGGTACAGTACGAGGTAATTACAGGACCTCATCCTAGGTACATGTCTCGTCGGCCCTGGTTGCTCCATCCTCCATATCCGACGGATTAGTTCACTTCCAGCTTCCTTGAGCCTCGTCCTAACTGTTATTATTGTTCTTGTTACTCCATTCAGCCTTAGGGTGAACATGGACTGTGTCCCCAATAATTGCCGAGGTTGTTCTCCCCTAGCCTATCTTGTTACCTCGTCCCTTACCACCCAACCCCCGAACCTCACCTATACGCGAACTTGGCTGGTTGTTACGCATCTCGTGGTCGTAAAGACCCTCGGGCTTTTTTTCTTTTTGTTGTTGTGCTGTTATTATCCCTTTCTCTCTCTCTCGTGATTTTTTGGGGGAAATAAAGCCTCCCATAGATCCATCTGTGATCAAACGTCAATATCACTTGATAGCTTAAAGTCCAATGGCGGTTCTTCAGGGAGCCAGGGGGTGATTGATCGATCTGATCTCTCGGATAGAAAGGCCACCCACCCGCCCACCATGCCGACCAGGTTCGAGGTGCTCCGGGGCAAGAAGCCCATCTCCTTTCGGCGCCTGATGGCCCTGAAACGGATCGGAGACGACGTCTTCGAGTCGACGACCCCGGCCTGGCCACCCGCGCCCCATCGACGAGCTTTTGGAGGCCATGTCTACGCCCAGGCCATGTATGCGGCCAGCAAGACCGTGGAGAAAGGGCTGGTGGTTCATGTACGTTTCTTATCATCGAATTGTCCCCCTCAGGGCTAAGGGCGGGTCCTTGGTGTCGCTGTTGTTATTGTTGGTGCTAACAGCCTGGATCTTCTTCTTACGGGGTGCAGCAAATGACCGGCTACTTCATCCTTCCTGGCGCCATCGACATCCCGTACGTATACCGCGTGCGCAGGATCCGGGATGGCGGCATGTATTGCCTGAGAGGGGTCGATGTCTACCAGCACTCCGAGGACGCTGCACAGGGCACGGCGCCGTGCTTCGTCGCCACCGTCTCGTTCAAGCGCTCCGAAACGGCCGTCACCAAGTGGACCAGCTACGAGTACCAAAACCTGCCCCGCGACCACATCCAGCGCGAATACCACCGCGTCCTGGAAGGCCTCCGGCCCGAAGACCACCCTTTGGCACCCGGCGCCGACGCCCTTTGGTGGGAACAGGAGGAGGCCGAGTTCTGGGGCCGCGATGCCGCCGCCTTCCCCGGCGTCGAGACCCGCAAGGTCGACATGGCCCGGTACAACGGCAAGGCAGAACCTGGGGGCGGCGGGCGCACGGATGGTGGCGGCGCCTCGCGTTGGCGCCAGCTGCTCTTCTACCGACTCATCCAGGACGACGACGACGACCCGGCAGAGGCGTGCGAGCGGGAAGAGGCCGCGCGCGACCTGAACCTCCACGCCGCGGCGCACTTGTATGCGTCGGACCGGAACTCGCTGTTCCTGATCCAGCGCGCACTGGGTTACGAGGCCGTGCGCACCACCATGGCGTCGTTGTCGCACACGGTCGTGTTTCACGGCGTAGCCGACCATCTGCGCATGGTGGACGTCGACAACGGCGCTACCGCCACCTCGAAGTGGTTCGTCCAGGAGTCCTGGACCACCAACGGCGGCGACAACCGTGGCTGTCACCACAGCCTCCTCTGGGACCCCGGCGCCGGCCGCGTCGTCGGCACCACCATCCAGGACGGCATGTTACGGTTTCCCACTGAGATCGTCGAGAAGGTCATCACCACCGCCACCGCCAGAAACAGAACCGGCGGCGACACGGAAAGCTCATCGTTGCCATCACAGGTTGTCCGAAATAAAGCCGGGAGCAAATTATAGGGTCTGTGCACAATTCAGGGAGAAAAGGGAGAGACCCAAGGAAAGAAAAAGAAATCCCCCTATCCTCACACTCCCTCCCTGCTTCACCGTGTTGGGGTTTTGTTTAGAATTTTGGCCCCGGACCAGCCAGAACAACTATCTATCTATGGTACATCAGACTGATGGGCAAGGTTGTATTACGATGGTTGCTTTTTCGATGTCGTGGTGGCATGGCATGGGCCGCGGACGACGAAATCTGGACCGGTTCTCTGATTCCAGACGCAGTAGTCTTGCTTCTACTTTTTTGAAAACAGGAAGCAAAACAATTACGGTAGATCGATCGCTTTGGGAAATTCCGGGTTAGATTGATTTCTTGGTGAAGATGAAGAAGAAGAAGAAGAAGAAGAAGAAGAAGAAGAATATATCGACAATCATCAATTCGCTTTCTCTCTTTTCTTTTCCGTTCCTTTCCTTTCCTTTCCTTTCCTTTCCGTCAACTATGACTTTTCCTCGAGCAAAAGAATCACATTGCCTGTCAGGATAAAGCACACACACACACACACACATGTATGTATATATATATTGTACATATCGGATCAGTGAAGTCAGAGTGTCGTCTCATCCCTCGAGCCAAGCTGGCCCCTGGAGGAAGTCGAACTTGGGCAGGTGACAAGACCACGACGGTCCACGCCCGACGTACATTACGTTACATACCGTACGGCGATGACATAGATAGAGGTCGAGAAAAGGAATATGGAGGAGAGAAAGGTTGAAAATGGGACTCGGAAGCCACGTTTATCCGGTGCCGGCCAGAGTGGGAAAAATCTAAGTGGGTTAGAAAAAAAGAGGCGAGGCGCCTCTTATCTAACCTCCAACCACCCGGACTTCGATCTTCTCTAAGGAGTCTCACAGGAATTCCAAGGTCACAGACTCACCCACTCTTCAATACATTTCACGCAGCAGCCAGGCATCATGGGCATTGAAATACGCCCCATCACCGCAGCAGACATCCCGTCCGCGGTGGAATGCATCCAACTGGCATTCGCCGATGATCCCTACCACCTGTGGGCCTTTGACGCCGCCCGGTTCAACAAGGAGCGCAACTTTGCCAGTCTCAAGGCAAAATGTGAGTGGGGGATGCGCAACGCATTGTTCTTCGTGGCCAAGGATCCCGATGACAAAGATGGCAGAGTGCTGGGAGTCAGCATGTGGATGAAGCCGAGAAACGTCAGCCAAAAGCAGACCTGGTCCGAGTGGATCGACGACTACGTCCTCTGGTTCAAACAGGGGTGGAATCTGCTCCGGTACCAGGGCCGCGGCGGGCTGAGGACGGAACGGTATTGGATCTGGAAGCGTGAGCAGGCTGTGGCTCAGTCAGAAATCTGGACCGACCCCGAGGGATACTACTTCTGCAACATCGTCACCGTCCGGCCAGGCATCCAGGGCCAAGGGATCGGGCGCCAGCTCTTCGGGATCGTCACCGACATGGCCGACAAGGAAGGGCGCAAGTGCTATCTGGAGTCGTCCAAGGAGAAACCCAACATCGCGATCTATGAGAAGATGGGCTTTCGGCTAGCCCGCAAGATGGTCTGCGAGGAGGGAGGGGACGTCTGCGACCTCTTCTGTATGGTCAGAGAACCACAGCCCAGGCCGTGAGCTAGGCAGGCCCTCTAGGGGATTCGCCGCTGAAGACATCCATGCTGGAGCTTGCCGTGTCGACAACGCGCACGTACTGCCCCCATCTCTTCGGGTACGTGCAGCGACTTCCACCGAAGTTGGGGACCAGGTCTCACTGTCGTTGGCTCTCTGTGGCCGATGTCCAGGGTGCTATTGCTGCCGAGTGTGTTTGACCTCTTGTTCGTGGGTCTTTCAGTGCATGTGGTCAACCGTCTCTCTTCACCGATTGCCTGATTTGAGGTGTCCTAGAGAGGCACCTATTCATGCCTTGCTGACGCAGCGGCAGTAGCCTCGACATCTCAATATCCTCTTCACTTCCCGGCATGACGCAGACCAGACTGGCGCCTGACAGCGACGCAGGCGCGAGGTTTTGCGTGGAGCACATTGCACCGGGAGACAGGCCGTGAGTTTGAACGATGCCACGTCACCTTGCTTATGAGAAGTATTTCGACAATGGTTACAGCGATGACTGATATAAAAATGGCGTATTCTGTGGTGGTCAGTCGCATTGACGGTTCCGAGCCAACATGGCCAGCAAGGTTTGCCCTTTAGTAATCGGCAGTTCGAGCGGATGTCAGGAGAACTCTGCGTTGGTATCTTCTGGCTCTTGTGTGGAGAACCAGGGAGTGTCGAGTACATACATACATACATACATACATACAATTCGTGATCGGTTGAGAATGGATGGATGGAGTGATTGATCAGCGGTCTTTCGCACCAGCATGGACGAAAAACTCCTTGCTGAAGTATTGAATCGTTCTTAGTCACATCGCCGAGCGCCGCGGCGGCACCGGCCCACGGTTCCATCGCCTGGCCGGCATCCAAAATCCGCCACCAGTGTCGCGAGTCCAGAGGGGCTTGTCGCAATGCGGCAGGTCTTAAAATCGATTTCCGAGACGCGGAGATAGAGATATACAGGACAGTAGGCAGGAAGAGAGGATTGAGCCCAGATCCCTGCCCCCCGGAGCAGTGACGGTCCATGCCCAACCAACCACACGATAGTAAAGAGACTGCCGATGGAGCCATTGGGGCTTCTAAAGCTTGTGCTGCAGCTCTTTACATCATCAATCATCATGCCCACCCTAGGTCCGGAGGTATAAGTAACTGTCGTGGTGAGGGAAGAAGAATCTTGTGCTGGAACAATATCAGTCTCATTCTCATTCTTCTTCCTATTCTCGCGTCTTAGTACCCCTTTCGCTCGGGCAAGTCTACGAGCTCTGATAAGATCACACCAAGCCTGCCCAACACCTCCATCCATCAAACCTTCTCCCTTCTATGATGGCGTCCAACCTCCCCAAGGAATACAAAGTCGGCGTCTTCGAGGCCAAGGGTGAGCCGATCAAGTTCAAGCAGGTCAAATTGGAGCTGCCGAAGCCGGGTGAGGTATTGTGTTCCACCTCTCCCGTTCCATGGTATCGACAGTCTCACTAAATCGTCCCCATTCCAGGTCCTGGTCAAGGTTCTTGCCTGCGGTGTGTGTCACTCTGACCACGCCGTTCGCTTCGGAGTCTTTGGCAATAGCTTCCCCATCGTTCCCGGCCACGAAATCATCGGTGAGGTCGCTGCCGTGCCAGATACCGAGAAGCGTTGGAAGGTGGGAGAACGCGTGGGAGGACCGTGGCACGGTGGCCATGACAACACCTGCGTTTCGTGTCAGCGTGGCCTTTTCCAGATGTGTGAGCACGAGGCCATCAACGGAGTCACCAGGGATGGAGTAAGTCTGTCTGCGTCAGCCGCACGGCTCATATTGATGACCCCTTTTTCCTCTTAGGGATATGCAGAGTATGTCACTCTGAGGACAGAGGCTGTCGTCCGCGTCCCCGCCGACGTCGATCCAGCCGAGTACTGTCCGGTGCTCTGTGCAGGAGTGACGGTGTTCAACTGTATGTTTGCATCCATCCCCGTCATTCGCACCATAGAGAGAGAGAGAGACTGACTCAACGTGTCCCAATAGCTCTGCGGCAACAAAAAGTCCTTGCGGGTTCGCTCGTGGCGGTCCAGGGACTCGGGGGTCTCGGGCATCTTGCGTTGCAGTATGCGAGCAAGATGGGGTATAGGACGGTCGCCATTTCCTCGAGCTCTGACAAGAAGGAGTTTGCCACGCAGTTGGGGGCCCACGACTACATTGACGCCTCCAAGGGCGACATTGGTGAACAACTCCAGAAGTTGGGCGGTGCCTCGTGCATCCTGTTCACTGCGCCCAACGAGAAGCTCATCCCGTCGTTGCTCGGTGGCCTGGGACCGCTGGGCAAGCTCGTGATCCTGGCAGCATCGGCCCCGGCCGAGGTGAACACGGCAGCCATGATTGCCAAGGGTCTCAGCATCCAGGCCTGGCCCAGCGGTCACGCTCTCGACAGCGAAGAAGCCATCTCGTTTGCCCAGGTGCACGGCGTGCACGTCATGATTGAGAAGTTCCCGCTGGACAAGGCCAACGAAGCCATGGAGAAGATGACCAGCGGCAAGGTGCGGTTCCGAGGCGTGCTCATCCCATAGACGAGTGTCGGTGGGCCGTGACAACGACGTGGATAGTTCTGATGATACCAAGCAATATCAACGCTCTGGGGAGCATTTTGACGCATCTTGCACACGTGCTCCATTTCCGAAACATAATATATTCGTGTTCACGGCAGTCATCATCCTGCTGCTGGCGTGTGTACAAGTAAATGGGAGTGATACGCTCTGCAAAGTGGTTGGCAACGCAGCCGCTGTCATTGTCGCCGGGTTGATGATTCCCGCACCACGAGTTGCGCAAAACCCCTGGCACCCCTGACACCCGCTTCTCTACCAATCACATGGCGACTGTACCTGGCGATCATACACTTTCTGCTCCATCTTTCTCACCATCCACCGTCGTCCTCAGTATAGCGTCACCAACTCAGGGTCACCCGTGTCGCAGAATGAGCTTGGTCTGCCCCTCACGATTCGTCGAAGGCCTCAATACCGCCCTGCCAGCCATGACCATGCACCATGCAGGAGGGCACACACTGGCCTAGTGAGCCCAACCTTCCTCACAATGACCGGCATCCCCGGAGGCTACTGGCGCTCTCAAAGGTGATGGCCACCGAATCTTGAATCATACACCCGACCCGGATCCCCTGTTTCTCTCCCCTGCGCGCAGTGGAATCATTCTAAACCGGCCACAGAGAAAACAAAAAGACTCAAGAAGCGAGCGGAGCCTGCTGCTTGTGGTCTTTATCCCCCCCCGTCCTCCAACCCACGTTGCAACGTTTGGCAATTCCCCCTCGTGAGAAGAACAAGACTCTCGGTCAAGTCGAAAAAGAGACGGACACCTGGTACAACAACAGACGGGCGGGACAAACCACTTCTTTTTTTTCCGCCAAACTGCACCTCCTGTCCGTGCACCTGTAACCCGGGGCTGGATCCGCTGGAGGAACCCATCCGTCGAAGCTTTTATCCTCCTGCGAGGCTGAGCGGTTTTGATTGCGATCGGCGGAGATTTGTTGGCAACCCCCTTACCAGATCATCGGCTCCCAGATTGCCTTGTCCCATATCCTAGCCACCACTGGTGCCGGAGGTTCGAATTGACGTCGGAGGGGTGTTGATCTTTCGGCGAGCGGATCATAGTGGATGTGAACGTCGCCCTGACATCGGTGACAGTTGTAAGGGACACAATCGACTGGCACTGGCGACGGTGCGGACTTTTTTGCCAGGAAGCCGTCGTGGTGGGTGTCGGAGACATCAAGCCTCCCTTGCGCAGCTGGACTTCATCTGCTGAGACACTTCCCTCTACCCACGGTGATGCAGGCTCGTCTACAACGGCGGTGACGGTCATGTTGACTTCTGACACTTGGAATTGATTCGGTCAACTATCCAACCCTTCACTTTCTCTTGGGCCCTCGAGCGACCCAGTCACCGACAGCGTCACCTCTGAATTCTGCCGCACTCTGTAAACACGACCCAAACCTTTCTGACGAGGCCCCCTCTTTCGAGACACACACACGTTCCTCTTCTACCCTCTCCAATACAAGATAGCTGCGCATTCACCATGGAGTTACGAATACAGTGTCGGCTGATATTGGCCCTCGTCGTCCATGCGTTGGTACAGCGCTCATCCGCCACCGTGACGTTTCCCTCGATTCAAGCCATCGTTGGCTTCTCGTCCTCATGTACGCTTGCGTACGACACCCCCGTGAACGATTGCGATATCAACGACTTTCAAGGCATCGGAGGAACAGGCTCCTGCTCGAGTGACTGCCAGTCAAGTCTGCAGGCATCACAGAGGTTTGTGCAACGGTTTTGTTCCGGGGAACAAGCGGATGGAAGCTCGTTGATCGGACAACTCTTCGTCGGGAACGTTGTGAACTTCTTGTGTGGGGACAATAATAGCGGCGGTGCGACAACGGCAACGACAGCGCAAGGCACGACCCCAGCGACGCAGACTTCCACTTCTGCAGACACATCCACAAGCATGGCAACTGACACCGCGACACCGGGAACTAGCACCGCCGGAACATCCTCACTAGCATCGACACTCACAACTTCTGTGAGCCAAACTGGATCTGCGAGCAAGACCACAAGTACTACTAAAAATTCCGAGGGCACCAAACAGTCGTCCTCGACGTCAACTTCGATCCAAACCTCCATTGAATCCGCGACTTCCACTCTCACGTCCAGTCAGAGCTCGAGCACGTCGTCGGCAGCTTCATCAAGCAAGACGGCAACCTCGGAGGGGTCGGAGGGAAGCAGCGGCGGGGGCAGTCCCTTCGATGGGTCGTTCTCTTCCGCGGCTTCGTCCAACACGCTACCATTGCCGAAGGTGGTATTGATCTTTGCAGCTTCGGCTCTGCTTCTCTTGGCAGTGTCGTGATGTTGGCGATCAGCAGGGATGGGCAGGAGAGAACAGATATCCGACACTCCACGAATATGGAGTGATTACCGGTTACTTCTATGCCTTGTCACAGGAGGGACCGTATGTCCGCGAGCGAAGAAAAAGATAATTTCTGACGGGAGGCGCAATCGAGTTGGTTTATGGAAACATCACTTAATGTCTAAGCAACACTCGGACGCGCGGCGAGCAACAACGAATCACACATCAACGATGACGACCATGAACATGCCCTTACAGATGATGACGGCCGTAGTTGGAAACGGCACGAGCTCCAAGCGAGAGTTCCCATTCTGCTGTTTATTTTCCCGAGATGAGCCACCCAACAGGTGGGAAGGGGAGGGGGAGAGAGTGAGAGAGACCCTGATCGGAGGCGGGATCTCTGAGAAAGGGGTCATTCATTCATGTTTTGGGTGAGAGAGGGCGCGGTTTGGTTTGCTGGGCAAAGCAAAGTTTGTCGTCCTCCGTCCGTCTGGCGCCTGAAACGGGACTTTGGAGAGAGAGAGAGAGAGCCAGAGAGAGATGTGTTGTACAATAAGAAAGACCCCAGTTTCCCGGGGGAAAGCATGAGCGCGTTTTTATGTACTGTACTATTATGAAGAGAGGCTGGCTAGGGCGCAAGCTTGGATTGTCGACGCCATGAGGCGCCAACAGGAATACTGCAGGGCATCCATCAGTCGGTCACCATCTGGCTCGAATAGGTAGCCCATTCTGCAAAGAGAAAACGAAAAAAATACACCGCATCAGAAAACGAGCGTGTCCATCTCATCTTATTCCATTTCATTCTGTTCAGTTTCCGTGCCATGTTCGTTGGGGCCTGACGAGATCGAACTACCGGCACGGTATAGTTATATCCTCGCCCGTCCTCTGTCGAAGAAGGGGGAGGAGGTGGTGGTGGTGGGCACGAGCACGACGCGTCATCTGTCAATATCAATGTCCACAGAGGCCGGCCATGGATGGATGGATGGATGGATGGGTGGATGGGATGGATAGGATTCACGACAGGCTCAACTCGGCCAACACCGCTGCGATATCTTGGTCTATTTCCCGTCCTCTGTCCCGTTCCACGCCCGTGTCCATCTCCACGTCGTCGTCGTTATCGCCTCGATGCCCTGTCCCTCCACCTCCACCTGCGATTCCCCTTTCCTTTCCTTTTCTTTTTCCCGTTCCCGTTGCCTCGTCTCCATCATCTCCATCCTCATCCTCCTCTGCTCTCGGGTGGTGGTCCTCCTGCCGCCGCCGCCGCCGATGCCGCCGCAGCTGCACATCCTCGAGGCACGCGCGCATCACCGCCCGCGCCTCGCGGTGCTGCCTGCTCTCGCGGCCCCAGGTGCGCGCCACCAGCTCCAGGTTGGTCCGGACGGTCGCCAGCAGCTGCTTGATTTCCTGGTCCGCCTGCCCGTGGGCGTGGGCGTCGTCGGCGGGCGGCGGAGGTTCGCGCATGCTGGGCGGCGAGGTCGTTTTTTCTACTGGCGTTGCTGTCGGTGGTAGTGAGTGTCTTGCTGTCTTGGTGGTGTCCGTTCTTGTTGTCGTCGTCGTGGAGGTTGTGGAAATTGGGGGGTTTCGTGGGATTCTTCGACAGACACAGACACAGACACAGGACGGACAGGATAGAAGGAGGAAAGGGGAAAGGGGAAGGGGAAAGAAAGGATGATAGAGGAAAAGATGTGTGCGTGTGTGTGTGTGTGTGTGCCTGTAGATGGATCTTGGGAATTTAATTGATTGGTATTCGTCTTGAAGCCCATACATTCATCCCATCCCATTCCATCATGGACTATCTATATGTCATAAGTAGCACATATAACACACATACATACATACACACATACACATCCCCATCATTGTCAATATTACTTATATAGCTTATAGCGCAAGGCTGGGATTTCCCGGATCTGGCCATATTATATTCAACACCCACCCCCTCCTATCAAGTATGTGTGTATATCTACTAATTAATTACAGTGTAGATGCCCCCCATCTCCTTCCAAGAGCCTTCCTCTCTCCCTTTTCTTGCGATGATGCATGGTTCAGCGGGAATACGCTGTCCTCCCGCTAAGGTGTCCTCGAAAAGTCAAAGGATAGCCAGCCAGTGGGCGTGGATGGACAATTGTCCAGGTGAATTCAATTCTGAGCCCAATTTGGGTGCCTGCATGTCTCTCTCTCTCTCTTTCTCAATACAAGTACGGGTAGATCTTTCATTAGCGCCTCTGGCTGTTCCTCGTCCAAGCCGTCACATTGCCCCCGTGGCCATGTCCTCCTTGCCAATAATGTCCCCTCCATACCCAACGCCTTGCATGTCAAAATGAGCCGCAACTAAATCCAACAACTTCCCGCTTGTGCAATCAGGTCCGCCGTAATGTTCGCCGGGCCGTACTTCTACTTCTCCAAAAATCCAGCGTGGTGAAATGATTTATGTCTGCAGGCGGCAATGAGCTCGCCTGGAGAGATGCATTCCACCTCGCGCTGGTGGTAGCCATCCTGGCTCTGCTGGGCCTATGCGTGGGACATGAATGTTCCCGTGGCTTTTGTCGTTCCTCGTGATAACTGGACCGTCAATCGCTTGTGTCGTATCTCCGTCCGAAAATCGGGTGTCGCCGTGTGGCCCTTTGCTCCCATGGTGCAGCGGACCGACGTGGCTCGAAAAGCATGACAGCCCCCCTGGCATTGTGCAGGGCCACGTATCAAAAAGTTGAGAGATTCGTCGCTGCCATAATTTGTTGCAGGTCCGATCGCGATTTGGCTTTAATCCTCCCCCCAAATTCTTACAAAGGCCCCTCAATCGATCAAAGGCTTCTTTACGGAGCCCACCAGCGCCACTCCCAAACAGCTCAACGCATTAGGATCGGAAGCGCGTATTATAGTGGCCAAGGGTAACATCGGATTTTCCGCATTGACGTGAGAAGCGTCTCGAGCCGCTTGTTCAATGGCTTCCATTTCCGCTTTGCATGCTGCGTGGTCCAGAGGACAGACGACGATCGGCTGTTTCAAGATGATATCTTTGGCACCAGCCATTGATGCCTGAGATCAATTAGCCATCCAGAGCCCCCTTCGCGTATTGCGCCAGTTTCACATACCTTGATGGTCAGGTAGTATTCCACCTTGTAAAGACCTGCCGTCGTCGTAAAGCCCGTCACTGAATATGTAGGAAACGCTGATCTGCCACGAGGCATGACCCCATCCGCATCCCGGAGATCGCTCGAGGGGAAGACGAGACCTAGATTGGTGAAATAACCCGCTTCAGGCATTTTCACGCCCACGGTTTCCGTCTTTTTGACCAGACTCTTGGTCTTCCTCTGAGGCTCGTCCCCCTCGTGGTTGTAGATGACCTCCTCGTCGATGCCGATCTCGATCCTTTTGATGGTCACCTTACGCGCCTTGCTCAGCCAGTCCGGGTTTGGAGATAGCTTGATGTACACGCTGACCGGATCCAGGGGGCCGTAGGACCACCGCGGGAGGGATATCCCCAGAGTCACCAGATGATCCGAAACTCGCTCCGCCGTTTCGGGTCTGTTATACATGCCAAAAGTCGAGAGTGTGTCGTACCGTGCAATTGGTACGGGAAATGCATAGGTTTTGCGATCCGTTCCTCCATAACCCACCGTCACCACCATCTCGTAGTATGTCTCGGCCGTCCGTCGTGGTAGTTGTAGACTCGCCGGGGGCACTCGTCGGGCGGTCTCCTGCCCTCCCCGCCCAAAGGGAATGAATATCACGAAGGGCAAGTCCATGTACATAATCTCCTCGTATTCCCGGTTGGCTGGACATCGGAATAACAGCATCTCTTTCCCCACCGTCTCCGTCGACTCTTTCCTGGGCGCAGCCAGGTGTTTCTTGGTGACCGAATCGGCATGGGGATGGATGCTTTCTCTTCTCTGCAGGCAGATTGTGACGATGGAGACGTTGACGGGACTGGAGATGCCGACGCCAGGCCGTATTTCGACAGTTCCTTCAATGCGAGGCTATGTGGAAAACATGTCAGCACATGGGCCCGTTCGTCAGGCGCAACAACTTGGGGCGTCTGCTTCCCAACTCACCAGCGTCGCAGAGATCCCCGGGTATCCGACCAGAAAGTTTGTGTTTGGGCGGCCAGATACTCGCACAAAAGCGCTCATCTTCTCGTTGAGCTCGAACCTATGTTGAGACCATTACCACGAGGCGGGAGTGAGATTGTCCGGTGACTGCGGCCTCGGAGGGAAGTGGTAGGACTGGAGAACTGCGGCGGCCTGTTTCTGAGGGACAGTGTGAAGCCCATGAGGCGCCAGAGGATGTTACATGCAGAAGACAATGCCGGATTCGTCGTTATGGTTCTTTGTCGTACGATCAATAGTGGACGTCGGTGTGGTGTTGGGGGCCAAACAAGCGTGATGACAAGGGCGGGTCAGAGGTTTTGGAGACGTCGAGGTCGGTAGTGGGGAGGGGTGGGAGCGAGCAGACGATGGAGTTTCCAAAGAATATCCGAGCAATGAGATATAGCAGGTTGAAGATGGTGAGTGATGAAGCTGGAATATGGGGCGCGGCTGGACCCAAGGCGTAGATGGCTTGGAATATGCGAGGAGAAACAGTTCAGCAATCCGTCAGTGCAGTTCAGGTCAGTTCGGTCAGTCGGTCGGTCGGTACAGCGTTGGGGGGGTGTCCTTATTACGTGAAGCCGCAGGACACGCAAGACACGCAGGCACTGGATAGCCCCGGGCGGCCCAGGTACCCTATGGATTCTTAGGTATGCTGTTTACAGATCTAGACCCCAAAGCCCACCTACTTCCTGTAGGTACTGTACCTATATAATGACGCCCACCCACCCCCAAGTCCCGCCCATGCTTTTTGGGATTTCCCGTGCCTAACTAGAGCTCACCCACGCCCATGTCCCCTGCGCCCTCCTGCCCTTGGTTGCTATGATGCAAAGGGTCTCCGGGTGATGACATGGACAACCTACAAAATGGCTCACCTAGTCAGCACTATGGAAGGAGGGAATCTTTCATTCAGATCGAGTAGCCCTAGTGACCCGTAGTCATCACCCACAACGTGCCCGAAAAGTATTGCCGCGTGTTGTCCACACGAAACAATCGCCTCAGCCTCAGCCTTATATCAGCGTTGAGCCAGAGCCACCCGCCTCGTCAACGGCGCTGCCCGTCGCCCATCCCCAATTGCGCCCCCACCTGGTTGTCTAGCTACGCGAATCCTCTTCCACGGCGTCTTTCGTCACCCACTGTGGCTGTTTTGGTTGCGTCAAATCCATCTCCAGGTAATAATGCAATTCCCGTGTCAGCATCTCGCCGTTTTTTTCCTCTCCTACTCACCAAGCACTTGTCCGTCCCGTATCGCACTAACCACCTCCGCATCCCGTCCTTCGACGTGCCAACTCGGGTTGCCTGACTCCTCCACTCGTCAAGTCCGTCCACGGGGCGGCTGGCATTTTGGCCAGCGGAGAAGCTTGCGAACAGCACATCCATGCTCCTGTGCCTGCGGGCCGCCAACCACGCGCCTCCATCGGGAGAGAGGGCATATTATCCGACCGACATTACACGTGTGGTCATATTCCGTTCTCAGCTCTGTCACAGGTGACTGGAACGGTACTCGTTCGAGCTGAATTGGCTACCGCCATCGCAATATATGGTCGCGTATCTACTCCTTCGATCTCGATCTGCTAGAACTGAGATGCGGCACTTCTGTGACCATGTCTTGTTTCTGGAACGAGTTCTCGGGGGTGCATACTCGATCGACCGAAATGGCAAGAGCAAGGATCTAGTTGGCGACCCAGGATGCTGGATTATTGCTTGGTCTTGACTATCATGTCCATCTCAACAGTGGTTGCTAGCATTCCTCGTCTGAAGTGGCTGTTCAATGGCTGGTTTCGTCCTCTAGTCGTCGTCTTACGTCCTCTTTTTGAGTCTTGCTTTGGCTGTACATTTTCGTTCAAGGTCGTACCGCAATAATTCGTACGGCTCTCGTCTCTTCGTCTTCCCTCGATGATTCAGCCTGCCAAAGGATTCGCATGAATCGTCACCTTCTCTAGAATAATCTTCTCCTTGGGGCGGTATTTCTTGTCCACCTCCACAGCCTCCATCTTGTCCAAGGTGCCCCCTTCTTCCGCACCCTCAATAACCCTCCCAAAAACCGTATTCTTGCCGTCCAAGTGAGCCGCCTCTTTGAACGTGACAAAAAACTGGCTGCCATTGGTGCCGGGGCCCTTGTTCGCCATCGACACCATGCCTCGTCCGCTATGTCTCAGCGCGGGAATTTTTATCTCGTCTTCAAAATATCCTCCCCATATTGACTCCCCTCCTTTTATGACGGGCTTTTCTGCATTCGCGTTGCCAGGGGACAAAGAGGTATCGCCACCCTGGACCATAAATTCGGGTATCAGGCGGTGGAAGGGGGTGCCTTCATAGGCCCCTGAGGCGCATAATGCAAGGAAATTCTCTGCTGTTCTCGCGACCGCTTCGCAAAAGATTTCGACCTTCAGATTACCGTGGGTTGTATGAAGCTAAGGGAGGGGAATGAGCATGCCTTCATGGTGTAGCAGAAGAGGGCGACGGTACGTACCGTGACAGACATGCTGTAGCAAGGAATCCATGAGCAGCTCCGGCGTGTCTTGGAGATATTTCTGGAGATATTTTGGAGGGACTCGGAGAAGCAAAAAAGAAGGCTTCGTCCCTTTCTGGTCCAGGCACCGGAAATTCGACAGAGCGCAAGGCACGAGCGCGTTGTATATACGCACCTACTGCAGATATGTAATGTAGGCCAAGATGGTGTGGAAGAAATGCGGTCGGTCACGTGGTTGAAGATGTCAACCGCACGCGACTCCTGCTACAAAAGTATACAAGATCTTTCACAAGTGATATGTCTTGTCACCCACTCGGCCGGGCCAAGTCGAAGCTATCGCTGGCAACTTGAAGCTAATAATATCCACAAACGAGACCTCAGTCCATACCGCGGTTGTCCCCCTTTTCCCCCTTTCCAATAAAATAAACCATCCCGCCCTGTTGCGGAAGAAATGCATGTACACATGCATGACCTATGTGTATCTCCGATCGCTCATCGTTCATTCTTTCCTAGGTATATCGTCGTGACACAGTTCAATAAAAAGAACACCAGGCCCTAATGGTACAATGCCGAGCAGCCGCTCTGACATGCCGAGAATCGAAACTGTACAAATAGTTAAAATCAACCATGATCAAGCTCGTCGTTGATCAAGTCGTTGGGGGCATGGTGGTCGCGTTCTTCTTGGATATCCAAGACATCAGCATGGTGTCAAGCTGTGACTGCATCTCGGCAAGCTTCGTCCGCTCATCCACGAAGAGATTGTGCATCAAGGGATGGTCCGGACCCACTGGGGTGACATTCGATTTGTCGTGCACAATGATGAGGAGGTCTTTGATGTCTTGACTGTTTTCCATATACGATCTCAACGACGCGTCTGACCACGTCGGTGTCGACCTAGAAGTTGACGGTGTATGTGTGGTAGATGAAGGTGAGGGCTTCGAAGTGCTGGCAGTCCCATCCGATTCGGATGGATTAGGCTCATGCGGTAGCGGGGACGAACTCGAAACTGCCGGCTGCAGAGCTTGGAATTTACTGTCCCCAAACTTCCCAGGTGTCATGGCTGCCGTGGTCGAAGGTTGTGTCGCAGAGTCTGATCGAGGCTGCTGTGCCTGCAGCTCTGTGGCAGGCGAAACGCTCTGACGGCCTCGGTTATCCGCTCTTGCATTCTTATCATCTGTCTCTGAATCACTTTCGTCTATTGCGAAGCGCTCCTTTGCCCTCTTTGTATAGATTGGCTTGATGGGGGATCCACCATCTGGGCTCATTGAAGGACTAGGCTTGAGGGCCGTCGTGACCGGCGCAAAAATAGACCTCTTCTCGGTAAGAGAGGGGAAGCGGTTGACTTGTGCGGACTGAGATTGCACAGACGCACCGGGCTGCTGACCCTCGGCCTCGACTCTGCGGACAGTGGGCGGTTCAGGCGCGGGCCCAGTCGGGGCTGGAGGTGCTTGTCCGGGTGACTGTTGCGGATGTCGTGCCTCCGTGGGTGACGCCTTCGGTGATATGCCTGGTGGTGTCTTTTGCAGCTTGCTCGGCCTGCGTTCTGGGCCATTTTCAGGCTTCATGGTCAAGGACTCCATAGAGTCTTTCGAGCCTGGAGATTGACGAGGATCTTCCAAAACCTTTTCGCTCTCCTCTTGCGGCGTGCCCTTCTTCCGTTTGAAGAGCCCACTGAGCATGCCCTTCTTCTCTTTCTTTTTGTCCTTTGATTTGTCGTCCACGCCGACCATTTTGTCGAAAGTCTCGAGGCTTGGACGCTGGCGGACTTCCTGTTCTGTCGATCCACCAGAGTCGGAGTCACCTCGCAATAATCGCGGCGTCAGCGAGATCTTCTTCGTCTCGACCGTGTCATCCTTAAAGAACGAATCGGTGTTTCTCACGACCCCTTTCCTCGACCGCTGGACGGGTTCGTCGTTCTGCCGCGATTCTAAGCTGGATTGTGACTGTTGAACCTTGACCGGGCTTGACGCTGTTTCATTCTTCAAGCTGTCGTTACTGGTCACCCGCTGAATACCGTTGACCGCAACGCCTTCTCGGGGTTCTTGGGTCTCAGCTGAAGTGGCTGAACCCTCTTGTTGATCGTCGGGGTTTTCGCCGTCATCAGAGGTGTCCATTCCAATCTGGTCGAGCTGGCCGTCCTCGCCTTCTTCTTCCTCGTCCGAGTACTCATAATCTGAAGGTTCGTAAAATGTTGGAGGTGCGAACTGGACTGTTTTGGCGTTGCGTCGGCGCATCGCCTTTTTCAACGGATTCTTCGATTTTTCGGGGTTATCCCCCAGCATTTGCGCGGACAACTATAGCCACATCAGCAACATCTCGAAATAGATAGGAAAACCACGCACATCCACATTTCTGTGTTTGTTGAGTCGAGCTAGTCGTTCGGTCGGTGTTTCGATATGTTCGGCGGGCAGGTAGCCTGAATTCACGATGAGTGTACGGAGCCTTGGATAGTAGTTCCACATCGACTCACCAATGCTGCTGTCTTTCACAACCCGGACAAGCCACCAATAACTGTTGCTATCATCGAGCAACACCATGGTGTCACCCTTTGTGGCATTGGCCTGACCTTCAACCGTCGCGACAAATGTGTGTAGTGCATACACAAACTCGAAGTCGATGTCCTCTATTTCTCGTAAGCACTCTCCTCCCCAACCAGAGTCGATGAAGCGTTCGTCCGGGGAAAATTGAAAGTCATCGGTGTCATCATCAGAACTTTCCTCGAGCCCGGGAAGGCAAGAGTCTTCGTCCTCCCATTCGTCATCGTCACCGTCAGGGAAGTCGTCCCCATAATCCTCCACCGTGCCGGCCAAGAGAGGGTCGTCAAGCGGCAACAGGTACCGCTGGAATTCCTGAGAGTCGGACAGTGAAAGGCAGGTCTGTGCTGGCAACTCCCGTCCCATCACAGGTAATGGGTTCCCACTAGGTCTCGATTGCTCGTCCAGGAAGACCAGGCCTGATCTCGCTTGGCTCAGACTCTCGACATACTCACCATGATGACTTGCCGTGCGATACGATTGCGAATGGTGCAAAGGAAAATGCTCGGGTGTAGAAGAGAATGGTGATGAGGATAAGGAATCGCCTCGAGTCGGCGTCGATAGTGAAGCCGGGGAAGCTTCAGAATCCACAGAATCGACCCGGGGCGGCCATGGGGGGAGGGGGGATTTACCATCTTCAATTGAAGGCGAGCTCGAGATTTTGTCCATCAGGTCGTCGTCCATATCTTCGTCATGGGAGTCACCACCATCCCCTTCGTCCAGGTCCTGCCCATGGTATCCGGCTCCGTTTGTCGCATTTTGGGTGTTTGGATGTTCATCGTCTCGGTCGTCGTCTAGATCGTCGTAGAAATGTTCTGACTGTTGTTGGAAACCTCCATTGGCTCTCTCTTCCGAAGCCCTTGGACTGGTATGTTGATCCTGATATGATCCTTGCTCGGCATGTCTCAAGGCTTGGGCTTGATGTGGAGCGGCGGGACCATAACCGTATGGTGAAGGGTGTGCGGGTTGTCTCGAGTGGTCTTTTGCAGACGGCGACGTGTGGTCTTGCAGATCGAGGGTATCTAGTAGCATGATGAGGTGAGCGAACTCCTTGTTTATAGCGATGGCATTCCTATTGAGGTGAGCTTACCAGCTCTGACAAGCTGCGGCTTTAAGGTGGTCATTGCGCGAACCATCTATGCGGGAAGATGGAGTGTCGCGCTGAATATCCGCCCACCAGAATCGACGGGCCTCGAGTCGATACAGGTCGCATAGAGACACTTGTGGATCAGTTGAGGAAGAAACAGGCGCGAACGAGAAATTCTTCGGGTGTACAGCGATCGAGGGTCAGGGCGAAGGAAAGATGCCGTTAGGAGACGTATCTTCGAGGCCAGACGCGGTAATGACAGTGAGGGCGCAGCGGTGGCCACCTTTGTGCTCGACGACGAATTGAGCGACGCGTTGATTAGCGAGGACCAGTGAAGAGAGGGAAACCTTGGAATGAAAGTGGCGTGCGCAAGGCGCAGGATGCTGGGGTACCGAAAATAACGTTTTTCGTCGTGTGGAAACGGTGTGATAGAGGATAATGAAGGAGTAGTGGGTAAAAACGAAGCCCTGAATCCCCCTGTCAAAAGCAGGCCATGATTGAAAAGAGCGAAAAAGGAAAGGAGGATGTTGTTTCAGGATTTTGGTGGAGGTGCAGGGACGGAAGACGGAGTTCTTGCCCAAGGGCGGGATTGCTGAATCGACATGGGGGGCGGCAAGTGGAAGGGGCACCTCAGGAACGGGCGAATTACTTTCAGGGACCAGGGCAACTCAGTGGCCCAAGAGTCTACGCGGTAGGGTATTTCGGGTGCGAGCCTGTGGGAGTCGATTCGGCGAGATTGGTTAGCGTCCTCGAAAGACCCCCGGGCGCCTGTTTTGGGGTGGTACCTTGGGGCGGCAGGGCCTAGGGTCTGGTGTGAGGACGTTTTGTGGGGGTCACAGAGCCTGCGGCCAGAGGCAGGCCACCAATTATCGAGATGCCCACACCGTTTGTCGTCGCCGTGATGGCATTTCAGAGCGCTCAATGGCCTGCTTAGGTCTGGAGAAGGTTTTCTTTTTCATGTATCATTTTATTCGGTCATCGCATGTGACTGCTTTGTTGCTTTTTCGTCCTTTTGGGACATAACTGAGGGTACAAAGAAGAATGATGGGTTTGCGCCCCTCTGAAACGGCACTCTCCGTCACGGGCCAGGCCTATCCTAAACGCTTTTAGCCCTAGGAGGGCGCCGCAGTGCCTAATGTCTTCCACTTGAGTGCCCGACTTTGGGTGCCTTTGCCTGCCAATCTTGCCAATCTTTTTTTCTCTTGCACCCGACCAGGATTTGCGCGACTTCTCCAGCCTTGGTGCCCCACGTGCGAGTGCAACACCACCACCACTTTTTCTTCACTTCATGTATGCGTTCACCACCACCACAACCCTCTGCTCTATGGGGATCAGCTCGTCGGCTTTTTGAGACCCGCGGGTCTCTCAGATTTCGCATCCGACAAGTCACCACTGAGGGTTTCGCTTTAGAGCTGCCGACTAGCTGAAGCGCATCTTCCGGTCTTCCTGTTGCGCGGAATGGCGCAGGCTGACACCGGCCATCTTCTCCAAAGCCTGCGCCTGAGTTCCTCAAGTCATGAAAATGACATCAACCACAATGAATCCTCCTCGTCATCGTTGAACGACCTTTCTGGCGAGATGCACAGCTCCTCCGACGGGTCTCCTGTAATATCCCGCCCATCCTTCAAAAGCTCGGGTACAAGTCAAAACACCATTCGCCCGACAGCGACCCCTCCCGTGAACATACCGGCGACCAGTGAATCTTCCACCGCAATCAGAGACTCTGCGAGTCCTTCCAGCTATATAGATCAATTCGTGCGACGGCGGAATCCCTCGGTCAGCTTCAACAATGAGATCATCCTAGACTCGGGGCACCGGCAGAGCATGCAAGAGCCGTTAGAAAAGCCGTCAAAGGCTCGAGAGCGTGGGCGCACCCTGTTCCAAGCCATGGCAGACGCCCAGAAATCGAATAGGGCACACAGTGAGTCAGACAGGTCACACTATGATCCTGTCACAGGCCGGCACCTTCCGAAGTACTCGCAAAGCCCACCGAGAGAACAAGCCCGGGTTGGAGAGGGCCGCTTTCCTTTACTACAGACCACTGTGGATGCTCTGGCGAGAGAATCGCACCCAGACCTACGGCATAGCATGTCGATGCTCTCTGACTCGGCGCTGTCTTCTGACGAGCAAGCCTTTCCCGCTCCGGATGACGAGAGTTATTTGCTATCTCCCGCGGCAGCCTCGCCTCTCGCGGGCCAGGCATTCTCCTTCGACGAACCTAAACCATTCCGACGCACTGCGTCACAGAGGTGGCGAGAGGGGGACCCCAGCGCCTCCCCGCAAGATTTCTTCGCGCGGGCGGGGAGTTTGCGTAACAAAAGTATGCGAGACATTGCAAGCCGGGCATCTCGGCGGGAGACGTCGGGCTCTGCTACACGGTCACCTCGATCAGCAGCCTCTTCGTATCTGCGGGCATTTTCGATGAGCAGCGGGACGAATGGGGAGGGAGCTGACGCAGGCCCCCTCCTCTGCGATTCGGAGGGCCAGACTATCGGGGATGATTACGTGTTAGGCAAGCAAATTGGATATGGTGGCTTCAGCACGATTAGGCAAGTGACACAACTTCAAGACAGTAAGCACCGCATACTCGCTGTCAAGATTGTCCGTCGCCAGATCGAAGGTAAAAATGAGACAGAGAATGAGCAAGCTCAGGCTGAGTTCGAACACGAGGTTGAGCTATGGCGGTTCCTCAACCATCCCAACATCCTCCCCCTTGAGGCAGTCTACAAACTGGATGACGCGACTTTCTGCTTCATTCCACTCAACACCGGCGGAACGCTCTTCGACCTTGTTCGATCGAACCGCAAAGGAATTCCGCAGGAGCTTTGCAAAAGCTATTCCTACCAGCTCGCCTCCGCACTGCGTTATCTTCACCTCGACGCGCGCGTTGTACACCGCGACGTCAAGCTGGAAAACTGTCTAATAGAGCCCACCAGTGATGGGGGTCCTGGCCTTCTGCGTCTTTGTGACTTTGGTATGGCAGAGTGGCTCTCGACGGACAGCATGTCTGGCCCGCCTAGCCCTGAGTTCAACGATATGGATCGGCCTCCCCGGAAGCCTATCGGCCCAGCTGACACCTCGACGTCTGCATTCGCAGGTGGTAGCCTCGAGTATGCCGCCCCGGAGATCCTGCGTATCGCGGAACGAGTCAAGGCTGATATCTCCGTCGAGCGTGCCATTGTGTCGCCCGCGGTTGACATCTGGGCTTACGGCGTCTGCGTCTACAGCATGATTGTAGGGTCGCGGCCGTTTCAGAATTCCTTTCAACCTCGCGTAGTCATGGCTATTCTGGGTGGAGATTGGAACCGTGCACTCCTTTCGGACAAAGGCGGAAGCGACGCTCACGAGCTGGTCAGTGGATGTCTCGAGATGGATGAAGCCATGCGCTGGGATATAACGCGAGTGATTGATTGTGCCTGGCTTGAAGAACTTGCAGGCCAAGAGGAGAACCAGCAGGGTATGAATGGTTGGCGCCTCTGATTTGAAAGACACAAAGCGACAAAGCACCATCATGAATGGGACAGGGTGAAGGGCTCTCCTTCGAGCTTTTTGGAGACCTCTTGTCTCATTCACTGCGACACTCGAAAAGTGCTGCGTCATTGGAAAGTTTTGTTTATACGGCCAGGCACCTGTTCTCGGGACGCGTGCTGGGGATGGGTGGAACGGACGCGACGACGGCTTTGGGGCTGAGCTCGTTGCGGCTCTACCGGACTTTTATCGACTTTACGACTGTGACGAAACGGATCTCTCTCTCTCTCTTGTTTTCTCAGACTTCGCTTGTGCATCTTCGGCGGCAGGGTGTTTCATCTCGGGCGGGACAGAGAGTCATGTGCTTTGAGAAGAGCAAGCGATTGATAATGTACGATTTGTATACTATGACTAAATACCATAAATCACAATTCCAGAACTCAAGCTCAGCAATCTGTGAAGATGTTTCCACGCACTTTTTCTATTTGGGGCGGGTATATTAGTGGTGGACTAGACTTTCGAGTTGGGGTTGTTTAGTCGGGACATGTTTTTCCGGCACTATTCGAGGAGCCCATTCATCTATACGTATCAATCACCTTAGGTGACGAAGCTGGGAAATGCCGAACGCACATATCAGTTATGAGTCGTGTATCGACATGGCGACAAGGCGGTACAGTTAAGAGAGCACTATACCGAGTATAGAAATGTATCCGCTCATGACTCCTCTATCGTACTGAGGGGGTGTCCAGTCCATACCCTAACAAGCGACCGGCCCGCCTTGCGCCCCCGGGTTTGTCGCCCTCACTCCTCCCATCTCTGGTTGATTGATCGAAACATTGATTCCGGCGCTTGCTCGGCCCTTCGGCGTATCCGTTTTGAGATTCCCCCGTACAGTAACATCATACGAGGGAGCATCTCCTCACTGTCGGCGTTTAGAGTGAGGGTGGTTGGGCGCGTGCGCGAAGGGATATCCCTACTGTTTATCACCACCCACACACACCACTACCCACAAGTGCCCGAACCTCGCGGCAGTTGCCCGATACGGAGATGGGGGAGAGCGGACCAGCGCACATGCTCTGGTGGAAAGGATTCCAATCGCCATCTCAAGCGACCCGTTGTTGCCAGGTGACGTACTGCACGCCAGGCACCAGCCCAGCCTGCAGGGCCGGAAAGCCCGTACTTGAGGTCTTAGTGTCCGAACCGGCGTTTGCTCCCTCTCCCTCGATGAGAATGGGGTGGTTTTAAGAATCCCAGGACGACCATGTCTCAATCCATTCCTTGACTGATCCTTACGAGACTGCCTGACTGCCTGACTGTGTGTCTCTCTGTGCCTGCCCCGGTCTGAGCAGGGACTCAATAACCAACCTTGCCTGCATTCACTCACTCGCTGACTGAATTGTTGGAACACGTCACAGAACTTGAGAACAATCTGAATACCTCTCAGCTTGAATCAATATCCCACCAGATCTACAAACCTAACGTAGAAGCACCCTTCACATTTCATCACTCACAGCACTAGGTCGATCTCGAGATATGTCTGACAATCCCCCCGCCACCGACGCACAGCCACCGGTTCCATATCAAGTCTACAAGCCGGAACTGGAGCAGGTGCCGTCCGCGATCGCGACCCTGCTCGCCGAGTACGCGGGGATACCGCCCGAGGCGCAGAAGGAGCACATCAAGACGGTGCGCGATCAGGCCTTCAAGTCGTACCCGTACCCATGCCTGGGCCGCTGGCGGTTCCTCGAGCTCGACCTGTCCAGACACCCGTTGTACCACAGCTACATCGTGCCGATGATGTCCAACGACGAGAAAGCAGCGGACGGCGCAGCGGCTGGCGGTGGAAAGGACGACTGGATCTTCCTGGACCTGGGCTGCTGCTTGGGGCAGGACATCCGCAAGTTGATCTTTGACGGCGGGGACGCCAGCCGCATCTACGGCGCGGACCTGCGTCCGGAGTTTATCGACGTCGGATACGCGCTGTTCCGGGACGAAGACAAGTTCCCGCGCGCCGAACACTTCATCGCCCCGGCCGACGTCTTCGACTTCTCCCCCGAGAGTGAGCTGAGCAAGAAGTGCGACGGGCGCGTCGGCATCCTGCATTCCACTTCCGTCTTTCACCTCTTCGATTGGGACCAGCAGGTCGCCATGGCGTGCCGGTGCCTGCAGCTGATGACCACGAAGAACGGCCGCGTGCTGATCTGTGGATGTCAAGTGGGCAACGTGACCGCGGGCGAGTTCCCTCGACGTCTGGGTGGGGGCTCACGGTACCGACACAACGAGGCGAGTTGGAAGAAGATGTGGGACGAAGTCGTCCGCCAGGAATCGTCCAAGTACGAGATCCGGGCGGTCAGGGCAGGGGCGGAAATGTACGGCAGGGATCAAGACCGCGTCAGAGAGGAGTTGGCAGCGCAGCGCCTGGCTCAAGGAGAAGATCAAGAGACAGCTAGCGAGGCCAAGGAAGGGGGAAGCAAGGAGGAGCTCAGGTACATTGGGAGGTTCGAAGAAGGGATGAGATGGATGAAGTACTGGGTTTGGATTGACTTTGCTTAGAATCGAGGTTGCGGTTCACGAATGGTCCTAAACCATTCATTTTCCTTGGGCTGGTTAGAACAGGGTGGTTTTGTCATCACAGGCCGCTCATGTCCCTCACTCATTGATGTTGGCAGCGTGACTCGAGAACATGGACTTGGTTTCTCTGAATAACTTACCCGCCGTCCTGGGACCCCGGTGGAGCATTCTCGGACTGACAACGGACTATCAAGGTCTGTGGCCGAGACCATGCTCAGTGTGTAGAGCTTGTCCACCCGTCAGACGAACTAATTGACGAACTTGAAATGCAACTTCACCTATTCTCTGAAGCTACTGCACGCTTGGCCCGCTTGGTCTGTGCCAGAGAGGGGCATGAAAGGCCACCCACCGATGCACCGATGTGTTGGCAATGCACGTGAAATCCCGGCGAAGCATGTCCTGGGTTTAGCGAGAAGTTTATATCGCGGGAACCTCTCAATGACACAGACCGGTGAGCGGCGCACACATCCCCGGGGCAGCCAAGTGGTGAGCCATGAGACGAACAAGGGAAGAGACTTGCACGAAGGCCCTCTCGGGCTCGGCAACAGGGATAGTGCCAAATCCTTCAATGCATAAAAGATGCTGCCGTTCCTCTCCCAAAGCGGAGAAGACCTTCGATTGCGGCATTCGTGACGGTTTTCGTCTCAGCGGATCCCTGTCCCAGTAAAACGTCTTGGAAAAAGAGACAATGTCCTCGACTTCGTCTCCCACAGATTCGACATCGACCTCTGCAACGTCGACAGGTCCGGTCGCAGGATTACTATGGGTGACGACAAGCATCCTGAGAAAAGACCTCCCTTCGTCGCTGCTTGACGCGTGGTACGAGGAGCACATTGCCGACGTCTTGGCTTGTCCCGGTAATGGGGGTCTTTTTCTTCGATACAAAAACATTGACCCGACCGCCGACACTTACGTGGACCCTAAATTCGCAGAACGTACCACGCCGTCGGCATCTGAGAAGGTCATTGTCGAGACATTATGGCCCAACCTTGCCTTGGTGAAGCTGAGCGATTTGGCCTGGCTGACCAGCAAGCAATTCGATGACATGCCCAGAACTTCCAAGTTATTGCCTCCCGAGCCAGACGGATCGATTGGAAGTGCGTTCAGCTGCTGGTATGGAGCTCTGCGGAGTTACGAAACAGTGGGCAAGATCGATGATAAGACTGGAAGCACCACTCGGCCCAAGTACCTGCTTAGTGTACAGACGAAGGACGCAGATCAATCCGTCTGGAAGGCGCTGGATGACAAGTACGCGACTCTGCCAGGCTTCCGAGGCTCAGTCAGATATCGCATTGTGGAAGGTTTGTTGGAATTCGGGGAACCGGGCACAATGCCAGCTGGGATGGTCCTGTATGAGTTTGACGGGGATGCACCCCCTTCGGTGCTCACGGATGATCATCAACTCAGGGCCGACGTATGGGCGTTAACCAAAGAGGCGGGGGATCCGTCGCTTCGCCTGTAACGGAGCTCGAGTCAGCCAGCTCGATGTTGATCTTCTCTTCCAACAAGCGAAAGAGAGGCAGATTTGAAGTCGAGTGACGCGGTTAGACGAGCACATCTTACCTCTGTGAGACTCCTGATGCGCAGAGGGGAGGCAGCTTTAGGGGAGCACGGGCAATGACCGACGATGAAATTTGGCGATGTTGATGGATGTTGGTTGATCGACTGCCAGGCAGCCTGCGGTGGAGCAATTGGACAACCAAATGTAAATACTGCTTCTCCGTATTACATATCTGCGCTCCCGAATGTACAAACTGCCCCTTGCTTGTACAACGCCGACAAACTCTCCCCTCACTGTCGTCAAATGAACAGACAGAATCATGTTGGCACATGAAGACCGCTCTGTGTCATGGACTCGAGTCACTTCTCTCCGGACGGACCACATGAGGCTACCCTTTCATCCCCTGGTACTGTGGGCAAATCACTAACTGACCAATCTAGCACTGGGTAGTCCATGTCGAGTACCTCTCAATGCTCAAAACATTGACGAGCATCTACAAACACCCGAATATACAGGGGTTTGAGCTATGCTTGACCTGGTCGAACCCTTCTGTTGATCGAGGCTGCTTTCGTTCTGCTCCTTCAGAGGTAGACGGATTTGGCTGCTTGACCTCCATTCAGATCACGGCCGGTCGACGCTGTGAAGAGAAGGCAGGCCTGGGTCTCCTCGGTACTTATTTGTTTGATCTGGTGGATCATTTAATCTCTCTGTCCGAGTATGCGAGATCCAGGGCAACCGGGATCTGTGATTTGAGATCAGATGGTGGAAAGGCACTCGATAGAAGCAAGGGGTGGGGCAGTGGTGGTGGTGATAGTATCCAAAGACATGTGGACGATGCAGCTGTGATTCGCTCTAAGCCGGGTTCCTTTTTTGCAAGGGTCCAAGCAAGTCATTGTTCAGGTACAAGAAGTACATTTTTCTCATCCCATCCCGGTACCCGAGGCCATACATTTATCCCCTGCTCTCTGGTGTGAGGATGTATATTGAGGAGGGAGAGCAGCCCTGGGAATCTGGTGGGGCAACACTGAGAAGTCCATGGGTTCAACCGGACGTGACTGCGCGGGTCCTGCGCTAAGTATCTAAATTCCTGGGTATTTAATTATATCGTAAAAGTACATCCCAGGCGATCGGCCGTTCTCCGAACCACAAAGCCGGAGGATATCTTCATCGGTGTTTGAGTAATACTCTTGGTCGATTTCTTGCAGTGGCAACGACACTGGTGTCTTCATGCAAAGGAGAATGGCAGCCATCTAATTCATTCTTCGGTCATCGCTTAAGAAGAAACAAGTCACCTAGTAATTAGAATATATGATGGCATGTTGTATGGCGTATATCGTGGGAAAATCAGCCTAGTGACGAAGCTTCTCGGTCTCCCCTCATTTCGCTTATTAATAATTCATTGGCTGGCACGTGACGAGATGCCACCCACAGGCGGGCCAGACGCCTCACTACTCACTCTTCTCCTCCTCCATCCTCCATCCTCCATACTCCATACTGGTCCTCCACAGCACACTGCCACCCAGGAAAGATGGGGCTTGCACGTGTCCAACCAGCCTCTCGAAAAGGGACAAAGCCCCACGTCCAGAAAGAGCACACAAGTCCATTCTCCCAAAATCACCAAAGCCCTCGACCCTCTCGCACCCCCGGTGGGACGCAGGCTGAATGAGGAGTTGCTCTCGCACAAATGCCGAGGACTGAGACACCGCAGGCCCGTATGCCGATATGGATCATGGACTATCATGGATGTGCATCTTCGAACGATTCAAGCTTTCCTCGTACGAAATCGTCCGGAGATGGCAATATAACCCAGCTCCCCTCCACAATCGTCCTGAGATCGGTGGTCTGAGACTTCTCTACAATTTGCCCGAGCCAGTAACTCATCATGGGTGTGATGCTTCATCTCCAGCATGCGGCCCCTAGTGCCAGCCAAATAGCCATTGGTCTGGCTCTATTCGGGCTGCTGGCTCTCGTCGTCGACTATGCCCGCATGCTCCTTCTGCGGAGGAAGATGGTAAGAAGAACATTTACATCCCAACCTGCATTTCCCGAGTTCCAGAAATTCGGTAGCACTATTTTGGCTGACAGCTTCGCCTAAACAGCCTCCTGGCCCGCTTCCATGGCCGATTGTGGGCAACACGTTCCAATTACCGGACCACAAGCCGTGGATTTACTTCGAAACCCTCGCCAAGCAGTACAAAACTCCCGTCATCACATACTGGATCGGGCGGAGCCCTACAGTCTGGATCTGCGATGCCTGGGCGGCTTCCGAGATGTTGGACAAGCGAGCGAGCATCTACTCTTCTCGACCTCGCATGGTCGTCTTTGGGGAGCTGTCCATGGGCCAGTCGAACATCGTCTCCATGTTCTACGGGGACCGCTGGCGACTGCACCGGAAATTGACTCATATGGGAGTTGGTCTGCAGCACGTGCGCAGCTACAGTGGGTTTCAGAACAACGAGAGCAAAGTGGTGGCGTTGGACTTGGTGCGAGATCCCGCCGACTATGTCATGCATTTCGAGCGATATGCCGCCTCGGTCGTGAGCATTATCGGATTCAACCGTCGTATCAAGAGCAAGGAGGATCCCATCATCACCGAAGTCATTGCCGTCATGCAGAGGGCAGCGGAATTGAACGTGCCTGGCAAGACTTTCCCCATGTTGATGGAGACATTCCCCTGTAAGTTGGATTTCCTCGAGTAAACGGAAGCAGAGACTCGAAGTCTGACCACGAAAACAGGGCTGTCCTACTTTCCCAACTGGATGGCACCTTGGAAATGCGGGCTCGGAGCCGGAAAGGGACGCGGCCGGTCATTCTACTATGCCTTGGCCGAAGAAGCCGTGCGCAAGAGCAACGGCGACACATGTTACGCCAAGAAGATCTTCGACGAGGCGCCCAAGTACAATCTGTCCAATATGGAAATTGCTTCGCTCAACGGGAATCTCTTCGGAGCTGGCAGCGACACCTCGAGTTCCACCCTCATCACCTTTGTCTTGGCCTGTTGCGCCTTCCCTGAAGTTCTGCCCAAGGCATGGGAGGAGCTTGATCGTGTGGTCGGATCGTACCGAAGTCCCAGTCTGGACGACGATCTGCCCTATATCCGCGCGTTTGTGAAGGAAGTCTTCAGGTGGCGGTCGGTCGCCATCATCGGAGGCCAGCCACATGCTCCGATTCAAGACGATTATTATCGGGTAAGGCTGAGCTGTCTTGGAATTGGGAAATAGGATTATTAAACAGAACTCTGACTGACACTTTGGGCGTTTCAGGACTGGTACATCCCCAAGAACACCTGGGTGCAGGGTAACGTGTGGGCGATCCACCGCAACGAGAACGAGTTCCCGGAGCCCGACCGCTTCTGCCCGGACCGCTTCTTCGAAGGACACCCGCTCCACCGGCCGTTCCCCAACGAGAAGGGCTACATGACCTTCGGCTGGGGCCGGCGTGTCTGCAGCGGCCAGGGTCTGGCCGAACAGGGCACGTTCCTGACCGTGGCCAGACTGCTCTGGGGCTTCAACATCCAGAAAGCCCTTGACAAGGACGGGAACGAAATCCCCGTGGATATCTTTGCATATACGTAAGTCTAAGACACGTGTGCCATGATCATAGGCCTCCCCCCCTTTTTCCTTCTAGCTTGTTCTTATATTTGCTTCCGGGACGCGGATGTTTGTCCTAACATGTGTCTCCTTTCTCCACACCGCAGGAACGGCCTGAACATGCGCCCGGAACCGTTCGAATGCCGCATCACGCCACGCACCCCCGAGATCAAGGAGACGATCGAGCGGGAAGGAAAACAGGCCCTCGAGGAGCTGGCGCAGTACGACGGCGAGAGTCAGTACCGCATGAGCACGTTCTACCTCGAAGATAAAATGTAGATTATCCTACGGGAGGGAGCGAGGATAGAGGGAGAGTATAGGACACGACAGGGGGAGAGAAGATGTATCGTGAAATATAAATAAAGCTAACAGGAAGGTGGGAGACGCACCCACAGAGAGAGAGAGAGAGAGAGGTAGCATGAATAGATGAAATCAAACGAAGCACGCTCATATGACCTTTCGGAGAGCTTGATAGTTCTGAAAGGGGCTGGCTATACGAACGTTAGAATGTGTGGTGACAACGTGTCCTCTTCTATGAGCTATAGACAGTCTGGGACTCTTGTCAATCAATCTCAATCTTGTCCATCATCACGTCAGCAGACGAAGGGGTAGATAGAATAGACAGACGCCGCCCTCCCCTCCCCTCCCCGTTCGTCAAGGATGATTCAGGATTTCGCGCCACCGCGACCACGGGATGATATTTGCGCGCGGGTCCTTCTGGCAAAGCAGCTCGAGCATGAAGGCGTCCGCTTCCGGGTACCACGGATACCGATGCAGGATGGCGCTTGCTGGCTGCTGCTCCTGCTGCTGCTGCTGCGGGTCCGCGTCGACGCGGAGACGCTCGCAGACGCGGTGGAACTCGGTGGCCGGCCACGAGGAATACGGTATGTCGCCCCTCGCCGTGAAGATGTCGTTGCCCGTGGCGGCGAGAAACAGGAGCCACAGGTAGTCCGGGTCCTGTGCCGGGTGGGTGTCCGCCGCCGCCGCCAACGCCGGCGACACGCGGCGCAGGACGTGCTCGATCTTCTGGCAGGTCCTGCTGAAATTGTAGTTGTGCGGCAAGTCCAGGAACTTGAAGTTCATGAACATCATCGCGCACAGACACGCCGCCGCCATCAGCGTCTGCTTGACCTTGTCGGCGTCGTCCAGCTCGGGGGATCGTGCGCGTTCGGTCGCCTCCACATAGCCCGTGGTGCAGTAACCCGTCACGGCACTGCTCCGCCGATTCATCCAATGCACGACCTCCTCTTGCAAGTGAATGTCGGTGATCTCGTCCACGATCCTCTTTGTGTTGACGATCTCGTGGGCGCCCTCCAACAGTCTCCACATGTTTTCGTCGAATGCGGCCTCCGGAGCGACCCTTTTGGCTCCGTCGGTCACGGCGATGCCATGCGTGTCTTCGAGTTCTCGCAGAGCTTTGTCGAACGGGTGCCGCGCACGTGCACCGGGGTCGTAGCGTTGTGGCGAGATCTCGGGTCTTTTGAGCAGCGATATGGAGATCCACGCATCGCTGATCAGGAGCAGCTCTTGGGCATCCACCAAAACCCCCGGGGTCGTGGATGCCATGGCCCAGAGGCCCCGCAAGTGAACCAGCGCCGATTCATTGTCGGAGGCGTGAAAGTCGAGAGAAATAAGAAGGCGTATTAACGTGGCGACTTTGGGCGAGAAGCCATGTTTCATGAGCCTGTCTCGCAGAAGCTCCACGGCTTTGGCTTTATGCAACAGCTGCCGGATCTTCGACCTCTCGGCATCACGCCCCGAGAGCTCTCCGTTTATGGCATAGCCGGCGGCAAGGATCGCATGGACCTCAGCTTCGTCTGCAATGGTTTGTTGAAGATGAATGTGAGAACTGGAGGTGTCGGCTATGGGGGCCCTCCACATTGCGCTCGTCTTGTCCGGCCAAGCCACAAACACGAAAAACCGCTGAGCGAGTCGGATGAGCTCGTGGGCCGGGGCAGCCAGCGGCACCGCAGTTACCGAGAAAGGGTCAGAGTTGCCCTTCCAGAAGCCTAGAGGGGGTTTGTTGATCGCCAAAGCACGTCTGTTCCACGTTTCAGACGATGCAGGTCGTTGTTGGTCAGTATTTTCTTGGCTGGCCTCGAAAGGGTAAACGGGTGGCTGACTGATGTGCTCGTTGCCACGAAAACTCTCGCCCACTGAACGGCGCACCGTACCTAGCGAGGCACTCGCGTCGTCTTGCGATCGACTGGGGGCGGCCAGTGTCCGGTCTGGGGGTGGCTGATCCTCCACTGAGGCGTTACTCGATGAACCAGCCCCTGCGAATCGCGACGTCGCCGCTGGGAGGATCGATCGTTGGGCTGCCATAGCCTTGCTGCTAGATGCATGCAATCGCCTGAGTCTCTCCTCTTTCAGCCATTTGCGATGTGTCTTAGACACGTGTGAGGATATAGTGAAACTCTCGTCCCGGTTCCGACCCAGGGTCTCTGAGGTCTTGTTGATGAAGAGAAAAGAGCCCTGGTATGGCTTTGGGACCTTCCCCTCGTCGTCGTTGTTGTTGTTGCTGTCTTTGTCCATCTTCGTCTCTCTGTAGCCCGTGCAAGGCAACAGATCCTGAGGCCATCCATGTCACACGGGCTGGCGGGTGACAAAGACGATCGGGTTAATATGAATCTGGGCTGGGGATGGTGCTGCTGGAAGCTCGAGGGCTCCTGGTGGCATTCTGTACACTCCCCTGCAGTACAAGAGGGGGGTTATGGTGTGAGATTGGCCAGGGGTGGCTTGACCGGGGTCGATCTCGTCATTCGGTCGAAGAGGTGTGAGGAGCCAGAGAGAGGTTTGAGAAGGTTGAGGCCTTTTCAAAAGAGGTTTCCGCACCAGAGCTATTGCCAAGACGGGCACAAGCCAAGTTTGTACTGCCAACCACGATGCTTTATACAACTTCTCGTTGAATACGCTGGGGCTCTCTCTCTCTCTCTCCCTTTACAATTCGAAAACCCCGATGAGCACAGCCCCCCTGGTGGAGGTGTCGAACAATTTGTGGCAGCTCTTGTGAGAACCCCTACCTTCTATCCGTGGGAGTAGACAATTAGTAGCCCCCTCTGAGCCGTGTCGGGGACCAGCAGGCGAATCGCTCGCTTTTCTCATTTCCTCGTATTTTCCTCGCCTTTCCTTTCCCGTCGCCGGTTAGGTCATTGCTTATGGCTAGCGCCGAGGACAGTTCAGCCACGATACGATTCGGGAGAATGCCCAGCCGTATTATTAGCAGGGGTGCGTCAGATATACAACAACGCAGTGACTGGGACCTATCGGTATGATCATGAAATCCCTGGCTATTCCCAATGGGGGCTATGCCGATGGTCTCCGAGCCTCTTCAAGCCCGGTCCAAAGAGGTCTGTTATTATGAGGTGCGATGCCCACAGCGCAGCACAGCACGAAGCTTAGCTACGAGCGAATCCGCTTTGAGGCACGGGACTTGCGAGCTACTGGAGCTTGATTTATTGACTGTATAGATAAACCAACAAGGACCCAGAGACCACCTTCCTAGCACGTTCCGTTGTAAAGCACCGGAACTTCTGCAATGCAACCTTCACTATGATGAAACAGCGTGATCAAGTCCAATGGCTTCGATCAAGACACCTCGACAAGCACTAGCGTGTTCAATATGCGTCCCGTTGAGCCAACAACTTTGACCGGTGCCCGTGAGTAACAAGTTACAACATCAGTCCTTGAGTTTCGACCATCCGGCCCCCCTCCTTCGTGCATGGACAACTTTCCCGACGTTGGATCTGACTTTCCCGACACTCTTGGACGCCAGCTCTTGCGAGAAATCAGCGGCATGTCTGAACCGGGATCTATCAAGGCGGTATTCGTAATCCCGCCCGGACCCAGACGGAATCATTGCTGTGTAGAAGTGGGAGGCATCAAAGCCGTCCGACTCACTTGACCTTGATTGCCTGAGGGAGAGGAGGCCTACAACCTCGCTGTCGTTGTCCGTTTCATCGACCTCCTCGACCGATGGTGTCGTCGCAGAGGCAGCCTCAGCTCCTGTGCATCCGTCTCCGAGATTGTACGTCGGTATAGCGTTCTTGCTCTTTATTTTCGGCTTTCCTTTTTCTTGTCCGGGCAACTTCGACCCCTTCGGAGAGAAAATGGCAGATATCCTGCTTCGTCGAGAGCTGACGGTGGAAGCGCATTCCGTCCGTCCCAGGACGAGAACAGGCGAGGCACGCTTCTTTTGATCTTCCGATGTCACTTTGTTTGCCGCCGAATCACCCTTTGTTGGCACGGGGAGAACAGTCGACCGCCTCTTGCTTCGAGACTTGATGATCTCGGATACTACATCCCTTGCACGCTCCTTTGCCCCTGGGAGTAACGACGTCCGTCTCCCTTTGACGATAGCCTTATTGTGGAAGTCCAGCTTCTCACTTTCATGCGCGTGCTTCTCGGCCTGCTCGCTTTCCAGTTGTGTCTCCTCGTGCCGCTGACCCTGCAGCTTGATGGCCTCTCGGATCTTCAAAACATAGTCGGGAATTGCTTCAGAGCCAGTTTGGCTGGTGTTGTCGTCTTGGGTGCCGTCTTTAGGTTCCGTAGACTCTTCTTGAATAGTGTCCATCCGCGAGACCTTGTCCGACGCCGCTCCCTGTGTTTTGATGTCCGAGGTATCACGCAAGGACTGAAGGATTGGACAGGGTAACTGCAAGTCCGCCGATAACGGCGACGAGTGTCTGGGTGCGCTCATGTACAAAAAAAAGGGGTCTTGAGGAAATGAAATGGAAAACAACCAATGAAACCAAATAGAGCTAGGAAAACGTGAGACTGGTACAGGGAGAGAGAGGTCGAGAGTATCTGTACAATGTATATATGCAGAGGTCGTAGCCAGGAGATTCATCTCTACCGCCAAATATAGAGATAAAGCACCGCCATCTTTCGAACAAAGAACGCCTACCTCTGGACAACAAATGTAATTGTCGAGTTTGCGACAACACACCCATTGTCTCGGTCGAAAGAACAAAGAACCGCCCGTCTCGAAATAGGTTGTTTCAGGTACCGGCCATTCCAGCTTGCAATATACTGCTGGCGGAGAGTCCGACAAGGCAGAAAGCGGTAGAGATTGGATAAAACATTGAGACATTGGGCTCCGGACGAGAAACCGCGTTGGAACATAGATAGACCATCATCCCACGTTGGCCTCGTCGCGCGATTGCCGCCCTTATGCGGCAATGGAGTTTCTGTATTCCTGTGCCGTCATCTCCACGCTCTTGCCGAGCATGATCACTTGAGGTCCGTCGTATTGTCTCCTCAGAAGCAGGTAGAAGGCGCCCATGATGATCGTAAGTCCCCCAAAGATGACGCACGTATAGTCTAGGTAAAAAAAGATCAGCCAGGAGAGCAGCTCTGGAGTAAGACCACGAAACTTACTCATCGTCTCCGCGTCGACAGGCATGGCGAACTGGCATCAACGGTAAGTATCTTATCTATCATCGCCGTCCGGGACCAAGAGGGGGCAACGCACCGGAAAGCAGAAAATAACGATAAAAGCCATCATGAAGAGGCATGATACGGCGTTGACAACGAGGCCGATCGCGCCGGGCATCCAGAACCGGCCCGGCACAATCTTTGTCCGTCTGGACAGCAGATTCGGCAATATCGCGGAGAGGTATGAAGCCATGGAGACTGCTGTGTGTCAGAAACAATTCACCGTGGAAGGTGGGATCGCCGGGAGACTTACGGACGATGTAGGAGCTGGTGAAGGCGTTGAAGGCGGTCAAGTTACCAACATAGATGCTGCAGCGTGTTAGCGATGGGGATGATGCTCAAGGGTGGCGCGAGGAACAGTATTCCAAAACAGAAGGCGCTTCTAATCATCAAATACCTACCATCCAAGAATCGTGCAAATGACCGCGCACAAAACAATCGAGTTCGCAGGGACTTTGAGACGCGGCGACACCTTGGAGAAGAAGCCGGCGAAAGGAGTCGCACGATCACGGGCCAGAGTCCAGAAAATCTAGGTTGCAATGAGTATGAGCGTCCGCTTTAGAGAAAATCTGCGGGGTGAAACTGGGGCTACGTACTCTCGAGGCCGTCAAGTAACATCCCATGCACGCAATTGTGGTAGGGGCGAGGACAAGGAACAGAAGTCCAATGGCGCCAGCGCTGGTCCCCGTGCCTTGTCGGTAGATTTCGCCCAGCGGGAAGACGTAGCCCGTGTCAAAGAGGCTGTCGAGGTCGGTGAGGCCGTAGAGGACCGCTATTAGAAACAGCAACCCGGTGAGGAAGCCGATGATATATTGCCATAGCCTGGAAGAAGTTCAGTGACCCGTGAACCCGAGATTTGTGGGGAGAGAAATGGGAGGAAGTCTTACACTGCCACAGGAATGTTCCTGCTTGGACTGTTGGAAGTTGTCAGTAGATGGCCTCTTTGTTCGCAAGTTGATCAATACTGACTTTTGCATCTCTTCGGCCAAATGACTGGTGAGGTCAGGCACCCCGACAGCAAACGCCCCATTCAGCATTCCGAGCAGAAAGGCAAATCCTGAGCTACTGTATCCCGTCAAGTTGGTGAATGAGTTCCACACTTGATGGGTAGTGGCATATTCTCGATGCTGCACGTGCGGCATCACAGCCGAGACAATTACCGTGATCAAAAAGCCGGCAATAATGAAGAAGCCACCAATCTGCTCCAGCCGGGGGATCGCCTTGTTGAAGAAGAGCACCACCGCCGCGAAAAGCCAGGCGCAGAACAAGAATAGCACAAAGACCTGCCATCGCTGGTAGGCGTAGTCGGCCGCGTTGAGTTGGGCCATGGTGATGATGATGGCTGCCGTGATCTGCAGAGTCACGGCCGTGGCGAAGATCCAGGCAAAGAAGTTCCACCATCCGGCCAAGTATCCGAATATACGACCATAGCGTGGACCGGCCGTGACGGTGGCCCAGTGATAGACTCCTGCAGACGAAGGAATGGCGGATGCGAGTTCGGCGACGCTGGCTGCGATGAACCAGTAGAAGAAGGAAACGACGATGAATTCGTAGATGATGCCAGTGGGGCCGCCGTTGAAGATGGCCACCGCGATGGTCCCGGCCAGGGCGATCCAGACATTGCCGGTGGTGATGGCCGTCGACACGACGCTGAAAGAGCTGAACAGACGGTCGAGTTCTTGCTTGTGGCCAGAAACATTGATGAGATCGTCATCCCGGGCATCGATGAGGCTGGAGCGGCGCCTGGGTTCGGATGCTACCGACTTTCTTGCAGCATCCGGATGGACGTCTGCAGCCTTTTCCGACTCCATTGTGACTCACCAGGGTACGGATTGAATGAAGAGCAAGAGAGCAAAAGGTCCACATTCACACACACACACACACACACACACACACACATTATGTGCTCTTTTAAGAACCGTATACAGTCCAGGCCGATCTTTCGGCGATGATGCAAGCAGAAAATGGCCCCGTCCTCACCAATAGAGTTGGGTCGATAAGGGAGCTGTTTTTTCCACCCCGGGGTCCAGCAAAAGATAAGCACGTAACATGCGAGCCTGGTAATTTACCGCGATGGCTAGGGCTGCAGAAGAGACACGAGCCTCCAATGTCCCTAGTGAGCTCCATTGACTTCTGATTGGAGTGCGTAGGCAATCGATTTGACTCGTTCCAGACAGGGTGCAAGGTCCATGCTTTGAGACAAGCTTCGCAGGGGCACAGCTTGGTCATCGTCGCGTTGCCATGACACAGCGACTTGGCTCCATATACCGGTATCTCTCTCTCTCTCTCTCGTCGTCGTCCATGGCCACGGTATGATTTGGCTCAAGGATGAAATGAGGTGAGCCGGGCGGCGACGAGGTACGAGAAGGAATTACATAATATACACACACATTCGGCACTGTACCGAGTATAACTGTGTGTGTGTATTAACATTATTAAAATGTGGTGCCCAGACTTCGCCCGAAAGAGGCATCTTTGCCGTTGAAGAAGCAACATCAACTCTCCATCTCCTCCTTGACTACATGCAGACGGCTCACTACCTACTGCAGATCGCATCGAAGGAGAATCCCGGTACCCTTCTATCTACGTACATTGACATTCCAGACTGCCACGTCAAGGGCACCACGGACCTATATATTATATGATGAAAGCCCGGGTTTCCACGTCACTCCACACGGCCTTCAAGACCCCGGTCCAGGGCCATGGACGTGCCAGGCAAGGCTTGAGGCATCTCACGGTGACGACGAGCGCATACTCAAGACCGACAACACATCCTTGTGAGAAGAGTACACCCTGGCGCAGCTCAAGCCGACGATGGCAGACCCCTGCAGCCTCGTTGTGCCGCAGACATCAAAGCACGTCGACGCCAGCATCGAGCAGTGCCGCCCTTCCACGGGTCCTCGTCAATGACATGGCAAACCAAGAGCTCATTGTTGACTTCAACACGAGCATCGCCCTGCGCTATCCGTCCTTCTGGTTGAGAGACCACTGTCCCTGTCCAGACTGTCAGCATCCCAGCACCCATCAACGACAACTCGACACATTTGCTATCGACCCGGAGATCAAGGTCTCGAGTGTTCAGTCCACGCCCGAGGGGTTGGAAGTCACTTGGCCTGGAACGCCGACGACGACGGCAACATCAGCATCCAGCAGTGAAGCGAGACACAGGAGTGTGTATCCGTGGGAATGGCTTCAGACGCATCCCCCGTTCATACAAGCCACCAACAAGACTGCTGCAGCGGCTGCGCCCAAGAGACGATGGACACACGTCTCTCCGTCGTCCCCGTCACTGCCTCGAGTGCCCTACCCATCCATCATGGACACCTCGTCCCCGGCGGGCTTGACACAATTTCTCGACTCTATCCACACCTACGGTCTGTGCTTCATCCCTTCTACGCCGCCCACCCCCCACGCCACGCAATCCCTTGTCGAACGCATCTCGCACATCCGGCCCACCCACTACGGCGGCTTCTGGGACTTCACCTCGGAACCCAACCCGATCGACACGGCGTACACGGACGATTATCTCCCGCCACACACCGACACGACCTACTTCACCGACCCGGCAGGACTGCAGCTCTTCCACTGCCTGACTCCTGCCGACAAGGGTGGCGAATCGACCTTCGTGGACGGCTTCGCGGCCGCGGCGCACCTATACGAGAAATTCCCCCAGCACTACCGCGCGCTCAGCACGTACCCCGTCGTGTCGGCGGCGCTGGGCTCGTCGGCGGGCGAATTCTACAACACGGCCAGTTCTCCGCAGGGCTACCCGGTGTTCGTGCACTCGTCCCCCCCGGGTCTGCACCAAGGCCCCAGCCCGACCTCGCTGGTGCAGATCCGCTGGAACAACCTGGACCGGGTGCCGCCGACGTCGTCGCCGTTCCCGAACCACACGGCCCTGAAGGCCTGGTACGCGGCGGCGCGCGAGTGGAGTCGCGTCCTCGAGAGCCCCGAGTTCCTCATCACCGTCATGCTGCGGCCCGGCGAGCCCGTCATCTTCGACAACTGGCGCGTCCTGCACGGCCGCCTGGGCTTCGAGGGTGAGAGACGCGTATGTGGCGCCTACGTGGGCATGGACGACTTCCGTGCCAAGTGCAGAGGCTTGGGCCTAGTCGAGGTGTAGGTAGGTGTACGATCATAGCAGGAGAAGTGGACGAGGGAAATTTCAAGTCATCTCTGCCGTCGTCACCATGGCTGACGACTGTACATAGTTAGTATGCCCAGCACAATCTATATCTCCATCTGCCACCACAATAGCCTCATTTTTGGAAAGGAGAAAAAGGGAGGTCGATGTCGGTATATCAGGGGAAAACAAAAACCTAAATGAACATCAAGTCAATAAAACCGATCGATCGATCGATCGAATGCCCTTTTGAATTGCATGCATGCCAAGTTATGCTATTCTATGCCATCTCTGGGTCCTCAGTGAAGCAAGCCATGTAATGCTGCCCAGGCCGCATGGCATGCATGCATGGGCGCACCCTGTCGCACGCACGCAGGCGAATTTTATGCACAATCCCCGTGGTGATGTGGTGTTGATGTTGGTGTGGACGTTGGATTCTGGACCTCGATATCCCCCAAGTCCAGCCCTGCGCGTGTCCCCGAACCATACATAACACATATGTGTATGTATGTGTGTGTGTGTGTGCACGTACGCCCACTCGCCCTGCGTTCCATATCCAGGCGCTCGCTTTCGCCCCTGTCCTCGTGGCGAACACCGTGCCAAAAGCGCCAATATCCATTTTCCCCCTTAAAGCATGTCGTATCACGGGTGGGTGTGTCTGTTGTGTCGTGTCGTGTCAAGTAGTCTGATGCGGTCCCCTTATTTTGCCCAGCCCAGCCCATTCACATCGTAGCGTATCGTATCGTATCGTCTCGATTCCTGCTCGGTTCCCTCCCCCTCTCAGAAGCAGAAGAAGCATTGCCGATCCGCCGATGTCGCTGCGATATGTTCCTGTGTGAATCCATCCATATGTCTCTCAAACCGCTGCTGATTATCTCCTTTTTTTAATATTTCTTTTGAGACTGTGTCATTGTTGTCTTTTTCACACACACACAAACACACACACACCCCCCTGTGGACCGAATGATTTCAGATCGAGAACAGCTGCTCCCACTCCGAGATGCGGCGGAAGTCGAGGTACATGTCGTAGACGTTGCAGTCCAGCCCTTGGTCGGCGTCCAGCTTCTTGCGGTGCTCGGCCATGCGGACGATCTCGTTGTGGCGCATGTCGACCAGGGCCTGCAGGCCGTTGCGCTGCTGGCGGAGGAGGCGGATCTCGACGTCGAGCTGGCGCAGGAACGACGGCGCCACCCGCGGCCGCAGGTTGTAGTAGTGCGCCGCGCGCGCGCAGTAGTCCTTGATCTCCTGGTTGCGCGCCACGACCGTGCGCCGCAGCTGGTCCAGCGCGCTGAGCTGCCGGTTCAGCAGGCCCTCGATCTCGGTGCGGTCGTCGGGCAAGGGTTCGGTCGCGATGCTGCTGAGCGGGTCGGACCTGGACGCGGACGAGTCGGTGCCGTCGCTCTTCTTGCTGTCGTTCGTCGCCACCCGCTTCAGCGACGAGAAGACCGACTTGATGCTGTTGTTGAGGCTGTTGCTCGAGTTGTTGTTCTGCTCCCCCTCGCCGCCGCTCAGATTCTCCGTGGAAGACATGGCTGGTGCGTAGAGACGGGCAGGATCGGTGTGTTTGTTCTTGCCTCGTGGTGAGGGTTTGTGTGGAAATGATTTGATTTGAATGTGAGGGTTTGGTGAATCGCGTCCGGCTCGGCCTCACCTGGAGGTCTGGTCGAAATCAGCCATTGTCCCAACAATGCAAGTGAGGCGATGGCGGTGACGTCCTCGTTGGGTCTCAACTCCAGCACCACGCAACCTGGGGCACCAGCGGACGCCACCAGAAACGCCAATGTTGGTGGTGACGAGTTGCCTGGCTGGCGTACGCTGGGGCTTCTTCGTCAGAAAATACGCAAGACACACGACGTCCTTCTTGTAGAGAACAAGGCCATTGTCGAGGCGGACGTATCAGTGTCACCACCCGGGGCTTGGGAGACCTTACAAGGCGGCCTGGTGTTGTTCATCAGGGCTTGGAGGATGGCTTTCACTCACATGAGATGGCTCGTAACGGTATCTAACCTTTGGACAACACCGGCCACAGTCTGAGAGGGAGGAGGCTGGCTTTGGCCTGTCTGGCAACAATCCGAGAAGAGCTGGTGAGTGGCTGGTGTGTTCTGTGGGAGGGGACATTGTCGACGATATGAAGGAGAGGGACAGTGGTCCATGAGAAGAGAAGGTGAAGCTGGAGATGTTTGTTGGTGTCCTGATACGAAACAAAGAGAAGGACGAACACGACGTTAGGGCAGATGAAGAAATGTTTGTCTACTCAGTCACTATCGTCAACGTGGCGGGCAGAAAAGCTACATCGCCCCCGACGACGACGACACAGTGAAACGACGACAACAAAACACATCCACAATGGCTCACCGCGTCCGTATCGGGAAACATGAGTCTGAGGGCGGACGACAGTCAATTCTGCCGCCAAACCCTTGGTTCAACCCCATCCTGCCAACGTCCAGCTCGTCCTCTCGCCACCCTTTGCTGCTGTGCTGCGCTGCTGATGAAGAGCACTAGGATCGAGATCACGATGTGCCCCGGCCAGTCCATGAGAGAGGAATCTCTCCCTCTCGATTTCAACAAAGGATTTCGCCTTCAAACTGGCAACAAGACTCGCACCAGCCCATGGTCCCAAAGAATCGACCTGCCGCAGGACGGGGGTGACAGGTTGAGGCGCATCCTTGGATTTCTGTTTGAAGAGCCGTTCCTCAACAAAGTCATCAGTGCCCGGAGGGTTGAGGACATGTCGAGCATCAGGGGGAACAGCCCTTCCTTGAGCAAGTTCTGCGAGGCCACTCCGCTTGACGTTCATGTGCTTCCCTCGGACAGCCGTCCATCCGTGCTCGCTGATGATGGTATTGGTTGTGTCCAGTACTTTCCGTGACAAGCCCGCCACAGATGAACCCCTACCCAGGAAGATAATCCTCGACATGCAAATACTTCGAGCATCCGACGACAGGGCCAGGAGCGTTGTGTACAGAAGTTGACTAATGGATTGTTCATGATCGTCCCGGTGTTCTTCGGTCCTTGGTGTAACTAGAGTGTCGAGAGACGCTTCCCACAATGCCTGTCTGGAGACAGCGATGGGCCGAGACGACGTATCCGTTGGCCAGTCGATTACTATGCTTGCTGAATCACCGCCACAGGCGTCGGGACGCTGTTGGTCCTCCAGGTTCAATGCTTTTGTCCTTGCTGAAAGATCTTCTTCCGGGATGGGAAATAACGCATGAGATGCACCAGCACGATCCACAAACTCCTCAACCAAGTCAAAATCTAGCACGAGCGAACCACGAATCGACTCGTCCTGTTCCTTTTTGACATTCTCTAACAGTGCTCCCATCTTCATGGTCAAGGCTTTCATGGCGCGGACACTCCGACGAACGTGAATTTCGCGATACTCGTAGATTGCTGTAATCACAGTCTCCTCCCAGCCCACCTCCACGACGAGACCTGATCGCAACCCCGCCCCCACAATGGACATGGCCGGTGCCGGCAACAGCGTGATCGTAGAGTACTTCCATCGCTCAAATAGCAGCGTCAGTGCTGTCGACAGGACCGGATGGGGCACCAACGAAGGCAAGACCAGTACCAAGCGCGCCGTGCCCGCATCTACCAACAGATATTTGTTGTACGCCTCCCGGACCGCGCGTTCCAACTTATCCTCCAACAGACCCAGGTCGACATCTCTCAAGTCATTTCTCCACAGTTCATACTCTTTGCTCTTCGATGCCAGGTCTTGTCTGCGACGTCGGAACTCCGGCAGAAACGACCGATAATCCCCCACTCGCCTCGAACTCTGAGAAGTGAACGGGATGAAACATTGCGGGCCACTTTCGCCCTGGAAACCGGCTCTGAGGCCACGAGGGTCAAGCTCGATGATGATGGGGTCCTCTTCGGCGCGGAAGGAGTACGAGCCCGGCGAAGACTGGGCGGAGGAGACAAAACGACCGGTGGGCGTGTGAGGACTGCCGGATTGCTGGCGTGACGATGCTTCGCGGAGACTGGGGCGGATGGCGGAGGCGACGGTGGATGCCATTCGGTCTCTTTGCTTGTCGTCGCCTCCACCTCCCTCGCAAGTGCTGGATTGGGTTGGACAGACCTTGATACAAACAGAGTGGCTCACCACGTTGGGCGTTTTCGTTTGAAATCTCCAAGAATGCGGTTGTGCTCCACCAATCAGAAACGTGACATGCGGCTTAGTCATTTCCCCGGTCTACGGAACGGCGTGTCCATGTCCGCAGAAGCCTTTATTGTTTGCCCTCGACGTCTTTGAGGTGGCTATGCTATGCTGTAAGACGGATCACGCCCATGAGCTCTCGTAGTTCGGTGCTTCAAGAATCAATGGAAGGCACTTCCAGCCTAATTTACCACACTAGCCCACGGTACACCAAGGTTGGCTTGATTACAGACGAATATTATCCTCTCAGCGTCTTGCTCTGAGGACTGAACAATCCAGAGAATACCCTGCCCCAGCCTGCCCTGGTTTCCATCACTCCTCCACGCCATGAAGGAGCCTGCCGTATACCAGAGGCGTCATCACCTTCGTAGTTTCCTTAGGTGGCATCCGAAGTTTTGCCGGTGGTGGAATGTCAACAAATATCTCTAATTGGAAGAAACTACAACCCTTACAGCCAGCTTCGAGTTGAGAGAGAGGACAAGAGCTATCAGTAAGTACCAATCTACACCGACGGCCATTCAGATGTGAAGAGAATCTATAGTTGAGGAAGATGGGGATTCCCGGGTGAGTTGACCATGACTTCCACATGTCCAGAAGGCCCGAGGTCTCCAGTGGAGAAGACAGAACAGCCATCCCTCCGAATCAAATCCTTTATTAACGTTAGTTATCTAAATCAGCCTCCTGAGGGAAATCGGCAAGGGCGAACGCATTGCTCTCTCCCGCCTCTCCATCGAGCATCTGCAGAAACAATCCCGCCCCCTTCGCATCGCCATTGACGCAGCAATCTGGAATTTCCAGACCCTACACGGCGGGCAAGGCGGGAGAAATCCGGCCCTTCGCACACTCTTTTACCGTCTTGTGAGGTTATTGGCCCTGCCCATCCAGCCCGTGTTTGTTTATGATGGGAAGAACAAACCCCTCCTGAAAAGGGGACGTACGGTGTCGAGATGGCACGGGGGTTGTGTCGAGAGCGAGATGTCCAAGGGTTTAATCTCTCTGTTCCAATTCCCAACGCATGTGGCGCCTGGGGAAGCCGAAGCGGAGTGTGCGATGCTTCAGCGGGAAGGCGTCGTGGACGCAGTCATGACACAGGACGTTGATGCTCTCATGTTTGGTTCTGGCCTCACGCTAAGGGATTGGTCGAAGGAGGCAAATGGAAAGAAAGGGAACAAGACGCCCACACACGTGAGTGTTTTGGATTTACCACGGGTCAAGAACATGTGCGGGCTCGATCCCGAGGGAATGATCCTGGTCGCGCTTTTGAGTGGTGGTGATTATGACGAGGATGGTGTCGCCGGAATTGGATGTAAATTGGCATGCGAGATCGCGAGGGCGGGCTTCGGGAGCGATCTTGTGGAACTGGTGAGAAATGGAGATGAAGACGGGATCACGGAGTGGAGGGAACGGTTGCAATTCGAGCTGGAGACCAACGAGAGCGGCTACTTCAAAATGAAGAGGAAGTCGGTTCGGATCCCTGACAGCTTCCCGAACCGAAAAATACTAGGATATTACATGAACCCGGCGGTGACACCAGTGAGCGAAATGGAGAGGTTGGAAAGGAAATGGGCCAAGACTTGGGACGAAGAAATCGATGTCCAAGCCCTACGCGACTATGCGGCTGATATGTTCGAATGGCTGTACAAGCCAGGTGCATGGAAGTTTGTGCGAGTCATGGCACCGGCTCTGCTCGCGGATGGGCTACGACGGGACAGGGCAACATCGCATCTGACCTCCGTCGACCAAATCACTGAACAAAGACAGCATTTTGTGAGTGATGGAATTCCAGAACTCAGAGTCACAGTAGTTCCAGCCAAAGTCGTCGGACTGAATCTCGACGCGGAAGAGGACAGCCCAACGTACCTGCAACTTCTTGCCGAGGAGGAGAATGAAGGGGCTGAAGGAGAGACGGAACACGCAGAGATCGATGAAAATGCTCCTCTGAGCCCATCCAAGAAGCGCAAATCTCCTGCCTGGCTACCTGATGCGCCAGAGAAAATGTGGATTGCCCAGACAATTGTCGAGATCGGGGCTCGAGAGCACGTCGAGCAATGGAAACGGATCCAGTTCGAGAACGCTAATGATCCCAAGAAGCTTGCGACACGGAAATGTCCCAAGAAGAAAGAATCGAAAAAGCCGAAAGTGATTGGAGGTATGCAACCGGGGGCTCTTTTGAGCTACGTCGTCCCTGCAGACCAGTCGACGGAGCTTGAGGTGTCCATTGCCGTGCCCATCAAATCGCCCCGTCGTCGCGCAGGGGCCAATATCAGTGCACCTCGAAGATCCAAACCCAAGTCGAGCAAGCTAGAAGAAGGGTACCCCCCAACGATGCTGGGTTTCTTCAAGTCCACCAAGGGTAGTCAACCTTCGCACAGCACAATGCCAGCACGCGACGCTGCATCATATGACCTTGTTAAACCTGGTGCCGGCAATGACGATGATCCATTAACGCTCAGCAACGAGTCCCGGGGCGATAAACACCCAAGGCCCTCGACTTCAAGCCCGCCGGAAACAGGACAGCGGATTGGGCTTCATTGGAGTGCAATCCAACCTGGGCTCTCGACTGCAGTGCCACCTTCGATTTCGCAACACGACACACAGTCAAAGCCGAAAACTTTGGCAATTGGGACACAGGGAGAGAAGCTATCCGGCAGCCCAATGAAAGAAACGACGCCAACCATCTCTTCGCCAAACCAGGGAGATTTTAGACCAACACCAGACCATTGGTCCAGGCAGGAAGCCTTGGATCCAGAGAACACGCGGCTCAGCAATGTCACACAGCGTACGCCCAAAAAAAGAGCGAATAAGTACCGAATCCTCACCGAACCCGAAGCATCGAATGAAAGCATGACCCAGCCTCGACGGCGTATAGCAAGTTTCTTTAAACCATATGTACGGAAGAAAGCACCGCCAGCCCAAGTGGCATCGGCCGACGAAGAAATCCGTCCGGTTGAAGTTCTGCCCAAGCTGAACCCGGAAGTATCGACGAATTTATCCGAGGCCACGCACATCTATGCAGTTCCACGGGCCAGCCTCCCCGGCACCTGGAAAGAAGTCGAGTACGAATCAGGCCCGAACAGTCCGGTAGGCCCATCTCTACCGTCGACTCGTCCTCTGCGGGTCAGCATAGTCGACCTCACGTCCTTTTGAAGAAGGAAATCCTTGAATATTACGGAAGCTTGACCTTCCAGAAGTCTTTGTTTTCGAAGAATGATTTGCTGCGGGTGATTTCGACTGCGGCGGCTTCGATGGGAGCAATGGCGCTGGGCTTTTCGATGCGGACTTTGGCAACTGTATGTCCATAGTCGATTGTCACAATTTGAGCCACGGCAGTGGCCAGTGATTCAATCGTGTGGTATGCGGAGCCCGCCACTCGTTCACATACTGTCTGAGTCATGTCATGCAGAGCGGCCGTGTAGTGTTCTTCCAGAGCAGCAACTCCCAACGCCCGGTTCACGAGAGGTACGCTGATGTCGATGAATACCGTCTGCTTGTAGAGACGCTCGTGGGGGTTGACACCGACGATACAGTTGCAGGCAATCTGCTTGACTGTGACAATCAGGCTTGATGTGTCGATTTCTAGTTCTGACTTGTCGACCTGATATTGATAGAGCACGCCGCCCCTGGCCTGCAACAAAGCCTTGGGAAGAGAAATGTCGATAGTGAGTTGACCACAGTTCGGCACCATGTTCGAGAGCAGGGCGATGAGGGTATAGATGGTTGGGAAGGCCTCGGGATCGGCGTGATTGAAGGCCGATGAGATTTCCTTGTATAACTTGCCATAGTCCATGGAGAGGTTGACGTCGTCCTTGGAAGCAGCCGGCTCGAGAGTGGATGTTGGCTGAGCCTCTATGGTGATCGAGACAGGTTGGGGCTTGTGGAATCGACGCCAGGCATCGAGGCCGACGGGAATGTCGAACCTCATGTTCTTCAGAATGACTTTGTCTAGGGTGGAAATTGCCATGGTGGAGGAGAAGAACGGAGATGTGGTCTATCTACTCTGACGGGTGGGGATCTGCAAGTAGATGCGTGGTTCACGGGTAAAAGCAAACAGTCAATTGCTCGTGGTGAGCTGATCGTGTGTGCCTTAATGTAGAGAAATGGTATGATGGTGGTGGAAGGCGGAATAACAATAATCCATTCCCCAGAGATGATTCTCGTAACAGAACTGCACGGAATCCGGAGACACGAGAAGAAGCCCAGCCCAGCCTCACTAGCCTCCCCTGTCTCTCCAGGAGGTCCACGGGCTACATCCGGGGCAGACCTGTGGCCACTAGGCTGCACGGGCCCGCCCAGGGCCGCTAGCGATGAAAAATTATTGTACATAGGCACTCTACTCGGTATAGCCCTGAACTGATTGGTCTCTTAGGTGATGCTCCCGCTTTCGTTGGCCGACAACGCACTGGGCACTGGGCCAGGCGCAGGTTGCGTTCGGTGGCTTTTGCTGACCTCGTCCCAAAACCCGTTCTTCCCTTCTTGCACTTCACCTCTACTTCTGGTCCTTTTTTCTGTTGGCGGATCTCTCCTCTGTGTTTGTCTACAGTACATCATCAGATCATTCACTGTCAGAGTCGAATCTTGTCACCTTCAATGGGTCGAAGCGCCGTCACTACCTCAGCCACAATTTCAGACTTCACTCCTGCCGCTCGCGGACGTGTTGCACCTTCCCATGTGATTCCAACGTCATCTTCATCTGCCTCTTGCAAAACTGGCCGTATCCTGGTCTGGCTACTGGCGCAAGGTCCGTCCTGAACAAGGGCGGACGGTAATACTACAGCCGCCTCGGCCTTGGGCATCGTGTTAATCTAGACCTCCTTTTTTCTCTCCCTTTTACTTGTGCGCATCCTCAGAAGATTCGCAAAATATGAGTATCTCAGCCACTCAAGCCGTCATGGACAAAGTCCAAGAAGCTTCCGGTGCAATGCGACCACCCGCCGACGTCGCGGCTGACTTGGAGGACGCGCTCAACTCCATCGCGCTGGGCAACAACAACGCCGATCCAGGGGACCCGGAAATCATCCCTTTTCGAAACAAGAGTCCTCCTGTGACACCTCAAAAGACCATGCCAATCAGTATGCGCGAAGACGGGACTTTCGCCGAGCCGGAGAGTGAAAGAGGAAGACCAGATGTCAAGGGCAGTGCCATCCTGTCGACCACGGCGGCCAAGAGGAAGAAGAAGAAAAACAAGGCCAAAGCGGCTCAGGCGGCCCAAGCACTGAATACTGTCAGAGGTTTCACTCCGGCCGATTCGGGAGCTGAAGACTCGGATGTGTCACGCAACAGCCCCCGGGTGCTGTCACCGATTCCTCGTTTGCCTGCGTTGGCCGGTGCGAGCCCCGGTTTGAGGCCTCAGTCGCCGGGGATCAGTAGCTTAAAAGCTCAGCTTGACGCACTGAATTCTCGCAGTCAAAGTCGTTCCAACTCGCGAGCTCGCAATCCCGTGGACTCCGAGGTCAACAGCAGCGCCGCCAGCGCGACGTCCGACACCCAAGGAGAGGAGCCGCACGAAGACATGGTCAGCTATCACGTCCAGATCGATCAAGACTTCGTCAGTCAGTCGCTGGCGGACACTGAAGTCGTTTCGGCGGCTTCCACCGCGACCCTGGATGCCGATCAACGTGCGACATCGATGATTGTCCGCAAGATGACGGCCGCGGACTTCACCCCCATCCGCTGCCTTGGAGATGGAGCCTTTGGAACGGTGCTCCTCGTCCGACAGAATGCCACGGGCCGCTTGTTTGCGCAGAAGCAGCTCACGAAGGCGTTCCTCAAGGTCCACAAGAAGCGGATCGAGTCGACCATGTCCGAGCGAAGCATTCTCGAATTGGTCAATCGGCACCCCTTCATTGTCAATCTCTACTATGCGTTCCAGGATCACGAGAAGTTGTACTTGATTCTTGAGTATGCCTCAGGTGGGGAGTTGTTTCGTCACCTGGAACTGGAAAAGTTCTTCTCCGAAGAGGTGGCTGCATTTTACATTGCGGAGATTGTTTTGGCTTTAGACTATCTTCACAACACGGTCGGCGTCATCTATCGTGATCTCAAGCCCGAAAACTGCTTGCTGAACGCGGAGGGCCATCTGCTTTTGACCGATTTCGGTCTGAGCAAGGTTGCCGTTCAGGATCCGAGCACACCGGGAGGGAGTCGTTGCAACAGCCTGGGTGTGGGGACCATTGAATACATGGCTCCCGAGATCATCAGAGGCAGTGATGAGTCTGACTGGGGTCCAGGATATGGCAAAGCGTGCGACTGGTGGTCCTTGGGGGCGATGGCCTGCGATCTCATGACGGGCAAACCTCCCTTTGGCGGAGGTAGTTGGACCAAGATTCAGCAGAACATCATGTACCAGAAGCTGAGCCTCCCGTATTTCTTGTCACCCGATGCCAAAGACCTTCTCACGCGATTGTTGCGCAAGGAGCCTAAGAAGCGACTTGGAGTGGGTCCCAACGACATCAACATCATCAAGAAGCACCGGTTTTTCAGGAAGATCGACTGGAAGAAGCTGGAGGCGAGGGAGCTCGAACCGCCCATCAAGCCCCTTGTCACCAACCCTGAACTGGCCGAGAACTTTGCCAAAGAATTCACCGACCGAGCGATCGACACTCTGGCGCGGAGACACAGCCGGACACTGAGCAAGTCTGATCCCTTTGGGGGTTTCAGCTACGTTGCGAGCAGCAGCTTGCTTGAAGAATCAATGCTTTTGGAATTGGATGAAGCTATCATCGACGAAGACGTTTAGACACTTGTGAGCGGCAGACGGCAGACATAGACTATCGGGTTGGGTAGAGTTGTGAGGACGGGAGAGCATAGAAAATCGATCACAGCAAGGCGTTCAGGGCTTTCGATAGGAGAAACATGGCGGTATGGAGGGGCCTTGTCCGGACGAAGTGATGCACGGATATGAGTAGAGCAGCTGTTGATGATTCAAATACAGGCATAGAAGCTACATGGATAGATATGAGATATGTTCAACTGCCTCTTCGCCCTTTACAGTGGTAAGCTGGCACGTGGCTGAAGCTGCTCAGCAGCAAAAGTGTCACGTGAGCTGGTGCCTGCGGCGCGTTGGCGCGTTGGACGAATCAGATGACGGAATGGGGCATACAGCCACCCCGCGCGACGGTTGCCTTAATACCACATACCATTCATTGATTCATTCACTTCAGCCTCAAACTCGTTTCACCGTCAGCACAACTGCCCTGCTCAACATGACCCTCGATCTGTGTCTCTTCTACTCTTCTGTGTGCTTTCATCTTCATGGTCAGCTTATTGCTCACAAACCCGTGCCTTACTTGACCACCCACCTATGAATCTCTACCGCATGGCCCCCTCAAACCTCCTCAGCCTCGAGGCTGAAGTCCTTGCCCATGTCCTCACGTACGTTGACGATGAATCTCCTCGCACCACAGCAGCGGTGGCTCGAACCTGCCAATACCTCCACTACGTCGCCAGGCTTGTCCGCTATCGTCGCGCCACCATTCACTGGGACAACGGGCTCCAGAGCTGGGTGAACCCATTCGGTCGGCCACAAAAGGAATGGGAAACGCCCGAATTCCTCCAAGGCTTGCGAGAGCTCACGGTCTGCAAGATCGAGCCCCCTCCGGTCGTTGATGGCCCCCCTGTTCACGCTTCACCCACGTCCAGAGAACTCTGCGACTCGTTTAACCAATTGGAGAGCGTGCTCCGCAATGCCAGCAACCTGAAAACCTTGGTTTGGAAAGTTGGCTATCTGCCCAGCGAGATCATTGTCGAGACGTTGCAGGCCCATCAGCCAAATGCAAGACTAGACATTTTCCGCGGCAGGAGACTTGCCGATACAGATGTACCCCTAGAGTCAGAGAAGGTGCTGGCGGCCGCGACATGCCTGAACTCATTGTCGATGAGTACTACAGAAACCACACGTGTCCACGACCACTTGGTCTTCCACATGATCTTGAGATCGGCGCCGAACCTGAGATTCGTCTCGATGATCTCACATCCTCAAATGCAGCCGTTCAGCCCCGCAGTCAGTTCCCTCCGAACCGATCTTGACAGTTGGTTTCCGCCAGACCAAGGGTCGAAGCGGAGTTCGTCACTTCGTCACCTGACCTTAGACGGTTGGGGGATATCTGCTAATACCCTGCATTTCTGGTCGCAGTACGCCGACCTCGCGCTCCTGACGAGCCTGAAGGTTAGCAGGGGTCCTCTCCATCAGTCATTTTTTCAACACGCCCCTCAAATCTTGCCGAATTTGAAGAGTTTCGTCATCAACCTTGCCGCGGGGGAACCTTCCATGGCATTTCTCGTCGCGGCACACGGCTATCTTGCCACCTGCCCGCCTTTGGTGAATTTGAGTGTCTGGTCGTGGAGGGGAAAAGTCCCGCTGCCCACCATCCTGGATCAACATGGAGCCACCCTCGAAGACCTCCAACTCCACCAGTGCGAAAAATTCACTGATCTGGTTTTGAGAGAGCCTCTCTCCGTAGAGGAACTTCGATCTATCCGACAGTCCTGTCCGAGACTGAGGGTGCTTACTTTTGATCTCAATAGAGCCTCACCGGAACTCACAATCCAAGATTATGAGGGTATATTCGGCGAGCTCCGCAAGTTCAAGCTCGACAGAATCCAGATTTATTTCGACAGCGGTGTGCAATGGTTATATCTCACGAGGCACTTGTCAGGATACGGCCGGGGAACAGCGAAGCACCGCATGGGCCCGTGCATACCACCACTTCGGTCAGCAAGTGATGTCTGGCTTCCAACAGGATGTCCGGCCGACTCTGATTTTGAAGGTGCTCCGCCTTTCACAATCGAGAAAGGAGACCCAGGTTGGTGGGATCCTGCCAGACCTGACAACGACAGCAACGTCAAACAGCCGCCATCTCCGCACAGGGCCATCTGCCGCTTTCTGATCCAAGCTTGGAAGACCATCTTTGGCTCCCACACCTCGGGTCCACGACAACTCGAGCTCAAGTTTGGGGAGTGGGAGGGGAGACATCCTTCTTTTCTCAACATGAGGGACGTTAGACTCTGTGGTCGAGCTAGACCTCACGAGAGGGACGATATGGTTGGGGAATGCTTCGTTGAGCTCGACTGCTGTGGTAATGATCATCACCGGAAATTCTCTAGCGTGCAGACTGGTCACTAAAGGGCGCGGCGGCGGATTTTCATGGGGTATGGACTATCATCGGAGGACGATCCTGGGCTTACTGACGGCGTATCGAACGAGATGGTTCTTCAGTTGGTCTCGAGGTGTCTTGCGTGCTGGCGTTTCGCTTGGACCTGAAATTGGACGTCAGTCTCCCACTAGGAATGAGAATGAAGTGATGTTATCGAAGGGCTGGTGTCTTCTGGAAACTGACGGGAACGACGAACGTCTTTTATGTCCGTCAAGATGCTGGCTTCGTTGCAGGCTTGACAGGGTTGGGGGCTGTGGGTCGTGGGAATGTGTTTCAACAAGACTGGACAGTCAAAAGGAGTTGGATTGGTTTGCGCTGGTGTCGGGGAATTAGGGAAATTGCAGCATGAATCAATGGGCTGGCTGCTGGATTGAGGAATCCGAGACTCTCGGACGGGCAACTTCGCAGAACATGATGAATCCACGACGTTTTACAGGATATGTCACCACATGTAGCAAGCATGGCTCCACTACTGAGGAGCCCCGGCTGTATAGTGTGCACAGATTTAATGAATCAGAAGGGATATCGTGCGAGATGGGCATATTTCCTCGTTCATGGGCTACGACATCCGTACATACATACTCTGCGTGCATCCACCCAAGCAAGAATCAACCCGGGTCTCTCTCCAGCTACCATATGTAGTTATGTAGTCCACCCGAGGTAGCTAAGCGACTTGGATTCGGATGATATGATATGATATGCCATGACATTGCTAGGTAGGTGACCAGTCAGTCAGCCAGTAAGTAGTAGATGATGTTCGGAAGCGGCATCAATTCAGATCACTCAATTGACCATTTGACCACTCAATAATGCCCCAAAGCACCCATCTCCACAACAATCACCACCACCGTGACCCACGCCGACGCCGACGCCCAGCCTCGCGCCAGAACCCATCCCCAGGAGAATACCCGCGATGATCTCCCCGAAGGAGAAGAAAGAAAAGAAGAAGACGCAGATGACGCAGCGCCAGATTTGACGCTCTGAATCATCGCCGTCGCCGTCACCGCCGCCGCCGCGGCGGGATTGGTGTTCGACAGGGCAGCAGAAAGCGGCCCCGGGCCCGGCCCCGGCACCACCGTGACGTCCTCGACCGCCTCCTCCTCCTCCTCCTGAGTCGTCCCGTTCGAAACCCCCGCGAAAGGGGGAGCGGGAGTGGAATGGGGAGGGAGATTCTCCACAGGGATCGAGAAGGGGAATTTGGCCGTGGCAACGACGAGGCTCTTCGTCACCGTGGCAGCGGCCGGCGGCCCCGACGTGGGCATCATCATCGTCGGGAACGAGACGGGGAAGCTGTACGGCACGTAGTCGTGTGCGTTGGAGTTTTGCGACCCCCGGGCGTTGGAGGCGGAGGCGGAGGCGGAGGCTGTCGCCGTGGCTTCGGCGTATGCGTCTGCTTGAGCATGGGCGCCGGCCTGTGCGTTGGACCACGCGGAGATGGCGCCCTCGAGGGCCGAGATGGACTGTGTGCACGGGACCGTGAGGGTCGTCATTGCCGCCTCTGCCTCTGCCTCCTCCTCCGCATTGCCACCCGCCGCCACGACCGTCGTGGTGGTCATGGGCACCTGCGCCGGCGGCATGTCCGTGCATCCGCAGTGCAGGACCGTGATGGTGGTCGCGAGCCAGGTCTCCGTGCGCGTCGGGCACGAGAGCGGGTGCCACGCACAGACGGTCGTGTAGGTCGTGGAGATGGTTGTGGGGGATAGAGATAGGGAGAGAGTCGAAGAGAAAGAGGAGGACGAGAAGAAGGAAGATGTGGGCCGGGGAGGGGAGGTGAGGATGCCTGAGTCCGAGACTGAGACTGAGACCGAGACTGAGACTGAGACCGAGACTGAGACTGAGACCGAGACCGAGGTTGGAATGGGTGAACTTGTTGTTGTTACTGAGGACGGTTGCAAACTCGTGCTTCCAAAGCTTGACGCGGTCATGGACGATTCCGCTGTCGTCGTCGACGGAGAGGCAGTGGTGGTCGACGAGGAGGAAGCACCGGCATCCGCGTTCGTGTTGTTGTACAGAGTCAACAGGACAACATCGCCGTTCGCATCGGCGAGTTGTCTCCTCACGAGCCGGGTGGGTGGGGATAAAGGAGCCACGCCGCCGCATCTCTCTGCCGCATTGCCCGGGCATGTGGTGTCGCATGCGGAATCCGGGTAATGGACAAAGGCCTCGGACGACGGGGTATCCAGGGGCAACGAGTATGAGGAGCAGTAGCATTGGCTGGAGAGGAGAAGAGGTAGTGTTAGCGAGTAAACAACCCAGGTCGGGCTGGAAGGCGTGGAATTATGGATGGATGATGTCAAAACTTACGTGTCATAGATACCGGCGTATATGTCCAACGAGCATCCCTGAACACATCTCTCAATGGACATGAATGGGGAGTCGTCGACGAGTGTAAAACTGTCCGCAAACGCAGAATCTGGCCGCGGGCCCAGACAGCCTGCATAGGTGAAAGAGGAGACTTGTGTGGGGCCGGGAAGAGCGATATTTGTTGTGGTTGTCGTCGTTGATTCCACTGTCGAGACGAAAGCGGTGGTTGAGGAGATCAAAGAGCTGGAGGCGGAGAAGGAGGAGGGGGGCAATAAGCTGCTGCCGCTGCTGCTGATGGTGATTTGTGATGTCGGGGACGAGGCGGAGGAAGAGAAGACTGTAGAGACAGAGTTGGATGTGGATGGAGGCGAAGATGGCGGGGAGGACGAGGAGGATTCGGAAGCGACGAGGCTGGTGGTTGTCGTTGGTGGGATGGTCGTGTGGGAGGACGTTGGAGGACCCGAAGAGGTGGTTGAAGACGGCGGCGGTGGTGGGATTGACGAAGAGATGGGGGAAGACAGCGGAGCAGAGGAAGTTTGGCTAGAGGAGGACGAGTCGGCTGGGCGGACCGTGCTCGTCGTGCTAACAGGGCTTGCGTTTGTGGATGCTGAACTGGAGCTGGACACCGCTGCGGCAGTCGTTGTAGCAGACAGAGGATGAGTCTGCGTCTGAGTCTGCGTCGTGATGACGGACGGACTAGAAGATGCCGATGAAGATATAGCCGGGGATGATGAATGGATCGGCGTCGATGACGACGGGGACAAGGCCGAGGAAGCGACCACATTTGAAGTGCTGATAGTCGTGGATGGACTCGGCGCTATGGATGATGAACTTGACGACCGCGTTGAGCTCGGAGGGGCCGACTGCCCGTTCGTCGAGGTCGTCGCTGCAGTGGCCATCGTCGATATTGTTGCTGCTGCTGTTGTTGTTGTTGTTGCTACAGCAGAAGATGCCAGCAACGACGATGAAGAGGAAGAAGAAAAAGAAGAAGGGGCCAGACTCGTGGTCGGCGCGGTCGAGAGGCTCGAAGTCGACACAACAACAGAGGCTGATGTTGCACTGGCTGTGGACCGGGCAGGTGACGTCGAGCTTGGAGAAGTGGTCGACGAAAATGAACCTGCCATTGCTGTCGACGTGGATGTACTGAGGGCGCTGCCTCCAGTCGTCACCCCCAACGTCGTCGAAACAACGGATGTGACTGTTGACGAAGAAGTGTCGTCGGTCGTCGACCCGCCCAATGGAACGCCGGCGTCAAAGCTCGACGTCGGGGTCTCCGAGATCAGCGAGAAGGAAGTCGACGTCGTGGCCCCCGGCGCGACGTAATACTGCGGCGTGACCGGGGTCGCCACGTAGGATGTGCTGCTGCTGCTACTGCTCGACGTCTGCTGGCGCGGGTCGTCCGTCACCTGCGGATAGGCGTAGTAGATGAGGCGGGCGCTGTCGAAGCCAGGGTTCGCGGGGGTGCTGCCGACATTGCGTTTCCAGTAGCACGCCTTGCTGCTGATCTGGTACGTCACGCCGCCGCAGATGTTGGTGCTGTTGTACGTGTTCCAGTAGCTGCACCCGGCGACGCAGTCCTCGAACGAGTTAACGGGATAGCTGAGGTATGGGCGACCGATGTCCGACCCGCCGATGTTGACGCCGCATTCGACTTCGTACTGGAAACTGCCCGACTGCACGACGGTGAAGTTGTACGTCGGGCACAGGCTCGTGGTCGGCACGGGGGTCGAAGATGAAGTCGTCGACGACGCGCTCGAATGCGCGGGCTGGTTGCTGGCGATATATGAAGGTCCCGTAGAACTGGCATTGACACTGGGATCTACCAGCTGATACACCCGGATCGAATTGATACTCCAGTAGCTATTTGTTCACAGGTCAGTCACTGGGTTGAAATGGGAGACTCTGTAGCCACATACGACTGTTGGAAGGCTGCTGGCTGAGCGGCCACATATGCATTGCAGGTTGAATACCCCGTGTTTGTGGCACACGAGTTGATCGTCGAGTTCCATACGCTGGCTGCGCCCGCGTATTCTCCGCAGAATGCATTGTTCAAGACGATCTTGTGGGCTTGGAAATGCTGGTCGATGATACAGGAGCCCTCCATATTGGCGGCCGGCAAACCCCACCCGGAAGGGTTGGGCGTCTTGTTGATGATGTCCGCCGGGATCGAGCCTCTTGGAAAAAACCAGACGCTGATATAGTCGGAGGTCCATTGCATCGCGTAAATACCACCGCCGATCGAGTTGAAACCGGTGCCGTAGCTGGAGGTTCGAGGATCGACGATACTGCAGCCGACGTTGTAGCCAGGCTATGGACGAAGTCAGTCTCACCCACCAGAAGAAGCCCATCACTCCACTCACGTAGTATGCGCAGTTGTTGTTCCCCAGCTGGCCTGTCATGGTCCTGCTGTCCCCAGCAATCGTGCAGTTCGGGTTTCTGTGCCATCCATCAGCCATGTCCATTGCCCAGTCGCAAAGTGCCCACACACGTATGTAACGTCGCAGCGTTGTTGGTGATCAAGTTCGCTCCCTCCATGATGTCGATCTCCCCATTATAAGGCCAGTTGGGTCCCAGTGTCCAGACTGTGGTTGATTAGCTCAAGACCACCCCCCTTTCCTGGGAGCACGTACATGCCGGCCAACTTCCACAGACACCGCCCGGAGCATGATTGAAATCCCCGATAAACAATCCATGGGTCCATGATCGTTGCGTGGAAATGCGGACGCTGGGTCTCCCTGCGGCTTGCGTGGATCCGATCACCGTGTTGTAGTCGGAGCCAATGTAGATCGGTGAGCTGTCGCTGGCATTGATCATGCCCGCAAGTTGAGCAGAACCCTGGCTGTAATATCTATTCGAGTATTAGACACCGCGCATATATTGGTCTGTCAAGGTCACACACGTTACAAATCCTCCAGTAGGGTCGCCTCCCTGTTTGGCGTCAGCGTCGTCGGACAAACCGCTGGCAATCAGGCTCCTCACCGTATAGAAATCCCAGCCTTGGAAGAAATTGGCGCCCGAATACTCTGAATCCAACTGGTAGACCGAGCTGGTAAAGGCAGAAGCATAGTGGAAATACACAAAACACGTGAGAAATCGGTAACAAGCCATGGTTCGGGCGGAAAAGGAATGGACAGCCATGATCGGCAACAGCAAGTAGACGCAGGCGCTTCAATGAACGCGCGAAACAGCGGAGGAATAGCCACAATGAAGGCGTTTTGGAGGATGCGTGGAACGAATTCCATCGCGAGTCTTGCGAAGAATGTGCACGGGACCTGGCACAACACGGTGGGGAAAGAAAGAAAGGGAGATATCCATCTCATCATTTCTAGAATCTCGCGCATCCCTGGGCGTGGAGCTCTTGCTCGCACTGGCCATGGTGTTGGCCTGCGAGAACAAGGCCGCTATCAATCCTTCAAAATATATGTGGCTCGGGGGAGCCAGCCCATCGTCTGAGCATCGAGGTGTTGGTGGTGTTTCTTGCCTTGAGACCCTCTACTGACTTACCATACACGACCAGGTATAGAGGGCTGGGGTCCGTGATCGGGAGGACGTAGCTGTGTATGTCTTCCGATGGGTGCCCGGTCCTTACCGATGCCGCTAAAAGTGAATGACCAGCATAAGGCACCATATTCTGTGCTGAGCGGATTACCCACAGCCTCTTCTGATACGCGGTCTGTCGTTTGAGTGAGCTGGAGCCAAAGCGAGTCTGTCGAAGTGCATGTTGACCTCTCGACCTGAGGAGGCCCGGTACCAGGATGGATCGGTCCTGACCCGCGATATCGAATGGCCGTTCGCGTCTCAGCCATCCTTTCGTCAAAATTCACCTTGAAATGCACGGCCTCAAAGGCCTGCCCTCCAAGGATCTTCGTCTTGCCTATCCTAGATTTTCTCCCCGCAAGGCTGGATCTCCTCACTGAGAGTACGTTGCGAGGATCGCGAACTGTGGTCAATTTCGCGATTCTCATCGTGAGCCCGCACTTCGATTTCCTTCTCTGCTTGCCCAGCTTCTTTTGCCTTCTCTGCGCTGAATGGCTGAGGCGGTTGCTGGGCTTGCAAAGCCTCCGTATCATTCGGGTTGTTTTGGGGCTTCTTCAACACTCCTTGCTTCATGTTATATCCGCCTCGCCAACCTATCCAGCCTTGTTCATGTGGGCCGCGCAAGAAGCACACGACCAGCGCTGTAGAAACAAAGCCGACGCTTGCCGAGCCCGAAGAGATCCAACCGCCACGGGCATAAAGAGAGTTCCCAACAGCAGTACCGATCAACTGCCCCACGAAAACGCTGACCATATAAGCAGTATTGACCCGGTTCCTCGCTAGCGGCGCGACTTTGTAGATAGAAGTTCGGTTAGCGATCTGGCTGGTCTGCAGGCCGATGTCGATCCCAATGGCCTGGATGACGGGCCCCGCGATCGTAAATTTGCCGGTATAGGTCCCGATAACCACGCCAACCAAACAAATTACCTCGCCAATGATGACTGAAAAGAGCGGTTGGTGTTTCTCCATGACTGTCCTCGCGAAGATGGGACCCCAAGTCATGCTGCCGATTCCGATCAAGGCAAAAAGACCAATGACTAGAGAATTGTAGTGGTACGGGGAACCGGCAAGGAGGAAAGTCAGGGTTGTCCAGAAACTGGTGAAGGTCGTCGCGGTGAACATGCCAACAAGGCAGGCCTGGACTAATACGGGATACTTCACCACGAGCTTGACAATATCCCACAACAACAGCGGATACTTCCTCCAGATATTCTCCCCGGGGTTGGTCGAAGGGTAATCTGGCATGAAGAGATACAGCAAGATCAGGATAAAGTATTGCAGCCCAAATGAGATCCAGTAGATATAGCGCCACCCAATGAATTTAGCAACGGTGCCGGACAAGAGACGGGCGATGAGCATTCCTAGAAGCATCCCCGACACGACAATGGAGAGAGACGTCGACCGCCTGTGAGGAGGAGCCATGTCGCCGACCAGGGGCAGCATCAACTGAGGTGTCACAGTCGTCACACTTGTGATAAAGGTGATGACCCCGAAGGCGACAAATGATCTGGTGACGCAGAGGCCAATCCTGCAACGAATATCAGTCCAAACATCCATACTCCGATAAAATCGTCCTTCACGGACCATAGTGTTGCAGTAAACCAAACCAGCCAAAGAACAAATGGCCTCCTCTTCACCAAGTCTCCCAACGGGCACAAGAACAGCAACCCACCAGCATATCCAGCCTGTGCCAAAGTGGGGATATAGGAAGATTGCTCGTCGGTAACGTGGAAGTCGTCGGCGAGGAGGTTGAGGATTGGATGAGTATAGTAGAGGTTGGCCACGGTAAAACAACCAGCGAATGCTGAAGAGGCACGGGTCATTAATACTAAGTTGCCTTATCCGAGCTGGGTTCTTTTCCTACCAAAGAGTATATTCAAACTCATTGAGAACTGAAATGGCTTCTCAGGGTCATAGCGACACCTCGGTGGCACATATGTGAGGCAATCGTACACCTTCTGGAGGGTCGTCCTCTCCGGCTTCGGGCCGCCATCCTGGGACACGGTCGCTGGTGGTGCCTCAGCGCTCAGGGCTTCCTTGGTCCCCGAAGGAGGCACTGCTGGCTGCGACATGACGGAGCAGCTGCAACTTCAAGGCTGCAAACAGCACCGAGCGACGGAGAGAAAAGAGCCATGATTTCTCCAGGTTCCTGACGCTTGCTAATATAACAGGGAAGGAATTGGAGATAAAATCAGGGCCGACGGCTAATGTCCGATGTACGCAACGGACAAAAGAACCAAGGGCAAAGGATCGAGGTGGAGAGGATCTCTCCAATCGTCCTGGCACAAAGGAACCTCATCGGCTAAACAATTCGCGGAATGTGCCCGGAGAGGCGTCTTGCTCGGCATCTACGCCGATGTATGTCCAGGGAAGTACTTAGCCTCGACTAGAAAATAACACCACATCATTCAAACGTATATATAAATGATAGAATATTGAGGTGAATCGAGCCCCCGAGAGCCACAAACTGCGGTATAAATGCACCAGTCTGGGCTGAGCAGTATCACGAGCATTGGCGTGTCGACTTTTTCGCTAGGAATGAGCAACCGTCCAAGCCACCGAAGAAACAAGCAGAAAAACAACGATGTGGGCGTCCCTCGACCAGTTAGTCTCTTTTCCGCTATGAGCGAAGCAACGCGATTAAGCAGAACTTTGGGAGCAACAAGCTGAGCAGAGAAGACATGGTAAGAAGGGTAAGGGCAAGGGGTATCCAAGGGCACCAGGCCACCATTTTGCCGCATGGTCGAAAAGCCCAAACAGAATGGCCGCCCATTTCATCGTCAGTGTCATTAGTCATTAGGGTCGTTAGGTCAAGCAACAGGGAGTCGTACGTTTTTGGCCGGCTTCGGTCTGCGAACGTCCTCGCGCAAGTCTTTGACTGTCTTCACGAAGTCTTCGGCGTCTGTACGAAACCAGTGAGCCTCTATCGCGTACGGGACACGTTCTCGGGACAGTCTACCTGTAAAGACCTCGAAGTCCAGGAGGTGCTCGCCGTTTGCGCGGACATGAGGTGAGTATTCGGAAGAAAAGACATGACGTTGGAGTTCAGCGAGATACACGGTGGAGCTGTTCTTAGGCCACCGACACCAACTCGGCGAGGTGATTTTGTGCGTGATGAAAGCCGTCCAGATGGGTGTGCTGCTAGAAGACTCAGCTTTTGCATCTTGATGCGACAGCATCGACTTACTCCTTCATCTCTTTGTCGAGGACAGATGCTTCGAGACGCATGGCATCCGTCCTCTTGTCACGGTACAACCGGAGGACATGGCGGTAGCCGCCGTCACGGATTGCCCTGAGGGAATTCAGCCCGAAGCCAATGGCAAAGCATCTCATCGACTCACCCAGCGAAATTGAGGACTTCGCCATCCAGATCATGGTCGATGTTACGGAAGAGCGATGTGCTGTCATGAGAACGCAGTGATAGAAAGGTGCAATGAAAGATGACAAGCCCTGAGACAATCAGCGACATCCTTCGGAGGAGGGGAGTCTGAGAACTGACATTCATACGACGTGAAGTTGAGGCTGGTCCAGCAAGTGCTTGCACCTTTGACGGTGGGACAGCAAAGGTATAGCGCGGACCCAGATCGTTTGATGTGCAATTCGCTGAGGGGAAAGCAAGACTGCCGAGGGTTCTTTCGATGGTCATACCATTCACAGACGAGTTTGGTGCGGTAATCGCGAGCACGCCAGTAGAACTTCGTCCTTAATCCGCCAGGAAATTTTCTGGTCACAGTCAACCGGGGATCTTTCGCACCGTTAGCCAATCTTACAGTTGGAGGATCCTCTCATATTCCGGGCCTGGTCGCCGGCGGTACCGGTTATCGACGTCGCCGAAACAGCACGATCTAATCAGGCGTAGAGTGAGCGAGTGAGCGAGTGAGCGAGTGTGTGAAGTGGTGACGAAGGCATTTTCCTTACGAGTTTGGGTCCACCTCGAGAGGAGTACTGGGCAAGTTGCTGAAAATTTTGGTCGCCCAGTGGTTGGTGTCCGAGTCGACGCTGGACGTTTGACTCAGAGTGGAAAACGTGGTGACCGGCGAAGAAGGCAAAACTGGAGATAGGGGTGGCGGACTGGGAGCCGCTGGTTGCTGAAATGTCTCGTAACTGTCTTGGGAGGTTGCTGGCGACATGGGTCGTAGAGGCTCTGGTCTTACCCGTTCGTGGGACGGGAGGGGTCTGATCACTGCTGGTCGTCAGTAACATCGTAAAGCCTGCGAAAAGGAGAGAGTGACCCTGCTGGACTGGCACCATAGCAAGAGTAGGGAAGGTCTCTGAGGCTGTGATTAATCGTCGATCTTCACGTTGGAGGGTCTGGAGATCGAAAATCTCGAGGCGCAAGTCCTCGAGGTGCCGTCGACTGAAGGACTGCCTAACCAAAAATGCCCTTGAGCGACAACCACTTCAGGGCTCGAGGTGCTACTGTACCTTGAGAGGACCTTGCATAATGAATAGGTGAAGAGTTTATATGTCTCTAGTCGTGTGTGGAGGGTCTGCTTTCCCATGTTCATGCAATATCGGGCGACGTCTTTCCAGGCATCTTGGTAGTCCGCTGCGATCGGGGCGCGTGGTAACTTGCCCAGGATCGTCCATATGTCTTGAAGGGTGAAGGCGATACTATGCTGAAGGAGTTTCAAGTCGCCCGCAAAGGTTGAGGTGACCTTCCCGTTCGCCGCGTCGATCTGATTGTTGAGCTCCCGCAGCGCCCAGCTCAAGCCGTTCAGCCCCGTGATCGCCAGGGTAATGTCCTGCTCATGATCCTGATCGCTCGTCCGGATGGTGCTGAGAATTTCCGCAATGTCCTGGGCTCTCCCAGCCTCCTCTCGTAGGAGTAGATCCATGCATTATAGACTGGGGTGCGCCTCGGGATCAGACTGAGAGAGATATGAGCAAGGAACCCAGATCGAACTCGAGCGGTCGTGAAGAGGCTCCTTTTGTGCTGAAATTGAGATGCGGGCTGGCCCTGGGGGAATCTCGTTAATTCGCGCGGAGGCAAACCCTCATGCAAGCCGTTGACGTGTCAAGCGGACAGCAGGCGAAGCCGAAGGATGAAGGGACCGATGCATACCTAGACACGACGCCGATTTGTCACCGTCCAGCATGCGCATGAACTGTCGCAACACAAGCTCTTAGGCTGTCCACCGTTGTCCACTGTCGTCCACTGTCGCCCACTGTCATGCTCCGTACCGGCTTCAAATGACCTTGGCTCCGGAGAGGCCAATTTCTCATGTTTCTCGACTCGTGGAGGAATAGCAGGGCACCATATTGGACCAGTCTGGCAGGTTCTGTTTCTCGAGAGAGGTGGCCAGATCGCATGCATGATGCTGCAGGCATTGTTTTTTGCTGCCTAAGCTAGGGCGTCCAAACAACATTCTCTGATTCCTTTTTCCAGGAGCAGCAGTCGCGGCAGCGAAGCGAGGCCTTTTATGCGGGTCGACGTGGTTCTACTTGGTTGTCGAAAAGAGAATGCATCCTACCTGACTTTCGTGAGTAGCTTGCGTCGTCTGTCAGCATAAATTCCATCTTCTTGCTGGAAACCCCCCGGGTGACAAATGGGAAGGCCAGCAATGGGGACGCGTCGGAATGTCTGGTGGTGGTGGTGAGAGTGTCGAGAGAGAGCGAGACTGTCTACGAGACTGGAGTGGAAGCTGCATCAGGAGCTCGCGTCCAGGCCCTCAACATTGCCTAGATTGAGGTGCATCCTGAAAAATGGAAGAGCAACAACCATTTGGCTTTTTATGAGGTTGGAAGATGTTCTTGACCTGCGCCTTGCTGCTGCCTGTGGCCAAGCCCAAAGAGAGTGGTAGAGAACGAGGGGCTGAAACACGACGATGGCCCCCAGAAGGATCAACCAACACTCGGCACAACGTGATGTGATGTGATGAGATGAAGCTCTGGAGCTGGTCAAGTTTGTTCACCCCTGACGGAAATGCACGGGTCAGGGCTCGTCGGAGAACGTCTACGAAGAGCAATCCTCAACGTGGGAATCCCAGCAGTCGTCAATTGGATCTTTTTGCCAGACATTGCATTGCATAAAAAGCTAGTATACAGCAAGGATCATAGTATGCTTATGCAATGTTCGCAAGCTCAGCTTTCCGGTTCGCGACGGTGGTGATGCGCCACACCTCACGACGATATGGCCTGGATCTCTGCAGCTCCATGATTCCAGCCGTCAGCTGCGTTTCTGAAGCATACCGACCCTGTCCATAACTGACTCCCATAACCCCTGCCTCCCAGCCGATCATTGCTAGTGAAAACATGATGACAAAAAAAGAGAAATTGCACCAGACTTTGAACGTTGTCGCCAAAGACCATGGGGTCAAGCGTCAGGGCGCGAGACCATTCAGTCCTCGTCATCGTCGTCCTCGCCAGCCTGGGAGGGCGGTTAGCAAGTATCCCTGTTGAGTTGAGCGATCATCGTCACTTACGTTGTATTTCGCCTTTTCGTCCTCATATCGCTTCTTGTCGGCGGCGGCCTTCTTCTCGTACGGCTCGCGTTGTTTATCGCTCAGGGCCTTCCACTTGTCACCGAGGACCTTGCCAACCTGGCCTGTGGTCTTGTAAGCTCATCTGGTCATCGGTGGGAGGAGGGGGGGAGCAGGCGTACCAAAACTAATGCCCGGGTTCTCCTCACGGACGTTCTCGCGCTGCTCGTTGGCAAAGAACATGTAGGCAGAGAGGCCACGCTTGGGAGCATTGGGGTCTGTTCAAGACGTCAGTGAAGGTCACATCACACCATCGGGAGGTGTCGACGGACCCTTCTTCTTCTTCTCGGCACCACGGCCCTTGGTTTTGGTATTCTTTCCGGTCGCCTTAGGCATTTTGGCTGTGGAAGACTGGGTGGTTTGGGGTTTTGGATTCGCGGTGTTTGCGAGGGTGTTGGTGCTCTGCGCAGCGCGTCTTTTAGTCATGGTTACAACACAGGGAACAGGAGGGATGAGGTAGAACAAGCGATGGTTGAGTGATGAGCTGGGACGAAGTGCGGAACCAGAAGCGCAGAATAACAACCAGGTAGAGAATCCAAACAACAGTGAAGGCAAGGGCGAAACCACGGTGAAAGGTGCGAGGGAGCGCACGGAGAGCCGAGCGCAGGCAAATTGGGATTGTTTTGGGAGAGTGCATTCGAGCGCCAAACGCGTGTTCTGGCGGTGACAATGGACAATTGGAGAGCGCTCAGACTCACCGACGCAATCAAGACGCGTCAATTGAGCAGGTAGAGTGCTGGGAAGCAATGCGTGGTGGTGGTCAAGCGCTGGTGGGCGCAGGGTGCTGGGGACGGCGACGACGAGGTCGCAAAACAGAGCCCACAGGGCAGGATGATGATGGGAAGAGCATTTTGCATCGCAGTTTTGCGCGCAAGCTATGAGAGAATAGGGTGGGTGGTGTGGATGGTGAAGGGGAAAAATTGGTTCAAGAGAAGAAAGTGAGGACTTACCAGTATGAGGGTGATTTGGTGGTAGTAGTAACGCAGTGCAGCGCGCTCACAGTATGCACACACAGTACAGTGTATGAGGGAGAGTGGTAGTAGGAGGAAAAATGTATGGGAGGTGGGAGGTGGGAGCAGCAGCAGCAGTGAGAGAGGAGACAGGCAGAAGAGCGAGAGCGGCACAGCGGGCAGGGCCAGACTCCCCGACTCCGACTCGCCTTCTTCCCTTGGTCTCTCCCTTCTCCCTGATCTCCTTTGACTCTCTCCCTTCCCCCCTCCCTCCTCGTTCGTGCCCTGCCCAGTTGTTGATCCTGCACTGCCGCTGCCCTGCTTGCACCACTTGCACCACGCAACCCATCAAACACGGTGTGGTGACTGGGTACTCGTACGACTGAGTGCTGCTACTAACAACTAGTAGGTACTCCGTCCGTACTGGACTATTCACCCCTCTGATCTTTTGGATCGTTTGTCTTGCTTCTATCACCTATCACATCTCATCTCCCCCAAGTTCCCCCTCTCAAAACTCCTCATAGTTTGTCCGTAATGTAATAATGGTGACCCTGCTCCCTGTGATCTCGTCACTCTGCACCTTGTGCTCATTCCCCCTCCTGCCAGGTCTCTGCCCCCCTGTCCACTCAAACTCACTCACTCTACCCTCCTGATCTAGCTCTCTCGTGCTCTCCTCGTTGCTCAGCACTACCTCCTTGACCTCAGCTGCACCCTTTCCTCAGGCCCGCAATAAACCTGCCCACCTCCGTCAATCAGTTTCCCTGCCTCCCACATTTCTGACCTTATGGAACCCACTTTTCTCGACGACTCATTGCAACCAGTCGAACGAGCAAGTAGTGACGACTGCACTATATCCTGCAAGAACAGCCCTGCTCACTGTGCTATCCACTCCAATGGCCGTGGTTTCTCATTCCACGGCTGGCACCTGTGTTCTCGAGTAGCCGAAGCTCGAATCATAACAAATCCACTTTGGGCCAACAACTCCTGCCGCTTCCAACGCCCTCAGCTGGGGAGCGCGTCCCCTTCCTGGCATTCTTCAGCCGATGGGTTTTAATTCCGTTCGTATCCACCAGACCAGCCCCTGATTGCATTTCCGTGCACACGAACCTTTCCTTGGGACGATTTCCCGTGGTTTGATTGAAGCTCTGTAGACAAGACTCCTGGGGGTGTCTTCTGTACCCGTGGACATTACTCCCCAAAGGTCCCCCGAATTACTCACATCGGCTTGGCGTAGCTTCCTTGATGCGTCGGACTCTTTACCAGACGCCGAACAGGGATTAATAATAACGATCAACCCCGGGTCGTGACTCTCGCCGCGGAGTTTGACGTCCAAGCCACCCAGCAAGGCCCCCCAGCAACAAGAATAAACTCCGGACGAAAAGCTGCAGGTTCCGGTCCAAACCATCCCCTTGGCTGGCAAAAGATCTCGACATGCATATTAAACAGGCTTGATTTGGTCCGCGAAGAGTATGCCCTGTTATTGCATGTGCAGTGAGGGTGGTAAAACAAACAACCGCATTGATGTGATAGTCACGTGGGACAGCCATGATCGGCCTCAGCTGCCACACGTGATGTCGACGCGTCTTCACCAGCACTACAGAGCACCCCAGAGTACTTTGTAGCGAGACAGCCCCAGGTAACGGAGGAAGGGGCTCTAAACACGCAACAGGACCCCGGATAGACGAGCAACTCTCCCATTCACGACAACTTTTGGAAAAGCCGCGAGGGTATGTATCAGTCTCCCCATTTTTATGAGGCTCGAACGTCCTCGCCCCAAATGCTTCCGGAGGCACAAACCCCATTCTCCAATACTCGGTACAGCAACCTATATATACCCGTCGCATGGTATACGTCGTATGACTAGGACCGAAACTCCATGCTGAACAGTTTGTCCCAAGGTCTCTCCCTCGGTTTCGCCGAGGGTGATGGAGTCGAGACAGCCTCAACTCCCGTGGTAACACCAGGATGCTTCGCAGGGCTTGCCGCTGGCGTCGTTGCATTCTGTTTCTTTGGTCTATAGGGTGATTGTGATGTGCTTCCTGGAGTGAGGGCTGAATATACCGGTCTCTTGTTCAGCCGTTGCGCCAGAGACGATTCATGCTGCGTCGCTTTGAGGGCGGCGTAGCCAGACGCAGAGGCTTGAGGATATCTTTCCCTCGCGGCAGAGCCCGCAAGCTCAGAAGTCGCAGGGTTACCACTCTATTTTTCTCATCAGTCGCTGCACGTTTTGCTCTTGTTTATGGGCCGAGAAGAAGATCTCGCCTCACCACTTCAAAGACCTGCGCATCCTCTCGGTCTGTCTGGCTTGCTTCGGTGGGACGGCGCACGATACTGGGTACACTGGCTGTCCCAGCTTGGCCTCGACCTTGACCCGCAGCTTGCACCATCGTTGAGCCCGCTAGACCCGGCCCTTCAGGCTCGTCATTCTCATTTTCTGCATCTGCATCCGCGTGGGCATCATCGTCCGGGATGGCCACAGTTCTGCCACCCACATCATGTGGAAGTGGACGCCTTTGCTCAACGTCCGTGTCGCTGGAAATAGGCGCTAGAGGTGCAAGCTTCGATGAAGGCATCCCGTCCTTAACGCTGCTGCTCCGGTCGAGAAGCTTGCCCTTGAGATCCACGCTTTTCTTGCTCCCCGAGCTCGACCGCCGACTATCCAGGCTTTTGGTAAGTGTTTTAGTAACCATGGTCGTCGTGGCACTGGTGCCACCTCCGCCCATCCCTATGCTTGACTTGTGTTCCTTCCTGCCCAACCCCATGTGTCCCTTGACCTCGACGTTGCTCGCGGTGACGGTTGACTTTCCGACTGAGGGGGTGCCAGGCGCCCCCGATTTCTCCTCCTGCGCATCGATCATATACCACCTTAACCCATCCGATAACTCGAAGGGATTCTCGTCATCAACACTCCTCATCGACCCACCGTCGTCCACCACCGTACTGGCTATCCCCACAGTTGAGGACGAGGTGTTGCCACGCATGCTCCTACTCAGATCTACCACCCTCTCTTCTATCTTCGTGATTCGTGCGAGCAACCAGTCTCTCGATTGCAATTTGTGCGCATCCTGCTCTCTCAGAAAGTAATGCGGTGCACCGACATTGAACGCCGCCCAGGGTCTTGTCGCTTGATTCCTCGTGGGCAAAAACAAAGCCAGATCCCCTTCCTTAAAGCTCCTATATGCGATTTTATCGTGCGCCTCGGCCTGAGAGCGGTGCGTTCGTTCTCTGTACGCGCGGGAATCCTTTTGGTATTTCTTCGCCAACGTTTCGACGTCCTTGTAGCGCTTCGTGATCAGGTCAATCGTGCTGTCCATGTCAAGCCTCGATAGGGTGGAGAGGAAGCCAGAGTATTTTGTCGACTCCGAGGTGAGATCGTTGTCGGACGTCCAATACAGGGTGTCGAGGTCTGAAGGATCGGAATAGTGTTGTGGGGGCGCTGAACCCGAGATGGTCCGCCTCATGGAAATGCCTGGTCCCGATCCCTCGTTGCCACTAAGCACCGCGCTCGCGTTCACTTTACTCGCGCGCTGAATTACGAGCATATCATCCTGGCGGGAGACATAATAGCCAAACTGCTCAAGCATGCGAATGATCCGATCGTGATGGTGGAACAACCTCTCAGAAAGCTGTTTTGCCCTTTCGCCCCTCTTGTCGAAATGCTTGCGCAATTTCTCCTGTTTCTCTGCCGCATTGACGGCTTCCCGATTGAGATCTTCAATTTCATGCTTCAGGCGCTGGATGAGACCCTCATCTTCAGCTTTGCGGTCCATTAATTGCGCGACTTTGATTTCTTCAGACTTGAGTTGCTGGCGCAGGGCATCAGAGCCCGTCTCTCCAGCAGCAAACTTCTCGCGTAAGGAATCCATTTCGGCGCGCTCGCCCGCAAGTTCAGATTTCAGCACAGAGATCTTACTTCGCTCCTGTTCGAGGTCTTCCCTCAGTTCATTCGCCCGCATTTCCATTGTGGACAGTTTGTCTGTGAGAGTTTTGATCTCGCTTTCAGCGTTCGACAACTTCTCCTCCAGCGATTTGTTCTCTGCAGTGGCGAGCTGGAGAGAATCGTCAAGGCCTCGAGCGTGAATCGCGGCACCTTCGGAGAGAATCTCCAATGCGTTAACGAGACGGCGAAGATCATCTGGGGGAGAACCTGCTGGTGATAGGTTCGAGTGTGCTCCTTGAAGGATGGGGATATATTCTTGCTGCTGATCTTCCATTGAGCGCAGTTGGTTCGCCAGGGCCATATTCTGAGATTGTGCGGCTGCCCGTTCTTCCTTGAGTTGGTGAAGTTGGCGATCGAGCGTTGCTGCTCGCTCGCGGTGCGCGGCTGCTTCTTTTCGCGCCGATTCGACTCGGCGGTCTGACAGCGCGAGATCATCTGCAGAGGTCTTCTTTAGTTGTTCCAACTCATTCCGTAAGTTGAGCACTGTTTGATCTTGTTCAGAACGAAGATGGTCCCTAGAGTCATTGAGACGATCAAGCTCTTCCTCGGCTTCCTCCAGTTTGACTTTGAGACGATGCACTTCGTCGTCCAGCAGTTGTCGCTCCTCTTCAAACTCTTGCTTCTGCGCCTCGAAATTGGCCATCAAGTCTCGCTTGACCAATTCCGCTTCCTGCATTTTGTCTCTGCTCTCGGTACTGGAACGCCGTTCTGCGTGAGCCTCCTCTTGCAGCTTTTGGATCTGACTTTCTAATGCAACGATTTTCTGCACCAAGGACTTCTCGTCCTGATTATTGGATAATCTTCGGAGAGACACTGATGACCTGCGAGACAGGTCGCTATGTCTGTGCAGCGGACTCGGTGAAGGGGTCTGTTGTCTCTCAAAGTCCGCAGCGCTGCCAGGCTGGAAGATCCCGCTGGCAGGCCGGCTGAGCTGGCTTTGACGGTGGAGGAGGTCTTCCAGCTTCCGCACTCGACTATCGGAAGCGCGAAGCTTCTCCTCAAGTCTTGCTTTCTCGTCCTGTAGACCTCTGACTTCGTCCCCGCCGCGGAGAGCAGCACTCTGACTGAGATCGTGGATACTCCCGTTTTTGAATGGCTTCGTCTTCTGCTTGCGAACTGGGGCATCCAGATCTTTCATTCGCTGCATGACCGACTGTACTGCATCGTTGATACCGAGCGCCCTCAGGTCGTCAACCCAGGCGAATATTTCGTCCCTGCTCACGAACGGCCAGGAATTCCGTGGGGCGGTCGCTTTGAGATCGATGAGTGCATCTTTGGCATTCATATCCTCATTCAAGAAGTCGCTGTGCGAAGCCGTCCATTTCTTTCGCGTTCTTTGCTCTTCCTCGGTCTGCTGGGAAAGATCTTCATGGAGAACGTCGACCTCTGCCCGCATTCGCTCAGTCCACTCGGATCTTCGCGTTGCTTCCACAAGTGTGGCACCATAGACAAGTGGCAGCTGAAAGACCCGATTAAGGGCTGTAAAGTTATCGTTGTCGTGGAAGTCGAGGTTTGTGATGCCGGACTGCAGTTCTGCGAGGCGAGATTGAATACTGGAAATGAGTTGCAGAGTCGAATACCAGTCATGAGACGCGGTGTTTCGTGTCTCGGATGCACTCAGGGAAGCCTGGATAATTTCTTCCACGACACCGTGCATGGCAGGCAGCAACTCGCGAGTATGAACTGCAGCCTTTCTTGACGCTGCAACCACAGACTTCTGATTGTCCTGCATCTGTACGACGTCTTGATAGTCGGAGCTGATCCGCTTCGCCAGTGTCTCGGCCTCGTCCAGTAGAGCATTGGTGTCGAAGTCTGGCACCTGAGTTGAGCGAGTCTGAGCTTCATCTGTATCCTGCTTTAGTTTCTCCATGCCCGACTGCAGTTCACGTAGCCTCGTCTCAAAGTCGGCCGAGCTTTGTTGAACACTCTTTGCGGCAGCCTGCAGGCTCTCTCGGTCGACCAAATCGAAAAGAGTTCCAACCGGTGCTGACGGGTCTTTGCCATCAGGCTCAGCCGGGCGCCGCAACACCCTGACCACGTCTTCACGGACAGGAAGCTCTGCAAGGGTGTCCACACCCGCTTGCCAGTCTTTGAGGACCTCCCGATGTTCTTGTATATAGCCTTGAGCCCATTGGTTTGTCTCCTCGAACCTCTGTTGCAGCGTCGTGACGTGGTTTCGCAGGTTGTCCAGGGCGACCTTCATGGACCTGGCAATGACCGATGCCTCCTCTGCACATATTTCGATATTCTCCACTCCTGTTCTGGCAATCTCAAATGCCTCCAGCGCCCACGTTCGCCGAGAGTTGAACAACTCTTGCCATGCTTTGAGGCTGGTCTCATCGGTGAGATACGAAGGGGGTTCGGAGAGCGGTTGGAGTTGGACATCCTCACGGGAAGGGGGGCTGGAGTCCGGGGACAGGAACTGCTTGTCGTAGACATAAACCTCCTGTTCGTTGTTGAGATTCTTGACAATCTTGCCGCGAGCCGTCATCAAGATCTGGCGAGAGGCGGGAATGGCAGTATTGGCCTCGAGCCATGGCCGCAAGTTGTCGACTCGGGCCGCGGGATCGTTGAAGGTGAGCAGGCCGCCGGTGTGGGAAAGATACGCTTGTAACGCCATGGTCTCCCCCTTCACCTCCTCCTCTGCAACATCTCGAGGTCCAGGCAGATCTATCAGCGAGAGAGGGAGTCGGAGATAGCATTAGGCGGAATCGTAATCCACACCGCGTCGGAGAGGCAGCATGTGGTGTGAATGGATAAAATTCTTAGTCAGCAAATCTCCTCGGTTCGCCTTTCCTATCGAACTCGGCTAGTGTGACCATGCGGAGTATGCCTCAACGGCCATGTCGTTGGGCGTCTGGCGAGGTGGATATATCCTAATGAGCAGTTGATCTTTGCAGCTTTCGTGGCGAGAAGGCGGGACACACATGTGAGGATCTCGCATGGGTTTTATATATCTGCGAGGCTCTGACAATTAACTTATCTCACCTTTGGCAGGGGGTCACAAGACATCAGAAGGTCATCTGGAAGTCACTCAGTTCCAGTTTAACAACAATCAGGTGGACCAAACATCCCAGCCCACAATGAGCAGCTTTCAAAACATCGAGAAGCCATCCTTCATGTGGCACTGGAGGAGTTGGGATGATTTCAAGGCCGCCTCGTTGTTCACCCTTGGCAACTATGCCAACGTCATTCTGTTGGTTGTCTTCCTCGTTGCGGCCCTGAACCAAGTGAGGGTCAAGAATGTGAGTTGTGAACCTCATCACTACAAGGCAGAGATCTGCCTGGGTCCAGTCCAACAGACAGCATTGACCCCTCCGCAGAAAGCTGCAAAGAAGATCGGGTTTGAGAACCGATACCTCAAAGCCTCCGAGTTCCCTCCCGTAGAGGAGCAAGAGGATTTTGACTGGGAGACCACTGAACCTCTCCGTATCCGACCCTTCAAGTCGAAATATCATTTGACTATGGGTAAGTTGGCTTTGGATTGTGCCTCGACGTTCCCCGGTCCTTCCAAGCGAAATCTCTTCTCTTGTTCATACAAGAAGAGGCTGACTCTACACGAGCCGAATCTGACGAATCAGCACTTGAGAACCTCCCGCCTTCGGAGCTACTCATGATGGACAGGAACTACGCAGATCGCATTGCCTACCGCCGCAAAATTATAGCCGAGCACGGTGAACACGTCGTTGCCGTCAATGACGATTACCGCATTCGTCCGGCCGTCGTGGAGCTCTATCAGTTTCTTCTCGGCACGTATCTGCCATTACGCTTTCCGAGGATGTTTAAACTGCACGAGGCCGATTACGAGGAGGGCAAGACGTTTATGCTAGAGAACTTGGTGACCAAGGCACTCTTTCCCGCGAAACCCTCGCCTCGGACGTCCACGAAGACGTTACTGGAGACGCTCGGCCGCACCCTGGATGAAGACTTCCTCTTCCTCCTTCCCGAAGAAGGGGATCCGAACACCGAGAAGAAAGAAAAATCTGACGAGAGCTCCGACGACGACGCGAAATATATCCTTGAAGCCTACGTCTGCTGCTGTCCCAGCGGTTTCGACCCCCTCGAGAAACTCGGGCATCGCCTCGCCAAAATCCACGGCCCTGTGCCCGGTTATCCTCAAAAACTGGAAGCGTCCATGGACCGATTCTTCTCCCGGCTCGAAGTGGGCAAGTACGTCCGCCGCGTCAACTGGGCCATCACGACGAACACCGACCTTTATGCTGCGGGACCCGGAACCAACCACGCCCACGAAGGTGACGAGGTGGAGGAGCTCGAGGATATTGACGTGGATAAGACGTTCCTGAGGTGCGAGAGGCAGACACTCCACAGGCTACCCAAGAGTGAGGCGCTGGTGTTCGCCTTCAAGACCTATCTGTATCCGATCGCCGAGGTGAAGGCGGAAGGAAAGGGAGAGGAGCTTGCAGAAGCCATTGATGGACTGAAGGAAGGCAGTGTCCCCGCAATGCACTTCTACAAGAGAGGCGTGGTTTGGGGGGAGGCGGTCAAGAGGTATCTCCGAAGCTGAACCGGGCTTCAAGTCCCTCGGGGAGGAGCGATACCAGAGGTGGAGATGGGGTAACAGTACACGGGTAAATATGACGATTGTTTCCACGATATATATATACGCCGATATGTGATTGATTGACTGATTCGATTGACTACGATCTTACATCTTTTCGTCTCGGGAAGAAACCCTGTCTTCTGCCCCTAAAGCCTTGTAGCGAGACAAAGAGCAATACTACAAGAGAGGACGCAAGGCCAGCTGTAGACGCCGCCTCGAACTGCCGGACAATGGCATGACGACAGCAGAGTTGAGGAACAGGGTGTTGAAGAGTAATGAGTGGGATGGATATGCAAGCACAGAGAAAGAGGCGCAGATGATTGCCAAAGGGCGTGTCAGGTCTATACGCATTTTGAATCTTCAGCACAGAGAGATGCGGAGTAACGTCCATCGACATACACTTGTATTGTGGTCTGTTGACATCTAAACGGGTACGGGAAAAAAATTTCTATTGCACTCGTCAAAACGGATCTGAACGAGAGGACTTGCGAACATGTTCACGCCTCTTGGCCTCTGGGGAATCATTCGGTGTTGTGTCTATCTATCCCAACCGCTCAACCACCTTGATCAGGTCCGCCGTGACGCCCATGGCGGTGACCTCACCACCTGCGCCCGCTCCCTGAATGACCAAAGGGTTCGCACCGTACCGCTGGGTATAGAAGCAGATCAAGTTGTCACTGCCCTTCAAGCCGGCAATGGGCGACCCCTTCTCCACCATTTCCAATCCCACCTTGACCTCGCCCTTAGCCACGTCCACCGAGCCGACATACCGCACAACCTTGTTCTGAGCGGCGGCCTGGGACTTGTACGTCTCCATCTGGTCGTCAAATTCGGGCAGACGAGCCATGAAGTCGTCGCTCGATTTGGCCGACTCGAGTTCTTTCGGAATCAGACTCTGGACCGGGAAAGAATCAGGTCCCTGCACTTTCAAGCCGGCCAGACGCGCGAGGATGGTGAGTTTCCTCGCGACGTCCATCCCGTTCAGGTCGTCCCGGGGATCCGGTTCCGTGTATCCCGCCTCTTTCGCCTGTTTTACGATCTCTGACCATTTCCCATTCCCGGATCCATCGACGGGACCAAAGGAATTGAACAGGAATGACATGGTGCCCGAGAACACGCCCTCAATGCGTGTGACCTTGTCACCCGTCGCGACCAGATCTTTCAATGTAGATATCACGGGAAGTCCGGCACCCACGCTGGACTCATGGTAGACCATGGCCCGCCCATTTGCCTGATCGACTGCGGAGAAGATATCATTCCAGAGCTGTAAGGTGCCGGAAAAGGCCTTCTTGTTCGGCGTCACAACACTTATTCCCTTCTGTAGAAAGGATGGGTATGCATTTGCGACGTCTTGAGACGACGTATTGTCGACGAGGATAACCTTTCCCGGCGCAGACGAGAGATAGTTGACGAGTTCATCAGGGATAGAGAGGAGCTTTGAGCTAGAGGACTGCAGATCGGACGGAGAAACAGGGGAGTAGGACGTATTGTAGAGTTGTTTCGAGGAACGGGACAGGAAGATCAAGGAAGGACGCAAACGGGAAGGTAGCGACGAGACCTGAGACAGAAAACAGGTTCCGACGCCACCGACGCCAATGACGGCGAGATAGATGCTAGGTGAGGACATATTTGAAGACGATCAAGTAGTGAAAGCGTCTCGACGTGCTTGCGTGCTGAAAGGAAAGCCGGCGTTTGAAACTTTTTCTCTGCTGGGACTCAATTGTATGCGGGGTAGAACGCGCGGGACGACAAGCTGTGGGCTGTGGTGCAGTCTCTTCAAACACGACAGGCACGTGCTCCAGTGTACGTATCAACGACAACAAGGTAAGAATGGATGAGGCACCCACCCGATGGGCTGTTCAACGTCGGCGGTTTATCGTAGAACATCATTGGTTTTGTACATCGAACCCAGGAAGACCGGCCTGTCCGCCGATATCCTCCCAGAATTTGGCGTAATCCACCCCTTTCTTCTCCAAGCGAGCCCTCAGTTCGCGGATCGCTTCAGCCTGTCGTCCTTGGGTAAAGCCTCCAGGCTGCGAGGTCTCATACTGGACAATCTCAATCCAGCGGAAGAAGACTGCTTGGGCACCGAGATCTGTAAGAATGCGTCTGAACCTCTCCACGGTGCTGTCCTGCTGTTGTCCGTTGGCGGTAAGGTCTGTCGTCTCATGGACTTTCCAGACCAACCACTGCTTCTCATGATATGCCAGAGCTAGATTCTCCAGTTCTTTTAATTGAATCACTCCTTTCTCCACTAGCCTGTGTGCGTCCAGCATTGCCTTGTAGTCGAGATCCCAATCCCTGTCAAGGAGGAGAAACCCGGTCTTCTCAAGAATCTCATGCCGCATGGCTGGATCGACTTTGACTTTGATGGTCAATTCGTCGTCCAAATTCCAGGTCTTTGCTTCATCTGGCTTGTCTCCAAGAAGCAAAGGTGTATCCCACAGCCGGCCTCTGCGAACAATAATCTCCGTATCCCGGAAACCCATCGTCATCCTCCATTCCACCGGACCCACGGATCTCAACAGCCTGCTGCCAAAGACAAATTCTCGGGGCCAGCTTCCAATCCAACCAAAGATGACATAGTCGAGCATGAGCAAGGCTGTTCGTGAAATGACGGCATTCATAAGCTCACCCACCCCTGCAGTCTTTGTGTCAATTTTATAAGCAGTGTCATATCCAAATATCGTTATTATTTGTTCCAGGTAAACCGGCACGGCGTAGTAGAGACGGAAGCAGAGCGCGGTCGTAATGGCCACATTGAGGAGGGCGGGGACAGCGAATACGCGCTTCTTGAGACTCGGCGGCGTGTGGTCTAGGTGAACCAGGTATATGTGATCCGTGGGAAGGGTGGCAAGGAACGGTCGGAGTGAGGTAGGGGCGTATTGAAAGGGGGCGGGAGGATTGGAGGCAGTGCTCGTAGGTGGCTTTGTGCTGGTGGTCGAGCTGGTGGCAGGTCTGTTGGCTCGCTTTCCAGCGCCACGAGCCATCTTGTCAGGGTTCGGCAGACAGACCGCCGTTACCACCTTGTTGCTGGCGCGCAACAGGCACGCACGCAGAACAGTAATGGCGACGACAGGGTCATGGGCTTCCACATGCGCGAGTCAAGGGTATCCACGTGACATGGGATTACTGATTCAACGTCACGTTACATATCGCGCAGCCCGAGGGTTTAATCTCGGACTCCGTATTCTCAGCTTCGCCTCCTATTCTACCAATAGGGAGGTTTCAAGTCGTCGACCTTTCTTGTATATGCTCATTGCGGGAACCATGACTCCCCCTTCATGGTAAGCTGTGCCATTTGCCAGTCGAAGCTAAGCCCCAGGCGAGGGTTGAGGCTTGTACAAAAGCTTGGTGACATGCCTCGCGCTGGGGCGATTCGAGCTGAATGGCAAAGCTGACATGAACTAGGGGCTGAGATCCAGAAATTGCCCAATCCAGCGCCTGCCACACCCTGTGCAATCTGGATCTGCTACTATATCAGGCACATTCTGCTTACAAGACCCTGTCGTCCAATGAAGCCGTGTCTGAGGTGCCGAAGCTTTTGGTACAAGTGCTTATGCTCTTACCTTCCCCTCCCATGCCTGGCAGTGGACGTGGTATCTGTGCGACGCCACAGGTTTCCCTCATAATACCAGCCCTTCGCTGACCTCGCGACGCCCTTTTGAAATTCCCTTTGCGAAGCGGTGCGCCCTGGGTTTCGCTGTCAAGTCCAGCCTTCCTTTCCACCTTTTTACTTTCGAACCGAGTCACTCCTTCGTTGATTAACCTGGCTGTTATTTGATTCTGAAAGCCCAATATTGACCCTCCTCTTCCTCAATAATACTCAGATATGGACAACATTCCAGGCCGCTTGTACTTGGGCATCCGAGACGCGGGAAACGCAGCATCTAACCTGGCAAATGGACATTCCTCGACAACGACTTCGTCCGTCAACAGCAAAGTTACCCACGCTCTGGGCAAGCTGGCTCAAGCAGGAGTCGCCGACGATATCGTGTCCTCAGTCCTCGGCATGCCCACCACCACATCCACTCGCTACCCGGAAAAAATCACTCATGCAGCGGAAAAATTGGCCAACGCGGGACTGAGCTCTGACAGTACCCCGTCTCTACCGTCAACGCGCACCCATGGTCTCGCCACAAAGTACATCATTGTAATTGCTGTTGTTAGCGCCGTCGTCCTCCTCGTCCTCTTGACCGGTGGATGCCTGTGCTGGAGACGGTACAAGAGAAGAAGAGCCTACAACGTGGTCAGCAGAGGCGTGGACACCAAGGGCAAAGGAGTCATGCGCGAGAAAGAGGACATGTTTAATGCCGACATGGGAGAAGCGGAGAGTTTCAACGTGGATGGTCAGAAGCTGACAGAACGCAACTTCGAGAGTGGATATGACAAGGTTGACACTGGTTATGAGGGCACAGGCTATGGAGCAGTGGAAGAGCATGGCGGCGACAAGAGGGCGAGACTCGAGGCTTGAGGCTTGAGACCGGAAATGCGATCCTGGAGATGCCGCGATCTATCAATGTAAATGTGGAGGTGATCTATCTTCCCAAGAGAATGACGAGCACATGGCGTTTGTGAAGGACATCGCACCTGAGGGAAAATCAGAATGGTCCTAGTTGGAGTTGAGGTCAAGTTGTTATCGTTTTCTTGTTGTCTTCTCTCAAGCCAGACTTCCCACGTTCGCTTTCTTTGGTGACGTCTCTCTTCAATCCGCATGGCCGGATGTTCTTTCTTTTTGATTGAGGCGCTCCGAAAAACCAAACTGTCTTTTTTGATCCCGCGCAATCTTGATCTGTTTCTCCTTGAGCCGGCTTACCTGTGTGGCTGCCAGCCATACGTCCACGCCCTTGTTAACACCACGCGGATGGAAGTGGCAATGCTGACCAAACAGGACCTGACGCGCAGATCGCGAACCATAGGTGTTGAGATCTGCCTTACAGGGCGCGGCGCAGCATTCGGCCACGTTAATCAGGATAACGGGCTTATCCAGTTATCTCCTCATCCATTGCCTGGAAACCTAATGTACAGACAGCTTTGAACTACCTGAGCGGGCTCGATTTCTATGTCAGACTGTATGGATATCCATGCTCACCGCTTCTCCCTATGTGGGAGACTACTCGACTTATCCTTACCACTGCCCTATGCAAGAAGATCTACTGCTATGCGACAGCGCTTTACATACCTACGCCTGTCAGTCATCTAACATGGCAATTGACGCTTCGAGATTCAAGGGAAATCGACGGGAGAAGATCTCACCTCCAGGGCATGCCGCCAGGATCATCTCACTTTTTCCAAAAGCTGACAGATGGCAGACGCCATTGCAAAATCACGTCGCGATTATGTCTCGAGGTTTGTCGATGTGGTGGCGGGATGTCCCAACGGAAACTACAGGTGCTGGGGCGTTCTCGAGCTCGCCATCCCTCTCGTCGGTCTCCGTGTTCTCGAACCATGGATTGTCCAGGAAGAACTGATGGCCCTCCACCAGGGATGGGAACGAGGCTGTCACTCGGTGATTTAGTCCTGTAGGGCGATATTGAAGCTCCTGGAGGTAGCCAGTGCTGTCTCCCCCCTCCAACCCTGCCTCCGGTTAGGCCATGGATGGACAGGGAACTGGCCAAGACATGTCGTGCCATATCGAGCTAGCGTTCTCAACACCACACTCATTATTCAATTCCCCCTTTTCAAAAGCCTCACCAGCCCTTCACATTGTCAGCCAATCGACTCCGAGCGTGGGCCTCACATCTGCCCGTATAGCAGCCTCAAGGCGTTTATTGCAGAAGGCTGCTGCCTCTGCCTATATCAAATGCTCGCTTGGTCCTACTCTCTGCGTCCTTCTCGGAGGGTTGTGTGTCGCACTCTTCTCGTCTCGGCCACCCTCAAACTCATGAATTTCCTTGCCAGTCATTTCTCAAAGCGGGTTCGTTCAATGATTTCTCCCATATCGTCCGAGACTGCCACAAAGCCACCGTCCCCCATGAAAACGGCCGGTGACAAGGTTGACAATCAACTCCTGACGCCGGCCAAGACTTGGTGGAAAAGAGAATTGAATTTGCAGAAGACATGGGCAAGCCGAAGGCTACGGCCTGTTTGCCAGCATTTTGACACCTAGGGGTGACCTGAGGCACGGGGCCGAAACCCGTATATCGGACTGCAAGGGAGATTGGTGTCTTACCGACCAAATGCTGTCAAACAAGGCTGTGAGGCTGGAATCAGCCTGGACGAGACGCCACAATTTCTATTTCGGCCAGGTTTGTGACACGACATCTCAAAAACTCAGATGGCTAGCCTTCGTGTTGTCTGTCAGCCATCGACCATTGCACCATCTGTCAAGTTGTCTATACGAGTTTCAGGAGCGTGTAGTAAGTTTTGGTGCTTTCTGTCTTGCCCATCTGATTGCATTTCCCTGGGTCTAGTTCTCTGTGGCTTTCTTGGGTTTGGCAACTTCGATTGCGATTTGCCAGTCACTATGTTCCTCCTGGGAATAAGGCTCATCAGCCTATTTTCCAGCTGTCGTTTGAGCGGGATATCTTCTCAATAAAAGGCCAGCCGTCACAACCCTCGAACATTTGATGTCCGTCGGTACCTTCTTTCACTCTTTTCGTCCCAGTCGCTCGTTTTCTCCAACTGCAGCCATTCATTCCGGCTTTCAGAGAGTATCATCAATTTGTTTTGCCTTTTCTTTCTTCATCCATGCGTTTCTCTACGCTTGCCGCGGGCTTCGCAGCCATCGCCTGCGTCGCTGCCGAAGATCTCCTCTTCTTGGACCAGTTAGTTGGGAACGAAGAAGAGCATGCTGTTGCCCTCGGGTTCACCACTAAAGTGGTCACTGAAACGGACTGGCGTGCCATGAAGACCACTGACTTTGCAACCTTCAAAGCCATCATCATTGGTGATCCTTTCGGGTCAAGCGATGTGAGTCTGATCCAGGTCCTGGCTGACACAAACACCACCTGGGGTCCTGCTGTCACAGGAAACGTCATCATACACGGTAAAGTATTACGGATCCGAGGCAGCATACATCGCTGACATGGTGCAGGTGCCGATCAATCTAATCACGATTCGTATGGCGTGGCCGGGGCTGCCGTGCTCATCGAAAACAGTATCAAGTTTGCAGCTGCTGGGGTCTCTTCATCCGGCACCTCTCAGACTGGATTCTATCTTTCTCTTTCGCAATACTATAACACAGCGGAAGTCGATACCCCTGTACCAGCGCTGTCCTATTTCGGCGATTTCAAGGTCTTCGGTCAAGACAACAATGGCGCAGGAGGGTACAATGACATTCATATCGTGGCCTCGTCTCCTGCCATCGACACCCTTACCGACGCCGACCTTTCCAACTGGTCCTTCAGCACTCATGAGGCCTTCTCGACATATCCGTCTGTGGGACAGAATGGTTTCCAAGCCTTGGCAATTGCAGACGGCGTCATCACCACCGGCACGCAGACTTACGGTGATGGCCATTCCGGTCTGCCATATATTCTGAGCCGTGGTGCAACTCCCGCCGGCTGTGGTGACGGCGTATTTGAGCCCTCTCTCGGCGAAGAGTGCGATGACGGCAATGCCGTGGATGGCGACGGCTGTTCCAAGAGCTGCAAGTGTGAAAGCGGCATTGCCAATGGTGATGGTACCTGTGGCTCCGTCACAACCACTAGCAGTTCCACTACTTCTACCACGGTACGAGACAGGATAGTGACATCAGCTAATGTTCGTTGTCTGACCATCGTATAGACCTTGACCTCTTCGACGCTGTCCTCAAGCACGACGACAACCTTCACAACATCCGTCCTGACCACGACGTCCAAGACCTACACCAACACGACTACGTGGTCGACGAGCTCGAGGCCTCAAACTTCCATCGTCAGCTCGAGTCCCACTACGACGGCCTCTCCGGTGATAGCGACGACATCAAAAAGAGTCTGGAGTGCCCCTCCCTACATCACGCCTTCAGTTCCGCAGTCGAGGTGCATTGGCATTGAGGTCATCGTGTCAGTGACAGAAATCGAGCAGTGCAGCACCATTGACGCTACCAGCACAAGTATGCCAGTCCACTCTTGGTTCCTGTCATCCAGAATACTGACATCTCATAGTCACCTACACCACCACGAGCGTGCTCTCAACCTACCAAAAACCTATCTACAACACTCCTATTTCGTCGATGCCATGTTACGTTTGTGCATTCAAGTCACAGGGAATCACCGTGACGGATTTCATCACGGCCACAACGGTGAGTCGTACCCTGTGAAGGTTGCCACTTGCCACAGCACTGACATGGATTCCAGACCCATTGCCCGTCCAAACCCACGGCCAATCCCGCAGTCATCTATCCTTGCTCGACATGCCAGGGCACCAGCCTGACTGCATCGTGTCCCTGGAAAGTCACACCGACGGGACCCCTCCAGCCATACACTACGTATGGGCCTGCCGAGCATGAGCACGGTGAAGGACACCCACACAATGCCGGCCACTCTGCTACAGTCGCTGCCACGGCGACCTTTTATGGAGGTGCACCTGGTTCCTTGCCGCCATTTGTCCCTGGAGGTCTGCCGGCGGCGTATACTCTGGGAGGCGCTCCTCCTGCTGCTTACACCCCCAGCGTCTCTCCCGCCGCGTATACCCCAGGTGGCTCCCCACCACCATACACGCCAGGCGGCAATCCTCCAGCATACACACCTGGCAACACCCCCGTCGCAGCAGCATCGACCAGCTATGCGGTGAACGCGGCCTTCGCTACACCAGCGAGCTCCTCCTCCTCTGGCTGGGGTCCTTACACGACGTCGCCGGTGGCCGTCTACACGGGCGGTGCTGTCTCTCATAGGTCTACCTGTGCCGTTGGATTGTTGCTCGGAATAGCAGGGATCGTTGCTGTTGTCGCCATCTAATTTTCTAGCTGCTGAGGGACGCGCGCGGCGCTTTTTGTGGGCTCTCGCGGCACAAAGCGTCGCACCCGGGAGTTGTTTTGTACGCAACAACCCTTGTGGACATGTTTGATGATTCTTGTAGGAGGGAGGAAGGGAGGGAGGGAGCGAGTGCAAGTTTCTATCTGCCCACTTACCCTATCGTATCATTTTCGCTTCACTCTTACTACAATTTACATGTTTTATTTCTCAGGATCGTCGCTTTTTCGCTCCAGGCACTCCCCGCGGAAGAATCTATTCTCAACTTGGTGTTGTTCTGGGTCATTCCTTCTTGATTTGAATTTGACGTTGACGGAGGGAAGCCCGGTGCGCAAACAAGGCGAACGTTAACTTTGTTCAGTGTGAACGATGGTAAAATCGCCGTCAACGCCAAATATCGAGGGAGGTGATTGTGCCAACGGGCGCCTGCGCCCAAAACCGCATTTCTTCATCATTTCTTGCTGATTCTTCTTGCCCAACTCTCACATTCCCAACTTTCACTGTCACAGCACTTTCCAGAGGATCAGTCTGATCTCACATTGATCTACTGCCTCCTGTTACCCTCGCCTCCTCTCTGGTCTCAAATTTGCCTCGGACGGAGCCATGGCTGATCTGGACAATAACGACACCAATTTCCCATCTCAAACCGCAGGAACCAAGGGAAAAGCTGACGAGATGGAGTCTGATGGTCATGAACAAGAACACCGTAGCGCCAAACTAGTCGAAATCATCCCCAACGGAGACATTCTCTTCCAAGTCGGATGCGGCAATGATGCCCTGGGCATCAAGGTTTCTGGATTGGTCGTCAGCCTTGCCTCGGAGGTGTTTGCTCGCATAGATATTCCACCACAAAGTCGAAGATATCAAGCATCTCAGCAAAGACCATCTGATTAAATTGGTGACAGGAGCTGAAATGCGGCTATGCATTCCAGCATTGAAGCCGTGGACTGTGACGAATATCTCGAGCGCCATTGAGGAAATTGACGGATAAACGTTGCTCTCCCAATGGCAGTGCCGGATGGGATCGGCGGCGTAAGATTCGACATTAGGTGGGTGGCAGTTTGATATGCAGCCATCGTATGCGGTCTCAGGGGTCAGTTCTGGAGAACGACGAGAGTCCTGATCCTTTCATGCGACTTATCTCACTGGCGCGATATTCAGAACGCGAGCGAAGCCGAAAATTGCCACGAAGTCAAAGGTTCGGCCTTGAATTTGCTGTTGCCCACGAGCCTTTCGCTGACATCTATAAACTCATGAATAAATGTCAGACGCAGTATAGGTCGAAATTCGCATCGACTGTATTCGAAGGTTTGGAGAGAAGAATTGCTGCCACCCTCCAGCAACATCCCTGTCAATTCACAACGCTGAGGAACTTGATGCTTCAGTTGAAGGACTGGTGGGGGCTTACAGCCTCTACGAAGACAGGGCCTCGGGTGACGCTACAGCAGATGGCAAGCTCGTTGCTACTCGAGGGTGAAAGCCTCGCTAAAAAAGTCCTGGTGAAGGAGAAAAGTACTGACTATTGCAAAACTTGCGCGGAGGACTTCGCTGCAGAGCTGGAACTAGAAATCTACCGGTTCTTCTGGCATGTAGCGGGCATCTGTCTCGGATGCTTCTTGAGCAGGCGCAAAGACTGCTTAACATCAACGAGTCTTGCTCTCAGTGTGAAAACGCTAGCCGCAACCGAGAAAGCTGAAGCGAGAGCGATATCAAGTTGGTGAAGGTTTTCTATGGTCTGTGCCGAGAAGACGCTCTTCATACCGAGCAAGGAGGTAAAACGAAGTCGAGGGCGTTGCATAGGTATATACAGTCCACATGTAGTCAAGGGCCGGCGAAGGGGTGGTGGATCGGACGGAATTTTTTGGTTGGCTCGTCACGTGCTCATTCAGAGGCCGAAAGCAGAGAGTGTAAACACGCCATTCCACTTCCTCGTACCTCCTCATCTGCTGAACTGCAACTTGTTCTCTCCCCCTAACTGCGCTGGACATCATGAGCTCGCCCGCGTCCAAGCGTATGCGCTTGTCCACCTCAAGAACCTCTATCTCCGGTCGCAAAAGCATCTCAGGCGGGCAATCAGCGCTGCCTCGACCAACTTCCGCAGCTGGCCAGAATCGACTGGCAAGCACGCAACCTTCGTACGATTTCATTGCCGGAGGCGCGGCCGAGAATCCGACGCAGTCGTTCAGACAGTCCAGGCTCCGCCAGCCTTCTGTCTCGCGGGGGGATCCGACCCAAGATGAAAACCTCCGAGCGAAGATCAACTCCCTCGAGTACGAGTTGAAGAATTTGCAACAAGAGCGAGGTCTTCTGGCATTGCAGCATGAGAAAGAGCTGCGAGAGCAACAACTCAGGGCGGATGCAGACTTCAAAAAATACCAGACTGCCGAAAGCGCCGCTCAAAAGGCGACACAGCGACAGGAAGCACTTGCGAAGGAATTGCGCGAACTGCAGGACCAAAGGGTCAACGAGAAGGCCGTACTAGAGCGGCAACTCCGGGATCTACAAGACCAGACCGCCTCGTTGAAAGAAGACGCAACGGACGCGCAGGAACGTCTCGCCGATCAGGAAAGGCACTACAAATACCAACTCAACGATGTCGAGGCCAAACGCGCAGCCCTCCAAGAGACCGTGGACAGTGTCAGACAACAATTGGAAGATCTGGGTCAGCAGTTCGAGTCATCACAGGCGCGCTTGTCTGAACGGGATACGACAATTGAGTCCCTCGAAAATGAGGTGGCCGCCTTAAAGTCGCACTCCGGAGACAGCGAGGCGGTGCATGTCCTGCAGAACCAGCTTTCGGAACAAATGGGACACATCCGAAAGCTCGAAGCAACCAACAGAGAACAACTGGCTGAGCTGCGGCGATTGCGCGAAGCGCATCGCAGTGTCCAGGTCGTCGAAGAACAGAAACATGGGCTCGAAATCGAGCTCCAAGTGCTCAAAGATGTGCAAAGGCAACTGGGAGAAGCCCAGATTCAAAGAGAGATCCTCGAGGACGAAAAGAGGACTTGGACAAGCCTCCTGCAGCGCGACGGGCAAGAGAGCGAATTCGAGTCTCCCGAGGCTGTTGTAAAAGCACTGATCCAGCAGCGGATAGAATATGCTTCCATCGTGGACAGACTGGGCACGGTCGAAAGCGAGCTCGCAGAGAAGGACGAGATCATCAGGGAATTGGAAAGAGACAAGTCAGCCTTGAACACTGAGGTGGAGAATTTGAAAACTACGAAGACTGCGCAGGCGGATGCTGGCCAGGACAATAAGGCTTACAAAAGACTGGAGCGACAACAGGTCCTTGCCGTCAAAGAGGTGGAATATCTTCGAGCTCAATTGAAGACCTTCGACACCGAGGAGACTGTCTTGATGGACAACCAGAACTTCGACGCACAACGGTCGGAACAGATTAAGAACTTGGAAAACCTGGTGGACCAATACAAGGCCGAGGTGCAGACACTCCACGCTGAAATGTCGAAACTCGAAGCAGCGCCGACAGCCCCCGCTCCTGTTCCGGACGAGCCACGCGGAACAAAACGACCGGCAGATTCACAGGAGCCTGAAGGCGAAAGAGCTGACTCCCAGCTAGGTGCGTTGTTGAGAAAGAACAAGAATCTCCAAATTGCGTTGCAGAAGACCGCTCAGCAGTCCCAAATGCTGGCCACAGACCTTCAAGCGACAAAGGCACAACTCAAAGCCCTACGGGAGAGTTCGAAAACACGAGTGTTGGAGCTTCGGGACAATCCCACGGCTAAAGCTGAGGCGATAAAATTGTCAACGTTACGAACGCTCAAAGAAGAAAATAAAGCTCTTCTCGCGCAGTTGAGGGGTGACAACCTCGACGCCGTCAAAATGCTCCCTGCCAGCTCGGTTGATGCGCTGAAATTGGATCTGAAGGACATGGAAATGGTAGTGGCCGAGAAAGAAAAGCGGATGAGGCGACAACGAGAGATCTGGACGCAAAAGGCTGCCGAATTCCGCGATGTCATTGCCAGCGTCCTGGGCTACAAAGTCAACTTTCTCCCGAACGGCAAGGCCAAAGTCTCGAGTATGTATTATGGACGGCCCCACGATCTCGGAGACGAGAGCGAGGACGAAGAGGACGACCACTACATCATCTTTGACGGGGATAACGGCACCATGAAGATAAGCGGCGGGCCCGACAGTCCTTTTGCTGCAGAAATCAGAGATCTGATCAATTTCTGGGTCAAGGAGAAGAAGCAGATCCCGTGCTTCCTTGCGGCGATGACCCTGGAGTTTTATGAGAAGTTCACCAACAGGGAAAATGAGGCTTGAGCCGGGCGAGGTGGGACAGTTCCCATGGGGTTCAAGGGGACGAGATCTGCTTGTGATCTTGTCTATCTTGCCAAATGTATTTTCCTCCACACCACCTTCGAGGGGAGATCTTCTTCTTGTACTATACACGCAGATGAACGCGACTCATGATCAGATGAGAAGTCTTTGCATTTGATCTTGTCTCTTCAGTATGTGTAGTGTACAGCATATGTGCACAGCATTGGTGGCATAATAGTGATAACGCAATCACGATTGGAGGATTGCGTGGCACCACGCCTGACCCGAACCTGCCTAGCTCCGGCCTGTTTAGGAATGGCACCATGAGGCTATCTCGCGGGCCGCGGTCTAGGCCCGAGGCTAAAAGCCACATCTTCCGCCCCGTTGAACGCCCGGTTCTCGAGTTTCCCCTCTCCTGACACACACCTCTTGCGCCCTACCCCGGATTATTCACCCATCGTGCCCAGTGCCCACCAGCCCTCGCTTCGTCTTTCCGTTTGGCCCATCATACCACCGCCGAGAGTTGCAGAGAAACAGCCCTCCCAATCTGCAAGAATCAATTCGAGCCCTGCCCGTGGATGGTCAGACAGGAAAACAACCCCCGATGTCGAACCATGGATTGCTTCCCTCCGCATGACCTCGGGACCCTATGACCGCAGCCGCTGTTGGCCATGCAGATCCACCAAGTCTCCATTCGTGACCTCAGAAGATGCCGCAACAGTTCTTATTCGTCAATAAGGACGCTGCCAGCGCCTCGCTGACCCGCAGCGATGCCGCCGAACAGACCTCCATCAACTCTTACGTCCAGCGTGGCCGTCGACACCGGCGCTCTGCCACCAGCGCCAGCCGCGCGGGAACCAGGGCGAGGAAGGACGCGGCTCGAGGAAACCCTGCTGCAGCTTCGTCGTCCACGGATCCTGTCCTCGATGACTCGTCGCCGTCTCTCGTATCGGTAAAGAGTGAGCCCGGTCCAGATGCTGCCGGCATCCAGATCTCGTTACCTTCGCGACTGTCTCCGCGCGCCAAGTCGGCCGAGATAACGACACGCGAAACTCCTGAGCCCAAAACCCCGGCTCGCAAAAAGCCCTCCAAGCTGCGAAAGCCGAAGTCGGCAGCGAAGACGACTGGTGAGGAGACGACCGATGAGAACAAAGCAATCGTCATGCTGAATTCTCCGCGCACCGTGGCATCTCCTCAGGATATCAGTCAGCTCACTTCGACCTCTCTCGACCCTTTTGGCCAGTCGGTCGTCAAGCTCGACCCACATGTCGCAAGGCTTTGTCGCTATTTCTGCGAAAGCTTCCATCCCAGTGTGTGGCATGCAGAGAGCTGGGCGTCTCGGGAGGGTTCATACACTTACCAAACTACCGCCGTGGAGGTCGTTCGAAGAGCCATGCAAAGCGAAGTCGAAATGAATGCAATGCTGGCCTGCATGGCCGCCAGAATTGAGAATGTGGACTTGGTCCCGGGGCAGGGAACGGACAAGTACATGGCCAACGCTCTGAAGGCAGTGCGGCGACGCTTCAGCTCTGCTCCAAAACAACAATTGCTCCTGATCGTCTTTCACCTCTATGCAGCGGATGCCTATCGACAAAACTATCAAGCCGCGAAGATACATATGCAGGCGGCAAAAGCACTGTTCGATTCTTGGGGCGGCCTACACCACGTGCCAGACCCAGCGTTGAAAGAACTCTTCATCATAGGAGACGGGCATATGTCCGCCGTTCTTCTGGAGCCGTGCAGTTTACCATGTGAATACGATCCTGGGCCTTACTGGGCTGTCACGCCACCTGAGCTTCAGCTTGCTCCCCAAGAAAACTTGAGCCGCTCTGCGCCAGCTCTGCAGCGACTATGTCTTCATGGCTACTTCCCGGAGGAATTGGTGCAGATCATACAAGAGACGGCGGAATGTTCGTGGGTCTTGCATCATGCACCACTGGGAGCACCGGAGGCGTCAAAGCACGCCGCGAGATGGCTCCAGTGGCGACACGCAGCTGTTCGATACCGACTTCTGGCCCTCGAATATTCAGGATCTAGCCTCGACGCTGTCCGTGTCGGGCTGCTGATGTGGATATTGACGTCTATGGTGATACTTGGGCTAAAGCGATTAGGAGGCCTGATTGCACCAAAACTGCGAAAGATCTTCTGGTCGGTCGACGAACCACATGCCCAGTGGGAAGGGTTAATCCAGCTCAAGACATGGGTGCTGACGATCGGCGCCATGTGCTCCATGGTTGGCAGTGAGGATGAAAGGTGGTTCGTCGAACAGCTTTTTGAGATTGGATTTGTCGAGCATATCCGACGGTTCCAGGAGACGCAGCCAGATTTCGACACGCTGGATGTGCTAAAGAACTTTCAAGAGAAGTTTTTCTACTATGATGCTATCCAACGGCTACGGCTTGAAAGATTGGCTCGTCTCCTCAGTGGAGGACTGAGCGAGACCCCGAGCTCAGCTTCGCAGAGCAGTCCCAGTGATCTATCGCGGAAATCAGGATCTCCCGCCTGACCGTTCACGGGAAATTGCCACTCCTAACGAGAAATGCTCCTCTATTGCCATTGCTCGACCGACCATCTTACATCACAGGCGCCGGGCTCTTCAATCGTTGACAGAATGTGCAATGAGCATGTCGTTAATTATACGAAATCCGTCCACTATCTTCGGAAGGATCTTCATTTGATATATTCGACGATTACCGGTAGCACCAGCAACCCCACCATCGCTGAGTCTCGAGCAACCCACGGCATCTTCCCTTCTGCCCGATGGTGCGACGAAAAAATGCATGCAGTGATTTCTGCGGAACAAAATGAGCAAGACTGGTTGAGGATGGGAGGACGAGTCACACCACACCCATCTCCGACAACGAAGCTTGGAACTCATTTGCGACGAGGCCTTCCGAAGCGGCGGTCGTTGTGATTTCCAAACCCACTTACTCGCGTCGACTATCGGCCAATCTAAGAATGAGCTGGCCTATTTTGTGCCCAGCAGCCTTGGACAATGAGTACCCAAGACTCGTATCATAGGCGAACGGTCACAGTTCGTTGAAAGGCGAACCATTGCTAGGTGCTCTCCAATTGAAGAGCAGCAGGAAGGCTTACGACTACTTGGACGCCGGTCTGGACCGAGGGCTTGGTACGGTTCTCTTAGGGGAACGTTACATCTAACGAGATAACAATTTCGAGAATACTTTAGACGAACGTGGACCGAGCAAAGCATGTTTGGCTTTCTAACCTCTGTGGGAGGAACTCTTAATGACGGATCATGTGGGCTTAATGGCGTTAGATGACAGAAAAGTTGAGCGAAATCATGAGCGAAATTATGAACCCAGTTCGCCTGAGCAATCGTTTTCCAGTCTATCCCCGGCCAATTTCGCGAACAACCGCTGGATTGTTCGAGCCACGAAAAAGGGGGAAGCGAAGTTAGTAGAGACTCCGCAGCTGACGAGTTTCGACGACACGAGGCGGAGAAGCGGAGAAACTTTGTTGCGTAGATTGCGCCGATTGTCCTTGTGGACAGTAGTAGAGAATACAGTCGAGTTTAGGCAGGGGAGCGCAGGGAATGCCTTCCTCTGTCTCTGAAGTCACTACCACCAAAGTTTTGCAGCACAGATACATCAGTGGTCACCGTTGCCGTCCGATGCATGCAACATGAAAATGCCCCTACAGCAGGTTCTCCTGCCCTTGGATATTTGGCGTCAGAAAGCTGCACGGAGTTTTCCCATTCTGTCGACGAACTCCGCCTTCACGAGCAAGAAGAATGAATCTTCCTTCCATTGAGGACGACCTGCCGGTAAGGAAATCTCTTACTCACCCGCTCCAGCAGCGGCCGTGATACGAGTGACAGCAGAGACCCACGACGACTTCATGTGGTCGCACTGCTTCGCTTCGCACCATCAAGCGAGAGCAAACGCACCCACCACGAGAGCATCTATCTCTCTTCTCGACAACTCTCCAGTCTTGTCACCGGCTGCATCTCGTGAAGCCGCACACCCTCAAGTCCTTGGTCTCCACTTAAAACGTGCAAAATTTTTCCCAAGTCGAAGATATCCAAAGCGAGGGTGGGAAGAAAAATTCTCTGGAGTTTCGTCTGCGTACAATAGAGTCCAGGAAACCTGGTCGGGTACTTCCCGCGCATTGGCATCCTTTATCTCCAACGGGTTTGTGCTGATTCGCTGTTTTCATGAGGGTAAGAAAAGGTAGAGATTATCGGGCACCTCGACGAAAAGGTGCGACAACAGCCAGCATCCTGTCACGCTGTCTTGCCAATGCATTACGTTGAAAAACGTGCAAACCCGCCATTGGGCCGGAGTTCCATGTGACGGCATCATATGTGTGTTCTGAGGAAGCACCTACAGACTATTTTCCTGTCTATCGAAAGCAAGGTGATGCAAGTCGAATGCAGGCAACGGTCAATGAAAAAGTGGCACCTACCAGGAATCGGACTTCCGTGGACTGGCAAGGATGCCCAACCGTGAGAAGCCAACGGGATTCCCAGCCACCCACTGTACAAAAGTATACCGCCGAATAGGTCCGGGTTCGTGTCAAGTTGGCTACCCGCTGCATGACCCGAAGAAACCAGAAGAGGAAAACGGAGAAGGCCCAGAAACGACAAAAGCCACCGTGCAGAACCCACAAGAGTGTTTTCTGGCAAACAAGAATGCTTCCTCTCATCAAGACTGCCTTGGCCGAGTTGCTAACAGTATCCTCATTCCTCCCATGACTTGATCAAAAGCTGACAGCACCATGATGGGAAATACACATCGCCCAGGTACCCACTCCATAACGCACGCCCAGTCAGAATGTATGTGTACCTGACAGCACGGGGGCTTGCCCGGGTTCCGAAGAAAGTCAAACTCGGAATACCCAAACCTGGACAACAAAGTCCATTCCTGCATCCGCCGAACGGTGTTCTGGATCCCTTGCTTCGGACCTGCATTGACAGTTGCCCAGCCATCCTCTGGAGAACTCACGGACCATCGTTCAAATCCACTCACACCGTGCTGGCTTCTCCGAACTGCGTCTGAGGCTTTTTCGACTCTTTCAGGTAAAAGCACCGCAAATGTTGGCGTCTAAGCGAACAGAACCAGACATTGTTTTCTCGGCATGTAACCGTGCTAAACCATGACAAGCCCTTTAGAGAGAGTGCTTCCTGTGATTTTAGGTAAGGCGTGTCCAAGCAGAGAAGTCGGCGATTGGGTACCAAACCGACACGAAAGGTTTTCTCGGTCACAGAGCCAATACCGAGTACCTGCGTTATCCTGTGCGCCCGAGACTTTGCAATAGAACCTATTGGGGGCTCCACATGATAGAGCAAACACTGGCAAAGTTTTTTTCACCCCAGTGATGATGTCCTGAGACCAGCCAACCCAGGGTGTTTGAACACGAACTGCCCAGGGAAACAGGGTGCTTTTAACCCGATTGTTGATAAACAATCCATCCGTCCCGTGAACCTATTGGCCGCCTCTGACCCAGGGCGTGCCAGATGGTCGGGATGACCGCTGCACATGGTAAGAGTATGACATACCGACACAGGGATGTGTGCATGTGGTGATGGGTATGGTGCCAGCTCATGCAGGCCTTTTACCATCTGGCCTGGTGGTCCCGGCCCCATTCATTGGCATTCTTGCGTTGCCACATTTGTGTCTGGGCAGGACTTGCCGCCCAGAATCTGAGTCCGACCGGCCTCACGCCTGGAACGACCTCTGCCATTGTTTGGCAGGTGATGGATGGCGCGCTCTGCGCATTCCCCAGGAGTGTTTGACGTGTTTGGCGTGTTTGTTGCTGGACAGCCTCCCCAGTCGAACTCAGATTCGACGATCAGGTCCTGTTCCTGGCGACCAAGCCCCTTCCTTTCGTCGAAGTGGCCAAGTGCCCGAAATGAAAGCGCAGGTTGGAGACTGATCGACTCCGCCGGCTGACGTAGGCGAGAGAATAAGCTCAGCGTTGGCGCCAGGTACGCGAGAGCAACGCCGACAGTCATTCGCCCAGTACCTGGAAATTGGCAGACTCAGTGTGAGGCTAGGGCGTTTCACACAGGCGGACTCAAAGCCTAAAGGGCGACAAGTATGAGGCCCACCGGGCAACTGACAGGGGCGATCTGGGGCCCGGCGCGCCACAGCCGTGAACTGTCTCCTGGGGATCAACCCCGTCCATTGGCTGGGTGTTGCGAATGCTGTTTCTGTGCTGGGTCCCCCATCTCCCCTAGCTCCCCCTGCGGTGGGCTCCTCTGTTGTTGCATTTGCATCTCCTCTTCCTTGTCCGTTCTCCTCTTGTGCTCTCCTTCCTATTTTCCCGCCCAGAGTGCGTGTTGGCTTGGTTGATTATTATATTGCCTTAAGACGTCTCTTCTGGACGTCGTCCGCTCATTCTCCCCTCCCCAGCCTGCCAGCAGACAGCCCGCGTTCACTCTTTCACGCGGAAACCTTCGTTCGCTCCTCTCTCTCTTTCTATCACACTCCTTTACCAGCCTCTCGATCTGAGATCGACAACAATCCCAGCGATTACCACTCCCTTTCAAGCACACACATAAACCACGACGACATCTCTTCTTGACCGGACATCAAGAAGCCCAAAGCAAGAGTACAGCCCGCTACCAGACATCCACGATACACAATGCGCTGCACATTCTCCTCCTTGGTGCTGGCCACCCTCGCCATTGGCCAAGCATATGCTGCCACTGTTTCTGGGGTTCACTCACATCTGCACAACCATGCTCACCGCAGGCATGACCACGTAGAGTAAGGGGATCCCCTCTTGGTGACACAGATCCGCATATGGACTGACACTTGTCAACTGTAGGAAGCGTGAGGCCGCTCTGACCGATGCCGATGCCTCGAAACTCAGCTCCATGGGTGTCGCATCGCTCGGTGCCAATTCGTACACGGCCAACGGACAAGCCTGGTTCGGACAGGACGGCCCTTACCAGAACGAGTTCGTCAACGACTCAGGTGAGGATTTGATCTTGGTCATCTGGGGCGTTGCCGGATCGTGGATCAATGCCGTTCAACCGATTATCACCGCCTCGCTGCCCGCGAACCAATCGACCTGGGTTTCGTTTGCTGACGGTGCCTCGGGCGCGTGGACCGCCATCTACAGCGACACCCAAATGGTGAACGGACAGGCGAGCAACACCTGGGGTGAATACACCTTTGGTGAGTGGGGCGTCGTCGACGTGTCGCGTGAAGTCAACATGAACGGGCACGCCATGAGCATTGTCGGACCGACCTGCACCACGGACATGGACACCTGCGTCTTCGTGTGCTCGTCGGGCGACGTGTGCATGACCGGCTACCAGCTCCTCAACTGCGAAAACGGGTCTCAACCTGGTGCCAACTACGGTACTTATGACGGCTCGCCAAGCGGGGGCTGCGGTGGCATGGGCGCGTCTGCCACGTTGACAACCACCTTCTCATAAAAGAAAAAGCGGCGACCTGAGTCGTCAGAGTCTCGGGTTGCGCGCTGGGAGGGGATGGGCGTCTCGGGGACGGGAATTCTTTTTATAGAAGAGTTAGGGGTTTTTCTCATGTACATGCTCGGCATGCGTGGTTTGTTGGATATGCGAAAGAGAGGTTTCTACCAGTCACCAAGAGGAAGAAGGGAAATGTTTAGGGACACAATTTGGGTGACGATGTGTGCGTGCCGAAACAACAACACATGGTCAACAAACAACTTTGGGATCTACTGGACTGATACATTTTCCCGACCACGCTCTTACCGAATGCCATTTGGCGACATTCAATCCTCTGTATCTTGAATCGTGGATGATGGTGGACAGATAACCCCCCATTTTTTGGCGTTGCTTGACCTTCTTGTTGGGAGTGGAGAGAGAGAGTGTGTGTGTGTTCATGTCGACATCCAGGGGGCCGATGTGTCATTGTCTATCGCCCTTGAGATGCAAAAGGAGACGTGGACTCTCACTGATACTACTACTACTCCTGGCCCTCCACTCTAGAGGACGGCAGCGACAGGAAGGAAGGGAGTCTGTCCAGGTGTTTGATACTCAGAAATATACCATTGAGTATATCATATGGTCCTCTACTGTTCCTGTTCCCTCGATTGCGTGGTTCCACTGTCGTCGCCCCCCCCCCCCGATCGTCGTGCAGCGTAGCGTTTCCCCGTCTCGATGCCGTGTTATCTGGATGGAGATATAGACAGATAGACGCCTCCGTGACGCGACGTCTGATCTAGGTCCCTCGTCGTCCGTTCCCTTGTGTGACCTCGAGCTCCGGCCATCATGTATCTGCCCGCCGCCCACGCTCACGCCCATGCATGCCATGTCCCTTTCCAATAATAATCCGTCCCGGCCTCCGCTCCCGCTCCCGTGCTGCCACCACTGCCAAACTTGGGTGCCACACTGCCACGCTCCATCAAATGACGGAGGAGACGGGAGACGGGACACGGATCTTGTTTCGCTAACCGACGCTCCCTGCAGGCTGCGAGCTCCCGGCGACGACACGTGTGGAGCGTGGGAGTGACATGAACGACTAACCCACTCACCTAGGCGTACAGGATAGTCGCAGGGGGCGGAAGCCTGCATTATCATTCATTCATTCATTTATTCATTCACTACATGGCACGACACGGCTTTCTTACTCTCTACACCCGCGCCGCGTGTTGTGCAGTATCTCCGCTGTTCTAATTTCTTGTGCAACGTGCGACGTGCGGTGTGTGGTTTGTGCGCGATGCCAGGGGCCCGAAGCGCCCTCCCCCCCTTCCCCCCGGAAAAGGAGAGACGCCATGGAAAGACGCCTAGGAAACTCACCGACAGACTGGGAACAGGACTTGTGTACTTAATTATCATTACTGCTTATTTGTTTTTTCCCCACACCGGAATCACCATCGTCGTGCGTGCGGCTCGTCTTCCCTGGTCGACGCGGCTGCGACGACGACGACGGCAACAACACCGACTCGAGGAACAACACCGACTCGAGGAACTATCATCATGTTTTATTGTACTCGAGAATGCTTGATAACACAAATGTTTAAACCATCAAGCACTCCGGACGGGCTTCAAGACTGACCAGACCAACAATGAACGCCTTAGAGCGAGGCATGGCATACGCCGGAAGAAGAAACAGGGAGCCGGTCGAGATATGTATAGGTAGGAAGGGAGATGAAGTCGCAACATTACGCAGTACCCAGTACACAGTACGCTGTTTGATTGCTGAGGCATCCGTGACAAAGAAAAGAACCAGGTCACATCGGGGCATACGAGACACTGCGTCCAGTACCGAGTCTGTGTGTATGTATCATGTATGTACTCGTTCTATCCCATGTACATACATAGAAGGTCACTACTGTATGTGAGCCGACCGGGTCGATATGGGGTCTAAGGAAAAAAGTCCCCTGCAAAGATGGAGGAAACCGATCAGTAAGTCAATCCAATCATTCAAGCTTCGACAGACGACAGACAGACGATGACGCCAACGACGACGAGGACCCCATCGTTAGTCATTGCCCCCCCTTCGGAGGGGTGCTGCTATGTGCTGGCTACTACTGTATACCAGGTTTGACCCAGCATATCTCTCTCTTTCTCCCTCTTGACATGATGATGGTGATGACGATGATGATTTTCCCGTCGAGGAGATACATTTTCCCACCCTCTCCCCCTCTCTCCCTTCCTCCCAGCATCATCCACCATCTCATGCCCACCCACCCCTGCAGCCAGTCATTCAGTCAGTCAGTCGTCTTCATTCATTATATCGAACAAGCAAGCCTGGGTGAGTGTGGATTCGTCGTCGTGGCGGATGCCGGAGGAGCTTTGAGTGAGGGAGCCAGCAGCCAACCCCACCACAGGGCAAAGGACACAGGGCATCCTCCTGCCCAGCAAGCAGCAGCTGGCCGGGGACACCATGACGCAAAGGTAGGGACAGACCGGACAGAACGAGAAGCAGAGGCACCTCACCTATAGCTACACGCTACACATACCCATACTATACCATACTCTGCCACGGCTCCGAGTCTCGGACTCCTGAACCCGAACCTGACTCTCGCGAGGCAGGAAGGAGAAAACACTGGCCCAACACCGGTTCCAACACTGATAATGAGCGATCCCTTTGTCAAGGAAAAGGGGGTCCAGTAGTCCTCCTTCTGCTCCTCTCCCCCCTACGTCCACTGGCACCGTGTGCAGCCAGAACAGCAATGGCAGCAGCAAAAAATCGATCCCTTTGCCACATATTCCATCCTACCCTGCGCGCACGCGGCCATGGATCACGCTAAGTCCAAGCAAGTATCCTCACCCACGACCCTCCGTTTCCCCCCCAGGAATTCATTTCGTTCTTTACTCACCACCAATTTCCCAATTCCTGGTACAGCACTGAGCTTCACCTGGCCACAATGCCTCCCGGCCGATCTCGACACGGTGGTGACCCCCTTCCGTGCCGCGTGGATGCAGCTGGTCATGGCATGCCCGCTCGTGCGGCACACGTTCATCTTCGCCCCCACCAAGCAGATGCTGTGCCTACGCGGCTCGCCCGATAACGACAATGAAGCCGACATGTCGCGCCCCGCCGTGCCCGCACTGCCCGTGCACCGGTGCAAGGCGCTGAACCACGCGAGCGCCGCCATCGAGGCCGTCGTCGCCTAGGTTGGGCGCGGTGGACACGTATGGTGTGCGAGACACGCTTCTGCTGTAGGTTTTAAACCCTTTGGATATCGATGAGCTTATCTGCCGTGGGTTGACCAACTGACGTGCCCCCAGATCTGACATCTACTTCTCGTCCACCCTAGGCACGCGGCCCGTCCACCCGTGGCCCATGCCGGTGACGAGCATAGTCGACGCGGGCCAACACACGCTCGACGTCGGCGCCAAACTCCTTCTCGTGCAGCTGGGGACCGGCTTCGACACATTCAAGCTGGACGAAGACCTCCACCGCGTCCTGCACCTGGTGTGCGACGTCGTCGTCGCCCTCGGCCACCACGTCCGCGGGACAGATGACCCGCCGAGACTCTCCGACATCGTGCTGCAGCGTAACGCAGTGCAGAATCAACTGCTCTGGCTGAATCCTTGTTCTGCTTCTCTCCTACGCGGTGACACCATAAACAACACCACGGTCATTACCGTCACCATCACCATCACCTAGAGAAAGGACCGAGCGACCGCCTCGCCACTATCACCCGCGTCGCCGCCACTATCTTCGGCGACATGATGCTGTTCCCACTCAGCCCGGCCACGGGGATCAAGCCACGGCTGGCGGGCGAGCTGCGACCCGCCCCGCCCGTCTCCTGTGGGCGCAGGCCCCCAATGTGTATCTCGAAGAGAAGACCTTCACGGGAGGACTACATTAACTACTGGTGGTGGTGGTGATGATGGGAATAGTAGACAGACAGACTGAGCAGCCGATGCACCGCGCGTAAGTGCTAGTATATCCAGGATGGATGGATGGAGGTGGAACGAACGGGAGAGATGATGGTGACGATGGTCTGATGATGATATGGCGATGATATGATCTATATGGTCGTGACACGTGTGGGAGATGATGTATTAGGCTGAGGTGCGGTTCCATGGTCCGTGCGTGTGCTTGTGTGCGCGTGTGTGTGGTAACGACGGTTCTTACAAGCTCAGCCTTGTCTACTACTAACTACTATAGCACTGACTTCCTTCCTGGATTACTCCCTATCGAATCATGTGTGAGGATGGGACCAGTATAGTATGGTAGGTGCGGTAGGACATCCCATGGCCTGCCTGTCTGGACCGACCTCTGGTTGCCTCAATTCGGACACGTTTGTGCGCCTGGCTGCGGTTATGTATCGCCTGAGACCCTTCCAATCGCCTCGTCGAAAGGTCCCAGTGGCTCGTGGTGATTTCGTCGGCGTAATGGACTCTTGGAAAGGGCAAGGACCAGAGGTCTTGGGACGGGGACAAATAACTTCCCTTGCAGACCACCGTTGGCTATCGCTGGTAACGACGATCAAAATCCATGAGTTGCATGGTGGCATGCACATCCACACAGCACCCTAGGCGCAAGGCTCACTGCCCGCAGTCACGGCACGGGAGGATCGACGACGACATTGGTCAATGGTTCGGCTCCTGAGAACCCGGACCAACGGTCGAATTTTCCGTACGCATGGACCGGACTTCAAGCCGATCACTATTGCTTCAAGATGGCCGGATAGTGACTGCTCAAACCCGACATGCATTGCTCCAGATCCTGACGCGGCAGCCGCGGCCGCTCACTGTCGAGAACAGCACCCCCCAACAAAATCAACTGCTGTGCTGCACGGCGGCTTGGGGACTCGGTCGCAAGGAGTACATCCGCCGAAAGAATGCCATATGTACATGCCATGTCGTCCACAGTTGCCACCAGTCCGTCCCAGTCGTACACCGTACCCCTGGCTGGGGTGAGGCTGGTTGCCAATGCTCGACCCCTGCAGATATGTACCATACTCCCCATTCGTTGTGGAGTCGAGGTACATTGCATCTTACTCTCACCCTCACTCCCCACCGCTTGAGATATACTTGCATTCGCCACAAGGGTCGATTGTCGCGCTTATTCGAACTGGAGTCCAATCGGTGATATCTCGTACCCTCCCATATCGAGTAAGGACAGATGGGACCTGGCTTCAGTGTCGGGAGGGCCAGTGGGGAGGACGACGTCCACCTCAACCCGTCATGCAGGTGTTAGGCTGCCCTGATAGTCTCCCAGCCTCACGAGACCTCTCCCGATGTGATGTCCAACTGGACCCCTCGCACGCTTCTGTCAAGAGTCCGAATATGGAACGGTTCCTTTTTTTGAAGAATAAAAAACCTGAGCACGTTTTTCCTCTTTTGCCACACTTACCTGTCTGGGACATATCACGACGTTACAGTCCCCTCCAGTTTCCGATGCGGAAAGGCGCCCTGTGCTTGACCGTCATGCCTTCCAATGGTATTTGTCATGGGTCCATGTATGGAATCGGTATGGCGAGACGGCACCAGAAAATGGGGGAAAGAGAGCGGGTTTCCATATTTCCGTGATGTGATCACATCACAGCCAACCGACCTCTCTCCCTAGTTTCCACTGGACACCCGAGACATTCCCGGCGAATCTTGTGGTCGCAAGACCCTGCATATACTAAAGCTGGATTTGGTCGAACAGGTGAAGGCCTCATGGGTGGATTCTTTGTCCACCGCGGAAAAGGTTGCGGTCCATGCTCGCGCAAGGCTGCCGCAAGAAGACATTTCGCCAAATGCTGGGGTCATCAGCCGTATGGTTCTACCGGTATGCACTTGATACACAAGGTGTAATTTTCGAGGTGCTAAAGCAGCATCAACTCCTTGAGGATTACGCAAGGATCATACCCGCCGCGCGTGACGTTCTGACGAGATCCGATGTCAGGTGGGATATATCTCAGTTCCCCCATTCAGAAGGTGTTGTTGGACTTGCGGCAAGGGGAGCGTCGGAAACTTGCTCTGTTTGCAAAGCCCGAGGCCGAGAGTTGTCGCACAAGCTATGATCAGACATCCGATGGTGATCAATATAGTTGGTGGCACAATAATTGCCTCACGTAAAACGGAAGGCCAGGTCCCGATATCTGTCTGCCTGTCCCTGTAGCCGGCCACAGTTTAGTCGTTGTTAACACATTTTGGTGAACATGGATGAGATTACTCGATCGACCACCAGGAAAGACAAGAGGTTGTCCGGACGCACTTTGCTCCGGAAGATCCGGCCAAAGCAACAGAACACCAGCCCTGTGGGTGCCTGGCACCTACCTGGGATCAGACTGATGCTGAGCTAAGCATCCTCCAGGTCGTCCGAGCATATCCAAATCTCCGGACACACCTCGTCCGATTGATATCTGCTCCGTAAAAGCCGAGTTGTTACGGAGGAGAGACACTGACTGGCAACTTCGGTGTCAACAGAGTGCGATACTCGCCAGTTCAAGCACCCTCGCCCGAGAAACTGGGCTACTAATCGGCCAAGGCTACAATCCGCCGGTTGAGCCATGCATGGCGCATCCAGCCTAGCCGAAGATTCCCGGCATCACCCAAATGCTTGTTTTGATAGTAGCCCGAGTTCGGCGTCCTGGGTGTTATTCGCCTGGGAGAGAGAGCCTTGTGAATTGTATGATGTGCCCGTACTACTGTCGTCCCTCGTTGCAGACCGTCTGTCAGCCTGCGTAGGACAAGCGACCAGGAGATGGCTGACAGCCATGTTGACCTGTCGCCACAGCCCCGGGCGTGAGAACTACCAGGCAAATCAGGACCTTATTTGCTCATATCCTCTATTGCATTCGCATAGGGACATGACTTTGTCATCATGACAGCGTCTACCTTTGGGTGTCGCACTCAAGAGAGTCAGTCTCACGGTGATGGAATCATGCATGTCGTCGTCATTCACCGCGGACGTGCATCAAGAAGCAGGGTCACCCAGCATTTTCCCCTTTGAGATGCAGAAGGAGCCGCAAGATGGGGGAGGCACACGGTCGTTGGTTGTTGGGGTGATTGTTTTGCACTGCTGCATGATAACCTCGTGTTGGGATTGCCTGAAAGTATTCGCGAGTTATAACCAGCCCGGACCAGTCCTGCAGCCTGCCCCGGACCATTCACGTCGAGGATGGGGTTTGAGATAGGACTTACTGGCGCGACGGGAAGACCACGGGGGTTTTTGTTTTGGGGGTGGACATTCCTGCTCAGACGAAAACAAGGTTGCAGTTGATGGAGGGTTTGACGTGGCATGATTCAGACAAGCTGCTAACGCCGAAATTATCGCAACGAGTCATTGACACATACGAGAAACGGGATGGTGTTGGCGAAGGATTCTCGGTGCCGTGCACGAGCGTACGTGGCCTTCCTAGAGCGTCGAGGTTCAGAAGATTCGAAGCGGTCATCTCGATTGATTGTTACCAATGCTCAAGATGCAAGTTCCTTCTCTTTGCTTGCCAGGAGCAGACTGGCTTGTTGAATAGTATTTTCTCCCACACTTGAGTGGATGACACGAGGGGTCATTCGGGTCCGCGAAAACCGACGGGAAAAAGGAAGGGCCTGACCATGACGGGGGCGACACTCGTTAGTGATGTCCATCACAGGGGTACTGCCTCCTTTCAACGAACGGTGGAGAAATGTTAGAGAAAGGACATGGAAAATAACAGGCCTGAGGTTGGCAACCATCGACGACAAGACAAAACACAAGAGGCACCCGCCAGTGGTCATCATTTAGTAACTAGCACAATGAGTGGTGGCCCCCCCGCTTAAGCCAGGCACAACCCCGCCGAGGCAACCAGGCCACCCACCAACTTAAACGTGCTCGTAGGGGTAGACTGCACCACTACTAGTAGTTCCAGGGCTTCCCGGCCAGTGGTGACGATTCTAGGCGCCCTACCACCCACGATGCTTCACCGGTGGGTCGCCACATGGAGGAGGATATTGCGGGGGACATTGGGATCATTAAGCTTGACTTTTCGGGGCTTCTCCACCCCGTATTCTTGCGCAAAGCACCTTCGATGCACAAGTTCTACAGAACACAACGGGAGTTCAAACACGGCATCGCAGTCAAACGTTGCGTATGTAACATCTATCGTTCGCCTAGTAGGCCTCTACCTCGTTCTCTCAATTCTCATCACCTCTTCAGCAGTTTTATCTTGGTTCTATCCATCCCGCCATGTCTCAACAAAGTGGAAGTGAACGCCATCACGCTTGCATCCCTCCCCAAGCCAGTGCAAGAAGAACACACTGTAGCAGAAAATGTCAGCACCACCCACCGAGGCTTCAGAGGACTTCCGAGGCGACTTGGACAGCGGAAGCTATCATCGTCGTGACCTGATCGAACTCCTCCTGACTATCCTGACCACCCTTCGAGAATGGCACGGCCTCTACGCTTCGCCATCGCCCTTACTGTCTTTGGTTCATCCTCAAATACTTCCGGGTGCTCGTGTTCTGGGCAGCTCTCATGTTCAGCACTATCGGCTGGGTCATTCAACGAGTTCTGTCTAGACATTCTGAATGCGAGTATGCAAGCCCCTTTGTCCCAGAAGAGAAGAAGGTCATACATCGTATATTGGTCGTAGACTAAGTAGTATAAGGAGTGCTCCGTGTATTGTAGAACATCGTCTTTAGAGGTGAGTTTAAACGAGTCACGAAATTCGCCCAATCGGGCAATGTTCTCATGGGCATTCGCTATCTGGGTCCCCCAATGAAAATCAATCTCTCTCGCCCTTCTCTGTCTGGAAGGGACATTTGTAATCCCCCAACCCCAGCTTCCAAGTTATTGAGCTGTGGTTTTCATCGTGGCACTGAGGCAAGCTTCAAATCCGCATCGACAAACGTCTGTATCGACACTGTGGCGCTGCAACATTGACGCAGCGGTTGAACTTCAAGTTACGACCACATCGGCCCGCTTGGCCCAGTAAGCCCAGGGCGGCTGTGGGCTTCCACGGTCAACCTGCATAGTGTCCAACTCATGAGCCCCCTGGGCCGCTCTCACAAGCCCCCATAGCCACTGCCTGTTTAGCCCTGGTATCGCATACTTCACACAACTCACTTATGCCTATCGGTCTTCATAGGTTCTGGGGAATCCTATTGTGTTTCGAGTTCTTGTGCCCACATACGCCAGATATCTCTCCATATAAATCATATGTAGTGAGTGTGCACTGGTTCAAATATCCCCCGTCGATCGTTACAGGCTAGGAAGAGATACGCGACCTTGACAGAAATTTACTCGTACTCATTTATTCATTCTAAATATTCGTACATTCGTAGATTCTTCAGATGAGAGATATCTACAGTACATTTAGTGACTAGTAGGACTGATATAGATAGACATCTACCTGCTTACCTGCTCTCTCTGTTGTACCTACTGCCCATTTAAGTTAATGCTTCCTTTCACCGAACAAGGAAATAAAATCAATGCCCATCTCATTCCTTCCTCTTTCAGCTCCTTTCCCTCCAAACTTGGCTTGCTTGCCTCCCCCCCTCCCTCCCGACGAACGCTCGACCGCGGACGAAACTGAACTCCGTCGGGCTGGGGCTTGGCTTGTCTGGCGCCCCAGCCAGCCAGCAACAACAGAACAACGTTGGAGTTTCTCCAATTCGGTCAGGAATCGATCTGGAATGCCGATCATAAGATCAGTTCGTTCACTGGAGCCCCGGATTCAACAAAAGCACCGCAGGCCCGGTGGCCGGCCCGCTTTGTCATATTTTCAGACGCGGGTTTGATTACTTTCTGTGAGAACCTTCCCGCATCGTATAGGAATAGTAAGTAATAGTACTGATTTAGCTAATACTTACTTGACTTGGTGCTTGGCCAGCTGGGCCTTCCGGGGAAGCTGGCTGAGTAACTGACGAGACGGGGCCGTAGTGAATGAAAGGAAATGGTCCCCAAGCAAGGCTGGATTGGACGGGAGCAGGAGCCGGGGCTGGGGCCGTTTAAGGATGGCGGCTCCTGAAATCCGCAGTGTGTCGAGTACTGGGCTGTTACTTCTCCGGCTGTCAATGGCATTAATTGCCACACGCACACAGGCCGTGACGGCTCCGCCGCGGACTTTCTCTACTTCAATCATTCGATTCATTAGCTAAGACTGATGGAAATACTGCATGTGGTCATAGGTCAAACGCCAAACCAAACCTCGTCTTACAAATTGTATTACTGGGAATGAAACATTGTTGATCACTATTTTCTAAGATACCCAGTTGGGAAAAAGGGTGTGTGGGTGCGGCGGCGCAATGCAGCGAACGCGGACGTAGGGAGTGGATGCGGTACCGCAGCCTCATTCATCTCCGTACTCGTACATCAGGCCCTTGTATGGATGGTGCCTTACCAGGGCTGGCCAGGCTAAGAAGGTGCCTTCTGGTAGGGATGCCTTCCCGCACGCTTTTGTTCCCTGCGACCATCGTGGGTAACCCAATAATCTATCCATCCACGAGGCTCATGCGAAACCGAGATGCCTCGGATGAGGCCTTTTACGTCCATATCTGCTATCTGCTCGCCTGCTGCGGACGCCGTTGTGTGACGGGAACTTCAAAGTTCATTCAATTCGTATAGTGTGCCTGTTGTCCGAAACCGCTGCCACATTCGACAAATGCTTCCTTTTCTTGATCGAACTGGTCTCCCTGTTAGGCCTCCGAATCAGGACTCGTATTTTGACGTTGGTTAGTCCCCGCAATATCCCGACACCCATGCAGGCCTCTCCCGGCCGTACTGCAGCTAGGACTAGTCGTGGTAGTGCATGCTCGGCGCAAATATGGCAAAGTCTGAATTCCATGGTTGGCTCACCCATCGGCTAAAGGACCTTGTAACCGTTGCCTCGGATCCTGACCGTCCCACGAAGTAACCAGTGCCAGTTGGTACTAGTCGTGGGGGGCCCCGGGGGGGGAGGGGGGGTGGTTTCAAGGGCTACCTACAGCATGTACGTACTCGGTACACTGGGGGTACCCGACATCCACCCTGCGGATGTCGTAGCCACGAGTCGGAGATCTCTTCAACGGCATGGGCGGGAGCGAGATCGTAGCCTAGGCCTCTTGTCAGATCACACAGAGGCTGCTGACTCAATCCTCTCTTCATCCTTGTACACGTCCTGTATGGGTGCGGTCCTCCATCAGGGATTACACCTCACATCCCAGAGTCCGATTAAGCCGATTGATGGATTTCGTCGGCAGTTCGAACCTGTGTTCTGCAGTGCACCCTGACAGACGAACACGCTCGCTGAAATTCCAACCTTCGAGATCCTTGTCGGGAGGTTAATGTCGAGGTTGAGGTAAAAGGTTTCCGAAATGCGTCTCGCACCCCCTTCCCACCACTATTTTTCTCTCTCGAGTCGTGCCTTTCTGACATGTGTCGTGTCTGGACCATTCTGCTCTGGGTGTCGGATCCAGGTCGGAGAGGCTCCCCGAACCCACAAATGCCCGGGATGCTGCTCGTTCTTCGTAGCATACCCCATCCACCACATGCATTGCTTACCTAGATGGCCGGCATGGGATGACATGCCTTTTCTTGTCGTGGGCACTATACGAGTCAGTCGGTGGGTTAAGTTCAGAGCTTTCCCCGTCCTCTTGTCTATCCACAAAAACTCACGATCATGGCCGCTGCTATAAGCGTACGAACGGTGGTTTTACAATGAAATGAAGAGATTGCCGTGTATTTTTCTCGCACGGCTTGAAACAGACCACTAGTGATCAGCTGTCTTCTCGACGGCCCTGTACAAGGACTTGGTTCGGGAAAAGAAGTTCGAATCAAGCCTACTTGGCAAACGCATGCTTTTGCTAATGTACCGTGGTGTCAGGCCACCACATCAGGCAATGACGAACCACGCTCCCGCATTACCACCACCACAAAAGGACCTTATACTATGATAGTAAACATCCGCTATCGTCGTGATACTCGCACAAGCAGTATTGCAGATTTCGAGGAAACAAGCCCTCGGCACGGGATCGATTTCCAGGCGTCACGGGATCGATCGATCGAGTCGACTTGAAAGGGCGCTCGCCCATGGCATGGTCTTCATCAGGTGTTCTTGTTGACCTTATGGGAGAGCAAGCGAGGACCAACCCAGATCAACAGCTCGCGGCCGGGCAGGATGCCGCCAGTGGCCTGCCTGTCAGGCTGAGACTAGTACCGTATAGTGTAGGTACTGCAATGGAGGCACTCACACGGCACCGAGAAGACCGCTGGTCTCCCCTCTGGGGGACGCCGAACTCTGTTCGAACCATCGATCACCAGATGCCTGCCAGGAAAGCTGAGAACGAGGCCTAGCAAACTGTTGAAGAGGCCCGGCAAAGATACTGTCCAGGTCACGGAACTTTTGGTCGTCGGCGGTCTGGACGTGGGTTTCCGAGGGCTGGGAAAACACTCCACAACCTACCTAGCAATGCTATCACCCAGCTACTCGCCATGAGCTCTAGAGACCCTCATTACTAGTACTGGTCGTATTTCTTGTGTGATGATCTTGGGACTCTTCTCCGGTATTGTGGCTCAGATGATCAGGTCGGGCCATTATCACTGGCTACCACTGGTAGTGGTTGCGAAGGAGGGAAGTGGAAGCAAACAGGAAGGCAGGAACGGGTCGGTAGTACTTGGTATTGGGACACTATACGTACGAAATAACATAGATCTGATGCGGACTTATGTACCAGGATGAGCAGGAAAATCCATTCGTGAATCAACAATCTCATGTTCATGTACAAAAAGGGCATCATGCCATAATCACATGTATGCCAGCAGTACAGTCCACCTGAAAAGCAGAGCGTGAAGGCACATTTTCCCCCAGCCTGATCCGTGACCCCATATAGACACGGTGGTGATGGCCATATGAACAAAGCTGTTGTACAGTCTATCAAGAAGGGAAGAACGGTCAAAAACAATTGCAACGAGTGCAGAATGTCGCCTGGTCCAACACTTTTTGGTCTTTCCTTCCCCGATTTTCCCTTCTCACACACCGAATAACAAAAAAGAAAGAGAGAGTAAACCCCGAATAGGTCCAACAGAAAAGGCACGGTTTTGTGTCACAAATCTCTCCCAAATGATCCAAACATGTCAGAGATCCAACCAAATTCGTTCGTAACAAGCCTCGTTCTTGTCTTGTCGTCATCGTCATTCCAGCCCAACTGAAGCCCCGGGCTTGACGCCATGCTTTATCCGGAAAGACCTGCCGGCTTTCAATAATCCCGCTAGTGCCCAAAAGATTCAACTCCCACAACCACCCCCCAAATGTTGTCATACGTCATTGCTGAGCTAAGCCAAGCCCAGCACTTCGAAAGGGAAAATTTCTCGCCCGAAAAATCCCTCGTTCCACTGTTCGGTCACCTCCCACCGGAAGCAAACACACACAGCTCGCGTGGCGATTCTCGTGCCCTAGTCATACACTTCAAGAAAGGGGCTTCTGGGATGACTCTGTCGTCGGTGGACTCCAAGCATAGATCTTTTTTGAGCACCCAGACACAGCCCTGCAGTCAACGGGCGCCATATTGTCTGTTCCGGCGGCGGGCTGGTTCATCAGCAGTCTGATGCAGGCGCTGACTCAGTCGCACCATCTTCGTGAATGTTCCAGTCACTTCACTTTCTCACTTCTGGTTCTTGCGCTTCTGCTTGCCGACCCAGTCAACGTCGGGGTGCACCACGCGCATGTGTCGTGTCAGCGCATCGTTCCGTGAAAAGGTCTTCTCCTCCGTGCACAAATGGCAGCGGACTTTCTGCTTCCGGGCGTTGTGAATCGTATCCTCGTGCCTTGTAAGGTCGTACGGCCGAGAAAAGATCGAGTTGCAAGGCTTGCCCGTGCTGGGATTGATCCGATCGCATCGGTGCGGTCCAGCTTGCGAGTTGCGCAAGGCTAAGTTTGCTGAGGCGGCTGACGTCGGCGAAGTCTGCCTGTGACCTTCCCTCTTGTGCTTCTGAAGTTTCGCTGGCGTATCAAATCTCAGGTGACAACCATGATACGTACACGAGTAGGTACCCGAGTCAGATGACGTGTCGACCGGCCGCTGTTGGATTTGTGGCTGCTGCTGCTGTTGCTGTTGTTGAGGCGCAGCGGCCTGCGACTGTGGCCTAGATCTCTGCATCGGCTGCTGGCTGGAAGGCTCCGACGATTCGTCTGCAGTCGACTCCATCGAGATCATGTGGGCTGGGAAATCGGGACTGATGTCGTGCATTCCCATCTGGCCACCGTGCCTCGACGCCTGGCTGACAAATGGGTATTGCTGGGGCATTTGTATTGAGGGCTCGTTGGCAGCAGTGTAGAAGCTGGAAAGATTCGACGGGGTTCTACGGGTTGCGAACATCGATTGCGACTGGTCGGCCGCGAACAGAGGCGTCGAGTGATCGTCCACATCGTGCTCATCCAACATCAATTCTTTGGGCGAGATCGAGGTGCGTTGCTTTTGCAGCGTTGGCTGAGGTCGCTGAGTTGGCGCTGGCATGCTGTAGGGCGAGTTTTGCCTGAAGGGCGATTTGTCGCGAGGGTTCGATGTCGGCGATTCAGTTCTCAGGTGGTCTTGTTGAGCGGCCTGGAGTCTCTCGGCAATCATGTTCTGTCTGTGAGCGTTGACAGCGATCCTTTGCTGCATGTTCGGTTGCGCCTGGGGGTAGGCGCTCAAGGGATTGGCAAAATGCTGGTCGGGGAAGACATCTTGCAAGGACTGCTGATAGGCGTTGGAGTAGCCTGGATCCAATTGTAAGTAATCGAAAAACATATCGTCGCCGTCAGAGTTCTCCTCACCATAGACATTCTTCTCATCGTACTCGGGCTCATAAGTAGTGTGCGGCGTCGCGGGCGAATTGTGACTCATGGTCGACACCGACTGCGGCGCGGAGAGAGCGTATGACGCACGCTCGTCGGCGCCTGTCGAATGTATCCTCCTCATATCAACAGCAGCGAAGTTGGTGGGGTACATCATGGCAGAGTCTGACTTCGCAGTGTGTGGAGTTTGAGAGTAATCGAAGTCGTAGGATGGGGGAAAACTCGAGTCAGATGTGGCGACAATGTGTGGGTATATAGTGTTCTGGGTGAGCGGCGAAGGCGGACCCAGTGAGGTTACAGAGGACCCCGACGAATCTCTTTTGTGGTAGCGTTGGTCTTGAAAGTTCTTTGGCAGTGCGCTCAGATATCCCCCCGGGCTGTTGTACCCGTCGTTCCATCCACCCACCAGGGCACTCTGGGCTAGCATGGGTGGTTGTGATGAAGAAGATACTGGCGTAGGGCTCGATTTCTGGATGCGGATCGTAGGACTCTGTGATAGCGATGTCGATGGTGGCATCAAGGTCGTCGTGTTCGTGTTGCCGTCGTGTGGTGTGGTATGCAGGAGGCAAAGATGAGAGAAGGCGAGTTCTTCAAATCGAGGATCTTGGATCAGTTGTATAGTCGCGGGCTGCGAGAATTGTTCAGAGATTGGTAATGTACAAGTGGATATCGAATCTGGGTAGAATTCGGCGTAAGAGGTACGTGGACTTTTGCGGGAAGTAGGAATAGGAAAAGGGCTTGGAGACCGAAGTGGCAAATCTATATGCAGGCAGGATATTTGAGTATCCGGCCGATGGAGAGAGGTTTCCCACGAGGTGACGACAGAGCAATGTCGAACAGGATGGAAGGGAAAGATGGGCACGGAGGTATCGGTGATGTGAGCGGAATAGTAATGGTCAAATATGGCTTTTGGTTTCTTTTCGGGAACGGGGAAATAAGATTTGGGTGGTGCAGGTTCGTAGCGGCATGCGAATAGGGCAGTTGTGAAAAAAAGAGCAGTGCCTTGTGCTGCTGAGGTTACGTCTGAAGTATGTTGAGGAAAAAAAGCGACGTCGGCCGGAAACTACAGGGAAGAATGAAAGGGTTGCGTTGCGTGGTGTGTGTGCGGTGATGGCTTGCTTGTTTGGAGAGGGGGGGGGAGCGTATGAGGGACGGAAGGTGACGTCGTGATGACAGGGATTGCCGGCTTGCGGTCACCGCGAGAGTTTACCCAAGACCAGGATGACCGCTTGAGCAACTATCTGGACGACCCTGCTTGGGGGTGGGGCCTGCCTTCAGCAGTGGTCGAAGCGTAGAAGCAGCAAGAGGTCTTCCAGGGCCTGGCTCGGTAAATCGTTCCAGGCGATTGGTGGCGCTTCCCGTTAGCTGTAATTTATGGGTAAAGCCTGTGTAAGACTGGCCTGCAGCTATTTTTTTTTTTCTCGGGGCTGCCCCCCCCTAAACACACACCTACAGGAAAGGGCACCGGAAGGGTGACTTTCGGGTACTTGCACCCTGTATCCACGCCTGACCCTTTCTTTCCGCTGAGCAGCATGAGATCGATGCCTGGGGCTGGACTCACCCCAGCTGGCCTTTGACAATTTGGGGCATAAGCCACTTGCCGCTTCAGGCAGGTAAGAGGACAAGGTCTGCTGGTCGAACAGGTCACGCAGCGCTCTTCCCGTTGTTCGAGACTGTGGATTACTCTGAGCCTCGCGGCTCGCATCTTAGTTGTTGCAGTTTACAGCTCGTCGCTCGCACATCGCACAGAGAGCCTTTTCCAGCATCGGATCGAGAGTATGTTTGCATCCAGGCCTCGATGAATCTGCAATAGTTACTGGGAACAGTTAGTGTTCGCGAGACCCTTCCCTGTTTTCTGGCAACGCGAGAGGACGGTCATGATCGGCTGCGCTCTCACTTCTGCGTGACTTGGCAGCTGACGATACCCAATCAATGAAGGGATTGGCCGTGGCTGTGCGAGGATCTGGCCAATCGCCGCCAATCGCTGACGACAGCCCGAGCGATCCCGAGAATCTTCCACGCTGCTCATTTTTGGGGCCCTTGCTGCTGTAAGCTGAATCGGTCGTTTTGGCTCGTACAAGCCCAGTCTCTAAAGCCCTCTCCAAAGAATCTCCTCGGGCCCCAAGTCAGTGCGAAGTCCGCCGGTCGCCGGTGCCGAGAGTTCGGTTTCTCACCCCACCGCCCGCCTTAGTCATTCTTCGAAATTGGGCTTGTGCACAGTACGAGGTAAAACCCCTAGCAAAAGCCCTGGGCGATGGGTGAGCCTGGTCGCGCGATATACTTACGTTAGCAGGTACCCGCCCAACTCTCTCCATAACCATATCTTGTTTCCAAATACCGCTGTCCAGGGGTCATCGCAAAGGCCACCAATCTGAAATCCCGACTGCCTGGATCCGTCCCTCCCCAGCACAACACAACCCAGAGCTGCTGAATGGTATCAGCCTAATTGAAATGGCCCGACCAGCTCGCTTCTATTCGATATTGCCCGTACGAGGTAGTACTGTCTTCTGACTGGCGAAGTTTCTTCTCCCCTGAGGGGACCTCCGAGTCGGGTTTCTTCTCCTTTGTTCTCCTAGATGCAGTATTCAGCTAGGATCGGCAATTGCACCTCGTATCGAACGGCTGGTCTCGGCATCTAGCACTGTGACAGGACATGGATGGAATTGACACAGTTCGTGTTGTTCTGGGCGGGGCTTTCCGGCCGAATGGGTTGGTTCCACAATGGGTTCCCTTCTAGAACTTCGATTTTCCTCGTCTAAAATGCAGGAACGTGCCGAGGTCCCGTTGCATTGCTTTAGACTGGAGTAGCTGGTAAGGCTGGAACCCTAAGGATGGGGTCAGACTGGGTCAAAGCCGTGTCGCGGTTTCTGCGGTCCTGCGGTCCAGAAGCCGATCATGCAGCTGCGACGAAAACTCTGTTGGCTGATCTAAGCAGCTTGATTGGGTGGTTCCAGTGGTTGGGACACGTTGTCGGTTGGCGTCGGGATACGGCCCAACAAGGTGCTTGAGCATTGATTGAGCCCGGCAATTTTGACGAGCCTAGCCTACATGTGGAAGGCATATGCCACGCGATATTCTCCTTCTGGAGCGGGGATTCTTCCCGAGATTGCCCATGGTTGGCTGAGGTGCCTTTGAATTTCTCTGGAAAGCTTCAGTCTATTCGTGTAATTTGTCTGTCCTTTGGCCAAGCCACAATATCAAGCTGCAATTGCCGTTCTTGTGCGATGCCCGTCTGGAATCTAGACGTTGTGTCACTTGTCGGTGCTGCCGGCGACCCATTTGATAGTGTAAACGCCAAGTGTCGGTTCAGGTACCCGGGAAGCGCAGGTTCTTGTCAGAAATAGGGCTGCTCCAGAGAGCATAGGCATAGGTGTGGCTGGTGACAGCCAAATGGTCGAATAGCCTTTTCGCTGGTGACCTTGTATCAGCTCTGCTTGGTCTGTCCGTGGAGAGATGATCGACAGCACAACCCTGCACCGCCACGTTGTTGCCACATCTGAAGACACTAGCTGAGATTCGGAGACGCGCAATCGTTGTCACCTACACAACCCGATTCGGTACCCTTGATGCCTACGAGCACTTTCATCGGCGGAGATCCTTGGCTGCTACCTGGTCGGTTCCTCACGGTGGACACGGAGCCGAATGTGCTGCGAGAATGAGGCTCAGCTTGACCTCGTGGCTTCCCGCTGGACATCTTGTCCATGTGGCGGACTCCCCCGCAAATGTTCATTGCCGAATTGACAGATCCTGGGCTTTCAGATGGCTTCGCAAAATCCTTCCTAAGGGTTATGGTTTGTCGTGGCCGTCTGATTCCGCGCTTCCGATGGATTTGGGCACGGCATGCCGTTTTGGGAAAGTCCATCCCGCAGCCTTTCTCACTTTGACAAAATATTGTCCATGTTGACAATCTGTCTGCATGGCGTTCCCACGTTTGCAGTTTGCAGCCTTATTTGTCGTCGGCACACTGCAGTGAATGCTGTTCGAACCTATTTCGGTCTGTGTAAGCTGGGAAGAAAAAGCACGCATCATTAATCGCTTCTTCTGCACCGATTCACGCATGCGCTGTCGTGCTGACTGCCGCAGCTCGCATGGTTCGGAGGGTGTCTCGGGCAGCTGTTGAGGGGAGGAGGTGCGAATCGCTGGCCCTCCGATACCTGCCTGTTCGGAAATGTTTGTTCAGCTGCTATTTGTGGGCGCCGACTTATTCATGCGACATATGACTGTGTCAACGCCTTGGAGTTTGGACAACTAAAACGAGGCTCCCCAAATCTTGGCTGAACACGTCCTGCTTTTCGAATCACAGCTCACGGAGCAGCGAGCGTCTTCGGTGCCTCGAGACAGTTCTACTGGTCTTCTTGCTCACAGTATTGGTGTCTTGGTGTGATGACAGCTCGCATGGTATCGTCAGCTTGTTTGTCAGGCTCATGGTTCAGTGGTTCCCAATATTAGCCCCCACTTTTCCTCGATTGTCAGGCTGCAGGACGCAGTACTTACGCTGTCAGTTCTATATCGAGGCCTTGTCATGAGAGGCTAGCTGGTTGAGGTTTGATAGGTAGCGACTGTGAGCACTGGGTCCTCTTGTGACTGAGATTGGAAGTGACTCCAGTCCCTTCAGGTTTAGTTGCCTGGATCGTCGTAACCAGACTTTACAACAGACTTTCGACCCTAGGTATCTCCTATCATTACTCTCCTTCGCCCACGGGCGTCTCGGATTTCGCGCGACTGGGTCCCGCGTGTTCGTTGCGAACCTTCCCGTAGGCAGCCTTGCTGCGAGGTGGATCAAGGATACCGTATCGGCATCAACGCCATCGACGAGCAGGCTATCCCCATCATGGCCTCAATGCTTTGTCCTGCTTAGACACGGAAGCTCATCGACGCACAGCCGTGTCAGGAGTCGTGTTCGACGAGAACGGCGTCGACTGGCTCATCCCGACTTGATAGAACAATGATTGACATCTTCAGTGACGCTGGTGGAGGTGAGTTTGCCCTGCGTATTCTGGACCCCGTCCACGAAGATACGGCAGCTAGGGCTGTTGCCTATCATGATTGTGCAATGGTTAGACAGACGATAACGAGCCCAATTAAGGGGTGCAGGACGCGGCGAGGTGGGTAGAGGCCTGTTGGGCGTGACTGGTCGAATTGCTTAGATGGAAGACGTCAAGCCACCATCTCTGCAGTCTAGATCTTCGCAGTGCGTTGAATTGAGTTAAATTCGGTACTGTCTCCTATGTTATGATGATTTGAGTAGGCACACGTATTGTGGATGTACGTGGGCTGGAGGTGTTGTTATGGCTCGACGTTTGTACAATTTAAATTTGTGTATTTGGCACAATAAATATTCAGACTATTCGACACACCCAACTTCACAACAGGACCGTCAACATCACACCGGATCTCCATCTCTCGCTATCACACTCGAACTTATACCTCAAGCTTGACCCGGTCCTTCCTATCGAATACAATTCTCCCCGTATCTGGCTGATGCAGATCGGTCACCATCAAGCCCGAACGATCGGAGTTGCACCCCACCGCAGCCAAGTAGCTACCGAGAAACCCAACCACGCCAAAACACAGATATATCATGATAATTAATACGTCGTCTAGTAGAGACGAGAACCATGTAACTGTAAAAGTGAACATGGGGCTGTGCATCCCCATAGATTTAATAACGCGTCGTTGCTGGCTTCGAATACATCTATAGAGAGTCCCGGAAATGACCACTGACCGTCCCCCCTCCAACCCGCAAAGCAGACCAACCATTGAATACTCGGGTCCCGCTGGCAAGGGAGAAGAGCCCTTGCTGTGTCTTTTTCTCCCACACAAGGGCGACTGCTCCGCTTTCATGACCGGGCTTGATTCTTGTAGCAGAGAAGTGATGGGATCCAAGTATCCACGCTGCAGCTACCTATATGTATTCGGCACTATCCGTCACAGGAGGTAGCACGTAAGTTGAAGGCACCACTCTGTCATCGGTGACCATGGAAAAGAACATGGGCAAATGATCACCCATCTCTCGCGCTCGCTCACGCAGCCGATCTGGAATGCTCGACAGGCCACCGCCACATTGACGCGTCAAAACACGGTGCTTCGGAACAGCTTGTTGTGGCCATAAGAAACCTGGAAGACCATGACTCGAAGCCCTAAACCACTCCAGCTTCTCCGAGTACGAAGGTATTGAACGTAGGGGCAATCATCGGCAGCGGTCCCGAGCGAAGACCACGCGAAAGGATGGAGACGAAAGAAGGCGAAGAGAACAAGACTAGAGCACAATGTTCTGAAGTGTTTATTTCATGACCGGGTGCTGATGCTTATGTCTAGGCTCAGCCCGTCTGTCAACGCCGAAGCAGGCTGCTCGCGTATCGTGCCTGTATGATACATCATTGCACCGAAGGCACCTCTGATTGATTTGCCATCCCATCATAACCATGACCCTTACACAACCCCATTGATCGAAACCCATGTGAATGCCCAACCACTCCGAAACTGAAAGCAAAAGGGGATTGGGTGACACGCCATGTGAACCATAGCAGACGCGAAAACCCCAAGATAGTGTCGTAAACAGCAGTATGACTGATTGATGTGCTTAACCACCGAAGCCTGAAGATGATCATTAGCACGTGATGAAGACAGAAGGACACACGGGAGACGAACCGTAGAGAGTGCGGCCTTGTCTCTTGAGAGCATAGACAACATCCAGCGAGGTGACAGTCTTTCGTTTGGCGCTGAAGACATTGTTAGCATGAGGATGAAATCAAATGCTTCACGAGTAAGACTCACTGTTCAGTGTATGTGACTGCATCACGGATAACACCCTCCAGGAAGGTCTTGAGGACACCACGGGTCTCTTCGTAGATCATGGCTGAAATACGCTTGACACCACCACGACGGGCGAGACGTCGAATGGCGGGCTTGGTGATACCTTGGATGTTGTCACGAAGAATCTTCCGGTGGCGTTTGGCACCACCCTTGCCGAGACCCTTGCCGCCTTTGCCGCGTCCAGTCATGTTGATAGAGGGATGAAAGTGTTTAAAAGTTTGGAAGAGTGTGGTATGAAGTGTTGCAAGAAGATGGCTTTGGAAGCTGTGGTAACTGAATGGGATGGATGAGGATGAGACTTGGTTGGAAAAGGCGATGGGTGGGGGGAGACTTATGCACCCCGGCAGTGCCTGTTGCGCACCCTTGAGATCAACCCGGCGCACCTCGGATCACAGCCAATCAGAATTCAGATCCGAGAACTGCAGTCGCCCGCCCACCACGCCTCTGCTGTGATGCAGATTGACTGATCTCTCACCCACAACGAGGTGAATTCACTGATCTTTCAGGCAGATGGGAGCATGTCACCTACTGGTCAAGTTAATCCAAAATGCATCAATTATTATCTGGTTGTTGGGCGTGAAGGCGAGGGGGTGCAGTGGTGCAGGGCAGCCCGCCAGATCTTGATGTGGTACGCCAAGCGGCGGGATCAGAAGCCAATTTTGGGCGAGTTCTGGATCACCAGCAAAATGGGCAGCTCAATCAATGGGGTTTTGGCAGCCCTGATCTGATCACTTTGTTTTTCACTGCCGCCCTTGAGTCATTTGGCCCGCGTTGGTGAAATCATCCCGCAACCGCACATCAGATCACGCCAAGCGTCTGCCTTGCAGTCCTTTCTTCCTACAAATACCTCGCTCCCGCCCACCTTGTCCACTTAGCTTTTCTTCCCCATCCAGCCTCACTCATCATCTCCAGTTTTCACCATCCATCCAACAATTTCATCACCACTTCAATCTTTCATCGAATAATCCATCGCCATGGCCCGTACCAAGCAAACTGCTCGCAAGTCCACTGGTAAGAGCTTCCTGTCACCTCATCGTCGCCTCAGAGCATGGTCACTGACTGGTCTTGTATAGGTGGCAAGGCCCCAAGAAAGCAGCTCGCCTCCAAGGCCGCTCGCAAATCTGCTCCTAGCACTGGCGGTGTCAAGAAGCCTCACAGATATAAGCCTGGTACCGTCGCTCTCCGTGAGATCCGTCGCTACCAGAAATCCACTGAGTTGCTCATCCGGTATGTCATCCTGCCAGTGATCTTTCACAGAAGCATCATCTAATAACTTGATCAGCAAACTTCCCTTCCAACGTCTTGTCCGTGAAATTGCGCAAGACTTCAAGTCCGACCTTCGTTTCCAGTCATCCGCCATCGGTGCTCTTCAGGAATCCGTCGAGGCTTACCTCGTCTCCCTCTTTGAGGACACCAACCTGTGCGCCATCCACGCCAAGCGTGTCACCATCCAGTCCAAGGACATCCAGCTCGCCCGTCGCCTCCGTGGTGAGCGTTCTTAGATGACTTGCTGAAATTTGCAACATCTCAATCGACAGTCACATGGCAGGTTGGGAGCGTTGATCATGGTCATGATTCAGAGTATGGGGGGTTTTCATGAGTTGACACTGGCGAAACGGAATGAATTCATAGGGGCTTGTATTGGCTTTTCACAACATTGATCACGGGTGGTTACGGGGACTTCTGGCGTCTTCTGCTTCTGCTCGTGCTTGTACATCACGCAGCATCATACCAGTCATGATGACTATGACATGGACACAGCAGAATGCGCTGCATCAACCAGATAGAATCTGAATGCGATTCAGGTTAACACATGACAACATCAGTTTCTGTTCCACCGAGTAATTGTATTCCCAAAGACTGCTTTTTTTTGCCATTGTTTGTGCTGGACGTGACAGGCGCAGGCGCAAGGTAGCAAATGGACGTTTGCAACCTGTTGTTTCGGGCGGTAGTGGGTGACGATCCAGGGGCAGAGGCGCCTACGATGGGCTTGCATCGGGGGCTAGTGAACCCTGCAGGCGGGCGTCATCGGGGTACGCAATCGGCGGACCTGAGTGCGACTCCGGCAAATTCTGCCTGCCGATATAGGAAGTGGTTTTGCAGATGTTGCTGGGAGACAAAATGCTTCTGTTGAGGTATCTGACAGTTCTAATCAACATGGTATCTCGTCAATAATGCACCCCCTGCATCGGGCAGCGCTCAAGTTCAGTGCCAGATCGCCGTGGTTTCGGGCTCGCGGGCCTGGCCCTCGCGCCCGACTCAACCGTCATGCACAGAGAAACTCCTCGAATTCTGCAAACTCCGGCCCTCTGAAGGACTCAACGAGTCCTCCGTCGACATCGCAAAAACCCCTCCCTCCTCATTCGCTCCACGAATTGCCCGTGGGCGAGACCGCGAAGCCCGTCGATCCTGTCGACATCCCCATACAGTTGTGGTATCATCGGCTGGGACCCGTGTCTGCATTCTTTCAGTGGTTTCACCGCGCTCAATTGAAGAGACCATATACTGTGCAACTATGCACGACCTTAACAACATACCTTTGCGGTGACCTACTGGCGCAGGACATTGGGGGGGAACTGTACAATCCATGGCGAACGTTGAGGATGTTGACGATTGGAGCCCTCGGGGCAATACCAGGTTACAAATGGTATGAAATCATTCCATATCCGACGGACAAACACATGGGTACTCTCTCTGTCGCAGGAGCACGAGCATAGCATGCAGGGAGATGGGAATACAAGCGACACGAGCTAACGTCAGAGACGTCCAGGTTCCTCTTCCTGGGTCAGAACTTCAACTATCCCTCGAAATTCCTCTCCATCGCAACAAAGGTTGCGGTCAACCAGATTGTTTTCACTCCTGTGTTCAACACATACTTCTTCGGCATGCAAGCCCTGCTGACGGGTGAGCACACGATGGGCATCATCATGCGCATTCAAGCTGCAGTGCCCGTCAGCATGCTCAACTCCCTCAAACTGTGGCCTGCGGTAACCGCCTTCTCTTTTGCCTTTGTCCCGCCACAATACCGCTTCATGTTCTCGGGCATCTTTGCCGTCGCGTGGCAGTGCTATCTGAGTTTCCTCAACCGGACAGAAGAGAAGATCGAGGCGCAGATTGATACACTGAGCCGGCCAGCGCTGAAAGAGGGCATATTGGTGAAGTAAGCTGCTTTCAGGATGGTTCAGGAGGACGAGTTTACGCTTCAAACGACCCAGAGCGATGCTAAGGAAGCCAATTTTTTTTAAGAAAAAGAGATCGGCTATATCCAGGGCAGAGTTGGGTAACTTGTTTCCGGATATGGCACGGGGGAATGCATTTGAGAGCCCAAGGGTGCCTTACAAGCCCTTTGATATCCTGTGTCCGATAATAGAGGACATACAGGCAGCAATGGCGGGTTATGTTGTAGAAAATAGAATAGAATCATGTCAACACGCCGTCGATTGGATCTCATACATCCTTTGGTTATATTGACCAGGCCCCGCGACGCGTGAGGAGCAAGCCCCAAGGCGCGCCTACGAGCAGGCAGAAGTGCCTGTCAACGCGAGTCTGATGGAGAAAATTGAAACAAACCAACAGCATCATGTCGAGGCATATATTTCTCACAGTCAGAAGTGAAGATGAACGGTGCAATTGTTTTGCATTGCCTCCATATTGTGCGAGTGGTCACAGTCGATCAGTGAATCATGACGACTACAAACCCACCTGGAGGCGACCCTCCAAGCCCGACCAGATCGACCCAAGACCACAGTGTCTTGATGCAAATCGATCTGGGCCCCACGGAGATTGCGACAGGCTCGCGGGCCGATGAAGACACGGACGGGTACAGCGACTTTGGGGAAGATCCTGAAGTGCTCGAGATAATCGACCAACTCCTCCTCGAGGCTGCGGGCAAATCGAGGCAGGAGCAGAAAAGCGCGCCCCTGGTCGTGACGGACATTGAAGACTATGAAGCACCTCGAGGTGTTCGTCTGCCTGAGGTGCTTGGTCTCGAAGCAACGCGTGAGTGGGAGCTCCAGACTCGGCCTGTTGAGAGTCATCTCCTCCAGACTGTATTCGACCAAAGTCGTAAGTGCTGTGCAGTGCCACATCCCCAATGCTTTGGTCGCTGACGGGCTGACCAGCGTCCAGCTTCACAGAGACCATCTTCTGCCAATAAAGAGGATGTAGAGACGAGAAGAGAGACATCTGCGCAACCTGCGCCAGCCAAACAGGATGCTCAGCAGGAGCAGCAACCCTCCGGGTCGGACACTCGATCTCCCCTCGAACGGTTTCGTAAACCTCCCATGAAAGCCCTATCCGTCACCGATCTGATATCTCCAGCATGGTGTGAGCTACAATATTACTATGTCTTGACCAAACATGGCCGCAAAAGGCGGACTCCAGCAATGAAACAGGGCACTGCGGTCCATCAGGCACTGGAAGATGAGATACACGTCACTGTCCCCGTGGAGATTACCAAGAAAGAAGATAGCTGGGGTCTTCGAATATGGAATATCGTCCAGGGATTGAGAACGCTCAGAGAAAAGGGGAGGACGAGAGAGCTGGAGATCTGGGGCTTAGTTGGCGGAGAGATCGTCAACGGAGTCATTGATGAGTTGAGCTACGAATGTCCGGACCCAAAGCTCGAGGAGATGAGTCGGAGTCTGCAGGAGGAGAAGGACGTTGAGCCATCACTGCCAGAATACCAAGCCAGTATCAGGGACTATCTTGTGACGAATGAGACTCGGGATCAAGGTCAGTCGCTGTCGGAGGCTCTGAAGAATGGCAGTGGCGATACCAGCAAAGAGGCCGGTAACAGACCCACGACACAGAGGACGAGGAAGTCAGACCGAGACAATGAGAGGAGAATCTACATCACCGATGTCAAGACACGAGGCACTCCCACTCTACCTACTGGATCAGCCATCCGTCCAACCCTTATTCAACTCCACCTTTACCACCATATGCTGGAAAACATGGCTCAGGGACAATTCCCCCTCTCCACCCTGGCAGAGAGATATAAGTTCGAAATCCATGACACATTCTCTGACGCCTTTATCGCGCAAATTGGCGGGCTGAACCAAGAGGTGTTCGAATTATCCCAACAGAGCAAGGATGTCGGGCAGGAACTGCCGTCGTCGACGCAGGATTCCATGGATGTTCTGCTTCAGCACAACACCTTGGCTAGCTTGTGGGATTTCATGATGGAGCAGTTTCGACTGACGTTCAACGTTCCTTCGAATCCGACCTCGACACCTGCTTCATGCTTCAGTAACTCCTTCGATCAAAGCCAGGACCCCAACGTTCCACCGCCCTCCTCGCTCTCTGGTCTCCCGACACCGCCGTCTCAACCAACACGACTCTCCCCGATCCTCACCGCGCGTTACCTCTCCACCAACTACAAGCACCGCAGCAACGCAAATGGCGCCGCTGAAGCTCAATCACACATCATAGGAAGCAAATCCGTCCTCTTCAACCCCTCTTTCTTCACCTCTTCTCTTTACTCCGCTTTGGCTTTCTGGAAGCGCGAACGGGAGCCGCGTGGCGTGGAGGTGGTTGATGCGTGGAAGTGTCGTATTTGCGACTTTCGGAACGACTGCGTCTGGATCAAGGAGCGGGACGAGAACATGGTCAGGGAGGCGAGAGAACGAACGAGGCTGAAGGAGGAGCTCGCGAGGGGAGAAGGACGCAGAAGAAGTTGGGTCTGAGTGACCGATAACAACAAGAGAATATGGCGCATATCGTGTCGTGCATCCCAGCAATCCGAGGATGAATCAATGGCGGTGTAGGTTTGAGCAATGCGTCCGAAGCTGGTACTGACAGGAAATCATGACTCTAGAAGGGCAGAATGTTGAAGCATCTCACAAAACAGCTCAGTATTTCCTGCCCACCCAGAGCTGGGCTGCGCAGACAGAAACACAGACCAGACTACACATATGCAATACTTCTGACGACATTCCAATGGGCATGATTCTTTTTGGTTCAAGGAGCCACCCTCGACGACGATATGTATATATACGCATAACAAATAGCGTGCTATGTGAAAATTCTGACCAATGGCCCTTATCACCACGGATAACTCCTCTTCTCATCTTCCTCCTCCACCTTCAGCCCCCGGTCCAGCTGCTCCTGGTGCTTCTTGTCGAGGTACTCGAGCAGGACGGCCTCGTACTTCTGCTTGCCCTTGTAGCGGGAGACGTCGTCGCCCCAGCTGCGCACGGCGCTGGCCAGGCGGCCGGGCACGTAGTCCTCCTCGGCGATCTCGGTGATCGGGTGGAAGTAGGTGCGGATGGTGAAGACGACGCCGCCGGACTTGGGCAGGCGGCGCAGCGTCTGCCGCTCCGACCGGAAGAAGTGGTGCTCGATCGCCCGGTCCTTCTCCGCCGTGTTCCAGCTGATGTCCGGGTTGTCCTCGCTGCCGATCGAGTACGACCACGCCAGGTCGTCGTCCACCTGCAGGAAGTAGTTGTTGCGCGCCACCAGCTCCTCGGGCTTGAGCCGCCGGAAGAAGTTCATCATGCCCTTCTCCAGCTTCTCCCGGAACTGCGGCACGTCGCCGCTCGTGTGGATCTCCGACAGCGGCATCCCGTACTTGTCCTCCAGCCGCCAGAACCCCGGAAGGAGGATGGCACCGGCCAAGAGGTAGTACTGGCCGTCGGCGCCTTCGATCATGATCGCCAGGTCGTCCTGCACCATGCGCGCCGCCGTCTGCATGGGGTCCTCGGGCAGGGGCCGCGACGTCGTGTCCAGCTCCTCGCCCGACCACAGGTTCTTGACGCCCTTCTCGGTGCGCTGGTACAGCGTCGGGTAGCGGTCTGGCAGGTACGAGCGGAATTCCTCCAGCAGCTCTAGCGCCGCCGGGTACGCCTCGGGCGCCGTCTTGCAGCACTTGTGGCCGCGCTCCTGGATGCGCCGCGCCTTGTCCGCGTGGTACCGCGGGAAGTGGTTGTCCAGCTCGATCCAGTCGTCCCACTTGACGTTGCGCAGGCCCATGGTCACGAAATACTTGGGCCCGTAGCGGAAGGGCCGGTACGGCAGCGGCTTCGTGTGCTCGATGGACCAGTTCTCGTACGCCGGCGGCTTGGGCCGTTGGAAGTTGGACGGGATCCACGTGCCCGGTTTCCGGGCCTGAGCTGTCCCATTGGGGCCTTTGCTATACGTCGCCTTTTCGAGCTGTGGTGTGGGCGGCGTCGAGGGGCGAGATGAGCGGGTGAAGTAGCGAGAGCGGCGGCTGGAGATGTACCGACTGATCGCAAAGGCGAGGAACACGAAGAGAGTCAAGCCGTAGAGGACCTCCTTGAAATGGGGCTTTTGTGACAGCGTCTGCAACTCCGATTGGGCTGATTGGAGCATAGAAGAGCAGTGGTGTTTGGATTTCTGGATCTGGTCGTTGGCTTGGTCGACGTATGGTCGTATGTGGGCATTCGCTTGCTCGATGTACGGCTGCGACCGAGCAACGAGGTCTGACATCTTTTGCCTCAGGGATTCCGTGTCCATGGTGGCTGTGGAGGGAGAGGGCAGAGAGACAGCCCTGTCTTTTAGAAGCAAAAGAAGGAAATCAGGGGAAAACGTCAAAATAGTAGGAAGCGAAATCAAAACAACCCTCGGCAGGTATATGAACTCTTGGAAATGGAATCAATATCTGCATTCGACGTGCTGATCCGCAGGAGGCCAGAAGCTTCCCCAGCGCCAGATCTCCAAGCGTGCGGTGCTGTTATCGCATGGCCACTCGGATTCTTATCATTAAACCATCTGATGTCGAGGCCTGTGGTTGGTGTCGTCCAATCAGCTCGCCTCGCCGGCGCTGGACAAAAATACCTCTTTGGGAATGGTGCTTTTTGTCCCCAAGGACAGTGCGTGGAATGCGGCAGGCCACCGCGATTTGGATGACTTCCAGCGTGGCGGACATGGCCGTGGGGCTGCTTGAATGGGATTGTCGCAGGTAAATATCCGGGCACCGCCATGTAATATGTCTAGGTTATTTCGAGAAATGCATCGTTTCTTGATGATCAGTCCACTTCCACGCCTTTTTTTTGGCGCAGCAGACAATGTTCGCCCCAATGTCGACGATATTTGGGAGGAATGAATGGTAGTTCGGGGACCCAGATGGTCCTCGCAAGAGTCCCGGTTCGCGAAGCATCCAGGAACGGTGCGCATGCCATCCTCTCCCAATGGTCCCCGTCCAGAACATACAGTGGTTCGTGCTCGGTGGTCTCCATGCCGGGCATGTACGAGTCTACCAAGAACGTGCAGTGCTGGACATCGATATACTTTGCTGGATCCTCTTCATTCCGATCGTTCATCCCAGGCGGTTCCAGCCAGGTTCCGGGATAGAAACCAAACCCGGTCTTGCCCTCGTGGAACTCTCCAGGTAAGAGACCGTCGAATTCGCTTTTGATGAATTTCGCATGAATGCCGTCGGGGAGAAAATGCGAGGACGGGAAACGATACCAATCCTTGCCGAAGCAGACGGTATTGTCTTCCTGCGTCAGGTTTAGTGCTTTGAGACTGTCGTATATCTCCAACGGAGCCCTATACGCGGTGAGCGTACCGACGATACGCAGCAGCCCAGTGTTGATAGCTAGGAGCACAATCGGTAGAATGGCGGCCAGTTTCAGTTTTGTCGGGATCTTTCCAAAGATGACCGAGTCCGTCGATCCGATCCATGCCAGCAGGGAGTGGAATGCTATGGCGGCATTCAATGCGAGGAAAGGGTAAGCAGGGAACATGAATCTCTCTTCTTTGTGGGGCTGAACGGTGAAAATGGCCAGCCACAGATAGAAAGGAGAGAGGAAAGTCAGTGTTCTGAGAAGTGTTTGTTTGGTGGGGTATTGGCGGAGAATGATGGACTGAAACAGGACAAGTGGTCCAGAAATCGCTGCAAGGACAAACCACATATTGAAGTTGAGCAGCAAATTCCTGAGGTAGTAGTCCCATGGTTCTGTCCCAAATATGTTGGGACCACGATCCTTGCCGCTGAAGACATTGTAGGCGACGATACGCCAGGGCACCACTGCGACCTTGTGGTAAAAGAAAGTGTCGACGCTGACCTGAAGAACCAGGACTACCAAGCACCGCACTCCACCATCCAAGTACCGTCTGAAAGTCTCAAAAAGATCTGTTCGTCCTACCACTGCCATGAGCCATTCTTCAGCGACGAATGGAACGATTAGAGCCGCTGAAAAAGGCCATCCAAGTAGTGCACCGATTCCGAACCACATGATTCCTGTGGCAGTTTTAGATCCTCCATGCCAATCCATAAAAGAAGTCAGTCCTAAGGCAGATGTGTACATGGCAAAGCTAGATGGCAAAAAGGCAGAAGAGGCGTAGAAAAATCCAGGGGTGAAGGCAACAATCATGAGATATATCACGCCGACCCTTGGGTTGATGGTTCGACTGATGGCCGAATAAAGACGGACTTCAGTTGCTGCGCAGATGAATGCCAGTACGACACGTAGGGCATAGAATTCGAATGTCTTCGAACTGCCAAAAAACCCGGCGACCTTTGCGGGGAGAGCGTGGAGGCCGACATATGCCCAACTCCGAATACTGTATTCTGGAGAGTACTCCCATGTCTGGAGACCGTAAGCATGATTCAGGTAGTGCAGTGGCTCCCAATAGTTGAAGGTCTCGTCACAGTCCTGGATCGGAGCATACAACGCCGCTAGAAGGTGTGAAGCGAAACAAACGTAAAAGGCGATGTTCAGAGGCAGGAAGAACTTGGTCGGAGCTGGTCGAGGAGTTTGCTGACCTCTCGCTCTTCGGTACGTCAGCATGGGATCCAATCGGAGCTATGACTTTCTTCCTTACCCCTTGGGCGCTCTGATGGGATCTTTTCGTCTCTTGAAATCCTCCAAGCTCGGGTCCATCTTCCTATGGCTGGCGTCTGGATGGCTGTGGTTTCTCGGAAAAGGTGGTCGACTAGGCAAAGGAGACAGATATGCCAAGATATATGCCAAGACTATGTCTGTCTTGGGTATAGCCCCATCATGAGAAACGCTATGCCGAATTTGGCGTCTTGCTCACATTCTCAGCTAGCCACAGTCTGTACGCTGCATGGCTGCCCGGTCATCTATTTGGCCTGAGGACCATTCTGCCGAGATGGCTGGACGCTTGGTCCCTGGCCAAGGTCGATCTGATCTGGCCGTCCAGCCTGACAAGACTTGGAGTGCCCGAGTCTCTTCCACAACGGCAACTGACTACCCCACCTGCTCCAGCCTGGTCTAGGCTCGGACGACCAGCGCTGTTGGCATTATTAGGGTTCGTCGCGCTGTGTTAGACCTTTGCTTGCTAATATCTTCGTCCTTGTTGGAAAATGCTATGCTTGTCTGCTTATCATGAGTCGTGGAAGCGGTATCTAAAGCAGATCCGACTCAATCCAGTCTGAGAACAACATGCGCCTGCTTTTCCTACCATATAATCCGTCGACGGATTCCCACGACGTCGACGGGGCAGCAGAGGAGTCTCCCCAGCGGCATGCTGCTAGGGTCTATCATCACAAGGCCAAAGCCCTCAAGAAGTCTGGCTTCCGTGACCAACGATCCTCTACAGACAGCCGCAAGAAGGAGCCTGCTACAAAGGCCGGACCAGGAGTATTTCTTGCTTCAAGCAGCGATGGGCAAGTCAGGTCGATGAACCCAGTCCCCGAGCCGAGCACCGTCCTCGGGGCTGGCAGGATCGACCCATTCAATGCCTATTGTTCCACGGACCAACCTCTGATGGTTCACGAGATGCTTGATCACGGTTAGTCCGTTTCTTGCCTGAGGCGTTTTGTTCATAATTGCTCATGCCGAACAAGTTCTTGTTTCGCGCCGTGGTCGTCTGGGAGGATCTAACTGCCATTCTTAGCCATCTCATACCAGTGGTCCCTCTTTGCCGCAGACGACCGGCCAGGGTCTCTGCTCATGGCAAAGAAGTCGGTTATGGACACTGCAATCCGCTCTCCGTTGTGTTTTCATACGCTCGTCTATGCCGGTGCCGCCCACAAAGCTTTCCACCAATCTCCAACTGTCGACAATTCAAAAAGCGCGATATTGCGCATGACGAGTAAGGCTGAAGCGATCAAGTCGCTCAGAACAGCCCTCCAATCTCAAGCGACGGCATTGACTGACGAAGTCGTGTTTGCCATGGCCATTTTGGGCATTGTCGGCCACGGGGAGAAAGTGACCGCTGCGGAAAAGCGTGAGAAAAGAACCATGTCAGCTCAGCAAGATGGCCAGTTCTATTCGAGCCAGGAATACGAGTGGCGGCACATGAAGGCCGTTATCGAGATCGTCAAGATGAAAGGCGGATTGCACACCATCCGGCTTCCTGGGCTTGCCTTTGCTCTTGCTTCGTAGGTCTGTCCCTAGGAGTGTCAACATACCATACGCTGACGGCAGATGCAGCTTCGACATCCATACATCGATCATGTATCAAACGAAGCCCTCGTTCCCTCTATTTATGCCGTCTTCACCAGTCGTCGGCTCTTGGCTCACAAGCCGACCCACAAGCCCGGCGTCTCAAAGATCTGCTACTCTGGCCACCGGCTTCGACTTCTTGACAGACTTGGGCTTGCCTGCCGCTGATGAGTTATTGGACGCCCTGCATGTCATGCATGATCTGATTATTGCTTTCGATAGCTATCAACGGGGTGATCGTGAAGCCCCCCCTATCAAGATGATCATCTTCGCCCGAAACCTGAACCAACACGAGCTGCTTACCTTGCCGGACCTGTCAGGGGAACTCTTCTCACCAGGGTTGGCCTACGTTGACAGCCCAGCCATTTTGAAGACGCATCTGGCGCTCGCCATCTATGAGCTCTGTCGGCTATGCACCTTCATTTTTCAACTCACGGTCCTTCTGCCGAACTTGGAAGACAATGTAGAGGTAACCGTACCCTACGCTCGACGCATCAAGCGATGTCTGCAATGTGCGACTACCGACCTGTGTCTGGATCAGAATTCAACCTACCATTCTTTCCTCCTTTGGGTTGCCGTGATGACTGCTTGGTCCATAAAAGGCACAGACCTTTACCGCTGGTTTGTCGACTTCCTGGTTCGACATGTGAGCACTCGGAGGGAAGCCGCCATCAGAGGAAACCGCGAGATGACTGTAAAAGACATGCTCGCCAGGTTTCTTTGGCTGGATAGCGAGTGTGAAGCATCCTGCGCTGAGGTCTGGGAAGACGTTAACCGGTTACTCGTTCCACGTGAGCAGCTGGCCTTTTGTTAGGTCAGGCCATGAGGTCCTTTTGTGCCCAAACATAGGCACATTCAACGGTGACGGCTCCAAAAAGTATTGTGCTGTGCTTCGTGGCAGCCATTATCCGGTTCTCGTTCTTCCCGGTGGTCGACATCGTTAGGCCCCCCAGGAATGAAAGCTTGACGAATGCTCACCAGGCATCCGTGCGCTAAATGCTCGTACGTAACAAGTTACGTGCAAGCGACTGACCTCGCGCTATACTCCCGTTCCCGTTCAGATCAACCCCGGTTTCGATAAGACGGCTGAGCGGAGGACAGATCGCGCACGCCAGCGACTGCGCATAATGCCTCAATGCCGTCTTGCTGTATTTGGGTTGGTGGACTCTGCAAGAGACGCTCGAATCCCGGAGGAGGGAATCACTCCGATACGCCATGTGTTGAAAGCATGGCCACGGACTTCCTGGGCTGGCTCTATTGGCAGTCATTACGACTCGGCCAACGACCCCATTTCAACCTCCCATGTGTCGATCCTCATGGAGGGAGGCTATACGCCACCACTCTTCATGCCCGGTTGGGTACATTCCGCGAAGTCCCTTCCGTACTATATCAAAAAACCTTTCATATGGCCCGGCCCCCAGTGAAGGTCTCCCTACTATCTCCCCCCATCCCAGAAAGATCAGACTATTTGACTTTCCCTGAGTCTCCAAATCAATCCTCCAGTTCTCCCGTCCACCAGCATCTTCGATAACATTGTTCACACTCCATTCCCACCAAACATGGCTGATCGAATCCTGAAAGGTGCCGTGAAGGGCATCGCATCTGGCATCGGGCTCGTGTCGGAAGGCATCCACCATCACAAAGAGAGGAAAGAAGCCAAAACCCATGCACGGGAGGCCACGGGGCAAGAGAAACACCCCGAGGCTGCTCCAGGAGGCAGTTTTGAAGAAGGAGATGAAGAGCACTGGGATCTGGACGAGGCGCAAGACGAGCTGATCAGCACGTGTTCCGAGACCCCCGAGACCTCGCACCCCGAAGAGCACACGTCCCAACGAGACCAGGCCAACCCTACCAAGATCACCAATGCGTTCATGCGCAGGCATCCTCTGCCAGCGTCAGCGCCATCACACACATCGACAGAACACGGACCTGATGGCAAAGGTAGCCAGACCGCCGTCGCCGAGTTCCAGACTGCCCCAAGAATCCCGCTCCCCGTTATCCTCCCGCAACGCCGACCGGAAGCTCGTGCACGGGGGTTCATCCGCGCCTACGCGCCTGACCTGGCCGTCAAGGGCATTGACCAGGAGACGTTCCTCGACTTCATCGAAACCTTCAACCAGGCCAGTCTCGCATCGCCGTGGCTTGATGCCATCAACTTGGCTGGCTTCGCCACCCTTGCCCTGCCACCGGGTATCTCGCAGGCCGTGCAGCTAGCCATCACGATCAGCGTGACTATAGCCAAAGATATCCAGAGTCGGAAACGGTGAGTCCATTTTGCCCAACATGTTCAAAAGAGACGCCCCTCCCCGTCTGTCCCCTTTCTTGCACTCCCAAAAGAGGGCTGGTCAATCAAACATGGCAATGTAGATCGATTAATCGCAATTCGTTGCCCGAATATTGCTGACCGTGTCCTCCTTTTTTCGAGACAAAATACCTTCCTCGACCGCATCAACGACGAATTCTTTCGCCCGCGTGGGCTCTACTGCCTCGTGATGACGTGGCAACCGGACACGCCGACGCTGCACACATCGGTCGACGTGACCAGGACCGTCGCTGCGCGTATGGCGACGCCGGAGAGTACGGGGGCCAAAGTCAAGCGTGCCATGAAGACGTCGGCCGGCGCCAGCGGCGTCGAGTTCGCCGAGTGCGCTCCCCTCGTGTTTCCCGAGCTCGACGAACTCGCCGTGCAGACCGGCGCCGAGGCCGAGTGCAAGCGCGACACCCTCAAGCACTACAAGAGCTTTGCTGAGGTGTATTTCGATCGCCGTGCGCAGGCGAAGCACGTGAGTGACGCCCAGGACCATGTTCATGGCCTCGGGTTGTCTTTTTACATTGCTAACATGTGTGATATTCAGGCTGGCGAGAACCCAGACAGCGCCCTGGCCAAACTCGGCGGTCCAAAACCACATTTCACCTCCCGATACGCCGACCCCAACCACCCTGCCAGCAACGGCAATCTTATCTCCTTGCTCACCGGCGGCAAGGTCTCGCCGCCTGATCTGCGAGAAGTCGTTGGCGGGGGTAGGGGCAGTGGCGGTGGTATAGGAGGGTTCGGGGGGAGAAGAGGAGGCCCGGGAATGGGAATGGGCACGGGCATGGGCATCATAGGAGGCCACCGCAGCGGAGGAATGGGAGAAAGAGGGGGGATGGCCCTGGGAGGTTTCGGCGGCGGCAGATTAGGAGGAGGATGGCGTGGGAGGATGGGATATGGCCAGGACCAAGATCAAGAATATATGATGCAACGGCAGCAGCAGGATCTGCAGTATCGAGATCCTTACCAGCAACAGCCCGATCGCCCAGGCGGAGGCATAGGCCTAGGCATGGGACGAGGCGCCGGTGGCAGTCCTGCCGGGCTCGAAGGCCTCGTCGGCGCGATCATGGGGTCGGGACTCGGCGGTGGCCGTGGCCAGGGACAGAGCCCCATCAAGCGAATTCTCAGCCAGGTGAGTCGCCGGCACTCCCTCTCTTCTGCTTTCCTCTGGACTCGGGTCGTTGGGAGTTATGAGAGAATCACCCGATCCCATGCTGTGCATTGCTGGACTTACTTACTCGCTCGACCCCTCTCTCGCGTGCTTCAGGCAAGCTAACATCCATGCCATAAATAGGACGTCCTCTACCTGGTGATCGTCAACATGCCGACCGAGGAAGAGTTGGCGGCTGCTCATGAGATGAGTGAGCGTGAGCATGAGCATGCATAAGCAGCAGGGGGAAGACCGAGATGAGTATAAGAAGGCACAGAGGCGTTTATATATATTATATTGCACCCCGAACTGTCCTCACCTCTGGTCCGTGACCCGACACTTGTATTCACGCAGACTCATGCAGTACGTCAAGGCCATTGGCTGGCACACGCTCCCGTGTATACATGCGTGCAGGAGCTGCTGCTACCTGTCAATGTGTCCTCGGGAGGGGAGGGGGAAGGAGAGAGAAAAAGGTACTGGTCGTAGGCCTGTCACGACACCATGAGCGCGATCCCTCCCACTCTCATTTCACGGGCCAGCCGATCTTCTGGATAAAGTCCTCCATGTCCTGCAGCATTTCCTGGGGTCTTTCCATTGCCGCAAAGTGGCCGCCCTGTGATGGTTGTCACTCGATCGTTAGTCTTGTGATATAGTTACTCATATGTATGCATGAGTGCGTGCACATAACTCCAACAGATTGCGTAAATAGCGCCACATATAGGATCCATGCAGGAACGCAAAACTCACCGCTTCATGTTGTCGGAAGAGCACCAGGTTGTGGCCCTGCGCGAGCACCCACGCTCTCGGCACCGGCGCGAGCTCCTTCGGGAACCACGAGTATGCAACCGGCTTGTCGTTCTTGTACTTGGGGTTTCCGTGCGGGAGGCCCCGGCCACCGGGAACAGAAAACTGGTTGAGATGGGTCAGAAACATTATCTCCGTGACCACAGTGTGTCTCATACCTCGCGGTAGCAGTAGATGCAACGTGGGAAAGACTGGGTGAACCAGTACAACGTGACGGAGTCGAGGATGTTTTTCAGAGGCGGCGTCTCGTCGGTCCATTCGATGAATTTCTCCCCGATCCTGTCATGTTGCGATGGCGTTTGGTTAGCCACCCACGACATATACTCCCAAGTCCACCGTTGAGATTGCTTACCATGCGAGCTGGGCGAGCGGGCTGGACGCCAGCACAAACCCAATCGTGGCCGGTCGGGTGCCGTGTTCTCGAGCATAGGCGTTCCCGGTCAGGTTAAATGCCTTCATGCGCGTCTCCATGGCGTGTTTCTCAGCCTCGGTAATCAGACTCTCGTCGACGTTTTTGGGTGGCTCGCTGGATACGGCAAAATTGTCTGGACGATCTTGAGCTGGGAGATCTCCGGGCTGCAAGGCAGATACTCACAATGGACACCTGCGGAAGACGGGCCGTTAGACACACGCTACAAGACTGACCGGTTCGCTCACCTTTGCACTCATCATAAGTTCCCGCCATAACCTTGGCCGTGAACGAGCCGATATCACCGCCCTGGCAAATATAACCACTCCCAAAACCCAGACCCACCATCAATTTATTCATGATACGAGCAATATCCTCGGTGTCGAAGTTTTTGGTCAGAGGCGGACCAGAGCTGAGAGTCCACCCTGGCAGCGACGGAGCAATGACATGGTAAGGTAGCTCTTCTGGTGAGTATTTTTTGCGATAGAGGTCCATGATGTCGAGATGTTCAAGGTGGCTTCCTGGCCAACCGTGCATATAAAGGAGGGGGACGGCATTCTGCTTCTTGGAAAAGAGAGCTACGAAGTGGATGCGGAAATCCTCTCCGTCGTCGTCCTTGATATGGGCGATGAAGTTCGGGAACGAGTTGTTGTACTTTTCAATGTCACGCCTAATTTCAGGCCCTCAGTATCATGGTCGGGCAGCTCATCCAAATGAATTAGGACATACCAATCATACTCATTGAGCCAGTAGTCTTTCGCCTTCGTCATCCAGTTATAACTGACACCAAACTTGCCATCATAGGTGTGCAGGTTCTCGTATGTACGTGGGGCCAGCTTGGAGAGTCGCAATAGGTCCTTGAACTCTGATAGTTCCTGGTCAGGGATTGACAGGGTGAATTTATCCAACTTCACCTTGGCATTTGAGGGGACGGCGTCATAGCCTGCCATGTTGCAGATCAGGTAGGGCTCGAAACTCAGGTCAAGAAGGGCACAACAGTCGAGAAGGTGGAAAGCAGACGAAGGAAAGCTGGGAACTAGTTTTATGGGTGAGACAACCGGGACCCGGCAGCCTTATATACCAGCCATTTACCGTCTTGTCCACTGAGGAAAGGTGGGATACCTCGGGAGTGGCCGTACAGAATCCTCCTGCAGCAGCATGAGCTGATGTCTGGCAGCTCCCGGTCCAACCATCTGATCTCAGAGGTGCCTGACGGGAGGACATTCCCCGTGCCACTCCCTGTGCACCTCACAAGCCTCTGCACAGGGCACTGGCGATTGTTTCGTTACAAAGCATCCCCGTCCAGGCCAGATAGGTGCCCGATTCTGCTGGACATTGTAGCCAAGATGTGGGGCCGACAATACATCAGATCTTCTCCGCAAACCGGGCATCAACAAGTACCGAGATGTGGACGCCGGTCAGCTGGGGGCGAGGCATCCCGCAAGTGCATGGATTACTTGATGGTTGCAACGTAGATGTACTGGACCTGAAGTACAAGAATGTTAATACCTGTTCAATTGCTGATATATGTATCCAGAGGGCTATCCAATATCTGATCTGCCTCGCTGGTAGACCCTTCGCGATTCTAGGGCTGCCTGTTTTCTGCCTTCTAGGCACTTTGAAACGTGCACCAAATGACCGCGTCTCCGCCGCACGAAGCTGGCGTACAACGCCCCGGCAATGTAGACGGCCGCGACGGACATGGTGGCGGGCCATTTGAAGCTTGCGGGCCGAGGAAATATGATGGTCGAGACATATGCGCAGAGTTCGAAGATATTCTGGAAGGATGACTCGGTTGTCGAGAAAGACCCACGATATTCTGGCTCGACCTGTTCTTGAATGATCACTTGTGCCGAGAGCTCAAAGCCCCAAAGGCCAATGCGGCTGAGAATGGTGCCTGCTATCAGTCCCGAAGCAGCCCAGATTGGCGATCCTGCCATCCAGAAGAAACCAAGGGCGACGGCCAGACAGACCATCTGGAGGTTGAGAAACCAAAGGCCAGATCTGATGGGCCCGATCCAAGCCATGGCGGCCGGTGCCATCCAGGTGGCCGACATCTCACACCCGGTCGATATCAAACGAATCACCGCGATAATCGTCGAGGTGTAACCACTGGCCAGAAGATATGTCACCATTTGTCCAGAGAAGGACAACACCGTCAAGTACAGGACAGACAGTGAAATTGAAGGCAAGAAGGCTCCTTGAGACATGTAGATCTTCAATGACCGCAATAACGACAGCTGGACGGGAGTGTGTGGGGTGGACTGAGATTCCTGTCCCAGCTCATGGCCGCAGTCATCGGCCCTGGTGGCAGGCAGATTGCTGCGCGCAAGACTCGGGAACGCCGCGTAAACCCTTGCAATCAAGAAATATTCTGTGATGGTCGAAAAAGCGTTGACCCCGCCCATAACGGCCATGGCGACTTTTGTGTTGTTACTTTCCAATGAGGCGATGAGCAGAGGACTGGTCAGTTTGCAGAAAAGGTCGATGCGACGCATCTGAGAGTTGAGGGTCCGTAGCATTGCCTCGCTGTCTCCCGCAATGACCACAACCCAGTCTCTTTCCACAGAGACAGTGTTCATGATTGCACAGAGCTTTTCAACACAAGCCAGAGCACTAACCACGGCCAGCAGCGCACATAGACTCCACGTCTTCAGGTGTGGCCGTTGCCAGAGCATAACATAGAAGATGCCACATGAAAGAACAACCGCTCCACGCTGATAAACAATCGAATTGCGAACAACCTTCAGACGTGGGGCTGTATCAATGTACCGACCGACGAGGGGAGCGAAAACGATAGCAGCCAACGCCCGGACCAGAGCGTAGATAGACAAAGGCAACAGTGTGTTTGGGAAGATGTTGGCGAGAAACAAAACAGCGCCGAATTCGAACCCTCGGAAATTCCATGTGGATAGAAAATGGGAGACATAGAGCCTTCGGGCCAGTCCAGGGGATATCTCATCCTTGGCCTGGTTTTCCACCGCATCGATCGGGGCCAGGAGGGCTACATCGTCCTCGGAGGAGGAGCGAGTTGACAAAGGACAATGATTGTCAGCATCTCTGTCGGTGAGAGAGTTCCGTGAAGGGAGTCTTGATAAAGTGATAGAATGCGACTGGCCGACCACGATACCAGCCATGATTGACTTGGGCAGTCTCAGCGACACTCAGGAATGATGGTTCAACGGGAGACCCGATTTGTAGGTGCAAATACCATGGAGAAAGACTGAGAAAACCATCCTTCAACGACTCACCGCAAGACTGAGGAAGAAGGACGCGTTGTGGTCGACACGATAAGTGAGAAGAAGAAAGAAGCGGAGAGGCCGAGGAATTGTGCTTCCGGGCGTCTAGGCTCTAGGTACCCCAGTGATAGGCTCTGGGTGCCCGTAGTGGTAGACTCTAGGTGCTCTAGTGGTAGACTCTAGGTGATAGGTTACGCGTTGGCAGGCTAGACGTGAACATAACTAAGCGAGAAGCCTGGTGGCACGTGACGTTGGAAAGAAAAACCAATCGGATGCCGATCCTCTTCAGGGCCAATCAGATCCGCAGCTTTTTTCCCATGTACCGTTCCGAACAGGACAAAACATATTTTTTTGGCCGCATCTCATCCTCCTCCACCATACACCATTTTCACGTTTTCGCCCAGTCATGGATGCTGAAGACTTTCCAACATCTCCTGCGAAGCGACAGAGGACAGGCTCACCAGACGAAAACAGGAGGACCCTCGACCCTCCTCAGTCGACACCTGCCACCGAGCAGAATGGTCTCGTTAGCCACCAGCCTCCAGCCGATCCGAGTGTCTCGACACCAGAGCCAGAGAGACCAGTCACTCTTCCGGGTGAAAAAGAAGAGCATTCCACTTCTGAGCAGCCGGACTCAAACTTTCTTCTCGATGCATTGATGCTGCAGGTCGAGGCAGAGGCCGCCGCCGCCGCCGCAGGACCGTCAACTGACCCCTCCACGAGCACCAATGGTATCCTACGTACAAGCGACGGAACGCTGGTCGACGGAGAACATAACAGGAGTCAAGATGGAGGACACGTTGCGGGGGCACATACGATTGAGCCAACTACTACCACTCAAGAACCTGCGCCGAATGCCGCGTTTCCGGGCGAGGTGGAGGCAATGGATGTGACAGAGACTGTTGTCATCGCCAAAAATACGCAGGTTGCACCCGACACCAATGCCTCGATACCCACCGTTGGCAACGCTGCCGATACACCAGCCGTCGTCGATTCCACCCCCACGGATGTAATTCTTCCAGATGGCTCGGGTGCACCTGACCCTGGTGCCGAGGGTGCTGAATGGGAAATTGATTCCTCGCCGTATGAGTCCTCTTCGGATTCTGACTCAGACTCCTCCGATGATACATCTTCTGAAGAAGACAGCGACGAAGATGCGGACGGCGACTATGCGATGCTGGACCCCGAAGAGACGGCGAGGATCCTCATGCAAGGTGATGCCGGTTCCGACGATGAAGGAGGCGGCCCGCGGGACAGAAAGGACGGAGGTACACTCCGGACGGCAAATGAACGCCCTGAAGAAGTTATACCTAAACCGGATATTATAGTCACGGAGGACATGAAGATTGAAGAATTGGGCAACGTCGAATTCGCGGTCGAGAGCACCGTCGTGGTGAAAGCGAAAACGTCGGGAGAATATCAAGTGCTGGAACCTGGATCTTTGATTTGTCTCCATGATCGATCGGTGGTGGGAGTGGTTGCCGACTTGATAGGGCGAGTCGAGGAACCCCGATATACGATCCGATTCACCAACGATGACGACATCAGAGAAGCCGGGCTGTCAGAGGCTGGCACCACGGTGTTCTACGTTCCTCAACATTCCACATTCGTCTTCACGCAGCCGTTGAAGAGCGTCAAGGGAAGTGACGCATCGAATTTCCACGATGAGGAAGTCGGCGAGGACGAGATGGAGTTCTCAGACGACGAGGCCGAGGCCGAGCACAAGCGCCAGATGAAGGCCAAGAGGCAGGGCAGATCACTGGACACAGGAAGAGGGGGGCGTGGCAGCTCCAAGTTTGCCAGAGGACCGCATCGTGGTGCAGGAGCAGGAGGTCGAGGAGGAGGAGGAGGCCATCGTCACCGCAATCCCAGCGACGGCTCCGCCTACGGCAGCGGCTCGTTGGAAATGAACTACGACGACGTCTCCATGCCGCCCGATGCAGGCGATGACGGCTACACGCCGCTGCAGAGACCGTCCGACCTTGCGGACATGGTCGCCAGGGGAGGGGAACAGCCGCAGGAACGCGGCGGTATGACGATGATGCAGCATCCACTCCCGCCACCACCTCACTTCAGCAGAGGAGGCGAGTCGGACGGGCGAGGGCGAGGGAGAGGGTATGGACACGGGAGAGGAGGCCGAGGAGGAGGAGGATTCCGGGGCCAGCGTGGACGGGGAGGAGGAGGCCTCAACAATCAATATCAGCATCAGCATCAGTCTCGTGAAGCTCCTCCTCCTTTTGGACAACAACAATACAACGCCACAACCCATCAGAATGGCTACAATCCCTCCTTTTCCTCCTCCTCCTCCTCCACCACCACCAATACATCTCTACCCAATCTCAACGTCCCCACGACACCGTCAATCACACCGCAAAACATGGCCTACCCACCACCCATGACGCCGTCGCCCATCACTCCACTCCCTCTCCCTAACATCTCGTTCAACTTTGGGCAAGCTCAGGGATTCCAACATCAACATCAACATCAACAACATCCTCTGCCTTCTTCAGCAGCAGCAGCAGTCAACTTTCCTCCCTTCGCCGCACCGCCGGGGTTCGGCATGGGGCCCCCTCCGGCCCCCCCGTCGTCGTCGTCATTGTTTCCCGGTGGTGGTGGTGGGGGCAACTTCTCCCATCATCAGCAGCAGCAGCACCAGCAATACCACCAGCAGCAGACGAACTTCCTCTCCGGCGCGTGGGCCAGCAACCCGGCCATCGCCGCCGCGTTGCAGAGACAGGTGGAAGAACAGCGTCGGACCCAACAGCAGCAGGGGCAGTAAAGGTAAAAGGTTAGGGAGGAAGTCGGTGAGGATGAGAATGTTCATGTGGGCGCCGGAGAGAGAGCGAGAGAGAGCTCTATATTGTACGATTTCACCGTCCATAAGCTTGGAGGAGGGGAGGCGAGGGTGAAAAGATTCGAAAAAAAGTTCAGATCATCTTCTTCAAACTAATGCTGTCTGTGCATACTCATAGCCGAGTGCGCCATAGAGAAACTATGTACCTAGCGACTCAGCCAGAAAGCTGGCTGGCTCGCTGGCTATTAGTTAGCTAGCTGTATGAAATAATGGATACAGGAAGCCGCTGGATCGATTCACGGCATCATTCTCGACACCTTCATTCGCCAGCAGCTGGCCCTGTGAAAGAAAACTTTTCGGCTCCTCTGTTCCATTCCCTTCCCATTTCCGTTTATATTTTAATTTAATCTCAATCAAACCAGGCGAGCAAACAAGTGACGAGGTCGGGTTTCGGATCGAGTCTCGACGATGGATGATCGGTGTCCCCCCCTTCCTTCGTTCTATTTTGCCTGCCTCCCGACCTATTCACCAATGAGGCCTTAGGTAACCTTCCAGCCTGTTTGAGACTGCCGTCGAGTCCTCCGAATCTATCGGTCTATCTTTTCCTGAACCGTCGCGGTCGCGGGCGGCAGGGCGCGGTGCGGCGCGACAGAAGAATTGAGAATAATATCCTGGTTTCGAGGACGAGTTAGTTAGCCAGTGAAAATTTCGAGATAGGGTAGAAAGGAAGAAATCTGTGAGAGTACTCACGCGTACTGTCTCCGTTGCGATCCCTCGCACCCGGATCTGATTCCAGTACTCAAACTGCCACAGGCCCTGGGTGACCAGCGTCTCGAGCCCCTGCACCGTCTTCCACCCGCCCAGATTCTCGGCCATCTGCATGATGTCCGTGTGCGGGGGGGTGTACGCAAGTTCCAGCAGCGTGCGCATCGGGGGCGAGGTGCCCTGGCCGGGGGGGGCGGTCGAGGTGGCGAGCTTGGCAGACCGCTCGAAGATACTCTCCAGCACCGCCTGCAGGGCCGGGTCGATGGGCCGGTCGGCGGGGATGGTGGCGATGGCGACCACCGGCACCGTCGGCATCTGGTGCTCCAGCGTCGCCAACCGTGAGGAGGACGACGATGACGCCCCGTCCGACGGGCTAGACTGTCCGTGAGCATCCAGTAGCACGAGGTTGTAATTCGGCGGGAACAACTCCGCCAGCGATCTCATCTTGCCGTGGTTCCTCCCGATCAGGTAGATCGGCTTGTACCCCATCGTGTACAGCGTGTGGATTGCCGCGCGTGCCGTGCCGCCGCCGCCCACGACCAGGCCGGACTGCTCACCTTCTCCCAACGCGGCAGAAGCCCCCGCGGCCCGCAGGCAGTCCATCATGCCCAGATAGTCCGTGTTGTAACCGACCAGCTTGTTCTTGCCCGAGGCAGGGTCGTAGACGGGGACAATGGTGTTCACGGCGCCAATGAGGCGAGCAGCCGGATCCACCTCGTCCAGATGGATCATGACGTCCACCTTGAGCGGGATCGTCACGCTCGCTCCGCCAAAGTTCTCGGCGCGGATCTTCTCTACAATCGTCCGAGGCTCCGTGGTTTCAAACCTCGAGTAATGGTGCGGCAGCCCCAGCTCCATGAACAAGATATTGTGCAACGTGGGCGATTTACTCGCGCCGATCGGCGACCCGAACAGGTAGAATTCCTTGCGCACGATCTCACCCATTAGTTGCAGGCCGTGCCGAATTTCGCTGGCGGGGAGTTGGCCCGGAGCCGCTTTGAACGGGAGTTTGGCGTGATTGACAGGGGTCATGAAGCCGTTCAGCAACCGGGAAATCTGTCCGGTGCGGCCCATGTTGATCGCAATCAGAGGCCGGTCCGGGTGCTGGGATTGCGACCACACCTTGAAGCGTCGGAGGGCGAAGTTGTCATCGATGGTGTGGGCGATGCCGACCAGTTTCACGACATCGCCATACAGGAGGCATTTGTTATAAACGGGGATCCAGGAGCCCGGCTTTGACCATGACAATGTTCCCTTCGGGTCGTGATGGGAGGCAATGATTCGTGTGTTCGACTTGTTTTTGAACTTGATGATTGGGGAGAGGACGGACTCGGGGAACGATTCCACCTCCAGGTCCAAGAATTCGCAGCCCAAGCGGATGGCAAGAATGCACAGTTGGGCATACTCTTCTCCGGCTTCGTCGGGAAATTTGCCCCCTTGGGCTGCCGTGCGGATCGTGAAGATGACCGGAAGAGGAATGACGGAGCGGAGAAAGGAGAGTTGAGCAGTCACATAGTCGACGGACGGAAAGGGGCTGCCGGAACGGGGCTCCTGCAGCAGGTCGACACGCAATTCGACCGCATCGGACCCAAGGCAGACTTCCGGGAGGAGTTTGATATGATGCCGCAAGTCCGGGAAGGTCAGGGACAGAAAGAAACTGTAGGGCTTCTTCTTGAGTTGGGACAGGACGTCGACTTTCCCCGTGACCATCTGCAAAAAGCGGTCAAACTCCTCGGCGGCTTCGGCCATCTGCTCCTCGTGGAGGTCTTGGCTGAAGTGCAGGAGGTTGCTGCATTCATCGTACCAGGGCTTCCGCCGGATCCAGACGCCCATCATGTCTTCGACGTAGGCGGGTCGTGTTTTGTCGATTTGAAGAAAGCTCATGACTTCCCTGATATCTCGTTCGACCAGGAGGACATGGCCTTTCTTCTCGTGCCATTCGATTAGCAGGTTGCGTGCTTCTTTGGTCTCGACGATGCCACCACCACAGGCGAAGACGTAGCCGTTTGGCATCTCCGTCATGACGGATCTGAGGAGCTCCAACTCCAGTTTCCGAAAATGCTCCCAACCGTGTTCCCGGACGATCTCGGGGATCGACTTGCCTGCGCGCCTCTCCATCTCCGTGTCCAGGTCAACCAATTTCTTGCCCAGCGATCTTGCCGCCCAGCGCCCCGAGGTTGTCTTGCCGGCACCCCTCATGCCGATGATGAACATCGAGGCGGCACTTCGATCCACTTTCTTCGCATTGAGGCGGTCACCACTCTCCTGTAGTTCCACACCCTCGAGCGCGACATTGAATTGCCGCGCCAGCGTGTCCCACCACCCCGGCCACGTCTTGCCTGTGCACTCCTTCTCGAGAATCAGCGTAGGCTGAGGTGCGGCCAGTGCGAGAACACTAAAGCTCATGGCAACTCGATGATCGTCGTAGCAATGGACCCCTCCTTGCGGCTGCTTCAACTGGGTACGGTCGACGCCGTCGACTTCGATACCGTCGTCAAACTGCCGGCACGTGACGCCAAACTTTGCCAACTCATCCTCCATCGCTTGGATGCGGTTGCATTCCTTCACCCTCTGGTTGGCAATGCCATATATGCGTGTTGTGCTGGTCTTGCCGCCTTGAGCGACAGCCGCCAACACAGAAGCAGTCAAGAAAGCGTCCGTCATCGGTTCCATGTCGATGTTGCTCAATGGTGCGAGTCTGCCGTCCCGGGGACCTGTTACCGTGGTTGACGAAGACGTCTGTTTTACTTCACACCCCATTGGCCTCAGCACGTCGGTGGCGAATGCCGAATCGCCCTGAAGCGAGGCAGAGCCAATATTGGGGATGGTGCATGTTGTGCCCGTGATTGCCGCAATTGCAAGCGGATAAGTCGCAGAGCTTGCATCGCTCTCGACCACGTACTCGTCCGGATTCTTGTAAATGCCTTGCGGGATATGATACGTGTGGTCTTCGGTTTTCGACTTTCGCACCGAGACGCCGAAGGAGGCCATCATTGCAATAGTCATGTCAATGTAGGGTTGCGACACGGGCTTTCCGCCTACGAGCTTGAGTGTCACAGGCTTCTTCGCGTAGGGGGCACACATCAGCAGAGAGGAGACATATTGCGACGAAACCTTGGCTGCCAATTTGATTTCGCCGCCATTGAACCCAGCTGAGGCTGCAATATTAAGTGGTAGACTCCCGGTGTTCTCGATGTATTCGATGCCGGCGCCATTCTTTCTCAACGCATCTACGAGGTCTCCGATGGGTCGCTGCTTCATGCGGGCATTGCCGGTAAGAACCGTGGATGCCACATGGCTCTGCCGGGTCAAGGTCGTGACAGAGGTCAAGAATCTGGCGGCGGTTCCAGCATTGCCCAGATAGAGCTCGTGTTGCGTGGCCTCAAGCCGACCACCATTGCCATTCACCACCAGAACTTCCCCATCATCTTCCCAGGAAAATGTCGCGGCCCCAAGCCGAGTCAGTGCCTCCAGCATCACTTCTGTGTCTGCCGAGGTCAGCAAGTTTTTGACGCGGCAGGTTCCGCGACCCAGAGCGGCAAGGACAAGCGCTCTGTTAGAAATGCTCTTCGAGCCAGGTGGAGTGCAGACAACCTTGAGGTCTTTGGGCACCCCTGGCACCACTTGGACACTCGGAGAAAGCACGACACGCAGGTCGGAGTCTGATACGACGCTGGCCTTCTGTTCGTACGTGCGACCAATGGCTGAGAGGAGGACCACCTTCTTCTTCGCACCATCGTTTTTCTTGTCGACACCCATCTTCTTGAGCATGCCATCGACCGTACAAACCTTACCTCCGGACAGCTTGACCACTTTTTCGTCGTCGAGCCGAGTTGGCAGACCATACGTTGTCAGACACTTTTGCAGACGGCCAACTGCAACTCCACTCAGGACGCCCAAGTACCGGGCGAGCTCAGCCTCCTTGATCATGCCGATCGCCACACATTCCCCATGAAGCACTTGGGGAGTCAAGAAAGCTTCGATGGCGTGGCCGATAGAGTGTCCGAAATTCAGCAAATTTCGCAAGCCCGTTTCTCTCTCGTCGATGGTCACGACGTGGGCCTTGAACTTGGCCGAGGCAGAAATGATTCTGATCAGAGTGGCTTCTACGTCCTTGAATCTCGCGGCACCTTTGGCGATATCGGCATTCACGGCGGCCATAATCCGATCCGCATGACGTTCCAGCTCGATGAATTCTGCTTCATCGGAGATGGCTGCGGTTTTGATGACCTCGGCCATGCCGTTGATCAACTCTCGTCGTGGCAGAGTCCCGAGAAAGTCGAGATCAATGTAGATTCTCTGTGGCTGCCAAATCGCTCCAATGAGATTTTTGCCCAGAGGTGTATCGATGGCGGTTTTCCCGCCGATTGAAGAGTCCACCATGGCGAGCAATGTTGTTGGGACCTGTACAAATCTCACCCCTCGCATGTAGGTGGCAGCAACAAAGCCTGTCAGATCACCTACGACGCCACCGCCTAGGGCAATGATGACCGTATCTCGACCACATGGCGGGCTCTGGCTGAGCAGCCAGTCTTCAATGTCGTCCTTTGTTTGTCTCGATTTCGAGCTCTCTCCAGGCGGGATCTGATGAATTAACAACCGTGCCGGTTTCGCCTTCTGTTTTGCTGCCGCTTCAAAGGCTTCTCGGAAGGACTGGGTGTAGAGTGAACCCAGGTTAGTGTCGGTGACCAAGACATAGGTGGATGACTCGAGATTCGACAGTAGATCCTCGGCGACATAATTGCGCCACAACCCGAAATTGATGAGGATGCTCTCTTTCCCGAGGAGGCTGACTCGTACTGCTTGTGCCACCCCGTCGAGAGGCATGATGGCGCGTCCAAAGTACGGGACTTTGGAGGTGAGGACTGAGTCATAGAAATCACGGGGCCGTTTCAGAGCTTCAAGGTGAATTATTTTCAGGTCTTGGCGGATGTTAAGGCTTGTTAGTTGAGGCAGGTGCAGCCTCGCCGCCTCGCTAGCCTGGTAAGGCTAGTGGCTGCCCTTTTCCGACGCCGGAATTCGGAGATACGCCAACCTCAATGCGGACAGTTTCGTATTCTCTAATACATATTATAATACACATTATTACTGTCAGCATTGGTTTTAGAGAAGTCGGGTGTACGTTATGTATTCGATCTGACCGTCAAGGACATGTCTCAAATATCTTGTATGTAACATTGACTCTAGCATCGAGGACCACCCATGACACATCCATCTATTGGTTTCTTAATAGTCATTCCCTGTCGACCCATAGAGATGCGACCCCGTCTCCAGGACCTCGATCTCGTCGCCCACCTCGACATAGGGCTCACCGTTGCGATCACGTGCCTCTTTGAGGCTTGCATCCTCAGGTACACAGTGCATGCCCATGTACCCCAAAGCGGCAGGGTTGCCGTCTTCGACCGTACGGTGCTCGATCAAGGTCGTGCTGGGTTGCGGGACTCCTTTCTTCCGATCCGGCCGTGAATTGTCGTGTTCAAAGACCCCCAGGTCCGGGTTGACGTTGGGCATCGTGCAGCGTGACGTCCGGCACACCACGGACAAGGTGCTTGCCACGCGTGTCGGTATTGTTGCAGCCTTGGACGGTAAGATCCGGTACCTCTTCCACGTTTCTTCGGAAAACGCGGGAGGGCCGGTCAGATAGATGTTGGCTCGGAAGCGGAGGGCGCTGAGAGGCTGGTTCTCGGTCGGAAGCAGCTGGGACACTGAGTGGACGGACGACAAGTTAATGATGTGGACGGGCTGTTGGTCGGTGTAGCCGTGCATCGCAGGGGTGCCGATGTGATCCAGGGGAGCGAGGTTTCGCGTCGTGCGTACCAGGGTATCGGGTGTGCACCTTATGAGAGTCAGGTTCTGACGTGCGGGTATGTTGAGGAACCGCTTCAGCTTGGGGATCGCAGCCGCCACTCCAGGAAGCTGGCCGAGATCAAGACCCGTAGCTTGGCGGCTGTGGATCGTGAAGTGCCTCATCTGGATCTTCATCTGGTTGATATGACCAGGTGAAGGGAGAAGCGGCACCGTGAAGCGCACCTCGGGCTTTGCAGACAGTGTCCAGGTCTCAAAGGCGGTCCTCAAGCGCTGGAGAGGATACGCAGGATCCGGATCAGGGAAGCTCACGACGAGACAGCCACCTGCTTCGACGAGCACATTGCCTCGTTTGCTCCCTGGCCCGGGCAACCACAACTCTTCCTTGATCCGCGCCATTTGAGGTTTGGTCCGTTGGCTGATGAACTGCCATTCATCCGTCTTTGCTTCAACCGCCAGCGCAAAACACCTGTCGTATGCAAACCCTGCTTTGGTGAGCTGTGCCCGCTCCAGCTCGATTGGTGCGCAGGACTTGATGGGGTGGATGTAGAGTGCTTTGATCACAATCGGACTCTTTGGGAGTGTTTCCTCGTCCCCATCATATTTGGCGTCGTACTGGTCGGCGAGGTTGCTGGTCCTGTAGATGCCTACACGTTGCATGTATTTGGGCACCCTGTGAGCGAGGTAGATGTGTCTGGCGCAACTCGTGATGAATATGGCACAGTTGATCAACAGGATAACACTGAGGGCGTCGTGGATAACGCTGTGCAGGTCCAGCTCTTGCAACAGCCGTTCCAGCATGGTGACAGACGCTGTGTTGGAGGCCACGGAGTAAGTAGAGACTGTACGAGCATGTCACAGCAAATACTAGAGAAGAGCGAGACGTCGCCTCGATTTTTGAATTGATATCGAGCCCGGCCGGGGTCGATACTAGGGCTAGCGAGATAACCGACGCCTATAGAATCACCGTGTCGGAAAAGCGCGTAGTGCCAAACTTACATTCGCGCCCTGGCGTTGACTTGCTCGATTACTACACACCAAGTACTCCCGCCTCTACTCTGGCTGGCCTGACCCCTTGTTTGTTATAGAAACCATTTCCGCCAATTGCTGGTTGCATCTTGAGAGGGACCAGAGTACAAACAAACATTAGCTGCTTGCGGGCTCTGATATCCATCTCGCCCACCTGTCCTATCCACTCTGTTCTAACCCCCTACAAGGATCCCCACGCCTACTCCAAGCTCTTCAGCACATGGGTCCCCGACGATGCCAGGCCCGTGTATCCATTGAAGGGCCCCGTCTCACTCAACAGGACCGGCAACTCATCCTCGCGCAATGACTCCAAGACGCCCTTTTCCCTCGGACTCCAGCCCAGCTTCCGCAGCCGGTCGGCACGACTCCTGGAGTTCGCGCCCACGGTCGTGGGACTGTACACGCCGAACAGATCCCCATACAGCTCCGGCGGGACCGGTCGGGGCGTGGGATCCGTGATCCGGCCGGCCTGGTGCAACGCCCGCCCAATCTCGGCCGCCGCGTCGCCCCACGCCATGTCCTGCCCCGTGCTGCAGAAGAAGTACGGGTTCGCGAGCACCTCGTCGGCGCTACTACGAAGCATCCACGCCAGGATCACCATGTACCCGCGCACCAGGTCCTGCACGTGGATGTTGCTGCGCACCGACAAGCCCTGGCCGATCACCGGCGCCCAGCCGTGCTTCAGCGCGAAGCGCACCATGGTCGGGAGCTGCATGGATACCCTCCCCGAGCACTTGCCGATCCCGTACACCAGGCAGGGCAGCATGATGATGATCTTGGCCTTGGGGCCCAGGTCCCGCCGCGCCGCGAGGATCGCGAGGTCGATGGCCCGGTGCGGCGCCGTGTCTGGCACGCTGTCGATCTCCTCGGGCCGTTCGTCGGAGTAGATCTTGTCCGACTTGTACATGCCCTTGGAATTGTCGACCAGCACGCTCGTCCCGCTGGTGTGCAGGAACAGCGTCTCCAGCCCTTGCTCGGCGCGCTGACGCACGCCGTCCAGCACCGCTTCGACGGACGGCAGGTGGTCGGCCGTGGCGGTGTGGATGACAATGGGACTTGCCGCCGCTTGTTTGCGGATGGTGTCTTTGTCGTCCAGCGTGCCCATGATCACTTCTTTGGCGCCGAGGTCCTTGACCTGTGCTGCGTGTGCCTCCCGCCGGACCATGGTGATGACTTCGTAGCCGGCTTCCACGAGAAGCTCGAGCAGGTCGGTGCCAATCAGGCCTGGTCCTATGAGGAAGACCTTTTTCTCCGCCGCCGTCATGGCTGCCAGACAGTCAAACACCAATATCTACGAATACTGAAATGTCACTGAACTGTCTTGGGAGGCGGACAGTAGAATGAATAAGCCCGACTAGCTGGAGACGAGAGAGTCGTGATCGTCTTGCTTTATTCGTGTCGATTTCCTCAAGACTGGCCCATATAGTACATAGATACATTGAGATATATCCCCCGTATGGAATCATGCTTCTATATGTAATAGTCCCTTTACATACCCTCCCTCTCTTCCCCGCTTTCTCCACGCCGGTAGATCTACCGGCCATCATACTCCAAACAACATGTACTGTAACGTATCGGCAGAGACGGCGACCGCTTATTTGATTAGGCTTTCGTTTTTCCTAAATCACACTGGTTCTGTAATTGAGCTGTATGATGTTACTACTCTCCGTCCATGTTTTGGTACCTATCAACCATCATGGCAACCCAAAGTTTGCGGCATTCTCCATGCATAGCCTTTCTGAACATCTCCCTCATGACTCCTCAGAACGATCAATGACATAGCCCTTGAACTGTCGCGCCGGCACCCGTTTCTCGAACAGGATATCCAACTCTTCAAAAGTCCGATTCTTGGTCTCAGGGAGCCGGAAGAAGCACCATGTGAGCGAGATGATGGAGATACCGCCGTACAAAAACTCGATCTTGGCCCCAGCATTGGCCGCACCAGGGTTGAGCAGGTACGGCCCAATCACGGTGGTGACCAGTCCGGTTGCTGCATCGATCATCGTCGCCAGTGCTATCGTCTTCGACCTGAGTTTGGTGGACGGGGTCTCGCACACCACAACGTAGGTCAGCGGGCCGAGTGTCATCTGCCAGACAAACTGTAGGGTGCACAAGAGCGCGGCCTGCGCCCAAGAGTATGATGGGTTGCTCGCATAATCCGACGCAAGACACATGAAGGCCACGATGAACAGAATCACGATGACATAGGCCAGGCCTGCCATGTAACAGAGGCGTCGTCCAAAGTAGATGAGTGGGATGGCAGATGCAAGAGTCCCAAGGAATCCAAGGCCGTTGAGTCTGTGGTGCGGTGGAGTTCATGTTAGCTATGGAGCAAAAACACATGAGCTGAGGTTTTCCTTCCCCGAGAACTCACCCAAGACCCATGTCAAAAGAGTGTTTGGCACTCAATCCCACTTGTTCGAAGAGATAAGTGGCAAAGCCCACCGGATTACCGGAGAAGTTCTGGATCACAAAGAGCATGATGCAAATCTCCATCCTCCTGCGATTAGGGCCCTTCCAGCAATCCATATAAGTGGTGCCGACTTCGACCTCGCGCTCATACAGATCTGGGCAGTCACTCAAGTCAGCATCAACGCCCCAGAGCCAACGAGGAGAAGATCCTGCAGCGACACCTTGATGAGAGAGCACTTACCGGTCTTCACCATCATAGCCAACGTGTTCGTCACTTCCACCTTTTCGTGCTTCTCCGAAAGTCTCCTAAGGGAGCCCTCGGCCTCTTCCATCTTATGCTGCCGTACGAGCCACCAGGGGCTTTCTGGGGCCCAGAACAAGCCCGGGAGGATGATTATTGGCCAGGCCCACTGGATGCAATAGGGTATCTTGTATGCCCACTTGTCCACTCTGTTGATGAAGCCCCTTGTGATGCCCGTTTGGATGAACTGGCCCATCACGTAGCACAGGTTGATATATCCTGTCAGAAACCCTCGGAGTTTCATGGGAAGACACTCCGAAGCATAGGTTGGGGCAAGGACGCAGTATCCGCCCCAGATGATGCCCGACAGATCTATTGAGAGGGAAAAGAAGGGATGTCAGCCTCACACTTGGCCCACAGTATAGGTGCCACGAAACACTTACACATGCTTGTCGTCAAGACCTCAATGTTGGGAGCAAAGACCTGCATAAACACCAAGGCGGAGGTCAACAGGAGATACACAGCCAGCGTCTTCCGGCGCCCAATTCTCTCCATTGGCCACGCGACAATGTATGCACCAATGATCTGTCCGACGAGGGAACCCATAGACATAGCGACTTGCCAGTTGGCTGTTATCTGATAGCCATGGCCAGGTACTTCGTGACCAAAATGACTCTGGAACGACGGAAGGGCGAAGAAGTTTCCGGTTATCTCAATGTCGTATGCACGCATGATGATGGACAGAGAGAAAAATATCGACCAAAAGGCACCTTTGCGGTAGATCTTCAATGCCTCGAGATAGGTGAGCTCATGTTCTGTGTGGGTACCCTGGTTGGCCATAGAGGTGCTGATAGTGTCGAGCTTGCCGGTGACTTCTGCATCGGCCAGTGTCTTCTCCACCGTGAGGCCCGGTTCAAGGCTGGTAGAGTGTTCAATGAAGGTGGTGCCATCCTTGTCCTGTGCCTGGGTGGTGGCGGCCATGATGGTTTGCGAGCCTGGTTGCACCGGATGCAGCAAAACTCAGGTAAAGACGAGGAAAAATTGCAAACAGGGACAATCTAGCTCGAATGCTGTCAAGCTTGGACTACAGCACTGGAAGTATTCGAGCAGAGGCATCTCGTTCTTATGGGCAATCTGACCTGAATGCAACACTGCCAGCCTCCTGCTTCGCTATAACAGCATTACCAATGACAGTACAGCAAAGCCGCCACGTTATCCGACACGGAGGGGCCCATCTTCCAAGTTTTGTTAAACTATACCAGCTAACAGTGCGGGGGACATGAAGACTTGGTCTTTTTCAGAATGATCTGCAACCATTAGATCTCAATCTTCTCGCCCACCCCGTGGGGAAGGCAGAACTTGAGGTAGCATCGCTTCTGTGAAGAAAAGGGAAGCGGGATTTTGCCGTAACCGTAGTGCCGAGGACATCATTCCTATTGGCTTACCTAGTATAGGTGGCTGACATCCTTCACGGTTAATCGGCCAGCAATGCCCGTTTTCTGGCCCCGCGACCGCTGAAATCCTGCCTCCTGTCGTTCACTGAGTATCTAGAAAGGAGTTAGAAAAGACATTAGATATGGTGTGACCAAAGTCTTTGACAAGTAGATGGTCACCTCGACAGGTTACAATACCACCAGCAGGGTGAACCACTCCCTAATCCACAGTCATGAGGTCTATTGCTGTCAAAAAGATCGTTCTGTTTGGTGATTCACAGATTGAGCAAAGTTCCAACCAAGCTGGTGGATTCAACCTTGCACCGGCGTTGCAGCACGAATACTGGTCCAAGTTACAGGTCGTGACACATGGATACGGCGGGTACAACACGGAACATGGACGCCATATCGTCGACGCTATTCTCCAGGCAGAGGCACCGGTAGCGAGGCAATCCACGCACACTCGCAATGTCAGGATCAAGTTGTTAGTGATCTTCTTTGGCACGAACGATGCGGCAGATCCCAATCACAACACACTTTCACAAAGCGTGCCCGTCGAGAGATACAGGGAAAATCTTTGCTTTATGGTAGCAGCAGCCAAGCGACAGGGAGTTGAAGCCGTGATTCTCGTAGGACCTGCACCAGTCAACGAGCTCGCACCCGAAGCCCCACTAGATCGAGATACCAAGAGGGCAAGACTGTACTCGGACGCCGCGGCAGAGGTCGCCAGGCATTTGGGAAAGCAGAACAATGTCGCATTCGTTGATCTGTGGAATGCCTTTATGGATGCTGCAGGGTGGATGGAAGGACAACCTATTCCCGGGCGGAGGGAATGCGTTGGAGGCCTTCAGCTAAATTCATCATCTCAAGCCCTCGCCACTTCTGGACCGCTTGCCGAGTTATTGGCCTCGGATGGTGTCCATTTTACAGCAAAGGGATATCGTATCTGGTACAACTTACTGCTGCAGACTGTTCGCGACCAGTGGCCGGAGCTCAGGTCTGAGAATCTGAAGACAATTTTCCCACACATTTTTGACATAGATTCGACCGACCTGCCGTCTTCACTATGGCAGCATTCAGAGGAAGACTGAGTGGTATTTGGTGAGGCACCAAGTGGTAGAATTGCTGTATTATTGGCTCCCGTATCGTGGATCAAAATCGTTGAGCTCGGCATTGAGGTGTCTCCTGGAGCGTAACATCTCCTCTCGCCCATCTACCAACGACTGTATAGCAAGGCTGATGATGGGTTATCGACAATCGACTTTAGTCTCGAACCCGCTCTAACGATCCAAACTGGAAACCTTCCATCTCTTAAACCGAGCTGCCGAAGCGGCATCAAGCTCCTCTTCCTAGACCCGGAACTCGGCATCGTGGATAGCGAGTCAACTAGCGTAATGCCGACGAGGGGACTTCATGCGATATGCAAGTAGGTCAGAAGGTGTGAAGCTAGTAGGAAGGTAAGTTTAATGGCGGGAATAGCTGTAGGCACTGCTCACACGTGACAAGTCTTGGCATTTAATACTCCGGCGTGAACGGTCTCCGCCTTCGGTTTCTTCCCTCCGCTCACCTTCAAGTCCCATCCCAGCTGTTCCACCACCCGGAGAACATGGTATGCCTGCAACCGCCCGATACAGAACTAGACGTGCAGCAAAAGCCTGTCTGTCTTGTCGGAAACGGAAGGTCAGGTGCGACTATGCCATTAAAGGGTCACCCTGCTCGAATTGTGACCAGGATGGGTTCGAATGTCTGGCCATTGACAGGAAGAAGCGACATAGGTCTGTGATAGAGTCCCTTCCTGGAGCGAAGCCTACCCTCCACTCCTCGACTTCTGCTCAAACACATTACGATGCAACCGGCACTTCGAACACGACCGGCCTCTCGACAGTCGGCGAGGCTGCTGTTGATTCGTTGTCTGCACCTCCCGAGGGAATTGAGCAATGTGCAACCCGACGAACGTCGTCCTTCTCGAGACACAGATTGTTGCATTCGGTCCCGCACTACGCCTTTCTGATGCGCCTTTCTCAACCCCAACGTTCCGATGCGAGGCCTCTGGAGGACATCGTTCTTCATTTGGCATCAGACAAAAACCAAGGATCGTTTGCCCCCGTCTCGGGATGCAGCGAAGATGAACTGCACTATCTCAAGAGCGTCGGTTGCTTCGATGTACCTCCATCCCATGTCCTTTCGGCGTTGATTGATGCTTACTTCACTATCTTCCACCCATTCTTCCCTGTTGTCCAAAAGTCGGACTTCTTACACTCCATCAAGTCCATCGAAGTTTCGATGGGCCCCAGTCCAAACGCTGCACATCATGCCAGCCCGGCTCAACATGCTTCTATTCCAGAGTTGCCCCCTCGAAATACACATTTCAGTCTCCTGCTCCTCCAAGCTGTGCTTTTCATAGCAATCGGAGTTGTGCCCTCGGAGGTCGTGTTGGCCGCAGGATTTTCGTCCCGCAAGCAAGCGCGCCATGCATATTACCTCAAGGCTCGCCGCCTCTATGACCTCGACTATGATGAAGATCCGATTGCCACTATTCAGGCCCTATTACTGATCAGTCAGTACTATCCTTCTATCACTGAACGGAAGCACACGTGGCATTGGATACACCAAGCTATCAGCCTAGCTCAAGTCAGCGGGCTGCACAGGGACCCTGGCAATGTCCCGCATCGGGCTCTGTGGGCGCGAATCTGGTGGGCGTGTGTTGTACGAGACCGGTGCAATGGCCTGGGGACTGGCCGTCCTCTCATGATCAACAGCCTGGACTGCACCACGCCGATGTTGGTGCTTGATGATGTCGAAGAAGAAGGTGACTCCGAGCAAGATCTTGAGATAAAGGCCATATTCATCGAATTCGTCAAGCTCTGCCAGATCGTAGAAGGCATCGTCACACTGCGCTATTCAAGCTCAATGGCGGATGCGGCTCCTCCTGATCAGCTCAAAGTCTGCGAAGATGCCCTAGAACGCTGGACACACTCTCTGCCACCTCAAGCGAAGCGACAAGACCATCTACAAACGTTCTCGGGGAATATAGGTGTCGCCACCATGTACCGTGCAATCTTGCACGCATGCTTGAACACCATTCGCATTGCCTTGTATCAGTCACTAACTCTGTGGAATGGAGCCGGGGATTGGGCTACTACGTGTCAACAAAAGGTTGAATTCGCGGCTTTGGACAACACACAGCTTTTTACCCATCTCGTCAACCTTGACCTAGTGCGATTCTGTCCCACGATCGCAGTGACGTTTACATTGGCGCCTCTTATTGTGCATGTCCTTGGGATCAGATCCTCAAGATCGGAGGAGAGACTCCAAGTACATAAGAACCGATTTGAGCTGTGCATGATATTCCTGCGCCAGCTGCGTGATATTTACTGGCACGCAATCTTCTACTGCGAATTCTTCGAGCTGGCGGCGTCAATCAAGGACCATCAGTTGAGAACGCAAATGTCAGAGGCCCATGATCCTTTGGCTTCCTTTCTCACACAGCGTATCAGTGTTGGCGATCTCATGGTGCTTCGACATTATCAAAACCTCGGAAGAGCTGGTGAAGTGGATGATCTACAAATGGCCCCATCAGCATCACCGGTATATTCCCCGGAATGGTCTCAGAACGCCAGACAGGAAGGTCATGGTTACGGCAATCTAAGAGGGACGCCATCAAGCCTCAATATACCAACCCATTTATCTGACACCGTGGCTTCCGACCATGGCTATATGAACCACGCTGAACCTATGAACATGAATGAATGGTTAGCTGCGCATTCGCGTACTGGCCAGTCCATTCCATTCGCCTGAGTTCGTACGCTGCAAACTTCCACCTACGAAGCAGCACACTAATCCATAAGTGGACCGAGACCTTGGTCTCGTTGGAGCCTCAAACGAGACCGCTGTTGATGATCGACAAGCCATCCTGAGAGCGCCAGAAAGTGCCATCTGGATAGCTGTACTGCTCGATTGCCGTCTCTCGAAACTCGACACTGTAGCCGGACTCCAATGGCGTCACAAAAAAGCCATCACGCGTCTGCAGTGGTGTTGTGAGGACGTGGTTATAGGTGGTGATGTTCTCGAGCATGCTCTGTTTCCCAGATACGCAAAGGTAATCTACCAAAGACAGGTGCTGCGTATACTCATTCAAGCCTATGCCACCACTATGCGGGACAACTGGAACTCCAAACCTGTGATCATGTCAGCTGCTTCGCCTAAGCGTCTTGGAGGTCTTTCTCCTTACTTTTTTGCCATCAGGAGGACCGCTAGGACCTCATTAACGCCCCCTAAACGGCAGGCATCAATTTGGCAAACATCAATAGCCTCAGCCTGGAGTAATTGCTTGAACATCACTCGGTTATGGCACATCTCTCCTGTCGCGACCCCTATTCCGTGAGCTTTCAGGGCTTTTCGGACAGCAGCGTGTCCAAGAATGTCATCGGGTGATGTTGGCTCCTCGATAAATCTGCACATTCAGCCTTTGTCAGTCATGAACGGTTGGAGCGCGGTGAACTGGCACCCACGCTGGTTTGAACTCGGCCAGCTGAAGCATCCACTGAATGGCCTCGGACACGCCCCAGACCTGATTCGCATCGACCATCAAGGTCTTGTCCTCTCCCATTAGTTCTCTGGCGATCCGGCACCGTCGCTTATCATCCTCAAGATCCCTCCCAACCTTTAGTTTGAACTTGTCGTGGCCAGCCGCAAGAAGGTCTTTCATCAACTTTCGCATCTTTTCGTCCGAATACCCCAACCACCCAGCTTCTGTCGAGTATGCAGGTACCGCCCGATCAGCCTCAGCATCGCGAAGTCGCTGTGGCTTTGATGCCTCCTGCGCTTTCAATAGAGCGATTGCCTCCGACGGGGTAATGGCGTCCTCAATATAGCGGAAGTCAATACACCTCACAAACTCCTCCGGCCGCATATCGGCGATGAGCTTCCAGACGGGTTTCTTCTCCGCTCGCCCCCAGAGGTCCCATAGGGCGTTGACACAGGCAGCCAGAGCCAGGTGGGTGACCCCCTTTTCAGGACCGACCCACCGGAGTTGAGAATCGGAGACGAGGAAGCGCCATGTTTTGCCCATGTCAGACGTCAGATCAGAGAGTCGCTTGCCCACGAGGCGCTCAGCTGTGGCACGAGCAGCTTGACAGACCAGATCATTCCCGCGGCCGATGGTGAACGAAAAGCCGTGTCCTGCCAAATGCGAGTTGGTACTCAAAACGATGTAAGCGGCACTGTAGTCAGGAGCGCCATTCATTGCATCTGAACCTGCTGAGGTGAGGCTTGTGGGGAAGCGCAGGTCTGATTCGACCTGTTAGTCCTTAAACAGTGTGAAACTCAGGAGTGCTCGAACAGACCAAAGACTTGATATGACTGGATGATGATTTCGTTCAGACTCATTGAGTTGTGGCTCGTGCCATTCGACAACGCCTGGTCAACTGCCATTATTTCGTTCAAAGTTCGCAAATGGAATTGATCAAGTTGTCGGTCTGAAGAACTATTTGCGAGCAAAATCGTTGGGCCTCACAACTCGCAGAGAAATTGGGCTTTTTTGGAGCAATTAATGGCTACATCTACATGAACCACGATCGAGATATTACGAATCTTTTCTTCACATATTTTCGAACACAGCTCCAGTCGGGCGATATCAGTTTCGGCACTGATCGTATTCAACCGGCCACGGAACCTCGACATATGGTCGGCGTTAGGGAACAGACCGAATTGCCGAATGTCGGCTTCTGATTGGCAGCCACCGCGCATGGATGATCTATCCCGCATTCTGGTGAGTCTGCAGCAGCGCACCCGTTGGTGGCGTTGACGGACTTTGTCAGGAATTCCTTTTTCGGGCTTCGGCAGCTTGACACAGCCGCGACGTATCGTGAGGAGTGTTTCGGGCAAAAGCCCAGAGACATTTGCGATACTGAAAACCCATAATGAATCAGCTATTTGATGGCGGGACTCAGATATACTCGACTCACGCCAGTTTCCTCAAAGACCGGGCGACCTATTGTCAGAATCATTGTTGTTCCCAAGACGAGGTATGACCCCTTCGTGCTATTAACCAAGGATGGATCCATCGCATAATCTATATTACCTTGGACCGGCCAAGGGGTTTCCCCAGTCACTGGCTCTTGGGAATGGTAGGATAGGCGCTAGTCTCATTTCCACCACAGACGTGGACACATTCCTCCTGAATGAGGTTACCTTTTGGTCAGGCAAGCCTTACCAGCCCCAGAGCGAATATGGGGGCAAGGCTGCCATCAACGAGATGCGTGAGCGTTACGTACAAAAAGATCACCAGGCTGTGCAGACCTTGGCAGAGAAATGGCTGCAGCCTCCGAAAGGGGACTTCGGCACAAATCTGAGCGTAGGCAGACTCAAAATTGAGTATTCTCGAGGTACTACCGGGAAGGGTAAGTTGGAGAGAGGGCTGAGACTGGACCAAGGTATTGGCTGGGTGTCCTGTTCCTCGGACGATTCTACATTGCAGGTCAGCAGGGAGACGTTTATCTCCCACCCTCACCAGGTCATCGCTGTGAAGATTTCGGCGAACGATGGAACCGTTTCCTGCAACATCAAGTTTGAGGGAGAAACTACAAGTTGGTCGACCAAGAAACCAAGTGCGACTGAGTTGGAAATCCATACCCAAGCACTTGAGACGGTGCACAGTGATGGAACTTGTGGTGTAAAGCTGCATGGCCTAGTTCACGCTCAGTCCGATGGCGCATTGCTCCCTACAGAAGATATGATTTCTGTTGTGGATGCTTCCTCTGTGGTGGTATTGATCGCTCTGAACACAGACTATCTGGTTCCGCCTGATAAGGACTGGGTTTCTCTGGCCCGCGCTCAGATCCAAACTGCCTCAGACGCTGGATATGACAAAGTCAAGCAGTGCCATACTCAAGACCACCATGGCCTCTATTCTCGCGTGGCTCTCACGCTCGGCCCAATATCGTCAACATCACACCTTCCTACGGACCAACGACAGAAAGCACTGACTGCATCAAAAGGAGACACCTCAGATGATTTATCCCTTTACGCGTTGTACTTCAATTATGGCCGTTACCTCTTGCTTGCAGGCACTCGCTCAGACTCTCCACTCCCACTTCATCTACAGGGCCTCTGGAATGACCGGGAAGCCAATGCCATGAACTGGTCATGCGACTACCACCTTGACATCAACACGCAAATGAACTACTTCCCAGTCGAACCATGTGGGCTAGGGGACGAATGCCACCAGCCGCTTGCGAAGTACATGCAAAAACTCGCGGAAGCTGGAGCCGAGTCCGCCAGGAATTTCTACGGCACCCACAAGGGCTGGGTGGCACACGTGTTCTCGAACATCTGGGGATTCACCGCGCCCGGCTGGGAAACAAGCTGGGGGCTCAATGTTACAGGAGGACTGTGGATGGCCATGGAGATGAAGGAGCATTGGGAGTATACTCTGGACAAGGCATACATGAAGGGATATGCCTGGGACGTGTTGAAAAGCGCGGCCGAATTCTTCCTGGAGTATATGTCCCCCGCCGACCCGAAGACGGGCTATATGGTGACTGGCCCGTCTGTGTCGCCCGAAAACACCTTCTTTGTCGAGCAACAGGGCAGACGTGAGGAGCGTTCATTGAGCCTATCCCCAACTCTCGACGTGGTCCTCGTCAGAGATCTCCTGGCATTCTGCGTCGACGTCGCTACATCGTCACTGAACAGTACGGACGCCACGAATGACGACTTCATTTCGCGCGCCAAAGAAACCCTGCCCAGACTCCCACCCCTCCAAATCGGCCGGCACGGCCAACTGCAAGAATGGCTCGACGACTTCGAGGAAGCGCAACCGGACCACCGCCACCTGTCGCACCTTGTGGCCCTGATCCGTAGCACTCAGATCAGCACGCGACGCACGCCCGCACTGGCCGAGGCCGTGCGCGTCACGCTCGAACGACGCCGCGCCCGCGCGGACCTGGAGGACATCGAGTTCACGGCCGTGCTGTTCGCCATGGGGTTTGCACGCCTTGACGACGGGGACGCCGCGCTCAAGCCTCTCACACACCTGATTTCGGAGTTGTCGTTCGAGAACCTCCTGACCTTCTCCAAGCCCGGCGTCGCCGGCGCCGAGACCAACATCTTCGTCGTGGACGGCAACTTCGGCGCCACGGCCGCCGTGGCGGAGCTGCTGTTGCGGAGTGTGCGTGTCGGGGAGGTCGAGCTCTTGCCGGCCCTGCCGACGACGTGGGGTAAGAGTGGACGTGTGGAAGGGCTCAGAGCCAAAGGCAACCTCGTCGTCGGGATCCAGTGGAGCGAGGACGTATTGGTCGAGGCAACGATTCGGAATGCCGGTGCGGACGCATTGGTGGTCGAAGTCTACTACCGGGAACGGTCTGTCAAGGTCGACCTGCAGCCCGCCTCGACAGTCAGAGTGGATCAAGAGCTTGTGCCGCTGTGAGAGTGTCGCTCAATGGACCCCGGTAGCTGTAAGGGACAAGGATGCTAATACGAGTAGAGTATTTCTCGACTACAGAATCACACCGAAAGAGCTCTATAACAATGAGATACACAAGAAGCATCCAAGTATTCCATTTTCCATCGCGGTCTGGCACCTAGAGAAATCTGTATCGGTCTGTATGCATTACCGCCGCTGAGGAACTTTTCCCATCCATATTCATGCATGTATATGTGAATAGTCACAACTCGCTCAAACACTCGCTTCGCCAAATCGCTAGTACATCATCGCGACTATGCCGGGAACTGCGCTAAATCGCTAGAAAAATCGAGAGGAAGAGCTAACAAAATTGGCACCTGAGGATGGTGCTGGGGCTGGGAAAAAATAGTCTCTAGGTAGGTCTCTCCTCGCGTGGGGAGTCATTGGTGGTTGGCGACTGGGTCAGAGCTCCCGAACCAGCCACAACGTCGGCAGCAGCAGCAGCATTGCGACCTGACGGTGGCGGTGTGCCTGGAAGCTGAATGGTGACGTGAGGACGTCCTGCTGTCGCGACGTCACTGTCGGCGGGCTGGGCGGCTGTATCTCCCACAGTCTGCATCTGGGCAACGTCAGTCTGCGCGTCCTCGTCGGCCTGGATCTGTTCCTCCTGGTCGCTGATAGCGGGAAACGCGGAACTGGCGCCCTGTGCCAGAAAGCCGTTCGTGGCCGTCCTGCGAGGCTTTGGGAACGGTCTTGCGGCGCGATCTTCTTGGGGGCTGTCGCTGGTGACGACCGGGGTGGTGGGAGGTATATCAGTATCAAGGGGTTGCTGCGGCCCCTTGCTGTTGCGCTTGTCGCCCTTCAGCATGTCCCTCTTGATCTTATACGTCTGCAACCACGAGGTGTTGCCCTGGCGGGTGTGCGGGAACAGGTCCCACTTGTCCATGCTCGCCTCTTCTTCGGGGGTGAGCGCGAGCCAGGCGTACAGATCTTGACGTTTCTTGGAGCGTTCCTGGCCCTCCTTGCGGCCGCTGACCCACTTCTTGTCCTTCCCGTCTCCTTCCTCGTGGAAGTCGTACGACTCGGGCCACTCGTAGATGTCGGCCCGGAGCCGGGACCCAACATAGCAGTGCCGCACTTTGCGGAAGTCCGTGGGCTTGACACTTTTCTCGGCGTCATCGTGGTGGTGATCAGGCTGGTGGTCCTCTTGCTTCTCACCGCCATGGAGCTTCCTCCTCACCCAACCTTGAAAGTTTGTCAGCCACTCCGAGTCGTCACATCCGACCTTTGAGATCAGCAAGATGGTCGGCAAGACCATCAGGACGACCGTGTACATTTGACTTGCCAAGTCGGCCATGCCGATGGCGACAATGTGCACCGCAAAGACCAGCCATCCAATGCAGCGCATAATGAAATATTTCTTAGGGTTCAAGATCACAGGCCCTTCAATAAAGACCGAGGGAGCAACCAACAACTCATTTGGCATCCAGAAGGTGACCGGCTTCGAGTCAGATTGGATGATGAGGACCTTCGTAGGCGTTCCGGTCCAGCCATCGGGTTGTTCATCAAAGGCTTTGGGGTCTGAACGAGTTGGACGCCCTGTCTGCAGGGACAGCTGCTTTTGTCCGTTTAGAGGACTTGAAGAATTGCTTCCATTGGACTGGGCTTCCTCAAGCACCGATGCCGCTCCTCTGTACCTTAGGCCAGACTTCGTCTCCTGTTTCTTTTCCGGTTTCCATTGTGTCTTGTAATTGTGTCCTTGGAGAGATCCCGCCTTGACCACCTTGTCTATCATAGCATCGAACCCAATGCGTTGCTGGCCGATGACGTAGGCACGAACACCAATGGAGACAATCATAGCGATGGCATTAGCAAAGCCATACCAGTCCTTGGAAAGAATTGTGCCGGCAACAAGGAAGCCATTGAAGACGAAGCTTATGGCGAGGGAGAAGGCGATCTGCCCCTTCCGGGACCTTGGCTCCGTCACCGTCCATTCCACAAAGTTGCGGGTGGCCTCGAATTCTTGGGACAGCATCCATCTCGTCAACCAGGCGGCGAGATCTGTTGTGTGGATGCCCTGTGATATGTTGTAGAGGTTGAAGCCAGCGGCTTTTTCGATGAATCGGTTTCCAGCAATGACATACGCACCCAGCAGCGGAAAATACTCGAGATAGGCACTGCTCACGAGGCGGCCGACGGCTGCATCAACTTCTTCGGCTCCCAAAAGCGTTACCAGACCGAGAGCGTCAATGTGGAAAGGCTCCCATTTGAGGAGAACCTTCCAAGGAGCCCATGAGGTTGTGCTGGCAGCAGCCATGGTGGGTCACCAGTCTCTAAGAGCTATGACAAGGTAACGGAAAGCTTGCTAAGGCACGGCTCGTCGGGTGCTTCGTTGCGGAAGGATGAAGCCGGGAAGTAACGTCGACCCAACGCCGGAACTCAAGAGATGATTATGAAATCCATTGTTCAAGCAAATTGAAGTAAGAAGACAGCTTGAAAAAGGAGACTGATGATGAAAGACCACCAGAGAAAGGGAATAAAAAAAGAGAGCCAAGACACGCCCTCATGCGGCTGAAGCAAGCCTTTGCTCTGGACGTATTAAATACGAGGTAGACAGTCGTTCTTCTCGGACAGCTTTGGCCCCAAATAAGTGTGAGTGCCAACTGGCAGTCGAGACGCCATGGACACCCTGCCCAGGGGCTAGTAGGCTAGTCACCACCTTTAACCGAAAACAACATCGTTTGTCTCGGCCTGACATTTGGAACCAGGCCAGGTCGATGTTGATAAGGTTGCTGAATCACAGCAACAAATGGAGGCTGCTGAGCTTGTGCTTGTCGCAGCATATACAGATCAACCAGAGAATCGTGATATCCGAAGGCATGGTGAAATCCTCAAAAGCGGGTGTTGTGCTAAGTATCCAGGGCTGAAAGTGTGATGCACGTGATATGGTCCTTGGCAAAGCTGCGCTCGGAAAACTTTCCCCTGTTCCAGGCGGATTTCACTTGTTGCGATTCAAGGTCACTCAGCTCTAGGACGTTCATCCGACGCAGATGTCCATTGACTCTTCAATAGCAGTCTCAAACTAGCGACCTGATGTCGCGTTGTCAACAATGCCCAAGTTTCAGGAGGGTGTGCTGACTACAAACACGGGGCTACACGTACGACGTACTCATAAGGCTCTTGAGGTATCCGATGAAGCCCAAATAGTATCGTGGGTTCGCAAGCCTATTCGATTTCCGCCTGTTGCTCAGGCAGTTGCTGTGTTTGAGAGATAAAGCATCACATCATGGACCTGTGGCAGGCCTCCACGATGAGCGCCCTTCGACGTCTACCTTGGCCTGGTCTCAGCGCAGAATCTCGCCGGCTTGAGACACCTGGGCACAAAGAATCAATTATCTACTGCGTCAATGGTGAGTCTGATCCATGGGCAGTGAGATCTCTCCACACTCTGTCTTGAGAAGAATCAGTTGGAGTCAGAAAGGCAGAAGAGCCTCGTGGATCTTCAACAAAGGCGTGTCTTCAATCCATTGAGCGCCTGAACACAGCTGTGGTCCTCAAGATGGATCATGGAGGGATCCCAGAGGCTTCACAGCCGACTGCCTACTCAGATGCCTCTCTCGGGAGACTGAAGGTAGTGGTCGGTGAGGGCAAGTCTTCAGATATTTAAACCCTCCAGGAAGCAGCTCTTGGTGTTCCATCTCTCCTGCATCCACACAGCACTTCTCCTTACGGTCATTCTCAAATACAAAGCATCCAGACTGCCCTTCAACACTCTCTGATACCATTGGGGTTTCCTCTACTTACTCAAATACCATCCATCATTCGACCCGACTTACCTCCAAATCACTTCCGCCATTCACGTTAACATGCACAAGCAAACCAGGAGGCACCAGCCTTCGGCACCAAAGCCGCGTCGAGTTCATGATGAGGACTGCCGTTGCCCGCACTGTTCACATGGACGGTGTCATTGCTGCGGGCGTTGCATGAAGCAAGCGAAGTCCAAGACACCACGCTGTACGCAAACGGAATGCAACAATCAGAAACACGTCGCTGGTGTGCGCTGTTCCAAGTAGGCAAAGTCGCTCGGAATTCAACCATCGACCACAACCACAAATCTCCCACTCACACTCTCACCTCTCGACAGTATTGAGATTATCACACACCTCAATAAACTTCATCACCTCTCAAGGACTTGCAGCATACTGCCAACACCGTGGGCCGAGACTATCCAACCCAACAAACAGAATGTGCTCCCTCCAAAGGGGTCGGTGGCTCGGACGATAGATGAGCCAAGCAAGTGGTGTTGAGAAAGTTGGGCGGAACGAAGGGCGGCGGTCTGCCTGTTTGTATCTGGTGTTTTGCTTTGGTTAACAGGTTGTGAAATTTCGGGAACCTGTTTGTCGTTTGTTTACCGGAAATTTTGGATGCATCTCACAATCTGGTATCTTTTGGAGAATGGACTGTGCTTGCAAGCTATGCATCAAGGGAGGGAACACTCGTTTGTGGCATCGACAACCCTAGACAGTTTCTTTTGTTTTTGTGTGGGACTTGGGGCAGGGAACGGACGGGTCGGGTAACAGGGCATCATGGTTCAAGGGGATAGCAAGAGATAACATCTGAAAATCACAAAAAAACTTGAAAACACCAATTTACAATGAGTTTCGATCCATTTCTTTTTTCTTTCTCAACTTTGATTGAATTGAGCTATCAAGAACCGAAAAGGCCTCGTAACAATGCTGTCCGCACCGTCTTCATTTTTTCTTCTTCTTCGCATAGCCACATCCCTACTCGGACAAACAAGGCTGGGCAACGATCAAGTACATCCCTTCATCTCCAGCACAGGGCTTTCCCTCTCCACCAAAGGAAGAACGAGTGATCCTCAGGGTCGAGTCTCTTTCCCTCGTGAGTGCCGTTGACTTTCGGCCTTGCCTGCTGCGAGCGGTGTGGTTGTGGGTGTTACGTGGGTTCGGAATTATGGTTTTGATGTGTGGTGTGTGCGTGTTTGTGTCTGACTTTTGGACGCGTTACTGTTGGATAAGATGCAGAGTTGGTGGTCTTCCAGCGAGATTGGAGATGAAACTGCTTCTCGTGCGAGTTTTTCCACATCTTATCTTCTCAACAGGAGCTCTACCAGCCGGTGGCGCCAGCTGTCGCCTCCTGGGCCCAGTCAGCAGTGCCAGTGCCTGGCTCGGCCCAGTTGGCATCAGCCTGAGGAGCACCCTCGATACCAGGCGCAGCGCCCGGCTCTCCAGTCCAATCCGCGTTGTCTGTGAATCCACGGTCGACTGCAGGAGCGCCGGCCTCTTCCGCACCAGGCACCTTCTCCTCCTCCTTCTGCTCCTCGGCCTCCGGATCGCGGTAGAAGTACAGATCCACGACGACGTCCCACTCGACTTCACGGTTGGCCAGGGTGCCGCGGAGACGGAGCACCTCACGTGCCAGCATCCACCAGATCAAGCCGATGGCGTGACGGCCCTTGTTGTTGGTGGGGATGGCGACGTCGACGAACTCGGTCGGGGAGTCGGTGTCGCAGAGGGCGATGACGGGGATGTTGACGTACGAGGCTTCCTTGATAGCCTGGGCGTCGGTGCGCGGGTCGGTCACGATGATCAGGCGGGGCTCCTTGAACGAGCGGGTGATGTAGTTGGTGAAGTTACCGGGGGTGAAGCGACCAGCGATGGCGACGGCTCCGGTGTGGGCGGCGAACTTGAGGACAGCACGTTGACCGTAGGGACGGGCGGAGATGACACAGATGTCGGCCGGGTTATCGACGGCGGCGATGATGCGGGCCGCGAAGACGATTTTCTCCCTGTAAAACAATCATAGTCAATTGATGTTCGGGTGAGCGCGACTGTACACCACCAGAGTCGCAGCGCTTGTAAGACGCCGGGCAAGCTAGCAGAGTCGGTGGATTTCATACCAGGTCTTCGAGATGTTGATGACGTTGATGCCATCAGGACGAGTCTTCCACAGGTAGGGTTCCATGTGAACCTGGAGGTTCTTGGATCCCAAGTGACATTGTGCCGCAAGGAGCATCTCAATGTCCTGGGAGGTGGGGTTGAAGATGGGAGGGAGGTTTGCTGGGCTCGCCATGATTGTGACTAGATCTTTGATCAACCAGAACGGCGAGTTTTGAAAAGAGAAGGGAGTGGAAAGAGAAGGGAGAGAAGGAAGAGAGTTGATCGATCAAGGCCAGCAACGAGGCTCAAAGTTCACTGCGAAAAAGATTGAGCAATGAGATCCTCTGTGTGCGTTTAGCTAATCCACGCCAAGATTTCTCTTCGGCTCAGCTTCCTGACAGCGGCGGCAGGGCTCTGTTCGGGGCGGAAATACTTTTGTGCGGGAAGATCCTCAATCTCAATCGAGAACTCGGGGAAAGTTCTTGTACAGCATCAAGACCGTGTAGTAGATTAGTCTGCGTTGAAGTTTCATCAATTTCGACTGCTCGAACTATGCCACCGCGACTTCCTGCCACTGCTGCGAGCAGTATCTTCAATTGTAAGGCAGCGCCCCTCTCCTTCGATGCCTGTGCTAACCATTTTGCAGTGACCAGTCTGCTTCAGAGCTTGCCCGCAACCACACGGAATCAAGCACTCACAAAGTGCTCTGCCTGCCTCTTCTCCACCACAGCTCCTTTAGAAGCGAAGCGGACGCGGAAACGAAAGGTCAGGAAGCATGTCGACCCATACCGCCTGGCGCAGGCCCGGCAGCGCAAATCAGCCAATTTAGCACGACAAAAAGTGTTGCAAGCAGAACGCGAACTCGCCCTCGGTGACCCTGTCCGATCACGGCCGACGCCGTTTGTCAGTTCGTTGCAGGCAAACGCTCCTATCGCAACGATCAAAGAGTCCTACCTAAACTACTTTCTGAAACCGGAGGACGTGCAAAAATCCCTAGAATACTCCAAGTGGCTGACTGAACCTCTTCCGGATTCCAGCCCCATTGTGGGAGCTGAAGCACGGCTTGCTGAACGAATCAAGGAGCATGCCGCTTCCCACGGAAATGCTTCGAAGGCCTTGCTCGCTATTGCCTCGCTGGAGAACGCTAGCAGCAAAGATCGCACACGCATCAACATTCAAAGATGCATCGAAGAGTTTGGCCGCCACAACACGGAAGGGGTTCTTGCGCCGGGGCTCCAGAGCAAGCAGAATGCCTGCAAGGAAAGCGAAGGGACCGATACCACTGCCATCACGGTCCCGAAACGGATCGGTGCAGACACTGGATCTCCCGAAGTCCAAATTGCCATACTCACGGCAAAGATCAACGTCCTCGCGAACAACTTGCACAAAAAGGACAAAAGCAACAAGAGGCGATTGAGGATGATGGTGCACAAGAGACAAAAGTTAATGGCGTATCTCAGAAGACAAGACCGAGGCGGGCCAAGATGGCAGAATGTCGTTGAGAAACTTGGGCTCAACGATGCCATGTGGAAAGGAGAGATCAGCTTGTAAAGTATCGGTGGGAAAGAACATTGTACGATCAGGTACTGAAACTCGTTTATATACTGTCGATCGTACAGCTTTGTATTGAACCGGAGCTGTTCAACTCACCCCTCTGCCGCCGTCGACGTCAAATGCTGCGCCTGTGATATAATTCGCTTCGTCCGACGCCAGGAAGCACACCATGTTTGCAACATCGGCTGGCTGACACACCCGACCGAGCGGGATCGTGCCCAGCACCTTTTTGCGTCCTTCTGGCGTGTCTATCCCTCCTTGTACTGCGGCAAGCCTATGATGCATGAGATCAGAAGTAGGTCACAAACCGAACAAACCCGGACAACTCACATGGCCGTTTCTCCTACCGCTGGTCGAATGCAGTTATACCTGATCTGATCGACGGCGTACTCTGCGGCAAGACCTTTCGTCGCCTGTGTGAATTTTGTCAGCTGGAGAAGTGGCTGGTCCATGGCCGATTTCCGTTCGAAAGAAGAAATCAATCTCTGAACTCACCACCGTCACAGCTCCTTTACTGGAGGCATACCACACCAGATTTGGCCTCGGTCGAGGCTCACTGATGCTGCTCAAATTGACAAACAGTCCGGGGACCTTGTTCTCCTTCCACCACGGCACGATCACCTTGGTGCTCAAATACAACGGCTTCACATTCACCCGGAACACTCTCTCGAACTCTTCTTCGGCGATTTCGTGCGACGGACCGGCGAGATGCACCACGCCGGCGCAGTTGACGACCACGTCGAGGCGGTTGGAGTTCTTTTCGAGCACCGTCGAGAGGATGGAGCGCCATGAGGATTCGAGCGTGATGTCGCCTGTAAACGCGTGGGCTTTGCCCGGGTTGGCGGAGCACAACGTGACCGTCTTTTCGTTTTCAGAGGTGTTGATGTCGACGCCCAGCACGGAGGCGCCCTCGGCAGTGAGCTTTTGGACGATCTGGAGGGGGAAGTATGTGTTAGAAGCCGGACTGACTCCTTTGGGGGAGTATCATCAGTGCCACGCAGGTCTGTGGATGGAAGTCCTGCGACCAGCCTCGTCCAGCGCTGTACATATGCCTTGAGCTGTCATGGACCGAGAATACACTACCAGTCGATCATCGGCCAAATGCATGGAGTTCTACTTACGGCTCGCCCAAACCCAGCCCCAGCGCCCGTCACGACTATGCTCTTGCCGTCCAGCCGGCCCATTGTTCCAAAGGATATGCCGAATGCCTTTGATGCTTCAGAGGAGGATGGAGGACGAGGGCGATGTCTTGCTTCTAGCAGACGAATCAGCCTTGCAGCGACTGGTGTCAAATTGACTATCTCTCTGTGTACATCCCAGCTTGGAGCGAACCCATGTGCGTTCTCTACTCCACGTTTTCTGCTTTTCCCCCCTTTCGCCCGCTTTCTTTAACTTTGCGGAGAAAGACTGTACTATCATCATCTAGTGAGGGGGTAGTGTTGTTGCCGAAACGAGAGCTTGAATTACTCGACACAGTGGAATGATTGGTTCTCTTGGGCCGTGAATGGAAATTTAGTGGGAGATGGGGTTTGTGATGAATAGAGAAGTCTCTTTTCGCTGAAGACGGCAACCTCAAGGTGTGCACACTACGTAGTCAGCCGTCCAAATACAGTGTCAAGACACTACAGTCAACCGTTGAAGACGAATGTGATTGTGGTTGCAACTGGCTATAGAGGCAATGCCGTCCAGCTATGACAATTTGAGTGTTCCTCCTCCCTTGGAGGCATATTTTGCCTTGATATCTCCGCCCCAACTTCCACCCTCGGTGAGCAGACTCGTAGCAGTCCCATAACGCCCATTTGAATCCGACAGACATCTCCAGACAGATGAAGACCGTGCAATATGAACGAGAGAGAGAGAGAGAGAGAGAGAGAGAGAGAGAATCAACATTGCCTTTCCCCGACAGAAGCGCAACCGGCACCAAACCTACTCCTCAATACCCGAGCCTCGGTTCCCGAATGCGTGCGTGTTGAAGGGTTCAAATCACGAATGGAGAACTGCTTGCTCATCTCACGGAGGTGAGGCATTCCCTTGCGCCGCCTCATCGTTGCCCTGAGAAAAGAACCGACGCAGCTCTGCGGCGAACACGTCCGGACTGCCGTGTTGTGCTTTGTTGAAGGTGGCGCCGTGGTCGAGGCCGTCGAACTCGACGCGCACCGCGTTGGGGAGGGTCCTTTCCAGCTCGTGGACCGCGTTCTTCAAGTACGCCTGGCTCCGACTCCCGCCCAGTATGAGCGTCTCGGTCTGGATCGCTGCCAGCTTCTGCAGGGACTCTTCCCCGAGCATCGACATGGCGATCTCGATGTCGTTACGCACCGTGGGAATTAGGTCCTTGATCAATGGCCCTGCGTACTGCTGCTCGCCGTCCGAGGGCGACGAATCCTTGCTGTTTGGTTTGTTGTTGCTGTTGTTGTGGCCGGTGGTGTGCTGCTCGAACGCCAGGAGCACTTTGGCCAGGAGCACCAGCGCGCCTTGGGGGAAGTATTTTGACCGGAAAATGGCGAGACCCATCTCCGTTCCAAGCATCGTGGTCACGGCGGCTTTGGCAAGCTCCCCGCGATCGATCTCAGCATGGTATCGCTGCACCCACGCCGTCATGGCCTCGCGATCCGCTTCAGGCCGCCAGGGGGGTTCAAACACCGCAATGCGCCGTATGTGCGAGGGCGGTGCTGCCAGTGCCGCTCTCAGTGTGATCAGTGCCCCTGAGCTGACGCCGAAAAGGAACTTTGCGCCCGTCACGAGGTGGATGGCTTCGACGTCTTCCACTTCTTTCTGGATCGAGTAGTCTCTGCCCGTGGGGCCGGACTTGCCACGTCCTCGCCGGTCAGGCAGATAGCAGGTGAAATTCTCCGACAGCGCCTTTGCGAGGTCCATGTGGCTGAGACCATGCTGCATCGCGCCATGGAGGATGATGATGCCCGGGCCCGTGCCGATCTGGTAGAAGGCGATCTTGGTGCCATCCCTTGAATGCGCCGTTTTCAGTTCGAACGCCATGAGTGAGTGGGATAGATGCCAGGACGTGAGACGGTCAACGAGGACGACTTATGCGTCGGTTGGCCGTCATACCTACTTAACAAGGCCGGGGAAATCTGTTTCAGATAATACCTACCCTTAAGGTTTTCCAATGGCATTGGGCCCGTGTATAGCGTGAAGCCAGGCACCAGCGAAAGCCTCTGAGTACTGCTAGGTGGACCGCGACCCGTCGGTCACACCGTCCATTTTCACTCGGTTGTACTTTAGGTGCCCATTCGTATTCGCATCGGACAAGATACGACTGGTGGCCTGTGCATCAGACATGTCGGGCCTGACGAACGGTTGGAAGACTTTTCATAGGTCGCGAGGCTTGGGACATGGTTCTCAAGTAAGAATGCCAATATTCTCCCGTCCAGCCTGGCAACGTTGGTGCCCTAAGGCAACAGTGAATATCACTCGAAGCAATAAGAATCCAAACATCTCGGTGCTTGTAAAAGAGACGAGATTGCTCCTTCGGAACTACGTTTCTCCGAGGGCATCGGTACATATATGTCTCCAAGTTGGTATCACTCACATCTTTCATCTCCAGGACGAGGTGTCGAATGATGAATGCTCAAAAGGTCTCGAACTGCCACAAGTCAGGCTCCTACTTACTGCCAGACTTCTAACGAAGAATAAGGTAGGCAGGGGCCCTTCTCCCGAGCGTGGTATTGCCTGACACTCTGTCCATTTTGTGGTTCAACTCTTGAGTTCTCAGCAATCAGCTACCACAGATGTCCCTGGTTGCACGAGGCGTGAGAGAAGAATGAATGGTCGCTCGAATGGAGACGGAGGAGGCTGAACCTCCTTTGTAAGGGCATAAGCGGCTCAAGGGGGCTCGCCCCTTGCATCCCACGGCCGAAGCCTCGTCCGAAGCTCAAATCGGTCGAACCTGAATGCGACCGAGTTAAAAGCGATACGAGCGAGCCCCAAGCTCTGGAGTGGTGAAGAGTTGTCGGAGTTACCTACCTGGGCATGGAATATGTTTCTCTCGCTGCTCCATTCCCTCTCACTCCGTCAATGGGACACAGGCAAGAAACTCACCGAGCAGTCGGCTCCAATTCTCTCCGACTGCCAGCCCCGTATTTCGACTAACCACGACTCGTATTCCCCATTGGTCCGTGGTGAGTTCGCTATACCTCAAATGTGGACTCATGACTAGTACAGCCATCTACATCTGGTCCCTGTCTTGTTGTACGAAAGATGGCCGCACGGCGTGGAGCAAAGAAGTCTATGTTCACATGTGGTTTTTGGTCCGTTGCCCAGTCTGGCAATGAGTGTCGGATATAGAGATCCAAGGTCCGAAAAGCAGGCCAAGCAGGAACCCATGGGTGAGGTTTCTATGTGCGAAGACCCTGTCACTTTAATTGGGATGAGGCAGCTGGTATGTCTATATATACGCACACCACCGGCGACGCCATGTGTAAAGTTGATTTCTGGTATTCAACACAGACAAAGAATCTCAACCCACCAACTGTTCCCCTTTTTCAGCCACCGATATCACTCTAACTTGGGACATTTCTCCCGTTGGTCTTGGTCCGGTCCTCTTTCTTGAAACGAAAGACTCCGTTGCAACGACGCTTCCGCCATGGCACAACAGCAGTACGCCAAGGACCAGCCACAAGGTTACAAGAACTATGTGGAAAACATTGCAATCGTCGGAGTACGCAGGCACCCCCCCAATGCTATCCATTCATTTCCCTTCTTGCATCACCGAGACTGACGACACCTCTCGCAAACAGGCAGGAGGCCAGGTGGGCGAATACATCGCGCGCGCGCTCCTCCAGACAGGCAAGCACCGGCTCACGGCCATCACACGCGCCGACTCGACCAGCACCGTGCCGGAGGGCATGACGGTGAAGAAGGTCAACTACGACGAGCCCTCGACGCTGGTGGATGCGCTGCGGGGCCAGGACGTGCTGATCATCACGATGGCAGTGACGGCGCCGCAGGACACGGAGACGAAGCTGATCGACGCCGCGGCGGCCGCGGGCGTGCCCTGGGTCCTCCCCAACGAGTACAGCAGCGACCCGCGCAACACGGCGCTGCAGCACGAGATCATCATCGGCGACGCCAAGGATGCCACGCGGCGGCACATCGAAGCGCGCGGCGTCAGCGCCTGGATCAGCTTCACCTGCAGCTTCTGGTACGAGTACTCGCTGGCCGCGTCGCCGGCGAGCTACGGCTTCGACTTCGCCACCAAGACCGTCACGCTCTACGACGACGGCAACACCAAGATCAACACCACCACGTGGCTGCAGTGCGGGCGCGCCGCGGCGGCGCTGCTCAGCCTGCCAATCCTGCCCCAGGACGCGTCCGACACGGGCCCCACGCTGTCCATGTTCCGCAACGACGTGCTGTACGTGTCGTCGTTCCGGGTCAGCCAGCGCGACATGCTGGCGTCGGTGCTGCGGGTGACGGGGGACCGCGAGGCGGACTGGACGATCACGCACGAGGACGTCAAGGAGCGGTACCGGGCCGGCGTGGAGGGCATGAAGTCCGGCACCGGCGGCCGCTTGGCCTTCATGCAGATGCTGTACGCCCGCGTCTTCTTCCCCAACGGCGACGGCGACTACGAGTCCAAGTACGGCCTGCACAACGACCTCCTAGGCCTGCCCAAGGAGGATCTCGATGAGGCTACCAAGAGAGCCGTCGATCTGGCAGCCAAAGGTGGGCCTTTCGCCCAGCGCCGTTAAGAAAAGTTTATGGCAGTTTTGAGTGAGTCAGGTCTGTTGGATCGACGACACAATAAACATCCACTCAGATGCATGTATCTAGCCGTATGCCAGAGTCTCAGCGAGCCCTCGTGGTATTTCGCTCCAAATCCAGAGAAACTTAACCATGGTTGATGGGCAGCCCATGTTGGAAAACTTTCATTTCTCTCGCCGCCGGGCCTATGTTCTGATGTGCCTTGTCTCTCAATCGACATCCAGGGCCCGGAAAAGAAGCATGCCCCTATCCTGCCTTCCATGCTAGTGCCAGGCACGCTCAATGTGTAGGTGAAAATCCTCCTGATGGAGAAGGGGAAACACCCCCATCCCATCCAGTATAGCATGCCGCAGCTCCATTCATCGAAAACCAAGTCTGCAGAAATGCAAGAATGCTGGCCCCGTCCTAACCCTATATCCCTGGGATCCTTGACCCTTTTTACCACTCCACCCCAAATGCCTCGCCCAACAACTCCTTGATCGTCCCGACCAGCCCCTCGGGCCCACTCCTCTCCAACGTCCCGGAGGGGACCTTGACGAAGCGCATGGGCGTGCCGTCCCCGGCCCTGCCGCGCGCTTCGACCAGCCGGCGCATCTCCTCGCCCTCTTCGTCGCTGAAGCCGCCGCCCACGATCACGCCTTCGGGCGCCGGGTGCAGCGTGTCGAGCAGCAGGGCGAAATTGTCCAGCGAGTACGTCCGCCGCGGCTCGATCTTGGTCAGGATCGCGCACCATGTGAAGTGTGGCGCCAGCTTGGTCTGCAGCTTCAACGCCATATCGCGGTGCGCCCCTAGGCAGAGGAGGCGGTGGGGCTCGGGTTTGAGGAGCGAGCAGGAGCGAGCCATGGTCGATAGATAGATAGACAGACAGATAGACGGATAGATGGATGGGTAGGAAGACGATTAGAAGGATGAAAGGAGGTTTGTGGTATGAGACTGAGACCCAGTTGGTGCAAAGAGATGCTAATTTTCTCTTTCGGGGAAAGGGAGGCAGGCAGGCAGGTAGTATTCCTTGATGGTGAATTGGATTGGACTGAGGAGTAGACTCATGGTTTTCGAAGGAGGATGGGGGAGGCTGTGTGTATTTATATGTTTTGGGAAAGCAAGCGTATAGTAAGTAGTAGTTTCATACAACAATCATCAATTGTCCCGACTGGACTCCCTTTCGTCTTCCCTGCTGAAGCATTCCATTGCGCCGTGCGTGTGACTGGGTCGAATGTGATTGGTCCACGGACAACGTCATCGTTTCCTCCAGGTTTTAAGAAATGAATCGCCGACGTCTTCACGCTGCTTCATGCGGCGATCAGGGTCAGACGCCTCGGTCTCCGAACCGGTTCCATAAACCGACTGGGACATAACATAACATAGTTCAAGGGGAGGGATACTGCGTCGTGTTGGAAATAGGTAGAGTGTCACTGACATCATCTGTTTCTCATAAGGCTTTAAAGAGTGGTCAATCAAGTCATACATCCGCTGTGGACGATCCGACGCCAGGGACTGCCTGATGGCAAGGGCACAACAACTTCGACTGGTTGACGAACATGGCCGGTGGCACGAGAATCTCTGACCTGTCCTTCAATGTGGTTGATACGGCAGAACCGACATAGCACTCACCTTCGGGGGTGTAGCCAGGCACATTGTCCTGCACTCAATGCTGTGATCTTCCGGGATGCTTGATTTCAGGGAACCCTGCAATAGCAGAATCCGGACGTTTGACATGGTGCGTATGCAAAGATTGGAGATTCAATCCAAACGAGACTTGCTGACTCGATGGTATTCCACAGAGATGGGTCAAAATCAGGGACAGCAGCACCCAGAATGGCACTTCCACGGTAGTGCCTGAAAGGTCTCAGTTGTCAGACTGAACACGGCCTCACTTACAATCAAAGCGAACTGTCTCGCAAAAACCGGCAGAGTCTCTCGATTGAATAAGTTACTCGAGCCTCTAGCAAGAGAACAAGAGAAGTGTGGGAAGACGAGGGCAGACCGCAAAAAGATCGAGGCTGTCTAGAGCAAGCAGTAGCACGCAGCACAACTCAACCCGGCTTCAGTGTCTCTTCCTTGCCCTCTCTCTCTCTCTCTCTCTCTCTCTCTCTCTCTCTCTCTCTCTCTCTCTCTCTCTCTCTATTCGTAATCACGAACAACACCGGACGACCAATCTTCTTTGAGTTCCCAGTCCACGGTTTTATGGTCATGATCCCTCACGTCAGGAAGTGTTCAACTCTTGCAACAATTCCCGCACCTCGCCCAGATCGCCCTGGCTCTTCCTCTCATTGTAGATGGCCGCGATCAGGCTGCTGTCGATGTTGGGGAACTCACGCTGGAGCTGCGCCTGGATTCGGTCGTCCTCAGTCTGCGGCGCGTTCGCCTCGTACTGCTGCATGTGCTCGACCTGTTCGGCCCGGTCGCTCTGCTGCGCCAGCAGCTGTTCCGTTTCGGAGCGATTGATCCCTTGTGCCGGTGCAGGCGCGGTTGATTGGTAGTGTTGCTGCGGTTGCTGTTGTGGATACTGCTGCTGTGGCTGGCTCTGCGAAGACCGGGACTGGTAGTAGGACTGTGCTGCGTCTCGGTTCTGTTGCGGAGGGGAGTTCTGAGAAGTATAAGGATTTCCCTGGCTCTCGGCGCTGGCCCAGGGGTTGTTATTCGACGACATCCTGCCACTGGTGCGCGACACAGGCTGTTGCCGTTGTTGCTGCTGTGGCGATGGCGTGAGAATCTGTTCGACTCTGCCCACACGGCCGTCGGTCAATTTGACCTTGATCCCTCGAGGGTGGTTGTGGCGGGTGAGCAGTTGCGAGACCGTGCCTTGCACTTGTCGTCCGGTCCTTTGGTCGGCTTTGAGGACGATGGAGACGAGTTGGCCCGGCTTCAGCTGCGACAGCTGCGTGACTGGCATAAACTGGAAGAGGATCTAATGGATGAGGGAATAAATGATGTTCGCAGTCTGGAAGACGCAGGCGGCACAGTTTCGAAGTGAGATTGAAACGCGTTTGAGGGTGGCATGTCGCCGCTTTCAACACGATGACGTATAATGCCACCTGCCAAGCAGATTATCAAAAACAGGACAGTCTGACAGAGTTAGTCTTTTACTCAATGTGAGCTTACTGGGGAAGAGGATTGTGTCAGACAGGGCCTCTTCGCCCTCTGATTAATTGGGGTCTTCAAAGCGGCGCAGGCTCTAGCTCTTCTTAGCCGAGGCTGATATATATCACCCATCTTGCTCTCTCTCCCTGCTCTGTACCATGGATCCCCGGACAAGGTGTCAGCATGGATGAGCACATCCGCGGGCAAAGGGCTCAGCCATGACAGCGCACTTATCTGAGGCTCAGGCCGTGCCGGAAGTTGACATTCTCTTCCTGGGCAGCCCCGGAGTCGGCAAAGCCACCTTCCTGTCGTAAGTACCCGCCCACCATCCTCGTCGATTTGCTCGCAGATGGCTGGGTCTTTTGCCCCCGACTTCTACTCCTACGTCCGACTTCAGTATGGAAGCTCAAACTGTGGAGCCACCCCGCGCAGACAGCTGGAACACATCCGCGACGGCAAGCTCGATCAATCAGCCCCGAGAAAGCGAGTCTTTGCCCCCGTCGGCCCAGTGACCTTCGATGTCACGTTGTTCCGGCGGCCGTACCAGTTCCGCATCCACCCCTCGACATCGTCGCTGTTCATCGACCCGTTCCCGCCGGCCCCGGCGTTCGCCATCATCGCCTTCGCCATCTCGTCCCGTGAGTCGCTGCATAATGCCCAGCATTACTGGCGCAAGCAGCTGTCCCTCCACTACCATGACGTCGAGCACGCCATTCCCGTCATGCTGCTGGGCCTGAAGCGGGATGAACGCACCGACCAGAGGGCCGAAGACGGGTCGTACGAGTGTGTTATGCCACAGGAAGGGCTGCGCGCCGCCCAGGAGATGCACTGTGATCGCTACGCAGAGTGTAGTGCCTTGACGGGCGAGTTGATGTGGGAGGTATTGGAAGACATCACCCGGACGGCTGCGAAAACTACGACTGAAAGTGGTGGGTTGAGCGGTGCCAATAGTTGTTCTGTGATGTGAAAGGGACAAAGACTGAGTTGATGCCTCCAACAAAAAAACGAACTGGCAATTCAAAGGCAATTTTATGTAGTCAAGAATGTGTTGTAATCTACCCTTTTGGCAGATTGATATGCTGCTTCCGACCCGCAACGCCATGCAAAGATCCAATCGAACGTAGGAACCAAGCCCGCCTCGTTAACGGAATCCTCAAAGGACAGCCGTAGATATCGTCCCCTGTGCCCTTCGACGGCTGTATGTCCCGTCTTCTCCCATCTGTAGGGAAATTCTTAAAATAATGCCTCTAAACAGCAACAGCACGCCAACCCGGCCAATATTCCTGTGCAGATACCTGGCCCATCGCCGCTTCGATCCCTCTGATATATGACCGGCTGCGGCTGACCGTTCCAGCCCGGAGGCGGTGGCCCGTATCCAGGGCCGCCATAGTAGCCCTGCGGCGGCGGCGGCCCACCGTAGTAACCCTGGTTCATGCCGCGGCTGGCATCGTACTGTTGCTGGTAGTTAGGGTCGTAGGCCATTTGGGGAGGAGGGGACTGGAAGCCTGTCTGGCTGTGGTTGGGGTACTGCGCGGGTGGAGGGTATTGAGGAGGCTCATATTTGTCGGCCATGGCGGAGTTCGGGCTCTTTTTGATGTCGGTGATTCGAGGTGCTGGTCCCTCGCGAGCTCGCAGAAAAGTTCGGGAGATGGGTTTAATCAATGTCGATCTGGACTTTGTTGCTTCTGGTGTTTATCGAGCAAGACGCTGAGCTTGTTCTCGGGCGATGGTTCGGCGCTGAATTTCGCTGGAACCCTGTGCGACAGGCTCCTCTTTCTATTGCCGTAAGAGAGACGAATGGGACACGAATTTGTTGCTTGGTGATGAAGAGAACAGTGAGAAGAGAAGATAACAACCACCGATCAAGTGAAGTGATAAGGAAGACTACTCTACCACGAACCAAACCTAAGTCATTCAGCGCATTGCCTCGGACTGTGAGACGCGGGAAGCAACCGTTGCGAATTGCGACACGTAATAGCGAGTCTTGGGACCCTCGGGGGTGACTTGGCTCAGCCACTGCAACTCTGTCTCCCATTGTTCTTGCTCTTCCTTCCTCTTGTGGGCATACTTGATCAGATACAGAGTGACAGAGGGAAAAGTATAGCAGGTTGGACAGCTGAACACAAAGAACGATGCGAATGTAACTCAGTATAAGGTATGAGTCGCTGTGGGAAGGAAGTTGCTCATGTATCGATCTGTGGCTTCGAGGCATCACTAGTCGAGACACAAGACCCGGCTAGACCTAGTTCAGCCAATGCTTGCGACAGAGTTTGAGGCGCAGTTCATGAACCAGATGTGGCGTCAATTTTATGGTTCCTCAGCACATTGGTGACACGTCAACAACATCTGTGGATGTCGGTGGTACCGGTGGTGTTTGATGGTGTGGCTGACCGACGACGTTGCTCAGCTCAGCCGGAACAGTGCCTGGTGTGCTGAGGCTGAGGCGAGAAATACAACAACACTGGTGACATGTCTGACTTCCATGACGGCATCATCTCAAGCAGCACACTTGGAAGTGGTATAAATGGCTCTTTCCGAGAAGCATTGATGCCTGGTTGCAATCTTGTCAAGATCTGTGGGCGTCGCCATCAGTCCACAGACAGAGTGTAAAATGGGATCCGCAAGATCCCCATGCACCCAGAAAAGAAACCAAGTGATCGATCGACAAGGCTGCAACCAGTAAGGGCAACGGGGTATAGACCATGTCTGGCGAGCTGGTTCGCATCTTGCCAACGAGGCTGACTTTGCTCTCATCCTAGCCTGGAGCATGTCTCGACCTCCACACGCACACACTGCGACACTCCGTTGTTTCTGAGCGTTCTATCAGGCTGCAACTCACTCACGTCCCCATTGCCTGAATTGTTAATCCAAAGACTCTGGGCCTCACTCTCTTGACTCTGAGGCCAGCGTGAGCAGCAGGAAAGTTGGGTCCCGTTGGAATTGCGCGCCAACACAGTGAGAAGACTTCGACGCATTGCCTTTTGACGAATGCTCCGAAGTTACCTATTCTTCTTCTTCTCCTTCTCTTCCGCCATCCAGTCTCCAGCCAGAGTGAAACACATACCTTATACATGGAGCGGCTCGACCTGTGTTCTCCATATACACCAACTGAGCACTCTCACTCCCTCGGAGCCTCGTCTGGCTTACCTTTCTGTAGCAACATTACAACTACTGGCAAGACTGCGTCTAGAGAGACTTGAGTCAGGTGATGCTCGGCGTAATCTTCCGACTTCCTATCTAATCCTCCCTCGATGACGACTGTCCGAGAGATGATTGCATACCAATGTTTCCTATCAACCACTCTGAGGTGGGTACTGAACAACATCAACAAAGCACGGGCCGCAGACTCGGCGACTGATGCACCGGCGAGAGCCTGGGCTTTCGCAGAGCAGTCATGGGAGACAGCGCGTCGCCGAGCAAGGCGGCCGAAGCAGGAAGGACTGTTCCTGACTGGATGAATGGCCATGCAGGCCCCAAGCGGGAATCACCACCCATCCTTCCAGACAAACCCCCCATTCCTGGTTTTGTATGCGGCATTTTTGCCATGTGCCAGCCAACCAGTTGGATGAGGCTTTGCTTGGTGGCTCGACAGAGGGTTGGGCTTCGGCCTTAGCAACTTGATGCCTGACTGGTGTCGTGGGGAAGGTGTTGACATGTTGCCAATCGCGGCGCGGTCGTATTTCCAAGCATCCAGACCACGTTGGCAAAGAGTCTGTCTGCTGTTCCGCTGCTCCGGAAGTTCATCCGAGCAGAAAGGAACCATTTACCATCCGCACCCTGGTTGGATGGAGAACTTCCTTCGCTGGATGGATGATGACTGGATTCAGGTCCGGTAACATGCCAACAACCTTTGGCAGCACACATTCACACCCTTCTTTGCCAGCCACCAGGAATGGGACCTGGCTATACGTGGATTGACCTTTAACTCGTCTCCAGCCAATCGCAGATATGCTGACATTGATAACCGGAGCTTGGTTTTCAAATGACAGATAACACAAAGGAAGAGACCAATACAGCGGCCACATGATTATTGACCGGTATCGTTCTCCGGGCAGCTGAATACTTCAATTTGGCACCTGCGAAGTCGTCCACAACTGCTGAACTTGCCCGACTATGTGACAGAAGTTGGAGCGGCTGCCTACTCGTCGAGCACCTCTCAGGTAACTGGATAGAGAAGCGCCGAGATGCCAACCTGATCTTCCCAATGCGGCCATTGATCAGACTGATCCGTGCCTCCACCCCTCGACATAGGTAAATATGGATTGCCGCTCTAGAGATGGACACTGTCATTAGAAGACTACATGTCTGACACGGGCCGCAAAGAAGTGAATGAGAGATCGAACGGGTCGTCAAGCAGAGGCTGGATAGAGAGTCGTTCGTAGCGCGGCTCGCTTCGGAAGAGTATCGTTCACAATTGGACGAAAGCCAAATCCAAAAAAGACTTACCAGAGTCCATGGAGATGTTCGAGAAACTGGACTTTTCCAGCATAGGAAGCTCGGTTTGGAGGACATGTTCTGGTAAAAAGCCACTGGCTGAATAATGGCCCGTTCTGGCGCATGACTCGAGCATGTGTGGTGGCGGTGTTCACCAACATGGCCCCAACTCATAGCCACTGGTCGTGCATTGCCTTTGCGGCTTTCTGTCAGTCATGTCGGGTACGCCAGGACATCAGTGTCCCTCCTAGGAACACTCCCCCTTCTGGAACAGGCGGTCGGGCTTCTCGTTTCGCTGCTGACTTCAGCGGCAGATTGCATTCAGATGGTCAGCATTTGAGCAGTAGGTACATCATGACTTCGGCAACCCTTCCTGAGGGAACCGACTCGCCCCAGTTTTTTCCTGGGTTGAAACACCATGGGATCGATCACCTTGATGTGCAACCTTTTGGCGTCCCACATGCACGAGCTGACGTAGAGCTGAGTATCGTCAGAAATATCCCCATTCTCGATGTGATTGGCCGTCAGGTCCATCAGTGACACAATGCCCAACCCGTCGAGACGGGATTAGGGGACAGGGACCTCGTGTCGAGAGTGTCATTGGAAGGGCTATTGAGCCCTCGTGGGCGGTGATCAATCAGGGTTGAAGCAGAAAAGGTCCTTTGTCTCCGCTGTTGCCCCTCTCTGCTCCCTTTGATCCAATGATCATATGCATGGGTTGCTGCAGGAGTCGTTCTTTGGGTATTCAAGAGCATCCATGCAGTTAAGCCAGGACTGGAAACAACGCTTGTGTGTGCCACAGACTACGCCTGGCATGCCGGCACGGTGCCTGTCCTTGTGCTCAAAGTTCCATAGGTCGATCGCTGGAGGGCAGCAAGCGTCCAAGCTCCTGCATAAGATCGTTCTTAATGGAGGGACACATCGGATTCTGATGGGTGGTTTTATTCTTAGCGGTAGTTCAGCGCGTGCCCAGAGTGGAGGGGCTATTTCTCCGAAATATTTGGGTTAGACTTATTTCCAGATGGTCTGTTTCGCCCTCGCAACGGACCTGGGCATCCTTTCTCCAGGTGGTGGGTAGACGGGACCCCAAAGTTGGAGTACCCGAAATCCTGTTCGGCGATTCGTAGAGGTAGGGACGGCCAAGGTTCATCTGGATTGTAGATGCAGGTGAAGCTGCCGTCCACCTTGCAGTAGTGGGTGGCAAATATCTGAGAGTTTTTTCATCTGGCCAACCGTGAGGTGGCAGGTGGATGGGCATGCTGCGAAAGAAAGTCAGCAAAGATGGACAGAGCGGGGCAAGGAGAAGGAATAAGGCAGCCAATGCATCCTGGCAGAGCCGAGAGGCTGACGCATGCGCTGTCAAGCTCGAAGGCTGGAACAGAAGGGGCTTGCATTAGTGACCACCCCAGCGGCACGGTCGGGGCGAAAGCTGCCTCGCAGGCTGGGTTCAGTTGGGTTGCATGGCAAGGGACAATGTCGTCAGGAATGGAAGCCGCGGGAGAGGGCGGCCACAAGCCACTCCCAGCTGAATGGTTGGTGGGAGATATCGACACTGATCGGACGGGTCGATGGATGGGATAGAGGTTAGACAGAGATGGGGGGCAAATGTTGGGCGATGTGAAGGAGAACAACTTCCCCTTCTTTGCCACCTCCCAACTACACAGCATCGGGAAAGGTCACCACCGACCACGTGCGCCACGTCACGTGACTACCAAACGTGGCGACAGCGAGGTCGAGCTGAACTGAAAAGACCGCGAGATTTGGTTGCGAACAATTGGGTAAATCTCCAAATGGCGCCAGTAGGAAACCATCCACTTCAATATTTGTTCTTAGCAGGTTCAAGCTATTTACAGTAACCATTCAAGCCGGGGCCGTGGACACGAGAATGCGAAAGGAAGCCCGTGTTGTTCATTCGAAAATGGACAGAACGCGAAACATAGTTTGTGAAATCCTCGGATTCAGGTGGCCACAGCCGGCTTGAACAGTCGTCCTAGGGTATGATCCTTCGGGTAGGAGTTGCAAAAGCAATCCTTCTGGAACAATAACAATGACAAAAAAACCTCCCCAATATCCCAACATGTCGTCTCGCGCCAGCACTTGGTTTGAGAGACAGCGACTCTTGCAAAGGCGCCTTTCCTCCTGGGTTTTCTCTTATCCGATGACTCTCAACGCTAAACATTCTCCGACACACACGCGCGCGCACACACACAATGGAAAAAATCCGCGGTCTAGGAGAGACGCCGACAATATGCGCTTGACCTTCTTCTGTAAAATTGCATCGCCTCGTGGCTTTTTCCTGAAAAATCCAGTCCAATCCGGTAAAACAGTTTTTTGTTGTAAAAGTAGTAATCGTAAATCGACCACCTGGGTATCCAAAGGGGGTATGAAAACACCAATCGTAACACCGTTAACTCGTTACAGCATCGACCAGGTTGCTGCGCAACGTATGTAAAACATTTTGGTGAAATTAAAAGGCGGCAACCGAGGGAACAAAATTCGGTTGCGGGTAGAAAGGCTTTTCGTGCTCGTTCAGCGGAATAACGTTGCCATAAAAGTTGAAGACAGGTGGTTGTATACGTTGGCCAGCATCATGGAACGGAGCCTCGGATTCGTATCCAGAATCCGTGGAAAGGGAAGAACAAGACGAACTCTGCTTGGAGGCAGGTTCAAACAAGGACCACTCCGAGGGTTGAGGTTGGAAATGTTGTTGCGGAGACGGGGAGGCGGGTGGCGAGGGTGGGAGAGCCATGTTGGCGCAATCCATCGGATCCACGTAGTCGTAGGGAGACGCGGGAGGCGACGGGGGAAGAGTGTTGTACGAGTTGGCCGTCAACCTCGGGCAGTTGAGGATCAATTCGCGGAGCTCTTGGAGGGTAATCCTCTTGTGTGGGTCACACTCGAAGATGCGTCTCAAGATCATGTTCAGCTCGGGGGAGATGGGCAAGATCGAGCTGAGGAACTTGGGGTCCTTTAAGAAGGCACGGAACGTGGAATCATCCGGGGATGCCTTCTTCCAGGGATTGCGACCACAGGTCAAGTTCACGAGGATAACGCCAAGGCTCCAGACGTCGTTGGGTGCAGCGGCATAGCGGGCATACGGCCGTGTTGGCGCTTGTTGACATTCTGCGAGCATCAGTATCCTGTCTTCTGATTGCCGGAGGGTAGCATTGGACATACCTGGGGACATATAGAACGTGGACCCACATCCGAAGTCCGACGTGATGGAATCCGTGGTGGCAAGCCCAAAGTCGGCGAGTTTGACGGTGTGGCCGTTGTTGGTCACCAAGATGTTCTCAGGCTTGAGGTCCCTGTGGTAGATCCCGATGGAATGGCAGTACTGAACGGCATCCAAAATTTGCAAGAAAGCATGCTTGGCCAGCTGGTCGTCGCCCACAAATCGGCCATGTTCGGTGATGTTGGAGAACAGGTCGCCTTCGGGGCAGAACTCAATCACCACAAACGTGCAGTCCGGGCTCTCCAAGATGCGAAGCAGGGACACAACATTGGGATGTTGGCTGGCTTGGTGGTGCAGGGCAATCTCGCGCCGTTGGAAACGTCGTTGTCTGGGATCCAATCCAACTTTGGGGAGGGCCTTCACGGCATAGGGGATGTTTGTGAGTCTGTCGATGGCCTGGTAGACCACTCCATAAGCGCCAATTCCTAGGATAGAGACCAGTTCGAGTCGTCCGGCTAAAACACACCCCAATCGGTCCTCTGGTGCAAGGCAAGTCGCGAGTTGAGGGGACGATGGTGGCGTCAATAGCATTATTGGGAGAGCCCAAAAGTAACGGAGTACTTGGTCAAGGAAAAGGGAGGAGTCGAACAAGACCAAAAAGAACAGTTCAAAACATGGGTCCAGAAGAGTTCCAGAGACGTGTTTTGAAACGAAGAGAAAAGTGGCCAGTCCCTGGAGTACGGAGTCTGTGTAGGTCCAATGGATTATGGTGTTGGTGGTCGGCTTGGATGTCGAGCAGTAAAGGAAAGACCAGAAGGTGTATGAGGATACAAAGTGGTACAGCAGAGAGCAGATGTAGAGATATGGAAGAAGAGGGAGAGAGGTCCAAGGCGGGATGTTGGATGGTTTTGTGGTTGGTGGTGGTGTTGAACGCGAGTAGGTGTATCAAGGTATAGAGGCAATATTATGTCCTTTTAGGTATGACGGACGTTGTACTCGAAGAGAGCCCATTGCGAGCATGGCGAACATGGCAAGCGTCGACGCACGGACCGTCTACACTCATGCCACCCATGTCGGTGGGGCAAAAACGCCGTCAGAACCTGGTCATAAGATGCTGCGAATAGAACGCCAGGAAGGGAGAGGACCCACATCGATGCGTCAAAGTTCGCAAACCCTGGACTCGTAGTCTGACGCTGGGAACGCTGGATGACGAGCTTGCCGTGAGCAGTTTTGGTTTAGGCCAGAGGAAGCAAGACGAGGCGGGCACCTTCTGGCAGGAGACACGGGCAGAAGTGGGTTGCAGGCTCTTGAGTTGGTGGAAAAGTGGGCGATGAGCGGATCACCAAGTGGCTGGGCGCATTTCTTGTCACCACCGACCATAGATCAGCGTTCCTTGCGAGACCGAACGCCAGCGCTAGCATATCGACCAGTAGCTGCTCGCCCTGACGGGAACAGCCCAGCATCCCAATCACCAACTCTCCCATTTTTTGGTGTGCCTGCAGGGTTGGGTGCCCACCACCTTGAGGAGAAGGCGAAATTCGACATGGTCATGCCGGAGGCACAGTTGTTTTGGGCTGCTGGGCTGGCAAAGTCCTTGGGTTGCCATTTCCCAAATTCGCCGCCCGCCTTATTCCGGGTGTTGACATGTCTGTAATTGGCACCAATGGCTTCGGCTGAGAAATTTCAGTTGTGACGCCACGACCAGACGCAGAATCCCCATAGCCGTCTGCTGTGTCTGCTGCATCTGGACAAGCCCTGGTGGTCAAACCGGTCTCTGGCCAGTGTTGGAGTGCTTGACACCATTGGAGGGGCCGCGGGCCATGGCGATTGGATCCTCCTGGCGCCAGCACAGACGGCATCGGACATGAGACGAGCAACCATGAAAAAATTTGATCGCCCATCGGCAGGTCGGGGAGTGGCCTGGTCGGTAAGATGCTGGGAGCGTGTTGCTTTTTGCGCCTCGCGCCTGGAAGATGTGGAAGGGCTAGTCCTGGCCTGGGCACACAGCCATCGCCATTCGCTCGTGTTTCAGGCAAGGGGGGCCCCTGGGTGCCAGATGGCGGGTTCAGTAGTAGGAAAATGTCAGGGCACAGGCATACGACTGCGGCGTGGTCGGTCTGCAAAGTACGCAGGTCACCATGCTGGACACTGGCCCTGCCTCCCCAGCACTAACCGACTTCTGACGGTCCGAACTTGCTCGACTGCAATCCCTTGCTCCCAATCACTTTGAATATCCAATCAGCAAGGGCCTGCCAGAGCCCACCCCAGCGCGAAGGGGTTGTGTTGGAATAGTGGCAGAAGCATCATGCAATGCTCTTCCCTCATTCCTGCCCAATTGCCCCAAGACCATTCTGAGATTTGCAACTCATCCGGGCGGCGGAGACACCCTGCTTGGGGTCTGTCTGTCGCCTACTCCGGACAACAAGGCTCTCTCATGATGGAGATTACTATCTCTGGCGAGGGCCGCATGCTGGTCAGCGCTACGTAGGCTGTCTTCACCAGCATACTTTCGTAACTTTGGAGCCCACTATTCTCCTTCGCCCTTGAGGGTTTACCTGCACACTCTTCCCATCAGATAGGGGGATCCCTACCTGCAAGACAATGGCGGGAGTCAGTCCTCAGCCACCAACTCTGAGTAAAAGAGAGTTGTAGCGTGGTGAGACTGTCGAGATCGAGAGCACGGGAACGCCCTGGCTCAACACCCAGCCAGAGCTAAGTCTTGGGTGTGCGGGCTGAAAATAATGTGCCTCTAGCAGAGAGTCCAGGCTCCCAGTAGTGGCCCCTTCGCACCAGAACCAAATTTGCCTCTGCGCCTTGGGTCACGCTGCAGTGCCAGCCTCGGCGGAATTGTCGGCAGCCGACTGTGGTGTGGCTTGCGACTTATTGTTATCTGACACCTTGTGATTCGCCGCGTCTTGCTAGTGTTGAGGCAGGCCCAAGTGTCTCCTACACCATTCTAAAATGGCAGAGGGGGATAAGTGATCCGCAACACAATTTACAGATGGGTGATTGTGAATGGGGGGGAAGGTCCGCTTTCAACGGGTCCATGTGACCATCAGTCTCCTCTTTCTAAAGAATGAACATGGAAGATCAGGAGCAGAGCAGATAACCAATAGCGCAGATGGTCAATAGACCGCCGGACTCCACTTTGAGCCTTACCGAAATTGTTCGAGAGCGTAGGGTGTGGAACGCTTGCCCAGAGGCCCGTTCGCGTGTCTCAGGATCGCCATTGATAACCGTCTTTCCCAGTTCTTGTTCGCATGGATTTTGGGCTGTCAAACTTCGACCAGCCCACAGGCGAGGGGTCCTAGCTTTTGCGCCTGAGGCATTGATTGACCAGGATAGGGTTTGGAGCGAACGCTGACTGGTGGTGATACGAGCTCTGCGTCGACTGTGTCAAACAATCTCTTAGTCCCTGGTGACACAAGATTACGTAGGAGAATACATGGTGTACGTCGGCAAGCGCCCCTTTGTGAGGCAGCAGTCCCCCCTCCTTTGCGTTGGGTGAGGGAGTTCGTGCTGACTGGTTTGACAGATTCCGAGCCATGCTGCCTGACGAGTCACCGTTGAGGAGGAGCTGCGCTAGGGCCACGGCAGTGACAGCTTGAGTGACATGGAGGAAGAGCATGTGTCGTGGTTGCGTGCCCCCTTCGACAGAGGTGATCACGAGGTTGCTAGACCCAGTTTGGACGTGGCGATGTCCGAGTCTGGTACCGCTCCCGCGTAGTCTTCCATGTCTGCTGGATACGTTTTACGTGACAAGATGCTACAGTGCTGAGGTTGCTTCATGCAAAGTGGCGAGAAAGAGGAGTGCGCCAATGTGGGCGATGCTCCTCCGTAGATTTTTCCTCGGCTGCTTGCATGTCTCACCGTAGTCCGTACTGTCACGTTACTGGTACTGCCAAGGACGGACCGACGCCGGCCACTCCCGATTATTGTCCCCATCGGATTATTATTGTTCTTTACCGACATTGTTGCCTTCATAGTCCGATCACGATACTTCCCCATGCTCGATAGAAACTCCGTTACCCTGCAACTCTATGTGGCGAGAGGTCTAAATCGAGGCATCCCCTGTTTTGTGACCCAGCATGATCGTCGTCGCCGCCTTGCCTGTGGCATCTGCCGGTGATGGATCGAAGTGTCCAGAAAGGTGCTCAGCATTGTGCTGAAAGAAGAGATTTACCGGCATATTCGTCGATCACCCTTTACCCTTGACAAGGTTGAAGTCAATCCCTCCCCCCCCGCCGTATACAGATTTTGCCACCTTGTTGGCAAACACACGAGGACGAGAAGTCGAGACCTCAAGAGGCCCTCAGCCACCTGTTCTCCCCGAAAAGCCCTGCATTGGCAACATTGGCTTCTCAACAAATTCGAATTTTGCCTTTCCCCGCTGACAGCATTCACCATGGAGAAAGTCGTCTCGAGACGAACGTAGTTTGCCGTTTAGCCTTTTTAAGGCATTACATCTGGTGACGTCTCACGTTACAGGCCCCTTGAGGCCCCAGAATGACCCTTTCCGGGCGAGTGTCAACATTGGCCTCATAGTGCTTGCTTGCGCAAATGTTTTCTTCAGGCCCCTGGGTCGGATGCGCCCGTAAGATCGACGGTCCCGACCAACTCCTCAAGGGAGGACCTCCGCGAAGGACCGGACAAGTCCATTTTCGCAAGTATTGCCACTCAGTTGGGGAAGTCGCATCTCTGATTCCATAACCGCAACGGAAGCGCTGGCGCTGAAGTTCGGGTGGGTGGTATGAGTTCCATTTGGGAGTCAATAACTCAATTGTTTCAAACCACAGTGATGAGACTCCTGTTGAGGCACTGTGGGACCGCAGGAAATGTTACCACCTGTCTCCTACATGAAGAGTTTGAAGTGGAAGGACGAGTCGTCTCGCAGGTTCTGACCTAAAACAGATTCGCCCGGGTGTCATTCACCGGAGTCAACACGAATCCTGACACCACAAGTCGCTCAAGAGTCCCGTCGTCCACATCCACGACACGAATGTCTCCTGACGTTCACCACTGTCGACTGCATGGTTCCTTCTATCTCCCCTTCGAGTGCGAGGTGCCAAGGCGCTGTAACTCGAGATGACTTGCCTTTCTCTTCCTTGGGCTATGAATGTGTGTAAGGCAGCGGAATACCTGAGCCAGAAAATACGAAACTCTGCTGTCATCTCAATTTAGATTGTGCATCTGCTTAATAGAACAAACACTTTTGCATTCAGGGTGGAAGGAAAAACGGCGCGTGCGAGCTGTTGTCGGTTGTTACATTCTGAACCGTGCATCCTCGCGGCATCATGAGCGTCCCATCCAAAGCTGCTTTCAACCAGTCAAGTGCCCGTGCATCTCCATTTGTCTCCTCGTCGAGATGGTTCCCTACCAGGTTCCTCTGGTACAAGATATTCGCGCCACCCTCGCAGTATCTTGCCACGAGAGTGTCTGTATCGCCAACATGACTGTACTCGTCGTGCGTTGCCTTGTAGATGAACATTGGCATCTGCGGCACGCCGTGGTAGCCCATCAGCCCGTCGACATCGAAGACTCTCTGAATGATAGGCTGCTGGAGAAAAGAAGTGCCGTTGACGAAGTATTGATTAAGGATACTCTCATTCATGAAGGCAACTGTCGCCTCGAAATACGACATGTTTTGAACTGCCAAAAACCCAGTTGCGTTGTAAGGCCCCGAGGTTTTAAGGCTGCTGAGCAAGTACTGGTATGCCTCAGGATACTGCTTCATCACGCCGATGATGAACGAAGGGATCAATCCCGCTGCTGGCGTTCCATCGATGGTGTGTAGAATGCTTGTGCCATTCGGCACCAGACCACCAAGTGCGACTCCACTGAAGTTGAGTTCTGGAGCATATTGGACTTGAAGTTCTGCAGCCCATTCACTTGCAATTGATCCTCCCGAGTAACCCCACATCGCATATCGTGCATTGGGGGAGAGACCAAATCCTGCAGACAAGGCGGCTCGGACTGAGTCCAGCGTGGCATGGCCCTCTGAGACTCCCGATCCAAACGAAGCCGAAGGTCCTTCGAAATCAGGTACATTGACGAACCAGCCATGGTTGAGTGCGGAGTTGATATCCGAGAGAATTAGACCCGTGGCTAACCCAGACCCAAGCACATAGCTAGGACTATAGTCAACATCCGCGGTGTTGTAGGGAATTTGGTAAGACAAGAGGCCGCTGGCGCCAGAGCTGTTGGAGGAATTGGAAGGCACGAACAAGGTTGTCACTGCCCATGCTGGTTGATATTGTGCATCGGTGGTGCGATAGAGGATATTGTAAACTGATGAACTGGCATTGTAGATGGAGGTCAGATTGCCCGTTGCCGCGCGTAGACGTAAAATGGTCCCCGGTACAGAAGACTCAAAGCCAATAGGAGGAGTGTAGAATGCATCTTGTGTAGGAAGCAATGGAGACGAGGCGACCGGACCGCTGCGAGCGGCAATCATAGATGATGTTGTTGGGAGGGATGTTGAAAGACTGATCACCAAACCAGAACAGAGTAAACCATGTAAGGAACGCATGATCGAATCTCTGCCAATTGATTTTCCACCGCTGGATTACTTCCATTTCATAGCAAAACTCACCCTTTATATACGCATTGGCTTCTCACACAGCGGAGGGATCTGATATCTCCATTGTGCAACCATGACCGGACAAGGCAACTCTGGAATGGTCCGAAGCATTGTTCAGCCTCCACCCCGCAATACACAACGGGCACGGCGATATAGACAACCCGAAGCTGTCGTGCTGCCTCGGTGACTGAGTTGTCCAAATTGCACGTTGTATCTCCGGGCTGGCCGTTTGCGTCGACTCAGCTGTATTTGGTTAGAGATCGTAGTAGAGACTAACCTTGACTCGTATAGAAGTTCTCATCCTAACCAACTTTCGTATTTCTTCATGAGACTTGATAGAACGAAGTTCGTCACTCATTTAAACGTCTCCAAAGAGGGGGAGTACGGTCACCACCACAGCGCTTGGATGTATATGGCAGACCTGATTCCGATGGCACCGCCAACACCAGAAAAGTTAATGAATCACCTGAAGAGCTTTCCCCGTCAAGCGAAGCGCCAGACATGACGTTGGCGGTCTGAGGCACTATTGGCAAGCTTGGTTCAGGTATATGGCATATAATGATGTTGTAAGGTATCGAGTACGGCCGTTGAAAGTTCGTATTTGATGTGAAACGTCCTGAAGAACATCCATCATACAGAGCAAGTATCTTTTGACTGCCGAGACTGCGACTTTGGGGACCACGGAACGGAATAACATCCTAGCGACATAGCCAATGAGGGGTCTGCAGGCCCAGGAGCCATTTACCTAATCTCTGACTAATTGATCAAGCTAGTCCCAATTCGAAGCTTTATCTCACCGAATCCGACGACGCCACTTCGAACAAGCTCTGATGCTTAGATCCAGGACACCTTCCGAACTGATCTCTTAGCGGCCACCGAGGAAGAGCAATCGACCCTGCGCAATTCCATGAACGCGAGCCAGCGTGTCCTCTACGTTTGCACGTCTGCCATTGTTATCTCGGCGACGTTTCAATACGTCAGGTTCGTTGCTGTGGCACTTAGACGACGTCGGTGAGATCAAGGCTCGGCCTGGCATAAGGCAGCTTGCTTGACGAATTTGCGCGACAGCCACACAAAGGTGCAATCGTAGCAGAGCTCAACCTCGAGCGACTGACATTTTCTGTCAAGATACCCGCACCATGACTCGTCGCAAGCCAGCGCCTTCGACCTCTCAGCCCTTTGCTGATCCCAGTTCATCACAGCCCAGCAGCCATGCAATCAATTGTCTCTCCAGAGGTACAGATGCAGGTCTCTCAGACCTCCCATCGCGCTCTAAATCCAGCCACGCTTCCATATCGCCGTCACTTTCAGTCGACGTCCATAACATGACGTCCGGGACCACACGATTAATCAACACCTCACTGCTGATTCCAGGTCGTGGCAAGCCCCAGCACAACATGTCTGTCATCCTCCAAGATGGGAAAATAACGGCGATCCAGCCCACGGCGTCCGTGCCACCACCATTTAAAAACCTCCCAACCACGACTGTCCCGGTACTGATGCCCGGGCTGTGGGACTGTCACATCCACCTGCTGGGCAGCAAAACGTTCAACTTCTCTGAGATCGCGACCCAGTCGACGGCACTGGCTGGCGCCAGAATCGCCCGGAATGTACACGACATCCTGATGAGCGGGTTCACCTCGGTGCGCGAACTGGCCGGCTATGGTCTCGAAGTCTCCAAGGCGATTGAAGAAGGCACGCTCGTTGGGCCGAACATATACTCTTCGGGCGCCGCCATATCCCAGACGGCAGGCCATGGGGACGTTTTCGATCTGCCCTGGGGATTCGTCACCTCTCTCTTCGGGGTGAGGGACACTCAGGCGAACGGGCTCGCCGCGGGTACCGGACCGATGATTATCGCTGACGGGGTGGACGAGTGTCGACGTGCGGTGCGCCTCCTGGTCCGACGAGGGGCCAAGTGTATCAAGGTGTTTGCGAGCGGGGGCGTGCTGAGCATCGCGGACGATCCTCTGCGTCAACAGTTCTCGCTCGATGAATTGAAAGTGATCGTGGAAGAGGCCCAGCGTGCCGGTCGTGTCGTGGGCGCGCACTGCCATGGCAAGGACGGAATCATGGCCGCGTTACACGCGGGTGTGCACAGCATCGAACACGGGACGTACATGGACGAGGAATGCATCGAGCTCATGAAGAAGCAAGGCACCGTGTACGTGCCGACGCGGACGATTGTGAAAGTCGGCGTGGATCATCCGGAGCTCATGTCGCCAGAGTCGTACCGGAAGATGCTAGAGACAGCGCGCTACCACCGCGCGGCGTACCGCTTAGCCGTGAAGTCCGGCGTCAAGATCGCGCTGGGTACCGATTTGGGCATCAGCACGCCCGCGACTCACCCGCTGGCGCACGGCCAAAGTGGCGGTGAACTCGCCTATGCGGTCAGCGACGGCGGCATGGAGCCCCTGGAGGCCATTGAAGCCGCCACAGCCATGGGGCCTGAGGTGCTCGGGGACCTGGGCATGGCGCCCAAGAGCGGCAGGATCGAAGTCGGGTACGATGCCGACCTGATCGCCTTGAGCGCGAACCCTTTGAAAGATATGGACTTGTTCAAAGAGCCCAAGAATATCACGCACGTGTGGAAGGGCGGGCGGCTGTTCAAGAGTCCCTAGGGTGTCTGAAAAAGAAAGGAAAACCAGAGAGCAGGTCGTCCCATATCCATCATGAAATCGCCGGAAAAGTTTGATAGTTCGATCACATGAGGCGGCGTCAAAATCTATTCCTCTTCTTTCTGTCTGTTCGTCTGTCTGTCTACTATCTGCCTCCGTTGAATCAGCGCTCCACCAGAACCCAGCCTCGGCGAGCCTTTTGTGATGCCTAATCTTTACAGTCCTCTCGCCTTCTACGCCGGACCTACCAAGATCGAAGGGGAGCACCAACACAGAGCACGAGACCGCTTCTAGGGCACCCTGGAGGATCACAAGATCTACAAAGTCGGCCACACGAGCCTTGTCCGGAGCGTTGTGCGTTTCTATCACGGTGGGAAGATCTTAAAAAAGGTGGAGAGAAGGAAATGGACTCGGTCGATCATGGGCATGCTCATCGAAGGCCTGACCTGTGCTCCATGCATGACGTTTCATGGTGAGCGAGACACCAAATGTGACAAGATAACCGAGACAAAACAGGAGAGCCTCACCCTGAAACAGACTCCTCCCCCCCTCTCTTGACACCCTCGACTCGGGCGGATATGGAACATGGAGTTGGCTCCATCTTTACCCACGTGCCGATGGGCCTCACAACTGAGACGTCTGAGAGCAAACAAGGGGTTGATCGACGGGTTGCCATTACAACTATCGTCTTTCTGGAGATAGAGGGTGTGTTCCGCGTCACCTCGTCGTTGTTGTTGGGCATCTCCCTCCATGACAGATGCGAACCCCGAATAGGGAGAAAAGGCAAGAGTAAGTTCGATCACGTCTCTGTTCCTCGTTGACCTGCCCGTCTAGAGCTCATCCCAAGCTCCCCGAGACCGTTAAGTAGTCCTTGTTGAGGCGTGCATATTTGGAGTCGTTTCCCCCGGGGCATGTTCCCTACTGCATTGATCCCCAGTCCGTCATCACGGTAATTGGTCGTCGCAGTCATCATCCCCTTTTTGAGCTTTCCAGAAGAACCACCCGAAGAGGATACCGAATTTCAAGCCAGCAGCAAGCCACAGCGCCCCTGCCATTCCGGCTGATGATTTGTACATCTCGCCGCCAATGACGCCGCCGAGGAAAAGTGCCACGATGCACGCAGCTCGTCGCTGTTGCTTTCTTTCGCTGACGGCGAAGAACTCCCAGAGGCTGGAGCTCTTCCTCCATGAGTCGCGGATGGTGTACAGGTCGGCGCAGACGTCGTGGTACAGGGCACTCAGGACGATTGTCGGCAGTTCAACCACGGAGAGCAGTCTCGAGAGAGTGACTTGCCCCGCAGCCTGGAAGGAGATCAGTGCAATCGGGCACAGATCCAGAAAGTTGATGGTGGACGGCGGGATCTCGTCGTTGCCCGAAGAAAAGGTGCCCGCGACGAATGGTTGGTTCGACACCTCGTTTGTGGACACGAGGCTTGCAGCAACGACGACGAGGACGGTCTGAACGAAGAAGGACACGATGAGGCTGACCCGTGTGCGAGACCGCCGTTGTTGGCCAGGCCCCTGGGGATAGCGGTGCAAGGCACTGAAGAATAGCGCACCCAGGCAGAAGGCCCCGATGGAGGTCAGAGACTTGTAGTATTGCTGCTTGTGGCTGGCTTTCGGCTGACCACCCAGACCCAGGGCGGCGAAGACGGTGTTGCCTGGGGAGAGACGTCAATGATGCCCGACTGAGCGATCGTTCGAGGTGAGCTTGAGTGCACTACCTACCAGTTTGCATGTTGACGAAACAGCTCCATGTATTGAACGCCACGCTGTCAATCAGGCCTGAGATGAAGAAGCAGATGACGAGAACCAGACTCATGTACGAAGGGTCAAGATCTTCGACGAGGTGTCTGTAGCAGGCATCCACCGTTCTTCTCGATCTTTCCTGGAAACCCATCCTGCTTCCACACTCTTGTCAGCCGCCTTTCAAGTTTCTTGAAGATCGAGAGTCGATGAGGATAGTTGAGGGGGGCTTTCATCGTCACCGACATTCAAATATGTCCAGTGAAGAGCATGCGCTGAGCGAAAACACCTTTCGGTGCCAAGTATGCCATCGTTCGACGGGTAGGTGCAATCACTGTGTGACAAACGCTCGGCGACGGTTCTGATCTCCTTATTCAGAACGATGGGTATGCTGATGGTGTGGCAGAGATGTTGTACCGCCAAGATGCAGGAAGGGGGCATAATGGGCGGCCTCTAGCGTCAATCTAGGAGTGAAGTCAGAGTGATGGTGTGAAAGGCGAGGCCCCTTTGCTCTCCCAAAACATGAGTCAGTGATTGCGAGTCCTTTACAAGGTGAGTGAACGAGTCTCCGTATCGAATGACACGCAGGGAGCGGACTACATCGTCTCTCCTGGTGGCCGACACAATACAATGTCACTCCGACCGCTCTATCCTGACCTTGGCCTTGTCGACCCATGTGGCTCCCGTGGGACAATCTCTGATGGGATGAGATGCGCACGCAACGTTGTCCCACGCTCTGCGATATGGGCGTGGCGCTGTCTTGGTCTGACGCAGCAATCCGTGCCTAGTTCCGAGTATAGATCCTGGGCTCCGCATATGGTCACAAAGAGCGAGCTTTCAGAAACAGGAGGAAGCAAAATGGTGAAGCCAGAACATTGCACGGGGATCCGAGATGCGTGCCAGTTGCGAAACAATTGAGCAGTTATGGGGCTTTCCATACCAACAAGTCTTGTTACAACAGCTCTCCCGTCCTACAAGACTTTACCAGACAATAAACGGCGTCTATACGGCTGCACGTGGGATCCGATAGGCATGGCATCACAGGGATACACGACGGGCACAACTGGTTGCCAAAATTTATCCTGGGGAGGGATGCCAATAGCAGGCTGTTGAAACTCATAACAATCCACCAAGCTTCATCCCGGCTAAACGCTGACGAGTTCAATCACAAAAGCTGGGTTTCGAGAGAATCGTAAAGAGATGGTTGTAGAATGGCGTGGTCTATTTGCATTGATAAGCTACTATTGTGACGTTGAAAGCTACCACTATTGCACTCACAACCGCTTAGAAGACAGTCCTCTTCTCACCATCTTGTACGCGGCCACAGGTGCGAATCACTGCCGCAAGTTGATGGCAAATGATTTACGTCTTGACATCTGGCTCGGTTCTGCCGATGAATTTCTGCAGCTGCAAGAGCTCAATGGCGAGTCCGACCGATCCCTGGAGATATGTCTGCGTATCTTCGCCAAGCTTGCTCTTGTCCTCCTCGAGTTTCTCGACATAGAGGCGGATGGTGGCACCGCTGCTGCCTGTACCCGATAATCGAACAACAATTCTGGTGCCGTCGTCAAACTTGAAGTAGATACCTTGGTTCTTCGACACCGAGCCGTCGAGATCTGTGTAGGAGAAGTCGTCTGCTTCCAGGATCTTGCGGCCTTGGAGCTCTGAACCGACAGTGTCGGACTTTCCAATCTTTTCTTTGAGGTACTTGACCATGTCGTTGGCTCCGTCACTGCTCACGTCCTCGTAATCGTAACGGGTGAAATACACGCGGCCATACTCGTGCCAAAACTCCTTCTGGATCTCGGCAATAGACGGGAACTTGCCAGTCTCTTTGCTCACTCCGGCGATGATGTTGAGCCAGGCAGTGACAGCCCACAAGCCGTCCTTTTCTCGGATGTGGTTGGAGCCGGTTCCAAACGACTCTTCGCCGCAGATCGACATCTTATCGGTGTCGAAGAGCGCACAGAAGAACTTCCATCCGGTGGGGACGACATAGATGCTCAAGTTCTGCTTCTTGGCCACTAGATCAAGCGCTGCCGAAGTGGGGAAGGATCTTGCTAGACCATAGACACCCTGCTTCTTGAAGTAGGGAATGTATTTCTGCGCATAATGGGCAATAATAGCCAGAGAGTCACCAGGTGAGACAAAAGCATTCTTGCCATAAATCATGTTTCTGTCGCCATCCCCGTCCGAGGCAGCGCCGAAGTGGATGCCTTCCTTGTCCACTCTCTCGACCAAAGAGTGGGCGTACGTCAGGTTCGGGTCTGGGTGGCCGCCGTTGAAGTCAGGGCTGGGTTGGCAATTCTGAGTGCTTTCGGGTCCCAAGCCGAGCTCTCCTTGAAATATGGCCACACCGTATGGACCGGTGACACCGGACAGACCGTCGAAGAGCACTTTGAAGTCAGGCTGGGATTTGAAGAACGACCGGATGAGGTCGAAGTCGAAGATGTCTTTGAGCATGGCCATGTAGTCGGCTACAGAGTCGATAATCTCGACTTCAAGATCGCCATACTTCTTGGTACCAATTGTAGAAATGTCCACATCTGGAATGTCTGCAATCTTGTACGAGGTGAGGGACTTTGATTTCTCGAAGATTTTGTTTGTCACGGATTCCGGGGCTGGGGCGCCGTTGGACAGGTTGTACTTCATACCGAAGTCTGCTTTGGGGCCTGGATGTTTGTTAGATGTGGTTTCGGCAAAGCCCAACACATGTCGACATACCGCCTGGATTGTGACTGGCAGTAAGAAGTATACCACCCGTGGCCTTTCTGATGCGAATGACGTGGCTGGCAGCTGGAGTGCTCAGGATGCCATTTTGACCGATCAGAAGCTTCTTCACGCCGTATGCAGCACCAATTTTCGCAATCAGTTGGACCACTTCAGGGTTCCAATATCGACCATCACCACCAATGACAAGAAATGCACCTTCTGCGCCTTCGGGAATGGACAGGAGGATCGAGGTGATGAAGGACTCGCTATAGTGTGGCTGCTGGAAGACCGTGACTTTCTTCCGAAGTCCTGATGTACCAGGCCTGCAGAGAGGAGAGTCAGAAGACACCTTGCAAGAGAGGGTGATTCGACTAGAGCTTACTTCTGGTCGGTGAAGGATTTGAATTGGACTTCTTTCACGCTTGCCATTATGGTGGTGCGCTGAACAGTGTTTGAAGATTGACTGAGCAGGGTAGGGCTTGATGAGCTTGTGACTAGATGGACAAGAAGCAACAGATAATTGTGAAGGGAACTTTGAAAATGCAATAAACTGAACAGAGGGTAAAAATTTCGTTGAAGTGACGATCCCCTCAAGCTGCAACTGGGAAAATGAAGCCACGAGGAAAATGATCGCGGGGCAATAGCAAACGACCGTCAACGAAACCCTTGCATACGATACGTCATCGCGATTGCTTGCCCTCTGGGGCCATTATTTCTCCGATCAGTCAATCGAGGGGTTTGATTGGCGGGTGGAGTGCCGCTGGTCGACATCCTCACACCACCCTCGCCTTTTGGTGTTGTATTTGGTACCATCTATGCCCTGGACTGTGAGCACAGTCAAGGCCGGCTTGGTCAGCTAGATGCCGAGGGAGGTAAAACGTCCAAAGGTGTTATGAGCTGAGCAGAGGCAGGAGACACAACAAGTGGTAATGTTTGACAAGTCCTATCCACCGAGACAGCGGGATGCTGGGAGAATGACCAGGATGCGTTATGCTGGAGTCATTATGCTTCATGTCAGAGATCTGTGTGGAAGGTTCACAAGTCTTTGGTTGTGTCTGTGCTCGGGAAGTGGCATGCTGTAAGGGTGAGCTTCCCTCGCCTTGGGTCACAAGCATTGACAAACTTTGACATTTAGACTCGGAGAGCCGTTGTGAATTCCTTCCCACCCTGTGTTTCGTGCCTCTTTGTGGGAAAAGTGCTCTTTGGGTAGACATGAAACCGCAAATAGGCATATACATTCTATGTTATGCTGATAGCGTGACTTGAGCATCTCGAGGAGACACCGCTGCTCAAAGCCCCGGCAAGGCCACTGAAAGACTTTGGTGATAACCCAGACGTAAAGTGTGAACCGAAAGCTTCATTGAATTTGTCGTAGCCCTGCACGGGCACTTGTGTTCTTCCAGTCTAAGTAGTGACCACTCGTGCAGATTGCTCAAAAGTCACAGCCTCGTCTCTTTCTCCGCAGATTGGCCAGGCTGCGTCTGTCCGGATTAGGGTTGGCGTCGTCTTGGCGATTTCTGCCTCGTCAAAGAAGTCACAGCGGCAGAACGAGCCTCTACGAACTCGGCCCAAGAGTAGAGTAAACTAAAGTTGTCCATTCTCTCTTCATCCACATTGTCAATCCCGACATTTTCATTACCTGCGTGCAACGCCTCCTTCCTCCTTATTCGAATCAGCTCTGCCACTCATTTGAGCATCCCCCCCTCCATCGCGTGCGCCGTTCCCCCGATAGCTCACCGTTCCTTGCCGAAGTCTGCGGAGCAGGCACGTCGTTCTATTCCCTGGGTTTGCTGTATGCATAACAGACCTCAAGTGGCGAAGGCGCCGACACTGTGGTGACTGTAGCGTGTGTCGTTCGGGAAAAGTTGGATTCAATATTCGCACAGTGCGAGTTGTCACTTCACGAATCATATCGGAGATTTGTTCTCCGCCATCTCTGCGCGCAGAGAGCGGAGAATCGTCACTCACTTAAGGGGCCTTCCAATTCCTGATAGCCATCATGCCCTGCTTCAAAGGTCTCGCTGTGAGCATACACACTCCCAATGGGCCTTTGCCAGAATACTCTGTCCAGAGAACCTCTCGTCTCTCCAGAATCAGTGCCTACATCCCCGTGCCGCCTGCGCAGATCCCTGCCGACTCCCTGACGGGAAAACCCGAACAATCGACCTTTGCCATCTCCATCACCCTTCTCACCCCTGGCCAGGAAGTGCCTTATTCCACGCCAAAGGCTACACCAGATAATCCTCATCCCAAACCCAAACTCGTCGGCGGTCTTCCAGGTCACACAAGCGAACGAGGAAAATACACAAGCTCTGTTGGACCTTACGTCCCCCTGACAACCTCGCCGAACGAAACAATCGCCGCTTACATCTACTTTGATGGGCGAGCCAAAGAGGAGGTTGCCACACTGCTCAGAAAGGGTGAAGAGACCTGGGTGAATTCTCGGTGGGTAAGTGTCCCTGAGAAAGAAGGAGGAGGTCTTGCAGAACGAGAGTTCTTGTTTCGTGAAGTCGGACTCGAGCGTTGGTTGAATGGTCTAGATCTGGACGGAAAAGATGCCGCAGCAACTATCGAGAGACGCAGACAGAAACTGGAGAAGCGACGACAAAAGCGGAAGGGGACAATCGGGAGTGACGATGACACCAATGGAATCTCGAAGAAGGATAGAAGAAAGAACACCATGCGTTACGGCGAGGATGGCGAATTGAAGGACGTTTCGGATGAGGGCTCTGCTAGCGACAGCGGTTCCTCGGAAGAAGATGATGATGATCCGATACCAGAAGCAGCAGGGCAGATCAAGGTTGCCTTGTTCCGGGTACTGGCTTCGGGCGAGATCAAGCGCGGAGAATATTCACCTCAATTTGACGCGCACGATGATTCGGAAGGTTCAGACACTGGAGAAGGGGCCGCTAAGGGAGACGGCAAGAATCGAGCGGATGTTGACCACACCACCAGTTTCGCCAAACCCAAGACCTTGGATCCCAAAACCATCTCCACACAGACGGTGACTGGCATTGACCCTACCGACAAACCGTATGCGGTCTTCACGTTTCTGTATAGGGGAGAACGCCAGTTGCAAAAGATGGGCATTCTTTCTGGACCCAAATCCGACAAGGCATCGGTCAGCACGAAGAGACGGAGCATAGTGGCAGAGATCCCCAAGCTTGGACCTCTGAAGAAAGAAGGAACTGCCGGCTTTTCCAACTTTCGTGACTCCGAACGTCGACGAAGCCGAAAAGGCAAAGGATCAAGTGACGATGAGATGGAGAGTGATAGTGACGATGATGGTGCCGGCATTATTGGCAAGATGGAGGATATCAACGATGAGGATGCAAAGAAAGACCCGAGCATGCTTACGCCTGAAGATGCTGAGCGAACGGGCCAGGTTGCAGAGGGCATCCGTAAAATGAAGGTAAGAGACCCTTCGCCGTTGAAGTTCCGGCATGGGCTAAGGTATCATCAGCTCAAGCGACAGCATTCGGCGGAACCGCTGAATAGCAATGGTATAACGGAACCTCGCAAGAGCTCGAAATCCGGTAGTCCTTCGGGTAATTCGACGCCCAAAGCTAGTGCTGTCGAGCTTGGCACGTCGCCGGCAGGCACAAGTATGGGGCCGACGGGCTTAAGCAGCAGCATAGAGGTCACCAAGGACGATGAGAGTTTCATGGTCGGCAGCCCTATGAAACGACAGCGGGCCAGTATCGCGGATTTTGACGACGACATCAAAAAGCGGTTAGGCGGCAGCTTATCCACGTCTTCGGGCACCATTGGCGAGGTCCTGGGGACTTCGGGGCTGTCTCAATCGACTGCAACTAGCTCAAATCCGTCTGGCCTTCAATTCGGAGGCCCGCTTATCAAAGAGCCGGCCGCGGGCGACGACGAAGAGCTCTGAAAAAGGCTTACAGGCCAACAGGCGGCTTTCATCGCAGCGTGAGTTCCGCGACTGAATTTCGTCCACCGTTTCTCAAGAATTCTACCTACCGTGATGGCCAGGTGCTCTTCACAATTCGTGGTTGTCGGTGTCATACCGCGCTAAGAAAAGACAGAAATTGAGGCAGCCCACGACGCCTTCTGTCGGCATTCGGATTGGAAATTCAATTCTTCCACTTTTCTTTTGTCAAGACATCGCGGAATTGGAAGCCGGGATGACAAGCTGGTTTGCAGATACACGCAAGGGGGGTCTGGCCGTCGAATATTTTGATTAATTGTGCGAACGAAACTTCCGCCGCGGCGGTTTGTGCTTAGGGAATGAAAGGCGGATCGTGATGCGCAACACACAGGCCTCTTGAGGAGCTGCAAGAATGGCGTGCATGGGCCGGGACAGGCCAGGGGCTTTACATGGAATCTCCATGAGTAATCTGATCCAGAGAGGTGCCAGAGGCTAAGGGGAAGGGGAACGGCGCGGGGCATGGACGCATGATTGCTGGCTCACCCCGCGATGGTCACTGTACCAATACCCCAGGCATCGAAGAGTGTTCTTTTCCCATGTTCGACAAAAAAGACCAATCCCATACAGACACGTCCAAGGAGATGCTTGGAGCTGCCAGCCAGCCCACCGGGCAGGAATTGCAACCACATTATCAAGACTGAGAAGGTTCCTATAGGGTCGTAGGCTGTGCATGACACTGGCGTAGGAGTGCAGGTAGTTCGTTGGTAGGCGACGGGGAAAAGGGGGCGGAATCCCACTCCGACCTGGAGCCAGGCTCCAACTCCGCTGTAATGCTATTGGTCGGGAACCATCTGGGTCTTGGCCCGACACATATCGTCATCTTTTTCCCCCGGTTGACCCTCACCTAGTAGACCCTTACCTCTTCGACCTCCTCACCCTCCTCAACCATTCTCGTCCTCCAACTGTGAATGCACCGGTGGCAAATGGTGGCCGATCAGATAATCGTCATCACCCTTCCCCCTTGATCCAATCACCGTTCGATGGGGTTCTATTAGTCCTTTACGGGCGAATTTAACCGTCCATACCTCCTCCATGTCTTCCCCCGGCCAATGTTGTCGCGCCCTCAAGCCTCCTCGCCTCCTAATTATATCCTGGATGAATGGGCGCAGCAGAGTAATCCTGATCAGAGACTTCTCGTCGTCGTCAGCTGGTCGAGAGTGAAGTCGGAACACAGACCGAAGGACTGTCAAATCTAAACCTTGAATCTACAAGCACGAGATCCACCAAGGACGCAGCACCCATGGCACTCACCAGATCTACCGATCCACTGGTCTGGATTGACTGCGAGGTAGGTACACAGACCGAGTAACCCTCGTGCAGCCTATCTTGCCAGCGGCAGGGGAGAGACGCTGTTCTATACACGCCGGTGAAGCCCACTCCGGAACCTCCAACGGGCTGGAAAGGAACGAAATGTCTCGAAACCGGCATCTAACGCTCAACCACGCCTTGTCTTATCGGCTTCCCTCTGCCCCTGTCTCTGGGCACATGTTACCCCATCCAGCCTTCGCCCATTGCCGTATGCCATTACAGCAGCGCTGACCAAAATGCTGGTTCTTTTTTCCAGATGACGGGTCTCAACCCCGCCAAAGATACAATCATGTCGATATCATGCATCATCACCACCGCCGACCTCGCGCCGCTGGACACCGAAGGCTTCCACGCCGTGATCTTCCACGCGCCGGAACAACTCTCGCAGATGTCGGAGTGGTGCGTCAAGACGCACGGCGAGTCCGGGCTCACGCAGGAGTGCCTCGCGTCGTCGACCAGCGCCGCAGACGCCGCCCGCCAGCTCCTCGCGTACATCAAACACTATATCCCCGAGCCTGGCCGCGCGCTGCTGGCCGGGAACAGCATCCACGCCGACCGCGCCTTCTTGGCCGTGCCCCCCTGGAACGCCATCCTGGAGTACCTCCATTACCGGCTGTTCGACGTCTCCGCCATGAAGGAGATGGTGCGGCGCTGGGCGAGTGACGCCGTGTTGATGGCCGCGCCGCGGAAGGAATTGAGACACACGGCCAGAGCTGATGTGTTGGAGAGCATCCAGGAGGCGCAGTATTACAAGAGCTTGATTGAGAGTATTGGCCTGGGCATGTCCGGTGAGTTTCCAACCTGTCCCGGATTCTTCTGCGTGGAGAAAATCCCTTCCTTCCTCTTCTCCTCACTTCCTTCTACTGGTCTCACACACATGTTGCCGACATTCCTGGTGCTCGCCAAATGATTCAAGAGGCCAAATCAGCACGTAGACTAACGCTGCCCCGTTTCCCCAGTCTCAGCGCCGTCGATGCCGGTTCAGCCACAGCAACTTCCCATGCCCGCCCCAGGCACAAAGCAGGGCCAAGAGGCTCTCGACATGCTTCGTAACAGCGGCACGGTCATAGGGGACGTCGGGGATCTCGACCCGGGCTTCAGGACCGATATACCATGATTTGATCGTGATCGGGCGACAAGGTCCTTTCTTGGAAATTCCCGCGAACCAGTCCTGTTTGGACATTCATTTATTTACAGACAAGAAGCACGCTCCGGTCCCTCGAACAAAAAAGCCCTTGACAGAAAGAATTTCTACGAATTGAGATTGGCACAGGCAGGATGTACCACGACCACCACGATCACCACGATCATTGTTGGTTGTGGTCGTTGTCACCGCCTTCTTGAACACGGATTTACCGTTCATCCACACACTACTGATACTAGTGATAGACATGTACATACATACACACACACACACACACACACATGAGAGAGAAGAAGAAGAACAAGCCCCCATGCATTTCCACTGCGCAACCTCAAAGCACCGAATGCCTCAAAAACCCCCCCAAGGTTATTTATTCTGTTCGTTCACAGCGATTTAACGACCTCGTATTCTCCGATCGATAGGACATGACGTGATACGACAGGACACTGGCAGGAGAGAATAATAAAATGAAAGAGGAGCGAGAGAAGTAGGGGCAGGATGGACCGAGGAGATGCATCCTTCAACCAATCATGCATGGATGGGTTGTGTGAAAAATGCCTATGTGTACCGTACCACAAGCCGCTTGTTACAGAACAGGGAGAGAGAGAGAGAGAGGGACAGCGGTTGTGCATTCATACATACATACATACATACATACATCCTTTGCTGTATGATGATATATGTATATACATATATATGTATCTCTATCTCTTTTTCTCTCTTTCTCCCTCACTCAAACAAACAAAGCGTGGAGAGATTACAATTACAGATAGCTCCAAAAAGGAATCGTGGACAAACACTCAGTCCGTGTACTTGGGGTATATAATACATATATTGGCAATAACAATAACAACAACAACAACAACATAAAATGCTGCGAATGGAACAAACCCCCTTTGAGCCACGACGAGTCCAGTCCAGTCCAGTCCAGTAGTGTTCATTCAATCCGGAAACGTTTTTCTTCGGGGGTGTCCTTCACTCCTTTTGAGGCCGGAGCTGGCGCACAGAATGGTATAAAAGTCACCAGGAACGAGGGGTCCAGCTCAAAAGCACATCTCGGCCTCAACCCCCCTGCCCCAATCCCATGCATCTGCCTGCGAGGGAACCGTACATCGTGATGTTCAAGCGCCAGGTTTGCATGGTGCTATCCCTCCTCTCCCCTCTATAGGCGCCATACAAAGAAGACAAAGACTTTGCTCGTAATAAATCTCAATCCCCTCCGGTCTGGTCTGAGCATATTTGCTCAAAGCCCCAACACCTTGCTGCTGCTGCTGCTACTGCTGACGCCACAGCGCATGCATGCTGCTTCTTCTCATCCCCTACCGCGAGGCTTCTGCTCGGGCGAGTCGATACCTCACCGCCTCCCTAACTACCTCGCCACCCCAGACACTGTCCTCTCCACCCTTCGAAAACTCCATACCCGCCACATCCCCTCGTTCTTGCTCCGCCAGCACCACACTGAGGTCCTTCTTCTGACTGCTGAGCCACCTCTCGATGAACTTCTGCGGATCTTTCGCCATGCTCGCAAAGAACTGATGCCGTGCCTTGTGGTGATGCAGAGCTTGTACCACTATCGCGAGTTCGTCGTCCAATTTAGCAATGGTCCGGAGCGTGGATTGATGTTCTGGGTTTTGAGTGAGTTTGAAGATCATGGGCCGGAGAGGATCTTCGACGGTGACTTGCACATCATACACCGTGGGTTCGGGATTCTTATGCCAATCTTCATCCACTCGGATGGTGTAGGGTAATCGCACCGGAGGCAAAGGATGTAAATGCGGGACTAGTCGTTCGGCGGCTTGAGGGAAAAAGAACGTGTCCGTATCAAAGATGCGTTTTAGTGCATCATCACACTGGATACTGCGGCGCTCCTCATCTTCTTGCAGACCCATGGCACGCACATAGTCCCAAATACCCATGACGACTTCGGCACGGTCGGCTTCTTCCATATCCAGGGTTTCAGCGAGAGCCTTGGAGAGGCGATATCGTTCGGGTTGTTCGTCGCGTGCCAGGCAGATTGTAATGTTGACGTTCTCATCGGCTTTACGCTCAAATTCAATGGTGTCAAAGTCGCCAGCTTGGGAGCTATTTTGGCCCTTTTTCCACGTTACCGTCTGGTTGGGGTCGCTGAGGCTGCCTTTCGGATTGTCAAACTCGACCGTCATTCCCTTGAAGAAGTGAGTGAATTTTTTGGAGGGAGGCTTGAGTGTCTTTTGTTTGGCTGGTTTGTCCTGCTCTCCCATCTCTTCATCTTCGTCGTCGCTGTACAAGATGTCATCGTTGTCATATTCCAGTAACCGGCCTTGAATCTTGACTCGATAGGTAGGCTCGCCGCCCGAGTCGAACGTGAAGCCTTCTTCGTCCGGGTTCATCTGCCAGGGTTGGCCAGACACAGTATTGGAGATCCATATTCGCATTGTCCTATGCCTTCTGACATTTTTACTAAAATTGTCATGGATTTCCAACCGCTTCCTCGCCATCAGATGGTCTAATCGTTTCTCTGCCTCGCGCAATTTCTTATACTGCTCGACGCCATCCCCAATGACCACCTCTTCTAAACCATCGGGCATATTTCGGTCGGTCGGTTTTCGCACACGTCGCTGGGCCAGTTGGTGTTCCATCACGGCGTTGCGTTGTTGGGCTTGTTGTTGTTGCATCATCTGGGCTTGCGCTTGCTGAGCAGCATGTTGGACAGGGGGCATCTGACCTAATGTTTGTAAGCGAAGGATCTCTTGGTGTTGAGCAAGACAGGCAGAGAAGATAGTCATTCATCTGTCCAGTGTGTGCCAGACGACGGTATTTGGGCAGGAGCGTAATGAGGAGTCGCTCGTCGCGATGTTCCATTTGCCTGAGGGCATCCCTGGGTGGTCCTCCACCAATATCTGGACTTGCAAACATCCCGGTGCTCGAATCGCACTCACCTGGCCTACGTGCCGCAGGGGACCTTCCTTGCGCCTGGGCAAACTGTCTGTAATTCTGCATCTGCGGATTCATCTTGTCGTCGTCGTTAGTCGTCTCGAAGTCTGTAGCGGATTGAGGGTGTAAAGTGAGGGCAGCGGAGTTGCGACCACAATCTGGCTTGGGGCCTTCCTGGCTGGAGCGTGTCAATGGGTTTGGCGTAGCGTTGGTGGTGGATGGGGGAGATGGTCGCAAACGCAGCGTTGCCAGGAAAGATCGCGACACATGCAGAAACGCGATCCAAGTACGGCGGGGCTAGTCCCGATCTGGAATGTATTTCTTGGCATCAGATGAGCCCGATCCGAGCACCTACAAAGCAAGGCTGTCATAATTTCTTGCTTTTTCTCGAAATCCACATGGTATGAGTATCTAGTCTACGATCAGGATTTGCAGTCTGGGCTATACTCCATCTTCTTGAGCATATCTCGTAGACCCAACAACCAGAGTGCCGAACTCAAGAATTGACATCGAGCTAGCCTGGGGTGAGGTCACCACTGCCGCCACGAATACCGATCTGGCGAAAATGGGCAAGCCAAGGTTGATCATCATCATAAGACATGCGCAATCCGAGGGTAACCGTGACAAGGCCATCCACCAGACGACACCAGACCACAGAGTTGGACTAACGGAGGAAGGCCATCGTCAAGCCCTCGAGGCGGGAGAGAAGCTTCGAGCTCTTCTTCGGACTGATGATACCTTACACTTCTTCATCTCTCCATACAGGAGAACCCGAGAAACGACAGAAGGCATTCTGAAAAGTTTGTGCTCCAATGACCCTGTACCTTCACCATTTCAGCGACATCACATCAAGGTGTACGAGGAGCCACGGCTGAGGGAGCAAGACTTTGGCAATTTCCAACCAGACACCGAAGAAGTGGAGAGGCTGTGGCGCGAGCGTGCTCAATATGGTCACTTCTTTTACCGCATACCCAACGGAGAAAGCGGGGCAGATGTGTATGACCGGGTATCGTCGTTCAATGGTTCGCTCTGGAGACGGTTTTCCGAGGACACAATGGCGAGCGTGGCCATCCTCGTCACCCACGGTCTCTGCAGTCGCGTTTTTCTCATGGCCTGGTACCACTACAGCGTCGAGTTCTTCGAGGATCTCCGAAACATTAACCACTGCGAGTTTTTGGTGATGAAACTTGGCGCGAACGGGAGGTATGTGCTTCAGAACAGTCTACGACGCTGGTCCGACTTGAGACGGGAAAAGGCGGCGGCCAGAAAAAACAGCGTCTCCTCCACGTCGACACCCGTGAATGTTGAAAACATCCCGGTGAGACGCTGGACGATTTCGAGAAACGCCCATGACCCCACTGGAGCCAGCTATATCCCCATGCCGGTGCGGAAAAGCACAGTAGATATGTTCAAGGACGAGCCTGAAACGGTCTCGGAGGGAAGCGAGTCCAAACGTAATCCCAAGGCGGTCTCCACCGAGACCAGAGGTAGTACGAGCAGAGAGCAAAGTCGTACCAGAGTGCGGTCGTCGAGCAACCTTCGAACCTCTCTCAGTAATTTGGCCTTGGACACAGGAAGGAAACCCACAAACTTGGGTAGCATCAAGTCGTACCTTGGTCGGGACGGTGGTGGGACAAGGTCAGGTCAAGGCTCTCCGTTCGGGTCCGATGACGAGACTGAAAATGAGAGTCCCAAAGGAACGACGCTGCCTTCAGGATCGTTGTCCGAGTCTCCCGAGAAATTGAAGAAGGTTTTTTCGTCGTCACTGGCTCGAGCATTGAGAGGAGAGTTGGATGATCCCAACAGGAAAATGGCGGACGCATTGGGTGATCAGAGTGATGCAGAAGTGGAGGAGGCGGATCTGGAGATCGGGACCCAGGAGCGAGTTTCTGGCGAGCTCCAGCAGATCCTCGACGAAGAGAGGCGGGAGCGGAGCCATCGGAGTATCTACTAGATTGTTGAGGCGGGGGCTGTGAGATGAGAGCACCGGACATTGTCTGTGGGCATAGAATGGTGTAGGGGGGGGATATGTATGCAGCCTCTTCTCCTCGTAGCCTCGTAGCCTCGTAGCCTTGCGGCAAGACGCCAAGACAGCATGGGATGTTTTTGTGGTTAAACGTCCTTTGTCGACTTTCCTCCCTCTTGACCATCGACATGGAAATACGGTTATAGACCTGGATAGTGCATACCAACACCGGGATACTCGATCCTTCTCACAAGGTCGACGTCAATGTCAAGATGACAGACGCTCTCTACGACCTCCTGCAGCCCCATCTGGCGTCGTCGTCTCAACCACCGCCACAACTACCACCATCTTCATCACCCGAAATATCCAACTATCTGTCCCGCCTCGTCTCGCTCCGTCTTGGTGATTTGACAACCACAGAGCCTCAATCGCTCACCCAAGCAGCCCAATCAAACCTCTTCTCAATCCAGGCTCTGAGTTCCCGCTCTCACCGCACCACGACCACATCGTCAGACCATCTCAGCATTCTCCGCTCCTCACTCCCCCTTATATCGACCTCTGCTGAATCGATCAAAAATGCCATCCCTGAATTGGACGCCAGCGCTGTGAAGTTTGCCTCGACGTACAGCAAGTCGAAAGAGGAGAGTAGCACGACGGGAGGTGGTGGAAATGCCCTCCTCACGGCGCGGCGAGAGTCCTCGCTTCTCGCTCGACAAGCCGACAAAGCCCAGGATATCCTGGAACTCCCATCGCTACTCTCTGCTGCCATTGCCTCGGCCCACACTACGGCGGCGGCATCAACAAATTCCGCATCTGCGGGAGCCAGCGGCGCAAATTACACTCAGGCGCTCGATCTCTTCGCCCATATCAAGCGCCTTCAGATCCTCTATCCTGACTCACAGCTGGTGAAGTCCGTCCTCGCCGATGCCGAAAACGCCATGAAGGACATGACAACGAACCTTGTCGCCAGTCTTCGGGGCCAGAACCTCCGTCTCGCTGCTGCTATAAGGATGATCGGCTGGTTACGACGGGTGGCGCCGGAGTTGTCAACGAGCACGACCGTGGGCTTTCCGTCGGCCACTTCTCAGACCAACAAATCGGGTCTCTCCACATCGAGACTGACCTCGCAACTCGGGCTGGGTGCACCTGCGCCATCACACCAGGAAGAAGGCCACTTTGGAGCCCTGTTCCTGGTCTCACGGCTCTGCACGTTCCTGAGTATGGTCGAGGCCCTTTCTCCACTACGCGATCTGGCGGATCAAGAGACTCTGGCACGCAAAGAAGCCGCCAGCTCTACGTCAACTCCTCCGCAACGACAGCACCTGAGCACGACACGGCCTTCTCCTTCAAACCGTAGGACCTCTTCCGGTGGGACCTACAATCCCTCCCTCGCGGGCCAACAGACGGAACGCTACCTGAAACGATTCATTGAGATCTTCCGCGAACAGTCCTTCGCGACGATCAGCATGTACCGCAACATCTTCCCGGCGGACGAACAACCACAGGCGGCGGCGCCCGAGGAGGCGTCGTCGTCATCGCCACCACCACCACCAGACCTGTCTCTCACGTTACCTCCCGCGCTGCAGACGTTCCCGCTGTACTTGGTCGACATCTTCATCTCCACGCTCAAACAGTACCTCCCGAATGTGACGGATCCGGCCGCCAGGGAGAGCTTGCTGATGCAGGTGCTCTACGCGGCAAACTCACTCGGCCGGCTCGGCGCTGATTTCAGCTTGATGATCGCCGAGCTCGAGGAGGAGGAGGACGAAGATGACGATGGAGACAAAGACGTAGCCCCGGGCGAAGACACGGCAGAGGAGGCCGCAGAAACGGGTTTTGAGGAAAGCGAGTCCGTGGCAGCGAACGGCAAGGGCGAAGAAGGAGACGAAGAAGAAGAACAGACAGCAGCAGCAGCAGCAGCATCAGAAGAGATGAAGACGAAGACGAAGACGAAGACGAAACCCCAGCCCGAGCCAGAGTGGATCTCCATCACCAAGAAACACCGCGTGCAAGCCGCACGGTTGGAGGCGCTGGCCGCGGGACAAGAGCGCCAGCGTGCTGCAGATGTCGCTGTGCGATAGAGCGAGCCTTCCTTCTTTCTCCTTCCGTGTGGGTGCTACGGACCGGATAGGTAGAACGACACCCACACATCGACTTGGTTCAGCTCATGATGTTTCCAGATACTCAGATCTAAAGAGAGCAAAAGGAACAAGAGCCCTTAAGTTTTATAGACATGACCTTCAATGAATGAACTTGAAGATAAACGGCGTCAATCCGTTATTGTTAGCATCCTTTTTTACGTGTATGTTTGTTCTTGACCCTTTTTTGTTTCTTTTTGTAATTCTTACATTTTCTCTCCCTGTCCCTCCACACCATTCTTCACGGTGTTCGGTTGATTATTGTCAAATCCTGAATTTCGCCTGCTTCAGTCCCTGCACCCGAGTTCTGATCTGCCACCGTCACCATGTTCTCCTGCTGATCGGGGTGAAACAGTTGAAGATATGTGCTGTCTCCAGGACGCCCAAAGCATTCCAGCAGCATTTTCAGGTACTCGTCCATCTCTCCCTCCAGGTACAGGAACTTCCTCTTCAGGCGCCTCCGCAAATCCGCAGTGGGATCATCCCAGCCCGCGCTCTGTGGTGTGCGGCCATCCGAGATCCCCGTGATTGTATTCGGATCCGCCATGAGGCACCAGAACTCAATCGTGGTGGCCACCCAGTCACGCGTCTGCTCATTTCCCTCGTCGCTCGCTTTGCCGTTACTGTCGTCGGTGCACCTCATTCTGTGCCCATGAAAACTGCACAAAAGGAGCAACCAGTGCAACAGATCTGCATCAGCCTCTGCCTCTCCGCGTACCGTTCTTCCCCAGAGCTTCCTGACCTTCTCGCCGAAGACACCAGCCACTCGTCCCAGAGGGATTTGTGGGCACGGGACATCGCCGAACACGGCTCCCAAGAACAGAACCATCCCCAGGGCCACCGTCACATTCAGCAGGCTGTCCGGATCCTGGCATGAGGAGAGCGTAGTGTCCATAAAGAAGTTGATGAGTCGTCCAATTAGGGCAGTCCCACGCCTATGAAGCCACAAAACAACCTCATAGCGGAGCACATTTTCCTCCAGCAGAATGTCTGTGAGCAGAACTTTGGCTGTCACGAGTTCGCGGATGTCGCCCAGGATGTGCTGAAGGAACTTGTTAGGTATTGGTTGTGACGTGGTTGAGGCGTCTGATGTGACTGCTGCAATTCCTTCTCTTATTTTGGATGCTTCCCACCCAGTAGCGGCTGTATTCGCGGCTTGAAGCACCTCATCAAAGGGCTGGAGCTTCCGCGGCCCCGGGTCCCAATTTTCAACATGAAATTCCGTGTGTCGTAGCAACGCAGTAGAAATCCACACGTCGCTGATAGAAAGCATCTCCTGTCGAGCTTTCAATGATGGCAATTCATGTGAGACCATCTTTCTGATGGCGCCTTGGTGTAGTCGAGCGGCCTCGTAGTCCTCGGAGAAGAAATCCAATGCTACAAGCAGCCGGATAAGCATGAACACTTTGCCCTGGTCCTGATCCGCTCGTTGAATACTTTGGCGCAAAATCGTCAAAGTCTTCGTCTTGTGCTCTAGGGCTTTGTTGAAACAGACGGTCCGTTCCGCGGGATAGATAAGCGACTTAGCGTAATAACCTGCCGCAAGCAGGGCATTCATTTCTCCTTCGTCTGAAATAGCAATGGATAGATGATCTTCAAAGCTTTGCGTTAGTTGATCGCGAAGGATTTTGCTCATCTTGACAGGCCAAGCCGAGAAGACGTGAAAACACTGTGCCAATGACAGCAATTCTCGAATCGTGGCTGTCATGGGGACCACTGAAGCAGAAAAGGGTTCAAAAGGGAGATTTGGTCGAAGGAGTGGTGGCGCCTTACAAATCTGATCTTTCGGGTTCGCCAGTGTCTTCGATGAGGAAGGACTGGTTGCGGGCGTATTTGTTGGCCCTGTGTTTTCTTCCAAGCCTCTTCTTGCTTGAAGCACTGCGCCGCCTTGCGAAATGTGGGTGGGATGTGCGCCGTAACTGTCTCCCTCGTAGGCGTTAAGACCAAGTTCAGATCCGAGATGTTGATATGGTGAGGCTACACGGTGTCCAGACTTGGAAGCCCCGAAGTATACACAATCCTCCTTCGATCTGTCGGGATATTCAATTTGTTTGAGCCGCTGGCATTTCAACCACTTGCGATGTGTCTTTGATATGTGGGAACCAATAGCAAAGGCTTCTGCAGAAGTTCTTTCCAAGTTGCTCGCGTCTTTATTGACGAAGAGGAGAGGCATGGGGCCCAATCGAGTCGCTGGTACCGAGATAAAGACCATGTTTGTGGTTTCTTCGTTTGTGCGGGCTGGGATAGTAACAAGTAGACGAGCGAAGCGCAGTCCATGTTGGTACTTATAAAACGGCAATAAAAAGCATATCCCCGCTGCCTCGCGGTTCTTTCCATCATGTCCAGGGCCAATTTAAAAAGAGTCATAATGAATGAGGAAAGTGTAGTATTTGGTGGAGGTATCTGAATGAATTTGCGACAGGAACAGTGAGGGAACGGATGGCCAATTGTTTTCATAGCCTCCGAGCCTCGTGGCCCATCCCGATCGTCACCTGCAGGGACCTTTCACCTACCGTCTGCTCAGACACAATGGTCCACCAAAGATCTGGGTGAGACACGCCTAGACCTTACGATATGGGAAGTTGGATTCGCCACGTTGATGGACCTCTAGATGCACATGCCAGAAGAAGGCAAAGCAAACCGCCGAAGATTGGCTGAGCGGATTGTAGTCCAAACGGACGCCTGCGCGGCTTCAATATCACATGAAGCGGGTCCCATTGAGCCCGAGTCACAGTTACGACGATGGGGCATAAAGTCGCCCATGAGTCTGAGCGGAAGTTGAATCCCGTCTGAAGTTGCAACGAGGCTCTTAGGTACAGTTCCTGAGTGCTGAGTGCTGGGAGAGAGACGTTATACACATTGGTAAAGATGACGAAGAAATCCGGACCAGGAATGGTAAAGCGCCAGACTGGATGTTGCCAGATGCGGAAGTCGTGGTCACGTGAAGAGTGAATTATCCAGGTCAGGCGCTAAGTGGCGAGAATGCCGCCTGTGCGGCAAAACCTCGCGGGCTGTTGGCATCGGCATCCAGGCCTAGTGAGCCTAAAGTCATCTCCCCGTAGGTGCTCAGCCCCCTGTTGTTTGGTAACCGCCAAAGCCTCACTAGCCCACACAGCATCTTGACTGGTTAACGAACCGAGCCCACTTCACATCATCGCGCATGCGCCTGGTGTTGGCTATCAAAAAATCATCCGCAGAGCCCAAGCGCGCCAATTTGTGCACCTCACTTCGCAACGGCACACCACGAAAAGCGCCCTTCCCTTCGCCTTTCCACTGGGGTGAGGTCTGTTTGCTGTGCTCCATTCAAGGCCTTCGTTGTTGACCTTTCTCCAGACCTCCTGGTGACAAGATTGCACCGACAGGCACCCGTGTGAAAGGAGGATGAATTGAGGCCGAGCCGAAGCGAAAGCTCACCTTCCACCTTGTCCCTCTCTGTACACGCAATCTTGTTAGAGAGGCGATCCCAGGCGCGCGGCCTATCCGGGCACGATGTTCTTCCTACGATATCTCGAGCGCGAAATCAGCATCCATCCCTCCTTCTTCGCAGCCAATGTGAATGAGAGGCTTAAGGACCAGCTTTATGCGGATCTGGAAGGCAGCTGCAATGGGGAATATTACATTGTGTGCATCATGGACATCTACAACATCTCTCCTGGAAGAGTGAGGCCGGGTTCCGGAGAAGCGAACTTTACCATCCTCTACCGAGCCATTCTGTGGAAACCGTTCAAGGGAGAGACGGTAGGGATTTCTGCTGCGACTCGGTTAGGAGCATGCATTCTGACTGCGACAATGTACAGATCGATTGCGCCGTCTCCTCTATCAAGCCCCAGGGAGTCTTCTGCGAAGCGGGACCACTCACTGTGTTTGTCTCGAAGCTGGTAGGTGATATTGGTGATCCTGCAAGTCGTCAAAGATGTTGATAAGACAGCAGCATCTTCCGCCTGATATGCGACACAATCCCGACGCCACTCCACCACAATACTCCAACAACGCTGGGGACGTGATCGAGAAAGGCTCGGCCGTTCGAGTTCAGCTGATCGGCTTGCGTAGCGACGTAGGCAAGATGTTTGCCGTTGGAAAGATGTCCTCGCAATGGTTCGGGTAGGTGCAGACCTCATTCTCAGGGGGCAGAGTGGCCGCTGACGGGAACAGTGTCGCGTGAGAAGTTGATCACAAAAAGGCCACAGTCTTCTGCACGGAGATTGTCTGCCCTGTCAGTACGAGGTACAATTGGGTGGAATCAACATCCCAAGGTCAACAGATTTGCGTCCTACTCGTCGCATGGTTATTATCGATCAAGCCGAGGTGTTAACCATCGTATCGGACCACATTCTCATGACGTTATGCTGCAGGATAGGCCAGCATATGGTCACAACGATGGGTCGGATGTTCTGGATATGGATCTTCCAATATTGGATCAGACCGTGAGTGACACACAGAGAGGCATACCGAGTACAGCGGACTTTGTGGGGACAGGGCTCCAACATGGCCCCCAGCCAGGAGCAGAGCATGCAGAGTTCTGAAACGACGCTAAGCCGCAGCACCTGCGTCGGAGCGCAACTTTAGGTGTTTTGGACGCGATGGCGGGGCAACGCGTCTCCCCATTGAACGAACCTCACTCAGCCTGCACCGCTAAGGAAATGCATCTTTCAGGGACTCCCTTTCGTCTACCAAAACACTCATAGAATCTGCTGCCCACGACTCAACTTGTTGTTGGCTTAGTATTCCACCCTGTAGTTCCTGGGCCGCCAAACTATTCTTTCCCAATAAAGACGTCGCATAGCTTGCTGCCTCACCTTCCACCCTCGGTCGATCCGTTGTTTACACACACAGTGGTACTTTCCACTTGACTTTCCTCCCACCACACAAACAACGCAGTCCCCCTCGAACAGATCTTCTGCACGGGTTCCTCCTCCATCGGCCATCTTCCTCTTTGACAGACGCCCCAACTGCTTTACGGAGTTACATCCTGAGCTCGCAGGGTTGTCGTCACCATGACCCTCAAAGACGTCTACCAGCGTTTCCTGGAGTTACCCAATCCGATCACCCTGTCCGAGAATGCCTCCCTGCATTACATTACCACCCTGAATACCTTCACACAGCCTGTCAACATCGTTCGGCATCTTGAGTCTCAAAACAAAAAGTTGGTCAAGACCAAAAGTGCGAGAATAATTTCGAGCGTAGAGGGACCTAATGCCGTCGCCCTTGAAGTTGAGACGGTGCTGGAGTTCATCTCGGATGGGGGATCATACTTGCCAGGGCTTGAGAACTTCGTTGTCGATAAGATTGCGACCATTCCAACGGTATGAAAGCTCCGGGCCACACAACAACGACATGAGGACTGACAGTGAACCCAACTAGACTCATTTTGTCCAATTCGACGCCGAACAGAAAATCTCCGTGATCCGTATCTCCTGGGATCAAGCGTCATTGCTGAAACAGACCGAAGTGATTGGTTCAAGAGGCAAGAATTGGCCCGTGGTTGACGGAAAAGACCAGGTCAGACTCATCAGCTCCAGCGTGACGGCGGGTCCCCCAACGGCAGAACTGCCCACCAGTCCCAGAGGTCGCTCCGAGAACCAAAGCCTTGCCTCTTCGCGCAATGCGTCCCCGAGTAAGAGGCACCTCAAGGACCCTCATGCGAGCCTCGACCTCTTTTCACCGAAGCCGGTCGACGAGAACGAGCGAATTTCGGGCCCCAATGCTGTGGCTCCACGGGCATCTGCTCGACCGCCACCACGCGAGATGAGCGAGCTGTTCGCGGCGGGACATGAAGACCATGAGCCAGGATCGCCCAAGAAAGCACCTACCGAGCCTGTCGTGGCGCCCAAAGGAGGCAGCAACCAGAAATTCGCCCCGCCTCGCCTCTTTGCTGATGATCCCAACGAGCCTGCTCCCGTCGGCTACAAGTCCAACCCTGCCAAGTACAACCATTTCAATCTGGGAGAAGAGCTGGAAGATGACCCACTGCAGTATCGTGACGCGACTCCCAAGCCGAAGACAACGATGCCAATGAGAGGAAAATCCAACAGACAGCAATCTCAATGGGATTTTGCGGACTTTTTCACTCCAGAGAAGATCACGCAGAAGGTGCGAGATCAAGACATCGTCCACTTCAGCCTGGACAGTACCGTAAATGATGCCGAGACCCCGGGGAAGAAGATGGTGGGCAAGCCACGGCGCGACAACGAGATCCACTTTGAATTGCAAGACGATGGAACTCCCATCGAGCGTCATGCCGTCCCAAAGCCTCGAAAAGATGCCGAGACACACTTTCAACTGAGAGACACTGGCACACCGGCTCCCACCCGTACCTCCGGACGTCCGACCAGCTCGGCCAGTGATCGCATGGGGCTATACGCTAATAATGTATTTGACGAGGATGAAAACGGCAAACCGCAGGAAAAGGCACCGTTGTCCACCATCACCAACAATACCAATCGCAAACATGATTTCGACAGTCACTGGTCGATGGCTGAAGCATCGCCAGCCAACGGAAAGAGCAACAACGAGAACAAGCCGGTCAGCAAGCACCGCAAGAAGCCGTCACAAATGGACACCCACTGGGATGCGTACGAGGGGAGTACCGATCAGCCACAGAATCCCCCTGCGCAGAACCGGTTGAGAAAGGGCATGGAGAGTCACTGGAGCATGGGAGAAGAGGAGGAAAAGGCAGCCACCAATGGAAAAAGCAAGAATCAAAAGAGCTTCTGGGACTTTTGAGGATCCCGGGCAAGGAAACCGGAGTGGAGGAAAGAACAACAATATTGTCCTGGTCACATGATGGTCGTGCACGACTGTTGAAATGAGAGATGTCTATAGCATCGTCATGACATTGTTTAGGGGGGGCACTGAGGCTAATGGACAGATACATGTAGTTGAATACCAAATGCCATTTGTGCCTCTACAGCGGATGATTTGCTCCGCAGACGGCTTCTGCAGATTGACATCATGGTTATCCCATGGGTCCCAGGTCCAGGAACGGGGGAAATGGATCTGACGAGTAGGGCTCGGTAGAGAGCACGGGGAGTGAGGAATGGGCTGATAGCGGAACCGGAATTAAGGCGTCCCCCCTCTTTCGATGATCGACTTATTCCCTCCCTCTCTCCATACAACGAAGACTTATAGCCGGTGGTGGTATGGTCTCCCTCCTGCGTGCTGTGAGTCATCGGCCCGCCTAGTGGACGTATCAAATCATCGTCTGGCAGTCTGCGTTCGTTCGGTGCTGATAAACTACGTAGACTTCCGTAACGTGTGCATTGGCCGTGCATTTCCTCAGTCTGCATCGGCCAAATCGAGTCGCTTACCACTTTCTAAGGTTCTCTGCGCCGCCCGCTAGTCTCCATTCACTTTTTCTATTCATTCGTGGCGACTCCTTTCTTTCTTTCCTTTTCTTTTTCTTTTCCAAACTCTTGGCCGTCAGACGTGGCAGTGAGAAGACGCCGAGAACCGTTCTCACTTGGAGAAACCGAGGGCTGAGGAAACCTTTCCCGGCCATTGTCATTCACGTGCAGCCCCCCAGCCAAACTTCTGCTGGTTTTGCGCAGATAATCGTGTTAAATCCGGACGCACGCTCCAGCCAGGCTGCCACTTCTACCACGACTTCAATCGCCCTTTTTTTCACCTGGCCAGAGTACCCCTAGAGTCGCAAACATCGATTGAGCAACGACCTGCGCGTCCGGACCTCCGCAACCGGCTATTGTGACCGCATTGACACTGGTGGGGGATTTTGGTACTGTTGAGCGCACCCTTCCGCAGCCAGCTTGTGCAGCGGGGTTTTTACAGCAGCAGCGCATTCATCAAAATCGTCGAGAGGTTCGACTGCAAGACATAGCCCCCCGACTTCCTCACAATGACGCCCACGCCGCCTTCTGCGAACTCGTCGCATTCTGGCGCCTCTCCCGACCAATTCCGGGTCGTGCGCAAACGGAACCGAATCCCCTTATCGTGCGCGCCCTGCAGACATCGAAAGCTGAAATGCAATCGACAGTCTCCCTGCGATAACTGCACAAAACGAGGAGATACCGCCTCTTGCACCTATGCTGCCCCTGCGGCCAGGAAGAAGGGCAGCCAAAGTCAGAACGCTGCCAACGCGACACCGGATGATATGCAAAATCGGATAGACCGGCTTGAAGGACTGGTCTTGTCACTCATGACCAATGGCTCACAGGCAGTCGGTCCAGCTGCCGCAGCCCAGGCACTTTCGGCCGGATCGAGTACCATCGAAAGTGGATCGCTGGGACCGAATCTTGACAATGACTTGGACGAGGGCGCGATGGTGGACGACGATGTAGATGGCCAAGAACCCGAGAGTGAGACGGATGGTGTTACCAAGAGCTTTGGGATTCTGAAGGTTGACGCCGAAAGGCAAAAGACCTTTTACGTAGGCGAAGCGCACTGGGCAGCTTTGCTGAATGAGATTGGCGAAGTCAAGAACTATTTCGTCGCCCACAAGAAAGAGTACGAGGCCCAGATGGAGAAAGTCGAGCAGGCCCGGAAAACGATGGGTGCAGATGTAGGGTCAGGCCCAGCTTTACTCTTTGGCTCTACCATCCCCCCCAGCCGAGCAGAGATTCTCGCACAAATCCCATCACGATATATGTCTGATATCTTGATCGGACGATATTTCAACACCTTTGACCCAGCCACGCATATCCTGCACGGCCCGACATTTCAGCGACACTACAATCAGCATTGGGCAGATCCCTCCAAGAGCTCGATTGTTTGGGTGGCCATGTTGTTCGCCATGATGCGTTTGGCCATGTTGTCTTACGGTCGGGAAGGCGATGAGCCGCCCGAGTTTCGGGGCAAATGTCAAGATCTGGCTGCGAACTTCCGCACGCAAATGGCCCATTGTCTCATCACGGCTGACTACACGAAACCACACAACTATATCATTGAGACGCTGATTTTTCATCTGCATGCGGAATACACTTCCAATCGAGACGCCGAAGCCAGTGTCTGGGTCCTGGTCGGCATGATTGCTCGTCTCGCCATGCGCATGGGCTATCACCGTGACGCGAAGCTGTTCCCCAATTTGAGCCCTTTCCAAGGCGAGATGCGGCGTCGGGTTTGGACATTTGTACGCAGTGCTGATCTCCTCTTTTCCTTTCAGGTGGCGTTGCCATCGATGATTCGCATTGGGGACTCGGACACGGAATTGCCGCGCAACATCTACGATGACGAGTTCGATGAAGACTCCACGTCATTGCCTCCGGCCCGTCCTGCCAGTGAAGCAACGCCAATCTCATACATGATTGCGAAGGGACGACTGTCGTTTGGGTTTGGGCGGGTTTTGGAGGAGATCAACGGGGTCAACCGCAAAGGGTATGACGAGGTCCTCAAAATTGATCGTGGATTGAGAGATATTTACGAGAGTATTCCGGATCATCTGAAGCTTCGACCGATGGCAGAGCAGACGCTGGCACCCATCTCCCTGATCATGGCGCGCTTCAGCCTTGCCACGGTTTATCACAAGTCCCAATGTGTCCTCCACCGCCGGTATATGCGGCTTGCCAGAAATGGGAACCGATATATGCACTCGCGAAGGCAGTGTTTGGACTCGGCCATGCAACTCCTCAGCTTCCAAGCCATTCAACATCAGCAGAGTCGGGAACGTGGCCGACTGAGAAGTCTCCGCAACCATGTGAACTCACTGACTGCGCACGACTATCTCTTGGCTGCAACGATCGTCTGCATGGACTTGTACAATCACCGGGAGCGGCCCGACAGTAACAGCAACGATGTAGGTACTCCCAGTACTTCCGTCAGTGGTGGCAGTATCAGCCAAGGCAGCAACATGTCGTCAGACGGAGCTTATGTGCCTGGCCTCAGCTACAACCGCGAAGATCTCATCCATGCGTTGGAAGAGAGCCGCGATGTGTGGATGGCGAACCGTGACCTGAGCATCGAGGCGTATAAGGCAAGCGAGCTTCTGAACGTACTGATCTACCATATCAAGCTGCCGAATTCGCCCAGCAACCCTCAGAACTCGCAGCTTCCGGGGGCATCTCAACCGCCTCCGGGCTCGAACAACGACGAGCAGAACGCCGCGATGACCCTGGGCATGCTTCAAGCGGGAGGCGTGGGCTCCAATGGACTGGGCGGAGGTATATCGCAGGCGGCGTCACCAGGGGGATCGTGGGAGAAGGGAGGAGCGTATCCCAATTTCGGTGCCAGCGGTGAACAGTTCAACGGTGGAATCTTTGGGGCCGCAAATGTACCAAGTCCTTTCCCCAGTGGGTGGTTCGGTGGTCCGATGAGCAACATGGACCAGGGCATGAATTTAGATTGGGTAAGTTGGGAAGGCTCAGGCCGAAACATGTTGGTCATAAATACTAATCTCGGTTTACAGGAGGCATGGGATCAATACATGCAGCCCTCGAATCTCACACTGGACCCAGCAGCGAGCTTGTGGTCGAACAACTCGCCCAATAACAACCTGTTCACGCAAACTTCGTCTCCTGAAAACACTACCGCCGACTCGACATTTGGGCTGAGCACGGGGTCTAGTTTCTATCCTCAGACCATGGGAAGCATGATGAGTGGGTCGACATCAGACCTCCCCAAAACCGACGGATCGGGGCAAAAGATGCCCGCCTTGAGTGCAAATTCCACCACGAGCAACGATAACAGCGCTGCGGGAGAGGTGTTTATGGGCGTGCAGAGTCCGCCGATGCCGAGTTGGAAATGGACCGTGATGAGTGACAAGAAATGAGGGTTTGATGTTACGAGAATGATACCCGTCCTTGGTTTGTAACGATATAGCTATTGGTCGGAAATGGGAATGGACTACGTCGAGCTAGCAGAGGAAAAATACGGAAAACGCCAAAGAAGGCGTGTGTAGATGAGGGATGAGGATCCGTTATATAGGCACCAGGGTGGATGAAAGCCCCCTCGTTGGCTGGGGACAAATTGTAAAAAGGAATGAATGAATCTCTTGGGAGGCGGAGGGGAAGTGTCTCTGCTTGCGTTAGTTGGCCTGCTCATACCTCAATGATGCATCTATTCCATGATATCGTCTCTACGCCAAAATGGTGAGGTCGAGCTGAAAAAGGCCAAGACGCCTGACCAGTAGGGCGAGAAGTGTTGGTGTTGATACACGTACATACAAGTCCAGAACCTGTCCACTCTATCCTGCTCCTGGTCTAGCCCGTGTCGAGCCGAGCCTAAAACAACGACCCCTAGCGAGCCAAGCATTATACGGATCGGCGTTATTACCCATCAATTCCTCCCTGAGGCCTTCCAGGCTCTCTTTTCTCCACAATCACTTCCTTCCTCCATTCCTTTTCGTCTCCAGCTGAGGGCGACACAATGCACGACAAGACATGACCAAGCACAGCCAACGGGTCCTCGAGGGCCAAGCACTCTTGTCCAGCTTACAAGCTTGTTTGCTACGTGGATTTAATTAATTCTGACTGCGGTTTGTCTTGTCACCGCCTTTGTACTGACACTTGGAGACGTCTTGGTAGAGTAACCTTTCAGCCTCCCTTTCCCTTGAAACACTCTCTCGTCGCTGCCAGTACGACGGGGACTTTATTCTCACTCGAACCGATCCTACTCATTTCACGCTCCCATCCCTGACTCTGTTTCTCATACTGACTCATGCCCCTTCGTTGTTTTCTCTCCTCTTGTTCCTTCGATATGTCCCCGTGAGGCTCCCCCGATCATTGCTGTTTGCCCGACTTACATCCAAACCATCCACGCAGTAGAACCTCAGTTCAAAGTCGATACTGACTCGACCCTACCTCCCCGACTACGCACCCTCATACCTTCGGTCATGGGCCTGTTTAACCACAAGAACAAATCTGGTTCCGCCATAGACGAAGCTGCCACCACCAACCGCGTCGCAGAAAAGCCCAATGACGCCAGCGATTCTACACCGGCCTCCTCGGCCACACCTGTGGCCGAAGAAGGAGTCCTTCCTAGATACAATCACAATGGCCATCTGATAACAAAAGGCATCCATCCGGATGGGGAGAGTGGTCGCCGCGGAATACACCCAATCCAATGCTTAAAGGTCATATGGATATCATCTTGCACCGTTTCGAGCTGGGTCAACCTCCTGTGGCCTTTCGTCCCCGCCGCAATTGCCCTCCACTTTGTCCAGGGAGACCACCATCTGTGGACCTTTGCTATCAACTACATCGCTATGGTGCCTGCTGCCAATCTGCTCGGTTTTGCTGGACAAGAGATGGCGAGGAAACTACCCAAGGTCATGGGCATCCTCATTGAGACAACTTTGGGATCTGTCGTGGAGATCGTCTTGTTCATGGTCCTCGTTGTTAAAGATGATGGAACGGGCGAGACTGGGCCAGGCAATAAGATCGTGGTGATCCAAGCCGCCATCCTCGGGTCCATTCTTACCAACCTCCTACTGTGCCTGGGGTCCTGTTTCCTAGTGGGAGGGTTAAGGCACAAGGAACAAACATTCCACGCGGTCATCAGTGAAGCGGGATCGGGATTGCTCTTGGTTGCAGGATTTGCCCTCCTAATTCCCAGCGCTTTTTACTCCTCTTTGAGTCGAAGCACTGTCCCAAATGGGGAAGAAGGATATACCGTTTCACAGTTGCGCAGTGACACTCTCGACATCAGCCATGGCGTCTCCGTCATCCTCATCGTTGCCTTTGCCCTCTACTTGCTGTACAATTCACTTTCGCACGACAACATTTTCCAAGAAGTCCTCGAAGCCGATGAAGAGGCTGATCGAGACCGGCACAGAGACCTCAAAAAACCGAAGTTGACCATGACCGAGTGTATCACGGTCATTGCCATCGCCTTGACGTTCATTTCCCTCATTGCAGTCTTCCTAGTGGAGGAGATCGAGTTTGTCGTTGCGAATGGAGTGCCGGACAACTTCTTGGGTTTGATCCTCGTGCCATTGGTGGAGAAAGCTGCGGAACATTTGACTGCCGTCGACGAAGCGTATGACAATCAAATCGTTAGTTCTTTCACTCTAGGACTGGGAAGGACAAAAGTTGCTGACACAGACTGTCTAGAATTTCGCTCTCTACCACTGTCTTGGGCCTTCCATTCAGACGGCCTTGTTCAATGCCCCCCTCGTCGTCATTGTGGGTTGGGGTCTTGGTAAACCGATGGATCTGAACTTCGAGATTTTCATGGTCGTGCTTCTGGTGATGTCTATCTTGGTGGTTGGCAATTTTCTCAGGGATGGAGCTTCCAACTACCTGGAAGGCTCGCTGCTTGTGGTACGTTCCCCCAAGACTAACCAGAAGCCGGATTCCCTTAACTAACCACGATGCACTCAGATTGTGTATGCGATCATCGCACTAACAGCGTGGTACTATCCTAATTCCGAGTTGACCACGTCCAACGGTAGCTCGGAAGGGACGCAAAGCAGCGGTGGAGAAAGCACCGAAGCGCTGGTCCATGTCGTTAAAATGCTGATGGCTTGAGCATACAATATGCGACACTTGAAAATTCGACGCTCTTGGGAGAGGCATTTTATGTTTGTTAAAGGGGACAGACAACAGATGTGCTTATCAGGATTACAAAGTTACCAAAACATGGCGTCCAGGTGTCTGTGTTCCTCGTGCTGTTGGCGGCAATCCTACTCGCAAGAGCTGTACGTTGTTTGACGACAAAAGGTATATATCAAAAGGGACAGACAGCTTTACAGAGGCTAACGAACCGCTTAAGAAAGGTCTCTCCGATCCATGCTTATAATATCGACTGCATGTAAAAAACGATTGTAGCAAGGTGCCCCTGCAAGGCTATTGCCGGGCGAGGCTGCGTCACGCCTTGGGTTTCCTGGTCCCCATCTCCAGCGTAAGGAAACCAGCTTGACAGGTAGGCGGGCATCTAGAAGACAACCATCTGCTCAAGTAGGGGTCCTCAACTACTTCGTAAAGACCGTCAGCCCAAATGGAACAGGGCTGAAGTCGAGTCGAACCTTAGAGGGCGCAGTTCACGAAAAGAAATTCCACAAAGACGGGAACAGGAGAAACAAAATAAATTGTCTCTTTAAAATAGAACGGGCTCGTGGACACACGAATCTCGGGCACAGGGCTGGGCTGCAGGAAGACGAGCACACTATTAGTTCTGGATTTGCGGGTGTCCTTAACGGGGAACAGCTGCACTATCGGGAAGGGGACCCGTAATTCTAGGCGGTCCATGCGGATATCGGTGAACACCAGTCAGATATCCAGGCTTTATGCTGGGCGCTGGTGGGCGTCGGTTGGCGTAGGCGGGCGCTGGCGGGCACTGGCGGCCTGGGGAGATTGGCCTCCAGGCGTTGCCTCAGGAGCTTGGCATACGCGCGGTGGACACTAGACGGTAGCTGGGACTCTCGGACTCAGGCAAACACTACCCTTTGCCCCCGGTTACCCAGTAGTTGGGTAGGAACTGCGTACCACAATAACCTTTTTACCATCCACAGCGTGAGACGACAACCCTCGTATGCAGATACCCAGCATCACATCATAGCAACCACAGTGTCTATACTAGTCAGCAGTCTATACGCTGACCTCGGTGCTGCATTGCTAGTTCCCTCCCTGTCTTGAATCCCATATTACTTGCAGACGTCCAATCACATCCCAATGAGCAACGAACTCTCGAACCCGACCGAGATATGACCTCCGATCATCCTACGCCCTCGACGCACCGGTGACCTACCGCCCAATGCTCACATCCCTCCTCCCCTCGTAGGTCTCTTTCCAACCCCGTGAGACTGAGATGCCATCTGTGGCATCGGAACCTCCTCTGGCCGTCGTCTCCAATAGCGTCCACTCGAATTCTTCCTCGCTGGAGGGCCCTCCGAGAAAGTCCCACGACAAGACCATCAGCGGCGTCTTCACCTACACAAACGGGACCGATGTCGAGGCTGGATTGTCTGATCACAGACTGGATCAGCTTAAGAGCCTGCGCAACAATACGAGTCACAGCTCCCTGACGAATGGCATTCCGAACGGGAATGTCAAGGCCCCCCCTCGAGATCGCTCGCAGTCCAAGACCGGCAGCAACACTTCGGCCGCGAGCACAAACGCTGCTGCCAAGTACACTGAACAGCTGTCGAGGAGTCCCGCGTCGTCAGAAGGACCATTGACCAAGTTATCCAGTATTGAGAATGCGGCAGAAGGGGACGACGAGCAAAGCAATGACCTCTCCGGACAGTCATCAAGGCCGCAGTCGACGCCAGAGTTGGGTAAACTGAAAACGAATATCCCTCCCGGAAAGCCCGAGTATGATCCCTACCACATGGTTACGGCTTCGACCGTCCCCGATTCGGCACGAATAGAGGGAGACACGACCTCCGCTGACCTCTCTCGCCCCCCCGCTCCCGCCCTCGCACGCTTCTCCTCTCCACCCGCCATGTCCCCGGGTGCGTCAATACAAGATCGACATCCTGAATTATCAGCGAGTCCTGAGCCCCCGAAACTCACGCATCGTCACACCCTACAAGTCCCGAAGGCCGGGGGCATTGGCGCAGTCGGCCGGAGTTCGCGCGACTTCTCTTTCGCAGGTGCCCCTTCTGAAGAAGCGCTCTCCACCACCACTGGCCGCTTCTCGCCCACACGAGAACAACATGATGGCACTGTGGTGAGGCATAGACGGGCGTCCCTTGGCCTGGTTCGTAGGACAACTCGGTCGATGCAATCGGATGCCCACATGGATGAAGTTCCCCCGGATGAAGACGCCGCACGATGGACGGAGCTGATCAAGCAGAAACGAGCGAGCAGGCGCAAGAGAAAAGAGGACGAGGATGACGACCGCGTCATCGTCGGCAAGAAGGTCGAGGAGGGCCACGTCAACTGGGTGACCGCTTACAATATGTTGACCGGAATTCGATTTACTGTGTCGAGAACGAATGCAAAGATGGACCGGGAACTGACGGATGCCGACTTTGACGCAAAGCACAAGTTCAGCTTCGATATCACCGGAAACGAACTGACGCCCAGCGCCAAGTACGACTTCAAGTTCAAGGATTACAGCCCTTGGGTCTTTCGGCACCTCAGGGCTATCTTTGGTCTGGACCCGGCCGACTATCTTGTCAGTCTAACCAGCAAGTATATCCTCTCGGAATTGGGCAGCCCCGGCAAGTCGGGCTCATTTTTCTACTTTTCGAGGGACTATAAGTACATCATCAAGACGATCCATCACGCCGAGCATAAGCTGCTTCGGAAGATCTTAAGGGATTACTATCGACATGTGCTGGACAACCCGAACACGCTGATCAGCCAGTTTTACGGATTGCATCGGGTCAAAATACCTTATGGGCGCAAGATACATTTCGTGGTCATGAACAATCTTTTTCCGCCGCACCGAGATATCCACCAAATGTTTGACTTGAAGGGGTCGACCGTCGGCAGAGACTTTAGTGAGGAAGAGTTGGCTAATAACCCTAGGGCGACGCTGAAGGACATGAATTGGTTGCGGAGAGGTTTGCATCTCGAGTTCGACGCCCGCATACGACAGATATTCTTGGACCAGATGAAAAGAGACGTCGCTCTCTTGCAGAGGCTCCACATTATGGATTACTCGTTGTTGGTCGGTATGCACGACCTAGAGAAAGGTAATGAAGAGAATCTGAGAGAGACCACGCTGCAAGTGTTTCAGCCCGGTGGAGAGAACAACGAGGACGACTATGGACCCTCTGTGTTGACTCGAACACCATCCCGACTGGAGAATGCGAGAAAAGCGCGGGAATTGAGATTGACGCTGAAGAAGGAGAAGCCCATCCCTATGGGCCTGGTCACTGCGAAGATGCCGTCTGAGATGGCCTCCGGGGATGGACGACGGGATCGCGTTTTCTACAATTATGATGGCGGCATTCGCGCTACGCATGAGGATGGGCGAGGTGGTGAATTGATCTACTACCTTGGCATCATTGACTGTCTGACCCATGTAAGTGGATCTTCTGCACCCTCGGTCCCAAGTTGCGACTAACCCTTTGACCCTAGTATGGTATGGTCAAAAGAATTGAACATTACTGGAAGGGTCTTTCGGCACCGCGGGGGCAGATATCAGCTATTCCTCCGCAAGCGTATGGAGAACGGTTCATCAATTTCATCACTGGGATCACCATGACCCAAGAAGAAGCCAAGAGGCGAGAAACCGGCGAGAGTCACCGATTTTGGGAACAAGTACCGGTACAGGCTGGATCTGCGGAGAATCTCGGACAGCCCCCAGGCGCCGCCTCTTCTGCGGGTGTCGACCCATCTACCGTGCAGTCTCCGTCCATGGGCCCGGCCGTGGAAAGGACCATGAAAAAAGCCCACAAACAAACCGACAAAGCGACGCCGTCTGCGAAAGGCTGGAGCCAAAATGAAGAGGAAAAGCCAGACCGGACATTGAAAACAACCGAGGACTCCCGGGCCGCCATGACTCTACCTGTCGTCACCGAAGCTGGTGAAAGCGCCGGGTCCAGGGAAAAGAAACGGGCGCTGAGTCCACCGAACGAGGCGGAAGAAGAACGAGAAACTCGTACCCCGGACTTGACCTCGTCTCCTGTTCCCGTCGGCGGCTCGTCCATTCCAGGCGTCCGCAGAGTGTCCCCTTCGACAGTGGCAACGGCGACCGAAATGGGAGAAGACAACACGAGCATGTCAAGTCCACCGACTCAACCCCTTGATTACGACGCCGAGTCGGACGACGAAACGCACTCACTGCGGAATGGGGACGTCGACATGGAGCGGGAGTTCAATGCAAAGCCGCCTCGAATAGCAAGCGATCTGATCCAACCCCAGTCCCCGCTCCAGGATAGCGTGATGAGATCGCTTGATGGGCAGATGGGGCATCCTGGGAACCACTATTGAGTGTCATTTCAGCACTACACGTCTCGTACGACTTGAACGAAGAGCGCATGCAGTCTTTTGTTGAGAGCGTCAGCCATTTCATTTGTTGTTTTCAGTCACATCACCCGACGGGGAACATGGTTTCATTATCGAGGGATCTGTCAAGCTTTTGGCCACCGGCGCATAGATGACGAACAGCGGGTCACACACAGCCGAGAAAAGGATACGTTGACAACGGTCGGAGCATTGAGAGCTGCTTCTTGGACGGACGAGGGCATCCCATTTTCTATTCGGTCGTGAGGCAACACTGGGGGAGCAGGTTCTTATGAGCGCCGTGTCCTGAAGCGGACATGTCTCCTGCTTCCACCCACAAAAGGAGGCGGCGTCAGGGTTTTGCGCAAAGATTCACACAGTACTTCTGTTTCCACTAGCGACTTGTTTGAGTGGATGACGATGATGGGTAGAGGAGAGCGAGTTATTGGAAGAGAAGCATATTTTGTACAGATAACAGCAGGCTCGCCTGGTTTGACACACTTGCACACGCGCGCCACGAGTCTCTTGGGATGCGGAAGGAGGAGTAGTGGTAGTAGGTCGACCGTGACGGCGCCAGCATACGTACCCGTAGACCCTGGACAGATGACTGACGTATTTTGAAACATCTACAAGGTACGAGGTACGAGGTACTCGATAACCTGCCAGCAGTGAGTCTGTCTGGCATTCATGATTATCTTCCTCTTGCGGGTGGGCGGCGGCTCAAAGTGACAGGCAGGCAGGCACCCAAGGCAGTCCTGGATTGCCCAAAACAAGGTTGAAGATCAGGCTAGCGAGGCTCACCAAGACACATCTAAGCGCCCCTCGACCCCCCAAAACAAGAAATTTGGCGCCGGGTCTACGTAATGCCGCCTCCGCCCTTCGCCTCACTAGCCCTTACTCACGGGGGGACGAAGTCACCTGATGATGATGACGACGACGATGATGATGATGGGCAGTCCAGTCACTGGTGACACTACTGCTACTACTACTCCTCCTACTGACGCCGCACGGAGCCTGCAGGATCGTGGCGCAAATACAAAGGATCAGCCTCCCCCATCCTTCGGCGGCGAGGGCGGCCGCCATCCATCCATACATAAAAAACCTTTGCCCCGTGGGATCTAATTATTTACATATCTATTCTGAGATTCAGATTCAGGCCCACGAGAACAGTTCGATTGCAAGCACGCAAAAGCACGTCGTCGCGTCGAGTGCCCAACACGAGAAGCTAAGAACCACCACCACCACCACAACAACACTCCTGAACAACAATGGCTCGTCCCGCATCTTCTACTGTAAGTGTTGGCTCTCCGTTTCCTGATTATCTTCCTTCTACTTGACAATCGGTGAAGTGCAAGGAGAATTTGAATGGCATCCAACTAGCCCTGATGATATCGAACAACAAACAAGACCGCTTCCTGCCTGAGTGACTGATGAACTAACCCGTTGGCGCGGTCTAGAGCGATGTGTGCCTGTACTTCCTGGCGCTGTTCCTGCCGCCCCTGGCCGTCTTCTTCAAGACCGGCTGCGACTCGAACTTCCTCATCAACATCCTGCTGAGTATTCTGGGGTGGTTGCCCGGCGTGCTGCGTAAGTCTTCTTCCCATTTCCCCGCCCCTCCCCCTTTGTGGTCTATTCGATGTGGTGTGAACGAACATGTTCTAACCTGTTCTCGCGCGACGCGTTCTACGACTACAGATGCCTGGTGGATCATCACCAAGTTCGAGAAGCCGGCATTGACCGCCGTGTAAAGCCATGATAGGAGGGCAGTGGCCGGAGAGGATGGTGCAGGTTATGACGGTTGGGACTCTACTTTTTGTTTCAGTTCTGATGATCCGGGGGGACCGGCTCGGGGTGTTTTGATACCCCTCCTCAATTATTTCTACGTCCTGTTTTGCAGGAATTTCGTTTCATAACGTTGGGTGAACTCAGCTCTGTCCAGGACTAGGAGAGGGAATCCGTGTTGTGCGCGAAGTTTACACTAACAACAGTGTCGTGACTGTGGGCCTGGCTGGGGTGGGTTAGGGAGAATGTTGCAATGATGATGATGGGTGTAAAGCTGTTGGAATGGAACCTCTTTCACACTTGTTCTGGGAGGGATGTCCTCTCCTTTTTCTCGACGACTTTTGCATGTCGCACATACGAAACTCTAGCGGGGCCGGGAGGATTCAAAGGATGGACAATGACCAGCACTAATAATGGCGACAGAGCATATCATGCATGGAGTCTTGCCACACATCGCAAGGGATCACAGCTGTAGACTACTGCATGTTCTGTCAACCGACTCAACTCGGCTACATATTCAGCTGGACTTCAACCACCTCTCTGTGACAAGAGGCCCACCAGGGGCGCGCTTTCCTCATTCCTCGGGACAGCTAGACGTGACACTAGGGGATATTCTACTCATAATCCTCCGTTCTTTTTGAAGGCGACATGACTCTATAGCCATGCTCGTGCAAGCTTGTGGATCGGCGACATAACAACCTTGCCTTCAAAATCAAGACGATGGGAAAATGTTTCCGAGACGAGGCTTTCGAAGAGGGTAAGGGAGATGTCGCCGGTGATGAACGGAGACTTTTCCTGCATGAGGTCCACCACAGTCGAACAGACCGCCCTCATAAGTCAAACCTGCACCGGGCAGCGGATGCCATTTCCAACGCGGGGCCGGACAGGCGGGTTGGCAGGTGTCGGTGAGTGTTGAGTTTGTTGTCGGTGAATGTCGTTGGTGCTGGTGCGGGAGTTTTAGTGGAGAACCGAGATTTTGGTCGTGTGCAAAAAAATCTGAGCGACTTCAAAACCGACAGCCGAGCACTGCAGACACAGTCATCCTGCTTGTCATCCGAGGATATCTCCGTTTGAAATCTTTTGTTCTTTGCTTCTCTCACTTCAGGATCTGGGGCACAGCTTGACTACCAGAGTCATCCTTGAGCCATATTGCATACCACGGGCCGTTTCACCTTTCCTGTACCCTCAGCCCGCCAACATGCCTTCTCGATCTGCTGAAACCGGCCTCAAAAGAAAGCGCTCGAGTACGTCCACGCCGTCAGGGTCGATATCTCAAGACTCTCCCCAGCAATGAACGACTCCTCCGCTCCTTCAAAATTCTAACCGTGTCCCTTTTCCTTTGGCTCACACTTTTTCGCAGGAGCGCAGTCTCTCCCCCCGCCCGAACTCCCCCGACTCGTCGCCGAACAACACGTCCCTATCGCAGCGAACGACAAAGACACCAAGAGACTGATTGTGGTGCTCTCAAATGCCTCTCTGGAGACGTACCGAGCTGCACACGGCGGAAAATCCGGGGGGAAAGAAGAGAAGTATTCGCTCTTGAACAGCGACGAACACATCGGCGTCATGCGGAAGATGGGCCGAGACATCAGTGATGCCAGACCCGACATCACCCACCAGGTGGCTATACATCCCACTGAACCTCTCGTAGGGGCGAGCTGACTTCAACGTCCAGTGCCTGCTTACGCTGCTCGATTCCCCGATCAACAAGGCGGGTAAACTACAGATCTACATTCACACGGCCAAGGGCGTCTTGATCGAAGTCAGCCCCACCGTCCGCATTCCTCGGACCTTCAAGCGGTTTGCCGGTCTCATGGTCCAGCTGCTGCACAGGCTCTCGATTCGGTCGGTGAATTCACAGGAGAAACTGCTCAAGGTCATCAAGAACCCCATCACGGATCACCTGCCACCAAATTGCCGGAAAGTCACTCTCAGTTTCGATGCCGAAGTTGTGAGAGTTCGCGACTACATCGATACCCTGGGCCCCAACGAGAGCATCTGCGTCTTCGTCGGAGCCATGGCCAAGGGCAAGGACGACTTTGCCGACGAGTTCAAGGACGAATCTATTAGTATCAGCAACTACAGCCTCAGCGCCAGTATCGCTTGCAGCAAATTCTGCCACGCCTGCGAGGATGCCTGGACAATCATCTAAGGGCGACAGGACTTTTGCAATCAAGGTAACGCCTTCCCAAAGACGACTGATACTTCCTCGCAGGTCTTGATTGTCTCTTCCTCCAGCCGCGGGCCATTCGGGCGACTTGGCTCGATCACAACATCGTGGCCCGGTTGCGTTGAATGGCCCCTCGAAACGGTTTGTGCTGCATTGGGGGAGTGTTGGATCTGGCGTTTGTTTTCACAACAAGACATAACATGGTTCAACAAATCCTCAAGGCGAGATTTCTTTTCTCCGTCTGAGATACCCGTAGGGGCACGTCAACCTGCCCTACACAGCTATCGTCAGGAAACCAGAACAATGAGTGATGAGCAAAAGTTTGGAGGAGGAGCGCCGGTCTCGGCGAGTCGTCATCGATCGTGGTGCGGACATTTCTGGCTACATGTCCGTCGAGTAGCAGCTGAAAGGTGCTGCTTCTGCCCACCCGTCAGCTGGGCGAGGAGTGATGTATTTCAGCACCTCCTCATACTTATCTATATACCACCTTCCACCACGCTCCTGTGCACGGGGTTTGTCGTGATAGATGTATCGTCTCGACGATACATGACTCTCCCGCCTTTGCCAAAATCTCTGAGTGACTCCCTCACAGCCTCCTCCGAACCATCCCTATGCAGGGCATGCGAAGGGGAGTCACGTGAATGGAGGGTGCCTGCACCACTAGCCAGACAAATGTCCCATGCATCTCAATGATTCTCCTCGCCTCTGCATCGGTCCTTTTCTCTACCACAAATACGTTCTCCTTGTTGCCACCGTGCTGCGTGGCTTCGACTCGACATCCTGTGACCACAGGCAATCAGTCAATCCATGAGTAGTCGACCACCAGAGGCTCATCCTCGGCAACCCAAGGCAGACAGAGATGTTGAGTTCTTAGTATGTACATGGTGGCTCCATGGTGATATGGATGCAGGTCGTGTCACACTCGTTGTCGAGAAACACCCCCAAAGGCGAAGGCGAAGGCGAGGGTCACCCAACTGAGCGAACCCAAGTCACCGAGTGCTAAGTCGATGCATTGACGCCCGACCGAAATCGCGACGGGCCGCAACCAGTCATGCCGCTGCGCCGTTCCCCGACTCCATCAAAATGCCGCTGTGCTTCCAATCACGCCTCGACAAATATTCAAAATTGGGCCATTTTCTTTCTCGTTTTCCCCTTCTATGGCTTCTTTCTGTCCCGGATCATTCCCTCCCTCCCCCGGCCCACCGCTGCTATCCGCCCCTCAGACTTCTTCGACGTGGCACTTCCCCCGGCACCGTTTCATCGCCCATTCCCGCCTTTCTCGATTCGTTCGCCACCATCGACATCTGGAGCCTCTTCTCGCCTCACCCAGCATGCATCACGCATTGTATTTCCCAGCCCCCCTCGTCTCGCCTTCCCATGTCAGATGGGCCTAATCAGGCGCCTACGGGAAGCACGGTGCAGGTACCCCTTCGGCACTCCCAGATCCCGCCGTTGGGTCGTTTGACCCCATGGCTAAGGTTTCATGGGATGAGAAGAACGGTTGTCCGATGGATGGCTGATCATCACAAGACTTGTAGCGAATAAACCGCCGGTTGGTCCCAGTCATGTTGGATGCCCATTGCTGATCTTTCGTCGACTCCTCCTCCTCCTCCTCTTCTCCTTACTGAGGGTCTTATATACCGGACAGCATCGTGGTCAAGTCCTGGCCTACCCTCTCTTTGATCCTTGTCGTACAACTTCGCAGACCGCTGGACTTCCCTTGCGTTCCTGTACCAAAATCCTCATCACGGTGACACAGTCCGTGGGATATTGGTGATTCCAGATTGCGAGTGTACTCGCCCGGGCTCCAGACCCCTTACCCTTCCAGACACACAGGCTGCGAAGCTCAACGAGACTCATCGTTGGTTCAGAACTCCGAGAGACATTGACCGGCTGTGCTTGACCAAGCAGGGAGTCCTACAACGTTCAAACGAGCACATCACGACCTCTTCAGCGTTTTCTCACCTGCCTCAACGATCTCATGCCTTCCTCCATTACCCTCACAGTCAGCCACCTCCCGACGTCGACTTCATTCTTTCTCTCCGCCCTGCAACCGCTCAACTACGTCTTCCGTGGCCGACAAGAGCACACCATCGGATTTGGCCCCGCGTCTCCACCCAATACCCCGGCCGACTTCTGGATCACACAAGAAATCCCCGGCGTGCCAGCGGGGGCGGCCCACGTGGCTTTCCCTGCGGCATCCCGGGCGCAGGTGCAGGATTTCTTCCTCGCTGCTCTCAAGGCCGGGGGGAAGATCCACGGGGAACCATGCCAGCGGGACGCCTCGGGATATTACTCGGCCGCGGTGATCGACTTTGATGGGAACTCCATCGAGGCAGTCTACAGGCCGGCCTTTGGCGCCGACGCGGGAGACACGAGAAGTGTGGTGTCTCATCGGAGTGCAAGACCCCCGTCTACGGTGGCCCCGCCGAAAACGGTCGTGTCTACCACAAAGAGCGTCCGAGCACCAACCGTGGTCCCGTCGTACGTCTCCAGCCCGCCAGATGTCCCCCTTGAAAATACCCAACCCAAGCCCAAGCCTTCCGGCGATGTTCTTGGGTCGTTGATCAATGAAGCCCGCAACGCCGCGAACGTGGCCCGCGACCTTGTCAGCAGCATGACACCGAATCTCATGTCTGCCGGCCCGCCAGCGTCGTCCACCGGCAACAACTCCACGGGCGGCGGTAGCGGAGCAGGTGAAGCTATTGTTGGCACTCTCCTCGGCGTCGCTGCCGGCGCCGCGCTACACTACGCTTTCAGCAACCGATCCAAGGAAGACACTCGGGACGACCGAGAAGAAGTCAAGTTTGTGCCACCCCCACCACGCCCTTCTGGCACCGGTCGCAGCGTCACCGAACCTGTCAACGTGATGCGCGCAGAATACTCGACTGTCCCCTCCGAGTACCAGGGATTTGCCGAGGGATATGGCTACCGGGCCATTGAACCGGCCCCTTCAGCATACACGCATGCTCCCCGGGAATTCCATGACCAAAAGCTCATCGCCATGTACGACCACGACCCTCCGGCGCCTACTGTTCACACGTTCCCCGATCACACATCCACCATTCGCCCTGCCTCGGTGGCCAGGAGAGTGAGCATGGATTCTGGAGTTGGCCTCGGGGTGGTGCAACGCGATGTTGATGCGGCGTCACACGCTTCGTCGAAAGCGTCCCGGCAGTCGAAAAAGAGCACGAATGCACCACCCCCGACCAGTTACCGTGCGCCGACCGCGCTGACGGTGAAATCGAAAGTCTCGGCTGCGTCCGGTGGCGGTCGTTCGAAATCGCGCTCCAGCAGTTTGAGTCGTCTGGGTCGGAGTCTCAGTGGTCGCTCGTCGGCGGACCAGCCGCGGTCGAGATCGCAGTCCCGACACAGCAACAAGTCGAGAAGGAGTCGGCGTGATGAGTTTGAGGATGATGCGGCGGCGGCGGACGAGGAGGAAGAAGCGAGGACGGTGTTGCACGTGAGCGAGACGGTTCACCGCTCGTCGAGCCGTGTGTCTTCGCACCACTCCCACACGCACGTTTCTGCACACCACTCCCACGCCGGATCCAAGGCTCCCAGCCATGTCTCGGTCCACCAGTCGCAGGCGGGGTCCAAGGCCCCGACTCATGTCTCCATGCACGAGTCCCAGGCAGGATCGAAGGCGCCGAGCCACATATCCAAGCACGAATCGGAAAGAGGCTCGAAAGCACCGAGCCATGTCTCGGCCCACGAGTCCCGCGCCGGATCCAAGGCGGGCAGCTACGTCTCGGGCCACGACTCGCAGGCGACGATCAAGCCGGCCAGTCGAATCAGCTCGCGGCACAGTCACCGAGACCCGGCCGAATATCCGCTCCCGCCATCTCGTGCGGCGACCTGGGCTGGTTCCGACGTCGGCAAGGCCAGCTTCGTGTCGGCGAGGTCGAACTTTGGACCGACGGGGCCGCGGACGATCATCGGCAAGCTCCAGCCTGCGCGGGATAGAGGAGAGATGACGACGGACGAGGAGGACAAGATCGAGACGGCGAGCGTGGTTTCTAAGCAGAAGGAATTGGCCAAGCTGGACGTCACGGACCGGGAGGTGAGGCCGGAGGACAGCGTCAGCCAGATCTCGGTGGAGAGCCGCAGGAGCCGGAGGAGCAAAGCGAGCAGTCGGAGATGAGGGCAGGAACCGGAAGGAGGGAATCTTTCATCGGCATATTGCTTTGAACTCATGGGATATTCATCATACATGGCAGCATAGCGCACACGGTTGTTTATTTCTTGGCTTTGGAGATGGCAGGTTCATTCCTGGTGATTGATATAAAGTCTTGTTGTGAGAGAGTGAGAGAGAGAGAGAGGGGAGTTTAGTGCAGCAACGTCGCATCCCGGTCACGGTAATATACACACATATACACAGGTGGATGAAGAGAAGGAACAGACGGACTCGGGGGAAAGACACGACACGTACAGCGTGCGAGTCGTTCGTTCTCGGGGGGAAAGTGTCATACGAGTGAATACACACACACACCATGGGAGACGCACTCCATCTTTGCATAGAGGGCGTGGGTGTATTCAACACGAGAGATTGTGTTCACCTCGCCGTCTTTGGAGGGAGCCACGGTTTCGAGGCTGGGGGATCCCGGTTCCCCCAACTTGGACCGGTCGTGTGTTGGCTTTCTTTCCATATCCTCACAGAGGGACACCGACCACATAATACAATGTATCGTGAGCATCTAATGATAGCCGTGGGAGAGGCCAGAAACGGGGGAACTGGTACGGGCTGATGGAAAAAAGGATAAGGAGGGTGAGTACTCAGTAGTAGTACATAGGTAGAGAGCCGCACGCATTGAGTGCGGGAGCGAGAGGGTGATCCGAAGTCATGGATTAATATCAATGTCTGAGTAAAGCGGCGGGAAGTTTGAGTCCCAACGTGACCACAACATCGGCCAGTTCTGGCTCTTCGTGCTTATTAAGGTAGATTAGATTTGTGCGGTGCTCTTCCTTTCCGAGACGGGTTTAGTCTCCTCTCGCTACGCCTAAGTCGCCTAGTCTGGTGTTCGTATCACGTGGTGTCAGGCACCGATGAGTTCTCTCTCTCTGTCTCTCCGCGGAGGCTCATTAATATTAATTATTATTATTACGGCGTGAGTCAAACATCCCCCCCATTGCGGTCGAAGTGGCCAATCAGAGAGTCGCCATCCACGTCCATCCGAGGAGTTCAACTGCTCTATGTAGTGCTTTGTATCTCAAGATATGTACATACATCTATCTACCATCGACCAGCCCGTCCTGACTCTTGCTTGGTTTTCTTTTTCACATCGATCCCCTTTGACTCGGTGGTGACTTGCGAAGATACAGAAACAGAGACATCCGTCGCCTTCTCCCAGCAGCAATGCTCGCCGCCATCGGTCCCGTCACGATGAACTTCCCATTCTCATTCCCGTACGACGACGACGACGGTGGCGACCTGGGTGCTCAGTCCATTCTTGATCCCTCGTTTATGATGACAATGAATGAGGAAGATCGACTACTACTACTGCTCTCACCACCATGGCCAGCTGCTGCTTCCACGGTTTTTCCCTTCCGGCAACAATCCCAACAACAACGACAGCATGAACAGGAACAAGAACAATATCACCAGAGACACGCAGACCCACAGATCCCCGCCACCAGCGATGTGCCTTCGCAATCTCCAGACACAACCACAAACACAAACACAAACACAAACACAAACACCCCCTCTTCACAATCCACCTCTCCTCCAGGCTCAAACACAACGACGACATACCGAAGCGAGACCTCGCGCTGGCGCGCCCTGGTCGGCCGCGACCCCCGCGCCACCGACGCCTTCGTCTACGCCGTCGTCACCACCAAGATCTACTGCCGCCCGGACTGCCGCGCGCGGCTGGCCCGGCGCGCGAACGTTCGGTTCTACGACCTCGCCGCCCACGCCGAACGTGGGGGGTTCCGGGCGTGCAAGCGCTGCAAACCAAATCGCGCGAGGGCGGCGTTCGGGGGTGTACCCGGGGGTGTCTCGGCGTCATCTTCGTCTTCATCGTCTTCGTCGATTTCGTCGTCGCCATCCCATCGGCCAGAGGGACATCCCACTCCAACGTCGGGGGCGGAATCCGTGTCATGTCGGAGAATCTTGCCTGGGTGTGCATCAGCCCAGACCAGTCTCGGGACAGATGGCAGGAGAAAGAACGACCGCAATGGCAATGGCAATGTAGATGCGGCGGCCGCAGAGGACGCAGAGGACGTGGAAGAAGAAGAAGAGGAAGACATCCACGCCAAGATCCACCGCGCCGCCCTCCTCGTCCGGCAAGCGGCGTCGTCGGACAAGGCCCAGGTCCTGAGCCTCGCCCAGCTGGCCGCGCAGGTCGGGCTGAGCAAGTGGCACCTGCAGCGCGTGTTCAAGGCCCTCCGGGGTGTGTCGCCGCGCGAGATGGCCGAGGAGATCATCCAGGCCAACAAGCAGGCGGCCCCAACGGCGGGGGGGCTGCGGGTGGTTTCCAGCGGCGAGCCGACGAGCACGAACACGCCGTCATCGAGATGGAGATCGTCTTTGCTGACCGACACTGCTGTCTCCGCCGCCGACGAGGAGGAGGAGAAGGAGGAGTGGGAGTCGTCCGACGCATATGCCCGTGCATTTCCCGCATCTCACCCTCCTCCTGCGAACCCGAGCGTGGCAGATGACATGATATCATTTCTCCAGCCGCCGCCACAATCGGCCATGCTGCCCCTGCTGCAAAATACCGGTGTGGACTGGTTCCACCACGAGGACAACACCGTCAACAGCAGTAGTGTCCGGCTACCCTCGGACTATCAGTACATTGCCGACGATGCTGGTCCGAGTCTGAGCACAATGCCTCTACACACGGGTGTGGGTATGGGTGTGGATATGGATATGAACATCGATATGGACATGGTGGACATGGACGACATCCACGCCGCCGCCGAAGTGCAAGGTCTGCTGCGCGACCTGTTCCCGGATATCCTCGTTTATTGATCGATGGAAGGAAGGAAGGAAGGAAGAAATGATGTATGGACTGATGTATGGACTGAATAATTATAATTATGTACAGTCAAAAGAAAAATCAAAGCACAAAGCCCAATTCATCCCGATTGTCGTCCGTCAGGCGCGCCCACTCCAGCAACAGGCGGAAAAAATAGCACTCCATGTCCTCCTTGCGCAGCACCTGACCCGCCCACGCGCGGCCGGCCTCGGCGATCATCGCGGCCTCCTGGACGTGCGGCTTCCACCAGATGCGGCGGCCGAACATGGTCCCGTTGACGCCCGCAAAGTACGCCAGGCTGCTCCACACGCCGTGCAGGCGCAGGTCCTGGGGCACGAAGTGCAGCCACGCCGTCAGCCGCGAGTCGTACCACTCGCGAAACAGCGCCGTCTTGAAGGGCAGGGAGCGCGAGTGGAGGAACGGCAGGAACCGGCCGCTGAACCCGGCGCCGTCCAGGTCGAACAGGAACCGGTACCGCCAGTGCGCCTGGAAATCCGTCGGTCCGACCAGGTTGAATTCGTGCTCCTGGTGGGTGCAGTCTTTGCCGCCGCACCGGGCGATGAAATCCACAATCGCGATATCGGTCTGGAGGCCGAGCTTCTTGACGTCGGCCCCCGAGATCGTTTGGTATTGATATTTGGAGTGGTCCGCCGGGCTGGGGAGGAGGATGCTCACGGCATCGTGTGGATGGTGCGTGAGATTGTTGGCCATGTGCACCAGGCGTTGGCGGGTCATGCCGCGCCAGGCGCCGCTCTCTGAAGAGACGCCCTCGGAGGTAGCACCGCGCCAGAAGAGGGCGTTTTCCTTCTCCTCGAATGGAGGATCGGGAAACCCGGGGTGATAGTCTTCTTCTCCGGGTGTGCCCCTGGGATCGCTAGGCGCGTAGATGGCTTTGTCCATATAATTCCAGGCGGACGGGTACAGGATGTCGCTGTAGCCGTGCGGCTTCGACTGAGAGAAGACGGGCATGAGCTGGTAGCTAGTCTTGAACGCCGCCGGGGAGAGGTAAAAGCCGTGGAGTCGGGCGAGATCTGGCTGGTGGCATATGTCTGCGGCATCAGACCAGTTGCCCACGAATTGGCCCAGAGAGTGAGGTGCCACGCAGCTACCGCAGATGTGCGATTGGGATGAAATGTGTGGAGAAGCTCGTGCGAGGGAGGAAGGAGGACAGCTCACTGAGCCAAAGGTGCGGAAACTGTTGCGCCAGGAGTTGTCGCGAAACACCGTCTCCGTATATTCGTTTTCGGGAATCGGCAGCCAGCCTGCTGCACGATCGGGGGACCAACTCGAGCTCCCGCTCTTGTCATGTGCTCGACCTTTGGCTTCGAGATACTCCATCCAGTCATACGGCACAGCGACCCTCGATTCGTCGTTCAGGTTGAAAGCCAAATCCATATCAGGCAGGTACCGTGCAAAACTGTTGATGAGAACGGCGACACCCTCGAGCATCCATCGATGCGTTGGGAGCACGTTCTCTTGCACCTTGGCTTCTCCGTCACGGATGGTAATCCCCGAAATCTCATTCCAGGGGTTAGATACCATTTTCCAAGTCTGGCTTCTCAGCTCAGACGGGGGGAGCGCGCGAAAAGGCAGCAAATCGTGGTAGATCTGGTCATATTCGTCTATGATCAAAACAGATCTGTTCTTTGCGTACTCAAACCAGACGTCGAACCCAGGAGGGGGATTCCGGTGGTATCTCTGCGTGTACGCAGTGACAGCCTCCGCGAGGGACGAATTGCTGCCCAATGTCTCGAGATACTTATTATGATGGAGCGTGGCGTCATACATGAGCATGTCAATCGGATGAAAATGGACGTAGTCTTGCTTGAGCCAACTGGGAAAGATAGCAACGCAGAGGACAACAAAGAGGAGGAATTGACGCGACGGTCGCATTGGGTCTTTGTCACCCAGCTCCTGTTGTATCCAACGATACGCCCACTGCCCAAAAAAGATCAGGAGGAAGGACAATGTTGTTGCGGAGAAAGGCGTTTGAGGGAAAGGATTCCTGTGTGACCAAATAAACTCGAGGGCGGGTATCATAGTAATGAGAGCGGTAAGGTACGTCGTCATTTCCAAGGCGCCATAAGTCATGATCTGCGCATGTCAGCAGGGCGGCGGCGGCGAAAGTGTCGGCCTCAACTCACACTATGCAGAAGCGTTATACACAAAACGCAGAAAAGAAAAACGTGACATCCGATGGCAAAGATTGTGCCCAAATCCAGTGGCGGAGAAAGAAACAGAAGCCAGAGCCGGTATTCTGGCTTGAAAATGTAGACAAATATAGCCGCAATCGACCAAATGACCGACGTGGCAATCATGGTCGAGCTCCAGAGGACGACACATCGTCGTCCTGACAGTCCGCTGCCGTCAGACTTTGGGAGAGTCTCACAGGCAATGACGGCGAGACAAAAATCCAACACAAGGGCGCAGACTTGCATCATCGGAATTGCCTTGGCTTCGCCGAGGGCTAGTGAGCAGATGTAGGTCGAGTTTGTTGAGGTCCATAGACCTTGGGTGAGGTAGCAGCCGTAGGACACCATGAACATTGACAGGAGATACCGCGTCCGTGGTCTCAACATGTAGGTCCTGACAGTGGCGCGTAATGACTCGTACACAGACACGTCGGGCTTTTCCTCCTCCTCCAAGTCGACCGAGCGCTGAAACCTGAAGGAATCATAGATGGCCAACAAGAACGGTAGAAACATTTCGACGCTGGCGATAGTACATTCTGTCGCCAGAGAAATGCGCCGGAACAATTCGATGCGCAAAGACAAGGTGGAAACTGCCAGGGCCAGCACCGATACGCGAACTTTGGCAGTGTGTCTGTGTTGCGCTGGAGTTGGATCTGGGTGTTCCAGTCTTCCATTGGCCTCCTCACCGAGTTCTTCCAGAGGTAGGGCCGTATACTGGCCTCGACTTTGTTTTGCGTCTGAGGGAGGAAATAGTGGGGATATTGCCCGGTTGGCGCTCGGTAAAACGAAGGCACAAGCCGTGAGCGCAAGGATCACGGTGTGGACGGGCCGGTCGAAGGCAGTCGAAACAGGGACAAGGTGTGCGAGACATGCTGCCGACAGCAGTGACAAACTAGCACGGTCAGTACCTCGGGGACAATGCGAAAAGTCTGCCCAACACTTACGAGAAGCACAGAATGTCGAGTTTCGGCGCCATGGTGTCGTCCTCCCGCGTCCCCCTGCGCCTGAGTGAAATGTCAGAGAGAGAAGAGATCCGAGCAGCTGTGGGTTGAGAGAGCAGATCGCATGGGCAGTTTCCTTCTATCGAGCGACATCACGGACACGGCGCACTCTGGTGGATGAGAATCATGAACTTGGGTGCGAAAATAGCCAGATCTTGTGCTCTGAGCTATGAGAGACCAAGACAAGGCTGGGCAGTGCAAGGCGCAAGGCTTGATCGATGCTGTGGGGGCACGTGGGGGGCCGGAAAATAGTTAAGCCATAGTTAAGCTTATCGATGCCGCTGCTCACCCCACAGTTTTCTCCATCAGGAAACTGCGGCGAAATTTTTGGAGATGCTCAGAACTTTTTCTTGCCTACACTGCCAGTGACTGCTCGAGCAACGACGCTGTCTCTGAGAGAAATTCCACCTCTCACTCGTCAAAGCTCTAAGCGGAGGGGGGCCGGGAGTGTTCCACTATGCCTCGAAAAGCCATTGACTCGCGCATCCCTGCGTTAATTCGCAATGGCATTCAGGAAAAGAAGCGCAGTTTCATCGTCGTGGTGGGCGACCGAGCCAAAGATGTCATTGTCCACCTACACTATATCATGTCCTCGGTCGACATCAAGCAAAACAGATCTGTCCTATGGGCCTACAAGAAAGACCTGCTAGGGTTCACTTCCCACCGCAAAAAGCGTGAAGCAAAGATCAGGAAAGAAATCAAGCGAGGCATTCGAGATGCGGATACCGAAGATCCCTTTGAACTCTTCGTCACTCTGCACAATATCCGATATGTTTACTACAAAGAGACGGACAAGATTCTGGGAAACACCTATGGCATGTGCATTCTCCAAGACTTTGAGGCCATCACGCCGAATCTTCTTGCCCGAACCGTGGAAACGGTAGAAGGCGGTGGGCTGGTTCTCCTCCTGCTGAAAGGCATGAAGAGTCTGAAGCAGCTCTACACAATGTCAATGGATGTCCATTCCAGATACCGCACCGAAGCCCACGATGATGTGGTGGCCCGGTTCAATGAGAGGTTTATACTGTCACTGGGGAATTGCGAGTCTTGCTTAGTGGTGGATGACGAGCTCAACGTCTTACCCATATCTGGAGGAAAGAATGTGCAACCTTTGCCACCACCGACGAGCGAGTCTGAACGTGTCCTGCCGACTCAGAAGGAGCTGAAGGAAATCAAAGACAGCCTGGCCGAGAGCAGACCCGTGGGCCCTCTGATCAGTTTGGCTAAAACTGTCGACCAGGCGAAGGCTCTTCTCACCTTTGTCGACGCGATATCGGAGAAAACCCTGCGGAGTACTGTCACACTGACCGCGGCTCGAGGACGAGGGAAATCCGCTGCTCTGGGAGTGGCCGTTGCTGCTGCAATAGCTCATGGCTACAGCAACATCTTCATCACCTCCCCGAGTCCTGAAAATCTGAAGACTTTATTCGAATTCGTCATCAAAGGCTTCGACGCGCTAGAATATATGGACCACGTCGACTATACGATTCTGCAATCCACGAATCCAGATTACAACAAAGCTATTGTCCGCATCAACGTGCACCGGCAACATCGGCAAACCATCCAGTACATTCAGCCTCAAGACGCCCACGTTCTCGGTCAAGCAGAATTGGTTGTTATTGACGAAGCAGCGGCGATCCCTTTGCCGTTAGTCCGGAAATTGATGGGCCCGTACCTAGTCTTCATGGCCTCGACTATCAATGGATACGAGGGCACTGGCCGTTCACTCTCGTTGAAACTCATTCAACAACTACGAGAACAATCTAGAGGTGGAATGAGTACTGATGGAGACGACGTCGAGGTGGCAGATAAGGTGACAGGCAAGGCATCGAAGGACGGTGCCAAGGTCTACACCGGCGGAAGGAGTTTGAGAGAGATTACCCTGTCAGAACCCATCCGATACGCACCTGGAGACGGTGTCGAGAAATGGCTGAATCGACTGTTATGTCTCGACGCCACCTTGCCCAAGTCGAAGATAAATACTCAGGGGACGCCCCATCCATCCACCTGCGAACTGGTCCATGTCAACCGCGATACCCTTTTCTCCTTTCACCCCGTCTCCGAGAAGTTTCTACAGCAGATGATGGCGCTGTACGTTGCTTCTCATTACAAAAATTCCCCCAACGACCTTCAACTCATGTCCGACGCCCCCGCACACCAGCTCTTTGTCCTGATCCCGCCGATCCCCGAGGACGCCAACAAACTACCAGAGCCTCTGTGTGTCATTCAAGTCGCTCTCGAGGGTCGGATTAGCAAAAAGTCCGTGCTGAGCAGCTTATCCCGTGGTCAGAGGGCCGGCGGGGACTTGATTCCCTGGCTGGTCAGTCAGCAATTCCAGGATTCTGAATTTGCCGGCTTGTCAGGCAGTCGCATCGTCCGCATTGCGACCAATCCGGAGTATCTGAACATGGGCTACGGGTCGCGGGCGCTGGAGCTGCTGAAGGACTTCTACGAAGGCAAGTTCACCTCCTTGTCCGAGACGGATGAAGCGACCATTGAGGATGCAGAACACATGCCCCGTGTCACGGACGCCGAGCTCGAAGAAGCGAACCTGCTAGACGACAACATCAAAGTGCGCGATATCCATCAAATGCCGCCCCTTTTCAGCAAACTCTCTGAACGACGACCCGACCACTTGGACTACCTCGGTGTCTCGTTCGGCTTGACCCAGCCACTCCATAAATTCTGGAAGAGACATGCCTTTGCCCCCGTCTACTTGCGGCAAACACCCAACGACCTGACGGGCGAACATTCCTGCGTCATGCTCCGGCCGCTGTCGACAAGCACCACAACAGATAACTCATGGCTTGCGGCCTATGCGCAAGATTTCCACAAGCGGTTCCTTACTCTGCTGTCATTTCAGTTCCGCACATTTCCCTCCATCCAGGGACTGTCTATTTCGGAATCCGCCTCCCGAGCCACAAAATCTGCTGCCGACGACTCGTCGTTGACGGTTAAACCCCTCTCCAAGGCCGATCTTGACGCCCTCTTCTCGCCCTTTGATCTCGCCCGCCTAGAGTCATACGCCAACAACCTGCTCGATTACCACGTCATTCTCGACCTCCTCCCTGCCCTCGCGTACCTGTATTTCACCGGCCGCCTGAAGCTGCCGCCCTGCAACGTCAGTCTCTCAGGTGTCCAGCAGAGCATACTGCTGGCCATCGGCTTGCAAAGGAAGGATCTCAGCGAGGTGGAAAAGGAGCTGAACCTGCCCAGCAACCAGCTGTTGGCGATGTTTGTGAAGGTAGTGAGGAAGATCAGTACCGCGTTGAGGGCGGTTGTGAGTGGCGAGGTGGACGCGAGTTTGGGCGAGAAGAAGGAAGTCGAAATCAATGGTGAAGGGGCAGTGCAATCAATACCCAGTGGTGGCAGAGTCCACATTGCCCCGTCGGGTCCAGTGAATGGTGCGGACGATGAGGAAGAATCTGGACCAGAAGTTGATCCCGAGATGAAAGAGAAACAAAGGGCCATGGTCGATGCGTTGCCTCTTGACAAGTGAGTCTCACTGATCTCCCACAACACTGCACCTTTGTCTCCTCCTGTCCACCAATCTCATTAGAAGTCTTTGTTTTTTCTCCCCTTCCCCCTTTTCCCTTTCAAGCACAATCAAACCCCCGCATAGGGATGGAGATATCCTCTGAACTAATCAAGACTTTCGCTGGGTGTAGATACGAAATCGCCGCCACCAGCGCCGCAGACGACCGGGCCTGGGAGCAAGCCGAGCGACAGGTCCGCGAGGGGGGAAACAGCACCATCGTGAGCGTGAAAGGTGCCGCGAAGGCGAAGAAGCGGAAAATCGAAGACGACGGCGACGAAGCAGCCGAGGCTGAAGATGCAGAAGCAGATGGCGCCCGTGGTGGAGATTATCGAGATCGATCGAGAAAGGGCGACAATCACGACAGGGACGGACGAAGGAAAGACAAGAAAGGGAGGATAGAGGGGGGGAAGAAGCAGAAATCCAAGAGTAACAAAGAAAAGAGAAGATGAGGGAGAGGAGGGAACAGAACAGAAGGGCGTTAGGAAGGGGAGGAGAAGGAGTGTGACGAGAGTTGTACTGTATATCCCCCTCGTTGCTTTAGAGCAGGGCAGAAATGGAAATGCAAATGCAAATGCTGTTGAATATCACCCTTCGCCCCTCTTTTCGTGATGCCCTGTACGGTACATACATTGTGTAGGTCGAGCTAGTCGACGACCACCAACCAGGAGAACCGCGCAAACACCACTTCGCATTCTTAAGCGTTTCAATAAATGCTCGCCTCATGGAAACCAACCAAGGGTCAAAAAGAAAGAGTCTTGTTTTCACGTTTGTCTCTTTCCGACTGGCCTTGGGGTCGGAATCGCGTCCTCGGGCTTGTGTGTGTATCTATCTATCTATCCACCGACTTACTGTATGTATCTACTGTGTCTCGATCGTCTGCCTGGCCTGTTATCTATATAGGTAGAGAGTATGTATGTCTTTCTACCACCAACACCAGCACAGAACCAGCTAGCTAGCTATCTACTGTACCTCTTCCCCCCCAACGGCAACACAGCGCAGTCAGGGACGGGACGGGACGGATGGCTGCATGGATGAAAGGATGGATGAGAATTGAAAAGGAGTAAGTGGTGTGCTAGCTAAGCTCTCGCTCACGTTGCTACTGTGTACATACATCCATCCCCTTTTGCTCGCTCCCTCTCCCTCTCCACATGGGTTCAGAGATTCCATTTTCCAGCAAAAAATCCGCTCCAGTTGGGTGTTTGAGTAGTTGATGATCTGAGATCAAAGTAACAACAAAAGTGGGGAATAGAAAAAAAGGGAGATCAAGAGAGGAGGAGGACGACCAAGGTGAGGGAGAGAGTCAGTGGAAATTCCATCCCAGGTCGTTGTGCCCTCCCTTCTCTCCCTTCTGTGATTGCAGCATGCAAAGAAGAAGAAGAAGAAGAACACCCCTGCCTCCCTCCCCAGCTCGTTCGACCACAAATATGAGCATCATAATGTCCATCATACTTCCCAGGTCGTAGGAAGTGATCTATACACGCCTCCCTTGGTTTCTTCGAGGCCTCCAGTTGATGTCTGGGGAAGAAAGGGAGACAGGAGCAGAGAAAGAGGGGACTGTGATGAAGACGGGCCGCTTGTGCTTGCTTTGCAACCTCAATGTGTAACGTAATGTAACGATGCCGACGGGCAAAAGACCCGCAACTGATGGATACTTGTATCGATGGCCGTCAGAGTGCTGTCGCTGACATGACAGCCCGTCCGATCGCGGTGACGATGTGGGTCAGTCAGTCAGTCAGTCAGAGTCCTGCCGTTGTTTTTGTTGTCGCCACGACCACTACCAACCTCCGCTTCGGAGTTGTTGAACTCACTCCAGCGCTGGCTGAGCATCGAGAACAAGCAGCCATTGTTACTCCGAAGGGCAGTAATCCTCGTCAGACTCCTCTTTAGCCGGCTTTATCACGCCAGTTTTTCGTTTCGGTCGACTGAGTGAGACAGGATTCTTCCAGTCTGGGCGAGCAACCGCTGGTTCTTCCGCACTGAAATGAACATGTCTGTGCTTGCCTTTGCTCCGTTTCTTGTTCTTACCCCCCAGGACTCTGATGCTTGGCTCCTTGCTGTGGGAACTCATGGGCGTGTCATTGGCATCACCGGTCGCTGAACGAGAGGCCTCTTGTCCCGGGTCAAGTGCATTCTTCCGCTTTAGCACATGGGTCTTCCTCTTCGGTGGCGGCGCAACTGCTGGACCTCTTTCGGCTTCTTCATCTTGGTTCGTCACCCCCTCTTTGTGCTCAGACGGCCGCATGTCACCGCCTCTGTAGAACCATTCAAATCCTTCTGGCTGGTCTCCATTCTCCAAGTCCCAAATACCATGGATGATGCTCGTCCTCTCGGGATCATCCGGATGGGCAAGAATCTGATACCTGCCGAACCGCCAGCCGGGGTCATACTTGGAGTTGAATCCAACGTATTCATGCTCCTGCATCACATATCTTATGTGATTTTCCAGAATATCCGCCATGGATCTCCGCTGAGCTAAGGTCGATTCGTTAGTATATCGATACCTGAAACCTGTCGGATGGCAGAAGACTCTGTTGACTGTAAAATCGGCTGGGTTGAAATGAGGCGAGATGCGAAGCGTGACTCGACCGTCGTTAGGTGTTTCTTTGAGTGCCGTATCAGCGTGGCAGCCCGAGTTAGCATCCAAACCTTCTTTGCTGTTCCGCGCGGCAGTCTCATGGATATTAGCCTCGTGGATGCTGGCCTCGTGGATGTTGTCGCTGGTTAGCCCGTCATCGGGCATGAGGATCGAGTGGTCAAGGCCTTCTGCTCCATGATCGGCTTTTGGCCTCTTCGTCGGTGGCAATGGATTCTCCCCGTCGGAGGCGTCGAGATGGTGCTTGGCGGTATTCTCGGATGATTTTCGACTCATGGTCTCTGTCAGAACATCGTCTGTTGGGTCGGTAGCAGTGCTCGTGACTGCTGAACGATCCTCTCCGGGTGCAGTGCTCCTGTCGACGCTATCTGAGATATCATTTCGCTCAACCACCAGAGAAGAGAGGAGGTCTTTCAGAGCCTCCTTTCTTAGGCGGATCTCCCGCTCCAAAGTCTGAATCTGTGCACCCAAATCTATGTTTTCCCGTCCAGTATTCAGCTCTGCGTTCTCGGATAAGATGAGGTATTCTCGTGCTTCGAACAGCAGGTCCTTCAAAATCTGCTTGCACCGGTCGAGACTACTTGAGGAGGCCCCGGTGGAGACGGCAGTAACCAGGTCGTCTTCAGTAATATGAAAGAGTCCAAAACCGGAGAGAATGGAAGCAACATCAGGCGCACGAAGAATCGTCTCGGTCAGTTGCATGAGGACGTCGGGCTGATTCAACGAGTCTGTTCCAGGTTCAACTGTCGCTGGCTGAACGCCCACCGATCCTTCAGGACTGGTAAGAGGAGTGGCAGTTGTTGACTCTTCGGGAGAAGGGTTTTCCTCGTTGAGCTCTAACGCTAAAGCCATGAACAGATCGTGAAGCTCCTGCTCGGCGTCGATACGTCTTTTGGTGTTTTCCTTCTGCCTAGCAGTGGGGAAGTGGTTGTATAATTCCCATAGGTTCGCCAGACTTTTCCGTAACTTCAGGGCCTCGTACAGGCAGTAGACCATGAGATCTCGTCCCATGGGGTTCAGTCGTGTGACATCCATGATCCTGTGCCAATCGCTTGGAAGAATTCTTCCCCCCAAATCGTTGAGGACTTTATTCAAAAGTTCCTCACCAAGTTCTGGGGTGTTCGCTGCAGCGGTTCGACTTCGTACTCGACTCTCAGAGACACCAGCTTCTTCCAGTTCACCTGCCGTGATAGCCCAGGATGGACCGTCTTTGTGATTCGCAACCAAAAAGGGCATTTTGGATGGGCTCGTCTCTCTTCTCAAACGAGGCTTTCCACGCGGCAAACCAACAGGAACGTCATCTTGACGCTGTGCAGAGCGCTTGGTCGACACTTGAGGCGCCGTGCTTTTTGTGTCGGGTGTACCAGGATTGTAGCCCAAACGCAACGCCTCGAACCAAGCCTTTGATAAAACTTCAAAAACATGGTCAAGGACTTCCTTTCGTCTCTGCTCGTCTGCAATTCTTGTTCCCCATTCCGCCCAATCTTTCACATGTTCCATGATCTGAGCACAGAATGGGAGGTTGCTATCAGGGAGGAGTGCCGACCGATCAAATCGCTGTCGGTGGCGTGAGTGGGAACTGGTTGCCATCAAAGCTGGAGGGAATGGACGTCTCGCAAGGTTCTCAATGGGGGCATCAATATTATCAGCGCGTGTGAATGGCGGGATCTCGAAACGACCAGACTGAAGATCCTTTCTGATGGCAGCACGGACGTTGTCGTCAGTCATTGTCATGACCCCGGCCTCGGAATCAGTGACTTGAAATTGATCGATGGATCTGGAGACACAGTCGGGAACTGCTGGATCGTCTCTCACTGAGCCTGACGATTTGTCGCTAGGATGGGCGACGTCTTTGGGTTGACAGGCCACCTCTTGCAGGGTTTCGTCTAGGACAGCTCCGCCTTGCTGGAGATGCTTGTCTGCACTAACATTTGAGCTGACGTCTTGTAGAGGCTGTTGTAGTAGTTGCGGAGATTCATTTGCAGGCTGCGAGCTGGTTTCCATCTGCTTGGATAGATCGATCAGAGGGTCGGCTTTTGATAGTGGGCCTAGATACGAATTATTCTGCATCTCGAGGGCGAGAGATGACCAGAACCCATAATTCAAAGCCAGTCTTCGAGACCGGCGATAACAGCAGTGAAGTGAAGATGAGAGGAGCGACAGGACGCAAGTACAGAACAGATGACCATGTCAGAGCGCTTTTGGGACGTTTGAAGTCAAAGGGAAGGATGAAAGTCGATCAAACCCACCCAAAGGAGTTTGAATGCTCGGATTAAGATAAGGGAAGATGAGAGAGAAAGTCACTTGAGAAGAGACTAAAGTGAGAGAATAGCGAGGAGGAACGCTAAGAACAACATCGTGATTGAGCAGTTCAACAAGATCCGCTAGAGCCTGCGAATGGCGAAGTAATGAATCCATGAGACGTTGCTTGAACGCAGTTGAGCTCATCATGGCCAGTGAATTGAAGGACTTTTACTTCCACGATCAGAGCTCATCATGCTCAGCACTCGGACTCGCTTCAGGTTCTGGTTCTGTTTCCGTACCACTGATAACGGTATCGGTATCCTCAGCCGCTGGACTCTGTTCCGGCTCTGGGCTGGCAAGATTATCACTTTCTTCGGTAGTCTCGACAGGGTCAGTGACATCGAGCGTCACTGTGGAATCAGGATCCGAGGTTTTCTCTGTCACTACTCCAAAGCCAGCGGGAAATGCTGACTTGGAACCTTCTCCGAGCTTGATAGCGTCGATGAAATTCTCCAAGTCAAGAACATCGTAAGAATTACTCGAGTATCGTCTCCACCAGCCCCTCTTCATATTGGTTGCGATGATTTCCATCTGCTCCTCTTGTCCAAGACCCAGGTCATTCCTGACCCGGGTGGCAGCTTGGTTGTCAGCAGGGACAGCGAAAGTAGGTATCATACTGGCCTTGCGCTTGTTGTACTTGTGGGCGATTTCGGCAAAGCCTGCCAGCGCTGATGTGGCCGGTTCAGATGGCGTTTCTTGCGACGTGGCTAGCAGCACCAGGATGCAATTACCACTTCTTGGCATCATACAAGCAGCCTCTACTTCTGCAGAAGTAGACAGTGTAGGGATCGGAGCAATGGCTTCTGGGATAACCATCGGCTTTTCATCAACCTCGACAATTGGCAGAGGAGATTCGGTAGGACTGTCGTCGTCAAGAATGATCGTGCCAGAACCTGCGAGATGCTCATCAAAGTCGGAGGATTTATGGGCCGCTGACGCTCTCGAGAAAGCAGCTGAAGCCGATGATGACGGCTTCGACTTGGATTTTTTGCTTGACGACTTGGCTGGCTTTGCGTTCTTCGGTGCTGGATCTGGATTTGGCGGAGCAATCTGGCTGAAGAAGCTCACCAGGGATTCTCGATTGATCTCGCCATCGTATGGAACGGGCGTAGCCCCATGAGAGGGGATCAGCAGTATCGCTGGGAAATCGAAGACCCCATACTTCTCAGCGGCAGTCTTGTCTCGGACCTGGGCGAAAGCGATGCTGCCGAGGAAGTCGACGGCTATACTCTTGACTAGCGGGTTGGTTGTACCTTTATCCGTGAATATAATAGCTTTTGCCACAGCATCTTCGGCGTCCAACCACTTGTCCAAGGCATCACCCGATAATCTCTTAACATGATTTGGAATTTTGTCCTTGACCGCATCCACAATGCCTTTGGTCGACCTGGGGCCCGCGTAATCCTCGACAACAGGGCGGCCTGGTTTGGAACCTGGTCTCACGATCTTTAGAGTCGGAAAGCCTTGGACACCCATCTGACCACAGAAAGGTTTGTTGGACTCGTCATCACAGTCGATAGCCGCGACCTTGGCTAGGCCAGCTAGATTCTTTGCCGCCTTTTCGTATGCAGGTTTGAGGTTTTGGCAATGTCCACACCACGGGGCGTAGAACTCGACAATCTGACGATGAGAGTCAGTCACTAGGGCTTCCGCAAGCAGATTGGGAGGCAAAAGCGGGGAGTTCGTACAGAGGTATGGTTGGACCGTGCAATCAGAGAGTCATACGTCTTTGCCGTAACTTGAAGCACTGGAGATGATTTGCTGTAGAGAGCCTGTACATTGATCAGGCAGGTCAATGCGAGGACCAGCGACGTGAGCAGCATTGATGAGGGCATTTTGCGAGTTGTTGAAAGACGAACAAGAGTGAGCCAGCGGACGTCACGGAACAAGGTGGTGGTGCAAGAATCCGGGTCCCATGGACGAGGACATTGAGGTGATTGTTGGGTTGGGTGAGTGAAATGTTGTTGCGAACACGCTGGCATGAAGTGGAAAAGCAGCAGCACGAGTACAGTAAACGGTGATGGCAGCTTTTCCCCTCCCGTCACCTCACCTCACCTCACCTCGCCTCCGCCTCACCAGAACCAGGATCCGGGGTGAAATGAGCTTGGGACTCACCACACCTCCTCCGTATGTTTGGTTACGGAACGGAGATCATCATCAGGATTCTCAGACGCTTTGGGAGAAAGGTCGAATTTGTTAGTCCTAATCACTATGTGTCCTTCATCCTCGGCACTGTGGTCTTGATCACCTCTCCCTTCTCCATTCTAGCAAGCCACCAGGGACCAAAGCTCGTGCGCCCCCGAATGCCCTTGCCTCCGAGATAACGGTCCTCCTCCTACGAGTTGCCCGATATCCGCGGCGAACCGCATTGTCGATATCCCACCCAGACCCCCGTGCCTCGTCGTACATCCATAGATAGGGCGGAGAGAATGGACTTCGGAATTCGGAGAGATCAAGAAAGCACAGCCTCAATGACGCCAAGTATCTAGAGAGACGGCTGTGGGTGGCTGGCACCTGGCTGGCATCCATGACGGGCCACGAAGAACAGACATCATCATCAGTATTATTACCCAGTACCGAGTACGTCTACTGCGTAGTAAGTGAGTTCAAAAAGGGCCCCCCGGGGGCTAGCCCGAACAGCCCTGGGGAGCCCTAGAGTCTGAGCGGGCCATGCCTGTGTAGGCATGAATATGTAATAATTCTAGACCTAAAACCTCCACCGGTGCGTCCTCCCCCCCCCTGCAGCCTCCCACGCCTCAGCCTCTCTCTCTGTTACTCTCTCTCTGTTACTGCGTCCTTCCGGGAGTCCCCGTCACGTTAGAGCCTGGCGCCTGGTGGCGCCGTACCTGGGATTATTGTTTTGGCTTTTGCAATGCTACCTTATCGACCTGTACGGAGGTTTGCATTGATTCATGATCTTGAAGTCAATCAACTTGGTGAGCACTTCTCACACCCCTAGCCACGGCCTCCATTTTCAGCCCAGTGGATGGGCCATGGTTGGGAAACAGAAGAAGGGGAAGTAGATGCATAAGCAATATGCAGCATCATCTGGCACGGATGACACTCGCCTGATTAAGGCCCATTTGCACCTCCCCCAGGCCTCACTAGCCCCCTCTCTGCCCTGATCCATGTCCTCCTCCTCCATGGTCCATCAGCCGCCGACCATCGGGGGGGCAAGTCCCCTTGGGCCCTTTTTCCACGCTAGGATGATGCACAGAGCCAGCCGAGACGACGCTGGATTCGCAAATCCCAAAGCTTAAACACGAAGAGAATTAGTCAAGCAAAAGTCACAGAGAACCAGAGAGACTCTTTTTTTGCCATCGCCATAGAGGGCCACCCTCTGTACAAAATAACAAATGGTAAACTCTCAGCCCAAAGAGGACAATGGGGAAGCGACAGATGATCATGATCATGATCATGATCAGATCGGCAACTCCTCCAAGGTTTGCCCTCTTGTTATTATTACTGGCGACAGCCGACACCGAATGACTAGTGCCGACCAACTCCTAATCGCGTAGGGCTTTGGTTGGACTAGCCTAAGAGGCACATTCTTTCGTTGACCTTCGGGACTTCCCTTTCGACCTTGATTCCCTACCACCTCTGGCCACAGTTATATCGCCGTGTCTGTGGCCCTGTCCACCTTTCCCCTCTCGAACTCTTCGACAACGTCTTTGAAAACTTGCTATGGCACCATGGCTCAAGGGCGCGCCAAACGACCACATCAGAAGGTGAAGACGGGGTGCATGACCTGTAGGGTAGGTAATCCCAGAGTCCACCTTCCCCGACGGTTCACGGTTGTCTGCCACTTCGCACCCATCCTCTGCAACCCCTCGACAACCGACTGATCATGAGTTCTGCCTTCATTCATTGAATGTCTGGTTTCATTTCATATACATGTGGTTAATACGTTGCCAACAGAAACGTCGAATAAAATGTGACGAGGGAAAACCCGCCTGTCGACAATGTACCGATTCTTTGCGCAAATGCGAAGGCTATCAACCGCCTCAGACATGGTTGTTCAAACCTCGAAAGGTGTCTGAAACCAAACAAGACACCAACAACACCATTGCTACTACCACCACCATTGTTCAATTCGTTTCTCCTCTTGCGCCTATTGGCGACTCCGACGACAGACGTTCTTTCCAATTCTGGGTCGAGCAAGCTGCTCCCATCTTTTCCTCTTATTTTGGTACGTCCTCCCTTCGTGGGTGCCGTTAACCCCCCTCCCCCTGTTCTGACACTTATTCCTGTCGACAGGTCGTTCTTTTTGGGCCGAGCTGTTGCCAAAAATCGGGATTGCTCAACCTGCTGTCAAGCACATGCTGCTTGCCACCTCATCCGTCGTCGAGGCGTCCGCCCTTGAAGGTGTGCCGCTCGAAAGGAACTCGCTTTATCAGACCCATTACACCAAGGCGATCCAAGCCACTTGCACGTCTCCGCAAATTGAGAGCGTTCTGATGGCTTGCCTTCTGTTCGCCTGTTGCGAGTTCATGAAGGGCTCAATCCTCCCAGGACTCCGGCATATCCAGGCTGGCTTGAACATTATAGACGAATGGGTCAAATCTACCCAAACTTCAAACTTACAGCTTTCTCCCGGCGCGAAATTGATCATCCAAGCCATAGCTCCCATCTTCCTTGCCTACATCGACAAGGCACCGACATACGGCATGGCAGATCTCCCAATCAACGAGTGCGCATGTACCACCCTCATCAAAACCCACGCGGAGCTACCGTGGGTCGAACAGTTCACCAAGATTCACCGAGCACACCATGCCTTGGACGGTATTGGACACCATATTGCAAGAATGATGGACTACAGAAGAGCGGCTTGGAGACCATCGCCGCCAGAAAAGGTTCAAATGTTGCTGGATTCCTGGCGCATGCACTTTGAAACGTTCGAATCGAGTCGGGTCGATGCCCAAAAGCAAAAGTACGGGTTAGCTCTGCAGCTGCTCCGGGTTCACTACACGATGCTGTCCGTGATGCTTCGAGTGGCGTCGAGCAAGCAGGAGAGCGTCTACGAACAGTACACGGAGGAATTCAAGTGGATTGTGGACAAGTACGACGATTTTGCAGAGATGTGGGCTAGAGACGAATCTTCCAAGTTCTTCCACGGTATGGGAAATCTCGAGTACCACATGGGGTATATTCCCCCCCTCTTTTTCACCGCAACCAAGTGCCGTGATCAAGCTACACGTCTGGCAGCTTTGAAACACCTCTACTGTTTGAGGGTGGTTGAGAACAACTGGACGAGTTGTACGGCCTACCTGATTGCAAGAAAAATTATCAGGATTGAAATTACACGAGCCAGCAACAACAAACGCACCGATCTTAAAGACGAGCACGATCTCATCCGGCCAGTGGAAGCATTCATCACGGATAAACGAAGCACCCAGGCAGGCCTCAATTACCTGGCGTTCCCCTACGATGCCTCTCCTCTGTTGCAGGATACGCTCGATCTACAGAGCTGTCCGTTTGCACCTTCAGCACAGTGGGTAAGTGTTGGGGACCCTTCTCCCATTCTTGATAGGCTCTCATACTGACTGACCGTCCCTAGCCATTATGCAGAATTATCCGCATTGGAGGATTTCAAGGAGGCGGCGTCAGGCCACTCTCCACGGGATGCAGTTGTGGGATGGCACCGTCCAAGGAAGCCCTAATCCTCCGACCCAAGACAAAAGTATGAAGGTGAAGAGATATCTCTGAATTATTCAACAATACTTTTACAGGCAAAGCCTTGAGAGAGTTTTCCTCCAAGGACCTTTTGTCGCCGCGGAACGACAACTGGGCAGCCACAAAAAGAAGAAAGATCTTGGACCACAATCAGAAGCTGCGTCACTGTACGACATCAGATCAGTTGTTGGGCGGGCATAATGCTGGCCCTCGGTCGATGTTATTGTTGCTGGCCTGAGATCTAAAATGGGACACACCGTTCCAAGCCTAGAACACCCACAGTCATTACCGTCTAAGATTTGACGACGCTTTGCCCGAGGGCTTTGAGACGCCAATCACGCAAAGTGTTGGCCGTTGGCTATCACAGGGAAGAGTGGACCAAAACCGACACCGGATAAACGCTCTACAGATACTTCTCTGGCCTTTTGCCTCACTACCATCTCTGAAAGATCCGCCTCCCCGTTTTGTACTTGGGCTGGGCAAAGAGACTGCATCTTGATTTTCTGAGTGGAACTGCAAATCCACCGTTACCTCAGCAGACGGAGAGGCAATGAAGGCATTTGCGGGAGAGGAATGGAACCGACGGAGAGGCAATGAAGGCATTTGCGGGAGAGGGAAGGGGGAAGACGACGACATCTGAGCGTGCAGAGAGGCCATGGCCTCGTCACGCTGGGGTCAGTCGGTCGAATGAGGATTCGGGGAGGGGTTTCGATGCAAGGATGATGAGATAACCACGACAAACGTCGTGAGAAGGACAAGAAGGGGTAGGCACCCTTCGCGTCGTCAGGGTACAGCCAGGGGTTTCGGGGCATCTGGTCTCTGGCCGACACGTATAAGGCTACATGTGAATAAAGGACGAGCCTATGAAGAGTGGTTATATGAGACGATGACTGCCCCGTAATCACTTTAATTCCACCCGCGGTAACTCGCAGAGGAGGTGAGGATATTCAGCCCAGCCCCAGGGCGGGTGGTCTCGCTGGCTCCGCTTGGGAGGTGTGCTGGGGGTCGTGTGTGAGATGACGTTTTGGGTCAGAACCAACCGCAAAGGACAGAAAACCTTGTGTCCCAATATCGCCTTTGCAGGAGGTTGATCCTGACGCGAGTGATTGCCCTTCTAGGAGGAGCAGAGCACACGGACGGGTACACGGTACCTCGTACGACGGATGAGATGTGCTGCCCTGTCATGTGGTGGCGCTCGCAGGCCGGCGCCCCTCGGAGGGATCCGACTTTGTTCATGATGGTGAAAGTGAAGGGGAGGGTGAGGGTGATGGCGATGATGGTGGGAGTGGTGGCGGATCGTGGTGATCCGACGGGACACCTCCTGTTACATACAGTACTACACGTACGTCCCATACCCCAAGTGGGAAGGGGAAATCTCCGTACTCGCAACAGTTTGACGGCGCAGTAATACATACCTCGTTGAGCAATCCATAAACTCCGACGCCAGCCCCTCGGACTCGGCGTCCCACGAAGACTCAGTAGGGCCGAGTCGTGCGTTTTGTTTCTTTTGGAACTTTTGTTCCCGGGGTAATAATTAGTACCTCGTATTAGTGTGGTGTTGGTTCTCAATAACTCCGTCCGCACCGCGTACCTATGTACCTCCTGCCTACCTAGCGAGCTAGGTACACACACATACAGTAATAGGTAGGCAGCTAGCGAGCACGGGAGAGACCCTAGTCAGGTAACTTGTCGTCGTCGTCGTCGATGAGTGGTTGTCGTATGTTATGGGCGTGAGCACGATGAGCAGTAGCAGGGGGATAGGGCTGGGTCCGTCCTCGTAGGCTGGAAGCTGGTGCAGGCTTGGTGCCACTACTATGCTGAAGGGACAGTAGGGCTAAGCAAGGCCGAGACACGCCAGGGGCTGTATTTGTTAGTTGTTGGAACTGGCACCTGAAGCTAATTGGCTGGGCGATTACTACGGGCGGTAATAGTTATTATTACTGCGTGCTCTCTCTCTCTCTCTCTTTCTATCTCGCTCGCCCGCCCGTAGAAAACTAACCGTCTGTGGTAATTCTTGCTCTTCTTTGCAAGCAGCGGAACCGCTTTCCTACCTTCTGTACCGACCGACCGACATATCTACTCCCTATCCATCTATCTACAAGGTAATTACGCGGAGAACCTACTTGGACTCGGTACTACTAGGGGTGGTCCGTAGATATCATCGCCTACATACTCCACGAATAAAAACCGAGGTAATCAATACTGTGGTGATTACCGATGTATGTACGGAGTCCTGCAGCTGCGTTCCTGTACGCAGGACAAGTAATTAGGTAGGTGATGGTGTCTACATGTGGCTGAACTACCTGGGTTGGGTAAGGGTAAGTAAGTAACCACCTGCCCGAGGTAATATGTGCATTCCGAAGCAGTACTTACTTGAGCGGCTGTAATCTCCCCTCCCTGTCGCTGTTGGGCTGGAGGATCCGCGCATGATGATTGTGATCGTGATGAGCTCGAGGTCTGAGAAAATCAGCCCTACTACTGGTAGTAGTATCTGCCTTGGGACGCCCTATTATTCCTTCCGTCCTCCATACGTATGAGCAGGGTGCTATGGAATATCACGACGAAATACGATGTTACAACAGGACCACCACCACCTGCGGGAGGCCTGGTCCTCATAGTGCGCAACGCCGGTATAGGTGTGTGGCTGTCTGTCTGCCCGCACTCGGTATGTGTTGCTGTGGAATTGCCGGACGGGACCGGGCAGGGCAGAGCAGGGCAGGACACGATAGGCAAGAAGTCTCAGCGCACGGTAATGCCTGGTCCTCGAAATGGGGATAGATCACTCGATTCATCTGCTCGCACCGATCTTACTGTTCGGATGGACGACGCATGACACTGCATGACACTGATTGACGACACGATACGACAGACATCTCAACATCACCACAATACGACACCGACCGAGAGGTACCATGTAGTACTCGTGATGGAGTACGAGAGCGAGATACATACCAAACCCCTTTAGTTAGACATGGATTGTTGGTCGCATGTAGTGTACAACACGCCTCTGCACATTCATTCACGCATGCATGCATGTACGGAGAATGCAGCCAAGCAGGCAGTCTTCAGATCGACCCAACGGAGCATACGAAAACCGCCTCCGTAATGTATGCCGTAATAGTCTCTCGCATTCGCATCTCCGAGTCGTACTCGTAGGTTGTCGACGCGAAGACTCTGCCACGGCCATTCTCCAAGGCCGATGGCGCTGGACAATGCTCGCAGGATAATCTATTATGGGACGGGGAGCTTGCGCAATTCGAGACATGATATGCGGCCGCCCATCTTGCACTCGTCCATTTCGCATAATCACGGATGCCAACATGGGGACAAGGCGCATTAGTCAGTTCTTACAGCACGAGGTACACTGGGAGGGTTTCGGTGGCTGGACAGTTGGGTTGAGATGACATCCCCGCCGGGTGGAACGCCTTATACGGTACTATGTACTCGGTACTCGTAAGAGCTGTACTCGGTACAAGGCAGGCATTCTGGTGTGATCCAAGACCTCCTCTTGCGCTTCCGCCTCTCAGTTTTTGTTCCAGAACGATGTGAAACTGCACCGTCACGGTGCGGGCGAAACCAAGCCGGTTGGGGCAGGTGGAAATAAGGCCTCTCAGATTTGTCGGGACCCAAAGCTTGTCTTGTCGTTTCCCCTGCGTCCTGGTCACGTCGAACTAGGGCCACGGTACCGGGTAATGTACGGGTTCGTATGTAGTCAAGAGGATTGCGCTGGCCCTGCAGCGGCGTTGCCGAAAGAGATTCCTATTTTGGAACTGCAGGAAAGGGATACTACTAGATGCATCGCAACTTGTGCTCCGATTCAAGGAAAAGGTGTCAAAAAAGGTAGGCGGCCCATGGGTGCGAAGTCATCCTTGGGGCGGGATTCCAAGCGAGCGATAGGAAACGGGAGGTGGATAAGGAGAGTTGACCGTCGGGTGTGAGAGCCCGATCCCTCTACTCATACTGCCTCGAGCATGCATGGGAGATCCATGCCGTTGATCCGGAGTCTTTCCGGTTAATCATTTTGAAGAGAGGCGGGGGGCTCTTGAAACCCCAGAGACGTCTGTCTCGTCGGGAGAGATAAATTAGAATCCCAGATTTGCTAAAACGGCCTGTGGAGAGATCCAGTGTGAACGGTCCAACATCCAGGGCGGCTGATAGGGTTATTGCCGTCTAGAGGGAATAATGCGAGAGACTTCAGTCCAACCAGGAAAACCCGCCTGGACCAGGGGCTTCCCCTATTGGGCCGGGAGTGGACCGTTACAGAAGCGGCGCTGGGTGGGAAGTGTTGCTTGCTCGAGCCCAATTTGCTTTGCCCAAGGGGAGCACGTCCAGATCGGCAGTGAGAATAGGAATCGCAATGTGAGTGGGGACGGTGACACGAGGTAACAAGCCCGTCATCTGCCGTCGCGCTCTGACCGTACACCGCCATCTGCGCCCCGGTTCATATGTAAAGTTGTGTCTTTTCCGCTCAGTGGCGACGGTGTGCAATCTCGACTTTTGCTCATCACATTCCACAATGGTAGAGGTGAGGCCAGCAGGCCCAAAGTGCCCTGACCAGGAGCGTTCCGACCACCCGTTACCTCTTTCTTCCTGTCGCCGATAGACAGCACCCCGACCAGCTCCTGGTTGTCAGCGCCCCTCTCCACTCGCCTTGGGACAACGAACGTGCCCGAGGTACGGCAGAACGAACTGAGCCTGGATTGGCGTCTGCACAGCATGCCATGGTGGGAGCTTACCAGTACTAGCAGGAGTCGACGTGATACGCGCATATTACCTCACAAATACCTCGCCCTCTCAAATCTCGATGAAAAATCCGAGGCCTTCTTCACCATGTCCCTGCGCTGAGTGGCGGTGATGCTCGAACCAGACCCGATGTCCTTTTGCCGGTCAAAGGCACGGGCACTGGGATCATCATCCAGCGGCTTGCTCTGGGAGGCGGTGTGAGTGGAGTAGAGGGATGGTCCGCGTTGAGTCTCCTGCACAAAAATGGTTGTGAGAGGGTGAGAGGCACATAGCACAAAGGGGAAATGGCAATCCGCTGGGAGAAGAGCAGAATTGAGGTCTCTGTGTCCAAAGAGTATATGCTTACATTGTATTCCTTCAGCCTTTGTGCCGTGGCTTCGTCATGAGGATTTCTTGCTGAACCAGCATTCGACGACCTGGCTGATGCAGAAGCATCACTGATGCCCATGACCTCTCTTTTCAATCTTGCTTGCTTCTGCTCCGGGGTTTCATGCCACGACGAATCTCCCGTGCCCCCAGCCACTTGTGATGGGCCCTTTGCCCCGCGCCCAGTGTTGAATTTACGATTCTTCAGTTTGGTGGGATCGACTCTTGCGGTCCAATCTCCGTTGGATGGTGCCACAGTCATCCATTCGTCACGCTTCACTGGCCCCGTTGGCGCTGTAGCTGTAGAGACCTGCGGACCCATCGACGAGGACGCTGAAGACTTGGTAGGGCCGTCGTTGGCTGAGGGTAGACTCGGGCCGAAATCATCGTCATCATCATCCTTATCCGAGTCAGAGTCGCTTTCCTCTGTTGGTCGTTGAGGATTCGAAGGTGGGCGTTCGTCCAAAGGTGCAGGTGGGAGGGTTGGACCGACGACTCGAGGTCGCTTTGCAGAGGAGCTTGTGCCTTCTTGCGCAGATTTCGACGGAGGAAGAGGGCCAGTCGAAGAGTCGGACGATCCAGCCTCATCATCTTCATCGTCATGGCTTCTCTTGCGGTTTTGCAGATGCGGCGGGAGTTGGGGCCCAATCCCAGACATGGTCGGCAAAAGGATCGGATACGGAGGGTACGGTGGTGGTTCCAGAAGGGGAATGAGAGTGCTGCTGGTGCACTCTACGTGAAGAACTGTGTCACACTGCTGTTGTTCGAGGCTGAACTGTGTTTTGTGCAATGGACGTAGTTCCGCAGTTTGGGGGGCTGTGGGTGGCAACTGCTGGCTACTAAACCTGAAATACTTCGTACCTACTGGAGCTAAGGCCCGTCAGTCAAGCCAGGTACCTGAATTTAGAGGGCAGTAATAGCCTAATGGTAACTATTACTACCCGTACCTACCGCCTAGTAAGGCCTAGTGAGCCTATAATAATAATGCTTGAACTCTCCTCGCCTCTAGTAGTCCAAGAACTGCACAACTAAGAAGCCCTGCAACATGAGCCTTGGTGTTGATTGCTTCGTCCCTTGCTTTCTCCTCCTCACTGGTTCTCGACCTGATGTGTTTCTGAATGTGCCCTGCTGCATAAACGTCCGTCTACTACTGCTGCGCCCGGTGGGCATCCCAGGTCGTCGATTCGACAGAGGCTGCCGTTCCGCAAGCGCCTGGAACAAAGCGCCCTGGTCGATGGTGCAGCATCCACCCGGATGTTCCTACCACTCAGATAGCAGTCCTCGAGAGACTTGGGTCTCTTTCGTGATAGCTAACGGCTCGCCCCTCCATCCACCAGGACTTTCTATGCACCTGTTCCTTGACTGGAGGAAAGGTTCCTGCAATTGCCATTCGAGGCGCTGGGCAAAGCACATGCAGGGACTCAAAATCCCCGAATCCTAGAGGTGAACCGTTTCTTTTCCCCAAACACAGAAGCCTCGCTCCGAGGGTTGCCTTCCTCATTTTGCTTCCCGGCGTTCCCATTGCCTTCTTTATGTGCGCTATCTTCTCCTACCGTTGACCAGTCGACGTGAGCTCCTCACCCTGTCTGTTTCTTTGTTTTAAATGCTATGTGAGGCCCCCCAGTGCCACATCCACGGCTCAGAGAGACGTAGTGCCGTTCCAGCAACATGGGTGGGATTGACGTCTCCTCCGTGGTGAGCTCCATCATATCAGCCTTTGGCAGTGGCATGGACATTTTCCATCGTCTGGGAGGAAAGAAGAGGAAAACCAACGCCAGACTCCCTCGGCCATCTGAAGAAGAACAATGGCTGCGACATTCGTTGAAAAATCGACCTGTGGAGATCCAACACGAGTACGATCAGCAGGTAGCAAAATTCGGGCGTCAATTCGAAGTTGGTGACGTTGTGGCTCAGTCAAGTTTGGCACATACTCTTCTCGTCCTCAACACCGGCCTGATCAACTTGATCAATCATGCCCTTTCCGGAGACCCCAAGACAATATCCTTGTCTAAGCGGACCTTGTTCAGTCTCTCTGAAACTGCTGCAGTTGACACTATGACTGCCATCGGACAGCTCGGGTCGCGCCTCAGCCTAGTGTCAGCATCCAGGCTGGCGCTTGAGTTGAAGGGGAGCCAGAGGTCTGATGAGAAGACCCCTCACAGAGAACGCAAATCCAGTTCTACAACGTCGACAAAGAAGACCAAGAGGCCACCTCCGACGCCATTACTAATCCGCGGTGGTTGGGTGAGGTCCAGAAGCGGGTCATCAGTTGTCTCTGGGGCAGCGGCGAAGAAAGCAAGGGCAGAGCAGACGCAGAAGCACCACCGATCCAAATCTGATTCTATGGTGTCAAAATCGTCCGCATCCCGGTCCAGCGACTCCAAGGCCAGGCGGGAGGAGTCACTCAGCCATGTGTCCGGCTGTACCTGTAAAGCAGCCCCGGCTCGAGTGGAAGAATCAAAGCCTCCCACTAGACGGAAGTCCAGCGAACAGCCCCGACCGCAAAGCCAGCGAAGCATGCTCCTCGTGCCTGCAGACTTCTTCGAGAACGGGCAAAACATTCCAGAGCAAGCGGTGCTCCCACAGGCTCCGCCTCGACCACCAAAGATCCCGCTGCATAGCCGCCCCAATCCAGCACAGTCTAGGGCGCGTCCGACATCGACTATGACATTCATGACGGCTAGCACCAAGATCGGCGAAATCCCAGAATCCAAGTGGCCGGACAAGACGCTGCCAGAGGAGGGAGAAGGGTCGCGGAGACTGCCATACATTATCCCGCCTCCGCTTGAACCGAGCGAGCCGAAGAGGAAGAAAGGGCTCAGATTCTGGAAGAGGGAAGACAAGAGCCGTGACATTGCCGCTTATTGAGGATTCGAATTTGGTTTTAAGCACAGGTGTTTGGGATATGTGGTGGGCGTTGCCGGACGGACCTTTAAGTACCAGTTGATGACTTGAGTGATGCCCATCTTCCACGTAGTTAATGAATATGGCAATGAGATCCCCTCCGATTCGACCCTTGAATTGCTTCACTTCATCTGTTCTGCTGTTTTTCTCATGACGAAGTGAATGTGGAGGCTGCTCTAGTGGAGCATATAACGAGTAAGAATATCCCTTGCCACCCACAGCCTTGCCTCTGCCTCTGCCTCGTGCTCCACACCCCAGATATTAATTTGTTTATATCACCATTCTGCTTTCCCTCGACGATACACTTCCCCCACCAACCTCATTCCTACACAAAATTCACCATGGCGACGGACACAATCCCTGTCCCCAAGCCGGGCGAGGGCGAGCCGATTGTGTTTTTCGACATCCAGATTGGCGGTATGTCATGATAATCCCCGGCCCACCCCCAAATATGCGACAACTTTTTTGCGTGGATGGGAAAAATTCCAGGCCAGAATCCAAGAGAAGCTTGCAGGGCACGGCAGCGATGAGATGGCATGAGCCATGAACGTGTGCATTCAGGAAGCATTCCCGTTCCCCATGCTCCCTTCTGCCACTCTCTCTCTTTTTCTCTCTCCATCTAGAGCGACTTCTCGTCGTCACTGCTGTTGGTGCTGCTTAAGTCCCGCAACCATCAAAACCCACACCCCTCCTCCCGCCTGAATTCCGTCTTCAAGTTCGACCCATCTCTAATCAAATCATTGAACACATCACTAGGCGAACCACTGGGCCGCATTAAAATGCACCTCTTCTCCAAGACGGTGCCCAAGACGGCGGAGAACTTTCGCCAGTTCTGCACGGGCGAGCACAAGGGCATGGGCGGCAAGCCGATGGGGTACAAAGGCAGCAAATTCCACCGCGTGGTGAGTCTATTACGTTGTTCTATTTATCTCTTTGTTTGTTTTTCTGTTTGTGGGCCTGTTTGTCTGCTTCATTGAGCCCTCTCTTTCCTCCCATAAGAGTCGGCCTGGCGAGGAAGGGTAAGGGCGTGGAAAGAGAGCGACGACGCCCGATTGAGGGAGAGTGATGTCAGTCGATGTGCCTTGCAGTACGAGGACGATGATAAGGACGGATGGACCAGCGTGAAACCCAGACTACGATGGAAACCTCTGAGCCTCTCATGCCTCTCGAACTTTTTAACTCCGGCCAAAAGAAAAAAGAACCCGGCCCAACACGTCTCTCCTTTGGCTCTCGACCATCTAAAATCAACAAATCCATCCCACCTTCGTCTAACCTCCCGTGCTCCAGATCAAGAACTTCATGATCCAAGGCGGCGACTTCCTCCACTCGGACGGCACGGGGAGCACGAGCATCTACCACAACGCGGCGTTTGCCGACGAGTCGTTCGCGATCAAGCACACGCGCGCCGGTCTGCTGTCCATGGCCAACTCCGGACCCAACACCAACGGGTGCCAGTTCTTCATCACCTGCGCCCCGGCGCCCTGGCTGGACAACAAGCACGTCGTCTTCGGCCAGGTCGCCGACGAGGAGAGCCTCAAGGTCGTCCGCATGATCGAGAACACCCGCACTGCCGGGCCGGGGGGGCGGGGTCAAGGCGAGAGGCCCGTCCTGGACGTTAGAATCGTCCAGTGCGGTGAGATGTAGGTGCTGGTCGGAGGACAGATGGCAGGGGGTGGGGATGCGGGTGATGCAAGAGAAAGAGGCAGGGCGGTAGTGGTGGTTGATTGAGGATGGGGTGGCGGAAGATAGGCGTATGGCGGGAAAGCAAGAGGCATAGGAAAAGGAAATCAGGAGCTGTGCCATACTTTCTTTCTCATACTGGGAGCTTGGATCCGGTCATCTCAAGAGCTCGACTCACTCTACTGCCACCAATGCACTGGCGAGGGATTAAGAAAATAGCACAAATTCGAAAGAAAGTCACTTTCAAACGCCGTACCGATCCTCTCCGTGCTTAGCAATTCATATTATACCAATAATCATAACTTACATAGCTACGGCTTCCCTCTCTTGGTGCGCCCGCGCGGCTATTCGATCCTGGGCAGCGAGTCCCTTGCCTCCCTCAATACGAGATACTCAATAACATCGACCTCACCATGCTGATCCAGCGATAGCAGAGGAAAAGGCGTATGCGATGCCTTCGTCGTCATTGTCGTCGTTGTCGTCGCCGCCTGTGTGCCTTTGCCACCAGGACTCCTCTCGCTCTTTCCGCCGAGTAATCGCTTCGGGGCCCCCAGCATCCAGACCCCCCGATGTTCCCATTGTCTCTGCCTCCTGACAGACCCTTCCCAGTCTTGGCGCCATTGCAGTGCGAGGTCTGGGTGCCAGAGGCTGCCCATTTTTGAGGGTCCGTTGAGCGAGGATTCGATACCGGTCCAGCCATTATCATCGTCAGTCAATAAGACATCGCCGTAGCCTAAGCCGAGGTTCAGGCCGAGGTTGACGTGTATGATATGGCCTTTGGTGCGAAGTCGGTTGTCCGGCTGTTGCAGGAGGAAACTTCCGAGTACCATGGCAGACCATGTCAGGCACATTCGTTGCTCTGTGGACTCAGAGAAATCTTCGAGCTGCTTGTTGATGAATGTGCTGGCGATGTCTGTTAGGGCCGGCAAGAATTCAAATCGCTCGTATGGATGGTTCTGCTCTCCTGCTGCCCCAAGACCTTCGCCGATATGGTGATGGTAGAGCTGTATACAAAAGACAACGAGCGCACAGCACAGCTGCAGCTCCGTTGGACTGAGATTGCTGCACCATTGAAGATCCTGGCTGAATTGACGGCACCGTTCGATAAGATCCAAGGCTCGTTTACTCTGCCCGCTAAGGCTTTGAAATGGCTGTATCTGGTCTAACAATCGTGTCATTGATTTCAGTGACGCCGCGAGTTCAACTGAAAGATCTAGTCCAGAGAGCAATGTTGGGGATTGCGCTCGCATATGGCGCTTTGGCGGAGTACTTCGCCTCGACTGAGACTCACTCCTCGGTGGTTCTGATGGATAACTGTGACGATCCCGAAGGAGGATCTTTCGATTCCGGTAGCCATGTAAGGCTTTCCAACTGCACCGTGTCAATCATTCCTGCAGAGTTGGAAAGCACGAAGAGACCATACACTTACCTCTCTAACCGATTATGGACCACTCGGGTAACGGCACTGTTTGGGTTGTCGTCGATATAACGCTGTGCGATGTTTTGGAATGCTTCGAAATGGGCAACAAACGCCTCCGGCTCGCTCGACATGTACTGTCAGATGTGAGTCGGTGTTTTCAGCCTGGAGAGTACAAACATAGCTTACTGCAATGCTAATCATGCGGCCAATCGTGAAGATGACGGCTTCGTTGGGTCCATTGTCACCGAGAGATACTCTTCGTCGCAACCTCGTCATTGCTAGGCCACGGTGATATAGCATCAGCTGGTCATCCGATGGATTGTTGCCCTGAGCAAGTGCCCATGCCGTTTGGCTAACGGCGACCGTGGCGTCAAACAGCATGGCATCTTGAAGCGCAAGCGGCCAGCATAAGTCGAGTTGAGTATTGTAACCCATCAGTTTGTCAAAATTGCCAGCTTTATGAGGGGCCCATACGTGGATGTCTAAAGTCATCGTCAACAAGATCCTTGGATAGAAAGTAGGTTGGCCTTGGGTTGTTTACTGACGATAGTCAACCATGAACATGACTTCCTTTGTATTCGAGCCTGGAAAGGCGCTGAAGGGATCTGTCCGTAGTCCTGTCTGGAACGCAAGGTTCATCCCAGTCTCGCTCGATTCCCCTGGCCCTGTCAATTGTTTGTCAGGTGTCCCGCCTTTTGGTCGGGATTCCTCTCCTTGATTTTCGACTGGGGGCGTGGACGACGTTGACCTCCAGCCCACTAAGCTTCGTGCATACCCGGCATCTTGCCGCGCCGAGACTCTCTGCCGCTGTCGCTTTCCTGCGCTTTGAAACCGCCGTGCCTGGCTAGAAACCAACTTGGATTTGTCTCCTCGAAACGACTCCGGACCTTGGTCAATGAAGACGTGCTCCGGAACGTTTGATGAAGTATTTCTCTTTTTGGACTGTTCAGGCATATGCAATGATTACCTTGAGGAGAGATGGTGGGAGGACGGATATGTACTGGACATAGTTGTGGAGTGTCGTGTCAGTACAATTGATATATGGGTCTCCCCTTACCCTGCCATAGCGGCCAATGGTACTGGCTTTACCATGAACATTTGCCCCTACCACAAGTAGGTATCTAAAACCTTTCGTTTTGCCGATGACTCAGCGTGGGCAAAAAAAGAGGCTGCTGAGGCACAAGCATCAACGTCGATGGACCTGTCTGTGCGCGGCGGTTTTGGGATCCCTGGTGTTCGACGGCGAGTTATTCTAAATCCAATCCTGCCGATCCGTTACTGATCCAAACGACCCGAGGAGACGCAAGGCTTCTGCCCGAGATCGGCCCAGCCTATGAGGTGCTTGCCTGTGCCGAACCGATACACCACGTCGTATGGATCCGCCGGATTTTTCCTGCGTCCTTACTAAGTAAGGCTGCCTGATATTTGTAATCCCGTCCTATATCCGAATGATCAACTGTCCAGCCTTGCGCGAGAAGCTTGGATGATCTGGAAAGTTAACGCAAGGAGAATCGCCACGCGGTTATATGAGGGTTGAGATTGAGGTAATTTCGTCCAAAATCTACTGGATTGCACTGGGGACAGCAGCAAAGGCAAACGTCGCTTGTCCAAGGCAAACAACGAGAGAGTCCGACCGGCAGGACAATGCTCGCTCAGATGTTCCCGCTCTCTCTTGCGGCGAAGGCCTGAACAGGCCCAGCTCTCAATGCAACGTTGGATTTCTCTTGATCTTGACAGCTGATGAAATTAGTTCTTGGCCAAATCAAGTTCTCTGGGTTAAGAGTCGTCCACGCTCGAACCCTACCGGATCTGGCAGGCGCTATGTGAGAAGCGACTCGACATTCCCCTGTTTAACACAGGACTGGCCTCGGTCATGGACAAAGAGCTTTTATGGATATTTGAACCTAGAGTGATCATACGCGAAGCAGCCTTCACTAAAATCTGGGAACTATAAGGTCTCACTTACCTCACAGCTGCACACCCATGTCCTCGGCAGAAACTGCTGAGCGACCAATGAAAATTCGATGAAGCCAGATAACTATATAGGGGCCAGGGAAAGCTTCTCGCGTGAGAAGTCGCTGGATCGGACTTTGAAAGCATGCAGGCGTCGAAATCGAGAGGCTGTAAACCGTGTCGATAGGCCAAATGCGCTTCGCCAGATATGACCGGTCTGGGTTAAACTTCTCTCCTCTCTGATTGGCTGTCGTCGGAAAGGGATTCAAGCTGTTCAACGGCGATGGACTCAACTCGAAAATTACGCAAAGTATCGACGTATTTCCCTCTTAGCTCGGTTTCGAACTCGAACATTCCATGAATAAGCAAGATGCATGGCGAGGAAATGTTTCCTCCAGAGTTCTTCCAAGGTCTGTTCAGGAGAGGACGGAAGGGACGTATAAAGGCAGTCTGCCATCAAGCTGACCGGAGCAAAAAGACTCACCTTGACACTGTTATTCAGACCTTCTCTGAATACACAACATCCCCACACAGTGAGAAAGTTTCCCCTTGTTTTCGAACAAATGGGTTCCATTACAGAACGTGCCATTCCAGCAGGGACCCTTGTCGTCGTGAGTGGAGCGAATGGTTTTATCGCAAGTCATGTTGTTGACCAGCTTCTGCTGGCTGGCTACCGCGTCAGAGGGACGGTCCGCAACTGCCACAAGTCTGCATGGTTGAATGACTATTTTGGCGACAAATATGGTTCTGGCAAGTTCGAGCTGATTGAGGTGCCAGAAATGGCTGAGAAGGGAGCTTTCGATGAAGCAGTCAAAGGTGCCTCTGGGTTTATTCACACAGCAACACCCGTCATGGTGTCGTACGATCCAAATGAAGGCGTTCCGATTGTCGTAAGCGGCACGTTGAACGCGCTCAAAGCTGCTGCCCGCGAGCCCTCTATCAAACGCTTTGTGCTGACTTCGTCTTCCACTGCTGCGATCAGTCCGAAGCCGAACGTGGAGCTCAGCGCCGATGAAACGACGTGGAACGACGAAGCGGTGAAAGCAGCCTGGGCTCCTCCCCCCTACGAAGGTGAACAGAGGAAGCTCGATGTGTACTCCGCCAGTAAAACACAGGGCGAGCAAGCTGCTTGGAAGTTCATGAAAGAAGAAAAGCCTGGATATGTCTTGAACACAGTCCTCCCAAACTGCAACATGGGTTTGGTGCTCTCACCTGAGCATCAAGGGGCGCCAAGTACGGTCGGCTGGCTCAAGGCACTCTGGAACGAGTTCAAGGGGCAAGAGACACTCGCGTTCAATCCGCCACAGTACTATGTGAACGTGCAAGACAATGCCCGCGTCCACGTTGGCGCCCTGATTTGTCCAGACGTTCAAGGAGAGCGCTTGTTCGCGTTTGCATACCCTTTCAACTGGAATGATATTCTGGCAATTTATAGGAAATTATACCCTGAACACAAATTCATGGAGGATCTACCTGACCTTGGTAGAGATCTTAGCAAGATCGCAAACGAAAGGGCGGAGAAAATTGTGAAACGATTTGGAAGGCCGGGATGGACGAACTTGGAGGACACCATCCGTGACACTACGAGGGGATGGGCCTGAGCAAGAGATATGCGCTGGCGTGGAAATAATGAAACGGAGAAATTGATCTTTGTAGGTTTGGTGAAGGGAATAACTGCGGGTAGCTCACGTGATTCAGTGTCACGTGACAAATACGCGGATCAGGCTCTTTCAGGAAATCGCCAGTTCCGAACAAAGCCCCGACTTTTTCCTAGTCTCCCTCTTGTCCTCAATTCAAGAACCGTCCTCCGCAAATCGCAGGGCGTCATCATGATCAGTCTCCGTCACCACTGGCTTCTTTGGCCCGCAGGACCCGACCCCGAGTGATGATACATATTTCAACAGCCGGCCGACCGTTCGGCAAGTTGAGGGGCAGTACCTCCAGTTCTTCCTTCGTCTTCCATATTCTCACGTTCCAAGTCATTCATTCAGACCCTTCGTTTTCAGTTTATCTTGATCCATTGTCTTTCTTCACGCAGGGGCTGTTCCAGGCAAACATGAGGTACCAAACCCTCCGTTTTACCATGTTCTACAAAGAGCCAAAGCACGATACCCGACAGACGTCGAATGCACAACTTTCGAGCGGATCAATATCGTCAGGTTTGAGTTTGCGGTCACCAACTTCGACGGTCTCCCTGCTGTCAAGATATTCGACAAATTCGACGTCCGACTCGCAAACGAGGAACGATACAGAAGCAAGAAAAAGATAACGAGCAGGAAGAGCGCAAATGTCTATCTTACTCTTCGGAAGCCGGTCCTGAGGATGTGGCTTTGCCTCAAAAACAATACCCAGAGCACATGACTTTCGCTCAGACTTCTGAGAGGACCTCCGGAAAACCTCACCCGGCATGGCATGTTGATCGAATCAGTCCCCGATGGAATGTACCAATCTCAAAATTCCAACGTCGTTTTATGCATGAGGCAGAATGATTCCGTCAACCCTCCTGGCGCTCGGTGGGTGAAATAACAGAAGGTCAATTGTCGCAGGAGAAGGCACATCACCGGAATTCTCAGCCTTCGAATACCGAAACTGAATGTCGGCGTCTTGTCAACGTCGGGTCAACATTTTGGATGTCCCCGAACCCTTCGTGCATGGACTAATGATTAATGCGAGAAATGTGTATGAACACTGACCGATTGTTGGTGGTATGGAATGATGAAGTTATGGCTGGTCATGTAAGATGTTCGGTACAGAGTCGAGAGCCATGGAGCTGGAGGAAGACATGATGTGTGAATTTAGTGATACCCAATATTGATTGACTTGTCTCAAGTGAGTACCGCTTCTTGCGTAATCGATGATCACTCGACACGGTTGAAAAGGGAAGCCCATGTGACATCCTGAGCCGGTCTTCGCATCACCTGAGGACTCGTAATGCTGCTCTTATATCTTTACCGCAGGGTATTTTTCACATGCCTCGGACTGACTGATGGCTGAGTGCCATCGATGAATCAAGTTGGGCCACTCTGGGAGGTCGCGGAGTCAGAGGCTACTAGGCCGAAGCATGTGAAGTCCGCAGGGTCGGCTTGGAGATGACTTATGCGGGGGCATGTCAGAGCCTAGTGGCCTGGAGGCAACCCCTGTATGTAGGGGCACCAGGCTTAATTAGGGGCGCCTTCTTTACGCTGCGGACAACCACAGTGCAGGAGAGAACTGCGAGCCTTTCACGGTGGGTTTGTGTCTGAAAAGGGGAGTTTTTCCGCGACCAGTCGAGATCTAGTGCATTGGAAGTCGACAACGTGGACAAGCTTTTCTGCACCCCAGAAACTACAAAAGCCAGGCTCGTAGCCTTCAGAAGAACGATCAACTATCCTTTGGTCTTGAAAAGCTGTGTGGGCCAGGTTCTTTCATACAAGTACGGTACTGCGTAGTACAGAGACTACATAGTTGTGGGCACCAACCAGGTCGAACGTATTTGGCAGTCAGTGGCAGGTCACCGGGAAGCCGAGGTTCATTTCTGTGAATTGTCTTTTCCTAGGTTGCCCAGTGTCGTCAACCACAATCCTTTGCCTCGAATCCCACGTTACCGGTTGCGCAGGTGATCGGTTTCGCCTCGAGCTTCAAAAACTACTTCTTCTCCCTTTCCATCCGGCACACTCGACAACCTCCTCCCAACCATCTACACCCGAACTCGCATCACCTCTGTGTCTGTCCGATATGACCCCTCCTCGTGTCATTGTTGTTGGCGGAGGCCGTAAGGAAGCCTCCATCTCATGGTTCCGAACCGGTTGACAAGCTGACTCCGAAACTCCAGTGTCTGGTCTAAGCGCCGCCCATACCGTCTACCTGAACGGAGGCAACGTCCTTGTTCTGGACAAGAACAGTGAGTTGAGCACTTGTTCGGCACAAGTCCACGGTCGCTGATGATCACGCAGACTTCTTTGGCGGCAACTCCACGAAAGCCACCTCTGGCATCAACGGCGCCCTCACCCGCACTCAGGTCGATCTCGGCATTCAAGACAGTGTCAAGCAATTCTACGAGGACACACTCAAATCGGCTCGTGATAAGGCTAGGCCAGATCTGATTCGAGTTCTCACATACCAGTCCGCCGCAGCCGTGGAATGGCTTCAAGATGTCTTCAATCTCGACCTCACTCTTGTTTCTCGATTGGGGTATGCCAAAAATCAAACTTTTGAGACAGATCGATTCTAATGCAGTGCACAGCGGTCACTCTTTCCCCCGAACACACCGAGGACATGATGCGAAATTCCCTGGTATGGCCATTACTTATGCTTTGATGCAAAGACTGGAAGAGCTCTGCGAATCCGACCCCGACAGAGTCGAGGTCATTAAGAAGGCCAAAGTCACATCTTTGAACACGGATGGCAACCTGATCACCGGTGTTACATACGAATATGGCGGTGAGACGCACTCGGTGGATGGTGTGGTCGTTCTGGCCACTGGTGGATACGCCGCCGACTTCACAGAGACCTCCCTTCTCAAGAAGCACAGACCAGACACTTTTCATCTGTCATCAACCAATGGTACACATGCCACAGGTGATGGACACAAGATGTTGATGGCAATTGGCGCGAACGACATTGACATGGACAAAGTCCAAGTGCATCCGACCGGCCTGGTTGATCCCAAAGATCCCAACTCCAAATGGAAGTTCTTGGCTGCTGAAGCCCTTCGAGGCGAAGGTGGTATTCTACTCAACAGCGATGGTCAACGATTCTGTGATGATCTCGGCCACCGTGATTACGTTTCCGGCAAAATGTGGGAGGAGAAGGAGAAGGGCAAATGGCCCATCCGCCTGGTCCTAAACTCCAAGGCCTCAAACGTCCTTGACTTCCATACCCGGCACTACTCTGGTCGTGGCTTGATGAAGAAGATGACCGGCAAGGAGCTGGCTAAGGAAATCGGCTGCGGAGAGGCTGCGCTGGAGAAACAGTTCAAGGAATACAACGCCATTGCCAAAGGCGAGAAGAAGGATCCCTGGGGCAAGAAATACTTCCACAACATGCCCATGGACATCAATGATACTTTCCACGTTGCGTTGATGGAGCCCGTCCTGCACTTCACTATGGGTGGCATGGAGATCAACGACAAGGCCCAAGTGCTCAACAGGGAACACAAACCTTTCGAGGCTCTTTTCGCCTGTGGTGAACTTGCTGGCGGTGTTCACGGTGCGAACCGGCTGGGTGGTTCCTCGCTTTTGGGCTGTGTGGTCTACGGCCGTGTTGCAGGAGCGTCGGCGTCTCAATACCTGTTCCACAAGCTTACCACCCAAGGAGGTGCCACCGGGACTTCTCAGCGTCTCGGGCAGATCTCATTACATATTGATCCCAGCACTCCTGGCAAGATCTCAGTGGAATGGGGAAGCGGTGCTTCTTCGGGGTCCTCAATCGGTACTTCGACAACCTCGAAGCAGGCCCAAAAGAGCGCAGCACCGGTGATGGATGGCGACAAGAGCCAGGACCCCGGCAAGAAGAAGGATGTCAACGATATCAGCAACTTCAAGGTACCGGATAAGGAGTACAGCCTGGAAGAGGTTGCCAAACATAACAAGAAAGATGATCTGTGGATTGCCGTCAAGGGTGTCGTGATGGACGTCACCAATTGGCTCGATGAGCATCCGGGTGGTCCTCAGGCATTGTTCAGCCACATGGGCAAAGATGCCACAGAAGGTGAGTCTACAAAATCAAAATTCGCCGATCAAGTTGGCTAACCTTCGTGCAGAGTTCGAGATGCTTCACGACGACGAAGTGATTCCGAAATATGCTGCCGACATTGTCATTGGCCGTGTCAAGGGCCAGGAAGTGCGACTGGAATATTGAGTCGCGTGATCAGTGCCCCCTTGGAAGTTGACCTTTTGGGAAGACAGCATGGAGTTGAGCTTTGTATCATGGGCAGTTATGGCTGCTATATGTCCTGACCTAAAAGAATCAAATTAAATCGAGCTGCCTTTGTTAAATTCTGTCGGAATGCTCTTTCATCATGTCGCATGCGGGTGGTTGTAAAAGCAAACATGTCCGAGTGAACCAAATGTGGAAATTCCCAGTTCAAATGACCGTCATTTGGCTCCATATCTTGAACCCATTATTTTGCTCGCTCCAACGACAACCTAGAGAGCCTTATGCGACTTCCTGTCTCTTGTACCAACACCCGTCTCGTTGGCTGGCTGTACCTGTGGTCGTGCCTAAGATCGTGATTTGTGGGACAGCGCGGAAAGGTGGCGGCGAGATATTGATTCAGGTAAGGACGGCCTGATCGTGCTCACGCCTCTCGTCCACCATCCCCCACCCTGTGAACGATGCCCAACCTTTGCGCACCCAAGAGACCAGCTCAGTGTGGGGAAAAGGCCAGATGAATCCTCATACAATTGCAGAAGGGTGCGCGCACAGCGTTCGTGGTGTTCTAGCCAGTGGGAGTCCTCATTGTTCTGATTCTGCGTTCTGCCTGCTCTGATTTTCATTTGCACTATCGTCACTTCAGCCTGACTTGCTAATCACCATCGGGGAAACAGGCAAAAGCCACTTCTGACAGCTTCAAAATCTGATCGACCGGTTGATAACGCGCGGTCTCCTTTCGCGCCTCATTCGACCTCACCGTCCGCGCCACAAACCCTCACTCCCCCACGATGGACCGCCGGGAGATCCTCTCCAAGGGCTCCGCGCTCCAGAAAGCCATCGCGGCGAAGGAGCCCTCTGTCAACATCTTGACCATCCTCCGCGACCTCAAGGCAAACGTCCGACCCAGTGAAGAACTCTTGCGCGCCACGGGAATTGGCAAGATCGTTAATAAAGTGAAGGGAGTACCGAACATGGATCCTCAAGTCAGCCAACTTGCTGCGGAGATAATATCTCGCTGGCGACACGTGGTCAACGAGCAAAAGCTGGCAAGCGGCACATCTACACCCACCGCCAACGGGACCAGATCGAACGGCACGAATTCACCGGTACCCCAGAAGCCCGCCACACCCACCGCAAAGGCGTCTAGTCCTGGAGTCGCACCAGACAAGCGCAACTGGAAGACGGACAAGGTCCCCCGTGATGAACTGACATCCGATACGGCGCGAAACAACTGCATTGGGCTGATCTACGATGGTCTATGCCTGGGTTCTGAAATACCGATGAAACAAATCCTTGACCTGGCCAAGCAAATCGAGTCCGCCGCCCTCAATCTCCCCGACGCCAAAGGATCCTCAGCTTCGGCTGTGTACAAGGATAAAATCCGCTCTTTGTACCAAAATCTCAAGAACAAATCCAATCCGGGACTGCGAGTGCGTATCCTGTCGGGGGAGGTTACCGCACAAAGATTCGTCACCATGTCACACGAAGAGATGAAATCCCGCCAACAGAGAGAGGAAGACCTCAAAATCGCAAAGGAGAACATGAACAATGCCATGGTGGCGCAGGAAGAGAAGTCCGTGAGTACTTCGCTCGAGTGCGGAAAGTGTCATCAGAAAAAGGTTAGCTACTCTCAAGCGCAGACGCGGAGCGCAGACGAACCGATGACGACGTTCTGCGAGTGCCTGAATTGTGGCAATCGGTGGAAGTTTTCTTAACAGCCCCGAACCCCAATTATGTACTACTGGTTTTTGCGAGGGCTATGTATGTGGCTGTATACAGTTCCTGGGGAGGAAGCTATCTTGGACGACAATTGGAATTGGTTTCGTCGAGGAAAACAGATCCTGGGCGAAGAGAAGATATGCACTTGAGTTGATAATGGCTGTCCTCGGTCTCGTCCGATTTTCAAGAGGCGTGAGGGACGAACGAATATTGGTCTCAAATCACGTTCTTTAAGGACGTTAACTCTTCCAGACGGCCATTACTCAAGTGCAATGCCGAATGGCCTTCTCATTCCAGCTCTCCTTGTGAGTTTTGGGGGTTTTTAGGTGTCACACCTCAGGAGACAAAAAGGCATCAAATGGAGGGAGTGTGTGTGGAAAGGAGGACTGGTCGATGGAAAAAGTCTGTCATAATTGTGCCCAGCATGGGTCAAACGGGCGAAGAAGACGGACAACACCCAGTGCAGGGGCTGCACACAGAAAGTGGTCGGGATGCAAATTTGCACAGGATGAAAGCGACCAAAAGCTGAAACGTCGTTGGGTCTTTTGAGGAGGAACTCGGATACCCATGAAATATCGCAGCATGTATCAAGAATTCCCCAATGAATATGAGATACGAACTTTCGAACCCAGGTTTTGAAGACTCTCTCTGTGGATGGATGGCTCTCACTTTGCAAGCAGATCCACGATCCACGTGTCTCTCCTGATCATGACCGTCACCACCACCGTTACAAGACGCTGAGCCCACCTGTCGGTCTACATGAATACGCCTCTGCAAAGAAGATGCGGAGAAAACCTGGTCATGACAATGCTGGCCGGCCACCCCCCTGGTGTATTGTCAGCCTCGTCTGAAACTCGGCGTGGAAATGTAGTGGAGTTCATCTGCGTGTGGGATCCAGGATGTATAAAGGAATCACTCCGACAACCAGATACTTAATCGACCTAGTATGCGTTTCTCATTCATTTATCAATTTGGGTCTGAAGAGGATAAATCAACACGCTTCATTCGAGGCCTACTCCGTACAGGATTCAGAACCCAAGGGCTGAAGAAGACTCGTGACGATGTCGACGCACAAAACATCGACGATCCTCCTGCTCATCCGCAAAGGCAGCGCTATGGATGAAGCCCAATCCCAGCTCTTACAAGCGAGTGCTGACGAGGAAGCCTCACCTGCCTCCTGCTGCCGTAATGTTCGCGTCTGTACAGGAACCACCGTTGACGATCTGTGACGTGCCTTCGACCAAGCCTCCCAAGAAGCCGTACGATTCAGCATGTCTTCGTCGGCGCGGGCTTGGAGCTCGAGCACCGGCTGGAGATTGTCAAGCAAATCATCACGGGCAGTCGGGATACCTCTGTGCACTTGAAGGATACAACATCGGGACCTGCGGTGTTCCTTCCGTTCATGAAGGCTGTATTGGGTGGTCGGTCCGAGGATTCGTCAGATCATCATGATCAGTAAGGGGATCAGCGCCTCAGACACGGACGGCGTGGGGATGTACACAAGACTATTGTCCAGACTGCAGACCAAAAGTCGAACTTCGATGAATGAACTCTTCCACTTGTACCAGTCCCATGTTTGCCGGTTCCCATCAACAGCCTAGAGGTCAGGGAGACCAAATCATTCCGGATAGCCTGAATATGCCAAATCCACTGTGTGCAGGAGCCCACTTCCTCAGATCAATGTCGACATGCATGGTGTCCGTAAATCCCTGACTGAGGAAGAATTCATGCGCGGCTGGCTCAGAACAGACCACAAGTGGAATACCCTCAGTCCTCACCTTTTCGAGGCAGAAATGGACCAGTGACGATCCTGTCCCTTGTCGACGAGCAGAAGGCTTGACACAGATATACGAGAGCTCTAACACAGCTAGATCAGTCTAGGTGGAATTCACTCATTACAAGATATCGTACCGAAATGATCGAATTCCTCTGTTCCTTTGGCAATCTCAGACACTGCGTTCGAAACTGCCGAGAGAAGCTCGGGGTTGAAAAAGTCAGGAATATCCTCCTGCTTCTCACTCCGAATTCCTTTGCCAGAAGGTGGTTGGGTCTTGGTCTGTGTAAGGGGTCGTTTCCTGGTCAAGGCGAGATGTCCCAGGATATCTCCAGATTCCTGGTCAACCGCTTTCAGACTATCGACCGATTCACCTTTGAATGCCGACTCGACAGCGGCTGCATAGAGTGGCCTCTGAGCAGCATTGTTCGGCCAGTCTTTGAACAAGAGTCGATTAACGGGAAGGGCAAGTTTGCAGGTGTGAACGAGTTCGGAGAGCAATGGGAGATCAGAGCTCGAGACTGGACGGATAGTCTGCCTGCGACAAGCCATGTTAACAATTTCCCTGCATGCATGTGCTGGCAATGGAAAATGGAAGCTGGACCTCTTTAATCCGGGGTCATGTTAGGAACTCACAGAATTGAAGTACTCTAGAGTGCCAGGCACCAGAGTTCTTGAATTTGCAACATGGCCAAACTCTCTGGTCAAGCACAGGCAGATACGTTCGTCGATGACGATGGCAAACCACAGGAGGCGGTTGTAGTTGTTAGCGTTATGTGACGACGAGAGCATCTTCTTACAGAATAGACTTTCATCAGGCGTCCGGCCCGCCAGGCAGCTGCCGGGTAGGCTGGAATAGCTGTTGGGCACAGCTCTGGGTGCCATTGCCCAGAGCAGGTACTCGTCATGCCCCCGCACCGCTCGCACCTAGGCGCCTTCCTGGGGAAGCCACAGTATGTACTCCTCGAGTCCTCGTTGGTGCTCCACTCAAACCAAGCAATTTGCTAGGCGACGCGGCACGGTTCTTGACAAAGTCACTCTCGTCCTATTCTCCCCCAGAGCTACGAGTACCTGTACGCCTTGCCTCTATCCCCAGTGTTGAATACAAGTCTGTCGTGGAACCGGAGGCTCAGAGTCTCAGAGATGACGGAGCACGAAGCACGGATGCTGCATGCAGCTTGTCGACGCCACCAACACGGGCTCACCAGCCTTTCCTCTCACGTCGATCATGGGGCGCCAAACCAAGTGTTTAGCGATTGGCGACCAGGATTTGTTTCCCCTCAAGGGCCCCCTCCCACGTTTGAGGCTCAATGGGCCAGCCTGACCACTGCAGGTCGAAGCTCTTCAGCTGAAAGTTGTCCAAATGGGACGCCTTCCCCTTTCTCCCGACCACCTGTCGCTATCAACGACACCTCAATGTCGGCGTCGCCAGGAACATGACTGGCGACATCGACAATCGAGTCACGGAGCAGGGGACCCTCCAGATAACCTCTCCTCTTCCCGAGTTCATTATTCCCAAATGTCGTAAACCATCGCTGCTTTTCTACGATCACTCAGCGGAGCAGGTTCTTACACCAGGCAACGCATTGAGCGCACAAAACGGTGGAGGAGAGCCTCAAGGTTGGTCGTGCTTCTTGGACGCTCTGCCAACTGCTCATTGAGACGTGTTTTCCAGGATCAGCCCCCAGCAACGCCTCCTCTTCGACCATCTCCCCGAGACAATGCCACCTAGGACAGGAATGCGTCCTCGAGCAACCACAAGACTTAAAGCCCGCTATCAGGTCAGACATCGCTTTCGGCGATGGACAAGGCACAGTCGGCTTTATTAGTGAGTTTGGAGAACTTATCCAGGCGAGGCGCATCCTGGATTATGGACCATGGGGTTCGCTACAAGTCCGACCCGAATCAGACCCTGCCGATTTCGACCACATCATGGAAGGATCGTGTCCAGGCATCGGACTGCGCTTGAATGACCGATCGGTCGTTCCAGACGAAGACTTCCACCCTGTTTCATACATCCATGACCGGTGGCCAAAGCTCTCATATAGCACGGAAGGTGTCGAAGTCGAAATGATGTTTGCCGTGGTGGATAAGAAAATTGTGCATCAATGCGTGCTCTCTAATAGAGGCAACGCTGACAGCACGGTTGATATGGTATTTGACATGGGTTTTGCAATGGGTGCGCCTGTAGATTCTCGTCTACGCAGCGGCACCAAATTTAAGGGAGGAACACTGACCTCAGGTAATACCTGCATCGTGCTCAGCGGTAACCCCGGTGGCTATGGCGTTTTCGGTGCCTCTCTATATATTGATCATGGACGTCCAGTACGCCTTGTACCCGTCGAATTGAAAGATCAGCCTGAGACTGGCAATGATCCAAAGCCTGATTCATCTCACGCGGGGAAAAAGGAAAGTAAGGAGAAAGAGCCATCGAGGTTTCTTTTCCACCGCCTGCCAATCAAGATTGCACCGGGTGCGCAGCGAGAACTGACAGCTGTTTATGATTTTAATTGTGGACGGTGGACAAGGGACCAGATATACGACCTGAAAATTATGCCGTCAATAAGTGATGATTACTACACATTACAACGCCTCCGAGAAAATTCATTCTTGACGGCATACGAAGAAGCGAAGAGCAAGGACGACGTGGAGCAAGTCCGAAAGATTTTGGAAGATGGGGTGCCTCAACACGCAGCAGTTCCTGCACAGAAAGATGCACATGACGCTCCGTCGGAACCTGTCGATACGAACGCACCAAAGCCTCCCGAGGAACAGCAACCTCTCGTGCCAGAAAGCGAGTCTCACGTCAAAACTCAGTTGCCTTTTCAGAACCACGGGGGCGAGAGCCTTGTCTCTCATCATCTGTTTGGCCTTGAATGGGCATCAAAATGGTCATTTCGGGACAGTTTGGGTGCCGATACATTTTGGGATGTTATGTGGGGGGAAAAAATGAAAAAGCACAAGCAGGAGATGAGAGAACTTGTAGGAAAAGAGTTCGAGAAGTTGAGAGATGATCCCAAGATCCGCCCAGGTGAGCCACACCGCGAGACAAGCAAGGCTTTGCCCTGGATTTGCTGACTCTGCAAGGTTGCGGGTATGTCGATGTCCAAGAACATCTAAGTCGCTATTGTCCTGGAAAATGGATCAAAGGTCTTCCCGACCAGCCGACCAATTTCCTTTTCCGTCGATACTTGCAATACATTTTAACAGTGGTGCCCATCGGGGTGCATTGGAAAAGAGACGGAGATCCTGCTTATTTCTTCTGTACCAGTGGACAAAATGCTGTCACCACGGATTATGGCGCTGTTCTGTAAGGGCCGTCTTCAATACCCAATATTGGTTCTAATTCCGTTCACCAGATACCAGTTCCGCCTCCTCGGCTACATACACCGGCTGCTTATGAGTCAAGAAGGCATTGTCGATGACTCGTTAAAGAGCTCTTTACACTCAGAGATTGAGAAACTTTGCAAAGGTCATCTCGAATGGTAACCTTTCAGACCCCAGCATACATACCGGTCAAATGTTCTAACTGTGGTGTTCAGGTGTTTTGAAGTCGCTCAAAAGACGAAGAGTGGATTGTGGACCACCGTCTACAAGCCTCTGGGTGCTAAGATAACAACCGTGGATGACCATGTCCACAGCGCTACCAATTTCCTGAAACTGTTTGAATTCTATGTGGAGTTCCCGGACAGTCGACCGTTTGTTCTTGCCACGCTTAAGAAACGACTTCTGCCTTGGCTCAAGGCACTTCAGGAGACCCGGAACAAAAACTCTGGCCTCTGGGAGTCAGTCAGAAAGACCATTCAAGTGTCGTGGTGGGACTCCAACTATCGGCAGGATGAGGAAGTTTCAATCCCAAACTACGACCTATGTGATTGCGTTGAGCATTGGCAAACTCTTCAAACTGTCTTCAGCATCATCAACGAAATGAAGGACAATGGCAATATCCGACCGGATACCGGCGACGCAGCTGCGTCGCCGTTGCTGCAGGCCGTGACAAAAGAGCTTCTCGACAGTTTGGAAACCAGCGGACTTATGAAAGAGCTGGACCCCTCTGCTTTTCGAGAAAAGATACTGGAGCGATTCTCTTTTGAGATCGAACGATCCTCTGTTGAGACTTCTATACAATCTGCTGAACTCAGAATTCAAGCGCCTGGTTCTGGTTCGCTGGTAGAAGAGATGAAGGGCAACAAAAAAAGACTTCTTGCCATCAAACGCTGCGCGAAGGAGCGGCCGAGATGGAACTGGTGCATATTAAACGATCCTCCCTTTTTCCTCACGGGTTGGCTGATTCGTCCTAGGTATGCAGAGGCCATGGTACTGTGCCCCAAGTACGATCTCGGTTTCTTTGATTCCGATCGTCCCTCACAGCGACTTGCCGAATGGTCAGCGGCGGTTGAGGCACAACAATTTCAGATAGAGCAGTTTTGGAAGAAGCCTCTCCGATACGCCCTTGCACTAATTTTGGCATTGGACAGCAAAATATCTCTCGATAAATCGAAAGACCCAGCGACAATGGCTGTCACATGTCAAACGACCTTGATGGGATGCGTCTTGAGCTGCGGGCTGATGGCTGAAGAGATGGACCCGAAGACCAAGAAGCCGCAAAGCAGACTCGACTACTTTCCAGAAGCTGTTTTTGGGGTGCCCTATTGTTTATTCAGGCTGACTTATGAAAACTTGCTTGGAGCGTATCCGAAGCAAATTACCAATCCGTCTGGTAATACCAGAGTCGGCACCACGTTCGACGAGAAGCTCTGGAAAAAATCCTACAAAGCCATCCGCTCGAGGACGAAGGCCGGTTTGTATAATCTTGCCAGTGTTGACAGGGCTAATGTGGTCGATCTGACTGAGGTATGCGAACCGGAATGGTTGTTCGATGACCCATGGTACTGTATCGCGTTATCACAAGAGCTCGAGAGCGCACTGACAATGACAGGTATTTCACGCAAGAGGATCTTCTGCCGGACAGACCCAAGGGTGAACGTGGCCCTTTAAAATACACCAAGGATGCCGTGCAATCGGGGTTGAAAGTTCTACTGGACTTCGACCGTGATGAAGGGAGCTTCCCTTACGCCGTGTTCAACGAAGCCATTCTACTATACAGCCGTGATCACAACGAATTTTTGGCAGAGGCTGACGAAGAGCGGCCAGGAAGTATCGTGGATGTCATCAGGACCGGCAAGCGCCAGTCACAGATTCTAGAGGACATCCCTAATGCCTGGGAGCTCATGGAGCACGTATGGAAGAAGAGGACCAAGAACGATGTGAAGAAGAGACTGATGTGAGTCGCAACTCTCCCAATGTCTCCCAATGATACCGGATGGAAGGATATAAACTGACCCCCGGTTGCAGATACGTGTACAATTGTGGACCAAGGTTCTCGGTAGCGGTATGGCCACTGATTTTCTGCTCGCCGAGGGCAATCTGATTGCTCCTGTACTGACAGCTGAAACAAGCTCTATCTCTCTGTCCCTGACAAAGAAAGATACTCGATGGCAACTTTTCTGTCTCGCCACCAGACCCGAGACGTGTTTCTTCGCGAAGATGTACGCACAATTTCCGTGGTCCTCTGAGGAAGCTCATGACTAACGTTTAGATGATTGCAGACGCACAAAACCATCAACTCTTGGACTACTGAACTGCACCTTGGGTTCTACCGAGTCATTTCGAACTTGTCGGCTCCTGCTGGCGATGATGATTCCGATGATGACCAAATTCCTCCCAGCCTGACTATATTCTCGGGAAGGCCATTTCAGCTTCCGGGTGACGCGACCAAACTCATCGAGAAATGCGCCATCGGATTCCGGTTTGATGGCGACCTTTACGACCGATATTGGACTTGTTATGTTGCCGTGTATTTGCCGCAATGTGACACCCAGGATCGATGGTTTGCTGATGTGGATTCCTTCAAGTTGATGAGGCCTACTGGGGAAGGCAACAAGGACACCGAACACAGCCAACGGAAGATTTTGGAAGCCCGGTGGTTTGAGAGAGCAACCCGTATCATCTGTGAAGAGACGCGAAACATTTTGAGAGTCATTTCCGGGATCCTTGGTGAAGATGTGGGTACAGGTCCGTGGAACAGCTTGTGCTTTCGAAACTGACCTGGCAACAGCGCAATGGGCGGTATACTGCCACTTCCTACGACACCTTCCGAGCGAACTTCGAGACCAACAAAACCACCTACGCCCAATATGGAGAGATGGTCAAGTTTCTCCGCCACGTTCTTGATAACCTTGAAGCAATCCGAAATGTCGCCGACAAATGGGAAAACCGAGCGACCACACGCGAAGTTCAGCCTCGTTGGACTCGTGACGACGAAGCTGCTTACGCCCAGGAGATCTCCATCTGGTGTCGGCGAGCCCAGGCCAATGTCCACAACATGGCTCATTTAGAAAACCAAATCCAAGCGAAACTGGACCACATCAAACAACTTCGAGAGTGGCTCCTCGACGACTTGCAACTCAAAGAGGCCCGAGTGTCCAACCGATCGGCGGATGATGTGCGGATTTTCACCTACGCCACCGTCGTGTTCTTGCCTCTCAGTTTCGCATCGAGCATCTTCAGCATGGGCGGAGCGCCCTCGCACAGTACCGCAGTCTCATTTGTGACGGCGGCTGTCATCGCGCTGGTTGCCACCATTGCGTTTGTTCTCAACGCTGGGACGGTCATGCGGGCGATCACGCAGTGGAAGATATTGGTTTTCGATCTGCCGGACGAGGCCGGCTTCACCGAACACTCGGAAAGCCAATGGCGCAAAGTTGGACTCAAGTTTATTGACTGGTTTGTGCGCTATCCCGCGGGCCGTGTCCTCGTGGCTTGGAAAGTGGTCAGGAGAAAAGATCGCAAAGCTGTCGCGGGCAAGCTCCTGCTGGGCATCCTTCTGTTTCCCCTCTTCGCTTTCACCTGGATCTTCGGCTTCCTGGGACTCAACCTGTACGACCTGATTATGCTGCTGTGCCTCGACCTGCCTCAGTATCCAGGGAAGCGGCGGAAGCATCGTGATCAACTCAAAACCGCAGAATCCGTCGTGCAGCCAGCTGACCCTCAGAAGGCCACCAGAGAAAAAGAGAAAGGGGGCAAGTCCTCGGCAGAGGCCTCCAAGGAGAAAGAAGCCCGCAGACGGGGAGCGGAGAAGGCCAGGGAGAAGTGGCGACAGGAAAGGCTCAAGCACTTTATGCACAAGCCACGCATCAGGGACATCACGGTGCATTTGAGCGAGGGCAAGACACTGCACGAAGTCCGGGAAGCACACAAGCAAGATGTTGAGAAGAGGCAGACGGAGCTGAAAGAGCGCAGGCAAAAGTACCACCATGTGATTGAGAGTATCTCGGATTTCAGCGAAAGCACCGACGAGGACAAAAAGCCTCGCCAGTCCCCGCGGCGCAAGGCCCTGGCGCGCATGTTCCGGAGGAAACGGCAAGAGACCGACGTCGAGGCCGTGAAGGATCAGAATGAACAGGTTCAACAGAATGGTGCGCCGAAGGAGTAGAATAGTGAAATAGTTGACCGGGGGGGTGGGTGTCGGGGACTATGAGCTATTCCGGCCAATATTTTGAATGGCAATGTATAAGATCAATTATACTGACCATGTCTACACTCTCACTAGCAGGAGCGCATTGAGCAGAAGACGTACACGGTGGCAGGAAGTGTATATATTATGTTGATGGAGTGGCGAAGGGATGAAGTGGACCAGCGGAGCCTACAGTACATAATAGAAAAGGCGGGAGAGTGGTGAGTGGGCGAGTGGGGTGCAGCCATACACAGTAATAATATGTATGTACCGTTATTAATATTACCACGCAGTGCTCGGTACGTAATTAGTGTGTAAACAAGTCGGTCACAAATAATAATACTTGACAATATCTACTATCCTCACTGTCGCGGCGACTGCTGCAGAAGATCAATTTTCTGACCTTCAATACACACACCCATACATACCCGTACATGATATTCACCACTCTCCAATCATACTCGTACACCGACATAACATCCCACCACCACCACCACCACCAACATCTAGAATACTTACCAACACACACACACACAAACATACATCCCAAGAAGATCTCCAGCAGCAACAGCTATGCTCCGCCGCAAACCCACCGCGCTGACCATCACCAACGAAGACATCGCCGCCTTTGACGAGGCCTACCTCCGCCGCCTCGCGTACGCCAAGTACCTCAAGACGGGCGAGGACCCGGAGGGACTGTTCGGCGGCGGCAAAAGCAACCACCACCACGGCGGCGGCAGCAACAATCACAACGGAGCGATGACGAGGGCGACCACCACCGGTGGTGTCGGGGTTGGGTTCGACGCAGCCGGGGGCACACAGGCGCAGGCACAGGCGGCGGTGGTCGATCCGAACGACGAGCTCAAGCCCTTGCCCGGCGACAAGGCGCGGATCGTGAGGAGCCGCGAGGAGAGGATCATGGGCGGCGGCGGCGCCACGGGAGGAGGAGGGCGGTGAGGTACAGAGGGACTGTGCTTCCTCAGTCAGACACGCGTGCATACGAACGAACGAACGAACGAACGAACGCAACGCAATGCAACGCAACGCAACGCACAAAAAATGATTACGTACAGAGAGGGAAGGAAGGAAGGAAGGAGGGGGGGCCATACAAACACATGCATGCCCCCCTCCCCCTCCATACATAGGCACTGAGAGAGCCGATGGCGACTTCGACTTCGACTCGAGAACCACCGGTTGGTTGGGGGGACAAAACCCCCCTGCGTATGTACGTGGGTTGGGTGTCATGGAGCCCCGTTTCGGCCCTCGAGGAAGCACGGAGATCGATCGATGCGTTGTGTGCAGCTCCTCCTCCTGGTCCGTCTGTCTACCACGCCTAAGCCATCCACCCATCCATCTATGCATCACCCAGCAGAACGGGGCCACCGTGGCAGAAGCATAGAATGGAATGGCATGGGAGGGGAGAGGGGAGAACAGAGGGTGTGAAGACTGATTCTCCATGATGCTTCTGCCTGCATGCATGCACCTCGGCCCTGTGCTTCCACCTCTCGTCATGGTCATGGTCATGATTGATGCGTTGAGCTCAACCAAGTTCTACGATAGAGGGAGGGATACGAGGAGACTGTTGGCTGGCTGGCTGGCTGGTTGGTTGGTTGTTAGAAACTCTTTCACTGGATTTTGTTCGGCTCCGGAGGGAATGAATGAATGAATGAATGAATGAATGAATGGACGGATGGATGGATATGACTTCGTGTTTGGGTTTTCTGGGGGGGAAAGCAATGTTGGCTAGAGGAATGTCAGGAATCCATCCATAAAGAGAGCGCCCTCTATCTCTCTCTCTCACCCCCTGGAGATGATGGGATATTTAGAGGATGGCACAGTTTTCGATCTGAACAAATAGAAAGACACAACTCGGTGGCAATCTTCTTCGAGGCGTCGACGGCAGACCACAGATGCAGCACGGCGTATTCCACTCCATCTTGCCCTGATACAAATACAAACCAAACCAGCCAGCCGGCCAACCAGTCACTATCACTCCTGTTTATCGTCCTCTACCCGCGGTTGTTTTGATGCACTGCCGTCCTGGCCTTCTCCGCTGGCGGCCTGCTGCTGAGCCTGGACTTCTTCGGTAATGGTCTCCATCCGATCGGCATTCCGTCTCTCTTCCTCCTCGCGTGCTCTTCGCTCCCGCTCCAAACGATGCTGCTCTTCTTCCATACTCATCCGCAACGCCATGGCGAGTTCTGGATCGGCCGCGGCGTCAATGCCGAATTCGTCGAGTCGACCAGATCCGCCACCAGTCTCAACCCCTTCCATGCCACCCGCGCCCGATCCCATGTCCCCACCCATGCTGACGATGGGCGTGGTGATGAGGCTGTCGCTCAGCAAGCCCGGTCCAGGAGGAATGACGGCGAGGTAGTTCCCCTCTCCCGACGAGCCACCCACGGCCTCGACGAATTTCTCCAGTATCGTTTTGGTGCCGGACTCGATGGCATCGCCAAAGGCCACAAAGTCGACCGAGACGTTGTTCTTCTTGCACTTCTTGGCCAGCTTGATCAACTCCTTCTCCGTGTCGTTCTTGTCTCCAAACTTCGGATCCAGTTCGCTACATATCAGGACGACGATCCGTTGTCGTTGAGACTTGTTGGCTCTGTGGTGCAGGGCCAGCATCGCCACGCTGATCGCCGTGCCTAACCTGATGTGTCCCTTGATCTTGGTTTCATGGAGGCCGGCCAGGAGGGCTCCGAAGTTGGCTGTCGGGGTGGTGAGGACCTTGGGGCCGGTCCCGGCCATGGTCATGATACCGACGGCGGATTCGGGATTTGAGGACGTCTTTGCGTTGAAAATGAGGGAGACGACTTCGGACTGTGCTGAGAATCGGTTGGGTCTGGACAGAGACCGTTAGTTCGTAGCTAGCAAATCGAAGGATGAGACTTGTAGGTTTCCCACGTACAGGTAGTCGCCGTTCCGGCTGGCTTCGCTGTTGTCAACAACGATCATGGTGGCTTCGAGCACCATGACGGCGGTGTTGTGTCTGGTAAGTATGTAAGGACGAATGGGACTGTCGGGGGTCGGTTGAAGTTTCTTGGTTCAAATCCAAGAGATGCAGAGAAAGCCAGTTGAGAGGGAGAGTAGGAGTGGACGGTCACGACTTTGAGAAGAGAAGTGGGAATGATGGTGGTCAAAGAAGCTTCGATTTCGCTGCAAGACGCAGGCGCAGGCGCAGGTGTATTACATAGGCGCAGACGGAACGCGTCAATCAGCGGGAAGACTTGGCGCCTAAAGAGAAGTAAAAACTGCTCCGAGCTCACGTGCGACTCACCCAGGCCATGCCGCAATTCACCTTGCTCACCAGGCTCACCAGGCTCTCCTTCCTCCTTCCCATCGACTCCGAACCTCTTGCAACCTCTGTTAATTACAAGTCTGTACCTGCCATCTGCCATCTGCCATTCTAATGCCACTTTTACGTCCCAGGCTTCCATCATGGCGTCCTCGTCCTCGTCCCCGAAAACGTTTGCCTCTCCTCCATCCGAAACCTCTTCGCCGCAAAATGCCATGCCTACACGCGATCGCTCAGCGGGGCGAAATGTCCACATCTACGACTTGAATGATCCTACCACCGTAATTGGCGGCCTACTCCTCCTACCCGGTGTCACAAATGCCAACTTCTATGCAATGATAGAGATCATTGTTATATTCAAGAGCCCTTTCTTTCTACAAAATGAGAACGAAACGAAGATTGAGAAAGACGACCATCCACTTCAACCTGGAAAATATTACATTGTTGCTACCAGTTCTTTTCAAGTTAACGATGAGCCATGGCTCGTCCGGACAATTAGTCTAGCTACCGGAAGTCGTGTTACCGCCTTCGCCGAAGCTGTTCGTTCACGAGACCGTCAATGTATCGTATCCGGAGAGCCTGTACCTACCTTTAATGGAATCGACTTCTGGGAGAAATTCGAAGCTGCGCATATTTTCCCACTCGCCTACGAAGGTCACTGGATTGATCAGAACTACGCTCGATGGATCACAATTCATCCGGAACGAGGAGGATCTATTAACTCAGTACAGAATGGATTGTTACTAGAGCGCGGTATACATAGTCAATTCGACGCATATCTCATCGCAATCAATCCGGATGTATAAGTATCTTATATCGATATAAAGGATTAAGGCTAATATTTAGTATAGGATAACTACAAGGCTATAGCCTTTGGGCCTGTAGGGGGAAACATTGAAGGCAAGCATCTTGATCGGGAGTTATTTACTCGCCCTGATGCGCCTATTGATCCGCTTCTACGATGGCACTTCAGACAGGCTGTCCTGGCGAATATGAGGGGTGCTGGAGAGCCGCGCTTCGAACATGACCTTCCGCCTGGTTCTGATATTGTTGGTCAGATACTTGGGGGTCCGAAGCCAGGTGAAAGAATGGAATTTGAGCTGTTCAGTCGTCTCGGTGCTCAAATGGAGTTGTTTCCGGGACAGTGAGTATTAGGGGAGGGGGAGGAGATAAGGGAGAAGGGGGAGACTACCAATGTAATGCATAGAAGTTTACCTTTCTACGCTGTACCATCCCTAGAAGTAGAATCAAATACCTCAAAAAGCTGATTCCTCATAACTAATGAATACAGGGCGGCATCATCGTCGTCCCAAAGGGGTTGAGCTCGCGGCAGTTTTTACTTATCTTGGCGTCCTCTCTGCGGAGTTCTGGAGCTGCGCCGACACACTCACATACAATTGATTGACGGATGGTACATACTTGATGTAGTTGCTACCTGGGACGGTGACTGTGCTGTGACGGAGATGATCTCTCCTTGAGCAGATCTCTCTCTTCACCGTTGCTCGTCTATCTCATCCACAAGCCACAATGTAAGTCTCCGTTCCTGACAGGAATCTCCCGCTGGCTACTTGCTCCCTTCCCCGTGGTGATTTCGACCAACTCACCCCTCCTCTTACAACCCACATAGGCCCGTCTTCGCGCTCCTGATCATCTCCAAAGCCGGCTCGCTCATCTACCACCGCACCTTCCCGACCACCTCCCCGGGCACCGCGGCCGGGAATCTCACGGGCCAAAGCCAGGCCCCGACGACGGTGGGCACGCTGGGCCTGCCGGGAACCTCGACCTTGACGACGAACGACTACCTCGTCCTGGCGGGCACGTTCCACGGCGTGCACGCCATCACGCGCTCCCTGACGCCCAAGCTGCCCGTGATAACGTCCTCCGCCGCCACCACCTCGTCCGGGAAGACCTGGACGTACCCGGACCCGACGGTGCCGCCCTCGGGCATCGAGTCCCTCGAGTCCTCGTTCTTCCGGCTCACGGTCTTCCAGACGCTGAGCGGCACTAAGTTTCTGTTGTTCACTGACCCGAGCATGCCCAATACCGACCTGCTCATGAAGGGCATCTACGAGCGCTACGCCGACTACGTGTGCAAGAACCCGTTCTGGCAGATGGAGATGCCCATCAGGATCGAAGCGTGGGACAGGAGCCTCGGGCAGTGGTTGACCAGGCGATGAGCGTTCTCGTGGATTGCCATGTTTTCTTTACCGAGGGAGAAATTCCGAGGACTACACTTGAGAGAAATATAGGTTGAGACCATCAATTATGTGCCACGCCAGGTTTCGCTGCGGCACAGGAACATACTGCGTCACTCCCCGGTCGGCTGGCTGAACACGGCTTTGGCGGAGATCTGACGCCACTGCGCCATGATATACCGTTGGCCGGCCTCCACCCGAGACCGACAACGTCGACGACATCCAACGAGAGCGACCTCGCATGGTCTAGTGCGGAACGGCGCTCCCCACGGAGATTCAGTGGGCTGATGGAGGTCCATGTAACCTCTCGGGAAACTCCTTCGCTGGGAAACTCGGCACCACCTATCTCCGTTGCCTTCGCAGAGCGCTTGATCCAGGTCGGGAAAGAGGGAGATTTCGCGCGCGAGAAGCTAGGGAGGGATAGATACCCCAGCCATTTTCCGGCCTCGTATCTCAGTCAAGAAGGAGCGGAAGAGAGAGACAAGGGACAGATGATGCAAGTCGAAAGAGAGAGAGGATATTCTGATTCATATTCAGAGAATCGTGCAGCCGGCCCATCGACCATAGACATTCTCGTCCAGCATCGTCGGCGTCGTCGTCCGGCCTGCAAATAACGTAGAGGAGAATTAAAGTTATCTGCTCGAAAGGGGCGATTTCTCGCCGACTTCCCTCTCCGTCTCGTAGGGGTATATGATATGCTGGCTACACATCCACGTACGGGGGTGTACCGCCACTGGCCAACTCACGGACCTGCATCGTCGCAATATACGCCCAAATCATAAATCGTCGCCCACTCTCTCCACCCATGTACAGTACATAAGGCCCCTGTTGTCCCTCTTTTATCTCCCCACACTCACTTCCTCGGCGCCTTCGAGCAAAGCGTGACTCGGTTGACCTTTCCTTCCCGTCCTTTCGTTTCATCATGACGACCTGGCGCCAGGATCTTGCTGAGTCACCCATCCATCCATCCATCCACCCACTCCAGGGCGAGTAACATGTCCAGACGAGAGCCCTCTCTTTCTCTCTCTGTGTGTGTGTGTGTTTGCTCGTTTCAACTCAAGAAACGAGTCTTTCGTGCCGTCTGTTCGGGTCTGCACCTGTACACGCACGGGTGGACACGAAATTATCCCAGTCAAGTGCCGCCGTAATCGTCCTTCTCTCTCGGGGCGCGCTGACGGATGCCTGCTAGGGCGGGTGTACGGACACGACAAGCGTGGCGGCCCGGAAGGGTCAGCCTAGACCACACCAGACATTCGCCATGGCTTTGGTTTGGACATTATGACCCAGATAAGACCAGACAGCCGAATCACTATCAAGTGTAATCCCACCTCCTCTTTAACCTGCCTGCATCAATCACATTGGCCACGCTCTGCTGCCACTGTTGTGGGGTCACGAGCATAGCCGCCCCTCCCACACCCGCTGTGGCGTACGCAGTCCCGGCAGACATCGACAGCTGCGAGCTCGTCCCCATTTGCGGCGACGTGTCCTGATACGACTGTTGTGCTGCGGAAAAGTAATGTTGTTGTTGTTGTTGCTGCTGCGTCTGTTGCTGTTGGGGTGTGTAACTCGGCAGCGTAGTGCTCCCGTAAGTGGGGGAGCTCGTCGAGGTGAAGCTGGCTTGCATGGAATGCATATTCCCCGGCGGTGACGCTCCGCTACCCCCGTACAGAGACGGAGGCGGGGCCAGCGCCGATGGGGGAATGGCGAAGGCGGTGTCGAACTGATCCATGATCGGTGTTGGATTCCACGGGATGTCGGTCGCCGACGTCGGCTGCTGATAGTATCCACCCGCGGAACTCGGGATGCTCGAGTAAGTAGTCTGTTCAAGTTCGTAGCTCTGACCATATAAGGGTGTCGGAGGTTTGGAATCGGCTGTATAGACCGAGACCGGCGGAGTGGCGAGGTATGGAGCCTGGCGCGTCATCTGGCCTAGGTGCTGGGCCGCGTAGGATCCGGGCTGTGCTTGCTGCTGCTGTTGAGATTGTTGGTGATCGACCAGCTTCGAGCCCTGTGACTGCATCGGCGGCTGTTGCCTGTCGTAGGACGGTGGAGACACAGGAGAGGGCCGCGAATTTTCAGACGGCGTCCCGTGAGGGAAGGACTCCTTCAGCTCGAAAGGCTTGTTGACGTCGGCCGAGAATGCCGCTCGAAGAGCATTGATTTGAGCTTCGGTCTCTGGCATGGGCCAGGCCAAGACGCATCGCTCGAGAATCCTCATCTGTCGCACAAAGTAGTCCTTTGCTTCGAAATTGAACTCTGGATCCGGCGACGAGAGCGCAACCAGATGGATCATGATGCAGGTCAAGATGGCGTAAATGGTGAAATTGATCCCTCGTTGCATGACCAGCAATCCCGTCAGGTCGAAGTTCTCCAGGATTCCTTCCTGTAAGCGACAAAGGATCTTGGCCGAGTCGTAACAGAGGCTCATGTGGTGTCTCCACTTGCTGTCAGCAGCAAATGATTGAGAGGGTTGAGAGGCCGACAGCTGTGGCCGATGCAGCATCACAATTGCCAGATGATAGTGAGAATGCATGTTGCCCAGAAAGTGTGAAGTCACATTGGGCGTTGCACCGTTGGGCGGCAGTGGGAGCTGTAAGTCGGGCGGGAGCTCATCGGGCCATTTCTGAAAGGAGGCGTTATATGCCACGAATTCTTTATCCAGAGCCCAGTCCTTCTTCCGTTGCAATTTGCGGTGAACATCCGTGAGGAGGCGGATGTTTCGGACGTTGCGGACGAAATATGCAAATTGTCTCGAAATCGACCTTTCGTAGTCGTCCATCTCTGAACCGGGCGGGTTCTCGCTGATATCGACGGAATTCGGGTCGACGCCGAAATCAGTCCGTCCTACATACACACGTCAGTCGATCGAACCACCCGACGATCAACAGAGCAATCATTCACCTTGCGGGCCTCCGACCATGGTCTCACAAACCAGAAGGGTCTGCCAAATTCGAGTCTTGGTCAAGCACTCGACCGGGTCCGAATCACATGACTCCCCGAGAGAGTGGATGTCATAGTGTAGGTGCAATTCGAGATCTTTGGCCATGGTGATGGCCGTCTTGCACGTCATCCATGAACGATAGTAGTATCCTCTTTTGGGTGCACTCTCCCGGGCTTTGAGCAGAAGCAACAAGGCCTGGAGATTGCTCAGCCGTGGACTATCCAGAAAGAATGGTTCGTGTTCTCCTACGAGTTAGCATTGCGCAGTCAAAGGGACTTAAACATTGTACGTACTGTTGGCCAGCGCGAGCCACTGTGCGCCCTGAGCGGGATCGTCAGACAGTCGACCGGCATTGGCGAAAACCGCCTCCAGGATAAGAGGAGAAATGGATGCTTGATCATGATGCCACTGGTCGTAGAATTGAGACCTATTCAACACCGGGACGTAGGGGTGTACATTGGCGAAGTACGTCTCAAAGGCTTGCATCGCCTCCTCGTGCGACGGCATCAGAGCCGGAGGAATTCTGATCTGAGATCCCGCATCGGTACTAAAGGCCGCAGCAATCTTCGGCTCTGGGTCGGGTTCCTGAATCGGGGGGTCTAGTTCTTTGCTGCTTTTCTCGGATCGAATATAGGGCGCCACTCCGCTCTCCCCAATCTTCAACTGACCAAGGTGCTCCATAAGATCTTCGGCCGTGAACTGATCGACCGGGGACGACCCAGCCCGCTCTTGTCTGAGAGAGTTCTCGTCATATTGGGTCTGCGCATAGGTTTGCGCAGCATCCTGATAGGGGTCATGTAGCGTCCCTGAAAATTGCTGGGCATCCGGGTAGAAGCTGTCGTAGGACTTTTCGGCGACTTGAAACGAGGGCTTCTGGTAGTTGGTAACGTACGCATCGTACGAGTATGGGTTTCCTTGGTTGAGTTGGAAGGCGGGCGCGGTGGGCGCATAATTCTGGGCATGCTGCTGGCCGGGTGCGGCTGATGCGGCCAAGTATGATGGCAGTCCGCCCGTCTCTTCGCCCACACTGCCAGGCACACTATCTCCCACGTCACCGTCGAGTCCTCCGGCCGGGGGGACGCACTGGAGCTTCAACCGAACACAGGCGGCGCAGGGCCAAGTGTTGGTTGTGGCGGAGTCACACTTGATTTTCCGGCGACGACATCCCTCACAGGCTCTCATCACCTTGAGCCGCTTATGTCGGTTATGCTCATCGACAAAGACGTAGTTCTTCGGGCCCGGAGGAGGCGCGGATGACAGAGAATAGCTCTGCATGGTGGCATCTCATCCACTCGGACAGACACCACATCGGGTAAGTGCGAGAACGGCGGGTGCCTCGATCGAGGACTTGTGGCCGTGGCGGGATCGTCCCAAGACCGAATCAATGACTAACTCGTGGATAAGCAGGAGCAGGTGGGCAACTGGATTGCGCGCATATAAAAGGAGGTCGCAGGGGAGAGATTCTTGTCGCCCAAGAAGCCAGCGTCGACGTTTCCGACACCACGATGGGGAAGACGCCAGAGAGCGGGAGAGAGAGAGAGAGTGGGTTGCCAACTAAGGTGAGAGATTGGTTCGATGATGGAGAACACGTCTTTTCGTTGTAGCGCAACCTCGGCACGTTGGAAGAGGTCAAGGGGCTGCAAAAGCACAGAAACAGGTAGGGTCTGGCTTTTGTTGATTGATGATGAAGATGCAGGAGAAAAACACAGTGTCAGAAGCAGTGGCAGAGGCAAAATTCTGTCAGTGAGTTCGAGGCATCAGGCGTGAAGATGCCTGGCCATAATCCAGTCTCGAGACAGGGTAGTGCCGGGCGGCGGCAAGGGGCGGAGAGGTGACAAGGACTCGGCCTTGAGCACATGCGAACGCAGAAGGGAGTCGCAAGGGACGAGGAACACCGTGCACCGCGCCGTCCTCTTTGTCCCAAGACAGTCAGCGTCCGTGGGGGTGTATGCTATGGCCTAGGGCTGTGCATGCCAGATGGATGCTGGAGGTATAAGGGCTCGCACACAGCTCTCCAGGGTCTCAGATGTGAAGGGTGCGCAGTGCCAATTCGGTGCTTGGGCTGTCACATGGAAGAGATGGACGACAAGTGGCCAGTTGGTGGTGGTGAGTGGTGAGTGGTGGATGGTAGATGGTGGATGGAGGATGGTGGGTTGGTGATATGGGAGGCGGTGCTGGGTAAAACGGACGAAGCAGAACATCAAGCAGCAAAGCAGTCTTCGTTCCGCTGCTCACCTGCTCACTCCCTCACTCACCCGCTCATCACCTGTTGACCAGTTCGCCTCTGGCCTCCGGCGCTCTCTGCCTCCTGTCTGAGGGGCTGCAGGCGCCGTCAGCCCTAAATGCAACGTCAGAAAAACTCAACTTGAACGAACCCGGGGGGGCTTATTCAACACCACAAGCACCCGTGGCTGCTGCCCGTTTACTCAACGAGGTACACCTGGAGTCGGCTACATGTTTTCCATCCAGAGCAATTCGGACCTATCGAGTCAAGCAAGCAATGAAGGTTTGGGCATCTACAAGTGGTATAGCCGAACAGGTATGCTGGTATTTCCAGGATACAAGGATGACGGCACCCGCCTAGAACACAGCTGCTCCTTAATTCCTTGTTCAAGCCCTAGGGGTTTCAGCACTCGTCTTCTCCCTGACTCCCCAGAGACTCGGCCATCGTCGCAGGCGAGACAGGCTATTATCCCCTAGATCGCCAGATGTAACAAACTAGAAAAAAGAAACCAACGCCAGGGAAAGCGCCATAGTGGTTTCCATTGTGCAATAACCCCTAAAATTCATCTTCTTAAGGTGGATCCTCTAGGAATGCACCACGATCGGCCTCCAAGGGTGAAAATGCCGTGAAACATCATAATTAATATGAATGCCAGAACATCGAAGCTATCGCCTGAGGTCGACGTCTCCCTGGATTGCCAGGTCAATGTCTGGTTGCCTAACGTCTCCCTTTTTCTCCCCGGCACAGGCCCGTCCTATTCAGGCTTTCGGTCAGCCTCGAAACTCACATAGAACTCTTTCATGCTGACTTTCGGCCGAGATTTCTCGAGAGTCGCATTATTTCATCCATCTAATCAAATGTGTGCTCGACGGAGATGTGCCAGCAGTCAGCCGTAGTGGATTTCAAGGACTTAAACAGCCTGCAGCGTTATATCGGGACCGACGACGGCCGAGAACGAGAAGGCTGACAGCAGCTGGACGAGATTGCGCCAGCGATGAGTATGTTCTCTGTAAGGCATCCGAGGCTCGCCATCTTCCAGAATCCTTCTCTTTGCCACCCAGGCGAGGAGGCTGACTGCCGGAAGAAGTAAACTTCCAGAACTATTGAGACATGCCGATCCCAGGCGAGGAGGGGTGGATCGTCCTAGTGGGGAGCACGTCAGCTGTGCAGAGGGCGGAGAACGAGGGGGCATTCTCCTTCGCCACGGGCTGGGAATGGGAAACTCAGACTGGGATGCCCTCTTGTTCTTGTGGTCGAACGTGTGCTGGGCGATGTCAAAAAACGACAAGGCCAGGTAGGTATTGAGTGCTTCAGTCCAAGGAGTATCCTCCTAATAATAATCAGTGACTTTGTGCTCGACACTCATCGGTTCTCCGCAGCTTACCGCAAGCCGACAAGTGCCAAGCTGCGGAGCACGTGACCGACATCTGCGAGATTTCCGCCCATCATTCTTTGCCGATTTGTAATTCGTGATGCAAAATCCATATACCAACGACTGCGACGCCCAACTCGAGCTCTCAATCTTGCTACCCGTGTGTCTGATCCAGATCCTTTCTCCCCAAAAGCACACTCCGCAGTGCCCAAACTCACGCGATGGAAGACGGAAAGAATGCGAATCCGTTGGTTCTCAACCCATCAGATCTTCCGACCCGAAAACGACGTGCATCAGCCCGGGATGACCACTCTTTAGGCAGCTCGGCCTTTGCATATCCAGCCCCTTCCTTTGCCATCGACCCCTTTACGCGCTCGGCCAGCCCGTCGTCTCTCGACTCAAGTGACAGCGACGCAGAGGAAGAGCCCATCGATGCCCAGGAGATTTACGACTTGGTGGCCACCATGTCCGACCCTGAACATCCCATTACTCTCGGTTCCCTAGCCGTCGTCTCTCTGCCTGACATTTCCATCAAGCCAACCATTCCGAACCGTCCGAACTCCAATCTCCAGACAGTCACCGTCTTGATCACCCCTACGATTCAACATTGCAGTTTGGCCACCGTAATAGGCCTGGGGGTGCGGGTCCGGCTGGAAGAGTCACTCCCTCCCAGATTCAGGGTTGACGTTAGGATCAAAGAGGGTACACATTCAACCGCGGACGAAGTTAACAAACAACTGGCAGATAAGGAGAGAGTGGCTGCGGCTTTGTGGAACCCTACATTGCAGAGCTTTATCAAGAAAATGCTGGAGACTTGCGAATGAGAGGAAATCCCATCCAGTAAAGTGGGATTCGGGGGACGAAATCCATATGTGCTCCGAGGGTGATGGTATTCCCCCCAGAAATTATATCATAAAGATTCGTATGGGCAGAAGGTCGCCTCAAGAAGCGGGTGTGTACCGGCAAGAAGGACTTTGATATGGATACGACCAGATTGAGGCAGAGGGCTGCGGCGACATCGTCCTCGGCTGTGACCGTGATGACACCACCGTCTCTATCCGCTTTCACAACGTCTGGTACTTTCCACGTCTCAGTGTTAACCTATTGAGCGGTTCATGTCTTGAAGAGCAAGAGATGGTGGCGATACCGGAGGAGACTTCATGCGTTTCGGACACAGGATTGTACCAAAGCCGCAAGCAAATCGCCGACAATCCAAAGAAGGCCGCAGCTATCTCTTGTGGCTTCGATGAATGGGCCACCTATCGCTCGACTATCTCCACAGACTCAAGAAGACTGCGAACGGCGTCAACTTCACGGATCCCTTCGGCAAGTCTTGCGAGTGTTGCATCCTCGCGAATCAGTCTCGTCGTGCGAGAAACGGCACAGCTAATGGCGTGGCAACGAAGATTAATCAGTTGATTCACAGTCGTCTGGCAGCCTTTCACGTGATGACATTTTGAGCGCAAGTCCTCGGCTTTCGCTCTCCGACTGCGTGGTGCCAGGTCCGATTCCTCCGAAAATGAAGATGCCGGGTCAGGCCACGGGAATGTCATGATCACTACTCAGCCAGGGGAGCTAGGACTAGGATCAACTGGCGCCAAACAACCAGAAAACGGTCGACGGACCGGGCAAGAGTGGTGGGTGCTCCGTTGCTGACAACACAAGGAGAAGTTGAGTGTGCAGCTCTCGTGAAGAGTCCGTTGGAGGTTCGCGACTACCCCAAACGGGATTCAGCCGACCTCCTTCTTCCTCTACATGGGAAGGCCAAGTACATGCACACTCAGCATTGGCAGAGATGCCACGAATACTTATAGGCCGTGTGTCACGATCCCAAGGCTGACAGAGGTGGATATAGCTCTGGGCAGACGTTGTGATGCAGCATCTCGAGGTTGACGAGGTTGACCAGCATCCCGAAGATCCCAAAGTTCAGCTCGGTACACTTGGCGGTGTTGCTGCCAAGCTGAACTGATGTGGCCAATCCAAGTTAGGAAAGGCACAGTCGAGGTAACATTACGCATTACATATACAGGATACGATACCAGTAATTACATCTGGCCGTCATTCTACAGGAGTGGTAGCTGAGGTGGTCAATAGATCCCAGTTCTGTACACATCTCTACGCCGGCTGCCAGCAATCGCAAAGAGTTGTTTTGGTGTCCGGTATATTACCAATGAGAAGTACAATGCTTTAGCAACGCTCCTTGCCTTTCCAACACATCTCGATCCTCGTCCTCTGTAAAGTACTGGATAGTTGGGAGTTGCACCAGCCCGGGTGCGTAGCAGGATCCCAGCTGCGGACCACTTCCCAATTATACGACCACCAGAACACATTGAACGTTTTGCAGTAGCTCACCCCTAGATGTGCGTCTCCGTCGTCGAAGGAGATTGCGATGGCTTGAATGCGTGATTTCAGCATGTCCTCGGAGGAGAAGGCTTGGGAGCAGTTGAGCCCTCATCACATCGTCTCTCAGTATCCTGACTGCTATAGCTTCATGACGTTCGTTCAGGCGTGTTCAAGTTTCATTTGTATGGCACAAATGGCACCCATCTTCGTCAAGCTGTTCGCCCAGTTGTCCACTTTACCGTCAGCAGACCCGGCAGAGTATAATAGTAGATGCAGTCGCGGTCCTTGTGAGTTTCCATGCTCTTCGGTATATCAAAATCATCTAACTTGGCGGTCTGACAGTGTGCTCTGTGAGTTCTGGACTGACGCTGCCTGTGCCTCCGTCAACATGCTCTTTGCTATCAGTAGAGGCCCGCAACTCCAACCTGACAAGATTTGGGCCCAATGGATCCAAGAATACGAAACTGCTATGGTTGCCAGAGAGCAGCCATGACAAAGAGCAAGCTGCCTTGAGGGCTCAAAGGAACAGGACAAGTCGGACAAAGAGTTGCGCAGCTTGGGGACGACCCTGCAATGTGCGAGAAAGCTGATTTGGATTCGCGTGCGGCGTCCACGATTTGGAAGTCGGATGCGTGCCATGTCCGTGCACTGCCCTTTGGTCGAAGCAGATTGATCGTTTCCCGGCCATGAGCCATAAATTGGGACGGGTCAAAAGCCGGCAGGCCTCCGTACAATCACGACCATGGCACAGAAGGATGCGACATTTCTACAGTCCGCCTCAAGGCTCCTGAAACAACTTCATCTCCATGCCCGTGTTGTTTTCTTTTTTCCGCACCACTTTAGCAGACGCGAGAGGGGCGGCCGGACAGGCAAACTATTGATGCTATGCAACGTCAAGCTGAAGTTACACTGTGGCAGCAGCAGGGAGTAAGCGAGATGGCCCTGCCCGTGTAGAATTGGAGCCGTTTCAGTGGACTAGATCATCCCAGGAGCTGTGGAGAGGTACCAGGGTCCGGCAGTGATTGGTGGTTAGCGTCGATTGCTGGTTCCCAGGTTCGTGACGGTTCAGGCTGCAAGACAGGGAGTCGTGGATCTGAACAACAGCATCGGTACGCGTTTCTGCTGGGGACACTGTGTTCCTCATAGTGAGGATGTCAGGCTACAGAAGACACATACAACCATGAAATGGTCAGTTGGCAGATGTGAATATTTCCAAGTGGTGCATAGAAGGATTCCTAGGCTCAACTCACTTGCTTTCGAAGGACTCAAGACACAACCGACAATCCCACTGATTCAACATCATCCACCTGCTCGCAGCTTGATCACCGTTGAGGTGTGCCGCTTGTTTGCCATCTGTGAGAATCCTACCAGAACCTTCGCCACTCCAAGGTTCGAGAGAATACGGGTCCTGTCAAAGCGGCCGCAGTCACTTCAGTGCACTCGAGCCTGGAAGATTGTGTACTCCCACATACTTACTGATTTGGAACAGGATCCTCGCGCAGATATCGTCTTCGGTATTTGACCAGCTCCTTTCCACTTGGTGGACACTTGTGAGTCTGCCGCATTACTTTTCCTTCTGCAACCTCACTCCTGCCATGGGCCCTCAGATCCTCGCGGGCAAGCCTGCCACTGCTCTAAACTGGTACAAGTTGAGAGGGATGTACATGGCTTTCAGGCACGGGAGTTCGAGCACATACAAGACGAGATTGATTGCTCATATCGCCCAATTATATCTCGGGAATGGGTCGAGGGAATTGCTGTGACCAGGGCGGCAATATCAAAGCTCCTGTAGAATACCTCACTGCCACCTCCTCGTACAGAGTGTATCTCGTCGAAATGTCATGTAATGTTCGGTATGACATATCCGGAATTACCGGACTTGACGCATGGGCGCCGCGCTTTCCCCAAACAGGCAAGAGGCAGATCGGCGCAGGTCCAGACCCTTTCCGACCACTCAGCCGCTGCCACTGGCAACACGTGGGGGAATGCGGCGTCTCGATTGGCAGAGAAAACTTAAAAACCACCTCGCATCCTCAACCACAACTCAACCCGGCGAGTTTTTCGTTCCCCATTTTAAATTTTTTTTGCTCCTCGTACCCCGTAAGCGATCACACGATTCCTCTTAGCTCTGATGCTTGGTATGAACAAGACTTGAGCAGAATCATCAAGCCGACGGCGACTGGCGCCGCTCACATGCCGGGTGGAGGACGAAGAGCGGTTCGAGAACAAGCAACCGGCAGCGAGCGACCCCAGCAGACCACAGACCACAGACCACCGACCACCAGGCGACATGGGGGCCGTCCAGATGCTCATCCCAGTAACTGCAGCCGCACGTTGATGCAAGCGGCGCGAGTAGAGCAGCCGATGGGCAAGGCGTTCATGCTCAGATCAACCTCACCTCCACCCGAAATCACCGATCGATGTATGAGTAGCCAGCCCAGGCATGCTGTCCCGAGTTGATCTCACGGCAGCAGCCACCGTAGACGTCGAGATTGGGGGGAGTGACTGCAAGAACGACGAGGGTGAGCTGATCATTTCAAGTGCACCCATGCCTCCATATGCAGTTCTGTCATACACACGTTACAGAGCTGCGTTTCCATGACTAAAAACGTGCCTGTGCAGCCCTTCGCAAAGGCTGCAGCCCAAAGTTTGTCGCGTGTCGAGCACAACAGTGTTTATCTCCGTCATCAATTTTGACTTGCCGAATAGCGTCCGCCATCAAATGTTTAATTTTGGTGGGTTTTTTTCTTCTTCCCTTTTCTGTCCTGCGTTTTCGCCTTCGGCCGCCCAGCAATCTCGAGGAGACGCCATACACAATCATGATTCCTCCTCCTCCGCTCCTACATGTCCCGCTTATGATGACCCTTGTCGGCAACGGTCCTTTGCTCGCTGCTGATGAGCATTCTCCATCCCACCCATCGCTCCACTTACGACCCTACGACCCTCCCACGGTAGCCTTCGTCTAGCCCTCTTATCGTCCAGGCCGGTTTAAACCCAACAAGTCACATCATCCGCCTGCAGCACCCGCCCCCCACCCTCCTCCTAATCTCATCGACGACCCTTGCCTCCCCCGATACCAATAACGTCCGCACGCTGCACGCCCATCGTGTACCCTGACGGTCGCTTGTGGACGAATCAGTCGAGCTCGTTGCTACTCGTGGCTCTGTCCTGCCTGTTTTTGGTATTCTTCGCCCGCTGCCAGCTCCCCTTCAAGGCGTATCGATTGGACCACCCGCCCCCTGCGAGCCATCCGTCACTTCCGTGCAACAAGCCTTTTAACACCATGACCTGGGGCGTTTGGCCTGTTGCTTAGCCCATGTCCGTCTATTCTCAAGCTTGGACCAATCGCCGAGCTGGCTTGGCTGTCGTCAAGATCGTTCCTTATTTTTCGGGTCGCCTCTCCGCTTTTCTACACAAGCTTCTGGCGCACTTCTGTTTCCCATAAAAAACGCGGGTAACCCTTCTTTTAACTTTTTTTCTTCCTTTGCCAACCTCAACTTACCACAACACCTCTTATTTCAACCTCCCCGCCAACAGTTCTCCGGTATTCCTTCCTTGGTATATCCTAACTGATTGATACACCATGGCTGGCAACGGAGAGGACGAGGTTACGAGATATGGGCCCAACCCTCCTCACGGCCCCGATGTCTCGGGCACCCATGCCCCCTTTGAGGATCCTCATATCGACATGACAACAAATGAGAAGGAGGTCTTCAAGTACCTGCTGAAGCCCGACGACCTGTATGACGAGAACGGGATCTACTGGGCGGACCTGCCCATCATGAAGCGCGTCAAGTTCGTCAACAAGGTCAATAGACAAGAGACCAAGCGAGAGTTTGCCGCCTTCTGGCAGATCTTCAAGAATGACCCGCTCGCCCCCGTCGGCTTCTACATGCGCAACATGGTTCTTCCCGGTGCCGGTCTCGGTCTCGAAGGGTACGTGCTCTTCTCCATCGGCAACATCAAGCCTCTCTTCCAGGCCGCCTTCCCGGACTGCTGGAAGCACAACACGATCTGCGACAAGACCTGGGTCAACGCCATTGACTACCTCGAAATCTGCGGTATCATTTGTGGTCAAATCCTCGTCGGTGTCATTGGTGACTGGATCGGCCGTCGTTGGGGTCTGATCCAAGATGCCACCATCATGTTCATCGGTCTCATCATGCTGGTCTGCGCCTGGGGTGTCACCCAGAACGGATGGGTCATCTGCTACGCCTGGTCTCTGTTCTTCTACGGCATTGGTGTCGGTGGTGAATATCCCATGACTGCCACCTCTGGTATGGAGAATGCTGTCGGGTCCGGCAAAGTCTCGACCCGCGAGGATCGTCTTCACAGAGGTCGCAAGGTCGTCAGCGCCTTCTTGATGCAGGGCTGGGGTCAATTCGCCAACCAGGTCATCCTCATCATCCTGCTCTTGGTCTTCCACCACGGTAGTGGCAATGCCCCCTACTCCAAGGTTGCTGCCCAGTACACCTACCGTGTCTCCTTCGCCATCCCGGCGGCTGGGACCGCCTGGCTGATTTACTTCCGTACCTTCAAGGTCAAGGCGGGCGCCAACAGACAATTGCGCATCGCCAAGAAGAAGAATGCCGTCACTGGCTACGATGTCGAATCACTCAAGCTGACCTTCTACTACTTTGGTGGCCGTGTCATCGCCACTGCTGGCACGTGGTACATGAACGACGTCTTTTTCTACGGCAACAAGCTGTTCCAGAGCGAGTTCATCAGCGTCATCATGCCCGATACCAGTTCCATCATGCCCGGCTGGTTGTACAACCTGATCAACGTCGGTGTGTCGCTGTGCGGTTACTACCTGGCCAGTTTCTTGGTCGACAACAAGCTCTACGGCCGCAAGCACATGCAGTCCCTCGGCTTCTTGATGGACTTCATCTTCTTCATCATTCCCGGTACCCAGCTCAAGTACTACACTTCTCGCGCCCACATCAAGGAGTTCCAGACCATGTACTTCCTGTCCTCATTCTTCCAGCAATTCGGCCCCAACTGCGTCACCTTCCTGGCGGCCGCCGAAGTCTACCCTGTCGCCGTCCGTGCTACCGCCCACGGTTTCTCCGCTGCTGTCGGTAAATTGGGCGCCCTGACCGCCGCCGTCGGCTACAGCTACTGGTCCACCCAGACCAAATTCTGGGTTGTGCCGTGGTTCGGTCTTGCCGGTGTCATCATCAACGTCCTTTTCATGCCCGACACCACCGGCCTGGATCTCAAGGAACAAGAACGCCGCTGGGCCTACATCCGCGCCGGCCGCGAGAAGGACTACCACGGTATTGCCATCCACCCCAAGCATCTGAGCTTGTGGGAGCGTCTCCGTGGAGTCGGCAAGCCCTATGATCCCGAGCTCGACTTCAAGCAGCGCATCGAGGAGATGCGTGGCGAGTGGGAAGCCCGCATGCAAGCCAGAGCCGAGGAGAAGGAGGCCGATGATCTTGCCAATGCCGAGGATGACGATGACTTCCACTCTGAGGTCTCGTCGTACTTCAAGCGCTCCACCAAGTCACCCAACCTCCAGGGCATGGAGAACGAGAAGATTCCTGAGGATCAGAGATTGAACGGCGAGAATGGTATCTAAACTATACTTTTGTTTTGTTTTGGACTTAATGGGAGGGGGATGAGACACGAAAGCGGAAGGGTTCATCATGCGATGGAGGATGACGAAGTGACGCCCTGTCACAGCCAAAGAATGACAAAAGCAGGATAGACATTCTTCTCGCTGAAGAACAAGCGTGTGCGTGTGTGAGATGCGTTGTTTGCTCTTGTGTTGCGGATGCTATCGTGGCAAAAGATTGGGGGTTGTGAACAATATGCATGCGTGTTGCTTTTTGTGCGTGAGAGAGAGAGAGAGAGAGGGATATCTCCTTTGGCCTAACCGCTGGCGACCCACCAACCCGGCTCCGTAATCTTTGTGACCACCATTCTCTTTTTTTCTTTCTTTTCAAATGATACCACGGCTCATCGCCTGAGAAGAGATATATATACACCGGCACTGGTACGCAGGGGGTACTGATAATACCAAAGACGAAAAATCATAAGACATGATGATCGTGAATATTGAACGTGAAAATGAACATGGTACCAGCTATACACACACACACACACACACACCCCTGTGCTGTGAAGATGCTCTGGCACCCCCAGGTGAAGCTCCGTGATTGGCTTCTTGGTTAGTTGGTAGGTAGATCGTGATATGCTACTACCGTGTCTTCACTGCTGCCGCTGCTGCCGCCACCACGTAATAATAATGTACGCAGTCTCCTGTACATACAGTATGTAGTACTCGGTCCATCATCGGAATGAATAGCCTATGTATGTATGTATAAGCCATTCGGAGAGGCCGATGAGGATGGCCTCCCCCCTCCCGCCCCAGCTCCTTCGAAAGGGGTAACACCCTGGCCTACCCAAAGAAGAAAAGAAGGAGGAGGAGAGGCTCAGGGCCTCAGAGCCTCGTACGCACACGTCCATCTACCTACCTACAGTATCTATTTACGTGTCGATCAACCTTCCTGCGAAGCAAACCACGCTCTCTGGCTGGGCTGGCTAGAAGCCAAATTGTTTATTTCAGGTTCGTTCGAAGGACAGCGTTGCGTAGCCTAGCCTAGCCTAGCGGTTGAGGCATATTCATGACCCAGCAGAACCCCCGATTTCGACTCCGCCCGGCGTGCTCACTTGCTCACTTGCTCACTTACTTCACCACACTTGACACCCATTTTCCCAATTTCGATGTACAGTCCATCTACCTATCCATTCATCCATCCATCCATCCATACACCGCCTGCAACTTCCGAAAACAAAACAAGACAAAACAAAACGCTCAAGACGGCGGGAGGGAGTCTCGAGGAACTTTATGCGTATATGTATAACAATATATATATATATATATATGCCCCGAACCGTGCTGCGTCCAATGCCATTTTCGTTCAGGAAGGGGAGCCAGGCTGCTTTAATCGCGCACGTGACAGAGCACGGGAGAGCCCCGGGGGAGCACGCCCGAGCACTACGCGTGCCACAGGGGGCGCTGGCCCGATGCTAATCCACAGGAGCCAGGCCCCGGCGTGGAAGTACCCGTTCACTCCTATGACATGGCGGTCCTGAGCTTCAGAAGCTAGAGGGAGACACGGGTTGGGTGACTGCGGCGGCTTTCTCGCAGGACGGCTCGCTACTGGATACCGCGTCCGACGATGTTACCGTCAGGCTTTGGAATCCGAGCACAGGTCAGCAAGTGCAGACGCTAAGGAGACACACTAAGGAAGTAAACGCGGTGGTCTTCCCGCCCGATGGCACGCTGCTGGCCTCTAGATCCCACGGGTAAGACGGTCAGGCTCTGGGACCCTCGTACGGGTCAAGAAGTGTGTATAGGAATCATGACTATCCCCCTCGCCCCTTGTGTTCTTAAAACCCTGGTTTGGCAACATTCCTCTTTAAGTTTAGTTTCGGAGAATTTTGGCCAATCATATAATAAGATTTTCAGGGTCACCCCAAGAAAACTTCAAATTCAATAAAAGTATCCGTATCACCGCCGTTTCTTAGAATAATGGTATATAAATAATATCGTTAGATTTTCCTTAACGAGTCGCATCGAATGGTACTATTGATAATATAAACGGACTTCTACTTCTTAAGAAAAGTAAAGAACTTATATTTTTAGATGATTTTCTTGAGGTGTAAGGCCCTGAAACTTGGCAGACTTGGCACGCTAACCAGATCTTTGTTACCACGTGATTTTCTTGGCAAAAGCCGGCTGCGAAATAGGCCCTGCCTCCTTGATCTTCGCACTCTTGACTTTCATTCTGAGAGTAAGTTAGCAACTGTTAAGGCACGCTCCCGATTAGGTCGAAAACTCTACTTGGCCCCCTTTCGGAACTGATATCCACTCGCCCCCGAACAGCGCCATGGTAGTTCCGTACGCATCGATCGCTAGCGCTGTCGAGGGGGTCGCAAAGCTCTCTTTCGTCATCTACACAGCTTGGAAAGACGGCCCTGTGATCTTGCAGCGCGTGTCCCGCGAGCTAAAATCCGTGTACCTGCTCCTTCAGGAGATACATGTTGAAGCAGAAGAGCCAAGCTCGACCATTAATAGATACGGCGAGCACAAGAAGACTCAGTTCCAGGAGGTGGTCACCCATATCAAGCCGCCGCTTGAGTTTCTCTGCGAAAAAGCGCAGAACTACAAGCAGAGCGACCGTAGAGCATGGCAGCGCATATTGATCGGAGGCTTTGCCAAAGACCAGATCAAGGATAGTCTCGATGAGATTCTGCATCATGTGGCATACCTCCAGATGCTCCATCTAAGTTTATCGGATGTGCAGCGATACTCTCGCTTGGACAACAGCATCGATGATTTCTGCCAGAAGGAGGTTGAGAAAGAGGAAGCCGCCTCGACTGTGTTCTCGTTCGAAGAGATGGATGTCAATCCAGATGAGTGGGAAGATCTGTGGGGTATATTACTCCCTAAGCTCCAACAGCTGCACTATGCGTCTGACGATATGCAAAGCCATAAGAAAGAGATCCTGTCTTACATCAACTACAAGACAAACGTGGCAAGGGAGGAGCATGGTCTCAAAGGCCGGCGTCAGCTAGCTTTGGAAGGTAAACGAGCAGATCGCAACCGTGCCAAAGAGGAGTCTGCAAGCCAGGCGAGCCCTTCCGGGACATCTACTCCTTCAATTTCACCAAGTTCTCAAGAAGACGCGCCACAGCAGCAATCATCACAACAAGCGCAAGGTACAACCTCAAACGTCAAAAATAACAACCCCGCAATCTCAGCAGTACAATCCCAGAGAGCAGAAGCACCGCTCCCAGCCCCTGCCAGTCGCGGTATACGGTTGCAAAACAGCGATCTCCATCCACTGAAAGCTCAGATCCAACCCACAACATCTCAGCCTCGATTGCCCCGGCCTCAAGAAGCGAGACCCTTCGGCCGGATTGATGCTCTCCCTTCACAGCAACAAATCGTGAGAGCCAAAGCGCAGCAACCTGTGGGGCTGTCCTTGAAGCCTCGCCTGAAGAATTTCTTCCGCCGCAAACAACAGAAATACACATCCCCGGGAATCGACACCGTTTTGACGCCTAAACCTCAAGACCCACCCCTTTTTGACCAGCGAAGAGAATTTTCGGAGGGCTACTCTTCCACAGAAATGCCATTTCACTCAGCCTATTCCACTGAAACTCCGGCTGTGGATCCCAATTCTTTGGAAGTAACCGCATCTTCGTCACTTCCGATCGCACATCCCGTGCAAAATGCAGATATGGCCTTACCGGAATTATGGTCTAGGCCAATAGTGGAATCAAGAGGGTTTTTCGAACTTGTTGTGCCAGGCGAAGCAGAGGGGACGAAATATGGCGACAACTGTCAAGTGGCAGCTCAAGGTAGCCGTTTTGCAATTTGGGTCGAATCTTTTCGGGAATCCGATTATGGCTTCATGTACAGAGGAGTCATGGACGGCGGCGGATCGCATAAAATACAGCCGTCCGTGTTGCATTCATTGGACCCCCCAAAGTACAAACCACACAACATACAAATGGAATGGAGGAACTTGGGCTCTCTGGCGTTCCTTGAAAATGGAACGCTTCTTGCCGAGTTCGAATACGTCCAAATCAACTACATGTATCGTCGACATTTTGTAGTAGCTTGGCCGTCAGGAGTTCATAGTCCAATCTCCTGGAAGTCTGCGGCGTGGGAGGTCAGCTATAGGGGAAAATCGGCTTTTGCGCACAGGGGCCATCTGCTTGCTTATCAAAGTAAGAATAGCGTCAACATCCTGAGGACAACGGGAATTGGGCCCCGAGGCGAGCTACAGCATATAATCGAGCTCTTCACCGGAAACAAGCCACCAGCCGCCCAGATCGTCTGGTCCGAGGACGACAGGCACCTCCTTCTCTGCCACGACACCAAATGTGACGAGGAAGAACGCAAAACCACCATCCAAATATATGGCATTCAGAACGGACATCTGATGTCCTCCATAGACTTTGCCGATCTGCACAGCCACAACCTCGAGTTCCACTTCGGGGACTCACAAGAAGACATCCTCGCCCTCCGTAAACACGTATTCCTCTACGACACAGACAAGCCTTGCCCTACTGTTCTGCCAGCGCTTGCTAAAGGGTCGCCGATCGGACCAGAGTTCCCATTCGCCGTGCACATCAATGCCATCAGCGGAGAGAAAGAGCTGGTTTCTGAAACGGTGGCGGACGAAAGCAAAGATCTGTACAGGATGCCCTCCATCTCCCCTGATCGATCGTGTTTTCTCGGCCGCGCCGCCCATTCCTCGGGCGATAGCTCTCAAGACGATGACTCTCTGTATCTCTTTAATATCCTACACCCCACGATTTCCGAAGCGCGAACTTTGTTTTCGAGGAGCGATCGCCACTCAAAGTTGTTGTGCTATAAGTTCGTGGACAGCGGACATCGGATCCTATTTCTTAGGAAGTATTGTAACTATGATGCGAGGGAGCCTTCTGGGATTTATGATAGGCTGTATTTACATTTGCTAGAATGTGGAGCTGCTGCATGGCCCGACAATCATTACGGTAGAGATCTCAGGTAATTGATGTCTATAGCTGGGGGGTTGTAGTCAGGAAGCAGAAATTTCGTCTGTGCATGCAGGGGCCGCAAGGCCGCTGATTAGCTATATCTGGTACAGTAGTAGTGGTCCCATTTTATCTGAACTCAAAATTCTCCGATTTTCATATCGCTTGGAGGTGATAAGTCCAGCATAGAACGCCACGATTATGCTTGAACTTTTGAGCTGCAACAGGAATTTTTCGAGCTGCAGGCAGAATCACTTGAATTATTCTAGGCTTCCTTGGACTTCAAAGCTACGGAACGCATGAGACACTGGCAATCCTACAGTTTTGCCTTGACCACCCGTGCGCCGCCCGCATCAGTCTTATATCGTAGCCAGTCCATCCTGTGAGCCTTGGAAATGGTGAGTGTGTGGCATTAAGGTTTGCAATAGCGACGGAATTGAGGCAGAGAAAAGAAGGGAGCGGGACCAGTTGGGCATTTGATACCGTATAAAAGTCTCTGACTGTTTCATTATCAGGAGGGTATCAGCCATCGAGAGATTGACCTACATCTCCAGAGCGATGGGAGAATTCCCAGATCGTCTTCCTCACAACCTCGATTTTCCGTGATATCTCTAACATTGTGACTTTTTCACGGTCTGCGGACTCCTCTGGTTCCATAGCGAATATCTCTATCCCGAACCGGATACGGCCAGGCGACATCAACAAATCTATTCATTGTAAACGAGCGCTGACTTTATGCAAAAGGAGGCCGCGGAATAGCACTTGACTTGGATCTTAAAATCTATGCCTTTACCGAATCGGGATAGAAATCGTTCTCGCATGATAGCAACCTATTCGACGCCGAGGAGGGAACTCGCACAGGCTCAATCTACCAGCAGTGGCGGTGTCCGGCCATTCTTATCCATCAAGTCCACTGCAGCGCCGTGCTCGATTAGTAGCTGTGCCACTAGCTCATGACCCTTCCGTGCGGCCCATAACAGCGGTGTCTCGCCAGATCCATCCCTCAAATCCACTACAGCACCTTTCTCGATCAATTGCCGGATCACAGCCTCATGGCCGGCCTGCGAAGCCAAGAGTAGCGGTGTCCGGCCCATACTATTCCTCGAGCCCACGGCAGCACCTTTCTTGATTAATAGCCCTGTCACTGCCTCATGGCCTTTTCAAGAAGCCAAGAACAGCGGCGTCCACTCTACCTGGCCCCCCGTGTTTAGGTTGACCCCTGTCGAGTCTAGCTATAGTATAATGTGTCGAACACCAAAATACACTGCTACGTGGACCTATACACGTGTAACACCCACAGTATCCCTAGGCTTCGAACGGTATTCGAAGGACGCCGACAGGGCACCATAAGGGTAGCAGGACCGTCGCGGACAGAGCAATAGGCAAATCCACCCCGAGGGTAGATTTACAAATCTCGCATCACGTAACTGTACTGCCGTACAGCCTCCCCCAACAACCCAACACCCGTACGATGCGTCCATCATGCGGATCGCAGGATCCCAGCCTCCGCCGATCAAGAAGATCCCATGGTACTACCGGTGGCAGGATGCCAGCCTCCCTCGAAGAGAGTTCTCAACCTTTCGAATAAGGTTGCCCCCACCGTCAACAGAAAGGATACCTTGAAAGGGTTGAGGAAGAAGCCCAACAGACAGACGAAGGACATAGGTATAGAAGGGATCTCAGGACCCTTAGATAGAGAGACAGGATTCAGTACCATCATCATTCAAGACCCTACCTTGTGATACTCGCAGCGTTCCGTGACTCCTCTCAACCCCCTCCCGTGATAGCCGCACGCGTGTCGTAGGGTTGTTACAACACGCTTCGGTTGTTTTTCGGCCTGTAGGTCATAACTATTTCCATATAATAAACGTAGTCTGTCTGGATACCTTTCCAAGCCTGTTCTGAGGTATTCCATGGCCAGCTCGAGGACGGAAGCTCGGGATTCTTCCTTCTTTCGGGCGTGGTGGCCCCATTGTCTGGCTGAATACCGTAGAAGCGCACTCTATACGCGGTTTTCTGTAGTTTCTTTATTGTCCGCTAGAGGTGGGAATGTGAGAAAAGTGAGGCATGATTCTGCTATTCGCCCTTGCCACTCCCCCGCCGCGACTTTAAATATCTCGGCTTCCTATAGGAGATATTCTTGTAGCGCGTAGTGCACGAACTGGACCGTAGATGTCTCTTGATCGATTATCACGATGAGGGAGGCGAGGAAGCGGGGCAAGAGCGGGCCAGAGCCGTGAGGGAGCAGAAGGGAATGGAAGGGGAGCTAGGAAGAGAGGAAGGGAGTGGAAGAGAGCGGAAGGGGGAGGGAATGGCCTAAATAGTGGCTCGCGGGGGAGCAAAGCGGCCGCTGATGAGTCAGCGAGATGGGGGCGGAGGGCGACAGATCGGGGATTATATATATATAATTACATATATATAGTGACTGCTGACACACGCACGCACGCACTCATTCACTCACCCAACCACAGACGTATTACACAGCGGGACTGGCCTGCTACATACATAGGCACGATGGGGAAGTTAGTCGGTCGATCCATCTGCCAGTCCGGTAGTCATTTAGTCATTTAGTCAGCTTAGTTAGTGTTCCCAGTTCAGATTCAATTCCCGTCCGTCTGTCCGTCTGTCCGTCCATCCGTCCATCCCGCTCCGCCTCCCTCGCCTCGCCTCGCCTCGTCGCGCCGGCCCCGGGCCCCGGGCTCCGGCAACGGCCTCGGCCTTGTCAAGATCGAGGGGGCCCGGAAGAGGTCATTTGTTTAGATGCGCCCTGGGACTGCACACCACGCACACACACACACACACACACACACACACTTACACTACTTCCTCATGTCATATGACCGAGAAACACGCCCTGGTCAGTCAGGCAGTCAGTCGGTACATGGATCTTGGAACACACTAGATGGGACTGGTAGCACTTCTTGTTCACACGACACAGGATGCCGAAAACAAAAAAAAAGGATTTGGATTCTCTCATCTGGACTATCGATATCGTCGTGTCGTTCACCCGCCCAAGCCTCACCTCCTTCTTACTCCTCCTGCTCCTCCTCAGACGTCCACTCCTCCTCCACATCCCCCTCCTCACCCTTTTTGCTCCTCTCCAGCCCACCCATGACCTCCGTCGCCGCGTTCAACGTCCCCTGCAGCCCCTTCAGCAGGCGCATCAACTCCGCCTCAACCTCTTCATTGGAGGCGTTGGCGGACATCGCCGCCGTGCTGGGAGGAGATGCGGGCGGCACGAAGGCGACGAGGGGAGCTTGCACTCCACCCGCAGGAATCGCCGTGGCGTTCGACGTCACCGAAGAATCTGATGCCCGGTGCATGTTGGGTGCTCCCGAGTGGGAGTGGCTGGGCCCAGGAAAGCCGTCTTCGCCAATCCGTGCCGGACGCGGACCGGACGCCGTCAATGGCATGGTTGTTGCCGAGGAATACCCGGGGCGCATCGTCCTCCCTCTCCCCGAATAGGACCCACCCATGTTGACGTCTTCGTCCATGGTGGCAGGGCCCGGATGATCTCCGTCGCCGTCGTCGTCGCGCTCAAGGCCAAATGGATCCACGTCCGTAGACGAGGCTGAAACGTCGCTGTATGCTTCAGACAGTGCGGTGGAAGGTCGAGGGATCTCCCGTCCTTCCGCTTGCACGAAGTCACCGAGCGTCACCGGCATGGTCATCTGGCGCGACAACGGCGCCGGACGGGTTGGTGTAGGTCTAGAAGCAGCAGGTTTCTGGTATGTAAGAGTGGCGGCTGGGGGGGACGATCCTACAGCTTCTTGCTCTTCGTAGTCGTCGGCAACCTTTGCTTCGGCCATGGCGGAAGAGAAAGACCAATCCATTGTATTGTGTTTCTTGGTCTTTTGGCTGAAACTGGCCTCTGCCTCGACCTCCTCTTCCGGCGGGCCGGGGAGTTCGTGACCGTTTGTGGGCTCTTCTTCCGAGGGGACGTTGATTTGTGGGATTGTCATGGCTGCCTCGGACATCGCGCTCGCGAAGGACCAGTCCATGGTCGCATGCCCGGGTCGGGACGACGTGATTTCAGCTGGCTCTTGCAGCTCAGGGGCCTTTGTTCTGTTCTTCACAGTCCATTCTTCTTGAGACATTGCAAAGTCATGTGCGGACGTGCTTGGAGGGGCGACAGCCTCAGCGGATGAGGCTCTCCTGGCGGTGAGAGACTGGTTGTTGGGATCACGGGGACCCTTGGAATTGGCCCGCTTCTCCCGAAGTGTAGATGCGTCCGCAAGTCTGATGGTCTCTTCTTTCATGGGTGTGGCAGCGTAAGCGGTCTGGATTTTATCATCTGTCCTTGGGGCAGCTGCGACGGCATAGTCGGCTTCATCGAAGTCTCCCAGATCAATGACGTTAGATGCGATAGAGCTAGGCCGGTCTTCCGCCATGGCTCGGAATGGTAAGTCGGATATTCGACGCTGTTCGGGGATGGGGATAAAATCCGTTTTGGTCTTGTATTCGTATGCGGGCTTGTTCTGGTCAAACAGGTTGGAGAGGTCTGCTCCTCTTTTGACCCGGGCTTCAAAGTTGGCCTTTTGAGCTGCGGTCATTTCTTTGGGGGGCGAGAGACCGCCAGGTCTGGTCAACCCTTTGGGGGTCTCTTCTCCTGTCACGGTTTCGTCGGGAGACGAACTCGAGAAGTCAGGGATCTCCAAGATTGCAGATACGCGTTTTTCGAAATCTTGAGTCATGCTAAAGTTCCATTCATCTTCGGAATCGATGTCGGCATCAGGGCCTTGGGCAGAAGCAGCCGCTGCGCCTCCAGGCATGAATAGAGAGATTCTTTGGCCGCCACTGAACAGCCACGCGTAATATGTTTGAACGAGCTCGGTGAGCATGCTCGTTGGATGCGTCGCTTCGGTGTCCTTGAGAAAATCGTGTTGTAAAACATCCTTCATCGACGGTCGCGTGGCGGCATCAGGAGTAAGTGCGTAGGACACAAGTGAGCGTAGACCGTCACTGAAAGCCTCATTTTCTGGGAGGGAGATGGCCTGCTTCAGGCGTCTCATTCTCATTTTGAGTTGTTGACGTTCACGCAGATCGCTATTGGGCGGCCGTCCCATGGCACATTCATAGATTGTGCAGCCGTATTCCCACACATCGACCTGATGGTCGTGTTAGCCGCAGCCTCCAATCCAAGGGGGACCTCCGAAGTGGGAGTATCGCAGCACTATCCTCATAGCTTACCTCATCTGAGTACTCGGGATTCTCTGTCCACAGCTCTGGCGGCATCCAGTGCAGAGTTCCTATGAATGTCTTTCGCTTGTCTGTTTGGGTATCAAGAATGGTGGCAACACCAAAGTCACACAATTCTAGACGACCCTCTTGGTGAATAAGAACATTGGCAGCTAGAGGAAAGACAAAAGGTCAATCTTCAATCTGTTGGCAAAAGGGGGTTGGCTGTAGGAGAGGAAAAAGCCCCCATACAATGGGAAGAAACAAAACATACCTTTGACATCCCGGTGCATGATGCCTGCTTCGTGAAGACCCTTTAAAGCCTTTGCCAATTCCCGTGCGATAATTATGATATATTTTTCGGAAAGTCTGTCGTTGGTAGCCCTCATCTACACCGTCAAAATCAGGTCAACACTGTAGCCTTCAGACCTCCACACTCCGAAGGAACATAGATGGCATCGAGTCTCACTGTCACCGGCTAGAACCAGGTCTCTGGGGACTCAATGGACACCCAAACTTACCAGGGTTTTGACACTGCCGCCAGGACAATATTCACACACCAACCATAACTGACTATGCACGGGCAGAGCTTCGATCATTTGATTGAGGTTTTCTGCTCCACTCTCTTGAGCTTGTCGCAGGATTCTAATTTCTCGGTTGAAGTCTCGAATTTGTTCGTCCTTGTGATCACCAAAGGCATGAAAATCCGCTTCATCGACGTCAAGGACTTTGATGGCAACGACCTTCGATGTGGAAAGTTGACGTCTATTATACAAGTCAGGAGAGGGCAGCCGAAGGCCGGAAGCCTCAGAATGACTCACCCTTTGTACACTCTACCGAAGCTACCTTTACCAATCAACTCATCAAATGCATAGTCAGGCTCAAGCTGCTTGGATCTCTTGCACTTCTCCTCAACCGCCCGTTGTTGTTCCTGGGCAAGACGAATCGCCTCGCGACGGTGAGCAGTCATAGCTGCAGCTGAGTCCGGATGAAGACTGTCCATTGTGAAAGTCGCCCCAACTCGGCGTTGTTGTTTGAAAGTTTTTGTTCTCCGCAAAGGCGTATCGGACTCTTCCGCCTCTGGTGATGATTCAAGGATTTCAAGGGTCTTTCGGCGGTGTGCGAGGATTTCAGCTGATAGTTCTTCTTCGTCTCGTGTTGTTGCGGGGTGCTGCTTTGTGGCTTCGTTGAATGATTCTTCTGAAAGGAGGCGTCGGAGAACAAATTCACGGGTGAGCGGTGTGTACTCTGGTTCTGGACAGTCAAGGACTGCTTGGCAATCTGCGGAAGCGAGACGACTCTTTCGCTGCCGATCTTCCGGTTCAGCGCGTGCTGGAGTTGCTGGAGGTGCTTGAGGTCTGGTCTTTCGAACGCAAAGCGGAGGCGGAGATAGCTCGTCCCAGAGTGCTCTGTCTTCCTGAAGCTCGGGCTCAAACCTTGCGGCGGAATTTCGGTCAGTGGCAGCAGGCTCACGTGAAAGTGGAAGCCCTTTTGGTCGAAGAGGTGATCTCTGAGGAAGCGGAGGAGGCTTTGCAAAATCTTCACTGAGTCGGAGTGGAGACTTGGGGGGAAGATGCGGAGGTCTGGCAGACGCAGAGTCACTTGGCGACTGCTTGCCCTGCTTCTGCCACCAGTTGTCTGGTCGAAGAACTCGTCTTGGCGCGCGTGTGAGTGGAAGACTGGGCTTCTTCTCGTTGGGTGGTGTAGGTGAAGATGGTGACGAGAAGCTGGAGGGTGATAAGGCACTGCTATTGTCCTTTGTTCCACCTACAATGGGTGAATATAAGGATGAAAGGTCCGCCGAAGTCGCAGATTCAGGAGTTTCTGGTAGATATTTATTTCCAGGCGAAGAATTTTGACTGCCGAGAGCTGTAAGACGATACGGAGGCCCACTGGGACGCTGTTCTCTGCGGGAACCTGCAAAGAAAGGAGACTGCCCGGGCCGAAATTGGTTATAGTGAGGAGAACTTGTCGATTTGGACGAAGACGGTGGGGAGAGATATGTCTGCGAAAGGTAACGGTCCTCTTTGATGGAGATGCGACTGGACGGAGATGCTGCCTTTTGTTAACTTATCCCTCTCTCCTCGGGTTGGAGACTTTTCCGTCAGATCAACGTCATCTTGGGGGATAAATAGCCCAGCGTCGGTGACGCGAATGTTGACGAATGATCATTCGGCTAATGAGACGACTTACAAAGGGGTTCCCGAGCCTTATCCTCAAGGACAGTTTTTCTTTCACCACCTGGGAACATGGTTGTCAGTCGTTGTTGAGGTTGTAGAGTGAGTGGTGGAGGGAAAAAGTGAAAGCAGCAGTGACATGGTGAAGACAGAGTACTTCCATGTCGGCCGTCTTGCTGTGTGATCGAAGACCTACCTTGCTAAGGGCAGCAGCACAGTGCTGTTTCGTTCACTTTGTTGAGCGACACAAAAGCGTACGACTCTGTCCCAAGCCAACACAGATGTGGACCTAGCGCCTATGTTTTGACGACACAGAGATGGTCTTGTCGAAGTGGTATTTTACCGCGCCATTGGTTGTAGAGAATCTGATATGGACGGGGAAAGGCTGTGGTTAAAGAGATCGTCCAGCCCGAAGCCCTTCTCAACCACTCTTGGCTTCAATCTGGACAGAAACACCGCCAGCATCTTCCCGTGGTATGCTAGACCGGTGGTGATCACGATTCTCGATGTATGGCGGCAGGGGTCGAATCCGTACGGGAATGTGCACAACCAGAACTGGAGGCCGCGACAAGCGTCAAAAGGGGAAAAGACTTGGCGACCGTGGCGCTATTCCGATAATATACTAGCGTGAACGGATCTTGGCAGCCTTGAGATAGACTTCACAAGGCTGACTCTGCAAGGCTGTGAGGCTTACAGATACATCAGTGGGTTGTCCGTCTATCTCTTCCTGTCCAACAAGGATTCTGCGTGCATGGTTTGGAAAGCTTCGCCCGTGGCAAGTGGATCGATATATCATTCATATCATCTGTATCAATGTGCGGAGTGGCAGCGCATCCTGATGACACTCAAAATCCCATCCGCCTTCTGGGGACCATCGGTTTCTTGACCACTCCATTGGTGCCCATCTTCTTGACCACGGGTCCACTACTTTTGGGCCTTCCGATCAACAAGCGCTCTTTCTCTTCATCCTCCTGGCGCCTCCTTTCCTCTTTGGCTCGATCCTCGGCCATTTGCCTCTCGATCTCCATTTTACGGTTGAACTCGCTCTCAATGATCCTTTTGTCCTTAGCACTATACTCCTTTGATTTCAAGCTGTAGAAGACACCACCGAGGTCTGCCAGCCAGTGCGGATCCACCGCGGTGACACAACTCATGTACTCCTTGCTAGTCAAGATCAGTTCGTGGTAGACAACGTAATCGGGCGGATCCCCAAGCCCATAAAGAGCGGAGGTGGGATGAAGCTGGACTGTGACGCTGGTGCGTAGGTTGATGTACTCTCCAACTCCTCGCCGACGGGCGGCCTGATGATAGTATCCGGAGCAAATGCACTTCCGTATGACATCCCAGTCTGTCCCGCACGAAACGAGCTCCATCTTTTGTTGACCAACCATGATGTCGTGTAATTGCTCCCGAATCTCCTTTGCACGACGCAGCGCTTTGGGGTGTAAGAAGTGCCGAACACACCAGCCGTCGCTGTATCCATTGCTTTTCCACTGAGTGTACACGTGCAAAAGTGTTAGATGATCCGACTCGTGCACGAAGAACTTTTCTCTGGCCGCATCCGATTCCTCCTGCCTCTCTTTCGGCCTGTAAAACACAGACGGTACAGATAGCATACTGACGATCGTGAGCATCTCCTCGCTACAGCCATATTCGATAGCGGACGTGATGAGCATCTTGGCCAGCGAGGGGTCCATCGGAAATGCGGTCATTGTGCGGCCGATGGACGTGAGGTCGCCAACGTGGTCCAACGCCCCCAGCGCCCAAAGGTCGAAGAGGGAGGTGGTAATTGTGTCTTGCGGCGGAGGGTCCATGAAATCAAAGTCCAACAAGTCTTTGACACCAAGTGATTTCAGGAGTAGTACCGTATTTGCCAGATTCGTCCTCTGAATTTCAGGAATCGTCTGTATGTACAACTCGTTCTTGAACGCTTGCTCGGTGTACAGGTGGAATGCCTTGCCAGGCCCGGTACGACCAGCGCGACCAGCGCGCTGAGAGGCGTTGGCTTGCGAGATAGGGGTGATCTGCAACGTATCCATGCCCATTTTGGGGTTGTACACTTTCAACTTGGAGAACCCAGAGTCGACCACGTACATGATGCCGTCCACGGTCAGAGAGGTCTCTGCGATGTTGGTGGCAACAATGACTTTACGAACACCAGGAGGAGCAGGATCGAAAATCTTTGCTTGGAGATCTGCAGGCATTTGAGAATATATCGGCAACACCATGAGTTTCGGAGGATTCACGAGCAGACGGAGTCTCTCTTCGATCAACTCGCAAGTTACCTCGATGTCCTCTTGGCCTGTCATGAAGACGAGAATGTCTCCGGTGCCCTGCGAGACATGAATGGCGAGAACTTGCTTGACGGCGCTGTCAACATAGTCTTCACAGGGCGAACGTGAGAACTGAATGTCAACCGGGAATGTGCGGCCCGGGATAATGAATTCTGGTGCTCCTCCATAGAAGCGGGAAAACCGCTCCGAATTCATGGTGGCAGATGTGACAATCAGTTTCAAATCTCTGCGTCGGGCGAGAACTTTCTTGATCAGGCCCATTAGGACATCGGTATTGAGAGCGCGTTCGTGAGCCTCGTCCATGATGATACATGAGTATTTGTCTAGGTCTCGTTGAGTCAGGGATTCTCTAAGCAGTACGCCATCCGTCATATCTGCACCCCAATCAGTGTGTCGCCGAGTAAAGAGAGTGGCGGGACTTACACTTGATCACCGTCTCATCGCTTGTGCAGTCTTCAAAACGAATAGCATATCCCACCAGTCCGCCCAACTCGACTTCCATCTCCTCACTTACCCGCTTGGCAACGCTCATGGCAGCAACCCTTCGAGGTTGTGTACAACCAATCAAGCCGTGCTTTCCGTAACCCTCTTCATGGAGAAACTGAGTCAGTTGTGTCGTTTTGCCCGAACCTGTTTGGCCAACGACAATGATGACCTGGTTGTCTCGGATCACACGCATCAATTCCTCCCTCACCGCAAACGCCGGCAGATATTCTCTTTGTTCCTTTAACGTCTTGCTTTTGCTGAATGCAGAGCTCCCGGTGCTCTTTTTGAGATGGGCGGAAAATTTGCTCTTGCCGCTATCCTCGCCTGGTACCGCGGCAGCGCTGTCTCCTTCGTCTTCTCTCACGCCCATTATGTTACCCAAGGCAGTACCGGCGACATTTGTAGCTTCCTGTGCCTGCTTCTGCCGCTCTTTCTGCTGGCGCTTTTCTCGTACAACCTTGCTCCCCTTCCGACTGAAGACAGCCATGTCGCTCTGAGGATCCCGCACTGCCGGCACCGGTTCGAGTTGTTTTGTGAAGACAGTCTTCCCGTCTAGAAATGGAGGTTTGAGGTCATGCACCAGTAAATGTACCCTGACGGCATCATCATCATCAAAATCCTGAAGCTGATCCCGCCTTTGCGCAACCCCCGATGTGAGCATTCGATTGGCTTCCCAGGCGTCTACCTCCTTCTGCTTTTGCGCCGCCTTGGCTGTCATTCTCTTTCCCAACTTCTTGTCCAACAGTGCTTGCTCCCGTTGCTTGTCTGCCCAAGAAGCATCTGCACCACCGAAAGGGTTATGCGTCTCGTCGCCAAAGGTGTGGCCAAACTCATCTCCGGTGTACCAGTCGCGGTCCATAGCTGCAGTGTCCTCGTCGTTGAAGAAAGGCTCCGGACCATCAAACTCCTGCTGGTGCGGCCTCGACTGGTGCAGGCGGCCATGGCTTCTGTCGGACGGTCTGGCGGAGCGGCCTTTGGATGCATGTTGAGCCTTGAGGGACGGGCCTAGATCGTCGCCCGAGTCGGTTTGCGCAGGATGGAAACTTCCTACGAGTTTCCTTCTCTTTGGGCTATTACTGCGCTCCATTCTGTGGGAGTAATGAGCCTTCGGAGGTTGGTATTGTTGGCCAGATCTCTCGTAGTAGCAAGGAGACGAGTAAACCAGATGTCCAGTGCCTAATAAGTGGTGATGGTGCAGGAAAAAGTTTGGCCGGAGTTTACGCGGAAGCCCTGCAAACGCGCCCACTCAAGTTGTATCCCCGCCTCTGCAACCCTCCATCCAACTTTTTGATGTCTGTTAATCCCGACACAATGGCGTCAGGGCAGGAAACAGCTCTAAGGAAACAGCAAGGTACCTAGGATCCTGATATATGACGTGCCGTTGCTAAGAGAATGCTAGACTTGCAGTCACAGTATACCAACTACAAGAACACCCTTCAGTCGCTTGCGCAGAAGGTGGGCGAGATTGAACAAGAGATAGAGGAACACAAGTCAGTCATATCCATCTTTTCACTACAAGTTCATTGTGGTGGATCATACTTCGGACGAGAGGTGCATAATTCTGACTGCGGATTGTGGGCAGACTTGTGATGGAAACACTTCAGCCACTGCCTCAAGACCGCAAATGCTTCCGGTTAATCAACGGGGTGCTTGTTGAGAGAACAGTGAAAGACGTTCTACCTGCCCTTAAGACCAATTCAGACGGCCTCAAACAGGTCTTGGAAGAACTGCTCAAACAGTACAAGAGTAAGCAGGATGAGATGGATAAGTGGAAGGCAAGTGTGAGGCCAAGTCTATTCCACGGACTCTCACTGATCCCTGGATACAGAAGAAAAACAACATACAGGTTGTCCAAAACCAATAAGGAAGGAATAACAGAGCGTTGTGGGAGATGTGGCGGATGAATAAGTGCAGAGGGCGCGACAGGCGCGACAGCTTGGGGGGGAATTAAGGCCAGTCCCAAAAATGAGTCCTCTTCTGCTGGAATGAAAGCGACTACCCCGACACGTTGGTTGGTCTTGTGAATTCATGAGATCCAAGCAAGGTGTGACGGCAATATTATCATAAAAATCAGCTTGCAACTGCTGGAGCGATTTCACCACTGTTGCGGGCAACTGCGAGAGGGCCTTTTCATCGATAATTCAGTTGATCGCCTTTTTTTGAACTCGATCAACAAATGACTCCGTGAGTAAGCCCTCAACAAACAGCCCTAATTGCCTGGTACCATCTTGCCTTCCCTTCCTCTTCTCAGATACTGACCTGTTTTTTCCATTCAGCCTCATCCTGATCTTGTTGTTGCCATCTTGACAACGCTCATTCGACAATGGCGCCTTCCGAAGCCATGCGGCCTCCATCCAACGGTAACACATACAGAATCAACCCGAACGGCAACCGCTCTCGTGTTACATTTGCACTTCCACCGCTCATCAGTCGACCGCCTCTTTTCTGCTGTCCTGTAGCAGAGAGCAATTCAGCTCACCTGCCTCGAAGTTTCGTCAACCCCGGTCGTCATTTGATGAACCTTCAGCTTCGAACGTTCCTCGAGTGTGCGGACGATGCAGAATACGCTTTTGCGAAATGTGACGTATCCCACATCATCGAGGTGACAACGAGGGCTCTGCACAACAACCCCCTTCCAACTCGTGGTCGCCCCACGGGACAACAGTGGAATGTTCGGAGCGGACCGCCTATTACTTCTCTGACATCCTACACTGCTCCCCTGGAAGACACGGACGAAAGCAGAATGGCGATTGATGTGGAAGAGCTGAGTGGTGCCGAAATCCCATACAGTACATACCAGAGCATGTCGACCAGATACTTCATCAGCCAAAATAGCGACAAGACGTGGCAAATTCCGCCCCATTCTCGAAGTTATCGAGAGACCCACCCCGAGCCGAACACAAACAAGGCGGGCGTTGAAAGATATATGGAGATACCACCTTTCAAGACAATGCCGTACACTTCAGAAGGGATCTCGGGAGGAGCAGGCGCTCGACCATGGATGCCGGCGTGCTCGGTGTTGATGTGGTGTACCAAACACAACAAATTCTACGAAGTCCACGTGTTGTCTTGAGTGCCGATAAGAGGGTCGAAAGGATAGATACATATCTAGCGGGCGAGCAGGCACAGTGTCATCGGTTGCGGGGAGAGAAGACTCTTGTTGGCGCTGTATATTTTACCTATCGAATCGATGCAGGAGAGAGCAAGCTGTGATATTCCCTAACTGCAAGAGAAGCTCGACGTCCTCTGCACTGTACGAGGTAGCTAGCTAGTCGCACAAATAGCAGCTCAACGATGACGAAATCCCACCCACGGACATATTCTGTAGCAAGGCGAGGTGGAACTGTGTCTTGAAATGGCGTGCTTCCTGATACACGCAAGTGCACATCTATTTGTGTTCGCAGATAGCTTGATTGTCCGGTGTGAAACTAGACTACGGAGGACGTGACCCCAGCATTGTCCGTGATGCCGAATCTGATATAGCTGCAAGGCTAAGGGAATCGCCGTCTCTCACTGGGTAAATCGGTAGCTACCTGCGCCAGTCTGTAGGCTAGCTAGTCGACTTCAAAAAGCATCGGAGAGAGAAAGCCATGGTCCGCCGACGGGGCGATACGCAAAAGCTGCGCTTGTCTTGCATCTTGCTTGCGCCGGGTCTACTCCAGAGAGGCCTACCGTGGGCCACAATGACCAGCGTTACGGTACAATTAGGGATGCAGTTGGCTTGAACATGGACACGAAGAGCATTACCCAGTGCTTGTAGTTGATTGATCTTGAACACCACCTGATTGACGATGTGCCGGGTGGATGTTCAATGATTAGATAGGCAGCAGATACGAGTACTGCTACAATGCTCCCGTACATAGGTGTGGCAGCTATGTAAGCTACCGAGGTAAGTTGGAGCTGGTGAGGCTGGTGGGCGTGCAATAGTGGCCCTCGCTAGGGAGGACCGGTACCTGTCGACGCCGCATGGTTGCCCGAAGGAACGAGGTACCCGGAACTTGTACCTAATCAGGTTTTCCGGCATGAAATTCTTGCTTGACCGTTGTCTCTCTGCAAGTAACTCCGCCAGGTCCAGTCTCTCTCGTGCTACGGCACCCTTGCTCTCTCGCGCATATGAGCATCGACCCTCACAGATGCAGTTCTGACAGTCCATCAGTCTCTGCTTGAAACACCAACACACACACCACTGCTCTCAATGGGGTTTGAACACACTCCCGCTCCAAGGATGGCCCCCGCTCCACTGCTGCTCCTTGGCTCCTTGCCTCTCGCACACCAGTGTGAACCTTGTCGAACACAAGAACCTCCCCAAGACATGGTCGGAGGTGCAAGGGAGCCGGCTCCACCACTTGGCCCAGAAACTTCTGCGCTACTACTGGGTGGTCTTGCTTCTCCGCGCCACGTTCTACAGCTCCAATAGCCATTGAAGGGGGGTGAGAGTTCATGGGTGCGCCCAAGCTGCGAACCAGGGAAGCCTGAAAGCAAGGGGTACATGGATGGCCGAAACGCAAATCGGGTGCTTCCCAGTGAGTCACTCGCCACTCTCTTGGTAATTCTTCCACCCACGTCTGATTCGATTCTGTAGGGCCGGGTTCGCCGGTCAGTTGCAGACCCGGTAACAGGGGAGGGGGAATTGAGCAGGACGAGAGAAGACCGCCCAGATAGAGCACCCGCCAGTCCGGTCCCCAAGCTTGCTGAGGGTCACTCGCCGTCTCTGCAAGTATTCAGTCGTACTACGAGTCATCAGAACGCCCCCAAGATTGAGCCCATCCAAGCCACCAATACTCCACCGTGGTGGCCCGTTCCATTCCATACCAAGCGTGCCTGCAAGAGTTCGCATCGTCCAGACGCCACCGAACCCTCAATGATCGCTAAGTGTTGCAGTCAGGCGATCTGCGCCGGCCAACGACAATCATTTCCTTGAGCACACATTTCTCGAATACCTATCGATCGTGTGCGGGTATCCATCGTTGTGGCATCTAGACCTCTATATTGGCTCGCTGAGTCCGCCTAACCACCTTGCAGTGACCTCTGCTCGCTTCTTTGGCACCCAAAAAAACCTCCTGTTGGTCCCAATCGACGCCACGCGGCCACTGGCATCGTCGTGCGCCGCTCAGACCTCAATCCACTGCTTGGGCCCCCCCTTTGGCGTTTCCACCTAGGCGCTTTGAATATCTCTCCTGGGCTGCCTTTCCTTGCGACCACAACTCCTTGCAAACCTCCTTGTCGTTCCTCACACTCGTTACTCCAGGACCCGGGGATCTAGGTGGCATTGGAATTTGATCAGACAGGATTTCAACTTTGTAAATTATTTGCCCTGCAATCTCTTTCCTTGCCTGCCACTCTTTTGAAGAAATCTCGTACAGCGTCTGGATACAATTGAAACAGCCAATACGTCACCTGGTCGCCACTGCAATTCACCACCTTTTCCTTCAATCACTTGAATACTCAGTTGGAGGAATAGCTCCTGGGTCTGTTGAAGTACTTTTAAACTCCTCAGAGAGACTCCAGGAGTGTTGTGCTGTCACGTTCGACCCAAGACAAGCATCTGAGGATCGGCGCATCATACCAGTGAATATCGGCCCCAGGGGAGGATCATTTCAGTGGTTACTACCAAAACTTGCTTTATATCTCGACCTCGGTGAGTTCCCTCTCCTGACATATTCTTAGCTTGTATCGAACTAATGCCTCACAGACCCCAGAATGTACTTTATTAGCTTGCTATCTATTTGGATCACCAGCTCGCTGTTCACCGCTGCCGTCGCAACGCCAGTCGTGAGGAAATCGCTGAATCCCAAAATCCTCAGGGTTAGATCACCCGTCACGAACTCAGCCTTCTCCTCAGACTGGCCGACCAATGTCGTTATGGTCGGAGGATCCCAGACGTATGGCTTTTGGGTTCCCGAGGACGGTACCTGGTATGATCTAGGAAACATCGAATGTCTCGGCTTGCCGGCTTATGCAGTCGGCGACTGTAACGATGTGACCATTGACCAGATCGGCGTCGTGGCGGGATATGGACCGTGCAGTTTTGTTGGCAACAACGGCTATTCGTCCACCATTGATGGCGCCGCCGGCGATGGCTACTACACGGTCGGTCCGCCCCAGAACATCATGTCTGCCGCGTGTGGTTCTTCGTGACGGATTCCACCTCTCTGTGTTCCAGCAATCCCTCCATCACGACTTCCAAGCGACCTTTTATGCGAAAATGAAGCACGACACTGGACTTCGTTTCTGGACCTGCTCGCCTCTCCTGCATCTTGCCTCCTGCTTCCTGCCACCAAGCCAGACTGCACGCCTCTGGTGGCGGGGGTCAGCGTCCACCGTGCGCCCGAATCAGACCCGACCTCATCTCCAGCCATGACAGCAACGTCCGCGCCGACACCTGCAGGATACCTCTGCGCCACAGGTCACGCGTGGAGGGCGGCCCCGAAGCAGGCACTGCTTTGGGCCGAGATAGATGCAGATGCAGATGCAGCTGGGCATCGGAGGAGATTCATGATGAATGTTGAGTTGGAACCCTGGGCTGGGCTGGTCGCGGAGGGAACCCATGGGGCGATTCAGCAGTTGCCAGCACGAAGGCGGACTGGAACTCCTGCGCACTCCCTCCTGCCTGCCTGTCTGCCTCCACTTTCAGATCAGAGTCGCGGCCCCAATCTGGGAATCCCCCATTCTCGATAGGCCCCCTAGGTTATGGAAGAGATAGTTCAGCCAGCCGTCAATCAGTCAGTCAGTGTCTTATGGAAAGTTTTTCTTCTTCTTTTTCTTCCCCGTTCCTCTCTCTCTCTCTCTCTCTCTCTCTCTCTCTCTCTCTCTCTCCTCTGTCGCGCTCTCTCTCTCTCTCTCTCCTCTGTCGCGTCCTGTATTTTGTCGTGGTGGGTCGGTGCTGGTGCTGGTGCTGGTGCTGGGTGCTTCTTCCGAATAATACACCACTGCAATCTTCCCTTCCAACCCCCCTAGCCGCGATAGAGGTGCAGGTAGAGCATGTCTGGAGAGAGGGTCGGATAGGTCGCCGGAGACAGACCGACGGACCCGACCGTCGGGCTCAAGTCGTGCGAGGTGAATGGACAATAATACGCAGAAGCCGGTATTCCTCGTCGCTGTGTCTCGTGTATACACACATACATACAGAGATATATATATGTATATACCATCTCCCACTGATTCTGTATTATGTATTCGATTCTACAACATGTCTAAAGATTCAAACACGGACGCCGAGCTCCCTTGCCCGGTCTCCCCATGATAATATATCGCCCGAATCTCCTCCAAGGTGGTGATAAAGCTCACATTACGATCCTCCTCGCCCAGACTCACCGCGGCGCCGCCGCTCAGGGTCAGTTTGTTCTGTATGTCGTCCCCGACGTGGGACTGCAGCGGTTTCCAGATGATGATCTGGGTTCCGCCGACGGCATGGTGGTGCTCGATGATCTCGGTCAGGGCCTGGACTGCACAGCCGTCAATGCTTGTGCAGTGGCGCATGTCGAAGATGAGCACGGTCTCCGTATCCCGTTTCTGGTGCGAGGTGTCATTATTGATAATAGGGGAGTGGGACGGCTCAGGTGCCGACGCTGCGTCGTGATCTAGCGCCTGAAGGCGATCTTTCAGGTTACCAGAGTTGGCAAATGTCAGATGTCCGGAGACGGTGACGGACACAGTTCGCATCGACGAGAGCGCGGCCATGTGTGCGAGGTCTCCGTCTTGTAAGGCTTGTGTCGAGGAGTCCCGAATCCGGACCGTGGATCGCCATCCCCGGCGGAGAAGCAAAGACACTATTGACCACGCCAGTCCCACCGTCATCCCCAACGTGATGGAATGGAAGATCGTGGCCCCGAAGACCAACGCCATGAGGGACAACTCAGGCCACGCTCGTATCTTCGCAAAGAAGGCAATCTCGTGCGGACATTCTTCAATCATTGAAACGCCAACGATCGCAATCATGGCCGCGAGAACCCCTCGCGGAATGTAGTAGAATGCAGGAAGGGCGAAGAAGATGCAAATCAAGGTGATGGCGCTCAACAGGACGTTGCTCATCGGTGTTCTTCCACCGACCGAGAAGTTCAGCTTACTCCGGCCGTAGCCACCGAATCCCGGCAGCGCGAGAAAGCACCCGCTGACAATGTTGGCGACTCCGAGGGCGATGAGTTCCTGATTGGAGTTCAAAGGGATGTGAGATGCCTTGTTTGCCGCATTAGCCTTTCTCAGACTCCTAGCTGTCAAGGAAGACTCGAACAGGCCTAGAAGAGCAATCACAAAGGCTGTGGTGATGAGACTCGAGATGTTGTCGACGTTATGGAATGTGAACGGCCATCGGAAAGGCACTCCGAGGTTTTCTGGTGTTCGGATACGCCCAAGCACCTGAAGGCCATGCTCATGCCAGCTATAGAGCCACGTGAGAAAGGTGGTAGAAGCAATGACCACAAACCTATCCGGGAAATACGCCATTCCAGGGTACCGTAACTCCACAACGCTTCGAAAGTGTCTGAAGAGTTCGTCAGTCGAGAGTTTCGAGGGCTGTCAGAGACGGCTCGGCTTACCTCACTATCATGACGATTGTAAAGCTCGTTACGGAAATCACAGCGGTGAGGAAATGTGTTTCCGTAAGGTTGGTGAGAGTGAAGAGAAGCTTCCGCGCAGGGCTCCCTCCCGACACAATAGGGTCTTCCTTCGCCAATGGCCCAAGACCCAGGCCCGTGATTGTTTGCGATATCACCACGTTGAGTCCGACAGCACCGATGAAACCTCGCATGAACGGTCGACTGAGCACAGAGTCCACAAATCCAAGTCGGCTCAGGCCAGTGAGGAACAGTATCGACCCCGTGAAAGCGGTGACGGTGCCGGCTATCTGGGCGTTGACGGTCTGGTCCTGCTCGTCTTCATTGCCTCGACCTGACAGGGCAACAACTGTTCCAACAAGAAGAGAGCCTGGAGCCTCCGGTCCCACCACCATCAGGGGACAAGACCCCAGTAGTGCATAGAGAAGAGGAGTGATGACGAAAGAGTACAACCCACTGATAGGATGAGCGTGTCCCAGCAGAGAAAACGAGATAGACAGCGGCACGTAAAGCGAAGCCACCGTCAATGCGCCCATGAAGTCCCCCGGCAACCATTTCCATTGGTACTCTGGTACCCATTTGATGAACGGCAGATGGCGGGATAGACGAGCCAATTTACGTCCTCGATGATGATGTCTCTGAGAAGACGACATGGTGATGCGCTCTGACTTTGGCAGTGAGAGCCGATCGTCTTTCGATGAGGCACTGGCGTTGTCGAGGTCGGTTTCCTGGGTGCATGTCTTGAGGAGGAGCTGTCTTTCGTCCGATCCCGCTGCAGCCATGGCATTGTCGGCCTTGCTGAAAAGCTCAGCTGCCCGAATGAATGGGTAATGCCATCGGGACTGTCTCTGAAATGAACGCAGGACAATATCCAGGGACCGGTCGTCGTCTTATATGAGTGTGAGAGCAGAGATGATTGTGATATGGTCAGGCGTCGTTGACACGCCCCGCAAATATCCTGATGCAATAAGGGACCTGAGATGGGGAAGCCTGATGCAGGAGGCATTCGCATAGGATGGTAATAGGGGGAGATGTGTGGATGGAAAGTGGGATGTGCATGTGTAGTGGGCGAGCTAGGACTTTGCCCAGGGCACGTGCCTGTCGCATCCCACGCCAGTGTTGACGACGCTGCTTGCTTCTCGCTATTCGAGAGACCAGAGGTCACTGTCACTGGTAATGAGATCACATCATTCTGTAGGTATCTATTCATTCCCAATGTATCTTCTTGTTCGAATCCTAGAAATATCTGAGATTCGTCCTGTCTCGTGGTCGTCGATAGCCCCAGCCCCTATCCAACGCTGTCTCTGTGCCCACTTCCGAGGATATACAAAGAACATCTGCTCCACTGATGCAAGGAAGACATGATTTGAATCTTATTGACCCTTTGCCTTCCTCTCCTCGTCTCTCACAACCTCGCCAACCACAATCCGGCAGAGCCATTCCGCCAACTGCTTGACGCTCCATCCCCATTTGATTTCTTCCGCCGCATCTGGTCTCATCTGCTGACCCTTGTACCATCCGTGGCTGTATTCGCATTCCTGCATAAATCTCTCGAGGACTTCGCACTCTCCGTCGCCCACCGTCCACGCAAACTCGCCCCTAACGAGTCCATTGGCGCTTTCGTCAACCACCATCTCTGTCCCCCGCAGTGCATGGACTTCAGGACGGATCATCGTGCGAGGCGGCGCATGAAATTTCGGACGGAGTGACTTCCTGTAGATGATGTGGAGGGTGCGAAAGTGGGTGTTTGAGAAGTCTCCAGTCAGAGCGAGGGGCTTCTTGATGGAGCGGAGAGGGTCAGATGGATAGGACGGTGGAGTGAGGTACGATGGGACACGGTGAGAATTTGCTTCAGTCTTCTTGGAAGATTTATCCGACGAAGAGATGGAGGCTTTTGTCTTCGCCCATGCTGGATTTTGAGGTTGGTCCCTGGAAGACATTGTTGGCTTGATAAGGTCTTCAGACTGACCGACGGTGAGTCTGTCATGGTTCTGTGTGGGATTGGCGACCGACGGCTCGTCTTGCGTAACGCTCATTGTCCCTTGACTTTTGAAGTCTCCCTCAAGAACAGCTGGCGGGCTGTCATCAGTACGCCTCGTTTCTTTTTCGACCGCTTGCAGGTCTTGGTTCAACTGGATCCCAACTGAATCCTCAAAAGAGTCGTCAGTCGAGGATCTCATGCTGAAACTGCTTTCTTGACCATCAACATCGACTCCTCGCGATCTTTGGCTAAAGACGACTTTCCTAATCATGTCCGTGGCATCGGGTCTTGCAGTGCCCAATCCCTGGTTGCAGCTATAGCGAGAACCCTTCATTGCAGAGCGAGGCGTGGGCGGCCGTGTTGGAGAGTTCTCTCTGGCTTCATTGCGATCGAGTGGCTGTGCTCGAGCTGCGGCCGGTCGCGGAGGTGGTGTTGATATGGATATCGAAGAATCGTTGAAATTGACAGGGATCCTGACAGCTTGTGGCGAAGATTCAAGAGTTCCTGATGACTGAGAAATCTCGTTTGCTAAGTCGCCAACCTCGTCCAGCTCGTCTGCCAGATTGGATGCTTCAGACTCAGCGGTAGAACTTGACAAGCCTGGCGCGACCGAAGTGTCCTCTTCTGGCTCGTCTCCCTCAAAGATGATAGTATCTGTGATATCCGCGTTTCCGTCTTCAGCGGCTTCCCCCCTGGGTGTGCCAGCCATCAGATCGATATCGAACTTTCCGCTGTTCCTTCTGAGTCTCAATTGCTCCCTCTTGATCTCACCAGCGCCAAACCGGATCTTGTTCTCAGGCTCATTGTAAAATATCAAGGTGCTCGCCTCCTCGCTACCGGCGGACAGCAGAGTGCTTCGTTCTTGTGGAGCATCAAGATTCTCGCCCCTCTTCCATGGACTTGGTATCAGACTTCTGCGAGGTCTGTTGACAACTTCCTGGGCCCGTTGTCGTTGCTTGATTCGCTCAGTGTGGGTAAAGAGGCTGTCTGCGTTGGACTGGACGGCTAGTCCTGGACTTGACGAATTCTTGGCCTCCGCAAGCCAGATGTCGGTCTCATCGCCTGCGTCGAATTCGAGATCAAGGTGTGATACCTCTTGTCTTTCTGCTCTTGGAGTTGGCTGTTCTTCCTCATCGTCGCTGTCAATCACAATTACTTGGCTTTCACTGGCGTTCTGGATCTCTCTTGATATGGCTTCTCTCTCGAGTTGCCAATCGCGTTCCCGCCTCGCTTGCGTGTCGAGGAGTGAGTTATCGGCATAGTCGCGTGCAGGATTTGGAGGTGTATGAACCGCAGTTACTTCGCGACTGGGTTCTGAGCTACCACTTGTATGGACTGGAGTGTGTTGGACCAGGTTCTCGCCTCGCCAGACCTGCGTACGTGAATTCTGTTCAGAACTGACCGGGATTTTCGTATTCGAAATCTTGTTTGGTTCCGAGTTTTTTGCTGTGGTTAAAGCTGTTTGGTCTTCAGGAGAAGATGCCAGTCTCTTTGCGAGCTCCTCGCCAAAGCGGAGGCCAGCTCTGAGTTCGCGTTGGGTCCCACAATCAAAGCCCACAAATAGAGCCCTATCCTCTTCTGGCCTGGAGTAGTTCGCGTTCGAGGACGTATCCTGCTTGCCTGCCAACACTCCCTCGCCAGAACGAGCTGGCGACATTACTTCTTGCAACGCAATACCTGCAAAGACGGCACCAGCTGAGGCACGATGTTGATGATGTGGCGTTCGTCGGACATTGGGTCTAGGCGGGGATGGCAACTTTGGTGATGAATATGGTAGTGGTGTTACTTTTCGGCCCACAGCTGTGGATGACGAGGGAACTTTCAGGAGACCTTGGCTCTTGTCCGACGCGGGCGGTGATGATGGGACAGTGCTTGATAGCTCACTCTCGTCTGGCCTGATGGCAGGATATGTGATCGTTTGGAATGTAGCGGAAGGATTTGAGGCTGCAAGGTCGCCATTTACTCTCTTCCCAGCCCCAGTGGTTGGAAGATGTGTCTTGGGATCGTCTATGTCCGAAGGGTGAAGACTGGAGGTTGATCCTCCGTCAAGAGGGCTGCTCGTGATTCGTCTCACCGAGGGCAAAGTGTCCAAATCGATCATGGTAAACCCCTCACTCTCGAGAATCGTATCAAAGGCTTCGTTTTCATGCTGTATTGGAGAATCATTGTCATCAAGAGCTCTTCCCACGTCGTCAGAGTCCCCATGGTAGGAGGAGGTAGGAGAGGGAGTTGGATAGCTCAGGGCGCTGTTAACGGACACCTTTCGAACTTCCATTTGCTGCTTCATTGATGTATTTCTCGTCTTTCCGCTCACGATCGCATCCTCACTTTCAGGGGCTTGTTCCACGTTTGACTTGGTCGACAACGCACGAGGTCGTACCGACACTTGATTAAGATTGATCGTGCGAAGTTCTGGGGACTGGGATTCCGCCACACCATTCTCTTGCTCCTCCGCGCCACCGCTGTCTTCGGTATCTGTATCTGGTCGCACCTCGAATCCTGAAGCGCTGGCATTGGACCTTGAAGACTTTGTTGGAGAGGCCTTTTGAGTCGAGACCACGGGCGTAGAGGCGCTCTTGCGAGAATTCCTCCTCTTTCGTGGCGACTTCTTCTGTTTCAACCAGTCGTCCTCGTCCGCGTCATCGCCCAGAGGTATTATGTCCAGGTCCGTCACGCTCTGTCTCCTGCTGCGACCCGAGTTTCTGCGAATAGCCCCTGGTGTTTCGCTTCTCTTGTTCTTTGTCGCACGGGATGGGGATTTTCCCCCTCTCGCAGGATTTTTTGGTCCTTCAACCTCAGGGTTCTCGTGCTGTAATGATCTTCGGGTCGTACGCGTTCTCGACTTGGTCAGGAGCGCGCTGCTTTCCATATTGGCATCTTCTGGCTCTGCCTCCACCGTCACCCTGATCTTCCAGGGACTCAGATTCTGTTCGGAGACGGCGCGAAACGGAGAGGAGGGGGCCAGTGCTTCGTAACCGAAGGTGCTTGTGTTGGCGGATCTGCCTGTGGTCTTCATTGCCGTGCTTGAATGGCGCTTCGGGGCCGGTTGCCTACTGCCATGTGCAATGTTACCATGCGAGGGCTCATCGTTGACACAGGTGGCCAGAGGATCGGGGGAGCTTAGTTCGTCGTGGTGGTAGGAAGTCACGGAGGGCGGTCGGGACATTTTGTTCTGGTGGAGGACGTTGGATGCGCGGATTCTTCCGTCTACGTTCAATGATTCAGTCCCTGCGAGCTCACCACCAGCATCATCAATAAATTCTTTCAGAAAGCATAAGGTGCTAAGTGTTTGCTGATAACCAATGCGTTTGCTAAGCTACTGTATGTTCAGCAAGCCGCTAAAGTGGCTGTTTCACAGAGTCCTGAGAGTCGTCGCAATGCATTTGTTTACTATCCGTTGTTTACGATGACGTTAACTCCGCGCCTTTTGATTGGCTAAGGGGGGGGCCCTCCAGGCTGGGAACAATGCCCATCTTTCCATTTTCTCTCCTCTTTATACTTGGCCTCGGACTCTCAAAATGTCGAGAAATCATATGTCGCATAGTTTAGTGCCGGTCCAGTCGTGGGGGAGAAGATCTCATAGTTGCTGACTCCCCATTCCGGATGGTTGACCCCGTCAATCCACGCCTGTGTCTCGATCACAACACACCCATGCTGATTGACAAATTTAGCTGCGCCTTGCGTGTCATTGTTCCTTTGCTGTTGGCTTTGCTTGACCGGAATCGTACCGTTCTGGCCATTGCAGGTGTATATCTGAAGACCTTGTTGATTGGTCGACACGTCCAGCTGAATACCGGTGGTCTCGGACCACAGTGAAAGCACAGGATAATTCGAGGATGTCGGACCTGCGTTGGTTGGTCGGTCCAAGATGAAAGCGTTATCAATTCCAGTGCATCCTTCGCCGCAGACACCAGTGGCGTTATCCACAGCGTCGCCCAGTAGTTTGGGAGAAAGGAAGTTTAGGGCTGACACATTCGAGACAGATCCCAGACCGCCAGTGGGGATCAAGATAGGGTCTACCTCGATGTATCGATCAGAATATGGCATCCACAGAGTTGTATCGTTGAGGATTGTTGCCTGTTTGAATGCATTGAGATTCCAGTAGATGTGGTTTGCCAACATGATGGGCGTCTCCTCGTCCAACGCCGACGAAACCATGCTGCTCGTCAATCGCGGTCTAACTTCGCCCTGCGGACCGCTTGCGAAGGTGCCCAGAGTGAAAGTGGCCGTTGTCAAGACCGTGCCTGGAAAGCCCTGGAAGCCAGTGTCCAGCAGACTGAATGTAATGCTCGAGCTCGAAGAAGCAACAACAGTCCAATTCCGCTGATCATATCCAACTACACCCCCATGGAGTGTGTCGGCGCCGGCATTCTCATTTGCGGGGATATGATAAGACTGTCCATTCAAGGTAAAGGTGCTGTTCTTGATTCGATTTGCATATCGCCCAACAACGGGACCAAAGTAGGTCTTTCGTTGAATGAATCCCCGCGTTAGCGACCAGAGCAGGATCAACAGAGGGCAAGAATCGGCACAACTTCTGGTACAGCTCAAGACTTACGTGATTTGTTTCTGTGTCGGTTAGATATTGGGTGGCATTGTCATATCCAGCCACAATGTCCTGATAGTTGCCGTTGCGGTCCTGGACCAGGAGTGAGGTCAGGCGAGCTCCATATGGGATGAATTTCGCGGTGATATTCTCAGCGATCAGAGTATACACGGAAAAAGGGTAGACTCCTGAGGGGACAGAAGAGTTGGAGCTATTCTGAGCCAGAACAGGTACAGCAATGGACAATGCCAGAACAACCCGTCGAAGTTGTGACCACATTGTGGCAAGAAATCTTATAGCCTCACTGTTGACCTGCTCGTTTCACAGCCACGGGGACATAGAAGAAGGCGAGCAAGGGAGAGGAGCCATAGGATTTATACCTGGTGGGAGCTCTACATGGAGCCGGTTTTGCAGGTTACATTGTGGTGGTCCATGCCAAAAGCTGCAGCGAGTTGATTGTAATGATGTGATGGTGGAGCTGCATAGGCTTTCGCATCCAGCAGGCTTATGCCGTGGTCATCGAAGGTAGCTGGGTGGTGGTAGAAGCTCGAGGGCTAGACTGCGGGGGAGCTGGGGGAGCAATGATGGAGGAGGCGGTGGGAGGCCTCGTGAGCCAGTGAGCCCTATTGAACTCACCAAGTCTGGGGAAATCAATGACACCCTGCTGGCAACGGGTGATGTGCCACCGTCGATCATGTTAGTGATTGGTCTTGTACCTTGTTCGTTTTCGGTGCATTCTGCGCCGGCATGCAGAAACAGGGCCCCTTCACAACGCACCGTGCATGCCACCGGCATCTTGCCTACTTGAGAGAGAAACAGACGCAGGGCAGTCTGTGAGGAGTGGTTCAATATGTTTTAATTCAAGGCATCTAGATCCTCGGAATGTGCTTTCCCCGTCCCCAATCTGGTAGTATCAATATGCCGTTGTCCACATGGCTGCTGTATGGGCTTTCATTCATGTTCCTCGTTGGGCCAGTTCTCATCCGAGTACCCGATCTCACTGTACCCCTGCAGTTTTCCTTGGATCCACGTCCACGAGGTGAATGTCAAGATATACGGGCCAATCCGGAGCCAAGTTGCTTCGTGACTCCGACAGCGGCTTGAGCGCATCCTCGACAGCCCTCTTGTCCATCTGACCTTTGGGCTGGCTCTCAATCTGAGCAATCTTCAAGAGATCCTCCTCGAGCTCTTCGGCCATTAATCGGCTCGGTTGAGGAAGGAACGTGCCTTGGCGACCTTGATGGGTATGCAATGTTGCATATGGCAGTGCTGGGCGCGTTGCCGCTTTCTCAGCCAGGTCACTCAGAGCATTGAGCCCACTCATGGCGCCTATTGTTCGGGTTGATCTTGTGACATGCACGTTCTGACTGGCTGACCGGTCCATCTCAGGAGCTTCAAGCTCCTCATCTTCCTCCGAACCTGACTCGGCAGACCCTCGATCTCGGTCGTCGTCCACTTTCTGGCGCCGTCTTGTGTTGCTGGTCTCGCCTTCTTTCCGTGATGTCGAGAAGAAGTGACGAGCTGCAATTTGCGCTTGGTGTGATTGGAAGTTGAGTTCTTTGTCGGTGAAGAGTGAGTGAATGGAGTACAGTGGTGCAGTCTGGTTTGCCAGCGCTGCACGACTGCGGTCTCCCGGAGTGGAAATGCCGTTCCGTGACGGGGAGCCAACATCGTCGTCCGCAATCTTGCGCTTACGCTTGTTCGTGACCTCTGAAACACCGTTCATGTCCTCCTGCTCACGATGCCGGGTAAAGCGCGTCTTCCGACTCGTGTGGTGGTTGCCACCTGGAGATGCTGGGTTGGTGATGCTGAACTGACTCGGGTGGAGGAGGAGCGCATTGGTGTCTGCAATATCAAGTTGTTCCTTCTCTTTCATTAATCGTTGTCTCTTGCTAGATAGTGCTTGAAACAACCGTTCTCGCAGGGTCGAGGTCATGTGTTCGCATTCTTCTGCGGCGAGGTGCAGGCGATAATCACACTCATACTTCAATCTCTCAAGGCGAGCATTGTGATTGTTCTGCCTCGTGGTCAGCGTCATCACCTAAGTGGTCGGATGGGATACTGAGTACCATGAGTTGTATGAGAGCTAATTCCTTGGCCTCCTTTGCATCGTTGATCTCATGCACGAATTCGGCATACCATTTACCTGCCAGTGACGACATTTGGGATTGATACGGGGTGCCTGACGCTGCCAACTCGGCGATTCTAGCCACCTCTTCTGGGGAATCTTCCAAAGGTTCGGGTTCGTAGGGGTCAGCCTGGGAGATGAGGCTCATGTCGTGCTGCAGAGCAATCAGCTGTTCTCGGTAGTGCTGTTCACGATTGTTGTTCAGATCATTATGTAGTTCTTGCTGGTGGGCGACATGCTGGCTTCTGCGCTTGTCTCGCTTCGACATGGGTTGCGCAGGAGGGGTTGGCGACCGACGATGGGAGTATGCGCCTCCATCAGGACCTCCCAAGGGAGACGCTGGGGAGGGTGAGTAGGCCATTTTGAGACAAAGTAGTTGAACTGAATACGAAGTCGGTTCTTAGACGACCAGTGAGATACGCAACAATGTGTCTAGGTATAAGATAACAAGCACATCTACTTTGTGAGAAAATAAAATCAAGAGGGAGCAGGGGAGATGCGATCTGGGGTTGACGCAGAGTGGGTCTTCGGCGGCAGGGACATAGTGACAAACATGCAAAACACGACAAACATGACAAATGGTCTATTCAGGAGGCACCATTGGTACCCATTCACGGCCGATTCAAGGGGTGACGACAATAGGAAGGCTTCATCTCAGAATGAAAGCATAGCTGTGCTCCTTTGTTGCACATGCATTGAAGCAAGATTCTCCAAATCTGTGAGTCCATCACTTGGCCTTTTCGTGCTACCATATGGAGCCTCTGCCCAACCAAGAAGCGACTCCTTGCTCTCAGCAGCGTCGACCAGCGTGGCGCCCAGTGGGTATCTCCTGAACAATGTTGTGAGCATGTCTCCACGCTGCACTATGCAGATAAGAGGTGGGACAATGTCTGTTGTGCATTATGTTCAGCTGCTCTCAACCACAACTGGGCTTGCAGGATCACCAATGGGCTCTCCTTCCATGCGAAATACAGAATTTGGCCGCAGACGGCTGCACACAATTGCCTAAGCCGGCGAAATGGTAGCAAGCACGCCGCCAAGTCAGGAACAACAAGCAAGCCCTAGGTGAGCCTCCAGACCCGTTACCATTCGTATTCACCGTAGCACATCCACGTCGTGCAGCTCGAGGCCAATCGGCGGTTTTGTTCGTCTCACCGCTCCAACTCCAGACTTGGTGCCAGACTCCTCCAGACCTGGGGCACTCGGCCGCCCGAATAGTCCGATACATACCCCTCTCCGACCCCTAACTACCCAGCGAGCTAGGTACCTTGATGCACATAAACACATGCTCCTCCCATTTATGAGGCTGAAGGATCAAACCTCCGTGTTGAGCCCTCACCGTTGGAAAGAGCAGGCTTGTATTATTAAAATCATAGATTGCACTTTCCACAGAAAACCTTTGGAGCATTCTGGTACCGCCGATTTCTCACACGTCGAGTTCGCCAATTGAACACTCAGGATACCGTTGTCCTTTGTCCCTCGGTATCAACGAGACTTCCTCCTTCACACGTCATCCAACATGAGTTCAACAGTTATCCATTCTGTCGTGCTATTTGACGGCCACAAAACCCACACGAACGCTACTGTTGTTTTCGATTCGAACAGCGGCAAGATCACATCTGTCTCGACTGGTTCCGGCAGCGCTCAACACCCCCAGGGGGCAACCATTATTGATGGAACAGGCCACAGTCTTATTCCAGGACTGATTGAGTCTCACATGCATTGCCACGGCCTGCATCTACCTCCCGGATCGGACGAGTCGACAGTCTTGACATCTCCCCTGAAATGCGGTGTCACCACTGTCTGCGACATGCACTCTGACCTGGGATCTGTGAACAAATGGCGCACAGCCATCGCGGAGGAGCTTACAAGGGCCAAGAAAGCTGGTGGGACAGTTACTTCATCTGACCTGAAGAGCTCGCTCTATGGTGCCACTATTGAAGGAGGGTGGCCAAAACCGATCGTCCTTTCCGGTCATCCGACGGAGGAGGTAAGTGTCCAGGTCAAATCTTGTGTCTGCCTTGCCAAGCTCGCATAATGGTAAGGAGGCTGCGTCGCAAGGCACGTTTTACTGACTACCCGTAGGTGATTGAAATGGTCAAGCAGTGGCCCAGCTTGACACCGGAGACTGCAGCAGATTATGTCAAGAATCACAAGGCGAACGGGGCAAACTATATCAAGCTAATGCAGGAGAATTGCTGTTCGCTCGCCATCCCCACGAATTCGATACCAGTTGCCACCCTCGAGCTCCAAACCGCGGTTGTCAAAGCAGCCCACGACCATGGTCTTCCGTGTGTTGGACACGCATTGAGCGCTGACATGACCGAGATTGTCCTCAAGGCCGGAGCGGATGGCCTCACCCACACCTTCGTTGATCAACCTCTCCCGCAGAACATCATCGACCTCTACAAAAAGACTGGCGCATTTGTGATTCCAACATTGACTGTGCTGGCTAGCCTAACGGCTGAACTCCAGGATTGGAGGGAGAGATTTGCTGACCTTGCGTACAAGAAGGGCGTTGTTGACGAGGCGACCAAGCAGAACATGGTTGAAGTGCTCGGCATGAAGGATCCAGCCGCCAAACTGGAATACGCCCTTGACACCGTGGCAAAATTCAAGAAAGAAGGTATCGACGTCGTTGCTGGGACAGATGCTGTAGCAGGTCTCAAGGGCACTGGGATCGGCCCCAGCCTATGGATGGAGCTGGAGCTGTATACCCAGAAATGCGACTTCACCATCCCAGAAGCCTTGAGCTCTGCCACGGCAGTAGCCGCGAAGAGGTTTGGTTTCGCGGATCGTGGCGAAGTAACTGAAGGCAAACGGGCCGACCTTGTCCTTGTGAAAGGAAATGTCACCGAGAGGCTGCAAAATCTGTGGGAAGGCGAGGGCATCGTCGGAGTTTGGAAGGAGGGTCTCAAGGCTGCTTAGATTCTCTGTCGAAACACAATTGGGCAAGTAATACACCTCTTTCCAAATCGTCAATCTCCTCAAGAGCATCCTGGTTCTTTTCTTGAGCCACCATTCTTGCCCACAAGAAGCTGAACTGCTGCGTGGGAGTCCTGTCCAGATGGGAAGACGGTCAGGAGAGCTGCACACGTCGTTCGCGGCCACTATAACCCAGCAAGAGAAGCCAAACAATCCATCAGCTCTGGACGAAGGCTTTGAACAGCGCTGCGCTTGAAAGCATAATCATAATCTTCTTGAACAAAGACAAAAGGGTAAGGAGACCTGTTGACAAAATGGCAAGTACGGACATCTATCTGATGGAAGCAAATATTGAGGAAAACAAATATCCCATTGATTTCCTCCTTTCCAAGCACGGTTCCTTCGATGACTAGGATCCCAGCGCCTCTAATCCGATCAAACCTGGTTGATTTGTTGGACAGGAATAAGTTCCCAACCTTGTGGAGCATAACTACCAGTTCGAACAGGATCTACTAAATCATCGACAGGAATGGCTGGTACCATGATAGCAGCCTATGATTCACTGACCAGGGACGAGTAGGTGAATGGTTGAGCGGGACATGGTCGACGCGTTCAGAGAGCAGCACCAACAGGTCTCGATTCACACACCACTGCCTCAACAAGGACTCCGCGTTGCGTAGGCAGTGAGCAGTATCCCCCACAAACCTGTGCTATATTTATATGCAGTAAACATCCACTTTGCAACTCACCAAGCATCCAACCATCCTCACACCAAGAAAGTTTCTTGAAAACAAACTCAACATGCCGAACCGCGCTGGAAAAGATGTCTTCAGGGCAATATTACGAAAGATCAGCCATCCCCTGCGGCGTCGGTCGAGGAATAAGTACACATCCATCAGTGAAGAGCCGGTAGGTGAATCTCCTCATAATGCTCAGAGCCCTACTTCACCTCCAGGCCTCCCGCCTCGACTTGAACACGTCGATGCCGCTCCACGAGTGGCCATGGGCAGAGCAAATATATATAAAGTCACGGTGCACCAGGCCGACCATGTTCCAGAACAGCATGCCGCGGTATTTGAGGATCCCAGAACCAACGGGTCAGATGTCCAAATCCATGATGGAGCTGCCCGTCGATCGATTCCAAGACACCATCACTTGGGCCAGGGCAACCAACAACATGCTCTTGTGGAACAGACACAGAAACGTGCCAGGTTTGATTTGACCCGCAACCAGATCTTCGTGTTTGAGAAAGAGCACACTATCCTCGCGGGGTCTGACCAACAGTCTCGGGTCCAAGAGCCTGCGCCTGAGCCGATTGAGGCTGGCAGCGATCGGGGCTCTGGTGGACTCGCCGTGTTAACGGAGCCGGAGTGTACCCCTCGACCCAGCATGAAGGATAGCCGCCGGATGAAACGAAAAAGCACGCCTCGGAGGACGCTCCGGAGGACGAACACCACGGCTACCAGAGAGCGGCAACCACTTCAGGAGCAACCGCATAATGGCAGACTCTGGAATGTCTCAGTGCCAGACCAGGTCGAGCTCGATCTGCCCAGACTCCCTGGAGCTCCAAGAAAGCCGGCGAGGGGGCTCGGCGCAGCAGCAGAACCAGCTCCCATGACAGCCTCTGAGTACGCACAGCTACGCGACCGGCTTGTGGAAAACGCTGCCGGGCATCTGGGACATGTATTTGAGATCAAGCAGCTGCCGGATGCCGAAAAGGCGCATGAATATGGTTTGGACAACGCCATCTGCCGACGACCTTGCGTCGTGATGGAATATTATTGCAGTAGCTTCACACGCAAGGGTGTTCCGATCATCGTTCTCGGGATCTGTCCGGTAAGTTAGTATATACTGCAATGGCTATGGGTTTGGAATGCTCAGTGGGCTGACTACTTGTTATAGGTCATTTCGTACAAGCAGCGGGATCAGCTACACAACGATGTTGAGCGATCCAAATACCTCATTCCCGTTGAGCCAACCAGTCCGAACCCAAGCGCCATCCCCAGCACAGTCTCTCTGGTGCGAGGGCGCTTCACCAAGCCCTGCTGGATCGACACAAGCAGGGTCTACCACGTCGCGGCAGATCTGCTACATAAAGGCAGATTCTCAAGAGTGCGAGTTTCGAGGGAACCATGGCTGAAGATGAGAGAAGCCATGTCACTGAAATCACTGGCCCATGAGGAGGCGAGGTTCAGACGGGCATTCAATCTGGAACAGGCTGTGTATACCATGCGGAGACAATACGGCATTGACATGGTCTTTCCCTGAAAGGATGTCGTCTCGACAGGATCGTGTTGCAAGGATTGGACGTTGGATACGAGGTTTGGTGGCTTCCTGCAAGTGCAAGTGATGGCATTGGACGACATGGTTGGTTACACAAGGCAGCGAGAATGGGATTAGCCAAACGTCTTTATTGTGACTTCTTCCACCTGCATATATACACAACAACCCGTCCCCATGCCGGGCTCTCTGATTCCATTCCGCCTGACCAAGATCCGCTGCCGGGGAATGAAAACCTAGACAAGCGGCTAGACCTGTTCCTGGCTTCTGGGAAGAAGCTACTGCATTGCTGCGTTGTCACTCGGTACCAAGTCACCCACCACCATCACAACGACGGGGGATGGTGTGCATACATATTCATATATGTTTTATACCTAGGATATCGTTTCTCATGGTTGTCAGCGTTGTTCACGTGTAAGTCTGCAAGGCTGCCTGTCCATTTGTCTATCTATCTCCAAGATCCTCATCTCCATCATCATCATCATCACCACCACCACTACCTCTATTTCTTCCTCTTCTTCTTCTCCTCTCCCCTCTGGCATAGCTCTCCTATCTCATTCCCTTTTCTCAATCAACCCTTGTCTTTTGTCTTCTCTTGTCTTCTCTTCGCTTCCCCTCGAGGTCAAAAATGTTATCCCCCCAGGAAGAAGACCTGGAGAAGCTGGCCGAGACGTGCCTCGCCACGGCCCGGCAGATCAAAGCCTACCTCGCGGCCAACAACCACCCGCCGCCCAGCTTCGACGAGAACGGCCCGGCGTCGTTCGTCCCCGCGACGCCCGAGTTCCACCAGACCCGGCTCGAGCTGCGCACCGCCGCCCGTCGCCTGTATGATCTGGCATCCGGGCCCGACGACATCCTGACATGGCATCTGTATCATTGCGTGCGTGGGTTATCTTATCCATCCCCCTTCCCCTCCCCTCCCCTCCCCTCCCCTGAGCTCCCCTCAAAGAGAAAATTACTCTTAAAAGAAGACGTCGTTTTTGCGCTTCTCACACGGAAACGAATATGCTTGTCTACAGAACCACGACCTCAACGCCTTCCGCTACGTGTACCGCTACAAGGTGGCCTCGAGGGTGCCGCTGAACGGATCCATCCGCTACGCCGACCTGGCGTCCGCGCTGGGCCTGGACGCGTCGCAGCTCAAGCAGATGCTGCGCCAATTGATGCCGATCCACGTGTTTCGCGAGCCGCAGCCGGGCTGGGTCGGACACACGGCGTCGTCGCGACTGCTGGCAACGCACGACGGCGGCATCGCCGCCTTCACGGGGTTCCTGGTCGAGGACACGTTCCCGCTGTGCGCGCGCCAGGTCGACGCCCTTGAGAAATGGGGCCACGGCCGGCCCGAGCCTCCCGCACCGCCCTCTCCTACTACTACGAGACCGACCTGCCCTGCCACGCCTACTACGAGACCGACCCGCCCGTGCGCGACCGCTTCGGCCGCCTGATGACCCACCTGACCGCGAACCCGCTGATGGCCAACGGCCACGTCGCGCGCGGCTTTGACTGGGCGGCCCTCGCGCCCGGCAGCGTCGTGGTCGACGTCGCGGGCAACGCGGGCCACTGCGCCGTGCCCATCGCCGAGACCACGGACCCCAGCGTGACCGTCGTCGTGCAGGACCTGCCCCAGGTGGTGGCGGCGGCGCGCGACCCGGCCACGAGCGTGGTCCCCGTCCCCCTGCGGCCGCGCGTCGCGTTCATGGCCCACGACTACTTCACGCCGCAGCCCGTGCGCGGCGCCGCCGTGTACTTCCTGCGCATGGTGATGCACAACCACAGCGACGCGCTGGCGGTGCGGGTGCTGCGCCAGATCGTGCCGGCCATGGCGCCCGCGTCGCGCATCGTCGTCATGGACCAGGTCATGCCGCCCGCCGTCGGCCTGCTGCCCGAGCCGCTCGAGCGCATCAAGCGCTCCCAGGACCTGCAGATGATGCTGCTCCTGAACGCCAAGGAGCGGGACGAGGCCGAGTGGGCCGACCTGTTCGCGAAGGCCGGCGAGGGGTTGGTCGAGGGCGTCTTTGCCGCCGCCGCCGCGGCCGCGGGAGACGACGCCGATGCTGAAGCGGGCAAGGACAAGGTGTTGGGCATCGTGGCCATCCGCACCCCGCCTGGCAGTATGATGAGTTTGATTGAGGTCGGATTCGTGGATCGGGCGCATAATGTCCAGAAGAGCGAGGCTGGCAATAAAGATGGCCAGGGTGAGGAAGACGTTGCGGACAGTTCTGGCGCTGGCACGAGTTGAGGATCTGTGGAAGGGAAGCGTGGACGGTTCATACGCTCCACGGGGCCCGAAACGAGAAAACACAACTCCAGGACGTGGCCGGAGAAGAAGGAAGATAGACAGACAGACAGCAGCGGAAGAAGCAGATACCAAGTTCAACAAGAATGACTGTATTTGCATGATGCTCGTAGAAACGGAAGCCCTGGACATTCCACAACAAACCAGTGGAGACACACAAGAGCTCGACACTGGCATGCCGGGAAACCCCAGACGTCGCCCACCACGGAGACACACGAGAGCTCGACGTGGTTTTCTTTGTATCAACAGACCAAGACCCAGTAGCGCGGAACCGATGAGCGAAAGGAACACCACGGAGACACACACAAGAGCTCGACGTGGCCTTCCTCATACACAAGTCCGCTTTGACAGCCCCATCCCAATAGCCCCCCTTTCCAAATAGCGCCTCGTTGATTTTCAAGGCACGTCTGACATGATGTTGCCGCGCTGGCAAAAACAAGAGCTCGTCGTGGCTCTCTCAGGAAAAGTCAGCTCGAATCCGATATTAACAACCTTCTTTTCAAACAGTGCCTCGTTGGCCCTTCAGGACATTCTGGACAGCGTTGCCCGATTGGCAAGGCAACACCTCTGTCCTTTCTTCAGTACCCGTTTTGTTCCATCTCCAAAATCTCCTCCGGGTCTGTCACCCAAACCAACCTTCTTCCTTGTCTGCTCGCCTCCCGGGCGGCCTTCAGTCCTTCCTCGAATTCCTTGTCCCAGAACTCAATCGACTCTCTGGTGTCTCTCTCTGTCCATGTTCTTTGTACAAGTGATTCCACATATGACGATGCAATGCCGGCTTCGACATATGTCTGTGGTGCCGGCGCATTGATGCCGTTGAAAAGATCTTCCGCCCACGAGTCGTACTGATGCTCGCGTTGGTACTCTGTCATGCCATCTTCCCCAATTACGGTGTTGTCTAACTCTTCGCGGCTCATGAGTGTCGTTGCTGAAGGTCGTCGACTAGCCGGAGCCGGAGCCGGTGTTTCATGCGACTGTCTGTCAGCATATTTGTCCGCCTGCGGCGTGCCTGGCCCGAGTTGCGTTTCGGTCAGTTCCGTTTCGGAGCTGGGAGGAGACGATGATCGCGATCGCGCTTGCTCGCTCAGAGAAAGGCGAGAAGACTTGGCGGGTTTGTACTTCTGTGCGTCTGATCTCGCCTTGTTGAGCCGCAACTCTTGCGTCTCGTTCACCACAATGCTGTCGGTGTGTCCAGTGAAGCCCGAATATTCGAACGGGGTGTTTTGGGGAAGTTCGGCATGTGACATCCTAGGAGTACTGGGTTGAGGTGGCACGTCTTCATGTGCCGTTGCGTGACGAGGCGTTGGTGTGTCATCTTCCTCTTCATCCTCAAATTCGTCGTCATCCGGAACGCGGAAGTGACCAGGTCGAGGATTTGCAGGGGATGGCCGCCAGGTGTGGTCATTGGGATCAGTGACGGTGGGATCGAGGTGGAATCTAGAAGTCACATTCCCTCTCGTGTTCTGCAAGGTTGTCGGCGAATGAATGTGATCCACGTCAAACGGAAGAGAAGATGAGGAGTCCGGCGACTGGCTTGACAGGTCAGCAAAGGTGCTGCCGCGATAGTCTCCAGAGCGACCGTATTGGCCATAGACGGCTTTGACTGAGTCGACGGGGTTGATGCGTACTGATTTGACGGATCGTCCCACGGAACCGAGATTTGCGCCGGTCTGTCTCAATGCAGAGCGTAGAGGAGTTTGTGGGGGTAGTTTGGATGCGGGTGTTGCAGGGAGCGCCTCTGCCAATGATGATGATGATTCACCGATCCCTTCGATTTCGTTTTCAACGTCAAGATAGCTGTCCTCGATTCCGAACCCGCCGCTTCTTGGGCCGGGGATATGGCCTTCAAACGACGCGAGTTTGCGCTTGTTGGTGCCGGGAGTGTCTGTGGGGTGGAAGTCTGCCGCTGCTTTACTCTCCGTGCTGTCCGCCATAGCTGCTATTTGTTCCCGACCCGCGATGGTGTTGGCTGTTCTGCGTTTCTTGAAATAGTCGCGTGTAAGAATTCTGCTGTCAACCGTGGGGGAGTCGTGAGCAAGAGATTCAGGTTCATCGATGGTGATGCGTGGTGTGGGGGTAGGGCTGCCTTGTTCGGAGAATTCTTCTTGTTCTCGGGCAGTTGTGTCGCTGTCTCGGTCTTGGTCTGAACGACCGAGACTGCTTTGTTGTGGGTGTTGTTGTGGTGTTTGTGTTTCACTTTCTGCCGCACCTTGTGCACCGCTCCCCGTCAAGTAGCCTAGAAATTTCCTCACACTTCCGAAAATACTAGCGGGAGCTGGGGTCGGGGCAGGAGTCTTCGGTGGTTGAGGGCTCGGCCGCTCTTGTGATGTCGGACGTTCTTCTCGAGTAATCGGACTGGACTCGGGGCTCGTGGGCTCGAATGCGCGGTGGAAAAAGGGAGACTCACGCCGGGAGCTGAGTTTGGGCGGCGCTGAGGTCAAGAGGCTTCGGTTTCGAGTCTTGGAAAACAGGAACTTCGGCTGTTCGGGGGTGACGGCCCTCCGCCGCTTCGACGCGCTCTGGTCAGTGCTTTCGTCTGGGTCTCGTCGCCGTTTCGCGCTCGCGGGCTCTAGTTGGCATTTGCACGTCAGCTCAGCGTCCGTTTGGGTCCACGCATCTCTATACCGGGGGTTGGCCTGGGCAGATGTCCTCCTCGTTGCCGCCTCCGTCAGGGAAGACGGATCCGCGGTGAGGATGTGGCGGGCAGGGGACTCAGCACAGGGAGAACGGGAGACAATGAAAGGCGCCGAGGGCGCATTGCGTCCGACTGGACGCTGTTTTCGCTCACGTTTGGGAGGTTGGTACTCCGAAAAGCCCTCGGGTCGGGCGCCTTGCCCACGGGTGTGGACCATTATTGACGGTTGGAGGGTTCTTGGAAGATGTTTCTGGGTCGAGGATGCGATGGAAGTGAAGGACAAGTGACAATCAATGAAATGGGGATAATGGCGAGGCCAAAAAGTCAGTTGCCGCATTTGGACTAGTGCAAATATATATGTCTTGGCATCAACTCGGAGTCTTCAACGGCTTCAACAAAAAACGGCCACAGACGTGTCCACAGCCTCGAAGTCGCGTCTTCCTCGTGGACGAAGTGAAATGCTATAGTCGTCACGACCGGGATCGGCCCCTTTTTCAGTAGAGGCTCATCTTAACTTTGGTAGGAATTCCTCCTGTCATTCAAGAAGACGATGCACTTGATTCCAGCCAGCGTCCACCTCGTCGTTAATCAAACCCTTTCTTCCTGGTCAAGGACAACGGTAGCCTCCTCTCCGTCGCCTAGTCTCGCAGAAGACGCTGCATAGAATGGTCCTCCTGTTACGGACATGGAAGGAAACCTCAGAACCCTTGTCATGCTCAGTCTGGAGTAATATGGGTTGGTTCTAGCCATTCCCCTGCCGAGCTGACGCGGTAAAGCACCCCGTCCGGGCGGAAACAAGGGAGCTGTTCTATCTAGTTGGTGTAGAAAGACCTAATGTGGTTGTTGACGGCTGAGCTGGTTCTGGAGATCGTCGAATTTGCTGACATGTTGCTTTATTTTTGCTGTAATAACGTTAAGCTGATCTGTGTTCTCATAGGTTGTACTTCACTGTACGGTTGAAGAGGTTAGGGTGAGAATTAGGACGGTAATAGTCTTGGGGGTAGTCGTGTTGTTAAATTGTAAGACGGTATTGGAAATGTGTTATCTAGATCTTTCTGTTTGTTGATGTGTGGATTGATAGGAAATTTGATAATTGGGTCATTTGAGGTATCGGCATGCACAGGCTGACAAGAGAACTCTGGCAGAGTGGTCCTCATCAAGTCGATCGACGAGAGGACACACTTACCACCACCCCCAGAAACATCTCAGAGGACTTTCCATCCAGCTGGCAGATCTCCTGCGGCAGCGTCAAATCCTACAACTGTCCACAGGATCAACCTCCAATGTCCGAGACCTCATAGAATCCCGGCTTGCTCAGGAGCGTCCCACAACAAATAATGGCAGAATCCCCACAGGGACCGACCTCCGTGGGGCCGTCGGTTGAATATGCACCGACCAGGGACCATTTCGAATGTCCCTCGAGAATATCTGGATTGGACCATCTCGCACTAACATCCCATGGTTATTTGTGTTCAGAAAGTCGGGCCCGTGGCAGACTTATGCACGAGACTACGAGGCTGCATGAGGGCGTCTGAGCAAGGCTGGATAGTCCTTTATTCCCGGGTTGAACTGCCCATCTTTTTGACGCCACTACCTGGAAGCTCTTCAGAAGCCTTGCTCTCACGAACACTGGACGTGGACGCACACATTGGACATGTTATGCAATCTCCATAGAGTGGTGCATGAAGTTCCCATTTTGTTTCACTAGAATTAAATGGCCCGGCTCCTGACTTTCTTCTTCGCTGCACTTCGGTGCTGAATACTCTCTCCTTTCAGCTGTCTAGGACTTGTCTTCTGCTTGTCGTATCACGCTGTGTCTCTCGACACGCATAGAGATGGCCCAGCTGTTCGCAGTCTCCCCCTCCCACACTCTAAACGGCACTTAACTTCCCCCTTTTTTTTTTCAAACAGAGACAGGCCGCCGCCACTCAGGGCAACCATGGCTCCCTCGTTCGTTCGCTCACCCAACTAGCTAGCTCCCACTATCAGTTGCGCTGCCGGCGATTTTCTTCGCGGTCCTTTCACTCTTGCCCTTGATGAACCGCGAGAGATCGCCCACAGGCAGTGTGATCGGGAAGTCGACGCATTCCAGCAATTGCACCGTGAGGAGGTACCACACCATCATCGTCAGGGCGAAGGTGAACGCTCCTGCTGCCTGTGAGTGTAAAATGTCAGTTTCGGGTTTAGTTGTTCGGTGTTCGAGAATGGCATGTTTTGGTGGGAAGATTCACGGGCAATGGGAGAAGCTGGGACATGGGGAGAGAAAAAAGATAAAAACCGATGCGATTCCGAGAAAGAGAAACCGTGGCGACTCACTATAGTCAACTTGCCGCCCAGGGCGACGTTTCCGAGTGCCAGGTTCCAGAAAGCTCCCGCGGCACAGCCGAAGGCGAAGATCAGGGTGAAAAGCGCGGAGAAGAAGACGATGTTGGTCCGCAGAGAGCAGATGGTGAAGATGGTGGTGATCATGGCGAGCGAGAGATAGTAGAATCCTGTTCACCGGAAGAAGCCGGTGTGTTAGTAAACAGGTAGATAAATGTTTCGAGAGGCCTTGTTTTGGTAGAGGGCACTTACCGACAGTAGCGTAATAGCTTGGTTCAGTCATGCCATGGAACGAGTCTCCTGTGGTGGAGTATTGGACTCCAACGCCGAACCACGGAATGAGCTGAGTGCCGGCCACGATCCAGAAAGTACCATAGGTGAAGAATAAGCACATGGAGAAGGTGTTGCCCAGGATCCATTCGGCGATGGCGCCCAGGATCTGGAGAACACCGCCGAAGAAGATCATGTTTGGGCTGTGGAGAGACGGGGTCAGTTAAACTGGAACGCACGAGCAGTAGGACAATATGGCATCAACCGAATCTTGACGCCTCTAAAGACTAGGAAGGAGTACTCACATGAGGGCGCCTCCTAAACCTCCTGCACCACGCCAGCCCATGTTTGCGGCAGCGTACGGAGTCGCAGACATGACGAAGCCAATGAGAGCGGCCGGCGTCGGGTTACCAAACTAGCAGAGGACACGTGTGAGACAAGCCAGATGGACTCGACCTTGGAGCTGTTACCTTCTTCCTCAGGTCTCCGGGCACATTACGCTCAGGGGAGAGGTAAAGGGCTTCGAACACATCGCGGGGCAGAAAGACACTGTCTGCCGTCTGCACTCGGCGGAGGAAATCCTCTTTCGAATTGAGGTGGTTCAAAGGAGCACTTTTGACCTCCTCCATGGTCACGGAAGGAAGTACACGCGGTTCTTTGAGAAAAAGAAAGGAATAAATGTGAGGACCTCCGAGATTCTTGGACGTGCAAAGCGAGAATCAGATTCCCAAGCGTCAGGCAACCAGAAAGATAGAGTTGAGAAGCAAGACGAACGTTCTGGAGGGGGGGCAGCCGACCTTCTTGAAAGTTTTCAACGTGCGTCGGCCTTTTCACACCTGACGACTCGGTAGATGCACACAGTCTCAGCGGACCACGGTGGCTGGAGAATCCCCGTTCAGGAGAACATCCTGCCATGTGCGATCCAGCAGCGGGGATACAGCGGTGAACGACGACTGGACAGTGCAACCTCGTCGAGGGCCCCCCCGTGGGGATTGTAGCATGTTGCGAGGGATGGCGTCGACGAGCCAGTAGGCACACAACAGAAGGGCTTCCTGCGGCGAAAAGCGGGTTTGGGTCCCTGGGGCCTGTGGGGATAGCCACCTACCGTGCCTATCTAGGGAAGGGCAGCCCTGGTTACGTTGGCCACAGCTGGAGTAGGAGGGGAACCGGACCATCAAAAGGACCATTCAGCACTTGCAAGGGTTCATGCAGACGTATGCAGTAATGATATGACAATCACCGGGGGAAACCATCGCTCGATCCAAGACCAAGGGGTTTGCATAGCCGCGTCGGAAAGCGAAGGAGACCGACTGGCAGGCGGTTGTGGTGCCCAGCCGAAGGTGCTCAGGATCTTGACATCTCCACCTTGCTGCGGTGATCGTTCTCAATCCCCGGTTGTGCGTGGGCCTTGTGCCTGCACTGCTTCGGACTCTGGGTCAGCCGGATGAGAGCATCACAGGGTTTTCGAGTTGGAGAAGAGGGTTGCATTGACGCTCTCGGAAAAGTAAACGCCACCTTATGCGTTGAGCGTTGCGGGGGTGGGGAGAACTAGCCAGGATCACCGAGGCCCGGGAGGAAGGTTTCCTGGGGCATCGCCATCATCGGTTCCGAAGGGACGACAGAAAGTGTTGAGACAGTGTTGAGAGTCCCGGCGAGGATATCGTGAGAGAGGAAGTTCAAACAAGATTTGGTTGTCCAAGAGATCGCCAAGTGATACTATATACTTTTTCCGATACCATGGCACTTTAAATATTACTCACTGTGCCCGCAATACGAGGTCCTGCTGATAAGTGCCGACCGAGGCAACGGTCCGGGTCCATAGTATGGAAGCCTCTGTACGCCATTGCTTACCTCCTCGTATACGCGGTAGACCTAGCATCCGTGGCTGCTTTAAAAGACTCTGGAGAGGACAACACGTCTTGGGGAAGAGTACGGAGTTCTCGGTACGGAGTACATCGTACCACCCCCGGTCCCGATCTTTGGGGGAATGCATGGCTCGCTAAGGACCGTACGTACCTTTGTAGGCATTCATCTCTTCTGTCCCATTGGTCTACCTGGATGACGACCAGGATATCTGCATTGAAATCTTCGGTTAGATGCAGGACGAGGACCACATTGCAGGAGTCTAGGCCTGTCCTTCCAATGACAAGAGCGATCTGGAACGTCGTCCGTTTGCCTGTCTAGTCGGGTCCTCAGTGCGGGATGGTTCCTCCCCATAACGACTGCTAGTAGGTTGTTGGGAATTTTGATCCGGGTATAATTGGTAGCCATACCTAACCCGTGAGAAGTGTGAACACGGGAAAATAAGTGTGTAGTGGCGGACGAAACAGTCGTGGTCTTGCCCTGGTTTCTCTAGCGTCATGTATAGCGATAAAACGTGTTCGGACTTGATATGGCGGCTGAAACATGGCCCGGTGACCGTTCTCTTACAGAGGATATTCCAAGTGCCTAGATAATGCGGCAGAAATGCGTCGGAACGTTGCCGGCGTTGACAAAGGATTCCTGAGATATCGGCGGAGTGTCGCCTAGGTCAGTAAGACAACTAGCAGCCATGTTGCTGACCAAGCGTGCCAGGTACATAATTATTATACAACCCCAAACCCACTCATATAGCCTTTGACAAGATTCCAGCATCAAGCAGAGAAAAGCTTCTATTACGACATCAAATTTGAATCAAAAAGAATGACAAGTAGGGCCAAAAGTCCTGTGATACAGTGATTAGCAACGCGCGTCCCAGCGACTCCCTGGTTCTGGGTCCCGCCTTCGATGCTGAGAGCAGCACCGAGATATGGCTGAGACGATGGAGGAGACACACTCGCATCCTGGCTCGTCTGATTTTGCAGGGAGTTCTGTCGGAGAACACACGTCGGGCGAGTTCCGCTGGTTGCCAGCTGCGTGGCGTTGGGAATGGAATTCGTGACTTGGATGGGGAGGTTGAAGATTGTGTAATACCCAGTCCCATTGATTCGAAATGACTGATGGATCGAAACCTGTGCACAGTGTCAGTACATCATGGATATCAAGAAGAATGGCAACGATCGCACATTATAAGAGCCTCGGATGGATGAGGCCTCAGGATCCTCAGAGCCTTCACCAACTAAACAGTCAGGCCACGCCCAGTTGACGTGCTTTACGGTGCTGCCACTCTCCTGTGCCATAATCTCCGCACAACCCGCATTCTGGAAGCCTTGGCTGGTCGTGGAGTGGCAATGAAACTCTGGTGCTTCCACGCTATCGTACAACCAGCCATAACTGGTGCCATTCGATATCGTCAAATTGAGGCCGGTCACATAGCTGAACAAGAACATGGTGATGTTGAGAATTCCCGTCTCGACATCAGGAGAATACGGAGGCTGGGGGATCCGGCCATCGCCCGAGATATCGATAGCGACCTGGAGGTAATCTGCACACCACACGGTCAGTATTGTCACGGCCACGATTCGCGGTGACATAAAGTGTCTGCTCGCGAAGGTCTCATGCCGACATGTACTCACCGCCCCCTTCAGGCGTGAACGGCTGAGGTGCATCGACGATTGCTAAGCCTGGTGTGTATATCTGACCGTTGACAATGGTAAAATTGGCTGTAGCTTCCGCGCAAGTCGTGAAAATGAGGTAAATAAAGAACAGAGCTTTGTTTAAAGAGGGACGAGCCACTGAGGCATTCATCTCAGCGAATTGCAAACCCTTCAGATCATGAATATCTCACGAGGTTCGGTCACACAATGCGAGGCTACACGCAAGGGACATCTCAGGAACTAGAGATTGTGGATAGGAGGGATGAGCATCAATTTGCTCGAAACCGCAATCAAAATTGCGACGCCAAACCGGGTTCTCACCCCTGTCAGCCAAGTTGATCCCTTACCTTTCATGGTGCAAGTACCACAGACATGTAGAATTGCGCTTTGCAGCTGTGAAGAGGACTCAGAATCGTGAGCTCAGACCTGCATTGCAGGGACCTAAAGACATCCAAATATGATGGTAGAGAAAAAGATCAGCTTCTGCTAATAAGACACCAAATTCCCAGAGCCGTAAAGCGGCAGAACTTTGGATTTCGGCGGCTCTCACGTGACCCCAATTTTCAATGCGGCCTTTTTGAGCTTCCCTGACTCCCTCCTCCTGTCCAACGACTATATCTTCACTGTCGCCGCCGTTTCAAAGATCCCTATCTGGCCACCATGGAGCAAGTTTGCGCACGCTGTGCCAGACTTGGCCTGAGGCCGAGATCTGCTGTTCCATCGATTCCACTAGCAGCCAGTGCCAGAGGATTCTCCAGCTCAACAGTCTTGAAGGATGAAGGTAACGATGAGATCTCCCGTCTGCACCTCGTTGGTCTGGAGAATCCCCATTGACCTTAACTTTGCTTAGGCGATCAAAAGCCATCCCGTCCCCCGACCGGCGGCAGACCTCTACCCGGCTCCTCCCTACGCGGTGCGCTCGACAGAAACACAAACATCGCCAGTGGTTCGACTGCCCGACCACAAGCAACCCGACCAGCCGGACCAATCCTACGACGAACAACCACACCACGAATACAAACTCCTGGCTCACCTGGAGCCGCTGCTCGAGCCGGGACAGCTCCCGGAGGAGCAGGAGGAGGAGCAGCTCGTGCACCACCACCGGGCCGTCTCTTGCAACGCACAGGAGCTCCTCGTCAAGGCCAACAAGAGCCTCTAGTTCGACGAACCGCCGGTGGGCGAGGTGGTGGACCACAACAACCACAGCAGGCACAGTTTGGTGCCAGACAACAACAGGGTCAACGACAAGACCAGTCCAGAGGAAGCCCTGGTGCACCATCCGGCAAACGCACCGACCGCCGCGTGCGGCGCCTGGTGGAAAAGACCAAAACCTCGCTCGCCGAAGAGGAAGACGCGGCCGCCTTCGCCGCCGAAGACCTCCCCAGCCGCGTCGAGAACTACATCAACACCATCGTTGACCCGCCGGCGAACCCGACTACCGAACTCCCCCATGTGCCTGGGCAGGAACTCTCCGCGGCCGAACTGCGCAAGGACTGGCCCAACACCCCCCTCTCCGGTTCCGGGCTGGTGGAAAGCGTGCAGCAGAGGATCGAATGGCTCGCGCACCGCATCCCGCACGGCTACCAGACACCCGGCCAGTTGGCGGAGTGGTACACCAAGGGGTATTTCACGCGCTTCGAGTCCGAGGCGGAGAAGGAGGAGGTCCTGAAGCTGGCGCAGGAGATGGCCAAGATGGAGGCAGACAAGGAGACGGAGAAGACCAACGTCGAGGCCAAGCCGAAGGACGTGGCGTTCGACGACGTGGTGTCCCGCGCGGGCGAGCGTAAGGGCCTCGCGGACACCTATGTGCGCGGGGTGTATCCCGCCGTCAAGAAACAGAAGATGCCGTTCTTGGACCAGATCGTGCGCAACCTGAACAACAACGCCACGTTCCCTCATGGGAAGACCGAGCAGTTTATGCAGACGGTGCAGAAGGTCATCGTCTCACGTGCCCAAGAAGGCGGGCAGGCACAGAAGAGGGCTGAAAAGTAAAGCGGTGCAAATATTTGTGAAAGTCATGTAGCAGAAGAAAGATTGGGATTATGGAGGTGCTTGGAAAAACATGAACTAGACATAATGTACAAGACTTCTTCATTCCCTCAAAATATCATAGCTATCCTGCACAATAAACCCGCCGAACATCGCCGTCCAACGTCACAGAAAACGAATGATCGATATCGAAATGAACGTCAAGTGCCAGACATCCTCCATTACTGTCCAGGTTGAGCAGCCCATCCCGGCATAAAAAGCTGGAAAGACGTAGAGAATCCCAGTCCTCGAGCTTGATCCAACCGAGTCCTTGTATTGAACAAGTTCAGCGTTCCCCAATTAACACACTGCATCGTCGTCACCCCCCCAGCTCAGTTGTAATGCTGGAAGGCAAATGTCGTTGACGAGGATCCGATCTCGACATAGTGGGCAGTTTGACCGGCGTTCTTGAATCAACCAAACGACGAGGCACCACCTGTGGAACCTGTGACTGCATGGTAACTTGTAGACATATTCTGCTTTGCCGATGGCATCCAGCTGACAAATGGCGCATTCAAGTTCAGTATCTTCTACAGCGACACCATCTCCCTCGAGTGCCCTGGATGCGATCAGTGGACATGGTTTCATGGCACCTTCTTCGCTGTCGAATATGCACGCTTCTTGTACTTCGAGAAAGCGGTATTGCTCCAGCATGAACAGGCCCAGAAAGTACAGCGCTGGCAGAATATCTCCTTCCATGGTGATTGAAGTGATTCGTAGGACATGCATCTAAATAGCCCAAGTCACCAGAATGCCGTAGTTGATCGCTTCACAGGTGGTCACTGTCGTCGGTCTCCACTGTGATGAAAGCTGAGGGACTTGGACGGTACTGATCGTGGTACACCAGGCGAGTCTCTTCATGTCGTTGAAAGTAATCATTGCGAGCACGGGCGCCAGGTTGATGGAGTGGAGGTATAGCTGCATCTGGCCGCACAGCCTCTGATCGTCCGCGGTGAGCTGGACCCCGTCGAACACGGTGCATAGGACGTTGACTTTGCGAATCAGTGAATGAATATGATAATGGACAGCATACTCCGACAGAGCTTTCGTCTTTGCCGTGATACAAGGTGATATGCTTAGAGTGAGTTCAGCCAGAGGTCGATCCTGCATTTGAACGTTGTCCATGTTGAGTCGGAGGAAATAAAGGGCTGACAGCGATGGAGGCGAAACTAGCAGAAATGAAATACAAGAAAAGAACGAAGATATCCACCGGCCAAATGAAATAAAAGTATAGAGAATGTGACCTTTCAAACGATGTGAAAGAGTTTTGGGAGAAGAATGAAGTAGAGTCAGGAAATTCGCAACAACCGATCAAGGAAGTCTGTCCGTTTCCACGAGGAAGGAGCATTCGAGCCTCATTGATGTCTTGTTAGCCTGGAAAGATCCCTGGAGTGAGGGAGAGGCTACAACGGGGTTTGTTTCGAATGGACGCGGAGCAGGGTAAGAGAAGAGGTAGAAAAAGGTGACATACTGATTTCAATGCTGCAGATCTCGCTTCCACCTCCATCTCGTGCCAGTCCATCCAGAAACCGAAATCATGCTACGACTGTGTCCATCGTCCTCGCGATTGTGCACGGTCACAGACCTGTACTCTAGTAGAGATCATCTGGTCCACTGTGCAGACGCCAACAACGGTTTCCTACGTGTTGCCCTTTCACCAAAGCTGTCCTCTTGTTCTTCGTTCTTCTTCTCGCTGGCGGGGTTCGTTCAGACTGCTTTCCGGCTGACTCGGCCCCGTGCTCTGTGTTGTCGTCTGGTTCACAAGCTCCTGCTGCTTTTTGCCTTGTTCTGCTATTGAATACTCCAGTCTTTCTTGCTTGAGGATTTCTGACGTCGTTCTTCTGTGTCCGACTGGCAACTGAGACACGGATGCCGCGACAAGCATCACTGCAGCTAACTGCCTCAGAAACAGACACAGGCTCGCGACATACGGGGCATTGACTGAAGGAGGCAACAAACTTTGCCGCACATGGGTAGTGGAACCAGTGAAGCTTGCTGCAAGGCAAAAACAACAGTGTATCTTCATCCGCCACCTGCTTGTAACAGAGCATACAATCGGAGCCAGCCTTATCAGCCCCTGCCTTCAGGACCCATTCTTTGAATTTAGCGTGCGTGGGAAACCGCCTCGAGAATCCTTGGGGAGGTGCTATGAAATCGAAGAATTCCTTCTCATCTTCGAGTCGTACAAACGTCTCCCGGATGTTCGCACTCAATCTCTCGAAGAAGGTGACCAAAATCTTCAAGGGATAGGCAAGCTGCTGCCAAAGGCCTGTAGATGCATTAGTTGGAATCAACAGCAACAAAGAGGAGGCACATCGAAGGACAAAGTATGCGAGGAGCATAGGCATACTCTGAACTCCCAACTGTCTCGCCAACCAAGCAGTCAATATCGAGTAAGTCACGACAACCAAGAGCATGAAACAGAAGTAGATGACCTCGCCCAATTTCCAAAGATAGCGTACAGCCTCTGAAATCATGTGTCCACAGAGATGGATTCCGGCTGCGGCTAGATACCGAGGCAACAACTGCAGCTCGAGGAGTAAGTGGTGGATGGCACGGACGAAGAACTCAAGGAAGCCTCCAAGCTGGCGTTGCAGACACCTCAAGGCAGCGGCCATGGTTCCAGCGAAAGTGACCGTGAAGCAGATAATGCCTCGTGTGGAGTTGAGCAGGCAGAAGGAGACACATACAATGCCGATCTGGATCAAGGTGGTTGAAAAGCGGCCGAGGGTTGTCATGGTGCTGAGCTAAGATGCTTTCAATAGACTTTTGAGAGGTGTAAAATGGTAAATCGCTAGATAAGAGAGAGAGGGGCTCGCGAAAATACAATGCTTGACAAGCTGATCATCAGAATGGGCTGGGAGAAGGGACACATTGGGCCAGGCAGCGGAGTTCAGGGCCCTGCTGCTGACACGATGTGACTGCCCATGTTGTTCGATACCAGCTGGGTACAGCTACGGAAGCTGCCACGGCGAAGGGGAATCAACATTAGAGAGGTCACCGTGAGTGCACAAGCAGAAGGTGGTTCGGAGAACGCACCCACAAGTCCGGTCGTGACATGATAGTCCTTCTTTCAACCATGGATTGTTTACCAGGGCAGAACCATGGAACCTTGAAAGTTTAGAAGGACAGTATATCTAACCCTTATCGCTATCACCACGTGACACTGATCTCCTCCTCATCATCCCCTGTCTCGATGACGGAATCGCGGGCTGAGTAACGCCTTGCCCTCATTCCATGTGAACAACGATCCCCTTCTGCACAATCTCATTTCTTCAACTACGGAAATACGAGCAACCTCGTCGACTGTGAACCCTCTCTCTGACAAAGACACTCTCACCAGACTCACTAATGGCACTTCCACCAAAATTCTCCGGCCAGCTCCTGGCCTCAGCCTCCCGCAATGAAGCAAAGCATACCATTGAGCTTTACTTGGACTATGTCTGCCCCTTCTCCGCGAAGCTGTTCAAGACTTTCTACAAGAGCGTGGCGCCTGTCATTGAGAAGAAATACACAAACCCCGGCGTCCGTGTCATCCTACGTCAACAGATCCAGCCATGGCATCCTTCTTCCACTCTGGTCCACGAAGCCGGTGCTGCCGTTCTGAAAACCGCCCCCAACTCCTTCTGGGCGTTTTCCGAGAAGCTCTTTGAACAACAAAAGGAGTATTTCGACGTCAACGTGGTCAACGAGGGTCGGAACGAGACGTACAAGAGACTTGCCAAATTGGCCGGCTCTGTGGAAGGGGTTGACGAGAAGACCATCCTGGATTTGTTGTTGGTGCCTGACAAACCAGACAAGGATGGTGGACTGAACATTGGAAACAAGGTCACTGATGATGTCAAGTTCATGGTCAAAGCGAACAGAGTCACAGGTGTCCATGTAACGCCAACCGTCTTGTTCAATGGCGTAGAGGAGCGCAGTATCAGTTCCGGTTGGACATTAGAGCAATGGGAGGAGTGGCTGCAAAAGAACGCGAGCTGAAAGAGAGCCAACTGAGAACGGGATTGAGGCCAGGAGACCAAAAGACACTCGCAGAAAACAGCACCCATCAATTCATGCCGTTGAGCTGAGTCGGTGGTTGAGCTGATGAGGCTATTCTAAACCTGTTTGACCAAGAACGTCTCTGTGCTCGATTTCTTTGCTCTTCGTGGGATCCACTCATCATGACACACACAAATTGCCATTAAGCACGCCCGCTGAATGCACATTTTGAACACGGTTCCTGTGTTTCCGGAGAAAACGCCCTCCCAATGCTGCGCTAGTCAGAGAATCGATTCTGATGAAATCATGTCAAGCTCAATGAGCAGGAGGCTGGTATCCAATCGGTCGCCTACTCATGTTAGCCCCTGGACGGGTGTGGAGTTCGCCAGACTTACTTGAACAGCAAGATATGTGGTTCTGGCTCGTGGACTTCGTAGTGCTCCCATCCTAGGCTCTGCACGATGTTCAGCTCGAGCGTCACACGTACGTGACAGTGTCAAATACCTGTGTGATCCCCAATCCTCTCCATTCTTCTTCCCATAGCAACTTCAAAGTGCCCTTCGAGTCGTCGAAATAGTCTCGGGGGATAACCTTTAACATGGCCTTTGGGAGTTGCACATGACGGTATTCAAACTCGCTGTCCGAGTATCTGACGCGTATCAACCTCCGATCGAGGAGCAAAATCTATGCCATACACACCTCGCCGAATACCCAATACTGTCAATGAATTCCTCCAGTCGCGCCCGCTCAGACTCGAGCAATAATCTCGGCTTCTTGTTGCGTCTCGACATATCAATATCCGACATGCTGGTAGATTTGATACGATATCACTGGGGGGAGGGATTTGGAGTTTCTCGCTCGGGAGACGTGATGAGGACCGTGAGAGAGCGCCACGCGGTGCAAACGCGAGCGGTGCTGGGGGCAGGTGCGGGCAGGATTCGCACAATGGTCTCGTGCTCTTGCGCATGCAAGGGCAACAGAGAGGGCGAAGGTGAAAGAGCGAAAAACAGAGGAACACTCTGTGGAATGTGTCGAAGACAGACTGAGACCCGAAGAAGGCGTTCGGAAACGGGTTATCGCGAGGGGGTGAAGCAGAGGGCTGCGACCTGCATTTGTGTTTGAGGCGGATAGTCCCAGAGGCTCGCCGAAGTAAACACAGATTGGGGGAGCCAGGACCCAGGGCCCAGCCTATGGGAGTAGGTGCGGCTGCCAAGAGATCCGGATAAACCCAACTTCGGATCCAGCCGATGGCTTCTCTAATAATCCGGCTCGCCGGCTCAGGTGCTGGTACGGTGTGGTGCTGTCACGTGTGCTGGTTTTCGCCCTGCAGCAGTTGTGCGTCGCGTCCCCAGTTGAGATCCTGTCACGCCCATAAGACTTGTCTCGAAGGGCGAGTGATGGAAGTGTCCCCAAGGCGCATGCAACTCCCACACCATTGAATGCTTTTGCAAGGGCCTCCTTTGCCCAGTCCATCTCCCCCATACCCTCTTACTGCACTTTGCACCTGATGGTAACCCCTCCTGCGCCCGCATCCGTCGCCCAATCTCGAAACCTTACGAGGCCGCGAAATCATGAGCTCGAAGCGCAGAAGCGGCCCTGCAGGCGACCCCGACGACTTTCTAGCCACGCCTGATCCCAAGCGACGCAAGCGGAGCGACGTAAGTATTAAAATAATCCTCTCTCTCACTCGCCCAACTCCCAACTTCCCACCTGCCACTGCACTTGTCGACCGTGCGCAGAGTCGCGGAACCCCCGCCTTGTGCACCTCGTGCTGCGTGCAATGCCGCCGCCACTTGCGTTGGCCGCAGTGCACTTGCACCGAGCGCATTCGCCATGGGTGATGCATTTCGACAGCGTTCCGCTAATCCAGGTGTCTGCAGGAAACCCATTTCCCTGAGGTCGAAACTCGAGAGACCACCACAGAGATCGGCCTGAGACTCGTCCGGCAGTTGAAAAAGTCGCAAGACAAGAATGGCCGCAACGTCGCAATCCCGTTTCTGGACCTGCCCAGCAAGGTCGATTATCCCGACTATTACCAGCAGATTGCCATGCCTCTCTCCCTCAACATGATCGAGCAGCGACTGGAGAATAATGAATATGACACCCTCGAGATGCTGGAGTCAGACCTGAAGAGAATGGTGCAGAATGCGAAGGACTATAACAGCAATCGATCTTCCATCTTCGAGGATGCTGAGCGCATACGCAAGGCTTTGTCCAATTTCATGCCAAAGCACAATCCGGCGTATCTGCGACCAGATTATCGTGCCTATCCGACCCCCATTCCGCAGGAACTGCTTGATCAGGTTCGACGCCAGTCCACGTCGTCTGAAGGGACCACGGCTCCAGAGAGAGTCAAGCTGGTGTTCCCCAACCCTGCGGTGCGGCGACGCCAAAGTGAGGCCACTCCATCTACTGAACCCCTTAGCGACGCGAGGGAAGATGTGAGGGAAGAGCAGTTGAAGTTTCTGCAGGATCTGTCAGAGCAGGAAGATGCAATGTAACTTCCCCGGTTGATTGTGCGACGCGTGACCACACAAACTGACATCTGTTGCCCAGCAATTTTGAGGAAAAGGTATCCAAAAAGGATTATCCCGACTATTACAAGCTGGTTAAGAAACCGACATCCATATCGGATGTAAGGGCTTTGGTGGAAAAGGATGAAATCCAAGATTGGGACGCGTTGGCGAAAGAAGTGCGACTTATTTGGGACAACGCGAAAGATTACAATCAGGAAGGGTCCGACATCTACCTGATGGCGGAAAAACTTGAGGTACTGTTTACCCTTGCACCACGTGCATTTTGATGGGAGTATCGGCAGAAACCTGAGCACGTGCTAACATTATCGCTTGTCCTGTTAACAGGCCTGGTCAGAGTCCCAGATGCAGTCACTTGGTGCTCGACCAAGACGCAATCTCAAGCTTTCTTTGTCCCAGCCAAAACCAAAGGCTCTGCGACTGACGATGGCTTCGTCCACGCCTACGCCAAACCTGGTCGGTGGTACCATTGACAGCGAATCTCTCCGACGACAGAAAGAAGAGATGGGTCAAGCCTTGAGTAGAGTGCAGAGAGCCAGTTCGAAGGCCACACAGGTCAACGGATCAACCCCTGTGCCTTCAAGCGCTGCCCCGAGTGTTCGTCGAAGCGCCTCCCTGGCTACCACGACTGAGCAAGCTGATACAACCACGAGCGAGGTCAAAGTCAATGGGACCACAAGCACTCCTCAACCCCAGGAAGCCGTGAGAGCTTCACAACCTCCTGCGCAGACTCCATCACAACAGGTGCCGAGCCACGTTCAAGAAATCGAAATCGATCTTCCGAATACGTTGCCTCTCACTAACGGTACCCATCACCCCGATCCCTCTGCGCCGCACTCTTCTAGCCCTGGAACGAGCACGAATCCACCGGGGGCCAATGACAATTACTTGAACCAGTCCGTCATTCCCATGGAACGGCGCTTTCGTGATCCCGGCAGAGGTATGTACAGCCTTTCCCTTCTGGTGTAGTCGTTCCATCCGCGTCACGCTGCTGACATGAGTCCGCCTACTCTCAGGCTGGTCCCACGCATTGCTCGCCTCCGTGACGTTCATGACGAACCCATCTCTGCCGAACGACCCACGTTGGAAACTGGTCCGCTACGGCTCGGCCACCAGGACGCAGACAAGTGGTTTCATCGCTCTACCTGCTCACTACCGCGATCTACGCATCATTCCGACCACCACTACTGAACTCGCCCGTCGTCGCCGACATCGCATTTTTTTCATGCACAACAACACGGTTTACAAGGAAAGCAACAGTAATCATGTGGAGGGGGCGTTTGAGGTTAGGCTTGTTCCGGGAGAGAATGTCCTTGTTGTGGAGGTGTTGGCAGATTTGAGAGAGGGAGAACGAAAGACCTATGCGCCCAGTCAAATGCAGTTTGACTTTGAGAGGTCCACGTTGATTGTACATCTGAGCACGAACTGAACATACGGGGGGGTGGGAGGATTTGCAAATGACATTGGGAAAGAACTTCTTCTTCTCTTGGTCCAAATGGCTTTGAAAGAAAGCAAAAAGGATAGGAAACAGCGGGGAACTGCTTTTTCGAACAAGCACAGCACCTGCATGGATTTGTATGGGAGGGGTGAGTATGTATGTATGTGCTTTTCTAGGACCCCAGTGCCTGCTGTGTTTCATCAGATGGAATTGAAATTGAGAGTGAAAATGAAATGAAAATGAAACTGACCTTGGAAACGCGAAACAAAAAGAAAAGGCTCGGCCGTTCTCCTCTGCTTCATTATATTGTCGAGTCATTACGGCGTTTGTACTCTCTCGACTCGACTGGATGGTTGGTTGTGCTCCAAGTGCACAGGATAAGGTGATCGATCAATTAATCTACCAAAATCCCGCACATTTACGTCGTGCTGCCACCCTTTTAGTTCATGTGATTGATTCGTCTATACAGAGTCTTTCTTTCCTTCCATTGTGTTCAAGCTGGCTCGATCCTAAGCCTCCACCGAACTCCTCCCCTTGACCCACGTAGAGCCCACACTTCATGAAATGGGGGATATAACAGTAGTACAGCCACAGTAGCAACTCCATCCTACTTCGCCGTCCGGGGCCCTGCGACACCAGCTCCGATCACACTGGGTAATTCCTGCGCTCCCATACTGTACAGCATCCCGATCGCCCCCACCACCAACGCGGTCATGACCACGCCAAACGTGGCGAACATGATAAACGGCACCGAGACGTCCTTCTTCTGGCACGCGTTTCCGCCCCACGTCACTGTCTTCTTCGTCCCATCCTCGTTGACACGGACAAGAGTGGAGGTGCAGCGGCACTTGAAGCAATTGCTGTGGGCCTTGTAGCAGGAGCCGTGGCCGGAGCACGAGTTGGTGGTGTTCTCACACGCAGATTGCGAAGCGAAACAGGCGGGGATCACAGAGGGGAGGGTGAAGTTGGCGGAAGTATTGGCGGGTCGGATTGACTCCACGTCAGAGATGGAGGGTGTGGTGGATGGGAGGTCCAGGCGCTCCTCCTCGGATTCTTGTGCTGAGCGGGCGGCGTGCTTGTGGCTGGGGGCCTTTTTCTTCTTGGGGTTCTTGAGTTTCTTCGCCGAGGGAAGCAGGAGAAGGGTGGATTCGACGTTGTCGGTGGCGGAGAAGTGTTTGAGGATGCGGACCAAGGCGTTCAGTTTGGTCTTGACGTCCGATGGGTTCGTAGGCAGAAAATGGTTGAGGGAGAGGATGATTGGGATGTTTGGAATCTCTGACGCCGCCAGGCATCTTCCATTTTCGACAGGGTAGGTGAAAACGACCTCGACCCCCTGGCTGTTGGGCGCATTGCGAGAAGGGGGAACGGCGTACTCGCAGAGTCCGTCCTTGTCCTTACGACTCCCATCAGCCACCGCCTTGAAGTCGCTGAGTAGGTCTTTTGTGGGATCGGAGATCCACAGATCAGGCATAGCCATATCAAAGTCGTTAATCTGCATATCGGCCCCGGATATTCTGATGAACAGCTTCCCTGGCGCATCTTTAGAATGGCTCTCTCCAAACAGTGGGGCCTGGTATCCTCCATAGGTATTGAGATCCTCGAGCAGCATCGAGTCCGTGATGCCCAGGTATCGATCGGCCGTCAGGGCTCTTCGTCTCGCGATAATGGCGCTGGCCATCTCTGAGTCGATCATGCCGGTCGACGGGGTGGTGATGGAGCGGTCGATGGTGAAGAGGTATGCGCCTTGGGCAGCGACATATTGGGCGAGTGCTGCACAGGGCAGCAAGACCGATAGGGGCTTCATGGTTACTTGTGCCAGCTGAGCTCAATATCGAGCTGTTGGTTGTAGCTGGCAGCACTGTAGAGCAGGGAGAAAGTAGAAAGTGCATATAGTCCGGGGGCAGAGAGACACGGATAATTGTTTCGGCCTGAGGAGCTAGCGAGCGAGCGAGCCACGTGCAGCGTGCAGCGTGAAGCGACCCCTCGTCCGCCTGCGATACTGTACATGTTTGAATTCCCAGGCTGCGAAAACTCCAGCCTCCGTCTCTTCATGGTGGCCGCACTTCCTTGGGATTCATTCTGATGCGATATTATCTGAGTTATCTGACATACTATCTTCTTTCCTCGTTGCACCGTTCTCCCAACTAATTACTGAAATTTCCAAAGAGACGGTCTTCTGCATGGGGTCAATGTCACTGCACACAGCTACAGCCCACCACACCACACGTTCTCGCTACGATGCAATCTACTGATGCCCCGACCTGCCCCTCTCCATGCTTCGGTTTCTATTCCGTCGCCCGCGGAGCGTTCGCGTGCCACTGCAAAACGGTCCAGTCGATCTTCAGAGGGTTGCAATAACCCGAAGATCCAGATCCACGTACGAACGTCGCCTCTGGGAGAAATCTCCCAATTCGTTCAACATTGCTAAGTTAGAGTTGCCAGACCTATCGTTTACCGGCTTTTCACTACGATTGCCCTCACCTACTGTGCCGCTAAGGCGATCAACCACATCTATCCAGACACTGCGCACGGCTCTAGGCCGCGAGTTGAGTCAGTCAAGAAGACGCCCACATTCCCAGATCAGAAAGAACCATGGCAGGCACACTGGGACGAGGCCACTGCGAGTGGCTCGACCGATTCGCCCGAAGTCGTCCATTTAATGTTGCCGATTTGGATCCGCCGAGCAAAGCCCAAATATTGGGAGCCAGACGACCCGACGTGGCAGTCATTCCAAGCTCTCCACGAAGATACAAAGCGCCTGCGTGAAGTCACAAAGGCCATTCAGGAATCTTTGAAACAAGTGGTCGTCAGAAAGTATGGTCGTCTGTTGATGGAGCTGGGAGGAACGTTCTCCTTTCACGCAGGATGGAGACTGGCTCCGCCTTTGTATGCCCCCGTAACATACGAAGCCCCGTGCATCTTCTTGGAGCCGGGCAAGATCGAATTTGGCTGGAGACAGCTGCCAAATAGCATGGGGGGGAAGATGGATCGTGTCTTTCATCCGATTGTGCTCGCCAAGGCCTTTTGCAAAGGGTTTGGGGAATTCGCCTGGGCTTCGTATCTCATTACCAAGGCTCGCCTGATGGATTTTCTCAGCTCAACCAGCAAAGATCCCACCACGTGGCAGAACACTCCCAGTGAAGATGAGAAAGCCCACAAGCGGTTGACTCTTGGAAAGATGTCTGAAAAGGACAAAACAACTTGGCTTCCTTTCCTTCGTGGTGACTTCGGCGAGCATGAATCAAGACGCGCCTACCGCGACCTCGTCAAGTCCATGACCTATCAAGGTGCAATCGAATCGGGCTGCGCCGTGTTCCGAGCATACTGGATTCAGGGCCAGGAAAAGACCATGCAATCGTACACGCGAGATGGCATACTGTTGGTGGGAGAGATAGCCTTCGTGGGAGACAGAGGCACCCTATTTGTGCATGCGGTGGCGGTCTACTCCCCCGCGAGTGATTCTCTCATTGGACCACCTATCATCAAACATGCTTATGTCGTCCCAGACCGGGAGAAGTGGGTGGAAGCCAAACCTGCCCAAAACGATGGGGATGGCCTGAAAGGGGATCAAAGACAAGAACAGAAGGAGTTGATTGCCCAAGAGGCCCTCAAACGGTCAACAGAAATCGAGAAGTCACAGCGGACGGGGAAGCCTCCTTCGGCTGAAGGGGATCAGGAGAAGAAGAGGGAGAAGTGACATGATATCCCACTGCTTTATCCACAGCGCCAGGCGTTTATCAGGAATCGGAGCTTGAGGCAATCTTAGGGTCACACTGGGATGGTGTGTTTCTACGATTTTCATGACTTGATTTGAAGAGCGTCAATCTCAGATAGTGTGCGTGTGTGTGTCTTCGGTGCAGCTCCTTCGTCCACAGTCTTGAGTTCTAGTTGGGAATCCTCTTTCTGTCACTCTTTCCCCGTCCTTTCTCACTCACCAGTCTCAGAAGGTCACCGTTGCCTCTTCTTTTGGCAGGCATACAGACTCCCGAAAACCCACTGCGTGCCATCGCGAAAAATCCACCCCTTGAACCTTGGACCATGCTGGGGAACGGCGTCAGGTCCAGCATCCTCTCGGTCTGGCTGTACTTCACGCTCAACATGGTCGTCACGGTCACAAACAAGCAGATCGTGTCTCGGACTGCATGTCCCTGGCTCCTCACGGCGTCCCACGCATTCACTACGTTCGTCACCACGGGGGTGATCACACGCCTCCAGCGACCGAATTTCACCTCGTCGACTACATCTGCCCCACGTTCCTTGGCTGTTGCCCATTGTGGACGCCGCGGTGATAATGACGATTACGACGAGGATGGCGGTGATGAAAGCGAACACCAGCATCGCGGTGGAGATGAGATCAAACCCGATCTACGCACCCACCTCCGAGTCCTTCTCCCTTTCTCCATCCTGTACACATTCAACATCGCCCTGTCCAACATGGCCCTGGGGCTGGTGACGTTGACGATGCACCAAACCATCCGCGCGACGACACCGGCCATCACAGTCCTGATCTCCATCGCGTGGCTGGGACGGTCTTGGAGGGAATATCCCGCCGGTGCGTACGGCGGCATCGGACTGACTATCTGTGGGGTGATCATCGCGACCAACGCCGCATCATCCTCGACCGACGTCGGCGGCGGCGGCGGTGGCGGCGGTAGTAGAAGTCTCGTCGTCGACGACCCAACACGGACGACCGCTTTCGGATTCACCATCACGCTCCTCAGCGCCGTCTCGGCCGTGTTCAAGACCATCTTCACCAACGAGTTGCAGCGGCCACCTGGGGCCAGTCGGTGGGGATTGGGTCTGTCCTCGACCAGGCTCGTGCAGTACCTCGCTCTGTACGCCGTAAACCAGACGGTGCTGATTGCCAGCTGGACCGGCGAGATCCAAGGACTGACGCACTCCACCACCACCACCACCACCACCACCTTGGCCCACGGTTCGCCGCCTCTGACCCTCAAGCGAGGAGGCGTTGTGCTTCTTCGCATGAGCCTGCTGTGGCCTTGGCTGTGGCTGTGGCTCGTCAACGCGCTCGCCGCGGCGCTGCTGAACCTGGCCTCCTTCCACGCGAACAGAAGGTGCGGACCACTGAGCATGGCCATCGCGGCGAACATGAAACAGGTGGTCATCTTGCTCCTGCGCATCTACTTGCGCGCCGATGATGGCGGTACGACGGAGATGGGCGCCGAAGAAGGACTCTTCTTCTACCACCACCACCGCCAACAGCCCGAGCGGCAGCGGCAGCGGCAGCGGCAGCGGCAGCAGCGGCGCGCGGAGAACACGGTGATTCTCGGATCGCTGGTCACGGCGGTCGGGGGCATTTGGTACGCGTTTGCCAGTGTCAATCTCTCGGCGAGGAAGGGGCAAGGCCGGAGTCAGAGGGGAGATTCGGTGGAAGTCATCAGCACCAGCAGCAGGACTTTGGAGAAACGAGGCTGGAAGGGATAGGGGGTTTAAGGAGAGCTGCACGGACAAAAAGGAATCTACGATGATGCGATACGATACGATACTAGGTGTGTTGTGCCATGCCATGCATGCAACTGAAGGCATGTTCGGTTCGGTTTCTCGACACACGGATCCCAGCTTGCTTGAGGGTCAAGGCCTGAGGTGCCGGTCTCTATCTATCCAGCTCCTTTCCACCCCCCTATTCTCGTCTTCTAAGCTCCAGCTAGAATAATCGGATCGGATTGTACGTTGAGCGTGCAGATAGATGATGGACTGTAGTGGTACAACATGGTTGATTGATTCTTCTCTATTTCCTTTCACCTTTTTTGGTCCCCTTCTTCCTCTCTCTCTCTCTCTCTCTCTCTCTCTCTCGGTCTCTCTTGGTCCAGATATCCCAAAGATTTCACGAATGCTTTTCTTCCCGTCCGTTCGTGGTGATAGTGGTAGTGAGTGAGACACACACCTCCATTCCCATCCCTTCCCTTCCCAATTTTTTCTTGCATTAATCCAAGTTACACGTATTCCAGTTTGACTGACATTCCACCTCCCCTGCCATTGCGCCCACAGAATAGTTTTGTTTGGTTATCCGTCCAACGCCTTCAAACTCGCCTCGTAAACCTTCTTGACCTCGTCCTGGCCCTTCTTGACCACCTCCTCCATCTGCTTGTGGGCCTTGCGCAGCTCGTCCACGATGACCAGCTTGCCCAGTTCCATCTTGCGGAACCGCTTCTGCGCCTCGCCGCGCGCGTGCCGCACCTCCTGCGACGCCCGCTCGAACATCTTCTTGGCCTCGGCGCGCGCGAGGTTGCGCGTCTCGGCTGTGATGGGCGGCACCGGCACCGTGATCAGCAGCGGGTTGGACGCCGTCGGCGGGTTGGACTGCGACACCGACGTGGTCCCCGGGGTGTGGGGGGCGGTGGTCTGCGGCACCAGACTGTAGGGGCTTGCGAGTAGGGCGGAGGCGATCGGCTTGACGTGCTAGAGCAACAAATATGAGAGTTGTTAGTGAAAAAGGACTCAACAGGGGCAGCACCCCGGGCTCTAAGAACAAATAATACTCACAGCTTCCTCGGCGCAGAAGATCTGCACGCTCCTCCCGCCCTTCGCCACGACGCTGGCCAGATCTCCCACCTTGACCTTCTCTTTATGCGGACTGCCCCTCCCGGTCTCCGCGCCCTTGACATTGATCTCGACGGGCAGCGCCTCGATCATTTCGGGCGTGACCCGGCCGGCGTCCTTCGTCTTGACCAACGCTTCCTTCAAGCGTGCAACAGCTTTGGCGATGCCCGCCTCCAGCTCGGAGAAGTCGTACGGGTCGATCTCGCTGTCGCGGTTGCGCGTGGCCTTGTTGTCCGGGATATGGACTGCGTCCTTGTGGGTGAGCGAGTCCAGCGAGGGGGACTTGCGCGCGGACTTGGACGAAGAGGACGACTTCTTGGGCAGGGACGGGGAGGTGGAGAATGTCTTCCTGCTGCTGCTGGGGACATGTTGTGAGGATTGGGTCGAGACCGTCCACGGGGCAAGTGTGCGGTTCGCGGAATGCAGCTGGCGCAACTGTCGTGTCTGGCATTGGATGCACAGCGACCGCGGCGTCGTGCGAGGGAGCCGGTGATGCACCGGGAGGAGGAGCACTTGCTGGAGGAACTGCGCCGCTTCTTTACTCCGGGGAGACATCTTTTTTGTGATCTGAGAATGTGAATGACGAGGTAGGTTGTGAAAGTCCACGGGATGTACTCGGTAGAGTTGGGACAAGTTTCAAAATGCCCGAAAAAGTTGCGGGCTCAAAGCTGGAGGAGCTCCTCCAGGCGAGTGGTCGATCCACTTCGGGCGAAATATCGGCAAGGCTGATGGCTTCAGGAGGCCACAACTCTGTCAAATCACGCGTCAAAGGATAAATCTGTGATTGACAGGAACACGTATGAGATCACACAGACAGGGCTGGAGGGAGAACGGTGCCTCAGTCTCGCAGACCCTTCAAGTCACAATTCTTTTCGTCTATCCTGTGTCCTGCGTATAAGAAAGCACGTGTCCGCGTCGCGGCAAACGAAACACTATCTTCACATTCTGATGTCGTGGCCGAGAAACGAGATTGCCGCTCTATCTTAAACACATACTAAGGCAATGACATTTCCCTAGCCGGGTGACACGAGTCCAACCAGCAGCATGTTGCCCTGATTGACCCGCCTGAGTAACCTATCCGAAAACGACGCCAGCCACATTTCTTTTGAAACTGCCATGCATACTGCTGTCATGAGGATGGGAGACGCAGCTCCGAGTTCTTTTTCGGGGTGGTTTGGTAGGGTCCCCCCTCCCACGAATATCGTCAACGACATGGCCGTCTATCTCGTCGCCATGGCCTTGGTCATAGCTCTCTTCAGAGCCAGCTCCTTCTTCTTCAAGTCATCTGGTGTCGAGTCCTCCACCTCGAGCTGTTGCATCGCGTCACTCAAGGCCTCCTCGATCTTGGCCTTGTTCCCACGCTTCATCTTCATCGACAACCCAGGGTCGTTGATCAACTCCTCCACACGACCAATGTAAGACTCGAGTTGTTGCTTCGCCTCGAATTTCTTGGTGAATGCCTCGTCGCTCGACTTGAACTTAGCAGCGTCTTCGACCATCTTCTCGATTTCGGTGGTGGAGAGTTTGCCGACGGCGTTGGAGATGGTAATGTTGGCACTTCGGCCCGAGGATTTTTCCGTGGCGGTGACTTTGAGGATGCCATTAACATCGACCTCAAACACAACTTCCAGAGCAGCGTCTGTCGTATCTCGTTAGCGGGTAATCCCAGAGGGAAACAAATATGCGAAATTGAGATGGGAAAACTAGCCTCCAGCTTTCATTGGGGGGATTGGACTTAAGGTAAACTCCCCAAGAGAAGTGTTGTCTTCACAGTTGGTCCGCTCTCCTTGATAGACGGGAAACTGGACGGTTTGTTGGTTGCTATAGCCTTCGTTAGCGGGTCGGTCATTCGGCGAGTGGAGGTCTCGTGACTTACTCAACTACAGTGGTGAAGGTTCTGTTCGATATGTTAGCGATTATGATGCTCACAAACAGGACTCTTGTGCAACAAAATTGTGAATAGTGACGGTATGGAATTAGTGGTGTATCAAAAGACTCTGAGCTCCTGCCAACGATGCAGTGGCACGGGTGGTTACCCAGGGCGCAGCGAGTGGAGACCCCAGTGTGAGACGACGTATTCCAGGGAACGAACGACCTGATGATTAAAGATGATAGGGGGAGGTATATCGGAGAACGATAGAAGAAATAGGAGGGAGAAAACGAGATGAGCCAACCTTTTTTTCACACACGGGACCGTGTTCCCGCGAGGAACAACGGGAGCGAAAATGTTGCCTTCCATAGCCACACCCAGAGACAGGGGAACAACGTCGAGGAGGAGGAGATCGGCCGTCTCAGCAGAGGTGGCTTTGCCAGACAGGATACCGGCCTGCACAGCGGCACCGTAGGCGACAGCTTCGTCGGGGTTGATGCTCTATGCACAGTCAGGAGGAGTTTCAGGGGGGTCCAGAGTGTCACCAACCTTTTCCAGCTTCTTGCCGTCAAAGAAATCACTCAGCAGTTTCTGGATACGGGGGATACGGGTGGAGCCACCGACGAGCACAATCTCGTCGACCTTCGACTTCTCGATGCCGGCATCTTTCAGGACTTGTTGAACAGGCTCCAGAGTGCCGTTGAAGATCTTGGCGTTGAGATCCTCAAATCGGGCACGGGTGATGGTCGCATTGAAATCCTCGCCGTCAAACAGAGAGTCAATCTCAATCGTGGCCTGGGTACCGTTCGACAGCGTTCTCTTGGCACGTTCGCAGGCAGTGCGGAGTCGTCGAAGAGCACGGGCGTCGCCGGACAAGTCCTTCTTGGTCTTCCTCGTGAACTCTTTCTTGAAGTGCTCGAGGAGGTTAGTGTCGAAGTCTTGACCACCCAAATGCGTATCTCCAGCAGTAGCCTTGACCGTGAAGACACCGCCCTGGATGTTCAAGAGAGAGACATCGAAGGTGCCACCACCAAGATCGTAGATGAGGACATTTCGCTCCTTGTCTGACTTGCCGGATCCAAGACCGTAGGCGATGGCGGCAGCGGTGGGTTCGTTGATGATGCGGAGAACGTTGAGGCCGGAGATGGCACCGGCATCCTTGGTCGCTTGTCGCTGGTTGTCATTGAAATAAGCAGGCACGGTGATGACAGCCTTGGAGACTTTCTTTCCCAGCTTGACCTCTGCGACCTCCTTCATCTGTGGCGCACGGCATTAGCGGTTTGTAGAGATCCACCGCAGGAGGACGAGCGCCTCACCTTCACGAGAACCATGGAAGAGATTTCTTGCGGTGAGAAAGTCTTGGTCTCCCCCAAGTATTGCACCTGCACCATAGGGTTGCCGCCCTGGTCGACAACCTTGAATGGCCACGATTCGATATCCTTCTTCACCGTCGGGTCATCAAATCGTCTTCCGATCAATCGCCTGCGCAGCGGTTTAGAGAAGCTCAGTATTTTGCATGGATAAACTCCACTGACTTGACATCAAAGACTGTGTTTTCGGGGTTCATGGCCGCCTGATTCTTAGCAGCCTCGCCGATGAGGCGCTCTTCGTCGGTGAAGGAGACGAACGAAGGAGTGGTGAAGCTACCCTGCTCGTTGGCGACTGCGGTGATGTCTTAGTATGGCCCATGACTGCGCAAATCGGAGGGGTAAACGGCAGGCTTACTGATTTCGACATTTGTGCCTTCATAGACAGCGACGCAGGAGTAAGTGGTACCTGGGATTTGGTGTTAGTTAGAGGGCCGCAGACGTCGGTGAGGGCGGGGAGCAACGAGAGCAAGCATACCCAGATCGATGCCGATGGCACCCTCATAGACTTCGTCGGCCATGTTGATGGTATGAATAAAACTCCCCTCGACCTACTCTGCAGGAGGACACGGAGAGAAAAATAAAGATGCGAAGGAGTTGTAGGCGAAAAGCTGGAAACAGCCTACTACAGCAAAAGTTCTTACCCTTGGAGAACTTTTTGAGCCACGGACCACATAAATTTTCCAAAATTTTGGCCAAGAAACTCGGTAAATTTACGACCCGCTTATTCCTGTTCAGGCTGGTGATACCGCCGCCTGGAGATCGGCTCAGACTAGCCTTTATGACTTCAACGCACCTCCAAAGAGCAAGGAGATCAGAAAGTGAACGATAAAAGCAGCACCACTGTTAGCGTTCTTTGGTTAAGTTGTTCTTGCGTCCATCTATCAGACCACCGTCTATGTTTTGCCAATCTTGAGATGGACGATGATGCGGTTTTCCAGACACTGCTGCCTTGTTGCTTGTACTTGTACATATCCAGCATCTTATGTAACCTTCACAATCCCAAACAAGAACCTGGATCCAGGCCAATGCAAACACCCACAACCAACCTTCTGAGAAAGACAGTGCTAATTTCATCCTTTTCCCAACACCTATCTAATATGCTTATAAGGATGGCTCCATCCAGATAACCTCTCACAACCAGAAACAGATACAGCACATGTCCAACCAAAGGAAAAGAGTCCATGTAAAACGATTAGTCAACCCCTCACTTTTCCATCACGACAACACCATAGAAAGCTCCCATGCACGGACTGAAGAGTTTTGCGGAACCCTTACACTAGTGCGTTGGTGACACGTTTCCCATAAGCACATGTCCATCCTCACTGCCAATTTGTTGCCCTGATATCAGTTTGTCCGGGAACCAAAGGAGGAAAGTCACCTGGACAGTCCACATAGGCGCTGCATCAAAGACGTAAGCCGGCCACTCATGGGCGAACAGAAACGAATCCACACCCATCGTGTACTCAACCACGCGGTAGACTGATCTCACCATGATCAACACGCTGCAAATGTATATCATCATCAACCCTTGTCTCCACGGCACATTTGGGCTCGACCTCTCATCCTTGCCGATGGTTCTCCAAATCCTCTTGTGGAACACCAAAGCAACGGCAATGAAGCATCCAAACGCGATCAACTGGATAAACAGACCGCCGACCACAATGTATTTCCCCACTTGCTCAGTCTTCTTCTTGACCGTCAACCCGGCACCGTTACCCTGTATATTTAGCGACAGGATATCCGCCAGGACGAAAAGCTTGGTCATCTTCGTGGACCGAATGATGGAAAAGCGCTCGCCGTGCACACTGCGAATGAGGCGACCGAGCAACATGTAGACGGAGGCTGCGTAGAGGACGGGAGCCAGGAGGATGAAACAGCTCTGCACTGTGTAAGGCGCAATGAGATCGGTACGGTAATGAGCATATATTCGGGTGCCGTAGCCGATTATTTGAACTGGAGAGAAATACCAATTAACAGGACAAGCATCTGCAACACCTGAGGGTGCAACTTACAGAGTCCACCAACGTTGAATGGGATGCAGAACCACAACCGCGTCTTGTACGTGCGCCAGGCGAGGGCGCCAGTGATGACCGTGAACAACACCATGAATATAGCGGAGAGTAGTACTGATGGTAGGTACTTCCAAAGGTAATAGTCTGTTCCGTCCACAGGCATGAGCCGGGCCATGGCTGCTTTTCGGCAAAGGAGCTGGGACAACGGCCTGGACTTTGAGAAATCTCCCCCGGCACCGAGTTCTCCCTGGGAGTAGATTGTTGCTCGGGTCAGAGGGACGAAGAAGTTGTTGTGATCGTTGAATGTGTGATTAGTTGCTCCTCCTGTCGAGGGGAGGGCTGAAGTATATATTGCCATGTGTACTCTCCACCACCACAGAACTGACGGTCGCCAAGTCGCAGGGGTTTACGCTTCATGATAGAGAACCACAGTCGGCATTGCGATGCCTTGTCCATCACGAGCAAAGCCTTCTTCTAGCAGATCCATTCTGATATAATGTATCCACACAGAGATTGGTGTAGGACCCCAGCGAATATCTGCTCCAGGCAAGTGCAGGCTCCACCGGTGGATGTTTTTGGCTTAGTGTACGCGTACACTAATAAGATGGGTCTTTTGTGGATTCGCACTGACAGCCTTGCGGTTCGTTTCGTGCTCGGCTGTGGCATTCCTGCTTTTCATACTTTCGGGAGAGACAGTTGGAACTAGGCAGCAGGATTCTTTTATGGGACCCGTCCACGAGATTGATCTGTCTCCGTATCTCTGATGTGTTTGGCAATCCAGAGCGCATCATGAGCTGCCAACTCTATCCACAAGGGGGCAAGTCCTCCTGAAGCGCCGCGTTGGGGAATCTCAACCATGCCTGCCAGTGGGAGTCAAGGTCCCCACAGATAGACTCGATAAGAAAGCGACCACTGTCCCCGAACAGCCACAGTCTGCGGCACCGGTGCAACAGGACAGCGTAATGCGCGAGGATAATGAGTGCCTCCGCTTGCCTTTGCTGCAGCAGATCTACGTATTCGGGTGGGACGAGGACCGGCCAGGCAAGCACCGTAGGCAGTGCAATCTTGATTCCCCCAGCAGCACGCAGTGCATTGAAGACCCGCTGAAGGTGCGATATGGATTCTCGATAGGCCACTCGAGAGCACGGCGTTGTGTCTGTCGTCTCCATCATGTCCCAAAGTGCGTCACATTCTGATCCATCCACATCCTTGGCTTCCATGAGAGCTTGGGTCAATTTGAGACGGGGTCCTAGCTCTGACTCGAGCAGCAGATCCCGGCTTTGGTCGATGACAGCGAGCAAGCCCCGGTATACATTCACACCCTGTGTAAATGTGTCAATGAAGCATTCGAGGCTGTCTCTTTGGTAATGGAATGTTTCGCACAGTAGAAAGATACCGACCCCGGACGAGAACAGGAACATGCGGACGCAATTTGCCGGAGTCACTTCCAGGACTGGGTTAGCTTCATTGAAGAGCGAGAGGGCACGATTCTGTAGACCGGTGGCATATTCACGGTAGGTGTCACGAAAGTCCGTGGTCCTCGTGCTGAGATGAAAGGCTGACGTAGCGAGCATTTGATGCATCAGATATGGAGTTGCCATGGCATATTTCGCATATATGTTGGTTGTCGTGATGTCTGGTCGCCTTGGTTCCTCGATGGAGCGATACGACTCGCTAGAGAGATTGTCGAACAGCTCGAGATGGATCATGTTTATGTTGTAAGGATCAGGCGGCGTCGGGTTGCTCACGGTCTGCTCAGCCCATGGTGTCGGAGTCGGTGTTGACGATCTGGTCGAGGCACCGACTGAGCCTGCCATTTGTGTATGGGAGAAGGCTGGCACGATATATGGCGAGGAGGGGTTGAGAAATGAGCATCGAATCTCTGCCGAGGCGCAATTGACGCATATTGGCTGATTTTGGTCGCACTGTATGATCCCATCAGTCCCGGTTGAAAACTTGGCAATACATGTGGATGTACCTTTATATGCCGCTTTTTGCATTCAAGACACCCATTTCTGGACTTTTTGTGAGGTCGACGCGACATAGATCGATGTGGAATATGTATTCAAATGACCGCCAGTGACTTCTGAAGCAGTTTAGCTCTCCCGGTCGAATATCGCACGCTCCGGAGAATAGACGTAGGTCATGTGGCTTTGGATATGCTCAGGTTTCGAATCCCGCGGTGGATAGGTAGCACATGCGAACCGTTCTCTTAACGTACAGATTCGAAGGACCGTTCTGTCGCAAATATAAGGGCAATGCAGAAGATGCAAAGGGATTGTAGAGAAAGAACCAACAGAGAGGCGAGGACGAGGAAGGTACGGCGAGTGTTGCCTGGAGAATCATCCACTTTCGCTTAATAGATCGAGATACTTGTCTCTTGTGCTCCCAAGTGGCGGTTGATGTGCATCTTCTCAGTGCCTCATGCCCAATTGGAACTATTCTATCAGGTGGAGGGAACGGTCAAGCAGCGGTATCAAGTCCGAGACGGGGCGTTCAGTGGGTTAAGACCAAGACCACCGCCACGCTCGGAGGGGAATAAGAAGAAGGAGTAGGTTTCCGTTCTACAGTAGAATATGCTGTATTGCCAGATCCATTGGGTATCATATCTCAGGTGGTTCGAACAGCGCCCCTTTCATCAGCCATTTCTTGCCTGGTATCGTCTTGAATGATGTAGATTACCATCCACCCACCTCGATCTTGAATCAGTCCAGAACACCACTTTCTCGTAATCCGGCAAGCAACTCCGGTTCCAGGAACCTCTTGACGTCCACATCTTCACTCAGCCCTTTTCTTCGTCTCGTCTTGAGCACGAAGTCTCTCGCCGCCTGCTGAGGCGCCGCCATCTCTAGCGGCCTTATGCGGATGCTCTTATCCAGTGGATCTCCGGGAACAACGTCCCAGCGGTCAAAGACCAGTGACACACTGGCTGCTCCTTGACTGTGGATCCGAAGATCCGTCTCAAATCCGAAACTGTCAATCACCGGGAGGAGGGCTTTGGCGGCGTAGAGAGGCGTCCCCGCAACAGGTCCATCAGAGACGACATGTCCACGCCTCTTCATTAGCACTGTGTAGAGGCCAGAAATCGAGTCCGCTGGACCGGTCATATGCACGCTGTAGATTGGTTCCATGAGTCGAGGGCTGGCCATGAGAAAGGAACTGTACACGGCCCGTCGTGCGGTCGGAATAATTTGTCCTCCTCCTCGGAAGATAGGCTCTGTCGCTAGCTCAGCACCTGTAACCCGGAATTTGGTGTTTCGGATCGGTTCTTCGCACAGAGGTCCTTCACGTGTACCCCACGAAAAGCCCTGTTTGATACTTTCTTGCACAGACTTGAGGAGCTTCTTATCCGTGGTAGAAGGCAAGGTATCGTCACATAGGATATTGGGCCCCATCTCATCTGGCCCAAATGCCCATATTGACCGAGCGGCCAATTTATCCCATTCGTATTTCTCTTCAAAGAACTTGGCGACTTTCCGAATTGGATCTCGAATTTTGACAATGCCGGCCTCGATGTCCTCGGCGATTCCATCATCCAGTGGTTCGGCGATCATGGTCAATTTGTTCTTCTTGTTAGGCGTCAACGCATAGCACATAATGGCGCTTGTTTCGGTCACAGTCTCACAGAATCGAGTGACGGGATCCGAGACCTTGATGTCCATCTCGGCATATAACGTCCGTAGATCATGTAACACACAATCCATGTATAGTTCACCTGTGCCTAGAACAACATGCTCTCCAGATTCTTCAACTTTGGTGATAATAAGGGGATATGACTTGTTGATCTTGCGCAAGCCTTCCAACATTTTGGGTAGTTCTGAGGGGTTAACAGGTTCCACTGCGACCTTGAAGACGGACTCCGTAAAATGGCGAATTGGTTTGAAGATATAGGCATCCTCATTATCCGGATATTTCTCGGAGACCACTGTAGCTGTCTTCACGATAGAATTGTCAATTCCGGATAGAAGCACAAGATTCCCAGCAGGTACACCGGAGACCGGAATGTTGTACCGCGAGCACGCGATATGTACGCCCTGTATTGTTGCGGTGGCCGAATCTTCCTCATCTTCGAGGCTGTATGCCTCTCCAAGAACTCGAACCACCTGATCCGGTGATGCCGTACCAGACATGATGCGACCAAATGCGTTGAAGGTTTTGGCGTCTGCGGAACTGAATAGCTTTGTGACCTCAACAACCAAAGGTCCGTCCGAGTCGCATTTTGACATCGATTCTCCGACCTTCGAGTCTAGAGAACCTGTGTAATAGTTGTCGAGCATCCTCCTCGCACCGTCAACCGGCGAAGGTATGTGAGTCACGACCATATCGATAAACCCACTCGCAGTCCCAAAAAATTGAGCGCACACCAGTCTAAGCAACACCTTTGCGTCGGTTTTGAGCTGTGAGGGTTTTAATGTGATACCCAGCGTCTGCAGAGTTGCCCCAAGGTCTTCAGGGCTCTCACTGATGGTGTGGGAGAACAGCTTGTAAATGGGCTCCAGCACAAAATTCACGAAAGCCCTCTTTGATCCCTCTTCCATCCCTTTTCGGGTGAACTTTCGACTTCGAGGGTTGAAAAAGATATCTCCCCACAACCTCCTGGAGAACTCGGTCGCGTCGACTTTTGGGTACGATTCGGCGTACATCTTTGCGAATGACGGCAGCGTAAACACCCAGTCCATAGACGTGCATGCAAAAGCCACGTTGCCCTTTTCAGGCGACAGCCGCCTCTTTTCGCCACGACCAGGAATGGTGTTCTCAATGACCGTGTTGACCTCTTCAACGACATGTTTTAGTTTGAAGTACGCGTCTGTTGGTGGTATCTTGAGCTCGAGGATTAGGCGATCCATTTTGTTTATGACCAATACCATGGGTATATCTTCCAAGACAGCGTGCTTGATGACTTGCTCCGTGTTGACCTGAACCCCTTCCACCACGTCCACGACGAGAACCACGCCATCGACCAGGCGCAAGCTCGATCCGACCTCGTCCACAAAGTTCACATGGCCAGGGGTGTCAATGATGTTGAGGATATGCGATTTCCCTTTCGTGCCTTGCATGACCAGACTGATCGGCGCAGCCTTGATCGAAATCCCTCGTTCTCGCTCTAGGAAATGTGTGTCGGTATATCTTAATTGTTCATCTCTCCTCCTGCCTACTCGTTTATCCAGCCTCTCCTCCAAGTCGTGTGTCTGTAAGACCAACATATCCACGAATGCTGTCTTGCCATGGTGCAGATGTCCCGCCACCGCAATATTTCTGATACCTTCGGGAAAACTGAGGAGATCGGTCATGAATTCTCTCGAGTAGTGGACCGGAGGAAGGTCGGCTTCCTGCACCTGGAACTTCTTCTGCGTGACGGGCGCAATTATCGGTTGTGTGAGCGGCTGTGCATCCTCCTCCTGCACCAGAGTCTCGACCTCTTCCCCGTATACTTGCTGCGCGGTGGGATAGTATTGTTTGTCTTCGTGTAATATCACCGCATTCGAGGGTCCTTCATCATCAACATCCATAGACTGATCTGCAGGAGCTTGCTCCTCGGGTTCTGACTCCTCGTCGTAGACATAATTTTGTTCCGCTGCACCATCCTGGGATGCCTCTTCGTCGGAGACGGCTTCGCCGATGAAGTTGCCAAACCTGCCGTTAACTGTCAACAAGATGTCCACGATCAAGAAGTATTGGCGTGTGACTTACTCGTCATAGAGGTCATCCATATTGATTGATGGGTTGCTGGAGCCAGATCGTTCGCGGCGCAAAATGAAGCAAATTCCTTGAACTGCGGAGTTGGAGTCGAACAAAATTTAAAATGTGGAGATGTCGCGATGAATGCGGGCTACAGCCTTGTCCGGCCTTGCCCAGTCTCGTTCAGTTCACCCTGACTATCTCCTTTCGCAACGGCTCGACGGTGAGGTTGGTGTTGGAATCTCACAACCTCTGGACTGGATCTGACTCTCTCCTAAATCCCGAGCGAACTGTGGGTGCAAAACACGCTTTTAGCTGCGAACCACATCCCAGCGCTACTTTCTTCACAATGTGAACTCCCCGAACCCGAGTATGTCCGATAGCATACATGGGGACGCTTTCTATTTTACATCAAGGATTCGAGAACCAATGCGCTCGCACCGCCACCACCGTTGCAAATGCCAACACACCCAATTTTGCCCTTCTTCGCCTTCAAGACACCTAGTAGTGTTGCGATAATTCTGGCACCCGAAGCACCCAGAGGGTGACCAATGGCCACAGCTCCTCCGTGGAGGTTGACCTTGTCTGCAGACAGACCGAGCAGCTTCATGTTGGCAAGTGCGACAACGGAGAAAGCCTCGTTGATCTCAAACGCGTCAACATCTTCCTGTTTGATGCCAGCATGCTTCAGAGCCTTCGGGATGGCAAGCGCGGGGGCGGTGGTGAACTTGCTGGGTTGTTTGGCAGCATCACCCCAACCCAAGATCTTGGCCAGAGGTTTGATCTTCAATTCCTGCAGCTTAGCTTCCGAGACAAGTACTACCGCTGCGGCGCCATCGTTCAAAGGCGAGGCATTGGGAGCAGTCACAGTACCGCCGTCAGGAATGAAGGCAGGCTTAATGGCGCGGAGCTTCTCGATGTGCAGATTCTTGGGCTCGTCGTCCTTATCAACCGTGACACCGGGCTTTCCTCGAGCACCAGGCAGCTGAATAGGAGCGATCTCGAAGTCGAAGAGCCCATCCTTTTGCGCGGCTTGTGCTCGCTGATATGACTGAATGGCATAGTCGTCTTGCTGTTCTCGGTTGAAGCCATGATCCCTTGCACATTCTTCGCCTTGCAGGCCCATATGCTCTTGTTTGCCATATGCATCTGAGATTCCGTCTCTTAAAACACCATCGACCAATGTCTGGTTCCCAAATTTGACACCCGTCCGCATGCTGGGGAGATAGTGGGGGCAATTCGACATGGACTCTGCGCCACCAGCCACGACGATGTCGGCGTTTCCGGTCATAATTGTCTGCGTGCCTAGGACGATGGCCTTGACTCCCGATGCGCAGACTTTGTTGACAGTTGTGCAGACAGTCGACTCCCCTAGGCCAGCACCAAGAGCGCATTGACGGGCGGGGTTCTGACCAACGCTGTCAAGCAGTTAGATCCGTCACACTGAGGAATGCAAGTGCGGAGACTTACTTTGCTGACAAGACATTTCCGAAGAAGACTTCTTCAACATCCTGAGGTTTGATCTCCGGAACTCTTTCAAGGGCAGCTATATTCGATCAGTATACGACTGGTGGCCGGGGAGCGGTGAGGGGAAGGATACCTTTGATGGCGTGGGAACCGAGTTGAGGTGCCGTCAGTGAGGATAACGAGCTAGTACATGTCAGTGACATTGGATATGGTCAAGACCGAGTACTTCATACCCAAGGAATGACCCGACGGGCGTTCGTGCAACTGCGACGACGTAAACAGCGGGGAGGGAGGGCTTGGGGTGCGGGACGCCGTTCGTAGCCATGGTGTGTTGGGAAGACAAACTTTTCAATACAAAGCAGCAAGTCCGAGTGAAGGGTATATGAGATTCGCTGTTCGCTCAATAGTAACCAGGAAGTTTGTACAGGGAAAGACACAGTCCTGGGAGGTAAAGTGTTTTGTTGATTGGGATCTTTGAATCCCCAAAATTTTGGTGTGGAGAAGATGCAGGGAACCAGCATATGGTGCCACCTCGGATGCGTTCACCGCGACTGTCCACTTGCTCCTCGGTGACCGTTTCAGCCCATGCCAACCTCATGCTTGTATCACACTCGACCTGGGGAAGCTGGTTTCTTTCAGTCGAGTCCAACTATAGGGGATGCTCTCGTTCAGACACGCTGTGTCGTTTTTGGCAATGAGGCCGAATGAGAATTCCATGTTAATTCATTTCAATTTGTCCTTCGAATGCTCCAGTAAGTGATATCTGCAACAAAGCATGGGGTTAGACAGGACCTAAGCACGTTGTGAGTTCCATGGAGTGAGAGGAGTGCGCTTCGTAGAGGCTGTAGTACCCTCCCTATACCCAGTGAATTCATTCTTTCACTCTTCAATGACATCTCGCAAAACAAGTCTCCCATCCGGGCTAAATCCAGGTCCAAATATTTTCCCATCTCACCCTTCATCCAACTACCTGTTCCACCAGCTCAATCTTCGTAGACTCGAAGATGTCGGCTGCAGAAAGCTCCTGAACCACTGACCGAATGCCCCTGCCCTGTGTCGATCGAACGCAGTAAGTGACAGATTTCTCAACCGTCTCACATTTTGCTAACATTTGACAGCGACGACAATGGATGTCCCAGAAACTGACACGATTAATGCCGTTCTGGCAATTCGTCTTGAGCTACAGGACCTTGCGACTTCCTTGCCGGCAATGCCCAGCCATGAAGAGATAGCTCAGACACGCGACCGCATCAGCGTCCTCCTGTTCCAACTCGAAGAACTTGCGACACTCGACGCCGCACAGTCAAACGTGAGATTGCAGCAGAGCATCTATCGAGCCATGCTCTCCGACTTCCCAGAGGTTGATAGGCTTCTCACTCAAGAAACGGACTCGATGGACGGAGATGAGAACCAACAACTTCACCAGCCAAGCAGCAACCCGAATATAAGAGTTGTGGGAAGGCACGGATACTACGAAGACCCTCGAATCCAGCCTGATGGGAGCACTAGCCTGGAATCATACATGCACGACCTCGAGGCTGATGAGATTCATCCGTCCAAAGAGTGCTATGCTTGCTTGGGAGATACCCCATATTCCCAGCTCATCACTCGTGAAGAATGCGAGCATGTCTGGTGCCGCCCATGTTTGTCGGAACGCTTTGGATTGGCCTTGAAGGACGAGAGCCAATATCCTGTCCGATGCTGCCGGAATGTTCCCTGCATCTCCCCTGCCAGCCCTGACATCGTGCGACTGCTTGGGAAGGAAACAATTGCCAAGCTGAACTTGAAGATGAAGGAATACGAAACAGCGGATCGAACGTACTGCCACGAGCCCACTTGCTCGGAATTCATTGACCCAGACACATACATCAACCGGATGGCCCCTTGCCCCTCCTGTCAACGAAACACCTGTGTTGCGTGCAAGGCTGCGTTCCATCCTCACTCTGAATGCAGGGATGCCCAGGATGAAGCCTTTGACACCTGGAAAAGGCTGAACGAAGCATCAACGTGTCCCAAATGTCATCGTGTGATTCTCATTTCGCACGGTTGCAACCATATGAAGTAGGGAGAATCCTTCTATCACGAGGCGGTATGGATACTGATTCAATTCACAGGTGCTATTGTGGAACGGAATTCTGCTATCAGTGTAACGCTCGCTGGAAGACTTGCCAATGCCCGCAATGGCGCGAAGATAGGCTTCTCGAGGCAGCGGGAGCGATTGCTGTACGTCAGAATCAGCCTAACGCAGTGCAGAGAATTGCAGAAACACTCCGGGACGAAAGAGAATGTCGTCACGATAATTGGACCAGGCATCGAGTCGAGTACCTTGATGATGATACTTGTTCGGACTGTGGCTGGAGAGCGGATCTGTTCCTGTGGGAATGTGATGTTTGCGATAAGACCGTTTGTGAGAGGTGTAGAAGAGACTACAGGCACTAAGCACGATGAGGTCTTCCAACCAGGTGCGGAACACAGGATCAAGTCTCAACAGGTGCGGACATGACGGATGTCGTCGACGCTGCACATCATGCTACGGTATCTCGGTGTAAAAAGGAAAACGATTGGCGAATTTGACCCAGAGTTTAGCTGACAACGCGCGGGAACTAGTGAAGGATTTTCTATTCCCGAAACATCTCTCATGGGGTCGGAGAACCTATGTAGATATCCCTTCCGCACTCCATTGCTGCTCCTGCACCCCATGAGCATTACCAATGACAACTGAAGGCATTTCGCCTGCTGATTGTCTCTCCACTTCACTCCTCCTGCATCCACGCCACGAAGTTTTTGGAACCAAGAGAGCAGGACCTCCGTTCACACATGATCATGGCCTGAAAGTCGGTAATGGGAAGGTAGACGCGAAGACTAGAGGCCCGCGAACGTGCTCAAGACGGGGTAGGTGTGCTTTTTATGATCCCTCAATTGAGGCTCAGTATTAGTGTCTGTACTTGATGAACAACAGCATGTGCGCGACTAGATACAGAAAAGAAAAAGGCCACAGTGACTCACTCGTGCTTAACATCCACCTTGGTGTTGGCGATATCTTGGAACCCTTTCTTGGGCGCACGAATCTTCAACAATCCAGCCTCCAGCGTGACGTTGATGTTCTCTACATCCGTGGGGAAATTGACGTATCGTCGAAAAGGGCCGATTCTCCTCTCTCCAATCAATAGATGGACTCCTCCGGTGTGAGGCTCTGGTTGTTCTTCTTCCACCTTTGTGTTCTCGGCATTTCCATAGTCTGGCCGCTCGACTTTGCCTGACAACAGCAGGGATCTGTTGCCTGTCCAGGTCACGGTGATGTCTTCGGGCTTTTTGACGCCTGGCACTTCGATCTCGATGAGGTATTCGTGGATGGCATCGCGAAAGTCCAGGTCCGGCTGGTTGGGATGGTCTTCTGGTCTGGGGTGACGCCGCGCAATGTATTGGAGGAGTGACTGGTGCTGATGGTGTCGCTCGTGAGGGTTGTCCACCAATGGAGGCGGGTAGTCATAGTAGTACGCGTAGGCCATTGCGTTGAGGATGTCTTTTCCTGAGACCGTGATGAATGGTATGTAAAATTGAGGTGTTGAGGTTGCTTCTTGGGTTGTCCTTAACTGGATTCCCTGTGTCGTGCAGCTGCTTGCCTATTTATCGACTGAATCTGAAGAAAAATTCGCGAAAAGGAAATCCTCTGACACGGGAGGACGCGCATATTTATTTACCCCTACCTGATTGAAGAGCTCGAGGCGGGGCAGAACCCTGGCGGCATTGTTCGAGCTCCTTTGCTCGGTCCTTCATGTGCCGATGGAAATGGTGCGAGACCTTGTGATCATTGGGCTCTCTCGTTGTCCTGTGTACTCGGAGCTATTCCCATAGGCGAGGTCCTCAACAAGGTCTGGGTCCTGAGGAGTTTGTCTTCTCTCCGGTCGCAGCCGGTGAAGGAAGCTCTAGTGAGGGGCCAAGCTCCGCGATCTGTGTTTTCGACGGGGAGCTATGCAAGCTGGAACTTGCCATTGGATGCTCATCTCATGACTGCAAGGGGAAAGTAGCTCACATCATCATGAGATAAAAAGTTGTGTTATACAACAGTGGAGTGATGTCCGGTTCCTGAGTGGTTGTCATTACGCAGCAAACGTGCGGTGACTATGTTCGTGTGCCCCATCCTCCCATCAGGGGAACAGCTCGCCATGTCGCGAAACCGGGACGGAATCCAGTAGAACGGTTTGAACTTTGTGACGGCCTCATGATCCTGGCCATCGGTATCTCAGCTGCGCATGCACAGTCATCAAAATGCGCGAATGCTGGGGAACCAGGAACCGGTATACCCCTTTGCCAGCTTGTTCGAATGACCGTCATTACAAAAATAGGCGCCTCAAATACTCCCTACATCCTCGGCATACAACTAGCTGTCCTTGTCCTTCAAAGCTATCCTGATGGTTTATTCCAACTTCTTCTCTGCTTCTCAGTGCCGCGTGCTCATCAGATTTGTTTCCATCATATGATCTAACATGATTCTCGAAGCCAAGCACGGCCTTGCTCTGCACGCACGGACAATGGTTCTTCCCTGCCTCAAACTTTCTCACTCTCAGGTCAGTTGCCTTAGCTGTCTCTTGGCTTGTTGCCTCTTGACCCGGTGATGGTTGCATACAAGTCCACTGAGGTGAGATGGCTGCGACGCGTGCACATCGGGGCAGTCGAATTCCCAACTTATGATCATTCGTATCCGACGTGGCTTTCTTCCGTGGAAGGTTCTCGTCGAATCCCTGGTGTCTGGGGCGCTGGATTAGGGGTGAATGCACCAGGTATGCCTACATGTCTGTAGATCAGGTAGGGGAAAGCCGAAGGAATATGTAAGGGCGCGGTGTGCCCACTTACCGCTCTTCCCCCAGCTTCTGAGATCCAAAATCCAGAAAAACTGCCAGTTCGTGCAACATCGGATTTCGAGTACGACAATCAAATCCTCAATATATCAACTTCAATACCTTTCCACAGCGATCAGAAATTCAATGATGTCGACACTTGAATGCCTGCTCCACCCTCACCACATTTCGCTGGTTGACACTCACTCTCTGCGTGCCAAGCTCAACCATAAGGGTGACGCATACTACAACGTGGACGGGTTGCCCTCACATCGCGGGGTGCTGGCACCAAAGTTTGACGTTTTCGAATTGGATGGGGGCGCCACAGGGTGGCTGCTGGCCGGCAACCTGCCGGGAATTGAGTCTGCCGATGAAATAAAGATCGAATGGCTGGATGGTAGCACCATCTTCCTTCGTGGAACACTGGCGACGTCGTCAATACCGACTTTTGGTGAGACTGTAAGCAGGATCATGAAAACGGTTCACAAAGAGAGACATGAAGGGCTCTTTGAGCGTTCCGTCACGTTGCCTGCAAAGGCCGACGCCAACGGGACCAAGGTAGAGGTGAAGAATGGAGTGGTCTTTGTTCAGATTCCAAAATTGGCTGAGGCAGAGACTGTGTAAATGGGCAGAATGCAGGAAGAATTAAGTGTGCTTGATGGATTGGGAGCGCCATGAGACGCCCAGGGCGGTCTCCGCTTTTATTTTGAATGTTGTTACTACTTCAAATTATTTATTTTTAATCTCTTTCACATCTCTCATCGCTTTGTTCCCATTGCCACCCGACCCGACACCCATAAGCACTTCTTAGTACGATTCCTTGTCATGATGACCCAGGCGAGGCTGACAACGGTGGCCAATGAGCGGATGCTCAGCTCACCGGAGGCGCTAGTCGTTAGCGTCACGGCACGTGACAGGGACAATTCTCCGAGAGGCCTTGCTAAATTTGGCCTTTGGGGGCTTGGGCCTCTGTCGAACGTCCCGTCCAGCAATTCACGCTATTCACATTTCATCGTTCGATGTATGAACCTGATCTGCTCTGACAAGCCACCATTTCTCGACGGCACACTGGTCCAACTGTCAGGCTCTTCCATCAACTTCATACTATTCTTTCGCGCATATTGTGCGGCTGGACCGTCTCACAACTTCTCGAAACTTTCCCGCAACGCGTCGTCTCCTCGATTCCACTCCTTGTCCGACCTCCGTCTCCTCCTTGTCCCTCGCGCTCTGTCAGAGCCTCCTCCACCCTTTGCTACGGGTTCTTTGAGTGGGATTATTTCGAGTGTCGTCCGCGAAGAACCATCCACTTGTCACGCTCGTCATCGTCTCGATTTTAACCACGTCCAGGGTGGGCATTGACTGCGACAACTTTATCGGAAACGGCACCAACCACGAAGATTCTCAAGGTTTCGCTTGTCCCTCGTTTATTCCCCGAGTGTTCTGCTGCATGGACTTGTTACAGTCTCGGGTAAGAGACGCGCACAATACTGTCACACGACAACAGCCTGTTACTTTTCTCGGGTGTGGTTGAATTGTTTCCGCAATAATACGGTGTTGAAGAGGCTCTGGGTGTCGAATGTTTACCGGGCTAATTGCCACATATTCATGCAACGCCTTCTGGGTGCAAACCAAGAATGGCTGCTCCTCTTGACGAACTGCACCAGGGCAATTCTGGCACATTAAGATACACCATTGGTGCTCCTCGCAACCAGAATGATATCCCTCCGCAGAACTCCAATGGTCAGTACGCGTACACTCCACCACACCAGACAAACGGCAATGCAAACGACGCTCCCTACGACAGCGATGCCAGATATTCCTCCGACAGCAGAACTGGAAGAAAGAGATCCGTGGGTGGGCAAGGAGAACGGAGCAGATCAAGAACAAATGGCAGCACAGGAAAGTCATCTAATTCTGCTGCCCGACAGTGCAGAAAGTGCGGCGAGCCTCTGACTGGTCAATTCGTCCGTGCGCTTGGTGGGACATTTCACCTTGATTGCTTCAAGTGCGCCGACTGCGGCCAAATTGTAGCCTCCAAGTTCTTCCCTGTGGATGCCGAGGATGGTTCTGGACAATTCCCCCTTTGTGAAACAGATTATTTTCGGCGTTTGGATCTGCTATGCTACGAATGCGGCGGTGCACTTCGTGGCTCGTACATCACAGCCCTTGACCGCAAGTATCACATCGAACACTTCACATGTTCCGTGTGCCCGACTGTTTTTGGCGCTCAGGACAGCTATTACGAGCATGACGGGAGAGTCTACTGTCATTACCACTACTCTACACAGTTTGCACAACGTTGCAATGGTTGTCAGACTGCTATTCTAAAACAATTCGTTGAGATCTTCCGGAATGGACAGAATCAGCATTGGCATCCTGAATGCTATATGATTCATAAATTCTGGAACGTCCGACTTGCACAATCGGAGACTCAGGTGGAGAAGAAAGACATTCATGCTGCTGTCACCGAGGATGAGCGGGAAACTGTCAAAGAAGACGAAGAAAAGATGGAAGACAAAGTCTATCGGATCTGGAGCACCCTCTCTACCTTTGAAGAATCCTCCGCTTCCTGCATTTCAGACATGCTTCTACACGTCAGCAATGGCGTCTACGTCGATGGAGTCATTGTTGCCCGAAAATTCATTTGGCATGTTGATATCCTCTTCGGTGCTATCGACACCCTCGCAGCTTTGGTCATCAAGGCTCAACTCAAAGAACTCGCCTACGGTCGAGAAGCGAAATTACTCTGCAAAAAGGTCGTGGCGTTCTTCACACTTCTCTCAAAAACTCAGGAGACCGGGGTACGAAAACTCGGTGTCACTCAGGAGCTCTTGTCTCTGGTCACTGGTCTTGCCCATTACCTCAAGTTACTCATTCGCATTGGTCTCCAAGGAGCACTGAAGCTTGAACGTGAGAAAGGATCACCTGAAGGCCTCCATGCCTTTTTGGACGAGCTTGCCGACCTGGAAACAATCAAGGAACAGGAGATGAAATCACTAGATTTGCAAGAAAGTGTGGCAGGTCTTGCCAGTCAAGAATCAGATTGCTGCTCTGCATGCATGGATCCCATCGATGACGAGTGTGTCATGATTTACGGTCGAAGGTGGCACGCAAAGCCCCGTCACCTCACTTGTAGCGTCTGCCAGCGAGATTTGACTAGCGACCTGGCCAATGCGATGTACAACGAAAGAGAAGAAAAGGTCTACTGCATTGACCATGCAAGACGGACACCGGACACAGTCTCAGGCTTTGCCCATGTCACGAAATTACAGCAATACGTATTCTTACTCCAGGTTGCGTTGGCACGCTTGCTTGAGGTGTTGAAGTCTGGCGGTACCCTTCCACATACCTCCGATGATCCAAACCTGACACCATACGATACGAACGAAGGGCATCATGTATCACCTTCCGGGGAACCAGTCACACCTCATCAGAAGATGGGATCACGATCGAGGTCTTACGCAGGTACATCGAGCCAACAAGAATCTTCACTGGAACAGACTGTAGGTGAAATGAAACGTCTTCGGTCTACTCGAAACGAACGCACTCTTTCCACAACATTCCGGAAAGCTCGAGAGTCCAAAATTCTCTACGGCCCGAGTGGTGTACCAGCAGGCTCTCCAGGAGGTGATGGTCAGGATAACCGGAATCCGGGCGGCTTTCAGATCGTTCAAGAGAAAGATCTTGATGGTCGTATGAAAAACGAACTTACCTTTGGCGGCCAAGAAGGCCTTACCCTGGATGACATTCCGAGGATTGTTGCCGCTGAGCAAGCAAAGGAACAACGGCCGAACGCTTTCCGTCATGCAGGCACCAACCTGATTGGTTATCGAGGTAATGAACCACGACTTGTCAATGGGCATCAGCGAGGCTCATCTAGTGGTGGTGCTGATCTCCTGTCCGGCGAAAGTCCTCTCAGAACCAAACGATATTTTTCGGAACTGTCCGCATTGGAGTACTTTATTGTCCGACATGTGGCAGTCCTCTCGATGCAGCCCCTTTTAGAGGGGGAATACACCCTTGAAGATTTACTAGGTCTGATCGAACAGCGAAAGCAGACGTTTTGGGGCAAAGTCAGTCGTGCACTCCGCGGTGACGCCGGCGTGAAGAAGAAAGGAATCTTTGGTGTGCCATTGGAGACACTAGTTGAACGCGAGGGAGCAGAATCAACCAACGGGGTCGGACCTGGCGCCCTCAGAGTTCCAGCTATTGTTGACGACTGTGTGTCTGCAATGAAACAGATGGACATGTCAGTTGAAGGTGTGTTCAGAAAGAATGGCAATATCAAACGCCTTAAAGAGACAGCGGAAGCGATCGATGCAAATCAGACGCCCGACCTCAACCGAGAAAACCCAGTGCAGGTGGCGGCATTGCTCAAGAAGTTTCTGAGAGAGATGCCCGAGCCACTGCTGACATACAAATTACAGAAGCTATTCATCATCTCTCAAAAGATTGTGGACGATGAACGTCGAAGGAGGGTTCTGCATCTCACATGCTGCCTGATGCCAAAGAGCCATCGCGATACCATGGAAGTCTTATTCTCATTCCTAAAATGGGCAGCCTCCTTTTCTCAGGTTGACGAAGAGTCTGGCAGCAAGATGGACATCCACAACTTGGCTACCGTTATGGCGCCGAACATCTTGTATGCGAAAGAGAAGGCACCAGGCGCGAGACTGCCTCAAGTTCCTCAGGTCGATGACAGCTTCCTCGCTATTGAGGCGGTCAATACCTTGATCGAATACAATGATCTGTTCTGTCAGGTATGAAGTCAACAACTCATATACTGTCGTGTGGCAAGCTAACTTCGTCTATAGGTCCCGGAAGATCTACAGTCCATCCTGACTGATACGAATCTCCATGGCAGTTCCGCGGAACTGACAACCAAGGAGATATTATCTCGATATGGTCATATTGCTAAGGGCCAGGTGCAAAAACAGACTGTTGCGGCAGCAGATGCACCCGTACGCAGCCCCGCCTCGGCTTCGAACTCTCTTGGACCCGTCGCCACAAGGGTGGATGTCGACCCATATCAGGCTACTGCGTGGCAGAAGCAGAGTTCGGTTAGACCTGTACAAAACATGACCTCAACACCGTCGACATCAGCGAACGAGTTCAACTTCGGCGTCCCACACAGCCCGTATGCTCGAGACCGTGCAGGAAGTGCTGATAGTGGAGGAAGTCATGGTGCTGTGCCGGGCGGACGACAGAGCTACCAGCCGAGACCCGGGCAAATGGGCGTAGCAGGTTGAAGAACCATGTTCAAATTCAGATTCAACACAAACAAGTTATTTGCATTCTCGAGGCGGCGTCCTCATTTACCGGCTTCTGGCGCACGGTTGTCTGTCGGTTTGCCACAAGTCAGAGGGGACGAGTTCGATCAGAAGACTGAAACGGTCAAACCCAAACAATTGCACGACCTTAATGACACGAAAACACTTTCCTTTGTTCGGTGCTACTCAAAGGAGACACAATGGACGGCCTTCCATGCATGACGCCACAATTGCAGAGCTTTCGTGGACTTTACTTTCTTGTGCTCCTTGACAACACCTTCGACGAATTGAGCCTTTCAGCCTGGCTGGCGGTGCAGCCGAGTGCTTTCCGGCTTCGCTGGACTCAGTTCATTTCAATTCTTCACAGCAAGCGGCGCTTCCATTTACACAACACTGTTTTTCGAGCTTGTGGGCTTTTCTCTTTTAGAGCTGTGGGGTTTGTTTTCTTCACCACTCCTCGACTATGTCTGGAGATGTGCACTGTTCGATGAGAATTGATCAAATACAGTTTCTTTCTAAGGCTTTGCAGCATACGAACTGGGCACGTTCGCCGGAAGGACATTCTCGAGAGATTGAGTTAGGGCTATGGTTGAGCATCATTGGTGGGTCCTGGTCTGGGAAGACCAGTGTTGGATACGGAAGTCGGTTCTTGAAGAGGGCCGTCTCCTGTAATTGATATGGGCCACGAAGGCGAGCCATTCCGATCATGAATAGGAGGATTGGGGGAGAAGGATGTGGAGATGTAAGATTTGGCATCCACACTATGCTCTGCAAGTGCTGAAGTTGGGCATGTCTCGGGCACTGTCGACTTGGGAAACAGAGGATGAATGACGCGAGCACAACAAGATCCCATCGCCGACTGTCTCATTGGCAGCATGTCAAAATGTCCTTGCATTGCGATTCGACAATGCCAGCTCTTCTTGCACCGAAGGAAAAAAGATGGGGAGGATGCTGAATTGGGAGAGAACGAAGTCCGACTAGGCAGTGTTCGGTTGGAGATATCGACAAAGGCAGCTTGGTTCGCTTGTACAATGACTTCCACATGTCAGATGTCACGATCCAGGCTTTTAGTGTTTCGTTGAGAATGAAACACGGGTGGTTTAACTGTAGTCTACTGTCTATCCTAACATGCTCATTGCCCGTTGAAATTTTTGCCCCTGTTCTCCACATCCTACTTTCTCCTTTGCAGGACAGCGTCCATAACGCTTCCCAGCCTCTCCACTGCCTCTTCTGTGATCTGGTAATGTACAACTAGTCGTCCACCACTGGCTTTTAGACCCTCTTTGCTTGCCAGCTCCGCGAATTCTTTCGCCGAACAGCCTTCATTTGCAAGATCCAGCCAGACCATATTGGTTTCCGTCGGGTTGGCCAATTTTCCACCCTTGGCCGTCCACATCTCTGCAACCTTCCTCGCTCGGACGTGGCTGGCACGCAACTTGCCGCCCTCGCCGTTGGGACCGTGCCCGAAATTTTCCTGCACGGCGACGCGGGCGGCGGCCGAAATCACGCCCGCCTGGCGCGTGCCGCCACCAAGCATCTTGCGAATTCTTCGCGCGCGTGCGATGAAGGACTTGCTGCCGACGATGATGGAACCGATGGGTGCGCCGAGTCCTTTGGAGAAACACATGCTCACACTGTCGAACTCGCGTGTGAAGTCGGGGAGACTGCCGGCGTCGGCGGCGACAGCTTCCCAAATCCGCGCGCCGTCCAAGTGGAGTCTGATATTATGGGAGCGAGCAAACTGGGCAATTCGGCGGATCTCGGACAGGGGCATGATCATGCCATCGAGGGTGTTTTCTAAGCTGATGACTCGAGTGGGACAGGCGTGGACATCGTCTGAGATGATGCAGTGTTTCTGGACGTCTTCGAGGGTCAAGTGATGACCATTGCTGGGGATGACAGAAAGGAGCATGGCGCTTGAGAGGCAGCTGACACCGCCGGCCTCGTAATTGTGGATGTGTCCCCTGATGTCACACAGGACGGAGTGAGGTGGTGCGACCAGGTGGGTGCGGAGAGCGACCTGGTTGCCCATAGTTCCAGACATCACAAGCAGTCCGGCCTCATGGCCTGCTAGCGAGGCGACAGAGGACTCTAGATCATTGGTCGTGGGGTCCTCGAGCATCACATCGTCCAGCAGCGTGGTGTTTGCGATGGCCTCGAGCATAGCTGCTGTGGGCGTGGTCATCACATCGCTGCGGAAATCAAAGGCAGCCGGCCCAGGCTGTTGCCAGGCATTGACCTTCTTGTGTGAGGCTGCATTGCTGTTCGCAGCCGCGATGGCAGAGTCCTGTTTGATGTCAGCGAAGGAATCCGGCTTGTCATCAACGGTATGCGAGGAAGCCATCTTGTAATTTGAGGGATCGAAGTCTCTAGGCGAAGAAAATCTGCGTCGTCCAGATAGCGTATGCACACCGTACGCTGCCCGAGCTGATATGCAAACTTTGGCTGTGGACCTCAATCCTTGTCTAGTTGGTGCTGCAAGCATGGCAAACCATGTGCAGTGATGGGAAAGAGATATATACACGTGCATATATACGAAGAAGAATCTTGTTCCGACATCGCTAGACGACACCCGTGTGGAAAGGCGTCGGGTGGAGGTGCGAAGCAGCGATAAGATCCAATGGCAGCCAGGATTTTAGGGGTGTTTGGCCTTCTCCTGGACCGGGTTTTAAGGGCTCTTAGACTCACCTTCCTAATTAGTCGTGGCGGGCTCGGCAGCAACCTTTTAGTGGCTGGTGGCCCTTGTGTTAACTTGTCGTAGGCAGTTCTAACCACCAAGACGCGTAAAGCCCTCCACGCGTCTCTTTCGCACTGAACAATCCCACCATCCTTGTCCTGTTCGGGTGCATTTCGTACACATCCTAGAAGTCGCAGTCAAATGTCCCCAGACAGCATTGGAAACCGGCAACGATACTCGACATGACCCCTTCTGCCCGCCGCATGTCGCATTCAGCGTCACCCCACGTGAACCTTCACTGTCTTCAATGCGACAGTCAAATCGGCATCTTCGCCAACGAATGGATCCGCCTCACCAGTTCGTTCGTTCATCCTGCTCACCCTGGCACTCACTTCGGGACCGAGATCGCGACCAACAAAACACAAGTCGTCCCTGAAGGCGTCGTTCAACAGGCCCTCGAGGGATGCACGCTTGCCGAAGTGTTCTGCACAAAATGCTCGGCGGCAGTAGGCCACTATTGCAAGGCCATTCCTACAGCCGCCCAGAGAAATATGTTGTATGAAAGGCCCGAATGTGCCAGAAGACAGATAAGTAAGAGACTGACGGGATGCTAGAAACCAATATCTATACAAACTGTCGAGGACATACTTGAAGAGTAGCGAGACTAATATGCAGGTTGATCCTGTGTTTGGCTACGGCGGGGACATTGTCAGACCAACTGCAAGTTCGCATGCCACCTCTGGAGTGAACCTCACCGCCCCTGCGCGCTACTCTGATACCCCCTTCACGAGAGAAGCGACGCCACCGCATCTCCAGACCATGAATAAATCTCAAAGGCGATCTTCCGCACGCATGTCGCTGCAAAACAACCAGAGAACTCCTTCAGTGCGAGCGGCAGCAAACATCGAACCCCAAGACTCAACAGGACCTAGACACGCTATACAGGATACGATGCAGGATACGCACTTGGGATTTCAGGATGGGCGAATAGCAGACCAAGCGGCCAAGACACTGGAGCACGATGCCCAGATCCGAGCCATCTCCTCGGTTTTGGAGACGTTTCGCGAAACCCTAGTCGAGATCAAAACGTCCATCGAAGAGTTGAAGTCTCAAATCTCCCCCGCTGGCCCCGATAAGCCTACGCAAATCGACTTCCTGGGCGACATCCAGACAATGATCACGACTTTCAAGTTGGCTCAGGCGAATGCGCAAGAGCTAGAAGAACTTCGCGCCGAAAACGCCGCACTTAGAGCCAAGTGGAATATCGTGCAATCGGCCATGATCACTGCCACTGGACAAACAACCCCGGGCTCATCAGTCGAAGAACCCCATAGGAACAGCTTGGGCAAACGCAAGCGCGATAGCGACGGCCCAAGATCAAGCGTGATGATGCCACCAGCTACAGTACCCCAAAATCGGTCTCATTACTTAGAGAACGTTTCGTCGTCTACGCAGATGCTCACTCCGCAGTCTAGCAACCACTCGGACATGCAATCTGCCGATGACTCCACTAGCTCCAGAATATCGACGCCAGAGCAACTTCTAGGCAGATCGAACAGCCACGATGTCCCTGGCTGCAATGGTCCATACGCGACTGAAGACACCATTCCCCCCAAAAAGGCATGCTTGCGGAGAAGCCTTAGGATTCGTCTGCCATCAAATCATGACCGGCATACAGAGAATACAGGCTCAGTTGCGTGCCCTGTGCCAGCTGGAGCCTTCGACGCCGATACTCAAGCAACTGGCATTGTCTTGGACGGACATGAAACTCAACAGCAACCCACTCCAAGGCTTGTTGAGAGCTCGTTGGCCTCGTCGGGGCAAGACGATTGCTCTCAAGGACCTAACCTTATTGTGCCTGCAACCGGCTCCGAGAACGACAAAGCCCAGCAACAAGGGGATAGGGAAACTACCGGCCCAGAAGATGGTGGGCGACTGTTTGACAGCAGTGAGGGGCCGCCAATGGACGTTAATCCTCTAGACACCTCGGAAGTCGAGTCGTCGATCAGGAAAACCATTGAATTCGGAGATGACAATCAGGGACGTTCACCCACCTCTCTGGACACTCCTGGAGACGATACAACGGGCCTGGGCACGGAAGAAAATACTGAAGCATCCGCGGTGGATCACGGCACTGCACAATCTGTACCTGCCAGGCGAACACGTAGCAAAAAGAAGGTGGAATCAACGCGAGACAAGTTCGATAGCATCATGGACAGCCGGAGGAGCGTTGCTCCTGAGCCAGCGGCACTACGCCGTACCATTCCCCGCCGACGTCGTGCGAACCAGCGGGGACGGTTTGAACACGCGACACCGGAATCGATAGAGCAAGGGTTAAGGGAGCTGGAGACCTCCAAAGGACCTCGACAATCCAAGCCTCACATTCAAACAACCACCAGGATCCTCAACGAAGAGCTGAGGGAACTCGGTCTGGAGGATTGGATCGAGCGAGATAAGGATGATCCTGAGTACAAAAGGGTCGTGGAAGAGGCCAGGGAACGCAAACGAGAACAGATGAGATTGGCTGCATTAGCGAGCCGCGGAATCAGTCTTCCAGGTCCCTCTACAGAGGGTGACCAACCAGAGCAAATCCCCACTCTAGAGGATGCCTTTCACCAGGCCGCCGACGCTCTGGGCGACGTTAGCAACGATGAAAATGGTGGAAACCCGATAAAACCCTCAAGCGTCTCAGAGGTGGCAGCTAGACGGGCGAAGGCGTTCGGACCGCGCAGGAAGAACCGTGAACAACGAGAGGAGGAGATCCGCCAAAGGGACATGCTAGCCAAAGAAGCAATGGATATGAATGATTAGAGCTCAACGCCACGAGACGCTGGGTTTTCGATGAGGAACATAGTGGTCGACGCGGTCAGGACACGCGTTTCAATGACGCAAAACGCACCTCATGGAATATGCGGATGCACTGGTTGGGCACGGTCAAAGCCACCTGAGGGCAGATCGATGGATAGATGCATCATCTTTGTAGTTGGACCAAGGCTTGAGTATTCTCGTCTCACGGATATGGCGCGTGACGTCCCGCCTTTGTTGCTTTAGGGGTCGCGATCCTACGAGTCGAAAGTGCTCAAACTCGAACTCGCAGATAGCTAAGTAAGCGAATGCCTCCGGCGTCCTGCTAATAGGTATCCATTGGCTCTGGTGCTTCCCGGCTCGTTAGGCTTCGAGACACGCTACTCTAGTCAGGAACGGGGAGCCGGGAAACAGGCGGACGAAGCCCACACCACGTCGCCTGGCCGCCTGGAGTTTGGGGTCCAACGCCAGGCTCGATCGCGAGGAGCTGCAGGGGTCCATCCTGCGCCTGCGTTGGCGGGGAAATTTCTTCGAGAGTCGCAGGTGAACTCGACTTTCATTTATTCCCTCTCTCCCTCGCACCCTTCCCTTGCTCTCTTCCCTCGTGTTTCTGTTCGGCCGTTCTGATAGCGTTGCTCTTCTTTGCATGCGTAGGATTTCAGTCCTCTGCTCAGACGTTTCTGCTTTTCCTACCCAGTCGTGGAGAACGATTTGTAAGGAATAACCACCAATTTTCGATACCACTACATGGCACCTGCTAAGACTCTCCGACAGGGATCTAACTTCAGACGTCGTCTCTTCGCGCATTTATCCTCGGTGGGTTTCCTGTTCTCCTTCACTCGAGGCTGCGGATGGTTTTGTATGGTTGCCTGGCGACGCCCCCAGAAAGAGTTGGTAATATCATATGATGTTTGCTGCCAGTTGGGGGCTACTCGCAGCATGAATGCCGGCCTTTGAAACCGCCCATGGGAGGACTATACTGCTTTTCAGGCTCGGCCAGCTGAACTGCTGCCGTTGCACTTGGCCCCAACGCTATCCTCGTCGCTCGGGGAATTTGCCACCGATACTAGCGGGCAACATGGACATTAATGGCTTACGATTACGTTAGGCCCATTGACCCTCTGCTGGACACAGGTCTATTGTCAAGGTATGTGCAGTGAAATCTATATCTTCTTCCAGTTGCAGGTCAATGTGTATCGATGTCTGAGACGTGGCTGTGGTTTCAGTCGCAGAGCCATTCCAAGCTGGCATTGGTCTATGTCTTTCCTTTCTCTGCCCATCTTTCCTTTCGTACTTCCACAAAAGGGGCACTTTTAACAACGGTCTAGAAAAATATCTAAGCCTGGAAGGCATGCCATTTTCTCGTTGGCTCAATCAGTTCGAACCCGCATAGTCTTCAGCGAAACATGTAACCAGGAGGGTAAAATCAACCATTTCTCTCTGGTTAGCGTTCAACCTGACTATGAAACTCCAGTTTACTAACAATATCCAATAGGCCCGCCTGGCTGCGAAGGAATACGCCGCTTGACGTCAAACTTCTTTGTTTACTCTCAATTGGTCCCCTTGAATCGTGTGGAAAGTCCAGCCCGCGGTGAAATACCTTCAACACTGTCATTATGGTCTCTCAACCCACCCAGACTGCAACGCAACCGATTGAAGATCCCCGCCATCTCAGGAGAAATGTCTCCAATATCTCGAACGAGGATGCTGTAGACGTGATATGTTTACTGAGTCCAACTTCCCCAGCTGCCTTTGAGGCAGTAAAAGCGAACCTGTTGGTTTCGCCCATGCACATCTTGCAGAATGCCGACCTTGAGGATATCAGTCAAGACGACCTGCTTTTCCGCGAAGAGTACAATCAGCCGCGAGATATAGCGCTGCGGATGTCCTCTCCTGTCACGAATCCGAAGGATGGTTTTCGATTTGGTCGTACTCGGAGTCAATGTGACGTGCTGCTCACCGCATACGACCATGACACTTTGGTGAGCAAGGTACATTTCAAGATCTTTGTGAACAATCAAGGGAGCCTCATGTTGGAAGACTTGTCTACCAACGGAACCGTTGTTGACGATGTCCACCTCCGAACGAGAGCTCGCCGAGACCATCCTGCCTTGAAACCGGCTACTATAGTCCTCAGGCATGGCTCTATCATTTCCCTCTACGGTGGTGGCAAAAAGCAAGAGGTCAAGATGATGGTACGCATACCGAGCCGTGGTGATTTTGAAGATGAATATGAAGACAATCTACGAAAGTATCTGGCGGCAAGAGGCGACGTGGCTCAATTCGCTTCCATGCGGGAGAGCACATATGGTAATTACTGGAACGGAGGCTCCTTATACAACTTTACGGGCCTGCTTGGGAAAGGTGCATTTGCAACAGTCTACAAGGTCCAGACGAAGGAAGAAGGCGACATCTACGCTGCGAAGGAGCTTGACAAGCGGCGTTTTATCAAAAACGGTGTCCTCGACATGAAGTTTGACAGCGAACTCAACATTATGAAAAACCTCAAGCACCCTAATATAGTCAACTACGTCGACTGTCACACTTATCAACACTGGATTTATATCCTGATGGAGTACGTCCCTTACGGCGAGCTCGCCAAAGAACTGGGCAGACGCTCGGCTATTCCCGAGTCCGACGTTCAACAGATTGCAAAACAAATATTGCACGCTCTCTATTATCTCCATCGACGAAATATCACCCATCGTGACATCAAGCCGGACAATATCCTCATAGCATCACGAAATCCTCTGGTCGTTAAGTTGTCCGACTTTGGCTTGTCAAAATGTGTGACCGACCAGGAGACCTTCCTCAAAACGTTCTGTGGGACGCTTCTTTATTGTGCGCCTGAGGTCTATCCCGACTACGCAAACTATGCTCAAGGGTCAGCCCCGAAGAGGCGTCGGTTAGGGGACCCCGCGACAAAACCACCGCCCTCGCCCTACGATCAGTCCGTCGATATGTGGTCCTTTGGCGCCGTCATCTTCCATCTCCTTTGTGGCAAGCCTCCGGTTACCGGACGGGGTGACGATCGTGGCGCACAAATGCTGAATAATATCATGACCAAGGATGTCAACTTTGACACGCTGAGACAGGCAGGAGTATCAGAGGCGGCCATTGATTTCGTCGGGAAACTTCTGAACCGCAACCCTACTCTACGACCAAAAGAGCCAGAGTGCTTGCGGCATCCGTGGCTACGTGATTTACCTGATCATTGCAACTATGATGACATCGAGGAGCCGGTTGAAAACCCACCAAATTACCTTGATGTCGTTGATGAAGTTGACGAAGATATCATCGACGGAGAGTTGATTGCTACATTGAACCAACTGACGCAACCACCCTCCTCAGAACGTACTCCAGATCGCCCTACGAAGCGCGCTCGCACTACGACGGATATATCACCCACAGCACGAAACATCTCATATCCTCACCTCCCAGAACCTGGTGAGAGTTTCCTGCCAATACCTGTCGCTCCAGAACCACCTGCAGAGCGTCTCTTTGGAGAGATTTCCGCGTCGGTACTCCGTAGTTCAGGCGTATTTGGCGACGAGCTCAGCCCGCCTATCCCGTTGGGAGTACAAGATATTCGGAACCGTGTGGAACAAATCAGCGTGAATGATTTTGGAGATCGCAATCCTTCGAGTACCGCAGAAAACGCCGACAATTCTGGCCAACCACTTCAGTATCCTCAAGTACTGGGCGTGCCAGACATTTCAGGTGGTTCGGCTGCAAGCCTTATGGGGGCTGAACATCAAATAGGGCAGCTCAATATGGGTTCGCCCGAAGCAGAGAACTCGGACGCCGCGACCCCAGAAACAATTAATCCCGTGACTCCTGAGACACGTCAACTATCACCATCGGCTTCGGTGACTCCTCATGCAGATAATGAAACCGCCGATGCCGCTCAAATGGTCGAAGAGCCTGTCTGTACTCGTCGTATCGATCTTGGCCTCGTGGAGGACCCCGTTAACTTCGAGGCGGAAATCGAGGCAAGAAATGCATCAAGGGCTAGCAGGCTACGAGCAAAAGCGGAGACTTTTCATGGACATCTCACTTCCAGAAACTCCCCTCCAGCAGCTGAACTTGCCGTCACAATTGATGCGAAGACTGGTCTTGAGATCAAAAGTATGGGGCAGCTGGAACGTTTCCCTCGTCCCGCGCCAGAGCCGGAAACTACTACCAGGACGAGTTCTCAGACCATGCAATTCATTAAACCCCCTCGACGATATGGCAAGTTCACCAGCCTACCAGGATCCTTTGCGAACGTTGTCATCAATCTCGAAGCCAGATTCACTGTGTGGGGACGGGGCATTGATTGCACCGTCCATTATCCTGACACCAAAGACACGCGAATTCCCAAATACGCTCTCAAAGTCACATTCTGGGCACCTGGTATGGAGGCTCACGTCGACCGCGGAAACGACTGGACTGCTCTTCCTGGGATAAGAACCCTGATCGCTACCTCTGCAAGCGGTTGCGTCTCCGTCAACGATGTCGAGCTGCGGAAGGAGTCGCCCTCTGGAGATGCAGCCTTGTTCGGCAAGCTATATACAGGGGACATCATTACCATTTTCGACAATGGGAAGGGCGAGTTTTTGAAGTTCAAGGTGGAAATTACATTTGGCGACAGCGCAAGACCGCGGCCTGCTGATGAAAGCGGGTTCATCGTTCAAGAGGAGCGACACCATCACCAACGGATGAAGGAGCGCGAGAGCATGAGACTCAGTATGAGAGACAATGCTGGCGAGGTGCCCATCGCGCCGACCGTGCGTGTTGAGCCAGTTGGTGAATGATAATATGCCCGTTGGATGTCGGGTGGCTTGGAAATGAATGTCATGATAGTGCTGTGCTTGTCAAGCACCTCGAATACATTGAGTTTCACAAAATCAAAACACCGACTCGCACAGCACCCACCGTGGCAAGTTGCATGTAACCAGGGTTCTCCAGGCCAGGCACCGTGCAACCTTTGCTCCGGCCCTGCTTCAACAACTGATTGATATCTGTCACTGATCTGCCGTCCCGTCACGATTGATTTGACTTTTGATCAATGCAGGCCAGCTAGGCACATATCAGGTTGTGATAAGCAGGGGATGGGTTGGCTTCATAGCTACAATAGGGTCCACTTGGGACAAGGGTCTGCGGTCACTAGGCATGGAGGCACGCCATCATCACGCCCAGGGTGGGCCCTGTAACCACAGTGGATAGCGCCAGATGGTAGTGAGAAAGGAGTAATCCATCTTCGTATGCAGATTCCCACCAATATCTGAAGCCAACAATAGGTCGATCGCAGAACAGCGGACGGCCGGAGATCCAACAGCGGAGCCCAACTACACCAATGTCTCAAGAGGTTCCACCGACTTTTGTGCCTGTCCCTGAATATTTCATGCGTGTAAAAAGGAGCGACTCGACCGCAGAGGCGGTGACTCGGTCACTTTGTTGCGTGGGATGAAGGGGGAGGAGGTTTGTTATTGTCGCAGTCAATCATAGCGGGTGCATCCTGAAGAAAAGACACCTGTCATTTTCTGACCTGTGCTGAGATGCCCATCCGGGCGAGGGTGTCGTCTCTGTGGAGGACCACCATGTGTCTCAAGTACTGCAGGTAATGCGACGTTCTCGGCCACCACATGCCTCCATACTCACCACTTGTCCCCATGGAGTAATAGCTGGGCGGGTACTGGCGAGCCTGACGACCGGATAAATACTACTACGGTACGGGAGTCGACAATAAGGTCGTCGAGCAGACCAGGACACGGGAAGGTGCTTGGCAGCTAGTAATTAGTACTGCGGGCGCAGGCGCGCAGCGTGGGTTGTCGGGTTTTCCAGTTGGGGTTTTGTAACCTGCTAAATAATCACAGATTCGAATTCCAGAAAATAAATAACCCCTCCCTTAAAGTCCGGGCTGCCTTCTGTTGAGTCAATGAGAACCATCTGATACAGTACATGTGGCTGCTGATGCATTCGCAATCACTTTCATCCTGGTCTTGCTGCGGGTGTGTGGACGGTCCTGCACCTTCAGTCAGATGAGCTGAATCAACATCTGGCGCCTCTATTGTCAACTTTGTACCCTCACCCACCCTTTCTGCCACCACCTCCAGTAGCAAGACAATCCGCTCCGCAGTACTCACCACTGCCAGTCGCTGTGCCCTCTGATGCGCACCCAACCGTCCCCGTCCTGTGACTCCTCCTTTCCACCAGCCGACTCCGATGTCCCATTCTCGATCGGTCTCACCACTGCCCAACGGAGGATGGAACGCACCGGGGTTGATTGAGCGTGGCTCAACGCCCAGCAGCTTGTATGCCGGAGTCAACAGCTACAGCAACAATGACGACCACTGGGCTGCGGCAAAGGCAAGAAGTGCTCAAGTGAGAGGGTACCCCAGTGTGCAGACCAAGAATGAGGGCTTCTTTCTGCGGTCCAAACGGAAAATCTCCTCGACGCTCCCCGTCTTCAGTCCCTACACTCCTTTGTCGGCCAACTGGAAGGACCCCGAGAAACTTGGCCGCAGCCGGTGGTCTCCAAGAGGGGGAGGGAGTCTGGCGAGAATAAAGACGTTTGCTGGCAATGTCTTGAGGAGGTTCAAGTTTCTGTTCATAATACTGTCCATTGTCACACTGACGACAGTTATATTGTCCCAGACCAGTAAGTCCCGTGGACACTTTTCCCCCCTTCCCGCGCTGTCCTAACCTCCCGTCTTAGATGTGCTGTCCAGATACCGTGGCAACTCCCATCTCGGCGGCGGAAGCAAATTCGTTATTATCCTTGGGGCCAATGAGGGCGGCGGTGTTATGGAATGGAAAGGTCCTAGAGAATGGGCCATCGAGCGCGACAGCGTGAGAAACAAAAAGAGATACACCGACCGATGGGGGTACATATTGGACATTGCCGACATGAGCACCAAGAAGAGGTACGCTCACGAATGGCGTGAGAGCTGGGAGAAGGTTGACCTGATCCGCAACGCCATGGAGGTACCCAAAGGCTGAATGGTATGAGAGAGCACCCGCAGACGAGCTAAGTGTTGTGTGACTGACGGCAAGCAGGTTCTGGTGGCTCGACTTAAACACCTTCATCATGGAGCCTTCAATATCACTCCAATCCCACATCTTCAACAACCTCGACAAAAACGTGTACCGCGACATTAACGTCTACAACCCCCTCGACATTACCCACCCTCCCATCACCAAATTTCTCGATCCGGTCGCCCGGTCACCTACTGGCGACAATTTGACATCCTCCATCGACATCATCATCCCTCAGGACTGTGATGGTTTCAACCTGGGGTCCTTCTTCGTTCGACGATCTCCGTTCACCGACCGGCTACTTGATTTGTGGTGGGACCCTGTCCTGTACGAGCAAAAACATATGGAATGGGAACACAAGGAGCAAGATGCGCTGGAGCACCTGTATGCGTCGCAGCCGTACCTCCGGACACACTTCGCATTTATCCCCCAACGCAAAATCAACTCATTTCCCCCCGGTGCATGTGCCGCTCATTTGGAGCAAGGACAGGCTGCCGAAGATGGGAAGCCTCTTCTGGACCCCAGATTCCACTACAACGAGCACGAACGGGACTTTATGGTCAACATGGCCGGGTGTGAGTGGGGTCGAGATTGTTGGGCGGAAATGTACATGTATCGCGAACTCAGCAACAGACTCAACCGGTCCAGGTGGGAAAGGTTCAAAGACCTTGTCAGTGACAAATGGACCTACGTGATGAAGACCTTGTTTGCAGAAAAGGCAGGGCCGAAAACTGGTTGACATCTCCACCATCTTGTTTCCGTCACCACTGAGAGGGACGGGCAGAAGCGACGGCATCGCCACACCGTCACATACAACGCTTGGCTCGGCTTCCCTCTCGTCGACATCACTTCATCTTGAAGTGCTTCTGAAGCTTTCGAGACTCTATTCACCCTCATCGACTTTTCACAAAGCAACATGCTAAACTGTCTGGAAATATGTCAGACCTCAATGGCTGGGACCAATTGAACGACTATCACAGTTTCACAATTGAGCGCCTTTATTTTCTTCGAGCATCCCAGAGGACAAACAGAATCATGGAGCTCGGATGGCGAAAATTTGTCTTTTCAACGTGTATACTTAGACGGGTCGGCACTGGGGGATACCAAAGGACTGGCCCCTATGGAAACGAAATAGACTGGCGGGATTTTTCCAACGGGCGGAAAAATATGGCGTGGTCTACTAAAGCTGTTGTCGGTCACTTGCTCTCAGGATCTCTTGCGCACCTGGCGAGCATGGATGGAACCCAGATTCATAATATAAACACCGGTGGCACGAATAAGATGCATCGATGGCATTCTACTCTGTGCTGCAATCTGACCGAGGCCCTCGACTTTTGCACTGTAGTCGATCTGCTACTTTATTCAGCCGTGGACTCCATGTCTACAGTAACTGATCGAGCTCAAGGCAGGCAGAAGGCCGTCCGTCTAGGCACTTCCTTTCAGCTTTGTACGATCGGAAGAAGACCTTCCTGGATCTCTCCTGTGGTGCCCGTTTCTCCATAACCAATCTTCAGTCTTTCTTTTTCTTGCTCCTTCTCCTCTACTCTCTGGAGATTTAGGAGCGGGGATGGGATGACTTAATTGAGCTCGCGATATGGTCTTGTGCGGATATCGGAATGGGAAAAGAAAAGGAAGGGAACCTCCAGGCCGGGTCTCCTGATGGTGTTTGTCAGCATTTGAAGGCTTTGTATTGTCTGGCACGTAAGTCTCGTCGAGACCAACGTGAGTAAAACTGTTCAACCATGTTGACCTGTGTCTTTAGGCAGTGTGGCATTCTCTATCTTGACTCCAATAGCCCCCAAGATGGAGCTGGACTCCCTACTCCGTCCCCAACCACGGCATGTCCAGCCTCACGTTCTGGTCCGTGTCCAAGCCATGGTCGCCCGGCTGGACGACCAACGCGACCTTGGCGTGGTCTCGGGGCTTTTCGCGGGCCTTCTGCACCCACTTCTCGCTGCCTTCCACGGGGACCGCGGTGTCGTCGCGCCCGTGAATGATCAGGATAAGCGGCGCCTCGTTGGGGCTGACGACGTCCTCGTCGTCGAGGGTCTCGAGCGGGAACAGGATCTTCTCCTCACCCAGCAATTTCGTCGTCAGGCCCTGCTGCACCATCGAGAGGCACAGAGGCAATCTGTCCGACAGGGTCGCTGAGCTGACGACTCTCCTGGTGCCACGCTTTGCGTCCGCTTCGACCGCGGCGAGGTGCGCGGCCATGACCTCCTTGGGGTTCGTGGGAGCCCTCCGGCCGACCTTGAAGAGGCATTCTTCGGTGCAGAACGCCGACTTCAGTTCCAGGACGGGATACGTGGCGATGGCGCTGGTGCGTATTCTTTTGGATTAATATTTAGGGGCCACTATTAATTGATTGGTTCAGTGCCTACAGTACCTAACCCATCTAATAACCCAAGGTACATACAGTACATACCCAGTGGAGCGGTGCGTATTGCACGCGTCCCACTCTGTCTTTCTGTGGTTGCTAAATACCTAATCGGCAAAATATGTACCGAGGACTTACTGTATGTACCTACAGTACCTACCTACGTACTCGGTCTCCCTCCCATTGCGTGTGAGGAGGTATGTAGGGATGATTGATTGTATACTATACTCATCATTAGGGCTGTTTGACACCCGAAGAGATCATGATGTATGCTATCGGTTAGATAGCAAATGCCAGAGAAGAAGAAAAATAGAACGGAATGAGGCCCCGATGCATGTATGGGGTTCATAGGCAGAGTAGGCACCGAGTACAATTGAAATCGACAGTGTCCCCTCTTTCCCTCCCCCTGTCATCAAGAAATCGCATCTCCATCTTTACTGCTGCCGCGACTGATGACCCTCATCAATCTCTCAGCCACACTCCCTCGCCTCTCCGTGTGGATTTCCTTGTCCTTGTCCTTGTCCCTGTCCCTCTCTCTCTCCCTCTCCTCCTTCTCCTCCTTCTTCCTCTGCTTCTCAAGCTCCTTGCGTCTCTTGCGCTCCTCCCTGCTCTCCGGAGCGGGCCAGCCGACCTCCCAATACGGCTTCTCGGCACCCCCCTTGGGCCCTCCCCACGCCAGCGACTGCAGCCCGCCGGCCCCGCCGCGCAGGTCCGGCAACATGCCATGGGAGCCCGGCTCGACGTAGAGCTTGGAGTTGGCGAATTCTCGGAGCGCCGCCAGTTCTTCTTGGCTGTTGGCGAACCCATGCGACGCCTTGTATGGCGGCGGTCTGTCCCTCCGGGGGTCGGCTTTGGCCGTGTAGGAGGGTGGTGATGATGCCATTGTTTCTTTTCTGCGGGGTGATTTCGCTTTGGCCTGTGGGTAGGTAGAGTCGGAGGTTCGCTCCTTCCTCCTGGATCGTTGGGATGTGACGGAGGCGCAAGAAGAGAGGGTGTTTGGTATGCTTTAATATTGACTTTCTATCCTTTTTCCTGACTGACCGAGGTCCAACTGGTGCTCGAGAGATATCCCAGACGAAGTGAGAGGTGGCAAGATGGAGGTTGGTTAAGTTTACGTGGTCGCGGAGAAAGAATCCTGGATGGTCAATATGTCTCGTGGAGAAGTCGAATGGGCCGCTTTAAGAATGCAGGGGGCAAGTCAAGATGATGAGGAAACCGGGGACGAAGGCCGAGATGTGCGGGCTTGAGGATCGCAGGTGCAGAGAGTGAGCTGAGTGGCGCCAGGATCTGGTGACTCGTCGTGTAGGATTGTTTCCATTGGAGGCGACGTCATGGCCGCGTTGGTCGAGTGGTCAGGCATCACCACCTTTCAGACATGGCCAGGTACACACTTTGATACACTCCTAGGTACATACCCGGGTAGAGATCACGCCCACGCGCCACAGTTGTTCTAGGCCGCGTCACTTGGCGGGCGACCGATACGAAACACGCCCAACAACACACTCGATTCATTGGCCGCGATCGTGCTTGGCCGATTTCCCCACGATGCCTATGATTGCACTATATCAGGCACATCACAGAACATTCTCTGGGCATGGTATTCTTGGCTGTCTTCAAATACAATCATCACACCATTGTCTGTAGACGTCTGTTCGGGACCGTTGTGTTCTCCTCCAAAGTCTCTAGGCGAGGGAGCGGCGAAAAGAAGCAGACGCTGATCGTCGGTGTTGCCGTGACGAATCTGGAATTGGGGATCATTGAGAGCTAGCTCCTAGGTTTTTGGGTGTCTTTTTCCCGCGACCGAGTCATCATGCTGTCACTATCCTGGAGGCAAGGCGACAGAGGCAGCGGCAGGGGATGGGATCGCCCTGATCCAGCACCCCGACACCCGCGAATTGCTTCCCACACGGTACCAATAAACACCCACTCCCTTCGGCAGATCGATTGGCGCTCGAGATAAGCATCTGATCAAGCGGGGTCAGTGGAGCGTCCGCTAAAAGCTTTAACGAACGTTTGGTGTGTTGGTCAAACGCCCTCCTGGGCTTCTGCAACACTACATGGACATGGCATGGCGGCTCCTTATCACAGGAGTCCCCCTAGGATTGGTTCTGACAGCTTGCTCCTGCATGGACGGGGAGCTTGATGGCGCTAGGCCGATGTCGTGTGTCTGGCCCTCAATTGCAACCTCAAAATCAGACATTCCCACAGCATCGACGGCACTCTACGAGGCAGAACACTTTCACCCGGCTCATTTGTGAGGGTAGTACGTATCAACAGGTCCACAACATGTGGAACAGCCCCCTTTTAGTGGCTCTTCTGGCAATCCTCGCCTGGCTGGCCCTGCAGATTGCCCAACTCTTGTACAATGTCCTTCTCCACCCACTCCGAAGTTATCCAGGTCCTCTCCCAGCCCAAGCCTCGGCATGGTATAAGACATATATCGAGCTGTTCCTGCAGAGAAGCTGGACGGATGTCCTGATTGAACTGCATCAGCGCTATGGCAAGTCGACGATACTCGGGAGAGGCATGGCACTAACGTGACATCAAGGAGACGTGATTCGTGTTGCGCCGAACGAGGTCTAGACAACTTCGCCAACACCCTCTCTTATCCCTGACTGATTTTGTGAAAGCTCCATTTCTCTAACCCGCAAGCCTACCACGATATCTACAACAATGCGAACCGGTGGGACAAGGACAAGGCACTGTACGAATGCTTTGGCGAGGACCACTCCTCGTTTGGCTTCCTCACATACCACGAGGCCAAGCAACGCAAAGACGTCTTGCAGCCGCTCTTCTCCAGACGAAATATTTTACAGATGCAGTCTCTGGTTCGCAAGAATGTAAGTCAAGGCCGGACGCCGTTCGGAGCAGCAGTGTCTGACTGTCTTACCCATCAAGATGGACCATCTCGTGCAGAGACTCTCGGAGGACTTTGCTGCGGGCAAGTCGTCCGACTTGTTCTTCGCCTTCAGATGCTTTACCATGGACACCATCACCAGTTTCTGCTTCGCTAAATCTGTTAACGCCATCGACGTGCCTGGCTACAATGCCCCTATCATCGAAGCCATGGAGGCGTCTGGGCCGGCCTTCATCCAATTCAAGCATCTGGCCCTTTTCCGCAAATTCGTCTTCTCCCTCCCGCCCAACATCGCCATCAAAGCATCACCCGAGACGGCAGGCCTGACGCGTCTTCAGGTCATCTTACGCAATCAGGTCGACGAAGTCACAGCGAATCCAGGCGTGCTCAAGGAAGCTCCCCACCCGATCATCTATCATCGACTTCTCGATCCCGAGGCGCACAAAGGCCAGCAGATCCCCAACAAGCAATCGTTGTATGAAGAGGCCCAGGCGCTGATGTTCGGAGGCGGCGACACCGTCGGCAACACGTTGATGGTCGGCTTCAATCACATTCTGCAGCCGGCAAACCAGGAACTCTACCACGCTCTTCGCGACGAGGTCCGTTCTGTCTGGCCCGATCTGGCGACTCCGCCGAGCTCCTTCGAGGCACTCGAGCCTCTGCCCTTACTCACCGCGACCATCAAAGAATCTCTACGCATCGCACCGGGGGTGGTGTCCCCCCTCCTCCGCGTCGTCCCCGCCACGGGCGCCACCATTGCCTCCCACAAAATCCCCCCGGGGACGGTAGTCGGCATCTCCAGCGTCTTCGTGCATTCATCCGCCACCATATTCGACCACCCGAACGCGTTCATGCCTCAGAGGTGGCTCCACAATACCGGCACCGGCAGAGAACTAGAGTCCAACCTCGTCGCGTTCAGCCGCGGGCCCCGGTCGTGTCTGGGCATCAACCTCGCGTGGTGCGAGCTGTACGTCGCCTTCGCAACCATGCTGCGCCGCTTTGAGCGGTTGGAGATCGACCCGGCCTCCCCGCCCGCCGACTTGCGGTACCGCGACTCCTTCCTGCCCAATTTCTACGGCGAGAATCATCTCAAAGTGAGGTGCAGGCCGGCGACGGAGTAGGGGTGTGGCTGCCACCACCAACTATGCAGAGCAGACGGTGACGGGGACACGGTGGTTGGGTTTTGCGCATTCCAGCCGCAATGGCTGGCCTCCTTTTATCGGTGGTCTGGCCCTTCAGCTTTACCGCGCCAAACTCATGAGCGTTGCGCTAGGGGGTCACTTTCTCGACCAGAGCGCTTGGCGGTTCTATGGCCTAATTCATCTATCTGGGATAGTGAGCCGGATCCCTTTTCTGCATGGGCCCGGGAGCAGTGGTATCGATTCCCACAGAATGATGTATGTACACGGGCCGGTGGCTTTGGTGCTCGATTTCCGACCATGGGATGGGCGCGCTGTCCTGCGGGCAATGTGGGCTACTAACACCGTAGATTGATAGATCGTTGGGGATGGAGAACTCGTACCCAAAAACCAAGAAGATGGAGAGCAGAATGGCCCGTTCAGTCATTCCGTCCTTTATATTAATCGATGAGCCGCACTACCCAGCCGACATACCCAAGTGGATACCTACAGTAAGTGCCCATCCCTCGTAGCTGACCGGATGCTAAACCGCTCGGCTTCCGTTCTGCGTAATCCTTTATCGACTAACGTACTTAACCCACCCAATTCAGTACATACGCACGCGACAAACCAAACTTTTCCAACTTACTGACCTAACCTAACCTGAGTTGCCATGCCGTATCGTGTCGTGCCGTGCCTGGCCTTGCCTGCTCCGACCCACATAGCTAGTAGCTAGCAGCTAGCAGCTAGTTAGTATTCCTCGCGAGGAGTTCATTGACCCACTCATCCAGGCCAGGCATGTAGGCGTCAACATCGTAGAAGCCGTGCAAGATGCTTCTGACTTCCTCCCAGCCGTTCAACCCCATCTCTCTTGCGTGCCGCGCGAGGTTGGTCGCGAACCACCAGGTGTCATCGGGATTGTCATGGTCATTGTCATTGCCATTGGAGCTGCGGGTTGCATTGGGGTCGTCATTACCGTCACGGCTGTCGTCACTGTTTCCGGTACCGCCGCCGCCGTACTGTGAGGATGGAGGGTTGTGTTTCTTCTCCGTCCAACTGCCGACGCAGAGAGCGTAGAGAAGGGCGTTGTGTTGTTCGACCGGAGCCGGATCTGCGGCAGGGTCACTATCGCCACTACCAGACCAATTGGTGGGGTCACGCGCAAGCTCTGCAGCGTGCATGGTCAGTGACAGGGCGGATCTGAGACGGGCGATATAGTCCCGCGCGTTGACGAAGACGGTCTGCACCGACTCCAGGTTCGTCCGGTTGAACTCGAACATGATGAGGAACGTGAGCGCGAGCGCCCGCTGAGTCTGCCAGTAGAGGTTCTCGCCAGGGTTCGGCATTGGCGTCTCCGTGACCGGGTCGAATTTGAGGTGGTGCAGGGCCTCAGTCTTCAGAATAAAGTCGACCAAACGGCTGTGCAGGATGGTCCCCTGGATGTGGATCCAGACTTGGACCATCGAGAACAGCTGCTCTCCGGGGTGCGATTCCGCAGGGAGACCCAGCATGTGATCTCCCAGGATCATTTCGACGAACAAAGAGCGGAGGGGCTCTGCCGAGACGCAAGGATCGAGTCTGCGGCGCACGGCCTGTTGGAAAGGCTCCAGGTAAGCCTTGGACGGCTCCAGATAAGCCGCGAGCACTTTCGGCACCCACTCCTCGACGTCAAAGATAGACAGCGAGAAGCTGAAAACCGACAGCTGCTTGTTCTGGTACAGGACTCGCAAGAGGAAGCCGAGATCGAAGACGCCGCCCTCGCGATCATACTTTTGCACCAGCAGGCTTCGCAAAGTGGTGGCGTGAAGTGCCGCTTCGTCCAGGTCCCCGGCGATCAGAGCTCCGCGGAACAGCATCGCCACGCTGTCCAACACGAGCGCTTGTGTCTGAGCGACACTCCCCTTGACTAATTCGCGACGGAGCGCCTTGATGCTTTGGTGCTTGAGGAGGAGCGCCTCATCCTCCAAGCCCTGATGAGGGTTGACTTTGATCATGAAGGCCACGTTGATGAAGAGAAGAGCTCGGGCGCTGCATTCAAGGCGGAGCGCCTGTATACCGTTTCGGTATTCCTGAGTCTGCAAGGCCGAGATCCGTCGGATGGCGTCCTCCGAGCCCATAAAGGCCGGATAGATCATTGGCAGATAGCCATGCTTGAAGAATGTCAAGATCTGGTTGACACGGGGGGTAACATGAATTGCCAGAGCATTAAACGGGTCCGAGTTGCCCTTTTGAAGGACCGAGGCCAGACCTGGCGCGATCAACGCGTTGCTCCATGCTGCTTCGCTGGCGCCAGCCGGCAGTTGTTGTTCTTCGGCAATCTGCTGACGTTGGTGATGTGCAATGTCGGCGGCAAATCGCTTCTGCTGCCGCCACTTGTGTGATAGTCTGGCCGCATGAGATCTCGCAGTAGCCTGATATAGCTCGCGATCGCGTTGGGAACTATCTCGTGCGAGCACAGGCAGGAACGTGATGTCAACCTGAGCCATGCGTCGCTACAGTGCTGAGGGAGTTCTGAGTGAACGTCTGTCATCCACCAGAGTCAGTTTTTGGAAGTGCGCCCGTTGGCGGCCAGAGCAGCCGGCATCGAGGCCTTTTTACCCCCGTTCGAGGCATTTCGCCCCCATCAAGAACATAGCATTTTGCCCAGAGGTTGCATATGTCATCGTCTGTATTCGGTAAAAGCGTGATGCCCACGTGGAAGACAGGGCATGAGATCAGGCCACTGATTAACGGTCTGGAGTAAAAGCAGGGATACTGTGGCGTCGAAACTCTCAGCTTGTCCAGATGGTTGGGTAGATTCAGTGTATGGCGTTTGTTGGCAAGTTTCGAATAGGGAAACATCCGACGACGTGCAGCCTGTAGCACCAATCATAGAAATCATCTTTCTTGGCTCCGCAAGGGGGCACAAATAAGCCTTTTCTCAACAGCAGACACGCTTGACTGAACTGATGCCCGACGGAAACTTAGATTGTGGCAAGGCTTACCTAAAGTGCTTACCTGATAGACAATATAAGTGCTGTGAGTAGTGAGGGGAGGAAACAGTCAATTGGTCAGTTCTTCTGCACAGTGGTTCGTTCGAAACTCTGGGCGCCCCCTGTTGCTTTCTGTGCAGTTCAAATGCTTCAGCCGAGTTGAGTCAGGGATGAAGATGAGAAATATGGATTGCATTTGGTGCACGTGCTCAGAGATATTTAGTAATCCGTTGCTAACCCACGTATGGAATAGCCCACTTTAGCGCCTTGGCATTTTGCTCTCGGCAGGTGGCCCGTGCGTATTGCGACCTGAACCAGGATTCCTATTTATGTCTAGAGGACGAGGTAGTTCTGCAGCTTGACAGCAACTAAATAATGCTTTCGGCCTTTGGACTGGTTTCGAATTCCTATTTCGATCTGCCTTTGGGCCTGTTCGCTATAGCGAGATGAGTTGATCGAGCCTCACGCCTGTGCTGCACCGTGGACGCGCCATCGCTCTCGAGCGATGTTCCAAGTCCCCTTTTCAAGAACTGACAGGTCTTTTCCGTTCCACGCCTTTACGATCATTCAATTCGGCTTGACTGTTGGTCCAACACCCGGCATTGGCCTGCTGTCTTCTCTGGCCTGCAGCCTCTGTTGCATGGCTCGCAGGACCGTGCTATCCGAAGTATCACTCGACATAGTGCATTTCATTTCGAATTGAAATACAGACTCATCGCACCCAGGCCTCTGCCATGGACATGGCCCCTGATTCAATTTTGTTTCAATGCCTTCCTGATCAAGATTTTCAGACCACATCGCAATCCTCTCCCACTATGTGGACTTGGCCTTATAGCCGAGACCGCGATCCAGATGACGAAGCCTGGTTGAAGCTGTCCGTGGCTTTCCCAAAGGAGGACATTTGAGGCTATGATATTATGCAGACTGCCCCGTCTTCTTGTTGAGATTTTGTACCAACTCTTCATACACTCATTTGCTGTCCATTCAACTTTCGTCACTCGTTTGCTTTCATACACTCGTTTACCACCATGCGTTCTTTCCCTTCCTTTTCGACTCAGTCACTCATTACTATTTTCCTGTCTTTTAATGTGTTGTTCGTCCAATATGTCGACTCCCTTGACAGTACAGACACCATCACGTGGGGTGGGTCAAACGACCGAACCGGCTACCAGAACAACCACAACATGGATCCAGCTGTGGTTGGAAGCGATCAGTTCGGCCTGCTCTTCAAGACTCTGCTTCCTGGAACATATCCCATCGGCGGACAGAACGTACCCGAACAAATATTCTCTCAGCCGTTGGTGTATACCGGCTCCGATGGTGTTCAATACGTCTATGTTGCAACCACTCAGAACAATGTGTACAAGATAGTTGCCAATACTGGCGTTATCGTTGCATCTCGGAACCTGGCTCGCCCATTCCTGGTCAGCGATCTGGATGGCTGCGTTGATATCAACCCGACTGTTGGCGTGACGGCAACCGGTGTTATTGATCCAGATACGGTGGGCTGCTCCTTACCTTTCACAACGTCGAATGCTGACTCCAGACCAGGATACATGGTACCTGACGTCCAAGACGTACATTGATCAAAGTCTTACCGGAGCAACTGGGCGTCCGAATGGTCGCTATTACATCCACGCCATCAACACTGTAGACCTTTCTGAGCGACCCAATTTCCCAGTCAACTTGGAAGGCATGGTAGCTACAAACAATCCCGTCCGGTCATTCAATGGTGGAATTCATCATCAACGTCCTGGTCTGCTTCACACAGGTGACTATGTGTACGCCGGGTTTGCTAGCCATTGGTACGTATATTTCCCTTTCACGTGCTGTTGGGATTCGAGGAACGACTGACCAAGACTGTCTGGTTCCAGTGTTCAGTACAACTTCACCGGCTGGATCGTGGGCTGGCACAAGACCACCGGACAACTCGTCGAACAATTCGCGACCGAAGGTGGTAAGTCATGACTACACCTACACCCCTACGGCCAGAATCGTTGTCTCTGACAATGCGCAGCTGGCGTCGGCCCTGACACTCCTGGGGCGGGCGTCTGGATGTCTGGTGGTGGTATTGCAAGCGACGATCAAGGATCAATGTTCTTCGCTTCTGGCAATGGTTATGCTTCTCAGCTCAATGGGATACCGGTCAACGGGAGAAATCCACCGACAGCACTGGAAGAAGCTGCCGTGCACATGGCAATCAATGATGATGGTTCTCTGACTGTCGTCGATTTTTTCATGCCGTGGGAGAAAGTGCAACTTGATGGTGCTGACAAAGGTAGGAATGCTTCCCTCAACGTTGAAACGAAAGCTAACATGGCGCAGACCTCGGGACGTCGCCGTTGGAACTCCTCCCGAGTGAGTTCTCCTGCGGTGACGTCGAACGCATCGGTGTCGTCACCGGAAAGAGTGGAAAGACCTATTGGCTCAATCTTGACAACCTCGGGGGCTATCAAAATGGACCAAACAAGCTGGACAACGTGCTCCAAGTATATCAGAACGAAAACTCTGTTTACGCTGGAGCTGGTGTTTACCCACTCGAGGGTGGCTACATATACATCAACGTCATCCAGTATCAGACTCACGTGTTCAAATTCTCGTGCAACGACGGCGTTCCATATTTCAACAAGGTGGCTGATTCTCCTGAAAAGAATGCCTACATCCTCGGTGTCGGCCACGGTACTGTCACTTCGCTCAACGATCAGCCTGGCACTGGCTTGGTGTGGACGTCGGATGTCGAAGGGTCCAATCTTCGAATCTACAATGCCATCCCCGATGAGAATGGGCTCATGACGGAGATCAATTCGTTTGTTACGCCAGGAACGACAAAATTCACCAGACCGGTCTTTGGAAATGGCATTGTCTATCAGGGCACTACGCTCGGGTACCTGTATGCTTACGGAGCACCTGTCAATTTGCCCCTGAACTGCACAGCTCTTCAATTCGGGACCGCTAATCTCAGTACAACCGCAGCGCCAATGACTGTACAATGTACGGCCAATACCGCCGTCACAGTCACCGCTGCCAGCCTTTCAGGAAATCCAAACTTTGCCGTTGTAGGGTTGCCGAATTTCCCTCTGACAGTCGCCCAAGGGCAACAGTTTTCGTTTCAGGCTACCTTCACTCCACAAACCGTTGGCCCACTATCTTCGTCAGTGATCTTGAACACGACTCAGCAAGCTCCCGGGTTCAGCATCAATACCCCCGTTCAACTGAAGGGGACTGGCCAGAGTCAGGCTGCTCTCCTGATGGTCACCCCAAACACTGTCAGCTGGAATGGTGTTATTACTGGACAGGAGATCGGCGGAGTCAACCAATCTGTGGTCATCAGCAATCTCGGAAACAGCCCTTTATCAATCAACAATATTCAATATTCCATCGTGGGTGAGACAGGACCCTGGATCCCGCCTAATGGCACCCAAGCAGCAACTGTGGCGTCGGCTTTCACATTCTACAATATGCCGTCATCCATACCTCCTAACAGCGCTGTCACTGTCCCAATCAATTTCAACCCTCCGTACTCCGGTAACTACGCCGTGTTCATCAATTTCGTCTCCAACGGTGGAACCAAAGTGATTGATGTCCTCGCAGCCGGATCAGATGAGCCGAACGCAGTACTCGAATTCCAGAGCATAGACGGGGGATGGGTCCCATTCGACAACACCACCTCCTTCACCTTTGGCAACGTCACAGAAAACACCAGCAGGTATCTAAAGATGCGTTTGACCAACAACGGCTCCACCAACGCGGCGGCGTTGTCAGTAACCGTCAGCAAGCCTCCTTTCGGTATTGCCGGAAGCATTATTGGCGCCAACAACCAAGTCGACCTCGCAGAGGGCACCCTGGTCTACGCGGGACAAAACCTCACCGCAACGCTGTATTGCTCTGTCCCAAAGAGCCAGATCGACGTCGACCCCTACAATGGCACTGCGCAATGGACCATGAACCTGAACGATCCGAACTTTGGGAAGCAGCATATCCAATTCTTTTGCAATGCTGTCTCGGAACAAGCATCTCCGCTGGACCCGGTCAGCCAGCAAGGCATATACAGATATGGAGGCTGCTTCATGGAGAACAATCCAGGTCGACAGCTTCAAGTCAATATCTACAGCGGACCCAACAACACTAATGAACAGTGCATCTCGATGTGCTCGGCAGCCGGGTATATCTTCGCTGGCACGCAATATACGCAGGAGTGCTGGTGTGGCTACAACCGCCCGAAGACCGTGGTGGACGACGCAAATTGCAATTTTGGATGCACCGGCAACGTCAATGAGATCTGTGGTGGTAACGGCATCAACGGAGCTGGGTCATTCATCTCTCTCTTCGGCGACATTACCCGTTGGGACGGCAATTCCACGAACGCACCGGGACCCTACGTCAATCCTGGCACGCTAGGATACAACAGTTTGGGCTGCTACACCGAAGGCACTAATTCCCGAGCACTGAGCGTGCAACCCAATGCCAACAACACTGTGAATTCATGTCTCCAAGCTTGTCAAGGCTATTTGTACTCTGGTGTCGAATACGGTGGGCAGTGCTTCTGTGGGATTACATTGGCGGCAGGCGCCGTCAATGCCAGTGCTACCGACTGCAGCATGACCTGCAACAACAACCAGACAGAGTACTGTGGAGGCCCGAACCGCCTCAACATGTACATCTACGGCAACGGCACCCTTCCGAGCACGCCGCCGCCCTCAAATGGTGGAGGAAACGGTGGCGGAAACAACAATCCGCCTCCACCATCAGGCCCAACCATTCCAGCCACAATCGGTAATTTCACCTATCAGTCTTGTTATACCGAAATCCCTGGCCGCGCACTCGGTGCTTTCGCGCTTGCTGACAACAGCATTACATTGCAGACGTGCGCCAGCAACTGCACGCAGTATCAGTATTTCGGTGTCGAGTATGGGCGGGAATGCTATTGCGGCAACACCCTGGGCTCTGGTAGCGCTCCAGCGACTGATGGACGCTGCAACATGGCATGTTCAGGCAACTCCAGCTTCACTTGTGGAGGACCCAACGGGTTGACGCTCTATCAAAATTTGAACTGGACCAGTTCTGCTCCTCCCCAGCCGCCACCAACCCCAGCGGGCCCAATCATTGTCCCCAGCGTTGGTTATTTTCAATATGTCGACTGCCACACAGAAATAACCGGTCGGGCTTTGACGGGCAAGGCGATCGTCTCGAATGACATGACGGTACAAAATTGTGCCGGAAACTGCACCGGCTTTACCTACTTCGCCGTGGAATACGGCCAAGAGTGTTATTGTGGGAATGGCCTGGGCTCCGGCTCCGTCACAGCCACAGATGGACGATGCTCTATGACTTGTGCTGGCAATTCATCAACCATTTGTGGCGGGCCGAACGGACTGACTCTTTACCAGTATGTGATGCCTTCGAGTTCGAGTTCAGCCTCGAGCAGGACCATTACAGCATCTTCAACCTTCGTGACATCTGCGTCCTCCACCTCTTCGGCCCAGCCTGCGACCTTGTCGTTCAGCAGCACTTCGGTTTCGAGCTTGAGACAATCCTCTACGACTAATATATTCAACACCACGAGCTCAGCCTCGTCATCGACCACGTTCACTTCTACGAGTTCTGCAGCTTCAACGTCCAGTGCGCCAAATTCAAGCTCGAATGCTTCTTCAAGCTCGTTAGCAAGCACTACCACTTCTTCCAGTTCCATTTCTGGGTCACCTTCTGTCTCAACGAGCACAGGAGCCAATATTTTCGGCACTACAACTGTGTTGACAACCACTACTGGCCCGTCAGCGTCAACGACTTCTTCCTTTTCAGTGACGTCTTCATCACTCACGACGATAGGAATTAGCTCTAGCAGTCTGTCCTCGGCCGGTGCGATCACGAGCATGAGCACGTCGAGGTCCGGGTCATCGTTAGGCAGTGCTGGCTTCACTACTAGCCTTCTGCCAGCTTCTTCGGCGACTAGCGTTGTTGCAGTCTTGTCGAGCTCAACTCCGGCAACCACGAGTCGAACTGGCCTTTCCACTCTGACGACACTTTCTACCCGCCTGACAACCTCATCGGCTTCATCAAAGTTGAGCACAACCACATCTACTTTGACCACAACCACGTCTTCTGTGCCGTCGAACCCGTTTTTCCCCGCCGTCTATCTCGGCTGCGCCCCCGAGCTCACCAACGGACGTCTCCTCTCCGTCGCTTCCACATCAAACTCTGCCATGACAATCCCCTCGTGCATTTCGTTCTGCTCGGCGCAGAACCTGCCCCTTGCCGGTGTGGAGTACTCTCGGGAATGCTACTGCGGGTACAATCTCTCGCCCTCGACACTCCTCAACGCCACAGGCTGTAACATGCCGTGCGCGGGCAATGCGCAGCAGACGTGCGGCGGATCCAGTCGCCTGAGTGTCTACAACAACACCGCGCTGTCCCCTCCGCGCGCCAAGGGGACCATCGCGGGCTACAACTACCAGGGATGCTTCACCGATCCTTCCGCCTCGCAGCGCACTCTGTCGGGATACAGCACGTCCAACGCGACCTCCATGACGCAGGAGTTCTGCATCTCGGCCTGCCAAACCCAAGGGTACAAATACGCCGGTGTCGAGTATAGCAGGGAATGCTATTGCTCGAATTCACTGGGCCTGACGAGCAATGGGGGCAAAGGCGCGTCGGCATCCGAGGGGGATTGCTCCATGCTGTGCGTCGGCAACAGCGACGAGTTTTGTGGCGGGAGCTCGAGAATCGGGGTTTGGATGAGTGGTTCTTGATGAGGACGGACAGTGATCGATGAACGGGTGTCTTTTCTTTTCTTTTCCTTCCTTCTCAATCATTCTCTCGGCCTTTTGAGCAGATTATAGCGTTTTCCCCTTCTTCTACCTTCAGTGTGAAGATACTGATGGGCCTGTCGGTCTTAACACTTTTTGTACGAACAGATGCACGGCGTACTATGATATGAGAGAGGCTCTAATATTCATCAATGCCGATTTTTTTTTGCATCATGAGCCTCAAAGATTGGTTTGAGTGGCACGTCACAAAAGTGTACTTCTTACATGTGGCGAAGATTCTCGTTCACGGGCATAATGCAAGCCTGGTTGGTCTACAACGTCGTTTGGTCAAGTGCAGCACTCACACGATCGCTCACTTGGTGAATCCAATGCGTACGATGGTGGACCTCCCACCAAAGGCGAACGAACCAAGAAAGAGGGAACGGATCCCAAAAAAGGAGAGACACTCTAATGAAAGAAAAGGCAGGGAGGGGGCCGTGCTGGGCAACACCATGGACTGAAGTGACGACGAGAATGAGACGAGACAAGAAGCGAAAAAGAAGAGAAACAACGCCCCAAAAAGAAAATAAGAAGAAAGAGAGAAAGAGAGAAAAGTCAAGAAAACAAGCCGTGCGGCCCTGGCGTGAATTGATTATTCGCGAACCACCGTTTCGCCTTGAGGCTGATCATGTCGATGTACAGGTACCGCTGCAGCACCGGCTCGATCTCGGACCACGCCCCGGTGGTGGTGAGCTGGACGAGCTGTGTGCCGTGGTAGGAGTACTCGTCATAATACTCGTCAGCACCTGCACTGTGTTGCTGCTCGGTCGGGAATGGGGGTGTCAGACTCTGACTCTGGCTCTGGCTGTGCCTCTGCTGTGCGCGGACGTTGCACTCGGCCATGGTCCCCACGTACAGACACCAGAGCCGGTCTTGGGGAGAGCGGCGGACCTGGTAGTGCGCCTCGGGAGAGGACGATGAGGAGGACGCTTCCAACTGGAGAATCCTCAGGTCAAGATCGCGCAGCGTGGTCGCCACGGCGCGACTCATGTCAAAGGCCCACGACCCGGCTTCCTCGAGCTTGGATCCCGCGTCCATCCTCTCGTGGGCGGCGCGGCGCACCCAGTACAGCGCGGCAAGGGCCATGGCGGCCTCGGCCAGTGCCAGCGCGCCGGCAGCGGGAGACTGGCGCCGGAGCGAATCGTCATCCTCCATGATGCTGTGGTTGTCCAGGTACAGGTTGAGCAGGTGGCCCTCGAGCACCATGATCTTCATGGCGCCGTTGGTTAGCAGCGCCAGGTTGAACAGGTCGCGGTTGAGCATCACGATGCCCAGCGCGTCGAGCCACTCGCGCACGCCGAGGAAGATGGTTCGCAGGGCGGGAGAGAGCGAGGGAGACAGATCGCCCGGTGAGAAGGGGAACGCTGACGGGTAGTTGTGGTCTCCTCCTCGCCCATCCTCATCGTTGTTGTCGTCGTCGTTGAGGTCGTCTGTGATCCGGGCCGGAAGGTATTCCTCTGCCCACCGGTGCAGGTCGAACGAGGGCCTCGTCAGGGAAAGACACGCCCGCGTGATGTCCTGCTGCAGCACCACCATCAAGAGGCGTCGCTCCGCGTGCACAGTGCGCCCGACCGGCTGGAGCAGGCGTCTCAGCATCGCTCCATGCACTGCCGCGGCGGACAGATTGGCAGCAGCGATCTCGGCACAGAACAGCGCGTACACGTCCCACGCATCGGCCTGCGAGGCGTCCGGATTGCTGCTGCTGCTGTGCATGACGATGGATTTCCGCAGATTGCTCGTCGCTTTGCCCAGGTACTGCAAGGCCACGACGCTCGAGCGGTCCCGGGGCGTGAGTGTAGAGAGGATGGCCGCCGACCGCGCGAGGTACGCGTAGCCCGCGACGCCGCCGCCGTTGTCGAGTCCGCGGACGCTGTCCCTCCAGAACCGGGCCATGTGGAGACGCCCTCCGGCGACGGAGGCCTCAGTGGCGTGCGCGGCGGGGAGGATGAAGTCCCGCGTAAAGACCAGGAGACGGTTGACTTCGGGCGTGACGGCGATGGCCTTTGTCGAGAACGGGTCAGAGTTCCCCGCCAGCTTCACCGGCGAGGGGATGCCGCTCTCGTAGCCACTATCATAATCCTCGGTGGTGGGGGACCCCTTTTGTTGTTGGGGCTGTTGGTGTTGTTCTACCTGTCTCTTTCTGTTATTGTCGCTGTCGCTGCTGCTGAAGCTGCTGCTGCTGCCGCGTCCCTCTGCCCGCAGAGCGGCTTGCTTTTCCCGTCGCCGTTGATGTGCTTGTCGTGCGATGTGAGCGTTGATGGTGGACTTGTTGAGGCCAGACGACGCCCCTCCTTGTGCCTCGAAGACAAACGTCACTGGCCTGTTGTGCCCTCTACTCATCGTCACATGGCTCTTTCCTTCCCTCCTAGTCTGGAGTGTTCTGTGTCAAGCCGCGTTGCTACCCATTCGAAGGGAAAGGTGGTGGCGGACTCTAGGCGACTGAACCATCATCAAGCAGCAGATTGTATTAATAATGGGATCTCGGATCGGAAATGCAACTGCAGATTGTACGCAGTACACCACGATCGCTCTCTCGGCTCGGTGATAAATGATTCTATCTCCTCAGGAGTAATTCGCCACGCATTGCACTATTGCACTATTGCACGATGGCAGCGAAAAAAGCGGAGACTCAACAGCGCGCTTATGGGTGGCTTATGTAAAGACGCATGCTGAGTCATGACTGGTTCCACCGAGAGCGCAGGCTACTTCCTAATTCGGAATAAAAGTGGGAACCCTTCCCCAGACCAAGAGCTACTGTACCATATTGGTACTGCAGACTAAGGCACCAGGGGATTGCTGCAGGAGGGACGCCTCGATGGATATCCGCTAACAGGCTTACGAGCATCGGTGGGACGTTTCGGAGCCGACAGATGCGATCTCTGCCATGCTAAACCTGCAACGCCGTATTCCTGGGCGTGAGCATATTAAAGCATACATACCCGGTGCCTACAATGAAAAGACCGGTCGCCTGACTTGCTTGATCTTCTATCAACCATTGTCTCTCCTGACAAGACCAAAACGGGCCAACTGACTTTCTTGTCCACAAAATGCCGACTGGTGGCTGCCTCTGCGGCGAGATCAGGTACGAGTTCGAAGGGGAGCCATTGAAGATTGTAAGACTTTCTTTATGCGCATGCTTCCATTACCTTTCCTTTCCTGGGATACAAGGGGAGGAGAAACTGACCACGTAGCACAAAAGCTCACCTGCCACTGCGCGCAATGCCACAAGTCGACGTCGACCATGTTCAGCACGGGCATCTTCCTGCTGGATAAACAGTTCAAACTCCTGGCTGCGTCGTCGTCGTCGTCATCGTTGGAGCCGGCAACGCCCCAGACCTTCTCCTACCCGCAGACCTCGGACGGCTCCTTGCAGATCCTGCATTTCTGCCCCGTCTGCAGCACCACCGTGTGGAGGACCGGAGCCGCCGACAAGTACGCCGGCATGCTGAGCGTGCAGCTGGGCACCCTGGACGACCCGGAGGTGAGGGACAAGCTGGCTCCGAGCGTTGAGTACTACGCCAGCTTGCGGACGAAGTGGGTGCCCCCGATCGAGAAGACGGAGCAGGCAGAGGGATGCTGAAAAATGAACCATGGAAAAGGAAAGGGGTAAAAGGTCCCGCGTGGCATGCGAAAGGCTTCAGGGGTTCATGTAGATGAGATCGAATCCAGCCCTCGACCGATGCCGGGCTGTCGCCGAAAGAGCGTCTTGCTGTCTCGTGAGCGTGGCTGCCACGGTTACAGTTCCCCGTATTCTCCGGTGAAACTTGGGCAGCATCTCTTATACGATAGATATGACATTTCGATACGGCGATTGGCCAGACGGAGGGAGCAGATAAACGTTGCTTTGCACCATTGACTGTTCATGCGTGGATATGAACGTCTTCAGAGAGCCTTCTATGGATAAAAGCCCCCTGAATTCGGAACCATTCGAAATCCCGGGACTAGACGACACCGTATCTCCGATTGGACAACAATCCGTCAGCAGCCTGCCAGCAGGGATGCGCTACTACGTGGTCCTCAGGTAGTCAGAATCTCAAAAGGCGGCTCTGAAGCTAGGGCAGGCCGCGCTCATTCAACCTTTTCCGCCGATTCTTCGACATGGGTAATTGCTGGCTTGTCCAAGAAAGCTCCCGTATTGGCTTGGACATCGTGCAGCGCCTTTTCTTGGATCTCCGTCTGATAGGTCTTGAACTTGAAGGTTCCGACTCGCTTCTCGAAAAGCTCGTCAATCTCCTCCAACGACCTTCCTTTTAACTGTTCTTGGTCAGCCAGCGCCAGGTACTAGCTTGATTTGATCTCACCTCGGGAATGCAAAGGAAGTAGAAAATGGCGCAGACAATGTTGCTCCCAAACCAGATGTAGCCATACTTGGGTCCCTAGGAAACATCAGCGAACGACATGAAATCTTCGGCGAACTAGCGGTACTCACCCAGTTCAGATCAGTAGGGTTGATAAAATAGGGCGTACAGAAGCTGGTGAGCCACGCAAAGACATATTGAATCGAGGTCGCCGATCCCACAGTCCATGCACGCAGACGGGAACTGACCAGCTCTGTGGCCACGGGATACGTCGCAGCGCCGACACAGCCTGGATATGTCAGTAGAGCATCCCACATTGTGAGGCGAGCTCACGAACCGTTGTAGAAGAACCCCCAAATGGCGACCATTGCCACTGTGACTTTGCCCGTCTCAATGGTAAATGGTGAGACACTTTGCGCAATAGCCATCCCCAAGAAGCAGAGACTTGTCACAACTGATCCAAAAATACAGATGAATCTTCTGCCAACCAGGTGGCGCATGGCGTACATGCCGCAATTGACGCCAACAAACCCGATGCAGGTGATCATGATGGAGTACTGGAAAGCTTGTTTGATCCCGGCAATTTGGAAGAAGTAGGTTTGGTATGCGATAGGAAACCACGAGCCGCTACCTGCCTGGGTCAAAATAGTACCCCAGCACAGAAGCGTCCTTCGCAAGTCGGCACCTAGCTCAGAGTCAGCCGCGAATGCTACACATACGTATGTGCCAGCGTCACTCACCTCGGAACATATCCAAGAGTCCGACAGACTTTGCAACCCGTCTTTCTTCCTCGACGCCGCGAATGATTTCCGCCCATTCGAGTTCGAGATACTCTGGAGCCAGCGAGTCCGCCCGTAGTGTTTCCAAAGCCTTCCGTGCCTGGCTCTCTTTATTATGATGCAACAGCCACCTAGGGGTCTCGGGAACGAAAAAGAGTCCAATCCCCAGAAGCACTGGCACAATATAAAGGGAGCCGATCGGAATCTGATAAGAACCTTTGTCCAGTCGGTCCTTGGTATAGTTGTCGACGATGGTACCCAGAATAGCCCCGATATTGACCCAATAGGCAAAGAGGGCAACCATCACGCCTCTGAGATGAGCCGGCGCGATTTCGGCCGTATAGATGTTCGAAAAGGTGACGAGGAAACCATTTGAGAACCCAAGGACAATTCGACCAAGGTATATCACCCCCTTATTTGTTGTGCCAATCTGAATGGCCAACCCAATGCAGTTCAGGATGCAGGCCAACCAAAGTGCCGTCTTGCGACCGTAGAAAGCACCAAAAGCTCCGGCAAGAATCGACGAGAGAAAAGCACCGAGCGTCAACAGAGAGCCGATCAGTTGCTGAAATGTGCTGCTAATCCCATAGCCTAGCGGGCTGCTCGGGTCTGGAAAGCCAAACACTTTCAGAAAGCCGGGCATCGCCTGGAGGGCACCAATTGCGGCACTGTCGAAGCCTTCAGGGTTCCTCGTTGTCAGTCACCTGTTGCCCTGAACTCAGAGCTCGAGCTCGACGGAGCCAACTAACCATACTGAGTATTGGCAGTCGCGACAATGCAAGCAATGATCAGGCATTTGCGATTGGCCCAAAGGGACGTCACCGGCAGGGTGACTTGGCTGGTGTGTGGAACTTCCGACATCTTGGTACTGTTGGATAACAGATGGAAAATTCCTTCCTCCTGTAGGCAGACTCATCCACGTGTAGGAGTGCCCTGGACTATATGTCCTCGTGTTCCCTCCACAACACTCCAGCCAAACCTGGGGATCCCCTCCACAGAGTTGGCAGAAGAGATACGATATTGAAAGCCAATGAGCTTCGTGTCGTTCTCCGAGGTTGGACGTCCACATGTGGAGCTTAGCGAGGATGTTTCGATCGCCCCTTTTATCTCAGCCGCCATCCAGCTCGAACCCTGGACGAAAGGAGCAACTGGACTTGCAGCACGCAGTACTGTCCCTCTATCGACAAGGGCAGCTCCGCATGTGGGGAGAATAGACCCCCGACCTCGTCCTTGGTCTGCATGGACCACGCCTGTGGTGGTTTCGAGATGCCCCAGAATGTGGGATTTCCTCTCCCACAGCATGTTCAGAGCTTAGCGCGTGACAAAGACGTGACGGCGAGTGGGAGTAGCGATGAAAACTCAAGCTCCCATTTAATCGAAGACGACTCTCGCCTATAGCAGCCTCGAGATGATAGCTTGGCTTCTTTCGTCGAGCTCGAGCGGCTAGTCCCTGATATTCCCATTGCTGGTCACTGGCTCTTCTCCCCTTTCTAATCTTCCACGCCAACTCCTGCTATACACTGGGCACAATATCAGTGAGTCTGCCCCACATGCGGAGGCAGAACAAGGACACGCTGATTATAACTGCCGCCGCTCATTGTTCGCGCTGGGGTCGTCTGGCCCGGCGATTCGCCGCTGCAAAAGGAAAAGACGGCAGGTTTGATGGTCGTTGGTTAAAGTTGCAGTGGTCAGGACAACCATACCAGAAATAGACAAGCATCGTCGTCCTGTTGACGAATCGGAGATCATGAAACTCCGTAGGATCTCACTACAGGTTTGTCCAACGACGTTCTCACCGACCCTGAATGCTGGTACTGTTGCTGCCCGAAGAGTTAACGGGGAAATGCGATACCTCCACAATCATACCTTTCGACGAATCCAGCACAAAGAAGGCAAGGAATACCAGTGTACGGGAAGGAGGGAATCGAACCATAGGAGGCAGTCCGGGAATCTGAGCCGAGGTCGTGATCGCTTGTCCTCCGCAGAACACATGACTGCATCTCACGAATGGGATTCATTGTGGTCGACTGTGTTGGCGAGTTGGGACCAAAATTTACATGTTGGCATGGTGCGGTAGACCTTCATGACAGCAGCTGACCTGGGGCCCGCACGTTTATCCAGTCCCCAGTGACACCAGTCCACAAAACTGCTGGGTTTGGTTCCACGAACATGGGTGGTCTGGCAACTCCCCGATCCCCTCGCTCATCAAGGTAGATAGTCGAAGTTGAATAAGCCTCTGGCCTCGTGGAAGCTCATTAAATTGGGCATATCCATCATCTGAAATTGGTTCCCATGCTGTTCTGAGTTAATTGGTTCCGGAAATTGATTAATACTGTTCCAAACGTCCCCGAGATAATCGGTAGAGAAGTTGAAATGCTGTGCTTCGAGGAACTCAGCGGTGGGATCTCCATATGGAGGGGGAATGATCCTCGTGTCGCCGCCGCCTTGCAGAGCACACGGCATGGTGGGTTGTGGAAGCAAGTGATCCTGCATGTTTTCCTGCATGGCCTCCCGATGGAGAGAGGCTGAGAATGTCCCACCTTCAGCCCTCCCACTTGACATGGCGTGTGTATATGCGCCACCTGGAAATCGTTGGCATTTTGCTGCACCGCCTTTCATTTGTTGGTCGGGGTCAATAGTATGCCCGGTCGGCGCCATTGAACGATCAAACTGTATTGGAACGGTAACTCTGGAACTCGTCTCATCAATGGACATCTCTGATAAGCCTTGACTATTCATATCGAAGCTCACAAGAGATCCATTAGTCCTTTCAGAATTCGGAATGCTGAAATCAGTGACTGAGGGCCCTTGCCGCTGCAGACGTTCTCGAGTCTCTGCGAATTCTGCCGGAAGTAAAGAGATCACGGTCTTCTGAAATATGAGCCCTTGCATGGGAAATACAAATGTGAGTCCGTCGACTGACCTCTAAAACAGTCTGCGCTCTTTCAGCAGCATTGTTGCACTTTGCAAGAAAAGCAAGCGCCTTTCGGCCAATCGATATGTCCTCGAAAGCGGACTCCCTTCCTTCCCAGTCGGCAGAATCGAGAATGATGAACAGGAATGTCACAACAGATCCGAAGATCATGTGCAAGACGGTGAAACCTCCGCCTTGAAGAAGGTCGCTTTCGCACATCTCTCCGCTGAGGCTCAGAATAGTATGACACGCTCGAACGCAGGCCGCTGCATACGGAGAAAAAGTGATGTTAGATGACGATGTGTTTTCATCAGAAGCTCTGGAGAGGTAGTGCAGGAAAGGTCTGTAGAGGTAGAGCTGAACGTGGGCATGCGACATGCGCAGTAGATATTGGGTCCTGGGGCAGAGAACAATAGTGAGTTCTGAGCTTTGTTGCATCCAAGAAGAGTCCTTACCGTAGCAAAGATCTGGGTGACGTGTGAGATTTCAGTCGGAATCCAAATGGCAGGCTCTCCATCCACCTTTTCAAAGCCCTCTCGATGTCTTTGACCTTCTCAATCCTAACCAGATATGTTGCGGCCAACTTTCCGTGTGTTTTGCTGATGCCTCTGGGCGGATATATATCCCTGACAACCTGTTCCAAGATCTTGTACAGGGCGATGAGAGAATTCAGACCCGCTACTGTGCACACCTCGTCCAGGGGTTGGGGTGCAATGCCCGTCTTCGTGATATACGCATCATTGACTTCCACTGGCAAATCTTGGTCAACATTCTCGTCGTTCAAGAGCCTCGGCATGCCGCATGCCGTCGCGAAGTAGTTACCAAGAAGTCTCAGGACCCAGAAAACCCGCCTTCCTACTTCCCGCTCGATTAGGTCGTCATATTGAGACTTTGAACGATGGAGCCCCATTCGGAGGGCAAGCGTCAGTGCATGGGTCACATATGAGTAACAGGTTCCGGCACGACTGGTGCCTATGGTGAAGAGGATAAGGAAGATCAGTGTTTGGAGGGACACTGCATCAGTACAGTCGCTAATGTCGATAAAGGCACGGCTGGCAGCAAAGTACTGTAGCCTGTGTGAAAATCAGCATCAGAAGGTTGCACTTGGTGTGGCAAACCTACCCCTCGGCGATCTCCTGCTCACGGGAGGACTTCTGGGGATCTGCCTGAATGAACATACACCCCAGAGCAAGGACGGCATAAAGAAGAGGGATAAAGCGTAGCTCTTCGGCCATATAGTCATTGGGTCGTATTGCATACAAATCCTCAAAAGAGCGATCGAAGCTCGGTCGATGAAGGATGGGGAAAAGAGAATATGATTGCACCGCAGCATCTACCAAGGCACGAGCCCATTCTTTGGGCGGAAGGCAGGTGGTCGCCGCAAGAGAGTAATCACAGTCAAAGAGGTTTGCAGTTTGCCTCTTTGGAGGGTACATTCGTGAACGAACATTGTCGCCTGGCCAGTCTTTTATCCTTTCTCGCATTCGTTGGATGAACGCTCGGTCTCCAGAGTATCCCTGGAACACGTCACCGGGATCCTCAATTGCGTGTCGGGTAAGGATGAATTTGGGCGCCGTCCGCGAGATGTCTTCGTCAGAGCCCTCTGGAGAATCCTCGTGAGCATATGGGCAAGGCTGTCCAGCCAAATGACCACCTTTCGCGAGCGGCGTGCGGGTCGGACTAGCAGACCGAGTGAGGTTCTTGATGCATGACTCCAGAACTTCAATCCTGTTTTGGAGAGACTCGACGTGCTCCGCGGTACGAAGACGTTTTCTCTTCTTGCGGCGTGGTTCTGGGTAAATGCAGTCTGACAACATTAGGGATTCTGTTGAAGGAACATGTTCTCATCCTAGGCTGACCTTGAAATGATGTCGCACAGTGCTTGCACGGATTATTTCTGTCACATTTGATCTTCCGTTCTCGACAGGAAATGCAAGCCCTTGAGATAGGACGGAGGTCTTGTGCCTCGCGTTTCTTTCTGTTGCCCTTGGGACTCACGCTACGCGATTGTCCAGAATCGCCGTCGACAAAATTGTGGTGGGTGACGTCCATACCATCTTGAGATATTTCCGGCCCCGTCATTTGGACTTTAGAGGCCCTGGCATGAGGAAGACTGCATGGTATCGGCTGCATGTTCATTGACATTCATCCTCTTTCTTCGCCACGTGGTTGGTGAGAATGCTAATACCATGGAAAGGGTAGAGTCATACACTGGAGACATAGGACATTAGAGTCTAGGAACCAAGTCTCTGTCTGGAGATTGATGATCATTTCAGATAGCCCACAGCGAGGAGATGAAACAGTAGGATTGATTGCTCAGTGCGAGGTAATGATGGTAGAAGTGTTGACGACAAAGAGTTCTGCCAGGAGGAAGGGAAAGAGGAAGTGGGACTGGCCGGCATCCAACAGGTGACTTCATGCGTGATTAATTGAGACCCAGTAAGAATCCCCGGGCGGGTATAGGCGTGCACACAACCTGAAAAGTTAAGTCCGCTGGCGCCGGGGGCGGTGATTTTAGGGGCGTACTCCGTATAGGTAGTGAGGCTGTCTATTTGAGCCCCGTAACTACCCGCTGAGCCACATGTCTAGCCCACTAGCCTCTTTTCAAGGTACCTCAACGCCTATAACTCATCTACCGCGTATTTCAGGCCTCAAACAACCTTCGAAAATACAGTACTACCGTCTATCTACCTACCAACACGATACCCATGGTTTAATCATCCAAATTGATCAAACCCGGTGACGATATCGCCCTGATTATCCTAATTCTACAGGGTACCGTTGTCTCAGAGAACCGCCATACTGCCGGAGGAGAACTGGTGCTGGAATCAAAGCGAGGGTGAGAAAACCGAGCAAAGAATTTCCCCACTGCAATGAAGTCAGCATATATATGTTGCTCGTCAGTCTTCGACGAATGTCATTTTCACAGAACGACTTACCCCATATCCAAGACTTCGATACAGCGAAGGACCGGCAAGTGGAAGAAACGCCCCGAAAAAAGATCTCGTGACCGTCACTGCGGCTATCCCGGACGCCGCATACTGGGAATATGCGTCGATAATGTACGTTTGGATAGATGTGAAGATGCCAATCATGCCAAATCCAAATGGCAACAGGCCGATGATAGGGACAACCCATTGTGCTTTGGCTTCGATCGACCATCCGTACCAAAAGAAGGATATGGGAACGAAGAAAGCAAACAGCAAGCACATGGTGAGTCGCATCTCAGGCTGATAGACGTCATTGTTGGCCTCAGTGAGACGGACAACGATCCTGTCGCTTGTGAGCCCAAACAGAGCCTGTCCACACATCAGTCCGAGTCCCAGGCCAATGTAGGCAAGACCCGTCAGGTCGGGACTCCAATGGTATGTTTCTTGAAAGACGGTGGTAATTGTCGTGAAGAGCAAGTAGAGGCATCCGAATATCACTGCCACGTAGATCGCCAACAGTCCGACAATGGGAGACAGAAATAGCATCTTCAGAGGCCTTCCCAAGCTGCGACTAAGGAGAGTTCTTGCGGAGCGTCTGTCCAGGACATTATCGTAGCAACTTGTAAGATCGTCACGTTCCAAATCTCTCGCAAGGCGCCGGGTTTTTTGACGGATGAGGACGGCGTGGTTGGTCTCGCGGTAGAAAATGAGAATGAGCCCGGTGCATGTAGCTGCGACAATTAAGAGAGTCCAAAAGACCTGAGAGGCAGAGACCAAATTAGAACGACACTGAACATGTGGCTCAGAGAACGTACCCATCTCCATCCTGCGCCCTGCGCTATGAAGCCTCCACAAATTGGACCAAGGACGGGCCCGAACAGGGGGCCAGCAGTGAAGATGGACATTGCCAGCCCACGTTGTTCTTTCTCGAATAGATCGGCAATCGTACCACCACCGATGGTCAAGCAAGCAGACCCGCCCATGCCCGTGAGCAAGCGGAAGACGATCAGAGACGATATATTGGGCGCCAACGCACAACCTATCTGCCACACCACGAAGTGTAATGAGGCAATACTCAACACAATCCTTCGACCGTATATCTCACTGAGAGGAGAAAGGAATAAGGGGCCGACCTAGAGAAAGAGAGAGTCAGAATCCAAGCAGGCGCGAGGCTATTTCTGGAGGAACAATACCGCATAGCCAAGGACATATGCGGAAACAACGAAGGCGCCCAAAATCGTCGAAGTGTTGTTGAAGTCGACATCGGCAAACCGGACAGCAGGCGCAAAAACGGAAGACGCAAAGGGACTATCAGTGTGAAATTCCCACAAAACATGTCAGATTGTCACACATCAAGAAAAGGGGGGAGTTCTGTACGTACCTAATCAGTGTCATTGAGCTCACAAGGGAAAGAATAGTCCATTTCCGCAACGAGGTGTAATTCCGCGGGTACTCTGGATCATCCTGCCCTTCCCATCCGACGATGCCCTTGTCAAGGTCCTGCTCTGGGAGCACATCCTTCTTTAACCTGTGCTTTTCCCGTCGACCTCCTTGTTTCCTCTGAGGCCTGTTCTGCGATGGTTCGTCCTGAGGCGCCTCTGAGTGGATGGGTATCTGCGCAGGTATCTCTTCTTGCGGGTCAACGGCTATAGGAACCTCCACATCCGGGCTATCCTGATCGCTGGTGACTGTTGAAGCCATAGACTTGGACTCTAGGGAGGAGTATCAACGTAAGTATATACTGATATAGTCCGAACAATGCTGCGTCAACATATTTGAACAAATCCTCTTTACCTTAGCAGGAGCATTTATAGACATCTCTAGGCAGCAAGGTCCTGAAGGGCGCCCTGACATTGCCGTAGGTAAATTGGTAAGTATGAGGTCAACTACCTCCCTGAGACCCCGGCCTCGGTATACGAGATGAGGCACCTTCGGCCTTGTAGACGACCACTTCTCCGTGATTTGGGTTAGCGCGAGAGGCGAAAAGTGGGTCAGCAGGTGGGGCGTCCGTGCGCAAGACCAATTAGGTCTCTCTCCCTTGGAAGTAAACGTGGACATCTCGACAGCGACCATGCAGAGAGCCCCGAAATGCGCGGTGTAACCAAAGTAAATGATCGACCGCCGGGTCTCAAGAAAGGAAGAGCACGTTAACCTCGATCACGGGCCAGGATTTTCTGGTGCGCCGACGCCTTGTCGGGAGGCCCTATATCGATGCTCCAGTGCGACGCTGCCTTTCGGGTGGAATTCCCTCGCATCCCTGGGGGGCGGAGAACTTTTCGATTTCAAGTCTGAGTCCATATCCGATCGTGGGGTCTGCGGAAAGCTTGGTGAAAATATCAGAGACAGGTGGGGGGTAAAGTGTCTCTTTACAGGTCCAGCATTGCATTGTACCTCAAGAAAAGACCTAACTCTCGAGGATGTTCTTGCTTCAAGAGCTAAAGACTGGTGAAGATAAGCCCACGAGCCCTTGATTATGACCCGGCCAGTTTTCAATTGTCCACGTTCTTGTCACTCACGCCATGATGACTTCTCACAGGTCAGATGCCTGTTGACTGCTATTACAGGAGTTTCAAGCATAGAGGTGGAAGGCCTGATCAAGGTTGAGCGATGGAATGATTCCTGAAGGTTATGTCAAATTCCACGCCCCCCCTCCGAAAACAAGTCTATGAAGAGATCGTTCGATATGCTTTTGCATGTTTTGTGGTGACCTCCAAATCGAGAACCCCAGCCTGCCTTCTAGTTAATAAATAAAGACCAGGCACCGCTGATTCGGGTTGCCCCTTAATTTTGAGCACCACCTCGCTCAGTTGGCCTGTCCCGCCATGCCGCTGCCCTCCGGTGAGACATGCATTGCGCAGTTTCGCTCAGCTGGTCTGGAACGATTCTCGACAGGTAGAAATCTCGTTGAAATAGATTGAAATCCAAGTACGAGGTAGTCAGTCTATCGACTAACAGGGGGCGGAGAGTAGTGAAGACTAGAAAAGTTCCCCTCAGACGAAAGACATTACAAACGGACATATCGTTCCTCAATCAATGGGCTTGGACATTGATCGATTGATAATAATAGCTGAAAGATAGTCACAGGTCCCATGCATACCGAAAGTCGCACACCCCGAGGCAGTCGCACAGATGCGTCGGGTTGCCACTACACATCGTCCCTTATCTTTCCCTCCACCAACAATGACTCGTGTAAGGGACGAGATGCGCCAAGGGATTGTCGAGCTCGCCAAGCCGAAGGGATCTTCTACCCCAGGTTCCTCAAAGGCAGGAAAAGGATACCTAGTGGACATTTCTCGTTACTGCGCTATCTGATCTCTGGGGACCATGGTGTGAACACAGGGAGCAGATTTCTGCCTGTCCCCATCTGTGCCACATCGTTTCCACGGAAGCATCGCCGTAATCACCAGCTGCTGGACCGCCACGACCCTAACTCCAAGAGCAATGATATGATGAAGAGGACCTGCTCCTCAGCCCACAACCCAGAACTGCGCAACAGCGTATGACCCCAAACCACGCTGGTCCAACCAAGCGTTTATGCAAATGGTATCTCAATGGTCAAGACGTCTCAATCAACACAAAGGAAACGAGCTTCATCAATCTCATACAACTGACCCCGCGTGAACATCGTACACTGCCTCGACTTCGGTTTAGACCCCACAACATGGTGGTTGGAGAGAAATCTTTGACTCTCCGGAAGGGCTGTCGTCGTTCTTGTCGGCATCTCCCCAACTTCATCGGCTCTCATATCTTGAGGGCTGACTTTTCATCAATGATGGCGAATGGACTAGTCTTCTTCGCGACGGGTCTCTTTACGCGAAGGACAGCATCCTGGTCTGACATTCTCCTGCCCAAGGCGCGCTCCACCTTTGCGCCTAAGCTCAGTTTGCTCAGATCATCGGTCTTCTTCTGCGAGGGCACGAAGCGCTGCTGCGACAAACGCTTGTTCTCCAGCCTGTCCAGGCTCTGTGTGAGATGGCGGATCTCTGCCATACCGGTTTCGGGGCTGACTGTGATATTCGCAGCGCCAGAGCCGGAAACGAGAGTGTGTGAATTTGAATAGGTGCTGGTTGTGGTGGCAAAGGAAGGAGAAGCGGAGTAGGTTGAGTAGCGTTTGGAGGTACGCTTCGAAGTGAGCTGCTCAAGGCGTCAACGGAATGCCTGGGCCAAAGGTGGAAGAACTTGGACTTACGCTGGGAGCCATAATAGGCCTTTGGGATTCAAGAGATCGGCGAGACATGGCTGCGACGAGGAGCTTTTATGGTCCCGAGGTGTGTGATGTACCAGCACTGGGGACAAGTGATGTCAATGCGTTGGAAAGTAAGTTGACGGTCGTATTGGCCAAACACCTGTCTGTTTCCCCCAATGACCCCAGATTTTGCGACACCAAAATGCTGGGAATGTGGGAGAGCGGCTGAGACGAAGAGGAATATTTCCAGAACAAATGGGCGCAAGCAAGGGTTAATAAGTCTGGGTGTGCACGGATTGAGTCGAAAGCAGCGGTGACGGTGGAGTGGGAGATGAGCAAGCGTAGCCCAAAACCGCAATTCCGCTGGTGATCAAGTCAAGTCCGGACTAGACGTTCCAACTGCCAATGCTGACGCCAGCGAAGGAGGTGGAGCGCAATCTTTTTGGTGACTCTGGCAACCCGGCGAGATTGGTCGTTGACCTGGTATCTGAGGCTGCAGCAGTATGGAGAGCCGCAACTGAAGATAGACAGAATATTATGAACTCTTGAGGGATGTCGGGTGAGCAGTGGTGATAACGGGGAGGCGGTGGGATGACTCAGGTCGGTGAATGGGACAACAAAGGATGCGGAGGGGATAATCAGCCGTAATGCTAGTGGAAATGGATAAGGCAGATTTGTCAGTCCGGTGGGGAGATTCCGGTGTTTCGTTAGGAGAAAGAGGAGGAGAGACGAGGATAGAGGGATAGCCTGGGAGATAAAGAGGGATGAGAGAAGTGTAGCCTTCTTCTGGCACCCAGCTGTATGCAGTATGATGATCAACAGCTGCAGGCACCGCACCGGGCGGTCGGGCTCTTCTTGAGGTATTGGGACTGCCTGCCCAGGTTTAGAAACAAGCTTGTTTAACCCTTGGTGGACACCTGGCGTGCCTGGGTAACTAGCAGGAGGGCCCCCCCCAGAGCACCTTGGTAACCTCTTGTTTTTCCCTTTGGGGGCGCAAGCCACCGGAACCTCGCCCCTGGTTCAGTCGTTAGGGCGTGGTGCCTGGACCAGTGACAGTGGCTTGTTTCTTCTGGTACCTGATGTCCGGTGTCGCCCTTCCCTCTTTCTGCGCCCTTGCAGCTTGCCTAGTCCAAGCCACTGCCACCACTGCTTCAGGATTCAAGCCTGAACCCGAAATCTGGTCCACCACGTGGCGGTGGACGGACCTTGACCTGCATGGTGACCAGTAACCATTGACCATTGACCACTGCAGCCGTTACCACAGAACTCAGAACTGCGAGCCAACGGGTGAAGAAAAAGGTAAACGGTTCATCGATGCATCCAGCCCTTCGATCATACCACTCACCACCGACGTATTGATCCCGCTTTCACCTACATACCTACACTTCTCCGTCCTCGTTGTTGTCCGGCGGCTACCGACCCCGTGTGCTGTCCTCACCAAGGCACTCCGTCTGGTCATGCGCCCCCTGACGAATCTGGCTAACGAGGCATCCCAACCGAGATAGGTGATTCGCGGCCTAATTGCCCTTTGCCTTGTCCGGCACCAGCACCAGCACCTGTGATCACCAAGGATGATTGATTGGGGGGAGGCTAGAAGGGAACCAGAAGGCCTGGTCGGTTTAGGGCCGTTTCCAAAGGAAAATCTCCTTCTCCATTCCAGCCCCATTGTATCCCTAACAGTGGCTCGTCCTTGGAATCGGATCTCGACTATGCACGCCAGTGTTTCACGACCTGGCGTGCCCAGCGTCAGGGTGACCAGGGTCAAGGTAAGGTCAATAAGCCATGCAGGCCCTCCCGCTGTCCGGTTGTCCGTCAAGCTGCATGCGGCCTGTCAATACCTTCCGAGGATGGCACGATGACCAGCGTCAAAGTCCGCATAACCCTTTTACATCATGCTTTGTCAAACATGACAGCCAATTTCGGCTCGCTATGAAAGGCAGGTCCTGACGTGGGATGCTGAAGAGTTGGGACAACCGTGAAAACTTAGTCTTCTGGCCCAAGGTATGGGGAGGTACGCCACAAATGAATACTGCGGCCAGAACTGCGTATGCAAAGGGTGACATGAAAACAGTGGCCCCGTCGGGGGAGAGAAGCGCACGGAACGAGCTTAGTATGCTTCAGGCCAAAACGCTTGAACGGGTCGACTCGACCCGTTCTAGAAGCCCACCCAGGAGGCAAAGGGTATCTTACACCGGCTCATTATTACAGAGCCAGCTCAACGCTGTCGAATCTACAGACTGTCACTGGCGGCGCCCTCATTACTGTCACCGTCATCGTCATCGTCATCCATCAATCGTGCCAACCAAAGTAATGCCAGCCTTGCGTCCACCATTCATTTACAATCCCCGTCGCGCCGAAATGCTTCGCCAGCCAGAATGCTAATCCACCAGCAACGCCGAAACTGCCCACAATCTGCAGGGCGATCCATCCTCTCGCACGCATGCTGTCCTGCCACCTTAACAGTCCCAGCGGATCCCGCATTTGATAGCTAGGCATGAGTTCGACACCATATGCCATGCCGGTTTTACCGCCCTTTCTGACGAGCGCCTGCACATCGTCTCCCTGCTGTAGAGGCACAATCGTGCCGTCGCGGACTTCTTCTCCCATTCTCTCCACAAGCCAGACGGCCCTCTCCCCTCGTGCGAGCCGCTCATATCGCTCCCTCTCCCTCTGCAGGCTCAGCTGCAATTCACTGGCCCATTTGCTCAGCCGAATCTGCGCCAGTCTTTCCTCCCGTTGTGTGTGGTCGGCTACTTTAGCCAGTGCCCAAGAGTTCGATGTGTTGAGCGAGACTTCTGACCCCACAGGTATCAAAACGCCTGAGTTGGAAGGGCTTAGTGGTGTTTGTAATGGAGAGGTGAGTGTTGAATTCCGCATTGAGGCGTTATACGATTGTGACGTAACAGACGGCGATGGTACAGAGGTTAGTCGTGGATGTGCTAAGTGCCAAGTCACGAGTTTCCTCGCAGCGGTGTGGCGCAGGTAAGCGACTGTCTCAGGCTCGAATATTGATTCTACGAGTAAGGTAAGCTCTGAGGGCAGGAGCGGCTGAATATATTCGGGTGACATGAGGAGGGAGGCGTCCATCGTGTCGAGGTCGGGACCATTGGTAGAGGTTACGGTGAAAGGTGCTGTGGCTGTCGGTGTCGATGTGGGTTGGTTGGGCTCTGGAGTAAATGCGATCGACTCCCCAATTGAAGGTAGGGATGTCGGGAGTCGAGGCAGACTGGACATGCTTGGGTCCAGAGTCTGTTTGATATATTGCTGATCCTCTGGAGTGAGGAGATCCGACTTTGCGATGAGAGGGATGATGTTGCATAATTCAGACAGCTGGCGAATACATTCACAGTCGTCCTGTATAGTATCTGTGGAGCACCAAGTTTAATCACTGCTCAGCTCCTAACATGATACTCAAAGTTCGGGGCAAAACTCTGGCTCACCTTTCGAGATCAGATACAACACCACGTCGACCTGGCTCCCACCCCGCCCACTCAACAACCCCGAGAACTCGCTCGTGAGCTGGTCCACACTCACCATGGCGTTCACGAGTTGTTGCTCCACATAGTGAACAAGCCTCTCCAGCTTGACTGAATCACTGGTGTCCACGAAGCAGACGTTCCGTTCGAGCACGGAGTCTCCCATCGATTTTCGCCGGCGTAGGATGCGAGACTCCTCAATGGCGGACCACCACATCGGATACGGCTTTGTCGAGGCATACACCTCGTTGATCGCCTCGGAAAAACTAGCTGAAGTTCTGTGGGAGCCGTGAGATGAGTTCGTGGTAACAAGAGGGTCGACGTGGACAATGTCTTCGCATAGTTGGACGATAGATTTTATGAGGGAGGTCTTTCCCACGCCTGCATTGGATGCCGCGATTCAGTCAGTAAGCCTGCATTCGCCGCGCTTGTGGATGTCTCATCAGAGATAGAGCAAGGACGAAACGTACCTCTGCGGCCAGCAACCATAACCTTGAACCTCCCTAGTCTCTTTCCCCTCTCCGTAAAGGGCCGCCTGGATGGCATCTTGATGCTAGGCATGATAAGTTCCGGATGGCTGTCCTGTACTCTTCCTCCTCCTAAAGATAGAATTTCAGGTCCACCGACTCGCCCAGTCCCAGCCTCATTCTCATCTTCATCACCACTGGATAGTATTGCCTGACTGCCCGTCTCATCCGCATTAGTCAACAACTCATCGTCGGAATTGGCGGACGATTTCGTCTGAACCGATCTGCGCGAAGCAAGGGATTTCGGGCTGCCAGGTAGAGAAATGTCTCGCGAAGGCAATGGCGACGGAGTGACGACTCTCTCGGGGACAGCTTGGGGAGGGATAGCATTGATCTCAGGGTTCGCGCTGGAAGAGCCCCGTCGGAAGCGTTCACAACTCGTCCCGGGCTTGATGGTTGACCGGCGTCGACTTCCACTCCTTGTTGCACCTGAGGTGTCAGCTTGTCGGGGTGTGGTGTGTTTGGCAGAGGAGCGGTCGCGTTCGGCTTCTTCAATGGTGTCCTGCAGGCTGCTCAAGGGCGACGTCGACGTCGACGCTCCAGCACTCCGGTCGGAGTGGTGCGGCTTTGCGGAGGCATCAGGATCTCGTGAGAGGAAGAACGTAGTGGCAGGATTGCAATGGCGGTCGCGATCACCACCTAATGATGGAGGATGTAAGTCGGCATTGGACGGCTTCCGAGGGCGCGGTGACTCTGCTGCACTGTTATCAAGGCCGATCCCCGGTCTCATCGTGCAGTCATTAAGGGGGCTCGAAGGAGAAGGCGATGATATTGTCCGCAAGGAAGAGAATCCGAAGGGGATTGTTGTTTTTCTAGGCTGAGAGACAGGACTGACAGCTGACAGCGAAGCAAGGTACAAGTCAACCAGGTCACCGATGTCGCGGCCTGAAGTTACTCCTCAGCCTATCCGAGATATTACCCCACGACAAGCGCAGGCAACATACCAGCGGAACCCGTACACACCACGCGGGGCGGATTTCCTTATCGCTGCTTTGGCTGCCTCAGCTGATAGTGCCCGTTCTTCCCATATCGTACCTCAGTGAGATATAATAATACCCCTTCAGGTGATTCATCAGTATTGCCCTAATCCCCGACCGTTAGAAAGTTCTGAAACTTTTTAAACCAACCCATAATCACCATTAGGTAGGATATGTCTCATTCACAATGAGGGACTACTGTACAATTCCGTGCCCACGCCCGTGCCATCCTATCTCTAGGTAATTTAGAGGTCTCGGAAAAACATGTTCTCTTCGTACACACACACACAAATACATGACCTCGCTCGAAAAGACCCGCTTGCCCTGGACCATAACCCTAGGAAAGCCGATCTGAAGTTGTTGCTGCCTCGCTCGCTGGAGTCGTGAAAGGTGGTGGAAATCCCACTTTCGGTTTCGTCCTGAACAATTCTGAAGCTGGCTATGCGAATGACACTGCTGGATCGTGAAAATATGTGTAATGTAATGGGAAGTACTTTTTCCAAGTACGCCGGTGCCAGGGAAATCGTCGAAAAAACAACCCCATCACTTTTTGATCGCTCCGCTTAAACCGTGGTAATGCAAGAAGCAAGTGACGAAAGATTCTTTTAGTGACCGATGCTGTGTTTCAGCATCCCGCACCTGAGGCAACTTCACGCAGCTTGGCCTTGGCCACGCCCCTTGGGAGTGACGGTACCCGTGCCGGGCTTTCCACGTTGAAATCCACTACCACGTCCGGCATCCTTGGGAAAGTTGGTCTGGCTTCCAGATCGGCCGCCCTGCATGCCACCCCGGGCACGGGTCGCGGTTCCACCACCGCGATTGAAGTTAGCGTTGCTGCCGCCGTATGCATTGGGACGGGGTCGACGCTCCTCGACGTAGATCTGTTCAGTACCGACTGCGTGGGGATTCGCAGCAACAGCAGCAGCGTAGCCGGCGGGATCAGCAAACTCGACAAACGCACAATTCTATGCTTCGTCAGTAGACCTCCAAAGCAATCAATGATGCACGGGACTTACCCTAGGTCGCGATACGTCGAAATATTTGAGCTCGCCGTACTTCTCGAGAACCTCGCGAAGGATCCTAGCATCGACTTTGTCGTTCACGTTCTTAATGTACGCCATTGTGATCCCCTCTGAGACGGCTCTGTTCGGTGGTCGGTTGCTCTTTTTGCTGTGATCAGCAGTCTGCCAGCCATTGCTCTGCGAGGTCGGAGTGCTGGAAGTTGTATTTGCGGTCGCTGGTACAGGTTCCGCTTGAGCTTTAGGGGCTTGTGTAGGTTGCGACGTTCGGGGAGCTTTTGGCTGTGGGGCAGGAGTCAAAGGAAGGGCTGGAACAGCTGGCTTTTGGACACCACCTCCCAACATGCTGGCCCAAGTCTTCTTCGCTGGAGGTGCCTCGGCAGGAGCCGGGGTTGGTGCAGCTGCTTCAGGTACCGGTTCAACGGCAACGGCTTCTGGCTCCGCAGGCTGCTCAGTTGCGGCAGATTCGGTGACTTCTTGGCCGACAGCCTCCTCTGTAGGGCCTGAAGGCTCGGTAACCTCTTCTGCCTTTTCAGCAGGAGAGGGAACAGCATCGCCATTAACCTCAGCTGGTTCCTCTGCTGCTGGGGTTTCTTCCACCTTTTCTTCCTCCAGTTTCTCGTCAACCTTCTCGACAGCGCCATCGGTAGCAACGACATCATCAGCATGGGCGGGGACATCGGCCACACCTGCAACAGGGGTGGGGGGCTCTTCCGCAGGGACTTCTGCTTGGGGTTGTTCATCTTCAACGATCTCATCCTCATCATCGCTGAGGTAGCGGAAGATATCGTTCAGGACGAAGTAGCCATTGGGTTGTTCGGCAAGGACAAAGGTCTGCACGAATTTATGATGTGGTTCCGACTTGTTCGACATCTCGCCAATAACCTGAACAACAATATTGTTGAACGAGGCCTGGGAGTCGACGTTGAGGACGCGCACTTTGCAGTCTTGGAGATCGAGGGCTTTAATTTTCTCGCTGATGGCCTGCATTTCCCCTGGTTAGCCAACTTGAACGCCCCTAAACGGATAAGTGACGACGTACCTTTGTCCCAAGAGCAGGAAGAACTTTCTCAGCTTCGACGCCCGTGACCAGCTGTGACTTCTTAGAATAGAACAGGTGAATCTTTTCTGGGCTCTTAGATAGAGTTGTATAATACTGCTCCACAAAGTACCAGCCGATCTCTTGAGGGTCTGCCTTCTGCTGAGTGGCGGAGGCGGTCGTACTTTGAGAAGCAGAGGCAGCATGAGTCGGTGCAGAGGGGGTAGAGGCGGCAAGTTCAGCAGGCTGACCATACTGGGTTGCCCCGTACAAGCCATTAACAGGTGCGGTCTCGGTCGCCATGGTGAGATATCAGGGTGAGGGCAGCCTAACGCGGTGTGGTGTCGTTCTGTTGGACCAAGGGCGAGTCGCGTCGGAAATTGAAATAATCGGACGGGAGACTATGAGTTTGGTCGCGGATGGGAAATAAGGGGATTGAACCAGAGGCGCGGTCAATCAAGCGTGATAGATATGGCAGACTCTTGGTTGATAAATCTAGCACGCAGGCAAACAACAAGTGATTCCTCCACGGGGAGAATTGAAAAAAGCAAGAGATGGTCGCACAAGAGACGCGCAACAAAAAGAGGATGGTGGGAAATGAAATTATGAAAGTCTGGAGTATGTGATGGGCGATTGTGCGATGTGTGGTGGATGAATCAGAAGGTCAATTGCTGTTGCTTGGTGCAGAAATCGCCTTGCTAAGGGCAAGTCTGAAAAATATAAAAAAGCGGAGGCAAGTTGGAGGCAGTCGCAGCCTTGGCGGGTCGAGATCGCTCTCCACCGGTCAAACATTCCCTCGCTTTCGACTGCCTATCGCTCTACTGTCATGATTGGTTCTTCAGCGAACTGCGGAGGGAACTGCAGAGCGTGCATTATGCAATCCGAGGTGGGTTTTACCTGCTGGGTGCTTGCACTTGAAATATCTGATACAGAACACGACCTCCAGTTGCTTGTCCAGCAACATTTCACCTTAATGGCTTGGAATTGCAGGATCGACTGCTTGCCAATTCACTCCCTAAACGCCGTCTCGAGGACTACCGAAGGTGCAAACCTACAGCCACTGATACTGCCGTGGCAGGAAAGATACCAGATTGAGCCTCGTTACTACCCTTCGGGCATATCACTTCAAGAACAGCTGAGAGGTTGAACAGAGACAGCTGCTGGACATTCAACAAAACAACTATCGCCATTCAGTCACCTCTGCTATATGTGTCGAGCGGTTTACAGAAACGTGGTATGCACGGAGTACACTGCCAGGAGGAGTATAGACGGAGCAGGGTTCTTTCGTCCAGGAGTACCAACCCCATCCTCTTTTGCAGCATCAGCCCGACCTCCCGGAACCTGGTAATCAATCCGTGACGCAAATCATCTGCCAATACAGCGCTTCTGCTAACAGGAAAGTTGGCAACCTCGCTAGAAAAGGTTCATATTGGCACGGGCGTACCCGATCGTTGCGAATAGACCCTTTTCCCCGCTCAGATCTTTCCAATGATCTCTCCCCGCAAATGAGATGTGCTGCGGGCATCCGGAAAGTAGAAATACCAAGGCTGCAATGAGAGACGACTGGTGACTTTCATTGACCTTGGTCCTTGGGTAGCCCAGATCCACCCGTTCAAGGGATGCACGTGCAGGAGCTCTCTCTGCCCCAGCTGTCCAAGCTGAAAGGCATCTCGGAACATCCCGTAGTCCTCTATGACTACCAATCCGCGCCGAATGCGCAAAAGACCCGGAATCTTTTGTCCAGGAGTGACATCCCACTCCGGGTTTGCGAACAGAACTTTGTGATGCCGCGTCCTATACTTGCCAACCCGGGCATCACATACAGACGGATCACTGTCGACGCCATAGGCCGCGATTTATATGCCGATAGTCGCGTCTTCATGGAAGCTGTGCAGACCATTTTCCCAACAAAAGCGGCGGCTCTTGCCCAAAATTCAAGTCGACCATGCGTATGAGGCTTTCGGGTACCGTAGCTTTTGAGTCTGTCTCCCACTCGTACCGGTGAAGATTATGAGCATAGAATTTCTGAAAGACAGGGAAGGACTTTTCTGTTTTTAACCACCCAGACACGAGGAACCTCAGCCCCGTGCACTTGCTGAGTTCCGCCAAATCTTGAACGATATTGAGAATGATTTTCTGGCGAACGGCCCAGGGGTTAGAAGGGACAGATGTTCCATCGCCGATATCCACGCCAGTTGGAGGAATAAAATGGTGTTGCAGACCATGGATATACAGGGTGAGCCAGGCTTCTCAGCAAAGGACTTTCCGAAGGTCCACGCTTGGATCAATGGCCTCCGCTCCCACTGCACACCGCTGAGAACGACGGTGCGAAGATCAGTGCAGAAGACGCGAAGCAAAAGATCTTGAGCTCGGGCTATGCAGCGAAAGACGTCGGGATCGATCCTGCAGACCCCACTGGTCTGCCAGCAGGAATGCACGTCTCGGTCAGTACCACTGACGAGTAAGCCACCCCTTCAACATCGCGAAAATCCGCGGGTTGACCAGCCTGCAGCGCCAAACCTGGTGGCAGACCACAGGAAGGTGAACTGGTGGGCCTCAGCAGGCAAGAGGTAGTCATCAAGCTGCGGAATGGCCTTCGCATGCATTGCCTTCGCCTTGGCTTTGTCTTGAAGAGTGTGTGAGCAGAAATCCAAGTGTAGGAAGCTCGTGAGGGGCGCATAGCAGAGTCTACTGCGAGATGGCCTTCTGCTGTACGCAGGTCCGAACGATATTTCTTCCAACTCGTTTCTAGGACAAAGCTCGGCGTGACGCACCTCCATCTCTAGGAATTCTCGATTGTTTCTCGCTAGATCTCAGCCGTCCATATGCCCTTAGGAAGTTCAATAGAACCCAGGACTTCGTGGAACGGCGATGCCAGAGGATGCAGGTAGTGGATCGACCACCAGAGCTTTGTCTTGAACGACGTTGACCGGGTTGGCATCTTGTTCTTCCTTTGCCAGGCGCTCCTTCGCCTCGCGACTTTTCTTCTTGTTGTTTTGCCATACCCTATCCTCTCTTTGGAGTTCTTCTAATACTTCTTCCCATTCGCGCTCTTGTGTTTCATCTCCGGTACCCAGGATCTTCTCTACATCCACTTCTTCGCCGTTTTGCAGCCTTGTAATAACCTCTCTGAGCTTTTCTAACTTGAGATCCGCTCTGCGAGAAAAAGCCATGTATTCATTCTTGACGCCCATGATTCGAATGGCTTGCGAGCCGATTAGAATGTAGATCCAGATGAAATATGACGCTGGATTCGTGGGTTTCTTTTGTACAGATTGCTCTCGGGACAAGGACCTGTCCCGAAATGCTCTGGGAATGATCGAATCCCATATGGAGGTTTGTGCTATGCGAGGGAGACGGCGTTCTTGGGAGGCTGTGTGGCGGGATCGGCGCAGCCATCGCAGCTGGCTCTGACTCGGGTTCAGGACATGCGTTCTGAGCAGACGAGTCTGAGCTGCGCCGCAGGACAGTATGGGCTTCATACCGCTCATCGATGTTGAGGAAACAGCGGTGTGTATGGTTTGCGGTATATTATCTGCAATTCGACACTGAAGTTTCATGTGCTTCCGGAATGGAAAATCTACTCCCGGCTCACCCCGCGTTGGGGATAGGCTGCTGCTGCCCTGTGGTCGCCCCTGGTTAGGTTAGTGGCCACGCCCATTGCAGCGCTTAAAAGTACCTAGGCAGCTCCCGTGGGTGCCGTCGTCCATTCCACTGGCGGCAAGAGAAACTATCCGACACCGAACCTTATGTCCTCGAGCATGGCTTCAATATATCGCAGTATACGGACGAGAAAGGTGCACGACGTCCAGGGATTTCGGCTCACCGAGTCCATGGACCTGAAGAAAGCGCCCGGCCCAGAGCGATAGGAGAGAGCTGATTAGACCGAGCCTATGCCGAGTTTCGTTTGATCCACGCGATGCATATATGTAGATTCAGAAAGACAGGTTACAAGTGTTGGTTGGGCTGCAGGTGTGAGAAACTCAGCACAGCGAGCATCGAACAGTCACCTAGACTCATGTCCCAGATGCAATACAACGATACCAGAAAATCCATTGCCACTCCCTGCCAACAGCCAGCGCACAACCCAAGATAGGATGCGACCAATACTTCGTGCCACCGTAACCCTCGAACCAGTGGATGGGTTTGTTTCGACCACATGATTCTCGAATTCACCCAAAGGACAAAGCCCTGACAGAGCTCTCTCTGGGACAGCAGAAACGCTCAACATGATCAGGGCCAGGAGTCTTCGACCCAAATATCTCCGGCATCCCCCAGCAAAGGCAGGAGCAACAGGCAATAGGGCCCTTGTGTGAAGTGTCGGTAAGGTTGATTGTGGCCGTAGGAACCTGTGAATTCCGAGCTCTTTGAGTGACGGCTGAGGAGTGGACGAAGCTGCCGGGCGCGGAAAACCACTCAGTAAAGACAGCAGCACGGGAAGACATGTATCAGTCAGTGTCGCCTCTTGGCCCCAGTGGTAACCCCTGAGCTCTCCGTAAGCGCCACCTCACCACTCCAGGTAGTGAGAGTAAGGCGTCAAGACCTACATTATGTACTTTGAAAACGCAGCTTACAGAGGATCTCAGGGGGAAAGAAGAGGTGAAGGTTGATGAAGGTGGGAGGAAAGGTGGTGATGAGTTCAAAAGCGGCGCGGGAGCTGGGATGAGATGCCAAGTCGGAAGTAACGAGCTCTTAATGCCGGATCTAAGCGGCGAGTGCAATGTTTATTTCATGGCTGAATGCGGCTGCTACGCGCTTTCACCCGTCAACGGCAGACATTCAGCATAATCAGGTCCAAATAATAGCCAGACTGGCAATATAGTGCATCATGCACTTAACGAGCATTATTCTCTTACAATGACAGTTCTTCAGGATGCCGTTGCTCCGCCGCATGATGTGGTTCGCGCCCACCTCAACCTGGCTGCCCCAACAACACGAACCTTGACTTTTTTGCGAGCTATTCTCGGCCTTGGTTCCTTCGATGAGTGTGGATCGAAGGCCGTTCGTGCTTCAAGCAAAAGGGCCGTGCAGGCAAAAGGCTCTAGCATAAGTCGACCGCCAATCAGACAGGCAAACAGAAGTAAGCAAAAGCCAGGCGCAGTAATCCAGATCCATGAGTGCAACGACGAGCAGGCACCGCGTCTGTCGCCGGCCGAGCGGCGGAAGATTGCCACTGAAACATTGAACTCCACGTTGAAATGTCTGGGAGAGGCTGCCAAAGCTCTGAGAGAAGCTCCAGCAACGAACACTGCGCCGTCGTTCCACGCCCATAACGAACCACTTCAATCACTATCACCGAACAAGGGGCGCAAGAAACCTGCCATCAGCTGCAAGAAAGGCACTCCCTGCACTCAACCAACGGACTGGGGCTTATTTGCAGATATTTCCTACTCTGCCTTGCAATTTTTGAGGAAGGATGTTCCCAAAGATGTGACGCCGATCGCGGACAGCAGCCCCGGCTTGGAAAACGCTGCGTTGATCTTGCTGGACAGAAGCATCTCCTTGAGTCTCAGAGCCCAAGCACAACGTCAGCTCTGCGACATTCACGAAATATACTGGGGAGATGAGCCCAAAAAGAGACCTGCTCCTCTTGCCGGGATCGCGAGGTTTCTCATAGGACGGCCAGACGCAGCAGATGACGGTCAAAGGTTCCGACTCACGGCAGCTTTGCAAAGCCAAGCTCTACGTTTTGCTCTGCTGGTGGGGCCAGAATGTATCGACTCGGAGCTTTTGAGGTCACTTCAACAGGATACCATTGGTAGTCCAGCCTGGGTCACGTCGAAAGGACTGGACAAAAATCTCTTAACGCTGGAGCAGTCTGGTTTGCAGCATCGCACTATCTCTCTCGCCCTGTCGAAGCTGTACGCGCTGTCCACAAACTCAAAAGCAGAGAGCTCATCACCTCAGCATCTTTTTAAACTCTTTTGCTTGTCATTACGCATCAAGTTCGAATCTTGGGTTCACCTTGGCCACTTACCGGACCCAGCAGCAGAAGTGTGGCGACCGCTTCACAAAGCGATCAAGCGACTATTCGCGACCTCCAAGGATCTTAACGCATCGACAACTTGCATGTTTGAAGAACTTGCTCCGTTTCAGAAGCTTATGAAGGTAGCAAAGTGCGAATTTCATGTTCCCGCAGATCTGATGGAGACTCTTTTGAATATTGTCCGGGATCTAGACGAGTGCCCTCAGCTCATTGCTTTCGTGGAAGAGCAGCTCCGGCAGACTAGCGGAGCTTTCAATCTGACACTACAGTGCCAAATTGCATTATCACGCCTTAGAGCTTCAAAGGGATTCCCAAAGATATTGGAATCGTTGAAAAGCGTGGAGGGTGCTCTTGCAGAGGCAAGAGAACTGTCTGCATTAGAGCTGGACAGGTTCCTACTGTATCTGGCCCAGCTTCGCAAAGCAGCCGCCCAACTGATCTCGTTTGACAAAGCACGACCTGTTGTGGAAGAAAATAGACCGTCACGAGGTTTACAGAGGATCCTTATCCGCTTGACCTATTGTTCCTTCAGCTTCTTATGTCGGCACATCGGTTCAGTTCTGGTGCCAAGTTCAGAAAATCCGAGCGTCGAGCATCGCAACGCCTTCCTAATCACACTCTTGAAGACGATTGATGCTGTTCTGTCCACCGAACAATGTGCCATCACGCGAGACTCAGACCTGGCGGCGGAGGCATTGGAAGCTTTCATAGGCTGCTCAAAAGTAATCCAGACTCTTCGAGTCGAGTACGTTTGCTTTATCACTCAGTGCCAGATGGAGTCGTCACTCAACCAGTTGAGAGTACGGATCTCTCAGTCATTTTGGTCACGGTACTCGGAAACCGTCAGGGAGGGCAAATCTCCTTTGGAGCAGGCAAAGAATCTCGACTTGTCCCTCGTGGGCCTGTTGGATTTGCCATCGAGCGAGCAAAAGGCAGCGCATATCGTGCTCAAATATGAGAGGCTAGCAGCCTGTTACTTGGAGGTAAACAACTTTCAAATGGCCGAAACCGCTCTTCGAAATGCAATCGAAATCAGCATCAAGCAAGGCGTCCTCAGTCAGGCTGTGGAATTGCTCCTTTCTGCTCCATTTCCTTGTCCATGGTCCAATTCCGATTCGGGGTGCAGAGCCTTTGGAAGAATCTTAAGTACATATTCCAAAACTGTCCTGAATCATACCTCGATAAGCGGAGACGACGGCAGCTTTTATGACGATTCATCATTACCACCACTTCATCGTGCAGTGCTGCTTGAGAAGCAGTTACTTGCTATGTTTGAGCTCAGCATGGACGACCATCGACTCAGGCTGTGTTCAACAACGGTGAAGACTATACTGTCGCTCCTGCAGCAACCAGAATATCAGGTGTACATCATGAGGCTTATTAACCAGCTACTACAGTTGGCCCTGAAGAAGAGGTTGCCACCTTCAAGCTTTATCCTTGACTCCTCTGTTATTCACGGGCTTCTTGCGACTTCCCTCACAACAGGGAAAAACGTCTTCCTGACCAGGTATGAGCCAGAACTTCGTTCGCTCCTTTACCTTCAACATGGGTTTTTCACTGGACTGGTTCCCAGACAAGTATTGTCGCAAGAGGTAAAACAACTGTGCGAGATCATTCGGACCTGTAAAACTGGTGAAGAGGCACGTGTGAAATGTATTGATGTCGGAGCACACCTCGCTCCTCTACTGCTTTCAGTCGAATATGCGGCAATTCTTGGAAATTATGGGATCGGCTTGATGGCCCTGGAAACTTTACAATACCTAATGGGGCTTGGAGTTGACGGTCAAATGGTGTCACACAAGAGGATCCTCCTCCGCCAAGGTCAATTCCACGACATGCTGAAGGACCTTCAGTCTGCCCAGAAGGCTTTCTCCATGATCGAAAAGGAAACTGAAGACAACAGCGACCCATTGTTCGAAGTTGAATTTGCACTCGCCTGTGCAGAACATCATCTAGTTGCGGAAGATCTTGATGAGTGCTCCAAGTGGCTAGAACGTGCTCGAAGTGCATGGCAGGCCAGGGGAAGATCAGAAACGGGGATTTCAGCCAAGGCTAGATTGCGAGAACAGAGTATGTGGTGTAGAGCTGCTCATTTGGCGTCGCGACTGGCTTATGAGTCAGGACAGCTTGCAAACGCGATCGTTCTCGCACGACAGTCCGCAAAAGTCTCGGCAAGTATTTGGTCTTCAGTTGAAAAAGTCTGGACTTCCGCAACTCCTGTACAATCAAACGGATCGACCAATCCTGCACTGCACGGTCTGTCCGTCGACTTCTCCAATCTTGATCTATGCAGCCCTCCGGTGGTACGAATGCCGTCGAGCGCAGTCATGCTTGGGCCCGAGGTGTCGTTATGTTGCTCAGTGTTCAGCCATATGGCATTTCTAAATGCCCATTGTGGCGTATATCAGGATGCCGCCATGTTTTATGAGCAAACGCTGAAGGCTGCTCGAAAATGGGGGTATTCAATTCATACGTCAGTTGCCCTGAGTGAACTGGGTCTCCTGCATGCTCGAGCTGGCCAGGTCGAGAAGGCACAGGTTATGCTTCAAGAGCTGTCGCAGATCACCAAGGACTTCGATGCACACTGGGTACAGGCTCTTATATCCCTCAACCAAGTCGAAACGTATATAATCCTCGGGGACGATCCAGCCGCTTCTCAGTGCTTGATCGAGGCAAAGCAGCTTCAGATCGACAAGGATACTCCATCCACCAAGCTGATAATGAGCAAGTTCCAGAAAGATACTGCCACCCGCGGCCCGGCAAAGCCTTCAGGAAGAAAACGCACCGTCAAGGGACAGAGAGGGAATGACTCAATGAGAGCCACGCCGAAAGAGTGTGTCCCGTCCCCTAAATCTTCTTTGGGCCTGAGCGGCTACAGTGCGAGAATCTCAATGTTGGAATCTAGACTTCAGACATTCTACGGTCACGCAGGTTCGACCAACCCACCCGATACTGACTCTCGATGCGACAGAGATGAGGACGGCCGTAACTCCACATCCATCGCTCTCAGCTTGGTCCACTCTGCGCTCAAAATTTTCTCGGAAGATACCATACATAATGTGCTCGCCGAAACAGCTGTCGCTATTCCAGTAAGGTATCGATCAGCAAGAAAAAGTGGCAGGGTTTCATTTATTCAACCTGTGTGTCCTCGGGCTTTTGAGGAAAAGAACCAGGACCCAAAGAAGCGGTCGAAGCAAAAGCAAGCGGTAGAGACCGTCAAGGATGGAAAAGTACTGCTGCTTCAAGCCTACGATATTCTCCGCGAAGTCAGCGACAAAGAGCAAAATCGAATACCTTGCGACATTGTTCACGCTCGCCACAAACTGCTGGCCCAGATCAGTCTGCTTTCATCAGCCTTGAATCAACCATTGGTTAGCTGTACTTCAAACGTCGTGTTAGACATGACCAGTCCCCTCGATCTCGCCCATACGCGGGAGCGCTTCCTGACTTCGGGTGAGCTGAGTGCGACCAGGATAACGAGCATGGAAGAATGGCCTAGTGCGCAACATCTCGATGACACCCGCACATGTCAAAACTCAGATGTACTCGAAACGTACGACACGAGCGTTTTACCGACATCATGGTCAGTCGTGTACCTTGGACTGAACGAGGATAGGAATGAGCTTTTTGTGGCCCACTTGGCGCACCAGCGGTCGCCATTTGTTGTCAGGATTCCTCTAGCACGACCAGATCCATCAGAAGGAGACTGTGAGGAACTTGACCTGAAGAGTGCCAAGGCGAAGATGCAGTATATCATCATGAAAGCAACCTCTAGTGCACACGATGCCAGGGGTTCATCGGTCGACAAGTCTGTCAGAAAGGCGTGGTATGCCGAGCGTCAAGCCTTGGATCATGAGCTCGCCACGTTGCTAGAAAACATCGAGAGCATCTGGTTTGGTGGCTTTCGAGGACTACTCTCTGCTCCTGATATTGATGAGACCGGACTTAAGAAGTTCGGACAATGTCTCTCTTCAACACTGCACCGGCACCTTCCCTCCAGGCAGAAATCGTCCAAGTCATGCGACCCGGGGATCGAACTCCATGATCATGTGCTGGAGCTTTTTGTGGCACTCGGCCATCCCCGGGAGGTGGAGTTGGAGGACGCGGTCACAGACCTCCTGTACTTCGTTGTTGATATCTTGCAATTCAATGGCGAGCGTAACGCATATGACGAGATCGATTTTGATGCCATGTTGGTGGAGGTATTGGACGCCCTGCATTCTTACCACGATCGGCAATCAACCTCGCAGGAGAAACAGCGCCATGTAATCCTGGTCTTGGATAAAGAGTTACAAATGTTTCCCTGGGAGTCGCTATCATGCTTAAAAAACCAAGGCGTTTCCAGGATGCCATCCATCGCATCTGTTTGGGAAAGATTGAGGGCCATTGGAGGTCAAGGGCACAACCTCGAAGGTCACATGGTTCCGAGAACAGACGGTTCATATATCCTCAACCCGTCTTCTGACCTAAGGGCAACACAAGAGACATTTGGCCAAATTTTCCAGAATCAGCTGCCCGGATATCGAGCTATTGTCAATCGGCCGCCTGAGGGGAACGAATTCGAGGCGGCTTTGCGGGACAGTTCGCTCATGCTCTACTTCGGTCACGGCGGCGGTGGGCAATACATCAGACCTCGCACGATCCGTAGGATGGACAAGTGTGCTGTGGCATTGCTAATGGGCTGTAGCAGTGCCAAACTGACCGAATGTGGGGTATATGAGCCGCATGGCACGCCTCTGACTTATCTCAGCGCAGGGAGCCCGGCCGTGGTAGGGACACTGTGGGATGTCACCGATCGGGATATTGACCGTTTCGCCATGGAGCTGATGGGCGAATGGGGATTGATCGATATTGGTGCGAGCTCAGCAGCACAGGCACGACTCCACAGGCCTGGAAACGCCAGAGCTGGCGAAGAGAATGGAAAGAGGCACCATGGGCAGAAGGTTGGTTCGGTGTCTTTGGATGCGGCTGTGGCACACGCCCGTGATGCGTGCCTGTTGAAGTATCTCAACGGGGCAGCGCCTGTTATGTATGGAATCCCGGTGTTTTTGGGCTAGACGAGAAGAATACAGTTGCTGTACGCGGGTATTCACAGCCCTGTTGTAGGGATATGCTCCGTCTCGTGTCCGTAGTGAGACCGAGATAATATGCCTGTCAGAGATCCTGACCCCGACTGAGCCATATCCACTAAGCTGGAATTAGACTAGTGTGTGCACCTCAGATGCCAGGGAGCTGCTCAGGCTGGCCAATAGGAGGTCGATAAGAGTTCGGAGCTCACAGGGGCCGAAGCCGCCTAGGCTGACTCCGTCATCCATCTGCGTAGCAAAGGCAACAGCCATTTCACTGCCTCCCTCCCCTGCACCTCAATTGATCGCCCACTCCTGTACTACTCAACTTCTTCTCACCATATCTCTGTCTGCCAAATATTGGGTTCTCTTCACTACGTCGTCTCCTCTCTACCTTGCTGATGCAGCTTGACTCCCACCGTCGTCAACTGAGCATCACCATGCCTTGCCGATGGTCCTCCCGACGCTGCTCCTCGCGGGACGCAGCTGACGAGAACGCTGTCACCAATGCCCTCCCTTCTCCCACCTCTACACCTGACGTGGAGGACTGGAAGAAGATTCGCAGGTTCAATCTTCGCATGATGAGGAAGCAGATTCGCTGCGTCGTCCTGCTCATGGCTTTGGTGGAAGCCCTCCGGGTCGGACCATTGCAGATCGTGTATGCGGGCAAGCATGAATACCCGGCTCCCGGAGAGGACGACTACGGTGTATGTTCTGCCACTGCTAATCCCTTGGATATGGCAACGGATGCTGACACTGCCTGTCAATCTAGATTGCCTACACAGTCGGATACATTCTCAGCTGGTTGTATGTCTGTGTGTTCATGGTCATTTGGATGCCGCTTTTCGATGTGAGCCGTGATACTCTTCGACTCTTACTCCTTGACGGCCTTACTGACGTTTGTGCTTGCAGTGGTGGGTTCCCAAAACGCTGCCCGGCTCTGATGACCCGTCCAAACCCTCGACCGCGATGAAGGTTATCTGCCTGCTTAAGAAGGTCAACATGATACTCCTTCCCATTTCCATCGGCGTCTCCGTCGTCACCTACCTCTACTATGCGATGCATACCTTTATCTTCGTCGACTCTCGCACCCGCGGTTCCAGCAAATTCCCAAAGAACACTCGCAAGAACTGGCTCGTCCGTGCTTTCATGCTCCTCGGTATTGCCATTACCACGAGCTTGGGATATGGTGCCTTCCAGACCCTTGACAACTTGGATCTTGCGCACGTCAAGAAGATTGAATACGCTTTGATCGTGGTGCCGGTGCAGATCAACTTTGGCATCCTTTTGGGAACGATCATGCAGTTCCGCATGGAAAAGAGACTTGCCCGCCGCCAGGCATTGAAGTTGCGGGCTGAGAGGATCGAGGACGGCGTGGTCGAGGAAAAGGCCGCCCTTCTCGACGTCTAAACTGCTTGCCGAGCGTTTGGCCCAGCATTACCTGGTCATATTGCTATCAACTGCTGAGGGCAACGGTTACGAGCAGTTGTAACACAATTATTTGCACCTGGTTGCTGGGCAATGAAGACAGGGGAGGGGTGAATGGTAACCCAATAGGGTTGGGTATGGCGCATTGCCCAGGACGACGGAGAAACAAATGTCGCTCCTTTCGCAAGAGCCTTCACTGGCCTGGGGAGCATCTCAGGGGAATGAGACCTTGGAGAGGCGGAGAGACAAGATCACATGGAGAAGATGGACAGCTAGGAATACGTTGGCATAATGGCTGGACTTTCGGGGAGGAGTTACACGGTTTCATTCGTTACCAAATATGATCTGTCAATTGTTTCTTTGGCGCACGACTTATGCCACCCGGTTTTGGGGGCACAGTACAGCACAGCACAGCACTTCGTTTGCAACTCTCAAAACCAATGTGTCTAGGATAACTCTAGAGAACTGTGATTCTAGCCCACTTGACATCTTGTTGAACAGACGTCGAGGCGGCCGTGCCAACAAGACAACCACTTCACTGACAGAACTTCCTTTCACCTGTACACAAGACAAAGGGAAAGCTGCGAATCTCGCCCTGGCCCTCGCCCGGTCTGCCCGCGTCCCCAAACTCGCCCTCGAACTTCTCGACGGACTTGTCCATGCTCCAGGCCGTCTCGACGCGGACGTTGACGAAGCCGACCTCGTTCAACAGGGCTTCCATCGCGGCGCGGTTGATGCCGTGTCGTTCGACGCCGCCCATCCTCGACTGAGCGTGGAACCGCTTCGACTCCGGGCCCGTGTCCTCGAAGTCGGTCAACGCCAGGCTGCCACCGTCCTTGAGGCAGCCGAGCATGGTGGTCAGCACGGCCTTCAGGTCCGGGATGTGGTGCAGGACCAGGTGCGAGGTAATCAAGTCGAACTTGAGCCTCTTTCCGTCCGGGTCCTTGTCGTTGGCGGGAGGGAGATGTTTGTCCTCCGGATCCTCCAACAGCACCGCCACGGGGACGATGTTCTGCGGCGCCCCCGGGGTGGTCTGCAGCTTGGTCTTGAGCACGTCGATCATGCCCTCGGCGGCGTCGACGGCGACCAGACGTCGGGCATAGGGCGCCAGCATGAACGAGAGCAAGCCCGTGCCGCAGCCGATCTCCAGGATATCCAGGCCGTCGGGGCCCGGTGGGGTTTTCAAGGCTGGGAACCGCGGGATGATCGCACTCGCCGCACACTTGCTCGCGCGGTGGACGAAGGGGTTGCGGTCCCACGAGGCCGCTTCGGCGTTGAAGCGTTCATTGCCTGACCCGGCGTGATGAAGGGATGACACGGCGCTGGCCATGGATTGGGTGGCTGTGTTAAATAAAATCCCAAGATGGCAACGCCGAGGAAGGCAATGTTTCCAAGAGCCGTCTAGTCACGACGTTACTATTCCCTCTTTACTGCTGGACGCTGATGTGTTATCAGGTTTAGGTATTCCGACAACGCATAGAATGAAACAACTACCACCAACCACCACCACCACCACTCACAATACATCCAACCAGCCAGCTTCCCCCCAATCACAAACCTTCGCGGGTCAGATCACAACCCACCAATTCACTATTACTGCTGCGGAGAAACAAGCTTCTCTCGGAAGTCGGGGAAGAACCCCCAGAACAAAAAACGTCTCGCTCAGTTCGACCTCGGTTCATGGGCTTCTGCTTCTGAAAACGTACAGACCACCGTTCGAGTATGACTCTGCTGGCGTCGACGAGGCTGGCACAGGACAGGGAGAACGAAAAAGTCCCGATAGGTCTGCGGCGCTGATACTAATATATGGGATTTCCTGATCCAGTACATACCTCGGGTCTTATCACGCCATTACGTGTGTCCTGGTCTCTTGTCGAACTAATACATCCAACAGGCGTGGTTATACATATACATACTTTCTCCGCTCTTCCCAGACCTCACCTCCTCCGGGGCTCGGGTATAACAAGACTATATCTCAGAGAAGACCAAAGACGAAGAGAGCCGCCGGTCTAAAGAGCTCGCATTATCAGGTCTTCTTCTTTCTCTCCTCTTTCTTTCATCTATATCTAAACAACCAGAAGCTCTCTCCTCTCGAGGCCCAGATGTGACCTCCCCCGACTCCCTCCCTCAAGATCTCTTGGTGTATATATATACACACATACACAACTTCTCAGACCCGACTTGCTCTCCCCTTTTTTTGGGGAGGCTTCCTTACCATCCATCCTATTCTATCCTCTTGTCTCCTTTTTTTTGATCCTCGAAGGCCCCCTCAGCCTACCTACCTACCTACGATGGACCCCACTGCCCTCACGGGCGCAAAGGTAATCGCCCAGGCCCTGCACGACCTGGGCGTCCCCGTCATCCACACGCTGGTCGGCATCCCCGTGGCCGAGATCGCCGAGGAGGCCATCGACCTGGGCATTCGGGTGATTGGGTACCGCAACGAGCAGGCCTGCAGCTACGCCGCCTCCGTGTTCGGATACCTCACCGGCACGCCTGGGGTGTGTCTCTTGACCGGTGGGCCGGGCATTCTGCACGGTATGGCTGGGGTAAGTGTTCCCTATACCTCTACCGACTATATTGAGCTAGCACAACCCATCTACCCACCAAGAGGCAGGGGCTTGTATCGTACCTCCCTCTGTCTACCTTATTTGGAAGGGGGAGAGGGGGGGTCTTCGTCTTTCGAACGCCCTCTGTTCTTTGTGGATGATGGGCTGTTTTCCATCCCCGTTCCCAGTTTGATCCCTTTTTGGTTTGTCTTTTCTCTTTTCACCTTGCTGAGCCTTATATCCTGGATTATGTATTCGCACAGATCGGTAACGCCTCCGCCAATGCCTTCCCACTGCTCGTGCTGGGCGGCTCGTCCGAGTCCGGCCTGGCGACCAAGGGCGGTTTTCAGGAGATGGACGCCATCGCCCTGCTGACGCCGCACACCAAGCGTGCCATCCGGCCCACGTCAGCGGACCCGTCCACCGTCGTCGCCGCCATCCGCAACGCCTACCGCGTCGCCTGGTACGGTCGTCCGGGCCCGACGTTCGTGGATCTCCCCACGGAACTGATCATGGATCCCAGCCCGGCCAAGCGGTCGACGTCTCATCCCCCCATCGCCGTCCTGGCGCCCCCCAAACCGTCCGCCCGACCCCGCCCTGGTCGTCGAGGCGGCACGTCTCCTCAAGTCCGCGTCCGCGCCGCTCGTCATCGTCGGCAAGGGCGCGGCGTACGCCCGGGCCGAGAATTCCATCCGCAGCCTCGTCGCGACGCACCACCTGCCGTTCCTCCCGACGCCGATGGGCAAGGGCATCGTGCCGGACTCACACCCGCTGAACACGTCGTCGGCCCGCTCCGCGGCGCTCAAGCACGCCGACGTGGTCCTCCTGCTGGGCGCGCGGCTGAACTGGATCCTCCACTTCGGCGAGGCGCCCAAATACCGCCCGGACGTGAAGATCATCCAGGTCGACATCTCGCCCGAGGAGCTCGGCCGGGCGAACAGTCTCGGACAGCCGTCGCTCAGCATCTTCGGCGATATTGGGTCCGTCGTGGACCAACTCCACCGGGAGCTCGGGCAGGGGTGGAAAGCATTTCCGAGCAATACCTTCCGTTCTTCCTCTCTCTTGTCATCGCCCAAGCCGTCCTACCTCTCCCTCCTCGCGGCCAGCGCGGCCAAGAACGAACAAAAGTCCATCCGCCTGGCGACAACCCCCACCACGCCCAACGCTCTCCTGACGTACGAGCGCGCCTACCACATCATCAAGTCCCAGCTGCACGCGCTCTCGCCCCCGCAGGACGGCGGGATCGTGTACGTCTCCGAGGGCGCCAACACGATGGACATCTCGCGCAGCGTGTTCCCGCTCGAACACCCGCGCCAGCGCCTGGACGCCGGCACGTACGCGACCATGGGCGTGGGCATGGGGTACGCGATCGCGGCGTGGGCGGCGCATAACATTGCCCCGCCGCGACGAGCAACAACCAGGAAGCTGAACAAGAAGAAGATCGTCGCGCTCGAGGGCGACTCGGCGTTCGGGTTTTCCGGCATGGAGATCGAGACCATGGCCCGCCACAAGATGGACGTGCTGATCATCGTCATGAACAACAGCGGCATCTACAAGGGCGACGCGGCGGACGAGACCGGATGGCGCGAGAAGCAGGCGCAGACGGCGGCGGACGACACGAAGATTGCTGCATCCACCACCACCTCCACCACCAACAAGAATGTGGCTGGCGCCAGGAAAGGACTGCGCAGCACGTCCCTCCTGTACGAGACACGGTACGAGTGTCTCGCCGACATGGTTGGCGGGCGAGGCTGGCTGGTGCGCACCGAGGACGAGTTGGCCGAGGCGACGCGGCAGGCGTTCCTCGAGACGGAGAAGGTGTGTGTCCTGAACGTCATCATCGACCCGGGCCTGAACAGCGCGGCGAGCTTTGGGTGGATGGAGACCAAGGAGAAGCACGGTGGTGGGGGAGGAGGAGGAGGGGAGAGTAAATTGTGAACAATCTTTGGCGTATTTTTTTTTGGTGAACTGCCAATCCAAAGGGAAAAAAGGACATACACATACATGACATCTATGAACCAAAATTCGAACACTGCATGCCTGCCCTACTGTTTCTTGGTATAGAATGCCGTCGGTCCCTCGACTGGCTGGTTGCAGTGGAAATAAGAGTGTGGATAGGTCGCCCTGCTTCTCGGGGGAACAGGGAGATATTTGTTATCTGGGTTTCAATGGAGTACATATATATTAGTGTTAGAGATAGTCGAGCGATGGATAATGAGGGTCTGATTTTCTGAAGACAGTCTGGGGACGTTTGGAATAGAGCATGGTATGGCATTTTCTGATCTTGGCCAGCAAGGCATGTAACAATAGTATGCTTTGGCTGGGGACCGAGCAAAAGGGTGGCAGTCAAATGCAAGTGATATGCAGGTAGTGAGTCAGTCCTCTGCAGCTGTCACTCTTCCTTGTAGCAAATGATCCAGTTGAGATAGCCAATCGGCCACGTGTGGCAGGCTTGACCACTCTCAAACTTCCAATTTGCCAGCTTCTGACTCCCGACGTGCCGGTGGAGGAGAGCTTCGACTTCCTCGGGCGTTCTCGTCCTCAGACACGAAATGTAGCCATCCCACACCCAAATGAACGGGACGATGGGGACCAGGTAGGTGAAGAACAGGTGGCCCGGTGAGTGCAGGAAATAGATTGGCGTGATGAGCATGGCGAGCGGCCAGAGCAGACTGACCAGGATGAAGGAGCTGATGTGGCGGGACTGGAGCTCAAAGATGCTGGACAACAGTTACTCGGTGTGGCCCCCCGGGACACAGATCAGGAACACTCACCAGAATCCGTCTGACGTCTCGATAGTGTTCTGGAGGATTTTGGCCGCAAGGTCATCGTCAAAGTGGTGGAACGCCAGACTGAACAGGCGCATGACCTTCTTCCCCTTTGCATCAGGAACATCCTTGAGCAGCGTCTCCTGGGTGGGCGCATTCGTGGCGTCCACACTCTGCGGGATGTAGCTGATGTTCCTGCTCTTCTTTGCAACCGCCTCCCACGCACTGACGTGCGGGCTGATGTCGGTGAGGACGAACTTGACTTCTTCCTCTCCTGCAGCACGAAGCTCACTGTTCAAGTGATTCTCGATGTACGGTGTCGGACCGCCCGCACCGGACGCGAAGTCGACGTAGACATACTCTGACAATCGAGGGCCGAGGACGGTGGAGAGCACCTGAGAGACCAGGGCTGCCGGAGAGGTGGACTGGATGATGGGCAGCCTATTGATCCAACCCAGGGTCAAGTAGTCCTGCACTTTTTCTCGAAGGATTTGAGGGAACCTGCAGTGTTTCGTTCAGCACATATCTCAACCTGGGGGAGAGGGGCTGCCCTGAATACCATGGCTGGTCGTTGACTTCGAAGAAATGCCTCCGACGAAGCCAGACGGTCTGGCTAGCGGGCGTCATTGAGATGCGGTACTACACCACTCAAGGTTGTGGTCTGACAAGTCCATAACCACAGTGCCAGGCGGGGGAAATATAAACAAAACGTGAGAGTTCATCTCAGGTGTTGTTTCCCAGCAGGTGGTGTATGGAATCATCGTGTGTGTCTCGGGAGGGTTTCCAGTGCAGCTTTCTCATTAGTGTGAGTTTCAGCCTCTAGAAGACGTCATCCAACTGAGTGAGCCTAGGCACCCATAGGTACCTAGTGGTTACTATTAGTGGCCCCTCGTGCCCCTCCAGCCCGGCATCTGGGCGGAACGGCGATCAGCTTAAGGTCTCCATTAGGCGCACCACCTACCGACTACTGTACTACTAGGCGGTGGAGCAGTTGCTCGTGATGCTAAAGTTGGACCCCAAGGAATCAATCGTAAACTTATCTCTTTTCAACCCCCGTCCAAATACTCCCCAGGCTTTCATTCACATCTCAGATCTAGACCCTCCTGGCTCATCAGAATGCATCCTCCGCCACATCTCGGATTCCTTACCCACGTGGTCATTGAAATCCCGGCCTGCCTCTCGTTCTTTCTGTTCCCCTCTCGCCAGCTGGGAAAACATACGCCACAAGCACATGCCGTTGTCCGGCAATATGCCGCGCTGATACTGGCTTCCGTCCTGGTGGCGATGGTCTTCGTCAACCGGCCCCTCGACGACGCGTCGGGCAAAGTTGCTGGGGCGCTCGCAATCTATCATGTCGCCCCTTCCATCCGGTCGGTAAACAGGTTGACTCTTCAGGCACGGTTGCGAAACCCAATCATCATCTCTGAGGCATTTCTCTACCTGGTTGTACATGTCATGTGCTTTGCTGCGCTCCTCCATGACGCCTGGTGCGCCCTGTATGTACATGGAAAGTCACCCTGAAGGGAAGCTCGTCATCCCTTCAATGCTTTACCATCAGTCGACGTCCTCGGCCACCAGAGTCTCCGTGGGGCTCTCAGTCCCGGAGTCTGATCCCTGGTTGCTTCTTTTGAGCATCATCATCTCGACAGCGATCCCTGGGCCAAAGGCACACGCCACTATGTGGTCTTTCGTCTCGCCCTCCAGCAGTCGGTTCATCACACTGAAGATGGTGGCGCTGGAACTATTGCCGTGAGTAATGTAAACCTCATAGCTTGCGCGGAGAAGCTCGGGTTTCAGATTCATCGCTCGTTCCACCCCGGTGATGACCGTGGCGCCACCAGGATGAAGCGCCCAGTCGTAGTCCGAAGCCTTGAACTTCCCGAGGTCGACCAGCTCTGGTATTGATCCTACCAGATCTTCAAACATGCCCGGGACGGCAGCTGAAGCCAGTTTGGGAACTCGCTGTGTCAAGACCACTTTCCACCCTGGCACTTCAGTTAGCCGCCGAGTTCTTTAACAGAGAGCACGCTGTGCTTACCAAGCGGGTCAACATCGAACCCCAGATCCTTCTCGGTGTCTTCAATAACCTTATGGTCCCAACCCAAGAGCTCCAAGATGGGTTCTTCGTCATAGCGGTCGCTGAATCCATTCCCGAGGACGACAGCGGAGGCGCAGTCACTGAACAAGGTGACGCCTATTCTGACCTCCTGGTTCTTGTGGATCGAGTCTAGTTCTGATCGAACCAGGGTGCTTGATATCTCGCAGGCAAACACTAAAATGCGTGCAGGCTTCCGTCGAAAGCTGGAACCAAGCGCGATGTTCGCTGCCGTCCGTAACGCTCCGAGCCCACCAGAGCAACCCACTCCGTGCAGAAGGATTTTTTCTATGCTGGGGTTGAGACCGAGTCCTTTGATGACATAATGGTCATAGCCTGGGTTCGCCGAGTTGGTGCAAGTAGTCGCAACAACGTGGGTGATTTCGGAGAGGTCTCCTCCCCACTGCTTAACAGCCTTTCGGCATGCATCTATTGACAGTTTCACCCCGTGGTCGAGGAACACATCGCACAACTCGGCGATCGTGGGGGGTTCAGGCGCATTCGCAATGGGATGATCGATGTTGCCAATTGCCGAACGAGAGTCGATCCCCGTATACTCATTGATCCTCAGCACCTTTTCGAGGCTAGAAGAATGGGTCAATTGGACTCTGTTCTCGGGGATCAGTGGATGAAGGCTCTCACGCTGGAGTACTGGGATAAAAGCGTCGTGCAAGAGTGGCCAGGTGCTCTGGCTTGATTTCATAAGGAGGGTATTCGACGCCAATACCATGAACATAGAGATTGGGCCTGTGGTATGGCGGGGTGACCTTGTTGTGCATGGCTGAAGGCGACATGACTGTGGTGATGGTGGTGGTGGTGGTGGTGGTGGGTGGTTCGTGGTAGCTTGAGGACGTTGGTCGCGAGAAGGTTGTTTACGAGGCCCAACAGTTTCCGGCGAGTGATGACGTTTGGGATATTATCGCATGGATGAAACACGCATGAAACAGAAGCTCTAATGAGAGTCGAGTGACCGAGGGCGCCGAAATGAGCGACAAGTTGGAGAGAGAGAGAGAGAGAGAGCAAGTCTCAGTCAGTCCTCGATCAAGGTGAACTATGATAACTCTGTGAGCGGTATGTAAACGCTTACCGAAAAATGCCATGTAAGAAGTTGGGGACGTTATTCCCTCGGACTAGTTAGTATCTCAGGGTTTGTTGCTCGTGTGCGTCGGGACTCGTCCTTGGAAGGAACCCACGAATCAAGGGGCGAGGATATCATAACCGCCTGATGCTAGGAGGGGCGATCTAACCATCTAATCAGGATCTGATGTGCGTGTCATCTAGTGTGGTGCAGAAATAGCAGAAAGCGCGAGAGAATGCGTGTGTGTGTGTGTGTCAGGAACTCTGCACTTCCGAGTGGCTCATGCATGAGTCTGCAACCAACTGCACCAACTTCATCCCAACTCAACTCATCCCATCCCATCCCATCCCATCCATCCTCCCCCCATCTCAGCCATAACATCCGCGTCATGGCCCCCATCCACAGTCGCACAAGGCTCGCCACCTCGGCTCGTGCCATAAGAATGGCCTAGTCGCCCGGACCACTCGACCAAGACGACTTTTACGGCCGTTCGAGGTTCGCTGTCGACTGCTCGGCCATGATCTGGCTCCCCACCTCGATTGCTCTCCTGCTGGGTGTTTTGGTCTATCATGTCGTTGCACGAAAACCCAGGATACACCGCCACGGTCAAGCCTTGAGGCAAGCATTTCATTCCATCCCCACACAGCTGCTGCTGCTAACCAACTCTACGCAGACATGCCCCCGACTCCCTCCCACTCCTGGGAAACGCCATACAATTCCTCAAGCCTCGTCATGTACTCTTCGACTGGTTCGTGAAATGCCAGCAGATCTTTGGCCACGAGACCTTTGAGATCTCTGTCCCGTCACTGCCTCCGGGAGTGGTCATCAACAGCCCACAAGTCTTGGACTATGTGCTCAAAAACGAGGCCGCCATCACCAAGGGCGAGTTCTTTAGGAAGAGGTCTTGGGATCTCTTCGGTAGGTCACTTCATCGAATATAGACGGATCCATGTCTGACTTGACGTGGGTAAAGGCTATGGCATCATCAACGCATCAGGCGAGCTATGGCGTGCACAACGGAAAGCCGGGTTGAAGTTCTTCAGTGGCACAAACCTCGATACCATGATCGAAGAGGTTCTCCCAGAGATCTATGAAGAGTCCACCCAGGACGTCCTCTCTCAGGCCGCTCAGGACCGATCCGTGGTCGACCTGCAGAAGATCTTTCACGATCTCACAACCACCGTAGTGGGACACATGGCCTACGACGTAAGAGTGACCATGGTTTGAGATATGGTAGCCAAGTCTGATGAACACAGATGGAAATCGAAGCCTCCTCTCCGTTCAGCAAGGCCTTCGACCACGCCTCGTCCCAAATTGGTCTGCGCTTTCAAAATCCCCTCTACCGTCTCACCGAGTTTCTCACAGGCTCGTCCTTCCGTGCGGCACTCGTCGAAGTGAAACGCTTCGGCCGACAGATCGTGTCCGAAGCGCGGAAGCGTCGTGCGCGAGAAGCGTTTGAGAGTCTCATCACCAACACCCACCAGGAGGAGGCCCAGCTCAAGCGGCAGCGTCAAAAGTCCGACAACGATGACGAGTCTGGACTGGGTTTTGGGACGCTGATCGATTCACTCATCGAATCATTGGGAGACCCGAAACTCGTCGCCGACGCAGCCCTCAATTTCCTCTCTGCCGGCCGAGACACCACGGCCCAGAGTTTCACCTGGACGTTCTACGCGTTGCTGAGACATCCCGAGGCACTAAAGCGAGTCAGAGAAGAAATTGACTCGAAATTCGAGATGAACCCCACTCCTACAGCAGAGCAGAAGCCATTAGACGCTGCTGCTGATGGTGCGAACGGGGACGAGGACGTTGAGATCGACGTATCAGCCCTCCAACCCACCTCCCTACCCTACACTACAGCAGTCTTCTACGAATCCCTGCGCCTGTACCCGCCGGTGCCCTTTGAAATAAAGCAGACCATCCAGCCCGTCACTCTTCCCGACGGTACCGTCTTGCCCGACGGGGCTATTGTCGTGTGGTGCATCTGGGCACTGAACCGGTCCTTCTCCACGTTCGGCGAGGACGCGCACTCGTTCCGCCCTGAGCGCTGGCTAGAAGAAACCTCCAGACCAGGTGATGGTGCAAGCTCAGATGCCGACACTAACCCTGACATGTCCACAACCCAACAACCGTCCCCGCTCCTCAAATTCATCGGCAGCAAGTTCTCGGCGGGCGAATTCCCCGTCTTCAACGGCGGCCCGCGCAGCTGCCTGGGCAAGAAGATGGCCGAGCTGATGGGCACGTGGGTGCTGGTGCGCCTGCTCCGCGAGTGGGACTTTGAGGAGGTCAACGACGGCCTGCACATGGATGCGGCGTCCGGGGAGCGGCGCAGCGCCAATTCCTTGACTCTTCCCATGCAAGGGGGCCTGCCTGTGCGGGTTTTCACGAGGAGGAGGAGAGGGAGGAGAAGAGGAGGAGGAGGAGGCGGGGAGGAAGAAAAGAAAGAACGAGGGGAGGGACATGAATAGAATAGAACAGTCTATATAGATCCGTTGTCTCTCTCTCTCGAGGGGCATGGTGCTTGAAGAAAAGTAACAACAACAACCACCCACCACCACCACCACCACCACCACCACCACTACTACTGCTACTACTTCTACTACTGCTACTACTTCTACTACTGCTACTACTTCTACTACTACTACTACTGCTACTACTGCTACTACTACTGGAGAAGAATTGTATTCAATCGAATTGAATTGAAGTGGCTTGGAAGGACCCAGAGCTCGGCTGTATATACATATACATGTATGTGTATACCTTAGTAAGTAAAAAAGCCCAGTTGATACCATGTCCAATGCTTGTTGTCCCCCGCCACCCCTCCTCTCTCTATGTCAGAGCCTGTATCGTCGTCAAGTTGTAGTACGTAGGAGAGAGCCAGATCACCGGCCTTTGCCTGCCACCGGTTGCGCCGTCATATTTCCCATCCTACTACTACTACTGCTCCTCTTGTTCCATTATCAAGAATCATACCTCGTCTACATCCTCACCAGCAACGCTTTCATATCGCATGCCCCGACCCGTCGTCGTTCTCAACTTCAAAGGCACCTCGTACATATGTGCATAGTCCACCACTTCTCCGCCCAAATAGCCCACGCCGTTCTTCCTCCGCCGAAACAGGGGAGCCGGATCACACCAGAAGTCTTGACAGTTGCCCACAATACCACGGCTGAAGGGGTTGGAGTTGCGAGATTGCAGCTGGCCGTGTGACGCGTCGCTGGCAGTCACCAGAAAGGCGTCGAGACCGAGGATCTTGGTCCATCGTGTGAAACAGCCGTCGGGCCGGCGGGGAGCCGGGTGAAGACGGGAGGACGCGGCAGCGCTGTCATTCAGAGAAGTCGCAGCTGCAGAGGCGCCTTGAGTGATGGGGTGGTTATGGGTCGGGAGTAAAGGACGGTGGTGGTCGTGCACCCTATCGTGGCTCTTCATATTCTCATACGTGGTTTGATTCTTCGAGATCTGAATCGTTTGAACCGCAATCAGCATGACCACCCAAACGAGCTGGAGGCAGGTCCAAAATGTCAGTGCCACAGTCCAAGGGTCACGGAGGACGAAGGTACATAATGAAGCAGAGAGGACGTGGCATTGAGCGAGGGCGTCGTCCGAGGGCGCCGGGAGGAGAGCAAGGTAGAACAAGACAAGGCGGACATAGAGAATGATCCCAATCGCCATGCTGAGGATGTAGATGTAAAAGTGGCGAATGTTGTTGTTCCCCACGCAATTGTCGATCCACGGACAGTGATGGTCCTGTTTTGCAACGCACCGGTTACACCGGCGACAGTGCTTCGAACGCAGGGGTTTCCGAATCATACACTGCACGCAGAAGTTGTCTTCGTCAAATTTCCACAGGGAGAATAGCTCGTCGATCACCGCTCGTTGCTGGTTCCGTGAAGAAAGTTTCGGTATCCACCCAGGGTCTTCCACCATGGAGAGGAAATAAAAGTACGCTGTAGCGGCGTAAAAGACAGCGAAACAGACGGCCGTGAAAGGACTCGTCGAGAATGTCGTCGGTAGTATCGAGGTCACGTAACTGACTCCCACCCAAAAGAGCGTCCCAGCAAAAATGCCAGCCAAATAGGGTGTTTTGTGGATGGCGCGAAATTCTAGCGGGCCGATCATCGCAACCCTTTGCGCCGCATACTGCATTCCCAGGCAGACAATCAAAAATAACGGAACTCCAATGAAGACGCTGAGGTGACTGATAATGTACAGGCCGACCATGATGATCAAAAAAGGGTACAAAAAGAAGAATTTGGACATTTTCGAACGATCTCTGACCACGGTGTGCAGGTTGAGGGGGAGGGTCTTGATGTTTCCAGACTGGTCGTATCCGTGATCAGATAACGAGCGATAGTAGGCTCGTTTGGTGTTCATTTCCTCCGCACAGGTGGCTGGCGTCTTGCCCTCGTTGGTCTTTGCGAATCTGTCCGCGCCGTACTCGATGAGTTTGTCCAAGCAGGCTTTGGAGCCTTTCACCAAAGCCCAATGTAAGGGTGTATATCCATTGTCGTCTCTCGCATTGACGTTGGCGCCCCACTTGAGGAGGAGATCCACGCAGGCGGGCCAACCTTTGTATCCTGCCCACATCAGACTGGTATGACCCTGAGGGTCGGGAATGTCGACAGGGATGTTTTGTTGCAGAAGCAGGATTAATAGCAACGCGTTCCCATCTATAGTGGCCAGATGGAGGATGTTGTATCCTTGGCCGTCGGTCAAAAGGGGATCTGCGCCGCTCTGCAGCAAAAGGTTGACAATATAAAAGTGACACCGCTGTGATGCCCACATGATGGCGGTGGCACTCGATTCTCCCCCTTTTGCATTGACGTCCGCGCCCTGCTCGACGAGGTATTTGCACACAGCATACTGGTTGTTAATAGCAGCCCAGTGCAGAGGCGTGATTCCTTCATCGTCTCTATACTTGATGTCGTATTTGCCCGACTCGATCATTTTCTGGATGTATTCGAGGGCGCCTATCCGGGCACATTGCATGATATCCTCTTCCAAAGGTATGCTGGATCCTGCGTGGCCATTGTGGACAGGAGCCAGTTCGACATCTTCCGAGGTCACCTTGGGGGAGGCCGCGTTGGCTTTGGAAGTGGGAGGATGGGAAAACTTCTGGGACATCGGAGAGGACATGGCGCTTTTTGACGTAGATTACTGTCGCAGACGGATACATAACGATTTTCCCATCATGTTCAAGGCAGAAGTCATAACGTGGTCTGAACAAGTCCTGGCTCCTGAATCCTTCTCAATTCGTCCGCAGTTGGACCCCAAAAGTAAGGGCCGCGTCGCATTTGTCGTATAAAGGGGCCCCGTCACGTGGACGCTGGCGCCAAGATGTGCTCCTCGGCAAACGTGCCTCATCGGCCGGTTCCATCCTCCTGCGAGTTCCGGGATTAATTCGATTGAAAGCTCCCCTTACAAACTACTAGCTGGCATCCTCGACCTCATATCAAAATTCTCCTCTCCACTCCCTCCGACCTATCTCATTTCACCTTTTCCTCCTAGGAAGTTCCTCATCTCAGCTTCACGGGTCGGCAAGATGATGTCGAGGAGCGTCTTGCGCCAGTCTGGCCGCATTGCTGGTGCTCTATCTGCTTCGGGCAGAATAGCTGCAGTAAGCTTGAATCCCCCTTCAACCGGGCCGTAAAAGCTTCAGAATCACCCAGATCAGAGTCAATGAAGCCTTCTTAGCACATTCTGAGCTTGGAAGTCATCAATTGAAGCTCTGCCACCGCGTTGTGGCTGGATTGCAAGCTAATGAAAATCTTCGCAGTCCCGTGTCGTCACCCCGGCGCCTCTCAATGCTGCTTCAAAACAAATCCGATCGTACGCCGCCGATGCCAAAGCGTCCCCTACCGAAGTTTCCTCCATTCTCGAGCAAAGAATTCGGGGCGTACAAGAGGAAGCAGGCCTCGCTGAGACTGGTCGCGTTCTATCCGTCGGTGACGGTATTGCCCGTGTCCATGGCTTGAGCAATGTCCAAGCCGAGGAGCTGGTCGAGTTTGCCTCTGGAGTCAAGGGAATGTGCATGAACTTGGAAGCCGGCCAAGTCGGTGTCGTGCTTTTCGGTTCGGATCGTCTCGTCAAAGAAGGAGAATCTGTCAAGCGAACTGGCCAGATTGTGAGGACATTCAACCGATTGCTGAATCTGTATCAGCTAACAGCTTCCTCCAGGTCGATGTCCCTGTCGGCGAAGCCATGCTTGGTCGTGTTGTCGACGCTCTTGGTCAACCTATCGATGGAAAAGGACCAATTAAGACCACCGAGAGACGTCGTGCTCAATTGAAGGCTCCTGGTATTCTGCCTCGACGATCTGTCAATCAGCCTGTCCAGACCGGTCTCAAATCTATCGACGCCATGGTGCCCATCGGGCGTGGCCAGCGTGAATTGATCATTGGTGATCGTCAAACCGGAAAGACTGCCGTCGCCCTGGACGCAATGCTGAACCAGAAGAGATGGAACAGTGGCAACGACGAGACCAAGAAACTCTATTGTGTTTACGTGGCCGTTGGCCAGAAGCGATCCACCGTTGCCCAACTCGTCAAGACTTTGGAGGAAAACGATGCCATGAAATATTCCATCATTGTCGCCGCCACCGCCTCCGAAGCTGCCCCTCTCCAATACATCGCTCCATTCACAGGAGTAAGTTCTTTTCTTTTGTTCACTCCTCAACGGCAGAAGCGGTCGGAGCTTCTTCCTGCGCTTACCATGACCATCTTACTGGCTCCCTGGACCTGCCTTTTCGACATCGTCGTGGCCTTTCATACTTTTTTTTCTCATTTGGACTTCTGCTAACTCTATTATCTTTCAGACTTCCATCGGAGAGTGGTTTAGGGATAACGGGAAGCATGCTCTCTTGGTGCTAGACGACCTGTCCAAGCAAGCTGTGGCATACCGTCAGATGTCGCTGTTGCTCCGTCGTCCTCCTGGGCGTGAGGCCTATCCTGGTGACGTCTTTTATCTCCACTCCCGACTTCTGGAACGTGCTGCAAAGATGAACGACAAGCACGGAGGTGGCTCTTTGACTGCTCTACCCATCATCGAGACCCAGGGTGGTGATGTGTCGGCGTACATTCCCACGAACGTCATTTCCATCACCGATGGTCAGATTTTCTTGGAAGCTGAGCTGTTCTACAAGGGTGTTCGACCTGCCATCAACGTCGGTCTCTCTGTCTCGCGTGTGGGCTCCGCTGCCCAGCTTAAGGCTATGAAACAAGTTGCTGGTTCCTTGAAACTCTTCTTGGCTCAATACCGAGAAGTCGCCGCCTTCGCCCAATTCGGTTCCGATCTCGACGCGGCCACCAAGCAGACCCTCAGCCGTGGTGAGCGTTTGACGGAACTCTTGAAACAGAAGCAATATAGCCCCATGGCTGTCAACGAAATGGTTCCCCTCATCTATGCTGGTGTCAACGGTCACCTGGACAGCGTCCCCGTCGGCAAGATCTTGCAATGGGAAGCCGACTTCCTCGCACACATGAAGAGCGATCAAAGTGAACTTCTTGCAAAGATTGACAAGGAGGGCCAATTGAGCAAGGACCTCGAGCAACAACTGAAAGAGGTGATCCAGAACTTCACCAAGAATTTCTCATAGGTAAGAGGTCCTGAAAGGCCCCAATATGTAACAGAATGGCTGACCTGTCGCAGAGCTGCGGTGAGAAAATTTGAAATGCTTGTACAATGTTCTCGCTTGATCAAAACTGGACGGCACCGCTCGAGTTGAGACACGAAAATGGCGGGTTGCAAGCTTGATGCAACTGCCAGTCAACGAAGGAAAGTGTCTCATTGTAATTAGATACATAACAGTCCTCAATCAATTCCATTTGTGCTCTTGGGTCGTCGCAGAAGTCGCCGCAGCGTTCGGATCCTCAGTGGTGACAAACAAACCATGCATTTTATTTCTTCCAACCCTCCAGCCTACAGTGGCCGCACACAGTGCCGAGTAGAGGGAACTTGTACCCGGTTCTTCTACTGTATATGCCCAAGGCCCAGGGGGTGACGAAAGAGGCGATTCGATAAACATTCGCACATCCACATAGATATGCCCAGTGTCTGCCAAACTATGGGGAACTAATTGCTCGGTCCCTCTACAATTCATAAGTGAGATCAACAATGGAACAAATATCTCGAGGAAACTTTGGGTAGCATTTCGAACGTCCAACATGCCAGTGGCTTCAAGCTCGGCCATGGCAAAATACGCCAAGGAAACATGGGATGGAACTTGAAGCACACTGTACTCGGTAGGGAATAGAGAGCCCACTCCACGGGACGAGAAACTAGATTCCACCCACGCATCCTCCCTCTAATAGTCCACATCCCATCTAGTACTCGCAGTCCTTTGCGTGCCCACGATTCCTACAGGTAACGGCTATGCCACACCTTCGTGCCATTTGCCAAATGCGGAATCTCAAAGCCTCGTGAGGTACTGTCTCTCGTCATGACTGGCGTCGCATGCCCCTGGCGGTTCTTTCCACTGACAACCACGCCAGTACTTCAGCCCACTGGCTAGCCCGATGGCCTCACCATCAAGCACACACATGCCACCTGCTCCTGCACATGTCGTCCATGGCAAGGCCCGTACCGAACATTCACCGGGATGATGATACGTGCGAGATTTCGTTTATGTAATTCTGGTTTCAGCTTTCAAACGCCCCAGACCCAACCTCGATCAACGAGACCCCAGGCCTTCTCGTGTCCGAATCCAACAAATCGGTGGAGGACAGCATATTCGATGTCCGGTTACCCGTAGGGAGGATACACTGTAGCAGTCCCACTGGTCGTCTGTCTGGCGCCCCTGGGCTTCCTCTTCAGTTGTTTTGGCATAGCATCCACAGACCCTAGCTGATATGCCAGTCCGGTGCCTCGCAGTGAGCATCACAAGCCCTGTCAGAATCATGAGCAAGCCCAACACATGGCTGACTCCGCTCGTCGTTTGTAACTGGTAGCCTGCCCTCCACCACCCTCACTTCCTTGGAGAAAGTGGTCAGAACAATGAGGGCCACATCTCTATGGCTCGTCAGTCCCCTCGCTCCTCACCAACTGGCCCATGTCTTCCAAGTTCGCGTGCCGCATCGTTGTCGATGCCTCGGAATTGTTTTCGTGGTACAACTAGAGCCACAAGATGAGGTCAATCCAAGTGTTCAGGGCCCTTCGAACACCCCAGACGTACCCGCTCGAACGTTCGAATCTCAGGTACCAAGGTCGGGATGGTGATTGGGCCCTCCGAAAGCATAAAGTGAGAGCTCTGTATCTAGAGAAACCGCCGGAAGGTGGGATATGGAGCTCAACGTCTTCTGACCCGAGGGATGTCGAAGAGCCAAATTCCACAATACAGACGTCGTGTTGGCCGTCGGAAGAACTCAGCAAGCCTCGCATCTGAGTTGTTGATGACCATCCTTCCAGTGTGAAGGCCCACAGGCGCCAGACATCGTCACCGTCTACCGCGGACTCCATCTTGGACGATTTTCGCCCACGTCCTCACTCTCTCACTGTCGAGCAACAGAACTTCATCATCAAGTGGCTTCAGTTCCACGCAGCGGCCTCCTGGAGTAACAACAATAATGGCCTTTTCTGGGTGTGTCGGGATATTGCGTGGAGCGGCATTCAAATATATCTGCAGCGCCTTGCAATGTACTCTGATATTCTGTAATGTGTTCTCTGCCCAGTCCAACATCAACCATTGCCACAGAGGCTACTTCTGCGAAGAGCCATAGCATACAATCAGATCGCGAAATTGTTGGCAGACCCCGAAACACAGGCCTCAGACGAAGCTTTACTCCGTATTTGTTTAGCGATGTCAACCCACGCTCGCTCATCGAAGTTCGAGATCAACATAGTTCATCTTAAAGTCCTGGCGCAGATGACTTCCAACCCGTGGAGTGGGCTCTCTGTTCCCTGCAGTGTGCTTCAAGTTCCATCCCATGTTTCCTTGGCGTATTTTGCCATGGCCGAGCTTAAAGCCACTGGCATGTTGGACGTTCGAAATGCTACCCAAAGTTTCCTCGAGACATTTGTTCCATTGTTGATCTCACTTATGAATTGTAGAGGGACCGAGCAATTAGTTCCCATAGTTTGGCAGACACTGGGCATATCTATGTGGATGTGTAGGTACCGTCGCTGGTCCTTGCTGAGTAGTCGTCTGGCACTGTACTTGTACTGTTACCCCTATAAGGTGGCTTCGGGCCCCCCCAAGAAATGCCTAATGGGCCACCCACCAATGCAGGACCTCCACGAAAAGCACCTAACGGGAAACGCAGCCGTTCAACTTTAGTCCGTAGGAAAGTCAATCGCGCTGCCCAGCCACCACCATCACCCATCCAGATCTGTAGGTGCTTCTTCCGGCCCCGGGGGGTGGTTCTAGGCTCACTAAGCTGGACCCTTATGGAACCAGTGACATCCTCGGTTCTATTGTATTCTCTTGGGTCCCCCGATAACCACACCAGCCCGAGCACTCGTACTGCACCGTACAGGGAGCACGGATTCTCCAAGTGTCGTCGCTCTTCTATGATGAGCTTGTCAGATGTCGATTGACTACGTCGTACTAAACAGCACGCAAGCTGAAGGAGGGTAGAGTGCCTCATGTATGAGTCGCAGTTCATAGATTTTGTCCCGGCTCCTTTGAGGACGATGCCGGACTTATCGGTAGTGAGCTCGAGGTGGAGGGGAAGAAAGGAGGAGACAGAAATCCATTTGCCGAGCTTGGATGAGCCCTCGATGATGCAAAACATGGCATTAATAATGTCAGAGGAGGACCACACCGGCATACAAGAACGTTCATACGTGGCCGTGCATCTATGATTCTATACTTCTGTTCTACTGCTGCCCCTTTCAAGAGACTACCCCGACACAATAGCCATTACTCTCTGAGCAACTACAGTAGTCACCACTTCTACCACCGCCTCTTATACAACCCGCGATCGCTCTCCTCCTCGGCACTCAAATCTCCAGGTGTAGCCTCGCGACCACTTAGTTCCTCTCCAGAAGCTTACAAATCCCTGCATAAGGCTACTGGTGCTACCGCATCTCCCAGCATGAAATCGGCCCACGTCTTCCGAAAGGGAGAAGATCAGCTCGATGTCCAGATCAAGGATATCCCAATTCCCCAGCCAGAGCCTGACCAGGTCCTCATCAAGGTAGTCGTCTCAGGCACAAACCCCAAGGATTGGAAATATCCCATCCTCGTCAAGAACGTCACAGGGCTCAACACGGGCGACGATATTGCCGGCTATGTGGAGGCAGTGGGCTCCAACGTCACCGAATTTAAGGTCGGCGACCGTGTAGGTGCCTTCCATGAGATGCGCACGCCTCACGGTTCCTTCGCCGAATATGCCATCGCCTGGGAAAAGACCACTTTCCATCTTCCCAAGCAGACCTCGTTCGAAGAGGCGGCAACAATCCCTCTGGCAGCCATGACTGCCGCCGTCGGACTTTATTGCCGCTTGGGTTTGCCGGAGCCATGGGTTGCTGTGTCTCAGGCCCGTAAGGATGCTCTCGCAGGGGGAGTCGTCGTCTACGGCGCTGCTTCCGCCGTGGGCGCTTTCGCCGTCAAGCTGCTTGCCCGTTCCAAGATACATCCTATTATCTGCGTTGCTGGCCGGGGCATCCCGTTTGTTGAAGGCCTGATCGATAAGTCCAAGGGCGACACCATCATTGATTACCGCAAGGGTGACGAGCATGTTGTTGAGGGTCTCCGTGCTGCTGTCCCTGCCGGCCAGAAACTCCTGTACGCCTTCGACGCTGTCAGTGAAAAGGGTAGTTACCAGAACATCATCAAGGTTCTCGATCCTCACGGACACATTAGTTTAGTCCTACCGGGAAAGAAGTACGAAGAGATTCCCAAGACAGTCAATCAGACGCTCACAACCGTGGGCTCCGTCCATGGTGTCCCCGATGACTTGACTGATTTTGGATATGCCTGGTTTAGACTGTTCAGCTTGGGATTGAAGGAAGGCTGGTTCAGTGGACATCCGTATGAGGTGGTACCTGGCGGCTTGAACGGTGTACAGACCGGCCTGGAGAATCTTCAGCATGGCCGGGCGAGTGCCGTGAAATATGTATATCGCATTGCCGAGACGGAGGGCGTGGATCGGAGCAAAATTTGAATCTGAGCCACCTCCACAACAAGGGAATGCAGCACATGCTGCCAACATACACTTCTTGGGTTCCGACCGTATCGAACGGGTAACCAAGAGCTGCCAAATGTCCAATGAAAAATAGTGCACTTTACATCAATCGCGCCATTGGCGTTGTACAACCCAGCGCTAGGTGCTTCTCGAGTAATCCATTCGAACCATCCTGACTGATACACATTTCCATGTTGTAAGCGGTAGGTGGTCTGTTGGTCATCGGACACAGGTGGGACTGACCCTTGCAGCCAGCTGAATGCTAGGGTTGGCTTTTCTGAGGCCAACAATATTGCTCCAAGAAATGCAAGACGCCGTTTTGGCGACGTGATCTAATGGTCCATCCGATTTTCGTACGGGCTACCTGAGCATCCTGGCTAATGCTCAAGCCAAATACGTCGTTCCGATTTCGGCTGGGATAGTCGCAGGAATACCCAAACGTATATGAATTAGCAGCTCTTCGTGGGTCCACACGAGTGAGTATATGCGCGCACTTCTTGATCGTCAGTGTGACCATTCACCCAAGGTCAACTTCATGCTTGTCAAAATCGTGGGGGGGCGCTCAGCAGCCTGAGCCATCTCCACTCTACGTTGAACCAGATATCTTCCAAGGGCGCATTACAGTGTTTCCCAACGAATAGGCGGAGGCGTAGAGGTGTACATTAATTTTCCGATAACAAGTCGTTGATCTGCAGCAGGGATATGGTCGGAAGAAACGGGAGATGTCGTGTGAGAATATCTCCGCCTCTCACCGTGTGTGACCAATTCCATTCCGTCACTGATTCTAGCTCGAAGCAGTACTCTTGAACCAGCGGCCATTTGGCTTGAGAGGACGACAACAACAACACACCGCCTCGAAGGTCAGGAGCAGGGAACAATCACGGCGGAAAACGCCTTGGGCGTCACGAAGTGGCATGAGATGGACATTCAAAGTGTAGGGACCCTGGCCAGTGAGCAGGGGTCCCAGAGTGCCCCCAAGGTCTGAGTACGAAAGTTCGTGAGTTGATATTTCTTTTCGATGAGAGTGGAGAGCCAAAATTCAATCCCTATGTCAATAGGCTCGTCCTGCTCAATTTGGACGTAGTAGCGTCAGACCAATTTTAGGGTAAGCATGCATGATTTGCTTACAGCAAAGGCCGCTGGGGGCTTGTCTCCGCAATCGCAGAGGACAATCATGATGTGACTGGGGACAACCTGATAGAGACAGCGGATTCCCTTGCAAGTCCCCATTTCGAATGCGGTCAGCAGGTCCAGCCTGAAGCAGGGTCGATCTTTGCATGGAAACATCCATCCAGCCCTTATCCCAGGGGTCCGTGTATCCGCAAATGCCAATGTTGTGCACAGGATGTGTCGGCAATTGGGAAAGGCGCCGGCTTGCAGCGGCCATCAAATCCATGATCGACAGATAGCGCAAGTTTAGAGCAAAATGAAGTTTTGATGAGGGGTAGGACAGAGATTTGCAGGAAGCACATCATGAACCATGGCTTGCCGTCCGGACGAGTCGGCAGCGGTCGGCACCTGGCGTAGGGGACCTTTTTTCTCTTCCTCTCGGAGGCTTTTAACTTTGCTAGGCTGTTGCCCTGTGCTGTGTGTGGTGCATATGCTGCAGCTAGGAAAGGCTTGGGAGCACGCCTCTTTGTTGCTTCAATTTTGGAGAGGCCTTGTCAATCACCACTGCTAGGGAATGACGGGCCTAGCGGGCTTGTTAGTGCTCGAGTCTCGGTACTCCACGTAGGTCTCCGGGGGCCCGAGCGGCGTTGTTCAACCAAGCATCTGCTCCCAAACCTCGTCCAGCAGGTGGGATTTAGCGGGTGCACGGGGGAACTGCGAAGTTTGTGTTTCAGGTTCCTCCCTCCCCTAGATGGGCGAATGGCAGCTATCCGACGCCATGGGGGTGTCCCAGAGAGGCTAAGGGGAATCACGTAGATTGAGAAGTCCCTCACATCTGATTGCAGCACCCGTCAGGCTCTTGTGTTTTTTTTTCTCTATCTCTTTCATGCAGATGCCAGCTCAAATGTTATTAGCGACTTCCGGTCGAAGCGAGGGTCGACCGGGATGCAGGTCAATTTGTAGGAGATCCTGGGGTGTTGTATGCGATCAGGTGTTTCTCTGAAACTGCGCCCAAGGAAAATGAGTAAAGGAAAACCCACCTCTGGTGCCCTCGGCCAATTCGAGCCCACTCGACTCGACTCGCCTGCCCCTCTTCCAGTTGTTTGCTTGTAGGAGTGTCACCTTGGCCCAGTGCCATTTTGAGGTGTTTGCTCTCCATCCGGGAAATGAGTCGTCCGTACGCTGGTCCGGGATAAGATGACTGGCAGAAAGTACCATTTTACCAGGAATCTCACGAACAGGGAAAAAGGCTGATTGATGACGATGATGGGGGATCGGACACACCAACACTAAACGATTTCTGTCTTTTGGGGGCCTGTATGGGTTAAACATCTTAAGTAGAAGTGGCCACTACTGGCCCCAGTGGCAGCGGCCAACCCACGCCCATGCCAGTGCGCAATCCAAATCCACATCCACATCCGCCATCCACATCTAGATTCTGACTTGGCCCATGGAGCTTTTTCACTTCCGTTTGCATTTCTTCACTCCCGCATTTTCCACCTTGCCGGCAATATCGCTACCACGACTTTCGCGAGCCATTTATCCACCATATACGTAGACGGCCTTGTCCTGCACTCACTTCGCTCTTCCCATCCGTCTCTCCTTTTGCCCACCGAGGCCGACCCGGACTTTATATCCCTCCAGTTGGCTTGCTGACCTGTAAGGAGTCACCAAGCCGACTGGAACGGAGCCCATCACCAGTCTTTCAGATCTTCATGCCGCGAAACCCTGCGGCGAAGAAGCATCAGCACAATAACCGCCATGAGAACGGTCTTGTAGGTCCTGGCAAACGTGTCACCAAACAGAAATCGAATGGTCATCTCAATGGCACTGCAAAGGGCCCTGTCCCAACCGACCCTGTTCCACAACCCAGCCCGACCGACAATCCTTCGAGTGCTATAGCCAACGATCGATCTCTCGCAGCTACTTCCGAATCGCAGCAGGACTTGTCCAAAGGTGCTCCCAATTCTCACCCCGCGCCCGGCGAGCCCGATTCGGGCGCTGTCAAAGAGAAGGAGACAAAGTGGGAGACGAATGGATCTGCCATGTTACATCAAAGACGAGGTGATATGGTGGCTTCCCGATCCAGGTCCTCCCATGAGATCAGCGCCCTGCACCTGGCCTCGACAATCCTGCGCTCTCGCCCCGCCTGCGATACTGTCTCGTTGCTGATCGTCCTTCTCGCACTACCGTCGATGGTCTTGACAATTGTCCAGGCCTTATTCGCGTCTTTGACCCTGATGCCAGGAGGTGGTGCCCCAGCTTCGCTAATCTCCTTGCTCGACATCTTCCAGGGATCGGCTGGTGTCCCTAACATCAGTACTACCGCCATCGTGGATGCAATCTGCTTTGGACTGTGGGTCGGACTCTGGACGTGGGCTCAAAATTTCGCGCTCGACTTGGCTCAGATACAGATTGCGATTACGCTTGGAAATGGCAGTTCTGGCAAGAACAGCAGAGTCAATACATTCTGCGTGGCAGGAGTGCTGCTGCTGCACCTGGCACGGAGTCGAGATGTTCGTCGGTTTCTCTATTCGAATCTGATACCTGTCGACCTCCTCTCCCAGACGGGGCTGATGGACTATCTGAAGTTTCTACCCTCAGATCATGATTTTGGCGACAGTCCCGGCGCGCCGTCATATTTTCGGAGTCTATTTGCCATACACATAATCGCTCAAGGCGTAATGGCAAGCTTTCGGCGTTATATATCCTCCTATACCACAGGAACAGCCAAATCGAAACGCATAGATACTGAAGCCTCAGCGGGATCCGTGTCGGATGCTTCGGTGCTGGATGGCTCCGCGCCGACGGCTGTCTCATCGTCTGTCGATTACCAGCCACCCCCAACCCCTGGGTTCAAAGACGGCAAGGACAGCAAAGGCATGAGTGCGAAGAAGCGCAGGCGTCAGGCAAACCACGTCAGAAGCAGACAGCCATTTTGGGCTGCTCTCGCCAGCACCAAGGTTCATGTCTTACGAGAGGTCGAGCACAACAAGGCTCTCCCAAGTGTTGGGAATAAGGAAAGCAGCCCTTTCGAAACATCTCACCAAGACCTCGTTTGGATCACCAATGTGGAACCTTCGTCGATCTCGTTTGAAGCAACCTACATCTATGAGTCGGAGCAAGCATCAAAGCCTCCTCAGGGAACAGACTGCAGGCCTTTCTACGTTCGTATCAATGGCGCCAAGTGGCATGCGGTATCCCTCGAGCCGGTCGAAGATTCCTCCCGCCATGACGGCGCCGGTGCCCAGTGGGCGGGTACGATATCGGGTCTTGCGCCAAATTGCACCTACACCTGTACATTCATTAGCTGCGAGGGAGACGAAGGCTTTGCATCCATCATGGTCAAGACGCCGATGCTGTTGGATAAAGATGTGCCCGCCTCAATGGCCCCGGCGTCAGTTCGCCAATCCTCAACACCGTCGTCGCCTACCACCACCCTGAAAAACTCCATTTCGACAGCAGAAGCCAGGCTAAACGAAGCCCGCAATCGACTCACCAAAGTTCGCCGTCAGCACAGAACCGCATTAGTCAAGGTGGAAAAGGAAGTAGACAGCTTCAATACTCGACTGAAAACCGCTAGTGATGACACAAAGCAAAGACAGAAATTGTTACAAGCTGAACGGAACATTCGACAGACTGAAGATGCGACCCAGGAGCTCGACGCTGCTCTGGAAAACCTGGTTTCCACGCCTGATGATGAGAGTGAAGACCACGCCACCGCCAAAGAAACGCACGATGAACAGCAGAAACTTCTCTCTGAAGCCAACGATGCTCTAGCAAAGGCACGTTCGACAGCGCATGACGACAAGGCTTGCGTCAATCAGGAATTGAACGCCATTGTCACGCGAAAAGAACGTCTTACTGCCCGCAATTCTAAGCTGACCGAGCAGCACGACAGGATCACTCACGCCAACGCCCAAGGACTAAATGAGAAAGAGAGAAGAGCTGCCGAGTCGAACGCCAAGGGTGCTGAACAACAGAAACGCGAGGCCGAGCTAAACCAGGAGATCTATAATTTGGACAGGGATCTGAGGAGTGCGAGGCTGCGATGGGAAAGCAATCTGCGCGAACTTGACATCTTGGAGAAACAAGAGATGGCTCAAAGACAAATGATGCTCAGCAACAGCGGTCCTCTCACGCCAGAAGGTGAATTGCCTGGTACTCGAGCTCCTCCGCAGCACGCCCGCCCTTATGCCTTTGGGAGCTTTCAAGCATTTCCCAACAGCCCCGTCATCCCCGAGGTCCAAGGGTCGCCTTTCGCTGCCTACGCAAAGACCCTCCCTTCGGGTGACCAGCGTCGACCGAGATCGGACACCAATCGCTCTGCTGGCGGAATTAGCAATTTCTCTGCCGACTTTGAAGACGCCGACCCGATTCCGCCAATGCCAACCACCACCGAGTACGATATGAATGGTCGCAAAGGCAGTGGCAGCAGTAGGGGCAAGAACAACGGCAGTCCAGCGGCGGCGGGGGCCATTGGCGGCGTACTACGCAGTCCGCAAAGAGGGAGCTACAGTCCAGGGCATATTCCGGGTTCAACTACGTGGTAGGACCACCAAGTTAGTCGTCCCTCTGGATGATTAAGGCTTTATATCAGCTGGTCGTAGGTTCTGTCGTTGTCCACGTAGGTGGTGGATGATCTGCGATAGCTTCTTACCAAAAAGTGTTCCCAATCTAGATCTACCGAGTACGCATCGTAAACGAAGTTAATGCTGCGCTTGACATGTCGTACGCCAAGAGCCTGAGGTCTGCTGGGTCTTTCCTGAAGGGTATTATACCACAGTGGCTGTCTCACTTCAGAGAAACCTGATCAAAATCCTCAGAAAGATGAAGGAACTGCGTCGAGCCTGGATATGTATGCCAGTAGATGGGCGATGCGAAGGATCCCGCAAAATGAGTCAGATGGGGGAATCACGTGACGTACTGTACTCAATAATCTTTACTGACTGTACCGCATTTTCAGACAACTTGACCGGATTTCCCACCCTGACATCCATACATGCGCAGTCTGCTACGAACGTGTAGCACAGGTCTGCCAGTCAGTCGACGCATTTACTCCATATTCCCGCCCTCAAACCTCCGCTGTAGCCCACGGTACTGCGCTACGATGGGAAAGGAGAAGAAGAAGAGCAAGGATGTGGTGAAGAACCCGAAGGGCACGCGAGACTGGTCTGGTGAGGACATCGACCTGCTCAAAGCTATCAGGAGGCAAATCGAGAAAGTCTTCGAGCACTACCGTGGTCTAGAGCTGGACACTCCCGTCTTTGAGCTGCAAGAGGTTTTAAAAGGAAAATATGGCGAGGATTCCAAGTTAATTTACGACTTGCAGGACCAAGGCGGCGAGCTCTTGTCACTCCGCTACGATATGACGGTGCCGTTTGCCAGATGGTTGGCCATGAATCCAGATATTGAGACGTGGAGGAGATACGCAATAGGAAAGGTCTACAGGAGAGATCAACCTGCCATCTCGAAAGGGCGCATGCGCGAGTTCTGGCAATGCGACATCGACTTTGCGGGCGAGAGTGCTCCGATGTTCAACGATAGCGAAATGATTTCAATCATCGTCAAGGTCTTCGAAACGCTGGAGTGGAGTGGGAGGTACACAATCAAGATCAATGACCGAAGAATATTGGACGGGCTGTTCGAAGTTTGCGGCGTCCCCGCGGAAAAGATCAGAACGATATCCAGCGCAGTCGACAAACTCGACAAGCTGCCCTGGGCAGAAGTAAAGAAGGAGATGGTTGAGCAAAAGGGTCTGGAAGAATCAGTCGCGGACAAAATCCAGACGTACGTCACCAGGAAGGGAGGGAAAGAGTTACTGGAGGAGCTACAGAAAGACGAGGCTCTCATGGGCAACCCTAAGGCGAAAAAGGGCATTGAAGAGATGGAGATACTGATGCGTTATCTTCGGAGGTGGAAGGCTCTGGACAAGATTTCCTTTGATCTGTCTCTGGCACGTGGCCTCGACTACTACACGGGTATCATCTACGAAGTCGTCACCGAGGGTTCTGCCCCGACACGCACACCTGCTCCGGCGACCGACTCTGCACCTCCCATGGCACCTGTTGCTGCGAATGGCGCTACCAACGGTATTCCCAAGAGGGAAAAGAAACAAATCTCCGAAGACGATGACAGATCTGAGGACCCGTCTGTGGGTGTGGGATCGGTGGCTGCGGGCGGTCGCTACGATCACCTCGTCGAAAGATTCCGGCCTGATGCCAATATCCCTTGCGTGGGTGTGAGCTTTGGCATTGATCGCATAATTGCCATTACCAAAGCCAGGATTGCCAAGGGTGAAAAGTTCAGTTACATCACTCGCAACAGGACCGACGCTTATGTCATGGCGTTTGGCGGTTCTGGCTTTGGAGGAATGTTTGAGGAGCGGATCGACATCCTCGTTGCTCTGCGGGATGCCGGTATAAGAGCGGAGACTTTCTGGAAACAGAAGGCGAAGCTGCAAAGACAATTCAAGGAGGCAGACCGTGCCGGGGCACCAATTGCAGTCATCCTCGGTGAAGATGAACAGGCACGTGGTGAGGTCAAGGTTAAGCAGATGGGTCTGCCAGAAGGGGATCCGGAAAAGGAGGGCGTGCTTGTCAAGGTTGAGGATGTCGTGGCGAAAGTCCGAGGACTGCTGGCCAAGATGGACGACTAAAAGTCGAGGTCTGGGGAAGGAGGATCGGGACTATCATGGAGTGACTTTCGAGATAGCGCTCCGAGCCTGCAAGGCTGTACTCTGTATTATTAGAGCATCGCCTAGATAGATAAGGCTGGCCAATCAGAGACGTGAAGAGACTATCCTGTTGCAGGTCCCGTGCCAAGCGCCCAGCTTGAAACACCTCCTGTGTCTCAGCAGCCATTGTCTGGAACAATTCAACCTCAACCTGATACCCTCCAGCCACTCGGAGCTTCAACTTCGAGACTCTGATGAAGAAGCAAACGTCGCAGCTGGTGTTTGAGATCCAGGTTGGCCAATCGCGACCCGATGGAAGCCCGCTGCAACCACTTCGCCTCTCCTTGCCGGGCTCTTACCATGCTCACTTCGTGGCATTCGCTGTCTGAAGCCGCTGTCCGGAAGCCCATCACACCGAGAACAGCCAGCTCCCTTCAATTTGGCTCCTCGTCCATGTCCCCTTTCCAGGAGGACTTCAAAATGCCCATTTAGAGTCGCAAGTTTCGCCAGAAAAATCTCTCATCCTCCATCTCCCATCTTCCTCATTCCCCCTCCAAAAGAGTCGTTCGTTCTTTGTTGCTGGTTCAGCATCTAATTTCTATTCTCCTTTTTGCCATTCCTTTGTGAAAAAGCAATTCTCAATTCTATCGCGATGCCGGCTGTCCGCTCCTTTTTCACTCTTTCCGTTTTGGCTGCTTGCCTGGCGCAAGTACGTGGCCTCTGCAACCTCCCCGAGTCTTGTGTTACTTCTTGGCTGACTGACAGATAGGCTTCGGCTGGTTCCAACATGGGTCCTCCTTCTGGGGACTCTAGTTGGGGAAATGAAGGTAGCGCTGGCTACGGCGGTGGGCAGGGTGGCTCTTGGGGTGGTGGCAACGGTGGTGGCAACGGCTACAACAATCAGTATACCTCGACCTGGGGAGCTGCACCAACCAATGTCGTTCAAGCTCAAAGCTGCCCTCCAATGAGTTGCCCGCCTCCGATGACCAGTACTATGACTGAGACGGTGAGTTGTCTGGAATGCGCCAACCTGTGCCAAGTTTGGCAGTACTGATATCGCGAATTGCAGACCACCGTGACCGCTGTGTCCCCTTGTACTGGAAGCACCGTGACCGCCTATGTCACTCAGTGGATGAATGCTCCTCCCGGGTGCTGGTGCGGTGCTGGCGGCCCACCCTCTGGCATGGAATGGGGAGGAATGGGCGATGCTGCCGTGTTCACATCCACCAATCCGTCCTTTACGCCTGGTCTTTCGTCCATCCCAGCATCCGAAGCCGTCCAGACTGGCGTGACGGTAGCTGGTGCTCCACCAGCTGCGGCACCGACCGGGACTGTCTCTCCTGGTGGTTTCTTTGGCGAGTCATCAAGTATGTCTCCCAATGCTATCGTGAAAGTTTGAAATCACGTCGCTGACATTTCTCCAGGCTCTGCGATGACGACATCTGGTACGATACCTTCTGGCCCTAGCAGCAGCGTCCCGTCTAACATGGCCGAGCCTACTAAAACAGGGGAGGCTCCTAAGCCAGAAGCTTCGAGCTCGACTACCAGCACAAGCTCATCGTCAGCAGCGATACCTTCATCAACCTCGACAACTTCTACTACTACAACCACGAAATCCTCTTCATCATCGTCATCAACATCATCATCATCGTCATCATCAACGACAACATCGACAATCTCCTCTTCAAGCAGATCCGCCGCATCTGCGGTGGCCGCCTCAGCGACAAGCGGCGGGTTTTCGATCGGCTCATTCGATACCATCGACCCTGCAACCCTCACGCTCAAGAACGCCTTGACGTTAGGCATTGGAAGAAGAGCACCTGTACCGACTACGTTATCATAGACTCCCAAAAAGAAACGCAAAAACCGCAACAGTGAATGAATATACCCCTTGGTTTTGAGGACGTGGACGACATGGATCGGACAGTACTTATTGCATTTCATTTCGTGTATATTGAAGCCGGACTCTAGGCAAGGCAATCCTGGTCCTCAGCTTTTGGGCGACACTTTCTTATCAGAAAGTGCTTCGTGTTTGATAGGAAAATCTAACGCAGGGGTATCCTGGACGCGGAGTATATTCGCGTCGTCGGGCCCTGCCTTACTACCATCACCACCTTCCATTCTCGCCTTTTTTGCTCTCCTTTTGATCTCGCGCTTTGAAAGTGGTTTTTCCTCTGCTGGGAGCCGATTGTCCTGATCCGCAGAAGGCACAAGGATCGACTCGGACGCCTTCCGTTTCAATCCATTGACGGTCGTTTCCTGCTCCTTTCCCTTTGCCCTTTGGTTATGAACAGCTTCATGTCGCGTACTGGTCTCCTTGCTCTCCCCTCCGGCCCTGATAGCGGCTGAGGCTTTGCCAGCCCCGTCAACGACATCGATCACACCTCGAAAACTTGTCCGTTTCACACGGGCTAATCTCACGACCTTTCCGGCTTCTTCACACAATGCTTCCTTTCCTCGCTCTTGTCCCAGCCCCCATATCATCGCCAAGTTGATCACGTCATGGGGTCCTCTCACTCCCAAGGCATTTTTGGCTTCACTGCTCAAGATGATCCCCTTGCCTCTTGTTGCCCGAATCAAGGCTGTTGCACCACTGATCAAATTTCTCCTCGCCTCATTGTTTCCTGCTGCCTGAACCGCAGGGGAGTAGCATATCTCAAAACGAATCCCACGCTGTAGTGCCCCGGAAATGGTTTTGAATTTCAACGGGAAGGATAGTCGTTGGGAGAAGTCGAGAGATATCAGATCGCACTCAAGGGATGTACAGCAGAGTTGAAGTGTCTTGTCTGTCGTGGGGCGAAGGGCGAGCAAAGAATATGCCGGCGAGAACTGAGAGAGGCGGTGGTTCTGGGTGGCGTCTGAGATGGTGAGCGTCAGTCGCGTGAGGACTGTGTTGATACTTGCTGGAATGGTGATTGAGGACAAAGGGATAGACTGAGGTGTTGGGGGCAGTTTCCCTGTGACGGAGACAGAAATAGCGACCACTGAATAGCCCAGTTCGGCATGAAAGGCGAGTGTATGAGAGAGGTCTACATGGTTAGGAGTGTACACCACGTTAAGGTCGTGAAAAGGCATGTTGTTGGCTTTGGGGGACGCAACTCTGCGCCGGTTCGAGGGCAACGACGAGCATATTGTTACTGGGGCCGCTCTCGAGTCGAGCTCCAGCACAGATCTCAGCGTTTTGCACAGAGGTTGAGTGCTGAGTTCCAAATTGGTGAAAAAAAAGTTGCAGTTGTGGTGCAGCTTGGTGGTGCCGGGGAAAATATATCCGTTGGTGGTAGCGAATGTCAAATCCAGATCCCTGCCTAGGTGGGATGGCATGCAGATCTCTGGGCTACCACACCACAGATCGCTTTCCGTGCCACAACTTCGGTTCCCTCAATTCCACCCACTTATTTCTCCATCTTCATTGTTTGGCCGATTGCCTTCAGTCACTAGGCAGTTAGTCAGTGGCCGTCTTGCTACGGGTGGCCGTGCGATTTCTCTTCACAGCTGTCCACGACGTCGTTGCACTCCTTAGCCCTACCCTGCACTCCCGTCTTCCAACGCATGACACAGCCCCACGATCTCCTCGCACCGCAGCCGACGCAACCGCAGCCATGGCGCGAGTTTACGCGGACGTCAACGCCAACATGCCACGGTCATACTGGGACTACGATTCGGTAGCCATATCGTGGGGCGTGCTGGAGAACTACGAAATCGTCAGGAAAATCGGTGAGGGCTTTCGATGAAACGGCACATGGATCATGAGGGGGAATAAAACTGACGGGGAGTGTGCAGGTCGCGGGAAATACTCTGAGGTCTTTGAGGGTATCAACATCGTGAACTACCAGAAATGCGTCATCAAGGTGCTCAAGCCGGTCAAGAAGAAGAAAATTAAGCGTGAGATCAAGATCCTTCAGAACTTGGCTGGGGGTCCCAACATTGTGGCACTCTTGGACGTGGTACGCGACAGCCAGAGCAAGACGCCCTCCCTGATCTTTGAGAACGTCGACAACACCGATTTCCGGACCCTCTACCCCCGCTTCGTGGACTACGACGTGCGTTACTACATCTTTGAATTGCTCAAGGCCTTGGACTTCTGTCACAGCAAAGGGATTATGCATCGAGATGTGAAGCCGCATAACGTTATGATCGATCATGCGAAAAGAAAGGTGAGCATAGTCAGATTGTTCAGGATTTGCTGAATTGTGACCACGGTTAATATGCTGACGATGCTGGGTTACATAGCTTCGGCTGATCGATTGGGGTCTCGCTGAATTCTACCACCAAGGCACAGAGTACAACGTGCGCGTGGCCTCCCGCTACTTCAAAGGGCCTGAGTTACTTGTCGACTACCAGGAATATGATTACTCTCTGGACATGTGGTCTTTGGGAGCAATGTTTGCTTCCATGATCTTCCGCAAAGAACCCTTCTTCCACGGAAATAGCAATTCTGATCAGCTCGTCAAAATCGCCAAAGTTCTGGGTACAGACGATCTCTTTGAGTACCTCGACCGCTACGACATTGAGCTCGACGCGCAGTATGACGACATACTTAGTAGGTTCCCGAAGAAGCCGTGGCAGAGCTTCGTCAATGCGGACAATCAACGCTTCGTCAGCCCAGAAGCTATTGACTTTCTGGACAAGCTGTTGAGATATGATCACCAGGTATGATCCACGCAGGTTGTTGACTACACAGTGGTCTTGAGGCTGACTGTTCTGCACCAGGAGCGTCTTACTGCACAGGAAGCAATGGCACATCCTTACTTTGCCCCGGTCAGGAATGCGGCAGCACAGCAACAGCAGCAGCAGAACTCCCAGAATCATGTCTCGTGATATGATCATGGCTGCTACGTCCGCCAACCCTTTTCTGGCAGTGGTTCTCGCAGAGGAAAAGAGTATGAGGCATTCAAGGAGGTTTCTCCGAATGAGTGACGAGAGATGACGATGATCCAATCTCCGCGGCGCCGCGGCAATGCAAGAACATCCGGTTCGAGAAACGGCCCAAAGATGTGGAGGCTCGAGACCAGTGAAGGCCAGGACGAGATGACGATAAAGCCCGCAAAATTGTCTTCAGGGTCAGGACAGGGATGAGGAGCTGGTAAAGGGGTTTTGTGTTGCAAGAAACCCAACTCAATTTTTTTACCCTAGCGTAATACATTCTCATATCGTATAGTTGCCTAAATTTTCCTCGCTCCGTGACTATCTTGTGACTCCGTACCCGAGCCCGAACCCGAACTGGCCTATCTGCCCATCGCAAGGCTGGCATTAACCGTACGAAAGCCATCATTTGGCCTCTAACACCAAACTGAGGAAGACGATCAACCCGGCAAAGGGCTCAGAAGACTTTCCCTCCGTCATCGATGAGCTCTGCGTTCCTTGGTTCTGTGGGCAAGACGTTCCAAGCTGTCATGACGAAGTTGCGTTGAGAATTGTTCTTGCAAGGTTGACTGATTCTCTGTCTCCTTTCACAAGCTGCTCCGCCCTCGGCTGAGAACCTGTTTCTGCTTTTCTTTCCCACCCTCCTTCTTTTTTCTATCTGTAGTTTTCTCTCGAACTCTAGGTCTCCAGTTTACCCCTGTCCCTTTAACACGAACTTGATGGGAAGAAAAGGTGACGAAAGTCAACGGAGCTCTCGTCATGTCTTGTCGCACTGTCGGCAGTGTTTAATTTCGAGCTTGTTGATCGAGAACAAATCTACATGCTATGAAGCACCCGTCCTCATCTACTGCATTTGATGCATTACGGTTATCGCAACAGATCTACCCCAAGTTTTATCGTCGGTCTGATTGTTACGGCAAGCTTGATGTGTGGGCCGATGATTACATTATTCCTGGTATCCTCCGTGGTCAAGCTCGAATGTCCTCGCTCACTGGGGCAACTTGCTTGCAAGCCATCCTTCGTCTGGGCTGAATTTGGGATTGGTTCAAGTTGAAAATGCGAGTCATTGTCGGGATCCTGGTCGCTGTCGTCTGGCATCGTGGGGGGATCAACTAACGACCGCAGCAATGAAACCCGGTCATTCTGCTGCATTGTCATCTCGCAGCCTAGTAGTTTCTCCAAGACCATGCCTCCTGGAAGACATGCCTGTCTGACCATCCGCGACTCGTTGATGGAGAAGGAATGGAAGCAAACGGGTTGCTCGTTGATGTCATGGGTGCCAAGGCGCTAAGGGGAGGCTGCATGAACGACATGCTCTCTCTTCGCACTTCTGGTTTCTTGTAAGCTTCTTCAGGTGGTTGAGTCATTGTCGATAGACTTTTGAATACATCAATTCTTGCCGTGAGGCCTTGCTACCGTGCTTGAGGTCTGTTGTTCGGGCCCGTTCGGGTTGTCGATTCGGATGCTTTCCTCCGTATTTTGCAGCACGTTCGTAGGAGCAAGGTAAGCTTGTCAGCATTTTTGAAGACCACCCGAGAACGAGTAGAGCATCCAGAACATCTGCAGCCGCACAATAGCAGTTTGGATTCTATTCAGATACCATGAGAGCGCTCCTCCAGTGGCATGGATTGAAAGAGAGACCAGATCGAGGCTTGTTGTCTGAAAGGGAGGGCATCGGCATGCCTGCCCAAAAGGTCAGGGATATCAAAGGTGAAGATCACATGGGATCTTGGAAAATGAAAACATATATTTTGGAGCTGCAGAATTACCTCCAACAATCGCAAAGACCCCTACTCAGGAAAGAGACTAACAAGAGTCAACAAACCAAAAAAAAGAAAGAGACTTATCGAAGAGTCAATAAGCGGTGGAAACAACGGTTCTAGTAGGCGATCCTCCTCCCTCGATCCTCCGATCTGAGGTCGAGCCCCAGACATGTCTGGTCGAACTAGCACCGGCTAGCAGGCAACATGTCTTCGGTTCGAACCTCACTCCTAGCGAATCGAGATGTACCAGGATAAACCAGCACCGGGCTGGAAGACAGTACATCTCACGGAAAAACCTGCCACAAGCGGGTTTCACTTCCCACCACCCCCATATCAAAGGGGCTGGTGGAAAAAGTTTTTGCATTTTTGCGCAGCTGGATTTTTTTTCCCTTGGGAATGCGATGTGTGTGTGTGTGTGTGTGTGTGTGTGTGTGTGTGTGTGTTGTGCCCTAAGGAAGTTGTTGATGGCGGCCTCCAATATCAGCTTTGCGAGGCTTCGGTTGGACATTACGCCAAGCCTGGAAAGCCAATAACAAACACTTCAGGTAAGAATATACGGTGTGTATATACAGCAGACTACACCTCGAACGTTTGAAAGAGCTCCTTAAAATACTGTGCTGTATTATGATAGCCCTTCCCTTGTTTGCTGGACAAGGAGCTGAGAAATGACAGGCAAGCGGAAAAGGTAATTCACAACCTCATATCAAGGCTATGGCGGGTATGAATGAAACCCCAGACTTTCACAAGGACCATTGCCATGGTAATCGATGACTGGTCGACTGTACCAGACAACATTCCCGGGCCGACGGCTTCCCCTCGGGGCTTTAAGATTTGTGGGAGCACCTTCCAGGTGTAACGAGCGTCAGTACGATTCGGCTTCATGTGGATCAATCTGGAAAAGGTATCACTTTTGCTGTTTGGACCGCTCTTTCTGGCTTCGTGCTTTCCCTACTCTTTTGAGATTAAAGTACACCAATGGATACAGATTGTTCAGCTTCTTGGATCCCATAAATCTAGCAAAGACTCTAGGGATTTGGAGCAAGCAGATCCAGGTTACGAAGGAAGGGTCACAATCTGACATGCCCCCCTATCAGAAGGTGGCAGCATCGGCACCATTCTACACCGTTTGATTTCCCACCCCTCGTTTTATGATGACTATTTCATCCCTCTCAAGCCGAGCTCGATAATATACTATCTCGGTAACCGATATATCCTCGAAATGGCATGGGTTCAGGGGCCGGATAGCCTTAACCTTGGCGTGGGATTGCGGTCGAGGCTTCCGGTGCCTTGCTGACCTGCATTAGTCCATGGTCATCCAATCACAAAACGCGACTTGTTGCCCAGTACAAGGGCTGCTATCGACGCATTTCTTACGTTTCTCGTGTTTGCGCCACATGGGGCCGACCTGGACTGTTTGTCAAGGCGAATTAGCGACGCTTGCTGTCGACCATGCGAATCCTGAGGAAACATCCGTGCCGGCACTGTCCCCATTTTGACACTGATTCTTCTTGTCATCTCGCTGGGCCGCGTGAGATCTGAAGTCTACTCGTCCTCGGGCGCCATGTCGGACTGCAGGAGTGGACATCCACCGACGCCACACATTGCATTGGAAAAGCGTCGTCGTGAAAGGGGGTCACCGCCCCTTCTCGTCAACAAGTGTTTATATATTGTCTGGTTCTTGTGTGAGGATGGTAAGTATCTCTTTTGATTTCATACTGATCCATGCTTTCGCTGCTCTTACTATTCGTCCGTCAAGTCGAAGAACTAAGGCACCAGCCTTAGCGGAGGAGGCTTGGTTTCCTTGCACAACGTTCAAGAATTCTCAAACCAAAGACACCTCGTGGTCCTACAATCCTCCTCTCCTTTCAACAATCCTTGTGGCTTTCGGGGACCTCGGACCAGCCTGTTCCAGTACTTTCCTGCCAATCCATTTCTTTGCATAACTCTACACTGCAGAGGTTTGGCTTGAGCAATAATGTCGGGCCCATCAGACAATCTTACGGCCCTTCTTGCCTTGCGCGACTCTCTCAATGCCTCGATTGACGCGCTCTCTTCGCTCACGCCGGAGGAGAGATCCCAGGCTCCAAAAGTCAACCCAGTACGTCAGCAAATATGGTCCACTGCTACTCGAATTGTTAGTGAAACAGCCAACCCGATGCAAGAATCAACTCGTATCGCCTTCATGGTGAGGAAGATATTGTCCCCCGCGTTGCAGCACCAGTTTGTTCATTAATGTTTTCCAGCCATGGCTGAACGCGGTTGTGCGGACCGCCTTGGAGCTAGACCTGTTCAACCTTCTTGGACAGTCTACGACTGCATCTGAGCTTGCGCAGAAGACCGGAGCGGACGTGACGTTGATAGGTGAGCTCGTTCTCGTACCGCAGGAGGCAGGACTCTGCGAAGCTATGTGCTGACATTCGTCAGTGCGCATCATGCGGGTCTTGACGGGCTTTCACATTGTCTCGGAGCTTGGGGAGGAAACATATGCCGCGACGCCAGTTTCACGGGCTCTTACCATGCCAGCCACGGCGGATTTGAACAAGCACATGTGGGTTTTACCTTCCCACTGACCAACTCATCTTGTCTGTGCCCTATTGCGAGGGATGCCATTGACGTCTTCTATGCTCTCTCAGATTTGACAGCAGTTGGGGCTGCATTGGCAAAATGCCTGCTTACCTTGCCAAACTCGGTTACAAGAACCCTGAGGAGCCTGACAATACCCTCTCACACTATGCAACAGGGACTGACTTCTTTGCGTACCTACGTAATGATCCTGCGCGCCTGGCTCGTTTCAATTCGGCCATGAAAGGCGCGGCGACGCTGGTCGCGAGCCCTGTCCCGAGCTCCCTGCTCGAGCCTGGGGCAGCTGATGGAAACGGCGTGGTCATGGTCGATGTCGGTGGAGGCCATGGCCAAGTTACGCAGAAGGTCATGGAAGAGAACCCACATCTGAAGGGACGTTTCGTTGTGCAAGATCTCGGCGCTATTATCGAGGAGGCACGCGCTAGAAATCCTGAATACGAGGTCATGGAGTACGACTTTTTCACTCCACAGCCTATTCGTGGTAAGTGCCTGTGCCATGTGATGGATTCCCTGCGTTGGACTGTCTTTTCCTTAGACGCCCTGTGCAAGAGACATGTCCCCTCGTCTCCTGCCTACCTCAACTAACGTCTACGCAGGTGCACGCATCTACTTCATGCGTCGTGTCTTACACGACTTCCCGGATTCGAAGTGCCGCGAAATCCTGCGGAACCAGATTCAAGGCATGGTCAAGGGCCATTCGAAATTGCTTGTCTGCGAGACCGTCCTGCCGGCTGTCGGGTGCAGCGGCTTCGAGTCGCTCGCGGACATCAGCCGCACTACCTTTTGCTCAATGCAACGGAGCGCCAAGCAGTGGACGGCGCTGCTGGCGAGCGTAGGCCTGAAGATTGTCCAGATCTGGCCTGCTAAGGGAGTGGGATCCTTTGCTGTCATTGAGTCAGAGCTCGAGTGAGGCACAAGGATAGAACTTTGAGCAAGAGGAACAGGAATTAGAATTTTCGCCTCAATCGTGTTGGTTTGTGCTCATAATCGACAGCTTTATTCTTCCCAAAACGAGCCATGATAGTTGAATCCAGTGCTGTACATTCCTCTGGTGAATGATGGAAGCTGATCAATGCTGTCGAAAACCCCTAGGTGGTTAGTCTTCCAAGTAGTCGTCACGTGTCACCCGCTTTACGTTCACAGAGCGGTAAAGTGTTTATGCTCGTCCGTAGTTCTAACGCAAGGTTCAATTTGCGACTCATAAAGGCCCCCCCCCCAATCAATTCCATAGCATTGTCACACTCGTATATTGAGCCTGGATCGACTCGCCTGGTCGATGCCCCCTTTTTCGTTGTATTAACCACCCTAGAATTGACTTGAGGAGCAAAAAAACAGTGCAGCCAAGCCGCAAGGCAGTCGAGCAAAATACTTATCAGATCTTTACTTCGGCGCCCTCCTGCTTGGAGACGGCTTTCTCGTTTCAACATGGCACTCAACGCCGCATCACATAACATAAGTACGTCGAGTTGTGAGTGTTGACCGAAGGGCGCAACATACGCTGACAGTCATGCAAGCTGGCGAGCCAACTGGTTCCCCCTCTGGACCACCGCCTCCAGTGTCCTCCGACATCACCTCTACGGCGAAAGGTGCGGCCGCACAAGACGCCATGGGCCAGAATGTGCCCGGAAAGGATTTGCAAAACAACGAAAAAGGCCAAACCGTAATGGGCGAAGCAGGCAAGGAGAAGACTGCAAAAGAAAGTATGCAAGATAACCTCGAAGGCCCGCATTCATAAACTCTTCACCCTCGCATTTGCGTATGGGGTAATCTGCACTACACAACATGACATGACTCACCTGAAGCCGAGTACCGGACTACCAGACGTTCCATGGTGTATGACTGGGAAAGGAATCTAAAGGGCGGGCAAGGTCTCGTAGTCATATCATTCTTTCTTCCCGCAATAACAATCCACTCGTTGCACCTATAACGTCACTGCTCTCATCCACTTCGTCCAGGGAATATCACATCTGACCATCATGCTTTCCGCAGTTGAGAAAGAACGTAAGAAGGCCGAAAAGCTCGCCAAATTCCAAGAAAAGCAGTCGAAGAAGCAAACCGCCCCCGCTCCGGCCGCTGATGCCCCCAAGACCGCAAAGAAGGAAAAGGTCCGGAAGCCCGCCGCCGTCGATGCCTACGAGCCCCAGAAGATCGAATCGGGCCGTTATGAGTGGTGGGAGGGCAGAGGCTACTTCAAGCCACAATTTACAAAGGACGGCAAGGTCAAGCCAGAGGGCAAGTTCGTCATTCCGATACCTCCACCCAATGTGACAGGGTCACTGCACATGGGCCACGCCCTCACGAACGCGCTGCAAGACACAATGATTCGACACGCAAGAATGAAGGGAAAGACGACGGCCTGGATTCCCGGCTGTGATCATGCCGGTATAGCCACGCAGAGCGTGGTGGAAAAGATGGTTTACAAGACCGAGGGCAAGACCCGGCACGATCTAGGGAGAGAAGTCTTACTGGATAGGATTTGGAGTTGGAAGGAGAAATACCACGCCAACATCACCAATCAGCTCAAACGTCTCGGAGGGTCCATGGACTGGTCGCGCGAGGCATTCACCATGGACGACGATCGCTCGTTTGCTGTGCGGAAAACGTTTGTCGACTTGTTCGAAGAGGGTATCATTTACAGAGCGGACAGGTTGGTGAATTGGTGCTCTGCTCTGTGCACCTCGTTGTCGAACCTCGAAGTGGACAACAAGGAGCTCAAAGGGCGAACGAAGTTGAAGGTGCCTGGATATGACAAGATGATCGAATTCGGCGTGCTCACCTACTTCAAATATCCCATCAGCAAAGGAGACGAATCAGACAAGTCTTCGACCTCGCCAGATCGCTTCAAGGGATATGAGTTCATCGAGATCGCTACGACCCGTCCGGAAACCATGCTTGGCGATACAGCTATTGCCGTGCACCCCGATGACAAGAGATACAAGCATCTCGTGGGCAAAATGGCCATACACCCCTTCATTCCAGATCGCAAGATCATTATCATTGCGGACGAAGAAGTGGAGATGGACTTTGGTACCGGTGCCGTCAAAATCACCCCTGCACACGATCCAAACGATTTCAGCAAGGGCAAGAAGCACAACTTGGAATTCATCAACATCCTCAATGACGACGGCACGTTAAATGCGAACGCAGGGCCCTATGCGGGCCAAAAAAGGTTCGACGTGCGTTATGCTGTCATCAACGACTTGAAAGCGCTCGACCTGTACACGAAGCAGGAAGATAACGCAATGACGATTCCGATGTGCCAGAGGAGCAAAGACGTGATTGAGCCAATTCTGAAACCACAATGGTGGATGAAAATGACTGACATGGCCAAAGCTGCGGACGAAGCTGTCCAGGACGGCCGGATCCTTATCAAACCTGAATCGGAATCACGACGCTTCCATTTCTGGATGCAGAATATTCAGGATTGGTGTATTTCTCGACAACTTTGGTGGGGTCATCGAGCACCCGCCTATTTTGTGGAACTTGAAGATAAGACAAGTGACGAAGCCGACAGCGCCTACTGGGTGGGGGCCATGGACGAGGACGAGGCTCGGGCCAAGGCAGAGAAGAAATTCCCTGGAAAGAAATTCACGCTGAGATGGGATGAAGATGTGCTCGATACTTGGTTCTCCTCCGGCTTGTGGCCATGGACGACGCTTGGGTGGCCGAAAGAGACTTCCGACCTGCGGGAATTGTATCCGACCAGCATGCTAGAGACTGGATGGGATATCCTGTTCTTTTGGGTGGCCAGAATGGTCATGTTGGGTCTGAAAATGACTGGCAATGTCCCCTTTACCGAGGTGTATTGTCATTCCCTGATCCGAGATGCAGAGGGACGGAAGATGTCTAAGTCCTTGGGCAACGTGATTGATCCGCTGGACATCATCCGAGGTATCACTTTGGAGGATCTTCACAAAACATTGTACGCGGGCAACCTTGATCCAGCTGAGATTGAGCGCGCCAAAACATACCAGAAGACGGCGTTTCCTAAAGGCATTGAGGAATGCGGTGCCGACGCCCTGCGGTTTACTCTGGTGAATTACACCACTGGTGGGGGCGACGTGGCCTTTGACATCCGGGAGATTGAAGCAAAGCGACGGTTCTGCAACAAGATCTACCAAGCGACCAACTTTGCGCTTGGAAGACTCGGAGGAGACTTCGTCCCTGATGCGAGACCAACGGACAACAAACCACAATCACTGGCAGAGAAGTGGATTCTGCACAGACTCAACATCGCCGCGCAGGAGGTCAACGATGCCATTGAGGGGCGGGAGTTCTCTGTGGCTGCAGGCACTCTCTATCAATACTGGTTCACCCAGCTGTGCGACACATTCATCGAGAACTCGAAATACATCCTCACCCCGGACGCTCCTGAGGAGGAGAGAAAGTCGGCTCAGCAGACTTTGTACACAGCGCTTGAGGGTGGTCTGCTGCTGATGCATCCTATTATGCCCTTCTTGACAGAGCACTTGTGGCAGAAGCTTCCCCGTCGGAAAGGTGACACGACTGAGAGTATCATGATCGCGAAATTCCCCGAGTTCAACGAGAAATTGGACGCTCCTCAAGAAGCTCAGAAGTACGAGTTCATCATGGACATTGCGTCGGGTATGCGAAGCTTGCTCTCGCAATACGCCTTCAAGGAACCCGGAGACCTGATCATCCAAACTTACTCGGATTCAGCTTTCAAGACTGTGTCGGAGGAACAGACGTCCATCAAATCTCTGGGTGGCAAATATGCTGGCAAGATTGAAGTCCTGCCACCGGCTACGAATTCCATCCCACCGGCTGGGTGTGCTCTGCAGAGCATCAGCGCCGATGCGGCCGTGTATCTCAAGATTGCTGGACGGATTGATGTGGCTGAGGAGCTGAAGAAGCGCCAGAAGAGCATTGAGGATGCCAAATCCCGCGCGGAGAAGAGCAAGAAGATCATGAGCGGAGCCGGGTGGGAGAAGGCGAGCAAGGATACGAGGAAAAAGGAGGAAGAGAAACTGCAGGACGCCGAGAGCGAGGTGAAGAGATTGGAGGAGGCAATCAAAGACCTGGAACGGTTGAAGCTGGAGGGTTGAAGAGACGCAGGGGCGGTCACAGGAGAGTTGAAGTATAGACCTTCACCTTCACCTTCACGATTGTTGTATCAGAATACTAGCATTTGTCGAAAAGTCCCCATGAAAGAGGATGTAAACCACAAAATCTTACTTTTTACAGAAGACCCTATATTCAGGAGATGCAGCCTTGCCGGGGAATACGGGAGGCTCGGCTGGGCCTTTGTCCGCAGAATCTTTTCCCAGGATACTGGATATTGTCGATTAAACCGAGCTCACGAGCAGCAGATAATGGGAGACAGGCTGTAGAGGTCGTGTGGACAGGGGGAAAATACCTACGAGGTATATAGCCTAGTGATAACAAGTTGAAAAGCCCAGCGATCTCGGGGAGTGGCGGGAGAGATGCCCGTCGAGTTCCGGGAGCACAGAGGATAGAATCAAGAATACAGTATATTAGTACGAACTATTATTTGACTTCGTCGATTATTCCTAAGACACATGGAGCTTGCTGTGGGCCTCTGCGACGCGTCCAATTACGTGCTCCCCAGTCATACACAGCTTGTGTCGAAATTTTGTAATTATTCTGTCTGCAGGGGTTTTTCTAGTCAGTCTCCGGTCTCGCCGTCATATGAGCAGCATGGGTTGAAGAGAGAAAGCCCAGAGTAGAGAGGTCAATTGACAGTTTTTTGGTTCTTCTTTTCTCCCCTCTCTCTCCCCTTCCCCCCTGCGTTTGCGAGCTGCGCGTCTCCTCCCCCCAAATGCCGCTGACGCACTGGCTCCGCGCTGAAACGCGACACATGCCCTCCTGTCAACGAGCCTGTCTCAGCATTACCAACTCGGGTCCAATCCTGTTTCGGGGTCGAGGATGCAGAGCCGCAAGCTGCTTGTCCTTTCTTCATAACAGTAGATTGCATGCTCCCCGCCGTATTTCGCCATCGTCCTTCCCAGTCTTTAGTCCCCTCCCGAACGGCAGTCCTCCAGCCTCACGATCGCCAATGACGCGCACGAGCACCCAGCAGCAGTCGAGAGGTCATGCAGGGCACTCGCACCACGGCCACGGCCACGGTCACGCACACGATACCTCCTACCTGACCTCCCAGAACAAGAATGATGCCGGAGTCAGGATCACAAGAATTGGGCTGTTCGTCAACCTGGGCATGGCCATTGGGAAAGGGGTCGGAGGTGTCGTGTTCCACTCGCAGGCACTGATTGCCGACGGCTTCCACGCCCTCACCGACCTGGTGTCCGACTTCATGACCCTCGCCACCATCTCGTGGTCCCTGAAACCCGCGACGAGCCGATTTCCCAGTGGATATGGCAAGATTGAGAGCTTGGGTGCGTTGGGAGTGAGCGGGCTGCTGCTCTTCGGAGGTATTGGGATCGGCTTAAATGGTTTGGATGCCCTTTATACACAGTTCATGCTCGATCCTGCGGCTGTGGTGCATGCCCATGAGCATGCGGAACATGGCGGTGGGGGGCTGTTCTCGTTTCTAGGACACAGCCATAGCCATGGACCTGCGTTACCAGACCTCAACGCTGCGTGGCTTGCGGCGGGCTCTATTGTGGTGAAAGAATGGCTATATCGAGCGAGTAAGTCGCAGCTTGGACGCCGACCCTCTATACGCGCCTGCTAACTTGGCCCTACAGCTATGAAAATTGCCCGAGAACGCAAATCGTCCGTTTTGGCCTCCAATGCAGTCCATCACCGCATCGATTCCTTGACCAGCATCGTGGCCCTTGCCACTATTGGTGGCGCACACATCTTTTCGGACGCTTCGTGGCTTGATCCCGTGGGCGGGCTGGTGATTTCAGCCATGGTAATAAGAGCAGGCTGGAACAACTCAAAGACCGCTCTCCTCGAGCTCGCAGATGTCACCGTGGACGATGAGATCAAGAGCCTAGTCCGTAGAGCTGCGTCCAGAGCTCTGAAAGGCGATACCGCAAAGGGTATTGAGCCGGTTGAGTTTGGCAACGAGACAGAGATCAGAGACATCCAAGGGGTTAAATCGGGTCAGAACTATCTGATAGATATCGAGCTCGGGGTGCCCAAGGACTTCACCCTAGAGCAGATGCAGAATATCGAAGAGGCTGTGCGGGAGAGATGTGGCTCGAAAGTCCGCGGAGTCAGACGGGTTCGCGTCAAATTTGTCCAGCTGGGAGATATGGATGCCACCCTTGCCGGCGACTTCATTGCTACGGACGTGAGTCCAAGGAGCAGCCCAGAGCCGGAAGATGAACGTGATGAGCATGGCCATCACCACCACGAAGAAGGGCAAGGACATGACCATCCTCACCAACACTTGAATGGCCATGCCACGACAGCGAGCAAAAAGAAAAAGGATTCCTGAGCCGTTATGGGAGCCTCTTTTGGTTCCAGCGTGGCAGCGGAATATTACGTCGGGTGATATCAGGCTGATATCATTGCGCCAAGAGACCCATTGAAAACGCTGCTCCCCTCATCACCGACGCGCATTTACTCCACCTCTGCTTTCATCGCTTGGGAATCTCCTCTATTCTTGAAGGTGTGAGTACTTGTTATGTTTGACGTACGGTCAACGAAACAGTGTGCCTGGTCATCCGTTCAGCATCCAAATCAACAACTATCTGGTCAGATCCCGCACCATGACCTCCACCGGACCTCTATATCTCGGCTTCGACCTATCCACCCAACAATTGAAAGGGCTGGTCGTCGACTCCAGCCTAAAAAAGATCCATGAAGCCAAGTTCGACTTTGACGCCGATTCCAAGGGTTTCAACGTGAATAAGGGCGTTCTTGTGAATGAAGCCGAACATGAGGTTTTTGCACCAGTGGCGATGTGGCTGCAAGCCATTGACACGCTGCTGGGTCGGTTGAAGGACGACGGCCTCGATTTTGGACGTATCAGGGGGATCAGCGGCTCAGGCATGCAGCATGGGAGCGTCTTCTGGAATGCCGATGCGGAACAACTGCTTTCTCAGCTCGATCCCTCCAGGACTTTAGAGTCGCAGCTCGACGGTGCATTCGCACATCCGTTCAGTCCCAACTGGCAAGACGCCAGCACGCAGAAGGAATGTGACGAGTTTGACGCCATTCTAGGCAATGAATCGCAACTAGCAAATGTTACGGGCAGCAAAGCACACCATCGCTTCACGGGGCCTCAAATCCTCCGATTTCAACGTAAATACCCCGATAAATACATCAAGACTTACCGAATCACGCTTGTGTCGTCTTGGATCGCTACCGTCTTCCTCGGAAAATATGCCCCATTCGACATCTCGGATGTCTGCGGCATGAATCTATGGGATATCAAAGCCGGCAATTGGAATGAGAAACTGTTGGAACTTGCTGCAGGACCCTCCGGGATAGACGCGTTGAAGAAGAAACTGGGCGATGTGCCCCAAGATGGTGGGATCCATCTAGGCACCATTTCTCCCTACTTTATTAAGCGCCATGGCTTTTCGAATGAATGTACCATTATCGCCTCGACTGGAGATAACCCATCCACCATCCTTGCATTGCCGCTGCGCAGCAACGATGCTATGGTCAGCTTGGGCACAAGCACCACCTTCTTAATGTCCACGACCGAGTATAAACCGGATCCGAGCACACATTTCTTCAACCACCCGACGACACCTGGATTGTATATGTTTATGTTGTGTTATAAGAATGGTGGGCTGGCGAGGGAGAAGGTTCGCGACGCCATCAATGAGAAGCTAGGGGTCAAAGAGAAAAACTCGTGGTCAGAGTTTGACAAGCACTTGCTTGACACGCCACCGCTTGCACAGTCCGACGAGAAAGACTCGGCGCACCTAGGGCTTTACTTCCCCCGTCCTGAGATTATTCCTAACCTCCCGGTTGGAGAATGGCATTTCGCCTACAGCCCTCAAACTGATGAGCTCAGGCCTGAGAAATCCGTCCCGCAGCCCCCGGAACAAGATGCGAGGGTCATTGTGGAAAGCCAATTCCTCTCTCTCCGTCTCCGCTCAAGGGAACTCGTCTCGAGCCCGGCACAGGACATGCCGCCACAGCCACGCCGCATTTATTTGGTAGGGGGCGGGTCGCGCAACAAGGCCATCGCGCGGGTGGCGGGTGAAGTCTTGGGCGGTTCTGAAGGCGTATTCAAGCTCGACGTCGGCGAGAACGCGTGTGCTCTGGGCGCCGCGTACAAGGCCGTGTGGGCGATTGAACGCCAACAGGGCGAGACGTTCGAGGAGTTGATCGGGAAGAGGTGGCGGGAGGACGAGTTTGTCGAGAAGATCGCAGACGGATACAATGCTCCGGTGTGGGAGAGGTATGGTAGCGCCCTAAAGGGGTTTGAGGAGATGGAGAGGAGGTTGTTGGCAGAGCACGAGAGGAAGTGAAAAGTATAGTGTGGGAATCCAGTCAGTCTACCAGAGGCACTCTGGCGGGCTAAAAGTTATCAAAGATCGAACCAGAAACAATACGTTGGCCATGACCTCGATATTCATCCGTCCACGCACATATGATGTTCCAGGGTACATAGACGGGTACCTTCCATCGTCCTGGTCCTGGTCCACACGCACTGGGACGGATAGACAGAGGCTAGGAGTAGACCAGGTCTGGCGCTCCGAGACTAGACGGGATGAGACAAGACAAGATAATATAATACATCAAGCTACGAGGAAAGTCGGGTTTAGTAGTAGCTGTGCCTGTGGACTCAGTCGGACCAGTAGAGGCTCAAGCAGCGCCTCAGCATTCTCCCATTTCTTCCTCCGGCAGGTCTGGCTCTGTTGGTGACCTCTTTGTTCCTGTTTGTTTGCCTAACAACGAACAGGGCGGAAGGGGAATAGATAGATATCAATAGTTGTGTCCTTCAATTCAGGCGGGGGAGAAGTGCTGCATTTCTTGCTTGGAGGAGGGGACGGATAGGTAGATAGATCCATCGGTCAAGTATAGGGAGTTAGTGCTTCTGATAGAGCTTGCGGGCCGAGTCGTCTGTCTGTTCAGGGCCTCTGAACGTCAGTTCGAGGATAATCCCGTAGCGTTTCAAGGCAGCCTTCTGGCTGTATAGACCGTTTCCTGCTCGGAAACTGCCTCGAGGCATGCGAAATACGGGAGTCTTCTCACTTGGAATGCTCTTGATCCGCCAGGGTATAGTAACCAGAACCAGCTTCGGCTTGCTTGTTCCCGCCATCACTTTCCCAAGAAGTGCCCATTTCCCCCCTTAAACGCCGTTCTTGCCATATCATACGCGGTACAAGGCCCCCTTCCGTCCCGCTTCACTTGAAAAATCGTCCCATCACGTTGCTCGCAAGACTTCTGGCAAGTCCGGAGCCCGAGAAAGCTGACCCGGCGAAACTCGACGCTTGGCTGAACTTGTCGCAGCGCGAGAAGGCAACCGTGTTGGTGACTGTGAGGATCAATGCGATCACTGCGTGCAGGATTGTCAGTATTTCACTGGTGAGAGCCTGGAAACATGAGAAATACGTACCAACCGTCACCAGCCAGATGAGATTTTGCAACCTCACCAGTGCGAGAATCGCCAGTCCCACCCACAATGCCGGCACAATATACATGCTCAACCAGAAGAATCTCTTGTCCGTCTTGTTCTCTGCCCTGCCCGTCCCCGCGGCCGACTCAAAGACCCAGTGCGAGTCGCCCGTAGCGGTGTTGACTTCATTCCACCAGCGAAGCCCCACAAGACGGCGGCCAGCGATGTTCTTGAGGTAGTAGAAGTCGATGGACAGCAGGAGGAGGGTGAGGATGAAGACGAGAACAAAGTTGCGAATGAAGAGCACGCCGAAGAGATACATGAGGAGACTCCCTGAGCTCGAGTGTTAGTAGAGAGCATCTCTTCCATTGCGGTGGATAGCGTTGGCAACGTAGAAAGGGGACGACGGGGTTTGGCTTGGACGTAGACACACCTATTCGGAAGCCTAGATATGTGAGGAGAGTGATGGGATGGGCACTGAGGCGCCAGTTGAGGGAGCCAGGCTCATCTGCCATGTCGAGTCAAATCCTGGGGTTTATATTGTGTGCAGAGTGCGTCTCATGTTCAAGCAGGACAAGTTGGGACCGGAAGGAGAGTGAGTGCACGCGTTGAAGCACATGAAATGCATCCACGTCTGCGTCAAGGCGGGCGGAGAGGACCAGCCTGGCGCCTTGCCGCTTTAACATTATTGGTGGACTACCGACTACATTCGGGTTGCTCTCGTCCAACCTAGATCTTTCCTATTACCAGCTGCACCTCAACAAACGCATCACACATCACATCCATCAATGTGAAGGAGAACATCCGAAGGCTGGATGGCTCCCCCAACTACGACAGACTGATAATGTCACCTTCCCTTCCTCCCCGTCCCGCGAGATCTCCCGCAAGAGCAGCTCAGAACACCACTGTCCGTCTGCCTAGTCATCGAAAGATTCGACCCTTGGTCTATGCAATTGGGATCGCCGGCATAGTTGCGTCGGGGGCATTCATCGGTGCGATCCTAAAGACTAGCAGGCAACAAGAGGCTGCGAGAAAAGTGAGTCAGATTCATCATATCGTGTCTCGTTACCAAACTCTCCCCATCACAAGCGGACTCCCCGTCTCTGATCAAATGTCACCCACCCCAAGATCTGAGACGAATACACCTGTCCTGCAATGAACCAAAAGCTAACAAACCCTCTATCCTCCCTCCAGCAAGCGCAGAAATCCTTGACTCCGTCGGCATTGTCCAATCAAACTCCGAACGAAGAAACAAGCCCGCAAGTGGGAGCAGCTGAATCCATCGCCGTGGCTGTGGGTGACAACAAGGTGTTCCTTGGATCTCTTGAGATGTTAGAGACGAAGCGTGCCCAGCTCCTGGGCCAAAAGGCCGCATTGGAACGAAAGCTTCGAGACTTTCGAGAGTCTCAGCGGAGAAGAGCCGAGGAAGAGAGGGAGAGAAAGGAGTTTGGGTTGAAAAGATGAGGCTGTGAAGCTCGCCTCCTGGTCATGCTGGCCGGTCGAGAATCAATCTTCCAACGGCATCTCTCATCGCCCTCTCATTCGGCGGTCTCAACGGAAGCTCTGTGACCACGACGCCGTCAAAGGTCCTCGTTCGAACAATACCGAATGGCCCACGAGCCACGCGGATCGCCAATGGATCTTGTCCAATTTGCACAACATCGGCGGCACTGGCAACGACATTGGCAGGGCCTAAATCAACTCCGCCCCCGGTGTATCCCTGTTCCCGTCCTTGCATCAAGCGACGATCATGGATCCCTTGCATTATCCATGCCTGGTGTGCCATGGCGGCCAGAAAGTCAAGCTTGAAGTCTTGTTGGGCTATTTGAACGGCGGTCGCGAGATCGACTTCGTCCATCCACACATATTCCTCATCCGAGCTGTTGGCAGGTTGGATTTGCACACTCGGGCCAGGCTGTTCAGGACGACCGTCGTCAATTCCGGCTCGTCCCTGATTAGATCCGAGTCGATCTGTCTCTGCTGGCTGGACGGGTTCGCCTTGCTGCGAGGTTTGGAGGTGTTCAGCAGTCTCAGCATGTTGGTGATGTTGCAGCTCGTTCATGGCCTGATTCTGAATTGTCTCTACGCGCTGACAAGGGTCATCATGCCAGTGCATGTTGGCCGGAGGAAAACGCTGCACGTGCACGTTCTCGTGTGGTTGGAGGGAGTGCCATGTCACGGTTCGTGTGCCTGGGATGCTGCCTTTGCATATGTTGCATGGTTTTGGAGTGTAAGAGTATACTACGTGCAGATTGTGCCCTGTGCAGAGCCACCCTCGAAACCGTGCTGCAAGACAGCGACGAAGCTCCAGCTTTTGCTCGAGCACTTGTCCACATGAGGAGCACACTGAGCCGTTTCGCTTTTCCTCACAACAACACATCGTGAGTTGCTGCCTAAGGTAGAGATGTCAGGAATCGCACATGTGCCTGGAGTTTATGCTCTTTTCATAAAGCTATCATGCATCGAATCATTCAGTGGTTTAATAGTTGGATCATTCCCTGGGGTTCAGTCCTCTTTCATTCAGGGCCTGTGTTTTTAGGGGCTCTAGCGCCGTCTATGATTGGCCCGACCACCTTGGAGTTGCCCAATTGTCTTTCTGACCAGTCACATCTCTGCCAATTATCTCTCACGCTAACTGTCTCTTACTTTAGAGGTCTCTTACATTAGAGGTCTCTTACATTAGAGGTCTCTTACATTAGAGGTCTCTTACTTTAGAGGTCTCTCACTTTAGAGGTCCCTCACGTCAGGTGTCCCTCACGTAAAGTGTCTCTCTCCCCAAGTTTCGTTCTCGCCAACTATCTCTCCCCAGCGACAGTCTTTCGAGGCAGACTTGTACATGCGATAACATATCCCGGACACCTTTTTTCCCATCCTGACAAGCTCCCCACCACAAGAGAAACAAGCCACGAGGTGATTTTCGCAATCAGTCTTTGCGAGCGTCTGCGTGCGACAACATAGTTGCTACAAAACCATTACTTTCCTGGCAAAGTTTTTCGTAGAGCCATCATTTTCCGTCGTTTTGTCAACGATCAAAAGGTCAAGAATTCTAAGGCCTACAACGAACTCTTAAAGCTAAGCTTGCTTGAATTTGCTCTCTTGACGGTTTGCTTCAGAGAGCGTGATCTTCCTGATATTCATCGTCGGCTTTTCCGATGCTACTTCAAAGCATCATCTATTAAGGATTTTGTCGCCCAATGTTCTTAAGACGCTCTGCTCTGGCAATCAATCCTCAGGAATTTACGAGTTGCTGGGCCAACTGGAGGTTCAACGCCTCGCCGCATAGCAACTTTGCCTATCTCTACAAGACCGCCAACGACCATGATGCCTTCGATGCTCCCGGTCCCCGTCTCGGAGTGCCTACGTCCGAGACCTCAGACGAAATCCATGAAAACAACCACACATCGACCACGCGTGAACTCTTTCTGTCGACATCACGTTCCCAAATTGTGGCCCTAGGAGCCAGCCAAACGGTGGGCAGTCATGGCGATAAGACATGAGATAGAATACAAACTCATGCGATGTCCAGACGCTGTGCGCAAGGATGACTCTCTCTTGAAAGTTCGCTCACTGCTGGATCATAGTTACCATGTTTGGTTCGTGAGATGTCGTGGCCGATTAAGAAAGAGCCCTTTGATCTGCGACTTAACTTAACGTGGCGTAGTGCATATCGTTCGCGGCCGCGGTGGCACGAATAGAGGTATAGATATATTGCTATGGTCTTAAATGGCCTGTTGGATTCTGAGGTCGCGATTTGGTGCCATTTGAGCCTGATGAAACAACAGGGTAGTGGTAGATTGAGAAAACGCGTGTTGCAAAACTTGGTGCGGGTACTTATGCACATAGTGCACATACTGGACGAGGAACATCGAAGACGCAAACTTGTTATTGTCATTCCCCCATCGCGCGAATAAGTCAGCGCGTGCGTAATATTTGGATTCCCATCGATGTCCAATGACTCGAGACAAAAGTTTGCATAGATGCCATGCAAAAGCAGAGAGACCCGAAAACCCGCACACATATCTCACACAAAACTCCAGCTCGAAACCTTTGTCGACCCACGTGTGCCATTTACCTTCACACCCACCCCCTCCCCTTGGACGTCTCCCGTGTTGCGAAATCCACCAGTATTCCCGAAAAATGCTGCTCCACATTCCGTCTAGACCCCTTTCCTTACCTAGCCGACGGAAGCCTCACCCAAGAGAGCCACACTTGTAAATCCGCTGGACCGTGTCTGAACGAAACCCTACTTCTTCGACGAGGGGCCAAAGTCGGCTTCCACAGCTTTCTGGGCGTTGCGTTGCTTCTCGACCTTGAATTGGGCCACGATTGCAATGTGATCACTGGGGAAGTGGAAATTCGGGAAACCGGGAACGCGCTTCAGGTATTCGGGGTCGATGGCCCCAAGCAGTCCAACCACGCGCAAGGAATTGCTCGAGTACCAGATGTAATCCAAGACGTCGACAAAATTTGGCGTATAATTCGTGAACGGCATTTCTCCATCAATGGCGGCATAGGAGGACTTGAGCGTAAAGTTGTGGGACATACCTGCCCGGGAGAAGGCGCCATAATCTCGGCCGTCCAAATCGGCGTGCTCAGCATTCAGACCCTTCTTGGTGAAGAGATCGTAGACGGCAGATCCTGCTCCCGAGTTGAAGTCTCCACAGATGATCATGGGGATCTGGGGACCCGACGTATACGACAATGACGGCCCAGGGTCCGGGAGCGGGTCGTCTTCTGCGTCAGAGAAGCGGAAGGCCTGCTTGTTGGTCGCCGGCGGGAATTTGGCGTACTTGTCCGTGAGCTTGGACAATTCCTCCATGAGGACAGCCGCTTGGATCAGTTTCACGTCTTTGAACGCCGGATCCCAGTAGATGTGAGCATTCACGACAACCACGCGAGAACCAGTGACACGGTTTTCCAAGAACACAACCGTCGCAATGTCGTCTCGCTGCCAGACCCGGTTGAGCATGTCTGCCGAGGCTTTGGCACCAGGTCGCTCGACCGCTTTTCTTCCAAGAACAAGATGTTGAGTGTCCAGCACCATATATTTCTTGTCTTTCCAGAAGGTGCCGCACCCATCGACAAACCTCGCAGCGTCACCCAGCGTCTCAGCACGGCTTTTCTGTGCGTAGTATCCCTTGTAGCCCGATATGGAAAGTTCGCCGCGGAAGTAATCATCATAGCTGCACCGGTCTAGTTCCTGAAGGCAGACAATGTCGGCGTTCATCTCCCGGATCTCTTCGAGTATCAAAGTCTTGCGGAAGCCCCAAGTCAGAACGCGTTCGGGAACGTAGCCATACTGCTGCTGCGTTGCGTAGCGGTCGCACAGAATGTTGTAATTCAACACCTTGATAGTGTCCTGCGTGGGGTCATTCTCGTCGATTTCCTCGATCTGGTGCCATTCTCTTTCTCGCGGAGGCGGGGGTTCTAACGCAACATTAGCTGTGGAATCGCAACAAGCAAATATATGGGACAGACCTGGCATGCTCTCGCGGAGATATTCAATCAGTTTCCTTGTCCCGCCCTCCGTAATCTTGTCGCGTTGCCCTTGCTCCAGTGGATTCCCATAGACGCCGAGCATCTCCAATTTGTACAAAAAGCCGAGTTCGTAACACAGGGTCTGAATGTGGTTATTGAACAGGAGGAGCTGCTTGAGGTTCGTGAGCATGCCGATCTCTTCTGGCAATTCCGTCAGTTGATTAAAGGAGACATCCAGATGTTCAAGGTTCTTTAACTGCCCAATCTCCGGCGGCAGGGCTTCTAGTTGGTTATATACAAGGTCGAGGCGTTTCAAGAAATGGTAGGACGGATTGAACAGCACCGGGGAAAGCGCACAGAGGCCCTGGCCTCCCAGATCCAGCTCATCCCAGGTTTGTCTGCCTGAAGACTGGCCATTTGATGTGGTTGTCCGAGCGTTGTCCGTCTGAAGATCCTCCGCAGCGGCCCCTAACGGGACGTAGTTGACGCCCTTGGAGTGATGCGCCACGGTGCGCGCGCGCTGATTCGGGCCGTTGAGATCTTTGCTTTCTTCCCAAAACTGTTTCTGTTCCCTCCAATATTCGTTGTCCGGCTCATCTGTATCGTCGTGCGGTAGTCCATTACCATTCCCGTTCGAGAGATGCTCGTGAGCGTAGGTGGGTAGATGAGGGGTTCCGGATTGAAAACCACCTGAAAGATTGTGTTGATGTCCTAATTGCCCAGCATGATGGTGTTGCCCGTGGTGTTGAGCCACGGCGTGATGGCCATGATGGGGTGGCTGGTATTTTGGCAGGTGAAGATTCGCGTAACGTTGATGGGTTTGCGCTCCGTTCATGAGGCTGTGCTGTGTCTGGTATCCATTCTGAGAGTACATATTGAAGTTGTGCGCGACGGAATGGCCCACGGGCGATCTCGAGGGAGAAGGGGTGTCGTTGGTGTAAGGTCTCCGTGCGCCAGAAGGCGAGGTGGCTCGATTCTGATTCCGATGCGAGGTGTGTTGGGTGGGGTAATACTGCCCGGCTCCAGGCTGGTGGAACCGGAACGCACCATCTGCCATCTAACACGGCAGCGCGGTATGGCGGGTGAATTTTTCTGCTTGTGAGGCGGAAGCGTAACAAGAGGGAGGCGGAGGGGCTGGGACGACTCGGAGCGTTGTGGAAGGTCGAGCGGAGGGCAAGCAGAGTCTTCGTTTCTTCAACATGAGATCCGGCGAGGGACTCGGTGTCGATTTGGACAGACTGGCGCAGCTCGGAAGGGTTCAGGGTAGCCGGCACCGGAGCGTTCGATGGGAAAAACTGAGGAAACGGTGATTTGTGGAAAGGATAAAGGTTGAGCAAAGGGAAAGCTTGAGGACAGATCGTACAGCTGCGATGCCGTGGACTGGGGTTGTCACGCGTGCACTGCGTGAAGGTACGGGGTGTGGTGGACTGATTGGATATTGAGCTGATATACGGCACAGATATCAATGAAGATGGTCAACGAGCGAGTGTCGAAAAGGTGTGTCGATTTGCGCAGGGGAGAGGGCTGTCAGGGTGGGTGGGATAGGACTTTGTTAGAGCACGATGCACCTGACTGGGCACGACTTGGGTGGTGCCGGTGGCTAAGAGGCTAAGAGCGCCGTCCTGGCGCGGCACAGGGCGTCTTGGCATTGTTTCAGCGTTTGTCTATTGCCTCCTGGGAGTTGCAGGTTTGTCTTCTGTCTAGCTGGGTGCAGTATTGGATGTTGCTCACATTACATCCATACGACGTGTTGTGCCTGTGTCCTTTTTTCATTGTCCGTCACCCTCTACGAGCAGACAAAATTCTATACGATGTAGCTCACACCAGACATTGCATCTAACTGTGTCCTCTCGTTGGCGGAAGCCCTCTCCTCTGCTCCCAAAAAATCCCCTGAACAACTCGTATGCCATTGCTCTGCTAAGTGGCTCGATGTGGAATGCTATTTGTCGATCCAACCTCGACCTCTCTGGGTTATGAGAGAGGTGACTTCGTGCAGCTCCCCAGACATCAGGATTCCGTCGTAGGTTTGGAAGCCGCAGAGACGCATGGTGGGTGCCTCAAATGACTCCTCGGGCTTACGGTGGCAGTCTCGGGGAATGTGTCGACCCTTTCGGAAAGTTCTCGCCCGGATTTGTCGGGCTGAAGCTGAAGCTGATCCTGACTGAGTGCGTCTCTGCTGCTTTCTGAAGGCTGCCCTCTCTCCAGCCACTCTTCAATTCCTGTGGGTCATCCATGAGCTTCTACCGATTCGCTCTTCTGGGAACCCCTTGACACAATCGTTCAGGAATATCGCTGCTTCATCGATCGGTATTTTTTCAGGAAGTAAAGCGCCTCGATCTCTTTCTTCACAAATTCTGCTCGTTTGATCCCTTGACGTATCTGCTCTTCATCCGTCAGATGAGCCTTGGACATGAATGCCTTGTGCAACCTGGGTCGGAAATAGTCATAGCCCAGCGGATAGTGCTTGCCCATCTCCAGCAGCTCTGCAGATGACCTTAGTCTAGGAGCTTGGCCAAGGGAACAGGATGGTTTTGATGGCTCCCCTACCTTTGTATACGCCGATCACTTGTCTTCTGAGTTCCAAGTTCATTTTGTTTCGGCTGTTCAATTGAAGTCCATGGCCAGGTCCTAACGGAGTGAGGCTGGATGATGTTCAGACGAAGTGACGTCGAAGAAGAAGCGAGCGCCAAGACTCCTGGCACCCGTCCAGGTGTTCGCACTGCGTACTCGCGTAATTATTCTTATCTAGTATGTCTCCTCCTTCTCATATCCTACACATCTCCCCACACAGTCCGACCTCATCTCCTCGTCGAGTTCTTTATCAAAGTGATAATTTGCTTTCATCCAGTGTTTACTCCAGGGTTCACTACCAACGTCCAACCTGTGTTCAGGATACATGTCCCTCATATTGGGACAAAAGGGACCACAATGTGACTGTCATACTGGCCGCCAAAGTGCAAAGTATGCTTCCCCTTGTTTCCTGTGTGGAATTGCCCACGCAACGGAACGAACTCTGCCAATGTCATCTGATGACCTGCGACCCTAAAGATCAGCTTTTCACCGGCCTCGAATTGGATCGCTGCCGGCCACATCCCAATTTCCAGCTTCACAATATGACCTGGTGAAATCTTCCGCTCCTGTGTGTGATCATGGGCCAGCCAGTGAGGCTTGGATAGTTTCGGGTCGAGAGTACGGTGGCTTGCCCGCAAAATGCCAGATGGCCCAATGTATTTCAGGCTGTTGATGTCTTGGACCTCTTCTTCAGACGTTAACCCAAGCACGTCCAGGGGAATGTTGAGATTTTGCAGGACCTTTCCATTCCGGTCGGCTTTGCGAATGATCACAAAGACATCCATGTCGTCGTGGTCGGCACACGACATGTATATGACCGCTCTCGACGGACCGATGAGAGTGGATTTTTCAGTGAACGAGTAGACGAACTCGGCGAATTCAGGATCGTTGTCAATCTGCTCCGCTGGGGCATCTGACTGATACGAAACTTTGCCTGATACAGCAGTCCCGGGCACGTCTTCCAAGGACTGTTCCCCGGAGAGCCATAGTGTCTTGTACTGAGTCTGAGGGATCGGCCAGGTCGAGAAGGGGATGTTGACGATCGGGGTCTGATACAAGGTGTGTCAGTCACGTTGCTCTCGCTCATGGGCACCACTCGCTGACCTGATTATAGCGGATTACGGAGACTCGAGCCTTGGGAGTCTCCTCCCAATCATTCTTGATGCCTTTGGTGTAGAAGTCCAGGAACTTTCTCAAGTCATCAATGGTCTCCTTCTGGTACAAATCGTGCCATTCCTGGGTTGGATGCAAGCGGAGCCTAAGTCAAGCAGTTCGTCAGTCTTGGTCCGCACAGGTATCAACAACCTAGTATGCTGACCATTTTTTGTCGTGTGGTATGTCTTCAAACCCCCTGATCGAGCCAACAGTGTGCAGTCCAGTCGACATGCTGGCAAGTATGTAAGCAGGCACGTTGATCAGGTCCACCTTTGCCCGCTTGTCCTCCCAGTATGCATTCATGAGCGGATACTTGGCCAGCATTGCAATCGGATCCTCCTGTAGGTTCTCCCCTGGCGGCACGAGGAGCCATTAGTAGTGCTCTTCTGCGTTTGATGACGTCCTCGTTCCACTCACCATACAAGCCATGATCCCTCAGAAAGTGCCAAAACGGCAGATACGGCACGCCTCCGCGACAGAGGGATTCGCGATACATGTCGCTCAGGCCTTCCAGTGGCAGAATGCAGCTCAGATGAGGAGGCCTCTCTGCGGCAATGTACCACTGAGCCATGGCCAGCCAAGAGACACCGATCAAAGCGACATGGCCATTGCACCAAGGCAAGCCTGCTATGAACTCGACGGCATCATGGCCGTCCCGTCCCTCGGCAGTTCCGTTCCATCTGAGGCAGTCAGCATGTGAAGCGACCGGAAGAAATCGACATGCGAACCTGTGATTTCCTTCGGATTTGAAGACGCCCCTGGCATCGATATTGACTACAGCGTAGCCGTGGGCAGTCCACTCGGCGGGATCTGGTGCCTCGAAGGACTCCAACCCGGAAAGCATGCTTTTTGGAATTCCGACTCGGCCGGGAACCAGATCTAAACCCAGAAAGCCTGCATGAAACACCACGAGTATCAGTGACTCCTTTCTCAAGGCACACAACTGTGACAACCACATCACTAACTAGACGCTTACCTGTTCCAGATTTCCCATACGGACCCCAAGCAATCAAAGCGGGGACCTTCTCGTTGGCGTCCGCAGGTCGAAAGATATCGGCGCGAAGGATGATCCCATCTCGCATCGGCACCTCGACATCACGGTCCCAGATCGTTGCGACTTCGAAGCCACGACGAGAAGGATCTTTCTTATATCCCTTGGGCAATGTTGTCGACGATGGGTCCAGTCCGTTGTAATTCGCATGAGGGTCGTCGATGGGTGAGATCTTCTTTTGTGCCACCTCTATGCCTCCAACGGAGAAAACCTCGTTGGATGGATCCATGGCGTGCTGGGGGTATTGAAGTAGTGCACGTAGTCACGGTGAGCCTGAACTTTGGGAGCGATGTTGCGCTCTGTAAATCGGGAGCAAGACATATCATTGCAGCTGGGCAGAAGACGCCCTATTTATCTCTCTTACACAGCTCTCGGCTGTGGACGTATTTTGATATGCATCAACCGCGTCCGTGGTCGGTCGAGGCTCGCGGACGACAGGGTAATCATTCCGTTCCGCTTATGGATGGGAATTGGCCGGCCACACCGTCAGCATGGCAGTGAGATAGATACTTGGCAGTAGTTTCGCGCCGGGGTAATACGCCTGCCTCTTACCTAACTCTTCAAATCAACACATTGCTCGATGTAACGAAGACGAGTTGGTCTCTGACGCCAGTACTGGATCCCTATGCTTGTGGTGGAACTAGTGCTCGTTTAATCTGTGAAAGGCACATGTACAAAGGACTCCGTCCCACAAAGCTCATATAGGTCTGGGGATGTTAGACATAAAGCAAACCCCATTTGGAATTTCGCTCTTTTTGGCCTGGCTCCCAACTGGTCGAAAGGTATATAAACAAGACGAGTGAAAGGGTCCGCAACATCGCCATCTGCGGCAGTGGGGGGAATAAGGTAGCAAGGAATGGAAACAGTCCAGACCCGTTTAAGTGGGTTTCCCTGGCAAGCCATGTTGAGGTAAGAGGCCCAGTGACTCGTTTACAGTGGTGACTCTACAAAAAACCCGCCGTATTCGCGATCTCGGCCTTTGGAGATTGCAACGAAGCGGCGAGGCTGAAAGAGGCTCGCTGCACGGCTTGGACCGAAAGGCCGAAGGAAGTTGGGGGCCGCGAGGATATCATAAATAATCAAGGCCCAGTCCATATGGGGTGCCTGAAAGTGAGAAGGCAAGCTTGTCCATCTGTGCTTTCGGGATAGTTGTGAGGCTTGCCAGGCTGGACCCGAAAGGGGGTAGACAGGGCTCGCATTGGGCTCAATGAGGACGTGGCGTGTTACTCTCGGCTGTATTGACGGCCTTCCCACTACCGAGAGTCACCAAAGTACTGACAGAGTCTTATCGGGGTCTTGTTGGAATTGACGAGGTTATTAACATCACACCATGATTCTGTTGCAGCAGGGCTTGAGTGGTAATTCGATGGGGGTGTCAGAGGACCGTGTGCGCCGTACACCTGGACTATTTTTCGAGATGCCGGGCATGTTCACAAAGAGACCATTCAGTGAGTGATTATGGGTAGGGTTTGAAGGCGTAATGGACGGTACCGGCACAAAGGGAGCTGGCAGCAGCCGTAGAAGCACGGATGACGGGTCCAGACCTTTCGGTGTGGTAAAGTCCTGGTCCAACGTCTATTACTCACACACGACTCGCATGCGCTACTTCTTGCAGACTCATCGACCGACAGTCCCATCTCTTTCAGTTTGTGTACCCTCCACTGCAGGAGTCGGAAGGCAGGCAAAGTACACTGCATCGGAGACTTGGGCACAGCGGCGGGGAGTTAGGAAGATACGGAGACTTTCTCGTCCGAGGTCCAGTGGATTGATTAGCTGCTGAAGGTGCCTGTTGTGGGCAATGCGGGGGGGGTGAGACTTTGTACGAGATGCAGGTGATGGCCTAGTCGCAAGCTCGCAAGAGGTACCAGTCCAGGGGACAGGACTGAGTACGAGGTAATGAATAGTGTTTACGCGTCGAGGCCGATCTGCGATATTTCCGACGCCGAAGATCGGGGGAACAACAAGAAGCCTTGTCTGTCTGGACGGGGCAAAAAGAGAGTCAAGAAAAAGTCAAGAAAATCAGTCAGGCGAAGAGCGCAGCTGAATAAATGGCGCAGATGCTACTCCACCACCCACCGACAGCCACATCCACCCGTGTACCTACCGAGCTACCAACCCACCTACCATACCACCTGAACCTGAAGCTGGACAAACTCCGTGCCTGGCCTGTCGTGTCGTGTTCGGCAAACACGGCCGTCTGAGGATCTCTTTTTGTGCTGATTCTGCTGCCGACTATTAGCCTGTCACCCTGTCCATCCTACCAGAATCCCTCGCCGCAGAATGACGTCGGCGATATCGGAATTGACCATCCGCCGCCGTCGGCATATAATCACCCAAGCTCCAACATGCGACCATGGGTGATAACCAGAATAACACAGACGTGCGGCACCATGGGCGACATCGTCATGCGAGACCAAGCCATGTCGCCGACCGAGACCTTGGCCACCGACCTCTCCCGCCAAACTACAAACTCCGAGTATGGCGACCTGGACCCGGACGAGGAAAAGTCGCAGGAGGATCGGCGGACTGCGTCCATCGCGACGGGTCGGACAGCCAGTCTCAACAGAATAGTCACCCGGAGGGAGACCATCTTGTCGCGTCTCAGATCCCGGGCACCCATAGGCACTTTTACCCATCCGCTAGAACACCGGCAGACGACGGTCGAAGACCTCGTCGACTTCGACGGCCCGGATGACCCGTACAGGCCTGTCAACTGGAACATGAAGAAGAAAGTCTTCACCACGGCCTTGTACGGCTTCACCACCATGACTGCCACCTGGGCGAGCAGTAGCTACAGTCCAGGGACACAGCAGGTGGCACATGAATTCCATGTCGGCAGCGAGGTCGCGACGCTGGGAACCACGCTTTTCCTGATGGGATTCGGGATCGGCCCTCTGCTGTGGGCACCTCTCTCGGAGGTCTATGGCCGCAAGAATGCTGTCCTGCCGCCCATGTTCGTCTCTGCCTGTTTCTCGTTCGCCACGGGTGCCGCCAAAGACCTCCAGACCATCATGATCACGAGATTCTTTGCCGGGTTCTTCTCTTCGGCGCCTGTCACTAATACCGGCGGCGTGCTAAGTGACTTGTTCCCGGCGTCCCAGAGAGGTATTGCCATCGCATCCTATGCGATGGCGGTGGTCATCGGTCCGGTCTTTGGACCCATTGTCGGCGCCGCCATGGTTGTCCAGCCCAGTCTCCGATGGCGATGGACCGAGTATCTCACGGGAATCATGCAGCTCTGTATCTTGGTCCTCGATGTCATTTTCTTGGACGAGTCATATCCTCCTCGACTTCTGATATACAAGGCGCGACGCCTGCGACACCAGAGTGGAAACTGGGCCCTCCATGCGAAATTTGAGGAGTGGGATGTGTCTGTGTCCGAGTTGGCGCACAAGGTGAGCGAGGCCGGGACGGTTGACCACTCCCAACGGCATGCTGACCAACTCTAGTTCTTAATTCGGCCGTTCCAGTTGTTGATGACTCCAATTTGCGCATTGGTGGCCCTTTATGCGAGTTTCTGTTATGGAATTCTGTACATGCAACTGGGTCAGCATCTTCTCCCTCTCGGTCTGTTGAATGAAGACTGACCGATTATCAAGGCGCCATCCCAATTATCTTTGGCGAACACCGCCACTGGAAACTCCTGCCCGCTGAGCTCCCATTCCTGGCCATTCTCGTGGGAGCCATCACTGGCGCTGCCATCAACATTTACAACCAGCTGGTGTATAACCGCAAGTCCGGAGGCCAAGTGGCACCCGAGTTGCGTCTGCCCCCCATGATGTTTGGGTCTTTTCTTTTCTCGTCAGGACTCTTTATCACGGGGTGGACATCCGATCCGAAGTACCCGTGGATTGCGCCTGTTCTCGGACTGTATATGACCGGTCTTGGGTTCTTCACCATCTTCCAGGCGGCGCTGAACTACCTAGTCGATACGTTTCAGAGATACGCTGCCAGTGCAGTGGCAGCCAACACATTTTTACGATCATGTTTCGCTGCAGCGTACGTGTCACCCCCTCTATGACTCTGGATGGTTCAACAGGTGCTGACGTGGTAACAGGTTTCCGCTCATCGTAACTCCTATGTACCACAACATTGGGGTGCCTTGGGGAACGAGCATATTTGGCTTCTTTGCGGTTGCCCTGATACCCGTGCCGTTTGTGTTTTTTGTTTTTGGCAAGCGCATAAGAGCGAAGAGTAAATGGAGCAAGTTCTAGATTTTGTAAAAGAAGGGGGGATAGATGGGAGGTTTCTTCCATGGCTCTCGCCTGGCAGTAAGCCGTATACGGAGTATACACAGAAATCAACAGGGGCTGACCCGAGAATAAAGCGTACGAGATGACGCGAAATTGGTTGCCAATCACCGGCCTAGACCTGTGGCCTATTACATACTCTGTACTGTTCTATCTATCTATAATTAAGATCCCCAGAAAGCTTGACCTGACTGGGGCCACGATGCGAGCATGGCTCCCCGTGTACCTCGTACCTGGTACTGGGTGTCCATACCAAATCCTGTGGTCAGTGCCCGTTTTACCAACGACATATAATATTCCCACCATTGGCGGGCCCACCGCCAGGACAGAAGTCCGCCCCCAAATGTAACGGGAACGAGGTGGTTTGGGACCCTTCCGTCATAGATTGGCGGATCTTCCCAGAGTGGGTGTCTCTGACCTGCCCGTTGAGGCTGGCTCAGGCATTCTGCGGTTATCAGTGCTGGCTCGTGTTGACAGCTTTCTTTCTGTGAAACGGTGTCCGTGTGTCTTCGATCGTGGATGCGACTTATTGGATCCAGATGATCGTCCGACGTTTTCTTACTCGTTACATCGATCAGCATGCAGCTTGATTGATGGAACCACGATTCGACCTTTGCCAGGCTGCAGCGTTTCTTCACCACGAGGAAGAGAAAGACATCCACCCCCCCTGGACCCCTCAATGGCCATTAGGCATCCCTCAATCTCTTCATTATTAGACAGGACTCCTTGTGCTCTGCATGATATTCCATTGATGCTGGTGCAGGTGGTGTCGTCCCCTCGCTGAGCACCATGTCGCTCGGCGAAGCTGAGTATGAGAACAGCCGCCAGGAAGGTCTCACAGAATTCGCGCCGCTGCTGGGCACGTCACCCGACAATGGCAATGGCAATGGCCAATCCAACGACCATTCCCGGCTCCTCTACAGAATCTACATCGTGGTCTTCTGCGTCAACCTAGGATTCCAGATCCTGGCGCCAGCTCAGACCCAAATCTACGAGACCATCTACTGCGCGCAATGGTACCGCCGCCACCCTCTCGACGCGTTGCCGCCCACCGGCAAGATCCCCGAGGCCTACTGCAAGATCGGCCCGGTGCAGACGCAGATATCGACACTCAAGGGATGGTTCGAGTTCTTCGCCGCGGCCCCGGGTCTCGTCATGAGCATCCCTATGGGGATCCTCACCGATGCCATCGGTCGGCGGCACCTGATGATCCTCAACATCACGGTCCTGTGCCTGACTCAAGTGTGGATTGCCTTCGTCACCTGGTTCGACGGCCAGATACCTCTTGCCGCGATTTGGCTGGGTGCCGGTCTCAACCTCGTGAGTGGAGGAGTTATCGTGACAGAGCTGCTTTTTGTGGTAAGCCTTGGATGCACTCCACGGTGGTACGCAGCTGATGGCTCTCCAGTGTATCTTGACCGACATTAGTCGGAGTGACAAAGTGTATGTCCTCGAGCCTCAGGGATGTTGACCAGCTTGGCCTTGCCACTGACTCCTGAGACAGGGTAGAGACGTTCTTCCGCTCAACCGCCTTCGGACACTTCAGCAAGGTCATCGGACCCCTCTTCGCAGCAGGCCTTATGCGACGTGATCCGTGGCTCGCCATTTATCTGGGACTCGCACTGCTGGTCATCACCGTCGCCCTCGTCACCACCCTCCCAGAAACCTTGCATCTGCAAGGGAACGACCAGACTAAAGCCGGGCAGGGAGATCAGGCTACCACGACTTGCGCAGATTCTCAGGGCGGCGACAGCAGCAGCAGCAGCAGCACTAGCTTATGGCGACAACTCGATCTGGGCCGGCTGGTCAAGATCTGGAGCGACTGGCGGCTCATCTTCGTGGCGCTGACGTACCCGTTCCGGCTGGTGTGCTACGCGCTGAGCGACCTGCTGCAGCGGTACGTGTCGGACCGGTACGGGTGGACGCTTGCGGACGCGACGTTGATCTACGCGCTGCAGGCGGTGGCGGCGGGCGTGGTGCTGTTCACGCTGCTGCCGTGGGTGTCGGGCCGGCTGGACACGAAGTTCGTCTTCAGCCCCGTGCAGAAGAACGTGGTGCTGTCGCGCGCGTCGCTGGCCGTGCTGGTCGTGGCCTTCACCGTCATCGGCCTCGCGCCGCACCCGGCCGTCATGGTCGTGGGCCTGCTGATCGAGACGCTGTCGACGGGGTTCCCCGCCACGCTGCGCGCCCTGGCCGCCGCCCTGATTGACGCCCACGACAAGGGCCGCGTCTTCTCCGTCCTCGCCATCGCCGAGACCCTCAGCATCATGCTCGCCTACCCCGTCACCGCCGCCCTGTTCAACGCCGGCCTCGACCGCCGCGGCGGGCCCTGGCTCGGCCTGCCCTACGACGTCATCGCCGTGGCTGCTGCCATCGCCTGTGCCGTCATGTGTCTGGTGCGCTTCGAGCCGCCGTCACAGCAGTCTGTGCGGGCGGTATGAGGGTGGGTCCATGTCGTGGTTGCGGCGGTTCTGGGGTGGTTTACTCATTTCCTTACCTGTCGACCGAGAGAGGGGGGGAGAGAGGAGAGAAGAAGAGATATATAGAATACATACCATAGATGGAGCTTAGACATCCTTTGGATTTGGATACGGAATACAACACGTTCGTTCCTGGGCCCAAAACATATATACTTTGTAATGAGGCATGTGTGAATGAATGCTACGGCGTTGTGGCTACCACCGGCTCAAAGTCAGAACCATACATACATATATATATACATACATACATGAAGAGAAACTCAACAGGGATCCCCTGACCCAGACGGTCAACCGAGCGTTGAGCTTGACGGGCCTATCTATCGATGCCATGGGTCAATGGGCACCGAAGCATACATACAGTATACACACACACACACACACACACATATGGACGCGGGAGGAGAGCATAACTTTCCCCCGTCTCTGAGTCCCTCCCTCCTTCCCTCCCCCCCTCCTAGAATTGATGATTTACTTAGTATCCAGCTATTACTTACTCCATTCTCTAGCCCTATTGTGTATGTAGTCCCATCCCATATATCATCATCATCATCAACATCAGCATCAGCATCAACATCAGCATCAGCATCATGTTTTTTCTTGGCAATTACCGAGGAAGGAGGAGATCGAGTGTGCCCAGCGATTGTTCACCAGTGCCACCCACCCTAACTCACTAACTGTAACTCACTAACTAAACCCGTAAGGCAGTGCAGTGCAGCTCAACCCCCAGAAAATCCATCCATCCGTGTTCACAAATCAAATGGCGTGGGCTACCGAGGCTCGTAACAAACCAACCTGCCAACTACCACGCTCCTGGGACAGAATGCTCTGGGAATTAACCACATGTTTTTACCCCGGTTAATGCTTTCTCTTTCTCTTTTTATGTCTATATCTATATCTTTATCTATATCTATATCCAGGTAGCTGCTGTGGCTGCCGTGTCAATTCCGTACCGTATTGTCCCCCCGACTTGTCGGTGATTAGTTGGTCATCATCATCATTGCCTACAAGCCCGGTATCTATTTCTCTCGGGACAACATGTTGCCGGATCCAGTCACGGTCAAAATCCCCACGTCCTACGAATCCCTGCCTGTCAAGGATATCAAGGTGTCCCATTACCCTGAAAATGCACCGGAAGCTACCGCCGTGGTCGTGGTGACGTTGAACCGTCCAAAGCAGGGCAACGCGTTCACCGTCCAGATGATGCGCGATTTCGAACTGGTCTACCCCATGTTCGACCTCGATGAACGCGTCAAGTGTGTCGTCATCACCGGAGCCGGCAAGATGTTCTGTGCGGGCGCCGATCTCGAAATCGGATTCCCCGGTGGCGGAAACAGGGAGAGATTGGTGGATCACCGCGACAGGTACATCTCTTCCAGCTGCGTCGCCACATCCTTTGCTCACCCGATGTGATAGTGGTGGTCGCCTTAATCTGTGCATCTACCGATGCCGTAAACCAACGATTGTCGCATTGAACGGATCCGCCGTTGGTCTGGGGATGACACTGGGCTTGTCGGCTGCCATTAGAATCGCCCACGCGTCGTCCAAATATGGCTTTGTTTTCGCCAGGCGAGGAATCACCATGGAGTCGAACTCGTCCTTCTTCCTACCGAGACTGATCGGGTACTCGAACGCCCTGTATCTGCTCACGACAGGCGACGTATACAGAGGCGACTCGAAGCATTTTGGAACACTCTTCCAAGAGGTCATCGAGGACCAAGCCGGTGTCTTGAAGCGAGCACTGGAACTCGCTACGACCATTGCGGAGAAGACAAGTGTATTGGCCGGATTCATGAACAGAGAGTTGATGTGGAGGGGAAAACCATCGGTGGAGGAAACACATCTTCTTGACAGTGCTGTCCTCTACCACATGTTTGCCAATCCGGACTGCAAGGAAGGCGTACAAAGCTTTATGGAGAAGCGAGAGCCAAAATTCTCGGCCACTCTCGAGCAGGACGGGCCACCCTTCTATCCGTGGTTTAACGAGGTCGACACGGGTTCAAGACCTCGCCCATCGAGCAAGGCAAAGTTGTGAACAGGCCGCGGTCGGGGAACTCGGCAATGCCCTATAGTTTGGCCCTAGTTTGCTGTGCGTTCCAAGTCATCAGGGCTTCTTCCTCCCGTTTCCTGGCATGATTCTGCATTGTTTTCATTGCGTCCGTCACCTCTTGGTCACTAAGTCGACTCAGTTGATCCGGGTTGAGCTCTTCGATGCTTGATGGTTTCGCGAAAGCCTTCACCCAGACGAATTTACTCGAAGTTGGGCTGGTTCCGTTGACGACATCCGAGCAAAAGTTTGCCTGACGTTCAAAACAATCTCTGCTTTTCGAATTTTTCGGGAACACCATGGCAAAGCAATGCGGCATCCCCTCGTAGCCCACGAAATCCACCACCCCGCCACCCTGATGCATTCTGCGCGCAAGAATCGTGATCTCGTCCTCCAGGCCTTCGTTGCCCAAGCACAGCCATGCCGGAGGCATCCCCTTCCAGAGTTCCGGGCCAGCAGCGAGCGGTGACACGAGAGGATGTGTCATCATGGAGGCGTTACAGAAGATATTTGCTCGCGGAGGGCGTGCTGGCCACAGATTGTCTGGAAGAGGATCGGCTTTTGATACCCCTTCTGCTGTGGGAGGATCCAGGTAGTCCAGGTGAGCATTCTTGTTAATGGAAGGCAGTGACCGAGATATATCGGCCCAGACGCTGTTAAGGCAAATGCCCGCCGGAACTTCAACGGGGACATCGACTCCATGGAACTTGATGCTGCTCACAGCCATTCTCTGCAGACTCAGGAGGAGCTGCAACAACGCCACAGCAAGATTGGCACCAGCAGAGTCTCCAGCAAATACAATATGTTTCGCAGGCACAGGGTCGTGGGGGAGGCCCTTGGGAGGCGCCAGGAGCGACAAATAAGCGACCAGTCCGTCAAGCAACTGAGCAGGGAAAGGATTTTGAGGAGCTAGGCGGTATCTAACAGAATAGCCTCGACCCCCCGTTAGCCGTGCAAGACGGGAAACAGGCACCCTATGTGATGCCGGGTCCATCAGAAAATAGGCACCACCATGGAAATATAGAATCGTGGTGCTAGTCGAAACGCTTGCCATGAGAATTCTGTAGTGGTCGTCTTCGGAGACATCTGGTCTAGGTTCATGCGCAGGGACGCCCTTTTGATAGCCAGTCCATTCAGCTTCCACGCCCCCAACGTCGGGAAGAGTGTATGTTTCGCTGCCGTCTCCAAGCTCTTTTATAGCCTTCACAATAGCATCTCTCGGGCCCTCCTCGTCAAGGGGTGGTGGAATGGTCACTTTGGCGATGCGTATCGGTCCTTTGATTCCCGGGTCCTTCGTGGAGATGTGTTGCAGATACCCCATGGGCTTTCTAACGCTCATGATAGATCGCAAAATAACCACAACAACCTCTGTTGTCAAATCCTGCTTCGAAGAATTCGGCGACAACGAGAGCGTGTTGAAGACGATCGTCTTGATCAAGAGTGGCAGGCGTGGTAGGAGGAGCCTGACAAGGGCTCGCGGAGAAAGATCCATTGCAGCATGGAAAGCAAGACAGTGCAGTGAGCTCTACTGTAGCACTGCGTCTAGTACAGAAACATGCGAAAGACAAACTCCAGTTGGACAAAATCTCAATTGAAGGAAGTGAAGAAGAAGCGCAGTTTCAGCAACAAGCGAAAGGCGGCGACCAATTTTGGCTACCGCAGGCAATAATATTATTATTTACATAAACGGGGACGATGTCATAGACGACAAGGCAACAGTTTCCTCTGCATTCTCTCCTGCCTAGAACTATTTATCTCCTCCTTCTTCCTCTCTCACTTCTCTGTACAACAATCAAATCCTCCTTCACGTCGAATATGGGATGGAATCATCATCCCAGGGAGGAAACACTGGGTTAATACTCTCCAGGCGATCGCTGACTGAGCAGCAGCATCAACTAACTCCTTGTAGGGTGCTCGACCTCGGCTCAAGTCTAACAACAGTTTCTCAATTCCATCATTCTCAACCCGTTGCTACACCAAGAAACCCGTCCTCTCGAAGGGGTGGTATTCCCAAGACGACTTACGGGAGGAGACGGAAACATATTGCACCGAAATTCTCTCAATCCATCACTTGGCCGTTACCTCGTGACCCTACCATTGACCCTCACTACACAAAATACCGAGACGTCGTGCGCCGATCATTTCTCGAGAACCCTCATCTCCAAGCCTGACTCCCTGGAAATACTCGTGCCACGGGTGGATCCTTCTCCTGGGCCTTCCGCTTCTGCCTGGCTTCATCCCAGATCAAACGGCATCAGGCTCTTTCTGGTAGGGCTGTCAAATACGACCGAACAAACAAGAGGCTCGCTATTTTTGGCTCCCGATACCCCGGGTTCAATCTGCTATGGCGAAAGTGGATAATGCTCTTCGCTTTGTCCTCCCCCCCGAACCAGTGGCAGCACCATCATCATCATCCAAGCACGGGTCCCCTTTACTTTTCTTTTTCCCTCATACTATTACTGCGGGTACCCTACCCCCCATGACGGTCGACATTTGTTGGAGAGCGGGAAGGGCGTGCTCTAGAACGCTGTGAACTCCCTAGGAATTTTCCCATTGGATTGACCAGACGCCTCTGCGTCACATTCTCGTGTTTCCTATGGCTTGGTCACCTTTGGCTCCAGGCTGAAACGTTTCGTTGCATGCTGAACCCCGGCAGAGTATCGGGCCTGAGAATCACCTATTCGACAATGTGCCCACGTTTTCTGCCATCGCATGCCCCTAGTTAGTGCTTTGAGGAGGCCCGTGTCTGCCTCGTTGCTTGGCCGACTATACCCGAACCTGTCTCGTGGGCTCCATGCTAGTGCTCGTTACCGACTCTCCAGTAATCCTTGGTCGACGAAATGACTTGATTTTTTTTACAACTCCCAATGCCCAAAAACACTCCGGCAACCCAGATGTTCTGAAACTGGTCACTAACCACATACACGGTCATGACTTTGGATAACAGTATCTCGAGCGACCTTTCGACGGATATCACGTCGATTGCTTCATGGGATTTCTCGTCAGAATCGACCACTCCAGCAAGCAATGGCTCGCGGCGCAATACCCAACAGAAGACCCGAACATTGACTCCCAATCTGACGCGACGATCGCACAAGAAGTCTCGCGGAGGATGCTTTAGTTGTAAGCATAGGAAGATCAAATGTTCCGAAACGAAGCCCGCGTGTGGGAGTTGTTTGATGAAAGGACTCAGTTGCGTCTATCCCACGGAGCCAGCAGTGCGCAAGTCGAGCAATCTGCCGTTGATAAGGCGGAATCCCAGTACATCTCCGTCCTTCCCAGCCGCCACCTTTTCGATCCTGGACATGCGATTCTTCCATCATTTCCTCACGATCGCCTATCCACATTTACCAGTCGACAATGACCATGTCTGGGTCAACGACATCCCCCAATTTGCCGAACAGCACGAATACCTCATGCACGCGTTGCTTTCGCTCGGAGCCTCCCATCTCAGCCGCCTCACCGGCGTGGACTATCGACGAGAGTCTCTGATTCATCGTGGCCAGGCGATTGCGGGCCTCAACCAGGCACTTAGCCAGACGGCGCGCTCTTACGGTGAAGCTGACGCCATGCTGGCCTCTTGCTATGCCCTTACCTTTCAAGCTTCATACATGAGCGATGGCCTTTCCGATTTCATCACCATGGTGCGAGGCTGCGCTCTCACGACGGAGAAAATCAAAGAAGAGCACTCCCCTACGGCGTTCAACCTGCAACCAGACTGGCACTTCAAATACATGGCGCCGCGTCTGCACAACCTGCCCTCCGTGGACCCTCAGTTGCTGGAAGATGCGTACACAGCCCTCGAGAGCATTCGACCCTTTTTGACCGGTGGCACAGAAATAGATTTTCACGCGGCACTGGTCGACGTGATCACCTCCCTCCAAGCCTCGCCAGCATCAGGCTATATACAATTCATCGGCGTGTATGGTGTGTGGTATGAGTTGTGCCACGACTCATTCAAGACCTTCCTGGACCCAAACAACCTTGTCGCCCAGCTCCTTCTTGCTTACTTTGTAGGCGTGCAGCTGTTGATGGTCCCTCTCGCCGCGCATGAGTGGCCACACCGTGCGGATGTAAGTCGCGTGCGCGTCCTGCAGGGTACAGTCGAGTGGGCTCAAGGGATTTTTTCCAGACTCGAGGAGTCAGAGTGGGAAGCGCATCTTGATTGGCCCAGGAATGTCATCGCTACCGTTGTTGCAGAGATCAATGGCGAAGTGCTCCAATTGCCACCTGTCCTGCAGCTTCATCTTACAACGCAGGACATCACCCCACAGTCCACGATCCTCACACCTACGTGACCTATTGATGAGAACAGTACGATCGTGGTCTTGATGAAGACGAGCATATTCGAAGAGCCGGAGAACGACAGAATGATTATGCCACCATATGATAGTGCAGGTCAGTAGCCCTTCGCTCAGCAGTTGCCCGTTTAGGCACGAAGCAGCCCACTCACTGTTTGTTTCTGGATCAGCCACGGAGTCTTACTGGGGATTATGAGGAATGCCTTCTCCCGAGCGGCTTCTCTGACACACGAATTGTGTATTGCAAAGGAGGGTTTTTGCCCACATGCAAAATTTCAACACCAGGATACCGAGAGTCGATTCAGACTCGAACACGACACCTGTAAGGGATTGAATGTAGACTTTCGAAGGCAAGAAATCGATATTCTCTTCTCCCAGATCGGAATTCACGCATGATATGTATGAATTCGATGGCAATCTGTCAAGCTTCTCAGACCGGCAAGCGTGGCCAAGTGATTCGCACCCTGTGACCCGGTGTCCCAAACCCGATCATCGAAGGGGGATCCATGCAATGCAGCTGTTCAAGTACCATGGTGTTGTATGGTGGTTCTGATGCAATCCAGAATCCCACTTGACCCTCGATTATCGCCCTGCTCTTCAACGCCTTTGCTCCAAACCCGTTATTGCAACGCCAGCTCCCCGTCTCACGAATTTCCACTGAACGCAACGAATTTTTGTGCTCAGCCGGCGCACAAAATGATGTATTTTTTGTCACCGCCAAAGCGTGGAACGAGACTTCCACCTCTTTGCAGACTCCTGATCCCAGTAGCGACTGCGGCAAGGTCCTGACTTTGTGTGTATATCTGACTTTCAGTTCTAATAAACGCACAGATCGATCGACGGTGGGTTGTCGTACCCGTCTGTTTCCCTCCTTCGCTACCCTCCATCTCTTTGGAGCAGTTGGCCTTATACAGCCACATTGTTCACAACTCCGCCTTTGCCCCTGTCTGAGGAGAGGTGCTTTCCGTCGCTCCGTCGTCTCGCTTCGCCCCTGCGTTCTCTTCCTTGCAGGGCGTACTCGGTCGGCAGCGGCGTCTGCTGCATGTACTTGATGGGGTGGCAGAATGCTAGGACCGTGAGGGCGATGAACATGGGCACGGCCTCGAGGACGTACAGGCACCACTCGTGGGTGAATGGGTAGCCGTTAATGCCCATTCCGAACTCGACGACACGGTAGACGGACCGGACCTGTCACAGGCAAGGCAGCTGTCAGCGACTGGATGATGCTGAAAAGGAAAAGCAGAAAGGCAATAAGGGAAGAAAGAGAAGGGAGATCTGAAGCGAGGGAAGTTCGGAATGAATCACTGACCTGGACCCAGAATCCGGCAATCCAGATCGCCCACACTACCTTGCGCGCGCCACAATCAAATGCTGTTTCTTTGCACCAGCTCACCCGCTTGACAAAGCTCCCAAAGAAGACGAGGAAGACACTGAACGTCGCAAGCTGCAGGCTCAAGCCGACGAGCAGCACGTTGGTCCCCACTGTCTTCAGGTTCCCCTCCCAGTTGCCCGAGGAGGCGATGCCGGAGCCGGAGCACTGGGTGAGGAAGCTGATGACGTCCAAGGTGATGAAGACGCGGCCGAGCCAGTGGGGCGGGACGCGGAAGAAGACCTGCTGGTGCGTGGGCAAGGTCGTCCGGATCAGTCGCGTGAGCAGCAGGTACAACGTGGCGCAGACGAAGATGGGCGAGATGACGATGTACGACGCGCTCACGGCGTACAGCGGGATCGAGGCGAGGTTATGGATCGACGCGTTACGCACCGACCAGCCGGCCGTCGAGATGACGCAGGCCACGAACAGCGGGATCGTGTACTTGTGCTTGTCACGCGCGGTGTGGTTGTGATGGTGGTGGCGGTGGCGGCGCCGCGTCGCGACGACGAAGTTGAGGTAGCCGTGCCACACCGTCAAGAGGAAGTAGAGCACTGAGAAGACCACGGCCGCCGCGGTCGACGGCGAGTAGAAGTACAGGTTTTGGTCCGAGTTGGAGTTGTCGTCGTTTGACATTTTTGGGGACGGTGAGGAATCGAGAGGGGCCTGTTGATGTTGACTTGCTTTGGATGACAATCTTCGTCGACCGGTATGTGAGAGGAGTGCCGAGAGCGTATAGATTCCTTCTGTCTGTGTGCCCAAGCTCGAAGACGTGAAGGTTGCTCGGGACTGTGGTTAGCCGTCCTGTCGCTATCGTCCAGGTCCAGGGTGTATATATATATATATATAGACTTGTAACGAGAAACAAATGATCACGAGTCTACCAGGACCGATGAACAAGGAGAGAGAGGTACCTCGAGCACCAAAAGAAGAGGAGAGACCACAAGCATCTATATATACATGGTTAGATCGTACGCCATTCTTACGTCCCATATTCATCCTCCCCTTTGCCCACGAAGAAAAAAAAAAAACCCCCAAGAGATAAACACAAAACTGGAACAACGAGCACCTTCACGAGAAGGAAAGGAAGGGGAAGACAAGAAATTGAGAAACTGAGAAAAACAGTGGAGTGGAGTGGAGTCGGTGGATGACGCGCCACGGTTCTTCCTCCATGCATGTATGTATGTGCTGGGGATATATGTAGACGTATTCGGATCGCCATCGAATCAGCGCCGTCGGACCGCGCTTCTCGAGCCAGGGCTTTCAAGGATTCGAGGTTGCCCGGGGACACTCGATTGTGGGGCGCTTCGAGTAGTTGCCGCGTACGAGGTACTGGCAATACGTCTTGCTACACGACAAAAATGATCAAGATACTTTGATTGTCGTAGGGTCTTCACCTCGCTTGGCGGTCCAGTATATCTTCTCCCTTCGGAGCAGAGACTTCAGAAACGTTGAGAGAGAGGTTCCAGGAAAGCGTGCTGCCTAGTGTGGGCGGCAACAGGGCTGGACAGCTTCCGGGGCCACGAGGCTCTGGTGACCCCGGCGCGGCCAGGAACCAGGCAGACACATTATTATTTTCCCCATCCTGTCCGTCCCAGATGGGGTATGATTCGTATTCGGGGCGAATCATTTGTTGTTCCCCTGTCCTCAGGTGATGGATAGGAGGACACAGGGAAGACAAGATCGCCTCGCCACGCGGATTCGTGGGCTGAGCACACACACGGAGGCGCTGTCTTTGGGGTTTCTTCGACCTACCTACCTACCGACCTACCGTGTCTCTGCCGTTCGCATATGAGGAAGACAGTACCGAGCGAGGACTCAAGATTTGAGAAGCCAAGCCCCAGGGAGATCGTATTCGGGTTGGGTGGAATCCACCTGGACCGGACCTGGGCTGGGCTGATCTGATCTGATCTGATCGTCAGGTTCCGCCCGTATCACGGGGAATGGAATCACGACAGGGGTTTCCCGAAGCAGTAACTCTCGTATTCATCGACGCCCGGCTTGGCTGGATCGCATCACTGTCGATTTCCCAGGCACCAGGATAATTCCAAGGACGTGGCTGGTGAGACACAGAGAGAGAGAGCGAGAGAGGTGTGGAGAGAGTGAGGGAGGGACTGTGTGTGGATGAGAGGCATTCATCCCTGGTGCGGTCGTCCTGGCCAATCAGCGTGCATTTATTATGGCGAGGCTGCTCGTATTCGCATCGAAAGGCTTGGCGCGCACTAGCGCGAGGCTGAGAGCCAGTTCCACAAGTAGTTACATCATACACAAGTAAAGTTTATTCTGTACTGTTAGGAAGAAAAAGAATCATCCTTACGCAACAGTCATATGTCCCGATCGCGATGACACAGTATGTACTTTCACTCGCAGCAGTCGAGGTACACAACACCGCAGTGCCCCAGATGAGACTTTTTACTCAACAGCACAAGCAGTAGTCCAACTATGGCCAGCTTGAACAGGGATTCTCAATTTGATGAATTTATACCAACATCTAATATACATCGACTGGGGGGGTGTATAGTTCCTTGCCAAATGCACTCAAAAGAGTCACGTCACAGAACCACCTGTCTTTCAAGGTAGGGTGGCCCAACCAGCCAACCAGCCTAACCGTAAACCAATGCGCGGACCTCAATGCTCTCCCGGCCCTTTGCTCCAACAGGTGTTCTCGGATCCACGAACGCCGTGTGAGGAACTCGTCGACCAACGCCCTCTTTGCTGTCATAGCACTTCAAGAACAACCTCTCGTCGTTGTCCATGCCCGACCAGTAATAGAACTTCTGGTTCTCGTTGTACCGCACGGCGGCCGTCTCGCCCGTCCGATGAGGATATCTATGCTCCACGGGGATGAGGTCGTTGTCGTCGACGGTGTCGGCAGACGCAAAGCCGAGAGGATGCGCCTGGACGGTGCCGTTGATGGGTCGCCACACGTTGATGATGCGGTAGCGGCCCTTTAGAAGCTCATCTGCTTCTTCCGGGTTGTGGAGCCTCACGCGCCACTCGGTCGACCGCGCCGTCTGGTCAACATGCACTCTGGTGACTGGGGCACGAGGAGCCTCAGGGTTCGACCGACGGATTGTGTGGTCGAAAATGGTGACTTTGTGTGCACCGGGAACCTGCTCCAGCAGCAGTTTCTCTACCTCCGGGTAGTAGACCTTCTTGATATGTTCATCATCGACGAAATCCGTCTCTTTTGATGGGACACCCTTAATGGCTTGGAAAGCGTCTTTGTCCAGATTGAATTCGTTTTCTCGGCCGCGGATGTCATTCATCTGGACTTCAACCACAGTCTCTCCGAAGTTTCGCTGCGGTTTGCCTTCGGGCTGTTTCTCCACAAAATTGTAGGGCTTGGAGCCATCTTCAGGTTCTCTGAAAAAGTTCAACTTTGTGTGCACGGGGCCCCGGGGGACATAGGCAGAATCTTGGGCACCCGAGAGGGTGGTAGAGAGCGAAGTCTGAGTGGTCGTCGTTGCAGACATGGTGTTGGGGAGTTGCAGATGCTCAAGGCAGGAAGTGTTTCACTTTCGAGAATCGAGTCGGCAACCAGGGTGGAGGTGAGTTCTATCAGAAGTCCACCACCAACAGACACATTTGGGGCCTCAACTTAAGTATGCGCGGCGAGCCGAGCACGCAATGTCGTATATTAGAAATCCGTTGGAGTCACGTCATGGCTGAGCCGAGGGTTCGCCGCTTACCCCATGAATCTTCGATATTCTTCGTCTCCGCACTGATTATCCAAACCAATGATATGTAGCATCGCTAAGAGTAAAAGTAATCATTTAAACGCATAGGCCTAGGCTCCCAGCCGCGCTGATATTACCAAGCTCTCTAAGCGCTCCCAGCCCTCCAGCTCGGCGACTTCACAGCTCGCCTTCTTCGCTGCCGTAGTCGACCTTTTCAGCGTCGTCTAGGTCACTGACACCGTTCGAGGGAGGTTCAGGTTTTGGTGGCTGCGGGGGTCTGTCGTCGGCCGGGTGAACTGGAGGTACCTGAGATGGCATTCTCGCATGGTCACCACTCTCGGGTTGAGTATACATGCCGTTCTCCCGGTTTTCCGCTCGGTGTTGTGATGGTGCTTGTTCTGCGTGACCATTACTGTAAGACGAGGGTGGGCCGTTCCAATTCGAACCTCCAGAGGAGTGTCTCCGAGGATGACTTGGGTGTGCGACCTGGACCGATGGCCTGCGGTGCTGATTAGATTGTGACACTCTGCTGCCAGACGACGCATTGACAATCTCATCAATTCTCCTCTGCACGTCGTCGCCGGTGCTTCTGGAATCGTTGGCCGGACGATCCTCTACAGTGGTGGCCGCGTGACGGTGCGGCATCCTTTGTGGAAGGGTGACATTATCATCCCGTGAATCTCGGCGGATTCTCTTGGGTGAGGGTGCTGACTGGTCCTCGCCAATAGGTCGCTGTGATGGCATGCTGGATCCCCATTCACCAGAATTTTGATCGTCAGCAACATCTCTGTCACGTTTGGCGCCTTGGCTCCCACTTATTGCACTGCCGACGGGTGACAACTCAGGCTGCGGTGTGGCAGGTTGTCGTGTTCGATCAAACAATGCGAGATCGTCGTCTTTGGTATATGCGTCTTTTTGACCTTGGCGCGGCAGGGTCGGGTTCTCGTAGACATCTGCCATCAGATTGCAACCTCGCTGAATATCATGGAGATCGAGGCCGAGCTGCTCCCACCACGGTCGGCCCCTTTCATCGTCGGGAAGACTGATGCCGGAGAATTTGACACCCATGTAAAAGGCGCTTCCCGCAATGGCCGACGGCGTTAACTGGAGGCACATGGTGGTTATGAGGGAGTCATTCAAGAAGGCCCACGATGTGTTTCGTAGTTGTTTGTTTGCTTGGACGTCATAATACCGCAGAAAGCCGAGGAGGATACGGTAGGGCTGCTCGAGCTGCAGGTCGAAGCACAAGGCCTCAAGGAGCAGGTCTTCATTGTGCAGAATCGTGTCCCTCCATTTCCAATACTCTTTGCTTTGTTCGTCCACCACCAGATTTGGCTGCTTTTGGGCGACCCGGCAACATGCAACCACCAGCTCCTTCATCTTGCGGTAGTTCTCTTCCACCTTTGTGGCCAAGAATATGGCAGTCGCCGCGACTGAGTAGTGATGAAAACCGGGTCTGTTGTTCTGAACCATGGCTTGGCGCATGAAGAACCGATGCAGATAGACAGAGGCCGTAGCGAGGGTCAATTGGGGCAACTTCAACATGATGCCGACCTGGGTTATGAAATTGACACCTTTTTGTCTATTGGCCAACTCTTGAGTCGGGGACATTCCATCTAGTATACTTGGGGTAAGAAGGAGTTCTTCAACAGTGAATAGCCACTGCGACTGCATCCTTTCCAGGACGGGGTTTCTGGACACGGGGGGAGAGGCCTCACGGCGAGTTGTGTCTTGGAACGAGGGCATCGTGGGGTATTTCGGAGGTGCTTGAGGAGGCACAATGGAACCGCAAGCCCTTGCTGTAGGATCCAAGCCCCGGCGATGGAGCAGCAATGGCTAACCCTGACGGCACGGATGCGATCGCAACATTGAGTGCGAGGCAAGGGCACGGCAAGGAAGGTGCCCAATGTGGTGACCGGTTGCGAAATCAAGAGGCCGCCGTGCTGAGACGCTGATCCTTCTCGCGACCGGCCGATCGAAACCGAGAGGGTGATGGCAGGTGAGGTGATGAGGGATTGATTTCTCGATTTGCGGACCGGAGGAGTTGACTGCGGGCCAGGATGAGGCTCGTTCCCGTGCGAGGGGACCCGATAAGGCTGGCACAAAAGCGCAGTGCATGCTTAGCTAACCGTTGGCGTCGGTTAGGAGGCAGGTGTCCCGAGCCGATTGTGGCCGAACGCGCAAAGCTAAAATAGCATCATGACATCACCACTCCATATCTCTCCTCCGTCCCACCTTTGCGTACGCAGCATGAATCGACTTCACAATATCTCTCAACACCACCGTCCTTTTCATTTGTGCTTCTCGGTTCCAAGCACCGAGGCTCCCATTTCATGTGACGTGATTTGTCCAAATATCCAATACTATCAAACCCCCGAGTCCCATCCGCACAAGCTAAGGGCACCACCTAAAGCGGCTATGTAGGTGGTGGAAAAGGTAACTGACTTGCACAGAGTTCGAAAGGGGGAACCATGCAAACTCCGTTTTGGGTTGATTTTCTCAGTCCCCAGCCCAGCTTATCCAATCATGGGCCACCATTCACATTCCGAACAAACACCTGCAAGGCTCGAGTATCAAACCATACGCACTGTCTCGTATTCCAATTCTGATAGTGAATGAGTATTCAAGCAGCATATCTCAAATACTTTTTTTTTGGCAAGGAAATGATCTGCTCATTGATCGAGGCGCATCTTCATTCCACCCAGTCAGGATTGATACTCCCCCTCCGTTTCCTCCTGTTGCGTTGTCACCTCAATGAGCCAGCTCATCTTGTTCTCTGCCCCCCTAAATCTTGCCAGCCTCGGGGCCGAGGTTCCTTTTGCAATATGCTGCTGGGTCCGGGCAATTTTCCCTCCGGAATTTCAGGATAGAAACAGCGCGTCTCAAGAACGGCGGATAAGTGCAAGAGCACTTTGGGAGTGGTGTGGAATAGCATCCTCGAATATACGAAAGTTATGGCGGGTGTGCCGAAGCTAAGCGGCTTCAATCGTAGTCAAGTAGGCGTGGCCCGGTTCAGTCCACTTAACCTCCGATAGACGAGAATCTACGCCGCTGCTAACGCCTGCCTAAAGCAGGTTGGAAAACTATCTAGCGGAGGAGAATCACCGAAAATTCAGAGAATCAATCCCGAAAAGTCACCAGCTTCTTAAGACGGATGTGGCTCACTGACTTAGTCATAGGGGTGCCGCCGACGTGGGAGTGATGGAGAGCCTGTTGACTACTTCGTGGGTGTGGGTTGCAATACGCCATTGGCGAGCAACCTGCATAAGCCAGTTTTGGTTAAGGGCTAATTAATGGTTAATGGTCAATATCGGGCCCAAAACGGATCCGGTGAATTTGCGTTTGAAAGGTGTGTACACGGGTAGCTTGGAGAAGCCTTTCATTTCCAGAGCGTCTGCAGCACCCTGTATAGCTCGGGGCCGAGAACGCCGTTGGACCCTCACTGCGGAGAGGCTAGTACTGGGTGAGTAGTGTCCATGATTTCAGTGACGAAGTTTGTAAATGGGGTCGAGGTAAACACACACGACACACTACTTTCTCTCTTACACTTATTTGGAAGAGAGAAGCATTCCAGGGCCCTTTCAGGTACGGGGGCTGCCCGACTCGCACGACGGAACGTCGCCCCAATTATAGTCCGGGCACGGAGTTTACAGACAATAAGCAGGTAGCAGTCCCTGTACGTTGTACGGAGCCCAGCTCCAAGATCGACCCGACCGAATGGTCCATTGAGCCCTAACCCCTCCAGGCACCATAGCTAGTGAAGTACAGGGGGCCATGCTGGGGCCGGCCGGGCTAGTGAGGCCTAGGGGCCTAACAAACAGAGTTAGCGAGTCAATTAGGTTATTTGCTCGTACTGTAGGCGCTTAGTCCGCACGCTGCAATACTGCAATAGCCACGGCTACCCAGCTTGAAGCACTCCCTCTCCCACCTACTGGGGCTCGCCGCCGACCTCCCCCATAATTGTTCTTCTATGCCTTCCAGCCCTCGCTTCCAGTTAATCCCTAGGTTGGGTTAGCCCCCAGACTAGGCCAAAGGCCCCTGTCCCCGGCTTATCAGAGTCTAGCGTCTCCATTGTGCCATTATACCTCAAACTCACACTTCACGGACTTTCTCTACCTCTTTTCTCACGCACACTGACATTCACCTTCATTCTCCAGACCTCTCGTACCACCCACGATTCGACCGCCTGCTCTCCGTATCTTGCGCTATCCTCTGCATCGATCCCCTTCGCCTTGGCTAACCGCCCCCGTTACCTCATCTGACTCGCACGGCTCAATGGATCTTCCTTGCGCTCATCTCTCAGCCGCTCGGAATGTTTGTTCGCAATGCGCCATTACACCCCCCTCCCTTTCCGTCTCTTGCCCCTTATGCCATGCCAGTCTCGCTTGCAATTGTCCTGTCATACCTTTTCGCCTCGAACTATGTCGTCTCAGGTGAGTTCCCGGCCAGGGGTGATTCCACTTCCAGGCCCTCTCGGCCCTCGCGAGCCAAGTCCACGGATGAGGCTTAGATTCCAAAACATCGCTCCGGACTATGATACAGAATCAAACACTACTTTTACACAGGTGGCAATTTGCCGTTTGAAATCACTCTCGACCGGCGTGACCATGGCGTCTAGTGGATCTCTTGCGAACAGAGCTCTCATTGATCCACCCTTCACCCATCCCTATGTGGAGCTAACATGATATACAAACACCTCGCCCTCCCCCGGAGGCAAATCCAGACTTGCCATCCTTATGCATTGACCCTACTTACGAGAGCGTCTGTGTACAAGAGAGATTGAGAGACAAAAGACGCACTGGGTGTGACTCGGCCACCTCCATCTACAGGTCAAGCAAATACCCGAGAAAGCAATCCACGATCTCAATTCAAGCAACACTCAGCCGCATCACGCCTCCAGCCCACTAAAACAGCCTCCTCCACACGAGTCCCTTGCCGAAGCGCCGCGGTGCACTGCAGTTCTCCGGAGACCCCCATACCAATAACGTCTACTGCCGATGTATCAGCAGCGACCTAAACTCAATCAGGAGAAAGCCACCAGTACACTCCCCAAGCCCGGCTCCTGCGATTTTTGGACCACGAGCATATGCAAAGGTGATTGAACTGACGCCATAGCCCTGTTGCGGTCCTCCGTCCTGATTACTGGTCGCCTTTATTCGAATCATTTGCCCACAGGGATCGGGTCAGCAAGGTCCTAGAGATCAGCCTCGCCTTTTACCTAATCGGAAGATAATATCATTGCCTACACCTCACGTCTAATTCCCTTGCTCGGAAATTGAGTGTTCCAGCGACGTGACATGCCACCCAAAGCAAAACGATCCAAATCCCCCGACGCTCAATTTCTGTTCGTCAACGAAGATGCCTCGACCGTGACCCGGACCACCAAAGACGCTGAACTGGATAGGACAAAGCAGAGTCATGTACAGCGTCAGAATTTTGCCCGCAAACGGCGACTGCGACAACAGTCAGATGCCGCACCGCAGCAAGCCAGCAGCCAGAGTTCTGTGTCCTCCAGCCCAGCGGTGGCTGGTCCGTCGTCTTCGACAACTCAGGAAGGCCTTTCCCATGGTGCAAGCTATTTCGACATCATACAGAATATCGACCTGGAAGACTCATTGTTCCCATCAACCAGCCCTCCGTCCATTTCCCAATCTTCCCTTGACCCTCAGCTCTCGGCACTGTTCTCTGACCCCTTTGCCTCCTCGCCTGTGTCGCCCCCTATACCTCCCCCACAAGTCAATATTTTTGGCACCTCTCACACTTATCGACCTGGCGCCTTTTTCGAGACATCCGCCGCGACCTACAATCTTTCCCAACCTCCACGGAACGCCGCCAGCATTGTCAGCCCTTCAATCCCGCTGAGCAGAGTTTCGAGCCCCCCAACCAACACCCACCGCGCTTTGGAGCAATGGGCACCGCCTCTAATCAAGCATTACAACACGGTCATACTACCAGAAAAGTTCTGGAAAGACACGCAAAAGGTACCGATGGGTCAATTTCGCCATGCCCCTTTGATCCACGCAGACATGCAGGCTTGCATGACGGAACCCGCACACATGTACGCATTTCTTGCCTCTGCGGCGGCTCAGATGGTTGCTCGAGAAGGTAGATTGCTGTTACCGAATGTCTCCGAGGACGACACGCATCGGGTGCCGATGTTCTTCAAAACTAAAGCCTTACAGGCTCTACAGGTCAAAATCGCCAATGGACACCTCGACCAGCATGCGGCTGTGGACCTTCACCGACTCTACGCTGCAGGAATACATTCTGACAACTACGAGGCTGCCGAACCACATTTCCAAGCCCTGCTTTCCTTGGTTGACGCTCTTGGGGGCTTGAGTACCTTCGATGACTATCAGCTGGAGAAGATATTCATGTTGGACTGTGTTGCATCACTGAAGCGGCTTGGGGTCCCGCGCCTGATTGTGACTCTGGACCCCGGCCCATTACCGGACGGCTTGTTGTTAAGTATCGAATCTCAAAGTCGACTTCGTTTGCAACCAGGGTCACTGCTAGAGATCTTGGTCGATACCTTTGGCGATTGTCAACTTTTGGCCGACAGCTTCGCTGACCTTGTTCAAGTGTTGAGAATGTCGTCCTTTTTGGCTGCTTCCCCTCACTATGTCCAGGAATACTACAAATGGTTTAATTGGCGGAGTCTGATCATTTTACACAGACTTCTATCCATGCCTCTCCATTATAACATGGACGACAGGACTGACAGCGTGAGGATTGCCACGGCCTACTGTGCTGCCCTTCTGCGCTCCCCGACCCTTGGCCAACGAGCAGCATCGACTTCGGCCAACATACTCCGAGCGAAGCTGGAAAGTACCAATCTCGGGCTTCTGTGGCAACCCCGCACCGACTGTCTGCTCTGGGTGGCTGTTCTCGGAGGCGTCTGTTGCCCTGGTGGAGGAGACCAAGAGTGGTTCGTGCACCTTGCGAGGACTGCGGCAACTGAACTAGGGGTTGAAAATGTGAGGGATTTGGAAGACTTGTTGGTGGCCTACATCTACGATCCTCATTCCCAACGGGAATTGGTGGTCCAATTCGCTGGTCGAGTTTGGCCGAGACGAGATTGATTAGTGTGTTCAGTACCAGGCAGATGGCCTCAGAACCACCAGCAATCGTCGTTTCAGCAACATAATTTCCACTCAGCCAAAGACAACAGGTTTACGACTTCGATGACCAGCAAAAATAATACTGGAGCACAGAACCAAGTGAGATTAAAAGTCTCCACTGCTCAAGTTTTGTGAGTGTCCATTCAACATCTCATCCACGACCTCCTGCTTGAACAGGACAAAGCCAAGGGGCAGAACTTACAGACCAACTCGGGGAAAGACGTCGGGCCAGCCTCGCACCCACCCATCCCTGCACAATTGGCCAGTGGCGCCTAAGCTTGGATGCAGGCAATGCTTGACTGGATTACGTTTCTGGTCGTGAGATGCTGTGGGCTTGCTTACCTCATCTAACCTCAACCCATCATGCGGGTCTCTGTGTTGATTATGTGCCCATGACGGATGGGGCTAGGAGGAGGGCAATTCAAGCCTTCTGGGGGAAGAGCGAGGAAAGGATCTCTACGACCAGTAATCGTCCCGATTTGTGCGGAGATCATCTCAAGTATCGCATCAAGCCTGGTTGGTCTGTATTTCGTTGCCGAGTCATCTCGTGAATTCATGTTGACGGGTGCATGTCGTGTACGATGTCATGGGCGGGTGTCAAGACGGGTTCTGAAGTGCAGTACTGACCGAGAATAGTGCATAGTGGTGGGACACCACAGAGACGAATGGTGATTGATGTGGAAGACGCCAGTCACGAAGACACGAAGCACTGATAGTCCGTCAGCACGATGGGCTGGCTGACCAGTAGAATCGAAGATTGGCGCTCTAATGAGTCTGCCGGGATACGAGAAATTGCTGAGGTCTCGTTCACGAGCACTGATAGCATTAATGACTAACGCATATACGAGACGACACGATGAATGAATGACAAGAGGGTTTGGGCAAGCACAGGCTGATATGAAATAGGGGAGGCAAGGCTGGGTAGGCCGCGAACGGGTGCCATACAGTTCGTGGCAGAGGACGAGAGTAGATGAGTAAGTGAGGGAGAGAGAAAGAGAGATGTGTATTGGCGCGGGTGGTAATCATCCCGACTTTACATAGATCTCTGAACTCCGAGCTGGGCTTTGACCCTGGAATTGTCTGGATTTGGTATCATTGGATGTATGTTATGTACATATATACATACGTACATATATAATGGATATCCACTCAGACCACCTGCCTGTCCGGCTGCGCACGCATTATCCATATATCCGTCTGTATGTGTGTGTGTGTGTGTATGTGTGTATCGTGACAATCGTCAGTTTTCCTGTTTTTCTCTCTCTTCTTCTTTTCTTTTTGATATCCCTTTTTGACCCTTTTGGCAGCTACCCCTGTGCTGTGCCTCGCCGTAACCCGCCACGCAATGCAGTGTGATGTAATGCAATGCAGTAAAAACCCCATGTAACACAGCGCTAATGCAAACGCCTCGCATGATGTGCCGGTCAATGCCGTATGAGAACTCCCATAAAATGCAGTAATGAGTAATCGGTGACAAAAGGAGCGATAGATAGATAAAAGAGGGGGGCCGGGGGCGGGAGAAACGCCAACCATTCAATTCGTCGTGCGCGAGTACTCCCTCCTGAGCACGATGGCCTCCTTCATGAAGGGACTGCGCTCGCGCAGCCTGCGGCCCATGAGCAGGATAGCCACGGGGGCGAATGAGAGCAGCAGGGCCAGAAAGCCCAGCAGGCTGCTGGCCCAGTGGAAGCCCAGGTTACCGTACATGCTCTGGGCGGCCAAGGGCAGGAAGGCCGAGAACAGGTTCTCGCCCAGCACCACTGCCGCGCATGCGCTGCCCGCGTATTTCGCGTACGCGTCCACCACGTAGTCGGCGATCGCCACCACCACCACGTTCACCCCGAATCCGACCATGGCGAGCCCGATAGCCGGTGCGATCCAGGGCACCGAAGGGGAGGCGGTCCATCTGTTGCGGTGGCGAGAGATTAGGGTTTTGGTCTAGTGGAAAGGGTGGTAGTGACGAAAAGCAGTTGAGGGAATGAACCCCCGGGCGGGAAGGGGAAACATTAAGAATGGGCCAACGTCTCTATATCCGGGTGTCTGTATGGTGGGAGTGGAAGAAGAAGAGGAAACTTACCCGTAGACAAACATGCCGCCGGCCACGCCGACGAAACTTCCCACAATGCTCACATACAGTCGCGCCTCGGGGATCGGTGTCCCGGGCACTTCCGTGTTGCGGGACACAGAGGCAAAGTACAGCTTTGCGTTGACGAGAACGCCAGCCCAACCGACACACTCGCCGATGACCACCGCTGCCTGGACGTAGCCAGCCTGCGAGGCCGTCCAGCCGTACAGGCCCGCGAAGACCTGCTCGACAGACTGGGTGAAGAGGTAGACAGTGCCGACCATGAAGGCCGACCACAGCGTGAAGACGAAGAGGACGGGTTCGGTGAAGAGCATCCGCAGCGGCCGTTTCGTGCTCCGGATCAATTTGCGCGGCAGACTCAGGTGGTTCCCGTCGTGGGGGCCGAGGATCGACACGCCGGCCTTCTGCAGCTTCCAGGCGCGCTTCTGGAGGATGATGCTGCCCCGGCTCTCCTGGAAGAAGAAGACGTAGATGGGGAAAAGGGCGCCGTACAGGACCACCTGCACGTACGAGATCCAGCGCCACGATAGGTTATCGTAGATGACCCCGGCGATCACGGGCCCCATGCTGCTCCCGGCGAGGTAGAGCGTGACGAAGAGGCTCAAGGGGATGGTGCGGGCACGGTCGCCTTCCCAAATATTGCCGATCAGGGCGGCGGCTGTGTTGGAGAGGACGGACACACATCCGCCAGAGAAGAAGCGGGAGACGATCAGCGTCGCGAAATTCTGCGCCACCGCCTGCGGGACGACGAAGCAGACGAAGACGACGTACGTGGTGAGGAACGCCGGCCGCACGCCAAAGTCCTCCATCAGCGGCAGGACAACCAGGCCGCACAGGCCTCCTGCCAGAGCCCAGCTGGTGACGGGCCAGTACGAGTTGGGAAACGTCGCGTCGCTGACGTGGAACTCGTCGTTAATGGCCTCGTGGGCCACAGTGATCATGGTCCCGTTGAGAATCGTGGTGAACGTCGCCATGATCCCGACGGCGGTGATTGTCCACTTCTTCCGCAGGGGCCAGTTGTATGGGTTCTCGGGGTCGTCGGGGCCGTACCAGTCGATGGTGTCTGGACCGACCCCGTCGCCAGCAAAATCTTTGGAATGCCCATTTTGGATCGGGGTGGCTACCTTCGACTCCTCATCGAACGCTGTCATGAGCAGATCGGTAGAATCTCTTGTGTGTGGGAGGGAGAGGGAGGGTAGGTAGAACAATTCGAAACAAAAGAAACAACGAAAGGAAGTTGTTGCAATGAGCGAGGGCGGTAGTGCATTGATTGATACACACGATATTGGCGTATTGAAAGACAATGTCCCATCAAGAGAGAAATACCATCAAGAAGGAAAAACTTACCAGCTATTTCTATCCCGAGTCAGCCAGTGGCGGAGGATCAAGCCCAGAGGTACCGAGCCTTGGACCTCTCTCTCTCTCCTCATTTTCTCTTTTACCCGGCCCATTACCAATATTGGGGGCCCCTGGAGATGCCGGATTTGATCGGACTTGACAAAGAGTTTGAAAAGCTTCTCCAGTTTTTTGTATGACGACAAAAAATCTGGTTGGAAACCTGGTGGAGGGTTAAATTTTTTCTCCAAACTGTTACCTAATAAATTGCCCGCAATTGGCGACATCCAGTCTCGTTGTGAGACCTGAGTGGACGGGGCGTGTTTGCAGATGTGATGCAGTCATGGACGGTCCGCGGTCCTGGGATCATGAATTGAGGCTCGATATCGTCCGGTGCAATGGGAAAGGAAGGGAGGATAAGGATGCGTTTGATTGTTAATGGACGCCCAGTGACGTGTGGTTCAACGTTGACCTATGAGATAAAAGACGTGTCTGACGGAATATTAGAGCCAAACTTTCCATCTTTTGGGTCGATTGTTGTGGGATAGACCTCAAGCCCCTATCACGGCGGCTACTCTATACTGATATAATCTGGTAACCTAGGTTCTCGCCTTTTTTTTTGGCGTCTTCTCAATATAGTTGCTCTCTGTCAAACGCTCAAACGCTCAACTCTCACAACCTCTCACTCATCGGTTCAAAGATGCGGCACTCCCAAACTCGCCAACACCAAGTTCAAAATACTAACCACGCCTTCACCCAGAATCAAGCCGCTCGCGAGCACAATGACTCTTGTCTCTCCCCTACCCTTCCAGCGAGTCCACCATAGCGAGATTACCCCACCAACAGTTCGTGCTAGTGTGAAGCTAGGAGTGTTGTACATCCCCACCGCCACGGCAATGCCGCCAGGGATCCACGGGTGCAACGCCTTACACCAGGGCTTCGAATCTCTATATGCGAGAAGGTAGATCCGAAGAGTGGTGGTGAGGACAAATACCGCACCAAAGAGGAGAGCGAATTGCCAGGCCATGGGGGGCAGCCCTTTTCCGGTCACCAATCGTGCGGTAAAGATCCAGACATAGGCGGTGGGAATCTCAAACAAGTCCCCTGGAATCGGGTAGACTGAGACGTACAGCTTATAGACTGCGGCGGAGACAAAGGCCCCCACGACACTTCCTATGAGCTGACCATAGAATTGCGCTTTGGGTGACGCCCCGATTAAATGTCCCGCTTTGAGATCTTGGAGGATGTCGCCAGCTTGAAGCGCTCCCGCTTCGCTGACAGCCCCCGCAAGTAAATTGATGATGATACTGTGATTTGCATGTGGGCCAGTCGGTGTGATCAAGGCAAAGACCAACTGTGTCAGTTTTGAAATCCCAGATACGGGATTTAAATCCGTTTCACCGAGTGCACGCACGCCCATGATCGAGAGAACCAGAGCAAGGATGATGGCGAGGATGTTGAGGCGAATAGGGATGTAAGCACCGAAGGTTATGTGGATGCACACAACACAAAGGATCAGCGTCATAGGAAGGAAGATGGCGACGGTTCGGTTGGACACAAGGTGGTGTGGTGGTGCATCGTCAGGAGGCTCATCGGATGCTGCTTTCACCGGGTTACTGGCGGAAGACTCAGGTGCTGGTACGGACGTGTCGAGAGAGATATAGCTGGCCATCCGTTTGCCGAGCAAAAAGTCGGACCAGGAAGAACTATCTCTGTAGTGTGCTCGGAGTGACTTGATCCAATGTGGACCATAGTGAATAGTAGGACGAAGGAACAGCCAGCCTAAATTGACGACTGCGTCAGCCAGCATGATGGCCAGGCTCACCCAGACAATCCAGCCTTTGCTCCCAGTTTCCCAGTCATCCACAGGCCCCGGCGCCCAGGCGTTGTTTTTGGCAAGGGGACTCAGTACCGCCCAGCCGACAATAGCGCCGAGAAGCATATGGAAGGTAGTGGCCGGACCCATGATAATACCTTGCCCAACATACGCCGGGGAAGGATTGAGGGTCCATTCCCAGGTGCCCGCCAGATAGGTGCCAAAGATGGGCAATTTGTGAAGAATGGGCAGGAAGTACTGGGTCAGGGTATAGGCACCGGAGCCGAGGAAGGCCACCACAAGAAGTCGAATTTGGCTTTTCCAATCCCCTCGCATATCACGGTCTTCTGCCGGCTCCGGCTGGTTATCTCGATCGCTCGCCCTCAATAGTTCTTCACGCTCCTCGGTCCCTTGGGTTTCGATCTCCCGATCCTTGCCCTCTTGACTCTTGGAGCCGCCATGGAGAACACTGATCATAAGGGCTGTAGCAGTCCCACTGGGAAATTTGAGGCGCTCGCGGATGATGACCTGTTTTCGTAGGGGTACTCCGAACACGACGCCAAACAAGCAAAGGCCAATACCCCAGACGAAGAGCCTCCATAGACTCAGATCGACGGGGGCACCCTCACTCTTTTTCAGCAAAAATTGTATGCTAGGCATGACCCCGACGAAACCTAATCCCAGCGGCATGGTACCGACTGCGCCAGCCACTGTCTGGACAAGAACATTTTCCACGGGCGTGAATGGAACAACCAAGAATTGAGATAGCGACTTGAAGACGGCAAACCCAATCAGCGACGCCGGCATTGCCATTCCAGAGACCCAACCGGTTTGGAGACCAAAATATGTGTTGCTAAAGCAGATTATTATTCCAATCAGTGTACCAACGGCAACCCCTCGAAAGGTGAAATTCGTCCCATCCAAGGCTGAGTCGTGGGCGCCAGGTACGGCGTAGCAGGCATGGTCAGATCGAAGGCGGGAGATGTCTTGCTGTTGAGTAGCTTGTGGGAGCAATTCATGGTCTTCGACTTCGGACGCGGAGGAAGAATGGGTGTGAAAGGATGCGCCTCTGTCGGGAGCCATGTCGGGCTATTCTCAGGGTATTGAAACTCAATGGGGTTTCTCGGTCCAGGAAATCCATGAGGAGAAGGGGAAAAGAGATTCCAACACCCAATGCTATTTGGGATGGACCAATGCTGATAGAATGATGGGCGAGGGTAGATGCGGTAAAAGTGAGGCTCAAGATTATTACATATCACAATGACAATGTTGGGTGCCCGGCACCCAGCCTGGCGTCATCGCTCCGTTGTTTTTCCGAGTATCACGTGGGCGGTGGTGCTTGTATGCTCTGTGCCCCTCGTTGGCGCCCCCAAGTTCGGTTACAGCTGGGTTGGCTGGCACCTGTAACGTCTGGCTGTGGTGGGCTGACAGGTGGGGTGGTGTCCCGAGATGCACCTCGAAGTCACGCACGGCTCTGCCCCCTCGCACTGGCCCATCGATCGGTCTGGTTTCACCATCTCTCCCCCCCAAAGAGTGCACCCAGCCCGTCGGTCCACCATCATGCATCTCATTCCTCTCGTTGCTTCTGCCACGCGCCACGAGTTTCCACTTTCCGAGGTCGTGGTTTCCTCCATCCAATCCCGCGAGTTTTCGAGAAGGTCGATGACGCTGTCATGCTTGCTGTCGGTGGAACAAGCGGGCATTTTCTCGACTCTCAAATCCCTACGATCATCGTACTTGCCGATCTCCCATGGCTGCCCTTTGAGTCTATCTCCAAAAGTGTTCCTGTGACTCTCGGTTATTTCGTCATTCTCGATTCACTCTTGTTGCGCCCTCATCGATATCTCCTCAGATTATCCTTAATATGCCTCGACCTTGACTTCTACAAAGCTGCCGTGCTGCTTCATCTGTCATCATAGCTATGAGCGTGAGCGAACAATTGCCTGCCAGTCGTCAGAAAATCTCTTGTCTGAAAGAGCAGGGCAGCAAGGTTTGTGGGTGGGTGTAGAGGGGCCGACAACTCTCCTTTGCCTCCTCTGCCTCCTGTGACCATGGCTCGAGAAGCGGCGCGTGAGCGCGAAATGTATAGGTATTGCTCGTCTTAGTCCTCCTACGATCTTCCACACTCACCCTACCCGTAGGTACTATCAACCATGGCTTGAAACCTTCCTGTCGACCGACTTCGAACCTGCCACAGACTTCCCGCCCTCTACTGACCAGGCCGCAGCCCATCGACCACGATCTTCCAGGGATAAGGCCTTGACAGCCTTCGCGCAACTGGGCTGTCTCCGACTAAATGCCAAAAGATGCGTAGTCACTTTGCTAGGCACTACGAAACAATACATCATAGCCGAGGCTACCAGATCTCTGTCTCTGTTGAGCGACGCTTATCACGACGATGGAGATGAATTGTGGTTCGGAAATTCTTTCATTGAACGAGCGGATGGCATATCGGCCGATGCCATGTATCCTGACAATTATACCGCCTATGATCCAGATGGCTCATCTTTCACCAGCCCTGCATTGGTCATTAACGACGTCTCGACCCATGAGAAATATGAAACTCGAGGCTACGCTGGTCGGGGCGTTTCCTTTTACTGTGGTGTACCAATCACCACACCGCAGGGCCACGCCATCGGTGTTTATACTGTTACTGACGACAAACCACGTTCGAGCCTTTCGGCAACCGAACTTCACTTCCTTCTCGATATGTCAGTTATTGTCATCCAACATCTGGAAACCGTGCGGAACGATCGTGCCAGGAAGAGAGGGCAGCGCCTCATACACGGCATTGGGACCTTCATCGAGGGCGACAAGGCTGAAATCAGTCCTGAGAAGGGTGCCAGTTCCCAGGATGATAAGCCGACTGACTTCAAATCCAACTCGAACCTCTCATCAGAGACCACTAAGACCCAGGGATCCATGGGCTTGATGATCGGCGACGCAAATACACCTATTGAAGAAGCCAAACGAAAGGGGGTCTTGTCCCGCGACCGTTCAAATGACAGACCGACACCGACGGCTGCGAGCCTTGGTCAGGGAAATAACCTCGACCACGTGTCGAGCCAGACACAGACGGCGCAGCGTCCCAAAACGGCCAAGGACAAGATATTACAGGAGTCTCGGCAGGTATTTGATCGTGCTGCAGCTGTTCTCCAATACAGTCTGGGCGCCGCTGGGGTCGTATTCCTAAATGCGAGCTCCGCTAACCTGAGTTCAGGCTCGAGCATGAAAACTTCTGGAGCTGCGGTGTCTCAATTCCATCATGCTACTTACAGTGGAATAAGCCACTCCGACCATCAGAACGGGATCCAGGAAGCTGGCTCGCCAGAAAATGGAGCAGGAGACGGTTCTACAACTTCCAGCGACGATACTGCGAGTACACGCAGTAGCAGTGACTCATCGGCTTCACATAGCAAGAGACAAAAATGTGAGATTCTGGGTCTTCGCACAGTCGATCCCAATCAGTCGATCAGCATTGCCGACCCGACTATGCGCCGTCTAGTCCGCCGTTATCCAAAGGGGAAATGTTTTACATTCAACCAGTTTGGACAACCGGCCTCCAGTGACGAGAGCTCCGAGTCTGCGTCCGCTGCGGATGTTTCCCAACAGGTTCCTGATCAACAATCAAAAGGAGTAAGACGTGCTCCCGTGACCAATTCTCTGCTGAAAGCACTTCCTGGTGCGAGGAAGATTGTTTTTCTGCCGCTATGGGACTTTGCGAAAGAGCGGTGGCACTCTGGATTGATTGTATGGTCCAATGATCTAGGCGGCCTGATTAACATTGAAGATGATATGGTTTACCTCAAAGCTTTCATTAATGCTGTGGTGAACGAGCTCAACCGTATCGATTTAGCGCTGTCCGACACTGCCAAGTCAACATTCCTTGCCAATATCTCTCATGAGCTGCGCTCGCCTCTTCATGGTATTCTGGGCAGTATTGAATTTCTTCACGATACTGCAATGGATGACTTTCAGTCGTCTATGGTCATTAGCGTTGAGACATGTGGAAAGACGCTGCTTGACACAGTGAACCATGTTCTTGATTACGCCAAGATAAACAGCCTATCCAAATCTCAGCGCCAGGATCCAGCTTCTACACTGGGCCCTTCGCAACGAATCAAAAGTGAAACCAATCTGACGGAGGATTTTGATATGGCGGTGGTGGTCGAGGAAGCGGTTGAAGCTGTGTACGCTGGGCAAGTCTTTCGGACCGCCAACGCAGATGCGCTGGAAGGCAAATCGCCCGTACAGACCTCCGCGAGTCGAGCTATGCAACAACGACTAGATCGAAGGGCCAACGTCAGCAAAGGCGAGGCCAAAGAATCGAGTGCTGTTCGCCTTACCTTGAATATCGACGATCATACCAGCTGGTGGGTCAGATCCCAACCTGGGGCTGTCAGGCGGATTGTCATGAACATTCTTGGCAATGCATTGAAATATACACCCAAAGGGAGTATCAATGTCGGGCTCGAGGTTGATCGCTCCCGAAAGGAGAGTAGCTCAAATCTGCACATGCTGCTGAAGATTGCTGACACCGGCCGCGGCATGTCTGACGACTTCATGAAGAATCACGCATTCACTGCGTTTTCTCAGGAAGACACACTAGCAACGGGTACCGGTCTTGGACTCAGCATTGTCCGACAGATTGTCGACTCTCTCGGAGGAAAGATCGACCTGTCCAGCGAGAAAGATGTCGGTACCGAAGTGAGAATCTGGCTCCGGCTTCCAAAGAGCCAGAAAGATGTGAGTTCATTTACCGAGGCCAACGTCGTTGCAGACATGCGCCAGCGCGTCACGGGACGTGAGATGTGCATGCTCTTGCCGTACGATGAGAAGAATAACGAGACAGATGTCCGTTACCTGGTCCCGATGCCGACAATAGAAAGCTCAATGCGGAATTTGGTGTCTCAGTGGTTCCGGATGAAGATCACCACGACGAAGACCATGGATGGCATCTCACCCGACTTCTTCATTTATCCTGAGCCCCCGCCTATTGACTACCTTATGGACTACCACGGGAGAGCAGAAACCGAAAGAGAAATCCCCGTCATCATATTGTGCGCAAACGCATTCGAAGCTGCATCCTTGAGATCCAATGGGATACACTATCTCACCGACATTGGTAGAGTCATTGAGGTGATTGCGCAACCCTGTGGCCCGCAGAAACTGGCGAAAGTACTGAATAGGTGTATGCAACGGTTGGAGCTGCTGCTGAAGGACCCTCACGAAAAACCCTCGAAGACGGCTGCATTGCCATTCAATCGAACCCGGAAACCAAACAAAGAGAGCTCTCAGACCAGCGAAGATACAACCGGGCAGGGCGAAGAATCGGTTCAAGACGTTGACCTTGCCACCATGGCTGACGGTGATGATACGGCCAAGCCCAAATCAAATGATGCTTCGAGCAGGGCTCCCGCAGAGATCCACTCCTGGCCTCGAAAACCGTCATCGACAAAGATGGGCACCTCGGAAGAAGTCGTTACACTAAGTCAGTCGGATGTTGCCAAAAGTGATGCTTTGCCTCAAGAACCCGACGCAAACAACCCCCGAGTCCTAGTAGTCGACGATAATCACATTAACCTGCACCTCCTGGTCACTTTCGTTCGCAAAGCTGGCCACCCCTTCGAATCAGCCACTGATGGCTTGAAGGCTCTAGAAGCATACAAGAAGAGCGTCCGCGGAGGGGGTCGACGGAATGCCTTCAAATATATCTTTATGGACATCTCAATGCCAGTGATGGATGGCATCGCTTCCGCCAAAGAGATTCGACAATTCGAGAAAAACAACAAGGTTGATCCGCCTGCCAAGATAATTGCCTTGACGGGAATGGGTAGTGACGTTGCCCATAACGAGGCATTAGACGCAGGGTTTGATGAGTTCTTGAGTAAGCCGATTGTAAGTCAGCGGTCTCCTGAATCTGATTACCCTCGAAAAGAGGCGGTAAAACCCCCACATCCAACGTTCATGCTGACGTATAGCTTGCAGAAGTTCAAGGACCTACAGAAACTGCTTGTCTGAAAGGTTCCTGCGTTCGATGAGCTGTGTGCAATCAAGATTTACACTGTGGGTCGTAGGGTGTTGTGATGCCTCTCTGCGTTGTTTCTTGCGGTCACTGGTTATGGGAACCCGGTGTATTGATATTCCTCGATATAGAGCGTCTTGAGATGAAGTTCAGGAAATAGAGCGGGACACTGATGGACCGGCAGGGAGTTTTGGTGGAAAGGTGCTCGACCATGCACGGGCGGGCAATGAAAAGCAAGGCCAAAGCGTTGTTGTATGATGAGAAAAGCGTATACTAGAAACCCAGAGATTGTTGTGGAGCATGAGCACACCGATGGCGTAACTGTTTTAGGGTTGTTGTCCCGTTTTGATGCTCTGCTGGTTTGAGATTCAGGTTCTGGCCCCATTGAAACGCTATACGCCCGCTCTCTCCCTCTCACGCAGCAATGGACACGTCAAGATTTCTCGAGTACTTCACTTGTTCTCCATGGATCTTCTGTCGGGTGGTGGCCGGTGATCATGTTATTTGCTATTGCTATGGGCTACCCACCTCTGTCTGTCTTTTTGGGGATATTGATTCTTCGGTAATAATATCCCGCCTGAATTGCTTCCCCTGCTAGTTAACCTCGTAGGAAAGCCCAACCCACATATGTATATGTACATGTGCTTTCCGCGTCCCGAAGCGTTGCGTTGCTCAATCTCCTCCGCCTCGTGTCCGTGTGAGTGTTGCCGCATATTTTCCCCCCTATCGTTGCAACCAAATCTCTCGCTGTGTGCTTGTGTGCCATATGGAATCGGAACTGTTGCCGTGTGAAACAAGAAGAAAAAAATCCAGGTAACGAACAAGATGGGGTATAATGAAGTCCAAGAAGTGCTTCAAATGAAGTCAAATTGTTGTACAAGGGGTCATTCAGGGACGGATCCCGAGGATATAAGTCGGTTCTGTCCGGAGACGGATGCGTGGGTGGTAGTTGTGAACGGGCAGGTATGTTTCGGACGGCGAGCTGTGGCTCTAGCAGGGGACATGTGATCGAGAACCGATGCTCGCTGAGGAAGGCTAGGTTGAGACACCCCTGGCACCTAGTCATGGATCTGGATCTTTGAACGCGATGAAACTTGGCTCGTGCTATCCAGATTACCATTGGTGTCAAAAAAAGGTCGGGGCTGGCCATCCAACGTCGCTCCTGGCAAATTGTGTAGCCAACAGAACCGATTCAAGGGGTTGCGACTTTCCAACCCAGTCCAAGGCTGTTCCGATGTGGTGGAGTCGATGCTTGCAGAATTCAGGTTTAAGCATTAAATCAAGACCGTCAGACACGTCGAAGACCGATGCTTGAGATTCGAGTTATCCTCCGCTCGCCTCAAGTTGTCACTCTTTTGATCCACAACCCTGTAGGTTGCTCATAAAAGTCGTCTTTGTCCCTCCGCTTCTGCGCACGATGCAACCTCAGTTGAACGTCGTGCTCCTCGTTCTTGACATCCTGAATCTCCAGGTTCAGATTGGTTATCATCTTGTCGACTTCCTTGCGCTTTCTCGAGTCATAAATGATTGCGTTCTTCTTCAGTGAATCCTGAAGTTCCAGGATGATTTTGTTTAAATTCCGTTTGCGCCGAGCGAGGTCTTCCAGTCGGGCTGTGAGAGAAGTGATCTTATCAACAGCCTGGAGTTCGCCGGGCGTTGGAGGAAGGGATTTAGAGGCTGAAAGGGAGGACATCAGAGACACAGCCCGAGGTTTACCATTGCGGTCGATGGAATTCGAATCGTTACCAACGGCTTTTCGAAGGATGTTAGACGAATTTCGGCCGGAGATTGTGGAGAAAGGGGAGATGCTGTTGTAGTTGTCGTAGCTGCGATAGCCACTATTGTTCGCCGCGACACGTTTGCGGAGGACGATCGGTTCCGGAACCGCTGCGGGCGGTAGGTGTACGATTGGCACAGGGCTGCTGGTTAGCTCTTCTCGTGCGATGGGACTTGAAGGAATATGAGTGCTTTCTTCCGCCGCGCTCGTTGCGTAAGTGTTCCAGCTCGACGAGGTGTCCGGTTCACGCTGCAACGGGCTGTGGTGCGCGGTGGGATCGAACGAACTTTCGCTAGAGCTCCGGTCGGGGCCGATGAATGAGGGGGTATTGGAACCCAAAGTCGGGCTGTCGGCTCCATACTCTTGGACAGTACTGGGTGCAGGGCTCTGAGCTGGCTCGATGGCGAAGGGGCGTGGACCGGGACTTTGGAATGGGCTATCTAACAACCGGGTATATTCCAGCTGCTTGGGTGACAGTGCTTGCGGCGATAGCGCTTGCGGCATCTTTCTGGTCGTCTTCAGAGGGGCAACGGGCTTCAGGCTTTCCTCCGAATCCACAGTTTTGAGGGTCGGAAGTTGTGAAGCGGCGACAGAAAGTGAGTCGACAGGGGACATGGCAGTCTGCTCGACGGGGACCGTTTCTTCAGGTGTCTCGCTTCTTGTATCCTTCTCAGGTATCCTGTGCCGCTCCACCAGCGTCAGCGGTCGAGTGCGAGCTTCCGGGGTGTTCTTAACAGGCTCTACTATGGCATGTCTACCACTTGCTCCCCTCCATGGTGGTCGCTGAACAGGGTTGTCCAGAGGGTCCGCCGGATCTGGTGACGGTGACGGCGATTTTGTCCAGGCCGACTTTTTGACTGCTTCCCTTTCCTTCAAGCCAGCCAAGATTTGCCGCGTTCTTTCCTTGAGCTGGGGGTATGGCTGGTCGATTCCAGACGGTGCTGCTCCCGGGCGGACGGAAGACGGCTTGCCTGCCTGGCTGGGTTCGCCCGAGTATTCATCCCACCGAGTCTGTTCATTCCCTTCTTTGCGTAGATTCCATCGCTTTTTTATGGTTTCCTCGGGTGTGTTCTGTGACACCGACAGGGGTAGTTTCCGCGGTATCTGACTTTTGAAAGACTTGTCCGGCTGCGTGGGAGTTTGCTGTGCGGGTTCGATGGGAGAGACTAGGGAAGCATCAGACCCGTTGGGATGGAACGAAGTCTGGCTGCTCAACGGTGAGACACTGGCTTGACTGGCGTCATGTTGATGGCTCGGGTGAATCGAAGGTTGTTGCGGATTGTAGTCAGAGATGTTAGGAGAGGCTGAATCCTGGTCGATAGAATAGACCGACGTTCGCTCCTCCATGGGAGGCACAGACCGACTGGAGACAAAAGTGGTCAGTGTGAGAAGAAGGGATTCAAGAAAGGGACTCAGACGTACAAAGGGAGTTCTGGAAGAGCAGTAGCCGCAACACTACTGCGGCGACTGTACAAAGACTCGACCTCGGGGATTGTCTCGAGATATCTTTCGTCCATTGTCGGCTCGGGATAGGGATAGGCTTGGTAGCCCATCTGGTAGTCTGGTATGTTGTTCCGTCTCCACATGTTTGCGGTTGATCTCGGGAATGCTGCTACGGCACTGGAGAAGGGTTGCGCGCGCCGACAGAAGGAGAGTTCGTCATTCCGCGAGCGACCTCGACGAGTTCAGCGTGATGGGATCAGCGTGAGCGGGAGGAGTAACAGGTGAAGGTGACAAGACGTGAGTTTCCGAGGGGCACGAGATGTCCGAGTCGTTAGTCGTGTCGGCGAGTGGTGACTTCTGTGGGCAGTCTTGTGCAGCGACCGGTTTCTCGAGTCCAAGTCGTCTTTGAGATGGAGCGAATATTACGGGGAGCCAGGGGGTGAGATGCGTTGTCTCATTTTGTTTGTTGGACTCAGAATGGCAATTCGACGAGTTGCCGATTGGCTGAGAAAGGGTTAATCAGTACCCGGAGCTCAATGTGGCAGAATAAAGGTGAAACAAGGAACGACGGCCGCCGTTGATTATTTCAGGGTCATCACTTTGAGACACAGCCGCAGTCCGAGCCCACGATCCTCCTGGGGATCTTGTCTCATGGTCCATGCAGTCACTTGACAGCCGAGTTCCTCCTCTCTACACGTGGTGCCTGCCAGCTATTTACGCGTTGTTATAAAGTTTTGTTGTCATTGCCTGACTTGTAGTTGGTGGGGGTGGAGATTAGCAGAACACCAGCCAGTCAATAGGGGCCTCTGGGGGTTTGGACGCCCCGAAGTTAGGGACCTGCATTAATACCGGCGGGCCGGTCAAGAGTGGCTTGCGGTGCTGGCTACACGCGAGTAATTGGGAGTACGCAATCCTCGCAGGGACGCAGTACTAATTATTTTTACGGCGCAGGTGAGTGCACAGCTGAGGCTGGGTGCTGGCGGAGGGCGCCCAAGCCAAGGACAGCAATCGAAGCCTCACTAGCCCCCCATGAACCCCTCTTCCCCTTGACCCCAGCGCCCCAGTGGCTCCGGCTAACCACGTTCTTCCAGTGGCTTCAGGCGCGGAGTAATGACTCCGTCGCTAGGCGCTGCATTTCGGGATACACACCCCCTTCGGAAATGTCATCCGCTCCCGTCTTCCTTCTCGGTGCGTGCTCCTCTGGGTGCCTCCCCCCTTTCCCTTTGCTTACGGGCTGAACTGAAGTGATCGTTCGACGAACTCCTGCGCACCCGATGAGAACCACAAAATAGAATTTCAATTGATCGACGCCCAAGCAAATCCTCGCCTTGGTGACGTCTCTCTGGGTGGGCGATATATATGTATATGTTAACCTACACCATTTAATCCTGATGTCCCCGATTAGCATGCTTTTTTCGACCTCCCTGACGCCCGATCGTCAAGAATGGGACCAGAAATACTGCCAAAACCGCACCTGCCAGAGACACCCAAAATGTCGCTTGATATGGTCGATATCTCACGGCTCCTCCCCCGTGCGCCGCCCCTCCGGCGGTGTTGTATATGCTCGTTTGAATGCCCAGCCCAATCGTCGCGACGAGCCGGGTCACCGTGTTGAAGAGGCCTCCTGCCACCGACTGCTGTTCACTGGGAAGAGACGACATGACGTACATATTGGTGACTGTGAACTCCAGGTCCTGGGACAGCACGCTGAACAATAGTGCTGGAAACGCAAGCGCCCAGAACGATATCGACGTATATATCGCACTGAAAAGGGCCGAAGCGATTACGGCACTTACAGCTCCGATGATCATGATCACCCTGTTTGACACTCGGTGCATGATCATTGCTGCCAGCACGTTGACCAGAATTCCTCCAATCCCCGCTGGAAGAAGGTGTACCGCGACCATCAGCGGCGATAGCTGATTGATTCGTTGCCAGAGCAGAGTTAACCAAAACAGATTCCCAGAAAAGCCATAAAACCCGAGGCAGAGCACGGTCACGACCAGTGTGAAGTTTCGATCTTTCCAGACTCTCAACGGCATGAGTGGATACCGGAATACACTTTGCCAATAGATGAAGCCAGCGACCAGGACAAGACCAACCACCAACAAAGCAATCACGTAGGGCGTCGCCCATCCACGTGGCGCGTCGCCCGCCAAAGTCAGGGAAGCAGTGAACATGGCAATCCCACCCACGGCGAGCAGAGCCCCCAAAAGGTCGAATTTCAGGAAAGTGTCCATGTTGAGTCCTCCAAGCGTCTGTTCAGTGTCCGGTGGGGTGGTCCACAGGGCTGCAAAGAAGAAGAAAGCATAAATCACCGACATGACCCAAAATGCTGCTCTCCAGGTGGAAACTTGCATTGTCACGCCACTGATAAACGCTCCAAGCACGAACCCAACCGGGTTGCCCCCGGAAAAGCAGGCAAAAGCTCTGTTCTTTCGTCGACACGGTCTGTCATAGACCGCCCCCAGCTTCCCAATGGCTGGAGGAACAGACGCTGCTGAACTGAGACCAAGCAGACCACAAAAAATATCCAGAAAATAGGCGTTGGTAGCAAAACCCGTGATGAGCAGACAGATGCTGAAAAAGGCCAGACTGCAAAGAAAGAGCAGTCTCCTCCCGAACAAATCCGCCACCCGGCCAAAAAACAGCAAGAAGGTCCCTGCGGCGAGGGTTTGGGCAGCACTGATCCAGGTCACTTCAGCCGCTGTCATGTTCAGGTCCTTTCCGATATAGTTGGTCATGCAGAGGATGGCCCCGGTAAAGATCGAACTCTGTCCCACGGCGATTGTCGTGGTCAGAACAAAGAGGCATTCTTGAAAGAGACTGCTGAAACACGCGGGGCGGCTGCCATAGGAGTCGGACTCGGTTGGGGCGAGTGATGCTCCGATCGATGATGTCGGCTCGACCTTGTGAAAATCGACGGCCTGTGTCCTTGCTTCGAGGTCTGCGTCCTGTGAAGGATGGACCTGGGTCGATTGTTTCTCCATTATTGCCACGCAAGCGCCTGCTGCCCCCTTTGTAGCGTCGGCTCCAGCAGGGTAGTCCACCTCAGACGTGATGCCAGGCAAGGGCCACTTGGAAACCCACTGCAAGCGAACGAGTCATCGGAAAGGAATCAAATGACACTTCCAGTTTGGATGGAAGGAGGAGGAGGAGAAACTGAAATAGTGAGAGATAGTTGTATGGGGGAGCTTGGGGGTAAGGCCGAAGCAGCGAGCCGACTTAGGAGCGACGACACCCGCCCCGTCGGTAATCGAACGTTTGTGGCGGCTCAACGGGTGGACGCTACGAGTCAATTCGTTGTTGATCCATTATATCGGTGGCCCCCCCACCTCCTGGGTGCCTGGACGGATCGATTCCGCCCTTTCGTGGGACAGCCATCATTATTATGTATCAAAGTCCAATGGGCTACAAGTTCAAGTGCGAGCTCTAGTCATCAAGTTTTGTCAGAGGAGGTTCTTGAAGTCTTGGAGTCTATCGTTTATTCGGGGTTCTCAGGCTGAGCTGCCATTCCTGGGGATGTTCCCGTCGCCTATGTATCCGGCTAAAGGTACTCGATACATTAAGCCCCGTTCGTGGTTTCGTTTTGTCAGCTCTATTTTTCTCGTGCTGTACACGACACCGCCCATGGTATACTTCGTCACGATCTCCTCTGGCGATGCCATAGTCGAAAACTGCTCGCTCTGCCATTCCTTCACCTCCGAGTCGTCACTCCATTCCCACGGTCTGCACCCTCCCTCAATAGTCTGAACTGCATTCGCCTTTTTACATGTTGCGACCGCCAGTCACTTCGATGGTCTGTCCGTTGACGTAGCTGAACAGTGGGGAGCACACGGCCAAGATAGAACTGGCGGCCTCGGTCGCTGTGCCGGGTCTCCCCAGCGGGATGTCCCTGTAGGCCGCGGCCGGGTCTTCTCCTCCTTTTCGGTCCGCAATCTGCTTGCCCGGAATGCCCAACGCGACACGCTGGCCGTCGGCGGTGGTGATGAAGGCTCCGATTTCCTTGGCACGGGTCAACCGTGTGTCGATATAGCCGAAAGCGATGGTGTTGGCGCGGACGCCGAACTGTGGGGTCGGAGAAACAGTCAAGGTCAGCTACCGGCCATCGAAAGCTTTTCAAATGGCAAAACAACATGACATACCTGCGGTCCCCACTCCTTTGCGATCGTCTTGGTCAGGCCAGTGACACCGGCCTTTGCCAGACTGTAGTTCGCCTGGCCCGCATTGCCGTGGGTGCCGGACGTGCTGGAGATGTTGATGATGACTCTCTTGTCGCCGTCCTTGACGCGGAAGTAGGGGGCGGCCTGCCTGATCAGCCGGAAGGGGGCGGTGTTGTGCACGTTGATGATGGTGTCCCACTGCTTGTCGGTGATCTTGTGGATCACGCCGTCCCAGGTGTAGCCGGCGTTGTTGACGATGATGTGGATCTTGCCGTTGCCGAACTCGGCCGCCTTGGAGACCAGCACGGGGAAGTAGTTGGGGTCGGTGACGTCGCCGGGCACCGCGATGGCGCGTTTGTTACCGGGCGTGGCGTCGTTGATGGACTTGGCCACCGCCTCGCCCTTGGCCGCGTCAACGTCGCACACCACCACCTTGGCGCCCTCGTTGGCGAACAGCCGCGCACACTCGGCCCCGATGCCCTGGCCGCTACCTGTGATCTGTGAGAAGCAGTTCGTGGTTAGCCTGGGTAATCCAATGGTCCCTCGACGGAGAGTGATTCGTGCTGATTCTGCTGGTGCTGGTGCTGCTGGGGGAGACTCACAATGGCGACCTGTCCGGCCAGGAGGCCCGAGGGGTAGTTGAGATGCGAAGCGATCTGCTGAGCTCTTTGCGCCATGGCGTGCTATGGGGAAGACGACACTCAAGGACAAGGTAAGGTCAAGATTCGAGTGTGGGAGGGCAGGTGCGGAACTGTAAATAAAAAAAGAGGAACACCAAAAAATAGTAAGAGAAGAACAGAGCAGTTGAATAAGTCAGCTATCTTAGGTCCAGCAACCTAATAATTACATGTTTCAATGCCGGTTGAGTGAGAGCGAGAGAGAGTAAGACGCAGGACAAGACCGCAGTCGCAGCAGCACCAAGAGACTTACCGAGGCATCTTGCGACCTCCCGCCGCCGAGAGCCCGTAACCGAATCGAATCGTCGGTCGGTACATAATATTGCCTGGCCGGAAGAGTTCTTGTGCCGACGGAGGAGTCAGTCAGTAGGATTTGGGTGCGTGACGATAGTTGTGTCGAGTCAAGCAAAAATATGCCGATTTGCTCCGACTGCACTGCACCAGCACATACAATTACATAGGTACTAGTAATAGGAGCTAGACATGACTGTCCCTGTACGTACATATTCAGGTATGAACCCGACGACCTTCCCTTGATTCGAGATCAGACCAACAGACAAGTGTTATTTTGTTTGTTTGTTCTGCTTGAGAAACATACATGCATGCTTTTTTGGTATTATGTATTCCATCCAGACTGTTTTCTGGGCCCTGATCCTTTTGCCCAAATCCCCCAAAGAGAAAGAAGAAAGAAAAATCCATTCACAAACTTTTTCTTCTGTAGGATAGGATGGGACAAAATGCCATACGGCAGATGCAAATGCAGATGCAAATCCCGGCCGGGTATATGGTCCATATACCATCCACATACCATCGTGAGAATTTCCAACCCTCGAGGGGAAAACCAACAACCCACCGTAACATGCCTAGAAGAAAATCCTTCCAGATTAGAGAAACCCCCTGAAAATTCAGTCCTTTTCATTCCATTTCATTATCACCCCGCAAATTCTTGGTCGGTCGACACTTCCTCCACGGGGTTCTTGTTGAGACTCTCGTACAGCTGGAGGTAGCTGCCGATCAAGAAGGCCCAGGAGCCCCTATAGACAGCGTCGCTGGATTAGTCACGCAGTTCTCACAAGATCACATTGATGGGACGTGTTGGTTTCTTCACGTGACGGTGCGTGGAAGGGAGAGATGTTCTGTTGTGCACAAAGGAGAGAAGAGAAACACATACCAAAAGGTAGCCAACCCAGCCTCAAACTGTGCGCCGGAATTCTTGTACGCCATGCCCAGACAGCCGCAGAGCGTGAAGCCAAACGCACCCACCAGGTTCCAAAACGCAATGTGCCACCCCAAGAGGTGCGGCGCCGGCTTGTACCACTTTTGCTGCGTCTCGAGCATGTACAGCGTGCTGCTGACGATGAAGCCGCTGCCGCCGATCACTTGCGGGATCCAGTACGCAGCGTTAAGCCGCCACTCGGGCGTCAGGTGGTTGATGATGCCGGGCAGGGCGGTGATGCCCGAGATGCCGAAGACGGTCGCGCCAAAGAGCTGGGCCGACCCGGCCAGGAAGCCCAACTCGTGGAGGTAGTGCGTCCGCAGGTCGTGCCACGACGGGAACCATTGCCAGGCCTTCTTGCCGCCGCCCTTGGGAGGTGGTTGCGCTTCGGAGACGGTCAGGGTCGAGGGCTTGCCGACGAAATTGCGTCGATTCTGGTGGTGGTGGTGACAGTGGTGGCGGTTGGCGACGACGCGGAGGCGGGCGATACCGTCTTTCTGCTGCTGCTCGTCGTCGTCCAACAGTTGCTCCACGGCCCAGCCGAAACAGCCGGTGTTGTTGGCATTGATGGCCTCGAAGATCAAGAGGATCGAGCCCACTTCGAAGAACAGGATGGCGCCGATGAATGCTGTGACCCCTCCACCGTAATATACTTCGCCGTCAAACTCCGTCGAGGGGGCGACAACTGGAAGCCAGACGAAGAAACCCTATATAGCGAATTGAAGTGGTTAGTGTAGTGCATTTTTCGGGCCTCTTGGCCTGGGTTCCTAGAGATCAGGCGTACATTCAAAACCCAGACGACACTCCCCCATGTAAATATAAAAGCCACGAGCCACGAGATGTCCCAGACTGGAAAGTACGTCATGGTTTTGACAACGGTTTTCAGAACCTCTCTCGGGTCCGACGTCCGCCTCGGAGTCACAAAATAGGCCTCTTCACCAGGCTTCGGTCTCTGGACGAGCAAGGGATGTCGACCTTTGCGATTGTCCCGTGACCGCCACAGGAACCTGACATTTTTGGCGGGCACGTCGGAATCGGAATAGCGCTTGGGCGTGTGGTGCCCGGCTGCATGATGCACGTTTTCCTGCGACGTCTCGACATCATCCGGGGTTTCCTTGGAAGTCGTTCCGGAGTGGTTGAAATGAGCCCGGGTCGGATTGAGGAAGCTGAAGGGCCCCTCGGCGCGTTCCAGTGTCAGTCTGTTGTCATGTTGGAAGGGCTCTCGCGTGTGGAAATGTCTGCTTCGAGGAGGCATTGTGGTGATCTGGCCAAGGCAAACAGGACTCACAGAGAGACCGAGTGTTATTGATAGCGAGGCGTCGCACTGATGTGTATTTCCATTGCCCAGGGGGGCACAGACACGAGGAGTTTAGTAGTTGGCCCCCTTCGTGTGTGTCGCAGGATTTAAATTAAAAATGATGCGGTGGATGACGACGCCCGCAAAGTTTTAGGCTGATCGGCTGTTCCCAGAATCCCAGTCTCTGCCCTGTAAGTCGCCAACTCGTCAAGAAAAAAACAACAAACCGCCAGCTGAAAGGCTCGTCGGGCTTCACTAGGCCAAGACAGTGGCTTGATGCCGCCCTCGATGGCTGTCAAATGGGCTTCTAGAATGGCTGCACTCGCCAGTCACTTTTTGCTGGATTCGTACATGGGCACGGGCCTTCTCATCCTCGTGTGCTGACTGATCCACCCGCTCATGCTTACTGGGCGAGACACCTATACTTCTCCAGGGTACAAACATCGGTAGTGAGAAGAAAGGTGCCCCTTATATCATGGGCTATGCTTGCACTAAGTGGCCACATCCCCAGAGAAGTCAATGAAATCCGTTACATTTGCCTCCATCGTGCACATACGCTTGTCGGCCTAGATTACAATGCCCTTCGAAAGAGGCGGCAGCTGCATCCACTGGAATTGCTGCCTTTCGGGACCTGTCCGTTCAGGTGCCGTGGTCAACAGCCTGGCTCACAAGTCCTTGAATGCCTGAGTGAGAGAGGGCTCCAGAGGAAACCTTTGTCGAGCTGATGTTGGCACGCACGGGTCTTGAACAAATGCTGTTCGTCATCGTCTTCTGACACGCAGCGCCTGGACTCGACCAGAGACGAGCACAGCCCGTGGGCACGGGCACTCTGCTGCAAATGTCAACGTGGCCATTTACGCTGGTAATTTAGCGCGCACAAACATATCTCTCAGGTGTACATCTCAACATCATCCATTTCCTCGTCGATTCGGTCAATCATCATCAGATCCGTGTTTTCAAGCCCTCCCGGATGGGCTTCTTCAGCCAGGTCAGCCAGGGGGTCTAACGGCATCCCGGTGACCCTCTCGAAGCTGTTGCTGCCTTGAGAATCAATTGAGAATGCTTTCGAACTGCTAGTGTTTTTGCTCCAAGTCGAAAGCATCGACCACGGGCGCTGCAGCCGATCCCTGGTTTCGAGCATTTGTGCCAGCGTTCGCTTGGTGTCCCAGCTCATGGAAGATCGAATGCTGTTGATCGACGAATGGAAAGAGCCGGCGAGACTGTTTCGTGAGACGCTTTGTCCGGGTATACGAAGCGATGAATAGGCGAGCGAAGCCGCTACCGAAAAGGATGTGCGACCAATGCTCGGTGAAGGCTCACGCGATCGAAAGGCAGCTACAATGAACTCCTTCACCAAGGTCGAAGGTGCTGTGCTCCTTGGATCGGGACGTCCCGGCGCACTGGGTATATTGTCCGTTCGTGAGAGGTAGAGTCTAACGAGATCAGGACCCCGTGTATGCCAGTTGTTGATCGTGGTGTTAATCTCAGCGAGGAGATAATCACCGAACCGCGACCCTATGCGACGACGCCAGGTCGTCTCATTTCCGGAGCTCAAAAAACTTTCGCAGATCACCGCCAATGCCAGCAAGGTGTCAACGTTTAACGGCTTGACCCCATGTGAGCATAGCGGCAATGGACACAAGGATTCTGCTGCCTGGACGAGCGAGTCAAAGGAGGAGATGACCAAGACGCAGGAACAGTATAAAACCCAGACTGCAGACACTCGAGACCAAGCAAACGTAGGCGAGCGAGCCCCGACTTTGTTGAGGATGCGCCTGTTCATCTCCACGAAAGCTTCGCACCATTGGAGTATCGCCCTCATGGCCTTTCCGGCCTCTCCACATTCGAACAGATGATCATGGTGTGCCACTTGCGCCTCGAGACACCTTGACGACATATACAAAGTCCCTCTTGGCAGACCGTCTCTCAGCATTTCCTTCAGAGAACTCATGATAAAGAGGATTTCGCGATCTTGGATTTCGGGCAGAATGACCTCGAAACGTTCTCCAACGCAGCTGACAGCGAGACGAAGCGCAGTCTCCTTTGGGGGGATTGGAGATTCTGAACTCGTGGGGTGCCTTCGCAAATTTGATAGGTAGAGGTTGAGTACAGCGATGTCAAGGTTGTGTCCAAAGCCATACTTCTCCAGGAGACCTTGAACTTCTAACAGCGCGTGGTGTGCAATGTTTCCTTTACGGCCGGGCTTATAGTTTCGGGCACAATTGATGGCCGCAGTAACCATGCTCCGCACAGAGCTGTCGATCGACGTAGCCCCGGGGGGGTATATCTTGTCTGGTGAGAGGTTGCTTGTGCAAGTCTGCCAGTATATATACTCCACATAGAACAGGTCGGACGCCTCATCGAAAAGGCCAGCGGCGGCAAGAGTGGTGGCAACCCCTTGGATCTCCCACACTTCTGATACTGAGAGAGCCGCCGGGTCTCGGAAAGCTGGCCAGATAGGGAGCAGCGAGCAAGAAATTACCTTGTCCATGGATAGAGCTGCGAGAGGTGAGGTCGCCCTTAACCAAAGCTCAAACTCAGGGTCCCACGAATGATTGTAGGACATCTGCGGTGAGGATGGAGCCTGGTCCTTTGAGTGGGGTGGAACCTCTTCACTGAGTCTCGTATTGATGGCTGAGGAATTGTCCGTTGAAGCAGTCTCCGCGAGCGTCAGAGGAGGAGTCGAAGACACCCGCGACGACTGTCCGTCATGTTGAACACTGTTGATACTTGAAGTTTCCGGTGGAGATGAGCTAATGTCCTGCATGTCGTGCTGGCTGAGATAAGGAGCGCCCATCGTTCGTGTGGGAGACATTCCCATTGAGTTTCTGGCAAGGCCATCGGCAAGTGGTGCTTTTGGTCCAATTCGCACAGCTTGTTGCTCGGCTTCAATCTCTCCAAAAGATGGGAGGCTCTGCTCCGCTGGGATCGTGTGGTCTGCCGTCTCCCTGGATGCGCGGTCGTGTCGCGCGATGAAGGAGGCACGCTGAGGCAGTGATTGGGTGTCGGATTCTGCCGGTAATCTCGGGGCAGTCGTGGTGTCAGGCGTGACGACCGGTGCGTGGTCTGGTAATATGTGTCGCTCGGCAGAGGAGTCACCCTCGAGATTCGTCCTTATCACGCTTGGTGGGTTGATAACTGGCGCCTCTTCAGTGTGCGCTTGCAGACCCCATTTTTTCATTCGGCGTCTGAGCTGGGGGTATCTGTCTCGATCAGTTCGCATCTCGAAACTCGTGATTTGACCTACGATGGGTAGAAGTTCTCACTCTCTAATTCTTTGAGGATTGCGTTCTTCCACTTCCCGTCAAGGTGAAGTCTGGTGATCAGCTCCCTAAACTGTTCCCATCTGTCATCTGGGATGCGAGTGGCATTGCCTGGCCTCTCATAGATCCACTCAATTGAAGGCATTCCGGACGACATTTCGGTGGCAGGAGTGACTGTGAGGTTGTACGGTTGATACGGCAAGTATCCCAAAGCAAATTCGATGTCAGGCTGAGGGCTTGTTGTTCACTGCTCCCGGCGGGGTAGTCCTCTACTTGAGTGACGGCCCAGAGCGAGGAGCCGTGTCGGCCTTTCCAAAAAGAGGAAGTAACAGCCCTAATGATGCTACAAGGCGCAGATAGCCTGCCCCCGACCTCGATCGATCATCATGAGCAGACGTCGAGACACAGGCGGTGGGATGGTCCGCCCCGCATTGTTTTTTCCTAAAAATGGTTTAGAGGCGACATGGACTCACCCAACAAGTGGCCCAGATTATTCCGTTCCTGAAACTCAGGGATCGCCGGGCTCTTAAGCGCCCCAAGCCCCCTAAGCCCCCAAGCGTCTGCCCCGATCAGCCCGGTGCCTGCTGATTACGGTATTTGGGATAGCACATGTGCTAAGTGCTCCACTCAAGTCCGGAGAGCGTGCAGCAGATGGTGAAGTCTTGACTTGCTTCATGCCTTGGTCTTCTCTCCTCCAGATGTTTCCATCAGTTGGCCACGACAGGGGCCTCTCAAACTCATCCACCCAGCCCCAGCCTAGTACTCCACCTCGACCACAGCAAGTAGAAAGCACCTCAGTGGTGGTGGGCCACCAATGGGACTACGCGCTTAGCTCGAATGGGGAATTCTCAAGGTCAGAACGGCGATCAGCAGCAGTTGTCGCCTGATAACATGAACGGTTCTGCTCGTGCTGAGGACCGGAACTGCTTGCGAGTGCAGAGCCAAAAGAGGTAATTGACAATGGGTCTCCTGGTAATACCGCTGCCGCAGCTATAAAGGAATGCACCTCACGATGTGAGGGCAGTGGGCAGGCTCACAGAATTGTCGTGGCCCATTCCGAATCAGCTCGTCAAGCATTTGTTATATCTGTCTACTTCATCTCTTGGTTGAGTGGCAGTAACCAGTTGCTCTCTAAACCATCAGGCTCTTCCGGTGCACGACTTTCCTAACACAGAGCCAACCACCTTCAGCGGCAGTCAGTAAGTACGTCAGGTTGACGAGCACCCACGCTGGCCAATTCTGTACTGACCGAACACCATCATCAGACATGACTAAAGAAGACGTTCAACACATCGGTGATCACCACAAAGCCATCGACGGCGTCCAGTACCCCGATCAAATCGTTGAGGAAAACGAACAATTCGTCGAGCATACTCTCGACCCCACCAGGCTCGAAGAGGTGGATAAGTGGAAGCATATCGAGCGGCCAGCGACCAAACATCATGGCCAGACAATCTCGGTGAATGGCGCAGCACCATGGCATGCTCTCGCGGCGGTCAGGAAGGAAGAATTTTCCAGGAAGCCTCGCAACTAGCCGGTGCGTGGTGGTGGAGGATGGATCATCCATTCAATGGTTCGAGAAGGCAGGCTTATAGCGGTGAAATAGGGACTGGAGCTTCGGAAAAGTCAACGTCATGGACAAGTATGATATACGAGATGTATTAGGATTGGCAATACCAGGACCTCTCCTAGTCCAACGCCCGTCGCTTCCTAAATTCATCCGTTCCGTTCTTCAGTGAGCCTGCTCGCCATGTGCAAGGTGACACACAGACCGGGAATGGTCACTTGCTGCTTTACATCTCCAAAGCGGCTTACCAAGGCTTTACTTTGGTCGGAGTGCTTCTCGTGCATGGAGTCAACTAGTCCAGAACTTTCGTCATACTCACTCCACAACACCGCTTATGTGATGTCCCCAGACCACGCCCTCGCTCCAGCAGGCTTTCTCATTGTCAAATATTACTACTAATCTGCGGGGTGTACATTCAAACCGCTTGTCAGAGTACGTACCATGATGATCCGTGCGACAGATTCCCCATATGGGGCCTGGGCTTGAGTGACGAGAATGTATGGGACTAGCGTGAGCTGGCAGGCCGAGTCGGCCAGAGCAGCCCAAGGTGTGGAGGCAGTACCACGTGGAGAGAGTTGATCAGTACCACCAGTACTTGAACCTGTTTATCGCCGGTGAGTCAAGCGGCGCGAACGCACTAAATCAATCATTTCCGTTCACTACCAGCATACCCGAGAATCAAGGGGGTCGTGGACGAGGAGTGCGAGGGGAGGCGGAGATGTCGGGAGGGGATCAGGGGGCCTTGACCTCTGGCAAAAAGACAGAGCACCTCGCCAAAACCGGTGGATCGCTCGTCACCATAGTCGAGGAGCATGGCCCGACCAAGCGGGGAGGCTTCTGACAGAAAGGTAGCAGATCTGCTCTTCTGACTCGACGGAGGGTATATCGTGTATTATCATTCGATATTTGTTGTCTCTAGAGTGTCAAAAGTTGAGTGGAAAGATGCATAAAGACGTCTCTCAGACCCGCTCAGCTTACTGCCGAACAGTCTGCACATGGCTCTTGGAAGACTCCCATTCAACCGGCGGATTGGCAACTGTAACGCTCTGAAGCAGTCTGTCAAAACCTCCGATACCGACCCCTACATGCACCCATATCGACATTAAATACACCCCTGCCTTACTGGGTGCAACCTCTCGGCACCCACTCGGGATTCAATGGACAGATAGATCCAAGGCAGCCTGGCACCAAACCATCCCCGTCTTCTTCGCCAAAAAGCCTCTGGCTTTTCTGAACCGAACCACTCGGACTCGGCTTCAAACAGGACCGGCCGTCTCTTCGGAATGAGCCTGAGAGTCGTACAGCTTTTCTCCGCCGACGAAGCGGGCGACAGTACGAAGTTGCCTCTCGAACGTCCTTTTCGAGATCGACCAATGGGAGCGCATGAGACAATGGAGACGTCTTCATGCAGGACAGGGGTCTCTTCATTCCATTTCTGGTCTAGCCTGGTCCGCCTGGATCTCTAGTCCCCACAACGGCATTGTCTGCCAATAGGAAGCGGACAACAGGACGCCCTACCTCACTGATGGTAGACTTCATCCTTGGTTGAACAGGACATGGAGTCGAGACATGGTCCGCTGGCTTCGGTCGAAGTAAGGGGCTTCGGTGAAACACAGCGAGCCGAGTCAGGGAGACGTGCTCTATAAAATGGGCTGTGGCCTGCACTCGGTACCACGTTCTTCAAAGCGATTCTCTCTGAATTTCCCTCCTGCCCAAGAACGAAGGAATATTTGCTCTTCCCTCCTCGAAATCATCACTCCCTTTCTCGCCATGGCGCCAGACACACTCTCTTTAAGTGGCAAGGTCGCCATCATCACTGGATCCGCCAAGCAGAACGGCATTGGTGCGGGCATTGCCTCTGCCCTGGCGCGTAATGGTGCCTCGGTGGTCATTAACCACGTCTCCGAATCGTCTGCGCCCCGTGCGGCAGAGGTCGTGAAGAAGATTCAGGATGCTGGAGGCAAGGCCACGGTTGTGCGAGCCGATGTATCGACCCCCGAGGGTGCCAAGACACTGGTTGAGACAGCGCTCAAGGATTTGAAGGTCGACAAAATCGATATCCTAGGTATGTGGAATCTCGACTCGGATCCCATTCTCAACCTTTTCGGCACGCATCGCCGAGGACTAACATGGGAGCCATGATGGGTTGTAGTGAACAACGCCGGTGGAGGTGCCCTCGTCCCTGTGTTGCAGGCGACAAAAGAGGATGTGGAAAGCATCTTTGCAATCAACGTCTTCGCCTCGCTGTATATGACGCAAGCGGTGGTTCCCGTCATGCCTCGTGGCGGACGCATTGTCAACATCGGCTCCATTGCGTCGAAGATGGGCATGGCGCCCATTCCGCTGTACGCTGCGTCCAAAGCCGCCATGGACACACTTACTTATGCCCTGGCCAAGGAGGTATGTAAAGATCATTGTCAGCTAGTGATCGATGGATTTTCTCCCACCTTATCGCAAGTATCTGAGACGAGTACTGACGCTTTTCTTGCAGCTCGGGCAGGGACATGGAATCACGATCAACACAATAGCGCCAGGACCCGTTCCAACAGGTGAGCAGCTTCCAGCAATAGATCCTTCAGTATTTTGGATCTTGTTCGATCAATAGTACTCAAACTGAATTTTCCGTATGTGACACTAACTTTCGGCGGCACCACAGATGGTATCCCCAAAGGCCCGGTGGCTGACGCAGTGCACAACTTTCTCATACCCATGACGAGAGCTGAAGAGAGAATGGGGACGGTTGATGACATCGCCGATGCGGTGCTGCTTCTAACCTCGGAAAAGAGTCGATGGATTACCGGCCAGTTCATCTCGGCAAGTGGCGGAATTACTGGAGGATGAGGCTTGACATGTTTGCAAGGCTGTAGGAGTTCCAGAGTTGAGCGGGTCACTTCAAGTCCGCCAGGAAGCGTGCTGAAATTCTAGTCCCCTGATCTGTCTCAGAGGAGCACAAGGCGTGGTCAATTTCGAGGATGATTTCTGGGACTTTCATTTCCATCAATTCGTCGATCCAGATCAGATCCTTCGCGACGTTAATGGCAGACTTGCCACTGCTAATCCCCATGGCTCTCATCAAGTCGACAGTAGCTCTCGCGTCCAGTTTGTGGGATTGGTTCGATGGCATTGAATGGACCATAATAATAGCCCAAAGGCTGAGTTCCGGAAAGGACGTGTCGATACAAGGCGCCATTGGGACGAGAGCCGAAAATCGCTGCTGCAGTATGGCGAGCTCGTCTGCTATGAGCGAAAAAGCTTGCTTTACGCTGGCCACCAAGATGAGTAAGGCGAGTCTGACTACTTCGCGGAGTATCACTTCCGAGAAGGGATAGCTATACGAATCTTCGTCGGTCGGCCGTCGTAATGAAAGCAGAAAATGGAGCACAGGTGTAATTCGGTTCGCTGCGGTGGCGCCAGCTTTCCAAAACAGAGGATTACCCCTATCAACATTCACAAACGCTGCCAGCTGTGCAGCTTTTTCAAGGGCGAATGCCGTATCCGCAAGTCCCTCAGAGGCGTTACGAATACGTGCGAGGAGTTTCTGCATAGACGGGGACAATGAGTCATGATGGACGCTCGGAGCGGAGAAGTAAGTGGAAGCGGAAAGCGAGGCTTGCAATCGAAAAAGGAGGCGCCGAGGATATCAAACCTGCAAACAGTCAAAATAATGTCCATCCAAGTCATCTCCCCACGTTCACGGGTTGCCCGTACCAGGAGGCGAACATGACGGTGTTGCTGTTCAGAGCCTGGAGGCCCCCTCGAAGGCGGATGATGTTGTCCAGACCCTTCATATGGACAGCGTAGCGATCCCATCTGCCGACGGTAGACTACCACAACAGTTATTACCAGGAACTGATTCAAAGGTAAGGTAACCAACATCATGGCAGAGAAACCCCAAAACCGTCGTGATGACGCCCTGACTGATATTATGGGACTCCCTCCCAAGCCTCTGGGCGACTTGGTTGAGACACAGGCTCAGGTACCTTGAGGACTCCTCAAAATCGCCGTACTCACAACCTCTGCGTTCAGTCATCTGATGGAAGAATAACGCTGCATTTGCCAGTGAGAGGTAGAACGCGGTGCAATCAATGACGGCCATCGTAAACCACTCATTTCGGAAAGGTCGATAGAGGTACTCTCCCTCAATTTGCACTGGGGCCAATCAGCTAGAGGGCGGTACCAGATGCCTGTGGAAAGGAGCTTACTGAACTGGATCAATTGGCGGGCTCTACCATTTGTTTCCACAGGAAACAACGCATACGGATGAAGCGAACGAGGAACCTCTTCATAACAATGCAGGTCTTGACCTGCCCTATGAGCAGATGCTTCCTCGTTGTCTTCAATGACAACGCTATCGACTTCCGCCGAAGGTAGCCTCACCGCCAGAGTAACGAATCTTGGAGGCTTCTTCCGTGACTCGGCAACACGAGCCATGACATGGTGCCGAACAATTCTTTGGGTGCTTCTTTGTCTCGAGTCATCGGGCCGGGATATGTTGACAAAAGTGAAGTCTGCATATCTGTCGCTGTTCTTCTTCTTCTTCTTCTTCAACGCCATTGGGCTGAGACCGGTCGGTAGGAATGGCTTGAACGTGAGGCTAGTGAGGCTTGTGTGTGAGGAGTTCAGGCACCGGCAAAAACCACATGTTATGGAAAGCTCCGCCTGACGAAAAGTGCTAAGTGCAGATTGCAGCATTGGCACGTGATAGGGCGTCGTAATTAGCCACGTCAGACAGAGTCATTTCTCACCCCTGTCGGCCGCCAATGGGCGTGAACATATTGAAAGTTAATGTGGCAAGTCTCTCGCGCGACCTGAAAAAAGTGTCGGCATCATTGAATATTCTGTGTACAAGCATAAGTTCAAGCCTCTTTGGCTCTCTTCTTACTCGGCTCACACATATATGGCTCCTTTCAACTATAGCCTGTCATACTCTTACTGTTCCCAGCGATAGGGTCTTGTCACATGTCTTCCCCATCGCTGCGTTCTTCGGGTCATGCGCAGATGCTCTGAGCTGCTTCCATCCAGAAGTCAGTTGTGCAGCCATCCACTTGGTCCGCGTCTGTCGTTCTTTAGGGCTGGATCGACTCGGAAACTCTTCATCTCAAACCTTCCATCCTATGTCTCGCCTCTCCATGCCACTCAGAAACCACTATCGTACTCCTACCCCCGAAACCGATCTCACAATGCCCCAAGTCCTCTCTCTCGGGACGTCTCCGCTCACACCCAGGCTAGAAATACAAGGAAGAGCAAGAATGCACAGAGGAAGCACGTCGATACAGCGGAGTCGTCGCAAAGAAACCCCTCGGACTGGGTCGCCGAGATAGAGAGATTCCTTCCGAGACACTTGAGTCGGCCAGATGAACTTGAGTCGCGGACCATCATCCCACCAGAGGTAGATGTTGAGGATGTGCTTCGAATTCTCACGAGCGCTCGCGATGAGGGCGATGTGGATATTCTGCGCTTCATGGTGCTCACTCAACACCGATACAAAGCTGTCGTTCACCTCGTTGAAATCTTACTGAAGGCTGTTGCGCTAGCAGCCAATGAGCCTTTCAAAGATGAACTGCCCTCCAACATTATCTGGCCAGACGGGTCATTTGCGAAGCGAAGGGGTGCTCCTATTGAACTTGAACGCGCCTTGCACGTCAGTCGACGACCTCTTGCTAGTTCTCGGCAGTCCTCTGAATCCGCTTTGTCCGAGAGAAGTCAAGAGATCACGATGGAGCTCATTTGGTCTGTTCTCGCCGATCTTGTTCTGGCTTCAACTAGTCGTCCTGCGGAGGAAGCGAAGCAAATCATGAACACCGTGCATCAGATCCTGGCGCTCATTCACAATTTGGGACTCGTCCCAGCGAATATCTACACTTACTGCCTCCCACAAGGTACGACAACCGTTCAACAGTCGCCGATCGTTCATCTCCTGAATTCGAGAATCCTGTCGACGCTTTCAGACGCTGTTTGGCATGCCCATCAGGATGAGGTCACTGCGCGGTCCGGCAAAATAGAGAGCAGTCCGTGGAATATCTTTCGAGAGCCACCCCCAAGTCGCCTGCGACCTAGGAGGCGCGAGCTTGGACCAGAAGTGTGGCTGGAGTTCATCCTCTGGTGCTGCGTTGAAGCTGGATTCGCCTCGACCGGAGCTCGCATCGTCCGGTCATTACAGACAGACGCAGGTGGCTCCTGGCACGCTATTCACTGGCCCGACAATCGAGTGCCTTCAGTCGACTGGGATCAACAGACTCGCAGAGGACCTCTACAGGACGAAGAGGAAGTATTCAACAGGGAACAGCTCCCGAGCGACTCTCCTGGGAAATTTATCAGCGCTGAAGTTGTTTTGGCTATCGCTGACTGCCTGATAAACAACGTTGGAGTGCCTGCTATGCGCGGCCAAGTGCCTATCAAAATCCAAAACGAGATCAAAGAGTTGATATCGTTTGCTGGACCGCACAGTCTTACGCCGGCATATTTTGACTATCTGGCTGTTCGTCTTCTCCAGACTGAAAGCATGTATAATGCGGACAAAGCTGATTCTCTACGAAAATTGGCATCTACTATTGCCCAGCTTCGGGGCCTACACCAAGTGGAGCAAAACCATCGGCAGCGTTCAGGGCTTGACTTCGATTCCATCCTAGACCACTCTGAAGTTCATGCTGGGATTCTTCACCAGGCTCTGCAGGCCTGCATCGAAGCGAATCTTGTCAGAAAGGCGGTCGACACATTCACAGAAATCCAGAAGATGGTTGACGGGAACAAACTCGAGGCCATTGGAGAGTTCTTGTCTCTGTCCCTCAATCCAGAAGATGGATTCTTTACTTCCAGGCATGCCAAAGGTCAGGGCGAATTCCTCAACACCTATGGACAGCTTCCTACCTATAAATTGCCTCCGTTCCTCGATCTGGTGAGCAATGCGAAGTTGTTTGGCTTGGGAGATTGGCTTCTATTCTCCGAGGATATCGACGGACCGATCTTGCCTTCTTCCACCTGGGGCATGCCGTCTGTCGCCGCTGCGGTGACGCGCTATGCGTCCGCCAAGAATGACCCACTTCTGGTCAAACATGTCTACAATATGAGCAGACGATCGGGCCGAAAATTGACTGTCAACGCCCTGAGGGCTTTAGTGGTGTATCACATCAATGCGTGCGACTGGACCAATGCTGTGCTCAATCTCCGGGAACTACGTCGCGCTGAAGGAGGCGGCTATAGTCCTAAGATCGTCGCGAGTCTCGCAGCCAAGATATTAAGCCTGGAAGTCGACCCGGCGGTCATGCTACAAGAAGATGCTGAGTCTGATCTCTCACAAGCTATGCTACTGCTCAGTAATATTCTCGACGGTATTTATGACTCTTTGCCTGGTGCTTTCAGGATCGACCAAAAGAAGACCTTCAGACAACAAGTGGGATACCTCTTGCGACTCTTGGAAAACGTGCCGAACAGCGAAGTTTCGGACACTGTCACTCGATTCAAGTCGAGATACCCAGTCAGCAACGAGCCAAACCTCGCGGCGGACACTTTCAACGTGGTATTTGCTGCAATCGTCGAAGCCAAGGGTGTACTGGAAGGGTGCAATATCTGGCACTTATTCTGCAAAGATCCGAGGGACTACGCTACCTTGTCAGCTGGTGTGGTCGATAGCCACGGCTTTGCATTCGTGGACTACGCCACAGACGAGGATGAATATGAATTCTTCGACGGGGCCGCAAATGAGGTAGCCAACGATCCGGGCGGTGTCGGCGAACATGATGACGGCGAATCGCCTCGATTCTCCGACGTCATCCGTCATGCAGAACCTCATATTCCTGCTGCAATCCCCGCTTCACTCAACATCGATGCCACGATACTGAGCGATGAGTTGGAGTTTGCCAACAACAGAAATTGGATCGAAGACGCCGACATTCCTATCGAGGCCCCGGATGTGAATGGGAATTCGACACAGCTAGATCTGAATCCGATCGTCATTCCCAATATGCGCACCTTACAAATCCTTGTCCGAGGAGCGCTGGCTGAAACACAAGCCAGAAAAGAGCGCAAAATAGGCCATCGTGACCTGGATACAGTCCTCAAATGGGCGGAACCATTCTATGGCGCGTTCAACCTGGCGCGTGAAGACATCGAAACAGAATTTCGGGTTTCCGAATCCTTGCCGAAGAAAATGAAAATTGCCACAAAGCATCGTCGAGCAGCATACAGATCATCACGCGAGAAGTCCAAACTCGGCGTCGGCAAGCACTTTACGAAGGCAGTCTTCGTTCCTAGACGTCCTGGTTCTCAACAAGCAGTTCAGGAGACAAAGCCGGATATTCAGGCGAACGACACGGCTGAAGTCGCGGTAAATAAAGCAGATGAGGGAGTGGTTGGAGATGAAAGCACGCCGGTTGAGCTGGAGTTACCGTCGCGTTTCAAGGTCCGGAAGTTTGCAACCTCTGTCCAGCACGCGTAGGGTTGTATGTACGAGGCCGGTACTGTTGTGTGGGATGTGACCGCTTGCCAGACACGGTCGCGGTGTAATTTTAGCGAAATGTGCACGTTCCCATTGTACAATATCACCCATATATTCCAGCCGTGTAATACACGCAGATCATGATCAACCTCGTCAATGTACCGAGTACAGTATTTCAACTAAGAGACTTGGACTTGAACCCGCTGATCTTGGCAGCCACAAGGCTGGAAGGATAGGGGCGACAAGGGCACCTCGGAACTCCTCACGGGCGGGACGCTGTCTAGCTAGCTAGACCTGGTGAGCCTTACGTCTCCCCCTCGAGAACTAAGTAGAGCCAGATGGATGGCATGCACCTGAAACGCAGACAGACAGACAGACAGACAGACATTCACCAATCTCAAGGGGCCTGCCTGCCTGGGCGAAGTCCCCTCCTCACTCAGTCACTCACTGTGTCACTTCCCGCATCATCTCATGCACATGAGCCGGGGGTGTTTACATATGTATGTATGTAGTTAGATAGGTGGTGGTACATATCTCCATCTCCAAGAGAATCATATGTATAATGATAAGAATGGAAGAAGAGGGGGAAAGGGAGGAGGGGCATTTTCATCGACTCTCTCGGGCTTCCCCAGCCCGAGATGCGTTCGGATCTGCAACTCACCCCCCCCCGCAGGATGTTCAAGGTCAAGGTTATGGTTATGATGAAGGTCCCTCCTCCTCCTCCTCCTCGTTCGTAACGGTGGGAAGACTTTATCACATGTACAAGCCCCGGGAGTTCGGTCAGTTCTGCCTTTTTGGGCTTGGTTGGTTGGTTGGTTGTCCGTGCGTCCGCCCGTTGCTCGCTCGCACGGTTCAGTTCAGCAATGAGTGATGAAAACCTTGATGGGAAGTGATGATGTATTTCTTATATATGTATGTATGTATATGTCTATGTACAGCAATATTATGTGCCCCGTGCGCAGTTGGCTGGGCCAGAGCAAGAACTCCGGCGCCTTTCTGGGAGGAGCGGGGGATCTATATATGTATAGTTATATATACCTATACATATTCAAGCACATAAGTTCGAGGTATAGGCAACCAAGTATCTATCTATCCATCCACCTAACCATCTAGGGCGAGAAAGGACAAACTACGAGGAACGAGCCTTTGTGTTCCTCTTCCTCTTCTTCTTATTCTTCTTCTCTCCTTCTCTCACCCAACTCGTACATCAGTACGTCAATCAGCAATTATCTCCCGGACTTGTGTCGCCCCCGCAACATCCCCGGTCAGCATTTTACCATCTCTCGCTCACACACCCCTGTCGTGGCCCAATCGGCGGTCCAGTATTTCGGCAGAACAGCACCGAGTAATCATTACTCCAGCGACCGTCTCCTTACGTTTGCGGGACTGAACGCGGGGGAGGGGAAAAGAGACAGAAGGTGGAAGAGAAGAGACGAACAAACAAAAGGGCCGGCCGGTCATGAAGGTCGTCTTCTCCTCGTCGATCCTCACTCCCTTTCTCACCACCATCATCATCACATTAATCCCAGCCGCAGCCATGGCCCAGCAAGTCGATCGCACCGCCACCAATGGCTGGGGCTCGACGCCTTCGCAGCGCCACTATATTAACCATGCCCAAGCCTTGCAGGTCCTTAATGCCGGCATCAAGCGTGCGGAGGCCATAGGGTGAGTTTGTTCTCCGGCCGCCCCCTTTCGACCATCCGAAGACAGAGTGAGATGACAGGATCTCTTGTTTCTGGTTTTTGGTTGACGCAGACGGTGGTATAAACAGTGTACCGCAAAACATCGCCGTGCTCGATCCGTCGTCGTGGCTGGTGGCGTTTGTCCACATGGATAATTCTTTCCTTGGAAGTATTGTAAGTGGTGCACCTAATTACACATTACCTGCCTCCCGACATTGTTGGGGCAGTGGCACAGCCCTATCATGATACAGCCAGTGCCCCAAGTACGGTGCCTCTCCATGGTCTGGGGAAAAGGGAAACCATTTCTGACAGACCAAAAACCCCAAACCAGGACATCTCCCAGAAAAAGGCCAAAACCGTGGTGCTCTACAACGGCATCCCCAACAACGCGTTGCAGAACCGCAGCGAGCCGGGCGGTGATCTCTGGGGTATCCAGGAAACCAATGGCGGGACGGTGGTCTTTGGCGGGGGTCAGCCGATCTTCGACCCGGACGGGTACTTCATTGGTGCCGTGGGCGTGAGCGGAGGCACCGTGGACCAGGACATTGATGTGGCGGTGCACGCGGCGGAGAGTATTGGCACGACTGCCACCTTGCCGTCGTCGTGATCGGGCACGACAGGGAGAGAAGGAGAGAGACCGAAGAAGAGTTGTGTGGCTCACCCCCGGATGGTCATGGAAGTGACGCGCATTTTCATGAAGTCAGCGCCTGGATTGGAAAGCCCCCAAGCTCGACGGCAGCCGGACCCGTGCAATGTAAGCATAAGCATAAGTCCTCCAGCGTCCAAGTATACAGGGTGACTTTACGATTCAAGGTATTTGGGCCCAGATTTCGCCGTCGTTATGCATGTAATACGTGTCCTTGTTAGTCGATCTGACCTGCTCCTCAGGCGGTCAGGCAATGATCATGTGGATTATGCTCGCACACAGTGGTGCCGTGGTGCCGGAGCTGAGCTTGCGTGGACAGGGCAATTATATAGGTAGAGAGACATGACGGATGGTGCTTGAGGGAAGGGTTTTTTCGACTGCTGCTGCTAAGAACACCCATGGGTTGTTGTACTTGTTGATTTTAGACCTCACCTAAATAAGATAAATGAACACCAGTATTTTACCACTGTCATCACCATGACTTGGCCTTCCGCATTCGCCCAGAACAAGACGACACCGAGCAATGCGTCGATGAGGCCCGGCAACGAGTCCCGGCCACGACGAGCCGGATACAACGTCTTGAGGAAGAAACGAGACAAGCGACAGAAGGAGCTGCACCGGTCGAGTAGAGACGCTTTGGTGAACCACGACGACGGTGACGACGAGTCTTTAAGGTCCTGGAAGGAGAAGGCCCAGAAGCAGACGGTGTCGAGATGGAGGCGGATGTTCCGACGTCGCCGTGCGAGTTAACCAGGCTTTATCGCTGCTCTTGGATTCGGCGTGGGCCACTGGTATGGTGATGGACGGCGGTGGATGAGGCCACAGCGTGGCTCAGCTCAGACATGTTTCGTATGCATGTATCCGATTCCACCCGGGCTGAGGCTCACCAGGCTGGTGAATAGCTACATAGCTCTCGCCTGACAATGATGGCGCTGCGTCAACTTAATGCCGGCCTACAGAGCAAGCAGTCTATCCCATTGGCTTCTTCGGGGGGGGATTTGCTGGTTGGCAATAAGAGTAACATTCTCACGACCCCTTTCATTCTTCCGTAAGAGCTTCACGTCGAGACGAATCTCCTGGTAATACCGCGTACACAGGTACAGTAAGTTGAGATTGCTATCATGCCACCATCTTTTTTTCCTTCACTTTCATTCGTCATGCCATCACGCGTTTTGCATCACAGCCCAACGATGCCACGATGCCAGGGTTGCCACGTTCCCGAGAAATCTTAGCTCAACACGTCGATGATATGATAGCGAAGCTATTCATTCACGTGCATTCCCATCAACAGTGTTGTCGAACCCCATCACTTCTGTTGTTCGGAGCGATTCACGTTCAAGCTGAAACATCTTGCGACCCGAGTCATTTTGCAGGTTCCTTTTCTCTTCGCACATGAGACCTTGACATGTTGGGCACACTCTGCTGTTACTTATTAATGTGATGGACGTGTGCACGACCTCGTCGACGACGGTGCCCTCCCTCCTCCCACAATTGTCGTCGACATTATGATGGGTTCATTCAAACAACAACCACCACCTGATAAGATGGAGGAGCCGACCTTTGTCGAGAACGGTCTCCAGCGACTGAGGCATCTGACATGGGTAGGATTGGGTCACCCAACAGCTCAGCATATACTGACTGACGAAACTGCGTCTCCCAGGCATGGTTTACCTTTCCAATGGCGACCGGCGGCCTCGCCCTGCTGCTGTCTCCCAAGAACCAGCCACACACCTTCTCCGGCCTCGAGACCCTCGGTGAAATCGTCTACATCGCCGACCTGGTCATCTTCACCTCCATCGTCTCGGCGATCACATACCGGTTCATCCGGTGGCCGGGCACCCTCAAAGCGAGTCTGGTGCACCCGACCGAGTCCCTCTTCTTCGGCACGTCCTTCCTCTCGCTCGCCAGCATCATCGCCGGCATGGCCCTGTACGGCATCGAGCACACGGGCCCGTGGCTGGTGGTGACCTACCGCGTGCTGTTCTGGCTGTATTTCGCCTGCACGTTCATCGCCGCCGTCGGCCTGTACTGCATGCTCTTCACCAACCCCCGCCTCAAGATCCAAGACATGACTCCGGCGTGGGATCTGCCCATGTTTCCCTTCATGCTGACCGGCACCATCGCCGCCTCGGGCATCGAGTACCAGCCCCGCGACGCCGCCATGCCAATGCTCATCGCGGGACTCACGGCCCAGGGACTCGGCATGCTCATATCGATGGGCATGTACGCCAGCTACGTGCGGCGCATGATCAACTACGGGTTCCCCTCGCCGGAGTCGCGGCCGGGCATGTTCATCGCGGTCGGCCCGCCGAGCTTCACGGCGCTGGCCGTCATCGGGCTCGCCGACCACTGGCCGCGCGGCTACGACTACTTCGGCGGGCCCGACGACATCACGGCGCAGGTGGTGCGCATCCTGGCGCTCCTGACCGCCGTTTTCATCTGGAGCCTGTCGCTGTGGTTCTGGGCCATCGCCGTGGTGAGCTGCCTGGCGGTGCGCCGTACGTTCCGCTTCCACCTGAACTGGTGGGCCTTTGTGTTCCCCAACGTCGGCTTCACCCTGGCCACCATCAACATCGGCAAGGCCCTGCGCAGCGACGCCGTGTTGTGGGTCGGCTCCGTCATGACCGTCCTGATGATCCTGCTGTACGGGTACGTGCTGGCCAACCACGCCCGCGCCGTGTGGCGCCGCGACGTCCTCTCCGCCGGCAAGGACGAGGATCACTACCACAAGGAGCGCATGGAGAAGATCGAGCGCCTCGGCGGCGACCCGGAGAAATGTAACTGTGTCACCACGGGTGGTCGATGAGATACAATGAAATGTTTTTCTTGGTGACAAAACAAACTAAATCCATAGAGTTATGTATAGTTATATACCTTCAGGTAATTAGATAGATAGATCCATACACTATAGAGAACAGAGAGGACTCTTTTTCCACATTCCCAGGTGGTGTTCTTGCTTTCGCCGTCGCACGATATACTCTCTACGCAAGAGAGGATCGAGGGGGAGGTGGGTGTGTCTGTGTCTGTGTCTGTGCTTCAGTTAAGTCAATAATCAACAAAAAGAACAACGACAAAGGACGACTTGACAGAGGGAAAAGCCATTGTGAGAAGCGGTAGACAATGTAGCCAGAAACACGGTTCTTCCTCCCATTCCTTGTCCAAGCTAAAGGAGGGACAGAGATAGATGATAATATACAATCAACAACCTGCCTGCCTGCCTGCCTGTATGGCCCCCGGCTCATCGCCATGCCCCCCTTTCCCCTTCCCATCCATTCATCCATACATCCCCCACGCAGAAAAGGCATCTCTCATTAATCCTCACAGTCAGGGCCCGGCCATCCCCAGCACCGTTGACCATCCCTCCCGGCTTTCCCAATGCCACGAATGAGCCTAAGTCGTCTTCTGCTGGCTCCTGGTGCGAGACCCGATGCCGTCCGTCGCGCGAGGAGTCGCCTGTTTCTTCTGCTTGGCCAGCGCACCCTCAGCTTTCTTGGGCCGGCCGGCCGTCTTCTTGGGCTCCTCCTTCTTTTCTTCCTTCTTCTCCTCGGCCTTCTTCGGGGCACCACCGCTCTTCTTCGTGGGCTCCTTCTTCTGCTTCTTCACGGTCTTGCCCTCGGCATTCTCCTCGAGGGGGCTCGCCTTGTCTGGCTTGTCGTCTTCCTCCTTCTCCGCGTCGTCGTGCTTTCTCTTTTCGCCATTCTTGGTCTCGGCCTCCGTAGACCCCTCCTTCTTGCCATCGGCTTTCGCGGCGCCGGTGTCGCCATTGGCCTTCTCCTCGACCTGGAGCTCGGAGGCTTTCTTGACCACGTCTTGGCCGGACCGCTCGATGTGGACGGCAGGATTGTTGGGCTCCGCGTTCTTCTTGACCTTGTTGCCGCGCTTGGAGGTGATGGCGACTTCGCCTTCGGTCTTCTTCTCAGCCACGGTGCCTCCAGGCTTGCCTCCGCCCCAGTTCCATGTGACTGCGACGAGATTGGTCAGTTCCTTGTCCGGTCGTCAAAGCATGAAGTGCACGTAGGACATAGGTTCGCATAGTGCAGATTGCAAGTCAGTCGCATGTTGTCAGCGACTAGTGCACTATCTGTGCGCAGCTGCTCGAGCTGATGGCTGATGTGCAGTGCTGTGGTTTGTGCGTACCTTTGTCTCCTTTCTCAGGCTCTTCGCTGGTGGACATGGTGACGTCAGCGATAATTGCCGTTCGAATAGCTCAGTGGGAGCGTGTTGGAATCCAAAGAAAACGAGGGAAAACTGAGCGCCAAAGCTTCGCGACCTGAATGCAAGGTGTTTCGAGATGAAGATGGGGGAGAGAGGAAGTGAGAGGAGGACAAAGAAGTGGAAAGAGGAGGTGTTCAGGGTCAGCTCGAGAGGGAGTGCGCAGAGGCCAGAGACGCATCAGCGCCCAGGGCAGAGCCAGTGGTAGCTGTGGGCGCGCTTTGGTTCGACTGTTCAACTTGTTGCGGGCGTCTGGGCTCGTAAGCGAAAGCCTAGTGAGCCCCGGTGAGCCTGGTGAGCCCATTAGGGGAGCAGCCCCAGCCCACGCTGGCGCAGGCGGGAGGGAGGGGGGAAGCTTAGAGAGCTGGCTGCGTCTTGTTTCAAGGAGGCTTGTTCCCAGTCAACACCACAGGTGCCAAATTAGACGCCCCTTCGTTGCAAACCACTGCAGCAGGCTTCCATTTCGGTTCGCAGGCAGCCAGCATCCGTTGGATGGCAATCAGTGGCTTGCTTTAGCTTGTGGGAAAATCAAGATGTGCATCTGAGATTTCCCCCAAGCCACGCCCTTCATCCAGGTCCTGCTTGAACTTTGCACTGTCGGATCCCCTGGGAGGATTGTGACTAGCTAGGATTGCAGCCAGTCACACAGACCTGGTTTGAAGGGCAATGGCCCGCTTGCCTATTGGTACGCATGCTATGACATCGTAACATTGCACCAGAGGATCATGGTTCCTTCGACTGCTCAATTCTGGAATGTAAAACATGAAGATTAGTGTCTTTGAAACATCGTGCTAATGAGGACAGACAAAAAAATTAAATGCAAAAAGGGGCATAAATGACCCGGAAGCCGATCTACATACCGAGTCAACTTGTGTTAGCTAGTACCGAGTACAGGTCGTAGCAAATGCGATCATGGAAATTAACCACGAACAGCCTAGTCACCTCTAATCATAATCTCCCATAAAGACGCAGAACACTCTGGACTAGGAACCATCCGAAATCAAGCAATACTTGTCAAGAAACTACCTGGATATCAAATCCTCTTGCTCATACATTGTTGTTATTACCCATCCACCGATTCCCTGCCACCCATGCTTGGAAAACCCATCTATGGATTTGGCCCGCCACGCACTCGGGAGGTGCCATCCTCCGGACCTGGAAGACCTTCCTCGTCACCCGGCTCACGGTACTGCCCAGGTTTAGCTGCCCCACGTGTACGCTCGTCGATGATATTGCTTTCATCAATGGCGTCGGCATCGTCGCGAGCTGAACTCTCAAGGGTCAGCTTGATACACACCGAACAGGAAAAGCACTTGAAAACGGAGTTGACGTTTTTGGGCTTGAGACACTTACCCAGTTGCTCATCTGAATCGGCCTTGTTGGCGTCAATGGGATCCTCAACTGGAGCGTCGTCGCCTTGGACAGGGATGTGACTCTGGCCAGTGCGAGACTTGTAGTCGTTCTGCACCGTATCGGCAGTGGTGCTGCCTTCAAGACCCTCACCGGTGGGTTGGTATTCGTCTCCCGGAGCTGCCGACATGCTGAGATGGTTTGAGACGGTTCGTTGCTAATGGTTTTGGTAAACGAAAAGATATGTTTCAGAGGTGGGTTTACTTGACACAAAATACTGAGCAGCCGGGAATGTTCGCGCCAGGTTTATATGCTTGTCAGAGTGCCATTGAAAGGGCTTCCTCACAACACCGATCTCACGGCACCATTACTATATTCTGTCGTCATGAAAGCGGGACTCATCGCACCCCCATGCTTAGATCCGGTAGGCCCTCGATGAAGTCGTGAGGTCATGGAGCCAGATTGCTCCCAGTTGCCATCAGGATGGTGACGAAGGTTGAGCTGAAGCAGGGGGAGGGTCGATGAGACCAATCGTTATGATCCCACAAGGGTCTGGAGTAGTCATGGAGAAGTAGTCCAGTTCAGGTACGATCTCACTAGAATTGTGCTCCTTGCAGGAACAAAGGGGAGGCAAGGCGCAAGGCTGCGGATCGGTAGCCAATCGTCATGCAGAAGTTGGCATCAAGCAAAGTCGTCGACGTCAACACTTCGGAAGCTCCATGCTTGGGGAGGGTGTCCACATCACTTTAGGAAATGGAACTTCGAGATCTGACATCGCCAGGGGGATCAGCTACGGAGGCGTCTTCCGAACCATTACGTATGTAATGTGGTCGGTTGGGAAATCTTGTCCTAGAGCTCTGCATCAGCTACGAGACAACACACGTCTTTACATGAGACTGTCCGAAGGAGAATGCAAGTCCTGTCCATCAATGGGATGTGAGCATGGTGCTTCTGCAGGCAGAGGCTTGAGAGCTTCGGCATTCTTCTTCGAGGTGGTCACTCAACATGAGATTTGCTCGAGCAACAGGAGAGCTAAAGGGTTACCTAGAACTTTGCAGGCGATTCTGTCACGCGTAAACAGCTTGTTTCTCTTCCGCCTGCTGGCGAAGGAACACCCCGTGCCCTTGATCACGACAAAAATCCAGACGAGAGGCCGTCAGTGCAGTATACTCGACACGACTTTTCCATGGGTCTGCGTGACAGGACGGCGTCCTCAGGTGCGTTCTGTAGGCCTAGACCACAAGAATGAGCCCGACCTTTGCTGGCTGGTACGAGAATGGAGAGGTGCGGTGGTGCGACATACGACTCGAATTAAGATTCATAGTCCTTGAGTACCACGTATTATTCTTGTTGACTAAAGCCTGGGGAACCCATCATCCCCGAACAGCGAATAGGTCTTGTGGAGAGCGTGGCGCGCCGCCGAGTGGCTAGTGGTCCCCGGGCCAAGGGAACGCCAGGGATATTTTTAAATGATCAGTGATCATCGTGTACGAGGTTGTAGTAATATAAGAAATCCCCAAGGACCCAACCCCTCCCAAACAGGCACAGCTAACTCACCTTTTACAGTCTATACACTTGAGGAGAAGACAACCTCGTCGACAATTCCTGGAAGGCCTCAAACCCGCGTGTCGGAAATCGTGCCATGACCGGCTCATCGTTGTGGCTCGTCGCCAAAAGGGACGATGAGCCCTTCAACAAGTCCATGAAGGAACTGATCGGGAGCACGCTGCCATCAGACTTCCCGCACGCGCCCAAGCGCAACTTCATCCCCCACGTGACGATCACGTCGGACATTGAGCCATCCAAGACCTACGGCGCGGCGTCGTCGCCGCAGGAGTGGCTGGACTCGCTCACGCTGCCCGAATTCAAAAAGGAGGCGAATGAGGTCAACATCGAGCTCGAGGAGCTCGAGGCCGGGGACCCCTTCTTCAAGAAGGTGACCCTGCGAGCGGCCAAGGACGCCAACCTGCTCAAACTCGCCGCCGCGTGCCGGCAGCAGGGGCTCCAGCTGTCGGAGGCCGAGGCGAAGAGCTGGGCCGAGAACGAATACCTCCCGCACCTGAGCCTGTTCTACGGCGACATCCCGCGCAGCGACGTGCAGAAGAAGATCAGCCTGATTGAGCTGCAGCTGGGCTTCGAGTTTGGCAGTCTCTTCGATTGCTGTGGCGGCACGTTGTCCATGGGCGCCAAGCTCGTGCTGGTCGACACCAGCAAACCCCTCGAGGAGTGGTCGCCCATTGCGGAGAGGGAGTGCCCCTGGGTAATGTGGAAGATGGCCAAGGGTCTGTTGTGATGAGGCCCGTTCCGTTCGAGTCTGCTGTATGCCAGGCCGTGGACGCAGTACGGACTATTAGTCACGACGTTCCGGGGCGTGGGTTGGTTTCTCGATCTGTGCATGGACCTGCCGAGGCAACCGTGGCGACCTCTGCTCCTCGATTAATATATATATGTCATAATATAGTACGATCTGGCAAATTTCAATGCTTGATTAGTGCACGTGTGGAAGCGGCCAAAGGCGTATTCAAGCCGTTGTCCTCACGGTTGAACCGACCTCGATAGCCAATAGTTGTTCCATTCCAAGTTCTTAGTGGGAGGCGGGCTATGTCCGATTAACTCGATAGCATTATGAGTCCATTTGACAACGAAACAAGGAGAAGAAGACTGATGAAGGCAGATAGATATCTGGACAAAGCAGTCGGTGGACGGTGAATCCGTTTTTCCGCCGCCGGCGCAGTCAAGGATGCACCTCCACTCTAGCCACGAAGCTTGCCAGACTTTCATCACAGCCGTTGTCAACGAGAGGGCGGCTGTATATAAATGGACAGTTCTGCCGAACATATACCTTCGAGAGCCAGGACTCCCAAATGGAACCGTGCACGACAAATAGGGGGATGCCAACGTGCTAGACACTTCACGGCCTCGATGCCGAGGCATGAAATATGTGCACGAATTGTCGCAGCCAAGCAGAGAACGCCTGAACAGCCCAGATCATATCTGGTGCATGAAAGGCAACATCGGCTGTCCAGTGAGGTTTGGGTGATTGACAGGGTAGTCCGTGTGGGGAGACTCTCCGGCCCATTGCAAGGAGCATCGTGCTCTGATGCAGGAGTCTCAAAGCCCTGAGGAATCCCCGTGTTCCCCAGACTTTGTTTGTCAGATATGTCCCCGTCAGCACCAGATCGCACTAAACGCACAGCATCATACTACCTACATTGGCATATCCCCACTAATTATGTTCAACCTGGGGGGTGCTTGTTCGGACAGGCGAGTGCTATGCTCAACCTCGGGCTGTGCCGTCAAGAGGAGCCCGACCACACAGCTCGGTTGCTTTGTTTGATAAGTATCAAGATGCGTCTCGATCTCCGCAATGTTCGTGGTTGCACAGCATCAGCTCGCTTGCTAGCATACATTTCTCAACGTCGACCATGGTATCTTCACAGGTCCATCAGCTGCTCATCAATGTCAAGTCATGCATGCCTGGCACAGGACAGGTCGCCATGGCATTACTTCTGCTGGCATTCCTCAGCATCGTGGCCATATTCATCTATCGACTCTACTTTCACCCGCTGGCACGGTACCCAGGTCCTTGGTACATGAAGGTCAGCCCGTTGTATGACTTCTACATTGGCGTGCGGGAACGTAGACATCTTCATTTCCTTTATCTACATGAAAAATATGGTATGCTTCGCTCCAGTGCAGTGGCTGAGGCTACGAACTTGCTGATCTGTCTGGTCAGGCCCCATGGTTCGTTACAGTCCGAATTCCTTGGCCTTCAACGAGCCTCAGGCTTTTCGAGGTGAGTCCGAAACACAGTGAGTACTACTAGTATCATAGTGGGCTGAGATTGTGTAGATATATATGGCTTCAAGCGCAACTTTCGAAAGGCAGACGCAACAACCGTGGGCGCCTCTAGTGACCCGGACGCGCAGAGCACATTCAGTGAGCCACTGACGGAGAAGGCTATGAAGAAGAGGAGGATCCTTTCGCAAGGGTTCTCGGAGTCGGCATTGCGAGATGCTGAAGGTTGGCATTTCCGTTCGTGATGGAAATTGAGTTGCTCATTTTGGCAGAATTCATGATTGAGAAGATCGACATCCTCTGCAAACAGCTGATCAGCCCCTCGACAGAAAAGGCGAAGGACATGTCGCTGTGGCTGAACTATCTGGCCTACGATATCATGGGAGAGGTTGTCTTTAGCAAGAGCTTTGACATGTTGACCAACCCTTCCTTACGATATGTGCTGGACTTGATCGATTCCATGGTGTTTTCCACATTGCTGGTAAGACATTCATATCTTATCACAAAAGCCCCGTCACTCATCCAGCCAGGGCGGGATCGTACCTTGGATCTACAGGAGTGGCTTGATCAACGTCCTATTTCCCCGACTGCTACGTACACGAACGAAGTTCATAGCCTACGTGGCCGGTGTGGTGCAAAACAGAATTGCTGCGGAAGCCACCCCTGCTGCGGGAAGACGCAGAGACTTTTTCCATCATGTATGTTTTGGATCAACGCCCTCGATTCTGACCGTGTCAATAACTCGTGAAAAAGCTCCTCAATGCCAAAGATGCAGAAACAGGCAAGCCGCTACCGATCGCATCCCTCTTCTCGGAAGGAGTGTTGCTGGTCGTGGGTGGGAGCGACACGAGTTCTACAGGTGAGACTGCCAAAGCTTGATCTCTGCGGATCTGATCTATCTGACTGGAGCCCCTAGGCATGGCCGCCACACTTTTCTACCTGCTCAAATACCCCGAGTGTATGAGCAACCTGCGTCAGGAACTCGACAGCAAATTCAATAGCGTCGACGAGATCAAATCTGGCGTGAAGCTTACCAGTTGTGTCTACCTACGAGCTTGTGTCGACGAGGCGCTACGCATGGCACCCCCAGGGCCTGGTGTTCTCCCGAGGACGGCTTTGAAGGTGAGAGGCTTCCCACGCGAGTCAGACTAGCATCTTTTTTGAGAGCCTACTAAAGTTAATCGACAGGGCGGAGAAACCGTGAATGGCGAGTACATACCAGAAGGCGTAAGCTAAGCAGGAATTCCTCCGTGGCAGCTCTGTCCAATGAAACTGACACAAGGTCTAGATCGACGTTGCAGTCGGCTGGTGGGCGCTGGCGTACAACGAGAAGTACTTTCCGGAGCCAGAGACTTTCCGACCAGAGCGATACCTCACGAACGACGGAAGTACGGACGATAATGACATCACGTCGGCGAAAGGTTGCTACTGGGCGTTCTCGATGGGGCCTCGCAAGTGCCCGGGCATCAAGATGGCGTATCAGGAGATCTACCTCACGATCGCGAGACTGGTCTATCTTTTCGACATGCATCTCGAGCGGCCTGAGGAAATGGAGAAGAACTTCGAGCTGCTGGACCATTTTAGTAAGTGGCAATTGAATTCTGGACTCGTGTAACATCATTGACACGTGCTAGATGTCAAGAAGTCGGGGCCCACGGTGTCGTTCACGCTACGTCCGGGGAGAGAACTCTGAATGATAACGAGTCTGTCAATGTTAAACAGCTCTAATGGAAACTTCGTCGGACTCAGTCAGATTGATCTAGCCAGAACAGCCAATGACGGGGGTCTATTGATGCTCAATCTAGCGTGCTACGCCTGCAGACTAATACCAAAGTCTGAACCACTAGAAAGTCTCTATCCTCAGGTCTTTTCGGAAGTCATCACTCCTCCAGGCTTCGAGGACTCGCAACCAATCCTCGTACCCTTTCGCCCACATGGCTCCCCGTGCTATTTTTGCGAGGGCTTCCGGCCCAGAAGCCGCGAGTCGGTAGAGGTCGCCTTCGCCGTTGAAGTAGCTGGGCGGACAGTTGGACATGGCGATGAATGCCGCGGCGCCGGCAACGATCCGCTGGGTCCAAGCGAACTCTGCCTCGACGGTGGGCTCGATGGTAAAGGCGAACTTGCTCCTGCTGCTGCTGCTACCGGGACTCGGACCGCGGCCATCTTTTTGGACCCCTTTCGCGACCTCGGTGACGATGAAGGCGATATGCTGGGCCAACTCGTCGACCATGGCCGTCTGGTTCGGCGTGGCGCCAGTTTGCGTGAGCCCCAGCCAGAACAGGTTGGGAAAGCCGTTCGACTGAACGCCATGCAGAGTTGCGACTCCTCGGTCCCATTTCTCGTCGAGCGATTGGCCGTTCGGCCCGACCACGCGAAGGTGTAGGCGTGCTCCGGGGCTTGTGCCCAGGGGGAGTTCATAACCCGTGCTAAAGACCAGGGTATCCACAGGATACTCTTTGCCGTCGAACACAATACCGGCTTCCGTGAGGCCGTCCACTCCACGGCCATCGGTGTCGACGAGCGTCACGTTGGGAGCATTGAAACTCTGCAGATACTCGTCGTGGAAACACGGCCGCTTACACCAGCCGGGGTACCAGGCCTTCAATTTTTCAGCCGTCGCCTTGTCCTTGACGATGTCGTCCGCCCGAGCACGGACCTTCTCCTGCCGGACGAGATCGAGCTCATTGAGCGTAGCCAGGTACGAGGGGGCGTCGTCCGCCGAGACAGGCGCATTGGGACCTCCGACGAGTCCACTGTAGGACGGGAACTTGGTCCACTCGTCGTCGACCAGGTCGATCTCTGGCTTGGGAGTCGTGTTCGCCGTGAAGGCGCTGAAGTTCATCCGCCTGCGCTTCTGCCATCCCGGTCTGCCCTGGGTCTCGCGAGCCCACCAGTCGGCATCGGTCTTGCATTGGCCGCGGACGTCCACCGCCGACGGTGTCCGTTGGAACACATACAGATGTTTCGCCCACCTGGCGAGCTCTGGGACCAGCTGAATGGCCGTGGCGCCAGTGCCGATAATACCCACTGCCTTGTCGGCCAGGTTTTTCATCGCCGGCTCCTCTTCGCACCCGCCCGTGTACTCCCAGTCCCAGCGCGACGTGTGAAAGCTGTGTCCGCTGAAACTGTCCAGCCCACTGAGTCTTGGAATCTTCGGCCAATTTATTGTTCCACCGGCAAGAATCACGAACCGAGACGACACCGATATCGTAGTCCCTTCTTGTCCCTTGCGTGTCGATTCTATTCTGGTAGTCCATTCATTCTTCGAGGAGTCCCAGGTTATGTCGGTGCTCCTGGCCTGGAATAGGGTTTTGTCTCTGAGATTGAAATGGTCGGCGATATTGTCTGCATGTTGTCGCAACTCGGGTCCGTAAGAGTACTTGTGTTTCGGCATATACCCCAGTTCTTCCAGGAGGGGGATGTAGATATAACTTTCAACGTCACACATCAGGCCCGGATAGCGGTTATAATACCACGTCCCGCCGTAGCCACCGGCAGCATCGACCAGACGGATATCGTTCACATCCACCCCAGCCTGGATCAGTCTCGCGGCCGCCAGCAGACCACCATAGCCGGCACCCACGATCAGGACCTCACAACGCGATCCATCCGTGAGTGAATTGGCGCCCGGATCCACGGCATTTTCGTCGATCCAGATATCTCTAAAGTAGCTTTGATACTTTGGGGTTGAGTTTGGGATGAATTGATTCAGCCCATCCTTTCTAAACCGTTTAGCACTTTCTTGGTTGTACTTGTCCAAGATCGATGCCGCGGAAGGGATGGTGTGGTTGAGCTCCTTCTTCGTCTTGAGATCGAGTTCTGCCTTGACGTCTGCTGGCACAGCGCCAATCGGCTGGAGCACGTCTGCCATTCTTGTCCGTGGTAAAGAAAGAAGGTAGAATAGAGGGCACTCTTAAATAGGTCGACCAGTGTCCCTCGGCTATCGTTTTTATACGGGCGATAGAGGCAAATGTATATCTAAGGATCAGAACCAATACATGTGTCAGAGGATCGGTAGTCAGCACGCGGAAACCTCACATCGGCTGTAAAGCTCATCAGATGATCTGCATATAATCCTGGTATGATTCGGTTGTCCTTGATAAGAAGACCCGCTTGATTGTGATTGCGGCAGTATTCAACGCAGGAGCAGTTTTGAAGGACATACGAGTGGTTCTGGCCTTGGTGTCGCGACAACTTTGACATGATCGTCCTTGTCCTCGGCCAGTTCCTCGGACGCCTTGTGTTACCACATCATCTAAAGTGAAATCGACCAGTAGAACCGATTCTTTGGTTGATTCAGAGACGATAATATCGCCGATACCTCAAGCCTTGAGGTGGAAATCGACGGCTAACCGAATTGAGTCACTGCCGAGGATCATAACAATAGTTATCCAAAGGGATATGACATCGAGATGGTTTCAGTGCAGCTTGAGCCGTGGCTGAGAGCTTGAGAAATGTAGTCCCTCCAAAGGGCACCGAATTCGACAAAGTAAGACACAATATCTCGTTGACGACCTCCACCACCAACTCGGTGATGAGAATGCGAAATGAAGGAATACGAATCGAGGGCGAGGGAGACACATTGGCCAACCAGGTATTCGTAAAGGTCGGAGCAACGTGCTCCACACAAGTCGAACTCGAAGAACAAAGTGTTTGTCCAGGCTGCACACTTGAGTTAGCGCAACATTCCTGGCTCACAACTCTCGACGTCAAGACATGACGAGTGTGACTAAAAGGATCTGAAGTAATATGTGACCACTTACAGGTCGAGCGTCCCAGCGCATCGTCACACAATACTGACTGACATCCCCCCGAGAAATGCAAGTAGAGTACACATGACTCGGCGTCCCTGACTCTGTTGTCATCCTGCAGTCTGGAGGAGTTCTGAAGTATAGGCACATATGGAGATCCATCCGAAGTATTGCTTCAGGGATGTCCAGACGACACATGAGTGTACATCTAAATCATCTTGTACAATCACCCAAAGTTTACCGAAAGGCCACGGACCGAAGACACATGAACTGATAATTGTAGATCGCTATAGTGGGTACAGAATGATCTCCACGCGAACACCAGGCATAGAGAACTGCATGGGACAAGGAAAGCACCCATCCCATCTTCGAACATAGAAGGTATATGTGGTCCTTGCGTGCACCAGCCTCACAGAGTCCAAATGTACCATGGTTGGGTCGCGGGCAGTGATGTGTCACCGCCCAGTGACACCATATCTCCAGACCTGTCTTGCAGGCTATATGAGGAAGGGAATTTTGGACGAACGGTGTCAAAGCTCTATTTCGAAGCCATGCGATGCTCGTTTTCCATTGATTTTGTTCTGTCTTGGTTCACGTCCAAATTTCTGCACCTTTGTTTGGGGGCAATAAGAGAGTGGTGAAGCCAACTGGTTTGTCTAGACTCGGCGCCGTCCACGAAGGCCTCTCAACATTCCCAGAGCTCAAATTATGACCCTGGGTTCAAGCCAGACTTCCGTTGATGGCCGAGGAGAGCATAGTTATTGGTCATTGTCCCTACAATCGATTCCGTGCTCACGACCGTAGGTACTGGACACGAGATCGCCAACCTAGTAAAGACAGTTGGGATGACATAGGGTAAATGCCAGTTCACAGCCATGATCAACAAGTCTGGCACCTTGAAAAGTAGGTAGGTCCCTGTTAATAGACTGTTCTGTGATGAGTGGAAACAAGTAGAGGTTGAATATCGCGTTCCATATGAATTTGGGTTGCTCGCTTTGCCGAGGGCCAAACGTCCATCGCCTCGGGCAGCTTCGTCACCAAACTGTACGTTCCCCCCTTTCACTCCTGTGCATAGCGGCTGTAGCGTCGCCGCCATCGTCTCAGATCAAGGCTACCGGTACTGGTCCATGTTCGAAGATCCAAATCAATCGAACGCAAAATGCCAGCACAACTCACTGAGCGCCCTGGGGGAGACGATGACCCACCAGGGGCGAAAGACCACAGGTATTCGCCTATATGCTCATTGAGGAGCCAGGATGAATGCTGAGATGTGCTAGACGTCTTCGAAACCGTCTTGCTCAAAGGACGACGAGAGAGCGGAGGGCCGCATATATTCAACATTTGGAGAAGCAAGTGGCATCGTATCAACGAGAGGATGCAAACTCGCAAATACAGGACCTAATGAAAGAAGTGGCCGAGCTCCGTGGAGCATTGCAGAAAGCGCGAAGTAAACTTCTCAGCCTTGCCGCGACAGCAAATTCTTCGGCTGAATCTTTGGCATCGCATCTCCTTCTCAAGGGTTTGACTCATCTGAGAACGAATTGGTCCACGTTGGAAGCTGACATACTTCACAGCCGCAACGCAAGATCAGGATGTGCTCCAACCGTCGACTGAAGATCCAGACTGTATGGTTAACGACAAGGACGATTCTCCAGATGACGAGCACTCCGAAACGGCCAACATTGGGTGCCTAGACAAGGCACCAGAGGAGAAGAGAGAACACCCAGAGCCGACCGCCCAAAACAGCAGCAGCCTAGCACTGTCTGTGTCGTCCTCGCTCGGACATCAGGCAGCGCAGTCAATCTGTACAACGGTACAATGCCAGCGAGACGAAGTTGCGGAAGGGTTGGAATCTTCGTCATTCGATTTCTCGGAAGACGTAACGACTCTGACTTTCCCGCATACATCGGATAACCCAGACGCATTGGATTCGGAATTGATGGGCACAGCTACGGCCAGTGATGAGACCTGGAGTGCCTACGATCCCACCTGCTTCGGTAACAATTTTTCATCTGTTACGACCATGACAACGATGAATGGCAAAGACACGGGATGCTCGGCTGGCACTTCTGTGTTTTCAGCTCACCTGGATTGCATAATAAACATTCTTCGACGAGGGGGCATTGCACGCCAACACACCCGGTATATGCCTTTTTTCAATTTTGCTGCCTGAGGCTAGCTTCCCTCCTGACCCGGCGGTGCTGACAAGAGTGACGAGAACAGGGCCCCGGAACTGATGGACGCCATGATTGACGGATTTTTCGAGGAATGCTGGCCCAGCATGAAGAACTGGCTCGAGATCACAGACTCCTACACGACTATCCGATGGGTGCTGTGGTGGCAAGTGACACGTACCGCCGAAGCCTCAGCTGATATTCCCGCTACGAATACACCCACGCCTGTCCAGATTGCCCTTCCCCATCTCTCTGCCATCGACTGGATTCCCTTTCCAAGTATCCGCAACAATTTGATACTGTCGGACGGTTATGACATCGACCAAGTCTTCCGCAACCTGCATAAGTCGTTTGTACTGCAGAATGAATTCCCCATTCGAGATGGATTCGCTGCCCGGTCGTACAAAAGCGTAACCGGTCTTGTTCAGACCGCGTTACGAACCACTCTCGATCCATCCGATCCAGCAGGCTATGGAGCGGCCCACGACCTGTGGAGCGAAGGGCCGCTAAAACGAACCAAAGCGGCAACGAGTGCTTATTGCCAGCAACTGATAAATTTTGGCCGATGGGTGCTGAAACTGGATCCAAGTTTCTTCGTGAAATACCCCGGCCTTTATGATCCGTCTATAGTGGCAGAGGGAATTTGTTTGGACCTTGTCAACGCACCGGACGTGCCACCACCGAGGCCTCTCGACATGAATGCAGTGAACACTTACGCTAGTTTGCTGTTAAAAGACCAGAATTATCGCACGTACGGAATGGACTTGAGGATCCATCACACGCCGACGCAAAGAAAGAGGTAACGGAAGGGAGAAGTGATCACCAGATTGTGCGTTGCCCCCAACCTCCGACGAGGATCTAACTTGAGTTTCCTCGTACTTAGTTACACTACCGCCTCGGTCAATTGAAGCTCCTAAATTCCTCATCCGGTGTCGATTTCAATGCTTCAGGATGACCCTACCCAGCCTACTCTGAAGTTCCACCGCCTCCGTGAACTCTCTGATTCACATGGTCAAAGTCTGATTGTGCCGGGTCGATGTTGACGAAATCGGTCTCTCCATTGATGCCAAATGCGTAGCTCCTGCGTAGCTTCAGCCAGCGTTGTTTTGCTGTTGGTTGCAGCGCCCTGTGTTCTCTGCTGTACCCAGCCGTCTTGGATGAGCTTTCGAAGGTCGTGCATACGGGAAGTTGATGGCATGCGAGGCCCATGGTGGTAATATGAACAGCCGAAGACGCGTTTCCTGTGATGAATATCTTCCTGTCTGTCCACCTCTCGTTCGATCGAGAGTGCCCCTGGTCTATTGACAGCCTTGCCTTACGAGAGCCAGTCAGAGGGCAGTAGTATAGCGATTGTGAGGACCGTGGCTCTCCCACTCTCGATGACTCTGGTGAAATTTGACCAGTATTGAACGTGCCCTCGCTCATTCTTAAGTTGACCTTAGGAAGTCTTTTTATGAGTTGGGAGGGCAAATTAAGACTGCAATAATAATTTTGGCAATGCGATAACCACTTTGGAGCATCACATGACTACGCGTTTGGAAGGAACGGGCGCGTCGCGGGGAATGTCGTTGCAGCCACTCCAGCTTCAACTGCACCCTCAACATAGCAACACATGACCGGGCCGAGAATACCCTTGATGTATTGCACTGCCCTGGATTCTCAGCATCCATGACTGGGTTTGCGTCAGCCTTTTATCGTGGTGTAAATGGCCGAAGATTGCGCAAACCCGCTGCTGGCGGAATGGTTGAAAGAATGGATGGATGAAGCAAGACAACGGAATAGCAAAGGTTATACCGTGTATGCTGTCCTCTCCCCTGACATTTCATGCGGTTATACTAACAGTCACAGTTATAAGAAGGCCTATCAGTCCGTCAAAGCGTGCCCTTTGACCTTTAACCACCCATCCGAAGCTCAGCAGCTCAACGGCCTCGGTCCAAAACTTTGCGACCGACTGACGGAGAAGCTCAAAAAGCATTGCGAGCAAAATGGTCTGCCTATGCCCAAGAAGAAACGCAAGAGAAATCAGACGTCGGAAGACGGGCCATTAGATGCCGCCCAAGGCGATGATGATGAACAGTCCTCGCCTGTGCGGCGCAAGCGGAAGGCCCAACCATACGTTCCAAAATATCGATCGGGCGCCTATGGGTTGATGGTGGCCCTCGGCACCCTGGACCGAGAAAGCAACCAGGCTATCCCGAAAATCGACCTGATTGAACTTGCACAACCTCACTGCGATGCGAGCTACACTGTCCCGAGCGATCCTACGAAGTTTTTCACGGCCTGGAAGTCTATGCAAACATTGGAGTCAAAAGAGCTTGTCTGCACCAAAGGCCATCCGACCAAGAGATATTATTTGTCTGACGAAGGATGGGAGGTTGCAGAAGGTATCCAGGCAAGCATCAATGGCCGACCTGTTGCGGCAAAGAAATCGAAACAGGGAAATTCCGCACCAACTCGTGGCGTGAAAGGTTCGAAATCGGCTTCAGCGGAGCCGGGAAAGAAACAACCAGCTTCGGCTGCTCCACTGCAGAACAGCGGCCTCAGTGGCTTTGCAGCTCGCAAATTCTTTGATCAGGTCGAGGTTTTATCGGTCTCTGAGAATGACTGGCCCGAGTCAGAACCGGAGACGAGGACTGTCGGCTTTGGAAGCGGAAAGCTTGCTGAGAGGCCGACGACATCAAGCTCCTCTATGGAAGACACCATTATCCTGCCAGCTGGGAGCTTTGAGGTCAAAATGGTACTTGATATGCGTGAAGTCCGCACAACGACGGACCGAGATTACATTTCTGGAGAACTGAAGAAGCTCGGCGTGACCCCGATTATTCGCTCACTCCCCCTGGGCGATGTCTTGTGGGTTGCAGAAGTAAATCCACTCTACGCCGACAGTCTCAAGGCAGCAACCGTCGGCGACGAGGCTGGCGGCAAAATGGAAATCATGTTGGAACACATTCTCGAGCGCAAAAGGCTGGATGACCTCATCAGCAGCATCAAAGACGGGCGTTTCCACGAACAGAAATTCCGGCTGCACAAGTCAGGCATAAAGAACGTCACTTACCTCATTGAGGAGTACTCGATCTCTTCAGAAAAAAGTGACAAATATGGGGATGCACTGGAGAGTGCCATCGCCAGTATGCAAGTGGTGGACAACTTCTTTGTCAAGCAAACGGCGAAGCTCGACGACACGATTCGTTACCTTGCCCGTATGACCAGAACCCTGAAGGGCCTGTATGAGAGCAAGGACATCAACGTCATTCCCGCCCAAAGCTTCGAGGCTGAGGCCGTGTCATTGTTATTGGAACGGTTCAGAAAGACTTCACCGGAGAGGGTCGTTGGGATGACATTCTCCGTATTTAGTGCCATGTGCGACAAGTCCGAGAGCATGACGCTTCGAGATGTCTATCTCAAGATGCTAATGTGTACAAGAGGTGTCACTGGAGAGAAGGCGATTGAAATTCAGAAGATCTGGCCAACACCGCGTGCTCTGGCCGAAGCGTTCGAGGCCCACGAAAAGGGCAACGCGCGGGATGCAATGATCAGCGATCGCCTTGGGTCTGCCATTCCTAGGAAGAAGGTGGCCAGGGCGCTGAGCACCAAAATTGCAGAGATCTGGGGGTGACATTGTGTCTGTTGAGACCGAGGACTGCTATGGGGTTCATGACTTATTACGGCATAAGATACGTGTGTATACTGAGCGTGCGCCACCTTTGCGGGGACATCATAGGCGGCATCAGAGGCGTCCGTTGGGGTTTAGCGTTCCCAGCGACATTGTATGCAGCGTCTGCCATTGTATGGATTCGCACCAGAGCGGATTCCGGCACCATGACCCATGGAGCACGAGACCCGACGACGAAGCCTTGACCAAGCAACTGCAAGCCTTTGCTCGCCTTCGTTTGCCTGCATCGAATCAAGATGGCCTCGAGCGACGATCAGGCCGGCCTCTATCCACCCCACACACGGCACGGTGACGGAACTCGGGGGGTCGCTGATCGACATAATACGGGTAACGCTACTGTTAGTACTGTGACATTGAGATCTGCGTCAGTCCTTAAAGCATGAGGGGCCCCAGCGACCAGGATTCCTCTCTTCCCGTCGCACACCATCACACAAATTGATTTCGCCTTTTTGAGGCTGTCCCAAATCTACGTTGCCTATATCCTGCTCTCTTCGAGGTGGAGAGTCAATAGGATAGCGTGACCTACGCAGGGTGGCGATGTGTCTTTGTCCCTTGGACGGACAGACGACGAAATTACAGAGCGGAGTTCCAATATTGTAGGACTACCCTCGACAAGAAGTCAAGGCAGCCCACCTTTGCTGCGACGACCACCTTCAGAACATCAACCCGCATGAGAGCGCAAGTCACCTAAACGTAAAGCCGCCTCTTCTGCAATGCTTGGAATTGAAGGTCTCTCGGACGCCTCCTTCCGTGGCGATGAGCGCTGGAGAAAGGCATCAAAATGGACAGGTCACGCTCCGTGGTTTGTGCTTGCGATCGGCATATTGAGTATGATTGAGATCGCACTGGGGGCGGTATGGATTGCGTCGCTGACCACCGACCTGAACTTGTAAGTCGCCATTCGTTCCAGATTGGCCCTCCCTTCCCTTGGAAAGGATACTAACATCAGCCCTCCCGATAGCGGCCAGGTCATCCAACCTATCCTCATCCCAGGGCTGGCCTTCTTCAATGCCATCCCTTCTCTCCACCTACACGTGCTTGCCCGGGTGAATCCACCTCGACTGGCACTGTGGTTCTCCGCGACGCTATCGATCATCCATTTCGTCAGCTCCGTCCTCTTCATGGGCGCCTGCGTCGGAAATCACTCGCACGGGTCGCTGCAACGCAACGAATGCCCCTCGGCCACTGGTGGCAGTGAAGGCATTTGGGATGCTATGGTTGCCCTGCAGTTCATCAGCGCCGTCCTGTACGGTCTGGTCGCGGTGATGGCTTGGAAAGTTAGGAAGGTTGTGGAGGCTAGGGATGAGAGGATCGCCCAGGGCGTGGAAATGGTCAGCGAAGAGGAGAAACAGAGACGGGAGAGCGAGGCCAGGGAGAGGTGGAAGTATCTTTCTGCAGGTTGAGCAGAGAAAGTTTCTTGGTTATCCTTTTAGGGTGCCTGACCGACGTGTTGCAGCGGGGCCTTGCATGTCGAATTCATTGTGCACGATACACATCATTGCAGCATAAATTTCCGGTGGGAGCGTTGATGTTCTCTGTTTGGTTACCAGAACCAGTCTTGTTAGCCATGAACAACGACACTGAAGGAGAACGCCAGCGGCTACATATGGGGTGAGCATATCAAAAGCCCACTTATCATTAGAGCGAAGCAGCTATAATATATAGGCGTCCTTAGGACCAGACAAGAATCTTGCTGATGATGAGCAGTGCGAAAACAAAGTCCAAAGACACCGAGATATACACAGTGGCTGGCTCCCATGCCGCTTTAACTGCCGCATAACTCGTGATCGTAAATGTTTAGAGCAGCGGGAGGGTTTGTCCCAAAGAAGTCTGCCAGCAAGCGAAGACGCCGGTGCGCATCCACGCATCCCAGCCTCAGGCAAGCTACTGCATCTTGCATCCGAGTCCCATTCCACTTTGGGTGTTTGTTTGCACTGGACCAAACATTCATTCACTACTCACACTCTAGCCTCCGCGTGTGCTGCGCCGGACCTCCTCGCCGTATGGCCTCACAACAAGCTTACCCGCAAAACCGCACGAGGTAGCATGCGACAACGAAGCATGCGACTGCACGCGCCATGTCACGTAACAAAGAAAACAACCCTCTTTCCGCGACCCAGCGGAACGCGGCCACCGCTCCCTTGCACAGGGCTCTCCCCAGCGAGGAGTTCTTCACCGACAGCTTGATCGACGACACCCGCCTCTCGAATGTCTCGCATATACCGTCTCCAGTCAAGACAGGGTCTGTCAAGCCTCGACGCGCACTCGCCGGCACGAGCAAGACGTTGCAGAGATCGAGCCGCACTTCCCTGTTCGACTATACTGCGGCCCGAACGAGTAAACAATTGAAGCCATCACCGAAGATCTCTACGAGGAAAAGCCCAAGCCCTGCACGAACGAATGGCCTGACCACGCCGCCGCATTCCCGACACGGCCCGCCCCTCCAGAGCCCTACTGAGTTCTCCAGCCCGCCTGGTGGTCTACACGAGTCGTACCAAAGAATCGCGGATGAGGAGGATCTGGCTGCGACGGAGGTGGATGACGAGGACGACATCAATGGCGACGACCAGCAGGATACGTTTGAGATAAACTTGGACGTGGACCCTACAGGAGATGGAATAGTCACGGAACAATCAGCACCGATAGAAGTTTCGCAACAGCCTACGCCGGTTCAATCTCCATCGCCAGTCCGCGCCGCGGACGAGCGCGGTGAAAGTCTCTCAGAACCCCCGACCTTGGATTTCGTCAAGAACGAGATGACCGACAGGGTGCTCGCTGCGAAATTGACGCCCCATGTCGTTGATCGCGCGAAAGATCGTGCCAGACTGGAAAAGCTCCGACAGAGCCACATACCAATCAATTTCGGAGAAAAGTCCAAGGAAGAGCAGACTAACGTGGAGCCCCGACGGAACGGTCTCGCGAGCGTCGCAAGTCGTGGACCGATCTCCTTCGACAATGTTTTGGCCGTGGAGACAAACGGGCTGCACAGGACGTACTCAGACACAAGTGTAGACTTCGACCCTCAAAAGAGGATCCAGGCCTTCAGACGAGCAACGCGTCCCATGGTCAGCAAGACTGTTTCTGAAGATGACGATGGTAGCGATACGCCTCCAGAACTGCGGGAAAAGGAGAGATTGGTGGCCTTCAGCAAATCCACTCGGCCGAAGAAGAAAGACGACGGAGAACCCGAATTACAGAGACCAGCGTCCGTGCCAAAAACCATAGCATTTTCACGTGCGCATGGCCGACCTGGTCCTCACAGGACGCCCTCCGACACTATCGAGGATCAGGGACTACCCGAAGACCCTACAGTTGCATCCATTGCTTCGACAGTATCCGAACCTCTTCCCGGGACCACTGTGAGGCCGGACGACGGTCGAGCAACACGTTCATTCATTGCCCGATGGCGCAAAGAGACTGCGGAGCGACGCGCTCTAAAGGCTCGAGAAGATGCTGATCGTAGCGAGTCCCATATTGACTCCGCCGCCGCAGCTGCAGATGTCCCATTGCCATCCATCGAAAGGTCTTCCACTCCTCAAGAAACTCCACCGAAACCCATTCCCTCTCCGATTCAAAACCAAAGGTCCATGGAGCGGATGCGGAAGTGGGAGAATGATTTCACAGGTCTTTCATTCCAGGTGTCAGAAAGCCCACCTGTTCGGGCGCGGACGAGCCTCAACGATACCCTCAGAGAAAAAGAGATTGAAGACCTCGCCAAAAAGTCTGTTACTACAAACAGGCTGGATGAAATCCGTGAAAAGAATCCGAATGTCATCGTCCGGAAGTCTTCTCGGAATTTCAGTCCACAGGAGCCCAAATTCGCACCACTGGAGCCGCAGGACAAAATCGACCTCAAGGATCCCGGAGAAGCGGTACCAGACACACCAGTTGTTGTGTATAGGTCATCAAGCAGTAGTACGGACAAATCCAAATCGTCTCAGCGATCAATGCCAGATTCATTGGATCAACTGCAGAGGCTGGCTCGGGCCGTCAGCACTACCCCGAGACAAAGCCCGGCTGCGTTATCGGTTGCTCTTGACGATGCATCTGCAGTCCCATTGCCCCCATCGGAAGACGACCTGAAGTCTCAATCTACACTGGCAGATCACGAGGATGTCGACAATAAGAGGAAAGTGGCCGAGACTCCGAGGGTCGTGGGCGCATGGACGGATACCATTTTACCGGACACTGTCAAGTCGAGAATTCAAACACAGAGGGTCAACAAGTATGCGCAAACACCTCATGTCAATGTAGGAGGGTGGATGGAAACACCGCTTCCTAACGGAGATCGGATGCCTAGTATCCAGATACCGAGGATCGTCGAAGAGGAGACGGAGGAATTAATGAATGAAGAATACCCAACAGACAATATGACAGCGGATCACATGGAACGTGACAATACTCCACCAACAGTCCCATTGATGCAGGAGCCAGAGTCAAAAGTTGGTCTGGGGAAGGAGGAGGTCATTCTCCCCAAAAGTGCTCTGACAAATGTTCTGAACGAAGCCAAACAGAAGCGGCTGGCATCACACGATATCACAGATACTTCTCGAGACGAGAATGACACGCTGAACCTGGGCGACGCCACTATCCAGAGCTTTGAAGACCTCCTCACCGACGCTGCAGACATCACTGCGGACCTGACCAGCCTCATCAAAGCTGGTACTGCGGAGGAAGTCCTGGCTCTGAAAGAGAGGAACAGATTGACAGCTCCTGTTACTTTAGATGAGGATAATTCATCTGCATCTGAGGTTGCCTTTATTGGTCATTTGACAAGTCGGATGGAGAGACTGATGTCAAATTTGCATGAAGCTAAAAAGGGCATCGCCAGGCTGGAGCAGAGAGTCTCTCACTCACCACCGTTGTCGTTAGAAGAATCGGATCTACAAACACAGACGCTCGTGGCTGTCCAGGATCCAGACCGAGCCTCTGGCCAAAGAGGGCCAGTCACCATCTCGTCCTTCATGGACCTTCCCATCGCATACACAACATTCACTCTTCCCATTCCCCTCCTGTTCCATCCGCGAACAGCATCTCAAGACAACAGACGCCGCAATCAGCTGATCGACCTTCTTCCTGGTAGTCCAACATGGCTGGGATATCTCACCTTCTCCATCTGGATATGGTACATCCTCGAATGCCTCCTCGCAGAGATCTACGCGAGGCCGCTCTATGCGGAAAGGTACGTCTGGCCAACTCAGCCAGAGCCAGAGTTTCCTTTCGTACTTCCGACAATGCTCTGGAGATGGACCCTCGGTGCACGCCTGGGAGATGTGCTCACTGCGCCTGTGGTGATGACCTCCAATGTGGTGTGGAGACTGATAGTGGCCATCTGGAAAGTTGTCGGAATGTGGTTGGGATGGTCAGATGGGTTCGTCGATGATGGCAGGACCTCCATGGCAACTGCTACGAAATCCGCTGTCCAAGCTGTCAAAAGTCTTATTTCCGGAGCTACTGGCGCCAACCCCCTTGAACTGGAAGGTTTGAGTATGATGAATGACGAAATTTTATGAACGATTCAACGATACGGTTACGCAGAAATACTGTGCGGGTATTGATTGCATGGATAGGCGACTACAGGTTCACTTGGTGAATATCGGCGCTGGATAATTTTGTGCTGAATCGGATATAACATTGGATATGGAAAACAGGTCCGAGAATCCCAAGTGTGCATGCACGGCGTTGGCGCGGACGGTGGTGCTGGTGGCACTGGAACGGTCTCAAGACTTCATTTGTGTGCGTGGCTAACTCATCAGAGCCTGATTTGATAGCTTCGGGGTTTCATTTCTCATTTGGGAGGGGCTGGACCATGTCTTTTGGATCGTGGAAGAGATGGGAGGACCACCAGGACAGGGAAGAGGCCTTGCCGCAAGGCTTGCTATTTACTCGGGGAGAGTCGGAGTTGCGTTGCGGCGTGCTTTTTAGGTTGATTGAACTGGGCTCAAAGAGGTTTGAGTTGGGCCTTCCTTTGAGGTGGGATGGGGGCAATGGTCGGGGATTGCTGCTGCTGTTGCTCTGTTGATTGTATGTACTCCTAGTCAGTGTGTATACAATACTTGACTCACTATCACCACCCCTGTGGGTAGGCAGGACCAACGAGTAATCCGACTCCCTTCCTTGTGGGTTGAACACGTCCGTTCATGGCTCCTATAGACCTTCAACTTATGTACATAACTGCCTCTGTCTTGCTTTTTTTGTCCCTTTCTTGCAGTATGTACATACATGATTACAACCATGTCAGGCAGAGATTTGAATAAACAATGAAACAAAAAGACCTTTGGTTGTTTTTTTTTTGTTTTTTCCCATTTATTTCATCATGGGTGAGTGAGAGGCGAGGTACATTAAGATATCAGATACGTTCGTCCCTCTCCATACGCGTCCCTTCGGGTCTGCTGCAGACTCCTGCCTGAATATTACCGTTGATACAGTACATTGTCATTTATTAGAATGCATCCATAGTCGTTAGAACCAACCCAAACACTTCCTTGTAGCGAGCCATCCATTTACTTCCTTTTCCCGTTTTCCGTTTCCACTCGTTTCCCCAGAGGAATGTTATATTTTCCCCCCGACTCTGTCTCTCTTTCCTTTCTCCTCCTTCGCACTCTCCCTGTATGCCCGTTCTTCTCTCGTTTCGTCACATCCTTGCGATCTCCTTCCCCCACACGCGATTCAGGACCCACGTGACAACAATGACCACGCGGCTGCGCCAGTTGCGGTTCCACATCAGGCTGCCGCTGCGCCAGGCCAGCCAGGCACTGCGGCCCGTCCAGCCCTCATGGTTGGGACCCTTGCCCGCGATGACGCCGTCGTGCGCGCCGATGTACGACACCAGTTGCTTCTGCGAGTACGTGAAGGGCGTGCTGAATGCGTCGTCGGTGGAGGAGAGGACCGACGTTGCAGGTGAGGGCGAAGAAGCGGATTTTGCTGCTGCGAGAGATTTGGCCAGGGCGGCGAAGTTCTGCACGAGGTACCGTGCCTTCTGCACCGCGACTTCGGCGGTTGTGGGCAGCGAGGCGCCCTCGACATCGGCGGCATCGCCCAGTGCGAAGACGCTGTCGTAGACTTGGCCAGTCTCCCCAGTCTTGAACACCCGGAGGTGGCCGTCGGTCAAGATGCGCTTGAGGCCGCGCTGGGACAGTTTGACGTCGATCTTGTCCAATAACGGGACGTGCTTGTTGCCTGTGGCCCAAATCAGCATGCCGTAGGGCACTCGGCCCTTGTCCTTGATGTACAGTGCCTGTTCGTCGACTCGCTCGATCTTGGTGTTGGGCGCCACGTCAATATGGCGCCGTTCCAGCTGGCTCGCGGCGTATTCGTGCAGCTTGTTGTCGTACGCACTCAGGATGTGCGGCGCAACGTCGTAGACGGAGATGCTCACGTACTGTGCGACCAGAGGGTAGGTGTGCCGCAGCTCGTCCTGACACAGGTCGTCCAGTTCGGCGGTGAGTTCGATGCCGGTGGGGCCGCCGCCGACGATGGCGACGTGGAGGAGTTCCCGCGCACGTTCGGGGGTGACGTTGGGAAGCGACGCCTTCTCCAGCAGGTCGAAGAGCGTCTTGCGCACTCTCATCGCGTCCGAGACGTTCTTGATGAAGATGGCATTCTCGGACACGCCGGGAGTGTCGAACGTGTTCGGCATGCACCCGGGCGCCAGGAGCAGGAAGTCGTACTCGACGTCGAATTCGTCCTTGGCGAGTTCTGGGTCGTCATCAAAGGCCGGGGCACAGCGACAAGTCTTGGTCTGGAAATTCACGTCGAGCACATTGGCTTTGATGAAGCGCAGGGCGGACCGCGATTTGCTGCGCACCGGCTCTTCGGCCAGGTAGAAGTTGAATAGACCGACTGCCGCAGAGGCGAGCAGTGGCGTGTACGCCGACGTGCGACGGGGAGAGAGCAAGGTTATGGAATACGCGTTGAGATCGATGTTCTCCGCCAGGTAGAAGCCTGCCCACCCGGAGCCGATGATGACCAGGCGAGGTTTGCTCGGGCTTGTCATTGCATCAAAACGATATTATGGCTTGGTTTCTTGACGGGAGATGAAGTCTGCCCTGGTGATAATGGAGACTCGGGAATATATCTCCCAGAGTGCTCAAAGCACGACCAATTCAGCTTACCCACGTACAGGCCACTCAATTCACGATGAGCCAGGGTATCATTAGGCAGCAGTCTGGACTGGACGACCAAGGAAGCAAAGAACTGGGCTGACTTACTTGATGTCCGTGCCTGATAGGGTTAACTGACTTTTGACATGCCAGCCTGGACCTGGGAGATGCCGTGGCCAACTCAACTCGCCCAGTTCCAAGTCTTGGGGAACGTTGTCGATCAACCAATCAGAGGAGACAGATACCTTTCAGCCCGAATCAAGTATCAAGTCGGGAAATCTCCCAAGCCCGGATAGTCCGGTCATGTTTGACCTCAGCAGCATGCAGGGACGATATTGGTCAGCGTACTACCCATAGGAGCAAGCATGTACTGTACAAAGATGTGAGAGAAATGAACAATGCATGTGAGTGTGAGAAGGACAGAATACGAACATGCCCAATGGGCCAATGCTGCCAAGCCGGACACGGAATTCCGAGTTCTTCCGAACTACGTGCCGACTTGATCACATGATCACATGATCCCGACTATAATGGCGCATGAGGGCATAGCTGAACGACCCATGTCGACAAAGGTTACATGCAACACACCAAGGACGGCACAGAATGCGACGACAATGCACGATTCTCTTCTTCTGTCGGGAAGTTCATTGATCCATTCAACTCAGACGACAGTGCCCCTTCAGGGGCGGTTGCTGCCACCGTGCAGTAAAACACCCCCCTCGCCCACCCTTGGTAGTAGTACTGTCACGTATCACTTTTTGCTCCCTTCCTATCCATGATGACAATTTCGGGGGATGCGCTTCCTCCCAGAGACCGAGCGCTACTTTCATCCATCCTTCAATGCTATCAACCTTTTGTCGGCAAGAATTCTTGGTGTACAAGTACAGTTTGCAATTAATGAAGAAAAGACCGGGCCATTCAGAAACCCCTTACCCAGCAACAAGTGCATGGTCTCCTCGCAATAACAGTTTTTCGACATTCTGTCCGTGCTTTTCGCCCATTTTCCTTTCGCAGAAAGAATCGAATTCCCGACTCCGTAAGATAAAATAGAGGAGAGATGATGTTGCCCTGGGCTGGTGTCATTTCACTTTACCATGCACTAATGGCCAGAATTGTAGCTGCCGTTCCATCCTCGGCCACCGCCGGCGCCGCCACCGCCACTGTATCCGGCATATGCACCGAACGCACTGTTGGAGGCGTAGCCCGCGTATCCAGTGTTCTGATGAGTGTTCTGGTGACCAGCGCCCAACCCCCCTCCGTACTGAGGATAGGCGCCGAAGGCCTGTTGACCTGAGTGTTGCGATGGAGGAGGCAAGCCACCTTGCTGACCGGGGAAATTGTTGACGGCAGATCCAGGACGACCACCTTGCATCGAGGGACTTGGACCTGATGCCTTGGTCGGATCCTCGGAATGAGCGCCATGTTGTTGAGGCAAGCCTTGAGCCTGTCCGAAACTGGAGGTAGAACGTCCGAAGGGGTCAGCCATGCCACCAAAGCCGGTGCTGCCTGCAGCACTCTGTTGAGCTTCCGAAGGCTGCGCAGACCCTGCTCGACCATAGCCTGCCTCCCGCCCAAAGCCGCTGACGTTGGCCGGAGACGACGAGTGCTCATACGAGTAACCCTGCTGAGGTTGTCCATACATGTTCGACTTGTACGTGTTGGCATAGTGATTTTGCGCATAGTTGTATTGACTGCCATAGTATTCGTTCTCTTGTTGACGTCGAACATCATCAAACATGGGACGGTTCGCTCCGTAACGGTGATTCATCGATGCAATATAATTGGCAGAATACTGAGGATACTGTTGGTTGTATGCATTCGGGTAGCCGTAACCGGGATATCCGTGACCCTGGTTTTGTTGTTGCATGTGGCCAGAAGGTTGTTGCGCTGTAGGATGACCAGGAATGCCAGGTGCGGGAGTATTTGGTCCACTGCCCTGCGCTTCCTGTTGACCCATTCCGTGTTGAGGACGTGAGGTGGTATACTGCCCCTGACTGTCCGGAGCAGAAGTACCAAACGTGCTGCCAGACCGTTGAGCCTCTTGCCCATGACCATACCCGTAGTAATTATTGTAAGCATCGCGACCGTAGTAAGCAGAATAGTCCGGCTGAGAGGTAGCCGTGCTGGGTTGATTTGGGACTTGGTTGGAGAAGGGTTCTTGAGACTGGGCTTGAGTGGTTGTTGGTGGTTGACCAAATGGATCGAACGGTTTCTGTCCTTGACCATATCGGTACTGGTCCGCGTACGCCGAAGATGTCTGCGGTGACGGTTCATGAGCCTGTTGCGGAACGGAGGGCAGACCCGATGCTGGTCGTTGCGCAGCCGGTGAGGCCTCAGCGAGCGGTTGAGTCGGTGCTGCAGTGGGCGCTTGCTGCGCTTCGGGCACAGCCGGAGGCAATGAAGCACGAGGGGCAGCGGGGGAGTCGTCTGGAAGTTGAGTACGCGTCTCAGGCTCCTCTCTGTCCTCGTCGACGTCAACGTCGTCCGGTCCGTTCAAGCCCAACTTGCCAAATTGTACGGCTGCCTTTTCGATGGCGTGATTGCCGGGCATAACAACCGCCTCCTGCTGTTCCATAACCTTTCTCGCGAAGCTAGCAGATCGGCTGGTGCCTCCGGTGGCTTTCAACGCAGTGGCAGCGTATCCTGACATTGGTCGAGCGGGGATCTTCGAGGGTTCTGGTGCGGCAAGCGGATCTTGGGTGCTTGCGACGGTGCTGGCTGCGGTAGCGGATTCAACGGGGTGAGACGTGTCTGGAAGTTTCTCCAGGTTCTGTTCTGTGAGTTCATCTTTAGGTGGTGTTAGATCTTTTCCTGTGTCGGAATGCGGCGCGGATGGCAGCTCACTTGGTCCTTCTTCGTTGTAGTCCAACGCTTCGATCGGAGGCGGCACGATTGGCTCAGTGGGAGGTATGGAATCTTCAATGGTCGGCTCAGGCTCAACTGGCAGTTGCTCGGGTTGTGCAACAGCAGGCGGAGGGGGCGCGGGAGCCTTCTTGGGAGCTGGAGCAGGGGCTGGTTTGGCAAACAATCCAGCCCATCCGCCGGGTTTGGCGGCAGCTGGTGCTGCACCGGAAGCGGGCTTGGGTTCTTCGGTTTGCAAAGAAGCGAGTGAATCCTTCCCAGGCTCATTTGGCCAACTCTCTGTCGCAGTCACTGTCGCGGTCGTATCACCATTTGTTGGCGCAGTCTCTAGGGTGGCCGCAGCCGCAACAGCGTCTGCTGGAGCGACCGATTCCACGCCGTCAGCAGTCGCCTGTGCGGGTTTTGTACCATTTGTATGTGCAGCAGAGACTGATTTCGCACCCCGGCCACCCCGAGCACCACGCTCAGCACCGCGACCTCTTCCTCGACCTTCAAAATTGCCACGGCCACGACCCCGAGTCGAAGCATCGGTTGAAGCGGGAGGAGCATCTTTGGGCTTTGGGTGTTTCTTCTTGACTTCACCCCACTGAGAGATGGTGCCTGACGTAGGATTGTTAGCAATTTCAAGCAAGTCAACGTGAATGGAAGCTCTCTCACCACTTGAGATGCGATCAACGGCAGCATTGACGTCGCCGTCAGTTTCATTCAAGGCATAGACCAAATCTTCATCACTCCAACCGGGACAGATTTCTTTGAGGAGAGGGACCTTGTCGCCAAACTTTTTGAGCAATTCTCCAACCTCACCCTGATCTTCCAGCGACGCAGGAGGGACGTTCTCTTGCTCGTGATCTGCTTTGTGTTGTGATCTCGAAGGATTGCGAGTGCCACGAAAACCACCTCTGCCGCCTCGAAACCCGCCGCGACCTCTTGGGCCGCTGCCGCGGCTTTGGACTTCTGCCATTGATGTGTAGGTGTAAGGTAGGTTGAAGGAGAAGATGGAAGGGAGGTGTGGATTCGACGGCGGTCGGCAAAGGGAGACGGGAGACAATAATGGTAAATTAGTGGAAGTCGCAGCTACTAAAAGAGCAGCCGGCTCCGCGGTGAAGGGTGGTCACAGGGTGAGGCAAGTGACAAGTGGGTGAGTTGGATCTAAAAGCACAGTGATGTTGACATGAAGACAGGAATTGTGGCCGGAACACATTCAAGAGGCTTGTTTGGTTTCAAAAAGGCAAAAGCAAAGGCGGCCACAGATTCTGGGGGAGGACTTGCCAAGCGCCTGACCACTTAAGACTGTGGCGTCTGGGCACAGGAACAAACCACGGCCTCCAGGCACCACGCCTAAGCTGCCCAGTGGGTGCTAGCTAACCGCCTAGGGGTAGCACTAGGTCGTTAGTGAGGCAACTCAGGCTCCCCTCACAAGTATCAGGCGGCGACATGATGCTGCGACCTCATTCCACCTCATTACTCCAGCAATCTCGAAACACTAGACCCTCGACCACACCATGACCGTGCTCTGACCGTGAGTCTAACCATGAGACTCACGTCGTCCCTCGCCATTCGCAAGTTGCTTGCCTCGATCCACCCTCCTCTTTCTCCCCAGTCACCCCGCGAATCCAAACAGCTCCTCAACGTCCTGGAATCCGCCTTCCAGCGACGCCTGGACGAAACCCATCCCTCTCCGAAAGCAGCAGCAACCGCGGTCGACAACCAGCATGGCTCTGAATCAATCCCTGATCCAGCACAGCGAGTCACCCATTCCACCCACTCCCACCTAGACACTATCCTCGGCCATCCGCTTTTCAAACAACAGTCGCTTACTTTCCTTCAAACCCACGGCCTCGCTGCGACCGCCGTCAAGACTTTCGACGATGCGCTATTGAAGCAAGCTCTCGACTCAGATCTTGTCCAATCCTGCGCCCTGCAGTATCTTCAAGGCCGTGAGAAGCGAGGTAAATCTCCGAAGGATGAAGGGCTGGGACCGAGGTTGGCTCGCTGGTTTAACGCCATGACCGGCGCTGAGAAGAAAGACTTATTGCTCAATGAGAAATATATGGAACCATTGGTTTCGGTCATGTACGCCGATGGACTGGAACGCGAAGTCTGGCAATGGTTGCAAGTTCTCTATGAACGCTCTTTTGCGAATTTCATCTTTATCCCGACAGACGACTTCGCCCCTGATGCTGTTGCTTACCTGCGCGCCGAAGATCGTCTTGTCTCCCTGATGATCAAGGAGACTGCTCGGCGTGGACGGCTGCAGGAAGCTGTACAGCTATATACGCAGGCTTACGAGTACCGTCTGAACTCTGGTAGATCCGTTCTCTCAGAGGGAAAATCTTCTCCCGAACCACTGCCACGGTCCTGGCGTCAGGTAGCCGGGGCAATACTCTTACAAAATAAACGCAGCAAAAGAGGTCTACCAGCAAGCCTTTACGATTTGGTATTGAATTACAGCTTGACGATTGAACATTCTCCTTTCGACCCTGCTATTCTTCATATCTACCATCCGACATCACCAACGGCTCATCCGTTATTTCAGAAACTCAAGGATTCGTCGTTCCTGGAACAATTCGCAAGATGGCAAAAGAATCCCAATAGATTCGTTCGAAGGATCCTGCTTGTGTCCGTACTAGACGCGGCCGAGCTATCCCTGACCCATGCTCACCCTCGTGAAGCCAAGGAGTTCCTCGACTTCGCCGAAAGGACATATCCTGACTTCCTGCGCTCGCATGAAGAAAAGACCGACACGGCGGAAAGACTGCAGCTGGCGCGCCAGGAGATCCTGGTGAGAAAGGAGTTCCGTTCGTCGGGCTACGCAACTGCCCCAGAGCTGCAGGTGCTAGTGTGAAAAGAGGCGGAGCAACATCGCTCCGACCCAAGAACGAAGAGAATGATGCCCAGCCAATTGACGAAGATGATTCCTCCTCTGCTCCAAGCTGCTCTTCAACTAAATCCCAGGCTGCAGCAGCCTACCCTGTCATGTTTCAAGAAACACCTCGCCAACTAGCTTATTACAAGACATCTCCGTCCAAGTTGGGAACAAAATGGGAGGGAGGAGACGGCATGGCGCGGCACGCACAGTCGAAGGACGAATGTAGAACCTCGAAGATGATTCATCGAGTCTGGTGTTAAGAAGCCCGTTGCCGAGAAAGGGAGACACCGGTTACGTGCAGCAATTCCTTGAAGGACGCACGACACGGCCGAAGTGTCCGCTGAAGAGACACAACGGATGGATGTACAGGAAGGGTCCTCCACCTATATGGCCTATTAGAAGAAGGAACGGAAGAGCTTAAGATTGAGAGATCCCGCTGTTCATAGCTATGTATATGGCTCCGACTTCAGTCATTTGAGCCCGCTCGATCAAAGGGGAAATTATATCACGGTTACAATCTGCGACTCAAGTGTTTCCTCTCCATACTCGTTGTCCCGTACAGTGATATAAGTACATGGATTGTCGTTCAGAGTCAACATGTCCGTCCCAGCAGTGGGACCAGGCGGTATTCCAGAACGCAGAGCCATCCAAGCAAGCAAGCTGCCTTTCCCCGGCCCATCCTATAGACAGACAGACAGGTACGAGGTCTCGCCTCCCCCCCCCCCTCCTTCCCCAACAACGTAGCCGCAACGTTGTGAATTATCCGTTTCTCGCTCGCTCGCTCGCTGTGTTTGTCCCAACCTGTGACGCCGGAGACACCACACGGAAAGGCAACTCGTCCCATCATCGCCCGAACGGTGGTGGAGGACGATATCTGTTGCAGTGTAATAGTGAATGAGTGAATGAATGAGAGAGAGCAGCAGCAGTAGCAGCATCCGTAGCCCCTTTTTCCCTCCCCAATCAAGACCTCGTGTTCGTTCCTGTCTTTCCTTGCCGGCACTCGCCATCCATCTCAACCCCCCTTCTCCTCCTCCTATCCTCGGTCGGCGATCCTCGGTTTTGGCCTTGGGAATTCTCTCTCGCTTTCTCTCTCTCTCTGAATCGCGGCCAGCGGATGCGGGCGACGTCGAAAGCCGGCTGTAAAAAAGAATGGATTAGAACGGCTGGCGAGGGATTCCTGTGTTTCCCTAGATAGCAAGCTGTTAGTAGCAGAGAGAAGATATCACTCAGTCCACGCCCTCGTCATGGGCACAATATGCAATAGGCAGTGCGCTCTCTTTCCGGTCCGATCAAAGGGGGCGGATTAGGGCGAGTCCTGTCGCTCTGTACATGGTTGTTAAAGATGGGATGCACGGGGGCAATGCAGATAAGTCTGGGCTTGGGCAGAAGTGTGAATTCGGGCGTCATATTGGGCCGGTGGGAAAGCCCACGGTAACGTTGCTCTGTCAGTGTCGTCGGGTGGATCCAGGCTCCTAGTAATACACACCATACCCGTTCATAGATCTTGGGTTTCTTTGATTTATATCTTCGAGGGCTCGTCCTTGTCCGTGCCCTTCAAGGCATCCACACGAGCCTTCATGCCTGCAAACATCTTCACCAGCTCCTCGTCACTGCGGTTCGTGTCCGGGATCTTCCTGGCTTTCTGCACGGCAGGCCGCTCGTCGATGCGCTTCACCCACTTGCTCACGCCCGGGAACTCGTTCATGTCGATGTCCAAGAATGCTCCCGCGCGGACCCAGGAGTAGTTCGCCATGTCGGCGATGGTGTACTTGTCCCCGGCCAGCCAGTCGGCCTTGGACAGGCGGATTTCCAGTACGCCGTACAGGCGCTTGGTCTCGTCGAGATAGCGTTTGATGCCGTAGGCAGAATACACCGGTGCCATGGCGCGGAAGTGGTTGGCTTGGCCTGTTTCCTCTCGTCAGGCTTGAAGGGCTGTTAGTAACTCGACCGCAACGCACCTTGCATCGGGCCAATGCCACCCATCTGGAACATCAACCAGCTCATCATCTCATAATAAAGCCCGCTCCCGTACTCGTACGTGAACTTCTTCTCCTTGTCGTACAGATCGGTCAAATACAGCATGATGGCGCCACTCTCAAATACCCGCAAGTCACCATCCTTGAGCGCGGGGATGCGGCCATTGGGGTTGATTTCGAGGAACCAAGGCTCCTTTTGTTCGTTCGTCATGATGTTGATGGCGCGGACGTCATACTTGAGGCCCAGTTCCTCGAGCACCATGGTGGGTTTCAGGCCATTGGGGGTTCCAGCCGTGTAGAGCGTGAGGGCATTATAGGGCGGCGAGGACATCTTGTCGGTTCGCGTTGGCACAGTCTCCTCGGGTGAGGGATCGAGCTTGAGAAATCTCCTTTGGTGTGCCTGAATTCCTGATTGAAGTACTGGTAGGCTCTTTCCCTGTAGCCTCGTAGCGGTGCACGAGGTAGAGCTGACGGCAGGGGAGAGGCCCCCTAGTCTTCTTATAGCTCGCGATGTGGTGTTGTTTACATGCAGTCCAATGATATGTCGGACCGTGCGTATTCTCCTCATGGATTGAATTTTCCCCCTCGTTTATGCTCAAAGCCGAGGGGCGTAGTCTCGTATCGTTGTCCCCGTTGCAGTGTGACCTTGCACAATGTCTAGGTGGCCGGCCCCAACCTTCTCTCACAGGGTAGCTGCTGTGATCATGAGCCAGCAAGCTGCAGCTATTGTAGGATGTTTGTATCAGTGATTGGGTGACTCGGCAGTCGGCGAGAGGTCGCCAAAGACGTTGCTGCCGGCTGCCTGTTTCCCCTGAGCTTATCAAGCAGGTCGGCAACGGTGGTACTGGTGACGCCGATTCAATCTTGTGCCAGCCGTGACTTTCGGTCGAATTCTGGTCCCGACACTGATATGCCCAGAGCTACTCGGCCGAACACGTGGTGTGGGATGATTCCTGTAATACGTGGAAGAGGCAGAAGACGAGCCTCAGAAGTCTTGAATAACCATTTCGATGGACATCCTGTTACCAGTTCATGGCCCAGGAGAAAAGCTAATAATACAGCCCAGATCGTTCACAAGTGTGCCTCTCCCGCTCTGCCGCTGCCAGGGCTCCTGTTGACGCTCCCCGTCACCCCTCGCTGCCTTTCAAACATCGACTCAGTTCGCCGGGTTCGAGCTCTGGTTCGTCGGGACCCTGCTCACAGGTGCAGAGGTTCCGTCTGGGTTCTCCCCCAGAGCCAACAGTCCCTCCTTGTGGAAGGGCTTCTTTGCTTGAGCAGCCTTCTCCTCGCTATACCTCCATATTCCCGCTGTTTTATCCGGCGCAACGCCTTCCCAGCTATTGACACCGAAATTGGTCACCACCTTCACCAGGTCTTGGAACGTCTTCTCCAATTTATCCTTGGGATCCGCTTGAACGAAAAACATCCGCTCCCAATCTCGCTTTTCTTCTTGCTCCTTCTTGCGCAACGCCCGCTGCGCATTCTCGATTCTGGACTTGTAGTGCGAGGCAGCGTCCATTTCGCCCTTCTCAATGCTCTGGGCGACCTTTGACCATGCTCTGCGGCTCTCAAAAACATCTTGCTCTTCTATGGATGCGACGTTCAGCTTGGACAGTTTAACGCTCGACGATTTGAAGGTTTCGATCTCTCTGCCCCTTTTGCTGTCGCCCTCTCTAATAGTAAATGTGTCTGACCATTGCCCGTCCGCGGTGTACAGGGGATCCTTCTCCGATCCTTCACCCTCTCGCCACAACGACGCCGTGAAACTGTTCTTCTTCCCAGAGAGCCAGCCTTTGCCGGTAAAGTCGATCTTGGCGACGTACCCTGTGCTTGAGACAATATGTATGAATTTGCTCAGCTCGACAAAGGGTGCTCCGTAGATGAGGCTTTCAATATGCAGAGCCGGCAGGGTGATGAGGTAGGTCTCTGCATGCTCGCTGTCGGGAGGATGGAGGGTCAAGAGAGCATGTCCAATCTGTTTGACTTGGATAGTTCTACTAAAACTGGCTTTCTGGCCGTTGTAGCCTTGGAGCCGTATGCGGTGCTTCTCATTTGTGATGCAGTAGGCTGTGACTGGAGGGTGGTGACTGACTTGCTCCGACACCAACGTTGTCTCGCCGAATTCGTCGTCCCATTTCCCCAGGAACAGCTCGCCTAGGAATGGATTGAGTGGCTTCTTCTCAGATCCGAGTTTTTCTGACCGGGAGCAGTATTGTTGTTTGAGGGTATTGAGCAGCCACTTTAACACCAGCAGAGCACGTCTTGCTGGATCCTTCTCTTGAGTCGGTGCAATGAACAGCGATGTGTTTTCAGCCCAGTACGCCGAAAATTCGACCAGAGATTGGGTGGAGAGAATGAATGCTGGTGCGGTCAACGAGGACAAGTCGCCATTGAAAGAGGCAATCGACTGTGCACATTTGTCAGTCTCTGGAGCATGCGCCGCGTTGGTGCCCCGGCTCGTGGGCCACCTTCATGTGCTCACTTTGAGAAAAGAGGACCACGATCCCTTGCTCTGACTCGGCACCGCGCCGCCTTCGACTTCGGGCATTGTGTGCTTGGGAGTGGCCACTTGCGCAGTTACTGTGGAATAGTCGGGCAGTCGTGTGCTCATGGACAGTTGTTGGGTGTTATGGCGAGGAGGCAGAGATATTCGAGTAGAGACAGTTCACGGAGCAAACAAAAGAGAGAGCGGCGATCTTCGCTTAACGAGAACAGGAGCACACGTTGATCAAGGGAAACAGTTGACGAGTGCACTCTGTTTCTCAATGTGGTTGGAGGGAGGCAAAGTCCCCTTCAATCTCGGTGACGTACAGTGGCTGAAGCCGAATGGAGCCACCAGTTACAAACGAGCAGGGCGTCACTGCCACATGTTGAGGAATCAAGGTCCCACTGAGATAAAACTATTTCTCCTTTTGGCTGCATGATTGTTGAAGGTATGTAGGATAAGTAAAGCTAGGGTACAGGAGAGCCACTCCTCACATCAACGTTCATTCCTGATTGCCATAACAATGGAGGCCAGGGAAGCGTAATCTCTCCAAAAAATACAAGAATGCTCAGCAATCCCTTTCAGCGGTATTCTCGGTTGTGGATGACGAAACCGGTTTACAGAGTGCCAGCGGCGTTGAAGTCCTTCAATGCCTCTGCCACACGAGCGCTCATGGTCTTCTCACCTTCACGCACCCACACACGAGGATCGAAGTACTTTTTGTTGGGCTTGTCCTCGCCTTCTGGGTTGCCGACTTGCTTCATGATGTAATCCTTCTTGTTCAGCACATAATCACGAATGCCGGTGAGGTAGGCATATTGCAAGTCGGTGTCGAGGTTGACTTTGACCACGCCATAGCTGATGGCATCGGTGTATTCCTTCTTGGACGAGCCGGAGCCACCGTGGAAGACAAGGAACACAGGCTTGTCTGACTTGGTGGATTCCTTCTCCTTGACGTATTTCTGGTGCTTGTCGAGGAGCTCGGGGTGAAGACGGACGTTTCCGGGCTTGTAGACACCGTGAACGTTACCGAAACCTGCGGCAATCGAGAAATAGGGGGAGATCTTCTTCAAAGTGGTGTAGATCAAGTGGATGTCCTCAGGTTGCGTGTAGAGGGCGTTGTTGTCGACATCCTCGTTGTTGACACCGTCTTCCTCTCCACCAGTAATACCGATTTCCTACTCTCCCATTAGTCTATGTCGCACAGACTTTATAGACATACGTACCATTTCCAGCCACTGCTTCATGGGAGCCGCCCGTTTGAGGTATTTGGCCGTGGTCTCGATGTTCCAGTCCACAGCTTCTTCAGACAAGTCAATCATGTGTGAGGAGAACAGAGGCTCGCCATGTTCTTTGAAATAGGCTTCGTCCGCGTCCATCATGCCATCGAGCCAGGGAAGAAGCTTCTTCGCGCAGTGGTCGGTATGCAGAACAACAGGAACACCGTATGCGGGGGCGACACAGCGGATATAGTGAGCCGCAGCCACTGCACCAGCAATGGATGCTTGTTGCTTGTCATTCTTGACGCCCTGTGAAGTGCTCTCAGTCTGCCGTTCCCTGCACCGTGCTTCTGTTCAACGAACCTTTCCGCAGAAGTACGCAGCACCTCCCTGAGAGGCCTGGAGGATGATGGGAGCATTTGCGTCGCGGGCAGCTTCCAGAGCGGCCACAACGGTCGAGGATGAGGTCACGTTCTACGAAGTTGAGGTCAGTGATCGTCCCAGTATGTTGAGGCCGGGCCACTTACAATGGCGGGAATGGCAAAGTTGTGCTCCTGAGCGTACTTGAAAAGATTCAAGACATCATCACCAACGATGACTCCCTCCTTTCGCGACAAGATATCCTTGACACCCATATTGGCGACTGTTGGAGTGGGGTTTTGGGGAGATTGGATTGAAGAGGGGTGGAAGGCACAGTAGCAAGGTCTTTCTGAAGAAGCTAAGCTACGGATAGGCCGTGGCAGTATATACCAGGAAGAGGTCAAGAGCAACGATGAATGGGAAATATGTGAGAAAAGAATATAATCGAAGTAAAAGTGAGTTCGGCTTGTGGGAGAGGAACAAAATGAATGCCGCTGGCTGGCTTCCGAAGCGGCGATGGAAGAAAGTGGTGAGGGGCAGCAACTGGTGCAACCAGCAATGACATCGAGCTTTCTTTCTGCCCGCCGGTGCCACTGTTGTTTTCATTCCTCGGCCAACGAGTTTTCATTCGCTTTCCCACCGAACCCCCCCAATCATGCTCTCTCCCCCGTCCCGGTTCTCTCCTTGGGATCGATGTCTCATCTACGGATCTTGCACTGTTCCATCCTTTTGCCCTGCGGAAGTTTGCGGGATTTGCTGCACCGGTCGCATGTCCTTTCCCCACGAAGAGCCAGTGGACCCGTTGGGGATGCGACTGGGCAGCCAGAAGAAACCGCTAGACTAGAGGGCAGTGTCCCGCTCGCCGGTTCCCATGTAGGTCGAGGGTACAGTTCTCACACTGACGGCCGATCACCACATTCACAGAGTCTCGGACCTGTGGCCACAACGAACCGACTGCTACATCACCAAGAATACTGCAAACGATGCCTGACTATGTGATCACTTTCACACCGAGAACAAGGATAACAAGCTCTGTCCACCGGAACGATCTAGACTGCCAGAGAAGCAGAAGCCTCGGATGGGGCAGAAAACAGCAGTGGAACATTCGTGCCACCTCAACTGTCGTTCTCAAGTCCACTCAGTGGGTCCATTGTGAGTGATAAAAGAAGACATCCTTTGCTTGATGGGCACAGTCTCGGACAGGGGGGCCAAAAGAGAATCAGCAAAGGTTAGAAGCTTCTAAGACACACCTGGCTGCTGGAGCAAGAGTCTAAGTCGTCACTGAGGCCAGTACAAGCCGAAGCCAGGGCATGATGGATGCATCAGAGCGAAGAGCATGCAGAATGAAGCACTTTCGATCCCGCGGTTATTCAGCTGCACGAATCTAGTCATCTAACCCCGGCTTAATAACATAAACACACAAGGAAACCCCTAGACTAGGAGCACATTCATTCACTTCTTCTCTGCCCATTCATCCGCGTACTTCTTCAGCCTGATGGTCTGAATCTTGATGAACCCGGTAGTGTCCTCGGCGCCGAAGTTCTCCAACGAGTCCATCGATGCCTCCTCCATGGAGTACAGCTTCTCGCTGCTGCTAGTACGGCCAAGGACGTAGGCTGATCCCTTGTAACAGCTCAAGCGGACCTCGCCGTTCACGTTCTGTTGGCTATAGATCAGGGAGTTCTCCACGAAGGCACGCTCGGGAGAGAAATCTAGAAAGAGGTACAGTGATTAGTATATGCCGAATGCAGAAACACACTTCCTTTCTGAACGAAGCAAAAGGGAGGGTGTTCTAGACGTACACAATCCATTGTAGACTATAGAGAGAATTAGTATTCGAGAACTCAAGAGGCAGGTGATATTACTTACGGTAATTGCTCCAATTATGAGTGACGAACTGAGGATCGAAGCGTCAGCTGCCATCGTAAATATACCGAGCGGAAAGATGATGTACTTACCTGATCTCGAAGAGCCCTAACTTGGCCATCGAGAACCAATCCCTCGAGGTCAAGGTGTGCAAGGCGGAGAATTGTCATGGCTGGGGACTGTAGATGAATGAGTTAGACGCATAAATCCACAAGTAGGCCATGCAGAAGAATTAGGGGGAGGGGGGAGGCAAAATTATTACATCGTAGCAGCCACGAGACTTCAGACCAATGAATCTATTCTCGACAATGTCGATCCTGCCAACACCGTGGATCTTCCCAATGCGGTTCAGCTCCTTGAAGAGCTGCACAGAGTCCGTGAATGTGCCCTGTGGCGTGACGACCTTGGTCGGAATACCCTTTTCAAAGCTGATGGTGATCTTGGTCGGCTCGTTGGGTGCCTTCAGTGGGTCGTCGGTCATAGTCCACATATCACTCGGAGGCTCCTGGTTTGGGTCTTCCAGGATACCAGCCTCGTAGCTGCAATGGGCAAGGTTGGCGTCCATCGACCACGGCTTCGCCTTGGTGGATGTGACTGGGAGGTTTGTGGCCGCAGCATAGTCGAGTAGATCGTTCCGGCCCTGGAATCGGTTGAAGAATTTGGGATCCCTCCATGGGGCAATGATTTTGATCGAAGGCTGGATCGCGTAAAAAGCGAACTCGAAGCGGAGTTGGTCGTTGCCCTACGAAAGGTTAGAAATGACCAGAGGTAGAGATACCAGAACTGGGTACCTTGGCGGTAGCACCGTGGCTGACTGAGTCACAGCCTTCACGCTGTGCGACTCGCATGAGAGATCGTGCAATTACTGGACGTGCAAGCGACGTGCCAAGCAGGTACCGTCCCTCGTACTGTACGATCAAATCAGTCTCTGTTGGCCGGGTGCAGGTCGACGGCAACTGCACTTACTTGAGCATTGCACTGCACAGCTCGGAAGCACAACTCCTCCACAAACTCCTTCTGCAAATCCTCAATCACCATCTTCGTGGCACCAATCTTGAGGGCCTTCTTCTCGACGGCATCCCAATCCTCTTCTTGTCCAACATTGGCAAGGAAGCATACGACCTCATAGCCATCGTCTGCATTCCCCATGTATCAGTGACTGGTGTTACATTGCAAAAGACTCTGGTCCATGAAGGTCTCACCGAGTAGCCACCTCAGAATACAGCTCGTATCCAGACCACCTGTATAGTCCAGATCAGCAATTTGCGCTCCAACGTGCCTTCTGACTCATATCTCACCGCTGTAGGCCTGGATACTGTTAGAGAAACACACGTAGCTGTTGAGGGACTGCCACTTACCAAGCAAACTTTTCCCTTCGCCATATTGTTGAGATGTACTTTCAGTATGAGATGGGATTCTCCCGCAAGCAATAGGAGACTAACCAAGTGGAATCCGGCTGCTGATAAGTGATAACCACTCGCAAAGGATTTCACAAATTTTCTCTTCTACCCCACGTGAGGTCGAGAAACTTTTTTAGAGTGTGGCGCATTGGAGCATGATAAAGCTCCTCTCAGTCCACTGATACCTTGGCGGGTCATGGAACTAAGCCAAAGGAGGTCAGGCGCTGCGCGTCGCGAATGTACTGTAAACATTTATCCCTCGAGTCATACATGGTAACCAGAAAATTTCAGGCTGCATAGGGCAAATCTCTGACTCTCTTGTGGGCAGACAGGATCGAAAGGGGCATCTGTAGACGACAACTGCGGTGAGTGTCTTCAATAGTTGTATTTTGAGCCTCAATCCACAAATCACAACTGGCAAACCAGATGGCAGTAATGCTGAACCGCACTCTGCATATGAGATTGAAGTCTGTCGACCTTCTGGCATGTCCTTTGACTGGTACCATGTTAGAGGGACTGGTTGATTCTACAATGGCTTGATGAAGACCTGGTTTCCCTCCCTAGTGATCAAATCTCCCCTAGAATTGGTTTCAAGCTCAGCGTCTGCAGCATGTGCTTCAGTTTGATCGGGATAAATGCAGACGTTTTTCAGCTCCGCTCTATCCAAGATCTAGTGATATGCAAAGGGCCAAAGTTGTGTGGCTTCAACATCTATCAGATCCCTCTTTTCGTATAGCTCCAAATGTCCCATATAACGAGGGTTTTAAAACGTAGTGCTTCAGATCGGCAACATGAGGCATACTACCAAATGGCGAGAGATTTAGGCGGAAGAATCGTCGCCTGGCCTTTCGAGCTCATAGAAGAGTAAGTAGACCTCACGCTGCATCGAGAGCACATCCGACAGACGTGCCTCCTTGATTTTGTCGTCCGATATGCGCCACCATCGATCGTTGGATTTTTTCCGTCGCCGGAACTTGCCTGGTATGGCATCTTGTGTTCTGATCTGTTTCGACACTTGGGTATCCGTTCTCTGTACTGGCGACATGACGCCGTCCTCTTGCGTCGATTGCCGGGCATCCTTGCTATCTACTCCATTAGAATTTGGCCTGCTGTTCCCGGTCGATAGTGAGGCTGTGGACAATGATGTAGTTGAGTTCCCAGTGGCAGGCGCGGCGGACCCATTCAGGCCCTCACCATGCGTGGCCTCAATAGTCGGACTGGGTGTGGCTGACGGAGCAAAGCTCGTATAGCGACTTGCGATGGCGTATGCACTAAACGGGTCGGGAGTAGCAAAGGGGGCATACACATGATTCCTTCGGAAAGACTCGTAGTGTCCACTGTGATGGCTGCCCTTGTGACATACCACTCCCAAGAGTTTGTACCAATGTTCATTTAACAGCCCTCCCAGACGCAATCTTTGAGTATATGACACTTTGGCCATGTTTTTGGTGGAATAGCTGCCTGGATCGAAGACTGACCGAGACAGATGAATGGCGATCACTTTGGGAAACACTGTGATGCGAGTCGACTTTTTAATCTTGCTCCTTGGTGCCAGACTCGTGTCAGGCAAGGCGACGCCCTCGGGAGTCTTCTCCGGGTCATCACGTAGCGCCTGCTCAATGAGACCAATGTCTTTCTCTAGCGCTTCTCGGCCTTTGTCTGTTGTGGCTGAGGACAGCTTTGAATTCTTCCAGTCCAGAGCATGCGTCAACCGGCATTTGTCGCATTTAAAATCGTCGATTTCTTCGCTTTTGAGGAGGATGTCGAAACAGTTGTCTAACGAGGTAGCGCTCTTCTGAGGAACATTCAGGGTCAGAGACACAAAAGTTGTGACTGTCGGTTTCGTCCTAAAGCCACAACGCTGGCACTGAATGTGGGATTCGATGCGGCCTTCGAAAGGAAATCCCTCACGAGCTCCTATAGTGACCTCCGTTGATGCTGGTGTTGTAGGAGAAAGCTTTGAATCTGCAGTGGAGGAATCTTCGGTCTGATCTGGATTGGCAAACCTAAGACGCGCTCGCTGTGCTGCATGGTATTCGTCGCAGAGCCGTTCGAGGACAATCTGTAGAAATTCCTGCGCATCTTGCTGATTTCGACTAATGCGTGTATTAAATGCCCTCTCCAATGCCTCTATCATGGGCCGTGCACTGATGGTCTTTTTGTATATGGGACGCTCGTTCAAAGCGTCCAGCATCTCCTTCAACGCCCTGGTAACTGGCCCTTTCTGTAAACCCACTATTTTATCGGCTTTTTCACCTTTGCGCAAAACAGGGGGAATGGATTCATAAATCTCGGGTCCGTCAAGCTGTCTCCGGTGCAACTCCTTGATCAGGTACAGCCTGAGGTCGCCGAGTCCTGCAAGGGCTTGAAGCACCGAGTTAATGAAGCAATCGTTGGCCGGATTGGACAGGCCAATGATGGTGCGTTTGCGGCCATCATTCGTATTGTAGGAATTCTCGCCGTCGATGAAGAAGGTTGGCGCGAAGACGTAGAACGCAGCGATCGCAGCAAGAGAAGCGCCAGCCGCATATGCGACGACAGTGGCGGGCTTGTCAGGCATCCGGATAGTGTTCTGACGTCGGAGTCAGACCCATGGCGCTTACAACGAACGATCACGACATTGGGACGACACAAGACTAGTCGTGTTGGCGAGAGAGGTGGTCGAAGGCCTGCTGGGAGGAGGTGGTGGTGCTCGAGAGAAGGTTGAACTGAGGAGAGGGCAAATCTGGGGGACGGGACAAAGGGGGGGTTTTGCTCCGAATCTTTTTTCCTTAAGTGCTTCGGCTGGGGACAGGAACGAGCACAAATCAATTACCCAGCTGCAGGAGGGGGAGTCGGGGTTGTTATTATTAGTGGAGCAGAATACCTAGGCACTAGCTTAGTGGCCCGACAGGTGCCTATCGAATCAGTGAAGGAGCCCAGCAGCCTTGGAATGGAGGACCCTGGTACTTACCCGGGCGTTCAACCTTGGGGAGCAGGTCGGGCACCTAGTCGGGAAATGTTGCCTGATAGATGGGCGCCCGGCAGGTACCCGCTAAGCCCCATCTAATCGGAACTTATGCTCGCTGCACAAACTCAAGCTTTGCCCACCACGCCCAGCTGCCTAGAATACATTGAAACTTCAAGAACGCCATAACCGCCTTCAGTTGGCCTGCTTGGGCGACAGAAGCAAGGTCTGCTGGGAGAGCTGGTGGCCTTATCGTCCGTGACAGGTGTCCGTGTGGCCGCGCAAACATGAAACGCCGAGAAGACCTGCTGAGATGCCATGCTCACACGTTTGCCCAATGAGCCTCATTCCCCCGCGAATTCTGATTTGTCCTCACGAGGTGCTAACATGTAGGGCCTTCCATACCTTGATCAAACAGGATCCGTATATCTTCTCGAAAGGACACGTCGTGTCAACTGGTGATTCCGACTGGCAATGTCGAAGACCAACGGATCCCCATATATCCCACTACCACATACCGGCGATTTCATCAGGCTTCTCGAATTGGATCCAGGACAACCCACAGACGCTCTTGCTGGCAGGTTCGTCGTACACGACCTCAAACATGCGCAACCTCAGTACACTGCAACCTCGTACGTATGCGGCGACGATAATCGTTCCCACCACCACATACTGATGTCGAACTCCAAGCTTGGTATCTACAAAAGCGCAGATGAGGTCCTGAGGAGATTCCGGTCTGTAACGAATACTACGTATCTGTGGATCGATGTTGTATGCATCGACCAGGATGACATGGCAGAGAAGGCTAGGGAGGTGAACTTGATGTACAAGGTATATGAAAAGGCCGAACGGACCGTGATATGGCTAGGCCCCAGTGACGACAACACAGCTGTTGCAATTCAATATGCCAGGACACTTAACGCTAGAAGTTTCCTTGACGAGTACACACCCACAGTGATGTACGCTGGACACGAAACACAGTACTTGCAGAACAAATCTCACATACTCGACGTCTTAGATACTCATCCGCAAAAGGAACTACTGATCAACTCGTGCGCGAAGCTTCTCCTCCGCCCTTGGTTTACTCGCGTCTGGACCCAACAAGAAGGTGCTTTGAGTTCTAGCCCTTTGGTGGTCTGCGGTGCAGAAGAGATACCCTGGAATCAGATCTTTGCATTGGCGTGGCTGTTCTTCCCAAGGTCCACGATGCGGTGGCCTCAGTGGTTTCTCTCAGATAATCCCTCACACACATATGCTCAACTTGAACCAAACATGATGTTTGTTCGAAGCATTCAGAGATACCGGCTTCACCAGATGCAGGTTGCGAACCACGAACCGCAAACCCGGGAAGTCGGCCTGATATATGCCATGTTCGATGCGTCTCGATTGAAATGCTATGATCCACGGGACAAGATTTACGCCATCCGAAACATTGCCACAGACTTGGCTCAAGATGACTGGGCGCCTCAGCCCGACTATATTACCCCCTGGGAGGACGTCTATACCGATTTCGCCGTGCGCATGGCGGATAAAGGGAGACGCGAGGTATTGGGCTGGTCGGGGGTTTGTCAGCAGGAAGGGCAATCAGGTCTGCCGTCTTGGGCGGTTGATTGGAGGTCTCGCCCCTGGACCCAATATATCGTTCCTGAAGAATGGTGTGCTGGGGGAAAGATTTTTCGGCCAAAGGTAGAGCGAATGCCCAAGAAGAAGCAGCATTATCTGATGAAATTGCTCGAGAGGGCGAAGCAGCCGAGGAAACGGCTGCGATACGTCTTGTCAATCACCATCTTGATGCAAGACACTATCGCCTATCTCAGTGGTGTTTGTGAAAACGGAAAAGGGTTTGATGGAATCGCAAGGCCTTCTGAAGAAGTGCTATCATTGGATCAAAGATCTCGGGACTTCATCCAAACCCTGTCCTCTAAGTTCTATATCAACTCCGAACATATGCTTGACGCTTACAACTCTACCCTCATTGCCAATACTACCGACCAAGACACCATTGCATCAGCCTCCTACGTCTCCTCCGGCGTACAGCAATGGCGCTCTTGGCTCTCCTCAGGGACACCGTTAGGAACCCACGCTGGGACCGACAATGAAAATACACCCCCCAAATTCTACGAAGCTGTTGATACTGTGGACACATTCAAGTACAAACAATTCTGTGTGTCTACCTTTGGCTACTTCTGCCTTGTCCCGGACCTCACCGAAGCGACCGATACCGTTGCTATCGTCAAAGGAGTGGACATGCCGGTCGTGCTCCGTCGCATCAACGACTTTTACGTGTACTTGGGACAATGCTACATCCACGGCATGATGGAATTGAAAGCCGGTGAACTGATCGAGGAGTTTCGGGTCAAGTTCAACGCCAAGGAGGGAATGGTGGTTGTGGGCAGGCCCGAAGGCGATATCAGGAAGAACGGCTTAAAGATGGATGCGGGTGAATATGTCCGGATATTGGGAAGCCTGGGGGAGAGGAAGATCGAGTTGATATGATACCCGTCTTGTCGGTTTTCTGATGCCGAGCCAGTCTTGGGAAAGATCCTGAGAGTCACCCTCTGTTTGTGGGGCCTTTGATGCTAGGCAATTATCCGCCATCAGATGCATGTGAAAATGGTGTCTCGGAATCGTTCAGTGATGTACTTGCTGTGATAGAGCCAGTTTTGTGAATTCCTCCGCAGCATCAGGCTCCTGTCTGGCGGGGACTAAACAGGCGTTGCAAGGGCAATCGCAATTGCAAGTCGAATACGAGATACGATGCTAACGGGGGGTGAGTCATTGGAATATCTCCTCTACATCTCTGGATTAACTCGATGCTGCGTCTTGAACCATAGTCCCCTCCTCACCCCGACGGCCATGAAGGTTGTCGTAGAAGAATACAACCCTGAGTGGGCACTCCAATTCCAGCAAATCAAAGAAGAGTTACAGCAGGCCCTGAAGGGAGTCAAATACATCGGCATCGAGCATGTGGGCAGCACGTCTGTCCCAGGATTGGCCGCCAAACCCGTCATCGACCTCTCTATCATCAGCACCCGAGCCGACGTGGAGGCTGCTATCAACGCATTGACGTCAAAGGGAGGATACATTTACAGAGGGGAAATGGGTATCCCGGATCGTCACGCCTGGGGAAACCCGGGGCATTTCCAGCGAGGCATCTCTATGTCTCTGTGGACGGATGCCAGTCCATCAGGAACCAACTGGGGGTGAGGGATATTTGTCGAAGAGACCCCGCAGTTCGAGACGCCTATAGTCAAGGAAAGCTCGAGCTGTGCAAGCGAGACTGGAGAGACGTCGATCAGTATTGCCAGGCCAAAAACGATATTCTAGCGTGGGTGCTGGAGAAGGCCGGGATGAGCAGCGAAGAGCGGGAGCAAGTGAGGCAACTGAACACGACGGCAAGCTCCTAGTGGCAGCTTGTCGCCGTTTGAACGGGCGGGCCTTTCCTTGCCTCCCTGTTGTAGTGCGGAGTTGAGCTTGTCCGTTTGTTTCGAGTAAAAGGAAACGACATGGACTTTGCTCCTCTGGGAATTCAACCAGTCGGTCGAGGTGAAAAAAGCCTCCCTCGGTACATACACCCTGGCCATCCGATCGTTGTGATGATCGAACATACGAGCGCAGATCGTGACTCGCTATCTTATCACTCCACTTACAATACATCCACAGGAGATGTCATGAGTGGAACTTGGATTGCAGAACGAGGTGGTGTGAACTCGCACATGTGCACAGTGATGGTTCTCGAAGGATCGATATGGCAGGTCTGCTTCTGGCGGGGTGTGTTTTTGCCGTCATTGTGCGTACCACGTACAGACCAGGGTGGGACAACCCGAAAGTTTCTGAGAGGAAGCAACGATGGATCGCGATGAGATTGCTGAGTGAGATGGGGAGAACTGGTCGGCTCATCCACCGGGGTGGTCGATGGGGAAGAGGATGCATGAGACCTAGCGAATAGGTGAGTTCATTGTGCCCTTCGATAGGCGAAATGGATGGAAAATTCTGCGGGAAGTGAAAAGAGAAAAGATGAACTTAAGTTTATGCCGCATATGCATGTCGCAGTGCTGCAGGCGCCGTTCGTGGTCTCTCGGGGCGAGGGTTACAGGCGCTGGGGCACCCTTGGACATCCTTGGGCGAGCCCAGTCCGTCGCAATAGGCTAGACGGTGGCTAAATAGCCGAAGGATTCGGCGGCGGCCAATGGGCTGACGGGCCACCCACGTCGCATGCTCAGGGGCACGCGTCTTGGCTGCCATCATAGGTTGGGAAGATTCTCAATCGGGCGGTTGAAACACAAACAGGCGCAGGCTCTGTACATAGAAGCACGACGGAGTAATTACAATCTTGCGGTTCTCCTTCTGAAACAACAACGCATCCTCCTCTTCTTCTGTACATACCTACGTTATTATTGTTTCCTTTTTAACCAAGCACATCATATTTTCATTCTCTGTGCCCATTTCTCTTAGAGCGTCGCTTTTGACACGTCTTTGTCGTTCGCTAACCACTGCCCGGATTCGAGACTCACCATTCCGCCGAACCCTTTGTTCCTCAACTGGCAATCTTTTGTTCGCGGAGTTACAATAGACTTTGGACGCCCCAACTGCCCTGGTCGGCGAGGCTGCCTGCAATCGTTCATACCAGCAACATTATTATGCAAACACCTCTGTAAAGTTTTGCTTTGCAGAGACGCAAGACCAGCAACGCAACATGTCGGCCATTCAAGCGCTTTTTCCACGGCAAACCTCATTCACGCCCGATCCCAGTCTATCCAAAGGAGAGCAGGTCCTCCAATTGGTTGCTAACCCGTTTCAAGCTTCAGTACGTATACTCCTGGCACCAAAAATGTGGACATTGTGCTGACCCTACTCAGCTTCAAACCGGTGCCTTTTGGGCCTCCCTGGGAACCTCACTGGGACTCAGTACTGGCCTCGCTCTCCTATTTTGCCTTATCCGGCCACGGAACAATGTCGTCTATGCCCCAAGACTGAAAAATGCAGACAAGGATCACGCCCCGCCCCCGTTGGGGAAGGGGTTGTTCAGTTGGGTCGCACCGGTCAGAAAGGCATCGGAGCCATATTTGATGGAGAGGATCGGCATGGATGCGGTTGTCTTCTTGCGCTTCACTCGAATGCTGCGAAATATGTTCGTGGTTTTGGGCATCATGGGCATTGTAGTCATGATTCCTGTTAACGTCACACAGGGGAACAAGGCAATCACAAAGGGTCAAAACGCCTTTGCCATCATGACCCCCTTATTCATCTTCGGAGGTGGCTTGTGGGCGCAGGTGGTTGTGGCATGGTTAATTGACTTGGTGGTGATATACTTTCTATGGCACAATTACCGTCGGATCCATCACCTACGACGAGTGTACCTCGAAAGCCCCGAATACCAGAGAAGTCTACACGCCCGGACGATCTTGATTCGAGACATTCCGACCAATCTCCGGAACAATGAAGGCATTGCCCGAATCACTGATGAGGTCAATCCGACAGGCACTGCGCCAAGAACCACCGTTGGACGCAACGTGAAGGTACTACCAGATCTGATTGAAGAACACGAAGAGACCGTCAGGGAACTGGAGTCTATTCTGGCGAAATATCTGAAAAATCCGGATCGGCTGCCACCTAACCGACCAATGATGAAGGCCCCCAGCAAATACAGGGGTCAGACGACGAACGGCAAGGTCGATGCCATTGAATATCTCACAGATCGCATCCGGACCCTCGAGATGGAAATCAATGATATTCGAGAGCGCGTGGACAATCGCGATGCCATGTCCTACGGTTTTGCCAGCTGGGAACAGGTTTCCGAGGCACACACCGTCGCATTCCAGGCACGAAACAAACATCCTCACGGCACCAAGATACGCTTAGCACCGAGGCCTAACGACCTTATTTGGGACAATCTCAAACTGTCTCGAGCTTCGCGGAAGCGCAAGCGGATAATGAATGGCATCTGGATCGCCGTTCTGACGATCATCTGGACGCCCATCAACGCTGGAATAGCGATCTTCCTCTCTAACCTGTCAAATCTGGGTCTGGTTTGGCCAGCTTTCAAAACCCAGCTGGAAGCACATCATACGGGCTGGTCTATCGTCCAGGGTATTGCCGCCCCGGCCATCACTTCCCTCGTTTATCTCCTGCTTCCGAGCATCTTTCGGCGACTTCAAGTCCGTGCTGGTGATGTGACCAAGACGGATCGAGATCGACACGTCTTTCGGAACTTGTACGCCTTTTTCACTTTGAACAACTTAATCGTATTCTCCATCTTTTCGGCAATCTGGCAGTACGTGACGATTGTGATCCAGTACAACAAACAGAGCAACGATCTGTGGACCGCTCTCAGACAAGGTCAATTCTTCCTTGTCATCACGACCACACTCTGCCAGATCTCACCTTTCTGGGTTACGTGGATCCTTCAGCGAACTCTCGGCGCCGCTACCGATCTGGCCCAGCTGTGGCAGTTGACCTACACCTGGTTTGCAAGAACATTCATGGCCCCAACTCCCCGGCAGAACATCGAGTGGACCGCACCTCCAACCTTTGACTATGCCAGTTATTACAATTATTTTCTTTTCTACACCACGGTGGCCCTTTGCTATTCTACGCTCCAGCCGATTGTGCTTGTTGTTACCGCATTATATTTTGTGATCGACGCATTTTTGAAGAAATACCTTCTCATGTATGTGTTTGTTACCAAGACCGAGTCTGGCGGTCAATTCTGGACGACCATGTTCAACCGGATCATATTTGCCACGATTCTTTCCAATGTTGTTATCGGTGTGGTCGTCAAAGCCAGAGGACAATGGACCCTCGTTGCGGCGATCGCGCCACTGATTGTCATCATGCTTGCCTTCAAGTGGTATTGCATGAAGACTTTTGATCTGGACCTGAAGTACTACTCTCGAGGTGGTATGCACGATCAAGAACGTCTTGCGGTAGACGGCAAATCGAGGGATCCTGAGAAGGTTTCATCCAAATTCGGGCATCCAGCCCTGTACCAACCTCTCATGACGCCGATGGTCCATGCCAAGGCCAAGCATGTTCTTGCCGAGATATATCGTGGCCGACTACAGTCCGACGGCGGACAACCCATGGAATTCCCGGACATAGCCATGCAGCCTATGACCCAGACGGGCAAGCCACCTCAGGACGTTCCTTTTGAATTTGTCCCTGAGGCTCAACAAGACTTCCAGTTTTACAAAAACCGCGAGGACTTCCGTGAAGAGGCGGGCGACATGCTTTCCTCCTCGCGAAGCCAGACGCCGGCCTCGTCATTTGTCGGTGTGAAGGACACTTCGCCATCAAGTTCTCGGGACACGAGCCCTGCGCCTCAGGCGATAACGCAACACCAAACACACATCCATCGCAAGGACTTTGACCAATCTCATGTTCCGAGCCAGTTTAGACACGGCCCTGCTGCTCCTTTCGAGGGCCCCACCAGTGGAGGCCTAGGACCACATCAGGGTCCATACACGGATCCCTATGACGATAGGATGAACTTGCTAGGTAGTGCGGGCGATGTCAGAACACCGAACGGCGAGTTCATCTCCATGGACCGTTGGCGGACTCCCGTGGCGAGTCGAGATGGAAGCGAAACCGAAGGTTATCGGGATACGACTCCAGGGGAAGAGCTGAACACGAATTATGATTACTTCCGAGGCCGACGGTGAAAGAGATGGCGTTTTTGGTCCCAATCTCGATCACGTTATTCTCGCTAGATAAAACCCTCCGTATAGAAAAAAGTGCATTTATGAAGCTACGAATTGGGATAGGATTATGATGATTGCCCAAGGAAGAATGAAGATTCCATTTGAACCCATTGAAGTGTTTCAATGTCATCCAAATTACTGATTCCTTCGAATGCCCCATAGACTAGACGGACCATCCTTCCGTTATGCTGAGCGACAAGAAAGGGGGTTCTGTCGTCGACGAGTCAGAATCACCATCCCTGGACAATATCACTAAAGGTGTAAATATGAAGAAAACGGCAGAGCGGTAGCTCATTATGAAAAGAGCTGTCTCCTCAACTCAGACGAATCGCTCAGGGTGTGTGACTCCTGAACAAGGCACACAACAACGAGAAGGGATATCCCAACCGTGTACATAGCCCTTTCCGGCATGTCGGGTTAGAGGATATGCTGTCGTATCAAAATTGGTGCATTAGGCGTTCGTCAGACACTACGAGTAGTTTGTTGTCTGTGTGTGTATATAGGCTGTTATTTATCCCCTGTGCTCTCCTTGCAACAATAGCACGCACGCCTCAACCTAGTTGCACTTCTGTGAACTCAACTCAAATCCGGTTCTTGTGATAGTCGGACGGGATCCGCGTATAGACCACGGCGGGCTGCTTATAACTCCAGGCGTTTGGCGACGCAAAGACCGCATTACCATATGGCATGGGTAGTCCATGCTGCATTGGCGGTGGCGGCGGCGGCGGTGGTGGCAGCAGCTGCTCCTCCTCGTCCATCGGGTTCAGGATTCTGATCAGGCCGGCGATGCAGAAGAAGATGACGGCTGTGGTGGCGGCGTAGACGATGGCATAGGTCATGCTGAACATGTCGTAGGGGCTCAAGTTGAACCAGTCGAAGACCATGACGGAGGCGAGCCCCAGCATCGAGCGGGCGAGGAACGCCACGACCAGAGCGGACCAGTACCTCCGATACTTCTGGAAGCCGTGGTGCTTGCCGTCGCCGGGGTCGAAGCCGAGCGCGATGACGGTGCCGTAGAGCCCGGCGACGGTCATCACCCCGTAGACACCGATGGACACGCCGATCAGGATCGTGTTGGCCGTGGTGAGCGTGCGGCAAGTGTCTGGATCCTCGCTGCTGGAAGGGTCGAGCGCGTTGACGACGAAGTACTTGTGCGCAAGGTCGACGCCGAGCCCGGCCAGAAAAGCAAGCATAGCCAGGATCACGATGATCCATCGCGCCGTTTGTCCGATCAACAGCATTCCACCCTGTTGGGCGACGTTGCCCAACAGCGCCGCTTCCTCAGAGCTGGCGAAGATCAAGATGAAGAGCCAGAACTCGGCAATGCTCTGAGGTTTGTCCCGCACTTCTTCTGCCCACAGATATACAACGCCGACGGTATAGTGGCGGTACCTGAGGAAACGAAAGACGGCGTCGGCGAAGAAGAAGCTGTGTCGTATGTAGATATGTAGTCAGCTGACCTCGGGGGTGAAAAGTGTCTATAGGGGAACTGTTAAAGAGATGCTCCATATGCACCCACAGCAGAGTCAGGATCATGATTCCTGAAAGCGACGACCACCCTTTCAATCCATGGTACTTCCGGAACCACAGCCCATTCTCCTTCGGAGGACGTCCAATGAAGCTCCAGATGAAGATTAGGAGGACAGAGACGAAAGCCGATGCACGCGGCGAGAAAGGCGACGAAGAGCAGTGTAGGCCGACCCTGGAGATGAATCACCTGTGCGACAACATCGAAGGTGTTGCCCTCGGGGTGTATTTCATCGCAAGGGCTCGCTGGGCCTCTTGTCTGTAGGTGTCCCAGGAGATCCATTCCATGTTCTCCCCCAATGCCGGTTGTTTCTAGAACAAAGAATGCTGGAAAGGCTTCTCCCAATGAAGAAGACGGAATCCGTGCACTGAAAGCTGCTCGTGCAGCAACTGCGTCCTTATGACTGTGTCTCTAGGGCTCCGAGCCGAGTGCCCAGTGTAGGGCTGAAGATATCTTTGGCGAGGGGTGCGACCTACCTCACGAGCCACAAGGAATTCCAAGCTCATTGGGACATGAGGGCGTGTTTTTCTCGCCATACGTATGATTCGCGAAAGATGAGGCTAGAGGTCTTTAGGACTTTTGGAACACGAGGTTGTCTGGGCCCAGACCTTCTTGCCGAACTTACCAACGACTCAGGTCGCTATCCTCGTTCAAGGGCATTAGAGTTTCGTTGGCATCCAGCCACCAATGACCTCACCTTACTCGGTTAGAGACGAGTTGGGCCAGTTTCAACCGTTGTGCAGCCTCCCAAAACCACAGATCTGTAGACGGGTCTGTCCTCGCAGTAGATGGGCAGCTATATGGCGCGTCTGCGGTCATGGAATTTGTGCCATTTTGGTTGAGACACTCGTAGTGGGAAATCCGATTGGATAGCTCCAGGCCAAGAGGTAGGGGGCCCTCAAGATCCACATCGTAGAGCTGCAGGAAAATGATTGCTTGAACCTGAGCCCATTGGCATTGAGAGCCACTTTAGGCGTTCGAAGTTCACGCCTATACGCTCTCAGATTGGAGGTGGGATTATAATCAAGTCGGATTTGAGTCTTTTCATATTTGTGGTTTAGCTCACGCTAGCAAATCAGCACCCGACTGAGGACTGTGCCATACAGTGGCGCATTCCATTTGCCTGAGGGGCGGCGAAGCGCCTTGTCATGCCGAGGCCTGTCATCAATCGGGGTTCCGCGTCGGAGAGAAAAAGTGCAGTAGACCCATCTCGAGTTCTTTGTTACAAAATCCATCAAGCTGAACGCAATGGAGTCACTTCCCTCGGTTTCTGAACTGAGCGTAGGCAATATGCGACGGGTTAGGGGAATAGTTCGACACCCAAGAATGGACCACAGAACCTATCGGAGAAATAAAAGAAGTAGAGGATTTGAGGGCGAAGGTTTCATATCTGTGTAAGAGGTTAGATCTATATCGGAAAAGAGGTCAGCGCGAGTTAATAACCATTATCTATCGCATAAGCTAATATGAGAAGGGTCATTCCGGGTTCTTAGCCTTACAAATTAGCGAACTCGACGCCTATCGCCTCCCTCCGGCTGTTTACGACTGCGCTCCATTCCATCTCATTCCAATTCAGATTCTGGATGGTGAATCGACGGTGGGAGGGATAAAGTTGTCAAAGAAGAAGGCTTACTTATGTCCAAAAACAACGCGGAAAGTACGGATGCTTTGCATCCCTCACCGATAATAAAGGCAGGCTTCAGATCAGCACAAGAACCGTATCTATTGGTCCGTACCGGCCACTGACTATATGTTGCTGGATGTTTGAAACGTGAAGATAACGCGTGAGCGATGGGTTATGGACCAGAGCAAGTCGCGTATAATAGGAGAATTGATAGGATAATATGGGGGGTATTAGAATCGGTTTGCGGATCGAAGAGAGCGTGCTATCCGAGATCGTAAGGTGTGATACCGGTGAAGAGAGCGTACTGTTCGGGAGCGGAAGGCGTGAACGTTGGGATCAGGCCGCGGATCAAAGAGAGAATGCTGCAGACAGAAGCATCTCTCAGCTGGGTGAGCTGCAGAGCTTCTCGTATTTCCTGCGTCTCGGCTAGGGTTAGAAGGCTTGACTTTAGTAGGAGGTACAAAACGAATCAAGGAGTGAGTATTCGAGAAAGAAAGAGGCGAAATGAAACACAGAAACTGCCCAGAATGGTTAGATACAATCCAGCTAGACCAAATTCGACAATCTTCTTAAGCTCCGGCCTAGGCCTGTAACAGAGAAAGGCTCTCTGAGAGCCTAATCGAACTCTCAAGTCCTGTTTTCTCAAGCGCCAAAATCTTCCTCTGCCCATACGTGGAATCTAGTAGGCGGTCTTCTCCCGTTCTTCGAGATGTTGGTGATCGACTACTTATAGCCTTTATAGACGGCTCCGACGCTACTCTCTTCTTGAGTATCGTGGTCAACTGCCGCGCTACCGGCCCTGGTAGATGCGCAGTTTTCATGAAATAATAATCCATGCCTGCTTGCTGTTTCAGCCCGGTCCAGTCTGCCGCTGCGGCTTGGGACAAGATATGGAATGCCGACCTTGAGCCGGGCCGGACAACCATGTACTCGTCAGATCTATAGACTTCACCTGACGAGGGCTTTCATACTGTATTATCAGATGTTCCGAATATAGATCAAGGCATACTTGGCTCCAGCCTTGGTGACGGCATCTTGAACAGCATCAAGACCTGGTGAGGTCGGCGTAGACTCTTTCGACGCTTTGCGTGTTCTGGGGTGAGGCCTGGGATCGCCTTTTCGAGATCTCCCATTGCGAGAAACACTTTGACGACTAGTCTTTGGGCGGCTCGAGCGCCCAACATGACCGGTTGGACCGAAGACAATGATGTTGTCACCCATGCTACTCTCTGGAGAGGACATTGGGAATTTCTAATAGCACAATAGCAGAGTAACAGGGCTGTCTAACACCACTTGTAGCGGTAGGAGCAGATATAAGTCCCAAATATATACATCAGCAAAAAGTCCCACGGCCTACAGAAACATTCTCTTTGACCGTCAAAAAGTCGGGAGCCTCAACGCCCTCTCCCAGGTCCTTCTGTCTGATTTCTTCTTCGGTGGGAGCGCGGGGGCCTCGTGTGGTAGCGTCTTGCCCCGACTTGCCCAGCTGCCACCTAGGGAATTGGGTCAGAGATGGTATATCTAGCCAAAGGTCGGGAAAGGGATGTCCTACACCACGTAGCGGTTGAGTGTTCTATCATGGTTCCGAATCGTCTTCTTAACGTGCTTTCCTTTTCCGCGGATTCGGTCTTGCTCTATATGCGCTCCTAGGCTGTAGCCATTGGCTTCTGCTTGCGCCCACACTTCGTCGACATCGCGGCTGCCCATACTACCGAGACTGTTAAGGACAAGGATGATAAAGGAGGGCGTGAACGAGTGCGAGTACGGACGGCGAGGACATAAACGGTGTGCTCCCGAGAGCTAGGAGGGAAACCCGGCATAGAAGTCGAGGAAAAAAGCACATAGCGCAAGGCGAGTGGACCTGGGTCCAGGAAAAGGAAGGGGGGAGCGGATTTTTTGTAGGTCAAGCGATGGGCGGCAGACGACGACCACCGAAATCGCCGCGGTCGCGCCGTCGGCCAGGTCTGCATCTTGTTCTCAAAGTTAGGACGTGCGTCCCACAGGCCCCAAAGCACACCGTCGCCAGAAGTTGCAGCAGGGACGGGAGAAGGGTGAGTGGGAGGGAGTCGAGGGTGATGGGGGTCGAGTGGTGATTTAAAAGCGGCGACGCTGGGGTGAGGGTCACGGTGAGGCGGATGCAGATTTCCCTCGTCTTTTGGGGCCAAGCTACGAAGCGGCAAGGGATGACCCTAAATGAGCTTTCCTGTCCTTCTCATTTTCGGAAGATACAGCAAACATAGCACAAACTAGGGTCTTGATACTGTGCCGCCTGGCAACTACAGACTCGCTATATCCCATCTGCCAGATCATCGCGGACATCTTGTCATGGAAGGTCCTCGAAAATATATGAGTAAGAAGCAACGGCCATGCGACTTCTGTCGGTCACGCAAGTCTGCCTGTCTTATCAAATCCAAGCCGCCTTGCAGACTTTGTCAATTGCACGCTCGCAGCTGTACATTTCTTCAGCCGACTTCCTCGCGAGGAAAGGTAGCCCAACACGAACATACCACAGTCGCCGCCCCAACAACTCCTAGCCCTCCTGGCTGCCTGGATCCCTCATCTCCCAGAGGACTTCTCCAACCATGCGTGCCCGCCATGGCCAATGAATTTTTGCATCCTCGATATACCGCGGTCATGGACGTCGCGCCGTCGACAGCACCAGTGTCTCCATTTGCGCAACAACAACCCGGCCACAATGGTGACTTGGGTCACCCGGGAGATGATATCTGGAACACGTTCGAAGATTACCTGGTAACGTGCCCAGACTTTGATCCTGTCCTAAGTCCTGATACGAGCGGACAATCGAGGCCCCCTGCTGCTATCGATGGTAACGAGCGATCTTCAGTGCCTTGTCAGCAACCGTCACGTCCTGTCAGCCTGTTGGATACCGATGGTCCTACAACTGCTCAGGCTCTTGGAATGACCGCAGACATCGATACGTCCCTGATGCTGCTGTTTCAACTGAACGGCGAAGGAAAATTTTCATTCAACAAGCTGACCTCCCTGTCTGTTGACCAGGAGAAAGTACCTCTCTATTTCACTTTGGCTCAGCCATCGGTCTTTACCGACAGTCGAGAAGAGTCCGGTCCAGATCTACCTCTCGGAGAGCAGGCCCGACTTAATTTGGAATCTGTTTTCTCGGTTGAGGTTGGCCGACGACTCCTGGCTCTATATGATGAGTATGTTGCACCACAGTATCCGATATTCGCCCTGTCCAACCCGCTCGACCCGACGAATTCTCCACCATACCTCCTCGCGGCTGTTTATGCTATAGTACAGCCATTTATTCCGCTCGATGAGATATTGTTCATTGAGCGTGCCTACGATACGCCCCCTTATGCACAGCTATCCAGGATCAGTTTGAAAGCGATGTTGGCAGAACTGCATGCTCCTCAGCTTCCTCTCATCCAAGCTCTACTCTTGATCGTGTTGCGCCCGCCCACGACCGATCATGTATCCGAGGTAGCATGGAAATGGTGTCTGTTCGGCACCTTGATCGCAGCAGCACAGACGCTTGGGCTGCATCAAAATCCCAGGACATGGCGTATTCCAGAATGGCAAATTTCACAGCGACGAAGAATATCATGGTTGCTTTACGCCACAGACAAGTGGCTTGCTTGTGCATTTGGCAAAGCGCCTCTACTGACGGCGGACAATTGGCTTGTCAATTCCTTGTCCGAGAGTGACAGTTTCGATGCCGGAGTCGACCCAGATAATTGGATCTACCTCTTATCATTTTCTCATCTTACCTCAATCCTATCAAGGAGTCTGCAAAAGCTCTTGTGAGTCACCATCCCTTCCCTGCTTCAAGCTCCATACTTACAGTCTAGTTCTTTGCGTGCATTGGACACGTTGATATCCGACACGCTAGCGACAAGTGCACTTATCCAGGAATTTCAAACGGAATTAGTTGCCTGGCGAAGCCAACTTCCAGATGTACAGGATGTTGTAGACCAACACAAGAATACCCTAGCCTTGCAGACCATGTGCAAGTTAGGTGATGCTTGTTTAATGATTCAGCTTTCCCGCGCCAACATTCGTCCGTACCTGGCTGCTGCCAAAACGCCAGACGGCAGCAACAGAAATGCAGACGATTATAACCATGTGCGAAGTCAAAGTCGAACAGCACTCCGGGAGGTTGTCAATTTCATCGAAGCGCTAGATCTAGACCACGCCAACATCTTTGTCCCGATCTGGGGCCAGCATACCGTCTCATGCCTCTACCACACTCTACTACTCATGGCACTCACTTCGAATACCCTCGTGGATGCAGTTGAATGGACAAACGATTTTCAGAGAGCTTATGGAGAATTGAGGACCAAGTCAAGACTGATAAAGGCACTCCGTTTTGCGTACTTTCGCATCGGTTCTATATTTTGGAAGGGTCTTGTAAATGTCTTTCGGCTCGAACCCCATATTCTTGAAGCATTCGAGACGACCAGGCTCAATGTCGGGTCTAGCTGGAGATGACGACGACAAGTGGAGCCGTCGGAGGTGCCTTGTTCATGATGACCAGCCGCCTAGCCATTGGAGTTGCAACAACAGCAGACGAGGCAAACTCCCCTGTCATCATTACTGTTCACAGCTCATCATGCCGCAAATACATGTTGTCAATCACCTTCTTGACCTCGGTAGGGAAAAATGATACGTTGCCAACCATTCCCCAACCCGTTGCAGGAAGATCGGTTCTCTTTTCCCACACGGCTGACGATGGAAGTTCGTCCTTCAATTGTTCCTTGACGGCGTCGACTTCGTCCATGGCTCGCATCAAGTTTCCCCCCATTACATCCCGCATCTCTGCTTCGGTCCAGCCTCGCGAAAGGAGCTCCGCGACCTGAATAGGCGCCGTGAGTGCATGCAACAAGCCTGACTGGATCCAGACTTACCAAGTAGGGATACTTGCTGGCATCTTCCAGACCGTCAACAGTAGCATACATTCCATCAAAGTCCGAGGCGATGCCGACATGCTTCTTTCCTGCAATAGAAGCAATGTATTCGATGTGATCCGCCACACCACTTATATTCGCCGACGGACCGGAGCTGATAAAATGCGGATAGAAGATGGACTGGATTACGCCGGGGTTCTTGTTCGGCTCATCTCCAATCATTCGAAGAACCTCATCCGGCACATTGCGCGGATGATCGCACAGCTCCCGCGCCCCGGCGTGTGTCCAGACAACGGGCGCCTTTGTGATGGCGAGAACTTGCTTCATTGTTTCGACAGTGGTGTGGGAGAGGTCCAACATGATACCTAGGCGGTTCAGCTCCTTAATCAATTCTCTTCCCAGATCCGTCAAGCCGTTGTCGGTATGTACTGGGACAAGTCCTGGATGTCCATACCCAGCAGAGGAAGCAAAAGAGCTGTGACAGCTGTGCGTAAGAGTCAGGTAGCGAACGCCGAGCTGGGCGAACACTCGCAAGACACTCAACGAGTTGCCAAGCAGATGAGTTCCTTCCATGCCCAAGAGCGAAGCGATCTTGCCGGCAGAAAAAGCCGCCTTGATGTCCGCTGACGAGTGTGCATATTGCAGATGTTCCGGATGTCTGAGGATCATGTTCTGGATCAGATCAAATATTTCCAGCGAATCTCGAAGGCTATTTGTCGGTGAGTTGAAATCGTCTCCGGGATCTTCTCCCTGGGTGTCAGGACATGGTGCCCACACAGTCCAAAACGCGCCGCCAAGCCTGCCTTCTCGCAGTCTGGGGATGTCTACATGGCCTGGGAGAGTTCCTGCAAGCTGCGGAACGCCATCCAGTGGCCTGCGATCTGAATGGACGAGTTAGGATTGATCATATTGCTTCAGCATCTGGGATGGGAAGGAATCTACTCAAGGATCGAATGACCTGAGGAAGGTCGATGTGTGTGTCTATCAGAGGGCTTTCTTCCATCAACTTGACAGCTTGCGCATAGTAAGGATTGGCATGTCCCAGCACACCGGCCCCGGCCGTGGCTGCGATGATTAACAAGGCCCAGAGCATGGCAATTCGGTAACAATATAATTAACAATGAACAACTGCAAGACACTGTGTCAAGTCCAATGCTTTGGCAGCATGAATGGTTAAGGAATTTTGTTTTTATGGCTAAAGATGAACACACATGATGATGTCTCCGAAAGGGCCAGAACTTGACGCTGCATGGACTACAAAGGCACAACAAGCATTGAATGCCGGTCGAGCGACATCAAAATCCGCATATCCCCCGAAGGCTTCAGGAGCCAAAAGGATAATCATTGGCGGGGTCCCTGAAGAAGGCCCACAGGCAATGCCGATCGAAGGACGGAGAGTTTATTGGCAATGCCTATCGTGGCCTATCTTTGCAAGACCCCAGATTTTCCCTGATTGGAAAAAAATTAGCGACAACGTGCAATGACCATCTAAGGTCTATCAGAGCTTTGACTAATCACATTCTAACGTCGGAAATGATCTTGGTACAGACACCTATCTATCTGAGATTGAGTGTCTGTGCGACCTCAATTGACCTGACTTGGGCGTCCTGGGTTCTGTTTGTTTTTTCGCAATGGACGAGATATGCAGAAAATGGTCGATCCATGGATGCTCGGCAGTCATTGTGCAACAAGACCTTGCCGGCAGATGGAGCGAACAAATTTTGACCTATGGACAGCGGAACGCTGAGGGTGACCAAGTCGACGCAGACGTAAGTCAAGCCCCCCATACGTACACTCGGCCAGTGACACTAGCAGTCAAGAAATGAAGGAGAATAAATGTTGATGAAAGACCGTCCTGCACAGACGCGGTTCTTTATCGCATCCAACTCGAAGTTGTTCTGCGTCTTGGCCACAGGCATCGCCTTAGAGGAGGCGGGTTACCCGAAAGGCTTCAAAACTCGGATCAAAGATGTCGTTGCCGCATATCGCCTTCAGGATCTCTTTTTGACAGAGACGGTGACTTTCGAGGACGCTTTTGCTCATCTCACCGGCCTCCCAAGACATGACATTTACACCACCAATGACGCTTCAACATTGGAAGACCAGGTCCGTCTAGCGCGACAATGACTATGACGCCCCGTCCACGGCTAATGATCGTTTCAGCTGCGGTTATTAGGTGGCATGAAAGCATCTCTGGGTATCCGAGAGGCCACCCAATATCACAATCCGGTAAGGTCAAGGGATGCCGTATATACACGTGTCTCTTGTGGCGCCTTTCTGACCCTTGTGTCTACAAGCATTATGATCTGATCGCCCTCATTGTCGAGAAGATCACCGGCCAGGACTACCCGAGCTATGTACGAAAGAAGATCCTCGAGCCACTGGGCATGGCATCGACCTCTGTACTTGTGAGTTCGATGCTGGAATCCAGCAACTTTGCCAAGGGCCACTGGCACCACTATGAGACACTGGAGTCTCCCGGCCAATCCATCGAGCTCCCCATGGGTTTGAGGGACGGCAAGTCGGCGTGCTTGGGGGCAGGGAGAATGTCGAGCACGGCTCAAGATATGGGTGTTTGGCTCAAGACCTTGCTCGGTGATGGCCAGCACCCTCAATCCGGAGCTCCAGTCATACCTTCAGGTATGATCAAGCGCTGCCGAAGGGGCACAGTTCGCTTTGATGAGTACATCCTCGAACATCCGGGATTTGGCCCAGCGTTGTATGGTCTCGGCCTGTGGGAGCAGCCGTATTACGGCCATACGCTCGTGCAACACGTTGGCGCTCTCTCAGGATGGATGAGTCGACTGGTTCTCATCCCAGAATCCAAGCTGGGGATCTTCGTCGTCACTAACAACGCACCATGGGGAGGTCTAGCGTGTGACGAAATCACAATGGAAATTGTCGATCGCCACATCGGTCTTCCAAAGTCGGACTGGACCTCGAGACTCCTTGCCGACAAGGAAAACGTTCTGAGGACCTGGACAAGCCAACTCCGAGCAACCTTGAAAGCGGCATCTGAAGAGACCACCAGCGATGGTGTCCCAATGGATCGATCTATGATCACGGGCACTTACACAGCCCCAGGCTTCCACAAGTTCACCATCAAGGCAGAGCATATCTTGTCCCATCCTCCCAAGAGCCTTTGGGATCTGCCGTGGTTCCCGCAAATCTGGTGCAAAGAATTCCAGCCCCTCCTGTGGCCTGGGACGTCCCCTCACAAATATAAAATGTGCTTCAAGTGCTCGTTTCCCGAACAAATGGAACATGAAGACATGCTGGGACTGCCCTGCGATGTGGAACTCTTGGTCGAGGGTGGCAAAGTCCTCGGGATGGGTCTGCGAGGCTGTTGGGGCGCCGGCAAAGGCGTCCCTTGCCCTGAAGGTTTGAATGTGCGAGATAGAGCCGAGGTTTTTCTGGACAAGATTGGGTAAGACCCTGCTCTAGCCACCCGCGGGACGACAATCTGGGCTTGCTATGCTAGTTTCCAGAGTTTATTGCAACCCGAAGGCTGGACATAGCAATCTCCTATCTCTAGACGTGCACAGGAAATTGAGTTTACTGAGAGCACACCAGCTTGTAGATTCGTCAGTGCACTCACAGAGCTTCTAAGCCTCCATGGCGAGTGGCCAAGATATTTGGAAGATCTACCCGAATCTCTACAAAGTTCTGGATCTAGATAGAGGGAGTTGTTTCATCCAGATCCAATCAAGTCGGGCACCGACATGGTATCCCCTGCGCAGCCAGGATTGCTGAGTAAAGTCTTGGCACTCCTTTACGCTCGAAATTGAGCCTTCAGAGATAACTCGACTTGATAGATAGATTACGAGAGTGTTGGCTATACTATAGCGCACTTATAGAGTGTATAAGGAAGAGCTGGTGGTGAAAGGTAGCAATAAACAAGAGGTAGCAGAAGGCCTCTTAGATAGCCCTAATTGGTCAGTTCTGTGAATCTCCATTCCTAATTGGTCGAAGCTGTAATGCCAAGACAATACTCAGCAATCCTGGCTGCGCAGGGGATAGAAGCTCCACCGGCATTGTTCCTCAGCCCCTCCCCACTACTTCCCGTGTCGAGACAGACTTCTAGATAGGACTTTGGCCTGCAATTTGGAGGTCCACTTTGTCGGTATTCATTCTGGCTGGCGGCGAAGTGCTAACCACGTGATCAACCTTCCTCGTTTGATCGTCCTATCTATGTACAATTAAGGATTGACTATGCTATGGCATTAGGTGAAGTGTCTGGAGCAGGTCGGAAGTGGTCAGATAAGAGAGACATCGCGTCACTCTTCTGTATGCATTATATATACCCGAGCGTGAATTGATGTCCTGTTCCAATGCTCTGTCGATAGAGTCCATTTTTATTTTCCTTTGAAGAAAAAGATAGACATTTACAAGTACGATCTGGAGCCACCTTTTCGACACAAACAGACGTCAAGGACAGTTTCCAAAGTCGCAAGATGGCACACACAGAAAAGGAGATCATGACCTCAACTGCAATGGACGATGCGCTTAAGGAGCCGTCTGAAGGGGCAGGGGAGATGTCCGAGGTCGTTGAAGAATTCATAGTCGACAGGCAGATGAACACCCACATTGTCCGGAAGATTGATCGATATCTGATGCCGCTGATGGTACGCCCTGATGAATCCCACTGCCCGTTCGCCTCGGAGAAACCTAACTAACCAATTCACAGATGGTAACGCAATTGTTGCAGAACATCGACTCTACAGGTATCGGCTACGCCGCAGTCTGGGGACTGACCAAGGATCTGCACATATCTACCGCGCAGTACACCTGGGTAGGCTCGATGCCGTTCTTCGGCTACATGGTCTTCGAATGGCCAATGAGCTTTGTGGCACAGCATTATCACACCGGACGTGTGGTCGGCGTGGTCGTCTTGCTGTGGGGCCTGACATTGATGAGCACCTCCATTACCCAAAACTTCGCCGGCCTGGTGACTGTTCGATTTATTTTGGGGGCTCTAATGAGTGTCACGTCTCCGGCCTGGGTCTTGATCACGTCCATCTTCTACCAACGAGAAGAGCAAGCCTTCCGCGTGATGTTCTGGTGGAGCATGAATGGACTGTCTCTTGCCGTCGGTGGCATCATTTCATTCTGTTGCGGTTATATCAACGTCAACAACATCCCGTCTTGGAAGTGGAGTGAGTCTTGAATGGTTCCCTCCCCCCCCCGGGGGTTCTCCACCCTTCCTTCCACCCGAAGAGATCTGGTCCGCTAACTCATTTTCTTTTCCACAGTCTACATTATCGAAGGTTCCGTCACGGTCATCTGGGGAATGATCATCTTCTGGTTCTTCCCCATGTCGCCGCAAACCGCCAAATTCTTGACGCCCGACGAAAAGAAATTCGCTGTCGCACGTTTGGCTTCGAACAAGACCGGCACCAAGGATCCAAGGATCAAAAAGTATCAGATTATCGAAGCGTTGGACCCGAGAAAAGACCCGCAGGGTTGGCTCATCTTCTGGATCATGTTTTTCAATGAATTCGTCAACGGCGGCTTCGGCATCTTCTTCGACCTCACATTGAACCAGCTGGGATACACCCAGTTGATGAGCTCCGTGCTGGGCATCCCCGTCGGCTTCTCGCAGATCTTCTGGATGGTCGGGGCCGGCGCCGTGACCCTGAGGTTTGCCAATGTCCGCATCCTCATGTCGCAACTGGCTCTGGTGCCCACCTTCATCGGGTTCCTGCTCCAGATCGTCATCCCGGGGGGAGAGGGCCGCGTGGCCAAGACCATCGGCGTCTGCCTGTCACTGGGCTTCTGTGCAACCTTCGCCCTGACCTTCCAACTCCCGGCCCAGAACGCCGGCGGCTTCACCAAGCGCACCACGCTGACCAGTCTAGGTTTTCTGGGCTCGTCGCTGGGAAACATCGTCGGTCCGCACGTCTTCTACGAGGGTCAAACCCCTCGATACCTGACCGGATATGTGTGCGATCTGATCTGCTTCGTGGTACAGATCATCTTGCTTCAGATCCTCAAGTGGTGGTACATGCGTGAGGTAAGTTCTCGAGACAGCCTCTCGCCCCCCCGAATAAACATCAACTGACCTTTTTCTTCCTTCCCAGAACAAGAGACGAGACGAAACGTATGGCCCTCCAGTCCCTCAAGCCGGCGATGCTGTTACCGATCTCACGGACATGGAGAACCATAATTTCCGATGTAAGTTCACTCTTCTGGATGCCTGGGTATTGATCATTTTTCTGATTTTCTGTACAAATCAGACTGCTATTAAACTTTACTGGAACGAAGAAGCTCCCTGTCGATATCAGTCTGATGCCTCGTTATTAGAGATATCACTACTTCGTGATTAGTTTGATCCCGCTTTCTATTGTCGGCGCACCTGACAGTATGAATGCTGTTGGCTGCATCACTTATTCTTTGAGTTCGAAACAGGTATCGATAAGGTATACCGTACGCTCCAGTAGGTCCGCCGTGAGCATCAAATCGGCATCATATTCCAATAATGGTTGCCTGTGAAATTGGAATCAAAGCTATATGAACATGAAAACAATTGCCGGGAAGCCGGTAAATCGTGTGTTGTTCCAACGCTTCTCTATCCATCGATCATGCCTCTGAGGTTCACTCGTCTCCCCGGTTAAAACTCTGGCGTAGTGAACGGCCACACCCTCGTCTCAGCGGCACACCGATTTCTTTCGCGCTCCATGTGATCTAGTCAGTACTGCCTCCTCTACGGTATGTGCCGGAGATATCTAGAGGCGTAATGCACGCGATGCCCAATAAAAACAGTCTGAGCTGGTTCAGATCGTGCTGCACTGTCAAGCGATGTATTGCAATTGAATTCCCATTTGCGCCTGAGGAGAACTGCGATTCCACCGCTTGCAATGTAAGGCTAAGTAGTCCTTCGTGCTTGAAATTTCTTTTCCTCCGTGCCGAAGACAAGGTGTTCTGAGGTGTCTCAATATTGATCATCTGAAAAATTCTCTGTCGTCTGTAACTAGACTTATAGAATATTTCGATATTAGATCTATCTTCTGATCTAGAGACGAGCTGGTGTAAGGGCGTAGTAAATAAAGGAGCTCGTACTCTAGGCTTAGATCTAGTAGCTAGCCGAAGAACTATCGGAATAGGCTAGATATCTATCGCGTTAAGTCCGTCTAGAACTAGATAAATTTAGTAAAGTTCGTAGAGTTATTAATAGTTATAGTATTACTTAACTCTATAGACCTAAAGACGACTAGAAAATATGGAGACGGCTACGAACTCTAGATCGGACGGTTCTAGAAGATTACGTATAGCTATAAGATCTTATCTCTCTATAAGGCCTTCTCGAGATACGATATATTAAGAGTTCTAAGGCGGAAAATAGTCTTTATAAAGCTTTTTAAGGATAGTACTATTAGCTCGCGTATCTCTTCTTAGTCTATAACGATCGATAGGGATATTTAAACGAAAGTATACTTAGAGAGATATCTAAATATAAGAACTCGAAATATAACAGGATTCCTAAGTATAGCGGTTACCCTAGAAGTTAGATAAAGTATACGATACTAGGGGCTAAATAGGTAGTGACTATAGGGGCTTATGAGAGCGGCGTATCGTGCCGTAGTGGCCTAGAGAGCTTATAAGTTGGACACTATATAGGTTAAGCGTTGGAGCCCATAGCCACCCTGGGCTTGCTGGGCCAAGCGCGGCTTTTTGCCCATGATACTACTGTGCGTGGTAAATGAGAACTCGAGATGCGCTTTAAACAGGTCACCTTTTTGTCCGGATCGGGTAATCACAATTTGTTGGGCAGCCTGGCCAATCACGGCACTAATTACTTATATACTTAACCCCTGGAGTTGGCCGTCGGTAGATATATAAGTATGTTTAGACTAGGTCAGAGCGCTGCGATGACGCAACTCTCGCTCGCCTGATTCCAGAATGGCTCAGTGTCAATTCACCCTGGGTTGGCCGGCAAGGGGGGCTGCGCTTGGGCTACTAGGCTGACAGCTGCTACTATGTACTTCTAAGCGGCTATTCGGCACAGAGTCTCTGAGCCCTCCAGTTGCCTCTAGTACCTTACGATCAAGGCCAAAACTGTGCAAAGTACAGTAGCATACACACCCACCATATCACACGGATTCTGCAATCTGCCTTGCTGCAAGTTTCTCTGCAAAGGCTTCGTGTCAACCTCACACGCTCATTTATGAGTGGTGGTTCCTTTTACCCTAAGCCCAAACCGCAAATGCCAAGTGACGTGGCTCAATACAGCCGTTGTTTCCTAATGCAGGCGCCTTTCTCAGCTGGCAACACGTGCTAGGCATCTAGCCGTCGACAGCCTGACTTCGCGAAAAAGCTCAATGTTCATTGCAAAATTCTTTGCACCCTTGAATTGAACTCGACGCTGGCTTTCAATTTTGGACTGCCCAACATCCTTCAGAATGTCTGGCGTCGAGGCAGTGTTTGGCATTGCCGCCAGTGGAGCAGGTCTGCTTTCGCTGGGGATTCAACTCATGGAAAGCGCTGCAATGCTGAAAAAAATCTACCACGCGGCTCGGGATGCACCTCGAATAATCGCTACGCTCCAGTTCAGCCTGGAGACAATGGCCCTGGCGTTACGGCAGCTCGAGCAACGCCGACAGCAGAGAACTGCTAGCGACACCCTCCTGGCCCGCTGCATCGTCGAATGTGAGCTGCATACTGCCGAAATACAAGAACTGATTAACAAAATGGACGAGCGGCTCTCGAAGGACTTCAAGTTAGGTGGCAGGTTATACGCTGTATTCAAACAGCGCGATGTCAAAGAGCTGCTCGATGGGTTAGAGAAGGCGAAGAGCTCCCTCGAGCTTGCATACATGATGTATCTGGGTGAAGAGCAGAGGCGACGAGATCAGGTACATACGGACATGCTAGCTCTGCACGGTACTCTAATCGACGGTCTCCATGCTCAAGTTTCAGCTGGAAATGCCAGTCTGGCCCAACAATTAATGTTACTTGGCCAGTCCTCCGTCTCATCACCTCAACATCGTTCGGCGATAATCCCCTCAGCACAAGCAAATACTACCAGTACAGCAAACCGTGTCAGGAGAAAGAACAACAAACCGTGCTTCCGGGCTGCCCTTCGTTTCCCGTCTTGGCTTACGACGCGCATATTCCATTTTGCCGTTATCCAAGCTCAGGGGGGCTGGTCTATCCATCTGCGTACATTCAACCACGTCCCTGATGGCTCCCTCATCTTCAGATACTGTGCAGGAGGGGACGTCAAGGGAATGAAAAGTCTCTTTAAAAGCGGGATGGCAACACCACTGGATGCCGTCAGTCGGGATGGTGGCTGGTGGACGCTCATCGAGGTACGTGCTGAGCACTTGTGTTCAAATATCGAGGTCAGTCATGCTGAACATAAATAAAATCATAGGCTGCTGCGGATTGGGGACATCTGGAAGTTTGCCGATACCTCCTCAATCAAACAACTTGGCCGGACCACGCGGAAAGGCTCGCCAGCTCGCTTACCTCCTATGCCTATTGGGCGTCCACACCGTCTACAGAAATGTATCGCCTTTTTTTGGAGGAGCCGGGCTTTGACATTGACATTGGCAACAATCTATGGTTGGATTGCGACACAGAGGTGGAATTCCTGGAGATCGTACTACAAAATCAATTTCCAGAACTTGAATCTCGCTCGTTCGAGGCGAGAGTTGAGCTGGCTGGGTTGTTCACTAGATTGGATGGTGCTGCCTTTCTGAGGTGCGTAGGCCTACAGGCACAAGATCCAAGACTTGCTTCGTTGAGGGATCGCAACGGTGAAACTGTGCTTCATCGCATTCTTCCATCTAGCAGCTGGTTGGATATTGGACTCTGTGTCCTGCAGAATGGTGCAGATCCTTCGAGTGTTGCCTTTTCACGCGAGACAGGTTATGATCCTGAGTGGCAAGTGACGCCACTGATGAATTTTCTGGGCATCTTCCCCTGGCGTTCGCCCCGGGAGCCGGAGAGGATGCTAGATCTGATTCATACCTGGGCTGAGATGATCCTGCTTGCTGGGCTGGACTTGTGCGAGTACGGAGCAAGGGAGAGTAAGATCTGGAGAGATCTGGGCGTGCAAAACTCTTGCAGACATCCCGGGGATTGGTGGGAGTGGAAAGTGGTTCAACTTGTGTATGGGCCAACGCCGGCAGATTGGAGCCTGATTGTCTCCCGGGATTGGACATTTGATGTGTACAGACTGCAACCGCCTCCTGGTGCATACAGCGATGACCCTCGCCTCCCGACGAAAATTATCTGGAGGCCGACAAATGAGGAGGAAAATGAGGGTCCCTGGATACTTGTCGAGGGCGTGAGACGAGTTGGTAAAGAAGGGGACATCAGGGACATGATTCCCAAATTAAGTGCACGCGAAGCAGACTCAAGACACCTATCTGAACTGCTGGGTGGTTCCCAGGATGACTCAAGCGCCGTCATGCTTATGCAATATAGAGCTTCGCGCGTGGCCGATGGGACTCGAATGAGGTCACGCAGTCAGCCGCCAGGTCCGAACCCAAAGGCAGTGCCTTTCTTTGGGGCGTGGCACATCTGGTTGGATTACCATTTCTGTCCGCTTGACTCACGCTTCAAGCTTGGCTTTGATGTTGGCGAGAGGAGTTGCTTCGGCGGTGCGTGCTCCACAAGCCCTACTTCGTCCCAGCAAACCGGCTCTTGGGGTGATTTCAGCTTCCTTGCCGAGATCTCCAGGTGTCAAGACTACGCCCCAACTTTCCACGATACCCATCGCTCCGGAGGGTCAAGCTTGAGACACGATTTCACTCGCGAATTTCCCCAGGGTTGCAAAAACGTCGATCTCAGTCGATTAAATGTACCAGAGCCCCTACGGCCTTTTCACCCGCGCCGAAAATTTGAGGACCAATATGAAGACAACGATGAGGATAGCAGTGGCGATGAGAGCTTCGACGAATCAGAGTAGCATTGCCATAGCAGTCCAGCAAAAGGTCAATGAGAACGACGAAGACTAGTATTCATGGGACTTCCTTATCGAGACGATCAATCTTTCAGCTTCATCCCTCATCATCCCACACTCCACACCAGAAGATCCCTCTGAGGCAATTGGGACTATTCAGACCACCGATGTCGACGCCTCCGTGGCGAAGGACCATCTGCATACACTTCTTGCTCGGCCACACGAATCCTAGTCCGTCCCAACCCGTCCACCCCTTCGGTGTCTAGCTCCTCGGGTTCAAGCCCCAGGAGCCTCATGTGATGGTCTAAGCGCTCCTTCAACTCGCGATAGTCTCGACGAAGGCGTCTGCGCTCGTTGCGTATCAGTGCCTCTCGCAGCAAAGTCCCGTCGTGGTGGCTCTCGAGCTCGTCAAAATCGTCGATTGTTGCTTCGAGGAGGTCTTCAAGTTCGAGGTACTCGCTCATGTTTTCGAGATGGTGAGCGGATTCCTGATCATCTTGGTGGTCGGGCTCTCCAGTGGTCGGAACATGTTCATTCGGCGACTCGGTCTCGGCTTCGTCTCCTGCTCCGCCTCGAATCCCACTCTGGAGATCGTCCCTCTGGCGACATCTTCTCGTTACAGCGACGCCATGCTCGTACAGAGGGATCAAGGCCCGACCTTCTCTGGCGAAACTCTGGGCGATGTCTCTGTCTCTTCGGCTGCCTCTCCAGCATAAGCCCAGGTACTGCAGCTGTATGTCTGGCTCTGACACTGAAGAGTCCGGGGGTTGATTTTGGTGCTGCCCGAACCGAAAACTTCTCCCAAACAATCGAGTAGCCAGTACGAAGAGGCTCACGACAAGAAGTGTCCCGAGAAGCCATGTGTGGACTGTAAGGTACCATAGTATCACCTCCTCGTGAGCGACCCAGCGACAAGCCACACCCGACATGGGCGGTTTCCCAAAGAGGTTGAGTAGCTGGAACGTCAATGGCGCCATGTGTGTGGGTGGTTGAGTGGACAGATATGATCAGTTTGAACTGCTCCGGACGATGCCGTCTGTGTCAGGGGGTAACGGTTCAATCTGACCCGTGCATGGTGTCCTTCTGTTCCACGCAGCTGTGCTGGGGTATTTATACTACTGTGGAGCGACTGTCGTTGGTTGGTTCGCCGTGGTTTGCTTTCTGGTCAGTAGCATGGGCGTTGTCCGAGTTGTTGTGGGGTTTGATGCGATCGTTACCCAGGTACTGGAGAGCGATGGGATTCTCAAACGGCCAGGTCGGTATACATGTTCAGCGCAATGATTAATGAATGATACACTACTGTCTCGGATCAGGTCGAGGGGAGAAATAGGGATAAGGGTACGACAAAGGAAGTCTTGGTTGAGTTGTGGATAGTTCTCATTAGCTCCACCTACCTATCTCACTTTTCTAGTACTGTCTGGGAGCATGTATCCCACATCTGATAGATCTACCGCTACTTTCCGCCAATTTACGGTGTTTGCGCCCTGATCACATCGCAGACCCATCCTCCTTCAAACAACCACTCCTAACTTACACCACCATGCCTCCTTCCCATTTTCTCTCGAAACTCCGTTCATGCGACGCACTCTGTTGTCAGTACCACGACAAGCCGGCCTGATCACTCCTTGTTTAGGAAGAGACAGTGTTTGCTGCAGACGTAACGATACTTGATCTCCTCGCCGGCCTTGAGGCACGGCAAACACAGACCGCCGATGGAGGCGTAGACATCAAACAGGATCTCGCTGTCGCCGATATCCGAGTAGCGAAGACGGAACCTCCCGCACTCGAAAGCAGTGTCCTCGAGCTCTCGTGTGCTTCCCAGCAAGCACGCGTCACGGACGTATTCCTCGAAGAGATCGCAGAGGCGCCCGGTCGGCCCTTCCCTCTGCTCCTGCTGGAAGCTGTTCGACTTGCGGATGATCTCGCGCAGCCAGCGCTCCTTGTGCGGGACCATGTTGCACTGGTTACACCACCACTTGGTCCCGCCGTGTACGTCCGGTTGGAACACCTGGGGCAAGTGGGACACGAGGTCGTCGCGGAGTCTCACCGCTTCTTCCTTAAAGCCTCCGACGAAATCCATCGGCAATAGCGCCTGCAGGTCCTTCGGGAACAAACATTCGACGTCGTCAGTAGCCATTTGCCACATCATCCGGCGGGACGCGGTGGCAAAAACGAAGGGGAGATCGAGAAGGTATGCGGAGTGGAGGACCGCGGGCAGAGATGTCTCGTCCAGGATGCCCCCCGAGATTTCGAAGTCAGCCAAGAAGTAGTCCACGCTGTTGTAGAAGGGGAAGTGCAGAGGGAAGCAGGACGTGAGGACCTTTTCGCACCACCCAGGGAGTTTGCCCTTGAAGAGGTACTTGTCCAGCAGCACCGCCACGGGTCTCAGAATGTTGATTGGTACCTCGGGGATTGATTCATCCTCGCTGGCAATGTGGAGAAATGTCACAAACTCGTCAAACTTCTCCGCGAAGGGGAGGGGGTTCTGGGGCGTGAACTTACTGCTGGGAGGCATCCAATTTGTATGAAATTGCGCCTTGAAGAATTCCGTCGTCTTGCACAGTGCTTGGCTCGAGACACGTATCAAGACTCGGGACCCTAATGTCGTGAATACTGCGAGATAGGCATCACCGTCCGCAGCCACCTCATACAGTAGATATTCAGATGTGTTGATGATCTTGGTGATAGGCCTCCAGGCAGACGGAACGCTAAAGCATAATGTTGCGAAAGGATCCATCGTGTATGCTTGTGGGAGGATGTTGTGACGGAGAGGGACGATACAGAGGGGTAAACACCTTGGAAGTAGATTCCATTTATATCGGCCTACGGACCCTGTCCATCTTCCAGGGAGCAGGGGAGTGCAGTGGCAGTGAAGAAAGGCAATCTCTCAAGACAGCATTGGTATGTCATTCATCCATTGTCTGGACAAGGAAGCATTTCTTTGTTAGTCTCAGGCCGAAAGGCAGTTGCGAGTGTCCGGATCTGCTCTTTGTCCCTCAGCAAGGCATCATGGCTGGATTATCTTTGTAGCCTGCCTTGTTGACTCCGCAGACAAAGCGTGGTTCATACTGGGTTAGATGTTATGGTAGGTTGGGACCTGGATGTACAGAGATGGAGGTCCAGATTAACTCGCCAAGCAAGAGTCTTGGCAGCCAAGACGTCACCGGCGCAATCTATGACTGCATGTGACTTTCGATATCTTTCCGTCCTCCGGTCATTGCCTTTCCTGCTTGTTTTTGTAATATTTCTAACCAATACGGTCCTCTCTTTTCTTTTCCTTTTGCTGGCCCATTAGATGCGCACACAGTCAAGCTACTAACCATGCCGCCCAAGACACAAGAGCCACAGATCGTCTCCATAACCGATCTTGACCCTGCGCAAGCGAAATGGGTTACACTCAAGAAAGTCGACTTCATCGACCAGACGGGTACTCCTCGCAACTGGGAGATCGCCGTCCGCAAGACAACCTCAAAGTCTGGCGTTGATGCTGTAGCAATGAGTAACATCTTTGTGTACCCGTCCAAGCCACCCAGTACTATGCTCGTCCTCCAGTACCGTCCGCCGGTCGGCAAGTACACTGTCGAGTGGCCCGCGGGATTGGTGGACGAGAACGAGACGCCAGAGGAAGCCGCAGTCCGAGAAATGAAAGAGGAAACCGGGTATGATGGGAAGGTCTATGACGTGTCACCGATCTTGCCAAGTGATCCTGGAATGACCAATGCCACGATCAAGCTGGTCATGGTGGAAGTGAAGCTGAATACCGACGAGGATTATATGCCAGAACAGAAACTTGAAGACGGCGAATTGATTGAGAGAGTGATGGTGCCTCTCAGCGAACTCTACGAGAGGTTGTTGAAGTGGGCCAACAAGGACAACTTTATGGTGGCGGCAAAGTTGTTCTATTTCGCGGCAGGGATGCACTTTGCGAAACATGGAGGCTACGTTTGAGGCCGCTTCCTCCTGCAGGTTGAGTCTGAAAATCGTGTTAGAGTGACTGGGGTATGGCGGCCTTTGTCAGATGGGCTGGTGCAAAGGGAAGTCAAAGAAAATCAGCTCAGGCCGCTTTGCTGCCAAGCTCGGCTTCTGTCCTAAGATTGGTGATTGGCTGTACGCCTTGCCAGCGATATCGAAACATAGCCTTCACGATCAAAGGATGGACGTGGCCAGGCACAGATTCAACCGTGAACAAAAGGGGCGGGAACTGCTGTGCGATCGTGGTCTGAACAAAAGGAGAAAGACACGGGAACATTTTGGCGTTTAGACATTTTCAAAGAACGGCCGTGGCTAGACATACTAGAGAGGTTGGGAGGCCGAAGAAAGGGCAAAGTGGCTAAAACTAGAACTCTCCACGACCCAGTCACATACAGACACCTAGAAGAACAGCGTGCTCCGTGAAGAGAGCCGGATGAACAAGTCAGAAATTGAGAGAAGCTTTCACTGGAGCCGCAGAAATAGATCTCGGCTGCCCCTTACAATGTCGTAACCGCGGTGTTCCAAGTAGGCCGAGGAAGAATGTTTAGGAGAGCAAATCGTTGGATTATGCATTGGTGCATCACAGACGGTCATTGTTATCAATCCAACACAGACTGTCGAGACCCACTCCACCGGTCACAGGGGTTATCTGGGGAGGCGCCCGCTGAGGATACCCCGGTGGCTCGCAAGACGTCTGATCGGGATTTGCCCTGTGTTGTTTCTGTTCGCACGAACGCTTATACGTTTGTCGGCAACCATTGCATGGCTGGTTTGCGTAGATGAGTCATGCCATGGGCTCCTCGAACCCGTGACCTCTTCACTTGGCCTATAGATGCCGGTGTATGCGCGCGATCTTCACCACCCCGGGTTTGGAGCGGCAGCTTCCTGTGCATCGAAGATATTCGCTCCCGCATTTCTGATCGATCCACTGCGCTTCTGTGCAGGCACAGAAAAGACAGAAGCCCTTGCCGAGTCCTTGCAAAAGGACAGTGTGGGAGCTTGATGCGTCAAGGTCAAGGCGACGGCAAGGCGGTTGGAGTAAAATTGCCGCAGAGCCGACTACGCGACTGCGCTAGGTCCAATACGGTTAGTACGAGGGCACCTCTCTCATTGAAGCAACTTTGAACAATTTGACAATCAAAATCAAATATCAAAGCCCTGTCTGCTAATCATGCAAGCTGAATGGTTCCAGGCAAATTCAGCCCACTCGTGGCGCTGGTCCGCTTAAACTCAAAGCCCGACTTCTGCATTACTTCTGGCTCTCGAGAGCCGAGCCTGACCTTTCTCTCGTCAGGACTCCGGAGAATACTCAGAGGGCCGGACACAACGGAGCAGATTCAAGCTCATTGGCGAGCCTCCAAATACCACCCCTGGCGCCAATACCCAATGGGGTGGCCAAGATCTGGATTAGTATTGGAAAATGTCACCATCCCTGCGACGGGGCTCGGGGGGTCTCGAGGCAAGCTTTTTCGCTCCCGAACACGAACCCATTTTCAAGGAACCCGACTAGAGCAAGGCCACCAACCGGCAAAGGGCCAAGCTCGGCGGATCCCTCCCCGCCATATGACCTTTCAACGTTCTCCGCATTCTCTCCTTCAACAGGGACATGGACAACGCTGAAGATGTATCCGAAGGGTCATCCGACAGCCGACGCAAAGGGATCTCCATTCTTTTGCCAAAGATGGAACCGGGGTGCACGCTGAAGCGGGGAAGGAAATAGGGATTTGCCCGCACGGCTTCAATATATTCCCAAGCTGGGAGCCATGCAGGTGCTATGGAGTGCAAACCAGAAGTCCAATCTTCTTCCCATGTTCGCTGACTACCTGGGTGGCAAAAGCATTCTAAACATCTGAGAGACAGCGCCAACTAGGCCTCTTGTCCCCTTTCTACATATCGCTCTCCGCTCCCAACTACCATGGCACGCTTCTGGGGCCTTCGTGGACGCGGGCTCAACGCCGCCATATGGGCGTTGGCCATGTTTGCGGTCATGATCTTTGGGTACAATCAAGCTGTGGCCGGTGGTGTCCTCACTACGGCGTCCTTCAACAGGCAGTTCCCCAAGATGGATGTGATTGACACGACAGGCGCGCAGAAGCATTACAACTCCACGATCCAAGGTAAGATACCTGTCATCTGGTGGATCCTAACGATTGACCACCCCTCCAGGCACCGTCATCGCCCTCTACACCTTGTGCGGCACCTTTGGGGCTCTAGCTTGCACGTTCCTTGGTGATGTCGTCGGACGACGAGGCACCATCTTTGCGGCCACCGCCGTCCAGATGGTCGGCGCCATCCTAATGGCGTCCTCGTTCTCCTTTGCGCAGTTTATTGTGTCTCGCATCGTCATCGGCCTCGGGACGGGCGGTATCATTGCCACCGTGTCTGTCTGGCAGTCTGAGCTCTCCAAGGCAGAGAGCCGCGGCGAACACGTGTCGGCGTTTGGTATCTTCTGCGGCCTGGGCCTGGTCCTGGCGCTGTGGCTTGACTTTGCCTTCTCCTACTTCTCCGGGTCGGTGTCGTGGCGGTTCCCCTTTGCCTTTGAAATCGTCCTGTCCGTCATCGTCATGACCTTCATCTTCACCCTGCCCGAGTCTCCTCGCTGGCTGATCAAGATGGGCCGTGTCGACGAGGCGCGGGACATCATCAGCACGCTCCACAACGTTGATACGCACGACGACTCGGTCCAGAAGGAGATTCGCGATATCCAGGCGGCGCTCGACCTCGCGGGGACGGTGTCTCTCAAGGCCTTGTTCAGCATGGGACCTCAGCGCACATTTCACCGGGTCGTGTTGGCCGCGTGCGTGCAGATATTCCTTCAGATGACTGGTAAGTTGTTGCATGTGCTGCTGTGGTTTGGAATACAGATCTGGCTTACAAAATCCACCAGGGGTCAATGCCATCACATATTACGCCTCGTCCATCTACGAGTCTGACCTGCACTTCGACGCGACAATCTCTCGCATCCTCGCGGCGGCGTCACAGTTCGCCATCGTCCTGGGCTCCTGTCTCTGTTCATGGACGGTGGACCGGTTCGGGCGGCGGAAGCTGATGTTGTTCAGCTCCGCCAGCATGGCGGTGTGCATGGCGTGCCTGACGGGGCTCGTGTCCAACCCGAACGACAGCGGAGCGCTGAAGGCAGCCGTGTTCTTCCTGTACCTGTACTACGTGGTGTACACGATCGGATTCCTGGGGATCCCGTTCCTGTACGCGTCCGAGATCGCGCCGGTGCACCTGCGCGCGGCCGTGTGCGGCATCTCGACGGCCGTGTCGTGGCTGTTCAACTTCCTGGTCGCCGAGGTCACGCCCGTGGCCTTCACCGACATCGGCTACCAGTACTTCATCGTCTACGCCGCCCTCAACGCCGCTTTCGTGCCCATCATCTTCTTCTTCTTCCCGGAGACCGCGGGCCGCAGCCTCGAGGAGCTCGACGAGATCTTCGCCGCCTCCCACTCCATCTTCGACCCCGTCCGCGTCGCCCGCAAACTGCCCCATCGTCACCTCGACGACTTCCTGCGAGCAGCCGCCGCTCAGGAGGACGAGGAGGACCAGCACCAGCAGACCGTCCTCCAGGTCGAACCCAAGGGCTCCTCCACCGGCGAGGGCGAGGGCGTCATCCAACATGTGGAGAATCCGGAGAAGGTGGAGCCCCGGTCCATGGAGAAGGGCGAGGTGTGAATTCAAGGGGGTTGCCACGTAAACGTATCTCCACCAACCCGAATAGTTCTTTACTCATTGCCGGGGCGGGTGAGGCTGGCTGACTCGTTAAGGGGGAGAGGATGGGGCCCCCATGGGCATTGGCGGGGGTTTGGAGAGCGGGAAGAACGAAAAAAAAAAAACCGAGGGGAATTGTTGGGGGAAATTGGGCCTTGGGATGGGGGTGGATTAAAGATCCGGAACGGGGATGATCTGCAGTATAGTATGGTGTCGATAAGTTGCCACGTACTGGAAAGCTATTCAAAACCAACCGATCGTGCGATCCCATGTCCGGTGGACATAGGCCAGCAAGCCACGTAGTCCCAGGCTCTTTGCCGGGCTTTGTTTGCCGGCTCCAATAGCCCGTCTCGTGGAGACTTGCCTTGCCAAAAGCCAGCCCAGCCATGCGTGGGAACCCGGAAAGATCAAGTGAGGACATACTCACTCCCTCTGAGCCCAGATAAGCAAGCAAATAAGCCTTACCCAAGCTTCTCCTCCAAGCATCCTCCAATGACCCAGGGGGCAACGTATACCCAAAAGAAAGGGAGGGGGGGGGAAGAGCGGAAGAGAAACAGAGCCAGATGGTTTTGGTTTGCCCACGCTGTTGGTTTGTATATAGTTCGTTATATTAATTATGTACCCAGAAAGAATACCTCATGCGGAGCACATTTCTACCTCTTTCGGCTTCGGTGGTCTAAACCTCTAATATATACATATGACGTCCCACGGTACTGATGCCGTACGGGTGGGTACTCGGTAACTCTACTCCGTGTGTTCTCTTCCTTGCCTTGCTACATCCCAGTTAGTCCCCCGCATAGGTATATGGGTCTCTTTCCTTGCCCGCCTGCTCAGGAGCCGGTGGCACGCTCACAGCCGAGGAGTCGCGGCAGTTTCTATCCACTGCTGCATGACAGAAGCACGGAGAGGTCGGCGTCTTGTAAGTGAAATTAAAAAAGGGGGTCTGATTGAATCAATGGTGGAAACCAAAGCATAAGGCTCTGGCGAGGCTGGCGCTATGCATAGCTCTCTGTCCTGAAGCTCTAGCAATTCGCTGTTCTGAATGAAAGAAAAGGAGATCCCCCCAGCCCTAGCATTTTGTTGAGTTACGTGGCTTTTCTGTTCCGCTTCTCTCATGGAATAGTTGCCAGAGTGCGCTCCGTATCATCGTGTGTCGTTGTAAGCTCGTCCTTTGACAGGGTGAACGGATCCTCTTAATCCTCAAGCGTTTCATAGTCTCGCGTGGTCTGGCTCCATGCCACAAACCAGCCCAAGGTGGACTCGCCTTGGTGTTCGTTGCACCCGGTCTGTAACTTCGATGTTGAGAGGTCCCCACGCTTCAGGCAGACGAGACATATTCCTCGCAGTTCGTTCTCGAATGAGTCCGCCACGTCCTGCACCGCCGATTCCCAGGAAATGAAACAAGAAACACAGGCGACCGAATCACAATTCACTGGGCCGTCATTGCTACGTGCAGCAATCTGCCGGACGATGCAGATGGCTGCTTCCAGGGATGCCGGCCCTCCACCGCCTCGGCCTGGAAGCCAAAGATCAACCTCGAACAGTGCTTGGATATACTGCGCTACCCTGGCTGCCTGACCTTTACAGACTACGGGTATAGTGAATTCTTCCGTCCGTGTAAAGATGGTCGAATGAACAATGGCGCCGTCTCGGTACCGCTGGTTTCCCATGCAGAGTTCACTAATGGCATTGTGGCAACTAGCTCTTAGCGCTTTTAGTTGGGCCTTGGCGATTTCTTTCAGAAGTTCTTGGACACTCGTCAGTTAAACGGCGTTGCGCAGAGGGGGTTTGTTCAGGTATAAACACACCATGAACCCTTGCAGGGAGATAACGCGAGATCTCCGAAATAAACTCGTCGTTCTGTCCCTTTTTTGTGCGCCAGCTTTTGTATCCCTCGACGGAGAAAAAGTAAAATGCCCCAACGTCATCCAGGATATACGATATACTGATGAGTCGAGCAAGGTCTAGTATTGAGCATGTGCTTCTTCTGCTAGCATTTCGGAAGGCCCGATAATGGAACCATGCCCTTGCAATTTTGTGGCAGCCGTATTTGTCCGCCGCTATTGCTATCGGCAAAACACACGAAGGGAATGCGTCTAGGCTGGTGTCCCACGTATGGTGAAAAATCCTGCAAAGTTCCAACATTGATGTTGGCGCGTCCTCCGGCAGCTCCAAGACGGGTGGTTCGACAGGGTTCGGTGTAAGCTGACTTTCGCGGAAAGAGCCATTCAGCATTCGTTCGAATACCGGGGAACACATGGTCATGAACTTGCTGCAAACTCGAATTCGTAGGGTTTTTGGTTGCTTGATTTCCTTGACTTCATGCTGAGCCGCGTTTGAGTCGTCCTCGTTATCCGGGGAGTTGCATTTGTTTTCATGAGTGATGCTACGCTCACTGCCAACTTTCAAAATAAGGTCACCATCCGGATCGACGAGGACGAGATCCCCATCAGTTAGAGGAGCCATGATGTGGATGTGTTGTTCTACCCTGAAACGACGGGAAGAAAGGGCAAAGAGAGATGCAGAAGAGAAGAAGCCAGAGGTGAGGGAGGGGACGTAACAGAGAAGTGATAAGGGAGGGAGAGTGTAATATCTAGCCCACAACAAAGGAAAAGGGAAGATGCCGCAATGGCAAGGGTTGTTGGGTTCAGTGCTTTCTGTCAAACTAACAAGTAACAGGAAGAGTCTATGACTCGACTCTCTGGGCAAAGGTAGACAAGGGGAGAGAGAAGGAGGAAGGGAGGCGGAGAAAAGAGTAAAGTGAAGTGACGAACTTGAGAGATAGAAGTGACTCTGACCAAAGCTGAAGATAGAAATTCACATACCCATTGAATCGAAACCCCTGGCACCTTTCCAACAGACGAGTTATGGCATAAGCAGCTACCAAAGATATACCAGAGGAACGTGTCCTTCCATTCGATAGCCAAAGGACAATTGAACCACTGACCCATGACCAAGACACCCAACCAAGACACCTCCACTCCTTCCACTGTGGACTATCGTCTTGAAGGATATCGGAGATGGGCCTCGTCTCGTCCTTTACGTACCCAAGACAAATGTTAAGCGCATTCTTTTTGGCCCCCGTGACCTTGTCGATTTCCCCCACAAAGCTGGAACTATGGCTCCGAGGGCAGTAGGGTGAAGCAGGGTTTGGAGATCACGCAGCACACCAGCCGGCGAGCGTCTTGAAATGACCTGTTGATCGAAGCAAGGTAAGAGCGACAGCAACGTGAGTTCAGCGCTCAGGTCTTGACGCCCTTGGCAGAATAATGCGCACACAATGCTGGGCCAATTTCAGAAAGCTCGTTGACGTAGTGGCGCTTCAGAAAAGCCTCCATGCAACACCATCGTGGACATCAGTGAGCATACGTCAGCACTTTAGACGCACGAGGGTGCCACCCAGAAGAGAGCTTTTCGACCGAAGGGAGCTGAATATTTGTGATGATCGCCAACGTCAAGAATGGGATCTGCGCATGGGTATGTATACATACTCGGCAGTGTCGTCCGCAACTGGAGAACCTTGCAGAGACTCGCTATATCACTGAAAATGTCGAGGAACACAGTAAGGGGAGCAGGGAGGTGGAGTCCTGAGGTGGCTGTTCACAGGGATTCCTTTGTTGAGAACACACCAGCACGGCTCAGTTCGATCGTCGTCAGCGGGATCCCAGAAGGAGATGACGACCATAAACACCAGAGGAATACCAGAGCTCAGATTCAGTTTGGAGGTCGTGCTTGTACATTTGTGAAAGCGTATCCTGGATCCCATTGATGTATGTATGACATTACCTGCCTTTTCCATTCCAATATATCATCGGTGCTGGTCTTTACGACCAAATGCTCTCCTCTTTCCCAGCCTCCAGCTCTTGAAGTTGTTTCCTCAGCACATCTGCTCTGAACGACCGAAACGCCTTCTCGATCCTTTCTCGGCGCTCCGGATCTTGCATGATGGTCCTTCTGGCCGACCACGTCCCCGTGAGCATACCAGTCTCACCCCCCAAGAATAGACCTGCAATACCGAAGAAAGTGTATGTCACGATGTCTCCTAACGGTGTGGGCTGGAGCAAAGGGCTGATGTCCGGAATGGCCTCTTCGCGACCACTGGCGAATCGGACGTGCGTGGGCTTCTCGGCGGCACGGAAGGCTTGGTACATGGCATTGCGGTTTGCTCGGAGACGGAAGGCAAGGAAGCTTCCCAGTGCGATCCCGGCGAGGGAGCCGATGAGGGCGTGTGTGGAAGCTTTGGATGCCGCGGAACGCAGGAGGTCGCGGTCTTCTTCTCGTAGACTGGGTGGCACGTCAGTCGGTCTCGTCACAATGAGCTTGAGAGGGTTGTGTTGTTGCTCACTCGTGCTTGAAATGCTCCTCTGCGAGTCTCCCCAGTTCCTCTCCCTGGGTTCTCCGGAGAGCTGCAAACGCATCGGCAGACATGACTTGTTCTCTTCTACTCTGGACTCGTTGTGTAGTCAATCAGAGCTGTGCCCACTCAAGACTGTCTTCGAGTCGCAAGTCTCTGAGCTATGCTATTGAAGAATGTGTCAGTTCCCACCTGTGTGCAAGTCCGGAGCTTGAACCATTTTGTTAAACGATCTACGTCATTGGATTGAAGCTCATGGAGCTTCCATAGCGTCGGATGCGATGTTCCGACAACAGCCACTGAAGAAGCGGGTGATCTACCGTAGACACTTGGGAGGAGTAAATGGCGTCGAATCGCAATTGCACCCGCAGGGCGAGGCTAAGGTCGAGTACAAATGCCCTGGATTCGACATGAGAAACCCTTTATCGGTGCCAATCAAATGGGGAAGTGTCCAAGGCCCCAATAGACATCCACGCTCCTAGGTCTGTCTTCTTCAAGACCAGGGGCTTGCCATGGCTTCTTAGAAGTTGCACTTGCTGACCCATCACCTGTGCCTGTACCAGGAATACAACCCGCCGGCGTCGGGTCTTGTATCTTTGCCTGACCAAATCCAATTTCTTCTGCCTTGTCCAGGAGGTGCTTGAGCGCCGCGATCACGGTTTTGATCTCTTGGGAACTTTCAGAGTCATTCGATTGCAGCCACACGATGTAGGATGAACTGAGTGCATGAAACACGCGATTTCGCAAGCCTGCGTCGCTGATTATACGAGCAGCATTGGCAGGGTTTGGAGCAGCCAGAGCTATCTCCTCCCCGAGCTCAGCACAGAGGATTGCCGTTGCGAAAAGGAAATCCTGCATAAGTAAAGACAGAAATTTCCAGCCGTGACGACACAGCTGACCACCAACTCGAGTCTCGAGGTATAGAGCCCACTGGTGTCGAAGGATCGTGAGGGCGGCCTCAAGGCAGACTTTGCGTGAGGATGCATACTGTTCATGAGTTCTGCCGATAGACATGTATTTGCGGTGCAAAACAATCTGTGCTCTGTGGTAGATGAAAGCGAGAAAAGTGCACCGCACACTAATGGTGGCAGGGGCTTGCGACGGGGATGAGAGGCTTTGTGGTTCGGGTGGAGGTTTCCAAACAGGGATAATCGATTCGTAAGTGCTTGTAAGTACTTTTTCCAGCCTCAAGACTTCGGCGTACGGTGAGGGATTGACCGACATCGTAACATCGTTGATCTGTCCGAAGACAGACAGAAGTTGATTTTTGGCAACGTGAAATTGCGGTACAGTTCGGGAAGAATCTGGCCTGGGAGGGGGTAATTCGAGCATGTCCTGGTCAAGATCGTCTTCAAAGAGATTCCTCGGATCAGCAGTGTCGCATAGCGGCAGATTGATCATGCGCGGCAGTCCGAACTGGATGGAGAGGTACATGTCCCATCCAAAGATCATGGTCCAGACTCTGCGGCGCCTCTCAGCCTCGAAACAGGACATCGTTGGAAAATGGGATCCGTCACGATGATAGCCGGCTCGGAAGGCAATTCGGACTAGAGTCCCCCATACGACCCAAGGGCCCTGCAGACTCTTGGTCTCCTTTTCCCTCAAGGCTTCAATGAATAAATAGAGTAAGAGGGTTTCCACGGCATATCGTGGACCTTGGAAATATTTCCCCAGGATCAAGCACTGAATAGCCTTTTGACGATAAAGCCGGACGAGATTTTCCGGTTGAGATTTGGCTATTTGCAATCGGCGTTCCTCGTCGGAAGAGAATTGTTGATACTGCGCTGCGAGGCACATTAAACTAAACAACAACCCAATCCATATCGTAGACGCTGACGTCGGATCCTCCCAAAATCTGTCGTACTGCATTCACTGTCAGCATTGAGCCGCTGGCTGTGGTATTGTCCACATCCTACCTCTATTTGAAATGTCTGAGGGTGAACAATCACTGTCGCAGTCAGCACAAAGTTCAGACATCCGTATTTCTTCACTGACTTGCTTCATTGTCGGTGTTGACAAAACACACAGCCATCAAAGTATCAACGAAACCTTTCGAAGGGATAGCCCTTAGAATTTCTTCTCTGTTGGTTTTCTCAGAATATCCAAGGAGAGGGCCAGGCTCTTCCACTGCTGCCTTGTTAGTTAGGTCGTCTTGTTCGTCAGTTGGAGAAGTATTGGCCCGAAGCACGTCTTTCAGTACGGGAATCTGAAATGAAGGAATCAGCTGTCAACGACTGCAAGCCTCCGAGAGTCAGACCTACGCCCCACAGAATAGCCAGCCAATGCACATTCCCGACATAACTATCCCCGCCTTGATGGTATTGAAAATACCCAACTGTATCGGCAAAGGCCCGTATGTCCTGCTGATGATCTTTCCGCTGGCGTTCCTGATCTTGGGTTGAGAACACATTGTCCTGCAATGTCGGTGGAACAGGGGTGGCCTGATGCAGGGCACCCATCAAGTATTCAACTTGGGTCTCAAGCTGTTTCACTCGATCCCCGACCTTGGAAGGGGACAATTGATCCGGATTTCTCGTAGTCGTTGGCCCTTGCAGACCGGGGTCCGGAAAATTGCAAGCATCACCAAGCCCCCGACGTGAGCAGTTGTGGCAAGGATGGGAGCGATCACACTTCAATCTATGCCAACACTGATGAGTTTTTTTGGCGTCCCTAGAGGCTGGGATAGCATTCACTTTCTTTTCCTACACAAATTGCAGGACAACTGCGGCTTCTCTCGACGCCGGCGAGCAGCCTTCGCGTCTTGCTCTTCCAGGGGCAGGTTCATGTTGCTTGAAATTCGATCTTGACTATGACAGATGTTTCTAGCACTGAGGGTAGCATATGCACGGGTGATCCTTGCAGAAAAGGTTTCCCGAGAGAGAGGGAATAAGCAGGATCAAGGAGGAGGTGCAATACAAGTAAATACTTCACACTGGATCGTACAATTGCCCCGACCCCGATCCTCCGATCCTCCGAAGGCCCGAAAAGGAAAAGCGTATAATGTATTATGTAATAATGGCCTTGTACAGCCTCGTCTGCTCGTCCTGCGGAAATCATTCCTGCCCCGCGGTTGTCTTCTGTGTTGTTCCCAGTGTCTTGATGGAGTCGCTATCCCAACATCAGAATATTGTGCCGCATCCACCTTAGAGGCATCCTCTGCAGCTAAAGGTAGGCATCATGGCAGATGGTCTCTACGGCATCAAGCAGGCCTCGAAGACCAAAGCCAAGGAAATCTCATCCTCCACTGCTCTCGCTTTCTCTACGAACTTGGCATCACTGATCTCCAGCTCGTCCTCTGCCAAAACCAAGCATATAACCGGCCGATCACGCCCATCCAAGGACAAATCAGATATATTCACGACACACAACAAGAACGTCAAGAAGCGGTCCGCCGCCGACCTCGAAGATGGCCAGCAACGCCACAAGACCCGGGATGACATTGGCTCGGTCGATGACGCAGAGTTGCATAGGTCCAAGAGAAAGATGCAGGACAAAGTCCGTTTATACAATGCCATGAAGCGGGGCGAATACATCGGCAAGGAGGATTATGATAACCGTGGCCTGGTTGATTTTGACCGCAAGTGGGCGGAAGATCAAGCAAAAGGTCAAGGTGACTCTGACAGCTCCGACTCAGACGACGGCAGTGCAGGGGAAGAAGAAATGGTAGAATACCTAGATGAGTTCGGTCGACTCCGGAAAGGAACGAAAGCGCAGGCAGCGCGCGAAGAAAGAAGGAAACGTATGCAGGCCAACGCTGCCGAAGAAGAGGAGCGACTTTCTGCGAGACCATCAATGCCGAGTAATGTTCTCTATGGAGACACTATTCAGCACCAGGCTTTCAATCCTGACCAAGCCATCGCTGATCGCATGGCCGAAATTGCGAAAAAGAGGGACAAATCTGCCACTCCTCCTCCGGAGACACACTACGACGCTAGCGCTGAGATCAGGACCAAAGGAACGGGCTTCTACACTTTCAGTAAGGATGCAGAAGAGAGGAAACGAGAAATGGACGCTCTTGAGAAGGAGAGGCTGGAGACGGAAAGAGTGCGCAAAGAACAGGACGAAAAGAAGGAGCAGAGGAAGAAAGAAATCGAGGAGCGGCGCAAGTTGATTGCCGCGCAGAGAGCGAAAGCGCAGGCAGACAAATTCCTGAACGAACTTGACATTGAAGGGGTCTGAAACGACAGTGCAGCGTGTTCTGCACTTGCTGAGGACTCAGAGACTGCTCCATTCAAGGTGACTGCGCGTCGTCATGGCTCCCACAAGCATCACTCCAGCGTCAGGACTTGCCTAGTTCAAACCATCGATATAAGTCCAGCCTGTCCTGGCATCTTTGAGATTTCTTCGGTTCTCTATACATCATGGCCGACATGAACAAAGCAAGGATTGAACCTAATGGCCGTCCAGATCTCGCATCCGCCATTCTCAGCTCTCTAGATCCGATCTTCAGCATCCCGATCTATCTGATGACAATATTCTCCCCCCACTATCGACGTGTATTTTCCGGTCAACCTTGGACCAAGAGGCTCCTGTCCACCGTGCTTGCCGCCGGCATTAGTGTGCTGCTCTTTGTCCGACTACTTCGCCAATTCTGGAGCCGGTTTTGCTGGGATATTATTCTCTACTGGACGACAACGGAGGTCCACGTAAATCTCAGTGACGATCTATACATGGCGTTGTGGTGGCTCTCCCACAAGGAGAACTTGACTCGGAGAACCAACGAACATCATGTTGCCTCTATCACAAGCATGATAAATACGTCGCCTGAAGACCGCCTCCATATGGACCTGGCCAGCCGCGGCAGAAACGGCAGTCTCATACTGCTGCCGGAAACGGTGAATCAAGTATTTCACTACAAGGGACGGAGCTTCTTTCTCCACCGCGTGAAAGACGATGTCTGCATAATTCGTTGTCTGGGTGGGTCTCTTAAACCCATTGAAGATCTACTTGACGACGCGTACGAGGGTTGGATGGCCGAGCTCGCTAGGTGCTCGATCACTCTCTTTACCCCTAAGCAAGACACCGGCAACTGGAACGCCTCTGTGTCGGTGTCCGCCAGGAGCCTTGAATCGGTTGAGATAGGGTCTCAGGTCAAGATGGCTCTCCTTGCCGACATTGACGGATACCTCAACGGCAAAGACTGGTACAGACAACGGTGCATCCCGTGGCGAAGAGGCTACTTGTTCCACGGGCCACCGGGTACGGGTAAGAGCTCGTTGGTGACAGCACTTGCGGCGCATTTCCAACTGTCAGTATATGCAATTACTTTCTCGGACGGGCTCACGGACGGCATCCTTCAACAATTACTGCGCCGACTCAATAATACCAAATGTATTGTGCTTCTAGAAGATATCGACAGTGCTGGGTTGGCGAGAGAAGGTCAAGATCTTGACAAGATCGAGCCCTCCGGGAAGATGGAGGAACATTCCCGTCCTCCGGCACGCCCCAAGGGCCGTAAGAGGGGCCCGGTAACTCTTTCCGGCGTCTTGAATGCGATTGACGGTATCGGTGCGCCAGAAGGCCATATTCTTGTACGTCACTTTCCACCTCAGGGACTTTTAGCCGTTGAGAAAGGCTCAATGGCATCTCCTCATCGATGCTGAAGAGGCTAACAAACGTTGCAGATATTAACGAGTAACTACGCCGAACGGCTTGAACCTGCGTTGACCCGACCGGGCCGCGTCGATTACCACTTGGAGTTTGGGTTGGCTACGAAGGAACAAGCTCATGGCATTTTCCTCCGGCTTCAGGCTCACAGCAACCGTTGTGAGGCACGGTCTGGACTGGAAGACTTAGCCAAAGCATTTGCCGACAAAATCCCCGAGAAAGTTCTGTCGCCTGCGGAAATACAAGACTTTCTCCTGCATCGTCGTGACGATCTTCAGAAGGCAGTCGATGAAGTTAATGCTTGGGTTCAGGAAATGGTCGCAGCCAAAGGAAGGCGGCAGGAAGGGTGTGTTGAGGCTGCCGGGGAGAATGATGATCGGGAGAGTGATGACGGCGAAGCACATTCATGAACATTGAAGACGATGCTTGAATGAGATCGGCAGCTTGTCAGAAGAAGTCGTCAGACTCGATTCGAGGTGTGAAGTGGACGGGAAGCTGCTCGTGGCTTGACCGGGGTGGTTCTCTGCGTCCGTTACCGAAGAGTGGTCCCTGCGACAAGATTGCAGCTTCTACGTCCAACCAACATGGAACTGACATGGGCCTCTGATAGAGCCCTACTCCTGTACTGAGATACAATCTGAGCAGCCTTGCGAAGGGGTTGGGCTGGTCCTGCTTTGGCCCTTCCGTCACCATGCGGGAGACAGACAAGGAGTCCACCTAAAACCAACCCAGGTGAAGAAGCAAGTGTTGAAGTACAGACTCTGGCATCTGGGTATGACGAATTAAAATTGGATGTGGCGATCTTCACTGCCCTGTCCAAGCTACTCGGGGGTGAGCCACTGTTTGACACCCACCAGGTATAATCTTGCCCCATCTGCATTCCTTATACGAAGTTGTCACCCGAACAACCGCAAACGAGGTTTCCAGCAGTGACTGTGACAGTGACAGCGACTCTGTCTCTGATGCAACTGGTCTCCAATCCCTCCCGAGCAAAAAATTACCGGCCTGGTGTCCTCGAGTCAACAAGTTGGATCGAACCCTTCCGAGTCGTCGAGCGCCCACCCGGAGTCATACACGACGGCGGTATCCTGCCACGTCTCATTATCCGGCCACGTATCCTGCGTTGCGTCCATGCCGGACATATCTACACCTGTTGTTGTTGTTGTCGTGGTATCTGCGGTGCCTTGTCCATTGAATCCGCCGCCCCCGTCGTCATAGATCGCGTTCATTCCGGCGGCGGCAATGGCTGCGTTCGTCATGGATGTCACGGCGATGTCGGTGGCGAGGGTGTTGAGGAAGGCCTCCTCCTGCTGCTGCTGCTGCTGCTGCTGGTGGTGGTACTGGTGCTGGTGCTGTGCCGCACTGTAGGGCCTCATCCGCTGTGGGACATAACTCTGAGGTCTTGACCAAAGGCCCTGGGCTGGAGCACTACTGATCCTCTGTCCCGGCGGAGGGATGGTGGTGTATCCTCCAGCTGTCGGGCGCGCAGGGGCGGCGGCGTCGTAGCTCTGCGATGCGGGCCGTTGGAGTCGGAGGGTCGAATGACAGAACGGATCTTGAGCCGGTAGCGGTGAACCCTGAAGTTCTCCTGGCGCCGGGTTGGCGCGCTCATGGAACCGGGGAATCGGGTGGACGTGCAACTTGCTGGCGTTCTGCAGGCAGTGAAGACACAGCTTGAGCAATTTGTCACACTGCTGACAGTTTAAAGGTGCAGTTGATGTTGTTCCTAGAGAGAGAGAGAAAGGAGGAAAACAGGTTAACGTCATGGACAAACAACCCTGATAGACAGAAGAAAAGGAATGGAGGAGGGAAAGCATACGGTGCAAGCAGAGACTGCACTGCTCGTCGCTAGCAACGGCAACAAATCCGTCTATCCGCATCGTCTTCCTCTGACACTCTCGATACGACCGGGCGATCACATGGTTCAGATTGTCTTCGGTGTAGATGTCAACATAGTCCGTGTGAGGGTGGCCCTTGAGGGCGTCCATGGAGTGTATCGCTGATTCGATGGCCAGCCGCCTCGCCTCGTCAGCAAGAGCCACGACAACCGGTATTATGATCTCGCCAACCCCCTGCATCTCAGCTGAGGCCCGAGGGCCGCCGGGGGGGTGGACTTACGTTGGGCACACGTCTGGCAGTATATCCCGTTGGCCGAGATGCCTTGCTTTGCGACCTGGAAGGTCCACCGCCACGACTCGTGGTGGCTCGGGTGGTGATGGTCGTCGCCGGCGCCGGGTGAGGAGCAGCTCAGGCACCGGAACACGGGCTCGGTCGTGTCGACAAAGCAGGTCTTGCAGAAGCTGACGGGCTGGCCGAGCGCGAGCGGCATCGCGCACGACGAGCAGTGGTTGAGCGCGGCGGTGTCACAGCACGAATATCCCGCCGAAACGCTGTTGTTGCTCCGGACGCTCCATCGCGCCTCGACCACCTTGAAGGTTTTGTGGGGGTGGACGTTGACGCCGCGCGAGAACCAGCATGACCGGCACAGCGTGTAGTCGCACAGGTGATCGAGACAGACGTACCGGTTCGACGTCCGCTTCCGACAGGCCGAGCACGGCCGGAGGGCATTCCTGTTGCTCGGGTCGTGGATGTCGCCGTGGATCATCGACACCGAGGCCGGGGCATGGCTCGGCTGGTGCTGGCGCCAGCAGTGTTGGCAGAACGGAAGTCGGCAGTACGTGCAGTCGGCGAAGGTGACGTCCCAGGGGATACCTGACAAAAATTTCAGCAGAAAGTTCACCCTTCTCCCCCCCTAGCTTGGGTTTCCTCAAGGGGTTGTCTGTGAGAGCGAGAGTATGTATCTATACCGGTTTTACAAAGGGCACATGTTCGTCCGGGGGCATCGGTGCTGACGAACAGAGGACTCGTCGGGAGAGAGTCAAGCGGCGTTGGACGGGACTTGTGGACGAAACGATCTTCTCACTCTTCTTTCACAGGAGAATAGCTTTGAGGTCAGTCAGTCGGTCTCTCGCGTCCCAAAAACGATCAGTTTGCTTGAAAGGCTGACGAGGATCAAGTTGGGAGATTGCCAGATGGAGGGGGGGCATGGTGGGCTACTATTGCGTACTGGACTATCCAGAAGTTGTCATCCATCCATCCAAAGAGACTTTCAACCCCGGCGTCCCTGACGAGTAGATGGCTCGTCCGGCGTCCAGGGCTCGACGTTTAGTCTCCCTGGGCTCTGGGTCTATCTGTTGGGCTTGTGCAGACCTTACCCGATGCATACTCGTCGGTTAGTTGGTTGATTGGACGAACGACAGTCGACCAGTAGTAGTCAGGAAATCTCTCCTTCCACGGGTGTCGACATGGTTCAGCATGATAGGGGGGGAAGAACCCTGTACTGGGGCAATGAGGCTGAAAATGCCACGGTTTCGCACTTCCTGTGTGCACGCGACGCCCCCAGAACCTGTTCGTATGGGTAGGTGGTTGCGTTTCTCGCCCAGAGCTTCTCCTGTTCTATTTCCGACTACATGAATACGCATGATAAGCTACTCCGTACAAGAGAGAGAGACAGAGAGAGAGAGAGAGAGAGAGAGAGAGAGAGTTTAACCCCCAACAATCATTCATCGTCGAGAAAGAGCTGACAGCGAGATGGAAGAGGACCAACCCAAAATCAGGCTAAGCCAGCAAACTCAAAGGGAGAGAGAGACACACACATACGCCACACTCACCCTCTCTCTCAGCTGGGTCTCGTGTCTCTCAGACACTCGTGCAGCATGGCACCCCGCTCCATGCAGTCCACCAATGAGATCAGCCCCGGCTCGACATTTCCGTGGCTTGGGCTTAGGCTGTGCGATCCACGAGCCTATGAGATTGCGCTTGTAGCCGAGCACAGCACCGGTGAGTGAGTGAGAGAGAGTTCGTATTGGCGCGCGAGAAACGGTGATGGGGGGGGGGCAAACCCCCTTGTCAAATACGGGGTAGTGGTGGTAGTTATTTTCGTGCTACGTTAATCAAACCAATCAATCAACCAACCAACCAACCAGCCAACCAACCACCCAATACTCTAGAGTCCAGACATGGGTCGGACAGAAAAAGGGGAACACAACGAGTCTGGTTTGGGTCTAGTTGGGGCTCTGTGTGGACGAGTTACAGAGTACAGAGTATGTACTATTGTCGTTACGACTTCGACGGTATGGCGTGTTACGAACTCCCCAGCCCCTTTTTTCAGCCTTACTGTCAATTCAACACGTCCTGGCCACCATAAGTGAGTGAAGGCGGTTCCGACGTGCATGGTACTCGTATGTATGCATGTAGCCGCCAATCATGATGGGAGAGCAACCTCGCATGGGGGCTGTGGAATTTCATGTCACACTTCGTGTTCTGTAACTATGATAGCTCCATAGGCCCGAGACCGAAGGGGCATGGGCATGGGGTTCCCAGATGTCGTTTTGCACGGAGTAAGGATGGCTTTGCGCTCCTCTGTCTCCCCAGATGGACGTGCTCTCAAGTTAGCTGTTTCGTCAAGCACACCGAGACAGGGAAAAGCAATCAGGGGGCGGCGCCTCTAGAGGCCCGAAGTTCAAAGCCCAGATCTCCAGAGGCCATTCGATAGGACGAGTCAAACAGGAAACAGGAACCAAACCCGGTCTAGATGTCGCATACCCCGTGGCCCATAGCGCGTGGTCTGTGCGTCGTGTGTATCAGGATTCAGGACGGTGGTAAGGCTGGATCGCACACCCTTTGTCTCTCTCCCCCTCTCTCTTTCTCACTTGCATATGTGGCTCTCGTATGTCCATACTCGGTATTCCGTACATCCCTCCTCTTCGTAGACAGGCAGGCAGGATACAAGGTTTCAGCCCCCCCGGGCATGAAGAGAGCCAGAACATCTTCCCAGTGGTGCGGTTACACAGAGATCTTGGCCTGCTTCCACCATCCCTGCCATCTGTGTGTCTTCTGGCTCGCTTGTCTGTCTGTCTGTCTGTTCGCCTTGCTGCTGTTCCTTACGTCCTCGCCCCCTATTCAAATCGGCCCAACAGAGACAAGACGACCAGGGCTAAATATGGGTCTTGACTCTTGAATCTCGAACCCCCTCGAGACAGAACAGGTAGCTTCTTTTTTTTCTCTAGCTAGTTAGTTAGCTACTGTTACTAGCTTACCAGCCCGGTGGTTACTCGTATATAATAGCACAGCCATTTCCCAGAACACACCACCTGCCTCTGCTCCATCCTTGCCCCGGTCTCGGTCCCTCAGCCTAATCGTCCACTGCTACTACCACGCGGTAGCAGACATTGCAGTCGTTCCGGCCATTCAAAGTCTGGTCTATATCCGTCGCCCTCGATCCTCCCTCTTTGAAAGCGATTCCTCAGATTTCCAGTCACTCGCCCCTCTCACACTACTCACTGCCCCCCAAATAATCACCACTTCCTTCATTCCTTGACTCAATCGTCAAACAACAACCATGAATCCTGCCTTCGAGAAACCCTCACATGGTGGTAAGTTGCTCCGTGTCGCTCCCGATATCCAGAATGAAGAGCCAATTCTGACATGACTCTTCCCCATTCAACAGTGGAAACACAGGCGAACGAAGTGTTGATGCCCGGGTAAGTACCATATCACCCACCTCTTGGTGCGTCCTGAACCGTCACTCCCTCCATACTGATCAGCAGCAACCAGAGATCTCCGTTTCCAACAGTCAAACGTCACCGGCACCCCAAATATGGGCCCAGGCCCCATGCAGCCGCCGAGCCACGAGTACCCCGAGAAGGCCTACGGACACCCCCAGATGCCATCTCAACAACCGTATGGTCAGCGCTCCGTGTCGGGCCAGTTCCGCCAGACCGTAGCCATCCCCAATCTCGGCATGTCTGCGGCGCCCGTGGATTGCCCGGCGTGCGGGCAGCGCGCCATGACCAACGTCAGCTACCACACCGGCAACACTACGCAGTAAGTCCCCCGTCTTTCTCTCGTGGTGCATCTCCTGTGCGTATCCAAAGCTGACATGAGACCTCCCCAAAAAGTGTCTGGGCCGGAGTCGCCTGCTGCTTGACCGGCCTCCTCTGCTTCGTGCCCTACCTCATGAACTCGTTGAAGGACGTCCAGCACCGTTGTGGGGTCTGCGGCGTGTTGCTGGCCACCTGGCACAAGAGCGGCGTGGTCGAGGTTCACATGCACGGCTGAAGACCAAGGTTCATGGCGGTGCGCAATATCACGACTTGAAACTCGAGCTGGATTTTATGGGCGGCTGGGAAACGAATCAATTATTACTTCACGGACGGATGGACACACGGACCTGTAACCAGTATCTTATTTTATTTGTTCCTGGACTTTCACGATCACCAAAAACGGGAGAAAGGGAGGGGGCGTGGGGCCACCCCGGGTCATGCTAGGCCCGGACCACCGCCGGGCGTTTGCTGTAGGCGCGGGGGCAAACCAAGAGTGATGCTGATGGCGAGGATAGTGTTTGCCGGGCATGCAGGACAGGACTTTGGCTGAGCATACACACACACATTCAGTCTTCTCTCGTGGACTTCAACCAAAAGAGTGCCACATTTCAACCCCCCCAAAATGACTTGCCTTGGCCCGTACCCCGTACACGTATATTTTCCGATATCTGGACGCAAGCGCGGGAAAGTCACCGAGAACTTCACCAGCTATGTACAGACCTGGCTAGTACGCAGTAAGTACCGAGGGAGAAAAGTCGGTCGACTGGCACCAACCATTCACCAGAAAGGCTCGGAAGACGACGAGGGCAAAGAAGGAGAGGGCAGAGCAGAGCAACTAATTAAACCAACTGGTAAGCAAAGAAAAGAAGAGACCAGTGATTATACAGTCTCACAAACGAATACCGAGTACTTGGATCAGATGCATGCTAAACCGGCGACCTCCTCTCCCAAAGAATTGGGCTCGGTACATCTGCCACGAACCTCCACATCCCCAGCATGCTGCTGTTCTCTCCCCCGGTAGGTCGACCTCGTGGTCTTCTTTTAAATTCTCTCCGACCTCCACATGACGACGACTACCCATAATTCGTCGGCGCAATACCATAGCGGTAATTGGCCAGGTCATACGCGACGTAGGCGTTCTGCAAAAAGGTATCTCCCAGAATAAGCCAGTCGCCGTCCTTGGCGGGCTCCATGCCCCAGGCGCAGCCCGTCGCGGCCCCCGGGGTAGGGAGGACCAGGCTCTGGAACGGGATCGAGATTTTCAGGTCGTCGCCGAAGTAGAAGTCGACCGAACCCGGAGGCACCGTGCAGTCCACGTTCCTGTTGGCCACCGTGAACGGCAGGTAGCCGACGAGGCTGTTGTACATGTCGGGTGGGAGCACGATGTTCGTGGTGCCCGAGTCCAGCAGCAGGTCGACGTTCACCGAGACCGTCGTGAGTTGCTTCGACGGCGAGGCCGTCGTGCCCCACCCAGTCAGCGTGATCAGGTAGTCCTTGTACGTGCCGTCCTCGTCGGCGACCATCGGCCTCCACGTGATGTCGCCCTTGTAGGCCGTCTCGTCGACGTCGCCGAAGAGAATGAACCCGCCGCTGTCCGGGCCGATCAAGGACGACCACAGACTAAACAACGGCGTGTCGATGGTGCCGGATTTGACCAGCATGTCGATCAGGTTGGGGTACAACGGCTTGGATTCGCCCGTGTCGAAGCCCAGGCCCATGACGCCCCATGACAGATTCCCCGTGATGGCCGTCGCCAATCCCAATTGCACGTCGTCGACTTGGACGCCGCTCTCGAAGCTCAGTGTGTCGGTGAAAAAGTCCCCCGACGCCACGGTGGTGCCCTCCTCATACTCGATGGTGAAGGCGTCCTTGCTGACCAGTTCGTACGTGCTAGATTGGTCCGGGTCGAACGACCAAAAGCACCCAGGAGTGATGCTGCACAAGTCCGGCGGGAATGCCCATGTGTCGGAGCTGCCCGTGTCAATCACAAGCAAGATGTCCTGCAGAGGGGTGCCGAATCCCACTGAGATCTCGTATTGGAATTCTTTCGGATCCCAGCCGGTCGTGGCCAAGAACTCATCACCACTGTCATCTTGACGTCGGCGGAGAGCGGGCTTGTTGACTCGTCGAGTTTTGAGCCGCAGAGACTTGCTCGACCGGCGATGATTGTCCTGGGGTGGGCCGGACGGTGCACTCGTGACAAGCTCCGTCAGGAGCAGGAGGGGGGCAAGGAGGCAGATTAGGGATAGACGGCGCATCTTGTTCTTGGGGTACCCTGAACAACAAAAGAAAGAGAAAAACAAGCTGCAAACACTTTGGCGTTCATTCTTACCTTTTGACCATTTCACTACGCTGGCTTTATACCCACCACACCACGACTCGTCTGGATGTTCGGAGCGTGGGTGTATCTCGATTGCGAGACCAACTCAGCCGCAGCAGACCTCTCAGCCCCGAAATCTAGGCTGCTAGGACTTGTCCGGGGCCGACTGCGCCCATTTACACCAATGATCTCTGTTGCATGAGGCAAGGCAGACGGTCCCGACGTGAGACTAGGGAAGCTGGGAAAGCTTGTTGCCGGGACCATGCCAGCCCCAGAGCTCTGGGACTGCGCTGTGGAAGAAAAGGCACTAGCAGAAAAGATCCATAGAGACTGTGCAATGTTTCCCATTCGGGCAGCACCGCGTGAGCGGCGGCATGATCGGGATGGCGCAAAGAGGGATGAGAAGGAATGTTCAAGCTCACCAAGTCGTCGTGCTTGATGCTTCGGCCGAGCTTGGCGCCTTGGCGAAGCTTGGCATGGCCTCCCACAGCGGCGGGACGGGAGAAATATAGGGCTGAGAAGGCGGGATAGACTTTCGTGGTGCTGCAGCTTGGGGGCCTTTTGTCTCGCTAAACCTCGTGTTTCTCGGGGCCTAGATCAGGTGGGAAAAACCAGTGGACTTTTCACTGACAAAGCGACAAGACTGACTTGTTCCTTTGGCATGTCCCCTTGGACATCCTCGGCACGCGAAACGACGGCTCCGACGACCAACAATGATTCTAGGAACCCCCCGGCCTTGTAGCTCCGATACGGTGGCACTGGAGGGTTCACTGGTTTCTTTGAACCGTACGGAAATAGCTGAAATCCCAGTCGCATCTGCATCAGACTCTGCACTACGAGGGATCCAGCTGGCTGGTTTGGGCTGACTCGAGGTCGAGACCTGTGATGGAATTAGTACCTTGAGCATAAGGGTTTCGAGAAACCGCTTAGAAAATCCCTAGGAGCACATGCTGAGCCTCACAAGCCCCATCTTGTCGAGAGCGGCTTAGAGCGACAGAGCTTCCTTGCTCCAAAAGAATAGAGAGAGTCAGTGTTTTCTGTGAATATATGTCTCTCGATAGTAGATCGACCTGTAACCACCCAGTATGCAATCCCTTTCTTGTTTAGCCGTGTCCTAGAGCCATGTCTGTTCCTTGCTATGCATATGTCATTATTACAGAAATACAACGAATAAGTTGTCAAAAGTGCTCCCCTGTTTGGCCAACGACCCCTTTTCAGCACCCCGCCACGCCCATCATACACGAGATATAATCTTTCCCATTTGGTCCTATCTTCAGGCTTCCAACAAAACCCTCAATAGTCTCGATCACACCACGAACGCAAGGACACCCAACACACCAGCAAGAATGCCCCACGCGACGCTCTGCTGGGTTGCTGCACCCGTGAAGATGTCTGGTGTGATCGAGGGTCCTCCTGTACCTGCGTTTGATCCTGTCGGCCCAGGAACGAAAGTCGTGGCTGCCGCTTGAGCTCCTCCATCTCCAGACCCGGATCCAGCTCCACTGCCCGAGCCCGATCCCGATCCATTGCCAGGTCCAGATCCAGAAAACCCGGACCCACCTTCAGGAGCAGCAGTGGGCATGGGCACCAAGCCGACTTCCCCTGGACCTCCACCATTGCCGCTGCCACTATTACCGCCCGCGGGAGAAGGAGCAGAGCCGGTGGGCTGAACTGTGACAAAGGTGACCTGCGGTACCGTAACTGCGCTTGTGACCGCACTGCCTGAAGCCGTGATCGTGAACGTTACAGTTGTGACAGGGATAGCCACCGGTGGGGTCGGAGAAGGTGCAGAGATGCCGTTGCTTGCACCCGAGCCCGAGCCAGAAAGAGGCGGTCTTGATCCGCGACCGTTGCCATTGGTAGCCGTAGCAGTCACTGTCTGCACCTGCGTCCCTACTGTTTCTGTCACTGACCCAGCGGGCGAAGGCGTAGGCACAAGAGTGATGGAGCTTGGCACACCGGTACAGATGCCCGGATTTTGCGGAACAAAATCTGCGCAAATACCTGCCAGGTAAGATAACGCTGCCGTGACCTCGTCGTTGGACGCCCCCCACGCGGAGACACATTGTTGGACTGAACTGATGAACTGTTGAGAAGGGCAGAAGCATGTCGTGTCCGAGTTTGAGGCACATTTGGGCACGAGCGAAAGCCAAGTGTTCAAGCAAGAGGGGAGGACGGAGGGGCAAGGCGAGGTTGGCTGTGCTGGAGGTGCGGCCGGTGGCGACGACGCCGGAGGTGAGGAAGATGGAGACGAAGATGTTGGGGGTGATGAAGGCGGCGACGCAGGTGGAGATGTCGGAGGTGTCTCCGTAGTTGCAGGAGTAGGCGAAATCGTAGACAGGGTTGAAGGTGGCGGCCTGGTACACCGAGTGCAGACCGTGGAGGTTGAAGTGATGGTGATTGTTGAGACGGTGTTGGTGGTCTCGGTCACAATGTCAGTGCCACTTGTGCGCGTATTGGTTATGGGGCATGTGGTGATTGTCGTCACCACAATTTCCGTCGTGATCAAGTCAGTCGTGGTATCGGTTGAGCTCGTCCCAGGTGTTGTACCAGGCGTTGTACCAGGTGTTGTAGTAGTGACAATAGCCGAAGTGGTGGTAGTCTGCTGGCTGAGAGTGGTTGAAGAGCTCGCAGTCTGCACGACAGAAGGTGTAGTTGTGGTGGTGCTTAGGGTTTCTTGAGGGGTAGTCGTGCTAGTGGTCGAAGTGCTCGGAGTCTGGTCAGCAGGAGAGGTAGTGGTAGTGCTGGGAGTTTGCTCAGGTGCTGTGGTGGTAGTGGAGTCTGGAAGAGAAGTAGTGGTGCTTGTGTTAACCTGTTCACCGGAGGAAGTTGTTGTAGTAGTCGTCGTGCTGCTGGTCACTGGGATGACCTCCGGGGTGGTCGTTGTCTCGACATTCGGCCTGGTTGTGGTGGTTTCGACTTGGGAGGTCGAGGTCACCAACGGAGTTGTAGTTGTGACCACTGGTGTGGTCGTGGTCGAAGTGGTTGGAGCTGTGGTTGTTGAGGAGGATGAGGAAGACGACGACGAAGAGTTGCAGTCGAAGCCAATCGAGTGAATCCCAATGTCGCAACCGTTGCTATTGCCACTGGGAGGCATCTGAAAGGTCACGGATTTCGCCCCACCGCACTGCGTGTTCTCCACAGTGGTACCGCTTGAACTGCAAGACGCGGTGTGTTTGCACGTGGAGCCATCGGGCATGGAGAAGATGAAGTCCAGATCAGTGTCGAAGGATACCGAAACCTGCATGTGCGTGATCGAGAACTGGTCATTTTGGGCGCAAGAAAACTGGGGACCACTGTTCGACGAGGTGCTGACTTTGCCTTGAATGCATTTAGACTGGCCAACAGGTCAGGAAGAAGTTTTCACGGTTCACGAGCCTTTTGGGATCTTACCTGGAAATCATCACGTATGCGAAGCGATCGTTTCTTTGAATTGGGTTGAAAGGAGTCCTGGCAGGAAAATCCGCTGAAGCCGAAGCCTCCATAATTATTGAATGAACCTGTTGGCAGACCAGACCAATCAAATCCACTCTGTTGGTCAGTCGTGCAGTTGTTAGCGGTGTTGGAGACGCTGGAAAAGGTAGGGGAATCGCCCCAGCTTGTTGCCACAGCCTGCTGTATGAGCCAAACAATAGCCACGAGACCGGCAGTCAATGCAGACTTCATGACGGCGATTATGTTGTAACAAAACAAGGATAGTTATCTGAACGAGCGAACGTGGCTGGGTCGTAAACGAAGGACTTCTCCTGGAAAGCGAATGTGGAAAGCGAAAGACTGTAAGGAAAAGAAATGGAATGTGGGGTGCAAAAGACGAGCACCTTTTGTTGGTGAAGATGGAGGTTGCTACATTTTCGAGGAAGCACTGGAGCTTTTGTATCCACGAGAGGGCAGGTTGAATCTCACTTCGAACTGCTTCCAAGACGTAGGCCATACAATGACCATACATCACCTGGAAACCATGCGACTTTGCCGTAGCGGGTCCCAATACAAGACATTCTGAAGGCGAGTAGACAGAAGGCGCGCGCAACAACCGGGTGGCAGAGGGCACTGTTGAGGTTGTGGATCGGATTCGGACGGGAAATATGGCATTCAGCACCAAGAATGGAGAGACACCAGCTCAATGAAAAGAAGGCTGAAACAGAGATGGGTTCCCGAGTCGTATCCAGTAGGGCTCGAGATCCACGTTCGCGACCCTCGAAATAGACTGTATCGGGACATTCGAAACGGGTCAGGAGTGATGTCTTAGGCTGGGAGACCGAAAATGGCCAGTCGCACTCAGAAACACTCGAGTTGACGGCGGGACGACAAGCGCAGTGTCCGCTATCGAGGCTGTGTCTGATCTTGCGCAGCTTCAGAGCTTGTCTACCCACAGCATTCTGGATGGTTGCCGGACGAGTCGCACAAACTGAGGCCTGTCTCCTCGCGCTTGTCGGCGCAAATTGGAGTGGTTTGAAGATGAAGCGGAGGCGAGCCCCAGCATTGACGTGATTGGCTAGGACTCAACCTCATGCTTGGCCCACTAGTCTATTTTTGAACCGGCGAGGCCGGGCCACGACGGCGGTTATGAGATGAGGCGCTTGAACACGGGGCCGACGGATGCCGGACCAGAGGCATCAGTCTCGAATTAGGACAGATGGACACGAGTCTTTCCATTCCACGAGGAGGAATATACGGCAAGCGACCACACGACACCGCATGTCGGAGTAGTAGCAGCACCGAGATATTCCCACCCTCCCTGCGAAGCACACTATATGCGCCTGTACAAAAAATATTTCCACCCAAGTCTCAGGGCCACAGAAGAACCTGCGACCAGATACAGTCCAAGCCCCAAACTGGTAGTTGCAAAAGTCACCCAGTCAGCTGGCGCCGATCAATGCATCAATAACTGTGTATCGCCGGCCCCCAGCTCTGCCCTCTATATTCATAACGCCGTGCACAGTACGCTGTCATCATATCATCATGCCAACCCAAAACCTCTCAGGGACGTCCTTCACCTCTCTTTATGAGGGTTCCGCTTTCGTGGGATCTGCGTTTGCTGATCGTTCCATCAATATTAACGACGGCACCGTTTCGTCAGCGCCGTGGACTGTTCCGTTCACTTCGCCATTGACGTGTCCATTGGTGGTTAACATACCACCGACGTGGAGCACCGGCTTGGGAGCAACTTGCTCGGAGGTAATCTTCCCTAGCTCATCTGTTTCCCTTTTGCCACTCGGAGGACTAGGCCTCCCATCTTCACCATTCTCGGCTTCTTTGTTTGCCTGTCCAGTCACCTCAGCAATGCTGGCTTCGACTTTCTTCATCACTCTCTTGAACGGGCGTCTCAACTTCGGTCTCTCTGCCGGGCTCATTGGTGGCTCTTCGCCGTTCGTAGCTGAGCTGGGTGATTTGCCACCGCTTTCTGCCGAACCGTTGACGCCATCGACTGGGGCTGGAGCGGGTTCAAGGCTCTTGACTAATTTCTCCGCTGCTACTTTGGTTCTGTGAAGATACTCGTCCAGCATGGCTTTCAGAGCAGTCTGCCGGACTGGTTTGGCCAGGTAGTCGTTCATTCCAGCCTCGAGGCACTTCTCTCGGTCGCCACGGATTGCCGAGGCCGTCATCGCAATAATCAGAACTCGACTTACGTTAGGATCCGGGTCGGCTCTGATTGCTTTGGTCGCTTCATATCCATCCAGAACAGGCATCTGAACATCCATCAGCACCAGGTGGAACGGCTTGCCTTCTTTACTCTTTGCCTGTAAGGCTTCGTAAGCTTGTTTCCCGTCTTCATAGGCCTCACATTTCAAGCCAAGCCTATTGACAAATGAAATGGCAATCTTTCTGTTGATCTGGTTATCCTCGGCAATACAGACACGCAATTCCTCGCGGGGAACTTTGCTCAGATCACAGAAACTGTACGTCTTCTGCTCCGTTTCGGGGCTGGCGGCCTGTGACAATTCGCCATGGGGTCTGGGTCCTTGGCGGAGATTTGGATTTCATTGGGCACGCTGCTGTTCTTTGGTGCTTTCTGGAATGTAAGTGTGAATGACACCGTGGTGCCGACGCCAGGCGTTGATTCGATCCAGATCTTACCACCGAGCACGTTTTCAATCATGGCCTTGCAGATACTGAGACCAAGGCCGCTGCCCCCGTACGAACGCGCCGTGGACGAGTCAGCTTGCGAGAAAGGTTGAAAAAGACGCGTGAGCTGCTCCTGCGTGATACCGATACCAGTATCTGCAACCGAGCAGGTGATCTTGACCTTGTCTCTCGTCTCGGCATTCTTGCGAGCTCTGACAGTGACAGATCCCTTGGGAGTGAACTTGTAAGCATTGCTCAGGAGATTCATGAAGATTTGGTGGAGGCGGACTGGATCACCGAGGACCAAGTTATCGTCTATCTGCAGGTCTTCGACGGTCTTGAGTCCATGTTCCTGGTTGGTATAGGCCAGCGCCCGCACCACCTCGGTAATGGTCTCTTTCAGATTCAGAGGAACCGTGAACATCTGCATCTTACCGGCCTCGAGCTTGGAAAAGTCCAGAATGTCGTTGATAACGGTGAGTAATGTATCCGCACAAACTCGGATGCTGTCCGCGTACTGTTCCTGGTCTTTACTCAATGGAGTACCCTTCAGCAATTCGGACATACCGATCACACCGTTGAGCGGAGTTCGGAGTTCGTGACTGACGTTGGCGAGGAAAATGGACTTCGCCTTGGCAGCCTCCTCCTTCAACTTGACATTATGCATAGCCTCCGCTTCCGCCTTCTTCGCCTTCGCTTCTGCCTCGCGTGCTGCCACGAGGGCCCGCTTCTGAGACTCGACCATGCTGGCATTCGACGCGCTAACTTTGCGAACCTTCCTGTAGAGAAGCGCGTTCCCGAGTGAGATGGCGACTTGGTTTGTGAGAAGGTTGAGAACGATCATGTTGCGCTGGGTAAAGGCGTTCGGCCGTCCCTCGAGATGGATGACACCCATCAAATGATCGGCCTGGATAATAGGAATGGCAATAATGGAACGACCATGAGGGTTCCTTGCCAAGTAGGCGTCGCCTACATTAGAGAATCGATCGTCTTCGAGAACGTTGTGTACAAACACAGTTTCTTTAGTTCGAAGAAGATAATGGGTGATCTGCTGAGCGGCCTGATCGTCGACCTCCGAGAAAGGAATACCATCCGGGTAAGTCTTGACGCCTGTCTCGTGGTCTGCACTTGCTGCCACACACCACCCTTGATCCTCGGAGTCGATAACGATTGCGCAGAATTCTGCTTGCCCACCAACGGATTCCAGGATGACTGAAATCATCTTGGATAGAAGATTGTTGATTTGGAGCTCTGAGCTTATAACGCGGGAGAATTCCAGGATAGAGGTCAAATCCAGGATATCGAGGCCTAAGCCGGGAACGTCCTGGGGTGATTGAGTCGCGACCGCAGATTTCGGTTGCACCCATTGATTTGTATATTCGCGCTTGTTCTGGATCTGCGCATCTTCACCTACGGTCAATGAATGCAAGTCTTGCGTTTGAGTAGAGGCGTCCATGGTCCTGGAAGTGGTGGCAGTTTTGATTAGCCACTCATGCTTCTCTTGGAGCTGTCGAGCTTTCCCGGCCGCGTTGATCCTGTTCCAGGCGGCAATGGCTTCTTGAATCATAACCTTGCCAGCTCTCTTTGCGCCTCGCAAAAGTAGGAAGTCAGCCTGCATTTCCACTGCCAGCGCCTCTTCCATGGCGAAACCGTGAACCTGGCAGTGGTCAATGGCCATTTCGAGGTTGGAGGTGACGTTGTAGTACACTTTCGTCACGTCCGATATCGCGGCTTCAAGTATCCTGGACCAGGCAAAGTAGTTCACGTCATTGACCTTTCCCCAATCATCGATGAATTGTTTCATCTCTTTTGCTTCTTCAATGTAAGGTCCACGCTCCTCTTCAGGCTTCTCTTTTGCAAGCGCAATGAGAGACAGGCCGAGGTAGAAGCGAGTCCCGCAAGTGGGTCTATTCGACCAAAGCTCGTCAAGACTTCCGCAAATCAACTCTCTCCCCTTTTTGACGACGTACTCGTGATATCCCATGAGATGATAAGCGACAAGCGACATAGCGTGGAATATGTCGCGAGAGCGTTGCGCATTGGCGGCATACAGTCCACAATCTGTCAACCATGACTCGGTCTGGTGATCTTCGTCATCGAGAAGAGTTGCGGCGTCCGCTGCTATGGTCTTTCCTTGCAAGGCCCGCGAGACCTGTCTGATAACAGTCAGAAGTGTTCCACCTCGCCGATCTCTGTCCCAATCATCGAACTCTTCTGGGCCATAATTGCAGAAAGCCTCCACTTCTCCGAGGTCCTGTCCTGCCCAAAATCTTGAAAGTGCCATGGCTCCAATGTTCAGGATGCTGACAAACCTGTCCCCAGATGACAAGGAATATTCGAGCGCGCTATCGAGAATCGGGAGCAAGTTTCGCACCGGAGTCTGGTAGTGGCCAATAAAAAGGGTGTAGAGAGTCCAGCCCCTGCCTCGTGTCCAAGCATCGTCAAACATGGTGTAGAATTCTTGCGCAATATCGCCATAGGACAAGCCCAATTCGATATCCTTAAAGCGACCAATAGCGGCAGCACCAAGCATGGTGAAGCCGACCCCGGCCTGAACAAAAACACCACGATCGAGGATTGTGTTGACATAAGCGATGACGAGCTGGTACCAGAGCAAAGCGTTCGACCAGTAGAGAGCGCCGAGAGCCTCGGAGAGAACAGTACCAAGAGCGATTATGGTTTTGTCTTCGCTCAACGGAGCCGTCAGAAGCGCCTCCTTATCAAGTTGTTGCAGTCGGAGCTCTAGCTTCTTGAAATCAACGTCGCACTGTTCCCACGTCACTTCTGGCAGAGCCAGGCCTAGCTCTGCCAGACATTCTTTTTGAGTCATGAATGCATCCATGAATCTCCCCTGAGAAGCCAGCACACGTCCTTTCAGGATATAAGACCTTGTTTTATCTGCAGAGCATCTTGCGTGAGCGAATGTTTCGTTCAGAAGCTCCAGGGCCTCGGCGTCCTCTCCTTGAAGATACATGATTTCAGCGGTATTAACGTGAAGTTGGAGGGTTTCATCATAGAAGACATCCGGATTGTCCGTGTTCCATTTGTCGTCTTGCAGCAATTGGAGCGCGGTCTTGTAGTACCAGAGGCCGGTAGCTTTCGCGCCAGTTTCGATTGCCTTTTGCGCTCCTCGCCAAAGGACATCCCGATAACGCATTCGTGTTGGAATCCTCTCCTTCACGATTTCTGCAGACAGACAGATGTGACGTGCCAAAGGGTACAAATTATACTTGCACTGGCTGAGGTACGTCATCATGGCTTGCGCAATGATGAAATGCATCTTGGTTGTATTCTGGCACTCGCGCATTTCGTTCGCCGCTTTCAAATATCGCCCGTGCGCAAAACGGAACTCGTCATCGGTCTCCCCTGGATTTATGATGAACATGTTGACCAGTTGTTGAAGTCCATTGATACAGTCAGTCTCCGACAGATTGATTAACTTGGCACGTTTAGGGCAAGTCGCATCATGTACTTGATCTCTTCCGCTGCTGTAGAAGAAATCCCCGGTTACGATGGACTGGATCAATTTGAAGGAGAAGGTCGTGCCGATCAGAGAGGCCCATGCAAGAATTGACCTTGCCGCTGGTGGCAAGTCTTGCAGCCGGCGGGTCAGGTAACCATTGTCGGTGCAGCCTTCGGCGCTGAACTCATTGAAAATCTTGTCTAGGTCAAACTGCCAGCCTGATTCTTTCCAGTCATACCACAGACAGTTCCGCTGATAGCATGTTTGGAGAATATCCTTGACCAGGAACGGATTGCCTTCTGACTTGGCGTAGACAACGGCTGCAAGGGGCAAAACTGTCTCCACAGGCTGAGACATCGTTGCTGCAACATATTCAAAGACGTGCCTTTCTCTCAAATTAGCCAATTCGATCTTGTTGGTAGAGTCGAGATCGAGAAGTTTGACTGTCTGTTCGGGAACATTCCCATCTTCCACTCTGCTCGACAACATAAGCACAGCCGGCACCTTCGCTTTGATGATATGCATCAGCAGTTCGATTGATTCACTGTCCGCATATTGTAGGTCGTCCAAGCAGACACAGATCAGCTTTCCTGTGCAAATTGTTCGTAAGACATCCATGTACGTGTTGATGAGTCGAATGGACTTAGTATTGGCCGGACCACGCAGGAAGTCGTTGGCGTCCCACGTGCCGTGGTGAGGTGGAATTACATGCGTCTTGGGAGCGCCGCTATCGACCGTGGGAACCTCGGTGTTGACGCTTTGGTTCGCGGTATCTGTTTTAACCAAGAGCTTCTTGGACAGGACGGTGACATCAAGCAGTGTCGAAGGAAGATCCAACATCGAATGCAGGATTGGCCAGAAGGGCGTGACATGCGCCCGAAGATGCTCATGATATGGCGTGTTGACGTCTCTCTCGGAGAAGATCTGTCGGAAGAGACTGGCCATAACCTTGATCAGGGGTTCGAAAGGAGAAGGACGAGCCCTGTCGAATCTGCCGAGAGCGAAATAGCCATGGCGACGAATAACAGGCTGTACGGCCTTGATCAGAGCAGTCTTGCCAACTCCCGCTGGTCCCAGGATGGTAATGACTTCTGTCTTCGACCGTCGCTTGTATTTGTGGCTATTTCTCCTTCTAGTCATCATCCCGGGTAACATATCAGTGGCAGGTTGCAAGCCTCCCGAGAAATTACTGTCTCGGTCGGACAAGACATCCAATGGCGTGATTCTGGGGTCGCCGATGCCGCGGGTACGCTTTCCCAACAGATTGGCTTTGTTGGCATATCCTGGAGTGTAGGCACCATCCAGTCCAATAGTGGTGGAGTTACTGCGAGATTCACGAAAACCAAATGAACTTGAGTCGTCAGAACCAGGGGCGTCTTCCGCTCCATCCATGCGACTGTCTGAAATGGATGAATTGGACCCAGCACTCAAGAGGCCATGTTGCGAAGGGGATGGTCTCGTGACAGACGAGCTGTGCCTCTTGTGAGCCTTGTCAATAATCTTGGTGATACGTTCCGTCTCGGCGTGCCGGCCAAACTGTTTGGTGGGGAGGATGAAGAAGGATGAGACGTCTCGTTGCCCGACCTTGTAGTTCTTGATCTTTTCCTGGTCGCCTTCGCCTAGATACTTCTGGATCTGTACTAAGTCATACCTGAGACCGCTCATTGAGTGATACCGTTCATCCATCTGCTTCTGGGTCATCTTCGCGATGATATGTGCAATTGCATCAGGAACATCCATGCGGACTGCGGTGACCAAAGGAAGGCGATGCGTGAGAACGCGCTGGACAATGTCGATGGGAGTTTCTGCATCAAAGGCGGGCTGTCCAGTCAGCAGTGTCCAGAATAGAACGCCCAAGCTGTAGATATCTGTGCGACTATCAGGCTCCGCGGGTAACCTTCCAGTTTGCTCGGGAGCAATAAAATGCAGTTTACTCTTGACGCCGATCTCTCGGCTCATATTAGCCCAACCCTCACTGGATAGCAGATTTTCGAATGCTCGGGGTCCGTTCCCGCCATTCGCCAATTTGACCGTCCCTGTCTCCCGGTTCCAGTGGAAAGTGTCTGAGCGAACCTCTCCATGGACGCTATTGGCACCGTGGTGCAACAGCTCAAGGGTTTCTGCAGCACCGACAGCAAAATCCAGAAACGCCTGGAGCGGTATCCGCTCGCCGGGAGTTCCGTCGGCCACGACGCTCATCCTGTGATTATTGAGACCATAGAACGCTGGTCCCATGTCCAGAACCTCGCGCAGATAGTTTTTCCCCGGAGCTTCATATACACACACGACGATAGGACGGGTGTCGCCTGGAGTAGTAGGCAGCTTGAAGATCTCAATGGGTCGTATGGTATGTTCGCACTCCGGATCAGCATCCTTCACGATAGCCTGGTTATAATAGAACTCTCTTTCCAGACGCAGCACGTGCGTGCTGATGCGCGCCACGACAGGCATCCATATTGGCTCCGGGTCCCCTTTGGAGGATAAATTCTCACTGTCGGTCGAAGTACCGCTAATACTACTCCAGTGATGGTGTCGGAGTGCGGGACGATGAGGATCGAGTTTCGGAGAACTCCTGGTCGAGCCGGACAGGACGGAAAAGCTGTTCAGGGTACTAACTGACTCGCGCGGATTGACGACATCTGGATTGTGTAAAACACCGTAGACATGCCTGCTTGAAGTGGCCGTGGGTTAGTTTTCGAAGCCTGCGAACTCTGGAGATCGGGCGGCGGGGAAGACTGACCAGTGATCGTAGCTGGTGTGGAATGGCACGAACTGCAATCAATCCAAATCAGCATTCACTTCGCGCATCAACCCAGGGACAGACATACCGAGCGATCCCACGTATAGTTGGGGACTTGGGATAGGCGTTCAAAGAGCCTCGCCGGCGCGATGGGGAGGTCCTCGCCCAAGATTTCGTCCATTTTCTCGTACTGAGGGCGTGACGTTTGCGATCATGTCATTTTGCAGGATAGACTCTCGAAGTGGAGGCAACCTATATCCACGAGAGCGACGGCGGCGACGGCGGCGACGGCAACGTCAATAGCTGCGTTGAAGACGATGATGAAGCATGTGGTGATGGAAAGCGGAGGGAATGGAAAGATCCCGGTGTTAGGAGTCGAGGCACGAAAGATTGGAAATGGATGTCGGGATCGTCTGCACGATCTGTGAGCGAGAGGCACCAAAGGGGTGAGTGTGCGTGGTTGATGCTGATTAAGCGTCAAGCAATGACTATTTGGGCAAGGTCGAGGAAGCGGGAGGTTTTGGGGGGGCTCTGGCCGGGCTTCTAGACCTGGGTCATAAGCAGATTGGCGCCCCATCACACCACATTGCAGAGCACACGGGGTCATCGAGGCACAGTCACAGGTCAGTTAGGCAGTTGTTGGCTCGCTCGGGATCAAGCTCTGAGTGCCGGCCCCAGGCGAGTTGTAGGCCACTGGCCAGTAGGAAAAAGGACGTCACCGCCTAAAGCTCAGCAAACTGCCGTCTTGCCGTGCTGCCCAGGCACCCACGGATGCCCAGGGTCCTCGGTAACGTCCCTTCTGCCCCGCTACAAGGACCCTGGAGGGGTCCAGATAACGAGCACGGGGACGAGTCGGCGATTTTTAGGACGGAATCCCTATAACTTTTAGTACAGTTGCTGCGCTGACTCGGCTGCTTCCTATGTTCTTTGTTATTTGTTATTTGATCAGACGGGCAAGATTACTGATACAGGCCAAAGTACGGTGTAGAGCGCTGCGAGGCACAAAACAAAAGGACCGTGCACAGTATCTGTCTTGACGCTTCACGCTCTTCGATATTGTTGCAGTAGTTGTCTCTTACACCTACAGGATTTGATCTTCTTGTGATCCATCCATCATCTGTGCTCCCCGTCCAGATGACTCCACATTCAGTATCCGGATCATGCCTCGACGGCCGGCTCCAACCACATGATAGCATTTGATACCAAATTCCTCTTTCCATGTGTGATTCAGATGCGGTTTTCGACTTGCTCATCAGTGTGACACCAGGAGTGTGACGGCCATAAAGGTCATTATCATCGTCCACAATTGGTCCATGCCACGAAGAGATTGTCTTGTGGCAGTGTTCGTGATCGGAGGCGTAATGCTGGGTTGTGGTGGTTTGGTGGGGATCGATGCCGTCGGTGCGCTACTTGTAGTCATGTTGCTTCCAGAGAGAGGTATCATTGTAGCCGAGTCACTGCTGGCACTGAGCACTGAGCCGGTTGTGAGAGTGGGCAACCGGGGCATGCTCGAGGAATTGGAGGTTAACTGGGCTCCTAAGTCGCTGGCTGGTATCGCGGAACCCACTCCTTTACTAGTCCATGGAGTTGGCATCAACAACGTTGAGGTGTTGGGTTCTTCGAGCGTGTCCCCCTGATAGATATTTCCTGTTTGTCCATTCGCCAACCGGTAGGTTCCCGTGATCAGGTTTGCATAGTCGCCGTTGGGAGTGGTATAATTACCAGAGGTAATTGAACCATAAGAGCCATCGGGAAGATAATAATTCGTGGTGAACTTGTCCTAAAACAACCCAGGATGAGCTCCCAGCCAACTTAAAAGAAGAGAAGAACCGCACCCAGCACACCGGAACGTTATAGCTGAGGACAAGAAGGCACTGAGTGGTCGCGGCACCTGGTCAGAATCAGTTCATTGTGCCGAATGGTTTTCGTTGTGAGCTTGAGCTTACAGCAGAGACTCCCCGGAGGGTCCCTTGCTCGATGAGCTGGGGCTGTGTGCTCGTCAGATGAGACGATATGGACTGGTGCAGGCTGAGGATCGACTGTTTGGATGAGACAGAGGTACAGCCTGGCCATTCCAGGACCAATCTCAGGCACGTCCCTGGTGGAAGCTCCGTCAGGTGAGCAGAGATCATATCCCGAGCCACATGATTGACGAGGGTTGAGGTCACCAAGGCAAAGGCACACGTGCATCAGCACGACCAGAGGCACAAACAAGAGTGAGAAGGGAGTCGGGACCATCTTGACGGAGGTGAGCGTCGTAGCTGGCAAAGGATTGTAAGAAGATGGACGACAGTCTCACATGGCAAGGTCAAGCTCAGATCTTGCAGAAGAGACAACTGTGTGGTCCTGCAAGAAGTGACCAGTTGTGTTGCCTGCGGCCAAAGGCAAGCACTCCTCAGGTGGCAGAGCAGCGGTGCAGCGGTGCAGTTACTGCAGTGGAAAGCCCGCACCTACTGCCTCTTCTCAAATCAATCTCACTGATCCCAGCATTGCGATCTGTGGGCTCTGAACGCAGCGCCCGTGGTCAACACGATTAGACACATTTTGAAACGAACGCCGTCTGTTTCTCGATCAGCCTGCTCTCCGTCCCAAGCCGCTAACTGTCATCTGAGTGCTCGTTTGTCTCGCCTTCCTTCCAGGATCCCTAAGGATGGTCGTCGTTGAACTTCCAACCTCGACGGCTTATGACACGTCGATCAGTTTCTCGTGAGACACCGCAGAACCACCATTCCAGCTCACGGGCACAACAAGACGAATGCTGTCCGCCGGATTCCTCTCGGAGAGTTCATCCGTACCCTTCCATTCCTGCCACCGATGAGCAGTGGATGTTTTGATCAAAACACCACGGACCTCGAGAGGGAATGCCTGCCACTTGAATATCTCGATAGCAGATCGACGGTCAAAACAACAAAAGTTTCTGCACCTACGGCTGTCACCAGGAACGATCAAATGGAAGAAATTGATGACTCGGTCCAGGACTGGGTGTGATCTCAATGCTCGTGCATCCTCGGACCATGCTTTCAATAGTCTGTCTGCAAAAATCACGCCTGTGTGACTGATTGCCGTTCGATAGCCGCGATCACTTCCGGTATTTGTTCAGTTTGACACGCGCTCCACAGAATGACGCCTGATTAACTTGCCAAGGAGCGACTCAATTCTGTGAAAGAGACGTGCTGCACGTCGATCGGTTCGATGCAGTGGATGCGAGCAGCGGCTGATCGTCAATATCGATTGTGATGAATCAAGCTTCAGCGGGCAGGAAAGCGATATTTCTACGCCACCACAGACGCCATCAGGCGCCATCTATCTCGTATTCGGTGAAGGTTCCGTGAAGCTGAACAGTTGGCGGGCGTCAGCCTCGTCGTTTAACGACTCGACAGCCAATCGCCATCAGATCCTTAGACCGCGATTCCACTATCTCGGCTTGACCAGCCACTGCCAGCCCCTGACATTTGGCGCACAAGCTCCATCGCCGTCGATCGTGGTGGCCCGGCGGGTCGGGTACGTGAATCGGATAAGGATTAAGGGTTGCAGATCCCTCCCGATGCAGAAGACTGGTCATTAAGACATCAAGCCTCGTCTCTCATCCTAATCAAGAACCAGAGCGATCTGCGGCAAATCACGTCTTTAAACGCTACAACGAATTTCAATTCTGGGGATTGCGAACTACGCGAGAGATTTGCTTGACCGACCACCACCGACGCGTCTGTTACCGCTCCTATTCGGATACAGATTGCAATCACAAGATGGCGTTGACTGAGAATCGGCAATTGATCTATATAAACATTTCAGTCCCCTCGACTGGAGAGTTACTTCTTCATCCTCATCAACAGTAATACAACAGTCGCTCGTTTCTACTCTCTCATACTCACTTCATTCTTTCGTGCAAACGATCTAATTCTTCACTTCCAATTCCTTTGTTCTTTCACCCAACCAAAGCCCTTTCAACCGGCCTAATACATTCAAAATGCGCTGCTCAACCGTCTTCGCTGGCCTTTTCATGGCTGCCTCCGCCTTGGCTCTTCCTCTGGATGGTAATTTCCTCCACCTAAGCAACAAGTTTCCCAAAACATACACTAACCAGATGCTCAGCCTCTTCCTCCAACACGGCCCTCAAGCCTGTCGAAGCCGTCAAGGACCTGTCCGCCAGAGCACCTGCTCCTCAGATCGACATCGACTTGAGCGATGTCCTTGGCGACGTCTCCGACGTTGTTGATAACCTGGTCGTTGCCTTGGAGCAGGTCTTGGATCCCGTCCTGTTGGCGCTCCAAAACGTCACCACCGTCCTCAACGAGCTGCTGGTCGACCCCAGTGTCGTCGACTCCACCCTGACCCTGGCCAATTCCCTCATTACCATCCAAGGTGTTCAGACCTCTATCAACGGCCTTACCGGCGCTACCTTGACCACCGACGATGTGTCAGACCTGACCAGTGTCAACAGCGCTCTTCAGACTCTTCTCGACACCGTGAACAACCTCATCTCCACTGGCAATACCGACACCACCCTGGTCAGCATCCAAACCCTGCTCAACCAGATCATTGCTACTGTGAACGGCCTACTGGATGGTATCACCGTCACCGCATAAGCGAGTGTCCGGCAGTGTGGTCTTGCATGATGGTCAGCCTTCGGTATCGGAGTCTATCGACGATGGCTCGCATTCTGGCATTGGCAAGCGGGATAATTGAGGGCGCCACTTTTGGGCGTCGCTATTTCTATTACAAGGGCTTTTTTTCTTTCTCTAATTGGTTGAAAGGGAGGATCGGGAATTGAATGGATCACTCTTAATCTAATTCATATACATTTGTGGGAGTCGGATTTTCTGGATTGGGGGGACAACGGAGGAAGAACACAAGAGTGGCAACAAGGAAACAGGATGAATGGAATATAGAAACGAAACAATTACGGAAACTTGTTGCATGAGCATACTTTATTCATACTTGATATTGACCATGTGACTTCCACCAGGGGGGGAATTCAAGCTATTAAGACGGGCAGACCGATTCTCTTCATTCATCGGGCAAAGGACTCTCCCAATGAACCAGCCCAAAACTTAGCACTCGCACGGTGTGATAGCCTTCAACTTTATTTGTTTATTTTTTGTTTTTGTTTTGCCTGACCATTTTCTTCAGTCAACAATCAGCGAGACCACACACGCATGCCATTTCGGTACCTTGCCTTCAACTTAGCGACATAGATTGTGCTTTTGTCTCTCCATCATCAGACAAGGTCGTCGGAGATATTCGTCAGTGTGCTATTGCTTCCGCATATGCGTTGTCTCCGGATCCGTACCCAGGGTCCTACCACTGCTGGTTGTTGAGCCGGGTAACCTCGCTGACCTCCTCAGCCCAGTCAGCGGCACCGTCGATGGCATCCATCTCATCCAGAGTAGGAAGAGAAGCAGGAATGTTCTTAGCACCCCTTCCCACATCGACTCCCGAGTCTTGAGTTGCGACCGAGTTGGGTGGGCATAGGGGACCTTCGCTGCTGAAGGTGTCCCAACCATTAGTCCCTGCCGAGGTGACAGTCGTCGGCTCATCCCATCCGCTTCCGCTTCCGCTTGCACTTCCACCCCCACTGGAGCTGTCAACTGTATGTCCATTTTTGCCACAGTGACCATTCGCACGACCGCCGGACTTCTTCAGTCTATCCTTCTCCTCCCACTTCTTCCTCACTTCCGCCTCGTTCCTCTCGCACCAGTCATGCAAATCCTGATCGAGCTTTTTGTTCTCCTGCCTCAGAACACTCAAAGTCATCATCTCGAAGGGGGTCTCCTTCTCGTCAAGTCTGCCATTCCACCACGCCCAGAACACGGAAGCGGAAGCAACTTCACGGACAGCCTTTTCTTTCTCGTCTGGGAGTGTCGCTAGCAACGGGGTCGTGTAGAACCATTCAACTTCTTCCCAGCTCATGAGTCGGTGGCGAGCGATGGCGGCCATGCGCTTGACAATATGATCGGAGAGGTCCCGTGGCGGAATACCAAGGTAATAAGCCGAAATGATGATGTTGGCGTAGGTAGTAAACAACTCGGGCACTTTTTCGTCGAGCTAGAGAGAGGTATGAGTCTCTGCCCTGTTCGAGAAACTACTAAAGGGACTCACATCTTTGAACTTGACAATGCTCTGCTCGTCGACGCATTGTTTGATCCATGCCAAAACCGCCTTGAGGCCGTTCAAGTTGCCGCCGACAACAGTGAAGGATTTGCTGTTGTTGTCCATCAGGTCGTGGCGAATGCGATCGCAGAAGATCATCGCGGCATCGCGGGAGAATTTGCCGTCAAGGCGGACTAGAGGAGAGGCTTTCGTTGGTTTGAAGAAGAGGGAGATTGTTGGGTCGGCATTGATCCTATGGGCACCGCTGTCAGTCCTGCAATTGATGAACGAACGTCATCTGCGTACGTGGAGAGTTTTGCAGGAGGGATGCGAGGACCACGATCCTCACGCGGTTCGGGTGGCTGGCCCATTGAATCGTCCATGCTGAGAAATATCTGAGTATCGATGTGGAAGAAATTATGATACTCTTGAGGCCTGAGCTGTGGTAAGGAGATTGAAATGGTGCAGAAGTTGTGATGAAGAAAAACATCAAGCCAAGGATGGAAAGAGCAACAATGGGCGGAAGGGGAAGATTTTGGCAGGTAGCAAGACCACCAACCATCGACATTCGCTTTCATGTGCTGCCGTCCAACTAAAGACCGTTAATGTGATAACTGTACAGTTGGCATTTTGGCAGATACAATCGGGTTTATATCGCCAAGCCTGCCGTCATCATGTTCCCTTGCCTCCGTGGCCAAGGATTGGATTCTCTCCATTCTCTTGAGGCTCTATGGCTGGCAAGGATGATAAGAGTAAGATCCAAGTTGGCATCCATCGTTTGGGCAAAGTTTTGTATTGCATCGTTGCAGGCAGCACAGCCCTACAGCAACACCGATTCGTTGAGGCACAAGGCTATCACCAATGGAGGTTGGTCACGCGAACCTGCACAAGAAATGATCAGAATGCAGATGCACTGCGCAGTGTCGTCGGTGGAGGATTTCCTGGTCAGTTCAGAATTTCATCTCTGGCCAGCGGTCTAGTCAATTCAACGAGCTCAACCCATCTGCGCCTCGCTCCCGAATCATAAATCGTTGTAGGCATCGAAACAAGAAACCAATGTGGCCGTCCCTTCTATTTCTTTCCACTCTTCTTGATTCCCTGCTGGCCGGCATTCAGCGGTCCCTTGCCCTTAGCCTTGTCGGCCATTTCTTTCCGAGCTTTCGCATCTGCGTAAATAATTCAGTTATTGTTCAGGCAGGGCACTGGCGTGGGTCTCTCATACCTGCCGCTTGCTTGGCCTTGAATGCCACGTCCTCTTCGTCAAGGTCTTTCTTATCCTTCTTTGGCGCTTTCAGTGGCTTCACTTTGCCGCCTGCGAAGCGATGTCAGGAGGCTGATCAGACCACTTGGTGCTTTCGATGAACCTACCTTCTCTGCTTTGTCCGCCCATGATTATTGCGTCCTATTAAACCTGCTGGGTTTTGGCCGATGAGGGATTCAAGGTTTGGGTTGTGGAAGTCTAGCAATGTCGAGTGAATTGGGAACGAGTCTTCGAGAGGATGAATCGCCGCAGTCAAGAACAGCCGCCAACGGCGTCAGCGATTGGCTCACGTGACATCTTGGCTTGTTTGAATTGTTTGTCAGTCGAATGGTGAATTTTGGGTCCATTCCATGAGAGACAGAACCAAACACAAACCCTTACAGAACAGTCCGTCTATTCACGACGTTTTCTCCAAGTGCAGGCGTGGAAGAGGCACATGTTTCACAAATGCTTAGTGGGATTTGTGGTTCACTGACCTAGGAGCCTCCAAGTTCATGAGTCCCTCCACGGCTCACTGTTCTAATCTCGATCTATGAAGAATGTTCCCGAACTCTAACACGTTCACCCAAGCCGCCAACAAGCCCGCAGAGATTCTCGCCATACACCATGATCTCGTCGGCGTCATGCTATGTCCGTCGTTGAACCCTCGTGCTCCCGAAGATGTTGATGAGGAGTGAAGTTCAGCAACTCATGATAGAGAGTCCTGGCGAAGACGGTGCATCATCGAATGCAGATGGGTAGTGGCGGCCGAGCATGTCGCTCGCTAGTTCTTGGTGTATGGGGGCGTCGCAGGTGGGCTGCCTGTTGGCGAGTTTGGAGGAGGATTGGTTCCCGACATTTTTGTCCCTATTCTGATGCGAGTCGAGTCAGGTATTTAACGATTGTGCTGTATCTGACAAGGGTTAACTGTGACTGCACCCTCGTTGGATTAGAAGCGAAATACCTATTGTGTTGTTGCAAGCTTTCTTCCTTGTGCTGCTGACTGTTGCGATGATGATGATGATGATGATGATGATGATGATGATGATGGACAAGCAGTTGCCGGCAATGAGGAGATATTTATGCGTTTTCGATGGTGCTCGTTTGCTGTTTCCGTTTGGGCAATCTGTTCTTGCGTGACTTCGATGCAAGCACGCCGGGACAGAAGACAGGTATTGTCTACAGCTGTCGAGGCAGACGGCATTCTGTTTCGTGACGGCCTTGCTAGGTGACACCTCGATTCTCACCTTGAGTTGAACTGTTGGCCATCACCTCTTGTCACGCTTTCTTCTGTCACCTCTCAACCCTCTACATACCTGAGGAAGCGCAACTTTCGGTGAAGGAGGGTGTGTCAGTCATAAGCTCCAGTTTGTTGTCCAGCGATGTCACGATGATTGTGTCGGGGCTCTATCACCTAGATACTGAACGGGCCACTGGCTCAGACGGTCGGAATGTGGGAAACACGGCATTGTGATGGGTGACTATTTTCTCATTTCTCTTCCGTGCCTTGTGATAACATGACAATAAGAAAACTTATGGCATGTTATATAGCCCACTTGTCATTGTATTTCCAGGCAATTGAATTAGTAAGTGGCTTGGCATGCACCTACATGTAGACGGATATTATATATACATATTAAAACCCGCAAATTATTCACACCTTCCCAGTGCAACCTAACCTTGTTGCTGGTCCTAGAGAGCAGTATCGTCACCATTCTGTAAGACTGCCAGAGCACCTCGAATAGAGAACAAGTTGACCTTCTAGGGCCGAGTCGGTACGTCAGACGAAACTGGGCTCCATTTGCGCCTCTCTCGATAACCTGAAACCCGGAAATGCCGCTCGAGCAGAAAGAATTCTCCCACCCGCCACCACACCCACCGATAGGGACACCTGCAGACTCCGCGGCAGTGAAGCCATGGTACTCCATTACACCTGGGATCTGGGAATTGCTGCTTAATGGCAGCAAATATTCGGATGAGAAGTCTGTACTCCAATGGTACGAGCCAAATGCGATCTCCGACACCGACGAGGTAATAACTCACGACTATATCGAAGAGGTTTGTCTCATTCAAGGGGGCCTTGAGGATATCACGCTGGGCCAGGCTTGGTCAGCAGGGGCATATGCATACCGCTATCCATGCATGAAGCACGGGCCGTACAAAGCTTCGTCCTCGGGGTGCTTGATGTTTGTCAAGCTGCTGCCTAGAAGCAGACCTGCGGTTGGGTCTACTTGATACTTGCTGTTCCCTACGAAGGGGGCAGTTGTAAGTTGAGCACGAGCGCACAGTACATTGACAGAACGAGACCAGAAGCAATCACTGCCTTCTCTGGGACTACGCCCAGAAGATATTATTTCCCACTCACCTCCTGTCAGATTCGATCTTAGCTACCTACTTTTCAACTGCCACATCGAGTACGTCTTATACGAAAAGGATTCCTGCCAGCCATCTTCTCGGAGATCATCACATTTGCCGCTTAGCCCACCCTTTTTCTACCCACTGAGCGAACCGAGGCTTCTCCTCGGTGATACAAGTGCTGCTTGTTCGATCGTGGACCCAGATCTCGTCTATACCTTCACGGTCGTGAATTTCACGTCATCCGTCGGTTGCACTTCACCCCCAGAGTTCAACTGGCTGCGGGCAGCCGCCATTTGTGCGTCAGACGGCATGTCGACAATCATCAGGTACAGAATGTTCTGTAGTTTTTCCAGGCCTTCAGTCAGCGCTATACAATGGGAGGAGCGGTGAAATCTACTCACACGGACAATACGACGCTGCCATTGGCCCTTTTCGATAAAGTCTGACTGCTGTTGGATCTGCTGCAACTGGAGGTTATAACTATCTTCGTATTGCTTCAGGTACTCTTGTTGTTGCTTGGGTGAGAGGTTCATGGCCTGTAGTTGCTGTCGCATCGTGGTCATCATGGCCGACTGTTGCTCTCGGATGGCTTGCTCCTGGGATGCCATGGCGGCTTGCGTGCTCTGCTTGAACTTCTCCGGGTCGCGAGTTAGGCGTCCTCCGGAGACCAGACCCAGGAGACCGCCGGTACTCGCGGCAGAGTTCGGGTCCAAATACTTGTTCTTGAATTGGACAGGCTCCGGGTTCGAAAGGATGTCCCCCTTGCTTTCTTTTGCCTATGCCAGAAAACAGTATCCCGACATTAGCCTCGATACTCGAAGGATCCCAAAAGGTGGCCTTGGGCATATCTCAGAGTTGCCGATTACTTACGTATCGCGCCTGAGCTCGTTGGTCAAAATACTTGTTCACCCGATCACCCAGCTTTTGCTTCGGCTTCGGCTCTCCCGGCGAATCCGCCGTCCCTGTGGCAGCGGTCTCCGGATAGACCAAGGGAGCCGTGCAAGCGGGCAGGTTGTCTTCTCCTTCTGCCGTAGCGGCGACTGGGTTTCGAAGGTTCTTCTTTGCCCGGGCGCCCAACGTCTGCTTGGACGTGGGCGACGACGATAAGAGCGCCTTAGACAGACCATTGGCATCGTCGCCTGTTTTTTTCGGCCCCATTGCGATTGGATTGTAGGACATCAGCAGGCAGAATAAGCCCCGAGGCTGGAAAAATTCAGTGTTCATTCGATCCAAGAACGAATTGGTCCTGCGCACGGTTCTCAGGTTAGACAACGCATAACCTATGACCTGTCGGAACACAAAAGGACAGGTCAGGGGGCGGGAAGTTCGAAGATAGAACTCACCTCCACTTCGCCTCTGCCTGCGCAATCAGACCTGCGACAACCTGAACGCCCAGAGAGACACCCATGGCAATGCCATTCGGGACAAACGAAGCGCCAGCCGCGGCTAGTTGGATCGCTGCGAGCCATGCATTGTGTTGAATGGCCTTGTTCATGGCCCGGACAAATTCCAAGAAGGTGTCTTGGTCGATACCATACTTCTGCAGCGCAGGTGCGTACGCCTCGACGAAGCCACGCTGCTTGCTCCCGGGTCGGCGTTGAGGAATGACCACCGGATAAGACAGCTTCGCCGCTGAGATTCGCCATCTCGAGAAGCTGGTGGTAGGGTGTTCATGAGCATGGATAAAGGCGGTGACTAACGTGTCCACGTCCTGCTCAGATGCAACTTCCTTCTCTTGCTCATTATCGCTGGCGGACTCGTACGACGGCGGGTCGTCAGGTTTCCTTAGGTAATTCATTGTAGGATTGGTGTGTTTGGGGTATAAAATTTATCAACAAGGTAGGAGGATAAGTAGTAGACCTTCGAATAAAGACCGTATGATGGGTCAATGGCAAAAGGGAAGTGAAGGCCATGACATCTATATACCTCGACGATTCCATTGCTGAACGCACGTTATCCAGGATACTAGCACGCCTGGAGCGTTGGGAAGCCCGAGTATCAGAACCTATGACGCCAGACTGTGGCTTTTGGCCAGGATGTATAACTAAGCACTGGGAAATGGTCCACAATAGTTGTTAGCTGGATGCTTCAGCTTTGTGGTGTGCTGGGACTGGAACCCATTTCCTAGAGGTGCACGTAATGGGCAGTAGCGACGCGCAAGTAGTCCCTAGAGAAAAATGGTGCAAGATCGACTGCGAGAACGACCTGTTCATCCTATTGAGGGTTGGTGGGGGGCCTATAACCCGTCCAACACTGCCTCTTGCCGCATATCCGAATTTTAGTGACAGCCAGCACATGAGGATCAATGTGTCAATCTCCGGGGCGCTGCAAGAATGAATGCAGAAGGTGCTTTGATACGGTATCATTTGACTGCACATGGCTTCGATCCCGCGACGTGCTCGTCTCCATCAGGTTTCCAGCTCCGAGAAGGCTCACAAGGCTGTGCCCAGGACCAGCACAGCCTCGAGCTACGCCGGATTGAGAAGCATTTCGCGCAGCCAGAAGCGGGGCAGATGTCGATCGCAGATTTGGCGAATACGGCGGTCGTGAAACTCCCCTCCACGTTTTCTCCATGCCTCTGATGAACGAACTCGAGGCCGAGTACCCAGTTCGGCGCATCCGACGTCAGCATGGTCGGGGTTCCAGGGCGGTCGAAAGCTTGTTGGACCTGCAGGCTGCGCAAGAAGGGCGTGAGTTTTCCGGCAAGGGGGATTCTGCCACCGTGAGAATGCGCACCTCCGCTAACATCTCCTCTTCGTCCAAAAGTGCGATCAACAGCAACCAACGTGTGGTCCCTGTAGACGTTCGGGTGTTCTCTGTGGAGGGTATCAGAGGGCTCGTGTCTTCGTTAACAGCAGACCGGAGCATGGTGATGATGCAAACACATGCAGCTTCACGCCCGAATCTTACACAGCACTGCACCAGAGCAAGACTGAACCTCGTGTCCTCAACCAAGATCAAGTTACTTTGACGTCGCCAACTTCCCTGGTGTTGCTCGAGCAATCTTTAGGACGGCCCGCAGTAGAGACAAAGTACTTGGAATTTTACTGGACCGCTCTCCTTCCAAATGGTCAGCCGTTTCCTCCGCGAGCGGCAAGATACTCGACTACCAGCTGGACTGGAGTCGTGCAAGATCTGTGTCAGCGACATAGCCTTGTACGTCTGGCCTTGCTTACCAATGCAATAGGCCTACTTGGCCAGGTGAGTGGGCAGCAGCAGATCACCATGCTAGGTTGGCGTTTGTACGGCAGGTCCTTGCAAGCACTCGCCAAATCGATCTCTGCCAATGGCCATGAGAGAAATGACGGTCTGTTAGCGGCGTCTGCGCTCTTGGCTGGATACGAGGTGTGTGAAGAGATTTGATCTTGCTCAGATTAGCTTCCAAGCTGGCTGACCTATCCTGTATCAGTTGATCCAGACTGGTGAGGGTCGCCGCTCGTGGCTCCCTGGTCCCACCTGGCTAAGACAAACCGCTGGAGAGAGAGCCATCATCTTAGCGAGACCCCCCGAAAGCTATGTGGAAGGAAACAATCACCTTCTCTTTGTTGATAGTCGCCTCCATTTGGTAATGTCCGCCTCGTTTTGGGTAGTTCCAACGCCTAAGAGTTGCTGACGCTGCCAATGAAGGTATATGCGGATATCCACCGCCGAAAGCGATCGATATTTAGTTCTTCTGCATGGAAGTCGATCCCCTGGTCCCTGCATCCTAAAAGTCCCAGAGATAAGTTGTTGGATATCTTGATTGAGGTTCCAGGCCTTCTGGAAGACCTTGAGAGCCTGCTTGGATGTCTGTCTGACGACGTGGAAAGACAGATGGTCTTGCGTCAACAGCTCGAAGAAAAATGTTGGGCCTATCACAGTCAGTTGCAGACATGGTCAGCCACTTCAGGCTTGTCGACAGTCGCTTTTGTGGAGGACAAGATCACCAACAGAAACCAAGACAGTTCAGAGCCTTCTTCCGAACACTTCGCGATGGCTCATCTGGGAATGCTCTACTGGGCAACGTGCAACATCGTACATCACGTTCTGTGGTACGTCGCTGGAAAAGGCCGTGCAGATCTTCCAGGGTTAATTGATGCCCGACTGTACTGCCGGAAGATTGTCCTGCTGATGCCTTTCCTCCAACGCCCCGGCATGGGTGCCTTTTTCTTGAACATCGCAGGCTTCCCAGCCGCCGTGGCTGTGAGTTTCCTCGCTAGGCAAGATCCACCAGGCCAGGTGTCTGAAGAGCGCAGACTGCTGGAGAATGCATTTCAAGACCACCACGGGACTCAGCTGCGGAACTTTCTTGGAACGTGGCCGTGGCGAACGGATGGGGAGACGGAAATAGTCAGCCGTACGAGAAGCGACAAGTAGGGTATGCGGCCATCTCGTGCCGTACCAAGGTGGTGTGCAGTACGGCTACAAGGTTAGGCAGAAAGCGTACGAAAACTTGAGGGTTATCTTGCTTGCTCCTGACAAGCAGAGACGGGCACTGGCGTCCAACAGGGGCAAAGGAACTGGGTGTAATCGACAAATTTCAGCACAGGCACAGGTGCGTTTCTCTCAACGACACTTCCTGCCTCAACCTTGACTCCTGGTGACTTAACAGCCCAGCGCCGCGAGCCACGCAGAATCTTGCAGAGGGTGAAAAGACCGGAAAGAGCATCTCTCCAGATTTCCTCAAGGCTCTTCTGCCTGCAACGTGCCGTGCTCGGAACGCATACCACCATTATTGCAAGAGGTAAGGGCCCGTATCGTGGATCGTTACTGCCCTCCGGCATCCGTTCAGATGATCAAGGACAACGTCGCAGACCGAGACTGCCTGGTACGTCTCTACCTGGGCCGTCGGAAGATCCAACTCGAGGCTAGGAGAGGGCAAAATTTCTTCTTTTTGCGGAACTATCCATTGCATCTCAACCGGGCGGAAGAGCTTGGTCTGCAAACTGTGGACTATGCCCGAGCCATGGCAGAGTCACTTGCGGTGATGCACTGGGTAGCGAGAACAAATGCGAACGATGTCAAATTCGTTCTCGGAGGTCCTGGTACTCACAACACAGGAATAGGAGAGTACACCAATGATTTCTTCGGCCGCCAGTGCCTATGGGTCCTCGATTTCGACTGTTGCAGACCCATAACCATGGACGACATAGGCGTTGAGCACAGCAGACATCCTGTCGATGCGGATTACCTCAAATTGCCAGAAAAATTCCTGCCGCGGGTAGAAGATATGCACGACGAAGCCGTACGGAAGAGATCGACAGACCCAAATCGCTGCATGTCAAGTTAGGGGAGGGATGAGAACATGGCAACAATCACAAAGTCTGTACAGATACACACAGCCATCTTTTGTAGCCAAGAATGCTTGATGACAATCACAACCAAAAGTATCGAAGTGAACATAAGACTCGTTATACCTCAGAAAGACGTTGAGTCAACGTTAGAGCGGCAAGATGAAATCCTTGGCAGCGGCCTGCCTTTTGGTAAGTGATCCTAGCGACTTCCGCTACAACCACGTCACTTCATCGTTCATCAGGTTCATGCCTCGATCTTCTTCTTGCGACTTGATCAAAGTACATCACAAGTGTCTCTCCTGCTCAGGGAGATGCCCTCGGAAGCGATTTGAGAGGGATTTTGTGGGACGACACCGGTCGGGCTCTACAACTGCAAAATTTCCAGTTCAAGAATCCGCAGCTAACGCTCTTATCTCAACTGAAGGCTAGGTCTCATTCCCGGCCTGAAAATCTACCACTCCATCATGGGTTCAAGATCACCCAGCCAGTCTGAGGGCGAAATCTTGACGTCAGACTCGGAATCGAAGGCAAAGAACATACCATCTTTCCGCAATAACAGCAAGATTGACCGTCGTGCCAGACCATCTTCCATTTCCCATAACGCCACGTCTAGATCACGTCGATCGCGTTCGAGATCTCCTTACCGAGCTCCCAGGGGCGAGAAGCGTCCCCGGGACTATGACCAGGCGAGAAACAAATCCCATAATGACAGGCGCACCTTTGCTGTGAGGTACGAGGAAGACGCCTACCGCCACCGACGCCAGGGATCCCACGAAGAAAGACGCTCGAAGCGGTCGCGAACATACTCTCGAAGTCGCAGCAGGAGTCGGTCACCATATAGACATTTTCGTCGCAGGGAGGAAGGAATGGACAGCTCTGCGACTCTCCGAGATCAAAGTAGCAGGTTCGAGTCCAACTCCAAACATGCAGGTGCTCCACTCGGGAAAGACGCGACCCCGGAAACATCAAAGCCAACACCTTCGCATGATTTTCCGTCAGACGGCGTCAACTCTAACTTGGTATCTCGGCCAGAACCTCATACTGCAGGACAGGGACAGAACAGGGATCGATCTGAAAATTCTACGGCTGTTCCCGTTGGCAATAGCACCGAGGAGAGCGAAGAGCCCAGAGTCATTGACGAGGCGGCTTTGATTGAAGAACGGCGAAAGCGCCGCGAAGCTATCAAGAACAAATATCGTGGTCAGGCCCCGCCGCTATTAGTTCAAGCACTTCATCTAGGGGCTGAGTCCACTCCTGCGAGTCCTGCTCTGGAAAGCTATACTACAACACCACGTCGTTCCGGTATGTTAGCTTCTACCCTTGGTAACGAGCGTACACTAACTTCGTCAGAATCCCCTATGTCGTCTTCGCCTCGGACGCCGAGAGATCTATCCGCCCCACAGTCTCCTGCGGAGATCAAGTTCGATGATGATGCAGATCTGACTAACGCTGATAGAAGATCTCCGGCAGAAGACGGCCCTTCAGCTGCCGACTACGATCCCACCGTGGACATGGAGGAGGAACGAGCACGACACGACAAACGTCTCTTCAAGGAAGACGAGAAATCTCTTGAGCAGGCAGATCAAGCAGTGAATGAAGCTGACAACAAGTCTGCTTCACCCCCTGCCAAGGCGACTGGTGAGTTTGACATGTTTGCCGACGAGGATGGAGACGACATGTTTGCCGAAGCTCCTATGAAGCCAAAAGCAGAGATCAAGACTGCACAAGCTTTGGATGTCAACCTCATGGACAACTGGGATGATTCTGATGGATATTACATAACAATCCTTGGTGAGCTGATCGAGGACCGTTACCACGTCACACAAAATCTTGGCAGAGGAATGTTCTCCTCTGTCGTACGAGCTACTGATAGACGAACCGGCAAGCCGGTCGCGATCAAGATCGTCCGGAATAACGAAACCATGCGAAAAGCAGGAATCAAGGAAATCGACATACTCAAAGACATTGCTGCCAATGACCCGGAAGACAAGAAGCACGTCATTCGCCTTCAACGGTCGTTCGATCATAAAGGTCATCTTTGTATGGTCTTCGAGAACCTTTCCATGAATCTACGGGAGGTGCTAAAAAAGTTCGGGAGAGACGTGGGTATCAATATCAAGGCTATACGAGCATATGCACAACAACTCTTCCTGGGATTGAGTTTGCTGAAGAAATGTCAATACATACACGCTGATTTGAAACCAGACAACATCCTGGTCAACGAAGCCAGGAGCACGCTGAAGATTTGTGATTTGGGGTCTGCTTCTCCTATCACCGAGAACGCCACTGCGCCGTATCTCGTCTCTCGCTTCTACCGGGCCCCTGAAGTCATCCTTGGTATTCCTTATGACTATGGGATTGATATGTGGTCGGTTGGATGCACCCTCTTTGAACTCTACACGGGAAAGATCTTGTTCACGGGCCGCAATAACAACGGCATGCTTCGTGCAATCATGGAGTGTCGCGGAAAGTTTCCGCACAAGCTCCTCAGGCGTGGTGCCTTGACGTATGAATACTTTGACGACCTCCTCAACTTTAGAGCTCAAGAAACAGACAAACTCACAGGACGGACAATAATCAAAGTGATGGACATCAAACCAAAACCGGTCAGAGACTTGAGATCACGACTGATTCCGAAAGACAAACGAATGAACGAGCAGGAGCGGAAAGAGCTGGATATGTTCGTGGATCTACTGGATAGGTGTTTGGATCTGCGCCCGGAGAAGCGTATAACGCCCAACGACGCCCTGAAGCATCCCTTCATCTCGAGGGTTAAGCCATGAACGAGATGACTGTGGAATGTTTGACCTGTGTGGGGGTGCGACAATTATCCACCAAAGATATCACTCAGCGACTTGCAGCTCCTTCAGTTAATTCATATCTTTTGACACCCTGTTATTGACTCTGTTCTCTAACTCGAAAAGCATTATCGTTCCCGTTCCTTGTCCGTTTACCTAGTCAGTTCTCCATTGACGCCCTGCAGGTAGGAAGAGACGTCTTACAAAATTGAGTCGCAAGGTCTTGCAATATCTCTAGACATAGCGACTACAAATATCTTCGCTCTCACACAACATGACCAGATCCGAAAAGAGCGCTCTGCTATGGCATCTGACTTGGGAACTCTCAGACAGGAAGTGTGATATGTTGCACCTGGTTGTGCCTTACCTGCATTGGATGCATCGCTTCCGCTTCGCAGGCAGTATAGGAAGACGTACGTCCCACGAGTACCAAAGCCAGCCGTATATCTTGATAAGTCAGTTGCCTTTCGTGTCTCTCCAATTTTCCCTCCCATTTTTCGAACCTCCGAGCTGGAGAAATGGCGAAGGTCAGAGTTAGAGTCGGGCTTGCTCTTCTTGGTCTACCGCAGGTTGTGCTGATTCTGACAAGGCGAAGAGCTAGATGGGGAGTACGCCATCAGTGAGACGCATACATTGGGCCAGGGAGAAGGGAGCCAAAAAACCACCAGCCATTACAATTCCTTTGTCACGAAAAGGAATTGAGCACACCCGTCAAGATTGAACTCGAGACCCTACCCTCCCTCCCTACCTCCCCCAACTATCCTTCCGTTCAAGGAGCAAAAACTCAAGCTTGTGAGAAAACCCTACTCATAGTATTTTTGTTTTCCCATTCGGTTGGCTAGAAGTTGTAAGATGCTCCCACCTGTAGCTTCCAGTTTTCACGGAGCTCCTACACAAACCAATCACTATGATCCTGCACGCGATCGCAGACTATGATTAGGGAGCTACCAGGTAGAGCTCTTATATAGAAAATGCTCCGGCACAGTCACTACTAACTTGGATGCGAATTAGGGAGACGATTAAAAGGAAGACAATGGACAAGTCATACTGCTTCAACTCATTTTCACACAGATGAATGTTGGAAGGGATTTGGTCCTTATAAAATATATGTCTACAAACCTCGGAAGTGGATACTAGAATTGTCTCTGATGGCCCCTTAGGCAAGTTGAAGATTTCTTGTCGTTATCAATGCAAGGTACGATACAAAATGAGGGCAAGGCTGAGCAAGGCTGAAGGACATTCTTGATGTTCGCGTAAGGCAAGTGTAGCGAGAGTTTTTCGCGCTCCTCCACGAAACATCAAATCAATGGTGTCCTCATCTCGTAAGAGCTTTTCCGCTGATCCACAATCTTGGAATTCCATCATATCGTATACGGCTATATCTTTCGCCTCTCGCCCTAGCCCCTCACAGAGCTTGAGCGGCGTCGCGACCAGCAATCCGGCCAAAAGTGAGCGAGCGGAGTACACTCGTTGCGGGCGGATCTGTTATGGTGTTTAGCATCCATTGACCGGTAGGTAGCCTGGTCGTAGTGGGAATGCTCTACGCGTGCAGGTCTACAGACCGGAAACCCGACTGAAGGTAGATGGAAGAACTTACACTGCAGATGGGTCAGCACCAGGTCGTTCCATTGAACGGACGGACTTACCTCGTTATAGAACAAGCCGCTCAACTCCCCAGCACAGTACAGCCCTGTGGCGTGGTCAGCTAGGCAAAGGCGGTGCTCGCTTCTTGTCTGTCCTTACCTGGGATCGGGACCCCTGTTGTGGCAAGCACTCGCGAATCAAGGTCGCACTTAAGCCCGCCATAAGTGAAGGTGAGTTGTGCTAATCCTTGTCAGTAAACGGCCAGCATCGTCTTTCGCGGCTGAGACTACCTTTCATTGGATATCTAAGAATCGTCAGCTCTTGATCAACACTGTTCGTATGCTTGGAGGTCCTTACCCGTAGTAGGGAGGCTTGTTGATGGGATTGGCCCAGTTGGTCTTGTCGGGGTTGAGCCTTCCAGAACATCAGTTATTATATCTCCTTACGACATTCGTCATGCCCGTACCCGTGGGTCCTCTTGCCGTCCAGCGACATCAAGTTGAATTCCTTGTCATTGATGCTACACCAGGTCAGCTACAATCATTGATCTTCCTGTCTGGAAGACTTACGCGGCGTTGAACTCATCCACAGTCTTCTTCAACTCTTTGGGATCCAGTCCCAGCTTTTCAGCCAAGCCCTCGATGGTGTCGCTCTTCTCAGGCTCTTGGTCGGTGGTGTCATAGACCCAGCCTGGTCGGAAGCGGTCCATGATGGGACTGTCGGTGATGCTGGAACCCAGTCAGTAAGCAGTCGTTAGTGTGAATGTGTCAACCTACAAATAAGATTTCTGGTTCTGGTCTGATCCGTGTCAGCGGCTGGTTAGACTCCGAGCTGCATTGACTTACCTCGCCAAGTCTCAAGAGCAATCATTTCGAACGTCGAAAAAAGGCTGTCCATGTTAGCATCGACTTCTATACAAAATTCCGACCGGGCTTACTGTCGTTTGCCCTCATCATAGAAACGCTTGGAATTTCTGAATCAGTCAGCAGCAATCGATCGTGGCTTGAGAAGAGAAGCCGCACTCGTTCACAACAATGCCATAATTGTGGCCCCAGATCACAGCATCAGGTTTCTTGGCTCGGGTGTCGACAAGTTCACACTTTCAGCCAGGATCAGCATTGACGCCCGGGACAGGAAAGTAATATGCGAAGCAGGGACTCACATGCATGCCACTCATCGAACCTGCAACAGCAGCACCGACTTCCAACCCCATCTTCAAGCCGAAGCCGGTATTGTACTTGAGGCCAGGTGCAATTAGTTCAAGGTGCTCGGTCCTTGGTCCTACGTATTTGCCCAGCCTGATTCTTGTTAATCGACGCTTCCTTGAAGGATCTTCATCCTTACATTTCACGGTTACCTTCGAAGCCGCCGCAAGCCAGCATTACTTTCTTTCCATGGACCTTTGTCATGTGTCCATCTGCCTTTCGAACTTTGACACCGCAGACAGTTCCGTCATCGTGGGTCAGCAACTTTTCTGCTTGAGTCTCCCACATTACTGTTACATTGTCGAATTTGCGGATATGATCAAATAGAGCATTGATGATGGCATGCCCGCCTCCCTAGCTCACGGTCAGAATAAGTCCATGAACTCAAGCAGTGACTTGGTTTACCTCCGGGAATACGAAGTGCTGGTCTTGGAGGTCGTCAATATGGATCTTACATCTGGTTCACGCCAATGACTTACTGGTATTGAACTCGAGCAGAACATTCTTCTCATCATGGTGATTGAGTTTCACTCCATCTGATATCGGTCAGTGCCTCTCCAAGATACTCCAGAGTCAGTCAACTGACGGTCAAGCAGATACTGGGCAGTTATGGGAACTTCTTTCTCCATTTTTGCGCAATATTCCAGATCAGCCAGCCCCTCGCTGATCTTGTTAGTATCGAAGGCCTGCAGCTCGGATCGTTGACTGACCTGACACGCTGCGACTGTCAGCAGGAATCATCAGGGGCAGAACTTTACACTTACCTTCATTTCATGCTTCCAATCGGAATCAAAGTTGTTGTCTGCGGCATTCAGTACCCAGATGGGCTTCTTCTGGCAGCTCAGCACAAACCTTTGTCCAGCCTCAGGTATGCCATTGTCCATCTAGAAAACTTTCAGTCAACGTCGACAATCGACCCGGGACCCAAAGCAGACCTGCTTGCACCGCATCGTTCGCCTTCTTTGCCGGCCTCGATCAGAGCAACTCTACCCCTTTTGCCGAGCTTTTTGCATTCCTCGAGGAAGTTCAATGTGGTCATGGACCCCTGCTATTGATTAGCACTCTTCACGTGAAGTATTCCGCGGTCACCTACAGCAAATCCACTCCCGACTACCACGAGGTCATACTCAGGGTGTAAGCCCGTAAGGCTGCTTACAACCTGACTGACGACCGACATGATGAAATTGTTGAACAAACGTTTTGTGCTCGTGGAATATTGCGCTCCAAGTTGGCTACTGTCCAGGTACAAACGGAAACGCTCAGCGAGTTGCCAGTCCGCACATGCAATTCTTTCCGTTTTAACTCCTTCCACCACAGACAAGGTACCCCTCAAACCTTGCAGATTCTTCTGCAAAGCTGAGACCAGCACCCCGCAAGAAACGGCAAACCGCGGATAACACTACGAGAGACTCTGCATACTGGTGGAGTGATTCTGCTTCTTGTTTGCGAGCCTTCCCCGCAGAACAGCAACCTGTCATCGGCAATGACCTCGCTCACTCCCAGCGGCCTTCAAGTCTTATTGCCTGAGCCCAGAACGGTCTAAACATCCTTCCGATGCTTTGCATGACCGGTTTGGGACAAGGCCCCCTCTCACACAGGGAATATTGCATATGGTTTCCCCTCACTATTAACCCGAAGTTAAAGGTTAGTACAACGTCATGTCTCCATCTCCGAGATCAGAGCAGTGCTCTCGGAAACATGGATCTCGATACTCGCTGAGGTTGTCGGAAGTGCACACACGCTCTAAGGCCCTTCCTCCGAGGACTGCTGCATACAGTTTCTGTGACGTACGATATCGCTTATCATTGTCTTAGATGGCGGACCTCAGCTCCCAAGTCATCCCAAGACCGAAGTCGTTCTACGATCACCAATGAGAAATTTCTTCTGGGAATTCTATCTGTTTCGAGTGCAACTTCGCTCCCAGGAGGGTGAAGCCAAACACTTCGAGACTTTGTCCGTGTATGATTTCGTGGCAGTCGTTGGCAACAACGACGACAGCATTTGATTCGTTATTCTGAATTATAAGCTGGTGTACCGAATCCCCTTCAGTGCAAGTTTTGACAACAGCCGTTCGGGAAATGCTTGTGACAAACCATCCGTCGAGAGAGACAGCATCATTCCGCGATTTGGCAACGACTGAGCACTGGTAGTCTTTCCGGAGTGGACCATGCCAACAAGATCCCGAATTTGTGTTTGTTACTTCCCATCCTGCTAGCATCGGTGACGCATTTGGCAGTCTCTCGCGGACATGGTCTTGTCTAGAGCCTCATCAAGTTGCGAACTTACCTGTCACACGTTCTTCATAGAAGTTTAGCAACGTCAGAAGGCCCAGCATACCCTAGAAGCGTGACGCACGTTTCGCCAAACTCGAGGCCAAGAGCGAATGAGCAAGCCAAAGAGTTAGGTTGAGAGCAGGGTACTAGAGGGGCCCAAGTGCCTGTCTCTCAGGCGGAATGGCAAGTGGACCTTTCGAAGACTTCAGGCGGTTCGTACTCTGGCACTCCCGAGAAGTATCGCGCCGGCTTCTCGGGTTCTGGGCATCCCACCACTTCCGTCATGCCATCTATGACGCGGGCATTGCCTTTTTGCAACCCCGCGTCCACCGAATTTCGAGCCTGCAGCTATTCTCCCCGCATCACACACGCTTGGGATAGAGAATACATCGAAACCCCGAATGTGAGACACAAGCATCAGGGATCCCCAGCGTCGAGAGCCACCGTGGATTTCATATCACAGCACTCTTACAATAAGACACAATTATCAATCCTGTAGAAGTCTACCGTGAAGATGGAAGGAGAATGCCTCTGCAAAGGTAGGCCGTGCGCGAGCTTGCCACGTCAGCTGTGAACGTCCACTGCGGCGCGAGTATTGCTGTGTGAAATGCAAGCTAACACTGCTCTGACCAGCTGTCGCCGTCAAGGTCAACGACGACAACCTCTTCGGTGAACAGCGGCGGGGCCACATCTGTCACTGTGCCAATTGTCGCAAAGTCGCTGGTGGCATGTAAGTGTGTCTCTTGCCCGGCATTCCTGGAACACTTCTTGCCTAGATATGGAAGGCTGTTATCAATGGTCTCTATGAGATGTATGCGGTGTGTGGGAGTCGAGGAGAAGTACCAAATCGCTGACTGAGTCCTGGGTCATGGGTGGGGAGTACAGCTTCGGCGTCAACCTGACCATCGAGCAAGAAAAAGTCGAGTTCCCCAAGGGCAAAGGCAATCTCAAGATGTACTCTGTTCGTCCTATCCCTCCCTCACCTGCCATAATGACCAGCACCAGTCTTGTGCTTCAGGTGTGAACTCTGCTCTGACAAGGTACATGTACAACAAACAGGACCCGGAAACGCTGAGCGGAACCCCGGTGCAACGGTATGGCGGTGATCCGAGTCTCCACGACCTCCCTTATATTCGTGCTTTCTTCGCTTTGCGGGACCCCAATAAGTTTCCAGACCTGACCCGAGGTTCGCCACCAGGTATTTCTGCCAGACGTGCGGCGTGCCCATCATGAGCATCACGCCGCTGTTCGCGGGCAAAGTGATCTTGAAACTGGGACTGGTAAGAAGAAGTCGTCTCTCCCCTCCCTGTCTTGTCTGTCCTTGTCCCTGTGGGATCGCCCCCATTCAGGCCACGCCCTCGTTTACTTCTTTGCACAACCGCACAAGCACGCGACCTCAAGCTATTCTCAATCTCCTGGTGAATGGAAGGACTGATCTGCTGACCGCCTGGTGCCCGCTGTGGCGGTGACGGGGGAGCAACAACAGTACCCAAAATTGCCAGTGCCGGAATGGGAGTCGTTCGCCTCACAGCGACAGACCTGGGAGAAACCGATCGAGGGCACAATCCAATACAAGACCAAGGTACGCAGCACATTATCTCCATTGGTGTTTGGTGTTGTTTCCAAGTATAAGAGGGACAAGCTCCCGGGGCTCTTTGTTTTGCTAGAGGGGTATGTACGTATGGACGGATGGATGGATAGGAGCTGACCTTCGGCATGTTGTGCGTTGCACCTGTTAGAGCTTCGGAGAGAAGATGCCCGGGTCGATCTGAGAGGACGCCGACCAATCCTACAGCGATCGTGTCGTTCACACGGCTTCCCCTTCTGTGGAGGCGAGAGAAGTATTATACCAGCTCTCTGTCCAGCAGCAGCCTTGGACTCGTTGTGTTCGGTGTGTGTCCTGGAAGGAGAAGAAAGGAAAGAACCAGGGAGGGTGAGAATGGGATTGTCTATATGAGATATAGATTGACAAACGACGGACGACGGACGACGGACGACGGACGGACAGTCCAAGATCTCACTGGCTCATCCATCATCCAAAGCAGGACCAGAGGGGAAAGGAGATGCAAGATTACAAAACAGCAGGTTTTGCCTCAAGTGTAGCTCTGAGCCACGGTTCCAACCAAGACGATATCATATTGCTTACCTTCTTCTGCCCGATCATGGTTTACAAACCACCCGAAAGAGCTCAGCTTAGGCTGAGCGACATAATAGTTCCTCATAAGAACATTAATTCCGGTTTTGATCTGCTCTGGGATCCCCCATAGTCCTCCCTCTCAACCGTCTTCGCACCTCACACATTCTCTTGCTTGTTTACCCGAGTTCATGCCTTTAAAATCGCAGGAGGATGGGTAGATATACTATCCCCTTCCCCAATATAAGTCCACCTGAGGGTTTCCTCCGTCACGGTTCCACCGCCGACGACGTCAACAACGACTTCCTCCCCCGGCACGATATCGAATCCGTTGTCGCTGAAGGTCGGCCCGTCCCTCTCCTCCTGGAACACGAATCCATGCACAGGCCGCGCTGCCGTCACGGTAACCACCTTGTTATGCTTCCCACTCTGCCCTGACGCTTTGACCTTGACCTTGACGTCCCGCGCCGCGGAGAAGTCAAGATACTTGATCGGATGGGGCCAGGCGGTGTCGGTGCTGACGACCTGGCCGTTCACGAGGAGCGAGGCGTGGATGACGTAGGGATCCCAGGCGCGTGTATCAATGCCGGACGGCCTTGTGGATGGAATTGCAGGAGGATCACCAGCGGTGGTGCTGTCGTTGTCAACGGGCAACTCACTTCCTCGAAAGATCTCAGTCGTGTTATTCGCCTTGACTGTGACACCAGTCTTCTTGATCGGCTGGACCACGTCGCGTCCCGACTTGATCGAAATGACCCGCACGACCACGTCGGCCTGAACATCACCATCTGCGTGCGAACTGCACACCCACAGGTCAAACTTGGTCTCCCGGACGGCGCCTGTCGGGTCCATGTGGCCCGACGTCCACTCGTGGAACGGCCTGCTCACGCCCACGGCCAGCGGCTTCAGCGCGCGCTTGATGGCATAGAATGCTGGCTTTTTCACGCGGTAGTAGTCAACCACGGCCCACGACATGGTCGGCCAGGTGTCGTTGAACTGCCAGACGAGGACGCCGCCGCATTTCCTCATCTTCTGATTTTTCTTCTGACCTGTCAACCCAGAGGAAGAGCCCCATTCGCGCCGCCACGAGCGATACGCGAACCCCACTGCGTCGGACTGCATGACCTGGGTCAAGTGCGTGAAGGTCGGCAGGTCGTATTGGATCCGAAAGTTCTCGGCGACGTATGTCATGAGGCGTCGCTCGTGGTCAATGGCTCGGTTGTGGTAGTCCATGGTCATACTACCCGGGTATTGTTGCTGTGGATCTGTGGCGATGGACGAGACGATGGCCGACACGTGTGGGTAGGCTTCCATGCCGAATTCGCTCACGAAGCGTCCGCCCAACTTGGGCAGCTCTTGGTACCGGCGCATGGAGCCGTGCCAAACTAGAAAATGAGAGAAATAGATGCATTAGCACAATCTGTGGATGTGAAAGATGGCACCAAAGATCGGATATGAGTAAGTCAGAGGGCAGAGCTTTGCTTCTGGTGTGAATGGGGAAGACATACCCTCCCACTGATGAATATCTCCCACCGTTGGATCCCAGGTCTTCTTGCCGTCACCCCAGGGACTGCTCGGGTGATACACCGCGCCGGGACTCTCTTCCTGCACGACCTTGGGCAGAAGATACTCGTAGATATACCTAGCGGGGAAGCTGGTCTTGAGCCACGACTGCGGGTCCTTGTCGCCGTCATAGTCGTACTCCAGGTTATGTTTCTCCTGGATCTGATAGTCTTCGTTGTTCCCGGCCCAGATGACCAGCGAGGGATGGCTGCGGAGACGGCGAACATTGAAGCGCGCCTCCTCTTCGATCTGGGCGAGGAAGGCAGGGTAGGTCGGGTAGCTGGCGCAAGCGAAGCAGAAGTCTTGCCAGACCAGGATACCCAGCTCGTCGCAGGCATTGTAGAACGAGTCGTCCTCGTAGATTCCTCCGCCCCAGATTCTATACGAGGTTTAGTGAAATGCGACTTGAGCTTGATAAACAAACAGCGCGCAAAATAGAGAGACAAAGGTCATATAAAATTCTATCCCGGCCCAAAACGGATTCAGCATCGTCGTACCTTGTCATGATCTGGTTGCCCTCGATCATCAGTTCCACCCACTTCCGATACCCGTCCCCCCCAACTCGTGGGAGGAAACAATCTGCAGGAATCCAGCAAGAGCCGCCTGCAAAGACGTCGACATTATTGATGCGGAAATAGAACGATTTGCCAAACTCATCCGGCTCCTGGATGAGTTCACAGCGTCGAAAGCCGATCAATCTAGATCTGGAGACAAGGTCGGTTCCTTTCGTGGATAATGTAGCTCGGAGCTCATAGAGGCACTGTTGGCCATATCCACGAGGGTACCAGAGAGCAGGATCTTCCAGTCGAAATTCAGCCGTGGCGACGCCACCCTTGTTGATGTGTGCTTCTGATTCATACAGCACTTTACCGTCAAGAGATAACGACAGCTTGATGAGATTCCCATCCCCAAACTTCCCGGTTCCACTAACAACACTGGCGAACAACTTCCCCCACACCGCCCTCAGATCTTCACTTACCTCTCCTTGAAACCAGATGTCATCAATTCGAACAGCATACGTTTCCAGCAGAATGCGCTTCCACGGTCCAGAAGTGATCAGAATAGGGCCCCAGTCCCATCCCCAGTGACACTGTGCCTTCCGCACGGGAAGTCTACTCGACTCGGTCTGATGGGCAATGAAATCGTGCTCATGTGAGTGCTGTTTGACAAGCTCACGGCCACGCAGGAGGGCAGAGTCAAAGATAATTTCCAGGACGTTTGGTTCACTGGGGGCGTTCTCCGAGGAGGGTGGCAGGAGAAGGTCCGTCACATCGACCCTGTATTCGAGGAACATATTATCTGCTTCGAGGATCTTTTGGCCGTTGAGAGCTACCGTGGCGAAGGTGTCGAGGCCTTCAAACACCAAGTCCGTCCTTGCGCCAGACTGTCTGTTTGTCGGAGTGGTGAAAACTGTTCTGTAGGTCCATGACTTCTCTGCAACCCATCGTACAGCCAGCTCATTCATATCCATGAAGGGGTCCGGAATCCTAGCAAAGGGAGACATGTGAGTTTGATTTGGACATACCGGCCTGGCCCCAGGGGTTATGTGTTCAGACGTACTTCCCATTTTCTTGGAGAACGAGATGGGTCGTGGTTGGTACCTTCGATACCGCGAGCCATACGTTATCTGACGTATCGTCAGACTGTCTGCATTGCCAACCTGAACTCAGCTCATTGGTGATGGCGGCCATGGTCACTCAGAGAACTTGCTTGGAGATAGCTCGACTAAGTACGCCCATTGGGGGGAGAATGAACTTGCCACTGCCTGTATTCGAAGGTTTTCAACCAACCTGCCCGTTCAAAAAGGGCCTCGAGCTGCTCCAAAAACCCTCGAGCGAGAACAATTCTGTCAGACCTCGATTCTCCGAGATTCGTGCAATGGCAAACGTACACGTTTGCGGCCACCGACAAAGCCTATGCTGTGTGATGCGGGGATTCATCGACTTTGCCGATCCTGCTGCAACGTATTCCATGGATCCTACCTTGCGGACGATATTTCGGAACCAATGAATGAGGTTCGAGTCGACATGCTTGGAAAGCCACTAAATGCCCATATCTCGTGAGATCGGACGCACCGCAATAGAAGCTGCGATGCTCGCACCTACTCTGGGGCTGGAAAACACATGCTTTCATGCCATGGGCCAGGCTATTGATTCAGCCTCCGCCTGTTGATTTGCGCCTGGACCAATTAAGATATTTGTCGGCCCGCTTTTCTGACAATCAGAATCAGAAACAAGGCCAGTGGACCAGAAGATGGTCAGGGCACGAGATATAATATAAGTCAGAAGCTAGCCCAGCAATTACCAATCAAGCTTGATCCCCTGCCCTGTTATCGTCCGTTCGGACGAACACCTGGGAGATGAAACAGAATAAATGAAGGCATGCCGCCTGGAGAAATCGGTCACACCGCTATCCGTGAGCTCAACCTTCAAAACTCTCATAAAAGCAAAGAAATGTCCAAGCCATCGCTTCTACTTATCCCCGGCTCTTTTGCGCTGCCCGAGTTCTATGACCCCATCATAGATGCAGTGGCTGCCAAAGGGTATGAAATCAAAGGTCTCCACAAGCCAAGCGTGGGCCTTGCAAGCGGACAAGGTCGGGAAGGAGTGGCACCACCATCCATGTACGACGACGCAGCATTCATTGCTAAGGAGGCCGAAAAGCTTGCGGATCAAGGGAAGGACGTGATCCTGCTGGGTCACTCGTACGGGGGCGTACCTTTGACGGAGAGCACCAAGGGATTGAGCAAGGAAGAAAGGCAGAAACAAGGCAAGCCGGGTGGAATTGTCAATCTGGCATATATGACTGCCCTGGTGCCCGCTGTAGGGCAGGCGGCAATGAGTGTTCTGGCAGATGTCCCCAAACAGCAGCGGTTGGACTTGAAGGTTGATGTAAGTTCCCATCTGCTGTTGTTGATTCTTGTTGCATGGAAGCTCCCCCAGCTAAAAGCACACCGAAAACAGGAGAACGGCTGGATGTATCATGATGCTTTCGAAGAAACGGCAGCTATCGTATTTTCTGATCTGCCGAAGGAGGAGGGGATAGCCTGGGCAAAGAAATTCCCCAAGCACTCCGCACTCAGTTTCGCCGGTGAACTGACCTATGCTGGGTATAAAGATATCCCGGTGTCGTACTTGCTCTGCGAGAACGACCGGTGCATTCCAGCAGAGGCCCAGAGGGAAGGGATTGACAAGATCGAGAAAGAAAGCGGAAGGAAGGTTGATGTGACCAGTATCAAGGCGGATCATTGCCCCATGACTAACCACCCTGAAGCAGTAGTCGACTGGATCGTGAGTGTTGCAGCAAAGTATTAAAACAGACGGGTAGACGGGATCGAGGTTGGAGGACTTAGAATTGAGATAACGCATTCAATTCGCTGTTCTGAATGCCGACACTTCATTACGCAGGGGGTCTGGCCTGCTTGCGTGCGTGTGTGTGCGTGTGTGTGCGTGTGTGTGCGTGTGTGTGTGTGCGTAGTAGACACAAGTCTCTTCTGTCATCAAGGACACGGACTCACACGAGGTATATCGCAGTCAGCCTTGAGCTTTACATAGCTGCCAAGAAAATAAGATCGTCACCAAAAGAGAAATCCCCATTTGGCCGCAAAATATCTCTCGATTCTCCAGGCTTTAGGATCCCATGCGGCAAGACCAGGCGTGATGTTAAAACTTGGCATTGTAAACAAGTCCCGGGTGAAGTCTTCATCATCGATTGCGGCGCACATGGTGATGAGATTGTCTCGCATCTTAGCAAACGGAAATCTGTCTATGGCCGGTTGATGGATCGTGAGCAGCTGAGTCGGCGTGGGTTGTAATGACTGTGGAACGTTCGGTGAAGCAGGGGATGAGAGTGCTGGTACAGCCGAGCAAGACCTCAGCCCCAAAACCGCGCCGTTGATGTACAAAGCGCTAAACACGGTGGGGAGTGGACAAAGCTCGTAGCTCAGATTGAGGACCTGTGTAGATGGTGACTGCTGAAATGGTAGACTTGTGCATGCCGTTAAAGGGGCTGTAAGGGAGCATGCCATGGTGGCAGCAGCGTCCGGACATCCAAGTTGAGGAAGGACGTCAAAACCAGAGGGAGTATGGTCTTCGGTCTGTGTAGTATGACTTGTCCATCGCACAACAGCACGATCTATTTCCTGTGCATTCTCCTTTGCCTCTCGAAGTCGTTTCCCTAGAACAGGGCAGCCAATCAGTATGAGGTCCGCGTATTGGAGCCATACAGCGAACGAAGTATAAGCAGAGGCCCAACAATTAATCGTATTCCAGATCAGGGCAAGATAAGCCACGGGAGGAAGACGAAAGGACATCTATTCTCGAAGAGCATCATAAAGCAGGACGAGTCCCCCGGCTCCTGGAAAGGCCAGGAGGTGAGAAGGACACCCACGTCTCGCACGTTGAGCCAGCTTGTCTTGTATTCGCTTCCTTGTCTTTGCGTCTGTGACATTGTGCCATTCATCTTTGTCATTTACGAGAGGCCGGATGTTTGCTGGCGGGGTGTCCATGGTTAAAGTGGTTCACAACCGTGGATTATAGGTTCGGTGATCTGTAGGAAGAGGGAACAAGAGAGAATGGTGCTTGGAGGAAAGGCTTGGGGGGGGCGTGGGCGAGTAAGCTTGTCACCTGATTGGAAAGCTGACAAATAAATGTGCTCCAATCACCTGGGGTGCCTGCAGTCGACCGTAACACTTCCGGACGATCAGAGAGACACCACGCGAATCGATATTGTGGACAGCATCTTGGTGACAACCTCCCGTCTCCTCGCACACCACAGCCACCTCGTGCTGACCATCCACAGTAACGTCAGCACCCTGGTAACATCAGTACCTAGCTGTGTACACAGTGCTGGAAAGTGATCCATCCGTTCAGCTTTAACTATTCCTCTCAGAGCAGGGATCTCTGCATTAGGAAACTGCAATGCCGATCATGGCTCGCTCTCCTGCTTCATGGTCCACACGGCTAGCCCAGACTGCCCAAGTACAGTGGTGATACTTTGTACACGTCCACGAAAAGTCTCAAGACGTTAACCATTTAATTTGCATATATAAAGCCCTGGCTTTTGAGTTCTGATGAAGATTTCAATTCCTCGCAGGGTCATCGATCTCTTCCTGTTTCTACCCTCTCGCTCAAATCTCACACCTGAATCTTCGACGAAAAATGTCTCTGATCGAGCTGGCAACAGTGCGACTGCATCCTTCGTTGTCTTCTGGGCTACCTGACGCCTTCACTACAACCTGGGTTCGGGCTTGCAGCCTCGCCACCTCCGCTGCGAATGGAGTTCCGTTCCAACTTTACAAGTCCACTAACCCAACGAGCAAGGACTTGTACTATCTCATCGGCGGCTGGCAGAGCGGGAATGATCATATCGCGTTCCTCTCGACCCCAGACGCAGTGACGGTAGCCAAAAGTATTGGCGAATACATGAGTGTCGACCTTGTGCGCCATGTTGATGGAGACATCAGTGCTTTGAACCAAGAGGACAGAGGCAGACCTAAGAAATTGAGGGTCTCGATATATAAAGTCCCCGAATCGGTCGTTGATGACTGGGCCTTCAAGTGGAACCATAGCCAACTTGCAAGTGCTGGAGCTGGTGGATGGGACCTGAGCGGTGCGGTACAGAAACAACACAAAGCTTTCAAACAGATGGGCGAGGCGACGAACAGCGTTTCTGCATTCGGCGAGAAAGACGAGAGTGGCAGTAAAACCTGGGTATGGCTCGAGAGTAGTGGGAAGAGGTCTGGAGAGACTTGGGGACCTCAGCACCCTTTGGAAGGGTTTAACGACATTCAGGCTGATGTATTTGAGATGGAATATGTATTGGGGTAGCCGCTGAAATTGTCGGAGGTCAAGTCCAACTGCCCAGTATGAGAGGCCTCATTCTTCCATCCATTCGCAGTCCTGAAGCATGTCAGAATCAAATACGGGTAGTTTCGTTATACAATTTTTTTTTTGTGTTGGGTGTAGGACAAATGCAAAGTCGGCGTCCACGGCAGGTGCGATAAGCCTTTGCGCGCCGCAACGATACCGGGATTGGCGCTGACACACACACTGCAGGGCGAGAGGAATCTGATGAGGCAACTGGAGTCTTGGTCGAACACCAAGTAAGCCAAGTGCGCAACTGGCGTCACCAGCGTAGGCACTTCACAGTACCGCCGCAGGAGATCGGTATGCTCGCCATCTTGACTTTCTGCGCATGTGTTGCGGAGTCCTTGCCGATGGTATCTCTAACGAAAAGCTGGCGTTGTCATTCGCTGACCAGGATAGTCTCAGAACATGGCACTCGGTCTAGCTGGTAAAACGCTAGAGCCGGACGGTCAGGCTGCTGGTTCTGATGATTCAGCGCTGATTACGTTCAACATCGGTTTCCCGGCGCAGAGCTTGATTACCCTGTCATTTAGACAAGAAAATGTTATCTCCGTAAAGGGAACGGACCTCGACGAGGTATTTGTTCAGTCGAGATCCATACCTCCGTTAGGAATAGCGACCGTTTGCTGATGGTTAAGCCGGTGAAAGTCGGCCCAATTCTCCATCTGCACGGTTTCTGACAATTGGGACTGAGCAGCCTCCGGACCTGGTGTGCTCTCAGCTCGCAATACCTCTTCGCCTTCAAAGACCATGGGCTGGCATCTCAGATTGTGAAGGCACGACTCCCACGTTCTGCCGACCAGTTTTCCCTCCAATAGACTTTCACTGAAAAGGAAGAAACCTTCTTGACAGCCGACGAGGTATGCGTCGAGACCGGCGTTCTTGAGGAGGATCTGAGCGCCGTGGATATACCTGGAGTAGTGATTGTCCAAATACTTTGCCCAACCCCTGGCAGCGGCCTGCATAGATTCGCTTTCCGACTCCATCTTGGTCCATCCAATTCCAAGCGCAATAGTCGCCTCGTCAAACTCTGGCCGATCTGAGGCCGTCTTTGGTGGACTGGCAGGCGCCGAGGCGATGTTGGTGTCAATTGGTAGGCGGAGCGACGTCTGAGACAGCCTGACCGATTTGCGACTGGTCGGCAGCTTGGGCCGAGTATATGCCGCAGCAATCTCATCCTTGAGTGCTTTTTCATCCACCTTTTCTTCATACCAAGTGCCCGTTTGGCTCTCAGCCGAGACCGACAGGCCTGTCTTCGGATTGAGCAAGACCATTCCCTCGCCGTAAATGGGTTCCTCTTCGGGAATCGGAGCCGGGGTGTCAACCGAGGCGAAATAAGATCCGTCTGCTTCGACGTCGAATGCGGTCTCGTCACGCGAGCGCTTCCTCGACGGGTTGGTCGATATTGGAGTCATGCCATCAACCGGAGTCCAGGTGGTTGAGTGGTTGGGGTACGAGGCCGGTGAGGCCTCCTCTTGCTCCATCGCTCTGGGTGTATCGGAGGGGGTGGGAAGCTGATGCTGTTCCTGAGCGACAAAGGACATATTTCGAACGGCGCAAAGGCGAATAGCCCGACGTTAAAGCGGTTTTTGCTCCTCCCGTTTCCTTCTAAGCAAGGGAATGAGGCTGGTAAAGATAGCAAATAGTTGGCAGTCAGTTTTTACTCATGGGGCGAAGGGAATCGCAAGGTCGATACTAAGGCCGAGAAGACGTGGATATCAGATGATGTTAACATGTGATATGATAGAGGAGGGTATGTCCCGGAAGTAAGAGGTAGGCGAAGAAGTGAAGAAGAGAAGAGGGTGGGTAGAGGGACGAGCTGAGGTATTTGAGCCGGGGACGGAAGAGGCGAAGAGGGAAGAGGCAGGGTCGCAATGCTTGGGAAGGCAGCTGGAAGCTGGAAGCTGGGAGAAAGCGAAAAGGCGAGAAGCGAAGGAAAGCCAGAAATCCGGGGGACGCTGCGGTCTGCGAGATTCCTGTGGGAGAAAGTGGTAACGGCGTGCTGTCAGTGGTCCAAGGGTCCAGCAGCAGATGTGAGTGAGGTCTGAGCGGCAGCTTGACGGCAACGGGCAACGATGCACAAACTTCGGTATGCCTTTGTAGCGATCAGCCGCCCACAAGCAGTAAAGCTCCCAGGGATTGCCAGGAACGCCGCACTGATCGGGCAGTGGCCATTGGGCGAGGCGTGAGCTGCATGCCATCTGCATCCTGTAAGCAGAAAAGCAAGAGACTTTCTTGCGCATTGCGCAGTATCCGATCCACTGAGCCAGCTGGGCCTGGGATCAGCAAGCACAAATCACAGAGGCCAAACCCAGCCAGCGAATGGATCTGTAAGGCCAAAATGGAGAACAGGCATTGGAAAGAACCCCCCACCAGCACCCACGGGCCACCTGCATAGACCCAGCGAACTAGGCAGCCAGTGGTGAGGCCAGGCCTGTTGAGAACTTTCTGACTGATCACCTTTTCTCTTTGCGATGTTGGGCGGGATGCGGCAACCGAGCAGCAATACAGTAAGAGGCAGTGTGGGGAAATCCGCGCCAGTCCCTAAAGCCCGCAACAAACTGGAACTGGGCGCCTTTTAGTGGGCACCACCCTTGGCTTGCCCCCTTCGGAGCCTCCATTCTTTCCAACGCCACCCGCTTATAAGCCTGCCGGTGGTTGCCCTCGCAAGTGGTTGTAAATGGTCGCCCAGTGGGCAGCACAGTGGGCCCGCGCAACCCGCGGGCTTCCTGATGCCCTGGCCACACTGCCACATGCCTGCCAGTATGCGGAGTACGCCTGTCGCCATTTCAGCCTGTCTACGCCCCAGCCTCTTCCCCCGTACATCTCGTCATGGTTTATGTCAACATGTTCAATAGCGTTCTCGTTATTAGGTAGATGGGCGGCTAGCTAGACATTGCCTCCAAAAACTCCAGCAACGTCCCCAATAGCGTCCTGCGTCCGTGTGGCAGGCAGACTTCCCTCACTCATGCAATGCGATCTACCATTTTGCCTTGTATATCCAACGCCTTGACCGCGTCACAGCAATATCATACAAGGATACAATGTTTATGTGCTCAAAAGTGGCGAGAACAGTGAGATGTCCTCAGGATTGTCGCTGTTGTTGGCCAAAAAACTCAATCAACCAGTAATCCAGCCGGTAGATAGTGCCGCTCGTTTTCGTTGTTCTTTTCTCGTTTTCCCGAACCCAAAGATCAAGTCGCCTTTCATGACCCAAGACCGGTGCTGAACATGTCTTTCAGGTTCTTCGTCTGTGCAGACGCGTATGTTGGGGCCAATCCTCCAAGGAGAAGGAAGATGGTGAGGAGGACGAGTGCAAAGATAAGTGCCTTTCGCATTGCGGGCTTCTGGACCCCAAATTCGGACCACGATCGACCAGCTTGGCCCACGTATTGCTTCAGTTGCTCCGCTCCCAGTCGGTAGTACAGAAGACCACCAAGAGCGATCGAATAGCCGAAGAACTGGGTCTTGGTGACGGGGGTGCCCCAGATCATCATGGAAGCGGCCACGAGCAGGATATCCTTGAGAATACCACAGAGAGTGAGGACCAGTGACGACGTCTTTCCAATCTGCATCAATGGTTAGAGACCGCGCGGTTGGTTTGAAAGCTTTCTTGAACTCACGAGGAATACAACGGAGACGTTCAGGAGGAACGCGACCATCGCATTAGCCACTAGCATGAAAATGCCGACATCATAGACGTTTTGCATGCTCATTTTGGGTATCTCGATCAAAAGGGCGGTCACACCGTTCATGACGGCGCATACGGGCGCAAAGTAGTAAAGGGATACCAAGGGATCCATCTTGAACTCAGCCGAACTGAGGAGACGCTGGACCAGGACCAAACGGGTGGCCTCGAAAGTGATACCACCAGCCTGGTACATGAAACCGGTCAAGTTGAATTCGATCGCGCCATACGAGGCAATGACCACGCCGATAACGATGAATGAGACGTTGCCCAAGGTCTTCAAACTCGGAGGGGAAACACCCATGGCCCAAGTGGTCAGCAGAACCGCAACCGGCATACATGCCTTTTCAAATTGTTAGCGCCATGACCCTGTCTCTTCCATGTACTTCGACTCGCCTTCAACATTTGAATAAAGGCAACACTCAGATAGAGATATGCTTGGTTTCCGCAAATCAAACTCAAACTGAAGAAGAAACCGATTGGGAGAATAGCGCGAAGATAGACCTTGCCGGTCATTTTGACGGTTTTCCGGCCGTCAAGGAGGGTCGTGGTTTTCGCCAGTAGCTGTGTCATGAATGTTGCAAAGAGCATGTGCCTGATGAAAGGGGTCAGCCTCGATCTCTATGTTTCAGGATTTCAGGACGCTGTTAAGCATACCATGCCGTTAAAGTGATGGGAAATTCTAGCGATCGGTCAGCTCATTCTGCGACTTCAGACTGCGGTGTTGCGGAAGCATACTGAATCCAAGTGTATCCAACAACCATTTATTGAACAGAATCACACCTCCGCTAAAGCCAATCCATGTTCTGCAATATCGTCAATCGATCAACACATGGTATGGTTAGGACCTGCACCTACATTACGTAGAAGGACGGGTGCAGTGAGGGTTTAGGAGGCTGAGGCTTTTCTGTCGTTGGGAGGATGCTCGCTGAGGAAGCAGGGGCTGGCTCATGGACTCTAGTCTGTTCACCCGACAGACGGGCCTTCTTCTCAACATCGGCCATTGTTGTAAGTTGTGGTAACTGAGAGTGAGCGAGGAAGTCTCGAAAGGAGAAAGGCGTGGGTGACCCCGAAAAGGTCTTAGGGCGCAGCACTTTGGCCAGGACTCAAGCAGACATAAGAGAAAAGCCTTGCAAGTTCGTGTAGGCCAAAGAAACCGGGCTGGTGCTGCAAAGGCAGGGCGAGAATTGCACGATGCGCGTCGCGAAAAGATGGGGGATTTCACGATGGAAATTTGAGATGGAGGCTTGGTGACAGATTGAGATTATTGGGAACCGGGAAGAGTATCGCCGCAACCGCAGCCACAGAGGCAAAACTCCTCCTCGCTCCTGAGACGAGGAGCCCACTAACTGGCCGATAGAGCAACTTAGCCGAACGTTATCAACAGCCAGCCAATAAGGCATGTGGTGCAATCTTTGCGAACGCCGTCATTTGGTGACGGAATACAGTAGACACTACCCTTCACTATCCTGACTGACATCGGATATCCGGCATGGTGTGCAGATCACAAAGCTGTCTGTCAGTTTTGCAGGTAGTAAGACAACCTCATACAAAATGATTGGAACCTTTGGTGCGATGCGGATCTGTTGTCCGGTGCTGGCGGTGGTGATGATTCGTGCATTACGAAGGCGGTGGTGATGTCAAGGTCATTGGTGCTGTCAATCCGAGGCCAGCGACCTCACTATCCATCATTGATGAATTAGTGTGGTTGGTTTCTCCTTTGAATGTGTCAGGATACTGTTTCAGTGCAATAGACAACGACACAACAGTTTGCCCCTGAATGCAAGGCTGTAGGGTTCCATGCCCCTTTATGAGAATGTACACTATATAGCAGTAATACCACCAGGCACCACCACACTAAGCAGTAATCAGCATACGAGGGAGGGCCATTGCTGAACAGGGGAATTTACTTTTAAACCAGTTACCATGCCTGTTGCGTACTTGGTCTGCTGTTGGCGGGGGTGCAAGAGATAATTACCACTTCGCAATCTGAAATCTGTCTGTCCATCCCCTGCCAAGCCCAGTAGCCCTGCATCGGAGCCTCCAACTGGTCCACTTGCCGAGCCGCAGGGTGTCTGCGCCTGCGCCCCAAGTTTTTTTCTGCCCGGAGGCGCATTTGCCCTCGAGCACGGATGGTGTCCGATGCCAACGGCTGTCTTTCTCTGCTACAACTTGCTGTATTGGTCCCCGGTGTAGACAGTCGTTGCTGTACGGATTCTGCAGGATATAGACCTGGCTTTCTACCTTCCTTTGCTACGTCCCAAGTGTCACCCTCGAAATGCCTGATATGTATGCCGTTCTCCTCCCTTCTCGGTCACTGCCGTCTAATATACCCGTTGCAGTTCGGTCGACGTTTTGGTCATTGGCGCTGGCCCGACTGGATTGGGTGCGGCCAAAAGACTCAATCAGATCGTAAGTGCCTCTTGCGCACCCAAGAGCACCCCACTGACCGCACTTCCCAGAATGGCCCATCATGGATGATCGTCGATTCAAACGAGACTCCTGGCGGCCTGGCCTCGACAGATGTCACCAAGGAAGGATTTGTAGGTGACTTCAAATCAAAGGACGCAATATTCAGGCGCTGACTCGTGGACCAGCTCTATGATGTTGGTGGCCATGTCATCTTTTCCCACTACAAATACTTCGACGATTGTATCGACGAGGCGCTGCCGAACGAAGACGATTGGTACACCCACCAGAGAATATCCTACGTTCGGTGCAAAGGTCTATGGGTGCCATATCCCTTTCAGAATAATATCTCGATGCTGCCCAAAGAAGATCAGGTGGTGTGCATGGATGGACTGATTGACGCCGCAATGGCAGCAAGAGTTGCAAACACAAAACCTCAGAACTTTGACGAGTGGATCCTTCGCAATACCGGCGTTGGCATTGCAGATATTTTTATGAGACCATATAACTTCAAAGTGTGGGCTGTTCCCACCACCAAGGTGATTTTCTTCGCGACACTGAGTTGGACCCTTACTGACCCTTGCGCAGATGCAGTGCCAATGGCTGGGGGAACGTGTGGCTGCCCCTGATCTCAAGGCCGTTACCAAGAACGTCATACTCCAAAAAACCGCGGGCAATTGGGGCCCCAACGCTACCTTCAGATTTCCGGCGCGAGATGGTACTGGTGGCATCTGGATTGCCGTTGCCAAGACTCTCCCAGAGGAGAAGAAGCGCTTCGGAAAGAAAGGCACGGTCAAGAAGGTCAATGCCGACAAGAAGCAGGTTCTCCTGGCCGACGGCACCACCGTCCATTACGAAAGACTCATCAGCACCATGGCCATCGACTTCTTGGCCGAGGCCATGGAGGACGAGAAACTGATCAGCTTGTCCAAGGGCTTGTTCTATAGCAGTACCCACGTCATCGGTGTAGGTATCCGAGGGTCACGTCCCGAACGAATTGGCGACAAGTGCTGGCTTTATTTTCCCGAGGACAATTGCCCCTTCTATCGGGCCACCATATTTTCCAACTACTCTCCATACAACCAGCCACAAAAGAATGTCAAGCTGCCTACGTTACAACTTGCCAATGGGTCCCGACGCCAAAGCATGCAGGCTAAAGAGGGCCCCTACTGGTCGATCATGCTGGAGGTGTCTGAGTCCAGTATGAAACCAGTCAACCAGGAGACCCTCCTCAAGGACTGCATCCAAGGCTTGGTCAATACCGAGATGCTCAAGCCTGACGACGAAATCGTCTCGACATATCACCGCCGGTTTGATCACGGTTACCCTACGCCGACTTTGGAGCGAGAAGGCGTGCTCAAGCAGATGCTACCCGCTCTTCTGGAGAAAGGTATCTACAGCCGCGGACGCTTCGGATCCTGGAGATACGAGGTGGGCAACCAAGACCATTCGTTCATGCTGGGCGTCGAAGCTGCAGACAACATTATCAACGGAGCGGTGGAGCTGACACTCAACTACCCCGACTTCGTCAACGGGCGGCAGAACACAGAACGAAGATTGGTGGAAGGAGCAGCCTTGTTTGGCAAAAAGAAGGCAGAGAATGGTAATGTTGTGGTTGGACGTCGCATGACTGGCGGTAAGACGGAGCTGGGTGGGCGAATGGAGACCAGTGGAAAAGAGGCGTTGAATGCCAGCGGCGGGACCGCGACAGCTATGAAGGACGGCAACTCGAGGGTTCTGAATCGCAGTTGGTGAGGAGCAGGAGTGAGCCGGTCATGAGGTTTCAGCTTTGCTTTACTTGTCGTTCTTTCGCATTGGACATATTCTCGCTGGGGTGGGCATAGAGCGAGTCATCCATGTGGGTCAAGAAGACGGGGTGGTTGTCAAGCATGTACACGGGTCAGGAAATAGAGCGTTTTAGAGCGGCTTTCCTTCTATCCAGTACTAGAAGTGGACGTTCGGAAAAGAAAGCAACTTCCAACTCTAGGATTTGGTCATCCATTGCCGATGCACCTTTCCCCCTCGCTTCCCCGGGCTCTTTAATGAGAGCTGGTGCCGTCTTAGCGAGGAATGAATCCGGTAGCCTCCCTCCTTCGGAGTGGAGGAAGTTCGTTCTCGTCCCCAGAGATGCCTCTTCGCGTCTTGCCCCGGCTATCCAAAGATGCGGGGAAGACACTAGCCTAACTAACTGATCCTGTAACGAGTATGTCACGTACTCCATTCCTGGAGGTATGTCTAGAGCGCGGGCGGGAGCACGTATCGAATTAGGTACACATGTGACTAGGCAAGTAATTATGTACCGACTAGCACCTCTTTTGGAAGAGGGCAAGGCATCGTGAAAATTTTCAGCTTGATCAGCTGAGCCGCCCCCAGGGCGAATCGCGTTGGCCGGTGGTCCACGGTAGGTAGTACGCACCATGCCCCGTGTCAGGGATGCTGGGATGAGGTAATGCGGACTGATAGATGGGGTGGATAATGCGGGAGAAGAGCGTGGAGAAAGGCCTGTCACGAGTAACTTCTCGTATGTACGGAGTACATGTAGGTGCAAGGAACGGGTAAGAGGTGGCAAGAAGAAACTACTGGGTAGAGCTGAGGGATACATCTACAGTATGTAATTTAATACAGAGCACAGAGTTGCAGGATAGAAGTACCCCTCTTGCCCTCCAGTTGTTTGATTCTGGCGAGCACAGGCAAAGTCCTCACCTACGCCGTGTGTTGCACAAACAGGTCCAGGAGTCCCCCCGCTGTGGAGACGACGAGAAATGGCTCATCGAAATCCGAATTGGCATCATCGTGATCCTCAAACAAGTCAAGTCCAGCAATGCCGAGCTGCGCCTCTGCGTGCTTTGGACGTGGCACATTACCGATCCTTTGTAAAGACTCGAGTGTGCCTGTATCAGTTGAATATCCGAGCGCCACCAAGAGTGGTTAACTCTCCATATAGGAAGCGGCGACATATTCGGAGTACTGGTCCGATCTCCCTTTTGTGACCACGACAACAGGTCTATCCAACGACCGAGAGTGCATCCTCCCTTTTCAGGATAGATCTGACGGCCAGATCCCTTCTAAAGGATCTTTGAAACACTCCTCTAAACGCTCTGTTAATGTCGATTGCACGTGTCTTCGGCCAAATTTCGCAGTGGCGTTTGAGCTAGCTCCAACCTCATTTTACCATCTGAGTGCTTGACCCATCTGGTGCGTGTCTTTGCCTTCTCCTTTACCGCTGCTGGCCGAGAAGCATAAGACTTGTCTGTTCATTGTCGATGACGGGGACTTTGAGGCGCCAACTTGGCAGACTCTGGAAGGAAAATTCCATAAGACCATGAATTGCTAGAGAAAGACTCAAGTCGGTCTGTTAGCAGTAAGAACAAGACGAATGACCCGAACGTATCTGTGCACGCGGACGAAGGCTCTGCAAAAAGGAGGGCGGAGTTTGATAGTTGTCTGTGTACGAGGTAATAGTCGAAGTGTAGTTGTTGTTAGATTGAGCTGTATTCAAGTCAACCTCCGTATTCCTTGCCGCTTTTGCGGCTTTCGGTACTTCGCGTCACTACGAACGATTACATTGGAGGATCGGTATCATCACCACATGGTATTCTGTTCATGATCCGTCATCGTGAACGGGTGTCGGCCATTTGGCCACGAGATACAAAGCATCTGTAAACTCGGCAATATATTATAGCATGGACATACCGGAACAGGAGGAGCAAGTCTTCATCGGCCGCCACTTGGGGTAAATCAGCTGCTTCCTGAAGGGGTAGACGACGCCCAACAGGTTGTCCTGCTTGCCCCTGCCCTGCCTTCTTCTCTCTTCCAGGTTCATACATGTTCACATCGGTTATCTTCACATCTCTGTAACGAATGCTGCGTGACGTCCTTGAAATCTCAGAGTAGAGGACTAGTGATTGAGTTTGTGTAGGTACGCAAAAGGTGGGGTGTGGCTTGTGTGCTGGAGCTGTGGTGTTCAAGGTTTCACTTGTTTCTCGCGTCATTGTCATATGATGTCTTGGATGAAAAGCCCGGTGATGAAGGGAGGAGGCAGTAGTCGATGGAGCGTAATCGAAACTGAAAGTCAGATTCATGGTGCAATCGATCGAAAGGTGTTCGTGACGATCCAGGCGTGCAGGCCGAGGACGAGGCACGCATCACGTCAGTGCCTGCAGCAATTGCAGAGAATTGGATGTGTTCCTGAATTTTTGCCCACCGCCCCCGCCTACCCAAATGCTACGGGTCCCTACACCAATCACAACCACCGCAATTGGGGTCAGTATGTTGCTCAAAAGCCTTCCGAGCCTAACCGCATGCGACATCCGGGTGCGGGCATCAGACGTGCCAGTTATTTCTGTTGGATGCGTGTCTTCTGACTCGCCAAACAGGTCTCAAAACAGCCGTGCAAACCTTGGCTGAGAAGCGAAGGCATCCAAAAAACCCCGAGGGCGCCTATAAGACTGTGCCTCACCAGCCTCGAGCGTCGAACGGGACCCCGCTGGACTGGTAGCAGGGAGGCCCGTTGAGGCCCCATGGTGCATCACTTTGGGTTACTGGACACCATGGCCACCCGTAGCCGGGCCACTATTCCTACGTAAGACTAGCCATCTTCTCACCCGCAGGGGCGGTGACGGGCTGCTCACTCGCTGGACCAGTAGCCACAGGCCTGGAATGATCCCTCTGCATCATCACCAACAAAAGACTTTTCCTGCGCTTGTGACCCGTGACTTTTTCTGCCTGGTGAGCCCTTTGCCCTTCGCCTTTGGTGGCCCCTGGGGCCCCTTGTCCGTGCCCATAATAATCGGGCCCTCGGTGGTTGCAGCCCGCTGCAGGTGTTGGAAGTATGTAACTGGAACTTGTCGACCTCCTGCTTCTCCACGATTTACTAGTAACTCAGAAGAGTCCCCCTCGGACTGCACCATACAAGAAAAATCACCGCATTGCCCTCCAGCCTCAACCTGCATCATCTTCTGTTTTTTCTTTTTCCTGACACTCTTCCATATGCTTTCCCATTGATTTCACCAAAGCTCGACCTATCTACGCATTCCGTTATCTTTCTTACGAGTTTCCTTTCTCTCGTTTCTTTGTCCCTTCTCCAAAACGGTACGTAGCTGGCTTCTCCAATTTCAGCCCTCTCGAGTCCTTATCGTCAAGGACTCAAAAATATCCCACCGGCAGAACCTTAGCATCTGCAAGGGCGGTCAGCGAGATATACCTCTTGAGACAGTAGCTGTTTTATACCTTTGCACCCCGTCCCGACCTCGATTGTTCCTCTTCGCATGCTAACATTGTCCCCGGACAGTCGGCATCAAGCATTAGTTTGCCCATCATGTCGGCCGCTCAAGTCGCTCCTACCATTCCTCCTCGCCCTGCTCGAGCCCAGCAAGCTGCTGCCCACGGCGCAGGGAAGCTGCCTGATATCCCTCCTCGTCCTATCAACAAGCGTCTCGAGCGTTCGGTTTCGCCCTCCAACTACCCTCGGTCTCCTCTGAACGAGCCATGGTCCGCCAATCTCACCCGCCACAAGACCAATGAGCAAGCCTCCGCCGAGGGATTGCCCCGTCGTCCCAGCGTCCAGTACCTGCCATCTCTTGGACAAGAAGGCATGGAGTATGGCGAGATCATGGACATGGGAATGGAGATACAGGGGGATATGCAGACGAATGAGAATGCCCCTGTCTCGACTTCGGCGCCGGATGCCGCGGCTCAGACCAGAAATATCGCACAAGACCTTCATTTGCATGCTCCAAAGCCCTCCCTCCCCAAGTCAAGCGCCACTGCGCAAGTTCAGGCCGTAACCCGGACGGACTCGCAGCAGGCCGCTTCCCACGGTCTCGGGAAGCCGGCCACTCCCTCGCAAGATGAAAGTGACGGGCTACAGCAAGGGAGGCCCAGATCTAGTTTCTCTCGGCCCTCATCTACAATCGGCGGAGAGCGTCGTCCCTCAGTCTTTGGAGATGAGGAGTCGGGTCCCGCAGAACTGGGTCTCCGAGTCCCCATTAACCCTCTCCTGGGAGACGTGCAGGCGCCTTCTCCCGCTATAGGTCTGAGTCCGGCTCATACGGGCGCGAACGGTGACAAGAGGCGCCCCACCCACTCCCGTGCGAAAGCGAGTAGGGAGATCTTCACTCCTCCTGGGAGCTATGGCCTTCATGGCCATGGCGTTGCTCCTCAAGACAGGTTCGAAAAGGACTGGTACGCCAAACACCCCGATGTTGCGCAGATCGAGGAAACCCTTGGGCACGGAGTCTATGAGAGCATTGGGAGTGGCCGCGGTGCTTTCGCTCTGAGTAGCGATGATTTGAATAAAATTGTGCGGGATACGGCCAGCCGCGGAGCAGGACTCGGTAAGGTGCTTGCTGTGAAAACATAGCGCTCTCTAACTTATTTGTCCAGGAACGTCAGGATCAACCTTTTCATATCCGGATGAACAAATCGGGTATCTAGCCTCGGACATCTACGTCTCCAGATCTCAGCAAAATACTCCCAACAACCTCGCGAAAACCCTCACCAATACCTCCCAGCCGGCTCTCGAGTCTCCACTGAGGAAAGCCAGTTTCCCAGCGGACGATACCATCCCTGCTGAAGTCCGTCGTGGCCGACTTTCGGTTTCTAGTAGACATGACGATGCTGTCGAAAGCGAACAAGAGGGAGAAATTCATGTTCCAGCGGGTCGACGTTTTAGCAAGATTACAGGTGGCGAGGAAAGCGCGAATGAAACTCTGGATAGTCGGCCAATCATCTCACAGCTGAGCCAAGAAGATGAATATCTCCAGCACGAATACGGCTACACCGTGCCAATCCTGGCAGCGGATGAGGTCGCAAAGGAAGCCGGCTTCGATCACCTTCAGCCCGCCGTTTCTCCCAAGCAGGAACGTCGTGGAAGCCTTGAGCCCGCAAGCGGTGACGTTACCCCCGGATCACGACCACCAAGTCGACCCACTAGCATGTACAGCCTCCACAGCGCCAACCATTCCTTATCTAGATTCATTTCACACCCAGAGGAACGAGACACCATGTACACTCCACTGGAAGATGTTCATGAATATGAACCACTATTCCCCGAGGATGATGATCACAAGCCGATTAGCCACTCTGAACGATTCAAACAGAGGCCCAATGCTCTCAAGCAGCGATTCCCTAGCCAAGACATCTGGGAAGATACTCCAAGCAGTGCCCTCTACTCCGCCACTGTCTCTACGCCAGATCTTCCTGCCAAGATCGAGCAGGATGGTTCTGCTTCTAAGACATTCGAATCTCCGGAACAAGAAGCTGCCCGAAAGGAGGAAGCATCTGAGAAAGAGAAGGCTAAGTTGATTCCCAAAGAGCAGCGATTGGCACAATCCCGCTTTGCGCCTCACCTTCGTGATGACATGCCAACCCGACCTGGCATGGTACCCAGATTCCCTAGCCAAGATATATGGGAGGACAGCCCTGACAGTCACCATCTCGTTACAACCATATCCAATCTGCCCCGAGAAGAGCAACCGGAACCGGAGACCTCAACAGAAGCTCCAGCGAAGCCAAGCGTCCCACCACGTCCCGCTAAGAGCAGGTTAGGTGAAGGAACTTCATCTGCTCAGATCGCACCGAGTGTGCCACCCCGACCGCAGAAAGCACTTGGCACTATGCCACCTCTAGGCGTTCCCCAAAATGATTCGTCTAAGTCGAAGGAGAGCTCTCCCACGGAATTGAAGAAAGTCCCTAGTATCCCCGATCGACCGAAACCCCAAATTCCGGCTCGCCCAGCGAAGAAACCTGCTGGAGAAGGCCTGGCGAAGACTCTTTCTGGTGGTTCAGCAGGATCGGTTGAGCAGGAGAAGATTTCGCCTCCCATCGCTAAAGCGAAGCCACAAGTCCCGGCCAGGCCTGTCCCAGGCAGTAAAATTGCCAATCTGAGGGGGAACTTTATGAACGATCTCAATCAGAAACTTGGCTTAGGACCGCCCAAGGAGAAGGAGAAGGAGCCGGAGTCGGCGGCTGAAGAAGTGAAACCTCTGGAAGATGCACGGAAAGGCAGAGCACGAGGTCCTCAAAGACGGGCACCGGCCAAGTCTCCAGCTGCTACTGTCAAACCTATGGGATTCTCCATGTTCTCACCACGTGCGTTGTGGACCATTGATGACGTTGACGAGCTGAATGTAACGTCAAGCGAGTCTAACGCTCCTGCGTCCGCGCCGAAGGAAGACGAACCCGCGAATGTGGGTGTTCCGGAGAAGGCTGAGCCGCTCGAGGACTCCGCTCCGGCAGAATCCTCTCCGCCGGCCACTGTTGACGTAACTGATCATGCTGAGGGAGAATCCATCCCTCCCGCGACGGAGGCAAAGGTGCAACCGATACCAATGGCGACCAGTCTAGCCACCAACACTGCTGGGGAACTTGCAGACCCGGAACCCACATTGGGGACGCCTACACAGGAGAAATCTAATCCTCTGAGCCGGAATGAATCAGGTCAGAAAGACGATAAGGCAGGTGAAGAAGTTGGCCTTTCCCAACGCACGACGGCAAGCAGTGCTCAGGTGTCTGGATCGGAATTGGAAAGAGAAGAGCCCGATCCAAGCATGGACGCGATTCCTGCAAGCAAGCACACCACTGCAAGCACGCTTGGGGACACAGTGCCTTTGGAGAAGAGCCCAACCCCAGATGAACCGCGGACGTTGAGAGACACGCTACCAGAGGGGGAGCCGGGTAAGACGAGCATGGAGCAGGTGTAGGAGCCACTGCTCGACTGAGTTGTAGTGTGTCCTCCTGGATCTGCTAGAAGGCAGAGCACGGAGCATTACAGGCTACGGTATATGGGTACGGAACAGCAGCTTGAGCTGTGGGTTAAGGGATACGGATAAGACAAACGTCAGCAATGTGGAGGAATGGCAAGGGTCATCATGGAGCAAGAGCCAAAAAGCAAGATCATGCTCCTTTTTCCAACCTTGGGCCATTTTCATTTACTACTTTAGAGTTAGCAAAGGACCAATCCAATTCGTTGGCTTCTTGTTCTTCTTCACCTTTCTGGATTCTTTTCTTTCTGTGTGCTCATTGATTCTATCTATGCGCTTGTCTGCTTGTCTGTTTGTGCACTACTCAAACATGTCGTCGAAATCCACAGCCTTCGGGCGGACTCTGCGGCCTTGGGAGGACATTGTCGACGGAGGAACATTTGTGGACTCCGCTGTCGCCTGGCCGCTCGCACCAGCTTGTCCTTGCACCTCTCGCCCTGCCTCCTTGCTGGCGTTGTCCCTCACTTCCCGAGATTCGGACTGGAGCTGCTCCCCTTCTTCACTTGTTCGACCATCCCTTTGGGGCGGTTGTCCGCGTTCCTCGTCTTCGTATTCGTCGTCGCTGCTGTCCACCAGGGGGACGCCGTCGATGTTCTCGTCCGTCAGGACTGTGTCCCCGTCCCCGTCTTCATCTGGGTCATCGGCCTCGACAGCATCTCCCTCTCCGTCATCGTCGGCCATGGGTGTCCCATCCATGTCCATTTCCACGTCGCCGTCGTCGGCTGCACGCTTTGCTTTGGCAAAGGCGGTAGATATGGTTTTGCCTTCGGACGGGGCTGATCCGCTGGCACTGGCATCGTCCACGCTGCGCCAGCGGCTGACACCTCCCGCAGCCTTGTCTCTTTCTTTTTGTTTCTCCCGTTCGGCCTCCTGCTCGGCCTTGGCCTTGGCCTTTACTTCCTCCTCACTCAGAGGTGGATGCAGGAAACCCTCCACCATTTCTTTCATCCTTGCTTCCTCGAAAACGCACCAACCTTCCCACAGTCCCAGGACCACTTGCACCTGTCTCTTCCACTTCTCCGCCTTCAGCTTGCCCCATTCGTACTTTTGTGGGAACTTTCCCAGAGTTGGTAATACGTTCTGGGCGAGAAGCTGCTGTTGAAAGAGAGAGCGGTAGCGCCAGGCGTGCCGCACGCCCGAGGTTGAAGATGCCGAGAGAATGTCGCTTATGAGGTACAAGCCTATCAGCGAGGCCGGGGTTGTATCCTTCATCTTTGGTTTAGGGCGTTGATCAGGGTCTTCTGTCCCGGAAGGTTCCCTATCCCCCGAGTGCTTTGGCGTGCCATCACCGTTCTCATCGTCATGATGGTTATCCTCATCGTTTGATTCTCCTTTTGGTCTCGTCACGCTGTAGCAAAGAGGTCGCACCACATTTCTCGTGACTATTTCTGCTACTTCATCCGCCCCAGCCCCGGCGTGCTCAATTGCGTATCCCGTTACACGTGCAACATCACCCCTACGCAGTCTTGCATTCGTTTCAGGAAGGCGACTGAGCAGATGAACGAGTTTCGTCTTTGCAAGCGGGTTCAGATAACCCGTGCCGTCGTTTTCGGCCGTCGAGTCAGTGATGTTAGCGAGCTTTTGGTGATCATGATACCGTCTAGCTAGTCCACCTCCTCTGTTGTCATCATCGATGCCTTCTTCGTCTGAAGAATTGTAGTCTTCATCAGAAATGAATTCCTCGAGGCGGGTGGTGTATTCGAATTTAAGGTCCTCTTCCGGAGGGATCCAGGTAGATTGTCCCTCAAATAATACGTCACCTTGTGATTGTCGCATCCCGTACGCCGCATAACGTTGCCTGCGACGCGATTTGGAGTCGGTGAGAATCTCCCAAAGACGCCAACGGTAATAGACCCCGCCTGTTGATCTTGAGTTCCAAAGCCAAGCCCATTGTTCGTCACGTTGGATTTGCGGTCGGGACATGAGCAATGCTTCAAATTCAGGACCATAGGTCAAAAGAGCTTCAATGGTTTTGTGGATCAATCGGAGTTGTCTGAGATCATTCGGGACTTGTACGGTGACCTGTGTAGGGGGCATACTGTTCATCGATCGAGGACCATAGGGTGTTGATGAAATGTATGAAGCGGGAGGAGCGAAGCGGTTACCTGCAGCGGCTTGAGATGGTGGAGGAGCGCGGGATAAGGACGTGTGCTGTGGCGCGGGCTTTGCGCCGAAGGGAAGACTGTTCAAGAGCGCCGACGGAGCGTTGCTGCCCAATGAGGTTCTGCCCGTTAAGGCCGCCGAAGACAGATGGCGAGAGATCGACAGGTTGAAGCCAAAACCAAGGTATTTGTTCTGGAGATGCGAGACCATGGTTTCAATATCTGCCGCTGGGGTCTCAGCGGCGAGCGTGACAATCGCCGAGATGGATTTTCTGTCAGCGGCTGAGCCTGGCGCTGGCGGGAGGATGCTGACACTTTCGACATTCAGCGGCGAAGGGGTAAAGAGAGCCTTAACAACCGCCGGAGATGTCTCAGGTGGAAGGGAGGCGAGATGTAATGTAGGTTTCGCTGCGGCCTCGAGTTCATCTGTGTCCCGTGTATCGTCCTCCTCATCTTGGCCAAACGCATGCGAGTCCCTCCTGTTGTCCGCATCTTTATTGTCACTGTAAGAAAGCACCCTGTCCTTCCTGTCGCGCTCTCGGTCTCGATCCCGTCCTGAGTATTCGTCATATTGTCTCTTTCTCCCAAATCCAGGCGCTGGTCCCAAGCTACCAGGTCCGCTCCTTGGCAGCGAAGGACTCGGTCCCAGGCTACCAGGACCACTCTTCAAACTCGAGCTTGTGAAATGTCGCTTGCCTAGGGCAACGGGACCGTGGTTGCTGGCGCCAGAGCCAAAGCCTCCTCTGTTTTCACCTCCGAAGCCGCGCCTTGAAGGGAAGCCTGAGGTGTGGTCCCCATCATCTTCAAAACTCTTCACAAAATCTTCGAGGGCCGCTGCTGTCTCTGCTTTTTCTCGGGCCTTTTTCGCTTCTGCCTCTGCTTTCTGTCGCTCGAAGATGGACTTCTTCGAGGGGGGGCCGAGTTTGGAAGAAACGTCGTTGTTGGAAAGAGGCATCGCAATGGGATGGTGGTCAAGGGATACGGCGGTGACGCATGACTTCGCTCTGGTTCGTCTCAGGCTGTGAACGACGGGAAGGAGTGGATTGAGCGTGGAACCAGTTGTCTTTAGGTCGCGAGGCTGAACTGCAAGTTCCAAGACGATAGATTTCTGTGTCCAACCCACTCCGATGTGGTGGAGGGTGTTGCCGCCCTGAGCGTACGTAAGTCGCGCCGGAGTTGGGGCGAGCCGACATTGAGCCAGGAGGAACGCCGGGGAACGAAGTCAGGCTGGGGGGTGCTGTTGGGAAGTGTCGGGCATGCCTGGTGAAGCCTATTGAGCCCACTAGCCTCGGTGAACCAACCCTCCTTCCGTGGGAGGGAAGGCCCCTCGGTGACTGCGAAGGGCTTAAGCAGCCCAAAGCCAGTGGGTGCTGGGGGTTGGTCGCCGCTTGTAGGGGCTCAGCCCCTGTCGCTAGCGGCCATACCAGGTACAGTTGCTTAGCCTCACTAGCCTAGGCTCATATATTAATTTGAAAAATGATATCCATCATCAAGCTCTGACGACATTCGCTGCTCTTGCATGCTATGGCCGTTACACCTACTGGATCGAAGAGGAACCCTTACTCTTGATATAGCCATCGCACGAACCTAGACAAGCTGAACTTCTCCTGCACATAGAAGAACATACTGAGGAATCGGCTTTGCTCGTTGGATGCTCCGCTATATATGCTATACATTACTTACACGTCTAACTACTAGCCGCTGTCACATCGCCCGTGCCATTATATCGGGCTCTCAATGGATATAGATAGATAGGTCGCTGGGAGACTACCCTTGTGGGTTTGGCCGAGTAACACGATCAAGCTCTCTGGAGCTCGTCCTTGCTCGACCTAATCAACCAGGCTCTCGAACGCTTGTCCTGGAAAGAATCCAGGACCATCGAGGCAATGACCAATGCCCGGAGGCTGGAAATACCGAAAATAGTCTCGTACTGCCGGGTCGTAATCCTCGACGGCCAGATAGTAATTCTGCGATTCAGATGTTGGAATGTTGCCATCGGCCATACCCTGCCAAGTGCTCATCTTGCCGCCAGCATCACGGAACAACGATAGGTCGACCTTGTCGGCACTCACGAGCCCGTAACAAAGCCTGTTTTCTGGCGACTTGAGTTCCGCGTACATCTGTTAGACGCTGTAATTGATACGCCAATTGTAGCTCGGATCATGCTGGAGCATACATGCAAGCCATTGAACTGAGGTGGTGAACGGCACGGGCTCGGACACACCTAAGCTGTTGGTGGTGGTGTTCATGAGTCCGCCCAGTGCTGCTTGTTGTCCGAACCCCGGCCATAAAACAGTTTCATCGTGCTCAGCCGTGTACCAAGCCACATGTGCGGCGATCTGTGATATATTGACATGTGTACTTCCGCACGGCACTGACTCTCCGACCATGATGAATGGATCGAAGTCGCATAGTTCAGGTGCGGAGATGATATTATCCGTGACGCGATCCTTGGGATCGCAAGCCTGAACAGCAGCCGCTGTTAGAGTCTGCAGTTCACATTGGTGAGGAAAGCCGCCATAGTCCAGTTAGTTGGCCATGGGGTAAAGGAGCTGGATGGCCATATCATTCCACTTCAGCGCTGGAGCGCAATCGCCTTAAGGTGAGAGTGGCCGAAGCTGTTGACGATGATGGAACCGAATCCAGACACACTGCCATTCACAAAGTGAATACAGAAGGTGGTGGCAAACATAATCCAGGTTTTAGGGTCGACGAGGGCTTCTTTGACTTGATATAACTTGAACTTGTTGTTCTCAATACCTGTCTGCTCAGAACGCATTCTTTCGATGGCGACGACCTTTTGCCTTTCGTTGAGGAAATAGGCTGTAACCGGGTTATTGGGTAAAGCGAAGACCATAAAGACGCCCCACATGACGGTAATAGCGTCCAGGATGAGGTATTGGTACTTCCACTGGGCGAGGCTCCCGTGGATGTGGCCGATCCCGTAGATGAGCAAAGAGCCGACGAGAGCCCCAAAGGCACACGACGTGTACCAGATGGAGAAACGGGGCAGTTGCTGTGTTCTCCTCCACCACATTGAAATGACAATGGAGAAGCCGGGAGCCACAGCACATTCAGTATGACGAGGAAGAACCTGTCGATCTCTCTCGCCAGCTCTATAAGGCTAGACATAAGTGCCAATGAAATTTGTGTCAAAGTCAAATACCTTTGAACGAGGAAACCCTGATAGCTTTTGCAAGTGACGGTGAGCATCACCACTCCACCCCAAACTATTACCGTGCATCCCAAGAATTTGGCGATTGGTAATCGCTGCGCGAGGTACGACGCCGGGAGCACTGGACAATACCATCAGCCCTGTCCATGAATGAGCCCCTACTCTCATTGCTTTACACTTACAACCGGTGAGACATCCCCAATAGAAGATCAGGGTCACATTGGAGAATCTTTTTAGATTCAGGATAGGCTCATGGGTCTTGGGGTTAATGCCTTGGACCGTGTACAAGTGCAAGTCCTGGATGATACCGACTTGGGCAGCTCCGTTGAGGATGACTTTATCGATGTATTGCATCGTGAAGGTGATCATGGGCATTAGCATGATAATCCAATCAATCTTTCGGAGGACCCGCCTCTCTTCTGCTGCTGAAACGGAGCTGACTGGGGAGTCGTTCACTATTCCGAGCGCGATATCGGTCCCAGCAATATGAGATTCGAATCCATGGGCTATCTTGTCTTCGACGGCGGTCTCGTCATGGCCGGCGGTACTTTTCTCTTCTTTGTCCATGGCGCAGGCGGTATGAAAGACTTGTTGCTTGCAGTCTGAGCGTTCTTTAATGAGTGGAAGAGATTATGTGTGAGTAGGAATTCAATTGGTGGTCGAGATGTCAGCTCTGGGTCTTTATATAAACACTGCCCAGTTTGCTCTGTACACCATGACAAGCAAATTTTCCTTCCCTTACTGGCAGGGGTATTGAGCAACTAGAAAGGAGCAGGGGTATGTGGTCCCAGACGACTCCCAGAATTCAAGCCGGCGGAGGTGTTTTCACGGCAGTGCGAATACGGGCACAATTCGTCACAGCCATGAACGGACCTTCGTGAACTTTATGGCTGCTGCACATCTTACAGCTCCGAACAAATGAAGCCCCCAAGACCAAGCCTATCCCGATCCAGGAGGTTCTGGACGTTTGTCAGTCACAAATGCCCCGTATTTGTATATCCGCCTAGCGTATCGCCTTAACCTAGAAAGGAATGTTAGACGAAAGTATATGTCTTAAGCCTTTACTCGAAAGGTTTAGCGGGTGACACTAATTTTCTCACCGCCTTGCACTGGGTAGTCTGCGAGACAACATGAATCAACTTGCCACAATGGTTCTACATAGCGAACCTGGGTGGTGGACTCTGCCGCGATTGCTACTGACCCCGACAGTTGTTGTTTATGCGGTATATCCGCCCCGACCTTGCTGTGGAACAAGCGTAGGCGAACTTCACTAATACCCCATGGCGCATTCGCCATCAATTGCGGAGGAAGCGATGGCCACTCATTGTGAATGGCCATGTCCAGCTCGAGCTGCCCCTGGGCGTGGTCGGTACAAGTGAAAGTCCCTCCGGTGCAAAAGAAAGATGGTGCTTTCCTCATCTCGTATTGACCCTCGCACCACCATCATCTTTTTGGATATTCTCCTGTCGAGACACAATTCTGGCAGACATGGACCGACTATCATCGCGTGAGATCGTGCATCGAACGCTCGAGGACATTCTGGCGGATTTTGCTGTCCCAAGCTCCACGTCTACCAAGGGGCCCGAGGTTGTCTACAAAGGCGTGATTCCTCATGCCAGCCAGACACATTCTGAGAAGATTAACCTGTCCCTGATCGGCACCATTCCGTCGCTCGCCAACGCCATCGCCGCGGCTCACATCTTCGAGGCGCGTGGAGGGTTGCGACAATGCATTGAGGTCGACTTGAGACGGAGGCACAACTACATTGACCGCGACATTGGCATGACACCAGCCCTCAACGGGCAGGAGATTACCCTCAACGTGCTCGTGGGAAACCCATTCCTCAAAAACATCTTTGAGACCAAGGATGGGAGGTACGCCGTCTTGAGCGCGGTCTAGGTCGATCTCGTCTACAAGTGGTCGGCATTCTTAGGCTACTCAGTGGCAGAGAGCGATGTTCGAGAAAAGGTGAAGCAGTGGAATGCGACCGGTGTGTCCCATCACAAATAGTCCATGTGCTGGTTTTTGCTCTCGTGCTTCTCAGCCGATGTCTCTATTCTTCCGACACTTCTAGACTTGGAAGCAGCTGCTACAGCAGCAGAATTGCCGATGGCAGTGTGCCAGACAGAAGCTTCATGGGCAGCCCATCCTCATGGCTCTCACCTAGCAAAGCTTTCAGTCGTGCCTGTTGAACGATATCCAGGTGTCCTCCATGGGCCTCCTCCACCCCTGATTCGTTTCTTTCTGCTCGTCCACCTCGGCCACTCTCTGCTCTCCGTGTCCTCTGCGTCACTCACGCCATCGCCGGTCCTTCCACGGGCCGTACCTTAGCCGAACATGGCGCCTCTGTTCTCCAAATCATGTTCACCCACGGCTACGAGCACTCCTTTGTCTATACATATGCTAATCTCGGCACTGCATTCAGCCACCTGAATTTGCACAAGCCCGCCGACCGTGAAAGGCTGGCGACCTTGGTAAAAGATGCGCACGTTTGGGTTGACAGCTACCGACCGAACGCGATCTCCAAGTTCGGATTCAGCGACAACGACATCCGAACACTCAATCCCAGCATCATCCTGTGCCATGTGCGAGCCTGTGGAAGCACTGATCCCTGGAAGTCGAAGCCTGGTTTCGACATGCAAGGTTCCGCGTCGAGTGGGATGATGAGTCTCATGGGCCAGGACGAAGGGGACGGTCGATCTCAGTGGCCACCAGGAATGGTCATCAATGACTACACGACGGGGTACTCTGCGGCGTTGGCGATCCAGAGCATCGTTCTCAAACAACTCACGGGCGAGGTCGACGTGCGTGACGGTTGGCTCGTGAGTCCCAGCCTCTGCGGCACCGCGATGGGGATCCTGAAGTACTACAAGACCGCGCGCTTCGGACCACCCAGCGACCAGGACGGAGTCGACGCCCTACCGCCCGAGAAAATTCGGGCGCAGACCTCCCTGGGGTACTTCCAGACCCTGGCCCCGCTGCCCAAGATGAGCGTGACGCCCATTCACTATGCCTTCGGCCTCCTCCACCCCATGGGCTCTGACCCGCCCGCCTTCCCGGGCCATGGTGACGGGTACGACGTGCGGAAGGTGACGCCCATGCCGAAAGAGGTCGTTCTGCACCAGATGGGTCACCCCGCGAATCAGAAATTAGAACGGCTGAGGACGCTGGGGAAGAAATTTCGGCGAAAAATGGACGAGCTGCTAGAAGAATGGCTTCTGACCGCGAGCAGCCGCCGAGCGGGATGCCAGACGAAGGGGGGAGTGGCATCTCATCCTGCCCAGGGTTCACTGAAGGCGAGGACTTGAGCCCATGCGGCGTGCGTGCTCTTCTTCTTACCTTCTTCTATCAGGCCTAGATCTGTCATGGATGGGGGCGCGCCTGAGTGTGCTTTCAGAGAGAAATAGGGGGGGAAACCCCTCACAAGAGACACAACGGGAAGATCATCTTCTTCTCACATGTCAAGTAGACGCGAGAGTGTCATATACAAGGAGCCAGTCACCCATTCCGCGAGGTCAATGCAGAGGAGATGTGGTCTTGGGACACATCAGTAAGTGGCTATTGCATATCCCTTTGTCGTGGGCTGGGCCTGCCGCTGATACAGTATCCCATTCAGAACAATGTGTGCTTTCAAGCCAAAGCCGTGGAACAACGTGGTATAGTTGTGTGGACAAATGCCCCTCTCGTACTGATCTAGAGTGATTCTCGCTGCATTCGTCTATATATACTTGTTGATCTCGTTGATCTCATTGAGGCTAATTCGCTGGAGAGAACGGTAACTCCCGTTTTATCCCTTGGAAACTCCTATCGCTTAATCTCGCTCGTTCCTTTATCAACCCTTCACACCCTCCGAGCGACCCCCTCCCGCCCTTCCCGCCCATGCCGCCGGCCTCAGCGCGTACATGCGCACGGGCAGCAACCGCTCGGGAAACCCGGTCTGGCGCAGGGTCTGGACGAGGACCAGGCCGGCCTGCTCGAACAGGGCGCGCAAGTGGCGGTCGCTGCGGGTGACGCTGCACTCGTCCTCCCAGAAGGTGTCCTGGTCCCCCTTGTCGCCGGCGGTCGAGACGTTCTGCTTCACGATGATCCAGCCGTCCGGCGCCGCGAGCAGCGGGATCAGGCTGCGGAAGTAGCGCACCAGCTCGTGCGACGAGAGGAAGTCGAGACACCACTGGTTCCACACCAGGTCGTACCGGCCGGGCCGGGCCCCCTCGCTTCCATGCTCGATTATCGGGGGCTCGCCATTCGTCGTCGGCGGCGGCGGCGTCGAGTTCTCCCAGGACGGAAGCGACTCCGGCGTCCAATTCTGCAGGGGCAAGTTGTACACTCGCCGCAGCTGCCCCGATTTCACCAGCGGCGCGTCCGGCGCGGTCAGCCGGGCGGTGAACTTTTCCACGGGCTCGACCACGTCGATCGTCTCGCACTGCGACGCCAGCAGGTTCAGCGTGACCCGCCCGATCCCCGCGCCGGTCTCGAGGCAGGATCGGAACACGTATTTCGTGGGGGATTTCGTCGGGCTGGTGCCAGTGCCGGTGCCGGTGCTGCTGTCGCCGGTCGATAATGAAGCTGATGATGACGATGATGATTCTTTGTTGCTGCCACTGCCACCATCACCCCTACTCCTCGCTGATGAGACGGGGGGATACAGTCGACGGAGCTTGGCCAGGAAATTGCGAGAGAACTGGATGTCCACGCGCGACAGGTGCCCGTAGCCGCCGAGCATGCCGTCCACGTCGACCGACTGCCGGCCCCAGTACTCGATCTGGCCGGCGGCAGAGACTCGGGCATCGTTCTCGTCCGTCGTCTGTTGTTGCTCGTCAGCCGTCATGATGGACGGATGGATGGATGGATGGATGATTGGGTCGGTCAATGGCACTCGGTTTTCTTGTGGGATTGACTGTCTGGACGGAGCACTTACGAGTTACTGTATTATGTGGCGAGAAGATTCAGGGGGAAAGTCTCCCTCTTTCCACCCACTAATTATGTACTCCGTCTTACGGGCAAATCCGGGTTGTAGCTAATTAGTTATTAGTTTGGCGTGATTCTCGGAAGTCTCGGCGAGATGTGCCAGCCTCCTAATAATTAATAGTATATGTAAGTTCTTTGATCCAAGCTGGATCGAGAAACTAGAAGAAGACACATCAAACCTCGAAAGCAGTGGTTTGGAAGCCACTTGTGCTTTGTTCCTCGGACCTCGAGGAAAATGAAGAGATTGTGAGCTGGCTGAGCTTGGCCTGGGGAATTGCGTGGTCCAGGGAGCACAGAGGAGGTATGTACGCTATGTCCCGGTTTGCCCTTAATCAACACCGTTTGTCCTGTCTCCTATATATCAAATTGGTATCTCAACATGAATCAATTTCTTTCCCGGTAACGCCATTCTATTCATGATCATGTCCCCGTTCATAATTTTTACATGTCTCGGGGGCAGTCAGGCACACCCACACCCCTAAACCAAAACTCGTGATGAAACACGGAAGAAAGCCAAACATCTCCCGCTCTTTCTATGCCAATATATGGATCCAAACCCTCGTAAACGCCTCTTCCTGCCTATTTTCGTCATACCTGAGACGGAAGCGACGGCATAACAATCTGCTCGGCACTGCTGTCGATGACCTCCTTGTAGTGGCCCAGATGGTCCGCTGTCGTGGTCGTGGTCGTGGACTGCTTGCCGTGGAAGCCGGCGTCGGCCCACAGCCGGGCGCCCAGCACGACGCCGGGGTGCCAGACCGTCAGGGCCACGACGGCTGTGATGATCATGGGGCCCTCGAGGATCATGAAGACCAGTTCGTTGTTGGCGAGCGCGCCACTGAAGCCGTCCTGCAGCTCAGCGAGCCGGTAGCACGAACGCGCCGTGATGGTGAGGACGGCGATGGCGATGCCTGAAATAGAGAGAGGAAGAAAGTCAGCAATCTGGAAACTCGGAAACTGAAACCTTTCTGCAGGTTTTGGGGGAAGTCCTTCTCCTGTAAAGAGATATGGGAAGGAAAGCAGCAGCAGAACTTACCGACCAAGAAGCCCTTGAAACGCAGCGTCCTTTGCAGGGCCGCGTGCTCCGGGTTGAGCTTGTTGGGGTTCTTGTAGACCTTCCACGCGAAATGCCCACAGAGGGCCATGAAGATGGCCAGAGACACGACCTGTGACGCCAGTCCGGCAATCATGACATCGACGCCCACCTGGCTCATGTCGTTGTCGGTGGCGCTCGCGGCGATCCCGCCCCCCGTGGCCTGGAGGAGCAAGGACACAAAGTCGCAGGCGACGAAGACGGCGGCGATGGTGCGCGGCTGCAGCAGGCTCAGCTCCAGCGCGTGGATGGTGATGATGCGGCTCAGGCACAGGTAGATGGCGGCTGTCAGGAAGGCCGGGCCGATGGTCAGGCCGATCAGGTAGACGATGAAGGCGTTCTTGTCGAAGATGTCGGCGTTCAGCATCAGCCGCCCAACATAGCCCACCACCTCGAGCACGATCCCGCACGCCATGCCCGCCAGGAACCCCCATGTCCGGTACCGAATTCCCAAGAAGACCTGGAGCAGCAGCAAGAAGCCGAAGATGCCCGTGTAGATGGCGTTGCCGACGAGGGTGGGGATGTAGTCGATCTGCCCGTACTCTTTGATCGAGCATGTCGCGAGCGTGCAGTTGGCGGGAGCAGACATGTTGATTATGGGCTGTGACTTGAAGCGGTAGAGGTTGAAGAAAGAAAGCAGCAAGAGAACGACAGTTGGGATAGAACCTGTGATAGATGTCTCTTACCGTTCAGCCATTGAGCAGTCTGTCCATTGGGTACTTATAGCCAGCAATACATATATCCATCCTCACATGCCACCCCTGCCCTGCCGTTCTCGCAACAGTAGTACAAAGGAGGCTCCCTCCAGAAGCTCATCCTAGCCAGCCAGCCATGCAGCCTTGTTGATCGACGCGTAGCTGCGCCTCAGAACGACACATTGGTGGATCGGTCTCGAGATGTAAACGAGGAGCCGATTTGTGATGGTTGCCGCTGCGGCTGCTGGAGCAGTGCTGGGGTGGGAAGTGGCTGATATTAGTACTGTATGTATATAAGCCAGTAGGTACTCGGTACGGAGTACAGTACTTCGTACCCCGTAATACCCGGCAAAGCTCCGCAGCTTTTGGAGCAGCGTACTTAAGTGGATTAGCCTAGTGACTGGAGAGTTAGGGCGCTGGATGGGGAGGTTTTAGGCCCACGGGTCGCCCGACAACGGCTAGTAGGGGTGCCTGTGTAGGCCTGCCTGTGTAGGGGTCACTAGGCTCCGCCAGCCAGTCTCTCGGGGACCACCCAGGGGGGCTGAATACGGATGGAAATACTCGTATCTCGTATCAACATCACACGATATGAGAAAACAACATCATTCCTATTTCTATCATTTCTGCCCCTGTCACTCACTCCCAGGTACGAAATACAAACAGACCTGCCCCCCTCCACCCATAACCACTAGCAATCAATCTCCCAGCCCTGCTGGCATCAACCCTTGTTTCCCTTCCGGTTCCTGTTTCATCAAGCTGATTTGGTGACGCCAGCGCCCCAAATGAGAGACCACCCCCCCCATGCATGCATGATACGACTGCCTTGACCAAAATACCAACTCCGCCCAAAAGATCTCCCAAGCGTGCTTGACATGGCTGACGAGGCCTTTCGTCAAGGGTGGTTTCCCAGATGAACCCAATGTCCTTTCCTTCCAAACAATATCCCAGCAGATTCCCCTCCTATTCCAATCCCACTTCGCCCTGATGATCATTGATTGAGTCGCCGGAGTTTGAGCGTCGTGTGTCAACTGCATCCTCCAGGTTGAAGCTCCCCAGACATTGGGTCTGATTCGTGTGGCTGAAGATGTGTTCCCGTCCTATCTCTCTCTAACCCGCCATCTCGGCCAGGTATTTGACTCGACGGACCACAGTCTCATCGCTCTGCTCGCCGTCATCAAGACCAAGGGTCGCTGACAACCGGCCCAGGAGCGCTTCGTGTTGTCGGTTCGCGTCGCAGTATTGTTTGTATGCTTGGACGGCCACGGCAAGGTAACGTTTGAGTTCTGGTACGACTTGTCTGACCTGTCCCTGGTGAAAGTTGCACAGGCAGTGGCTGGCGAGCTGACGGAGTTGGATGTCGGTAACAGCGTCAGGAGGACTCGCACTCATGACACGGAGCAGATCACGAGCTACCGCCGCGTTAGAGCCATATTTGTGGTCGATTTCCCAAGAGCATCGCCCGTTACATTTCGTCACTGCTCGACCCAGGCAGATAACGCCGTGCCGGACGATGTCAGTGACTCGGAAGGTGGCATCAGCGTCCCAGACGTAGGCGGCCATGGTTTGGTGGAGCGAGAGAGCTGTTTTGAGAAGAAGTGTTGGAGCGGACAAAGTTTGCTGAGAAGACTGCAGGTGCTGTGATGAAAGTTTGCGTGGATGTGTGTGCAGGACTTCCTCCCGGAGGGAACCAGCTCCTCTTTATAGGAGCTGGGGAGCTCCAGATGGAAGTCCAGAACCAACAACCAAGCGACTGCCCCGTTGCTCAACAAACGGTGCAGAGAAACAAGTGTCTCAGACCTAACAATTGATCAGTCACGAACCACAACGCCACCACAGTCTGTAGGCAGAAGACGCTGGATCCAACAGCATTTCTGTTGTCACTTCGTCTTTCAGGTTCTTCTGGCTAAACGAGAACCTATGCCAGATTGGATGGTGCTGGTCCAAGGACACAAAGCAGATCATGTCCCAGCCCGAAACAGCCACGGCAAACAACATGTCTTTTTGGTCCAGCTGCCTCTGCCCTCCCCTCCGGATTCAGCAGGTACTGCTGCAATGCCTTCATGCGATCTAGCCGTTATAGTGTCTCACATCTTGGACGAAATGGAAATGACGTGACCGTGGTGGAAGGGTTGATGGCCTACCTATTGAGAGACAAAGCCTACAATACAACAGCCTAGCCGGGCCAAAGTTGCAAAGGGTCTAGATTCGACCAGCAACATGCGCACCCACGGTTGAGTGATTGCTGGTGCCTCTGCCTTCTTCCAGCTAATGATCTCACCAGGAGACGTCTCTGCCATCATACACATTCGGCCCTTGCACATTCTCCCAGCCGGGAACGTGGATGTTCTTGTATTTCCCATTGTCCTCCTTCGTGCTCTTGAACAGGATGTCAAGGGTAGCCCGTGCTCCAACCTCGACCGGCAGATCGGCGGCCTGCCCACCCAGGTCTGTCTTCAACCACTAGATGTCGCGAAACGTTTCCCAGTCAGTCAGGCACTCCCAGTCTAACCCGGGGCAAACAACGGGGACAAAGAGAAGGTGGAAGCTCAGCTTACACCGGGGGACACCATCAAGAACGTGAAGCCTTCTTTGCCCAGCTCCAAGGCATATTGCACCGTCAACATGTTCAACGCCGCTTTGCTTATCTTGTAGGACGGGAATGGTGCGTGCACGAACTGGGGAGCCATTGCGATGGATCCGAGAGTGGACGTACTGCACAGGTCAGTCAGTCATAGTTCCCCGTCGTCGAAATCACAGATGGATGGACGGTCCGTGTAAGACTCACACATTCAACACCTGCTTCTTTCCCCCTTTGCGCAGGAGGGGCAGAAACGCCGCCGTGATGTCGTGGACAGCCTCCACATTTACCTTGAACGCATACTCCAGGTTATCCATGGCCGTGATGCCCTTCACGGAGAGTGGGCAGACGCCGGCATTGTTGACGAGGACGTCGAGCCCCTTTCCGGCAAGAGCCTTGTCGACCTGAGACGCCGCTGTCTTGATGCTGTCCTTATCCGTGATGACCATCGGTAGGTGCACGACCCTCCCGTTGGAGCCATTGATGAGCTGTTTCAAGGTATCGGGAGGAGCAGCAGTTCTCGTGGCTGCGAAGATGGTCGAAACTTGATCCTCAGGCAGCTTGGAGAGCTGGGAGACAAGTTCGAGTCCCAGCCCGCGGTTGGCACCGGTCACAAGGTAGGAAGACATTGTTCTTTGTGGTCACGCCTTACTGCTGGCCATTCATTGACAATGACACTTTGCGAGGGGAAGACAACTCTCGACCGAACAGTCCTTTTAGTTTGAAAACGAGCCCCAACTCCAGCAGGGACTACTATATGAGTATATATATATATATATATATACCCCGCGTTTTGATGGCAACACAGCCCATACGTCGACACACATCCCTTATGTGTGTTTCGGTGCTTCGGAAGTATCGTCGTAAACTCCTGGCTTGTCAGCCTTGCGGGCAGCCCATGTCGCACAACAACCCTGCCGTGCGGAGACAGGCGCGTTGAATTCGGCAGACAAGCTCTATGTACTCTGTACGGAGCTAACCGTCCACACCAGGACGGGGAAATCCTGCTCGGATATAAGAAAAGAAGTTCGATGGCTATGTAATCAATTTGCATCCCATTTTGTACCAAATCTATGTGTGTGGTGGAGTCTTCAGTTCGTTGCACGCATTAGTCATCAGGCGTTGGATTCCCGACCTTCACTTCGGGACAGATCAACTTTTGATCCCGAGCTGGAGAATGTGGTCCACCATCAACTGACTTGCTCCCAGGTAATTGGTCGGGTCACAGAGCTGCTTCAGCTGCTCCTCGGACACGTAGACCGCGACGCTAGCCCGGTCTTTCAAAGCATCAAACAACGCCTTGTCCTTTTCGATCGACTCCTTGCAAGCCTCGTAGACTAGGTCATGCGCCTGCTGTCGGCCTAAGAACGGAGCCAGACCCATCATCACGGCTTCCCCCACAATGAGACCCCTCGTGGACAAGAGGTTCTTCATCATGGCGTCCGTGTTGACCACGAGGCCGCTCAGCGCGAAATTGGTCTGGTGCAGGGCTCCCACGGCCAGGACGAATGCTTCCGGCACGGCAACCCACTCCAAGTGCCACGGGCCGGACGCCCGCTCGAAATCCGTGACCATGGCGTCCAGCGCCAGCCCCGCATTCGCACGGAGGAGCTTGGACGCTGCCAGGATGACTTCGCTCGAGATGGGGTTCCGTTTCTGTGGCATCGTCGAAGATGCGCCCCGGTGGGGGACGAACGGTTCCGATGCTTCGCTTAGTTCATTGGACGACATGAGGATCAGGTCGTAGGCGATCTTGCCTAGCGAACCTCCCACAAGGGCGAGGAAGTTGATGATTTCCGCCACGTTGTCCCGCGCCACGTGCCAGGTGATGCTGGGGTTGCCGAGACCAAGCTCCTTTGCGAGCTGTTCCCTGACGCGGAGACCCGTGTCGTCGGATCCCAGCGAGGCCAGCGTCCCAGCTGCACCGCCGAATTGGACGAGAAGGCACCGGCTCTCGATTTCCTGGAGACGCTCAGAGTGACGAAGGATGCCGGAGAGATAGACGGCGCATTTGTAGCCGAACGTGCAAGGCAAAGCATGTTGAAGATGCGTTCTGCCGGCCATGGGCGTGTCGCGGTACTTCTTGGACAGACTTCGTAGTATGTTTTCGAGTTCCTGCAGTTGGCGTTTGACGATCTCCAGCCCCTTGCGCATCTGGAGCACGGACGCAGTGTCCATCTGCACCGATTTGTGAGAATTAGAGCACCGACAGCCATTTTCATAGACATTGGCCTGTCCTACCGACAGTCCTGCAAACATGGTGACTTACAATGTCTTGCGTAGTGGCCCCCCAGTGGATATACTTGCCCATCTCCCCGGACGCGTAGTCAACGAGCTGCCGCACCAGAGGGAGGACCGGGTATCCCACGATCTCCGTCTCGCGCGAAAGACGGTCGAAGTCGAGACTGGCACCCCGCAAAATGAGCGCCGACTATCGTATTATGCAGGAATAAGAGTTAGCGAGTGGAACTCACCGAAAGCCTTCCTCTGTGAGCTTGGTGGTGAGGATCTCTCCCGCTTCGATTGGAATAATTCCAACCTTGGATTGCGCCCGGGCAAGGGCAAGCTCCACGTCGACCATTTGCTGAGTATACGCTTCATCGTCGAAGACGGCCCGGATCTCTTGGGTGCCAAAGAGGTTCTGGAAGAGGCGGGAGTCAAGTGCCGAGACCGACATTTTTTTTTCTGACCAGGTACGAGTCTTGTTTCTATGCTTGCTTCAGTTGAATGCACCTTTTCTCTATAAAGGAGGAGGAATGCGAGAGAGATTATAGGAAATTGGCCGGAGAATCTCCTGAATTGACTGCCTCTTTGTTTATGCTGGTGCGGGGTTCGCAGCCTCGCGCGGGGAAGCTTTGGTCAGGCGTGGCAGCCTTGCCTGTCACGTGCCAGCCTTGGAGTGCAACATGTTCGATTATCAGAATCAGTTTCTGGAAACGAGTCTGAATTGATATCTGTCGGGCTGGTACGTGGCCTGGACTCCAGAAACAGAAGTCTGAGCAGTTGCTGTGGTGTTGTTCCCCTTTTTTTCAGCACAAGTCTGGCACGCACACGCAAAGTCTTGAAAGTCTTGGCGTGAAATCCCCCGCCCCGCTGCTGCCCTTTTGCCGTCAGATTCTCAACCACTTTTTCGAGTCATTTTTCCAACACCCAAATTCACCCAGTTCCTCATTCTGCATCTCAGATCGACGTCTCCTCCAATCATCATCCGCAGCTGCTTCTCTTTCGGGCTATCTTGTGTACTACGACGACAGCATCTAGCAGCAACAACTCCTGACGAGATGAAACCGAGATAACAGTCACATTAAAGCTCGTGCTCGGCCCTACTCATTATCGACTCATGCCCTGACATTCACAAGCCACAGAGCCACCATCAACCTGGGTCACGTGTGCTCTTAAATATGCTCCTCGTGAGGACCCTGCATCAACACGACCTGATACACACCTCTTGATCGAACCATCTCGGCGGCTTTGGGACGACTTTTTTACGATGCCGCCCAAACCACCTCCCCCTAAGCCTCGGGCAGGTCAACATCGCCGGCCCAACTACCATGGTCGTATCCAAGGTCTGGGCAGTCCGGCACCAAGTTCTCTTCGAGCCTCGACCCCTACACTCGTGCGAGCACCCACACCGGTCAGCCAGCCTCCTGCCCGATCAAAGCCTCTCTGCCCCAACCCCGACTGTCCTGATCGGACCAAGGTTGTCTACAGCGACCAAGGACTCATCTGCGAGAGTTGTGGTGCCCTCGTCCAGGAAGAATCCGGCTTGGTCAGTGAGCAGGGATTTGGCGAGACCGAATCTGGCCGTATTACTGCCCTCGGTGTCCAAGTTGGTGAAAACCAATCTCATCAGAGGACCTTTCATGGGGGTAACTTCGGAAGTGCTGGCCGCGAAGCCCCCCAAAATCGCGAACGCTCAAAGGCCCAGGCCAAAAACATCATGGCCTCGTACATAGCTCTTCTTGGCATTCGACACTCCGAGGTCGAGGCGGCCGAGAGACTCTTCGATCTCGCAAACACGGTCGGCTTTATCCAAGGAAGAACCATTGAGAGTGTGGCCGTCACTTGTCTCTATGCCGCCTGTCGACGCAAGACCGAGCAAGTCGAGGGTCAACCCAGACCCATGTACAGCCTCATGTTGATTGATTTTGCCGAGAAAATGAATATGGATGTTTTCGCCCTGGGCCGGGTGTACCAGGACCTCGTGAAAAAGTTGTATCTCGCGCGGGGGTTAGGCCATCGATTGGATGGCTCGGCCGAGTTCTGGGGAATGGATCCGGCCACGCTTGTACCCCGGTTTGTCGACGAGCTGGATTTTGACAAGCACGATCGCGACAAGATCAAACGTGATGCCATCAATATCGTCAAGCGAATGAAGCGCGACTGGATCGGCCATGGCCGCAGACCGTCGGGTGTCTGTGGTGCGGCGGTCATCCTGGCTGCTCGAATGAACAACTACCGTCGCACCACACGCGAGGTTGTACTCACCGCCAAAGTCACCGAAATCACCATCAACAAACGGCTCGAGGAATTCCACGACACACAGGCCAGCAAGCTCTCCGTCACCCAATTCCGGAGCGAAGGAATCCCCCAGGCCTACACACCGCATCCGCTCGACGAGCAGCATCCGCCTATCATCAAACAAGCACTGAACCCCAAATCGAAAAACAAGAAGAGGGGCCGACCGAGAAAGGCTCCTCTTCCCGAAACTGCCGCCGAACTGGAAGGCGATGCTGCTACGAGCACCGGACTTCAAGCTGGTCAGGTATCGGGTGAAGGGCAGCCACCACCGGCGAAACGAGTTCGCATTGACGCACAAGGTTACAAGATTCCAGAGATCCCGGCTCGACGGAACGTCATTGATCCGGCCCTGACTCAAGGCGAGACACCATCATCACAGGGTGTGGAGGGTCAAGAGAACTCAGACTCTGCGCGTCCTCGACAGAAGAGACACAAATCTGCGCACTGGAAAGCACCACCTGCATCGGAGGCTGAAATTGCGATCGAGAACGAAATTGAAGAAGGCATTGCAGAAGCACTACGAGAAAACCCGGACCTCGATCCAAGCTACCAGCCTCCTCCTCTTCCTGGCGAAGGGCAACAGTCCAGTGGTGGCCAGTCTATCGAATCAGGGGAGGAACAAGGACCACAATCAACCGCCATAGATTTCACGGTCGATCCAACTCAGACGGTTCCTCCGCACCCGAAAGACAAGAAATCTGGACCACCGTGCAACACGAATATCGGCAACCTTGGCCTCATCTCCCTGTCTCCAACTCTCAAAGCCACAGAATTCGACTCCGACGAAGACATTTCCACATGTCTCTTGTCTGAGCAGGAGACCCGCGTCAAAGAGAGGGTGTGGGTGAGTATGAATGCCGATTGGTTGCGGCAGGATCACGCCAAGAGGATCAAAAAGGAGTTGAAGGAGGCAGACATGAGGGCGAGGGGCTTGGACCCCGAGCAGGAGGAGAGGAGAAAGAAAATGGAGCGGATGAGGAGAAAGGATGGGACGAAGAGACCGGGACGTCGGGGAGATGTCAGCTATTTGAAGGAGCACCGGGAGGGGAGAAAGCGGGGCAGAGGCCAGGAAGGCGAGAGGGATGCCGGAGGAGGTGACGCGGCGGGCGGAGAGGTCGAGCATGAGGGCGACGGAGAAGCAGCAGAGGAAGAAGACCACGACAACACCACTGTCGGTGGGAGAGAAAGGAGCGCCGCGAAATCCATGAGGCTGATGCTCATGAACCGCAGAACCTTTTCACGCCGGATCAACTACGACGCGCTCGAAGCCATCTACGGAATGTCAACCAGCGAAGACAGCGATTCGCGTAGCGTTACCGGCGAGGCTCGAAGCCGCAGCCAGAGCGTCGCACAGAGCGAGACCACCGCGACCCCGGGGCCGGACGGCGAGCGGGAGCTGCGGGAAGGAAGCAGGGAAAGCAGCGTCGTAAGCACTGCCACCTTGGGGCCGTCAGCACTCTTTCGCGGGAATGTCGGCAGAGACAGAAAGGCCTCGATTCTTGCCGCAGAGCGCAGGGCCAAGAAGAGCCGAGAGAGACAGGACTTGCAGAAAGTGGGGACATCTGCTGCTGCTCGTCGCGGAGGAAGCCAAGAGAGCGATCGCGAAGCGAGCAGGTCGTCGTCACGGAGTCGAAGCACGAGCACGCCTGCGACAGGTGACGAGGGAGAAGGAGAGGAAGAGGCAGAGGCCGACAAGGGGAGAGAACGCGAGGCCAGCGGACCGAGCCCTGAATCTGAATCCCGGAACCAGCCGCAACAACTCCCCTCTCCACCAAGAACACAGTCGCAGCAGATTCCTGAGATCAAGGCGTCAGTCGCTCCCTCGTCCGGGGTGCCGCAGATCCGAAGCACAGGGAGCAGCTTTGCGCCGACGCCGGCACGACAGTCCACCGCTGCTGGAGAACAGAGCTATAATAATACCCAGCCGAATGACGACGACGACGACGATGATGATAACGATGAAGAGGAAGAAGGAGAGGGAGAAGAGGGAGAAGCAAGCTACGATTCAGACGACGGTTCAGACGATGACGACGACGACGATGGTGGTGGTGGTAGTAATGGCGAAGCCGACGAAGATGTCGACGCTGCGTTCGAGGGCCGCTATGTTGGTCGATAGCTATATCAGTCAGCAGTCTAACTCCTCTGTCTATCCATCAACCAGTCGGGTCAGTGGGTCAGACAATCAGATTGACCAGGTGGTCGAGTAGTCTCCAGTCTATGTATGTCCTACCGTCGGGGTTCGATGCCAGATACATACCAGGGAAGGAAGGCGGGCTGGAGCAGGGGTGGCGCTCGTTACCATGAATGGATGAAAGAATGAATTGGTGATCTTGGATCAGTAGCAACAACCCCCGTCTAGTAAGTAGCCAGCTGTCTCAGATACCTATTAATGACCCAAAGACCCAAAGAAGGATGAGACCTATCATGAGCGTTCAATCATTCATTCGTATGGAATGGCGGAAAGCAAGAAGCCACAAAGAAGCCGGCCTTTTTTTGTTTGATAGAAACTTGAGCTACCTGACTTGACTTATCAAGAAAGCAGTTCCCGTGACGACCTCGATGACAAACAAACAAACAGGAAGTGATCTCTACTATTTCGACCGCTTGATGATTCCAACAACCCGGATTTCATCAATCCATGTTCATGAAGATGAGATGGTACATTCTAAGAAGTTCACTTGGCGTTAGTAAGATTCGCGTTTCAATTCGACCTCAACCATGGATCATGGAGAAGCTCTTTCGCAGAGCTCCTCCTTTCCGGGGCCCATTGCAGCATCTTCCTCAAGAATGTCATGAACAACTCCTTTCGACTTCCCTCAAGATTTGCTTCTTGCGTCTTCCAGCGATGTGGCTGGAATGCTAATTGCGCCCTTCCAATGACCTACCTCATCGACTATCTGACAGAGTGCGTGATATGGAAGTTCTGGCCAGAGAGGTCCATGTCCTCTACCACGGAGGTCGTATACTGAAGGAGTCCTGATGGCAGCATATGTTCGTTGAGGGGCGTTAAATTGGAGGACGAGGAGACCCTTGCCTGGCCGACCCTCGTAGCTTATTTTGGTTCACCACCTGAGTTATTCAGGCTGCAACAGCACTGGTAACGGCAATAGAGCCACGGTCAAGGGGATGTGGCATAGGCTCGTTACGCTAGTGTGCTATTATATCGACAGACAGAAGGGAAGTCTTGGCCGGGGCGGCTCTTGCAAGGCGTTAGTGGCCCTGCTTAGGCGCTTGCTGCTGCCAACCCGATGGGTCGCTGAGGCTCACTAGGCTGACTCCGGCCTTGCGCGGCGCCAAGAGGCAGCCCAGGCAGCCTCAGCGACCGGCCCGGGCAGCGCCAGCGTTAAATGAGGCATGCGAAGTCCTTGGCGGAAGTGGGATGAAGTTGTTGGTGTTGACTCTCTCGCCTCCCTCCTCCCTCCTTTTGTCCTTTCATGATTCTGTCGAATTCCCATCTCCGCTCGATAGGCCTTGTACAAACAATGGTTCTGCCTGGCTGGCTTGATGACTCTCGGAATCCCACTCTGTGGATCACGACCATCTATCCTCTTCTCATTTTCGTTCTCGCCTATGCCTGCTACTTCCGAATGCAGGCCTTGATTGAAAGCTTCCCGCTCCCCCCCGATGATTCCGCAGACACAAAAGAAACCGAAACCGAAACATTGGAGGTCGGAGATGCCTCATCCGCAGACTACGACATGGTGGCGGATGATGCAACAATGACAACAGGACATGCGATTAAACCTAGCTCGTCCACCGAAGCTCCAGATCCTCGAGTTGTATCCAAGAGGAACGAATCGACGACACCCAAGCAAAAATCAAAAAGGCCCTCTCTACACACCAAATACGTCCAAGGGTTTCTCATCTACGGCCTACAAGTATTGCTAACCCATCGACTGGGAGTCCTTGCTGTTAGCCGGGCGCATGAGAGCCACAGCTTTGCTGCCAAATTGATAGGATCCCTGGCGTTCTCTTTCGCTGCTTTCTGCGTCTTAATGTCTTCTGGAAATCTTGATATGTCAAGAGGAGTGATTCTCCGGGGTTACCGCTCACCTGGTCGCTCACAAAACATCTGTGACCAGTCAGACCCTTGGAGTATATTTGGTACCGTCCTCCTGCTTACTTTGGTCGTGCCATGCTTCAGACTTGTCTTGAGCTTCATATGGTGATGAGGGCGAAGGGGAAAGACCGATCATTGATGCCAAAAGCAAGCGGCAAGGCTTGACAAGGTTGGGCATGTCCAATAATCAATATTAATGCATCAAGTTACCGCCACCTGGATTATCTCGCTTGATACGAGGGGGGGGGATCAATGGGCGAGACTAACGTTACAGCTACTTCTGATTCTATAACTTCTCAAAGCTGGATTGGATGAATATCTTATGGTCAATATGGAGAAGCTCGTCTGACGGGACGATCAATATCCAAGGCCTTGGCCCTGACCTCTCACTTTCAAACGAGGCCTAACTGGTTGATAAATAGTTAAACAAGTCAGGGGGCATGCCGCCAAGCAGACCACCGCTCTGTCTCCAGGTTGATCGCTGGCCTCCGTCTGCCTTTCTCCTATCGACCAATTTCGTTCAGCCTCATGGGTTCTTGCGTTCTTAGTGACGGAGAGGTTGTCCAGATGTCACAACGGCGATGAGAATCTTCCTGACGTTCGAAGCCACAGACTGAGCGCCACAGACTGAGTGGACGCAGAGTGGTCAGGATAGCTACGGATGTCGTCGTGAAGTTTGGACAAAGAGACGACAATGAAAGGAAAAGAGGAAGAGACGTATTGTCATACAGAACTAGGAGATTCAGTTGACCCTATTTAGCAACGTACATAGTAGGGCACCCCTCTTAGGGATCCCACCTTTTATCAGGGCCGAAACGGCCCATCCTAGATATGAAGGGGTAAACTTACCATTAAGGCTAGATGTGCGTAACGTTGGCGCCTATAAGACTAGAGCCCGAAAGGGAGGCCCACTGGCACGTGAGGGAGTACGACAGGAGTGGGCCAAAGCCGTGAGAGAGCAGTAGGGAGCAGAAGGGGTGCGAGTCGACGAAATAGTCGTTGGCGCGAGAGAGTCAGCGAGAGAGTAGTGGGCAACGACTGTTCGAGGTTTATATACAGCTATATATATATATAGGACAGAATAGTTCAATACCATCCTACCTTTCGAAGGCACATAGAGTATGTCTGATTGTTCGGCTGTTATGCGAATCCAATGTACTGTATCCATTGAATCCAAGTCAATCCTGTCCACTCTTTAAGGCCTCAGAGGTGTGGTAGTATTCCCTGTCCATGCCTCATCTGGATCTATACGCGTATAAAAACCATACACGCTTCGTAACCGTTGTCTCGTCTCGTCTCGTCTCAATGGACTCAGTCAGCGTGTCTTTTGAACCACATTCCTCTTCGTCTTCTGCAGATCATCCCCGTTTGTTCACGTGGAGGACAAAGAAGTATCAATGAGACAAGCAGGAGTGATTGAGAGTGCTGTTCCACGCTCCGTTCCAAACCCTCTGCAGGGAAGACGTTAAGATCTTGGGCAAACGCTGGGCCGCCCAGTGCTTTCGAAGACATCTCGCTAGGCTCAGCCACAATGTCCCCTTATTAGACCGATATCAGAATCGCCTCTTTGCCTCTGGGCGATGGGCTCCTCTCCGCCGCGTAGTGGAACCCAAGACGCGAACAGGAGGTTCTATACCTGTTCCCTGTGGAAAACGTAATCCCCGCAGCAAGGCGTAGTCGATGTGGCTGTTATAACAATTCCAACACTCTGGCGAGGCTACGGGGACTTATCGCGGTCGTTGTGTGCGTGAGCCTTTTATACCGATATTGTGCCGGTAGATTTGATATCGTGTGTGTATATCCCAGATTTCTAGGATCAGTCCAACTGGGGGATGGTCGTTCCAGTTGCGTTTCGGGTCGTATATCGTCATACCTGTTCCTCTCTCAACAACTTCTTTCTCATGTGTTGCGCTTGTCCCCATCTTCTGTCTCTTCCTCGGTCTCTTCTTCTATACTCTGGGCACTCGGACCCCTCCTGTGTCCCTTGTGGCCCTTGTTCTTTTCGTTCCCCAGGTCATCACTATCCTGCTCTTCTCGCCCCGTGCCCAATCCAATCCCTCCGCTCACGAGATCTCTCAAACTCATCCTCCGTGCCCGGTCGCGAAGGCTAGGCGCTCGGGGTCTGTGTTCCCCGCGGGCCCGTCCACCCCAGACGGGCACCTCGTGCCAGATCCGCCGGCCGATGTAGTACAGGACGTCGTAGAGGATGGCGATGAGCCACGGCGCCATGTTGATGATCGCCAGAATCAGCTGGTGGCACGTTCATTGGATTAGTGTCGGAAGACATTGGCGGCAAACATCAGAGAAGGAAGAGAAAAACGGGTATGAGTAAAGCATAGCAGAGTGGGCAGGGGCGCCAACTTACAAACGCACGAACAATCCATGTTTCATAGGTGGTCAAATGGGACGGAAGAAGCGAGTACCACGCCATTATTATTGTCTCGGTCGGTCGACCGCGCAGGGGTATCTTTCGAGGCACAATAGTTTTCCTGAGCAGTTTCTGAGTAAGAGGTCTTACAGGGACCCGAACACGACGGGCCTCAAAAAGTGTCTCGAGTCAGGATGCGGGATTCGGGACAAAGTCGAAAAATGTTGTCGCGCCACCGTCCAGTCTCAAGCACTGACAGATACTACTCTAGACGGAGGAGAATCGCCCGTGCGACATGGTTCAGTAATGGCACCACAGCCCGGACCAGCCGGCTGAGCAGTTGCAGCAGAGACGTGGGTGGTGGTGATGGTGGTTGAGGCAGGTGCAGGATGGGATTTCACGTATCTCCTAGAGTTGTCGTGGGTCTCGATCGTGGAATAACAGGGGCCAACATACTCGTCGATGTCGATGCTGTCTGTCTAGGTACATACCTACTGTACGGAGTAGGCTCGCCTGGGATGTGCTTCTCCGCAGCGCAGGCCACAGGCAGGCTTGGCGACTGCAGCGAATGACATCATGTTGCTCAGCACACAACGGCACATTCCGTTAAGGCCCCGGAGTCGAGTCGAGAGATTTATCAATAATTCACGCCAGTGCGTTAACTTGCAATCAAACAAACAAAGAGCATTCATTCCACCACTCTCTATGGGACATCTTAGACAATTGTCTTCGGAAACGTGAATAATCCCTGTCATCTCCTCTCGAAAAACACAAACCTGGCAAACATGAATTCCCCTTCATGGTAAAAACCCTCCCACCTCCTTGGTATCATAGAACTTGCACACTTTCTTTTTTCCCTAACCGTCTTTTTCTTTTCAATTCGTGTGTCAAGTCAAAAGCCAATCGAGAGACCCATTGTTGCAGAGGGACTCGGGATAACAATGCCCACCCTTGAAGCTCGACGCCTTTGTTCGATCCATAAAACAGTACATAGCTCGCCGCGGAAAAAAAGACGGCCGCACGTGGAGACATGGAAAACGAGACTATCATGTCGTCGTTATTTCATCAAGTCATAAGCCTGCGCTTTTTCTTCGCAGGAGTCACAGGATCGGAAGCTCGACCGTGATTGGGGTCCCGCATCCGCTGCACAGGCGTTACCCCTTTGTAGTGGGATGAGGTGTATGGCGAGACATGGTTCTTCCTCCGGCGGCGTGAGGGTGCGGGTGTTGCCAGAGGCGAACTTAAGTAGTCCATGTCCAAATATGACGGCAGTTGACTCATGGCTGCAAACGCTGGATCGGCGTTGCGCCGGAATGCCGTCACATTGCCATTATCGAGATGGGCGAAATCATTGCTTAAAAGTTCGTGGTTGGGAGGGACGAAGATGGGCGATGTGGGAGCGTCACTGTCGTCGGAGCCACTGTCGAACTGGATCACATCGGTGAGACTGATCACATCTTCCCCGAGCCCATCGGTGTGGAAGTCTCCCGCTAGGTCACCATGGTCAACATTAATATCGTCAAAAAAGAAGCTGTTGGACGGGTAGAACGCTTCCAAGGGGCCCACAGCCTGCCCCTGGTTGAACGGGTCATTGATGGCAGAATTGAAGCTGGCGAGCATGATGTCTGCGGCCGGCATAGCCAGAAGGTCAGTAGAGTCGCGATCACCCACGTCGCTCTCCTCCATGAGCTCTGCAAAGCCAACGTCTGGACTGGACGTCTGAGACGCTCCATAGCGACGCGCGAACTCTTCCCCGAGCAAGTGAGGATTGGTCATGAGAATGATCTTGCCTGAAGGATCGAGGATGCCAGAGGTCTTGTCACCTTCGTCAATAAAGATGCCGCGAGGGGGACCTCGACGACGAGCTGGCTTCTTGCCCGCTTTCTTAGCTGGCGGGGACGTCAAGGGCGACATCTCTTGCTCTTCCACGGCTGCATGGGGAGTGCTTTGAAGGGCCTCCTCCGGCAAACAATCGTCGGTCAGATCAGCTGCAGGGCGTTAGTCATCATGCACATGGGACAAATCACAGCATCAACATACAGTCATCTAGATCATTGACCAGCCCGCCGATGCGTCTGTCAGCACCGGGGTGCGATAATCCAGAGTCTGGTAGTGCTGAGGGCAGCAGGGCACGAGTAATGGTAGGCGATTCTGACATGCGCAAGAACATGCCTGGATCGGCATCCGTGGCAAAGTGCACTCGCCTTTCCGGGGCGGTTTCAGTGGCGCTGTCACTACCCTGAGATGAGGGAAAGCGGTAGATAGAGCCCTCACTGTCGTCTCCAAATCCGTAGGCGGACAGGCCATCAATCTGGTTGAGAAGGAAGTCGGCGTCACTTTGACCTTCCTCGGACAGCATGGCGAGCAATTCCTGCTCTTGGAGCTGCTGTCCATCCCCATCGTCATCCGAATCACTAATATCATCGACCGCCTGGTAGACATCGTTGTCGTCGTCTGAGTCCGCAAAGATCCTTTCTTCAAACCGCTTCCTGTTCTCTTCCGGGGAGAGGGTGGGGTCTTCATCGTCCTCAAAGTAGTTTTCAAAATCACCGAACATGCTGTCGGCACTGCTCGCGAGGGACCTGGTGTCCCGTGGAAGGGATTGATACTGTCGCCCCGCCCCATTCAATCTCCGAGAACGAGACGGGGCTTTTACTGCTGGCAGGTCGTCTTCATCATCGGCTTCATCCTCACTGTCTTCGTCCGAGGCATCGTCTGCGGTCTCCGACCCGAAGGCGGACGAGAGGTCCCCCTCCGAGGTCGAGCTGTCTGCTCTTTTCCTTTTGCCAGACGATTTCTTTGTCACTGTGTATTTGCGAGCAGGCCGACCCCTCTTTTGCTTCGGTTGATATGTGTCATTGGGGTGTTCTTTGGACTTGGAGAATTTGATAGTGGTACCCAGCATGGGCTGGCGACCACGCGAGTTGCGGGTGTAAAGGCGAGACATTGTCCTTTTTGGAACGCCGCAGATTCTGTAATAGTTCAAGGGAGGGAGTGCAGATGGAAGTATGTAGGTGAGATATCAAGAATGGCGGTGGGGGGGAGAGTGGGCGGAAGAGGTCGTCCGGGAGGTGAAAATATCGTGCTCAGCACCCTTTTGTGTCGCAAGGACAACGAGGTGCCGTTCTGGTGTGCAAATAGGGCAATTTCGAGGACAGTAGTGGACGGGAGCTCCTACGCGGTAGAGCCTCGAAAGAGTAGATATCGAAACGAGGATTTGCTGGAGCTGCTTGACTGGCCACGAGAGAAGGGCCCCCTCCCGAGGGCGGAGAGGGGACCCCCCCGGCCGTCTAGAAAGCAGCGAAGGCCATGAGCAAAAGATGATCCTCGAGTGATATGTAGGGAGATGGTAGACTTTGTATGCTTGGACAGGTAATAATGGGCTGGTTTGGTGAAGTTTGGCTGGGTTGGGAAGCAAGAGGAAAAGAGGAAAGGGAAAAATAGGTGAGAAGTAATAAAATGCTTGGGACTCTTGCCAGGGCTCAGGGCACCTCCGGGCGGCCTCCACCAGTGGGCGGCGGGCGTCCAGGCGGAAAGCATGCCACGGTTTAGTTGAAGAGACTAAATGCTAGTCACCTATTGAGGCACAGTACCGCACAGTACCGAGTCGGGTTTACAATGCTGTAAACTCCACAGCCTGCAAGGCCGGATCTCAGAGCCTGCACACCGCTATTCCTGGCTCACTCTGCGACTGGACCGTCGAGGGTCTCTCTACATTGAGGGCTACGTAGATGTGCACTATTGGCTAGCACACTTGCATCCAGGATCATTCTTGGGGGCACTGTTGGGCCTTTGCATATCTCTTTCACTTGAGGGTTTTCTGGTGACTTGGAAATGTGATAATCATTCCTCCGGCAATGGCAAAGAAGAGAGAAAAAAAAAGTCAAAAGGGCAAAAAAAATATCAGATGTTGTTCTCCATCGGCCCCTCGCGTGCCTCACAGCAACCACCAATCACAGCGCCATGCCATGGTGGGCAGTGACTCCAACAGACTCCAATGACTCAATGGGTCGACCAGGCCCCTCGTCTCTCTCGCCGGGTATAAAACTCAATTTGTGGGGAGTTTGCGCAATACCTCATTCGTCGTCAATCTCCTGGTAGTACGAGCAGAGTCCGAAAAAATCATGATATTGATAGTCATTGCTGAGTGTCGTAGAGAGTCATCGCCGTGGTCGTCTCGGCGGCAAAATCCTATGTAGCCCATTCCGAGTCATCCCAGCCCCGTCCGGGTCCCTCCATCCTCATGGGCGCAAGCCACCAGTCGGCAAGTTGAAACAAAGGTGAGAAATGAGACAAATGGAAGGAAGAAAGAAAAAGGACTCCCAAACAGTTCCCCACCCGCCTCCCATCGCTTTCATCAAATCGGTAAATCGTCACGCATACATTCTCGCATGCTCCCTGATCAGCCCGACCCTATCCCGGTTCATGACGCTGCCGCGGTCGTGGGAGGAACCACCTTGGGCTCCACTTCCACAGGCTGGTCTGCCACCTCCACCGCTTTCTTTGCGGCCTGAACCTCTTCCATGCCAGCCTGCACATCTTTGATAGAAGCCCCTTTCTCGGCAGTCGTCGTCGGATATTCATCGGGATGATCTGCCTTGTAGTCAACGTCCAGCTTCTGCACCTCCTCTTCCGTGAGCTTGCGTTCCTTTTCCAGCCGGACCTCTCGACCGCGTTTATGACAATACCAGAAGACAAAGAGTAGCACTGCGCAAGAAAAGATGTTAGTCGAGAAGCTGAAGCACGCCAGCCGCCCGGAGGAAGTCCTTACCAAACAGTGCCAGTGACCACAGCACATTCATACCCATGAAAGCTGGGAACCGCGCCCGGAGATAGTTCATGATTGACCTGAGTGCTGCTGTAATGGCGGTTGGCTTACCCACCAATTCCTTCAAGGACGGTGTCTTGAATCCCATCTTCTTCGCCGCTGCAGCGGCCTTGCCTGCGTTCTCCATATTGACGCCGCTCTTCTGAGCCCTCTCCGTGGCGGCTGCCATCATTTCAGGCGCGAAACCCTTGGTCATGGTCTCAGGGAGTTTCTCGATGAGCTTCTGCAGAAAGCTGGGCAGTGAATTGAAAGTCTTCTGCAACTGTCGGTCGCCATTCGTCAGCAACTTTTCCAAGTCGTCGTATGCGGTCGGCACGCCGTTGACCAGATCTTTGAAGATCAGATTGAACTTCTGTAGCAATTCTTGCGTTTCGTCACTGATGGAGAAGACGCGGTTATTGACTGCTGCCAGGTTGAGCCGTTCCAGCACGATGGTCATGTCCTCTTCCTCCTGCTTGGCCTGTTTTTCTTCCTCGCTGTCTTCCAACTCGCGCTTTCTAAGACTCGCAGCGATGTCTTCTAAGCCAGCCGCAGTGGCTTCGTTCTTTTGGCGCTTGGCGTCTCGGCTGTCCCGTCTAAGCCAGCTCCACGTGGCCCTGGATCTGGATGGAGCATCCTCTGTCGGCCCCTTTGTATCTCCTTGGATTATGGAAGGTTCTTCGCTCAGTTCATTTGGAGTCTCGGGAGGCAGGGGAATGTTCTGGGCTCCGTCCATCAGGGCGATCTGTGCATCCTTGCCGACAGCCAGCGCCCCTGGCCGGACTGGGAGTGGAGGGGGATTTTCTTGAGATACAATACGATCCAGGAACTCCTCATCCTCCTCAGAGAGCACGGGTGTGTCTGACTTGCGTGCCGTTGCGAGATGGGCCTTGGCCTTGATGTAATTGATATATTCCATTGCCATGACGCTCCCTCACGAGTCAGAGTAGTGGTTGGGGCAAGTCTAAGAGGCTTATGCCCCAAGGAGAGAATGAAATTAGGGCGTGCGACCGAAGGACAAGAATATCAAAGTATCAATAGTGATCCAAACGGAAATGCATCCATGCTGAAGCCATATCGAGGGTATTGAGGGGTGGTGTTCAGAGGTGTTTGCGCCACAACGACGTCATGATCAGACGTTGGCGCAGCCATGCCCCTACCAGCCAATCAGAGTAGCCGTGTTGGCTGTGGTCTATGAATTATGAATAACGCGAGGAGAGAGCCACCCGTAGGAAACGAAGGGCAACTTCACGACAGATACCATGGTTCAGGGGTTTCAAAGCACCTAGAGTGCATCTGCATTGTGGTCATGGACGCTCAAAGCGATCCATGGGAGAGGAGGAGTGCAAGTTGTGATACTGGACAAGGGAGAATCTCAAGGAAGGACTACAATCAGACTCCATTGCGACAATACTTGGGATCAAGCAGTTCTTGGTCTAGCCCTGTCACTCTCGAGGGGTTGGAGACTTCACCAACCAAGGGTGCGGCAGTGTTTGTCGCATCGACCTCACCTTCACTTACCATGCGCTTCATCCCTAGCTGCCTCTTTTTGGCCACAAGCGACAAAAGGTTTCAGTCAGTCTAACAGTCCTTTCTTGATACCTCATTTCCGATCGTACCGCGCCTCCATTCCGTGATTAACCAGATTTCTCGCCTCTTTAGACGACGAAGATGCCGGCCGACACCCAATACTACGAGGCGCTCACGGCGCCGCGCGAGATGGAGAGGCGAACCCTCACATTCCGTGGCAAGCTTCTCCCTGATCAACTGCCCGTGAAACAGGCGCCCGCGGTTGTGCACAAGCAGAGTACACATCCTCTCCCATATTTCGCCCATCAACAGCTCGATCTCGACTACTTCTCCTGGGGTAGGTCAACCACCAAACGCCGCTGGAAGCAGGGAAGAATTCGTCCCAGCTGTTTCAAGTCTAACACTCAGCAGACATCGCTCAACCGGTCGGCGGTCCGATGGTAGACGGTGATGGAGACACAGCCGAAAACCGTGCATGGGATGATGATGATAGCGATGCGGGCGTCGTTCTTGGATCCGACGCAGATGATGAATTGAATGTGGAGGTGTGGCCATTCATTGAATCTCTCGTTGGGTCCAGCGTCACTGATCAGATTGTCCAGACCCCCGGTGGCAAGCCCAAGCGTCGCCGCCCCTTCGAATCCAGCAAAATCGCAAACGCGTCCGAGGTCAAGAAGATGAAGATCCAGGGAGGCCGCCCGGCTATCGCCAAAAAGGTGACGGCAGACCTAGACTCCGACGACGAGATGATTGTGCGCATGAAAGAAGCCCGATTTCTGGAGAGAGACATCGCGCAGGCTCTCATCGACCAGGGTCGCACCGCCTACAACCCGAAGACCATCGGCACTCGTTGGAGACGTATCAAGGCCGCCTTGCAGAAGCGACAGGACGATCTCCTAGATGCGGATCTGACGGACTGGCACGAAGGGGATGTATGTATCGGGTTCGAAGTTGGGGAACAAACAACGACTGACCTGTGCACAGGACGACATTCTCCTGCAGGCTGTTTTCAAGACCGAGAGGGAAGTGAACAGACTCAAAGAAGATATCGAGTCCAAGAAATGGCGCATGGTGGCCGATCAGATGAAGTCACTGAAGGCATGTCTCACTATCCTCGATTCCCAATCCACAAGTCAGTACTGATAGTGTCAAATTCCAGCCCGTGGTCAACTTCTCCCAGAATGCTTGTCGAGCCAGGTACGATGCTCTCCAGAATGGCTGCGCGAAACCCACCCCTGAATCGATCGAGAACCCATCTCCTGAAATCCTCGAACGCATCGCATCGCGCAGGGAAAAAGAGCGGAAGATTCGAGAAGGCAACCACATGGCTGAGAGGGAGCAGAAGAATGTCGAGGCCAATGGATGGACTTCGCGGATGCGGACCTATTTCTAGACCGCCGAATGGTAGACACCCAAGGCACGCCCCTTGGAGCATCTCCCACTCGAGAACTCGAACGAGCAGCGCTGACTGGATGCTCCAACAAGCCAGGCACGCTCGCATCACAACGGCACTTTTGTTCTTGGGCAATACGAGGAGAGCTCGCGTACACGATGCAGCCTGGTGAAGAGAAGCGACTCTAGATGCAGCGAGTTGGACACAGCACGCATCGCCATTGATAATTCAGGATACATCAGGGGTCGTCTGTCGGTATCCGGATGTGCATGTACACACACAGAGATCGCGGGCAGTGCTGTCAAGATGACAACGGGTCAGAAGTTGTCGATCCTTGGGTTCTCCAAGCTACAAGGCGAGACGCGTGCAACCGTTGAACGTTAAGCGTTGAACGTGGTCAGCTGACAAGGTCAACAAATGATTGACAGGTCATGACTTGTGCTGGTTAAAATGGAAGGCTCACTAGTCCCCGAGACACCTTCGCTTCCGCTCTTTCTCCATCTCCATTATTATCCCGGGGGCTGTGGCTATGTGCCTTGACAATTCACCAGTCACTGCATGCGTGCCTGGAGATAGGCGCAGTTCTTCTGCTGTGATTCGATCATGGCTGCCTTCCGCCAAGACCTGGCAGCCGCCTGCGCTGCGCAGTAACAATATATTCCACGGCTTCCCACTCCTTGTCTTCCTTCTTTTCCCCTTCTTCACGCACCAGAGCAGGCAAAAGAAACACGCGTCTGGCTATCTTTGTTTCGCGCAAAGGAAGTCGACCCGTCAAGTTCTTCCATGTGATTTCCATCGGCTGTTGACCTTCTCTCAAGAGGTTGGTTGGCAGACGACGGGAGTCATTCAGCGAAGACTTGCGCAGCTCCCCCATCACATGCTACTTTTGTGAGAACCCGCGTCACTCTCTTACCGAAGAATACCTATCACGCTCTCTACTACCCTCATAGGTTCTTCTGCCGTTCTTTGAAGCCCTTCCTTCGCTCGTTCGTGAATCTCTGGATCTTGACAATCAAACCAAACATCCGCATTTCCCCTAATGCCAATGCGCGCTTTCGACGACATGTTCAAACGATCGTTCAATACCAGGGAAGGTCGCATCGTCAAGTCCAAGACCACAAAGACCACATATCCCGAACACGTGAAGAAGAAGATGCAGGACACAGTGGACGCCGGCTCGCCGGTGGCAAGGTAAGGCAGCCGTGAACCAAACCACAATCCCGGCTCTTGCACGGCGACCAAGGCATACTGATCTCTCTGTGCAGCACACTGACGAGCCCCATCGTCACCTTGGTGGTGGGTTGTGAGCAGCGTCTCTTCGCTGCCCATGAAGACGTCCTCTGTCATTCGCCCTACTTTGCGGCTGCTCTCAAAGGCAACTTCCTTGAAGGCAGCTCGAAGAGGGTGGAATTGCCTGACGAAGAACCCGAAATCCTATCCTGCGTCCTCGAGTTTCTCTACAAGGGTGACTATTATCCTCGCTTGCTGCACAACAAGCGCCGAAACACTTGGGATCTCGAGGATGCTCAGGACCTCATAAAAAATGGTGGCCGCGGAACCCACGCATCGACAATCTGTCTCCCTGACGCCGGCGGTGATGTCTTGAGAGATACCGTGGTGTACTGCGCTGCCGAGAAGTACGGCTTGGAGGAGCTGAAACGCCTGTGTCTGCGGAAACAGGGGTTACAGTCCGGCATCCAGGTCGACGTGATCTTGCGATCGGCTCGGTATGCGTACGCGCACACGCCGGATACGGAGTCGCGGCTCCGCGCTCATTACCTGGCTCTGATCATTCGAAGTCGCAAGACTTTCAAGAGGAGTGGAACCATGCAGATGGAGATGGAGAATGGGGGCAAATTGTTTTTCGACCTGTTTGTGGCCATGTGTAATCATATCGATGATATCGTCGAGATCAGGTAAGGAAACATGTGCACGACTTTGGATGGCTTTCTGAATCTCGCGGCTGTGTGGAACAATGTGCTTACATTTGCTTGATCTCAACAGCAACAGCCGCTCTCCCCGAGTCATTTGAACATGGTTGCGCACACGGCACGGCGCAGGTTCGATGGTGTGGTGCTATGATGAGAGGTAGGACAGTATGTTTACCAGGGCCGTTGGCATCAACAACGAGTCTTGTGGGACCTCGCCTGCTTTGATAGCAGCAACAACTCCGCTTCTTCTCGAGGTTGGCCGACGACAACTTGCTGGTTCATCGCAACCCTACTCCTTCTAATGGCCCCGGCTCACGGCGCAATTCGGCTTTCCGCTCTTTCATTGGGATTTTGAGAATCCCGTGGAAATGATCAACTCACACAGTGTGCGACCTACAACTCGCAACTCTTATGTACTTTGGTTGTTTTCTCGACTCTGATGTCGACGTCTGATACGGTGAAGCTGCTTTCAGACCCGATCCCTGGGGATGGGATGAAAACCTCTGTGTTCAGAATAGGAAATGAGAGATTCGGCCACCTCAAACCTCTTCTTCTATTGCCGCGTGATGTGAAATGGCTCTCTAACCGCATCAGCATGTGACAAACGGTGATTGCCAGAATCCAGGCGAGCGTGTGGCTGTAAGGCGACATGCCCTTCTAACCAACTCCTAGGACTTCTTCTAACACCTCTCGGCTTCCCTCGCATTTCAATCCAGACACTAACCTTCGGTGACGCCGTTGCACCTCTTTCGTTACCTTGATGTTTCCTCTGGCTTGATATATTCCAACCTCACTCGTCTGCTGGCGTCTGGTCTTCTTTACCTCACCTTCTCTCATCTATCAGGATTTCACTCTCGAACGTCAACAGGCTACGCTTCCCCAAGTTACGACGCTCGAGTTTTTTTGAGAATTAGACAATCATTCTTCAACTTTTACTTCTTCATCATGTCAAACTGGCGGGGCGAGCGTGCCTTGACCGCCGAGGAGCTGGCTCGGCGGTATAACAAAGAAGCAAGGGCTTGGACCCCCGACGACTCAAGCCAAGGCAATGGAGCCAGAGAAACTCTCCCAAGAAGAAGAATCACTCCTCAGTCTCTGTTCCCACGGAAGCGACAGAGGACATCTGCAACGGTACCGGTGGCGGGTGCCAGTCCTTTGGCTTCCGCCAATGTGTCACCTGCACCCAGTGAGGCTCCAGTGCGTGTCAAAACTGAAGCTGAAGTGCAAGCTCTCGAGCACTTACGGAGCATGCCGCCTGAGAAAAGGGTGAAAGTTTACGTAGGAGAAAAAAGCACGGCAATGGAAGTGGGCCTCGAAGATCTCGACAAGTCACCTGTGCTGAAGTCTTTCATCAGCGAATCTGGCGCGCCAGGCCCGTACATCATGCATCCGACACTCGTGACCGTCAATGTGGACCACTTTCAGTCGATCCGTGAGTTTCTACTGATGGACGAATATATGCCCGCCCTTGTGAACAACCCTCGTGGAGAGGATGTTCTTCCCAAGCAACTCGACAATTGCACCACCCCCGACCACTACAGACATCAGGCGCTGAGGGCTGGACACGTCTATGTCATCGCAGAAACGCTGAGGATGCCGACTTTGCAGGACCTCATCTTCCGAAAGATCACTCAAGCACAGTTCCACCCGTACGGTGTCAAATGTCTTCTTGACTTGGCTCTGATCATATTCTCGCGACCGGAGTTGGATGGATTAAAGCAAAAGGGGAAGGTCACGCAAGCGGAAGACGAGAACGAGAATGAGGAAGGGGATGATGCCCTTGAGAATTGGCTGATCAATTCCCTCAAGGACGAATTCCAGAGGACCATGGTCCATCATGCTCAGCAATTCTTTCATGTCTCGGCACACAGTGCTTGTAGGAGACGGGAGTTCGGTCGAAGGGTCCTGAGAAGGACAGTCGAGGATTGGGATGCACTACGCCCAGACGTGGTTGCCATTGAAATCGATGGTTGAATGACGCAGGATGGTTTCATTTGGTCCATCACATACTTCGGCAGCCAGGTTTTGGGTGCTACGCAGCACATTACGAGACCTCCGTCACGACAACACAGCTAGACTTCGGGGAAACCAGGAGAGCTACTCTTTAGGGCTGTGTATCCGATTTCACGTGGTAGCGACCTAGGTACGGGGAATCCGGATTACTTGCATTGACAAATAACACTATACTGCGAGCTGGGTATATGCAATGGTGGGCAAGAGTATCAAGAGCATGCAGCCTCGTCCGCGAGCATAAGTGGAGGCGGTCGGATACAGGTGATCAACAATCTGAGATTATGACCTCGGTTCAAATCCTCGTGTCCCCCATATTGTCGTGTCGTCGCTTCAATGGTCCCCACTATGGATCGCTTCCCCTCAAATCCCCACCACTTTGTTTACCAAAGGTTCCTCCTCGCCTCTCTATCTCTGCGAATGACGCGTTGCTTGAGCCAGAACGGCAAACGGGACGGGGTTGCGAACACGATACCCCCCGGAGCTGGCGTCCAGATTGAGAAAAGGCCTCCCCAGTCGGCTTCCGTCTCGTAATATATACACCCTGCAACTCACGCCTGACTTTGGGTGCCCATTGTGGAACTCGGTGTCGAGATATTCGAGTCAGAAGACATGACATCGATTCCAAATCTCCATCTATTCGGCACTTTCAGTCTCGGATCTCCAAACTGGCCATTCCGGTCGTCCCTTGCTCGTATGTTTATGGATTACTGGGAAGGGTCGCGGAAGTCCAGAACCCCTCCCTCCCTCCGCCCCTCGTTCTTTGGGCGGTCCGTGATCATGGGTAGGCAAACATAAAACCTCGCGGAGCTGATCGTGCTTCCTTTCTTCTGTTCCTCCTTTCTCCTCTCTGCTCACGGCTAGTTTGGTCTTGTCTCACTCTGTCTCTCTTCTCGCCGTGCTCCTGACATTACGACCATCGTCGCCATGAGTGATCCTGCTCCGACCTTCGATATCCCCAAGGAGTGCTGGGGTGGTGTTGTGGTACGTGGCCCGTTGGAATCCGCTTGGTCTCATGTCTCACACGCTTCTACAGAAAAATGAGGGTCCGGACTTCTATGTCGAGGTCGAGAAGGTGCCCGTGCCTGAAGTCGGTACGTGCAGAAACGATCTCAATTGTCATCACCTAGCTGACCACTGAATCCTCCATGTAGGTCCCAACGACGTCCTGATCAAACTCAATGCCACCGGTCTCTGCCTCAGCGATATCCACTTTATGCTGAATGACTGGGCACTCCCCAAGATGTCCGAGCTGGGAGTAAAATGCGCCGGGCATGAAGGAGCTGGGGTTATTGTCAAGGTCGGCGAGAATGTCAAGGCATACAAGGTCGGCCAGCGGGCAGGGTACAAACCCATCCAAGACGTCTGCCACTCCTGCGAATACTGCAAGACTGGCAGGGAGACATATTGCACAAAAGCCGTCTTCACTGGTGGCGCGTGTGATGGTGGGTTCGTCTCGGTGGTACGGGAAGAGAGATGTTGACGATCCGCAGGGTCATACAAGCAATATGTGGTTTCGCCAGAGAACTATACTACGGTGAGTTTGGATCCGGGTGCGAGAGAGACAACAGGCTAACTCTTTTATCCAGCTCATTCCCGACGTAAGTGGAGCAATGTCGTCCCTCTTCCTTCGCATATGTTGACCCGTCCAAGGGAGTGTCTGACTACGTCGCCGGCCCTGTGATGTGCTCCGCATCTACCATCTATTCGTCGCTCAAAGAATCAGATCTCCGACCCGGTCAATGGGCTGTTTTCCCTGGTGGTGGCGGCGGTGTGGGTATCCAAGGTGTCCAACTCGCTGCGGCAATGGGGATCCGGCCGATCGTGGTAGACACTGGAGATGAGAGGAAAAAGCTCGCTTTGCACATGGGAGCCGAACACTTCATCGACTTCAAGGAAGGAGATCCTGTGAAGAAAGTTCTTGAAATCACTGAAGGTGGAGCTCATGGCGTCATTGTCACCGGTGCGTATCTCTGGGGCACATTGCGACCTTTCCCCAATGGCAAGAAACTGACGGCATCGGCAGCCGTGCAATCGTACCCCATTGCACTTGACTACCTCGGAGGTCGAGCAGGCGGACAGGTCATGTGGTAAGGATGCGCTCTCACCCGCACTCCTCTCACACGGACGCTGACCCATGTATAGCATTGGCATCCCTCCGCATGGGAAGTATCACATCGACCTGGATCCCTCGAAGCTGGTGTTCCGAAACCAGTCCATCAAAGGAACACTGGTCGCCAGTTTGGCCGATATCGACGAGACACTAGACTTTGCGAAACGAGGTACGTGTGGGCACCGATAGACGAGGGTGCGCAAGCTGAACAAAGTCTCTAGGTAAACTCCATCTCGAGCCCACGGTGGTCGGATTGAGCAAATTCAACGAATCCGTACAAAAGCTCAAGAATGGACAAGTGGCTGGGTAAGTTCGGGCCAATCGGCAGTCACGGCAGAGCGAGTGGTCACTAACCAGGACACAGGCGAATTGTGGTGGACTTCAACCTACCGTGATGAACAATGAACCATGGTCGCTGATGGCATGTCGGCTCTGGGCGAGTTGGGGAAGATTGCAAATGCCCATTCCGGATGGACAGGTCTGGAGCGTAGCTGGATGGAGGTTGGGGAGGGGAGAAGACCTGAAACAAGTGTGCTGGCATGATTATTGGCTGCAGTTTCTATTCCGAGGACCTGCACATGCAGCAGCAGCAGCAGCGCTGGGCGCAACGAGGGGAAGACACGTATCGGTAAAGTCCCTCTGCAGCGAGAAAAGTAGAGATAGGGTACATGGGTGCGTTGTGCCTCTTTTTGCCTTGCTCTACGGTACGGAGATAATGCGTCTTTGGCTGCAGTGGCCAGCTAGCCAATTACGATACAGAGATGGTCGGCCCCACTGTGTTCCCGAAATAGATGAACCAATCATCGCCGGCGTTACGCGCTGACCGTGTTTGAGGCCATCTCGACTCCGTCGCATGGCTTTCTTCTTCGCTCCCTTCTCCTCTCTTCTTCCCCTCCGGCCAATGTCCACATTTTGGACGTCGCTCTTTGCGATTGGTGTCTCTCCTCGCCAATGTACTCGTCCAGCGCAGTCACAGGTGTGATAGATCTTCATGATCTAGCATAACTTCTATCTTGAGCCGCTAAACGCCTGCCAGGGCAGAATTTCTTCCACTGGCCACCGATTGGGTCGCTTGCATCATGGGAAGAGCTCCCTTTCTCTGTAGGTGCATCCGGTGCTCAAACTAAGGGAGATGGCGGTCATTCACTTTTGTCCCGCTCGAATTCCCTTCTTCCTGATATTTTCCTTGTTCCTCTTCCTCTGTCCTCGTGCGTCTGGTGTGCCGTCGACAAGTCGTTTGAGGCAGTGTTTCTGTTCTGTGCCGTGCTGTGCGCTGTGCATCCTGTTTGCTTGTCTTTTACTCTTTAATTTTGTGTCTTTCACGCTTGCGCGCAGCAGGTCTGCTCCTCTCGAGTTCTGTTAGGGTCAGCCAAGTCATATACACGCTGCGATCAGGCATCCAGCATGGCGACGCCAGCCACGTCCACTTCGGCCATGCAGGGCTTCTCCCTCTTCCCGACCACGGTCCCCAAGATCTCCATCCCGAATCCGCATAAAAAGAACCCCAGCCTACACAGTATCAGTATCGTGACCTCGCCGGACAGCGCGTTCTCTCCCAATGCCGAGTCCGTCGTTATTAAAATGGAGGAGGAACGACCGCCTCTTCCTCGACTCCCCGTCAGCCTCAACGGAGAGCAGCTCACGAGAGAATCCACTCCGTCGCCAGAAGATATTGGGAGGGCGGTGAGCACGACGTCGCCTATCGATGGGAAGACGCCTACTCAGCCTGGTCCCCCTCCTTCGGTAGCAGCAGCGGCCTATACGCCATCATTATACCAGTCGCCCGAACTTCACCAGACGTCATCACTAGGCACAGGATCAGCAACGACGTTGGTGGCACCTCCCGCTCTCACAGCGGACAATCGGGGCATGGTGAATAACAAATCACCCACCGACCCTTCACCGGTCGTCCCCATCCGCTCCATGTTCCCCGTCTACAACCCCTCTGTGTCTGCAACTCAACAAATGTACGTCCCACACCCGCCACCGCCCGTGCGTCTCTCAGGGATGCCCATGTTTGCGGGGCTACCCGCTTCCCGGGAGGACTACCGCCGAAGTAGTCTTTCGACTCCATTCAACGCTTCAGCACTAGCGGCTGCTCAGAGAACCGCTCCTGCCAGCATTCTCAACTTCCCTTCCGACGTCATGAGCATCAACGTTGGGCCCCGTATATCGACCCAAAGGGAGCTCGAGAAACTGTGGGAAGCTTCTCATGGCACCGAACCGGCGGCTTCGATCAAGACTTTCGATCTTGAGATGGCACGGTAGATATACTCTTTGAGATTTGTTCTTTTTCATGACATGCTAATCAATATGCGACAGGACCGAGGAAGCAACCTTTGTCTTTGGTTCCCACCCTTCGCTGCCCTTCTACACCCTCCAGACATACGACACCAATGAAATTGCCATCTCCAAAACCTGCCCCAGCAAACCGAGATCACCGTCAGCCAATGCAGAGTCACCACTCACACGCGACGTCGTTCTGTGCCCTCTGGAGCCCGCGGCTCGGCGTCTCCCACCCCATGACGGCCTTGTCGCCTTCATATTCCCCAAGCTGGCCGCCCTGCTCGCGATCAACCAATCCGCTGCCCTCGCCCGACAACACAATCTCGCGCCCACGGATCGAGACGAGATCGAGGGACAGGCAGTCCGACGTGCAGCCAAGCAGGAAGCCTGCTACTTGCGGTTCAACGCCAAGGGTGGCTTCTACGAACTTGAACACCCTGCCATCGGGCGCGGGGCGATGGGTGGTGACTTTGCGATGGAAAGCCCTGCTGTGAGCTCGCCGACGACGGTCAGGAGCATGACGGGCAAGCCTGTGGTGCACGTGACCATTTCCACCGACGGGCCCCTTCCCACCATCAGTGTGATTGACCCGAACGCTTCCCGGCGGACCGGCGCCGTCATGACGCCGACCACCGCAGCGCCGTCCTCAGCAGGAGCTGGCATCCGGCGACTGTCCACCCTTCCGCACACCGAGAATTTGACCTCTTCGTCAGAGTTCCCGCCCCTCGCCTCGCTTGACCTGACCTCGGAGGTTCTGCACGTGGATGCCAACGCCATCCTGGAGTTGATGCCCAGCTTGTTCAGCATCGACTGCATCATCTCGGCGATCCTCTCCGTCGCGGTGGCCGACGCAACCACGAATGCAGTGCTGGGAGGTATGGAGATCTGGAAGCCGAGACCCGCACCGGTATCTCGTCTCGGGACGGGTGCCCGCAGCATCCACACCCGGGCCGGCAGTGTGAAGAGCCACGCAGGGAGCGTCTTTTTCGCCACCATCGCGGAGAGAGAAGAGGCCGAAGAAGAAGCCAGGTTGATGCGCCGAACACACGAGGCTGACCTCCGCGCGGGCGGCTCGTCCAAAGCCAGATCCAAGGGTTCCAGGATGTGGTTTGGACGGTTATCCAGCAGCAGCACCGACGAGTCAGATGAAGATGACATCTCGGAGAAGAAGTCCTCGTCACGGAGGAAGAAGAACCACAAGAACAAGACCAAGAAGATCGTCATGCATGAATTTGACCTCGAGAAGCTCGGCCACTACCAGTCCGGCGAGCGGAAGGGGGAGGAGTTGCCCGCCGTCACGAGGGGCGTGCTCAGCGGACTGATCATGGGGCTGAAGCTGATCGTGTGGCTGCTGACCATGGTCGTGCAGGTGCTGGCCTGGGTGCTGGTGCATGTGACGAGAGGCGTGACCAGCGAGAAGTTCTGAAGAGGAGGATATCGGGAGGGAAAGAGGGCGGGTTCGTTTTCCTTGTTCACGTGGGCGTTTTTTCCTTCCTTTCCTTTCCTTTTTCCTTTTTTCCCCTTACCTCGTCCTCCTCCTCTGAGGGGGGACAGGAAAGCATTTCTGGGGCGCCTCGGAGCGGTGTTGGGACGGGGGCGGCGCTGTCTGTCTTTGCTTGCATGAGAGGATGCTTCGCTGCGCTGCGTGCGTGACGGGGTACGCAGAATGCGAACCTGGGCTCCTTGGTCTGTGTGCCCGGGGAGCGAGGCGATCCGCATCCAAAGGGTCTTTGGAAGGGGTATTTCTATATATCATGGAGGAGGTAATGATTTGATGGATGGATGGATGGATGGACGGATGAACAGAGAGACATCATCATAAAAAGTCACACATATATATATCCACAGAACACACTCACACACACACACACACACAAACATACACACACACACTCACATATCACACAAAGACATGATATGATATGACATAAATGACACGACATATGTGTATGTGTATGTGTATGTATGTGTGTGTCAGGGCAAAGACAGAGAAATGCCAGCCCGTGAATTCAATTCGTGTCAACACCATCTCTTTGATCTTTTTCCTCTCTCTCTCCCTCCCTCCTCTCTCTCTCTCCCCTGCGGTTGAATGTAACTAACTCAGTTACTCGCCACAACAGAGTGAATCTGAACCTCAACAACCGACAAAACAACCAAGTGAAGATCCAACAGTGACAGTCCATGTCCTCCTCGAACCGTATCTACCTCCTCCTCCTTCCTGCCTGACCCCCTCGATTTCTTTTTCTTTTACATTCATTTCGACGGAACAACCACGCACACATATGCCCATTTCATCTCCACCATACAACATACCATACCCACTGGAAAGAATCGACGACTCGGTCATTCACACAGCCAAGTAGTTCCATCAATCCAAAAAACCTATTTCTCTCTCTCGCGAACTTCACCTCACCTCCGCGCCACATCCGCCTCGCTCACTCACACCTTGAATATCATCAACCAGCCCCCTGTCCCGGGTTGAAGGAGAGCAGCAGAGCAGAGAAGAGGGCAACAGAAAACAGCAGAAAAGTAACATGGACGCCTCCGTCATCGACGCCTTCGTGGGCGACTATGGAAACGACAATATCGACGATTCAGACCACCTGTCCGAGCGCTCGGCTGATGAAGGCAGTGACCACGAGCAGTCCGATGCCGGTGGTGGTGATGATGTGAAAATTGAAGAGGACGACGACGACGGTCCAAAAGCCCAGCTCCTCGAACACTTGCAGTCGGAGTTGCGCAAGCTCACGCTCGAGGCCGAGACGGTCCTCTCCCGGCAGCCGCGCAGCACGCAGAAGGTCTTTGCAGCCGAGACCAAGGTCCTCTTTGACGACTACAAGCGCTTCGGCTCCATGGCGCGCCTCAAGGTCGGGGTCGACAGGTTCTTGAAGCTGGGTGACGAGAAGGGGAGGTTGCGCATCGAGAAGGAAGAGGAGAAGGATAAACACAAGGACGACCAGGATATGACCACAGCGGCACGACAGCAGTCCCCATCTGCAGCTGCCGCCGTGCCCAAAAGACCGGCGCATTACGGCGAGGCGTTCATGCTCAACGACACCGAAGACGACGACAAGATCAAGTTCGACCCGGAGCTCGCCTTTCCCCAGACGCGCTGCACGGACAACAACGACCACGCGGAGCAAGAGGAGGAACACCTTTCCGACTTGGAAAACCTGGGGTTTGACTTCGACTTGAAGGCGGGCGACGCGCTGCCCACGCACCCTCTGCGCACCATCGACCCGGACTCGATCCCGTACGTGACGACGCTACCGTGGGACCCGATCGCGACCAAGGTCAGCTGGCCAGACCAGCGCACGTGGCCGAAGGGCCTGCTGGGCAACCTGAACAAGATCCTGACCGTGGAGGACGCGGCGGCGCGTGAGCGGCTGTTCCACCACGTGAGCAAGTACGGTCCCGCGCCCGTGCTGCGGGCCGGCATCGCGGCGCAGCTGCGGCACGAGTACAGCAGCATCTTCACCAGCGCGGGCGACCACTACCTGGGGCTGAGCGGCAAGACGCGCGCGTTCCTGCGCTCCGTGCACACCCGCCACCGCCGGCCGGCGCTCAACGTCGCCGAACGCCGCCTGCTCGCCCTGGTGTGCCGCGTCGCCGAGGACTCGGTGCAGATGTTCTGGGAGGACGCGGCTAAGGACCTGAAGGCGTACCACGCCATGCGCATCTTCATGGCGGCCCGCGAAATCGAGCGCGATGAACACGCCCGCAAGACGGAGCCCCAAAGACCCCCCCGCGCGACGATCGGCACTCGCACTCCTCGTCGCACTCACCCGGGCAGCGACAGCCAAAGCCAGGCGCGCAGGGCCGACGTGCTCAGGGACCACATCAAGAGGTTCAACGAGTTTCGACGCGACGTTGCTGGTAGCGCGGCTGGGGATGGCAATGCGGCCGGTGCGAGTACGTGATGGATGACTCGTGAACACCGGAGAGAGAGAGGTAGAGAGGTATAGAGAGAGAGAGAGAGAGGTGTAGAGAGAAAGCTGGGGAGAGAGGTGTAGAGAGAAAGCTGGAGAGATATAACGCAATGCAGATACCTCGCGCGATGGGGATATCGGGAGGAGAATCTTCAGGGATAGGCACCGATGCTGCATCTCTCCACACACGCGCTACTCTGTCCCCTTTGGATCGGATGGAACATCAATCGACTTACTCACTATCGTGGCTTGATATGTTCTCCTTGCCTGCATGCCTGCCTGGGTTGGGTTGGGTTGGGTTGGGTTGGATTGCGTTTGAATTGCGTTTGCATTGGAGGGGTTGGCTCGGACGGGGGTGGTCGGTCTGGGACAGGTCGTGAGTGAGGCTGGGCTAGGGCTGTTTCTTATACCCCTCTGACGCTGCCGACCATCTACTCGAGGGAGATCTCAGGTGGCCACGGATGCCGCAGAACAAAGCACACAATATCTCGTCCACGCATGCCTCGTTCTTTGGAGCCTGCGTGATTGGCAGAATCACAGTGGCAAGTAGATTGGTAGTCAGTTAGATGGATCCGAATTAACAATATGTATCAGCCAAACCAAAAAAAAAGGGGGGCCTCCGCTCAGTACATATTATTATTCTGTATGTCTGTATGTAATTATAGGCTGGTGGGCCAAGCAAACTGTTTCTGTAATACTGTAAATACTCTGTATGTATGTGTGTAATGTATGTGTGTATGCCTCGATCAATCAAATCAATAAGCGAGCAAGTCATAATTAATTGATTATGCAGATGCAGATGGATTCCCCGGTCGCAGGTCACATATATATACATATATATATATATATATATATTGTAACATGTGATTCATTACTGCTGATCCGATCTGGACTGATCTATCTATCTTCTCCCCCCAACAAGACAACTAATTCTTTTCCCCTTTGCTCTGTTGAGGGGGGTTTGAATTAACATAAAAAAGGTTCCCTCTTTCCAGCCCCCGACCTCCCCCCTCCCAAGAGATGAAATGAAATGAAATGAAATGAAATATCACACGGGTACATAAGTAGATATTACTGCCCCCATTCATTTCCTTGCTGCTCTCCCCCAGAAATGAAACTCCATCCCATCGAGTAACAAATAGTCAATCTGTTATTAATTTCTTTGTCCCTGCTCCACCCGGTCTTCACCATACCCTCCCTCTCCATGAAAAGACCCCTTGTCTCCCTCCCTTCCCATTCAATTGTCCCCCAAGTGTTGGTCGGTCGGTAGGTTACCCTCAACACCACACTCTCTCTCTCGCTCACAACAAGGCCGCCGCCCCAGCAACACCCACGACCACGGCGGCCATCATGCCGGATCCCGCCGCGTTCTTCATCACCGCGCCCACCCCGCCCGTGTAGGTCGCGGTGTACGCGCCCGTCGGCATGGAGGACATCGCGGTGGTCATCATGGTTGTGGTGGTGCTGGAGCATTCGGCCGTGGTGGTCATCACGGTGCCGTTGCCCCCGCCGGTCGACAGGTCGGTTGCGGCGGCGGCGGTAGTGGTGGTGATGGTCGCCGTCATGCTGTCCGTGGCGCCGGCCACGCTGGTCACCGACGTCAACGTGCCCGGGACGGTGGTGGTCGAGACGCCATTGGAGGAATCGTCGCTGGAGGTCGGGGACGAGCTGGCCGACGAGGAGCTTCCCCCGCTGCCGTTGAGGGCCGCGCCGCAGAAGGTCTGGCCGAAGACCAGTGCCGCTGTGTCGCGTGATCAGCACTTTTACCTTGCGTTTTTCTTCCGCAGGACTTGGAAAACAGTGAGGAAAACTCACCTTGAACATCGGCCGGGGAGCACGTCTGCGTGACGGCCGTGGTGATGGCGCTGATGAACGGAGCCGAGCTGCAGATGCAGGTCTGGTTGTTCACGGGACAGCCCGACGAGGCCAGGGCGGCGGTGGCGGCATCTTGCTGTGAAAGTCATACGACCGGCATGTTAGTCGATGGAGCACTCTGACTGAAACTGCTCGATTCTGGCGCACACAGAACACTACTCACCGCACAAGCCGGCAACCCGCTCAACGCACTCGTGTCGGCCGGGGTTTGAGGCATGGCCAGAGCCACACCGGACAGGAGGAATGGGACGGTAAAGATGACACGGTGCATGTTGACGGCAGCGTAAAGGTGTAGTATTCAAATCCCTGCGAGAAAAACTGGAGGGAAGAGAAGAAGAAAAAGGTCTCTCTGCGTTCGCTCGGAAGGAATGGGTTTGAAAGAGCAGCGAAAGGGTGACGAAAACGAGCGAAAGGTGGGACCTTTTTCTCTGCGACAAAGAAAACTGGAGCGACTGAATCAAGTTCCAAGACAAAGAAAGACACCGAGTCGAAAGAGGGAGCAGAGAGGTTGGCAAAGCAAAGAAACCACGGAGGAAGGACCCAGGCTATAAAGATATACAGTGCACGTCAACACGGGTTGATTGCTGCCGAGCACAGGCTGGAATGTGGGCTGTTGTCCTGTAGACCGCGACAACGGATGGTATGCAGCAGCACATGTTATATTGCGTGCATGGGCTTGAGCGGCGAGATTGTGGAGCTGGGAAAGGAGGCCCCCATGGGTTGGTGAGAGTATAGCAGAATGTCTCAACAAACATCGGTGTCATCATGTTCAGCAGGCCCTACACTAGGGCTGCCCGCAAACAACCAGGGAGGAGACGAGGTGGGTGCCGTTGTCGTCTGCTGTGCTGAGACAAAGACGACGAGGGACAAGGTCGCGAAACGGCCAAAGCTCCCTCCTGGAGATGTCTCCCTTGGTGCCGCTTTTAACTAGCTTCCACCCTTCCTGCTCTGGACAAGAATCGCGAGGCGGAAGGGCTTGCCTTGGTTGGTGATAAGCACGTTGGGTCTCGTATCTCATCAAGGTGGACAACTTCGCTAGGAGTCAGCAGCCAACGGGTAGAATTTCTTGGGCGAGACATATCGTAGGACTATTCGAGAAGGACAGTAGCTGGCACCTAATGTTCAACACTCCATCCACGGCCACAGACGAGCTGTTCAAGCATGAGCGTCCGTGGTCGGCGCATCCCCCGTGGTCACCAATTTCGGCCCCTTGGGTCCAGCTTTGCCGGTGAAGTTGGTATATATATGCCACACTGCGCCGTCGTCATCGATCTCGGTCATGATGACGCTCAGATTCGCCGCTTTGGGTGACACGTGTCCGACCAAGATCCATTTATACTCGTCAAAGTATCCATACTGCCCCAGCCAGATCGGCCCGCTGTCCCAACAATCATCGCCGGGGACGCCGGGAAAGTCGAGGTAGTTGTTGTCCGGCCTTGTCCCGATCCAGGTCCCGGCGATGTCGTACCCGTCTCCGGCTTTCGTCGCGTTGATCTGCCAGCCCTGGGGTTCGCTGTACCATTCGTCTGATGACGACTGGAAGACCACGCTGATGTTATCGTTCGACTGCTCGGGTATGGTGAAGTAGAAGGTGTTGTTGTCATACTTAGTCCGGTCGAGCGTGGCATTGCCGGGTACTGTCATGCCGCCAATGAGCAAGGAGTTGTTTAGAAATTGCCAGGTTTTGTCAGGGCATTCGGATGCCGGTCCACCGGTCAACGTAAGCTGGCCAATGTAAGTCAGCTTCAGTTTCTTCATATTGGTGACGACAGCTTTTAACAGCGAAAGATTCCTTACAGTGGTGGTCCCGTTAAACCACGCAAGATACGGCATCATGGCATCGTCAACGAATGCATCGCAGTTGTATGAGTTTGAACTCGCTCCCCTGTCGGTGAAAACGGTGAACCCTGGCCCGTCAGTTGACATCGACTGGATCTGAAGAACAAGGGTTCCTCACTGCCACAATCCTGACCCAGCACCGCCGTAGAAAGGGTAATGCCAACGAGGAATGCATGCTTCACGGAGTAAGTCATCTTGTCGGTCGGACGTGGGCAGTTTCAATAACCGGGGAATATGCTCAACTGGAAGGCCTGGGACACTCAGCCGAGGGGAAATGCTGTGCACAGGCGAGGTATTTATCCATTTTTCGACTCTGCCACGAGCAACTTGGACACTGAGCAACATGGCAGAATAGATAGACCTCAGCCGCTGCAACAGAGTCCGCGGACTCCGCCCTTGGCATGGGTAGACGCATGGCTCTGCAAGGCAGTCTCTCACGAGTTCTAGCGCGCCCCAAAAATGAGGATAAGATTGGTCGGTTAGAACGTTAGTGGTGCAAAACGAAAGGTGAAGTGGCGATAGGGCATAGCTCTCGTTCCTCGAAATGCATCGAGCTCTAGATGCACCCAGGGATGGGTATGTCAAAAGTCCACGACGGAATAGGCATCGTCCGGAACATACTTTGGCACTTTCGTCACACAGCGGCAGGTCTTACCTATCAGCAAGTGGCTCTTGAGCTTGCAGCCTTTGCTTGCTCGAACTCTGATGGCGCAGCGTCAGTGGGCGAAACATTCTCAAGCAAGCACGTTGAGCACTTCTGCTGCCTCGTCGTTCCTAGGAACTCAGACCGTGAATGTGCATCGACCCCTTCACTCTGAGGCACACCGAGTAATCCCTCTCCCAAAGACCAGACTGGTGTAGGTCCAGCTCGCTTAACAGTTTGATACTGGGTCCAGGCTCCTTCCAAAGTCGAATGGAGTGTGTTACTCGACAAGCTTTACCAAGATAATTGCTTGAGAAAGCTAAGAATTGTGTCATGGCAGTGCGTAGGGCTGACTCGAGATGTATTAGAGCCGCAGACTGCCATTCGCGAGCAGGGAGAAACACGGCCTGCGATACGAGGCAAGCGCTCGCATCATTGGAGGAGCTGCTTCGCCCTTCGGTCAGGTGCGTAGGCAGACTCTGGGTTTGTCCAATTCTGGTAGAGCTCGAGTATTGGCAAAGCAGATAGAGAGAGTTTGAAGTTGGAACAGGAAGCGATCCTTGACGACTCAGCTGAAAGAACTGCTCGAGAAAGTATCATAGAGGTCCATTAAGGGAGGCCTTCTCTCGTATTCGCTTGCGAGATGCTCGGGCGAGTTACAGGGAGGGTGTCAATTTTGTCGATGCATCACAGCAGTGCTCTGACTCGGCCAACCGTCTTTCTGTGGGAGGATCAGGAGCCGAGCGCAAACGGCTCCGCGGTTCTAGAACCTTGCCCGTCCGTCCTAACGTGAGCGCGGGAGGATGGATTGAGAGTAGTATTAAGTCCCACCACCAGGATTTGCACCAACCTAGATTTGCACCACCTAATGTGATCGCCATTGCCACAGAACAAGTCTCAATTACTCAACCAACTAGATCGTTTATATAGAACTGTGACATGAATGCCTCCTGTGGGTTGTTACTAGTGTCGTTCCTAGCGTTTGTAACCTGCCTAGGCCTGCGCCTTGTTGTTGTTGTCGCCGCCGATAGTTCCAATGCCTCTTTAGCTAGGTGTATACTCTCGATACTAGCAAACATCTCGTTCACGTCGATAACCTTGCTCTTTTGCCCTCTAGTCTTCTCCTAGTCTAGGCCATTCTGTAGCTTAGTTATTTGTTCATCCTTCTACCTAGTATCCCACTCCAAACGTTCGATAATCTGGCCTGTCTTTTTGAGCCAATTGCGCATGGGACGAGACAGCGTTTCGCGCTGGGTTGCTAACAGTAGTGACTCGCCATATACTCTCCTGTTGATTGGCGTGTTATAGACATCGCTATCGAGCGCTTTTCGCTTACGTGAAGGTGGTGTATGTACTATATATTGGGCCTTTTCCTTGTTGGCTAGGACCTGACTGGATCGGATAGGTAGCCGCGGGTTCCATAGGTATATACCACTAGCTTTCCAGCCAGCTTTGATATTGACGGTAGTTAGGCCTTCCTAGCTAGCCTTCTGATATATCTAGAGGAACTTAGTCTTCTTAATTGGGGCTACGTCGTCGAACCTAGCGAGATCAGCTAGGGCGTCCCGATAGCGCGACTTAACAGGCGAAAAACAAGTAAGATCAAGAGGCTGGAGAACATAGCTTGAATAAGGTAGCAAGTAGTATACCACAATATTGTTCTGAAAGCATTTCCACATGAATTCGTAAGTGACGTGACTCTTATAGCCATCCATGAGTAGTAATCGATAGGCGCCGCGAGTAGTGTCTTCTATGGCCGTTTGAGGTATGAATATCAGATCGAGCCAGGCGAGACCTATCTCGTTCGATGTCCAGCCATTGTTAGATATTATATATCGATAGGTAGGACTATCCTGGTCGAACCAAGTAGTCCGGAGCGCTTGACCCTTAAAGATAACTAGCGGTTATAGACGCTGGCCAGTAGCCGATACTGTCTCAACAATCGTTGTCCATTCTCGCGTTTCTGGCGTTTTCCTGAGTGCTCTAGTAGTGGCCGACGTCCCAATAACCAATTGGTTACTACAGACGCCTAGGGCCGTACCAGCTTCGTCCATATTGTAGCTATTCTCAGGCCGTATAGAATATCGCTCTTTAATGACCTTTAGGTCGTTAAACCAGGGCTCAAGTAGCTCAGGAAGGGTACAGTTGACGCGCTTAGCACAGATCTTTTGGCCTACCTTACTTTTAACGTTAGGGTGACGTTCTAGGAAGCGTGGTAGCCAGTTAAGTCCAACGCGTCGAGGGCCGCCATTTGACTCGCTAATTATCCCTGCGAGATCTCGTACAGCTCTATAGCTAGGTGCGTGTCCTTGTGCCTCTAGGTCGAGTATCTAACTCTTTAATAGGGCCTCCTGTTGATTCGACAGTAACTGCTGCGATTCGTGAGATAATGAGGGTGATTGATGACTCTGTAGACGGCGAACTAGTGTGGAATGATGGATGTCGTTTGCGGCCGCGGCTGCGCGAATAGAGGGATATCTGCGTCGTTGGAAGTCTGTAATGGCTTGCTGGATCCTAAGCTCTCGATTCGAGGCGTTTGACGCGCGATTCATGGTCAATTGGTTGAGTGGTTAGTTGTTCAGGTTGGTGGTAGAGAGGTGGCGGGGTTGCAGGACGCGTGGTGCAAATCTAGGTTGGTGCAAATCCTGGTGGTGGGACTTAGTACTCCGTACAGCTGAAAGGGGCGCAACGTGTCGGCTGGAAATGTGGTGCGGTCGGGCTTGGCGCCAAGGCGGAAAAATGGTTGAGAATGAGAGACCGGAATTTCTATTTCTCCGTTGGCCATCCTTTCTCTACCGAGTACCGAGTACTCAGCGAACACCCAGTCATCCCAATATCATCAATTAGAGGCCTGTTCTCTAGAAGACGATAGCATCATCTCAGGCACAGACATCCAGTCTTAGCCCTATGCTGTGCGAATGCCCTTCTGAACCCGTTACCGGGCACCTAAAAGCACGAGGTACTGTAGGTGACTGTGTGATCCTTCTAACGATAGGCGTCAGACCACCTGGAGCCCGACCATTTGGGTAGCATGACCATATTATGTTTCTATCTTGACACCCAGACGAGAGAGTGGCAAATCACAAAGAAATGGGAGGGTGAGCAAGTTTTCTCAGGCGCCATGTACCTTAGCACCAAGTAAGATAGGGGAGAACGGTGGGTCTTTTGAAGCCCGAACACGCCCTGTGCGGTTTCCCCCTGTAAGCCTCATGTACTCGACGCACCGACGACTACCGAGTACACATTTGGACCACTGGAGCATCGAGAGTAATTAATTGATCAATCAATTCTTCAATTCATCCATTCTTTATTCCTCCAAGGTTCCTCTCGTCGCCCCCTCACTCCCTGCGCGGCGGACTTCGCATGGCCGTATTATCATGGTCTGTGAGCGCCCTCACCCTCGCCCTCTCGCTGTGCCTCCCGCAGACCGCATCAGCTCGCACCGTGACCTATGACTTCAACATCTCGTGGGTGCTTGCCAACCCCGATGGCTTCGGCCGGCCGACTATCGGTGTGAATGGCCAGTGGCCGCCCCCCACCATCGCCGCCGACCTGGGCGACACGGTGGTCGTCAATGTGGTTAATTCGCTCGGCAACCAGTCCACGGCATTGCACTTCCACGGCCTGTTTATGAATGGGACTACTGAGTTAGACGGGCCTGCCCAAGTCAACCAGTGTCCCATTGCCCCGGGGTCGTCGTTTGTGTATCAGTTCAAGGTATGTCCAAATAACTAACTATCCCAATGAGGGATCCTCCTCCAAAAAAGGGAAACCCCGGATTAAACAATGTGTCTGTGCTTTTCTAGGCTTCCCAGCCAGGCCTCTACTGGTACCATTCGCACGTCCAGGGCCAGTATCCCGACGGACTGCGTGCACCGCTGCTCATCCGTGACCCGAACCACCCCTACCGTGGCCAGTATGACGACGAGGTGCTGCTGTCCGTCTCGGACTGGTACCATGACCAGATGGCACACCTGGTCCCACATTACCTGCACGGCGGGAGTATGATGTCGCAGGAACCTGTGCCGGACGCCAATCTGTTGAACGACACGCAGGACATGCGTATCCCCGTCGTGCCCGACCGGACGTACTTGGTGCGCCTAGTCAACATGGCTGCGTTCGCCGGCCAGTACTTTTGGGTCGAAGACCACTCAATCCGCATCGTCGAGGTCGACGGCGTCTACACCAAGCCCGCCGAGACGGACATGATATTCCTCTCCTCGGGCCAGCGATGCAGCTTCCTCGTGACAACTCAGTCGGGTCGGGACAGGAACTATCCCCTGGTTGCTTCCATGAACCCGGTATGCCTTCTCATCAACACCGAGTCGTGTAAGCTGTTGACTAACTTGTCTTTGTTAGAGCTTGTCCAAGATACGCAATAGTGCAAGCCAGAACGTGACAGGTTGGCTAGTCTACGCGCCCGACCAACCGCTGCCACAGCCTCAGGTGCTTGATAACTTCGATCCACTCGACGATACGACATTGGAGCCATACGATGAGATGCCGTTGCTCCCTCCACCGGGCCAGAGTATCGTCCTCAGCCTGGGAATGTCGCACGCTGGTGGCATCAAGTAAGCAGCTCTCCCTCTCTTTGCTCCCCAGATGACTGACTCCTCCCCGCCTCAGATGGTTCTTCAACACGACAAGATATTCTGCCCCCGAGATCCCGTCGCTCTACACTGCCTTGTCCAGTGGTCCAAACGCAACCAACCACTCCATCTACGGCGTCTCCACCAACCCTTTCGTCCTGCAGCACAACGCGGTCGTCGAGATCATTGTTTACAACCACCATATGGTGCGCCACCCTTTCCACCTGCACGGCCACAATTTCCAGGCGGTCTACCGCTCCCCGAAGAAGGCGGGCAGCTTTTTCGACAGCGGCCTTGTCGAAGCCGACTTCCCGCGGATGCCCATGCGGCGGGACACCCTCTTGCTGGAGAACGGTGGCTTCATGGTCCTGAGGTTCCGGGCTGACAATCCGGGCGTCTGGCTGTTCCACTGCCACATGGAGTGGCACGTCGAGACTGGCCTCGTCGCGACGTTGATCGAGGCGCCGCTCGAGTTGCAGCAGCTGCACAAGGACCGCCCCTTGCCCCAGGGCTTGTGCGGCTCACCGGACAGCCAACAGCCTGAGCAGGATGCCGCTGTGCTTGAAGAGGAACACAAACCGGCTTCGGAATCCCAAGAAAGCAAAAACGCAAGCAGAAGGTGAGAAGGGCGACCTTGTTGAGCTCTGACATACACCCTCGTCACCATGGTGGAACCGCTGACTGACTCACTTCTCCATAGCTCTATGATCTCCACGGCCGTGCTGCTAATGGTGGTCTTCATTGTCGCCATGGCCGGGCTCGCTCTCGCCGTCCAACTCCGCATCAGGAAGACGCACCGCGGATCGATCCAGCAAAGATCCGCGGCACTGGATGCCGATTTCCAGATCGAACAGCAGCACCTCCTCGAAAGCTCTACGAGCTGTGAAAGTATGGAGGTATTGCAAGAGGGCTCGCCCAACAGGCCTGCAAAGCCGCCCCTGGACCTGGAAGACATAGATTGTGGACGTAGAGGGCGGTGACATCGCGCCCAGACAACTCTAGGGCGCACGGCGTCCCTACCTACCTCCCGTCCCGCCGTCGCGTAGCGCTGTACATTAATTTTGGCTGTAAGTGGCTGTTTGCAGCTCCACGGCTTTTTCTTGCCTCTCCGGCATTGGTTGGGTCTGTTGGTTCTGAGAGATATAGAATGTATTTATAAGACCTTTTGAGGCCCGGAGCATTCATTCATTCCTGCTGCAACAAGGCAAGAAGTCTGGTATAATATATGGGACCTGATGTAAACAACATCCAATGAATGCTCGAAGCGACCGGCCCATCGCCGTCTCAGGGAAACATGCGGCAACTTAGAACCGGAAGGCCATTTACCAGAGCGGAACAGTGGGGATACCCTTCCCAGCCTCACTCTTCTGAAGGGGGAATAGTCGATTGCCTGCGCGGAGAAAAGCAAATCTATACATAGATTTTGGGCTGAGGAATTAATCGCGTCTCTCTCTCGTTGAATCTCGCCACCAAGTACCCAAAGAACCGAAATTCCTCTGCAGGAGTCCCTGCCATGATCTCCGTGGCACCATTTCGGCATGACAAATGTTCGTCCGTCCTCCCGTTTTATCTGTGCGATTCTTCGAGGCCTGAATCTCCACTAAACTCGAGGAATTGAGTTGGCCGACCACTGAAACGGGCCGCCGATTACTGGAGCGTCCTCATAGACAGCATCTTTGTGAAGAATGCTGGACCGAGAATCGGTGGCAGCGTCCGGCATCTCTCGGCGTATGAAATCTGAAACCTGTGTCGGAGGCACCAGATCGTCACGCCAACCCTGCTCGAAAGCCGCGTGGTTGATAATATAGGAAACACCTTCTGCGACTTGATCCGGGGTCGGCTCTCTTGGGAAACGCGCAGACACATCCTGCATTGCTGAATCTTCGTGTGAAGCCAGCAGAGACCGATAGTAAAACATGAGCATGTCATGATAGCCTTTGGCAACGACATCGCCTTCTGCGCAGAACTCCAGAGTCTTGAGGCAAGAGTGTGCGCCGGAAAGCTCTTCCTCACACTCGGACGATGGTGCCCCGTGGAGTCGCTTCTGGGCGACGTGGAAGAGCAACATAGTGCATGCGCTGAAAGACTGGTAAATCGCCAGCCAGCAACGCTTAAAGAGAGCATTCTCGGAGAGGAGAAGCGCAAGAATACGTGAAGACTGGATAGCCACGTCAATTGCGTCCTTGGCATAACCTAATGCTTCGTCGACGTCTCCATCAAGCTTCCATACATCACCCCGATGTATGGTGGAAAGGTAGATAGTATGGCGACGATAGAGTAGGAGTAATGCTCCAAGATAGTTGAGATGGACAAGGAAAATACCCCGTCTTTGTACCAATGTCAGGTTATGATTGTAAAGTAGTGAGTCGAGCTGCATAACTGCAGGGAGCTTACTCAACCAGCCAACGATCTTAAGCTTGTGTTCCCGAGTCGCGATAAGACTGAGCTCTTTTGGCAAGAAGACGTCGCGAAGTACGCCAGCTGTGAGCACCCCAATGGATGTCATTTGTTCCTGCGCAATGGATTCGATGAGCGGACGCTCCTCGTGCACGAGAAACGATTCCTCAAACCCTGGCTGAAATTCCGCTAGAATTTCTGGGCTTCTGCCGAGGGTTGAAGAAAACCAACTGATGCACGTGAATTAGATCCCACGGATTGTTGCCGCCAGAGAACAAATTGTGTACCTACCAAGCCAGAAATATCAAGGTCCTTAAGACTTTTCTTTGCGCAATCCACACCTCGGGCGACGTAGACGGAGGTGGCGTCTCCAGGTGCAGGCCACGAAGCCTCGCCAGTCTCAAGCCGGTCACTTCTCAAGGTCAGTCATCTGTGTACTTTTGCGATTCGAGTTTGGACGAAACTCCACGCACAAGTCCATGTCCACGCTGCGCGGCGTTTGTCCATGGCGCAATATATGGCCAAGCAGCACAGAACGCGCATTCCCAGCACTTCATCCTCTTCAATGCAGGCGTCAAGGTAGACTTTCGCTGTCTCGTAGTACGACTGTCTCAAAGAGCTGTCGATCTTGGCGTCGTCATATTGGCTGGCTACAGACGCCAGGCCACATAGTGCACCAAGTGACGCTTTCGGAGCATCCTCATCATTCATGTAGACTTCCTGAAAAAGTTCGTTCGCATCGTCGGGAGAGAAGATGTAGAACAAAGTGCCAGTGCACGAGAAGAAATAGTCTATTAGGACCTTTGTGATGGAAGCATTTGCCAATTTGCGATTGTAGAGAACCTCCACAGGAGACGAGGCGGTTTTGTCTTGCAGCCTTTCCCGACCGACAGGCAGGGTGAAGAGGTTGGCGAGTTGCTGTGGAAAGACGATCATCGTCGTTATATTATAGGAAGTATGAGACAAACCCCAGCAAAAAGGGACCGAATGTATACCCCTATAAGTTGGGAGCATGGATTGAAGTGGCAGTAGACCTCCCCCTTCGCATCAGGTAGGTTTGGAGTTTTGCGCGAGCTCCAACGCCTCCACAGACGATCTCGTATCGGCGATCCATTCCGTGAGCTACCTTGGACTATCAGCGCCCTCATCGGGCGGTGTAGAGGGGCCTGGGCGGAGCCTACTTTTCTCCCTCATCTGACTGGCTGAAAAGATGGAGAGATTGCAACGTTTAGAGCAGTCCGAGGTGTGACTCCAGCGACATATCCGAGTCTTCTGCCAATAGTCTGCATTCCGAAGATGTGATATCATATGTAGATCCTGTAACTAGCTGTCTTTGCCGACTTGTGTGATAGGTAAATAGATGTGGCTCTCTCCTGAAGGGCCAATTGGGTCTGCGCCACGACCTATTGACGGCATGCGTCCAAGAGTCTCGGTCATTTCTATTCAGAAGCTAAGGCGATATTTTAAACTATCCGAGAACCAGCCGGATCCCCGAAAGTGTAACAGTTATCCAGGAAGAGCACCCCAGGGGGAGGGGGGGTTGCCGATATCCTGTGGAGCATGCTTTCCCTGCGTCTCGGACATCCGATTAACTCTACTCCGATGCTAGACGCCTCAAAACGTCAGCAAAAAGAAGCAACGGCGTTGCTTCCATGGCTATCCCGCGAGGCGGCGAATAGGTCAGAATGTGCAAGCCAGTAACGATGCTAACGTCGGACCGAAGGCGAAAAGAAATAATCTTCATTCCGGTGAGGTGGTCGTATTGGGGCTTCATACTGAGCGCCCAGTGGCGCTGCACTCGTAACGAGGTCAACAGTGATCGATGCATTTGTATGATTCATTGTGGGCATCTTTTCCGTGGAGGATCCCTGGACAGTGGCGGCCCTTTCCGATGTGTTCTTGTGCTTTTCAAACAAAGCCTCAACCATCGCAGTAGAGTTAGCATCTGGACAGTGCAGGATACCGGATTCAAGCAGCTTGAGCCACATTGGAGCCCATTTTAGTCGTTTAGAAAGCTCCTGAAAAGCTTCTACCACGGTCGACAAATCCTTGATAGCCGAGGGGAGCCAGCCGAGATGAACGTGGTAGGCGTCAAGCAAGGCTTGACACATTATGACGTTAAAACCTCTCAGGCCGCAACGGCTTCGATAACAACTGAAAAGATTCGTAATTGCCTTTGCAGCGGTCTGACAGATTTGAAGCGCTCTAAGGTTGAAGCCGCCATGCTCGGGAGTAGAAACATGTCGAAATGATTGTATCAAGCACCCATGGTACCACATGTGCACCGCTACTACGTGTGCGGGGGCGGTGTCACTGACGGCGAGTGATGCTGGTAGGCGGTTGTACCAAGCCTGATACCTGACCTCCCAATGCCTGATATCCATACCCTTTCGACCATTGGCAAGAGACTCCATTTGGAACATGCTCGCATGCACAATCTTTGCAAGATCGGCAAGGTAAGACCAACAATCACCTCGGTCTCTCCGGTCTAGGGATGGCGTAGATGTAGGTGAGGCATCCCAGGGCTTGGGTGCGGCAATGTCATCGAGATCTGGGGGTCTTATCTCGAAATCGTCGACCGGGATTTGAGGCAGGTAGCCAGCATTTCTTGAGACGATCCTGTACAATTGTCAGCTATTTACATCGATGAATACCTCCTCAAAACTCACTGGTTGACTTGGAAGCAGACCCAAAACAGCTGCTGCTGCACAGCAGCCAGGGTCCCTTCATCCGCTCCGGCTACGATTTGTTCCCCATCGCTCATTAATCCCGGCTGAAACCCCAGGAAGAGTGCCATGCATGAAGCTCGATGTGAAAGCTTGCAAGCAGCCGGACGGCGAAGCTGCAGGTTTTCGACCATTGCCAGCAGGCACAGAGCTGCTACTGCGGTCAAATTAGGTTCGGGGTATTCCGATAACAGCCTTTCAGTTTCGTTGAAAAACGCTTCGGTAGGCGGCCAAGAGTCGTTATCTATTTTGACATCGTCCTGCAAACCGAGGAACGTGCAGGCAACAGCAAGTATAGAATTGACCAGCGCAGGCGAGCAATATATTGTTCTTCCGGAGGCCATATCAGCTCGAATCAATGGTTCAGGAATGACCGGGCAAATGGGGTGATGGTTGGTGAAGTACAAATCCAACAGATAACTGATGACTTTAGGATTTTGATTTACCGTGGTCCATTGAACTGAATTTCGCTCACTAGAGCTGGGACGACTCGTGGCTTGGTCGAACGGCTGCAGAAGACCATGTAACGGGAGCACTGCAGGCGGTCCTTTTGATTGTGGTATGCTGTATATTGTCCCTGTACATGGCGGGAGGATGGGAGTCGTTTGGGCACGGACACCTTCCACAAACTTGAGTGCAGTGGAGACGTCAGACCCCGAACGCAACGACCGTAGAATTTCTAATGCCTCCGTCTCAGAAGACGTGCGGATGGCGTGGAGAAGCCCGTCCAACTCTGTTGTTCTCTCATTGCGCTCTGTCACCAACGTCTGCCGATATTTCCTGGTCCTGTGGTCGGTCCGGTAGAGGCACTCACGGCTAGAGCCTACGCATTGTGTACATGGTCTGCGGCCATCGCACTGAAGGAACACCCGTCTTTAGTGCAACGGCGGCGATAGAATAGGTGAGTTAGATGGAACAGTTAGCCACGTACCTTGCGCCGCGCAACCCTGCAGCGCTGACAAGCAGAGGAGACATTTGTACGTCTGACCGGCGTTTGAGTAGGGCTGATGGCTGACGTCGGGTTTGGCGAGGGCGAAGGCGGCGTCAGGGGTGCGGCTGGTCGCAGTGGGCGTAGAATCGATGACATTGACGGTGATAGAAGAAGCTTTGGGAGGGTTAACCCGAAGTTTTGAGAGGCTTGGAATTTCTGACTTTCAGCACGCCTATACCTAGGCGGGGATCAGTCCTGCGGATAGACTATGGATGTTCTTCTCGATCTCAGTCCACAACACATGTCTGCTGGATTTTGTGGCCAAGGCATCTACAATGAGGAAGGAAAGAGAGCCGGCCTGGGTGTATAGAGACCGCACATTGAGATGGCGGTTCAAAGAGCAACGGTAGGAATGACTGAAGTCCATCGAGAACGTCTTTGGTCGTTGCATTGGACATTGGCGGCAGCGAGGTCTTGTCCCGGGGCGTCTGATGTTGCTGTTAAGGCGGCAACTGTTCAAATCCATGACGGCTGTGGGACTAAGAGGGTGGGCGATAGGGCGGCGCCATCAGAACCTCGAGACAGAAATGTTTAACCGCCGGAAGGATCTAATCATGATAAGATCACACCGCAATGCATCCCAACTGCAACTCGATCACCTTCATCGCTCTTGTCTCGCTTCTGTGCAGCTTGACAAGCTCTATGGACGACGCTGTGTTAGCTGAGGAATGTCTTCAGGTCATTCGCCTCTCCTTGAAATCCTCTGACAGCCTCGTCGGAACCCTCGCAGACACTGGCGGCATACCGCAGTCGGAACATATACGCAAGATCATCACAGCCATCCTATGGCACCGCAAGTTCATCTTGACATATTATGCATGGATCATCGTCGCTGTTGCTGTTACGGGTACGCTTCGTTTCTACAAGAGGGCAGCGCCCCGACATAAGAGAAGGGACAGGAATGATCAGAGGCTCAACAACCATGGGTTTACTGCACCCAGCTCGTCGTCGTCATCATCAAGCGGTACATTGACCGGGACAAGTACCCCTATGCAGAAAGAAGACGGTCTCGACAATGAGGAGGTGAAGCCGTTGCTATCTGAGTCACGGCCAGATTCTCGGAGACGTCCAGCTCTTCTAGATCGACTGAAGTCCTTCTTGATGTTCCAGCCTCGACCCGTCCCTGCACTGACGTCTCCCTCGAACACCCTCCCCGACAACGCCACCACCCTTGCCGTCACCTTCTTTCTTGCTGTCAACCTCTTCTATCTCTTCTACCGCGTCCCACTGTCGCTGCCATGGATCTTCATCCTCGCCGATCGAGCTGGTCTGCTTTTTGTTGTAAATCTCCCCGTCCTCTACTTTCTGGCCGCCAAAAACAACCAACCCATCAAATACCTTACGGGATGTTCTTACGAGGGTCTCAACATCTTGCACCGTCGTCTTGGTGAGTGGATGACCTGCTTCGCCGTCATTCACATGTGTGGGATGCTTACTGTTTGGTACACTATCCTCCGCCCCTTCGGATTTTCCATGCTCCGCTTCCTCAGTTCGAAAGTCGTTTTCCTCGGCCTCTGCGCGGTGATGTCTTATTATGTTATCTATCTTACAAGCGTTGGATGGTTCCGCCAGCTATACTACGAAGCTTTCCTGGTTGTACACATCATTGTCCAGTTCACCGCTCTGGTGTTCCTATTTTTCCATTACCCTACAGCTCGCCCCTATGTCAGCGCAGCCTTCGCCGTCTGGGCCATCGACAGGCTCCTTTGGCGCATGACACTGTCGTCTCGAAAATTCATTGCCACATTAGAAGCTGCCCCGGATGGCCATACCGTTCTCGTCCACTGCGAGATCCCCTTGGACCACCGAAGATCGTCATTTTTCGGGATACAGACGAGTCTCCACCATGGGTGGCGTGCCAGTCAGCACGTGTTTCTCACTATTCCTTCAATGGGCTTCAAGTACCGTTTTCAGGCGCACCCATTTACGGTTGCTTCACCTGCTCCACCAGAAAATACAGCGGCCATCAAATCATGGCCTCTCCAACTCACAATCCGCGCAATAGACGGGTTCTCCCGTTCTCTGCTCCACTACGCCCGCCACCATCAACACTGCGAAATTGTCCTCGATGGTCCTTACGGCAGCACCTCAGCCCTAGCTGCGGCAAATCTGGCGGACCGTGTGCTCTTCGTTGCCGGAGGCAGTGGGATCGCGGTTACCTATCCTCTTTCCTGGGCAATCCGTGTCCGAAATGAGGGCAATGACGATGCCGGCCTTCTGAGCACAAGAATTGCTTACAAGAACGGTGTGAAGACGATCCCAGCCGTCGTGGCGGATTCAACTCCATGGGTATCCGACTCGAAGTATGCACATTTCTGGGTAAGGCAGGAGAAGCTGCATGGACAATGGATCTGCGCGGTACCCCGAGCGAGCGCGGTGAAACTAAGCTACGAAGACGAAGATGCCTACGGGGCGATGCGCCATCCTGCTGCACAGCCAGGATGTGAAGATGACGCCGTGGCTTTGGTGACAAGGACCTTCGACACACGATCTCCGGGCTGTGAATGTGGCCGCCCGGATATGCAGAGCGAGATCTACAGTTGGATCACGTCGGTCTCCTCGTCCATTTCGGGGGCCCCATCTAGAATTGCTTATTACTCAACGCTGTCCTCTTCCTCATCGTCGACGGCGCTAGAGGAAGGCACCCCAGAATCAAATCCTGCATCTTCATCATCCCTGCTCCAACCACCAGCGCTGCAGAATTCCAATCCCAAAACCAGAGATACACCTTACTCTCCCTCCACGCTGAAGGACGGAAAAAAGACCCAGGGCGGGAACAGGGAGAAGATCTGCATCATCGTCTCCGGCCCAGACGGTCTCGTGCGCGACGTGCGAAACGTCGCTGCCGATCTTGTCCGGCAAGGAGGCTGGGACATCGATGTCTGGGCTGAGAAGTTCGGGTGGTAGGTAAATAAATTGCCCGCGCACGGGCGATGGCGGTAGCGGTGGTGAACCAGTCATGTGGCCTTGCGGCTCGCAACACAGCGCAGCTCAACCCAGCCGCGTGGGATGTCTCGCCCCTGAGTACCTGACCAATTGCACTATTTAGTCTCCCGCTTCTCTTGAATATGCGAGTCAAGGCTTGGGTTGGTGGATTGCTGCCTAGCTATTCTGCCTTGGTTGGCGCTAGATATTGACTCACACGAAACTAAACTAAAACGGACAGAGAGAAGGGAAGAATTGGAATCTAGAAATACAGATATAAGGAAATAAATGGATGCATGTGCTTTAAGAATCAGAAGGGAAATCAATGGCTGTCTTGTTTCGTTATTGCTCGAATCATACAAGTCTAGATAATATCAGATTTCATACCATGCCATAGTTTGCCTGTGTTCATACCCGAGCCCCATTCATGATAAATACGTACCGTAAGACTCACTCCTACAAAGGAGGGAATGAGGAAGAAAGAGTTCCGCGGAATGCAAGATAGGTTAACCGATACTATCATCACCCGGTGCACCGTAGTCGTCATCGTTCTTGCTGACAGGAAGAAGACATGCAGCACACCACCCGATCATGGGTTGGGACTATCCGCCCTCTGTCCCATCTTCATCGCAAGGGCCATACTCGTGCTATGTGCATAGTGCCTGTTCATGATGTCCCCCGGGTTGGCAGAGGCGGGGTGCATGTCCACGTCGAAGGAACCCCCTGCTGTTCCTGGCTCAGTGGCACCAGTGCCAACGCCAGTCGCAAGCCCCGGTCCTCCTGCTCCCGTGGGGCCCACTCCTATGTGGCTGCCGGAGTCATCAGCAGGCATGCCGAAGCCGCCAAAATATTCATCCGCCTGGGGAATGCCCGCCCAGTGGTGCATGGAGCTGTAATCCCAGCCGTTCATCATCGGGGTTCCGCCAATGGGGCTGTCCCAGCTCGTGCTCCAGTTGAGCGTGTCGAACATGTTGTCCATGAACAGCTCCTGGGTGGCCGTGTTCAGGTCGTCCATGTTGCCATAGGTGTTGGCAAAGGAGACGTCAATATAGGTGGGACGGAAAGACGACGTCGTCATCGTCGCTAGAGTCGGCACTGCACTCAATTGTGCCTGCGGTGGAGCCGGCGTTGTGGCCGATGTAGGCGTGTCCATGGTATGTGGCGGATATGTCTCCTGGAACTCTTGCATAGCGGCAGAATGCCGTTTGCTGGCATCATATAGCCTGATTATGACCTCCAGCGACCGGCGAGCGGTGGTGGACCAGCCCTGCAGCTCTTTGAAGACTCGCATAGCGATTTCGACTTGATGGCGGCTGGTCTCCACCACGTCGACGTCGTGAGGATCCGAGTAGAGCGAAAGAAGTGGGACCATCACGGCTTGATAAAGGAGCCATGTGGCATTCCAGCCAGACATCTGACAAGCCTTCTGCCCTCTCCAGGTGGAGGCAATGTCATTTATCAAATCCGCGCATACGCCACGGCACAGCTCGATAGCCGCTTGCCTCTCCAGGGAGAGACTATCCCATGGGATCTTGCGCATGGCGTACCAGAGCAGAGCAGGGCGGTGAAGAATGATGCGATTCGACAAGTAGCGCCACCTCATGACGTTTTTGACGACCGTGACTCCGGGAGGTTCGTTGGGGTTTGGCCGTGAATAGTCTGCCCGCACAGATGAATGCTTGTACCACTCCTGGTACAGGGCATCCAGAGGACAGCGTTCATACTCTTCTAGAAGAGGAGACACGGCGAGCGCGTCTTCCATCCTTGTGCTGATGATACAGAAGCGGACATTTTCCTGCACCAATGCCAGCATGGCGGTAGATTGACCGATTGGTTCTTGAGGCGGTTTAGCTGTAATAGCGTGGCTCATTCGACCCATGCTCGGCCTTCCGAGAGTGTAGCCAGCCCAAGAATCCAGCATGAACGTACACCACCATATTCTGCGGCGCATCTCAATTGAGAACGATGCTTTCTGAATCTTTGCAGGGCCCACACCTTCGGTGTAGTCTCGATGCAGTCCCAGCGTAGTGGCAACTCTCAAGGTGGCACCCATCAAAGCATTTGCCTGATTGGGTATTTGGACGTAATGAAGATAGAAGCCGCTCAAGATGGCAAGCGCTTGGACGGTCTCGAGGTGAGCTGAATCCAATGTGTCCAGGTTGAGGTGCTGCTTTGCTCTGTTGAAGTAGACATGATGGCCAGTATCCTCTGACGTCCCCGCTGCCACGCTGCCCATGGCCAGGACACTATTGAGAAGTAGAAGCCACCGAGAGTCGGTTCTTTGAGCGGCCATATAAGTGTCTCTGAAGACTTGCTCCTCAATCAAAGGGATGAATGGATGGACATAGCTAAAGTAGGCATTGATGAGAGGAATTTCGTCCCAGGCGGATGCCGAAGAGGTATCGTTTCTTGTCTGGTCAGACTCACTCGTTTGATTCTCTGGAGCCGGTGATGGTTCACGGGTGGGAATGACGCTCCTCTCGGGAGATTTGGTCAAGCAGTCTGGATCAAGCCAGGTGATTACTCTCAGGACAGCCATGACGGAGGATATCCCAAGATAGGATGAATTCTGCTTGACCGACAAAGACAGCATGTTGACATCGTCCGTGATGCCTTTCAGAGCATGGGTTTTGCGGTCGGCAAAACCGTCATTGCTGTCCTCCGGTGTTGGTTGCAGCTGCTCGAGGTTGGCAGCATCCGGATTCACGGGAGGAGGTTTCTCCTCAACGCTGGGTGTTCGGGGCGAAGGGGGATGAAATGGATTGCTCTTCTGGATGAGCTCGACGAGCCTTTCGCGAGGGAGCTCTTTCAGCTGGTCTGGGTGCACGCTGGGAAATAGCTTCTGTATGATGACCCGATATTCCTGGAGCGTCTGAGAGATCTTCTCGACAGACCTGGGCACGAAAAGTCAGGAGTCGCCAGTGGAAGGCATGAACAGGCTCTCTGCTCACCTTCTGGAGGGCAATTGCCGTTGTCTAGGCTCGGTATAGTGACAAGACGCAGCCTTTCGATACCACTGACATGTTTCACAGGGGTGCTCTCCACTGCACCTGATCTTGCGGCGGCGGCAGGGCTCGCAAGCCCTCACGGTGGAGGTTCTTCGCTTGGAGGCCGAGCTTGCGTTTTGCTCGGCCTGTTCTGGGCTGTGATATTGCGCAGTCTCGAAGGTATGAAACATTCTGAGATGGACTTGGCCAACAATCTGGGACTCTGGCCAAAAAATGACACAACAGGGGTCTCCAGAGCAAGATGAGCTCTTAGTTAGATTGGACCTGGCTGAGAGTGGGCTGGGGACTCAGAGGCTCGCCACAGCGCTGAGACCTCGAAGTCTCAACCTCAGGAACTTGTGCCAGAACACCCAGGACTCAAATGTGTGAGAATCAGTTTTCCCTGAAAATGTCTTCTGCCAGGGCGATGATGCTCTGATCGACCTTACGGCCGAGGTAATCAAAGATCGACAGGGCAGCAGCTAGCAAGCAGATTGGTTGATAGCAGTGAATTGGATAGGCAACGATACAAGGAAGACGCAGGAGGTACAGAGCTTCTCCTTTATGGCTCCCACAAGGGTTCCCACATACAGAACATTGGGTTGGTCAGACATCGAAGCCAGGAGGAGTAGAAATCTCAGAATCTAATATGCTGCTGGAGAGTCCTGTCTGAACTAGTGCCACGGGCCATATGGAAGAATCCGGGGAAACTGTGGAAAAAGCATGGGCAGTGGTGACCGGGGAAATGGTTAAGTTCAACGATATGCATGACGGGCGCAGATACCTTGTTTGTGCTAGAGCTTGCGCCAGTAGCTTCAGAAGGTGGTGTGCTTGTTTCCTGGCGAGAGTAGAGGGAGAAGAACGGGACCAGAGAATAATCGCACGACCAGGGTCATGGACAGGGGTGTAGTGGCTTGGGAGGCCCTGGCGTTATGTAACCAGGGTCGACGAAAGAGCCTTGGAAAAGCTCCAGAAGGAAGTGAAGAAGGGAGACGCAGAGTTGGCTCGTTGAGGTGCATGCAGTAGCGTTTTCGATTGGCATGGACAAAAGCTAAGGAAAAGGCTACTGTATGTAGGAGGAAGGGGAGGGTCGAGGTTGAGTGACTTGACTGGTCCAGGGGGCCGTATTTGTCAATCCTCTGTCCAACCTGTCAGTAGGAGTCAGTCCTGGATGATATGATGATTGCCACAGAAGAGAGCTTTGGAAAGGGGGAGGGAGGAGGGATTAGAGGGAAGTGATGGTGTGGGTGGTACGTGTAGGTGGTAATTTGATGAGTGATGAAGTGGTAACAAATGGTACTGGTGGGATTACCTGCCAGCTGCCCACTATCCGTACTGCGTAATGTCGGAAGAAGAAAGAGTTGTAGTAGTGGTGGTAGCAGATTCGAAGAGGTGGTATTGGTGGTGATGGTGGTGGTGATGATGATGGATGGACCCAGAGACCAAGCACTGCCTGCGCCGCCAGATTGTGGGGAGCTTCATGATTTGGCTCTGACCGCCTCCACAGGCCATCGACATCCACATCGCTATCACCACCCTCGCCAGCACGTTCAATAACGCCTAGGTACCATCTCCACCGGCATCTCTATTTCCAATCCCCATATCAACTTCCCCTGTCCCACTATCCACATGGCTTGTTACATGGCGACGTGACTGACGAACAACGACCACAGACACCTCCCATCGTTCCCTCTCACCCGGCTGAGATTCTCATACACCACCCTCCCTCAAGGTGTCATCTCTTCCCTCCAAGCCCCGTGGGTGCCCCCCTCTTGGCCCAGTCTGCTCCTAGACTAAGAAAAACCCGTCCCAACCCATAACGACCAGCCTCGCCGAGCCCGTGAATCACTTATTTAGCCGCCATTGACACTAAGAGAGGGATTCCGTGTGTCCGTCTCGCTTTAGCCGGACGGGCCCCATTTGTGCTGTCATTCTCAATCTGCCGAATATCATCCCATTGCTCCATTCGCACAAATGCAACTTCCACCCCCCTTCTGGAATCATATCATTGGCAACCCACCGGAGCTTTGCTCTTTGCCTTGTGCAACAAACGGTCGGCAAGCTACGGAGTCCCTGCAGAGTGTGGTTGGACGCACGTCTCGTCTGACCCATCCTCTAGAGGTCTATTCTTGCGAAGAGAGTAGGAAAGGAAGCCTGACGAATTGCCCCAGCTACGCCGTATAGACGGAAACTCTCTCCTCTCTATTGTCCCGACTCAGGAGGCCATGTAACATCATCACCATGACATAAACCCTGGCCTTTCCATTCCGATGTTCTACCGGGAGAAAGGCGCAAGGGAAACTTTTGGGCTCCTTCTCTAGCACTGTACAGTTACACAGCCCCTTACCAAGCCCTTCCTTATCCTTTTGAAACAAGATCAAGAAAATAAAGGCCTCACCAGGCTGACTGTCCGCTTAAGCAAGGCGAGCTTCAACCGTCTCGAAATCAACTTTTCCATCGGGCCGAACCAGGGCAAACGGCCTTGCCCTGGTTTCTTTCCATGGGTCGGTAATATGCAATAACCGTCTTGGGCATGTTGTTTCATGCTTCGTAACCTCGGCTTCCCGGGGTCCATGGCTGTGCCTGTCTTACTGCTCCCCAGCCCCCAGGTAAGTCCAGTCGAGTGGTGGTTCTCCAGCCTTGAGCCCTCGCACTCGGATAATCTGCTGGTCATTGGGCACCAAGTCAATAGCGCTGTCGCTTAAATGACACCCTTCCCGCTCCTCAAACACAAGGCACTTGACCGGCCTGTCTGCAGACACATGCATCTCGTCACCCACTACCTCGACCTTGACGTTTCGATCGGGAAACTGGAGATATTTTAGAGGCTGCGGCCAATCGGTGTCACGAGCGACCAATGTGCCGTCGACCCAAATTCGCGCTGCCAGGACATGGGGCTCCTCCTGCACATTGTCGACCTGCCCCTTGAGAACGTCGGTAGTCCCGTTGGCCTTGATTTTGATTCCTTTCTTCACCATCTTGTCTTTGATCTCCAGGCCGGTCCGGACGGACACGAACCTGACCTCCACATCTGCCGTGATCTCGGTCAGCTTCGCACTGACGACCCACAGCTCCCAATCCTGCGTCCGGGGTTCGCGGGCGTGTGTGACACTCCAGTCGTGGTGAGATCGACGAATTCCGACTGCTACCGGGGCTAGAACACGCGCCATGGCGTAATACGCCGGTTTTCTCCTCAGGTAGTAGTCAACAATCGACCAACTAGTCACCGGCCAGCAGTCGTTGAGCTGCCACACCAGGGCTCCGCCGCAGTGTCGGTCGTCCCCCCATTGTTTCCGCCAACCGCGATAGCCAAACATCAAAGCCTCGCATTGGATCAGTTGGGTCAAGTGGATGTAAGCCTCGAGTTTTGTCACCGTTCTCACGTTCTCCACCAGGTACGTGGCAATTCGTCTTTCGTGGCCGTCGGCCTTGTTGTGAAAATCCAGCACATGACTTTGCGGGTAGAGATCTTCCTCCCTTTCCACAAACGATTTGATCGTCGCAATATGAGGGAATGCCTCCATGCCGAACTCGGAATTGAACCTTCCTCCCAGCGAGTCGAAGATCTGGTATTTTTCCTGCGTCCCGTGCCAGACGTTCCACTGGTGCATGTCACCAACCGTGGGGTCCGAGCTGATCTTGCCGTCACCCCATGGCGATCCCGGATGATAAGGGATCCAGGGGGCCTCCGCCGCTGCGACCTTCGGCAGTAACGATTCATAGATGTAGCGGGCTGGGAAATCAGATTTTAGCCAGTGCTCCTCGTTCTTGTCTTCATAATCGTAGGTCAAATGGGCAGACTCCTGGACTTGGTAGTCTTCATTGTTGCCGGCAAAAATCACCACGCATGGGTGATGGCGAATCCGTCGAACATTGGCCACAGCCTCCGCCTCGATCGACTTCAGGATTGCCGGAAAGCAGGGATAGTTTCCGCATCCAAACATGAAATCCTGCCACACCATGATCCCCAACTCGTCGCATGCATCGTAGAAGGAGTCGTGTTCGTAAATCCCTCCTCCCCAAACTCTAGGCCACACCGTTAGCTTCCATCCCATCAAAAGGACCGGTCGGAAGGATTCGGGGGGTGCCCTGTCTCGTGTTACCTGATCATTTTCTGGTTCGCCGGTACCATCAATTCGATCCATGCTCGGTATTTCTCAGGAGTCACGTTCGTCAAAAAGCTATCGGTGGGGATCCAGCATGAGCCACCGCAGAAAATGTCGACATCGTTGACCCGAAAGTAGAACGATTTTCCGTGAGAGTCTGGCTCCTGCACGAGCTGCACCTTACGTAACCCGATGCGCCGTGACTCTTTGTGTAACACAGTCCCCTCAATCGAAATCGTCACGCTCACGGTGTATAGGGGCTGCTGTCCATACCCGTTGGGCATCCATAATTGCGGGTCGGAGACCTGGAGTTCGGCGGCGGTCTTCTTTCCCAACACCACGTTGGCTTGCCTTGAGAGGATCTGTCTATCTCCCAGACTGACTGTGAAGTGCGCTTCGACATGGCCATACTGGGCCTCGAGTCCTTCGACATCCGCAGAGGCGTGGATTGTGGCGAGCTTGTAGTCATCTGAGAGGACGACGTCGGTCCGCAGATCGGCTATTCTAATTGAATATATCTCCAGCCGAACAGGTTTCCAGATTCCTGCACACATAAGGAACGGTCCCCAGTCCCAACCCCAGTGATACTGAGCTTTCCTAACTGCCAGACGTGCTGAATCACCGTTGAAACAGATGAATTTGTGCTCCGGATGCTGGTCTTTGATTTCGCGCGCTTTCAGGAAAGCGGGTTCGAATTCGATCTCCAAACTGTGGTCTGATCTGGACTGAATGGCCTCCGTAACGTCGACTCTGTGTGGCAAGAACATGTTGTCGCTTCGAAGGATGGTTTTGCCATCTAACTTGACATGAGCAAAAGTGTCGAGACCATCGAAGGCCAGCACAACTTTGGAGCCTTGCGCCACAAAGGGCCTGGCGAGTCTAGTCCGATAAGTCCACGACTTCAGACCTACCCACTCTGCCTTGATCTCGTTGAATCCGACAAAGGGATTATCCAGTCTGGTAAGTGTCTACATCAGCTCTGGCCGGTGGTCAAGGAACGCCACAATATACACACTTCTTGTTGTCGATCAAATCCTGGTGCACAGTGGAAGGGAGCTTCTTGACCGGACACCAGGCATTTTCACCAACATCATCGCTCTGCTTGAATGACCACCCAACGGACAAGTCGACGACCTCCACGGGTGCCAGCATGTCATCGACCCCGGACATGTCCCCCATCGGTGTCTATATGTCACGATTGTTTTCTAGGGAAGAAGGAAGAGAGGAAAGTACGAAGAAGCAACACTGTGAGGACGTATGGGTAAAAAGATCCAAAGAGTCCTGGCACATCGAAAGAGAAAAGAGCTCAAGCACGGGGAATTGGAGAATTGAAAAAGGTTCCAACTGCCACGCCACGCAACACGGCGTGCTACCCTTGTAGCAGTTTAACGAAAAGAATCCACCTCACTCACCCACTTGATCTGACGGTACGGAGACCACGCCGCGACATGAGGATCTCTGAAACAGAGTAATGCTCAAGAGCAGACAGGCAACACATGACCCCAGTTTACCAGTGATTGCCCCCATTGAGCAAGGCGGAAGGTATCGAAAGTGGCATGGAGACAGGGCTCGACAGGGTCGTGGGGGGTTATGACGGAATGGCGAGGTTAGCCGATAAGCCAGTCGGAGAATTTGTAGCCGGGGAGCTAGGCCATATTGGAACGGCGGAGGACAAGAGCTCCGGTTCGAAAGGGGAAAGGCGTCATTCTGGTTTATCAAGCAGTCCGGGCATCGAGCCTCTTCTTTCCGCATTGCTCAGAGAAGTCTGACTCGGTGCCCTGCAACCTGGCCGTGTCTTTTCTTTCACGCAACGGAGTACGTACTAGCGACACGAAAGGAACTCTCGCCAGCTGGTTGATTCCGCCAGCACCCAAACGCAGCAACACACCCGCCTACCAGCTGCGCTCAACCGTGCCAGCGGTGGAACATAGGCGAGTCCTCCAGCTGACCTCGAGAAACCTCTATTTCCCTTTCTGTAAAGGAACTACCTCCCGTATCCTAATCTGATATCTACACGGGCACAGATGCCGACCTTCATGGCATCGAACAGTGCTGCGCCGTTGGCAGGCAAGAGTGGGATTAGACATACGGAGTGCAAATATGCTGTGGTGCAGAAATGTCGCCTGCGTCGGGCAGTCAACCCCTAGTGAACCACAACCGCTACCAACCCCATGTGTCAGGGCCTCCTTTCATGGGTCCTTCCAGTTCACTTGTTACCCATCCGCCATAATAATCGCCTATGAAGAGAGGGGATCGATCAGATTCCGCCGCCACATGGGGTCCAATTGCTCACCTTCCTGCGGGGTGACCTTTTCCTCGTCAACGAAGCATTCCCACGGCACGCCGCTGGCGTAGAAGGACAGGTACCCCTTGATGTCTGTGAAGGCTGGAGTCGGCGACTCATAACTCCATATCTTGTTCTTGATGGTCTGCCCCGTGGACTTGTCGGTCAAATCCCAGTACGTGGCTCGGCCTTTCCATTCACAAAGGGACGCCTTCTCGGGGACCTGAGTAAGCTTGAAAGAGTCCGAGAGTGAGTTTCGGGGAAGATAATATGCTGCCCGAGTGAATTGGTTTGGGGTCAGTCGCGATCTGGCGAGACCAAAGGGTATTTTCATGGACTGGTGGGCTTGCTTTGTCACGACATGGCAGAGGAAGATTGGACGTACTAGGAGGATGGGTAGTTTCCAAAACCCAATACGCTGATTTGGTGTCGGCTAGAGTCTGGCCGTTCCACCTCATCAGCAAATGCCTGGGGGTTTTCTCCAGCAGCGGTGGGCGTGGGAAGTTGTGCACGTTCAACTTGGGTTTCGCAGCCATAGTATCACAGCGATAATGATGGAACTAAACACAGTAATGGCTGAGATTAGGCTCACTGTGTGGTTTACATGGTCGATGACGATATAGAAGTCTGACTGCCTGGTGTGCTGCCCTATTAGAGACTAGCCACAGGCGGTCGTTTGTGCTCCGATCAGCGATCATACAGATCTCGTGGCGTAGGGCAGCGTCGGGACCCCATGCAGGGGACAAGGTACACAAGGGTTCAGGGAGTCAGCGAATCGACAGTTATCCTGAATGAATAAATCATATTATTGTCTCTAATCATACGGATGTCGTTTTGTATCTCTTCCAGGTCTGGATCTTACAAGTCAGTCGGTCGGTCGGTCCCCTTAAGGCATCCTGTGTCCCACCTAGTCAGGTGCCCTGCATGTCCTGTTTCTTTCAACCTCAGATCATCCTCATCTCAACTTGTTATCGGTGACCACTGTAGCTACCATCCGGTGCTTCTGAACACCATGGACAAGTGATGGAATCCTCCTACTCCTGTCTCACCTCACGTCGTCCCCCCGGCTCCCCTGGGGAAGTCGCCGAGGAAGACTAATCATTCTCATTGGACTGGATGTTTATTTTGGTTCTGTTCAGGCTCTGCCCCGCGCGAATACGAAGGGCGAGCGTGGCCAATTTGCCGGACAAGCCACTGGCTCTTTTCCTATGATGCAGCGAAAGAACGCGGGTCAGGCCTGTAATGCGGGAGCGAAGACCAGCAAACGACAGCCCGTTCAGGCAGGAATCGGTGTCCTTGGGGCCAGGAGGACATCCGATCTTGTCATGACGGGGACCTCGTCCTTCTACAAGCAACGAACTCCAAATTTTTGACTATGGGGCCCTTGTTCGCGGCGTCCTCGGGGACTCGAGTCTATTTTTGCCACTGATCAATGATCGAAATTTGGGATTTAAGCAAAGACCTCGTGGCGAGCCTGGCTCTGCTTTAGCGCTGCCTTAGGACCGTTCTGTCGGGGTCTACGCTCGGGGTCCAAGCCTCACCTCGCAAGCCACCCAGGAGCATTTCACCTGAAATCTCGAAGCAAGTCCTTTTGCAACTGGGCTTCATCAAAGTTTCACTCGATCGTTTCTTAGCACGCACGAACACGACATGTCTTCTTCCCTGCTGCTGAGCGCTGCCACGGGCGGCATTTTCGGTGCTGCGTTGACGGCATCGGGAGTATATGCCCCGTCTGTTATCATCTCACAGCTCCAGCTGGGGAATTTTCATATGCTCAAGAGCTTCCTCGCCGCCAGTGCCTGCAGTGCCTTAATCGTGGCCGGCGCGAATCGAGCACAGTATGCCAAACTCTCCCCCCGGTCCGACTCCTCGTATGGCTGGTTCATGAGATACGATGCCAACCTCATTGGCGGCCTTTTACACGGTATCGGCATGGCCTTGACGGGTGCATGTCCCGGCACGGTCCTGGTGCAGCTGGCGATGGGCGTGAGATCCGCCCCGGCCGTCGCTGTGGGATGTGTCTTGGGCGCCATCGCCTTTGTCAAGTCGGCACAGCACCTCAAACGAACGCCACCGACGAAAACATCCCCGGGTCCCTCGCAACAGACGATGCAAGAGAAGCTAGGCCTGTCGACCAACTCGATGATTCTCCTTTACGAGATTTTGTGTCTTGGTATGATCGTCGCGGCCACGTACTTGGCACCCACGCGCGACCATTGGCTCAACCCGATTGTGGGCGGACTTCTTATCGGCGTGGCGCAAGCAACCTCCGTTCTGTTCACTCGCAAGACCCTGGGAGTTTCCAGTGCGTACGAAGACATTGGGAAATATTTTTGGAGTGTCGTGGACGGCAGGACTCCAGGCCCGGGCTTGTCGAATATCGTCTTCGCCAGCGGGGTCATGGCTGGGTCAAAGATCATTTCGCAATTTATCCCCGCTGTGTCCGAGGCAGGAAGCCTGGCGATCAGTCCCGTTGCCGCCGTCGCTGGGGGGTTCACCATGGTGTTCGGGGCAAGAATGGCAGGTGGATGTGCAAGTGGACATGGCATCTCTGGGATGGCCACCATGGGCCTGAGCAGCTTCATTACCGTGGCCGGCATGTTCGGAGGCGGCATTATACTGGCTCTATTGCGCCGATGAGTGCTGAACCTGATGCGCTGTCCCATTCACCAAGATATTCACATTTCATTCCAGGCAGTTGTCTGAATGACCACCGCCATCGCACCATACAGTGACAACCAACCTCGACAGCCAGGGGCAGTCACTGCCTGTCCGTGACAAGCATTCACTGTGCGATGGAACACCTCTCCCGGAAGAAGAAGTGGTCAGAACATTCTGCCATTTTACCTGTCTGGTTTTACACACCATATCCCTCGACATCCTGAGCTCCTATCGTCCTGCCTGCCTGCCTTCCTACCTGCTAGCGGTCACTACCACAGATCATCAAACTCTTGTGCTACCAAACATCCCCCGGAGCTGTCATCACTGGCTTGTGCCATTCTTCAGGCGACGCAAAACAGAACAAAAAATGCCTTTCCTCAAACTCGCCCCGGTCGAGAGACCTGCGCGCCCAGTCCAGGTATCCGCAGCCCCCGGTGCCGGCACCTCGACTAGTGCTCCCGGCCACGCCAATGATGGATCTGGAAACCCGGGTCTCAATCACTCCAGCACGCAAACTCCCGAGGACGAGGACAAGGACAAGGACAAGATGGACAAGATCAAAATCATCAACAACATCACCAACAATGGCGACACATCCGGGTGCAAATTCCTGAAACTGACGCCAGAGACCAACAAACCCGCCACGGTCCCTGCTCACACTGAAGCTGGCACTGGCACTGGCACTGGAACTTAGAATTCATCGGCACGTGCGGACCAGGACTGGGAAGATTGTGGCGGAGACCACAAGGCTCCCGGAGCCCAGGAGAAGTGATCGTATGTGGACGTGAAAGTGGTCGTGAAACCAGAATCAGAAAGAAAGGGGTGTGCCTGTGTATGTGTATGTATATAACGATCAAGCATGCAAGCAAGCAAGCAAGCAAGCAAGCTAGCCAGAAGTGAACTTTTGGAAACGGGGTTTGGTGCAAACCACCAGACTCGAATGGTCTTCTACAGTATGTATGTATTCATGTACAAGTATATATATATATATGTGCGTGCGTGTGTGTGTGTGTGTGTTTATTCGAGGGAGGGAGAAAGAGAGATAGATATCCAGCCTTGGACAGACAGCATCGGCGACGACGACAAATCACCACTAGAAGAATAACAATGATCCCCCTTGTGATCCCCCTATATCCCTCCCCTGCTCATCCCTTCCCACTTCTTCATCTAGCTCCATCCATCTCCATTCACCATCTATGTAGAACTATCGACCCATCTATCCATTCATCCATTTATCCCCTCCGCCCACCCCTGCAATGGACAGACGGATAGAGAGGCAGTCCCACCCCAGCCCCCCCGTGCCCACCTACCTACCTACCTAATCCACGCTACTTAGGAGGCAGGAGTATATATATCGAGATACATACATACGTACATACGTACATACACATACACATACACATATACACCGCAGCGGCAAGTCAGTCGATCTGTATAACCCCGGATCCAAATGCGAATCTAAATCCAGAAAAAGGCCGGTGGGTGTGTAACACACACAATTGGATCTATATACATATGTGCGGGGTACATGGGTACCGGATGCATACGGTACTGGACATCTGTCGAACATCGACCGATCTTACATTGCATTTCATGGCATCTACACACGAACCAAGGCTTGCCTGCTCACTCGCTTTCTTTTCTTTCTAGCTCGGCCGTGGCAATCAATCCAATCGCCATACACGTTGTAATCAGGCTGCACCAGATTACGAGATGTACAAGTATGTGTATAACTGACAGACAACTCGCTCAAGAAACTTGGCCAAAACAGCGCCAAAATGTCCGGCATAACTCCCGCCTTGTCTTGCTCGCTCGATCGATATCGTACAAACCTGATATCCAATGCAATCAATGTCCGAGCAAGCTGAGATTTGGTCCATCTGGTTCATGTCCGTCGACAAACTGGTCAGTCAGCCAGCCGTCATCACTACCATATTCCTCGTGTATTTACACCATCTCATCTCATCTAACTCTCTCCAAGGCCGTCAAGATCAGCACCGCTGCAGGTAATTGCTGGGCACCAATCCAATCCCGCCTGTCTTCATGCCCCTCGCACTCTCCTTGACCTCAGCCTCCCACCATCCGTCGTCCTGTAGTCGCAATACGGCGAGGATGTCGCCCTTGGCGAAGGACAGTTCTTCGGGAATTGCTGCCGTGTAGCTGTACATTGCTCTTGCTACAAGAAAATGACGTTAGTAAATGTTTCCAATCACTAGCACCCTGACCGGTGGATGGATGGTTGACTTACCATAATGCAAGACTCGCGGCTGACGCTGCTCTTGAGGCGGAGGAGCTCCTCGGTATGGTATCGCTGCAAGACTCTTGCTCCTCTCCCTCCGCAATTCAATGTCCATACCGCTTCCATTGACGCCTCCGCCTCTTTGCCGGCTGTCGTAACCCTGCGGTTGTTGCTGGAACTGCTGAGGTGGTTGTTGTTGTTGTTGCGGATATCGATCCCCACCAAAGCTGGAGTTGGGTCGCATCATTCCCTGTCGACTTCTTCCACTGCCGCCGGACCCGTCGTAGCGTCCCGGATCCTGAGAGCTCAATTGAATCTCCATGCCGGTGCTTTGCCGCGATTGGCTGGGTGCCACTCCAGAACCTCGTGATCCTCCATAGGGATTGGGCGAGGCCGCACGGTATTGCTGAGACCCAGGTCGTCCTCCTGACATCATTGCTGGATTCGGACTGGCCGCCCTAGGGGCCATGACAGGCGCCGGACTTCTCGAACGTGGTTGATATCTTTGAGTTTGTTGTGGCTGAGGACTCACAGCACGGGGCATGGCGCCGGGACCGGGACTTCTAGACCGGGAAGGATGCTGGCTTTGAGGCTGGGGTTGCGGGCTCGCTGCTCTCATCATACCGGGTCCAGGACTCCTCCTCCCATTACTCGTACCAGGTCGTGATGGCTGGGTAGGCCCTCCTCCTCGAGTCCCCCATGTCTCAGTGCGGTTCAGCATTTCGCGCTTGGTATGTGCTGGCTGCGGCACACCGAGAGCACTCTGCGCTCTCCCACCTCCCATTTGTGCCGGCCCAGCGGTCTCATATGCCGGTGGAGGTGTGCCTCTCTGTGCCGCCAGGCGGGCTTGACTTTCAGCACTCAGGATACTTGGTCGAGTGACTGGCTCTTGGTCAGGTGCAGGGGTTGCCACGCCGTGGTACCTATCCACGGCCACCCGCGTACTTGATTGTTTGGCCATGGCCGTGGCGCCGCCGGCAGTAAGTTTGAGATCTGCAAGTGCCTGTGCAATTGGATCGTGCATCAGCTCGTTGCCCATCACGGAAGGTGGTGGCATGAATTGGCTGCGTCGATTTGCGGTACTTGCTTTGGGCGTCGACTCTTGCGCACCGTCCGGGCTGGCCACGTCGAAGACATTGTTGCCCACACTCAATTGAAAGCTCGCTCGAGGATCTGCCGCCTCTTCGCCTTCGGGAGCCATGTCAACTGCATTTCTATTGAAATAGCTTGGTGCTTGACGAGCGGAAGACTTGGTAGGACTTGACTGCGCACTGGTCACGGTGGGATTCAGGTTTGTGCGAGCGCTGACGGCTGAGCCTCCATTCCAAGTGTTACGGCTCGAGGGATCGTTAGCGGACGGAGGATCGTGATCTTTCCTGGACTTCCTCCGGAACGGACTGTTGGAGAAGAAACCAGACCTCTTCTTCTGGATGGATTTTTCGGGTGACGCCATTCCCGGTAGTTCAACGCCATTGATGGGTGGTCCTTTGACGGGTGAGACTGCGCCTGAGCTGAGTTCCGCACTGGTGAATGAGCTTGGTGCCGAATAATCACTCTGATCGTCCCTGCTATCTGGTCGAGTGTTTGAGGACAAAGCAGAACCAGTAACCGAGGGGGCACCGTCGCTTCTGCAGAACATGGTCATGCCGTCCGTCGGATACTGATTATGTGGCACATGCGGGACCTCCCCATGTTGGCTCGGGCTGTAATTCGGAGGCACATTTGGTCCTGGGTGTTTGTAGTTCAACGGCGGTGGTCGTCCGCTGTTGCCATTGGACGGCGTCGGCATATCATCCTCATCTGGCCTCGTCGGCTCTTCTGAGTATCGCCGCTCCGGAGTTTGGCTGGTCCTGGGCTTTGTAGAGTTTGAATGAGTCGGAGATGATGATCTGAATGCGGGATTCGTGGTCCGTGAAAACTGGGCCACGGAATAGTTCTCGTCTTCCGAAACCTCAGATGCCGTATCCACGTCCCCTCGACAGAAGTTGATGTATCGAGGAGGGTCAGGGATTTCTTGGCCTGTTCCGCAGGTTTTGATGAAGCAGGAAATATCCTTCTCGACCTCACAATTCTCCAGCGCCAGTCGGATCTTTTCGCAGGACGCGTCGTCCGAGACGCACACCGTCGAGGCAATGTTGGCGAACGCCCACAGGGAGGACTTGGTGAAGTCGAGGCGCTCTTCTTCGAGATCCTGGAACTTGTCGCACGCGGCTTTCCACTCTTTGTTCCACCGACCGGTCGTCTCCTCCAGAACCTTGATCGCAGCCTCGTATTCGTTCGAGTTGGCGGCCATGTTGATCTGTGTCTTCTCGAGCTTGGCCTTGTTCTTGCGCTCTTCTTGCCCCATCACCATGTGACCCTGAGCCAGATACCCCTTGACCCGCAAACAGTCCTGCTCGTACTTGTCCCGACATTTGTTGACGTGGGCGGTTTGTGCTTGTTTCGTCTTGAGCAGCCTCTCAATGCCGTTCTGGATGATTTTGCGACGCTCTTTGATGCCGCCTGCGAACGCTGCCAGTGGCTCCTCGAGCTCGGACCTCATTTGCTGTGCGATTAGGGCATGTTGCTTGCCCATCGATTCTGTCTCTCCTCTGGCGACATCGAGGCTGGTCCGTAAGGTCCCCTGTTCCACACTTCCCAGTGGCTTGCGAGATAGGCTCAGGAGTTTTTTGGCATAATCTTCTTCCAAGGCTGCTCTTGCACTGTAAAAGGCTTTCAGTTCGTCGGACGTGGTTTTGGCATTTTGCATTCGGGTCAGGAGAGGGTCGACGCCGGCGTCATCTCGTCCCCAGAAGTTGTTGGAGACTGGCCCGAGTAGTTAGCCAGTGGCCAGGCGTGGGCGATCCGCAACACTTACAGCTCAACGGCACAGATGGAGGGGCACCTATTTCCGACGCAGTGCCTGGCGGCATCGTGCCAGACCCGTAACAATGTGTTCTCTGTCTCTTTGTCGAAGTGGTTGATATGAATGCAAACACCGAGTCTGGAGATTTCGGAGTTGTGGATAACTATGCGAGGATGCAATAATGGTAGAGGATAGTGGAAAGCAGGCTGATTGCATCTGCGACCCCAACGATGGGCGCAGTGGGCGTGTTTGGGGGCTTCCCAATTTGGGTTGGCGTGTGGTTCCCTAGCAACCAGCCGCCAAGACAACATTCAGCCTTGTCGCAGTCAGCAGCACAGCCTTGTTTCTTCTCTCTCTCTCTCTTTCTCTATTATCATTCATTGATTCAATCCACCTCGAACATAAACCCCCATCCCTTCACCAGACGCGTGTCTACTCCCGCCGCCTTCAGCATCCCCCACACCGTCGTACTGACCGAATCCAGCACCGTCACCCGCAGCCACTTCTCCCAGTGCTCGACGCGCTGTGCGGCGAAGAGATTGGTGCAGAAGGTCGTCAGTACCAGCGCGCCATTGGCTGCCACATCCATCACCATTTCGTCCAGAGTAGTCTCGTTGACTTGCGCAATCTCAGTGTTGTCTGTGAAGCCCAGATGGCGCTCCCAGTTCGCGCTGATGTCTACCCCGATGGCGGCGTAGTTGGAGCGGATCACATCGTTCATGCCTTTGACGTACGGCGTCACCAGCCCTATCGAGGTCACACCCAGGCTGCGCATGAGTGCGTTGAGTGACTGGACTGACGTGGTCGCCTTGATGCCCGTCTCGGCCTCAATAGCCGCACAGAGCCTCTCATCATGTTCAAAGCCCAGCCACCCCGCTGACGTGCCGCCCCAGCCAATCACATCGACTTTGGCATCCGCCAGCAGCCTCGCCGCGGCCAGTATTGGTTCCAGAACGAACTGGGCGTTTGCATTGGGCGAGATGTCGATCGTGGTGACGCGAAATCGAGAATAGTGCACCGAGATCGCCAGGCCTTCGGAGTGGATGGACGAGACGATGGCATTTGTCAGCGGCTCTAGCGCGGTATTCGACGAAGGCACGATGACTCCAAGCCGTACGGTTCTCATCGTTGGTATCTGGTTTTTCGTATTGGCAGTTTCCGAGTTTTTGCGCGAGACAGATGAGCAGTCTGTCGGAATTGACGCTGATAAGATGACGTCGAATCCAGCCTTTGTCCGGAGTTCAACGCCAGAGGCTGCCAAGACATGGGAATTCTGCAGCCAGAAATGTTTTACCTTAGCTTGCCTGATTGCTCCAGTGCTCCCTCCTCCTGAGTCCAAAAATGGGCATTGAGCAACATCTCACTACTCATCGTGGATGTGTCGCAAAAGCTCTCTGATGCGCTGCACCAGCGCACTGACTGAGGTCAGGCACGCATGGGGCATAACATAGAGGTTTGTTTCAGGATAAAGACCGAGTACTGGTCCGAGACTCAAGACCTCACACTTGCCGAGCTTCTCCCCAGACACCTTTCTCAACAGACCTGCGCCTCAGAACCCCCTTAACACCATTTATTTGGGCGTCATCCAGCGAATCACCTTTACTGATAATATACCTCATGAGCTATAGCAACCTACAATATCTATATCGCTTAAATCAAATCGCTACCGGCTTTCCACGACGTAATCTATATTAAATTTGAGCCCAGCAATGGAACGCTATACCATATGATTGGGGGACAAGCCTCTGGTTGGCAGTACGAGACAAAATCTCGGGAAAGGATCGAAGACTCACAACAGTTCTGCATGAAACACTTCAAGGGAACGTTGAAGGCAGCAGATGTAGCTAGGGTTGACCAGATTTGTCGCAAAATTCCGATGCCGCGGACTCAAGTCATCCATGGAGTCCCAGTCCACAAGGACTGCCGGCATTGAGTGGTGGAGGCGCTTGATGAAATGCAACGGGAGGGTGTATATAGTCCCAGTGACTGACCAAGAATGCCTTTCTCAATTAGAGTCTATGGCTCGCAAGCCCTCCCAAGTCTTCGCTCAACCTCTTCTTAATACCCAATCTCTTGAACCACCAGGCGTATTCATTGGGGAATGGCTCCAAGAGGTGGTCAACCCACCGAAACCAGTCGTCTTCAAACCATGATGCAAAAATCGTACTAGCATATTCCCAGTAGCTCGGGCACCAGCCTGCACTCTCCCAATCCAAGAGGACGATGTTGACTGTTGACCCAGTTCGAATCATGATATTCTTCTTTTGAAGGTCCGCATGCGTTAGAACGGGCGGATGGCCGACTAAAACTTTGGGTATGACTCGAGATCTCTCCAACCATCAGAAGGGAAGTGCTGATGAATCACCAATTAAACCTCTTCTCTGCCATCCCTCTGTCAGTTCTTGGCCTCCGAAGTGAACATGGGCAGAGGCTCCCACAAGGAAATTATTTCGGCCTGTTTCTCGCCGTTCACATCATTAGCATGTTTCTAGCCAGCGTCTGGGAGAGGGAGGGCTGTTTCGTTAGGCGTTACCCGTAATAACAAGCCACCCTTCCACCGATATACCGCGAGAGTCGTCATTGCTTACGAAGTATTAACGGTACGTCTATCTAGGTTTAGAAATTCAAGCAACGAGACGGGGGTCACGCACTTTCGCATAGAACAAACAAAACGAGGATAAGCTTCATAACGATATTATTATTACTAACTCTTGGGGACTCGCCGAAACCACCTCGCCGGACTGGTTCGGCGTGTCCTCGCTGCTGCTGGTGCTGTCGGGCGTCACGTCGTCGTACGCAAACGCGTACCCCCGCCCCGCGATCTCGAGCTGGTGCACGAGCTTGCTGTACCAGTTGGTCGCCGTCGACGCGGTGTAGTAGCAGTCCGCTGTCACGCCGTCGGGCTGGACGTTGCCGCCGTCGAGCAGCAGCGTGGAGCGGTTGATGGCGGCGCACAGACGCGGCACCACCGCCTGCTGCACCGCCGTGGATGACCCGTCGAGCGCGAACGGGCCGCTGGCGCAGCTGAAGATGTCGGCCGCCGAGGGCTGGGCGAATGTCGCGCTCGCGCCGCTGTCGTCGGTGCAGGTAAGCACGTCGCCGCTGGCGGTGCATGTGATGTCCCCCTCCTGCCCGGCCTGGCTGTTGATGGTCAACGGCTGGCTGGCGTAGGTGCTCCAGACCTGGTCGACGTAGGAGGTCCAGTAGTCCGAGAAAGCGTCCGCGTTGAGCTGCATGTAGTCAGAGGGAGCGATGACACGGATTGGCTGGCCCTGCCCGTCGGTGACGCAGAGGTCATTCCACGGGTATCCATCCGCGGCCGTCTGGTTAGCCAACGCGTCACACAGCGTCTGCAGCGCGTTGGGCTGGAGACCTGGCGTCGTCTGAGTGCCGGTGTCGGTCCCCGTCAATTCGATGCCCAGGTTCATGCTGACGAAATCGACGTAGCTGATGTCGGTATAGACCACGCCGTCCGAGGTGTACGTGAGCTCCACGAAGCCCCAGTTGGTGGAATGCTGGGAGGGCCCGGTCACGGACGGCTCGACCAGCGCCGGACCTGAGGAACCCAGGACGACGGAAAATTGCAGGGTGCCCTGAGCCAGCCAGATCCGTCCGGCGGACACGGTTGTCGGAATTGTGAGGTTTGTGGCCTCGCCAGAGCCGGACACTGGTATTGTTATCTGGTTCGGGTCGAGAACGGTCGGGACAGACGAAGAGATGTCCGTCGGCGGATAGTACCATTGGCCATCGGGCCCGAGCAACACGAGCATTCCATTTGCGTCGTTCCCGGTCATGTATAGATTGACACTCTCTCCCTGGGAAAGGGTGTTCACGACAGATACTGGTAGTTGAGTACCAGGAACACTGTCTAAAGTGAAGGTTGTTACGTTCGAGATTTGACGAGGTGTGATATTGGCGCCGGTAGAAAGATCTCGACGGACAACATTATAAGGCGCCTTCGGCAAGGCAGAGCATCTGTGCGTCAAGGAGGACAGTAAAAATAAAGGTAGGAGGAAGGGGGAGGCTTCGAGATACATGCTCTCTCGCCAACGTCGGGTAACAACAGCTGTAACGGGTGCTCCAGATGGAGATTTAGTTTGGTCTCTGCACTCACAAGCGCGGCCAAGATTGCTTGTTTGCGATGGATGTCGATACAGACAAGCATTCCAAACGAAAGCGTCCTCCATGGCCGTTATTAATCTTTGCATTTCTCGAATGGCAGGGCAAGGCTGAAGAGAGTCCAGACATCTGGTTCTGCGTGTAGAGGGTGGCTAGAGTTGAAGAGAGGAGGTCGACCAAAGTTTGTTTGTTTACCAGCCATAGCAATAGGGAAGATATACTTTTCCATTGACCTAGCTGTGTCTCTCTGACCCGCTTGGAGATCGCGGTGGCTTCGTCTGAGACCCACTCTCGTAGATAGGGCGGATTGAGAGGGACGCGCAGCTTTCGCGACTCGACGCCTGAAATATGCATTGTGTGGCTAAAGGAAGATGTGAAGTATTGACTCTCTTCCGCAATTGCTCAGAATGTACTTAATATACCGTGGGCGCCTTTGTGGAGTGCCCATACGGTGTGACAACGCGACGAACATCTGTTCTTCACGACCACGACTAGCGTCAGTGGCGTCGGCACCAAAGAGATTTGGCCCACGACCTGAAACGAGGCGCGTGGTCGATTAGAGTTTCGCCTCGGTGACAAGCGTCGACAGCTGGGGTTCGCTAATCGGCGGAAAAATAGTGACAGCTGCACAGCATGCCAGCCACCGACCGACAAATCGCCAGCCACGCGATCCCGCGCATAATCCCCACCGTGGGAAGTCGTGATAGGGTTTGCGTTCAGGGGTTGGGATCCTGCAGGAACCAGTGGATCCTCTCGTGGACTGCTTTGGGGAAGGACCCTGCACCTGTTCTAGCTGTCGAGGGAGCCATATATACGTCAGGATCTTCAGATCGGGTCGTGAGAGGGAGGCTACATCTTGCCAACCCCAGCGGGACCGTCCCAAACAGATGTTCAGCGCAGGGAGCAAGAAAAGCCCTTAAGCTCCTTTGATCCTGATCGCCAGTCTCTAGCCGACTCGCCTTCCAGTTTATACGTGATATTGGAGCCCTACTCCTGCGGGAAAAAGGTGAGGACGTGCGTATACCAGCATTTGCAAGGACACTGCGTAATCATGAGCCCAAAGATGGTTGGGACAATCAGTATTGTCCCACAGATGAACGACAACAGGAGAGTTGTCGACGTCATTGGCCATGCTCTTTGAGAGACCGGACTTATGACGTCCAGAGAAGGTCAGTGAAGCAGCTCGTCCATATCTCCGACCTCTCGTGAGGTGGATGTATGCTGGAGAACCTGCAGTACTGGGGTTGGGACGAGAGCGACGCCACCCTGTGCTCGACTGAGTTCTGTTGTCCAACCAATGCTGGCAACCAAAGACACTCATGAGTAGTGCTCCAACAGCCTGATCTCGGCCGACCAAGACATGTCAGATGTGCGAGGCCGTCCTGACTAATTGGTCAATCACATGTGGTGCCCGGATACTAGCTCGGCACCATCAGATCCCGGAGACAAGAACTTACGGAACGCCGAGAAGCCGAGACTCGAGGCAGAACGAACCGATCGGCCAAGTCTGGTACCCTGGCCTCGTCACTCTGACAAACGGGGGTCAATCCAGGGGCACGGTTTGTCAGCCAGGCACCGTCGGGTGGAGGTGCTTCCGACCATTGGATCAAGTATACATACATAGGGCGGAGACGTTTCATACCTCTTTTCGCAACATCTCTCATGCAATCACAAGTACCTCGACAGGCTCATACTCTTGCTTCATACCTGCTCTAACCAACATAACCCCAACATGTCGAAAGCGGTCCTCATCACCGGAGCCACCGGCAAACAGGGCGGCTCAGTGGTGAACGCACTCCTGCGCGCCAATGCCGATTTCCAGATCCTCGCTCTGACGCGTGATGCAGAGGGAGCCTCTGCGAAGCGGCTGCTGCAGAAATCCCCCAAGATAAAGCTGGTGGTCGGCAATATGGACGCTGCGGACGAAATCTTCGCGAAAGCCAAAGTGGCATCGAACGTGCCCATATGGGGGGTGTTCAGCGTACAAGTATGTCATCTCCTCTCTGCCTCGGAACTGTTTCAACGGAGCTGACTGGGTCTTTTGCACACAGACTGCTATTGGAAAGGGCGCCAACGTCCAGTCCGAAGAGCGCCAGGGGAAGGCCTTGATCGACGCCGCCCTCAAATCCGGCGTCAAGCATTTCGTCTATTCCTCCGTCGACCGCGGCGGCTCCACCAAATCGGACGCGGATCCCACCAACGTGCCACACTTTGCCAGCAAGTACCGGATCGAACAACACCTCTTCGAGAAGACCAAGAACCACGAGATGGACTGGACGGTGCTGCGCCCGGTGGCGTTTTTTGAGAACCTCGCGCCGGACTTCTTCGGCAAGGTCTTCACGACGAGCTGGGTCCGGACGCTGGGGCGGAAACAGAAACTGCAGCTGGTCGCGACGAGCGACATCGGCTTCTTCGCGGCCGAGGCGTTCCTCAAGCCCGAACAGTACAAAAACACCAAGCTCTCGCTGGCAGGCGACGAGTTGACCTACGACCAGTTCAAGACCATCTTCGAGCAGAAAGTCGGCGCGCCGCTGCCCACCACCTTCTCCCTCGTGGCGGCCCTGATCATGTGGATGGTCAAGGACTTGGGCTACATGTACCGGTGGTTTCGGGACGTGGGATATGGGGCCGACATCTCCAGCTTGAGGCAGCTCAATCCCGAGTTGAAGGACTTTGCCACTTGGCTTGAGACGGAGAGCCCGTTCAAGAACAAGCGGACGTGATGGTGGGAGTGCGACACGAGCCGTTGACCGTTCCGTTGGAACAGTTGACCGGCTAGGCTGCGAGATTCAGGGCAGGCGTACTCGGTACTATACCCAGCTTGGACACGTTACTTGCGTCACAAAAGAATAATCAATTATTAGTCTCCAAATATCAAACATATTAATTGCTATTAGATGAGAGCAAATCTCGGTGGTTTCAGTTCCCGAGCCTCTTTGTCCTTAGGATTCTGCTTCGGAGCCTGCACCTTCCGAGAGTGGAGCATCTTCGGCGTCTCATTTTTCCGTAAAATCAGGGTGTACCTCGTACTCGGTACCGAGTGCCCCGGAATAGACGCCCTTCTGCGGCCTCGCTACAGGTATACTCGGTGGCTCAACAGACCAGCGTTTCGTCACGTATCTCACCGTGGTAACCTTTTGGTCGTCGTGCATTTGGGAAGTCCGAATCTCTGGCTACGGCGATGCTTGAGATATATACACACGAGTATACTTATGACGATAGATGACACTTCCTTCAATCCCTATATCTACTTTTACACACCTGCGTACTCTTTTTAGTCCATCTCACTAGGCAGGCTGTCGCCACACGAGGTCACTGTCATAACAAAACGGTAGGTTTTACAAGCTGCACAGGCATACATGTCAAACGGCCAGCCATTCGCTCCGTGGCGCGGGTTCAGATCAACATCTTCAACCAAGAATCTGAGTCGTCCATCAGGAGAGATTCGAACTCTCGGAACGAGTTCGTGTCGAGGAACAAATCGTCCCAGTTCGTTCCGGCATAGCTGAAAGGGTCGTACGCCGCCTCGGCCGAAGCTGTGGTGGCATCAAAGGGCTGTCGCGGCCGTCCGCCGGGCGTGGATGTCGGCGACTGCAAGGGACCAGCACCGAATACGCCGGCGGCGGCGGCGGCGGCAGGGGGTCCATACGGGCCTATTGACGTTGCTTGCCTACTTGACTGATCAGGAGTCGTCCCATTTTCAGTCAGGCTCTGGATAGATAGTAGCGACGGGGGTGCCGATCCCCCGTGAACTACGCCCGGGACCTCCGTCGGCGATTGCCGCTCGTTCCCGTTTCCAAAGACACTGTAGACGGGTCCGTCATCGCTGCCAGCGTCACACCGCCCGCTGGAGCTGATGCACACCTGTTTCTTGTGCAGGTACCACAGTCGGAGCTTGGCGAACGCCATGCCCCAGGTCCGGGCCTGCGGGAGATATCCGTCTTGTGTGATCTCCGAGATCTTGCTTAGCATTGCGTCTAGATGAGACACGGCGGATGCTTCTTCGGGATGTGCCGCCGGGGTCCGGTCCCTCATCGCCTCTCTAAACGGGGTAATCTTAATAAGAGCAACCGCTGCATACAAGGTCCACATGAGATAGTGGTTGGGGAGCGCTCGGGCCAGGCGACTGTCGAGCGATAGGTACGCGTCGAGTAATGTCTGGCTCGAGTCTATGCAGCTGCAGATTGAACTGACGTGCTGGGAGCTGAGCGTGACGTCGGACGCGTGAAAATTTCCGGCGGCATCGCATGCGAACGATTTGTGCATGTAGCATCGCACGGCGGTCTGGTGGAGACACATGTTGGCGAACTGCACCAAGCACCTTTTCAAGCCTGAGATCTAGTTAGAATTCATGACCCTGAGAGCCACGTCGAGGCACGGAAAACACTCACGGTCGTCGACGAACTCCGGCGTCGAGGCCTCCCAGCTCCGTAAGCGCTCCTGGAAGGTTCTCAGCTGGTACTGGACGGTCGGACTGTCAAAGTCCCCATCCGCTTTCTTGTCTCCCGAGTCGAAAGTATTGGAGACATTGTCGAGGATAACTTGTAGTCGCACGAGGCTGCAGAGCAGGGCATCTGAGGGAGTCACGGGAAGTGCCGTCAACAAGACGTTGATGCACGCTTCGAGACGACTCGATGGAGGCATAAGATTTTGCTGCCGGAATAACGTGGCGTTACTGATGTAGAGCAGAGAGGTGAGTATCAGCAGAAGACAGCGGGGGCGAGGCGGATTAGTCAATTACCTAGATGCGGCGTACCAGCACGCCAGATATGCCCGGGCCACCTCCCTTGCTTCGTCCTTGTTAGGACCCGACGCAACGGTGATGTGTTCGACCACCCCAAGATCGCACAACATCGTAATGGCCGCGGAGACAAACTGCGTCGGCAAAGCATGCGGTGAGTCCGGATCGTGGGTGTAGTACTGCGAGTACAAAAGGCACGCTTGGACGAGATCGAGACATCGTCTTCCTTGTTCCAGAATCTGCTTGGCCAGCTGATGTTTCAGTTCTTTGACCAGCGGGGACTGGAAAGACGGCAAGATCGAGGCGCTGGCGACGCTCAGAATGGCCAGGAATAGCATCGGCTTCGTCCTTCTGCACTCGTGCAGGTTCTTCCCGGAGAGTGCGACAATGGGCAAGATCGGGCGCATGGAGGTGTTCCAATGGTCGAGAAGAACCTCGGCCGTGGGTACATCGAGCAATCCCCGGTCCACGACGTCAAGATCGGCTGGTGGAGCGGAATAGTGCTGCTTCGACTGGGACTCATGCAAATGTTCCCATGTCGGACGGCGGAACGAGAGCGAAAAGTCTCTCGACCGTTCCGACGACACGGACTGCGTCGGCGTCCCAGAGACACTGGACTCTCCTAGTTGTTGGTGGTCCTGAGGCTGTCTCGCCGACAATGCGGATGAGAGCGACGCAATCTTGCTTTCGAGCTCGCTGATCTTCTGCGACGACTTAGTGCGCGGTTTTGCCGGTCCGGGCTGGACACACGTCCGAGACTTCTTGAGACAGGCCTCACAAGACTCGTGGCCTTGCACCAGAACACATCGGGTCTTTGTCATCCGGCACGGCACGCACGCGATGGGAGTCTTGGTGCGCTTGTTGCGGCGACGCACTTCGGATACGGCAGCATCTTCTGCCGGATCTTGACCCTCGTTGTTTTCGACCCCAAGTTCCATGGTAGATTGTTTACGGCTAGGAGAGATTGATTTAGTCCGGCTGCACGAGGCTCGTTAATTCGCAGTTAGCGGGTTCACTTCCAGTCAGTGGTCAAAGTACCTCGTACAGAGTAGACTATAGTAAGATGAATGTGGACATACTTGGTAAGCAGCATCTCGTGGCTGGCGGGAGAATGCCAAGCGGCATTGCTTCCGAATTCCGGGATGCCGGCCCGACCGGACTCTTGGCCTCCTGGGCGCTAGTTGTACCGCATTAGAATAACCCCCCAAACCCTCACTATTGATAACTTTATGTACTTCAATGTATATATATTTCCGGCATACCCTATCTTCTGATATCCATATATATATTGTTGTCCCTCTGGGCAAACCCGCTGGAAGCCCCCTTGCTCGCCATGCACGAACCCCTTCTCCCTCATCATGTTGGTATCACCGACCTGAGCCTCTCCGGTGTCCTGTCGGGACGCCCGATGTACTTGATCCAACTGTACGGATCCGAAAATTCGTCCACCACCCCAGTCCCCGAGAATTTCCCCTGAACCACGCTCGGGTACTCGCCCGCCAGGCCTACGACGCCGACATCCTTCTTATACATTTCCCACAGAGTCAGCAGTGCTTGGAACTTCTCGGGTTCTGTCTCGCGCAGGTCACGCGTTTCCCCTGGATCCAGTCGGATATTGAATAATTCCCACCTCTGAGGGCCCCGGGGGCTCGGCACGAATGTGATTTTCCAGTCGCCCTGCCTGAGTGCACCGGAACCCGCAATTTCGAAGCCGACAGCGTAGTCTGCGTTGTGGATCTGAGGAGGATCCTGTCCGCGTGCCAGTGATGATCCCGACATGACAGACTCCAGGAAAGGGACCCAGCTGCACCCGCGGAGAGGGGCAATGGCTCGACCCGTGTATTGAGTTCCAGGATGCTCCAGACCTGCCAGTGACAGAAATGTCGGGACAAGATCCATGACCGTGCAGAACGCATCAGTCACCTGGCCCTGAGCGTGCTCAAGTCGAGAAGAGCCGCAAAGGGATTCCGGCAATTTGACGACAAGTGGCACTCGACACCCGCCCTCAGTCGAGTGCATTTTGAAAAGCCGTGACGGTGCAGTGGCTGCCTGAGCCCACTGCGACCCATACCAGACGAACGAGTTTCCTCGGCCAATGTTGTCCAAACTGTTGTCGTAGTACTTCTCGATATGTTTCATAACGTTCTGCCCGACAAGAGGTAAGGCCTCATATGAGGCACCCTCAGCTCCATTGTCGGACATGAATAATATCAGCGTGTCGTTGTACTCGCCCGTCTCTTTCAGATAGTCGATCACCCGGCCAATGTTCCAGTCCATCCGGTCAACCATGCCGGCGTATGTCTCCATCGCACGAGCCGACTTGAGACGGCTCTCCTCATCCAAATCATCCCAATGGACGTCGTCCGCCGCAGTGTTCACCACGGGATGCGGCTGAACGTCGGGTTTGACGAGACCGAGACTGACCAGTCGCTTCAGACGAGCCTCGCGCAGGGCGAACGGTCCGGCATTGTAGAAATTGCGGTACTTTCGGACATTCTCCTCGGGCGCCTGCAGGGGCCAATGTGGCGCTGAGAACGGCAGGTAGGCGAAGAACGGTTTGGCCTTCTCCTCGGCCGTCCTCTCCGACAAGTACGACAACAGCTTGTCCCCGTACCCGTCCGATGAATACCAGCCCTCGGGAAGCACGTCCACGAACTGGTCGTCTTCAACATGCAACGCACGCGTTGCTGTTTCGAAAAACTTCTCCGGTTCCGCCGTGGGGTCGTACTCTGGCGGCTCCCAGGCTATATGGATGCTTCAATGAGCTAATTTCGTTCCTGGGGCACAGATATCTTGGTTGGGTCTGGGACTTACCGTAGTGGTTCGCACACCCTGGGAGCAAGGCAAATGACCTGGCAAACCCTCGCTTATGGGGATGGTGCTCCTTTCGCAGACCCAGGTGCCATTTACCCGACATCATCGTGTGGTAACCCCCTTCCTGGAGCAACTCAGGCAGAGCAACCACTTTCTCGTTGAGGTAGCCCTCGTGGCCCGGCTGGCCGTGGTGTGCTGCCGAGCTGCGAGTGAACTCGGCGAGCTGACCCAGCCCAGCGATGTGGTGATCAGTGCCCGTCATGAGCATCGACCTCGTCGGGGAGCATGCTGCGGCGACGTGGAAAGAGGTGAAACGAAGACCGGTCGCCTCAGCCGCGAGAGCATCAATATTGGGCGTCTGGATCTCGGAACCGAAGCAAGCACAGTCGCTGAAGCCCAGGTCGTCGGCCACGATGACGAGGAAGTTGGGCCGTTTCTGGGCACCATCAGGAGTTCTTTGGATCATTTTCAAAGATGGTCTGAACTCTCAGGAAACGACCTGGCAAAGGAGGGATTTTAGTCTATGCCGTATATGCACAAGAATATATACAACGGCCTGCGAAAGCGACAGGAAGTATTATATATTGTACGATGGTCGGCAGCAAAGATGAGCTCAAACCTGAAATCGTCCAGCTTCTCGGGCCAGGACTAGAGACTTTTGCAGCAAAGCTCTGTCTATATTTGTCTACATATCCTCCATTTTCGAGAGCGAAGATCCAGGGCAGCTCCACCATGACCGACGTCGCCTTGCCGGCTCTCGTCCTCAAATCAAGCCACCGAACTCCGACAGCGAACTCCGCCGACGGTCCTCGGTCGCCACCTCGATCTAACGCTTTTCAACAAGTTTTCCACATCCTGAGGCCCACGTTAGCCCTCCGTCCACCAGTACTCGATGTTCCCTGTTACTGGAAACGTAGTGCAGGGACTCTCACTCCCAACTTTTCAATCGAGCCCACCCCCCGAACTCCGCTGTTCGCCATCAGCCTCCTAGTTGACGCGATCCGGGGTTGGATATGGCAAGACACTCGAAGCCTGGCTTCTTTTTTAAATATGAACCATGCTTGCACACTCGGGATTGTCAACTTGCTCTGACAAGAACTGAATCCCAGCATCAGTACCGCCATTATGAAACCACAGAATGAAGAAAGCATCGGCATAGGCAGCCGCCTCCGGCTGTTCTCCAAGACCACCTTTTTCATCATGATGTAGGTATCTCACTGAGCCGATTGACGACGACGCCGACTGACTGAGTATCCCAGATACACGGCCAGCTGTGCCTTCAACTTTGGCTATGATGTCGGAAATTTCGGTGGCGTCCAGGGCATGCAAAGTACGTTTACTGTTGTCAGAGGTGTTGCTCGCCTTCCTTGCTGATCGTTACAGGTTTCGGGAAGATATTCGGCCAATACTATGAGAAGAACGGGAAATACGCCCTGCCAGCCTACCTTTCCTCGGTCATGACTTCGGTTCCTTTCTTCGGCAAAGTTTTTGTATGTGCTGTCGGCCTTTTACAAGGAAGTCCTTTGGCTGACGGTTGATGGACTAGGGTGTCATTTGCGGCGCGTGGATTGCTCAAAAGTTTGGCAGGAAACCAGCGATTGCAATCTTGATCGCCAATGGCTTCGTGTAAGCAATACCACATCACTATGCTTGATGCCCATCTGACGACAGACTTGCAGAGGCATTACCTTGCAAACGGCGGCCACAACAGCAGCTCAGTTTACCGTGGGCCGGGTGATCAATTTTGCAACGACCGGTTTGACGATCATTGTGGTGCCCATCTACCTTGCTGAAACGAGTCCTCGCGAGCTTCGTGGGATGATGTGAGTGACGAATTTCTCTGCATTGTTTTGTTGGTGGTTGCGGTTGTTCGATGCGAGAGCACTTGACCCGGCCTGTTCCAAGACTGAGGCTAATTTCGAGACAATAGGAATGCTACGATCCAACTGATGATCATTCTGGGTCAGTTGGTTGCCTCGTTGGTCAACTTGGGCACCAAGGACCTGAAGAGCAATGCTGGCTGGCGAATCCCGGTCGGTCTTCAATTCATTCCTGCAGGACTTCTTGCAGTGCTCTGGTTTTTGCTTCCCGAGTCGCCTCGATGGTGAGTCTACTCAGTCAAAGGTTTGACGGGAGAGCGTCAATCTGACTACAATCTCCGACTAGGCTCCTCTCACAACACCGCACCGAAGATGCCGTCAGATCTCTGCAGAGAATCTCAAAAGCCAGCAAGCCGATGGGCGAAATTGAGTCGGACATCGCCATGCTCCAGAGAGAGCGTGCCAATGAGAGCAAGGGCACTTGGAGAGAGGTCTTTGACCAAAAAAACAGAGTCGGTACATCGTGCTGGTGTTCACACCGCAGCTGCTGACCGTCGCTCCAGCGTCGAACGGCTGTCGCAGTCCTAGCAATGTTTGGACAGCAAATCACTGGCCAGGCATTCGTTTCTCAGTACTCGGTCATCTTCTACCAGCAGCAGGGCTATGCCAGCCAGGCGTTTGTCTTCACGGTGCTCAACAACGTCGTCTCGTTGGTCTGTCTCATCTTCACCTGGTTTATTGTCGACTCAGTTGGTCGCAGGTATGAATCCAAGCAAATGACTGTCAAGGTGGACTCTATGATGACAATGTCCACAGGCCTATCCTTCTCTTTGGGGCCTTCATGATGGCGCTCTTCCTTCTGATTCTAGGGGGCCTTTCGACAATCGCGAACCCGACACAGGGGGCGAGGCACATGAGCGTAAGCATTGTACTCACAAGCTATTACCGATCTCTGAACGCTAACGCATCACAGATTGCCAGCGTCATGCTTTTCGGAGCCGGATACAGTCTTTCGTGGGCTCCTGTGTACGTGTTCTCTGTCGATGACTGTTGTCGTCCCTCAGTGCTGACCTATTGCCTGAATACAGTTCCTACATTATCGTCAGCGAAGTCGCCTCTACAAGAGTCAAGGAGAAGACCAATTTGCTCGCATGTGTGATCTCCGTGCTCACGACGTTTGTCACTTCCTTCACCATCCCTTACCTCATCAACGACCAGTACGCCGGGCTCGGTGGGAAAGTCGGGTTTGTCTACGGCTCCATCTGCGCCGCCATGTTTGTCGTGGCCTATCTCTTCATCCCTGAGCTCAAGAACCGGAGCTTGGAAGAGGTGGATCAGCTTTTTGCTTCAGACACTTGCATGCGCAATTTTGGACAAGTCGAGACCCAGGCGGCCGAGACAGTTGAGGCGACGGAGGTGCACGAGGTGGAGTATACCACCAAGGACGAGGAGGCCTAAGCCTAGACGTGGAATCCTGGGAGGATATACTCGAGATGTCGAGCGGTTATCGCAGAACTACCAGCAACGGCCGGGGTCTTTCGAACCACGTGATGAATCAATCCGCCATAGCTGCCTTCAACAATCCATGCTTTGGTCGATTTAGATCAGCAGGAGTTCAGAACAGAGTTTCTCCTAATAGGTGAACTTCACTGAGCGTATCGGACAGTGATCGTCTTGTGCACGTCGCTCTTGATAGTATCTCCCGGCAGATATCCCCATCATCAATGACGCGAGGTCACCTTTGCCGAGGAGAGATTGCGTGCGGAGTGTCGGGGACAGGGAAGGCAATGAGTGGGCCTGGTCGGGGGAGGAGGCTAGATAGGACAAGTTCTGTGTAACTGTGATGCCGGATGAGTGTCCGGAGAGCTGCTCCTGTAACAGAGCAAATGTGATGGCCATTGAGTGCCAAGGCGCTAAAAGGGCCGAACTGCGATATCCCTATTTCTCCCCTTCCTTCGCCACTACCACCACCGACAACCACCACCGACCCCATATATAAGATATAATGGAGTGCCGAGCTGCGAGCGAGCTTCCGACGACCAACCTTTCTTTCCAACTTGGCCTCACTCCTTCTCCATGAATCTCGCCTGTTACTCCGGAACGACCATGTGACATATCCGCCCAGATGGAACCCCAGGTCAATCCCACACCAAAAGCCTGTAAGAAGCCTATTGCTCTGGCTTCTTAACTTGACGCGACTAATCTCCACCCACCAGCCTGTCTCATTTGCCGGGCTCGAAAGGTGAGTCCTTCCGGGTGCAGTGGCTGGACCAGAGACGGGACTGCTTGTTAATCGGTGCCCTTGCAAAGGTGAAATGCGATCGAGCTCAGCCAGTGTGCAGCCCTTGTGTTCGCCTAGGGATTCTTTGCCCCGGATATGCGGAGGCGGAGCAGCGCCTCTCGCAGGCGGAGCTGAGGCGGTCTGCTGGTGACATATTTCGGGCTTCTGGCATCCGTAGACGCTTACTTGGTGCATGTTATGAATGCCGCCGAACCAAATGTGCATGCTCACGGACGAGTCCATCCTGCGAACAGTGCCGCCAGAGGGGTTTCATCTGCACCTACCCCGAGCAGAGAGAATTTTCAAGGAGAATCACGTCTGGAGTGCCGAGACACGTGGTGCCTTCGCCCGCCGACATTCCTAGCCCCCTTGCCCAAGCAACTCCGACACCACCGGTAAGAACCAGACTGGATCGGACCGGCCGCTTGAGCAGAAGGCGCCCCGTGGGAACAGACTGGTAAGAGGCCTAGAGATTCCGCAGCCTCAGTCCACGCGTGGCTCATTGCACACAGGCTCCATGCTGACTCAATCCCGCACGACGTGGGTTTGCTACGGTCTCTGATTGACAACTACTTTGATCATGTCCACCCGTTGAGGTGTCTGGGCTTCATCCACAAGCCGACCTTCGTATATGCCCTGGAGAGGCGTGCTCTGACAGATGAGTATGATGAAGCATTGGTCTACATTATGTGTGCTTTCGGCGCAAAGTACATGTCCTGGGGGGCTCATCAGCCTCTATGCATTTCCGACGACGAAGCCGATGTCCCTGGCGCACAGTGGGCGACAAAGGCAAGAGAAATGGCAATGAAAGAAATGGCCGTCCCCTCCTTGCAAAATCTCATGGTGAATATACCCAGATCCAGGGAGGCAACTTTCTTGTTGTTGGCCTAACTGACAAGTTATGCAGGCCTTGATCCTCATCTCAGAGTACGGTGCGGGTGCTAGCGGAAACGCTACTGCCTTCGTTCTGGCTGGTTGTTGCCACCGCCTGGCTCGTCTCCTTGGACTTGATGCCACGCCTAAGTCGAGTGTGCAGTCTGCCTCCGAAGCCTGCGAACGAGAGAGCCGGAGGAGACTTATGTGGTCATGCTTTGTCCTTGATGGCATTGTTGGCTCGGGGGTCGATACGCACAATTTATCCAAGGACTCACTCCCGAAAATCCCTCTCCCGAGCTCCGAATTCGACTTCTTGTCCCAGGTTTTAAGTGAAGAACAGAATCAACCAAGGCTCGAGAGCATGGAAAATCCAGAAGTGATCCAGACTGTTGACTACAGAGCCCAAATCATCTACCTTTTCCAACTCCGCACTCAGGTCCTAAGGTATGTTAGGTCGCTGTTATTTTTGCCGTAATTGACCAGCCACGCTTTTCAGGTTAATCAGAACACCGCTCCCTGCTGGTCAAGTGCAAACTCCAGACTCCCCCTTTGTCGACTTACGCAACCGGCTGGATTCATGGTATGAGAACATCCCCCCGAAACTTCGCATCACCGATCTCAACATCTATATTCTCAAGGAGTTGAACATGCTGGGACCAGTCTTCGCCCTTCACCTGCTCTATCACACGGCTGTATCCGACCTGACGCGTGTGTCCCTTCCCGGGTTTAACTTTCCTCTCGCCGCCACCTTTGCGGAGGTTTCTGAAGATTTCCGTCAGGAATGCCGGCACCGTTGCCGCCGCCATGCTGATGAAATCTCGCGGCTGATCGATATTGGACTCAAGCACGGAACTCGACCTTTTGATGACCCTTTTTGCTTCACCGCCGCCTACGAAACGACAAAGATACAGATCATCCACTCCACAACAACAGAGCCCCGTGGGCAAAGGGAGAGAAGCGAAGCAGAAGCAAATATCCGCCACAACACCGATCTCATGACTTTAATGGGCCGAGATGGCTCTCATGCTCACGTGTGTTTGAAAGACCTACCCCACGAAAATGAAGAATGAGAAGCGGCTGACGATGTGCAGGTTCGCCCACTCCTCGCCCTCCTGCATCGCTTTGGGTTCTCCAAGATCGCTGCTGAGTGGGCTCCTAGGTTCCGGGCCGATGAAATCGACAATTTTGAGATATCTGGGCCCGTAGATTCTAACCACTTGTCCAATGTTTCTATACTCAGGATGGCTCGCGCGGAAATGCACCGCCACCGAAGCCAGAGTTCCCAAAAGCCTGCATCTCGGGGTAGCATGAATACACCCGAAGCCGAAAATGCTCATGGATCAAGCGGCATGGAGCAAGCACAGAGTCCAGTGCCCGGCGACAGACGCTATCACCGGAGAGAGTCAAGCACCAGGGCCGGAATGGCTGACGCCGGTAGATCTCATTCTCCTTTGGATCATCCGACTTCTCCATCCCAGTACATGGCCGGGCTACCTCGCCCAACAGGTTTTGCTCCTGCAGCTGGATTTTGCACCAATGCCCGACAAGACTACAGCATGGGCAACACCAATACCGAGCAGCCTTACAACCACGCCCCTGCAGGTCCCATGGAATCCGCTGGCATCTTTCAAGATACGAACTGTTTCCTCGACCCTTCTGTGTCGGACGACTTTGCGGACAGTTACGCAAAATTGGCAATGGAGATGTCCGACTACATCACCTGGGATGCCGCGGATTATACTCCATGGTTGACGCCCAACTCTGACCCGACGTCACAGGAGACACGGAGTATACAGTACGGCGACCCTAGGCCTTCTGTGCCCGGATAGAGGGGTAAGTTGGATACCTTAGAATCTATCCGGAAAAGCGTCTTTGGCATTTATCGCCATGGCTGAAACAAGACCTTACATGCCCGAGAACGGCGTAGTGGCTGATATGCCTGAAGATAGTGAAACGGCGCCTTCCCTTGAGCAGTAAGGTGGATTACGACACATGGGCTCGTTCAAGCCTTTGCTCTTGATGCGCGCCTTTAAGAGTTGAGCGATAGCCGATTACTGCTGCAGAGCCGCATTGAATCTATCGCTTTCTGACCACTACGGATGGAACCGCTCTCGGTCTTTACCTGGCTCGTGCTCTCGCCGTGTCAGGTCTGTGCTCCAGCCTGCCAGGCTTGCGGCTCTCTTAGACTGGAGGGACGGATGCTTTCCCAATATACCGTGCCGATCCTCTCGGTTCTCCTGAGACCGAGTCCATTGGGTGCCCGGGAATGTTCAACAAGGAGGCCCTGCCAGTAGAGACGCTCAATGAATTGTTGCTGCCACACGGAGCAACCAGCAAGAAATGTAGCATCAAGCGGTCCACCTGCACCGATCTAGCAGTTGCCCTACCTGTGTACGGCAAACAGGACGGGAGGGCAGGGGTCTAGATCACGACTAGCTGGACCCTGAGACGCTATACCAGGCCGCAGACGAAGTAGCCTCGCTGAGGTTGTCAACCTGGACTTGCCACCACTCCACCGGTAAGACTATCCTACACATCCGAGTATGAGGAATGATGGATGCTCGAGGAGTGCAAACCCTGCCTGGAGATGCTTGGTATGATACCGTGTTTGTTCAGCAATGCTGTACAGAACCAAGCTCACACAAATACCAGTCAGAGTTGATGTGGAAGAAATGACCGGCGAAAATGCCCTTTCTCTACTCGGTCCTGGCGATACTTCAGCTCTGTGAGGCTAATGAGATCTAGACTTGGTCCTCGTTGGTCAAGAGAGGTTTGGCGGCGAACCTACTCAGCCTCGCGTGCAGGAGGAATACGAGAAGTGGCGTCCCAGAAACGGCAGCGCTTCGCCCAATCTGGCAGCTCGGCTGGACATCTAGTGCCTATTCAACAATGTTGTTGCAGCATCCGCTCCAATCATTTGGGTAGACGACGTCGCTACATCTGTCATCTCTGGCACATTTTTACATATGACTGCCACGTTTGTCGACCTCCACTCGTGCGCAGTCCCGTCAACGGCCTGCGCGGAGCGGCGAAGGGGGCTCAAGTCGACTCAGTCGGACTTCATTCTACAGCCTTTCGGAACACTAGACTTGCCGATTTCCCGGTCGCTGCCACATATTCGTCGTCTGTGGCAGAGCGAACTCAGCTGATGAACAACCTTGACAAAGCTCCCATGACAGAGACTGGCTAGGTCTCTTAGCGCAGGGTTGACTTCATCGAGGCGATACTCCTCGTACGCTCAGCCTGATCGTCGTAGAGATGATCCAAAAGATAGCCCCCGGGGGCGAAGTCGTGTTGAGAGTTTGTTAGTTCGAACAGACAGGATCTTGTCCAATTGACACATGGCTTGACAGTTAGCCCGCCTATCCAGATGCAATAAATACCGAGCCTACGCGGCAATGCTGCTGCGGCACAGGAATCTTGACTAGGGCTACAGTCCAGCTCCAGGGGTCCCACCCACGAGTTAGTATTTCAATGTCCTTTTGTTCAGCTGGGTGGCTCCCCGCGTCGTCCATGAGGCTCTGATTTCTCCTTAACTATCCTTAACTGCTGTTGAATGGAAAACCACGCGGTTTAGCTAACGGCACATTCATACCATCTCACGAATTCCTCGTATACAAAAACCGAGCTATCTAACTCCCTCATTCGTCATGACTACCGCCGCCTACTTGGGCGCGGCGCTGTGCTACGACGCCGCGCACGTGGGGGTGTACGAGAGCGCGTGCGTGGACGCGAACCCGGAGGGCAACTGGTACGGGATCAACGGGCGGCAGTTCAACTGCAAGGGCATCCTGATGTACAACTTCTACGTGGGGCTCTACGACGCGGGCGAGACGGCGCAGTGCGTGTGCAAGTTCGCCAACACGGCCGACGGCTGGGCATTCGACGGCCACTGGGGTCCGTGCAACGGCGCCTGCGTCGCCGCCAAGTACGCCTGCGACGGCAACACGCCTTACGTGGTCGTCAGCGACAGCGACGCAGCTGATGCCGTCGTCAAGCGCGCCACGCCCACCAACGCCACTAGCGGCTCGACGCCCTCCTCCTCCTCGACTTCGTTTGCCGCCCCGCGAACCGTCGGCAATTGGAAGACAGCCCTCTGCGTCGTCGCCACCACCTTGGTGTCGGTGTTGGTCAGTCACATTGCATGAAGGGACATGGAATGAGATCGGCAGGCGATGTGCGGTTCTCATTCAATCATTCACTCGCTCATTTGGGATGAGGGATTGATCTTTGCGGATTCTTCAAGGGGGAGAGAGGTCGAGTCTCAAATCAGGTCGAGGACGGAGGCAAGTGATGAACAAGGCCATGGGAATGCGAGGTGGAGATGGAGGGAGAGTATAATGTTTTATATTCTCGGCATTTACATGGATCTTGAAGTCAGGTAGCGTCTGATGTCAATCAGTGGTTGATAGGATGTTGGAATAATTCGTTCGGTCTTTTACCTATAAATAGGTAGAACTTGATTTTGGCAGAAGAGAAAGAAAGAAGAAGCCGTTCCGCTTTGGTGCCTCCCAAACTCATCATCGTTGCGGACCATGGCCACAGCTATCAACTCACACCCAAGTTTCAACAGTCAAGTCCTGAAAAGGCACCATACCATACCATATATTTTTAACCCCCGTTGAGTTACAAAATTAATCGGAGACCTTCGAAGAGTTCTCGTCTCCCTCAGTAATTTTCACCCCACCGACCCTCTGTTTCAATGTCTCCTCCCTTATCGAATAAGGCGTGCGAAGATACTCCGGCATCTTGAACCGTGGGCTGAGAGTTGCTCATTGATTGGAATCGAGTCAAGCTCCCGCCATGGTTGCCTGGATTGATTCAAGTTGGAGATATTTTCTCTTAGAACGTTGGATTTCGACAACGCATTCGAATTGTGTAATGGCTGTGCTTAAAAGGGCAGCTCGAACGCCGAGTCCAGCCCCATGCTGCAGTTTCTCGCACAGCGGAAACTCGTTGAAAGATAATGAGAGGGTCAGAACCGCTGTTCCAGCTAGCAGAACCCCACAAGACATCGTGTAACGGCGTAGCGTGTCAGCGATGGACGCAGCCCCTATTGGGAAAGCAAAGCTACACAGCACTCCTTGTATGATCCGGCCAACTCAACCTTGCCGGAGATCTGGTCGGGGAAAGCAAGCCGTCTGTCTTCGGAAGCACAAAGATCTATCTCGATTTCCCGAGTTGCGGTTTTCGTCTGACAATCGACAACGCTTCCACGGCCCGGCCGAAAGAAATGACCATTTCGAGATGCTGCGATATTAAGAGGGTGGCATAGGCTGGGTAAGTGTCGAGGTTCGTCCATCTCGATCGACGTATGTGCTTCGTGCTCTGGAGCCACGCGGCCCGAGTGCTCCATTAGGCAGTGCTCGGAATGAACTTTTTGAGCAACGAGGATTGAGATATCCTTCGGCCACTCCATTGTCAGAGACTTTCTTCAGCAGATGCAGATGCATCGCCATCTGGATTCACTCATTCTCGACAAAGGAATTGGCAAGCCTGCCGAAATAAGGCACCTCGAAATGGTCAAGCGTCTCGACGTCTCGGTAAGCGTGGAGCGACAGAAAGCCAATCAAGAGCAGGTCGACCGTGAACAGCATCCAGGAGAGCACCCTCGACCAGGATAAGACCAGATGGACGAAAAAGATGGCTGAGAAGAGCATGCTGGACTGCCACGCATGAAACCGCACGTAGTCGCTCTTGTGCTCGAACAGGAGCAGGAACACACCCCCGGCCGGTGGCAAGAGAAGATATGCCAACATTGCTTCATAGTCGACTCTTAAGGGCAGGCTCGTCTCGAACGCCTCAAGGCTCTGATCCCTGTTTCCTCCGCTGAACGATGGCCCTGGCAAGATATCGTTCGCAAAGGCACTGGGAGGAGGCAGGAACGGCGAACCGGAGCCCGCACGATGTATGGGCTGGATGGGCTTGTTCTGCGGAGGCGGGGACCGGACTCGAGGCGAATCGATGGAGGTGCGAGGAGGAGGTGATAGAGCACGCTCTCTGTATTTTGTATTTGTTGATTAGCACCATTGTTCCCGCCATCTTCGTCCTCAGAGTCTGTCATTGCAGCTACTCACATCTCCGGCGACGCATCCTGGTAAGGCGCAAAATTCATTGTTTACTTTCTCCGCACTTGGTTGTGTTGCAACGTCCGAGACGCGCGGACCGTGGTAGTTCAGGACAGACGGAAAACACGTTTTATTAGAGAGGTTGTGAAGCAATTACTCCTGTAAGAGATCTCTCCTTCAAGCAGGTAAGGACAACTAGAATCAAGTGAGTGAGGGGATGAAGCTTGTTTGTTGCTTGCGTCGTGGCTCTAGAAATAAATGGGGAAAGCTGATGCACCGCAGCTTCAACTTTGGCGAGTGCCTGGTGCCCTTGCTGTTTTTAGAATCACTTACAAGGGTATTACATCGACCACAATATCCCCCATACTCCGCATTCGGTACCTTGTTTCTCACCTATCGCTACAAGGTGCCTGCTAGACAATCCTATTTTGCTGTGTCTACTGACGGGAGTGATGGGCTTTTCTGTCGACCTATTTAATGCCATTGCTCTAGATCTTCGTTGTTGCCTCCGTGTAATCGAACATGATAACTGGCATTTTGCAGGGCTAGTCATGCTTGAATTGTCGCATCTTCTGTGCACTTGACTCCACAGATCTTCGGGCGGACAAGTTTCGACCAAGTGTCAGCCCTGGCTAGTCTTGTAGTTCCGTATTGCATCTGAACTGGCGGCGAAGAGGCTGCTTCATTTAGTCACCAAGATGTGCAGTCGTCATTCAGCAGCAATGAGGCCATTATTGGATCGAGCAGTAATTTTATCCCAGCTCCACCAGGTTGTTGTGATCCGATCTTTCGAATCAGCGCCGTCATTCAACAACAGAGTGCATCCTTTCGAGCGCACACAAGTTCGGTGCCAAAGTACTTCATCTCCATTCGTCCAGCTGTTTGCAAATCGATACTGCCGCCAACCACAGAGTACTGAGGATGTCCGCTAAGTTCTTCATGCTTGCCCGCATCTCAGTGGAAAGGTGCAACACCTCGTTTGGTTGGAGTAGCCGTAAAAATTCACTCCCTGATTGCTCTGCTCAGTTGACCTTTAATGCCCTGTCGCGCTCTTACGATGCGTGGGACTCAGAGAGGACGGTGTCCCACCTGCTCTTCATGAATCGTTGTGAGGACAGAGCGGAATCAACATCTTTTCGGTCTGGAATGAGCCGTGAGACATATTTTCGTGACCTGAGGGGGGTTCTGAATGTTCGGGTGCTCCTCGCCGAGTTTAATACTTCCCTAGTAGCCCTGACAAACGACGAGCTCGCATCCGTCTCTGGAATTTGTCGAGCATCACAGATTTCTGCCATTTCTGCCGTGAATCCAACAGGCAATGGCCAAAGAGCATAACCCCATTCAATGGAGGCGACGACGTTCAACCACGGCTCCTCGGGACTCTCCCAGTGGTCCCTCGACCAAGTCCAGGAGTGGTTCTTCTGCCGGAGGTTGTGCCTCGCCTTATACCACTGGTATTTGCCCCGCCTACCTGCACGTAAGAAGAGGCTGGCGTACTTGCAGCAGAGCCTCTCCCCGCGACCCCAATTCTTCTAGAACCTCGCGAAGTCCCCCTCGTGGGATTGATGGCTGTCTCAGTTTTGCGCCTCTCTTCCTGTTGCGCTTGTTTTGCTGCTGCTGCTGCTGCTGCTTTCTTCCTCTCCTCCTCCTCGGCTTCTCGTCGATTGGCAGCACGCTGTTTCTCCAGGGCTTCCTCTTCAATATCTGCGATATCTTGACTGGCGCCTTGCCATGAGGGATCAAGGATAAGGCGCTGATTGTGTTCGGTCTGAGACAGGATTTTCGTCCATGTATTCAATAGACTCGAGGCAGCTGAGACAGTGTTATTCACAGTCTGGAACGCAAGTCAGTGATCAGCATCCACGGTGGGGGAATGAGGTTGAATCTTTACCCCCATATTGCTTTTAGCCTTATGGAGGCTCTGGATAACCCCTTCGATGGCCTCATTAACCTGACGGACGCTCTGGAGTTCATGGCGCAGGCTCTCCTCATATTCTTGTTGTTCCTGGTAGGTGTGTTTGGTAGAATTGGCTTGTTTGCTGGGGGCTTCTTGTTCTGCAGGGCCGTGCCAGAGACTCTCAGCAGAATCATCTTCAGTCAAGCCGGAAGAGTTGGGATCCATGATGCAGCAGAGCGGGAGATGATTCTGATTAGATAGATCCCGCAATGGAAGTCGCATACGCGTGGGGTCTCGACGGTGCGCGTCTCGCCTGGGAAAAGAGACCCGGGCCCTGAATGCCCAGACCTGCAAGCCACTGATGTGCTGTCCCCAGCCACTCGCCTGGCAGCCGCTGCACCTGACAAAGGCCCAACCTCCAACAAACTCCTCGACCTCCATCTAGCCCGTGCCCTACAATGTGATCACCATATTCTTGCTGTAATCTGTTCTGCTATACTACTCCTGACCGAGTTACCTGAAGTTTTGGAGAGGACGAGGTACACTGGTGCGCGACTCGAGATTGGCTTGTCACCCCTTCGCTTTGAATTCAAGGTCCGGCAGAAACATCTTCAATTGCCAGTGAAGAACACCGCTTCACTCTTGCATGTGCGCTGCACACAATGACTTCAACTCCGCCTCTTCAAATCGCATCGACTCCTCAAACTCCCGAGACTCCTTTACATGGCGCCGCTTATGAGCGTTCGAACACCTCCTCTAATCGACGTGCTACAAGAACAAGCTCTCGAATTGCCTCGACCAATCTGCACTCCACTCCCGATGGACGCGAGAAGATACCTGACGTTGAAGCGCCTGTGACTACTCCGCGCTCATCACGAAAGGCACGGCCGAGAGTTGCGCCTGGATATCAATCGCCGGAGTCGACACCAAAGCACAAGGCACCTCGTCGTGTCCACGTCATCTCTCCTCCATCACCCGACGACGAGACTCTCCCACTCAACACCAACAAACCTCCTCCCTCCAAATCGCACCTTCAACCATTTGCATCTTCCTCCACCACGATTTCCGACGGCATGCTTCCGACTCCGGTCAAAACTCCGAAAAAGAAAATGATCCCCAAAGCCAGCAATGCCGCCCGTGCGCTCTTCCAGGACAATACTCTGAGTGCGAACCACTTGGTGGACTTTGAGCCGAGCCCCAAAAGAAATAGAAAGAGTAAACGCTACAACGGCTTCTCACTCGAAAGCTTCACTGTCGGAAACGATGATAGCCGCGGGCAGGTTCAAATTTATACCGACTCTCGTGATAGAGTGCCTCACGTCGACAACAGTGAATCCAACCCTTTCATAGAGCGAAGCATGAACGGGGAAACTTCGTCGAGTCGCAAAATTGCTGGGACATCTAAGCGCCGCAAGGTCAGCGGAGAGCGGAAGAAGCTGGATCCCCAAGTCGAAGAGGCTATCGAAAAGGACGACGGTATGGTTTACGTATTGTAAGTTGCCCATTCTCTCGCGTCACAATTTCAATGCTAACTTTCTTAAGCCGTGGCAAGAAGGTCTATCGCCGGTTTGATGATGAGGAAGATGAGGAAGAAGACATTGATGAGGGCGACCTCGGTCTCTTGGAGCACACGCCCAAAGGTTCAGATGTGAAGCGGCTCCGAACCCTTACCCGACGGTCAATAAAGCCCAAACGACTTTTCCAAACTGAAGCCCAGCAGAAGGCACGCGAGGCGGAACGGGAGGAGGAAGCATTGACTGACATCGAGGAACCGATTGATCACAGGGAAGATGCCTCTGCGGCAGTCGGTGATGGTAAATCGAGCGAAGTTGCCTCCAATTCAGTGACCAGGAGGTCACTTCGCTCAAGTGGTCCCGTCTCTCTGATACCCAAAGACGCCGAGTCACTGGACGCCAGCCGTCGCTCAACGCAAAAAGCCAGTCCCTTCGATTCCTGGCCAAGGCTCAAAAGCGGAGGGCGACCGGCGGCCAGCACTCCTAAGGGGAAGAAGCGCAGTGCGGTGGATATGTTGGACAACAGTGTTGGGGCCATCGGTGTCGAAGCCAAAAAGTCCAAGACTTGAGATGATGCATGTCAGCGTCGTATGGTGTTGCCTTTTTTTGTCTTCAGGAGATTCTTCTCGACTATGGATTACTAGGATTGTATAAGACGTGGTCTTGGACACGATAGCAGTTGCCATCCCGGCGAGGGATTTCAAACAAGGTGGTGCTGCTTCTACGACCATCATGTTGCGAGCAGGACTTTTTCCCTCATCGACGTGGGTGTGGTGGAATCCCTGGACGAGATATTTGTATTCCAAGTTTGCAGGTCTTAGCCCATTGAATCAAGGAAATCTGCGTGTCCCTTTTCTTGGTGCATATCGGCCACTCGTAGAGGGTAGACCTGGAGGCGTGTGATGTATCTGTCCTATACTCGGCCAGCACACGTGACGAGGACTGCCAAGCCTTCCTGCCCAAACAGAGTGGCCGCCTGCAGATGACTGGCGGCTGGACTCCAACTCCACGTCCATGCAAAGAGGCCAACACCAAACACCAAACTCACTCCTCTCCTCCCCCCCGATTGTTCCTGCATCTTCACCTTTCATCGCCTTATTCCTTCTCTCATTCACACGGTGTACCCCGTCATCACTTTCTACCTTTTAGACCTACTTTTTACACATCTCTTACACATTGTCTAAACGCATTGTACAACGTGACTGACCTCCCCGCAAACCCTTCTCACCAGCACCGCCCTTTTCCAAGGTCATGAATGCTTCCCATGATCCTCAGCCCTGCCGCGTCCGGCCCCTCCTCGCTCTCGAAGATATCCGCGACTCAGATTCTCCTGCTGCTTGATACCATCAGTGAAAGAGAGGGAAAGGCAAAGTGGGACTCCAAGAGGGAGAAGATACAGCGACTGCTCGATTCCAACGGCATGGAGGTCTTTGCCCAGTTCTTTCGGCGGACTATCACCCTCAACACCGCCGCCATCTTCCAGGGTGCCAAAGACTTCGATCAGGGAAGCTACAAACTGCTGCGTGAAGAGTTGGAAAAGGTCGCTTCCGACCCAGAACAGCCATCCAAAATTGCCGAGGCCATTGACACATCCAAGGAAGACTCGTTCCGCGACTTTGACCTGGTGACCTTCATCCAACATTTCTTCGCTGATGCCCTTCCTCAAGTCATTCTCGCCGTTGCCTTCACAAAGTGCGCTCGAGTTGACCTGAGGACGAAGGCAGAAAATTTCCTCGCCGAGTTCGCTCAAAGCTCCCTGCGCTCCCTAACGGATAGGCGCAATGGGAATGCGCAGACATTCGCTGTCGAGAACATCTGCTCCGTTATCGAATACTTTGCCCTGGCCGCTGCAACGTCCACGCAGCAGCAGAAAGACGATCTCTGGCGTGCAGTCATCAGTCGATACACTGGTCCCAAACCTGAACAATTCTACGGTGCCTACCAGCTCCTACGCCTCTCAGCCGAAGCTCGAGATATCGCCCGTGGTCTACAACGTCACGGTCCCAAGGCCGTCGCGTCGGAACAGGCCGCGCGAGATTTCCTGGCGTCGTTACCTGCAACTAGTATCACAGAGGCAGAGGTCGCTAATGCCCTCTTATTCCTTGTCTTCTCCATCGATCAACAATATGAAATGTCAAATTTGGTGGAGGCCCTTCGGGCGAAACAGCTGGACTGGAATTTGGTGATTCAAGGATTTGATATCCCGGGTCTCCGATTGCGGAGGAGCGATTTCTCCAGGTTATACGGAGCTTTACTCCATGTGGCACAAGAAGATTCACAATTTGACGTCCAGAAACTCTGGGGAGGAAGATGGCAGAATCCAAATACGCAGATATCGTTCCTCGGTGGCTTTCTTGCGTCTTCGTCCGCAGACATCCGTGCGGCGACGATACCACGTCTCCGCGAAACTTTGCCCGCAGAAGACTTGAACAACTTCTCCCCCGAAATGAAGAGACTGATCAGTCCTGAGCTCGATGGTCCATATGTATCCGCCGATGCGTGCCAAGCCATTTTTGAAGTGGTTCTAGGACCCGGGACTGGGACAGATGGAGAAGACCGCCTCGATATATTGCAGGATGTGTACCACAATCATCCGGCTGTCTTTCTTCTGTTCTTGGCGAGGACAAACGCGAAGTCGTGGGTGCCAGATCAGGAAAAATTCATCGCTGAATGCTTCCAGTTGTTCCTTGAGAAGCAACGGCCAGACCATCGGCCTGTACTGGAAACACTCGCGTCTCAATATCCCCAGTACCTATTCGAGCTCTGTCATATTGTCTTCTCACTAGACCCTCGACAAACGGAAGTTATATTCGATCGCGCTCAAGAATTCGGGTGGACTGAAGAATTCCTCAAACATTGGTCCAACCCGCTGGCCCTTGATATCGCCTGCATGCGGGACAAGATCGATCCGGCATTCGATCTGGACCGGTATCTCTCGGAAGCCGCTGATGGGCAGACAAATCTGGGCATGATCCTCTGCAAGTACCTCCGGATCAAGGCAGACGACGAATTTCGAGTGCAGCGGGGTGAAACTACTCCGCAGTCGATTCCACTCACCCTTCGAAGTGTGCATACGCTCTTGGAGAAACTTGAAGACCATCTGGACAACCGCGAGCTGGTTGAGGCAGCTCAGACCACGTGTTTGCAGACGTATCCGCGGCTGATGAACTATGGGGCCGGATTCGATGACATACTTGAAAAAAGCAGTGAAGAGAAAGGCAACAAACTTCCCGAGGCCATTGACAAGAAGATGTCAGAACTGTTTGGTCGAATGTATCGAGGGGAGCTGTCGATCCGTGACATGGTCAACGAAATGCGCAGGTACAAGACTTCCCGTGATCCAGATCAACAGGATCTCTTCTGCTGCATTGTCCACGGATTATTTGACGAGTATGTCTGCTACAATGAGTATCCAGAAGATGCACTCGAGAAAACAGCCCTCCTTTTTGGAAGCATCATCAAGTACAAACTGCTTCCGTCTATCCCTCGAGACTTTGGCCTTGCTCTCATACTCCGAGCTGTTCGCGACCACGGATCTGATAGCCTCATGCACCGCTTTGGCATCGAAGCATTACTTCAGATCAGCGATCAGCTCTCTGAATGGCCTGGACTTTGCAGTTTACTGCTGCAAGAGCCTTCGCTTTCGAATTCAGAAATCTTGCAACGAGCTGAAGAAGGACTCCGTGCACAGCAATCCACTGGAAATGGTCTCGGTGCGAATGGCATATCAAGTGGCCACGCAACGAACGGGGATGATCTCGTCGCGCTGGATACAGGTCGTGGCTTTCGAGCCTTGCGTGCTGACCCTCCTCCAGCGTCTGCCCATTTTCGAGATCCGGATCAGAAAATCCAAGAGAAAATTCTCTTTGTCATTAACAACCTCTCCAAAGACAATATGGCCAGCAAGTTGGCCGACCTGAAAGAATCCTTCACCCCTGAGCACTATCAATGGTTCGCTTCGTACCTGGTGGAACAGCGTGCCAGGTTAGAGCCGAATAACCAGGAGATGTACTTCCAATTTGTCAACATGCTCAATGACAATTTGCTTATGTCGGAGGTAATCCGTGAGACCTACGTCAGTATTGTCAAGATTATGAGCGCCGAATCGACAATCAGTTCTGCGACAGAAAGGAGTCACCTCAAGAATCTTGGAGGTTGGCTCGGATCTCTCACTCTCGCCCAGGATAAACCAATTAAGCACCGAAATATTTATTTCGTTGATCTCCTTGTGGAAGGGTACGAAACTCAGAGGTTGGTTCTCGTAATACCATTCACGTGCAAAGTGCTGGCTCAGGGTGCCAACTCGATGGTCTTTGTACCACCAAATCCCTGGTTGATGGAGATCGTGGGAGTTCTCTTGGAATTATACCATTTTGCAGAACTCAAATTGAACCTCAAGTTCGAGATTGAGGTGCTTTGCAAAGACCTCAAGCTCGACTTCAAGAAGCTGGAACCTGCTACGGTCATTCGAGACCGACCGCAGACAGAAGACGATATCGCGAACATTCCTACGCTACCAGACGGCCTGGAAACATTTGACGACATGTCCTTGAACGGCGCCATAAACAGGGCTGTCCGCGAGCGTCTTTCCGCCCCGGAGATCATGGCAACCCTCCCAAACCTCGAGGACGTGCTCAAGTACCCTCCCACGTCTGGCTCGCCTGCGGATCAGGCACTGGTAAAGAGCATCATCTACCGTGCTTTTGATCAAGCCATCCAGGAAATCATCGCACCCGTTGTCGAACGATCGATCACCATCGCATCTATCTCGACGGCCCAGCTTGTCGCGAAAGACTACACGCTTGAGCCGGACCCAGAAAAGTACCGCACGGCCGCCAGACAAATGATCAAATCGCTCGCCGGTAGTCTGGCTCTTGTTACGTGCAAGGAGCCACTTCGGATGAGTATCTCCAACTACATTCGCCGTCCTGCCCAAGACGATCTGCCGGAGCAACTTCTGCCAGAAGGAGCCATCCTCATGTGCGTCAATGACAATCTGGATACTGCATGTTCCTTTGTCGAGCAAGCAGCCGAGCAGCGCGCCGTTGCAGAAATTGACCAAGTCATCGAAGCTGAGCTGGAGGAACGTCGCCGTTTCCTTGCTGAAGGGGGAACTCGGGAGTTCATTCCGCAGGGAATCAATCGGTGGTCAGCGTGGATTCCGGAGCCTTACAAGCAAACTGTCGGCGGCCTTAATGAGGCACAACGGGCGGTGTACGAAGAGTTCGACCGAAGAGTGCATGGAATGAACACTAGCCACATTCCCAACGCTGCCGCTGACACTCCTGGACGTCAGATTCCTGACGTACTGCAAGATAATCTCACGATGCCGAGCTTGTCCACACCTGCTGAACAGCCTGCGATTCCCCATCAAAGCCCATTGGTCCAGCAAGAAGGTCGGATGCTATCTGCAATGCCGCAGCCACGGGTAAATGGCTTCCCTGAGACACTACCACCTCATGATAGAATCACGATTCTCATCGAAGACATACAAAAGGCGGCCAGGGCATCCGAAGCGACACGTTTGAAAGATTTGGAGAAGAACAGTTCGATCTTCCAAGATTTCCGCCAAATCCTGATCGTGCTTACTTCTTCAACGCGCCCAGCAGCAGATCTGTTGGCTCGACAGATCGCGGAGAAGATCTGCCACATTTTTGTGACCAAGCCGCCAGAAGGTCCTCTTGAGGCTGAGGTCTTAGCTTTCCTGCTTTCCAAACTCTGTCAGCTCTCAGACCTTATTGTGCGGGATGTTCTTAGATGGATGACCGCCAATGAAGACTTGCTACTGGCGAGCTCTAATGTGGTGGTGGCACTGATCACGGCAGGTTTGATGGAGTTCGCCAGGGTTGATGTCGCAATAGCGTCAGGCATCATGAGTCGAGACGTACACGGCCTTCATGTCCTTGCTGAGATCATGGATCAGACTCTCTTCACCGATGAGCCCACGGCAATACGAGCGGACTTTGCACATAGCCTCGTTGCGATGGCAGCTTGGGTCAAGGAGAAACCAGATCTGCCTGTCGCTCCAGAAATCAACGCAAAGTTAAAGGCTCACGGCATGCCCGAATTCGTCAGTGTCGAGATTACAGATAAAGCCAAAGCGAAGCAAGACCAAATGCGCTACGTGTTCGACGAATGGGTGGGCATCTTCGAAAGCATCGGTCCAAATGAAAGCACCTGCGCAGCATTCCTGAAAGAACTACACAAGGAGCAGACGATCAACAGCACCGAGGACCTGGCTGAATTCTTGCGGTTGTGCATCGACTCGTGCATCGAATGCTACGACCGAGAGGCTCAAAGCCCCAGAGGCAGCGTGGACGTGGCTTTCTCGCACGCGGATGCGCTTGGCCGTCTGGTGATCATGCTGGTCAAATTTCAAGGAGACACCAACGGCGCAGTCCGCCTCAGCAAGGCACCCTACCTTGAAACCATTCTGACGATGCTTGTCTTGATTTTGAATCACCACCAGATCATGCGTGGAGTGGCCTTCCACCAGAGACTTTTCACCAGACTGTTTGCCAACATGCTCTATGAATATTCGGCAGCTCAGTTGGACACGACTGCCGACCACAACGACCTGATGTTTGCCTTTGCCAAATGCTTCAAGTCCCTGCAGCCATCGTGGTTCCCTGGCTTCACGTATGGATGGTACAGTCTGATCATTCACCGGGTCTTCGTCGCTGGCATGCTGAAGCCTAACAATCACGCGGGTTGGGATACTTACCGCGAGCTCATTGGATTGCTGCTCCTTTACATCTCGGAGCTATCACAGACCCCTGGTTTCGACCTTCTCAATCTTGACCTGTACAAAGGCACATTGAGGAACATTCTCATCCTGCTCCACGACTACCCGGAATTCCTCTGTGAAAACCACTCGTACTTTTGCTCGCGGATCGCCTACGGAATCCCGCAGCTGAGGAACTTGATCCTCACGGCCAAACCGTCGGCATACCACGATCTCCCGGACCCAATGACGCCAGGCCTGAAGATCGAACGACTTGAGGAAATGAAGAGGCATCCAATTCTGGCCCGGGACTTTGACACGCCTCTCCAACAGGCGGAACTCAAAGATATCGTCCTGGGCGTGATCCGGAAATCGGGCGACGTGGATGGCGCGTTGAAGCAGATCAAGCTGGCGCTCCATGAGGGGCACAGGGAGTCCACCGCGATGGCTCCAGCCAGGGGCGTGGAAATCATGAACGCCCTTGTGCCATTCGTTGGCCATGATGCACTCAGCCATTCCCCGGGGCGATTCGATTCTGGTTCGACCCCGGTGACTTTCTTGACCAAGCTTGCGGTCAGCTTGGGCTATGAGGGACGCTACCAGCTCCTCAATGCCATTGCCGACCAGATTCGCTATCCCAGTACCCACACTGACTTCTTTTGTAAAGTGATGCTCCACCTTTGGGGGACTGGCAGTGGAGACGAGCAACAGCGCGAACTCCGGGAACAAATATCGCGAGTAGTATACGAGCGGCTCACGGTTGCGCGGCCCCATGTCTGGGGGATGACCATCCTGTTTCTCGAACTGCAACAGAACAACAGCTATGGCTTCTGGGAGAATCTCGCCCCAGACACGGCCATGCAACAACGCCTGCAACAAGCCATGCGGACGGCCCACTAGCCCCAAGCAAAAGGGCAATCCCTAACGGGGGGGTACATTGATTCGGATTGTGCATATTATGTTGAGGAGGAAAGAAAGAAAGAAATACAGGTAACGACGATGACGGCCGAGCGGTGGAGGCTCGACCTTGGGTTTTGAACAATTCCTATTCTTTGTACACTTGACCTCTCATTTTGTTGGAGTGATGCCCACATGGGTGTGACGAGTTGTCGCCTCTGCTACATCATGCATATGACGGAGCGGCGAGGCAGCATGGAAGGGAATTGAGTGCACTGGATGGACTCTTTGGCTTCTATAGGTAATGGAAGGAAAGGGGTTGACCAGGCGAAACGGGGCATAATCATACCATGAAGGGACGACCGGAGTTCTGACGACTGGACACCCACTGCGTCCGGAAAGGGATCAAAAAGCAAGACTCTTATTTTGTAATGCTCGACTCGTTGGGCAGGAAAGAGGGAGTGTGAGCTGGGCGAGGAGGATCAAGTTGACAACGCCGTGAAGGGACCATTTGCTTGCTGAACGAGGCTGGGTTTGTCGAACCGAGTTGCCCACGGGGTTTCCTGCCTGGTTTGAAAGAGCACCTGTGGCAACCCGAACCAATATTTTTGTGTATCATAGAAGAGAAGCTTTGGAATGAATCTTTAGAGTCGGACAGATTTCGAGTGTTTCTTGACCTTGGGCGCTTGAGTAACGTGTTTTCTTGCGTGTCGGAGGAGTCCGTGATTGTAGAGGGTCACACGAGGAGGATCGACGGCTGGGCAGACGGGAAGGGGGGGCGTATGTAGTCGGCGACTGGGTGCCACCCGTGGCTGGTGACAGTGTTGGTGGTGATCGAGAGAGATGATCGTGGATGCGTGGTGGAGTTGGAAGAAAAGTCAATCGCCAGGGAAGAGTGACATCATGCGATCCTTGGAAAACTAGTTCCAGGCTCGGCTTAGCGATCTACTAGCGGACGCCTCTGGGGCTGCTAGTGCCAATCATTGGGTTGGCGGTCGCACTCTCAGTGGCTGACATCATTTGCGATGCCTGCCCTCAGCTTGCTTTGTCCGAATGTTTATTGTTGACCCCTTCAGCTGTGCTTCAAACTGGGCAGCTGCCCACAACTGGGCTGGTCAGATCCCCAAATGAGGTGCCCCTAATGCCTTTCCTCCCCCCCGGAAGACGCTCCCTGCTGTGGCTGCTGCTGGCGCCCGCCTTGGGAGGGCCCATCTGCCCAGCGACCCATCTACCAATTCGTCATCTGTGAGCTCACCACCTACCGCCTACCACCCTCCCACAGAGCAACTGCGCACTCCCTCGCGTCACTCCATGTCTCCATGTCTATAATAATCATAATAACATCCTTCCTCCATCCTCCTGGGTGAACTTCTTGCCTTTTGCAGCACTCCTCCTTCTCGCTTATTCCCCCACCCCCCCTGTTTCGTTTCTCTCTCACAAGCGAGATCTCATCTTTCTCGCTTAGAATCCCACCATCTCCTTGCTCTAGTCAGCGAGGCTGGAATCCCCTTCCTCTGACGACTTCCCAACACACTTCTAAGTAGCGATCCAGCCGCGATGGACGGGGGTACGATCACTCATATTTTGTATCCTCGACAGGTGTGTATCCCTGTGATCAATCCTGACCCGCGACTTTTCTGACCTTCGAGATGTACAGTCCCAAGGAGCCAACCGAAATCAAGGCTCGAACTCGCTGTCGGGCATCATCTCCACTCTCGTCCCTACCTTGGTCATTGCGATCGTCGCTTTTACCGCCTTTCTCATCGTCCGTACTCGCTATGGCCGCGTCTATCGACCAAGAACCGACGACAGACTATTGGAGAAGGGATGGACCACGCCTCGCTCCGAGTCGGGCTTCTTCGGCCTCCTGCGCAACTACACGGCCCTGCCCGATGCCTACGTCTTGGGTCACAATTCTCTCGATGGCTATCTCTGGCTGCGCCTCCTCAAGGTCTTCATCGTCATGAGTCTGGTCGGTTGCTGCATCACTTGGCCCGTGCTGTTTCCTGTCAACGCGACCGGACATGGCGGCCAACAACAACTCGATATTCTGAGCATGAGCAACGTGACCAATCCCAACCGATACTACGCCCATGCCGGCATTGCGTGGATATATCTGGGATTCATCACCCTTCTCATTGCCCGGGAGAGGCTCAACTTTGTTGGTCTGCGCCGAGCCTACTTTCTCTCTGCCGCGCATGCCCAACGTCTGTCTTCGAGGACCATTCTGGTCATGGGTCTGCCCCACGACTACATGGAGGAGAAGTCTCTCCGCCAGATGTTTGGCTCCAGCGTGCGTAGAATATGGCTTCAGACGGACTGTAAGAAGCTTGAAGACGACGTGAAGGAACGGCGGAAGACAGCTTTGAAACTGGAGGGTGCCGAGATGAAGCTGATCAAACAGGCCAACGCCAGCCGCCTGAAAAGTGAGAAGAAGAACAAGAGCGCAGAATCTCCCGAAACTATCGGCTTGGAACCCAAACGCTGGATCAACCAGAAGAAGCGCCCGACACACAGATTGAAGCCTCAACTCTGGAAGAAGGTGGATACCATCAACTGGTCGCGTGGGAAGCTCGAGGAATTGAATCGCCATGTCCCCGAGCAGCAGAACGAACACCTCGACCTCAAACACAAGAAAGTTCCTGCCGCATTCATCGAGTTTGAAAACCAGACCGCAGCTCATAACGCCTTCCAGTCGGTTGGACGGGAATCCCGGACCAAATTCTCCCCACGATATATTGGCGTCCGGCCTGACGAAGTGGTCTGGAAGAACTTGGGTGTCAGCTACACGTCCCGAAAGTCCAAGATGTTGATCGCCACCATCATCATCTGGGTCATGGTCATCTTCTGGGCCATTCCCGTAGCTTTTGTGGGCTCTCTATCCAACATCAATTATCTCACGAACAAGGTGCACTTCCTCAGTTTCATTAATCACATTCCCAAGGTCATTCTGGGTGTCGTCACAGGTTTGTTGCCGGTGGTGCTTCTCGCGGTCTTGATGGCGCTTGTCCCTATTTTTTGCGGGCTGCTGGCCAAATTTGCTGGTGAGCCGACTTTGTCGGCGATTGAGCTCAAGGTTCAGTCTTGGTACTTTATCTTCCAGGTGGTTCAAGTCTTTTTGATCACCACCTTTACTTCTAGTAAGTCTTTCCCAGCCCGAACTCGAGGAACCAGAATCATGCTGACTACAGATTCAGGTGCCAGCGCAGTGACCACGCAGATCATCCAGAACCCAGGTTCCGCACCTTCCTTGCTCGCCAGAAACCTTCCCAAGGCATCCAATTTCTACATCAGCTACTTTATTCTCATCGGCCTGTCGCAGGCAGCTCTGCAACTATTGAACATTGTGCCCTTGCTCATGTACTCCATTGTGGGCAAGCTGCTGGACAAGACGCCGCGAAAGCGATACAACAGATTCACCAATATAGCTGGGATGGGCTGGGGCTCGACATATCCCAAATTCACGCTGTTGGGCGTCATTGCCGTGTCATATGCGTGCATCGCACCTCTGATCCTGGGATTCGCCACCATCGGATTCTGCCTCCTCTATCTGATGTTCCGGTACAACTGGCTGTTCGTCCTGGGCAACAAGGTCGACATGAAAGGCGAGGCATATTCCCGAGCTTTGAAGCAGCTCATGACCGGAGTGTATCTCGCCACCCTCTGTCTGATTGGCCTTTTCGCCATCGGCTGCAGCCAGAGTGCCAGCAGCGCCGGTCCATTGGCCATCATGGTGGTATTCTTGGTGGTTGTCATCGTCTTCCAGGTTTTGTTCGACCGTGCGATTGCTCCGATGGAACAGCACATGCCTTTGGAGCTGCTGAACAGTAACAAGTACAGCACGACGATCATGGAGCAGCTTATCGATGAGCAACACCTCAAGCATGAAGACATTGAAGCTGGCTCGTCGGCTCGGGGAGGATCTGTGCCAACCGTGTCCGGCTTCTCCAAGGCGGAGACTGTTGGCGATACTCCTGGGTCTCATGCCCAGTCAAGATCTCCACCGTTCAACTTCCTGAGTCGGCGCATTGAACCGATGGCTCTCAAATTCTACGAATCAAACAAGAAGATTATTCCAGACTCGGCCGATTCGGAGACGTGGATCCCGGGGTATACGTCGGAGGAATATGAGCAGGCGTATCTGAACCCTGCCATCACAGATCCGAAGCCCGTCATCTGGCTCGCCAAGGATAGATCTGGCGTTAGCGGATTGATGGTGGCCGAGAACAGAGAGGCGGGAATCCAGAGCACTGACGAGCGGGCTGAGTTGGATGAGAAGAACAAACTCGTGTGGAGCGAGGAGAATGTCAAAGAGATGCCTCTGTGGCGGCGGTTGGTCAGGTACTGAGCCAAAGATCTGTGCATCCAGCAGGCAACGTGTATGGTGGTAAGAATGGTCACCAGATGGGATACCAGGGATAATGGAACGGAACAGGCAATGGGATAGGGAAAAGCAACGACGGTCTCTACGCGCCTTTGTGCGCATTGTAATGAAATACTCCCCGGCTTTCAAGACATGTGGCCGAATAGCTCGGAGAGGGCTTGTCATCGTAATGGGATGTTTCCTTGTAGTAGTACCAGAAAGTGATGACTTGACTGATGATTGCTTGAACAGTTTTTTGTGTGTGTGCATGTCTGTGTGCGTGTCGGATGTCGACGTCATTTGCATCTCGAGATCCCGACGCGTCTCCAGTGCTGCTGCTGCTCCATCTCCGTCGACGCCGAGCAACTCGGTTCTTTTCACTGCGACGTGCTTCAACGTGATTTGTGCCTAGAACCCATCAATCCTGAATCCTTCCGACTGGCATGGTGAATATGACCACATGAAGCAATATCTTTAGGGTCCTCAGGGCAACTCATTCTCGGCATGCCCTCAACATGGCAGACCCGCCCTACGACGACGACGAGGACAGCAACGACACCCTCTTCCAACGAGTGCTGGTATGTCTTTTTTGCTGCCGCTGACGTGCTCTGGCTCTGTCTCACTGTGTGCAGTCCTTGGGCCTTGCTCCCGTCCGCATCTTGACCTCCCGCACCGCCATCAAAGCCTACCTCTCGACACTGCTCTTCCTGGGCACCTCGACCGTGCTCCTCGCCCTCTCCTCGACCGCCTATGCCTTCTTCTACTACAACTACATCCCACAGATCAGCTTGGAACGCGTCCTGTACCTGCAGTATGGCACCGACTTTCCCCCGCACGCGATGGCGGCCCTGGACACAAACGCCCTGGTTTCGCAGCAGGCGTATAATGTGGAGGTGATCCTGGACATGCCGCGCACCCCGAACAACCTGCAGGCTGGCAACTTCATGCTGGACCTATCCCTGCTGGGCTCCAAAGGTGTACCGGACGCCATGGCCTCGTGGCTGGGCAACATCACGCTGGAAAACGTGCTCTACCACTCGCGACGACCGGCCATCTTGCCCTACGCGTCCCCGATCCTGTCGCTCAGCCACACGGTGCTCCATCTGCCCTGGCACCTGCTCAACTTGCGCGACCTGGACAGGTCTCGTCTGGTGGTGCCCATGTTCGAGATGCTGGTGTTTCCCCGGGGTGTGAGGAACCTGCCCACGCACGCGCGACTCGAGCTGCAGGCCGGCAGTGTTTTGCAGGTGTACGACGTCAAATTGGCGTTTCGGGCCAAGTTTCAGGGCATGAGGTACTGGATCTACAACTACCGCATCACGACGTTTGTCGTCTTCACGGCCCTATTTTACGGCGTCAGTCTCACGAGTATGGCGTTGGGGTGGGCGGTGATTTCACATGTGCTCTCCTCCGGTGGTGGCGGCGATGGGACGCAGAAGAGGATCAAGATGGAAGCAGGCACGCCGATCAATCCCGAGCAACACGAGTCGTCCTCGGGCACCGCCACCGCCAAAATCAAGACGGAGGACGAGGCCGAGTTGTCCAGCCCGCACGGGGGTGGTGGTTTGTCTCTCTCGAACGTCTCGGACACGCCGACACAGTTTCCGACCGGGAGAGGTCGGCCGCTCTTGTCGTATGCTGGACGTTTCCCTGGCGGCTCCGCGGCAAAAGAAGCGAGAGAACAACATATGGAAGTGGAGGAAGACCGTCTGAGAAGGCCCATGGGTCCCGGCGAGGCGGCGGACGACGAAGACGAGGGAGACTTTGACGAGGAGGAAGAAAACATTCGCGGGAGACGGGCCGAAGGGGGCGATTCCGGGATCGGGACCAGCATGGAGAGCGAGCATGCTGCTGCTGGGGGCTCGGGGGTCGTCGTCCGGAGGAGGAGGAGTTCCAGGGGACTAGGGAAGGGATGATAATGATGACGACGATGGGTGAGCAGGTCGTTTTCATGACGCTGGACTTCTTTCTATATATCTATTTATACCCAAGACGCAGGACCACAGTATATTTATCAACCCACTTGACTTGACTAGGATCGTGCTCTGTCTCGTCTCGTCTCGTCTCATCTTGTCTTGTCTTGTCTATCGGTGTCTATCTCTCTGTTCTAACCTGAAAAAGGGCAGGCAGGCAACAGGCTCTTATTTCTTATGATCAACCCTCTTTCTTGCTTTCCTAGTCGTGCAGGATAGTCGGCGACATCAACATCCCCAGCAACAAGCCCGTGACTCACAACTTAGCCATGATAGCATTCCTCCTGCCGCTCCGCGAGGGCTGCTGCTGCTCCCTCTCCAGGTCCCGGAAGCGCTCATACTCGCGCAAACACTCCGGGTTCCGCACGGTGGAGGAGACCTTGACCTGCTGGCCCGAAATGACGCGCTTGACGGCGACCTCGACCTTCTTGCCGTTGACGGTGTAGGGGATCTCGGACACGCGCTCGACGAACTTGGGCACGTGGCGCGGCGACAGGCCCTGGGCGACGGCGGCGCGCAGCCGCGCGACCAGGTCGGGCGTGAAGTCGGCTTCGTGGCCCGGCGCCATCACCACGAACAGGAACACCGTTTCGTCCCGGTCGTGGGGCCGCCGGCGCCCGACGCACAGCGTGTCCGACACCAGCGCGTTGAACTGCGGGCCCTCGACGATGTTGTACACCTCGCTGCTCCCGAAGCGGATGCCGCTGGGGTTCAGGACCCCGTCGCTGCGGCCCAGGATCTGGAGGCCTTTGGTCACCGGGTTCATCACGATGAAGTCGTGCTGGGCCCACACATCCAAGTAATCGTCGGGAGAAGGAGCAGTATCACTACTCTTGCTGGCCACGGGGAACTTCTCAAAGTACGCCTCGCGGTACTTCCGGTGGTCTTTGGTGTCGCCCCAGAACTTGCACGGCATGCTGGGGAACGGCTTGCGGCAGACCAGTTCGCCGGGACGGCCCTCCATGGCGCACGACCGGCCCGTCTCGCTGTCGAGGATGTCGCAGTCGTGACCCAGGGCCCACATCTGCATCTCATTGGCGTAGACCGGGCCGGCCGGGTTGGTGGCGACCCACGACGAGGCGATGTCGGTGCCGCCCGCGACGCTGGACAGGTGGATCTGGCGCGGGAAGGCGCGGTAGAACCAGTGGAACTGCTCGCCCGTCAGGGTGGCGCCCGTGGTGGTCACCAGCTTCAGGGGTGACAGGTCAAAGTCCGCCACGCGGATGCCCGATTGCTCCAGCTCCAACAGGTAGCGCGGCGACGTGCCCCAGTAGGTGGCGCCGTACTGGGCGCAGATGCGCAGCATGGTCGACGGGTCCGGGTGCAGGGCGCCGCCGTCGTAGCAGAGCACGCGGCTCCCGACCGACAGGTGGCCGTTCATGACGTTCCACAGGATCCAACTGGTCGACGAGTATTGGAACACGGTCGACCCGGGCCCCAGGCCGTTGTGCAGCAGCGAGATCTTCTTGTAGTTCAGCACCGACACGTGCGGCGACACGATGCACTTTGGCTCCCCTGTCGTGCCGGAGCTGTACACGATCACCAGCGGGTGGTCGGTGGGGACGCGCGTGTAGGTGAGCCGGTCACGCGCGCGGGCGGCGGACAGGAACTCGAACAGGGATATAGCGCCCTCGACTGGTCTGATGTAGTCCAGGTGGCGCTGGCGGTGCGGGCGGTGGCTAGTGGGCACGAAGACGAGGCGCGGCTTGGGCTTTGACGCCGGCAGCGCCTGGAGGATCTGCACGACCTTGCCCAGCATGGAGGGCCGGGTGCCGCGCACGGCCACGTCGACGTCCGCGAACAGCCACTTGGGCTCGACCTGGGCGAAGCGGCTAACGCAGCCCGACGCGCCCAGGTCGGGGGACACGGAGGTGAAGATGGCGCCCATGGACGCGGCGGCGAGGAACAGCACGACGATCCAGACCGAGTTGGCCATCAGTGCGGCGACCACGTCGCCCTTCTTGACCCCGCGCCGCACCATGGCCGAGCGGGCCCGGCGCACCAGCTCGGCGAGCTCGGCCCAGGTGATGTCCTCGGGGTCATCGAGACGGCCCTCGCGCAGGCCGACGAGGGCGACGGCGTTCGGGCGCGCTGCGACGTGCGGACCCAGGACGTTCTCGGCGTAGTTGAGGCGCAGGCCCGGGAAGAAGGTCGGGATATCGCGCAGCCGCAGCGATGGGTCGTACGCCAGTCGCGTGTGTTTGGGGAGCGGCGGCACGATCCCGCACCACCCGTACAGGTCGATCCAGAACTGGTGCGGGTTCTGCACCGTCCAGCTGTGCAGCTCGTGCGAGTCGCGCAGGGACACGGAGAACTTGGCGTTAACGTGGTGCCGGTACCGGGACATGGGCGGCGCCTCGGGGTCCGGGGGGGTCCATAGTGGTGTTGGAAGAGATGATGATGTGTTATTCTCTGAGCTGGAGGAGGATGGTGTCCCTGGGCTAGATGGTGGTGGTGGTGATGATGATGATGATGATGCTCTCTTGATCTCGTCCCGATACTGCTTGGAGCAGTACTCGAGCGGCAGGCAGACGGCGTTGTAGTATGCTGCTGCTGGCGGTGACGACGACGACGGCGGCATTGTGGGTTTCGACTGTAGGCCCTCTTTACTCCCTTCGTAACTCGCGAGGTGTTTTTCTCTTCCGACGCTGTCTTGACCGCCTGGTCCTGTCGAGAAGGAGGTAAGACGTATAGTTGAATATGAAGGGTAGTCTCGTCGTGAGACTGGCCCAACAGTCAGATTCGTTCAATCAGAATAATCCGACCTGGTTCAATCTATGTATATCGTATATCGTATTGTGTCTCGTGCCTTCTGTGGTGACGTTGTTGTATATGAAGGTATGTCTGTCTCTGTTCCAGCCTCCACTCTTCTTCACCCGCCTCATAGAACGAAACGTAAAAGAGAATGAGAAGTCAAAAACGAACGGAAGGTGAATCCACGACAGAAAAGCAAAAGCCCGACGTCTACTGTCCCCTGGACTGTGCCTAGGAGGCGGGTGACGGAATAAGTAGTTGGCCGAGTATTCGGCGAGGAAAAGCAGGCAGGGGGAGAAAGAAAGAAAAGTCAACCGGCCCGTCGGACTGGGTTGTTCGGCGATATAGTTGGTGTTGGTCTTGTTGGTTTTTTGGAGAGAGCCTCGGCAATAGTCATCCATCATCCGCTATACAAACAGAGCCGGGTGCGGGGGATCCAAGATCATGCCAGTGACCACTGACAAGTCTATGGGTGGAAAAGCTTCCCACAGTCCTACATCTATCAATCACCTCCTCCATCTGCTGAAATCAATCTCCGGCAACCTCAGCGCCAGACTGCTCATCACCACACTGACACTACTCGCCGCCATGGCGATACTTGCCCAAACCGGATTCAATCTCCACCCAGCGTGTTGATCGTTCGCTCCGACAGCAAAGAATACCCCCGCTGCAACGGGAACCAAGCACAGGTTGTACACCGCTGCCCAGGCAAAGTTCAATTTCACGCGTAAAAACACCCGTTTGGCAAGTCTGACCAGGGTAAGTATCGTGTTGAGGTCGGCATTGAGCAGGATGAACGATGAGGTGGTCATGGCCACGTCGGAGCCGGAGGAGAGTGCGATCGAGACATCGGCAGCAGAGAGAGCAGGAGTGTCATTCGTGCCGTCCCCCACGAACGCAATGATCTTGCGACTACCCTGAAGGCCTGAGGGCTCGTCGGAGGATAAGCCTTGCAGTTCGCGGATGTAGCTGGCTTTATCTTGTGGGAGGACACCGGCACGCACATTGCTGGCAGGGATTCCCAGCTGGGTAGCAATAGCCAGGGCCGTGGTTTGGTTGTCTCCCGTGCACATGTGGACGTCGAGTCCTGCGCTGTGGAGAGATTCGAGCACTTCGGGTGCCTCAGAGCGGATCGGGTCGGCGATGGCAAAGACAGCCAAAGCCCGGTAAGACGACAGCGACTTGGCTTTCTCAGCATCTTCTGTTATCTCCCGGACAGCAAAAATGGCGGTGGAATGACCGAGGGACTGGTGCTTCGTGAGTATGGGATTGAGGTAAAAGTCCTCTCCTTTGGACGTGACCTTAGCCTCGGCCTCCTTTGTTGAGAAACCTGACGTCTGGCTGTCCGGCAGAGAAATGCTCTGCAAAAGTCTCTCGTTTCCAAGAGCGATCTCGTATCGCAATGCAGACAAATTGCCTCTGACCAGGAATCTGCCGGTCATGCCCTGCCCAGGCACCTCTTTGACCTCCTCCTGCTCAATGGAAACATTGGTCGAATTCTCCGCACAGTAGGTTGCAATAGCTTTGGCGATCGGATGCGTGCTTGACTCTTCCAACATACGGGACGACGCCAGGATGGCGCTATCGTCAAGTGTCGGACTACAGCCCTGACTGCTCCGGATCAATTCAAAGTCGGTGACTCGCATGTGCCCCTCAGTCAGTGTGCCTGTCTTGTCAAACACAATAGCGTCCAATTTCGACGCTTCCTGAAACGCCTCGCCACCTCCTTGGACAAGGACCCCGTTTTTCGCGGCCAACCCGCCTCCCACAAAGAGTGCCGTAGGTGCAGCGAGACCTATGCCACAGGGGCAGGCGACCACGAAGACGGCAATCGCGAACTCAAGAGACCAGAATGGCCATCCTCCCCGACTGACGTCAAGCCATGCGCGAGGTAGAGTTCCGGATAAGCCCAGGCCCATCCAGATCACCCAAGTGGTGATAGCAATGAGGGTGATGACCGGGACGAAGTACCCCGTGAGAATGTCTGCAATGCGCTCGATCGGAGCTCTTTTCGCCTGGCCTTCACGAACAACATTGACAATGCGGTCCAACATGGATGTCCCCCCGACACCAGTTACTCTGATTCGGACAGGGTCGGACACGTTCACAGACCCGGTAAAAACCTCATCGCCATAGGTTTTCATGACCGGCCTCGATTCTCCGGTAAGAGAGCTCTCATCGAACAGAAATGTGCCTTGATTATCAATGACGCCGTCGGTGGGCGGTGATGTTCCGTGAGGGATCTGAACGAGATCACCTGTCTCCAGCTGATCAACGGGGATGGTTTCGGTGCCGCCAGACGCTTTCCCGCTCGCACCATCTGTGACAAGGAGAGCTGTTGAAGGCCGGAGGTTGCTGAGCATCGCCACAGCGTCACCGGTCTTCGTCTTGCTGTACGCCTCCAGGAAGCGTCCAATGAGGATGAAGAAGGTGAGGAATGTCACGGTATCGAAATATGTGTCTGATGACTGACGATGCCTCATGTCTGTCGAATTAGATGTCGCATCCATAACCAGGACGGCCAACGAGGAGAAATATGCCACCGACGCGCCAGCACTGATCAACAGATTCATGCTGCCAAACCGGTAAAACCGACGCAGAATCGGGATTTTGCTGTTAGGCCTCCACATCGCTTTAATCTCCTTATATGCGCGGACATGGAAGAGATCAGTGCCGAAAACCATAACCGGTGTGGTCATGAAGAACAGTGCCCACTCCATTCGCATAGCTTGTCCCGCGAGGATGGGCTGTTCCCACCATCGCCTCGTCGCATTGGATCCGGGCACCAAGCTCATGTACACCACACCGATGATGAACGTCGGAATAGCAACGATGCCAGTAAACAGGAGCCGGCCAAGAATATGCTTCATTTCCTTTCGCTGTAACCGTCGTGACCGCTCTTCCAGCGTTGGTGGGTGGTAGACACTTGCCTTCAGAGCTTCGTGTGAAGCATCGACAACGGCGATGAAGCTGCGTATGTTGAGCTGAGGAGAAGGGCGGTAGGTAACGGTAAGGATGGGATCTTTTAAGGTCGGTAGTTGAGTTATGGTAAACGTCGATCCGTGGGCAGGTGACAATGCAGATTGGATAGCCGTCCTGACATTCTCGGGACAGTGCTCACAGTACATGCCGTCGATCCTCAGCTGTACTGTCCGTTCTTCTTTCCGGACCGGAGCTGATTTGGCGGTGCTCTCCAGTTTGATAACGGTCGCTTCGTAGCCCAAGTCGTCGATCTTCTCCAGTATTGCTTCGAGATTCTGCTTTCCGTGGAAGATCACAAGCCCGCGGTTCCCGACCAAGTCGATGTTGGTATCTTGGATGAACGGAAGCTCCTCGAGCCCTCGGGTGATCGCGCCAACGCAACTTCCACAGGTCATTCCCTCAATACTGAGCGTGACCTTCAGATCCTCATCGCCACCATCTGACGGAGCCTTCTCTTGCGCCAACGGTTGCACATTATCAACGACAGCCTCGTAGCCCAATTCTTCAATGGCCTCCACAAGTTTGTCCGAGTTGCTCTTGGGGCCATGATAAACCACTCTTGCGTTGTTCGTCATTAGATTAACATTTGTCGAATCCACAAAGTCTAGGTTGTCGAGCCCTTTTGTGATCGAGCTTGTGCAAGACGCGCAAGTCATGCCACCGATCGACACAGCAGCAACATAGTGGGAAGGTGTACTCTTTTCTGTTGTGCCATCGAGGTCTTTATTCGACACCTTGTCTCCAGCCAGTGTGTCATCCGAAACCGCGGCCTCCTCGTCTGTAGGGGTCTGTCTGGGGCGGGCTTGTCGGCGCAATCGTGTGAGAGAAGGCCATGTAAGTTTTGGCCTTGGTGTCTGGCCTTTTTCGCGTTGACATGCCTTACAATTTTCAATATGCTTGCGTTGAGCGCGAGACATGAGCCAGCGGGACCGCGAGAGCCGGGCGTTGGTGGGACTTGGTGACACATCGGAGTCGTGAGATTTGATACCGTCGGGTCGGGTAGTTGTGACATGCTGGACGTCGAAAGCTGCCTTGATTAGCTCACGGACAATGACTTCTCGGGTCGAATCCTGTGCATGTTTGACACGAATGAGTTGGTCGATGAGAGAGACTTGGATGGACTGGATTCCTGGAATTCCCTGGAGAGTATCTTGGACATAGGACACGCACGACGGGCAGTGGATGTTTGACACTAGGAACGTGGATGTGTAGGCCATGGCTGAGGAAAAGAGGAACGAGATGGGCAACACTCAAGGCTTCTCGTGCCTTGAGAAACGTGGCGAGCAAGACAAGGGCTTGGTGTACTGCGTAAAAGGAGATGAGATATAACGGGGGAAAATGACACAGAAGGAAAGATGATGATGAAGCTGCTCAGTCTTTATTCTCCCACATGGTCTTGAGTAGTTTGTGCGTAGAGCGATACAGCGGATTTCGCTCGAAAACCTTCAGGTAGATCAAGGATCGCATTGAGTCGATGATAGGTCGAGGAAGTCGTGGATCATGCGAAGTATGGCAGCAGGATGCGCGACTTGTGCGTTAAATGACGGAGGGAGTTGGGAAGTTTGGCGCAGGCTGGAAATGAGGTGGGGAGGATGACAAAATAATCCAGATCACGTGTACCTAGCCGTGAAAATCACGTGTGGATTCCAATTCTGCGACTTCATCTCAACCCCGTCGCCTGCTTCTCGAATTGCACACTCTTGACACCAACGAAGCGAAGACTGAAGCTAAGCAACCTCGCCTCCGTCGCTGATATAGACACACTATCGATCATGGAACTGGTGTATTCTTGACGACGGGATGCTGCTTTCTTCCAATCAAAACCCACCACCAACCGTTCGCCTAGGGACAAAGGGTGACCTCAGCTGGCATGGCCTCCCCACCAAGAAGCTCCTTGGCTCCTTCCGAAGCCTCGAACGATCTCAGAAGTCATGTCATTCAGAACAGTGACAATGATCACCACAAACAATTCTCGATGCCATCTTCTCACTACAATATACCTCCTGCTATTCCCGTCCTCAATTTTAGTGTTACATCCGACGGCCTGAACAACCACGTCGAGTTGTTGGGTCCTCATCGCCCACCACAAGTGGACTTCGGTCCAACATCTTATCCACGCTCGGGGCCACGCCGGGGGTCATTCCCAGACATCCTACCACACGGTCACACTCCACCTCCACCCATCAACATAACCATGCCCCCTGCTAAAGCTCGCAAGTCCGGGCTTTTCACAGGTTTCAGGGCCGGGCAGGAGGATATGGACACCGATAGCGATCTTGAATTTCTATATTCCATACCATGTTCGAATGCAGATAAGGCGCAAACTCCCTCTCCTGTTACTAACACCGACAAAATCGACAAAGACACAACCACTACCGTGGGCGAGGTTGTGGCACCCAGTATTGCCAGTGATGGAAATCCACCCTCAACAAAAGTTGCTGAAAGTAGTGTCTCAGGAAGAAATAAGCAAGATGTTCCTTCCAACAGTCCAGTGGTCCCTGATAAGGGGCTGACTGGAGACAAACCGGACATCAAACGGGAGCCGAGCAACATCCAGGCTCCGGGCGACGACCAGACTTCACCCCAAGTGGTACCCGCGAACGCCATAGATCAGCCTTCTAACTACTCTATGCCTCCTAGCAAGAAAAGAAAGAGTGGTGCTTCCAGAACTTCAGAGTCCAATCAGCGCGCGTCGACTTCGGCATCAACGGCCACTCCGTCTCGAGAGAGCTCGGAAGAATACAACCCTTCTGGGCACACTCGATCCGGGAGGCAAATACAGAAGCCTGTGTCCCTTAGCGAGGGTACTCCTGTCCATGCGAGCCCATCAAGGAAACCATCACGCAACAATTCTACCGCCAACACAATGTCAAATTCCCCTGCGTCCATAAAAACTCACCCAAAGATCAAACGCAGAGTCTACCGCGGACGTGAGCAGTTTGCGCTTTGTGAGCACTGTTTGCGTGGACACGGCCCTCCAGGAAATGTGATTGTCTTCTGTGATGCATGCAACAAGTGCTGGCATCAGCGCTGCCATGAACCCCAGATCTCTTCACAAACGGTTAGTGACTCGAAAGCCGAGTGGTTCTGCTCGGAATGTGACCGAATTCTGCACGGCAAGAAGAAGGACAAGAAGGCAAATGGGAAAGCTGGCGCCCAACTCGCCGTCGTGGCACCTCCTGTCGTTGAGCAGAAACCCACATTTACAGGGCCACGGGTTGGAGGTCGTTTCCTCCGGCCCGAGCAGAAGGAAGCCTATCTCAAAACTCTTTCCAGAGATGATCTTGTGTCGCTGGTTCTACAGGCCTCAGACCTGGCACCGGACCTACCTTTGTTCCAAAGAGCAGCACCGCCGCCGCCCCCGCCAGTGGTGATGCCGCAGGCGCAGTTCACTTCTACCTATGTAACACCGGTCACGAAGGTGCCTTCGTTTGGGGACAACGACGCGGGCGACGATAACGAGCTAGATGAAGGCTACGATGGATACTTTGACGAGCACGCCGCACTGTATCCCAAGCCTGGAAATGGAGTCCAATTGCCTCCAGAGAGCGAGGATTTGCATGTGTTGCTGGAGGGCAAAGAGAGCAAAACCTTTAGTCATTGGGTGCAAGGAATGCCCGGGAAGCTGTTCAGCGGGTCGGGTAATGTCTCTTCGACGGTATACTGATACTAGCAGTGCACAGGCTCTGTTGAGGAGATTTCGATGGTTCATTATTACTTCGTCTCGAATGCTTCGCGCCCCACTGTCCCACTGCCTAATCATTGCCGAATCAAGGCGTCGGATAGCTTATCCGTACTTCGCTTCAGTTGCCTTCCTATCTCGACGTTTGTCCCGAGTTCCAATGCGGCATCAATCTCTCCTTAGTATTGTATCCATTGCTTGCCTCCTCTTCCTCCCGCTGGTCATGATCGACTGCACGAAAGATCATCTTGTATTTGACCTTTCAAGAGAAACTTCCACTATGACAGAAATGTGATGTGGATGCCGATGCCTGGAGTCCCCAGAGATGCGGCGATCAACTCACGACCGTCGAGTCCCATTACAGGGGGCTTGAGAACGAGGCTCGCTCCATCACAACACAGTATCTTTTGGGCATAAGACCACACATCATGTTAACAAATTTCTCTGGAGTTGGAAGAGGTACCGTGTGCTGATTTCCTTTGGTTGATGCTGTTTGGCTGTGACGACTGGGACGATCTGTTTGAGAAGATGACAAGCCACAGTATCGAGAGTAATCCCCGTCACGTACATGGAGGGTATCAGGCAGTAGACCAAGACATAGGTTGGGTTCATTGACGCAGAGCTCTTTGTCTCAAGGTGGAAACCCCGTTGTCTTGTGTCTTGCAAACAGACCGTGCTGGCTGCGCTCCTGCCACTGCCACTGTCACTGCCGTGGGGGAATGTCACTGGCTTCTTGCCTCACCTTCTATCCCAGGTGACTGCCCCCCCACCCCAGCCACGTCGATGATTCTAAGTGACTCACTGAGCCTTCTGGGGTTTTCCGGAGTTGCCAATTTGAGAGCAGTTCAACTGCGCCAAGACCCAAATCCCTCAATTGCGCTCGCACAAGATCTTCCCTTTCACGAGAACAGAGAGATGCTGTGATCTTTCTATCGATTTTATTCATGATTCAGTGGCATTGTACTCATCTCCTCCCAGCTCCACCATGGTGGCGATCATGAGGCCTTACATATCCGCCTTGACGGCCGGACAAGGCTTGAACTACGAGTCGATAAACGTTCTATCTCCTGAGCCGCGCCCCAGCCTTCCTTTCACCGATGATGGTCCGGGAAACCTCTCAGTGTTTGGTCCTCGCCACGATAACGACCATGAAAACTACAGAAAGATCAAGATTCTCCCAACTGCTGATGAAATCCTGGCCGTCCATCGACCGACGTACATGCCGAAAAAAGATCTCCATGAAGAGCACTTCTTAGACAACGGGCCTGCCAGGCTTCTGGATACGCTTTTCAGACAACTGCGATATGACAGCATTGAGAGCATCCGTGACGTATGCTATTCAGCCTCACAAGTTGCCTTTCTCGGCAGCCGCACAAATCCTGAAGCCCACGTCCGCCACGAGACCGAAGCCGGCAACCGTTATTTCTTGTATCGCAACGTCAAAATCGAAGAGCTGCTTTCACATGAACAAAAGACGATGCTTGTCCGCGTCAGTTACGACTGTCCGCCATTCATGAGGGCTCAGAGGTTGTATGACTCTGGCCGATTTCAAAAAGGCATGCTTGTCGCGTTGCTCCAACTGAATCATGCTACCATGACACTGTCTGTCTACTTCATGGAGGTTCATCTCGCTCAAAGCACATTCTCTATGAACAGCTTTGATGGAGGGGGGACTCGAGCAGCAGTCCAGCTCTCTTTCCTCCCTACAACCACCCACGGTGAAGTCCTGCAACTCTGCCGCCACACATTGGGCCTTTGCACAGGAAGTGAACTCTACCTTATAGAATTCCCGAAGGTTCTCTTCGCCGGGTTCTACAACTGCCTGAGGCGGCTGCAAGAGATGAGAGAAGCAGATTTCGCTTTTCAGCGCTACGTTGCACCTAAGAAGGATATCAGTGAGGTATTGGGAGCTGAAAAACTGCACTCGATCACTGGATTGCCCTCTCAGCTTCCATGCCCCCCACCTGCCTACGCACTCTCATCGGGTTTCGAATACAACCTCACGAAGCTTGTTCCACCGACATGCCGGATTGCGTCTGCATCTGTAGCAGATTTATCACGTCCCTCGACTCTCGATGTCCTCAACCGCGAAACCACTCTGGACGAAGGTCAAGCGGTGGCTTTCAGAGACAGCCTCCTGCGGGAGTTTGCTTGCACACAAGGTCCGCCTGGATGCGGCAAGACCTTTCTGGGTGTCCAGCTAGCCAAGACTCTTCTCGAATCCCGGCACTCACAGAAGCCTATCCTACTGGTTTGTCTGACGAATCACGCCCTTGACAGCTTTCTCGCCGATCTACGAGATGCTGGTGTCTCCAATCTGCTCCGAATCGGTTCTGGCAGCAAGGCAGACTGGACAGATGCAATCAATCTCCGCAACATGAGACGAAAGACGCGAATGAAGAAGGCGGATAGCCACAGGCTGTATGCTCATGATCTCCAAAAGAAGCTGCTCCTCGCAGAACTGGATTTATTGTGCAAAGGTATAGTCATCTCCCACATGTCCTCTCGAACAGAACTAAGTGAGAACAGCGCTTTCTTGCCAGACTCATACTGGCAACCCTCCATGGCACTATGTCGAGGATATTCTACGCAACAAATACCCCGATGTCCATTCCCAATTCATGACCAACCCCAATGTCTCGCTTGCGCAGTCCTTTACTTTCGAATACTGGTCAGGCGGCGGAGACCTAAAGACCATACGGGAATTACATCTAGAACTGGCTTGTAGGCTGGCCCAAACCTCAAAAGACGGTGCAAAACCGACCCAAGAAAATGTCGATGAAATCCTTCTCGACATATCTTACCATGCTGAACTCCAAAGTGCAAACGCTGGGGAGTCTAGCGTATGGAACCTGCCTCTATCTGAACGTCAATTTATGCTTCGCCATTGGGAGGCGGAGGTAGACGGAGAAAAGTTTGCAACCAAGATGGTTTCACTCTACTCTGACTTGCAAGTGTACATGGAGAAAATCAAGACAATCCACGAGGCGCGCGACGCGCAGATCATGTCGTCTCAAAATATCATCGCTATGACCACAACCGCATGCGCAGCCCGCTGGGAGGTTCTGCGATCACTGGATCTTGAGATCCTCATTTGTGAGGAGGCCGCGGAGGTTATGGAAGCACATGCACTCTGCACTTTGCTCCCTACACTTCAACATGCAGTTTTTATTGGCGATCCTCAACAGCTGCGACCTGAAACAAATGAACAGTCTCTAAGTCTCGAGATGTCGGTCGGGCGTCAATATCGCTTGGATGAGTCGTTGCTGGAGCGACTGATGTTTCCTCATGACATAGCTGCGCCGATAATGCCGTCAAGCCACTTGAGTGTTCAACGCCGCATGCATCCTGACATTGCAAATATCACTCGCCTGACCTATCCCTATCTCAAGGACCACGAGTCTACGCTCCAACGCTCGCCAACTCATGGCATTACACATAGAATCTTTTGGTGGGACCATCGAGTTCCCGAACTTGGATCGGATGATCTAAAGTCGCATGCCAATCTCCATGAGGTCGAGATGGTCGCCTCCCTTGTCCAGTACCTGCTTCGCAGTGGTGCGTACTCACAAGGAGAGATTGCAGTCTTGACTCCATACGCTGGCCAGCTATTGAAACTCTACGGGCGGCTGGCCGCAACATGTGACATATGGCTCTCTGAAAACGACCGAGAAGCACTGCTTGGTGAGGAGGTCCTTGGCCTTGGAGATGAAGGCAGGACTACCAAAGACGAAGTTGCGATCTCCGACATGCTCAGGATCGCTACAGTCGACAACTTCCAGGGTGAAGAGGCAAAGGTCATCATCCTCAGCACGGTCCGAAGTGGAGGGAGCGCTGGGTTCTTGAAGACTTTGAATCGCATCAATGTTGCCTGCAGCAGGGCACGTAACGGCTTTTATATTGTGGGTAATTCCCAGACTCTATCTCAAGTACCAATGTGGAGAAACGTTATCAACGCTTTCAATGGGAAGATTGGAGGTTCAATTATGACTCAATGTCATGTGCACCCTGACCATCGCCACCTTGTCGAGCAACCAGAAGACTTTCAATACGTCCCAGAATGTTCAACGACTTGCGGGACGATTTTGCCCTGCGGCCATCTCTGCCAAGAGAAATGTCACCCGCCCCAGCTCCATTCCCGCCTAACCTGTCAGGAGAAATGTACGAAGGTCTTCCAACCGTGCGGACACACATGTGAGAAGCTGTGCTATCAGAAATGTGGAAAATGTCAGACTACCATCGACGAAGTTACCCTCGATTGCGGACACCGCGGAAAGACGCTCTGCTCAGGAGACACGTTCAAGTGTGAGGTGGTCATAGCGACGAAAGTCCTCAGCTGTGGCCATTCTCTAAGTACCTTGTGTGGTGAGAATCCCGACGACAAGGGCATATGCCAACAACCATGCGGCAAGACACTCCTTTGCGGCCATCTTTGCGGTGGGAAATGCGGGGTTTGCAACGACAAAAATCCAGGGAAGCATGACTCCTGTGCGCAGATGTGCAATCAACTGAAAGCATGTGGCCATCTTTGCAAGGAGACTTGTCATGTCGGAAAAGCATGTCCAACCTCATGTGTTGAACCCTGCCTGGACCAGTGTGCGCATGGTCCTTGTAGGGGTCGGTGTCAAGACATCTGTGATCCTTGCGTCAAGCAAACCGTTGCTGGCTGTGAGCACGAAGAATCGTCGGACATCCTTTGTTGCCTGCCGAACCCTTCATTACCTTGCTGCAGGCCCTGCCCTCAGACCCTAGCATGTGGTCACGACTGCCCATCACTTCATGGTGAGGTGTGCCCTCCCTCGAGGCTCTGCCCAGAATGCCTCACTGGGGAAAGAGGCCCCAATGTCCTGTACTCCCCCGAATGTGGACACATGACAGAGATCGCTCAGCTAGACGTCCTCAATCTCCTTGGCATTTACAACGTCAATACCCAGGGGATTATTTCAGCAATCAACTCAGATGTGAGACCACAAGATCTCAATATACCAAAATGCCTGTGCGGGGCCTCCATGCAAGGCACTCGCCGGTACCGACTCCACTCGAAGCTGATCGACTTCGAGAGCACTTTTGACCTTCTTCTCGCGAAAATGGGTCGCAAATTAGCTGCCTTTGCGGCAGCAATCGACGTCCAGGCGAAACGGTTGGAGCAGACGTTCAAACTATGCCTCGAAGAGATCCGACCAAACCCTCTGGCAGCTAAATCGAATGCTACCATCGTTCTTGGTCGAAATCAAGAGATACTTGATCTCCAGAAACAGATTATTAATTTCAGGAGCGAAGTCGTGGATCGATTTCAGAGCAGCATTGCAGCATTACATCAGGTGTTTCCAAACGTCATCCCGTCGCATAACCCGAGTTTCCATCTTCACCTTGACATATTAGAATACAGGGTTGTCAGTGTGCGTCTCGCTGATGCCCTGGAAATTGCAAATCAGCTTCTTCCTCTGAAGGACCATTCCTTCGGAGTGCAACGCCTGGCCCTCAAGATGATCCAGTTCGTTTACAAGGAATCGATTTCGTGCATAGAGTATTGTCAAGGAGCATTGGACAAGACCTCTATTGATACCAACCCGTCTATTGAAGCTGAGATCAGGCTGCAACAGCTCCAGTTCATGCTCTTTGCAAAGTCAACAAGAATTCAGCTCTCTGGGCTTGGCTATCCTGTCAATGACAACGTAGTGGGCATGAACGCGGAAACAGTCAAAGCTGGCTTGGACGCCGTCAGCGCGATCGGCCGCCGGTCCCCGGGGACGTGTGCTCTTTTAATGGTGACTGCACAGAATATGGCCGCAGCCTTCGGACACCAAGATGGGTCGCAGGCACCGTCAATCCCGAAGATCAGGAACAACTACATAAGGCAGGTCGAAAACCTGTGGGGGCATCATGAACTTGGATTTCTGGCCACCTGTGGTCGATCCCACCCCTATTCGGCAAAGACTTTCTCTAACGGCTGCCCCAATTGTGAGAAGCAGGCTCAACTGTCAGCCGATGAAATCTTCCGTGAATCTGGGAAGCACCTGTTTGAGCAGCAGTTCTTGCGGACCATGCAGTCCAGATCCCCGAAACCTCGAAAGTTGAAACATCCTGATCGGGGAAGCCTAAAGGTAGCTTTGCAGTCGGTTGAGCAACCCTTCTTGGAAGCAAACACTGCCAGTGCTGCAGCTGTGGCGGAGTTGTCCCCCGAAGAAAGATTTCTGGCAGCGATGAGGAGAGGTCCGCCGAATCCACTTATAAGGGTGAAGAGCGAGACAGTTAATTTGGACGAGTTGGCTAGAGAAGTGGACATTGGAAAAAAGCTGGAGATGTCGTTGGAGGTGAGAAATGTCACGCAAGAGTCAACTCCAGTTGAACCAGAAAAAGAACTTACAATGGAGGACAAGTTTCTTATGGCAATGAGAAAGATTCGCAACAATTGAAAAGAGAAAGAGACCGATGAGAGCCAGTGAAGGGCCAGTGAGGAAATACGTAGTATCGGCAGCATAGATACTGCATTTTAGTGAACAGACAATCAACGCAATAGACATAGATAATATTGTCGAGAAAACCCTTGTTTGTCTTTTCTAGCTCCCTGCTTTCTAGAGCATCGCCGTCAAAAAGCTTGCGCCCGACATGCAAAGAGGTGTTAAGGTCGCTATAATGGATTCCAGAACTGATTCGTGCGAGAACAACCGGACAGGATGTTGCTTTAGAACCGCCAGCGTGAAAATATCCAACTCACTGGCTGGCCTGTATATGCGTGTAGGTATGATGACATGGGTGGTCGTCGTCGTCATGGTCATCGTCGCCGTCATGGTCATCGTCGCCGCCGATTCCCCTCCACCCAGCCACAGCAGAAAAGAAAAATGATGCAGCTGCCTGTAGCTTCGTCGCTGCTGTCTGTCGGCAGAAAACAGGTCCGTCGGGCTTCTTCCTCCGCTTCACAGTTTGGATTTGGCCGCCGCGTGCGTCACGGCGGGCTTCGGATCCACGGCCAGCTCCGTCCACCAGGGATATGTGACGGGCGGGTTCTTGTCCAGCTGGTCCTGGAAGTTGGGTTTGTCTCCTGCGAAGAAGGCGCGTTTGGCTTCGGCGTGGTCTCTGTGTCGCGGACGGGAGGCGAATCAGTTAGATGGCTTCTCAAAAGAAGGAGAGCGGGGAAGGAGGGAAGGAGAGGAACAGGTATAGGTACTGGGGAAATAGATAGATCCATGCTCGCTTGCTCGCGTGCTTTGCTCTACCCAGGCCCCCGTTCACTCGCCTCAAAACTCACCTGGAAGCGAACTGGTGCGCCAGCAGCGGACTGTCGACCAGGTGCGCGGCCTCGGCCGAGCCAGGATTACGCCAGATGAGCTGGCGGTTGAGGTGAATGGCGGTGGTGCTGACGCGGGTGACGAGTTCTTCGGCCAGCTGCACGGCGCGCGGGAGCACGTCCTGGGGTTCGGGCACCAGCTCAGAGAAGACGCCGTCCAGCGCCTTGGAGTCAGCCGGGTACGTCGCCCCCGTGGTCAGGAGGTACGTCGCCCGGCTGTAGCCCACCATGCGCGGCAGGAAGAAGGAACTCGCTGATTCCATGGTGAGGCCGATGCGGGAGAAGGGGAAGCCGAAGCGTGATTTGGGACTTGCGATCCTGTGAACGAATAATTGTTCAGTGTCTCGGATTAAAGACACCTGGTGTGTCTGCTGAGAGGAATAGATGTGAAAAGGGAATGCATTACCTAATGCCTGCTGCAAGGGTGGATGTCATCCCAATGCCTACCGCAAGCCCATTGTACGCCACGATCACGGTCTTGCTGCAATTGTACATGGCCAGGGCGAGCCGTCCGCCCGTGTCCCGGATGTCCGTGACGGGAATATCCTGAGGCGGGCTGGCGTCGAGATTTAAGTCGATACCGGCGCTGAAGGCCCTGCCCACGCCCGTCAGGATCACCACCTTGACGCGACTGTCCCGATCAATGACGCGGAAAAAGGACTCCAGCCCCACGATCATCTCGCCCGTGAACGAGTTGAGCTTCTCCGGCCGGTTCAGGCTCACGATGACGATGGGCGTCACGCCGGGCGCAGATTCGGGGTGGTTGGTCACCCGCAGATGGCTGTCGGCCGGGGTCGTGTACGTTTCCGGTATATGTACCGTGGAGCTCGGTGGTGCCTGCATCGTGGTCGACGGTTGAAGCAAAGAATCTGTAGAGTTTGGGAGAAAGCTATTGCGAGCCTTGGGGTTCGAGATCTTCTCGCTTATACGGAGTACCGTGTAGATATATCATCGCGTCGATAAGTCAGGGGTGGAAGTAATCCGACTACTACTGGACCGAAACGCCGCGGCCACGGTTAGTAATCACGAGCTCATGTTCTGCCCTATGTCCTGAATAGTACTTTGTAAGCTTCACGGTTGTTGCTCATCTCGAGGGAAGTAAGACAAAGCTTCCAACGCCGTCATTTTGACATCTAGTGTCGTTCTGCACGACGAAGTTCAAAGCTCGCGACAAGTAATGGAGTAACCGGGGTCGGACCCGTGCGAGATCGGAACTAGCGTGCTGGGAAGATGGCGTAGTTTCTAGTGCTTAGCACGAGCTGAACGATTGTCTGCCTTTATTGCACGAGATTCCATCTCCATGAAGGTTTTTGCAGCTGCTGCAACACTCGTTGACTGAGGTCGTATGAGGGTGTAAATAGACATTGCCTTGCACCCCTTCTCGGTGGATTTTATGCCAAGAACACTATAACACTAGCGGCTTGGCATCTTGGCAGCCTAAGATGCCTAAGCTTACCCCCGTCGAGACACATACGTCTCCCAAACTACCACGCTCCGCCTAGCAAGTCTCAATGGGTGATAGACCTGTTCTTCGCGAACCGTCTAGCAATGGTAACCACGGCTGCATCATCCGAACTTAGTACAAACTTCAAGAATTGGTTGAGGTCAATGGATTCCGCGCAGATACGCCATGGAGCATCTTATCAGTCCCACAGAGCTCGACAGATTTCGGCCATCGATCCCTGAAAGTCAATGGCTTGATTTTGATCACGATAGCAGCCAGACATTCCCCGTGGTGTCTTTTGAGGATTATCCCCTCCTCCGAGGCTGGACTGCTGATCGATTGAGAGCCCTCCGTCAGGATGTCGCCGTGCAAAGTGCCGGTTGTGTTTCAAGCATTCTTGCGATGCTACAAAGCTGGCTGTTCTTTGGTGTGCTTGAAGGCGCTTTTCAGCATCACTTTACCAGCTCTTCTTTTCTCACATCATCCGAAGACGTGCAGACCACAGGTAAAAGTCATCGCAGAGTCCTTAATACCCAGCATTTACGCACATTCTATCAACAATGGCACGGTGAATTTATGGACCTTCCAGAAGACAGGCAGACGAGTCTCTCCGACTCTTTCCGCCGCTCGGTGGTGGGTGCCCGCGACTGGACATTGTATCTTGAAGTCGAGCTGAAGTTTAGAATCCCTGCCTACAACAGCCCTCCTCTGTCCAGCGTTTTTAATGCGATTGTCCGTAATGCAGTCCTACTGACGGAGCTACTGACCAAAGCCGTGCCTCAAGCATATTTAGCGAATGGCTTTGTCAACCATCAGATGGACTTGGATCCTGGAGGCGAGATCGAAAATCGGCTGCAAGGGAGCGGATGGTGTCCATCGAGCTCAAGATTACTGATAAGGAGATACGGTCATTCAGCTGCAATGTATGCGACCCTTCTTCGCCCATTGGAGCAGCCTCACGTGAGTCATACTCACTGCACCAAGTCGCAGTGCGTCGCATACAATGTCGACTTATCCACCTACCGGCCTCAGCATGTGGAGCAAGAATGTTCATGCGAACATGTGCTCCCTCCTCGACAAGATATCTTCGACATTCTGCAGTCTGGGACTTTTCCTGTATTGGATGGAGAGGCCATACTGGTGGACGGAGAAAGGGGCGAGCTGAGCGTGAAGCAATACAAACCAGACATGGAATATGTGGTGATCTCTCATGTTTGGTCAGATGGACTCGGCAGTACGACAGAGAAAGGACTGCCGAGATGTCAAGTGGTACAACTTGCACATCTGTGTCATGTAATTTCCGGCTCGACCCTCTTCTGGATCGACGGACTATGCGTCCCACAGGAACCGATAATGCGCAACACTGCAATCCAGCTCATGAGTGCGACCTATTCCAAAGCTGACACGACGCTCGTCCTCGACTATGGTCTTCGTCAGTGCAGCCGCTCAAGCGCTACCGAAGAGATAGCCCTTCGCATCCTGTCATCTGTCTGGCTTCGCCGTCTTTGGACCCTTAAAGAAGGCATTCTCGCGTCTAACCTTGTCTTCCTCTTGCGAGACGCTTTCTTGCCAATGTCTCATTTGCTTTCGGATATCTTCGTCTCTGGCTTCACAGGTCCTATCCCAGCCGCCCTGATCATGGAGGTATCAGGCTTCAGCCGCGACCGCTTTGCTACCAAACCCGCTCATATCAATCATATTCAGCGGCTGATGTGCTACCGGACCACGAGCCGACTCGATGACGAGACACTGGCCATTGCTCCACTCTTCCACATCGATTTGGGGGTCATCATGCCGCATTCAGGCGAAGCGAGAATGATGGCGTTTTGGAAAGCCCTGGGCACCGTGCCATGCGGCTTGATCTTCTCCGGTGCACCGAGACTGACCGCTCATGGGTTCGGATGGGCGCCAAGGACGCTCATGCACGGGACAGGATTGATCGATTTGGGGAGCAGCTACGGACGAATTACGGAAAATGGCCTTGTTGGGGAGTTTCTCGTCTTGGAGTCTGACACAAAATTCGACCTTGCGAGGAGCAAGGCCCTCCGCCTGCTCGACACCACCAAGAAGCGAGGGCTCCGTGTCTTCAATGAAGAGAAGCCGCAATACCTTGAAAGTCACGACCACGGGTCAGTGGATGGCGTCTGGGGCGATATGATCGCCATCCGCGAGCAGCCGAGTGGCGAGATCCTTCCTGGCGTCGCTATCGTGCTCAGACGTGAAGAAAAAAACGTAGACACTATCGAACACGATGATGACAATCGAGTGCCAGCATGTACGTTTGTCACACGAGCCATCGTCGTTGTTGATGAGTCGGCCAACCGAGTGTCGTGGGAGTCAAAACCACCGTCTAATGCCAACCTGGTCAAGTGTGTCGCGAAGACTTTATGCATCTGCTGATACTCACAGGTGGAGATGATTGGACAATTGGACTACCAGGGACTGAAGAGAGAGGAGAAATTACATGGCAGTCTATTTTGCCACGGCTTGGGTCTCTGATACTGCATCATCATCTTCAGAAAGTACCTGTTCAAGCTCGAATATGAGATTCGTTTTCCACAGGGCCAACCCGTTCACCGCTCTTTGGTTCAGCGATATATACATTTTCAGAGCTCCGATGCAATTTCTCCAAGAATGGTCACGAGCTTTTCAGCTCAATGAAATCCGAGCGCCAAGATCTGGCTTTGGCATTGGCTCCAGGGTCGAGATGGCTAAACGTCCTTGTCTGGAGAAAATGCCATCGTGGGCTGGTATCGTCCTCAATCTGCAGCACCAAATGTGACTTCGAGCTCTTTCCAACAGTTGTTCCCCCGGGAGCCGGTATCACCCTTCTATCGTACCGGAGGCAAATGGGCAATCATGTTGACTTTGTAGAATCAGAAGCTCACTTGGAACCGCGGGTGCGTTCTGAGCCGGGCGCCGTATTTTATGAAAACAAATGGTAACGGCACCATGGCCAGCGCAATGAATCCGAGCAAGCTGTTCCCCCAGCCCAGTCCGAGACCCGAGTACAAGGGTCGTCCCGCCAGCGGGAGGAAGGCTCCCGTCAATGAACGGACGACCGTGTTTGCAGCGGTGACGCTGGCGGCGAAGAGAGGATAGCAGTCGACGAGATAGGTTTGGACAGCCATCTATATAACACAAGATTTTGTCAGCATGGAATACTTGGAATACCCATCGTCACAAGCAGAAGTGTCAATTTATCCTCACAAAAATGCCCATCAGCCCCAGTCCCACCCAGCCCGTGCCAATGATGGGCATGATCCAGTGGATCTGCTTCTCCGTCGACCAGCCGTACCAGAACAGCCCGATGGGGATACAGAATGCGGCCGGGATCAGGCCTTCCAGCCGGACTTCGGGGGAGATGTCGCCCTTGGCTTTCTTCGCCTGGATCCGCTTGTCGCTGGTGGCGCCGAACAGGGCCAGCCCGGTGAACATGCCGACGCCGATGCCCAGGTAAGACAGGCCGGCGAGACCCGTGGAGAAGCCGTATATGCTCTCGTAGATCTCGGTGATGGTGGTGAAGATCAGGTAGAGGTAGCCGTAGATGATGGAGACGTAGACCTATATCGGAGAACACCATTGGACGAACGGTTAGAAGAGACAAGAAACAGTCGGGAAGAACGAATGGCACGACATACGACAAAGATGAAGACGATGGGAGACATGAGGAACATCTTGGTCGGGCGGATTAGAGCCTTTACGAGCGCCGTGCGAGGAGAGTCCGCCGTCGACATCTTCGATCGGTACTGTGCATTGCCGGTCGACTTGCGGAGTTTGGCAGCTTTTCTCTCGAGGAGCACAGGGGCGTAAGACTCTTTCATGAAGAGGAAACACAGCACCGTGACCACTCCAGCCTGACGCTCCGTGTCAGCTGCAAAGCACTCAACCACAGGAACCCTGACGAGCATTGACCTACCGCAATGCTGATGACCCAGAAGACCCATCGCCACCCGACATTCTGCGAGAGGAAGGCCCCTGCCACTGGTCCTGATCTAGAGTCAGCACATGTACTATCGCAGTGTCCTTAGGGAGGGTCAACGTACCCGCCACAGGCCCAATCAACGGCCCCATCGCGAAGATGGCCATCTTCGAACCCCTTTCCTCGCGGGTGTACAGATCGGCCACGCTTCCCCCGCCTAGAACCAGGGGCGCCGACCCCGCCGACCCAGCCAGAAACCGGAACCCGATGAGACTGTCCAGCGACGGCGCCACGGCGCACGCGACGGTGAAGACGATGAACAGGACATTCGTGATCTGGTAGACCGGCCAGCGCCCGTAGATCTCCGACATGGGCGCGCACACCAGCGGGCCGAACGCGTAGCCGATCAGGTACACCGACACGACGAACGAGGCGAGGATCACGCTCGTGCTGTCGAAATCGGCCATCACCTTGGGGATTCCCGGCGCGAACATGGATGACGCGAGCGGGCTGGAGAGAAAGAATAAGTCTTGGTATCAGCACATAAACCTAAATGGTTTGATCTTGGGGAAGGGGGCTCCTGGGTTCGTCATGTCATTTGGGCAGTGTTTTGACAATAACATACGTGACAAACGTCAAGCAGGAGAGCAGAGCGATATTGATCGCCTTGCGCCGGGCCGGCCAGTTCATCGGGTTCGCAGGGTCGTCGTCCCCGTCCCAACCGACGACAAAGTCATTCTCACGTGCCGGAACCGGAATGGCCGCCTCCTCCTCGACGATCCCCTCCTTCTTGGTCTCCTCAGCCGCCATGTTGTTGTTATCGCTGCATGCGTCGTCGTTGTTGATCAGTGTGTATTCGAGCGCGGGCTGATCTGGTCTGATATAGGTTTTGGAAGAACCGACCGTCAAGCCATGCCATCGGCGACAAGAAGAGACACGCTGGCGGCTGGGGACGCAACCGAGGAAAGAAAGCCCACGGGTAAAAGAATTGGAACTAGCGCAATACAACCACTCAAGCTTTGGACAAATGGACAAATGGGCAGATGCGAAGCCGCCCGAGGCTCGCTTGGAGATTCAAATTGTGCAAGTTATGCGCGATTATGCAGACCCCGCAGACGTTCTCTATGTCGATTGGACACAGTTCAAGAGTATGCGGGGTTGCAAAGGGCTAGTGTTTCGTGTACCATTCCTGATACGGACTAGGTTACGCCCGATCCCGGATGCCGACATTGTAGTGGATCCAATGATCTCCCTCCTCGGCAGCTAGATTCCCGGACCGTTCAAAGAGAGAGAAGGGGGAAAAGAGGTCAGAAAAGACTATATACTTCTTGTCTGATCCTGTTCTCTCTCTTGAGGAAGCTGGACAATCCCAAAAACCGCAACCTTGCAATCATTTCAAAGAAACCCCGCCGCATGGGGACATCAGGTGTCATTTCTATCCGTGATGTGATGTGGCACTGATCCAAGTCACGAAACATGGCCTGGCTGGTTGGTCAGCCATGTCATGTCCCGTCCAGATACAAATAACTATGAATCTGGCATGAAGCAGTCACGAAACAATCAACTGGGGGCTTGCACCTGCTCACAAATGCAGCATATAGATATCGAACGGACACGAGATTTGACGGTGAACAACACAAGCGAAAAGCTGAGGGTTTGAAAAGGGAATAAGGGGTGGCGTATTCGACATTCAAAGCCTCGCATCGAATTCGCATGCCTTTTTGTCTTCATATGTCATAAAGGTCAGACTTTCCGATACGACTTCAGCCCTTCTTTTGGCTGGAAGTTATTCCCACTTTTCCACCACAAATCGCCACAATGATACTTCCCCCCCTTCCCCGCGGCGGGGCCCACGACTTGACTTTAATCAACGGCATTTTCTATTTGGCAGTACCGTATTTATACACTCGGCCTATGGCCTTTCGGAGATAGATATACAACATCGGGTGTTCCTGGTTTTCCTCCTCGATTCCCCGCTCCCTTGAACTTGAGTATGGGACTCTCTCTGTCTGATCACAGTGATGAGCAATACCCCGTTCAACTTAAAACCGGGTTCAGCGAGACTCACCTTGTGTAGATGTCCCGTTGCTGATTATCGGTGGAGGACCTGCAGGAGTCCTGCAAGCACATCTCTTATCTCGGCTTGGAGGCGAGTCTCCGGTGTCATATCGACAAAAGTGACTGTTGGCCGTGAGAATTGAAACGCCTTATCGCAAAAAGATATCCCGAAAGACTCGACACCGCGAAGGCACATGCACTGTTGCCCAGGTCGCTGGAAATATACAGACAATTCAATTTGGACGTGAGCAGGCTGCGACAGCTCGGCACGAGGAGGCGCGATGCATTCTAGGTCAACTTTCTCACAAACCTAAGTGGTCAACGAGTGGGTGTACTTCCTTACGAGCGTATGGATGTTGAAGTGCTGTCCCACACTCCAGAGTTAAGTTGTGAATCGGAATGGTAGCGTGTGCTGGCTCCGACTGACAAGCGAGGGTGATTCATAACATTCCACAGCCCGTCTTCGAAGATTTTATCACGGAGGTCCTTGCCAAAGACTCGAATGTAGTTCTTCGTAAGGCATTTCGTTTGTGTCACTGGAAGATGTAAGTAGCGTCGTAAAGCCGCCCCGATGCAGCGATGCTCATGTTAAGGACTCGGATGGAGTTATCACCATCGTGGAAGAGCGTACCACGGGGCATCGGTTCCAGATTCGTTCCGTTCGAAGTACCTTATTGCTTGCGACGCCGTACGGAGCAAAGTATCGCGGCTGCTTGGGAATCAAGAGTCACGGCGAGGATTCATGTAAGCCCATATAAGGGGTCCAATACCGGACAAGACTGAAAATCTAGATGGAACGACGATGACTATTCATCTCAATGCTGACCTTCGTCCGATTGTGAGGGAGAGGGTCGGCATGCTGCATTGGATAAGGTGGATCCACCTGCCACACAACAGGCTGAAGGCGGTTGATGTCTCATATGTCGATGAGTTCTCACCTGCAGATCTCGAAGCCCGCCGCTACAGTACCTTGGATCTGTGTGATCTTGACAGATTCACGCTGTTGGCAGATCTCAATGTTTCTGGCGTGAAGACCTGCCGCCGAGTTGGTTGCGACTTTGAGGCTGTTGGCGAGGCAGGACAGAAGTGGCTGACGGCGGCCAAGCTGGATGTAGGAGGAGGGCTTCTTGTGAGGCCAGATCAACATATTCTGATGGTGTTGAATGCTGACACCACGACGGAAGAGGTTCAGAGATGCTTGAAAGCACAAGGATTGCTGAGGTCGGACCCTGTTTGGTTGGCGGGGGGTGGCAGGTCACATGCGCCCCTGCTCGTAGGTACCCTCGTAGGCGTCCAGTCAGGGATCTAGGTATAACCGGGGACTAGCTAGGTGGTAGTTGGTAGGTAGGTTCGGGGCACTAGGCCTTGCCCAACTCATACGGGTGCCCCGCCCAGCCAAGTGCTTGAGCAAGCTTAGCCTAGTGAGCCTGGTTACACTAGCCTGGTTACTTAGCCCACTAGCCTGATTGGCTTCAACCGGCTCCCGGGACTCTGTAGCTGCCTTCTCATGTCTCCCTGTATCTCTTCCACCTCATCTCTTCTATCCTCTACAATTTCGCTCAACTTCCCACTTCGGTGGCTGACGGCTTAGTATATGGTAAACTAACACCAGATGCATGCTGTCCAGATCTGCAGAGAACCGATGGAGCAGCTATCTACCGGCCATGTGAAGTTGGTTGACCAAGGAAATCGGCCACGTTTTGGGTCGCTGCATCCTTCCAACCGAAGGGACTGGTTAGTGCCCATCACTTGACGCTGACCGTCAGCCTCACCTCGATGCATCAGAGACAAACATGGCTTTGCTTCTCGGAAAGGGACAGAGACAGGCTCACGGCCGCGTCGTGACAAAAGGACACCTTGGAGCACTGCCTTGCAGGATCAAAGTGGTCGGCCACATTCGTTGACGGAGTTAGCCTCACTTCGCCCGATCCCAACCATGTCTACGCGATCGTTCAGCCGGAATATCCAGTTCTGCCGGCAACCCTAGGGGGAATGGTGTCACAGCTACATGTCATATGGAAGAGAGGAGACGCATCTTCCCTTTATGCTCCGAAAGCAGTGACTGAGAAGGCGGAAGCATGGTTACCTGCAGCATAGGCAGGCACTGCCTTCAGCTGACCTAGAATTTGACCTGCCCTGATCCTTTAGACCCCTCTCTTCCAGCCTCACAATACTATCGGGTCTTGTATAAGAAGGCCTCTTTGCCGCCTCTGCCAATTCTGTCAGCAGACCTGTGTTGCTCGCTTCTAGGACGAAAAACTCCTTTTGCAACTTCTGATCTGGTGTCAATAAGAGCGTTATAGAATGGCACCGCGATCTCAAGCAAACAATCAGCCTCGGGGGATTTGCTGGCAATTCATCAACACAGGTCGTTGTCAGTATGGGGCGACGTGCTTGTTTCCCCATTCTGCTGCTGGTAGTGCCTCTCAGAGTCACGCAGATACCGTCGGACAGGATCCCAACCGAACACGGCGAAAGAGAAACGAGCCAGACGGCAAATTTGGAGCCTGGAAACTATCCATCCCGAAAGGCACAAGCGATTTCTACCATCCACCTCTTCCTCCCCTCTTCTTCCAGACTGCTCTCACACATGTGGGCTCTGAAGTTGGAGTAATGCAAGAGACAATACTCATCCTAGCCAAGGACGGTGGATTACTACGAATAAAACAAGTTGTTGAGCACAACATGGAAGGCATGAGCTTAGAGAAGCGCGGCAAGATGATGAAAGAGCAAGCCATACCACTCTGTCAGGTCATCACCCATCCGCACGTGCTTGCATCCCCTTTGCTCGACGTTCATGTGGGGACAATCTACAACTTCATTTACGGGGTTCAAGGCCAGCGTGCAGTGCAATTCTTCAAATCTCTCGTTGCCACTCTCACAGAGCACAACCAATTCGACGTTTTGCCCTCGGAAATAGAGGCGGTCGTCAAAGCTTTCTCGAAAATCATTGACTGCAACACTCACGCCATAGTTAACGACGAACTCAGACCGCTTGCGGATTCCCTTTTCGACATCGTGGCCCAGATCGACGAAAGCGAAGCTCACGAGTCGAGAAAACTTGTGAACCGCATTAATCAGCGATTAGGGATCGGTCGAGAGCTGACAGGTTGGAAGCCTCCAAAGACAGCTGCACCTCCGCGGGCCATTTTCACGCTTCAGCAAGATTTGCCTGGTGAACTATCCAACAAGGGACCGCGGCATGACAATGACCACGTGAATGCTTATGACATACAGATCATGCCCACATTCGAGGAAATCAGTGCAACACGCGCCGAGTATCTGCCTTCCATGAGCCAGCAGGCCTGGCATCTCCCTGGAGTATCAGGACTCCTTGACCGACACTTTCGTCTCCTTCGAGAAGATACCGTTGGACAGCTTAGGGATGCTGTAAGGGAAGAAGTGCAAGCTTCTCATTGCCTTGAAAATAGGGGCAAACATCAAGGTCCACGGAAATTGACATACGACAACGCTCAGGTTGTGAAATTCGATTTCAATAAATGGCAAGGCCTGCTGATCACGATCGGTTTCGATCAACCTCACCATCTTCGGCAACGTTCAGCCAAACAGAGGAAGGAGTGGTGGGAATTCCAGAAACGCCTCCGCATAGGTTCCCTCCTTTGCCTCCTTTCCAATGGTGCATTGATATTCTGTTCGGTCGTTGAATGCAAACCAACCAAACCCTCAGTCACAACAAACTTCTCATCAAGTTCAGACGATGAGCCAATCCAAAAACAACCTGAACGGCCTCTGGATCTGTTCTCAGATCCTGTTCGAGCCTTTACGACCGTCTCGCTCGTCAGTGACGCCACAGAGGGCGTTCTCGGTCTCATGAAAGCTTCTGCTTCCGCACCTGCCAAGATAGTTGAGTTTCCTGGTGTGCTGTTGCCCTCATTCGAACCCACCTTGCGTGCTTTGCAGACAATGCTTCGAAGTCCTGAGATGCCCTTTTCAGACTACCTAGCGCCTGAACCTCAAACAGATCTGTCGATGATCGAGGCTCCCTACTATGCCACAAGACCCAATTTTGAGTTCGACCTCAGCTGTATCATGAAAGAAAACCTCCCAATGAGGATTTCCATCAATGATAAGACCAATCATGAGGCATTCCGTGAGAACTCAATTCTGGACAGAGCTCAGGCCGACGCACTTCTCACGTCCCTCAACCGCGCTCTAGCTCTAATTCAAGGACCCCCAGGGACAGGTAAGAGTTTCACCGGGGTGGCACTCATCAAAGTACTGTTGGCAGTACAGGCACGGGCTAAACTCGGTCCGATCCTGTGCGTTTGTTACACCAATCATGCACTTGACCAACTTCTGGAAGACTTGGTGCGACATGGCATTGATCAGATCGTTCGCATTGGATCCCAATCAAAGTCCGAGATGCTGCAAGATTGCAACCTCCGTCTCCTCGCCAACAATGTTGAGTTGACCAAAACTGAGAAACGTCAACACTGGGTTTTGAAGTTGAAACTCGAGGAGGACGAACGGGACATCTCTAGGGCCATAAAGAGACTTTCGGTCACAGGGGACGTCGCAGCACTCAAAAGCTATCTCGAGATCTATCAGCCCAAGACTTACCTGGCTCTTTTCATCGGAGGTCGGGACGACGATGGTTTTGAGAGAGTTGCCCACCACAAGACATCTCTGTTAACCGCTTGGCGTAAAGGTGGATCACATCAGGGTCCTACCCGCAAACTTCGGCATCTACTCCAGGAACCAGATATCGAGTCTTTGACTCATACGGAGAGACAGCGGGTTTACCATCACTGGCTGGCAGAATCAAAAAAGACAGCCCAAACCGAACTATTGACTGCGCTAGCAGAATACAAGGAACACAAAGTACAATTGGATCAAGTCCGAGCGGATGTTGACCTTCGATGTTTGCAACAGGCCAAGATCATTGGTGTGACGACAACGGGTCTGGCGAGAACATTACCACTGCTTAGAAAGCTCAATTCCAAAGTCCTCGTCTGCGAAGAAGCGGGAGAAGTGCTTGAGGCGCATATACTTACAGCACTCTTGCCTTCCCTAGAGCATGCAATCTTGATCGGCGATCATCTTCAACTTCCCCCACACATCCAGAGCTACGAACTTTCAAGAGAGTGTTCTTCTGGGAAACGTCACTCTTTGGATATATCCCTGTTCGAAAGACTGGTAACGCCTTCATGCTCGACCCAGACGGCAGTGCCATTCAGCACTCTAGAGACACAGCGTCGAATGCACCCCTCAATTTCTGAACTCATTCGCAACACGCTATATCCACAGTTACGTGACTCTCCGGCGGTTGAGACATATCCCCCTATCACCGGGCTGGCCAGGAGACTGTTCTGGCTTGACCATGCGCATCCTGAAGATGGCGCTACATCTGAATCGGATAGTATGACTTCCTACTCTAATACCTTTGAAGTTCAGATGGTCACTTCATTGGTGTCTCATCTTGTCAGACAGGGTATTTACCACGCAAATGATCTAGCTGTTCTCACACCCTACCTTGGCCAGCTTCAGAAAATCCGCAGAGCACTACAAGGGTTGTTTGAGATCTCTTTAACCGAAGGCGACATGCTGGAGTTGGAAAAGGAAGAAGTCGGCAAGGACAACAATGAGCCTAGTCACAGTGCCTTCCCGACGCTCCAGAAGACTTCTCTCTCGCGGGCACTCAAAGTGTCTACCATTGACAACTTCCAGGGAGAAGAGGCGAAAGTCGTTATCATTTCCTTGGTGAGAAGCAATGACCAGAACAAGTGTGGATTCCTTCGGGCTTCGAATCGGATCAACGTCCTTCTATCCCGCGCCAAACACGGAATGTACATCATCGGCAACTCTCGAACCTCTGTTCACGTCCCCATGTGGGCTTCTGTAGTTGAAATGCTTCAATCCGGCGATAACTTTGGCGAATCGCTTCAGCTTCAATGTCCTCGTCATCCACAAGCCACAATGTCCGTCTCTAAACCAGACGACTTTGCCATCTTCTCGCCTGAAGGAGGGTGCAACCTACCATGCGAAATGCGTCTTAGCTGTGGGCACTCCTGTATCAGCAAATGTCATTCACAAATGCTGCACAGCGCAGTCAAATGTCTGGAGCCGTGCCCCAGACCTTTGAAAGAATGTATGCACCTGTGTCCAAACAAATGTGGAGATCCCTGTTCTGTCAAATGCCCGGAGGAGCTACACGACCTCCAGCTCACCCTGCCCTGCGGACATACGCGAGATACCCTGCCTTGTTGGCAAGCTAGAGATCCTTCCCAGGTGATCTGCCAGGACCGGGTTGTTCGCGTTGTCCCTGGCTGTGACCATCGGGCTGAACTTCCATGCTGCGTCAACGTCGAAAGCAACAAGTTTAGCTGCAAAGCTACTTGTGGAACGGCTCTTCCATGCGGCCATGCCTGCTCACGTCCTTGCGATGTGTGTAAGAAAAGAGAAGATGGCAAAATCATCCAAGAAAACCATCGGATTTGCCAACAGGCTTGCGGCCGTGCCTTCAAATCGTGCAGACACTTGTGTAAGGAAAAATGTCACGGGGATAGTCCTTGTCCTCCATGCCGAGCTCCTTGCGAAGTGTCGTGCCACCACTCAAGATGCACAAAACGCTGCCATGAGCCCTGCGTTCCGTGCGCAGAGGGAAAGTGCCCTTCCAGTTGCCCTCACAGCGCTTGCACCCTTCCCTGCGCGGCTCCATGTGATTGGATTCCTTGTTCAAAGCGCTGCACCGAGGTACTAGCTTGCGGGCATCAATGCCCTTCGCTCTGTGGCGAGATCTGTCCACCGCCCAGATTCTGTCAAATCTGTGCTCCCGAGGACGTGAAGAAGATGGTGGTCGATTTGATATTGATGGAGGAATACCATGAGATCAATCTTGACGACAGTCCGTGCATAATCCCTCCCTGCGGCCACCCCTTGACCGTTCAAAGCATGGACGGTCAAATGGAGATGTCAAAGCATTATGCTACTGATGGGACAAATATCCGCATCACTGACTCGTCCATTCCGTTTTCAAAAGATGAGCTCAAGGTATGCAGCAACTGCCGGGGTTCACTGCGAACGATATCAAGGTACGGCCGTATTGTCCGAAGAGGGCTCATTGACGACGCGACCAAGAAATTCATTTCAGCGGCGAACCGACAATATGTGTCACTTTGCGAGTCAGTTTACCAGCATCAGGCCAAGCTAGCCGAATCGATCAAAGACGTCCGTTCTCTGGGGAACGGAATGAACCTGGAGAAACTCACACTTTCAGGCGGACGAAAGGAGCAAATCAAGCTGATCTTCGAGGCAGCCCATAATACGCGATACTCGCTGATTGCAAAGACCCGCAGTCAGGTTAACAAATATCTTCGGCAGGTTGATGTCGAGGAACAGCCTTTCAAGCGTGTTTGGGATATGGTGCAGTTCGCCCGAAGACAAGGGAAAACCGGTAGCGATGTGGAGTTTGACCATACCATTATACAAACCAGCCAAACTCTACAGGGCGAATCACTGCTGCTGAGATGCGAACTTGTCATCTTGTCAGATTTCTTGGTTGTCTTTGGGTCCGCCCTGAAAGACGTCAACCTGGATTCCACCAAAGTTGACTGCCTGAAGCTTCTCGTCGCCTCTCAGGAGGCACGTTACCCAGCCGTAGAGGTTGAAGCTCACACGTTCTACGCCCAGTGCTGTCTGGCGGAACGGACCTACAGCAGTCGACGGGAAATCATGACAGCCGTAACCAATGAAGCCACCGAGCACATTGAGGCTGCAAAGCAGGTGTGCGCTCGGCACCCAGGGTCGACCAGAACTGTGGTGGGTGAGGTGAAGAAAGTCGAAGAGATGCTCAAGTCCTCGACATTCACGACAGTGGTCAGTGACACCGAGTGGAAGAGTGTGATCAATGCCATGGCCAGTGAATTCCGTGGATCAGGGCATTGGTATACCTGTGCCAACAATCACCCGTTCACGGTGGGAGAATGCGGCATGCCGATGGAGACGGCGCGTTGTCCTCAATGTGGCGCTCCCGTGGGCGGGCAGAACCATACCCCTGCTGAGGGAGTGCGACATGCAACAGAACTCGAGAATAGATTTTCTGACCTGAGACTCTGAACGTCTTGTGTGATGAAGGGCTACATCCCGCCCATGGCAGTGAATTGTTCGGGGAGAAGGGTGACTCAACGGTACTGGTGTTGGTGGGATACTGCTGGACGACAGCAACGCGATTTGGCCGTCTTGTCACGTTACGACCTCCAAAGAATGGCTTCTAGCTGGCACCATCATAAATGGATAGTCAATGTGTGATGTTATGGATCTCATTGGATATTATGAAGACTGTGTCCCACCATCCCCCACCGGCTCTTGATATACCTGCCAAGTATTCCATGCCGGATACATACGAGGTACATTTTATATGGCTTCGTGTAAGCGCTTAGCTCCGGAGATCTAGAGGCGGGCAGATCTAAGCCTAGTGGCCCACCAACACTAGCCCACTAGCCCGACCAGCCACAGTCTCGGCCCTGGAGCCCACCAAAGACAGCATCTGGCGGCACCCAAATCTGCTGTGCCTGGCTCGTGCCTAGTTAGTCAGCGCTGAGGTGCGGGTTTCTGTACATACAGTCGTCTCTTAAAATCTCACTCGAGGCTTGTACGTGCCTGGTCTTCTAATCTCTAGTTACCCTGGTCGAACAAATTATTAAGCCTGGCACTCGGCTAGAAACGAGCAGGGCAAACCAGACAGACTACAGTATAGTATGCTCATTAGACCGCTGCGCCAGTATAAACAAGCCATCACTATTCACATTGCCCCCGCCATGCAAACACTAGGAGACAGACGAAGGGCCGCTATTGTTTCGTCAAGCTAGCTAGCCTTGTTGTTGCCCCAAAAGTCCGATGCAAGTCAAAGGATTGCGATCAACATGGGACGGTGCAACGGGGGCGAATGGCTCAAATTGCTGGTGCTGGTGCTGGTGCTGGGAATATAAATGGAGGTTTCCGACTTGTAAAGGGATGGATATTCTTGCTGGAACTGCCAGATAAGTGAAGAAAAACCCTCTACCGCTCTCTTTCTCTCTCGCGCGCTCGTTACACAAAAGCAGTGGGGGTGCTTGAATTCGACAAATTGGCTGCCTAGCTAGCAAGCGAACAACATGTCAAGTCCCCGAAAACGCAATATGCTCTCGTTCATCGTCTTCGGACTTGCGGCAGCTCTGATTCCATCCACCGAGGGAGCTCCCAGTACCAGTGGCAAGACAGCATGTGCGGCCCTGACCAAACCGACCATTGCCGGCGCGCGCGTGCTGTCCATGCAGTCGCAACATCTCCCAAATGCGACGGTGCTGGCCAGCCCGCCCCTGCTGAACAACAACCTCACCGGCCTTGACCTGTGCAGTGTCGATCTGGTCATCTCGCACCCTGGCGCCGACGATAAAGTCAAGGTCAAAGTGTGGTTGCCGGCGACGGGCTGGAATGGCCGCTTCGTCGGCACCGGAGGGTCGGGCTACGCGGCGGGATTCTTCGAATACAGCCTCGCCCCTGTGGTGGCACTGGGCTATGCGGCAGCATCCACGGATGCAGGCCTGTCGGGAGATCCCTACAGTCCAGCAGCGTGGGCTCTGCGTCCGAACGGCACCGTGCATGAGGATCTCTTACTGAACTTTGCCTCCCGCTCCGTGCATGACATGGCTGTGGCGGGCAAGGCCATCACCGCACAATACTATGGCCGGAAGCCGGCCCACTCGTACTGGAGCGGTTGCTCGACGGGTGGGAGACAAGGCTTGGTGGCGGCACAACAGCATCCCCATGATTTCGACGGCATCGTCGCCGGAGCGCCGGCTATTGACTGGGCCAGGTACGTGGTCGCAGAACAGTGGCCACAGGTGGTCATGAAGGAGGAGGCAACCTACGTGAGTCCATGCGTCCTCCAATCGTTCACCAGCGCGAGCGTTGCGGCCTGTGATGCTCTTGACGGAGTGGCCGACGGCGTCATCACAGACTTGCAACTCTGTAAATTCGACCCGTTGGCCTTGGTTGGAACAAGTGTCCAATGCGACGGCAGCAGCGAGATCATCACACAGAAGATGGCCACTGTGGTCGGCCAAATCCTCGCAGGGCCCAAAGGACCCGCCATCTCTCATCCCTACGCCCTGAATCCCGGGGCGGCATTGGACAGTCTGGCCAACACGACCGTCGTCAACGGCACCCGGCTCGGTGTGCCCTTTTTCGTCAACGACGCCTGGATCAAATACTTCGTCAAGAAAGACCCCGAGTTTGACACTTCCGCCATGGGATACGCTGCTTTTGAGACTATCTTCAACCAGTCGCAGCGGGAATTCGGCGCCGTCATGGGCTCTGACCAGCCCGATCTCTCTGCCTTCCACGCGGCCGGGGGCAAGGCGATCGTCTGGCACGGGCTAGCCGACCAGCTGATCTTCCCGCGCGACACGGTCGCCTACCACCAGCGGGTGACACAGGCTCTGGGCAACAACGCGTCCGTGGTCGCTGGGTTCTATCGCACGTTCCTCGCCCCGGGCGTGGACCATTGCGGCGCTGGTCCAGCGGCACCGGGCGCCGTGCCTGTGGACCCGCTGGCGGCGGTGGTGGCGTGGGTCGAGGACCAGAAGGCGCCCGATGTGTTGGCGGCGCGCAAAACGGAGGCGGATGGCACCGTGGTCACAAGGAATCTGTGCCCGTTTCCCGCGACATCGCGGTACAGGGGCACCGGCGACAAGACCCTGGCGACCAGTTATACTTGTACTTGAGTGAGCTTGGTGGAGAGGGCTGAACGAGACGGAGTGCCTTGAGTGGGTCGAATAAGGATCGATAATCAAAAATCATTTTGATTCCCAACCCCCATCCTCTTCGATTTTCCGCATGAGAGAAAAGATGATAAATCGCGGAGCTACAGTCGGCGGTGTTCTCTCTGAGAAAGGAACTTGACAAGTCGGGGGATCTTGTGAGCGTCAATATCAAAGTAACCCTCCTCCTCAGGCGATTGGATCCATAGCGGCGCTTCAAAATCATCTGGGTAGAAGCCAGAATATTCCCAATCCACGATCCCAACAGCCTTGAAGTTGTCGTCCACAAGTATATTTTGTTGACCAAGATCATTATGGACAAAGACATTTCTTTTCGACCAAGATTTCCACGGGGTCCACTGATGGGATTCGGCTTCCTCCCACAGACGCGGAGGAGGAATGATGCTGCCAGCCAAGGAGCCCACATTGCGGGATCTTAGACTGTGCAGCTGGGGAAGGACAAATTGTGTGATATCCTCATCAACAACCTTGGTAGCCTGCTCCTTTCCCGCCCTGATTTTAGAAAGAGGTGTTCCGTATACGCGCTCCATTTTCAGTTGGTGAGTGCCTTCACTGATGCTCTTGAACTCGAGAATCTTCGGAACAGGGATCGTTGTGTTGTCTCGAACGAACGCGAGCGCGGCATGGTCATTTTGACGCCGCACGGAACCCCAAGGTGTTTTGACAGGGAGGCCTTGCCAATCAGTTGCGCGTTCAGACTCTACAAGGTCTCGCTTGGTGAAGGTCTCGTCATCGTAGGAGTAGCATCTGTCTGCGACCATCCCGCCATTCATGTCTGTGGATAGGTATCAGGGAAGGGAAATGAGGAAAGAATAAAAGATAGGGATGTTGTGAATGGGTGTCGATATCCATGTGACCTTCAGCTTTGCCAACGAGGCTGAATCCCGCCATTTCTATAGCAGCAGGTATTACATATACATATCGTATGGAGTTAGTCCTGGCCTCGTTCGTCATGCCGCTATAACTACAACAGCGGCCTGCTCAGAGCGAGTAGGCAATCATCACCACCAGATATAGATGTCATTCAGAACCTCTTTCCGAGTTTACTTTTGCACACGCGTCATACTATACCTATGTAGATTGTTGCCGAATGCAAGAACATATTTAAGAAAGACCATTGAATCTCAGAAGATGGGAGAAGAGGGAAATACTCAGCTTTAATTGGGGGCTTCCCTGAGCACTCAGTTCCTCTCTCTCTCTTCGTCTTAACTTGCCTGCATACCTAACCTTGACGTCTCCAGCTCTTCCCCAGCCACCGTTGGTGATATAGTTGGTGGTTGTGGCGTCGAAGAGCGACGGGGAAACATCGGGAAGCAATGCCGGCGGATCTCGACACTTTGGTGGCAATTGAGGCTCAAGCTGGCGTCGACCCCGCAAAAGCTGAAGTCTTTCACCTTTCCCTGCCCACTGACCATCTATCACCGAAATCATATCTTTGAAGCCAGCTGGTGTCCTGTCTGGGGCCTAGCACTGCAGGTCTCATCACCCACCTGTTATCAACATATCCCCGTCCGCCTTAGCCCCGTCAGCCGAGTGCAAAAACAGAAACGAAGATACTGAGACAGGGTCATGGTCCGGCACGCAAGCCCGACAACAACTCACTCTGCCTCCCTACTACTCCCCCCGTCGCTTGTGCCGTCGATTGCTCCTTGCTGCATGCTAAGATAGGAGCCGTGATCCACCAGAAAACAAACATGCATCAGCCTGATCGAAGGCCGGACGATGTCCACTCCGCCCAACAGACCGACCGGCCCCAACAACGTCGCCCAAAAACCGTCGACTCCGAATGGACCAGCGTCAAAAACGGCTTCTCTGGCGCTGACCAGGCGTCCGATGCCAACGATCCCCCCAGCAAACGACGACGTGTTGCCCTGGCGTGCACCGTGTGCCGGGGGAGGAAATCACGTGTGAGTCATTGCTGCTGTCGTGACAGGTCGATAAAACGACCATGGCGATGAGTCTCCCATTTTATCTGACTGACCTGGGCAATCTTACCAGTGCGATGGCACGCGCCCCAAGTGCTCGTTGTGTGTCGAGTTGGGATTCGAATGCGTCTACCAACAGTCAGCTTCGTATTCGAACATCATCATCGGCAAGGAGTGAGTCGAGATTTCCGGCGTCAAGGGCGTCGATGCTGATCCTCGTCTCAGGTACTTGTCGTCGATCGAAGATAGGCTGAAAGAGGTAGAAGGTCGGCTGGCTTCTCTCGAGAACCGCGACCGGACGCTCGTGTACCAATCTGACAATCCAAACGTCTCCAATGGAGTCTCTTCCTCAGATTTCCCGCCCCCAGAGACGGCGTGCTTACGGGAAGAGAGCCTCGAAGATGCGGAAACCGTCGAGGATCCGATCGACGCGATGGGGGCGGTCACGTTTGCACAGGAAGAGGACTGTGCTTTCTTTGGGCCGTCATCGAATATTGCGTTCCTCCGACACGTCTCGAGGGCCGTGGCCCGGTTGACTCACGACCCAGAACCTTGGAAACCGTCTCCGGCAGAACATCACTCGGTAGGATTTACAGGGGGATTCATCAATACCTCTGGCCCAGCATCCCCTGTGCCGACGCCTCGCGACTCTCCTCACGAGCAGGTGAACATCTATGCCCTTCCTCCCGACTCGGTAGCCCGTGAGCTCCTCAACTGGTATTTCAGCAACACTGGCTTATTGTTTCCTTATATCCACGAGCAATCGTTCATGGCCACATTTGAACAGGCCAGCAAGGACAAGTTCAAGGGCGTCAGGAGAATCTGGCTCGCCTTGCTAAACATCGTCTTCGCCCATGCCATGGTCCATGCACGGGAAAACACCACAACTCCTGGAAGTGTCGACTCGACCGCGGCAAAGGCCAGCGCAGAGTCGGAGATCTACTTCCGACGGGCTTCCGGCCTCTTCAATGAAAAGATCACGAATGGGACGGGGACGAGTGTTGAAGTTGGTAAGTGGTTGCCGAGCTCAGTCTGTCATGCATGAACTCGGCCGGACACTCACAGACAAAACAGTGCAGTTCCTCCTCCTCATGGGTCAGTACTTGCAGGGAACGCAGAAGTCAGTGCAGACATGGAAGACACATGGTCTTGCAGTGCGAGCTGCGTTTCAGATAGGTCTTCACTCCAGCGATCTGGCCAGAGTTTTCCCCCCACTGGATCAGGAGGTCCGGAAAAGGACGTGGTTTGGTTGTATCATGCTCGATCGCACCTTGAGCATGACCTTTGGACGACCTCCGGCGATCCCTGACAGCTACGTCCAGCTCGAGCTTCCGGTGGGATTCTCCGCCGTCGACGGCGGAGCAGCAGCACCCGCGGACAAGAAGGAGTCATTGAGCATTGCCTTCTTCAACGGCACCATGTCAGTTCTCCCACGAGAAGTCCCTTCCTCCCTTGATACGAGCTAACCAGTCTCCATCCACAGCACGCTCTATAAAGTCCTCTGCACGATCGTGGATTCGCTTTACGGCCAGAATCTTGCCTGCTCGTTCAAGTCCAACGCCGTGGACACGGTCGCCCTGGTCTACAAGATTGAAAACCAACTCTCCGAATGGCAACGCGGGCTGCCGTCCCACATGAGACTCATCGCCACGCAGGACATCCTGCCCGAACGGCTGCCGCAGGTAGAGAGCTCGGCCGAGGAAGCATGGCGGCAACTGCGCCTCCGCTTCATCCTCACGCTCCGTTACACCAATGTGCGCATCCTCCTCCATCGACCCGTGTTGGTCAAGTTCCTCGATGGACTGAGCAACCCGGCAAACCACCAAGATACTTCGCTGCTCCAACAGGTTGGCACCATCCATATCCAGATTGCCATTAAATCGGCCAAGGAGATTATCTGCCTGGTCCATAATGCCTTGCAGTCTGCCACAGGGCGATCGAAATGGGGCTTGCTGGGCGCATGGTGGTTTTCGCTGTACTACAGTACGTTTTGCTCTGCTGCATCTCTCATCCTTACTTCTCTAATCGATGTCGAACAGCATTCAATGCAGCCCTGGTGCTGGGAGCGTGTGTCCTGGTCCAAATTGACCAGAAAGCCTCGGGCAACGATTCCAACATGTCACTGACCGAGTCGACCGAGGATATGAGCCTGCATTTGGAGATGGCCATCGAAGCGATCCGCCATCTCGACAGCGACAATCGCATGGTCGCGCGATGTCGAGACTATCTCGAGCAGTTGGTCCAGGTGGTTCAGGCGCTAGGTTCGTCCTGATATTCTCATCTATTCAATTTCGCTCTACCATGCTAACCAACCTCCCTCCTATTCAGCCATCGGACAGGGCCTCCTCCCTCAGCCTCACGACTGGCAGCCCGTCACGTACCACCACCCGACCAACGCGCCCGCCTTCGGCCCGGTGCCACCGGCACCGGCCCCCCAAGAAGCAGGCGACTACGGGGTGCTGCTCGGAGGCGGCGCAGCGGCCGTGGGCGCCAGCCTGGGCATGGGTATCTACAACAACCACGGCGGCGGCATCGTCACGAGCAGCAAACAGTCGCCGCTCGGCATGGATCTGGGCGAGTTCATGCTCGACGGCGACCTCGAGTTCTTGAGCAGTCACTCGTTTGCGTATAATCGCGGGGTGGCTCCGTGAGGAGAAACAGGACCGAAGTACGCGAGAGATAGAGAGAGAATGAAAAACCCGGCGCGGGGTGGCAACGTGTAACCGACAATTGATGGAAAATTGATGTTTTCACTACTCTAATATCTGACGAAAAGACCTCTCTCTCTCTATCATATATGGTGCTCTTGAAAACCACCCACCTAACTACGCACAAACACACAGCGATATACCCACGTACACAGACAGACCCTACTAACCTAGCTAGCTATCTATGCGCGAGGAACATGGATATACATAATTCCAGCTTGTTTACAACACAGGTTCAGCTCAGTCAGTCACGATGCATCCGCTCGCGTTATTGCGTGTGTAATCGGTTGCCAAACTGGCATCACTCACTCACTCACCAGCTGGCTATCCCTCTCTCTCCCTCTCTATCTACCAACCTATAGCATAGTTAGTTAGAAACAGCTACTCGAAACAAGCGAGAGACCGACTCCTCGTATGTACCACTGTAAGATGCCGATCGATTCTCATGAATTGAGCCACTACATAGCCAACGAGGCTTTCCCTAGGACGGGGGAATTGAGTCTGTCTATCTAGGTGTCATCGATGGATCTCTCTTCTCTCCCTTGGCATCTGTCTTTCTCCTACTCCTGAAATTCCCCGGTCTTATGATGTAGTCCCGCTGCACCTGAATCTGACCTGTTCGCGTCATGTATAAACACGCATATATACATCGTGATCTCGAGCTGGCTGGTTGGCTGACTGACCATGCCTTCCGATCCCACGCACCAGCTCGTTACGTACTCTCTCCATCCCATCCCGTCCTCAAAAAGAGGAATCGTTCGTGTCGTTGGTGCCTGCCTGCACACAAATGCAGCGGCAGGATACAGCATTTCCTCATCAAAGCCGTTCGTTCATCATTTCCGGCCACTGCGAAACTTCGTATCTCTCATGCTTCTCCCTCGCGCCTAAGCTCTCGGGGCGGCGGCTCGTTCGGAATGACTTACTTACTTACATCAACATCTTCCGGTATCTGGGCTGGCATCGGACAAAGAACTCTGACGGCTCGGGGTCGCCCAGGTTGAAGACCTTCCACTCCTTCTCTGGGTCGGCGAGTTGGAGCTGTATCATCCCGACGAGGAGAGCGGGGGTCGTCAGTGGAACATGTCGGGAAGGCAGAAATAGAATGAAAGAGGGGGGAAACAATTCAAGCAGGACTCAAAACTCACCGTGAACATCCTCAGGACCGACGGTACCACCTTGTACAGCTCCAGCAGGGCAATGTTCTTGCCGATGCAGGTGTTGGGCCCGGCGCCCCAGACCAGCAGGGCCTTGTTCATGGCGGCCAGCTGGTCCGGGCTCGCGTCCAGCCAGCGCTGCGGGCGGAAGACGTCGACGTCCTCGCCGTAGGTGGGCTTGTGGCGGTGCATGATCCACGCGTTGCAGCTGACGATGATGTTGCCGGGGATGTACTCGCCGAGGATGTGGGCGCCTCGGGCGGCGTCACGCGCTCGATCAGCTGCATGCCCAGGCCGGGCCAAATGCGGAAGATCTCCTTGAGCACGGCGTCCAGGAAGGGCAGCTTCTGCGACTCGCCGAACGGCACCACGTACTCGGCGAAGTCGATCGGGCTGTTGCCGGTCTTCTCGGTGCTGCTGCTGGCGCTCGGCGGCGGGAAGTGTGCGTCGATCTCGGCCACGAGCTCCTTCATGACGTGCGGGTACTTGAGCAGGAAGTAGAAGGTCGCGGCCAGGGTGGTGGCGACGGTGCCGCTGCCAGCGTTGACCATGGAGAGCGTGAGTCCCAGCACGGCGCGGTCGTCGACGATGTCCGGGTTGTCGACCTTGGCCTGCAGGAACTTGGTGAGGAGGTCCACGCGCGTTTTCTGGTTGTCGCTGACGCCCTTGAAGTCACGCTTCTTCTGGTCCATCTGCCGCTGCGCGATGGGGACCGTCGCCGTCACGCTGTTCCAGAGGCCCCGCCGTCCCAGCCACATGAGGATGGGGTTCTTCTTGAGCACGCGGTCCAGCCAAGTGACGTTGTTGACCTGGAAGGGGAAGGGAGTCAGTGTCAGCTTACATGTACGTATGTCCTGGCTGCCCCCGTGGGTTGGCCAATGCCATTGCCACTTGGGGAAGGTATCGAGAGGGACAAGCTCACAATGGTAAAGTAGCGCAAGAAGGTCGTCCGGGCGTGGATGATTCCGATGTGATCATAGCCAGCCTCCAGCAGGCCATAGCTTTTGCCCATAGTCAAGGCGCTGACCACGTCCAGGGCGAAGAACCGAGTCCACTCGGACATGTCGCAAACGCCGTCCGGGCCCGGTCTGCCGGCAAACCTCTGGTCCAGCTGGGCGAGGAAGGTGGTGACAGTTTCGGTCACGTAGGGCTCGTAGTTGACGAGCGTGCTCATGGCGAAGGCGTTGGCCACCGATCGCCGTAGTTTGCCATGGTAGATGCGATCCGTGGTGGAGAAGATGTTTGGCACGGCCACACCGCGCGAGACGCCCTGGCCAACCTTGTAGAAGTCCGACTGGAGATTGGGATCTAGTTAGAAAACTGTAATAGGAGACCATCTCGTCTCTCTGACTCTGTCTCACCTTTGAGAAATGGGTCATGTAGATGTCCTTGATGGCATCCGGGTCGTTAAACAGCAGCGTGTTGGGGCCGACCCTGATGATGCGCCCATACTTGACCACGCTGGGGTAGGCACAGCGGTCGGTATACCACACCCACTGCCATAGGCGCCAGAAGTTGGTGAAGGAAGCAATAAACGGCCCATTGTACTTGTTGAGGCCCTTCTGGTACCGGAAGCTGGCTGCCCAGGCACAGACGAGGACGGCGGCGAGAGACATCCACGCCCACGGCGGGAGGTGGAATATCGAGTCGGTGGCGAGCATTGTGTCGAATAAGGAGCGGGAGATGGGAAGAGGGGGCTGATAGAACTACGATGGTGGTCGTCGTACTCGTGTTGGGTGGTGGCGGCTGAGACGACGCAATATTGGGCTTGGGGGGGATCGATCACCCCAGATCCAGCCCGGGTTGAAGATACCAAGCTTCTTAAGAATAAAGGCTTGAACAGCTCGCTTCTCCAATAATGTTCCTGTCTCCTGGGATCTCCAGCAACCTGCGAATGAATCCATCGAGGGGAAGTCGGGAGGTCGTGGCGGGGAAAGGCCGGAACGGGTGTTTGTTTTCGAGGGTCGGGCGGGAGAGATTGAGGGGCCGCCTAAACATACTGTACCCGTGTACGAAGGCCCAATTGAGGCTGGATGAGGCATAATGAGAGATGTATCAAGTGCATGAGGAATGGGAGATAGAGAGTGGAAAGGAGTTTGCAGGAAATGTCACCATATTGCACTCCGACCAGATTTACAGGGATATCCATGGACAGCACATGCACAAAAGGGGTCATTTTTTGGTATATCAGACACTCTAAGAGCCAATACATCCCATTGCCATCGATCATCTATGCAAGCCCAATGCTTTCCTTCGCAGCCGCCCAGTCTGCTTCCAAGTTCGACTTCCACACCCACGCCATACGGTCCTTGACCTTGTCCCGCACCACCGGGAGACACTCCTCGAATGTCTTTCCTTCAAAGTCGGGCCCGTGCATGTCGTAGACCTCAGCCGCCTGTCGGGATGTGATCTGGGCTTTCTGCGCCCGTGGGACGCGTGCCGCCTGGTACAGGTTGACATACGTCGCGAGTCCTGCGCCTGGGTTCTTCAGGTAATCTCGCACGACAAAGCCGAGCATGTTGGCATCTTCGATGGACAACCCGGCCCCGGATCCTAGGAGGCGGCATTAGATATGGAACAAGGTAAGGAGAGGAAAATAGGGAATCAACGCACCTTGCATGGGTAACATCGCGTGCGCGGCATCGCCGCTGAGAACGACCTTGCCATCCATGTAGCACCATTGAGACAAAATCTCCCTGTCGTTAATCTTCCATTCGCTGATGACGGGTGGCATGGCCTGGATGATTCTCTGCACGGTCGGATTCCACCCGGCGTATTCCTTCTCAATGGCTTCTCGCGGTGCTTCACTTCTCCAGCTCTCCTTCAGCCCGCCCAGTTCACTCTCGGGCTTCGTGACGAATGCGACGACATTCATGAGCCGGTCTTGCGACATGGGGAATGCCAGGAAATGCTTGTTGGGCGCCAGCCAGGAGAGCGTCCACGACGAGTAGGGCCAGTTGTCGGACACAGCAGACAGGGGAATCGTGCCCCTGAAGGCGATCCGGCCCGAGTACACGGGCTTATCCACCGCAAAATGAGAGCGGACGGTGCTGTGAATCCCGTCGCACCCAATGACCAGATTCGCTGACTCCTCTGTTCCATCAGCAAAGCGAAGGGTCACCGTAGAGCCATGGTCCTGTCGCAGAGTCAGACATTGCGAGGACGGGACGCGGTGCAAGGACGCCCAGATTTCATACCTCCAGTCCGACGAGTCTCTTGTTCGTCTTGAGCGTGGCACAGTCCCTCCTCTGAATCTCGCTGTACAAGACCTCCAGGAACTCGGCTCGATGCACCCACAGCTGCCTTACCTCCTCAACGCCACCGTTGTCAAAGGCCAAGGCATCCACGATCAGCTCGTCTGTGTCCCAACGGCGGTTGCTGCGGTGCACGTTGTTTCGGGAGCCCGAGATGGCATTCGCTGCCGGCCACACTCCCAGCTTCTGCAGCACCCGGCCGGCAGACACACCTATGCCGACGCCGGCACCAATCTCGCTGTAGGCGGGGGCTTGCTCATACACGGTGATGTTGCTTGCAGGCAACTCCGGGCTGTACGTGGCAAGGCTGAGTGCTGTGGTGAGCCCGCCGATCCCGCCCCCAACGATGGCCACGCGGAACTGGGAAGGGTCAACAGCCCCGGTAGACGAGTCTTCTCCCTTTGCAGCAGGCATTGGTTATTAGGAAATGCAGGACGCTGCTGGAGAATCTGATTTGGTCCAAGGAGCAGATCAGCCAGTATTTACCTTGCCTGAAGTTCGCACGTGATGGCCTTGTGTTCGAGATAGACGGTCAGAGTCTCGGCCCCTGTCACGGTGTATGAACGACATCTCCCAAGATATCTGCGTGTCTCGACTCCTCACGGCTCGGTGCCGTCGGCTTAAAGAGCGCCATCCAAGCATATGAGAATGAGGAGGAGTTGGAGGAGAGGTCGAAGTGAGAGCGCCGGGGATAGCACGGGAGGGTATTCTGGGTGTCTGTACGTCACCGTAACGTAGTGGTTTCTGTATAACGCTGACAATCTCGCCAACAATATGGAGAGGTCGCTTTGGTTCTCCCACTGGAAATATCAACATCTCTACCGAGCTCGACCAGGCCTATCCTGCCCTTGGCCATCCAATGTGCCTGGCTCTGACATAGTCATCTGAACAAGCTGCTATGGAGCATTCCAAGAAATCGACTCGCAGCTTGCTCTGAGCCCGGAAGGGATGCAGCTGATTGTCCCTATTTCCATGGATGAATTGCTTTCATTGACCAACGATGGACCAGATCTGCCTACAACTACTGACTGCTCTTTTCCACTCATCCTCGCCTTGCCGTCGTATAAGATCTATGGAGATTGGTAAGGAGTCAGCGAAGTCAGAACCTCTCGTCAATGACCGCTTCTAGATGTAAGAAACATCATTATATATATCTCACCTCCAACAGGGCTGCAAAACCATGTCCCTCTCCTATTACCCCTTCCGTACAAACACAGCCCAGTCTGTCCAGAAACGCTCATCTCCTCTAACACCAACAGAGAAAGCAGCTCGAGAGTAGCGAGCTATCGAGGCTTTCTATTGGCCACGCCTCGAATCAGCCGACTCCATCGTCTGATTTAGAGAGAACTCCAGCTGTCACGCTGCTTCAAACCCCGGATATTGCTGACTTGAACGGCTCTCATCGGCTTTGACGCCTGACCGGGGACACCGTCAAATACGACGTCGGCAAACTTGGCCAGCTGGCGATCAGGGAAAAAGATCCAATTGCCACGCCCATGTTGGATCAGACGGGCGCCTTGACGCAGCGAGACGAGGGATTTCCTTAGGCAAACTCGTCAATACCAAATGACGGCATTGGCTACTGAGGTGACACTTCCCGCCTCACGGTATAGACGTGGAAGGTTCCCAGCTCGACGAGTGGAGGCCTCGTACCTATGCGAGGCACCCCATATGGTAGGCCTTATCAGCTTGGAGAAGTATAAGAGTGTGCTCCTGTCACGGTCAACTCGATTGTCGAATGTCCAACATCCAACATCCAACATCCTTCTCCAGCCTGGTGCTCTACCCCTCGATACACCATCATGGGATCCCTTCCAGCAGTTGTCGACTTCGATGCCCCGAGCGACAAGGTAGTGAGCCCGTCTGTGCTGGCTCATGTGCTCTTGCGCACCCAGAAGCTCCAGGAGATGAGTGATTTCTACACAACGTACGTTTCGTTGGGAACTCCCCCACACCGTCAATGGCACAGATCAGTAACAAAAGTCTAGCTTCCTTGGGGGTCATAAAACCGCTGAGAATGACTATATATGTTTCATCACCTATGACCATGAGCACCACCGTGTCGCCCTGATTCAGCTACCCGAGACTGGGCCTAAAGTCCCCACCAGCTCGGGTCTGCACCACTTTGCGTTCACCTTCTCTGACCTGCCGACTCTTCTGCTGTCGTACCGCCAGCGCAAGGCCCGGGGCATACTGCCGAAGTGGTGCGTGAACCACGGCACCACGATGTCGCTCTACTATAAGGACCCAGACGGAAACATCCTGGAGACCCAGGTCGATTGCTTTGACACGGCCGGCGAGATCACAGAGTACATGAAGAGCAAGGAATTTGCGGAGAATCCTGTCGGGGCGGATTTCGACCCGGAGGACATGATCAGCAGGATCAGGAACGGAGAGCCCTGGGCTGAGCTGAAGCGCCGCCCCAATGTTGGACCACGGAAACCGCCAAACCTTGACGACATGTGAGAACGGGGAGGAGGAGTAGAGAGAGACAGCGTTTCGCAAGCTATGAAGAATCTCTTTTTCCGATATATCGAAGCTCTTCCTACTTGTTCGCTCGGTGAAGAAGAATCCGCCAGAGCTCCGTGCTCCAGCCATAATTGTCGGGGTTATTTTTCCGTGTGGAGTTTTGGCTCTTTTTACAAATAAATATTCTGAGCCCCCCTGTCCTCACCTAACATGTTTCTATTACAGCGTTGCTTTCGTTGACCGGCCAAAGGCACCGGCATCAGCTGGGTTTATCTTACCATGTGTCGAGCCCTACTCTCTCAAAGTCTTGCTGATACGGCCCAAGGGCTAAGACCTTCCTATTTTGAATAGGGGTGGTCAGCATCAGCTCGCAGACCCCGTAAAAGGTGCATCTCGCTACGCGTATGTCTTGGAGGATGGAGATTTCGACTCCTCGTGGGAAATGCAGAAGAGTAAGCAGGCTGCAGCATGCTTTCGACACGACAAATATCCTCCAAGGTACAGAAAATATGCACCCCACAGCAAGCAATCCCTGGAGCAATCAAGTTTCAACAACGCCGAGAACTACAGTAGGTGCCGCTTACATGGATGATTATGCAACGGTAGACTCAGAGGAAGCGCAGGATAGATACGAGCGTTGATAAGTGCCTACTGCCGCTGACCGCCAGAGCGTCGATTACGAAATACTCAGTATTCCTCGAATTGTTGTTGGACAAAGGGGTGCGAAAGTGTCAGAGGAAGAAGGAATCAGCCTTGCTCGTGAAACGCAATTCCTTCAACTAGGCGTCAAGTTCAACGCAACTCATTTTCGCTCGAAATGACATGGAACTCTCTACGCGAGGGCCGCATGTGGTATTACACCACGATCCCGGCGCTCAAAACCAACGGCCACCGTCGCCACCAGCTCGGGTAGTCCCTTCCCCACGGCTAGTGCGGCACCAACGGTCCCTGGCAGCGTGAGGAAAAGCTTCTCTCGTCATTGCCACCACCGCCATCATCTACCAGTGGATTTGCGTCCGTGATAAGGATACAGAAGCTTTTTGCAAACGGGGAGCTACCCACGACTTCGGTGAAGAATACCTTCATATACTCGGTACAGGTCGACCATATGATGGGTTTACCACAACCCTCTGACCGACCTCGGTTCCAAATTGCATTACAATATATGCTTTCATGGAATACAGTTATACGTCAGACTGCATGACACCTTCCAAAAGAAGCTCTGCCCTCTGCGCAGAGCTTGCTGCCCGCCACCTAAAGTGATCATCAGTCCTTCACGAGGATAGAAATTGTCGTGGGAGGAGATAGTCCGGCGGCGATTGGCGGCCAACTTGTTGATCGACAGAAAAAGACAACCCACAACCAAACGCCGATCCCTTCGTCCACCACCGCAAAGATGCTTCTTTGGGCTAGACCCTGGAGGCGGTGATGCGCAAACCAATACTCCATGTAACCAGTATGGAGAAAAGAGCCTACCCGCCTCCACAAACCAATACAAGCTTTTCTGGAGTTTGAGTTGCGAAGAAACTCGAAACGAAGCAAATGACTACTCCTCGTGATCGCTGGTACTGGGGCAACACGTTACCAGAATCCACTGTATATTCTCCGCTGATGCAATGCCGATCCAGGGTACCCTGCGAGAACATGGACACATTACGATCGATCTCCCTGACCACGAAGCCTTTTCTGCACCGAGTGTCCTGACTTGTATGTAAGTAGTTATTCTTTCATTGGCGGAAACCGTACCTCCTTCCGGAACAACTGTGATTCTCCACCACCAAACACCGACCCATAGTCTCGTGGTGTGGGCGAAGGGGGAGGAATATGGGAGATATAAACTAGCTTCTCCTGCTTTTTCGATCCAGTGTATCTTCCACCTGAGTTCTCGAAGCCTCGCCGTACATCCAACAGTTGTGGCTCCAACCCTCACTATGGCTTTTATCAAGTTTCCTAAGATCTACAACACCTACTTTGTGGCCTTTATTGCCACGGTGGGTGGGATGTTGTTTGGGTTTGATATTTCCTCTATGTCCGCGATTATTGGTACCAAACAGTACAATGACTTTGTGAGTCCCGTGCCCGTCTTCCCGGAAACCAAGATCGCTGATATCCAAAGTTCAACAAACCCGCAGGTGTTACCCAAGGCGCCATTGGTTCTGCGCTCGCAGTACGTCCTCCTCCGCGACGCCCGTCGTTGTCGAGACGAGCTGACAGACGTTTGCAGGCTGGTTCGGTGGTAGGATCCATCATTGCAGGTCCTGTGTCCAACAAAATTGGAAGAAGAGATTCGATCATGTTTGCCTGCCTCTTTTGGCTTTGTGGTACAGCTGTACAGGTAAGGCCTGACACTTTCCATCTCTACGGCTGGCTGTGGTAGCAAAGATGCTAATGTTTTGTACTACAAATGGTAGACGGGGACTTCAGGCATCGGTTCTTTGATCGCTGGTCGTGTCTTGAATGGAATTACCGTGGGCATTACCAGCTCGCAGGTTCCTGTCTATCTTGCGGAGATAAGCCGGAAGGAAAAGCGCGGCGCCATTATCATCATCCAGCAACTTGCCATCGGTGAGCTTGCCTCGGCCTGGAGATACCATTATCCCTCACTGACAAAAGTTGAGAATGGGGCATCTTGATTATGTACTTTATTGGATACGGATGCAGCTTTATCGACGGTCCAGCAAGTTTCCGAACTGCCTGGGGCATTCAATTTGTCCCGTGCGTCTTCTTGATGTGTGGACTGCCCTTCCTGCCACGCTCTCCTCGTTGGCTCGCCAAAGTCGACCGAGTTGATGAAGCCATCAGAACATTGGCCAAGATCCAAGCCAAGGGGGATATCACCAATCCCCTCGTGGTGGCCGAATGGGAAGAAATCACCACCACACTTGCTGCAGAAAGGCTCGCTCCCGCGGGTTGGCGCAAGTTTGTACTCAATGGGATGTGGAAACGCACCCTCGCAGGCTTTACAGTTCAAATGTGGCAGCAAAACTCAGGCGCGAATGTTATGACCTATTATGTGGTCTATATCTTCATGATGTGAGCCTAAATCTTTCTCTTGTGTAGCTAGGGAGGAGAAGATGTTTTGGGGAGCGCGAGGAGCGAGAACCCAGAGTCAGGGTCACGAGTTAAGGGTCATGCTAACGGTGAATAGGGCTGGGCTCACTGGAAACATCAACTTGATCGCCTCCGGTGTGCAGTACGCGCTGTTCATCATCTTCACGACTATCATGTTCTTCTACATTGACAGGACCGGGCGCAGACCACTCCTCATCTACGGTGCTCTCGCGATGGGTGCGTGCCATTTTGTGGTTGCTGGTATATTGTCCACTGGAGAAAACGTTCCTGGTGGCGTTGGTGGAAATCCGAATGGTAAGATTGCCCATGGTACACTCAAACAGCTATCTCGCTCCTTGGAGCTTGGACTCTAGAGTTCAAGATTGATACTGACAGAAATACAGTGGTTATCAAAGTCACGGGCGCAAGGGCCAACACAGTCATCGCATTTTCCTACCTCTTGATCATCATCTACGCGCTGACCCTCGCACCAGTTTGCTGGGTATATGCTGCCGAAGTGTGGAGTCTGGAAACCCGTGCCACCGGAATGGGGATTGCAGCTCTGGGGAATTGGCTCTTCAACTTTGCTCTTGGGCTCTACATTCCTCCTGGGTTCCAGAACATCAAGTGGGGCTTGTTTATTGTCTTTGGATGCTTGTGCGTTCTCGGGGCAATCCAGTTCTACTTCACCTATCCCGAGACATGCAACAAGTCGCTGGAGGAAATCGAGGAGATGTTCTCGCATGGTGGACCCCGGCCATGGCACACTAAGCCAGGCGATTCCAGACTTGACAGGATGGTGGAGACAGCCCGTGAAAAGCACTATTCCGTGGAAGACGTCAAACGCGACTTGAAGGCTGATACGACTGACCATGGCCATCATGTCGAAATTACCTCAGAGCAGACCGAGGAGCAGCAGGTGAAGGTGTAAAGGTTGAGGTTAGAGACTTCTACCGCGAGTTTCTGGGATTCACACGAGCTGCAATTGTGCGTTGGTGGGAGAAGCGTGGTTACCAGAGAAGGAAGACCGTCTGAACAGGAGCAGATTGCACCATTAGGAACGAGGAGTTTCTAATCGAGTGGATAAATGCATCCCTCCTACATAGCCTCCACGTAATACATTGTTATCCCATAACCACGTACAAGCGAGCACCGTCTGTTCCGTTCCCAGAGGATCTTGGCTGCGTGGTGGACATATGTACATATATCCTTTGCCAGCATTGCCCCGGATGTACTCGGTAGGGGCCCAATCAAGGGCCTCGCGGGCCTCACGGCCCTTTTCCGGCCCCGGAGCGTGGCAGTTGCTCGCTAGCTGGATTAGTACTCGGTGCATACTGTAGCTTGCGGGGTTGAACATCGGGGCGAGGGATGAATTATGTGGGTGAAAAAAGCCTGTCGACCTCTCTCCATCCCCATCTCCATCTGTCTTTCTTCTATACACAATCACACGACAATGAACCCTACGTCCACCATTCTCCACTCCACACTGGCAGCATCACCCGCCTGGTCGACCATGACCGGTGACCTCGACGCCCCGTCCTCATGGTAGAACGACAATGGTGGGCTCGAGCAAAATCGCCCGGCGCAGAACTCCTGCCTCAGCTCCATGTCCCGAGTGCGGTCGCGCCTTCTCCCGCAACGACAGCCTGAGTCGCCATCTTAAAACACACATCAACCACGCTGAGGAGCGTCCATTCCATCGCATCATCAGCGAGAAGTTCCGTGCCTGCAACCAATGTCGCAAGTCCAAGATCCGCTGCACGGGGACCATGCCCTGCACCCGGTGTGAACAGCTCCAGGAACAGTGCTCCTACGACCAGAGGCGTCGAGATAACAGCATCTCGTGGGCCAACACTACGACCACCGCGTCGGCCCCGGAAGAGCCGCGAGAGAATGCCTCAGCGCCCTCGCCATCTCCCCAGCCGTCCACCGGCGAACAACAGCCACGGCGCCGGGTCGCCGTCCAGGAATCCGACGGTATCTCCCTGGATGCTGCTAAGACTCCAAGTGATCAGTTAAGACTGTCTATTTCCTCGCCAGAGAATCCGGCAGCAGTACTTCGTCTTGCTCTGGCTTCGAATTCCGAGACTCGCACGATAGACTTCGACGATGGGAAGGACTTTGCCGTCATCCCGTCAACATATGTTTCTCCGACCTTCCACATATTGGATCCGTATAGCTATAGATTGCCCTCGATAGCTGATTCCCGTGAGGCACCCACACCCAATAGCCAGGCTTTTGCTCAATGCAAGTACCCTGTGTTGCATTACCTGTCGCCATTCCTGGATCGGGAATTTGGATCTGGCCTGGCTTGCGACCTTCTGGACACCTATTTCTCGAGCGCATTCCTCAGTCGCATGCATCCCACCTGCCACCACATCCACAACTTCATCTTGCGCAAAATCGACGTCCTGGACCCCTCCCAGCCCCGTCAGACCCATCCGGCGCTTCTGGGCAGCATGCTGTTCGTGGCCGCCTTCAGCGACAAAGCGTTGGGGTTGTTTAGTGGGCCTGAGGAAAAGGATCGCGTCTGCAAGTATCTGAGCTTGCTCACATATCGACTGCTCAATCCCGCTAGGTATGAACCATTGCTGAGGCCGGAAGACCTGGGGTTGCCTCCTAACTGTGGCTCGGACTCGGGATGGAGCAACGATGACCTCCTCCGAGCGGTGGACATTCGGAACGACACTTTCCCCGAGTCTTGGGGCATGGACTACATCATCGCTTTTATTCATGTGTCCTCGGTGATTTCGGGAAGTGAAAAGAAGGCGGCAAGCATCCGATGGTAAATCCTCCCTACCACTATTCCTCCTAGCCACAAGCATGCTGACTGCTATCCAGGTGGAGTGTGGCCTTCAACCTCGCGAGGGATCTGAAGTTGAACGAGGAGGTACAGTCTGCCATAATGCCACACGACGCAGAGAATGGGTCGATCAGCCTGAATTGCAAATGTTCTCTGGGTGAGCACGATGAAGGAGACTTTATCAACGAAGTCCAGCGCGAAGAGCGTCGCCGGACGTGGTGGCTCTTGTTTCTGATGGACCGACATCTAGCATTGTGTTACAATCGGCCCCTCGCACTGCTGGAAGCCGAGTGTAGAGATTTGCTGCTGCCGCTCGACGATGTCACCTGGCAATCTGGTGCGCAGCCACACAGCCACGGAACTCGTGCCGAAGGACCTCGATGCATGTTGTTGCCTCCTGGGACTGGACGCGCACACGGGCCGCCAAAGACTTGTTCGGGCGTGGGCCTGTTCGAATTCTTTTTGCCATTGATGGTCCACTGTGGCACGCTTCTGGATTGGAATCGATCGCGCCTACATCCCGTTTTGTCAGGGGCCTCGATATGGAGTTCACAAGAACGTCAGATATTACGTGAGCTTGATCACTACCAGGCGACTTTGGATCAAGTCACAGCGAGCATATACGCCGAGAGCGGCACCGAGAAAGATTCCCCGTGGAAGCCGTCTTCTAGTGCAGGAGCAGAGGAATCTGAAGCACCGCACATCGCCAAGACCGTGGCTGGTTATGCGAGCCATATTGTCAGCGTTCTGAGGATCCTGGTGGGTTCGAAATGGGATCCAGTTTGTCTCTTTGAGGACGCGGATTTGTAAGTTCGCCTCTGTCCTGGGGAGGAGTCACACCTGAACTCCTTCCCCCTCCCTGGCTGAATATATGCTGACGAGTATTGCAGCTGGACATCTTCCCCGGGCTTCAAAGACTCCATGTCCCACACCATGGCCGCTTCTGAATGCGTTACCCAGATATTGGAATGTGACCCCGACACCAGTTTCATGCCGTACTTCTTTGGAATCCAATTGCTCCACGGTAGCCTTCTGCTCCTGCTGGTTGCGTATCGCTTACAGGTTGATTCCGGAAATGCGATACTGGCTGCCTGCGAGGCTGTCATCAGAGCAACCGAAGCATGCTTTGTCACGCTTCCCACTGACTACCAGCGACAATTCAGAAAGTAAACACATAATCTCCTGTCCCAATGGAGCGTTTTCATGCTAACGATCCACCAGTGTCATGCGATCGGCCATAGCCCTTGCCAAAGGCAGGAGGAGTAATCCTCGTGACACGGAGAAGCAACTAACCTTCGTGTTGGCCAGATACAGGTGGTCCAGAAATGGAGCAGGCCTCGCTCGTTGAGGACCGGCTGGCTGTTTCGTAGAATGGTCACATCGAGGTACTGGCGGTGCTTCTTTGGATGCTCTGTGCGCTACCTATGATCTTCTTGCGTCATGCGAATGGCATAGTTTGGAATAGTCAAAGCAGTCGGTCCATTGTGGAACAACGCCGCTATCAGTCAGTCCTAGCGCCTGTATCTTACAAGGCTGAGGGAGACAACCAAGACTTGTCTCACAGCCACATGTCCCAGACGACAAGATGCCTGTGTGAGGCTATTCCTGGCCTGGCAAACCGAAGGGCCTCCGAAGTAGCAGAAGCAACAGGAGTCGATGTCTGAATCCGGGAGCTTGACTGAATTGCATGGAGATAGTCAATGCAACAGGCGCGAGCACACACCGCCAGACCTCCCGCCAGGCTGATTCAACAAGTTGCAGATTCCGCCTGGCACGGTCAGGGCTGGACAGGAGGCTTCTCGGCAAGCAACTATATGAAGGCATGGCACTGATACGGCTGAGTCTGGAACCAAGCCAAAAAGTCTTGTTCGCAACAAGGCGAGCGCTTCATTGGCCACGGCGCCCTTGGCAGCATCTCCCAGCCTGCTCAGCCTTCATATTCCAAGCGAGCAAGCGTCAAAGTGGATACAGCACATAGCAATCGTCTCATTCGCCCCTTTCTGCAAAATTTGGGAATACGAGGATGGAGTCTTTCGACGCGGGTCGGATGTGTCGCTATGGTCTGGCATGTCCTAAAAGCTCTTGACCGCGCCGTCGTCCAGACCTTGTCGAGGAGAACCCGGGAAATCGTCTTGGACATGACAATCCAGTAAATATGTCGTCCCTTGCCAGGAAGTCGATGAACTTCATGAGGGATGTGTATAACCTGGCACAAAACCCGGGAGAAATTCTCCTTCCGACGATGTCGGCGACATCCCCGCAAAGCTATCATCCATCTCACGGTCTCTCGAGCCAGTTCCAGCCGGTATATGCTCATCAACATCCTCTTCCACCAACCATTCACGGCCCGCTTCCGACTTACCATTATTCTTATCCAGGACCACCAGACCCTCAGCCTTATGGTCACTGGTCTGGTCCATTGGCGCCCATATCGCCGCCGTCACCACAGGCAGCACTGAATGGATATTCCGTGGGCGGCACCGCTCCAAATGTGCACCCAAACACAGGCCGGCCTCCTTCACCACCGTCCCCGGGGTTATCTCCATCGACTCTGCAGCCATACGGGAACCACTCCACTCATGGAGCACAGGAGCACTCGGTTGTCCAGAAACATTCGCCCACTCGAGGGTTACCACATCATCAGCATTCTCTGCCATGGCAGAATGCACCACTCTCCGAGCTTCATTCTCAGCCCCATCTGAATGGATCTGGTGCTGCACAGTCTGTCGCAGATTCTCGCGTCAATCAACAACCTACGGCCCATCCAACAACGCCTGGCAGGCTCTCAGTCTCTTCCCATCGGCTGCCACCCAGAGACAACACTGACCGCCAGCACATTCCCTCTGGATATATAGGCGCTACTTCAAGTGTATCAAGTGCCCCAGTTTCTAATCAGCACAATTCCGCTGCTCCCGTTGGTGCTCCAGTTGACTCGGACCAATTGCATGCCCATGGATACCACGAAATGCCAGCTGTGGTCATCAACAATGGAGTACCCACTGGTCGGCACGAGAGTGGTATAGGCCGACAACCCGGATTACCAGAACTACCCAGCGGGCCTGCTGATCGACCTTCGTCGCCGGCACTTGCGTCGCATGCTTGGGATGCTCCTGCAGCCGAGCTTGAGTCGCGTAGTCGCGCGATTGAAGCCGTGGAACTTTCAGCCTCGTCCACCACGCAGCGGCCTCGTCGTGCCTCGCGATACCAGCGTCATTATTCCACATCACCGGTAGAGACAGCGTCTATCAATGCACTGCTCGCAGCGACAGATGCGGTCGAGTTGGATTCCACGCCTATTATCGCAGAGTTGCCAGCCGCCGATACACATCACCCTTTTTCAAGACAGAACAATGCTGTCGGCTCCTTGCACTCGGGCTCCGCGTACCAGGCGTACCCTGGCCTCGCTGACCTTTCTCTGTCCGATGCACCCCGCTCGCCATCTCCTCTGACGAGTTCATCCGCTCGCGCTCACACTCGGACTCGCTCATCGGCCGTGGTTGAGCAGCAGAAACCTCCTCCCGACATCCACGACCAAACGCATCGCCGGCAACTGGTATCTTCTCCGGTGGCCATGATGGACGCTGATAGCCTCGTCCCCAGCCACGCGAGAGCGAGGGCCAAATCAGCCAGCCTACCCAATTCACCACCGTATCCGTGTCCAGGCCCGAAACAGCCCACCTCGTCATATTCCGAACCCCAACCTCAGCACCAGCACCAGCACCAGCACCAGACAAAGCTGCCTTACCCGCTTTATCACGGCACCGGGACGGTTGTGATGCCGCTGCACCGGGACTACGCGAGTTAAGTAGAATAACGAAAGGAATGGTAATGGGAATGGAAATGGAAAACGAGAGTGTCTTCACGGCCGGGATGAGGAAATACTAGACACACGGCGTACTTGGTTTATACCGCCATTGCGTTATAGCAGCAATAATTGCCATGACATGACATGTCTTGTGAGATGGCTGAGATGCCGTCGCTCCCATCATTTGTTCCTTCCCTGCTTCTATCCGGATCGTTTAATCCAGGTGCTCGAGAAACGTGATGCGGGATCAGCAGGTCTGTAGATTAAGAGTGAATGCCACATGGGACGTTCAATCTTCTGTGTCTCACAGCTCGTTTGACCAGTCCTTCCTCAAGTTGATCGGCTGATGCCTTGTCGCTCACAACAAGATGCGAAGTCGGTTCGTTATAGCATGCTATTTCAAATTTTGACTGGGCATTAGCGGCGTAACGGCTCTCGTGCGCTGCTCTACGGCTTGCTGGTCCGCCTCGACAGCAATCATAGCGCCATGTTCAGTGCCCCAGTGCTCGCGGATCAAAGCGGCCCGTCCAGCAGCGAGCTTCAGACCGTCTCGAAGTGAGCATACTCCAGACACACAGAGCGGTATTATTTGACCAATACGATGCCCCATAATAACATCGACCCTTAGCACGAGGCCAGAGTCGATCCACGCTTGAGCTCATGCATACTGTACGGCAAGAACCATGAAATGCAGCGCGACGACGTCAGGTACCGACCGCATCATATTGTACTATCCCCGGGTACAGCCCTGAATAGCCCGTGGAGCGGAGATTTGTGTCACAGACGTTCAGGTGGTGGCGCGAGAGCAGAGACTGCTGCCACATGCGTTCGTTCAGGATCCCCCCGATCGCTGACTCGGCCTCCAAATCAAAGAATGACGGGGACTTCGTTCGATTGTTGTTTGATAGTGTCGCTTTCTTGCGCTCTGTTTCCGATCTTGGAAGTGCAGTCCGTGGTGCTTGTTGCGCTCAGATTGAGCACGTTCACAACCTCCTGGTTCTGTCCCTTGCCAAAGTGAAGCCCAGGCTCGGAATGGCTTTTGTCTTGGTCGATGACAGCAGCAACTTTGACAGGAGTCATCGAGCGCCCGGCAGCAAGCGATCTGAATTGCTGTATATGACGCAGAGATTTGGATTGGACATTTCTGGGGGTCTGAATTGCCGTTCCGCTTGACATTCGCTTCTGGTCGTCTTCCTTGCGAGGTCCTTCAACAAGCATTGGCAGCGTTGTTGCCGACAGCACCATAGTTGTTGATACAAGCGGTCAAGATGTTTCCTGACCGAGGCCGATTCGACGTTGGTATGCTGAAGTTCTCTGGCTCAAGAACTGGGATTTTAGGATTCAGTGTTTGAAACGAGGCGTGCACGCACGCAGTGCGGTGTTCCATCTGCAGGATAGCTTTGATGAGCCCAGCAACGCCGGAGGCACCTTCGAGATAACCTATATTGCTAGATGACATAAAGAACGGTGCACTCCTCTCTGGGCCTCTTAAGATGTTCCTGATACTCTCCGTTTCGAAAAGGCCACTCACTAGTATGCCAGTCCTGTGAGCTTCCACAAGGTGGATATCTTGGGGGAAATTGCCGGCCTCCTTTGGCACGCGGTGGTATAGTTCACTTTGAAAGTCGGAATGAAGAACGGTATTGACATCCAGCGCATTGTCGTTGTCCGCAAGGGCGTCGAAACGGTTTTTGAGCACGACCAAGCTGACACGCTCACCTCTGTAATATCCATCCCCATTCGTGTCGAATGGTTTTGTGGCTTCGCTCGGGCTGAAGAAGTGAGCTGTGGCTAAATTCTCGTCAAGATAGGGTGTTGCCATCAGGGTAACCACGCCAGATAGGGACTGTGAGTATTCTCCGCCTGTGTACTTATCGATTCCTGAACACAGTGTTCTTGGGCGCACCGCTGGCTCTGTGACCTGTGAGGCGGCGTCGAGGAACAACATCACTTGGCTGTTGTGCTGGGAGTCTCCGGAAGTGCTGCATCACCTTTCTCATAGCAGCAAGCACCCCGAGATTGTCGAGATGTACCGAGACCGGGCTGAATCTGGCAATATCAAACTGGCCTTATGCACGAGGGTTCGATGTGCCCGCTCGGCATTGGGAAACCGTGGAGGAAAAGTGAGTTAAGTTGAGGCTCAAGATAGACACCACCGGATCACGATAGTGAATTCTGAATATTACCTGTTCACGAGGCTAGTCAAAGGCTGTGGTGGGTTAGTGGCGATCGTGGTGATATCTCGGACAACACAACACCACTCAATTACTCCTGTTCCAGCTTGTTGTGTTCGTCTGCAGGGAGATCTGCTTCAAAATCCATAGGAGACTGATTAGCAGGTTCCCACTTGAATGCTTGTGACCCAAAATTAGTCCGAACAATCGCTTTCCTGTTCAACGCCACTGCTAGATAAATCCGTCCATAAAGATCGCTGAAGGCCGTTTTCACTTTTCAGCCAAAGAGAATATTAGCTTCGATCAAGAACAGTGAGTAAGGTAGCTTTCTCGCGCAAGCTCCTCCTAGAGAGAGCGGGTGTGCTTACTTATCCTTTTGCCGTTGACCGTGTAGAAGGCTTCGTCTTTGTCGAGATCAACCCCGCAGCCAATGGTATCGCCGAAACCGAACTTATTGTTGGAAAAAGATCCGTTCCCTTCACGGTTCGACGACTGGTACAGGGTCCCATCGTCGCCGTGAAATGCCCAGCTCTGCCTCCCAAAGTCAATCAGTCCTGGAAGTCGGCCGACGAGCTTGTCCTGACGGTGGCTTAGGCCGAGGGCCACGATCCTGGTTGCATTCCGTTAGCCCTGAGGTTTTTATAAGCGACAAAAGGAATCATAATAGCAAAACTCACAGGCCGCTTTCAGATTCCTCGACTGCTGCTTCGTCAACTGAGACCTCGAAGTAATACTTGTGTGTTCCCGATGGAATAGGATGGTCACTCAAAAAGGAGCATCGAACTTCCTTATCTGAATGATATCTAAGTGTGAGCCCATCGTCAAGGATTTCCACCAATTTGTGACTTTTTTTCGAACCGACCCATCGGCATGGACGTTTCCCAACCGTCACTCCCTCGGTGGATAAAAGTTGCTGAATGTTATAGTTCTTGTACTGACGCGCAAGTTCGAGTGCCGTCCAGCCACTCTCATCACGTCGAGTCACGTCAACGTCCAACTGTCGAAGTTTCTTGACCACCCGTACGCTGCCGCACATTATTGCTGTGTTCAGCAGCTCCGCGTCTGCACGAGCTGCATCCTCATCGTTGTCAATAAGTAACAGTATCACCGGCTCCAAGTCCGCAGAGTTTAGGTCGGACCAAGCTTTACAGCACAAGGTAAGAGGCGTGTGAGACATTCGGTCTTTGACATCGGACCTGGCTTGGTGGTTTAATAAAGCCTGGACAACAGAACTGAAGCCCAACAACGCAGCGACATGTAAAGCGGTTCGTCGGAGTTTCTCGTCGACGGCGTTGATGTTCACATGCTCTCCATACTGCGTTAATATCTTTTCCACAACCAATGCATGGCCTTTCGTTGCGGCCCTTCGCAGCGGAGTTTTTCCCGCCGAACTCGGCTTATCCAGATAGGAAGGATCCCGTTCTTTCAATGTTGCTGCCAAAAATTCCACCGTCCTGAGATCTCCCTTTTCACACGCCAAGAAGAATGGGCTTCGTCCTAGGTCATCCAAACACGTTGGGTTGGCGTCTTTCTCTATCAGCATGCTTACTCCTTCGGAGAAACCGTTCAACGCAGCGTTGTGGAGGGCGGTCATTCCATAGCGCTGGAATCAAGGAAATATGTCAGCACTCAAGAGACCAATATGACTCACAGCAGAGCGACGTGTTCCGGATGTAGTCATTTCGTCGACATTCAAGGGTACTTACGTCTTGATGGTGTACGTCAGGATTTGCACCAAGAATTATTCCCATCGACTCTTTGTTCCCGCTAGAAGCGACCTCGAAAAGCGGTTCTGAAGCATGTTAGTCCAAGGAGCAGAAAACTCTGACCGTAGCAATACTCACGTTGATTGTCTTTGTCGTTCTGGTTGACATCGGCTTCCTTGTCGATGAATGCTCTCAGAAGCATAGGATCAAGTTTAGGGCGGCGGACCAACATATGTAGAGGAGTTTCCCCCTCTCTGTCTTGCGCGTTGATATCTGCTCTCTTCTTGATGAGCGCGTCCAAAACTTGCACATCTTCTCCATACGTTGCAAAATAATGCAGAGCCGACCATCCTTGGTAGTTGCTCTGCACATCTGGATTGGCCCTATTCTCCAAGAACAGCTGAACGGACTCAATGCTGGGGTCAACAGTGAGTAAAATGTGAAACGCAGTTTGAGCCCCAGAGTCATTATCCGTATATTGAAAGTTTGCATCAACTTTTCTCTGTTGGAGCAAATGGCGACACAAGTCCTGTTTCGCCTTTCCCTTTGGTAATCGCGCCGCATAGTGAAGAGGTGTCTGCCCATACAAGGTTGTGGCGTTCACCCTGTCTCCACGTTTGATGAGTCGTTCGACGAGCGGAACCAAGCCGTAAGCAGCCGCAACATGCAACGGGCTGACTCCATATGCACCATACGCGTATAGCGCTGAATCAGGGCGGCCTGCCTCTATATGGATCCACGACTTGAATTTTCGAGATCCAGCTCTGAAGTAATTCTCAATATCGTTCCACAGCTGGTCCCACTTCTCCTTTTTCGGGGATCCTTGTTCAAGGACCTTTTGGAGGTGGTAGATGCAATTCACGATCTCATATCGCTGGTTTGAGTCAGTTGGGGCCGGAGCGTCAATTTCGAGGTTCTGCGGCGTTTCGTCATCGCTATCGGCGTCGGTTGTCTCGTCCATGCTTTCTTCGCCGTCCAACGTTGAAGATGAGATATGATCGTTGACATCGGAATTGTTGGTGCTCTTTGCATCATCATCATCATCATCATCAGGGCCAACGGCAAGATAATACAGTTCTGATGGTCCTCCACTCGTTGGGATAGTGGTTATCTCTATAGCATTGTCCTCTCCGTTGGTAGGAGGCGAATCCAGTTTTCTGATTTCCGTCACGGTGCTGTCTTCTTGTTGTCGATCCACTGAACCATCGTCGCCATCACTTTCCTTGGCATTGTTGATGAGGGTATCAGCAGAAGTCTTGCTATCCTTTTCGTTCTCCCCGTCTTTGGCTTCTTCATCTCCCTTCTCAGAATCTACCTCCTTTTCTTCCTCGACTATGACTTCATCTTCAACTTTGTCTTCGTTCTTCCCCACCTCAACTTCATCTCTGCCCTCGCCATTCCCGGCCTGAGATTCATCTTCGTTTTCCATATACTCACTATTGGAATCACTCTCAGACTGAGTATCATATTCCGGCTGCATATGCATTCGATAGAAGAGTGGAGAATTGAGATGTTTGACTGAGCAACAATTAGCTATAAAACGTCATCAAGCAAAGCTCGAAAGGAGAACACCCACAGATTACCCTGGTCATCTCAAAGTTGCCCATTCTGGAACTCAGAGTCCAGCGATGCTGCTGGATGGACTTGCGCGTACCACATTCCTTGCAAATTGTTGGCTCGATTTCCACCTCTTCAGTCCTCAGGAACGCCTCTTTGACGGTCTCGTGGCTTAGACTGACAACCTTGGTGTGCCAATCGACCTTGATCAAGGCCCCACCAACCTTCGTGATCTGGTCCCGGAAAGGGATGTCCTTATCCCGGGAGTCTAGTCCTTGAATGTCCTCCTCCTGGTTTCCATTGATGTATATCTCAGTGTAGGCGTCAACGATCTCAGTCGCCGTCACTTTCCGAGGAGCCAGAATCGTCCAAGTGAGGAAGGTTTCCAGGAACTGCCGATAGCTAGGATCCGTTTTGTGAAGCACTTCGACGTACATGTCATGAAGGCCTTCAGGAAGATCCTCCAGCTTCTTTGATAGCGGTCGCTGCCAGGGCTGACGAAGGATGCTCATCACAAGGTCGACGTATTTGAACCATGACTTCGCCTTTTCGATGATCACTTTTGCGGCAAGTTCACGTTCGAGTTTTGTCCAGCCAACACAGGTGCTTAATTCAGACTCGACAAACCTCTTGACGTCTGGTCCATTGTTGTCTTCAACCATGATATGAGAGACTTTCTCATTGTCGAGACTCTGATTTATGTCGTCCTCTCTCCTGCTGCAGATTAATATCTTGACCTTGGCCCGTGTTGACGTAGCCAGTTTCAAGACCAAGTCAATAAAACCTTGCTCTTCTCTATCATCACATTCATCCAAAGCATCGATCACAACATAAGCTTCCTTTTTGACAGCTTCGGCTAGCGCAATGTATGCTTCCTCGAAAGCAGAAGCCTGGAAAGATGCGAAGCCCTTTTCCCTCCCAATGGATTTCTTTGATTCACTAGGCTCCGCTTTCGAGTCGCGCGCTTTCACAAGATAGTTTGCGACTGCCTGGTTTGCCTTATCGAGCCTGTCTAGGGAAGGCTTGCTGTCGGGAGTCACATGTTCGTAGAGCTGAACAAGAACATAGTCAAGAATCTTTTCCGTCGACCGAGAAGCTTCATTGCCGCGGTTGCACAGAAAGTAACACAAGGCCGAATCCTCCCTCTTATCCTTTTCTTCCCGCTGCTGCTTCAGGTCTTCGGGCTGCTTCATTTCTGCTTGAAGCCTTCGAATGACGGATGACATGAGAAATGACTTTCCAAAACCTAGTAGGCTTGTTAGATCTGCGACTGAAATGTCCCATCTCGGCATTTTACACGCACCGCCGCCGCCAGACACCCAAAGTAGACTGCTTCCACGAGCGTTGTGCCAGTTACCATATTCTTCCAAGTCGAAGATCCAATTGCAAGTGCCTGGTGTACATTCCTTTCTGTCCAACGCCGTTTTTTGGATCTCTCGACTATACGAGACATTCAAATAATTCATATTAGCTTCGAATTGGTCTCGTGCCAAATCTGAAAAGACATGAGCACCTTGCACGTTCGTTTTTGAAGGGGACACGTTACCGAACGGTGACCTGTTCTTCTGTCTCTCTAACTCCTCCTTGATTTCGGTTTGTATATCTGTGGAGGACTTCAACATTTCTTGGATTTTCTGAAGATCTTCCTGGCTCATGTCGAGCTTACGGTCGATAAGGAGTGTGACCGCTTGCTGAGCATACCCACCCATTCGCTTTTGGGCTTCTTTGATAGAAGCCAAGAGTCCCTCAAACTTGGAGCTGTTAGATCTCAAGACGCCCTTGACGATCCGAACTGATCAAATTAGTATGTCTGTTAGCACCAGGCTCAGGTAGTGACGAACGTATTTTTGGCGTCTTGAATTCTTTCCACATATTATAGGAGAAATCAGCAACTTGCTGATAGGTGTCGGTGATCAAAGTTTCCACATGTTGATGCAATTCCAAGGATTGAGCAAGGCCACGTTGGACACCGATCAACCTCCAATAAGCGCGACAAGAGATGAAGATGCCAACAATGTCGAGAGTTGCTCCGCCGAAAAGACTAAACGTCTTGAAATCGTCTTGAAACGAATGGAAACACAGCCTGACCCCTGTCCACGCCAGCCCAATACTTTCTGGAGCCGATTTCACCGCAACGTCTCCTGCTTTCATGAACAAGTCTATTTTCTCCAGTATTTGTTTGACAACATTCTGATATTGCTGGCTAGCAGCTTTCCCCATTTCTTGACACGCTTGTTTTGTTTCGTCTATTGTCGTCCTAGTCGAGAGAAAAGCATCGACACCTCTAGCATCAGCATCCTGGTATTTTTTCCGCAATTGCTCTCTGGCGCTTTCCCAGGCGCGGGACTCGAAGTCCATCTGCTCTTCGGTCATCGCACTCATGTGAACTCAGTTGATATGGTGTCAATTGCAAACGGCAAAGCTCGAACTGCAAAGAATGAAAAGCTGGAAGGGCCTTATGACAGGAAATCGGCTGTTGAAAAGTAACAAACATCGGCTGGGAGATATGTCTCTGGGCCTTGACCCACAAAAGTCCGGCTGCCTCTGGCCGGGCGCAGCTTTGATGCGATGGTAGTGGCCCACAAGCACACCACAAGGGATCGCTCCAACCACCTGTGCTTCAGCGGCTGGAAGCCCCTCATAAGAGAACCAATGGTGCTTCGACAGATTGAGGCTCAGACACCCTCCGCCAGCACGGCTTTTCCCTACCCTGCATAGAGCCGAAAGGATTGCTGACGTGGCCATGTTCGTTCCGGAGCTAATAAGTGTTCTCGACATTCGTCGTTAGGTGGTTCCGCCCCTTCAGCCGTCAATTGGCAGCTCCAAACAGACACGTTCGGAAGACTCAGTGGTGTCGATGCTCCCTGTAGCTGGCTAGACCCAGTACTGAGAATCGGGGAGATAAGAAGCCCTCGAGCTAACATTTCAAGGGTTTAGTCGTCTCAAGACTGAAGCAGCTAACATGTGCAAAGGTAAAGAATCGAGGTGTGAGGAATAAAATAGGCTCGAATAAAAATTCGGAGCAGCTTGTTATCTCACTGGCTTATCGTAGGTTGCGTCGGAACGGAGTAAATAAGCCTTCGGCTCGGGGCGCTGGGGGATGTCGCCGCGGGGTATTGGACGTTCCCCCCTGCCCCTGGGGGATCCATTAGCACGTTGCCTCCTAGTGTCATGGAAAGAGTGCAGGGAAGTTAGATATTTCTCGCCGCCGCCAGAGCATCGATCAAAGAGCAGTGATGGCATCAGAAAATCGCGGTCGAGAGGTGGCACAAAGAATAGGAAAGTGAAAGAAAGGAAGGGGGATAAACGAGCGGAAAGGAGGGGGCGAGCCATTAGCAGTGCGGCTCTGAGGCTGGTAAGTCCATTCGCAGCAGCTACTGTAGTTCGGGCTCAGGGATCCCTCTGATCAAGCGATCAAGGAACCCCAGCCAGTGTAATAGAACTCGGCGCGTCCCGCACAAGATCAAATGGATCTGATTTCTATCAAGTAACCGCTCTCTTTATACCTATAGCTAGTTAGGCTGAGGACTCACCGTAGTATTCGTAGTTATCCCTGCGTGCCGGAACAAAGAACGCTGGGCCGAAACTGGCACGACTGGGCCTAGATCGATCCTACACACTCCTGTTCTCCCCACGACCTTTGTCTAAGCCGCTCGGTCGGACTTCGTCCAGAGTACAATACTTCGGGGCAGATACGGAAGGCCCGACTGACGTATGTACCACGTATAGGATATGTAACGGTCTCACATGGGGCAATGCCGGTATAATCATCCATCCGTCCGTCCATATAAGTAGGTAGGTAGGAACCCAAGACTTTTATATACACATCTACATATACCCTTTGCATATAACCAAACCTATTCATCCGTCCATATATATCCATATATGTAGACTTGGGTATCTACATATATGTCCCGGCTATCATACGCAGACGCAGTTAACATACATACACATAGATATACGTAATTTGAGACGCACACGATGATGCATAGAACATAGATAAAAGTCTGAATGACTGACGAGCCTCTCGCATCACAGCGCAGCGTGCTGCCACTCCTCGTCGCCGAGCTTCTCGCTCACGCCCAGCTCGGTCTGGCTGCTCATGGCGCTAGAGTTGGTGCTCTGGCGGCGGAGCAGCTCCTCGAGCCTCACCGTCTCGCCGCGGTGCATGGCCTTGATGATCTCCTGCTTCTTGCGGCGGCTGCAGCGGATGCGGGCCTCGTACTGGGTACAGCGCTTGGTCTCGTCGCACCAGCCGCCGGTCCAGAAGCGGTCGCCTGTGCACGACATGCCGAAGATGTCCAGGGCCAGGGCTAGCGAGACCAGCGCCGTCGTCGTGCCGATCAGGCTGATCGACGATAGGTGCTTGGCGAGCGGGAGCAGGAGGATGGCGACCGCGATGCACGATCGGATCACCAGGCGCGGACCTTTCCTCAGCCGCGGGTTCTCCAACGTCTTGTGCACGTGGCAGTACGAGAGCAGGTTCATGGAGAGGAGGGCCGCGGCGATGCCCCCGCAGTAGAACCAGCGGAGACCGACGTCGATGTCCCCGACCGACTTCAGCTGGTACGATTCGCCGAGATCTTCGATGTTGGCATTGGCACAGTCGTGCGCGATGACGAGTTTCGACAGCGTCGCGGCCGCCAGGACGTAGGACAGCACGAAGGGCAAGTGGCATGTGATCCAGACGGTGCTGGAGAGCCAGTGGCGACGGATGGCGTGCACGTGGACCCCGTGATGGTCAATCTCAAAGTACAGCCACTGAAAAGCGAACGCCTGCGTCAGCCCGAGGATGCCTTTGCCCAGAAAGGCGTTGAGGCCGACATTGGCGCGGGACTGGTAGAGAATGGTGAGCACCGAGTAGCCAAACACCAGCGACACAAAGGCGTTGGTGCGCTCGGTACGGTGCTCGATGTTGATAGCCGGGTAGAATTCAAAGTACTTCCGAATGAAGCGTTCCCTACGACCACCCGGGGTGTGCAAATGTCGGGCAGAGGCGCGCGAAAGGAACATGCCGAACCCCTGGCCCCAAAGGTCGATAACGATGGCGATCCAGATGAGAGCAAGTTGGCCAGGGTAATTGACATGGATGCTACTGATCCAAAACACGATGGCGAGGAGGATGATGCAGGACGTGTACAAGAGAGTTCCCCGAATCAAGGGCACGACATACGAAAGCCAGGTAAAGTACAACGCGCCGTAAAAGCGTTCGGCGAGATAGAAGGACATCATTGGGATGTACGTGTCGGACTCTCCGCCGGGGTGTCGCGCCTCGAACGCGTAGGATATGTTGGTGGTATAGGCAAAGAGGAGGACCAGGTAGAGCAGAACCGACAGCTTTTGGACGACGTCGTCTCGCTCGAACCTACCCCAGCGTTCAGCATGGATTTACAAGACAATGATCAATTTCGTGATTGCCTTGGCTGTCACTCACCAGTTTGAGACGAGTGTGAGATCATTCCAGATCTTGAAGGCCATGGTGAAGTTGATGGCATACACCAAGAAGGCCTTCCCGGTCGGGTCCTCTGCGGCCTTGTCCCCAATGATGCCGATGATACCAACGTACAGCAAGTCGGCGAACAATTCAAAAGTGCCAACCTCGCCACTGCGGGCAGACCGCCACAGCAGGCCCTTGTGGAAGTACTGGCGGATGACGGGCCGTCTGAAGAACTTCATGCCATCGACGACGCGGCTCTGGTGCTTGTCGAGCAGCGTCTGCTCCGAGCTGGATGCTGCCGAGGCATGCGACGGTGTCGAAGAGCCACTGTGGTCGTCTTTGGTGCGAATGCGCGCTGTGTACCCGAACTTGCTGAAGTTGGCGTCCAAGGCTACCTATTCCCCTGGGTTAGTAACTTGCCCAAGTCCTTGCTTGGGCCGCAGAAAAACGTACTCCATGGTGAGTCAGCTGATTGAGTTCGCTGGACAGATGGTCCAGATCGTCTCTGACCTTCTCGAACTCGTGGAAGACGGCACCATGAGTCTCCCGCAGCGTGTCGCGTCGTGCCGTGTGGTGAGCGTGCAGTTCGCGTACGACGGCGAGGTGTTCTGGGCTGCCCGATATCACCACATCGAATTCGTCTGGGCCATGCTGCTGGCTCAGTTCCTTTTGGAGTTTGACATGCTCTTCGGGCGTGTGGGCAATGTGGATTTTCCGGCCATCAGGGTGGATGAAATGGCGGAGTTTGTCTTTGGCATGATCGACATGCGGATGCTGGTGCTGGTGTTGCGTGTGCGGTTCGGGAGGGGGACTCTGGATGCCTGATGGGCTCTGTGCCCCTGGAGACACGGCTGTGGGCGAAGTGATGGCGGAGGTGACTGCTGTCGACTTCTCAGGCAGCCTGTCCAAAGGGTCCTCATCCAGGAGGCTCATGGTTGCGTGTTTCGCTCAACGCTCAACGAGGAGACGGAGGATGAGGGAGAAGAGGGCGGCTTCCCTTGTGCATCCTCGTTCTAATCATATTTCGAATTGCCACGGCCAAGCCTGTTCCATTCTTGGCCATGCGGCTTGTCCTATGATGAGCTCAGCGAATTGTAGAGACAAGAAGATGTTTGTCAGCTGCATTAGCTGAATCGGTCAACCTGGAGTTGACCAGGAGTCCCTTTTAGGTGACCTTTGTGTTCCCCATCGAAAGGGCAGCGAGAGCACGTGACTGCCAAGGTGTGCGAGAGGCCGCTAACTCAATTAGGCGAGCGAGCCACCTAAGTAATTTTAATAATAACAACAGAGACTTCGGGCGGACTTCGATTCTAGCGCCCCCGCACCCATATGTGTTTCCTGCTTACAGGGCACCCCAAGCACTCGTAGGCAGCCCCCGGCACCCCGCTGGCACCACTGGTAAGCTACGGACTACTGCTGGTGAGCTTCAGTATTACTACGTAGCAGCACCCACAGGTACTGCGGGCGTGTAGCTCACTAGGTACTGGCTGCTCCCCCACGACCCTATCATCCCCAACCCTGCCGTTCTCTCGCTGTCAGGGGATTAACTTCTAAATTCTGACAGTCAAAACCTCGTCCATATTCACTCCCTTCCGCGTCGCATCACCCACCCGGTGCATGCGCACCCGATCTGGCGACGCAGATGGTATGATCAGATCCAATGCCAGCTTCTCAAGAACCTATCTCACGCGAGAGCATTACAGCGGCCCGACACTGCTGCGGTGCATCCGAGCGGAGGAGGTCGATAAACAAATCCTCAACCCAGTCATGCAGACCGACATGCGGGAAGATGAGAATCTCATCTACGCGCCACCGGATTCTAGTTCCTCGGACGAGGACGAGGATGACTATCTAGCCCACGAGACTTCTCTGAATTCGCCCGAACAACCCAGAGTCAAGGCTCCGAAGAGCGGGAAACGTGCGGCGCATATCGCGGCCTCGACCAGCTCGAAACGGCGGAAAATCGAGATTGAGCAGGCGCCTGACAGCCCCAAGACCGTTGACGATTCTCCTCGGATCGATCCGGTGCCCGGATGGATCTCGTCGGGTCCGCAGAAGAGAAAGCCCTCGAAGAATTATGCCAATCGCAAGCTTTTACAAAGATTAGAGATTGTCGCGAGCACGACCACGGCACACGCAGAGGGAAATGGCATCGTATCCCCTCAAGAGGAGACCTCCCAAACACAAACAACATTTATAGAGGCCGCCGAAGTGCCTACTCCAGGCACGGTGAATGGTAGCACCAAGCCAGGTCAGAGGACGACTCTACCGAGCCCTCCCAGCGAGCGATCGGATCCGGAAAGAGCGGGAAATCAGATATCAGACTTGCCTAACTTTTCGTTGTCGGGCGGCATAGACAAACCTACGTCCGTCGATGCATTTATACCCCGAAGGAAAGGCCGTTCAAGGTCGGCCTCGGCGTCCTCTGTGTCCTCTTTGTCTTCTGTGGACGAGGTATTTCTGGTGCTGCACGAAAACGAATTCAGCGCAGAACACGGATCACGATCGGCTGGAGTGCGCTGTCCGGTCTGTCAACAAACTATTTACGACTCCGTCTCGGTGTTTATTCCAGAAAACCTTCGCACTATGCCTTTCAAACAACAACAGAAGTTTTGTACTGACCACCGCCTTAAGGAAGCACGAAAGCAATGGGAAGAGAGAGGCTATCCGAAGCTGGATTGGGCGGAGCTGGAAACTTTCCGCATACCAAAGAAGACCCCACAGCTGAAGCGGGTGCTCAGTCGAACCAGACCCAGTTACTACCGGGATCAATTCGACGCGATGATCAAAGAGGCCCGGGGCAATCGCAAGGCGATCCGGAGCTATCTCAATGAAGGCCTGAGTGACATTGCGAAGCCGGGGTATTACGGCCCCAAAGGAACCCGGATCATGGTGCATGCCATCACGGAATTACTCTCTAAGAATCTCATACAGGTATCACAGACGGACCCGTCGATGCAGGCGACCGGCGTGGGCGCATATGTGAGTGCTGTCCTGGTGCCCGAGTTGACCATGTTGCTCGTCATGGAAGACATGAAGTTGCGCACGGGCAAGGACGGCCGGAGGGTGTTGGACGAGAGTTCCGACATTGGAATTCTCTTGAATCCAGACGACGACCGTGTGAAACGTGTGAGACGACGGAGATGAAAAGGGATTTTGGGGGGGGAAGGACAGGATGAGAACTTTTTGATGACGAAGACTAGGCACTTCGTTTTTCGAACGGGTGCCGACGACCATGAATATTGCGGACTTTAGGTCTTTTTTTAAAGCCAGACGCTGTAATAATGGTCCAGGTCACGGGGGGAAAGCAGTCTCGTGCACGACATGTACAGCAAGCATTGCCATGCCACCCAAATATACAGACGCCCATTGATGCCGATGCATGCATGTTCTTCTTTCCCTAGTAAAGATTGCACGTCAGTCAGTCAGTCAAGCCAGCCAGCAAGCCCGCCAACGTAGCATGTAGGCAAGTTCTATTTCATTCTCGCCGCCACCATCGCTGTCTGCCACCTTGGAGATAGACAGACAGACAAGTCCATACATGCACGTAGGGTTGTATGCATGCATGCCACAGTCCTCCCGCCTGGTAGGTACAGGGACTGGGCTCGAAACGCTTGCTTACGTACTTACTTACTGTACGAGGTACGGGGACTCGGTGCATACATACCTACCTACCTACCTGATCCTCACTCCCCCAAGCTGCTGCAAATGAACGTAGAACTACACAACATACCCTAAGTGTAATAATACATGTGTTGATGGTAGCCACTCGCATTGCATGCATGAGATTACTCAAAAACGTAACTACGTAACGACATATCCATGTATCTACCTGTGTACGAGGTATGTAGGTACTGGCGTAGGTATTACGTATGTACTAATACAGTAATATGTATGGATGGGTGTAATTAATTACCTGACCCGAACGGGGAAATGGGGAACGGCGCCGGTGGTGCGGCGCCCGCAGAGTGGGTGTCTGATTATTCAGAGCAACCACCGGTACTACGACGACCACCCCCTTGACCTTGATTCAATAATCTCGTTCTGAGACGATCCCATCATTTCTTCCTTGTCCCCTTCCTTCTGGTTTTGCTGTGTGCTGAGCTGAGTCTCCCTGACTCCAAAAAGGGCGTACGGATTTCAACAACTGATATATTGGCACACAAACTGGCGATCGAGGGTTGGTGTTGGTTGTTGGAGCCTGCAAGCTGCTTCTACGAGGTAGTACAAGGAATGTCTTGATTACCATTCCGGGACACCGATTTCCGATTCGCTCAAGTGTTCCCGGCTTTGTTGGGACGCCCAGTCAGTCAGTCCTCCTCGGACTGTTTCGCAGAGCCAGAGAAAAAAAGAAAAGAACAGCGAGGACGCCCTTGTGACTTTGGTATCTACTGGTCATTGTGCCCGGGTTGTATTGGAAGAATTGTCCAGCCTGAGCCGAGAAAAATTACGCTGATTGTGTGGGGTCTGGGAGGGAGAAGGGGTGCACGCTCGCAACAGTGGAAGAAGGAAGATAAGAAGAAGAGAGAGAGAGAGAGAGAGAAGAGGAGGGGAGCAATTCAGCAAGGAAGTGAGGCGCGAAAGGAAACTCTGAGCTGGTCTTCTCGAGAGACCAAGCTGGAGCATCTCGGGTAGAGAGAGGGAGGGTGGGATCAGCGACAGAATCGACGAGCGGGCGAAACCCGGAGCTGACACTCAAAAGTCCCTGTACCGTGTTTTCGACGAACATTCCAAGTCCTTCGAGGCAGCTGGATCAAAGCAAACCCAGCGCCCATGACCAACTCGCACACAACACAGCAACAGCAACAGCAACACACTCTGCCCGCCACGGAGGAACAACCATTCAAGGCTCTCTCACATCCTCTGTCTCCGACCTTCCGGCCCTGGCTTACCGCCCCCGACCGCGTCCCCTCCACTACCGCCTACGAAATGTCCACCACCAACACGAGGCAGACGGTCAATACGAGTTCTCTAGCCGTTCGCAGGCGCCGGGCCGGCTCGCTGAGCGCCCCTTTCGCCGGTCGGTTGGGCGGCAACCAGGAATTCACCCTCGACCGCGCCGATCCCCAGAATGAGGAATTGCTGAAAAAGGTGCCCGATGCGGCGCCGAACTTGACCTTGCAGGAGAGTTTCGATCTTCGAGGCTTTCGAGAGGTAGAGCTGTGGAAGGCGGCTTTGATCGAGTTTGTCGGTGAGTAATTCCCTCTGATAGTATATTCGCGAGACGAGGCTCTGTCTTTGTGGGAGAGAATCTGACAATCACTCGTGTGTAGGCACCTTGATCTTCGCCTGGGCCTCAGCTTGGAACAGTCTGTCCCCAAACACGCCCCCACCACCACCCTCAGAAACATCTGGCCCCTTCGGCCGTTCATATTTCCTAGGCCCTCTCGTCGCCGCGTGTATAAACGCAATCCTCCTCGCACTATTGATCTTCTCCTTCGGAGCCGTTTCCGGAGCACACCTGAATCCACTGATCACGATCGGAACCTTTTTCGCGAGGTTGACCACTTTTCCTCGTCTGGTGTTGTACTTGGCGGCGCAGACCTCGGCGGGCGCGCTTGCTGGCCTGCTGCTAAGAGCGGCCGCGAATACTAGAGATTTCAAGGTGGGAGGATGTTATCTCTTCCAAGATATGGGGACTCCCGTTACGAGTGCTTTCACCGTCGAAGTCGTCGCCGACTTGCTCCTGCTGGTACTCGCGTTTGGAGTTGGTCTAGATCCACGGCAACGCGAGATTTTTGGCCCAGCGCTGGGCCCAATCTTTGTTGGGCTCGCCGTGGGGAGCATGATTTTGTGTACCGCATTCACTCTGCCTGCGTACGGCGGTGCTAGTATGAATCCGGCGAGGTGTTTTGGTGTATTCGTGGGCAGCCGCTTCCCAGGCTGGCACTGGGTGCACTGGGTAGCCCCGCTTGTGGCCAGTATTTTCCATGGAATTGTGTATTTTCTCGTCCCCCCAGGCGAGCCAAACAGGGCGCATGCACACAAGATTGGCGGGATGGCGCCAAAAGCTGAGCCACAGGCACAGGAAGATGGAAAGCAGAGCGTGTAGAATGTCTTGGTAGGCCTTTGGCTTTCGTAGGTCTGAGATAATCGTAATGGGGAACTGCCAGTCGCCGACCACTAGTGACCGATTCAAGCACCCATCATGACTTTTCTCTTGGGCGCTTTTTTCTTCCCGCCCCCTTTGACATATTGGACGGCCTTGTGGCTGCGCTCCTCTAACCCGGCCTCCTCGCCTCGGTGGCCTTCTATCCAACAATTGGTGCAATATAGATCTCCGTCACAGCCGATACACTGCAGGGTAGCGTCATCGTTGCATATAATGCACCACGTATCAATTTCCTCGTCGGTAAAGCCTATCTTGGGCTTTGATGCAGATGATGTTGTCTTGTTGGATTTCATCCCCAAGGGGACCGACGGTAGTGACAAGCCCGCAAAGCGGGAGGCTAGGTCGTCGTCTTCGTTCGACTGTTCTGTGGAGACCACTGAGTCTGGCAATTTTGAGGGCGTGCTGGGAAGGTCGAATGGAGAAGCATCCCGCCTAGACTCGGGGCTTGGTGAGACATCGTCATCATCTTCTGCCCGGCTCGCATTTTCTTCCTGTGTCTCTGCAGCTTCGAGCTTGGCCTCATCTAAGATCCTTGCCAGCAGTTCGTCGGCCTCCTGGTCCAAAGTGTCTTTCGACTTGGTGCCTACCGCGGTGACTGGACTTTCGTCTGTTTCTGGCCCGGGTTGAAACACAGAGACATCGATCGCCGGGAGCTTTGTAGGAATATGATCCTCCCCTGTACCTTCAGCCTGATCTTCTTGTGATCGTTCACCTTGTGTGTGTGACGCATCTGCCAGCGCTGATTTTGCAGTCCGCAGCAGATCTGCGACCTGCTCCTCTTCACTCTGTGGGACTTCCCACGCATCTGAAGGCCCTAAATCTGCCAGAAGTTCTTCCACCGTTTTCTCATCTTCAGACTTTTCCGCGGAAGTGGTGGGGTCTTTGGGCTGAGACGAGGCAGGACTCCCTCCGAGAGATTTCCATCTCGTCAAGAGGTCGGAATGGAGCGCGCGAGCAGGGCTAGGATCAAGCAAAATATTGGGCCCCTTTCCGAGAGGTGTTTGAAAACTAAGAAGTATCAGCTTGATATTCAACGCTTTAGAAGTCACGAGGTTACTTTGTCTCTTCAAAAGACACGGCCGACGTTTTCAACGCATTTAGCCGCGCCAGGAGATCTCTGTCTGCATTTGACCTTGCTTCATCAGACATCACGCCCGACCTTGTTGTATCATTCGATGCTCATTTCCGTAACAGTTGGCACGGCCACAAGACGAGAAGCTTGGATCGCAAGCCTGGACAATCATTTTTGCGCAAGCGGTCAATTCCGCCTGACGTAGCCCAGTTGCACTTGACCTGCACCGCTTTCAAAGATTACCCAAGAGTGCCATTGCACTTTGAAATGCCTCGAGCACTTTTGCATCTGAGGACAATGTCAGCAGAGCACGGTGTCATAAGAATGTGTGACTTACGGTGGGCTTGCTTCTGAGCTAGCAAGCTCTCTGAATTCTGTGCAAGCGCAATGCGTGTACGTAGTCTGCATCATTAATCAGGCTACGTTTCACCAGTAACAGCACGATGAAATACCTCTTGATGGCTCTCTCTGATTCATGGTCGTTTGAGACTTGCATATACATCGAAAATTGCTGCTGCGAGTTAGCCCCCTCTGGATACGCAAGACAAGTAGCCGCCTACCATAAAGCGGGCATTGAACTCATCCATGATCTCCCTCTCCGCAGCAATGCAAGGTTGGATCTCTGTATTGTACCGTGCTTCCAGATCGTCCCAATCCATTGCATTCAAGTCGACAGAAGTGTCCCTCTCGTTCAATGCACGCTCGAACTCTTGGAATTCGAGCTCCAGCTGCTGTTGATAGTCGTGAATTTCCCTGACAAGACTATTGCGCTGAGGCAACAGAGCAGGAGCCGCACCGGTTTCTCTTGCGATGGGCTCGACTAGACTTTTCTCACTGGCATGAAACGGGCCTTGATGATCAAAAGGGTTGTTCCGAGGCTGGAGTTGCTGAGGCTCGGACATTGCTGGAAGCGTGGAGGATCTCTGGTATCTTGCGCTTGTGGGACTCGACTTTGGAGTATCAACCGGCCGATATATCTCCTCGTTTGTGCGTTTTCGGGTACGTTGTCTGGACCTGGACCTGTCCGGTAGTGGTGAGGACGGGATTGCAGTGGCAGCGTCTGGATCTGAACGTGGGGGAGGCGTTTGCTTCCCCTCGTTCGCAGTCGGAGTATGAATATCACCAGTCTCAGGACCATTCACTGCGTCCATCTTGGCAGGATTGATGGCACACTGACGCGTCAATGAAAATTCGACACTGGACAGACCTCGCTGTCTTCTTCGCTTTGTCTATCACCGGTTAATACTCGGCAATCGCGTTGACAGACTCACGCTTATCCTTCTTTGTGTTAGCGTTTTCGCCAAATCACGTGAACCTCTTGTCTACGTCATGCCGCAGCTCAGACGGGCCAGGCCTAGCCTGAGCCTCAGATCGCTTCGAAACAGGTGAGTCGTGCCTATTTCAGTCCTCGTGCATCTTCCTCGACAATTTGCTGTCGCCTTAATGACCATGTCAGCTTTGTCGCGATAGCCATGCTCGATGCACCGTAATAACGGGACAACCTTCATTTTAACATCATGATTGCAGATTTCTTGCCAGTGAAACTGCGCCACCGCCGAAATCGCTGGATGCGGAGGTTAAAGACAACGAGACCACAGAACATGAAATCGAGATACCCTTGAATGCCACCGACTCTTCTGCCGACTCCACCTACGTCAACGTAGAAACCGTCAAGATGGATTGTCCCGTCTGTCACGAACATCTCAAGGAAAGCACGAGCGTCAATTGCGCAAACTGCGTGAACAACCTGCTCTACAACAGCCGCTTCGACCTGGCCAGAGTCCTGCTCGAGAAAGAGTCCCTCGGAAAGAAAGTAGAAGCCATCGTCGGACCCGAGCCTGAGCAACCTCTTGATGAAGAAACTGCGAGACTCAGGAAGGCCTGGCAGAGACAGCAGGAAAAGATAGAAGAACAGCGGGTCAAGGAGCAAGAAGAAGATATACGGCGCGAACTCCTCATTAAGCAGAAGGAACTACAAGAGAAGAAAGTCCACGCCCAGGCCCTGAGAAAGAACTTAGAAGAACAAAGAGCCAATCTCGCCGCCGCAAAACAAGCCCAGGCCAGGAATCACAAGAAGAAGCTCGCGGAACTCAAAGAGAACGGTGAGAAACTGAAGGCACAATATGACGCTCTTCATGAAAAGATTATCGACACTCGAGCCATTCTCTGCCGCGAAGCCGCCAGTCTCTTGAGGCTTCATCACTCCCACAGGAAGACCAAAGACGGTACAATCAAGGATCGCCACTATATTGCGGGTCTCTTGTTGCCAGACTTGAAGGAGATCAACAGTGAGTTCTCCAACACCCGGCCTTTCATTGCCCACTAACTGGTCTTATAGATATGCGATGTACCGAACTCACGGCGGCACTTGGGAATGTCACTCGACTCGTTTTCCTCTGCTCCTTTTACCTTGGTATCAGACTCCCTGCAGAAATCACTGTGCCTCACCGAGACTACCCTCTCGCGACCATCAACACTCCGCTCACCTCGTACCTGGGACAACGCATCACGTTCCCCGGCAGCGGGTCGAGCCTCTCTGCGCCCAGCAGTCCCTCCGCATCTCGAATGGATCTTAGCTCGTCTCCCAAACCTCGCCCACTCTACATCGGCTCCGATGACTACAACGAATCTGTTGCCCAGTTCGCCAAGAAGGAACCTCTGGCCTTCAACTACTTCATCGAAGGCGTCTCTCTCCTGGCTTGGGATGTTGCGTGGCTATCTCGCACTCAAGGCTTCGTTGCAGGCACCGACACGTGGGAGGATATTTGTGACATGGGTCGCATCCTGTTCCAAATGACCTTGGCTCCTGCACAATCTAGCGCACTACCTCGAGTCATCACCCAGCGCAACGCTCACAACCGCCACCGCCGCTCCCAGAGCACGTCGTCACCAGTCATCGATGACAAGGAAAGCGCGTTCCCTGCACGTCTTGGCTCATACTCTCACAACTCAGCTCACACATTCCTTGGGTCTGCTGCTGCAGCTGGAGATAACCCATCCCGCCACTGGCGCGTCAGTCGATACTCCATGATCTCCGACCCCTTGAAGAAGCATCTCATCACTGAGATGAACAACGCTGAATGGGAGTTGTTGGATCAACAGGAGTGGAACGATGGTGGGGAGAAGATGGACGAAGCTGTCTTTATCAAAACGAGGCCGATGGACGGGAAGGAATATGATGATGCTAGAAGCATCATGGCCCCCGGTGGGGAGGAGGACGGCGCCCGGGCCAAGGGCAAGAGTGGCTGGACCAAACTCAAGAACAGAGAAAAGGAATAGAGAGGCTGGCATTCTGGACACGAATCACGAACAATGATGCATTTGCATGGAGCTGGAAGCATACTTGGGCCCAGCATGAGACCGGGAAATTGGCGTTTGAGGCTATCTGCAGTTCAATAGAGAACGAGCGCACAATGCGTCTACAGCGATGACTGCTGCCAGCACAATGAGCACGAATGATACTCCATTCCAAACCCACTGACATTCTATCTCTGAGCGACCTGTCAATATGAGGGGCTCCTCTTCTCGAACTAATTCAAGATAGAGCGCCAAGGCAACGGGCGACAGGATATCACCGTGCAATGACCATGAACGAGGACAGCAATGTGCCCTTCACCCGCATCAGGTCGTGTCGGGTGTCCAGACATGCCTTTGGGGGAGAGGGCGGAATGTGAGCACAGACCGGCGACGTCCTGGTCCTGGTCCAGCTCCACGAGGATGAGGTGAGGAATGTACCAGAAACGGATCGTGAGCAGCAAACAACCGCGGATTGTGCTTAAGAGGAGGGAGAGCTGGGCTTCACTCATGCGGTCTAGATCTTGTTGTCTTCTCCCACCCTCCCTCTTTGTTCGTTGTTGTTACTGCTTCGTTCACAGCCGCTGCACTCATCAACCAATCGTATCCGGCCGTTTGTACAACGGAAACGGCGTAGAAGGGGTGTCTGGACTGTTCTTTGTTCTTGCTGCAGACCGCACCCTATTTTTCTCTCGCGATGCTGCTGTACTGTGGGGGTTCTTATCGTGCTGCCTCACCCTTCTTTCCTCCCAACCATCTCTCGTATTCATTCCAAGTCTTAGCTCATTAAAGTACACTGCACGGTTGTCACTCAGGCCATCTCCAGGCCCCCGTGACCCCGTGCTCGCTGCTGCCGCCAAGTGCCAGCCTTCACAATTCACTGTCGAGTGCAAGCAGAGGCGCTGCAAACAGTGAGTAGATCAGACTGCGTACCGAGTGACAGCGTTGTTTGCACGTCACTCCGTGCCGCCCTCAAAAACTGAAGCCCATTTTTTCTCCTGTTCCCTTTCCCCCACCACATTTGCAGAGAACTCCCTGCTGGTTTGCATCGATCCCAAATTCAAGTCACGACAACACAACAGCATTTCAAGAGCTTGTGCACAGAAAGATTATCAATATAGTGAGCCAAGACGTACCTTTTGAGACCGTCGACTCGTAAAACCACCAAAAACAACGTCCCCATCCAACAGCAAGTCTCTTTTGAAAAAATTGAAGATGAAGTGTGGTTGTACCATGGGTGCGTTACTCGCGATTGCGAGTACAGCCCTCGCGCAAGACAACAACTGCTACGAAGACAAAGGTAACTGGTACTGCAACTCGGTCCAGGCAATCTCGTACTCGAATTTCGGCACACCGGGTCAGTACCAAAAGGTGTCGTACATGGGATCGAACGGGGAATGCGATTTCGTCGGACAGAGTTATCAAGGAGGAATGGCGCCGATGGACGAAGAGGTAAGATACAATCAAGTAACGTGGTTAACAAGTGGATCCTTGACTTACATTTGGCGTTTGATAGGTATCATGGCACTTCCGTGGGCCAATTCAGCTGAAGCAATTCGCGTTCTACACTCCCGGCTCTGGTAACACAAAGCGATCGCTGCACCCCAACCCGCAACAGCGGCCTTACCCACACAAACATCTTCACAATCCAAGGGGTCATGGACCCGGTGAATTCGGAAGTGATAAACATGTGGAGAGCAAGCGCGGTGTCGGAGACTGGGTCACAGCAACCATTGATGGACAAGTCGTGTCATGGATCAATCAGTACGCAGGCCCTGGTGCTGCAGGCGCAACACCGGCGGCGGGAAACGGTGGTGACAATAGCCAGAGATTGGCACCTGGATCAGCAAGTTCTGCATACAGTGCTCCTCCACCACAAGCGAGCATGAATGCAGGCTCGGGCCAGTGGGGAAGACAAGCTTATTACATGGCTGAACAAGGTGTTGCCGATGGGCTTGTCTTCTTGAACCATCACGGCGGTGAGGGTTCGGGCGTGTTTGACACGTGAGTTATGTTCTCCAATCTCTTGGTTTGACGTCGCAATACTGATAATTTGCCAGCGTTTGGGGCATGTCGCTGTCGTATGCCTCGTCGGATAACAGTGCGGGCTCTCCGTCTCCAGTCCCTTTGGCAGATGTCTTGGTACCAGATAACAGTGAGTTTGTTATCATGAGTGACAAGTCATGCTCGGATGGCGGCTGTGGAATTGTCCGAGATGGGACAGTTGCCTACCGTAAGTTCACTCGTGTGTTGTTTGCGTGGTGTGAAGCTGCATCTAACCACATCAACAGATGGTTTTGACGGCACTTCCAAGCTCTTTCTGCTTGAATTCGGCATGCCCTTATCTGGCAACACAGGGTTCAATGATGACATGCCTGCAGCATGGATCCTGAACGCTCAAATTCCTCGCACTGTTCAGTACGGAAATTGCTCCTGTTGGAGTTCTGGTTGCGGCGAGTTTGATGTCCTTGAGGTCCTTGACTCTGGCGACCAAAAGTGTAAATCGACTTGGCACGGGCTGAAAGCAAAGGGCGACTCGAATTGGTTCCAGCGACCGATCAGCGGGACGACAAAGGTTGCAGTAGTTTTCGATGGGAGTTCAAGCACTGCGCATATTGCGATATTGCCAGATGATACGAACTTTGACACGAGTATCTCGGACGAAACGGTGGCTGGATTCGTCAATTCCATTCAAAATTCGCAGCTGAGCATTCAGGTTGCCTTGGACAGTTGATAGATTGGTAGCTTCAGGAAATAGCGCGCGAGTACGGTCAGTTCTGTCTCTGTTGGCCTTTCTGAAGATATCTGAAGTCTCCACCGGCAAAGAGTGAGATGGTAGGAAATCGGTACAAGCTCTCCCGGTCATGGTTAGCACTGGTCCTGGACCAACTCGACCTTGGTATCTCAAGGCATAGCAATGTATATACGAGGGGAATGTATTTTCAAGTCAGGCAGAAGGTCAGCAGCCAGATGTTGGTGGTCGAGGACGAAGAAGAGGTTGAGCAAGAAGATGCATCATTCGACAAACTGCCCTTTCGCCGTATGCTCTTCCGAATAGCGCCCGGCGGAGCATCCAGCACGTCCCGCACTTTGTATTTCGACGAACCACACGCTTGCTGGCATTTCTTGTCCATCCTTCCCTTTCTAATCGACAATATGGAGTACATACCATAGACCCGGAGACTCTCGGCGGCAGAGGGTGATAGGTCCTAACGCAGCTGTCCGAATCAAGACAGCAGCCGCGAACCCAAGCTCGCCGCTAGACAGATTTCCGCTGGTCAAACCACCATTTCCTAATCGGCTTCTGAGTCGAGTCATTGTAACACTGTTCAACATGCTGGCACCTCCGCCGAAAGACAGGGATACGTGTCCGGGTCGGCTAGACTCATCTTAACCACGGGCGCAGAAAACCCCCGTTGATACCTCTTGGCGCATCACGGAGCACATTTGTGACAGAGCTCGGGAAGAACAGCTGCAACCTCTTCTCGCTCTCTCACATAAAATCAGCTGATTGATGGCCTTACTATCACCACAGGTCTATTCCCGCATCGGACCGACCAACCGTCACTCCTAGCGGACGCTTCAAGCTGGACATGGGTATCATATGCATCCGACGGGCCTTTGACCAAGAAATGGACGTTCCGGTGGAATGTCGACCTTTCTCCAGTCAATGCGTTCTGCAGGTAAGCCAAACGATCTTTCCTATATTTCTACTCTCTTCTCCACGTGGGGTTCATGCTCCCGCCCCACGGAACACTCCATTTGCCATCTCGGGTGTGGAGGAGGTCGACATGCTGGGAAGCCTTCCGATGGAGTGGACTGTGAGTATCCAAGACCAGAGATGACACTCTCCAAAAGCCCTCGATTCAACCTGGAGACCCCGTTTGTCCACAACCTTACCTGGGGGACTTTCGCGTATCCCTACTCTCACGACAATACATGGAGCACGGCACTCTCATGCCCTGCGGTCCACGATGCCAAGATCGGCGTCGCAGCCGGTGCCATATCGGCTCGGCATAGCAATGGCCGAAGCTGGACCACGTTCCGACGGAGCTTCTAACCATTGAGCTCCACAAAGCCTTTCTACCCCGCAAATCTTCCACCGTTGTTTGGGGCATTCTGGAGACAATCTACCAGGGCCAGACTCCAGTCCCGTTTCTCATTCGACAGCAGACCAATCCTTGAATACGAGATGCAACAGCGGAATTCCGCTGCCACCAAGACTGGGACGTCATTGCCTTCCCTGGACTCGAGGGTCCACCATCATACATATCATCATATGGTCGAATTGGTCTCCAAGCCCAAGAAGCGATGGAGAAGATCGTTGCCACTCCTCCTTATATTCTAGGATCATATCCTTCTCCCCCGGTTCATCATTCAAATTATCCCTTTCGACGATTTTTGCTGGCACACCCCTTCTTACACCGGCAATCTTTACAGCGATATCACGCGAGCAGATCTCATTATCGCGTGTTTCGACTTGTCGACCTACATCATGGCGGATAACATCGACAACAAAGGGCTCCCGGCACATAATGAAATCGAGAACCTCAGCCTGCCTCCTACTTCACACAAGTTTAGGTTCTCTGAAAAGTCCAAGCACCAGGATGGTGACGTTGCCTTGAAGCTGTTCACCAATGCAGACGACCTGCATGTTCCAATTGATGAGGCGGAAGAAAAGAAACTCATTCGAAAAGTCGACCTCTTGATCCTTCCGCTGATCGCTGTCAATTACGCCTTTTTCTATATCGACAAGACGACACTGTCATATGCGGCTATATTTGGTATCCGCGATGACCTTCATCTCCATGGGACCCAGTACAGTTGGCTCAGCAGTAAGTTAGAATGGATATGAGTCACCGCAACTTCTTGCTGAGGAACTTCAGGTCTTTTCTACTTTGGATTCCTGGCGTGGGCATTTCCTACCAATTTCCTGATGCAAAGACTTCCATTGGGCAAATACCTTGGCTTCAAGTACGTCGGGTCATCTTCTCGTTCTGTACTGTCCCCTTCAGACAATTGACGCTCAACAGTATATTCATGTGGGGGTTCTTCCTTATGCTGCAGGCTGCTTGTAACAGCTTCGCTACGCTTGGCGTCCTGAGGGCCCTCGCCGGCGCTGCCGAAGCGTGCTCGGATCCCTCTTTCATGCTCATTACTTGTATGTGGTATACTCGGAAAGAGCAGCCACTGCGTATCGGACTATGGTATACGGCAAATGGTCTCGGTATCGCCCTCGGTGGGCTTCTCGGCTACGCCATTGGTCACATCAAAGGGGCGTTGGCATCATGGAGGTACGAGTTTATTATCATCGGTGCGCTATGCTGCACGTGGGGAATCGTCATTGCAATCTTCATGCCTGACAGTCCTGTCACGGCCAAATTCTTGAACGATCGCGAGAAGAGAATTGCCGTTGAGCGTCTTATGGGTAATCAGACTGGGGTGGAATGCAAGGTTTTGAAGGCAAGCAAAGTCCCTGTCGCACTCGAGACTCTGACTGACATGGTTCTTGGGGTCAGCCCTACCAAATTTGGGAAGCCTTCACGGACATCAAACTATACCTGTTCTTCACCTTGGGTGTTGTTGGAAACGTACCAAATGGTGGTATTTCAAACTTTGGCACTCTCATCATCAAAGGTGACTTATGTCGGTCCCCTTCAGCGCAGCTGAAAGCTGACACGATACATAGGTTTTGGCTTTTCAACCCTGGTTACTACGCTCATGCAGATTCCATATGGTGTCTTCATCATCTTGTCGATTTTGACGTGTATGTTTGCCCCTTTTTTAGGCTCCCCCGGGACCAAATGCACTTTTCCCAAGATTTTGCTGCAATCCCTTCTCAAACGCCTTTGCTGACCTAGGGAACTCTTCCAGGTGTCTTTTTAAACGACCGCTTCCCCAACAACAACCGGTGCAAGTTCATATTGCTGTTCCTGTGCCCCAACATCGCCGGCGCCTTTGGGCTTTGCTTTGTCAACGAAAAACACCACGTCGGCCGCTACTTCTGTTACCTGCTCACGGGGCCTTACAACGCAGCCTTTGTGATGATCTTGTCCCTCCAGATTGCGAACACGGCGGGCCACACCAAGGTATGTTGGCTTCAAGCACCTTGTCGTGTGCTGTCGAGCCATTGATCTCTATATACATCCCTTTTTCGGACTGCGTGACTGACAGCGGCAATACAGAAAGTGGTCACCAACGCCGTTCTTTTCTTGGGATATTGTACCGGAAAGTAAGTGTTCCTGCTCTCCGAACATATGCAGGGCTGGACGATTGTCTGGCCCCCCCAAATCTCTGGCATGCTATTGGGCAGCAAGGACTAACTATATTATTTTATTGTCACACAGCATCGCCGGCCCATTTTTCTACAAGACAGATCAAGCGCCCGGCTACACCCTGGGCATTTGGAGCATGATCGTCAGGTACGCTGCACGGCTCCCTTCTCCCAATCAATCACTCATTTTCCCAACCCTAAGCCTCACCGCCTCCGGTGTGTGTGTGTGTGTGTGTTTGTATAACTGAACCGAACCTAACGACGCATGTGTGACCAGCCACCTCCTCGAAGTTTGCGTCATCATCACCTTCTGGATGCTGATGAAGTACGAAAACGCGCGCCGCGACCGGATCCAGGGCCACCAGGAGCGGGATCTCGACGCCACGGCGTTCGGCGACCTGACGGACCGGGAGAACTTGAACTTTCGGTACATCTACTGAGCTGAGCTGGGATGGACGGGATGGGAATGGGCGGACGAAAGGAAGAAAGGCAAGGAGTTGTTGGTTCGCATTTGTGGCAGGCGAAAAAGGTCGAATGTCAATGAGAGAAGAGAGAGAGAGCCAAGGTGTGTGCTTTTGTGACAATACACAGTGGTAGATAACGAAACAATATGACACTACACCACACCACACCACACCACGCGCCTCTTGTCTTGCACTGTATACCAGAACGCGACAGTGTGTTCATATACATGGTATTGACAGACAGTCATACCCAGCATGGAGCACTGAGGTACCTACGTTGGGTAGTTCGGCAGTAATGACCTATCTATCCTATAAATAAATGTATGCGTAGTAAGCACCGAGAAAAAAAGGAAAGAAATCTAAGCCTGAAGAAGCGAGACATACATCAAAAGTCTGTCTAATATGTATTACTTGTTCAGGTACAGTCTCCATTCACTGGGTTGTGTGTGTGTGTGTGTGTGTGTGTGTGTGGTGGCTTAAGCGGAGTGGTGTCTTCCATCTTCCATGTCATATCCCCCCCTCACAAAAAACGAGGCTGAGGCGACGTAGAGCCCCATTGCTATTATTATTGTGTAATTACGAAGTACAGTATTATTCGGACATATTACTAGCCCATAATAATACATGATATGGGGCATGCGAGGCACGGAGGGATGATTAAGCTTGCAGTAGTCTCGCTTAGGTACAGTACTCTGTGCTCTGTACTCGGTACGTTATGCTCCAGTGCAATTCTACTGTTAAACTTAACCACACAGTCCAGCAGAATTTGTTCAACCATTGAAAAAGAACCTTCAATTTCGCCGGCAGAAGCGACGCCAATGAGACGATTAACCCCCTGATCTGCTCCGATGGCCTTGCGTGGGCAACCCCTTATAATGATCTGTGTGTCCATGGTAGATTCCTTTTCTCTTCCCCATCCTAAACCCTCAACACCGAGAAGAATTCGTCGACACGAGACAGCGGCTCTACTTTCTCTGAGACGGCCCTCCACGGACCACCAGTGGCTTCTTACCCGCCTTTTCCTCTCTCTGCGCAGGTTTGCCCGCAGAAGTCTCTTTTGCTGGTGGCTGCTTGGGCGAGGTGAGTTCGGGGCAGCTACTCAGAACAATGGTGCCGAGAGCATCGTGAGTCCTATTCCAGTGACTCGTGAAGCAGCGGTTGGTTATCCTGTGGAGCAAGATTGAAAAATAGGCCGTTGTATAGGGCTTTTCTTCCTCTCGAGTCACTTCCTCGTAGAGACAGGAGCTGTTTGTTGGAGATTTCGCCGCCTTTGCCAGTTCGCAGACGAAGACCTTGCAAAGTGTGAGATATTCGTCCGCCGAGGAGCATTGAGCCTGCAGATATTTGAGCGTCAGCGAGCTGGATGAGATAGGCCCGGGATCGAATCCGTCATACCGGTAAGATATAAAACAACAGCTTTCTCTCGACAGACCGCAGACTTCGAACCTGCTGACGCTCCACATCAGTTGCCAGCCTGTCCAAGCTTGAATTGATCGCAGGTGCCTGTCGCTGACTCAACATGCTTTTCCGGAGAGAGGTGATAAAGCGCCGAATAGGCTCTGGACCAGTTTGGTTGGAGGGTGTCCGGGACAAAGAAGGCAATGGCTTTCCAGCTGCTGCCTCCTGACCCGAATCGGTCATCGCACAGCACTCTCCGACCAAAGAAGGCATGGTTTGTAGCCGGCTGAAGAGGTAAGTGGCAGATGGGCGCTTTGCCTCCTCGCGCTCGAATCCTTGGAGAAGCAAATCGAGGAGTACACGCTGTTCCTCTGCTTCTAATCGTGCAAGAAGGTTCTTCAACCAAGATACAATCTTCTCGTGATCCTCACTGAAATTGAAACGCCAGTCGTCTCCATGTCGGCACCATTTACGAAGTTCCCTCCTACCCATCCCAAACAACTCCGAGGCCATGTCAATGAAACAACAGACCAGGGACCACACATCTTGCGATCGGCCACGGCGAGCATGGCTGATGACCTCGGGTGCTTGGTACACCCAGTCCCCGAGGCAATGGCCTTTAGATGAGCTGGCGCCGAGAAACGAGTTTGATATTCCAAAATCAGTGATGACGGGATTTTCTCCATGGACCAAGATATTCGCAGGTTTGATATCCTTGTGCTTGATTTGATGGTCGTGGATATATCTGAGGCCTGCTGAGAGGCAGCCAAACCACCGCTGCATCACCAGCCGGTCTCTGCCTGTGAGAGGCCCGGCCATGAAATCCTCGAGAGTGCATTCGGCCAGGGGAGACAGCAGCAGATGGCCTTCGTTGTAAGGATGGATGTAGTGACCCAGCATCTGTATGACATGCCAGTGTGGATCGTGCTGGAGCTTCTGGAGGCATTCGATCTCTTTCTCGTACGCCACACGGTTCGCTTCGATTGGGATCCAGCTCGTCTTGCGGGCGAGCTTTTGCCTGTGGAAGTTGACCGGCTGGACGGACCCATTGATTCCACGCCCGATGTACTCTCCTTTCTGTTCTACAGCCTCGATCGCCTCCTGAGCGGAAATATCGCGTTGAAGTACTTTGATGTCCAGAATTTGTGTCATGTCCAAAACCTTCCCAAGGTCAAGGGTTTGATCGTCTCGTTCTGCCAAATCATGATATTTCAGGTAGCGCACCCAGCGTCTTTCGTGGTCTGATAGTCCCAATTGCTCGCGTGAACTATCCATTGGGATTCGGGGCTAGGGCTCGTGGAGAGAAGGAGGACAAGGTCTCGAATGAGGCTAGAGATTGCCGGGCAACGTTTCAGGAGATGTATTTGACACCAAGGCGGAGTGTATGGCCTAGTTTTGTAGGTCATTCTTGGAATCGCTTCCGCCTTATGGCGGTGACAAAGCCAGGCATCGCTACATAGCATCCCAGCTGATCTGAATCCGTTGCAGTTGCAGATCCTATGAATGAGCATGGAATACGTGGACGAGTCGGGCGAGTCGGGAGGAGGTAGCTGCCGCTTTCAGCCATCAACAAACAAGAAACTTGTCGGGACCCCTCCGTCAGGCGACAGGTTGCCTTCCAGGGACAGCTGGCATCGTCAGAGTGGTAGTGGCTGCCTCGAACTCATTGAGTAGGAGGTCATGGAGGTTGCCACGAGTGTATTATGGAGCCAAGATGGGGCGTCGTGCTGGATATGTGATGGGATAGAGGTACTCGGTACAGATGCTTTGACGACCCAATCGCTGACCGTGACCTGCCTTAGTCGTGGCGTTGCACACACATCTCTCTATGTGCGTTTCCCCCTCCAGTCCCCCTTGCCTTTTGGCGAACATTTCCCTGCTGTCTCTCCACTTACAAAGCCATTGATCAGGATCCATATTGGTCCTTCTCGTTGGATGGGAGGTCCCTAGGGACCTCTAAGCTCCAATCTCCAATACCAAAGGGAGCCCAGACCTTTCTACCGAGGAACATCATCCGCCATGACATGACAGATTAACGTTATAACGTTGTCATTTGACGTCCATCACTTATAGGGCTCCCCCACTTCCCCAGGTTCCGCGTGCCAATGACTTCGGCTGTCGAACCCGGGCGAGTGGAGGGGTAAAACGGCAGGGAATATGGTGTTGGACCAGCGGCCCGAGGTTGAAGGTGGACGACCCATTGAGTCAGGGAGGTAGGAGTCGGGGCTGCTGGGAATGGATAGCCGTCAGTGCTGTTTCCAATATAACGTTATACCGTGTCGAAACCGCCATTACCAACCTGTCGGTCGTTCTCTATAAAGTGAAGGGCCAACGTTCGCCGGTCTCAGCTCCCTGCATCATGGCTGGCCTACCCAATCGTCCGTCTGATTTCGATGCCTCGCATACCGAGCAAGAGAGCATTCCAAATGGCACCAGTAGCTCCCTCGCCAACGGGCAACCCACCGAGAACATCCACAATATCAGCACGGATGTTTTGATTGTCGGTGGCGGGTTTGGGGGCATCTATGGCTTGTACCAATTTCGCAAAATGGGGTTGCGGGTGAAGCTCTTCGAAGCTGGCTCGGATTTTGGCGGCACCTGGTATTGGAATCGATACCCGGGGGCCCGTGTCGACAGCGAGACGCCCTACTACAGCCTCTCCATCCCCGAGGTCTACAAGAACTGGCATTTCTCGGAACGCTTTCCAGGTCACCAGGAGCTCCGACGCTACTTCAAGCACATCGACAAGACCCTGGATCTGAGTAAAGACGCATACTTCAACACCGTGGTCGTCGAGGCAAAGTTCTCTACAGACACTGACGAATGGCACGTCCGTACCGACGACGGCGGCCTTGCAAAGTGCAAGTATCTCGTGTTGGCCACGGGATCTTCGTACAAGAAGCATTATCCAGACTTCAAAAACATGGATAAGTTCAAGGGCCGCCTCATCCACTCAGCCCTGTATCCCGAAGAGGGTATCGACGTCACGGGCAAAAAGGTCGGTGTGATCGGGTCCGGAGCAACAGGCGTGCAAATCGTGCAGGAGCTCGCCCGCGAGGACTGTCAGTTGACCACCTTCGTCCGGACTCCGAACCTGGCGCAGCCGATGCAGCAGCGGAAACTCACCAAGGAAGAGCAGGACAACGCAAAGTCCTTCTACCAAGCTTACTTCCAGTCCGCCAAGGAGTGTCTGAGTGGCTTCCCTTACAACCCGGCTACGAAGACCTTCTTCGAAGCCACGCCGGAGGAACGACTCGAGTACTGGGAGGACTTGTGGCAACGGGGCGGGTTCAGTTTCCTGATCTCCAACTACCGCGAGTTCCTGACCAACAAGGAAGTGAACCGGGAATTGTACCAGTTCTGGGCGAAAAAGGTGCGGGCGCGAATGAAGGATCCGTTCAAAAAGGACGTGCTGGCGCCGCTCGAACAGGGCCACTGGTTCGGCACGAAACGGCCCTCGCTGGAACAGGACTACTACGAGATGGTCGACCGCGACAACGTGACGCTGGTGGATCTCAAAGCCACGCCCATCGTCGAGTTCACCGAGACAGGCATCAAGACGACGGACAAGCTGCACGAGTTCGACATCGTCATCCTTGCGACCGGATACGATTCGGTGACGGGCAGTCTGCTGGACATTGGACTGGTCGGCACCGACGGCGTGCCCCTGCGCGAGAAATGGAAGAGCGGAACATATACGTATCTCGGCCTGACCATCCCCAAGATGCCCAACATGTTCATGGTGTATTCGCCGCAGGCCCCGACGAGTTTGTCCAACGGACCGCCGATCATCGAGATGCAGATCGACTGGATTTGCGCCGCCATCAGGAAGATGAAGGAGGAGGGGATCCGGTATATTGATGCGAAACCGGAGGCGGCCGAGAAGTGGCGCGAGGACATTCAGAAGATGAATGCCACCACGCTGTATCCGGAGACGAACAGTTGGTATATGTAAGTGAACGCTGTCCCCTGTCCCTGTTCCCTCTCTGCATCCCCGTTCTTTGCCCGCCAGGATTCTTCTGGCCTCAAAAATATCCCACGTCAAGCTTGTAGTTGAAGGGGGTTGGGCTCTATACGCCAATCAAGGCAACAACACTCATGTCCGCCAGTTTGATTGATTGCTTCTGCCTCTAATTGTGGTTGGTTTGCTGACGCCTTCTCAACCATCACCAGGGGCGCCAACATCCCCGGCAAGCCTCGTGAACAACTCATCTATCTCGCCGGCCTGGACGTGTACAACAAAACCACGAAAGAAGCGCTGAAGACATGGGACGGGTTTGACGTGGTCAAGAAATAGAGTCGGTGTAAATATGTGTGTGTGTGTGTGTGTGTCAGAGAGAGAGAGAGAGAGAGAGAGAGAGAGAGAATATATATGAATGGAATGAACTACTGCTTCTTCAAGACCACCACACAAAACGTAGTGAGAATTGGATATCAATCAATCAGTCCTTTGGCCCCCCGGATTGATTGATTGATTGATTTGTCTAGCATCCTAAGTCTGTCTATAGATCCCAACCACACGCCCCGCTCACGTACATAACCCCCCCACGGGCATTGGTGCGCGCCTCTATGAAACCATCCTTGGCCGAATAAAAATAAATCTAGGCTTACTACGTACTGCTTTGCTGGCATCGATTGGATGGATGGATGGATGGGTGGATGGATCGGGTTGAACCGACAATGAATAACAACGACAGATAACAGCACAGCACAGCACAGCGTCAACTATCCAACCATCCAACCATCCAACCCACATGGAGAAAGAAGGGGGAAGAGGGGGGGAGGAGGAGACGTATATACAGGGCCAATTCCAAAAAAAAAAGAGCAAACAACACACCAACACCGTCGGTCAGCCAATCAGCCAGCCATCAGTAGGTAGGAGGAGCATCTCATATCTCGTTGACCTCCGCGCCAGACGTACATACATGCGGATCTAGTGGCCAAAGTCTTGTCGTGGTTGTCGTTGTCATACGGACGAGAAGACAGAGGTGCGGGAGAGACAGAGAAAAGGTTTTTCTCTCTTTCGCTCTCTCTGTCTTTACTTCGCATGCCCATTCTGCTGCTGCTGCTGCTGCTGCTGACGGCTCTCCTGCGTTTCCTCCAGCCCGAACTCCTTTCGGATCGCGGCGCCCACCCGACTGATGGCCTCGACGATCTTCTCGGCGGGCGCGGCGGCAAAGGTCGTGCGGCAGAACAGCTCGGTGTCACTGCCGCGCTCGGCGCGGAACCACGAGCCCTTGGCGATCAGGACGTTCTGGTCGGCGGCGGCAAGGAAGACGGCGTCCTCGATCTCGAGCAGGGTGGCGTGGTCGACTTGGACGTTGTGGCCGTCGTCGTGCCTCCGCCGGGACCGATACAGCGGGTGCTGGGTCACGTCGATGCGGATCCAGTGGAACATGCCGGCCTTGGGCGGGCTCCAGCTGCAGACCTGGGCGGGGAGGTGTTGCTCGCATGCGTTGACGATGATGTCCCGCCGCCGCGTGTACTCGGCGCGGATGAACATGAGCCACTCGAGAAACCCCCGGTGGCCCCAGTTCTCCTCGAGCAGATTGTACAGGTGCACCATGGCGAAGCCCGCCGGGTTCTGCGCGCTGACCTCGTTGTGCCGGATGAAGCGCTCGATCACCTGCGCGGACCCGGTCACCCAGCCGCAGCGGCTGCCGGGGGCGATGATCTTGGAGAACGAGTCCAGGCGCAACACGCGGCCGGAGGTGTCGAGCGAGAGGAACGACGGGACGAGGTTGCCAAGGAAGTCCGCCACGGGCACCGGCTGGAAGGGCTGCGGCACCGTGTGCGTCTGGCCCGACACGAAGGGTTCCATCTGCAGGAAGTAGTACGGCTCGTCCTCGAGGATGTACAGGTCGTGTTTCTCGGCCACGGCGTAGATCTGTTTGCGGCGCTCCAGCGACTGCGTGCTCGCGGTGGGGTTTTGGCCCGTCGGCACCGTGTAGACGAGGAACGGTTTGGGTGCTTTCCGCGCGGTTTCGTCCCAGGTCGAGAGAATGTGGTCCAGATCGTCCGGAAGCATGCCGTCCGCGTCCATTTTGATCCCCAGCATTTCACATCCCAACGGCGCGACCGTCTCAATCGCGGTGCTGAACGTATACTCCTCGGTGATGACGTAGTGTCCTTTCTCGGTAAACATCCGGAGCGCCATCTCCAGCGCGGACGTGCTGCCCGCCGTCATGCAGATCTCCCAGTCCGAGTACGGCGGGTGGTGGACGATTTCCGTGTGTTCGGTGAGGAAGCGGACGAGGGCGCCGGGGCCCATCGCCTGGCCATAATTGAGCGCGATCGAGAGATCGAGGAGTGCTTTCCCCTGGCGAGCATCGTGCTTGCCCGACGAGAAGACCCGGCCGGACTCATGGGTCTCCACTTCCGAGAACTCCGGCGGGACGGGCAGCTTTGCGCTGAGCTCCTCAAAGGGGAAATAGTCGCTAGACGTTTTTTTGGATCAACAGGGGAGCCCGACGTACGAGAAAACCCGCCCAACAAACCAACTCACCTCGAGGGCAATCCGCCGCAGAGGCTGATGGTCTCGGGCCGGAAATACTTCATGGCACCCTTCAACGAGGACGCCTGTCGCGCCTTGCTCTCGGTCGAGAGACGATGGTCCCACCGCTTGGCCGCTGGCTTTCGGAAGCACCCTTTGCTTTTGAACATGTCCGCGCTCGAGAAGGCGGCTACGGTCGTTGGGGGAGGGCCCGTCTTCTGGCGATGGGGCAGGACATGGTCGACGGTAAAGACTGAATGCGTTTCGCCGCTGGCGAGGACCGGGTCGTCCACCACGAAGGCCGAAGTGTCCGTGACGGCTTCAGGCTCAGCGTGAGGCGCCATGGTCATTGACCTGGTTCAGAGATACTTGGACGTCGAGATATGTGCAATGAGTGAGACTCGACGGTCGTGTGCTGCAGTGCTCACCGACAGTTGGCGAGGTTAATAGCCAAAGAACAAACGAGAGACGGTGCCAACAACGAGGAAGAAAGGAGGAGCAGTGATCCTGTGACGTCCCGACATTCAAGTATTACATACGGCGAACACAGGGAGTGGATGGAAGGGGAGTGATATTAGGTAAATAAAAGGCCAGATTGTGTTTGTTCCGGGTGGACAAGGGGTTGGCTGGTCGAGGAAATGTGCGCTTGAACCAGCTTATCACCGGCCCACCAGCGTGAGGTCCAAGTCGGGCCAATCACGACGCCGCATTATACGGGAGGGCGATCAACCAATTCCACGTGACTGTCCCGTTTAGGAAGAATCTTCTCCGGCGCCATTCCGTATTCCGCATTCCGCCCTATTGTCAACCAAGGGCGTACGGAGTACATGGACCGGAATGACCATCACATTAGAAAGGCTACCTATCATGTACCTGTGGGCGTGGTTTGAGGTTTGCTCTCTCAGTATTGGCCAGCGTCTGTCGATAGTCCTGGGATGTAACACTGCCAGAAAAGCATCCGGAACAACCTCGGTTTTAGGAGAAGTTTTCCAGGATAGTTCCTATCAGGGCAGGTCCTGCAATGCATTGGGCCTCTCGAAACGTGATTCATTCATTCCCCCCTGTCAACCTCTTCATGCAACCCAACCTGTAGCTCTCTCCCTCCCCCGGTTACGTTTCCCATCGCGGTCCGTCTTGATTAAAGCTCCGATGCATTCTGTTGTTCTTCGATGGTCAGACAGCCCGCCACCTTTTCCTACAATTTCCTTCCATGCTCGACACTTGTTCTCATGTACAGTTGACGTGTTTAGTAACGAATAGACCTCCGCTTCTTCCCTTCAACCTTCATTCCCCGTCCCCACCCATCAGTGCCTAGCTGGCCGTGCCCGAGGAATGGGCAGAGAGTACACTCCTGTCCGCTGTTGACCCATGGCTCTCTTGACGTGCGCGGACGTCACCCCCTGCCGGCTCAGTAGTTGTCGCCAGCGATGCCATTGTGGCCGGTGGACACGGCGCCGGGATAGACGTACGGAGCAGGCGCGTCGTGATCGTTGGCATTCATCCCGTGTCCCTGGTTCAATAGTTCGGTGGCATTGTCGGTTTGCCCGCCTGGGTAGCCGGAGGCACCTGGCGCGGCATTGCCCGGGACATTCCCGGGGATGCCACCGCCATACCCGCCGCTGCTGGTAGGTCTGTTCTGGTTCTCGCCCCTTGTGGATTGGGTCTCATCCCAATCAGTTCAATTGTTCAGAATTGATATCCTCGTCGAGCGGACAAAGGAGAGGGAGATTCGGACGACGGGGACACGAGACCAAACTTACTTCGCGATACTTGGACAGATAGATTTTGAGTGCTTCCGCATAGTTCTCGAAGCCCAACGAAGTCATGGCGAACAAGATATCTTCCCCGTTGACCGTCTTGCGCTTCTCCTGTTGACATTTTTCGGACGCTGTGCAACGTTAGCCAACACTTCCCGCCACGGTGTGAAAGCAAAAGGGGGCAATGAGGTGATAAGCCGAAGACAGGGCGCTGACGTACCTTCGCTGGTGATGAACGAGATGAACTCGCTCACGCACTCCTGCATGCATTCTTTCGCTTCCTTGGCGATTTTGGCATTGTCGGGCAAAGCCGTCTTCATGATTCGGGCCACTGGTGCGAAATTGCGGATGTTAGCCTCTGACATTGCGGACATGGAGGAAGACGACGACGACGTGGATCGACCGCCATGGTGCTTGGAGGAGGAGCAGGAGGAGGATGACAATGGCTTGCGTTCATGCTCAGAAGAACTCGAAGGCATGTTGGGGGGATCTTGTCTCGTCGAGCGAGACGTTGATAGCGCTCTCTGAGTGGTCCAGATGCCGCACCAGTCAGCGCTGAGGAGAGCTGGGACGCAAATCATGGCGTGAGGAGGAGAGAAGCAGTAACGAATGAGACGGTGCTGGCTAAAGAGCAGCTGCAGCGTCGCACACTCGGATTCGTACAGAACCCAGGAGCAGCGTAGCTGGCACGCGCGCGCAAAGATGCATGGCTTGTTACGCAAGGGTCGAACAAATCAAATGCCAACACTCTCCGGCTGCGCGTCTGGTGACACCGTCCCCCTCCCTCCAGTGAGAAAATTGTGTGTATGGACTCCAAGACGTCAAGACAAAAAAGACAAAGAGGATGGGCACCAACCATTGGCAATGGGAAGCCATCGGTCCTGTTCCTTGACTTCAAAGTCCAAACCAGCACCTTGAGCACCTTCTTGTTCGCGATCCATATGATCCTGCTCTTCACCAGAATGTGCGTTCTGTTCGACATCGGGCTCTTTGGGTGGGGAGGCCGACATGATGTAGTCCTGTCCTCTGAAGGATAGCCGCAGCGGCCGAATTGCAAGGCGAAGATTGTCTGGCTGGCGGTGATGACCACGTCACACTGGGGCGACACCAATGCAGAATGTCTAATGCTGGCCTGCGTCACTCCCGGCGCAAGAGGTCAGACGATCCTTCTCCTACTCCCGTTTGTGCCCAAAATGATTCCCAGTCGGCACGCTTCCCAGGCTGACGGGGGCGCCGGGGGGCTTTTGGGATGGGGGATGCGTTGTCGTGCAGGCGGACCGTCAAATTCGAGACTTGGGGACCTTTCGGAAGAAAGCGTCGAATGGCTGTGGCGGGATGTGAGGCGGTCTACCACGGGCACGCACGAATGACGAACTTCGCAGGGCAGGGAGGGTTTAGTCGCAGCTTGAAGCGAGAACCGATCGCTGGGAACCTTGGGAGGGAGCACCGGCCAGCAGGATCGTGATGCGAGGCGATGCGACACGCGATGGCTGCGCGGCGATGCTATGCGACTGCTGTGCTATGGCCGGGCGGCGACTTGAGGGCCGGGGGACGGACAGCTGCAGATGAGACGCCTGGGTCGCCGGGTGCTGCAGGTCTAGAACATTGGTCAGTCTCTCTCGGTCAGGCCGCTGGGGGGATGGAGGGGCTTCATTAGCGATACTAGCATTAAGAGACTAGTATCGAGATGCTAAGACGGATGTCTAATGGGCCAGAAAGGGCAGAGATCCAGAATGAGACGACGTACAATGTATGCAATGCGCGAGGGCAAGGTGGGAGAAAGACAGATTGGGAGGAGCGAATGAGTGTTGGTGTTTTGCCGATGGAAGCGGGCGGCGATTGGAGGGTAGTCGGATAGCTGTGAGAATTAAGAATCCTATAGTAGAATAGTCAAGGGGCGTGCTGCAGGTGCCAACATAACAAAAGGATGGACAGGGTTGTAAGGACGATGGATAGTTGGTGGATGAAAGAGCAGTCGATGATGGTTGGATGGATTTTGGTTGGAATAGACTCTTGAAGAGTTGACGGTGGAGAGACTCGGCCGGAAGAGTAGCAGCATCACAGCCAGCAGGCGGCGCAGGGCAGCGCAGGGCAGCGCAGCGCAACGCAGTTGGTGAGGGGCGGGATAAAGTGACCGAGGGGAGAGGGGGGGAGGTTGGGGGGGAGCACGGCGGAGTTCCAGGTTAACTAGAGCTAGTGGGTGGGGTGGCTAGTGGGCATTCTCAGTGCCTGTGCTACACACCTGCCGCCCAGTACTTTAGGTACGGGTGATTTGTCCTGGGCTAGAGCGCCCTATAGCTGTCAAATGGCGCCCCCATCACTGACTCGTAAGGCTACAGTACTTGCTCGTACTCGCCTATTATCACCTCGAGCATGGACAACAAAAGCAACAACAAACAACAGCCACAACAACACCAACAACAACAAACACCACCCCGATCACGCCGCCTATGACTCGGTCCCTCCCCCTTCCTCCCTCTCATTCTACAGTATCATCCACCACCCTCACCACCGTTGCCCCTCGCTTAGACTGCATGACATCTCTCTCGCCTGCCATCTGCAAGCCATCAGCTTCACCTGAACCGTTCCTCTGGTACGCTTCCTCTCTCCTGCCTGCGCTTTCGACAGTCCATTTTCGGGACCATGCCCAAGCCACCTCGGACGCCTTGACAACCACCAACAATTTGCTACCCGGCCCATCACGCCTTGCGTCACTTCCCTCTCCTGACCCGTAGGCCATCGTCCGAGTATGCACCAAATTTAGGACGTCAGGCACTGCAATCCCGGACCACCCGAAGTCGCGGTGAAGCCACCGCCCTCGACTCGTGTGCTCTTGCACCCTTGCAAGAATAAGACCCCAGTGATCCCGTCCCCCAGCCGGATTCGAGCCCTTTCACCTGGTTCATCACCATGAGGCCGCCAAAGTTGGGGAGCGTTGGCGTCTGCTTCAATTTCCCATGAAGTGTGACGGTCACCAACCAGCGGCGAGAGACGCCGTATCACATGAAAGGATCCTGACGCACTCGCCTCACCAATCATCTGCTTCGACACCGGCGCTGGGCCAGCACTCCGAATCTCAGCCTCACTAACGAGAACCCGCTCTCCCGTGCATAAGCGCAAGTAGGACCTCCTACAGCCCAAGAACCCTGCTTCAGTGGCCTGGTGGCCCGTGACGTTGACAACCCCTGGCGGGTGGTCCAAGCAATCGCACAAATGGCAGAAGCCCCAACAATACTCTCGTGCCCACAGAGCCCAGCTTGATGACATATTTGGTGACGGTACACTATTCACCCACTCCTGGTGCTCCCATTAAACTTCCATCCATCGAGATCGGATACAGTTGCAGATATAGGATGCAGAAAACACTGTCACATGGTAGGGTGGGGGAGCCCGCCTCACATTGGGCATACACGCATACGAGTAGGTATGCAGTAGGACATGGGTTGTGCGCTAGGCCTGGTAGCCTCCGCCTGAACACAGACCGTCACATATGATGCAAAGTTGCTGGCCCACGTGCCGACCTGATGTTGTCTCCAGTCATCCGGTGGTGCCTATTGTCGAAGCAACGAACACACACAGTCCTTTGTGCTGCCCACTTTATCGCAAAAAAGAAAGGAAAAAAGAAAAGAAAAGTGACAAGGATATTGCACTTACGCCCAAAAAACTTCAGACGTCAAGAATGGAATGCAGACGGGAGTAGTCATTGAGATTGGTAAATATATCTGTATAATCGATGGTCCTCTCAGCAGTACTGTACGCAGTAACTGTCAAACATGGAAGCATTTTGGCAAATGAAACAAAACGTGGAAGGGGTATCTCTTCAAAACGACAAAGAAAGCAGCATACATGCCGACCCTAATGGAGCCATGCAACATGTCCCGTTCGCTCCCAAGCAACACCCAAGCCTCCGGATCGAAAGAAATTTGCAAGACTGAAAAAAAAAACCGTCAGCTTTATCTCCTTCACTTGAGCACTCATTCCCCAGGGTGACCTGCGCCAGAGGATCGCGGAGTGTACCGCACTGGTTGTTCAACTGGCTCATAAATGATCTCCCGAGTGCTGATTCTTCCACTTCGCGTGCGTGGTTCAAGTGCAACTTCCTCGTGGGAGTAATGATCCAAAGGTGGTCCTCCACTCTGAGCAGGGTGGTCATCGTTGTTACCCGGTCGATATTCTCGAGACCCAGCACGGAAACGGTCGTCGTGTACCACGTGCCGCTCGAGCAAGTATCGCCTGTTGTCCAAGTAATGTGAGCCACCAACCTGCGGGGGTTCGTGGAATCGATCGGGAATATATTCTCCGGCTCGAAGCGTGTACGGCTCTATACTCTGTTCCCTGACTTGGACATATCGCCTTCCGTCATGATCGTAGAAGTATTGAGGCTCGTACGAAGGCATGGCGTAGCCCGAAACCACGTCCCGCATACCCTCATGTTGATCGTAGCGGCTTTGGAGTATTCGTTCGGCATTCTCCCCATATCTGCCACTGTGAGTCAACTCCCAAGTAGTCTCATCCTTGCCATTTGGTGGCACCGGAGGGCTATAGCGGCGTTGCGTTGGAGGGTCGTCAGCCCACGAAGTCGGCTGTTCGAACTCTCTTATCGGCAGAATAGGCCGTTGTCGAGAACTAGGAGAATTAGGAGAGACGCGGTCGATGGTGCGGCGGTCCAAGGCCCCCCAGGCCTCGTGCTGCTGAGGATAAACATCGACCGAGTGTAGTCCCGATACACTGCGGGGTTGCTGTAGGTCAATTGCACGCGCAGTTGCGACAACATCCTTTGTGCTGGCCAAGTTCTCTTCAACCATGGGACTGAAGTTATTGAGGAAATTCTCCACAGCTGCGTTGGTTGCGGCCTGAGTGGTTTCATCTCTCGACGGTTCAATTTCGCTGGTTGGTGCCCTTGATTCTGATGCCATTTCCCGCCGCAAAGAGATACGGCTGGTGGCCTTACTACCCATCCCAGCCTCAGATGTTCCATCGACTGAGGTGTCGCCATCTCTTTGGAGAGACTCCACATACGAGAACCTGGAGGAGCCGTCTCCGTACGAATAAATCATGGAGCTGTGGGAGATGGGCCCTTGTTGCTTCCAGCCTTCCCAGCCGCGTCCAAGCTCGTATGGATGGGGCGGTTCCTCCCGTCGAGTTGCAGGTTTGCGCGAATGACCCCTGCCCATCTCATCGCCAACCCTACCACCAGCATTTGACCCGTGATAGTATTGAACATTAGAGGGCCCGGGACGCGCAAATGTATGGGGATGATATCGAGGCCCATATCCGTCTTCATAGGTATGGCCAGACACTTCAGATCTGGCAATGGAGGAGCCGGCAACGCTACCCCGAATACCTCCCTTCTCAGGCCCTCGGTCGAAGCGCCCGGCGTCGTGCGAGTCCATTCTCATCGACCCTGGATAGCCAAGCTGGTTGATGCGTTGTGATGCATCGGCGGACCACACTGGTGATGATGGAACCAGCGGTGGAAAGGTGTGTAACCCTCTCGGGCCACCCTCAACTGACGACGGCGCGCCGCGAGGATGGAATCCTTGGCGGGCTTGTTGATGTGCTTGCGCACCAGACATGGTGCCGGTGACGTCGAGAGCCCATGGAATGTTTGGATGTGGATCAAAGGGAGGCTCGAGAGGCCAATCGGCTTTCCAGTAAACGATGCTGGTGCCACTGCTGAGCGAGTTTGTATGTTTTGCGGCAAAGTGCTGAATGACAGCCTCGAATGCGAATAGCTTTTGATTGACGTCGCACACGTGGCAGAGAAAAAGTTCTTTGCCGAATCTCTCGGTATGAGGCTTCACAAATTCTTCATAGACCCATTTCAAATCCTCAAGATTCAGTTTCCGGCAGGCAAGTGACTCCTGGTCCTGTGGAAAAGCAGTTCCTTTCAGCTCGAGCATCCGATCTTCCTGAAAAAGGACCTCGTCGAAACGTTGTCGCACGTGACAAAGGACCTCCGCGGCGAATTTGGGTGCCGTTGCCCTAGTCACCGCACGACCATCCGACCACGTCTGATGTATGAAATCTCGAGCAAACTTCTGTAGCTTATCTCTTGCGGGGATTTTCAATTCGAGCCACATGCGGCTTGCATTTGCTTGTGCAACACGTTTCTCCTCTTCCAGTTGCTGGCGCTTTCGGAGTTGTATGTTGGGATCTCGAAGTGCATCTTTGCTCTCTCGATGTTCAGCATCTGCACGTTGCGCTAAGACGCGGTTTCAGTATCTCCCAAGCCTTGTCGTCTAGTGGGCGTGAGATCAGAATTGCAGCCTGAAATGCATCCATGTACGCCAGTGTTGATGGCATTATGGGGGGTTCGAGGGCAAGGCAGCGTCTCTCGATATCCTTTCGGCGTTCAGCCCTTGTCTCTTTTGCCTCTTTCAGACTACGCTCCGTCTTCTGGCGCGGAGGGCGTACTGGGGTTTGCCTAGGCAGCGCTGGATGGGCAGGATGACCGACAGCTGTCAAGAGCTGCTGCCCGGGCGCTGCAGAGAAATGCGGCAAGGGCCATAGTTGGGTTTGAGCCGATAAGTGTCGAGGATCTGCTCGCGATAGCGATTAGTTCTGCTGCAGATGAAACCATTCCACGGATACTATGACCGGCCAGAATGTGACAATCGAAAACAATCAAATAATCGCTTACCTTCGTGAATGCTGGGAGTGGAAATTTCTGATACCACGTTGCCAGAAGAGGGTGTTCCAACTGCCGAGTTCAAGGATGTCTGTTGCACGTTGTCAAATGTTTGCATGAGCTCCGAATGACTCGTCACGCTCATCGACGAAGGAGCGACGCTGCCTCCGTTTTGGCCTACTGCAGTGGAGATCCTCGAAAAGCCACCTTGGAGTTCCCACTGCTCGAAACGTGCGGCGTCGGCGTTGCTTTGCGGACCCAAGGTCTCGAGGCCTTTGTACCATTCTGTGAGTGCAGCGGCTCCCAGCGCCTTTACATCGTGGAACTCGGATTGAAGTTCTTCGAATTGAGGTCGAAAATAGTATTTGACGAGTTCTAAGTGTGGAGGGGGTGACTTTTGCTGAATAACCGAGGACGGAATATAGTTCAACTCCTGTGTCAGGATCACGAAGGGTAGACCGAGTCTTAGTGCCGAATAAGTAGAGACAATCATTTCAGCATCCTGTTGGAGATCAGACACTGTACCAGACCCAGAACAAGAGACCTCACCTTTATTAACCTTGGTTGCAGACAACGACCACAGGTCCTGACTTTGAAAGGCCAGATAGGCCGGACGCCATTCAGTCCAGGCCCGGCATCCCAGGGTTCTGAGGTCGATAGCCGCTGCTGGTGAGTCGCTTTCTTTCCGCAGAATTGGCATGTGCGACCTCGAACGAGTCTCCACATTTCCAGCTCTGTCATTTTGTCCATCGGCTTGGGAAACCCCTGAAGAAACGATCTTCGTGAAGCGGCCCAAACAAGGTCCTGACTCCGCATGGTCAAATGCGTAGACTGGCTAGAGGCAGATTTTTGTGGCAGTAGACATGCGGGATCAAGAAGCGAACGAAAGGAGCGGTTGACACAGATCAACCTTCCAAGAGAAATTGGATCAACAAAAGTGAAAATGTGCTGCAGGATTTCGCAAGGTAGCTGCGCCAACATCAAAGGCTGGCGCAAAGAGGCTCTCTTGGAGCCTTCAGGAGAGCTAAGGACCGGCCTTCCGACTGAAAGCTTTCTCCGTTTACTCCGCTCTGTATCGGCGCCATATGAAATGGCAATTGCAGGACGCGCCACAGCCGGGGGTCCATGCACAAACTCGAGGGCAGAATGATCCGTAAGGTCTGGAGACCTGGGTCTCTTTCGCGAGCCTGTTGAAGGAGCGAAAGGCGATCCATTGTTGAAGTCCATGACACTCAGCTGTGGAGATCATTTGTAGAAGGAAAATAAGAAATACTCAACAGGTTCAATCTGTTTGAGAAACGGAAATATCAGCGCCAGGAGCCGGTAGCCAAGTGTGCTATCCAGTCTGGGTCTGATGAAGAGAAAAGGGAAAACATTTCGAGCAGAGCAATTGCTATGCTCGAAAAACAGGCAGCGCTGCTGTCGCGGTTGCGAGGAGCACGACAAGTCCCGCGGGTGGTGCCACAACCTTTTCCTTGTCGATTCTGTAGGGTTCGGCACGACGAGGAAAAGGGAGTCCAAGAGATATTGTGGTGTCGCCAGCGGAGTTCTCGATCTTCAGAAGCGCTTTTTGTCGACCAAAATCGGACGTGCCCGTCGCAGGTGTGATATTGAGGGTACTCGGACTGAGGGAGCGGCAGTCGAAGGTTGGGCTGTTCAGCGGCGGTTGGTCGCAGAGAGGGTTTTTACCGCAGAGAGGCTGTAAAGTTCGAGTCGGTATGCGCAAACCGATCCTAGGAGCAAGTAAACGAGCATCAATGACCCCCTGTCCTGGCGTTGAACCTGGGCGCTGGATGCGATTGCGGTGGGGATGAGGAGAAGGCGCAGTTGCGAAAGTGAGAGAATCCCGGGAAGGCAACTGCGGTGGAGCATGATCACATGATGCTGTCACGTGGCTGTACGTCCTTAGTGTCTTGGCGTATGCCATCATCCAGCTGCGAAGCTGAGGGACCATCGAACCATCTTGCTGCCCGTACGTACTCCAACTCCCAATGGCACTAACCCACCAGCCAGAGTAAGCTGCCTCTCAATTCTTGATTGTCCACCCTTTCCATTGCTCGACCGGTGTAGTCGACTGCGAGAAGTTCAGCATCCTGCTCCTCTCTGAGGCTCCCCACAGATCGCCCTGAACCAAACCGCAGTTCCATCGAGAGCGACGGGGAAGTAGCAACAGCCACACGGCAGCCTGGTCGATTTGACCTGTCGAACCATCCCTCCTCTTCTGGGTAGCCATGGCTTCTCTCAACACTTCGACAAACGGGCCCTCGATCTCCAAGAGTTATCAGTCAATTGTCAATGCCCCTCCTCCGGCCGGTCCCGCCGCGGCCTCACCCACTTATGGTCAATGGGCAGTCTTCTCAGTCTCGGCTCCTCTTGCGAACGCATTCCAGCAGGACTCGGGTGGTAAAGAGAGCGTGTTAAAGGTACAAAGCACGGGAGAAGGCGAGCTTGTCGATTTGATTGACGAATTCTCCGATGGCCGGATTCAATTTGCTTTTGTAAAGGTCAAGGACTCCAACACGGGTCTTCCGAAAAGTGCCCTCATCGCCTGGTGTGGTGAAGGTGTTCCCGAACGAACAAAAGGTTATTTCACTAGCCACCTGACTACCGTTGCCAAATTGCTGCATGGTTACCACGTCCAGATTACGGCGAGATCAGACCGTGACCTCACCCCCGAGAGCATCATCCAGAAAGTGGCGGATGCCTCAGGCTCCAAATACTCTTCAAGCACCTCTGCCGCAGCTGCCCCTCCTCCAATCGCGGCAACCAAGCCCACCATTGCCTCGAAACCTGTCTTTACGCCTACTCAAAGTACCGGGGTTTCTGCTGGATACAACCCAGTGGTCCGCAATCTTCCCAAAAGAGATGCCAACGTGGATGAGGATGGTTGGGGCACGGACGCTCCTCCAGTCACGAGAACACAACTTGAGAAAGTCGCGCCAGCTTATCAGCCTACAAAGGTCAATATGAGAGACCTTACTTCACAAAAGCCTGCCCCGTCGCCCTTTACTAGCAGCCAAGCTGACGATCGGCCTGATGTTGTCAGAGGTGCATATCAGCCCATCGGGAAGGTTGACATTGCGGCCATTCGACGCCAAGCCAAGGAATCAGGCTCCTTGAAAGACGACAGGCCGGAACCTGTCAAGGGTGCCTATGAGCCTATTGGCAAGGTTGACATCGCAGCCATTCGCGCCAAAGCTCAGAGACCCGAAGAGTCGACCGGCTTTTCGCGGCCACCTCCGGTCTCAAGCCCATCGACCGGACCTTCGGAAGAACCAGAAATGCCGAGTCGTACGCTCGCAGAGAGTTCGGCGGCCTTTTCGCAATGGCCTGAACGTTTGACATCCCTTCCCAAACCCAAGGTAGCCAACAAATTTGGGGGCGGCTCGACTTTTACCGGGACCAAGGCACCGCTTCCCGGCGGTTTCGAGGCAAAACCCGTGGCACCATCTGCGCCTGTGGGCACTGCGAGTAGAACTTTCGCCGACCAGGGTGGAAAGACGCCTGCGCAGCTGTGGGCGGAGAAGAAAGCTCGTGAGCGAGGTATGAGCGGCTCCGGTGAACCCCCAGTTTCGCCTTCTGGTTATACTGGACAGACACCGATCGCATCGCAAAAGAGCGGAGACGGCGGCTGGAAGAGCGGCTACACTGGCAAGACGTGGGCTCCTGTGCAAGTCACCCATACTGGCCGCAGCAGTATTGGCCAACAAGTCACTGGCGAAGGCATGAAGGCCGTCGAAGAAGAAGAGGCTCCAACTTCGCCAATCGGCGGAATCAGCTCGATCCGCGATCGCTTCAGCGGGGCGCCGCCGATGGGAGCTCCAGCGTCTTTTGACCGTGCGCCGCCTCCTGCTCCGGAACCTGATACGAGCAGCAAACCCAACCGTGGCATTCCAATCCCAGGGCTGCCCCTGTCGCAACCTAGAGACGAAGACTCGGCCCCAGCACTACCTCCGCCACCTGCACAACCACGAAGTCCTACGCCCGAGGAAGAGCCCGAGCCGCCTAGTGGCTCTCCTATTCGCGTGGCCATACCTGTTAGCGCCTCGGCAGATGTTGCTGATGCCCATGAGGAGCAACTATCTCCTCCACCTGTGATACCAGCAACTTCCATGGCGCGGGCGATCCCCACTCCAGCGGCAAGAGAAGAGGAAGACGAGCCAGCTCGAGGCCCTGACTTGGGCAGAACGGCGGCAGTGGCTGCGGCAGCCAGCACTCTAGGCGCCGCGGCCGTCGAGTCTGCCCCGGCACCTGTCCCTGCAACTGGAGGTGAGCGTGCTCGGGCGGAGTATGATTACGAGGCAGCCGAGGACAATGAAGTATCACTCCGCGAAGGTAATATTCTTCAATTCTCCCACGGACAGAGTTGTTGCTGACCCTTCTAGGTGAATTGGTGACGGACATTCAACGAATTGACCCAGATTGGTGGTTGGTCAAGAATGAGGCGGGACAGGTGAGTTGGCTTCCTCCAAGGACGAGGAGCAATAATTTTGATGAGGATACAGACCGGGCTTGTACCCAGCAACTATCTCACGCTGGTGGATGACGATGCTGGTGGTGCTCCAGCTCCCGCCCCAGTCGCAGCAGCAGAGCCAGCCCCCCCTGCGCCAGCTCTGGCCGCTGCTGAGGCCAAAGGGGCAACAGCAACAGCACTCTACGACTATGAGGCTGGGGAGGACAACGAGTTGTCATTCCCCGAGAACGCAATCATTCACAATGTGGTAAGTTGGGGCTCAACTGTAGTTTTAACTTTTTTTTGTCCTTTTGAGTGTTTGCTGACGCAAGGGTTCTCAGTCATTTCCCGACGAAGACTGGTGGCATGGCGAGTACAATGGCCACACTGGACTCTTCCCCGCCAACTATACCAAACTGAATGACTGAGTACAAGGAATGCATGGGAAAACTTTTCGGCATTCCGATCATAGACTGTATTTCCGTAGACTCGAACGGAACGAAAAAAAAGTAAAGTATTTTGCTAGCCATGTACGCCGTCCGTGTCTACCACCTGCAGCTCAGACCCAGTGACGCAAGGAAAAGATTTTGATACCAGCATCTTAGCGAATAAATCGTGCTTAGTTGGTAGATGGGCTGCAGGAGGGGCGGAGGGGCGAAGGCGAGGAGCAGATGGTTGGTTCTTGGAGACTCCCAAAAGTTGATCAGGCGGTGACCGTGAAGAGTTTAGAAGCATGCAGTGTCTCTGCAAGCTTTCCCAATTCTGCCACATCTAACGCCTCTTCTTTCCCCAGACAAAATTTTTCATGGATGATCCAAGGCCGAGAGGGCGAAGAAGGGAAAAAAAAGTGACTCGTTCACGCAACAGGGAGAATTTTTCAGGGTGGTCGAGTAATTAGATCGAATCGCAGACGAGTGTAGAAGGAGGGCTCCATGTGAGCTTGCAGCGACCCAGTCAGTAAATAGTACTTCGTAGTCCAGGTAAGGAAGATCAGAATCTATCCTGCCTGGCACACCAACCTCACTCCCCTCAAAGAGAGAGAGACAGACGTGAGAGCAGAGAAAGAAAAACTCTTATCTCTCCATCCCCACTGACGTCTGAGGATCCAAAGTTGCTTGTCTGCGGCTTATCCATTGGCTCCCGCAATCTGAAAGCCTCGCGCACCCGACCGCACTTTTTTTTACTGCCCCCGTCAGTGTTTAGGCCGTTTGGGAATCCCGAGCTTCTTTTCCTTGACTCATTTTATACAACAGTGACCTCTTCAAAGCTCTCAAGGACAGACTTATCCTGAGCTGGTTCCGTGCAGCGACTGAGTGGAACACGCGTTCTATCTCGCCTCGCCTGCCAGCAATCATCCATTGGCTCGACCGCAATGGCCTCGACCGCGCGAGCTCTCCGCCAGGCCAGCGGCATTCTGCTGCGTGACTGTGCTCCTGCCCCCCGACTAACGGCACGACCCTTCTCGACTCGGATACCCTCCCTTGCCGTCCGACAGCACCTCGTAAACCCCAAAACACCCTCGTGGCAGCAAGTCAAGAGATTCACGAGGTCTACAAAACGACGTGCCCTGGTCCAAGAGGCCCCCCGCCCGGAGGCCTACTTGGAAAGCGGTGCCATTGAGTACGGGAAGAACTTGGTCGACGTCAAGAAGGTCATAGTCATTGGCAGTGGTGGTCTGAGTATCGGACAGGCTGGAGAATTCGACTATTCTGGTACGTATCTGCAGGACAGCCAGTTATGACTCAGTCCGATACAAAATTCTCCCCGGCCATACTTGCCCGGTGGCATGTGTTGGTAGCAGTCTGGGATCACGAGCTCACAGCTGCGACAGGGTCACAAGCGTTGAAAGCACTCAAAGAAGCTGGCGTCAAATCAATCCTCATTAATCCCAACATTGCGACGATTCAGACCGATCACAAGCTCGCCGACGAGGTCTACTACCTTCCAGTCACCCCCGAATATGTGACCTACGTTATCGAGAGGGAGAGGCCGGATGGCATTCTCCTCACGTTTGGAGGCCAGACAGGCCTCAATTTGGGTGTCAACATGAACAAGATGGGCATATTCGATCGCTATGGTGTCAAGGTGCTAGGAACGAGTATCAAGACTCTCGAGACCAGCGAAGACCGAGACCTATTTGCCAAGGCCCTCAACGAGATCAACATCCCCATTGCCCAGTCCATCGCTGTCGGCACCGTCGAGGAAGCCCTTGACGCGGCTGAGAAGGTTGGATATCCCATCATCGTCCGCTCAGCTTATGCTCTGGGTGGTCTGGGGTCGGGTTTTGCCAACAATCCCGAGGAGCTGAGCAACCTGGCTTCCCGATCTCTGTCTCTGTCCCCCCAGATCCTGGTGGAGAAGTCTCTGAAAGGCTGGAAAGAAGTCGAGTACGAGGTGGTCCGTGACGCCGAGGACAATTGTATCACCGTCTGCAACATGGAGAACTTTGACCCCCTTGGTATCCACACGGGAGACAGCATTGTGGTTGCCCCGAGCCAGACCCTGAGTGATGAAGAATATCATATGCTGCGAACAGCGGCCATCAAGATCGTCCGTCACCTGGGAGTGGTTGGTGAATGCAACGTCCAATACGCACTCCAACCCGACGGCCTCGACTACCGCGTCATTGAAGTCAACGCTCGTCTTTCTCGCTCCTCCGCGCTCGCCTCCAAGGCAACCGGTTATCCTCTGGCTTACACCGCCGCGAAGATTGGCCTGGGACACACTCTTCCGGAGCTGCCCAACGCCGTCACCAAGACCACCACCGCCAACTTCGAGCCGAGCTTGGATTATATCGTGGTCAAGATTCCCCGTTGGGATCTGTCCAAGTTCCAGCATGTGAAGCGTGACATTGGAAGTGCCATGAAGTCTGTGGGAGAAGTCATGGCCATCGGTCGCACGTTTGAAGAGTCATTCCAGAAAGCCATTCGGCAGGTCGATCCCCGCTATGTGGGATTTCAAGGGGACAAATTCGACGACCTGGACGACGTGCTTCGCAATCCCACCGACCGAAGGTGGCTGGCTGTCGGGCAAGCCATGATCCACGAGAATTACTCGGTGGACAAGATTCACGACCTGACCAAGATTGACAAGTGGTTCCTCCACAAACTGCAGAATCTCAAAGATACCATGACGGAAATCCAAGAGATCGGGTCTCTCAACGGCATCAAGCACGAGCTGATGCTGAAGGCGAAGAAGCAAGGCTTTTCCGACAAGCAGATCGCAATGTACGTCAACTCTACCGAAGGAGAAGTCCGAGCTCGTCGACAGAAATTCGGGATTCGACCATGGGTGAAGAAGATCGATACGCTTGCCGCCGAGTTTCCCGCCGACACTAACTACCTGTACACCACATACAACGCCTCGTCTCACGATGTCACCTTCGAAGACAAAGGTACCATCATTCTGGGGTCTGGGGTCTACCGAATTGGGTCTTCTGTCGAATTCGATTGGTGCGCCGTCAATGCAACACTGTCTCTCCGCAGCATGGGACAGAAGACAGTGATGATCAATGTAAGTGAACTTCTCTGGATGGACACTGGCTGTGCCCGCTCTTTGGTTGGACGTCAGATGTTATTTTCTTGCCTTTCTTGCTTTTAGTTCTTTTACCAAAGGCATACACTGATTGACGTCAAAGTACAACCCGGAAACTTTCTCCACTGATTTCGACACAGCCGATAAGCTCTACTTCGAAGAGCTATCCTACGAACGGGTGATGGATATCTACGAGCTTGAGGGTGCTTCGGGTGTTGTTGTCAGCGTGGGAGGCCAGCTTCCGCAAAACATTGCGCTGCGGCTCCAGGAGGAAGGCAAGGCGCACGTGCTTGGCACCAACCCCGTGGACATCGACAAGGCCGAAGATCGTCACAAGTTCTCACAGATCCTGGACTCAATCGGCGTTGATCAACCGGCGTGGAAAGAGTTGACCTCGGTAGCAGAGGCCGAATCTTTTGCTGATTCGGTGGGATACCCTGTCCTTGTCCGACCGTCGTATGTTCTTTCCGGTGCTGCCATGTCCGTCATCTACACGCAGGAAGAGCTGAAGGATAAATTGGAGTCGGCCTCGGCGGTTTCCCCTGATCATCCCGTTGTGATTACGAAATTCATCGAGGGCGCCCAGGAAATCGACGTCGACGCCGTGGCATCGAAGGGAGAACTGATTCTGCACGCTGTGTCTGAACACGTCGAAGCCGCGGGCGTCCATTCCGGCGATGCCACCCTCGTTCTTCCTCCCGTCAACCTTGACGAGAAAGTCATGGCGCGTGTCAAGGAGATCGCGCAGAAGGTCGCCAAGGCCTGGAATATCACGGGGCCTTTTAACATGCAGATCATCAAGGCTGATGCCCCTGGAGAAGAGCCTGCGCTCAAGGTCATCGAGTGCAATCTTCGCGCTTCTCGGTCGTTTCCATTTGTCAGCAAAGTGCTTGGGACCAACTTCATTGACGTTGCAACCAAAGCATTGGTTGGCCAGGACGTCCCAGAGCCTCGAGATCTCATGGCGGAAAAGCGCGACTACCTAGCCACCAAAGTTCCACAATTCTCCTGGACTCGGTTGGCGGGCGCCGATCCTTTCCTTGGTGTTGAGATGAGCAGCACCGGTGAGATTGCGTGCTTTGGAAAAGACCTGATCGAGGCCTACTGGGCATCCCTTCAGTCCACCATGAACTTCCGTATGCCTGAACCGGGTGAGGGAATCCTGCTCGGCGGATCCACCGAACTTCCCGAGCTTCCCAAGATTGTGGAATATCTCCAACCCTTGGGTTACAAGTTCTATGCGGCAAGCCAGACCGTGAAGGAGCACTTGGAGAAGTCTGGCGCCTCGATTGAGGTGATTGAGTTCCCAACGACGGACAAGAACAAGCTTCGACAGGTGTTCCAAAAGTACGACATCAGGGGGGTCTTCAACCTTGCCAAGACTCGAGGCAAGACATTGGTGGACGAAGACTACGTGATGAGAAGGAACGCTGTGGACTTTGGAGTCCCATTGTTCATGGAGCCCAAGGTACGACCAACTCACCTATTGCCCTTGTGAGATCGTGGAACTAACCCAAACACCTACAGACTGCTTTGCTGTTCGCTCAATGCATGAATGCGAAGCTTCCTCGACAAGAAGGAACCATTCCTCCCGAGGTCAAGAGCTGGCGCGAATTCGCCGGTTCGAAGATGATGTAATACAGGGAGTCAAGAATACAATACACGATACAAAGGCGACGGAGCCTCGGTGGATTTGACGTGACTACAGAGGGACATTTTGGGTCGCAATTGCGAAAGAGCTAAACAAGTCTACAGCAGACGCAAAAGTGTTTTTTTAGACCGCAGAGGATGGGCGCCAGGGCATGGTGACTATCGGGAAAGGAAAACGAGTCCGTCTCGAGGCGAGGCGAGCTCAGCTGTTCGGAGGAGAAGCAGATTTGAATGGTGCTCTCTGACGGAGGCCACAGAACAAAGAGACAAAGACACAACAACGAATGGGCCAGGTGAGCGTGAAGAAGAGATATATATCTCTGACTTAGAGTATTTATTTACTGGTTGACGAGCATCGACGGAGTTAAAATATGGCGCACTCTCCTGTACTGTACTGTGCACACACGACATTTGAAGCTTCGTCCTCGTTCTTGTCGTCAACGTCGTCGTCGTCCCCAAAGCGGCCCTGGCGGAGTCTTGGACAGTCCGCGGAAATGCCTTGCTTCCTAAACGTTTGTTTATTTGTTTGCCTCTCTCTCTCTCTCTCTCTCTCTCTCTCTCTCTCACTCACACACATGCCCTAGGACATTTGTCATATCTCTCATCTTTCTTTCCTTGACGACGAGTCCACACTGCCTGCTGCTGCTGCTGCTGCTGATCTCCTTTGTTTCCCAAGCAAGTGTCGGTTACATCATTCATTAACATATCATTCATTCATACTATCAACAAACTACTGCTGAGGTACTTACTAGACAACTACTAAACTACTACGACTACTACGACTAGACCAGACACTATGTATTAACTAGACTACAGCAACTCCTCCTGGCCTCCCCCGTACAGGTCAAAGGGGATGCTGCTCAGCCAGGACATGTCGCCGCCGAGGAGATCGAGGTTGAGGTCGAAGTCAAGATTGTTATTGTTGTTGTGTTGTTGCTGTTGTAGTTGAAGCCGAAGCCGGTTGTTGCTGCTGCTGTTGTCGATGACGACGACGACGTGATGAGGTCCGCCAGCACGCCGCCCGTCGTTTCGAACAGGCGTCCGCCGTCGCCGTCGCCGCGGCCGCTGCTGAGCATGAATGGGACCGATGCCGGCGCCGCAGAAGCCGCTGTTGCTGCAGCTCCAGCTTGTCCGTCGGGAGGCACGGTGGATGTGGAGGTGGCGGTGATGGAGGTTCTGGATAGTGGTGCTGGTGCTGGTGCGGCGGGGTGGGGAATGGTATTATTGGTGCTGCTGCTAGCAAGACGCGTGGTAGGCGCTGGAGTAACTGTACTGCTGATGTTGGGTTGGCCATGGTTGAACGGCGTCCATGCCCGGGAGCTTTCCGTCGTGATTTGGGGGTAGACATCACCACTATCGTCGGCGTTTGGCAGGAGACTTGACCCTCGCACATTCTCACCCCGGATGTTATTGTTGCTGCCGCGCGGTGTCTGCGTCATGCCCGCCGCCCTCGTGGCCTGATTCGCCGGCTGGACGTGAACTCCCTGACGTGGCTGATGGCGGGGAGGGAGCTGGTCGAACAGCAGCGCAATGGCCGCGGCACACCGTTTGGCGTGTTTGCCGAAGCTGCCGTATCTCTGCAGCGCAGCCGTCGCAGTCCGGGCGGCGCCCATGATCACCTCGTCGCCGCCCACCTCCGCCTCGACCGCGGGATGGAGCCGGGCGGCGACGAGCACCGTGGCCGCGGTGTACAGGTAGAAAATGCTGTACCACCACGCCGGCAGGATCTCGTCGAGAAGCTCCAAACGGCATTCGGCGTGGACCCGGCCGAACAGGTCGACCGTGTTCAGAGCGCTCGTCGCACACATGACCGAGCACTGCAGGGCGAGCTTGCGCGCGAGGGTGTCTTCGCCGACGACTAGCGGGTCGTCGTCGTTCGGGCTCGACATGCAGAAGCGGGACAGGACCGGCCGGAAGAGCAGGGTCCGAATGTGGCAGTAGCGGAGATAGAGCACCCTGGCCTGGCGGGCGTGAATCACATTGACGCTGTCAGCCGCGGGGTGAGAATGCCGCAGGTGGAAGGGCAGACGTCGTCGCCACATCCAGTACTTGCTGTCCATTTCCAGCACGGTCCCCGCCGCTTTGGCGCCGAGGCTGCCGCCAAAATACCGCGTGTAGCTGTCCTCTGGGTCCGAGGCCTGTGCGGACGTGGGGCTGTAGAGGGCGGCGAGCGTCTCGCTCATGGCTTCATAGAGCTTGAGCGATTCGATAAAGAAGTGGAGATCTGGAGAAGACGGCTGGTACACGTAGCGCTCTCGGTAGCAGGAGCATTCGCTCGAGTCGGGATGAGGCAGAGGCCGAGGGACTGAAGCCGCCGCTTGGGGAGTGATGATTCCGGGACGGCCGAAGGTCATGGACAGCGTCCGGTCCATCAGCACACAGCCGTGCCAGACCTTGCGGAGGAAGTCGTTTGGCTTGCCACTGGACGTCCGAGCACTGGTGGAGGGCAGGTCGAGTCCGAGACTTTGAGCGATCCGGATGGCCAGCCCGGCGAACAGCCAGCACTGCTGTGGCTCGCTGGTGCTCTGGAGGTACTGCGCGAGGAGAAGGAGGCACTGGACGGTGTGCACCGAGCGGTGTTGCAGGAATTCGAGGTCGAAATGAACCAGCGCGCGTTTATAGAAGCCCTCACCGGAACTGACGCGATCGGGAGGACGGATGGACGAGTCCAAGATGCAGGAAATCGCGAAGATGGCGTTGAGAAGACAGATAAAGCAGACCTCGTCGTCCATGGTCGGATTGCCGGTCCAGAGAGTCTGGTACTTGCCCATAAAATCCTCCTTGTCCACGAAGGGATAGAGGGGATCGACAATCTTCCAATATACCTCCAGCAGACGGTCTGCCTGTTGCCTTGGAGGAAGGACATAGTCGGGAGTCTTGAACCGTCTTTGTCGCTGCGAGCCGGTGGCTCTCGGTGACACTGTTGAGGATGCGTGCTGGGCCGAGTCTGGGGTCAGTTGCTGGTCCAGGGCAGCTTTGATGCGGTTCATGAAGCTCGCGGCGCTCGAATCGCCCACGACACCCACTTCGCCCGGTTCTCCTTCGTCCATCAGCCCCATCATTGCATTTGCGCCACCACTGTCATGGTGTCGGTCGGATGTCGATTGAGGCGTGGAGGGTTGGTCGGTGCTCTCGGGATGAGTCGATCGTCGACCCGACGACCTTTCCAGTTCATCGATGCGGGACTGGAGACGCATGATCTCTAGCTTGGAGGCTCCGATACTGCGCGTCTTTCTCAAGCCCCATTCGCAACGAGCCGTGGCGCCGTATTTCCGCTCGCAAGGTCGGCAGAGCGGTTTCCGCCCGTCGCACTTGATCTTCTTCTCCCTGCATTGGTCGCAGGCGGCAGCAACCTTCTGTCTCTTTGCAGGCCTGTCATTGCCGGGGTTGACTTCGGATTCATATTCCTGAAACGGGGAAATGGACGACAGGCCTGAGCTTTCGGCGGACATTGCTGTGAACTTGTCTCCCTCGGCGAGTCTAATATCTCTGGGGAGACGGCGGTGGGTTCTCCATCCCGCCCCTAATATTTCTTCATGCTAGATTGGTTAAGAAGTTTCGTTACGAGGCACCGAGGGAAGCGAAGAGGCGGGGAGATGCGAGGGATGACCACGGCGGAGCAATCGGAGTTCGGCGCAGAATCTATCCGGTCTACCGTAGTCTCTCTCTACAGAATACTGCACACAGCCACCAGCATGGCGGATGGTGCATCTCCATAGATATACGAGGTACTCTGTATGACGATCTGAACATGTTGCCCTCAACGGTTCCCGACTCATCTGAGATGCGCGTCAGGGAGGGAACTCACAAAGAGTGAATGTGTGACAAAGACCACACCAGGGAAAAATCCTTTTCTTTTCAGGATGGAGAGGGATGCTTGTTCGAGAGAAGCGAAAAACGAGGGCCCACTGTATCGTGTTCCCTGTCAGTTGCAGTAGTAGCAAACAAAGCCCTGTGGAAAAGAAAAATGTATAGCGCAGTAAACATGACTGGCCAGCTGGTTTAGTTTGACGTCGACACAAAAGAGGTATCACGACGTGTTCCTTACTGGGCCAAGTGGAAGAGAGTCGAGAAGTGAGGAAGCAAACAGAGTTTACCATATAGAGCACCCATAATGTCTTCCGTCACAAACATTGACCAGATGAGTTGACAGGACGTCAAAGAAGTTATATGTCCAGTGGGAAAAATGGGTTAAAGCGGCAGCACTCACCTGTATGTTCTGTACGTAAGCTGCACGTGAGTTCGCGCATCTTCAATGCCGACGTTGCCCGCGTCCAACAAGCTTCGTTCCTCCTCCACGTCGGGTCAACGATGAGTGCGCAGGACGACGACTCGACGCCACCCACCGCTCGCCGGAGAGTCAAGCAGGATGGTCAACACAGCCGCGGCGACGAGAACGAGAACAAGAACAAGAAGCATGTCCAGAATGGAGCACCGACGACGTCTCCTGCCCCGAAGCCCTCATCCTCATCCTCACCGTCAATCACCACCTCCTCGCCATCAACATCAACATCCGTCTTCACCCTGCCGTCCATCCTCCAAATCTGGGCGCCGACGCTTATGCTCATCTTCGGCGGGTGCTGCTCCAACGTCTACACCCTCGAGTCCATCATCCACGCCTCTCCCTCGTCCGGCTCGCTGATCACGGCGTTCCAATTCCTCCTCGTGGCCCTCTTCACCCTACCACGCCACTTCTCCCCGCGCCGGGGCCTGCGCAACCTCTACCTGAAAGAACGCAACATCCCCCTCCGCAAATGGGCCGTCTACACCGCCTACTTCCTGGCCATCAACATCCTGAACAACAAGGCATTCAAGTACCGCATCAGCATCCCGCTGCACATCATCCTGCGCAGCGCGGGGCCCGTCACGACCATGCTGGCGGGCCGCATCTGGAAGGGCCGCCGGTACCCCGCGCAGAAGGTCGTGGCCGTCATGTTGCTGTTCGGTGGGGTGGTGTGGGCGGCGTTTGCGGACTCGTGGGCCAAGCAGGTCGACATCGGCGCCGCGGTCGAAGAGTTGGATGATTACCGTCCGACGACGTCCACTGCTGGTTCGGTGTTCTCGTCGCAAGCCCCCGGCTTCGTGCTGCTGGCGTCCGCCCTTGTCCTGTCGGCGTGTATGGGCCTGTACACCGACGACATGTACGCCACGTACGGCCGGTCCGGGGAGATCACGGCCGAGACGCTGTTCTACAGCCACTCGATGTCGCTGCCGTACTTCGCCAGCCAGATCCGGCCGCTGTTTTTTGAGTTCGTGAACCTCCTGGCCGTGCCGGGCCACGACATCAATAACAACCACCCGTCCAAGACGGACGCACCTGTGTGGTCGCCGTTGTCGTCGTGGCTCGACGCCCTCACCGCCGCCCTGCCCCGTCCGCTCGTCCTCCTCCTGCTCAACGCCGCGACGCAGTTCCTGTGCATCGTCGGCGTCAACCGTCTCTCGGCCCAGTCGTCCTCGCTCACCGTCTCCATCGTCCTCAACGTCCGTAAACTCGTCAGCCTGCTCTTGAGCATTTGGCTGTTCGGCAATCAACTGCCCACCGGCGTCGTTATGGGGGCCGTCATCGTGTTCGTGGGCGGCGGACTGTACGCCCTCCCGAGCCCGAAAGGAGCGAAGCCGTCCATGACGACGACAGACACGGACAAGATGGAAACGAAGACGAAGAAGACGCGATGATCTCAGCTGCTGCCCCGTACAGACAGACGTGAGAACATGTACGATCTATATGGTTAATGAAATGAACTGGGCCAGGCCCGGCATCCTGGGGTATGTAATAAATGTGGTCCTCGAGGTTCGGTGACCCCCAGAGCACCGCGGAGGCGGAAGCGGAAGCGCAAGCAACGGTATATATAGAGACTAGAATAGAAGAAATAGACTTCAATCAGGCATATTCTGCAGAGCAAAAAAGAACGCAGAAAGGCAGAGAGAGAGAGAGAGTGTGTGTGTGTGTGTGTGTGACAGCACGTATTGAATGAAAAAGAACCAGAAGCCTGGGCTGCTCTTTGGCGCCGATGATGCTTTGTTTTTCCATCTTCTGTTCTTTCCAATGTTGCATGCATATACATGAGATCTTGATTCAAGCGAGCCATCCAACTTTTCTCCCAATGATCAGGAAGCCCCGTTTTTCCTTTTTCTCGTCTGCTGGCCCATCTTCATTGTACTTTCTAAAATATACGACGCCCTGGCATGTCCATCACCTTTTCATCCTCGGCAAGATTATACCTGAGTCTTGCGGCCCCAGCTCCCGTCTCCGAACCGCTGTCCGGCACCGGCCATGTCCTCCATGACCTCATTGAAAGCCTCTGCCACCCTCTCCTTCACTTGGTTTCTGTCCCACTCGCTTCTCGTCCTCCAGATCGTATCCATCAACACGCTGTTCACTTGCTCCAATTGTTCCACGGACAGACCGCTAGTTTGATCCGTGATTTCGGTGTGCAGATTCTCCAGCGCACGTTCCTCGACCTGAATCAAGTTCGGCCGGGAAGGCGGTGGCGGTGATGTTTGCTGTGGGGAGTCGGAAGGATTGAGAAGGTCGTCGATGCGGCTGGTGTTGGAATGCCGCTGAGACCGCGCCTCAGCAGGAGGAGGCATGGTTATGGAATGCTGTGAGCTGGGGTTCTGATTCACATCTTGTGGTGAGGAGGGGCGGCCGCCAGCAAGAGGCTGTGATTGCGAGTATTGCCCTGTCGAGACGTTCAATGTTAGCTTATCGCAAATTTGAGAATATTGGGCGATCTGGACCAGGATCTTGCAAAACAAGTGCACGTACCTTGGGTAGACGGGATCTGACTACCCCCAGCAGACCGCCTCTCTTCAAATGGATAGAGATCAGGGCCCGAGTCCTGGTGAATCTCTTGCTGCGTGTTGTCGGATGATGTCTTCTTCTCATTAGGTGACTGAGTTGTGCTCGCATCGTTCTGAAATTCCCCTGGATGACTCCCGTGAGGCATAGGCGTAAAGGCTCCGGTCTGGGAGGGCGGTGCTGACATTCCCGATTCCTCCATGAGTTTTTGCGAGGGAGCAGTGTACGCATGCCACGGTCGTGTCTGGGCAGAGGCACGCGCACCAAAAGAGCTCGTCGTGTGCGTGTGCTGCGTCTCATTGCTCTTGTTGTGAGAAGATGGGTGCGAGTCTGCACCTCCCATGGGGGTGTCACCTTGCCCATCCAGCTCGTGCCCGTTGGTGTGGGATCCATTGGTCAACTGTTCTGAATTATTATGGCTGAGATGGATGCCGTTCGTGACAATCGATTCGGTGGATTTGTCCTGAGCGGATGCCGGGGCAAGCCGCTGAGCAAAGTCGTTCCGGCGCTGCATGGGCTCACCCAGCAAGATGGGGCCAGTGTCATTTGTGGTCGTTGTCCCCGAAGCATGGGGAACATTGGTCACATTGAGAGGTGGAGGCATTTTGTTTTGCTCGGCCTTCTCCAAAGCCGCTCGTTCCCGTTCCAATTCTCGTTGGTAGACACGTTCGCACTCTGCAGTCAGGGCGGGTTCACTGAATTCCAAGGACCCAATGTCGACCTCGACATTGGCCAACAGCTCATTGGCCTTGAGCAGTCGGTCTTCATCACCAATGGTTTTTGCATCTTTGGCCAAGCGCTTGATGTCTGCCAGAAAGTCCTTCGGGCGCTTGTAGTATCCATTGCTCAGACGCTTCTCGATGGTCACAGAGTCCAGGTTGTAATAGAAGTGTCCATTGGCCTGATCGATCAGACCCGGCACACCATGGGCGTCCTTCCCAATCTCAAATGGCCGGTAAGAAGCTCTGGCCAGAATTTCAGTGTGCAAGTCAGACGTCACGGTACCCGGATCGGCTTCGTCGTAGAGGTAGCGAATGTGGCTTTCATCGATAACGCCCGTTCGGAACTTCTTGTATTTGGTCCTGATCTGATCCATGATAGGCTGTAGTCGAATCTTGAGCATGTTCAGAGTTTGTCGGTCACGCTTCTTTTGTAGTTTGAGCTCCTCCTTGCTTAAGGTAGTCTGTGATTTCTCTGGTTCAGGCGGCACCACGGCCAGCTTCTCCAATTCACGTTTCTTCCGGCGCTTCGGATCTGGTTCTGGGAAATCATCTGGCGCGGTGCGAATGTACTCTTTGATGCCGTTGAAGAATTTAGACCTTTCTTCGTGATTGGGCTCCCTCAGCTGGAACTGGTTCTTCTTCGAGTATCCAAAGAATTCGCGGCGCATGTTGTCCTCCATATCATCGTAATCGCCCTCTGCGACTCCGAGCAATAGAACCGGATCGGTGGGTTTGATCGATCTCAAAAGGCCCACAAATGTAGAGATCACAGTCTGGCCAACTGTGTTGTACCACTCCTGCACATTGGGAATGTAGATGACGCTCGGTTTGTGTATTTTGATTTCAGAAAACAGCCGGATGACCGTGGCCTCGGGCGAACTCGCCGTGTCGCTAAACAATGTCGGGACATCAAAGGCCTGGACGTGGAGACCTTCAAAGTGGTTGAGCAGAGCAGCGGCGACATATTGTTGCCCCATGCCCCTCTTGCCATGTATCAGCAGTCTGGGACGAAAAACTCTAGTAGTCTCGAATGTTTGTTGCATCTTTTCTCGGCCGAAACTATGACCGTTGGCAGCATCTTCGTATTGAGCCTCTTCAAGGGCTGTGAGTCTCTTCCGTTGTGGCAGTATCTCTGCCAGGAGTTCCTTGATATGGTCCAGCTGGAACCGCAACAGAGGCGCCACACTAGGCGGCAGTGGAGCAGCACCGGATGACGCCGATCGCTCCGACGAAGGTGTCATCTTTTTGAGGGATATCATGAAGTCCTTGGGCGTGACTTCTATCTTTTGGGGGTCAATGGCGAGTTTCTCGTTGGAATTGTAGATCTGAGGGTAGTGACGCTGCACCGCATTCAGCGCAGCTTCTGTGCACAGAGCACGCAGGTCCGCACCACCATACCCCTTGGTCAATTCCGCCAACTCGTCCTTGATAGTCTCGGGCAGAGGCGGGTCCCAGCCCTTCGTGTGAATGTTAATGATGGATCTTCTGGCTTCAGTGCCTGGCAAGGGAAAGTAGAACTCTCGATCAAATCTACCAGGTCTTCGTAATGCGGGATCAATGGAATCGGGCCGATTGGTAGCACCGATAACAATGACCTGCCCTCGCCCGTCCATCCCATCCATCAGTGCTAGCAGCGTTGAAACGATAGAGGCATGAATCTGCTCCTGCTTGCTTGACCGTACAGGAGCGAGACCATCGATCTCATCGAAGAATATGATGCTGGGTTGATTCTTCCGAGCTTCTTCGAAGAGCAGCCGCAATTGTCTTTCAGCCTCGCCAACCCATTTGCTCAGCGCATCGGCACCTTTGCGCATATAGAATGTGACTTTCTTGCCTTGAGAGCTGACACTGGTAGCCAACGCTCGCGCGAGCAGAGTCTTACCTGTCCCCGGCGGACCGTGGAACAGAACTCCACGGGGAGGAGTGATCTTGAACCGCATGAAAATCTCCGGGTAAAGCAAAGGCAGAGCGACCATCTCCTTCAGCTGATCGATATGCCCTTGCAGACCACCCACATTGTCGAAAGTCACGTTCTGGTCGACTCCGAGAGGATCGGCGTCCGCCAGGGCCTGCTTGTCCTTGATCTTGCCGAGATTGGCCGGAGTGCCAGCTGCAGCCTGGGCCGGATCCGCGTTGAGAGTTTGGGGGAAGAGGTTGAAGCCACCTCCAGTCGTCGGAGTCATCCCTACTGTACCACCCAGAGCCTTGGGCTGTTTCATCGTTTCATCGTCACTGCTGTCGGAATCAACGCCGCCTTGAGCCCTTTGAGGGCCGCCTCCCAGCACAGGTGGCAGGCCGCCGCCACCACCGAATGGGCCGTAAGTATTGAAGAGGCTCCGGTTCCAACCCCCACCACCGGTCTTTCGAGCCCGGGCCGAAGGTGATGGAGCGGCCTCTTCCTCCTCCTCGAGCGGAGCGAGATTCCTGAGGAGGTCGTAGTTGGGCTTCTTCCCGCCTCGTCTTCCACGGGGCTCAAAGACGATTTCTTCCTCTTCTCTACCACGCCTTGACTTCCTGCCGTCGCGCTTCAGCTCTGCGACCTCTGCAGCTAGATCGTCGTCGCTCACTTCGGATCGTTGGCGAGACGCCGCTTGACTTCGAAGGCGTCTGGATCTTCGACCTTGGTTTTCACTTTCATAGTCGTCATCGTCGCCATTCTTTTTGCGAGGGGATGCGTTGGACTCGCTAGAGCTCGATAGGTCGTCTTGGTTGGCGACTTCGTCTTCCGGATGAAAATCACTGCTCTCATCCAGAGCTTTACGTCGACGGCTGCCCGAGGCTCCCGATTTGGCTTCACCTCGACGGGGTCGTCCACGCAGTCGCTTCGGCGAGTTCTGTGGTTCAAATTCAGGCGAGTCTACTTTTCTCTTTGAAGAGCCACGGGTCAGTCTGCCCCGCACTGGTCTGACTTCATCCTCTTCCTCGTCTTCTTCGTTTGCATCCTCAATTACGATTGCGCCCTCTTCCTGCGTGGCGGCGGGTTCCGGATTGAAGTCGCCATCACTCTCAACGCCTTCAGCGTCAGCCATATCCACTACGTCTGAAACAATTTGGGGGAGCGGTTGTTTCACTTCATGTTCTTCCATGGTTTGAGGATCGCTTTCCAAGACTTCATTCTGTGATGCCTGGATTTCAAGTTCTTCTTCGACCTCCTCTTCCTTTGGTTGAGATTGTGACTCTTCGTCAATAGTACTTTTCGAGGGATATTTGAGGCCCTTTCCACCCTTCATTGCTCTTGGAGGGATGCCTTCTGGATCCCGGGAACCTTCACGCACAACCTCAACGTGGTTGCCCGAATCGGTCAATTTCACCAGAGACTCTTCAGGGTCGTGAGAAAGGCGGCTGCTCCTTCGGGTGTTTGTGGGATGCGATGCAGAAGAGGTGGGGAGTGGATTGACACCGTAACTTCCGCTCCTGTTTCGCAAGGCTCTCGTGGGACGAGCTGGGGTGGTCCTGAGAGTGATGATCAACTTCTTTCGCGGAGGGGTTTTGGTTTGGCGACTTGGACGCTCGTCTCCTGAGGAATTTGCAAGTTCGTCTTCCTCGTCTTCCGAACTTTCTTCGTATTTGTTTGCAGCTTGTTTGGCTGCCCTCCTCACAGGTCGGCCTATCGCGTTTGTCTCAAAGTCTTCATCTTCCTCGTCAGAAAACGAATCCTCGTCATCCGACACAACTTCATCCGAATCACTATCAACATCGGAACCCTTGTATCCTCTTCGCTTCTTGCGGACGGGAGCGCCTCGTCGCCGAGACTTTGTGGACCGAGATTTCGAGGGGCCGGCCGCTCGATCATCATAGTCGTCATCATTCGAATCTTCATAGTTGACAACTTCTTCGAGGGTTCTCTTGCTGCCGCGACCTGCAGGCATTGTGGCGGTTCACCCGCGGAGGCGCTTTAACCCGGGGTTGGGGTTGGGGTAGACGGAAGAACACCTCAGGAGGCTATGTTTCGGTGACGACTACAGCCCAAAAGCATTCCCGCGCACAGACTCAAATAGTTGTGCCTTCGTGAGAGCTGCGGTAGAAAAGATTGAGGGTGTTTGAAGTCTGGGTGATGATTGACTCTGCGATGAGGGACCACAGCGCGTCTGTCAGCAGAGCGGGTGGCTGTCGCGATACAATGGGGGAATTGACGGGGAGACAAGAGGATGCTTGTCACAGTAAGTCCACTGTCATGACTGCGACGATAAAAGACGTAGAATCCTCTCACCGGACTGTGAACGATGATATTTTGATGGGATGGCGGGAGTCCAAAACCTTTCACACCAGGACTTGGGGGGGTTTCGCAGTTCGCAGAGGCGCAGGCGTGTTTGGGGCTAGTGCAGGCAAAGCTGGGTGCCACTCGGCGCGCCAAGAATCCCCAAGGACCCCCACTTTTTCAAGCTGCAGCCAATAGCCGTCGTCGCTGCTACTAACACCAACAGGCAAGAGATCTCGTCGCGAGCAGCACACTGGAAGCATCAAATATCAACATGGCTGAAACACCAACCTCTCGTACCCGAGGAGCTTCGAAAACGTGCGGAGCTGGTACCGGAGGCATATGCGACACTACCCTTGGGGTTTTTACCCACCTTCGAGGCCTCCACGGGCCGCAACACGCGAGGAAGAAATTGTAGGAACATTTTGTTCACCCCGAGGCAGCTGCTGCGAAGATCGACGTCAGATCTCGGTTGTGCCTCGCCAGAACCTCCCTGCCGGTGCATTGGCGCCCAGGACAACGTACTTTTGTAAGTCACGTGATGGCCAGCATTCTCGACCCTTGTCAGCCTCAATGGATTTTATCAATACCCATAAAACGTGTACGCTTGTGAATGCTAATGCTAGTGCTGATTCATTCTAATGATAAATATGTGTCTGGTGTCATCGTGTCATTTCGGCAGGGGGCTGCACCACGCCATCTTCGCCCTCAGCGTCATCAGTCGTGACAGCATCATCCTCTCCTTCCGTGACGCCGTCGTCATGCCAGAGCACGGAAGCCTGTCGTGTAAGTTCCTCGAGCATACTGCTTTGCCTGCGTCCTGGGGAAACGGTGGCTTTGAGATGATTGTCTTCCGTGGACGACGTATTATCATCGGTGGCGGGTCGTCTCCTGGCGCGGAGGAGAGCCTCCTGTGCCTGCTGCTCGAGAATAGGGTTTGGAACACGTGCACCATCATCGATCGGTCCTCCCACCCGCAAGCCCTCCAAGATGACTCGTTCAACCTTCAAGCGGTTGGAGATAAAGCGAATCTTGGGCCAGCAGCTACGTTGACCAACGATGAGCATTCGATCAAGCCGTTGGGGGCTAGGGTCGCTGAGGATGTTCCAAAAGTCACTGGCGATGGTCTTGGGCCAGATGGTCACCGTGCCGGAGAATCGTTGTAGCCAAATCTCACTCCAGTCCTGGCCCATCGGTCGAGGCAGTAATTCAAGGTGCCGTAAAATCTTCAGGTATTTTTGCAGATCGAGCTTGACTGAGGTCTCAATGGTCGAGCCAAGGAATCCTCCACGCCAGCCTCGACCTTTGCGGTGGGTCACTGGCCGACCTGGCGAGCCCCGAGGTGAGAAGAAGAACAAATTGATGTGCGGGTTGACCTGAGAAACAATCGAGAAATTGACGTTGAAGTGGATATTGAGCGCTTTCAAGGGAATATCTGTGCGCAAACTTCCATCTTTCCATTTGTTGCCAAACGAGTAGGGGACAAGCTTTCCGTCATTCGTCTTTCGCATGAGCACGATCGGATTGAGGATTCCAGGAACAGCCGCAGACGCAAGCACCGCGGACCATATGACGCAGTCGGGGCTCGTGATGTGGTTGTTCAAGATTGTCGGGGAGTGAGGATCGGAGGGGACACATGACACGTTGAGGATGCGCCCAGTCCTCTGGTACGCTTCTCGAAAAGTCAACGAGCCCCGGCAAAACCAGCTGCACTGCATTGCCCAGTCTAAAGAGTCGAATCTCGCCCCTGTACGCCACCATCTGCGCATCCACGTGGTAAATCCTTCATGACAAGCTCTGATCCGATACGCCAATGCCGGTACCAGGAGTTTTTTTAATTCGTCGTCCGTTCTGGTGGCTACCAATGCCGCAACCAGAGCGCCGCCAGATGTACCGGTGATGATCTCTGGAAGCTGATCAGCATCGAGGAGCGCTTTGATGACCCCGAAATGGTAATAAGCAAAGGTCGCACCCCCGGAAAGGCAAAGTGCCGTGCGCCCATAGTTCAGCTCAAGATGCCGGAAGAAGGATACCTTTTCTGTATCGGTCATGTGTCTATTCCGGAGAACGAATTGAAGGCTTTGCTCAACTTGATCGACGAAGTTCTGGACCAGGTCCTTGGTACCAATATATGTCTCACTGTACAGATGTGGATTCTCCACTCCCACGAAATTATTCTTGACGCAGCTTTCGAGTAATGACTTCAACTCATCCAGAGCCATGAGACTGCCATTGCCGCCATGAAGTCTTTCCGACTCGGCTATGGCCCTCTGATGGAGCTCAACCAACTGGGAGGTGACCTTTCTCACCGTCTGGTGGTTGTAATACGAGTATGGGTCGGAGCGTTTCCACTCCTCGTTGCCAAGATACTGGTCAAGACGGCGGGCGGCTTCCTGCCATTCGTCGTAACTGGTTGCTCGATGGAGTTGTCTGCGCAACCTCTCGCGTTCCCCAGTCCATGAAAACACGTGCTCGTAGGCGTAGATGTAGAGTCGGGTCAGATTGTAAATGATGAAGAGAAACACTATCCAGCCACAGACGATGAGCAACAGTGATAGTAGAGGATCGTATAAACGAAGCCTTCACGGGTTTCATCCTTGGATCGCGGTGCTGCTTTCCGTCGGACTCGACTTCTTTTCACACGCTGCCGCACTGGACCCCAATCGTTCAAAGCCGTCACGGGCTCGGTGGTGGGGGCGGTCAGGGCTTCTGCAAAACTCTCCAGGTCTTCGCGTCGAATAAAATCGGTGTCGTAATCCGGCAATTCGTGGGGATCATAGGTGCCAGCAGACGTCGGCGTTGATGCAACGGCACCCGTCTTCTTCGGGTTGGGCGTCATCGTTCTGACATTGTCGGTGCGACGATCCTAGCGCGAGCCCATTACAGGATCACGAAGACACAACTACCCCACGGAAAAAAGAAGGTCAAGAATAAATCAAGGGCGAAAGGAGGGCGCAACGGTGGAGAGATGATGTTAGGGTGGTCCCACTATGATGATGATGTCTGCTCGTGTCACCGGCGTTGGTGGCGAGGCTCGGAAGTATGGCTTGGCAGATTCGCCTCCGCCACACTTCTTCTCAAGCCACAATCCATCACGCCTCGAATGGAGGGAGGAACAGTTCAAGCATGAACATTTTTCACAATCACTGCTGCCATGCTCCATTCTACGCTTGATCACGACGACCACTGGTTCTCTGGGGTCTTCAAGGCTGCTCCAAGAATTGACCAGTGGTTTTCACTAGCTCTTGAAAGGTGCATGTTATAAAGGCAGATCGTTATGGTATCACTTCACGAGAATCAGTTCCTAGACTGCATAGCTTGTAGGTTCTCTGCCATATCCAGAAGGGACTAATGGTGGAGGACAGCGACACTTTCATTCCAGGCAACGTGAATCGCAGACCAAGGACAAGGGAGAGTTGTCCCAGGAAGTTGAGGAGAACGATCGGAGCTGCTAAGGTGCATCAGTTGGATGGCTGCAGCTTTTTGGGATCGAAGATGTTTTCATATATACAGTGTATGACATCGAAGGTGCTTATATCACAATCAACGACATCAGCTCGAGATGTCCGCGGAACCTACCCTGATGATTGACCGCGTAGGTGTAGGACGGTCGCATCATCACTGTTTATCCAGTTGTATAGAGTCTGATATACATTGAGGTGAGCTGGTAACCGAGCTGGTAGTAGACAACGCTTGGCTTCCGGCCTTGTGATAGTCCAGGCATATGTGCAAAAGCCCAAGAATTTCCGCTGGCGGAATCAATAGACATCCCAATGCAGGGTACAGGGTTTTGCAATATACATCACACCACATCCTATGGTTGCGCCACGCCGAAGATCATCTTGAGGAGATTAGATGGCAACCTAGAAAAGTACCTCCAGGGGGAAATGTATCTGCTTTGGCTCTTCGACAATGGTGGGTGAGCGATTGGATCGTCGAGGCTACCCACCTATATACGGAGGACTTCAACCGTTTCATGACGAAGGATGCTTGACCTCATCCGAACAGGTTAACGTACCCACCGTATTGTTTTCTGTCCAATCTCCCTCCCCACGCGTTCATACCGCGTTCATTTGGACACACCGCTCTTCCACCCCTCCTCCCGTCCCCGGGCCATGGCATGGAGGGGCAAAGATTGCCTCTCCATCCGACCTACGGTTATTGAAAGAGAGGGCAGATAGGCTTTTGATCAACAGATTCCTGGTCAGATGATGAACAATGAGTCGCATCTTCAGCTGCCAACCCGAGCTTGCCAGCACTGCACCCAGAATGCTTGACCTCTTGCGAATTGCCAGTGGGTAATTGTCGGGAATTGACATCATGGTCTCCCGCCGCTGCCCCTCCGTGGGAAGATTGGACCCAGAGAAGGAAGCAGGCGGGCGGGCCCAGCCCTCAACTGCTAACGAAGTCCTCCGCAATCCTCTCTGACGGTTGGCCACCCAGTGCCATCCTCCATGCCTATCGCTGCACAGTTGTCAAGGAATGGGGAGGGAGATCTCCGCTTGTCTTGCCATCTGACTTCCCAGGTATCGAGGCCCATTTTCTCCCGAGCGGAACCGAAAGTGGCAGCAGCTTGAAAGATCATCGAGTATCGCTTGAGAGCACAATTATCATTTGTGAAAAGCGAAAAAGAATGCTGGGCGGTCCTCTGACGTTGTGGGGGTTAGTGCCGACTTGCGGGCACTTGTAGGCTTGAACAGCTGGAAGTGATGCACGATGTCGTGGGCATGCAACCTGAGTCCACCAGCGCTCTGCCGCTAACATAGCCCCCATGCATCTAATGCCCTCTGCCTAGGCGACCTCGGTGCGGCCTCGTACTGGACGATATCTCTGTGCCTTTGACTGCCGGGGTGTGTTGCAGTCAAGAGATGATGATTCCACGGTTCCAGGAATTCTTCGAAAGGGATTTTGGTCGTGGCCTGAGAGCATTATTGCCTCGCCAATCCGCATACTTGGCATTGCTATTCAATCCATCTCACCGTTGTTTTCGATCCGCTTTGATTGTTATGCAAGAATGCCAGTAAGGTTTCCTAGTGACCGAGAGAACCTTCTCTTTTCTTTTTTTCCTTTTTTTTTGCACGTTTGGTTGTGTCGGTGTTGCTACGGCTGGAGCGCAATATCAAGCATGTGAAAATCCCTGCTTACCCGTTCCATTTCAGGCGCAGCTCCTGCTTGGGGAACAGTATCATTGGTTGCTCGCTTCAAATCACTCGCAGACTTGACCTGCTTAGCAGGAAAGAATGGCGAGCTAATGAGCACTTGAAGCAAGTCTGGCGGGCTAGTCAATCATGGGCTGGAGGGCCCCAGCCAAGGTAAGACTGGCGTCGATTCAGTATCGATGGAGACGAAAGAGTCTGGAGCTCAGGCTTTCGTCCTTGGGCTGGTTGGAACTCTCGGCTGCCGGACTCCGACCACAGGAAGTGATATACAAGGAGGATGAAATCTTGTGTCCTCGAACACCCTTGGGTGGACCAATGGTGTAACAAGTCCAATGGCTGCGATCTTCCTGTGACACAGCATAATTTGCTTGACGCTGAATGCCTTCTCGGTTGACCGCACTACATCCCACACTTGGGGAGCTAAGTGGCGGGAAGGGCAAGACCAGCCGTCAGCAAGCGATTCGCAGTCGACGCACGAGCACTATTCGCCCCAGAGGATGATGGGCTTCAGAGCAGATCTCCCCGTTACGCAAGAAGTAGTTGGAGAGCGCCCCTTCCCCCCGGAAATCCCTAGGCAAAGAATCCTGGAGTTGTTATCTTCAGGAGATAGATTTCTGCTGTACTCTGCACACAAAATGAAACGCTAAGCTGCAGTGTTGTGTTCTGAGGCTGCACCAGCTCGATTCGAGCAGCCTGACCTGTTGGGAAATGGTGGTTGGCGTCGAGGCCACCACTTGCTCAGCATCGGTCATGAGGTCCTCCGAAGCTGCAGCTGATTTACACGCTAGCAATGTGACCACGGACCAATGCGCCCTAGAATTGCAGCGAAAAGGGAGCATTCTTGCCTAGCGGGCCTCTTACCACCCTCAGATTGTGTCAATGGCGAACTTGTGGGTGAGTGAAGAGCATTCCCGGTCGAGCTCGTGCAGCATTCTGTCACACGGCCCATGCATCAGCATTGGTCCATCGGTCGAGACCACGACATGGCACAGCCTGGAGTTGTCGTGGTAGAGTAGCGGTCAAAAGCCTGGCCTGTCGTCGATTGAGCACGGATGCAGAAGGACTGGTCACGCAGGCAGGCGTCCGTGATATGTCAATGCCGGAGGTGAAGACAGAAGCAGATACGAATGCAAGTGGTAGCCATCGGATTTTCGAAGTCAGAGTTGCCACAACACTCTGTTTCGGTTGGCGTTATCATCGTCAGCTCGCAGCAGTCCGAACGAATGAGGATTTACAGAGCCGGATCAGGCTACACTGTGGCTGTTTGGAGGTATCAGGCCAGTCCAGGTGCCGGTCGAACAAAAGGGAGCCTTTCCCAGTGCGCTTTGGCCCTCAGCGGTGCATCGAAGCGCCTTTTAATGGTAGTCTCTTTGTCCGAGACGACCACAGCGACCACTTATTGGCCGTGGCCTTCGTAAACGGCGTGGAACTGCGGTCGAAGTGCAGCGGAACTCCCGTCGCATTGACTGCATAACTCGCAAAAGTCTCAAAGCGACAATCAACAAAGTTTAGCCTCGACGATTTGACAGAACCTTTCAAGGACCGTGCTTTGTTCGTCTGTCGAGTGGCATGAGGGGGCACCGTCAGCGGTTGTGTGATTGTGCATCTCGTCCCGCCTATCATTAGACGCTCCCTCAGAACGATTTTGTGGGAAGCAAGCGAGGGCCGAGCCTGTCCGGCCGGCCATGGACGGATCTCATTGCGACATACAAGCCATGGGTGTTTAGAAGCTGAGAGTTTATGTTTTTTATGGATTACGAGGTCGATCACGAGAATGAGGACATTGGAGGGTGTGAAGCTTCGGAATTCGGACGGGTAAGGTGGGCAGGAAGAGGTTATCATCGCCGCTCGCGTGATACGAAAAGCTCCCAGGGGAGTCCCAGAAGGAATACAATTGTGGATAGGCACAAGTCGTCGATACTCGTCGTGGCAAGGTATAGAGACACTGTAAGAAGATCAACGTCGATCCTGTTACCTCAACTGCTCTCATTAGAGGACAGTCCAGAGCAGGAGGAATACCTCACCTTCAGATGACAACGTAGGGTGCCCCGTCGTTATCCTGAGTACGTAGTTAACTCTCACTCATTTGTCCTTGTCGTCTTAGCTTGGTATGCACAGGCAATCCAGGGAACCAGTCAGTTGAGCAAGTGGACTTCCGTGGGGACATATCGAGGGTTTGGAGGGCGCGTTTGGTTATAACGAGCGTGGCGGGATCCTTGAGGACAGCCCACCAAGACTCCTGATGATATGCATCTGATCCCGCCGCCTCTAACTGGGAGGGGGGCATTATAGTTAGCTCCTACCCACCCCCCGGCTCCAGTCACCCACCCAGGCCCCTGCATCTGATCTGTTCTAGTTAAAGGTGCCCATTGCGAGCTGCCCACCTGCCCGCCATCCCCCTCCACCCTTGCCCAAGGCCAATCTAACTCTGTTGTTACCTTTTGATAGCAAACTCTGCACACTCCGTCTCTTCCATTTCCTTTCTGCATCCCACTCCCGCCGTCCTGCGCTTCCTACACACAAACTCCGAACAGTTGAACTCAACTTGTCACCGCCATTGTTCAACACCCTGGGCTCTTGCACATCACACCGGACTGTTGTTGTATGCTGGTGTTGTCTTGCTCTTCCGTGCTGGTTCTCATTTCTCATACACACCCTCAACCCCCCTCTCAGCCTCATTCATCCCACGGCTCACCTCACTGCTGACCCGTTGAGGCCGTCACTTGCCCGCCTGCGACTGTCACGCAACCACTGGTGCTTACACAGCAGTTGGTTGGACGTCCCAATTCACCTTGATATACACAGCGTTCTGCCTCAATTTCTCTCGGGTGAATCAGAGTCTTGTCTCACTGGACAATCACGCGTGAAGAGAGGCACAGGCACATCTGCAATCTTCCTTACCGGCTGCGGGCAGTCCTTTCAGCCTGGTCACGTTAGCAGCGGCATTGCAGCCGGGACCTATTACAAGCCACATGCCACCATGATTTCTTCGCGAAATCCTCGTACGTTGTCGTCCTTGCAAACTGCAGCCCATCAATGAGCCTGCAATTGACTTGGCAAGCAGCTCCCGGGTCGCACGTCTTGATCCTCCACGCTCCTTTACCTTGAAAATTTGTTCACGCTGAACCTTTCCACGAGCCCGTCTCGAACCCTCGAGTTCGATAAAGCTGGAGATGGACCGCCTACAAACAGAGGATGGGCATCATTTCATTCGCGTAAGTATCTTTTAAGCACGGCTTCCACAGTTATGCGCACAGGCGCAGGTACCACATAGATTGCAGATTCCATATGACCCCCTCGTTTCAAGCACCCTGACTAATTCCACGCGTCGTGTTTTCCAGTCTCTGGCGCAGTTCATCCGCCAACATGAGAAGGCTCTCGCAAACAGCCTGCAGATGTCCGTTCACAGGCGACAGACCTCCCTCAATAACAATGTGGCAAACGGTTCTACCCCGACCTCAGGTACTTCTTCAAGTACAAATACCTCCTCCGCTCTAGCTGCAGCATTTTCGTTGGCTGGCCTCTATTTTCGATCCCATACTGCAAAAGCAGCCCTTTTGACCCTTACACCCCATCATCTCTTCTACCTCCTTTCTCGCATGGAAGAGCTGGATATTGCTGTTGGTCCGATGAACATCCGTTTAGAGAGTCTCACCAACGAGCCTACACCCTCGAACTATGTCTCCTTCTTGCAAACTCACAAACCGGCCAAAGGCCGCAGTGATAAAGATTCCATACATTCTGTGTCCAGCATGCGCAGCGTCATGTCAGGAATGAGCTCTTTCTGGTCGTCCATCGGTCTCGGAGGAAGTACATCCAAAAGCGAGAAGGCAAAAGCCCTTACACAGGCGGATTTAACTTACCTCTATTCTGCCTTTACAAAGCTTCCCTCTTTACGCCTCACCACTGATCACCGTGCGCGGCTGATCCAGGGATATGAGGAATTCCCGTTCGATACTGCTGTTCCGTTGTTTGCTTTCAAAAACCTTCAACAGCTGGACATAGTGGATCTCGATTTCCGCCAGTTCTACGGATGGGACCGAATTTCGGAGCAGCTGACCCTCCTCACTGTGAAGCGAGCCAACGTCAGTGATCCGACCGAGCTGCTCACAAATATAGTTTTGGACGACGCTGAAAAGCGACGAAGGCGGTCCACCAAGGGCGGCCGTGGGTCTCCCACTATGTCTGCCTCGTGGACGGTGCCTTCAACCCCAAGGGCTGAATACGCACAGTCGCATTCCGATCCAGGATCCCCGGCACATGGAAGTCTGGAGAATGAGGACTCGATGGAACCAGGCCCCAAATCGAAGCCACTTTCAGGAAGTGTATCCCCGAAACGGCCCAGTGCCACTCGGCCTGCCAGCTCGTATAGGCATATTCGGACATACTCCTCGACGGTGAGAAGGACGGGGTCTGGCAGTTCCTACTCAAGCGAGTACTCGATCCAGCCACACCGTAGCGAGAGCAGCCCCAACGTGCTGAGCTTAAATATTCTACCCCCTTCGAAATGGCAGAGGTTGAAGTATCTATCCCTGGCAGACAACTCTATGACCGCTATCTCAGCACAAAGTCTGGCCCCTGTAGCCAGCACTCTTCGATCCCTCAATCTCTCCTCTAACCTCTTCAACGAAATCCCGGATAGCTTGGCGTCCTTGACGAGGCTCGTTTCTCTTGATCTGTCGAATTGCATGATTGGTTCTCTCCAGTCGCTATCCAGGTCACCTCTACCCGCCATTCTCACAATTAACCTCAAAGGCAACCGCTTGCGGTCTTTGGCTGGCGTTGAGAAGCTGCTGTCGTTGGAACAATTGAATGTCCAGGATAATCAGCTGTCAGACCCTATGGAGATGGCAAGGCTGACGGGTATCCCGAATCTCAAACGGATCTGGGTCAAGCGGAACCCCTTTACCAAGACGCACTCGGAATACCGGGTAACAGCATTTAATCTGTTCCGAAAGACACCTGGGTATGTCGATGATATTATTGTTGATGAATCCGGGCCAGGTTATTCGGAGCGCAAGCAGCTGGTAGATCGAGTTCCTGAGGTTGAGCGCGAGCTTTCGCAGCCATCCATCCGGATTGCTGAGCACCCGGTAATCGTTCAACAATCCGATTCAACCCAGCCCGGTTTCAACGAGTCACCCGAAATTGTCATGAACACGACCCGTCGGAAAAAAGCTCCTCGAAGACGGATAGTCGATTTGGCGCACGATGAAACTTTTGCCCGAGTTCCTGATGAGGACTTAGCGGCGACGATCATCCCGAGCGGCAGTATTATGAACCACGAGAACCCACCAACGCTCAGCATGCCGGTCCTACCTACATCAATACCCGCAGAAGCACTGTTGGATGATGTTTTTGACGGTTCGACGGAGGCACCGTCTGTAGGCTCGAGCGAGCCAGCCCAACAACACGACGACTATCGAGCGAAAGTGGAGGCACTCCGACAAGAATTCGGCAGCAATTGGCTGAGTGCCTTGGGCGACCAAAATTGGCACAACAATCACCATTTTGAAGTGTTGCAAGGGCAGAGTCTGGGCCATGATGCACTTCACCGATCAGGCCACCAGGTCATTGTTTCTGGCGGTGGGCGGACGCTGGGATAAGTCCGCCTTCCAGACATGTGTGATTTCGCTGCGTATCTGCGGAAATTTCTGATTTGACATTCTTACTAGAGTCCAGTCGTGTCTCAGCCATGAGGCAGTGGGTTTTTTGTGTTTGGTCTGCATTGATATACCCATTCGTTGCGATTTTTGATTTTTTTTGCCGAAAGAATTGGTGGGATGTATAGCCGGATGGGGGAAACCAGTCGTCGCTTCTATTGTTTCTTGTACGGGCTGATTGTGGCATTCTCCTCGGTATGTTCTTTGAAGCATAGCGATGGCGTTTTGGGTTTTGATGGGATGGGCATTTGTTACAGACTGGTTCTATCAATGTCTGCATGATTGCATGAAAGCATGAGACCACGGGACTCGGATGGACGTTTAGTGTTTGTTTGCAATTGATACATGTGCGCGATCTATCCAACATGCTCCGTCCATCCATTTCCATGTTCATGCCAGGTTAGCAGAGAGTTAAGGCCTTCATAAACACCAGGGCCATGCATAGTAGGAACCTCGCTGCAACAAAGTGCTGACACTTGCAGCAGAACCCCGGCATGCTGCCCACGGAGCCCACGGAGCCCGGGCATAGCTGGGGAAGTTACGAGGCTCGCCCGCACAGCCGATCATGAACAGCATCGTCAACTGATTTTCTGCGTATGCACAGCGTCACTACAGGCTAGATCTCCAGGTAAGAATCCGAGTCGTCGGGTAAGCGACCACGCAAAATCCGACGGTCGAAATCACAACGACGGGGATTTTCTCAGAAGCTTCGTGGACACAGGACCAGTGTATGCACTGGTAGAGACTTTTGATGATCTGCATACCTCTTGGTCGCCACGGCGACATCAGCTCGTGCTCAGAAAAGGCACAAGAGGGGAGGAAAATAGGCGCAGGCCAAAAAATCTCTAACGTGAGATGGAGACGGAAGGCGACAGGTACTGCTTTATGTCAGCATGGGATGGGCCTTGCCGTATTATCAAATACAGTAGAGGATGGTTAAAAGGAGAAACGGGAAAGGTATTTTGAGGGTGTAGGATGCAGCAGTGGTGGTGGTGGTGGTGGTTGTTGATTAGTTGGCGGGGTTGGGAATAGGTCATTGTGACTTTGCAGCTGCTCTTGCAAGGAAGAGTTGGCTGTGTAATTGAAACATCGGCGGACTGAGAGATGGCTCTATTGTCACTCGTGGCGACTGCCTCATTCCTCCCCTCGATATGTAGCCCCTAGTATCTCTGTGTGTCTGGTGTGTCCTGCTCTTTCCGCAGCCAATTTGCATGTTCTGTCTCTTTTCGTTGCTTTCGTGCTCCTTCTCTTCCACCCTGCAAATCCCCGTGCATCCACAGACTGGATCAGACCAGAATTGGCCCAAAGGGAGAAAAAATGGTCAAGAAAGAGTGTGTGCGTCTTTCGCTCGCAGCCAAAACAGATTGAGGAGGGTTGCTGCCAAGAGAGGAGACCGCATGGCCGCCTGCCAGGATTTGAGAAAATCGACGAATCCCGCCTTCCACCCACGGATCCCTCCCAATTCCCATCCCTCCCTCCATCCACCAACCACTCATCCAGTCCATCTTATCCCATAACCACCGCAAACCTGCACTGCGTTTCTCATCCCTCTCACAGACCACCTCACGTTTCGCCTGTATCAGTCGCCCTGCGATCAGTATTCGATTCATTCCATCCTCATTCCTCAGAGCACTGCGAACCCGCCCCTCGTCATTCTCCCGTGGCCCACTCTCTGCAAAAAGAAAAATCGTACGGTGTCAACTTGTGTCCTGCTCACGAACCCAACTGCGTTGCCCGCTCTGCGCCGAGAAAACCCTCCTCAGCCCTGCCTTATTGTGCCACAGATTCCTCCAGCATCCGCCACGATAATAACACCTCTCGTTGCTGAAGGTCCCTGTCCCTTGCGGCCCTCATCCCTTCATTCATCAAGTCCATTTGGGACTCCTCTCGCCGAGCCCGTTTGTTGGCTACCTCGGGGTCAAAAATTCAATTTTGGTACATACCCTCCCCCCGGACTAGTCACTTGCGTCAGCTGTCACTCACCACCCACTGCTAATTCATCCCAGACTGACGGAAATTATTCTTCAGCAGACTAGCCTGAACACCTGCACGCCTTTCGACGCATCGATTTCCTTGTCTTTGCCCTCATCCGACCGCACCTGGTCGCCGCCCGCCCGCCCTTCCTTCCACCCCCTTGCCCCGCCTGCGGCGATCCCACTATGGCCGACCAAAATGAGGTGGACCTCGATTCTGTCATCGATCGCCTGTTAGAAGTCAGAGGAAGCAGGCCAGGGAAGCAGGTCCAGCTGCTCGAATCTGCGATTCGCTATCTGTGCACAAAGGCACGCGAAATCTTCATCTCTCAGCCGATATTGCTTGAGTTGGAAGCCCCGATCAAGGTACCATGTCCCCCTCTCGCAAATAACGGTCGCGGCCGTGGGCAATCGTGATACTGACTGTCACTGTCGTAGATTTGTGGCGATATTCATGGTCAGTACTACGACCTTCTCCGCCTGTTCGAGTACGGCGGTTTCCCTCCCGAAGCCAACTACCTCTTCCTCGGCGACTACGTGGATCGAGGCAAACAATCCCTTGAGACCATCTGCTTGCTTCTCGCCTACAAAATCAAATACCCCGAAAATTTCTTCATTCTGCGTGGCAACCACGAGTGCGCCTCCATCAACCGTATCTACGGCTTCTACGACGAGTGCAAACGTCGATACAACATCAAGTTATGGAAGACATTTACGGACTGTTTCAACTGCTTGCCCATCGCCGCCATCATTGACGAGAAGATCTTCACCATGCACGGAGGCTTGAGTCCAGATCTGAACTCGATGGAGCAAATACGCCGCGTCATGCGCCCGACGGATGTGAGTGCTTCCCTCCCCCGCAAAGAGATGCCCCAGGTCACTCGTTGTGCTATGAGAACCCACCCAAACCTGCTAACGCATATCAGATTCCCGACTGTGGCCTCCTGTGCGATTTGCTGTGGTCGGATCCCGACAAGGACATCACAGGCTGGAGCGAGAATGACCGTGGCGTCTCCTTCACTTTCGGGCCCGACGTCGTGTCACGATTCCTACAAAAACATGACATGGACCTTATCTGCCGTGCACATCAAGTGGTGGAGGACGGTTACGAGTTCTTCTCTAAGCGACAACTGGTCACCCTGTTCAGCGCTCCAAACTACTGTGGCGAGTTTGACAATGCTGGTGCCATGATGAGCGTAGACGAAAGTCTACTGTGCTCCTTCCAGGTATGGTGCAAACCGTTGGCAATCCCCTTTCCTCACTTGCTCTTACTGACTTTGGCTTGTACCAGATTCTCAAACCTGCCGAGAAGAAACAAAAGTACGTGTTTGGATCCAAGAGCCCAAGCGGGTCCACTACTCCGTCTCGCAAATCCAAAACCTAGTCCTCTCGACGGACCCGGGCTGATTCGATGTCATTGATAGCAGGTTTGGAAGAAGATAGGGTCACCTTCTGGCTTCCCCGCCAATTCGGTCTCGCACTCGACCAGTGTCCTTTTCCTCCGGTTCCGAAGCATGCGACCAGCCGCCACTACTTAATATTTTCCGCGCTCCCATGAACGTCTCATCTTTTTGGACCTGCGAAAGACTTCCCACTTACTTCGTTTTCATCAATACGTTGACCAGTCCCCGACTTGTCAGTTTTCGAGGTCGGACGCCAGTCCCCAGTATCAGCAATGGCAAAACCTTGTTGTCACCACAATGCGGCGGCGATTTATCGGGTCGATTCGAGGTTCAAGGACGAGTTGATCTACTACTTTTTTCATGGGCTTTACAATGGAATGGGATTACGGACGGTGATGTGTGGTAGGACGGGCTTGTGGTGTATGCTGGAGAATGCATTTCTGACCACCCAGAACTTAACCTCCTCCTGTTTACTGTCTCCGCACAGATGAGATGTGCGTTGTCTGTGCGAAAGAAGGAAAAGAGATGTTGCTGGAGCGCAGGGCGCAAGGCGAGACTACTTTCCCCAGTCCAAATGTACCACGCAGATGACGGTTTTGCTTTCATGCCTTTTCGATGCGGTGACGAGGATGAACAGAAAACGCCCATGGAATGATTGAATGCACGGTGCAGAACAAGAATAAAGCAGATCATACCACACGACACAACGCAGAGCAGTTACGCATCAAGTTAGCAGTTAAGTCCGCTCCCCCTGTATCAAGATCAATTTAAATAGGAGGACACTGTCTGCTTGCTCCTTGTTTTGTTGTTGTCGTCGTGAATTAGGGTAACAATGTGAGCAAAGTTCCACGACAGCCTCTGATCGTATGAGATTAAATGACCTAACTCTCGCACACGACGTGTCTGATCATAGCATGAATCCAGTCTTCAAACTGCGCCCTAGGGTGCTCTACGACGCGCCACAGAACGCACCTGTCAAGACGAAGAAAATCAATGTCGGCGTTGGCCGTCGGTCAGGTCGGAGAAGAAGATAAGAGAGGAATAAAAGAAGAAGGCGGGAAAGTGAGGAAACAAGTAGGCAGAGCCATTCATTCAGTCATTCATTCGGTGTATGAAGGCTTATGGACGCGTATAATTAATTACGCTCTCCATACATACACATACACATACACATACACATACCTACATATACACACTTATATACACACCGGCAGGTCCTACATGTGCGTGTGCATATATGCCTGTGCATGTGTGTGTGTGTGTGTGTCTCTCCATATATGTTGTTGTATACGTTCCGGAGCTCATGCGTACAGAGCGTATGTAATACATCTAGATGTCCCTCATGTAGCGAGAGGTTTAATATTATCTATTCTCTTCTCTTCCAGTGGGCTGACTGGCTGTCTGGCATGGCTCAGGCTCACTTGCAGTATGTGTCGGGTGGGGAATTCGATTCAGTTCATACGGTGGTGATTTCGCATTCTCATTCTCAAGTCTTATTCTCATGCTCATTGTCAATCAATCTAATAACTGGTCTGGTGGTGGTGGGCTCTGTCTCTCGGGTTCTTAACCCTCTTCTTTTTCTTGATTTCGCTTGCTCTTTTTCTTTTCTTCTTATGAAAATTTACCCGTTCCGTTTCCTCCTTTTTCCCCCCCTTCCGGTGTGCATTTCGTCTTTCCTTCGTTTGTGTACGTGTGTGTATGTGTCGTGGCCTTCCTTCCTTCCTTCCTTCCTTACTCTCTTTCTACCTACTTATCCCGTTGCTCCTCATGTCTCCATCTGATGACAACCCCGGACCCCCCAAAAGAATGAAGTTTAAAAAGCAAGAGCACTGGTTGCCAAAAGAGGCAAGGGGGCAAACAAACAAGGGTGGTGGTGGTGGTGGTGGTGGTGATGGTGGTGGGAAAAGGCAAACGATTTCCTCCCTTCTTGGATACCCGTCAGCAGAGCCAACGCGCGGAAATGGGGGGTATAGTACTCCTCCGTTCATTGGTCTTCATCTTCTCGCGACGAATGCCATTGTTGTGCTCGGACAGTGCTGGTGCCGTGCTAGCGCAGAGTCGGTGTACTGCACCCATGCGGTGCTCTAGAATAGCCGGTCGAAATGGGGAAACACAATGAAGATGAAATCCAAGATGTATATTGTTCTCGCGGCATATTGGCTGTCGAGACGAAAAGGGTCGTGGTTCTTGATGAGGACGGAGAACGTCGTGGCGACTTGTTAGGATATGTCTGTTGCGCGGTTCGTACCAGGAAGAGATCGTTTCGATGTTGATGTAGCAAGGAGAGACTGATGGATGGACGGAGGAAGATGATGAACTGATGAATTGATTGATTGATTGATTGATTGCCTGACCAAGGGTGGCATAGGACTATGGGGAATGTGGCTCGACAGATGAATGTATGTTGTCGCCGGAGGCTGTCGGGATGGTCCCCCTTCTGTCATTCTGACATTATGCATGATCCGTTCCGCAATCTTTTAAACGTATTGCGCCAGCCATCTGATACCCTCTCCATAGCCCTGCCTCATGACAACACTGCACATGAACACCTCAATCGGCCTGATTCCTTCGAGCGGCACCTTGCCCTTTCCCGTAGTTTGGTACAGACCCAGCTGGTGTCTCAATTCATCCTCGGACACGGCATCCGGGTGGTCGATTTTGTTGCCCAGAATCAGGAATGGTGTCTTCGCGAGATCTTCCATGGCAAGGAGGGCGTCGAGTTCTGCTTTGGCTTCAGGCAGACGTTCGTGGTCCTTTGCGTCGACGAGGAAGACGATGCCCGATACTTCGGGGAAGTAGTCACGCCACAGACGACGCGCTGTTCACAATTCAGTCTCTGTACCGATGTGCGCAAAAAGAGCTGGGAGATGGCATCTAACGTACCTTGTTGATGACCTCCTAGATCAAAGGTCGTGAATCTGTTGTTGCCAATTGCGAGTTCTTCAGAAGCTGTGCAATAAGTTGTCAGTATAAGACACTAGAACAAGGCCCAAACTTCAGGCAAGTCCTTACTGGGATGTAATGTTGGCTGGAGGATTGCGACCCGGTCATTCTGTGAAATACACATATCGTCAGCACTTGAAGCTACCAAACCAAATATTGTCCGCAACTATAGCTCTCCAGGAATCAAGGGCATGGTCCATGTTATATTGCCGTGCTCCGATCTCTTCCTGTCAAATTCCGCACCACGGAAATCCAAGACGTTGTGGCTTCGGTGTCCTCTCACCTTCAACATGTGTAATAACGTCGTCTTTCCCGCATTGTCGAGACCGAGGAAGAGGAGTTTGGCATGCTTGTTGAGGAGGCCCAATGAGGCGAGGATGTCATAGACTAGAAGGATAAAGCAATCAGGTCAGTCTGTCCTCTGCACAAGCACAGGAACTGCGTGGCACATACACCAGTTAATGATCCACATTTTTGGAGTTGTGAGAGAGCTGGTGGCTTTCTTTGAGGAAATGTAGTCACAAAACGGACGAGGACGGCCAAAAGCGAGAACAAGAATGATGGGGGCACTCGGCCAGATCTCACGGCAGTAGGAAGCGATGGGGTGCCACCGTATGAAAAGTTCCTAAAAGAGAAAGAATCCCAGATGGTCGGAGTTGGTAGCCGTTGAGGTATTTCACGTGATAGCATTCACGTGATCTTATCTCTCGGGACGATACTTGTACGAGGTAAAAGACTGGAGCACTTATGTACCGCCTCGGGCCACGATGAACAGAAAAGAGAAGGGACAACTAGAAGATACGTCTTTGTACTTTGTGCATATCACGCTCTATCATCGAGTCTGCCACTCGAGAGAGCTATTCTGATATTCTGGGGACCATGCTGATGGTCATGTCACGTATTTACAACGCAAGATTCGCCTCCCGCGATGTACGCCAGTGCTATGCATAAAGGCCCTCTGGATCCCAAAACCATGCTGTTTGTAGAAAATGGTATGCAGGCAGTGCGATGATCCATGTCGCTCCCACCCAATACCCGTCGTAAAGGTCGTCATACTCGAGCGCAAACAGGCATCGATATATGTTCAAAAAGACTCCAGTGAGTCTGAGTAGAAATGGTCGACAAATAAACAGTATATGTGTAGTAAAGGTTGGGTTTGGTGAAAGGAATCAAAGTGAAAGCACCAGCTGAGTTTGTTGTCCGATGCCGTAGCCTTTTGTTCGTTCTGCACATTCGAGGCCAAGCTCCTTCATTCTTTCCGCTCCACGACCCGGGATCGGTTTGCGTTCAGCCTGCTCCTTGGCTGCTTTACGACAATGCTGACGCCAATATTTTTCTTTACGCTTCTGGCGTTTCTTTTCGAGCCCAGCGACAATGTCGACTGGCCCACGAACGTGCATGTCCGGACGCGGGGGCTCCTCGATAGCTGGTGTGACGGCTCCAGACGCGATATTGGAGATCGAAGGACTACCAATATGGAAATTTTTGAAGAAGGGATTAGGAGTGTCTGGAAGCGATGCGGTCCGCTCCATTGTCGGACGTTGAGCAAGTCCTCTTGGATTGATCCTTGTCGGGATGGCAGAGTATGTCGGAGAGCCACGGGGAGAACGTAACTTGGCTGACGGAAACGGCGACCTGAGTCTTGTGGGAGAATGCCCAAACAGTTTTCGAGGCGGCGGTGACCGTGCGACCGCATGCCTCGGAGGTGGCGAGCGGTGAGTGGTGCGGCCGACTCTTCCGCCAAACGCAGCACGAGGAGGAGAGGGTGAATGGGCGATGGGCATTGTGAACGATGGTTTACGACGTCCTTGATGCTCCTCGTCAAAATCAGCAAACCCATCCTTAAGCCATCGCGGACCGTCCGAGCTATGCTGCGAGTCAGCGAGCTCTTCTTCGTCGCTGTTTTCCTCGTTGTCTTCCGGGTCGGTCGTTGGGAAGCTTGGATCAATGTCCTGTGGGATAGGAATATGCTTCTCCCGCTTTTTCTGCTCGCGGCAGGAGATATATGCGGCCTCCAAAGGACGATCTTCGTCAAGCGTTCCACAAACGAAGTCTGTGCTATCCGGCAACTCCGGTGTGCCAGGTCTCATTTTCGACACCTTGACGCCAATGTTGCGACGTCTTCCAGCCTGCTTCATCATTGAATGGAGCGGTGGCGTACTCGATCGGGTCAAGGACTCGACAGAACTGGCCTCGGACTGTCGACGTGCGCTGAAATGACTTATGTTGATATGTTCGCTGCCGGTGGGCACGACGGTGTTCGAGGGCGCCCAAAATCTATATTCCGAGCCGCCGTCGCTTTCCTCATCAGAGCTGGCGAAACCGCCCTCGTCGTCCGATTCGTTACCGTCATCGGAGCCGTCATCGGACGGGGCGAAGTCGTCTTCGTTGTCGTTGTACTCATCCTCAGATGCGTTTCCGAGCTCTTCCTGTTCTCGTTCTTCTTCTTCCGCCTCCTCTTCTGCTTCACGGCCGATTTGCCTGATGCGGTTTTCCTTCTTCATGCAGTCATCAAAGGTGATCCTCTCCTTGTGAACATCTGGCTTGTCGACCCATGCGTCAGTCTCATCCTGAGATGCGGCAAATTCATGAAAGGTCGCCTTTGGAGAGGGTGGATTCGGTCTCGTTTTCTCAGGACTAGCCATCCTAGCTGTACCGGCGGAGTGGCCCGAGACGTCGACAGACTCTGAAGTGGACTTGCGTGGGAAAGGGGCAGGTGATGGGCGACGTGTGATCTTGGATTCGGCCCGTAGCTTGGCGGGAGAGCCTTTGGTCTCGATTGCGCTGGTACGTGAGGGACAAGCAAAGGTGAGGGCGCACTTCCGCTTCGGAGCCTCGGGTTGTTCGACTGCTGGCTTTTGCTTGCGGAGCGTCACATTGTCGTTGCTCTTTTCAGAATCTGTGCCTCCGCATGCGAACATGATGCAGCGCTTACGGCCCAACGTCTTCTCAACCGCTGCTTCCCTCTCATCCTTCGTAATCGGTGCGGCAATGACCACCTGAGGGCCATTTTTCTTGAGATCAAGAAGGGGAGCGAAGCGTCCCGAAGGAGGTGGCGGACTAGGTGTTACTGACCGTGACTGGCTGGTGTCCCCGTCACTCGTCAACTCCGCAGTCGAAGGCATGCTCGCTGTACTATGAGAAGACGTCGTCGACAGTCCACGGTCGGCCAGCCTATGAGTGTCATCTCCGTGTTTGGATTCTGCCATAATTGCCCGAGTTAAGAGAGACTCGCGGCGAGGGTTTGGAGGAGCGTTAGAGCGATGGTAGAGAGCCTCTCGCGTGGCGGTGGCGGTCAGTGGAGATATTTGGTCGTCCGGTGGTTCGTCAGCGTCCGCGCTGAGTTCGTCGTCACCGAGAGGAACTGTGGGAGCGTTTGATAGGTTAAACATCTTGAGTAAACTCTGCATGGCTGAATTTCTTCGGGTGGTGTCCATCTGATGTTTCTGGTGATGTGCCATCTGAACTGCAGCCAGGAGAGACAGAGCAGGTGATGCAGATGAAGGAGATTGCAGTAACTATTTCCCACGGCCCGACACAGATGGCGGTCAAGTTCAGGCGAGAACGCTACCAACACCAGTAGCTGGCTGGCACTGCTTTGTTGGCAAGAGAAATGATATTAGGTTGGCCCACAGGGACCGCCGCTGTTATAAATTGGACTTGGACATTTTGTGTGTTTTATAACGATTCAATTCCTCTGAACACCAGCAGAGTGGGATAGCGTAAACAGAAGAGTGCTCGAGTGGTAGGTGGTCGGTTGGGGCTGCGGCGCGGTCGGTGGCGTTCTGCGGTGACCGCTGCGTCTGTGAACTGAACAAGGACAGAACTTGGATAAATGGAGATCTGAAAGGCGTGAGTGAGATGAGGGTATATGAATTCCAAATGAGAGTAGATTGCTTACGAGAAGAGGTCAAGAGACCGAAGATGCTGGATGAGAAGAGCAGTAGGAAGAAGACGGATGCAGGATGGCAAGGGTGGAAAGTGGTAGTGGACAGTAGTAATCGCAGGTGGTGTGCTTGTTGTAGGGAGCAGCCGGGATACGGAAGTGGAGGGGGAGGAAAATTTGGAGAGGAGGACCGAGAGAGGGCGACGGTGAAGAGGAAATGGGTGAAAGATGAGGGAAAATATGCGGGCAGGCGGAAAAGCAGCCACCGAGAGAGGGCGAGAGGGCGAGGGAGGAGGGATGGAGGGACCAGCACCAATTACGGCACCAATGGTACCCGGATGGGATGGGAAGGGTTTGATGGCGAGGAAGAGAAATTTGGAGAAGAGAAGGAAAAAGGATTTGTGAGCAGCGGCAGAGAGAGAATTAGACAGTAACAAATAACAAAAGACCAGCCAGCAGCCAGAAGATGCCAGGCCGGACGAGACCCAGAAGGGACCAAAGAAGAGGGGAGCCACTGGGGGGTATCCTGGCCAGTCAACAGTCAACGGATTTCAGCTGTTAGGCGTGTTGTTTGGACGGAATTCAGTTGAGCTGTTCATTGTTGGCTTTGCCCATTGCCCTAGGTAGCCAGGTCACCCCGCTGGGTACTCATGCCTAGGGCACCTAAGCAGGTAAGGAGGCCTCTCCCCGGGTTGCAATTTTAACTTGTTCCTCCTTACTGGTACTTCTTGTCTGCGTACCTACGAGTACTAGGTAGACCGCTGCGGACATGTGGCTCCCCCCCAAAACTGAAAAGGGCCTTTCACTAGCCAATTGCTCCCAGGCCGCTGGGTGAAAAAAAAAGCCAACAAAATCCCACTCACACTCAAAGCATGCTAATGCTCAAACGGCAACTCGTCGAAATCTCGGACCTACACAAGGACTCTCTATGTTGATCAATCCTCCCAGCGGCAAAGGCGCCCCAAGCTAGCCCTGCGTTCTCAGCATCCTGCACTCGAAACGCCCACTTGACCTCACTTTCAGACGGGTTTCTATTTGCCTTTTCGCCTTCCGAATTATCCACTTGGCGGTCTCTACTGCGTTGTGCGCTGGTGAAATTGCGCCCCTCCACAAATGGGTATCGATCGGTGACAATGCAATACTAATGCAAAGAGCAAGAGAAGGGAACTGCAGAGTACTTAATCAAAATCTGTGCCATCATTACCTGAGATCGATGAATTACTGCTGGTACACCGCCTGGTTCCTACGGAGACGCCTTTGTTTCTACGGGCTCCAAAGACCGTGTGCTAATTTTATATGCTTTGTGTACCTCACTGCCGATGTTGATCCCACTACATGGACAGCCGGTGTGCTGGGATATAGTGCGACTCGCGAGTCATGAGGCAGAAACAAAGGCCCTGGTGTCACATCGATCGGCATGTCCATCGTTTGCCACGGTCAGATCGTCTTTACAGTGACATTCAACACACAGACAATTGGCAATATTGCCAAGGAGGGCCATTTGGGGGTGTGCCTGTGCGATGGGGAAACTCCCGTCACCACCGTGGACCCTTACGGTTCATGACCTGTTCCTACCTTGGTCTTGCAGGCATTGTAACCGGGGGTGTTCGCTGTCTTGACGCATTATGACAACATTTCTCTCCGACCCTGGCGCGTCATCTGAACCCTGATCTAACGGGAACGCGCTGTCATTTCCAAGTCATTATTTGTTTGGTACTGTGATCAAACCTTTTCGCCCACCATGAACTGCCGCGGGTCAAACGGCGCCAGGGCTCCCGAAATCAGGTTCTGGCACCTCCTACATCATCGAAAACCTACCATAGAACTGCTTCAACGTTGTTTTCATTCCCACCGAACCGCTTGGCTTGTGAATGGACCCAATGGCAAACCAGACGGCGTGCGCCGTACGTCGGGTCTGGCTTAGCCAGTTTTGATCTGATGCACGGGAAGTATTTCGAATTAGGCATTACTTAGTATACAAGTTGTGTGCAGTTTCGGTAATTATCTTGAATACGAGATTGGTGACTTCGAACTTGCGTCCCTGATATTGCGTTTTAACGCGCGTCATCTTTTGCCCTTCCCTGCATCTGCATTTCGTTCTATTATTCTCCCCTTTCACGCAGGCTGAACGCCGCCCTCTTCCGTCAGCTGACATGACGTCAACCTCCAAGCCCCCAGAGACTCGCACACAGATTCTGGTGTTTGTCCTGACCAAGTAGGCTGCTGGGAAATCCCACAGGATGCTGAATCAAGACACTGAGGCTGCCCTGGCGTGCTCACAGGGGGATCTCGTTCTCTCGTGCGGGCCGCACGGCTCGAGGACGTCTTACCCGTCACAGACACGAATACAGGCCACCCAGCGCCACAGCATCTTCCTCCAATCTCCTCCTCCCGCCGCGAGATCTTCAAACAAACATGACATGATACTCTGACAGTGCAGTGCTGCATCTGGTATATTGCTGATGCTTTCCCCCACTGCTCACCAGGGGAAGCTGCATAGGTGCGATGGAGTTGTTCGGACTGTAGAGCCAGTCAAATGCAGGCGGCACCGCGTGCTACGCTAAGCAGCTTGCGCCAGGGGATTATTTGCAGAGATATTTTCACCTGATGCACACCTCCACAGCGGCCCGCGTTCGTTTGAAACAAGGGATCCCTTTTGCGATGTCCGACCGTGAACTGGCGGTCTGTTTCTACTTTGCTCCTCACAAGAATGATTCTAGAATCTCATGCCCCGGTGACACCGAGGACAAGTCAGCGACCGAAGCACAGGGCAACCTTGGCCACCTGGCTGACCACAGGTATTCTGACAGTTGGCGATGCATGCACCCTCAGCAAGGAGGTACTGGAAGCAGTTCCAACGAACTCGCAGCTGGGGTCCCCTCAAAAGAGCTCTACAAAGCTACCCTGCAGCCATGCAAGGAGTCTATTCATCGGCAGTGTGGGGAAAGCATAGTAGCTGCATGGCCAAGCGAACATCCCTCCACACTATGAAATCGGTAAACGAGGTCGACAGAGCCTGGTAAATAACACGAATGCAGACGCAAGAGAAGCCGTGGGCCATCACAACATTCACAGTACCAAATACAAATTGTCAGTGGCCTGGGCGGGTTCTGGATCTCAACAGCAGAAACGTGAATGGTGGAGATGGCAGCGCACGGACCATAGGGCATGAAGTGGATCAGACCCACAGCCCCGCATCTGAGCGGACTTTTTACTATGAGGTATTTTCGAGAAGCCAATAGGAGCAAAGGCTTAATCGGGTCTAAATGGGGACTAAAAGAAGGCTAATGCAACAACTGCTTTAGAGAGAGACGCAGAGCAGCAACCTGTGACCAACACGTCCGCCACTCATCGACCCGAGGTTGCTTTTCCAACCCCTCTACAGACATTCCAATGCTTTGTGCGAAAAAGAAAACAAACAGCGAATCACATTTTTGTTCCTTGCGACCTACAGCTTGGCGGCTGCTCGCCGGCTGGTTGTCTTTCGAGTCGCCCTGGGTTGATCAATGTGCTATTGGCCCAACTGTGCGCCAGACGGAGGAAGTTGTTGGCTGCTCTTCGACAGGACGAGTGGTTGGCGCTTAATCCCTCCCAATAGAACGCGAGCACCGGTTTTGGTAGGTTGTGTTCCAGATTGAGCAGCGTCTGCCACAACTTCATGCTCCAGCAAGACCGTAAAGTGGCTGCAAAAGGTCAAAGCCTGCATCGGACCGATCGTAATCCTCCTCTATTTTCTGGAACCTTGATCGAATATCACGCTGCATCCTGGCGAGTGTCTTGTGCACCTCGCGACCCTACCGAACAAAGGAGCGCCAATCATCCTTTGCACCCTGACCCTCACTTGCAGTCTCTCACCGGAAAGATCAAGTAAGAAGTTCGTATGGCAATGCTCACGAGATCGCGGTACGCCGCATGCAGTCTCGGGTGTTTGCGAAACACACGGTTCAATGCTAAGAAGCAGATGAACCGAGCAAACCTACGTGATAGTTCTTTCAAGTGTGGTTCACTGTGCTGCAAGGGGGTCACATCACATGAGGGTTCTGCTATCTCACCGCACTTTCTCCTGGATGTCGAGCTTTTGGAGAGTCCCATGCTCCAAGTCCACGTCCGTGCACGTCCCAAGACTTTCGGCCCCGGGTGAAAGTGCTCCGACGCCGCATTAGGGGGTCATCCCCAGTCTCTTGGAATTTTCATAGATTCCGAGGTTGGATCCGAAAAGATCAGCTGTCGATGAAACGTGAAGAAGCATCAAGTCGGTGCACGCCCAGCAGGGAGCTTGGTGGCGATGATCTTGAAGCTAGATCCCAAACAGCGCACTCAATCTGATAAGATAACTTTGTCTCTAGGACATCAAAAGGAATCCTTGGCGCTCGAAGCATGTCCCTTTCACCTTTTGTCCAGGTCTTTACAACCATATACTGTGACGCTCGTAGTGGTGCCGCTCAAATCCAAAGCGGCGTTCCATATTGAGGATCCAAGCATTGAAAGCCTCCGTGGAGCTTCGGGAAGTACCTGAGAGAAGCCCTTGTGTACGATCGTTCCGGTGGTCCCTCCCGTCCCTATCCGATCAGCCTTGCCTCGCCGCGGACTGTGAAGGTCGTTTGTCCCATCCCTTAAATATCGCCTTTGCTGCATTGAGAACGCATATTGGGTACTTCTTCCCATAAAAGGGACTTACCAAGCATTGAGATTGCGCAGATCCGAGACCAAGACGTCTATAAATCCATAGTGCGGGCTTGGCACGGGCTTTGATCGACGGCCGCGTAGACAAGGCTGTCTTGGAGCCTTGGCCCTTGAGGACCTCGAACTCCTAATCCTGACCCATCGTCCAGCGTAGACATACAACAGCGAAATCCTTCCAATTTCTTAACACATCACACCGCCTGTTAGAATCTTCGTGAGATATCGGAAGATTCCGTCAACCTCACAGAAAGGCAGCTTCATACAACTCCCCTCCAGAGTCCAAACATACCCGAAGAGGGATCTTCCCGGTATTGAAGCATCTGTAAGAGACCAGACGCTGTCGTCTACGTCACATATCAACTATGTCTTCCCTGGGACCATTCATACAGCCACCCGAATCAGAAGACGATGACCCGATCATCCACGCCTCCCTGCAACGGTACATCCACGCCCTATCAGATTCACACAGCAACTACGCACGCTTCTTCTCCACCCTGCTGATCCCGCAGCAGTCCCACGAGCAATTCTTCGTTGATTTGAAGCAATTCCGTGAACAGGCCGCCATCATCTATCTCCTCGCGCCGGGCACTTCTGAGAACTACCGCATGGTGTCACGCAACTTTGTCGGGTCGCGGTTCGCACACCCGTGGTGCCGGGTGCAGAGTGATTTCGGCAAGGGATGGCGCTCGGCCAGCTGGGCCGGAACTTCAGGGGCCAAGATCGACGAGCGGGTGAGGAAGGAAGAGGAGCGGCTTCATAAGCTGCTCGTCCCGATTTGGATCGCCATGAGGCGGAGAATGTTTCCCGGGGAGGACGTGGTCAAGGAATGGATCGAGAAGGAGGATGAGCGTGAAAGAGCTGCCGCAGAGGAGATGAAGAAGAAGAAGAAGAAAATCAAGGCAGACGAAGCGGAATCCTCCATGTCGGCACCGCCTGAAGGGGTGGATCGTGCTCTCCCATCAGGGTCTCCGCCTGCACACTCGGAACTCAGCTTCGCCACCAAATCGACGAAGCCTGCCTCGACGCATTCGGACACCACAACTACAGCTCCCAACGGAGCAGCGGCCGCCTCCAAGCTGTTCTTGGGCGTGGCCGTTACGGGATTCATCATGAGCGACAAACGCATCCAGAAATACGTCGGGAAGAAGCTGAGGAAGAAATGACACTCCTCCCCCGTCAGTCGAGGCATGAGCTATGATTCCGAGAAGGAGGGTCAACTATCCACCCGTTCACAACGCGTTGTGCAGGATCCTCAGGAACCTGGTGCGGCCTCTGCAAAGTCCTCTGTCCCTCTGCCCGGAAGAAGGCGGTGAAAACGTGACATCGACAATGGTCGAGCCCTCCACCTGTTCCCATGTATAAGTGAGCTGATATCACTGCTCTTGCTGGACCCGCGAATGGACCTCACGCATCTATGTGCCGTGCTGTGTCGGCTGTGTTGCAAGGTTGGAGCATGTGGAGGCAGCAAAGGGTGCACGAAGTCCGTCTGCTCTAAAACCTCTTGCCAATTTCAATCCGGGCGCACACCATTTATCTCTCAGACTTCTTCCGGCATGCCATATGCGATGGTGACCTGGCCCACGCCGGACGCCATTGCAGACCATATTACCATACGGCGTGCCACGTTTACAAGGTCTTGCCGCCTCTCATCAAGCGCTCTTCCTCCACCCCTGCCCTAATGGGTGACGGTTGGTTTTGTGGCCTACAGAGAAGACAGAGCCGCCAGTTGTGTCGATCTGGAGAATACTACGCCCATATAAAGCGTCCCAACAATCTGCTGTTTGGGGGGCTGGGGAAGAAGATTCATGAAGAGGCGTTCTAAGCTTAGTCTGGTGTTCTCAAAAGCCACAGCCGTTCCTGCTACTATAGCAGAGTAATACATTAATTCCCAGGATCTTGCTACCTTCTTGTCAGCGGTCGCGGGTTCCTCTTCCCAAGCGTCTCTTGGAACTCAGTCAACTATGCCTACCCATGTCACCGATTTGAGCGCTCATGCTCATTCGCATCCGCGTCCTGAATACTCAACTGCCCTTAAACAAACAATCTCGCCCTCTTGATCGGTCGAAGACTTTGACTCCTTCCAGGCTCTCAGGCAGAGACCATAATCTTGCGGCCGAGTCGATACGTGCGGAATGGTCGACATTGAGTATGAGCATTCAGGCTTAGGAAACTTAATAAAGCCTCTCTTTGTTCTCGAGGATGGCAGTTATTATGCTGTGACCTATCATCCCCGGCCCATGTCAGTGTCTTCCTTTAAAGCCAGTCCAGGCACTTTTCGCAGAAACATGGGGCGAGAACTGCGTATCCATAGATCCACCACTAGGATGAACTCTGGGTTATCGTGATGAACCGGCAATAAAAGATGACCAGGACTCCTGCTACAGACAGCGAGCAGCACTCGACAGAGCCTTTCTTGACCTTGGACGCCCGTTCAGAGAGCTGTGGCCTTTTCCGCCTTTTTCAGGTCTTCCGTCGTCGCTCAATGTGGATCTCACAGGTCAGAGGCAGGCTCTTTCAAGGATGGATGATGAGCTTTGGGGCTTCTTTGAGTCGCTAGCCGGCTGTTCGACGCGTAGAGGTGCATTAGCTAAACTGTTTCCTTCTGGTTTTTTTGGGCTGGACTTTCAGCCAAGGTTCCCAATTAAGCGCTTCTCTTTGTCCTGAGACACATGTACATGCAACTAACGGCTCGCCTTGAGCCCCTCGCAGTGATGCTTTGGGACGGCAGCGGCCACGACGGTGCATGATGGTGTCGTCTCGAGGGTTAGGATTGACAGCAGTGCCATCGCTGGCAAGGCTGTCCCCGGACACGAATGGCTCGGAGTCTGCAATCATAACGGATCCGCCACCGACCCAACTGAATTCGCCTGGCTGGGATTGCTTCACGTTGCTGACATGTTGGTAGAGCTTGAACGCTGAATAGTCATGGAAATCCTTGCTTCAGCCCAAAGTTGTTATTCCGAGCCCTGCTACGGGCGTGGGACAGACCATCCTGCAAGCCTGTTGTGCTTCAGGCTTTCCCACTTCTATAATCACCATTGCTTTTTTGCCTGGTCCTTGAGCCTCGTCGTCTCATGTAGGATTTAGGGTGAGCTTGTTCCACCCATGGCGATGCGGGACAATGCGGGACGCAGGGCGGCACACCGAGCAGCCGTGAAAAGTGTGGGCTGATTTTTTGACCTCCTGGCCGAGGTATCAGAAGCATGACTTCAAAGTGCGTACCCGGGACCACACCTCCTTCTGGAAACACTCAGTTCGAGTCTGGTGGCCGGATCTGGCTGTCTGAGGCGGTAGTGCGGCGAGTTGCAGACGAGGCTGAGAAAATACGGGGCACATAAGCGGCCGGTCAGGGCGGAATGCCGCTTCATGGTCCCAACGCCTCGATGTGGGATGCAGGTGCTCACAAGGCCACGAATTTCATGCCCCAGCCCCCGGTGCCAATGATACTACTTGTACGGGGGCGTGATAGGGACAATCGAAAGCACTCCTCCTCTCTTAGAGCTTGCAGAATTGGTAGCGATCACGATGCTGCCGTTTTCGAGACTGCTCTGCTTCGAATCAGAGGATGAGGGAAAAGCAAAGTATTTTGCAGATTTGGGCGTCGAGGCCACTGTGCTCCCAGAACCAGGAACTCCCATCCAGGCTTACTCTTCGTTCAACGACCTCATTGCAGGCAAAGACAAAGTCACTGCAACAGTGGGCAAGGTATACACAGGTTTCCTTCTCTGGGATTTTATGGATCTGAAACAGCTTCCGTCCTGCACCATGCTAACACAGCTGGACGGCGGTATCTTAGCTTCTTCCACCACTTCCACGGTACGACCAGCCTATATATTCAGTGGGTTTGAATTACCGAAGCCATGCGAAGGAAGCAAAGGTATAGATAGATGGACCCCGGCTATGGAGACTCGGGACTGCAGTGTTGGCTGACTCGGTTGCCGTTTGCAGCTCAACATTCCTGCCAATCCACCGTTATGGACAAAGCCTGCTGCAGCGCTCGCCGCTCCCGAAGAGGACATCCACATGAGCAGATACTGTGCTTCCAATTTCCCCGATTGGGAGGTAAGCAAGCTGCCCATTTCCCGTCATGAAGGGAGGTAAATTGTCGAAGGGCAAGGGCATAGTTGACATTTGATCCTGGCCAGGGAGAACTGGTTTTCGTCACGTCCAAAGTATGCCGCGACGTGTCTCCGAAAGACGCAGAATCTTATATTCTCGGCTACACGATCGGAAACGATCTGTCGTGCCGGGTGTTCCAGCTGCCCGCGCAGAATGGAGGACAGTTTTTCTACGCAAAGGCATTTGACAAGTTCGCGCCTATCGGGCCTGTCCTCGTCAGCGCTGAAGTCATCCAGCAGAGTGAGGAGGTCAAGATTGTCACCAAGGTCAATGGAGAGGTCATGCAAGATGCCGACGTCAAAAAGGACATGGTGTTCTCGCCTGCACAGATTTTGAGCTTCATGAGCCAGAGTGAGTGATTCCTCGGGCGGCAGGGGGGATATAGGAAACCCGTCCTTTCCCAAAAACACTTTACTTCCGACCCGAATCTAGCTGCAGCAAACTAATTACCCTCAAAATGCAGGCACAACCATTCCAGCATACACGGCCGTCATGACGGGCACTCCTGCGGGAGTTGGTGCGTTCAAATCTCCGAGACGGTTCTTGAGCCACGAGGACGTTGTAGACATCCAAATCACTGGCATCGGAGTGCTGAGGAACAGAATTCTCTTCCCAGAGGGAAAACAAGCCGTATTGTGAGTCAGTCAATGTGAGATAACCACGAAACTCCGCCCCACGAACCTGCAAATGGTTACCCAGACGTCTCTGCTGACATCCTCGTCCTCTGCTCGGTGTCTTCAGGTTGACATTCCTCCGAGTTCTGGTCTCGATGGTCTACCATTCATTTAGTAGATTCTTGTAAAGGTGCAAGCTCGGTGGAACCGGGACATTGGCTTTGTCGATGTTGATGGACTAGGATGATCCGAGCGGGGATTCGTTGACATTTCGCATCAAAGGAATGGAGATAGAGCAGATTATCGAATTAGCTGAATGTATGCCTTCATTGTAGCCAAGATGTGGTTGGTGTTGTGCAGACCGCTGAATTCTGACTCTTCGTGGGCTTCGCTGCAGTGTACATAGATGTGGGTTTACCGACATGCCCCGTATTCTCTCAGCCTTGCGAAGAGACATACTTCCAGGTGCTCTGCCGAGGGTTTTGGGCGACTTTTCGTTCACGCGATCGACCACTGTGTCGCGGGCGAATAACATTCCGACATCAACGGTGGGAATTGTGCCAATTCACCATAGTGCCTCTCCGGCGCCTTTTGGGACGGGTTGTTGTTTTAGGCGACCCCCAAGCAAAATGTTGTCCCATTGCGGGGCGGAGGCGGGACTGACACACAACCTCCCGTGCCTTTTCAGAATGCGGTATCTGTGCACTGCCTTTGTATCGAGGCTCAGAGCACGATATTGCCCTCTCGCCGATCGTCTAGCCATGCAGCCGAGCAATGTGACTGAACACGTCAGCTGGGAAGAGGAACCAGGTCCCTATTGGCAAGGGATGAAAAATAGATATTGAGGGAAGGAGTCGTGGAAGCGAGACAGAAACGCCCACCCACAAGCTCTACGCTTTCACCTCTTCTGTAAAGACACCATTGAAACCAGATCGAGGTAAAGCATGGTCAACGCTCTCGACGTGCTTTCTTACCTTCCTCGATTCCTCCGCGAGCGCGTCACCCCAAACATGCCGATCGTCGAAGTGAAGAACGACCCGTCCAAGGTCCAGCTGGTCCGCCTGGGCCACGTCTACTTTGAGCACCCGGACCTCAACAAGTTCGCAAAGTTCTCGAAGGACTTTGGTTTCGTCGAGGAGAAGAGGGATGGGAACAACACCATCTATTTCCGCGGCTATGGCCGCGACCCCTACGTCTATGTCGCAAGCAAGTCCAACTCGGGACGGGCCAAGTTCATGGGCCCGGCCTTTGTGGCCAGAGACAGGAAGGAATTCGAAAAGGCCGCCAAATTGCCCGGGGCCACGGTCAAGACTCTTGACGGAGCCCCCGGGGGCGGCCAACAGGTCACCATCGCGCGACCGAACGGCACCTTCATGCACGTCGTGTACGGCCAGCAGGAGCGCGAGGTCGACGCAAACCAGGGCATACCCACGGCGACGCATGACTCGCATGGCCCGTTCAATACCCCCTTTGAGAAGAAACGTCTCGGGCAGTTCCAACGGTACCACGAGGGACCCGCCCTCGTCCACAAGCTGGGCCACTTTGGGTACGTGTGCAAGGAGTTTGACGAGGAACTCGAGTTCTATACCACCAACTTCAACTTCGTGCACAGCGATATCCTGTGGCACCCACAGTTCTCCAACATCGACGTTCTGACCTTCATGCACCTGGACCTCGGACCAGAGTGGGTCGACCACCACATCATGTTCATGCAGCGTGCGGCCCCGGAGGTCGCCGAGACGTACATCCACCACAGCTCGTACGAGGTGGCCGACTTCGACACCCAGCTGCTCGGTCACCAGTGGCTAGCCAAGAACAAGTGGAAGAACGTCTGGGGTGTCGGACGGCACATCCTGGGCAGCCAGATCTTCGACTACTGGCAGGACCCCAGCGGATTCAAGATCGAGCACTATGCCGACGGGGATGTCGTGAATGGAGACTCTCCCACAAGGAGGGAAGTTGCTGGCCCCGTGTCCGTTTGGGGTCCAGAGTTTCCCAAGGATTTTGGCCAGGATGGGACGAAGTTGCCGCCTTCTTAAGGATGAATTGGTGGTTTCTGATCTTTATGCAATGCTGATTTTCCCGGGGCATTCTGGATAGAAACTGTGAAATAGGTCAAATGCACAGGTCGTAGACATTCACCAATCCAAAGGCATTCTAGCCCGGATCGTAATTCCGTCTCTCTCCACAGAAGCGTGCTCGGACAAACGAAGACGGACTTTCACAGAACCGGGCTGACTGACATCAGTTCGTGATCCTCCCGACCAGCGGGTTTCCAGAAGAGTAGACAGTCACGTTGGCACATCGTTTCCACGACCGGAGGAGCTGTGGGTCTGGCTGAGAAGCGACGGGTGGAAGAGCACGGAAGCGTTTTGGTCTACGAAGTCTTCGAGTCGCCACGACCTCAACTTTTGCCTTCGGAGAAGCAGGAGTTGGTGACGCATTGCGCGGGCTAGGGCCGTTAGACCTGGTAGATTACTTGCAGTCCTCGCATCCTTCTTGCACCCTTTGTTGGTCCCGGTTGACATTGGCGTCTGGCTTCGGCTCAGGGTTGTCGGCCTCTGCTTGGGTTGGCTGTGAGCTGCCCTTTTTCAGGCTCCGATCAATATGCCCAAGATCCCTGCCGGGTTCGATAATATTGCGAACCCGGTTCTTCAATTCTTTGGTTTCTGGAAATCCGCCTTCGGTCTTTCGGTCCCATATCACTGTATCGGTCGCTAGCGTTGGTGACGCCGCTGTTGCAACATTGCCATTCAAAGCACTATCAACAACAGGGGTTGTTGTGACTGTGACAGTGAATAACCCCCCAGTCGATGGAATCAAAGCAATCTCGCCAATGCTAGTGCCAAAAGTCTGGAGCAATTCTTGAGCGTACTACATGAAATGTGTCAGCATGCATAAAGCGATGGAGAGAGGGACGGTCGTGCAACAGAAAGGCTTCATCTCAGAGGCACATCAGGGTGGCAGCACCAAGCATTGAGAAACTCACATAGGCAGCCCTCAAGTTCCATTTACATTGCGTACAGAATGCGATTGCAATCCGCGGCACCTTGACCACGGAAGAAGCCTCGCCTACCATCCTTTGGTGATGATTCTGGGAAGCCCGGCAGACCTGCGGCGAGATCTTCGCCTGGTGTCTAAGGGGACGAAGTTTATGCAGATATATTTCAAATGTTGGGGGGAAAGGCTGCTTAGCAGCGATGACACTGAAGACAGTCTTTGTGGGAAGAGATCATTGCTGAGTGATAAATTGATGCACAAGAAAAAGCTCCTTGCTCACCCTCGACTCACCTTCTGCTTCCTGAAAAGTCATTAGCCGTTTTTGTAGCTAGCTTGGTTCACTCCAGCGCGGCGTATTAGATGCGCTCTTCTAGTACAATAGACACTAACCTAGTTGGGAAAGAGGTTTTATCCATGACTAATCTACTCTATTCCCATATCACTGACGACATTGTCTAGGATCCCTAGCCTGCGTGCCTCTGGAGTTTTGAGAGACATGCACAAACGACGGCGAGATCCAAATTGTGGTCTGACATGCGCAGTTGCACCGGTAGCTTTCAACTTCGAACTTTGCCCTCGAGGTCAGCGAGAAGGTTAGATTCAAAATAACTAGACGGGTTTCCGAATGGCATCTTCTTGTCAATCCCATCGATTCTTGCCACGTCCTGAGCGTCCAGCAGGAAGTTCCCCTGCCGGTGAAGATGGCGCTTATGGTCATCGACCCATACCGACGCACGGGTTCTCCTCGACCCGCCATCGAACGCCATAATGATCCTGTGCCTTTCGAGAGAGCTAGACTGAGCTCAGAGATCATGTCGCCCGTGCAGCCCGAGCGACGAAGTTCCCGCCAGTCGCCGGGATTGGCGGGCACCCTGCCTGAACATTACGCTCTGTTTCCCTCCAGTCCGGGGAGAACAGATATGGTCGACGAGATCCTGTGGGCCTCCAACATGTCAGGACCTTCCAGGACGACAATTCCGGTCTCATGAGTGGGGAATATGGGCAGGAATACGCAGGATCCTCCTGTGGCATGTCTCTCCTCACGGATCCTGGTTTGAACTGGCGCTCTCAACGGACCGACGACCACCTCGGCCTGGACAAACTGAAGGAAATGGTGACCAACATTCTGTCACAGTTGAGACTGCCGATACGAGGGGTACAGGAAGAGAGACTGGACACCAGATCGGCCGCCCCCATTCCGACCTCCTGCCGATTGACTTGCCAAGCGATATATCAATGTGTATTTTTCCAAACAGTGGCTGTGGCCTATCATCCGAGAGTCGGGCTTTCGAGAAGTCTGCGGTCGGTATTGGGACGACCCTGGCAGCTGTGACAGGACGTGGTATGCCTTGTACAATGTCGTTCTCGCACTGGGCTGTCGAGCCCTGCATCTCTGCCGGGACGCCCAAGTCCTTTCGCGACTCAGAACATGAAGCCTGGGCCTACTTCGACATTACCGTCTCGGTACAGTCGGGCCTGATGTATCAGAAGACATCGCTGCAGGCCGTGCAGATATTTGCCCTGAAGACTGTGTTTGCACAGGGTGTTGGAGGGCCGCAGCCAGAGTACATCTACTGTGCCATCGCAGTGCGCTTGGCCACGGGTCTCGGTTTGCACAAATCCTCGTCAAAGGCGTGGAATCTATCCGACCTCGATATGGAAGATCTGGAGTCTGCACTGTCTCGACAAGACAATTGCGTTTCGTACCGGTTGCCCCTCGCTGCTTGATGACAGTGACATCTCCTGCCCATTTCCTCGCCATCTATTCCGTCATCTTCATCATCACTACGAACCCGACTGTGGTAGTTATGGGTCGAAGGAGCTGCTCGACTTCTTCCTCAACGTGACCCGATACTCTCGAATCTGCTCCCGCGTCATCAAAACTCTGTATTCGACCACGTCACTCATGCAGGCTCCCGAGATGAGAGCCCAAACGTGATGGAGCGGTACGACGAGCTCAAGCAATGGCGGCGCTCCGCAACCACGGACGCGGGCGAAGATGCGCTGGAAGGCTGGAGAATGCTCCGGGAGACGAAAATGACCTCGATGGTGTCATTCCATCAACGACTTGTGCTGGAGTATATCTGTTATGGCTGTGTTATCTCGCTGGAAAAGGCATCTCGGCTGCAAAACACCTTGTACAAGGACCGAGTGGCGAGAAGTATCCTGGACTCCTCGCGGAGGTATGCAATAGATCAGCTGGCCGCAGACTCTCTTGAGGGAGCTCGATCAATGTGTATTGACACAGCATATCGACATAGAGAGTTACGCCCCAAACTGGTTTGTCATCTACTGTCCACTCACCGCGACCATAACCCTTTTCTCGCATATAGCGACAAACCCGATGTCGGTCTCTGCCACGACCGATGTTGCGTTTATCCAATGTGTGCAGGGATGTTTGGGCGAATCGAGTACCTGTTCTCGGAAAGCATCCTGTTGACCAAGAGCGAAGAATTCGCCAAAACCGCCTCAACTATTGTCGACAGGGCAAAGAATCACGAGGCTGGCGACAGCAGGAACAATATTAGCAACACCATTAGCAACGACAGCAACCGCGACATCCCTTCACAACAAGCCGAATTGGTGCAGCCGCAGCAGTGGCAGCAGCAGCAGCAGCAACAACCACTCCAGTCTCAGTATTAGGAGGACGCTGGCCATATGCACAATGCTCCTGGGCCCGCTGATGTTCACTTCGTTGAAATCTCCACGGTCGATCCGCCTTTTTTTCATACGCAGGCAGGAGGGAACCACCACACCTTGCCAGACCCGTCGTCCGAGTCTGTACCGTGCATGGCCGACCAGTTCCAAACTCTCAATTGGCTCGATTGGAATTTTTGCGTTCAAGACGACGCTGGGACAACCTCGGTAGCTGCGAAGAGCAAACAACGACCTCACAAGCATCGGGAAGAGGAAGATTGAATCCCGGTAGGATTGATATATAGAGTGGGCAAACCAGCTGCAATGCGATCCTCTGTCGCCAGTTGCACAAGGCGTTCAACGCAGAGATGGACAATTTTCTCCCCCTTCGCGCACCGCCCATCGGGCATTTTTCAGACATGAGTGACAGGTAGCACGACGTGGATGTCGTCCGTGCTGGTCAGAAGCAATAGCGTAATAATTCTAGGCGTGCTCCCAGGGGAAATCCAGCTAGCAATGTACACAATAGGGGTAAGAGCACATCCCCCAGAAGTCAGGCCTACTACAGGTGCCCAAACGAGAGGGGAGTCTAGCTTAGCTGATTGCTTCGAGGCCCTGATTTGGCACTCCGGGGTGTAACCTGGGGGCGTGCTCGTACTGCGTATGAGGAGGTAATTACTGTAGCTATCAGTAGTTGACCCCCGTATTCTTTTTTGTTCGGGGGCATTCCCCAGCAAACCGTCGACCGAGTAGTACCGAAGTGCTCCGTCCACCACGTAATGATTAGGGGCTGCTGCCCCATCCCACGGCCACATAATAATAACGGCTTGCTTGTTCACCCGAGGATGATAATACGTACCCAGCAATTCGGTTGCAACGTGCTTGATCATTATTTTAGTCCATGAGGGCCCCCCGAATTTAGTCACTTGCGTCTCGTTGGTTCTTTGTCTCACTCGTTATCGCGAATTGGTCCCTAAGCGAGGAAGAAAAGGGAAGGTCGCTTGCGTCTCCGAAGTAAGGGGGTGTTTTTCCCCCCCTGCGCACTCGGTGTGTGCCCTACTGCTAGGGCAGACGGGAAATTCCCAACCCGTTCCGTACAATGTGGGATTGGATGGGCGCAGATTGCCATGAACGTGATTTGAGTCGTGAGGGCAGGACGCCATTCTTATCCCGCAATATCGTTCACAAAGCATTGGAAAGCGAACCAAGGGAGAGATGGACTGTGATTGATCCAATAGGCTGCAATCAGGCTCATGCTAAGTTTAAGAGTTGCGGTGCCAGGACAGACTTGTGCAGCAAAGCGTGGTAGTTTATGGAAATCAATTTGGATTGGAAATGCATTCAGGTCGCCTCCTACACAATCCTCACAAGAGAAATCTTTGTCGAAGTCTCGACAAGACAAGAAGAAGCTGAATTTGTAACCAGGGACAAAGCGCAGCGCAACGTACATCAATACTCCGTGCTGCCTCTCCCCTCAACGGTTGACATAAAAACCTGTTGCAATGTTGCGTGACTTTGACAACTGTGTGAACGCCTTTTTTGCGCCGGATGCTTTTTGACTCGATCAATATCATACCACACACCCCTCTTTGCGTGCTCCATTGTGTCCTTTTGCGACCCAGTCCGAACAGCTTCAACAGAACTCGATTACATGACGACGCAACAACCTTCACTTCCTCCACTCTGTGGATTGTATGGATCTTCTTTCCTGTCCACCTGTCCCCAGACTGAAGGTACCATGTAGTCTCGTGTTTGGTTGCAGTAGTTGATTAGGCTGCGTAGCAGACGTGGTTAGCAGACGGTCCACGCAGAAGAGCTTTGGGCAACATACCTCATGGATGCTTCAGCGACCTTGACACGAGGCCTCTCGAGATCTTCCTTTAGACGCGAGTTCAGTTCTTGGAGCCGCCTAAGTTTAAGATCTGCCATGCTTTGTTTTTTGGATTTTGCGTCGCCGCCATCCCGCACTGCGTATGCAGCTGGCATTTTGGGTTGTTGCAAGCAAAGTATTCGTAGCGATCGAAGAGGAAGGCGTGGTAATCGAGGGCGCAGGTGGCAGTGAAGTCGTCAGCGAAGGTAGGGTGTTCAGAGAAGTCGGCTTGGTGGATTGCGGTTTCGTTCTTTTCAGGGAGACGACGAGTGACTCGACGAAGGGTCGGAGGTGCGCGACGGGGGGCAGTAGTGGTCGGGCGTGGGAAACGGAGGGTAAAACCTGCGAGAGTTCCAAGGGGGGGAAGGCCGCGGATTGGGCTTGGGTGTGGGCGTGGGGCCTGTTGCTTTGCTGCTGCTGCCTTAGCTGCCTCCTCCTTTGCCTTCTTCTCCTTTGCTTCTTCCTCGTCGAAGTGCTTAGCCCACTGTGCCTGCAAGTTCTCGATGGCGCGAATCTCCCGGCGTTGGTGGTAGTAGGACCGAGTAGCGCGATCAAGGCGAACCTGGTCAGGATGAGTGCCGAAATGGATTTTTGCTTTGGTCTCTGCGAGTAGATTGGAATTAATAGGGATTCATCAGTTAGGGGCGAACCGAACTCCTACCTTCCGGAATAAGAGACGCCATCTTGTTTCAGGACAAGCGGAACGAGTTCGGTGAGTCAAACGAGCAGTTTGCGAATTTTGTGTTTGTTGTGGTTCACGTGATAGAAAACTACGGTGACGCATAGGAGTGATTTTTATACTCCAAGACTGTCGCTGGAGAAACGTTGTTCCGGAAGAATCATGCCAAGCTGCACAACATAGGGCAGTGTGATTTCGACCACTTTTGACATCGTCACCAAAGGCCTCCCCGTCGGCAATCAGTCAGTCACAGCCACAAGTCATCTCTAGGACAGACTCATCGGCCATCTGGATAGAGTCTTGAGAGATATCATTGATTTGATCGTCTCTTCCTATCTCTCTTGTGACTCCTCCAGCCGACCGTCAACATGCCTCCACCTCCTCATATCAGGCCTGAGAATGTGCTCAGGGTAAGGCGAAAATCCCCTTCATCTCCATCCGGCCGCGCACCATCACTGACAGAACTCTTCAGCGAGCGCAAGAGCTCATTGCCGTCGAGCAGACCCAGGCAGCTCTCAACGTCCTACATGAACATGTCACCTCCAAACGTTCCCGGAATAGCCCCATCTCCTCCTTGGAGCCGGTCATGCTCCTCTTTGTCGAATTGTGCGTCGATTTAAGAAAAGGAAAATCCGCAAAGGATGGGCTTTACCAGTACAAGAACATAGCGCAAAACACGAACGTGGGAACAATCGAGGTATGATTCTTTGGAAAATCTGTTTGTTGAACACATGCTGACGGGCCGCAGTTGGTCTTGAAAAAATTCATTGAGCTCGCCGAACAAAAGGTCCAGGAGGCTCAAGCCAAGGCTGACCAGGTTCAATCGTCGCTTGAGTCAGCGGCGACTGCCACAGACCTGAATGTTGAAGATCTCGAGGCTACCGAAACCCCGGAGACTATCCTTCTCGCCACTGTCTCTGGCGAGCAGTCCAAAGACCGAACGGATCGAGCTATCGTCACGCCATGGCTCAAGTTCCTCTGGGAAACGTACCGCACGGTCCTGGAAATCCTGAAGAATAATGCACGACTGGAAGTCATGTACCAGAGTACCGCTCATCAAGCGTTCGATTTCTGTCTCAAGTACACCCGAAAGACTGAGTTTCGCCGGTTGTGTGAACTTCTGCGAAACCATGTGCAGAACGCTGCCAAATACTCTTCCCAAATGCATGCCATCAATCTCAATGAGCCCGACACCCTGCAGCGTCATCTCGAAACACGTTTTCGGCAGTTGAACGTGGCAGACGAGCTTGAATTGTGGCAGGAGGCTTTCCGTAGTGTCGAAGATATCCACATGCTTCTTACGCTCTCCAAGCGGCCAGCGAAGAACGTCATGATGGCCAACTACTACGAGAAGCTTACGAAGATCTTCCTCGTCAGTGACAACTTTTTGTTCCATGCTGCAGCGTGGAACAAGTACTACAACCTGCTCCGACAGTCCGCGACTGCCGTCGCGTCTGGTCAGTCTCCAAAACGCGACAATCCAGTTGTTACCGAGGACTCTTTGACCAAGGCCGCCTCCTTTGTATTGCTTTCTGCGCTGGCAATTCCTGTCATTAGCACGTCGCGCTCGCGAGGTGCGCTGGTCGATGTCGACGAGGCGCGGAAGAACAAGAACAATCGCTTGACCAATCTTCTCAGTATGCCATTTGCTCCCACAAGGGCAGGACTCTTCAAGGACGCACTCACCAAGGGCTTGCTCAAGCGTGTCCGACCGGAAATTCGAGATCTCTACAATATTCTCGAAGTGGATTTTCACCCTCTCTCGATTTGCAAGAAGATTTCACCTATCCTGGCTCAGATCGGAGCGGACCCTGAAATGGAGAAATATGTCCTTCCTCTACAGCAGGTCATTCTCACCCGCCTTTTTCAGCAACTCTCACAGGTCTATGAATCGGTGGAGTTGAGTTTTGTGACTCGGCTCGCTCAGTTCCCCGCGCCATTTGAGGTGACTCCTGCCATGATTGAGAAGTTCATCATGAATGGTTGCAAGAAGGGCGATCTATCAATCAGGCTTGACCACGTTTCTGGTATCTTGGCCTTCGACTCCGACGTCTTCTCATCTGCCAAGGCTCTCCATCCAGGCAGCGCGGCAGGATCGGCAGAGAGTGAAGTTGGCTCCGTCCAAAGACTCCAGAATACTCCGGCCGAGATCGCTCGATCTCAGCTGACAAGATTGGCAAAGACTCTGCACGTGACATGCATGTATGTCGACCCCTCGTACAATCAGGCTCGGCTCGCGGCGAGAGAGACAGCTCTTGCCCGCGCCGAGGCCGGTGCTGAACAAGAGCACCGGGAGACCCTCGAGAGGCGCGTTGTCATCGAGAAGAAGAAAGAAGCGGCCTCCGAGGCTTTCCAAAAGAGGCAGAGAGAGGAAGAAACTCGTCGCCGTATCCGTGCGCAACAGCAGGCAGAGGCTGAGTCTCAACGCCTCCGCGATGAGACAAGGGCTCGTGAGCTCAAGCGTGTCAAGGATGAACAAGCCCGCATTCGACGCCAGGAGATAGAGAAACAACTGGCCGAACTTCAAAGTGGCATGAAGATCGACCTTCACGATGTGAACATTGACGAGCTTGATTCCAACCAAATCCGGTACCTGAAGTTGTCTCAACTTGAGAAAGACAAGAAAGAAAAGGACGAACGTATCCGCATTACGGCCAAGCGTCTTGATCACCTGGAGCGTGCATTCCGGCGTGAGGAGCTCAAGTACCAACAACAGGACTATGAGAAGCAGCGGGAGGAAGACCTGAAGATCTATGAGCTAAACAAAGAGCTCATATTGAAGGAAGCCCAGGAAAAGCATAAGGAAGGCCTGGCTCTGAAGCACCGTCTCAGCAGACTCGTCAAGGAATACGACGCTTTCAAGGGTCAGATCACGGAGCGTCGTGCTGCCGAGTTTGAGAGGCTTCGCAAGAGAGCCGAGCGGGAGTTTGAGGAAGAGAAGCGCAAAAGGATCAAGGCTTACCACGAGGAGAAGGCCCGGCAGCGTGCAGCCCAAGAAGCCGAAGAACGTCGCATCCGCGAGGAGGAGGAGCGTCTACAGCGCGAGGAAGAGGAGAAGGCGAAAGCTGAAGAAGAAAAGAAACGAGTTGCCGCCGAGCGACGAGCGCAGGCGGAGGCCGCTCGGCTCGAACGCGAAGAGGCTGCGAGAAAACAGATGCAACGCGAGGAAGAAGCCGCAGCGAGGAGGGCTGCTCGCAAAGCCGAACAGGGAGCACCGGCGCCGGCGCCGGCGCCGTTCTCTCGCGAAAAACCAAGAGAAGCCCCCCCGATGGAGGCCCGTACCGGCTCTCAGGATGGTCCACGGATTGCACCCCGCCTTCAACTGGCCGGCAAACCGGGCGGCGGCGGTGGCTGGCGCGAACGACAGGCCGCAAAGGAAGCCGCCACATCTGGCGGTCCCGGCCAAGCCCCTGCTGCTGAAGTTCCGGCCCCGTCTCAGGCTGCACCTTCAGTCCAAGAGCCACCAGCCCGTCGCCCAGGCGGGTACGTTCCACCTCATCTCCGTGACAGTGGATCATCTGCTCGACCTAGCGCAGATCATCCACCTGCTCGTGACTATCACCACCCGCCTGCTCGCGACCACCAGGGACCTCCGCGCAATTCGTCCGCTTCGCCCGCTAACGGCGCGCCGAGTGGACGTTACATGCCGGCTCACATGAGAGATGCAGGGCGCAGCTTGTCCCGAGAAGGTGCCGGTTCTCCCGCACAGGGCAGCGGTGACGAAGCAGCGCCGAGGAAGCCAGCGTCGGGAGGGCCAGGACGGTACGTGCCTCCAAGCATGCGCAACCGTCAACAGTGAAAGGTGAAAGTCGGTGGGTTGGGGAGTTGAGTTGGTTGGACAAAAGAAAGCATCGTGTGTGTGCGTGCGAGCGACGCCGCAGCTAGCTAGGTGAAGAATGAGGCGAAGCGAGGTGAGGGCAATGGAAGAGAGATATCGACCAGGCTGTGCTTGCTGTGCATCATTCATTCCTGCCTAAAAGTTAGTTTAGGTAACCATGTAATTTATTTACGTCTGCGGGCAAATTGAGGTTTTTCGTCGACTTCCCCATCATCATCATCAGCCAGATTGATTGAGACGGAGGGAAGGACGGCCACACATACATACATAGATGGTTATTGACGTTGTTATCATCGTCGTCGTATTATCGGGCGCAATCCAAGACGGGACGGCGCAAGGCCCAAGCAAACACACGGACATTTATCATAGCAACTTGTCCAAATCAGGGGCACATTCCTTTTTGGTTCGACATACATATATCCACGTATGTATGTATATCTAAGTTCTTTTTTTGCCTTTTCCCCTTTCTTGTCTATTGGTGATGACGCTGTGGGGTTCGTGGTGTTTGTGGTTCGCTAACTAACACTACCTATGCACTCTCGCTCACGAGCCCTTGCGGTCTGCTTATTCCTTTTCCCCTATTACGAGGTGCTGGGGACGAGGGATATTCCTGCTGTAGGTAGCCTATGGGATATAAGCAGCGTTATCCTGCCAGGGCTGGGAGTGTGACCTCCAACACGACCCTCCCCACGCCTGCATGCTTGATGTCCATGACCACGCGAGTCCTCGCGCCGAGCCTGTCCATTTCCCGAGCGAACTCGTCCACGCCGCCCCCGACGCCGAAGTAGACTCTTTTTGCGGCGACCCAGGCCCTGGTGGAGGGCGGAAGGGGCTGGGCACTGCCGCGTCCCGTCATCACTTCTCCCTCGATTCTGGTCCCCGATTGGCGGCGGGACCGGGAAGAAGGATTCCGCTGGAGGTGGAGGAGAGCGATGACGGTTTCTGAAAAGGTCTTGATCGAGGCGGGCGAGTAGATGGTCTCGGAAGCGAGGATGAGCAGGTTTGTTGGTGGTCGGAGTTTCTGGTCCATCATTCCTGATTCGTGCGGCGGCGTCGATGATGGTGAATGACGGATGAGGTCAAGGAATTCCGGGCCCCATGCCCCGGAGATGAAATCGAACGATATGCTGTCGGATGCCATGTCCTGGATGGTAGTCTTCACGAAGGACGCGCCTCCGAGTTCTTCAACATCGAGGTCTCCGTCCCAGCCACCCTCATCGAGCGACGGGGGCACTTTCCCTGAAGCGAACAGGTAGTTCAGGAGCACATTGGGCGCGGTAGCCAGTCGCAGGACGTCCACGTTGTAGTCGCATAACGTCACTTTGAGGCTCCCTCTAGGGGTCGGATGCGTTTTCCTCCTCTCAAGGAATTTTTGGATGAGAGCCAGAGTTGGAACTGCGCTGCCCGCGCCAAGTTCAATGACCTCCCAATGCTGCTGCTCTGGATCTAGATCGGGGGCGTCTCGGCCACCGCCAGAAAAGGCTGGTTCCGAGTCGACAAGGGAGGCCAGGTCGAGGGCACATTCCCACGTCTTGAAACCCCCCTCGTAGACGCCAGAGGAGAGGTCACCACTCTCTAGGCCCGCGAGGAGCGTGTTGGCGGTGTCCCCTTGTCCAGCGGATGGGTTCGCTTCGGCCATAAGCTGAGCGCGGATGTCAAACACCGAGCGACGGTAGAGGGTGGTCTCTCCCTCGGCCCCATGGTTGTTTGAGTTGAAGTCGGTGTCTTTGGGGAGGAGACTCTGACCGTCAGCGGCGGCGGGCCTGGGTACGTGTAGCCTGCTGTACGATATCTGGGATGGAAGGGACGCTAGCTGGGAAGAGCCGATGGTTGGTCATGAGACTGGACTGTCATGGTCTTGTGGGTGAAAAAGGTAGTAGCGCGGTTTCAACGCAGGTACAGAGTATTTATAGCCGGGCAGGGTGAGAAAGAGAAAGAGAGACGGGACGAACTTACCAATTCTTCCAGCGAATGTCTTTGTGGCCGGATGGAGACATTTGGAGGCTGCGCTGAGTCGGACAGTGTGTACTCGGAGATTTTGCTAGTAAGGGTATCGTGCGAGCCCGTGGCATCCCCATCGTCGTCCTCGATGTCATCGCCGCTAAAGCCGAACGAGAAAGACATGGGGTGTCTTGTCCGATTGCTGTGTATGTACTAGTTAGTATTCCGGATCCTAGAACGACGAAGGGCAACAAGTCAAGGGAAGGCTTCCGGCGAGGCCAGCGGAGGTCTTGGCATCCACGTGATGAGTAATCTACCCTCCTTCTGGTGTCGCCGCTTTTAAACACTGCTCCGCCACGGACTCACTCACTGACTCACTCACTGTACAGAGACCGTGATGGCGTGGCAATGTAATACACCGCTACATACTTACTGTACGGCTCCCTCAGGCACACCTCGCATGGACTAGCTATGCTCCTTGGGGGGCCTACCACGCGGTTTTTGTTAACCCGCCCCATTCCATCCGAACGCCGAAATCCCCAAACGGAAAGTGTTGGATTTCTATCTACGGGCGGGGGCCTTGGTGGCGCGTGTTTGGATTTAGATAATCAATGCGACCCCCGGATGATTATCTCTATTTGGACCTCCTGCCACTAATCAACAAGCGTGAAATAAAAAAAGGGACGAGGGGGATGACATTACATCCCTCTTACCCACCGGCGGAGAGTCCTTGGATTCATAGAGACAGCGAGAGAAAGAGATTCCCTCGACACTAGCCTCGAAAAGTTAAGCAATACATCCCCAATACATCGCAGGCTAGATCCATATAGAAGCCAGAGCTGGGGAGGTGGGGGGGGGCCTTAGTATTACGTGAATGGTGGTCCCATACCGGGATGACACACCCCCAGGACCAAGACTGGTAGTAGCTGTGACCCATCCAGGCTAGACCGGCGCACTGTTTACTTCAATCACCAATCAATCATTAAAATCAGCACTAAGGCGGCTGTTTGAACGTTGGTCGAAAACCTCGTCGTGTTGTGTCAAGGGCCACGGCGTATGCGGTATGCTGCTTATGCCTCTCCGCTCCGCTGGGCTTTTTCCTAATCTTCTTCTACCGTTGTATGTAATAGCGTGGCTGCTTATGGCATCTACCTTCCTGGGTATTTTTTGTGTTCTTTTTTCCATGCCTCTTTGGGATTGAACTGATTCATGACACTCTCGAGAAGAGAGACCAGCGTGATGATAGGAACATAGCATTGTGATCGGAAGACAAGATGGTTTTTGATTAAGCTGTCGCGTGCAAAGTCCCCCTCTCTATTGCTGCCATATGTGATACATATCAAGCGAAGAGCGCATGATCCGCGAACGTCGCCCCCGCCTGGAATCCGGCGAGTAGATTAGCGGCCTGGAACCAGTGACTGATCGGCAACGCGTTCATCCACTGCTGTACCACCGGGTTGTTGTGGTCATTCGGCCCCAGATCCATAAACACGATGCCGGGCCCCTTGGCCAGGTTCTGTAGCTTGACGCTGACGACCAGGAACGGCATGTAGAGAAAGGTGTTCCGCAGATTGGGGCCCGTTTGTTGGATCTCGTTGACGTGGAAGTGCTGGAATACCTGCGTGTCTGCCTGCCGGTAGAGAGGGTCCCCGACACTTACCGTGATGGGACCCGAATGCTCTGAATTTGGGAAGAAAATAAAGGATTAGAAAAGGCACCGTCTATCTGAAATAGGGGCTTGTGAACGGGGAGGAAGGATGTGAAGCCAGCAGCGGTAGCAGCAGTGGGTGGAGGTGACATTGAGCGGGAGGAGGAGAAAAATGAACTTACGCAACAGATCGACAATACACAGGAAGAAAGAAAACTGCCACACCGACCGCTGTCGCTGATTTTCCGGGTGATTGGGTGTGACCTGGGCCACCGGGGCGCCGCCGAGCATGACGGCTTCGTGGAGCGCGCCCCGGTGCGCCGTCTGCGTCTGAATGGTGGTGACCAGGTACGTCGCGAACGCCGTCCAGGTGGTGGAGTGCAGGATTTGTTGCATGCAGTTATTGATCTGTGTGATCACCACTTGGGCATTCAGTTGCGTCCCCGGGTTGTTTTGCTGGGCCTGCTCCTCCTCGATCTCGTCGTCGCTCCCAAATGCGGACAAGATGTCGGAGCCACCGTCGTCATCCGACAAGTTGCCACCGCCGGGATGAGGAGGCCCGGGAGGCGGTCCGGGCTGGGGAGGTCCGGGAAAGTGGCTCATTTTTTCGGTCTCGTAGAGTCGGTCGGGGGTATATATATATCGATAGTGTTCTATTGGGCTTGCGAGTGTTGGATTTCTCTTTCTCTCCCTCTCTTTCAGCTCCTGCTGGCCACGACTTGATGAACGACTGCTTCGGGTCTTTATATTGGCATGCAAAGTCAACGGAGTCTTGGCCGCTGGTGGATCGAATAATATAAAGTATATAGACATAAATATAGACGGGGAATGTGACGCAGTCAGAGTCCCACGGTGGAAAGCGACCCTGTCTGGACCACCACTAAAATCTGAGCGACGAAGATTTTACACCGTGTCTCTGTGTTACGATAAGCTCGCATCCATGTGGCTAGGTCCGGGCGGAGGAAGCGGCTGCCCAAGGGAATAGATAGGCAGTTGGCTGGAAAGAGAGGACCGACGAGGAAATGTCAGCCCGGTGTGGTATGGACGGTGTCGGTGAAGCAACAACAACCAACCCCCGGGTGGCCTCATGGGTGTGTCAGAGCAAAAGGTCTCGAGATTGGATACGGGCTGATATGGTTTCTATGAATGTCGTGAGGCGTGCTCTGTCAGGGCTGGCCCTAATGGTGGGTGGATCATAATAGAAGTCACCCGAAAAGCCACACAGGACCGTTCAAAACCAGCGGCACTACATTCTATGTTTATATTCACAGATAGCTTCAGGAAGCTGACCGCACACACGCACACACACAGATGCCTTAACACTCGGTGAGACTTTGAGGGTTAGAGCTGTGACCAGATTACATCCATCACCCCCCCAAAAAAAACCCATACATATTGCAGCGTGCACGGCCCCAGGAGTCCGCCGAATACTTCTTTCACCATTTTCCTCACCATCGTCTTACAAAACTTGCTACCATCTTCCCGCGCCCCGTGTGTGTTTCTTCCTCCTGAGCGCTGGTATCTACATTTTGGCTGGGCTCGAAAATTATCATCAACGACAACAATGGCAACCCCGAACCCAGGCACAGCCTTTCCACATCCTCAAGTGGTGAGAAGTCTGGTTCCCCAACCCAGGGGGGGAGCAGCACCACCACCACCACCATCAAGCGCAAATCCTCACCCAGCACCACTTGCTGCACCAGGAGGAGCTCCTGGTCCCAGCGCGCCGCCGCCCGCTGGAAGTGGTAGCCTTGTGCAGCCTGTCGTGATGCAGGGTCCTGTCACAATATTTACTTTCCCGAACGTCCCTGGGGCTCCAGCGCCAGCGCCTCAAGGAGCATCAACTCAGGGGAGACCGCCAGCGGGAGGACCGGCTGCGACGAAACCGTTTCAGAGTGTACCCCCGCAAGGAGCACCGGGGCTGGGGAGACCGCCAGCGGGAGGACCGCCTCAGGCGAGACCGTTCCAGAGCGTCCCCCCGCAGGGACCGGCGCCTCAGCCGAGACCAGCTCCGGGACCACCGCCTCCAGTATAGGCGCAGAAGGCGGAAAATAAGACAAGGAACTGGGGGATATGGGCCGTATAGAGCAGGGGACATCGGAAGAGTGTCCAACAAGCAAGCACCAAAGACTGTCGGTTGACCATTGAGCGAAGGCGGAGACGACTTGCCGAACATCGTCGTCGGGGCGTTGGGAGAGAACGAAGGAGCCTTGCTCGCAGGACGGATATAGATCACGTTTGGAAGTTGATGAAGTTGAGTATAGCTCAGTATGATTTTTATTTCCTCTCCATCATCAGTGCCGCGATCCGGGGTCGCTTGTTGTCGTCCCACTCGTCCCAGACGATGGAATAGACGGCCGTGTGCCTGCCGGGCTGTTCTTCCCCTGGCGTCCCATTGCGTACTCTGAGGGCTTCGGCGGAGAGACCGACCTCGCTACCGCGGCACCGCGGGAACACGCGATCCCAGCGGGCGATGCCCTCGAACTCGAACCCCAGCCGGGTGGCCGTGCGTCGCGACACGGCGTTGCCCGCGTGCGTCTGCCACACGACGCGGCGCAGGGCCAGACCCCCCGCGGCGGGCGGATCGAGCGTCCAGAAGAGGAGGAGGCCGATGGCGTTGGTGGCCACGTGGGTGCGTTGGAAGGCCGGGAAGATCATGACGCCGACCTCGGTGACGGCGTTGGTCGGGTTCGTCGCCATCAGGGACACCACGCCCGCGAATGTGTTGCCGTTGCCGCCCATCTCCGCTGCGGCCTTCAGAGAAGAGGCGAGGCCCTCCTCCTCTTGCACCTTCTTCTTCTGCTTCTTGTCCAGCACGGCGAACAGACAGTCAGCGGGCGACGAGTGGATACCCTCGTAGACCTTCATGAAATCCGCTTCGTCGTTGATGACCGGGAAGGGAATGTAGGAGAACATTTCCGGGTGGGCCTTGATCATCTCCACAAAGGGGGCGGCATGGACAGTGGGCTGGGGCGGGAGGAGCAGAGAGTCAGCAGGGATCTTTTGACGTTGGTTGCACGTACCTCGAACGGCACGAGAGCCACGAGGTCATTCTCCAGGCGTCGCTGCTCGTAGTGGAACGTCTGCTCCGCCATGATGCCGAACCACTGGGTTAGCTGGTTACACTGCCGCGGCGAGGGGAGGGGTGTAAAAGGATTCCGGTGGTTCGGCCCCAGAGAAAGAGAGAGACAGAGAGAGCGCGAGAGAGGTGCAAAAGGCCACTCAACAGCTGATTACTGATTATGTATTTCAGATGTCACCAGCTGGATTTTGTCGACGCCGAACAAGTCAAAATGATAATTCTCTGTATTAGGTACTCGCCTGAACTAGTCTCTCCACAGATAAACAAACAGACCCGCTTCGCTGGGAGCCTCACCGCCACGATTATTACATACATATTCGGTGCCCGTCAATCCACCGACTGATCGGTATGGCCTTTAGGGTATGCATGGCATTAGTAACACCATAACAACGAGGGGCCAAGAAGGGGATGGTCAGACTGTCGTTGAGATCCTGATCTGATGATCTGTGCGAGGTGCTGCGTGAGAAAGGGTATGTATCATAAGATCACAAATCATCTTGAGGGAGAAGGGAGGTGGCCTTAGCACAACAATTCTCGTGGATGGTAAGTGTTTTCTCACGCCCACTCCGCCTCCCTCTTCTCCAGCCTTACCTCCATCAGCGCACATGCCAGTCGACACATCAACTCAGGCTTCTGGTCCACCTCTTCCCACAGCGCCTGCACGTCGCTGCCCAGCCCAATGTGCTCGGCCGTCTTCAGACTCCTGGGGTCGATCCACGGCGCGAGACAAGGCCACACGTGCTGCGCCGTGGTGAAGAAAATGTCAATCCCCACGTCTCCGATCCCCTTGATCTTCTGGAGCTCTGCACGGATCTTGGCCGGGTCTTGGGATGCGGTCTTGACGAGAGTGTTGAGGTCGCCCTCTGCCCGAGCATCAGTCTAGGCGTCCACAAGGAAACCTGCGTGGCATAACGCAAAGTCTCAAACTTACCGTACTTCTCCTCGACCCGCTCCGCCAGCTGTCCCATAAATGTTGCTGTCTTCTCCCTGCGCCATCACCCCGATCAGGATTTCTGTTCAGGTGCAAAGGTTGCGCGACAACTGCACCACTTACCGATAGTGGGTATAGCCACCCTCCGTGAGCACCTGAGTCCTCTCCTCCCAGCTGCTTTTCTTCAAGACATCAAGCTTGTGATACCCGGCCTTGATGACAAGAGCGGTGGTTTTGGCCGCAATGCTATGCGACACGCGAGTGGAAGACAATATCGCATTCAAGAGCAGGGCCAATACGGTCTCCGGAGTTGCCTTGTCCGGGTGGTCAAGGTCGGTGTTGGAGAGAGGAAGAGCCCCAAAGTGCTGGAGAAGTTTCTCGATCTTCTGGCCATGTGGTCCCGAGAGTTTCTTCTGATCTCTCGTCGATTTTGGAGATGCCTTTTTGCGATCTTTCTCTTTCCCACCATCGTCGCGTGCACCTTTCACAGTGGTTTTTTTCACTTCCCCAACTTGGTCCTTCTTCTGTTGTTTTGTTTTCGGCTCTGTGGTTTTTGTCTTGGGGGCCTCGTCGCGGGATCTCTTGGTCCCTGTCTTTCCCTCGTTGGCCACGGCAGTCCCTTCACCTTGCGCTTTGCCCTTTGCCCGTGTGGTCACCATGGTGCTCTGGCTGATGCAATCTAACCTTTGTCGAGGTTGTCGCAACGTGAGGTCCGAAGGGATGTGAAGTCATTGGTGTACCGGTGTGATACCTGGGTTGGGGATGATGTCACAGGATGTGCGATCGTCGTTGGCCCCCAGGCATGGTGGGACTGTGTATGGCCTGTTTCATCGCACCATCTATCACCGAGCCATAAAAATCCGGGGAGGCAGAGGTTGTCACACTACATTCGCACCCAGGTACGTCGGGTCCCAGGTGGTCTGAGAGGACAAGGCGTCCCATTGTGTGTCCGGATGAATCTGCATCTTACTCGGATAGACATCCGGCTGGTGTTTCGTGACAGGTTTGTTGTATGAACCCTAGCCTGAGATCTCCCAGCTTACACTGATGACATTTGATGACCCTCGACTTACATCACAAGTTCCCGGTACTGCTCTCCCGGACATACCCCTTATATGGAGGGTACGTACCTGGTCCGCACAGACTTGGGTCATCCAGGACGCGGTACCTGCGCCAAGCTGGGCCGGTTCAGGGGTAACGGCGTAAGTGATTGGCTACAATGGCCCCTTGCAAAGGCTGTAAATTCTCCGATTGGGTGAGAAGTGGGAGAAACGAATATGAGATCGGACACGTCGATGATGATGGTGGTGATGATGATGGGGTTTCCGCAGGCTTTCCACATCTTTCTGTTCCTTCGCTTCGACATGTTCAGAATCTTGACGTCAAATATTCGACAGGAGAGCGATGGGGCGCACCCGGCAAACTCCGTCGTCCGAAACAAGTCGGCACAATGGCTCTTTCGATGGATCGGACGCAAGGGTCGGTCAGTCTCTTGAAGACCTCTACCTCATCGATTCCAAGCTGAAGTGAGCATTCATCCACAGAGACAAGAACAGGTATAGCAGTGACATAAAGGTCCCAAAGTCATGACGTCAGGTGGCGGGAGTGGCAGTTGAAGCAATTCTATAAAGCACAACATCCTCACTCTCTCTCTCTCATTCTCGTGTTCAAACTCTGGCACATATTCAACACTCATAAACAGCTCTCAATCAAAAAAAGAACAAGAAAGTCTCTTATCCTCCAAAAAGACTACAATGGCCGACAACCAGAACCCCGGTAACTTCGCCAACCGGCCCAAGGAAGAGGTCCAAGCCATCGCCTCGAAGGGCGGCCAGGCCAGCCACAGCGGCGGATTCGCCAGCATGGATCCCGACAAGCAGGTGAGTTTTTGCCTCTCTCCTCTCTCGTTCTTTTTCTCATATTCACGCAAATGTCTATCAACATGCCTGTGTGTTTCCTCCATATGGATATAGTGAGAAGATCCTTCGCTAACCGGCGTTATCTGCGCCTTCGACAGCGAGACATTGCATCGCAGGGCGGTCAGGCGTCATCTGGTTCCTTCGAGAAGGGTAGCGAGCGTGCCGCCGAGGCCGGTCGTAAGGGTGGATCGGCCACAGGATCGTCCTAGATGATTCTGTACAATCACTATTAACGGAGAGCGAGGAGAGTGGCGGTACGATTGTCGTCGGGATGCTGGTGGTTATGTTGGACATGGAGAGATGTGCACGGAGAGAATAGTATTTTGTAACAACACAACACATGAGAAATGTGGCAGACTTTAGCAGCCTGAAGTCAAGTAGCATCAACCCACACCGAGATCAAGACAGGGTGTTCTCCAGTCATTCGTTGATGCTAGCTTATAACAATGCAACAACAGTTCAGATTTATCTTCAGATTCTGTCCTATCACCACTATCGAATTTTCCTAATGTCCGTAGATTGATGGTTTTTGAGAAAATTTGTGTCCCTAAATCTAGTAAGTCGAGATACCTCTGTCCTCTGGACTCGCTTCGCCGTCAAGGTTGATAAATTATGACTCTGCGTAAGCGCTCTTCGCCCTCAACTTGGCCCCATACCACCTAAAAAACAACGGAGCAGGGGCCAGGAGCAAACCAATACACCCCAGCAGAGTCATCGTCCAGTGCACTCCGATCCCCGTGTACATGGGTCTCGCCGCCATGACCATCGTCCCAGCAATGAGATACCGCGCCATCGTGATGCTTGCAAGCGCGACAGCACTGTGTTCGGTGTAGCTGTCGACGATGTACTCGTAGCTACTCACATACACGGCGGTCGCCACGATGCCGAAGCAAAAGCAAGCTGCCAAACCAGACCACAGTGAAATACTAGGATAGTTGGTCCACCCGAGCCAGAACAAGGAGATGGGCATCAGTGGTGCCGTGGCGATGGCCGGCCACAGTCTGTACTCAGGCTTGATCCAGGCTTGCCTCACATAGTTCGTGTGGACTCGTGTGAAGTGAAAGAGGGCTGGTGCAAATAGTGTAAAGAACGTGGACCCCGCCGCGATGGATGCGAAGCACGAGCCCGTCAGCCCATCTGACAGCCCGTACGTCTTTTTGAAGATGTAGTCGAATCCAGACAAGAATGTAAACATGAGGATATAGACGAGTATCAAGTAACCACCCAGGACTGCAACGACGGGCTCGCTTGTGAAGAACACAACCGGCATTGGGAGGGTCTGGCGCAAACGCTGGAGGAACTGTGCCTTTTCAGCATGCCCAGATACGTACCTGGGAGATCCGGACACACGGCGAAGATGTCTGGCTTTCCAGTCCAGCAGAACCGGTAGGTACGTTTCGGGAAGGAAGAGGGAAGCAACAATGAAGGCGAAGCCGGATATGATGAGTGTGACCCAGTCAGTCCAATGCCAACTGAGGTTACGATTTTGGACCAGCCATCCACCCGCGACGGGTGCGAGCATAGGAGCTTGAAATCTGCGTCAGCGGACAGGTGGAGAGGTATAAGAAAGGGAATAATTCCTTACCAGCGACGTTTGCCCATGCAATGACTGGGAAAGCAAAGGCTCGCTTGACCGGTCGAAACTGATCGCTCACACTGGCGCCATTGATGCCTAGGGTGGCACTGGCAAAGACGCCCACAAAGTATCGGCACACAATCCGTCCGCCCAAGTTGGACGTCAACGCTGTCCCAAGCACAAAGCATAGGTAACCAATGGTTGCTCCAAGGTACGTCGGGTTTCTTCCTATAGTCTCGGAAAGAGGGCCACAGAAGAGGCATCCGGATCCGATCCCCAGCAGGTACAAGGCTTGAGAAAGATTCGCTGCCACCCTGCTCACCCCGTAATCTTGACTCATCCGTGAGTTGGCCATGGAATCTGCGGCGCTCGCCCATCCCTGGGAGAAAATAAGGAGACAGAGGACGGCGATGTTCTTGCACCGTGCGAGGAGCGGCCAGTTGTGCGGATCGATAGGGTCATCGTCTCCCGTGATGTCAACAATGATCTTGCCATTGCCGGAGGAGCTGCTACCCTCTGACTTCGTCCGGTCCCTAGACGAGCCCTTTTCACGGACATCGTTGAATCCCCTTAGTAATCCTTGTCCAGATCCAACCTCGACATCGCGTAAAGCACTCTTGTTATCGGTGTCACCTTGTTTTTGCCCCTTCTCTTGCCATTCGCGCTCGACCTGCCTTCCGATCCGTCGGTATTGCACTAGGGACCACATTGATCGCTATCGCTATCGCTCGTGAGGCGAGTCGTGAGTCTGGTAGGTCAGTCCACATGATAGGTCTTCATTAAGTACAAAGAACACCAAAGATACGTGTATGTTGCCAATTGAAGAAAGTGTACGCCAAAATATTGGGCTCAGTGCCGGATATTTGTACTGCGATATTTTGCTGCGAGGGGTCGCGTGAGGAGTTTCCTCTTTGTACGTTTTGCCCATGGAGTCAATCTCGCCAAATACGGGGATCTTCGAACCGAGCATCTTGCATGTGACGTCAAATTCGCAGTGGATGGAGTGAGTAGAGCGTATAGAAGTGACTTATTGGAGGGCCGAGCATTTGTTTTCTCTACCGGTCATCCTTGTCCACGCTAACATGACATCATAGTCGAAGGGGATCTGAAGAGTTCCATTTGACGTGCTGATACTGGACAGATAACGCTGGCTTCCAGTGTCGTGGAGGTACGTCCAGATGGTGGTTCGAATCAAACGGAGGGTCCAGTGTCGCAGTGGGAGAGCATGAAACTGGTACGTCAAGGTGAACAATGAAGATCAAGTTGAAGATGTGATAGCGTTATGGGGGAAACACAGCCGCCCTATGGCCACTAGGCCAATGCAGAGCAATCAGCTGGGATAATATTCTTTTCTGTCCGCTTCCAATTGCAACAGCTTCTACGTTGCCCGTTGATCGGGCCTAGGTCTTAGCCGTGAGCATATTCCGGAGTCGGCACTCTCATATCTTGGACCTAATAGTAGATACTGATGTGGTGCAGACGGAGACGAATATAGACGAGGTCGCTTAGCTATAACGATAGGTTTTAATGCTATCCCAACAAGTCAGACCTGGAATCTATGCATGCAATTCTATAGCTTATGCTTCGTCCCACTGGACTTTGGACATTTATGCGAACTCCACGGTGTTACGCAGCGTCCCGATCTTCGAGATTTGCACCTCCATCTTCGTCCCTGGGGTGAGATATCTCGGAGGCTTCATGCCAGAACCGACACCTGTACAGAACACAACCCAGGTCAGCGTATCCGGAACAAGGCAGTTAGATTAGGGCAGCTTGGACTGACCTCCTGGCGTCCCCGTCATAATGACACTCCCCTTCTGTAGGGTCGTCCCCTGACTCAGATAGGAGATGATGTACGGACAGTCGAAGAGCAGGTCCGACACGCTCTCGCTTTGTCGCGTTTCGCCGTCGACGATCGTCTTCAGGTGCAACTCCGCCGGGTTCCCGATGAGGTCGGGGGCCACGAGACACGGTCCCAGGGGAGCGAAGGTGTCGAAGCCCTTGGAGAAGCCCCATTGAGGGACTCTCCCGGCCAGTTCCGGATCTCGCTGGAGTTTCCGTGACGAGACGTCGTTGCCAGCTGTATACGCGCCCACGTAGTCCAGGGCTTGGTCAAGAGGGACGTCTTTCGCGTCGCGGCCAATGACGATACACTGTGGAAGACACGGTTAACAGATGACTTACTACAAACCAAAGCAGAGGGATCTTACTAGTTCTCCTTCATAGTCTGCCTGGTCGTCTTGTGCTAGCTTTGGTATTACCACCGGAGCATCGTGGTCCTGAACGGTCGTGTTCGGCTTGAAGAAAATGAACGGAAATGGTGGAGGTTGTCGTCCCGCTTCCTTGACTATATGTCCAACACAGTCAATATCACTTCGATGTCCCTTCATGCTTGCAAAAGGTCCTCCATAGTGGGGCAAGGAAATAGCAGATCGAGACCCGGATCGTGGGAGACATCAAAACGTACTATGCTTTGCATAATTCAACCCCACACATCTCAGAATCGGCACCTCCTCTCGCGCCAATGGGCCGAGGAGCTTCTTCACCGTGACGACCTCATCCGTCACTTTGGTCTTGCCCGTCGTATCGAAGATGTCGTCTCCTTCGATGACCTTGGCCTTCAACTGGTCGGATTCCGTGACATTGCCCAAATCGAAGTCCTCGCTGGGCAAAATTGGTTCACCACGCAGGACTCGGCCGTCGGTAGCGACGAACCGGATGAGTCTCGTCCAGGGTAACTTCATCTTGAGAGCGATGTCTTGGAAGAATGCCGATGGAAGTTGTTGGTCTTCTGTACGGTTGAGATGGTTGTCGAGTCCAATGGCCCGTTGGTATTATTTACCCACGAGATAGCCATGTGGGGTTCGTTGGACGGAGGTAAGTGGAGGGAAGCACGGGGAAAGAACGGAATGGCGTGCCCATGCTGATTCCTCCCAGCGACATGGACGAGAATGAGACGGAGTTTCTCGGCCACAGGTGCGACGCTTGCAGTGCTACAGCAAGCGATCAAGGCACTTGAGATTTATCGAGAGAGGTGGTTGATTGTTCAGTCTAGTGCTACCTCATACGTCCCGGCTACAGGTTGTCGTCTTCTCAGCCTGCCATCATAGCAGTCAACCCGGGCTCAACACCGACAAGGTCTGCGAATAGGTCGAGACTGTTGTCTGTCCAATACTGGTGCATACTCATGTCAAAAGCTGCGAACGGGTCGTCTTGACCCAAGATCGGTAGGAGGCCATTCGTTGCCATATTCCCATCCATGGCTCCTTGAGGCTGCAAAGAGAGGCTGCTCTGGCTATTTACCTGGGCCGCCTCGCTTTGCTGACCGGAGGACAGAGTCGATAAGATAGCCGGGCCATGTTCGGGATTGAGCTGCACGAGTGTCATGGATATCTGAACAAGTTTCACGAGTGTCTTTCTGATTCTCTTTGCGGATTTGGTGCCCTCGCCAAACCGCTTCAGAGTCTCCATCGCCCTTCGAAGTCGCGTAATCATTTCGACAATTTTGCCAGGGTCCAAGGAGTCGTTGCCGGCTATCGGTGGACTGTTGACAGTGCGTACGTTTGACGGAGTAATTTCTAGCAAAATGCAACTGAATATCACAAGGGCCGCATTGAAGGCTTCATAGACATGGTTAGCATCAGATACAGATTAGTGGACAAAGCAGAGTGCTTACTGTAATAGGCAGTGAACCACCATGCCCCCAGCAAGGCCGGTGGCTTACTCGTCTTGTGGACAATCTCGACGATTTCCATGGCAGCTTGCCGGCAAATTTTGACGCTCCGTTCCCCGAGATCGTTGAAAAAGGGATCTTCCTGCTCGATTGGTTCGCCAGGCACTTTCACCCGAGCCCTCTGGCGTAGAAAGGCACTCAAGATTGGTCTGTGCAGTAAGATCCGCGTATTGAGATATCTGAGCGTGATGATAACGCTCAATCTGTCGAAAACAGGGTCCCAGGCAGAGAGAGAGACCGTATCAGGATCAAGAGTGTCCCAGGGCCTCCGTTGTAGTGGAGGAAACAGGTTATGTTTCCAGGCGGCCAGCTTCTGTTCAAGAACGACGGTTCTTTCCATCATGGTTGGGACGGTCAGCCCTGGATCAATGTCCACATTGCCCCCATAGAGCTCGGAAATTATATCTCCCAATATATAGTATAGTTGTCTACTAACGGTTAGTCACGAGCTCATTGGAAGAAGAGGAAAGAGCTTACATTGTGGCAGTAAACAGGCAAACTGTGTCTGGCGGATCCAAGCTGCTCATCGAAGTCGCAGAATGTCCTAGCATTGACAGTCGCTCCAAGTTCTGATTCAACGGAAGATCTAGTTTTATTATAGAGTTGGGCATCATGCAAGGGCGACCAAAGGTCATGCTCAGCGTCCTAGAGCCAATGAGATTTTATTTTTGGTCCTGTTTGATGCTTGTATGCTCACCTGTCTAAGATCATACACCCAAACCACGTCCGCTTGCGTATCTCGGCTTCTACTAGATTGAGCTCTGAAGAAGCAGACTGTGAGTGTAATCCTAGTTGAATTGCTGCGCGGACTGCGAGGCCATGCAGGTTCCAGGCCTGGTCAGATCGTTGAGTGCCTTGACGATATTGCGCCATCAAGAGCAAGCATTGAACTGCTGCCAGTTAGTGATATCCTCCGGCGTGCGTATCTCGCAGATGTATTGTGGCCGCAACTGCCTGGATAAACGCCGAAGAAATTGTCTCAATAAATACTTACCTGTCTCTAAGCTGGCTGATTTCATCTCGATCTCAGCAGATAAGGCTTGTGCCCTTTCTATAAAGATTTCTGACTCGGCGGCATTCTTTTCCGCCGTCTGGTCAGGTTTAGCGCTGATATAAGTGGCAAACGCAAATATGGCGTTCACGAGGCATAGCCATGAACGGCTCACTGCACTGAAGCGGTTTCGACGAGCAGCGGAGTATGTGCGAAGAATATCTTGTTCGTGAATGTATGGAAACAGCATTCCCGTATCAGAGAAGAACAATCTGATGAGGTGCAGGGCGCGCTCTTCCGGAGGGAGCGACCGGATATTGATGTGGTGTCGAGCGATGGGGCTGGTCTCTGAGAGAGTTGTAGTGACTGGCGAGGCCACCCTGGAGACGATAGGCTGACTGATTCCACTTTCAGAGTGTCGAGACTGCCCTATTGCCTTCAACGTAGCTGAAGTCGCATCCGATATATGGCGGAGCAACGCGATGTTCGAGGATGGGCCAAAAAACCTCGATTCCGTCTCTTCCGGGTCTGTGATAGCGGCCATGCCGTCCACGGAGTCCTCAGCATTTTGTTGCATGGAGTCATCCTCGTCGAGGATGGCAACATCTTCATCGTCGTTCGGAACTTGCGGTGGCTCGTGAACGATGGTATTCGCTTCCAGGCTCGGCCGGCTTTGCTCGTGGCTTGGTGGGTTTGGCTGCTCAGAGCCATCCGACGAGGGGTGGTTCCGATTCACAAGCAGCCTGAGCGTGTCCTCAATAGCCCGCAACCTCTCATCATAGCCTGATTGTAACTGAGGCGGCCTGATATTACCCGCTGCAGGTTGTTGATATATGCACTCGAACCCGAGTTCAACGCATAGACTGCAGGAAGGCCTAGCGCCATTGCAACGTGATTTGCGATTCCTGCAGGATGTGCAAGCTAGCGCGATACGCCGCCGTTTGTATGAGGGCGGTGGTGTCGTTTGGTCCTGATCATGTAATTCGCCCTGGGAGCTCTTCCGAACTTGGGCATCCGACATCGCGACCCTTCTCCTTGGGGTTTCCTTTGTCGAGGCAACGTGGTATGACTCGTCACGTGTGCTTCAGGAGCATCACCAGAGGTGAAAGCAGAGCCAACAGAAGGGGTATATCGGGGAAGAAGCTGTCTTTTTGTATGTTTGTGGAGATTTAATGAGGGCCAGGCTGGGCTCGATTGCTTCCACCCGCCTGTTCATTACCCACAGGTCTAGCCTACAGCACCGTAGCCTTTCGACATATGCAATTGAATATTCAAAGCACCATTTTTGTGTGTGGACTGAAAAGCCGCCATGTTCCGCTCGTCTTCGAGTCTGGGGATTAGCAGCTTCAATCGCTTCATTGATGCCAAGGCTGCATCTCCGATTTATACCCGATAGTGTGGACGGGTATATGTTGCTGTCTGACGCTGCTAATCACCAGCAAAGTAGTCGCCATTATGCGGTGTCTGACGGTGAATTTTCAAAACCCCTCTCGGCCACCAGCATCTCGTCTCTTGTCGCTCTCTCCGTCTCTACTGACACTATCTCCTCAATGATGATCGTATGCTGTGTGTGCCACGCTCTTCTGTGCCCTGTCATTCGCTTATCAGATTTATGGGCAAGCTCTACCTTCCTGTGGAAGGAGTATCATGAACACCAAGATGGCGCATGGGCGCGATGACACCCCTGCTCAACACCCAATGAAAGGTCGAGTATGAGCTGCTAAAGTGCGAAAGTCATTCATCATAACCTTGACCATCATCAGCGACAGCTCTGATGGCAAGAATTTGAAGCATTGCCGTCAGCATGGCTACTTATATCTCGTTTTGACCTCCTCAATCGTCAGGGTTTGATGCCGAACCTGTGCCTTCAAGGCCTTTTCTCGCCATCCGTTCAGCTTCTGTGGATACACCGGAACTATCCCGTCAATCTGAGCGTCATGGGCGAGTACTACAAAGACACTCGGATTGGAGTGCAAAGCCTTGGTCCTCTGGATGGTTCTCCTTGCGCTGACTGGATCTTTGTGAAACCCAGGCTGACCGTTTGGTCCCACGTCGATGCTGATGTCTCGAGACGGATGTTCGAGCAAATCCCTATGATGACAGCAGTCGCCTCCCATAACAACCCATTCATCCTCACCAGTCCGTGCTAGCGCCATCTGATGACCAGGCATATGACCCGGCGCATCAAGTATGAAGAAAGACCCATCGCCAAAGATATCTACCCCTTCCTCAAAGGCGAATGAAGGGGGCACAGAAGCTTCCTCAAGTCGACCGTATTGTGATATGTCCAGCTCAATGAACCCCTGGTGGGCGAGCACTGAGCCGTCGAAAGGCGAACCATCAATGGTCGGGTATCCTGGATGAATGCAGTCTCGCGTTCCCGGCCCGACAATGATCTTAGATCGAGGAAAGCGCTCAACATCCCCACTGTGGTCAAAATGCATATGACTCAACACCACCATATCAATGAGCTCTGGCTTTACTGGCCCCTCTGAGAGCAGGTCGTGTGCATCTTTGGGAACGTAGGGCTCAATTGCATCATAATCCTCCCTAATGACCCTGGGGTTATTGTCCAGGTCCTACGATTGTCCGCGTCAGCATGTGCACAGAAAGTCATTAACGCTTGGATCCTCGAAAATAACTGACCTTGCGCATGCCAAGATCAAACAGTACATTCTGGCCCGAAGGGTGTTGAATGAGGAAACTATAGTCTGGAGACAGGTGGCGGACTTTCAAGTCTCCATCAGCAAAGATCCAGCGATCTGGGAGCCAGAGATATCCGGTTGGAAGGACATATACATCAACTGTCCGAGGCACGACCATTTCGAGCGATCAGGAGATATAGCTGTGACAATGTCTCGAATGAAGTGAACACTCGAGGGAACTCACCCATATCTATTCACAATCACCGCCAGGAAGATCGATGTCCAGGGTGCAAAACCCCAAGTCCGAGGATCAGCGTGCCAAATCGGCTTCCCTTCGGCTTTAAGACGCTTCAATTCTCCGCTTCCGATACACACCCCTTTCGATGCAACGGGGTATTCTCTTACAAGAATTAAGCATTCATATGGAGAGAGCTACTGGGTGGAGCATTCTTAATATATCTTGGGTCAAGATTTTGCAACATTTCACAAGCTCCTTTGAGCTGTGACCAAGTCCGTATTCATCGGATCCTCGATCTGTTCTATTGTCAACCCCAAACACGAAATGGAACGAATCGATACGCACGCCCACGTTGTGCCTGCGGTTTGGCGCAACTTTTGTTGCAAGTATGGGTTTGATCGGCCAGATGGCATGCCTGCTATTCCCGTAGGTACGCTGCTCTTCGTGTAAGATGTCTAAGCTTATCTACTTTCCAGGCTTGGACACCGGAGGCGCATCTTGACCTGATGGACAAATTGGGCATCTCCAAATCCATCCTGAGCATTACATCTCCTGGGACGCATCTGAAGCCAGACGACGACAAACTGGCCCGAACCATTACTCAGGAGTCGAACGATGAAATTGCACGTATTTGTCGATCACACCCCGACCGGTTCGCCTTTTTCGCATCCTTACCGCTCCCAGATGTCACCGGCTCCGTTGCGGAAATCGATCGTGCTCTTGACAGCTTGGGGGCGGTGGGTTTTGCGCTTATGACCAATGCACACGGATATTATTTGGGTGATGCTCATCTCGAGAAAGTCTTTGCGAAGCTGAACGAGAGGAAAGCGATAGTATTCATGCACCCGACCTCATGCCACTCGCCAAAGCTACCGGAAGCTGAGAGACCACTTTCAAAGTATCCTGCACCAATGCTCGAATTCTTTTTCGACACCACACGCGCAGTTGTCAATCTGATTCTATCGGGCACTGTGGCACGCTACCCGAATATTACATATCTGGTTTCACATTGTGGTGGTGCACTGCCGCCCTTGGTTGAGAGATTCTCATCGTTTGCAACGAGAGTTTTGGGTAGTGATGAGGCCGTGGATTCATCGCAGGTGAAAGAATTATTCAAATCGAGGTTCTACTTCGACTTGGCTGGGTTTCCATTTCCAGACCAGATTCACGGGCTCCTGCGCATGGCAGATTCTTCCAGGTTGCTGTATGGCAGTGACTTTCCCTACACTCCAGCTTCAGCGCTGACTGGAATGTCTACACGAATGGACGAGGAATTGAACAGCTTGTTCGATGAGGAAGTAGTTCGGGAGATCTACTCGGGCAACGCAAAGAGACTTCTGAAGATCTGAAAGGTAGCCCAGCTCCGCAGACAAAAAGCGAATTGGCCAAACGCCACTCCTAGCTGTTCTTCCGTCTTTCTCAATAGGTCGCGAAATGCGAGTTCTAAGTGGTCGACAGCTGGCTCTCGCATAATATTGGGGTTTCCTCGTCGGGTCACACGCGTCCTTGAGCGGCAAAGCGGCCGCACCAAGACCTTGGCCGCCTCGTATAATTACAGCCTTGTGTCCTATCTCCGCCCGACCAGGGATGTTCGAGCCAAGTCGGGAACCGGTGTATGGACACATATGAAGATTCGCAAACTCGTCCGAGATTCCCCCTGCGTTGGGAAGACAATGTTGTACAAGTCATGGCTATATCCTCTCCACAGCCAAAAAGGTCGGCGGACGATAATTTCCTTGCCACTGTGGAACACCTGGTATAAAGGGACTTTACGGATTGGGCGAAACGCGAGAAACCTTCGGTGAAAGGTATTCTCTGTATTCACAATGCTCGCTGCCAGTAAAGCCGTCGACATGCACATCGAGAACAGGATAGCGGAGGTCGAAAACAAGCACCAGGAGTTAGGTCAAGATGCCTTGGTCGACCCCCACGATCCTCTCTCTTGGAGCACTGCGCGGAAGCTTACCATCCTCGTTGTTGTCGGCCTCTGGATTTTGCTGGGGACTTCGAACATGATCATAATCGCCCCGGCCCTCCAAATCATTCCCGTCGAGTTTCACTCGTCTTTCAACACTTCGACTTACCTCGTCGGGGGCCCACTCTTGGCATACGGCATTTCTTCCTTCATCTGGGTGCCTCTGGGTAACAGATATGGTATCAGACTCGTCTTCGTTCTCGGTTCGCTGGGTGCCGCCTGCATGGACTGCTGGGCTGCCAAGGCAACATCGTTCGGGAGTCTCGTCGCCGCCAGGACCCTAGCTTCGATGTTCTATGCACCTCCCGAAACGCTAGCACCTCAACTTGTGGGCGACGTCTTCCATTTCAAAGACAGAGCAAAGGCCATGACGTGGGTTGGCATCTTACAAGCCAGCGGTTTTTCAGGTGGGCCTCTGATCGGAGCCTTCATCATTCAAAACCAGTCAGTGTATACCGTTCGTGTGCCTGCATATATGCTAAACCACAGTAACAGATCTCTTGGGTGGCGCTGGATCGAATGGGTCCTAGCCATCATCACATTCGGCGCTGCAGCTTTGATGCTCATTCTCCTACCGGAAACTCAATACACGAGACACATGGAAGAAACGACGACATTGATAAGGTCATGGAAGGATGACTTGCGATTTTGGCCGGTCAGTGGAGGAGGGAGACCGAAAGAGCACAGGTACGGTGAAATCCAGGGCCTGAGCAATGGACATGTTGGCTGACTTCTTCCCAGTGTCCTCCACGGACTGGCGACCATAATTCCATATTTTGGACATCCGGTCATTATTCTCAATACAGCATTCTTTTCTTTGACACTCCTGGTCACTAGTTATACCTTGGTATGATAGTCTTCTTCCAGCAGTGCACTGCATCTCTGACAGCATTTAGACCACACAATCTATTTCCTATCTGACGGTATATCCATTTTCTATCGGGAATTCCGGCCTGACCTTCATTGCACCTTTGATCGGTACCTGGATGGCGATGCTATTCTGCGGTGTTCTGGCAGATCGGATGTTCAATCGATTGACGAAGAAGGAAGGGCGAAAGCCAAAGCCGGAGCGCCGATTACCTCTCCTGATAGTGACCGGAGTGGTTGGTATTGGCGGCTCACTTCTTTTCGGCATTTGTACTCAGGAGAAATGCCACTGGGTTGCCCCTCTATTTGGATCATGCTTCGGTATGTACATGACAATCCCCTGGCCTCCAAATATAAGTTGAACACTGACGACTGTCCTCTTCTAGTCAGTTTCTGCTTCATCGCCTCTCTTAGCATTTCATTCGCGTATCTGCTCGATGTATACGAGGCGAGAATGGATACCGTCATGGTCATCGACAATGGAATGAAGAACCTGGCAGCATTTGGCATCAGCTACGCCATTGTGCCGTGGAATACAAGTGCGGGCTATTCAATTCCATTTGCTGTGATGGCCGTGATTCTCTTCGTTGCACATCTGCTCATGGCTGTGGTCTACTTGAAGGGTGAGGCAATGAGGAAGTGGAGTGCTCAGCGTTTCGAGTCGGCGAGAACAACGCATCACGGGGATGCCTTCTGAGGCGACAGAGGACGATACCATCCATGCACAGGGACAGCGAGTAGCAACTGGGGGAGAGAGAGCTCTGGGGAGAGCTTTGTGTGTTAATAGTTTGGGGCACAAGTATACAGGAATCCCCCATGCGTGCCCTCTCGACCTTGCGAGGCCACCAAATAGCTGTTCAGGAGGTCAGCCTTGTGAAGCCCGTGGGCCAGTTTGGGGCCGTTTTACAGCGCGCATTGTCAGACAGTTCAAATGACACCTGTCGCACCAACTTGGCACGTGCTTGGTGAGCCCAAGCACCGGGTCTGATAGAAATTGATTTCAAATGACTGCTAAATTCACGACTGCTCCTGCTCATGGCAATCCGTAATTGCCACACTCGGTCCTCCATCGTCCTCCTCTTGCGCTGCCCGACACACGCAGACAGCCTGTCTCCGAACGCATCATACCTCCGAACCCCAGGTAAGTGATTGACCAGGCTCGCAAGGCCCCAAAATCCGAATTCTGGAGATAATACTCGGAGGGGGCGTGGAGACGGTGACAACGGGTAAGCGTCGGACGGTGGTGAGCGGCCGCCTCACTGCCCACCAGGATCATCCCCTTTTCCCCCACAAGCCCACAAAAATTGCCCACCATGTTCCCGCACAACGATATCTATTCTTGGCAATGGACAAGGCTGATTCACAGCATGAAGTACTTCGGCAAGTTGTCCTAGCGGGTCCATTTGACGCCTGCTGAGGGACAGAGAGTCGACGTTGGCGGCTAAATGTTATAATCTGGTGTATATCACTGGTGCATAGCGTCTTTTCACTGTTGCACTGCAAGGCAAACCGATTGTGCACAGACACAGAAGACTAGGAGAAAGACGAGAAGCCTCGGGGACTTACAATGGCATCACCAATACCCAAGACACAGATCGCGGCCTGGCTTGAAAAGCCCCAGCCTGGGGCGCAACTCCAGATCCGGAACGATATCGAGGTTCCATCTCCCAAAGAAGGCGAAGTGCTCGTCAAGCTGGAATACACGGGCTTCTGGTGAGCACCGTCCTTACGTCCCCCTGTCCACGAGCTGCGGGAAACTGAGCCTTGCTCTTGCAAAGCCATTCAGATGTGCACAGCATATATGGCGAAACGCCGATGAGCACCGACATCGCTGGTCATGAAGGTGTAGGACGCGTGGTCGAGCGTAGGCTGCCCCCCGCCCGTTTGGAGATCTATCAAGATTGACAATATGCAGTTGGGCCCAATGTTCCGGAAGAGATGATGAACGCCAGGCTGGGAATCAAGTCAGTCCATCTCGCCCTCTTGGTCAATTCAGGGCCACTCAACTCTAGCTGACAATTGGGGTATCGCCTTTGCAAAGGTGGCAGTACAGCACATGCGGCACGTGCGAGATATGCGCCGTTAATCCCACAGCATGTCCCACCCAGATCAACTCTGGACGGGTGAGTCATTCACCTGCACGCGAAGATAGCCTACTTGTGACGCTGACTGACTGCTGCTAGAACACAAGAGGCACTTTCCAACGTACGGCCATGTCCTCACGCTTTAGAGAGATCCGCTAGCTGACTGACAAAAGAGTACATCGTGACTCCGTTGAAGCATGCCACCAAGATTCCGGCGGGATTGAAGCCTGAAATCGCAGCTCCTTTACTTTGCGGTATGTTTCAGCCGCTCTGCCCTAGTTATCTTGTCTGACTTGTCATGAAACAGCGGGACTGACCATGTATTCTGCCCTTGCGAAAGCAAGGCTGCGTCCGGGAGACTGGGTCGTCATACCGGGTGCAGGAGGAGGTTTAGGGCATCTGTAAGTCTTCTTTAGTTGAATTGTCTGCTGTGGACATGAGGAGTAATCTTCGGCAGTGGCGTCCAGATCGCTGCCAAACGCGGGTATAAAGTGATTGCCATCGACGCCGGGGAGTCGAAGAGGGAAATGTGTATGAAGCTTGGAGCAGCTGTTTTCCTTGATTTCAAGACGGACTCGGTAAGGACACTCCTCCATGGCTGCCAGAGCATTGCAACTCATTACAATGACAGATCGAGGCGGAAGTGAAGCGTCTCACCAACGGATTCGGAGCCCATGCGACTATTGTCACAGTCGGGAGCGATGCTGCGTACGATCAAGCATTGAAGCTGCTCCGAAATCTTGGGACCCTGGTGTGTATCGGACTGCCCAAGTCGGGGCTCGGCTTACCGATCTCGCCGTTTCTGATGTGTGTAAGAAGTAAGTTTGGAGGCAGCATTCTTGAAATCGAAGTCCTATGTCGTGATAAGTGGTCTAACTCACGGCGCAGGTCTTACCATTGTGGGATCTTCAGTTGGGACTGCCCAGGAGATGGACGAACTGCTTGAGATGGCTGTCAAGGGAGATGTAAAGCCTGAGATATCTGTGTTTGAGTTCGATGAGATCAACAATATCATGGAGAAGCTGGCGAGGTTCGAGATTGGAGGCAGAGTCGTCCTGAGAATCCCGGAGTGAAGGAGGACGCCAAGGGAGTCTCTCATTGTTACCATTCACCCTCGACCCAAGCGGGTCCAGGGAGGGAGGGTCAGGCACAAAGACAATTAAATCACTTGCATATATTTTTGTTCTTCCGAAATGCTCTCACACAAAGACCCCCTTACCACGACAAGGGCGAAGACACGAGTTCGAACCACAGCACCAACACATCAACACAGTTTGAGTCTTGTCAGGTCAAACTAACACCGGGTTAGCGGCAACAAGACTCCTGATCGCCCCTGCTCAACCCTTATAGAAATTCGTAGTATAACCGGCCGATGAAAAACCAACCCGCAAGGGCGAGTTTCGCTTATCACAGACCAGCTTATGGGTTGAGCTGCTTTGTGATAAGTTTTTGCCATTTTATGCGACTCGGGGGGGCTTTTTGTTTCTTCTTTTCCCTTTTATTTTCCCACGCTGGCAATTTCTACCATGATTATTTGTGTGGAAGAGCAGCAGACCTCGCTCACCCAACTGTCACAACTTGTACTGTGATATTCTGGGAAAGTGATGGCGCAAGGCTGAGAAACGTCGGAGTGCCTGGGGGCGCGCCAAGATCTTGGAAATCAATACAAAGAAAACCCGGGCAATGCATGGTCACACACTACCTCGTATGTTGTTGGTCAATGGTCAAATGCGATATCTCGTCCCGAGACAGGCCCCTCCAGCAGAACAAGCTTCAGTTCGACACAAGCCCCGGGCGCGTGGACGCAGTAGTTCACCTGTCAAGCAAGATACCAAGCCTCCCTATTGGTGCCAGGGCCCTGGTTTGCTTTCCTCTTTGGGTCTAATAGCCTCCTTTCCCGATTCAGTTCTTTACCCCTGGACACAGCATCTTCTCTTCATGGCTTTTTGATCTTGTCTACGAGGTAGTCCGTACGCTAATAGTAGTCTCTCTCTCGGCACCATGTGTCAGCCAAGCCAAGCCAAACCGTTTCTCCTAGGTCCTTTTCCCCCTTCCCTTGTCACAGCCTGTGCCTTATACGAGCTTTCAGCCTAGGTGTTTCGCTGGGCCAGATGTCGCCCTGGCCCGGGGCGCCTTCGCTTCAGACAAGGTCATGGGTAGTGAGAAACCCCCTTGATTCTGCATCGTGGATGGGAAACGAAGACAAGCTGGGTCCAGAACCTGCAGGCCCTAGTTGGCCAACTACCAAGGCCCGTTGGTGATGGTAGTGGTGCTGTTGTTGAGCCTCCCCCCTCCCCCCAGGCCCAGCCTTTGAGTGAAATGACTCTTACTACCACTGCTCGTCCTGTCCTACTGCTACTACTACTGACGGGGCCTGGACTGCGCCTGGTCATCTTCCATCCTCTGCCATCAATACCCTCCTCAGGTCTAAGTCGCACGGTCATGAGAAGCTGACTTTTTCTGCGCCGTGCCTCGAATACAAAGAGAAAGCAAAACAACCTGCTTTACATTTTTGATTGAACCCTGTTTGGCCAGCGATGATGCATCGATCACTCCTCTCCCACCTGCTGCCATGTCTCTTCTCGTCTCTGCTTGTGCTCTTATCCTCGCCCGGCGCCGGGGCGCAGACGAGCAACCCCAAGCCGCAGACGATCTACATGCTCACTGCATTCCAGGAGCAGCAGCTGTGCGTGCAGTCGTGCTTCACCTACGGCTACGGCTGCACGACCGACCTGGTGGGCATGGCGATCGGCTGCTCGGCCGACAGCTGCGACTTCACGTCGGCCGCGTTCGGCGCCCTGGACAGCTGCTACTGCCGCGGTGACCTGCAGCTGGCGGCCGAGAGCTACCTGACATCGTGCATCCAAGAGTCGTGCACCGTCGGCGACACGTCGATCAACATCGGGGCCGCCGTCTCCATCTACGGCGGCTACTGCACGTCGCTGGGCTACACCGCCGTGCTCCCCGCCGACAACGTCGCCCAGACCACCGCGCCCAACAGCAACCCGTCGTCGACGAACAATAACAATGGCGGGGCCGCGTCGACCTCGGACATTTTCGCCAGTAACCCGACCAGCAACAGCAACGACGGTTCCTCCTCCTCGTCGGACGGCTCCTCCAGCGGCTCCTCCTCTCCTTCCTCCGGCTCCTCTTCGTCCTCTTCCAATACCACGACCTACATCGTGCTCGGCGTGATGGGCGGCTTCGCGTTGATCCTGCTGGTGCTGGCGGGTCTGTGGTGGCGCAAATACCGCAAGCTCAAGCGCGCCCAGGCCCAAGCTGCACAGTTCCGCTACGGCGCCGCGCCGCCCCCGATGCACTACGGCTACAACAACAGCAACGGCAGCGGCCAGCCCCTGCGTCCGATGGGCGGTGGTGGTTCCGAGGTCTCCTCCCACCCCTTCTTCAACCGCCAGGACGACATCTACCCGGACGACTCGGTCTCGACCATCCACATGGCCCCGGCGTACCCGCACCCGATGGAGCCGAGTCTGGTGTCGACGCAGATGCGGTGAGGATAAAAAAGGAAAAAGGAGAAAGAGAAAGGGAAAGGGAAATGCGGCCCCCTCCCCTCCCAGGTATAGCTGGGGCTGGAGGGCTATCTGTACGAGGATATGACGAAGACGAGATTGTTCTGTTCTGTTTCTGTTTCTGTTTCAACATGGATTTGGCCTTGTACACGTGGACTGTGTGACCGTGGATCTTGGGTGTAAGGGTTTATGCATTGTTTACGCAAAGGGAGGGACGCGTTGGAACCTAAGGGGGTTTGGCTATGGATGGATGGATGGATGGCTGGAAAGAACGAAGGTTCCAGGACACGTGGAGTTTTGCTTTTGGTTCAAGAAAAAAGGCGGAAAACGGGGGGGATGAAATCCTGTAGAATTTGACGGCTCGGATAACGACGAGTAGCTTGGGCGACACGACACGTCTCTGCTTTTCCAGGTGTTGCTGTTGTTGCTGCTATTGCCATTTCATCTCATTTGACATACAAATACAATACGATACATGTTACTGACTGACTGACTGGCTGACTGACTGGCTGGCTGAATGCTTCATCATAACGAGTATATAAAGATCGTCCCGGCGAGTACGTGAAATCAGCAAGAACCTTTTCGCAGCGTCCATCCATCCAGTCAGTCGGTTCACTTCCGTCCTCCACGCGATAGGGCCTGCGAATACTCGCTTGCCATGACCTCGTAGACGGCGACGTCCATGCCGTCGAAACTCGACAACTCACTCAACGCGACCGACAGGTCCTCCAGCGTGCGGTTCCGTCGCGCGTCCAGCGCGTCCCCCTGCAACGTGCCCGTCTCGACGAGGAGACAGGCCTCGCGGGCGCGCACGCAGGCGGCGTAGAAGCGCATCTGGGCTACGCGCTGGGCGTTCTGCGAGCGCAGCGCGTGGTCCATGGCGAAGGCGCCGTGGCGCTCGGCGTCGCGCACGTGCTGCATCCGCTCGGCTCCGTGAAGGCCAGGACGTGGCTGAGCCGGAGCGACGTCGACATCAGCTTCTGGTAGATGCGTGCGAATTCTTTGGCTTTCTTGGGCGATGGGGTTGGAGGAGGGTGTGGTTGCTGCTGCTGCTGCTGCTGGTGCGCCGCCGACGACGACGACGAGTTCATCATCATCCCCCGCAGCGCCCGCGTGAAGTCTTCCTGCGCAGCGAGCAGGTCCTCCTTGGTCACGGTGCTGGGAGATTTACGGCGGTTGGCGTCGCCTCGCTCCATCAGTTCGGCTATTTCAGGGTCAGTTGTCACCCAGAAGCTATGGAGTTGGGGCGGTTACGACGGACATATCTCACTCGTGGTGCCCAGTAGCTGAGGCCGTTCGCGGTCGCGCTGCTCTGTCTTCTCCCGCGCCTCTTGGAGCTGCGTCTGCTCGAGACAAAAGGCGCGATCGGGCTCATCTGGACGGATGCCGCAAAATCAACATCAACTTTTCCACGCCCCGCCCCCCCAAAAAAGGATCTCAAGATGTTTGGTCAACTCACATACATCGTTTCTGCCTCAGATTCTGCACGCACGCCCGCACCTTGCGCTTCACGCCGTGGCCGTCCAGGTACAGGCGGGTGCCGGCGTCGATGACGGCTTCCTGCTTGTACTCGGCGAGGCGGACGCTGTGCAAGCCCTCCTCGACGTTGAAGCGGAAGTAGCGGCTGTCGAGGTGCTCGCGCCAGCGGCCGGTGAACTCGTTGTCGGTCTTTTTGGTCTCGGTGGCGACCTTCTCGATGCTGTGGGCCACGGATCGCAGCGAGCTGTTCTTGATGGTGGTGAAGTCGGCGTGGCCCGTGCCCACCGAGATGAAGCATTTGACCAGCGGCTGCACGCGGCCTGTCTCCTCGCACCAGATGTCGGCGGCTTCGTCCTCGACCTGGCTGACCGGGTTGTTGGCGCCGATGGCCCCGTCGACGTAGCTGCAGGCCCCGATCTGGACCGGGTCGAAGAACGACGGCGCCGCCGATGTGGCCAGCGCCGCCTCCCAGATGCGCGGGTTGTCTTCTTCCTGCCGCCCTTGCACATTGTAGCTCTTCAGCCGCCGGATGTGGTTGCCCTCCTGGGATTTGGCACAGACGAAGCTAGACGGGCCGAGACACTTAGTATCGTTGGGAAAGGGGGAAATCGGGAGAGGAATGTGACGGGGATGCTTACACTTTGCACTTCCCGGCTGCTTCGGGGTTGGTTTCGTCCAAGAGGAGATCGTCTTCCTTGAACCCTTTGCTCTTCAGGACTTCCTTGATGGCCGTCTCGAGCGTCTTGGACGAGAACCGGGCTTTGACGTTGCCCGTGATGGACACGAAAAACGCACTCCGCTTGTTCTTGAAGACCTTCTTCATCATGGCCTTGTACTCCTTGATGCACTCGTCCACGTCCATCTCCAGTCGACCCAGCATGATGGCGATGATTCTGTCATAACAACATCGAGAAGTTAGTTCTGATGAGCGTCCAAAGGGTTTCTCTTTCCCCCCAATAAATCTCGGTCTAAATCCTCACCCTCCCGTGCTGGTCCCTCCGATCAGATCAAAGATGTCGCATGGTTTCACTCGGGCGAGTCCAACGGCTTGTCGCTCGAAGTTCAGCCTTGTCATGAGCCCTTTGAGGATGTAGAGGCTCGACAGTCCTCTAACCCCGCCGCCATCGAGAGACAGTAGACAAAGGCCGGTACTGTCGAGGTCTCTGGTCTCCTCATTGCCGGCAACCACCGACCCTGGCTGCGATGCTGAGGCCATGGATAGAGATGATCTGGTGAAAACGTAAACCGGCATAACAACTGGCAATGAGGACTTTATACCGTCCTTGTCGTGACAACGAAACGTCGGTGACGCTCTTTTCTTGGTGACGGCTGCCAAGTCGTGCACCACACAGATAGACGGGCGAATCTGGTCTGGTTCAGGGGCTGATTTCACACAGAAGCGCCTTGATCTAGCCCAGTTGACCGCAATAGAGGCTGACAGCCCTCGAACCAATCAAATCGTCTGATCAGACAGGGCCAAGGACAAGGGACTCAGCTGTGACCCCTGAGCATGAGTTACACAAGACAATCTCGCTAAGTGCACGCAAGGGGCTGGGGTCATGTCCCCTTGTGCTCGTATTTTAGACCTGCATCTTCACCAAAACTTCCATGGCTGACACCGCAAAAGGTCTAGAAGCATCGAAAGAGATAAAATACGGTCCCAATGTTGAATAGAACGCCAAACCCTGACGCCGTCACCCCAGTCAGAAAAAAGGATGTTCCTCACGCTCCTCTTGTTCTAAAGCCCCTTCGCATCCCCATTGACCTGCTTGGCTTTGGTGGTCCTGTTTCCCCAAGCCTTCCTGACCTCCCATTCGGCGTCGTAGCCATAGCACCATCGCTGCGTGGTGGGATCGCTCCACTGGTTGGGGCTGGACACGAACTGTTTGCCTTCGACTTCGGGCCGCATGGCCTCGTCTCGAGCCCGTTGCAGTGGACCGTCGGCAAAGTGCCACAGTTTGCCGTTGATCAGGCTGGCTTCCTGCATTTGGCTGGTGCGTTTGATGCGGACGGCTTCCCACACCCGCAGAGCCTCCGGTAGTTCCTTGGTGCTGTCGACCAGGTCAATGGCCTCGGCCAGGGCTGCAGCATCTTCGACGGCCATGGCGGCTCCTTCAGACATGTAGGGGACCATGGCGTGTGCCGCGTCGCCCATGATCGTGAGCTTGTTGGAAGGCGCAATCCAGCGACTGAGCGCCGACCCGCTGACGAGTGGCCATTTCAGGGTGGATCGGATCATGTTGATGATCTTGGTCAATCGCGGGTCCCAGCCGTCAAAGTGAGCGCGCATGTCAGACATGATCTTCTCGGGGCTTTGTTGGTTCCATGTGGCCGGGTCGGTGCGGTCGGGATGCGACAGCACCATGTTGAAGGATTTGCCTCCTGCAATCGTATAGGTCATGACATGCCTCATGTCGCCAATCCACAAGTTCAGGCCCGGCTTTGCCAACAGCTCAACAAGCTCGGGGTGCACCTTCATCTCCTCCACATCCACCGTCGCTCGATACGCCGCGAATCCAGTCCTCAAGGGAGCCTGGTCCATGCCGCCCAGGACTTTCGTTCGCCCGATTGACTTCACGCCGTCAGAACAGATGACGAGGTCTGCGGCGAACGACTCCCCATGTTCGGTGGTTATTGAAGGCACGTTCTCGTCATAGTCGATGACCTTGGAGTTGATCCGCACGTCGACACCCAGTTGCAGGGCCAGTTGATACATGGCGTCGTGGAAGTGTGCACGGTGCACGACATAGTATGGAGCATCAAAGTTGTCCTGGAACTCGGGCACCAGCTTCGTGAGTCCAATGACGGCGCCGTTCTCCCACCGCCGGAACTTGATGTCCTCTGGCTCCACGATCTTGGACGCCAGAAATGGTTGCAGACCCCATTTGATAAGCAACCGACTTGAATTGGACGGGATCTGGATGCCAGCACCGACCTAGTAGAATTGTTCAGCCTCACATCACGGCAAGATGTCATTCGAAGGATGCATTCATACCTCACCAAGTTCGGGAGCCTGTTCATAGACAGTGACCTTGTGGCCCTTTCGAGCAAGACTGATGGCGGCAGCCAACCCACCGAGTCCGGCACCCACAATGATGGTGTTCAGCCGGACCCGGGAAAAGTCGTCCGGGTTCAGCAAATTGGAAGTCCTCATGGCCTTGTGCCGTTTCTGCTCTTCCTTTTGCAGCTTGACGAGAAAGTCGAGACTTCCTGTCGGATATGAGGCCACCTGTTCAGACCGTCAGCACCCATCCACCTGGTCCCAGGAACATGAATAGTTTCACTCACGTCGGGAATCTTGATGAAGGCTTCTTTCACGGGCGTCACTCCATTGACTGGTTTGGTCTCACCATTGACCAGGACACCGGAGTGTATCTCAACCATTTTGAAAGAGTTTGGTTGGCGTAAGTCGTAGAAATGAGGGGAAGAAAGGTCGTGTCTTTGTTGATTTGATCCCCGGGAGTCCAGTCCAAGGTGCTTTAGTGAACGGGAGGAAGACGGTGCAAAAGACACTTGGGACTTTGTACAAATCACGTCCCACCCGTGCCTTAGGGTCCCGAGCTGGTCGGACTCGACTGAGACAGCACCTGAGCCACTACCGATGTTAACCCACCGTGATCGTACCGCCGCGTGCGGGAAGCTTAAGTCAACATCCGCGTTGTCTGCTCCTGATGGAATGGTTATGGCCGATGCGAGGCAGGTGGCGGAGGAGATTCCGTCCGGGTGTGTATCGGGAAGCGACTCCCTGGCCGCCCCGTGTACGAAGCCATCTCCACCTCAACTCCTCCTCTTCCTCGAGGTCATCGCTGTTTGTGGTCGGTGAACGACTGACGCGCAATGATTCGGTCTCGGCAACTTTGGATGCTTACCCTTTATTAAGAAGTTGGCTAGCCTATAATATCTGGAACGACCAACATCGCAAGTAAGTCTCGTCGTCCACAAAGCACATCGACAGAAGACATCCATATATCGATATACCTATACACCTCCCTCTCTGGAGAACAAAATGGCCACTACAACGGGAACCGTGACCGAGACTCTCCCCCCGATATGGGGGCAGAAGGCAGATCCTTCCGAGGAGTTGGTTGAGAATGCCCTCAAGGTCAACACCAAGCCCCTCTGGACGCAGATGGCACGATTGAACCCTCCAGAGCCCAACCCAAAGTGTGTCCCGTTCATTTGGCGCTACGACGAGGTCAGGCCGAGTCTCCTCAGGGCCGGAGAAATTATCACGGAGCAGCAGGCTGAGAGACGGGTACTGATGCTGGTCAATCCCGCCAGAGGTATGGTCTTTGCTCCTCTTGGAGCAACACTTTGAGCGGAAAAGGAGGCAACAAGATGAGATGCTCATGCTAACACGCTCCCGTTCCTCACAGATGCTCCTTACACCACAGACACACTGTATGCGGGTCTGCAGCTGGTGATGCCCAACGAAACGGCCCGCGCGCACCGGCACACGGCCTTCGCCATGCGCTTCATCATCGAGGGCCAGGGCGGCTTCACGGCGGTGCACGGCAAACGCATCACCATGCAGCGCGGCGACGTCATCCTCACGCCCACCTGGAACTGGCACGACCACGGTAAGGACGGGTCGGGCCCCATGATCTGGCTCGACGGCCTGGATTTGCCCAACTTCATCCACTTCCCCGTGCACTTCGTCGAGCACTTCAATCAGCCGCGGTATCCGGCCGAAGACGTCGACTCGAACACCAGCCCGATCGTGTATCCGTGGACGGCGATGAAGAAGAAGCTCGACGAGAAGAAGGGCGACTGGGCCGAGGAGGACTATGTGAAGGACGACGGCAGACCAGGTATGGCAACATTCGATGTCCCTTTCACTGTTTCTCAAAGTCCCCACTGCACAGCATGACTAACCTCGCCGGGGTGATAAAACAGTCTCCCGAATCCTCGGTGGTTCTGCCGAACGTCTGAACGCCGGGTGCACGTCTCCCGCCGTGCGCGAGACCGCGTCGTCCGTCTACCACGTGGTCCAGGGCCGAGGATCGAGCGTCATCAATGGGCAGACGTTCCACTGGAAGCAGGGCGACACCTTCTGCGTACCTGCCTGGAACAAGTACCAGCACACCGCTGCTGCTGCTGCTGAAGGGTCAGAGGAGCCCGTGTACCTGTACAGATTCCACGACAAGCCCATGTTGAAGGCACTGGGGTTCTATCGTGTCGAAGGCGTCGACGTGGAGAGTCTGGTGTCGGATTAAATAAAACGTGCTACCATGTCTTGGATTTGTGATGTAGACGGGAATCACTCCATAGTAACCTGGATTAAATGTATCTATCTAAGTCGATCACTGGTCCAAAACAAGGAGTGTCATTAGGTGTTCATGTTCTTGACGCAAAAGTGGTCGTATAAAGACGACTTTATCATATCAGCCTCTGCGTTGCCAAACACAAAGGGGTTCCAAGACAGCTAGCTGCTATGAGAACGCCGGCTGGTGATATTTGACGGAAGAAAGCCATATAAAGAAAAACGTCCCATCGAATACAGTATGCAGTGAGCCACCCGTGTGTCTTCCTGTAATGCAAATCCCACCAACGCCGATGCTAAGTTATCAATAATGCAAGATGAGTTCCCAAAGTCATAGCACAAGTCAGATATCACATGGGTTTCCTTTGTCTCCACTTCACCTCTTCTTCGATGCCAGACTCATCAGCTTCTTGCGGCGCTCCTCTTTCTCTCGCTTCAACTGGTTTTCCAAGGCCAGCTCTCGGGCATCCTCCTCCTTCGCCGCCTTGAGGGCTTCCTGCTCCTCTTCGTACACATCAAACGCTCCGGCTTCCATATCTGACGATGCATCAGACCCATAATCGTCTTCTTCGCCTTCCCCATATCCGCCCATGTCATCCGAATCGTCTTCTTCGTCAGTGCCGAGGTATTCATCATATCTGCGCCCACGCTTGGCTGCAGGCTTGGACCGACCAGAAGCAGTGCCTATGGTGCCTTTGTAGGAGGACGAAGCGGGAGCATGTAATGGCGGTCGAGGAGCTCTGGGGACTTTGGGATGATCTGTCTTCTTCGCGGGGCTAGCGCTTCGAGATTTATCCTGCTGTTTACCACCATTTGCCAAACGGCCGCCACCGGATTTCTCCTTTGCTCCCTTTGCTTTGCCTTCTTCTTGACGTCTCCTCTCAGCCAATTTGGATGGCTTCTCTCGATTGGTTGCCTGATGTTTGATCAAACCAATTTGGCTTTGTTGAGGTCGCTCCACCTGCGCCTGTTTGGCTCGAGCCATCAAATCTGCATACGAACCCCTCGCTGGACCTTTTGCTGTCGCGGTGGTGGGGGTGGACGGCGCGGAGCCGGGTTTCGTTGAGGTCACCGGAGTGTCGAGCCTCGGTCTGGGCATGGAAAGAGATTTTCCGTCATTTCCATTGGTAGGTTTGGGGGCGTTAAGAGGAGGAGCAACAGGGCGTTTCGTGATAGTGCTGGTCAAGCCAGGCATAGGATTCGGTTTGATGAGCTTCTCAGGCGGTCTTGCCGAGCTCTCGTCGGCCTTCCGCTTTATGCCATTCGGGAGCGAGGGGGCCGCCGGTAACCCGGGCCGGGGACCAGGCTTGCTGACGTCGAGGTTTGGTCGATGCGCATTTGCACTCAGTGGTCTTGCTGGTGGCTTTGGTGGTGCCGGGGACTTGTCGCTCCCAATCGAGTTGACGATGTCGCTGAAGAGGCTCATGATGAACGTGTAGAGTGGCGAGTTGAAGGATTCTGAAGGTGGTCAAGTCAGAAGATTCAGGGCCCCGATGTTATGCATGATTCTCGTGTTCGCCGCTGCCCGACGGCGCGATCACTGTGCAATATGGTCCATACAAATGGAAAGGCAGTACCGAATGCAAGCTCTGGGGATGGTGCTGGCGAAGAGTGACACGGAAGGCAGGGAAAGAGGAAAGGGAGGGAGGTGATAATAAATAGGTGAAAGTCGATCCAAGTCCCCGCCTCCAGGTGGCCACTGCCCAGTTGCTGTTATTACTACTAGTATTAGCTGAAGACCACCGACCACGCGACTGGTCGGAATGCGGGCCCGGCTAACTTTCCCGAAATATTTTTGTTCTTTGAATTTCGCCGGTCGCACAACCAGCAAACCAGCCAGGGCAAGATACGCTTCCTCTGCGACTTTCCACGAACGAACAATTACTAGAACTCGAAGTGCCAGTCTCCGCTCAATTCAGCGGTTAAATCGATTGTCTCTCCTGTTCGCAGACCCTCCATTCTCCGTAAGTTCACCCAGGCTTCAACACCCCTCGAGGACTAACATTTTGTGGGAAGAAGTAAATTCAAAAATGAAGCACCTTGCAGCATACCTCCTCCTTGGCCTCGCCGGCAACACCGACCCCTCTGAATCCGACATCAAGGGTGTTCTCTCCTCCGTCGGTATCGATGCCGACGAGGAGCGTCTTTCCAAGCTGCTCGAAGAGTTGAAGGGCAAGGACATCAATGAGGTAGGATGAGGTTGTTCCTACATGAACCTGCAGATGAGATTGACACTGCTTTAGCTGATTGCCGAGGGCTCAACGAAACTTGCGTCTGTCCCAACTGGCGGTGCTGGTGGCGCTGCTGCTCCTGCTGCCGGCGGTGCTGCGGCTGGTGGTGCTGCTGCCGCCGAGGAAGAGAAGCCTGCCGAGAAGGAAGAGGAGAAGGAAGAGTCCGACGAGGATATGGGTTTCGGTCTGTTCGACTAGACGACAAATTGCCAACGAGACCATGGGGATTGACTATGCTCGATCTACGGCCGGATTACGAGGGATACGTGGTCGGATGATGATGACAATGGCGCCAACAGACAGCCTTGTCGTACCATCTTTGGGCGCACGACCTATTTGCGCAAAGCCAGGCTCATCAATGCTACACTGGCGAGCAAGAAAACGGGACATGGCTACCTGAAACCGTTGATTTGTTTCCGGACCAGGTGTAGAACGAGGCAATATTCCTTCCATACATCCAGTTGAATCCGACATCATTTCAAAATGTCCCTATTGTTTCCTGAATCTACTGCCAGATCGTTGAATCTCTGTAATTGCCCATAGACCTGAAGACTGAATCGTCCCCGAAGACAAAATACAAGCCTGAGCGCGTGTCGCAGAATTGATGCCAAGAATTGCGGTCACGTGGTACACTTTGCCCTAAATTTTCGCGGCGACCCTTCCACTTCGCACCTGGGCTCTTGGCTGCCATTGTCTCTGTATTATCATCGCCAACTGCCACCACTCCTCCTCGCCTTTCGATCAGACTTGTCGAAAAGCGAACGCGCAGTACCCCTTCGACCGCAATCATGGCCGACACCGAATACGTACGTTGATCTTCCATCGACCTGCCGATGACCCAGTTTGATGTTGGGTTTTTTCTAATTGATCTCTCTGTACAGAACGCCGAGGAGGCCGCCGAGCTCAAGAAGAAGAGAACGTTCAGAAAGTTTTCCTACAGAGGCATTGATCTCGATCAGTACGTCTTCCCCTTCAGGACACCCCGTCCACGCCATCAACCAAGGCGTTTCAAGAACAGAACAAGAAGAGGAAGTGAGCAAAAGGCAGAAGAATGAGAAGGCTAACGAACACATTTTTTTTCTTTTCCCACTTTGCAGACTGCTCGACATTCCCTCTAACGAGCTGCTCACAATTCTCCATGCCCGCGCCCGCCGCCGGTTCAACCGCGGCTTGAAGCGCCGCCCGATGGGCCTGATCAAGAAACTGCGCAAGGCCAAGCAGAACGCCAAACCCAACGAGAAGCCCGACCTGGTCAAGACCCATCTGCGAGACATGATCATCGTGCCCGAGATGATCGGCAGCGTCATCGGCATCTACAGCGGCAAGGAGTTCAACCAGGTGGAAATCAAGCCCGAGATGGTCGGCCACTACCTGGGCGAATTCTCGATCAGCTACAAGCCTGTCAAGCACGGTAGACCCGGTATCGGTGCCACCCACTCTTCGCGTTTCATTCCCTTGAAGTAGGCGACCGACGCTGTAGGAGAGAGTCAGAATGCGGATGGAGAAAGTCGTTGCTACGTGGAAAATGTTTTCACATGCCTCAAACGGTGGAGGGGAGTCGTGATGGCTTTGTGTTCATCCGAATTGCATGGGATCACGGTAGACAGGAATGCTGATGAAAACGGGGGGAGGCCTGTGAGGGTGGCTATGGCTGCGAAGCGCATCGTTCTGCAGGACCCCCAATAGTCAAAGGCTGCGAAAAATGAAAAGGACGGCTCTTGACATGAACCTTTCTGAGAGGAAAGGTGATGCCGTATTTGAACAGGATTCTAATGTGCTCTCCCTTGCAATTGTGTGTGGTCTTCTCTATTTTATTGCTCACCATTTCCTCATGGCAAAGGTTGCCGTTCCCTTCAACGCCTCGCTATGTGGATGACAAGCAGATTACATTGTGTTAATCAATAGTGGTACAATCCGTGGTGATGGATCCAGCCTGCATTCTCCGGAATGGTCGTGAAGAGTCTTCCTCCTGCTGCTCGTTCGCACCATCATCGTCCATCGTAAAGGGAGGGTACTAGTAGTAGTACAAGTAGTAGGCGGAATCGCGTCCTTCCACAACTTACTCGCTCGACGCAGTCGGCTGCTGTGAGCTCGTCTCGTTCGTGCCTTGTATCTCCGGGTCTTCCTCGATCAGCTGCTCGATCTCACGGTGCCTCCTCTGAGCGCGATCCATCTCCTCTGCCTCCGCGTCTTCTTCCACCACCATCGTCTTCTCCTCTGTTGACACCTGGCGGTCCTCGGAGGCAGACGCCGTGTCGACGATGTCGGCTGTGTCGGAATCTGTAGGGGGTAGATCCGAAGTCTCTTCGTCCTGTGAGGCTTGCGTAGAGGTCTGGGACAGATTCAGCAGGCCGTTGAGTTCCCCCTCCACCTCGCTGACGCCGCCCATGGGCTGCAGAATCTCGCTGTTCGCTCTCTGCAAGATGTTCTCCCGGCTCAGCGGAGTGCCGCGCTCCGCGACGACGATCGCTTCCCTATGCCGCCTTCTCAGGTGCTCCTCTTCTTGACTTCTCTCGGTCGACCTGAGTCTCGCGGCGGGCCACCCGTCCAGTGACGGCGCCAAATTATCCCAATCGGTGATGATGTCCTGAGCAGTGACGACAGGGTTCCCGGAAGCCAACCCAGCGGTGTCCTCGCCATTGACCATTCTCACGTCGTTGTCTTCGTCGGCATCTGAGTCTGAGTCTGAGTCTGAGTAGTGTGGCATACCAAAGGACTTATTCCATGTGTCCTCCATGCCGCGGGCTATGGAAATGTCCTCTTTATACATGCTTGCGCACAACCCGACTTCACGCATCTGCCTCCGGGCGCGAGGATACTGCATTACCACAAGGATCACGTCCCCCATGACAGGATCATCAGAGAGCCACATCATCCGGTCAAACAGCCTCGCCACATCGACCCGTTTGAAGTTGGCGTCGGCGTTTTCCGGTAACGTGCAGGGGAAGGGATAATTTGCTAACCACTGGTACACCAACCCTTCCTCCAAGGCGGCGTCCATGACGGGCGGGTATTTGGCATCACGCCGGGGAAGGCCATGGACCGCCACGGTAAAGATTTCGAGCAGCTGCGCTTCCTGCGGGGGCCGGAAGGCGGGACGAATGGGCGATGGTGGTGGTGGTGGTTTCTTCCCTCCGGCGGGGATGAGGGACTCGTCATCGCGCTCTCGATCAGCATGGATTTTATGCTGGGGCAGCACATTGATCAAAGCCCGGACGATGGCCCGGAGGGACTTGGGGTCTCGAAAGTGGTTGCAGATCGACACGCTGAGTCTCGCATGGGTGAGGAGCATGTGCATGGCGTTGATGGCGTTTTGGCGACGTCCGTCGTCTGGACTAGCCAGATCACGCAACAGTAGATCCTTGGTGCGGGATCTGACCGTGCGGCTGGCGACGATCTTGATGGCCGAGGTGCGTAGATCATAGCTATACCCGTCGGCCAGGGTGCGCAGCGTGTCGAGCTTCAGCGAGTTCTCTGAGTCCTTTTGCAGGCGCTTAGCCGGGGGTGGAGGGTCGGGCGGCGGCGCTCTGGCTGCCTCCTTCACTCTTCTGAGAAGGACTGGAACGGTAAAGCATGCTGTTCCCAGGCCGACAGCGAGGACTGCTAATAGGAAGCGATTCGAGCTGAAGATGGACATGGCTGATGATACATTGAGGATGCGAGGGAAGAAAGAGGAATATCTGAATGTTGTCGAGACAAGGCTGAAGTCCCTCGTCCGGGTTATGTTCGGTGAATTATCAACCAGCAAAATGATAGCAGCACAGGAACATCACAAGCTACGCGTAAAGGAACGAAGTAGTGTGTTACCTGTTGTTGGATTAATGCATTGATTTACGTGACAATCATCCTCAGTCATGATCTGCCTCTGTTGTGCCGGGACACCCTTCCATCTTCTCGTCTGGGTATCGGTATTTGCACCAGAAGCAATAGTGCCACCGCTCTCGCAGATATGCCACGAGCTGCGACAACCTCTCCGACACCTCGAGGGCCTCGAACTCGCCGAGCTCTTCGTCTTCCTCATCCAGGTCGACGTCGACCTCCTCCACATCCGCTTTCTTCCCCATCGCCATTTGATCCTCCTTGTCTTCGTCGGGATCAATATAGTCGGGTCGTCGCGACAACGACTGGTGGAGGTCATACCTCATCCTGCGATCACGTTCGTTGATGGCTCTCTGCCTCACGAGGCCGCGCCACAAGACATTGACGCCCTTCACAGGCTTTGATGACCTTTTTGGCGTGGTCGCGTCGGCGGCGGTGTGGTCGACGGACTGTTGTGCCTGCTCCTCCCCCTCGTCTAGTCTCTCGCACACCTTCATCGCCGCCCACATCTGCCCCTCCATCTTCTTCTCTTCGCGTTCTTTCTGCTGCCGCTCTCGAAACTCGCCGGCCTCAACCTTCCTCTTCTTGTCCGCTTCTTGCTGTGCCTCGACCTCTTCTCGAAACTTGCGCTTCTTCTCGGCGTCGGCGCCGATTCCAGATCGGGAGTCTCGCATCTCCAGGCCGATAGGTTCGAGAAGACGGTCATCTTTCCCACCCTCGGTTGTGGCCCGAGACGCACCCAGGGCGCTGCCCGGCTTGTAGCCCAGTGCCGCCATCATCTTGAATCCCTTGTTGCTGGTGTCTAGCGTCGTAGTGTTCAGCGCTGACTCCCGTTTCTTGCGCTCCTCCTGCGCGAGTTCGGCCTTGGACTTCGGGCGGCCCTTGATCTCGGCTTCGCGGGCGAGTCGCTTTTTCCGCTGCGTCAGGGTCTCGTGCTTCTTGGAGGATGCCGCCGTGTCTTCGAAGGTCATGTTCATGTAGTCGTCCTCGCCGTCACTCGCGGCCGCGGAGCCGGGATGTGAGCCCATCCTAGGAACCTTGGGGCCCGGAAGTTGTGCGACTCCGGCGCTGTGAGGTCACCAGGCAGATCTGCGCGAGGTCAATATGCTACGCAAAATGTGTCTGCCATGACGAATCCCTTAAGCTGCGCATACAGAAGGTGCGAAAACCCTACCGGGAGAGCAAGTAGAGATGAGTCAACAGAACACTATTTGTCCGAATTCTCCCTACCGTCGGAAACTTGGGTCATTTAAGGCTCAATTGCCCCCAAATCTCAGAGTAGTGCCTGTGCAGCAGAGCGTGGAAGATAGATGTGTTGTACTTGTAGGCAGGGGCTGGACAGAAATCTGGCGGTTAAGAATCACGTGCACGAAATAATGAGTATATATTTTGGACCCCGCAAAAGTTGGTCTTGAAACTGTCCCGAAAATTGCCTCACTCTCTGGACGCTTTAATTATCATGATGTGAGTCTCACACACCACCCACCGTCGGTCGCAGGGTTGGCGCTCAACGCTAACTATGTATATTTCCAGCCTGTGACGCAGTGGTTAGCGTGTCGTTCTTATATTGTATGCTCCCGGTTAGCATCCAGTATGACTTCTTTCGAGGAATGCGAAAGTCGCGAGTTCAAGTCTCGCCAGGATCATATTATTTTTGGCTCCCTGGCCTTAGTTGAGCTCAGATTGTTTTATTTGGCTTTGACTTCAAAGAATACTTTTGTGGGGTAAAAAAGCTCCCAAACTGGTGTACTCGCGTACTACCGAATTTGTATTCGCGCCAGTCATGATTTGATATTGCGCCTACTCACTCAACTCAGTCAACCCGGATTCCCCGTGGGTTTTCATTTCCTTCCGCCTCATGATCCAACAGCAACATGGAAACAACACTGTCCCAATGCCGGCCCAAGCGACCAGAATGCCAAAATTGAGACCGAGTCGACCTTGGGTGCCGAACAGCAGCGTCCGGCTCCCATACACGACCTGCCTCAACGGCCACGCGTGACCCCACTTGAAGAACCCCGGCGCCAATTCTAACGCGCAGAATCCCGTTGATGTGTTGCTGACGATCCAGAAGAGGAGCCACAGCCCCGGCCACGGCTGACTGGCGGCCATCGCAACGTTCTCGCACGCAAGCCCTATGGCAGCCATGCCGAGCCAATTCAGCATCCAGTAGACGACGAAAGTGGCGTGGCCGAAATAACGGGCGTGAAATGCCAGGCCCACGAGACTATAGCAGAGGGAAAGGAAGAAATAGGTTACGATGGTAGAGAGATACCGCCAGATGACCAGGTGCATGAATTTCAACGGGGGTTGGCGGTGCGAGGGTTCCCCAAGGACAAATTCCATATGTGTCGGGACGAAGAAGGCGAAAGAGAACAAAGCAACGACCATCAGGTAAACGAAGCCCATACTGACGGTGGGAATCGCCGTTGGAGGATCTGAATAGACAGTCAATGATCATGATGGATGATAGAACACTTCAGGAGGGATCGGGACTCACCGAAAGGTCGCACGTCAAACAGGCTGAACCCAATGCCGGGAGATAGAGCTTGAGGAGCATTACTGTATCTGCGTTGGGCGAGAGAATCGTTTGCGAGCACCGACTGCGTCCAGTTGCGGCCGAAAGCAAAGCTGATATCCGACGCCAGACGAGTCAGTACGGGAGTGATGTATTGGCTGTAGAATTTGATATCTCGGGCCTGGTTGACGACAACCGCTCCTGCACCGAACGGGTCGTAGGATACGTTTCCCTGCTCAACAGCCCGTCTCAGTAGTGCGGAAGCATTGCTGTTGACAATGATTGCTCCCCAGTATTTCTCTTCGTGAACCGCCAGGTGGATTGCACCGGGGTCGTGGCGGAATGCGCCAGGATCCAGGAACTTGTAACCCAGAGAATACCTCTGCGTGGCGCGTTCGTGTGAGATTGTGGCCTTAATGAAATGTCCAACAATTGGCTCGACATTCTCGTAAGGAGGCGAAGTTGCGTCAAAGTCAACCACAGCGATGGTGGCGGAGCTTAGGTTCTCGTGTACCCGGAAAAGGAACCCCCAGTGGAGCGAGAGAACCCCAAGGATGAAGGCGCAGAGCAGGGCGACTATTTCAGATCAGCAAGCGGTAGGGAAACATGAATGTCGCAGACACATACGGGTCCAAGAATATTTTTGAAGCACTGCACTGCGCATCTGGGACAGAGAAGGATCAAAGAAGCCGGCGGTAGACGTCGAGCGGACGCCATCGAGGTCCTCGAGATCTTTTGGAGATTCGTCGTCTTCTTCGTCTTTCTCTGCCAGTGTGCTGCTGGACTGGTCGCTCTCGACAATGCTCCTGTTGAGACTAGGAAATCGCTTGATGGCAGTGCAGAGAAGAGTTGCGTCTGGGCAGGGGACATTGTGGGCAACTGGAGGTTCGTCCCTGGCCTGGCTTTGCTCTGAGGCACAATCAACATCTTCCTCCTTCAACCTCGTCAGTGGAGGCGACTGTTTCCCCTGCCAACCATGGTGACGGCACATTTCACACCTCATGGCTTCCTCACGGTAATGGCCGCTCGAAAATCAAGGGATGAGCTGCAGGCTGTATCGGCCATCAAGGAGAGATGAGCCAGTGATATGGAGGAAGAACCATTCCCCGTCATCACGAAGGTGGAATGTCCACGTCCTTATTGAGGCCTGTCCGGGTCTGATCCATACCGAGGAAAGGTCCGTACCTCGAGTTTCTCGACAATGTGTTGCCTTTTCTTAGAACATTCCGTGCCATTAATCTTATTGTCGCGGATGAGATGCTGCTGCACGCATATTTTTCCCTGAAGCCACCCCCTTGCGTCTCCCTTGAACTGGCGATCCATACCGTGTTTTATCATGAAAGGCTTGGTTAGTGTCTCTAATGATTCAGTCCACAAAGCGGCATAGACGTATATCTTGTATGGACTTCGGAGACAACACGAACGCGTACGTCTGAAACCGGATGCCGGCGAAACGACCACTTCGATATTTGCAATGTTTCGAGGGTTGGCAGGAGAACGTCCAGATATTTGGGTTGGGAGGGATCAAAACAGCCTCTTTCTACACCCAGATACCGAAGGAGCCGGCTATAGCTATCGATTACCACGACAATTCGCATCAATGTTGACACCAAGACGATCCAAGTTTCCAGTCGAGAGCATGTCGATGTTGTAAGCTAAGGTCTGTCTTTGATCGAGTCGTGAAAGGCTTTCAGAGAGGGCTGATGAAAGGCAAACATATTCATTGAGCCATGGCACTTTTCTCGGGAGATACGGTAATAGGTGACTGGAAGACATCGATATCGCAACTCTCCCTTCTAGAATTTGCCCTTTCTCTTCCTCCTCTCTCTCTCATAAGCCTTTGCCTCGTGCCCTTCCTCACCCTGAATCTCTGCCACCAGTCTCTTGTATTTCTTTTCATATTCTTCATCTCTTCTCTTCTTCTCCTGCAACTGTTGTCTCGCAATGAAGTTGGCATCCTTCCGCAGTTCTCTCATGGCGCCCTTCCTCTCCTTCTTATGCTCGGCTTTCAATTTGGAAAGCTCAGCACGTTGCCGATCTGGATCATAGTGTCGGTCAGGGTTATAATTCTCGATGAATGAAGGCAGAGAAGTTTTTATAGCAAGTGGACGGTGGTTGTGTAAGAGAAGGGGGAGGCGTGATTTCACCGAGTCGGACTGCAGCGTGACTAGGGTTGAGAGGTTGATGTTGTTTAGCGCGTGAATTTGTGGCGGGAGCATTTCGCGCTGATGCGACAAGTGCCTGAGAACATGGATGAAAGGCTGGATGAGTTCAGGGAATGATGACTTGAGGCTCCAAAGCGAGGCGGCTTGCGTTGTCAGGCGAATAAAGACGCTCAGCAGGGTGGCGTTTTGTGAAGGCCCGTTCTCGTCATTTCGATCCAAGATGCAATCTTTGAATGATAGCTTCTCTGACACTGTTTCAGACGTCGATTTCACCCGCAATGGTGTTGTAGGCAACCTGATGGGAACCGTCAACGAATTGCCATCTTTGTCTTGCTCTGGCAGCGGTGTCGGTGAAAGGATGGCTAGAGCATTGGTAATGTAAGTGACCACTTCCGGCACATATCTTTTTGCGAGCCACTGGTATCGAAGGGCAAGCGAACAGCAGTAAGCTCCTGTACTGAGATCCCGCAGAGATTGTATCGAGCTTTGCCCGAGAAACCGTCCAATGGTGAGAGTGGCAGGCGTGACTACCGAGTGGAAATGATCTGAGGTCGGGAAGATGGTCGATACACCCGTCAGAATGATAAGATCCCCAGGAGACAGCTGGAGCGGTCTTTCGTCAGCAATCTCTTGGAGATGTCTGCGGAAGGCAGCGCCAACGGCTTCTGGCGACGACTTTGCCATTGAATGCAAGTGTCGAAGAAGGCTCTCAACAACCGAAAACGGAACATCGCTGTCTGTGTCCCCGAGAAACGCAACATGCCGGGTCAGTACGCCAGCGAAGGCATCAAGCTTCTCTTGATTGCCTTCAGCGAGACCTTTGTGGTAGAGTGCGCGTATTCTCTGCACGATCGTGGGCAAGTCGGAAATTTCAGAGTCCTTAACCACCTCCAAGAATGCTTCATGTGTCTGGGGGCACGGAAAAGTGTAAGCCAGGTTGTTGCTGACTGGAGTCTTTAAAACTGTCTTTGGTGTGCTCTGTGTCTCTCGTGGCAAGACTAGCCCGTTGATAAAGTCGTCATCACCGTCGTCCTCAACCTCGCTGTCGGACTCGGATTCCTCGGGTCCTTGTTCACTTGCCATCTCGGGCTCTGAGTCCGAAGCAATCAGGTCGTCATCAAGAAGGAATTCGTCTTCGTCCTCAACGTCAAGCTCTTTCCGCGGGACACTGTCGAACTCGGGAGCAGACAGACCGAATGCTTCCGCGTCGTCGACATCGTCATCGTCATCCGGCCCCTGCTCCTCTTCGTCTTCGTCTTCGTCCTCCGAACTTTCTGCCTCGCCCTTCATCCTGCGAACCCTCTTGCGCTCGAGCTCTTCAAGTCTTGCAGCCTCCTCCGCAGCTCTCTCTTCATCAGGTTTGGTCCGTACACTCGGTTTCGAGCGAGCCTCCAATTTCAATTGTCGAAGATTGGACTCGTACTCTTTTTCCGCCTCTTCCCTGCTCTTACCTGCCAACATTGCAGCCCGAGAAGGATCCATGTGTGGCTCGGCGTTCGAAGTTGATGGTGGTAGAGATTTTTTCTCTGGCGCCTTCTGCTCTCGAAGAGCTTCGTAAAACTCGGCCATGCCTTTGTCAAGTTCCGCTCGGAGATCATCGTCGTCTGCCTTTGCAGCTTGACGCTCGGCTTTGTACATTTTTGACTTTGCAATAATCTCTTTCATCACCTCGTTCTTCGTCTTCTTCCTCTGGGGTAGATCTTCATCGTCGTCGTCGTCTTCCTCTTCGGGGTCGACGTCTTGGGTTTCGGCGAGGCGCAGTCTCTTCCGGGGCCTGTCACCATGGTCGAAATCCCCGTCTGCGTTATCCGAGCCTGTCACATCATCTTCGTCAAAGTCATCCTCGGCAACATCCCCGAAGTCGAGTGATCGTCCACCATGCGTGAGCGTCATCTCCTCCTCGCTGTCATCCTCAAGGTTGAACATGGAACTCTTCTTCATCTTGCGCTCGTTCTGACGTGCAAAGCGCTCGGCCGCCCGTTGCTCGGGCGTCATGGTAGGGTCATTCTCTCCAAACCGTCGATCAAGCAGCCCGCCCACCTTGTTGCGGCTTTGTATTTCTTTCAGCAACGTCTCGCGCCGCCGCTCTTCACCCAAGCCACGCGTGACGCCGGGGCGACCAAGTGCGGGTTTGGTATTTTTCCCATTGACAAATTCATACTTCGCTTTTCGGGCAGGTGCCTTGACCTCGAAGGGATTGAACCGTTCTCGAATGCCCTCGAGGGCGGCATTGCGCTGTGCCCGCTTCTGCGCATCTTTGGAGGTCAGCTTGCGCTGTTTCTTGGATTTCTGAGGCCCAAGGACGCCACTCTCATGCAGCGACGCTTTGAGCTGCTTGAGCTGCGACGGCGCCATTTCCGACTTGCCTGGAGAAATTTACGCACTGGCACTCACCCTTGGGATCGAGTCGCCGCAGCCAAAAAAAAGTTTCGACGATGGATTGACGGGGAAGGTGCGCCGAGGGACAAGGCTGATTAATCGACCCTCCGAGGCTGCGCTTTCGAGACCAGCCCAGTTAGATGGACAGTGCAATGGTGGAAATTTATCTGGTTCACTTACTTCTGGTGAGTAAATGCACCAAGGTTGTTCTATTATCACTGCTTGCATCTATCAAGTTCTTTTCCCACCATGTTCATCCGTCTATTTCGTCTTGTGTGCCCTTGAACCACGGTAGTAACGCTGCACGACATCTAATCCCGTCATCTTCTTCAATGTTGAGTCGAGCATCCCCACGGGCAAAAAAGAACACAGCCACACCTGAAATGCATTTCCTCCGTGCCAGACATGTACCGGAGGGTGTCGCTTTGACAAGTCCCGAACAACCTTCGCAGCCCACTCATCCGCCGGCATTTCGGTGATGTCGATGTCCGTCCGCATGAATTTCTCCACCTGTTCTCTCCCAGGCAGATAGAGCGAGTCTTCGGGCAGCCTTAAACTGCCATCTGCAGGGCCTCCTGACGACGAGGCATTGGCGAAGAAATTCGACTTCACAGTGCCGGTCTTCAAATCGATGACTTTGATATCGAAAGGTTGTAGCTCTTGACGTAGGACTTCGGATAAGGACGCAAGGGCAGCCTTGGTGGCACTGTAGGGCCCTTGGAGAGGCACGGGCATGACGCTTGCACACGAAGTATTATTCACAACTGTGGCACCGCCCTTGGAATTGCGCAGAAGGGGGAAGAAGTTTTGCGTAACGCGGAGAGCGGATATTGTATTCAGCTCAAACAGCTGCGATATCTCAGATATCGAGGCGTCCAGCAGCGGCGTGCTATAGCCTTTTCCGGCGTTGTTGACCAGGATGTCGAGAGCATTGTCCGTTATTTGGGAAGTGGCCTGGACTGCTGCTTTGATCGAGTCTTCTGAGAGGACGTCGAGCTGCAGAGTGTCGATACCCAAGGCCTTGAGAGAGGCCATTTTCGCAGGGTTTCTGGCGGTCGCGATCACACGGTCGCCCTTTTTGTGGAAGGCCACAGCAAGGGCAGCTCCAAGGCCGCCATCGGAGCAGCCAGTGATGAGAACGGTACGGGGCATTTCTTGATACTCGTTGCTCTGTTGTTATGAGGTTGTTGTTCAGAGGATGGCCGAACAATGTTGGCTTTCGAAATGGGACCCTGAGGCCTTACCAGCCAAGCAATTTATTGGTCCCGGGGCCAGGAGGTCTCTCAACCTGCTACGGTCGAAGAAACACACGAGGAATAAGGATCACTGCCAAATGCTGCTTCCATTCGATTCTCCTTCGCTTGTCATTAACAGGTGCTACCAGCTGAGAATACCCTCCGACTCCGCCCTTGATCCTGCAAGCATTGGGACTTGGTCGGTGAGCTAATATACGTGGGAAAATTATCTTGCAAAGCGTGATTCTTGCTGCCGTAGAAGAATGGAATGGCTGCTGTCACACAGGACTGCCGCCTTATCTGGATTCTTGTGATAATGAAGAGAGTGAGTGCGTCTCAAGGGGACATGTACGAGGTACCTCGCTCGTATATTCCGCCCCATACACGGAACAACCCTTGCCAAGATTTTCCGCCCGTTATCGATAAGGGACCCTCGCCCAACTAGTTTTCCCAAGTTGCACGAGTGTCCTCTTCGCAGATGACATGTCCCCGAACTCTCCCAGATATCCTCTATCTCCCGCTTTGTTGAAGTCTCTCCTTTGCGACTACCGTTCTGCCCTCTCCTAGCCATAGGAAGCCTCACATTTCAACGCCTCACTCGGCACAGGACCACAAAGACAGCCCTCCAATTCATGAGCACGATATAAGGGGAAAACCCACCGTGCACACACACACACACACACCACCCCTCCCACCCCACGCTCACTCGCACGGACGAACAGGACAATTGATCGATCCCAAGATGAAGTTCTTCACGCTCTCCCTGCTCATCCCCATCGCCTACCTCTCCATCCTGATCGGCAGCATGGCCACGTTCTCGCACCTGTACCGGCAGAGACAAGTCAAGAAGAAACTCCGGCTGGCGCCCTACTTCCCGCCGCACACGACGCGCAACATCTACCTTTCCCTGTTACACCTGCAAGACGACGGCAACACCAAGGTGCCGGATTCCGTCTTGCGCGCCGCGCTGCTGGCCCGGGCGTGCGACGACATCCGGCGGATCATGGAGGTGCGTGTGCGCAAACCCGCGCTGGCGGCGTTGCTGCAGCGCGGAGTGGTCGGCGACGAGATCTTCCAGCGACTGCAGCGGGCTGAGCAGGAGCTGGAACTTGAGCTGAAGGACGTGGTCGCCGAAGCCAATGCTCTGAGCGGGTCTGGGCCCGCCGCCCCGGGCACCTGGGGCCACACCATCTTTCAGAGCGCCAACGAGATGGTGCAGAACCAGATCTTGCGGGACAAACTGGACGCCATCAAGAAGACACTACCAGAGGAGAAGGAGCGGTGGGACAACCAGAGAGAAATGGCCAGACGAGAGTTAATGGGCGGCGAGGACAAGGCGACCGCCGCAGCAGTGGGTGACAAGCCTGTTGCTGCTGCTGCTGCCACGGGTACGGCTACTGCACCAGTCGCGGCAGAAAAGACAGCGCCCAAAGCCGCCACGGCAAGCAGCGACGAGGACGGCGTCATAGTCGAAACGCCCGCTGCGGAGGTATCCACCACCACCAGCGGCGGCGGCAAACAGAAAAAGAAGAAAGGGAAGAAATGAACCCGGAGAGCCGGAAGCAGCCACAGCCAGCCAGCCGTGCCACTCACTGTATGATATTGATTAATTGCTTGGTTGTCCCACCCCGTTTCCCACCTTCCCTCCTCCCTTCCCAAAACTGCTTTTCTCTTATCCTTTATTACTGTGGGGAAGCCGCGGAGGGGACTCTTTGGAAGTTTGCATGGAGTTTTTTTTATGGTGTTTAAACATATGGCATAACATAGCATAGGAAGGGAAATGGCAAGGAAAGGGAAAGGGAAAGGGATAGGCATAAGGGGGGCGTGTGGTGTGTGTCCATGCATGGCATTATGCAGCAAGAAAAAGACGAACAGACCGAATCCGAGCAGAGCATTGCATTGCATTGCGATTTTCCATGTTTCACACACTCACTCACTCACTCTCTCTCTCTCTCTCTCACACACACACACACACACACAACTAAACTGTACTGTCCTGTCCTGTCCTGTCCTGTAAAAAGAGACGAGACGAGACGGACGGAACTACCCTTTTCATTCTGGCTTTCTGTATTCTTTCTTTTTTCTCTCTCATACAAGGAGTCAGGGCAAAGAACAAACTATCTCTCTCGCTCTCTGTGTGTGTGGTTCGGAGTTGGGCTAAGGACCGTCCTCTTACTTTAGACACCCGGCTTTGAGTATGGTACAGATTTTGTAGGTACAGTACATACTGTATGCAGATTGTTTACAAGAGGAGGTATGTCTATCCGATCTATGGGAGATGGGAGATGGGGAATGGGATGGGGTGGATGGATGGATGGTGGGTGATCCGTCTTCTAGCCATGGTTCCGCTCCCCCTTCCTCCCCCCAAGGCTAGAGTGATATCATATATTGTTATTGTTGTTGTTACATGGAGACCTCGACGTCGCTCCAGTCTCGCAGCACCACCGCTTCGGGAGGGACCGGAGTTCTCATCTCCTCCGCAACATGCAGGATCTCCCGCGCCAGGACTCCTCCTCCTCCTCCCTCCTCAGCCGCTGCGGCGGCACCTTTCATTCTCTTCTCGACAACGAGGCACAGGAAGGCCGAGAGCACGTCGAGCCGAAGCTCTCGCGCGGGCTGACTGTCGACCTGCTCCACCGCCTCCGGGTCGACGTCTTTCTCTTGCACCATCTTGTCGCCGATGGCGACCATGATCTCCGTGAGGGTCTTTACCGCGCTTTGGTACTGGAGGTTCTTCTTCATCCGCAGGCCGCGGGCGCGGACGGAGAGTGGCACGAAGTCGGATGCGAAAGAGCGAGCCACCTGCATGATGATCAGTCGGCTGACCTCCTCGTGCGGCAACATGTTGAAGGACTCGCTGAGGCCGTGCAGGGCGCAAAGGGTGCCGAGAGGGTCGGAGGAGAGGCAGAAACAGCGGATGATCTGCTCGTACAGCTCTGAAGAAAAGTCTGCTTGCGTAGCGGATTTCTTCTTGGGATCAAGGCTGCTGAACCATTCTTGCATCTCCGCGAAGAGCATTCGCGCGTGAGGGAACCCTCCTTGATGTCGGTAAGGAAATGCATAACAGTTCTTGGCCGTGTCCCAGAGTGCGGCGAATGTCTCAAGGTCAGGGGAGATCGATTGCTTCAAGGTCGAATATTTGCTCCAGACATCGGGGATCTGCCCAGATCGAAGTGAAGCATACAGCCAATGGTTCATGATGAACGAGTTCGGTTTGATCTGAGCCGAGCCGGTCATGACGTCGGTCAGATGGCTGGCACTGGCTAGATCCGAGCGGCGAGTGTAGTGTTGCAGCAGGATAGAGAATGTCTCGATTGTTGCAGCCGGGGCCCCCCGTTTGAGGAAGAAGGGGGTTCGTCGGCCTTCAATGCTGGAGGCTAAGTTTGTAGCACCGGGATTGTCTGCCTCCGACAGTCGCTTCTGAACCAATTCAACTCGGGACTGTATCATGGCCCATGCGGTCTCCTCAGCCTTTTGGCGGGCAGTTGGCGAGCCTTGACGAAACCAAGCTGCTATGAGGCCGTTCAGAGGCCCAGCGTCCGGTCTAATCCCACGCTCGTACATAAGGTCGACAACCAGGGAAGCCTCGTCTGTTCTCCCCTCACCAAGAAGCCACTTGATCCAGGCCGCAAAGAAATATTTGTTGTGGAAGTTGCGGGGAAAGAGCGCCAGAGAAGAGAGCCCGATCTGGCTGACGAGATGCTCACTCGGTGACGATGGAGATTGACTTGCCTTTTTGCTAAGCTCCCGGAACACCCTCAGCGAGTCTGTTGGCGACTTGGCTGTAAGCATGAACATGTCTTTGAAGGCTGCCAGAGCGAGATCGGTGCGGCCAGCATCGAGGAGGGTACTGCTAACTCGACCCAGAACGTCCAACGTTGTCTTCTGGTCTTCTCTGCCCTCCAGCCGCTTCCGCAGCTCCAGATAGCAAAACCACGTCTTGGAGGCGGCAGAGGGATTTTGACTTTTGGCCCAGGCAGAAATAACCATGACCAGGACTTCGGGATCAATCATCGTCGTGTGGTCGTAGCACTCAAAAGCTAGACGCTGTGCCTTCTGCGGCTTCCCAAGTTGCACATACAGACGGACACCGGTGGTCCAGAACAGTTCGGCAAGATCCTCTGTGAGACCCAACCTAGGCCTCTGTGCTTCCCAGGCTTCTGCAGCAGCGGCGATATTCCCTACGGCTTGCAACGCATCGATATATTCGATCCACTCCTTGTCTTCCAGCGGCACATCTGCTATCATCATGTCCTTGCCCAACATCTGGAGGTGTTTGGGCCTGTAGTAGATCGTGCTCTGCGACTTCCAGAGGAAATGCCACACATCCTCGGGCAGGATCAGGGCAAAGTTGGAAACGTGCTGCTGGCACCGGAGATACCATTTCCACAGGGTGAAATAGGTCTTCTCGTCGTTCTTCTGTTGTGCGGAATCCAATGCCGTGTTGAACCGCTTGACGTATATCTTGTCTCTGATGGGGATGCTCAGGGTCACCTTGAGGGCGGATTTCGACGTTGTGGCTTGTTTCTTTCCCTCCTCCTCTTTCGCCAAATCCTCCAAATCTTCCTCAGACACCAGATCCAGATCTTCGGGCGGCATGACACCCTCTTCTTCAAGTGCCTTCAGCAGTTCCTCCCTCTCGTTAACGGGGAAAGACCGCATGAACTCGCTGTTGGGTCCGAAAGGGCCTTCTCGCATGACCGCGAGTTCGCGATCCAGTTTGTCCAACTCGGCCTTCAAGGCATGTGTTTCATCATCGAGCAGGTCTCGGACCGGCAGCCTGGTGGACGCATCCGTGCCCTGCTGTTCGAATTCATGGATATCGGCCTGCGCCACAGACGCAGCGGGCGGCTTGCGCGGTTGAGGAGGACGTGAGCGAGCGGTCTGCCGGTACTGTCGAATGGGTTGGAGATGTTGCAGGCAGAGTTGATGTCCCGCAAAACTCGGCGACAGACAGAACTGTTGGTGCCATCTTCGAGACAGTCGACAGATGCTGCGCATAGAGAATTTGACGGGTCTCTGATTGCACAATAGTAAGTCGAACACTCGAAGAATGATGTCGGTGCGTCTGATGGACTGCGGCGAAACGAAAAAGTCTCCCAGCGTGGAATAAATTTAGCCGAAGATTAACCGCATATCTCAGCCTCGTCTCCTTCGACATACCAGGAGACAGAATCCTTCACTAGATGCTGGACACCATATGCATCAGATTGACCGGTCCATTTCTCTACCTGCGCTTCAGCCGGAAAATGTAGACTTGTCGCCGGACAGTACAGCCATGGCAGAGCTATTCCTCCCGAGTTATGGTCGCCATTTGCAACACGGAGTGCTCTCCATTAACCTCTGAGGCACGTCGCCAACGATGTCTCGAGAACAGTGTTGCCGTGTGTTTGACAGTGACCCCTTGGCTGGCAGATTTTACGTGATTAGCATCTCATCAATTTCCCAACCCTCGTAGTTCTCACTTTCTTGCCAGGAATATACCCCTTTCCATTCCCATGACGATCCCCCATCGACGCTGGCACAAATGGCGGCAACCAGCCCAAAGGCCTCCCCTCGCTGGCTGCTGCCGACAGCTGGAGAGATACCGTCTTCAGCCACTGCTCGGATAAGCCTTACTCGCGCTCCATGGTCAAGTAACTCCTCGACAGTAAGCCAAGCCAGGGCATCGTCTGGGTGGGCATATATCAACTCAGCGTCTTCGAAAGCCACTTCATCATCATAGTATGCCTCAGGAGGGTGTGTCAACTCGCAGCACAAATCCTTATTACTGTCCAGGAGAGAGCGGTCAACCTCCACTATACGCCACCTTCCTCGCAATCCATCTCTTGTGATATCGAGGGAAAGGCTCCCTTCTCCGTCATATGACGGGAACCTCACGCTGTACTCTTGAATCCTACCACCCTCAAGCCCAACAGACCGTTTGATTGGTCGACTATACGGTGTGCTAGGTGCCCAACCAAAGCTCTGCATTGTGCCGACACGTGGAGCGCTCGACAGTATATACCCACTTCTGACCTGTGTTTGGTTCTCCCAGAGACCAGCCGCCTCCTTGCTCACGGGCGCATTGATCAGCAAAGTCCAGCAAGCTATCACATCCTCAGGCCAGGACGTGTGGCGTTGGCTGAGAAGGTAGCCTGCTTCTTCGACGGTTTTGCTCGAGGTTGGGTCTGAATGAGGGATCAGATGTTGTGCACTCCCCAGCAGAACACCAATGTCGATGGCCCCGCGCTCGTGTAACTCGGCGAGAACGTGACGGAGATTGAGGACTCCATCATCCTTGCAAAGCAGCCAGATCGCTCGACTGCCACGGATGCCCTCCAACAACGTCCAGCCACGGACAGTCCAATCACTCACCAGAAGCGTTGAGACGAGGGTCTCAATCTCTGCAATGCTGGGGTGTGGGAGGGTCACGGTGATGGATTGGACATCCATGTCGATAACCAGGGTCACTTTTGCTGTGGCGAAGATTTCGTTGATGCTGGCAATAGCTCGTCGTCGCAGAGTGGTCTCGCTGGGAACACATGCGGCGTCAATCCAGTACGTGTCGCACCCAAACTGGTGGGCCAAGCGGCAATATCGACGATGTAAGCAGGTGTTGATCCCCGTCTCGGGACGCCCGCCTTGTCCATGGCTCCAGACGTGAGAAATGGCAAGTGTCTGGCGAGAAACAGGAGAATAGTTCAAACGTGTAGAATCTTCAACCACCGCAATTGCCGCCGGCTTTCGACACTCGTAGTATGAAGGTGCATTCCACAAAATTCTCGGGCAGTGTCCATTGCAGCCAGGCGCATGTGCTGATTGCGCGGCGTCCTCTGCGGCGGTAAACCGCTGGCATGTCTCTGGCTCGCCGCCTTCACAGGTGTCCGTCGAGTCTCGGACGCATCGGCCAGGCCTCCCGTGGAACTGAGCATCGAACCGTGAAATCATGCGGCGAAAGTCAAGCCCGATGGACGTGCGGCTGGTTCTGAGAAGTTCAAAGGCCCAGTTGCAGAGGTAGTCGGTGCAGGTGCCACGATATGCGTCTCGTGAGAGAGATTCCAGTTCGCGGATGCCTCGAACGGCCAGGAAGGAGTTCCAGGTGGCCGAATATCCATGGGCAAGTTGGACTCCAATCACGTAGTAGAAGTGCAGCATCACAGAACGTTGCCATGCGGACCAGACAAAGACTTTGACGATCACCATCGCCTGTTCATGGCCATCACGTTCGCGGGGAAAAAGGGCGTCCTTCAACGCACTGGCTTCGTCCGAGTCGTCCTCAAATGGATCCTGAATGCCGAAAGATGCGGCGTCACACATGGCCTGATATTCATCGAACAGTTCGGATAGTACGTTCACATACTCGAGCGAGTTCCGAGCCAGACGCAGGTCCGGGACGGAACCCTGGTTCGCAAAGACGGCGGCCAGAACCAGGGAATTGGTGTCGATGCGCGTGGTCACGTAGAAATTCTCCCAGGCGAGGTCTTGTAGCCTCGACAGCAGCTTGAGGATCGAGTCAGCATCGTCTGGCCTCTGTGGCTGGAAGTAAGATTGCGCTTCTGGCAAAATGTACTTTGTCGCCCATGTGCCATCTTTGATACAGTCCCACAGGGTCGAGCCTTGCTTCCGCCCGATGCCGTTGTTCAGCGGCAGCGAGAAACTACGCTGGGGCACTTTTGGCAGACGTGCGAGCAGTCTTTCACCCTTGGACACTATATCATGGAGCAACGCATCGACCCTGGGCGAGGATTCCTTGATAGAGCCCCCGGGCCGTTGCAAAAGGACTGAGAGCTGCTGATCGAGTCTGTCAAAGTGTTCTGTGGGATGGTGGACGCCTGTCAGGAGTGGTGTGCATGATAGTCTCAGTTGCCATAGCCTCACATCCGTGTCTTGAATCTGGGCCAAAGGGCATAAGAGCAGGTCGCCCGCGTCGACGCCATAGATGCTCTCAACAGCCTTCTCTAGCGAGTGACGAATCGTATGGTTTCGTTGCCTGTTCATGACAACGGTATGTGAGTGGCTTGGTGAAGCCGGTTGTCAGGAATTGGGTCCTTGACGGATTTCTCTTTATCTGCTATAGTTGTTTAAAGATATACTCCGCCAATACTGTTGCTGGCTGCAAGTTTCCGCGTTTTAGCTGAAAGCAGTGAAAGGGTAAGAGTATTGAGGCACTATTCGTCAAGGATCCAAAGGGCTAATAAATGTAAATTTCAATACATTTCGCACTCATAATGTTCCTACTCTGCGGTAAAGAGAGGTGTCTGAAGAAGAGCACATCCAGGAAGCTCAGACCCTCAAAAGGCCTTACCACTTCTCTCTTTTGTTGAAAGAAGGAGAATTCCACGTATCAGGGAAGTATATCCCGAGCCTCCTTCCCTTACCGTGTACATGGGTATCCTGTTTGGCTCGATCCATGGACAATTCAATAACCTTCTCAATTGGTACCTTTCACGATACCACTCCCCACTATTAATTATATTCCTTGACACGAAGCCGGGTGCGGATGGCGCCTTCTTCCATCAGCCTCGCTTGCTCTCCACCCGGCGTCATTCTCGACATTCACGTCCGCGCCATTGTCCACCAGCAGCAAACCGAGATCCGTGTACCCTTTCCGCGCCGCCGCATGCAACGCCGTGTTGCCGTGTTGTGAACGTTGAGTATTAGGCTGGGACTATTATAATTACTGATACTCGAGCCTCACCATCCTTCAACTCTAGTCCGACCATTACTGGTGGCTGTCAGACGTCAAGCCGGGAGTCAGCGCCAAGGTCGGATGCGAGCGAATATTTCCGGTCAATACTTGTCTGACGAAAAGCTCAGCAGCAGAGTCCTTCTGTCAGACAGAGACCATTCCCCCTCGCGACGCGCTTCAACAAAGCCGCGTCTCGACTTGATCCTGTGAGCTGGACAAACCAAGATCGCAGAACTATTGGATCCAGAACGCCCAAATGGACGATGAAGCCCACACGGTAAGCCGAAAACAGACCGTTTTACCGAGTCCTTGTTAACAACATGGTAGAGCTGCTACATCTTCAAGCCTAGGAACCAAGAGACCGAAGAGATCGATCCGAGACCGCAGAAGAGGCGGAAGTTGAGCAAAGTCCCATCGAAGAGTGCACCCCAAGAGGAATACTCATGGCCACGAGTACTGAACGGGCAAGAACCTCAAGACGCGGCCAGACTCCGCAAACAGCAGTTCGAGACAGTATGGGCCCAACAACAGAAGAAAATCGACAGCATTGTCGATGTGGTCGATGAAGGGTTTGTGGAGCCTGTTATCAGGTTTGTGCGTACCCAGAATGCAGAAAGTCTTCGGGAGCATAAGAGACTGAAGACTGCGTTGCTGGCCGTGGGCCCAAGCACGAACCATCACCACGACCTTCACAAGACATGGAGACGCAAAATCACACGGGACGGACTCAGCGGAGAGGAGTTGCTCGTCATGCTGCAGCCGGCGCACTGTCCAAACATGCAGACCGCGCTGAAGAACGTGGTCAGATCGGCGATTTCTGGACGAGAAGGGGCAGAGAAGTACACAGAGTTCCTGAACGAGCACAAATCCATGGTGCCCATGTCCTTCGACCTGGAATTGCTCCAGCGGTACGTTCGACGCCATCGCATCGAGCGAGTAGTCATCTCCGTCATGGATGCCGAAGGATTTGACACCGTTGTCCTGTCTGAATTGATCTCGACTTTCCAGTCCTGGTCAGACAGGATTCCGACTATTCTTCTCATCGGTATTTCGACCACCGTGGAACTCTTTGAGTCTCGGCTATCTCGACTGACGGTTTCCATGCTCGACGCCCAAATATTCGAACCGAGCCCAGACTTCAGTCGGGGAGATCGCCTGTTTGACCTGTACACGACAATTCAACATGGTGAAGATGCGGAAGTGTTTCTGGGCCAGTCGGTCGTCAGCGTGCTGGCAGCATCGGCCGAAGACCAAAGCACTACACCAGCAACATTCGCTCGGGCCGTCAAGTACGCTCACATGTCTCACTTCTTCGCGAATCCTCTCTCGCTGCTGTCCATCGAGAGCAGGACGACGTCACCGGTATGGAGCCCGGTGCTGTGCCAAGCCATCCGCAACCTCGCGAGCTTCAAGTCGTACTGCGAAGCGCTGGCCAAGGGCGACAGGACTGAGCGAGAGGCCGCCCGGCGCCTGCTTACGTCCGACGAGGAACTTCAGAAGGCAGCCGTCCAAGCAATCGAGTCAGGAAAACGGAGAATGCGTTCATGTTTGTCCGCTATCTCAACCCTGAGATTCATCTACCACTGCACGTTCAGGCTCGAAGCGTACACCACCTGGGAGAGCGAATTGCATCTCCTGAATTCCCTCCCTGACCTAACCCGCTCAGAAATCTTCGAAGCCATTGAGGACCAACTCAAAAGCCTGCCGTTTGAGACACTAGTCGCCCGACTGCTCGAGGACTCTGCGCCAGGACTGGAGGATCTGCGGGACTACCACCGGTCCTTTGCAGAAGTACCCGACTCAGAGTCAGAGTCAGAGCCAGGGTCAGGCGCTGGTGCGAGCAGTTCTGGCGCGGAAACAGTCATCACCGTCCTGCGGCGGTACCTTGAGAGCCGGACGTCGTCACCCTCGCCGCCATCGTCACGTTCCGACGACGGTGTCAATCCCTTCCGCCAATTTATGGCCGAGGCCCATACCCTGACGCAAAAGTCCCCTCTGTCGCAGACCATCCACCCTCGCCCGCGCCACTGCGTCGAGCGTGCCCTGACCCGGCCCGCGGACTACCTTGGCTGCGCATGCTGCGCGGCTCACGGCAGGGGTGCCGGCGACGTCGTCGGGAACAGGGCGAGCCTCCCGCCCACGAGCCTCTTGCTGAGCATGCTCAACGAAGCGGGCGCGGTGGTCAACGTGCGGGACCTGTGGGACGCGTTTCGGGACACGCTCTCGTCTCACCACCGCGCTGACGAAGATGACAGTGATGACGACAACGACGACGACAATAACGATAATGAGAACGAGACCGAGAACGAGAACAAAGACGACAAGAGCAGTAGCAGCAGCAGTGCTGAGAGGCAGACCCTGGCCCTGTTCTACCGTGCGCTCGCCGACCTGCGCCACTTGGGCCTGATCAAGCAGAGCAAGCGCAAGCCTGGAGTGGAATGCATCGCAAAGACGGCGTGGATGGGACTCTGAAAACTCAACTATACGCTAGCGGGAGAGAGGGAGAGAGGGAGAGAGAGAGAGGGAAAGAAGGAGAGGGGGCGGTTTCCATAGATATCACACCCTCCTTCGTCCTTGTAACAAACTCCGGAGAGGACATCTAGTGCACGAGGCGCTTGCACTCCACATGCGACAAATGATACAACGGTCAAAACGAGCTTTTTTGATTTCCTCGTTCTAAACAACATCAAAGACCTGATAGCTAGTTCAGGCGCCTGGTATCTCCGGGGCAAGTTCTGGGACAGAAAAATCTTCTTTTCCATACGTCTCATCATCATATTCTCTTCATCGTCGGATGTGATCTAACATCTCATACATACATATCATAAGGAAACATGAAGAATGGCATGAAACCAATACATGAATCCCAATGGTAACACTCAGACTCAAACCTTCTGTGTGTACGCCGCTCCGTAGACAAATTGAACCAAAGTCGCTGCAATTCCCATTCTCCGTACGTGGTCCGCTCAAGCAAAAGTGCAAAGGAACCCAGGAGGAAAGAAAGGCCAGAAGATGAAGTCCTGTGTCCCCTCCGCCTCATGCCCTCTCCATCACAAGACCCAATGGTCAAACAGCTCATAGACATTAAAACAATAGCGAACAGGGGTATGATAAACAACGACATGAGAAGTCTAACGCTCGTAAACATCAAGAAGAGAAATAAACAAGAGGGACACACACCAGACAAAACAGGCAGAAGAAGTCTGTCTGACTACCTAACGTGCATCCTTGGGGTTTTTCAAGGTACACCTGGGGCAGAATTCTTGATGGCATGCTGGATCCATACAGCGCGTGCTTAAGCGATAGGCATTGGACATTTTGCACTGGCAGCAGATGATGACTGTGGCATAGCGTTTATGGTCGCCACGATGAGAGCCCGAGTTCGAGTTCGAATTCTGGCCCTGGCCCTGGCCCTGGCCCTGACTTTGGGCCGTCGTGGACATATCAGGCGTTTGAGGCATTATCGTCGAATCACGTATGTAGTCCATACGTGATGATTCCTGCTTGGTGCTGGAAGGGCTGAAGGATTGTGCTGATAAGGGTTGGTGAGCGGAAGAGAAGCCGCTTTGCTGCGAAGCTGATGACTGAGCAGCCTCGGAAGGTGCTTGTGAGGCTTCTAAGGCACCGTCCTCTTCTTCTGCGATGCCTTCGTCTGGCTTCCCCTTCTCACACAGTGCCCCTTTAGTCTTTCCATGGCCCGTGAGCTCGACCCAGTCTTTGCTAGACTTGTGGTCCTTCATGAAGTGATCCGCAATATGATCGAAGCGCAACGTGAGGGCCTCGACATCAGTCATAGAGTGTGTGATGATGGTCTTGCAGAAACCACACCAAAATCCGCCCTGATAATTGCGGGTGATTCGGCGTTGCGTGGCATATTCTTCAGGTCGTGAAACCGAATGAACTTCCCGCATATGCCCGATATAGCTTGAGAAATCGTGGAAAAAGACCCGGAAACATTTATCACAAAACCAACACTCTTGTTGCTCGTGTTGAGTCTGCTCGTGCCTTTTCCAGTCGTCTTTGCTGCCGAAGGTCTTGGTACATCCGTCGAAGACACAACCGTACGGTTTGTAATGGCGTTTCATGTGTTTCTTCAGCTCGCTCTGCCTTTGCATCACCTTTGTACATCCCGGATACTGGCATGAGACCTGCGCCGGCTTTGTCGGGGACAGTCGAAAACCACCAGGAAGTTCAGCATCGGTGATCCTCGAAGCCGGCCCAACAGATGAGGCGGCATAACTCGTCACGCCATCGTTGCAGTGCAAAGATAATCGGAATTGGTTCAGAATCTCCTCGTCAGAACGGAATTCGTTCCCTCCGTTTGAGCGATGGAGTTCTAAAAAGGAGCTGATCTCATCTTCCATTGCCTTCTGAAGTCCGGACTTAGATGTATTCTCGGCATGCATCATGCTGGCTTGGAAGCCTTGGTGCGGTAAAGGCACTGAGCTGTTGTCGGCGGTGGCGGAGTTAGTACTACATCCGACATAGCTAAGGAAGTCTTCCTGTGAGTCACCGAGGTCTGGTGGGACATGAGGCAGTTCCTGGGGTGAGACGAAGTCGGTCATTCGATCCGGGTCGAGGTCTGGGACAGCAATTGTATTTGGCCGTTTTGACCTCCCTGGCTGGAAGTAGCCGAGTACAGAGTTCGTTCTCATCGCAGCGTTTGTGGCGTCAGAGGATTTCCGAGCCGGACGGGACAAGAAGTGACAGTTGACTCTTTGATTGGTGAAGTCGGAATGGAGGTGCGACAGATCCTGATAACGAGAAAAATCGGCCTGTGACCATGCCCTTTGCTGCACGTAGGCCGTGGTTGATGAGAGATTATTGGTATCAAGGGTTGAAAGGCTCTGCTGTTGCTGCAAGCTGAGTGCGTGAGTCGCCGTAGATGTGGATCGATCCTGATTTTGCTGCGACATGGCGTGAGTGAGATCGTGGTTGATTAGAGGATCATTGTGACCTAATGGGCGAGACATCTGGAGCGTCTCGGTGGCATTTGAATCGAAGGGAGGAGTTGGAGCCGCATAGTCATTGTCAGGAATGGAAATCAACGGATGGGACGAGCGCGAGGGGACTGAGGTCGCGAGGGAAGCCGTCTCATCAGCTTGTGTTTGCTGAAGAGTCTTTTCATACCACTTGTTGGACCTAGTAGAGTCAGCGGAAAGAATGTGTGCCGCTTCTGGCAGATACCCACAATTCAAGCAGTTCTTCCATCTTCTTATCTTTGTGCATCTTTTTGAGATGCTGCTTGAAGTTGTCCAAGCGGGGCCATTCCTTTTCAGCTTTACTACAACCATCGGCAAAGCATTTGTAGGATCTGCTGTTCCTTTTGTTGATGTTATGCACGGCTTTCAGATGTCTGTCAAGGTCATTAACAGTTGCAAATCCCTGGGTATGCCGCTGGCAGTTCTGAAAGGGACATTTGTGCTCGCGTTTGTGGCGAGCAGAGTGTTTCCTGCCACGACTCTGGTCAGCTTTACACATCAAAACAGGGACGCAGACGACTTACTTCAGATCGGACCTGGTCTTGCCCACAAAATCACATTCCACGCATTCCAATTCTCTACTTCTCTGCTGTGGTCGCTGAGTTGCCGGTTGCCCAACCGTGGAGGAATTGGAGAGGGTATATGAGTCAGGCAGGAGATAAGGTATGGGTGTCATCGTGTCACGTTCGTCCATTTCTGTCCGCTCTTCCATCACTGAGTCGACCTCATGCTGAGATTTCCTTGATCGAGTTTCGTAGCCCGAGTCTCCTAGAGATTTTCGTGCGCTGGCTGAAGAATACGCACGATTATGAACAGGGGTTCTAAGATGTTGAGATGCCAGTCCAGGTTCAGTGGGGTTCAAAGTTCCAGGCAATAACGAAGTCATGCCCTCAGTGGCAGCAAGATGTGACCATGGTCCCGTAGCGGTCTGGTGACTTGGCACACCGTCGATAGCAACAGAGGACGAGTCCACGAAGCGAGGAGGAAGCGATGAAGCAGGAGAAGAAAAAGAATACTGGGAGTCGCTTTGGATATGCTGGAATGAATAGGAGTCAAAAGAGCCAGAGTAATCCGGAAACGGGGTATCAGAGGACGAAAAGAAGCTTCCAGGCATGTGGTCACCGGGAGAGGACATGACGGATAAAGGGTTTTGCTGTAGCCCTGTCAAGACAGAATCCGTCGAGTAGGCTGAGTGTAGGGCAGACCCGGATGCAGATGCAGATGCAGAAGCACTGCCCTCGTCTTGTATCGAGACAAATGCCTGGAGCAATGAGTCAGAGACTACGGCCGCGAAATGGCGATGAGGCAGTGCTGGATATACATTCGATCTTGCCGGCCAGGCGGGTTTGGACACCGATTGACTCGGTCGAGTTTGATTTTCCGACATGGCGAGTGAAGGAGGTGGAAAGATGTAGTATGACTGAACTCCGACAGTTAGCCCAGACCTTGGCAGGGAAGATCCAATGGATATCTTGCTGCAACAGTGAGAGAGAAAGTGAGGCAACAGTTTCATTCCTGTTGGCCACCAGGATTGGGGATGGGGGATGCTTACCCTCTCGTTCGACTTGACCCGTGCAAAATCCGGGGTATGGAAGGACGAAGTCAAGTCCAGAAGGAAACAAGCGAGGCCACACAAAACAAGAGGTGACACGACCAGCAATGGTCAAGGAAGGTTCAATGATGGGTTCGAGAACACCGCCTGGTTTGGTTCAGGCTTGAGGCTTGCAAGAACGCCTATGGCATTGCTGATGAACAGGAGAGGGAGGCGTAGCCAATCAGAATGAGCAAGGCGGTGGGTTGGGATGCTGGCCAGCCTGATTGCAGTCTCTTTTGGCCCGACTCGACAGAAAATGAGGCGGATGAAGGAGACCAAATCTCCATGCTGGAAGAAGGGGGCTATCTGTCAATATATGAAAGAGCAGAGAGGGACAGAAGAGAATCAGACAGGAGCGATGGGCGAGGGAGAGAGTTTGCACCGACCTGGGACTCGGGACTTGGTGGACTCGGAAAGGGATGGATGGGGGCGGTGCAGCGATGGGAGAGGGACTCACGGGCTGGTCAACCACAAGCTGGGATCACAGCAGCAGCTAACGGGAATGGCGGAAGCAGTTGAGGAGTCATTGCTGAATGAGAATGAAACAAAACCATCGAGAAGATAGCCACTTTGTCGTTCAGAATGCACAATGAAGCCACGAAGCGACCGGTGTAGCAGGCAGAAGGGGTGGTCGTTGAACAGGTGTGTGAGAGAGGTGAGAGTTGTATGAGTGTGGTGCTGCACACGGTGGTGGTGGTGGGGGGAGTGAACCGGGGAGGAAAAAGTAAAATGACGCTGGATGACGGAGCCCAGACAGACAACACACCCGACGATGAGTACGACTGGCTCGTGACTGGCTCGTGACCTCCAGTAACAGAACCACGCTGACCGGTCAGACAGGCGCCTTGGCGCTAGATCGAGCAAACGCCAATAAAAGACCCCCTTGAGTGGCCCGCGACCTGCGAGTGTGCCTTGCTTTTGACCGGTTACAGTTAGTGGCTGCCTTTTGCTGTCCGGGATTTTGGCTGCATGTATTGTCAGTACCGCTACTCGGTATCTTTCGCCATAGACCATTTGTACTGTGCAGAGAGACAGAACTACCCCGGACACAAAACGACCACAAAACTACTAACCTGGTCATACGTGCTTCGGTACAGAGTATACACCCAGGTATTGCGTACAGTATGCTCGGAATAGAGTGTGGCCTCTATAAGCTGGGCATACCGTGACTCGGATTGTTACTATCACACCCCTGGTATCCCCCACCAACGCCCGCCAACGTCCACCAACGGTCCGGGTCACTGCTCGTCTACACTCGACGCTGACTGGCCCATTCACCTCCCAGTTTCCGAAAAGTCCATTACTTTCCAAACTCCAAAAGTTCCAGAAACCAATCCAAAGTTGCAAAACTCAAAATCATCGCATTCATCACTGCCAGCTTGTCATGCCAATCATAACCCAGATTTCATCCCTGGAACTCAGAACATCATATGGGTATCTAGATTCCAACCATATTTCCCTCGGAACAAAGAGGTGAACTACCGTCCAAAGCAGTCCGGAAGTTCCTCTACTCCAAAATAGGACGTGTCAAATGGTAGCTCACACCCGCCCTCCTGCATCGGGACCCCTGTCCGCACCTTCGCCGCCTCACTCTGCAAAAAGTCTATCCGATAACAATTTCCAACCTCTTCATGCGAAATGCATGTCTGCACCGGTCCCCCCGGTTCCCGGAGCCCCGTAGACATACGATTGCGCTGGATGTGCGTTCAACCCCGTGTGTAGGCCCAGCCCTGCTCGCCCCTCGAGTGTGATTGGACTGCTATGTCCACCTCGTTGTTGATCCGGTAGTATCGATGAGGCGTACTGGCCCAGGCCATAACCCGGCATCGATTGCGCGCTCCCATACATGTTTTGCATCGACGCTTGCGAGTACATCGCCCCTGTCGAGTCGTAGAACACGTTCTCGTACCCGGAGCCCATTGGTTGAGACCGGGGCGCCACCATCGCATTCTGGGGCGATAGGCTATGTTGATGCGCCGCTTCCATCTGACCTGGTCCTATGAAGACCGGAGACTGATGAGCGTAGTGCGGCGTAGCTCCATACCCACCCGTCATGATCGGGCCCTGCGCGGTCGGTGTCAACGCATGTGGGCTATAGTATCCCTGGTCGAGTGGAAACCCTCCGTTTTGGGCATGTACATGCAATGACGCCGGTGACTGTCCCGCCGATGAGGTTTGGTAGGCCGAGGTCACACTGACAGGATATGGTGAGAGATTGCTCCCATCCGCGTTGTTCATCGCCCCTGGAATGGTGCCGAACGACGACCCCATCATTGGCGGTTGATCAATTGGACTCACGATGGTGTCCGGCGAGACTTCCGCCATGCTCACCAGCTGTAGGACTGGCATCGCGATCTGTTCCATGTGCCTGCCCATGTGCACCGACAGCTTCTTGAATGTCGAACACACGTTGCCACAGAAGCGACAGGCTTCATCCCGAGCTTGCTTTCCCGTCTCGACGCGACACTTGTCCACCATCCGCCACACCTCACTGTCCTCTTGCGAGCCGCTATTGATTGCCTTGTTCTTGCTGCTCCCGGAACCACGCTTGACCTTGGGCTCAGTCATTTTATGCTCCCGCACCAGATGCTGGACAAAGTTGTCTTTGCGGTAACAAACGTGATTGCATTCCTGGATCGAACACTGCCACCACTCTAGGTGCCGGTGTCGCTCGTTCTCGTGGCGAACCCAGTCTGCTTTGCGCTTGAACGACTTCGACTCGGAGCAATTGGGAAAGGTACAGGAGAAAGGTTGGATGTCCTCATGCACGTGCTTAGTCCAGTCCGACGGTTTGTGAAACTTCTTGACTTTGAAGCAGAGATTACATTCAAATTCGGCCGGGAGACGTGCAACTGGCGGCAAGGGGATCCCCACAGGAAATAGTGCCGGCGTGACCACCCCGTCGGTGAATCCAGACTCATCCACCTCATCGTCCGCAGGGTTGCTGATCTGAAACTGGGTCAGTGTCGTGTCTGGATCCTTGGAGCTGACCCGTGGTGCGAGAGGTGTCGCGTGACCACCGAGATCAAGGCAGAACTTGCCCGAAGCGCATTTGTGCGTCACTTGGACCGATCGAGTGTGCTTGATCTTGGTTTCAATCAGTTTCTTGTAGCGTCGAATCTGCTCTTGCCCAATGCGGTCGATCAGATATGGCTCCAATCTGGGATTGAGTTTTCGGGCATGATCTCTAAAACCTTCGATTGTTGGCCTGATGTCCTCCACACGGATCTCAAGATCCATCTTGATGGCCACTTCGTCTGCTTCGTCCTCATCATCGTCCACATGGGCGTCTTCATTGTCGATAACTTGTGCGGCCAGGATGGGTTCGCGCTCATACATTGGGGATGCTAGAGTCGGCATGGGCGGTCCGCCATGCTTGGTCAACAAATCCGCCAGTCCGGGGTTGGATGACTTTGCATTCTTGGTCACGTCGCTCTTGCTACGCTGCGTCTTCAGCGCCTGCAAGGGTCGTGTTGACTTGGAGGCATCGAAATCTTGGGCCACCGAATTCCCGCGCCCGACGGCTGCGAGCTGACCAGTCATGGCAAGCAAGGCACTGCCGGTGTCCAGAGGAGGTGATTTGGGCTTACCAAAACTCGGCATCCTTTGAGGTTTGATGCTTCCAACAGAGCTCCGATGAGAGTGGCCCCGTGGCAGTTCCTCATTGTCCTCTGTCGAGGGTTCTTCTTTGATATTACTGCTGCTGCGTCGAGGGAAAATGCCCCGAGCCTTGTTGAGGAGGCTACTCTTTCGCTCCCGGCCTCCTTTCGAAAGGGACAGCTGTCCCATCTGACGGCCCTCGACGATTGAATTGATTTCGCTCTCGCTGAGGCGGCGGCCGGTTCCCCACGTGGCAGCCCTAGAGGCAGTTTCCCACTTTGCGGCTTCTTCGTTGAATTTGTAGGCGGCTGCGTTTGACGTGTTGGGTTGACCTTTTGTGCTAACAATAGGACCCCGGACAGGATCTTGCCATGGGCCTCGCCTGAAGAACTGGGTAGGCAGCGGCTCCTGCTGCTCCGGTGTCGTGGGTTCTTCAAGGGGAGGGATTTCGGTTTGATCAGTCGACGTGCGGCCTTCGAGAGCATGTGGCGAAAGCCGCGGTGAGCCTTCCATCTGATAATGCTCAATGGCTTGCACGGCTTGCTTGGTATATTCTTCTTTGACCGATGACCTTACAGACGCGTCGTCAAAATACTCGTCGTCCGATTCCTCGTCGACTAGGACCCCGGGCCCAGGGATATGCCGGTCTGAGTATACCGGGCCGAGAGCGTCTACACGGCCCTCCGTGGTGTGAGCTCGCCGCCTCACCCCTTGGGGTGTCCGACGAGAGGCCTTCGTTCCAGATTCGTCTTCGGGTCCGCTGCCGGCGTCACTTGTGACAAGCCATTCCTGAACCTCAGCGTTTCTTTCTTCAATCTGGCGCTGCTGTTCAAGCTCTTTCGCCGAAGGCACCGTTTCGCCGTTCCTCGACTGCGGATCAAGCCCGCGGCGTTGTGCTGGTGTAGCACGTGAATTATCTAGATTGTTAGCATCAGGAGGCATTAGATGAGATGGAGACACATCGACATCGCTGGCTCCTGCTCCATTATGGCTAGATTCGTCATCGTTCTCAGAGGACTCGCTCTCACGGCCTCGCTTGGCAGATGTAGGTATGTGGTTCTGCTGATGCGCTGACTTCACGCCAGAAGCTTCATAGACGGACACCATGACGACGGGACTTGGTGCACGTATGCGTGACGTGTGCTGCCAGGAGTTCACCTTGTTATTGGGAGAAGGCGTGTGGTTTGAGGTCGTATCCACTTTGAGACTTTGAGAGATTCCTCTCTTGTGAGGGGTGCTCGAGCGGTCCATTGATTGATTTTCTTGATGGCCAACAGGCTGAGTCTGCAGTGGGAGAGGAAGAGATGATACAACTGAGGAATTCTCAGAACCTCTCAGCTCTTCTCCAGAGATGAATTTAGGCAGCGGTTCCTCGGTATATTGAAAATAACTTTGCAGATCTGAGGTCTCAGAAACTACTTGCGCGGCCTCGAAGTCGTTCGACCCGTACGAATTCAGTATATGAGGTTGTGCGGTGTCCTGCGACAAGAAAAGCTGCTCCCAGATTTGTTCTTGGGGGGTAGTATGTTCGCTTAGAGGGTTCTCGGAAGATGCTTCGGTCGTCAAGAAATCATCAAAGGAGGACTCGCGGTAGGACGTATCTTCGTCGAGGTTGTAACCGTCAGCGAGAGGCTGCAAGGACCCAGGACTCGACACCTTAGGGAGATTGTATTGGGCACTCAGCGGCCACGAATCTGGTTCGTTTCCCACTTCCAGTGTTCCTTGCGACGGGTTTGACGTTATACTCGCATGATAGTGGTGACTCCTGGACATAGAGGGATTCGCTCTGTGTTGCTGACTTTGTGTTTGCCGCGGTCGATGAAATGATGGAGTCGCCAGTAACGGAGATTGCTGTCCGGGCTTCTGGAAACTGTAGGGATTGGTGTAAGAGTGCGACATTTTGTCCTGAATCTGCAGCGTGTGATAAGGAACGCGAGACGTATTCCTCCTATTCTGCTCGATCCCCAAGTGGGGACGATCTGATAGGGCCAAAATGATCAATGCGTCGGAGGCATGGTAGGCGGATGATCCGCCTATTGTGAGGCTGTGAAGGCTATCGTGATGAAGGGCAGGTATCTGAGTATGCGGAAAAGTTCGGCCAAGGGAGGGGAAGCCCAAATGTCCTAGAATGAAGTTGTTCCGATTAGAGAACCAGAAGATGAGGCGCAGTAGACTGCGGCTGCCTGCCGATCTTCGTGACGCTATGGATATACTGCTCCGTTGGATCGCACCACGGTATGTCGAGACTCGAGAGGAAGGGAAATAGAGGAGATTGAGTCAAGATGAAGAATACCCTAAGAGGAAGAGGGAAATGCTCGAGAAGGACTGGAGGATCCGTGGCACCTGCTCGTTGTGTCTCCTGATGTGGTCGGACAGATCAAGAGGAAGATGTGACTGGTCGCGCAAAGGGGTGATAGACAGGGCTGTGGAAAAGGCACGAGCGCCGTGAGTGTGAGAGAAATGGTTCGCGACCCAAGCACTGACTGCTCCGGGCAGGAGACAGCCTGATGAATACAACCGCAGGTCGGCCGGTGTCAAGTGCCCGCTGGCGCGTAGCGGGAATGAGGGACTTTGGGGTCCAAGATGAGGTTCAAAGCAGTGTGATCCGCAGGAGGCTTTGACCAAAGTCAGGTAGAGGAAGGCCTATCAGGGGAGGGTCGTGGTGACAGTGGGTTGAACTCGTAGAGCGATGGTGGTGGAGGTGTTTTCTTGTCTTGCGCAGGCGGAGGACACAAGCCTCTCTTCTTGGGGGAGGAGGATGGAGGTGGAGATGGAGATGGAAAGCCCACCAAGCACCAAAGGCCTTTCCTGGATGGCGAGCACAGCCATGCCAGTCGGCTGTTGGAGGTTTGCAGGGCACTATTTTTTCAGCTGCCGCATTAGAGGCACCACAAGTGTCGAGGCGCCCAGGGTTGATTCGACCGAAGCCCAATCGAAGGGGGATGGTGGCTGCAGGGACCCACGATATCGTTCCACACAGGGCCCTGACAAGCCACAAGCTGGTTTCCCAAGCCGGTGAGGTCAGGACGAGCAAGCTGTGGGAGCCGTTGAACCATCCACTACTCCATCCCGACCACGAGGGATTTGTTCATGCTTTCGGGGTGCGATAAGGGCAAGTTCATGATCCTTATCGTCATCTGCACTGAGTATAATTGAAGAGCGACTAGAAAACGCACAGGCAGATCCGGCAATACTGATTATACAGTATGATGCAAGGAACCATCCCCCAACACGAGGGGACCTCTGCAAAGCTTCAGGGAGTGGCACAGCCCCCAATCAGCCTTACGAGCCCACAAACCAGTGAGCTGCCAGCACTGCCCTTGGGATTTCGCTACAGGGATCGTTAGAGTCGATCTCACTAGCCCGGGGCAGAATCATGGGCAGACTCTTCTCCCACTTCCCCTACAACTTGTCCAATCGCCAGCAGCCATTCCCCAAGCTTCAACGAGTTCGCCTTTCACATCGAGTACTGTGGTGGGCCTCACGCAGGGTATCCACCAAAGCACCATAATCCGCTTTGGCCCATGGGCACCACATAATGACATCTGTGGGAGTGTAGCAGCTAGCTCTGTACAACGTCTTTGCTAGCATTGTACCGAGTACAATGCCCCTGCTTCACCCTAGCCTGTCGTTGCCTGCCATCAGCTCCTGACGTCTTGCAATGACCAAGGGCGAATCGTGACACAGGCCAGTCCCCTGAAGGTAGATGCAACCTGCCGCCGACGAACTCCTTAGTGGACCGCAGTCTCGCCCGTCGTCGTCGACAGTCCTGGCTCCTTCCCTAAAGATATGTGGTCGGATCCAAAGTGTGACATCAGTTAGACTCGATATCCCCTCTATCTCAAGTATCCTGTGACCCATGCTGGATCGGACAGCTGCCCATTCGACTCGCACTTGACGCCACAGCTCAACTGCTGCCTTGGCAATCGACCGGACGGCTTCTATTAACGCTGGAACATGCTCGGCTAATGTCATAGACGCCAATTTGTCGACGATTTCCTTGCTGGCGGATGTGGCAACTGTGCTTGCGGCCTTGCGCCCATATGGACTGGTATAGAGAGCCCGCACCGTGATTGCTCTCCAGATTGCTTCTCGGTGGACGCTCTTCGCACTGATCATCTTTGATATCCTGGACAAGCACATCTCTAGACCGGGACTGCTGCCCTCATCATAGGACGATGGAAATAAGAATGGCTGAAAGATCCTCTGATGTAGCACGCTGAATATCTGATTCTGAATGATGAGAGACCGAAGAGTCCGGGCCGGCGTCGTCATGCCTGCCACATCAGGAAGATTGCTCGATTGAACCGTTCGTGCCAGGGCAGAATTCAAACAAGACTGGTCCTGAAAGAATTGTTCGGATACCTTTTCCACTGACAGTGCTAGAGATTTGAAAGCACTGACACTACATTTACCTGTCAGCGGCGTGCGCCCGATGTAGACCTGGAGAAGAATGAGAACGGTCTCTGTCAGAAGCGCAACGTGCCACACTCACAAGAATTCGTCATCCTTTCCTTTACCGGAACTTGTCTGTCCTAGGCTCTGAAGAATGCGTTCCATCCGCTCACTCTCCCGTTGCCATTGAGCCTGCTTGTCTCTCAAACACATTATGGACTCCACCAACTCTGTACGTTGCTGACTAGTCATATCATGTGTGGTTTGAAGTGCCTGATGTGCTTGTTGTGCCGTCGCCAATTCGGTTATCAGGCTGTTATTGGCGTTGCGCTGCTGTTCAAGGTCTTCCTTAAGCTCTTCGACTGTAGAGCGGAAGGTATTCAGCTCAGCCTGAAGCTGCGCTTCAACCTGCTTGTGCTTGGTGATCATCTCTGATAATCGTCCTTCGGCTGCTTTTCGTATTTGTCCAATCTCTTTTTGATGACCTTCTCGCAAAGCGGTGATTTCGTCTTTGTGCTTTTCCACCATCTGAGCGCACCTTTGTGTCAACGCTGCAATCTCTTGTTTATGTTGCTCTGCAATCTCCTCTACCGCTTTCCTCTTCGCGTCCAGTTCATTTTTGTGAGCTTGGGCCAAATCAGCTAGCTCCTTGGATTTGGCAGCCAAGGTCTGTTCGTGCTCGGAGATGACTGCACGTGCGGACTCCAGATCCCTCCTCTGTTGTGTATGCTTCGTTATCAGTCCTGCTAGATCGAGCTGAAGCTTTGACAGGCCAGCCTTGTGTTCATTTAGTAACCTGACATGAGCATCCTCTCTTTCTGCCGTGTGCTTCTCATGGGCCTGGATCAAGTCTGTTTGTGAGCGTTCATGCTGTGTCCGTTCGTCCTGAAGCTGCTCTCTGACAGCTTCGACCTTGTCCTCTAGATCCACCTTCTCTGCAGCCAGCTGCTCATTCATGGCCCTCCTATTCTCGGCCTCATTCTCCAAGGATTCACATTTCAAAGTCAGATTGGCAATCTCCTCGTTCGCTTTAGCCAGATCCCGAGAAGAAGCCTCAAGAAGTGAGATTCTCTCAGCTTGCTCAGTGATCTCGTTCTTCAGCTTCAGATTCTCACGGGCTTGCTCCCCTATGATGCGTTCATATTCTTCCTTGGAGACGCTCAATTCAATTCTCAGCTTCGCGACCTCTTCATGGTGTTGTGATTCGGCTTGTTTAACGAGAAGATCTTTCTCAGATAGAAGCCCCTGACTTTCTTGATAGTAATGCAGTAAGCGATTGATATCAGGCAGAACACTTGAAACTTTCTCAAGGAGTTTTGACCGCTCATCATCTGGTGCTGCAGAGCCAGATCGAGAAATAGTATCTGGATGTGGAAATGGCGCTGGAGGGCCAGTGAAAGGCGGCGGGTAGAATGCGACTTGCAGATTAGGGTTAGCTACGAACGGATGAGGGTAATGGTATTGAAAGGGCGGTGGGAACGGAATGCCCGGTGGGGGCGGACTACCAGCAGGTTGCTGAAGAAAGGGTGACAGAGGAGGTGATGCCAGGGGTGAGCGACCGTGATGCGGATACCCATGAAGATAGGTACCCTCGGACGTCAACGTAGGACTCGGCCCGAAAGGTACATCCCTCTCTGCCGGATCCACGAGATGTTGGCCAAACGTAGGCTGTATGAAAACTACCGGGCCCTGTGGAGTTGGGGCAACCAGTGGATCATAAGGATAGGGTACTGATGTGGTGCCCATAGGCACAGCTGTGGTTTCGTGCAAAGACGGTTTTGACGTTCTTGGGGACGCCGGGCCCGTCTCTTCGTGCACTGGCGACTTCGACCCCTTCGTCCATGGCTCTGCAGCGCCAGTAGCGCAGGGAGATGACGTGGATATTTGGGGCGACGACGGTGTCTTGTGCGTAGGAATGATATTCATTTCTTCAGAAACTGTTGGCTGCATTGACGCAAGCGATCTCGACGACTGGCTTTTCGAACTAAGACCCTGCGAAGTTTGCAGAAGCTCTGTATTTCCAGCGAAAGATCCAACAAGCTCTCCTGCCTCCGGCACAGCGGTCATCGAGGGTTTCGTAGGTGATAGAGGACGTACATCTGCTATAGATGTATTTGGGATATCATGGGGACTTTGGATGATATGGGGTTTCACCTTGGTCGGCGAGCTCGGGGCAAGAAGGGTGTCATCCTCCATTCTCGACGAGATGGTCTTATCGGATCTCAACGAGACTGCCGAATGTCTAGATGAAACCACCACAGGATCAGACCACTTTGAGTCGAGCGTCCTGTGCCGGTGGAAATATATAGCCGGCGAGTTGGAACGGCTGTTTCTCGGGATCGAGACCTCATCAAGAGTCCTCGACAACGTCTTGGATAGTTTTGCAGAAGCCGAACTTGATGCTCGGCTCCGAGTCTGCTTTTCTGACGCCTCGCTGAAGCTCCCAGGTCTTCCTCGAGGCCTAGCATTTGTCTGATACGCAGACGTCGACATTGTGCTGAAATGAGAGAATAAATAGCAAAAGAACACAGCCTTTTACGGTCACCCTATCTTAGAAAACGAAACCAAAGGTACCCATGACCTAAAGTTCTTTTTTTCCCCTTTCCAAATATTCAGGGCGTCCAGTGATGTACAGACAACAAATACTGGTACAATATTGTACAGGAACAGAAAGGACCGTCAAAAAGGGTCGGGGATATTGAACTCGGAAGGGTACAGCAAAATAAAAGGTCATTTGAGTCATAAACACTTAACTCTGGGAAGCAAGGTCAGTATCAGGAGCTGCGCTCGTCTCAAGACTGGGCGTCAACGGCTGCAGGACAGGAGCTTGCTGCCCGACTAAGGTGACGACAAGTCAGTCTGGAGCACTCCACATAATCAACAAGACTGCATAAACCAAAGTGCCCTCGCTTCTTGAACCCGGCACGTTGATAGGACGCTGCTCACTCGAGACCACATCGTGTCCAAGTACGATTGGTGTGGAAAGTGGGAGGATGTTGAGATTGGACGTATGAGGGCCGGATAAATTGGCGGGCCGAATTTTCTTGGCGCCGTGTAGCTCGGTCAGTATAACCGCAGTTTGACGGCCGGTTGAACATGAAGTACTGTACATTGCAGAACAGTTCCCTCGTGACCCCATTTCCGTCGCTGCAGCATACACAATCATGTCTTTTGTCTCTCGAGGGGCGAGAGCTGCAGCTCGTCCCTTGAGGCGTGCTATCCAGCAACGTCCGCAACGAAGATTTGCTGGACACGAAGCTGGCCACGGTCATGGAGATGCACATCATCATTCTGGGGAGAGCGCTCTCCACGTCGCGGGTGGATCGGGACATGAAGGATTCGGCGTGAGCAAGAAATCTCCTACAGAAAGTTGAAGGGGGCGGTACAAGGACTGACACTTCTCGGGGGAACAGAGGGGATTCTACATTGCCATTGGCTCCGTACCTTTTGCGATACTCGTCTACTCGATCGCCAGCTCCCCCGGAGACAATGCCCTGACCCGTCTTGTGCGGCAATATGATGCTGGCAGAGAGGTGCTGTTGAGAAAAGATGCGATACATACAACCATGATGGAGCAGGCCGCGGCAGACAGACAATTGTTCGCTGCAACGCCGACAGATCCTGCCGGCCCTCCTCTTCGACTTCCAGAGTATGTAGACCTCTCCACACCTGGATCTCATTCTTGTATCAATTTCACTGACCCAGCTTTCTTAGATCTTTCAACTTCGGTTCACCCTGGAACGTGTCTGCTGGACAAGGCACCGCAGATCTCTCTGCATTGGCAAAGTACTATGAGGGGAGGCATAAAGAAGTGGAACAAGAGAGGGTAGAGAGGCTGAAGAAACAGAAGGGTTCCGTTTACGATGTGTAAGCTACTGGGACTACTCGGGAGCTTTTGGCCGTGGCATTGTATATAGAGAATAAGGGCTATTCGAGCCTGACGTGGCTGTCTCAAGTCCACGGACATGCAAGTGGCCGTAGGCAACGAAACACCATCAATTGATTGTTATCTTCTGTCCCCATATTTACTGCGGGATTTCGGCTGTGTTTCTACATACATGTGTCTGATTCAACTACCCAGACCGCTTCACAGATTCTGTTTCGGCACCTGGCTTGGGCTCGGCTCCCCAATGAGGGTCAAGAATGATTCATGCACCTCTTCCGTAAGGTCGCTCGCCTGCAGACTTCTCTGGTTCTTCACGAAAGCTCTCCGTGAACACTCTCTCGTGATGGCGCTGCCGCCAAACGCCGCCAGCAAGAGCGTTTCCTCTCGGCTCATCTCCTCACCAATGTCCCAGAGCTTCTCATGATAGGCTTCTCGCCAAGCAAGTAACGTACCTAACGAACCCGTCAAGGTATCACCCTGTCCACCGGAGCGTTTCAGACCACCTTGGAACTCGGAGATGGTGGTGTCAATACCTTGTGATATGTAGTCGACTGGCCCTTTCTGAATAATGCACACCCCACCGAGTATCTTGGAGAGTTCCTGGCATGCCTTCTCCGGATCTCCAGTGTTCTTATCCATGCCCACCGACTTGGCCAGACGGCCAAACTCAATCACATTGGGGGTCAGAATGCATTCCTTGTGTCCTCTGATCAAATCCGGGTCTGTCTGAACTAGCAGGAGGGCATCTGCGTCGAGCACCATAGGGACGGGGGGGTTATGCTTCTTCGCAGCGGCAATGACCGCTTTGACCTGCTTTTGCGTCACAACATCTCTTCCCAAGCCGGGTCCAATGACCAGCACATGCAGCCTGGGCAACATGTCTAGTATTGGTTTGGCGAGCTCTTCTCCCGAGGGTTCCTGCTCTTTCTGTGCCTGAGTTATGGACGCTGTAGATCTGAGGATCGGTGACACCATCAGATTTGGCGAGTATGACTTGATTGTCGGGGCTGCTGAAGGCTCGCAGAAGACGTAGGACATGTCACAGCCCAGCCGTGCAGATGCCATGGCAGAGAAGTAGGGTGCGCCCGTGTAGTCTGCACTGCCGCCGATGACAGCGACCCGACCAAGCTGACCTTTGTGGAATCTCTCCAACATTGGCGGCACCAGTTTGTGGACTTTGCCCAGCATTGCACGCGCCGCGGCGGACATGTTGATCGCAGAGCTGGGATCTTCTGAGTTCGGACTCATTTGGTGAGAGGGGGTTAATGTAGGGACAGGGACAGGAGAGCGTTTGAACTGCTTTGAAGCTATGCAAAGCTATGCGAAGCACCTGGGAGGGGATATGCAATCGAGTGATATCAACTGGGATGAATTCATCGCATGTTTTCCCCAATTTACTGGATGGAGTGATGTCACGAAATGGGGACGGATGCAGACTCCGAAGCAAGCAAAAGGACCTGGCAAGTTGGCTAATTCTTGTTTCTATACCCACGAGTTCAATGGCAAATGAGAGCAGGGACTATTCTGTTTGATATCTGTCAAAAAAATCTTCACGCCGGAGAGCATGTTCACGCAATGGACAAGGAATTGCCAGACTGCGTTGCCATGTACAGAACTGATTGGTGGGCTTCGGAGTAAACACTGCCGAGCACCTTGTCTCTATGTATACCTCTCTTTTATATGGATTTTGTCTCAGAGAAGCAAGTTTCGCCACTAATAGCCACCCCTCACTGCTGTCCACCATGGTGTCCCTTGCCCACATCAAGCCGCTGTAGCTACCTCGATGTAATGGCCCGCGAGGCTCACAATCTGCTCCTCAAAATTCTTGAACTTGATGCCGAAGACTTCCTCGGTCTTGCTTGCATCAAATGGCATAGGCAATGAAGTTTGACTGCCCCCGAGAGGAAATACACCTTTCTCCACAGCCTCAGGGAAATGTCTCTTGACAATATCGATGGCATCGTCCCACTTGACGCCATTCACGTCGTAGTTGACCCCAAAGTTCTGGTTGCCTTGGACCTTGGGACCTAATGAGGCAATATGGACATACGCCACATCATCAATGTGACATGTAGCTGCCGGCATTCCATTGGGATTTTGTCTTCCCAGGAGCGGAGTAAATGCAAGGGCATTGGAGCCAGCGATAACGGCTTCGGGAGTAGTTGCAAGCTCGTTCTTGCCGATGACGAATGTAGGCATGATGTTGATCACGGCGAAATGGGGATTTTCCTTGCTGATGAACTCTCGGGTGCGGTTGTAGGCGAGCTTCTTGCTGGCCACATAAGCCGCGAAATCGTGAGGATATGGGCCTTGGGGGTCTGGTTCGACGTGGTCGGAGGTGTAAACTTGCGAGTTGTCGTCAGGAGAAATAGCCGCCACGGAGGAGGTGATGACGACTCGTTTGATCGAGGGCACTTTCAGAGCCGACCGCAGAATGCTAAGCGTGCCCCTGATGGCAGGTTGGATGATGTTGGCCTCGACATCGTCGGAAGGTCGTGGCAAAGGCGACGCAATGTGGACGATGTAATCCGCACCCTTGACGACCTCGTCAAAGGCACCCTCCTTCTCGATGTTCGGGACGATGACAAAGGAAAGTTGATCAAGGTATGGCTGAGTAGACTTGGCACCCCTAATCTCAGCAACTTTGCTCTCAGATCGAACGGCAGCCCGAACTCTGTAGCCTTTGGAAAGAGCCTCAATCAATGTTCGGTAACCCACATGACCAGTGCTTCCGGTCAGAAGTATGAGCTCGGCAGCCATTTGGGAGGGTTTGTCTTTGCGAAGAGCGCTGTAGAATTTGGATTGATACGTGTATCAAATGCTTTGAGTCTGTCCTTGGGAGTGTCTTGGGGTCAGAAGAGGAATGTCAGAGCACACATGCCTGGTCTTTTATAGTCTTCTCAGCATAATCCGCAACATGAGCCCCTAGCCCCCATCCTTTCGATTATCACTATTTCCGATGTAGCGAGAATCCGCATACACGAGGTATTTCCCCCTGGACGAAGATGTATTGAGTAATCATAGTATTTGTCGATGTTCTAGGGTCTTTGCTACGTGTTTTGCGAGTCCGCGACGACAGGGAGGAGCTGTATCAGGAAAAGGTCTAGGAACCCAGATAATGGCCCAGTCACATTAATCCAGGACTTAGCCCGGATAGGTGTTTAAACGATGCATATCGATGATCCATTTTACCCGTTTGCGACATAGTGTTTACTCATCGGGAACGGAAGGAGACAGCAGTTTGTAACCAAGAAGGTAAAGGTTAATTACCACCAATCACATGCCTCAATTCCTCCAGCTGCTTGGCGCCAGCCCTTTATGTCAGCCGCGAGTAAAAATCATACCGGTGATGGTGACACCTCACCTAGAATTACGTCCGAGTAGGATCTTACGAGTATGGCCGGCTCCCCTCGTATTTCTTTATTGACATCGTCCCGCCTTTCGTCCGTTACACACTGAACTCACCGACTTCTTTGCGGCACAAACCAACCAATTAGTTCTTTGCTTACGTGTCGCAACCGCAAGACCACCGGCTCTGTTGTCGTTTCTCTCCTAACCTCACGACCCGTGTCAGTCGCCGCCTTTGCCTTTGCAATCTTCCCTCATTGATTGGCTCCCCCATCCTCTTTTGAATACTCAACACACACAAGGCCGAGGGGCTGCCGTAGTTGCGGAAGAGTGGCGTCACCTCTGTGCCCATTGACGACACGCTTGCCATATTCGTTGTTACACCTTCATCGGCCACAATGATTCAGGAATGGGAGATAGCCCGGCTGAAGGTTTTCCACGCTGCCCATTTCTCCGGTCAACCAATCCCCGACCTGATTGCTCGTCCACACAACCCCGTCGGCCAGTCCGAGTCCAGCCCTGACGTTGACACTGGCAATGACAACCAGGACGACGGTGTGCTGGGTTATTACGAAGATGGCGCCGAACGAACATTAACAGATGGACAGATCAAGATGTTCCGCCACTCCGAAATCCAGCGGCTGCTGAGTGAGAGAAGAACAGCCAAGGCAAAGGAAGAGGCGAAGACAAAGACGAAAGAAAGCAGCGACGGCCGTGAACCGAGAAAGCGGCGATTCGAGGACGAGCCGGCAACAACCCATCTCAATATCGACTCCTTGACCTACGATGAAGAGCCAGATACACAGGCAACATCAACATCAGTTGGAAAGACGTTCTTGTGGCCAATCCTCGGACAGGATCCAAAATGACTTCCGTGCAATGTCACACTCTTCTCTTTCCTCCTTCCCCCCGCCTCTGTATGACAAATGCTGGTTAGCATGTCCCTGTTACTTTATCAACCGTGGCAACATACGCCATGGTGGCAGATCTCAAAAGATAACTGGGTATGTGAAAAATGCTCTTTTTTTGTCCTTATCCTATGTGATGAACTTTGTATCATCCTTAGCCTGAGGTGGGCGCTGGAAGCAGTCTCGGCCTTGCTTGATGATTGCTTTCGAGAATGTATCCCACTCTGCTGAATCAATCTTCTCTCTGATCATGGTTTCTCCGTGTGATAGTGATCCTGAAGTCAATCCAGGTTGCCACTAACTGTCTGACTACAGGCTGCCCGCTTATGTTCTGCGACGAGTAGACCTCTTGGATGACTGCGAAGATCCGCCCTTACGCTTGGCCGGTGCTTTGGCTTGAGGCTCCTCCTGCCTCCTGTTATTGCTTGTGTCCCTTGGCTCGGTTTGCTCCTCGGGGCCATTTGGCTGTTGTGGTTCATCAAAACCTGGGCCATCGCCTGCTTGGGTTCCAAAGGACAGGGATGCCTGCGAACCTCCACCAGACCCCTGACGGTGGAACGGCGGGGTTGCCATCCTGGCAGGAAAACACAGGGTAAGGCGGCAGTCTCGCTCGTATACATCGGCAAGGTTAGGCTGCGTGTCGACACCTGATCTCTCGCTGCCATCACTTCCGCTGCTATCGTTGCTGTTGTTATTTCTGTTGTGGCGCACAGGCTGTTCGGTGTTACCGGCGTCGGCGTCGCTTGGCTCAACTGAAGCTTGTCTCGAGCATGCTGCGAACAACTGTCAACTTCAACAGCCAAAAGAATGGACAAATTTTCACCTACCACGGGACCATTCCTCCGAGTCGCTCCCGTCCTTCGCTGCGAGGGACTGCATTGGGTCTTCTTTATCACAGTCTCCCATGCTCGCTTGGTGATCAGTCATTGCAGGCGCAGCAGAAGAAGGTGTATCTGAACAGAATGTCTGCTTGCTGTGAAAATGAAATGGTGGAAAGAATGGCTGCTGCGGCCGGACAACTCGTCTTATATATTCAAGAAAGAAAAGTTAATTTTCCCAGGCTCTCAAACATCCCTCTCGAACAAGGAACCCGACGGAAGGATTTTAGGAAGGCTGTACCAATTTCCGCTCATTTGACCGTCGACCCTCACCGCTACATTGCAGTAGGATAAGAGGTGACCACGTTTTACCAGTGGGCTTGGAGGAAATAGCAACAAGGCGCGACCCCTTCAGGGGCTTGCTTACCCTACTGCATCTTTCGCAGCGCCCGGTGCCTCACAGGGTGAATTACAGCCATGCATATTTCCTCACACATATTTCTTGGGATGCCTGCACCATGGCACCTAGTAAGATGAGGGCTTGGGTCACAGAAGAAAATCCACGGCTTTGAAGGGCCCATCTCGTGATCACGCTACCGTCGGTGCCTGACGAGGTTGAATCACTCCCCACTCTTGTGGAACCAGAGCAGAGCGTTCCCTCCATCACAGCAGCCCTCGGCCTATCACCTCAGGCTTCGTTTTTGCAGGAGGCTATGGCGTTGGCGTAAGGCGGTCGTTCGGATTTATTCACGCTTCTTACATGCAACAGATTTTCAAGAAAAGGTCTGGGGATCATTCCCGGCTGGCTGGCAACGGCCGCTTGCTGAGGATTTCAGAACCTGCAGGAGACATGGCGCATACGAAAGACGGGACATACCACTTGCTTTGCTTCCTCTGTCTAGGACTTCGTGCGCTGTCTGTGTTGTTCTACCATGCCACCTCAGGCGACCCAATGCACTTCTTCCGCAAGAGACTAACCAGGGCCTGTTACTAGAGGATGGTGAATATCTGTGACGAGATTGGTCGGGTTGAGGCTGTCTCTTTGTTGGCGGTCGCGGCTCCATCGGCAACGACGCCATGACTTTTCTCGCCTCGACGGGCGTCCGGGTGGCTCGAGAATATTCCACGCTACAATTCCTGTAGGACCATGAGGCGGGCCACTTTCGATGGCAAACTCTTGCAAGGTCGTTTTGGCCGCGATATGGACAGCTGTCTGGCAAAGCGCCAATCCTGGCTTGACCATGGCCTTCAACAGGTCACGATCGCGTTTCCATGACTCCTCGCTCAACCCGCCAGAGATACGATATCATTACCACGGAAAGTGAAGTTCCAACGAGTCTTGGTGGCATCACGTACCCTTGTTCTTCGCTATGGAAAGAACTAGAGGCGGGGAATGGTTGACGCTCCGAATGCGTCCAGCGAAAGTTGAACAAGACTCGTGTGATGGTAAACACGCCCCTTTTTCACAATCGGCGACTAGTGCACACCCCCCCGTCCTTCCCCGTGTAATGGCATCAAGCGCCTCGAGTCAGTCGGGACGACCCGTGCATGTCTCATGCCCAATTTGAATCTCTCGACTGAAGGGGGTATGGACAAGAAACGGAGGAACGCCGCAAGTTAGTGAACTGGGATGTTATATGCGTCACTGATTGGTATCCTTGAGCCCTCGACAGTTACATTGACTCCTATCCTCCCTGGTGCCTGGCTCGCTGTCCACTGCTGCATGATTTCCAAGTAATGGTGGAATGGCTGGGTGAGCACGACGGCTCAGGACCATGCATATGGCGCAGACTCCGTCGACCCAGCGGGCCACCTAACGAGTGCATGGCTGGGGCAAAAAGTGTTTGTCCCTTTCAGCACAGCCTGCTTACCACCTCCGCTCCCTGCATGGCTGGGATGAACAGCAAGCCTGGTCTGCGTGTTATGTTGACCCTGCTGGTGGAAATTTGGGAGTACCCTCTGCTTCAAGGACGGAACCTCCCTTTCGGATCGTTACCCGGAGGACCACTCAATGAATGGTTTTTTCTCCGTGCCTGTCAATATCACTGGGGCGCTACACCATTCCAGGTATTTTCTGCAGACTCCAGTAACCGCTGCGACACCTGCTGGCCGCCTAGTCCAGCTCCGCAACACCCGAGTGATTCAGCCCATCTCATTTCATCACATCGAGAAGACATGGCCTCCCTTCGCACCTTTGTGCCAGGCTGAGGCAGATTACGGCACATCCCTGCTCATTGTCGACCCGCTGCATTCTCGAAAGTGGACACTTTCCCTGACGCGACAATGGAGATTGTGTTTTGTTCTCAAGAATAGTGACAGCCCAAGGACAACAACTACAACAACAACACTTTCGGGCAGGCAGAGCGTTTTGCTGCTTCACTGCAGTCGTCTACGACTTGAGAAAGACAGGAACCAAAGCCACCCAGTTGAGTTTCTTGTCCACGAGATGATTCCTTTGTGCTTGATACGTGATTTCGAGTCCCCGAGTCTTACAAACCTTCCTGAATATAGTACTGGAATTCGCTCTCCCTTGACTCCAGGCATCAGCATCACCATGTGCTGTTAACTCTGGGGGCATGCAATCTATCCTCTCCCGAGCCCTGATCTGCCCCGTCCCTACACGTGGGTATTGCATCCTGCTACAGACTTCACCTGTCTTAGCATTCACTTCACTCCGATCCTTACTACCTCGTCACCGCGATCCTCCCATAGGGGAATTCAAATTCTCCACAAAGACACTAGAGCAATACGATACTGAGATTTGGAAATCTTGGATGGTGCAGCAAAAAAAAAAAGAAGAGGAAGGAGCAGAATAGAATAGGAGGCTTGATCTCGCCGGCATCCCAGATCGAACCAGGGGCGACTGTGTTTTCTCACATCAAAGCTGATGAAACTTTGAGTATGAGAAACAGTGATGCTACCGCTACACCAACCCGGTGGTCTTATTTTGATCTTATCTTTGTGAGTTGTGGCTCAAGAATGTGAGATTTCTGATCATATACCCTGGATTTGGAAGGGGGTTTGTTGTTGCTGGACGAGCGGAGTCTAGGGCTTCGCTGCACCAGGAACCCTTTGTTTGTCCCTGTCTCTCCTCCTTGAGGACTTCTGTTCTTTGCTGTATGTTCCCGTGTGGCTCAAGCTGGTGTCGATGTAATTGTGCAATCAACGATGGTAAGCACCCCTGAACAACTTCCACTGCGGCCTTCTCTACTAAGATAGCATACACAGCTCAATATGGCGATTGAAGCAACAACTCTCGACTGAGAGTGCGCTCTCCTTGCCACGGTAGAAGAGACAGCTCCTTTCCTCGGACACACGATCCCGTTTGCCTTCCTCATGTGTGCCATCTCATAACAGGCCAGTCCCCGGCACTCTTGATCTCTCCACCCGAATTTAAACCCCTCGGGGTCTGGAATTGACGCGCGAGGAGGAGAATCGGCGGAAAGAGCAGGGAGGATGCCACTGAGGAGGTCTGTTTAAAACTACGGAACAGCGTTACGAAGTGGGCGACAAGAACACCAATGGCTCTCCTGGAGCGTGATTTCGATGGTCTAGAGAGACCTTGACAGGTCTGTGTATCGCCCCTTATAACGAGAACGACAAGGCTGCAATATCAACCCAGCCGAGCCTGTTTGATACCGGCCTCAAACTAGTCCCCTGAAGGAGCCATCTCCACCGCCCCATACACGCTAAACTAATATCCTCTTGGACAAGATCCGGCTTGTCTAGCTATGGCAGCTGCATGCTTAATGAGGTGTCTTCGCTGTCCAATCGAGCGACCTCAGAAGGACCATCTCAGTACGAGGAGTAGCCCATAACATTGGACAGAACTTAGTCCTCTGTGGAAGCTGCATCATTCGCTGGACACGGATGCAGCATCACGCATGGTTTCCAAAGATGCTGCTGTCTTATATTCGAGCTGACGCGTTGTCTATGCATGCAGAGTCGAGACCAGGGCCCCAAGCTTCGCGCTCTGAATGCCACAAAGGAATGCGTTTCTCTGCAAATGATCTCCAACTCAACCCCAAGATTGACAATTTCCGGTCAGATATTGGGCATTGACATGTCAACATCCGCCAATGAGTCACCTCAGGCTTTCTTCTGTTGTGAGAGACTACTGCCTATTGCCCTTGGGCATCAACACTGTGGAACCCAACGACCAAACAAAGTGCTACAATGTTCGAGGCTCTTCGGCATTGACAATGTTGAAAAATGAGGTGACGCGGCCCCCTTCATTACTACTATTCCTGATTCATTTCATTGTATGCGTGTTTATTTTTATGCTTCGATTTGTTTACTCTTCGCTCGACATCTCAATGTCGTGTCATTTGATGTTGGGCCGGAACGAGTCGTGCAAGGCTGCCGCTCGATACGAGGCTGAATGTTCCGCCCCAAAAGGGGGGGGCCGAGTTGGCCCTGTGCCACTTCAGGAAAGCCAGGCGAATGACTTGCAGACGATAGCTCGATACGGTAAAGCATCAAAGGAGGGTCAAGAGACCAACGGTCCTCGGAGGGGATCGATCAGGTCGCTCTCGCTCCGTGGACTCTCAGTGGCTATCCAACGGATCTGACAGGAGAGAGATGAGGGGCTCCAGCCATGTGGTCCTATCCAATACCTGCCTTCCCGATCTTCGCCTCGATTTTCCTCTCCGCTCCGCTTGCCACGCAGTCTTGGGCCTCCTCACAGGGTCTTTCCGTCGGGTGCCTTGCAGGTGTGCCGAGACGTTCCTGGTTCCTGGTTCCTGGGCGAGAAGGAGGTGAGCGGAGTCTCGCACGGGGATGACCGGAAGCTGGCGCCCGCCTCGACATGATGAGATAGATACTGATGCTACCTTGGCCGGTGGCGCGAGGCTGGATTCCTCCTCATCTCCTTGCCACCTTGCCTAGTCTCCCACCTTCCCGTCGCTCGCTCGTGGAAGAGGGAGTTGAATGTTCAGGGGACAGGCGAGGGCGCTTTTTGTCTGGGTGGGAGCCTACAATCCCGTGGAGTCGTGACGACCCTACCTGCTCTGATGGTACATAGGAGGATAAAGGGGTGGGAACTGTGAGACTCGATGGCCCATGCCATTCCTGTCCTTCTTCCCATCCCTATCTGATGCGGGACGTGCATGTGCGTTACAGGGCAATCATGCCCTCCCGTGGTTATCTTTCCTGTCCCGTTTGCTGCTCCGAGGCTTGGTTGGAGAGTGGTATTCCGTACCATTCTGTATATAGCATTCGATCCATCTATCGATCATTCATTCACTCCCATTTCCATTCCTCCATGATTGATCCCGACGACGACCTTCCTCAAAGGAGCGAGCCCCAGCCCCGACTCGACCCTGTGGAATTCCAACATAAATTTGATATCGCAACAACCCAGGGTGTCGAGTCCATCGATCTGCATCAGACAACTCACTCTCTCTCTCTCTCTCTCTCTCACACACACACACCTAAGTGTCGTGAGTCTCTACAATATCGTCGCCCTCGCCCTCACCCTCACCCTCACCCTCGCCATAGGTCTTAATCTTATCTACCAGATTGATTCACAATGACATGCTATTCGTACATGACCAGTTCTAGTGGGATGGGTAGATGGATGGTTTTCAAAGACAGTGTTGATGGTGATGGTGTTTGAATCTGTGATCTATTCCGTCGCCACACGCCTCTATCGGCGTCCACGTTGACGCCAACGTCAAGACACGTTGGGGAAAGGCACTGAGTTACGGGGGACAATGAGAAACAGACTAACGAAACGAACAAAACACAAAAGACCGACCAAAAATTGTAACTAGTAATTTCAGGTCCTCGTGAGCCAGAATGGCGTTTTCGAGACAAAGCTACATACAGACAATAAGAGCACAGAAGTCGAGAGTGAAAGAAAGTGTAGGACTGCTGGGATAGACAGACGGACGGATTGACGAGAAGCTGGCTTTTGAGACAAACACAGATCTTGGTTGCGACGACAGCAGCTTCGAAGGTAGAACTGACCCCTGCTGAGTGTGTCTGTCTGTCTCTGTCTGTCTTGTGTCTGGCTGACTTTGCTTTCTTTTTTTTCCCAGTGTTTTTTGTTGGTCTCTTTGTTCTTTTTCTTCAATGTGTGTGTGCTGCGGAAGGCATACATATGTCATGTTTTGTTCCGGTTGGATGGATAGTTTCCATTGCGTTTTTGTTCATTCCACACACAACACAATCCCATTTGTAGCTTGCACGAACCCATTAGCTCAGATTATGAAATTAACAGAGAAGATGATTTCTTCTGTGCATTGCGACACCATCCTCCACCCCATTTTCAGTGCCAGTCGCGAATTATCTTCATATCCCCCGATCTTCAACACTCTACATCTATTCCTCTGTAAAACAGTTAGTCACGGATCTATGATGTTAAAGGGGGCATCGAATTAGAACTCACCTTCTTCCTCTCCAGTGGCTTTGCTGCCCAATACCCATTTCGACTTGCCGTGTACATCGGTCTCGTGCTCAAGAGCAACACGGCTAAGGTGGGAGATGATGTTCTCCATGGTCGTATCGGCGTGGCTGCGAGTGGCGCGGCCAAGGTTGTCGATCCATTTCAAGCTGGTCAAAACGAAGTAGACGATAGCAACCACAATCGTGACACCGATCGAGTAGCCCCAGATGACGACCACGGTGACAATCGAAGTATCGCGGCTGTACGAATCCTGGGTGAAGTGGTCGTGGGGGATGGTGAAGAGTTCGTCCTTGCCACCGGCGAGCCAGCCAAAGACACAGAACAGGGTGGAGAGGACGTCGACACCGAAGATAGCGCCAACCAGCTTCCAAGATGGCCAAGTCTGGCCACCGCGAGTGACGAAGATGAGCCAGTTTTCGACCAGGGAGACTTGGAGGAAGAGCATAAGCTGGACGTTGCCAAAGTTCTGGACAAGACCACCAGAGGGCAGGAAGAAAGAACCTCGGATGACCCAGGTGGAAATAGCTAGAAGGAAGCCAAGGAAGACCGAAATCACCCAGATCTTGGGCAACTGCCATTCGACAGGTCGCTGTTCGTAGTGAGCGTTATCGTAGGCGACAGCAATGGTGGCCAAATCGGCGAACAGGGCCAAGAACACGACCAAGTCAGTTCTGATGGTTTCGTTGATGATGATCATGGAGGTGGTCAAGTACAGTTCCAAGTGCAAGCAGAGAGCGATACGGTATTGCACGTAGGCTTTCATTCTCTGGAAAATTTGACGGGCGACCTTGATGGCATCGACAATGGTGCTGAGACCGGGAGCCAAGAAAACGATATCAGCGGCGGCTTGGGCAGCTTCCGTGGCACCTTCGACAGCGATACCGCAGTCAGACTTCTTCAATGAGGGAGCATCGTTGACACCATCGCCAGTCATGGCGGTCAAATGGCCACGTTGCTGCAGCATCTCGACGACCTGGTATTTGTGCTCAGGGAACACCTCGGCGAAACCATCAGCCTTCTCCACAAGGTCGTACTGGGTAGAACCGGCAACACCACCAGCAATGAGACGCTGAGAGTTGTAAACTTTGGTACCGAGAGCGAGAAGCTTGCAGGTTTCCTTGGCGATGGCGATGGCGTCACCAGTCAACATTTTGACGCTGAGACCGAGATTCTGGGCTTCCAAGATGGTGTGGGCGGTATCCTCACGAGGAGGGTCGAACATGGGCAACATGCCAATGACTTTCCAGGGCTCGTCTCCGCGCTTGGAGGCAACACCGAGAGATCGGAAACCACGGCGGGCAAAGTCGGCAGCAGTGTCACGGTAGTGCTTAGCGGTGGCCTCATCACACTCCGCAATGGACAGGACAGCTTTCGGCGCACCCTTGCAGAAAGACCATTTCTCGCCCTTGAGCGTGCAGACGGTGGTGATACGCTTGGAGACGGGATCGAAGGGCATGAATTTCTCGGTCTTCCAGCCTTGTTGCAGAATCTCACGGGCCTTGGGGTACCTCTTGAGGGTCAGGATGGTAATCTTGTCAATAGGATCAAGAGCCTTCAAGTTGTGCGAGGACGCCAGGGCGGCAGAGGCCATCAGCCAGTTGACATCTTCACCCTCGGCGACATAGGGCTCACGAATGGTCAGTTGGTTGGCGGTCAAAGTACCAGTCTTATCGGAGCAGAGCACATCGACACCGGCCAGCGACTCGATGGCAGTGAGCTTCTGCACAATGGCCTTCTGCTTGGCAAGATAAGCAGCTCCAACGGCCAGGGTGGTGGTGGTGACGACGGGCAGACCGACTGGGACACCGATGATGAGAAGGATAAGAGCGTAGTGAAGCAAGTTGACGGAGCTGTGCTCGGGGGTGGCAATGGGGATGTTGTGGAAGAAACCACCAATCCATGCGGCCAGGATGAAGAAGACGACCAAGACGAGCAGAGCTGTACCGATGGAGTCCATGACGGCCTTGAAGTGACCTTGGTCGGTAGCACCCTGGACGAGAGACGCGGTCTTGCCGACAAAAGAGCCACGAGCAGATTCAGTGACGACGGCATAGGCCTTTCCTCGCTTACAGCCGGTGGTGTAGTAGCAGATATCACCCATGTACTTGTCCACGGCCAGAGACTCTCCAGTGATGGCAGACTGGTCGGTAGCGACAATGGAATGACCAATGTGGTGCTCCTCGTCGTCATCGGAGTCGGTGTGATTCTTGGAGTGGTATCCTTCAGGATCGCTGACCATCTCCTTGTATTCTTCAAAGCCGGCCGGGTTGTCGAAGTCGCAGATCAGCCGGCATTCACCGGCAACGACGGAACCTTCCTCGAGAATGAGCTGTGAGAGCAATGTCAGTCGGATTCGGTCGGAAACGCGTCGCCAGAAACTTACAATATCACCAGGTACCAGTTCGCGAGCCTTGATTTCTTGGATTTGGCCGTCACGGACGACCTCAGCCTTCATAGCAATGTCACCTTTCAAGCTGGCGACGACGTCGGCAGCTTGCTTTTCCTGATACCAACCGACGATGGCGTTCAACATCAGGATACCGATGATGACACCGAGGTCGATCCAGTCACGCAAACCAGCAGCGAGCAGGACAGCAAGCTCCATGACTACAATGGCGTTAGAAATCTGGTCACCACACGCGGAGGGAAAACCGGCGGGACTGTACCGTAGAGAATGGGGCCTCTGAAGTAGCCGATGAACTTGAGAAACATGTTCTCCTTCTCGGTTGTCAACTCGTTGTAGCCAGTTTTTCTTCGTCGGTTCTCGACCTCAGCGGAGGTCAGACCTGTCTTGATGTCGGTGTTGAGCCATTCCTCAGGGACCTCATAGAGTTCGCCTGGTCCACCGGAGATGCCAAACATTCTCTTGTAGAAGGGCATCTTCTTCTGTTTCGTGGCATCGCCGACATCGTCACCGGAGACCTGGGAGGGGGCTTTGGAGAAACGACGATCTCGGTAGGTGGAAATGTATCGGATGAGGTTGGCGTACTCGCCCTCATCTTTATCGGGATCCCATCCGTCGGCGAAGGAGATTCTCTCTCTCTTCGGGTCACCGTTCTCGAGGTCCTTGTTTTCCTTTTCCGCCATGGTTGACTGTATGGAGTGGAGAGGTTAGTATGCAGGAAAAGAAAACAAAGAAAGAGGAAGAAAAAAGGACGACGACAACAAGGTCAGGCGTGAAGACCAAGCTGGAGGAAGGAGAGGAACAGAAACTGGAGCTTGCAGCGTGCAACCCCTCTTTAAAGGTAAAAGCAGTTCACAAGATGCGAGCGAAAAAGAGCAGCAGCTTCTGATGGACCGTAACTCACCTCGACAGGTCCGCACGGATGCGAGTGTTGACTGGAGGGTTTGCAGGGAACCAGGGCTCCACCAGCGATCCGTCAAGCCGTAAAGCTGCGATAGCTCGGACAAGGTCCTAGGCGTGGAACCTGGTTGGCTGCTTAAGCTTTCCCTGAGCTTGAGGTCAGCGAGCATGCCGTGTGAGCCATTTGATAAGGGAAGAGTAAAAAGGCGAGAAGACGCGGTCGGGGCGGCGGTAATGAGACCTGTATGGCTGTACCGGAAAATACGCACAGTGGAAATTCTTTTCGGCAGACCGAGTTTTTTTTTGGGGCCGGCTAGCCCAACGCAGGCCAACAGACAGAGTTTGGGATGGGGTTTAGATCCTCACTGGTGAGTGGTGACGCCGACCTAAGCCAGAGGGTCCAGGATGGAGTTACTCAAAGGTTGCAAGGGTGTGTGGAATCAACCAAGAGGAGAGATTGAGATTGGTCCGGATTGATGAGGACCTGAGGGAACAGAGAACGAGTCGAGAACAGGAACCAAAGCAGAAGAACCTCCGCACTTGCTTATCTCAGTGAGGACCGGAGGAACAGTGACAGCAAGCAGCAGACATACGAGAAAGGAAGACATGCAATAATATCTGGTGCTTCGAGAGTGGCTTGAATGTAAATGATTTCAGGGCCCCTTAACCGGGCGCCCACCTGTATCTACCCACAGCCCGCCCGGAGAGGCTCAACTTTTCCGTTCACCCCCAAAAATGTGGTTTTGTTTTGTTGAGTATGGGCTCCGAGCGCCCCTACAGCGCCCCGGAAACCTCTGGCCTCAGGGAATGTGTATCTACCGTTCGGGGCTGTCAACCGCTTGCCGGTTAGCAAAAACGCCCAATGACGTGGGCTATGCAAGGAAGATGCAACAGGCACAGTCGGTTTGTTTCCCTTCTTCGTTCTTGCATCTTCATCCCACCACTCATGTTGTCGAAGATTGGTTTCGCACACACTATTACTGCATCTCTAAACCCAAGGGCTTGTGATAGCTGGGCAGCTACTTATCTCAACTTGGTAATAGGCGAATAGCTGCCCCAGAATCACACATCCCCCGTCCGTCGGACAGAGCCATGTATGAGCATGAGTCAGGATTCAGGGCAGCTCGTCTCCAATTGACCAGCACGATTACCTGAGCTGATTGCAATCTCGCTCCCTGCTGCTCTTCTGCTTCTGGCGGGACGGTGGGTTATTTGATCCCACACAGACCCCCGGGGTAAAAGGCTGTAGCTCTGTTCCCGCCGACGGTGCAGGATGTAGACGCGTTCACAGAGTCACTGTCCACGTACTCCGTCCTCTGTTCGAAGCACCAAAAGACCACATATGTGTGGAAGCTGACTTTGCGGGTTTACCCTACAACCCTGCGCGGGGGAACAGCGGTTGGTAGCTCGATTCTTCCTCCTTGGGGAGGCGCTGCGAGGACAAGTCCCTCCCACTACTACGGAGGGACTCGTACCCTCATTGTCTATTTGGAGCACTGTCACTCATCGCCGAAGTTCTGTAGGGGAGTGTGATGTTGTCTCACTTTCCATAGCCACCAAGTGTTTAGGCACCATGGCCCCTCGCCGCCGGGTTGGGATCGTCAGCACTGGAATTTTGATTTTGGTTCTATTCTCTTGACCGTGGTCAATCCATCCACGCCGCTGCGTTGATCATGGTGTTCGGCGGACGCTTCGGCAACGCCAACGAGGGTAATCGGGGATGATGGCATCTTGCAGCCAACTTCGCCATCTAGCATCTCGCAACGCCATCGACGATGCTGCAACTGCATGGACAAAGAATCCTTCCGGCCATCCTGGAGGGTGAGCGACGAAGGGCTGTGATTGTGTTGTGGCTTGCCCCCAAACCTGGTCCAGTGTCACCATTGTCGCTTACCATCTCAAACAGCCCGTCTCTCCCTCCCCGGGTGCAAGCTCGAAGAAGCATGCCTGAGTCCGGAAATATGGGCTGGCCCGGTGGCCCACGCTGACCTCATTACGTCGTATCCTTTCTTTTGGTCGTCACCGGTCCAGTAGGAAGCGGCGGCATTGGTCGGCAGCAGAATGGAGGGCCCGCCACCCAATCTAGCTGGCAACGGCTAGGAGTGGCATCGATCTCACCGTCGCCGTCATTTGAAAGGGCTTTATAGCCGTTCCAACGGTACTGCCATGTAACGCCAATTTACCATTACGTTCAAACGACGACATAAACCCATTGAACATTTTTTTGGAGGGCAAACAAACATCGGCCCCAGCTCGATGGCTTTCTCCGACATGGGCACCCCCAGCTCGCGGCAGAACTTAATGACCCATGACGCTCACTCAACCCTCCTCTGCGACCTCTGCCCTCCAGCAGGGCGGCTCGGCGCTTTGTGCGGCCATGCCACGCAGGCCTTTGCATTGGGGTTTCCGCTTGCCGTCATCGAAATTTGCTCCTCGTGCTTCCCAAAGCAGCAGCCATGCTATCCATTCCACAGATATCCGGCCGTGCCTAACCCGGCGATTATTCATCGCTCTCGCAGCCCGGACTGATCTTCACGTCGCGCCTCATTTGTCTAAGCGTTGGAGACTTCGCTCAACATGATTCAGATCCAGAATAAGCCTGTTCGTTCTGCCCTGGAAAGCCCCGACTCCGCGAGATGCGCTTTCTTCTTTTGCGAGATTCAAAACAAAGCCCAGGCCCACAGTTAGATTGACAAGCTTGAGGTAAATGAATTTCCACTACTGGCGCCAGGCGAGGCACAAGCGCTCGCTGCAGAGCGGGTTTTTGGTCCTAGTCGGGCCCCTAGATTGGAATGCCGAGCTCCTCCTATCACGGCCCATCAGGCTCTTTCCATGCGAACGGGGCAGCAGTGCTGGCCAATCCACTGGGCCCCGAAAAATTATTATCGACATATTTGGGGACAGTTGTAAACAACAGCAAATGACCGCAGAAATTGCGCCGACTGGGATCCTGCGGCTTGCAACGCTCAAATTCCCAAATAATGGAGGTTCTCGTATCTCTAGCTCGACCCTCCTCCAGCCCTGTTGCAACAAGCCTCCCCGGCTGTCGCGGTGGCTAGTGGTTGATCTCAATAATTGATAAGTACCTCGTACACTATCTGGCATCGTTTCCTCTCTGCAAAGCCGCGTCTGTCGGGTTGTCCCTGCCGGAGCCTCGGGTCGCGTGTTTCAGTGGATATCAAACCTGCCCAGATTGTCTGCGTCGAGATTTCCCTCATACTACTACGGAAGATTACTCGTGCCCTACACAAGGAGCCCACCAAAGCTACCCATCGATAGTGCTATGGGGGACAAGAGAGAGAGAGGGTGCCAAAGAGTTCGGCGTCCATTTTGCGCCGACGCGACAACATGGGGTTCCATTTGAGGCATTTTTGGCGGGCTTCTTGTACACTGGGCAAAAAGTCGGCGTTCCCATGCAAGCAGCGAACCATTAATTATTGTGGTTCTCGCACCCACTGGGAAAAAATTGGGCGCTGCCACCACTGCGTTTCAGAGTTGTTTACGGGCGCAACATCCGGCAATGCTTCCGACCGCCCCGGCAAGTGCCCCCGTTGAATATGGCTAGGTGGCCGCGCAGGCTCCCCTACCTGCACTGATATGTTTGAGGCATTTTCACCACCTGGGGCAGGCCTTGAGTTGAATGAAAGGGTAGGATTCGCAACACACTGTGAGTTCGTCAAGTGGCCCAAACTCGGACACAATGCTGGGTATTTGCGTGCGCATCAATCCTGTCGTGGGACCTGAGACGGGTGCAAGCTTCGACAAGCCTCAAGGGCCCCTCAGCTTGAGCACTTGCCAGCACAACAACCGAGAAGATTAGGATGGCCGACCGCCGGCATGCCAAATAATGCTGCTGCCACCGAAACCTCTTCCTGCCACGCCCGACTTCCTCTCCAAATCCCCAAATTATCGCAGTCTCGAAGGCTTTCGTCAGTGGGCATTCCCGGACATGCCCGCACCCCAAGGAAAAAAGGAATTTCGTTCTCGTATTTTCGCAATGGGTTCGGGTCGCATGGCAGAGCCCATCGACACACATGTCGGTACTTTGATTGTCGCTGCCGTCAGAAATGCGCCCGGAAAAAAGCAAGCATTCTTCGGCAAGTCATACCGATATCTTTGTGCAGCAAACGCATCGCGATTCACAGCGATTGTCACGCACCACGCCGCTATACCAAGGCACAACTGCAACTTGCTTTCTGGCTAACGAATCATGGTCTCAGTGAACCCAGACTTGATGCGCAATTGTCTTTCAGCTACGGGATGCATGGATATTCAAGAAACCTTCCCCGGTGGAAGGATACCCCATGGGAGGATCAGCACAGTTGATGATGCTGACGCTGTTCCCATCAAAGTCGTTTGCTCAAATGACGTTGTAGGCGTCGGCAAGGGAGCAGGGGTAGCTTCCATGAAAGGGTTGACTCTTCACACCACCCCTCGAGGTGCTTGCCACCGTGTCGCTGCAAGAGCACTGAATGAGGTAAGATTTTCCACCCCGCATCTCAATCGGCCGTCTTAGACAGCTCTAGCGGAGAAGGCCCGAATGGGTGGCAATGATGCTGTTGACGGCATAGCGAAAACAAGTTGAACAGCCAGGGACTGCGATCAGCCTTTGTGACTAAAACTTCGGTTGCATTCGTGTGATGCATGGATGCAGGATAGGATGTGGAAGGCGAGGAAGCTCAACGGGCTGCAGGGAGCAGCGGGTGGTAGAGAGTTTGAGATTTGCACCACCATGTGTCCACAAGGTACCCACGAAGAGCTGTGTCGAGGGACGAACGCGGGGCTGGTGATCGAATCGAATGATAGTCGGGTAGAATTGCCGACAAAATCTCAACGTCGACTGATGCACTTTTGTTAAATGCGACAATCCTGGGTATCAGCGGTGTCGGCTAAGTTGGACATGAAACGGTCCTCTGGACGTCGAGTCCAAAGAGGAACCCCGTCACGTGCGATCTAGGACTTCCGTGGGTATCAGAAGGAACGTGACAGAGAATTGACTGTATAGACCAGTGCCGCTAATTGAGGAGGATTGGGCTCTGTCCACGATTTTGCCCTTGGCTGCTGAAGAGGAGTGCATGGGCAGTGAGTGACTCCCTGCCTACTAGGTACTGTGTTACATTCAGATGATATTGGATCTGGCGCTATCAAATGCAACTTGCCGGGGACAGCGTGAGTCGCGACAAGCCATATGAACCGGCAGAAAGCAGCAAGCAGCGGCAAGAGATGAAGAGAACAGGAATGGGATTTGGACAATATGGCCATGGCCACGGTTTCATTGGCATACCCCTTGAGTTCTACATTGTTAATGGACCCCTACTCCTCTTTTCCCCTTTGGAAGCCAGAACTGGGAAGATGAACGGTAAAAGGGATCAGGCTGAGGCAGGAGCTGCATTGCACGCAACCAACTCAATGCACATTGCAAACACATTGTACCAGACCCAGTCTCCAGGTCCAGCGCGGTGCCTTCCTCAGATGCATTTGTTGAGCGTTGTTGAGCCTTGACGACGCGTTCCTTCCCCCTCAACAACTGCTGAGCGTGACGTTCTGCCTGCCCACGTTCCTTCCTCACCACCAGACTGCTGCTCAACATCTTGAACAGTCCTTTTCTCTCATCTTCACCTCATTTCTTTCTTTCTACACGAGCTTCACCTTCACTGCTTCATTTCCCCTCTCTACACCCACAAGCAGCAAACATCTTGCTTCTTGCTTCATCTTATTCCGATCCCAAGTTCACCTCCATCTCAGTGCTGTGTCTTTCGAATCCTGTCTCACGATGTGGCTTTACGCAATCGTCCTCCTGGCAATGGCCCTTCCGGGTTTTTCCAACATGGTTGCTCTGTCATCTTCGCAAGCAATGAGCCAGTCTTCCAATTGCACTCTCACTTTCATTGCTTCTCAACCTCCCCAATTGGGTCCCACCAGCACAGTCTACCAGGCAATCATGACGACCTTCCAATACGTGAGGCACCTCCGGTCTCTGGGATCTTGAGAGAATACTGACAAGAGCAGGCTGTGGATTGCAACATCTGCACTGTCACCAACATTCCAAGCGCTGAAATTCAAGTGAGACTCATGTTATTACCCATGTTGATCCCTACTAACTCCTGCAGGGTCCTTTCACCACCAGATCGACCAGCTCAATGCTCACGGTTACTGAGATCCAATGCATCCCTGAAGGCACAGCCAGCACCAGAATGCACCATATTGCCCCCTCTCCTACCGCGAGCTGGAACCAAATGGAAGATCTCAAGAAGTCACATATCAGTCGCCGTTCTGATCAAGCTACGGAAGCAGCTCTTGCGGACCTGGCAAGTAGCTTCGCTAACGCTCTTCCTCCGGATGTCTCCCTGCTCTCTGGTGGTCTGAGGGACGAGTTCACCGACATTGCATCTGCCATGTTTGCACTGAGCATTTGTGACTCTGGCATGAACCTCAGTGAAGCATGTGGTCAACTGAACACTGACCTCGTTGCATACCAACTGTATCAGTCATGGTATGCTCCCAACAATGTCAAGTCCATCGTTTGCTTCTGCGCTTCATATGGCTACGACTTCGACACCACCCGTCAACAGTTGTATGCTAGTCTTTACGCTGCTCTTATCGGCATTCTCGCTGCTGCTGATATCACCACTGATCGGGGTCAAATTTGTGATACCCTCAGCCTCTTCAATCGGACAGGTCCTTCTTTGGGCATCGACATCCAACAGTATCATGACCTTGTCTGCAGCAACATCCCTCCTCCCACGCCAACCTATCCCCCCTGGTATGGACCGACTTCCTGGCCTCCATATGCCAGCAACAACATGACCAGCTTGGGTAGTCCAACCTCCTGGGCGCCCAATACGACCATCTCAGGAACCGGCGGCCCTAGCTGGACTGGAGTCAACAACCGTACTACTTGGGGGCCACCCGTCTCATACACCGGCACCATTGGTAGTGATTGGTCTATCACCATCAACACTCAGACCAACTGGACCGAAACAACACCGACGGGGACTGGTGCAGCGTCTGACATAGCTACAGCAGGATCCAACGACACCATGACTGCTGCGCATACGCCACGAGGGATCAACGCCATGCCATTCTATCCCGCGATCACCACTCCGACACCACATTCGGGATTGTTCAAGCGATACTAGCTGCACAGACCTAGGTGTGGTAATCGTGTTCAGCAGGACGCCGGCGGAAGTGCAAGCCAATGCCGCACTGATCAAAGACATGAAGCAACATCAGATAGATTAAAGATGGAGTGACACGGGATGTGGTTGTCACTGAGAACAACTGACACACTGAAAACATTGTATGATAGAGCTTTCCGAGGGAAAATGCGCTGCACAGATCATAGCACTCAGTATGCTAGTGTTGATAATGTAACAATACAGATCTCGTTGTCAATGTCTGCCTTCCTTGCTTCATCATACGTGGTCACTGTTCGTCACTAACCTGAAACAAAGATTTCTCGAGATGGGTGTCGACGACCACATTGCGTGTGCCGCACCATTCATACGAGGTCCGAAGGCGGTGTCGACTGCTAAGTATTGAGAGCCCGTCGCAAGGCCGCCGCTCCTCTTGAAAAGCGAACGGCTCAGGGGCGGATGCTGGGTATGATTGCTCCCTCTGAGAAACAAGGACTTACTCCGGCATAGCGGCGTAGCGGCGACGGAGTATTAACGTATACGAGGTAGAGGAATGATCAAGAACTCGCCTTAGATCGAAAGGTTGCTGGGCAGTAGAAATGGTTCTTCTCTGTTGATCAACTTTTCCTTCGCTAGGTACCCTCTCTCTCTGTGTGTGTAGCTAACGCCCGCCGGGATTCTATTCTGATTTTCTTTTCATTTTCAAATTGATACATTCCCATTGCAATCATGTGTCTGCATGCCAGATCATCGCTCATAACCCATTTGCCCTCATGCACAGGGGATCGCCGTTTGATCGACGTCTACCGCAACATGTTGTCGTCCATCAGGGGTCCATATCTCTTTGCTCAAGTAGCAACCATATCGCACGCGCAAGAAACAATAAAAGATGGAAAGTGCAAGGAAAAGTTTGATGGTCATCACCAACTGGATGGCCTGAAGAAAAAAAATGATTTGATGGTCATATACAATCATGATTTCCATCCCACACCAGACACCGACGCTAGAACGCTGACAGCAACAGTGATATGCTGGAGTATTGGTAAGTGCATGACGGAGATGAGCTGATGTGAACCATCATACATATGTGCCAGGACTGTAATATCGATCAATGAGAGCCTCGTGGCGACCAGGATCTGCACGTGCCGTAATAGGTGGCTCCTGACATCCAGATCGGTCAACAGGGCCCATGAACGAATGATCTGTTTCCAACTCCACGAGAGTATGAGACGCATCTCAGCTGCTGCCCGCTTTGGTGAGAGGCCGTGCACGACGTCTTTTCGAGACTGGGGACCGTTTCCCATATTCCGAGGATCCGAAGAAAAGGCTGACCACCAAATTGGCCACGAGGCTCGGAACACGGAAATGGTAGCCACCTGCGCATATTTCTCTCACCTCGGCTCTTTAAATAGAGCGAGAGACCGCTGACAATCGCCACAATGGGCCGATTCATATATAGGTCCTTCCTGCAGGATTTGTCCCAGTCAGATCACATCGGCAGGACGACACTCCTCCTAGGCTGTCTCTGGATGATTGGATCGTCGGGATGAAGTGAGCTCATCGAACTGAAAGGACCGAGCCCATCTCTGTCTTGGAAGACTCGATTCAAGCTCATGGCGGCTTTCGTGTACAGAACATCAATGGCCTTCTGGTCGCGGAACGGGTTGGGTGACTTGTCCCACGCATGAGGCACACGAGGAATTGTCTTGTGGTCGATTCGCTTGCCCAGTGCGTCGAGCCGTTCGGCGAACAATTGACCTTCGCGCAAGAGCATATCCCACTCGCACAGCCACATCTGGATATCGCGTGGAAGGCCATCACGGATCATTTCGTCGGGCGCCAAAGCCGGGGAGGCGTAAGGACTGCAGTGGTCGCCGTGCATATCCGGGGCGGGTAGGTAGGAAAAGTCGAACAAGTCGGTGAAGGTCTTGGAAAGACATTTCTTGGGATTGCGCGACTCCCTAATCTTGCGTGACCGGGACATGGTCCAATCTAACAGCGGATACCAAGCCACGATAGAGCGGATTTGGAGAGGGGTTCCTGTCTTTGGGCGCACTAGGTTCGAAGTGGACAGAACAGAGCCCGAGGGTACAGGTGTGAGGAAATGGTTGAATTCGTGGTGGTGGTCGTCGTGGTCGGTCACATATGTACCATATGTGTCGGCGGTGTCCGCACTGTGTGCGGTCATGGGTCTTGAACGAGTCTTCTCCAACCCGTTCATTCTTCGATGGTATGCGAGACGCAAAGGAGCCGAGAAGGCAAGGTTTGCACCTGCAGAAAAGCCAGAAAGCGCAATGTTGGTTTGGTCGATGTGCAGTTCCTCTGCGTTTTCGCCGATGAAGACAAGTGCTTCAACACAGTCGTCGACCGGGGTAGGGAAAGGGTGTTCAGGAGCTCGTCGATAATTGACGCTGACGAAAATACAGTTTGTATGCTGCAGAACAACTCGGGCCCAATACCGGTCATCTTGTGCATCACCCAAGCAGAACCCACCGCCGTGAAAGTTGACGACCGCGGGAAACCGGTGCGAGGGATCTCGTTGCAAGATCTCATCGTATATTGGAGGAAGATAGAAATAGAGCTCGATCGGCTCAGTCTCTGTCTCAATGCCCCATTTGAAGGCTGGTTTTGCAGGACGAGGCCACGCCCAGCTATGAAAGTACATGCCCAGCATCTCCAGGCCTCTCCACCACTTTGCTTTGATCGTCAACCATTTCCTAGATGGTATATCCTTCGCAGAAAGATGGTGAGACATAGACCGAGGTCTCATGGAAAACTGACGCTCCTCCTCTTCACTGGAAAATGTATTCGAGAACACTTCGCTCAGCAGGTGCTCGGGAGGCTCGAGAGAGTGTCCGTTCGGGGCGCTGGTGGTGTCGGTGAAAGTGACCGCATGACTCTTTGGCGAAGCAAAGTCCTGGGCCTCAATGTTGGCTGCTGGAGGTTCTGCTTCTGGTTCTGTCTCTCCGTGAGGTTTGGTTTCGCTCATTGGAATCTCTTCGCCTGGTGGCGTCATATTGTAGTGGGAGGGTGAAGGCGTCCGAGGCATGATGGCGAAGTGCTTGCAAGACAGGTGTATCGTAGAACAAGAACATCGAAGAGTAAGAGGGAATACGGTTGTAATGTAGAGAGCAGCAGTAGCGAGTTCGACGTTCCCGATCCTTCACTTGATCAAATATCGGACCGGAAAATTCAAAAAGGGCTCATTGATAATGGGAACGTAATAAGAGAGGGGAGGGACGCGCAGATGGCGGCGCAGTAATGTTAGGCCGGTGACCTGGGTGGTATCAAAGTCGCGAGGTGCTCGTAGATTTGACTGGTTGGGGAAATCGATGCGTATACGCAGTAATGAAGGTTGAGTCGACCAGATGGTGGCTTGCAGCGTGATAGAGGGATGATGAAATGCTCTAACTCACAGGCGGCTGGCTTGCGAAATCCAGAAGGTTTCATTCAGGTCCCTGGGCAAATGTGCTTATCGGAGGAGTCTATCATGATGCGTGGTGGCAGTGTGGCTGTGGGCTGAGCATGTTGCAGGAAGTCTGGAACCCCGAAACGTCTAGCTGAACAGGTCCTGAGGGCCTACTAGCCCTTGGGTGATACCAGACAGGAGACCGTGGGGACCCATCAGGGCCCTCAGCACCACCTGGAGGGTGTGGCCGGGAAAATTCCAGGCGAATAATAAAGAGGCCCTCGGGCCTCACCCCGCCCCAGAGAAAGCCGTTTAGGCGATCTTAGGCAGTAACCTTCCCTTAATTGAATTTGCCTCAAGACAAGTTGCTTGAATTCCCCCAGAAACCAAGTATGACAGAGAGGGGCCACTACTGTAGCCGAGTACAGTCTACGGCATCGTCCTGTTGATATCTACATAGTCTCCGCGACAACCAGGCTACGAGATCCTCATACGACAGGGTTTCGCTATGTGTAAGCCTCGAGGCGGCCATTGGTCGGCGTCCGACTTGCTGTTTGGAGAAGGCTGGCCGGACTACCTACAGTACACCTCCTCCTTCTGCAATTCCATCAGCTCCGGGCGCCGGACATGGTACTTGCCTCGTATCATATTACTCGTTTTCACCCTGTGTATGCATATGCTATGCTGCCCCTTTTCTTCAGATGGAGCCTCAAGGGTGGTCCTCGGGAGACTGACTGACCCATCTGTCCGTCCACTTGTTGTGGCCCCGGCCACCTCAGTTTGACATGGCCCGAGTAAGCCGGGTCTCCATATCAGATCATAGAGTAAGAGTTGCGAGAAGATCAGTCAAGGCCAACCGATCAGAGGAGTAGAGCTTTCTTGTCCCGTCTGTTTAACTCCCTTCCGTATGTGGTGCGATTTCCGAGTACGCAGGTTTCATTCCCCGCGCAAACACATATGTATATCGACACTCCCCTGCGCGGCTGCATTCCTGCTCTTCTCTTCGCTACTGCCCTTCTTCCCAGTACCATGACACCTCAGATTCATGTGAGAACCCAGCCCCCACAGGCGAGGTCTTAGTCGCCTCAGTAATCACAAAGAGAGGAGAAGGAAAGGGCTCGCAGACAGTATCACGTGATGGAGGCCAGGATGTCGTTCACCGCAAGGCTCGCCGTGTCTGGCACGGGGTTTGCTTGAGAGCTCCTCTGGCCCCCTTTTGCCTCGTGGAAAACAAAACGGAAAGGACGCCTCTGAGTCATTGACAGGCCAAGATGGGTTGACTGACAGTCAGAGGGGACTTATCTCAGCAAGAACCAAATGAAGGAAACGGTGTCGGGAGTTGGAGTTGATCACAGACAACGCTGCAGCCGCAACAATTGGGTGTTTGGGAACCCCGCTTACTCATCACTGCTATGTACAGCTGATACAGCTTGACAGAAAGAAGCTCGTACCACCAGAATTACCAGTGGATGCAATATCCACCCAAAGAAAACACTGCGGAAACCCGACCCAGAGGTGAGAAAGAGGAAAACCCTCTGACGCATTATTGGCCCCTCCCCACCCTTCCAGCGAACCCTTGGATTCCCGTCCAACAAGGTTCCGGTCCTGCCGCTCATATTCTTGCCTGCGAACGACTCTTTCCTGCCTCTCTTGATCTCTTGCCCGTCCCCTGCTTCTGCAAGCTGCTGCAAAAGGTTGACAAGATTTCCTATTGTGTTGTTGTCACTGCGGCACAGCAAGCAGCGCCCAAGCTTCTCTCAGCAGTTGGCGAAACTCTTGCCAATCTTATCGGATTTGATCCATTGCACCGTTTCCCCTCCTTTTATCCTCCCTCCTGCTACCCCTCCGGCGGAAAACAATAGACCGGTGAATCCCTACTAAACTGAGCATTGGCGTTGAAAACAACTCTCTACAAGTCAGTTGACGTATCACTGTTATCTCGCCATCACCCAGCCGATTCTGCTGTGCCCGCAGCTTCTGAGAGGCCCGCGCGCAACGGCAAAGCCATTCACCGGGCGCAGTTTCAGGACTGCTCACTCAGGGTCAACGTAATCAAGGCTCCGTTTCAAGAGCCTTGTGTCTAAAAACCGGGTCGGATCAGTCCACCTGAGAATATCTCAAGCCCACAACCAGCTCGACTTTTGCATACATCCCGACTTCATCTGCGGAGCAATCCTCCTGTTGTAGGCAGAGAGAAGTCTCCTCCTGCCCGCCGCCACCATGTCGGTCCTTCGCAAGCTCTCCAAACACGTCCACCCCAATGGAAGCGAAACTCCCAAAGACAAGACCGAGGGTCACATCTCGCCCATCTCGTCCCAGAGCCCCGGGCCTCACCGTCGATCCCTCGCCCAGTTTCTCCATCTGGGCGAGCGATCGGACTACACTTCCAGTGACAATGAGTCCGAGATGAGCGACTTTGACAGTGATGGTTTGAGCAAGAATGCGCAAAAGAGAGCCCTTGCAAAACAAAGAAAACATGAACACCGTTCCAAGCTGAGTCTGGACCATCGTGATGACTCTGAGGAACGCATCAAGAAAAGACTGGAGGAGGCTGCCAAAACCGAGACGGAAGAGATGAAAGCTCGGTATGGCGACCTTCCATTGATGCAATCCACGACTAGTCACACTCAAAACCGTCTTGACCTAAGTACAGTCACCGAAGACATGGTCGGCCAAGAAGTCATCTTCCGTTGCAGACTGCACCATGTCCGGAACATGGGTGCTAAATTGGTTTTCCTGATCTTTCGACAACAGATTTCCACCATTCAAGGTGTCCTTGTCGAGGAACCTGGCAAGGTCTCGGCTATTATGATCCACTGGGCCGAGCATCTGCGCACTGGTAATATCATGCTCGTGAAAGGGGTACTTCAAAAGCCACAGATACTGGTCAAGTCCGCTTCAATCCACAACGTAGAAATCAAGGTAACTGACTTGCACATCATCGTTAAACGGGCAGAGCCTGTCCCCTTCTCTGTTCAAGAGGCAGAGTTGACCATTCTCGACGATGACCAAAAGGTCGATGGCCGTCAGAGTCAAATCCCCGACCGTGTAAGACTGGCAAACCGGATCATGGATTTGCGAACTGCCACCTCCCAGTCAATCTTCCGCATTCAAGCTGCGACGGGAAATCTGTTCAGGTCTTGTCTGGACGAGCGACGCTTCGTGGAAATCCACACGCCCAAACTCCAAGGGGCGGCAACCGAGTCTGGCGCCTCAGTGTTCAAGGTCAACTATTTCGGGCGTCCAGCCTTCCTTGCCCAGTCTCCTCAGTTGGCTAAGCAGATGGCGATCGCCTCTGATTTTGAGCGAGTTTACGAAATCGGCGCTGTCTTCCGGGCTGAAAACTCCAACACCCACCGTCATTTGACCGAGTACACTGGTCTCGATCTGGAGATGGCCATTGAGGAAAACTATCATGAGATGATGGATATCATCGACCATACTCTCAAAAGCATTTTCCAGGGTATTTACACAAAGTATCGCAGGGAAGTCGAACTCGTCAAAGAGCAGTTCCCAAGCGAGGATCTCGTCTGGTTGGATGAAACGCCTAGAATCCCGTTCAAAGACGCCGTTCAGCTTCTCACCGACTCAGGTTGGTTGAACGAGGATGGTGAACCGATCTCGCCTCTTGAAGATCTCGCCACCAGGGACGAGATCCGTCTCGGTGAGCTTATGAAGGAGAAGTACAAGACCGATTACTATATCTTGGACAAGTTCCCCCGGTCTGCTCGTCCTTTCTATACCATGCCTGATCCAAATGACGACCGCTACACCAACTCTTTCGATGTCTTCGTCCGTGGACAGGAGATCATCTCCGGTGGTCAACGTATCCACGAGTCCAAAATGCTCGAAGACAATATGCGCATGGTCGGCATCGATCCTGACGACATGGCTGAGTACATGGAAGGCTTCAAATGGGGTGCTCCTCCTCACGCTGGTTGTGGTGTCGGTCTCGAGCGTATTGTCATGCTTATTCTCAAGCTCGGCAACATTCGCCTTGCCTCGTTATTCCACAGAGACCCCAAGTCATTCCCTGCCAAGCCAGCTGTTGAAAAACTTCGTCATCCCGAAGCTGACACTCTGAACCCCGTCTGGAAACAAGAACGTGGGCGGGAAGTGGCAGTTCAAGATCGGAAGATGCCTGACCTGTTCGACCTGATTGCAAACTACGGTGATGCGACATCTACATCTTGGGGCGATGAACGTTACCAGATCTGGCGCCATGCGGACACTGGTGCCGCAGTATGCTATGTCCCTGAGGGTCATTACGCGATTCTCCCAGGCGATCCCCTCTGCCATCCGAGCCAGTACTACCGCATCGTCGTCTCTTTCCTCCAATGGTTGAAGCGGGAGACACGCTTGAAGCCCTTGTGGCTGTTGATCAGCCCGGAGTTGGAGGAAGTCCTGGGTGAGAGATTAGGCTGGAAAACTCTATCCTGTGTCGCTGAAGAGCGTGTTGATCCTCACAAGAAAACCGCAGAGTCTGATCCGGAAGTTGCAAGGAAGATCCGCAGGGCTCAGAATGACGGCGTCAAGATCACTGACCTTGATCCTAAAGAGCCCGTTCCTGAGAGCATCAAGGAGCGTGCCAATGCCCGAGTCAAGGACTGGCTGTCAAACCGAAAAGGCACTCAGATCCATCTGTCGAACATCGACCTGTTCCGAGACGAGAAGCACAGGCGTTACTTCATCGCCGAAGACAAAGATGGCGTCCTCTGCGGTATTGCAGTCATGTGTGAAATTGCTCCACGTAAAGGCTGGCAGGCCAAGTACACTCTGGACTTCCCCGGAGCACCATCCGGAACAATTGAATACATTACCACGCATGCGCTCAACGCTGCTGCCAACGCTGGTGTCAACAGCGTCACCTTCGGCGGCGGTGCTGCAACGCACTTGACGCCAGGCCACCATATGAGTGGTGCCAAAGTGAAGATGTTGCAGGCCACGTATGATGCCATTGTCAAACAGTTCAACCTAGCTCGGAAGTCCGAATTCCGAGAGAAGATGGGTGCCGTGGCGGATCCCCTTTGGATTGCCTATCCTCCACATGGTCTTGGTTCTAGAGGCATCAAAGCCATCATGCGGTGAGTACTTCGACCTAGATATCACGTTACATGGTCAGAGAAGCAAAGCTAATCAATCGTGACAAACAGATTCTTCCAGGATGATCCTTAGAAAGGTGCAGGGTGTCCACGCCTGAAGCCATATTCCACGATCTGGTTATCTCGAGCAAAGAAATCTTTAATGATACGAGTCAAACATGTTTTCTCAGGCATCCAATGCACATGCAGCACTCGTTGACGCAGATCAAGTGCACCAACCTTGACTACGTTTTCATGGGCTTTTTGACTTAAGAACGCCACACAAAGATGGCTGAGTGACTACAGCACAGCAACGGCTGGGCCAGTGTTGGGGCTGATCTGTGGATGAGATTTCGGCAGTTGGGAACTATTGATGGATTCAAGTAGCATGGCTGTCAGCTTTTGTTTTCCCCCTAATGTTCGTTGGATGATGCTTTCAGATACCACATAGCACAGCAAAGCAAGAACCTAGCACACGACTCCCCAACCCAATCCTTCTGGATTAGCGGAATAGATCGGCACTCTCGCGCCTTCGAAACAGGTTATGCTGGTGTTGACATGCCCTATGATTTATGTTCGAGCTTCGTATGGATGTTGTGCTTCTTATCATACATCATCATACATCATACGCCCACCCACCACCCTCTGTCCTCCGATCCTCTCCTCGGTCCACATGCGTTGCTCATAGATATCAGCCCTAGCCACGGCGTTCTGAAGAGAGAGAATCACTCAGCGTAACTTTGCAGACAACAAGAAGATCGTGATCGTAAGTTCTATGCAGCTCAGTTGTACATAGTGCGTTTCCCTCCGCGTCTTGTACAACCCGGTTCTGCTTCCGGTTTGCTGTACATGCTGCATATGTATTCAGTGTACATATCTCCTTCGTCGCTCGCATCGGACAGTTCCAGTCATGACGTGTCTTTCATCCGTCCGCACACGCTGCACGTCCACCACTGATTTTCCATCCACGTTCCGCACCGTCCACAGGTCCATCCCAGCGGATTGGTTTGAGCCTTCTGCTTGGCGGCTGCTTCGAAGCGCGCGATGTTATCGGCGGCGCCGAGGCGGGGGGCCAGCACGGAGGACGGGGGTTTCGGGTGAGCACTGTATGCGCGGGACCCCGAGGATCGAGGCACGGAGGTGTTGGCTTGAGATTTGGGAGGGGGATACGAGCCGCCGGCAGGTGCAGGAGTCGGTTGTGCGTAGATTTCCGGCCGCTCGGTTTCGCAGGCTCCGCACAGGAGGTAGTTGATCGGGTTGATGAGGGTGCAAACTTCGCAGGTCCAGGTCTCTTCGTCTCGAGGCAGCTGAGGTGGTGGGTGGTTCAGAGGGGGGGTGGGCGGTTTTGCTTTTGGTTTTGTCTCCGGCTCATACTCCTTGCCCGACCGTGCCTGCTGTTGCAGTTGTCGCTCGATCTGAAGTTGTTCTTCCCGGAGAGACCTCGTGTCAACCGGTGGCAAGACACCCTTGCCCTTCTGGACACCTCCCGTCGGGTTCTGTTGGCTCGGAGGGACGTATCCCGGGCCAACCATCTGTGCCTCTTCTTCTTGAATCATTTCGATATATGCCTGCATCAGCGCCGCCTCGTCTTCGTCCGCCTTGTCGGCCTGGGTTGTGGTGACTTTTTCCTTCTTGATCGCCTCTTCTCGCATGATCTTTTGGCTCATGTCGGGCACGGCACTGCCACAACCGCGGCTGATGCGATTGCGTTTCTCGGCAGCGGCGGCAATAATCTCTCGAGCATTTTGGCCTCGCAAGATCCCCTGGCCACCGACCTTCCCTCCGCTGCCTTGCGAGAGGACAGATATTTGCCGACGTCTGTCCGCCGCCGCACGAGCTTGTCGTTGGAGCTCGGCCCTGGGTATGCCCCGACCGCCCAGCCGAGTTCCCTTGCCGAGAAATCCTTCGCCAGTATAGCCCTTGCGAAGGAGCGTTTCGTGTTCGTCGCGTAGTTTGTCCCACAGGGCGTTGAAAGCCTGATCATGTGGACCGTGGACAATGTGAGACAGCTCGTGCAACATGGTGTCGACAACATTCTCAAAGGGCAAGAATTGTGTATCGTCTCCGGGGTAGCGCAAGCGGAGGTAGATCTTTGCGCCACGGTCGACGTTCAGCCCCAACAGGTTGGGGTCCTCGGGGAAGAACTCGCAGAGCATTCCAACACGCCAATTTCGAATTCGCATGATGGGCTTCACTATCGAGGCAGTCTTTTTGAGGATATGGAGGGCTTCATTTGCGCGACGTTTCGTGGACAAATGCTGGAATTGGTCGACCAGGGGGTCGAGTTCTGTTCCACGCGAGTAAGACATCTCGAGGGCTGGATGTTGATGATTGTTGAAAAAAAAAACTACTGTAGGGACGCAGAGAGGCGGAAATCTGAATATCAGAAGAGAAGAATAAGTGTCACTCGTCAATCCCAGGCTAGGTAACTGCTTGCAACTCGGCAGTGAGAGAATGCCCAAACCACTTGAAGACCGCCTCCGTGCGGGTTTGTTCGTCACAAGTCTAGTAGTAAATGGGCTGGGGATCTGTGAGAAAACAAAGAGAGCAAACGAAATAGAACTATAACAATGTAGCACGCTGTCAGCTACTCCTTAAGACGCCGCCGGAACATGCCAGAAGAAAATTGTTGTGATCCTCACCTTGTCAGGGAGACATAGGATGGATTCGTAATGTATCTCAGCCTTGATGGCGACAGGGAGATCCACGTGACAAGCCTCCCACGTGACAGTCTTCTGCATGGGATGTGCCTCTTCTGTGATTGGTCGACGACGGACTGCGACTCTTCCCCGCGCCGCCGCCAGCGTGGACTCGGGACTTGTACCTGATGGTCTACACTACTCGACCGTCAAGCTGTTCCCTGGCCAAAGCACCACCAACTACAGATACAGTTTGATGACAGAGGAACACGTCTATCCGAACCTGAAATGACGAGTGACGACCAGCAATTCCTGGACCTAGTAAGGTTTCCCTATCACCCCTGCATCACTCTGCCTACCGTGATCACTGACCACCCCTCTCGCTCAGCTTGCGTCTATTCCACAGGACATGGCCCACTATGGCAGCCGTATAGCAGACTACGTCGACAAGCACGCCAATGCCCTTGCCAACGATATCCGCGACGCCATCGACCGAGCAAGCTGGATTCCCGACTCCCTCCGGCCCCCGCGTCAACCGGGCAGCGGAGGATACGGTCCATTTTCGGCTCGTCCACCTCCTCCACCGCAGGGGATCCTCCAGAAGACCACAGCTTGGGTTTCGAAGAATCGGACCGCAATTGCCATTGTCGTGGCATTCGCAGGGACAACCCTGTACCTGATCCACCGCAGGAAGAGGGCACATGCGAGAAAGAGACGAGCGAAGAAACTGCCCAACGGCGCCAAAAAAGAGATTGTGATACTGGCGGGCTCGACCTTCCACGATGCATTGACCCGTTCGTTGGCTCTTGATCTCGAACGCAGAGGCTATGTGGTCTATATCACCGTCTCCTCGACCGAGGAGGATTCCCTCGTACAGCAAGAAGCAAAAGCCGATTTGCGCCCCCTCTGGATTGATTTGACTTCGACGGTCCCGAACCCGGCGGTCGACGTGCACCCGAATCTGGAATCTATCCGTGACCTCCTTACAAAATCATCGCGATCCTCGTCACCCAGCAGGAGCACGCACCGGACAGGTTCCTCTATGGGGAATATGACGCTGGCCGGTCTCATTGTCTTCCCCGGCAGCTCAGGCTACAGTGAAGGACCGTTGGCGTTGCTTCCACCATCCGATATAGTAGATACGATCAACACTCGCCTTGTCTCGCCTCTCTTGACCGTCCAACAATTCCTCCCGTTATTGGCAAACCACAGTCCCGACCCAAAGGCCCCTTCATCCATCATTATTGCATACCCTTCGATTCCGCACAGCCTTTCTCCCCCACGTCAAATTCCAGAATGTCTGGTCACATCATCACTCTCAGCACTAGCCGCCTCCCTCAGGCGAGAGATCGCCGCTGCAAACGCCCACATCACCGTCTCCGAACTCAAGTTAGGAAATTTTGATATGGGCTCCGTCACGTCCTGGTCGAGAACGACGCCAACTCAGTCGACGCTCACGCCCGGTGCGTCGTCTGCGCTTACGCATAGCCACTCTCACTGGCACTCGTCGCAACGTGCCGCTCACCAACGCAAGTCACTCGGCCAAAGGAGCTTCATCCGTGGCTCCTCGGCGAGGGAGTTCCACAACGCGGTCTTCGATGCTCTTGCTCCGCCGCAGACATATAGGCCTTTTGGTTTCACGTCCCTCGAGTTCACTTCAAACACAAGACCCAACGTCATTTTCGTCGGCAGCGGTGCCAGACTTTACGATTACGTCGGCAAATTGATGCCTGGCGGACTGGTGGGGTTGATGATGGGATGGAACCGAAAGAAGACAGCATCGCGGTCCGAAGACGAAATGTACAAGTCCACGAGATACGATGCGAGCGGCAGCCCGAGCGCAAGTGGCGTAGGCACTCCCGCTGGAGGTGGCAGCTCGTCTGTGGCCGGACATCCTCTTTCAGCCTCCGCTTCAGCGTCGGGATGGGGATTCCAATCGCTGGGCAGTGAGAGCGGCATCTGGGAAAAGGTATGATGAGAGTTTACGGTTGTCGTTCAGCCGTGCCAAAGAGCGGGCTGAATGTGGAGGTTGTCCCATATGAATCTTTAGTGGGTTATTCTTGGGTATTGGGTGTATATCTTTCGCCAGTGCGCGTATACGAGCACTTTCACAGTCGATCGATCGATCGATCTGTCTGTCTTGGGCAGAGGCGGAAAGAAGCAAGGTCTCTGGAACCTCAGGAGGAAGAAACGGCGAGCGAGGCTGGACATTCTTCACTCACTTATTCATCCACTCATTCACTTACTGAATAACTAACTAACAAAGTATCTCACTTCTTTCACTTGTCTACTTAGACACTTGGGATGAGGGAGCCTTGGGAGGTGACCATCGACCAATCTAATTCCCTTCTCAGTTTAGAACGTTATTCCGTTCCAGCTCGTTTCAAATTTTTCATCTTGGTGGAATGAACGACCTACAGTGAATCAAGTTAGAATGAACGTATTAGACAAGAAAGAAATGTTGTCGTCTAGAACATAGTCGCAAGAAGATCCTGAAGATAGAACAGTGCATATACTATATATACGTGGCTCCCGTACTCCTCCTGGCCCCTAACTCTGTTAAACCCTCATACAACTCACCCTTCCACGGCATCGTATCGTTCGTCAATGCCAATGTCGCAGCCAACATCAGGACTCGTATATCGTATTCGTTATCATCGTTAGCAGCGAGTGTGTCAATTCCACCATCGTAGTGCCACCCATGGTCGAATTCCGCTTCCCCCATTTCGGGACTTGTGAAGCTCCTGAATACCAACACATGGTGCGCCTCCCGATCCTGGAAAATGCGGATGATGGTATTCAACGAATGCTCTCGGGACAGCGAAGTGATTTCCTTTCTTCTGTTCATATATCTCTTCCCATAGACTTCGTCCCTCGTCTTTCGTCTTTCTCGTGTCTCGGTTGTGCAAAAGCGATAGGACATATAACACCGATGACCAGGTCGTTTGCAGGACAACGTGGAATGAAGTTTATGAAGGACATTCAACCAAGACCTCTGAGCAAACCTGTCGACCCTTGACTACCCCGATCGAGCCGCCAATCGTCCAACGGCGCCCAGAAGGACTGATACTCAACCCGGAGTTGGGCGAGCGCCTCATCTTTTCCATACATCCACAGGACGGTCTCTAATTGAGATAAGATACTCTGAATGGCCGACTGGGAGAAGCGGCCCTCATTTTCCAGAGTCTCCTCGAGTGCCAGTCGAAAGTACTTCTCGCTTTGTGCCCGTTCCCCTTTCCAAAAATGCACCCATCCCAGTTGCGTACATGCAAAGATCCTGTTGAATTTTTCAAGTGGCTCTCCAACGGCTAAATTACCGTTGCATATCTGCATGAGTAATTTCTCAGCCGCCAAGTAATCTCCTCGATATCTTGACAAGCGGACGAACTTTCCTATGACTCCGGTGTGTAACTGAGTCAGAGTAGAAGCAGGGAGGTGGATATCATCCCACAGAAGCCGACACAAGCGAAATGCATTGTCAGACTGCCCGGACGCTTCTAAAAGGCCAACTGCGGCGAGTTTGATTTTCGCGGAGGCCGTTGCGTCGCGGGCTGTTTTCGCTTCATCAAGAAGGAGTTCTGCATACAGTCTCGAGCACGAAGGAAGATGCTCCTGGTCACTCTTCTGGAAAAGTATCACGAAGTTGGTAATGGGATGCAACATCCCCAGGATTGTTTTCGCTAACGAGGCAAAAAATTTCAGGACCGCCTCCCATACTTTCCAATGTTCCCTGGCGGCAAGCCCAAGCTGGAAGTCTGTGAACACTGTAACAAGTTCTGCCAGCAATAGGAATGGTTGGGCCTGCAGCAGGGCACGAAAGTGAGAACAGCTTCGATTTATGAGGCAAAATGCGGTGGAATCGTTTCTGACAAGAAATAGTACGGCCTCTCTAAGCTTGTCGAAAGCTTCGCGGAGCCGCATAGTGTACCCATACTGGACCCTGATCTGGTCCTGTGCCGGATACCACGAATGATATACATGAGCATATCGCAGTAACGCCTCGACAGTCTGGGTTTCACGGCCCAGGTGGAGCTGAAGGCGCTGTGGCGTGGACGTCCGTCTGAATTGCAGAAGTCGCTTTCGCGAATCTTTGTTAGAGTCTGGAGAAGTTCGAAGAGCGAGGACGACACGATTTCGCTTTTGCATGACAGGGCGCCATAACCGACGTTCGTTGAGAGGCTCGCCGTTCACCTGCAGCGGCGGGTAGCCACAGGTCTCGGATGGTGCTTCACGCAGTTTTTGGATGACTTCTAGCTTCTGCGTCTGTGTGTAGTTCTTGCGCAGTCCCCAATCTCGTAGTCGTTTCTTGTACATTTGCTCGCTATCCACGTCAGCTATGTTTGCAGCTCAGGTGCTTTCCCTAGCATACGTGGCATCGAAATCATGCTGCAGCTTCATTCTCTGTCGCACTTCATCTAGACTGAGCCGTTGACGAATATACAGATCTTGGATGACTGGTTTCAGACCCTCCCAGACGGTGGATGATATAATCGGCCTCCTCAAACGCAAGGGTTTTGGAGGCTGCCTGGGCGGTTCGTCTGGCTCAAAAGTGAGATCTTCCAAATGGACTTGCTCGTCGACCCTGGGGTTCGGTGGTTCGATGGATGGAGCTGTGGGATACGCATCGGTAGTGCCAAGGTCAAATTCAAGACTTCCAGAGTCGTTGCACACGTGGACGTCAGGCAGAGAGATCAAGGCCATGTTCTCAGCCTGATGTGGCCAACCGTGCTCCAGGGATGGCGGTGGCGGTGGCGGTGGCAGCAGGTAGCCGTCCATTTTCAGGAACACAGAGGGAGAAAAGGAGAGACCACAAGCACGAGCACAGAGAGTATGGTCGACCTAAATAGGTCGACTGGGCACCTGAAACGGTGTTCATCGTTTCGATTGTGTAGGAGGGTTTGCCAGGGTCGTGATATGTTCTGGCCCCCAAGTAATGAGGTGGCTCCAAGGCGACGCCACAAGAACTTTTGAAAGGTGCAGCCAATCATGATGTAAATTTGGACGAGTCCGTCGATTTCCAGGCCGGGACTTGGAGGTCGTTCGAGTGGTTGAGCAATCGAGCGTGGATCATGTCTCGTCTAGCTGACAGCCTCATTCCCGATGATCGCGATCACCCAGGAAACCAGTATCACAAGGAAAGAATGAAATCGTTGACTGTGTCTTTGACGATCCAGAGTATTGCATGAGGAGCAGACCTAGCTAGCCACATGAGGATGCTGGACCAAATATGGCGAATCTCGTCACCTCCTTGATGCCGGTACAAACAAGAGTTTGCATCACCAGCAGTGTTGGGGATTCGTGTTCGTGCTGCGAGGCAAGCAAAGCACGTCGTCCCTCCCTCCCAAGCAACAACGAAGAGATTCCCAGACGACCCTTTTCCTTCGTCGTTGTATAGGAAATTGCTTGATTGCCATGATCTCGCGCATGCCCTCAAGGAGCAAAGACCGGAACCTAGCTTGGGATTCTGCCGTTGCTCCTTGAGGCTTTGTCTCCCCAAGGCAACGATCAGAAGGCGTGAGAGCTTTGTTGTTGTGGCGGACTCAGTGGGCGTAAGAAGCTGCCGAATGTGACCAAGAGTTTAGTCATAGCAGGAGGGCGAGAGGCGGGAGGCTTTCGGGCGCTCAACAGGCCTTCTAATCTTTGCGTGAATCCCGGACAGGACAATGACCCATTCTGCAAATGGGAGCTTGACGACGTAGCAGATGGCTGGCGCTTGGGTATCTCTGAGCTTTCACAACACCAATTACTTTCAGCAGGTCCGTCGATGGCGATCCGCCGCGTAGGACTTCAAAGGGAACTCTTCGGCACCAGAGCAGACAGAAGACTCAACCAAAATCGGAAAATTGAGAACCAGATAACAAGCACAATCGCCAAACGTGAGAATTGCCCAAGTTGATTACCTCGTCGCCCCTGAGATTTAAGTAAAAATCTTTCGTTTGAGCATGTTTTCTCACGCGGACGCGACTCGCATGTACATAACGCCAAGATGTTCGACAACTCGTCGAAGCCTCCCCCTTCACACGGACATCATTCACAAACATTGCACTGCCAACACCGGAGACAAACCTGACAATGCCATCATCCCAATCCGATGATCTCGATTCCCTTCTGTTGGAACCGTTCTCACTGGATAAACTGAAGATCCATTTCCAGGCCTATGCTGGAGGGGGAGATGCAGGGCACGTTTTCTGAGTTCGCCTTCGCGAATCAACGAACTCTGAGGATGTGTCCTACAAAGAATTCGCGTTGAAGATGGTAGGCTAGGTTCAACAGCCTTTCAATTCCATGCTGATTCTCGACAAGTTCAAATTCGATCATCCCGAGTTAAACTTTTCTCGACTTAGGGGTACCCACCGGCGAGCCTTCTACGATCCTTTCTACATTGAATGCCGCGCAAACGGGTCGCTCATTCAGCAGGGCCTCAATGGCCGTATCACTCCCTTTTGTTACGGCTGGATTGAGGTGTCGAAGTCTGCGGAACTCCAAGTGGCTAAGAGGTTCGACATACACCCATTCCCCTGGAATAGACCTGATTCGGCGAGGGACCAAAAAATCAGAGGAATACTGTTTGAATGGAAGGAGGGCAAGCCACTCTCGCAAGTCCCTATTAACGCGAACATTGCAGCCCAGGCTCGCGCATCTCTGAGAGCATTACACAGTGCTCAGATTACACATGGAGCGCTCGCAGCGGCTAATTTTCTCGTTCGAGGCGAGTCTCCCAATCAGCAGGTCTGCCTACTCGATTTGAGCGCGTCGATCTCTCTTCCCCATGTCAAGTTTTCCGAGGAGGACTTGAAAGATATTCAGCAACAAGAGCTGCTACTTCTGGAAGTTGCATTCGAGTTGTTATCGAGGCTTTCTATCAACCAGGGCGTTTCCGTCAGTGAGTTGTCGGCTGACGGGCAGGCGTTTTTGGACAAGGAGTCTCAGTTCATTCAACATCTCTGGGCTCCACCCCAGCCTACGTGTTGGCAGGGATAGTCCTGAAGTGTTGTCTTGCTCGGTACGCTCGACCCAAATGTCGAGCCATCGTTCCGCGCTTAGCTCTAAAGGCGTTTGCCTGCCCGGAAATGAAGACCCTGACTGACCTTCACCATATTCGCCATAAAGGTGGTTGATTGTGCAATGCTACTGAAGACCTCGCTGAACGGTCGGGGCATGTCATGGCCTTGTGACTTCCCCAGAGGAATCACATTTTACGGACCAGACACCAGGTGTTCGGGGAAGGACTAATATGCCCATGGTCCACAAACGGTCTACCCCATTCTGGCTGTGAAAAAATTGCTGATCCAAAATTCTGCCAAGCAGCCGACGACGGGCTTGGTGACGGTCTACACGGTTTGATCACGTATTCCGGTGAGATCCAAGGATTGATTCGCTGAACTAGTCGTCACACAAATGAATGTCAGGTCAAGAGATCAAGGCCATGTTCTGGCCCCCAAGTTAATGAGGTGGCTCCGAGGCGACGCCACAAGAACCTTTGGAAAGTGTAGAAGGTGCAGCCAATCATGATGTAAATTACTCCGCTACCCACAGATACAACAACATAACGAACTATTACCGTCCGCACTCAGGTCCGTCCAGCCTGTGTTGAAGAAGCCAGAATCTATCTGACGGAGAGCCCAGTCATGATCGCTTACCCACGGTTCAACCACCTCCTGTTCCTTTTCCCCGATGTTCTTCCTGATCCATTCCCCTCGGCCCGCCGCTCCTTAACTGTGGCCCATGCTGGTATTGACTGCTCAAGATTCCCGTAGCTGAGGCGTGTTGAAGCAGAGAAGCCACTATTCCATGCAGTGCATGACTGGCTTCTGTCACCACAATTGAATTGCGGCTTTTACTGCGCTGTTTCAAGCCCCTCGGCGCTCGGGCTAGAGATGAGGCTGCTCTTGAATTTCCTGAGTTCCCCCGACGCCAGCCTGTCCTCTTGGGAAATTTTCGGTTCAGTCATGCACGCTGGAGGCGATGTCGTGTGTAAATAAATGTGCGTCGTGGTGAAATCCACCGGGCATTTGCAAATCTTCCGCTCTTCAGGCCTTCCGCTCTGTGTGACTATGCATCAGTGGAATTCCCTTTCGGTTTGGTCCGGATATTTACTCCCTCTTGTGATATGTCACTATCTCGGGGAGGCGAAGGCAAGGGTATAAATACTGCTCTACAACTCGTTGACAATCAGACAGCTGTTTGCGCGTTTTCAACAGGGACATTCCATCAGCCAACTGCTTTCAGCACGGGTCTCAAGCATCTGCAAATATTTAGTCTTGCCTGGCCCTAGGTAAGGAACCATGGCGTCGAGGCATATGATGTCGGCCGTGCCGCCCGGCTCGGGTTTGACGGTAGGAGACGAACAATCGCAAAGTATGACCATGCAGCAGCAGCGTCGTGTGGCGGCTTTCTTCGTTCGCAGTCTCGACCATCCCCAAGGTCAGCTATTTCAAATGGTCAAGCCGGAGGATATCTCGTCCGCGCCTCCCGTGGTGGTCAAACGACCTCCAAAGCCCGAAGTACGGCAGATCTCTCTGCAGATGCTGGCTCCGTGTGTCTTCTTTGTCCAGTATCCCTGTCAACAAAAGTGCCGCAGCCTTGGAATTTGCGTGCACTACCAGTTTGTGATCGGTTGTCGAAAGTGTCCCGATGGGCTGCGGTGTTCGGCTTGTGTGCAGAGCAAAACCGAGGAGGTACGAGGCCTTTCCACCTCGTTGACTCGATCAGGGGGTGCAGACTGTTGGCTAACCAGCTGGAATGCGCCGTAGGCCATTCAAGCGAACCGCAAGTGTCCCCTCCATCAAGACCCGGCGCAGGCGAATCCCATTAACAACCGTCCGGAAGACTTCCTGGCCAATGACGGCCAGAAAGAAGTGTGCGACCAAGTGTTGCAGCGATCGTTTGACTGTCAGTGGGACGATATCCCAACCGTTCCCATCAGAAGCATCGAGGAAAATCCCTGGGAGATTGGATGGGGTGACTTTACCCGCGAAAGCACGCCCAAGGATATGCAGGACGTCAGAATGTTAGAGATACTGGATGAAGATAAAGTGATGACCATGGCCGAGCAGAACCCATTCCAGATGCAGACGGAGATGGACATGAGCAACGACACTTCCACACTTTTCGCTGGTCCGAGTGGAGTGCCAGTCGACATGCTGCAATTTTGTCCATAGGCCCAGCAGCCCAGCGTGGAGGGGTGTGTCCTGGGGTTGTGACCACAGCTATCAGAGACAAGTCTATTTGATCATATTATTGAGGGTGACGGGCAGGTGCATGGATGGGTGGTGCATGGGTGGGTACATGGGTACGTGAGTGAGTAGATAGATGAGACAAATTCAGGCGAAGCCCATTCCCCAAGGCACATAATACTCGTAGACAATTCTTGGTCTCTACACATACACACAAACCTACAGTACATAGAATCCAGAAAATCTGCACTGCAAGCTTTTCGTTTATGTCACACTGTCCACCGCAGCAAAAGGCAAGGAAGAAATACATACCCTTCTAGCGGTGTTACACCAGCATCACCAGGTGCTCGTTGCCGGAGACTGCCTGGCTCTTGACCACTCTTGTGGCTGACCGATCCACTGAGAACCAGAATCGAGTGATAGTAGTAATCTTGCCGAAGCCATGTGCTGGTAGCAAGCAAGCAAGCAACACCAGGCAGGCTGGCTGGCACATGGGGAGATAAGTAGGCAGGTAGATTAGATGTCCAGGCCATGTCTATATGTCTGTAGGGTAAAGCAATAAACGATCGAATAACCCAATCATGTCCTCGTCCATGTGCAACTCAGGAAAAAAAAGGGGAGGTCTTGTTAGACAACAAACAAACCATCCTTTCGTGTCGTGCATATGTGTGTATGCATGGAAGTATCTATGACCTTGACGACCCATTACTCTCCTCTCCTCTCCTCTTGTCTTGTCTTGTCTCGTCTTTTCTTGTCTTGCTCGTCAGTTTGCTTGTAGTCCTTCGTTTGGTTTGGTTGTCTGTCACTCTCTCCTCGATCGTCATAGTCATGTGGGACTCCTATCAAGCGCGGTCGACCCAGGCAGGCTTCGAATGCTCTTGCATGTGGGCGTGTTGCTTCATTTTCGACGCGTCGGGCTGGCCATGGCGGCGTGATAACGTGGGTGGGACGGACTCACATTGTCGTGGTGGAGAAGACGCGAGAGAGGCAGGACAGAGAAGAGAGAGAGAGAGAGAGCGCGCGCTCTCAGAGATCTCAGAGAAACTACAGATGTAGGGATTCATCTGCATGCTTCCAGAGCTGAACAAAACATGACTTTGCCTACACACGCTGCTCTACTGCGGCGAACCGATATTTCTGTAGCAGAGTAGAGCGTTCATTCTGTGAAAAGACGAATGATTTGATCTGCTCGAAACACCAGAGGACCTCCGCCTCAGCATGAATGAACAACGTCTGCTGCTATCTATCACCAGGAACCTGTCAAATATCGTGGCCCTGCGCATCCATCGACAACGACATCCCCTATCGATCTCCTCCCCTTAATTCTCAGCGACCTGCCTCCTGCTACGTCGTCCTGTGCTTCCTTCCGGGTTATGGCGCAAGCAACACCCGACGAGGGTCAAAACCATCTGCAAACTCCTAGACCAGGGAGCCGAAGCAAGCCTTTTCCTCTTTTGTCTCGATCGTCACTCTACGAATCCGTATTGCAGACAACGGCGCGTCTCGAGTGCAAAGGTTAAATGGTCGTCATGGAGCTTCTTTCGTTTCACAATGCTCCCCATCTAGGTGGGCTGTCATACTCATGCCTAATGGACGGCCACGTCGCTGCAGGGCGTCGGGCGTCAGAGGAATTGATTGTGCTAGTCATTGTGTCGGCGCTCTCCTAGCAGCTACTCGTCAATCCGATCGTCGAATGTGCACGTTGTTGCTTTGCCCCATTTCGGATGCTTCAAATTCGGCCTGTAATGCTCCGGAAAGGCTATGTCATTGTAACCGTTGAATTGGAGGGGGGTTTTGTGGAGCTTTCGGTTTGAGAGCTTCCCAATCCTCGGTTGTCTGATAAAAAAAAAAACAGGAATAAGATTCGCAAAGCCTCCAGCGGTGTGATGAGGAAACCCTGTACGACGGAGCTTGGGCCAGCAATAATGGACCCTTGAAGTAGTGCCTGGTGATTTTTAGAGGTCTGCTCAGATTAGTGCCTGCTATAGGTGTAGGCCCGCTCAGAATTCATGATGGAATGGTGCATCATCGGTCCACGGGTCACAGGTGAGATTACATCGTTGCCAAGGGAGGAGGAGCACGTATGCCCAATTGTGTCAATGTCGGGACGCCAACAGGGTCAGCCTAGTCGAAAGGAATGCCCATCGAGGAGGACATTGTCAACCACCAGATGCGGGAGTAGGATTTCAGACCGAGGTGGGCAGCGAGCGGGCAGACAGCTCGCCAGTGGTTGGCAGCGAGGTGGCCCGTCGGTCTGTGCTTTCGGAAAAAGATGAGATGGAGGGTGAGTAGAGGCGGCTGGGAGGTCAGGCGTCGAGCAATCAGAGACGCCGGACGGCGCCACTGACGCCAATGGCTGGGGCTAAATGATCCACTAGCAGCTTTGCGACCGATGCCAGTGATACCGCGGGGTTCGGGCGGTTTTGGTTGAGCGGGCAGGTTGTTGTGGAATGCCACAAGCACAAGACAGGATCCCGTCACAAGTCCAGAGGTAAAACACATGCATCCACGATGATGCGGACCTCTGGCTGCGAGCACAGTAAACTCTGATGCAAGATGGTGTAGAGAATGAAAATCACAGTCGATTGACGTCGAAACAGACTTGGGCTGCGATGATGTCATGGACCTGTCACGGGCAGCTCAAGGGGCTCAGACGCCCATTTCAGGCGACACGTGACAAAGGGGTGTATGTAGCATTGCCACAGAGCATTTCACTCCAGCATCGGGTGAGATTGTCAACGGCAAGGACCCGAGAAAGCTGTCAATTGTACCGGACCGGAAGGGAGGAAGTACCCAAGAGCACTTTACATGGCAAGACAACGCCCAAATCATGATAGATAGCGTCTTTGGCATTAGATATCTAGCTTCCTAATACTGTTCGCTTGCTTTCTGTCTCACTAGCCCCAACTCTTTCCGAATAGTCTGCATGCTCGCATATGCACACAGATACGCCAACAGTCAGAGGCCTGCACGGCACACCGCTTGCGCGCCCGCGAACAGTTCTCAACCACTGCACCCTTCAGGCAGAATGACTCAAACGCTTCCCTCGTTTCGATAATAGGGACACGCCTGAAGGATGCTGTGCCGAGATATTCAAGCCCACTTGACTGATAAAAAAGGGTTCCTGTACCCCCAGTCAAAACCAATAAACCACGCAGATCGGTCCGTAAGCCATCGAGGCGCGCTTGTGGACAACAAAACATAGATCTTTCATGAAAAAGCCATCATCTCTGGGTATCAGATCATCATAATAAAGTGTGTAAGTCGGCAGTAAACGAAAGTCGTGAATCGAAAAGGTGTGGCATAGTCTCGAACCCAATTTGCCACGTGATCGCCTGCACCGGGCTTTTGAAATCCTGTCCCTTCTATCACCCATTCCTTTTCGTTGTTGTACACTGGCGTTACGCGGCTCCAACGCGAAACGCTCGACGATAATGTACATGGAGCAAGGGAAAAAAGCAAACGACAATCCTGCCCACGGATGGCACAGTCGACATCGGCAAGATGTTGCCGAATATGGCGCTTTATGGATTTCCAGCGTCTCGAAATCTTGGTGCGCATCATTCACTCCTCGATGTCCGAATGGCTTGCATTGGAAAGGGAGTCGCCCTTGTGCACTTTCTTGTGTCGGCGCAAGTTGGAGACGACCGAGAAGTGACGCCCACAACCCTCCACGTCGCAGGCAAAGGGTTTTTCACCAGTGTGGCTGTACATGTGCGTTTGCAAGGAGCTGGGCCGCGTGAATCGCTTGTCGCAGACCTTGCATTTGTGCTTCTTCTGAGTGTTGGCGGCCATCTTGGAAGAAAACTGGCCCATCATTGATTGAGGGGCAGGCGGTCCAAGAGGAGGACCCAGCAGTTGGTTCGGGCGAGGCAGTGTACGAGATGCCGCCATAGAGTCATACCCAGCATCCGACGCCGCAGAGCTGTAGTCTGTAGCAGAATCAGTTACGGAGCCTACCGAGCTAGGCGCGTAGTAGGTGTAGCCTCGACCGGATTCATTTGAAATCGACGAATGAGCCGACGACGCTTGCGGAAAGCCATAGGAATCTGCCGGCGCCCTCTGCGCTCGAGCCTCATAGATGTTGCGGGGGGTCAGGTCTTGCAGATTCTGATGGCTCAGCGCCAACATGCCCCGAGAAGCGTCAAGTTCCCCAAAACTGGCGTTTGCGGCGCGAGAGCCCTCAACCCTACTCAACACTGTTAGGATATGTCACGAACCATGGGGATTGCCCGAGGCAAACTTACGAGTCGGAGAGTTTTCGGTGTTGCTGTTGTTGCTGTTGCTGCTGCTGTTGGTGCAGAGATTGGGCGTAAGTCAGGGAGGAGTAAGACGGCGCATACGACGCGGAGGTCGCCGTGGGCGCAGAATAGGCTTGTTCGCCGTAGTTGGGGCGCGGCAAGTCTTGAAGGTAACTTAGTAAATCGGTGCCAGAAAACCCAGTGCTGGAGAAGGCGCTACCTTGAGCCATGGAACCAGTAACTGGAGGCATATGGGAGTAAGGCATTGAGACGCCGGATCTCACACCATCGGTCTTCGACAGAGTTGGGAAGGAAGAACTCGAAGTGCTGGTCTGGTGAGACCACGGATCGCTAAATTGCGGCGTTGTGTGCATGTTGGGATACATGTGATCGTATGTGATGCCGCCGTAGTGTCGAACTTGGTTGTCAATGACCATCGTCATGGAGCCGGTATTTGCGAGGATGAATGGCACGATTGTGAAGAGTAGTGGTTTAATGGAAGAGAGTCCTTTGTATGTTGCTGTCGCAACACGATGAATGCGCAAATCACCAAGTCAGGCCCAGTTTTTGAATCTGGTTCCTGAGGTCGAAGATGTGGAAGACGATCCAACTCTCTCAGAGGGGATCGGCGAGTGTTATGTAGCTTCGTGTGTGGAGAACCTGGAGGTGGCCCGACTACCAATGGTAGGCCCCCAGTCGATCGATGTTGATCTTTTGCTGGAGTGGTCGATAGTGGCAGGGAGCAGTGCCTCCTTGATAGCGATAGCTGTGCTCGTCACAGTTGTGCAATTCTCCAACCAATTCGGCGAGCGGCAGATCGACAGGACTGTCTGAGGTAAAAAGAAAGGTTGTGATCTCGAGAGACAACAACTGATGGTCTTTTCAACTTTGTCCCCAGGTGGAAAACTGGGTATTGGGTATGTCTTCGACTTCGGCGAAACAAAGTATGGGGATGGGCAGATTGGAGATCTCCTTTTCCTTTTGCTGCCGGACGCGGTTGTTGAATACTTTGGGAGAGCGGATGTCGTTCTTGTCTCAGGTTGCGGAATGTTAAGAGCAGATGAGGTCTTTTGAGGTTTCAGAGAACAAGGTTGTCTCGCGCAAAGGGTGGGGAAAAGTAAGGGTAGATAAGTTGTTTTGGAGCACCGAAGTTGACCGTGGTTTTCGTTGAGCACAGAGGTTACGTCGGTGGAGGTGAACCCTTCTCTCTCGCCCACCGCTGGCTAGCAGTTCTTGGGCAATTAGCATCATCACAATTGTCGGTTTACCCTTGACCCTCTGGGCCTTCGCCTTCTTCCCCCTCGCCCTTGTGTGCTTGGGCTCGTTAAATGCAGGGTTCCTTAGCTTGAAGGCTTGTTGGATGGCGTTTGCGGTGGAGAATCCGAAAGCCAAACTGACTGGCGGAGGGCACCCTGGCAAGCCAGCCCGGAGGTTGGATGAAATCAGTGGGGGGTGGAATTGAAGGGATGGGGAGAGGGGGGGGAGCGCAAACCTTGCTTGGCTACAAGGAAAGTTGAAGATTCGAAGCAGGACGCTCGAGCGACAGGGATCCAGGGTACTTGACCAGTGTGGCCTAAAAGGGTGGGAATGAGGGCAATCGGCTTTTGGCTTGTTCAGTTGCGTGCGTCCGTCCCGTTTGATTGGATCAAGTCGGCTGTCTCGAATAGGTTGGACTGCGCGGGCGGACGACCCTGGTTCGAGTGGAGGCAACAGACCCTGCCCTTGCCCTAGAGAAGAGGCTTAGGGCGACAACAGAAACCAGGATAATGACGATCGATGCAGGTGTGTGGGTAGCTAGACCAAAGCAGACGTGTGGATCTCTGCTTTCATGCCAGATTGGAAGATGGTGGCTTGTTTTTTCCAGCCCAAAATTCCTGTCGTGGAGGACGGACAAGGATGTGGGTTGATGAGAGGAATGCCCGTGGTGTCATCGAAGCAAGACAAAATCAACAAAACTCACAGAGTAAATCAGAATTAAGGAGCGAAACAGCATGACAACAAGAGATTATCTGTAAAAGGCTATTCGTTACCACGGTCGACGGAGAACTATTGCCAGTATATTCTCCGTGAAAACAACAAACAAACAAAGCTCACCGTGCTGCAGGCGACTGCAGTACCTCTTGTCGTTGGAAACAAACTGGCAGTTGCCCGTGAGCAGGATCCCCTCCATCACCTCCAGCCACCAGTCATCCTGCTCGAGTCCTTCTCCAAAGGTGCGAATCGGTAGAATCCCTGTGGTGCCAGCAGTGGATATCCGGTAGGCGGCGCTAGAGGGGGCCTTGGAGCTTGGGGGTCAAGAGCCGGGTGGCGTCTGTGCTGCAGCCATCCCGTTGCTCTTAGTGCTCTTAGTGCTCTTAGGCGGGTCTTTACCCCCCTTTAGTGCTTGGGTGCTTGGGCTTGATGCCCGGAGGCAAGCCTGAGAGGCGAAAAAAGGCTGCCAACGCCAACACCATCCTTGATTGACGGAAAGTGGCCGGACTGGAGATGGCACGAAAGCAGTCTAGCGTGCTCCTGCTCCTGCACTCCGTTCACTTCGGAGTATTCCTCGATGCGTCGTAGACTAGCTCGAGCAGCTGGCTGTAGCTACTAATGATAGTGATGTGAGATAGGATAGGTATGGGCCTGATGCTCCCTTGTAAGAGCCGAGCAGAGGCAAAAAGGAATGCAGAAAGCACAGTAACTACAGTGAGAAACCGAGGGGTACCTCGCCCGACCCAGGGGACGAACTTTCAGATGGTGACGGAGTACTGCGCACCGCCCATGTACTACTACTTGCAGATACTTTGCTTTTTCGCGCCTCTAGCTAGCTTCGAGGAAATGCGGTGTGCCCAGTCTCCCAGTCCAGAGTTGAAGAATGGGTAAAAGCGTCTTTCGTCAAGCCAAACCCAAACTAGGACTCAACAGCTTGCGAATTATTCATACCTGTGCCTATGCCTATGCCTATGTGACCACCAAACCCCCCCTTTTCCCCCTCCTTCTGCCCTTAGGGTAGACCCCGTTCATGCAAGATGCAGCAGCCCTCGCAGGGCACCGGGAGGGCGGAACCCTCATCACAGTTCCCTTCGTATCTCTCTAGCTGGTGGCTTGATCCTTGAACCAATGCCCATGCACTAAGCGAGTACTCAGAACAGAAAGACTGCGATAGAGAACCTCTAGCTAAGGTCACCGTGAAAATCGCAGAACGCCTCTCAAGCCCATCATCCCCTTCAGGTCTTAGTGCCCATGTCGGATTTGTTGTGGTCAACCTCAGGAAAACAGATCCCCGTTGCCAACCGTTGGTCTTGACACTCCTTTTGGCCCCCGTTGACCAGAGTCTAATTCTCTGGAGACTTGCTGGTGATGCGACTTTCTTTGTGATGGCACTTTTCTCAGTTGAGGGTGCCCCCATCCTCCCCCTTCCCCTCCCCAAAAAACCTTGAGTCCACCGACCCCCTTTAATCGTCCAATGGACTCGGTGCCCCCCAATCTTGTCGCCTGCAGGGATCTGATGGCAGTATCCCCCTGTGCCCGTGCTCCCTCCTTTACGAGCGCCACTGACGCTATCTGTGATGCAGTTCCCCTCTAGAGTGTCACCCATTTGGCCGTCCACACTCTCCGCCTTTGCTGCCAAGGTCCTTGCGCAGAGCTTGTCAGGGCAGAGCAGGAGCCAATGGAACTACCTGTTGTGTATTGCTATCACTCTCCAGCCTTTGGCGGGTCACTTTCCCACCCTACGCAGTTGCACCCCCTGTAGGTTAACCCGAATCCAGTTGGACGGCTGCGTATCCCTCATATTGAAACACTGATATCATGTCGTTGGCCGGGTGTGCCAATACGTAGACAATTGTCGCCGCCTCAAGCTGTGTGCCGATTTCCGGGTGCCATGCCACTACACTATATGAATACTTCGTTTGCGGTTTGCCCCAGTCCAACGCCTTGAGGAGGGCTCGTACTCACAAGGACTGTGCATATATCATAGTGAGGGGGCAATTCCATCTCGTTAGCCTCGCCTCGCCTCGGATGGATAGCGAATGCATGCAATTCTCGGAGAATAGTCTGAACCCCATTGCGCTGATCTGTCTCTCTGCCGAAGGTGTTTGGGCGGCAGATGGACTTCACGTGAGGGGAGTTGGGTTGCTTGTCTGCGCTGATCCCGCCGCCAGCTTTAGTTTTCTATAACCGATCTTGGAAAGCCTCAAGTCTGTGTGTCACGATGGGTGCTGTGAGTTCATTGTCATCACGCCAAGAGTCCCGGTTGTCCCAAATTCCACTGTGGATTCCCTGGATACCCAGGTAGCGCCGCCTCAAGTTCCAAATGCTTCATTTCAAGATATTGTCAGGGTGCACATCCCTGTATGCGGTATCTGAAAGGATCATAAGTGTTGACGCGGTGCTGTTGTACCCAACTGACGCGTCCAGTCGGATTCGCCGCCACCTTCTGGACCCCAGATCTCAGACGTTGCTCAGCCTCCTCAGACTGGAATAACCGCCTAATAGCTGGCCAAGTTTCACAGATGCTGGTCCTCGTCGTAGCAGTCCCTGCAGACACGTCGACACCCTACCACCTCTACCTACGTAGAACATTGACCGAGGGTCGATGCAGGGTTCACGAAACCTGGCTTCGCGTTGGCCCTTCGCGAACCAAGAATGACGTCTTCGAGGGCGGCTGACGAGTTATTGCGTCCCAGTCCCTTGATTTAGTCCTTATGCTATGGCCCAATTTCTTCGACGGCTCTTGCTTTGACCCGTTGCAGGTAAGGCCTCTCTGTACCCCGTAGCCTAGTGCTCTGTCCCTTTTCTCGAAGATTGCGCTTATCCTTCGGCCTCCCAGTGTTCACGCTCCGCAGTAATACTATGCGCTAGACTCTACCCTCTCCACCGCCTTGGCCGGAAATTTCCTGGATCTTTTGATGAGGCGTCGGCAAGGACCAGTGGGACCAAAACCTGAAACGAAGCCATTGCGTCCTAGACGGCGAGACGGCTAGTAGGCTGTCAGGACGCCCAGTCCACTTGCGGCAAACACAACAGCCGGACAGCGGGTGGCGCTCGTCTCTGGCCGAGTCAGAAACCCTGCTCTTCAACCTAGCAACAACGTCATGCCGCCTATTATGAAGGTGGTGGGAGGAGCCTTGTCATTGGCTCTGGTTAGGACGAATTGGTGATGCCTCAGGCTTTTAGTCAAGTCCCCGGCTGGATGCCCGGAGCAGGTGTAAGAAGGGTCTTTGAGATCAGTGTCACAATCACATAGCACAAATGAATGGAACACTGGCCTTCAGTGATGGTGATGCAATACCAGTCCTGCTCAGAACCTGTTTTTGACGGTCTCCCATCAGGAGTGTTTGTACGTCGTAAACAACATCAGCATGAACTGAAGAGTGTGGCGGGGGCAGCTGTCCGGTCTCCGGGTGCTAAGCATCCCTCCTCGGTATGCGGTGATAGAATCCGTGGTTGTCAGCGCCAAAAAGCCACCACTGTTCATTTTCGGTCATAGTTCCAAGGATGGATGAATGTCCCGTGTCTAATGCCAGTGTTTGGGCTGCTGGCAGTGTTAAACCTCGATTTTTTCTTTTTGACTCGGAATCCCCAAATTGCACGGAATGAGAACCGCCAAAAGCTTGCCCAGCCAAGAGACATTTCGAGAGGTGCAGGATGGCTGTCCCTAGACCTAAAGAAGACCCCGCCCAAGGCGTCTCTTGCTGAAGAACTCTGCAAGTGGCCCCAGTTTCGGGGTCCCTCCCCTCTCCAGTTATGCCTTCCAAGCCTTAAACTTTGAAGTTCGGGGAGGCTAGCTGGCGAACCAGCTCCCCAAGGTGGCCTAGCAGCAGCCCGAAACGGACAGACGCAGCGGTCAGCTGGCAGCCCCTTTCGTCCTTCGGAATCTCTTCTTGGATCCGAGCCACAAGCGCATCGCGAAATTTGTTGACCTCGCTGCTGCAGTCCTGCTTTCCGCATCCGACGCAAGTGCTTTTCCGGCTCCAAAATGTCTGGCAAGCCTTGAATGGGCCTGGCTTTTTAGAGTTGAGCAACCAGGAACCATCACAGATCCAGCGGACGCCACATCTCATCTGGATTGCGCGTCAGTCAACACCGAGCGAGTTTCAACTACAAGTCGGTACTCGAAGTATCACGGGTGCTTCCTGCAGGATCAAATTTCGGTAGCACATTGTCCTTCACATTTTCCGTACGCTGCAAAGGCCATCTCAGGGAACTAGCTCGTGCGTTGGGCAGTCGGCTGTGCATTGACATCCATGTTTGCAGGCCCATAGTTTGAGTAAGAAACAACCGAGTGTCGATGCGCTATTCTCTCGCTTTCTCTAGTGTCCCAAGCGCTTATCATATTTATTTTCCGTAGTCCAGTTCTCCTGGACGTCGGGGTCAATGCGATAATCCCCTTTTGACCAGGGTTAAAAATTGAGCTATCGCTTTCGATCGCGTCGCATGACTAGAGCCTTGCGGCATGTCTCATGAAGCGAGTCTGACGAGGGACCGCGATGGGAAGAGATCAAGGCTTGCCCAAAGAGTTCAAGTAGTACACGAGTTCGCCGATCACCTTAGGTCCCCGAAGCAGAACTGCAGTCTGCAAAGCACGATGCTTGACTGAGTGCCCTGGGCAAAGGGCTTGACCCGAAAGAGTTGCATCCAAAGATCTCGGCGAGTCTGGGCTTTTGCCAATACCGGCTACTTCATCCGCCAACAGTCCGCTAGCCTTTCCAGACTGGCTGTGCAGGTATGGAAAGTGGCATGCGAAGTGGAAGCTGAACACTACCATTCTTCAGCAAAAAGATATCCAATCCTCCCATTCCGGTGAGATGTTGATAGATCGATGATCTTCAAAAGATAGACAATCGCAACACGTGCCGCACGCTCGCAGTATTTCTGCGGGAGATAGACATCGAGCATCAATTGCAAGAGTTTGTGGGCCAAGGCTGATCTGACGATCGCGATCGACGAGGCTCTAACACATCGGCCCACAAGTATGACAAGGCTGAACGCCTCAAAGGACGTCCACAATGAGGGTACAAGCGAGAACGCTGGTCTAACAATATCTGCTCAATGCGATAGAAGAATCAAGAAACCCCGCTTTAACGTATCCTCTTGAGCTTTTCGGTCTGGAAATGAAGTCGGTCGTCGAAACGGTCGCTCTGTAGCATGGTCAGCTAAGTTGCTCAACACGTGAGATAAAGGAACAAACGCACCTTCTCGGCAATGTTTGTGATTAGTGTATTCTGGGCCTCAACCTCTTGACCCGTGGCACGAGCGAGGAGATTAAGACGTTTGGCTGCCCCAGTGAGGTCGTCGAGATTCCGGTCAATCTCGTTCTCCATGGCCTCATCCTCACTGTCGGCCTCAAACTGGTACTTGGCCCTTTCAGCCAGACTAGTCTTGGTGGCGCTGCCGGCTGCAGCATCGTCCAAACCCTTAAAATTTTGATTCATGCGTTGGGTACTCCTGAATGCTGCCTCTCGAGTAGCCTCACGAGCCTCTCTCTCAGCATGATGCCGGTCCATGATTTGTTCATCTCGGCGTGCACGTCTGTCTTTGGCAGTGAAAGGGTTGTTAACGTGGACGGCGAACATGCTGCGGTTCAACGTCTTGAGCTCCTTTGTCTTGTCCTCGGCGATGTTGATGTAATTGTTTCCGAGGTCAAGATTCCGATCCGTGTTATGCATTCTCTCGCCTTGTGCACCGAGCCTGGCTAGGGTATTCCGCCCCATCTCCTCAGCTTGGGCAGCAATTCGAAGAGCATTTCTGGTTGATGCCACATCTTGCTGCTTCATGAACTTGATGTCTTGTTTCAGAGCATTGATGTCCTCTTCCTCCTCTTCTTCTGCCGTCAATTGACGGTCGCCATATGCACCATAGCTACGGTCACCAGCATCACCTCCAGAGTTATATTCATAATCAGGGGGGCCACTTGGTTGAGTTTGCTGCTTTTGTTCAAGCCGTTCTCGTGCTCCGCCAAACAACTCGTCGCGATTACTGTCGTTCTCGTAGAGGTTGGACGAGCCTAACCCTCCGTAGCCTCCTTGCCGTGAGGTGCCACTGGTCTGTTGAACGCTTGCATATGGGTTGCCGCCAGGTGCGCCGCCTCCGTAGCCATTCTGATTCCCGAATTTGTCTGAGCCATATCCACTACCACCTCCGTATCCGCCTTGAGCAGGACCATACTTGTTGTCGCCTGCAAAACTAGCGGATGAGGCACTGCTATAAACGTTGTCCCTTCCATATGACGGCCGCTGTTGACCCGGACCAGGCAAGCCACTGAAGTTGCCCGGGGCTGGCGGGCCCCCTTGACCTGGGGGAGGGAGAACTCCAGCGCTCATCTTGGCTTTGGTGTACGGGTCCGGAGGAATAGCAGACTGTGCATAAGGGTTTGCGGAGGCATAAGGATTCTGGGAAGGAGGAGCAGGAGATTTGCTCTTGGATCTGGAGCCAAACAGAGCGAGTCTGCTGGAATCGTCGTCGTCGTCGCCTTTTCGAAGGCTGAATTTACCCATCTCTTCGAGATGTAGAACACTCTTGCAGTGTCGAGATACGGGAGGCAACGGTATGTAGAAGATGATCAGGAGATGAAGAAGTTTGGTACAGACGGGTTCAGGCTGTAAGTAAGAAGCTGATATGGGATCTTCAGCTGAAACAGGCGGACGTTGCAGGATGGCAGTGCACCCTCACTTTGACCGCAGTCTCGACCCCCCGAAACCATCAGCCTGCGGTCTAGTTACGGACGGATTTGGTCTCACTCCGCCTCAGAGAGTGCTTCGACCAATGGTGTTGCGTTATCGGGCTAGGGGTCTTGGCTAGTTTGTCCCCAGCTCAAGCACCACAAAGTTTCGTGAATCTCAGGCAGGTTGATGTCGGTTGAGGTGTGCAGCTTGCAAAAGACTGTTACCAACCATGAGATAAAGGCTACGTCCGAAGAGAGGGCTCATGGCCCCAAACATAGACAAAGAAGCGGAGCATCTCCGAAACAAAGCCAAAAAGGAGCTCCTCGGATTGCTAGAAGGCGTGAGTAAGGATGGTGCCGCGCAAGATCGCCATGTCCATGCTAACTCAGGACCAGGTTCGTGGCAAGAAGAACCTGGTCATCGGAAAGGATCTCACTGGGCTCCTCAGCCTTTTTATTCAGTTTCCAACCCTGAAAGAATATGGTGTGGATAAAGTCTTCGAACTCGAAAATGGCAACACCGACTCGTCACAAAGAAATGTCGTGTACCTTGTCCATGGAGAGAGGGCTAGCTTGGTCCAAGCAGTAGCAGGTGCGTCTTTGAAGCGTCTGTGACATCTTTATACGGGACTTACAAGGAGACTGCGTGGATCATTTCCTCTGTGCCTTGCTGTCAGTCTAGCTCCCAATATCGACAGGATTTCAAACCATAATAGCAGCGTCTCTATTGAAATTTCCTCTGCATTTGATTACGTGACAGAGGACAACAGTACCTGCTGACATAGCATAACACAGATCAAATAAAGAAACTTCAGAGGAATGGTTCGGTCGAGCACGAAATCTCCGTATGCTGGGTACCAAGGAGAACTCTCGTGTCGAACAGAATTCTGGAGGATGAGGGCATTCTGGGAGATGTAAATGTCTCGGAGCTCCCCATATATTTCCTGCCTTTGGAAGACGACATGCTCTCGTTAGAGCTGGACGAGTCATTCAATGACCTGTATCTAGTATGTTTACCTGATCCGAAAAGCCAAGTATCTTATTTCTCACAGTCTCACAGCGACACGACCCTTCTCCACTATTTCTTGCGTCGAAAGCCCTGATGCAAATTCAACAGCGACATGGGCTTTTCCCGCGGATTCTAGGAAAGGGGGACAACGCCAGGCAACTTGCAAACCTCCTACTCCGAGGGAGAAAGGAGCTCGATGCCGACGAAGCTGCGACGCAATACACCAGCATGCCGAGTACCTCGATCGAGCAGCTTATTATAATCGATCGGGAGGTCGATTTCGCCACAGCGTTGTTGACCCAGCTGACATACGAGGGCTTGATTGATGAATTGATTGGCATCAAGCACAACCGGGCGGAAGTTGATTCGGCCGTGGTCGGCGCGGCTCCTCAGCAGCGAGTGCAGACCAGTTCTTCCTCGACATCTCCACCCCCCGCCGTCCGTCAAGGTCTCAAGCGCAGGATCCAGTTAGACTCGTCCGACTCGCTGTATGAACAGTTGCGTTCCTCCAACTTCGCCTTGATCGGGCCTCATTTGAACAAAATAGCGAGACGTCTAGAATCAGATTACGAAGGTCGCCATTCTGCTCGCGGCATCAACGAGCTGCGAGATTTCGTCAACAAATTGCCGGGGTTTCAACAGGAGCACCAATCCCTGGCCATTCACACTAATCTTGCAGATGACATGAGCAAGCACACGCGCTCGGAGACCTTCAATCGCGAACTGGAAGTACAGCAGAACATCGCAGCCGGGACAGACCCAATCTACCAACACGACACTATTGAGGAGCTGATTGCCCGAAATGCTCCCTTGCCCACCATCCTCCGACTTCTCTGCCTCGAATCTACGATAGCTGGGGGTTTGCGTCCCAAGGACTTGGAGTCGTTCCGGCGCCAAATCCTGCACGCCTACGGCTTCCAACATCTGCTGACACTCGACAAGTTACAGACCATGGAACTCCTTCAGCCCCGCTCGTCCAGTTCAGCATTACTCCTCCCAGTTGGGGGCGCCGGGGCCACGTCTGAAAAGGGCACGAAAACCAACTACGGCTACCTGCGCAAGGAACTGAGGCTGATTGTGGATGAGTATAACGAACAAGATCCCGAGGACATTGCATACGTGTATTCTGGATACGCGCCGCTAAGCATTCGCATCGTGCAGTGCATCTTACAGAAACAATATCTTCAAACCCTGCACAAGTCACCATTGCCCCTGACGCCCTCTAGTACAGGATGGACGGGCTTTGAAGACATCTTGAAGTCTGTCAGGGGGCCAACTTTCAATATCGCACAAAAAGCAGCAGATGACAAGGCAGCCAGGGCGAAAGCTGCGCTTGCGGGCACGGGAAATTGGAAGACTCTCTTTGTTATGTTTGTGGGAGGCATTACCTTCACAGAGATCGCGGCATTGAGATTCATCGGGCGGAAGCTGGCAGAGGCAGGACAGAGGAAGAAAATCGTCATTTGTACCACAGGCATCATTAGTGGGAGGAGTATTATGGAAGGCGTGATTGAGAGATCCACTCTAGGGTCAGGAATCGTCGCAGCCTGAATCCTGCAGGCTCGGAGGCAGCTTCAGATTTTCGGGCTTGAAGCCTTGTCGACACTGAATTCTCCCTTCACCCCCAGATGATCAGTGACCCAGCCGGCCTCCAGTCCTTCTTCCTTGATCAGGGCCTGCTTGACATTTTCCTCTTCGACTTCGACCCCCAAACCGAAACGCTCGAATTTCTCGCATTTCAGCAGTCCGCAGAAGAACAATTTGTCCATCCGACTGCACCCAAACATGTTTCTTAGCTTAGTCGGCGCCATCTGACCCCAGGTGTACCCATGATCAGTGTCTTCCTTCCCACCAAGGGACAAATAGGCGTCTTCAAGGTTGTTGTCCGAATGGAGTGTCTTGTCGAAGTCTTGGATGGCATTCAGATCTCCGCCAAGAACACTGCCACTTGCCCCCGGGTCATGCATCCATTTGGCGGCGGTTGCCATCTGGTGAGGTCGTTTTGGGGGATCCGCGATCAACGACTCCAGGTGCGTATTGCAGATACGGATGATCTGGCCACTGCCAAAATTCACATCGACGAACAGCCCATCTCTCTCCATGGCCGTCTGTTCGTAATGGACGCGGAAGACGGATGTGATGGGCAAGACCTTCGGGACCAGCGTACAGGTACCGTAGTGGCCCGATTCCCAGTACTTGTTGTCGATATCAGTCATGTTGTAGTTGGCCCGAATCCACGGCTCGGTTTGGAGAAGGGCCAGGTCGGTGTCAAGCATTTCCTGCAACATGATGACGCTGGGGAGCGAAGTGCCGTCCACATGCGACTGTAGGTGCTTGAGAGCAGCTCGCATCCGTTCGTCCGGGAAAGGCAGCATGAAATCGATGTTCCAGGACAGGAGCACGAATCTCGACAGCCCTGGCGCTTCTAGAGCACTCTTGGACGCCATCACCTGCTGCCATGAGGACGTCTCAGGCGAGAAGGAGAAGTAGGGCTGGTCGAATCTTTCCTGCCGTTTCCAGGGATGCGATGACTTCTTCTTTGACTCGATGAGTTCGATGATCTTCTTCAATTTAGGGTTGTCCATGCTTGCCCGTCGCCTGGTTGTTTGATGTCTGAAAGTGCGGAATCTAGTGTGGACGTACGGTCTAGGCCGAACGATGATGATCCGGATGGGCTTCCCAGCAGCCTTTATACTCCTGTAGAAGCCTACAAACTCGGGCAATATGATCATTCGACTCCGGACAGAACTCACTCACCAGCAATACATAAGCTTAGAGGAGCTCAGGCAAGCGGCGCAGATGAAGTGAAAGTTGTTGAGCGATTCCATGTGCAGCCGAGGTTGGAACGAACATGTCAGATGAACTGTTGCTCATTGGGTGACTCGATGGAGCCTGGACTAAGGCTAGTGAGGCATGCATCGCATGTCTTCTGGCAGCCATAACTCACTCATTGGGTGTAATAAAAGACCGTGGCATCAACCCTTTCATCGTCAACCTCAGCTCAGACCTCGTGCATGTATGCACCATCAAGCATGACGGCTGAAAATCTTTATCTCACCTCTCGTCCAAACCAGCAATGTCAGCACCCAGCCCTGCCAGTTCGGCCCCAGCAAAGCGACCAAGACCGGTGATTTCCTGCCTGGAGTGCAGACGGAAAAAACTGCGTTGTTCTCGTTCGCATCCTTGTCAACAATGTGTCAAGATTGGACGTCCTGGCAGGTGTCAATACCAGGCAGGTCAAGAACCCGAGCCAAATATCGACTTTTCAGCAACTTTGAGTGTGCCGAACAAGCGACAGCATCTGGATCAGCCTGGTGAAAACGACCGGGTGCGAAATGGTTCTTCTAACCACGAGCCACCCCTGGCGCAGCGCGGTGTCATTGAAGATCTCCAGGACCGAGTGACCAGGCTGGAGCAGGCACTGCTGGATCAAAGGGCTGCTCGCAACGTCAGTCAAGAACCGTCAATTCACCCTTTTTTTGATGTTCACCCTGCAATACCCTCGAATAAGCTCATCCAAATGAGTTCGCAGGTGAGTTTTGTACAAGACGTCGACGAATGGCCCTCTCTAGTCCCTCCGTACTGACCCGGATAGTTCAAGGATGCGTGTGCGTTCATGGTCAAGCTGCAGAACGATTCGACTACGCCTGGGATGGTTGCACTGCGAAAAAGGTTGAAAGACTTGCACTACTCTGTCGAGAAGAATCACCGCGCGCCGGGTACTGAGCAGCTGTCGGCTTCCTTGATCAGCCAGTCTTCGCTCCAGCTGCCTCCATTAGACGTGTGCGAGAAGCTGGCGGTCCTCTATTTCGACAACATGGAACACTGTTTCCGCATCCTGCATTTCCCCGAGTTCAGAGATCAACTTCATATCTATTTTTCAGAGGGCGAGCAGGCGTGCAGGTTTGGTTTTGTGCAGCAGCTGGTCGGGGTCCTCGCGGTCGCCGTCCTCCTCGACACTCATGGCGAATGCGCGGCCGCTCGGTCATGCGTGGCTATAAAGCCGGACGACGCGCTGCACTTCATGAAGACCTTCCTGAGAGGCCTCCCGAATACCGAGAGATACCGCCTACCGGCTCTGCAGGTCAAGATGCTTCTCCTCATCTGCAGCTGGTTGAACTTGGATCCCATGGACGATCTTTTTCGACTCAACGGCGAGCTTCTTCGCGATGCCTTGGTCATGAAGATGGACCAAGACCCTGCGACGCTGCCGGGGATCTGCGTGTTCGAAGGAGAACTGCGACGGCGCAACTGGATGACCATTGTCGAATGCGACCTCATGCTGTCGATTCTGTGCAAGATGCCGTGCCTGGTCCCTGGGTACACTTCCAGGCCACCCCGGAACATCAACGACGATGAAATATTCGAGGGCATGGAGACGCTACCTCCCTCGCGACCCACGACGGTTTGGACTGATGGCCTATGCCAATATCTCCTCGCCCAGTCATTCCTGCGCCGAGTCGCAGCGTGCAAGCAGATGGACGATGCGGCCCATGTCAAGATCCAAGACGTCCTCCAGCACACGCGGTATCTGGAAAGAGTGCTCCAAGAACTTCCTCCGCCCCTCCGCTTCAACTATACAGGCGACGCTGCAAGCAAGACTCCAGCTCGGTTAATGGCCCGCATGGAACTGGACATCAGCATCCGACGACCCCTGATGCATCTCTATTCGCGCTGCATTCTTTCACCCGACACGAGTGAGCTCGAGCAAGAATTCAGGGGGTACCTCCAAAGCTGTCTCATGATCGCGAATTATCAGGACCTCTTCGATCCGAGATATTCGGAGCTCAACGTCCCCCGACCGCAAGGGTATTGGGACTTCTTCTACACTTGCTACAGACAGGAACTGGGCCACGCTATCTTGGGGCTCTGTCTCGGAATCAAGAAGCTCGGTCTCGCCGAGGCTCAGGCGGCCCCCTCGCAGCCGACAATGCCAATGAGTGTCGGGAACGACAGCGTCGTCAGGATGCCCTCGTATACCCTGGAATCTCTGATATATGCCGTCAAGGATGGATTGGAGCCCATGGTCCGTCGTCTGCCACACCGCGGCTCCAAAGTCAAAGACATTGTCTCTTACAACATTATTCTGACATCGGTGCTGCCACAGCTCCCTACACGGACCAAGGAGGAGATGATCCTAGAAAGACTCCAAGAGCTCGTTCGCGAGTGTCGAGCCGAGCTCGAGCGAGCGAGCGTCCAGATCATTTCTGCTCCAGCCGACGAGTCGAGCGCCGAACCTCCGACAGACTACACGTCCTATAACATTGGTGCCAGTTTCGACCCCGTGTGGGAAAGTTTCCCCAAGATGGATATCTTCGAATGCTTCGATCTCGACGAGTCGGATATCAGTGAAAGCATCGAATTGTCACCCTAAATCGCTGCTCGGTGCTTTCTTTGCCCGAACACTTGAGACAATGCGCAATTTGCGCTAAGGGGAGGAATAATTTGAAGTGACATGCTATTGAGGCTCCCAGATGGTTGGTGATGGAAAGCCTGAAAAAGTTCCAGTGACACTATAATTGAAAAATACCGTAGTACGCTGCTGATGGCTACCCTCAAGCAACCTGTTGTGAGAGCGCGAAAACAACAATTAAACTGACTGCCTAGGCTCTACAGGAGGTGCTCCAGTTATTATAGAGTCTAGCTAGGTGTCGGTGGTGGTAGACTCTACATAGATACTCAAAAACAGCCAATCGGACGCGGCTGCTTTTCCGGGCCAATCAGATCCATTACCTGCTATATACGGGCGCTCAACAGGATTATTACAGCCACCTGACCGCCAAGAGGGTCAATCTTTCTAAACTAAACATCCATCTCTCAAGGGATAACTTCTTAGACGCCCTTCTGCAAGACTTGATGCGATATATCTCTTTACAGGCTGGCGGTGGAGGAGGCTTGACGTGCTGTGGCCGCCAGCCAATCCGTTATATGACAAGCCGAGTTCAGTGAAGCCATCTTCTCCATCTCGACCACCACTACTACATCATATCAGATTGCAACTTCACCACAAACGTCGTCAGGAAATATAATATCTCGACTCTGAGTCATCCCTATCAAGAGATACATACCTCTTTAAATCACCGGACCCAATCCGCCGCCCTCTCTGAAATCACCATGTCGATACCGGTCTCGTCACTTCTCACAAATGGCACTCCCGCACCTCCACGCGATCGGTGGTAAGCCCCTCTCCCCCAAAGCCTGTGCCCAGTGCCTTCATCTAACCGCAACATTCAAGGACCTACCTCGACCGCATGTTATCAACCACGTCACCGTACGCGGGAGAGGAATTCGTCCCAGGAGAAGAGACCATCAACGCCCTCGAATCGTCACGGGTCCTCGTGATCGGCGCCGGCGGGCTGGGATGTGAGATCCTGAAGAACCTTGCCCTGTCCGGCTTCAAGGACATCCACGTCATCGACATGGACACCATCGACGTCTCCAACTTGAACCGCCAGTTCCTCTTCCGCCAATCCGACGTGGGGAAATCGAAGGCTGAAGTCGCCGCGGCGTTCGTGGAGAAACGCGTGCCCGGCGTCAAGATCACCCCCTACAACGGCAAGATCCAGGATAAGGACGAGGAATACTACATGCAGTTTAAGCTCGTCATCTGTGGCCTCGACAGCATCGAAGCACGCCGCTGGATTAACGCTACCCTCGTCGACATGGTGGACATGGAAAATCCAGAGTCCCTCAAGCCCCTGATCGATGGCGGCACCGAGGGCTTCAAGGGCCAGGCGCGAGTCATCCTCCCCAGCCTCACATCCTGCATTGAGTGTCAGCTATCCATGCACGCCCCTCGCGCCGCGGTGCCCCTGTGCACGCTGGCCACCATCCCGCGCCAGCCCCAACACTGCATCGAGTGGGCGCACATCATCGCGTGGGAGGAACAGCGCAAGGGCGAGACGCTCGACACGGACGACCCGGAACACATCTCGTGGCTGTACGCGACCGCACTGAAACGCGCCCACGAGTTCAACATCCCCGGGGTGACGTACTCGATGACGCAGGGCGTGGTGAAGAACATCATCCCGGCCATCGCGTCCACGAACGCCATCATCGCGGCGAGCTGCTGCAACGAGGCCCTGAAGATCGCCACGGGCTGCGCGCCCTTTCTGGAAAACTACATGATGTACACCGGCGACTCCAACGAGGGCGGCCTCTACACGTACACCTTCGCGGCGGAGAAGAAGGAGGACTGCCCCGTGTGCGGGAACCTGGCCCAGACGCTGACCGTCGACCCGGAGTGGACGCTCGAGGACTTCCTCGCCAGTCTCGCGGAGAGGGCCGAGGCGCAGCTCAAGAAGCCCAGCATCCGCACCGAGGCCAAGACGCTGTACGTCCAGGCGCCGAAGAGCTTGGAGGAGCAGACGAGGCCGAACCTAGGGAAGAGGATGAGGGAGCTGGTGAGCGACGGTGAGGAAGTGGGCGTCAGTGATGCCGCGTTTATGATCAGTTTCAAGTTTCGGCTGGTCTTCAAGAAGTGAACCAAAACAGGCCGCAGAGCCTTTCCGGGTTGGTCCAGCCGCAGTGGAATTACTTCAAGGGATGAGTGACACAAAATTGGCTCCGAGAAGGAGGTATAGACAAGAAAAGAACTTTTTGTGATTTCGCAATCCAGAGGTATCTACATAAGAGGGCTCCCCTCCCGGCCTTCAAACACCTTGCAATACAATAGAAACGCCGAGAAAGGCAGTCATGAAACATTATCACATTGCCTAGTGTCCCTGAAATCTGAAACACGTCTGGGTGGGCTGGTGGTCCATTTATTTCCCAATTTCATCCAACGCCCTCAGCAGTCTCTGTGCCTTCTTCTTCAAGATGTCGACGCTCTGCAAGAACAGCATGTCGCTCGGGAACTGGCCCGTGCTCTCGATGTTGAAGATGAAGTGGTCCTGGACCCGTCCCAGCTTGACTTTCCCCTTGAACTCGTCGTGTCGGAGGCATTCCCTCGACACGGTGTCGCGCATGGGGTCAAGGACGACGGCCTTCTCGTCGCCCTCGCGGTTGTGGTAGGCTGGTTCGTCCGACGCCGCATCTGAGGGTGTCACACGTGCGACGTCGATCACGCCTGGCGGAAAGCACTTCTGGAACTTCCGGGCGTCTGCGCCGAGAATGGGTTTCGTGATGGTGATGGTCGGCAGGAGGCGGTATGTGGCTGTCGCCACTGGGGAGAATTTGGCGTGATCGCTCCCCTTGGACATGTGCGCGTGCATGACCAGGTCAAGTTCTTGGCCCGGGCGCAGTTTGGCGATCAATATATCGGGACTGACGGCTTGTATAGGCTCTGTTGCGAACAGAGCCCCCTGCACACCTTCGGGCACGAACTCCAGATGCCGTGAATATACGCTGCTGTTGATGTATTTTTCTTCCGGCTCGGTGGCATTCCGGTCGGCGTTGGGTCTTCGTTCGCATTTGACCTTGAGCTTGAGAACAACCGTATTCCTGTCCGTCAGGCCCGTGCCGTTGGTGCCACTGTCGGCATGCGGCTCGACAAAGACGCGAAACTGTTTGAGGCCTTCGAGGCTCCCCTTTAACGGGATCAATCCCAGCCGGTGGGCGAGAACCTCATCCGCAATGACGGAGGTATTGTTCTGGACATAGACTTTTTCAATCGCTAGAGTGGGCACTTCGGCGAGGAGGATGCGACGGAAAGCATTGGCCACGGAGGCGTCGACCCCGACAAGAGAGAAGGTGGCTTCATTTTGTTGATTCTGGTGGAAGAGGATCTTCAGGTTGTTCTCGAAGCGGTCGACGGACCAAGAGTTGTCTTCGCCCGCATGGTGACCTGGGAAGTCGGTTGATGTGATATTGGTGACGGTCTCGGCATTGATCCCGACGATCTGTAGTGGAGAAACAGTCAGTATTGTGAGAGATCTCTCAGACAAGAGCCGCGACCTACCTTCCTCCTGTCAAGGCCGTCCCGTGAGGGTTGTATGGGCGCCATGGAGAGTTGGACGGTGTCGACTGCGGGATGGTCTTCTGTGCCTCTGTGACAAAAAGAGAATCAAAAAGTTTCTCCAAAAATGGTCATTACATAAGCCTGTGGAGACTCTCAACTCCCACCAATCACGGCCTCGGCAAAGCTCGACGTATTGCAAGCTATCCAAGTCGCTGTCATTGACTTCTGACTTCCAGTGGCCAAGGGCACCCTGGAACGCCGTCTCTGCTTCGATTGATGCGGCCAACCTCGAAGCATTGCCTCGACGACAATTGCGCCTCCTTTCTTCTGGCCTCGTGCCAAAAAAGACAAGCATGACGATGGCGGCCTCATTTGTGCGAGCTGCGAGCCGGCACGCACACACTTCCAAACGACTTTGCCTCACTCCCGGTCTTCAACTCCCCTCGAGACAGAGACAGTCGGTCTTTCTGTCCCGTTCGATCTCGTCGACGACTCCTCGAAGAGCAGAGGCGAGCACCACTGGGCCCATCTCCGCTCCCAACCCCGAAACTCCCGGCGGTCCCCTGGCCACGACCATCTCTCCCACGGATTCTACCTTTACGAAGCACGTCCAGTCAGACTCCAACTTGATCAACAAGACCCCCGACAGGAATTTGGGTGATGAGTACGAGACGAGGAAGATCCGGCATTATACCGTGAACTTTGGCCCACAACATCCCGCCGCGCACGGTGTGTTGCGTCTGATTCTGGAGCTCAATGGCGAAGAAATTATCCGGGCAGATCCTCACGTCGGACTGCTGCATCGTGGCACGGAAAAGTTGATCGAGTACAAAACATATCTCCAGGCTCTGCCGTATTTTGATCGGTTCGACTATGTTTCCATGATGACGAACGAGCAATGTTTCTCCCTGGCCGTTGAGAAATTACTCAATATCGACATCCCGGAGCGAGCCAAATACATTCGAACCATGTTCGGGGAAATCACTAGGATATTGAACCACCTGATGTCGATTTTGTCGCACGCCATGGATGTCGGTGCTCTGACTCCATTCTTGTGGGGGTTCGAGGAGCGGGAGAAGCTCATGGTATGCTCGGATACCAACTGTTCTTGCTATTCGCTAATTGATAATAGGAATTCTACGAGCGTGTCTCAGGTGCACGGTTGCATGCTGCATATGTTCGTCCTGGCGGTGTCAAAGCAGATCTTCCCCTCGGGCTACTGGACGATATCTATGCCTGGGCAACTCAGTTTGGTGATCGTATTGACGAGACCGAGGAACTCCTGACGGACAACCGGATCTGGATCGGCAGAACAAAAGGTGTTGGAGTCGTTTCCGCTGCTGACGCCCTCAACTACTCATTCTCTGGTGTCATGTTGCGAGGCTCCGGCGTTCCCTGGGATATTCGGAAGAGCCAGCCGTATGATGCTTACGATAAAGTCGAATTCGATGTGCCAGTGGGTCAAAACGGCGACTGCTATGATCGATACCTGTGCCGAATGGAAGAGTTCCGACAGTCTTTGCGCATCATTCATCAGTGCTTGAATCAAATGCCCCCGGGACCTGTTAAAGTGGAAGACTACAAGATTGCACCACCTCCGCGTGCAGCCATGAAGGAGAATATGGAAGCTCTCATCCACCACTTTTTGCTCTTCACCAAGGGCTACACTGTTCCTCCGGGGGATACTTACAGCGCTATTGAGGCTCCCAAGGGCGAAATGGGTGTCTACCTCGTCAGCGACGGCAGCGAACGTCCTTATCGATGCAAGGTTCGGGCCCCTGGATTCGCCCACTTGGGCTGTTTCGATCAGATCAGTCGTGGCCATCTGCTCGCGGATGCGGTAGCCATTATCGGCACGATGGATCTTGTATTCGGCGAGGTGGACAGGTAGCACATTTCCAGAGGATTTCTGGAGGATCTGGAGAGGATTTTGAGACGCGGAGGAAGGATCTGAGACCACTGAGAGGGCCAGAGGTTCGATGGTGAGACCAAGGCTGGAAATGCGGCCCAGAAGAGCAAAACAGGCCTTTTTACGGGGTCTGAGCCTGTGTATATACTATGCTAGTGCATAGCATTCATTTTTGTCCCAATTCCGGCCTCCTGGAGTGTGGTGGTCGCACAAATATTCTGTTGATATAGAGCAGGCAGAGAGGCTTGTATAGACCCCAAAACGGACCTATTGGGCCACGTGACTAGCGCTATGTCGCATTGGGCAGTAGTTTACGCCCAGGACCCACTTAGACAACCTCAGCTGGGAGCTTGAATCCTCCAGCTCGTCTCTCGTCTGCTCCGCCACAAAATGGCCCCCAAAAGATTCCAGGAATGAGGGCGACTCCTGCCAGCGAAAACTGCAACTTCCACTCCTTTTCAGTACTTATTTTCCTCCTGACTCGGATCAACGTGTCTGCACAGATCGTATCTCCAGGCCCTCACCATTTCTGTACTCTTGTCCTACTTCTCTCGTGGTGTTCTATTCATCCAGCCTCAATCGCTGTCAGCCCCGACACGCCTACCCCGCAGTCCCTCGAAGACTCGTACGTGCGGCTGTGCTCACGTCGCGAGACAGGATAAAACCCTACAGGCATACCATTTTCTCCTGCCCCTTGGGCCCTTCACTGCAAGACCAGATTCTCTTTTCTCCATTGCTCAATTCCCGGAGGAGTCTAAGACCGTCTGCCCAGGCGTTGGCCTGAGAACATTGCAACCATGAGTGCATGTGAGTTTCTCTATGGCGCTAAACCGCGCCTCAGCACCTTTGTTCTCGACAGTTCGTCGGTGCTTTTGCGTGGCCCGATTTCTTTCTCTGTCCCTGGATTCCTGGATTCCAGCAGACATGTCTCGATCCTCTAAAAGGCTACCGATTTCTCGAAGGGCACCGAGGGCTGATCCTGTCATGAATAGTCACCGGTATGATGAACAAGCTGCAAGGCCAGCCCGACAGCTACGATAAGAAAGCCAAGTACCGTTTTGGAAAGACCCTGGGAGCGGGCACATATGGCATCGTTCGAGAAGCCGAAGTGGGTGGAGAGAAGGTCGCAATCAAGATCATCCTCAAAAAGAGTGTCAAGGGCAACGAGCAGATGGTATATGACGAGCTGCAGATGCTGCAGACCCTCCGCCACCCCCACATTGTTCGATTCGTGGACTGGTTTGAGTCTAGAGTAAGACTTGCTCTGTTGTGGGAAAATGCGCCGGGAGACTGACAAGAGGCAGGACAAATTCTACATTGTGACCGAGCTAGCCACTGGTGGAGAGTTGTTCGACCGCATTTGTGACAAGGGCAAGTTCACGGAGAAAGACGCCTCGCAGACTATTAAGCAGGTCCTCGAGGCGGTTGACTATCTCCACGAACGAAACATTGTCCACCGAGGTAGGGAGTATATGGCTTTTTGCTTTTTCGGATGCAGCCCTGATCGACTCGTGTAGATCTCAAGCCAGAAAACCTTCTCTATCTCACCAAAGATCCCAATTCGCAACTTGTTCTGGCCGACTTTGGCATCGCCAAAACTTTGGAAGGCCCAGGCGCTGTCCTGACCTCGATGGCGGGTTCTTTTGGCTACGCGGCCCCTGAAGTGATGCTCAAGCAAGGTCACGGCAAGGCTGTCGACATGTGGTCACTGGGAGTCATCACCTACACTCTGCTCTGCGGCTATTCTCCTTTCCGATCGGAGAACCTCGCAGATCTCGTGGACGAGTGTAAGAGCGGTCGGATTATCTTCCACGAGCGGTATTGGAAGGACGTCAGCAAGGATGCGAAAGAATTCATCTTGTCCCTGTTGCAGCCCGAACCCAAGCGACGGGCGACGAGCAAAGAAGCACTCAAACATATCTGGCTGACCGGTGAGACGGCTTCAGACCACGATCTCTTGCCGGAGATCAGATCATACCTGGCGAAGATGAAGTTGAAGCGCGGGATCGAGCTGGTCAAACTGGCCAACCGAATCGACGCTCTCAAAATGCAAGACGAAGAGGAACCCGGCTCGCCTGACGCCAACGACATTCCTGCTAATGCACAGAATGCTGCCGGGTTGGCTGTCAAAAATCAAGTCAGGGGAATTTCTCCTGGACGTGGCCTTGCCACGAATGAAACCGGAGAGAAGAGATCACTGAGCAACGCGGCAAAGAGTGCGATCTTTCGAGAGGTGGTTCTGGCCAAAGTCCGAGAGATGAAGGAAAAGGAAAAGACCGACAGGCTTGTTGCGGATATCACAAAGGAGCACGAAAGGAGAAAGAGTTTCTCCGGTTCACGATCTTGAGCGAGGACGGAGATATTGCCAGGAAGTTCTTGAGCGGCATGATGAGCTGGCCGTACCCAGATTGGTACTCTATCGACAGGTTGGGACGACATTTTTATTCACGGGAGCGCCACAGTACCCTGTTGTCAGCGGTGATGATGACGATGGCTGTCAGGATGTTTGATTCTTGCGCGATGGACACTCGGCTTTGATTTTCGGTGGCCCAAGGCCGCCTCTTATGCTGCGTGCTGAACGATCCAGAAGTGACTGCAGGCGTATCTTCAAAATTCACACTGTGTTTCACAAAGGGCGTAATGTCGATATTTCGTATTCGGACCGCTGACTGCAAAAAGTATCATATCCAGTCACCCAATGAAAGTAGCAACGATCTTCATCGGCGTGAGTTGCACCGAAGCCTGAGCAAGATATCTATGTATTGTAACATTCTCCTCACCTCAACAAACGTATATATAATCAGGTACGCTACTCTGACTGAGAGTAGGAATAGGAGCTATATTCTCCAGATACATTCCCTGTTTGTGTCAGCGCACCAGATTCGTCGTCTCCGATACGTACGTACCTCAGACACCCAGCTGAACTCTGCAATTCGCTCACCACCACCACCACCACATCCCTCTCTATTCCCAGCGGTGAATACATGTGCCAATGGCTCTCGAGTCATTCTTCCGAGATCGGGTCTACGCCGTCTCGGGTGGTGCAAGCGGAATCGGTCTGGCGACGACACAGCTCTTGCTGAAATACGGCGCCAAAGTCTCTGTGGGGGACATAAACATGCCCGAGAATCTCCTTGCCGACCTGGCTCGGGAGATTCCTCACACCACGGCGCCTGCCACCGATACCCCGGCAGAAGCAGCCGAGAAGAGCAAGTACATCCTTCTGAAAAAGGTCGACGTGCGGTCCCGCGAGGACGTCGAGTCGTGGATCGCCGAGACCGTGGAGCGATTCGGGACGCTGGACGGCGCGGCGAACCTCGCGGGCACGATCCCCCAGGACCACAACATCGGCGGCATCGAGGATGTCGACGACGAGCAGTGGCGGTTTGTCTTCGACGTCAACGTGCACGGCATGATGAACTGTCTGCGCGCACAGCTGAAGTACATCGGGCGAGACGGAAAAGATGGACGACGACGAGAAGGTGGGGCCGTCGTCACCGCGGGAAGTGGGCTGAGTCTGGAGGGCAGGGAGTATACGACGGCGTACACGGCGAGCAAACACGCCGTGCTGGGCATGACGAGGTGTGTGGCCAAGGAGGTGGGCAAAAGGGGAGTCCGGGTCAACTGTGTAGCGCCGTGAGTGATGAGTCTCCCCCCTACCATGCCTTTCCCCCTTTTTGCACTAGATGCTGCACGCACGAAGATGGAAAAGAGAGAGAGAGAGCATGCTGACTGCGCCCACAATAATTTGAAATGGTGCACAGGGGCTTCACAAACACGCCGCTGATGAAGCAATCCATGGCGATATCCGAGGGTTCGGCGTCGGCGGAGGACTTCTCGTCGACAGCGCTCGGCAGGATGGCACAGCCGGTGGAGATCGCAGACACGATCGTCTATCTGTTGAGTGACAAGGCAACATTCGTGACGGGAGCCTGTATTTCTGTCGATGGAGGTTGGCATTGTTGATTGATTGATCGATCGATCGACCAGCAATGGTGCTATTGGGGATTCTACATATTTCGTGTCCCAACCCTTGGACACCGACGGTGGTTCTGCTCCCGAGCAGAGGAGATGATATACGATGATTTGTCGTCATTGTAGCAGCCCTGATGGTTGAGATCGAGTCAGTAATCGTCTGTCTGATGCTGTATGAAATAATAGCAAAAGCAAATGAATGGGAGATCGGACGGTACTCAGCCTCGTGCATTGTCATTGGCGGACCGGCCAAGTCGCCGAGGTTGCTCGTAGTTTGCTCGGAGGCTCAAGTTCATCATATATCTCAATAAGCTGCATTCTCCTCCTCCTCCTCCTCCTTCTTCTTCTTGTTCTCTCACCTTGTCCCCGATCACACGCTTGGATGATGTGCTGCTGACATGTCGGCCCAGCGCGCGATCTGGCGTGCCTCTCGCGCCCTTGTTTCCCCCAGGTCGCCGGCCTTCGCACCCAGGAACTACTCCTCTGCCCCCCGAACCGCGACCGAGGAATCCAAGAGTGCGATCTCTCCTCGCTGGCTCTCAGACACAAAAGCCCGGATCGGACGATGTATCACCTTCGGCCTCTCACCGAAGCTCGTCGACGAAGCCGGCCATGTCCTCCAGGTCCTGGCCCGAGACTGGCGGGAGCTCGTCGCCGGCAGCGAGGGCTATCTGACGTCGGAGAAAAGAGCAGGCCTACACCGGCAGAACATCGTCTGGGGCGAGCAGGACTCCATGGGCCACGTGAACAACGTCATGTACGTTCGGTACGCCGAGAGCGGACGGTGCAATTGGATCCGCAACTACAGCGGACACATTGACCCGGTGCACAAGAGGCAGTGGGAAGAGCTGTTGACCTCGCGGGGCATTGGGCTGATCCTGAAGAGCATCACGGTCGATTTCAAGTTCCCCATGACGTGGCCCGACCGGATCTCGGTCTACCACAAGCTTCGGTCTCGGCCGGACGAGACGACAGAGTCCTTGATCCTGGATGTCTTGATCATGTCCGAAGTGCGCCAGCGGCCGGCAGCCAGGTGCCTGGAGGACATCGTGGTGTATGACTACAGAGTGGGCAAGAAGAGTACTCTGGAACCATTCATGCTCGCGCAGTTGAAGACGACGTTTGACCTGCAAGAGGCTGCAAAGAGGGAGAATCACACCAAGATCCAGTGGATCGAGGAACGCGTCCGGGCCCTCGAGACCGGGTCCTGGGATAGACATGATGCGAAGGAAGACTTTGGCGGCGCCGGAACGCAATGATCCACGAGCCACATTCGCATGAGAAGTGGCCACCCACCTGAAGACTGTGGTGTTCAGCAACCCTTGGCCCCAACTGGTCGATATTCCGTTGACAACGGCACGATTTCTGTGGTAGTGGCAGTGCAGGCCGACTGATCTTGGGTTGAAGACAAGCAACCTGCTCTCGGAGTCTCACTGCCTCAGCCTGGGTGCAGAGGCAAGCTCGTGTCGCGGGACTCGTTGTTCCGCAGTGTCTGGCCACTTCTTTTGATGGCCCAGTCATGGCGCCAGGTCTGCGCAAGGCCCAAAGCCCAAACGCGAGCAGTGCTGATCGTCAAGGACACGTCCGAAAAGGATGAAAAGTCGCACATCGCAAAACAGAGCAAAACGGTTTACCAAATTGCCCGACTTTTGTGGAGCAGAGGGTATTCAACTTATTAGAAGGCTCTGACACCCTTCAGACACGAGATATGATGTGATAGAAGGAGGAAATATACATTTATAGTCGACGTCAACCCTGGTAGGATGCACATGAGAAATGTGTGTGATATATTCAGTGTTGCAAATTGCCAACAGAAACTTACGCAGCCACGACATGTATGCGTGCCATTTATTTTCTGTCCATCAGTCCATGGCCTGTGTCGTATCCGTTATCCAACTCGATGGCTTCTGTCTACTCATCCCAAAACCGTTGACGCCCCAAAGCAGTTCGTTACCCAAACCGAGAGGGTTAATTAACAGGAATGTCCGCCACCGTTAGTCTTCCCGGCGGTGATTTCTCTTAATACTCCCGAACCTTTTCTTCAATCCTCCACTTAGCCTCTTCCCAATGCTTCCACTTCTCCCGAGCCCCTCGCCGTCGTCCCATCCTGATCGATCTGCAGTGGGCGGAACAGGGCCGCTCGAGCTCCTGTTGCGACTCTTCATTTCGATCCCGGTATTGCCGTTGGCCTTCTGCTGCTCGTCCGAGATCTTGTGCTCTTTGAGAGCCTTTTCCAAACTATAACTTGGTTCCCCTTTGCCCTTGACATCGTGTGGGTCATATTGCATGCCCGGCCATCGTTTATATGCCCCTCCTTCCGGGCCGCCTTCAATCATCATATTGTCACCTTCTTCGTAGTTGTAGACGTTGCCGTTACGATCCATATTTCCTGGAGCGTATGCTGCAACTCCGTCGAGTGGTCTGTGGCCCCTGACAGAGTCAACGATTTTCTCTCTCGGCGTTGCTTTCAGAGCTTCCGCGTTAGAATCGGCCACAGCCGCCAGTGGACTGTTCACTGAGTTGTTACGCGCGAACAAGGTAGCATCGTATGGACCGCCGTGGTGATAGGCCCCGCCACCCGTCATGTCGAGGCTGTCAATGGTGTCCGGTGGAATGTGGTGTTTTCGGGTCGCGTGACGCGCCCGATCTGCCACGGCTTTCTCCCTCGTCAGAGTATCGAGAGGGCGGTGGGACTTATCTCCTGGGTAGCGCTCCGACAGGGAGCTCCCGCGTCGACGACGACCGCTACCACCGTGGGGACTCGAGTGGCCTTCATTCCCAAAAGCCTCTTGTCTATGGCCAGGGGAGCGAGGCGTTTGGGGAGACCGTGGAGATTGAGGAGACTGTGGATACTGGTTTGTGCCGAACGGAGAGGTCGCTGAGGGCGGTGGTGAAGGATACGACTGCGGAGGGTACGGGCCCTTGCTGCTCGAAATAGGAGAATAGCCATTGCTGTTCAGGGAAGCAGACCGTTTGATCTCAGTCGTGGTACTGTTGGAAATGGAGTTCTTGCGATAGGGATTTGTCTTTGAGAGGCGCCTTCCAACCAGTTGCTTCGATTGAGGGGAAGGCTTGACTGGAGCGACCGTCGCACCGGGTCGGAAGGTGTTTCCTGGGCCATCTTCTTGAGAAGGATCGGGTGCGTTTAATGGGTCAAGCAGGTACTTAGTAGCCTGAAGTAGAACGAGTATCAGCCTTGCGCCCGCCTGATTCATTGAGAGGTGCGCCTGGACAGCTACATACCCAATTCTTGTCGCCGGTATCCATGGTGTGAGCTCATACATACGCGGATTCGCGGATTGGAAAGAAGTCTCGACGAGCAGTCCTGAGGAGAGATGGGAAGAATAAGGGAGTCGGGAAACAGCTATCTCTGCTTACACAAAGCGAAAAGGTTAAGAGGAATTCTTCCTACAGCTGGTATCATTGGAGCTTTGAAGGAAGCAGAACGGAGTAGGCGGGCAACCAACCCTGCTGCCGATGTCATGGTGGAGTGCAGCCTGAACCGGAGGGCCACCTCCCAGCAGGGGGTTAGCGGGGCTGTTCGCAGCCAACAGGTCTGGACTCCAGGGTGCAAAATGGGGGGTTTGTAGGCACCAAAGCCACCCTGTCATTGGGCTTGTGCCTCGACGTCATCCACTAAATTAAGACCCCGAGGTCCAAGGGTGCCTGGGAGTTTAGCTCTGGTGCAGTCACGACAACTTCTTTACTGAGCACAGAGACTGCTATCACTAACTAACTACATCACGACAACGACAACGCCGAATCACTGTCCACATAGTCCCTATGCAGGTGCTCTATGCCAAAGCTCTGGGAAAAGACAGCTTTATGCATGAGAGCTTGTTTCTCCGGTCATCCCGTCCCGAAGCTCCTACGGATTCTTTGATTTGCACCTGTGATTTTCCCCTACGGAAACGACTAGCGGACAATAATATGCACAACTGAGACATTGTCCTCGTCACCACCTTATCATTATTTCCACCTGCATTTTCAGCTACCACGCGTCAACACCCTCCAGCGGACCCTTTATCTCTGATCATCACTGTGTCCAAGCATCTCAACCTGCTCGAACCCCTGCCGGACACCAACTGTATCCACACCCAGGGAATATCTCATCCTATTATCAAGCTTCGATGCCCGGCTTGGCAGGCACATTTGCCCTTGTGCCATGTGCCTTTCTCACTGCAGGCTCTGTTACTGAAACTTGATCATGGTCCTGGTCGAATACCCGGATTCAAGCTCTGAGAGTGGAGATCAAGATACAGCAACAAAGCACATCGAGCAAAGAAGTGGGAAACGGAAGGCTGAGCACATTGAACAAGGAGGACCGGAATCCAGCAGGGCCAAACCGCCTCCGCCTCCGCCACCATTACCAAGCTCGTTTCACTCGCTTTATGCAACCAACGTAAGAAGTTCGACCACCGACGACCCTTCCTTGCACGCCGGTCGCACGCGTCAGGTACCCCATGCGGTAGGTAACTGGCCCACCCACATCTACCTTGAGTGGTATCCGTCAAGGTGCTGGCTCGGGATCCTCGATAGAGTGATACAGAGTGCAGGTCTAGCAGTAGGACCAGCACAAGAAGACTCGAAACCCCATGTACACAGCTTTCTCCGCTCCGAGTTGGGCGTACAGTTACCACTTCATATCAGTCTATCTGCTCCTCTCGTCTTGAAAACGGAGCAGAGGGACCCATTCCAAACCCACCTCGAATCAAGGCTGAGGCAGGGCCGTATCAAGCCATTCACGGTCCAGGTGTCGGGACTGGACTGGGTAGCGAATCACGATAAAACAAGGTTCTTCTTGGTCTTGAAACTCATGAAGCCAGGAGACGATGAACTAAACAGGTTGCTGTCAATATGTAATGCAATTGCTCGGCAATTCAGCCTGCCCCGACTATACGAAGAGCGGTGTGACACTCCGGCACGCCTCCAGTCCCAGCCGCCGAGCAAGACAATACGCGAGATGGCTGATAAGTCCGATGCTTTTCATATCAGTATAGCATGGACCCTTGTCGAGCCCGATTATCACGCCAGGCAAGAGCTCCACCGGCTTGCAGATGACAAGTTGCGAGTTCTGAAAGTGAGCTTCCCACGTTTAAAGCTCAAAATCGGGAATTCTGTGATCGATAGTCCTTTCGCAACCAGCTATGAAGGAGAGGAATCATAACAAGCATGCCGATTTTCATGAGGGATGGGAGACTTCTCGCCTTCCTCTTCTCATAACGCAATATTTGTCTCCTATTGTCCTGCGTAAGCTCAGTTGCGTACACACGCTTCCCAAGCATTTGGCTCCTGGACTTGCAGTGATTTTATGACTGGATTTCTGGGCACGGACAAGGTCTCTCGAGTTTGGAATTCCCTCAACACCGTCAAGTCGTCTCGCATGGGCACTCGGTGGTATAGCATCTTGCTGGCAAGTGACCGGTTCGCAGCTAGACACGAACAAGCCCTATGGGCAGTCGTGACTATGTCGAGAAGCTTTGCTGTGCCTTCCTCCATGGCTTGCGAGGAGTCAGTTGATGGGGAACCCCATCAAATTCGATAGATATTCGTGACTGAAATGTGGATTGTGCTTTTCGCCAGAAAGGAGTTCCTCAACTCTTCAACAGCTTATTCCTCTTTTCTCTCCGCTTCCTCCTCTCGACCACTTTCTTGTGCATTTTCTCCGCCATCTTCTCATAGCGCTCCTTCTCCTCTTTAGCTTTCCGCCTGTCCTTAATTGCTTGGATGCGTCGATTTCGCTCGGCCACTTTTTCTTCTCTCATTTCTTGTTCGCGTGCCTTGGTGGCTTGTTTGAGTGTCTCCAGTTCTTTCCGTTTGGCAAAGCTCGTCTGGCCGGCAGTCGGGCGGAACGGCTTTTTCGGAGCATGCCAATTCTTGCCTGTTGCTGAAGTGAGTTTCAGAGAATAGACCCCAACAGATGCACCGTACCATTGACTCTCATTCCAATCTTTGGCACAGGTTCGGTCGTGGCTTTGGTCGCGGAAGGTTCTGCGGCGGTCATTGGGGCCGCAGCTGGTGATAGCTGGACGACAGACATATTTCCAGTTTTCGTCTCTTCTAGCCGTGGGCATTTGCAATAACAGCACTCTTCAAAGCTCAAACTCTGAGGGTGGCCCTCATTGAACGGAGCACAGCGAGGATCTCGAATGGAGGTTGCGGTGGAGGCTGGCAAAATATTTCTTATCTTATCGAGAATTACGCCGAGCCTGAAACAGCCATGTATGATGCAGTCAATTTTTTGTCAAAAACTAGTGCGATCCTAGCAATGGCTTGGCCTCTGGTCCTGTTTTGACACTGTCAGACGTGTGGCCGTTTTTGCACATGAGGCTTTTCCATCATCTCCATTTTGCCCGCCAAATATTTTTTTTGCCCCTGGCTCCACCCCTCAAACATAACTGTCTGGACCCCTCGAATGTGAGGCTACAAAGAGGAATGCGACTCTTCATGGTCCTTCTTGAGCTGCAGCCCTCCCTTCCTGCTCTAAGTCAGCAGTCTTATGCTTGATCGTCAACGTCAAATATCCTCGAGTCCAATCTACTGCCAGTCCGTTTGCTGGTGAGTCACTCCGCTTTATATTCGGCTCCATTTTTGGCGCACGACACCGCTCTTCTCTCGCTTTAGAGAGCCCCTCTCACATACATACAACAATATGTTACTACGATAACCTTTCTTGATCCTCCTCCTCACACGTATTCTCTGCATGGCAGCCTTCAAAGATGAGCTGCAGTCAGTCTCTGGCTTCAACCAGAGCAACGGTCACAATGCTAGCACGTCGACCCACCAACAATCGGAGCTACTGCTCACCCCTCCAAGCCAGAGCCTGGAAGCGCTGAAGGACATAGTCTATGGATCAACAGCTGGAATACTGGGGAAATTCGTTGAATACCCGTTTGACACGGTCAAGGTCCGGCTTCAATCCCAATCCCACGAACCTGGCGCAGTCCCGCGGTTGCACGGGCCCTTCGATGCCTTCTCTGCTGCATTTCGGTCGCCCGAGGGGCCTCTTGTGTCTTTATACAGAGGTATCAGTGCGCCTTTACTCGGCGCCGCAATAGAAACATCCTCCCTGTTCTTCAGCTATCGAATCGCCCAGGACATTGTTGTGAGAGCATCTCCATCCCTCCGCGCGCAACGAGATCGAAACCCTCATGGCAAGATTGAACTCCCTTTTTCATACCTCCTGGCCTGCGGTGCCGCCTCAGGAGCGTTCACGTCGCTCCTCCTCACACCTATCGAACTCATAAAATGCAAGATGCAAGTCCCCTTGGCCCCATCCAACCTTGCTTCCAAGTTGGGATACACAACGACTCGCCCACTTGGCCCAATGCAACTCATCACCACAATTTTCCGTAGCCAAGGGCTTCTCGGCTTCTGGCATGGGCAGTTGGGCACACTCATTCGGGAAACAGGCGGTTCGGCTGCATGGTTCGGCTCTTACGAAGGTGTTAAGATGCTGTTCCTCCGTTCGGATCCTAGTGTGAATCATGTATCAGACGTTAAAGTGTGGCAGCAGATGGTTGCAGGAGCAGCGGCAGGGATGTCGTACAACTTTGTTTTCTACCCGGCGGATACGATCAAGTCACGCATGCAGACGTCCAGCACTGAAGTCACCTCTGGACCAAACAGATTAACGTTTCTTTCGACAGGCCGGGCGTTATGGCGTGAGCAGGGAGTGAAGGGATTTTATCGAGGCTGCGGAATCACGGTTTTCCGCGCGGCACCAAGTTCAGCGATCATTTTCAGCATCTACGAGGCGTTACGGAGGTATCTCGGTTGATAACCTGCATATTAACGACACGACAAGGACCGACGGATTATTCTCTCCCTCCACGAGTGCCCTTCAGCAGGCTGGAAGCAAACCAGCAGGAGGCGGCCAAAGAAGCTTCCACCACCGTGAGCACAGAACAACCTTTTCCACATCGGAGCTAGGCGAAAAGGTTATGGGATCCAGGACGTCTTGGGTTCCACCTTGACCCAGTTCATTTCAGTGAGAGTCAACACGGACACGTGGAATGAACCGGCCCAGTCATCGTCTATGTGCCAGCTTCCAAAAAGACGATTTGACACCAAGATATACCTTTGATTTGACATGGGTGGCTTCAGGCCAAAAAGGACCCGTTAGCACGATCAAAATCTTGCAGCAAATTCAAGAAAAGTTCATGCATGCATAAAAAGGCGAAACTAGATATCCACATGGACATATAACGGATTGGGTTCTGTCACCAGAGCATATTTCCAACGATGCATGAAGGCGGTTATGGGCATTCTCTGAGCTAGCTCCACTACCACCGCCTTGAATACCCAAAGCCTTTGGCTATCAGTGTCTTCTTCATGTCCTTTTGTACCGCCCACAAAACTATGTGCCATTGCCTACTCGAAACATACGGTCTTGTTTTCGTAACAGCTCGTGCAAACGGCTTTTCCTCACCGCGTACGGTCCGTCGCCATTGCTGGATTCCAGCTGTCATCGATTGGTATTCGTAAATTAAATTATGTGACATTTGAGCTGGATTGCACCGAGGCAGTCGAGAGGCAGGTCCAGTACAGTCTGTCTCGCCACCACAGAAGAGCAGCCGTGCCTCCACTTCTTGAGCCTGGCCTCAGCTGGACGCCGGCGTGCATGCACGCTGCTTACGACTCTCTTCGGACACCAGACAGTTGATGGCAAAGGTACGCACTTTCGTGAAAGAAGATTTAGCCAAGGCGGCGAGAAAGCTTCGGTTGCTTTTTTACTCCTGCCATACTTGAATGGGCAGTGGAGAAACATGCTGAAATGAGCAAGACGGCGTTCCTGGGGTACGGACTTGTGGGAAGAAACAAACCAGGGGTGTTGAGGGCCCAGAACCACAATCGATGCCCGTGGGGTGGCTCTACCCATTTGTGGCCTCAGGGGCGAGCCTCGCCTAACGCAGACAGACCTGGTTGGGCTCGATCTTTCTGCGTAGATTCTTTTCGACCTCCAAGATCCAGCTGGCGCCACAACCGCCTCCGCAACCATTGTACCGAGTACTCATGACCCGGTAATCGAGAATGCGGTACATTTTCAGAGCTAGACTGCTTTGGTGCCAGCACAGTGTGTTCCGGTCCAATCTTCGCATACCTGTGGGTGCCTCACCGACAGGCAGGTTTAGCATCGCGCGATCTCAGTCTTTTTGCAACCTCTCGAAGAACCCCGTTCTTCCTCAATCTGTCTCAAACATGCAGATCCAGTCTCCTGGACAGGCGGCAAATGCATACGCGAAGACAAGCTTGTTCCAAACATGGCAGGTGGTCACTTAGACTCTACCTTAGCGGGTATCCAGCTTATGGCAACCCCGAGCTCAAATTTCACCGACTACTGTTCCTCCTCGCATCGCAAAGCACTACTTTTGGTCTCTCAGGGTCTTGCATCCCGGCCAGAACGTGCAGGCGTCAAAAGATCGAGCTGAAAGGAATGGCCTCGTTGCCTAAAAGACTATCTAGATACCATGTGGTTCCTCCTAAGCAGTCACGACGACCTCTTTCCTGCAATCGCCTCATCGTCTCCGGACCTCCTGTCTCCTCGATATACGGGAGCTGGATGGTCTAGATTGTCAGAAAATGGCACTTAGCATGAGGTCTGAATATAATAAAAGGACGAGGTAATATCGACTGAGCTCGGATCATAACACTCTTGTCTGACCACCACTCCAAGCTGCATATCATTCGTGGCCGCCATAATCATGAAATTCATCATCCTTCTTTATGTGGCTATTGCCTCTATTACCACTGCCGCCAGCAATGTCTGCCACTCAGGGATTTACGCACTTTTAGCACCTCTCGCTGGCTACCCCCCTGCACAAAGTTATTGCTCAGCGCACTATCCCCCAACAACCGGTATTGCCCTCTTAAGTCTTCCACGGCTGGTGAGGAAACTGATAGTTGTCTAGTGACTGTTTCGACCAGCTTCATCAGCAAGAAGAAATTCAGATTTGCGCGAGCCACACCTGCTGCAGAACTCGAAGATGTCGTTCTCGACAAACGCCAGCAGACCACCACTAGGCCTCATACGACCACCACTACGCCACATACGACCACAACTACGCCTCATACGACCACCACTACGCCTCACACGACCACCACAACCCAGGACCCTAAGGCAGCCCAGTGGTCGAGCTTTGTGAAGACGGCGGGAAGCATTATCTCCACCTTCTGCCAATGCATTGAGAGTCATCCCACGGTAAGTAGCCCTTTCACTCAGTTCCTCCTTCCCGATCTTCCATCCACATCTCGCTCACCAGCTCTCAGGTCGGCGTTCCTCCTCCGTCGACAATTCCGACAACAACGCCGTCAACGACCACGCCTGTTTAGTCTGTGGAACCAATTCTGGTAGAGATGTCCTCAACCCTCCAAAGAACCTACGTGAACAGGCTTTCCCCGGATCCATTCTAACACTTAGTCCACAACTCACCACAATATGGATCTTTGCGGAAGGGCTTGTCCTAAGACTGCAGACGTGCATCATCCATCACTGCGGGGATTTTGAAGTGGAAGACTCGTCTTGCAGATCCAGGGACCTAGGTCACTTCAGATATAGAGATGTCTAAAAATAGCAGGATAGTGAATTCGTTCTGGAATACCGATTGACATGGTAACTGCGTTGATATTTGGGACTTGTTCAAGTCTTGATATTTCTCTTAAACTGTTGTAGTTGGAGTCGTTACCAGTGATGTGGCTTTGCAGCACATCGCCTTTTCAGATTATCCACATGCTTGCACGATATATCAAGACGTTGTTGTATTGTGATTGAACACCGGGCTTCACCACCAGTGTCTCTCTTACAGTAGCAAAATATCTTGGCGCGAACAAGGCTCCAGTGCGAACTCCATATGTATTAATTACGTTGAACTTCCTCCATGCACCGCTCTCCTCCAAAGCACCACATCACTATGCAACGACAGACATGGACGGTTTATTGGAGCCCATCAAAACCACCCGCAAGGTTCAGAATAACATTGATAAGTTCGAGACCTTGACCTTGAAAGATTCTGTGCCGGCATCGCGCCGCCCAGCCAGTACCAAATCTAAGATATCTGTGCTCGACACCACAACAGATGCCAGTGATGACGCAAGCGACGCATTCAGTCTTCGACCTTCAGTTGACACGTCTATAAGTCAGACCTCTGCAGAGGCGCAACAGACGAACCATAAGCGCCACGACTCGACGGCGTTTCTGCAGAAGAGTTATCTGGACAAAGCACCACCTGCCTCGCTCCCCGATGATGCGCTTGAGATTTTGAAAGACCAACCCAACAACGAGGATCTAGCAGCCGTTTTAGAGTATCTTCACTACGGTATTGAAGGTAGACATGACTTCAACATTCACGTGCCGGAGCCCAAGGCCTCCCAAATCATCAACGTCCTTGTTACTGTTACCGTTCCCGATCAGTGGCTTCATCTGCGAAAACCCAGACTTTCGAGATCGGACACGCAGCTCAAGACAGCCCTACTATCCTCACTTTCTAGTGTAGCCGGGATCGGTGCACTTTTGATGCAGATTAGGCGCCTTTCATCCATCAATCCCGGCCAAGATAGTTCGCTGTTGGCAGATACGGTCCATGTCCTATCGTCAGTCCTTGCTGGCAACACGATCATTTCCAAATTCTTATCCCATGCTATCAAGACAATTCCCACGGACACACAGCGCCGTGTCTTCTGGCAGGAAGCGACTTCTCAACTTGCTGGCAGCAAGATCCTCACAACCATGTCGCAAGTCTTCGCGACATTTCGGGACTTGAAAGGATTAGGAGAGCACGAGGAATGGCTTGGGGACGGAAATGAGTACTCGAGATGGCTTGGACGCAATATTTCGACCGCCGCGGCAAGCTTCAACACAATGCCGCCCTCCAATTCTCCGCAGATAAGCCTTCTTTGCCAGATGTTGAAGCGAGGGCTTAGTCTTGGGTATCGGGGTATGACTCGCTCAAGCGGTTTTACGTGCCAACTTACTAACGATGACATAGATACCTTGATCAGCGAGCTCTACAACTCACTTCTTCTCGGGAAGCGAGCGTTGTGGACGCCAATGCATATTTTAATTCAGGGCTTGCCGGCGTACGATCAAAAAGTCCTCTTTGACACCATCCTACGAGATCTTGCACGGAGATTCTTCGAAAACGGAGCAGATATCGTGGGACCAAAGGAGCTACTGGAAACGAATAGCTCCACGATCGGGGGAGTGGCAGCCATGATTAACGGGCTCGTCCGAAACAATCCCTTGCTAGAAGCACATGTGACGAATTGGTTGACGAGCACTAATGGGGAATACGCTGGTCTCGGTCTTAATACTCGTAGAGCTGTCATTGCAACCCTGGCAGCGAGTCAAGGTCAGCCATTGCCTCCCCTTCTTTTGGAACGGGCTAACTTCTACAAGACAAGCTCGAGCAGATCCTCGAGAGAAGTCTGGAGAACTTTGGGAACAAACTACAAATCCAGCGCGATGCTATTCTCCAGCAGGAGTGTAAGTAAACTCTGCCGAATGCGCACACTCTTTATTCAATACTCCTATTTGGTAGCAGAACCTGTGCTTACCCATGGTTGGGCTCTTCTAGCGACCGCTCAAACCATCCTGCTTGCTTTCGGCTATCTCAATCGTTTGGATCACAGCTCGGTCAAAAAGTTTTCGGGTTCCAGTGCTTTCGTGCGGGCGGTCTCAAATCGGCTTTCTGCATCGGTTCCTCGCGCCAGGCTTTTGGGGATGATGGTTGCGGTTGCAGTCTCAAAGCTAGTCGATCAGCCGGACAAGATCCTGAACTTTGGCATTGAAGAGATGGAAGGGGAGCAGATGCAGCGGTTCGTGGGTCTAGTCGACATACAAGACACAATTGGAAGTTTGGAACAACTGGTGAAGAACGCAATCGAGCCCTCGAAGAAGCGCCCTTTGCACACGACTCCTAAAGCCGTACGCCGCAAACGACTGTCAACAGAGCCACGACCTCAGGGATCTAAGATCGTGGCCATTGAAGAAGTTTCCGATTCCGACGGAGCACCCTCGGCCGGGGAAGAGGAAGAGGAGGAGGATCTACAACCCTATCCTCTACCAGACAGCGACCCATCCGACTCAGACGATGACCCTACGCTGGTCAACCGGAACAAACCAGCCCCTCCAGTCTACATCACGTCTCTCATAAAGCAGCTCAATGCAAAGAACGACCCCTCGGCAGTCGAGCTGGCAATCAAGACTGCTCCATCTTTGATACGTCGAAAGGCAAACTTTGGCGACGAATTGTCATCCAACATCCTCCAGCTGGCTTCATCTCTAGTGAATGTGCAAGAAGGCATGGACTCGGACGATGTGCAACGATCAAGATTGGAGGGCATAATCGCATGCCTGGTTTCGATACCTAGGTTGATGGGGCCCTGGATCGTAAGCATGTATTTCGAAGGGGATTTCTCCCTGTCAACACGTGCGACCCTGTTGACTGCGGTGTCGTTGGGGTCGAGAGAACTGGCAGGGATCAACATTGATGTCGACCGACCATCTGCGACCGAGCGCCCAAGCGAACCACCGTTTCCTTCGAATCGACTACCACCGCGTCTTGAGCCAGTGTATTCCTCACCAGCAGCCGTCGACACCATTACAACAGCATTGTCCTATCGCACTCTCCAGCCATTGGCGCTAGAAGCTGCCGACAAGCTCACAGGGCCGGACATCCTCAAGGTCCGCACTTTCTCTTCCCGGATGAAAGTCGCCGCCAAAACCGCCGCGAAGCTCGAAGCGCGCTCAAAACGAATCCCGAAAGACCTGCACAAGCTTCTCGCAGAAGCACTATACCTACCGTTTTGTTCGCGACTGACGCTTCTCCTCGCCTCGCTCGTCACATCACCTTACCTGGTCAATTCCACCCTCCTACATCCCTCTTTGATTAAACTGAGCCTGCAAACGCTCATCATCCTCATTTCCACCATTGGTCCTAACGCTGTACAACTCCCCACACTGACCCACGAGTCCCTTCTGTTGTTGACAACGCTCCATACTCTTCCTTCCCTTGCACACGATGCGATCATCCTCCCTCCCATTCTCCACTTGATCCTGACACTATTGGACTTGAACATTGAAGCCGGGAGCACATCCGAAGAACGCCTGGTCACAGACTTTGGCCCCATGTTTGCAGAACTGGTGTCGTGGACGAGCAGTCTCGGAGATCGCGTTTCCATTCCCGAAGTCGATGGTGATCCGGGGTTGGGAATGGCCATGCCATGGCCTGTCCTTGTTGCGGGAATCCAGGTCAAGTGGCAGGAAGTGGGACGGAAATTCCAGGGAAGGATGTTGGGGTTGATGGCAGGCACCGATTTCGACTCTTTCTAAGTCCTCTGTCAGCTCTTCTGCCGGTGACGTCTCGTCTCCATGGTGTAGGAATCTGCCGTTTATCTACGGAGGCGGATGGTAGGCGGCCCTCTCAGATGGGTGCCCCTGGGAGGCCCTTGGGTGCCCCTAATGAGGCTTGAGTAATTACATAATCCGCAAAAACGGTGCCAAGAGACTATACCCGATTCAACTTTTTCTCGCCAATGGTCGTATGTACATGCTGCAGAAGACTTGCATCTCTCTGCTTCCTTTGGCACCATTCCCGCATAGCTGATTTCCTTCTCTGCGTCTTCCTTCAATCTTCCCGGCCTTTAGTTGTCGATATGTAAGCATTTGCTCTCATTCACCCGTCAAGGTCGCCTGCTGATGATTTGCCCAGGTATGCCCTACGCCGTTGCGCCTCGCGCTTTCTCACTTCTCAACCTTCCATCGTTGTCTCCTCTTCACGAACATACACTTCTATCAGCGCTCCTACATCGCGGTTAATCGGGAGGGCCGCCGCATCATTTCCTTTACAACGGCGATGGGCTACAGGTGGAACCCAGGAAAAAGAGAGCAAGCCTCCCATATCTGGAATTGAGCCCACGAAATCAGAAGAAGCCGAGAATGCAGCTCAAACCCAGGCTTCCAGCACAAAGTCGGCTCCCCAAGCTGCAGAGCCTGCGAATATCACCGAAGCCACAGAAGAGTCCTTTCCGGCTGCAGTGATCAATGAAAATCTTCTTGCTGAAACTGGGCCTGCGCCGACCGGGTCTGAGCCAGCCATTGCGGAATCCGCCAATGCGACTGAAGCAACCGACGAAGCATTGCCTGCAGCTGAGACGGGCGAAAAGCTAACAGCTGATTCTAAATCTACACCCTCGCAGTCGGCAACCCTGAGCCATGCTGGCATGTTTGACCGCAAGCCCACACTTTACATCGGCAATTTGTTCTTCGATGTCACCGAGACCGACCTAGTCAAAGAATTCGCCCGCTTCGGAACGGTGACCAAGTGCAAGATTGTTCGGGACAGCCGTGGCTTAAGTAAAGGGTCAGTTTCTCCTGATCTCTAGCCGATCAAGCCTTGCTAACATTGCTTTAGATTCGGTTATGTCGATTTCTCAACGCAGGAGGCTGCCGACGCGGCCATGGAGCGTCTCAACATGTCGCTCTTCGAAGGTCGCCGCATCACAGTTCAGTACGCGGCGCGCCCGAGCGGCGTCCTTGACAACCAGAACGTCGAGCGCAAGCCCCTCAACCCTCCTTCCAAGACCCTTTTCATCGGCAACATGTCCTTCGAGATGACGGATCGCGATCTCACGAACCTGTTCCGTGGCATTAGAAATGTCATCGACGTCCGTGTCGCCATTGATCGACGCACCGGGCAACCGAGAGGGTTCGCCCATGCCGACTTCATTGACGTCAAGAGTGCCATGGAAGCAATGAAGCTGCTGCAAGAGAAGGAGATTTACGGTCGGAGGCTGAGAGTCGATTTCTCATACTCCTCGGCGAATAGAGCTCCCAGGAACGACCCGCCCGTTGAAAATAACTAGTGGGTTTCCGGAGGAAGTCTTTGGCGTTTCTCAATCCAGGTCAGCCGCGCCAGGTCGTCCGTATCCCAGCGAATCAGCTTGCGGCAGGCGAAAACAACGTTTCCCACGAGTTGTCGTGTACTCCTGAGGTTCGAACTTTGAGCGAAGCTAACCCGCGATTCGAGGGACCTATGACCTCCAGGTGGAGCTGCGGTCGCCGACTCCGGGTTCAGGTATAACACCACAGTGACCATGTAAAGAAGTCACCAGACCACCTACCGATCACGAAAGTTGGTCAACTATCAACTGGAAGCGTCAATTGGGGGCCGAACTTCTCTTTTCTGCTGTGCAGCGGATCTAAGAGCACAGTTCTTCTCCTCGGCTTGTCTTTGTAACAATCTAAAAAGAGCATGCGGGATTGTACTCATTGGACTTGGATGTATATGTTTTAGCACGACCTGCTACGTTTCTAATTCTCAGGACCCAGGTAGATACGGCTTTGAGACCAAAGCCTGAATAAGAGATTGGGCCAACGGACAGGAGACGGGGACGAGCACGACGGACATCGAGTGTCCAGACCGGGGAAACCACCGGTCAGATTGAGCCGCCGTTCCTTGCACCCTGATGCCCGTCTCTAAATCAGTTTCGATAGCTCCGAGAGTGTACGATTGTAACATAGAAAAAGATACAATAAAATCTCTATTCTTGACGAAACCCCTCCTAACCCTGAAAAAAAGTGGGCACGAGGCCAGAATATGGCGGTGTTTGTAAGATTTATCAACACACGTACTCACCCTATGGCACCTGACTTTGGCTGCCTCTGTTGTCAAGGTCGGTACCCGACCAGTGGGCGAGGAAGGGAGGGAGAGAGGAAATACTAATGAATCGATAGGTCAAAGTTGACTATTTTAATAGGATCGTAGAATATGTGGCTCTGTTGTGGCCAGCCTCGTCCCACCCCCTCCGCCATTTGCGGGCCTTCAAACACTGTCCCGTACGATATGAATGTTCCCTTTCTTCTTTGCCCGACTCACTGACTCGCTCACTTCCATATTCTTATTTCTTTTTGAAGTTTCGCCCCTCCCCCTAATCGGGGCTCCGGTGATCAGGAACATTGACGGTAGCGGCGGCGGCTCATCATCGCGGCGTCAGTCTGACCGTGAGCTCGTTGACGAAGAAAGCCAAGGACTGGAACGTCTCAAGTGGTTTCTTAGGGTTGACCAGTTCGATCTGCACGTGATTCGGGGTCGGTTAGTGTCCGGGTGGTGCGTGAGGACGTATTAATGAGGACATGAGAACGCTCAACACTGGAGAGAGAAAGGATACGACACGAAATGGGAAAAGATTTGGGGTGGTGGTCGATCGATTGATCAAGTTACTCACATCAAACCGGTTCAGTAGCTCGGGGAGAAACTTCTTCATCTCAATCCACGCGATGTGCTGCCCGATGCACGTCCTCCTCCCAGCGGAGAAGAACAAGTTGGCGCGCTCCATTCGGGAGAGTTGGGTCTCATCAGCTTCTATCCAACGCTCGGGTCTGAACTCGTCAACTCGGTCTCCCCAGACAGACGGGTCGCGGTTCAGCGCGTGTATGTTGATCGCGACTACGGTCCCAGCCGGGATATAGGTGCCGGAAATCTCGATCCCGGGCCCGTCGACAGGCACTTCGCGCTCCATCGGGTCGAGGATCAGCGGACGCAGCCGGCCGGCTTCCTTGATGCAGGCTTCCAGGTAGCGGAGTTTCGAGACCGATTGCCATGAAGGTGGAGAGGCGAGCTTTGCATCTTCGATCTCGGCCCGCAGCTTGGCCAAGGTCCGTGGATTGGTGAGCAGGTAATACAGAGTTATGTTAACAGTTGCCGCAGTGGTCTCAGCACCCGCGTGGATCGTCGAGATGAGTAGGCCGATAATGGTCGATCTATCGAAAGTGACAGGGTCGCGCTCACTTGCCTGGAGATACCGGTCGAGAAGGTCCGAATGGGTCCCTACTCCGCCCTTTTCAAGCCGCGTTTGGAGGCGTTCGACGGCAAGTTTACCAAGGAGGGATGCTGCGCCTGCGCTTCTGGAGGCAAAGCGGTTTTTATAAATGAGCCTCTCAAGTTTGGGCAGGGATTGCCAATAGTGCCAGTGGTCAAATCGCTGACGGGAGCCTTCTAAGGCGTCTCCCAGATCGGACTGTTTCTCCATGAAGCCTTGGTCGTCACTGAAGGCGATGTTACAGATGGTGTCAAAAGCGAAGAAGATGTTCCATCTGGCAATGTTCACCTCTGGATCTGTAGTGACAAGCCGGCTCATCAGATTCTTGATATTGCGGTCGACATGGCATTCGTAATCAAGAATGGCTGTGGTCGTGAAGGCGCCAATAATCTGCTTTTTTATCATGGAGATTCGGGCCTCGTTTCGTTCTGTTGCGATGGAGCTTATCAGCTTTCCATTGACTGCTTGAAAGGCCACCTCGTAAGATTCTGCCTGTAGGTGAAAACAGTCATCAGCTCAGCTTTTGAATTTGCCGAATCGGAAGATCCGGGACCTACCTTGGGAAATGAATTCCTGGTGTTGAAGACAACGCCCACAGCCGAGAGATCGCTGAACAAGACTCTGTTTGGGCCGTACCTCACAACTGGGCCATACTGCCTATCCAGCGCCAGAGCGATGGCATCAAAGTATTCTTTGTTCCAAAACTTCCCAGCTAACCAGAAGTTGCTGAATTTGGCCGCAAATGGGCCGGGGATGTGTCTTAACCTCCAGTACTGTAGGACGGACTTGAGGAGGAGCGAAACCACAGCGAGTCCCACCAGGACCAAGGCAATTGTGAGAGTAGATGCGACAGTATACATCGTGGTCAACGGTGTGGATGGTAGATGTCAATTTTTTTGGTTGGGTCGCGAAGAATAGGAAACGAATCGAAGTTCTGACTGGCATGCAACAATATATACCTCGATCACATCGCAGGGTCAACATTCAGCTGAGCATTCCAGCTTACCTTTGGACTTCTATTGACCTGGATGCCTTATCTCCATAGGCCGAGCAGGTTCAGAACCTTGGGAGGCCTGACACAAGGACAGGTTGGGAAATGCGTCATACGCAGTGTGATGCCATTGCCCTCTCTGCCACGGATATATATCACCCAGAGCCGGTTGTTGGGAGAGGACCAATTACGCAGAAGCCGAGCTTGTTACACTCGTTTGCCAGTTCCTCATGCGTCAATAGGGTGCTGCCCTCTCGGGCAAGTGGCGCACAGCTGCAGGCGGTCGCCAGTAGCGAGTTCAAAGCGGCAGTCTCATGGACTTGAGAGCGGCACAATATGGCAGGTCTCTGAGGAACTTCCTGAAAGATGAGCTGACATGACACGGGGTTGACCTCTGAGAAGAGGCTGGGCCCCTAAATATGAGGGACATCCATGTCAGCCCAATAAACCAGGGTAGTATAGTGACACGCTTTTGCGTACGGTACAACCATGGCCTTTCTCTGATTGGTCCAAGTCGACGAAAAGGTTTGATTTCAATATAGAACATGCATCTGATATAGTCATGTGATCAACAAAGAAGAGGGTGAGGTGGGGGGTGGCCTCTTCACTCAGGACTCGCCTGTCTATCGACATCAGAAATTTTATCACCACCGGGCAGTCAATCGATCTCCGGCCAGTATGTCGCGGGTAACAGTGAACGAGTGAAGAGCTTCGATGCGTGGCAAAGGTCATATCTCACTCCAGCTCGCCATGTTCCGTGGTTCCTCCGGTTGTCGGCTAAACTGGGTGGCGTCCTCGGCGTGCTTTACCCCGGAAAATCTCTTTTTCCCACTCCGAGTTCCAGAACTTGCCTGCGCCGCCCGTTGCTTGCCCATTGCACTCAGTGCCTCGGTTGCCGCCCGCAGCAATTATTAGGGACCATGCAGTGCCTCCGCCAAAAACCATGTACCAATACTCGGTATTCCGTCCAGTATTATTAAACCATCGCTGCCATCCTCTCCACAACGTGACTTGACCTGCCCCAAGACTGGGCAACACCACTTTATCAATCTCTCTCTCTTTCTCCAACGTACCGCCTCTCATCTGTTGTCGACCATGTCTTTCCTCGGAGGTGCCGAGTGCTCGACTGCGGGTAACCCGCTCACCCAATTCAAAAACCATGTTCAGAGTGACAATACCCTCCAACGGGACCGCCTTGTCGGCCGGGCTCAACCAGGGCTCGAAGAGAGCATGCGCTCTCGAATGACGCCGAATGGTTCTGATCAGGTCTTGGTCTCCCGGTCTGGCGAGAGAAGGGCGCTGCTAACTGTGGGGTAGATGATGAACGACTTCATGCAACAATCCGGGATGCCCCAGCCCTTCGCGATGGAGCAACTTCGACACGACCTCCCCAGTCTTCAGGGCATAACGCGGCGATCACCGTCCCCCGGCTGGGCCGCAGAGTTCGACCCGGGTGAACAACAAAGAATGGAGGCTGCCTTTATGAACCCAAGACTCAACGGTCAGAGCCAACCGGGGTTTTCGCCGCAGGAATTTGCTCGCTTCCAACAAGCCCAGGCACAACGAACCGCAAGCCCTATTATGCAAACGCCTTCCATGATGAACAGTTACCAGAGCCCGATGGGTATGGGATATATGGGCGGCATGAACCTCGGGATGAACTTTGGATCACTGCACATGCAACACCAGCCTGAACAAACAACAGACAAGGGGAAGGGACGGATGGTTGAGCTCGATGATGCCAACTGGGAGGCCCAGTTTAAAGAGCTTGAGTCACAGCATGATAACCTCTCAGATCAAGCCAACGAGGCAATAAACAGACAACTTGAGGAAATGGACAGGTCAGTGAAATCTCCTGCAGACGCATTTGCAGATTTCGAAAGAGAATTATTTAGAATACATGCTGAACTTACACCCAGAGAAATGGAAGAAGAATATCTCAAAGATGACCCTTACACTGCTGAGGACCTGGCAGCGTGGGAAAACTTCGACTCCACGATGGGATTAAATTCGCATCATCCTTTCGAGCGAGAGCCAATGCTCGGAGATTATATGTTTGAGTCACAGAATCCCTTCCTGGAAAATAACACGAGTAGGTCGGCGTTTGAGCAAGGGAAAGAGATTCTTGAATCGCACGGCAATCTATCACTCGCAGCACTGGCATTTGAGGCTGCCGTGCAACAAGACCCCAACCACGTCGAAGCCTGGGTTTTACTAGGCGCAGCTCAAGCCCAAAACGAGAAAGAGTCACCAGCAATCCGTGCTCTGGAGAAAGCATTGGAGCTCGATCCCCAAAACCTCGATGCTCTGATGGCCTTGGCTGTTTCCTACACCAACGAAGGGTATGATAGCACGGCCTACAGGACACTAGAGCGCTGGCTAAGCGTTAAATACCCTCAAATCCACCCTCCCGAGAATTTATCAAGTCCCACCGAGCACGGCTTCACTGACAGAGCGATCCTGCATGAGCGAGTTGTGGATCTTTTCATCAAGGCCGCTCAACTGTCGCCTTCCGGGGAGCATATGGATCCCGACGTCCAGGTTGGACTTGGTGTCCTCTTTTACGGCAACGAGGACTTTGAAAAGGCTGTTGACTGCTTCAAGGCTGCTCTTGCATCCACAGAGAGCGGAATGGTCAACCGGGAGCGCGAAGTCCACCTGCTGTGGAATCGACTAGGCGCGACGCTGGCCAATTCTGGTCGATCCGAGGACGCGATCACGGCATACTGCAAGGCGTTGGAGGTCAACCCCAATTTCGTTCGAGCGCGATACAATCTGGGCGTGTCATGCATTAACATTGGTTGTTACCCCGAGGCAGCTGGGCATTTATTGGGGGCTTTGAATCTACACCGAGCTGTGAGTGAGCAGGGTCTAGACAAAGCCAGGGAAATAGTCGGAGACGGCAGTGGCGGCATCTCAGATGCCGAGCTGGAGAGGATGATACACCAAAACGAGAGCACAAATCTCTACGACACTCTAAGAAGAGCATTTACAGGCATGGGAAGACGGGATTTGACAGAGAAAGTTGGAGTTGGCATGAACCTAGATCAGTTCAGGGGCGAATTTGAGTTCTGAGTTCGCGGGAAGGAAAAAAGAAATTCTATAGCATGAAGATATGAATTCTTTCCTCAGGCTCTTCTCTTCCACTGCCTATCGCTTTTACGCCTTGTCAGCCTCAGCGGGAAGGTTTATTTGGCTGTGACTGGCCTTTTCCATTATTGGTTTGCGTCAACGATGCTCTCCAGCACTCAGCCTCACTGTGCCGGCCGCAATGCCTCGTACGCAGACCACTATTTGTTAATGACTATTGCACCCACTGCCCGTTCTGTCACTTTGAACATTCTAACCTCAATGGCCGTCGTTGCCAGCCTCGTTTTCGGCTAGGAAGCGAGTTGTATGTATGTACTATACCGAAACTAGCCCCCGTGCAGGCAGCGACGACTTCTTTCGACAACCCTCAGCAGACCGAGCCTAATGGCGGTCATCCAACACTTGTTACCGCATACACATGAACAAATCATGTTTGCAGCACAGCGCCAGTCACTCCTTCCATACATCAAGTGGAAGCCCGAGCATCGTGGTGGCCTCTACTTCATCGAAACAGCTCACGAACTGGCGGGAGGGCTTCGACATGGGGTTCTCGCAGCCGCCGAGGTTCATGACTGGGTTCTAGCAAATGTGAGTCCCCGCCACGCTCGCACAAGCGGTTCTGTTGTTTGAACCTGACCTGGTGAATGCAGTCTTGTCTACCGGGGTCTCCTCCGCCGAAGTCGAAATCGGTGGGCGGCGGCTTTCGGCTCCTCCTTTGCGAGAGATCCAGGTTGCAGGACGAAGGTGTGGAGTCGCGAGAGCTTCACATGAGCAGAGACTCGTTCACCCTGCTTGAAGACTCTTTCCTCCTTCCCGGCGCGACGGTGCCGGGGCTGTTTGACATGGTTGGTGTTCATTCTCGGTTCACAGAGTGCGACCCTGCCACCGGCAAGGTCAATTATCTCAAAGTCCTCATCCAGGGACGCCGTAAATTAGGCGTGGCGGACTGCGTGTTGTCTCTCTGCTACTGTTGTGACACGGGGTGGACGTATGGCCTCCTCTGTGGCGAGGGAGTCGTTAACGCAGCGGAAATCGTGAACACTGCACCGCTCATGGCTGCTTTACTGGGGTTGCTGACCCCGTGCCTTCATCTCAAAGCCGATCCCCTCCTTATTCCTATCATGCTCCTCAAAATTTACACCGAGAGGATCAACCTCTTCTTGCGGAAGCAGATCACTCGAGTGGACGAGCTTGAGGACGAGATTGGCGTGACCCAACCGAGCCGAGTCACCAAGACGCGATCTCTTGAGAACTGGCCCAGCGATATCGACATCAAACGGGTGACCTCTGGACTACATTCGACAGCCACAGAACTATACTATTTGAACCGAACCTGTCTCTGGGCTGAGGAGTGCCTGAACTTCCTTCATACACTGGCGGTGGAGTGTTCCGACTACATCCACAAACATCCTCCCAGGTGCCCTGAAATGCAACAGGGAATTGAACATGAGACTACGAGGATGAAATGGATCACCGGCAGCCTCGACACGACCAAAGAAAGGGTAGAGACACAGCTGAGCGTTTTGTACTCTGCAACAAGCCAGAGAGAGAACGCGATCGCCCTTGACTACACTCGGATGGCGCAAGAACAGAACGAAATTTCCCTCCGGGACGTGCAGATGAATACGCGCATTGCCACGTCGACGAAGCAGGACAGTATCGCCATGACAACCTTCACCTTCATCGCAGCCCTGTTCCTGCCCGGGACGTACGTCGCCTCGTTGTTCAGCATGAGCATGTTCAACTGGCTGCCCTCGGAGGGTGGCGGTGGCGGTCCGCCAAGAGTTTCAGCCAACTTCTACATTTACTGGTGCATCACAGTTCCGTTGACACTGTTGGTGATGGCCGGATGGTACCTGTGGTATAGAAGGGCGGATCGAGCGTGGCAGAAGGAAACAGGATACAGCCTGAATGACAACACTGGTGCTAACAGACGCATAGAAGTGGAAGTCAAGTCCGAAGGATAACATACTATGGAGAAGGGCAGTAATGGCACACGAGATCATTTTATCAGCGTCGTATCCCTTTGAGAGGTTCAAAGTAGAATAATGGATATGAAGGAAAGGCAGAATGTCAAAAGCGGCGTGATATATGTAGCACATGAGGTTAGAGCACCCGCCTCGCCGCCTCACCCTCGCCGCGTCTGCTCATCCGTCACTGGTTGGAGACTGAACTTGGAATCAACAGCAACCCACCTCTGCATGACCAACTGACGGACCTCTCTCTCAGGCTAGAGCTTGCCTTCATTGTCGTCTACTCAGACTGTTTGTCTCACGTGCGAGGCTAAGTTTATCCTTCAGGTCGCTGCTCCGGACGTCGTCGCAGGAAACCGAGTTGCCTGCGCTGCGGGGATTGAATTGAGCTCAGGATGGATGACCACGGCGAGTTCGACAGCGTCTCATGGCAGAGAGAAGATACACCAGAGGGGGAACCCTCAGCCCCGTTTCCTGGCAATTTGCCCGACAGGTCCGTCAGCGGCCCACGCAGCGACAGCATATCCAGCGAACCACAGGCTGGTGAACATGCGGACAACGTCGACTTGGGCGGCATAGGTCGCGACGGTATCTTGGAAGTTACTGTCGACACCCCGCTCAAGGAGAACGATGGCACAAAAGATGCATATGTTTCGTACCTGGTCACCACTCATGTAGGTTCGTCCCTTGCTTGCGGTGCGACCTTCCGGCTGACCTCCTTCGTAGACCGACTTCAAGTCCTTTCAAAGAACCGATTTTGCTGTCCGGCGACGTTTCACAGACTTTGTCTTCCTCCGGCAGACCCTGCACCGAGACTATCAAGCCTGCGCCATCCCTCCTTTGCCTGAAAAGAACAATATGGCCTATGTTCGCGGAGACCGGTTTAGTACAGAGTTCACCCAACGCCGGGCCTGGTCATTACACCGCTTCCTCAAAAGGTGCACTCTGCACCCGGTATTACGGAGAGCTCCCATACTGCTGTTATTCCTAGAAACAGGAGATTGGAATGCACAGATGCGAATGAGGCCATCACGGAGCAACACGCTGGGCGAAAGCAGCGCGAGTAACGCGACGGCTCCGTCAGGGTTCTTCGATAACGTCGCGGACACCATGTTAAACGCCTTCTCCAAAGTCCACAAGCCCGACAAGCGGTTTATTGAGGTCACCGAACGTGCCAACAAACTCGATGAAGACTTGTCGCACGTGGAGAAGATCATCGCCCGCGTCGCTCGCCGAGAAGGGGACCTTGAGGTGGACTATGCCGACCTTGCCAACAACATGCGCAGACTGACCCCATTAGAACCAGCAATTGAAGCTCAGCTGCAAACCTTTGCTGGCTGTGTGGAAGAATCGTCGAGAGGGTGGAAACAACTGAAGGACCACACCGATCAAAACTACCTGGGAAGTCTCAGAGATATGGAAGCATACATCAACTCGGTCAAGTCGCTCCTCAAGACGCGCGAGCAAAAACAACTCGACTTTGAGGGACTCACGGATTACCTCCAAAAGGCCACCTCGGAACGCGATATGTTGGCCTCCAACAACCCTTATTCCCACGGCAGTAATCTGAACCCGGCAAACTTCATCCGCAGCAAAGTCGAAGACATGCGGGGGGTCGACCATGAAACCGCTCGCCGCGAACGCGCCCGCAAACTGGAACTCAAAATTGCAGAACTCAACCGAGAAGTTGACAGCGCAAAATCCACGAGCGAAATGTTTGATGAGCAGGTGGTCCGTGAAGTTGCGGATTTCGAGAGGATCAAGGGAGTGGAGTTTCGGGACAGCCTGGGGGCTTTGGCGACCCAGCATATGGAGTTTTACCAAAATGTCATCTCGACGTGGGAGAGGTTCCTGGTCGATATGGATGCCGATAAACACATTCACAAAGACAAGGGGAGAGCAGCGGCATAGTGCCGGAACGTGAACCATGGGCGGAAAAAGCCTGGAGTGGACGTTGGACATGCTGAGGCGGTCGATGTGCCCGCTCACAAGGGAATTTCCTTTAATCATGAATGCCAATGAAAGCGTCAGTGATTTGTGTCACTGATCAACTTGATTTCACTTCTCCTTTTCAAGCCTTGACCTGGTGGTCAGCAAAAAGGAAACAATTGAACAAGACTCTATCGAAGTGGCGCTTTGCCAAGCGGTTCTGTCCTCTCTTCTCACACTTGAGCCTGTCTCAAACACAGAGAGCATCGGAGCTTTGCCCTCTTCCTCTATCATTTGAGTCGAGAAGGCATCGATTGAATTCGTCCATATACTGTAGCTGCCTCTCTAGTCCTCGAAGCACAGCTCCTCCAGCTGCAACGGTGGCGTCTTGTAGATCGTGCTCGGGGAAAGTCAGCATTGACGCACTCCCCCCTGTGTGTGAAGGGATAGCAAGTCGTCCATTTAAAATGTCACGCAGAGTTTCATGCCAGATGTGTAGATCTAACGAATGAGCTGTCCATTATTGTTATATAGCCACGGCGCGCGGATAAACCCCGGATAAACTTCGCGTGTCACGTTCACCCAAAAAGTTGCGGTCCTCTATGAATGCGTATATGTTTGTATCTACTCGGTACAAGTTATTCAAAGGACATCTTTAAGATTGCAGCACAATGTCTGTCAGCAAGAAGTACGCTGGCTTGCCAGATCTGGTAAGCTCTCCTCGCCCTCTCCTACCGCCACCCCTTGACAACCGGCTCACCGTCAATGCCTGCAGGACGCTGCCCCCGAGGTATATGAAACGCCAGAACTAGCAGACGACGTCTCCACGCTGCCAACAGGGACAGTGCGCACGGTCTCACCCTCTCCTTCCGACGACGACGAATCCCGTCCTGGGCTTGATCGCCAACCCATCGACCGGGACGGTGCACGGCGGAGGTTTGAACCTTCCGTCGTGGACGCCCGGGATGTCGACTTCTCAGACTCGGTGGCCGGCACGAGACGCGCATATCGAACTCGCAGTGCTCGACGGAGGAGACGGTGGCTCCAAGGAAACGGCATTGAGGAGGGTGGTGATCTCAGTGACAGTGAGGAGGAGACGCTGGCCACAAAACTGGCCAGACTGAAGAGAGAGGCGGAGGAGGTCAGGTTAGAACTGGAGCGGAGGGAGAGAGAAAAAGAGCAAGAGAAGGACGAGGATGGGGAGTTTAAGGATAGTCTGGAGGAGCAGCAGCAGCAACAACAACAACAACAGCACCAAGGAACTGGCGGTGCCGGTGTTGGTGCTGAGCACGACGACGTGGATGTGGATGGTGTCCGGGAACTCAGTCGACTGCTGGACGGGTTGAGCATGAAGGCCAAACTGAAGACCGGCACTTCAGCGGAGGACGAATTCCTGTCGAAATTAAGCTCGAGTTCACTGCACGGCCAGCGACATCCGCAGAAAGACACCAGCACAGTGTCGTCGAATGCAGCAGCAACACCAACGGCAGCACCGACGACTCTCTCGTCTGTGGCCGCTTTCTCCGATCGGCTCACCGCGCTGGAATCCGCCCTGGGCGTCTCCTCGATAAGTGCAGCGTCTCAGACTGGCGCCATCCTACCGACGCTGGCGAGCCTATCCACACAAGTCACCACCCTATCCGCCACACTCGCACCACAATCAACCATGTCAGGAGAGACCTTGTCCACGTCTGCATCGCACACCAACACGGCCCTCCTGGATACCGTCTCTGCCAAACTCAAGACTCTGATCGCCGAGTCCGACCGCCTGGCCGCCTCCCGCAAACAAGCCCTCGCCTCGCTCGCTGACCTGCACGACAAACGGATGCAACAACTCGTCTCGACGACCGTGCACTCCAACACCCGCCCGCGCCTTCGAGGCCTGTCGACCACGAGTAGTGCTGCCGCCGCCGTCATCAGCGCGCACGCCAACGAAAACAAACAAGGAGAAATTACCGCCGCCGCCGCCGGCCCCGGGGAGGAATCCCTGCAGATCCAGAGCAAGCTGTTCCTGGACGAGCAATCCTCCAAAATCACCGCGCTGTACAACGTGCTCCCCACCATTCAGAACCTGCAGCCCCTGCTGCCGGTCGTGCTGGAGCGGCTCCGGACGCTGAGCGTGATTCACAACGGCGCCGCCCAGGCCAAGGGCCTAGTGGACGAGCTGGAACGCCGCCAGGGGCAGACGCGGGAGGAGATTGCCCAGTGGCGGGCGGCCGTCGAGGCGGTGGAGAAGGGCATGGGCGACTTGGAGGCGGTCATGAAGGAGAACGTCGACGTTCTCGGGGGCAGAGTGCGCGAGATGGAGGCGCGGATTGATCGCTTAGAGGGCCCCGGCGCCAGGTGAGAGCGGAGCAGACCAGAGCAGGGGAGGTTGGAAAGGGATTTTTCAAACAAAACTTGTTTAGCGCTTAAGAAAAGAAGCTTGAAGAATGAGTGAGATTGATCCATCCATCATCGCCCGTCCTCATTCATGATATAGTGCCCCCCCCCCCCCCCCCCACGCCCTTTTCAGGATATATAACCTGTTCTCCAGCCCCAGATGCACCCACCATCCCCCTGTCCAACTCGCGCGCGGCAGCATGCCGCCATAGCCTTCTCGGAGCACATCGTGCACGACTCCGTACACTGTCTTCATAGTCTTCCCGTACATGGCTTCGACGAGCCGGGACAGGCCGTCATCTTCTCTGCGCTCGCCGTCCTCCTTGTCCCCGAGCACGAGCAATCCCCTCCCGACGTCCGGTGCCATGATCCGCGGAGCGCCCAGCGCGGGGACCTTGTCGACCACGTCCCACCGGCCGATGACGCGGCCGGGGTCCTCGACGACGACGTAGTCGAACCGCGCCCAGAACATGGGGGAGAGGAAGGCCGTCTGGTTGTCTGATTTGTCGTAGATCCATTTCGTGCGCTGGCTCGACACGAGGGGTGGTTTGTCACCCGACGGCGAGCCGGGGAGGTAGAAGACGGGTCGGCCGTGGCCGCTGAACATGTCGTCGTCGTACGAGGGCGTCGAGAGGAATCGCGTCACGCCGGTCTGCAGCGCGAGGTTGGTCAGGTGGACGCGCACGGTGGGCTGAGGTGCGTAGTTGAGCGAGACGGCGTGCAGCGACATCAGGGCGTGGGCGCCCGGGTAGGTCTGCGCGGACAGTGGGAGGAGGACGAGGTGAGACACCAGGGTGATGCCGCATGTCGCCAGCATCATAGAGTTGACCGCCAGCCAGGAGATGTTCGAGCGGCCGGCCAGGACGGAGAAGTGAGCGGCGACGCGGGCGAAGGCGGCCGTCAGAGGAGGGACGACGGGGAAGAGGAAGCGGGTTTCCTTGTGCGCGAGGAAGGAGTACAGACACACGTAGCCCAATGGCGGCACCAGGAGGTCCAGATTCGAGCGTGCCATGCTGTGGAAGAGGAAGCCGGCGGGGATCAGGCCGATCCAGAAGGGGTTGATCAGCAGCCGTGGCAGGGCGCTGGTGAAGTACCAATGCCAGGGACTTGTGCCCCAGGCAGAGGCCCCGAGGCCGTCCTTGGGCGGGAAGACGTTGGACAAGAACGCCGCCATCTCAGGCCACAGGGGCGTGGGCGACTGCCAAAAATACGTGTCGAGAGCGACGGTCAACATCAGGCCGGCGGCGGTCGCGGTGAGGATGGCCGGGATGAAGATCTTGCGCACGAGAGAGAGCGCAGCAGTCATCTCAAACCCTGCACGACACAGCATCCAGAGGCACTGACAGCCTAGGAGAAGGGCGATCTCGGAGCGGAAGACCACGGCGGCCAGCGTGAGGAGGTACAGGCCGACCTTGGTACGTTTGACACGTGAGTCCGTAGATGATGATGATGACGACGACGACGACGACGTGACGGGAAGGAGGAGGGCGAGGGCAAACGTGCCTGGACATCATCATATCACTTGCGTGTTTAGCAAGTTTCTCTCTTTCTTCTTGAGCTGATCGAGTAGCTTCGATGAAGAGAGGGAAGGGGGGAGAGGGGGCCAACAACATACTTATCCCAAAGGCGAACATGTTGGGCAACGTCCGCGACGCGTAGTACCAGACATGGAACTGGCTCGCCTGGTGGACGACGTACCACGCGGCGGCGAGTTTGCCATATGCTCGCCGCACGTTGGAGGCGTAGTAGATGAGCGCCGCGGCGTTGAAGAGGCCGAGGATGGCGCGGACTGAGTTGGATTTGCCCCGAGTCAGCCAGTTAATCAGTCCATAAATCAGTGGTGATGATAGAATGAATGTGTGGAGAAAAGAAGAAGGACGAGTGTCTCACCGAGAAGCTGTTGCTGAGGGCCGTCGAGATGTCCTACCCACGCAATTGGCTTCGCGATGGCAGCCAGCCACACGGCCCCGACGAAGGTGCGAGGCACGGCTCCAGGAAAGGTCATGTGGTCATAGAAGGCCTTGAACTTGAGATTCGCGTGGCGGGTGGGCACGCCATATTCCAGGATGTCGTGGACGGCTTGGATGTTGAAGGATTCCTCCACTTTGGTATAGGGTGAGATGTACAGGTGGCACAGGACGAGGAAGGGGAATAGCAGATAACATGACTGCCAGAGCTCGAGGCGAGTCATTCTTTCTCCAGCATTTATGATTCGTAGACAGACTCAAATGGCAAAGGGCGACTATGGTAGAGTTGGATGAGGTTGAGGTTGGAAAAAAGGAGATACATAGATATCTTGTCGTATTAGCTTCAGCCTTGTCCCCACAGGCCCCTTTTCACCACATCACAGAGAGAATAATAATAACAATTATATTAGTTATATGTAAGTAAAAAAAAAAGGAGGGTTGATTGATTAACATGGGAATCGAACATCCATCTCAACAACCACCAACAAAAAAAAGTTTAGCAGATCCGATCAAGTTCTATATTACCTTTCCCACTCGAACCCGGTACTCGTGGGTGTTGCGGCTCCTGTCCTCACCCCGGTGGTGAGCGTTCTCGAGCAATCTTACAACAGCCACTTTCCCCTGTCGGTTCTATGACCTACTGGCTGAGATTTTCGTGATCTCAGTCTTCGGTTTTTTGGTCGTTGGCGAGACCATTACTGCGTGAGCAGCGAAGCCAACGTCCTTGGAAAGGCCCCTCCCACCAAACCCACTAAACTTTTGTATATCCCTTGACGCTCGAAGTTCGCAGTTTTTGTTTTGGTCTCTTTACCGCTGTCTTTGTCACTTCTTTCGATTTGGGATATGTTGCAAGGATTTCTGGGTCTTTAATTCATATGTGAACAGCTTCTGACGGGGTAGTGACAGTGAGTGGAGACAGGTGAGGCAGAAAAGACACATGTGGATGGAGAGTGAAGGTCATGTAGATGTTCATTTGCATTGACGGGTCATCATTCCTGTCACTGGTCACCCTTCCGCTGAAGGTCTCACAACTTCTCTTGTGGCTCCCGAGGCAGATGGACCTCCTCCAGCTGTTTGCCGGCAATGTCGAAAGGCAGACAAGACACCGTGGTGGCTATAAATCTCGCGGGCTCCGTCTTCGAGGCGTTGTGCCATCGATGCATGGTGCCCCGTTGGACGATATGATCTCCCGGCTTCAACAAAACCTTCTCTCCACCGTCCAGCTCATGCTCAATTTGCCCAATCACACAGACCGAAAAGTCAATGGACACGGTCCGATGCATGACGCTCGTTCCTCCAGGCGCCAGATCCACGATGAGGAGGTTGACGCCGCTCGGTGTGACGATGCTCGGAGACGTCCAGCTGGTTGGACCGTCGGTGCTCAGATATGCTTTCACGTCCTCGTCGTTCTCCAGTTTGGCCGGAACCGACGACACGGAGAAGGAACGGGCAAGTCCACCCACGTCGGGCACGGGAAAGTATTTCTGGGGAGGCGTGTCAAGATAGACGCTCTTGCCGCTGGCATCGTGGGTGGCTATGTATCGCTTGACAGGGGGCAAGGAGGTGACAGATGTGACCATTTCAGCCATGTTGCTGCAAGTACCGGATGTTGTGGAGATAGGGGTCAGTCAATGGTGCTCTGGCAAAGTTGGGTACCTCTGGAGGATAGGAAGGGTGTGAAATGTGACAAAGCACGCCCCCCAAACGTCTTATATAGACTAAATCGGGCGCGTGTCGTGTTCCTCCTGTCTGAGTCAGTTGGTACATGTGGCAGTTTCCAAACCCCGCCTCTGCCCGCTATCTGATATCAAATGGTATGAGTGGTGCGGAGAGGGAATCTCTCCCCTACCGAGTATTCCATGGAGATATCCTCGGCACCCAAAGAGGATATCAACCCGACCATATTTTATGGTACCCATTGATATTATGCATGTGCTCCTGTCGCAGACCCCCGTACATGGATGGGTTCGTACGGTCCCCAGGAGCTGATGTGAAACATTAGTTGCACACAACGAGTGGGTTTCCAAAAAAGGTTTCCCGACGAGGCTGGACGAGGCCGAAATCCGAAACATCTGGCCTAGTGAGGGTATACCATGCTTTTGAATTGTTGGCAGAAGGAGGGGTCCAGCTCCGGCGGATCGCGTCTGATTATCGCTGGAGCTCGTTGGGGAGTTTAGTTGCTTGCATTGGAGAGATAGGGAGGTATGTAATATTAGCTCGCTTGGAGTAATAGACGTTGTATGGCATCGGGTGCTCGGCTGTATATTTTTCCGCGCCGATCTTGCTTTGCTGGCTTCAACACTTCAGACATCATCGACCTTGTGCTTTGGTGCACCCTGATCCCACGCTTCAACTTGTAAGTGACTTGGAAGAATCTCGCCTAGATCATTGTATCTCTTTCTTCTAATACCTGGGGCGTCCACACCGGTCAATCGCGACAAAATGCTCAGTCTCTTCGGCTTTGGCCCATTCATCTATGGTGAGTGCTTCAGCAGTACCCGTGGAATATGCAAGACCGATATCCTCCTCCTCCTTCCCTGACAGTAATGCTGTGAGACTAACAGACTTTCCTGGTGATAAGCAAGTTGCCTTCTCCTCAACGCTATCGCCATCCTCTCCGAAGATCGCTTCCTCGCTCGAAGTATGTCCTACCAATCCTGCATGCAATTCTCATACCTCTTACCGTTACTTGTGTCCCCCACCGCCAGTCCTTCATGGATATCAAGATGGAGGAAGGGCAAGAGGCTAACACATGCCCTTGGCGCAAACAGTTGGCTGGGGCAAAACCTCTCTAAACGACCCTTCCACCGGCGCTGCGTTCGGTGCTCCCACACAAGACCCGGAAAGCTTTCGTAGCAAAGGCATCAACCTGATTTCGAGTGTCCGCACACTATGTCGCGGTGAGTGACTCCCCCCCAAAAGCTGGCTTGGCCGACACACTGTAAGGCGAGGGTGGCATCGAACGTTTTGTGCCGTGTGCTAACGGATTGTCAATGTTGGGGGGAGAAAACAGTCCCGCTGATCCTGGTGAATTCGTTAATCATCATTTATGAGATTATGCTCGGATGATGATGCCTACTACTCCAACAAGAGAATCAACGAGCACAGTCTCTGATTCGGCTATCCATCGACACACGAACCAGAAATATGCCAAAGCTGCAACGCTTCGCCTGGACACTTACAGCCCCAGTCGGCCATACTCGGGTGATTCAAAAGCCTTCCCGAGCGCCATCGTATCTGCAGTCATCCCCGGTTGATACGCGCCAATATATCAGTATGTATATGTCAGTCGTCAAAGAATCCACAAATCCGAATTCGACAGATAGAGGCGTCGCATACTGTTCATTTACAACCCGTTTCAATTGACCCGGAGTCCTGGGGAAGACGTGTGCCTCAGTGCAAGATACCACCACCACAAGCAGTCGCTGGCCTTATCGAATCTCGAAGACATCGGTCTAATTACTTCAGAGCCCCCACCCACATGGACTTGACCCGGACCAGGCCCCCAGGTCGAACCAGTCTACCGGCGGGCCGGCAGCTCGGCGACATGCCAACAATGTTTTCGCAAGTTACCCCCCGGTTCCTCCAGACACGCACGTCGGAGTCTTCCCACTGTTTTAATGAGCCGAGGAGTGAAACAGAACGGGACGTGCGAAGAGTGGTGCAGCAGCAACAGGAGGAGATCCTTTTTCTGATCAAGAGAGCGAGCGCGGCGCATCTCCAGGGGTGATGAGGTAGCCAATGTCTGCCAGGACGGACGGGATCGGTCGACTTGATAGGAGGAGCTCAGGGGACAGCTAATCGAATGGTCATCCCTTACTACTTCTACTGCTGCTGCTGCTGCTGCTGCTGACCAGCAGACGATGCCGGGAAAACCGCAAGACGAACGAATCATGGAGATAATTCCGTGCAGGCGTTCACGAGCGCTTGAATGTTTCAGTAATTCAGAAGTTCTCGCAAGAAATTTATATTCAAAATTCGTCTTTTGTTTTTCTTTCACCTATATGCTTTTTTTCTGGGTTATGACTCCCCCTCCTCCTCTGCAGGCTAGCATGTGTTCACGTTCATTACACCAACCACTGTGCACTTTCGCTTCGCCATCCGCGCCGTAAATGGAAAGGGAAATGGCAGGGCAGGTCGGGAAGGGATTCCCATCTCCCCCTCAAGGCCAACCGTGCCTTCATCCCTCCGTAACGGAGGCGGACTGCAGCACGTGAAGGCGACGCGCCCACAAGTGGTTCTCTGTCCAACCCGATATCGAATTACAGCCTCAGCAACTGCCGCCTCCCGACCTCTTCCAGATCACCAAGCTGGCCCCGGGTCATTGTAAGCCAGGACCAGCATGTTTCCAACCCGTCGACTGTGCCGCCAATGACCGTATATGTACCGCAGGCGCAACAGACAGACCGCCGGGCAGGGATTGAGGGCTTACCTCCATTCCACTGTCGTAAAGATGCTCCCGAGCTGAATATTTGTTCGACACCCGCCAGAAAGCAGTGATGAAACATGTGCGGAGGAAGTGTCGTGCTGGCAATGAAAGCGCCACGTAAATACTGTCGTCACCGTGTGAAGCTTCATAACCAGTCGTAAAAATCGAGAACGTGCGAGCCACACGTGAAGGTCGTCCGGCTGACAACGGACACAAAAATATCAACGGTTTCGTGCTGTCTGGAGTATAAATCCCATGTAGACCAACCATGACAAGATTCCCAAACATTCATTTCGCTTCGTCGGCTTCTAATGGTCCGTTGAACGATATATATGTGCAATCAAACACGAGTCGCAGGTAGTCCATTGGTAGGTGTGCGAACACCGGCGTCTTCCGTCATGACAACACGCCGAACGACTTCTTTCGAATGCTAAAACGATTTCTTTTGTCTTTCTCCTTGTCTTTCTCTGGAGGCTCCGCACTCTCTGGTGTCACGGTCGGAACCATATTCTCCTCGGACGGATTTGATGGCGGCTTATCTCTTTTGGTTAAGGATCCAAACCGTAGACTCTTCGTTCGTTTGAATCGATCCAGACCCGAATGACTACTTCCGTTTGCTTGCGTGGTGTGCGCTCTTTCGAGAGCATTTCGCTTATCTTCCTCGGCCTTTGTAGCCTTACTTGCCTCCATTGCCGCCTTAAGTTCCGCTTCTTGTCTCTTGTGCGCTTCCGTGATTTTGTTGGCCAAGTCTTTGCGGCGTTGTCGTTCAGCTTCTTGTCTCTCCTTCTCCGCCTGTTTCTCGGCCGCTTTCCGTGCCTTCTCTTCTTTCGCCTTTTCCTTTTTGCTCTGCACAACGGGACTTGTTGGTCTCGCGGCAGAGAGAGGAGGGGATTGAGGAGTTTCGACATGCCCGTTGGTCTTGAATTGAGGTGGCGCAGTCACAGCATGATCGAGCACAGCGTATTGTGCGGATTCAGCGGGGGACACCGGAGAGCCCATCGGGCTGAAGGTTTCGACACGATGCAACTCTGCTGAGCGTTTGGCATCGACGCCCAAGGGATTGGTCAGATCCTGTGAAGCTCGTCTCTTTCCTTCCATCCTCTGTTCCTTTTGGACGGCTTCCAGGGTGGTCTCTTGATAAAACAGCACATAGGCGCACGCAAGTCCCGGCTTATCTCCGAAGAAGTTGCGGACAAAGTTCTTGTCGACAGGTTCCACCATCTCGTCGTCAAAAAGCAGCCAACCCCGATCCTGCGTCTTGATGACGGCGACGTAGTGGCCATGATACGGCCCTCCACCGATATGAACCACCACCGCATAGAGCTCATAAAGTCGGTCGGGATCCTCGGCATCGTCCGTAGTGTTGAAGAGTCTTAAATGATAAGGATACACGACCTTGTGGAATAACTTCTGCAAACGCCCAAAATCCTCGGTATACTTAAAACGCTTAAGGTGCAAGGCCAATATTCGTGGAAGTCGCTTGATCTTCATTCGCTTCTCGGCTTCCTGAAGGCCACCGCAGTTGTCGCAGTGGAACTTGTTTCGCTCGCACAGCATCTCCTCTTCAGAAAATCGACGCAAACATGCAGTGACGGATGAATGCTGTTCCAAATCGACCGAAAGATCTAGAAAAGGTTCGTCGCGCTGAGAAACGTTTTCGCAAGTCAAGCACCTTGTTTCAGAAGTGAGTGTGCCCTCAAAAAGGCCATGAAGCCATTTTGTTGGAGAATTCGCGGTCGGAACTGGTAATATGGAGGGAAATGATACCGTCGCTGATTCGGTTCTTGACATGTCGGCGGGTTCTTCTATCGCCGGGGGAGGCTCCGCCACCTTTTTCTGTGCAATCAATTTCCTGTCGTGATCTTCGATGTTTTCCACCACGGTGTTGAGGAGGAGGTTGAGAAACTCGTGTGCATCCTGGTGCATGGCAGACCTGAACATCTCATTCTCCTTGCGAAGAACTTCAAGAAATCTGTGCCCGCTCACCACCCCCATCCTTGACTGGTGCAGGACGATGGCCTCGAATATATCCTTTAGCGATGTGAATAGGCTTTCCGGCATGTCATAGTCCTGCGAGTTATCGTAAGTCATGTTCAGGATGGGGCCCGACAAAATCGCCTGTTTCTTCTTGTACTCCGGCGAGTCTTTATCCTCTGGCTTCTGTTGTTGAGGGGGAGTCCCTGCATTTCGCGCGGATGCAGGTCCTGGTGGTGGCTTCTTCGCAGCCCCATTTTGTTGATTCGGTGGTACCCGAGGAGGAGCGTGCAATTGGGCGTGGGTGACAGAGTCGGGGTTGGACCGGCGCGGGTACGAAAGGACGTGTTCTCGGAAAGGGACAGAATAATAGAGGCACTGCAAGATCGAGTTGCAGTAGCTGCGATAATCAGACCAAGAACCCGTGATATTGATGGTATTTCAGCACTGACCAGCTGTTTCCGAACTGCACAAGATGCTTTGTTAATAATGGAGGTAAGGGGGGGTTTTTTTCTTAGCGAGACTAAGACATACGTTTTCCATGCCAAAGAACTTATCGCTGCCATCGTTGCGAAGCGGACCAGCATTCGCAAGCATGCGCTCGAGAGGGGTAGGTAGAGGCGCATTTGCGTCCTTTCTGGCGGGAGATGCGCCTACTGCCGGGGCAGACGCATTCTATAGAGAGAGAGAGCAGGCCATTAGTTACCATCCCACAGCAGCCGGCAAACCAAGACCGACCAGAGAACTTGCGCGAGCCTTCACCGGGTGTATGGAGGAGAGATGAAGGCTCGATTCGTCTGGTTTCCTGACTCACCTGGCTCTTGAGCTTTCCAAAGAAGGAAGTCATGGTTGAGGCGCCTCATCTGCAGACACCCGAATACATGGGCAGATTAACTAGAGTCCAGTCAGGCTGGAGAGGAGGGCATCGGGAGGAGAGTAACAGTAGAGCAAGCGGGAGGAGGCGAGGACGGTGCAGGAGGTAGCAGAGCGGTAATTGTCAACATCAGCTTTGAAATCGGTAGGCTCTGAGATGGTGGTAGTGGAAGTAATATGGTAGCAGTACGAGGAGTAGTACTCCTGCTTGGTAGGTAGGCAGCGAGCTAGCAACGATCAACCAGGAGTAACAATGGGTGGGATCCTATCCCGTCTCGTGGTGACTTAGGTGCAGACAAGGGTCCCGACTCGTGGTTTGTGGCGGGGTGGGCATGGGCAAGCGCAGCAGCCAAAGGCGACCAAGTTCTGGCTCTGGGGGCGCCGGGCCATAGCGAGCGCCTTGGATCCTGGTTGCATGCATGGCTTCAACGCCGAGGCGCCTTTTGGTGCTCGTCGCCTGGAATAGTGGCAATTGGTGAGAATTCGGCTGCACACCCGCCAACTAAAACGAACCCGCCCCTCCATCACAAAGCCCGTCAAACAACCCCCCTCCCCCTTCCCTTGGAAGGCGCAGTGTCACCCACGGACTTGAGCCAAACTGGTCATTCACTCAAAATCGGCATCAACACTGATGGCCTACTGTCTCCCAAAGAGTCCTGCGATCCATTGTGTCGCACAGCCTTACTGTGAGCAATTGTCAAGCACTAACGGGCAAGGGATGACAGGGACGAACTCGCACCCTTGTCTCCTCCACGAGTGTTTGACTTGGGTTTTTCCCTCCGATCATGGGAAGTCTCCGTCTCGCCCAAACGGCGTGCGCCTCGCTAGCCCATTTCCAGGGTGCTCAACTCAACTGCCGCATGTGCCTGGTGTCTGCAGGAGCAAACGTTCTAGCGCCCACCGTTGACCACCTACGGTACAGCCATTCTCCATCCATGACAGCTAACAAGGGTTACAGATCGCTTGAGGAGCGGAGGAGTGATGGGAAGGTCGCATACGCGATACCATCCACGGAAGCACCAGAAGCACCAAATGCGGGCGACTTACTCTCCCCCTCCAAGGTCTCGTTCGCCGCCCATCACGCCAGGGATTCGGTATCGAACCTTCCTCCCTTCTTGACCTCGTCCGTCACCTGTGATCGCCGGCGGTTAATGTGGAAATCGGCAAAGTCGGACCACCCCATCAGCTAGTTATCCATGCTGTCAAACTTCCCGCTTCCTTCTTAGAGGCTGAGCACGGGAGCCTTTTCTAGAATTTGCCTGATATCCAGCAGGAGAGTCGTTTCCACGTCCATTTGTCACTCCACATCTCGTTGTACGATATTATGGACAAATGCTGATCCACAAGGGAACGAGAGCTCGAGAAGCAGGTGATTATTTAGATGCCTCCGCAAAGAATGTTCGAAGGCTTCGCTGCAGAACTCCACGTGGCGGAGCAGAGTTTATTAGGTTCAAGCCAGAGGTAGGTGGACTCTACCCCCTTTGACCGCCGGATCTCAGATTTCTTTGCCCAGCACCAGCCAGCCAGGCACTCCGACGTCCAAGTCCGCCATGAGTTTGTGATCGGCACCTTTGGCGACACTGCCCGCACGGAGTCTCTCGCTTGGTCAAGGCCATCTCAGCACTGCCATTCGTAGTCAGATCTCGAGGGCCTGGTCTCATGACAGCACAAGGGATTGCCGACCCTTGTCGACCATTTTGCCGGTGAACGAACTGCATATAACATCTCCTTCGAAAACGAGTGGGAGCTCGTCGCCTGCCCCGTACCTGATTCTTAGCCTTTTGCGCAATTCTCTGGGGTAACGTGCATTCGCTACATGAAGCGATATTCCGAAATGAGTCTGGGTCACTGCAATGGTGGCTGTTGGAAAGAGAGAAACCTGCAGCGACCTGCATGTACGCATAGGCACGCTCCCGGAACAAGTCTACGGAGTTGCAAAGGCTAAACAAATTCCAAGGCATTCAAGAGACAGTCTAATCCAAGGCGAATTCTTACTCTGGAAGGGCAAGATAATAAATCAAATATAACCTTACACGATTCGCGCGCAGATTAGTCCCGCAATCGCAGGATTTCAGTTAAGAACTCCTCGAAGCTCATGGTGACATAACCGTCCCGGTCGTCGTCGTATTTCTTAAAGACGTCGGTCATCCTTTTCAGACTGATGCACGACTGCACAAATAGATCAAAGCTCATGCCATGGCCCTGAATGGGGCTTCGATCGTTGAAGGTGTTGTAGAGGATGTTGACAAAAGGCGGCGACAACCGATATCCAAACGCCGTCAGGGCCTTGGAGAACTCTGCCAACGATATTCGGCCGCTCCTGTCCTCATCGAATTTCTCGAACAGAGTGCGCCAGGCGGCTAGAAAGCGCCAAAGATTTTCAAACTCTTGGTAGGTGATGGTCGGGCCTTGGGGCTGGTTTGGAGGAGAGTTGGTGAACATTCGCATCAACGAAGAGATGGTTCGGCCATCAAAGGGGGTGAAGTCGGCATTCACCAACGCCGATCCCAGCTCCGTCGTCGTGAGAGACCCAGTTCCTGATGCATTTGCGGCACGGAAAAGAGGCTGTAAGTCAACCGTATCAGGATCTTGAGGTGCAGGTGTCCTGGGCGGATATTGGTTTGTTTCGTGCGAACTTCGTCGCGGGCCGGGAGGATCATACGGGGGCCGCGCTGCGTAGCCGTAGCTCGTTGGAGGGGGTGATTGTAGGCGAGAATACTGGCTGTCAACGTAAGGCTGATTGTGTATAGGGCGTTGCTGTTGATTGATTTGCCCAGGAGGCGGTCGATAGGAATTTTGGGGGATGCCCGCAGGGGAGGGACGACGGCCGGCAGCTGACGGAGGCTGCTGCTGAGGGACCGGATTCAGAGGAGCCTGGTTTGGGCTGGGACGAAATTGTTTACGATTTGCTTCGATTTGACTGAGAGCTTGCGCCGCCTGCTCGGGCTCTGCGTGACTGTCATGAACAATAGTCAGTGAGTTGGTCCTTCTTCGATTTCCCAGTGATGTGGGGGAGGGGTAGGTAGGTGGCCGTACGCAGGCAACGCATCGGGGTTGAACGCTTTGTTGTATGCCATGAGAGATGGACACGAGAAGGATGACAATCACTTGTCAATCTACCAGAGGACGAAGTTCACACTGTGGTTGAAGAAGACCACAATCCATAGTTGATCATTGTGCGGCTGACCGAGAGTCGACGCTGGTAAACTAGATGTTTTCAGGATGACGATGCCTGGGACTCGGAGGCTGAAAGCTGAAGTGGGCGCAGGCAAACAATGGCTTTTCGGGGGCTGGCTTCTGGGCGCAGTTTCCCCCAAGTCTATGTATTTGCGAGCACCTAATGGTAGCCTGATGCCTCACCTCGGCTCCCAAAAGGAAAAGCCCGGCTAGGAGACTTATCGCAAGGCTGTAAATTCGGTCTCAATTCGGCTATGTTTGACCTCTAAAGGACCCAGTGACAAAAGGTTGGCACTTCCACTCGCTATATGAGACAATGGGTGACCGTGGACAACACGAGAAGACCTTTCCTGTCGCCCATCCTGTCGCCCATCCGTCAGGTTGGTGACTAACTCATGACTAACATCATTGTTCGAATAATCGCGATAGGCGTCGCTCCGCTATCTTTGCCTGGTTCCTCCGCTTCCACTCGGGTTTTGTGACAGCCCTTCGGTTGGTCGGCGTCTCTCCCGTCCTCTCTATCCGAATGCAGTCGCCGTGATGGTGGCACGAAGCAAGACATACATAGTACCGGTAAGCTTGAGCTGTCCATCTGCCAGGTCATTCCGCTGAGACTCGACTCAGCAAGCCTGAATTAGTGTGCATGAGATCTGCCAGCTGGCTTCAGGCGGCGGGAGAGATCCGTAGCACCCCTGGCACCTCAAACAGTTGGCCTGATGTTTAGCTTCTCCAGGCTGTTCTTTTGTACCTAGCTGGGTGGCAGCTACCCAGTAGGGAGCGGTTAGGCTGCTTAACTAATTAGTGGCCGCGCTGGTGGCGCTGGTGACCGGAGCCCCGTTGAAGGGGGCGCGTGGCTCTGCGTTCGTCTGCTTCGCCTGTCCCACTCAGGCGCCCTCGTTAGGCACCGGAAGACGCCTATGATCCTCCCGAGAGCGACCAGTGCTGCAAATGAATTCATCATCGGTGGCTCTCTTTTCCTCCTTAGTCGAGTTAGTCGTTATATATGTGCACCTCCTTTCTGCTGCTTACATATACCTCGTACTCCTGTTGACTTGGACACCAACGGCCGCTGCACTTTGACCACGCCTGAGTTCAGGTTTTCGACCGACGCCGCCGTCCTGTCTCCCCCGACGCCCAATCGTTTCACAAGCCGTACGAGTCAGCCTTCCAGCATGAGCCCAGTCCATACGCAAGACTTCTGGCTCTTTGGCTATGGGTGAGCGAGACCGCCTCTCACCAGCTGCATCGTCATGATGTCGACCACTGACTCGTGCTCTGCCACGGTAGGAGCCTGATATGGAAGCCGCCTCCACACTTTGGTAGGAATCAAGTGCTGTCCCAGCGTCAGTGAAGATCTGAACTCATGGGAACTAGACCAGCGGATTCCAGGATATATCAAAGGTTACGTTCGGCGCTTCTGGCAGGTAAGGGAGGCATCGCGGCAGCCTGTGACAAGTCAAACACCAACTGACAAAATTTGACAACTAGGCAAGGTAGGTCTCTCCCGCACACCCGTCAACTCGCTTTGTTGAGCAAACCCTACCAGTGAGGACCATCGTGGGACCCCTGATGCTCCAGGAAGGGTGGTCACGTTGATTGAGAGATCTTTTTGGGAAACGCTCGACGACCCTGTACGACATACACCTCAGTCCTCGTGTTTACACCTCCCTTGTGTATGACTGACATCCATCAGCAACGCCATACAGAGGGAGACGTGGTATGGGGTGTGGCCTATCATATCATACCCTCGAAAGTGAAAGAAGTCCAAGAGTACCTGGATATTCGCGAAATGTATGCTGTCCCGACCGCTTCAGAACTGTTTTGCTGACCACCTGAGTAGAAACGGATACAGTATCCAATACACCCCTTTCCACCCAGCGGACACTTCGCTCGCAGATCTTCATTGCCTGGTCTATATCGGTATGCCCGACAACCCTCAGTTTCTCGGCGCTCTTCCGCCCCACGAAGTGGCAGAAACGATCAATGCCAGCATTGGTCCAAGTGGGGAGAATAGAGAGTACCTTCTCCACCTCGAACAGGCCCTGAAGGAACTGAGTCCAGACAGCCACGATGAACATATCACGGACCTTGCCCGACGGGTCCGAGCTCTCACGCCACCTCTTAGAAGCTCGCGCCGCCAGTTTGCATCCGACAACGCCTTGCGTAAAATCAACAGTACTGAGGAGCAGGAGGAGATAGAGAAGGAAGTATGATTGCTTGTGGTATGGACATTCTTGGATATCTCTGATGGTGTGGCCTCGATGCTTTCGAGGGGAAGTCAGCGGTGCGGTCTCCAACCGACAGTTCGGTTCATCAGCGGTCGAACTCGGTGGGTATCTCTGCACAATCAAGTCATTCTCCCCGACCTGCTTGGTCTATTGTCGATGTGGCCCCTGCTGGCCATAAGGGTTGCTGCCCCCTTGTTGTTGCCCTCCACCATAGGGACCTCCTGGATGTTGGTATTGCGGATTGTACTGCCCATATTGAGCGGGATACGCTGCACCTCGGCCGGGTCCCAGCGGGTTGGGGTTTCGTGGTTGGGTCCCAGGCTGTTGGTAACCACCGGGCGCCATGGGCATTGTATATCCACCTCTTCCAGCGAAGCCACCACCGCGACCCGGGGCCCCCGGCCTGTTGTCCTGGGCATGATCTACTCGAATCAGACGACCGTCGAATCTGCTCAAGACGTCAGCTTCTGAAGGGTTATGGGTGCTGTCCTGTCGTCTCACTCGGTGTTGTTCATCCTCTGAAGGGCTTCATCGGCTTCCGCTTTCGTCGCAAACCGCACAAATCCAAACCCCCTGCTGCGATTTGTGTCGCGGTCTTTGACGACAACCTGAACGACATCAGCCTCTCATTCACCAGTCGTCGACGTATCGGTTACCGCCTCCTCCACTTTCCCGAATTTCTGGAAGCCTTCGTGTAATGTTTCGTCGGTAGTGTGCCAGGCAAGACCTCTGTTGGAAAGATCATGTCAATTTTCACCTGAAGAGCTGCATTTGTAAGACTTCGGGCACATACCCAATGAAGAGCTTCGCCATAGTGCAGTCGGTTGGCCACAGCCGGAGACGATACTGTCGCAAAGTACTTTCGGCCCCCTTCAAAGTAAGCCCCGGGAGCGGTCTGAGATGCGCAGAACTCACCGCACAATGTCACGGATATTGAAGAAGAGTCAATAGTCAGGTTTGGGTTGTCATGAAGATCTCATTGGTCGAGAATATGCAGTGGTTCATGCAATCTATCAATTAGAGCGTCTGCAGTTGCGCCCCAATCAACAACAGACTAGCATCGATATCACGATTTCTTGTGCCTCTGGACGCCGGGTGAAACGGTGACAAAAGGAAGAAGAGTGGGTTCCGCAGAGCGGGCAAGATGCCCTCACTTAAGATCAGCGGGCTTTTGAGGTTTCACGTGGGAAGAGCAAAGCGCTTCTCTTATATGTGGTCAACAGCGGAAGAGTATAGCGGCACCCAACTGTGACAGAAGGCCAGAACTTGTTTCCGCGCAGCCGGGATGTTGGTACCGATTCTCTGCGACGAATACAAACCACGAACGGGCGCCGTTGACGCGAAGATGACTTCTTGAAAGTTCGACACCCCAAGACTTCCGGAACCCAGCAAAAACCAGAGTGGAGTGCACAACCACTCCTTCTGGTGCGCTGCGTGCCATCGTGATAGGGTGATGTCAGGACGGTTGAAAGATCGTTCAATACTTTGGGTGGTGTCAATGCACTGCTGATACGGTGGATTCAAAGGTAGTGGAAGCACGGCTAACAGTGGGCCTACCCAACAGGAGATCTTCCAGGGCAGCGGAAGCCGTGTTGGGTAGAAAAGTCGTTGGTCCAGGACACCTTTTTATTCCCTGGACCTACGATATAGCAAGTCTCTATCACTCGCCAGAGTTTGCATATCAGCCCTATAGGCAGAAAGCCTATTTGCGTGGCACTACGGTGAGAAGTTCTCCAGAACCCCCGAGGCAAAGGGGTCTTGTGCTGGAGGTCAAGAAACGCAACAGCAAGATCAATACGGGTGCTTTTATGTTCGGTTCGTGCAGACTGCAACAGGTCGTGAAAATGACTCGCTAGGCGGCGTTGGATTGCAGGAAACAGTCCGCACAGATGGCGTAAATGGGGCAGCCGTCTAAGAAAGGGGCAGGTGATGCTCGGGCGCCACGAGCTTGACCGCTGATTGCACCTTGGGTAAGGAGGGCTGCAACAGAATTGATCGAGCTCGATCGATGGAAAATGCCAACGGAGGGGCATGATTCTTGTTGCACTATTGGGCGCATTTCACTGGGTGATTGGACCTCATGCCCTTATCAGTGACTCCTACTGGCAAACTCGAGCAACAAAATACCCCGCCTCCGGAAAGGTCTTGAATTGAGGTGGCAGATGAGAGGAAACTCGAGGCGCGACGAGCATTTGCTGGATGGGGTTTGGATGGGTCGACTCTGAGCATTTGGCGGAAGAGGAAATGGTCTAAGTGTAAGTGGATGCGCCAGAGATGACAGTTGGGACTGACTCAGGACGAAGAGATGAAGGTTGATGCAGGCCTGTGAAGCTAAGGATCCAAACTTTATAGAGGCCATCCATCCGGCTCTGGCTGGGAAGCGATGGAAAGAGATGGAGAAGCGGGCATGCCAACTGAGGGCGTCTGGCTGGTTGTGTGTGGATGGGGAGTTGAATCCTCATCAAGTGCCACCAACGCCATTGAACCCGGGCGGGGTGAGAGCTTTGTGTGGTGGGAGTCGACTCGACGAAAGGCCGCCGCATGAGACTAACCGCCAACATGCTCTAGCGACCCTCACAACGGCCGAGCAGCCTGCGGTCAGAGTCAAAAATGAGCACAACGCCGACACTAGAGTACCTGGATTCAGCAAGACGGAACTCTCAAAAGGGAGCAGCAGCTTGGCTGCCTTCTTGACAATCTGTGCCCGAAGCTCCAAGTCTTCTCCGAGGCCTCGACGCGGACAGCTCCACCATGGCGACAGGGCCTAGCAAAAAGCACGAAATCCTCCGATATGGACTAACCCGCTCCCTGGAGCAAAACGTCTATCAACCCATCCCCCAGTGAAAGGGCTCCACCTACACTCGACACCCAGGTTTGGAGCCTGTACAAAGGCCCTCCAAATCCGACCACGCTCCTCACCGACTTCTCACCTGCCCGTGCCGCTCTCCGATGACCTCTGGTTGATTACCTGACCAGATTACTATTTTGGGGGACATACATTGGCCAGTTCGTCTCTATCTGGGGTTGAGACCCGAGAGCAGTGCTCGCAGAAGAACCAAGAGTGAACGATCAGAGCACAAGGCGCCCGCCAAACCCCCAACTCTTCTCGCCCTCATTGCCATGGAATCCCAATGATGGCAGCGGTATCTTGGTACGTTTCTTTGTGCATGAAGAACTGCAAGATCAGAAGGTTATCGCATGTAAGCTCGACTGGGGCCCTGCAGAGATGATCTGCAGTCAGCCCTATGAGTGCCTGTGATCCACATTTGGCCTCCTTTTCGCCCCAGCCTTAACCATCGGTATGTCTCCGACCAGGTAAAAGGAGCAGAATAGTAACTCAGCTGGGGTTGTGTCGCATTCACTCTGGAGCTTTCCATCTTCAAAAGCATCTGGCACCTTCCTCACAACTCCGTTCAGAACGTGGTGGCTGCGCTTTCCTGGTACGGTCGACGACCGTGGCGGCAACACCAACTGCACACGTCTATACCTGAAGTATGGGTTCGACTTCTGTCTGTGGGAAGACGCCGTCTATGGGGACGCCTATGACTTGGCAAATATGACACCGATCTGCCATCCCAACAACAGATGTCTTCGTTCGGACGCTCAACGTTTTCTACTTCCGAAGCGGTGCATCGATGGCTCTTAGGTGTGGAGGAAGGCTCTGTTCCCTTCAACCCGGAAGATACATATCCGAATGCACCATGCCGCACAGTAAAGTGGAAAGGCAAGATTTTGATGGAGTGAGCCGAGACGCGACATTGCTGACATGGGGTAAAACAGAAACCCGACGGACTCAAGAACCACTTTCGGAATTCTTTCACTCAAACCAAGCTGGAGCCACATACGAGGGTCAGCACAGCAGCGCAGGGGAGAACACCCGTTCTAAGAAAAGGACGAGTGATCAGGCCGAGCTCGGCCCGCCAGCTGACAGCCTGTATCTCATCCAGCGGGGGGAAGACAGTGCCAAGAAGCTTGAAGATAACAATGTCACGGATGCAAGCGAGAAATATGCCAGGAAACGGAGGCACAAGACTAGACCAGACAGATACGAATACAAGGACACAATCGAAAAGCCTTCGAAGAAGTGGGAGTTGAAGATGAGGGTAAAGAAAAGGTCGGCAGGTCCACTAAATCACGATTTTCAGGCCCCAAACGTGGCCAGCGAAAGGTTAACACTCAAGCCCAATTCTGGACCAGGGTTTCTTGACAAAGGAAAATCTTCGGCCGACGCAGGGAAGAGGGAACTGCCGGATCTGACCTTCTCGGAAATGACATTTCTCAAAAGAAAGAGGCTGGAGGATGATGCACGCTTTCCCAGGTTGAAAGAACAGAGTCTCAGAAAGCAAAGCTCCGAGTCGCTACGTCGTGAGATCTCTGAGTTCTTTTCTCCACCAGCAGGGATGGGACACGAAGGAGAATGTTTGAGCAGAAAGCGTTCGTCCGAATCCTTTGTCTCATGGTCAGCCTTGCCCCTACAGAACCAACAATTGAGTTCAGCCGCGCAGCCATGTAGATCAGAAAGCATTCGTCGTCACGAAGCCCACAGTCGAACTGCTCCATCAATGGTTCGTCCACCGAGTTTCTATGGCGATGACCGTCTGGAAAAATTCACAACCAACGCACTCTTACATGGAGTCGAAGGCTTTGCCACAAGAGAAAAGAGATGTTACTCGTTGAGCGATCTGAAGAAGCTAGCTGCGCAGGCGGCCTCGGACCTTGCTGAAGACGAGGGACCTCGTCATGATATTTATACGGTGAGCAATGCCAATGCCTCGACCAATCGGTTGCACTTGTCGATGCCTCCTATATCGACGAAGATCCGAGATTCTCCTCACCTAACCAGGTCCCGGTCACACCGGAATCTGTCTCAGGCTGCAGACGACTGCAACGAGGTGGAAACTGGGTGTCCCGGGATGCAACCTTCGAACCACAATCGAGGACAGTCGCACTGGGGCAGAGGCAAGCCGGATATTGATCGAATCACGTCTCCCAAGTCTGTGGCCCGAAGGCAACTTGTTGGCCCTGCCTGCTGCCCTTGGCCTTTGTGCAAAAACACTTCGGAAATGCCAGGGTCATCTTATCATACCCGTTACTCAAAAAACCAATCCACGGACGACGTATTCCCTGTGCGTGCGGACAGTAACTTGGATATACAGGGACGTGCCGCTGATGCTACCCATACCACTTGTCCGCCACCAGCAGAGACAACCGTCGCTAGAAACTCGATGAATGAAGCCGAGGCATTGGATACTCTTGTTGGGTCCTCAGGCGACTTGGATGAGTTTGACAGAAAGCTGTTGCGACTAGGGACTGAGCTGGCGCTGTCGGATTCGGAAGTCATTGGTGACCGAGAGTCTCGCCTATATGGAATCGACGTCGAAACGTCTTCCCGAGACGTAGGTGGCTCCTGGTGCGACTCTGCCCTGGACAGGGCTCCAGATCGACAGCGAACCCATGACTCGGTCAGAAGACATTATATACGTAACGTACCAATGGACAGCTCCCTGTCCCACGACTGCCACGAACTGTCTCAATTGCACCATCATGTACCTCAGGGTGCTCCCGAGGCATTCTCGGGAATCCCTCGGCGACACATTCTATATTGATCGTGGGTATATAGGAGTAAGGGCCAGAGGAAGATGTAAGGTGGCTGATGCAACCCCAGACTCTGTACGCCTTTCCGCTTTTTCCGCTGACCTCCCCCCTGCTCGTCTTCGTGTCAGCTGCTTACCCCGTGGCCGAAGCAGCCAGCGTCTGGCTGCTTCGGCCAGATGCAAGTCCGCCTTCCAAGCGCAGGGTACTTTTGGACGTCATGGGGTTGGCTTGTCGATCGCGTATTTGAAGAGCCGGGGCAAATTTCTGCTGGGGGATTTCTAATTGAACGTCACACTGGGGTAAAAGAGCGCGTAATTGGGATGACCTGTTCGAGAACATGGGTAATGGCGAAGTCGGCTGGGATTTGATGTGAGTAATCACGTCCTAGTCGGGAAATCTTGGTCTACATAATATTTAATGGCGGGGGTTTGGGGATCCGGTGAGATAATACTAAACAAATTCATCATTTCAGCCTTTCCATATTGCCGAACAGTACCCATTACCGCTGCAAACGGGGCCTTGTGCGTCCGGATCCCCTGTCTGCCGTCCTTTTCACCCAAGAAGTCTTGACGACTCTGGGGTGGTCAAGTCGAACGGCCATTCAACCTCCGCTTATCGCGTCCGAGCTCCGCGGGGAAATATCATTCAGACGACAACTTGGACGGTGGCCTTTTCTGTCCCATACGAAGTATAAGAGCGGCTGGCGGATAGATCTGTATATCCAGGCCGCTCTACCTGGCAACGGGAAGTGCGGGAAGGAAAAATGAAGAAAGTCATCCGTTATCTCCAGGACCAAGGTATGTGGTACTGACTTGTGTATATGTTTCTTTCCTCGTTGCTGAAGGACGAGTGGTTAGCCCTTGAGGCTTCACAGCAGAAGTATTCAGGCTCAGCATATCTTTCCCCGAAGACCAAAGAACCTCAACAGCGGGTCAAACACCATAGCCCGTCATATTTTAAGGATCAGCATACTTCGCACCATCACTCGCGCTCGGCGCACCCCAGCTCGGCAGCGCACAGCTTTCCCGCCCACACAGCAGCCGGGACTGGGCTTCCTGGATCTAATGGAAATCACATCTCGGAGAAGATCCACCGCGATATTACACGGCACCAATACGCTCTGGACAACATCCTTCAATCCTACGAGCTGTATGTTCCCGAATTGGATCACTCGCACCTGGCCGACCCCAGTGGGAACAAGTACTGGGTTGTTTTCGTTCATGGTGGTTACTTTCGTGACCCGACAGTCACGAGCTCATCCTTCTACCCAGCTCTCGACCAACTGGTCTCGGGAAAAGCAAACGATTACCGCCCCCTCCATAATCCTTTCAGAACCGACCAGCGTGTACCGGCGGCTGCACCTTACATTGCGGGATATGCGTCCCTGAACTATCGTCTGTCGCCTCATCCAGACAAGGCGCCTCAGGACCCATCTAAAACACCAGCGTACGAGCTCCGGAATGCTAAATGGCCGGATCACATCCACGACATCCTCACCGCCATTCAACATCTACAGAACAGATATGGCTTTGGCGAGCGGTACTTGCTTGCAGGACACAGTGTGGGCGCTACAATGGCATTGTTGAGCACCATTGCGGCCCACCGATCGTTCTCGAATGGGAATCCATCTGAACTGCCCACGATTCAACCGCCTATGGCTGTGCTCGGTGTTTCAGGCATCTATGACTTCCCGCTCCTCCATGAGTCGTTCGCCGACTACATCGGGATGACGAGGAACGCCATCCCGGATGCGGCTGACGATGTGCTTGCCAGCCCTGCAAGGTATGGTGCAAAGGACTACGTGGATGCCTGGGCAGCTACTGGGGCAAAGAAGAGGGCGTTGGTCATTGCGCACTCCAAGGACGACGGGTGGGTCGATTGGAAGCAGGTTGAGGCAATGGAGAAGGTCTTTGCCGCGAGTGGGTCGGTGATCAATAGCAGTGTTGTCGAATTGAAAGGTCAACATAATGATATTTGGGAAAAAGGGACGGAGTTAGCCAGAGCCATTGCTCAGGCGGTGGATATAATGAGGGGTCTCGAGGGAAATGGGCAGTGAAGGGGGGACCGACAGGATGACAAAATTGACACGAGAACCAGGCGTAGTGTGATACCCATTTTGCGAGAAGGAGGGGATTCCAGATTGAACATGACGGGGCTGGACCATAAGGTATGTAGTAGTATCATAGTAGAAGCAGTTCCCTTTGGCATTGTTCTGGAGGCGGAGATTGTCAAGGGCCACCAAAAGGCGTCTGGGTGAAATGACGTCGTTGGTCTTGGCATGTTTACCGTCGCGCCAGATTCGACTCGAAGCCACGCGAATCAATTGACTTGGCTGGCACTTTGATCAAGAACTGTTCTCATGCAATTCTCGGTAGGACCACACCTTGCTGAGAGCTGAGGACAACCCACCCCCAATCCGCATACCTACCACCATGGCTCTACGAGACCCGGCCTCGCCCTCGCCGGCGCCAGAAGCTCCTGTCGCAAGTGCACCCGGACCTCGCGCAGCAGCACTACAGAAGGTGTTCGCCGGCGCCCTGGCCTCGTCTCTCAAAGCAAACTCGTACGCGAACTTCAGCTCGTGTTTCCCGACGCCGGCGAAATACTGTCCGACGGCGCTCGAAGGAGTCTGGCGACAACTGAACACGCGGTTGGAGGAAGAGTGCATGCGGGATTTCGAGAAGATCCTGGAAGAAAGACAGGTCATCGCGGGTCTGAATCAGTGGGACACGTTGATCGACGAGGCTCGGAGGAAGAAGCATCGCGCCGTGGAAGATGAAATACCACAGAGACCGTGAGCGAGCACTTTTTCAGGTACCCCCTGGCCCTTCCTTGTCTGACCAGAGAACAGATTGCACACTTTATCCGCCGACGAATTGCACACCGCTCACTTCACGCCCTACCTGCAACAAGCAACGGAGGAGTTGAATACGAGATTACAAGCGTCGCAGCAAGAGAATGCGATGATGCAGCAGTCAATCTCTGAGCAACGGGGTGAAATTGAGCAGCTCCTGTCTGGCCTCGAACACGCCGTACGCGATATTGAAGGAAGCGTCGAGGCAATGAGCACAGACGAACAGAGCTGCTTGAATGAGCTGAGAGAAGAGTTATGGCAAATGGAACAGGAGGTCGCTGCAACGAGATAGCTTTCTACCGCGATGATGATTGGGACATCGGGGATGGGCAGATTTCTGTTCCTAGCGTTGGCGCTGGAGGAGTGGTTTCATACAAGCCAAAAGTACCGAGACAAACATGCGTGTCTTAGGAACATGGGAAAGATTCGGGCCAAGTTCCCTTTTGAGGTTCATGGTTTCATGATGCGACGATTTAGGGCCTTGATAGGCGGACATGATACGAAGGTCATTTGGGAGAGGGGAATCTCAGATTGAAGCCCGGAGTATGGAGTTCCGTGTATTGAGATCTGCCTGGGGATCTCGTAAAGGCTTCAATAGCCCCAGACACTGTCCAGCCAGCAGGACCGGAAAGAGATTGAGAGCAGACGACTGGCCAACGTTCCAACGGGTTGCAATAGTGTCAATATCGGATATCCCGTTTGGGCCACTCGCCAATCGAGAGACGCCAGCCAATCACCGGCCGCATTGGCGCCGAGACCCCGATGCGGTGCGCGAAACGACTTTTTTCTCAACCTTGCGCTGGTATTCGGACATGTGTTTGATTCGATCTCACAGACGACAATTTCTCCGTCCAGACTCAACGCTGCGCACTGTACATAGGTCCGTATGTCGGTAGGTCGCCTGTCATGGCAGTTGGTGGAGCACAAAGCGTTCGTTCTTACACCAATTTCCAAGCAAATATGTCCGTCCAGCCCAATCCTGGCGAGCATCCTGCACCAGGTCTGCCCCTGTCGCCACGTTTGTCTATGGCATTCGGCGAGCTCCGATAGGTAGGGATCTGCAGCTTGCCCCAGGTTGATGTTCAGCCTATCCCATTGCGTCTGTTTGTTTGTGGGAAGGTGGGAAAGAGATTGAAGCGTGGGAGGGTCCAGGGCAAATTGGCCCTTACTGCCCTACCGGCAATTAAGGTTTGATAACGAGATTGCATGGCCGCCACCAACAAACCACAACAACATCGACTATTCGTTACATGGCACATCCTGGCGTCCCGGGTACTACTTGCGGACTGCTGGGTCCCTCGTTTCTGCGCGTGAGGAACCAATCCTTTGGTGCTGTCGCTCGAACTTGCCGCAGTTCGGATGAATACTCCCTGCGGCTGCATTCTCCGACCATGACCTTGTTGAACCTGCTGGCCTTGCAAACTAGACACGCCCCCGACTTTCCACCACGAACATGACGCGCCAAAGGCCTTCCTCCCCGGCACAAGGCTTGCAGCTAGGCGATATGGCGGATTGGCGAAAACGCTAGGACGCGTGCACCAAAAAGTATACCGGCACAGGGTACAGGGTGTATCGCGAGTTCGCTGGTACATTGGTTCTGTTATGGCTGTTGCAGAAACGTTCTCCGTTTTTTTGTCTTTTGCCTTCAGCTTCCTCCATGCTCTGTTTACATCTCATCGCTCAAATCTGCATGTGTCGACAGAGGATAATTTCGGATACTCCACCACGTCTTCCAACTGCCCCGCCTTCATTGGCCTATTCGAGAGCGTGTGTGTCGCCTTGAACCCCTCCTCTGGCTTGTTCAGCCATTTGCTCTTGTGGCACCAACGATAGGGCCGGAAAGGATTGAACGTGAACAAGGAAGATCCCAACCGAAGCTGGGCCCCCGGACTTTGGCTGATGCGCGAGAAGACAACAACCTCAGCTCATCATCGGCCGCTCTCAATGCCCCTCTCCGTCGACTGAAACGCGTCTTCACTTCATCTTTGTTGACAATAACATCTCTCACCGGAATTGTGTTTACTGAGTCGATCTGGATGTTAGCCTCAAGCCTTGTATCCAGAGAATCTCGGACAGCAGCAATACTTCACTGCAAAGGCTCATATCATCACCGTTGACAGGTCAGGATTGCTTTCGCACGCAGCGTCGTGTTACACCATCCGATGGAGGGACGGGGCAGGATAACGGCAGTCGCGGGCCTGGCAGGGATCGTGGGCATCGCAAGCAGCGTGCTGAACATCATTTTTGCAACAACCATCGCCCATGTGACGGTGGTGCCAGGCCTTCGAGATCTTCTTTACGTCGCCTTCGTCGTGAGTCTGGTCAATCTCGCGGTTCTGGTGTATTTTGGGACGCTGTTTGCGAAAAAGCTCCCAAATCAGGTCCAGCTTTCGAGACCAAGTCCATGGGCAGTCTTTTCCGGGGGTGTGATTTGGGGGACAGTCAGTGTCATCGTTTCCGGAATTACGTTGGTATGGCTCGCTGTTAGACGAAGTGCCCTTCCAACAGAGATATTGCACACTTCTCTCGCCACGTTGCTGGGGATCTGGTTCGCGGTGTGGGCGGCCTTTGCGCTCTTGCACATGGTCCTATATGTTCTTCTCGCTTCCTCGATAAAGAAGGGACTGATGGCAACAAGGGCTGGCGGACTCACCTCAGACTATGGCATCAGAGTCCCATCCATATCCACCGTGAAGCGGCCGGGCACTCAACAGACGGAACGATCATTCGGCTCGCAGGACTTGACTCTGAACTCACCACCACGCACTCCTGTCTCACGGAGAGAGCCCTCGACACGCCGATCGTCGGCCACCAAGGTGGGAACTGGATCGTCCAAGGCGAAACGTATGCGGAGTTCCAGCCGGTCCTCCCTTGACAGTTCACCGTTCCCGGCTGGCGAGGCCATGTCTATAGACACTGCCTTTGACAATTGGGATACGTCGTCCGTTCATCACGAGCTGCGCGTCGTCATTCATTCGTCTCCGCCAGTCGCCCACGGAGCTCTGGAAACGATACCGGGCAGTCGACCGGATTCACCTGCCAACGCCCTGGATGGCCCATTTCTGCCCGAGCCACACTCTCCCATCTCAAGTTCGCCGCCGCACGCCGCAACCTCGGACACTGCGACCGCCTACGGCTGGAGCTCTTCACCGCGGCAGCCGAAATCATCCCCTCCGTCAAGCCCGGTCAATTTCTCACGGCCGACATCACGACCTTCGTCGTCACATGTCTGCAAGCCACTACCACGGCCACCTCAAATTGGCAAGTTTGAGAGTGCCCTGCAGGAAGAACTAATACACCCGTTGTTCCGGCCAAACAGCCCTCGACCGCCTCCGATTCCCATCGCTGGCACCATGGTCACAGCCTCGCCTATGGCCAACACCACCATCACGCCCCGGACACTGGCCAGCCTCCGGGGCAATTCTCACCTGACGCTCGAATGCGTGAATTCTAAGCCACGAAGCACGGACGGATCCGAGACGGAGAGCGAGGAACACTTTCTGCCCGACAGCCCTACACTCGGCAGTCCATCCCTTGGCAGCCCCGGCCCATCGATTGTGGACGAAGCAGACCTGCCACCCATTCTCCCTGGATTTGTGCTATCTGCAGGATCACGGACCAGCTTGGTAGGGTATGGGAAGCGCAAGAGCGTCAAGAAGGATCGACCCAAGTCCCAGCTGTCGGTGGGCAGCCGATTGAGCCAGGGCATGGTGTAAAACGTGGCTCGGGCCCTGCAGCTTCCTCTTTGTCGCGGCTCCTGGCACCGCGGGGGTTTTGGTGTTCCGGATTGTGATGCAAAATTGGGCCATTAGCGCGGAGTTGGTGGATTTTGGATTGTTGATTCTGGAGAATTAATAGCAAGTCGGGTTTACAGCTACCATTTGCTTTAACGGGAGACATGTTTCATGCTCAGATGGATGCCAAGCTGATGTCATTGGATGGACGGTGGGCGAAAAGGAACAAAGCCATTTGGGAGGCGGAATTTGGCGGCACGAACCGGGCGAGCCATAAGCACTGAAGGGGGCGTGTTTAAGCGAGCTGTCTGACACGGCACCCTCTTATCATCTTATTATTGTTTGCCGTGTTTGTTCCCTGTCAGACACCCCGATCCCATCTATGCCTCTTTTTGGCCACTGGCTCGCCGGGAATGGGTGGCCAGGGGGCTTAACTGTAAGCAGTCTAGTGGCGTGGGCTAGTCCTCTTGTGGCTAGCGTGACGAATGCACCTTTGGAACACCGCAAAATGCTTCTCACTTCCATCTGCCAAACTCTGGTCGCTGTGTCAGGCTCAATCAAATAATACCAACCGCTTCACTTTTCATTCATTCATTCACTGCTCTTCTATTCACCCACCACCCCCATTCACTCCCTGGCCCCCGATTGAGACTATGGATCTGGACTCTGGCCCCTCTCTTCCAGGCTTGGGCCACGATGCCATTGTCGCCCATTCGCCTTTGTCTTGGTTTACTTCATCCCTGTCTGTGGTGGCCACTAATACATCACCTCCCGAATGCTTCCAGCTCCTCCCTTCCATCGCAACCACCGCTGCACAATCTCGAAACACAGAAAACAGCACTCAAATCTGGCTGCACTGCCTCTCCCAAATTCTATCTAACCCCACAGAGCAAGTGAAGTCTTCACCACAGCAGCAGCAGCAGCAGCCACGACACCGCCGCTGTTCTCACCCCGCCGCGATAGCAGCTGCAAACCACCTTTGCCGGTCGATTAAGAAATCTTCTCTGCAGGCTGTCGCTTCAAGGCGATTGTCTCTACAGAATTCCAGCAAGTGAGTCTCAATTCTTCTGATTCTTCTGAAGTCGCATTGTGCTTCTCCGCTGTCTGACCAAATTGATAATCCACCCACCTCTCCATCCTCTTCATTCCTGGTGTTTGCCTCACATTATATCTCAAATCAAGCTGTTCTCCAGTAATTGCATAACAAGAAACTGACCTCATCTACCGCAGCAGCATGGGTTCCAAGTCCCTCGGCCGTCGGCCGTCAGTTAGCTTCCATATGGAGACCAGAAGCCGCGCCTCCAAAATTACCCCGGAACCAACCGACGCTTCGACAGCAGATTCATCACCATCATCATTGTTGTCGCTGTCAACGCCACCGTCCACTCCGCCCAAAAATACAAATTCTCGCAAACGAAAGTTGTCTGATTCGGGCTCAGATGACACAGAGAATTCGAATTCGTCAAAACCCAAGCGCCTGACACGACAAACCTCCACAGCACCGTCGCGGCCACCCTCAGCCACTCCACGGAAGCAAACAGCTCAAGTGCCCGCGTTCGACAGTGTCCCAGCTGCTACAAACACCGACAATACACCTCTGCCGACTTCATCATCTACCATTTCTGTGGAATCTGCTAGGTCGTTGAGGCGAAGCTCGCGTATAGCACGATCGGATGCATCGGAGGTCGTCCGTGATGCTGGCCATGATGGAACGCCATCCTCATCACCGCCTACACAAACAGGTCCAGTGAGTCTCCCAGAAGCCGGATCTTCAGACGTAACCACAAACAATCCTGCAACTCCGCCAAAACCCCTCCGTGCCTCGCAATCGGCCAAGGAGACAACGCCGAAGAAGGCGCACAAGGCGAACATCAGCTTCCAGGAGTACAAAGACAAGGCGTTCTGGCCAGAGTACAATGCGCAGAAACCGATATACTACGCAAACGATGCGACTACCCGCTACCGTCCTGGGGAGAATGGCGACACTTCGGAGTCCCGCTCTCCTAGGAAGCCGGCACGCCGAGGTGGTCGTGGAGGAGGTGCTCACGCCAACGGCGGTGGACGCGGTAAAGGCAAAACCAGAGGTCGAGGAGGTCGCGCCGGTGGCGACAGTCCCGAACCACCAAATCGAAGACGACCATTGTCACAAGAGGAAAAACTCGAAATCTCCATCATCAAGGCGAGGCAGCAAGAATTGAAACGATTCTTCAGCACCGTGGGCGCCCAGCAGATTGATATCCTCGAGCACCTCTCGGGGCGAGACATAGCCAAGATTTCCCGAAAGCCCAAGGCACATAGGCATGTTCCTGAGCACGACGACGTGGTGGAAGACCTGGAGGCGACCATGAAAGAGGTGCAGGAGCTCATCCAAACACGATTTGACCTCCAGGTCGAACATGAAAAGCAGCGCCTGCAGCACGAGAAGGAAGTCATTGAAGCGCAATTCGAGGTAGTATCCTGTGGAGAGCCTTTTTGTAGCATGTATCTGACTCGAAACAGAACCGCGTCACCGAAGCCCGCAAAGAACATCTTGCCGGTGCAGAAGGCGACATCATCCTTTTCGAACGAGCTTACCGCGCCGCTCACGATGACACCCACACCGAATCTGGCTCCGACCTGGATTACTTCCCACATTACCACGAGCTCCCCGAACCAAACACTCAACCCCGTGGCTACTCGTCCCGGAAAATCATGGACGAAAAGCCCTTCAAGCAACAGTTGGCATCTTTCGACGAACAGGCGCGCCAACAAGTGCTCAACGAGGACGTTATTAGCCCCTTGTTTGAGCAAATGGAACGGCGAAACAACGAATGGCGCCTCGAGCAGCTTCGCAAGAAATCGCAGACCTTGGATGCGCTCTCTGCAGAAGCCAGCAAAGCACTCGAGAATATCCAAGGCTACCTCGTCCCACGACCGCTCGGTATGTCAGAGAGCAATTCGTATGCGTTGTCGGCGCTGGCAGACGTCTCCGACTGGGTTGCACAGAAGCATCCGGACCGTCAATATATATACATGCCTCTTGCCCCAGGAGATGTCTTCCCCAGGCAAGCTTTGGACTTCTCTCCAGTTCCTGGCCAGGCGCCATCGTCTCTGCCACCACCACCACCACCACCACCGCCGCCGCCGCCAGCCGGGCCATCATATCAGCTCATTCGACCAGACTCGAGGAGCCGTGGCCGACGATCAAAATTTGCGCCCCAGAACAACGCGCCGCTGGCCGGCCACGTTGTCACTCCTCCTCCTCCTTCTGCGCAGCCGTTACCCCCAGCTCCCGGCCCTTTAGCACCTCCCATCGGGCCGGCTTCTTTCCTCCCACCACGCCTGATTTCAAGCGGACCAGGTCAGCCGATTGCACCTGCACCGCCAAAACCCGCTCCTCCGCACCGCTCGGCAACCAACATCAATGTCTTCCGGCACAGTCCTCGACCGAGCGTCCATCAACACGCCATGGCTCGTCACAACTCGCTTGGCTCTCCGCTGCTGAACGGACCCCAGCAGTATATCTTCCAGCCGCCTCAACAGCCCTACCAGCATCAATCTGCGCCCGGACCGGCGCCGACTCCCCAGTACGGTCCCCATCCAGCCAGTCCTCTCACTTCTGGGGCGGGCGCCAACAACAGCTCCGTTGCGAGCGCAGGTGCCATCCCCAGTGTGAGCGCAAGCACAGGTGTCGGTAGTGTCAATGCTCCTAGCAACGGTGGTGGTGCTAGTGGCAATGCCGCTGGTGGTCCGACCATGCAAGTCATCGGCCAACAAACCAAGATCCCAATGACGTTCGTGAACCAGACGATTGCAAGCCGCAACGCCGCCGCGGCTGCTGCGGCCAATGCAAACGCAGCAGCCAACACGGCACCGAATGCAAACGGCCAGGGTAATGGCAAGAGGGTGCTGCTGCCGAAGTCGATGTAGATTTTACAATCTTTGCCGCGATTACGGACGTGTGAGTGTGCACATGAACTGCACGATGTCAAAAGATGAAGATCCAAATGTTCACCATGTCTCATGTCTCTTGGATAGAGCGAACGAACGAACAAAGGATGGGTGGAAGGATGCATTCTTGGGAAAGGGGGCTTCATTGCCTGGGTGCACGAAATGAGGACGGACAATCAGGAGGAAGAAGAGGAGTCTTAGACACATGACGTTCACGACTTCATGCGGAAAGGGCAAGGCGTTTTGAGGAAGGAAGATAGTTGGCTGCCTCTCCTTGCTGGACCGGAGTCCAGCCATTGCCTCCGAACATTGTTTGTACGGAAACGATATGAGCCCAAAAAAGAGAGCCTGGAGGAGGAGATGTTGTTGTTGTCATTGCTGTTGCTGTTGCTGTTCCTTGTCCCTTGTCCCTGCGCCCGTTCGCCGGGCCATAGAGACAGAGAAAACAAAAAAAGAGCAGGATGAAGTGCAGAAAGAAAATAAACAAAATACGGGACGCTGCTCGAATGAAGGAAAACTCAACCAAACTTAGTAAAAGAGAACAAACGAGAAGACCGTAACAGAGAAGACAACGACCCGAATTGAACTGAACTGAACTGACATGAGACGAACTACAAGAAGTACTGTAGAAAAGGACATATATAGTTATACAATATGCAGAAACACGAATTTTGAAAGAAAAAAACAACAAACAAATCAGAAACATACATACATCCATACATCCACACATCCACACATAATACAGGTATAGATTCCCCCCCGGACATAATATAACAATAACAATAACAACAGTGATAATAATAAAGGAGAAGGACTCCCAAAAAGGCCCCGAGAGTCTGAAGATAATATCAACATCAATCGTCCCTTTGGAAGACGGCGGCCGGGGGCTCTTCTTCACCTGCTTCTGCTTCCTCCTCCTCCTCCTCCTCCTCTTCTTCTTGCACTTCCTCTCTGCGTTACATGATCTCATTCTTGTCCTTGTCCTTTGTTCCTTGTCTGTTCCTTAGTTAGGTCTTATTTTACGTCTTCCGAATTCGCGATAATTGTTTCTTTCTTTTTTCTTCTTTTGCTTCTCTTCTTCGGGTGCTCATGAATCAAAACAAACATTCGTTCGTCCCACTCGTGTACTCGTTCACTGCATTCATGGTAGAACGGTGATAGATGAACGGAGAGAGGTGGATAGGGGGAGTAGGCAGAATGCGACAGGCAGAGGAGAGATGGGCGACGATCATGGTACTAGACCTCTTCGACGTGCCTCGCCTTCTCGCTTCCCGCACCCATGCCCGCCTTGCTGCCGCCGCGACCCATGACCATGGTGCTCCGGCGCCTCTCGACGGCGCTCTGCCGGCCGAGATTGAGCTCCTTGGCGAACTTGCTGCGGTCGCGGAACCACGCGCCTTTCCAGTAGAAGACGTAGATCGGGGCGATGACCACGACGGACAGGCAGGCCAGGATGGTCGAGGGGTATTCGAGGGTGTATTTCTTGCCGATATTTTCGTAGACTGGTTCAAGAGAGAGAGGAGTTAGTTACCGTTGTTGTGAGGACGATGATGATGTTGGCAGCATTGGAGAATAAGCAAGGGCGAGATATCATATGACTTACAGGGTGTGCTATACAAGGCAGCTATGCCTGCGAGGAAGTCTCTCGCAAGATCGTTTCCGCCAGTGGCAGAGGCGGCGTAAGGGCCGTAGGCGGCGATCATGTAGTCGATTGAGCTCTGTAAACATATGTGCCATTAGCATTCACATTTAGGACTATGCATATCACGGGTCTCGCATTGGTAGACCCGGAGCCGTACCTTGTATATTCCGTAATTCGCAATGGCGATTAGGACAGTGAAGATCATGGGCGCGATCCATGGAATGCCATAATCTGGTCCGAGAGACGTCCACGCGAAGCCGAAGAGGCCAATTGTTTCGAGAGGCGCCACTGTAAAGATACACGAGAAACGTGTCAGTGGAGGAGCCAGAAGACAATAGATGGGATGGAGCACGATGACAGCCAAGATAGTAGTTGAGGAATATAGGAAGACTCACAGAACAGCAACCACCACAGACGCGATTCTGGAGACAACTTATTCGGGTCTTCGGCACGGATCTTGTTATGGTGTCGAATGACAGGGAGATATGACAAGTATGCAAGCACATATCCAATGAGGGACCTGTAATCATTACATGGTCAGTCACATCCTCTCCCCATCGTAACTCTGAGACGCATAGGGAGAGAGGAGACTCACGAAATAAAAGCCAGTCCAACCTGATACGGCTTAAATCCCCATTGCTTCAAGACGGGCGTGAATGCCTCCAAAAAGGTAAACAGCAGTGCATCACTGAACCCACTGAGCAAGCTGAGGCAGAGCACAATGGGTTCCGTGGCAAACATCTGGAAAGGTCTCATCCAGATACGCACGAACTCCTTCATGGGGAATCGCGGCTTCTTCAATTCGTCTGGCCCATAGATGTTGGTTTCGCCATTCTTGCGCCGCTTCTTGGCCTCGCGGTCCAGCAGGATAGTGGCACGGGTTTCGGGGACAAGGAAAAAGTGGATGATTTGTACGGCACCACCGATACAAAGTTGCATCCAGAAGATCCAGGGCAAAGAAAGGAACTCGCCCACGAAGCCGCCGATCACTGCGCCCACGGGGGCACCGCCCACGGACGACAGCACGACGAAAGCAACCGCATACTGGAATCCAGAATCTTCGGGTTGGTATAGGTCCGCGATGACTCCCAAGGTGACCGAGCCTCCTGCCGTGGAGAGGCCAGCAAGCGCTCTAGCGACCACGATAGACCCGAAGTTGGGGGCGAGCGCCGCGGGTAGCTGCCAGATGTTGACGAGAAACAAAGAGAGCTGCTGGGTCGGCCAGCGACCTAGCTCCTCAGACCATGGTGCCCACAATTCGCAGCCAAAGGCGTAGCATATGAGGAAAATCATCTGGCCGACTCGGGCCTTTTGCTTGGAGATGGTGTACTTCTCTGCGAGGCCGTCAACACCATTGGCATAGATACTGGCGTTGAGGTTCATCGACGTCTGAATCAGAAGAATGATGACCAAGATCATCCATTTCTTCCATGTTGGGAAGCAATAGCCCAGTTTGTCGTAGCAGTCTTCTTCTGTCAGTTCGATCTTGCCATCAGCACGCTTGGGTTTGCCTCCTTCGAGATTCTCTGCTGCCAACTCTGGGCCGGAGACACCCAAATGCTCTTCTTTTCGTCCCGGAGGCTGAATTTGTTGGTTCTCCTTCTCGTTGTGTCCCTCCATGGCTATAGTGGATTGATCCGAGACTGACATTTTGGTCGCGTGACAGCCTCGCACGAATAGAACAATAACAGGTGAATGGTAGATGGTGCAACTGCGTGGGAGACGCTCAGAGGCGAGAATGCACGAAACGCATGGACCAACTGCAGAATAACGACGACAGGACGAAGAAGTGTGGAAGTGCTTAAACAAACCTGAATCTCGTATTCCCTATCGCAATCCGTCCCGCCAGTGCTGTTAAAGTTATTATCCCTTTTGCATCTTGGGGCATGGCATTCAAGGACCGACATCGAAAAACAGGTCGATAATGTGCATCGAGCTATGATTTCATCCTGCGTCAACCCTGGCCACGCGGGCACCACTCAGGACAGCTAGTAAGCTCGAACGAAAGGCGCCGAAACCTGGGGGCGGGTCGAATTTAGGGATCACCTGGCAAGCAGCCGACTCGACTGTTTGGCTGCTCCCATGCTGGATGGGTGTGAAGGCCTGACATGCCCTTGATCAGGCTTCAGTCGGCTCAATCTCGATGATGTCTGTGGCTGCAACGGACTGCTTGGCCCAAGGGATGGTATGCATGATGGACAGTTTTCTTTGGGGCTCCTATGGCCTTCCCGCTTCTTGGCTTATGGCCATTAGGCCGATCAGCTCTCCAAGCTTTGGTGACGCTCTCGACAAGAGTACTCGGGATGTGAGCTTCGATCGAGATCGCCTGCTGGCTCGGACACGGCGTGCTTGAACCGACTTCGAGGAGAGAGATATGGTTTCGATGGAAGCTGTCTGGGCGAAAGGCATTCGGAGAGATGAGGTTAGGTTCCGTTCGGAGGTGTAGGTGTCATTGCATTCAGGTTCTCTAGGCTGGGCTGGGCTCTGTTACAGTAGTAATATGTAATCAGTCTCGTTCGGGCCCGGAAAATTTCAGATTCATCATGTATTATTCCACATTTGCATTCCCTCTCTCTCGTGCTCTCTCCTTCGTCATGTCCCTCGCATGTCCAGACCGCTTATGCGAATCCCGTACACGGGGCCTCTGCCACCACCCTTGATAATCCCACCGTCGGCAGCCACTCAACAAGGTGCCATCGCCGCCCTCGCGCATTTTCTGACCTCCCCTGCGCCACACGCGACACCCATCGCCTCCCCTGGTCCAGATGGCCAACGTGAGGGGAATAAGACAGTTCTCCTGACAGGTGCAGGCATAAGTGTGGCCTCAGGTCTGGCCGACTATCGTGGCGTCAACGGCACCTACACCCAGAACAAGAGCTACCGTCCTATCTATTACCATGAATTCATCTCGAGCCACGAATCCCGAAAACGATACTGGGCCCGCTCGTTTCTAGGTTGGAGGGGTCTTCACCGCTCCAAACCCAATGCCGCGCACTACGCCATTCGGGATCTTGGAAAACTAGGGCTGGTCGACCGTGTGGTTACTCAGAATGTCGATTCGTTCCATAACCTTGCGCATCCGCAGCTGAAGACGGTGGAACTACACGGGTTTCTCAGGGCGCTGGTCTGCCTCAGCTGTAAGAGGCTCATTGATCGCGATGTTTTCCAGAAGAGATTGGCCGAGTTGAATCCTGCCTGGGCCGAATTCTTACAGCAGCTGCTGGCTTCGGGGGCGCTGGATACTGAGAATCCCATGGAGAGGAGAAGGTTGGGTTTCCGGACCAATCCCGACGGTGACGCCGATGTCCCAGGTGCCCCGTATTACACGTTTAGATACCCTGCCTGTCCGCATTGTCTGAAGCGACCGCCAATTCTGAAGGATGGGAGTAAGGGCCACGTGCATGTCGATGCGGACGGTGCTTGGATACCATCACCCAGAGCGCCCGGGGTCCCCGATGGCGTCGGCGTGCTCAAACCCAATGTCATCATGTTCGGTGAATCGATCTCAGCTGAAGTGAAGACCGCAGCGGAAGAAGCCATTGATTCCGCGGCGAAGATCTTGGTCGTCGGCAGCTCTCTCGCCACCTACTCGGCGTGGAGGCTGGTCAAGAGAGCGCATGAACGCGGCATGGGCATCGGGATCTTGAACATGGGTGGTGTCAGAAAGGAGGAAGCATTCTTTGGAGATCTCCTCCCGCATCACCACCATCAAGGGCAGGGGGATCAACATGCTGGATGGACGGCCTTGAGACGGGATCTCGTGCGTGCCAGTCTGCCAGCCGAGGAGATCTTGCCTGCAGTGGTCGAAGCGATTCAGGCCAATATGGTTGAACAAGAACAGGCCCCGGTGACGCGCCTTCAGACCCATGCCTGAAGCAGCTATGTGATGGCATATCCTATTACTCCTCTCCAGCAAGCGTCTGATCCCCTCGGATCTGCATGCAGATGGCGACGTTGCTTGGTTCAGGGCTATGTACAAGTGCTTCTGGATTTCGCCCCGGAATTAAGAAATGCTACAAATAAGGGTGCAATATCAAAGCTGTTTTAGGGACCTTCACGTCCTTGGGGGCAATATGAATATACAAGATCTATCTTCCAAGTTGACACTAAAGCATGCCTATCCAACTGACGACTGCACTAGCCACCACCACCATACAGAACACAAGTATAGAAAGAAACATGGAAAAGCCCCCGACAAAGATCTGCCCTCGCAAGAGTGCGTCTTGCTGGCAAAAGAAGCGATAGGCACCAACCACGGTGCTGAGGATAGCGACAAGAAAGCTGGTGCACGCTAGCGCTTTCGCTAAGTGTGCAGCGTTCGTCGAGTCGATCAGTCGCCCGTTCAGAATGCCAAATTGGAGCATCACCAAGCCAAAGCCCGCCATTCCATACCCGAAGTCGAACCAAGTGATGAATGTCTCCTCGTTCGTGAGATGGTCTCGGACACCATACCCAAACTCCATTTCCACCGCCACATATTCGTCCCAGAACTTTTTGATAGTCGATTTCTCGTCCGATGGGACGGGTTTGCTAGTTTCAATCGGGCCTTCTTCGAGACCATCCCAGAACTGTCTGGCCATCTCGGCCTCGTCGGACATGGCGACCAAGGAGGAGGGTGATCGGAGACGGGGAGACACGGGATAGGAGTGATGGATGCTGGTAGAGTATCTCTCGACGTCCATGTCGTAAATGATAGAGGAAGAGCGAAAGCGGCGTCTGGTGGCCATGGCTGTGCCTTTTGAGGAGAGAGTGTGCAAAGTTCCGTGGTAGAACCGAGCAAAGGAGAGGGTTTGGTTTGTGAGATACGTGTAAAGTATGTCGAGAAGGACTGAACGTCTCTTACGTCTCAATCCAAGTGCTGAAGGAGCGTCAGCAAATGTCTTACGACTGAAAGAATTTGGGAAGGATTGGCTACCCCCTTCTCTCCTGACCAGGTCTTTGAGTAACAGGCCTTCCTTCCGTGATAGTACAACAAATACAACAGAGTTCAACTTCAATCAGGGCAACTACCATTCGAGGCTGAGGAAGAAACGGCCAGATTCAGTAAAGCAGTCCACCGCCTCCTTTGTAAATGCTTTCCCACCAAGCTCTTTCATTCACCAGCTGCTCAGAAGTGCGAGTTTCGTCATTTGGCGTGCTGGTTGCACGATGCCAACCATTCTTGATAGCGACTCGAAGCATGAACAGACCGACTGGGGAGCTCGAGTATTTCAAGAGGCCCGAGAAGACTGAGGCGGCGACACGTTGGCGAATTGCGCACAAATCCACCGTCTTTACTTATGGAATGCTCGTGCTCACACACTTCGGATGGATGGTTAGAAAGAACTTTCCAAAACCTTACCGACAGACCACAGGCATAACAGGGAGCAAACTCATTTCCTGTGGGATACAGTCACTGCTCTTCTGGTGGTCTCTTGCTCTCGCACATCTCAGTTGACAAATGAAGCCGAGCAGGAGTGACCTGAGATGCAATAGCTTGCTACCCAACGGCTTGTGCAAGGCCGTACCCAAGCCAGAGCAAACTGTGACGCATCGTCCCTTGATGCAACGAGCCTCCGCGGTCGGGAGAGAGCAGCGTTCGGGAGTGAATAGTTTTAGATCAAGTGTGACCTGGTCATTGTGGCTACGCGATCAGTTGGCAATTAAAAGCATTATGAAGTTGATCCGAGCACAATTGTCTGACTCTTTCAGCGACACATATTTCCAAGGTGGCAGCAGACAGGGAAGAGATGGTTGCCGCTACTAATCACATCGCCAGCATGGAGCTGAAATGCATCGCGAAGTCACATGACCAGTCCATTACTCAGCCACAGCCGCCACAGACGCCACTGCCGCCACTGCCGCTTGTCCCGTCGGGATCGCATCCTACATCATCTCAGCGTTGCCCCTGCGGTCGCCACCAGGAGAAAGCCGCGCCTGCGTCGTTCCAGCTGTCCTCACCCCGGCCTCTTATTATCTCATCCTCATCCCCTCCTCCCTCCTCATCTTCGGATCCCCCGGTCCATTTCTATCCCAATCACCCCCCCGATCTTGTTCAGAAGCCTCAACAGGCGTACCTTAGCCCGCATCGAGTCCGTTCCTCATCCCGATCCTTAGCCTCCTTTCGATTCTCTCCAGCCTCCGCTTCAACTGAGTCCGTCGACGAGTGCTGCGTGCGACCTCGAGCGCAGCCCCCCTGCACGCAAAGAAAGATGGGGTTCTCGAAGACGCAGAGGATCTGTATTCTGCTGGGCATAGACTCTGCCTTTTTCATAGTTGAATTGGTCGTTGGTTAGTGTCGTCCTACGTCAACTTTTGTGTGTCGAACCGCCGCAGCTAACATACCCTACAGGCTATGCAGTGCATTCTTTGGCCCTGGTGGCCGATTCGTTTCATATGTTAAACGATGTCATCTCTCTCTGCGTTGGGCTATGGGCAGTCCGTGTCGCCAATACCGGAAGCTCGAAGATGTACACTTATGGCTGGCAGCGCGCCGAAACATTGGGTGCGCTTGTCAATGGAGTGTTTCTGGTTGCCCTTTGCATGTCCATCTTCCTGGAAGCAATCCAGCGATTTGTCGAACCACAGGTCGTCTCGAACCCTAGACTCGTCCTCATTGTCGGCTGTCTGGGACTTGCCTCCAACATTCTCGGGCTCTTCCTTTTCCATGAGCATAGCCATAGCCATGGCGAGAAGGAGGACTCACACGAGGGGGATCCCGTGAGGTCTGCCGAGGAAGGCCATGGTCATGCCTACGCGGACGACGGAGATACACGAAAGGTGGTGGACGAACACGGGAACATTGAAGATGTACTTCCACAATTCCGAGTGGGCAGTTTCAGAAGCCCTGAGCGCCGTGCATTCACAAAGTCTGATGAAGAAAATACAACCATCTCAGCCAGATCATCCAACACGCCGAATCGTAAGTCGATCGCTAACGGCGAGATTCATACCCGGCACCGCCGTCGCACATCGGGTTCTATGGGTCGGGGTTTCGGCTCGGTCGATAACATCCACATCCATCCAGCGTCATTCCGCCAGGATATCATCCAGGCGGCGCGATTGGAAGAGCAGTCGGAATCTGAAGCGTCAGAAGAAGACGCCTTGTTGACGGATCCGGAATCACCGGAGCAACGTCAGGAAGGGTCCGCCAATCTTCCTCAGTCGTCGTCCAAGAATGCCAAGCGGTTTGCTGGCTATGGTAGCATCAGTAAACGAAGAAAGAGCGTTGACTACAACCACGCGGCACACAACCACAATCAACAAGATGATGGCGCCAAATCCGGCCATGGACATGGTGGGCATGGCCACTCCCACGGCGATCTGAATATGCGCGGAGTTTTCCTCCATGTCTTGGGTGATGCTCTCGGAAACATTGGTGTCATAGTGACTGCACTGATTATCTGGCTGACTACATTCCCTGGTCGCTATTATTTCGACCCGGCCGTATCGCTTGTCATTACCGTCATCATTTTGGGTAGTGCCCTTCCACTCTGCAGAGCCGCTGGGCGCATCCTTCTCCAGGCTGTTCCTGTGGGCATGTCCATCGACGAGATCACAGCAGACATCGAGTCCTTACCACGGGTTATTGAGGCCCACCACCTCCACGTGTGGCAACTCAGTGACACCAAGCTGGTGGCGAGCTTGCATGTCAAGGTTGACTGCGAGATTGATGGCACGGGATCTGCCAGCTACATGCATCTGGCGCGGGAAATTCGAGGCTGTTTACACGGCTACGGCATCCACAGCTCGACCATCCAGCCCGAGTTCGTGAATGAGGGAGATCCACATTCTTTTGAGCCTGGATCTGACGCTCATGACGGGGCTGGAAATGGGCATCTAACTCCAAAGAACAATGCAAATGCCAGTAAGACGGCAAGTCTTCGGAGTGAAGGCAATGCAGCATGTTTGCTCGACTGCAGTGACATGTGCGCTGGGAGCAAGATGTGCTGTCCACATGATGGCAAGAATGGAAAGAAATGAAGAGTCTTCAACGATGATAACATCTGTTTGGGTTTCATTATTGCGCTCGGACTGCAGGCTTCGGGCAGTTGTAATGGGGACCAATGATGGGGTTGATTTCATTGCAAGTCCGGGAGGTTGAAAGACTTGGAAGGGTCCAAAAGCATTGCAGGTAGAACTAGTATTGAACTTTTGTAATGCTACATCCAAGGCGTTTTCCCCGTTGTTGGTACACTCGGTCACCACCGTTTGCCTTTGACCCTGATACGATATCATTTCTGACGGGTGGTCTTCATATCGTCCACGAAGTCTGAAAAAGAAATCCAATTGAACGAGCTCCAGTGTTGGGGGGAATCATGCTAATATACACGACATCTTTTCCCACGAAATGTCGCTTCATCTCAACTACGTACGGTCAGCCGCTCCAGATCAGCCATCCGTAAATCACCACCACCGGCCAGGCCGTCCGCCACAGCGAGCGACCAAAGTACGCCCACCGAGACCGCGGCGGGCGGTTCTTTGCCCATGGACGACGCGCTTTGTCGGCGGTGGATTTGGGCATCCCCCAGTCGTCGCTGTCGAACTCGCCTACGGGGCCGAGGCCGGGGCCGGGAGAGCTGTTTCGGGCGTAGTCGATGTACGGCGGTTTCGAGGGAGACGCGGACCGCGATGAAGCAGGCAGATGTCCGTACCCGGCGACCATCTTGCGCGTGGACAGTTGATGGTGGTGGCCCGCTTGGCCGTTCTGCAGGGAAGAACTTTTGGAGGTGGCGGGGTTGTTGTTGTGGTGGTGGTGTTTTTCGCTGGTAGGTAGTAATGGTTCGGATTTGTCGCGCGATGCTTCCTCCATGGCGGCGGAGGGATTGTACCGGACGGCAGCGAGAACGAGCACGCAGAGTGTCAAGGCAAGCATCTGGACGTAGCGGATGAAGATGCTCAATTGGTCCGGGAGCAGGCACAGATGGTTTTGCACCGTGTCCCGGGGCGTGGTCAGCGAGGGATCCCCCGACATGGCCTTGTTGACGTCGACCGGATTCCAGAGACTGACGAGCTGCACGCCGGGCTTGCGGATGCCCATGGCCCAACTCATGCTCTTCACCGTGATCTCCCTGATGCGGCCCGTGAACTCGTTGTGCTCGATCTCGCAGTAGTCGTGATCGTCGCCCGAGTAGATCATGGTAATCTCCTCCGCCGTCAGATGCTTGACGATATCTTGTGAGATCAGTGGGGTGAGGACATTTTGATATTGATAGCCTGCCTGCAGGGGTATCACGGTGCCTCGTTCCCGCATCGGTCCGCAATTGGCCTCCCCGGATCGGTAGAGCGGGACGTGAGAGAGGACGATGGTTGGGAATTGTGATGAGCTGACGGCATGGTGGGTTCTCCGAGCTGGATCTGAGTGTCCCGCTTCAGCAGCTGATTGTACCGACGGAGACTGCAATTGGGAGAGCGGGTGTTTCCAGTCGAATCTCGTCTCGCATGTGTGCTGTACAGCTTTGGCTCTGATGGCTTTCGCTTCCACGAGGAATTCCTCGACAGGTTTCCAGATTCTGCTGGAAGAAGTCGCAGCGGCACTCCCGTCGCCTGCTCCCGAACTCCCCGTTTTTGGGTCAACCTGGTCCATGGCACTCAACGACACCGTGTCCAAATGGACAAACGAGTGATTGCCGATGATATCGATCCGATTGAGCGGGCCGAAGTATGCGTCAAATCTCTCCTTCACCGGCAACTGAATGCCTGCAGCAAACCCCAGATCATGGTTTCCGGGGAGAGAAGCCAGCAGACGGCGGCCGGTCGGTTCGGCCGCGCTGGCATAAGGACCTTTGGCCCAGGACCGCAAGAACAGGTTCGAGAAGCGAATGTATTCTTTCAGCCAGAAATGCGAGCCGTATTGTTGGTAGCGCTCTTCGGGGGATGTTGACTCAGTCGTGCCCCATTCCCTGCCCCCATCAAACAAATCCCCGAGGAACAAGGTCGCATCTGGTCGGAGATACTCTTGCAGGTATTGATAGGAGCGGTGGAGGTAGCGATCGGTGTAGAGGATGGTCAAGCTGGAAAGAGGCCATGGTCTGTCAGGGTAGGTGTGTGGATCCACGAGTTGTGGATCAGCGACAAGGAGGACATGATGAGGTTGAGCATGACCTGGCTAGGAACAGAGTCAGCGCCTTGTCTCATTGTTGGGGGGTGTTTGGATGTCCTCAGATACCCATGATTCCCACTGTTGCCACAGACAATGAGTGACACTTTGTTGAAAGGTGTAGCGTTCACCCCAGAAGAGAACACATAACCAGAGAAACACCAAGGCCGACGGAAGGCTTAGGAGACGCTGTCTTAGCCTGGACGAGGCATTGGCTTTCATCTCTCTCTGTCTCTCACATTGATGGTGGTACGTTGGCGTCGGCGGTCACTTGGTCGCCAACGTGCCTCTTTTTGGAGGTGGGAAACTACTTGGGGCAGGTAAAGCGTCAGCCACCAGCCTAGTGAGCCGCAGATGGGGGGACTTGTCAGGGGTATTATAGTGTATTATAGTGATATTACCAGCTTAAACTGGTGCCACCGGCTAATGTGTAACGACAGGTATCTAAGGCCCTTCACGCTCATCTAGCGGTGTCAGATGTGTGCCAGGGTCAAGCATGCTCCGTATGTTGACTAATTATATGTCAAGGCTTTTTGCCTGTGGGCACTTTGGAGTGTTCAAGGCTCCTCTCTCAGGTGTATTTGGTGTTCTCGTCATGGCCACCCTTCACCTGATCCAGTCACTCATCGTGCCACCACGCTGGCCAATGTGCCCTCATTATCAATCGCCTACTCGCTGCCCATATATCACCGGTGGCACTCGTGGTGCGAGTCATGTCCTCGTCGACAATCAATCTATCTTCAGCCCCTCATGGACGGCGTCTCCGCCGCCAGCAGCGTTGCTGGCCTCGTCACTCTGGCCTTGCAAGTCAGTGCGACCATAGCAATGTACGTCGGTGCCATCAAGGAACGCACCAACACGATCAGGGACTTGCATGATGAACTCCTTCTGTTGGGTGAAGTCCTTAGTGGACTGCGAGACTTTATGGAGAGTGAAAAAATCAAGGGTCGAGCTCTCGACACCCAGTCGGTGCTCTCCCAGGCCATCAGAGACTGTCGGCACCGGATGGAGCGCATTGGCGACAGATTGAAACCCTCGACAGGGGGCAAACTTGCTCGTGCGATTGACCAGTTGAAGTGGCCTTTCGAGCAGAGGGAAGTCATGCAGATGGTGGACAACCTTCGACGATATACCCAGACGTTTCAGTTTGCTTTCACAATGGAAGGCTTCACCTTGTTGTCCAAGGCCTCCGAAGATGCCACCAAGGGCCTGGAAGAGATGCTCCTGATTTCGAAGAAGATGAGCGAATTGTCGGCTCAGATGGGCCGGTCTGCGGACGAGTCATCGAAACTTACAGGTCAACTCGAGGCAATCATTGGCCTTGTTCCGATCCTCGCGAGAACGGCCACCGAAGTCAATGAGATCTCCCAAGCCACGCGACTGGCCGAACTGAGAGAGCAAGAGAGACGCACCACCGATATCCTGGACTGGCTGGCTCCTCTCTCGTCGCTACACAAGCATCGGGATCTGCAAGTGCGTCGAGCCGAAGGCACGGGCCGATGGTTTCTTGAACATCCCGAGTTCGCTCGCTGGGTTAGCAGCGATTCCAAACACGATCTTCTCTGTGCTGGAGGTCCTGGTGCGGGCAAGTCAGTCCTGTGCTCTCATGTCATCGACTATCTGCGTGCCAGATTTAAAGACCAACAGGTCGCCATAGCCTTCTACTACTACGACTATTCAGACCAACAGTCGCAGAATCCATCCAGCTTTGCAAGACTGCTTTTACGCCAACTCAGTTCCCACGGCGAAGTGGTCCCTTCCGCTGTTGCTGAGTTTTACCAACGCACTAGGAACGCTGTCAAAGATCAAACATGGTTTCACGACTTGCTAACCATCATTCGTCGAGTGGTGGCAACCTTCAGCCATTGTTTCATCATAGTCGATGCTCTGGACGAAGCTGATGTTCAAACCCAGCGCTCCGGCTTTTTTGAGGTTATTGATGCCATAAGAAATGCACCTGGGAGCACAGTGAAAGTTCTCGCCACGCTAAGACCTCATGTTCTTAGCCTGATCGCCAGGTTTCACAACCCTTCGATAATCGATATCGTAGCAAATCCCGGCGATATTCGCCAGTTTTTGGTTCAGGCGATAAAGGAGCAGCCCGAGTCCGAATATTTGATGGATGACAAACTCAGGGAACATGTCCTGAATACATTGTGCACGAACGCAAATGGCATGTTCTTGCTACCTGCCCTTCAGATAAAGACCATTCTGGACCAGATCACCAAGGCGGATGTCAGGCGAGCATTACTCCATCTCTCTACCGATCTGACTGACGCCTTCCAATCAACCATCCGGAGAATATCTACCCTGCCCAATGCAAGACGCGACCTTGCATTCAGAACACTGATGTGGGTATCTCACGCTCGGAGGCCTATGACTGTGGCAGAGTTACAGCACGCCATGGCGTTACGGCCTGAGGACAGCGATCTCGACCGGGACAATCTTCCTTCGGTAAGAACGCTCATAGACTGCTGTTGCGGGCTAGTCGAGGTAGACTATGAAAGCTCAATTATACGGTTGGTACATCACTCGCTAGAGGAGTATCTCCGTGACCACGACCACGGTCTCTTCAACGATGCCAACCTCCTCATCACGAGGACGTGTCTTCAATACATGATGCTGGATTCGTTGAGAGACTTACCTTACAAGAGTCGGAAAGATTTCGGAATGGCGCTGGAGGATCTTGCATTCTTACAGTATGCCGCGCTCGAATGGGGCCATCATGCATACCGTGTGCCCGCCGAAGAGCTGAAGGACCTCGCCCTTCCACTCCTGTCCGACAGCGTCTGGTTGAACAATATCGCCCGAGTCTTGGATTTTCAAGCTGCGGATCTGGGCAAATGGAACGACAAGGCCTGGGCGTGGGCCTGTTCTGGTGGTGCTGGAATCTCGCTGGCGGCAAGATTTGGACTCGCCGAGCTCCTGAAAATCCTGATTACAGAAAACCAACATAACCTGCACCTCGACGCGCGTAACATCTACGGAAGCACAGCTCTGCACGAGGCAGCTTTCTACGGCCATCAGGAGGTCGCGGAAATCCTGATTGCGAACGGGGCCAATCTCCTGGACACGAACTACGGTCAGAGCACTCCATTGTTCCTCGCCGTCTCCTACGGTCAGCTCGAGATGGTCAAACTACTTCTAAGGTACGGACGAGATCAACTCGACTGCCCCGGCCCCAATGGGTTGACAGCTTTGCACAAGGCTGTGGAGCAAGGAAACGAAGAAATGGTCACCATCCTTCTCGACGCAGGAGCATTGGTTGGCGCCACCGACAACCAAGGAACGACTGCTCTACACGTTGCTGCTCTTCGTGGCTCCCTCCCCATCGCCCAGCTACTGGTGCGTGCCGGCGCTGTCGTCCACGTGAGGGACAAGGACCGTCTCTGTCCGCTCGACTATGCCGCCACCGGGGGCTTCACTGATGTGGTTGCTTTTCTCCTCGAGAATGGGGGCAGCATGTTCCACAAAGGCCGGGAACGATGGACTCCTCTCCACCGTGCCGCTCGAGGCGGGCACACCGAGACAGTTGCATTCTTCCTGCAGCGAGATGCGGACGTGCTCGCGACGGATTTTAGGGACAACATCCCTCTCCATCTGGCCGTGCGGTCGGGCAATTTCGAAACCGTGAGGACGCTGCTGGAGCAGAACACCGACCCGGCCGTCAAACGCGCACAACTCCTCGCGCAGGACCAGAAGGGCTCCACCCCGCGCGTCGTCGCCTTCTTCACCGCCCACTACGACATCCACAAGTACCTCCGCGCCGCGGAGTGGCAGGTCCAAGGCATCACGTCACCGAGCCGCGCCAATCAACTCACCACGGCGATCGAGCAGGGCGACCTGCAGGCGGTCCGTGCCCATCTGGACCAGAACCCGGACTCGCTGACCACGCTCGACGAAGACGGCCAGCCGCCGCTGCACGTCGCGCTGCAGGAGAACCAGCAACACATCGTCGCGTTCCTGCTGTCCCGCGGCGCCTCTGTCGAGGCTCAGGGCTACCACGGCTGGCGCGCGCTGCACATCGCCGCCTCGCTGGGGAACTTGGCCCTGGTGGAACTGTGCCTGTCGCACGGGGCGGCGGTCGACACGCGGACGAACACGCGCCAGACGGCCCTGCACAAGGCGGCCTCGTCGCACTCGGTGGCCGTGGTGCGGCGCCTGCTCGCGGCCGGCGCGGACCCGACGGCCGTCAACGAGCGCGGCATGACGGCGCTGCACATCGCCGCGCACCAGAACGATCTGGCCATCGTGCGCCTGCTCGTCGGCGAGTGCGCCCATGTCAACATCCTGGCCCGCGACCGCCAGGGCTTGACCGCCGCCATGTGGGCCGAGAGGTCCGCCCACCTCGACCTCCACGCCTTTCTGCGCGCCGAGGAGCGCAAGGTCAAGCGGCGGAAACAACGAGCCCGGGCAGTACACCAGCACGAGCAGAACGAGCAGCACCTCCAGACCCCGCCGCCGCCGCCGCCGCCGCCGCTGCAATCACGGACACCGAGCACGGAGAGTCTGGGTCGAAAGGGGGGCCTTCGGGACGCTTTGAGCGATACCCACGATAAAGACGGCGCATCCCAGTGCGAAGGAACGCTGTCGGGAAGTCCGCAATATGAAGAAGGGGAAAATGCAATGAATCTTTATGAGAGCCAGTTAGGTAGGTAGGTAGAGACAAACAGCCTTTTATGGGACAGTCCCATGATTTCCATCAACGCGATCGATCGAGGCATTGATGAGGCGGAGTGTCTGTACTCAATTAAAGCCTGGTCTCCATGTGTGTCTTGCGACCTCTGACTCTGTCTCTGTCTCTGTCACTGCAATCAAAACAAGACTCTATCCATCCATCCAGCCAGCCAGCCAGCCAGCCAGTGCATACATACATGCATGCATGCCCGGAGACAATCCCAATCCTGTTGCTGCTGTTGTACATGGATACCTCGCGCAGTCAGTCGTAAGGAGAAAAAATAATGCGGCGTCGACGTGTGCTTACTCCCAATGTTGAGGTAGTCAGTCATTTGCTGTCGAAGCGAGTCTCGTCGTCGTTCTCGTACTCAGCCAACACCACATGGCTCCGGTTCAGTTCTTGCTTGATGTGCTATCCTGCACACCCACTGCTGTGCTCCGATTCGATACTTCTCCAAGGGCTGTTGTCGACACCTTCCATGTGCTAGTCGCACCAAGCCTGGTAGTGATTGCCCGTACTCGATTCGTGACATGTCAGTCAAGAGACCAGCAACTTTCCCACCTTCAGCCAATAGTCGTACAAACAGAAAGAAAACGAAGATCCCACAAAAGCATGTTCCATCATGATTGAGTATGCCTAGAAGCCTCTCACGCTCTCTGCATCAGGTGCCTTTCTACCAGAACCCCGCGTGTCGCTCGGTGTGCTTATACCCTCTCGGCGCAAACCGCAGGTGTGTCTTCATCCCACCAGCTTGACTCGCGCTATCGTCCGGTTGGACTGACTCTCCAGAGCCAGATGGTTTTTCATCGTCAACAAGAGGGATTCTCGCACCACCCAGGCCCAGCAGGTAGCGATTTCCCGACTCATCAATCATTACGTGGGCCTCTGTGTTCATGCGCACACCAGGAACGTACTGTTGCATCACCGAGGCTCCGCCGGCAGCCGTACTGTTGTTCTTAACCGTCTGAGATCGACTTGGGACTGGAGAAGGCTCCTGGCTCGCGTTAGGAAGCTGAAGGATAGTCTTTGCTCTCGGGCCAAGGATTGCTTCGAGTTGCTCAACGTGTTTTCGGGCCTCGTCCGCCAGGCGTTGTTGGGTGCCATAGTTTCGCAGACCGACGAAATCCATCCTGGAAACTGTTTGGATCGCAATGTCGAGCATGGAATGGATGGTAGTCATATCAAGAAGGGATTTCCCGGTGGTTTCCGCGTCAGTAAGTTCCCCGATCTCCAGAGCCTCGTTCGTTGTGAGCACATCATTGATCCCTTTATGAACAAGCGACAGTTCATAGTGAATATGGCCGCCGTCTGCAAGGTCTTTGTAAGCATTTTCGGCGCCTTCGTATCCTTGCCAGAGTCCCTTATCTTCTGGGTGAACCCGGAACTGAAGGTTCTTTGCCTCTGTCACCTTGAGCAGGATGTCTTGGCTATCCGGAAGACTGCTGCTGTGGTAGCTATCTCGTTTTACGACCAGGTTGCGAACCTGGATTTCAAGGTCATTGGGCTGTCGGAACACCAGCATCAGCTTGTCACGCCCTGGCAAGACATAGAGAGATTCGACAAAAGTGCTGACACTCTGAGCGACGGTCTCTGGGGGGTCCAGCCACTTCAAGGGCCCTGTCAGCGTGGCAGAGAGGTCCCAGACCTGAGCCGGCACATGCATGTTGACATCACTGATGGTGACCAGGCCCTTTCTCAATTCGTATCTTCCAGATTGGTCTACAACAATCTGAAAGTCCTCGTTCAAACGACTTTGGCAATGAAATTCGTAGCTGACAGACTGTGGACCTGGAGACGCATTCCAAAGTTTGCCCTTGCTAATCACATTCCCAGTGTTTGCCTTGATTTCGAGGACACGGTCGATGTCTGCACCGTTCGACGTCAAGATCTTGGTGAAACTGGAGTGGGTCGGCGCTGCTCCAGGATGACAATCAAAGTATGATGACCAGTCCTCAACACTATGATAGATGCTGTCGCGTAATGGCTGCCTCGGTGTGACGAGAACTTGGCCGAATTGCAGCTCAAACCTCAACTTGCCGCTAAAAGCTCTGCTACTCTCAAACGCTGGCTCCAAGAGAGAGATGAGCTTTTTCGTCTGCATAATTCGAAGGTCGCGTGCCACTTGTCCCTCAGCCGACTGTTTTTCCACTCCTTGTCGCTTCCATGGGCTCATCTGCTCTCGCTTGGAAGAGCTTGTTCGTGATCTTGGTGGGATATTGGTCGAGGTTGGATATGCGTCTGCCAACGCCGCAGCGATGCGCGTTTTCTTCTCCGCGTCCGTCTCCCGCTTTGCAAACGTCTTTCCAGGATTTTTACCCTGTTGGCGCATTGTAGAATGAAGTTTGGGTGACCGTTCTGTCGCCTTTTTGTTCGCTGCTATTGCATCTTGCAATTTTTGTAGCGTCTCTACTCTCACGGCATCCTGATCGATTTTCGGAATGAACGTTGTAACGTAGTCAGATCCTTCTTCGCTGAATCTGAGCCGTGCCAATTTCGAAGCAGAGGATCCAGACATTACATCGGAGTGCGTATGTGATTCTGACCGGGTAATCTTGGGTGGGAGAGGCTCTGCAGGATCGCTCGATTGATTAGGATTACCATCAGTCGTGTTCGTAGCCTGAAGCACTACGTTGCATTCCAGGTCTGGTGGCACAGTGGGAGGATGGCCAATACTAGCAGGGGTCCTCAGGTCGATGAGAGGGCTGTAAGTGGATCGCGATTGTTGACCTCGAAAGCCACGGCTCCTCGACGCCCCCTCGGAGTAGTTCCAGCGGGGCCTTCCAGTTCCTCGCTGATAGAACTCTCCTGCTTGTTCCCATGCCCAAAATCCCTCCGGTTGCACAGGGCGCTGGCTTTCAATGTGGTCGTAAGTGTGACTAGCCCCAGGTCGTCCGTCCCCGTGGTGACGGGTGTACGTCCGTCCGCGATAGCCACGCGGAACTCTCTGCCCTCGGCTATACCGTACATGCCCGTACCCACCAGGATGGAAAGCAGGTCGTCTGTAAGGTGCAACACTCGAGGCCTCCGGAGTCATAGACGCAATATCTGTAGCCGAGGACGAAGTCTCCTGAGCTTCCGTCGGTTTTTCGACTTGAGGAGAGGACTTGATTTCGCTACTGGCACTTGCATGGGATTGAAACGGAGATGTGTCGACTGTTTCGTTTGATTCGCCTCCATTGTCGTGATCTTCTTGGTGTCCAGGCGAGGCCTCTTGATACAATGCTGTAGGTATCTCACCCCCATGATCTCCGTGCGAAAGAGCCGAAAGAGCCTCAGATTGCGCTTGGGGCCCCCTTGTAGCTTGGTCCATGTCAACTTCTTCTGATAGATCGAACAATATGTCGTCGTTGCCAGCCAGACGCGCAGACACAAGAGATCCCAGTATCTGAGGCGCCCCGCTTTCGGCTTCCATCAAGTCCTCGTCCTCCGACGGCAGAACTGACCGGTTTTCTGTGACGTTTTCAGCAGCTGAGGCGACGGATTTCGGCATAGGAACAGGGACAGATGGCTCATCATCCTCGCTGTCTGACTCTATTGCAACTCTGCGGCGCGTCGGTGGTCCAGATTCAATCGGTGCATCGGGGGCGACGTTCGGATTTGCTGATTGCTCAATGTTTTTCGACCAGGCGGCGATTCTCGCATCAGAGGGTGTTTGGGTCGGAACGGAGCCCGCGTTGACTGCTGAGGTTGAGTTGGATGTGATGATAGGATCCATATTCTGTGGATCTCCAAAGCTCTTATAGACCTCGGTGTCCCAGATTTTGGAGGCTTGGAACGTAGCTGTGGGCTTATGGTCTTTTTGGAGATTGCGAGGTGTGTGGAACTCCCTCCTCTCCGAATCCCATACACGAAGCTCTCCAATGACTTTCCTGTAGAGGTTTCGTTCCAGTCTGTTGACGATTACGCGTTGGTAGCCTGGGTGATCGGCGCCCATGCTCACAAATTCTATCCTGGAATCTGGGTTATTTGGTGGCCAGATGAGGAGGTTGCCAGTTGCCGAGAGCGGTTTGTTGCCGGACTGTTTATCAATGATTACCTGGGAACAATATCAGTGACGAACATCGCAGTCATGGAGGTGGCATACGAGTAGTGGCTCGAGCCTCAGGAGCTTTTCGCGGGCCAGTTTGAAGTCTCCTTGGAAGATCCGGTATCGCTTTTCAGCTTCTTCAGCAAAAAGAGAGGAGCCTGTCGACTGTGTGATGTCTTTTGCGTACATAGGTGGAAGAATGCCGATGTTCCCGTTCGCAGGCTGCCAATAGGTGGTCAGATGAACCAATCCGTCCAGCACATAGTGATCATCGGCTTCCTCGTCCGACTGATACTGTAATAGAACATTTTTCTCGGCGCTCTCTACGTCGTATTCTTCTGGGATGATGTCTGGCATCACCGTACCTTCCACTGGACGAATTCGTGGCTCATCGTCAAACCCGGGTTGATTCGATTCATGATGCTCGATGTAACCAGCCATACGAGCAAGAAATTGCGACATGGAGTGCTGATCATGTCGGTCGACGTCTGCACAGAATACCTGTAGAATGTCAACTATCAGCTGCATTCCGATCTCACCAGATCTTCGAGAGCTACCGACCTGGTTGGGAGCATCAAAATAGAAGAATGCCGCCGCCTCAGGGCCACCACGAGCGTCCCTATATCAGACGGTCAGTTTACTGAGACTGCAACTTGCGGTCAATTTTGAGGGACGGGAAGGTGTACTTGTCATTCTGGATCAGCTCAGTCGACTTGAGGAAAGTGTCAGTGAAGGAAGGAACGCGATAACCTTGAAGCCCAAACTCACTGCCAGTTCGCTATATTCATGGAGCGACCTCAGAATGATCGTCTTCTTCGCCGCCATTTCCTCAAGTGAGCACTCCCACACCGCACCCCGTCGAGGGTGTTTCCACGGCCCTGCGGCCAGGAAAGAGTGGTTTGGAAGGAGATGAGGAGTCAAGCGAGCATCGGTATTTGTCCTGGGCCGGAGGAGTTACACGAACGATATGCTGCCAGGGGTAACAGGACCCTGTTCAGAAAGGGACAGCAGCTCGTCGTTGGTTGGAGCAGGATCGGTGAATGCGCGAAGATGTGACTGCCGCAGTTCGGAGAAACCTTTCGCCGATAGCACCCAGATCTCGTATCTCAGCCTTGCGCCAAGCTGCGGGTGGTGGATGTTGTCGTCGCTAAGCATTCAGGAGAAGGAGGTGAAGAAATAGAATGAATGCTTCCCTGGATGTGCGAAGCAAGGATGGTTATAATGGACGGGCGTCGCTCGCCTTTCATGCTGCGCATTGCCGGTGTCCATCCGTTGCTCCTGTACTATCCATGCAGGCTCCCCCAGGCCATTCTACACCGTTGTTTGCCTCTCAGAGGAGCGATGCCGCCAAGGCAAATAAAGCTGCCGTTTGCTTGTCAGACAAGAGTCCGTCAAGCACCGCTACGATCACGTGTAAATCTCAAAGCACAATCCTTGGTGAGCGAACTCTTCATGGTTTGACTGGTGGGTGGTGGGAACAGGTGCTGTCTATTAAGAGCCTGCTCTATGTATGTTGCTGTCATCACTTCGTATAGTCATGTCAAATTCTGTGCAACACTTTAATCTCAGACGAATCGTCATCTCGAGGCCTTTGCTGAATCTTTCCGCCGGTGTTTCGTGAGCACATTCTTCGTGGGGCTGCGGCTTCTCTTCAAAGGTTCTTCGTGGGCCGAAGGCGGTCTCGAGACGTGATCTCTTCGTGAGTGCTGTGCTTGGCCTTGAACGGGATCGTGATGGTTGTGATTCACAATATCTTCAAGCTTCATGACCCATCGCATCCGGCCTGTCACTTCGGCCATCTCATCTAACTTCTGAGTCAATGCTTGGTCGTTGTTGTTCGCAGCCTGGCGAAGATCGGAGATGGCGGCGTCGACTTCATTTCTGTAGGCCTTGAAATTCGACGTCAGTCGCTTGGTCAGCTCCTCGAGCTGGGCAATGGTCTGGCGTTGCTGCTCGGCAATGATCTCCAATTTCTTCTGCTTTTCCAAATCATCCTGCTGTCGTCGTAGCAGAGCGTCAAAACTGCCCTTGATCTTTTCCAACCCACTTTGATGTCGATCGTAGTCCACCTTTCGACAGGCGACCACGGTTTCGTACTCGACTTCTTTCTGAACAGCGAGAGACTTCGCCTGGCTGGCTTGGTCCCTCCAAATCTCCTCATTCGAGGTCGCGGCCACGGCTTGAGCCTCTGCCGCTGCAGTCTTCAATTTTTCTTTCCTCAGCTCTTCTCGGAGCTCTTCGACTTGTCTCTCTCTCCGTGTCAGCTGCCGAAGACTCGCTTCGTGAGACTGCTCGTAGTTGCTCGTCCGATCCTGCAGTGATTGGTTCCGTGTCTTCAAGGTCTCATTCTCTTTCTCTGCTTCCTCAAGCCGTGTCTTGAGCAGTTGTTTCTCGCGGCGTAGACGGTCAATATCTCCTTGAAGTCGCTCAATTACTCTGCCTGACTTCCCAGTGCCGGCGTGACCGATGGCCGATGACCAGGGCACGGATTCAGAGGGAGAGGAGTCTGAAGACGATAGAACTGGCTCTTGGTCAGCGGAAAGAGCGGGATAATATACACAGGCGGTGAACGTACCAGAACGCATCATGGAAGCACTGGATACTCGACCCGAGGCAGAGCGTCCCCCATCTGGCTGGTTCTGCTCCTTGAGCACGCCATTCACTTCGGGCATAGTCGATGTCACATTCACATCAGCATGGGCGGATGACGACGTTCCTGGTGTAAAAATTGAGTCAGCGTCATCCAGGGACTGTCTAGTCGGTGCAGCTGTAGTTCTGATGCAGGTAGTAACATACTCAGACCACTCTCCAGTCCTGCGTCTATTGGAGTCGCGGAACTTCTCGAGAGACGTGACTTCCTCCTCATGACACGCCTTGATCAGTCACCTGCAATCTCACAACTGGCAGAAGGGGTGCCTAGAAATTCGAGGCAGGTGTAACGGCAACAATGGCGACTGCGATGGATGTCCCCGGACTCGGAGCGCCAGGACAAGTGACTGTTTCGTGGAAGCGACGCGACCATACAAGGACACAATATCTCTCATTTATCAGCGGAAAGTACAGACTGAGAGAGACTCCTTTCTCGGATTTGTGATGATGGCATTATTTGTTTGAGATCAGCCGTTTGGGTCGGTGGAGATGGCCGGGTCAGCAACGCCCGGGAGGTTCGGGCAGCCTAGCAGCTTAGCAGCCGGGGGGACGTGTCGACAGGCAAACCCGGGCCACCCACGCGTTGGGAACCGCGCCGAGCGAATGAGGGCTGGCTTCCCTCAACCGCCCCTCAGGGCTTGTCTCTCCCCTAAGCCTTTTCGGGGTCGAGATGCCTAGCAGATCAACACTAATGCCAGGGGTAAAATGGACACGCCCAAAAAAACCCAAGTAACGCACTGTCCAAAACTCCGGAGAGTGGTACCAAGTTGATGAAGACACATTTCATCTACAGAGTATTCCGTATTTCCACCCGGACGCCTTGCTCTAGTAGCCTCGCAAATTTCCTCAGTCCAAGAAACTACACGAGGGTCCTTTTAATCAACTTAAGAACATGACAGCAGCGAACACACCTAGCACCAAAGCAGCAGAGCTGCCCAGCTGCCCAGCTGCCCCAGCGTCCGGCACACTTGTCGTCGCCGCCGCCGTAGGAGCAGCTGACGTGGAGCTCGGTGGGCTCTCGCTGCTAGAGGAAGCGGAAGTGGAGGTCATGTGTTGGGTCACGGCGGGAATAAAGCTCGTGCTGGTGGTAGCCGACAGGGTTGCAGAGCTATCAGTGAGGTCAAACTCAGTCTCTTGGGACTTCGACAAGTGAGCTGTAGGATGACGAACTCACCTGAAAGTCGTGTTGCTGGGAATTATGGTGCTTTTCCCCAACGAAGCGATTGCAGTGCTCGTGGTGCTGATCACGCTGGTGGTGGCATTCGTGGCGCCCGTCGTTGTGCTCAGACCCGAGTACGAGATGGTCGACGTGCCACTCCCATCCGCGATCGAGAACAAGCCGCTGTAGTTGATCGAGTCCTGTCCCTGCGTGATCTGAAGTGCGTAGTCCCTGCGGTTGGCGTCCATCAGCAAGTTGAACTTGTGGGTTGTGGGTACATGGGGAGAAACCACATACGATGCGGTCGCCAAACTCTTCGAGACATCCCAGACAAAGAAATCTTCGGTTACGCCATCGGCCAGCGTCGCAATCGTCTTGAGGTCATTCGGATCTCCTTCTCGCAGCGTTATTGTGACAGGTGAACCATCTCCGCCAGCCCACGAAATACTAAGCAGCTCGGATTTTCAGCACGCTATACTCCCCGTTGCCTCTGCGAAATAGCGTGTACGCACTTATAGGATTGCCCGGCAACTACCAAGGCAGGGACAGAAGTAAATGCGATCCTCGCCTGTGCAAGGGCATGGGTAATGAGTGAGGCGCTCAGCAAGAGCAGCTTCCCTGACAGCCTCATTTTCGCCGGTAGGGTTGACAACTGAGCTGGTACGGTACGGATCAGCACTTGCAGCTTCGACCAGCAGGAATTGCAGATGGAATGTCAAGGACAAATGTCAAGTGATAGAATCTAGAATAAACGGAAATCCAAAACGAATGGACGGCGGTCTCAAAACACGCCTATCAAGAGGTATATCCAAAGAACGACAGCAAAGGAAAAAAGCGCGAGAAGAATGCACAAAGTCACCAGCAAATAACCAGCCCCATTGTTTCCGCCTAGAAATTTCTTTGCCTCTGCGAGGAGAAAGCCGAGATCACGAAAAAGTCCAGATTGCATCTATTATTTGAAAAGTGACGCGTAGAGCCAATAGCCGACAAGTAGCACCAGGGGAATGCTAGCCAGTTTTCAACTGGGTCAATCTTGATGATCCACCACGCAATTTCAAGCGACTCCGCTTCTCCAGACGAAAGACTGAACACGATGCCGTCAAGACGAAGGTCGAGAGAATGGTAACGAGGACATATGCCGACCGTACACCCTAGTGAACCCGAGACGAATTGCTTTGTGCAGGAACTGTGGCCGAACATGAATTGAAACAGTCATGGACATGGAAGCTGCGGCATGGCAGCCTACAGCCGAATTCAGAACATGTCCTGTACATGTGGCGGCGGTCCGCCGCATGGTTTCCCCTCTGTAACGGAGGGAAGCCATTGCACTGCTCCGTACACCGGGAAAGCGTCTTTCGTGTTACGAGGAACCACTGGCCGCGTGGAGACTGATATGGAAAGTCCAGAAAGTGCAGAAATCGGCACTTCGTCACCAGCCGGAGTTCGAGCTTTCCAATTCAAGGCATCCCGAAGCAAGGGAGCAACCGACCGCGGCGAAAGATCTCGAAGAACACCTCTCGACACACCTGCTGCCAGTGTATGAGTCATGGAGATCTCCCCACGGACCTGCCCTTCAGGGTATCCGTTGGGATGGAGCATTGTGACATTGGCGGGGTTGAATTGAGCATATGTGCCGATGAGGTTGGGTGCGGCGGGCCAGGCGGACACTTCGTCAGGAGCATCCCCCATAAAGAAGTCAATGCAGAAGCTCGTGTTCAGCGGGAACCGATCCACAAGCACGCTGATCGACCACTGTCTGTTGAGGTTGTTAACACGGAGCTGCCTCACCAAATCAAGCGAAACATGACTGAAACTCTCGGCTATACTCGAGGATCTTCGCCTGTTCTTTCGCGTTGAGCTGCTGATTGTACCATTTGATGAAGGGCTGTAAAGCGAGTTGACTGCAATTCGTACGTTGTTAGCTAGTTCATCTGGACTCATCTCCCAGTCTGGGAGTTCCGGATAACTGTAGCCGAATGTCCTCGTACTGCGGACGTCATCAGAGGTGAACAACGTGCTGCCATCATCAGAATGGAAGGGCGCCAAAGCTATAATCTGTTAGTTTCCACATCGTCTGCGGTTCGGGTGACACCGACCGGTTGTTCCCGAATCGACAAACCCAACATTCTCGTAGTACGATCCATATGCATTCACGGTCGGCTGAATGTAGCTGTCCGGATACAGCGCTTGCCACATGGCGAACAAACGATCGACGTTGGCATGATGCAACCAGAACGAAGGGTCAAAGCCTGCGACTTCTGGGAATTGCATGTGACCATACCCTCCTATGCTGTTGTGGATGCTGTTGTGAATGGACTCGATATTGTTCGCTGTTAACCATTGCCCACCGGGCCAGGTGCATGAGAACGTGGTGTAATTCGTCACAGACGTGAACATTAGATACGTCAATGCTTGGATTCTGGAACACGGTGCGTCAACGCTTGTTAGCCCTCGAGATTTGACAGACTCACGCAGGAGCGTTGGCCAGCAACGCCGCAGTGGCTGCGCTTTGATTGCTAGATTTTGTGTCTGGGCTCCACCAGCGAACGGTTTCAGAAAAGTTGGCCATCTACATGTCCATAGTGGTCAGTACATTGTCGAGTGTCCAAAGAGATGGGGCAGGTCCTACCGGATCGGAGAGCGGAAACCCATTGCCTGCGGCATCTGACTGGAAAACATAGGTGTAGAGAGGATTGTTTACTGTCTGCCACCCATTCGGAGTGTTGATGGAGATTTGAGGCTCAGAGACCACGTCAGGCAATGCTGGATAAACAGCCCAGTCCCAGTAAGGAACCCGCAAACTGAGTGCCGCACTCGAATATTCGTCACGTTGATCATCGGGATAGTGGCTAGCAATGCCTTGCGCATACTGCCAGATCAATTGCTGTAGAGCGCTGGTCAGCAGCACCTCAAGTACTGACATGAAAGATGAGAGTTACCTCGAACAGTGCCACATACGGTCGGTGCCAGGTTGGAAAGGGAGTTGCAGCGTGCGTGCAAAATCCTGGATAGCTACCGGTGCCCGAGACACCGTCCCAGGGGATTCGAGGGAAACCATGAATGCCTGCCACTTGGTCAACATGTGTGCAAACAATGGCTGCTCGTTATTGACCTGAGACTTGGAAGTAAGACAGCTCTTCTGTCTGGTTCACGCTTTGGAGATCTATCAAGGCGAGGATGAACAAATCAAAAGCCGGGCCTGAGTTTGCAAAGTCATGGATCTCGTATCGCAAAGGTCGTGCTCCTGTAGTCGAATTGACGCCCCCCAGTGCACCAGTGATCTGAAAAGCAGTCAAACCATCACTCAGGGACAGAACCAGGAGGAGCAGCGGTGCGAATTGCCCTCTGCAGCAAAACGAGAAGAACAGGGAGAACATGGTCGGGAGTGGTCGAGATGAAGGGACCTGACGAAGACAAAGGAGTCACTTTGCAGGGCGAGCATCCTTTCATAAAGCCGGCCCATGTTACTGGGGGTTGAACCAACAACATGCATCTCCCACACACCCCGAGGACCTCAAACGCAAGGATTGTTTGTTAGACATGCAGATTGCCAGTCTCTGGGACTGCACACCGATGCTCTGGGCCCAGTGGCACGGGCAGGTGCATCCGTTCCCTCCAGGTGCATTGTAACAGTGGTGCAGCCACTGTGGGTAGTTCGAAGGGGCACTATCCATGATGCCCAACATATGCAACATATTCAACGTAATTCCATCTGAGACCGCCTGCGTCGTCGGTTCTACACGCCATTTGGCTCTTCTTTGCTGGCGACATGAACGACGCCAAGGTAGCAGACGGGGGATATACACAGCAAACGCCCACTATTCTTGGCTCAACCCCCTTTCCTCATCAGCGTTCCACAGTGTTCTGCCGATATAGTGAACCCCCGGCGGAGTCGGTGCGACGGGAATTCTATTGGTGATACGGCACCAGGGCAGCTGCTGGAGGCGAACAGGGAGGCTCTCTCATCAGAAGGGTGCACTGCAAATCGCCTCCTGCAGGACCTACCTGTCTGATTCTGGGATTCTGCACCCGTTCTAGGTATGACAGAACATTGTCAAGCCAGGCAAGAGAAAAGAAATCGAAGTGCGGGATGCAAAGAAAGTTGAAGATCTGTGGTGGACGAGCGGCTTGGCCCGGGCTTGAGCCACCTCGTCATTTCTGATCCGCAGGTTCCTAAATAATTCTTCGGCTGGCGCGGAGTTACGGGTCCTCGAACGGCCCTCACCAAGACCACGAAAATACCGCGCGTTGTCGATAAAAGAACTACTTTTCACTTTTGTCGCCTCTCCGTTGTCCTTTACTCCTCTGTATTCGAACGAGCCTCATCCCAGAGAGCAGAGCGCAGCACCTCAGAATCCGCAGGAATAGCCGACTCTCCGTTTGTCGAGCCTGCACCATGGTCGAATACGTTCCTGCCCCCTCGGACCTGTCGCGTCTTAATCCTATCCAGCGGTACATGCAAAAAGGCCAACTGGACAAGCAAGACTATTTCTACCTATGCCTGATTGTCCTCATTTATTTCATGGCCAGGCCGAAAATCGAAGAGTTCTTCAAGTGGTGGATGAGCCCCAAGGCGCTGCGAGAAGGCGAACAGGCTCGAGCAGAATACATGCAGAAGGCCAAAGTTGGACCAAACGTGATACGTGGAATCGAGTCGACGAGCCTGGAGACGATTCCTGAAGTCTCGGTCGATACTACCTCGGGCACCAACGTGGACAAGAAAGGCAAAGTGGTAAACCGGAAGACAAAAGAGAAGTCCGGAGCAGACAAGTTGTTGGACTGGGAGGACGAGCCGGAGAGGAAGCCTACGGAGGGAGACAAGGCGGATATTGTGGCATGGCTCGACAAATGGTCCAACGAAGAATGATCACAACTCTCGAGCTGTCCACCTTGCATCTACTCGACGTCGAGACTTTTCATGCCGCAGAACGCACTCGACACACTTCAGATTTGAGATACACAGCATATGTCAATATATGTCAATAGAGGCATTCCACTGCCAGAGGCAGACACCGACTAGTGTCACTTACCCCGAGTGCAGGTGTCGGGGTGTCAGGCTGGACGACAGTGGTCGATCATGATTGACAGTTGGAAAGCCAGAGGTTAGACATCTCGCTTGAGCTTGCGTTACTTGAATATCTGCCAAGATGAGCGGACACCTCTCGACCTCCAAAAGGCTCAGAACATCGCAAGCCTTTTCAGGCAATGATGTCCCGGCAGATGGGGGCTTCTTGGTCAGCCATTCTGCTGTATTACACGTGTTTTGGATATAGAAGAACATCGCTGCGGAATTTTCGCACTCGACCCGTTCCTCCATGACAGCCCCTCTCTCATTCAAGCCCTTCCCAGCTGGTACGGACGCTGATGCCCTTGGGCCACAGACCTTCTTTCCTGCTCTGAGCTTGGGCCGATGTTTGTGTGTTCCGTTTATCCACGCCTTTTTTTGGCCGTGATATGGACTTCTCTACTCGACAAAGGATGAGCTCTGACGCGGCACATATTGTCAACATTGACTTTGCACGGAGGCTGATCTCGACGCCACTCCAAGTGACGTTCATTTTGGCATCGAGATCCTTTAAATAGAGACACTACAACGGCATTTGCCCGAAACGCCAGGATAGTAATGGTTCCTATACGCCACTGTTGCCAAGGCGAGGCTGTCGCCCCTGAAGCAGTGGAAGGAAGCCGAAAACTCGTCAAATTTGGTGATGGCACTGACCTCCTCGCACGTCATTTCTTTCCGATATGTCGTGCAACCCCTCGTCGCATTTCTCCAGCTTGATCGAATAACACATATCTCTTGCAGGGCTGGTGCAGCTCGGGGAAGTCGTGAGCGTGCCCATCCAACAACCTCTTCAGCTCTCACAGCCCAGTCAGTCAGAGCAGGCCAGCCTACCACTTTCGACTGATTCGTCTACCTCTAGCATGCACTCCGGACGCAATACCGTCCAGCCAAACCGGTGTGAAGCTGAAGAAAAGCAGCCTTCGAACCATGTGTAGACGTGGATTCTAGATCCTCATCGAACCAAGCCACACGAACAAGAGGGCAGCTGAGCTCAACCGCGATTGGAGACTCGCGGGGAAGGGCTGGCTGAGGTGGAGCATCAGCGTTAATCCATGGAGATGGCATTTGTGAATCTGCTTCCACCGCATTGACCTCCCATTGCTCGAAGACCTCGTTCAACTAGTCCCCAGCTCTGCCTCACTCCACGGCCGACACGGGTTCTCGAGGCGCTCGTGTTCGCAGCTGTGAAGGTTCAGGGTTTGGACATTGATATACGTGATGATCGCACCAGCAGCTCGTATTTACAGTGGAAGGCGGTCTAGATCCAATGCCCATCTGCAGTCTAAGCCGAACTTCCATTGTCTCTCGACGGTGGCTGACCTGACTGCAACACACCACAGCACATGGCCGAGCGTGGTGGATGGAAAGAACTAGACAGCTAGGAACCCGGGAACTCACTCGGATATGATGGAGGAAACATGCACCCTAAAAGCAAGCTCCTATACGACAAGGAGCAGAGCATTCGCCCTCGGTGCTGCCCTCGATCAGGACTATATAAATATTCTTCTGGCCTGCGTTCTAGGGACAAGTCAAACAAGCATTGATCAAAGAGAACTACAAACCCACCCACAGGCCCCATCTCCAGATCACACGAGACAATCTTCAAATCGTATCTATCAACGACCGACCCACCCACTAAGCAGCCACAATGTCGACCACCGTGAGAGTCAAACTGTACAACTCCGTCACCGCAGATCAGCACCTCACGACGGCAGACGTCCCCATCGACGGCAAACCCCACAACGTCCGCGACCTCTTCAAACCCAACAATCCGGCCTACCCGGGCAAGGTCACGGGCAACACCGTGTCCATTGGAGACTTCAAGGGCGCGACCTTCACCCTGCTCAGTCCGTCCGGAACCAAAGTCCTGGTGCGAAAGCCCGAGCAGACAGGCATGTCACAGCAGTTCAGCGGCGACCAAAAGCCGCTCGGAAATTTCGACGCGCAGGACTACGACCTGAGCGACTTCACCATCACCTTGAACAAGGGCTCTTGAAAGATTTCAATCGGTTCGCCGACCAGTTCTCTGGGGGTATCGGGTTTGCTTTCTGGCGAGCCACATTCATGCAACTCCTGGTGAGCTGAAGAAAGGGAAAGCGGGGATGCAGCCGTGTATATGTGTGTCATGATGGCGACCAGGTAATCAAGTTTTCTGGTGAAATGCCACGGGAGACTCGAGAAGAGGCCATGGGATTTCTCGGCTGAAGGTTAGGAGATATTATTATAGTATTCCACACACGCCAATGCGAGTTTCCTCATCGAAGTCGCGCATCCACACATCTCATTATCTTCGGTGTTGCCCTCCAACCGATACTTTCAGGTACTAGGAGGAGTGCGTGCAAAAGAAAACACCCGTTGGTGCTTCTCCGGGCCTGTCGCCTTCACAAAGTGATAAAAGCCCTATAAAATGTCGGATTTCAGCCCAATTATCCAAGAATAGTCGCCTCTGATCATTACCGTCAATATCAGCGTAAGATCGAAGGTAAGAAAAAGGGGGTATTGTACAAAAATGCCGCAACAGGACCGTCGCTTAAGGCTCCCGCTCATCCAATAACAAAGGCTCAGATTCCGCAGATTCCTCGTTGTGCTCCCGACTGCCTGCCACGGCGGCGCCCAGGCGAGCTCTGAAGCCGGACAGCTTGGGAGGACGGGGAAGTTCGGGGAATTTGCCATATAAGAAAATCAAACCCCCCAGGCCACACCCTAGGACCACGCAGCCGAAGATAAGGAAGAAGATCGACCAGAGTGCGAGCTGTAGGCAGAATCAGCATTGGGGACAAGACGAACGGCAAGGTTAGGCTGGGGCTTACAGAAGGCGAAGGCGTCTTGACCACCGCCGAGTACGCCATGACCCCATTTGCGGCGTCCAGCGCCGCGATCCTCACATATCCATGGTTCTTGGGAAGCGCAAAGCTCGTCTCGAACCCGTCACGCCTCAATTCCTGGATCGTCGCGAACTCGTGGTCCTGGGCCTCCAGCGTCTTCGCCGTCTCCAACCTCCACCCCGTAACCTCAGTGGCGCCATTCCAACTAACATATACTTTGCCACGCTTCACCTTCACATCTGGCGGCGTCTTCGGCCTCCCCACCCATGGATGCCTGAAAACGCGGTACGATTTTACAAACCCGAAGTCAATGATCTCATACAAGATTTGGGGCGCAAAGTGTGCGTTGCAAAGCACTTTGCCATCCGCCGAGTACTCGACAAAGGTGGGCGAGTTGCCGAATCCAACGAGCACGTTACCGCTCTCCGGGACCAACTGTACTGAGCCTTGGGACACGTTGAGGATCTTGTTCGGGTGGGCGAATGCCCGTATGAGAGTGGCAGTCATCTTCTCCATGTGAAGTTGGATGATCATGCCCTTGCTATATTTGGATGGGCTGTGGAAGACATTGTTGGCGTGGTTGTCGAAGATGGATATCGTGTTGTTACCCTGCCATGTCACATGGTGTTGCCAGGCGAAGTTGGTTGCCCCGTTCAGATCTTCAAAATCATTGTTCTTGCCGCCGAGCTGCCACAGGATGTCGCCTGTCTTCGAACTGATACACACAATGGCGTGCATGTAACGGGCCGAGATGATGTAGTCTCCGGAGTCAGTCTTGTCGACACTGTTGATGTGGAAAAAGTCAAAAGCGTCCTTTTTGGACTTGCCGTGTCCATCCTTGCGTGAAGGCCTGCTGAACACATCCTTCATCCGGATGTGATCTGTGGCGCGCCATTCGAACAACAGAGCCCCCGTCTCGATATCGATCTCTTGGAACAGGCCATCCTGAATCCAGCAACTCTTGCCCAGCCTTAACTCCGTGCAATCTGCTTGGTGTTTGTGATATATCGTTATGAGCGCAGTGCCTTGTGGAGTGATGCGAAACTCATGCGAGTCGCCCTTGAGACCGGCGCCACGCGCATGTATGCGATGGGCGACTTCGTAAGAAGAGTTAAGCTAAAACATTAGTAATGTATCCCATGAACCTAAAAGGAGGGCAGGTCCTACCAGCACATAAGACTTTTTGGAATGCTTTGAGTGGCTGGTCTTCTTGATCTTCGTCCAAAAGGTTAAGTAGTCCTCGCCCTTGTACTGCTGTACATTGAGGTTCATGGCTTGCTCAAATTTATTGTTTTCCATCCAGATCAAGTTGCCTGTCGCATCTAAGATAATTGGGCCTCGTGCCGCTCCGGTCACTAAGGGTCCCCTTGGAGTGAGGAAGAGATTCCCAGAGTCGCACCGGGAATCCCATTGTGTTATCTTGAGCGCCGGCGGCTCGAAATCGACCGAGTGGAAATGCTGGCGGGGATATGTGCCATGAAAGCCCAGATCATACGCGTTAAACGAGAATGCAGCGACCCAGGAAAAAGGGAGAGCTGTGAAGAACAGAAAGGAGCGCATGATAAGATAATCGTTGAAGCATGATAAGATGGTCGATGAGGCATGATTAGATGCTTGAAGAGGCACCGGGTATAAGAATGAAAATGGACAGCAAGCCAACCGACAGATTGCCAGAGACAGTCAGATTGGTTTCTTGAGTTAGCCGGAACACTCGGAACCCACATAAGCCTCGCTTGTGTGTTTGCCGTGGGCCATCGTGGCATGTCTGCAAGGCAAGGTAAAGCCTTGTGCTATCAACGAGATTGATACACAAAACATCGACCAGGAATGACAATACCTCAGACTCACCATGAGAGCCATAGTCTTGGTCGACATCCGGTCCTCGTGATGCTCTTGGGGAGCTCGCATGGCTTGGAAAATGCTTGGAGCTCTTGCTGGGGATCGACGACAGAGCCCACTAAGATTGTATGATGGGCTGGGCCTCTTCTGGTCGCACAGTCAGGGCATGTCGCTTACTCGAAATGGTATGCTGCGGGAGTGTGACTTACCGACATCCGTGGAAGCTTATGACAGGCCAGTTATCCGGACCGGGGCACGTGCCCAGGGGCTGCCTGTGCCGTCACCATCGGTGGGAAGCTCAGCTAAGCAAGACCAAGCAAGACCAAGCACCCACAAGCAAGATGGAACGACGAGCAACGCCGTGGAGAGAAATCGAAATTTGAAGCTTTTTGTTCCCGATCCAATCATGGAGAAGGCATAGTAAAGCTTGGAGATGGCTTGATCCAAACAGGACGAGCGCAGTAGCAGTCGCGAAGTACCGAGTACGCCGTTGTCGCCCACTAAGAAGCGAGGGAGGACTGAAAAGAGGCCTTTTGGAGCCCGAATTCCGAAAAGCCCAGGTGATTGGTAAGTTCCGAAGCTTGACACTTGACTTTGCTGGGCAAAAAGTCACAGGAGCTGAAATTATGCACCAGCATTTGCCATGTTGATCTGTCCTTTGCAGATCTTGTGCTAAGGGGGCGGAAGAGCCTGAAGCAAAGACCGACAACGCTAAAGAACTTACTCGCACCGCATGTAGCAACGCTTCGGGCCTTAATTTCTTGGCATGCCCGTTTATCGGCTGTTCGGGTGCCTCGCGAGAGCAGAAGCAATGGAGTCGATTACTTGGGAGGGTTTCTGATGCGGAAGCGAGGACCCATGAGACGGCTGAGGAGAGATTTTGGGAGTGATACCAAACGGCCAAGGGAGACTGATTAGAGGACACGCTTGAAAACGCCACCATATGCGGTCAAACACGGCGGCCGCCCACAAAAGTGCATGCACAGGTCTCGGCTAGTACAAGAGAAACAGTAAGTTGTCCCTGCGACTCAAATCATATGTATGTGTATGAGGTACTGGGCACCTCGCAGAGACTGCGAACCGGCGCAACATGAAGTCCTCCTTGCGGAAAAATGAAATTCCCTTTCCGGGTTCTCGGTTCGAAAAAGACCGACAGGGTGTCTTCAGGGCCCTAAGGCGGCAACCAAATGGTCCGAAATGGGCTTTTGGAGACGTATGCGCAATCGACAATCCGCGACCTCCAAGGCACTTTCTTCCATAGCGAGAGGACTTTCACAAGCACACACCTTTCTCTTTCATCTTGCCTTCTTTCTCCCCGTGGCCGTCATGGCTGCCTCCACGCCTCTTGACCCTTTCCTCCGTGGAAGCACCAGCAAAAACACCAGGGGACTCCTTCGAGTTATTATTCTAGTGACAATTGCAGCCGCCGCAGTGTCTGCCCGATTGTTCAGTGTAATTCGTACGTGCAAAGCGTAGACTCAACACCACAATCTTTCGGGAAACAGTTGACTGACTATGGTGCTCAGGTTTTGAAAGCATTATCCACGAGTGTCAGTAGGCCCCATGTCAGCTTCCTCAACTGCGTATCCAGTCTGCGAAAGAAAGCAGACGGATGATCCCCTGAGCCTGCTCCTGACACTCTTCAATAGTCGATCCATGGTTCAATTTTCGGGCAACGAAGTATCTTGTGAAGAATGGCTTCTACAGCTTCTGGGATTGGTTCGATGACCGTACGGACACCGCCCTCGACGAGAAAATATTGGATATACTAATAGGTTATAAGGAACATGGCACCCTCTTGGTCGCGTCACTGGTGGAACGCTCTATCCGGGCCTGATGGTCACGTCTGGCGTTATATATCACATCCTCCGGCTTCTGTCCCTTCCTGTCGACATACGGAACATCTGCGTCCTCCTCGCTCCGGGCTTCTCTGGCCTCACCGCGCTTGCAATGTACCTCTTGACGTCCGAAATGTCGTCCTCGCCATCTGCAGGTCTTTTGGCTGCCATTTTCATGGGTATCAGTCCAGGTTACATTTCGAGATCGGTCGCAGGGAGTTATGACAACGAGGCCATTGCTATTTTCCTCCTTGTCTTCACATTTTTTCTCTGGATCAAGGCTGTCAAGAATGGATCTATCATGTGGGGAGCTTTGGCGGCCTTGTTTTACGGATACATGGTGTCTGCATGGGGTGGCTACGTCTTCATTACGAACCTGATTCCCCTTCATGCTTTCGTCCTCATCTTGATGGGCCGATACAGCTCCAGACTTTATATCAGCTACACCACCTGGTATGCTCTTGGAACATTGGCAAGCATGCAGGTTCCCTTCGTGGGATTCCTCCCAGTCAGGAGCAGTGATCACATGGCAGCGTTGGGTATTTTCGGTTTGTTGCAGTTGGTTGGGTTCTTCAACTTCCTCCGGGAGCAACTCCCCGGTAAGCAGTTTCAGACACTGCTGGTTGCCCTGGGTGGAACAATCTTTGCTGTTATGTTTTTGGCTCTCGTGACTCTCACAGTCTCGGGGACCATTGCACCTTGGAGCGGCCGATTCTATTCTCTCTGGGACACAGGATATGCGAAGATTCACATCCCCATTATCGCGTCCGTCTCAGAGCATCAGCCCACCGCCTGGCCCGCATTCTTCTTCGACCTTAACATGCTCATCTGGCTATTCCCAGCGGGAGTCTACATGTGCTTCCGCAACCTCAAAGATGAGCATGTCTTTGTCGTCATCTACGCCGTTCTTGCCAGCTACTTTGCAGGAGTCATGGTTCGTCTCATGCTTACACTGACCCCGGTAGTGTGCTGCGCTGCTGCACTCGCCCTTTCACATATACTCGACACCTACCTCTACCTGCCGACGCCTGCCGAGAATTCGACCGACGGTAGCAACGGGTCTGTTAAGGCCAGCAAAATTTCGGCAAACCCGTCACTGCGGTCTACCAGAAATCCCCTAATTGGCATCTACTCTATTGTGTCGAAGTCGATGATTACGTCAATGGTCACTGGTTTCTTGCTCCTGTTTGTCGCTCACTGTACGTGGGTTACTTCGAATGCGTATTCATCCCCTTCGGTCGTTTTGGCCTCAAGACTACCGGATGGATCTCAACATATCATCGATGACTACCGAGAAGCATATTACTGGTTACGGCAAAACACGCCTCAAGACGCAAAGATCATGTCATGGTGGGATTATGGATATCAGATTGGAGGTATGGCTGATCGGCCGACATTAGTGGACAACAACACTTGGAACAACACGCACATTGCCACCGTTGGGAAGGCCATGAGCTCCCGAGAGGAAGTCAGCTACCCCATACTTCGCCAGCACGACGTCGATTATGTTCTGGTTGTTTTTGGAGGGTTGCTGGGATACAGCGGTGACGATATCAACAAGTTCCTGTGGATGGTGAGGATCGCCGAGGGTATCTGGCCGGAAGAGGTAAAGGAGCGAGACTATTTCACCGCGCGTGGCGAATACAGGGTCGACGAGGAAGCCACACCAACGATGAAGAATTCCCTAATGTATGTGCTGTTATTTGTCCCGTCAAAAGGTCCGACTAACTTACGCGGGTCACAGGTACAAAATGTCGTACTACAACTACAACAACCTGTTCCCAGCAGGCCAGGCACAAGACCGCGTCCGTGGCTCTTCTCTTCCTGCACAGGGTCCGGAATTGAGTACGCTCGAGGAAGCCTTTACAAGTGAGAACTGGATCATCCGGATCTACAAGGTCAAGCCTTTGGATAATGTGGGGCGAGATCACCAAAGTGCGATGGCCTTCGACAAGGGTCACAAGAAGAAGCGGAAGGCTGGTGCCAGAAAAGGTGCCAGAGTCCTAAGAGTGGACTGAATTTGCAAGCGACCTATCCCGCTCACAGGTAGTGCGAGTGACAACTGGCGGAAACATAGGAATCATGTTGTGACGAATAGACACAAAATTTTAGGTGGAATAAAAGCGCGCGACATGCCACTGGTTTGTATAAACAGAGAAACTATGACCATCACTTTGTCTCTCCCCTATCGTGTACGAAGCGCGAACGATAGTGAGTAAAGCTCCGAGAGAACTCGGATTTCCAGTGACAATACACAGGACTCGCGTCCCAGGCTCGCTGTCGCATTCCATCTTCCATGTAACATGAATTGTCACAATCATCCAAATAAGGAATTTACACGCTTTAAAGCGGCGTAATTATTTACAGCCTCTTTCTGTCGCCATTGCAAAATCAGTCACAGACCTCCATCCCTTAACGTTTCATTTTTTTGTTGGTTCCTAGTGTTACCTGGTATTCGTTCGTCACGCGTTGAAGGGATATGGTGGAGAGTAGCAAACGAAAAGCCGCAGAAGCTGGCTTTTCACGCTCGCATCTAGACACGGAACAGACTCTCGCCGATATCCAGCCCTCCGAAACGTCAAATACGGCTCATATCTACGGTGCAGTAGCTAACAGTATGAGCGGCAAAGACTCAAACCTCTCTGTCCCGCGGGACTGGACCGTGGCTGAATCCAAGTCTTCTCGGAAGAAAAGACGCAAAATTGAACGAGATCCGGACGGCGACCCCAGCATCAGCTTCCTCAAAGGAAGACCTGAACGTGTTGATCTCAAGGCGTTACAAGACCTTGTCCTCTATATTTTGTCGGATGGCATCGCACCGACCTGGCTGGCTGTTAAGAACGCTAAGCAGATCAAGAAGGTGGTGGTCTTGATGGTTCCCTCCCTCGATCGCACAATGCTGGAGGACTCAGCGCTATGGAACACCATATCTGAAGACGGCGAGATAACTGGCATGAACAAGCCTGACGAACCATCTTCGGGCCATGATTCTGCTTCTCAAGCTCAAAGTTCAGCCTCAGCCGACACTTCACCCATGGATTCGCCACCAGAAACTGCCCTCCATTTCCCATCAAGCCATGTCTCTCCAGGAAACTTGGGAGATCGTCTCCTCCAACACATCATCGAAGTTCGTGCCCCGGGAGATTCACGTCTGAGCAGAGTTCACTCTCCACTTCAGGGCATGCTCATCGCGCCATTCTCGGAAACTTCCAAGCAGAAAGCCCAGAAAAGCAAGAATGACAAGTCATTCCACGGTTCCCGCACTCCCATCGTAGACTTCATCCATTCACTCAACGAACTTCAAGAAGCAGAATATCCGATCCACCCCGCAGCGTTTACGGATCCGAAAGATGCACAGCTAGAGAAGGAGCGAAGAGAGAGAACAGGCCAGTCTACTCCTTCTGGCTGGGTGGACACCGATGTCTCTGTGCCCAGGCCGCAGGTCATGTCTTCTCCTCCTCCAAAGGTGTACGATTCTTTGACGCAGGGTCTGAAACCATATGCTTTGGATTGCGAGATGGTTCTGACAAGCGATGGAAAGCATTCCCTTGCGCGCGTCTCTGTCCTTGACTGGGTCGGCCGAACTGTGGTGGACAGGTATGTCAAGCCGGCGCTGGCCATCGAGAATTACTTCACAGAATTCTCTGGCATAACCGAAAAAATCCTTGAAAATGTCACGACGACCTTGGAAGACATTCAGAAAGAGCTACTCCACATCTTCAGACAGGACACGATCCTCCTTGGCCATAGTCTCGAGTCTGACCTCAACGCGCTGAAAATGACCCATCCGTTTGTGATTGACACGTCAATCATCTATCCACACCCACGCGGTCTGCCCCTACGCTCCTCCCTGAAGTTTCTAGCAAACCGTTATCTCAAACGGGAGATTCAAAAGGGCGGAATGAGCGGCCATGACAGCGTGGAAGACGCCAGGGCGGTATTGGACCTGGTAAGGCTGAAATGTGACAAGGGACCTACGTGGGGGACTTTGGAAGCCAACGGCGAGAGCATCTTCCGAAAGATTGGAGGGACGCTGAAGATGGACGCCGAGGGAGAGGTTGTGCTTAAGACCACAGCCATGGTGGAATACGGAACACCGGAGAGGGGACTGGGCAGAGATGCAACATACAAGATTGGTTGTTCGAATGATGACGAGATTGTACGGGGAGTTTTAAGGGCTGCTCATGGAGATCCAGTTGACGAGGCAACAGCGACGGAAGAGAGTAGCAAAAATGCTGCTGAATCGAACCGTGCAGGGCATGATGAAGAGAAAGCACCCCAAGCCCCCGATCAGACCATTCCGCCAGGTGGCGCTGATTTTATCTGGGCTCGACTTCGCGACCTCGAAGCCGCGCGAGGCTGGAATATCCATCCCAGCGACAAGTTTCCGGCGTCTAGCTCTGCCTTTGCTGCCGACGTGCCCCTACCGAACGACCAAGCAGAAGAACATCTCAGAATTACCCTACGTCAAACCGCTCAACGCATCTATCGAATCTATGCTAACCTACCTAGTCGAACGCTGCTCATTATCTACAGTGGTACTGGTGATATGCGGCCGCTTCTACGGCTGCAACAGCTTCAGGCCCAATTCAAACGGGAGTTCAAAGTCAAGAAGTGGAGCGACATCTCAGTGAAATGGACGGATGTTGAGGAGCAAGAGATGAAGAAGGAGTGTGAGAGAGCAAGACAGGGAGTCGGGGTCCTGGCACTTCGATGAATGATACAGAGGAAGACGGATATACCGAGTTTCCGACCCTGCCCTCAATGAGGCTTTGCCAGCATCGAGAGTCTACTTGATTGGCTCCCTTATGCGAAGCTGCTCGAATGCACGCGAGTCCTTGGACCTGCCATCTCTGGCGGCACAGAAGGTTTCGGCTCGCCTCTCGCACTTCTGGGGATTTCAAATCCATCCGCTTCAGTGACGCCCAGTCAGTTGCACGTTACTAAGCTGTAATCAACACTCTACGTACTTTTCTTGTGCGCAAGCTGCGAAAACGTCTCCTGTGCGAGAATGGCCAGCAAGGGAGAAACGTCTTTGAAAAGACGGGAGAAATTGGTATCATTCGACCCGTGTTAGGGTGTATCAGATCAGAAACCGATGCGGTCTACTCTCGTCCTCTGCCGTCGACCGATTCCCTTCTCTGCATGGGAATCTAGTCGAAGAGCCTGGCACGCTATTCATGCATGATGGCGGGAAAAGTGCTGAGCTCGACTTTCAAACGAGTCGTGGCGTGAACCCAGAAAGTCAATAAATGGGGTATCTTGATATATTCATTAGGGACTATTCCACGATCCATCTGCCATGAAAGCGTTCATGCATGCCTACGTATTCATCGCCATTCTAGTTTCTGTTTCTTCGCCTCGCCGCCCTGTATTGGGCACTTCTCTGAGCAGCCTTCGAGTTCGGCCTTTTCCTCTTCCGATCCCCGTTCTTCTTTGAAGTGGCACGGTGACCTTCGAAGACCGACGCTCGCTTCGGAGTCGCACCTCTTGCGGAGATCGCATGAGGCTTGATCTGCATCTTCCTGGCACGCATCACGCGGAGCTTTCTCGGCAGCATTGGCGGGAATTTCTTCTCGTTCAGGAGCAGGGCGGCCTCGACGCTGTTCTCGTCCTTGAATTGGACGTATGCGAACCCTTTGCCCACCCGCGTCTCTTGGTCCCGCACTACGCGCACGCTTTCGACCGTCCCGACTTTGCTGAACGTCCGCCACAGGCCTTCCTCCGCGTCTGCGGGCTCCTTGGCCGTCGGCCGTCGTTTCTGCTCTTCGTCTGCATCCGCTGCGGGTGCCTCTTCGTTGACGAAACTCAAGTTCCCGATGAAGACGCACCGTTTGTGGTCGATGGCCGATGGCTTCGCGAGGTAGTCGACTCTCAAGTGGCGATCAAGCACAATGGTACCGTTGAGTTTCTCTGCCGCCAGCACCGCGGCAACGTCAGTGGAGAAGACGGCGTAGGCGTTTGTGCTGACGCTCGTCGCGTCCATGAGTTCCTTTTTGGCGTATGTGGCTTTCTTCGGACCCTCGCCCGACGCATACGCCGTGGAGCGGAAACGGACCGACTCGAGTTTGCCTGGTGTCTCCCCCTCCCGTCGTGTCTTCAATATGGAGCGTAGGTGTTTGTACAATGCTTTCTTTGCCACTTTGGTCTTGATAGCTTGAGTGGATACATTCCCCAGGAACACGGTTCTGTTCAACTTGTCTTGGTCCTTCAGCTTGTTGTCCAAGGTCTCATGTTTCGGGACGCTGCGTGAACTGTCGTCAGAGCCAGAGGCGGATGCGTCGTCATCAGGGTCGCTCGAACTTCCTTCGCCATCGTCAACCTTCTGCTTCGGTTTCCTCTTGCGGTTTTCCCGGTCTTCTAGCAGCTCGAGCCGTTTGAAATATGCCTGCTCCAGATCGTCCTCATCGTCGGTACGCTTGCGCTTGTGAGGCCTCTCGCCCGTAGCTTTGGCTACCTGCTCAGGCGTCGACGCTTCGCCGTCTGAAGACTCATTCTCATTGTCACTTTCTTCAGAGGCATCGGAGCTAGACGAGGATGCTTCATCTTCGACTGTGGGCTGTCGGTGCGATGGAGCTGCTTTTGCTGAGGTCACAGCCTTCGGCTGCACCTTGACTGGTCCAGACTAGAACGAGTGTGTCAGCCTCATTTCCGGGCCAGTTGGTCAGGTGTCTTACGCTGGAAGCAAATAGAGAAGCAAGCGCAGGATCGACTGCTTCATCTTTGGCTGCCAATTTGCTTGTAGCTGTGATCGAAGGCGCGGCTTGCGCTGCAGCCTTGCGTTTTTCCGACTTTGGCATGTTTGTGACTCCCACACGACAAGTCAATTGCTCGGTCTGGGCAATTCTCATGAGGACATGCACTGTCGCATTTTCTCGCAGTCCGTTCGAGGGCCCAAAAATTTCGGCGAAGCAAGCAAATCGAAAAATGGGGATAAGCCGAGGTGCAGGAGAGGTTAACTCCGACGCTAGCCTGCAGCACCTGATTCGTGCCTATGACATCGCCCACCCAATGTTGAGAGCCCCATGATTCAAGGGCACAACCAAGCCAGCCGCCCGCAGCCAGTCTTTGCTCCCTTGTGTCCCTGGCACCCTGCCCCTACCTACCACCTACCGACTTGTATGTAACTTTTGGGGGCTACGCTGCGATCGTTTCTCCACCGACGCCAACACGCCTGCTCCTGCATTTTGTAACCTGCGGCTTTGACCATTTCCACTCGCATTTGTCTTCAGCAGAGCGACCCTTTTTGATTTATATCGGTAGTTGACCTGTGGAATCGCTTTCACTCGTATCTCGGCCTTCCAAGTCCACCCTACACTCTACAGAAACCTCCTGCCCCGCGGGCAATCTCCTCTGACAGTTACTCACACCATCCCACCTTCATCCGCCTCGAGTGTTCGATTGTCCCTCGAAGTCATACGGGCGGGGTGCTCCTCTCACCATCTTCCTCTCTTATGCGGGAGTGAGATTTGCCAAAGTCACTGCCCAACGACGAAGCCCTCAGGCCCTGTTGCCGTTGCGCCCATGATACTACCCGAACCCAGCGCAAGAGAGGAGAACATAAACACCATGCTATTGTGAACTGCGATTCATTGACCATTATATCGTATGTCGACTCATCTGTCAACTTCTGCAAGTTCCGCATTCTTGTTTTCGAAAACGCGGAATTGTGCTGACCATCGACGCTCGTTCAAGGCGACACCGGTCTACGATTTTCCCAGCTCCAGAAAACCTCATCCACCTATATCGAGTGCCTCTCAGTCTCTTTATACGATTGATATTCTACGGAAGAGCCGGTTCTGACAGCCATGGACTCGGCGGCAGACTCCCTCCTTGCTCTTTCCAATACCGCAGTAGCTTACGCTGCCAAAGACGGACACCTCTCCGACGACGATCGCTCCAGCAGCCTCAGCGAGTTGGACGATGACATTGAAGATGGCGACGAAGAAGATCTCGAGGTTGCCGTCCCAACTGAGGTGGATTCTGAGGCCGAGACTGAACGCCTGCAGGTCACTCCAGACAACCTAAACAGAAAAAAACCCCTCGAGATCAGTCCAAGTAAACTATCCCAGAGACAAGACGTTGACCTGCGACCAGAGATAGAGAGTTTCACAGAGAGTCCTGTTTCGTCCCCAATCTCCTCCCACCACGAGTCAGACCATGAAGAGGGCCTAAGCGATGGGCAGGATGCAGACGAAGATGCCCAGGATGCCGCTGTTGTAGATCCTGCAGCCTCCCCGAACAAGCGTAAAAGGGAAGAAAGCGAATCAGATGTCGAAGAGGCCCCCAGATCACAGAGACGACGGACAGGTTCCGTTGATACCGAAGATGAGAAGTCTGAACCAGACACCGACGGCGAGGAAAATGAGAGCCATCATTCCCGGGAAAACACTATTGAACCCGAGGTCGAGGCGCCCGAGCATGACGAAGAGGAGGTAGTGGAGCCTCAAAAAGAGCAGAAAGAAGCCGAAAAAGTCGACAGCAGTGAGGACTCCAAGGAGAAAAGCAAAAGCAGACCCCGTAGGAGAGCAAAGGACCCGGTCATCCAGGAACTACAACACGAAGACGACGAGGACGCTGCGCACGCGGAAGACTCCGAAGTCGTCGATGACAACGATCTCGAGGCTGCAATCAAAAGCGAAGAAGAGCAAGCCAAGCGACTGTCAGCCATGGAAGCCCTGACTGCACTCGAGAGACATTTTGCGACATTGAGGGACCGGCTGTATGACGAACGAATTGCAGCTATAAATCATGAACTGCAGTTATTGTCAGAACCCAAGCCGGCTCACCCCGAACTGATTCGCCAGGTCGAAGTGGTGCAGAAATACCGGGATGAGAAGTATGAGATCGAGCAAAAGCTGCTGGTCTACAAGATCGGAGCCCTGAAGAACAAGGCCGTCGCGGAGCGAAGTCAGATTCACAGCCAATATTTTCAAACGGTCAGAGACATTCGAGAAAGACATCTTGAACGCCTTAGCGAACACTTTTACCGGATTCAACGAGACAGATTCAAAGCCGACTCGTCAGTACCCAGTTTCAGCATACCTTTCCCAGAACGGAGGTCGCAGCAGATCTTACAGCAAACAGCCTACAATAAAGAGGTTTCGATCTTAGCAGGGGTCGCCAAATACGTCGGCTTTCCCGCTGCACCCGAGTTGGCCGCATCAAGGCAGAAGGACATAGAGGATGACATCCAGAAGATGGGGGTACGTTACCGGCGCGCCATTTCACAACTCCAGCGGACTAACATTGCTGCGTAGATTTCACAGAGTCAGATTCGGGCTGGCAGACCCAGTCGACGCCCAGCAGCTCAATCACAGATATCAGGACCCCAAGCAGAAGAGCAGTTTCTCGAGCAAACACCGTGGGCGAATCCTCAGCATCCTATCCATCGCCTCAGTCGACAAAATTCCAATCGCTCTCCGATGAGCGAATTCCTTACCCCAGCGAATCAACAACGTAACATGACCGACGGGCTTCAACCTCCGGGCGGTTCAGCATCTACTATCGTTGACCCTTCTGCTTCCGCACCTGTATCTTCCGCAGTCAACACACCTCATGACGGACAAAGCAGCGCGGCCAAAATCGAGGCGCAAGCTGGTGGAGGGTCGTCCGGGCTGCAGAACTATCGCATGCACTCAGCAAGTCCCCTAGACATGCGGCGTCAACCCGCTCCAGTCGACAGCTCCGATGTGCAACGTCAGGAAGGGAGGGAGAAAGATATCATTGGCAATGGACGAGATATGGCTTCTTCGCCCCTCACTTCCCGGGCCTACCTCAACGCAACGGGGCCCCGAGCTCCTGCCATCACGGCGGGGACCGGGAGGTTTAGCGTGCGCTGATAGTCGATGATGATAATGACGATGGGAAGGCTCTTTCTTTGAACAAGGACATCACGTGATATCTATCTATCCAGGTCATGTGAGGAGGGCATATGTGCGTTTGCAGTACCCCAGTTTCGTCCTCTATTTAGTCGTCTACGGCGTGCTATCAAGATAGCGCCCTCCTCCTAGTTAACGAGAAGTTTTACTATGATCTCTGAGATTCACCTCACTGATGCCCGTCTCGCGCAGAGTGACATGTGATCAACACCGCTCGGTAGTGCACATTATTTGCTATACACACATATATCTCATTGAAATTGCACACATCAAGATGTTACAGTGTGCAAGCTGAAAGAAGAAGACTGCACCCCGGACGGACCCCTTTGGATCGCCGTATACACACAATTTCGGCCAGCTTAGTTTGAGAAACCATCGCGAATTTCCAAGAACCGCTGGTATCGGTCCCTGGTCCAGCGGCGAGATGTCTTGCCCCAGATCATCATTGGCACGGTTGTCATGATGAAGACAAAGGCCAGGACTCCAATTGCGACAAACGTGTTTCGAACACCGCTCGCGTCGATCCAGTCGGAAGCCGTGAAGGTGAAGACGAGGGCGATCGAGTTGTTGATCGTGGCCACGCCCACCATGCCTTCCAAGACCATGTCCGGGTAGGCGTCCATCAGATAGGCCATGCTCAAGTCGCCGCAGCAGCCCCATCCAAAGCCGATGAACCCCAGACCAACATACGGTGCTGGCCAGTTCCATCCGTAGCTGGTGCCGATTCCAAACAGCCAGAGACCGGTGGGGAATATGGCGGCACAGGGATACATGAGCCATAGTCGATGTTCGGCCTCGCTCACACCTCCATTTCTCCTGGCCATCCATAACATGAATTTGTCGCTGAGCCACCCACCATATGTGGCTCCAATGACGGCGCCGATCAAACAGGGCACGTTCATCAGCTGTGCAAAGTCAGTCACGGATGATAGTGTCTATAGACAAGCAGACTCACCCCATCAGCGGCATCGCTGTAGTTCCAGGGCGGGCCATACCAGTTATCCTCCTCGACTGTCAGATAAAAAGTGAGCCAAGCGTCTTGGGCTCCCCACTGCAGCCCGGAGTACAGGACGGCAGGGAAGGTAAAGATCCTCAGGGTGTGGAAGAGTCGCTGAAAATATTGCTTGAAGCCAAGTCCTCGCAGATTCGGTGCGGGAGTGATGATGGCAATGCGTTGCCAATACGACTTGGGGCGGTCCTCGGCCGCAAGTCGCAGTTCTGCAACGGACGGGTGACGTGGAGGAACGTCTTGTGGCTCAGGTTGACCTGCAACCTTCTCCTTTTCCGGAGGAGGCCCGGCCTCCAGGCCTGCGGAATTGTCGCTGCCAGCTCTGTTAACACCGTCGATCAAGTACCTGTCTCCGTCATTGACCAAATACCGATCACGGTGGAAGGCCGTCTCCTCCAGGCCGAACAGGAGCACAAAAAAGGTCGCCCCTGAGAAAATGGCTCCGAAGTATCCGATCCATCTCCAATCCAGGCTGCTGTCGGCGATGTAGCTCGCAATCAGAGGTCCCAGGTATGTACCAATACTGGTCGCCAGCACGTAAATACCGAGCACTGAGCCGCGCTGATGTTGAAACCACAGATCCATCAGCGACAACTGCACGGTTGCTTCGGCCACCGACTCGGAGGCGCCGACAAAGAGCTGATTCCAGACTGCGTCACCCGTGGTCTGCCCTCTCGCGAACCAGATACCTCCAATGAAACCCAACGTCATGCCAATCAAGTACAAGATGCGGCGACCATACAAGTAGACGGCTGGAGAAGAAAGCAATGTCCAGTATCCGATTCCGCAAAATAGGACGCCGGCGCCGGTGTTGAACGAGCCGTAGCTGATGCCCAGTTCCAGGTTCTCATTGTACTGAGCGGCGCCGGCATCGTTGGACGTGGCTGCTGTCAAAGCCGTGACGAAACAAACGAGAAAGCTGTGCCATATTTTCCGGGGCATCGACCAATGGAGAGGATCATTCGGTGAGTCGGTTGGCTGAGGCACGAGGACAATGTCCCCGTGCCTCTTCAAGCCTGCATCGCCAGGATAGAGTGGCTTTCCATCGGCGTCGAAAATGCGGCGCGTGCCCGGCAGCTCCTCAGTGTACTCCATGCGGCCACACTTTTGAACGAAGCCAATGAACCTGGGAGTCGCAAAAAATACTACGAAGGGGAAAAGCAACCACAAGATCAGCTGGGGACGAAGACGTTTATGAGCTACGCGAGAGGCGTTGCCATATCGTTGCAGCGACGAGAAAAGATCAGATCCCTTATCGTGATGGTGTGTGCCCTAAGAGACGCCATCCTCGCCATCATCAGAACGAGGCCTCAAACCCCGCAAAGAGGCGGCAGGGCCTGTCGCCGGCCTGTCGAAGCTTATCAGTGGCAAGCCGGCCAGTAAGCGAATTGTTGTGTGTGGTGTTATCCAGATGGAGGGCAAATGACATTCTGCATACTATTCCGTACATACAGTACAGTCAGAGGGAGGGGCCGTCTCTGGGGGGGAACGGAGATCGGTTTAGCAGGGAGCTTCTCATTGCACCGACTATGTAACTTGCTCTCTGAAATGTGCGGGTAGAGCCAGAAACAAGCACGGCGAAGGCGGCTGGAGAGAGGGTGTCGATCGAGCTTGAGCAAATCTTGATTTTTAGTGACGAAACCCCCCCCCCCGTGGCCCATCATACCTAACGACTAGGGGGCAAGTGCTTTACATAGGCAGTGGCACCAGTGGCTCACTCGGCCACTAGGCCTCACAAGCCCCCGGAACCCCCTAACAATAATAGGCGAGAGCCATGACCTCGTGCGCTTCTCCGATAAGCAGGCGTGGCAGGTCCTCCTCATCGTCCCCAAGCCTGCAGCATCATTGGTGGGCTCTTCCCTTGCCACGGCTGCACTTCCCCTAAAGGTCTCTAGCTCTCCCACTATCCCGGCCAATTTCTCATCCCCACCATCCTTCTCAGTCCCTCGTGTTCCATCCCTTGCTTGCACTCTCTCCCCTACATCATCATCTTGCCTTTCGATAACTCACTCTCTTCCTTCCCTTCCTTCTCCCCCCTTCGCTTCACCATCACCTGCTCACTTCTCCGTATCGGCTCGAAACACGCAGCCTCGTTTCCCCCCCCGTCGACACCGTTGCTAAGCCTATCAGGTAGCTGAATGTCAACTTGCCAACTCAGAATGGCTCAACATTTCCACATCGCTCAGATCACCCCCCATAAACCAAAGGAGTCCAGTAGTCCTTCGACCATCCTGCAACTCGCTCAGCGGCTTCTCCCTTCACCCGCCGCTATCAAGGAGTTGGAGGATGGTCTAAACCCGAAAGGACCTGAACATGCAGTTCAGGATGTTGTGAGTCAAGAGAAACGAGAGACATCTGCTGCTTCTGCTGCTGCACCAGCGGGAGCACCTGCCCCGAAGAAAGTGATCGTAGTCGGTGCCGGCATCGCCGGTCTTCGTGCTGCCTCTGTCTTGCGAACCCATGGTGTCCAAGTCGTGGTCCTCGAAGCCCGTCCTGATCGGATCGGCGGACGCATTTACACGAGTAGGAAGGATGGGCACGCTCCAAGAGACATTGGTAAATATTACCAAAAGGCAATACTGACAATCGCCGTAGGCGTTTGAGATGATGTCGTTAAAAGCGCTCATTGTTCGGCCACGACCATTGTGGGGTTGTTTTCCCCTGTCGTCCACTTCTACTCACATTTTTGTCTCTAGGTGCCGCCTGGATGCACGAAACCGCCAATAACAAACTCGTCCGTCTCATCGGCCAGCTCAATATCGAGCACTATTACGATGACGGCACCCCCCTCTACTACACCAGAGACGGTCGTCTCGGCTCCCAATTCAAAGCGAAAAAGGTGGCCGATGAATTCGCCGACTTCTGTGCGTGGTACTACGAGGAGAATCCCGACGCTGAGGACAAACCTGCCCTGACCTTTATCAGGGAGTGGCTTAGCAACCATCCCTTGGTCAGCGAGGATGAACGTCTTTGGGCTCCTCAGGCTGCTCGTGAGGTGGAAGCTTGGATCGGCACCAGCCTCGAACAAGCCTCTTCCAAACATCTTGCCTACTTTGCAACTGAACGCAACCTTTACATGAAGGGAGGTTACGATACCATTATCAACTGGGCAGCCTCGAACCTCCGTGATCCGGGCACCATTCGACTCGGACACAAGGTCACCAAGATTGACTGGAATGATGACGACACACGCAACCCATGTGTGGTTCACACCGTCACTCCCGATGGTAATCTCACTGCTTTGGTCGCGGATGCCGTCGTGTGCACCCTTCCCCTTGGTGTTCTGAAACACAATCTTGTGGACTTCAGCCCAGCTCTCCCACGACAACTGACTCTGGGCATTGAGAAGCTGGGCTATGGAGCGCTCGGCAAGATCTTTGTCGAGTTCGAGTCAGTGTTTTGGCCCAAAGACAACGACCAGTTCATCTACTACCCGGAGCCAACCACCGATGCTTTCGACGAGGATTCCATCTTCTCCTACATGACCGTGACGAGCAATAACTGGATCATGAGCGGCACCAAAGAGCTGTCGGTCCAGATTGTGGAGCCCCTCACTCAGCGAATCGAAGCCATGACTTCCGACGCCGAAATCTATGCTTTTTTCGAACCACTCTTCAAGCTTTTCCGAACCGAGCCTTACAAAAAGCTCCCTCCAGTTGTGAATCTGGAAACGACACACTGGACTCAGGATCCTTTTGCTGGCTTTGGTACCTATACTGCCGACAAGACCGGCGATGACCCGGAAATTTGGTTTACGGCAATGGATAACAACAAGGAGAGCAAGCTGCAGTTTGCCGGAGAGCACTGCACGCGGACTGGAAATGGATGTGTGCATGGTGCTTTTGCCACCGGCGAAACTGCCGCCGTCAACATTCTGACGTCGCTGGGAATGCCGTACAATGGTGGGGATCTCTACAGCAGACGTCCATCGAGGAGGAAGTCACCACCCAGATACTGAGCGGGGGGATATCTAAATCCACCGAGCGGGAGATCTGGGGCGGTCATGGTTCTCCGAGATGGTTGATGGACGGACGGGCTGGAAGCGCCGAACTGAGACATGTCGGCGTTAATTATGTTTTGTTTTGTTTTTCTTTCCACAGAATGTGTCTGTCTGATTTTCTGTTATCTGGTGAATGGCCTTGACCCTAGTCGCTCGTTACTGTGTGGCCCTCGGGTTCTATTGGTTTAGGGGTTGTTCTTTGGTTGTTGAAGCTGAGAAATGTAAGGCTAGTTGTTGCCTTCAGAAATGAGAATGTCCAAGACTGAAGAAGGCTTTTCTTTCCCATAGTCAACAGTGTCATTTGCTTTCTATGAAACCAGTTTATGTGCTCTCCTTTATATCCAAATGTCCCTTGTCCACGCTAAAATCCCTGACATCGGCCAGTGGCATCAGGTGGAAGACACTACCCTGGCATCTCTGCTCCACGATCCTCTCCGCTAGGGCGATGTTCTTCTCGGGAAACCCTTCGTCCCGCAAACTCTGGTAGTACGCCGCGACGAGGGCCTTGCCGAGACTCGTCAGGTCGTAGTCCTGGCCGGGGGTGGCGGTCGGTGCGGGACGGATGATCCAGACGAGCGTCAGGGGCGGGTCGGCGGGTTCGAGGCCCGGCTGGACATGGGCGCTGAGGATCTCGTCCTCTTCTTCTTCTTCTTCTTCTTCTCCAGCATTTTCGCCGTCGACGGGAGCGTCCTGCGGGGTACGCCGCGGTCGACGCAGCACGAGCGCCATGCCGCCGGTTGACGTGTGGATTTTGGACCGTTCGAGCGCGTAGGCCCGGCTGGCGTGGTCGTCGCCGTGGTCGGGCGGTTCGGTCTCGAAGAGCGTGAAGGGCACGCTCCGTCGTCCGCATCGCACGATATCCGGGACTCCGTCCTCGGCGTCCATCAGCGCGGCGTCCGCGGTCGCCACGGCGAGCACCATCGTGTGCAGGACCTCGGACATGTCTTGGCGGCGATTCTGGCGCCGTACGTAGATGTACTGTAGATACGGCACGGCGTATTTGGCTGCACCGTCTTCGGCATCGCCTGTGGCATGGTCGGCGTTGATCGTCTTCCTCCCTTTCCGTGGAGGCACCGGCAAGACGCTGAACTGGGCGGCCCCAATGGCCTCGCCGTGGTGATCCCGGACGCCGACGATGCGGTAGGGCGCCAGGCCCTTGCGCTCGCCCCGGGCCTGCGCCGCCAGACGCTCGACGATCAAGTCGGACCGTTCCCGCTCAGGGTCGCGCGGGAAACTGTGGACGTACAGCGGGTCGTACAGGACGGCGAAGTCGTCCGCCGAGACCAGTTCGATGAGGCCGATGTTGGGCAGCGCGGTGCGTTGCAGGCGCGACGGCGGCGTGCGGCTCAGCGTGTCCAGCGGGATCGAGGCGGGGAGGTGGGCTAGGAAGGCGGACAGGGATGGGGAGAGGTAGGGCTGGAAGATGGAGGAGGGCGACATGGCAGCTTTTGGCGGGGGTTCTATTTTCAGAGAATTCTGCGTGTGTTTATCTTGGAGGTATGGGATTTGGCCCTCTGATTCTGGGAATGCTTGTAATCACTGTGCCCTCCCTATCCGCAATTCCCGCGAGTTTAACGAGAGAAGGAAGGAAAGAGGGGGGAAGAGAGAGAGACAGAGAGAGAGAGAGATAACTATATAAATAGTTAGACTGGCCTTTGTAAATGGCTTCTCGTCTGCATTCTGTGCTGCTTTGACGAGGCGTGCAGGTCTTCAGACAGAGACCTCACCCGGTGTCTCTCCCAGGATGTTGGACACACGAGATGATCAACGTTTCGTGGGCGTTGAAGAGGGAACAAGGCAGATTAGGAATCGTCTCACAGAAGCAAATACGACCATCTTGACAATCACGTGACAGTCGAGGTCAGCTTCGCAGAGGATCTTCTGTTCGGCCGTACGGATTTGCTACGGCGGGGTACAGATGCAAGCACGTAGATCGATAGAGGTGACCGACGAGGCCGAGTTGACTCAACACTCACCCAACCAGTCTGTCCGGAAAACAATGTCCAGCTGCTGCAGGGCCTCATACTGTATACACCTCACCCTCCCAGACATGAATTGGGTGCTCGACGAGCCCAACTTTAGCTCCTGAAGTGGCACAATGGCACTCTTTGGGGGTGCTCGCGTCCCCTATCAAGACTTCTCCCCTGGCAAGAACAAAGGGATCGAGGTTGGACTGACTGACTGATCGTCTGTCTGTCTGTTGCTGGCGAGAGCCCTTCAGAGTCGCGTCAATACCGAGGCCCGTATTTGCATCCATCCAAACAGACCTTTCTCCGCACATCGAGCTCTCCCCCATTGCCCTCCAAAACCCCCGCCTCCGGCTTGCAATCCTGTTGGACAGAGCAGACCCCCTGGCGACAAGAGAGTCCTGGCCCAGCCCGACACGAGACCTCATGGACAAAGGCTGGACAAACGGCTCACCCCCTCACTGGGGTTTAGCGGTTCCGAGGTTGGTGGTGGTTGATGGCTTTACTGGAAGGTTGATATGAGGCATAAAGAGACGTGGATCGAAAACTGTTTCAACTAACACGGCGAGTTCTGCCAAACAGCGAGTCACCTCACATCCAACAAGGGCAGTCATCATACTAGGAAAATGTCTGGAGGCTTTGCGTTCGGTAAGTCGGCGCCACCCCCAGCTCTCAAACACCAATCTGTCATGGTATAGAGATGTAGTTGGAACTCGCACATTTGATATCCCATACTGACGTCCGTGCGTCCTAACAACAGTGACCGGCGGAGCGAGTGGCCTTGGCCGCGGGGTGGCGCAGATGCTAGTAAAGAACGAGTATGTCGTTGCCCGATACAGGGTCGGAGACCATAGGAGATGTATCTGACACCACCGCCCCAGCATCAAAGTGTTCATCGTAGACCGAGACCTGGAGGGCGCCCAGAAGGTTGTGGATGAACTGGGCTCGCAGATGGCCAGATGTGCCCAGGTCGACGTCGCCAACTGGAATTCGCAGGTCAAGGCTTTCAGTCAGGCTGTGGCAGACTTTGGTCGGATCGACTACGTCTACCCCATTGCCGGCATTGGCGAACGCGCCTGGATCCCGAATGATCCTTCCATGACGGGCTTCGTGCAGCCTGACCTGAGCGTGCTCGACATTGACCTGACAGGAGTCTTTTACACGGTGGCATTGGCTGTGCAGCAATTCCGAAAGCAGCAACCCGGCAAGGACGGCTTCCGGGGCAAGAGTGAGTCGAGCATGCGACGATTGAGCAGGATGTCGTGAGCTGATTTCACACCAGTCGGAACCGTGGCGAGCGTGTGTGGGTTCTACACCTGTCCTACTCTCCCCGTGTATACGGCGGCGAAACACGGTGTCGTGGGACTGGTCAGGAGCTATGGAAAATATCTGCCTGAGGAAAAGATCACCTTCAACGCGGTCTGTCCGAATGTGATCCGAACCAACATCTCCGCGGCCACCTTTTACGATCAGCTGGACAAGGAGGGGTTGTTGTCGCCCATCGAGGGGGTCATCGGCGTGTTTGAGTCGCTGCTGGGGTCTAACGCGACATCTGGGGAGACCTTCGAGATTGGGCCCAACTACAAGGAACAGGGAGCGGTCGTCCGCAAGGGCATCGAGTATCTGGACAAGGAAAGCGAGAGGTGCTTCGAGTTGCTGTACCACCGGTCGCGCCCTCTGCATCAGCCTCGTTGAGAGAGCACACGGGCGGTAAGGGATAGGAGGCTTTCAGCCCGACGAACGAATCAATACTAGTCCCATGCAATCTGGCATTCTGATCATTTGCAGTAGTAGGACCATGAATCAATCAGTCTGACATCGATCGATAAAAGTGGCTTTGCTTGGTCGTCTGCTTCCCCGCAAAGGGAATATATTATTAAACTACATGTATAAATATGTAATATGTACCTCGTCCTGTATAAACTTGGGGTTTAGCGCTCGGTACGATGGTGAAGATGCGGCGAGCAATCCGGTCGCTGACGTCGCCGCTTTTCCGTCCATCCCGTCATCCGGTTCATTACATGCTCGGTATTATTGTCAGTGACCATGGACCACTTCTATTACTAGTAGTACTGCTGCCGAAGTACTCGGTCCCTTGATCCAGGATTCGGGCCATCTCGAAGCTGCTGCAAAGTACATTACATTTCATTTCAATCGATTACTACTGTTTGCGCGGTGGACAAGCAAACCCGGGGAACCCACCACTCCGTTTCAATACTACTTGTGAGCAAGCAGGGACCGGACCATCCACGAGCAGCAAGCAGCAAGCAGCTTCTCCCTCCTCATTGCTTGTGCTTCGTTTCCCCCCCTCGAGCTGACGTAGGTAAATCTCTCGACTCGACCGATCCTCTCTCTACGTACCCTACCACTGTGGTGGCCCTTTCGTCCGACTTCCGACGTCCTGCATCCTCTCATCTGCTTGCTGCCTTCCCTCGGAACCAGCACAAACCAAACTACACCCCCTCGTCGAAACACCTAACCATTTTCTATCCTGCCCCGGCATAGCCACAGCCACAGACACACACCCCTCCACAGCTATGGCCGCCATCCACCGCCCAGCGCACCTCACGCACCACGCGGCCAAGCTGGCGTCGGCAGCGTGCATCGAGAAGGCGGAGGCGATCGGGGTGCCGATGAACATCGCCATCGTGGACGCGTCGCTGTACCTGCTGCACTTCGAGCGCATGCCGGGCGCGAAGCTCACCTCGGTCGACATCGCCATGAACAAGGCCTTCACCGCCGCGGGCCACCGCGCCCCGACCTCCGTCTACAAGGAGGCCGTGTGGCCCGGCGGGCCCGCCTTCGGGCTCAACAGCAGCAACGGCGGCCGGTTCATGTACGTGGCCGGAGGGATCCCGATCGTGATCGAGGGCGAGGTCGTGGGCGCGGTGGGATGCAGCACCGGCACCCCGTCGCAGGACACCAAGGTCGCGCAGGCAGGTGTCGATGCCGTCATGGCTTACGTCGAGAAGAATAGCCAGCTGAAGAGCAAGTTATAAAAAATCATGCGAATTACATTGAGAAAGGGGAGAGGCCGAGGGAGTAGGGAGCTAGAAGGCTCGAGGCCTATGTTTCTTGGGCGAGGGGCGTTTTGTTGTTCGTGCAGCAGCAGCAGCAGCCGTGCTCAATTGTCACGATGTATGAGACGTTCTACGATGCATGCCGTTACCGATTCTTACTCACCACTCCGCCATGCTGAGAGAGAGGGAGCATGACTGAAGGCTCATCCTCAAAAGAAAGTTGTTTGAAACATGAACTCGCAGGGCTGCCAGAATAGTTATGGCACCTGCTTGATGGGGAGGATGTATGTAGATTATCGAATTGCACGGAGTCATTTGCACATTCTCTCTTACCCTTCGCCACTGAAGTATGTAGCGTCCTCCTCTCATTGCTGTCACTTCTCTCTGCCACCCTGCCAGAAGACAGGTCCTAAACAATGGGCGAGTCGGACGCCACCACCGAGAAGGCAACTCACCCTGGCCCTCGCTATGAGTCAGTCGGTCACCCAACCAAAGCCTTCTCAGGCCGCACGTTTAGACTCATACACTGCATGCAACCATCTCCGACCCACCGAGGCCACCTTCAAAATCCGTTCCGTCCGTCCCATTCATAAAGTGAACTCTTTTCTCCGCTGACAAACGCGAGGGTATCCTCTTGGAATACCTCGTACTGAAGTGTGAATCACCAGGTCGGCGGCTGCGGCGGCGGTGGCGTGTGGTGAGTGACTGCGTGTGATTGGTCAACCGCCCGCACAGCCTCGCGCGATCCGGGGGATACACTCACTCACTCACTGAACACTGGATTCTTGGTTGGGGATAATTATCCTACATACATACATAGGTGATGATGGATGCGGATGTGCGATAGATAATGACAAGAAGACGATGTGGATGCTGTTGCCTGACTAGCTCGCTGCCCCATCCCACCAAAAGGTGGAATTCACCTGTCCTATTAGTTTCCTCATTCTTCCATAGATGGCGTCTGTCCGCCTGTCTATCTGTTTGTGTGGCAGGTTCGTCGACCCTTGGCCAGTGGACAGACGGAGAAGTGAATCACTGAGTGCACTGCCTTCCTCCCATACCCATACCCACATCGATACCCCGAAGCGTCCCCGGTCCAGGTCCTCAGAGAGAAAGTCTGGTTCGTAGATACTATTAGTCCTCCCGCCCTTCTGGGTAAAAGCCTGTAGAGAGATATAATATTTTGGCCAGACATTGCTTGCGTTGGTCATTCTTTCTCGAACACTTACTTACCTGGCACACTCACCCCCAAGTGAAGAAGAAGGGAAACAGGAGGTTGACTCGGTCCGAATCACAACAATAATCACAGCGAACAACAACAACAAAGGGAAACAGTCACACACACATCTAATCGAGAGACAACCAACCACATACACCCAGATCCCAAAACATCACTTCTCTTCTTGTCGACTGACTCTCTTTCACCCTCACTCACACATATCACACCATCACATTCACACGCAATAGCCACAAATTTCACAACCAACACATCATTACGCCATGACGGTCCTCGAGCAAGAATACAGAGCAGTGTCGACGAGGTCGGAGATGTCGTCTCTGGGAAAGGCGGCGGCGGCGGGGAAGAAGCGGCCGCCTCACGAGTACGCCGACGGCACGATCCACACCCTCGTGGACCGATCCGGGCAGCCGTTCGAGATCAGAGTCAAGAAAAGCCTCGGAGGGCACAATGGCGAGGGCTTCTCGATGGCCTGCGTCTTTGTCGCCGAGTGCGTGTCTCCGAGTCACCAAGATTCGTCGTCGTTATCGTCGTCGTCGTCGCCACCACCACCACCGCGCTACGATGGCCCCTTTGTCGTCAAGATTTTTGATCCGCGGTACTCGACCCGGCTGCGTCAAGAGTTTGGCGTCGCCGAGTTTGACCCACACATCCTCGAGGATCTGGCACAGTCTACACGCAGAGGGGACCAGGCTGTGTTCGAATACCACATGACGGCACCCTACACCCCTCCCCACGACCTGTCCGAGACAAGTCAGGAGATCCTCGACGAGCTGACACCGCCGATTCTCTTCGGCGACATTTACAGCCAAGCCCTCGCGGACGAGGATGTGCTGCAGGCGTTTCTGGCGGACGGCATCCTCGCCACTGCACCCACGGACGTCGATCGGGAGTTGTTCGTCTGGCTCTTGTCCCAGCACATGTTTCGGCACGAGGAACACATGCACACGTATCTGAGCCAATTCCCCAGCGCGCCCGTGGTGCGCATGAAGGAGAGTCTCAAGATCCAGCCCAAGTTGCCAACCAACAACTCGCGGGATGACGAAACGGTCGCCGCGCTCTCGACCGCCACGGGCTTCGGAGCCATCGTCCTGGACCTCGTGAGTGGCTACACGATGCTGGAGTTCCGGGAACTTTGCATGTTGTCGGCGGAGGAATTCGACGAGAAGCCGGCCGAAGTACGGGAAATGATTCCGACGAGTAGAGAGACGGCCCGACAGTTCTTCGAAGACGTCAACAACCTCCTCCGGTTCCCCCTGAGCGTGGGTGTCCAAAGTCGAGACCCCAATCTGGGCAACATCATGTGCAGCCCACGGCTGGATGGCAGCAGCACCGGTACGCAGCTGACCTGGATCGACGTCGGCCAATTCCAGCCTCTCCTCGGGAGACAGATCTGGGCCCCAGACACCGTTGAGATTGCGAGGGACGCGTCCCTCGCCATGTTCGGCACCAAGATCGACGAGCAGCAAGAACAGGATATCTACAGCGACCTGTCCTTCGTCTTCCGTAAGGTCGGGTATTCCAGCAGCCTGGTGCACGACCTGAAACTCGACCGGTTCCGCCAGTGGGGACGCAAGGTGTCGATGACGTTCGCGTGGCGCGCGATCATGGAGGATATCTGCATCGACGACTGGCGGCACGGCAGGCCGGTCGATACGCAGTTGTCCATCTGCCTCGTGCGCATGGCCAAGACGATCATGGACCAGGAGAAGAACATCACGGGAGTTCCACCACGGGAGACCACCCCGGAGCGACAGGACTGGTTCCGCCGCGCGGTGCTCAAGCTGCACTATTTGCTCTGCAGCGAGTCGGCCGACGCGCCCTTTGTGACGCCGTCCGGCAGAGAGGCAGCCGTCAGATTCGACACCCTCATGGCTTCGGCGGGGTATCCCGACGGTCAAGTGGTCGTGGTCGGCCGGTCCATGGCCGAATTGAAGTCGAGAGACGGGAAACGCACTTACCCTTCCGTGGAGGAAGTCGTCCTGCACGGGGCGGCGACACGCATCTTCCCCGTCCGGTTCTGGTCCGCGGATCAGCCCATCGAGTCGGTCATTTCGGAGCTGCAGGCCCGGTATGCGAAGGTGCTCAAGGCCCGGGTGATTGATTGACCCAGGGCCAGCCTTTATCAGTTAGGATTTGAGATCTCAAGATTGGATTGATGTGGGCGAAGATCAAAAGTTTGGAAGGGAGACGGGGGCAACCTGTGGTGGGATTCTCAGGCACATAGCAGGTCAATACAGTTCACAGGGATCTCGTCCATACATGGATTCGCGGAATAGTCAGACAATTCGGTCATGAAGTGGGAGCGGAAGAATGAAGCCGTGCGAGGTTGGCGCCAAGCTTCACCACCTATTGCAGCCTCCCTCATCAACCTAGCCTGCTTTGAGAGGCATGGAGGGAGTATCAATGGTCTGGTCACGGACAATACATAGTTCGATAAATAGATCTATGGACATCTACAGACTAGAAAAGAGTCTACCACCATCATGTCAAGTCAAGTCACCCGCGAAACAAGCATGCTGGGGATCCCGAACCTCTCTCGAAAATATAGCGATCCCAAAGTCACCTTGTGCAACAATAAGTCCATCCCCTCATATGAGCTAGCTTCACATACCGCACGGTGTTGCTAGTCTAGCCTGCAAAGATAAACCTCACTATTGCTGTAAAGGAGTAGTCGAAGGAACCAGCCAGAGGAGACAGGTGTAATGCGGAGCCGAAGACAGGCATCCATCCACCGCACGCCTAAACAGCACCATACCATACCATCGGCTCTTGTCAAAGAATTTTGCCCTCAGAGGGAATGGTCACTGTTGCAAGCGAAGCAGTTGCTGGATACGCAAATGGATGACATGTTTCCAAAAGTCATATGTAACGGCCCATTGGCCGGTGAGAGGTGACGGCTGTTGTCGCCGTTGTTTGGCCAGCGGTAGTTTTGACCGTGCAATCCATGTTGTACATGAAGAACAGCTCTTAGGTCCGACGAACTGGAGTTGGAATACTCAGCATGACATACGCCGATGTCCCAGGTAACAAGTAACAAAGTAGAGGCACACAAGCAAGGTGAACAGCATGCCGCAATCTGGCCGTATGCAGAGACAGAGAGTCTCGAGACGTCGTAGTTCAACCATCTTTGAAGTATGACTGGAACGATGTGAAGAGCCCGTAGGCTTAACTCTAAGTCGGCGAAGCAGGAACTGAACAAATGCGTTAACATTTTGCCGCGAGGAGTCTTGTTTTGTATCACATGAGGTTGAGGGAACTGGAACGGAGAAATCTGTGAACGTGGTCAGGAAAGCTTGAGACGTCCGCAGGGATTTTGGAGGTTGCTTGTCGGGAGAGGAGAGACCGGAACACCTTCGAGGCTAGTGTTGGTATATCAACGTAATTGGCGGTTTTGCCGGCCGTACATCCTTCGAGCTGGCTCCTCTCGCACTGGTCGTTCAACTCTGAGAATCACTGATTGATATCGGCGCCATAGAGTGCGGGTTCGCCACAGTTGAATTGAGGAAGTTCGCACTGGAATGCGAGGCGAACTCGACAGAATTGTCATGACTAGCCTGCGCCTAGTTCTCCCGGTTCTGGCTGTGTCGCCGGTTCCTTACTGTTCCAAAGATTCGAGATCAAACACGCCACCATCAAAATTGCGTTGAAAATCGCCATGATGTAGAATGGGCCCGCCAAAGAGACTTTATCGAACAGCAGGCCCCCGATCTTGGTCAGGATCAGGATCGCAGCACCTCCGTAAAGCGAATACACACCGGCAACGGAGCCCTTCAACGCCGACAACGGCGTTTCTCCCGTTGCTTGTTGAGTGGCTGTCAGAAGAGGGCTCTCTTCATCGAGGTTGGTGGCCACCCCTGAATCGTTGTGCTCGGAGAGGGTGGGCGCACTGTTTGCTTCTTTCTGAAGTATCCCCTTGCTCAGCGTACCCAGGCTGCAGACGATAGCTCCGATCTGGCTGATTCCAATAAGGCAAGCAGCGATAAATGCTATCGCCCTTCGCGATGTGTTTCTGTCATCAGGATCGAATTCGTTTGCGAACAAGGGGTATCCAATAATTCCTGCCATCGAAGCGACAAGGAGAGGAATCTCTTTTCTCGTTGCTCTCGCGGCCCAGTAGCCAAACACAGGAGCAAAGACAAGTGCCACCAATTCCGTGACGCCCGTGAGTTCTGCGGCAACCACATAAGCTCGAGGACACTTTCTCTTGATGTCCGGAAGACCAGTTGGATCATTACTGGAGGACGGTTCCACACATAGGCCGGATGAGAGGAAGGTTGCGTTGACAAGCAGGGGGATGAAAAGAGAAATGCCGACGGAAGAAGCGCGGGCCACGAAACCTCCAAGGTACCCAATGGCTATCTCGGAGCGATGAAATCCTGCCATGAGAGCAATTTGAAAGTTGTTCGACATCTGAGTGAGTGTCTCGGTGAAGCGTGAAAGTCCCTTTTTGTCCTGAGGGATTGGTGGCCTCGGGGGATAGTCTTCAGCGTCACTATGTAGACGTCGAAGACCAAAGAAGCACCAAATAGCCAGCAGAAAAGCCACAACAGCCACGATATAGAAACTATCTTTCAGGGCAGCCTTCTCCCCGACACCTGCATACTGAAACTTAGCCGGAAGAGGCAAGAAAAGAGTCAGGGCGATGAGGGCACCACAACCGGTGAACATGCCCACAAATCCGGCAACCCGACTCGTCGAGCCGGCAATATCTGAGTCAGCTGCTATCGAATCAACTTTGCTTTTGCGTTGCGAGGATGTCGACACGAATCTTGCGGGTGTGATCGTCACCTCTGACTCAATTGACGGACTGGAAGCATGGCCGTTGCCGCCAGCAACGACGCCGGCACGCTGGTTCTCGGGTGGGTAGTTTATTGACGATGTTGCGACAGCAGGCAGAATCGCGGTGACCATGGTGGAGGCCGCAGCACCCCCGAGGCTGAAGAATAACCTGGCCAGCAGCAGCTCAGGATAGACATTTTTTGCCTGGACGAACAAAACCAGAGCCAAGCAAATGATCAGGTAGCCTGCAACACAGACCTGTCATGGATCAGTTTTGCGGCTCGTGACAGTGCCAGAGAGAGAGTCTTACAAGGCGTAGACCCATTCGATCAGAGAGTAAGCCCCATAGCGGACACGCTACCAATGCCACCAGCTCATCGGCAAACCCCAGAGTGCCAACGGCATCACCAACGCCATCCTCTTTGCCAATTAGATCCGTAATAACAAACGAGACCGAAGAATTGAGAAAGACAAGAAACGCGATAGAAAAGGGACAGACACCAAGCAGGTACGTGGCAACTTGGAGCTTGGTGGCCTTAAACATTGTTGAAGCAGCCGACAATAGCACAAGTATTTATTTTCCCAAGACAACGACTTAATCAAAGATGGACCTCCCAGACCTCACACATATCTAGAAGCCTGTATAGCAGCCAAAAAAGACGTACATGGTCGACTCTGTTCAGGAGAGCTGGGAGATGTTGTTGTCATCGATCAGCGGGCCGGAAGTTCTTTTGACCGGGCTTGGCACCAACTCGCGAGCCGGCGAGCCGGAAGCAATGCGAATGGTACTAGTGCAAAGTATATTCCCTTCACGCGCAGATATTCCTCCGCATTTTGCTGGGCGAATTTGTTTGCTTAACAAACATCTTGCCGCGCCCTACCAAATGCGATCGGGCTCGCCGCATGTTGACTCTCTATCCCATCTCGAACACATACGCACCGAGCCGCAGCAGGCCGGTAGGCCCTGGCTGAGCGGCCAGGAGCTGCTGTGGAAGTCTAACTCATGGCAGACACATCCGACTATCCCGATGATATTCAATTCGCAGGTCTTGTACAAGCAGCAACTGCAGCGGCCGACGCACAGATTCGCGACCCGTCGTCACTGGGAAAACGAAAGCGGGATGACCATAATGTCATTGAACACGTTCCTACACTAGACGAAGACGGCGTTGGAGACGCTCCTGATCCCGCAGCTGCGTCGAGTCCTCCGCACCTCCAAAGTTCTGCATCTGTCTTGTTCCGAGAACCTTCGACGAAGAGTAGGAAACACAGCAGGCCATCGCTTGGGAAAGTCTTTGCATCTTTGGAGCTGGCTCCTGAGAACTTCTTACGGCTTCAATCTGCTGCCAAGGCATTCATGCTGGACGAGGCACACCCTGAGCGAAGAGCAGTTGTAGCACCCAAGAAAAATGCAGGGGGCTCGGAACTGGCCAAGTTAAACTTGTGGAATTGTGTTGATGAGTTCCTCTCCGCCCACGGCTATGGGGAGAAGTATTTCGCACCTGGGGTGGGAGGGGGCATTCCTGGAGCACCTCAAAGAACCGTCTTCTGGCCTCAGGACAGCCAGACCATCATAAAGCTAATGATGCCGCTTATGAGGAAAATGGTCACCAACGAGCGCCAGCGCATCTATGCCGCCGCGACTAGGAAACAAGGGTCAGCAAAAGAATCGGGCGAGGAGCATTCGCCAGTAGCTGTGGACGAGTCTATCATGTCTGATGGCAAGGCTCCTGAGGCAAATTATCCGGACCAAGCGATTGAAGTACATCCACCGATACCAGAGCAACAAGACGTCCCGAGCTTGTCGCCACATATGTCACAGCCGACCACGACTTTCAAGCAATCAATTCTCCTCCACGTCAACGTGGTGTCAAATACTGGTGGAGCGCTGAGACGGGTGATACCACGGTTTAGCTTGACGCCAGACGCAGCTCCTAGCCTGTCAGCTCTACTCGTCGAAGTGGAGAAAAGGTACACATTGCCGGCGAGAACGGGAGATGCCCCTGGCGTGCAGAGCCGTCCAATCGTCAAGGTGTGGCTCACAGATGGTCTGGTAACAGTGGTTGAGGATGGAGAGTGGATGGTTGCGCTGTTGAGCGCTGGAGTGGTTGACTGGATGGACGGTGAGGTTCGAGTGCTTGTTGAAGTCTGATCCCGACAATGCAATCATACGATATTAAGTGGCCTCGCCGTCCGTTTCGGGAGCATCGGTGTGCCGACTTTGGCAGCCTCACAGCCTCCCTGATCGGCGAGCTTCCCGAATCTAGAAAAAAGATTCTAGGGCTGAGCTCATTCCTCGGGCTTTAAAGATGGCGCCACATGAATCCCGAAGGCAGGGACAGCGACCAAGTGTCGCAGCCTAATGCAAGCCTCGTTCCTGGCGCCCATGCTTCTAGCAACACGGCATCTTCCATGAGCTCCCAAAATGTCAAACTGCAGGTGGCGTATCTATCACTCGACTCGACTACCCAACATGACCGATCGACATTCTTCTTCCCTCTTTCTGCTGTACCTCAGAGCACGAGCTGCAGCTTGACTTGACAGAAAATGCTCCGGCCGGGATGGCGAACGTTGACCGCCGTGTCGATGGCAGTGGGGAAGGGTCGGGCCATGCCCTGAATGAGCTTTTGACAGGGGCTCCCCGTTTATCTGAGCCCAGTTGAAAAGTATGTCGTGCTAACACGACACTTAAGCGCAATTCTCCTTGATATTAAACATTCTAATCTTTTCCCCTTCGTTCCCAGCCAGTCAACGCGTTCAGGCACGGTCTCCAGCTGAAGATCCGGCCATATTGATATTTCAGTATCCTCCTTGTTTTACGTACTGTGTCGCTCTGACAACAACTCAACCTGACAGCTCATCCACTTCAATCCTACCGAGCTCGTTTGACATAACAACGTGGACACTACTGGTGCTACTCGTACGAGTGCTCTCAAGACGGGGTAAGCAACGTGTACATACTCTCAAAAACTATGTGGCTAGCACTGCAAGCAATTCCGTGGTCCAAGGCAGTGGAACCCAATTGATAAGTTTCCGGGACATGGGGATAGGCTTTGGCGCTTCTGGAGGCCCTGAAATTGTAGGGGAAGGGACAGCCTAGTGAGCCTAGTGAGCCCCAGCACCCTCGTCTATGTCGCACCACACCCCCGTCCTAGTCAACCGCAAGGATCATGTAGCGAGCAGCCATCGGACAAAGCACGAACTGGTGGCAGAGCAAAACGCAGCCATAGGGGGTGGAGGGAACCAGTTTTTCTGCTACTGTACTCACACTGCATTATTCCGGTGTCATGCTGCCTTGCGTCCCAAGAAGTATCAGACGCTCTTGGCCTGCTGCACGGCGAAACTGGATTGCTGCTTGAGGGTGTAGCAGAAGCCTACTATAATTATACTTTTTTGTGACGTCTGCCTCGCCTTTGTAATTCCAACCCAGCAGTCCGATCGGTCCTCAACGCGCGAGAAACGGTGCCCGTGTTTGCTGTGTGCCGAGTTTCGGAACTGCGGTTAGGGATGGACACGAGGCGGCAAGCGACGGAATCAGGACACTGGGGACCAGTAGGCAGGGGAAGGTGAACGCTGATCGTTGTCAGAGACGGGAAGGATGACCAGCGGCCAGGTGAGGTGGCAATTGTCGTTGCTCTTCGAGGGAGGTTGAGAGTGTTGAATCAGGCAGTGATGCGCTGGTTGCTTGAGACTAAGCGAGTGAGCTAATCTGAATTTCGTCAAAGGTCGGCGCATCAGCCTACTTTGTCCCAGAAATTGAGGCCTTTTTGAGCCCTGCTTGCAGGCTAGAGAGCCGAGATAGGAAGCGACAGACCGAAAAGACAATGCAACAAGGGCGGTAAGAGGGGACGGTCAGCAAGGGGAATGCAGTTTGTCGCAGATGCATGAGAAAAGGGTATCCTTGTTCGCAGTTGCAGCGGGATACCTTTGGGGGATGGGGATGGCGCCGGGGGCTCAGGGAACAATTTGAGCTTGGGAAGCTCCCCGTTGGTCGGACTCTTTTGGCGAGACGCACGAGGTCCAACACCAGGCCTAGGTGATAGCTTAAACAACAGCCATGGGTGCCTTTTAACTAAAAGCACAGGTTGGATCTACACTGGACGGACTTTGAGCTCGGGACGATCGCGAGCCCCGATCCAACAGTGGAGGCTTCTTCACGTCAGGACACCCCCACCAAGACCCCCCAATTCTCCCCCGGGCATAGCGCCTGCTTGAGCTCCGACAGGCACTGGCCCCTCAGTGGCTGGCCAAAGCGACAAGCCGGACAAGCCCAAAACTCCACCTTTCACATCCATGACGGTGACCTACGCGGAAGGGTTCAATGCCAAAAACAAGCCACCACGACTGCGTCCTTAACTTTCCTCCCCCTCCAGAAACACCTTGGGAGCTTGGGTGTGATCTTTGTTCAAGCTCTCCAACGGCCAACGACAAGCTTACTGGGTTGTTGTGGCGGAAAGAAACTTTATGGGCTTGTCCATCCCGTCTCCTGCTCTCTCGTCCTTGGTCGCCCTGTCGCTATCCAACCCCGCTTCGTCGCTCATTGCCCTTTACTGTCAAACTCCCAGCTGCTGGAACTCAAGCCTCGTGCGCAATTGAACATCAAAATCCCCTCTCCAACGCAGAGGGGGGGATTGAGTCGAGATTCGTCTTCACCGCCAAGCTGCGTTTTACGTGTTACTCTGAGCGACGCTATCAACTCTGCTCTGCCCTCCCAGCATTGAGACATATCCTTCATCCCTACTTACTTCTTACCCGCCCCATCCCTGTACATAGTACCCCTTTCATCCCTCTGCTTTCGGCAGGGATGAGACCTACATACGATTGCACAACAGCCTTATAGCTCTAATCTCTGTTCATTTGCACCGGTCACCTCCCAACCATGAGACGCATTCAGGGTCGCGTGACGCGTGATGATATTCGCTCAGCAGGGCTGAGGCGATGGGATGGACGAGCTCGAGTGACGACGGACTGGGTCAATCTTTTTCATGTATGTGCTCACTCACTCTAAAGCACAACCCCAGTTCATCCTCTCGCGAGACACTCACAGGTCAAACTCTCCAGGAGCCGGAGCTATGCTGGCCAACAGGCGACTGTCTTGTCTACTTGCGGGAACCGGGTCAGTCCAGTCGTGGCCCTGCCTTTCGAGTTCACACCGCCTTCCTCAATGTCAGAGGATTCGAATCTTTGGTGGACCGCTGCGTGGTGAGGAACTCGATTCATGCGGCAGTGCAGTGTGTCCTCCCCAACTGCTCGGGATGTGACCCCCAGGAGTCGGTGCAAGAACTGTACATCCCAGCACCTCATGGGGCAAGCCTTGAGGATATCTTCAACCATCACATTACGACCCGGAACTTCTTTGCGTGGCTCTACAACCGACCGCTGGCTGGCCGGACGCTTGGATCGGCTTTGGCGGCGCTGAAGAAAAGGGTCGATGTCTACCGACCTGACGACAGCTCTCAGAATAAGGTCGAAGTGCTGTCCTTTGCGGAGAATCAGAGATATCTGGACTTCCGAGAGTGTGTTGATCATGCTTTGGCAGCTCTCTCCTTGGCCGAGGCTCTCCAGGTTGAGGATCTTTGGGTGGACGCATTTGCCCATTGTGTGGGAATGAGTCACCGTGGCCTTCGATCAAGCATTGAGTATGCAGTAAGTCCACATGCTGCCTTTGTGCATTCCTTTCCCACCCAATGCAAACTAACCAATCATCAGGGGTTGAGCGCCAAATCCAAGACTCTCATCAATCGTGCCAGGCTGGAGATGGACATTCGACTGGACAGGGTCAACAAATCCGTCGTGACCTTCTTTGAGAACGACGTTTCAGGAAGCTTCCTCGGCCTGCCCCAGCCAGCGAGAGATCATCTCAACAAATTCCGCGCCTTCCTCAAATCATTCTACCATGAGCGTTATGGTTCTTGGCCGCCTAATAATTTCGAAGAAGAGGTTGTCCAGCAAACCATATACTCAACTATGTTCTCGGATTTCCGGAACCTCTATCAGCACCTGGTTGATCCTGAATCCACGGTTGATATGGTAGAAAAGGACATCTCCAAGACTGGTGGTGTTTGTACTCTCCAGAACATCCAAGTTTTCGACAAAAAGCACTCGTACGAGCCCCTTGCTCAGCCACTGCCTCTGTTGCCGGAGCCCTTGGAAGCCAGCTCAGGCCCACGCTCCAAGCTTCAGCGAAGAATGTCTTGGAACCCAATCCAAAAACGCAGAGCACTCAGGGAATCACGAAAAGCGCATGACAAACGCGCTTTGATTGGTGCCTCCAACCGAGATCTATTGGTCATGGACTGTCCCTTAGTTCGAAAGTACTCCGAGTTCGAGGAGATGACCGTCGACGACGATCTTGAGGGACTCTCTGCCATGGAAGGTCGCAAAGTGAGATGGATCCTGGTGTATGCCGTCCTCCAAACTTTCCATTCCATCGCACAGCCCCCAAAGGAAGTCCGCAACACTTCCAACCTAACATATTCCCTTTGTTGTCAGCCTCCAAAACAAAAGCCGTGGCAAGAAACACCTCTCCCTCAAGTCCGCACCCTGAACAAGAAGCCGTCTCAGCTGGCTCCTGATAATCGCTACTCACATACTAATGTGTCGTCTTCCTCCCTGGGTGAGCCACTGACGAGAGGGAGATCGGCCAAGATCCGTCGGCGTACGCTCCCTGCGAATCTACCAGGGTCTTTGATGTCGTCCTTGTCGATCAAAACACCGCCAGCCTCCCGGTCGACCTCGCTCAGGAGATTGATATCTCGGGGGGGCCAGACCAGCCGGGATGAGATGCCGTCGAAACGGCCTTCGTTCTGTGAGATCTACGTAGAAGGCTACGGTAACGGTCTGAATGAAGTTGCTCGCGGGGCCTCTGGCTCTCCTGCGGCCGAGCTGACCGCAGAACCTGAGCCGGTTATCAAAGAGGACCAGCAAGAACCCCAAGAGCTTCAGGGTGACATCGTCCATGAAATGGCCGCCAACGACACAGAGGACTTAGCTCCACTCCCATCATCGGAGGGCTCAGCTACAACGCCGCCGAGCATGTCTCGTGAATCTTCCCACTCTTCCGTCAGCAGCGCCTCGTCCGGTGGCCACGAGGACAGCGACGTTGCTCCAATCACACCGGCAGGTAACGCGGCATGCACACTCGAAGAAATTCTCAAGTCTACTGGCACCATCAAACGACGAAACGACAACCGATCTGATCTGGCGTCCACCACAATGAGGCACCGGCCTCACTCTCTCGTTCTTCGAGGCGCCGTGCCCCACATCAACATCATCAAGAGTGACCGATACGATCCAGACTTGGAACTGCCGTACGTGCACTTCAACACACAGACCTGGGACATGATTTTGGCCCAAAGACCGATGACTGCGCCCAGCCCGACCGCCATCACAGCATAAAACTTGCAGAAGAGCAAGACCACCAAAGGGGGGAAGAGCTTACATTTGCCCGACACCCCAGAAATCACAATAGACAGTCCACAACCCTCAGCCCTGAAGTGGCATCACTTAATGATACGACAACGCAAGAGGGGGGTGAAACATGACATGTGGGATTTGTTTTTGAGTAAGAGGGGGGCTTATAATGACACGAATCTCATTCGCAACATATATAGAGCATGACCATTGGGGGAGGGCCGCAGGCGACATGGAGGATCCCATTCCACTTCGGCGTTTCTTTGTTTTCTTTTTCTTTTTGGCATTCGATACCCTTGGGCGAGAGTGGTTAATTGGGAGGTAGAGCGCCTTCTCCGCTACGGCCATTCTGGAGAAGCATTTAGTCTAGGTTACGTGTTAGTTAGCAGGCAAACAGGTAGATGAAAGCGCAATTAGCGGGAGTGTCTTATGTAGTCGAGTCTCCGAATGAAGAAAATATTTTCCGCCTCAGTCGATTTCCCACGCATTCATTGTCTCCACGATCGAATAAACCAGTATGCTGCTTGGTGTTGGCACGCTTCGATCAAGCTGGGTGGTGCCATATACGTGCATACATAGTTCAACTACATACGTATGAGTTGATCTAGCTTTCTCTTCCCCGTCCTCCTCCTCTCACCTCCCGCCACGCCTCGTCCAAATCCTCTTGCGTGACCTGATACCCCCACTGCAGACAGGTCTGGTGCATGACAGGACTGACTTGCCGCTCGTGTTGGTCGTCACCGTCACCGTCGTCATCATCGTCACCATCATCAAAGACACTCCGCACCCCCATCTCGACATACTTTTTCAACAACATCCTCTTCCACCGGCCCCGGGGGCCGACGCACCTTAACCAACGGCCCACCTGCCTCTCGTCCTCGCCGTCGTCGAGGCGCCGTCCGAGCCAGAAGCGGATGTACCACTCGAACCAGCCGCGCGGGTCGTGGCGGAAGTCGATCCAGCCGGCGTCCTCCCACTGGGCCAGCGTCTGGCCGCAGGCGCGGCCGTGGCGGTTGAGCGCGGCGTCGTAGCGCGGCGCCGTGAGGTACTTCTCGGGCGGGAGCAGCTGCGCGCGCCACGCCGCCGGCAGCGTGGCCAGGTAGTCGTCGACCAGTGTCACCCCCGCCAGTGTGCGGCTGCGCCACGGCGCGAAGAAACTGCCCCCGAACGCGCCCTCCTGCAGGATCGCCAGCGGTGACTTGTTGGGTCGGAACGCCGGGTGTGACGCGAACACGTAGCTGTGTGTTTCTGGGTCCTCGGTGGGTGGGGGCGCCGAAGGTGTCCATGAGTTGTAGTACTCTATCAGAGAGGGTAGATTGGTGGGGAGAGGGGGTGTGAGGGACTTTGAGAGTGAAGACTTGGGTTCGGGTTGGCTAGGTTTTCGAGGGGAATGGTGGTCAGAGGTTTGAACCTTGCGATTGCTTCTGTTCCTCGTTCGTCGTCGTGATGAGCCGTCCACGGCCGTGCTGTCTATATCGACAGTGTCCTTTGTTTCCTCGGAGTAAGATACACGCCCTCCCGCCGCAGCGATTCGGGCAGATGTCCTTGAAGGGCGGGGCTTCAGGGGAGGGCTGGGACTGGCGTCCCTTCTCCGCCTCTTTGCGGACGGCTTCTTGACCGGCCCTCCACGCTTCTCTCCCGTCCTTCTCGCATTCGAGGTGAGCAGGTTGAGTGACTCGAGCAGTTTTTGCTTCTCTCGCAGGTTCGCAAGGCGCTCGGCCTCGAAGTCGACGCCGGGATCCATCCCACCACCACCCAGCGGAGTCCCAGGGCACACGACTCGGTCATAAGCCAGGCTTGGACCTTGGCAAAAGATCAGAGCCCTGGAGCGTAGAGATGTGAGTATTTTATATGTGTAGATTATCGTATAGAGAAGTGAATTGACAGGGACTTGTAGGTTCATTGTCGCGTGTAGTCTTCAGACGCGTTGACATTAGCCATGACGTCACTCATCTCGACTTCATTCCTAACACTGGTGGTGCTGGTCTCTTTATATTCATTTATATTCATTATTCTGTGGTGATGCCACTGGTCGTGTCGTATGGCATGGTATGTACACCACTGACATATCTTCTCATCCTGCAAACCATCTACCGAAACATCTGATTCCAAGCTTCCCAGTGGTTTTTGGCAGTCGGCTGGCGAGCGAGCCCCCATCTCTGCAGTTCCTTTGTATCGTCACTCACCGACGTATCCGTTTCACGCCAGAGTTCGAAGTCGATGATGCTGCATCTTTTCGTCTCTCGCTCCCATAGAATGTTCCGCAGCCCACAGTCCACGGGCTCTATGCCTTGAGCGTAGATCCATCTGTCACTATCAGCATGACCGAGACTTCAATGTGAACAAGAGGAGTTATTCCTGTGCGTGGAATGACCTACTTGATTGCGACGAGGAACTCCTGCGAGATCTCGTTTCTCTCCTCGGTAGGCATCCCCCAGTAGTACATATTAAAGAGCGAGTCGCCTGGCATCTTTGTCATGACGAGGAACGTGAGATATCCCCCGGGTAATGGTCCATCGGCAGGCTGGACTGCCTTTTTGAAATTCACCAGCACCGGTGTGAAGGCACTGTTAGTATGTCGGAACTTTTCCAGGGCTTCGAGTTCATGTGCAGTCGTGGTACTGGGCCCGACCTCTGGGCTGTTACTCGGTCGTCGTTCTCCTCCGGGTATCCTCAATACCTGAAGTCAGCCTCACCCCGTCCTCAGGGGGTCATACATACTGGATCTTGATTTTCATAACAAACTCGTCCTCTGTCAGCGAGCTCCCCTTGTAGCGCCGGCAAGTCAGGACCATTCGTGCTTCAGCGGGGGTGCCATCATGACAAGACCGATAAGTTGCCAGAGGTTTCAACAACTCATAGGCATCCCCATTCCCGAAATCCACGACCTTGCTAAGGTATGTTGGTAACACTGGAGCGGTGTCTTCCATGTTTAGAAGTATAATGTGTTTTCAAGGCGGGATTTTGCTGACAGGCCAAGGGTCAGCAGCGAGAAGAACTATGACCGCGTCGGGACATCAACCTAGTCGAACGGGCTGCTAGAGAAGCGAAGAGTAGGGCATATGAGTGGATTAACTATCTTCCGGATCGTCTCCCAGCTTCTGCTCGCAGTGCAGGAGATGTCCCTCGATTGTTTAAAGTCGAGGGGAGTAGTGGATAGATCGTGGATATCTCGAAGATGGCCCAGTTAATCGACTAATTCCTTTCTGCTTGGCCAGTGGCCCAGAGCTTATTGATCCCGTCATCCGGGGAATCGGGGATTCACCGAAACACCCACGCCAATGACCCTGTAGGCAGACAGTAAGATTAAAGCCTGGACAGAGGATACGAGGTCTGTGGAGGTGAATCTGGAGACACAGGTACCGCGGTTGGTTATGATGATGGACAGAAAGTGGCACACTCTCCAGTAGGAGGAACATGGCGTATACTCGGTACTCTGTGCCTGTAGACATGGACGGTGGATTTGGGACGGGAAAGAAAGGCTCACCAGAACAAACCATGTTCCCCATAAATTTGGGCAGTTTGCCTCTGGTGCCTGGTGATGCCTCGTTTCTGGAGCTCCGGGCAGCTGGTCGCTGGTTGACTGATGTTTCAGGCCCGCTGCGGTGCTGGTGCGGGCGCCCGTTGTGGTGCCAGGGCCCCAGTGGCCCCTAGCAGTGGTGCCAATGCTGCCAGCGGAAGATCATCGCGCGGTACCTGCATGAAATATCCCCCAACTGAGGCAAAGCTACTATTAGGCCATCCTCGATCCGGTCTTCCTCCACCACATCTTGACGTCTGTGGTTTCGCTGTCTCCTCTTCGCACAGTGGCTTGGCTGGTGCAGGTGAACCCCCCAGAGATTCAGAGACCAGACGACCATGATCTACTCTTTCGATCTTTGTCACATCTAGTTCACCGCAATCTGTCTCGCTTTCTCATAGCTCCCACCGCCAACAAGAGGTGTTTGTGTGCCTTTTCCAGCCGATGCCATTGAACACTGGTCACACCCGCGGTTGCCCCCTGATCCATTGATCAAACACCCTCCTGTCTTCTCAGAGAGGCCCAAGAAATACCGACTTTGCTGATTGCATTGGCCCTCCGGTGACCCCGAGTCGGATATGATTGCCACCTCTTCCCTCAGCGCAGAAAGACCCGGCTCTGCTTCTCTCCCCCTCGTCGCTCACGATGCCACCGACCGTCCAGCCTCGAGGGCACTGACCGCGGTTTCCGAGGCCAAAGAACTTCCTGTGACCTACTCCACCGATGCCCTCCTACGCGAACCCCTCGAAGAAAATGAACTACGGCAAGTCAACGGTGGTCGCCGTGCGGAACAAGAGCTGCCTCGGCTACAAGCGAATGCGCAGATAGAGCAGGGCGACAGCTTGGAGCCCATCCTCGAAGACGATCCCGCGTCCTTCAACCTCATTGCTCCTCCTCCGCCGGACCAAGGCGATGTCTTCTCGTTGGAGACTCAGACACAGGCACTGTTCTCGAGGGGTCACCTGCAGGTCATCTTTGCCGACCCCAGCTACTTGTTCAAGTTCACATCTTTCCTGGGAATGTACAGACCTCAGTCGGTGCCTATGCTCGTGCACTATCTTGATTCCCTGAAATCACTGCGCGCCATCAACTATGCCAATGCCATCTGTGAAGGCCTGGACCCCATAGAAGGATATGAGTTTACGCAGAGGCCGGTCAAGCCGACCATAAACACGGCATTGGAAGAGAGAGCGCACAAAGCCTTTGAGATTTTGGCCATGGAGGAGCTGCCTGCGTTCATCACACATCAGTACATCCAAGTCGTGAGCAACAGCATTACCGCCAGAATAACCGGGTCGCTCTCGCCGCAACTCCGGGAAGCCTCGGACGGTTTGGCAGAGGTGTTTTGTTTGACGGATCCCTCGAGGCATGACAACCCCATTGTCTTCGCTTCGGAAGGTATGCCTCCCTAAGGACGTGGGACGGGCCTGTGTGCATGGCTGACGCAAAGCAGAATTCAATCGGACCACTCAATACGGCATGTCATATGTTCTGGGTCGGAATTGCAGGTTTCTGCAAGGGCCTATGACAAACCCGCACAGCCTACGCAGGATCCGAGAAGCCCTCAAAGCAGGCCGACAGCATCAAGAAGTCCTTCTCAACTAGTAAGTGCAAACATTGTGCAGTGTTTGACACGTCTGACAGAGAGCCAGCCGGCGAGACGGATCTCCCTTTGTGAATTTGTTTATGATGGCTCCGCTGTCTGACAGCCGAGGCGTCGTCCGGTACCACATTGGGGCGCAGGTCGATGTGAGTGGCCTTGTCAAAGACTGCTCCGAGATGGAATCCCTCCGAAAGTTGTTGGATCTGCGTGCTCGGGGCGAGGATCCACCACAGCCCGAGAAGCCCAACCCCGAGAAAAACGACGAGCTGCGAGAATTGAGCGAGATGCTCAACCAGGGCGAGTTGAATACCATCAAGCGCCATGGCGGGAAGATGCACCGTGAAATCGTCGAGGACGATATCGAGAGTGTCTCATCACACCATCAGCCTCGACTGCTGCTCAAGGATCCGGACACCATGGTGCCATCGATTGCGAGCATCAATGGGAGATTGAGTGGCATATATCAACACGTGAGTTGCCTGTGGAACCTGCAGATGTGCTCGTATGATTGACTGGCCGTGCAGTATCTCCTCGTGCGACCATATCCTTCTTTGCGCATTCTTTTTGCGAGCCCGTCACAGCGATTACCTGGCATCTTACAATCACCCTTTTTGAACAAGATCGGCGGTTCCAACCGAGTGCGTGAGGAGTTGACTACGGCGTTCGCTGAGGGACGAGGCGTGACTGCCAAAGTTCGCTGGGTTACCAAAGGCGACGACCAGGGCAAGAACAAGTGGATTCATTGCACCCCACTCCTGGGCCAGTCAGGACATATTGGCGTGTGGATGGTGGTGGTGGTCGATGACGAGAAGAACCACGAACGATGGCCTCCTGCATCGGGACGACTTCCCCCTCAAGTGGCCAGCCCAGAGAGGAGCTGGACTCCGGCTCCCAGCAGCGGATACCAGATGGTCGGATCGAGCCACAACGGTGTTGGCGACGTCAACGGGGGCCACTCGGATCGCAATGGTGGAGGCAGCCTAGGCAGCGCCAATGGCAGCGCCACCAGTCTGAGAATTGGATGATGGGAAGATTGGTCTTTCTTGGATGTTGTTAACCTTGCCATTTTGTGAGCATCTGCTGGTACATGAACTATGTAAGATGGTGAGGAGAAGAGAATTGCACTTTGGTCATGTGGTGGCCCAACGGGGATTGTTTAGGGGGGCCTTTACTGACAGCTTGTAGTAATATTGGTGAGGATCTCACACCACCGAGCCCAGATATCATTAATGACGTCCATGTTTGTTGAGCCTTCGAATGGTACGAGTAAGCTTCTGAGAGTCGATGTGCGTTACTCATTCGTCAAACTGGCACTGATGAACAAGGGGTACTCGTTGAGGCAGGCTGCGATTGGGGGCCTTGAGTGATAGACAGGGGGCCGATGTCCGCCTTAATTGTGGAGCTGAACCGTAAAAGAGCCACAATCACTCGTCCTCCATCCACCCTGTCCATATCTACTGTAGGGGATCCTCTCTGACAGGTGACAGAGGGCGGGAACCTAGGGTCGACGGAATTTGTCTGTGGGGAAAACGTCTATCCAGCCTTGGTCGTTGGAAGCCTCACCTCTACCTCTTCCCGGACCTTGCGCCGGCAAGCTTCCAAGCTGTTACAGGGCCAGCCCTGGTCACGATTGCAGTGCCCCCTTACTACTAGGCAGTCCCCCCCGTCCTGATAACCTATGTACTAGGACGGACGGGATGAGCCCCTTCCGAAGTCTTCACAACATCACCTGCCACAAAATGTCGCAGCCTGGCGATGGGGGCCAGCCCAGGGCTATTGAACTCCTGGCTCTAGGTCCTTGGGGCATAGATCACGGGATATCTGTCGGCTAGGTCTCGCTGCGCCCTTCTCTGAGTCCAATCGTGGCAGTGGACATTCTCAAGGCTGTCGGTCCAAGATGCTTGCGTCGTTGCGAAGGAGTTTGGGATTACAAAAAGACCCAAATTCCTCGAAGTCGCAGTCCTCGTAAGTCAATGCTTTTACTCCCTCTCACATCCTAACAAGATGCATTTTGCTGGTGATATACCCTGTACCTGTCGTACTCTTCATGAGGATTGCAACCCTGAAACATGCCCTCAAAGGCAGCACTCAAACAAGCCGGGCAACAATTTCAAGCTGTCCGAGTTTCTGAAAAGTGCGGAACGGGGATGTCCCATCTGCTCTGCGATCTGCAGCGCGCTCTCCGTGGAACCGGTGAAGAGAGTGTGGCTGCACGCCGTATCCCCAGGAAATGGAGCGTCGATGGCAGATCAGAGCATCCCCATCGAGTTGATGCGCACGGGAGAAAAGCCTGGCCGGGTGGTCATCAGAACGGGCAACACTTGCGGATCGAGCTCACAGCTTTGGAGACATTTCAACCTATTTGTCCACCCAGAAGGACCTGAGCCAAAGTCATGCATGGCCCTGCGGAAGTTGAAATGTGCACCGACCGACAGGACTGATTCCATTGAGAGCTATCGTTTTCTGCGGCAGTGGTTGGATCAGTGCAATGATCATCATCAATGCGCTGCGCCGGAGCCCCCCCGCTTGCCCAAACGCGTTCTCAGGATTCACTCAGACCGAGTCCACCTGTATCTCAGCCAAGAGAACGAACAGGCTCGGTATGCGACCTTGTCCCACCGCTGGGGGGACGTCGATGAGGCATTCGTCTTGGAGCTGACGAACCTCGACTCCCTCACCGAGGACATCGCGTGGTCTCAACTCCCCAAAACTGCCCAGGATGCCATAGAAATCTGTCGGAAACTCGGCATCGATTACCTGTGGATCGACTCCTTGTGCATCATCCAACACTACCAGCCAGATTGGGACGACCAGTCCGAGAAAATGTGCACCATCTACGGTCAGTCTTATCTCAACATTGCAGCGATGGACTCGAACGACTCCCGCGGTGGCTGCTTTCGGTCAACAGGGTCGGACAGGCGATTCCCTCCTCACACTGTGCCTGGCTACCCAGCTCTCCAAGTCCAGCAGCAGCCTCACTTCACTCACCTTGATTTCGGTGCAAACTACGCGACGTCTCCGGCCTCTCCCCCGCTCCTCCGTCGCGGCTGGGTCCTGCAAGAGCGTCTCTTGTCTCCCCGTTGTGTCTATTACGGTAGAGACGAACTCCTCTGGGAGTGCAAAGCGTGTGCGGACTGTTTCTGCGGCGGGACCAACGTCATTGCCCGCTTCAAAGACGTCCATCATCGCTCGCTGACCCCGAATGGCGATTCTTTGCCCTTTGCCTGGATGAGAATCACCGAGCGGTATTCTTCCCTGGACCTGACGCGCGTCTCCGACAGGGCAATCGCACTGTCCGGTATCGCCCAGAAAGTGGTGGAGTCGGGCCGAGGAGGGAAATACCTCGCTGGACTGTGGTGGGACAAACTGGCCCACCAGCTTGTCTGGGCGCTGTCCAACACGTTCCACAGACCCAAGGAGTACATTGCGCCCAGCTGGTCATGGCTGTCGGTGCTCGGCCGGGTCGAATACGGTCCAAATCGCATGGACTATGGAGCTGCCTGGTCGACCGTCGATGTCGTGATCACAGATGCCGCGGTTTCAGCGTCAAAGCCAGATGGCACGGGCAAGATCAACTCCGGCTATCTTCTCCTTGACGGCAAGGCTCTCAGCATGCAAGTCGAGGTGGTCGAAGTGGTGAAACGAGGCCGGCCGCAGATGAAGCTGACGCACTCCGAACCTTACATCGAGTATCCCGTTTTCCTCCCCGACTATGTGATGACACCAAAGCAAGCCGTGGCGATTGAGAAGGTTGTTGTGCTCTACTGGGCCCAGGTTGTCGACGAAGAGACTTTTATGGTTCTGTGGCAGGTCCCCTACGCCAACGGCGGCGTGGCATACGAACGACTTGGACTGCTGGTGGCGGATGGCCACTGGACTCGACAGTTTCAGGGTGTCGCGGAACGCAGAACGGACATACGGGTCGTCTAGACGGCTGTTCTCCAAGTATTTGAAGCGAAAGCGAGAGCATTCTGTGCTTGCGGGGTTTTCCACTTCTGGCCAGGACCTCCGATAGCTTTCCAGCATCGCCGTGCTTGACGAGGACTCTACCTTTCCTTGAGTGAACCGGTCCCGTAATCTGGAAAGAAATCAGTCGACTCTATGGGCAGGGCTGATGTCTCTGAGCATGGGATGTTGTGCTGTAACTTCATCACGTGACCAAATGGCCCGCCGTACCGGCTATGGCGAAGCATCATCCCGCCAAGCGTAGATCGTGTTTTCACCGAGAATGCTCCTGTAAATTACAGTTACGGCGCTAGCGACCGATGAAGCTAGTTTTATTACACTTCAAATGTGTAGCTTGCGTCCTCTGGAGACGAACTTGCACCGAAATACCTCATCCTCGTCCACCTTCTCAGCAACATCTCATACTTGGATCGCGAATATGCATTCTTCCTTACCCTTGCGAGCTGGCATGTAAGTCCTGACCTCACTTCTGGAGCACTATGCAACCTCCGCATGGTCTCTTGCTTCCCGATTGAATGCGCGCTCCCCGTACATTCTGAATCCTCCAACCCACGATCCTCCTGCTCCTCCTCTCTCCTGTTGTCTTTCCTCTACTTCTCCTCTGCAAAGAGACTGACAGAATTAGCCTCAAGCGCTCCTCCTACTATAACTCCGACTACCGCAGCGGGGCTGCCCTGCTTCGAGCCCGCCGGCCGTACCTAGTCAAGAATACCATCACGGGCCTCGCCATTTTTGGCTTCGCAATTGGAGTTTGTATGTGACCTTCCCATGTTCTAAGGCTGTCTCTTCAAGCCCACCCTTTCCTGGGTTTGCGATCTCTTGGTTCAGACGACCAGGGCGATCTCTCCAATTGCGCCCAAAGGACCGGCTCGCTGACACGATTTGCATTGTGCTCACAATGAACAGTTGCGTTTACTCTCAAAGCTGTGGGCCAAGAGACCTTTGATGACGTGATTGTTCCATCGGAACCGCAAGTCGCTGCGCCAAACTCCTCTTCCGCAGAAACTGCGCGGTTGCAGTCGATACAGACTCAGTCGCCGAAGACACCCACTGCCGCAGCGAACGGGATGCGCTCATAACCCCGCCACACTCCCTCCATCGTGAAGATAAGCCACGTGTGACCTTGTGAAAGGGCCGAAGCAGGCGAGGAATGGCCGCATAACGACCCATTGAAAGAGGGACCTTGGGAGCATGCTTCGAGACTGTGTATAATTACAAGGCATGGAGCAGGACTGCTACAAGTGACGGCTTGTGAGATGCCCTCGACCTTGCGCGCCTGCTTCATTGGGACACCGACAAGTGGGCAGGGCCCTTGGGTTGCCTTGGCCAGGGAAGAAGGACTTTCTCCGATACACAGCCTAGAAAGCTACGAGCTTCCTCGACCGTCCAACATGGCCAGCCGCCTAACACAGTGCCCAGGGCACTTCAATCGACAATGAGAGAGCCTGACTCCAAGGCTGCTATTTGATATGCCTCAAATGGTCAGGGTAGGGGGCAATTTCTGTGTGAACCATCAGACAGTGGAAAGAGTGCGGAGTCGGATATCTAAGAGACATGGAGGGAATCTTTTTGGTATTGTTTTATCTGTCTCGTCTCAAGTCAATGAACCCGTTTGAGAACCTCGATTCTGCGTCCCCCTCAATTTGCTTCCACCACAACTCTTTAGGGTTTCGCCCTGAGAAAGGATCCAATCGAGCCATATTCCTTCACCATGGTGGCCGTCTCTCAGTCGTTCTTCCCGCAATCTCCTATGCCCGAGGCCTGAACAGGCAAACGTGTTGTCGAACGTGTGAGGCAGGAATAACATTACATTGACCCTTCTATTGTTATCTGGGGCTTTGGTCTTGGCCTGGGACCCCGTCGGGCCTACACGTATCTCCACGCAGCAGAACCGAGGACAATGTATGGGAAATTGCTAGCCATTTGGGATTTGCTGAGGGTAGTCCTTAATGTATGAGTGACTGTGTGGCTTTGGAGATGTTCCAATATCAGCCACGGCAGATGGAACAGTACAACCGATGATAGACCCGAGGTCCGACGCCGGATGGTCACCTCCTCCCACCACCAGGGTCTCAATGTTGTAGCATAGAGTACTGCTCAGTATACGTGGGTACGTCTATTCCAGTTATCACTGCCTCCCTCCCGAATCACAAAGAAAAAGCGGTGTAGAAACCCACATCATGCATTTCGACCCTTCCTCGACGTCGCTGCCAAAGCGCTCGGAGTTGCCCCAAATCCCAGGTGCCCCCGAGGGAGCAGCCTGGTTCTGGGGAAAGGATGATGAGGTATGAGACTCTACAGGCAGGCGATCCAGCCTCTGCAGGATGAAGTGTCTCACTCGAACAGCTTGGACGTCTCAATCTCCTCACGCCCGAGCGCGTCGCCAAAGCTGCAGGGTTGATCAAAAGCGGCGAGGTCGTCAATCTCAAGTAAACACGATGCCCCCCCGAGACTGAATGCGAGGAATGGGACAACACGAATACTGACTGTTCTGTCGCCTGCCAGTTGGCGTGTCGACTATCCCAACCCCCCGGCCTTTGGGAGACAGAAATTCAAGCACACCATTTCACCCCTGGGTGAGGCCGGGTTCGACGACCTGTACGACATGAACACCCAGAGTGGATCGCAAGTCAGTTTGAAACCTCTTGAGATATAAGTTATTCATTTTCTGATTGACCTTCGCAGTGGGACGGGTTTCGACATGTAAGGCTGGCACTGTGTAGCCTGGGATATCTTTGAGGTGCATTCTGACCCGTGTTTGAAGGTCGGACTCCATCACGATGGCGGCGTAGTCTTCTATAACGGGGTACGTGTGTCATCAGCCCTCTACTGGTAGGGTGTGACGAGATCCAGCCTTGCTAAACAGGAGCCACATACAGCTCACCAAGGACGAAATATACAACACCGCCCGGTGCGGGATGCAGGCGTGGGCGCAGCACGGAATAGGTAACGTTCCAACACAGCCCGAGATCCGTCTTATACGTCTTTCCGTTTTCAAACCCTCTGACTCATGTGGTCTCAGCCGGCCGCGGCGTCCTTATCGACTACTGGGGCTACTCCGGCGGGAACTACGACCCGGTCAGCTCGCACCGGATCCCGCTGAGCGAGCTGCAGGCGTGCGCCAAGGCACAGGGCGTGACGTTCCAGCCGGGCGACATCCTGCTGGTGCGGTCGGGGTTCGTGGGCGCGTACAACAAGCTCGGCGAGCAGGAGCGGGCGCACCTGGGCACGCTGACCATCCCGGAGCACACGTTCGCGGGCGTCGAGGCCACCGAGGCCATGCTCGACTTCCTGCACGACAACTACTTCGCCGCCGTGGTCGGCGACGCCCCGGCCTTTGAGGCCTGGCCCGTCCAGCAGCTCTCCCTGCACCAGTACCTCCTCCCGCGCTGGGGCGTGCCCATCGGCGAGATGTGGGACCTCGACCAGCTCGCTGAGACCTGTCGCCAGAAGAAGCAGTACTCGTTTTTCATGTCGAGCGCTCCGGCGAATGTGCCCGGTATGTTTTGGATATCCCTTCCTGCCTCCCCTTAACTTCCCTCTTCCTTTCTGCTTCCCTTCTCTATGTCTGTCTGTCTGTCTGTCTCTCTCCAGCATTTCCCATTCGGGTGTCTCAAAGGGTCAAGATGGCAAAGTGAAGGGTTTTATGCTGACTGGTGCGTCGATATAGGTGGTGTCGGGAGCCACCCTAACGCCATTGCGATATTCTAGACTGGCCGAGGAGGAGGAGCTTGGATGAATTAAATCTCACGTCACAAGTATGGGTTCCTATATTGTGTGACAGACTTCATGCCATGCCGGAATTTCAAGGGAAAGCTCTGTAGCTCTCACGTCAGGGTCTCCCTCGCATGGCCCATGGCTTCACTTAAATATGGTAGACCCTGAACTAGAAAAGACTTTTCCCAAGGATATGCTGCACATTGGCTTGTTTTAAAGGTCCTTCGTTGTTTACCTTCTCTTTTTCATTCGTGGTAAGAGCTTGAGCTCGATACGTCCTTTGACATGAAGTGTTAAAACTCCCTGAGCCAATGCTACATACAACGGGTGGATGACCTTTCCCCTCCTTCGACTCACACTTATTTCAGCCTTTGGGGCCCTCCCTTTCTTCTTCCCCTCCCATGGGGACTAATAGATGGGCACGTTGAAGGCGTCGAGGTCGTAATTCCAGTAATCCACGCTCTTCTGGTCATAGCGGCAATCCGGGCTCGTGGCATTCGTCGCGGAGGACGACCACACGGGGCGCAGCGGCCAGGCGCAGATCTGCTGGTTCTGGCCCTTGTGGGGCCCCTGGAGCACGGTGGCGTTCAGGGTGGTGGGCACGACGCCCCGTTCGACCCAGTCGATCATCACGGCCAGGTTGGTCTGCGGGAACGGCCCGTTGGGCTCGGCCGGGTTGGCGGCGCAGTGGGTGGCGCCGGGGACGAGGAAGAGGCGGAAGAAGTCGTTGAGCGCGGCGGCCGACGCGTTGTAGCTCTGGTTGTGGGAGCCGGAGCTCATGGTCCGCCGCACCGACTCCCAGTACCGCACCGACGACGCCGTCGGGATCCCCCAGTCCGACTCGCCGTGGAACATGAGCACTTTCCCGCCCGCGTCGCGGTACGCCGTCAGGTCCGGCCACGTGGTCTCCAGCACGCCCTGGAACCGCTGCATGCCCTCGACGATCCAGCCCTTCAGCGTGTCGTAGGTGACGCCGTCGAGGTTGGGCACGTTGGTGCCATTGAGCATGTCCAGCTCCACCTCGACGAACACGCCGCCCAGGCTGATCACCGACAGCCCCCACTGGTTGGCCGTCGCGTTCCACCCGGTCTGCGCCTCGGTGAACTGCGCGCTCGGCGTCGGCGCAAAGTACACCCGCCGGCCCTGCGAGTCGTGGAGGCCCTCGAGGATCTTCTGCGCCACGGCGATGGCCTGTTTCGTGACGTTGCCTTGTTGGGCGGGCGTCGCGGGGCCGGTGGCCGGGGATGCCGGGGTCGCGGGACAGTGGTACGGCTGGCCTTCGATGGCAGAGATGTTGTAGTTCATGTAGCACAGGTCGGTGCGGGCCACGACGCCGTCGGCCTTCCCGTCTAGCGGGTCGCACTGCATGATGGTCTCGTTGACGATCTTCTGCAGCTCGCACGGCGACGGGTAGTAGCCCATGGTCTGCTCGACCACGTCCGGGTACAGGAGCTGGGTCTGCTGGAAGGACCAGCGGAAGGCCGGGGCGCCGATGATGGCGCCGTCGAACGAGTCGGCGTAGCGCTGGACCTGGCTCCACCCTTCGCGACCGCCCTCGGAACAGCCCTGCCAGTACGTGTACAGGGTGGTGGTGGTGGCATTGTTGTCGTCGGTCTGGGTCATGTTGAAGAAGCTCCTGGTGAACGCCTTGCCCAGCTGGCTCATCTCGCGGATGCCCTGGTAGCCGAACATGTAGATGTTGTGCCAGTTCAGGGTGCCGTTGGCCGCGAGCCACTGGGTGATGGTGTTGCTCTGGGCCGCACCGAACCCGGCGTCGGTCATGCCCGCGACAGCCCCGTAGATGATGCCGCCGGGAAGGGACTGGTTGCCCGAGTTGATGGCATAGCCGCCGCCGCCCGTGGCCAGGAAGCGATTTTGGAACTTGGCGGGCGCCGGGAGCCAGTAGGTCAGGAGGACTTGGTCGTCCAGACCGTCGTGGGAATACGTGAAGCTGACGTTACAGTAGTCGAAGACGGCGTCCGGGTAGAAGTCGTTGTCCACCACCTGGACGTTGGTCACCGGGTTTGCCGTCACCGACGAGGGACTGATGGTGACGCCCTGGTAGAACCCCGGCGGCGGGAGATGTGCCTTGACGTAAGAGACGGTACAAACGTCATTGAGAGTGGCACCATGGACAGCCGCTGCGAGGGTGACGAGTATGAGGATACCAAACAGAGGGAAATGCATCCTGTAGGTCTGGACCGGCAACCACTTGGAGACACCCATGCATGGTTGGAGCAGTTCCAGCGTCTTCCTCCATTATATAGATGGATGCACGTTCGGTCAAGCATGGTCAAGCACGATCCAGAAAACCTTGCACAGAGCTGGGGCATCGCTGGCTGGATGTGGAGGCCATGATAGAACTGAGGGCCAGAGGGCCAGAATGTGGATGTGTTGCGGCAGATGGAGCGTCATTTGCCCCTTTGAGGCGGGAGAGAATGTGGAGAGCCAGGCTAGTGAGTGAGTGAGGGAATGGTTGGGTGTGTAGAAAAGTACCGAGTAGAGAGGGAGTGGTGACAGCTCGACAGGTTGCTGGCGAGAGTCGATCTCCCTCTGCTTTGGGAAGACATGGGGGAGAACGAGGCGATGCGGGATGCGGGGGATGGTGCATATCCATCCCGCTTTTATCATTGGTATTGAGGGATGCTTTCATCCACCGCTTGTATGTACGGGTAACGTATTCAGTAGCCGAGTAGTTGTTGTTGTGTGGCCGAGAACGGAGTGAGATAAGATTAGATTACACCGGAGAGAAACAGGCCCGTTTGCATATTGCAACAACATCTGTTCAGCTCCAACGCCACCATCACTCCGCATCTGCAGTCTGACATGTTATATTGATGCGAGAGGCTCTATCCCGAGACGGAGGGCACAAGCTACCGGCGACAGTGAGAAGCTAGCTTGCCTGAACCAACACTTCGAGACCATCACCGGTTCAATAGCTTCCAGCCAACACCAAGACAAGACAGGGATTCAACCATGGCTACTTCGACGGAACTGCCCGCCAGCATCCTTCTCCTTCTCCTTGCAGTCTTAACCGTGTTGGCGGTCAGTGTTCATCGTGGACTCTCCATTGATCACAGCCCTGGGGAGCCTCCGATCATCAAGCCGAAAATACCCTATATCGGCCACATACTCGGAATCATCAGATATGGCACCAAGTATTTTGAGATCGTCAAGTGAGTGCTTGTATGCTTCTTGAACCTCGCAATCTGATGGTGCTTCAGCCGCAACACACGCTACCCGATCTATACGTTACCCACCTTATCGACCAGACAGTACATCGTCACGTCTCCTCAGATCGCGGCTCAACTCCAGCGACAGCACAAGGACCTCGCTTTCTACAATGTCATCCTGGAAGTTACGCGTCGATTAACCAGTCTCAGACCCAGCACCATGAAGATCGTCATGCAGAACGTCAATGCCGAGCATGGTGACTGGGGCTTGATGCCGACCATGCACGACATGTTCAACACGGTGCTCGGTCGAGGAGAGTCATTGAAAGACCTGACTCGGTCGCAGATGTCCATTTTCTCCGAGATGCTGAATGAGGTCGCGGTCGAGGGCGAATGCCTGGAGACCGACCTGTTCCAGTGGATCAAGTCTACATTTACATTTGCAAATGCAAGGTCCATCTACGGCCCAGAGAACCCGTTTGCCCTGAATCCCAGTTTGGTGGATGCTTTCTGGGATTTTGAGGCTGGCATGCTGGCCTTGATCATCGACATCTTTCCTTCCATCACCGCTCGGAGAGCGTACCTAGGACGAGAGGCAATTGCCAAAGCCCTCGTCGACTATGTCAAAGAGAAGCGGTGGCACAAGGCGTCCCTCCTGATTCAAAACCGCGTCAGCATCAACCTCACTCACGGCTTTACCGAAACCGAGGCCGGTAGATCGGAAATCATCTTGCTGTTTGCGATCCTGGGAAACGCCGTGCCTTCCACATTCTGGATTCTTGCCAACATCATCAGCCGCCCGGATTTGCTGGCTCAGATACGGACCGAGATTCAATCGGCCGTCGAAGACAACGGTGATGGAAGCAAAAATATCAACCTGTCGACCATCGAATCCTCCTGCCCGCTGTTTGTGTCGACGTATAGGGAGTCTCTGCGCATGATCGGCAATCTTGCCTCCCTTCGATACGTGTTGAGGGATACAGTGATCGGACAACATTACCTGAGAAAGGACTCTATCATTCAAGTGGCTGGAATTATCATACATCATGACCCTCAGACCTGGGGCCAAGACAGCGACCGGTTCAATCCACGACGTTTTATCAAGGGTGGAGGACAAGCATCTGTGACCGGTGCCGATTCGGAGCCGACGGGCCTGGATCTCAAGGAACCAGCGGCAACACAACTGCCTCCCGGGGTTCCATCAGCAGCGTTCCGCCTGTTCGGTGGTGGCAGCGTGGTGTGCCCAGGACGCCACTTCGCGCAGAGCGAAATCCTCGCTTTCGTGGCGTATCTCTTGATGGCGTTCGACATCTCAACTCCAGACGGAACATCCATCAAGCCGCCTCCCCGGGACAACGAGAAGATTCCCTTGAGCGTCATCAAGCCCAAGGGCGACGTGAAAGTCAGGATTCAGCGACGCAAGGGATATGAGGACGTCTCGTGGCGGTTGTTGGCAGGTGGCCAACTATGACGGATCTGCCATTGCGTATGATGTGAACAGACTGCTTTGGGCAGAGGTTAGAAGGCCCAGCTCTGGTGGGACCCTGGAGGTAGAGCTGTACACTACACACACACCCCGAGCGGCTGCATATAATTATGTATCTCTCTCAGCTTCGTTATGTACGGGGCATTTCCGTCGGAGGAACATTTCTCCGGCCGACCACAAGTGGAGCCACGACACGTTGCTTGCCCCTTTCGTCCCGCCAACATGGACAAAATCTTTAGCAATACACACACCACACTTCTGCTTGGTCCTGTGAGTTCTGCTCGTGGACTATGGCGATTCTGGGCAAGTCATCAGGCGATTGCAGAGCTTGCCGGTGAGTGAGAGGGGAGCTTTTTGTATAGAATCCTCGGCCAGAACCTTTGGGCATGAACGCGTCTCTTTTCACATGCTGACTGAGAGCTGCTTGTTTTTTTCTGTTTCCAATTGTTTGGCCTTCTGTGGTGGTAAATCTCTGTCGATGATCACACTGTAGGTCCGCCCTGGTCCTTGTCAGCATCTAGAAGGAAATCCGGCGTTTTGGGCGATCGACTTTCTGCATAGCGAACTATTTCGGCATTAGTACAAAGCATTTTTCACAACCGAAACCAGCGCATTCTCTTTGAGCAAGTCCTTGATAGGCGTGCCCATCCTTGTGGCCGTCTCGACTATGCTGCGAATAAGACATGCGGTCATCTGTCTGATATTCGCAACCACTCTCAGCTTGGTCATCTACTATCGATCGGCGAGTGGCTCCGTCACCTTCAGAGCTTTACAGTCCAAGGTGCCGCAGATCGTTGGACTCGGAGAATATTTCGACCCGGAGGAGCAGCATGTTCAGAATCAGGCTGGGCCTCTTTCTTCCGAAGGGGACTCTCGTGTCTCGAACTCTACAGCAGAATCGGCGGCGGCGGGAGTGCCAATAGCCAATCCTCCAGGATCGAGATATACACGAAGCCTGGTCATGGCTCGGATGAAAGCAGAAAATGTGACTTGGCTTGACGGGGTCGACCTGGGCCCCGATATCAAAAAGTTCATCTATGTCGCCGACGACCCTAATGCGCCTTTACACCCACCCAAAAACAAGGGCCACGAAGTCATGACCTACCTCACGTATATTGTTGATTTTTATGACGAGCTACCCGACGTCAGCATCTTCATGCATGCCCACCAAGACGCATGGCACAACAACGAACTTTTGAACTGGGACGCCGCCGAAATGATCAAACGGCTGAGCAGCGAGAGAGTCCTGCGCAAAGGCTACATGAACATGAGATGTCATTGGAAGCCTGGATGCCCAGACTGGATCCATCCAGGCCAGATAGAAAGGGATAAGGACAAACTGGAACAGTCGTACATGGCGTCGACCTGGGCGGAGCTCTTCGCGGACAAGCCCATCCCAGCTGTCTTGGCTCAGCCGTGTTGCTCCCAGTTTGCGGTGAGCCGGGACCAGATAAGATTGACCCCAAGGGAGAAATACAGGCATTACCGAGACTGGCTCCTACGGTCGGGCATATCAGACCTCACCAGTGGGAGAATCTTTGAGTACCTCTGGCAAGTCATCTTCGCCGACGAGAGTGTGTTCTGCCCAAGCCAACGGGCATGCTACTGTGACGGGTTCGGTGTCTGCTTTGAGACCGACAAGACGTTTGACAAGTGGTTCGAGCTGCGATATGAACGGCAGATGGCGGAGAAAGAGTTGCGTGAGTGGAAAGAGAAAGCTGAGGCAATCGAAAAGTTTCGCGACAAAGACGGAAGACTGCCCGGTATTGAAACAGGGGAGCTTCAGGTGCCAGAGATTGGGAGGAAAGAGCAGCTGGAAGCCTTGATTGAGGAAAAGAACGTGGAGCTAGAACGGAGGAGGCTGGAAGCTTTGGAGAGAGGCAGGGACCCAAGGAACAGAGCAGAGAGTGACGGGCGGCCCTGGAAAGAGGGGGACGGATTTTAGAGAGCCTTACTGTATATCTCGAGGTCGCTGGACGAAAGGGTGCATATACAGTATATATGGTGGCTAGATGATAGAATATCTTGTGCACATAGTGGAGTGGGTTATTTTCCTCTTCTAGATCAAGACTTTTCAAAGGAACAATTTCTTGTCGTCGTCCATTAATTGAGGATGGAGGACTAGGGGTTCAGAAGGAGTTGTTGGGTAGAAGTAATAACTTACAGTATATTGGGTCGCATCTCGCGTGATCCGCCACTTTCGGTCTGTCACATTATTATTATTATTACTACTGGGCTTGCGCACTCGGGGCTGCGCACTCGGGGCACGGAGGAACTTCACAGTCCAGACAAAGCAACCAGGGAACTGAACACCTTTCCGTCTTCTACGATCACACCCACGCGCCACCGTCTCTCTTCTCGACTATCTTCCCATGTGTTACTCTCTACCGATGACTGCCTTCTTACCACCTGGCTTGTGAGATTCGCGCTTGCACTCTGCCTGCGTAGTGTGGGTGGCTCGTATCGGCGATGGAATGATGGCATTACCCCGACCGCGATCAACTCACACTTGAAGAAGAAGAAGAAGCAGAAGAAGACATTGTCGGCTGCATAGCTTTTCAGCATGCCGGTGAGAATGAGAATGAGGTGGACGGCGTATGCTGGGGTATGCTACTATCACATTCTACCTGCTCATTCATCCATCCCTCCGTCGCTGACCCTCCTTCTATCACAGGTGTCTACCGCCCTCGCTGCGGGTGTCATCCTCAAAGCTCTGGCGCAGCGACCCAACTTCTACTCGGCCGCCGTTTACCTGTCGCAGTCCTCCGCCAACCTGATGATCCTGACGAACCTTCTCTTCGTCATCGCCTGCACCTTTCTGCTGGGACTCCAAAAGCTCCTCTATGGAAACCTCCGACCGATCGAGATCGAGCAGCTGTACGAAAAGGCATGGTTTGCCGTCACCGAGACGTGTCTGGCCATGACGGTGTTCCGTGGAGAGATCGGCCTCACCTTCCTCGCGATGTTCTTCTCCCTGCTGACGGGTAAAGTCTGGGGGTGGATTGGTGAAGGCCGTGTGGAAGTGCTGGAGCAACAGCCACCCCGAAACCCAAGATTGTTCCATACACGTCTGGCACTGAGCCTCGGGCTGAGCGTTGCGTTCGACTTGACAATGCTGGAATACGTCGTCAAACAAGTCATGAGAATGGCACGGCCGGACATGATGGTCATGTTCGGCTTTGAGTTCGCCGTGCTGTCCATCATGAGCATCAGTACTGCGATGAGGTATGCCATTGATCTGGTCGAGATTGGTATCGTCCGCGAGCAGAAGAGACATCGGATTGAAGAGATCAAGAGGGAGAGAATGCAAGCTGCAGTGACAGAATTCCAGCAGTCTCAGAGTGGACAAGCGGGCAGCGCACCCGCTTCTCAAGCTTTGGGAGACGCACCAACACCAACGCAACGCACCCTCGACCAAGTATCCCAAGAAGCCTTTAACCAACCAGTCGACGAGAATGAGGTGGAAGTCGAAGGTTGGGAGGATAAAGGTCGCTACATGTTCTACCTCAACCTGGCCACGGATTTCTTCAAACTCATGACTTACCTTGCTTTCTTCTTTATTCTTCTTGTATTCTACGGACTACCCATCCACATCTTGCGCGATGTGTTCTTGACGATGCGATCATTTTTGAAACGAATTTCGGACTTTATCAAATACCGAACGGCGACGAGGGACATGAATGCCCGCTATCCGGATGCCACGGCGGAGGACATTGGACGTGAGGACGTCTGCATAATATGCAGAGAAGAGATGCGCCCATATCAACCCGCCGTTGCGCAGCCAGGTCAGCCACAGCCCCGACCGAACCCTGTGGCAGAGAGGATGCGGCCCAAGAAACTCCCGTGTGGACATGTCCTACACTTTTCTTGTCTGAGAAGTTGGCTCGAGAGACAGCAGATATGTCCGACATGCAGAGCAAATGTCGTCCGAACAGGGGGGACTCGGGGTGCCAATGGAGGGGACGGTGGACAGGGCGAAGCCGGACAGGGCGAAGCCAGACAGGGAAATGGCGGACAGCATCCCCCGGCTGCGAGGCAAGGTCCACGTATATTCCAATTCGGCCCGCTGAGAATTGGTGTCGGAGCGGCTCGCGGCAACAACATGTTTGAGGAACTTCAACAGCAGCTCGCAGACGGGGTCGGTGCAGTGCCAGAAGGACAACCGGCGAACCCTGAGCCCCAGGCACCGCGACCGATAGGAGTGGGTTTGCGATGGTCGGCGAGAAGACGACGCCGAGCAGATCAGAACTTGACGTTGCAACAACAGGTTGATGCGTTGGTGGACCGCATTTCGCGTGAGGCCGATGAGTTGACCCAGTCGGCTGACGAGATCGTCCTGTTGCGGTCATTGCAACTTGAACTCGAAAGATTGAGAGGCCAGAGACCTGGGCAGAGGCACGCATCTACCGAGACCACCACTGAAAATCTAGCAGAGGGAGTCAGACTCACTTCTCAGCCGGTCGAACGCAGAACTACGCTGGTCGCAGATCAGCAGCAGGAAAATGTCCTACAAGCAGGTAGTGATAGACTTCCCGCTGGCTTGACGCTGCCGGAAGGCTGGACGATGATGCCTCTACGACTCATGTACCCTGGCCCGCACCAATCTCAGCGCCAGCACCATCACCATCAACACCACGAGCACAACCATGACCACAACCACAATCACAACCTCAACCTCAACCTTAACCAAGGTCCATTGACAAACTTTGGTCAGCCGCGGCCACAAGCATACGGAATGCCGCCTCCTTTCGGTGGCCCTTCTCCTCTTCAACATCTTCCACAGTTGCAGAGGCAGCCCGCTGCCAGCACGGCAAGCACAGGTCAGACAGGCTCTCTTCAGACCAATGGGGTGCCGCCTGCCGCACCTGTTCCTCAAGGTCAACAACAACAGCAACCAGCAGCAGCACCCCCATCCGCAAATGAGCATCTAGATGACATGCGAACTCCGGGATCATTTCGAGGCCCTTTTCAACCTCCCGAAAATGTCTTCCACTATCGAAGCTCGCCGTGGAGTGGAGCGAATATGAGCGCCCAGGTCACCCAACAACGCGGCCCAAACAGTTCGACTTTGACGACCACCAGTGCAAATGGCGCTTTGTCTCCAAGCACATTGCCTACAACAGCTGCAGGAAACACGATCCATGATGTGAGCGAAGCCGGCCATTCTTTACCTTCTTGGGGATCGACGGTCGCCGAGCCTGCAAACAGTGTCGTGAGCGACAGCAACGGCAGTGCTGGGCCGTCCACGCTGCAAGTCAATGGCAGTCATGATCACGCCGCAGAGAATGGGGAAGCAGACGGACCACCCCCTACCACATCTCAACCCAAGGACAAACAGGCGAGAGTGGAAGATGCGGCAGAGGATCTGGATCCGGATTGAAACCCATTCGGCATTGTGTCTCTAGTGAGAAAGGAAGAAAACGTAGCCTTGTATCGTATTGAATAATTCAGTGAGCCATGCGTCCCAAGACAGGCGGTCACAGCATAGCGATGGAGTATTCTCATCACCACAATGAACCATGTCGCAGCTGGAGATTCAGCTGCCTACTTGTACTTGAAACACGAAGGACCCTGCTCGGATGAAGGTGCATCTGTATCAGACTGTAAGGGGGAAAGGAGACGGCGGAGCCAAACCGAGTACTGCGTAGTGGGTGAGCATCGATTGGTTGGTTGCGTAGAGTTCAATGGATACGAGCAAGTCAGCATCCGTGGAGATCTAAGAAATGTGGTTCTCGCTGTTCTTTCTGGTGCCTCCTTTTTGTGACTTGTTTCATGGTGCTGGGACAACAAGGCCCCCATGCAGGGCGACAGGGCGTCCCTGATGATGATCGTCCAGTTCAAAGGCGCGACTGTCGCCAATTGACCCGCTTCTGCCTATCGATAGGAGTTCAACTGCTGCGCCTCCCCTGCCTGGGTGGACTCCCTGCAGATCGATTGTTTTCGACGGACATACGATGTTGGTTTGACCATGCCATGATGCATGTGTTGTAATGTAACACTTCGACATCAAGGGAATCGCAAGCCCAATCGTTCCAGAACTTCACACGCTCTTTCCTCGCAGAACCTACCGAATCTTCAGTACCTTCCCCAAAATCCTGTTTGGTTCGAGGTCACTGTCCGTGACACGCAATACAAACTCTCTCATTCAACTCCTCACATCGACGGAGTCCGGTGGCAGGATCTCAGATCTCCTGCTCTGAGTCCACCTCCTTGCAGAGCCCCTTCGAAGGCACACTCTCTTTTCCCACCGTCTCGATCGTTTTATCTTCGCTCTTTGTTTACACATTCTCTCTATCGACCCAGATCCATATCCGGCTTCCTTACCACAAAGCGACGACTCCTAGAATACATGAATCGAGCACTGCGGTGAAAAAGGATTGAAGAGCAGGTTGAGAAGCGGCCACCAAAAGTAACGACCAGGAAAAGCCAACTCGGTTCAGGCCATACCGCCACCACAATGGGGGCATCAAGGATATTTGGTCGGCAGATCAGTGACAGTGACGATACCGCTGGCGATGACAGCGAAAATGGGTACTGGTGGTACTCTCCTGTAAGTTGATCTCGCTGAGCAACACTTCTTGCAATGCGTGGGATTGAAACTCAACCTCTCCCTTGACATCCTTGAAAAATATGTTGGTTCCGGACTGACCGTGATTACAGACGGCCGATGCCATCAAGTGGGCAGTGGTCGCAGCTATCCTCCTGGCCTTCTCCTTCTACTTCCTGGCAGGACACTTGCATGCTAAGCGGAGGATGCAGAAGGGCTTGCCGCCTCTCCCTTATCATCGGGTACGTTTAAAGATATCCGAGTGGCCATCTCATGTCTGCGGCAACTCGGCAGACATGTTCTATGTCCTGAACAATGCACTAATGTCATACAGTGGCTCGTTTCACGCCGTCAAAAGGTAGCGTTCCTGCAACAACACCCACAGTATGCAAATCAGTTCGCCTTCTACCGCGCACAGCAAGAACGTGTGGGCCCATACGGCTACTCGTGTACTCCCGGGTCTGGACAGGCTTTTCAGATGGGTGGAATGTACGGGCCGCCTCCACCTGCGTATCACGAACCTGAGTACGTCCCGGCATACACTCCTCCGCAAGAGAATGGATCGAACAAAGTCAACCCGGATCAACGCTTCGAGCCTCCAAACGGGCCTCCTCCGTCCCCTGCCAACGCGGCAGCGGAACCGACTCAGCCTGAGCCGGCAAGAGTTGCACCTTGAGGGGAGCAACCGCAACTTGCAACAAGCCAGGTCGCTTCTCACCACTCACCGCCACATACTCCTAGCCGGCAATCGATCTAGGCTGAGGTATCGTGTTTGCACGATATCGCCCCCTGCCCCTAGGATGACAGGGGCTTGATGGAACATCACGTTCAGCACCGTGTATGATGGTTGCCTATCACAGCTTGCAGGATACCGTACATGCATGCTTACGCTGCGGAAGCACAGAGGCTCACGAGGTCAGCCAGGATGCAGAGCTCACAATTAGATCGCGCTCCGTCAGAAGACATGGGGAAGACTAATTTTGTATCACACCAATGTGCATAGCTACCGGGTTGTACCCCAAATGACCAGGGCTTTTCAGACTCAGCGTCAAGGGGTTGGCGCAGAACATTGTCGCACCATAAGAGGCCCGAATGCAATGCAGATAGCGTTCTAAAAGTTGTGCTTCAACTATCATCAGAGGGACTTGGAGGGTTTCCCCCGCAGACGCTATTCTATTTCCATTGCATCTAGATCGTCATCCACCACTGGATTGTCCGTCATCGCGTCGTCCCATTCTACACTGTTTTGGCCGAGTTGCAAAGCCCTGGCCTCGGCCTCCCTCCTTTCCTTTTCTCTCTGTTCCTCTGCCGTCTTCTCCCTCGCCCTTCGTCTCGCCTCGATGATAGTCTTCCGGACGACATCCTCCTCCTCCGGCACGGATATGCTACTCGGATCTCGGTATAACACCAACGCCGTATTTAGATTCTCGGGTGGCAGCCCCGTGGCTTGGGGGAGTCGGTCGTGATTTTGGGGCCGGAGTAGCTTCTGTGGCACCCGGGATACCTTTCTGTCTATGTCCGGGAGGAAGATTGTGGCATTGTGCGCGGCTTCCTCGGCTTCGATTTGGGCAATTTCTGACTCGAGATCGTGGATAATTATCCGATGAGGGGCGTCGTCGATGGTCATGAAGTCAGCGTCCGGGAGGGTTGGTAACCTCATAGGCGCCTGGGGCACGGGTGTAGGATGGGGCGCAGGGGGCGGCCCTTGATCATATTGAACAATAGGCGTGGGGAGAGGTAGGCCAGGTCGAGCGTCGGTGTTGGCGATGTGCGGACGCCACGAGACGGTCGAAGGACTCGACGGCGGGCTCAGCCGGATCTGTTGAGCCTGCGAGGGCGACGAAGGCGCGAGTGAAGGAGGAGGGAACGTGGGAGGTGGTGCATACTGGTGTAATCCTACATTGCTGTGGCTGTTGCCTTGATTTAGGCGGAGTTTCTTGAAATGCGACGAGATGTTGGATTGCGACTCGAGTTCGTCTTCGGCCCTGCGCTTGCCGTGAGTGAGCAGGTTGCCGCGATGTTGATTCGCAAGCGACGGGTGCCATTCTGCTGTGGCGGGCGCAAACTGGGCCATTGGTTGTGTGTGAGGAGGTGGTGACGCTGGTGGTTCAGGTCGGTCGGTCGGTGGACGGTGTCGCGGAAGTACGTATGTAGAAGGAGTGGTGGTAGTCGTAGGCAGACGGGAGGGGCCCTTTTTCTCCGAAGATTGGCCTGGCTTGCACCTTTGGAATTTCCCCCTTTCCTGTTTACTGTGTTGTGTACTTCTTTGCTTTCTCGCTTGCTCACTTCTCTCTGACGCGGCGGACACAGCTCGCTTCGCGGTTTGGGACGTGGTTTGACGTTGTGTGAAGGGTGAGGAATAACAGCGTCATTATCATTTGTGGAAGTTCCATTGATTGATGATTCGAAAGCAATAAAAAGCGTCTCACCGGGGGGGTCGGCGTGCGGGCTGGAAGCTACGAGAACTAAGTACATAGGTCGGTTGGAGGCGATGGAATGCGGAGCTCAAGTGCGATTATCCGGAGTGCGGGCTGCTGCACCGCCATTGCTAACTGCGCCCGCCGCCGCTTGACTCACAACTCCAACAACACTCAATTCACCAAGAAATTTTCCGTGGTGGTTCCTTCACGACTACTCGTTGGCAGCCGCCAGCAACGACGTGGTTCTACAGTGGACTGTCTTCTACCAACAGCAACACCAACAGCAGCAAGTCGGTCGTTGAATTGTCACACTTCTTCCACCTGGTGCTGTATCTCGACTGTGCGGCGGCACACGACCTCGACAATGGCTCTGTCCACATCCACCCACGAGTGGTCCGCTCCCAAAGTCCGAGACACCTTTCTCAAGTATTTTGAGGATCGAGGACATACATTCGGTCGGTAACTCCAGGCCTATTGATTTATCTATCCCTTTGCGCCTTTTGCGATTGTCCTTTCCACTGACTTTTGCGGCAAAACCCCCCAGTCAAATCCTCTCCCGTGGTTCCACTTTCGGATCCTACCCTTCTCTTCACCAATGCGGGCATGAATCAATTCAAACCGATCTTCCTCGGCACGGTCGATCCCTCGAGCAAAGAAGGCCAGTACAAGCGGGTGGTCAATTCGCAGAAGTGCATACGTGCGGGCGGGAAACACAATGACCTCGACGACGTCGGCAAGGACAGCTACCACCACACCTTTTTTGAGATGTTGGGCAACTGGTCGTTCGGCGATTACTTCAAGAAGGAGGCCATCATGTTCTCGTGGGAGCTGTTGACAGACGTGTTCGGGCTGGCCCCGGATCGGCTGTATGTCACCTACTTTGAAGGGAACGAAGCCGGCGGTCTGGAGCCGGATCTGGAGGCCAAGGAGATCTGGAAGAGTGTCGGGGTGCCCGAGGACCATATACTGCCTGGGAACATGAAGGATAACTTCTGGGAAATGGGCGACCAGGGACCGTGCGGCCCGTGTTCCGAGATTCACTACGATCGAATCGGCGGTCGCAATGCTGCCAGTCTCGTCAATCAGGATGACCCCAACGTGTTGGAGATATGGAACAACGTCTTTATTCAATACAACCGAGAACCGGACAAGAGCTTGCGACCGCTCCCGAACAAGCACGTCGACACGGGTATGGGGTTTGAACGGCTGGTCAGTGTCCTGCAAAACAAAATGTCCAACTACGACACCGACGTTTTCACTCCAATATTCGCGCGGATTCAGGAAGTCACCGGGGCGAGACCCTACTCGGGAAAGTTCGGGGAGGAGGACGTCGACGGGATTGATACTGCGTACAGGGTTGTGGCAGATCATGTACGGACGCTGACCTTCGCCATCAGTGACGGCGGCATTCCCAACAATGAAGGCAGAGGATATGTGGTGCGACGAGTATTGAGACGGGGTGCGCGATACGCCCGGAAATACTTCAATGTCGAAATCGGCGACTTCTTCTCGAAGATCGTGCCTACCCTGGTGGAGCAGATGGGTGGTATGTTCAAGGAGATCGTCGCGAAAGCAGACGAGGTCAAGGAGATTCTCAACGAGGAAGAGCTCTCCTTCGCCAAGACCTTGGATCGCGGGGAGCGGCAATTCGAGGTGTACGCCCAGAAAAGCCAGGTGCAGGGGCTCAAGAAGCTGCATGGCGCAGATGTTTGGCGACTGTACGACACATTCGGGTTCCCGGTTGATCTTACCCGCCTCATGGCCGAGGAACGAAACCTTTCGATCGACGACAACGAGTTCGAGGCCGCGAGATTGGCCGCCAAAGAAGCCAGTAAGGGCCAGAAGAAAGCGGCCAGCGATGTCCTCAAGCTGGACGTGCACGATCTGGGCCAACTCGAGAAAATGCCCGGTGTGACCAAAACAGATGACAGCGCCAAGTACGGCAGGGACAATATCACCAGCACGATCCAGGCGATATATCACGCGAAGAAGTTCCATTCCGACACCAAAAATATTCCCCAGGATGACCAGGTCGGTATTATCCTCGATCAAACCTGTTTCTACGCGGAACAGGGTGGTCAGGAGTTTGATACCGGTCGGATCGTCATCGATGGACAAGCCGAGCTCGAGGTGGAGAATGTTCAGCTGTACGCCGGCTACGTGTTACACACGGGTTACATGAAGTACGGCCACTTCTCGGTGGGGGACAAGGCAATCTCTGAGTATGACGAACTGAGGAGGTGGCCCATTCGGAACAACCACACTGGCACACACATTCTCAATTTTGCGCTGAGGGAGGTTCTGGGTGACGGTGTCGAACAAAGGGGCTCGTTGGTGGCTCAGGAGAAGTTGAGATTCGATTTTAGTCACAAAGCGGGTGTCTCCGACGCTGATCTGCAGAAGATCGAGGACATATCGACAGAGTATATCCGGCAGAACTGCCCCGTATACGCCAAGAATGTGCCTTTGTCCATTGCCCGTGAGATTGCAGGTGTCCGAGCCGTGTTTGGCGAGACCTACCCTGATCCGGTTCGGGTCGTGTCGGTGGGAGTCGAGGTCGACGATATCCTAAAAAATGTCAAGGATGAGAGATGGAAAACGGTCAGCATCGAGTTCTGTGGTGGCACCCACGTCCGAAGCACGGGCGACATCAAGGACCTCATCATCCTGGAAGAAAGCGGCATTGCCAAAGGCATCAGGAGAATTATCGCGGTCACCGGCGAGGATGCGCATGAAGTTCAACGCGTGGCGGAAGATTTCTCTACCAAACTCGACAAGCTCGAGAAGATGCCGTTCGGGTCGCCAAAGGAACAAGAAGCAAAGGCCGTCCAGCTTGAACTCAACAACCTATCAATATCGGCGGTGAGAAAATCGCAGTTCCGAGAGCGCTTCGCCAAGATCAGCAAAGAGATTCTCGATCAGCAGAAAAAGTTACAGAAAGAGGAGACCAAGAAGGCCATCGACACAATAACGGAATACTTTGAGAAGAACCCCAAAGCCCAAGGGGCGGTTCTCAGGCTACCGATTGGGGGGAACCCCAAAATTGTGCCCGATGTGGTCAAGCATGTCCAGACGAAGATGAAGGACAAGAGTGTGTATATCATCGTGGCGGATGAGAAGGACCCTGAAGGCAAGGTCTACCATGGGTGTTTTGTCGGTCAGGTAGGTTTTATTTCCCGTGAAGAATACAGGAATCGTTCAGCTGACGGTGAACCCCACAGAACGGCGCAAAGGCCGGCATGAAATCTCCGGAATGGTCGTCAACGGTGTCGAAGCTGGTTGGCGGCAAGGCTGGCGGAAAGGAGCCAGTTGCCATCGGTACCGGGACGGAACTGTCAAAGACCGACGAGGCGTTGAAGGCCGCAACGGATTATTTGGAGAAGTTCAAGCTATGATTGCGTCTGCTATGCATCGCAGAGGCCTGGCTCGGAATCTTTTTGGCCCTATATGCGCTGGATTTGAGGGCATCATTGGCTGCGCAAGTGTTGATTGATACATGTCACTTCACGGAGCACATGTAGGCATCAGATGGATACCCCTGGTGACTGGTGATAAATGCAAAATACAACAACCTCGTTGTTTCTCCTTGAGCATGGTTTCGGACCGTCCAATAAGGGTGCAGGACGGGCAATGCTCCCGTGTCCAATGAGCAGCCAGGATGGTGGTCCCGATTCGGCAATATGACGAATGAGGGACCAAATGACGTTCGCGTGATGTCGATGTCGATGCCGAGTTCGTCAACGAGCAAAATAAAGGGCCAACAGACCCCTTCCTGGCGAGTTTGTTGCTTGTTCTTGAAGCCGGTGTACGCACGCATGTCACAGCCCTGATCCACCACCGTAGGGAGATAGATGCAAAGTGTGCCCTCTTCCACGACGCCTCTTCCGCCTCCTCCACCATTGAGCGTCTGATATTTTGACATAACGACCCAAGTCCATATCACTACCCCGTCTCCCGCTCCACCACCGCCATCGTCATCATCGCCACCCAGCTCTGTGACGACTCCGGGCGTTCTCGACACCTCACTAACTATACTATACCTCCGGCATCGAACCAACCAAACAACCAACCAACCAGCCAGCCAGCCAACCCTCTTCCCCCTAGCAAAACATGACGCACACCATCCCGGGCGGCTGCTACTGCGGCGCGATCCGGTACGAAATCACCCTGGCCGACCCGGCGAACGAGGCGCGCACGTCGCTGTGCCACTGCGGCAACTGCAAGAAGTTCACGGGCGGCAGCTTCGGCATCACCAGCAAGATCCCGCGGGACAGTTACCGCGTCACGCAGGGCCGGGACGCCGTCCAGGTCCACGAGGCTGACAACGGCGCCGGGACGGTCTTGCACCGCGAGTTTTGCAAAGTGTGTGGCAGCGGGTTGTTGGAGTACGGTGTGAGTATTTCCAGAGCATTAGCATTACTGCACAGTAGCGAGAGGAGGAGTTGGTGGTGACCTCAATAAACCACCCTACCGACTTACTCACCGACGACTATGAACTTCTGATTGCCCGTTTTTCTTTTTCCCATGCCTATTCCCTTTCCCAGCCCCTTCAGCCCACCCCAGCCTCTCTCAAACCCATGACCATCACCCAGTAACGGACCCGTGCTAACACAGACACAAAAATTGGCCAGGCCAACGCCGGCGACTTCGTCTACGTCTTCTACGGCACGCTCGACCACCCGACCGACCTGCCGCCCAAGGGCGAGTTCTTCACCAGCCGGCGGGATCCGTGGATGCCCGAGGTCCCTGGTACGTTCTCTATCTGCCTGTCTGCCTGTGTTTCAATTCTCATAGCGAACATGTTGGAGCTTCGCGATCTCCTTGGAGGAAATGAAATAGGGCTAACAACGCTATACGTGCGCGCACACAGGGTTGTTCCAGAAGAAGAAAATCAAGGAGTAGACAGAGGTGGATGGATGCATGAGCGAGACAGATCAGAGATGTCGACAGGAAGGCATTGTGGTTTGGAGCACTTGAGCTATTCGGGACGCGGGCACGAGAGATGTGATTTTGCATATGCATGCTGCTACAGTGAATACTCGACACAGGTCAGTTTGTTTGTCTGGGGTTGTGCAGCTCAGGGCAATGTGTGCCAACCACATCAGACCCGTGTCGTGAATGGGGGATGTCGAGTTGGAAGGGAAGGTTCACTCGGGAGGCATTGGGTCCGTAAGTACCTACATAGCCAAAACCATTCCACAAAGTTTCCGTGTGGATGGACGTCGCGCGGAGAAAGTCGACACCTTGTTGGGTTTCTCTGTGTGCCATTTCGGCGTTTTCATGATCAGAAAGGAGCCCGCAATATACCACCATCTCGATATCAATGTCGATACTCAATTTCCTAGCCAGTGTGTCAATCACTGGTCAGTGACTTCCACCATCAAGATAAATAGACCCTAGTTGTGTTTCAACCTCCATTGTGGTGGTACACCTGTACTCGGTACAAACCCTGCTATGGAACGCCATCATGCGATCCAACCTGTGTATCTATCCATTTGGTCGGCCGTTTCTTCCATAGATACTTGTTCATCGCTGTCTGCGTGAGGAAACTAGCCGGGTGCTCTTGGTCCATCTGTTTAGTCCATCCACATATCCTCATCACTATCACCGTCCAACGACCGGAAATTGCGATCAACCCAATGCTGCACCTCCGATCGGAACTGCGAAGCACATCGCCGCGCACACGGACCACCACACGGCCTGTCGACGAGGTTATGGTGGACAATGCGGAATTCATGCACGTGGCCCGGCACCTGCCACGACTGGCGGATCTGATACTGCGGCTGCATCTTACGATCGTCCCAGAGCAGATGGACGACGATCGATGCGTGCGGCAGTCGGATGTGGTGGCGGGTGAAGGGTCGGTCCTGCTTGACTTCCAGGGACGTGACGTATTCCTTTGCGGGCGCGGCGGGGTTGCCGGGCTCGGGCTGCAAGTCGGTCACGACGACGAGGCAAAGGTAGCGGGCGGTGGCGGTGTAGCTGAGCGCGCCGCTATCGGTTTCGGTGGGCTCTTCGTCGGAGAGGTCAACGTCGTCGTCCCTTTCATATAATCCATTGATTTCTGCTTCGTCGCCGGAGCTGGCAGCGCCGTCATCATCCGGTTCGTATGCGTCGTCGTAGGAGGTGGACCTGTCATCTGCTTCGTCCGAGTCATATGCTGGCTCTGACTCGTCCTCGTCGGCCTCAGCGACGAATCTCCAAGTGTGTCCTGTTGCTGCTGCTGAGGAGGCAACAGGATCTTCAACGACATCAGCTACGTCGGAGAAACTGACGCGTCCGAGATCCTGATCTGTGGTGATATCGCCATCTTCAGTAAAAGAGATGCCCAGCGCGGACAGGTACGCACCCGCGTTGGCTGGGGAGATGAAACGAGGCGCCATCAGGGTTGACGAAGGGTGAGGCTGGCGTTGATGTTGGGCAACATGGGGAAATGAGGAGACGCTGGTGCTGGCGAGGTCGGTCGCCATTATTTCTGAGGCTGTTTTTTGGAATGACTGGGCCGGGGGTGTTGTTGATGGGAAGCTATGCTCGAGAGTGTGCATACGCTATCCTTCTGGGTATTGCCTCTCATCTTTATGCTCCTCTGGCATTTGAAAAGGTTTTGCCCGTAGTGGTTCAGGACGAGGACCTACCTCGTGAACGCCTACCTCGTGAGGACCTACCTTGTGAGGACCTTTTGAAAACGTGCTCAAACATCATGTTTCAGACAATCCTTGAGGGCATTCTGGGCGAGGACCTCGCAGTCTGCTTCGACAAGCAAGTAAGAGTCACTATGTTAGTGTGTTCTAAGGTTTGCATGTCTGGGTTGAGGAAGTCTTGTTGACGGCGTGATTGTATGCCGTGGTAGAAGGGCGACGGTCCATCTTGGCGAAGCACTCTCATTACCTGTAGTGTAGCTCGTACACAAAGAAGCGATCACAGGCTCAAGAAATGGGCCCAACATGTCTATCCAGATGTGACGTTTGGGATCAGCATATGCAGTGTGAGGATGTGCAGAGAGATACGAAGTCCTCATACAGGCACGTGACTGGTAATAGACTTCTGCCCCTGCCAAGATTAACTAGCCACATGCGCAATAGCGTCTTGGCATTATCTTGGCGTTGTGAGGTAATCGCGACGACTAGCCGAGGCTCATCAGGCTCGATATTCTGGGGAAGGAAAAAGGGGATCGGCCGAAGTAATTATTAGTGATCCAGATGTGCCATGGCGTGCTTGTCTCATCACATACGGCCATAATCAATGAACTTATATATGTGTATCTCTCTTGACCAGCTGAGGTCCCGGAAGACCCGTTTGTATCTTGGACGAGCTCAAATTTCAAGATGAACCCCGACAACAAAGAGGTCTGCCTCATCATTGGCGCGTCCAGGGGCATTGGCCGGCAAGTCGCCATCGACCTCGCCAAACATGGCTACTTTGGTAAGTCAGATGAAAGAACCTACAATCGTGGATGACATTTCAGCCCTAACTCGGAATCCCACAGCCGTCGTCGCCGCCAAAACCACGTCCGACGCCAGTGCCATCCCGGCCTCGTCGTTTCCGCCCGATCCGAACTCGTCTGCGTCGACCATAAACACGGTCGCCCGCGAGATCACCGAGGCCGGCGGCTCCGCACTCGCGCTGCCCGTCGACGTGCGGGACGTGGACAACGTCAAGGACTTAGTCGACGAGGTCGCCCGCCGCCTGGGCCGGCTGGACGTGCTGATCTACAACTCCGGTGCCATCTGGTGGTCCGCCATCGAGACCACCCCGGTCAAGCGCTTCATGCTGCTCCAGCAGGTCAACCCGCAAGGGTTGTACGCGGCCGTGTCAGCGGCGCTGCCTCACTTTGGGGAACAGGGCTGGAAGGGACGCATCATCGTGGTGTCGCCGCCCATCTATTCGCGCTTCTTCCGGGGCAAGACCGCCTACGCCATCGGCAAGGTGGGTATGAGCGTCTTGACCAAGGGTTTGGCTATGGATTTTGTGAGGCAAGGACGGAAAGAGATGGCCATCACGAGCATCTGGCCTGCCGCGGTATGTCGCGTCATTGTTTTGCGGTTGAAAAGCAGCAGTGGACTAACCCGTAGGCAGTCCATCGAATCAGCAGCGACTCAAGACTCAGTGAAGCGAGACCCAGAACTCGTCAAGGATCTCAGAAAGGCTGTAAGTTTGTTTTCCCGCCACCCAACCCCCACAGTATACTTTGTCAAACATCACATGCTAACCGAACTCACCTCCTCTTGCTATACAGACCATCTACTCTGACGCCATCCTGGCAATGCTGCGATCGCCCGCCGAGGAAGTCAATGGCCTGCTCGACCTGGACGAAGACTTCCTGCGCAAGAAAGGCGTGACGGACTTCTCGCAGTACAGCCTCGTGCCGGGCGCCACACCCCGCCGCATCATGCCCGCGGAATTCCCCGTCTTGGAGGTTGCTGAGCAGGACGACGAAGGGAGGCGGGTCGACAGCGTGGTTCTGCGGCAGGGGAGGGAAGATAAGGCGAGCAGCAAATTGTAATACTAGTGTCTGTCTGACCGGTAACGGATTCATGTGATGCTATACATTGTTTCTTCATTTTCAGGAAGCATTCTGCAACCACTCACTCAGTACTGATATCGCCTAGGACCGCCAATACCGGGCGGACTTACGCGAAAGCTTCTCGAAGTACTTACAAAACTGTGAATAGCCATGGCCATAACTGCCCACGTCGAGATATCCGCCATTGTCCCTCGTTGCCGACTTTCGAGGTCCCACGAAGGTAAGAGATTCGCTGACTATCCTCACTTACGGGCCCCTCGGTGCCGAATCTGACGCTGCGGCAGCATCATCCAGTTTCTCGAGGAGACAATTGCAGCATTCGAGCTCCAATTTGGACACACCGACAAAGCAGGCGACAGCTCGATATGTACTCCAGGTAACCGGGATCATGGGGCCGGGGCTCGACGCAATCCCACCACTGCAGATGGATGCATCACCGATCAGCGTGCGGCTTGAATCCTGCCAAGGTGACGGACAGCGCGCTGGTCTACGAGACATCCTGAAAAACAGAGCCAAAGTGCTCTTTGACACGTATGTCGATCGGATTCTCCCGCAGTATCACCTACTTCCTCGAGAACGACCTCTGCCGGCAGTTCGCCCTGATCTACGACGAGTTGGCTGCTGCAGCCCCTCATGAGGCATACTTTGGGGTTACCGTGGCTTTTGCCATGGCGTCTTCAATCCGCAAGGCCTCCAAACTCTTTAACGTGCTGTCCATGGCCGAACCATTGCGCCAAGACGCCCTCAGGCACGACCAGTTTCTAAAGGATTCTGAATATCTTTGAGATCGATGTATTGCATCTTGCTCCTGCAACCAATTTGCAGCCGTGCTCCCATATACGGGTCACCTATCACACCTCGTGGGAGAAGCCATGCGAGTTTCTTGAGCTCCGGAGGGGGAAGGAATCGAGCGGAATTGCCCGAGTTTGTGGAGGACGAAAAAGTGGGACGGCGTTCTGCGAGTGCCTTCTAAATGAAGTTAGGCAGCATATTCCTCCCCGTAAGCCGAATGTGTTATCATGATACTGGGGAGCGGCGGAGGGACAACAGCGTGAACTTCTCATACCCCTGCTTCGAACTGTTGTTGAGTTGGGAAGTCAAATCTATCCGAGTACACCAGCCTGCAGCACCGAAGGTAGACAGGGTATCTGGAGAAATACACTGGTAGGATACAGAGACGCACATCTATCTTTGTCATGGCGGCCACCACCACCACCAGCCTCCCCCAAATCACGGGCAAATCGACCAAAGAGGTCAAGATCCTCCTCGTCAACCCGAACGGCACCAGGTTCATGACCGAGAACTGCCTGCAATCCCTGGCCAACAGCCTGCCGGTCAACGTCACGGTCACGGGCTTCACGTCGCCTCGTCCAGCCCCCTCGGCCATCGAGGGATACCTGGACGCGGCCATCTCGACGGACGCGGCGACGCGCGCCATCGTCCCGATCGCACACCAATTCGATGCGTTCCTGGTGGCCTGCTTCAGCGCCCACCCGCTGATCGACGCCCTGCGCGAGGAGGTGCCGGGCCCCGTGATCGGCATCATGGAGGCGTCGCTGTACACGGCGCGGATGCTCGGGGGCCGGTTCGGCGTGGTGGGCAACAACGTCAAGACCCAGCGCATGCTGGAGAACGCCGTGCGGAACTACGGCCTGGACTTCTTCTCCGTGGGCTGCGAGCCCGTCGGCCTGGGCGTGCTGGAGCTGGAGTCCCGCCCCCAGAGCGAGGTGCTGCAGAGCATGGGCCACGCGGCAGTCCGGCTGAAGGACAAGGGCGCGGATTGCGTGCTGTTGGGGTGTGCGGGCATGACGGAGATGAAGGCCCGATGTGAACACGACGTGGGCGACGAGGTGGCCGTCATTGACGGCGTGACCATGGGGGTGCACCTGCTCGTGGGCATCGTGCGAGAGGGCCTCAAGACGCCTCGGGCGGGTCTCTACATGGGTTCGAAGGCGGCGAGAGCAGCACGCGGACAGGATTGGATGTAGGCCGAGAGCAGCTTATAGACGTCGTTTCAAGATGAATATGAGAGATGAACAACTAGAGATGATTCAAGAAATCTTCTACCCGTTCCATTCTCGGACATCTATTTCTGAGCGTGAAAGGGAATAGACGAGGCGGATAAGGAGAGGTTGGATATCTCCATCTTCACTCCCCCAGGTAGTGAGCAGCTTCAATTAGTTAGGCAATCCCTCACTCTGTGACAGGAAAGGAGGTTCGACGACCCCCGTCTGGCTCGAGATGATTCCGTAGGTCTCGATGCGTCGATGTCTGTGGAAGTCGAACAGCTTTTACAAAATCTCAGCACACGCTATATATATATATATATTTTCAGAACGAGGTGGAGAGGGGGTTCGATTACATACCTTTTCTTTGCCCTGACGTGCCTCTTCCAAGTCGATTTCCGCCACGACGACCTCGTCGTCCGTTGTCTTTGCTTCAGCTCTAATGTGTCCCTCCGAGTCGATGATGCAGCTGCCCCCAATCAGCGGCCATTTCCCGTCGTCACGCCCGGCTCGGGCGGCGGCCACGGAGAAACAGCTGTTCATGTAACTGTTGGCCTTGAGCACGAGGTGGTGATGGTACAGTGCTTCCCTTTCGCCCTCCTCCTCCGTCTTGGGACCCAGCGAGCTGACCAGGTCGGGACTGAACGACGGCGTGTTGTAGCCGATCAGGACGACTTCGACGCCCTGCAGCCCGTAACACCGCCACGACTCCGGCCACCGTCGGTCGTTGCAGATCATCATGGCCATGATCGGGTCGCCCTTCCCTTCCAGCTCCCGTGAGGGGGGGCCACCTGCTGTTTCCTTCTTCAACGCGTCTGGAAGCAGGCCCGGCACGCGGAAGGCCTGGAATCCGAGGTCGCCGGGCGCGAAGTACCTTTTTTCCAACTGGTTGATGGCGTCGGGGTTGGGAAAGGGCTCGAACGTGCCCGGGATGTGCGTCTTGCGGTATTTGCTCACAATCCGGCCCTGGGACCCGGAATAGTAGATGCAGGAGTTGAAGCCCTTGCCTTCCGGGGTGCGCTCGGCGAAACCGACCGAGACGTCCACGCCCAGCCGGTGGGCTTCGTCCAGCAGCACCTTCAAGTTGGGCGATTGGGCCAGATCGGCGCCGTGCTCGAAGAACGAATCGAGCTTTTCCTTGTCGTCGATCAGAAACCGGGGGAAGAAGGTCGTGAGGGCTGTCTCGGGAAACAGCACCACCTGTGCTCCTTTGGACACGGCGTCTCCCAACAACACCACCATCCGGTCGATCACGGCCTGCCGGGGGGTGTCGATGTGTATCGGCCCCAGCTGGGCAGCTGCAACGGTTATTTTACGAGGCATACTGTCGATTGTATCCCGCGATACACTGGTGATAGATAGGTTGGGCACCAGACTGCTCGGGGAGGTTAACAATGCACCGGTTATGCCGTAGGAAAGACCCAACAGCAACCGCCATGGGTCCTGAAGCGACAGAAGAAGTTTGATTCCTCTAATTGCCTCCAGCAGCGGCAGTGGTAGGCGCAATCGTCCTCTCGTGGGTCTCGTATATGTCCGCTCGATCGATGCGGTCTTGAGCGCCAGTGTCTCGACTTCCAAGACTTCGACAAGATCGCCTACAAAGCATATCCATCTATTGCTATTCGACGGTTTGGACTGTCTCGCGCGCGGGGCCAGCGCTAGTAACGGCCCAGGTCTAGTGAGGTGAGGCGCGCAAATGCGATGGAAAGGAGATATGATATCTCGCACCCGATGCTGGGCCGATGTGGTCTGGAACTTGTCGACTGGACCAGCACAGAGCTCCTGGCAGGTGCTATTGATTGATCGACCTGATTTCGAATTGGCCTGCCCTCTGACCTTGTTGCGATTGCTTGACCTGTGCTTGAGATACACAGGTCGAGCAAACTGGGGCAGAAAACCACCCACACAATGGAATTCGATCTGATCGTGCGCAATGGGGTCATTGTAAGCCTCCGCAGAATATCGACCTCAACCCTCCTCTGACTGATCCCGCCAGGCCAATGCATCCGACATCGTACGCGGCCAGGATATCGGGATCAAAGACGGTGTCATCACCTGTATCGGCAAATCCTTGCCTGTTCAGCCATCGACCCGGATCATAGATGCCGAGGGCGCCTACGTGACACCCGGCGGTGTCGACTCCCACGTGCATCTCGACCAGGCCGAGATCGTGACGGGCGACACGTGGCTGACGGGGACCCGCAGCGCCGTCTGTGGCGGGACGACGACGGTTATCTGCTTTGCCTCGCAAGCCCGCCACGAGACGCAGGTGCTCCCGGCGGTGGAAGCGTACGCGACGCTCGCGAGGGGCCAGACCTTCTGCGACTACGGGTTCCACCTGGTCCTGACGAACCCAACCAAGAAAGTCCTCGAGGAGGAGCTGCCCGTCTTGGTCCACGAGCACGGCGTCACCAGCGTCAAGCTGTACATGACCTACAGGCCCATGATCCTCCGCGACAGTGAGATCCTTCAGCTTATGACGGCCACGCGGCGGCTCGGCATGACGACCATGATCCACGCCGAGAATCACGATATGATCGAGTTGTAAGTAGGATCTTTGTGGACAGCAAGCGTTGCATTGTCGACTGAGCATGTCTGCTGTAGTATTATCGAGTCCCTCGAGCAGCAAGGGCTGACGGACCCCTATTTCCACGCCGTCTCTCGTCCGGCCATTGCGGAAGGGGAAGCGACGGTGGGTTTCCATCCCATCCTGCGAAGTATCGAGCTCATCGCAGGACTCACTTACCCCGAATAGTTCCGTGCCATTTCGCTGTCCGAATTGATGGACACGCCCATTCTCCTGGTTCATGTGTCTGCACCGCAAGCCGCGAAGCACATCCGGGAAGCCCAGACCCGACTGCTCCCCGTGTACGGCGAGACATGTCCCCAGTATCTCTGGCTGCTGTCCGAGAAGCTCAAGGGCGAGCAATTCGAAGGTGCGCGACTCGACCTGTTTCATGTCAATGCTGATGCTGATGGAATAATACTCGCGTCAGGGGCCAAATATGTGTGCTCTCCGCCTATTCGGGACCGGCCCGAGGAGACGGACGCGTTGTGGGATGGCATCGCGAACAGCACATTCACCACCTTCTCCTCGGATCATGCCGCCACCAAGTCAGTTTTCTTCCGAAAGCTCGTATCTTCGCGTCCACTGCTAAGTGAAAGAATGATAGATTCCACGTCCACGGAACCGGCAAGCGCCTTGGGCTCATCGACGGAAAACCGTTGTTCGCGAAGATCCCAAACGGAATCCCCGGCGTCGAGACACGACTCCCTTTGTTGTTCAAAGGCGTGACCAGCGGCCGCCTCAGCATCCACGACTTTGTGCGTGTCTGTTGCACGAACCCCGCGAAGCTGTACGGACTGCCCACCAAGGGCACCATCGCCGCTGGGTACGACGGCGACCTCTGCATCTGGTATCCCGACGGACGGATGCGGCCGTTCGAGTTGGACAACGCCATGCTCCACCACGACATCGACTACACGCCGTACGAAGGTATGGAGTTTGAGAATTGGCCGCGGTACACGGTCCTTCGGGGGAAGGTAGTCTGGGACCGCGACAATGGCGGGCTCACCGGTACCAAAGGAGACGGGGTGTATTTGAAGCGCGGGAAGAGCGTCTTGCCGGGGCCCAGGGGGAAGTTTGTCAACGAGTGGCGTCCTCCTCAATAAGGGCGAAACCAGAGATCGAAAACCCGGATTGTTTGGATGGATGGGATGGATGCGTGACCTGACAGAACAGAATCCAGTGGAGAACGTTGATGTGACACGCTCTCAGTCACGGAAAGAAAGAAGGAGAAAGAAAGGGTTGGAGTTGAGAATTCGGTGCTCTAAGAGATAAATAGATATTTCTACCCTTCATGGCTAGACCATCGGGTAGTGCCGATACTGGTATACGGCGTTTAGTCCTTTACTGGCTAGCGGATACCGCGCTACTCACTTTAACGTGGCACCATCCTCGATTCGGTATTCGTCCTGCATATCTATCCAACCCTCGCCCATATGGAGGTACGACGCTTTGGAGAGAGAGAGAGAGAGCGGCGGAGCCAGGATCAATATGGCTATTGAGCTCTAGATGACAATTCACGCAAGATAAGTGCATGCATACCTCTCTATAAGAGGAAGGACTACTCTTGGGCGAGGATTCTCCAGGGCGGTCTCTGGAATGTCCAAAGCGGAGGAGTTGAGTAGGGAGGAGAAGAGACCAGTATTCAGGCCGGAAACAACCCATAAGCCGTCCTTGAACATTGACGGCATTAGCTACCTATGGAGCTTGCCCTAGATCAATCTTGGGTCTCTCTGCGTACCCTACTCGGCATCGACCAGCCTGCTCAGATCGGTGTGAAAGGTACTCAGCATCATGTCCCTTGCCTTCTCAGCACTGAGTCCGTCAATCCGGGCTTGGATCTCTCTCTGACTGCGTCTGACCTGCTCCGCGATCTGGCGCCACTCCAATATCGTCCCCGCTCCCGCCGCCGATTGACTGGCGTGGCCGCTGATATGCGTCGAAGCCAGTTTTCCAGCCCTCTTGCGCACGACGCCGTCAACGATAACGTACTCGATATCCGCGGCCTCGCTGAACCGCACGACCGCCACGACGGGGTCGTACTCGGCCGCGCTCAACATGCCCACGCTCCCGAGCGCGTCGAAGACGAGCAGATCGGCCTTCTTTCCGCGTGCGATGCTCCCAATGTCCTTGTCGAGGCCAAGACATCGCGCGCCCCGGATGGTGGCCAGGTTGAACACGTCTTCCGAGGTGCCCGTGACGTCTCGGGACGGAAACTTCCCTTCGGCGACGATGCGGGCATTCTTCTCCACCCGGGTCAGCTGCAGCAGCATGCGCGCTTGGAGCGGGATAGAAGACGGGTCGTTCGAGTGGCAGTCCACGCCGAGCGAGACGTTGGCAGTGCGAGACTGCTTCAGAGCTGGGTCCAGGGCCACGGGGTAGGACATGCCCATTTGGGCCTCGGTTCCGGGTGTGCTGGAGATGGGGGCCCCGGTTGTTGCGAGAATGGAGAGATCTTCTTGAGGGAGACCGTTGCAGTGCGAGAGAAGCAGAAAGGGCATGCTCGGGGCAGTGTCCGATGGTGGATAGGGCGAGCGGAGGAGTTTGTACGAGTGGAATTTGGGTATGGGTGATTGGAGACCTGGGGGTTCAGAGGTCAGCCTCAAACCATGGCGAAGAGGTGTCAAGTCGACCCAACAAGGATATTCTGCTCTTCAATCCCTCTCCAATTAAGTGTATCAGGGAAGCATCCGACCCATGTCACGGGACTCGCGACATTCGGCAGGTCTTGTAAGAGGACTTACCCATAAACGCATTACATCCAACATGAGTAGTAAGGACACGTAGACCACTCGTCCTCAGCTTCCCGAGCATGCCCAGAACCATGTCCTGGGGGAGGAACCAGCTATCAAAGCCCATGCCAATCTCGACCGTTGCGGCAGGTCGATTGTGCTTCTGGGCCAGTTCCGCAATCTGCGTGAGCGCCCACTCGGGAAGGAGGTCTTGGTCCGGGATGCATTGAGACTGATCCCACCGGGCCATGCGCATGGGAATGCTGTAGGCGAAAATACAGCGGATGCCCGAGTCGAGGGCTGCGTCGAGTGCCGAAGCGGCTGTTTCCGACGGTGGACTCAGTCATCTGTCTTTCTTTCTGTCTTTCTCGATCGATCGGTGATCAAGCGTGGCTACAGGACTCACCGTGAGCAGGCGTGCAGGCGCAATGGGCGTGATCCAGGACCGTCGTGGTGCCGGCGTGGATCGCCTCGAGACAGCCTGACAATTGGCCCCAGTACATGTCCTCTGGGGTATATGCGTAGGACATCATGTTGCCTGTCGTTTGTTGGGTCAACAGAACCCACCACGCAGAACGACTGTCTCTGATATGCGCAAGTGGCGAACAGAATGGACCCTACCGGTATACATGTACGCGACCAAGCCCTGGTCCGCATGTCTTCCCTTCAGCTGCGTCTGCCAGAGATGACGGTGCGTGTCGACGAAGCCGGGGGAGACAATTTTCCCCCTGCAGTCTATCACTTCTGAGTCGTCGGTTGGCGCGGAGATGTTCTTCCCGATGTCGACGATGACACCGTCGCGAATGAGCAGGTCGGTGTCCTGCAGGCGCACGACGTGGTCATTGTCGTCATGTGTGAGTACGGTGCCACCCCGTAGAAGGATTGACGATGGAGGGCGACTCGCGGCCATGTTATGTTGCCCTTGGGCTTCAGGTATGAGGATGATGAACGCTAAGAAACCAGGGGAGAGCTGCCAGTGAAACGAAGTGGTGGCAACAAATCTCCCAGGGAGTCATCTCCTCAGGTCATATATATTATATCTGTTCCAACCAGTGCCTCCTGCACTCAAAGTCTCTCACCCATGATGTTGGCAGGATGGAAGGATCTCGAGGTTTGAGGTCGCCATTATGTATGTGGTGAAGAGAGGAGAAAAAGTCTCCGCACGTCGGGTGCACTCTTCATCCCGAGATCAACCAGGACATTATTCTTGCAGACTTGTCTTCTGCTCTGCTACGGCGACTTTTGAGGTCATCGTCGCCCTCCTGACTTACAGTGTACGTGCCCCTTTGGGTCTCTCTGGGGATGGAACCAGAGGTCCGTCTGTCAGCAGTTGAGCCAGACCAGGCTTCCCAGACGAGGATGTTGTTGCAGTGCTTCCTCCACATTCCTCTCTACCTCGTACTACCTTGTTCTCATTTCATATGCACTACGACGTACCTCCGAGGTGCAGCAGGGAGTATGTCATTCTCTAGTTCTTCCTCCCACGCCCTCTCGTCTTTTGGAGGCCTATCTTCTTCCCCTTTGTCTGATCAGGGGTCACCATCTTGCAGTCGAAGCTCCTGTGCGGAATGCAGCATGGATATCCTTGCGTGCTCGGTCCATGCCCTGCAAGTTCATCTCCGTGTCCATCCCCACCGGTTGGTCCATCTGAACCTAAGCCCTGGCACTTGCATGTATGTATGCGACGTATCGCGTCTTTTACCCATCACGATGGCATGTTCTCCCAATGTGGCATGTATACTCGGATCTATCCCCCCATACGTCCAACCCACGACAGAAAAACGATCCCGTGCTCACATAACAATGGCGCGTGGTAAGTAAGTATGTAGTACTCGGTACTTGGTAGGGCGTGGTACACGTACGTAGGTTACCCAACCACAGCGTATAACGACTCGTTCACTAATCCAATGGCGACGTCGACACCGTGTACGCTCGAACAGGTGAACCAATCCCTTGCTGCTCATTGACACATGCAGGTGCCAGCCACACAAGTCCACCAGGTGTGGGCGCAGCCTCGCGTAGCAGCATCGGACATCCTAAATGAGCCATAGTCTCTCCCCGGCGTTGCCTAGGACCTACCGCACCTACAAAGCATGTACCGAGTCCTGTACGTACAGGTCCAATAGTGTGCTCCAGTTACCCAGGGATTGACTGTTCTTTGCATCCCGCCCTATCTAGCCCGACACGGAAAGTGATCTCACTCACCTCCTCCCGAGAGCTGGTGTACCATCCTAGGTTTCTATCCCATCTTCGGTTATGCACTCCGACCCGTGTCTGGCACTTAGTCAACCACTTCGGTATAAATAATCACGAGTCTCACGGCACCGTGCGCAGTGATGAGTTGCACAGCGTGAGTGGAGTGCACAGCGGTGGATGCCCTGTCGATCACCTCATGCATAGTCAACTATTGACTACCAACATGATCCCTGTCCTGCTGGGCCTGAACCAACCCGTGCCGATCCCAGTGGAATGCCCCGAGTCAGACTGTCCCGACTTTTTCTCAGTTCTTGGCTTCCTCGTCCTTCTACCCAAGATGGGATAAATGCCCTACGACAAGCAACGAGGGAAGCAATGATTGATCTGAGTGCTGACTACAACCTATCTCCGAGTCCTCTCCTAGGGCCTTGGGGTCACTAGGCTTCCCAGACCACAATCTCCTGGCTACATGTGTCCACTCCGTCGCGCTATCACGTCCATGCAAGTCATCTCGTTCACTGGTCCCGATCCATCCTCGTATCTAGTCGTGGAAGTGATTTACGAAGCATGCCCGTCGCGTTGTACGGCAGTCTCCAGGATGGCTGACGATTTGGCTGTGGGAGTCGGTACATGCCCTCGGGAGGAGCCTGGGACTCCATCGACCGACTGCTCCAAGGTGGCGTGCCAACATGGATACTGGGGTGATGACAGAAAGACAGCAAAGAAAAGCGACTCCCACCACCGCATTCCATTTGCCTAGCTTTCGGGCTTCGCAAAATCTAAAACCCCAGTCGTGATACCGTCGTCCCTGCCACCAATGCACCAAGCATCGGGGATCCTGGACCTGGTATGATTGATACTAGTGTCATTTTCGTGACCCGTTCATGCATCCCCCGTCAAGCTGCTCCCCTGGTATACCGTCTCGAGCCCTCCATCCACACAACGAACCAAGGGACCCTCGGAAAAAGGCCCCCACTTCTAGCAATTGCGCCGACCCAGTGCGGACCATCTCCGAGAGAAGAATTTGCGCCTTGCTGTGTTGTGGCCATTTTATTGCACGATGCCATGCGCTGATTTGGCCCTCACCAAGGTCATCGGGTGGTCTGTGTAGGAACTGGGGAAGCGCGCCTCAGGATTCGTGCCAGCGCTTCATTGCTCAGTTCTCCCTCTTCCGCTTACGTGACTGATCCTATCCGCCTTTGCGTTGAGAGGATGTCGGTCCTTCAAGATCGTTTCCCATGATGTCTCTGCCGCCCGGGCCCAAGAATGCTCCGTCGCCTTCGTCCATCCACTTACCGTCCCCTTGATCTGTACCCCATGCTTTCTTCTTAGGAGCCGGCCTGACCTCGAGCCCAGCATTGATGACTTGCAACCGAATCAGTTTCATGCGGGCTTCCTGAATAAAGGCGTCCACCATGTCCAGTGCAGCCTGCTGGGACTCAGCCCGGGCGTCGTGTTCGACTGTTTCCAGGACTCCACGCTCCATATCTATCCGGCCACCGAGCCGGCCGTCTTGGATCAACGAGACGATCTCCTGCAGGATACCTCCTGTTGTAGCTCCGTTTGAAGCTCCGTTCGACGGCGAGGCCCGCCCAAACATCCGCTCCATGCTTGCCAAGGTGACCTTGTTAAAGGGCTGCAAGTATTGAACAATACTCTTAGTCCGGATTCTGGTGTAAATGTCGGCAACGAGGGGCTGTAGATAGATGTCCAGGAGATAATCCGCCCGGTAGGATTCGAGGATCTCCAGACATTGGCTGTATTTGCTTGCACAGAAGAAGCTGATGGCCCGACGAATGTGCGGCTCCAGTTCAAGGAAATTGCGAAAGCTGCTGTTTTCCAGCACTTTGGTCTGCAGGTCCGAGCGAGACATGGACGCCAGCGCACACAGGCCACCATAGACGGCCACATCGTTGCTCGTCAGAACATCGCTGTAATGATCTCCCAAGCTGGGGTCAGTACTGAGGAAGCTTTCGGCAGCATCGGCGTAATCACGATTCGACATTTGCTGGAGACCCGCGGCCGTTTGAATTTTTGGTTGGTTTCTTGCCATGTCTTCCGGCTTGAGCTGAATGTTCTTAACCTTCTGCACCTGAGATTGAACAGCCAGCCAATTGCGCTGTTCGATCGCAACAGCAATGATTCGGAACGCAGTGGACGTGATATGAGCTGCCGTAGTGCAGTAGTCTCGCATGCGGGAATAGGCTTTGACTGCATTGTTCAAGTCCCCAATTGTATAGTAGTGAGTACCCAAATCTTCATTTCCCATCTGGGGGAGGAAGGTCAGTAAACTGTCTCCCACAGTGCACGATCGGTGCGCCCCTAACTCACTCGTATGCTCTCCTTGATCAGATTGTTCTTGTATCCCTTCAACTCACTTTCCAGACGGGCGGTTTCGGCGACGTTCTTCTTTTCTTGCTGAGAAGCCCATGCTGGATCCAACAAGTGGTCTGGGTTCTTGCCTCTTGACACTCGCTCCAACAGTGCCAATGCTTCCAGGTAGTTGCGGACATCGCTACCTTTCTTCGCCTCGAGAACGGCCATTCGAGCGGCCTCCTCCGCCAGATACGTAGAACATGATGCGATGAGGTGAAGTCGCCGGAACACGGTTCGACCTGTGGTAGGGAGGAAATTAGCACAGATCAAGCCGCCTCGCGGGGACAATATGACATACCTCTGTAGTTGGAGATGTAGGCGGCAAGATCAAATTTTGGCGCTTCTATGATGGCAATCATCAGCTCGGGCCCCGATCACCTGAAGAAAAAGACCTTGAAGTACCGTGTACCACGACGCCATAATCGTACGGTTCCGGTTGAAGATCGTTCGCCATGACGTGGATGGGCGCCGCGTCTGCGGCCAAGGTCAAAAGGTTGGTTCAGCTGTTGCTTGAATTCTGCCCTTGCTGTTGTGCTTTGCTGATAATGGGCAAGGGAATGAAAGGGATGCAGATCGGCATACGAATTTGTTTTGATAGATGTCGGCCCTTCCACTCGTGGTCTTGACATGAAGACTTCGAGGTTGGGTGCGCCCTTGTCTATCAATGACGGAAAGCTTGGCGCGGCACAGCCCTTAACTGGCTCGCCAACATCGAGACTTTGGGGGGGCAAAGTTACGTCTCACTAGACCTAGTGAGCATGAGGCAGCTACCCAGGCACCCAGCAATAGCGTTGTGAGGGGCCCCCAAGAAGCCTAGTGAGCCCCTCCAGTGTAAATGCTTCGGCCTTTTGCTTTCACTTCAGACAGTTCCGCTAGACACAAAGGCGAGAAGAAAAGGGCTCGAGGAGTTTTTGAAGGTCAACGGAATTCCTTCATTGCCAATATATAGCGCTCAGCGCTTACTGATCTGCCCTTCCTAGATATCTATGATACACGAGCTTTTCGTCAACCTCAGGGAGCTTCCACTGACGGGTATCTCTTGTTGACGTCCAAGACTTGTCTCCTCCACATATCCAAAAATCCATTTCCCTGTCCCACACCTCATGGTGTTCATCAGAAGCATTGCCAACTTTTTTTCAGGGCTGCTTCAACCTGGTCAGAAATTTCATGTCAACATTTGCATCGCTGCATGCTCGTTGAGAGCGTCCATGATCTCCAAAAGACATTAAAAGAGTAAAACAACTGAATAAGGATCTCCCCTAGGAAAGGAATCTTGAGATCAACTTGTCCATATCAAAACCGCTCAAAACACGCCTTTAATACAAAAAAGGTCAACAGTAGATGAATTAGGCCATGAGAGCATTGAGGTCAAAACCTTGACTCTCATCCTCTGTGGTCGGAATCCAGGGGCCCCTCTCTTCAGCTGTGGCGTTGTGGAAGGCCTCAGCTCGCTTGAGAGTCTCGACATCGAGGTCGGTAACATAGCTCTTACCGTCGGGCAGAGTCATCCGAACCTCGAATTCGTTGTGAAGCATCATGTCATCTTTCCACAGGCGTCGCTGACCGTCGTAGACACAAAGCACGCGCTTCTTCATGCGCATCTTCTCGGCGGCCATGCCCCATGACGGGGGATAGTGCCTTCGCTTCTTGCGGCCCTTGCCGACAAGAGCCACTCCGCCTTTGGACCAGGTCATGCCTTTCTTTGAAGACTTGCCAGGTTTGGAAATACCGCCGCCGATGATTGCTCGCGACGAGGCAGAGGCTTTGTTGGATTTGAGTGCGCCTTTGCCAGATCGACTGTTAAAGGACGGATCATCATCCTCGTCATCTTCATCGTCATCTTCCTCGTCCTCATCGTCTTCATCATCGAAGCTGGTTGGAGCATCCTCCGTCTTGATCATGTGACGGTCCAGGGTTTCTTGAACCTCTTTGTCGACGCTGATCTGCGAGAGATGCTGGACATTGACCGCCTCGGAAGGCTCCTCTTGTTGCACAACGCGCAGCACGCAATCGTCAAGATGCTCATAAAAGTCTTGAGCATTGTTGAAGGTAGCTGAGCATGTAGAGCATTTGCCTGTAGCATCCTGGCAGTAACTGGAGAGTTTTCGGTTGTTTGCGGATGGGCTGCGCTTTCGGCTGTTGGGAGGTGTCTGCTCGACGCCATGGACAGATGTCAGGTGGCGCTTGAAGACATCGGCTCGGTTGAAGCTCTTTTCGGCCGGGGAGCCAGATCCAGGGCAGAATCCACACACCATGGTCCCTTTATAATGGGTCAAGGTGTGTCGATTCTTGTCGTATTTGCGAGCGAATCCTTTCTGGTTGTATTCGCAGGTCAGGATCGGGCACTTCTCTGGCCGTTCGGCTTGGTGGGTCAACATATGAGCCTTCAGGTCTTTGAAGACCTTGCCGCACTCAGGATGTGGGCATCGGCCCTTGTCCCGCCCGTCATCATCGATTTCTGACGTGGGGCTTGGGTGTGAAACTCCGGATACATAAGAAGCTAGAGAAGGCCGCCGGCTCATGTAATGCGGTTGTTGATAGTAGTTGGTGTTGGTGAGGGGTTCGGAAAATTGGGCTGGAGGATAAACGTTGTATGGCTGAGGTGATGGAGCTGGTGAGCCGGAAGGAGAGGTGGTGGTGAAAGAGTGCAAGCTTGGTGCGAAAACTCCGTGTTCGGCGAACACTGTGTCGCCATACGGTCTGGAAGCGTGAATCAAGGATGGATCTGTGGATGAGCTTCGTTAGTTTCATTTCCCCTGATTTCGAAGTAGAAAGACGCGAACAATCATGTATAGGAGCCACCAGGAAAATAATCAAGGCAAGCAAAAACAAGGAGATGAGTGAACGGGCAAGGAAAGACAGGCGGAAGAGACGAACAGGAAGTTTCCAGCGGGGGCATGAAGTTGCCGCTGCTCTGGGCAAAGAAATGAGACTGAAAGCGGCTCGTGTGATGATGCTGTTGCTGGTGCGGTGCGGTTTGCGCGTCATAGGAAAGCAAATGCGGATGGAAGACGGGAGCTGTTTGTGAGCGCGAAGTTTGGGGGAAGCTTCTCGCTTTGCCAGGAGAAAAAACGGAAAATCGCCTGGAACATGCTGAAGCAGGTGTGGTGGGTGATTTGAAGGTCGGCGTAGCCCGAGTCTGCTCGGATGAAGGGGACTGGGTAGCAGTGGAAACGCCCGATTGGGGAGTGACTGAAGGCACAGTGGACACGCCTTGATCAAAGAAAGTATGGATAGACAGTGACTCAGGCGAAGCAATAAAAGATGATGACAGCGGCTGCACGGATTGGGCTTTGAAAAGGGCACCGGTCTTTGGTCGCGGATGAGAAGAGGAAAGATCTGCACACTCACCCACAAAACTGTCGGGGAGCTTCTCATGGCTCCCCAATGACAGCTCAGCTTCCATGGAAGTTCCCAGGATATCTTGCGAAAAGGCCTCGTGATTGACGATAGCTGGCATGACACCCAGACCAAAGGATCGATCAAAGCCATCTTGACTTGAGACTGTGTGGGAGGGGCCCGAGTATGGAGAACCGACAGTAGAGGATGAAGCGCTGGCGATCGACGGTGCGGAACCCGACGAAATCAGAGCCGGCGGTAGTTCCTGGAAAGGCGGCATCTCTTGCTTGAGCGACTGCATGGGAGCTGTCGCAAACATGGACGGGTTGTCGAAGAACGAGTATGGGAGAGGGTGGAAGTTGATCATGGGCTCAGTCGAGTCGTAGGTGTCCATGGTCAAGCCGGGGAAGGGAGCTTGGATGCTTTGCTCAAAGTCGTATGCTGGGTCAAATTGTTGACGACGAGAATGCTCGAGGGCGAGCATTGTCGAGGATGGGGGGAAAGCACTCAAGTTCAATGTGGCTGCATGGGCTGGGGAGAGATCAGGGAGTATATGGTCTTCGGTGACAGCAGCAAGGCTTATGGGCCGAGATGGGATTTTTGTTAGGATTGCGCGACCCGGGGCGGACGAGAGGGTGCGTGAATGCGAGTGTTCTAGGTCTTTTGAGGCTCCGGAAGCGCTATCGATAAAGCGCCGACGAATACGGGTTTCCGAGGCCTAGATGCTCTTGGGGCCGAACGGGCGTTTTTCTTCTCTTTTCTGACAAACAAAGAGCGAGCTGGTGAGGCTTGCAGAGAGAGTGCCGATCAATACTGGAAGGAGTAAAGATGGGGGTGGGCGCGGGAAGGGAGGAGGGATGATGCCGAGCGGGCGCGTTCGAGGTTGTCTCGGGGGACGTTGGGGGGGGGGGGGGGATGCTGGGTGTTAGCTCAGGCAGACTGAGACTGCCAAGCACGACGAGGTCCAGGCAGCGAAGGGAAGAAAAGGTGTCGAGAGGATTTTTGTAGAAGTTGATACTCCGGCCTGGCAGATGGAGGGGGCGAAATCGTGAGATATAGTCGTTTGGAATATCTGTACAGGCATGATGAACTAGCCAAGGGAACAAGAAGGGTCTTACCGAAAGCAGGGGCCCTGTCTCTTTCAGATGAGCCAAAGTCTCTCTGAGATCAGAGATGGACCCAGTGAACTACGCATGTGAACGGTTAGCCCTATGGCTTGGACATGGACCGGGGCCCGAGCAGGGGGATGGAGGTGGACCAAGGGTCCTCACCGTGAGTCCGTGACCCCTCGGAGGCTAAAGGAGCAGGGGTGTCGCGGTGTGGCTGTAACAGCGCAATACACCAAGGAGGAAGTGTCACTGTGACAGACTAATGCACCTCTAGTAAGCTAGCTTCGGGGAGGCCTAAGCAAGAAGAAGAAGCAGGAAGCAGACGAAGCAGAAAGGTCCCCACGCGTCCGTCACATCTTGGGTCATGCTGGGTTTTTTGGTACAGTAAGAGATATGATGGCCAAGAGGACAAGGTCCGTCTCTGGTGGTTGAGAGTCGAAGCCAATGCGAGTTGTGTGTGGTTTGTGCTGGCACAGATGAGAGGACGGGAAGGAGAAAAACCCAGGCGCAAACTTGTTTTTAGCAGCAAGATGCAACTGCGGGCGGGTAGTGACAGTGACCATCAATGAGGGTCGGAACTTTGTGTTTTTCCGGTTCCCTGCTGCTTTCCTGCGTTGCTTCGTCACTTCGTACCACCACTTTGGGGGCTCAGAGCAAAAGTACCCGTGATGCCATTGGCCAGTTCTCTCTCTTTTTGGGGGTTGGAAGAAAAGGGTGACAGCTTGGAGTAGCAACAGATTTCTCAGATTGGACCCAGCAGCATGACATGACCCTGTCGGTCACTTTGGTAGCAACGGATAGCAGCAAAATGTAGAGTTTCCCATGCGGGCAGGGACCAAATTCCCTCCTCGTGTTGTCCTTGTTGAAGCCGGGGGTGAGTTCCCGTTGATCCCGTCAAAGTGTCAGTTGCAGTGACGGCACCTCCCAGGACTGCGGATGGACAAGTCAAAGGGGTGCCCCAATGGAGCCCGAGGCCGCCTAAGCGTGGCCCAGTGGAAGCCAAAGAGTAGGGATTAGGCTGGAGATGCTGGATTGGGAAGGAGTGGGTTCTTGACGAAACCCCGTGGCTCGTGTTTGGGGCAGGCATCTGATTGAGTGGATGGGTACTTGGCTCTGCCGCATTGAGCGAGGGGTTGCCAAAAGAGAGGGAAAACGAAAGAGGCCGAGTGGGGAGGGCCTTTTTGCCCTGGTCACCCTCCCTTGAACGCCTTCTCTGCCAGGTCATAGCGGCCTTGGGTGGTTGTGTTGTAGGCGAGGCCGATGCGATTGGCGCCATCGTGCAGATGCGGTCTGCTGGGCCCTGGCAAAAACGTGGTCTACAAGCGTCCCCCACCGAGCCTGGGTCCTTGATTGGCTTCACGGCCTCGGGGTGCCCTGTCCAAGCTCTTTGGTTATGGCGCAGGGCCCTTTTAGTGGCGGTGAGGCTCGCTATGATTGGCTGTGCGGTGCCTGAGCCACATCTGCTACTATTTTTTCACCGCCCAAAGCCTCTGTTGCGGTCTTGGGGGCTGTGAGACTGTGGCGGGTTGATGCACAACATCCGCATCATTCATCTGGTCACCGACTTCTGATGAGGCGTTGCTCGAACTCTCCTGAATCAACTTCCATGATTTGACGGAATAATGAAGTCATTGGTCGAACAGTAGTGATGTTGCAGCTACGTCTTCCTCCTGTTTGCTGCAGATGCCACACCGTGGTCGGCCACATCCCCCCCTTGTTCGTAGCGGGTGGTGGTTCAAGGATGACGGAAGGGAGTGTCCCTGGACCTGAAATCTGTCGAATACGCCAGGCAACACAACATCACCATCTGCCCGTTATTTCACGTGCGATTTGACAAGCCCCTCAATCCTTTCTCTTGCACGTGAAATGATTGGACAGAGAGGCATCACGAATTGCTATTCCTTCATTACAAACGTGACTGAGTCACCCACCTGGACTTCGGGATCCCTTAGTCAGACACCTGAGTATTCCCCCCCCAAAGGGCCCAGGCTCGTACAAAGTACATCCTCCGCACTGGGTTTCATGGATTCCACTATTTCCTCAACTTGTAGACACAAATCTCGGGTTTCTGTATTGACGAGAGAAATTAATCACTATGACCTACTTGGCAGTTGTCGCTTAACTATTGTGCCGGGGGTTGTGGGCGTGGGCTGGAAGCCCGTGGGCTCGGGATTGGGGAATTGCAATGGGTTGGAATTGGTGCGCGGAGCCGCCTTGAAACCAAAACTAGCCCCCCTGTTCCCTTTTCCTTTGCCCCTCTCCGGGATCCCGACCAGAATTGCTCTCGTAAACACCATCGGCGACTCGTCAAAAGGACAATCCTCCTCCTGTCTGGCCTCGCTTGCAGTCCTCTGGTCATGGATAGGGTGCTTTCTTTCACCTCCGTTCTCCCTGTATCGTTACCGCCCACAATCTATGAATGACTCGAGAACGTCTGGTCAATTTGCCAATACCCACCAGCCGGTTGACTGGACTGTTACCCTCCTTTTCCCCTGTACCAAGTATGTTATGTTTCCCACCCCCAACCCCCCCGGGACATGACTAGGTCAACACGTGTAGTACTACCGGCCCCCAAACCTCTCCCTCGTGAGTTTGAGGTCTCTATGATGAAACTCCCCTGGTAGGGCTGAATGCGACATCCGCCCCCAACTTGCTGCCCTTGGGCATTGGGTCATGACTGGTGACTACGATTGACCGAAGCTTAGAAATATCGAGGACAGAGGTGTTTTCAAATCACTTACGGTACCTACATCAGGTACCTACAAACCCCCGTACGGATAATACCTTGGGGTTCATTTAGCTCTCGAGGTTTCTGGAGAGTGTGTGGCTACATACTAAGCATCTGCTATTGGCACATGGCACACCCAAAAGATTTGATATGGGCGCGCCGAATTTCCTTTCCCAGAAGCACTGAGAGAGAAGCCAAAACTTTACAGTCTCCTCTCCTCGTGCCTCTCGCACCCTCCACTCCCATGCTGTTCTGTAACTTTCCCGGAAGCCTCACCCTGCAGTTATGGTGTTGCCCAATCCGCCCACGAGGGTCAACTAACGTCTGTGATCTGAGGGTTCTAGCCATGCATCTCCCCTCCCTTCCGCCAGCCAAAAGGCATCCGCCCTCCTGCCTACGACCTGGCTAAGGACTCGCGGTCTGGCATTGCCCTCTTCGACCAACCAAGTTGCTCGCCCCACTCTTTACCGACAATCTCTGCCTCTTCATTGCTCGTTGACTCCCTATATCCCCAAGGTAGACCGCTCCCTGGCCCCCGAAGAGTCCAGAAATTGTTTTAGTTGCTGGCATATCTGCCCAGCATGCACACGAGAAAAACGGAGTGGTCTTCGTGTTGATCTTTTCCACATCATCTGCAGCCTCAGAACGGTGGTGCAGGCAAGGATCCGCCTCAATCCGAAAATCTTTGAACCCTCCAGAGCTATTGTTATTTTTGTTGTTGTTTTGTTTTCCACCATGGTGATAGCTTACCAAACAGAGGCCCCAAAAGATAACCCTGGGACAGGGTTATGAAAACTTTGGGACTTCCCTGCCTATCACGCAGCTTTAACGGCCTTCTATCGAAACCTTTCCCCGCCAAGGACTGCTGGGTTGGGAAGCCTGCAGTTTTCCCACCTTTCTCAATCTGTGCTTCTAGACACCCTTGGGCGACCACCACATTCACCTTTCTTTTCGTCCTCGTCGCTCTGTATATCTCCTCCTCCAATAGCCTCACCGGGCCGGCTAAGACACTGCAGTGCCCTTTGCTTCTATCAAATCGAGCATCGCCCACGGGGTCTAGATCCCGAGCAGAAGCCCGTCGGGCGGGCCCTTCCTTTCCACATTCGGGTTGTCGGGAGTTCTCAGACGTGGAAGGAGAAGGAAAAACAGAATTGCAACACACACACACACACACACAGACACACAGAAGCACATTGTCTTGCCTCGTTGCTTGATTGCTTGCTTGCTTTGATAGCCGAACAGAAGTCAATCGAGGCTGGCTGGCTTTCTGCAGATCCTTCCACACCCACCACAGCGACTTGCAGCAGCACGCAGCCAAACAGAGCAGACACCATCAAGGCCATAATGCCAAAAGCGGACGCGAGCCGACCTTCAACAGCCATGAGTGCGTACTGAATTGAGACCAGCACGAGGGGGCCCGGCGGGACTGGCGCCGAGGTGGTGGTCTGGCTCGCCTTCCGCATGTCAAAACCTCGTATTCACCATAGGAAAATGAGCCAGACCACCCGACCCTTGGGCAGCACGAGAAATAACCACAAACCCCCCGCCTGGTGCCGCGCGATCAGGAGCCCATTTGGGCCCTTCTAAAATCTGCAGCCCTACGAACTGAACCTAAGTCGTATCCCCCTCTTGTCCTTCGTCGTGCTCGTGTTCTCTTCTGGCGCCCTCCTCCATCCACCCCAGCACCGTCGCTATCCGGCTCCTACACAGTACGCTGTAGGTTTGCTGCCCCACACCCGACCACTGAATACCCTTGTCTCGCCTATTCGACAACGATACGGCCAGCTAACTACTCAACTCTCGACCGGACAGCCCAGGGCTTGGAATCCGCTCAATTTACCATCAAACATGTTTGTGGCTTGCGCAACAAGCGAGAATTTCGGGGTCTGGACTGTTCATCACACCTTCACCTCGACTCCTCTGCTCTGTCGATGCGGTCAGAAAAACTTGCAAAGTTCTCTACCGCTTGTACAGGTCCGTCCACTTGTTCTTTCCTAGTCAGTGCTCCGCCTTGTGCGGCTGCTCGACTGAACGTTATCGTCGCGGTGGAGTTGCAGGATGACTTTGCGCCTGCAGATCCCTCGTGAACGGATAATGGGCGTACTCGGACACAGCCCAATTCTCACTTCATCGCCATCTTCTGCCCCTCCCGTGTCGCCCAGTCATCATCGACGATGGTTCAGCATTGGCAGAGTGGTCCATGACTTTTGTAGTCATCAATAGTACTGGTTGCGCAGCTCTCAGTTGCAACCTCTACACTTTGTGCGGCACGAGGCTGGACGGACTGGTCTCTGAGTCCTCATAAGCTGCTTCGTAAAGGTCGCTTAGCTTGGCACCATTCTAAAACTCTCAACCATCAGCATTGAGATGGCATGATTGTCTTAAAAGCGGCCCCCGACTTCACCTGAAAGGGTCCAACTTGGAATGGAAGGGCGTGCTTCGACTTCTAATTGGCGATAGATGTGTTTCTCTGTCCCAGCCTCTCTAGTCAGCAGTAAGGGACCCTTGACTGGCATGGAGTGTCTGCTTCCCTTCCTGTAACATGTCACTTTGGTACTCTGAGATGCATGTTGGGCTCGGCAAGCTCCTTTCTTCCAGTAAGTGTGAGGCTGTAGTCCACCCGATACCTTTCCAAGTGTTCTCGATCGGGCAAAAGAGAAATTGCCTTGGCCCTCGTGTCATCGACACAAAAGATGCACCGCTCTGTCGTCGGTCGCCCTCAGAGAATGATACGAAGGGAAGGAGAACTGCCAGTGAGGCTGGGCAGCGAGTCTGGGCACCTCTTGGACTGAGAGGTGCTCTCGCAAGCGCCAATACCTGGCTAGGCATCAGAGCAGTTTGGCCTCGTGCGGCAAGTAAGTACGTGCGGCTTCCCTTATGCCTTTGCGGTGCGCCCATGTTGTTTCCAAGAGGTCAAAGAGAAGCCGATAGAAGCCAGTATTTCGTCTATGAGCGAATGATTTCGTCGAAGCACATCCCATTCTGTTTCGTCCTTGACCATGAGGGTGCCCGCGAGTATCGTGCCATTGATTGCAACAGAACTCTCTGGGCCTGCTCCGGGTATGCAAGCAGCTTCCTGTTTCCTAGGGCAGATCGCCATCCGGTCCGTCGTCATGGCGAGGTTGTAAGAGACCAGAGTTTTGCCATTCTGTTCTATTGCCAAGCCCTGGTCCAGTGGCTGACCAGAGGACTGAGTGGCACAAAGTGCGGCTCTCATGAGCAAAACATATTTACTGTGCAAGTCGGCTGCTGAAGCGTCAGGTTCAAGGGGCGTGGAAAAGTGCAAGATCGGCAACGATGGATCTTGAAACAGTGGTAGGTGTGGATGAGCTGGTACGTTCATGCGGTCAATTAGAAGCCTCCACTCCCCATTGCTCGAACCTGCCATATCCTCCACCGGTAGAAACTGTAAGTGGCGATGTACCTGACTGGCGCCACTGTGCTCTCCAGAGTTAAAGAAAGCGAAAAGACGGGGAGAGCTTCCATCATGCCGCTGGTCTTGCCAGGCGCGCAGGCAAGTATGGGTCAGGCCAATATCATCTTCCTCGAGAAGGTCCGTTTGCGGTTTATTGGCTTTGGTGGCAATAATGAAGTGGTTGTGGATGACTGGGTATTTGTTCAACACCAAGGCGTGAGATGGGTTTTGGGCAGGGATTTGAGCAACTAGCAGCTCTGCAGGCGGATTCTCAAAAGGATCGAATTTAGGACCGGATGGCTCCTTTTTCCGACCAGAGGTATCGCCCTGGGGTTTCTTTTTCAAAGCAGGGCAGTATCGCAGTTGGAACTTGATAGAAATAAGTACAGAAGCCTCCCCACTGATATTGGCAGCGTACTCACCGAAGCCCCTCCCCTGGCTTGGAGGTAGGCGAGGCTGGTCTCAGAGAACAAAATATCCTTGGCCTTGAAGGCTGTCTGAAACTTCTGGGATACTCTCTGGTGAAGTGGTTCTGCGAGACCAAGCATCCTCGCTGACTCTGTCATGGTGCGACTGCTTCGTGATCAGTTCTGGCTGGAAATAGAGCCAGCTGTCTTGAATTTCCGTCCTCTGGGCCTTCTACCGCGTTTCCTCGTGAACCAGTCCGGCAATATCGCCAAGTAAATTGTGCAAGGACCTTGGGAACGACTATCAACTTGTTGGCCACAGCGATGCCTGATGTGAGGATCTCAAACCTCATGATTGCGGACAGGCAAAACTTCGGAACCCGAGTCTTGGCTTTGCTTAATAATGGCCACGACCACGTTTCTACTTCGTCTACCTCGTACCTCAAGTTCAACCATAGTCAATCTACTTTCTTAATTTAAATTCTACCGTCTCCCTATAGCGGCTTGAGTGGTCGATCACTCTAAATCTGCTATCGGCTTACACTAACCTTAATACATGTCTGCCTCACACATTCTCTTGCACTTGCGTCCCTTTGCGATGTCATTCCGAGATTGCGTTTGTTGACACCAAATATAGCTGAAGAAATCATTGCAGCACATCCGTGTTCCTGGAGAGGCTCACAGACCCAAGAGAAAGGCGCAAAGAATGTGGCAAACACGTTGTTGAAGAGTAAGAGCGGAGAGAAACATCCCGGACATAATGAAACTGAGAAACACTGCCTCTTGCAACCAGGTGTCCTCCTCTTATCCCGTGAAGACCTCCCAAGAGAAAGATCGGGGGAGCTGGTCGATGTTTCGGACATCGGCCAACCGATATCAAATGACAAGCCGTCTGCGTCCCGCTGCAATGTCCCGATATGACAGCTCCACAATCCTGGAACGTCCAATGGAGCGATCAGGTACGTTTCAGGAAATGCCATGCTCGACGAGGAATGCCTCTTCATCCACCCGAGAGACCTCGCAAGCACCACGACTTCCTTCTGCGCCCAACTCGCGCAATCTATGCAGTCCCCAAAGAGCGGACCCGCAAGCTAAACCCAGAGCTGCTGCCTGAAATTGACAAGCGGTCAAACAATGTGACACAGTGCCCCTGATGTTTGCTTGCCCTTTGCCATATCTCCCGCCTGGTGATCCCCTCGGCACATCGCCCACCTTTGCTGACCATGAATGGGTGGTCTCTGGCCATACCTCAAATTCAATCCGACACTTGGCCATTACCGGGCCTCAGAAAACACCGAAGAAGCACCAGAACTGATGGCTGGCCTGAGCCAGTTTAATACCTAAAGCTTACCGTCCACAGAAAACACACGTTGGAATAGAGCCTTCTTGTTTGCCGTTTTCACACCCCGTGGCAACTGGCATAGACGGGCCACCGGAACACTGCCACATCGCGACTATCTTGTATTGATCGCGTTCCATTGCCCCAAATAGGAGATGTTTTCTTTTGTGTTTATTCTCTTGAGCCATGGCAAAGATTCGGGCCGGCAGCAGAGGAGAGCATGATGAGAGAGATACGGTGACAAAATGCAGCTCTTTAGGCTTGTTTGCGTCCTGGGTGGAAACAGAGTTGTTGGGCTCAGTAACTCGCGGGCCAACAAGACAGTACGCAACAGCAGAGACGCTATCAAGGAGGTATTGTGCAACATTATTACCCATTCAATGTTCCGCAGACTAGCAGCAGCTTCTACCGATGCATCAGAGACTGGGGGCGGAGCTTGATACGCAGCATCTAGGTGTGGATGAGCTCGGAAGGTAAGTTCCCCCCTCATTACGCGTGCTCTCGTCTTCATGGCCATGAGGATTTCCAATTTGGTCCCGATGCCGTGGACGGGGTTCTGTTTGCAGTACGAACAGACTCGACTCCGTTTCTATGGATGACGGCGCGGGAGCTGATTGCAATGTGACCAATGATTCAACATGAAAACGCAACCGCTTGCTCAAACTATCACAGTACAGTGCTTCCGACCCATTCACCAACTGTTGGGCCCAAATTTACCACTTGTTCCTGCATTGCGCAGCCTTGCAGCTCGCAGAAATGTCTCCGAGAACAGCTCACCCAAGATACTTTGGTACCTACACCGATGGAAAGACAGTCTATTGCGGGCAGACTCATCTTCCTTGTCACTCACTAAGATGTACGGCGCCGAGCACCTTCACTCCGACTGCGAGTCATCATGCCCAAGCCGTGTCTTCTGACACACTCCATATCTGTCACCCAGCCGGAGTCCTGTGTCCTGCTTCCCATATGAGTTCCAGCGACATGACCTGCTTTGAACAATCTCACAATCTCACCTGCGTCCGGTCGTCCGCAATGCAACAACCAGTACACGAAAGCATGAACTCCACGGCTTCTTACGGCGCCAACGTACACTTCTTTCCCTCTGTGCAAAACGATAAACATACCATATCAACTGGAAATCCTAGCGCATACACGGATTGGAGTAGAAATGGGAATAATACGCGTTTTGAGGGGCCAGAGATTTCTAGGGCTATACACATCCCGCCACAGCCAGCAGATTCCCAGAATCAGCCCTTCAAGCCTGACATTTTCCGCGCAAGCTTCAACGATGGCAGCGCGGACCAAACCAGGGATTTTGGGCATTACCTCCCAGTGACTGAAATGGGCATCGACCGGGCCATGGAGCAGTCGACGGACCGCATAAGCCATGTGCCGCAGGGGCCGTCACTTGAAGTGGATGATTTTACTTTGTTCTTTCAAGACCTACCTCCTGACGAGTTTGACATCTTCATGCCTGAAAACAGTATGTTGGATGGTCAGGCCGTCAGTGGTGACGATCTCACCACACCAAAGACCCTCTTGGAAGTGAAGACACCGGGCTCAAGTGAGCTTTGGCCTCCTGTTGTGACCAACTACGAGCCACACGTGCTTGATGAAACTACCTTGCCACAACATTGCGGTGCTCAGGCACATCCGAATCTTGAATTCGGTCACTGTCAAGTCCACGATGCTTTCACGACGCCACAACAGCTAGAATTTGATTCGAATTCCCTGAACTATCCGCCTTTACCCGACCTACCCTCGTCCGGTGACGATCAATTTGACTTCCACGGTGGTCCTTCAGCGTTCACCATGGATCAGTATCTTCCAACCATGCCTTATCAGGAACTAGAATCCACTTCAGCACCTGATCAGAGCACCCAGTATCCAGATCTCTGGGCCTCCGAGCCCGCCACTAGATCACCGACAGACTTCACAAGCAATTCAACGCCACAGGGCAGACATTTGGGAGCAAAGGGAGGACAGCGTGACACCTCGAAAGATACGCTACTAGTACAAATGAAAGACCAGGGACTATCATACAAGGTGATCAAAGAGCGGTTAAAGATGGAAGAGGCTGAATCAACATTGAGGGGAAGATATCGTGCTCTGACAAAACCAAGGGAGGCACGACTGAGGAAACCAGAATGGGGCGATCGAGACGTGAGTTACCCTGGCGAAACGGAGACTTCAACGTGCTGACCCGCCACGTGATAGATTCGACTCCTTTTCGAAGGAGTTTCTCATTGTTCGAAGTCGAGCTCTACCAACCTGCAGGCGGCGAGTGAGCCCGATGCTGTTTCGATTGGTCAATTTGTCAACAAAGTGCCCTGGAAACAAGTGGCTGAATACATGGAAGGCAAAGGTGCATACCGATACGGCAATGCAACAGTCAAGAAGAAATACCTCGAGGTCCTGAAGACTCGATGTGCTCCAGTTTGAATGGCTAAACAAGAATTTTTGCGTGCTTCGACCAGCGTCTTGGTCATAACCCGATGGCTGTTCGGTTGTCCCTCGGATATTTCTGTCTGACCATACTACTGCTGGCTAATACCGACGAGTATCCCAAGGGCTCCCAATCATCGTGGCGGTCTGCGGCAGGTAGTTTACCAATGAGCTTCCAGCAGACGAGTGCCGGATCAGTCTCGAGTATGTGATCAGGTCACTGCAGGCAACAGAGGCAAGGTCCGTGGACGCAACCAGGTGATATGTTCCATGAAGTGCATCCCACGCATTTCGATACCGTGGCGAGCTTCTACATGGCGGTTCATGCTGCAGGGAAGATACCTCAATGCAAGCTATCGACAAACTGCAATGGATCTTGCTCAAACAAATTCTCACTCTCCATGGACTTTTATTATGCCGATTTTGCCCCCAACCCATGCTGGAGAACGAGCTTCCACTCCACCCTGCGAACTCAGATCCTTCGCAGCATCTTGGGGCTTGTGTATGAGCCCCTCAGTATTCCATATCCCAAGGACAATAATGCTCGGGCTCTCCGGGCAACAGCAGCCGACTTCGGTCTTCCTTGGGCTGTCACAATGATTCCAAACTTGAAATTGATGGCTGTCGAGTCGTGTGTGGAGACTCATTCAGCATGGTTTTGGCCGATGACCCCTTTGTCCCGTGGGGCGTTTTCCGGCGTGGCTTGCTAAAGATTCACTCTCATGGCTTGCCTACCACATTGGGGGGCGTTCGTTCTGACTCTAGACTCCTGAGTCAGGTCAGATCTGCCGAGGACCGCGTATCTAGGACAATCGCCGCCTTCACCAATCAACCGGTGAATCTTTGACTCACGAATGACTTACTCGCTGGTTACAACCTGCCAAATGTGGAGATTTGCGGGAGACTGGGGAAGGTAAGCTGTGGAGGAACGGTCACGGGCCTGGAGGCCTTTGGTTTACTGGGCCTGGGCTGGCGGCGGCTCTTGTATCGAGTCTCGGCTTTCATGGAACTCTATTGGAAAATTAATGTGCACATTTCATACGCATATAATGCCCCCTTCTCTCGTCATGTTCTCCTGTTATCCTCACATTTTATCAGTTCCACTTTGTTGGCCTTGACACTGTCCTGCAAGATGCGGCGCAACTCGGCCTCGGAAGGTCTCCTTCGCAAACAAAAGCTCAATGCCCATACTTGCGGCGTGCTTGCAGTATTGGGCTTTGGCTCCTTGACATATGGCTATACAGCGAGTATCATTGGAACTACGTTGGGTATGTGTTTCGAGCCTGTGGAAGGTAGTTAAACTCATGTCATGCCTAGGTCAACCATCCTTCATTGAATACTTCGATCTCGCCACCCGGTCCAATGGCACCGACTTGATCTCCACCATGAATGGACTCTTTCAGACTGGAGGCGTGATTGGAACATTATTACTCCCCAACATTGCTGACAGATGGGGTCGCAAATGGGCCTGCGCTGTGGTAAGGCGTCTACGAGTTCCATGCCAGCGGTGGCTCTAACCTGCTCTACAGTCTGCCATTCTTGCCATTGTGTCCGGTGCCATCATGGCAGGGAGCGTGAACGTCGGCATGTTCATCGCGTTTCGCTTTGTGGCTGGCGCATCTGCCTTCATGATCCTCGCGGCCGTGCCCATTCTGATGAACGAGATTGTGCCGGTCCACATGCGCGGTGCCCTTGTGGACGTGCATGCAGTCATGCTCGTGCTCGGCTACACTATTCAAGGCTGGGTTGGCTTCGGTTTCTACTTCTGGCAGGGCAGCTCGAATACCTGGAGACCGCCCATCGCCATCCAGTGCTTCTGGCCATTGTGCCTGTTGGTCGGTCTCGTCTTTGTCCCGGTAAGTCTACGCCCCTCACGGACGCAATTGGCCGCTCCCTGGTCTCTCTCTGGCAACGACTGACATGGTTGGCCTCCAGGAGTCGCCCCGATGGTTGGTGATGCAAGGACGCGACGCCGAAGCTGAGGCGGTCCTGATGAAGTTCCACGCCGATCCCAGCGATCCCGAGAACACAGCCGCGAAAGCCGAGTTCTTCCAGATTCAAAAGCAGCTGGCGATCGACAAAACTCTGGGCAACTCGTGGATGCACATCCTCAAGAAGCCGTCGTACCGCAAACGTGCGCTTCTGGCCATCGGGATCACCGGCATCATCCAGTGCTCTGGTGTCCTGGTCATTAACAACTATGGACCTTCTCTCTATAAATCGCTCAACTTCTCGCAGGTCAAACAGCTCCTCTACCCGGCTGCCTGGTTGACGTTTGCCCTGGGCCTGAACGCCATGGGTATGCTGCTGGTCGACCGCTTCCCACGAAACAAGTTTATCTCCTTTGGTGTTCTGGGCTGCATGGCCAGTCTGATCGTGGAGGCAGCACTGGTCGCCAACTTTGTGCCCTCCGACAACACGTCGGCGCTGTCCGCGGCTGTGGCCATGTTCTTCATCTTCCAGATTTTCTACGGGTTGTGCCTTGACGGGACGCAGTTTTCGTATCTCGGCGAAATCTTTCCGACGCACTTACGAGCCAAGGGCGTCTGTCTGGGTGTCGCCATGATCTCGTTGATGAACATCATCTGGCTGCAAAGGTACGAGCTCTAAATCGCCTTTCTAGACGCATACTAACCTCAAGCGTTGCAGCGCCCCTACCGCCTTCGAGACGATTGGCTGGAAATTCTACCTCTGCTTCATCATCCCGGGCACACTGGGCGCAATCGCAATGTGGATCTGGTTCCCCGACACGAACGGCCTGCCGCTGGAAGAAGTCGCCGCCATCTTTGGCGACGAGGACGAGGTGGCCATCTACCAACGGGACCTCGAGGTTGACTTTACAACACACACGGTGGTGGACCACCATGCAAAGGAAGCCGTGAAGGGCACGGAGGCCACGCACGTCGAAGCTGATTCGCCCTCTGGCAGCGAGAAAGCCGAGGCCTAATTTTGGGGTGGCCGTATCAGCAGCTGGGGTGAGTGGGCAAGAAGACTACAGCTCGGTGGGCAGTAGTGCTAGACGGATAGACCATGCTTGTCTCTTGGGTGTATATAGATTGATATACAGATAGATATAGATAGATATAGATACCAAAGACAGCCAGGTCACCTCAGAGGCTTGAAGCTCTGGGGTGGGTGTGAGTTCTAGCCTGAACATTCACCGGAAGCCCACGGCGAGCACAACAATTGATTTTCTGGCCGAGTGGTCTATCACTATCGTCGCCTTGTGACTCTTCGACCCTTCAACCCTCTGACAATTTAAGGAACAAAATAATATTGTAGGTGGTGAGACTGACCGCCATTTGCCAGCTTCCTCCTTTGGGGGCCTGATGTTACATGGCCGCAATCTCGTGTACGCAGCGACCTTTCCTGTATGGGTTAGATTTCAAACAGCATGAGATGTGGTGCGGTGGAAGCTCGACAGGCAGACGCAGAAGGTATGGTTCCTCCCCAACATCCTGGCGCCTGATTCGTCTGCAAAAGCGGCATCACCTCGTCTGACCTGGTCTAGCATGTTTCAGTACACCATGTTCCGACAACATCAGGATCCAGATATCATAAGACGACCAGGTCCGTCAAACCTCCAAACGAGCCCAAGCTCATCCTCCCCCCTCTTCCTTCCCACCCTCCTTGCTTCTTTCGCTTCGAGGTCTCGACACAGACGAGTGTTACTGAATTAATTTCCATCACTCGTCTCGCCTCCTCTGGATCTGGGTCTTTGCTCGTCCTCAAACTTGTCCCTCTCCTTCGTTCACCAGACAACAATGCAGATACGTCGGACAGCCTCCCCGTGTCCGCATGGCCTCCGGTCACCAACGTGATAATATTCGCCACATCATCATTCCGCTCGAGCAGACGTCGACGAATGACCCGGCAACGACGACAACGGCAACATGTGGCGTGTGTCGGCGACCACAGTGCCAGCTGCACTCGCACAGAGCGTACCTCGCCCACAGGAGTCGCCGTGGCGCCAGCAGTGCCACGACCACGACCACGACCACGAATCAAACAATTGACCGTCTAAATCGGCTCAAAGAGTCCAGACAACACCGCCCGAAGCTGCTTGAAACCAGCTACGCCCGTTCGTATGCGTACACGAGGACGCCGCCCACGCTGGGCGCCGGCAGGCTGGATGGGTTCCATGACTTGCCCGTGACGGGGGGCCATCGTGTGGACCTGCACCAGTCGGTGTATAACTGTGAGTTTTCAGTTCCAGTTTCCCCTCTCGCGCGCGCTCTCTTATTCTCTCGCTCTCTCTCCAGCACCAGAGAGAGAAAGAGAGAGATATATATATATATGAATGAGAGAAAGAGCCGGCTGGCTGATTTTAATCTCTTCGCTTTGGGTGGAGGACAGTGCTGCATTCAAAGATCGGAGCCGCGACCGCGTTTCCTCTACCCACTGGCCTCGCCGTCAACGACATCGGTGGGAGCATGATCATCCCCGTGCTGACCGACCGGTCGCTGTGCCTCAGTGTCATCGCGGCGTGGAAAGCCGTGCAGTTCCTGATGGGCCACATCCCGGCCTTTGCCCACCTCGCCTACGAGACCCAAGCGCTGCAGTCGCTGCGCCAGACGTTGCTGCTGGACCATCACCACCATGACGGCTCCGACACCCCCGCCGTCACCGACGAAGCCATCCTGGCTGCCGCCCTGCTGTGGGCCACGGCTGCTATGTTCGCCCAGCCCGACGCGCTGCACCGCCACGCCGCGGGTGTGCGTGCCCTGGTCGCCGCGCGTGGGGGGCTCAGCGCCATAGGCGGTGGCGGCGGGCGTGTCGGGTCGATCGGCCAGGCGGGCTCCATCCGGCAGATGATCCTGTGGGCGGACTTCCTGACCGCGCAGTTCCTGGGCGAGGACGTGATCTTCCGTGACACGGACGATCCTCCTCCGCCCTTGCCAGCCTCGCTGGCGAAAGTGGCCCGTTCCATAACCGTCCCTGTGGCCTTCGACACGCTTAGTCCGGAGACGTTACGGGCTGTGCGCGACATGAAACTCCTCCTCGTCTCGCACGACAGCGCCACGCGCACCGGCCGCGTCTCTATCGCCGAGTATAAGGCGCTCATGGCGCTGCTGAACAAGAGCACGATCGACCGTCTCGGCCTGGCTTACCGCCTGCGCGGCTCGCACTCCCTGGATGAGACCGTCGTGCTGGCCATGAACCTGCTACGCCTGACGGTGCTGTTCCACGCAGGCCCGCTGGTCGCTATCGTGGTCGCCGCCACCGCGCGGCTGCGCAAGGCTCTGGCGCACACGACTATGCTCGACGCCCCTTTTCTCCACGGCGGCGGCAGTCACGGCAACACCGGTGATACGAAGAGGAATCCGCACTCGGGCAACCGCATTGACGTGTACACCTGGGCCTGCTTCGTAGGTCTGACCACTCCGTTCGACAGCGAGGACCGCACGCACTTTGTCGCGATGCTCCGCGCCGCCCTGGCTCTCCGATACAGGAACAAGGACAAGGGCAGAGATAAGGGCCGAGACACCGGCTGGCCCGACGACTGGCAGCAGGATACGCTGGAGATGCTGCGCTCGTTCCTGTGGTCCGACGCGGTGCTGACGCCTCTGTACCCGACCGCGTGCCGGATGGTCGATGGACATCTCGTGTCGTCCACCGGCGGTGGCACCGACGCTGAAGGCGACACTGGTCAGGAGAGATGGTCACATGCCGCGCCGGACAAAGTGTCGAGGGCGGGCGTGCGGTAAAAGGACGATTGACCGATCGAGGCAACGACCTACATGTGTGCGGACCAACCAGCTATGTACATATCTATAGTGTATGGACCAGATACCCCAAAAAGGAGGGGAGACTAACTGTGACCCGAGATGGAGTGAGTGAGTGGTTCAGTGACAGAGGTACAAGCTTGGATCATTGTTGTGTACTCGCGTGTCACAGAGAAGCTCGGCTCCGCCCCGTTCCTTGACGAGGTCGCCAAGGAAACGAGCACGGCAACAACAAGGCTGCAGCGTCCTCCTCCTCCCCGTGGCGCTCTGTCAAGCGAGCAACGAGCTCACGGAGGCAAGGCAGTTGTTAGTTGAGAGGGAGGGGGTTTTCGGGTGCGTACAATGCCGGACACTGTAGTCTGTCTGGACAATACCAGCAGCCGCCCACTGACGGTACGTTTGTGTCGTTTCTTCCGAACTATACGATACCTCTGGATGCCTCTTTCAATGGACATAATTGGCCGTGTGACATAGAAGTCGAATGGGTATGGAGTATTGTGTTGGAAGACGAAAGATTAGGATGTTCACCGCTCAGGAAAGTGAAGGGAAAGAGAGGCAAGGGCCGAGACAGCAATATCATTCGACGCCCTGGAGCATGCCGAGCAAGTGGAGTGGAGGGGGCGAGGCATCCCAGACAACAATCCCAGTCCCGACAAGATGAAGGACGACCTGTTTCCCAAAAGGAGAAAGCTCCATCGATAAATGAATGGGATGCCTCTTGCGGGCTTCTGAGTCTGGCTGGCTGGGTCTCTTCGTCAACGAAAGGCTTCAAATTGAGCGATCCGGTGGTCCACGTGCACCCAGCATCTCCCATCAGACGCACGTCTCTGCCGAGCGCAGGGGGCTGAGTAACGTCTTCGTCTCCGGCCGGTGGTTGCACTCAGACCCTTTGGAATCTCGAAGTCCATTGCCGTTGTGGGTGGGTATTCTGCAGGCAAGACGCGATGAGAGCTCCGGGACTTGTGGAATTCCTCAGTAAGTAATAAGTGGTGGGTCAAGTCATCTGCCATTCTAGAGTCTTGGTCTTGCATGTGCTCTTGATTGACCGATACACGGTTGCTGAAGTTGGGGAGAGTTCCCATGGCATGGGAGGAAGCCGATTCCCTGGAGTTGTCAGCCACTCTCATCTCAACACAGGAGTGATGTCCAACACGATATGATAGAGCCGAGGGACGAGCTCATTTCGCGCTGACTACTGATTCTGATGGGGCTTCGTATCCTGCCAGGGCCTTCGAAGTCGCTGGAATTGATTTTGTCTCAGAGGAAGCCCAGTCTGCAACAAGTTCGGAGCGGTAGAAGCTGTGGTATCTCATTGGGTCCGGGGAAGTACAGAATGGATCTGGACCAGAGAGGAGACAGCACTTGCACATGGAAAGGAAATTGCAAGACAGTGTCATCTCAAGGAATGCTCCGGGCATTTGGTCAACAGAGGCCGTACCGCCTTACTAGAAAAGAAAAGGAAAACGGCAACACGGGCTTTAAATGGACGACACAAGGATAGGCCAGAGCCGAGAAAAAGTCTCTGACTCACCCTCATTGAATGAACATACTGCAGCTCGTATTGGATCTTGTCGTTACGCATCGGACTGTGTCTGTGAACCGACCTCGGATCCATCAACGGTTGATCACCTTCAGCCCTCACAAGTGACTGCCTTTCTTCCTGCTCGAACAAGAGTTTTCCAACGACGGAGGCCTGAAACAGCTCTCCAAAAAAAAAAGACAGCATCGGCAGAGTGCCTCGACATATCCAACATGCGCACTTCTGATAATAGTTTCCCCTCAATCTTTGGCTTCCACTTTCCCACTGCGAACTCTCGTTCGATTTGGCAGGTCAACGCTCCCCTTTCGTCCATGGCTGGCTGTATACACGTCCTCAACGTCCACATGCACTATATCTGGGATTGGTGAATGCCGGTCCGACCTTTGCTTGACGGGGCTAGTGACCTCAGCCTTGACCTGCTCCAGGGGCTCGGCATCGATCTTCTTGAAAAACATCTCCTCGACCATCATCCGGCCTTCCACCTCCTTTTCTGTTTCTTCGTTATCCTTCTTTGGTGGCTCTTCTTCTCCATCACCAGCGACTTGTTCATCAAGCTTCAGCTTCGTGAGACCCATTGCATAGATTTGTTCTTCCACCGTACCCCGAGAAATTAACCTAATGACTTCGACGTCTTTCTCTTGTCCAATGCGGTGGGCTCGGTTCTCCGCCTGGATATCATCTTGTGGGTTAAAGCCGCTGTCGAAGATGATGACCTTATTTGCTTTGGCGAGATTGATACCAGCTCCACCTGCTTTGGTGCTGAGCATGAAGACCGGGGTATCGTTATCATCGGCGGAAAACTCATCAATCAGGTCCTGTCGTTCTGATACTTTGGTGGCACCATCAAGTCGGAATGAGCTGATGCCCTCGCGTTCCAGAGCCAACTCGAGAATGTCCAAGACCATCACAAACTGGCTGAATATCAACGTCCTGTGACCTTCAGAAATGAACTGTTGCAATAGTTCGATCATCTTCTGGATTTTGCCGCTGGCGCGCCACTCGTCACCATTCAGTGCGAAGCGGCGAAGCGGCGAATGTTTGTCACACAAGGTATGAATTTCCATATCACTGTATTCAAGGAGTTCAGTGACAATAAGATCGGGATTCGATTCGCGCCATTGCTCCACCTTCAAGCATTGTTTTGCAATGACAGGCAGCTGCTTATCCAAATAGAGGCGGCGGAAGAGAAAGGGGTGAATGGCCGCGAACCTCAATTTCATCAGGATATTTGTAGACTCTTGGTTCACGTTCTCGCCTCTTTCTCGCCTCGCACGGATCTCGTAGGCCTTATCAAGCCACATCTGATAGAGCTCGGATTGTTCAGGGCTCAGGTCACAGAATTCCACCTTTCGCTCTTTCTTAGGCAGATCCTTAAGGACTTGGTATTTCTTCCGCCTCAAAATGAATGGAGTGAGCATGCTTTTCGCCCGTTGGATCCGTTGCGCAGATAGAAGCATTTCGTGATTGTTATCCAGCGCCTTGAAATTGTGGGTGAAAATATTCTTCAGCGCGTCCGCCTTCTCTCGAAAGAGAGCCGGCATAAGAAAACCGAGCAGCGAGATGAGCTCCTTCAAGTTATTCTGTAATGGAGTTCCCGTGAGCAAGAGGCGGAAATTGCACTGAATTCTGACCAGCTTGCTGGCAACCTGAGAGTCGGCATTTTTCAGCACATGGCCTTCATCATAGATTGTACAGTCAAATCCGAAGCTTCGCAACCAGGGCGCATCGTCTTTCCCCTTGGCAATGGTATAGGTGGTGACAATGACATTAACTTGATCGCGGTTGTCGTCGAGATATTCTCTCAGCGTCAGCCGCTCAGTAGGATTTGTTGCATAATATGGTTCGACGTGCAGTGCTGGGCAGAACCGTTGAAACTCTTTCAGCCAATTTTCCAAAGTCGCTGCAGGTACCACAACAAGATGGGGTCCCCTGTTTCCTTGCTCCAAAAGATGGGCCAAGAAGGCAATGACTTGGCAAGTCTTTCCCAGCCCCATGTCATCAGCGAGAATGCAACTCAGCCCCTTCTTGTAGAGCAGACTCAGCCAATTGAGGCCAACCACTTGATAGTCCTTCATTTGTATGTCGTCCGCCATGATTGAAGGCTGGCGGATGAATTTCTTCTGCCCGGTGCGCTTGATGTCCTCATCGTCGCTGACAGGTGTTCCGATACCAGAATCATGGCTCGGGCGTGGGGCTTGCAGAGTGGCGAGATCCAATTCTCCCTGTTGAGAGCCGGTGAATTTGACCCCCCAGCTCTTCATCTCGTCAGATAATGGTTTGGCAAGACTTTGACACTTCTTGACGAGGTAGTCAACAGCCTCATAGCTCTCGAGCATATCTTCAACCTTGTCGACGATTTTGTCACCGACTGGCGCCGTCTTCCGTTTAGTCTTGGTAGGCTTCAGTTTCGGATCCTCAATTTGTCTGACGGCATTGAGACTCTTGAAGGGCCGTTTGGACACAATATGTTCGGCGAGGTCGCGGGTGATGGAGGCAATGTCAGCCAAATCTGCTGCAGAGCATGTGTTGAACAGATCAAGGACACGGCTTTGGAAAGTTGTTCTACCCTCGTCGTCCGAGGTGAGCGCTGAGCCTACGGCATCGGACTCGTCCGATTGTATGGTGACTATGGGTTTTGGTTTTCGTATAACCTCTGCTGGCAGGGGCTGAGGAGAAGAGGAATGTTTCCTGCCACGTACCAAGGTTCGTTTTTTCCGCGGAGGCGGGGTTTCGAAGACATCTATTGTCTTGGACGGCTTTCTGACATTCTGAGTGGAGCTCCACTTCTGTACAATGCTCTTCTGAGGCACCTTGGCGTGTTGCCTCCCCATACCTGGATGCTGAGGTACGGATCGGCTGGCTGCAGGAGTCGGCATCAGCTCGTCGTCCGAACCAGTCAGATCAACAGCACTGTTCTTTGGCTGAGATTGTCGTTTCTCACTTCTCGAAAGAAGCACTTCGGCGGCTGCGTCGTAGTCTCCATTCTTTGACATCAGGACTTCGTAGCATTCTCTGACTGTCACTGCACGGAGCATCGACATTAGTCGCTTCACCCGTTGCCTCGCGTTATAGTCACCGATATCATCGATCTCCATCTCTTCTTGCTGCTTGGCTGGTGGAGAGGATGCCACGGGTAGTGCACGTGCAGGCCCAGTCTGTCGAGGTCTCTTTGAAACGCCGCCGTAAGCGTTCGCATTGACATCAGCGGAGCGTTTCACTCCGCTCGACCCAGCAGATGACGTTGAGTTTGGAGAGCTTGTAAACATGGATCGTGCAGTGATTTCCATAAAACGAGCCAACGCGCTGTTTTCGGTCTGTGGAGATTCAGGAATTTTTGCTGGAGACTTATTCTTCCGCACAAATGTAGATGTTTTGATATCATTTGATCGTGTACCCCGGCCATCGCTGTCTGAGGACCCTCCCCGATACGCCGGCCCTTCATCGTCGCTGTCAATTGTTACGGGGGTAGGACGAGGCTGAGGCGCAACATATGGTTTCCTGAACACAGTGCCTGCGGGGGCCATAGCACTCGCCAGTATACCTGTCGGTTTCCGTTGCATATTAGGGGTATTCATTGGGGAGGACGCAGTGACCTGGATGACTCCAGACTTGTAGGGAGAGGAGGACATCGTCGCAGCGGCTCGATCAATAATTTGGGTCGGCTGTGTCTGTCGGGTCGATTCCACCTTTTGAGATTTTACGCCAGGACGATTGACCGGCAGAGTCGCCAAGGTCTCGATGTCCGAGTCATCGTCAGTCATGGTGGCTCTATAGAGCGGAAGTGTCTCGACAGTCTCGTGGGCAGGCTTGTATCTTGGGTTGAACAATTCATCATCCGACTGTGACAGAGGGTCGTCGGAAGACATGGCGCAGTTGAGGGAGAGGGCGGGTCTGATCCTTGTATTCACTGCCAGTTGAGGCAAACGGCGAAGTGAAGGAAACTGAACGAATGATCGGAGCACATGTCAAGGGAGACAACTCATGTGTTCTGCCACCAAGGATGTGTTTCCTTCATAATCATTTTCTAATCCCTCGACCGCAGGGAGCGATACCGCCGCCAAAGAAGGATGCGTGCTAAGAGTCTGTGGAGCAAAATATGAATCTCGCCCTTCAATTCGCCTGCCGACTCGACGCGTGAGCGCGTCATGCCAAGACACGGTAATTCGATACCTAGCTCACCCCTCTTTGTGTCTCAGCAACGAGAATAGAATACGTTGGCCGTGCCAATCCACTGTCCATTTTACCTGCGGACACATTCTCATGGTCCTGGAGGATGATTCTCCTTTGACTGATCCATTGAAATCGTCGACGCGCTCCACACTGCGGTCATTTATGGGATAACGACCTGATATGCTTTCCATTTGAGGATGCTGAGGCCCTCGTGAATGTCAAACATGCCTTCAAAAAATTCCTTTTTTCTCTCCATGGCTGGTCCAACGGTATCAGGAATGCCATTGGTGTTTCAGGACTCGGCGATCAGAGATGGAGAGAAGAGAGAAGATGGACGGGTAGAGACTCGGTGAGAGAGAGAAGATGGTGGGAGGGAGACAGAGAGCGAAGAGGAGGTGGGAGCTCGGCGGGGAAGCTCGGGTTGGGCGTTAAACGATGAGAGCGCAGGCAGAAGGTGCGACGGCGAAGGTGCAAGTCGTTGTTGTCGTCATGGCAATGAAAGGAAAGCTCCAGGCACGTGGAAAACAATGAAGACGTGCCAATCATTAGAGCGCTGGCACGGTGTAAAAGTGTGCCCTTGGGTGCCTGTATAGTACACTTGTGCTGGCGAGGCCCGGCGCTGCGATATGAGCATTCCCCTCTATGGCGCCGATGTACGGTTACATTGTGTGTCTCTCCCTTTCTCGCATAACTGTCTCTCCGCGTCCACAGTCCCGTGTTGATCACCGGCCTCGAGGAGATGCAACTCAAATTGTGGGTGGTGCTGAACAAGTGCATCTGCACCATGCTGCGTCGGTTGTATGAGGCTACCGGCCTACAGGGACGCTTTCAATGGACGTAGTTTCAAGCGTGGCAGCTCTCCGAGAGTGTTCTTGATCTGCGGATCCGCTCCGTGCTCCAGCAGAAGCTTGATCAATCGGTCCGACGTTGCTAGATGAAGGGGCGTTCCATTTCCCGTCAGTTCGAACACACAGAGCGCGAACGGATGAGCGATATGCTGGATGGTATTGACTGGTGCGCCGTCTTTCAACAGCAGTTGGACTATCTCGTTATCGTGATCGGCCCTGACTGCAAAGTGTAATGATTAACCAATCTTCACGGAGGCTCCTCGCTCGAGCATTAGTTCTATGACTTCTCTTGAAGCATTTGCCACTGCGAATGAAAACGGGGTCCACCCGTATATAGATTCTCTATTGGGGTCGGCACCGTGGTTGAGGAGCCATGTGACGAGCTCTAGGTTGTCGACGGCAAAGCTGTTTCGGTAGTTGGAATCAAATACTGGCGCGAGAGAAAGCATAGGGTCTCACGTAAGTGGTGGCGGCAGGTCATCCCCTCCCAGATCATTGATGTCATATCCATCCAACAACATTAGCTCGAGGATAGAAGTGTTGTTCTGTTGGACGGCGGTGATAAAATCGTCGACGTTCGCCTTGACACCGTTGCCCATCAAGAGATCCACCATCTTGATATCGTCGTTTTCGACGGCGGTCCGCATGGCCAATGTCCTGTCGTCATCGGATTGCTTGTCATTCCCGGTGTCCGACTTGAGTAACAGTTCGACTTGATCGAAATCGTGGGCTTCGACAGCGTTGGTGAGTGGACCGCGATAATCTTCTCTGAAGAGGTCAAAAAGGAGCCGCATCTTTGTCGAAGTGATGAATCAAAGGGGGGAAAAGGAGGGAAGGAAGGTGTAATATCAAACTTCTGGCGCCGACAAAAGCTGCAGTTGGCTGGGTAACGTACTGTACATAACCATTCCCTGTTCTCCTCACCCCGCATTTTCTCGGCGGGTGACGGCCCGGCCCGTTAGCCTCGCTGAGTAAAGGCTTCATCTATGATCTACGCCGAGAGATATACACATCATGGAGTTCTGAGGGTTTGCTAGAGTCATGGGACCCCCTCCGTTCGTGGCAATCCGGGACATATATTTTGCAATAAGCGAAGCTTCCTATCTGGTTTTTGACCCTCCTTGGAAAGCGTATCATTTAGCAAAGGACATGAATGGCTATTCTGGACTGTTGTTGATCTCACCAACCGCCACGATCTCTGCCCATCTAGTTCCCAAACCGGGCACTAATCTGAGTAACCCTTTATCTAGGAATGTTAACTTGGTCAAGCAGATAAAAGAGTTCGCCAGTTTATATCGATCCAACAGCATTTGTGGATGGCGGGACAGTAGGCGTGGCTATCCTCCACGCAGAACACAAGAGGATTCTGACAGTCCTTCCATCGTCTTCGGCGAAAGACTAGGAGCAGAACCCAATAGCACCCTGCCCAGACAAGTCGCCTCCGAAGCTATTGGGGTTTGCTGGGGCTGCTGATGCTGCTGCTAGTGCTTCTCGCGCTACTACCGTTGGAATAAGCAGTTTACGGACGTTGTCTCTTGCCCCAACCCTGCACCTCCCAAGCAGCTACAATACAGCCTTAAGCTTGCCCAGATTCTCCGCAAGAAACAATTGCTTAGGCAAATACTATCTTTCCACGGTTGGTCGACCCCGAAGCTGGTGCTGCCGGAATGCGCAGCCCAAGCGATATTGTATAGTGTTACCAGCCCAGGGCACCCACGCAGCTGCAACGCGCCCCTCAAGCGTACACAGAAACCATTGTTCACACCAATCCCATTCCTCCACGACAGGCTCGTACCGGACGCCCTGCCAGAGCTTCGGAAGAACCCAAGCCTCACCAGCCGGCAGAATCGCCCAAGCTAGCCAGTACCAAACTTAAGTATATCAAGTCCAACTTTGTTGACAAGGACAGAGGGGATCGAACCATCGGCACAGGCGGGGGAAACGCTTCAAAGGAACCACGTACACCCATATAACGATGTATACTTGTGATATAATTGTGTCAAGCTCTTTTCCTCGACGGCATTAGCAGTTCAAAATGACCGCTAGGCTCTTTATTGTCATTTATCGGCCCCAATTTGGCAATTACAAGCACTTTGCACTGTACCTGGAGAACGGGAACGAGAGAATAACCAATGAGGTTGCTGGCGAGCACCCAAATTTTGAGAAAATGAAATACTCGCCAAGAAGACCACAACAAAGCGCACGCTTGCTGAAAGTCTAGTTCATCGGTGACATCAATCCTACCGACGTGGAGTCCTACAAGAAGATTGTCGCAAACGCCAAAGTGGATAACGCCTTTATCCATTGGAATGGTCAAGATTAGTTTCTTCGAAATTGTGGACGAAGTTGTGTCAGAGTGCACCACTACTCACGAGGATGACTGGAAGAAGTTGGAGAGGAGAGTGAAAGAGCATGTTGAGCCACAATGGGGGGTTGTGATAAGCATGTCAAGCAACATGTTTATTCCAGAGACGATTAAGTGTGAATTCTGTGGCATAGCATTTAATGACGACGTTATCGTGTGAAACGGGGGACTGCCAAATAGTTTCGGCCCCTCGTACAGTTCTTTGAATTGCTCTCTTGACCGAGTCTGGTTTCACGTCTTCGAGTTCGAGAGGCTACGTCAATTTTGCCGTTAATTCAAATGGACAGTCGAATTTTCCTGATTGACGTCGTTGATGTCGTCGGGCGCATGAACTCCGGTATGAAGTGAGTCGTTATGATGATGGTCGGAGCGTTTGGAATCTTTCAGAGAAGATTATTCGCATTTCTTCGCTGCTAAGCGATCTAGGTAAGTTTTGGGGAGAACGTTTGTAAAGGATGGTTTTTTTGGAAGACCTCGACATTAAAAAGTTTTGCCTCGCAAGTATGTATCAGTTGGTTCTTCAGGGCCGGGCCGCTTCCGCTTCAGAGACGACATCTGGTCCGGAGACAAGAGCTTTACCTCCAAGTCGAGAAAATTTCGAGTGTATAAAAAGCGACGTAGGTAGGGTGAGTATCGAAGAGCACTTTCCCGCCAAGCGTTATTATCTGATTCATTCTTGGGCCGAATGCAAAAATGAAATGCGTTGTCTGACACAGAATAGCTGCGTGCAAGGTAGCTGAACATTACCCAGTGTAAGGACAAGGCAACGACTTTTGTATGAGATATTGATGACCACATATGACTATGTATTTAGCAGGGAAGAAGCCGCAACACCCTTTCCGAAAATCCACGAAACGCTTGTCTAAGTGAAGGTCACCATGAATCTAACAGTGCTTTTTTTTTTTTTGGTCAGACGGTACTCGATTTATTTTGCTTTTGGCTCGCCATGTCCACGCCAGCCATCATATTTGATCTCTCACTATTCCAGACAAGCAACAAATAGGTGCCTTTGTTCCGACCGCAAGCAATAATGACAACCCGACGCAATGTCAGTGAAAAGACCATCTCAGAGGCACAAGGAGGCCCGCCACCCGCTGATCAAGTCTCCGATACATCGCCAGCAGTTCCAGCGTAAGTGACTTGGGCTAGAGAAGGGTCGCCTCACGTGCTTCGGTCTAATGCAACTGTAGCTCTGTCATCTACAAGCTTCTTGGATTTACGGTGGCCATGATCTGTGCACCAATCGGCTCATACTTTCTTCTGCTCAACACTGTCTTTGCAGGTATGCCATTACCTGTCGTAACGACGCTGATCCGTTAACGGGGTTCGAAACTAAAAGCGCACCAGGAAATGCCACATATTCTGGCGCCTTTGCTGCGATAATGGCAAATGTCGTCTTGGTTGGCTACATTATCGTCGCCATGCGAGAAGATGACAGCGAAAGGATTGAAGCAGAAGAGAAACGCAAAAAGGGCCAATAGCAGATGATGCCTTTTAAGCCATTTCTCAAGCTTGGAGAGGAGCGGGATTTTGTACTGTTCAAATCTTCTTTCAGGACTATGGAAGTGGTATGTGACCTGCACAACATAATGTGGGAGATCATTCCCATCCACAGCCAGCTCTGTATCTTCTCCAAGATGTTTCAGAACCCTTTCACAGGTTTGATACACCTTCTCAAGCCTCCGTAGCTCATGTTACGGCCACGTTGACTCATTTCCGACCCATCATTCAAGAATTACATCAAACATTAGTCGTGAAAATGAGCTCTTGGAGAGCTGCCCCCAGCTACACAAACCCCCCTTCTGTTCTTATGCAAGTAGAACGCCAGTGATGTTAATGGAGATGTTTCCTAGACGCCGGAAATGGAAAGGCATCAGCTCCAGTTTCCCACCATCAGAAGTGCCATCAATTCTCTCGTCTGCTGAACCTCCGTTTGATCCAGCTTTGCTTTTTGGGTGGAGTGGTGTTGCCGGGCGAGGTCATGCTTGTTGGAGAGGTGTTAAGCGAGATAGGTTGTCGGGGATTGTTTGCTGCCGGAAGAGCGAACCCTTTGGTTGGGACTGCTGGAAGAGAGGCTTCGTGGCCGTAAGGACCATCACCAAATGCATACGGTGTGAGGGGCTTCGTCGGATTGACCTGGTTGAATTTGATCTCGTTCGCATATGGGTTCTCAGGAGCGAGATCTTCGGGCTTGGAGCGGAGTTGGTGGAGCTGGTCAAAAGAGCTGTTCTGCGAGCTGGGGTTGGTGGATTTGCCATACTCTTCTGAGCCCGAGGTCATTGTCTCGTACGACTGGTGGTACGAGTGGAAAGACATGGGACTCTCTCCGTTCTGGTATCCGTTTTGATGACCATTCGGGTAGCCATTCTGGGCTCCAGGATATGGGTAGGTTTGTTGACGCACAGGTGGTCTAGCAAACATTTGAGACGATCCTGGAGATTCTTCGACGGCGCTCTGAGGACCAAATCCGTAGGATGAATTACGGTAGTAGCCACCACCCGGGGTCATTCGTGGCCGTTGCGGAGAATAGCCATTGTTGGAGTAATAGCTGGCCCTGCGGTTCATGTCTGCATTCCAGCCGACCTGAGAAACTGCGGAGACCAGTCAGTTATGGTGCTATCTTCCATGGGAAGCCCACACGTACCTGGTCTGCTATTCATGGATGCACGACGTGAGGTGGTTCCCTCAGCAGCAGCGTTGAATGCGCGAATGGTGTCAAGAGGACGCTCCAGGCGATGACGGGTAGGGTTCGAACGATCAGGGTCGGCTGTCGAGTCAAATTAGCACGGACGTACTCCCAGGAATCGAGTCCAGAGAACAACTCACTAATGACATTGCCCTCCGTGTCCTTGTGCAACATTCTCCGCAAATCGTCGACTGTCGATTCTTCTTGTGCTTGTTCCACTGAGGTACAAAGTCAATATTTGTTTGCCAACCAACAACGACAGGGCCGGGCTAACCTGGAGTGGCCTCAGTTATGGCTTTTGAGGGATCGGCCTTCGTATTCAACCTCTTTTTGTCCCGCGAAGTCTCCGTCAAGTCGATCTTGCCGGCGGAAGAGTTACTTCGACGGGAACGCTGGGAAGAAAAGCTCATGGCGGTCCCAGCCCGCGGGCGGGTCTCGGAGGGCTGCGGGGAGATTGGAGGAGACATGGTTGTCATGGTGGCGGCGGTAAACAGGTTGCGATAAGAAGAGATTGTTCCAAGGTTCGATGGGGTAGGATAAGTTATCCGTAGCGGACGAGGTGGATATCGACGACGGAGACGGAAAGACTGGTGAGATTGTGGGAGCGGGTGGTTGGTATTTTGACCAAGGTTGGGTAACCGCGATTGATGGAATCGTCGAAGCGACCAAAGTAAACAGGAGACAATCAGGCCCAGCGACTGGAACTGAGGGTGAAGGAGGTGATATTATTGCTGTGTGCAGCGACACCCTGAAGAGTCCTAAAGTGCCTCAACAGTGGCCAGCACGACGTGACGGTTTCTTTCTGTTGCTGGAGGTGGTATGGGTCGCTGAGGTGGCTGGCGGAGGATTTATTAGTGACAGGGATGATGTCGTCGGCGAGGGTTTGTTTCAGGACGGAGGGTCCCCCAAGAAACCACGACAGGGCAGAGACCAGGTGGTGAGACGTGCCCACGAGTGTCCGATGGCGTATCGATTTGACGTACAGTGTTGGCGTTACTACTCCGTTGTGGCTGTTGAATTGTGTATAGCACCCTGCAGTTCCTGTGTGCAGACGGAAGGCTGGGGATGGCACAGTGATTCCAAGTGAAAGAAGGCCAAAAAAAACAGACTTTGTAGTAGAACGAGGGGATCGTTTTCAGACCGACAGGGTACAGACCCAGAGAAGTCGCGGCGAATAGTAGCGAAACGACAGGCTCCAGAGCAAAAGACTCGGACACAGCAAGCTCAACAACAAAAGGAGAAAGGGTTCGGGAGCAACAGCTCTGCATGTTCCTATATCAAATGTTATGCGGATATGCATCCCACAAGTCCATGCCCAGAGAGGGGGGACATGGCGGCCATGCCAATTGACAAGGTTCGCTCATTACTCGCACCGGTGGCACTGGGCCACTCACACACAGCACGGGGGTGCCACTGGAGCCGCTGGAGCCACTGGTGCCACCGGGCCCAACATGACCCCAAGCGCCGATTGCGCGATACTGGGCTGGGTAAGGTGTCACTCGCCTCCTGTCACTTGTGCCTGGGTTTGAAGGGCTGGTGCCCCTGCCCGGCTGGTTTGCTGGCCGGCCAGTGCAGTGTGGCCAGTGGCCGGAGAGCCAGGTGCCATAGGTTACCACCCTAGTTACCATCCCCTCTATCGATAGGCCATGACATGCCTAGATGTCGCCTGCTGTGCCCACCGATGCGCCGGCCGTTGGCTCCCACACCACCCTCTCGCTTTAACCAACTTCTTCCCCCTCCATTTCGTGGATTTAGAATTTCTGCCATCTCTCTTTTCGACAGCGTCCAGGTACTCCGTTGGTACCTTTATTATTCCTTGGTGCCTGGCTGGTCCGTAGCGGGTGGGCTAGCTTTGTTACTCTACAATTTTTGACAGACTCTTCTCTTAAAACACTCGGTTCCTGTGCCTGTGTGTGCCTGTGAAAGACAATCACTGCAAAGCTTTATCATCATGGTGCTCGCCTGGTTGGCAATCTATGGCCCAAGCCAGGCAACAAGCCAGCATGTCTATCTATCCATTTACGCCAGTGTCCACTGCATCTGACATCTGGTTTGAAAATCATCGCCAATCATGCCATGGCAGTCTCACGACCTCGCCGGGTTAGGGTTCCCAACTGCCGCAGAAAATGCACCACGGACCGTTGACTCTGGTTCCACCAGAACACAATCCCCCCAATTTCTCTGACAAGATCCGCGTAGATGTGACGCCAGCTTGTCGTTTGTTCACAAAGACACAGAGAAGCCCCGAGCCCCGATCTCCGTCTAACTTCTACTGTCTCTAGTCCTTCGCCAAACGCATTCCTCTGTGCAGAAATCAAGAACTGGCACCACTCGTATCTGGTTGTGTCTGGCATCTGTCGCCTCAACCTCCGTCTCACTCTCTGTTTCGCAATCCCGCAAATCTTCTTGTCCCTGGAGGGACGCGCGGCCCACTCCAGAAGAAGCCAAAGGACAGAAAGAAGATTCAACATGCGATGGAGCCGTGTCCGTCATGCCCTTTATCCACCCACGGTCTGTCTTTCGGTCCTTAGAGAGCTCTTTCTATCCAGACACTGGCCGGCCCACCCTTGTCTCCTCCATCCCGGGCACCCCATCAGAACTTTCTTATCCTACCTTATAAACTAGGTATACGGAGTATTTCACATTGATTTTTACAGCTTATCATGCAGCCGACCCGCTGTACCAAAGCAGCTTTTGCATCATGACTTCTGAGACATGCTGCATCTTCCATGGCTGATCCGTCCAACCTTAACCTTGTTTGACTGAAGAAGGAAGCCCGTCATGCCAACTATCGCCAAAAATCCTGCGTTCGGATTCATCAACCGAGGGCACAACTGCTGCTGTCCGTGTTGCGAGGCACAAAATCGCGGTTTCTGCCACCCGGAGCTTCCGAAAGCGAATGCTTGTTATCACAAAAAAGCATTCATTATTGTTCTGATTGCTCTGCGCTTGGTAAACGGAGCTCCATCTCGGCCCACAAGCGGGATGGATGCCCGTACCAGGCACTGAGCCAATGATTTATGCACCCCCCCGTCGAGCTCCATGCCCTCCCAACAAGTAAATACCGGTAGGTATGGAGTACATACTGTAGATACCAAAAGTTCCAGAACTCCTCAAACAGGGCCAAGGGGGTTTCTAGCTATTAGGCCTACGGTGGTACCGCCCAGATAGTGGCCCTACAGCCACAAGCGAGGCTCTGGAGTGTCTAGGAGGTGATACTCCGGACGTGTCTCCCCAGCCACCACTTCCCTTTCCCTGGGTACGGCAGTCTTAGCCATGTGGCTTGTATCAAAATCGCCGTTATGAGCAGCCACTGACTCTGACATCACCACCAGCGCCGAGTGGCATGAACCGGCAAGCATTTCTGGTATTGGACATCTGTAGCGGATGATCATGAGTCTCGAAGCTCGTTTGAGATTTGATCTTCTGAAACAAACTCCTGAAGATCTACATACATATTGTACCAACCCATGCCCTCTTCCTACCCTCCTACCCTCCTACCCTCTTACCCACCATGCGGAGTACACACTGCTTACGAGGTACACGTACTCGGTGTACGTCTCCTCGAAGACATCGCCTAGCCGTGGGAGTTGCAAGCGCCCGGAAATAGCTTCCATGGTCGAACTTGGCGATGCACGACATCTCATGATCGAGCTTTGCAGGACGTCCTGGGTACTGGGTATATCACGGCGAACGCCGCTCTTTCACCACTGGAAAGAAGATGTCTCAGACAAGAATGACGGCGAAGTCTCCTGGCAGCGGTGTACGCTACGTGGTATATGTATGAGTTGTACGGTAAGTCCAACCCGGCAATCCTTCCTTGACCGAAGAAAAGGAAGTGAGACGAGGATTTATAATTGTGCGTTCCCCTGCCTCCCACCCTTCACGGTGCCCATCTATTCTGGGAAACACATCAACCATTACTTCACCCTCTTCAAGGCTCACTGACTTTGTGGATGGGTCACGCTCTCCTCGGTGAACAACGTCTGCGAGCATACGGACGGTGTCGAGAGTGTCAGCGGTTTTCGACAGCTACCCCAGACAACCCACACGGGTGTCTTCGAAAGGGAGAGGCGGGCTTTGAAATCCATGACGGGGCATACACCACTACGTACCACCAGGTAGGGCTTCGGTCAATGTCAATCAGTGTCAGAGAAGAAGTCTGTCGGGGCTCCGCCAGCGCCAATGCCTTCCTTCTCGCTCTGGGGTCAATGAGACAACAGAAGTTCTCGCACGTCCCTTTTGTATGCCATATGCTCGTTGTTGTCCTTCGTTTGAACATGGGGACGGTCAAGCTACGTCGAAGTAGTTACGATCCCATTACCGGTTGGAAGTCCGGATGTGCTCTCCAGATTTCCATGAGATGCACGTCTGTGAGTTGCTTCGGCGAGGGGGGAAAAGAAGGGTACTCCCGGAGTCCACTGGATTTTCCCTTGCTGGTCTACGCAGAAAAAGACTGTGTGTGTAGCTTGTGTCTATCTATCGGGTACTGCCCCGGTGGTGCTAGATATTGATTGGTACTCGTCCTGGTGTCAATGCCAGCCTTGCCTTGCCCGTGCCACTCGCAGACGCCAATACGGAAGCATACACCGTAGCTCTCGGCCTAATCTCTTGTATCCTGCATCATTCCCTCACGCATTGATCCTCGAGATCTCTCGCCAATATCAGGAGCAGGGCCAGAACCCGAACTTTCAAGTGCTTACCCAGAAGATCGCTCTCGAAGGAGTGCAAGCTCGCCCGCTCATACAATAGTCACAACGGGATGAGTGTAGATAAAGACAAATGAGACTGCAGCTGCTTGTGCGAGTCTACAGCTTGTTCGGGGTGCTCTGAGTGTTCCACTGGTATCCAGCGGCGTCACTGAACTTGTAGCCGTAGGCGGCGATGAACTCATCAAGGACGGCAGGGCCGCGAGAGCCTGTGTTGGGAGATCATGTCAGTAGCAATTCAGCACTCTTATCTCGGAGGAGGCTTACCATAAGGATATTCCATGGGCACAATGTCTTTCTTCGCATCGAGGTAGTGCAACAACGGGGTAAAGATCCTCCAGCTAGCATCCAACTCATCGTCACGCACGAAGTTGGAGTGGTCACCCTTCATCGCATCGAGGATCAAGCTTTCGTACGCCTCCGGAATCTTCAAGTCTGAGAAGCGGCGACGGTAGGTGAGATCCAGCTCGGTGACAACGGTCTGCATGGACAAGCCGGGGAGCTTCGAGTTCATCTTGAGGTAGACTGATTCGTTGGGTTGGATACGGATGACGAGTTCGTTGCGCGGGATATCCTTGAAAATACCAGAGGTGACATCCTTGAATTGCACCCGAATCTCAGTCTTCTGCTCGTTGAGAGCCTTACCAGCCTTCAGGATGAAAGGCACACCATCCCAGCGCTCATTCTTGATGAAGGCTACCAACGAGCAGAACGTAGGACACCGCGAGTCCTTGGGGACTGTGTCATCTTCCTTGTATGCAGGCTTGGTGCCATCCAAAGACTTGGCGTACTGGCCAATGATGGTGTTCTTGGGCTCAATCGCAGGAATAGCTCTCAAGACTCTGACTTTCTCGTCACGGATATCTTCAGCGGAGAAAGAGATGGGGCGTTCCATGGCGAGGAGAGTCAAGACCTGGAGCAAATGGTTCTGCATGACATCACGAATAATGCCAAACTCGTCGAAGTAACCGCCTCGCCCTTCTGTACCAAAGGGCTCCTTGAACGTAATCTGGACGTTGTCGATGTGGTTGCGGTTCCAGGTAGCTCCGAGGAACTCGTTGCCAAATCTGAGGATGAGCAAGTTCTTCACCATTTCCTTCCCGAGATAATGGTCAATACGGAAAATCTCCTCTTCTTTCCAATCGGGCTCAAGGCTGAGAGAACCAATGTTAGTCTGGGCGCGCTGCTGGCTACACAAGCTTGTCACTTACGCCTTCTGCAGCTGCCGTGAGCTGCCCAGGTCCTTGCCGAAAGGCTTCTCAATGATGATCCGGGCAATGCCCTTGGTGGGATAGCAATTCCGCTTGAGATGTTCCGAAACTGTGATGAAGACACTGGGAGGGAGGGCCATATAGAACACTCGGTTACCCTCCTTGCGATTCTTCTCAATCTCTTCCATGTGCTTGTTCAAAACCTGGAAAGGCTCATCTTGATCATATTGACCGGCAATGTACGTGCAGATGGAGCAGAACTGGTCGAGTTGTTCCTCGATGTCTTTCGTTGGTGTTTTTATGTAGGATCGAACTCTTCGCAGGTATTCAGTGTGGTCCATCTTAGTTCGGGCATATCCAATGATCTTGATGTCTTTGGGGAGGAATTTGTTGCGAAACTGCGGTGACCATTGTGTTAGTTTGCTTTGCTCAACACAATGGGGACTCGGGGGGAGGACAAGGTGAAACTCACCAGCCCGAAGAGTGCAGGGAACGTCTTCTTCTTTGCCAGATCACCTGAAGCGCCGAGCACCACTATGACCGTGTTCTCCTTGAGTTCGATGGAGCTGTCAAAGGGTCACCCACGTTAGTAAAATCCCATTCAACGAATTTCGAAGGGCATCAAGAGTGGGGGGCCAGAGCGGGATCCGATGCCGCTGTGAAGCGCACAGAACGCACTCAGAGTGCACTCACCCAGCATTTTCAGGCTCTTCCGCATGAATGATTGTGTCGGCCATGGTGACTGAAGAGATTGGAAGTGATAGAGAAGGAATGAGATAGAAAGAAGAGTGAGATCAACAGAAGAGGTCGACCAAAAATTTATTTGAGATGGTGTTCTGTCAATATGCGGTGGGATGGGCGATTAGCGGCGCAATAGTGACAAAGCTGCGTTGGTAGCCGGAAATAACAAATGGAGAATTGAGCGCTGATTGCGGGAGCCGGAGTGAGCTGCTGTCAGTAGTTCCGCCGCGGTTGATTGATGAGTGCCACTGTAATTGCTGGCTGGAAGTTGAGTAATGGTTGATGGGCGATGGTGGGGCAGACACCAGCGCAGTTGGTCCCTGGACACTTGAGGCAGCTGCTCCCTCTATTTTTTTTCCCTTTCGTGCCCCGCGAATGCTTCGAGACCACGGTGGTCCGGCGTTTAGCTCGGTAATAGGCCGATGCTGAAGGCCGAGATGAGTTTCTCGATGACTTAACAATGATCCTACAGAGACAAAATTTGAAGTGACAGAAACAGCACACGTAGCCTAAGCACGATATCAATAATATACCTTCTTGTGCAAGGACCCTGTATTTGGCCTGTGCTCAAACGCTTTCGTCACCAATGGGAGGTCTATTACTACTGAAGCACATCCTGACCAGACGGAATGATCGGCTACGTCCTCATAGCTCATCTGGCCCCTTCCTCGCGTTTGCCTGTCTGAGCACCGAGTAGATTGAGTTGCTTCGTCACGGTCGCACCCTTATGTAATCGCTTCCATGCTGCAGATTGCTAAGTCTGGACAATTTCTGGAAGGCCTCTGAGCTCTCTGGATTGGTTTGTGTCTCTCAGTGCTGCGCCGAGGAGCTTACCATCATCTTTGCTCATCCTTCTCAACAGAGATGGAAAATGGATTCCTGGAAGAGAAACCGCGCCGCTTGCTTGCCGAGGAACACGAGGACAGAGTATTAGCCTGTTATCGGAGGACGTGCGACCCCGGACGATTTTCCTCGACCGACCGTTCGGAAGCGAGTGAGCAATAGTCTGCGGTGGCAGAACGCCCTTAAAGGGAAAATGTCGCCGGCACGCCTAGTAGATCTGTCACAGTCACGTGATGGTGAAATCTTGGCAGTCTAGATTTAACACGGATTAGTGGCACACAATGCCAATTTTCGCAGGTAGGAACCGCAGTCACACCCACCAACTTTTCGAAGTCGACGAGACATCCGAACACTCGACTACCTTCCACGCGCTTTCACCCTCTCCCGTCAGTCAGTTCTCCCACCGTCAAGATGGTCTCCGCCGGCGGTCACAGATGTATGTGCATTCTCCCTGGCCGCACTCTTCATCATATCCCGTGCGAGAGAAAGTCTGAGGACAATTGCAATTGGGATCGGGATTGAAGTTGTTGCAACAAGCAACGCAGAAATAATGGAAAAGGACCGAAGCTGATTATCCTGGTGATATCTAGTATACGTGAAGGGCAAGCACCTCTCCTACCAACGCGGCAAGCGCAATACCAACCCCAACACATCGCTCCTCAAGATCGAAGGCGTCGACGATACGAATGCTGCAAAGTATGTTTCCACCTCGCTCTCTTCAGCCATGTGATCTCCATCATTTTCGCTTCACGAAGTCAAGGGCAGGACAAAGGAACGGACGGATAGCGAAAGAGGAGGAACCGGGGTTATCAAGATCGGGTTCCTCCTTGCCCACACGCCCCGAACGAGTACCCATCTCATCTGAGGACTACAGCTGCGACGCAGCCTGTCTCCTTCCTACACTCATCTGCCCATCAACCTGTGTTTGGAGGACCTCCAGTTCTCGGAACACACTATACCACATGCAAGCCTCATAGCTATTTTTGTGTACTAATTCATGGCATCGCAGATTCTACCTCGGCAAGCGCGTTGCATATGTCTACCGTGCTTCGACGGAACGCCAAGGTAGCAAGATCCGTGTGATTTGGGGAAAAGTCACTCGCCCTCATGGCAACAGCGGCATCGTGCGTGCTAAATTCCGACACAACCTCCCACCCAAGAGTTTCGGCGCGAGCGTGCGGATTATGCTTTATCCAAGTTCGATATGAGTTGTTCCATCTTTGCATGGACGTCGGGGGGAGTGGAGGTGGATGTTGAACGCAGAAGAGACGTCCTCACAAGTACCGGATGAGTGGTGACGGCGTTCAAGGTGGATGACCTGGTGAGAGAAGGAGTAAGAGCATGATTCATCGGACACAAGGGAGCGGCAAGCAGGGAAGTGTCAATTTCAGCGCGTGCAAGGTTTGAGATGGAGAGCGGCTGCATTCTACCTCATGCCTGGTATGTGGAAGTGGTGGAACTAGACAACGACACCTGCTGCTGTAGGTCTCTGGACCTTTTCCAACACCGGTGGATTGTGGGGGGTGAGACTATCCGGAGAGGGAGCAACTGCTGCTGCTGATACTACACGGCTTTCATCAGAAAAAAAAGCTCAGTGGGCGCAAAATGACTAGTTTCGCTGCGAACTTCCCCAGCGCAGCAGCGTTTCATTCCTGCGTGCGCACGAATCACACAAAAATTGAGAATCTTCTGAATAATCATGCGCTCCGGGGAGAAGTTGAGTCGCTTCCCCCTTTTTGAGAACCCTTCTCTTCTTCTCCTTCTTCTCCTCCTTCTCCTCCCTTTTCATTATCCGCTTCCACGACCTGATGATATCTGAATTGTTTGTTTCCCCAGGCTTGGAATGGTGACTTGTCACAGACAACGCTAGATCTACGGGACAACAGGTATCGACCTTTTTCCTTTCCTGTAAGACACAAATGCAAGTCCCAAGTTTCGATGCTAGTAGAACTTGGAAAAAAAGACAGTCTTAAGCAACAGTGAAGATGAACGGATGACCACCCACCAAGTTTTCGATTCTAGTATTATGTAGAAGATGTCTCCATATACATGCGTCTTTATACAATATATACCTATCCATGCCATTAATCAATCAATCAGTCAGTCAATTAATCCCGTCCATCGAATCGTGTATGTAAATCAGAGACCCTCGCTCGCCGGCGAAATATGCGAAAACCCAAAAGTCGCAATTGCTTTGTGACGCCCGCCACCCCGCTCCTGGACAGAAAAAGGATACTCTGTCTGTGCGTTCCTGTACAAGAGAGTGTCGGAGCCGGTCAAAATGGCAATGTCGAGAGGCAGCATTGACGAATGTCATAGACCGGATACGATGGGAAGGCAAGAGGGGCATAGTCTACAGAACAGCTCGTTCACGCAGAACTAGGCCCGCCGATGATGGGTCGGACCAGCGCGTTGGCAAAGAGGGCGACACCCCACGCAACACCTTCCCCAACGACGCTTCCAGGACAGAAGGCGGTGCCGGTATTGAGGATGAACGCTGTCAGGAACGGGACAAGTCAGTATACGGATTCTGAACAAACACCCATCTGGGGGAGAGGAGGATGAGGCGAAGGTTGGGAAAAGAGGACAACTTACTGCTCCAAATGACCCAACTCGTCACAAACACCGCGATCATGTTGATCCCGGCAACCGAAAAGACGAATCTCCAGAACTTGGAAAGCGATGACTCGCGTTTATTGGATCCAACCACATTGTACACGATGTCGTCGTGGTCCTTCCTCTTGTCCCTTGCACAGGCGTGGCCCAACATGACCACCATGAGGAAAACACTGATGCCGCCGGCACCGGCGATGGCGTAGAAAGAGTTCCAGAAGCGCAGGTACGAGTCGTCTTCCGAACAGTCGCCCGCATCATAGGCGTCGGGCCGGTGCAGGATATACCAGAGGGCGAAAGGCAGACTGAAGATATTGAGCAGAGTGTCTTCGACCGTGTGATCCTTGAGTGACCACAGATAGGTATTCTCGTCGCCCTTTTGGCCGAAACAGACGCGAGCGATGATGAAGAACAGGAGCGTGAAGACGCTGGCTCGAGGTCGCATGGTCCAAAAGCCAAAGAGCATAAAAGCGTTTGGACGGAAGCCGTTGTTTCGGAGAAGGTAAGTGGCAGCGAACATGGCGGCTATCGAGATAAGGGATGTGACGATACCCGCAAAGGGCGTCCAGCGAGTGCTGGAGAAGCAGTTGAAGCGGGCAATGACCCGACGAACTCGCTCGTGGCCTGTCATCAGGGTATATGTTGGCATGTCGTTTCTAGGATTGGGAGGATGGATAGTTCGGTGGGTGAGCCGACAGAGCCTTACCTGTGATCAAGGAGAGCAGGGCCACCTCAGCATTGAAAATACCAATTGAGGCAAGCAGAGAGTAGGTTGTGGGACAGTTCGCAAGGCCAGCTTCGTCAATCAGACCCCGTGGCATGCATATGAGATTGCCGGCCATGTCGAGAAGCCGTAGAGGTAGAAGGGCCGATAAGGCTGAGGCGCTGGAATGGCTGCGGTGTGGTAGCCAGGGATGCTGTCCAGCCGACACAGGGAAATGAATGTATTTTAGGGGACTTTGATCGAGTAAAGATCATCGGGCTGCAACATTGCGATCAACAGGACAATATATAAGACATTGTCTACCTCGTGTGCGGCACGAATCATGGGAAGACAGGTCTGGGTGGGGGCTGTGCCCGATTCGAAGCCCCAAGAGGCTTGCAGAAATCCCGTATTTTTGCTGTGCATAATAGCACTGAGTCCTACAACGAGTCCACCTTGTAGGTTCCTCGAATAGAAGCGTGCATGGTCCGGCACCACCACCACTGACGAACATTGGTTCCTTCTGAGGGAATTCGGAGGACACCAGAGACATTATCGTAGTAGGATAGTGATGCAGTTTCTTTGAAAGCGATTGGACCTGTCCGTGTCGAGCGACATATGCCTCCTTCTTCAGATATGGCTCTCGAAGGGCACATTTGTGATCAATGAGGCAGTTGAACTTCTTCTGTGAGGGCAAGATCCAGTGTTCCCAAGCGAATTCCAGCCGGGATAAGTCCACTTTGGGCATATCAACACCCAGACCCTCCACAGACCAAGGTAAACAGTAGAGGTCTGTAGCCGACGCAAGCCACGTCCAGTTCAGAACCAATGACGCCGACTTTGGACCAGAATTGGCGTGGAATTGTTGGACAAAACTGGAAACCTTCTGCAGGCTCTGCTTGATGCAACGGGCTGAAAGCGGCTGAGCGAACAGGGATCATGCACTCGTCTTCCAATGGGGCGACACTTGCAAAGTCAGCCACTCCCGTAGCCTCGCGTAGAGAACGCCCATTTGGGGCGAAGCCTGGTGAGGCTCAACTCCAGTCAAGCCGTCTGTTCCGAGTGACTTGTGCGATCTGATCCATGCAAATTGATGGGATCAGTACAATGGTCCTATACAATCTTTTCACTTGACAAAAGGGCAGTGAAAAGCAAAGACTGGAATAAACTGGTGTTGTCCGTAGAAGCAAGAACAAGCTTGTATTCATCATCAACCCAAGTGCTTCAGCCGTCTAGCAGCTTCTGCTGAGATCAAGGAGCACAACGCCCCGATAAACATACACACGGCGATTGCATTCGGCGCGTTCTTCTTCAGATTGAGCCACCGATGATGATCGGGATCTTCGTCCGCGATATCAGTGTACTGGCTCGGCTCGAGAATCGAGAAGACAATCCAACTAACGAAAGTCCCGACGAACTGCGGTAGGGTTGTATAGACATTCAACACGCCTAGGTAGACGCCCGCAAGCTCTCCCGTTGAAGAATGAGCGTCGCCTTCATCGGGATGACTGAGTCGCAGCACACCCTCAGAAAAGGCCCTTCGGTGTTGTCGTACTTCCTCTATTTCGACACCGTAATCCTCATCAAAGCTGCCACGGGCCGCCGCGCATCCCGGAACAGTTGATCCGTTAATATTGGCGTGTGATCCGGAAGACATCTTGTTGATCTCGATACCCAGCAGCCCAAATGGTGCCCAGCACGATATGGCCCAGGGTACGCCACAAGCAGCTACCAGAGTGGTTGCAGAAGATAGCGTGCGGACCCAAGGGGCAAATATTGTAATGAGCGCAAAGAGAAGATTCGATAAGCTCCATGCCGAGATGAGATTAGGCTGGATGTTGTAGGCCTTGCCTAAGATCACCTTGAAGGGTTTCGGTATCGAAGCAGGAGGTCGAGGAGTGAATTTCGCCTCGGGCGCCTCCGGTGCTTTGATGAGGGACGGGAAAATGACCGAAGCACAAAAGGTGGTTAACGAGAAAAACACCAATGCAAGGCTTCCCAGTCGCCCTATATTTCCCAGAGCATCATGCTCATCCTTCACACCCGGTTCGGGAGCGGGATGTTCGTAACGATAGTAAATCTCCCCCACGAATGTGCTCGAGTAGAACAGGAAGGGAAACCTAGGACCGGTACATTTCAGTGCCTCTCCTTTCGCTGAAAACCGTCAAGGGGATTTTGACTTACCATCCAACCCAGTTCCAGAACTGCACCCAACATATCGCTCGTATGCGTGGAGGGAGGTTAATTGTCTTCCGCCAGAGACTGAAAAGCACCTCTTTCACAGAGGTGTTATCGTCCTCACTGGGCAACCTCACTCTCTCTGTAACAGCCCAGCAGGTTATGCCCACTGTGGACCACAAAGCTAACGTTGCAATGACCGTCATTTTCTTGAATTGGGTATCACCTCCTATCCAAGGTGGCAGCATTGTGACCAGATCAAAAGTGCCGATGAAGTAGCTGGCAAGATGGCCTGCGGCAACAAGCCTCGATGCCCACGCAGATCCAGCTTGCTGCTGCGAGATGGGTAGTGTATCGACGATCAAGCTGCGACAGCACGCCTGGACTGCATTGATTGAAAAGTCCAACGCATAAATGCACAAGACGGCAGCCAGGATGGTCAGGCTCTTCTTCACATCGCCTTCAGGCAAGAAAAAGCCCACGACTTCAGATGTCCAGCCCAGCAACAGCAATCCGCCACCCGTGACAACCGCTCCATAGACCATATAAGGTCTTCGCCTGCCGTATCTTGACGTCGATTTGTCTGCATAAGCCCCAACTATTGGTTGCATGATCAAGCCTGAAAGTGGTCCTGCGATCCATACCAGAGATGTTTTTGACTTTGTGAGACCGAGTTGAAGGAGGTAAGGAGTGCCGTATGTCACTGGACCACCCTCGTCAGCGTGGGCCACAAGGAAGCCTGACAGGATTGTCTGAACAGAGAACTTACTCTCCAAGCCCCAGCAGAATCTTTCGTCAAGCACTTGTCAGTTCACAGGTTCTCCATTGAAGCCGAAATGGAGGTGGCGCCACATACTGTATGCCGACCAGAGAGGCGGTGAGCAAGCACATACGGATGGCTTCAGTTGAGCCTCTGATGGAGGGTGTGCCACTCCATGCTGCAGTTTTCTCCATCTCATGGGGAGAGGCGCAACGAAAGCTTAGAGATCGTAATGTGCTGGCCACCTCAGGAACTGGAACATCTGCGCGCTGGAGCAAACAGACAGCAGGCTGTCTTCAGTCACTATCACCGGCCACGGCGAGATATAAAAGCCCATGGCTTAAAAAGGGGGTTCCCTTATCTCGGCATGGCATGGGTGCTATTATCTTAGAGGTCGCGTGTCACACAAGAACTCCTTGAAGGTTAGGGAGACGCGTTTCTGGGTCCACGCAATGACGTACTTCTCCCGCCGCTTTGAGCAACACAATGAGTAAAGAGACAGGAGTGCCAAAAGTCAGCCAACTTGCGAGATACCAGTTAAAGGTCAGCGATACTTCTTTTATGATGAGCCTTTCAGAACTCTTCACATTCGTACAGCCCTGATCTTCAATGCGGAAGGCCCACCCTACTGGAGCAAGGGTCTTGATCACGGAGCCATTTTTGGTTGCCACTCTCTCCATTCTGTCTGGATCAGCTAGCTACACGATGGACATATGTAAGTTTTTAGTCTATGCGAATGGGTCCTGGACAAGACTACGAATTCCACACTCTTTTCAGGTCTGAACCTCATTTCTTCACGTAGTCTTCCGAAGTTGCACCAGCTCCTGAATGAAATCAGCCAACGGTTTAGGGTGTTGCAGATCAGACGGCCGCACCAGAGATGAAGAACCATTTGTCAACGCTTCCATCAATTGGCGCAGGAGGAAGGTTCTGTCCCGGAGGGATTTTGGAGAGTTGCGATGGGTCGACACGGTCTGGGGAGCTGGTATTTGTGACATTGGCCAGACTGATATCGCCGCGTTGTTGCTTGCCAGTGATCAGACGTTCCCAAGCGTCACTGCATTCGCGGATAATCTCCTCGGCGTACTTCTTGTTCTTGCATTCACCGCTAAAGGCGAATTGGTTCTCAGGCTTTCCATCTGGGATCTTGTAGATACGGAACCATTCGTTCGTCGCCCGGAGGAGGCCAGGGAGATGACGCTCAACGTCTTCAATATCGTTCAATTTGGGGGCCAGAGGATCGTTGACCTATGGCGATGTTAGGGATAGGTGAGCCGATAAGATATGGCGGGGACGACTCACATCAATGACAATAATCTTCCAGTCGGTCTCTTCCTCGTCGAGAAGTGCCATGACACCAAGGACCTTGACCTGTTTGATCTGACCAGTATAGCCGACCAGCTCCCCGATTTCGCAGACGTCCAATGGGTCGTTATCGCCCTTTGCTTTGGTTTCGGGATGAACAACGTTGGGGTCCTCCCAGGTCTGTGAACCGTTAATCAAGTGCAATCTCTTCATCTCTCACCGCCACTCACTCTTGGGAAAGCACCATAGTTCCAGAGGTAGCCCTTGTGAGGGAAGCAGTTGCGAACGAATCGGAGTTTTCCTTTCTTGACGTCTTGCTTGATGGGGTTCAGGAATTCGTCTTTGGAGATCTGGTCGTCGGTCAGCAACTGGGTTTTGGTCCTCAGGTTGGAGATTCCTTACCTCAAGCTTTGCGTTGGACCATCGAGGGATCTCGACAATCATGTTCAGGATCGTTTGCTGCTCATTGGCATAGAGAGGGATGTCATGGAAGGGCGAGACCGGAGTGCCATCTTTCTCAATGTAGCATCTGAACTCATTCGTGTGAAGAGCGCCAATTTTTCTGGGCTGGTATTCGGAAGGTTGCTTGCTGTACGACATCGTGGAATACGCTGCTGGACGTGATGATGAAGCACAAGCAGAGAAGTGACGGGCAATAGCTTCTGAGCGTTGGGAAGCTATGGTGGTAGAGGTGGAGTGACGGAGGGGAGGAGAGATGGAATTTTCTGTCGGCTTGGTGGAAGCCAGGGCGAAAGTGCCAGTGAGGAAACGATGAGCGAACTTGTTGGAGGCAGTGGCGCGGGGCAGGAGGCACAGTGTTGACAATTGGCGGTGAAATGACGATGGATTCTGAATGGACGAGAAATCCGAGAGGCTGCTGCAGGTGCGCGAAGTGTGAATTCTGGTCAGGGTGCTAGACGCTCGAGACATGTGCATACATATGAAGGCTGAAATAGGGGAGACTAGGCTACTGTTCAAGACCTTTAATTTTCTAGTCTTGTAATCTGACTGTGCAACGTTATTCCACCTCGGTATGCGAAAATGAGTTGAGCTTCCCATACTCCGAAATTCCATCGAACTTGGATATGATATCAATGGTCGACTTTGCCGCCTCAGGCAATCCCGAGTTTTTAGCTATCTTCACGTGATAGGACTTTGCGCCTATCTGCACGTGATATGCCCACTCCAATTTTTCCCGACTGCGCAACCTGCGATCTCCATAGACTCCTGTGGACAAATCATTTGGCTCTTCCATGTTTGATTCATCACTGTGCTCCATATGACTGTCGGCCATGCTGCTCGGCCGCAGTCTCTGTTACGACGCACTTTATCCATCCTAGATCACCTTGTGCCCACTGTCATTCCGAGAAGAATGGCGACCCCTCTCCCTTTCCAAGATGTTTCTCATGTTCCCATCCCAGCGAGAGGAACTGATTACCGGGGAAAAGTAGTTCTCGCACCCATGGTTCGGTCTGGGGAACTCCCATCACGCCTTCTGGCCCTCAAGTACGGTGCAGACCTGGTATGGGGTCCTGAGACGGTCGATCGATCCATGATTGGAACCACACGAAACACCAACCCTCGAACTGGCTGCATAGAGTGGACTCGTACTTCCAACAATGATTCAACGAGTGTGATATACCGCATCGATCCTCAGAGAGAATCGGACAAATTAATTTATCAAATTGGCACCGCTTCACCCGATTACGCTGTCCAAGCTGCGACGCTTGTTGCCCCTTATGTTCGTGGAATCGACGTGAATGCAGGCTGTCCAAAGCCGTTCTCTACTTCAGGAGGCATGGGCGCAGCACTGCTTCGAACTCCGGATCATCTTTGTGATATTCTCACAGCCCTGGTCACGAAAGTGGGAATACCTCATGAGATCGGTATCAGCGTCAAGATTCGTTTGCTGGAGACACCTGAACTGACGTCGGAGCTTGTCAACAAACTCTGCAAAACTGGCATCACTGGTCTGACCATTCATTGCAGAACTACCCCAATGAGACCGAGAGAACGCGCTATCAGGGAACAACTCCGGATGATCGGCGACATATGCAGAAGCCATGGGGTCGCTTGCCTGATGAACGGAGATGTGAAATCGCGCGAAGAAGGACTGACTCTGGCAAAGGAGTATGGTGTTGACGGAGCAATGATCGCTACGGCTGCGGAGGCTAATTCATCAGTGTTTCGGAGCAAGGAGCAGGGTGGATTGGCGCCCTGGAAGGAAGTTGTCAAAGAGTATTTGCAGCTTGCGATGAGCGTCGAGAACAAATGGGGAAACACAAAATTCCTCCTTTCTCAGCTCATGCCCGGAAAAAATCCCGCCTACCAACCAGTGCAGAAGTCACGAAGCTATACAGAAGCCCTTTCGCTTTTGGAGATCTCCGATTCGGATATGGTGGCGAAGGCACAAGAGATTGATCAAATCCTGCGTCTGAATGTTACGCAAACAACCAAATCAGATATCAAGCGACAACACAAACAGGAGAATCGAGAAAATCAGCTGAAGAATAAAGAAAAGAAGAGGGTCCTGGAGCAAAGAAGTGACCAGAACGAACACATCCAGCAGGAGCGGAACAAGAAGCAAAAGGCTGAGATCGCAGCAGAAAACTCAGGGTTTGATGGAGTTGGACAGGGCGCGATGGCAGTCGCAGCGTGAGTCTACGGGACTTGATCAAAAATCAATCCTCAAACGGTTGTGGTCCTCGAAATTCGGTCTGGCTTTTGACGGAAAATCAGACACCACTGCTCGCCACACCACAGCTGAACCGGTATACGCGCATCGATGCTGTAGTTCCGGAGGACTTGGTGGGAGCTTCTATATGGCCATTCGTCTCTCGGACATACCATTGGCGTCGTGCGCAGTTGTGTCGAAGGTGGGAAAGATCTGAGATCGCAAAAAACCGAGAACGGCTGAGCCCCTGAGGTGCTCCGGTGAGCAGATTGACCAGACTCTGTACCGGAGACGGCTTTCCTGGACCCATTGGCAACAGAAGCAGATGATCAAAAGACAGCCAGAGCCTTTTGCCCGTCATCAACCGACTTGTTAGAGCAATATTTCCTCGAACTCAATGGTTGGAGAGAGCCGCAAAGCCTGCCACCATAGTCTTCGGAAATTACGATGAATGTTTGAAGTTATCACGACCTCGAATCTTTCACTTTGGCCAATATTGAAGATACAAACCGCGCCATGCTTTTCCTGCTCTCGACACGATTCATACATGTGTTGAGACCAACAACAATATCTAGAATACCATAGGCCGGGCCCACAGCCGCAGTTGCCCAATTCGCTTTTCATACATGGTGATCAGGTTTTTGAAGTCATAGATTCGCACCCCAGCTGTCTGCCATGACTGATCTCCCGAGCTCCCACATATCTTTGCTGTTCTTCCGCAAAATGACCATATTCCTACATTTCCGTGCCTGCAATGACCACAGCAACCGTCTATCTCTCAGGACACTCAAACATCTAGTGCTGGGTTTGCTGCAGCGAATTTCGACTTCGTCGAGAACAGATTTCGTGAGCTCCTGCGGGCTGGACTGCGTGGCCCGCTTCTCTGTCCGCTTCTCATGGTCTGGCCCTCGGACATGGCTGTCAGCCGATCCATTTGCCTCGCAGTATGCTTCAGAAAGATCGATTTGGACCTCATCAGCCAGCCAGCTCTTCTTTCCTTGCCAATACTCTTGCGTGTCTGTCAACTTCCTCCACAATATCGCGTAGGGTCACTCTCTCCCCGGATCCTTTCTTTCCCTTGTTCACGCTCGTGGTCGGGTTTCCTTCTAGGTTCGTCCATCGCGGGACCTCAGCCCCCCATGAGTATTTTACCACTTTTCCATCTTTAAATCCGAGTTCTAAAGTGCTGGGCTCGGCGGAGGTTCGCGGTAGAGCAGTGGAGGATATCTTGAGGCTCTTGTGAGCATCAGCAGGGAGGAGGGTGAGGAACAGGCGCGGAATTTTGGATGATGCGCTGAATGGATTGAATCTCGCTTTTAGCGAGGTCAGATATGTCGTTATCATGTTTGCGATTCAACAGGATGTTTGGTGTTCGTCGTTTTGTAGAAGAGCCATGGCAGCATTGGAATCGTTCTCGAAAAGTCGCCCAGGTCCTGAGCTTCGGCAGACCTGCCCGCTGGCAACGGGTTTTTGCACTGTTTGTTCTGTTTGCACCTATGATGTGGATACTCGGGACATGTCAACGCTCTAACAAGCACGACATCCTTACTCCGTGTTGGCTGCAACGATGTCTCTCTCCCTGTCGCAACGCCTTCAAGCCCTCGCAGACTCCTACAAAGAGATACTCTCCCAAATTCAAGAACTTCGCAAGTTTTCGGCGAGCTCATATCCCTTCGGCAATCCAGATGAACGACGCCTCGAGCTCGCTACTGAAATCCACGACAGTCTCAAGGAACAAGAAGACAATTTAGAAACTCTGCGGCAGGAATTCGAAGACGATGCCATCCCGAACCATCGACGAGACCTCTCTAGTCGAGAAAACGAGCGGGAAAGAAACGCAGACTTGCTAGCGCGACTCTCGGAAGATCTGAAGAGCGCCAGAGCTAGTTTTCGAAAAGCACAACTTCAAGCGAAAAGGAATGCGGACGCAGAAAGGCGGAAGGAGAGAGAACAGTTATTTGCAGATCGGAAACAAGATGGCAAACAGCAAGCCCGCGGACGGCCTACACATGAGAAATTGACACAGGACGAACTAGCCCTACGCGCCGCACAGGACGTGACGATCGCGCTACGGAGGGTACACAATCAACTCGAAGGAGAGCTATCCGTATCACAATTTGCTCAACAGACTTTGGAAGAAAGCCAACAGGCGTTGGACAGTTTGACGCACAGTTATGCAGGAACCACCGATTTATTGAAAGCAAGCAGGGGGTTCGTGGGTCAGTTAGTACGGAGCAACAAGTCGGACACTTGGTTCTTGAAATCCTCCTTCTACATACTTGCTGCAACAATATGCTGGCTCTTCTACAGAAGGATCCTCTACGGGCCGATGATGCTATTTATTTGGTGGCCATTGCGGATCATGTGGTGGGTCACTTTGACAAGTTTTGGGGCTTTGGGATTGGGTGGCAAGTCCGACGATGTGACATCGCCTGCTCCAATACCTTCTCTAACAATCTCAATGCCCGGGATGAATGCAAGAGGAATGCCTACGCACCAGTCCAACATTTATTTCAAGAGCATGGAGCTGCCAGCGAAAGGGGGTGGGAGAGGACCACCACCACAGATTCCGCAGCAAAATACACCCGAGCAGGCCATCGACAGCATGATTGAGAAAGTTGGGAGGATGATGGACGACCAGGAGACGGATGTGGATGACATCACAGATGAAGAACGTAGGGCACAACAAGACCAGCCCAAGAATACAAAGAAGAGGATGATGGAGGTGGACGTTGAGCAAGTGAGGGATGAGTTATGATTTCACGGCATGATGAACTGATATTGGTCAAAGCCCTTCGTCTCTTCTTGAATGATTTTGCTCTCGTGTTCCCCTTCTCGGGTTCCCCTTGAAGACCTGGCCTCCTGACTTGCTCAGCCTTGTGTCAGCACGTTCAATCTTCTTTCTGCCTATCCCTTTGAACGCGTCCTCAGGAGTATATAACGGGAGCGCCCTCCGAAAAACCTCATAAGAGTGCCCGAGGGCATCTGGAAAATATCTCATAGCACGTTTTGCCCCGTAGGAAGTTGTAAGTAGGTAGTTGTTGGAAGCAGAGACACGATCACGTGCCAACATTTCGTTGCCAAGGCCAATAGCCACTTAACGCGTCTTCAGGACATCTCCTGGGGACGCGTTCTCCGCAACAACTTTTGGTGCTGGTTTTGCACAACCACAACCACCTACAGAACCTGTCTGTTCGCTTCCAGCAAATCCAAAGATGGCGAACTTCTTCGACCGCGCTCGTGGAGCCTCCAGCTCCAAACCCTCCGCCACCAAATCGGTTGTTGAACAAGCCCCTGCAGCGCAGCCTTGGACGGAGAAGTACCGGCCACGGAGCCTCGAAGAAGTGAAGAGCCAGGAGCATGCCACCGAGACCCTTCGCCGCATGGTCAACGCCTCGAACCTCCCTCACCTCCTCTGCTATGGCCCACCGGGGAACGGCAAGACGTCCACGATCCTCGCTCTCTGTCGCGAACTCTTCGGGCCCGAACTCATGAAGACGCGGGTCCTGGAACTCAACGCCTCGGACGAGCGAGGTCTTTCCGTCATCAGGGAACGAGTCAAGCAGTTCGCCTCGCTGCACCTGACACACCCGTCCTCGGCCGAATACCGCAAGAAGTACCCGTGTCCCAACTTCAAGGTGGTCTTGTTGGACGAGGCGGATCAGCTCACGCAGGATGCGCAGGGAGCGTTGAGGCGGGTGATGGAGATCCACAGCGCAACTACCCGGTTTGCGCTGTGCTGCAACTACGTGTCAAGAATCATTGACCCCATTGCTTCGCGGTGTTCCAAGTTCCGATTCAAGGCTCTGGAAGGATCCGAGGCAGTGGCGCGGATCGAAGCGATCCTCAAGGCGGAGAATGTGAAATACGAAGGGGGTGTCATTGAGAGAACCCTGAAAGTTTCGGATGGGGATCTTCGACGTGCCATCAATCTTCTCCAGAGCGCGGCTCGACTTGTCGGCGCTTCGGCCTCGACATCGAACTCGAACGGCCACAAGAAGAAAGTAGTCGCGGACGAATCGGATGACGAAATGGAGGATGTCGATGAGGCCAAGTCGAAACCTGCCCAGGCAAGTAACATGATCAAGGTCTCCGACATCAACGAAATCGCCGGTACATTCCCCCCGGATCTGACGGACAACCTCCTCGGCATCCTCCAAAAGGGCAACACGCGAAACTTCAACAACATCGCGTCGGAGATCACCAACATCGTCGCGAGCGGGTATGCCGCCAACGAGGTTCTCTCTGCGCTGTATTCGGCGGTGGTGCTGGGCGAGGAAGACGTGGTCGTCAACGGCAAGAAAGACGCCGCTCTCCGGAAAAAGTACAAGCTGACGGCGATCTTCTCCGAGTACGACAAGAAGTTGGTCGACGGAGTTGATGAACATCTCGCTTTGCTCGATATGAGCTGTCAGATTGCAGGGATTCTGGCTGCGTAAATGCATAGATAGGGCTCTCTGCGATGGTGGTCGTTATGTCCCTGGCCGCTGTCTGGGCGGATTTGAAGATGTTATGCCTGCATGAGCGATGGCGTTTGCGGTTTCCTCCAAGAGTGGCGCGTGTTTCCGGCAGGGAAGGGAATGGAAAAGGATAGGTTTGACCACGCATAGGGAAAACAAAGTGGATGTGAACATGAAGTCAGCCCTCCTCACGACTTTGACCATCGGATCTCCAAGACAGATGGGCGTCTTGCTCAGAACAAGTATACAAAGGATCAAATGAGATGGAGAAATAAAGTCAGCCAGTAATGGCTTGCAGATGATAGAAATTCTAGAGTTCAACACTCCGAGGTCAACTACATTGTTTTCGTGGTTGTTTCCGTCTGTCCAACTCGATATCAAGCACGAGGCTGAGAATGTCCGATACGCTCTTCCAGATATCGAGGGTCTCGCGCACTCAGACGCCGCTAGCCATTATCCTTTCCAGAGCACCACCATTGGTTCCGTGTGCAAAGGAAAAAAAAACATGCACGCAAGCAAACTCAGCAAAGTATTGTGGATGCACCAACCAACCCCCAACCCCATTCGCGTCACGTCAAGGGCGAGTCAAGTCGCTCCACAGTAATCATTGCAAGGGACATGCTGCAGTGAGAGATTTTCGTGCTTTCGTTCTGCTTTTCTGGGGACTTTGGCGGACTCCAAGAGTGTTTCACTTTGTTCTGGAGATTGTTATGTGACCAGTGTGACGTGTGATATCTGGTGTTTGGGAGGCTATTCGGTGTAGGTTCGTGGTGTCAGGTATATATGCTCATGGTAGATTCACTGCTGGCACTTGAAGGTGCTCTGATGGTAGTAGCTTTGGTGCCTGGTCTACCTTGGCCGCCGTCCGTCTGCAAATGTGAGATGGATGTCGTTTCTAGATGACGGGGAAGGGCTTAAGGAAGTTGATGATTAGAACTACCGTCGTTTCTGGGGTGATCGAGCGATTGAATTATCTCCATCAGCTGTGATGTAGGTTTCGGTGGTGGACGACCTGTCCGTGGTGCCGTTGCCGTAGACATGTCCCATGGAGCCTGCTGTCGCTTCTGAGGATTCAGATCCACTATATTTCTTGATATTGAGGAGGCTTGATTCATCTGCTCTGAGAGTGTGTCCGTGGCCTTGCCCTTCTGCTTGCCCGTGGGTTTGGTTGCTTGTTTTGGACTCGTCGTCGACGACGGCAACGATGACAACTTCTGTTCCTCCCGCGCTATTCTTTTCTATGTTCTCTCTCGTCAGCTTTCCGGGCGCTCATTGAGCATTATGAAATCCTGTGGTGAGGGAGGGGCTGTGGTGCAGAACAAAAAGAAAAACTTGCCTGTCTTTTCACAGGCTGAATGTTCTCGAGATTTTTCTCGTCTCCCGGCTGACCACCGACTTTAGAGGTGGAAAGCTTGCGCTTTTTGAAATGTTGATCTGGATCTCCTTGATTAGATACCGACTCCGCTCTTTGGTCTGACGCAAAAGCCACCGCTGATGGCGAGCTAGACGACAATACATCCGGAGACGCAATTACGTAGCTGGTATGGGAATGGTCGACACCTTCAGGACTGCCCGCTGCGTCTCCAGATTCGCTCTCTGTTCCTGTTTCCCCTCGAGGACAGTGGCCTTTCTTCCCTTGCTTGTGTCCCTGCTTAGGCGGCGATCTCTTAGGCCCTTGGTCAGGATTTGTGGGTTGCAGCTGAAGCTGAGCTCCGGTCTTCTGAGTAGAGCTTGCTGCTGAGTCGGTAGTTTGCGTCTGCAGATCAGCTCTGTCATCGCTCTGAGATGCGCTTCTGCAATCGTCTGAATCTATCCATATGACTTCATCGTCCAACGGCCTCTCTGGTTGTTTAGATGTCGCTGGACGGTTTGCTGTAGGTTCCAGCTGTTCGGGATTCCGCGTACTTCCCTGCTGGTGCTTGGATTCGTTCTGCCGACCACCCCCTCTTATTTTCCCTTCATCCGCTTTCTTAGTAGGTTGTCTGTTACGGCAGATGTTGTAAGACATTTCCGGAGCCTTGGTTGCGTTGCCCGCGCTCTGGCTCCGTTCACCGGCTTCAATGAGATCGAGCGTCGAAATTTTCGGTGCATGATTGCTAAGTGCCGTGGAACCTTCTCCCGAAGTGTCGCCCCCTTCGTCGTTAGAAAGCCGCTCTGCGGGACGACAAGTGGCAGCTTCCTGAGAAACCGACTTGTTGTTCTGTACTATCCAAACCGAACCCCGGGACACGACATTCCCCGTCTCATAGTCCTCGCCATTTTTATTTCCGTATCGTGCAACCGCCGGCTCGACAACCATGTCAATGGGCTGGCTCTCAAGTGCTTGCGCCTTAGAGCGGTCGCCCTCATCACTTTCGTCGATATGGAGAGCTTGGTCCAGCTGGAAATGGGTGTCTTTCAAGGAGAAATTTGTCTCGGTCAGGTCATTTAAAAAGAAGAACTGGATTTTTGGAAACTGCATGTTGAGAATGCCCGACAGTCGCATCGCGCTTTCCACGACCTGAAGCATTTGGGTGTCTCTTGCGGCTTGCTCTTCATTTGTAACTTCTTTGAGGAGCATACCGACTTTTTGGAAGATACTCTGGGTTACATGTCTGCACCGTTCCACCTGCGCGATTGATAAGGCTTGTTGTGCCCAAGACTCTACCCACTGACTCCTTTCCATGGGAAAGTCATCGATGGCGCGGAGAATGGTAGCTCTCAGCTTATGTTGCGAATTTGGGGATTCTGTTCCACATTAGTTGATTGATAACATATATCGGACGACACAAACTGACTCTTTTCGGCGATTCCCATAATCCGTTCCAAAATCATCTCCGTTTTTTCATCATCTTGGCCGTGCAGGCCGAACTCCAGGTGTGCAAAAGGCCTTGCAAATGTTTCAGTGCAAATCTCCTTGTTGATGAATGCGCTCAAGACCACCCGAAGCGGGATCTTCTTGTCCTTAACAGCCAGCAGGAGTCGGTCAGTGGCAAAGGGCCTCGCGCTTACACCCGAGAGGTTTGAGAATACCTTCTCTAGCTCTGGTATGTCGACTTTGCTCCAATCTGGAAAGCCCCAAGCTTTGGAGATATCCCTGGTGTCGTTGAAAATGCCTTTGAACTTGGTGTCCAGTTCAGCGTCTAGTTCAGCTTCAACCTTGTCTTTGGACACGAGCTCAAGATGGTCATTGTGATAACTGTCTACCTGATTTTTCAGCTCGGCGATCCTGATCCGCGCTGATGTACATTCCTTCTTGAACTCTTTTATTTCCTGTTTCGCTGTTCGAAGGTCTTTTCCCAGCTGCTTTATTTTGCCTTCCGCCGTTTCCGTTGTATCATTTTTGTTTTTCTCGGAGGGTATTAGCGATGGATTTTTCTTTCTTCAGTTGACAATATTCACTCACTTGTTTCCCCCCTGCTTTTGTCTCCCTCGTACCGGGTGTGGCTTGTTTTCCAGATTTTGCAGCACTTTTGGGGCCTTGTTTGTTCTTAGGTTCAGAAGTCGTCTGAGGCTTCTCAGTCGACTTTTCTTGAAAATCAAGGTCTAGCCCATGAGAATCCCGGAATTTATCTCCATCAGGGTCGGTGGTGGTGTCCGTTGAAGAGGTTCGTCTCTGGTGAGAAGTGGTCTTGGATCGTTTGCTCTTCCTGGATGGGGATGATGGATCCGAGGATTTTGTGCTAGCCATGGGTGTTGGTCGTCCCTCTGGTCCAGACGTTGGTATCTCTACGCTTGGTACACACCGGGTCTCTGTAGACGCCATGGCTGCCTGAAGACCGGGGTTTGCTGAACTTGCTGACGGGGACATGACGAGCAGACGGGAGAAAGCGACCTCAAATACATATGAGAAGAAATCGTAATAACAGAGTGCATCTGAGAGACTGATGAGGCTCAGGGTGAATCCAGATGTACTGAGACATGTGCAAATGCAGGTCCAAATGAAAGGACTTAGAGTGATCTGAAGTGAGACTGAGGTCTCACACAAGCTGTCCTCAGAGCAACCTGAGGCGAGGCCTCTCGAAGCATGTGAACGCCGCTGGTCGCTACAATCTAATCATCTCCTCTTCACCTCGTCATTCTTTTTCTCTTGCTTTGAGACAACCTCGTTCTTCTGATATCTCCTCTCTCTGAAAGATACGATAGTTCGATTCGTCTTGCTCCTTCTCATCATCCATCACCTCGTCCTGGTCTGCGGCTTCAGCGAGATGGCGCCAGAGTATAAACCTCTTGGAATCAGAGACTCCAAGTCAAAGAAAAAAAGTACGATCCGGCTTTCCTCAGACTCTCGGCAACTGGCACAAACCTCAGGGCAAGGTACAACTCAGGCTTCGAAGAAACCTGTTGCGCCGAAGAGAAAGCGTGAAGGTGAGTGCAATACCAATGGTATCTCGATCTGAGCCTCACCAATGGTGGAGACCAAGCGAGTCCCGAGGAGAAAGCTGCGAAAGCCCAGCGCAGATCCGCAATCTTGGAGAAGTCCAAAGAAGCCAGGAAACGCTTGAGCATAGGACTTGACATTGGAACGACGGCTTCAGGTATGTGTCCTTCACGTTAACCGGGCTTTCTCTTCGTGCTGAGTATCCAGCCATCGCCTATGCGGCTAGCGATGCTTCCGCGGACCAAATTTCCGTCCTTGATAACTGGGATGGGCATGTTGAGGTCAAAGTGCCAACGAGGGTGGCATATGCCGAGGAAAACGACTTCGAGACAGACAAATGGGGGTTTCAGGTGGAGAGCGGAATGCAGATTTGCAACTGGCCAAAACTTCGTCTTGACGAGAACACGGACAAAGCAGACTTTGACGATCCTCTACTCCAGCAGGCGATAGGACAAGGTCTCATGCACATACCGGACGGCAAAGATGCCCCCGAGGTTATCAGTGACTTTCTGTTCGGAGTCCGCAACCATTTCTTACAGCATTTGAACGACACAATCCTCGAAACAGCTGTGAAGCATACAGCGAAGCGAATTTGCGTTCCAGTTCCGACCACGTGGTCGCTGGCGGCGCGCGAGGCTACGCGTCAGGCTGTGATCAAGGCCGGATTCGGGGAGGACAAACGCGATGAGATTAACATCATTGACGAAAGTGAGGCGGCTGCTCTATATGTGATCAAATCTCTGGAGAAATCTCCCGAAGAAAATCTAGAGGTAGGTGCGCTCGGAGAAATTTCGTCTTGGATGATTCTGACCCGTGTAGACGGGCGAATGGTTTATGGTGATTGACAACGGAGGCGGAACAATCGATTGTGTTTCGTACAAGATAGCATCTCGCAAACCTCTACAGCTAGAGGAGGCGTGTGCTGGCGAAGGTGATGTTACCAGCTCCTAGTCAAGGATTTGTTGCTGACACTGAATTCAGGCGCAAAGATTGGTGGGACATCTATCGATCGGGCTCTTCATGCTCTGATGCAAGGGCGTTTCGGAGCTGCGTTCAGCGAGCTCTCAATCAGCAAGATAGCAGCCACCAGCCAGTTTATGCAGGACTTCGAGTCCCACAAGAGAAGATTTAACGGCCAGGATGACAGCAAGTGCCTCTGGCTCCGCCTCAATATGAGGAAGCTCGACGATCAGGACAAGGATGTTCAGGCCAATTATGATTTCGTGGATTTGGCCGCAAAGGTCACGAGGTATTTTTCCGTGGTCCCTTCCAACACCAGCTGTTTTTTTGGAAGTATAGAAGTGTACTGATGGAAAATAGCATCGATATGCAGGGGATGTTCGAGCCCATCGTTGACAAGATAATCGAGATCATCCGTGGACAAGTCCGTCGGATGGAGGAAAATAACGAGGCAGCCACTGGCCCCCGGGTAAGGTCTGAAACGTTTAGACAACCATGCTGGCTAATATCACAATAGATAATCGCAATGTGTGGTGGCCTCAGTTGCAACCCCTACGTCTTTAACCGGGTCAAAGAATTCGTCAACACCTCCTTCGAGGCCGGCTCTGTCAAAGTTTTAGCTCCTCGTCAACCAGTGACTGCTGTAGTCCGAGGAGCGGTGCTGGCCGCCCAGGGACGCTCGCCCATTGTGTCCAGACGATGTCGAGAGTTTATCGGCACACAGGTTCATTGCCCGTGGGACCAAAAGAAACACCAGCCTGGTGACAGGTTCGAGTGCCCCATGGCTGGGCCCAGAGCCATGAATCAAATGGAGTGGATTGTCACTAAGGTAGGCAGCGAGTTCTGGCCTTGCATTCGAGATACTAACCGCAGAGCAGGGCCAGAAGCTGAAGCCTAATATGAAGGCGAAAGTGAAATGTTATCATGTCGTGGAAAACGCGCGCACAGAGATCAAGCGTGCTATCATAATCGATCAGATGCTGTACAGGTGCACAGAAGACGTTGCTCCATCTCGTGTGGATGATCCCGGTAAGGCCTAAGCCTTCTTATTCGCATGTTACAGATGCTGACAGAGTGTAGCAGTTGAGGAGATAGGCGTGATACGGGTAGATGTCACCGACATTGCACGTCAAAAACGCGCAAAAGCCAGGACGGGCTATCGAACCTACCCCCGCGACATAAGCATCGATGTCGATATTGAACTAACGATGTCAAGCAACAAGGGCATTTTGGAAGCTGTTGCCAAGTCCGGACGCACCAAGGTCGGGAGCACGACAATAACATTCACGCCAGCTCCGGCGTGGGAGAATGGTCTCGTGCGAAGAGAGGAAGATAAATGAGGTGAACGATGGGTACGGCTATTTTGACGCCTCTGAGCCCAAGTGAAGCAGCTGGCCTTTGATACGACCAGGCGGATTCAGAGATGCGAGCAGGTGCTTCTGTTCTCGCAGGAAGACAATGGTTGCTTCGAGAGTGGGATGACTTGGTTTTTGGCGACGACGTGGCTTGGGCTGATGTGCAGCAGATTCTGCTTGACAGTTTGAAAGACGCGTTGTGGTGGCGCTGTCGTGATGGAGACGGAGCTTGAGATGAAGCTGCGGTTGAATTAAGGATGGCAACGGACTAACAATCTTCCATGGATCCACCGGTGCTTGGCAATATCGAGGCTATCTACACAGCGAGGACAGGTACATGACAAGCACATAGCTGGCTAAATATGGCTCTGCCGCTTTGATATATCCCGATCGATGTAAACGTCGGCCTGGGTTTTTTCCTCCAAAGAATGCTCAACTTCGTGCGATCTCCCAGAAGCACAACTTACAGCGTGGGAACTGAGATGCAACTTATTAGCAGGACTGGATGTCGTTTCAGCTGCCAACATGTATAACTCAGCAACGTCCGAACTGCTCACACCAGCATTCTTGCAGGGGTGGGCAATATACGGCATCTCGCCCGAAGATCACATGCCAGAGATACTCGAATACTCGTCCACTTGTCGCATCATCGACCTCGGTATCGAGCAGCCACTGACGATAGCGTATGTACTCCTTTTTGCTGCGCTTCAACACTTGTGTTTTGGAAACAGCGAACTGCGAGCAACATGGCTGAGCGATCGCCTCGGGAATATCTGACTGGGTACCTCCGAACATGTAAGGCCAGGCCTCGCGCATTGCCTGCTCAGCGGTGCGATCCTCCTCCTCTCGCAAGATCTGGATTTCATCAGGGCAGCCCGGGACATGAAGACATCGCATGTTCACGTATCCTTGTTCTTGGAGGTAGCCAAGCCTCAGGGATCGGATATTTTTGAGGTTATTGTACACTTCATTGTCTGTATGCCAGGCCGCCGGCCACCCTTCGAGATGAGGATGGACGAAGACCATGGATGATGGAAGGTTGTCATAGTGATCGATCAGGAAGGTGAGATACGCCATAGCCTCGCGGCCTTTGTTTTTCGGTGGATGCAGGGTTCCGTTGACGGGATCGTCCATGTAATAGATGGCTTGTTGCCAACTAGGGAGGCAGTTACAGTCAGCAAGGGGGGGAACCTCTGGAGGAGTCCAGGTGGAAATCGTACTCTGGCAGCTCGTTCGTCACCCAGCTGACATCTTCCGCCTTGATCTTTGCAAGTATCACCGCTTTGTCCTCGGCTTCAGGGCCTCTGTAGATCCATGCTCTGTTGCCACTGAATAAATTGTTCCAGACATCCAAGAATCTTGGTAGACTGCTCCACGAGAGAAAAGTGACGGAAAGCAAGAACACAGCGGCAGCTGACCAGCTATATCGGTGCCTGAATCTTGATCCCAACATCGAGGAGTAGTGATCGGGCCATCAACACCGGTTGCTCAAAGCACTAGACCAAGGTGATGGCGCATAGTTCGACGTAGAAGAGGAAGAAGATCATCTTCCTACAAAAAGGGAGGGATCACCACCCTTGCCCTATGTAGGTATGCCAGGCCCGCAGGACCGAGTAGGAGGTACTTCTTTTGTTTCGATCTCTCTGAAACATTGGGTATTGTATTTATTCCCTAGTGTTGACACAACGTGGGAAGTAACTAGAATTACGACTGGACCCCACCCGACGTCTTCGCAAGGTTAGCCTTATTCAGTGAATGCACCCATAGCAGGGCGACATGGTGACAAGCGATGCGAGCATGACGATAGTATGACTTAGGGCGAGATTAAATTACCCAAGCAGGTACTGGGGGCCGTCTTAGTGGTTTCATTCTTGAGGCACGAACAGAAAACAAACCAAACAGGGAATCCTGACCGCAGCATGCTCATTGAGTGCCGTCACGGGGTCGTCGGCCTGGTGGTCTGTCAACAAGAAAGGAAAATCAGGGGGAACGTCAAGCGGACTCTCCACTTCTCTTCTGGGTTTGGTATTCCGGGGCCGGCACCTTGATATCTACCGAGTACTGCGTATCTACCCCGGTTGGCGCCATTGCACCCTTTTGAGCGCGCAGTGGTGAGGGCGAATGCCTTTATCTCCGACAGAAATCCTACCAGCGGAAATTCGGACCTTCAAGAGCGAAAGAATCTTCTACATCTTGCTCTTAGTATCTGGGATCGGCCGAATGTGCCACTGGTGCCCCCTTCACGCAATGACGCAAGCGCCGCGGTCATTCTTGCCCCCCTCGAATACAATTTGTCGGAGCTATGAAGTATTCCGCCCCCATCACCTCGTCGTGTTGGACATGAAGGGTATGAGCCTCCAGAGGACGTACTGATCTGGAGTAGAGAGCTCTACCGCACTGGCTCATTGAAATTTCTCGAACGGGTCCTTTCCAAAGGTATTCATTGAATCAATAAGAGGAGCTGCTCGACCGACATATGAGTCTTTAGCAGCCCCTAAGTCGGCCCCCAACTCATCCCTTGATCGTGCATAGTTTTTGTGATTTGCCCATCATGTGAATAGGTCCAACAGAGGCATCTGCCTGGAGCTCTTGGGGAGATTCGTGCTGCATGCGCGGCAAAGTATATAGCTGGCCCTCAAGGAGAATATACGTTGAAGCAGTAACGATATTGCGGCATTATCCTTACTGAGTCAAAGTCATTTGTGGAGCTGCTGAAGTCGGTCCTGGTAGATCGTAAGTATAGAGTAGGTGCGTCGAGAGTTCTTTGTATTCCCGATAGGGCCAACTTCTGTCTTCGAGGTAATAATATATCGATGTTGTCAAAACACTTCATCCAGTGGCGTGAGGACAGGCTTGTTTCATGTCGAGGGCGAGGAGAGCAACCGTTAAAGTGGCCAGACAATGTATCCATATCGGGCCGGACATCCCTTTAAAATTCACCCGAGGTGGAACAGATCCGAAAAGTGGTAGGGCAGCAATATTCTCGTCCCGATGGAGGAGTAGTGTCTACCAGGTCACTCCAACTGTAGGGAAAATGCGCAGTTGAACAGCGACGACGAGCCAGCAGCATCGACTCCCTCGACTCGAAATAATATGAGAGCTTCTTCCTCTCCGAGAGCCCTCACAGAAACGCAACAATGATAACTTTGCGTCTCCACCATTCTCTGCCTTAGGTTTGGGAATGAATAATACGGCCGATAATGACGGTGCCTTTGTCCCTTCGCTCACCCTGGATCGCAGGCTAGAGATTCCAGATCAAAAGAAACACTATCTCGACTCCCTTCTCCGCTTGCTAGACGCTCTGATCTTTCTCCACCTGGGTGTCCTCTATATCTGCGACAATCTTACATTCCTTCTGGTCCTGCGCGCACTGAATCAAGTGGTCCACGTCCAGCATCGGCCCGCCGCGATCACACCCGTTCTTGTCGTCAACCTCATTTGTGTTGTGACACATCTTCTACAGAGCAGGTCGGGGACCAAACGGCTCCATGGAGGCATTATCGTCGACTTCGTTGGCGAGATTCCAAGATCAAGAACATCTGTGATAATATTGGATCTGATATTTCTTTCACTGCAAATGGTCATGCTCGTGGCCGGTCATGAGAGGCAGATTGCTTCAGGAGAGGCCCTCGCGCTCGAAGAGTCACAGCCACAGGACCTGGAGTCTGAAGAAGCCGGGCAGTTGAGGTCACGTGCTCAAGAGCCGACGGACGTGACTGAGGAGGGGATCGAGCTGCAAAGTCTTTTGCCCGAAGGATCGAGGGTAGACGGCGCAGCGCATCCAAAACAAGCTGAAGGGACACAAGATGACGACGTGATATTACTGGATTTGAAGAAGGGCATCAAGGCCTTACTCCGAAGACCAATACCGGCGGCTTCGCCGACCGCAATTGAAAATGCTCAAGCTCGTGCAAGCGTTGCGGCATTCTTGAGAATCGCTGCCGCAAGAGCAAGGGCGGGCTGACGAAATGGCGCCGGGGGAGCAGGAGATGAGCTTTGTCTGGTGCGATCCAAGCCGCCACTCACAGACGGTCGAGATCAATAATCGTTGAAGCGCATTTCGTTGCAGGCTGCGAAACGGGTCACCTACAGCTCCGTTGCTGGTCACTTCCACCCGCAAGGCACTGAAGGATGTGTGGAATGGTTGCGAGGATGACTGATACGAATTTCGGCGTGATCGAGCGATTTGACCAAGACAGGGCCGTGTCAAACCCACATCTGAATGACCATTTCCCATCTCTTGAGACTCCGGCACTACGTCGAAGCGAAAAGAGACGAAGACACACAGAACTGGTGACATCATCTCACCTCGAAAGGCTTGTACCTGCGTACCGACGGAGGACTATTATTTGGATTACGTTGCTTTGCTTCCGAATCACGCACTCGAGACCTGACCTGGGTCTCACAGACGAGAGAAACCAGGCACCACACGGAGATTATATTCTCACAACATGACTATGGATTCGACGCAAAGACGAACAGGATCCTAAACGACAAGATTGTGACTCGATGTCTACCAGTCCTACCTCTTTTCGGGTATCATGTACTCTTTCCCCAGGGAATGGGTCAATAGCAGTACAGAAGGTGCAAAAGGGGTAGAATGATCTGTAGAACATATAATAGGAACGAAATAAAAGCTGGATATATCACTCTCACACTGCTTTCCGTGGCACAAATGCAAAATGCTATCGAAAGTATGTATGTATCCATCCTTCGACCTCAGCCTTGCGTCACATCCCGTCCAGTTGCTCCGCCATAGTTCAGCCTTGCGAGCTTTGCTTGCACCTCTCCAAAAAATGTGCTGCTCGGGAAACGCAGTCTTTCAATTCTCTCCTTCACTCCCTCCCCCCGTTTCTTTGACAGCGAGTCTCTTGTTATTTCCCTTGCGGTTGTCCGCAACATAGGTATTGAGCAAGGATGCGACATCTCCTTCGCGCAGTACCGCAGCTGCCTGCTGCGCGCATACCCATGCGGGCAGCGTCCAGTGGTGCTGCCGCGCTACAGAGCCCGCCCGCACAGAGACGACAGTACTCGAAATCTACCCCTCCGACGTCGTCCTGGCTGCCGGTTCCATTTGTGTGAGTTAGTTCTTTTCCTGCCTCTCCGAAACATTGTGCTAGCTCATCGTTCCCTTGTTTTCTCTCTCCCCCTCTCCGCAATAGTCTGGAAGAGGAATCACGCGCTGATACAGGAGTTTTTGTTGCAGCACCGAGACCATCGCCGGCCTGACGCACACGACGGACCTCTTCTCGCGGCTGCTCAAGGAGCGCATCGTGGCGGTGTACGGCGAAGTGGACGACCGCATGGCGGCGACGGTGACGGCGTCGCTGCTGTACCTCGAGGCGGAGTCGGACCGACCCATCTCCATGTACATCAACTCGCCCGGCGGGAGCGTGACGGCAGGGCTGTCGATCTACGACTGCATGAACTACATCGTGCCGGAGGTGTCGACGCTGGTACTGGGTCAGGCGGCGTCGATGGGCAGCCTGCTGCTGGCGGGCGGGGCGGCCGGCAAGCGCTACTGCCTGCCACACTCGAGCATCATGCTGCACCAGCCCAGCGGGGGGCACTACGGCACCGCCGCCGACATCGCCATCCACGCCAAGGAGATCCTGCGCATCCGGTCCCAGCTGAACCGCATCTACGAGCGCCACCTGACGGGCAGCAAGAAGATGACCGTCGACGAGATCGAGAAGATGATGGAGCGCGACTACTTCCTCAGCGCCGAGGAGGCTCTGGAACTGGGCGTCGTCGACGAGATCCTGGCCAGCAGGAAGAAGAAGCCCGAGGCGACGGCGGCGGAAGAAACGTGAGAATGATCTGGTTCCACAATGTGTTCTTCAGGGGGCGGAAAACATGAATCAATACTGAAAAGATCCCACCATCCCCTCCTTCCTTGGCTGGGTCCCGTCCGCGGAGAGCGGAGACGGGGTGTGGGCAGAAATCGAAGTTCTGTACAACACAACACAATGACAACTGTCCTTCAACCCGGGGTCTGCATAGGTGACCTTGTGATGTCCAGACGTCGCCTCTCAACCCTCAACAATGTGGTCAGGATGCGGACCACGAGACCCAAAAAGAAAACGCCGCTCAAAATCAGGGGCAGCGCAGGGAATCTCGAACAGTGGAATGAGTCTCCCCTCCTCGCAAGGGAAACGCCAGGATACGGTCGTTTCCAGGAGGTAGGTGAGCAAGATGACGCGGCACACGCTCACCAGGACTTGTCAGAGAAAATGGCAGCTGCTTGAAGAGGGCAATGTTCGTCCATCGATGAGAGAACTACGCAAGGTGGCTTGACTACAAGGCTATAAGGCTCCTCCTTCTCAAATTCATAAAACCTGAGGTCCTCTCACTCACTCTCAGAAACACATGTATATATATAATTACACCAGATAACGCAACTCGCGCTCCGAAACACTGATGTTGTTACTGTGGCCGGCTCTTTTCCCGCGGTGTGTAAACGGTTCGCAAATTCCCTTCCAGCCCGGTGGGTGCCCGAGGCTCTTTCTTCCTCGCGATCAAGATGAAAAACACCAAGCACAAGCTTGGTAGAGAAACCGGAAGACTGAAAATTCTTCCCCTCATGCACACAATCTTTTTCTGTCACAAATTCCTCTCAATATCGCTCAACTTTGGACAAAAAAAGGGCAGATAGAAATCGTCGCCTCATAAACTCATGGTATCGTAACGTCTCTAGTCGAGAAAATGCTGTATTGGTTTTGCCCAGTCTTTCAAAGTCAAGGTCACCAAGTGCCCCGACGAGCAGGGGTGGAACTCCGGTTAGGACTAGATATTCGCCTCCGTTTTCCTGGAAGCTTTTCGCTGTCAGTGTCGTTTTCGTCCTCGTCCTTGATGACATCGAGTTCTTCGATGACTTGTGCTTTGGTATCCTGCTCCAACGACTCGAGCATTCTGGTCCAGAAGAAGACGTCCTCGGTGTCTTGCATCATGTTTGCCATGCTTTGCTGTCGCTGGCAGATCTCGATCAGAACGGACTTGGACAGCTCGTTGTTGTTCTGCACATATTTCAGTGCCGTGTTGAAACTCCGGCGAGCGTCTGCAAAACGACCTTTGGCGTGTTGTTGTCGCCCAAGCCTGCGATAAGCTAGCCCTACCCGCCAGAGATCTATGCTTCCTGGAGTGTCTTTCAAGGTTGTCAGCCTGCGCTGTACCTGGGAGCAGATCTCTTCAGCTTCATCGTATTGGTCCTGAGCGACGAGTCTGTAAGCTTGCAGAAGCATGAAGTATACGGATAATCCCGGAGACACAGCGTCAACTTCGGAGATCTGGGGTAGCCATTCCGTCAAATCTGTTTCTGGATCATACCATAGCAGGTCCAGAGCCCGGTTAAGTCGAACCTCGTATAAGAGCTTGTTGCGCTTGTCAATTCGTGTCTCAAGACCATCGTACATGGAACGGGCCGCACGTTTGTAAAGGTCTTGTAGCTGGTCGACTTCGAGTTCGCCAAAGACGCTGAAGAGAGCATGGCGCGAATCCTTGGGATCAAGGAACGTATGCGCCCACCGTTTGACGCTCCTTAAAAGCAGTGCAGCCAGCTGGCGGTGGCCGCTGACGGCCACCCGACCCACTTCAAAAAGCAAGGCCATGGGGATCTCGTAATACCAGGACTTGAACAGTTCGGGATTTTGGAACCCTGCAAAGGCCTTTCCCCACTGTGCCCAGGCAAGGTCCTGCTTTCCATTGTCGAAAAGGTTGATCCCTGCGGTGAGACTCGAGGAGAGAAGACGTGATGCCTGGCGGCCGCGGTTGTGCTGCGTAGAAGACATAGTATCCCAATCACCGTGAACAAAGGCATCGTGAGTCCACCCACGCAGGTTGAAGAGGAACTGCTCGGCGACACTAGCAATACGAAACCCTTCCGGCGATGGAACGACGATGGTCGGAAGTGGTTCTGCGGGCTTTGTGTACGGGACAAGCGCCTCCGAAACTGGAGATGGTGGCGGAGACGAGGCGGCTGGTGAGAACTCTGAAGCCAAGGGGGAAGCTTGCGGCTGAGATAACTTGCGACTTCGTTTCCGCTTCAAAGCGCGTTCCGCTTTCCTCTTCAAAGATTCCAGGTCAGAATCTCTGCTGGCTGTGGGAACCTCGCCTTCCATGATCTGCTTGGCCTCGTTCTCTTTGAGGTATTTCCGCAGAGACCAAGCTTTGATTTTGTTCTTATACATTTTCTCACTGGGAAAGACATTCAGCATCAAGAACGACTTTGCCTAGAATCAGAGCTCACCTTGCCCACAGTCCATGCTGATCCCTCATGATCTTCATCACCTCCGGCAAGGGACGATTGTCAGTTATGTAGAGATGAGTGAAGATAGGCCGAAACCTCTCCCAGTCAGCTCCAGAGGGAGCACGTCTCTGATCTCTGCTGGGAGATGCCATCGAGTCAATGATTGCTAGCCGTGCACAATTGCGGAGTCATAGAGTTGATGGGGGAGGCAAAAAGGTCGAGAAGGGCGGATCGAGCACTAAATCAGACAGAAGGGACCATGGGAGGCTCGGCAGGCTTAGTTTTCAACGCAAGGCTATATCGCATAAAGAAAGACGTTGAAGACCAAAGGGCCCTTGACAGCGCTGAACTTAACGGGAAAGTAGCACGAGGCAGAGGAGGCAAGCTTGTATGTTGAAGGAGGGGTTGGAGATGGGAAGAAATGAGGTTCGAGATGCGGCTGACCAAAGTTCCCCTTCCTGGAGTTCCTAGTCTGCCAAGCCCTGTCTAGCCGAAGCGGTACTAGCCTCTTGCCGTTGAGACGGTCCGGTGCATCTAACGGCGAGCGGACACAGGCACGTGACACGCTGCCACTGCCGAGGGGAAAAAGCAGCGGCGGGTGACGGCGTCTGACAAGCCATCAATTTTGTTTTCCGCCCCTCACAGCATCAAACCGGTGAGACGCTGCTGGTTGCTTTGTCTCTTGTTTGCCGGTCTCACGCTGTTACAATCTTTCCAATCCTGAAACCTCCCAGACAGACTCGTTCAACCCGACAAGAAAGAAAATAACTTGGCCGATCGGGGCACCTCGAGCTCTTCTTGTACGTCGGGGAATTTGGCGACGGGCAGGGTCAGACAGGCAGCCACCTGATCTTGGGGGGAGTTGACCAAAAGACCTGCAAGGAACTTCGGCGCGTCCTAGCCACCCAGCCAGTCACAACCCAGCGTTTCCTGAGCCTGGCCCTGTCCGCTCTTCATGGGAAAGTGATGGCCCTCATGGCCCCTTTGCCCCCGTGCAACCGCGTGGAGTAGTCATCCCTCCCGTTTCGTGGCTTAGCACGGCCGATTTCCATCACCTGTACATGTCGCACTGTTGGGATTCATCGTCTCTCACCTCCCCGTCGCATAATAAAGCACCTCGCATTACACTGTGGAAGCCACCTGCATCCGAATCCTCTTCTAACCCACCGGTTACGTCTCTCTCCTTTTTAGATTGGTCCGATGAACGGCCATGGTGCAAGTTTCCGACGGTGTCGACCATACCCTCATATCCAACCTTGCTGCTCGTCTCCATCGCCTGGTGGACGACGTAGAGCGAGTCTACACCAGCGGATCTCGAAATGTGCGCACTGTCTTGCGGCGACAGCATATCAACACCGTCCATCCAACTTCGGCTCGGCCGCTGTGTCGACTTATTGGCGAGGACCAACTGATGAGAGCCCTCCGCCTGTTGTCATTGAAACTAGCTCTGTTCACCCTGGCCCGGATTTACGATGAATGTCACGTTGCTCTGTGTCGGGCGATGGCGGCGGCCCGGAAAGGTGATATCCTTTACGAGGGCTTCACCCGAAATCCATGCGTTGATCTCCGACCACTGGCCGGTGAAATTGGTCTGCATGAGGAGATTGTGGAAGACCAAATAACGCTCGAGACCACTTTTGACGATGTGGCGCCGTTACGGGCGGTGTGGACGCCTGTCGTGCCGATGTCCTTTGACAACCTGTCACAACTGCATTCTCTTTCAGATCTTCTACCTGGCGAGCGGTGGAAAAGCCAGGAATATGCTGGAATTGGTGGAGGTGGCGGGTCGGACATTATCAGTGCAAGTCTGCTGGGTCACTTATTACGACGACATAAAAAGCAGATGGATCTCCTGATCTCGACGCGAACCTGGGCGACAGGATCCCAGGGCAAAAAGGGATCCAAATTGGGGATCAAGCGTGAGGTGTACAATCACGGAGGAGCAGTGGAAGCGCATGGGCGACCTGTGGCGGGAACTTTTCGCGTAAAAAACGACACTACCGCCGAGGGGCGCGATCTCGAAGCAATTCCCCTCCCATATCATTCCCAAATATTTATGGTGCTGGACCAGGGCGAGTCTAGTTCCCAGATCTCCGAGGACGACAAGGCCGACCTCACAGATCAACTTCATGCCGTGCTGGATCAGGCCAAGCGTCCCATAGAGACTGTTCTCATAGTAGACACAGGCGGGGACGTTTTCGGGGCTGATTCGAACGGCGCGGCAACGCCGGACCAAGACTATCGGGTTCAGAAAGCAATCACCCCTCTGTCCCCCGAGTACAATCTCGTGACGGCGGTGGTGGCGCCCGGTGTCGACGCTCCAAATGATGCGCCGCAAAAGGCCTCGAAAGCCGGCGGCATGGTGTATAAGCCCACGAAAGATGAGAAGCTGATGCTTCTTGATCTGCTCGCGACTAAATATAGAATGGACGGTTCAGACCCCAGCAGATTCGGGAAGACAACACTCGCGTTGCAGGCCCGACTACGGGGATTGGTCGGGTGGACTTCCTTGGATCTGCCGCCCTATGTCATTGACACATGGGAGAATCCCTGGAATAGCTTCGTGTACATTCGGGAGTGCATGAGCGATATCATTTTGATGCCCACGCCAGAGTTGCTGCCGTTGATTGAGCCGGCAAAGAAAAAGGGGAGCTTATGACGATGGCTGGGGGAAAAGCGCTGGACCTTGAAGTATGCAGTCATCAGCTTCGCTGTGTCCGTAATGGATCCCAATGTCGTAGGAGCTGATAGAGCGACAGTACTCGGTATGTACGTACTCTCTTTGCACTCCTGCCACGCAAGGCTGTGGGATCCTCAAACTCTTGGCAAGGTTACATTGTAATCTTCAAAACCTTGCAACATCTTCCAGCTTCCATCTTCCATCGGCCACACTCTGTAAAATAATTGAGCCAATATACCGTTGCCCCTGTGTCGTTTCTTGAACTGTACCCGAATAGCCCTTAGCAACGCCGCCAGGACCACCATCATGTCGAACAGTGCTCTAGCACCCTTATCGGACCATGAATTGACCAAGCTGGGCAATTTGGCAATTGAGGCAAAGACCATGGCATACTGTAAGTGAACTACAGATCCGGAGGGGATGGTAGCAGCACGGCGTTTCTGCAAGCTGAGGAGTAATTGCTCTTGCCCAAAGAATAGAAGAAGACCAGGCGGGTCTGTCTGCCGCCATTATCCTCTCTTAAGATTGTCCAAGACCCTCATGTATTGACTCGAACACCAACCTCTACCTTTCTCTCTCTATAGGCCCATACTCCAACTTCCGCGTCGGCGCCTCGGTCCTCCTCTCGGACGGGACATTCCACACGGGCGCCAACGTCGAAGTGGCCGCGACGCCCGTGGGCATCTGCGCCGAGCGTTGCGCCATCGCCCCGATCGTGGCCTCGATGCCCCGTCCCGCGATGCCCGTCATCCGCGCCATCGGCGTAGCGACGGATATTTTCCCGCCGGCCTCGCCCTGCGGCATGTGTCGACAGTTCATCAACGAGTTCGCCACCTCGCGGGATTTGCCCATCTATATGTACGGCAAGGACGGGCTGGAGGGGGAGGTCGTGCGGAGGACGATTGGCGAGCTGTTGCCCATGAGCTTCGGGCCGAATGATATGGAGAGGAATCCGGGGAAGAAGGAAGGGATCGGGCTAGGGAAGACGGTGGAAGGATAGGTGGAGGTAGGAGGAAGTTCTTGGATTCGATGGTCTATATGACAGAAACGAATACGTCTCAACTTTTGGAAGAAGTATGTCATGGTCCAAGGGCAGCGTCCGTGAAGATTCCGAGCCCATCATCTCAGTCGTGATGACACCTCCCACCATTCCACGCTCATGACCGTGATCACCGAAGTCATAGACAAGTTCCCGTCCTCGACGGTGTACACATTGACCAGCGCATTGACGAGACCAAGAATGGCGCTGAGCAGAGTTGAACATGTCCTATTATCGTGAGGTTGGTATTATAAATGACACGTCGTTGGAAGCCCAGCCTTCCACCCCTAAGCGATACCAATATCAGGTCGTACCAAGGTTAGGCCACATGAAGAACACAAAGAATACCTACAGAACATACCTACAGAACCTATCTGTACTGACCCGTACCTGTTTCTTCCCGTTCACTCACTCTGCGTATTCCCTAGGCTAATGTGTTCTTCTCACACCCGTCCTCCCCTTTTTATTAGCCACTCGCTGCCTCGCACATCCTCGGCCAACCTCCTCATCATCTGCACTCGCGACACCAGCTTTCAGCTACTTTGGTCTCCATGCGGGCCAAACACTGTCGTTGGCCTGACGGCCGGTGGCGGCCATACTGTCCAAGCTTCGTCCATAAAGTCGACGATGGCGAGCACCCGGACGCCGACAGAAGCCGGATTTTGGGGGATGATGTGACTGTCCACCAAGGGCAGCCAGGCGTTCCCAGATCCGTTGAACTGAATCAAGGTCCCAGTGCCGACGACGTCCTGGGCAGAGTTGTCGACGGCGATGAGAGTCTTGTTCATGGTTGTCAATGGTGTTTTGCGCAAACAATCCAAAGCTCCGTCGTCCAGACTACAGTTGAGCGATCCAATATACTGGCCGTTCAGGGCTTTTGTGTGGTTCACGGGCACAATACCGCGACCGCGTCCAGACTGGAAAGCGGCGCTCTTCATGAGTGAGGGCGCCTGGGCGAGAGGCACGGTGGCATAACTGTCCCAGGCACCTGCAGAATTGCCAAGCAACAAGACCGTGTTAGAGTCACCACCGAAGGAGCTGAGCTCGTTTCGGACCCATTGCAATGCCAAAAAGTGGCCTTGTATCCCGTAGTTGCCAGAGATCCCAGCGGCTGGATACGCAACTAAGCCCAGGGGGTCGACACGGTAGTTCACCGAGACCACAATGCTGTCCAGCGCCGAGTTACAGCCTTCATAATGAGGATCAGTCACGGCTCTGCGTTCGTTCCCTCCACCATAGAGCCAGACTTTGACGGGCAGGTTGGATTCGATGGTAGGCGGTCAAAGGGAGCCAGACATCGACAGAGAGGCTGTGACTGAAGAATCGGGAAGGAAGCGGCTTCAGTGAGATCTTCACACATACCAGTCTTCGGATTGCTTTTCATCCTCAACGTAAGCGAGGCCAAATTGCGGATAACGAGGTGGCTGAACTGAGCCGTCTAACACGCCGTCATATGTCTTGTTGTACGACTCAGGGGCAGCAAAAGGGGCAGATAGTAACTTGCGCGGTATACCAAGGAAGTATTTGCGCTGGAGGTAGCACCCCGCCCCCCCTTGTAGGGTGCCGTTGGTGGTAGCGATCGCCGTCGTGCAGACATTGCCCATTACAGCAAGCAGAATCCCCAGGATAGCTATTTTGAAGTGGCGAGCCGTTGCGAGGGATGGCATCGTTTTCGAGAAAATTTCCCAGTGGCTTGCAGCAAATGGGTCAGAAAAATCGGCAGCAAGAAGAGGAGAACGTCAGGGATGCTGCCGGTTCCCAAGAATCATCTGAGAAGATGACACCAAGACGCAGGAAAATAGATGTTTGATATAGGACGCGTTGTACAGTTGAACGTGTCATGGAGATAAACACATCTCGCAATGCCGACAACAGGATGAAACTCGAGTAAGGAGGTGCCCACCATACAAGGATTAGCCTGGGTGCCTTTCTGGGTGTAATTGGAATTTGGTGACAGTGGGTTCCTGGTGACGTTGTGTTCTCAGTTGTCCAAACGTACTCGCTTCTTGAGGCCACTGACAATTTCGACCAACGGAATTTGCAAATTCCCACCATAAATGGTTAGCCTGAAAGCTGTCCTGGTCGCAGGATTGCGGTTCTAAGAAGGATATAATATGCCTGGAGAGCAACAATGGAGTCCAATTACCCTTCTCTCGAGCTACAATCAACAAGTTTCTTTGAACAATCTTACCGTATCTGTTCTTCTCCTGCGATTCCTGTCACGCTACAATGGGCGTGATGACGTACCGGGATGGACGGGAGATGAGGGTGCCTTTTTCGAATGTTTCACGATTCAACCACACCACGATAAGCTCACCGGACAATGTACTCCTGCACTAGAGTGTCTGTAGAGGTAGGCGAGCCGATCATCAATGAACCCATGAGTGTGGTTGATGAAATGTGCATTGATGAATTCCTGGAGTGGACATTATCAAGAACGGAGTTTGTGGGAAGTCGGATATTCCTTATCTTCCACTCGAGGTATAGATGGCCTTTCTGATGACATGGAACTGTTTGTCAACGTCTGCAGTCGCTTCATGACCAGCGAGACTAAGGACGGAATATCATCTGTTGACGTTAATTAGTTCGGCAACAAGATATTGTTGGGTTACCTAGTCTTGGCAGTGCCTGTCACGTGCATCCCGCTCAAATGCCCTACAACTTGTCCTTGCAGCCTTACTCGGTTTTCTCTCTTCAATCGATCCAATTGAGTCTAACAGGATGATTAAGCAAAGGGACGGCATCACCCTGAAGCAGCTGGTGCTCGACAGCTCAGCCAAAGGCCCAGTCGAAGCTCAAAAGGAAGATCAAACCGTAAGTCGCAACTAAGAAGTGTCGAATACGGGAAGAGTGGTAGCGGTCGTTTCGACTCATGGCTGGGAATGCAACATTTATCTCGTGCTGTCTCTGATCGTTCATCGTCATGCCCATCATTCAGAAGACATCCTCCGGATCGACCCTGAAACTCTCCCCGTTCTCCCTGACGTGGATGCGGTCCTTGTCCCGATCAAGGGGCTTCCTCATATCCAAGGCATCCTCTCCCTCCTTCGAAACCCCAGTGGGATCATCCGAGTAGTACTTAACCACTATGCGGTAGGTCGAGTAGCCCATGCTTTGATACATTTTGATGGCATTCTTGTTGCTTGCCCGAACGAAGAGATCCACGAACCAGGCATTCTGTTGATTGCAAGCCTTCTCAAGCGACTCGCTCAGAAGTTTCCCATATCCCAGCCGGCGATATTGTGGTGCTATTGACAGGGCCGTGATGTGGCCATGCCATGGTAAGTAATGTGGCGTTCCTCTACCCAAAAAAGATCGTCGTTAGAGACACCTGGCCGGACTCGGAAGAGAAGCAGACCACTTACTGTAGATTGGCCGGCGATGTCTCAACTTTACCAATAATATAGCCGACAATTTGGCCGTGCTCTTCAATACATTGGAACAACGAAGGCCATCTCATCAGATATGTCAGGTAGAAGTTTAGGTCATAGTTTTCCGTGTACGGATCGAGGTTGCACAAGTTGAGATGGAACAGGTCGGAGGGCTGGACTCGGCGAATGGTCGGCATGGTAACTCATGCCTCTGTGACAAAGGAGCATCGAGGTTCACAAAAGACGAGAAATCAATTTCTCGAGGACCTTGGGTGACGATTGTGGGGAGGAATCTGTGACTCGGACGAAACGCGCCGTCCCGCGAGTCACTGGGTTCGCGGGCCAAAATAATCACGATCAGCTTTCATTACAGCTTCTAACTGACAGACAGAGCATTCAGAGAGACATGCCTCCGCCTTCATGATAAGAGCCTACCCTGCTTAGATGAGCATAAAATACCATCAGTCACCCATTTTTCGTCTCACCGACCCCCCTGCATACGGACACGTAGAATGACCGCTCTTTCTCCACCGACCTCCCCGACAACGCCCTCGCGCAAGCGCAGGTCACTGCGGCTGTCCAACGTCGAGATACAATCCCAAGACGCCACGTCCCCAAGTCCGTATACCAGTGGGACCACCAATGGCACCACGTACTCGAGGAGATCATCGCGGACCTCGCAAACCTCTTACCAGCCTCGGTCTCCGGTGACACCGCGTCCCATGTCCTCCAAGTCGTCTAGACCTCCCTCGTTCTCCCAACAGCGCCGGCCGAGTCGGACCAGTATCAACAGCAACAGAAGTATCGAACAGTACGGTGACGGTAACGGGTTGGGAAACTTGGCCGACGAGCTCGAGCAGGCGTGGGACGACGACGAGGACGGAGAAGGACACTCGAACTTCCTCGATGGTCTAAGAGAAGGCGAGGTAGATCAAGACTCTTCGATGGTGCGCGACATGCGAAGCCCCTACGAGATCAACGACATGCACGACTTTGGATTTGGGATGGTCGTGCAGAGCCCGCACGGTCAACATGACGGGCAATCTCCCACTCTACACGTCCCGCAGCCTCGCAGGAATTCGCAACCTCCGGAGAACAAAAGGTCGGGCCATCAGAGACAAGAATCTGCCTACGACGGCTCAGACTACGGGCCGGATTCAGAGGCGGAAGAAGAGGATGCTTTCCCACCAATCCTACGCAAACGCATCCGCGACATCGAAAACCTCACTCGCATGTGCGTCAACCCCGAGGACGCCGTCAGCGAAGGCGGTGGTACTGTCCGCCGAGTCATTCATGGGTTAAAGGATCTTGGTCCGCAGGCAAACATTGAGTACGGGGTTACTCGGTTGATCACGGCGTATACATCGATGGCGTCTCATCGCACACACAAGACGCGAGATTTGTTCACTCAGTCGCACTCCTTGATGTATGGAGGAACTCTGTGGCAGGTACCGCCGGAGATGATTGACATGCTCCTGGACGATATCGCGAACTTGTCCTCGACCCTCCCTTTCCTCCGTCCGCAAAACCCACTGCTTTCCCTCCAGATCTTAGCGTCACAGACCGAGGAACTCAACCACACTCTTCGCTCCCTGACCGATCTGCTTCAAGAATCCCGCCTCGCTGCCAGTGCCGCAACAAGAAAGCTCAAGTCGGTCCGCGACATGGTAGAGGACATGTCGCTGGAGGAAGAGCTGGTGGAGAACAGCATCCTATTGATACAGGCCGGGGATTGGGATCGGAGATGTCGGGAGAGGCAGGCAGCACGGACAGTCAGGAAGTGTGCGAGGGGTTTGCCGACCGATGGGGTGTGCAATGTGATGTGGATTTAATGTCGCTTGCTGAGGGCAGGAAGCGGTCTGCCCCAGTGTTGGTATCTGGATAATGCAAAACGAATTGGAAGACTTGGTTCTTGAAGCGTGGAGTCCGGGTGGGTTTTGGCAGGGGAATTGCGAGGGCATCACGGGACTACAGGGCTAGAGAAGGTTGATTGAGGACCCTGGTTAGAACGATACATTGGGATGGAGACTGATCCGTATGGTTTAATGAGCGAGCACCGGTGTCGGAATAATGAGAGACGGGAGATGGGCCACGAAAACAATCTACAGAGTCGACAATCGAGCCAAAATCCAGAGAGCGTTTGGGTATGAGCCCCAGAGGTGTTTTGTTCGTCTACAACATCAGTCATCGGTTGTTGGGCGGCCACCCTATCGCTATCGAGCAAGTAGATACAGCGCCTGTTCTCTAATCAGCAATTTGACCTCATACAGTACTAGTTCTCGACCTGGGCTGTTGCCATGATGTTGTGGTGATCTTTTCCTCTTCTTCCAGCTCTTCAGAGCTGAACCCTTTCACCCGCAACTCTACGACTATTATTAGGTGAGACTCCTTCAGCGCAAGTCCGCATTGTCACTGTTATTGTTGTTGTTTGTGCCGTGGTTTCCGAGATACACAAACAGCTTCTAGGTACTAGGTATGTACTATGTACAAGTCGATGCCCAATCCAGGACTTCATCGGTGGCGTGATCTAGTCCAGCCCACTCGACGCCCATCCAGATCGTTTCCTTTGTGGAGCTTTGGCTCTCGCTAAAACCAGAATAGAAACCTGAATCGCAAACAGAAAGAGAGGGAGAGGAAAGCTTGGCTGTCTGGCCGTTTACCCCCGTGGACCTGCAATTTGCGCATCCTCGACGTAGGTACTCCTACAGGATGCCACCAGTTCACCACGTTCTCGGTCGCAGGGGACAACGCTTCATCACAGAGACAAAGACGCCTTGCAATGGGAGAGCCAAAAAAGAGAATTCATTCGTTATTGTTGTCCCAAAGTCAAGTCAAAGACAGCCACGATAGCTACGACAGCTGCCAGGCCCGAGCACAAGCACCAGGGCAGTTGGGTGCTTGTCTCGCTTAACCAAATTAACCGCGCGACGATCAGATGTCCACCTCTACGAATGAGACGCCGTCATGAGATTCCCATGGAGAAAGCTTTGCATCCACATCCGCCTTGTCCAGCTGCCGGATATCCAAGCAAGCTCCCAGGCTGTCCCAGACTCAGCCACTCACGCCGCAACCTCCTCGTCGACTGACACCCACAACGTTTCGCGGGAGGTCACATCGTGGTTTTGGCACAGCCGACGAACAGCCTAGCTCCCCGTTCCGTGTCTCACCAGAAGCTGCCTGTGGGTGTGCTTCAAAAATTGCTCAGTAATATACTTTGATGCCAAATGTTGGTTTGCGGATGTGTCACTAATACTTGCGCAGTCCACCCAGCCTCGTGTTGCCCAAACCCCATCATGGCTCTGGGAAAATGTGGTGCACTGGTGACAGGGACTGTTTGTTGTGCCGTATCCCAGGGCTTGCTGGGCTAGCAGCAAAACCCAGTTGCACACCAAAGCCAATCTCCCTGCTATTATATGCTTCGACGCCCACTTCGACATCCCTCCCTGTTTGCTTTTCTGTTGGTTTGAATACTCCCTCTTGTTTGACATACATACCGTCGCTCGCTACAGTCATTCGCTTGATCTATCTTACGCCTTTTACCAGTCGCCCCCTATTCTCGAGCCTTTCGACGTCTCTTTCGTGGACGTCTTATCAGTAACCCCGCAAGGAAAGATATTCTCAAACAGTCAAGATGAGATCCGGTGCTGCTCTGGTCCTGCTGGCCGGTCTGGCCGCCGCATACCCAGGAGAAGTCCTGCGCAAGCGTGCCCTGGCACCGCGTGAAGGCTGTCCCGCCGAACTCACCGCCGGCCAGTTCGAATTCCCCCACTACATCACGCAGATCTCCAAGTCTCAGCCCGACAAGGCTTTCGGGCCCCAGCTCAACGGCGTCTTCACCCCCAACGACATCTCGTCCATCTTCAGCTTTGATGTCCCCGCCTCCCGCGCCGACGCCAACTGCACACTCGAGTTCATCTTCCCACTCAAGTCGCAGCTGAAGACGTCTAACTTCGACTACGAAGGCGGTGGCTCGTTCTTCTTCACGGGATACAACCCAGGCAGCTGCCCGGGCCCCGAGACGACGTACAACAACCAGCCCGCTCCGGGTCCTTTCCCTCCGTTCCCGCCCATCCATATGGAGCCCGGAAATGCTTACACCATTGATGTCGGCCCTTGCTTCGTGGGCGCGGGAACGTGCGTTGCCGGTATGACCTCGACGAACGACACCAACTTCTGGTTCTTCCAGGACCAGGACGAGTGCCCAATCGGCATCTACACGGCCTACTCGTACGGCCTGCCGCCAATGGCCATCCCGCCCGTATAAACGGGTACTCGACCAATGAGTGAGTGGGGAAGGGGAGAGGATGAGTCTTGATGCCAAATCAGTGCCACACAGATCTTCATCTGACAGCACCATGGGAAATTCTCCGCTGCAGTGGAGGGTGGTACAGGTACTATTCGAAATGGCTATGTGCCGGGGTAGGCAGAAATGAACCAAAGGGAGCTATGCTTTTTGTTTGCAAGTGGTTACAGGAAAGGAGAGATGGAAATCGATCGCTGGCGACTCTTGTTACGACAACTAACCAATCTACCGTTGCCACGCGGTCCTGCCTTGTGGTACACGAACATGCACGAAGCAAAGCAAATCAGATCAACGGGAAGGTCCCATCACACACACGCACACACGCGCAATAGCATTATCGTAATAAATCCCTTGCGGACGCGAGGATATTGACCCCAAAAAAAAACAAGAATATCCGTCATACATTTCTGTGTTGTTTTGCTCTGCTTGAGTCTCATTCCATTCTGCTTTCCACAGCCAGGGTTTCTGGTCCTTTCATTCTATGTACATACTTACCCAGGCTCGTCGAGCCTATTTTTTCGTGTTGCCTGCTTCGTTGCATACGCATTTGGTTATTGGAGGGGGGTTATACCCAGATTGTGAAGCAGGGCTAGTTCTTACGAGCGCCCCGCCCTCCCACTGCTAGAAGTTTGGCTACTTTTTAATAGACCTTGATATTGATCTCGAAGTCATGTGCAGTACAAGTAAAATTGATAGAGTTGCTTCCAGGTGATAGGTGTGTTCAATTCCCTTGGGCGTGTGCTGTTTGAAGGGTGGTCTTTCCATCCAGCCCAAAGCATCTATTCCCAGCCTCCGGAGTGGTGACGGCTCTAATTGATTTATTTCTTGGTGGTGCTCTGTCCTGTTGCTACGATGGCAGCATATATCCCATTTTAGGTAAGACGATGTCAAGATCCCACTCGTGCATTGGCAGTGATCGACGCTCATGCAAGGGCTGTGGCTAAACGAAGCAAAGCCTGAGAGATTTGGAGGGTGGGAATTGCAGGCCTACTGAACATGGAACTTGCAAGCCTCACCAACCTCACTTAGCCACAGAGATCTGCCCTTCCGCCCGAGTCCTTGGTGTACATCACGTAGCACAGGCAAAGGTAGGGAGCATGATGTAACTTGGCACTATGATCTGGAGACGGTCAGGAGCGGTGAACGGTGGGAGCAGCAGCTGAGTTTCCACGGCGACAAGTCTCGCAGCACATGGAATTGTTGTTGGGTGGTGTGAGTACCGAGTACGGGGTACCTCGTAGTGTGAGCCTGAGTGTGAGTGACTTCTGCCAGCAGCCAAACATGTAGGTACAGTAGGCACGGATGGGGTTGGGCCGGAGCAAATAGGGATGGAGCATGTGCCTCTCTAGCCCGAACAGTCAGTGCGGCAATATCATCATTAGGGAGCAGCCGGCCTTTTCTCGCCCGGAACTGTGTCGCTGCCGCTCGGAGGATTCTTTGTCACGGGGGCACTGGCTCTAGGCATACCTACCGAGCTACCTAGGCACCTAGGGCACCGATAATGCAGGCTCACTAGGCACAGGCCACTCAACCCGGCCACGCGCCCACCTCGTGGTGTGACTGTCACGTTCCCTTCATAATTCCGTTGCCTCGCCCGACATTATCCTGTGTACGCGACCCACGTTATGTATGTATGATTACACTCGGCGCACATCACCCAACCTACCCCATTATTCTTTGCTGATCCTCAATGGATGGATCTACCAACGTGTCGTCTGCGATCATGGCGACTGGCGACTGGGCGTTGGATCTCTCATATCTTCCAGGGTCATGTTGGTGCGCTCGGGTTTCGCCGTGGCCGCGCCTGGACGAGGCTTTACCAATGCGCATTATCAGGTAATACCTTTCTGAGGGTTTGTGGCTGGCATCACTTTCAGCCAGAGGTAATATAAGAGAGCTCGTCACCCCTTTGGCCCTGTTTGTTTACTATTCACCGTACCACAGACACAAGCACTTCAGAAGAACACATCCAACAATACTTCTTATTACCTGTCAAAGGCAATCTATCTATCTAATAGATCTACCTACCTTGACACAGCAAAGCTCAACAACCAACCTACAATCATACTATTTATGACATCATCACCACAGCACAGCAACCCATCTGCGACACCAACAATGACGACCATGCACGGCTACGGCAACAGCTGGTTCACCAACCTGAACAATCTGGGGACCGAGTACATGCAGCAACACGCGCCGAAAGAAGACGCAGCCGCGCCCATGCACAACTACGGTGACTCATGGTTCGAGAACCTGAACAACCAGAGGGTGCAGTACGAATCCGCGCACCAACCCCACAACTACGGCGACGCGTGGTTCGAGAACCTCAACACCCAGAGAATGCAGTTCGAGCAGTTCCACACACCACAACAGCAACCACACAACTACGGCGCCATGTGGTTCGACGGCTACCAGCAGATGTGGGAACAGTGGCAGAACTCGAAGAAGGCCGGGCAGGCCTGAATCGAGGACGGACCGACGGATGAAGATCGGATCTGATGGGATCTGAACCCAACTGAACTGGTCTAGTCGAATCATGTCATGTCATGTCAACCGAAATTTGGGTATTCAAAGGCGCACCACCACCATTAATGCTCTTCACCCGATGCGTTAACAAGCGAGCGAACCCGCAGGTCGCGCGGATTGCGTAATTTGATCGCATGCATTGGGCAGTACTAATCCTTTCGAGGAGCCCGGATACTGGAAAGGGGAAAGGGCGTCAGGGTCAGGGTCAGGGTCAGGGTGTTATGCACACATGGGGCACTATGTTGCTTACATGTACTACGATCCGACGACTTCATCGGTATCATTATGAGGCGTTGGAGAGTCTGCTTTTTGGGAGCAAAGGGGGTTTCGACACAACATCGACAAATCGGCAATACATGATATGATACACTGATACAAATGCTCAATGCACAATACAGAATACACAGAAGACATGCAGTAATACAGAAGATGCAAGAATACAAGACGCAACTTCCAAGCTAGCTCATCCAAGATACGTGCCGAGATTATGAGATCCCCGAGATCCGAAATTCAAGATTCGTGCAATACCCTTGATCCAAGATCCAAGATTGAGCTCAGCCTTGGTGTTAGTAGTGGGCAATATATACAGATGTATTACGTAGATGGCTGGATCATCAGCGACGAGATGGATGGTTGGATGGATGGATGGTACGAATGATAATCATTAAATGAAATCAATTGACCTCACGGTATTCATATGAATCATACGTTCCGTCGCGGTTGGTTCCATCCATCTGATGTTTTTGATACGGCCGAGTGAGTACACTGGGGAAGGGAAAGAAAGATAACTTCAAGTAATCTTCACCGTGTGTGTCTTTTATCTCCCTATCTGTTCCTCCTCCTCCCTCTCTCCCATTCTTTCTTCAGCCGGCCAGGCAATGGTAATGGTGATTGGTACCCCTGTGTATGTATTATATTACATCTCACTGAGTGAGAAGAAAGTGCAGAAGTGCGTGGAGAAGGAATGCGTACGCACAGAACGTACGTACTCGGGAAACGACGAGGTTGAGCAATCACCGCCCCCCCCCCCCCCAACCCCCAAACAATGTACTCGGTATATATCATCACATCACCATCACCATCACTACCATCAAATAGGAGCATAAGAACATACGATACACATTTGGAAAGACAATTGATAGAGTTACGTTATGACTTTTATCCGCCCCCCCCCCCTCCCGCCCCCCACCCCCGGAACGTCAAATGGGTTGTTAATTCGTATCGTATCCTTCGTGTGTGTGTCTCTCTCTCTCTCTGTCCTGAGTAAGTCAAGTTAAGTACCTGAGTAGAGCACTTGAAATCCAGTCCTGCTTCTACCGGGCGTGCTTGTTCTTGTTCGGGCCATTAAAACATACTAAAATCCCCAACCCGAAGCCAACCCCCCAACCCCCCAAGGGAATGAGGAAGAACCACCACGCCAAAAACACCGGAGACAATGCATCGGACAATGACATGAATTGTTGTATCGTATTCGCGAATAAGCCCTGATCATCGACCGTCTGTCCCGTTCCACCAACGCCACCACTACCACCACCACCTGCTTGCTGCATCTCATCGCGGCCGCCTCCCTTCTTCTTCAACTGTCGAAGAACAAGGCGGCAGTGAGCATCTCCTCCAACGCCGTTTTACGCGGTTTGCGATGCCGCTGCCAGTCGTCGCTGTCCTGGCCGAGGTGGAGGTCCTGCGTGCGCACTCTCTTCCGCCCGAGATCCCCCGACGACGACCGCGTGTGGTTGGCCGTCGTCGTTGCTGGGAGGGGGCTTCTCGGCCCGTCCTCCTGGCCGCCACCGCCAGAAATCACACTGCCGGATTCGGAGGTCTGTACTGAGCTTGTCCCACTGCTCGACGCGTAGCCGTGGTCCGATGCCAGTTCTGACGAAGCATTGGGGTCGGGCATCGTGCGATGTGAAGGCGTGATCGGCGTCATGGGTGTTTCACCGTGCACTTCGGGGAAATGGGTCGACGTCTGGTCGGATAGATGGTGCTTGTTCTCCTTCTGGAGGCGAAGCTGCTCGCGGATGCGGCGCATGGCGTTCATGTGCTTGCGGAACCCGGTTTCAATGCCGTCGAGGTTCAACGTCTCGCCAGGGTGCCCGGGGTCGTGGTGATGCTCCGCCCTCTGGTGGGTCGGCCAGAGGGTGGGGTATTCGTCCTGCGTTCTGGGTCGGGCGGAATTCATACGTAGCGAAGGCGTGCTGTTTTCGTGCAGGTTGTCGTTGACGAAGGCGGCCGTCCCGACCGTCATGGTCGCCCGATTGGGGTCGTGGGCCACCGTGGCCGACCTGGATTGGTCCCACTTCTGGAGGACGTTCCTTGTGACTTCAGACAGGACTCTGTATTCCTCCGTTTCGTTGGTGGCTCGCGCCCGAGCGAGTTCGGCATGCGTCAGACTGGACAGAAACACATTGAGACTCTCGACCAGCATGGACAGTTTCCTCCGGAAATCCTGGACGGTGAGGCCCTCGTAGTTCATGTCTGTGTGGACAAGCCATTGCTTCACCGCGGCACGATCCCGAGTCGACGTTGACAGGTACAGCTTGACCAGGTTATAGAGTGGTCGTAAGGCACCGTTCAACGAGGTGAGAATTTTGGAGAAGGTCAAGGCCCAGCGTTTGTGGTCGGGCTGACGATCTATGAGTAATGAAGTGCTCCCGACGCTGTGCAGGGAGTCGAGGCTGATGGCAATGGTCCAGACTTCGAAGCGGAGGTTTTCAAAGTCTTCGGAGGCCTTCTGCATGCCATAAAATGTGTGCCAGGCGAGTTTGCAGGCTTCTGCCAAGGAGGCAGGAGACGGGCTCCCACCGCTGAAACCGAGAGTGCGCGACATGGTGGACATTGGCAGTTTATTTTCGTGTGATGGGAAAGAAATCAATCTGATGGATCTTGGTTGCTTTTGAGCAGGTCATTCAATAAAGCCCGATTGACAGTAAAGGGCTAAGAGCGATGCGCACCATGGCCGGGCCTTTTGGCCTCGCATAATAAGCCTCGCCATGTTGGTGGTCTTAGCCACTGCGTGACTGGACACCTGCTCGCCCATCCCCGCAATGGGGATGGGACGTGCTGGTGAGTGAAATCAGGGAGCCCATTTGGCTGCTGGGGAGGAGTAGTGTGAAAATGTCTCGAGGCGTTGTGCCACATGTGGCCTGACAATGCGCCAAATTACGCTCACCACCCGCCGGACTGGCGAGTGAGATGGCGGCGGATCAGATTTCCGTCGATCAATCAATACCGGACGGTGTCTAAAAAGCGGGTGGGATCGATCCTAGTGACGGCTGCTGGCATATTTTGGCCGTCGTGTTGATGTCAAAGAGCAGAGAGCAATGAGGCCTAGACACCAATGTCAGGACATATTATATGGAGCCATGTTGGCCTTGAATCTTCGACCACCACAATTTGTGTCCACCCTTCTCTCGGTCGCGGAGAGAGTGAGGAAGAGAGAGGGGAACAACTTGACAGAGCCCAGGTGAAGCGGGCTGACGAGTACCCCTCTGCCCCCTTCTGAAGAATCTGGAACAACTAGAAGCACGCAAGGACAGGGGCTAAGGAGACCCTTCCGGCATGCTGACACCGAGATGGGCAGCAACCTGAGGCTAGTTGAGACTGGTGAAGCTTGAAACGGCTTACCTGGAGACTCCCTAGAAGAAGTTTATCGTGAATCTGGGCCCAACTTCGGTGCACCGATCAGCCTTACCGAACGGGGGAGGAGTGTCTAATACATAATAGACAGCGGATGATCTCGACAGGTGCGAGACCTTTGCCCAGAATCTTTGTCGTTTGTTATTATGGTACTTACCGTCAGGGCCGCTTCGTGCTTGAAGAGCTGAGAGAGTGATGGACCAGCAGATTCTCCCGTCTACCGGGTATGCCCTTGTGCTCGAACCGTCCAGCCAGAGAGTCTCTGAGTGGAAGTGAGACGCCTCGTAGATAGCGACATGGCTTGAGTGTGGCTTCGTCATCATGGCAATTTGCAGTCGATCCCATGGGCTGGGCTCGACGATCTGCACAATGGAAAGAAACAATCCCAAGTCCAGACTTTGCAACTCTGGAGACCTGGAGATTGGAGACTGGAGATGTCCGAGGAGCCTCGACCCCCACGACGCCTGACGTTGCTTGTGAGGTGGCCTGTCCATTCTTTGGCACTGACTGTTGTTATTCTCCGAACTGCCCGTCACCGAGCGAGGCTAGTCCCATTCAATGGTATTATTATGTGCTGCCTAGGCTGGTGGCTTCTTGTCACACCACTGACCCGTCACGCCACGACCTCCTCTCCTCTCCTCTCCTCTCCTGCGCTATTGCTACCTCACTAGCTGTACCTTGCAGCCCAGCAGCCAAGTACCCAGTAGGCTGACACCTTGTCATCCAACTCAACTGCCCGGCTCCGAACTTGCCTAGCTTGCTAGTATATACCGAAAATGCCAGCACAACCACGACTCTGTGCTCGGTGCGACATGGTTGTGCCGACCGTTGTGTGCAGTCCGGAGATATTTCGAATCATCCGATTGGTATCCCCCGACCTGTACCGTGGGATGACGGTGGCTTATAGCAAAACAAGATCATATCATACGAATGTTGTTGTTGCAGCTTCAGGGAGAAAGAGAAATGGACTTAATAAGTGAGACCTCTACCGTCCTTTTGGGGATTTGTTCTGCTCTCCTCTACTCTCGCAACAGCAACAACAACAAACATCCATCAGTGAGCGATTGCGAGCAGACTGTGTCCTTGCATTTGTATCTGCATTCTACCAGCGTTCCGCCTTGTCCTCCATAGACCATACAGTAGCCACAGGCTCTCAGAAGAACATCCACAATGGACTACTCCAAGAGCCGTTATGCCTTCAACCAACATACCTCATCTTCCTCTATCTCTCAAACGCGCCAACTTGCATATCAAATAGGGACCATGTCCCGGTCCAAAATCCAGAAGGAAGCGGCCAAGACGGTCCCGCACCTTCATAGACTCGTCTGCCACGCTGCCGTCTTTGACAGCGCGGCCAGGTTCATCGTCGAGCACATGCACCACTACAGCCCCCAACTCGACCCCTCGTCTCCACTAGCGACTATTGAAGAGATAGAAGACGTGGATGACGATTTCGCCTTGGATGACATCGTCGATATTGTCCCTGAAGATGAAGACGATTCCGAGCCAGCACACGTCGAGTCCTTGCACACCGCCCAAGTCGCTTCGTTCAACGGCTATGCTCAGCTCAAATCTCCACGACTGTGTGGTGTCGTGGTGACGACGACGGTAGCGGGCACACGAGATGGCAGCCACTGGGAGGATGTGGAGAGCGACTCCAGCAGTAGCACCGAATCGGACGACGACGACGACGACTACGAGACCAATTTTGACTTCCGTTACGACTACGACGTCGGCACGGAGTCAGGCTACCCCTACTACCGCCAGTACGAGCGACAGTCGGACTGGAAGTATGCGCACAGCTGCTCGAAACAGTTCACCGCCTCAGCGGCACCCACGTACAGCAATCACAGCAACGACGATCAGCTGCTCTGGTCGCAGCAACCGCACGTCTGGTCTCCCCAGCAAGAGGCTCATTTATTTGTCGAAGCCTTCAGCTGAACCAATTCAACTTTACGACATGCTTTCTCTTTTTCTTTGATTAATGTCGCAAAGCTCCCGGTCCTTGTGTTGGGTCGTCCCACGATCGGTTGAGCCGTAAGCCCTTGATGTTTCGAAGTTATGATACAGGGCTTTTGTATATATGTACGATACGCAGAGTTGACGCGAAAGAAGACAAATGAAATAAAAATCAGAAAATTATTCAAATATTCCTGGTCCTTGACGCACTTGCTGGCTTGTTAGACGCTTGTGTGTGAGCTCGCTGTTACATACAAGCCCCCGAGGCTAGCACTCAAAAGGGGAGGATGACCGGAGGGCACCCTCTAGTTTAAACAAGACTCGTCGTCCGGATGTTGTATACAAATGTAATAGTATTACAATATTAAAATATGACTCCCCTCGGCAGCCACAGTGTGAGACAATGCACATTTCCTCGCCATCATTTGCATTTGTTTGTATCACAGCCAATATCACCGTCTGCCACCCATGAGCAACCCGCCGTTCCTGTACAGAGCCACTCTTAACCAAGACGCCAGGCCTCCCATACTATTGTTACACCATTGGTGCGGTGCTCTCGGCCATCGAGGTCCGCTGTGGTGAAGGGTTGTTCGTGTTGTGTTTGCAGCACGTACAGTGTGCCTGTCTTCCCCGCTTGTCGAATTTGTTCACCACTGGAGGGATCCTCCAGCTCATAGCATACTCAAGTTCGATGAGGCGCAGACAGAATGCGATCACCGCTGATCCCAAGAAGGACACCCTACATCGATCAAGTTAGCAACAAGAGGGCTGTGTGAGAAAAAAGGGTGTTTTGGTGCTCACAGATTGACAATCATGAATGCAAACATGGCCTTGACCAGCTCACAGTCGGTTTGGAAGTGCGCCTTCGATAGCTGCCCGTCGAAGTACTTGGTTTTGAAGGCGCGGCACGAGTCCGTGGCGTCGCCGTCCCACAGACCGATCAGGGTGGCCCAGGCAGCCACAAAGAGGATATCAAAGACCAACGACACCGAGAAGAACAAGGCCCCGCCGAAGAACATAGGCAGGATGGTGATGCCCGAGTAGACGGTGCAGATGCAGGCGATGACCACTGTCGCCGTCGCTTTCCGCGGCACGTCTGCATCTGCGTCGGATAGGCTGCTCATGACGGCCGCGACGAAGCCGATGATGATGACGGACCAGACGCCCTCCAGGACACGCAGCCCAATCTCGGCAATCCGAAGGAACGTCTCGTCAAGCGCCGTGGCCAGGTCGAGTTCCCTCGTTCTGAACTTCATTGTTGGGGTTTGTGACGAATTGTGCTAAATTGTTGTATGTATATCAAATTGGATTCGAGTTCGTTGACAATAGCTAGCCTCACCTTCCTTACCCTTGTACCGACGACTTTATATCGGACATGAAATGCTCCTCGGTTGCTTCGTCATCTAGCCCTCATCCAAGACACGTGCAGTCGCCGGCGATGTCCGTACATTTTGTTCTCGTGGTGTTGGTGGTATCGTCCACAAGTACGAGAATGGCGTGAGGAGCAAATCAGGTGAGTGCCTCTGTGTCGGCGTACCAAGCGAAATGCACGTCAATGCAATCAGGGAAAGTCAAGAGCATCATGTAAGCACAATTGAGTCATGCCGAGTGCATTGAGCATTGTGCACTGGAATCACTGACACATGGAAATCGGGGCACCTCTTAATACCGCAATGGGACTTCGTCCTGAATGCTTGTGAGATCTCCCTCGTCTGGCGGATCGAGATGTCCGAGTTAACTGCGCCTCCGAAGTTAAATGGCGGAGCAAGCCTCGTCGGGAGGAAGACTTTTCCTTCTGGCTGGGTCAACGTCGCATTGGAAATCTATTTCCTGCTCTGAGGCTAAGTATCGCTCTGCAAGGCGAGCTCCATGCATGTCACCCATTGCGTACACCAGCCTTGTCCCTCAACTAGAGATCCGGAGCTTGACACACTGAGCAAGTATCCGCTGGACCGAATGGCAGTGACCCCCGACGGGATGCGGATGGTGGTCAAGGTACGTACCTATGTATGGTACTTTCATTTCGGCCTCCAAAGCATAAAGACAAATGTTTGAAAAAAGTTCCCTCTTGAGGAAATTCCATGTATCTACAGCTACAACAATTCTTCGTATATTGCGAACCGTGAACGAGTAGCTAATGTGCCTCAAGAAGTAGATATCTTGGCGAGAGTCCACCAGGCTCTCTAGCCTTTAGGGGCCATAGGCGTTCCGATTGGGCGTGGTAGGTGCCCAACCACCTAAACCCTCGGGATCCTGAGCCCCGAGAAAGCCCGTCACAGGGCCCAAGCAGCCCAAGCAGCCCAAGCAGCCGAAACATGCGTCCCCAGAGAAGGGGCATTTCCGTGCCTTCGGGGGCTCAAGGAGGAAACCCGGAGCGAAACTGCCTGCGTTTCCCAAACGACCCGCAAAACAGCTTTTTCTCCTCGTTCTCGCCAATGACAACCATTCGCAACCCTCGGGGACAACCGTATTGAGCTTCCCGTTGACGCTGAGGCCATGTCGATGGTGGTCTGACAGTTGTTTCCGCCTGCCGGGTCCTTCATTTTCTATGGAGAAGTCAGCTGGCGTGTTGGCTTAGTAGCTGGGCCAAGCAGATTGCGCCAGAACCGCGTGGCTACTGCCGACTGCCTCTGCCTCATGGTCGCAACCGACGCCGTATACAACGTTCTAATAAGCAAGGCCTCTTCCACCATGAAACGACAATTGTGCCACCGTGTGTGCAAATCAACCCACTCTTCAAGAACATCTTTCACCTCATAACACAGTCAATCCACCGGTACTCGAGGCTTCAGCCTACCATGTCCTACACACAAACCTATCCCCAAAACCAAAGACCTTCATACACGGATCAAGTACGTTGGTTCTATATCTCTCATTTGCCACATTCGCTAACAGGCACAGCAACCAAGCTGGAACGGTGTTGAATTCGCCACATCCAACCCCTTTGGGAGCTATCCTCAGTTTCCCAAAGACCAGCCCTTCTATGATCTGAACACTGTACCGTCGAACGAGCAGAATGCTCCGTCGCCAGTCTATTCGCAATATCTAAACTTCGACGCTGCTGGGCAGGACTCGGGCCTGACAGCAACAAGCGATGGTGTCTCCTCCCAGACCTTCTTCAATACCTCACCTATCTCGACAGACAACTCTCAACAGTTTGCCGACTTCCCAATCAAGACCGAGCCCGGCTTCGAACAGAACGATCCGTCCTTTTCGTGTGGCCTGAACCTAATCCAGGATGAGAATGTCTCTCCACGGAGCTGCGGACAAGTACCTGCATGCCTGCAACTTCTCGACAACCCTGAAATGGAAGACTTCAACCTGTTAGGGCCCGTCCTCCCCCCGAACAAACTCCCCAACCCAGACGGAGTCAGGAGAATACCATCGCGCGTCAGCTCGGGTAGTGGCAAGCAATTGAGAAGGACGAGTGACGACGGCATCCCCAGACCCCGAGGCAGACGGGCACGCAAGGGCTCTTTGAGTGACGAGGAAGCCGCCCAGGCCCGCGCCAAACAAGCCCACTCGATCGTCGAACGAAGATACCGTGACAACCTCAATGGCAAAATCATGCAGCTGCACCGAACACTAAACGCCATTGGATCACCGTCTCGCATGGCGGGTCTGTCAACCGACGAGCCTCCTAGTGCGCACGACCAGCGCACGAGGGTACGCAAGTCCGACGTTATGACAGACGCGGTCAACTACGTCCACCAGAGCGAAGTGTCGATGCGGCATATGACGGACGAGATCAAGCGGTTGAGCGACCGAGTGCGGACGCTAGAGAAACTCGTCAAGTGCGAAGATTGCGCCCTGCTCAAGCAAATGGTCCGACTGCAGCTCCAAGCACAGCAGAACCAGCAGGGACAACAGGCACAGATGTCGATGCAGCAGCAATAAACGCAGTTTGCCAAATCGACTCTGCCAGCTGCAGACCATAAGAGATTGTACATGCCAACAAAATTGATTTTGTTGTATCCATTCAACATCAACTATGGGACCACAGGACCACAGGCCCCCTCAAGTGATGGAATTCGCATCACAACTCGATCATGACCAGGGCCAGCCGCAAGGCTGGCCTTTGTACCTTTCCCAACGGCCAGAGAGTTGTGAACAATGTGATATACAACCTCTCCGGAAACTCGAGTCTGTGGCCGAAACGAACGACACCCTCTCACCAATTTGGTCATATGAAGTTCATGGGCACAACACATGGAAAATGGGGTTTCATTTGGTATATGCTTCACATCTGCCAGGACTTGGGAAGAGGAGATTCGAAAAGCTACACCGTTGCAAAGTAAGGCAAAGGACGGATGGAATATGGACAACCCAGGAGGGTGTGTCCCATGGTTATTGTTTATCACTACGATTTTTTGGCTTTTTTTGGATTGCGTGAAGGTAATTGCCATGATACCCCACTACACACAGAATGTGTGTGTATGTATGTTCGAAATGTTTCATGACCACCGTTGCTGATGCTTGCTGCTCTCTTTTCTTTCAGGGCTCGCTTTTTGGTTGAGGGATGTGGGTTGTGTGACTCGCCTTCAGTGGCTTGAGTCCTTGGGTTCTTGGAACGGAGTATGGCTGGAAGAACATGGTGTTTGAGAGGAATGCACAATTACTGATGCATCTTCATCTTGATTTTCATCTTCGTCTCTCAGAGTCAGATAAACAGGTAGTTGTATACATGTGCATGTTCTGACACACACAGGCCAGATGTTTTCTCTATGTATGCATTTCAACCTTGCCGATGCTGCCTGGTTCTCTATCGTTCGAGGATATTTATTGTTATTACTTTAGTTTATGAGACTAGTACCTATAGGCTAGATATTACCTCTATATATGCATTTCAACCTTATCCGATACTATCTAGTCCTCCATCGTTCGAGGATATTTATTATTATTACTTTAGTCTATGAGACTGGTACCCATAGGCTAGATATTTTCTCTATATATACATTTTAACCTTACCGATGCTGTCAGAGAGCCTTGGGGTGGGATCGTTAGACGAAGAGTCAGAGGGTTGAACACGTATCTTGATTCTTGTATAAAGCTGTCCTTGAGATATCGACTTCTCGTACTGTTGAGGGCCTCTCCAGCAGTGCGAGAATAGAGGTCCTATTTATCTCTTTCTGTGTATACCTTATGGGGGCCGACTTGGCATTGGGGGCCGTTGGCCCTATGGGGGCCATTCGCCCCATGAATAGAGGTCCTATTTATCTCTTTCTGTGTATACCTTATGGGGGCCGACTTGGCATTGGGGGCCGTTGGCCCTATGGGGGCCATTCGCCCCATGGGGGCCAAGCGCCTGATGGGGGCCATTCGCCTGGTGGGGGCCATTCGCCCCATAGGGTGTTGTCGGCCGGCTCGGCGCCTTCACTATCGAGTAGTAACATCGAGGCAGGAACGCCTCTAAAAGCGGCGGGACTGACGACCAAATTTGGCGGTAAATTTCCCTGCAACTTGTGTAAGACAGTTATGGGCTACTGGAGCCCAATTGTCACCGCTGTCGGCGGTTTCCGCAGCCCCCTGTTCGGGCTCACGATCTAGATAGGCTGCCCCCTTCCGCCTAATGCTTAACTGTGAGTTTTGATGTCGGGGTAACAACGGAGCACCTACGGAGCATGCAGAACACACCCATACCTACTCGTTTAATCCCGTATTATCAGCTGATGGTGGACAGACAACCTCCGTCCTCGATGGCGTGACAACACACAAGTGTCCACGGAACTGCAAACACGCGCGCACGCAACTGGGCCAACAATGTGAATTCCATTAGTGGGACGTCTCTCCGCGTTCTGCAGCCACCTGCATGGACAAGACGAGAAGAGTCCTTGAACATGTCTGCTCAAGATATAAACTGTGTGGTTCCGCGATGGGTGGCAAGCCTTACCCACATACTCGTACAGACAAGACAACAAACAACAGTCAATGCAACACAGATCACAACCACTATACAACAAAACAACCCGTCATCATCTATCTGCTCGATACCAGGTCTGACTGCCTCAAGTGACCCATCTCATCCTTCCAAGGATACAAAAGGAGATATCAAATCCACGCTTGAACGTTTACCCATCCACATATACAACGCCCACCTCCCACCTCTACTCCCACAAAACCAATCTTCATCACAACCTTCTCAGACAAATCTACTCGGTAATTCTACCAAAACTATGCCTCCCATGCGTATCCCCATCAACCGCCTGGCCACGACGCTGCGCACATTCTCGTCCGCCAGTCCAGCTACCCTGAGAACGGCAGCGACGCACCACCCTTCCCTCCACTTCAACTCCCAACAGCACATCCTCCCGCACCGGGCGTCACAGAGGATCCTCTCCAAGGCCTCGCAGACAGCCCGGACGGCGCAGACACACTGGTCGACGGTGCCCGAGGCCATCCGCGACGTCACCAGTTACCTCGCCCTGGGGGCGTTGACCTCCGAGGCCGCCTTCCTGGTGTATTGCTGGGTAAGCAATATCTCCTCCTACCGAACAGAGCCGCTTCCCTTTCGACCCGTGCCGTGGATCGAGAGGTGCGACTTTTGATGATGATAGAGAGCAAAAGCGGTGTTTGAGTGAGTGAGTGAGTCGAAATCAAATCAATCAGTACTTCATTCATTCATTCGATGCCTCCTGCTGCTCCCTCATTCAATCCATCCTTAACGGGGATGGAAGGGAAAAGCTCACTCGTCCTCAACCGCGCGGATTGGGGATTGAGGATATATCATCATCACCGTTACCGCCATCATTGTCGGACCCTCAAAAGACGCATATGCTGACATGTCTGTGTCGGCAGGACCAAAGCGCAGATCTGACGGATTTCCTGGCTGTCTAACAGCTTTACGTGCGATCACGACGGCGAATGTTTGTTTTGTTTTATGGGTTGAATACCGGCGTTGAAGGGGATATGCCTGTTCTACGATGACGAATCAGGTGTCATTGGTTTTATCGGTTTCATTTTCTATCGTCTCAGCCCAAGGTTCTTACTATTCAGAGTGGCTAGGGTTGGATGGACACCCGAAGATGGACCATGCACACAGTCGGCGAGAGTCTGAGCTCTGTCCGTCCCAAGATCCGACGTTGAGAGACTCTTGCTGCAAGGGTTGTCGGCCTCCTGAGCGAGTCGAGGAAAATCCCGCCTCGCTCACTGCCTCGTTAAAAAGGGGGGCGCGTGTCCATACATACATACAGACAGACAAGGACATCCACAATAACGAGTACTGTATCCACATTGTGCCCGAGAGTCCCAAAGCCATTCTAGGGAGCTAGGCACTTAGGTAGCGCTTTGGTAAGAGGGATCCTAGAATAGGAATCCCGAGAAATGTGACAGAAAAAATAATCCCTCTCTCTCTCTCTCTCTCTCTCTCTCTCTTCTCTTCCCCCCGAGAATTATCTTCTCAAGAAAGTCACGAGGGCACGGGATTCACTTTGCATACCTCGAATATTATGGGGGGAATCATTCCACTTTTGCGGCCTTTCGCGGCGTTCATTTCCTTGCGCCTTACTGTCCAAGTCGATCGCCGAAAGCCGTGCCATGGGTTTGTCTCTTTGGGCTTCTGGGCGTCTGTCGAGGCCCTGCTCCAACGACGATACTACAAGAGAAGCAGCCCGAGCCTGTCCCCTGCCAGGGTCTGCATGACTGAGTTCCTTGCTCGCTTGCTTGGCTGGTCTTGAGCGAGGGACCGTAGGCGAGAAAGCCCCAACCCCCGAGGGTTACCAGGGAAGTAAGTAAGGGCATATCCGGGGAATCAACCTGTGGTGTCCCATTCACCATCGTGTGACTTGAATCCTCGACTAGACTGTAGTACAGTAGACGACAAGTATTCTCACTGGGACTCTTTGCCCACGAAATAGGAGCCAAGCGGGGCGGACGACTGCCCACATGCCTCGGTCACCAGGCTGAGCGACGAATCCTGAATCGATGACATGAGTGGGCGAGTAATCCAGTAAGTGCCAGAAAATGGGAAAGAAAACTCGGTCCCTGGGCGAACGGGATCAGCAACAACTGGCGATGCTGTCGTCGTGGGGTGGCGGACGAAAATCAAAAACCGCGCACCGAGCACCATAGAACACATGTGCAATAATAATACATAGTCTGTACTCGGTACTGTCCGTTAGTTGTACGTAGCGGACTTTTTCGCTCGCCGAGGCCCGGGTGCGAGTCTAGGCCGTACCGGTAGATCTAGCACAGCTAGGTACAGTGTCCTATCGAACAAACATGCTACAGTATTATCGTCCAGATCCTGTAGAGAGCTCGCTCCTGTCGGAGTGAGAAGACTCCGAGCAGAGAAGCCTCGAGGACACATGGTAGCATTGAGCATGTAGCAAGTTGAAGCTTGTGAGGATGCATGCATGCAAGGACAGCTCGGAACAAGCACACACACACACACACACGCTCACATGTGTCTGTCCCCAGACATGAGAAACATTCCAGCCGGAAATGCTGTCTACTGTACCCCAGACATTCTCTAGCCCACCTTGCCCTGTTTGTGTGTAGCTTGTGGCTTGTGGCTTGTATGTATGTAGCCACAATGACGGCAAGTACTCCCCTAGTCGAGGAGTACAATACATCATCCCGGATGCGGCCGGCTGTGTAATTATTACAGTATCAGCCGCACCGGTGGCAGCCCAGCATCCCAGGATCTTCGTGGGGTTGAGGTGAGCAAGAGCCAGCCAGCCAGCCTCGCCACCAAATCACAACTCGTTTTCAGTCGTAGATGGAAGACGTCAAACGGTGGGGAGAGGGAGCGAGCATCACTTCTCCTCCCAAAGCAAGTCGGGCTCTAAAAAGCTTCAGAATGGGTCGATTCGCTGGCTCGCCCTCTCGGAGCCCGGTGACTTCTTTTCTTTCTAATTCGTAACTCTCTTTTCCCTTCCTGCAAAATGCATAATGATGTGCAAGGACACTTCGGATTCAGCGGATAGGACCCCTAGCCGAAGAGCACCAATCAGGACGCGGGCAAGCCCCCTGGTTGAATTGGGGGAGGAGGGATTACATTCCAAGTGGTTGTCGGATCCCCGAAGTTCGAACGAGGAAGGGTCAACATCGCGGTATGGCAAGCGATCACGGGCTTGTCTGTCTGTTGCTGTTGCGGCCTTACACCTTGTATGTGCTCGTTCTCGTCAGCTTCGGCCTCCCTTTTTTGGTAGCCTGTCCAGCTCTTCATGCCCATAAGTCTGTTCTGTCCTGTCCTGGCAACGGCCCTCAATTGGGCCGACGGGATTAGACCTAAGTGCGTAGGAGGAGGAGGACTTGGATGTAGAAGTAGTGGTTGTAATAGTCGGAACTGAGTGAGATTAATGGGGCCCCGGGCCAACCACACACCATGCCGTACTCATACGTCGGGGTCTGCACCCCTGAGTTGGGTGGTGATGGTGGTGTGGGTGTAACAAGTAGTACCAGGTTATTCATACATACAGTACCGAGTATATAGCTACTAGCTAGTCATCCATCATCTTGACGCCCGTCACCCCCCCGTTTTTTTTATTTCGCTCGGGTACTGTTTTCGTGCCCCAAGGTTTGTTACGAAGACGCACGGCGTGACAAAAAGTCGAGACTCGAGAGAAGGCAAAAGAACGACAACGACATTGTCATCTTCCGATCCCGCTTCTCCTTCTCCATCCATATCCATATCCATCCATCGAAAACCCTACATCGATCCATCCGACTTGTCCAGGTCATCCGCCTGGAATCGATCCATCGGAAAGCTCTCAGCCTTACCCCAACATCACTCTCACCCACATTACAAATAGTACACACCTGACCTCCTGCTACCTCTAGCTTGCATATATACAATCATACACCTCCGCCGCCTTTCTATAAAGATATAACCTCTTGTATCGAATCACACAACCTTCAACACCAAACGTCGATCCAGATATATCCAATCACGTCTCAATTCGAAGCCGAACACCAGGAACGAGACCATCTAGCACCGGCCTCCCTCCTTCACTCTCTCCGAATGCCTATCTTAATCACCTACGCCACTTCTCACGGCTCGACGCGAGAAGTGGCCGAGCGGATCGCCTCACGCCTTCATGCCGATGGCTTCGCCGTCGACTGCCGGTCCGTGGACCACGTGTACAGCGTCGAGAACTACAGTGCCGTCATCCTGGGGAGCGCCGTGCACGGCCAAAAGTGGCTGCTGGACGCACAAAAGTTCCTCGACATCGAGGCCATGGGTCTGCAGCTGAAGCCCACCTGGACCTTCAGCGTGGGCATGGCTCCGGCCGTCGGCTCGAAATGGGTCCGAGACCGAGCCGTGCGCCGCGAGTCACGCCAGATCGAAGAGATGGTCCTGCGGAAGCTGCCCAAGGTCCGAGATCACCATTTGTTCGCGGGAAAGGACGACGGCTCAGAGACCCCGGCCCCCCTACGGTGCCTCTGGAGCTGCGTCGGTGGACGCTGGGGCGACTACCGTGACTGGGGTGAGATTGACGAATGGGCGGACATCATTGCCAAGGAGTTGAAACTGGAGGGCATCTGAGCCACGAGCAACAAGAGAGCTGGCACTCTGAGATTGTGTATTTTGGGGGGAGTTGGTGGTCGTTGACAGTCGGTTTCTGCATCAGGTTTGCCCCCGGAGTTGCTTTGGATAGCACTGCAGCGTTCACTACCATGACACGACTCTGTGATGAGATTGATTGAATACCCCAGATATGCCAGGCGATTTAGCCTGCACGTTGCATCTCGTGCAAAATTGGATAGCTTTGAAATACCAACTGCTTCATACTTCGAGGCCAGCAATCTCTGCTCTGCCTCTAGTCCAACAGGTCTCGCACTTGCATGTGCTAGTCTTTCAGACCGGGTCCCCGTTTTTTTCCCGTGCTGAATAGCATACGTAGGATGTGGCGCCAATGGGTACATTGAAATCTTCGGAGGCGCCTGAGGCGACGAGGCTGACCGCAGGAAAGCCTGCCACACACCCTGCCTCGGCCGTCTGAGATTGATCACTGTGATATCATATTATATCACATTGGTCAGAACATCCATCAAGTGGCATCTTTCGTTCCAGATGAACAACAAGCGTTGTCAGGAAGTGAGGCGAGATATTACCGAATCTGCAGGTGACTCGAGCCATTGAGGTCTCATTTCTTGAGGATCCTCCCTGCCGTCATGTCGGGAGCATGTGGAAGCGGCGTCGACTCTTCCAAACCATTGCATCAGTCATGCGGCGATTTGCCTGAAGAGACCTGGCATGATCGGATCAGTGCGGATGAGCTCTACACTGATCCACGGCCTGCTAGACGATCACTTCAAGGAGTCCCACTGCTTCGAATCAGAGGGTGGCAGTTTGTCAGCTGCTGGCATCTGTGTTAGATAAGCACAAACTGATCCTTTCGGATGCAGTTGACAGTGCACTCTTGAGGAGAAAGACGTCATCACCTCTGTCAAACCACGGATGGATATGAGGCAAAGGCTGATGAAGCGCTCACACCAAAAAGCCCCAATATCAACTGCGCGCTCGTGGCACTCTGAGGCTGGTCTCGACCGAGCGTTCCCCAAGCTGCAGGTCGGGGCAATCCTGGACGCACGGTTCAGAATCGTGCTCTTCGCCTGATCTCATGAACTCTGAGCAAGTGCGACGTGTCGTCATGAATGGTGCCGCTGACGGCATTGAAGATGTCAGAAAATGAAGAAGTGCATGCAATGTTTCGAATTCTCAGGCTTTGGTTTGGATAGGTGTGAAATCCTCCGGTCTGACATGAGATTCTACGGGTGGAAAAGATGACTCTAAGTATATATTTATTGTCAGACAAAAAGTCCTTCTTCTCCAGCCCCAGCACCATTCTCTCTTCTCTCCTGCATCATCCTTTCCATCGCATGGTCCTCTCACTCCTGATCCATTGGTGCTAGCCTCACCTCATACAGCTTCGACATCTGTGTACCTGCGCATCGAGCTAATACTCTTTTGAGTGACTGGTTACACCGGCTACAATGTCTCTTCAGCAGAACCCAAGGGCCCCTTCGGTCACCGTCCAGAACATCCATCGCCGACGGAATTCCTTCTACAGTTAGTGTCTCTTCATGTCCAGAATAGAGCGCAGACAATGAGGAAGATCCCTATCGCTTTGGGCAGCCAGCCAATAACATGACCTTGAAGCTATTGCGACGATTTCGAGCAGTTGGGATGGGATCGCGATGCATTGATGGGTGTATACGTCGTGAGTTCTTTCCAGGATAAGGTCTTCTCCTTCCTAACGACATAACTGTGCGCCTTTGGCCTCACCCCAATATTCCCCTAGGCGTCTATTGACCAAGAAAGCAACCTTTTGAGGATCAGTCCACACTTGCATACGCTCTTGGCCTCCCAGCTATCTTGCCAGGAACTTCCCCCGCACAGCAAGTCGTGATTGCCCAATAGCTCTTTCTGAGAACAAGTCGTTCTTCAGAAAGCAAGTTTCCATCAAGCAGTCATTGCTACTCCAAAGCTTTTGAGTTTACGCTTCTCTTCTTACTTCGAGCCTCAAAATCCTGACGCTCAACGGACGATATAGCATCAGTCTCTGCTGCGACTGGAGATCAGCTTTGTGCACAGACTTTGAGCCATTCCAATCAGAGGAGGTCCACGGTGGAGAGTTCGAGTGTGAATCCGCAAACCATCCCTCTACTCAAAAGTTGATTTGCAACTCGGGTTCCACGGCACCATTATTACGAGGCGGCGATTCTTTGACCCACCAATTCCCTGGTTCGGCATACTACATTATCAACTTGGCCATTCCTGGGAGTGTCGCTCCATTTTCACATGATTGATAAATGCTTCTGACGGGGATCTGGCGCCTCAGGCGGTACGGGACCGTCACAAAACCGGTCGGCAATGCAGTGTGCTCGGCAGGAATCCATACCGACTTACGAACGAGCCTGAGGAAAAACGGTGTTTATACCTACCTAGATTGTCCTTTGTTTCAATGCATCATCCAAGTACTTAGCACATGATCCCCGCGAGAGTATCTTGACGCGCGGACCAGGTGTTTCAATCATACAAAAATCAAGCCATCGTTCTCCTCTTCCAGTAACAAACTTCCTCACTGCAGCAGAATGAATACGGACCAACAGACTGTACGGACGCGTCCGCGTGTTTCACGGGCTTGTGAAAGATGCCGTGTCAAGAAGGCAAAGGTGAGTCGGATTCGTCTAGTTACTGCCGTTTTTAGCACTTCAAATAGAGAAATCCAATAGAAATTGGAAAAGCTGACCATCGTCCTTCGACAGTGTGACGGTGAGAAGCCTTGCAGGAGGTGTAATTTAGACCAAGCACCCTGTTCGTACAAGCTACGAAGGAAGACCGATTCTGCAAGCACAAACCAAAGGTAAGCAATTGGATCATACCCGACATCTTCCGAGGGTCTCAATATCCTCTCGCTGACGGCCTGCAAAGATACACCAATCTCCTCATTCAACATCAGGAGGCTCTCACGGCGGGCGTGGTGGAACTGTACGGGCGGCTCGTCAGAGGTCAGAGATGGGATGGCGCTCCCGTCGAGGAAGTCAATGGCAGCCCCAGCGTGCACGAGATCCTTGAACGATTGGGGGTACTTGACCGCGATGACGACGCCGACTACCGCAACATCGACTCCTACTCGACCAAGAACAACAACAACAACAAATCAGAACCTGTCTCGCCGGTAAGCCTGGGGAGATCAATTCCGCCCATCATTGCGCCGAAGACCAAAAGGCAGGTTCGAACAGCCGTGCGAAGAGAACCGGTCTGTCATGTACCTGGCACAGCACCACCTGAACAGCGGAGTGCTGTCGCGGAATCGCCAATACCAGCCATGGCAACGATCATGAGCCGGACGTCGACCACCTGTGGACCGCCGCCTTCGGCACTCGATGCGGATGAAGTGCCACCCCATTCGACATATTTCGGGCAATATCCTTCGCCGTTGACCCCAATATCCGACGCACGAAGCACATCTCTGTCTCATTGCTCTGGAGGACGTCTCAACAGTACCAGTACGTCGACAACATCATGGGTCGACTCTCCGGTGGATGACTTCTGTGACGAGCTATTCGGCACACCGATACCCACGCCCAGGACGGAAGTCCAGACAGGATATCAACCATCGGATCGCCGCCGAATCGAACCTCCTCCCCAACCTCACCTTCACGCCCTGACCCCTCCAGTCCATCAGCGGCCATCCGCCGTGGCCCCGCCGTTCGCGTCCCCGTACCTGAGCGTCACGGAAGCCTACCACGCTGAATACTTCTTCGACGCGACCGTGAGCGGCGGCGGAGTGTCCATGTACGGATGGGATGGTGGACCGGGCGGCCCGGGCGGGAATGAATATGCCGCCTGGGAGACAACAGGGGTGTATGTCTAGGGTTGGGGAGTTTCGAAGCGCGAGTAGCTACTGAGTTAGACTGATCGAATGGGTATTAAGTGATGGGAGTCAATCTGTACTTGTGCTATGGGTTTCCATATGTGCCTCTACCCCCGGAGTATATGTATGTGACACAGCGGGAGAATCTATACCGAGTCTACCACTTCAGCGCCGTGTGGCCCTGGGGCGTTCCTCTATAAACTCTTGATGCCCCAAGAATGATTAGTTCAGACTTCAACACCCTCCTAATAGACCCGTCCAGATGCTGGTGCACAACGGAAGTTCCACCTCCTTGAACCTAGCCTCTCGAGCCCGTTGCTATTGAAACCTTCCCCCCTCTCCTTCGGACGAGCGAGCGTCCCGGTAAATTGATTAACCCTCGACAATGTACGTTTAGAAAACACATACCAGTACCAATACCATTTGCCCCGAACAGGTCCAAAAGTGTCAAAGTTAGGCGAGGATCGGACAAAGATGAACATCTGCCGTCGGTCGGTCGGTCAGTCAGTCAGCCACACAGGCAGAGAGGGTTGTTGGGTTCCCAGGATGTTCGTTAGTCAGTCCGTCAGTCAGTCAGTTAGTGCACGGGTGAGAACTCTTGTGCTGACACGGGCAGACAGAATGTGTTGCCATGAGGCTGGTCCTCTTGTTCGGGGATAGAGAGAGGACACCGGGCGGTGGGATATTGGAGACCTGGACAGAGCACGCGGCTTCCAACATGACGGACAAATGCGGGCAAAAGGGAAAAGACAGGCAGGAGATCGTGAGGTAAGTCTGTCTTTGTGGGAGCCCAGTCTGTTATACAAGTCTCCCCTCTCTCGCCATCATGGGTCATTGACGAGGTATCCTTCTCAAGAGTTCCAACTTCGAGATGCCTCTGAAAATGCTCATTCCATGTAGATCTCTACCTCTGAGCACGTTTTACTGCCCACTCTGCCACTTCCACATCTGAGCCGGCCTTTTCCAAGCAGGACACTGAACATCCTCTAGTATCACACTCGAAAAGTTGAATTTCGTATATGCGTAGACCATGAGTGCCAAAATTTCAAACGCCGTTTCCAATGCAGCACCGTCCCGCCGTTCCGTTTCTAACTGTTGTGAATTAGGAAGTTTCGGAAACTATCCCAATAGTCCGAATTGACATATCTAAAGAAAATCGGTCAGCATCTCCTTCACCAGAGCAAGTCAAAATCCAAAACGTACATATACTTCATGCTACTCCTCAAGCTTGGTTGGATGCTCTCGGGCTGCCATCGGAAAATGTACATCACAAAAGCCCAACTCAAGCTGGCAAACACGGGCCAGGCGTTGTTCTGAATCTTTGCTTTGACCTCGGGCGATAACCGCTGGGTCCATAATGTCGGCGTGGGTGTGGTGCTCGTGGCACTTGGTGGTTCAATGCTGAGCCTCGCAAGGGCGAGTATTACTCGTGCAAAGACGTAGATGACGATTTGTTGGTTGACGCTGTTGGGGGAAGACACGGATTAGCCTGAATAATCCTGTTTAGAGTGAACACCATTGATCCTTACCTGCCCTGCTTGCCTCGTCCAAAGACGACATACCCACCCAACAGACCGGCAAAAAAGGTGTCGTACGGCCCTTCTTTTCCGGGTGTTGCGGGGTTCAGTAGCCTCAATATTAACATCGCGGATTTGTATACGGTTGCGAAGAATGCGAGGTTTCGCGCGTGTTGTCTGGTCGCTCTCAGAACAAGGCGGACCTTCTCTCGAATCGTCCCTGATCGGAACAGGAAAACCATGACCAAGGCATGAGGGAATCGGACTTTTGCACCGTAGACGGCGCCATTGCGGGCCGCTTTGACGATGGCTAGGAGAGGAGCGAGATCCGGGTTAAGGATGATGGACTCGACGGTGTCCTGGGAGGGTGTCAGCTCGAGCTCAGCAGCACAGCATTGAGGGGTGACTGACCTTCAGCACGTCCATTTTGCCTATTGAAGGCAGTTGTTTGCTGGAGGAAGACCACGGTTCTCTCGATACAGGTACAGAGCGCAAGGACGAAGGGACGAGAAAGGTCAGCGGACGAGGGTTAGACGGCAGAGGGCGTGGTGATGGCAGCCAACGTCATGGGCATGGAGCAAGCAGCGTGGCTGGAATGAGCAATTGGCATGTGTCAATTTGGGCTCGCCTCGAAACAGCAGAGCAATTGGGTGCGGGTTTCAAGAGATCAATAAGAGAGAGGCAGAGAAAGACTCCTCGGCGAACGAGAAATACGACGACATCATCCTGACTATGTCTTCTCGGTGCATGTGAACCGCGGGCGGGTCAGCGCAGGGCAAGTCATGGCAATGGCTGCGCTTCCCCACAGTCCGACAGTCCGACTTTTTGTTCAACCGCCGCACTGTGCCTCGGCTGTCTGGGGGGTTTTTTTCGCCGTTGGCTTCCCGGGGTCAATTCCCGAATATGTTTCGTCTTACTCGCCAGGTACTGTAGATGGCGTAGCAAAGATCTCTATGGCAAAGTCTCACTCATCGTGAACATTATCCCTCGTATTGTGCCTTGACAGAAATACTCCTCCAGCTCCTTATCCATAATGTATGCCTTCCAACCCTCATCAGCAGCCCGCGACGGGCATCCTCTCGTCCTGTCCAACGAAGGCTTCATCCAAGGTGTGGGTTCTCCGTGTCATGGAGCCTTCTTCCCTCAGTCTCCTCGGTTGTTGTTGGAGATTGCCGCCCGAGATCTTGCTCTAAAAGCGTATCGCGTGAAGAGGGGCCTTGTCAAGGCTTGACACAGGCAGACCTGACCACCGCAGCCACTAGCTTGGACACGCGACGTCTTTCCTCGACTAGGCATGGTAGCTAGGGTGAGGCAACTATCATCTTGGTGTTTCCATCCTACGGTCATGGGCCATCAATTGCATTCTGCAGGACCAGTCGTGCTGAAATGCGGTGTTTTGCCGGCGTATCTTGGGGTGGTTGACGATCCTCGAGTCGCTGTCCTCCTCAAGAGGTTCGCTGTCGTTTCGGCTTGTCATTGTCGGCGTCACTTGCGTCGTTCATGTCCTCGTCGTCATCTTCTCCAATGCTAATCTCATCTCCGCTTCCGAGAGCACTACTTCCACCCGACAAGTCGTCAATGTCCATACCGCCGTTCTCCATGTCGTCGTCCTGGCTGACGATATCTTCCTCGCCATCCAGGTCTGCCATCTCCTCCTCATCCGCGAGATCGTCACGATTTCTTTTAAGCCCTTTCATCTTTCGTGTCTGTAGGGCCGAAAGATCCTGCTTTCCGAGGTGCACCCGCCCAATCTTGTCACCCACCAAATCAGTCTCAATGTTCTTCTTTGTCCGTGCTTCATTGGGCCGACGGCCATGTTTCAAAGCATCCTTCATCACGGCTGCATCCGCCTCGTGGAATCGACCGACTCGAAAGTCGAAGCTCGGTCCGATTGGGTCAAGCTCGACCCGGGGAATCTTGGGGCTGTTGGATCTCATGGTTCGTACCCGATACCATCTGAGATGAAGGACAGGTTTGTTTGCCGGGTCGTTCAGGTCTCCCGAAGAACTAGAGCTCTCACCCGCGGCGATCATCAGGAGATACTGTAGACCTGCCACGTCAATCGAGGATATCTCTTCACCCTGGAAAAGGTCCAACATGATCGATCTGAGGGACTGATAGAGCGTAGCCTGTGCCGATGAAGAAGTGTCATCCCACTGCGACCCTGCGAACAATACCAGAGGCTTCATTCCGATCCCAATCTGCAATTTGAGCTCCGACTGTGGCTCGTCTGTGGGCACAAGAAGGAGCAGCTCGATCATGTCAAGGAGCTTGCCATCGTATATCCGCAGGACGGTGATATTGTTCGGTCTCTTCTTAGAATGGGTGCCAAAAACTACCACCCCACATTCGTTCTTCCCTGCCAAAAACTCCAAGGACTCGGGGTTTTCGAACGGGTGGATGTTGTCGTTCTTCTTAGTGAGCATCACCGAGTCCGGTTTCGTGAGAGTGTGTACAGTTTTGAGTACACTGTTGACCGGTTGTGGGCATTTCGTCCCGTGCAGGAGCAGGACCCGTTTCCTCGATTCCAGCTGTTGAGGCTCGCGCGCTTTGACAATGCGGGCGGTGCGAGCATTTCGTGGTTTTCTGCGACTGTCAGTCTACGTCGGGTGGAAGTAGTCCAGATACTACTCACATTTCCCGCAACATCTTGGACCCTGCAACGAAGATAGCAAATGCACACACCGCGTGCTCAAGGAAGAGATGAAGGGCTTGAAAACTGGGCTGACCGCTTTGGCATCGTTGCGGCACAAAAATTTCTAGGGCGCAGGCGGAAAAAAGGCTTATCGATAAAGAACGGCGAAGCATAGACCTGTTGTAGCAACTACTTCCTCAGCCTATTTCTCCACAGGAATGAACTTCCCAACTCACAGCCCGTACAATTTGTCCGTCAAGAACATCTGGTCGTCATGTCCTTCTCCATTGTATGCTCCCAGAAACCTCTGGCACCAACCCTAGAAAGAATGAAATCGGTCGCTAGGAGGCGATGAAAAGCAATTACGCGGACAGCGAGCTGCCTGTGTCGATCCTGAGGCCTCAAGCTTCGCCATAATCAGCATCTTTTACGTCTTAAAACTTCATCGTTTGCGCAACCACTGGCAATGGTGCCTTTTCTGCTGTATGTCGAATCTTTGCAACAAAAGGATCGGTGCACCTTAGTCGACCTCCCGACAATAACCCTGCGAGTCGGAACCTCTCCCACAGTACCTCCAACAGGGTAAGCAATGATTGTTCGTCGTCATTCTAGGTGTATCCTGGTTAGCAGCGGAGAGCCACCTATTATGCAACAAGTCTGTCATCTTTTTCTCAACCCATTCAAGTTTCTGATATCCTCCTTATCTTCACCGCCATTGTTGCTCACATGAGCAATGACGATCTACTCTGCTCATGTCCCAAAAGACTCTCTTGCTGTCGCTCGCTGAGCTTGAGAAGAACAAATTAGTCTGTTCTGCTGGTCCGCCTATCATGGGACCTCTAATTCGATCTATTCCGACCTTCGACAGCGTGGGAATCGCATATTAACCCCCCACCATAGTGCGAGAGCCGAAGCCACGCTCTGGACATCGTGTCAAGGAAGCAGACGTGTTGCAGAGCCTCTGCGAGCCTTCCCGGCACCATTGAACTCTGATGAATCCGTTTCGTTTCACACAGTGATAATCAACGATGAGCTATTCAGCTTACTGGCACTTTCTTTGTATTCTCTGACAACATTGAATCCGATTGCCTCAATCTCTTGGACAGGAGGAAGGAGCCGTGCTTTTGAAGAAGGGGACGGACTTGTATAACTCCTCGGCCAATACCTGTTTAGAGAATGGGGACATGTTAAGGACACAATTACTAAAACAACGTAGTTTAAAGTGGGAGGATCGATTCAACCATTCTAACATCATGACACAGCTTAGCTCCTCAGATAATTCAAGATGAACTGCGAAGAGACACATGCTGTAGTTGTAATGGCAATTAAGGGGTTCGTAGCCTCGTGCGGGAAAAAGTTGGTCCGAGATGCACCTTGAGTTGTCCTCTTCTTGCCTACCTTTTTAGTTACCGACCTCGCATTCAGTTTCCCAAGATGTCGAGGACAATCTCCTTGTGCTTTATGCATGCTCCTTGAGCCTATGAGTCTTAGCCATGAGCTTACTCTAGAGCTTCTCTGCATTGGGGTGCTCGAGTTACATATGGTTGCTAACAATCTTTCATTCATGAAACCCCCGAATATTGCGCGAGGGTATGGAGACCTTTAGCTGGCAGTCATCATGATCGTTTAACGGGGTAATATATTGTTCATCGTACAGCACCTCCAGTCGCCTTTAGCAACCCTCCTCCTGACTAACGCGACCTTGCTCCCCCAGGACCAGCTGGATCTTACATCCAGTACGGGTATCGCTTCCCGCCTCTGTTTCCGTGGGTCCCTGCCTTAGATCTCTATGGTCAATATCGACTTGTTCCAGCGACTTCTACGCACGCATTAGTCGCCTGCGAGTTATGGTGAGATTCTAGCAGACGCGAATTGAGTATGTGGAGGGGGCAGCAAATGTGCGTCCTGTACAGAGAAGTCAGTATTGAATGCTACTCGAATTCCCAGGATTACGCTTCCCGGTCCCGGCAATGCTTCGCAATGAAGCAACGGGAGTCCAGAATTGATCTGGGAGCTGCTTGTAACGAATCGCCTGAAGATGAATGACTGAGATGTTCCCTCGAAAGCACGTCATGGAGATGCAAGTACACAATGCATGAGAGGCAAACCCTCGAGAGCCAAGTTAAGGGGAACACTGCTGAAAACCATACCTGCCCTCAATCGTTGCCGGGCCTCTCAGGCAATCCCGGTCATGGTGAAGACAGCCTTGCGCTATTTGAATGGGTGTTCGGTTATAGTTTTGCTTTTCTGGTGAAGCACCTTACCTTGGAGGGGGGACCAACATATATCCAACTGAAGGTTGTCTCTACCAGATTGTCGGTACCCGAGTCTGAAGCGAATTCACCGAGCAGGTGGCGCTCGTGATTACGGCATTGATCACGTTTGACACGACGGCGAGATCAGACGATATTGTATTGCAGTACCCCGGAATGCCATCCATTTCCGCTCCCAATTGGGTTACAGGTATCCCAGGGCGGAACAGGAACAGGAAAGGTCAGCAAGATGCCATCCACGACCGATATACCCGACAATAATGGTTAATACCGACTAAAAGAGGTCATCAGCAAGGAGTCAGCGCCAGGGGTGAGAGACTCGTCCAGGGGCCAATCAGCAGCCCTTGTCAATGACCACACGTTCTTTTCTGACAAACTCTGACCACTGGTGCCTCAATTCTTTCTTTCAAGCGGTGGAAATGGCGTTGCATTATTGCGCCCCTGGGATGCACGATCTGTTCACAACAAATCTCTATGTACAGTGTTGGAAGATTTGCGTGCCCCACCACAACAACATTTACTACGAGCAGAAAGCTGCAAGCTAATTATGGCTTTGCATATCAGGCCAGCGATGAAGGCCTGATACCAACTTTGCACGGCTTATTTTTGCCCACAATGTTGAGACTGCGTGTTGCCTAACACGTAAGGCCTCCGTTGCGTAGGGGCCTAACCGATGACAAGCCCGATCTGTCATTCGGGCTGGCTGTTCCAATCGATAGACTACACACGGACGGCAAAGGGTGTATACAGTGAAGAAATTGGTTGGTTGTCCGAATTACTGAATGCCCTTGACGTTTTGCAATGACCTTAAACGAAAACTTTTGCACCGCAGATTCTTGCAGATAAGGCGAAGTCCCGCACCTTCTTCAGGAGGCCGGACATGTGGAAGACATATATCCTTCTCCACGCTCCTTGCCCGTCCAAGGAATTCGACGTGCAGATTGTCTCATTGAACAGGACAACTGACTCTCCGGAGTGGTGTTGAATGGAAATGACATCCAACAACATCCGCCAGCCTGGCATATTTGGACAAATGTGTTGGGATACCTATACGATAGGAGTGCTCGGGTTTCGCACAGCAACCGATTCTACACCGGCGGTAATCACAAAAGCCCTCGACCGAGCGGCGCTCAAGCTCCTCGAAGCATATCCATTTCTCACAGGCCAAGTGATCAACGAGGGACGATCAAGCACAAGCTCAGGAACTTACAAGATAGTCCCATATGCTCCACATTCGGCAGGCAGATCACCTGTTCGACCAAAAGATTGTACTCAGCTATGTCCGTCATATGATGAGATCCTTCAAGCTCACGCGCCTTTCTCAATGCTCGATGGCAGTGTGATTTGCCCAATGAGAGGAATGGGCTATGTATATGACCAGACCGTGGAGCTGCCGGTGTTCATCATCCAGGCAAACTTCATTCGTGGTGGATTGTTACTCTGCTTCGCATCGATGCATAACGCACTCGATATGAATGGGCAGGGTGTGCTGATCAGGCAGTTTGCAGCTGCCATGAGAGGCGAGGATTTTGATCCCCAGCTGGTAGCAGCAGGAAATCAGGACGCCGACAGTATCGTGCCGATGCTGAAGGACGGGGAAAAAGGACTTAGCCATGAGGAGATGCGAGCACCTTCCAGTCAGATTCCAGCCGCCAGTCCTGTCCCTGCGCCGCCTCCCCAGGAACAACCAACCCAGGCAGCCTCTTGGGCATATTGGCGCTTTCCTCAGGACAAAGTCGCCGAACTCAAGAAGCTTGCCATGTCGTGCTCGACGAAGCAGGTCTCTACCAACGACGCCATCACTGCCTTGTACACCCAGCGCCTCACCGCCGTACGCGTTGCTGGTGGCAGAGTTTCGCCAGACGAATCAATCCGCTGTCTCAGGGCGGCTGATGCAAGGGCAAGACTGGACCCCCCCGTACCAGAGGGATACCTGGGTCATCTGGTAGGACTCGCATATACAGAGTGGCCCGCCGCCCGTACGGTCGTCGAGTCGCCACTCTCCACGGTCGCAAGCGATCTCCGCCAGTCTCTCCAAAAAGTCGACGACCATTACATTCGCAGCCTGGCAACCCTGATATCCCGCACCGAGGACAAAAGAGCAATCTTCTATGGTGCTCGGAAGCAGCTGGCCAAGGACATCTTCATCTCTTCGTGGGCACAGATGGATCTCGCTCAGACCTGTGACTTTGGGCGGCTTTTGGGCGGGAAGCCTGATTTTGTGCGCCGTGCAAAGTTGGACGAACTGCCTGATCTGTCATACATCATGCCAAAGGATAAGCAGGGCGACATGGCTCTGGGAGCATGTTTGTTCAAGGCGGACATGGACAGCTTGGAGAAGGATGAGGTGTGGAATCAGTACACGCGATATGTGGGATGAGCTGGCAAGAGAGTAGGGGCCGTATGCAGTAGGTGAAAGGACATGTAATGAAGAATCGGAGCCTGATTTGGTTCCTTCTTTCCTTTTTCCCGTCTTCCTCTTCTTCTTCGTCTTACCGGCTTTTCGTAGCTCTATATCATCTCATCTCCCAATATAGGGTCTGGATAGGCTTGCCAATCCGAGTTCAACCCACCGCCCGCTTAGTCTCGCTGACTACCACCTAACGACATCCATAATAATCCGACTAATTCCATGGCGTCTTTCCTCCAGTTTCTGACTGTGACTGTGCCGTTCTTTCGCTGCCGTTTTTACCTTTCCGTCTCGATCCGGTCCAGAGGGCGGCGGCCGCCACCGCCCCCCAATCGGGCTGTGCGTGTGCTCGTTCCACGACGAAACTTAACTCTGCCAGGCAGGTTGGTTTCCCGAACGGGCGACACTCGTCGAAATTCATGTCACAGCAGAGAGCATAGCGCTTATCGCTAGACCGCTTCCATCCCCAAACCAAGTTCGGGCCTCCCCCTTGTGGGCGGGTTTGGGCCAGATGTATACAAGGGACAGAGGGGTAGTAGGAGGAAGAGTTGAGGACTGGTAGTAATGAACAAGAGCTAGTATTCATTAGGCACCTGATTGGTGCTGTGGAATGTAAGGACGTACGTACATATGTACTCGGTACCTGGAATGTTGCGTGTGACCACTTGGTGTGGTGGGCCATACAACAATAGAGGGGGGTAGTGCTAGGGTTGAATATGTATAGAAGACTGGTGTACTACAACCTTTGGCAGAGAATCAAGTCCGCGGTGCATGATACATCGACTGAAGGAAACCCTTACTTACATCCTGGTTCAAGGTCGACATGTTGCGTTGGTCTGGCGGCGACAGGGTCCCGACGAGAAGAAAACGACGGTCAAATCACTGCCCACAAGACGATCTAGATCCCCTGCGTAGTCTACAGTTGCAGATCTCATCGACCTTTTGGCAGGTACATATGCAACTAGTGTCAGAAGTCAGCGGAGTAAGATATGATGTAGTAGGAGAATCGCTGGCAGCGATGCTTGATTGGTCTTTTGAGTCGACTGCAGCATAGACTTTATCCTTGGGTGCGCGGATACGCGGGTGTAAGGAGGGTTTCAGAGTCTAAATGTGTATACACGTCTGTCTCTGTTCTAGACAATTCCCCAAGGTTTCGCATATCAAACACGACCTACTATTCGATGTGAAGCACCACCTACCGAATGCTTTATATAATGTGCATAGCGAGCAACCTCTGGCAAGCATATTCGGCTAGGTCATCTTGTACTCGGTACAAGCAAGGGATATATCGCAAGTTGCAGACCTGGTTGATCAGGGGAAATTGGTGTCCAGCACCGTCCTCGTTAACAAAGGGGTAACGACCTTTCGTTAGAGCAAATATGAGATTGCTGGTTACTGTATTCCGTACCCGTATGTCGTTGCCATGTGGCGTTGGCTTGAAGGTAGCCTCCCACAAAATGGACTTCTTCGGTCTTCTGTACGAGATACCTGTACCCAGTCCACCTGATGGTCCAAGGTGGCACTCTCGCGAGCAGAAGCTGGCTTTCGGTAAATATCGGCCTGCGTTTCAAGGAGCACTCCGACTTCCGGAGCAGGTCGGCCGGTCCACGTTGACGATTTCGAGAGGCTCAATGACTTCCCAAGCATGGCAAACTCTGGGGCTGGTCGGGGATGCTAATCCCGCGGTGGGAGGAGAAGGGCAGCTGCAGGAGAGAGGAGGTTATTCGTACCGAGTACTCTGACTGATGACCCGCTTTGGAAAGAGAAGACGTGCTCCCGATGTACTGCAGTACACTCAAACAGCTTGATGTCATGTCCGATCTATCTCTGTCTGCAGTTTCACCTGCCCACTATTTTCTGAGGTTCATCATGGTGGTATTATGCGTGCGTGCTAAAAGGAGCCCTGGCTTGCCGTGTGTCAATGAGATGTCTAGTTAGAATATCTTGAGTGCCAAGTCGCTTCTACCAAGAAGGTTACCCGATCACTGAAAACTACCTCATCTGGCCGCCCGCATAATCTCCCTATTGAAGCCAACCAGTCCTCAAGTGTCCGGTCACCTTCCGTTGTCGGCGTCAAAGGTCGTTCTCCCCTTCCCGAAACGAAGGTTGGCCAACGCTTTTCCTTGTCCCGTGTACCCGCTACCAAGTCACCACCCACATCCTGATAGTACGTGTGCCTACCGAGACCTGGGTAGCTAGTCCGCCATGCGAGAAAGAAAAAAGAGCCACACCCACCACCCTCGATCCCGTGTGTGATATGTTCCTTGTCCTCACGGAAACCTGAGCACATGTCACAATGCCAGGTACCAGGTATTCCTCCGTACCTATTGTCAGCTGAATTCTCGGTCCATGTTTTCCCCTTTTGCTGGTTCTGGATCTGTATCTACGTGCCCGTTGCTGTACTCGATACATACGTAAGTATCTTGGTGGCGAATTCTCCTCTCCACATCCCCTTTTCCCCCTCCCTTCCTCCCACGTTACTGCTACTGCTGCTGCTCATACGCGTTTCTGGGTCCATCAGGTCTTGGCAAACGCACTCCGTCTGACTCGGGTGCTAGCCAGCTCCACCTCCTGTTGGCTGCGGCGTGGTCTGACTGGCTGCCCAGCCTGAGACGCTGTCCGCCCCAATATCTTTTGGCGAGGAGGCGTCGTAAGTGGCGTTCTTGGCAGAATCCGCCGGTCATTTGAAGGGCCGCCGCTGATTGGTGGTGTTGTCAAACCTACATCATCCATCCATCCTCCACCTGGCCTGTGGCGGCCCACCGCGCGGAAACCATCCTGGCACCTGGCGACCTTTGATCGCCCCAAATCCCACAAGGCAAAGATTGTCCAGAAACTGGGTTGCATGGGATTCTCGTTTGAGAGATTCGATTGATATCTTCGTTCGTCAAACAGTGAAATGACCGGCAGGCAAATTGCCTCCGCCTCCTCGTCTGAAATCCTCCTATCTTTCAGCGTTTGCAGGGGAAGGAGAGAGGAAAAAAAAAGGAGACGCCGTTGCATGTTCCCCTAGCTTCTCTTCAACCATTTTCTCTTTGGTTGTCTCTTCCCGCATACATCTCCCCAATAGGCTAAGATCCAAGGCTCGTGTCGCATCTCCGTTGGGATAACTGATAGGCCTTAGCAGGGCTGTGAACTTCGGCCCCTCTCAATAAGAGCCTCCCAAGATTTGCCCAGTGCCATCATATCTTTTCCTCAACCCTCCATTCTTTTTTTCAACAACGTTACCACGATACCTTCTCTTCACGAGTGTCTCCCGACCGTCAGACCACGGCACATCGAAATCTCCTCCCGAACCTCCACTGCTATCATTATAATTTGGTGGCGGTCGAATACAGAGCTCAATCGCGCTAGCTCGTGCTTGCCCTCTGCGCATTGAATTGAGATCTTACAGTCCCTGGGAACATCCCTCACCTCTCGTTGAACGACCTGCCCACAATGGCTTCAGGAATTCCATATACCCCTAAGCCTGCCACCGACATATTTACCCCTTACCAAACCGACATCGATCGACGGCAATGCAAGAGAATCGTGCCGATGAGAGTGCTGGCACTCGGCCTCGGGAGGACGGGGACAGCCTCGTTAAGAGCAGCCCTGAAAGAGCTGGGTTACACCGACACCTACCACATGATGTCGGCCAGTGTTGAGAATCCGCCTGATTGCCTCTGCTGGATGGACGCCTTTGCCGCCAAGTACGAGGGCAAGGGCAAGTTTGGCCGTGAAGAGTGGGATGCGCTTTTGGGTCACTGCCAGGCCGTCTGCGACTGGCCTGCCGTGGCCTTTGCCAAAGAACTGATCGAGGCGTACCCAGACGCCAAAGTCATCATCACGACGAGGGACGTTGACTCGTGGCATAACTCGGTCATGAAGACGGTCAATTGGCGCGCCAACGACCCTGAACTTAAAGCCGTTGCCAATTTCGACTGGGCTGCCGGCTTGTACCACCCCATGCTGCGCAAATTTTGGAAGTATTTCTTTTACGACGACTTCGAAAACCAGGGGAAGCAGAGGTTCCACGACTATTATAAGGAGATCCGAGAACTGGTGCCACCGGGGAAACTGCTCGAGTACCGCGTCAGCTCTGGCTGGCGACCGTTGTGCGAGTATCTCGGCGAGCCCATCCCCGATAAGCCCTTCCCAAGATCCAATGACGCGGAGAACTTTGTGCAACGATGCAGAACACAGAACCGCAAGCAGATGATGAACGTTATCTTCCGAGCCCTGGTGGTGGGAGTGCCCGTGGTCGCCACTGCTCTGTCAGCCACCTTCGCCTACACCCACTACCTGCCCAAGTTTGCACAGAACACACCACTGTGGGCAGCAGCTTCTTAACCGGACCACGACGAGGGTGCCACATTCAACCTACGTGCAGGGCAACACTTGTACATAGCCCGGGTGTTTTGGTGAATTTTGCGTAATGATTGGTTCTATTCTTGCCGTGGGCGCCCGGCGCAATTTGTTCAATTCTAGACATAATGGGTTTGGCAATCGGGTTTGAACCAAAAAGCGGCGAGGGAGTTAGGATACGTGTTCGGATGGTATGTACTGATAGAGATCATCGGCTCCTTCCGATGGCAGGTAGTATCAAGCAGTATCACGCTTTATCGGAGCTATCGGTCCTTGTCCGTCCTTTTGATTGGGGGTATTTAACACGGGTACTCTGAAGAGGAGATAGATAAAGCTACCCCTGTTACACTATGTACATAGGTCTACAACCACGTCTCCAGAACAAATCCACGGAGATGCCACCCGTGGACAAGATGCATTTTTCACGAAATCCCTTTCATCTCGCGAGCTTGAAGATACTTTAGTTATGATGATATGATATTTGATAAGATGGGGGCTAGTCAGGATTTGAGCTCCATGGCCAACCGTGGCACTAGATAATCATAGAGATCAACGCCTGGCTTGCCGTCATTGACATAGCTTCTCCGTCAGTAGGGCGGGGGTTCCGCTCTGGTGGCCAACGGACTGCTTGTTGGTATCGCCCAAGGCTCGAGAGGGCTTGACTAGTGTCTCGGCACTGTGGCTAAATTACTTGACCCTTGCTCGTCCTTGTCATTTCAATGAACCTGTATGAGGGTATTATAAGCATGGCTGGGGGCCGCACAGCAGGGCCGAACCCACAGACAGGGCCGGTGGCTAACGACTTTCCACATCTGAGTATCGACCTACTACTCGGTACTTGTCCTCGTGTCATTTTTTGGATCAAGCATCGGACTTTGATACTATTGCGAAACCCTTACGCAGGAGGCTCTCACAGCCCGAAATTGCTGTATTCGAACCCCTCAGGTCAGTCAAACCGCCTCAGCGTGAAAGCTGAAACTCGGATCCTCGCCGCCACGTCGGATATTTGCTGGTCCAGAAGAGAATCGCGTGCCTCTTGGCAAGAGACTTTCCGGTTCTCGTGCCCCGTGCAGATCTGGATAAGCGGCTAATCCAGCCAGGCTCTGTCCTTTGGGCGGGCCAGTCTTTTCTGAATTCTGCTCCCCAGAGAAGAGATTTTGCCCTTGCGAGTTTAATCTCTTGACCTCACACAAGACAATTCGTTGCTGGAGTTCTTGGTTCTTTGCTGAACCGAGACCGGCAAAGGGCTGATGCCATGAGGCTCTCGCTCTCCTTGCAGTGGTGGCTCGTATGCCTATTCGCCTGGAGAATAGCCGCCGACAACAAGACACAACCCATCTCCATCTTTCGATCGGTAAGCAGCAACCTCTTTCGATACTGCTCGGACGCACCGGATTAACCGCAATTCGCATGACAGAGACCGGATCTATTTGCTCCCATTCTCAGCGTCTTTCAACGACAGCCAGAGAAACTTGCGCCGGGCTATTACTTTGTCGCTCCGTATCAAGCAGCCCAGGAAGGCATCCACATATATGATAATGATGCGGTAAGTCTGCTGTGTTCCCTTGACGAACTCTGGCCCGCTAACCGTCCACGAGAACTTGATATTCTCGGGCTTTGGCAGCGCTGGTCCCGGTGTCTCTCACGCGCCTCAGACATGCATGTACAAAGGCGAGATCCACCTATGCTTCTATCAGGGCGTGCAAATGCTTGGTTGGGGCCACGGCCATGGCCTCATCATGGATAAACACTATCGCATCGTCAGGTCTATTGAGCCGGGCAGCTACCAGGCCTCTTCCGACATGCACGAATTCAGGGTTATCAATGAAGGGAAGCAGGCACTGATGACCCAGTACCTTCGCAGCGTCTACGATATGTGTCCCTGGAATCTATGCGATGGTCTCGGCTACATCCAGCAAGGAGCGTTCCAGGAAGTCGACGTCGACACGGGAGAAGTTCTGTTCGAATGGCACAGCCTGGACCATGTCCACCCGAGCGAGAGTTGGGTTGGACCGAGCACCACCGAGATCAGTGGAACGGGAGAGCACCCTGACAGTCCCTGGGATTACTTCCACATCAACTCCATCGACAAGAACAAGGATGGCGACTACCTGATCTCGGCCCGCCACACCTCGGCCGTGTATAAGCTCTCGGGAGTGGATGGCCACGTCATCTGGCGCCTGAATGGAGCAAAATCGGATTACGCACTCGAGGGGTTCCAGTTCTCGTCTCAGCATGACGCCCGTTTCATCTCCGATAACGAAACGCACACGGTGCTCTCCCTGTTCGACAACGGTACCAATGGCTTCAACCAGACCCAGCCGCATTCGACTGGCCAGATAATCATCTTGGACCACCGGACGAAAGTGGCGACGTGTATCTTGAACCTTGACCCGCCGTTCGTCGACGGCCACGCACACATCTCCAAATCTCAGGGCAACATGCAAATCCTCCCCAACGGGGGCATCGTCATGGGGTGGGGCAACGACGCCTTCTGGACCGAATACGCGCCGGACTCGTACGAGATCATCTTCTACGGTGCGCTTGCGTGGACTAACACAATGAACTACCGCGTGCACAAGTTCGACAACTGGGTGGGCATGCCGCTGACCAAGCCTGCTCTGTGGACGTACTCGAAGGACGGACGGGAAATGATGATCTATGCCTCGTGGAACGGAGCCACGGAGGTCAAGTCGTGGCGATTTTACGGCGGCGAATCCAAGCAGGGCCCGTGGGAGGAAATCACCACGGTGCCCAAGAAGGGGTTTGAAACCATCTACCGGCACGCCGGAACGTACACGTACTCATACGCGGAAGCACTCGACAAGGATGGCCAGGCGCTGGGCGCCTCGGCCGTCGAATCGACCTTCATCCCCAACGAGCAACTACGGGAGTACTGCGACGACATCGCCTGCCGGTTCATGCCGAGCCCCGCACAGCGCAAGGAAGAGCAAGCGGCCAAGCAGAACCAGGAGCAACAGGACAAGCTCAACGAGGACCAGGAGAAGCTGGAAGTCGAACGGCAGCGGGCCGAGAAGATCAAGAACGCCGAGATTTTCGGGGGCGCCTTCGCCGGTATCGCCGTGTTCATCATCCTCATCGTCGTACTGGCGACGAGGAATTTCGTCTCGCGGCCGGTCCACATCCTGGCACACAATGTGTACAGGGCGGTCAAGAGGAAAACAGGGAGAGAGGTGGGCGTCGGCGCCGGCTACAAGGCGCTGTCGTTGGAAGAGCAGGACGGAGACAGGGCGCCGATGATTACAGACCCATCATGACATTTATTGTATTCGGCGGATGCGAAAACGGGGGATTAGATGTCATGAGCATTTGGCGCAGGGTGTTCTTGTTATATATTCACGGGGCAATATGCATGCATGCATGGGCTTATGGGGGGATATCTACTGGAGTACATATGTACTACAGCATTCTATATCTGGGAGTAGAGTTAATGAATGATGTCACGACGAAAAGGTATGAATTATAATATCAAGAAGAAGGAGAAGAATCATCACCTCAACAATCTTTGGGGAAATCCATTCAGCATGTGGGACATTGCTTCTTGTCCATCTTCGTTTTCCAATCGTAAGCTTCCAAGGATGGCATTCAGATGGGGGAGAGAGAACCCGCCTACAGACTTTCCACTACTGCACCGTCTTGCAGCCACCATCTTTTACCGGCGATCCGGACAGGATGGGAACCCAGGTTGAGGCTCCTGGACAGGAACTCAAAGGCCTGACGTGGCACGTGCCTGGTCAGGTTGGAAGGATAGATCTTGAAGACGCTGCACACACCCTCTCTTTCTCTGTACCAAGGAAATGCAAGGTGGCAAGATGTATCCTTGTCTCAAAACATTACCAGGATGGGAAGACGATGGGGGGTCTTGAATGCCTCCCAGAGCCGGGGAACCATCTCTGGTGGCGGCTGGACAGCTTGCTCTCGTCGAACAAAGCCCGTTTATCCGATGCCGATGTAAGTGGTAGCAGTGGGCAGCTTTTCCCAGAGAGAAAGTTCATGAGCACCTTGGTGTTCGTCTTTACAAGTCCTTTTCACCGGATATATTACATTGGACATTTGCCATGGAGAGGACGAGATCATGCCGATTAGCCGTGCTAGGGCCTTGTCGAGCCGCAAGCCCACCACCCATCCAAGTTTTAGCACGCCTCGATGAACTGGCCGATTGATAGGAATCATCAGACGTGCAAAGATGCCGGTGGTGACCACATGGCCGATCCTGCCCACGGATGCAGGTCGGCAGCAAGCAAACAGCAAAAAAAAGGAAACCCGAACTACGCGGAGGTGTGTCAAGATTAGGGTGCCACAACCGAGATGCCGTCTGTCGCAAGGATACAGCCGGACAGGGAAGTGCTGACTGGGCCTGGGACGGGAAGCACACGGCCAGATGATATGCAATGAGTACCTGCAGCCCCACGAGGAGGGTTACGTCCTCCTGTTTGACGACTGGCATCAGCCTGACGATAGGAGCTTAGTTACACGGCACAAACTGTCTTGCATGGATACTTACATATTGCGTCCCACCACTAAACGGCAAGAACATACATACTCGTACTGCATCGAGATCGTCGTAGGTAGCGACGTAGGAAGGTCGGTAGGTAGGTAGGTTGGGTGGCTGCCCGGGTACCACACGTAATTACCCGTAACCACCTCAAGCAGTTGATCAGTTTCCCGATAATGATAATGTCCTTGATCTCCCATGACCCCTTCGTTTACTTTGTCGGGGAAGAAGGGAAAAGATGGAACCAAAAAGGATTTTCCACGTGTAAGCTCTAAGGGAAAAGGACTGGTTATAGTCCAATGCTTGTCTTCAGCCTTCTCATCAAACGAGGCTCGCTTCCTCGCTTCAAGCTAGTAAACGGAAATGAGTGTAAAAAGGGGGAAGCGAATAATACATCCAGAGAGGACTGTGTATGTACATAGTTGAAGCAACCTTGATCCTGGTTTGTCAGTGTCATTGGGCTTGAATCTGGTAATCTTGAAAATGTGATTGCGAAGCGCTAGGTAACGGTACCAGTGGTCGTGGGAATTGACATTTCCATGACTACCAACTACGACGGAAGCGCCCTAATTCGAGCTCCCTCGACTACCGAGCTATCGTAGCTCTTGTCCTCATTCTCCGTCCCCTCAGAGGGAAAGAACAGAAAGGATCAAAGAGTTACATTCGAGACTGTAACTCCCCGGCCGCTTCTCCCGCACAATCAGCGGCTGGGATACTTCTTTGATCTCTACCTACCTAGGTACGGTGCCCCGGCACTTCTCAGCCGAAACAAAACTACTTTTCCAGGGTGGGAGCGAGCCAGGGCCACTTCGCCTAAAGCCAAAAAGCCAAGGGTGGGCACGCTGCGGCTAGAGACAGGTAAGATACCCAGGCCCCATGCACCTTGGCAAGAGAGGGGCCACCCCCGACTCCCGGGCCCCGACTGACGAACAAAAGACCTTGCTCGGGGGCGTCTGCAGGCTCTAGTGGCGCTACTCGTATCTCCTTCTAGGGAGGAACTAGTCCCTCTGCACACCGAACGGTGCTTGCGCGTCCGGGGGCTTCTTACCCTCCCTACCTCGTAGTCGTACCTATTAGGCAGTGTGCCGTCTAGTCCCAAGAAAAACTTCTTGGTGCCTCCACTACTGTAAGTTGACGTCGTCGTAGGCCAAGTCGCCTCGCCCTCTCTCTTTCCCCCAGCGCCAAACAAGATCTTTTCTCATATCTGACTCCCCCGACTTCGGATAACCTTTATCAGATCCATCCAGCTGTCCGGGTACAGTACGTAACTACTGTATACTGCCATATCCAGCTTCTCATCCGAGGGAGAAGGGCACACATACCCATACGAGCACTTGACTGTCGCTTGTATCTCGCCAGAAGCACCGTTCCTGACTCCGGCCAGCCAACAAACTGCGCCTGCGCTTTCGCCACATCCTCTCACAAGACCTCCCAGACTCGAGAGCACTCCTCCGCGTTGGAGACCTCTCGATCAAGCATACCATGCTCGCATATATGAACATCTACAAGAACATACTCCGGTGACGCATACACACATACATCATCTCCCATCATGCGGCACGACGTCGAGACCCGACCGGGCAAGCCTCCGCCACCCCCATCATGGGCCTCGATCCCGAACAAACTCCAACTCTTCATCATATGCTCCGTGCGGGTGGTTGATTTCTTCCAACAGGCCGCTCTGCAGGCCTACATGTTTTATCAACTCAAGTCCTTCTCACCCTCCGCGCCGGACAGCCAGATATCTTTCGAGGCTGGCGTATTACAGGGTGTCTTCACAGCCGCGCAGGTGTTTACAGGCATCCTGTGGGGGCGGGTGGCCGATTCTCCGTCTTTTGGGAGAAAGACGGTCCTTCTGATCGGGCTGACGGGACAAGGACTGAGCTGTATAGGTGTGGCATTTTCAAGAAGTTTTGCAGCTGCTGTGGTCTGGAGGTGTCTAGGTGGTGCCATCAATGCAACCGTCGGAGGAGCAAGGACTGCATTGGCAGAAAGTACCGAGAAAAAATATCATTCTAGGACATTCCTGCTGCTGCCTCTGGCATGGAACATTGCCAACATCTTTGGTCCGCTGTTCGGTGGCATGCTCTCTGATCCGGTGCACAACTACCCCGGTCTATTTGGAGAGAACTCGACCTTTGGTGGATCACATGGGGTCTCGTGGCTGACGACGTTCCCTTACGCGGCCCCCAACCTGTTTTGCGCTCTCGTACTCTTCGCCGACGCCCTGCTCGTTTGGATGGGCCTGCGAGAAACATTGAGTTCTCGCAAATACAATCGAGACCGAGGCATTGAGCTAGCCGAGAACATCACCTACCGCATCCGTACTCTGGTGTTCCAGCGCTTCGGATACAGCCAGCTTGACCAGGCAGACGCCGGGGCTGGTCCCGACACGGTCGACGATGAGAACCTGCCCACAAGCACGCCACTGGAAACGCTGCCGCCCAAGGAAGGTGACAGCTCTAATCCCTCAGCAACCTCGTCCAAGGCACCTCCCAGGCCGTCTGAGGCCCCCAAATCCGCCCCTCCATTCTACCATGCCATCACATCCAACGTCCTCCTTGTGCTGGCCACCGTCGCCATCATGGACTTCCAGATGGGTGGCTTTGCTTCCCTGTGGACGATCTTCCTTTCCTCCGCCCGAGCCACCGACGAGGAGAAGGCGACTGTCCGTCTGCCCTTCGTCTTCACGGGCGGGTTGCAGTTCAGCCTCCCTACGATCGGCCTGGCCATGTCGATTTTGGGTTTTGTCGGAATCATCTTGCAGCTGACGCTGTATCCGACCGTCAATGCCCGATTCGGCCTCCTGCGCTCCACTCGCTGGTCCCTGTTCGTGTTCCCAGTTGCCTATGCCTTGGCGCCGTACCTGTCGCTTCTCATCTCCCACCAATTTCTGCTCTGGATGGGCATCGTCGTCGTCGTGGTGCTCCAGGTCGCCGCACGGACGTTTGCCATCCCGGGTTCCGTCCTCCTCATCAACAACTCTAGTCCCAGTCCTGCGATGCTGGGCACCATCCACGGCATGGGTGCTGCGACGTCCAGCGCATTCAGGACCATTGGACCCATCGCTGCGGGACACTGGTACGGTCAGGGACTCGAAAAGGGTGTGGTCGGCTGGGCCTGGTGGTGGCTGGCGCTGGTGAGCCTTCTCGGCGTGGTGCCCAGTTTCTGGGCTCGGGACGGGAAGTAGTTGCCAAAAAGCGGGAACCGGTTGTTTTGTCTTTTTTTTCCTACGGACCCGCCTCCCAAAAAGTAGCCTCGTCCGGGCTTTTATACATTAGATTAATTCATGATGGAATGGTCATTCTCTGGGCATGTTGTATATACATGCGAGTACATAGTGGTGGCGTGATAGGGATGGACAGTGTGAAGGCTACAGTGTGTATGTGTGTGTGTGTGTGTATACGTACGTTCGCATCTACAGGACGTGTGCTTCGATCACCAAACCTCTCTGTGCACATTGATTCTTTCCTCCGATACACGCCTCTCTCTAGTATATAATATAGCCCTTTCCCGCATGGGTGAACGAGAGTCAGGACCCGTACTGCGTACTGCTTACAGAATGATACATTATTGCTAACCCCAGCGATTGATGAAGTTCTGGAAACAAGATAAAGAGCTGGACGGCAGGACCCCATGTTGCATGCGGTGGAGGGACAGACAGACAGACGGAACGAATACCAGAGGCCCGTGAATACGCAGACGTTCAGCATCCATCCACGACGGCCTGATCGAATCGTCCCTTGATGTTATATTATATCTCAGGTCAATCGTGCCCCGGCCAGGCTGCCTGCCTGCTAGCCTACCTGTCACCCTTGTCCGTGTGCGTGTACAGTAACTTGTACAGCATAGATAGCCTGGGCGGCGTCGTTTTCAATGCTTTGAAATACGGTACGGGGCATGGAGAAACGCCGCAGCACGCCCATAGCACGCAGACTCAGACCCACCTACAGCAGACAATATCAACATCGAGAAGAGATAGAGAAAGGCGTCACTCCAGGGAACAGTCAACCGTCAAAATCCAGGAAGGATAGAGAGATAGAGAGATAGGGGAAGAATCATCGCATGTCTGTATCGGATGTTCAGAATGCAACTCCTCTTCATTCGAGTCGCGGCTCAGCTCAGCTATCTCAGCTATCTCATCTCCTCTCATCTCGCTCAGATGCTTCATTTCAGCTCTCATTTCATAGCACGAAACGCACGCTCGCTCACTTTTCCGGTTCCCTTGTGTTTTCCCCCACGATGGCTTTTGTTTTTCGATCGACTGATTTTTGTTTGTTTCCATGCCCGCCGCCCCCGCCCAACCCAACGCCATGCTCGATGATGATGATGATCAAGAAAAGACTTTTGTGGTGGTGGTTTCCCGTTGGCTGAACGAATCCAGTAGTTAGTAAGGACCGAGTAGTGGTTGATTAAATCCCCCTCGTTGTGCAATCAATCAATCAATGAATCCGTCCCTCTCTGAAAAACGCCGGTGCTGTGCTGTGCTATGCTGTGCCTTCGTTCCATCTATGTCCGAGAGTGTGTGCATGTCGTGTGTACGATTTCATGTGCATGTGTATGTCCAAGTGCGTGCTAAAACTTCACAGCGCAGGATACTCGAAGTCACGGCCCTGCGTTGCGAGGCCCGTCTCGGGCTCAAACTGGCCGAAGAAATGCAGGTCGTTTTCATCATAGGCCCCTTCGCCAGCGTGAACAAAGTCTTCGAACGGATCGTCGTCATCGTGGACGCTGGCCCGCGCGAAATCTCTAGACAGAAGCGTGGGATATTCCCCGGACGGGAAGTGGTAGGATGTGCCGTTGTGCCAGATGTGTTCGTCACAGATGACCATGGAGCTGGAGAGCATAGTTCCCGTTGGAGAGATGTTTTCATCGTCGTCAGGCATTTCCCGAGGAATATTCCCGAACCCATGTGAAACTGTCTCTTGATGCGATGGACTACCAGCAGAATCCGCAGAAGCAGCAGCAGCGGCGGCGACACCAGTGAGACCAACCATAGCGGATGCCCGCTTGACGCCCTTGTCGGAGCGGGGCCTACGCTGCTTCTTAAGCCGCGTACCTCCAGCGCCGGTATCATCAGCGTGTTCGTCATCGCTGCGACGGTCGGCCTTGCGCTTCTTCTCTCGAAGCATTCGCTTTGACTCCAGCCCCAGGTGTGCGGTACGGACGTGCTCTTCGAGACTGGCTTTGCTGGTGAAGCTGCGGTTGCAGCCATGGATGGCCACGTCCTGCTGATCTGCGACCTCTTCGGGAAGTGAAATCTCGGTCTTGCCGCACACAAAGTCCCGCTTATTCTCGTGGACAGTCTTGACGTGGACGTTCAGATTTCCTCTTTTGGTGAACTTCTTGCCGCACCCTTCGACCGTGCAGGTAAAGACAACCGGATTTTCGGACTTTTTCTCAGGTAGAATTCCGTGCTGGATTTCAAGATGTCGCGTCAACTCCTTGTTGGTGGTGAAAGAGGTCGGGCAGTATGGGCAGGTTGGAGGGTGGACAATGGTCAGGTGAGCCTGGAGTTCTCCATAGGTCGCAAACGATGCCTGAACGACTTCTCTCTCATCATCGGGGCTGGCGAGAATGGCTGTATTCTGTGCCATGCAGTCGGAGCAAGAGAACCGGGTGGTGTCATGCTTGGCTCGTACATGGCAACGCAAGTTCTCCGCGGTGTCGTAGGCCTTCTTGCAGGGAGCACCGGTCACAGAGTCCAGCTCCTTGCAAGGGAAAGGTTTGATGTTGTGATGCACAGACAATACGTGTCGATCCAGCGTCTCTTGTTTGCGGAAGGTCTGGTCGCACCCAGGATACCCACGGCATCTGAACTTCTCTTTAGCCTCGTGAGTCTCCAGATGACGCCGCAGTCTTGTGCCGGTGGTGAAACTGGAGTCGCACCCTTCCCATGTGCACTTATAATCCCTGATGTTGCTGTGTTGACTTTTCACATGGTGTTTCAGATGGCTGTCGCGGAAGAAAGCTTTGGTGCAGGGAGGATGCGGGCATGTGAAGGGACGCTCGTTTGTGTGCGACCGGATGTGCTCTTCGAGCCTCACTTTGCGATCGAACGCCTTGTCGCAGTTCTCGTACGGACATTTTAGCGTTTTCTGGCGGCAGCGAGGAAGCGTGGATGATGGCGGAGTTGAGGCTGGGGTGTCGCCAAAATCGGCCTCGTGCTCCAAGTCATCGTCAATGTCGGAGTCGAGCATATCATAGTCCTTGTCAAGACTGTCGTCGTCGGACTCGACCCGCATCTTAGCGACGGCCTTGCGCACCCCGCGCCCTGGTTGCCTTTGGTCAAAATCTTGGAAATACGGTGGTCGCGACCAAAATTACGAGGGGCTTGGGATGGAGACGGTGCCGGTAACGAATGGGAGAGAGTGTGGGGTCGCTGACCATGGAAATCTTTTCTGCGACGCTGGAAGTTTGTTGTGGGGCGCGCCAAGCCGTATCACGTGGTGTCACGTGTGACGCGGTGCCGGACAAGGCTGCGACATGCCAAAACTTTTTTTGTTTGCCGCGGCCGCATGAAATGTGAAATGCAGAGCAAACCGTCTGCCTCTATCCTTATCATTTTACAGAGACCGTGATTTTTGAGTGGATCTGTGTCATTGTGTCCCTCCATCGTGACTGCTGAGAATGTCGGACTATGGTGATGACGGCGGGTAGGTCCCCTTGCCACGCGCCGTTTGCAATCCGCTTGTTCTAACACATTGTTACCAAACACACAGCTACGGCCGAGACGAGCCTGACGATACCTTCTACGAGCCCGAAGAGAACATCGAAGACGAACTACCTCCGGATGCCGAAGTCGACGAGGAAGCCATCGAGGCGCGGGCTAGAGAGGAAGAGGGCGAGGGGAGGACCGTTGTGTCGGCCGATCCAAATCAAAACGTCCAGAAACCTTCGAGCGACGCCGACAAGAAGATTCCCGAGGATAAAAGAACGACAACTCCCTACATGACCAAATACGAACGTGCAAGAGTGCTTGGAACTAGGGCACTGCAGATCAGGTAAATAGCCTGGGGCACCCGGAGATAGTATACTTGCGACAGCGCGACTGACTGCGGGACAGCATGAATGCTCCTGTTCTAGTTGACTTAGAGGGCGAGACAGATCCACTACAAATTGCGATTAAGGAACTGAACCAGAAGAAGATCCCTCTTATTGTCCGCCGCTATTTGCCTGATGGATGGTGAGTTGATCGAAACAATAACGTTAGGGAATGCGACGCTGACTATGTATCAGGTATGAGGACTGGACATGCGAAGAACTGCTGTGAAGCCCCATCTACTACTCAGTCGACTGGTTCTGTCACTAGTAAGGGAAGGCAGTCGTCTTCCGTGGACCAGCAGTATCATGTGTATTTGTTGCAGCAGGTACCAGACCTCCTTTTCCGCTTCATGGCGCTCATATGTCTCCGTTGGGCTCCGCACCCTTGGGCTATCTAAGAAGAAAACCGCACTTTCGGCGAGCGTCGGACCACCCACGCATTCATGTCCTCATCCCACACAGCGTTCTCGGGTTCCGGAATGTGGTAGGGCCGGGGCTCGCGGGAAGGGAGGTCGACTGGGTCAAAGACCTCCTCTTTAGAGTAGGTGCCGACCTCAACTGGTGGACATGGGAGAATGTCATCTGGAACTTGGAGAGGTTTGGCGCGACGAAGACGGGCGCGCTCGACGGGGATTTTCTGAACGATGCGATATGGGAACGAATCAACGTGGCGAGTGTCGAAGATCGGAGAGGGCGGCGGTGTGGTGTTGAGAGGTTGTCGGACCTCGATTCGTGGGCGTGATCGAGGGGATGTGTCTCCCAGGTCGCCTGAGCCTTCTCGCTCGGATCGTTCATGCGGCATCTCCACGAACAGTCTGTCTCCTTCTGGACGGCCTCGGCGATGGCGACTAATGATATCCATGTCCTCTTCGCGCACAATGATCACTTCCCTCTCTGGTTCTGGGCCTCTATGTCTCGGCGGCGTTGGTGGTGTTGGTGTTCTCTTCTTCGATGGCCGGTGGAGGCGAAACACATCCTTCCTATTTCTCACCAAACACAGCAGCCCGTTCCGGCGCTCCACGTAATTCCACCCCCTTTCGTACGGCGGAGCGGCAACATTCTTCTCAAGTCGGATAAAGAGGGGGTTCACGGTTTGGGCCATTCTGGATGCGAGCCGAACTGGAGCTTCCAAGACTTTGACGAAGTGGAAACCGCTGCGGGCAGGGATTTTGAGGATTTTGACCGTTTGTTCCTCCTCTGAATGAGGCACTGGGTGCTGCCTTTTGGTGCGTTTGCTGGAACCGGTGGAACACGTCGGGCAATGGCAATCGTGGTGGTGGTGGGAGGCCATGCTCGCCAATGAAGCATTCACTTAAAAGGAAACTGGAGACTCTGATTGTAGACAGGCAAAGCAACGAAAACAAAGGAGCTAAGCACAAACACTTAGGGTTGGCAACATCTTTCAGCTTCAGCGAGCAGTATAAAGGAATCTTGAGACAAGGCAAACAACAACAATTCCCCATGATCGCTGGAGGTACTTGACCGCGCACCTGTTGAACAGGTCATCCTGCAGCCAGTGCATGGGTATTCTGGATGGGCATTGTGATGTATATGCAACATCCGCAATGCCCTTTGTCAAGGTCTCAAGACACAATGGTTGAGCGTTTGAATGTCTCACCGGACTAGCTGTAGGGTCAGGTGGCCGGTGTAACAAGCTTCGCCTGGCCAGCCTGAGCAAGTCGCGAGCTTCTTGGAGCCAGCCATGTCTGCGATGCAGACTGCCGAAACTCAAAGCCAGTGTATCGGGCCGTGGCTGATAATGGAGATTGCGAACTGTGCCAGAAGGTGTTGTGGGATAAATGCAGGTTTGACAATCATAATATTACTGCAGGCAAAGTTGAGTTGATGCAATACAACGCTAGTTCAAATACGGAATGGCAGTGCTATTATATAATCCAGACGTCATCGTGGCGCAAATCATGCGCCAATTGGTTCCATGTGGCCGTGTCAGCTGCAGGAACCAGCCTTGTGAGAATATCGCAAGGCGGCACACTCCTCCTCCCAAACAGAGTGAGGGTGTCAGGAACTCTCAGTCAGTCCTGTGGGCTGTCACAACCTGGCCTTCTGTCATATGTATGAGCCACCGTCTGCTGTCTGTTCGGATTGTGATTGACCAACCTGCGCGACTTCAGCCTGTTTGTTGACATGTGCCAAGATCCATGCTCCCACATCTTTCGCAAATTGCTCGCCCACACCGTCAGGCTCAGCGTGAAGCTTGTGATACGCGTCAAGATATGACTTGAAGGTTTTGTCCTTGCCAGGAGCTTCCAGGACATTGAAGAGTTGCTGCGCGGCGATATACGACAAGATGCGGTCACCAGTGCCAAAGGAGAACCACATCGGACAAGGGGCTTTGGTCGTATAGCCATGTACGGTGCGGCCATGAGAGAGATGTGAGAGTTCTGCCTCTCTTTGCAGGAGTCCCTTGAATCCTTCCAACGTGCCGGTATTATGGCACAGCGGATCATCAACCCAGTCTTGGCAGACCTTCGCCGAACGGGACATGTAAGTTGCACTCAGCTTCTGTTTGAGCTGCGTATGTGGTAGTAGTATGGCGGCCAGCTTTCCGGCTTGAACTTTCAAGAACGATGGTTGGTTCGAGGGATGGGGTTCAATGTAAGGGGCCTCAAGGATGAGGCCTGAGAATGCAGGTCGATTGGAAAAGTCGGTGGATGTGGAAAGCATGTAGCATAGAGCCTCGCCTCCACCCATGCTGTGGCCCATCAGGAAGAATGGCTTGCCTTGGGTCTCCGGCAGCGATGCGACATGGAGAACAAAGTCATGTATATCGGCTAGGACCAGTGAGGTTGGGCCAGTGTTACCATTGTCTGCCGGCTTATGACATGAGCGGCCCCAGCCCCGTTGATCAAATCCGTAGACTGCAATGTTGAATGGCGATGAACTCAGAGTGGGGAAGAGATCGTAGTAGGCTAGAAGATGTGAGTCTCTCAGTAAGCCGCATGCATTGCAGGGTTCCATATACCATTGATGTGATCCGAGAATCCATGAAGGAAGATCAAAACAGCCTGCACCGCATCATTCCGGGGCTAAATTCGGCCAGGCACAAGCGTCAGAGAGGAACTGTGTGAATATCAATCAACAACGCATGGAGATGAGTTGGTTGATGTGTGACAGGGAAGCGCTTCCGGCTGGGTCCGTACCTTCCATGTTTTGGTATATAGCTTTGTGCCATCCTTGGTGGTGAATTCGCCTTCGATAGTGTCCATATTGAATAGATGGTATTGGTCCCGGGCAGCGACAACAGAAAGCCTCAACGCCGTGCTCAGACGCTCGTAAGAGACAAAAAGATCAAAGAAACGGTCTGCAATCCACTGGGGAATCCGGGCATGTGCAAGGACGGCGATGCCCCTTAAGAATGGCCGAGGCTACTTCTGGTGGGTGGGACTGGTTTGAAATGACTCAAATGACTCAAATGACAGCACAGTCGGACATCAAATTCCTCCGACGACGCGCGTCATTCTGTATTATCCCGCGAGCCTGGTAGTCGGCTTCATATGTTGCTATAGGAAATCGACTCATTGGTCAAGCTGCCTGATGTCTCTATCAGACCTTCGAGACGAGGCTGTGGCGAGGTTTGACCTCTGCAAGTGGATTGCTCAGTATCACCATCGGTTGTTGAAGATTTCTGCCCTTCCTGATCACGATGGAGAGGCATTCATGCATGCCACAATGCTCCGCGCAGTTCTGTCTCCCCCAAATATCTCCAGTACTTGATTACATATTCGAATTTGACGGGAGGATGGAGGTAATAGTCCGGGTGTAAAGATGGCTCACCGGCAAAGGGGAAATAAGAGCCTCTACGCTCCCTCGCCGGAGCCCCGCGGCTCGCTCTCCCAAACGGCGCAGTAAGTCACCGAAAGGCCGGCCAGAGAAAAAGGGGGGATCTATTACTTCCAGCGAGGCTTCATCGCTTGGGGGCCCTTGACCAGAACCTCTCTAGATTAGAACCCAGGATGAATGGATGAATGAGGAGGCAAAATTTGACTGCCCGTCGATGATCCCTCGTTCGGCACTGACTCCATGTCAGCAGATCTAAACGTATAGGAGGGCAGAATTCATGTCCGGAGTCGAAGAAAGGGCCATGGGGCCATCCACCGTATATATCGGACTCTCCTCTGGATCTTGTTCAATTTACAATCACTCCGCCGTCTTCCTACCGTAGATCGTAAAATTCAAACAGGAACTCTCTCCGTCTAAGCCGGCTGAACTCTCCAGAAAAACACCTTCTTATCAAAGCCACCACTGACGAGGATCTCCCTCTTCTCCTTCCCATGCCCATTCGCGCCGGACTCGGTAGCTTCCCATCCCGCCCACAATGTTCGTACTTTACTCCCAACCTCATGTCCTTTGAGCACAGCTACGACCTTTCCGCTGTGTGTGTCCAGCCCACGGATGACCCCATCATCCGCGTTCACAAATACCCCCTTCCCACCCGGTCGCCAAACGACCTGCGGCGTGGAGTAGGGGGTTTGAGGAGCCATGGTCGTTACGTGCAGCTTTATCGCGGCGTCTTCCCGGTCCTGCAGCGCAAGGGCGGCGCGGGCTTGGGAGACCTGGGTTTGCGGTTCTGACTCGTTGTCCCGAATGATGGAGTTGGTGGAGTTGTAGGTAGACGTGGGGAAGAGAAGCCGGACAATCAAAAGTTTCATGTGGGGAAGATGAGATGTTGCAACGGCCAAGAGGGAGGGATCTGTCGGACACACAGCGAGACAGGATGGAGTAAACGCGACCCAAGCGTTGGAGTGCGGAGCAAGGTTCTGCCTGCCCGTCTCTTGAACTGAGTATGTGACTTCGCTGCTTCGAGACGAAGAAGATTCCTCGGATGTCGGTGTGATGCAGTAGTAGTACAGGAACGTGGAGTCGCGCCGGGATAGGACCAGGTAGAGATCGTCAGTATCGGGATTTCGAACGAGGACCATGGATTCCGGGTTCGTGGGCACTGTAATGGTGTGGATCGGGTCGCGAAGCAGTCCGTGAATGAAAGGTTCATCAGCACCCATGTTCGAAGTCGTGCTGGGCTGGAAGTTCCCCGCAAGCTCGTGCTCAGGAGCATAGATGTGGACTTTCTGATCCCACCCTGCCGTCGCCACGATCCACCGTCCCTGACGAGTATATCCCGAGACCACTTGCACCGCATATTTGAGATGGTCGCGTACTTTATCAAGCAACCGGCCCCGTGAATCATGGAGCATCAGCTGTCCAGACATGGAAGTCGAGAAAACATATCCTCCGTCATCCAGAGAGCTGATGGAGAGAATCGGACTGCCGTGGGCATTCTCAATTGAGCTTGCTAGTGTAAATGGCGGTGTCGCTGAGACGCTGGACCATGAACGGTCCGCAGCAGTGACAAAGACAACCCCATCTTCGTTCTCCTTGCTGCTCGATCCACTCACACAGAGGACGTTTGACGTGACGGGGAATCCCTCTGGCTCAAGAGCCTTCGAGGGAGCTGGTGTCATCCAACCCACATCAGCATCGTCACCTTTCTTTTCAAAGGCGAGACTGGCATCGTACTGTTTCTTCTCTTCGAGGATCTTCTCTATCGTCCAGTCGCCAGGATTAGTAATAGCCGCTGCCTCTGGGAGTCCCGCCTCGGCGAGGAATGCTTCAAGAGTCTGGATTCATCAGTTCAGACAACCCCTTGTGTACTAAAAGCTATATACAGTCGTGACAAACCTTGTTGTAATGATTTGCCTTCAAGAAGCGGGCTACAATGACTGCTGGTGAGTCTGTGGCAGGCATGTCTGGTAGGGACTCTTGGTGACAGAAATGAAGGGAAGATTGAGGCTAGCAAAATCAATGAAACCGAAGGATAATCGATGTGCCTGATCACGTGATACATCTCTAGCTTCACAAGGAGGAATAGGTGGTCACTGATGGGAGCAGCAAAGCAAAAGTCAAGTCCAGGTTGGCTTTCAAGTTCATGTGCTTCCTTCTCCCGGAACGCCTCGCTAGAAAATTCAGACCCGGTTGCGTCTTCCCATCATTGCTTCGTTTCATCCTGAATAGCTCCAACTCCGTGTCGGGTCTTGTACTCTCGTGGACTTTCATAATCTTTCCTGCTTCCAGCCCACATGCCTTTTCTCCTGGTCTTCGCCCACCATTCCGCCCTTCTGTACCTCTCTTCTTTGGCCCTCCCGAATTCAACGCCCGACTTTGCTTCGTAGACTGTAGCAAGCCCTGCTCGAAGCATTTGAAGGCTGACGTCGCGCCGCACGAGGCCTTTCCACACATAGACGGTGCCCACTACTCTGCTGTACTGGTCTGCCTTGTAGACATAGGTCCGAACACGCTTACCCATTATGTAGGCAGTAAGCCAATCAAGCGCCTCTTGCGCGTATGGTTGTGCAGGTCGTCCAAAATGTGCAAGTTCAGGAGCGTCTATTCCTGCGAGGCGGACATGGATCTAGTCGCCTGGTCAGTTCCCAGTATCTCAAGCTTGCAACCTATACCAATGTACCGTTTGGTCCTTCAGATCCTTTTTGTTCCTTGGTACTTTCCGCCCCGGGAACCAACCCCAACCAGCAAGTCTGCCGCCAGGCGTATGATACATCCGGAAGTTGTCCCCATCTCCCACGCTCGTCACTTGACCGACGAGGCTTCTTCGCCGAAGAAAGCCAGGACTGATGTTGATCGCTTGTGGTATTCTGCGAAGATATGTCTTGTAGAATTTGTAGACACCGACGCAAGCTGTTGTCAGAACAGCTGCAGCAAGGATCGTTTCGGGTTGAGTGAAGGCTCTTAATTGCGAAGAAGGGGCGGATTTGGCAGGCTGTTGCGGAGAGGCACCGGTTGACTCTGATTTCCATGAATCTGTGGCTCTCTCAGCGAGAGACTTCTGGGCTTCAGGTTCATCCTTTGTCGAGGATGACCACAGCTTGGGCCATGGCATGACTGGCTTGGTTGCTTCGGCGCATGAACGAAGAGAGACGCGCGTGGGTGCATTTCAGTGGTGTGAAGCTGGAGGCTGCAGGCGAACACTCCGCCGTACAACCGCGGTAAGGATACGGTGAATCGCTTAGAGTCAAGCGCAATATCAATCAAACCGACTTTGTCAGCTTCCATTGTTGTTTTGAGCTCGAGTCGTCTTCACATCGAGCATGCTCTTCACATTCCTCCACTGCTGGGATTCACAAGGCACCAAAGCCATGGTAAACCCTCAGCCCTTCCGCTCTGAACTTCACCGCGTGGTCCACGACAGTGAAAGTGAAAGCACCGTGGTCTGGTATACGAGATGGCATTAAGACCAATAACAAGTCTTCCAACGACAAAGTATTCAAGGTCAGGTGAATGATACAATATATTGCAGTGAGATGTGTCCGACATTAACCACAAAGGATTTGAAACTTGTCGGTCAGCCTTGTCCCTCAGCCTTGTCCTTTTTGACGATGGGTACTGTTATTGAATACCCGAAGCGTGAACAGCTGGGTCTGGCAGAACATCGACAATGTTTGGCCCTCTTGTGTTTATTTGTTTGTTCGTTCATTGCTATTGTCACCAATAACATATATCGACGCGGTGCAATTCACATTGCTCCTATTGATATGGCGATTTTCCAACCTGTCACTACCGTTGAATGGATCTCAATGCGACCGAGCGAGCACAATATGGCTTATAAGCGCTTCGGAGTCTTTTTGAAGGTCTGGATTATCGATATATATATCTATCTGAGCTCGGTGCTACCTCTCCGCCTTATGCTCCTCTACCACCGGCCTTTTACCTCTTTGTTGCTTATTCCTCCAGCCGTCAACTAGTCAGCATGTCTTTCACTGACGCAAGCGAGTCCTTCTTCTTGGACGCTGCGGAGAGCACCACTCGTCCATTTGTCCAAATCCTCCCTCTCAATGATACCGCGGTGTTCGATTATCTCGATGCTCATCCGGACGTCCTGTCCAAATACTTGAGAGAGCGCTCTGACTTGTCCCAGTACTTCCGCAGGACTTCTGCACAAAACAACAATACCCACGGCGAGCCTGCCTTTGAGAATGCGACAAGCCCTACGGTATGTGAGCAAGCGGCCCTCGAAGCATCAGATGACGTCGTACAAGAATTTGCACGGCGACAGGCTATGGTGATTGCACAACCACTCGATGAAGAGGGTGACGTTTACATGGACTTGTACAATGAGGGAGCAGGCGACTGTTGCGAACATGGCGGACAGCAGGACCACCACGAACACCAAGGCCACCCCGAGCACGAGGATCTGTACGAGGAACACCGTGAGCAGGATGATGACAGTGACATTGATAGAGGCGAGGACAGCAATGGCGATGAGGACGGCTCCTGGAGCAACGATGATAGTGAGAATGACAGCGGTGGTGAGATCAATGCCAACGCCGTCTCCAACGACGTCTCTTCCGAAGCTGGGCGTGGGACATCCCTGAGCAACGCTCTCCCCACACCCGCCTCTGACAACGGTGGTGATGAATGCGACGCCGAACACAACGACGATGAAGAGGATGAGGTTGAGGAATTGATTCCATATCCCGCCCCTGCCTCTCTTGTTGCTGCCTCTCTCCTGGAGCCACCGACCCGGACCTGGGCTTTGTGGGAACAAGAGGCGTGTATCCGCCACATGCTCGATATCGACGGCGAGCGACGACTCAAAGGGGAAGCACGATTTCGAGAGGCGCTACGACGTATGCAACTCCACGACGGTGTCAGGCGAACTGGGTACAGCGCCGTCAAGAATTTCTGGAATCGGGTTGGCCGTGCTCGCTCGAGGTTCGACGAACGAAGAAATAAGAAAGCGCCGCTGGCAACATCGAAGCAAGGATCGCGAGCATCCCATAGAAGGAATGGTTAGCTATATCCTGAGCTGCTGCCACGTCGAAGCAGACTTCTCCTTCGAGGACCGCGACATAGCCATCAAATCCCTGACCAAGAGATTCTGCGGCATCCGATGTATCGAGGGCGACCATTAGTTGACGCGAAACTAGACCACCATCGCCGGCTACCTAGGCCTGGCAGACACCGGCGAGCTATATATACTTATTCACGACATGAAGGCCACCACGCTGCCCTCAAGAAGGCCGGATTCTAGGTCGCCAAGGTTAATGCCACCTCCACCTACCCGTTTGAACATCTAATTCAATGTGTCCGCAAGGGAGAAGCCATGACCGAGAACTAGCAGCTCGTGACCGAGGTCTGCACCGAGAACGAACTCCAGCTCACCGACCCCTGCTTCAGCAAGTTTTCGGACAGCGCCAGGACGAACAAGGCCATCTTTCCCAAAGCCATCTATGTAGCCCAAATCTACAAGATCATCCGCAAGTGGCCCAAATATTTCGAGAAGAGATATCGCGGGGGTCTGACCGTCACACAGCGACGAGGCGCAGAGATGGGGGATTCGGATTCGGCGGAAGAGATGTCGCGGGAGTCTGACCTTCTCACAACGACGAGGTGCAGAGGTTTATATCTCAAGCGTGCTCGGTGAAGCAATGGACTCTTTTCGATTACAATGAGCTTTAGTTGTGTCAGGTCTGCAATGAAAGCTTGCGGGATCGTTGAGCAATAACCCCCTTTTTGATTAAAAATGAGCTTCAGTTGTATCTGCCCCGATCCATTCGTGAACAATGGCCTTCCTCTGCTCACTCCTCTAAGAGGGCTCACTGACAACAGGCTGTAACACAGCGTCTTCAAAACGTGTCAAGGTCCTCCATCGACAACCTGTTCTCTAGGCCCTACACAGGCCGATCGCCCTCCAAGGTGATCCTCAGCATCCTGCGTCGAAATCCATGATAATCGTTGATCGGGTTGTGCTGAACACATCGGTTGTCCCAGAACGCTATACTGCCCACCTCCCAGCGAAATCGACATGTAAATTCCGGCTTCACTTGGTGTTGGAACAGGTACTGCAGCAGCGGGGCAGATTCATCCTCCGTCCAGCCCTCGAAGTGGGAGGTATGCGCCACGTTGACATAGAGAGCCTTCCTCCCTGTTTCGGGATGTGTTCGGACAACAGGGTGGACCGCTTCCAGCGCTGATTTCGCCGAGGCGTTTCCGGAGTCACGGATGCGGTCTTCGCGGGTCTTGCTCGCGTCTGCTTTTGTCGACGTACTCACTGCCTTCAAGTTGGAGAGGACCTTCTTGAGTCCCGCGGACAGGGACTCGTATGCAGCATACTGATTCGCGAATAACGTGTCACCACCGTACGGCGGGACTTCCTTGGCCATCAATACCGACCCCATCGGCGGATTCTCGAAGTAGGAGGTGTCCGAATGCCAGATTCCTCCAAAGTTGATGGTCTCGTGTTCCTGTTTGAGGACCTGAATAATCTCGGGATAACCATCAATGCCGCGGACAAAGGGGTATTCGACCGGCTTGCCAAAGTGAGCTGTGAAGTCCAGGTATGCCTTGGGATCCAGGTTCTGATTACGGAAAAATATGACTTGGTGTTGGAGCAGAGCCTCCCGGATCTCCTTGACAATGCCTGGGTTTTCCGAGAGTTCCGAGAGATCAACGTCGTGTATCTCGGCGCCTATCGACCCGGCCACTCGTTGGATCGAGATGCCTCTCTTGCTCGACATGTTTAAGGAGGGCGAAATGGCGTTGCGTGATTTGGGACGAATAGAGGGAACTAGTCGCAATGCTTTGATGGCGTTCATGGAGCAAGGTGGTCAAGGTGAGCAAGCATGGGACATTGTACCTGGGCAAAAGCAAAACATCCGAGCCTTACCTGACATACGAACGGGAAGGAATATAGTCCTTTAAGAGCCTTGACACAAACTTCAGAAATATAGCAATGTGTCATCCGAGGTGTTGCAGTGTCTTCTGCGGTTGAGCATTGAAGACAAGGGGCCGACCGGAAGTATGGTGATTTGTCTGACACTGAGATAATCACATAGCAGTGAAGGAGTTCGGCTGTATGCAAAGAGAATGCTGTGTCAGACTAGGATTATTTATTTCTTGGAGTCGGCTCGGCGGGGGAGAGAATGCGGAGTTGCGGCGGTGAGGAGACTTCGGTTAAAGCGGCGTCATTTATGGGCCAAATCCGGGCTATCCAAGAAATGATGTCGGAGTCTCGAAGTTGTCGAGGCTCGAAGCTGCTCTGAGCCTTGCATTTCCCACCATGTAATATCAACCAATATTCTGTTTGCTGTCATCCTCCTCTGACCTTCATCTCATGTGGTTCATATGACACAAATACCTTTCATATCCCAATCCCGCCATTTACGTCATTTTACCATCCGAATCACGTCCGATTTCACTCGTTTGTCCAACCGGCAGCTTTTTTTCAATCCTCGATCGTAACAGCCTCGCGTTGTCACTTTTACAACATGTGGACTTCCTCTTAGCTTGTCCTGATACATTCAGTTTCTTTCTCAGACAGACCGCAATCTGTCCCTGACACTCCGAACATCCCACCATCTGCTCCACGCGCAAAATGGCCCTAGCTATGCAATCTACAATGTCCGCGGCGGCGCAGGACGCCGATTTGATGGATATCGACATTGACATGGACATGGACGATCAAGGCCCACCTCTTGATGATGAGTTCCAACTTGAAGTACGATAACTCGCTTATCTCCCTCACCCAGCAAGAACACACGTATGTCCGTACTGACCAGTCATACAGGAAGGTGAAGAACCCTCATTTGTCCCCTCCAGCGCGCCCGCTGTCACCGACTCCTCCAACCTCATCCCCGCCATCTACACGGAAGACCCGGCTCTCGAACCGCAATGGAACAAAGTTCACATCCGCGGCGTTGACGACATGCATACAAACGACATCCTTGCCTTTGTACACGACCACTTTAGTGAAGTGGGTGACAATGTACACGTCCAATGGATCGATGATACCTCTGCCAATATTTGCTTCAATGACAGTGACACGGCGAAACGAGCGCACCTGGCCTTCCTCGCAACTCCTATCACGATCGACGAACTGGCGAACAATCCGTTCGATCTGCGCGCGGCGAAACAACTGGCCAGCAGGCCGGGAAGTATGCTTGTGATTCGCGTCTCCCAGCAGGGTGACAGGAAGAAGAAAGGTGCGAGAGATGCAAGCAGATACTACCTCATGCACCCGGATCAAGACCCCACGGAACGAATGCGAAAAGAGTTCGAAAGTAGTCGTGGTGACTACCGGCGAAGAAGATTTGACGACCGCGAACTCCACAGACGAAGGAGAGACAACGACCGTGCGACCGGTGACGATGCGGGGGGTTTCTCGGCAAACATGTACGATGATGCACCCACGACGGATACGGAGGTCAACAAGGCAAGAGGTCGGGATCTGTTTCCACGCGCAACGAAGACGAGACGACGGAGCGCGAGTCCTGGCGTTCGAACACGTAACAGCGACGAAATCGACATCTCGGATGAGGACGAGGACGAACGGGCCCGAAGGAGAAACTATCGCGATCGTGGTGACCGCTTCCGCTCTAATGCAGGGAAAGAACTGTTTGGACCCTCGACCTCGGACCCCAAAATCGGCGGCGGTCTACGATCGGACAGACTAGAGCTCTTTCCTAACAAAGCTTCGGAGGCAGACACATCGATGTCGACCGGTCCAGCTCCCGCAGCACCTAGAGCGGCTATCGACTCCACGCAGAGCCGTGCCAATGTCGCCGCAGCGAAGCGCCTGAAAGCCGATCTTCTGTCCGCCGCGCAAACATCCCCGCGTTCAAATCACCGCAGAAGCCATGCCATGGACGCCAAAAACGACGAGGATCTCGCCGAGAGGTTTGCGAGAAAGAGCATCTCGATTGACAGCACCAAGTCGATGAGGAATGGGGCGTCAAACGCGGGAGTTGAATTGTTCCCGTCGAGTGGCGGCAATGCCGGCGGTCTATCTATCAAGGGATCATCCGAGAACGGAGGTTCGAGAGGGTTCAGTATCAAAGGCTCCGGAGGGCTCAGCATCAAAGGCCGCGCCCTCGAAGTCAAGGAGCTGTTCCCCAACCAGTACAATCGGAGTAGTGCGAGGAACGAAGGCAAAGAACTCTTCGACGAACCGGTCAGGGAGAAGCGGGTGAGGAGAAGGGCAGGAGACTTGTTCGACTGAGCCCTCAGCGGTTAAGTTGCTCAGGTACATACCATCAGCGCCGCAGCGTTCCCTTATTTTCTGGATACGAACGCGCCGATCGGGCAGCGCAAACTCTTGGTGGCAATGCACATGGAGTGGAAATCGCTGCAAATTGCTGATACATGCATGCTCCTATTGCGAGTCTAAGACGGCAAGGAGTTAAGTCATCAGATCTGGATACTCGAAGCATTTCGGTATTCGGGCCCTGCAGCGCGGCGGCGGAGCGATGGCCATTTTTCATTCTATTTTATTTTGATGAGATCACGAGCGGCAAAGGACATGGCAAAGATTCAGGGGAAGAATGGGGGGGGGGAAAATGAAGAGCTCACAAAAAACTTGAACAGGGGGCTGGGTGAGAGAAGTGAAAAGGGTAACAATTACAAAAAGTCGCTGCTCAGCTTCGTTCCTGTTACTTTCATCCCACATCTCTCCAGTCGTTTTTATTTCGGTTCAGTTCATGTCAGTTCATATCAGATCCAGGGCAAACCACCCTCCAATATTTCCTCCCCCCTGTCGGCTCCCGAAGAATCCGAGATCATTGCCTTTGTGCCCCTCCCGACCTTGGCTTGTCGTGACAGATATACATACATCCTCATACGTACCAGTGACACTTGACTTGACAGACGCTGGCCCTGGCGTGCTGTACGGGCGACGTTTGGTTGCTGATTGTCAGGATCCATTCGTCGAGCCTGAATCCTACGTGCCTCTGGGCATGCCGGGTATTGTGTTTGCCTTCGTCAAACTCGTCCCGCGCTAGCGATATCGTTTTTTATAGGCAGTGGTAGGGTTGTTCTTTCGTCTTGAATAGTGACTGACCGACAGGGTATGGTCCGGCATGATGTGTTTGGTGTGTAGCTCAACATCGCCGGTAGAACATGCATTCTGTTACTGGCCTGCGGTACGTGGGAGTCTCTTCCTGTTCAGCTCATCAATGACCTCAGTGGCAGGGTATGGATGGACGCTGGTTGCGAGGAAGACCTCCACAGCGACTTCTGGTGATGACCGCAATGGTGTCGACTCGAATACCGTGCTGGCGCGTAGTGAGGACAAGGTTCAAGCCTGGACTATCCCAGGGGACTACACCACGCACGATTCCAACATATGTGTTCTTGTCGTTTTTACACGGTGGTTCATGGACACGAAAACTTTTGCCCCACCTATGCTGCAGGGTCAATATTCCAGCGTTGCCAACTCTCCATGCGTTCGGTGGCGGACGCAGCATGTAACAATACAAGGGTTCTATAGTGTCCCGTGGTCACAACCCTCCCAAGGAGGCCAGTGCCCCCCTCAGCTCGGTGATCGCAGTCGGCACATCCTCAAAGTTCAAGGCGGAAATCGCCCACCGGGCATGCTTCTGCGCCTTCAAGATCGCCTCTTCGTCGACCTCAACACTCACGGGTTGAGTTTGTGGAGGCGGGACTGGTGCTACCTGCGGAGGATGAATCGGCGATGGTGCTACTATGGAACCTGGGGCTGGGTGCTGATGAGGAACAGGCGGGACGGGACCACGGGATTGTCGGATTTGTGGCGGATTGACCGGAAGCTGAGGTGGAGGGACTTGAGGTTGGAAATTGGGCGGGATCTGGGGAAGTTGATTGACGGGGGCTTGTTGAAGAGGAGTGCCGTGGCGGTGAGGCGGAAGGGGAGGGGAATGGCGACTAGGTATTGAATTGAGAGCGGCGCCCAGCTCGCTTCGTGCGGATGTGAGCGAGGGTTCTGACGGTGCGGCAGGAATGTCGGTATTGACCTTCGCAAGGCCTGAGGGTGCAGAGGGCAAGTCTGGGGCATCTCCGCCGACCGTTGCCGGCGGTGACGGGAGAACTGGCTCCGCGGGAGCTGATGGCACCACGGGGAAGTAGTTTCCTCCTATTGAAGGCTTTCGCTCCGAGGGAGGCTCCAGCGGAGAGATATCCTTTGGGTCTGCCCGATTGGTGTAGAATGCGGCGGGATCTTGTTCTGGTAAAGGAGAAACATCGTTCCCCAGTGGTACAGAGGGTGCTCTGGACGGATGCAGGGACTGGTCGATGGACGATTGACGAGCAAGCTCGCTCTGGATGCGATCTGCCTCGTCAGGAACGTCAGTGACCGAAGGTTGCTTGGTGACCGGAGGTGGCACTGATGTGTCTCTGGAGGGATGTAAGGACTCATCAAGCAGGGACTTCTGTGCAAGACTCCTCTGAATCTTGTCGGCCTCGTCGGGTACTTCAACGACAGACGGCTGTCGTGGTCTGGTGACTTCCCTACCTCCTTCTAGTGCCTTGACCTCTGCGTCGTCCGGGTCCAGCGTCGGGAGGGCCTCCTCGCTCGGAGTTTGTGGTTTGGGGTTGGACAAATTTGGATCTTCTCCCGCTTTGAGCGCCTTTGCTATCCTCAGGGCATGGTATTTCGCAAACTTGATCTTGGCGGCGATTTCGGGTTCCACGGCTCCCCAGATCTGGAGCAGGTCGAGGAAGGTCGCGGAAGCTTGGAAAGTGTCTGCAGTCTGCCTCGACGCCTTGTTTGCGCGTACCGCATTGTCTGCTCTTTCAAATGTTTCGAGCCCAAACTGTTCCACGTATGCTTTCCCCACAATGTCGTCGGTCACGGCAGGTTCTTGGGCGTGTTCAGCTTTGAACTGTCGCAGAACGTCAGTCGGAGGTACGGTGGCAGCAGTAGCTCCCTACGCACCTTTTCCAGCTTGTCCATCAACGTGGTCGTGTAGACCAAGCTCTCTTGGTCTGCATTGTGAAGGCCTTTGGATAGGATTTGGTTGACTATCCAGTATTCGCCTATGAACCGGTTAACCACCGCTTGAGATTCGAAGCAAGCTAGGAGGAGTCATACACCAGTATGCTATGATGGGCTTGGGTTTCTCGAGCTGGGCTGCACGGTGGGCGAAGCGGGTAATGTCGGCAGTCTTCAATGCAGCTGGCACTTGAGCAGCCATAACGGAAGCTGGGGAGGAGGAGGAGAAGGAGGTGTTTACTCCACGACGACTTCGGATCGGTGAAGGTTTATTCTGTCAGAGGAAGTAAGTTGGGGGAGAATGACGTCTTTCTGGGGTTGTTCTGGTTCGAGAAGTGTAATATACATACAAAGCGGGAGCCGCAGTGGCCTTGAAGCGCAGCTAATAGTGCGAAGCCCCTCGGTGGATGAAGTAAGCATCCCTAGCCGCCGCACTTCCCCCACATTCCTGATGTATTCTACTACAGTAATGTATGTGACGCTAAGCTCGTAATTACATCCTGTACGCTCAGAGAACATTCCGTCTCAACCACCTGCCTCAGGTTTGCTATTGGATCCGTTTGCCCACCACCCCAGAAACCAGTCCTTCGCCAGTTCCCACAGAGGCTTAATTCCTGTTTGGTTGCTAGACTCATACTGCCTCTCTCTTGCCTCTTTGTAAAAGGCGGCCGCCCGTCTGGCGATCTCGAGCCACCTCCAGAATGCGCTTTCGCCATTCCTTCTGTTGCTGTTGTCGTCCTGATTGGACGAAGACCGTGGTGGTGGCGGCAAGTCCAGCGGCAGGAGAGGCCTGTGTTCCGGTCGTGAAACAACAGCTCGATCATCGCGGATGCAGATGACGGTGTCGACGACGTTTGCTCTCAGGACCTTGGCGGCCTCGGTCTCCAGCTGGGGAATGCCAGAATTCATCTCCCGAACAACCTGAAGCGTTGCCGGTTTCGAATTCTTGGGTCCTCCATATCTCGTGTGGATCATGCGGCGAAGTTCATCACCTCGCGCCGCTTTGTCATCGTCTCGATCCAAGAGGAGGGCGTAAGAAGCAGCAGAGCCCCTTCCTCCTGGAAAGCCATGGTGATAATCAACGCCTCCATGATAGCGGCCTGGTGGGTGAAGGAGGCGGGACACGTCGTCATGCAACAGCAGCTCTGTTTCCAGCCTCCTCCAGGCTTCTTGGAATGACTTCCGGCTCCAATCGTCCCACTTGCTCGTAACAAAGGTAATGTTTCTGAAGAATGAGGGACCGCAGAAGCACTGGACCCAGCGAATAATCTTGATATCGTCCTCGCGGAACCGGGACGGTGGGGAGCCGACGACCAGGAGAAGAACAGCGACCGTCACGAACGGGCCAAGAGCGTTGAGGCATTGCAAAATATCCTCGAAATTCTCCGTGTCGTCCAGGTCCGAGGCTCCAAAGCCACCGGTATCAATAAAGAGGTATTGCTCCCCCTTGATGATCGCTGGACAAATCTGGTAGTTTCGCGTGCCTACGTGTCTATCAGCGCCAGTTCGCCTTGTTGTGAACATGTGTTTCCAGGTATACACACCTGACTTCATGGTGCATTCATGGTGTAACCGATGCTGACGTCCAGCCCGGTCAACTCTGACAGTATCGTGGATTTCCCCGTCCCTGTTTGACCCGTCACAAAGACGAGCTTGGTTCCCCCGAAGCTAGTACACACCGAATCAGCGAAGTCCGACGCAGATGAGGCTCGTATTTGAGCAGAAAAAGCATACAATTGCTTTATGAAATAGATGACGGGTTTCGACGCCGCTCCTTTAGCGTCGGTGGCCTTCTTCAGGAGCTTGTTAAAAGGGTCCTGTGATATCCAAGATTTCGACGACTCTTTGGCGTCCTCATGGGGTTTAACAGTTGTTGAAGAACGTTGTTCTTTTTCCTCGTCAGCTGCAGGATTGTGGTAGTCCAAGTCTGCATCATCGAACAGTCTAGCCAAGGCAGCTGAGTAGTCGTAGCAGTCAAATTCTATCACATTGGAAGACGTGGCCATGACGGATGAGGAAAAGCAGGAGACACGTGGAAAAAGATCAGTTACGAAAGACGAAGGCCCCGACACCTGTTTGGAGTAGCCCAGCGCTGGTCGGATTCCACCGATGCTGTAGTGGCCGGCACTTGCTGTTAAGAGACGACTTTCCTCTGGGAGACTTTGAAGATGAAAAGAGAAAGATCCGGCTGAGAGGCTGTTCGAGGGGATAGTGAGCTGTATTTGTACACAAGAATGTCCAACAGCCTTGCTCTCTCTCTCTCCCTCTCCCTCACACACACCCACACACAAGTTTAGTGAACGCCTTTTCCCGACTCCTAGTGGACGAACAAGGCAGACTTGCATTCAAGAATGCAATGTTATGCACAGCCTGAGGCTGAAAATCAGCACATTCGCACAGGAAAAGGGCATCAACATGATGGTCGGGAGAACAAGTTCATTGTGGTGTTTTGACTCCACACGGGTTTCTTTTCTCCATTGGCTCACTGAGGATGGGGGCAGCTGCACACGGCTGTTTTCGGCCGCTTCGTCCATGTTCGACTCTGGTAGTGGATGCCTTATAGCTGGCTGTGTACCACCTTTTCAAGTTGGCGGGCACCCCTCTATGACGCTGTAGCATTGTGGCAGCATACTCCGGACTGACTGCCCCTGCGACACCTATCCCTGCCTGTCCGTATCGTGAGTGAGCCGCAAACTTTCCTTCATCAATGATGTCCTTCTTAGAAACAAAGCATCTCAAAAGAGTCCCGGTGTCGGGGGATAAAGAGACGCTGGACCCATATATGTATGTGGGTCTCCAAAAGCTTGGCGATGAATGCGGAACGATGTTTGGAGTGTTTGCATCCCGTTCAACGGCAGCTCCCGTGCACTCCGCAGCTCCTCGTTTATATACTGTACCCCAGTTCCACTCATCTCCGCCCCGTTTAAAACCCCCCCTCCCCAACAACCAACCACCACCACCATCATCATCATCAACATGGTCCGAGAAAACCAGCTCCAGGTCGACCACGACGACGGCACCTACTCCTGCCGTGCCTGTGACCGCGACTTCAGCTCCTCCCATGGCGCCCTGAACCACAGCCGCTTCGCGGGGGTCCACGAAGGAGAATGGTGCGAGCGGTGCGAACGCCTGTTCGTCTCGCCTCTCGCGCGCCGGGCTCACATCGTCGACTCCCCGCGCCACAACATCTGCACACCGTGTGGACTAGACTTTGAGACCAGCGGTAAACTCGACTCCCACGACATCGACGTCCACAACATGTGTCTGCCATGCAAGAGAGAGTTCGATAGCCCCCAGGCACTAAAATCCCACGACGTGGCCGTTCACAACATGTGCGCAGCGTGCGGCAAGTTTTTCAACAACACCAATGATTTGATGCAGGTATGTATATCGCTCAGTGGCCGTAGTAGCGGTGTATATCCATGGCCGGTATCCGTTGTAACAACAACGAAAAAAGCCTGACATGAGAACGTAACCGTTGATATATCTGTATATATATAGCACAAGCGAAGCCACCTCCCCCCGAGGCTCGGATGCCTGGGCTGCAACCGCAAGTTCGCCGAATTCGCCGCCATGATGATCCACCTCGAGTCCAGCTCCTGCAATAGCGGCATCGACCGGGAGGACGTCGACAGCTACATCTTCGACGCGTGGCGGGGAGTCCCTGAATTTTGCAATGGCTGGACCGACGACTTCATGTATCACTGCCCCGGTTGCGAGACCGACTTTCGCTATGCCAGTGCCCTGTGCCAGCACCTGGCCAGCAACGCGTGTAATCAGGAGCCCCAGCGGATCTTTGACGACATCCGAGAATGTATCGGATCGCACCTCTAACGTGTGGCCCTTTTTTTGGTTGGAACAACCCCCGGTGCAGAGTTCATTATTGCTTGGTTGGTGGTTTCCCCTCCTCCACCGGATCTTGAATGATACCGGAAGCTGGAAATACCAGACACGCCGAACTCTTTTTGTTTTTGAAAATCAGACTGTGAGCCTGGCGACATGCGCGGCGGGTAGTTGTTTCAGGGTGTAGGAACATTTATTAGTGGGATTGGAGTTGCAAATGCAGGCAGATTGTGAGCGCAGGATGGGAAAACGCCTACGTCGCTCTGATATGTATGGGGCGTCTCTGTCTGTCTGCTAGCAGCGATGGCAAATTGTCTGCAACGTTGGATTTTCCAACCGAATGTGTATCTCACTGATGGTTTTTTACTGGTCAAATCGAATGCCATCCCTCGCGATGCATTGGTCTCGAAGAGTGAGCTTCAAATCAATTCTATGGGAGACATGTCTGATGCTGTCTGACTCTCTGCACGCCCCCGAACAGGCCGTGTTGACCTCGCCTCGCACATGATTTTGAGGAGAGAGACTGTTTCCCAATACCTCACAGCCCTCGTGTCACACAGCAGACAACGCCATCGTGAAGGATGCCGCCTTTTCTTTTTGACGCTAAAACTCCAGGAATGTCCTCCTATACGTCTCGTCGAAAGAATCATCTTCACCAACGCAGACCTTGTACGTAAGCCTCGCGTACTCGGTCGCTCGCCCCTTGAGATCCGACGCCACCGACTTGTAAACCCGAGAGAGAAGCATCCAGCACTTAATCAGATGGTCTCCCATGAACCCCCATTTCTTAACAGCCATGGGTGTGCCTAGGGTGTGCGGCAGTCTCCCGCCATTTATGACATAACCGAGAGATCTGTGTCAGCCGCGAGGTCTTGCGTGGCGCGGACCACCATCATGTCACCGATAAAAGCCCGCCTGGAGTTGCTGTAACAGCAATGGTTGATGTATGATGCCATGGGCCAGACACCGCACGAGCTCAATTATTCATCATCTTCGCCAGGCATTGAGTCGGGATCCTCCGCAGTCCGGAGATGAGATTCGCGAGACGGAAGTGAACAACCGAAGCTGTTCAGGTTTATGATACGCTCGACAAGGAATCTGTGATCGAAAGTTAGAGGCCTGAACCTGCGACGAACGAGATAATGGGACCCTTACGTATCAACCACAGGCGCGCCATCGACCTCGGAGACATTGACAAGTTTGTACGATCCATGATGAAGGTTGGTGAAGACTGGGGCCAAAGAGGGGTTTCGATACAGCTTTTGGACGATCTGCTTGATGAGTTCTGACTGAGCTCCCACATTTACGGTGTCGGTTTCCAGGTTAAGCAGCATCTTCAAATCTCCCGCGTACCTCCAATTTTTTCAGTATTGACAAAGGCATGCGCAAAGGCTTTCTCACACAACAGCAAGTCGCTAGCCTTGACTGCTTTTGTGGTGAAGAGACCGCGACCCCGGGAGGCCGATGGTCTGATATATACTGGACCCACGTATGTGGCACGATCCAAAAGTGGCGGTTGCAGTTTGGCGGCTTCCGTGCGTAACTCCTCGAAGCTGTACCCTGCGCTCTCTTGCTCTGCAAGTCGGTGGATGGTTCGAGCGCATTGGTCTTTGGCAATCAGGTTCTCAGGATAGCCCAGACCTTCCAGACAGATGGTTTCCAAAACTTTGGAGCATTCTCGGAACCTCTGTAGGCTATACAACGCTTGCGCTTTGTAGAACAGGGATTCCTCGGCCGCCTTTTGAAGAGATGACAGCGATTCCGGATCTCGGAGAGCGGCTTCGAATCGGTTCGTCCTCAGGAATGCTCGGGCTCGATTGATCTTGGGGGCATCGGTCTCTTCTGCTGTTGAAGAGCAATCGAGGGCTTTCGTGTAGCTATCGAACTCTTTAGTTTGAACCGATGAAGAAAACCCAGTGATGGCTTACCATTTAATTGCCGCTCTGTATTTCGATTCTTCATACAGATCGTTCCCTTTGGTGTTCCAGTCGTTGAATGAGGCGATAGATTCCGTGCCTTTTGGCTTCCAACAATCTGGGACTCTTTCATCATATGCAGAGAGGGATATGAAGTCGAAGATATGGTCGACACAGACCGCGTACCCACCAGGGATTGTCTTGAAGTGGTTCTCGTACAACCAGGATCGTCCCTTGTTCAAAGTCATTCTCCTCGTTGTGATAGTGCAGCAGCAACATAACGACATCCTGGTCTTCGTCATCCATGATGGTTATCATCGTGTTCAAATTATGTGGTGGGGTGATTGACCTCAGCAGAAGGTAGGAGCCTCTGTAATGTGTTTCAAGGAGAAGGTCTTTGATCATGAGTTTCTCCAGGTCAGATAAGGCAGTGATGCAGGGAGGATAGGCTGGGGGAAGGAGAGATAACAGCAAACTGTACGGATAACTTGTTTGAGCCTGGCCCGTCATGGAACTAAACATGAAAACTCATGATGATTTCTTCTTGGAAGCGATTCTCTTGAGGGCGCTGTCCTTTGCGAGATTGGGCATCCATGAAATTTGCTTTCTGCGTCCGCAGGATCTGGAAACGCCGTGAAATATCATGTTTATTCAGAAGGATGGCCATGGAACAAGTGAGTTCCTCTTGGACTGACTCTGCTCTCTGAGCTAATGGGTTGATGGAATGGAGAGATGGCAAAGGCCGTGTGAGGCTGAAAGATGATCTCGGCCGACCTTACATGGCACAGACGTCTGAGACGCGGGTGATTTCGACGCCCTGCTTCTCCTCTGTGACAGCTGGAGAGGCCGTCAGTACTTGGATCCTCCTTTCTCGTATGTATTTATTCTTTGGCTTTCCGCCAAGCCATACTCGGATGATTTAAAATTGGTTCGACTATCCCCCGTTATATACATACGTCTGGTCGCCTGGTTGATAATCATATTGTGCTACTCGACTTAATGAATGGGGAAACGGGATTGTCGATATAATCATTCACTCGAGCATATAGAACTGCCAGGCATCGCAGTGGTGGATAGTCCGAAAGCCCTTCCTGGACATGGAGAGTCTCACACCTAAGGAATTCCACGAGGTCCGATCTCGACTCTCTTCTTGATCTGTTTCACATCTTCTCCCGACTTGAGTCGACTGATCAATTCTTCCGGATCGAAATCCGTCCCGATGGGATTCTCCGCAAACTCCTTGGATTTCATAAACGCAGTCGCATCTTCGTTGCAATCAAAGTTGTCCACCTGGGTCTCAAGTTTGTTCCCGTCCGGATCCTTGTAGTACATGCTCGTCGTCGGGCCGTGGTTCACACACCAGAAGGGTGTGATCCCCAGCTTCTTCCTTTGCGTGTAGGCCTGTGTCAGGTCTTCCAGCGTGTCAAAGGAAAAGGCAATGTGGTCCAGTCCGCTCGATGCTTGATCCTTGGGACTGTCGCTTGGTATCTCGGCAATGGCGATACGGTGATGTTCGTCATCATAGGTCAGGAATGAGAGGAAGTCGTTTGCATGCACGATTTCTGCGCCCAGGAACTTGACGTAAAAATCGTTCATCCTCTTCAGATCTCTGGTGCGGAGGACCACATGCGCCAGTTTCGTCGGGCTCAGGGTCTTTTCTGTACTGACGGACATGTTTGTTTCAGCTTGACGGCGAGCGAAGATGATAACAATGGAGGCTGCCGGAGTGAGGGACACAGAGAGAGCAAGGGCGTCAGCAGCACCAGCGGTATATACACTTACTTTGGCTACCTGATCTCGGCATTTCAGCAATGACCGGGGACGCCGGGTTTGTGGGTAGCACTGGTTGATCTCCCCCACAAACGCCACAAGCACGGCACTCCGCACTCAGGGAGGAATCCGGGGTTGGTGGTGGGCTTTCGGCCGCAATATTGATCCATGCAGACATAATTAGTTGTGTACTTGGTGCGGATATGTATTGTTCCGTTTTTATAGTCGACTAGCGGCCAAGCACAGCACTCCATTAGCATTGGCGGACTGCATGACTGCATGATGTTGACGGATAAACCCATTCATTTATTTGACATGTGTCTAGGCAAACGCAGGCACAGGCTCTCCAATCTCGAGTGTCTCATAACCAATCATGATACAAGCGTCCTCGCGATCCGTGAACTTCTGTTCGTCGGCTGCGGAGACAGACTGTTAGCACAGGACACTGTCCTGACAGAGACAGCGAGTTTTCCCTACCAGAAAGTGCCTTCACAATATCCTCCTGGCTTACATGCTGGACATACTTGTCAACATCCTCTATCCATATCTCAACGATGCCATCGAATGGGAGGACTGGGAGCCCCATGACTTTCTCCTGGTTTTGGTATTCCGGCAGGGCATGGAACTGCTCGGCTGAAACGTTAGTCGGGGGCTTTGTCGCCATTTTAAAGGAGAAGTGAACTCTTGCCTGGGTGTATCGTTTGCATATCTGGAGATAACCAGGAAGGTTTCTAACCACGTCCGCATGCACACCGGACCAATGGGCGTGAAACTCTTCGCTCGATGTGCCAGGTTTCCTCTTGACAAAGATCGAAACCCGTATGTATGGCTGCCGGCGTGCTGACATGGTGATGCTAGGCTCCTCGTCCACGCGAAAATATGGGATCTTGTACTTGTGCTTCTAACAACCAATGGTACACGGACTGCCAGTAGAGGTCGCTCAGGCCTCCAGAAGAGTCAGGGCTGCACTTAAATATAAATCAGTTCTCACTCCACTCCTCCAGGAATCCCCAGCTCTTCAATAACAGGAGAGGGTGCCACCTGCGGTCCGGGGTTCGGCGCATAGAGGGCCATGAGAGTTCGCCCTGTCGTCTACATCTTGCCTTGATTTTCGTCGAGAGAGCGTCGGGAGCTCAGTCTCGGGGCGTTTTCGGTTGGATTGGAGAAAATATCAGGACGTGTTCGGTGTAGCTTCGGTGGTTCAGATCAGCATAAGACCATTCTGGGATGCCCTGCGGGAAATAGTATTTCAGAGCCATGCCTGGCATTTCAGTGACACTTGTATCTGTCAAAACCAGCCTGCCTTGTTGCGAAACTTTCCACCGTCTCCGGCACAAGAACCTCGGAGGAGAGAAAGAGAGCCGAGAGATGGATCACAGACTTCTCGGGCGAGCTGTCGTCTGTCTCATTATGATATCTGATATTCAGGATAGTGCACCATCAACTGGATTGATAGTGTGCGATGCTGTCCAAAGCGGCACAATGTTCCTGCCCAATGTGGGGATCAATACATAATTTTCTTGATGTCACTTCCGAACTTCAACCGGAGGAAGCGAAGCGCATCGCATTGCGACACCAAAGAAGTTTATCTCGAGAAATTAGACTGTTAACCACCACGCGCTCTCTTCTCTCGTTGCCCCCGTTGACCAACAGAAATGGCCCTCGTTCGAGCATCTCAGTTGGCCAGCTGAAACTCCCTCTCTCATGTGTCTTATCCCAAATTCCCGAGTCCGCGGGGGTATCCTTCACTCTTGTAGCCCTGCAGAGATAGCGCCATGTCCGCCGCCGCCGGCACCGTTCGAGCAGCACCGGCCTTCTTCACTCGTTCTCTGATACTCACTCCTTCTCACCTAAGTCACCGTGCGGGCAAATCCTCTCGTCACGATCCAGCCCTTGCTTACCGTATCTTTCTAGACCTCCAACAAAATATCCGACGAAGCCTCGATCCTTACCGATTCAACGCCAGAAATCTGCACTCATCCCCACGCCGGGCAGCTACCGTCCCTTCATCCTCCGCTGGCATGTCTAACTCGGCCATCCCACATATTTCTCTACACATTGCGGCGTCTTCTAGCGGGAAAGGCCGGAAGTACCGTCCGGAACTGAGCACGTACGAGTACGTCCCAAGTGACGACGACGGGCTCGGTGTTCAACGCGGCTCAACGCCCGAAGAGAAAAGGATTCGACGTCCGGACAGCGGGCAGGATGCATACTTTGTTGCTCGTGTTGGAAAGGACCCAAACACCACTGCTTTCGCAATAGCGGACGGCGTTGGTGGCTGGTCTGACCATGGAATCGACCCCGCAGACTTCTCCCATGGCCTGTGTAGCTACATGGCAGAGACGACGCTCTCTTGGTCATCAAATGAGCGACTCGGTCCCAGACAGCTTCTCGAAATAGGGTACGAGAAAACTATCAGGGATCCCACAATCCACGCAGGGGGGACAACGGCGTGTGTTGCGGTGACAGAAGGAGATGGCCGCATGCGCATTGCGAATTTGGGCGATTCGGGTTTCCTACAGCTGCGACTGGGGACGGTGCATCATTATTCCAACCCGCAGACACACGCTTTCAACACTCCATACCAGATGAGCCTGACTCCCCCCGAGATCCTGGCCCAAGCAATGATCTTCGGTGGCTTACCTCTCAACGACAAGCCCGAACGCGCCGACTTGGCGGACCACATGCTACGGCATGGTGACGTCCTTGTGCTGGCGACGGACGGTGTGTGGGACAATCTCAATTCCCAGGACTTATTGTCCATCGTGTCTCTCCATATGCGAACGACTGGCGCCTGGCTGAGGTCCAAGGATCAAGGATACACCATCTCACCGGTTCTCTCTGAACTTGTGGATCACAGCCTAGGACCGCACAAGCACAATCTCCGGATCTCGGACACGGTCGACATTTCTTTCCAACAACTGCCTCTCGCGACAGGGACGTTGCAGAGCGTGCTGGCGGCGGCAATTGTCGGGGAAGCCAAGAACGCCAGCCTCAACGCGAAGCGAGACGGCCCGTTTGCGAAGGAGATGCAGAAGCAGTTCCCCTACGATCCCTGGCACGGTGGCAAGGTAGACGACATCGCCGTCCTGGTGGTCGTGGCCGTGGATCAGAACAAGGCCACTGAGGATACTCAGAAGCTGAAGCTAAAGCCGAAGCTCTAAAAAAAAACTCCCCTCTGGAAGAGAGTGCAGTCAGCCGGCACGGGCACATTCGACACGCTCGAAATTTCCGGCCCTTTTTCTCCACCTACAATACGTTTCAGCTTACCCTTCCATCCACGTTCAAACAAGTTCGCTTTCGAGAGGAATTCCCTGTCACCGATACCATAATGGCCTGATCGAGACGGCGGTATGTATGTATGTATGTATAAGAGAGGTGTTTTTGCAAGGGAGATGACGGCGCCACTCCCTTTTCGTTGTTGAGGATTTTTCTCATTCTTCAAACCGTTATGCTTATGCTGTTCGTTTGATTTGACATTGCTTCTCTCGAGACACATATGGTTGGAAGGGAGTGAGTCAGCGAGCGAGCGAGTGATTCACCATCTGATACTGTTACAGATACATTTACTACTACCTTCAATAGAGATAGAGATTAGAAAATGATACCCACATCCCATGTGGCATGTATGAATATAAAAAAAAAGAAAGAGGTGCTACTTTTTCGATGTTCATTTTTCTTTTAAATATTGAGATTTTCATTTTGAGATTGTTCCGGACTCACTCAGTGTGTGTGTATGTGTGTGTGTGTCTGTGTCCGGCGCCTGCCTACACCTATAGGAACCAAACTATACATGCATGCATACAGGCGGACGGACAATTTGGTCTGATGTGAGACAAAACACCCCCTCCCCCAGCGAGATCCAATGCAAAATTCCAGTATGTAGCAAGTCCCTCGTAGATATCCCCCCCGCAACCACCACCACTTCATGATCTCGAAATCCAAATTGTGCATGTACCTCGTACCGGTCGGTTCGTACTTTCGTTATGTATTGTCGTCTTTCACACAGTTCTTTCCTCGTGGCAGCAAAGGGGTCGGCCGCAATTTGCCCCCACCCTCCGCCCCCTCCTCGAGCTCGACGTGCTCGGTAATAATAGTTCTCAGAAGATAACAAAACGGGCAGTCATAAAAAAGGCCCGGATCCCAAAATAATAGAGAGAAGTGGTAACCAACATTTGAACCCATTCAGGTCTCCAAACCGCAGAAACACCCGGCACATGCCATCAATCATGCGCGACGGTCTTCTTTTCCACCCTTCCCATCCACCATGGGACGGCTGGGGTATCACTCCTTCGTTCAAGCATTAGCTCGGACTCGGATGCCGACATTAAATCCCAAGGGTTTTCTGAGGAAGCCCTCCCTCGTCTGCAAGGGGCCGGCATGTTCGTCCCGGAACTCAAAGTTCCTGAAGACCGTCGCGACCATGCACTTCAGTTCCATCTCGGCGACGTTCCTTCCGACACAAGCCCTAGGTCCCACGGAGAAGGGAATGAACGCCTCCTTCTGTCGCGGTGTGAGTCGTTTTTCAGACCAGCGCTCGGGGACAAATTCGTCGGCGTCGGCACCCCAGATTTCCTTGGAGTGGTGGAGAGTATATGAGGGAACGGACAAGGCAGTCCCGGGAGGGAAAGTGTAGCCTAGGATTTCGACTGGTTTGGGATTTGGATTCTCAGGCGACGGCATAGGGGTGAGGCGGGGGAGGCCGAGCGACGAGGTGGAGTGGATGCGCATAGTCTCGTTGATAACCCATTGCACGTATTCGAGGTCCCTAACTTGCTCGTACTGGGGAACGCCAGGGCCGATGTTTGCGTCGAGTTCCTTTTGCAGCTTCTCGAGGACACCCGGGGTGCGGACGACATAGTACAAAATTGCGCAGGCGGTGTTGGAGGTGGTATCGGATCCTGCAATGAGTTGCGTGAGGGCTTCGGCAGTGAGTTCTTCGCGCCCAAGTTTTTCACCGTTGGCATCTTTGCCTTCCATAAGACGGGCAAGGAGGTCCACTCGGTCGGTGTTGGGATTCTCCAGGCGCTGCTTGACTCGGGCAATGGCGATACCTGCAAGGTTCTCCACCGCTTCAACGCCTTGGCTGAAGAAGGGGTCCGGGAGGTATTTGGCGTAGGGCTTCAATTGTGGCAGGCAGCCCAGTGTGCCCGACACCTCCCCTCGGCGGTTCAAGACTTCAATGGCCGGGGCAGTGGTCGGAGGAGCGTCCGGGGACTTGCGGATTTCGGCAATATCCTTCTCCTTCTCCAGCATGCCGAATGGTTGTCCGAATGCAAGATCGCCAATGATGTCGAAGGCGAGGTAGTTAAACCAGTTCAAGGAATCAATGGACGCATAACCGGTCTTCGGGTTGCTCTTGTTGTTGGCAAGGTTTCTCCATTTTTGCACAAACAACTCCAAGTTGGCGTGGATGTACTGTTCGAACTGGCCAATGGACTTGGCGGAGAAGGTGTGAGAGACAACCTTGCGCTTGCGAGTGTGTTCTGCCCTGTCTCGCGTGTTGAACAGGCCGCGGCGGATGGACACGAAGGCGTCATAGTATTCACTTTAGAATTGACCTGTTAGAATGTAGTTGCAGCAAAAGTCAGGGGACGAGGACATACCTCTTAAGGAATCCATTGCCGTGACCATAGATGGCGTTGATGGCGCCGTCATCCGCGATTGAGACATGATTCGGCTGAATCCGCACGACCTTGCCGTATTTCTTGTGCAGGTCGTCGACAACTTTGTATCTTCGTCCTCGCCGGCATTGATACATCAACCACAAATTCGAAAGGGCAGCCGGCAGAGGGCCAGGAATCTTCAACAGGGACCAGTTCCGGAGATATGGAAGGAGGTAGTAGAGGACTGGGAGGAGAAGGATCGCCCAAGGCGAGATGAGCGACGCTACAAACATTTTGATAGGTCTGTCCGAGCGGATTTTTAACAGTTCCAACTGTGACCAAAGAGAGAATATACCAGTTCAAGCAGGACGTAGAGTGACTGATGCTGGTCTTGTAGCTCAGCAGCGGAGAGCAGCACAAGGTTATATATCCCCAGGTTGTGACGTTGACAGATCGAGAAGTCTAGAGGCAAACCCCGAGACCAGCCTGCATACAGGTCAAGCGAGGGTATTGGTGCCCACACCAAGTAGCGAGTCGGCGGCAAGTCTGAATTGGCGGCGATGGTAGACGGGTCAAAGTTGTAGAGAACGGATGTTGAGGTCGGGAAGTGAAAGCTGAGAATTGCCAGCAGCTGATTGGCCTAAGCTCTGTGGCCCGTCTTAAGTAAGGAATCATAGTGCTTAGCAGGCGCCGGAGCAGGTCCCAGCGATGCCCAGCGGTGCTCAGTGGCCCCCGAGGGGCCCCCGAGCAGCCTGTACCCCGCCATACGGCCGCCTCGCCGCGAAGGGCAAGTCACGCCCCCTCCAGTTGGTATCTTCGGCTCTCAGAGGAGCGTAGGACCGATAAGTAGCGTCCTTCCACGGCCGCCCTTCTAGTAATTACGACACACCCTAGCAATGTCCTGCGTGACCTTGTGGTCCCTGCCAAAAAGCCCGCATCCGATGGCGAACACCCCGTCCATCCACTCCACGAATGGCTCGTTCTGTTCAAGTTCGTTCTGTGCCCCAACCTTTCGGATGGGGATCCCACGGTAATTCGGCCATGGTGCGATGGCGTGGCGTCTTGTTCGTTCACAGGGTTCTCCCGTTCTTGCCTCGATCACCACAATGTGCATACCGTGTTTCATATCCTTCGACTTTCTGTTACGGACGTCCCATTTCCTCGGCATGAGCAATCCTGTCGAAGCATGTGGATCTCATAAAGTTAGGATGAGCCGATGACCCACATGATCCTGCTTACGACTGTGTTGCAGAGCCTTGCGAGAGACGTGTCATGCTTTGTTCGTTTCCAAAGTGCCGAGTGCCTGACTAAGAAGAGCAGTGTACAGCGTCAGATCTTGGGTATCAGTGCACCATGCGTTCTGCCGCAAGCTCCTGCGTCGTATAGGTAGTCAGCCTGCTGTTTTCGGAAAGGGAATCAGCTATCTTAACGTGCTTGGAGTCTTACCGGGAAGCTCTCACTAATTCCTGTCGCGTATCGCTCCACGTCTTCGACCAGTCCTTGCACTCCCTGGTCCCATTCTCGGAGATCACGCAGCGGTCCCCTCAGTGCAACGCCAGGGACAGTCTCGAAGTGAATGACACCAGCTATCTGATCGATTTCCCCTCTCAGCCTCCCTTGCTCCATCATTTTAGCGGCGTAATCTTCGGCTTTTTCAGCGGCAGTGTCGTCTCTGCCATCCCTGAGACCTAGTAATTGCGCAAGCGCTGCCGTTGTGATATTGTTGTAAAGCCGGCTGGTAGCAAGGAGATTGTGCTCAATGACAGCCTTGCTCAAGACCGTGCTCCCGTCGGCGGTTTTCGCGAGTTGATGAGGTGCCAATGTTGCTGCGAATGCCTCCACCTCAGTCGCCGACAATAAACGATCCAAGTACATGTTTTCGAGTATGCCATACTCCTCTGTCTCTGGCGATCTTTCATCCTTGTACAACTTGGCAAGAGTCCGGCTTCTCTGGGGTCCGGCGGGTGCGAGAATAGCTGTTTTGATCGCTGCAGACAGAGCTCTTCGTTTTTCTTCGTCATCGATCATGGTGTTGAAGGAGACGTTGAGATACTCGGTGGAGGCGTTGAGGAAATCTCGACGGGAATCCAAGATACGAGCCTGGGACAACTGGTAGTGCAGTCTCAGGTCAGGCGCATCCCTCAGCACGAGAGCCGCAGGGGCCGAATTCTTGATCTTGTTCAAGGCCGTTTCTGCCGCCACAGTGTCATCATCCTCTAGGTAATACCGTACAATGCGGATCCAGATCTCAACCTTGGCTCGATCAGAGACCTGACGCTGTGTGGTGTCGAGGTGAACACCTTGTAGTGCTTTTGCAGCCGCTGTGTATTCCTCTTCTGCTTCATAACCATCTGCTAGTATCTCTCTGACTCTTGCATCCTGCTCTTCATAGGAAGCCAACTGGCCTTGTAAGGCTTCGGTGACGTGTGACCCAACTTTGATCTTGACTTCGGGTGGAGCAGAAGCAAGTCGATCGATGAGACTGGCCACAAGAGGACGAATAGAGATGATTCCGAGGGCCGAAGAGAGCAACGAGTCGAAATAGGCATTGAGGTCCGCGGCGTATTCGTCGGGCGATGCAGAGGGCGCGCTCGTCAGTTGGGCAAGAAGGTCAGTGTATTTTTGGTTTCTGGACACAGCAGGACCTGCGGCAATCGACTGCAGAGCTGCAGCCAGTGCTTTAGAGACCATCCTCGTGGGAACGATTGCCGTCTCAAGCGGACGATGAGACTACTGCCCTACGGACCTGATGGGAGACCCAAAAGCATACAGAGGGAGAAGTGAACGATTCCTATCGACTCTCTGGTCACGTGTGTACTTATCGATAAGCCACATCCCACATTCGGTGGTCTTGGCAGTTCACGCTGCCACAAGGCTTTACTTATTTCTTTTGTTCTTTCCCCTCTCTCCATTGCTCAGCCAGCGGCATAACCATCGTTCCGCTCGAGTGTACGCATATTCGGCGCATCTCCTCTTCTGTACTTGCTTACGAAATGGCTGATCGGGTGAAATACACCCTTGTGTGGCACTAGCGTGTGCCAAACCACCAATCATCGGAGCATCGAAGCTGACGATGATTACTAACTTGTGCACAGAGGTGACAGAGGCCAGAGTATGAGGTACACCGTTCTACGAGTTCCATCTTATGCCAAACACGGTAATGAAACTGATTGGGTACACATCAACTGCCCGTGCGATGTGCAGAATGAGTGCGAAGAGCCAAAGGACCCACAATGAAACGCGGAATTGTCGTCGACTCGCGGAATGTTACAACCTCGCCAATCCTCTACCAACTCAGTTTGCTCCAGCTCTACCTGGCTCGAGGTGTTGTCTACCTCTCTACGACCTCGGGTCTGTATATCAGGCTGCGGAATGCCAGGAACATCAGGGGCCTCTCCTCTTGACTTTTTTCCAATCAATTACCGGTCCCGTTGGTCACGTCCTCCCCTCAGATACCCTCAAAGTGCCTACTGGTGAATGTTCTAGTGCTGACAGCTGGAAAACTATTGTGGCTTTCGGTGGCCTATCCCATGCATATACGCGTTTCTGGCCTTAGTAAAAACAGGTCCCAGAGGCGAAAAGAAGATATAAAAGCAGAAAATTTGTCTGTGGAGAATTCAGAAGCACCGACTTATTCCAACTTAGATCCTCTTAACGAACAATAGCATTCTCCCCCGGTCAACATGGTTCTCGCTTCTGACGAATACAGCAACAAGCTTTACATCAATGGTGCCTTTGTCCCATCACAAGGCTCGGACCGCCTGACTCTCACCAACCCTTGGGATGAATCCATCGTGGCCGAGGACATCCATGTCGCCAACAGTGCAGACGTCGACGCCGCGGTCGCTGCCTCGGTCGCGGCAATGAAGAAGGGACCATGGAAAGGCTTCACCGGCGCCCAACGTGCGGCGTGTATGCTCAAATTTGCCGACCTGGTGGAGCAAAACATCGACAGACTTGCCCGGATCGAGTCTCTGCCCACGGGTCGCCCCTTTTCCATGATCAAGCACTTTGATCTCCCTCACATGGTTTCTGTGTACCGCTATTATGCCGGCTGGGCGGACAAAATCCCCGGCAAGACATTCTCCGAGGACAACGGCACGTACAAAATAGTTCGCTACGAGCCCGTGGGGGTGTGCGCGGGGATTGCGTCCTGGAACGCCACCTTCCTCTACGTCGGCTGGAAGATCGCACCAGCCCTGGCCGCAGGTTGCACGTTCATCTTCAAGGCATCCGAGAAGTCACCGTTGGGGGTTCTTGGCCTCGCCCCTCTCTACAAAGAAGCCGGCTTTCCGGATGGGGTTGTTCAGTTCGTGACTGGAGAGCGAGACACTGGCGCGTTGCTGGCCTCGCACATGAATATCTCGAAGATCAGCTTCACCGGCTCGGTCGGGGGCGGCAAGGCCGTACAACAAGCAGCGCTGAAGTCGAACATGAAGCGCGTCACCTTGGAACTGGGCGGCAAATCGCCGGCGATTGTGTTCAACGACGCGCCGCTCGAAGCTGCGATCGGAGGGGTGGGACAGGGCTTTCTCGCCAATTCTGGGCAGATCTGCGTGGCAGCGTCCCGGGTCCTCGTCCAGGAGGACATCGCACCCAAGTTTGAAATGGCTCTTAAGCAGCAGTTTGAGGCTGTTTCCGCCGGCATGGGACCCAACCCGCTGGAGCCAACGACCATGCACGGTCCACTGGTCGACAAGGCCCAATATGACCGCGTGATGGGCTATATTGATATCGGTAAGGGCGATGCGAAGTTGCTCACGGGCGGGTCCCGGAAGGGAGACAAGGGGTGCCTGATCGAGCCGACCATCTTCGTGAATCCCAAGTCGGGTAGCCGGATCTGGGACGAGGAGATCTTTGGGCCGGTCATGAGCATCAAGACGTTCAAGACTGAAGAGGAAGCGATCGAGATGGCGAATGAGACAACGTACGGGTTGTCCTGTAAGTTTCCTTACTCCACGAAACCCCCTTCCTTTCCTTTATTTTGTCGCTTTTACCGATCATGCTATTCCCGTTTCCCGGGTGGAACACTGATGCATCTTTATCGATAGCGGCAATCTATACCACCTCCCTCACCCGCGGGCTCCGAGTCGCTTCGGCGCTCGAGACCGGCGGAGTCTCCATCAACAGCCCGTTCATCCCAGAGGTCCAGTCTCCATTCGGAGGGGTCAAGCAGTCCGGCACTGGCCGAGAGCTGGGTGAAGAAGGGCTCAAGGCGTACTTGGAGCCGAAGCAGATCAACATCAAGTAAGTTTGCCACTCCTCCGATATGCTCTCCTTTCCCCTTGCCCCTCTGAAGGAATGGGACAACGATACTCGATTCAGGCACTTTCGGGTCCGAATTTCGAATTATCGGTAACACTGTTTGCAAACGTCCTTCCTTCCTTTCTCTCCCTCCCCCTCCGTGTCTCTTTCTCTCTCTCCTTCTCCTGGTACCGTGGTTTAGTCGGCTGACGTTGGTCTTGCGTTTCACGTATGCAGTATGAAAGTATAAGTATAAGTGGACCCCGAGGAAAAGGGTCAGACGACGGATACAACAATAAGCAACCACCGTGCCACATCTATCGGTTAGGGGCAGGGCAGGACAGGACCCACGCACGACTAGATCTGTCAGCTCTACCTTGTAGTGGATATGATAATGGTGATGATGAGTATGTTGTGTCCATCTCGGTTGCCGACATTGCGACTAGTAGTCAGCGGTCACGGAGCAAGTATTTCGACCTCATAAATAATAATAGATCGGTGATCATTGTGATGGTTGAAAGTGGTACTGTACTGGGAAACTCCCCAATACTAATAGATCGGTAATCATTATGATGGTTGAAAGCGGTACTGGTACTGGGACAACCTTGTGCTCGACCTGGCGCCCTCTTGATCTACAAAAATGGCCAAATAAATCCGGATATATGCATATGTACTCCGTACAGGGAGGTATACACGGGAGGTGTATATACAAACAATCTGTCCCTGTATAGCTTCGGGCTTACAGACCTCATCTCAGTTCCACTCCACTCAACCCAACTCACCTCACCTCATGGCATGGAATGGCATCTCACCTCATGTCGTATCTTCTCAATTCCCTCGTGTACAGTCACACGCATGCTCATACTAATTAATCCTCATGCTCACGCGCACTACCCACTCTATATCACGCTGTATCACTCTGACACCTCACTGTGACACTCTCACACTCTCACAACCCCACGCACTCACGCCTCACGCCCCACGGACCGGCAATCCCAGCTTCTCGTACGTGCGATCAATCATCTCCATGACGCGAATGCTCTCGGCCATGTCGACCCAGGGCCCTTTGTACCCTCCGGCCTCGCCCTCGCGGATCCTCCTGACAAACGCCTCGAGCTGCCAACGGTAGGTGGTCCACCACTCGCAACCCCCAGTAGCCAACTCGCGATCCCACAGCGGCCCGCCCTTGAACTGCTTGAGCGTGATTGCCTTGCCGCGCTTGATAGTCCTGCCCGTGGCCGGATCTCGCGTGACGGGCACGACGGCGATCTTGTGCGACAGCCAGGGTCCCATGAAGTTCTCGAAGACGATCTCGGCGCGCTCGCACTGGATCGTCACCGTGGGCGACCCGGCGTCCCACAGCTTGGGAATCAGGCCGAATAGCTTGGGCTGGGAGAGGTCGGCCGTGACCGTGGCCGTGACGTCCGCCGCCGCCGCCGCCGCCGCGCTGCCGGTATCAGAAAAGGCGTCTGGATGAGGGTCTTTGATGCGCAGCGTGGCCCACACGGCTTCGTCGACCAATTTGTCGTTTCGATTCAAACGGGCCTTCGCGTCGACCACCTCGAACTCGAGGTTCGGGTCCGTGACGTCCCGCGCGGCGAAGTACGCCACGGCGCTGAACACATAGGTGAGGTCCATGCAGCAGCCACCCGCCAGGCCGTACTGGAAGCGGATGTCGTCGCTCTTGAGCACGCCGCCGGGGATGACGGCGCGGGCGTCGACGGACAACACCCGCCCGTGCTCGCCGCTCAGCAGGAGCTGCTTGACCACGTGGGCCGACGGGTGGAAGCGCCAGTGGAAGGCCTCCAGCACGACCTTGCCCGCAGCCGTGGCAGCGTCACGGATTTCGCGTGCCTGCTGCGCGTTGGAGGCCAGTGGCTTCTCGATCAGCACGTGCTTGCCGCGCTTCAGCGCCGCCAACGCCCACTCGTGGTGCAGCCCATTGGGTAGAGGGATGTAGACGGCGTCGACATCGGGGGCGTCGTCCAAAAGCGCCGCGTACGACCCGTAGGCCCTGCACGGCGCGCCCTCGGGGATGAAGCGCCGGTTGCGGGCGATCTGGGCCTCGGCGCGCGCCCGGTCCCGCGCTGCCACACCGGTGATCACGGCCCCCGGATGCGTCGACGCCGGGTCCCAGATGGCAGTGTGGTTGATGGCCGCGGCGGACAGGACGCCCAGACGCAGGAAAGGTGGTGACGACGAGGTAGAGGAGGAGGCTGCTGATTGAAGCGCCGCGACCTTCTCGCTGAGAATGTCCGCCTTTACCGCATTGACCTTGTTCCACCAGTTGTGGAAGGACAGGATGTACTAGAAAACCATTTCACAGCACCGTCAATCTCCAGTCTTCAATCTCTCGTCATGCTGGGATATGGGTTGGCTTGGTTTGCCCTTTTTCTCTTCCCCCCGCCGCCCCTCGCATGACTTACTTCCCCAGAAGACGGACTTTTGGGACAGAAAGGTGCTCGATATAGTGTGGGGTGAAATGGGGCCATACTGACACATACAGAGAGGGAGAGAGAGGGAGAGATTGGACGGGATGATATGGCATGGCATTGATTTAAATTCATTGACAAACGTATAGTATAGTATAATATAGTATAGTATACTAAAACACACATACCTCGACGACCCAAGACATGGCGAAAGGACTTTCACTTTCCCAATAATGGGTCCTTAATCGGTGAAAAAGGACTCGTGTTGCAATGAGCGGTGGCGAAGCTCGATTTATTACATGCTGTTGCAAGCAGGGAGGATAATATGTGGTGACAGATCAATCAATCAATCAATCAGGAACCGAACAACAGCGACGACAACAATCAAAGCATCGTTCGTCTCGTATGATATATTTATTTGGGGGGTTTTTCCTGGTCGTGTATCGTGTACCGAGTATTATGTCGCTGCCTGGCACGCAATGCGGTTGCTAGTAATAACGCAATCTAAAGGTATTGATCTTTTGTACCGAGTAATATGTAATTACAACCGGTCCGCGTCCGGGCCAAACAAAATACGGAGCAGCACTTGAAGTAACAGGCTTCGCTTAGCATGTGGCTGGCGGACAAGCAACCTCGGGCAACGTCGCCCCTAGCCGCAGCTGCTTCAACCGGCCGGCCGTTGCATCCCTTTAGGTACACCAGAGCCTAGTGGCCTGTACCGAGTATGGGTCCTTCACCCGCCGATGGTGTGTCTTGTTTCGTTTGCTGGGACTACAGATGCCCTCTCCCCGCCACGTCTTGCTCCCACATACATACTGCGTAGAAGTGGGAAGCACGACGAGAGCAGGTACATCCCTGGCAGCTCGTATGGACGTAATGATATGCGGGACCCTAGCCTGTTGAGGGAAGCGGACAAGCCCCCCGTGGATGAGGCGGGAAGACTGTTACTCCGATCGTGGCGCCGCAGCAAGAAGTTTTGTGAGTATCTATGGTACATGAAGAGGAGGAGAGAGGAGAGCTAGTGCTCCTGCTGGCTATGCCCGGTCCAAGGACTGCGCCAAACACATCTCATAGTAGCGGCCCTTCAACTGCTGCAACTCTGTGTGTGTGCCCATCTCCGCGATCTTCCCGTGTGCAATCACAAATATCACGTCAGCCTCGCGGATGGTCGACAGTCGGTGCGCCACGGCAATAGTCGTCCGGGCCATGGCGGCCTCGTCCAGGGCGGCTTGCACCAGCCGCTCGGACAAGGTGTCCAAAGCACTGGTGGCCTCGTCGAGTAAGAGGAGTTTGGGATTCCGGATTAGGGCCCTCGCGATGGCGATGCGCTGTCTCTGTCCGCCCGACAGCTGCGTCCCCCGAGAGCCGCACGGCGTGTCAAACCCCTCAGGCAGAGAAATCACAAAATCCAGGGCGTTTGCTTTCCGACATGCTTCCCGGATCTGTTCCTCCGAGGGCTCGAAGTCGAGGCCGAGCGAAACGTTCTCTTTCACAGAGCCCTGGTACAAGGTGGGTTCTTGTTGCACCAGAGACATGTGGCCGCGGTACAGCCGCGGTGACATGGCCGCAATGTCCTTGTGAGAGAAACAGATTCGACCCGAGGTGGGATCGTAGAACCTCTCGAGGAGAGCGACCAGCGTGGACTTACCGCAGCCGGATGCCCCCACGAAGGCGGCAAATTGCCCCGGTTTGATGCTCATGGAGATGCCGCGAATGACCCGTGACGTCTCTCTTTGTCGGTAGCGGAACTCGACATCCTCCAAATCAACTGGTCCATCTCCTTCAGGTCCACTATCTTTGTTGGTGTCCGTTTCCCGGATCGTCGGCTGCAACGTCCTCAGCCAGAGGATGTAGTTTGCGGCGCTTCGTGCTTTGGTGATGGACGTAGTATACCCAAAGAAGTCACCTGCCGCTTGGCCCGCGAACAGTACACCCACAAAGATAGTATAGAACTGTCCGGTGTTGTACTCGCCTGACGCCAACAGACGACTCCCATACCAAAAACCGAGTGCCATGGCCAGGAACACGATCGACTGCGACAGAGAAAACCAGAACATTGTCCATGTCAATGCCCGTGTCGACTTCAGCACGATATTGCTGAGCATTTGCGAGTATTCATTCAAGACATGGCCTTCGAGTGTTAGGGAAGCCACCGTTCTGATCGACGAGACAGCCTCGTTGGCCAGCCCGGCACTCTCTGCAAATTGGTCCGAAACCTGCGCCTCAAGCTTCGTTTCCAGCCGTATTCGAAGATAGCCAGACAGCAGCAGTGGTGGGAGCGCCCCAAACACAACGACCAGACCCAGTTTCCAACCATAAGCCAAAGCTAAAATGCTGCTCGACACAACGTTGACCAATACGATGAAGATGAGGAGGATGTTGAACGCTACCAGCTCTTGTAGTTGGTTCGGAAGGGTGGAGAGCTTCGAGGTCAAGGCACCCGACGTGTTGTCGGGGATGTCAAAGAACTCAATGTCCTGGTCGAGCACACGTTCGAACATTTCTGCGCGATAACGGTGCGTGACGGTCTGTCCAATGATGTTACATATCCACCCGATGGTGAAATATGCCGCCAGGTTGGCGAGCGCGAGCACAAAAAACATCAACGAATAGAAATCTGCTCGGTCTTGGGCTTGCTTGCCGGTCAACTGAAAGACAGTCAGGAGCCTGGAGAAAAGAACAGCCTGGGCTGGGTACATGCCACCGCCAATGAGGCTGGCCACGGTCGACACCACGAAGCACCAGTACAACGACTTCTGCTCATAAAACATGATGAAAATGCACCGCAAGAGCGAATATTCGAGAGTGCCAACGGGCTTGGTCCTTCTCTCTGCGCCGCCTCCCTCGGATGTCGCAGTGGTGACGGTCCGTTGGAGCGTGAGTCGTTCTCCGTTCACATCAAGCGCCTGTTTCTCGCTCAAAAGCTTGCTTGACTCGTGCTGTTCCGCGGCCCCAAGATCTTGAGCTCGCACCAGCCCTGCGTAGTGACCGTCGAGATCGATCAACTGTTGGTGGGTACCTTGTTCGACGATCCGTCCATAGGACATGACGGCGATATTGTCGGCGGCCTTCACAGTGGCCAATTTGTGTGCAATGACCAGCGTCGTGCGGTTCTCTGACACTCGGTTCAGCGCATCCTGCACGAGCCGTTCAGCTTTCGGGTCGAGAGCACTTGTGGCTTCGTCGAGAAGAAGGATCCTTGGGTCTGACACGATGCTGCGAGCAATGGCAATCCGCTGTCGTTGGCCTCCGCTGAGCGTTCCAGCTCGCTCACCCACCTGAGTCTCGTAGCCTTGAGGGAGTTCATTGATAAAGTCATCGGCGTTGCTTGCTTTGCAGGCTTCTCGAACCAGTGCCATCTGTTGTTCGCGGGGGTATTTTCGTTGCTCATCGAGAAACCCTTTGGCGACGTTCTCAAACACCGTTCCGCGGAATAACACTGGCTCTTGTTGCACAAGACGAACCTGGCTTCTCAACCATTTGACGTTGTATTTGTCCAAGTCTAATCCGTCAAGGGTAATATGGCCTGCGGTGGGCAGATACCACCGTTCGAGAAGACCAATCAGCGTGCTCTTCCCACAGCCCGACGCGCCAACTAGAGCCGTAGTCTTGCCGGCAGGAATGCTGATGGTCAATTCACGCAGGACCTGAGCCGCTGGGCGGGATGGGTAAGCAAAGTCTAAGCCCTTGATCTCGATGTCGCCTCGACATGAGGATGGCCGGGCGCCGGCAGGGTCGAGAGGGTCCAGCAGTGATGGCTTGTCGATGATGCTGAACAGTTCTGAAGCAGCTGACGAGGCATTGGTGACAGCCTGAATTTGTGGCGCAATGCTCGAAATCGCCGTTGCAGCAATGGTTACCGACAGCACAACCGTAAAGACCTCGCCCACGTTGGCAATTTCGCCGCTCCGATACATTCTGAATCCCTGCCAGAACGAGAGGGCAATCGCCGAATACACACAGAAGTACTGGGTGGAGAAAAGAACACCATAATTGGGAGACTTCTTATTCCCTTCCTTGTGCGCTTCTTGCAGGAAGGTGTCGTATCTTTGAACCATTTTCTTCTGTGCGTAGAAGGCGTGGACTGTTCGGATGGACGACAATACCTCCTCAGCTAGGACCGCTGCTCGCGAGTAGATCCGGATCACTCTGGCCTCCTGCACCGCGTCGATCGCTATGCAAATACCGGTGACGATGAAAATGGCAGGGATCACGGACATGGTGATCAACGCCAGTTTCCACTGCCTCGCCAAAGCCACGACGAAGGAGGCCAAAAACATGGAAAGCCCTTGAATCACAAAGACCAACTTCTCTGCAATGCCGGTCTGAACGCGATTCCCGTTGGTGGTGACCTGGGTGGCCGTCGCGCCATTGGTCTGACGGTCGAAATGCCAGATCTCCTGCCGTAGAGTCGCTTCAAGAAACGCCTTACGAAAAGAACGGGTCGTCCGTGTTGCAGAGATGCTGATGGCTCCCGTGGCGATATAGGTCGCCCCAAGTTTGCCGATGAAGAGGTAGATGAACCAAAGGACAAAATGGTCGACATCGTCCTTGAACTGCTGTGGTGTCGACGCACCACTGGCGAAATTGTTAAACTTGGTGGTAAAGGTCCCAAAGACCAGGGACATCAAGGGGAATGCCGCGCCAGAGGCAACGGCGAAGGAACATGCTATGGCATTCAGTCCCCAATCGAGGCCGTCGGCGTACCGAAAGATGCGAAAATAGTCTTTGATGCCGCCCTCAGCCTGCTTCTCCGCCTCGGGGGTAGTGGCTGATTCGGAGCCATGGTGGCTTGAAGGCGATTTCTCTGGCTCGCCCGACATCAAAGAGTCGTGAAGGTGGAAGACGGGTTTTCCAATTGGTGACACCCCATGGGCTATTTACAATGTCCCAGGTGTTTGAAGCAATTGTGTAAATGTTCTCATATATCAACTCACAGGGGATCAGGTAGCAATGAATTGGCATTGCCCAGAGTGCTGCCTGGATATGAAGGTGGACACAGAGATGTGAGTTTAGCGAACCACGGCAATAAATGCAAAGCATCAAGCAGCCAAGCACGGCCCTGCATCGTAGGACAATGTTTGGCGAGGATTTTGAAGGACTGTGATAGGACGACAATACGCTGGTGACACGAAAAGATATCGAAGACGTCAATACTCTCACACGACGTCGTCCGCGGACGCCGCGCCAGTGTCCGGTTCGAGGTCCCGGTTCCGGACCCCGGACCCCCGGATTCCGAGCACGACGTCCTGGTACCAACCACATGGACGGCGACGACAGCACGTAGAAAAAGAGCAAAAATCCCAGAAAACAAGCCACTTAATTTTATTCTCCACTCTCATCAATCAGGAGCATGCCCAAGGCGTCCCTTTGACCACCCAATTCAATCAGCCCAAGCTGGCCTCCTCAAGAAAAGCCTTCTCAAAAGAACAAGAAATCCATTCCACATCCCAATAATGTATTGGAATCTGGACAATACAGCTCCCGCTTCACTCAGATCTCAATCAAGTCTTCAAAACGTTGGATGCCGCGTTGCGTCCAACATAGGACCTGGTAGCCATGTCCTTGAACACCACGAGCTTGAACAGACCAGCTTTGATACACCCGATCACACCCAAGTTTGTGTCATGGGAGAGCACTCCTCTGAAAAACTCCCATACACCCACCGCTATGCGAAAACAAAATTTATCACAAATCCTGACATCGCTATCACAAAGACCTCAGGTAACCGACAGTGATTAAATTCGGCAATCGAACTGAACGCACAAAATCCCAGCAGAATGTGTGGCCGTAAAAAGTCGTAAAGTTGTTTTTCTTGTTTCTTTTTGGTAGTTTAGGTCTTTGTAAATGTAGAGAGATGGGGAACCCCGTCGACGGTAATCTTGGTCGATGGTAAGACATTCCACCATCGTCGAGTTCCCGCGCCATACGAATGACAACCAAATCAAATCGCACCGGTTTTGAGTTTCTTAAGATCCCCCTCTTTATCCGCCAGATCAGCACTTCCCTTCCTCTTTTCTCCGTTCGCCTGTTCGCTCGCAGCTTCTCGGGCTGCATCTCTACTTCCAAACCCTAGCCCTCTGGCATCTGCTGGTGTCGGAAACACGAGAGGGCTTGGTAAAACAGCAGACATTCGGTCCCACTCCGAAAAGAAATTGCTCGGACTCGGCAGAAGATCGTTATTCATATACCGACTTGGCAGGGCGGATATTGGCGTCTCGATATTGTTTCGATTGTCGTTGTATGCATCACGATTTGCATTCGAAGTAGGCGGCGGAGGTCGAGCAAATGGATTGGGTGGTCCAGATGCTCCGGCCGACATGACCGCCGAAGCGCTCGGCGAAGGTGGCGGCAAGACAATATGGTCAGAGCCTCTAGCTGGGTTTGCTGAGGGATTAGCTGACTGTGAGGGTGACCCTCCAGTGGCTGAATCATTGTCCTCTGTTTCGGGTATCTGGAGGTTCAGTTTCGGGCGAGCACCGGATTTCGATCCTGACGTATTAGTTCGACTGGGCGGAGCAAATTCCGGAACGCTGGTTTGTGGCCGAGCTCCTTGTGAACTGGGTCGAGAGATGGTTGGGGCTGTTATATTTCGGGGCGGAAGTTTAGCCTCTGGCGAGTCGTCTTCCTTTTTCACTTGGATTTTGGGATCCGGAGCACCGAAGAAATGCTGCATCAGAACCGAGCCTCCTTCATCGATCGGAGTGAATATACTTCTCGATTTCGACGACAGATGTTTAGGTTGCGGCGGTGAGGCTTGCTCCGGTGGTCGAAGATTTAACTGTTCTGGTTGAGGGGAGACGCGCGCTTCTGCTTGAGGTGGAGGCTGTAGACTCGGTTGAGAAACCGGAGGGGGCTGCGAATGGCGTCTCTGTTCCTGTAGGTATTGCTGGTGCGCTTGCTGCATCTGCTGGTGGGACTGTGGAAGCGGTGGCGGAGGTTGTGGTTGCTGCTGCTGCTGCTGAGAGGGAAACGGCTGAAATTGAGGCTGAGGGGAGGGCTGAGGAGGGACAGGCGGTGTCGCTTGAGGGTTGTAAATAGGTGGATTCGGAACATAGGCAAATCCATTCTGTGGTGGGGGAGGAGTCGGATGAGGATGCTGCATGGGAACCAAGTTGGAACTCGTGCGCCGGATCATGTTCTGTGAGGGCGGCCTCGATATCATATGAGGAGGCTGCGGCGTGCCGTGACGAGGCTGGAACATGCCATTGGGCATTGGAGGCGAGACGGAAGCCATGGGCTGTTGGATGTGCGCGAAAGAGTTGTGGTGTTGTAATTGGGGAGGAAGGTGTTGGGGCGGCAGCGAGTCTTCGCGGCCGTGGGCCGGCTGATCTTCATCCTCGTCCTCATCGTCGTCATCCTCTCCGCCCTTGTTCTTGAAATCGCTCGGGCCTTTGTGTTCGTGAGGTGCACCGTACTGGAGGCGGCATGTCAGCACAAAAATTCATCCTCCACGGAGGTCTGATCCAGGGACTCGACCCACATATTGATATCTCCGCAGTGTTTCATTGATGTCGCCGGACGAAAACTCGTATAGCTTCTTGTTGTGACCAAAGATAATGACTGCGACATCGACCGAACATAGGACAGAGAGTTCGTAGGCCTTCTTGAAGAGACCGCCTTTGCGCTTGAGGAATGTCCTGCCCGGAGAGTCAGCGGACCGAGCAACATCAGCCATCACGATCACCACAACTCACACTGAACGGTTACGGTCATCCTTGATCGCTCTGATCTCAATCTTCCTCCGACCCATGGCTGGTTACGTGTTTCTCGTATCTTGTATATGCCAAAGACCCAAATACACCTCCTGGTGCGACGAGGGTGAGTGTGTCAACTGCCGGCCGCACCACGGTCGCTGTGGAGAAGAGAGATTGGCCTGGAAGGAAGCCCGAAACCTGGAGGAGGGAATTGTGTATTCTAACAAAGAATCACTTAAAGTGTCTTTGTTCCGACCCAAGACAGCAACGGGTGCGGTTGAGTGGATGCGGACTGGGACTTGGAGGCACCTGTCTTGTCCCGGTCGCGACAATGACGGTAGAGCAGAGAACAAAGGGCGCAATGGCGGCTTGGGACAAGTAACAGCAAAAGTAGTTGTAACTCGAGAACTTGTGCTGTGGCTTGCTAATTGAGGCTCACGCCGATTTCATCGTGGATTGGCTCGATGGCGTCTGTTAAGCGTGTAATTGAAGCGTGAACGTGCAAGGTGGATATGGGGTGCTAAAGATAGAATAGAAGACAGAAGGGTCGAAAAAAACCAGGCGAGGGAGAAGTAGGGAAAGGAAGTGCAGGCTGCAGATGCAAGGTGCAGGGTGCAGCTGCAGCCGAAAACCCGTTGCAGGCTGCCGACGCACCCCCCTCGAGTTTGGAGGGGGCACTGGGAGAGGGGAAACCCACGGGCGGCTCTCGGCGGCAGTTTTCCTAACTGAAGGTCCCTGTAGCGAAGTCCCCAACCTGCCTAGCTAGGCAAAAACCTAGGGTATTAACTAGGTACAGAAATCCAGGAATGGGCAAGCCTCCTCTGTAGTGGCTTACCTGGAAATCCCCGAAACTCAAGCGGCGACGAGCCTCGCCGCCTGGTTATTGCCTCAGCTCTCCGCTTGATTCCTGGTACGAGTATGGAGGCTGAGGGCTCTTGAGGCTGCCGGAGCCCGGTCTCCAGGTAAACATTGCCCCCCCACCGGTGAGAAATGTAGCCTCACTAGCCAGAACTATGCCCTGCAGCAGCTCTGAGGGACTTGTCTGCATTAGAGCCCATAAACCTACCTAAGGTAGATCGGCAACAGAGAAACCAAATTCTTGATTTCACGAACAATCTCTGTTCCCTTGCTTCAACTGCAGTATGCCATCCAGTCTCTACGAACCTTCTACCCCCAATTTCCATTGCTCCATCTCGCAGTGTCTATACCGCCCCTCGGTGACACTCCATCTCGACTGCGCCCGGGTCCCCAAATGACTTCCACGTCTCGTGATTGGGAGTGAGGGTGATGAGTGGAAATCAGAAATAAGCGCCGGCACAATTGCTGGGGGCGATCGCCTTGTGCAGCAGATGTGGTAAGCCCAGCCATCACCCCATCGGCCCTAGTGTTTCAAGTCTTTCGGGCTCCTTTTCCCATGCGGCTCTTACTCGCCATGCAGCGAGGTTGACAGCGATTGGCTCGCTAGATGTGCTAACGCTACTATTTTTAGAAGACCACGCGAGCACTACTTTATCGACGAGTTAGGCAGTACGGCGGCCATCTTCTGCATCCTGCAGACGCACTGCTGATTCGACCGACAGTGAATCCTTGCTCGGTCCGGACTACCGTTTCCCACGTACCAATACGAGTGCTTCGTATGCGTTCCCCCACGTTGAGCATTTGGAAATCATTACGCGGTACATGAACTCGATCAAATGCGCCTTGCATATGGGATCGGGGGAACCACTTGAGCAGAATCTATCGTGTACATATGCACCTCGAATGCCATCCAGATAAACAGACAAGAGATAGTGGCAAGCCTCGCCATCTTACGACGAGGCTGAGATTAATGCTAGTTCAGGTTCAGTCGAATGAATAGTTCGGAGCCTCCAGTGTATAGAAAGCGGATCTCACTATACTCTTTTTGCCCCTGGACCACGAATAATGCATCAACACGGAGCCATGTGGCCTGCCTCATATACTCGTGCATATTAGCCTCTTTTCTCAACGGGACAAGCTGATAGCCTTGCTTACATGTCTGTCAAGACTTATATCTTTGGCCCCGGGGCCCCAACATGTCGGCTCCTCAAGCTGCCGACAAGGAAAGCTTCGCCTCGAATCCTTCAGTCAGAAATAGTCAATTCGACGCCTTTATTCTTGAACGCGCCAGCAACTGCCATGAGAGGAAAAGACAATATAGTGTAGGATTCCATAGCTGTTTGAACCTGGTCGGTCATTGTGCATACCGCCCTCCGATACATGTAAATGGGAATGGCGAGTCAAAATAGTATCTGCTTCCATCTCATCTTCTCCATGAATCAACGGTGCCATGTCGTCCATTGCTTCCACCTTGACATCCATCTCCAGTGCCCGCACTCGCAACATCCTCCCTTCAAACCCCCCGAAGAGCTCAACGAAGAGCAATCAAGAAAATCTTTCGCCACGTATCTATGCCCTCAAACACAAGCCAGTATCAGAAGACCTATTAGTTTTCCCACCTCGTATACCCACAACCAACGCAGTTGCCAGGGCAGAACAAAAGAAAACATGTGAATGGTGTATTATTAATGTGCTGTCCTGCAGCTCAGACGGATCATGCTGCCGAACGCTCAAACAAATGAGAAAGGGAAGGACAGAAACGTAGTCATCGGCGTATAGGAACGCGGAGGTGGTATCTTGGACACACATAAGCTGCAAACCCCAAAATCCGACACACACAACGCCTTGCTATTTTCTGTGCAAAACTCGATCGCGAATGGGAATAAAGGGGACTCTCATCGAAGGTGACTGCACTCATGTGCCGCCAGAAATGTATATGCTGTATGCTTGTTGCTGGTAATCTCACTTTGTGGCTGGATTTATCGTCGGTTGCCGTCCATGTTTCCGGTCAATTCAGCTACGCGTGCCTTGATTCGTGCAACCCGTGATTCAATTGCTACCACATAGTTAGTACTATCTCTTAACGACTGTGTTCCAGAACTTACTCTCTTCCCCACTGGTTTCTCCGTCGTCGGTTCGTGTTTCAGTACGACTCCGTGAAGTCTGCTCCTCTGATTGTCTCGCCGCCCGTTCGGCTGCATTTCGTCGGATCTGGGCCCATCGGTCACCAGGACTGACCTGTTGCGTGAGGGGAGGTCCATCCTCCTCCTCCACCGAGCTCTCCGTCTGCTGGAACGAGCGTCCGGAATGGATGCTGACAGGTATATGGGAAGGCTCTTCAATAGGTGTCAAAAACTCTTCTCTCGGTGGCGTGTCCACAGGCACGAAGGCTGGCTGATCCACCAGCGGCCCTTGATCAAAGGTCGAGAACTCACGATCAGCATGTTCACGCTCGTTTGTGTCTACCCGAGAGAGCTGATCATATTCTTCGTCGCGACGTGTCCGGGGTGGTGCAACAACGTCGCCGTACGCTTGGTCTTCCGTAGACAGTTCTGGGGTTGCTTCTCTCTGTATGGACGCAGCATTCATTTGCGGCGTCTCCGGTGCTTCATCCATACTCGCTGGTTGGGGTTGCGCAGGCTTAACGGTTGCAAGGCGATGGAAGTGTCCAGGGCTGAGAGGGGGTGAAGTTGACCCTTCAGCGGGAAGCGCAGGCTTGCCCTCTAGAGCACGTCTAGCTGCAGCAACAGCCGGATCTTCGTCCACGTTGACTGGCGACTCGGGCGGTTCTGGAACTCTTGACTCTCGTGACTTGGACCGCTTGGTCCCAAACAGACGTCGAATGCCACTCGTCTTTTGCACGGGAGGAGGGCCCGTCGGGGTCTTCCCTCTCGGCTTTTTCTGCTCAGGAGAACGATGTTGCTGATCGAGAGATTTCCTCAGTTTAGCAGGATGAGGCCTAGCAGACTGGGTCTCCACGACTTCGGGCGTCGCTGGAGGCAGAGGGACTTCTTCTGCCTCTGTCGTCGCTTGGGGTTGGAGTGATTCGATCGGTTCGATGGGGATCGGAGCAGGCTCGATGACGACCGGCGGCGCCATCGGAGGCTCCGCAGACTGAGATCTTTCAATAACAGCCGGACGTGTCACCTTTTCGGCTGGTGATGGCGGGAGGTCCTTGTTCTTGCTGACCACAGACAGTGTCGAAGTTGACCTACTGATTCCAAGGCCGTTTTGAGGTATGTTCAACAGCTCGCGAGAACCTTTCCCAGCAAGTGAGTCACCGAGGTACTTAGCCCGGATCGCCTTCTTGTCATATTGACTTGCCCATTGTAAGGCCGGGGAAGCCTCGTCCTTGATCAACGGACCCAGAGTAAAGATGCTGTTGGTCTTGGACGGTGCAATGGGTTCTTGCATGCGTCCGCGACGGGTCGCCAAAGCGGCTTGCTCCTCCTTTTGTTCGGCCTCCTTTCGCCTAGATAGCTCGGCCGCGGCTTTTTGGATCTTAGCATGTTGATCTGGCGCCAGCGTTGCTCGATTGCCAGTAGAGAACTGTGCGTTGGGAGATAGCGGGCTCTTCTTAGAACCCGATCCTCTTCGGGTTATCCGGCCACGTTTGGTCGTGAATCCGAGGAAGGTTTTCTTCTTTTCTGCGATGTATGCTCCGGCTGCAGGCTCCGGCGCGGCACCCTTGACCTGCTCTTCCATCACCATCCATTTGTCATCTGGGAAAACGGTTTCGATTAGGGCGCATCGACCAAACACGGCCTTTCTCGAGGTTGGCTCCTCTGAAGCTAGACTGCTGATCCAGACCCACCAGAAGGAATCATCCACATTGACCTTCGTGATACTGGCCAGCTCGCCTGGATCGAGATTCAGCTGTGTGTCAAGGTTCCTCCGGTGTGACTGAGAACTCTGCCCTCTAGGCGCAGTCATATTGATAGGGGGAAGAATCTTGTCGGGTGGAAGCAAGATAGGTGCTGGGGCTTTGTTGCCGTGCTCATCGGCAAACCCGGAGGACAGGAAATCAGCCCACGAGGGGGTTGTTGGTCGAGCCAGATCCTGATACCCACCTCCCCGAGCTGAGGCATGCATGGGCCGCGTCGAGACCACTCTGCGACCAAGCAGCCCTTCATCATCTTCTTCTTCATCCTCCAGGGAGCTGCCAAATCCGACGTCTTCAAATCGTGACCACGATGGATCTGTTAGGCTGGTAGACGTTTTTGCATTTGAGACCTGGGATTGGTTCGCAGAAGAAATCGCTTTGAGGACGCGACGACACTCGTCAGTAAGGGCCTGTACAGGGTCGTCATAACTGGCAAACTGTTGTAGCCCTCGATCGTCGTCCCGGTATTCAAAGTTCTTGGCCCGTCGCAATAAAGCATATGGGGTGGGAGACACAACGTCGACAATCATGACGACCTTTGTGGTGTCATTCGACAACAGAGCATGCTTTGGAGGATAAGAAGTCGAGTCAAGAAGTTGTTGAAGTGACCGCGGAAGGCTCAGGATTCCGCTCGCCTTGCCCGCGCCAGGGGACAAAGAACGTAGATAAGCGAAGAAGAGATGTGCGGTTGCGTCGGCAGCACTGTCAAAGTTAGCAACGAGGCGCATCCGTGATCGAATAATTCATACGTTGACCATGACTGATATCCAGATTCAAACCCTTTCCCGGTATCGTAATGTTCAAATGCCCACCACCCGGCATATCTTGAAACTTTGTGGCCACCCAATCCATTAGCCTTGCCATGTGCTGCAAGCGAGGCAAGGAGGTCGAAAAAGTCTTGAATGATCTGAAAACGAGCAGGCGACTCAACGCCGATTGGAACAAATGTACTGAACGCGTCGCGTGTAAAGCTGGAGTCTGGATTTGTCAGTTTTTGGTGACACGGCGGGTTGGAAATGTCTGACCTTTTTCTCCAACTCTGAACGCCTCATAGACCTCCCATGTTACAACACCCCCTGGCAAGCGGGCCCAGCACCACTTCATAACGCTTATCAGGACCTATACAGTCGTCAGCTGCTTATATTGCTTTATGTTGTCCTTGCGCCTTACCATAACCTCCGTCATACGCAGCTCCGTCTCCAAGAAGGATCCCCGTAATGGTTCTCGGTCGTGGGGCGGCAGGAAGAAGTTGCGAACAAAAGTTCTCGCAGCAGAAGGGTCTGACGAAGGACGAAATGGTAGTAGTAAGAAGGGAATGTCGAGGGCTAGAGTAGAATCAGCATTGGCAAGTTACCGTTCCCGTGGGGAAAACTAACCTCTCGACTTCAACTCAGCCGTGCACAGATGCAGCAGTTCAGACACCTCGTCTGGGTCGACCCGCGTGCGAGCCCATGCGTCGGACCATTGGGGCTTCTTGTGCGAGTCCCCGTTTGCGAGAGGCACAGCGGCCTTTTTGACCTGGCCATCCCTGCTTTTAAAGACCTTTGAGAAAAATGGCATGGTACCAAAAATGTCAAAGATGGTCGAGAGTAGGTTCGAGGTTCCTTTTCATCGGTTCAACAACCGACGACCGATCGCCCAGGCGGCGGATTGTGTTTGTACAAGTGACAAATGCGCAGAATGCAAGTGAGGAGGAAGGAAAGACTGTAGGACGGAAGGTGGACAAAAAGGTGACGACAAGTTGACGAGGTAAGTGGTAACGCTTCGCAGTCAGGCAAGTTGCATATGCAGGACTGAAGATGCGTAATTTTCAGGGGTTTACCGGCATTGGACGAATCGGTGAGCCGAACACTCGAGGCACTTGGGCGGTTCAATAATTTGGAATCCAACAGGGCAAGCGAATGTGAAGAAGCGGAAAAAAGGGGAGGCGATGAGTTGTCGTGGTTGCTGCGCTGTCCAGCGACCAGGCGGGCTGAAAAGGTGGTGTTTGGGTGGAAAACAACGAATTGAAAAGATTGGGTACGGGTTGCAAAAGGATAAACGAAGAATGGCCAGAGCCCGGAATAGGCTGCAGTGTCCCGTGGTTTCCTGGGATGACTGACAACCTCTTTCTCTCTCTGCGGGCGAAAACGAGAAGCGAAGCAAAAAAGTGAAGAGATGTGATAACGTCGAGGATAGGAGGAACGGCTCGAAGCCTCACTGCTGGGGGGAGGGAGCGCGACGTGTCGAGCCGTGACTTGAAAAAGTGGTTTGGGAAGCCAGAATCCGGTTTAGTTGGGTTTGGCTTCGCTGGTGGCGCCCAAAATTCAGGGACCACCCACCGCCCATCGGAGCCAATTGCTCCCTAGATTGCCCAAACGGCTGCCGGGAGTTTTAGGCTGTGGGGGTGCTCAGGCTTACCTCAAACTTGGGCTTGGAGACACTCTGGTCATACACCAATGAGACACCTTCCGCGCTGCGACTGATCAACGCCGCATGTCCTAGACCTGCCTTCTAGTCCAACGCCCAACCCACTTCTTCGGGTTAGGATCGTAAGCTATTCCTCGATTCCGCCAGTCCCCAGTTGCTTGAATGATTGGGGGAAGCAGCTCCCTCGTGAGTCTCGAGTCAAGCGGGCAAGAAGTGACACCAACTGCGCCGGCTGCACCTCCTCCAACCACCTATGAGATCCGTGCCACGCGAGACATGCAGGGCTGGATCAGGCCACGCAAGCAATCAAGCCAACACTGTGGAAGAAGAACACTCTGTATCTCGGGCGTACCTAGACAACACATTGGACCTGGTCTCCCCTCGCGTCGACGCAGCTCACTGCTTGTCTGCAAGCAATGCAAGCCACAATAAGTGCCGTCACATTTGACTTCGTGCAGGGGCCCGTTATTAGGGTAACAGGCTCGTGCCAGGCAGAGGATGGCGACAGCACGGTCACCAAGGTGGGGGTTTTCGATGAACGATTAAGATTGACTGGGAGTGCTCTGTCGCAGATTGGCTTGAGATCCAACACGTTCTCAACCAGTCTCGATCATCCCAAGGGAAATCTCGCGCTGGCAGGCGGAGCCACGCTGCAGCTTTTATACCGCTCTACATGCTCATGGGTTCATGCAATCCCCCTGGATTCGTGTCCCTTGCTTCAATTAGAGTATATGAGATGCCTGGAATGTCGCCCGGTTTCGCAAGCCACTGGATAACCGCATGCTTCGGGTCACCAATTTCTCCTTTTAAGACCCGCAAGCCACAGTGCCACAAAGCTTCTGACATTCCGTTCCAAAGGCGCGCTCAACTCACAGCCTCGCACCCGAAGTGCCATATCGCAAATGAATAGATAACTGACACAGTGAACCGGTGTGACCGACAAAGAATTCCGGAGCGCATTGGACTCATCTACACACCAATATCTGCTCCGACATTGTCAGGTCATGACGTAACTGGTATTAAAATATATTGGATCATTGAAGAAGTGCAAAGCAACATCCTGACCGTTATGGTCCTTGATTCAGGAGTCAGAGACATCATCACTCCGATCTGACTCCTTCCTGGCTGCCGAAATAAATTAACAGATAATCCATCCCAAGATGGTCAAAAGCGACGACGACGTATTCCAATGAGTAGCTGATACCAAATATCGTGCTTGAACCTCAAGTTCACCATAAATGGAGACTTCAACAATACGGTCATATGACTGTTGATGAGTTGGAGAAGTGGCTCAAGGATCTACCTCGCGCGAGGCAGGCTTGTCAAAGGGCAATGACTCCGGAAATACTATTGGTGATGAAAGGTGAGTCAAGCCTCTTTGTTCCCAGATCAGGTGCGATGCTGCCCTCTTTCCGGCAGTCAGCCCATGCAGCACATGTCTGTGTGCCAGAGCTAACCGGGGCGTCAGCGGAAGAAAGGTCGTCGAGATCTTGAGGAAAAATCCAGACAAGGACCCGTCCAAGTATGATGAGGAAGGTCGCGGCGTACAATTGACGCCACCTAGCGCGGGAGAAAGGACAGGCCAAGCAGGACCCTGACAGTAAGGCTTCCTGCAGTCTGAAGGGACTGGGTCACGACGCCAAGAAGTCGTGAGGTGCGAAGATTTCGCAGATGAAAAGATGCTTCTTCATCGCGGCTGGCTCCGGAAACAGCAGAGAATTCATTTGACACATGGAGGGTTCATCTCATGTCTCTGGTGGAAAGATGAAATCTTTTACCATTGGAGAACCCGCGTATTCCGGATTCAGCATGACACAGTTGAGGAAATAAGCCAGTCCTTCGCGCCGTTTCTCGAGGAACTTGGGCCGGAACTTGTAAATGGCACTCTTGGGGGGAAGAGGCGGGAGTGACGACCTGGTTGACTGGGGGTACGCTTTGACCAGCTTGGCTCGAAGCTCATCGAACTCGGAATATCGCTTTCGGATGGTCATAGGACCTCCATCAAGGGTCTGCACATTAATATTGTATACCACGTAGGCGCCTACTCCTGTAGGATTGCCTTGGACAATGACATATTCGTCAATGGAGATGGATTTGGCCCAGAGCGCCGCCCTGCTTGGTTCTCGGGACAAGCTATGATCCTCGAGAGCGATGGGGGGTGGTCGCGTGGTGGTCAGCTCATCAAAAGACGGCTCTCTGCTAGGTTGCCAGTACGGCGGTGGGGTGGGCGCGATTTGAAGCCGATCGGTAGACCGTTCAGCGACGTCAACCACGGGCGCGGCTTCGGAGTCTCGATTCGGTTGATCTGAACCCAGTGCAGCGATTGGAACAGAACGAGTATTCTCCATGCATGTGCACCCGGGGCAGACCGACCTATCTATGTAGAGGGACACCAGGAGGGGAACTTTAGCGTGGCCAGACGCAGGCAACGGAGCATTCAAGTGAAGGTGGGATGTTCGAGTAGCTGCGAGTGCAACCCAGACAGAGATAGCCCCGCCTCCAAAAAGGATTGTGAGATGCAGGTAGGGTGTCGAGCTCAGCAGATGTTTCAGAAGAGAAAAAAAGAATTTAAGAAAAAGGTTGTAAAAGCCCGAAAAACCCGCAGCTAGAACGATGGCACCAACGCAGGTGACTGCTTTGAGAAAGGTGCCCTATGTAGCGCGATTCTGCGATGTTGACCACTAGCCATGTTTGGGCGGAGAGGGACAAGGTCGGAAAGTGGAAAGAGTTGCATGTACCTCGTAGAGCCAGCGCTCAGAGGATCTTGCTGTCGATCTCTTTCATCCCCCAGGAACAATTAAAAGATATAACAAGCACGGGCACCATGGTAACTGAATAACGGGACCAGCAGCAGATGGAGAGAATTTTAACTGAATAGCCACCACTGGGGTCTTGAACCCTGAGTACGAGGTACAGTATCGAGTACGGGTAAGAGCACCAAGGGCAACCAGGGTGTGGAGATGATGTGCATTCTCGCATCTGACCCGTCAGCTGCTCCGTCCCAGGCTCCATGGTGCCCCTACTGGGAGGGTTCTTGGGGACCATTGGCGCTGGAACTGCGCGCCGTGGAGCCCCCGGAATTTGGGATCCATCTACTATTGGGCGTGATGCACCTTTGACCTCGACAAATGTTTGACACCACCACGGACTTCTGTCGACGCCTGAGACAAGTCAACCTCCTTCTGCACCCATCTGTGCCACATTCATGCATGCGTGGGAAACTTTTTTGTTGCTGGGGCACATGCAAAGGGAGAAGGTCGATGAGATGGGCTAGAGTCTCTTAGCCCTGGAGAAGTCGGAGACTTGCTCAGTGGCGGGAAGAGATCCTGCCCCCCCAACCCGAGGAGGTGGCTTCAAACACCAACCCAAAACTGGTGATGGTGATGGTTGGATAGCGGCATACCACTCTCGCCATGACCCTTGCCTCCTCCGCCCTTTTTATGCCCTTGTCTTCTGCTGTTGCTACTTGACCTCTTCACTTCTTCGCTCAAGCAACAAACCTCTTTCCTCTCGTTCTTCGAAGAAACCAGCAATATCTGTCGAGACATTCGTTATTTTATCCACAGTCTTTTTCCACATTCATTCTACATCCGCTGAGTACGAGCAATCTCGCATCGAAACCGTGATCTCTTGCAGCAGCCAAACAGCCAGCCTTTCCTAATCATCATGCAGCACCTTCTCATCACCGCTGCGCTGGCAGTCCTGGCTCGTGTGGCCATTACACAGACCATTGACCCCAATTCAGTGCCTTTGTCAACGAGACGTGAGTCGTTTATCCCCTTGGCCAACCTAGATGTTGCTAATGGCATGTGAACAGAGTCGTGGTGCGATTCGCAGATCGCCCAATGTCCTCTCATTTGCCTGCAGACGGCTGGCAACTCTGCGGCCACCTACGCCAACACCTGTGACCCGGTGGGACTGACCTATTCTTGCATCTGCTCTAATGGGCTTTCTCCCAACGCCTCCGAATACTCTCAAACCCTCCCCTACTATATCTGTACGGAGTACAACACCCAATGTCAGGCTGCTTGCGGCAACGACAATACCTGTGCAGCTGCTTGCGTGCAAGATCACCCTTGTGGTGCGCTCAACCCAACAAGAGTAAATACAAGCACAATCACCACCATGCCCGCTACCTCAACGGTCGTGGGGTCTGCCGCTTCTACTGCCTCTGACGGCGTCGTCTATACCGGCTTCGGAGGCGGCTCGGCTGCTACAACAACGGCTGCTTCAGGCGGCAACAGTGGATCTGGAAGCTCTGCTGCGTCAAGACTGGTGATCGACATTGGACAGATCTATGGCCTTGGCGTTGTCGCAGCTGGCATTTTTGTTGGCTTCGGCTTCATGCTCTGAAGCATCTTCAGGGGAAGACACTTTACACTAGTGAAGGTTGGGAAACGACCTGCCTGGATACCCGGACCCAGGCCGGTGGTTCATATGGACGTTTTGGTCGAAAAGTTAGTTGTGAAGCATTTTTGGCAAAGGCGCTGGGCAGGCATGCTCTTGGAGGGCATTGACGGCAATAGTGCCACCTTCTGGGAGAAGCATAGTGTTTAAGGAAAGGGGACCACTACAAGGGCGTACCTCGAGCCGCATAATAATAATCATGATTGAAGACTCGATACGAGGTACCGAGCACACTAAAGTAATCTACAGAGTATCTCGTAAATTTATTGCGCATGTCCTCTGTTGCCCGGTCAACCGCACAAATGGCCGAAGTTTTACCGACTCTTCCAATGTCCTTGTTCGGAACTTCAATCCACAACTGCGGCGCGTCTTCACGCAAAATAAAGTCCTTCGAACAATAGTGTCATCGACCATGAGCACACTCCACGATATCAATACCTCACGATAGTGCTCTCTATGGCTGCCTATATGTCCCCCACCCCAGCGGTATTGTCGTCCTCGCTCAACAATTCTCGTCGACCGCCTCGAACCGCAACGCGACCCTCAGCAACCCGGCCTCACCCAGCACCAACCACAGCGCCCCGGACTAAGCAGCAGTTCGACCAAAGTATTGCGGGAGACAGCTCAGATGATGAAGACCTTGCACCTATCAAACTAAGCGCTGAGGCACAAGCCATATTGGGCGAAGACAATGAACAATTGGTAGCTGAGAAGGAAAATGTGGAACCAGAACCACAGAGTGCGAAGCCGTTCAGCACAGGCTACTCTAGGAGAAGAAGCAGGGGAACACCACTGGAAATACTCAGATCTTCAAGTCCACCTCAACAGAGAGATGGCAGTCCTTCTCCGCGGGTCATTCGAGTCACCTCTGTTTCTCGCCCCGTACAGCCCGGTGTCTTGGGGAGAGATGGATCATTTATGTACAAAATCCATGAGAAGTCGACGACAGCCGCCCAACCTTTACGTCATGATTCAGAAACTCCAGCACCAAGAGTTCGGCGCATCCGCATTAGCGATGCTAGGCGGCTGTCGAGATCCCCTCCATCGCATGAAGAGGAAAAGGAGGAACAAGTCGAGCAGCCTCCCGAAGGCTCGAAAAGGTCCACCAGCCCAAGATCGGGCATGGTGCGCGGCATTCTCGACGAGCAGAATTCTGCCGCGCCGTCAACAATCAGCCGATCTCGGAAACCCGAGGAGAATGGTGCGCAGAGTACCATGCGAGTCCGACGAATTGGAGGCGCCCTGCTAAACAGACCTGTAAGGAGAGCCATGATGCGTCGTCCCAGCGAGGACGAAGATGTTCATATGGAATATCAAGATCAGCCACGCCCCGATACTCCCGAGATGGAAATGGGTCGGCGGGCCAAAGAGCCCGAACTGCAGGATTTGCCAGACGACTTACTTGCGCTGAGAGGTAGCCCCGAACAGATCAAGCCAACGAGACAGTCCTCCGGGAATGTGTCTCCCAAACCAATGGACGGGGTTTTGTCACGAGTTCCTTCGCTGTCGCAACCAGGATCGACTCACCAGGCCAACCCCACACCTGCTGTGCGGGATTCTCAGCCTTCAGCAAAATCATCAAGCTCTCAAAGAAGACCTGTGTTCAAGATCCCTCCTTTGCCAGCCCTTCCTTCGTCAGAAGACCAGGAGAACGAGCCGCCTCCAACTTTTCGAAGGAGCAAACCGTCGGCTGCAATTTTGGACGCCCAAGAAGACGGTGCTCCACTGGACCACAAGCCGGTTGAGCCTGCATCAGAGCACGCTTCTCCGTCTCGACAGCCGTTGGCTCCCCGATCTAATAACACGCCGCACCGACCAGCGCCCGCCCCGCCGCCGAAAATGTCGATCCTCGATGCAGCGACGTCGAATGCGGGCTCCCGCAACAAGAGATCCGTCCACTACGTCTTGAATGGAAAAACATACAGGCGGTTAGATTGCATCGGTCGGGGCGGGTCATCAAGAGTCTTCCGAATCATGGCGGAGAACTACAAGATCTTCGCGCTCAAACGAGTCAATCTCGAGGAGGCTGACATGGCGGCAATTGTCGGCTACAAGGGCGAGATTGATCTATTGAAGAAGCTCGAAAACGTGGACCGTGTCATTAGACTGTACGACTACGAGATCAATGAGGAAAAGGGGGTGCTCAGCGTCATGATGGAGCTAGGCGAGACAGACTTCAACAAAATGCTGAACGAGCAACTCAAGGCCGAGGGTGCCAAACTGGACATAACGTTCACCAGGCATTATTGGAAAGAAATGCTCGAGTGCGTCCAGGCGGTGCATGATCACGACATCGTTCATTCAGACCTCAAGCCCGCTAACTTCCTCCTCGTCAAGGGCCAACTCAAACTCATCGACTTTGGCATTGCCAACGCCATCCAAGAAAATACAGTCAACGTGCATCGGGAAAATCAAATCGGCACGCCCAATTATATGTCTCCGGAATCCCTGGTCTGTCACACGCCAGCAGCAGGCTCGCAGCAAGCTCCGGGCACAAAGATACTCAAACTCGGCAAGCCCAGTGACGTCTGGAGCCTGGGGTGTATACTTTATCAAATGACCTACGGACAACCCCCATTTGCCCATATCCAGAAGCAGTTCGAGCGCATCATGTCCATTCCCAACCCCAAAGTCGAGATTTCCTTCCCAACCACAGGTATTGGTGGGTCCGTGGTTCCCTTTGGACTCATTAAAACCTTGAAACGCTGCCTTACACGAGAACAATCCCTGAGACCCACGATCAAAGAGCTCTTATCCGAAACGGACCCGTTTTTGAACCCCGTCGCCATCTCGCCGGAGATGTTGGGCAGAGTTATCGGGAATGTTGTCGGATACTGTCGACGTAGGGAGGAGGCGTTGAAAGCCAAAGGCGAGATTGTGTGCAAAGAGGGTGAGGAAGTCAGCTGTCTGCCGAGTGATCAGGAAATGGTGGGCTGGCCTGGGGCGTTTTACGAGAAATTGAGGCAGGCCAATTTGGAGGGCACGGCATGGTAGTGAACGACAATGCAGAAGGGGGAAAATGGGGAGGAGGAAGTACAAGAGGCCCTCGTTGGATATTATGCCGCTATGTCCAGGGCACAGGGTTTTCTTTTCTAAATCCTCGGGCGGCCCATCGCATTGATTATACATAACTTTTCTCTTGGACGGACTCTGAAGCCTGCAGCAACCTTTCGACTAACCAGTTGATGATGATGCTCGAACGCTCCATCCTTCCTTCCTTCCTTTCTCTTTCGCACCTGTTCGTTTCGTTTCTCCATGTTGATCCCAGCTGTGTTGTGGCAAGAACAGACCCTACAAGCGTGAAGGACGAGGACGAAAACGAGGATGAGGCCCAAGACGACACCGCTATTGACCGGTGACGGGCTCATTGAGCATTAATTGTTGTGGCCATCACATCATGGACTTCCTGACATGGAGTGGACATACATACAGTACAGGTACTTGCTTAGCATTGATTGACATAGGGGTATTCTCATAAGGAGCAACTGTGTAAACAGAGACACTAATTCAACACATTCGATCTAATGGGTCGACCAGTCAACAAGAACTGTTGTGTCATCACCATCAGACATGACATGACACGTCAACAATAAAACATCACAGGACAGGACGCAAACAATATGCGGCGTGGGATAATGGAGATCGAATCGTCGCCGGTGGGATGTGTATATACATACCCACCCACCACTGCGGCGCCCAAGCCTCGTGGTCACCCGCTTTTCTTCAATACTTTCGTTGTAACAAGAACACAGAGTTGTTTATTTCAACCACGCACACCAGAACTTGGCCTTTTCACACCCGGTGCATAAGCACCTCAAGCGTCCGGTATCTCGATCTGGCTACTTCGCCGGGCCAGCATGACGGAGGCGCCGTGGTCGAAGCTCCACTTTCGCCGGCGCGCGTTGGCCAGGCGGTAGTTCCGCTGGGTGACACCCATGACCTCCAGGATGGCGCTGGCCACGTGGCCGGCGAAGGCCTCGTCGTTGATGTGCAGGTCGTGCTTCTCGACCTCGATCCCGGTCCCCTCCAGGCCCTCCTGGATGGTGTCGAAGAGTGCCTTGTCGGCCTCCTCATCGAAGAACGGCTTATTGGCCGCATCCAACATGCTGACGCCCTTCTCGGGGATCAGCACGCGGATGGCCCCCGGGTTGGTGGCGTGGGTGGACAGTTTGTTGACGATGAACTCGCCGATCTTCTTGTTCTCGTCCACGGTCGTCCTCATCAGCGTCACGGCAGGGTTATGCACTAACAGTTTGCGGTCCTTGTACTTCTCCGGCACGCTGTCCTTGGGCCCAAAGTTCACCATGTCGCAAGCCCCAACAGACACAATCATGGGGAGGCCCTTCTTTGCGGCAATCTCGAGCCGATCGGGCCCGGCGGTCAGGACGCCGCCGAAGAGTTCGTCGGGGATTTCTGTGGTGGTGAGATCGATCACGGCGTCGATCTGTCCCTCCGCAATGAGGCGCTCCATGGCACGCCCGCCCGAGCCGGTCGCGTGGAAGACGTAGATCTCGTAGTCCGAGGCGTCGTGAGGTGCTGAAGTGAGAATGTGACGCACCGCATCGACGCACGGCGTGGTATTGCCAAACATTGTAATGGCGATACGCTTGCCTTTGGCGGCGACGACCGAAGTATCGACGAGGGATTTGGCATACGAGGCCGTCATGGCAGAGATGGCAGCAGCAGCATTGGACAAGATCCGTTTGAGGATCGAGTTCACTCCAGCAATATCAACAACACTATACATCATGGTGATGTCCGTTTCCTCGACGTAGTGCTTGATGTCGCCGCTGGCCATGGTCGACACCATCAGCTTGGGAAATCCGACCGGACAGGCATGGCGCATAAAGGCCGTTGCGAGCGACGAGCCACTACTTCCACCCGCAGAGACCACACCTTGGACGGCTGACTTGGAGACCAGATCCTTGACGACAGGGGTGCACAATTCGATGGCCTTGTCGATATACTCGCCGCGCGAGAGCTCTTTCAAGGTAGAGCTGTGTTCTTCCAGAGGAGAAACCACTTCGCCGGACGGAAGGCTGTCCAACGGCGCCCTCAGCTTAGCTGGGATGCTGTGACTTACATCGAGGATCTTGGTACTGCACGTTCCCTCGGCCAGTATTTGCGCTCTGAGGTAGAGGATCTCATCGAGTTTGGTGTCAGGCGTGCCGACGATGAGCACGGTAGGTTTCACCATGGTGTGAAAGGATAGAGACGCAGCTTAGAGAGGGTGTGTCGTGTTGGGGGAGACGAGAAGCGGCTATCCACCCGTGCCACCAAGGGACATGACAAGCTTCTGCGAGAAGCTGCGAGGTTGTTTTTGACGCAAAGACTCGTCTGCTCGGTGTACATGATAGTTCGATGCTCATCCAATCCATGGTCGTCATGCCTTTGCCCCTCTTCGTGTCTCCTCTTCGTGGGCTTCGGATACCTTCACCATCATTCGCTTAAAATCCCCGCCCCCTCTCCACCATCTCCGCATGATTGGGATCGTTGAGGACCGACGACGATGACGTGTATGTTGAACGACGTTGCACATGTGCCGGGACAAAAGAAGCAACTTTCAGAGAACCGACGAGTCCAAGCGGACTGATTCTACCTAGAACCATCCACACCCTCCGCGATGGCTCCCCCGTCCTCGCGAGCCGAAGTCCTCGCCCATCTCAGGAACCAGATCAAGAATGGCAAGCCGATCGTGGGAGCAGGGGCAGGCATTGGGTTATCAGCCAAGTTCATCGAGGCGGGTGGTGGCGATCTGATCATCATCTACAACTCGGGTCGCTTTCGAATGGCTGGGAGGGGGTCGCTTGCTGGTCTCATGCCGTACGGGGACGCCAATGCTGTCGTCGTCGACATGGCAAGGGAGGTCCTACCGGTAGTCAACAAAACCGGAGTCCTGGCTGGCGTCTGTGCGTCGGATCCATTTCGCATCATACCCTCATTCCTCCAAGAACTGAAGGGCATGGGGTTCTGTGGGGTCCAGAACTTCCCCACGGTCGGTCTCATCGACGGCACCTTCCGAGCCAATCTCGAGGAAACGGGCATGGGATACGACAAGGAGGTGGCCATGATTTCGGAAGCGCACAAACTTGACCTCCTGACCACGCCCTACGCCTTCAATGTCGATGAAGCTGAACAGATGACCAAGGCCGGCGCGGACGTGCTGGTGTGCCACATGGGGTTGACCACGTCGGGCAGTATCGGGGCAAAGACCGGGAAGACGTTGGATGAATGCGTCAAGTTGATCCAGGAGATGAGGGACGCCGCGACCAAGATCAATCCCGAGATCATCATCCTCTGTCACGGCGGGCCCATAGCTGAGCCCAAGGATGCAGATTATGTGCTCAGTCGTGTCAAGGGGATTCATGGGTTCTATGGTGCTAGTAGCATGGAGAGGTTACCTGTGGAAGTCGCCATCACGAACACCACCCAGGAATTCAAGAGTTTAAAGATCAACCAGTGATAGCGGGATGTCCATCCGGCTCAGAATCTGCTGATATCGACCCTATTGCGACAGCGAGTCTCAGTCTGGGCGGACCACCATGCAACATGGCCGGGATCCGACAGGGAGAACATGCCCTCTTTCCTCCTACCTAACATCAGTATGAGTTTGTCCTTCGATCACTGAGGCTGGCCTCTCATGAGGCCTGTACCCGATGCGGCAAGAAGCTTTGAGACCACATTGCGATGAGGAATTTGTTTTTTTACTTGTCGGCGATCCAGCCTATTAGCTATGCACACGACATAGCTACATAATAGCCAATTAGGATCGCCATCGACCTGCTACCCTCTGGATTCTATTCCCCTTGAGAATAAAAAAAAGTTCCTCCCCGACAGGGAATCGAACCCTGGTCTCCCGCGCTCGTTATTATGAAATGACAAGCGGAAACTGAATTGAATGTTAGATGACGATCAACTATCTGCTGAGATGATAGACTTACTCATGACCACTAGACCATCGAGGACGATATTGTCAGCGAGATGCACGAATTCAATTATATAATAATAGTTGCCCCAAGGCCCCTAAGCTAGCGTGGTAGCTGGCCTTCCAGGCTGGTAACTCTGTTATTACTCCCTATCGAGTACATCGAGTAACCCTTACCCACCAAAAGTCGGATGCGGCCACAGCAAGCGAAATTCGGCAGACTATCTTCGATAGCCCTAGAGCAGATAGAGCAGAATAATGACTCCGTACCTCGTACTCGTGTCTGTCCCCATCTTGGACCCCAAATATCGTTCTACCCTACCAGCTTTGGGCTTGGAAACTAAAATAGTTCAAATGCATTTTCTCGCTTCTCCCTTCTACTCTTGACTTGTGTGCTTGACTTCGAAATGAACAAACATCCGCCCCCAAGTGCCAAGCATACGGCCAAGAAACCTTCGCCCTTACAATTCCTCCCCGTCGGCGAGTTCATTTCCCTTCTCGCCCTTGATTTGTTGATTTGGTGCTATGAATTGCGACACCGGCCGCTTCTGCGTCTATAGAAGAGACCGGCAGTGATCGTCGCTTCAAATCTTGATTCTGGCTTCTTGTTGGCCGCCTATCCGGACGGGATACGATGCGCGTGGTCTGCCTTACCTACGGGACCCTGCTGCGCTGAATGTTCTTCGGATTTGTGTATCCATTGCCTAGCCAGATGATCATTCTTCCGCTGGCGAATCACCTTGCATGTGTTATGCTCTGCCGTGGATGCGAGAAAACGTTCCCAAGAACGTGGTCTGAACTTTGACCAGGCCTCAAGAGGTAGGGAACATGGACCGGGGTGCTCCGCTCTGTGCAAAAGGGACGTATCCGTATTCGAGCTTCCTGTGTTGGGAAAGGGGACTGCACCGACACTGACCAGCTATATTTCGCTGAGCATCCACCGCCCGCCCTTGACCTAGAGAGCATTTCTGGTTGCGGTGGTTTTCTCTTTCGAACAAAGCCTGAGTTGCTTCTCGTCGCTCGTTACATTCCAGTCGCTCTTTCAAGTCACTCTTTTCTGGTTTCTGACTTCTGAACCACCAATATGCTTTTCTCCCGAGCCCTCTTCTTCTCTTCGCTCATCCTTCTGGTTACTGCCGAGGGGGATGCTGTCTTTAAAGGTCTCTCCGGACAAGGTCGTTCCAGGACGCCGACGTCCACCAGCAAGCTCATGTCGCGACGAGACCTCAATAAGCGCTGTATAGGAACCTGTGAAGAATGCTTCGGTGCCGGCTACACACTCTGCCCCGGAAGCGACATCTTTTGCTATTTGCCTGGAGATGCGACCTATGGCCTGGATTCCTGCTCTTCCGGCTCCGACGGCTCCGACAGCGGCCTCACGACTGCTACTGCTTCTGCATCGGCACCGACTTCCACCAGCACCAGCGGCATCGACGACCTCTGTTACCAGGCGGGGGCGACTTGCGTGTCATGCTTCGGGTCTGGTTATCTTGGCTGCCCGGATGGATACCATTGCTACAATCCATCGGATCCTTCGTACGATACCTGCCCCGACGACGGCTCAAGTTACGGCGGCAGTGACAACAGCACTACTACAACGGCGAGCTGCAGTGATCTCTATGGCGAAGGGAATATCCCTTGCGGCACAGATTCGTGCTATAATCCCGACGACGGCGAATCCTGCTGTGCCGGAGGATGTAAGTTGCAGCCCCTGTGATAGTCTTGGCCCGTACGGCACCGACTAATGTTTCGACCCTACCAGACTATTGTGAAGCAGGGTATTCATGTTCAAGCACCCTTGGAAAATGTTCCTACGGTAGTGGCGGCTCGTTGGGCGGCTCCTCTTCCGATACCACCACATCCAACTACATCTATGCGACGCCTACCGATGGCTTGGTCTACAGCACTCCGAGCTCTGTTGCGACGGCTACCACCAGTGACTCTACGACTTTACAGACCGGAGTCAATCAGCTCTCTGACGCGAGCGACGCCAGCACACTCATGGCTGCCAAGGGATTGTTGATTGCAGCTGGGTTTGGTGCATTGGTGCTATAGAACGATGAATAACTACTTTGTGTCGGAGAAAGATTTATGGGTACAAGTTCACGGTCGTGACAAGTCTGCGACTGAATGAATAAATTTGGGATATCTCTAAGAGACTGGATCGAGAAATGTAGTTGATTTATGAGAATTTACTCTCCGTCTTGTGAAATGCTAGACTGCACTTGGACAGATTCTTGTCTCTCGCAGCCTCGCACTAGTGGTACTGTCGGATCATTGTTTCCCCGATAAGGCTGCGCGCTATTGTGCCGCCGCAATTGCGCTGCGTTGATTTTCCCACTTCCATCACAAACCTGGTTCCTTCTCGCTTTCCAGCCGTGAACTTCTCTTGTCTTTGCAGCAGCCAGTTTCATCTGCGGTACACAGCATGCCTCACGCCGCCCCCTCGCGCGTCGCCCCCACCGCAACATCCGACCTCGAAGCCGGCGCGGTGCTCAAACTGGGCGAATTCCAAAACGAAGTCACGCTCAACCTCTCCGAAGCGCGCATCATCCTGCAAAAGACCCTCGCCACCCGCGCGGCGCGAGGAGGCGGCTACGAGGAGACTGAAGTCACGGCCAAGACGCGCGACTACTTGGAGATCTTCGCCGTGTTCAAGGACCTGGCGGAGGCGCAACAGGTGGAAGGCATCATCAACTCATACGGCGAGAACTTGGAGCGGTTTGAAAAGTCGCAGCTGGGCAGTCTCGTGCCGACGTGCTCGGACGAAGCGAAGGCGCTGATTCCCAGCTTGGAGAAGAAGGTCGAGGATGGCGTCGTCACCGAGGACGAGCTGGAGGGCATCTGTCGGGAGTTGCAGCGGCTGAAGAGACAGGCTCAGCTTTGATTTCAGCTAAACACGCCATGGATGGATGGACGGATGGAATCGTACGAGCTTCTGGGGTACTACTCGAAAACCTCATTCTTTAGTCGGGAGGGCCCCTCAGATGATTCCTGAATCGCCGCGGTCGCCTCTTACAGCGTTGTACGAATGACGATGACCGCAATACCGCGGTGCAAACGGCAGTGCCGAATCACAAGCACTTCCACGCACGTCCAAGTTTCTTGAAGAGATGCTGACGAGGCATGCAGAAAAGGTTGGCAGGGTTCTTCCGTGGTTACGCACTGGACCATGCAATTTGTGAACTGTTACGTTCGATCAGGGTGGCCCTCGGTCGTGACTTGGAAACAATATGCTGTCTTTGAAACACAGTGTCTCTTTGAGCTATTCCCAGCAACGCAAATATCATAGCCGGACAATCGGTGGAGACTTCCAATGTATCCAAACGCCGGGGCTCGTCAGACTTGGACGATACGTTTGGAGAGGAAACGGACGAGCACCATTTCGGGTGCAACAATGATGGTGAATGAGAGAGGCCTTGAATGACCAAAAGCCGTTCAAAAACAGTATCCAACTATTTCTACACGCTGTGCCCTCCAGGTTTCTGATCGTGCCATTCTACTTAAAACCACCATTCTCTCCGCCTTTCCACCTAGCAACCCCGAATCACCTCCCAGCTTCGTCGTCAGATTGAGAATATTTATCCTGCCATGACACCAATAATCGTGGACTTGGTCTCCGTCGGACACACGTCGAGCTGCCTCGTGGAGTCCCTAGACAGCCCTAACCCTCGGTTTTCAGAGAGGTTTTATCCATTGTTCGAAGATTGTCAACCAGAAACAGAAGATCATACAGCTGGATCTCCGACAGAATCTGACTGCGGCTCGCCGGCTTCATCAGCAACAACCGAAGCAGTGAAGTCACCGTCGACACCGCCACTGTCTCTGTCCCTGTCTCTGGGGGCGAACAGTTCGCAGTCCTCGATCTCGTCCTCCAATTCTGCTACAACTTCCTGGAAATCGTTGTCGACGATTCACCCGGGCTGGAATGAACCTCCTCCTGGTCCACCCCTTTGTATGAGTGACTCCTCTTCTTTGCCATCCAGATCCAGACCCGCACCAGCCGGACTCGACACATTACCCAAGATAGAAAAGACCAGACGGACCTCGAGTGCTTCGGTCTCTTCCGACCCTTCCTGGCGGTCGCTGTCGAGCATGCACCAGCACCCTCACCCTCAGACTGGCTGGATTGAGCCCTACCAACCGCCTCAAACGTTCCCGTTCCCATTCCCGCTCCCTGGCCAGGAGGAGCGTCACTCGGCTCCGCAGCGGCTTGGGGTGGTGCTGGCGGTGGACCGGAAGCCACTCATGCCCCCGAGACCAGTCACTCAGTTGACGCTCGAGGATGATGGTTCTTGGCTCTCTTCTTGTTGTTGTTGTTGGGACCACGGCCCCATATTTGAGCATCTGGCCATCTCTGCCACCAAATGGTTCGAGTCATGTTTTGATTTCTTGCGGTCGTCGAGAAGACCGTCTTCTAGTCATTCTTTCCGTTTTGATTTACCGCCACGAAATGAGAAGAATTGAGAAGCTTGGTACAGAGCTTTCGGTACAAGGCTCTTTTTTTTTGAGTAATGCAAGTCCCCTTCTTCCGCCCTTTCGTCTTGGGGTCCTTGCGAAGTCAGATGGGCATTCCCTTCATGCTAAGATCATTGTCTCTATCCTACTGGGCCGGCTGTCGTTCGTTTGCGTGTTGCTGTTGCTGTTATTCTTACTCTTACCCTCTCTCTCCCCCCCTGGGTCTTTCGTTTGATCCCATTTGCCACCACTTGCTCCCGTCCAGGATCACTTGCTTACGGGTGAGCCATATTGTTTTCAGACCACGTCACTACGCTTCCTGCCAGATGATGAGTCGATATCTTTGTTGGACGGTGCCGTGACAGCAGCAGAGTATTCAGTGATACATGTCTGGCCCGTTTCTTGAGAGACCACCACCCTTCGCTCGATCCAGGCTGAATTCTTGAGTTGTTGACCTAGAGAATCGGGACGTAGCAGACTCAATACCAGAGCAGAGGTGCTAACTCGGTCTTTTCCACTAAGCATCTACCGATTCGAAGAACCACAACCCTGGGCCCCCAACTCCCGATCCTAATTACTAGGCAAGACAAGAAGAAGAGACGCACAGTATTGAATGAAATTGAACCTGGACCTGGACCTGAACAACAGCAAAGGTTCAAGAATGCGCAGCAGCCCCATCCGCTCACGGGTAAGTCAAGTCTCATATTTCTTTCTGTTACCCATATCTCCCATCTCCGAATCTCCCTTCCTTTTCCTGCCAGACTACTCATGGTACGACCCCTCGGATACAGCAAACGACCTGTACCAGGACCATCGTACACGGCCCCGACGGCCGCCGGCGTGTCCGCGAGGAGGAAGAAACCGTGATACGAACTCGTCGTCGTCGACTTCCTCCTCCTCCACGTCCGAGATCACCACCTTCGCCGCTACCTCGGTCTCTTTCTCTGTTTCAGTCTCCGTCTCTGGCTCTCCCACCCCCACTGTCGCCGTCGCAGATACTCGTGAGCCATCGAAGCCCGCCTCCGTCCCCACCGTCACGATCGACCGTCCGCTTCGTGCCTGACCAGGAGGAGTGCGTTGTGCGTGGGCGGATTCGATCCCCCCGGTCTTCAGAGGTGCTACCGCTACAACCGCTGGCACTAGCACCGTTGGTCATACCCCGTCGAGGCCTGTTTGGCGAGCAGCCCGCCTTCCGCCGCGGAGGATCGCCTCCGCCGGTGCGCCTGACCGGTCTACCCGCCAGCCGAAGCCGGAGCAGGGGCGGGAGCAGAAACCGTGCCGATCACCCTCAAATCCGCAGCCGCAATCGGAACCGAAGCCATGGCCGTCGCCGCCGCCGTCACTCTCGCCGTCCACACGGCAGGACCCGCTCAAGCTCAAGCTCAAGATCAAGGTCAAAATCGCGAGATGTCGACGAGGCATTCATCCACGGCGCGCGGGCCGCGGCGGCAGGCATGGCACTCACGATCCGCGAGGCGAGGAGGACCTTGGCCAAGAATGACAACGACGGATCTCGTGAGAGGCGGGAAGGGGGTGAAGAGCGACCGCGACCGCGACGTGGAAGACTGGAACGTAGCAGGAGCAGGAGCAGAAGCAGAAGCATCAGCATTGGAAGCCTGAGAAGCAGCAGCAGCAGTAATGGGAGAGTGGACGAGCGGTTCAAGATGAGCGGAGGGTTGGACTATCCCTGACTGACTGACTGACTCACCCTCCCTCCCTCCCTCTTTTTGATCAGATGGTTGGTTGGATGAATGAATGAATGGATGGAGCGGGAAGAAGGGTGGATGAGGAGCCGGTCAATGGTTGAATGGTACTATACATGTAAATGCTCTCACTCTTCTCTGTATGAGTAGAACAGACAATCGATGTATTATAGCTTTGCACCGTGGAAACGTCCGCTGGACCTTGTTCTCGAGGTTATATACCTCGTAGGATATTATTATGAATCCCAAGCGAGGGATGGGCTCGTGAGGCTAGAGTCTCTCTCTCGTTCCCTTCCCTTCCCTATCAGCAACTACTGTATGTTGTCTGTGATTGATATTGGTTTGCATCTGGACGGATATTCCTCATCACAGTCTTTATAGGTCGGTCGGTTGGTAGGTAGATATCTAGCTATCTTTCTGGCCTGCCAGCCTAGACTGTCGATGTGACGACACGACACGACTCAGTTCCTTCCTCCTAATCAACCTATCCAAAGCACACCTTGGTCCCCCAATGACCAGGAATTAACCCATGAACACGAACAAGATCCCTGGCGAGACCATATCGGCTCCCCTCGTTCCAGACCACAGATCCTCTTCTCGGTCTGCACCAAGTCAGATCACGACATCGTCAGACACGTTTGTCCGTGCTGCCTTTGTCGCCAACTCGGCCTGACAATATATTGTATCCTTATCCCAGATTTCAGGTGACGACTCCTTCCCGCCAGCTTTGCTGAGCGGACAGGTGTCCGGCAAATATCCCCAGGCTGGGAGTCAGCCCTCAGCCCCCAGTGTGCCTGGACCTTGTAATCAAGGCTACACATTTATACCGTCGTAGAGACCGAGCATAACACAGCAGCCTTGAAACTATATGAGGACGAGGGTCCAGCAGGCAAGGAGCCGAGAACTCAGCCATTGTCCTCCATCAACTCACTGAATTCGTGTACTGATTGTGCATACAAGAAGTGAGACAGTGCAAGGCCGAGGTCAGATCCCTGCATCAGATGTGCTGTCGAAGGCCAGGCCGTCGCCAGTGGCTGATAAAAGGCCGATCAGGCATGGGAGCGACTGGGAGCTGGCGGACAGCCACAATGGCCAGATTGTAGTGCCGTACAGTGAATCTGGTGACCAAAGCTGACAGAGTGCATTAAGGCTGCGCGAACGCAACGCTCGCCGGCATCCGAAAACTGGCACAGAACATCTTCTTCTTTGGCGCGACCAGTCGGACAAATCGAACCTGCATATCCAGCTCCAAATCATCCAGCTTGACCGCGGCACCGATATGCTTCGATATTCGTTCACAGATCTCATGGATTTCCTCTTCTTCGGTGGCAAGTTTGGCTTGAAACAAGTACAGGTGGATCAGCGGCAAAGCTTTTGACGTGTGAGGTTTGAATTCGGTTTCTCGGCCGTGATAAAGGCCTTGGAAGGCATCGAGGAATTCGATGGCACTGGCCGGCAGATTCATCACATAGTGAGAAAACACATTCGGTTCTGTCAGGACTTGTGCCGCTGCCTCGGCCTCCTTACGCAGCGCTTCTGTCTCCTCTTTGGTCAGTTTCCGCGATATCTTCACCTTCGACGGCAATCGGGCTTCTCGTGGGGCGTGGCGTAAGTCTCTGGTGGCGTTGCGAATAAATTCGCGACCGTCCTCACAGGAGGCCGAGACGAAATCGCCGACCTTGTTGGACTTGATGGCGTCCTCAAGGCTTCGGTACGAGTCAGGGTTGAGGTCGTTGGCTCTGACAAACACCTTGCGTTTCCCAGCGGGCACAGCGAAAGGACCAACGCCCGCCATAACGTCACAGACAGCCTCGCCTTGCTGGAACTGCTCAAAAACCCGGGCATGCTCAGTGCCCAAGCGGGAGTTCCAGTAAACCTTGCCGAAGTTGAACTTGAATTCGCAACCAGATTCGTGGACCGTGACATCGAGGTCGTCTGGACCAGCGATGACTTCGTACGGAAATGTTCGAAAGACGGATTCGGTACCAACGTCGAACGTCTTGTTGATGACGGTAGTAATATTGGGATTTTTGTCGACCAAAATTTGCCCGATGATATACTTGTAAGGCAGATATGCTTCACGCAGGTTGACGTGAGCTGTAGACTGTCAGCACAGGGTTCAGGTTCATGGACAGGGAGACATACCAACATGGCCTACCTGGGCAAACCCTGCAGGAGTTTCTTTTTCGTCGTCGGGGATCTCGGGCAGGATTGCCTCAAGAATATTATCTGGCGGATATGTTAGCATTCGGACACCAGCTTGCAGAGGTCATTCCTGACCACTCACGTACGCATAGTCCAGTCGTCGTATGTGAGGGTCAGATCGTAGGGCCGTAAGCTGGCCAGTTTGTCTTCGACTAATCTCGACACGGTCTGTGACCAAGTTTTCGGCTCTGTCCGACCCCGTCAGCAACTCCTCCCCCTCCCAAGGATCCGAAATGCCCGTGTGACTCACCTTTCGCATCAATCTCCGGCCTGAGCAAGAGGCACTTTGCCCCTGGGACCGAGTCATCGTCCCGTAACGGTTTGATCGGACTGATGCGGAGCAAGTCTTGGGACTTCTCGAGCTCCTTTCGGACCGCCGTGATCTGTCTGACGTCTGAGATGGTGGCAGCCGCCAGAGGCACGACTTTCCGAAAGAATGCCTTGTCCAGCGTCTGCATGGACCGATTGACTGGAGGCAGGAAAATTTTGGGCAGGTCGGCAGAGTTGAGATTCATCCTTCTCGTTGTTGTGGCATTGGACACGGCTGGTCTTATGGTCGCGAGGATTCGACGAAGGAGGCTTGCCATGCGACAGGAAGCCTCTTCAGGTTCGTGTTCGAGCCCCGGGATCTGGAAGTAAAGCAGCAGTAATAGTAGAAGGGAGTCATGCTGGGTTTGCTCCAGGCTTGATGCCAAGGCGCTAATCTAGATGAAGTAGTACGGGACAGCAAGCGGCGACTAGAGCACACTACGGAGACGCAATGGCGGCGTCATGCAATCTGATCGAAGCCAGAGAAATGATCAAAGCATCATCACGTCTTCCTCCATAACTTCAACAGCGGTCCCTCTGACCCATTGACCGGATCCTGCACGGGTAATGCCACGGCCTGGATCTCCTGTCTAAATGAATCACCGACCTCGTCTTTGCCCAACTCGCTACGCCATTTCGGGGCTCCCTGAAAACGCACCATGTGAGTGAAAACGAAGGGAAACCACCAGTCCCTGAGACGGGGAGTCTGCTTTACCTCTGGATAAACCCCGATGTATCTGTAATCGGCACTGCTTTGCAGAGAGCAGTGTCCCGTTCCGGCAGGGAGGACGATGACATCTCCAGCGTGCACCTCGATCTCCTCACCTCCGGACGTGTCGTTCTTGCCACAACCGACAAGGATCCGCGATTCGCCCTGGAACACTCCTGTGCAAGACTCAAAATTTAGCAGCAGCGTGAAGAAGGCGTTGGACTGTCCCAGGGGGGACAGGGGCTTTTTACCGTAGCACTCGTGGGTGTTGGGATGGAAATGCCTGTACGAGATATGGCCCCACGTGCCTTTCTTCTCCCAGGCATGCGACTCGAGGAATTCGGTCGTTTTCGCTTCGGAAAGTGGCAGCGGAAGACAGTCGCGATAGATCAGGACGGGCATGTCGTTGTTGGGGCAATGCTTGTTCGGTCCGAGGTAGTATGTCTCAGGCTCGAATCCCATCGTGGCAGCGTAACGAACTGTCTGTGTTATATATATAGCCAGCTTTCAGGGGGAGTGGGAGTGAATGTATTCAGCGAAGTGATAGTATATGGACTACCCAGATTGTGATATCAGGAAGAAGGGTGCGTGCATATAAAACATCGTTGGCCTCGGGGAGAGTTTGGGCCTGGATGAGTTTGCTGTTCTGAGTAACGGAACCCCGCTCGATGGAAAAGGGACATCGCTCCAGGAATGATGCTATAGAGTGTACCGTACGGAGTATACTGCTGAGACGCCCACCAGAAAGAGTCTACTCATTCTTGATGACCAATCCTCTCGACGATTGAAAATGCCTATTCTATTCTGCACGGTGGTCGTCCTCTGCACGCGCCTGAACGACGCGTCGATTGGAGGCTGAGAGTAATGACGTCGTCGATATCAGAGCTATCGACATGCTTCTCCGCCACCACACAGCCTCTCTCAATCTCGTCCATATCCTTCCCTCGTCTGATGGCCCACCAAGACCGTGGAGACTCGAAGCCTTGAGTTCCCAAAAAAACATTTGCAGAGCTAACATCATACACAATGGCCAAGCGCACTCTCGACACATACTTCTCCTCCTCAACGCCAAACAAGAAGGCCCGTCCTGATGAGCCTCTACCAGCCCTGGCCGAAAAGGACACTTCCCTAGGATCCATAACCAAGACAACAAACCATCCCACATACCCCTGGCCGATCCCTCACCTGCCCAGCCACGTCGCGGGGGAAATCGAACTCCTCGTCACGGCCCAAGGCAAGGAGATCCGGAACCAGCCGCACCTGGACCTGGTATATTTCCAACCGTTCATCCCAAAATCCATCGAGAGGGACCTCTTCCACTTCTTCCGCTCCGAGCTGTTCTTCTACCGCGTCAGGTACACCATCAAACGGTTCGGCAAGGAGACCCTCATCAACACGCCGCGGTTCACCACGGTCTTTGGGATCGACGAGACGAGTCGCTTTGCGGGTGACGACGGGTCACGAATCGTCGAGGCCTCAGACCCATCCAGGACGGTCCGGGAGGACAAATATAAGTGCCAACCACGCCCAATCCCGGAGTGTCTGGATCTCCTGCGCCGGGTGACGGAAGCGAACACCAACACCTCGTACAACTTCTGCCTGGTGAACTATTACGCGTCGGGCAACGACAGCATCTCGTTCCACAGCGACGACGAGCGGTTCCTCGGGCCCGAGCCAGCCATTGCTTCATTCACCCTGGGCGCCAAGAGGGATTTCTTGATGAAGCACAAACCGCCTCGAGACGGCGAGCCGCGGCTGGAGACCAAGGACATCAAGTTGCCCCTGGCCAGCGGCGATATGGTGCTGATGCGAGGCCCAACGCAGTCAAACTGGCTACACAGCATCCCGAAACGGAAGGGCGCTGAGGCCGACAGAGGTCGAATCAACATCACTCTGCGTCGGGCGATGATCCCGGCGGGCACCGAAAATTACTACCGATACAATGTCGGCGAGGGCGGCGCGTACAAGTGGGACAGCTCCAAGAAAGAGATGGTGCCCTGGCCCGTCAAGAACGGGTGACAAACACAACCTACTGGATTTTACTTTTCCTCCTGCTCGCGGCGACAATCGTGCTCCCGATGGTGCTGGTGATGGAGCGGTAGACGGTCTGGCCTTCCAGGGTGTGGGTGGTGACACCGAAGACCACCAGGAACAGGATGGACAGGATGCTGACGACCAGGAAACACAGCCAGTACGTCTTGAGGGTGTACCGCTCGGCGATCTCGGGCAGCTGGATGGAGAAGTACGCCGTCATCAGGCTGACGGGGAGGAACAGGATGGTCGCTTTGGCCAGCAGGATCGTGGTCCTGGTGAGCCGCTCCACGGCCTGGGACTCTTTCAAGGCGACCAAGTTGAAGTTCTGCAATCATTGCATTAGCTGGGACGATCCACGCGACTACACAGCTGCGACACGCTTACCATCAGCACAAGCGACTCCTTCTGCTTGATGCACTCGTCAATTTCCGTCAGCGCGTACAGTCGAATCCGTCCCAAGAGTCTCTCGAACCGGGCCACGGCCGAAAAGCTCAACTTCACATTCGACCGGGAGTCATCGGCCAGGAAGCCCTCCTCGTAGGGCACGAAATGCGAGGCAGGGGCGGGAGTCTGATGGCCCATCTTGACGTCTTGGTCGTGGAACGTCCCCCGGGGCGACAGGAGGAGGCTGTTGGCGTCCATGGCCAGTCGTTGGCTGTGGAGGAGGCGCGACACGATCCATTCATAGCTCTCGTACATGAGTTTGAGCACGGTCAGCTGGGTGCCGATTTCATGTACCTGCTGGACGTGCGAGACGTCGGCAGCCTTGAACATGAGTTGCTGCATCTCTCCCAGCTTTCGTCGGTAGGGGTGGTCGATCTGGGCAATCAAATTGTAGGTCGAAATCCAGTCGTCGAAGAGGTAGTAGAACAATAGGCTCGCCGCCTCTTTCGGATCGTAGCCGGTGGCCGGGTTGTTGTTGGAATACTCGTTCCACCGCACGCGGACCTTCATGAGTGCATCTCGCGAGCTGTCTTGGTTGTGTTGCTTGGAGAGGTGGTGGAAGACGTTGAGGACGTTCCGTCGCGAGTTGAGATGCGGCTCACCGGGAGGGGGGCGTTCGAACACCGAAACGACGGTGCCGTCGTCGCAGATCAGCAGAGACGACCATATCCGTTGGCCGCCTGGTTTGCTGCCGTCCTTTTTCTTGCCTTCGGAGGTCGTGTTGCCGGCGTCTTCGGCCAGTGCACCATCCTGCGACGCTGCGTTACCCTCCTTGGCCTCGGGCACCGAGTACAAAGCATTGAAGCCGATGTAGATGTACCGACGGCCAAAGTCGACGGAACAGAAGTGCCAGAGGTTCCTGACCACTCGGTGAAACGACAGACCTTCAGTGTCTCTCGGTTCGAATGCCTGTTGGTGCTGCAGGGGCGTGGACTGAAGAGGCACGCCCTTCTCGACGTCGGCTGCTTGTGTTCTCGGGCTCTTTCGCGGAGCAGAGCTGGAAGAACGGGCCGTGTCGCTGCCTGTAGTGGTGGTGGACGCATCCCTCTGCTTCGCCTGGCTGGAGGGAGAGGTGATGGCCTGGCACAGCAAGCCCGCCAGACGGGGCGAGAGGTCGTACTTCCTGGCGACTTCCTCGATGATGGGCTTCTGCGACTCCGAGGCCCAGAAGTTCATCCACAAGGCTTGACCGCGAGGGCGCTCCTCGGGCTGCAGCAGCCACTCCAGGGCGGCGTCGCGGCCAACGTCGACAGCGCACTTGGCCTCGGTGCTGTCGAAGCTGACGATGAAGTTCTCCGTGTTGGCCTGCTGTAGCCTCGTCTCGCACGCGTTGAAGACCGCGTCGTTGTCCAGATTGTAGACCTCGTCATGGCTGCTCGGCGGAGTTGGAGTTGGAGCCGGAGCCGGAGCTTGCGCCATGGCCCGACAGACACGACTTATAGGAACTTTTGAGTAAAAGTCACAATAGAAGAAGACGGGTGCAAGCTTCTAGGCTCCTTCTAGCCCTGCCAAAAAGAAATGAGGAGTAAAAAAGAAAATATCGAAGTCGTAACGAGAAAAGAAGAATAAGAAACGACGAGGCCAGGAGGTTGATCAGGCGCCTACATGGCAAGTGAACCAGCGACTCAGCCTCACACAGACACAGACACACACACTCATACATACCTCTTCCCCCCCTGCCCAGTCGTCTATTCACCCCAATAATCATGGCCCTATCGCTAATTAGTTGTTTTGGACGCCAGCCTCGACTAGCCTAATGAGTGAGTGAGTGAGTCCTGGTTTCCCCGGGGGGGGAGATGGGGGGGCGGAAAATGAAACCCACGAAACGCCCACAACCCCTGCATGAGAGGGAAAAAGAGACGCAACGGATGAAGGTGTTGTCTGTCTGTCTGTCCGTCTGTCTTAGGCTGTCGTCATGATTAGTACCTACTGTAGCTCGTATTATTGGCATGGTCATGGTCATGACCGCAACGACCAGACTTCTGGGCTTGTGACGCCCGCGCTTCCCCTGAGACACAATCAAAAAACTGGCCCCATGACGACCGGTAAGTAAGCAGCAAAAAGTTCACTTGATGGGTTTGATCAACAGTTGACAGTCAGTCAGTCGGTCACTATCCAAGTAAAAGAAGGGGGGTGGGGAAGCTGACCGAGAGATATACATATGTAATGTCCTGTGATACTGAGGCTGGTGAGGCCACAAATACGAGGTTCTACTTCTCGACTCCTATGGGCAGCAACCCACCGCAAACACGTACGTATACGACGAAACAAGTCATGGTTAACAACACGTCTGGCGTGTCTCGGGTCCTTTGACCCTGTGTGTGTATGTTTGTTTCGGCGGCTGTCACTGATAGACCGCGTCGTATATCCCTGGAGGCAGAACCAGGCCACCTATTAGTTAGTATTTTCCAGGTCTTGGAAACACATACGTTAGTGAGTCCTTGCAGGGCAATAGCCGGACGTGAAATTTCCACTCTGAATTGTTGAAATTCGTAGAATGACCTCCTACGCAGGTGAGTCAATAGACTCCTTCTTCCATGATGATGCAGCCGCCACTTAGAGCGTCGCTGTCAATACATAGAACAGCTGCATCGTGATCACCACCACCACCGCCTATTTATCTCCTATCCTAAGTTACTGGATGTCCTCTACAGTTTCGTTGGTATCGCCGGACCGCCCTTCGACCCCGGCAGCGCCCGAACTCGTCCACGGTACTTGTCCTCGATGGCGTCGGCCACGTCGTCAGACTCCAACTCCGGCAGCGCGGCGCCGAACTGGCTCGGACTGACCAACCCCCACAAGCCGTCCTGGTCCCGGCCGCTGAGCATGCCGCAGTGCCAGTTGTGCAGGTTACGGTCGTGGATCGAGCGGTGGATGCGTTCGAACGTGTTTGCCATCGGCCACGCCTTGCGGTCTTCCACGGCGATGTGTTCAACGGCGTCGGTGATTTCGCCCACGATGCCCTCACTGGGGTCTGCGGCCAGCTTGTTGCCCAGCTGGCTCCACGTCTTGTTGGGGTTCGGCTTGAGGCGGTCGGGCAGCAGATAGTACTCGGTGAAGTCGGACGGGTCGTCGGGATCCTCGTCGATGAAGGCCAGTTTCTTGTCCTTGGAACACTGCGCGAGCATCCACGCCAACGTGATGTCGGAGCCCCTCGGGTCATACCTGCCGCCGCCGATGTCGCTGTGGACGCCCGAGAACCACACCTGCTTCATCACCTGAAGGCCAGCACCGGACGTGGGCTGGTACAGTTTCGACCGGTTGTTGGGGTCTTTCGGCCACTGCCACAATGTCGGTTTGAAGGGCACGCGACGCTCATCCAGCGCCAGCGCGTGGTACGCATATTGGACGTGGGTCGACAACTCGGCGTTGTGGAATTCGATCTTCTCACCGCCCCAGCCCTCCGCGTGGAACTCGACCGTGTCCCAGACGCCGACGATCTTGACCGCGTTCTTGGCCCCTTCGTTCAGGTCGTTGCCGATCAGCCCCTTGAGCGTGGGGGAGAAGTCGAAGACAGGCTTGCTGGTGGGATCGTTGTAGTATTCGTCGTAGACTTGAGGGAACCAGTCCATGCCCCGTTTCGTGAGGAGCCCGAGCTTGGTCACCAAGCCCGCGATCGAGCGGGCCGTGTAGGCGCCGCGCGAGAAGCCAAAGAAGAAGATCTCATCTCCAGGGTTTGGGTCGTAGTTGTGTGCCAGGAAAGCATAGGCCGCTCGGATATTGGCAGACAGCCCAGCGCCATAGACGCCTATATGGACAAGTCAAAAACCTGCTCGCCCAGATCGCCCCAGAAACAAAGAACAAGCCATGACGCCCTGTTCTTTTCAAATGTCGGAGGATGCAAGGTGAACTCGAGTGAGATGCCATAAAGGAGAGAGAGCAATATCTCACCGCCGCGGATCTTGTCTCCAATTCCTGACCCAACACCCGGTTGGTAATAGACGATTTGCTCGACCTCCCGTTCTACACCATCCTTGTCTTGAACCACAGCAACAGGGCTGATGGCTCGAGCAAAGCGGGCAATGTTGGTTGGATGGCTAGGACTGCTGACGTTCAGGATGCTCTGCCACGTTCCTGTTGGGAATGAAAGTTAGCCTCTAGACTTGAGTTACACTGTACATTAGACAATTTGTCACGAAAGAAGGGAATTGTTGCAGGAGAAAGATCTCCTTTTGTTGAGAGGCAGACAACTGTTGAGGGGAGCAGGCAGTACCGTCGCACAGCTGCAAGTCTTGTCAGCCTGTCCTGTCGATGGAGCCCAGCATGTATGGCACAGTGACAGCTACTTACCACAATAAGACGTTTGTAATTTGCTGGTGGGCGGCCCATGTTTGAATCTGTTTGTGGTGAAATTCAAGGCTCGGCTGTTGGGCAAGGCTCGATATAGTCACAGACTCCCAGCAACCATCTGTAGCACGCTCCTCACCAAGCCCGAGGCGAGGAAGGGGGCCTCTTATACATCCCAACATGTCAAAGAGTAGCTTCAGGCCTTGCAGGAAGACAGACGGCCGCATATACGACTGGCACTCCATCACCATGACACGAAACGGAACCTGCCACCACCCCCCCTGGCTAAAGTTCAGCTTCAGCAAAATCGGATGCCTTACCAACGAAGGATGTCGCTAGGGCTGGCTGAAAGAGCTGTCCCCTATTGGCCGTGTCTGACACGTTCATGTGTGACGGAACGAGGGGCAGGCTCAGCTGTACACGAGGGAAGCGAGGTCGAGACCACTCTGCCCGCGTGATTGATCCTGCTCGCATGCATCCAGGACACCGACACGAGGAGACCGTATGAATTCATCACGTTGCATGATTGGCACAGAGAGGCCCGAATTAGAAGAAAAGCTGAGACGCGACGCGATCTCGCCTCGGATCAGGCAAAGGTAAGACGCCTATGCAGCCCATATCGAAACGTTGCCAAGTTGGTTCGTCGCAGCCCCGCTCGATGCGAGAAGCCTTCTAGCTCTGGCTAATTGATGCGGTACAAGACGGAAGCGCGCGAGCTTCCAACGGGCGGCATTCTGGGAACTTCTTATGAGAAAAGCTAGATAAGACGACCGGTTGGTGACAAGAGCTGCAAAAAGTGGAAAGGGAAGGTGATATATGTCCTCATGAATGAAAGCTCGTAGAGAATACTAACCAAGTAGATGCTAAGCTCGAACGCTGAATGCCCAAAATTCGGGAACGCTCAGACCGTGGAACGAAAAGAGATCTCCTGATAGCTTGCCGTGCATAGATAGACCAACCCTTGCAACGTGGCCTCCCACGTACCCAAGTCACTCACTCGCTGTGATACCCTGAACCGACATTCGACCAACAATACCCAATTCGGAGGAACCAAGGAGTCACCCAGATCCCCATAGTAAATCGGTTCTAACACGCAAACCCCTTAATAATATTCTTGCTCTCGAGATCTCCCATCAAGCCAATTTCGCGCTCTTTTGAGACTAAATGTCCGTCGTGGCTTTGGCTCCTTGTACGCCTCGATGCCAGAGTAACCCCTCGTTTGAGGAGCTTCATAGTAGCCTGGCTGGTCAAGCGGCTGTCTGAAGTCTCGCCCAATGATGCCGCTGCCCCTCAATTGCTGCGGTGGTCCATATGGTTGCGGTTCAGAAGGCGAAATACCTAGGACACGTTCTTGTTTGCTGAGACGACGCTGAGATATATCCCCGCCTCCATTGGCGTTTGTCATGGGCATTGCTGAAGGCGGAGATACGCGAGGTTGGCTCCTTCCCATTGCTTGGACGGAAGACAGGTGCTGATCAGAGGAGCTCCCATCAGTATCTCCCACCACTCTTCTAGCTCCACTAGGCTGAACACCGCGCCCAGATATTGTCAAGGAGCGTCTGGCGCTTGAGTGGATACCAGGCTCGAGACTGTGACTTACTGGTGGCCGATTTTCCGTGTCGTACAGCATGTCGTGGTTAGGTGGGCTCGTCATGTTGTGCGATAACTGGTAATCGGCGTTTCTGGGAAGTGGCGGCGGGTAACCACCGGGAGCGTCGTTCATTGCTCGATATTGCTGAGGGGGTCCCATTCCAGCGGTGGGGGCTTGAGGCTGGTCTTCACCATCGTCTTCGTCGTCACTGTGGTAATCTTCTCTCTTTTGTCGACGGCTTCCGAAAAGGCTGAATCTTCGCCGAGGTGCTGCTCCTGATTTTGGAGCATATGAATCCTCGGCGTATTCCTCCTCACTTTCTTCCTGATCCCAATCCTCGTCTTGATTCCCAGAGGCCTTAGGCTTTCTCCCACCGATGCCGAATCTGTTCAAAAGGGTCGGTCTTTTTTGAACCCCACTGGTGTCGCCAAGCTTCTCGCGATCAGAGCTCCCGTCATACCAAAGAGCCGGGATAAGCAGCCTGTAAGGCGTAGTAATTCCGGACGGGTCTTTTTGGTTGATTTCGACGTTCAAGACCACATCGAGCCCTCCCTCCAGGTTAACATGATCATTGACATCTATTTCATTACCTTCGGCATCGATGGCTGGTACGTTCCCTTTCCTCGCGGCCTTTTCGGAGAAATTGGTAGGGCGGCGTTTGAAGGTGCTCGGCCGCACGGGAGCCCCGGAAGATATATGGTCGAACGAAGAAGCGCGCTTATTCGGGAGAGCCTGGAATTCACTCGAGGCCTGTCGAGAGCCGCTTACGCTGCGGTCTTGAGCCAGGCCTCCGGATTGTGTTGTTCCATCGTGAGACGCTGAACGACCCTGGTCATATATCATGTCGCGATACGAAGTGGGCGGCGCGTTTCGGGAGCTTAATCGACGGAGCAGAGTTCGTGGGTTGACGTCTGTCTTGCTGAAGGAGAATCGTCGAGGGCGAGGTTCTGGATTGTCCTCCAGATCTTCATCTTCGAAGACTGCTGAACTTTCTGACGCTGAAGGCGGAGGGGTTGAGCCGGGAATGTACTCTCGGATCGAGCACCAATTGCGACGAGGCAACAATCGTTTATTATTTCGTTTCTTGTCGTTCACGTCGTGTGTGAACATTGGGATCATGTCTTCGTCCGTGTAGTGGTCCAAGTGATGAACCTTGTTGCGTCTGTTCAAGATATCGGCCATCATGTCCGACGGTGGTGTATTCACAATCGCTGAAGATATCACATTTGGCATGTACCGGTGATCTTTGTCCTTGGGAATCTTCAGCTTCGGGTTGGAGTGAAACTGGCCGATTGCAGCGAGGTGAACGTCTCCGCTCAAAACGGTGATGCGACATGATTTCTCTGCCGCAAGGTCTTGTAGGTCTCTGACGAAGTCATTACGCTCATGTTTGTGGTTAGTCGAAGTCCAGTGATCGTCAAGGTCATCGAGGATCTCAACTCCACCGTCGAACTTGTTGAGAAAGCCGCCTTTCAAGATCCCAGCCCTTCCCAGCGCTTTGACAGGATCCATGAGTCGACTAGTGAGAACGTTTTCCAACCAAACCAGGCGAGGATAAGCAAGGGGGACGCCCAACAATACAATAAGGTGCTTCGTCTCTCCTTCAATGAGTTCTTTGCGGCACCTGTCCAGAATGAAATCCAGTGTGTTCAAACTCAAAACCTCATTGCGCTTTCTTTCCGTGCGGCAATCAACACCCAGGAATGCAACATGCTTTCCCATGTGCATAAATACACTCCTACTAAGTTGCTTGATATACGGCCCTGGCTGCCGACCCAAGACCCAGCTAGGCTCGTGTGCGGTGGTCTCTTCGGGAACGCTCTGGTGCTGAAAGAGCATGTAGTATTTATATGCCACATTTCCTATTCCAGAGAACACTGGCGTCTCCATGAAATGGTTTGGATAGGAACCGAAGCCATCGATAATGTCATGATCGTCCCAAATATTCACCATCGGGATCTGGCTAGCAGCCATGCTGAAGAGACCTTGAGAAAACCACATGGCGTATCTGTTCAGATAGAAGCTTTCAAGTTCTTCCTTCATTTCGTGTGTGAACGGAGCGTGATGTTTATGAGCTGGATTCCTCATCCTGGTCCATTCACCGAAGTGTTCGGTCTCCAGCATGACGCGGTCATTGTATATCTGATCGCCGCCACCTATCATAACGTGGAATGGACGTGATTGATGGGTGTTGAGCACGTCCCTCCACAACGGATCAGGTCCGCTGAAGCTGTCTGGATTGACGGAGAGGCTGAACCCGTTGCAAGAATGGAACATTATGTGCATGGTCTGACCTCGAGCAGGCACCCAGAAACCCACGGACGGGCCACGATTGATGCGGTAAGCAATATGTTGTTGCTCATCAGCCAGTTCTATCTCCAGATTGAATCGCCAGAAGGTCACATCGCGGTCTGGATCTGCGTAAAGTCGTGCCCCCGCGACTTCCTGATATCGGCCGAATCTTTCTCCGTCCGTATCGAGGATGCGGTTGTTCGAGAATGGAACTAGACCTTGGGGTCCGTTATGCTCCAGTGGACTGGGAGAACTCTCGAAGAGGCCCTCATCGTTTTCGATTTGCGACAAATCCTTTCCCTCTTCCAGATGGTCCACGGGCCGAACATACAAAGCCCTCCCGGTCCTTGAGAGCTTAGTCAAGCCAGCAATCGGGTCGACATATTCAGGTTGAAGCTCATCAGTAGTGACGTGGTGAGGCGGGGGTGGTAACAACGTTTGTGGCTGACAAAACAGGCGTAAAGTCGGCGTCGTATCGTAGGAAGAATGGGAATTTTGGGTAACGATAAGGACGCTCCCTCGCCAGAATTCACGCTCTTCTCCCTTTTCATTTTTCTGTCTTCTCATGCCCTTGTAGCGAAGTAAAGGCCCGCACCGCAGATAAAGACGTGGCTTGAACTCGGCAGTTCTATCGTCGATATGATCTCCAGCAGCAGGTTGATCGGCCGCCTTCGTTGAACTCCTGCGTCTGCGGCCTGATGAAGTGCCACCTTGTTCCCACCAGGCTTTGCCTTTGTCCGCTGGAGCGATGGGTTCGGTAGAAAAGTCGATCGCTGTAAGCCTTGCTGTCCCGGCTTCTTTCCATTCGTCGACAGGTCGATTGTTGAGTGGCTCTTTGAAGGACACACTGGACTTTCGTTGTCTCTGACGCATCACATCTATCGGCTTCGCTGGAGGGGACTGGGGACTGCTTGGGTGGGGAGATGATTGGAGCCCAAGGCCAATCGGTGGTGTCTGTGGCTGCTGTTGTACCTGCTGCACTTCATTTTTCATTTCAGCGGCAGCTTGCTTGTACTGTTCTTGTCTGTGAGCTTGGGTGGTGGTTGTTGAAGTCGGCACGGGTATTCTGCTTGGGATCCTGGCGGCAGAGGCGGGCTTTTCATCCACATCTCTTGGTGGAGCTTTCCGAAGTCTCCCTGAGCCACCTCGCCCAAGTTTTGCGGGATCTGACACTCCAGTGAGTTTCTCCAGTGCTGCTTTATGAGATGCGTTCCTCTGCCGCTCTAAAAAGTCGTCCCGACCCGGAATCGTGGGCGCTTGGGCTTCGGTGGCGCGAGCCCGCGACTGCCCGTCCAAAGCCTCGACCTCTGCGCCCATCGGTTGAACTTCACGCTGTTTTCCAGATCGAACTCTGTCCGATTTGACAGCAGCTTCCTCAGTCATTGCGCGAGGTGAGTCGAGCGGACCATCCTGACTAGACTCACTGACTCGCCGATACTTGCTGCTTGACTGACGCCGTGAACTGACAGGAGCCGGTTGTGGTGGGCTGGAGATCGTATACTCAAAACCCGGGTGACCTTCTCCGGAGAGGCTTCGTACGTCAGGTCGATGGCTGTCCACAGTTGTGCTATGTTGCAGACGTTGTCGGTGAGTGTTGCTCAGATTTCGAACCAAACCTGCATCTTCCAAGGTTGGTACTTCCTGATCAGTTGCTCGCTCTCGTTTCGGGGCAGACAGGCTAGCAGAAGCAGCGGGAATGGACACCGGACCAGGTTCTCGAGGGGTTTCAACAGTCTTTCGAGCCGGGTTTGACTCGCGTTCTCGCAGTAGCATTTCGGCTTCCTGGACCCTCGCGCGCTTTTCTTCCTTGCTAATATCATTCAGAGTGACCTCCAGCTTTTGCAAAGGGGAGCGGTCTGGGGCCCAATCCCTTCTGTGAGCTTCATCTCGGAACGCGCTTGATCTGCTGACAGCTGATGCTGGCTCTTCGACACGTCGGGGAGTGTCAGACGCCCGACGAGGCTGTTGACTGGACCTTGGCTCAGTGTGAGACAGCTCTCGAGCTGACTCAATGTCCCTTCCCGGTATTTTCGTAGCACTCGAGCCATTGAGATCCACCGTCTTCAGTCGCAAACCATCGGGCGGGGCTGGCTTTCGAGAGACGGTGGGCATAGCTTCCCGGCGTACTGGCTCAGATACTATGCGCTGCTTAGGTTTCGTACTTTCCTCCGGGTATTCGTCCTCCAAGTCTGCAAATGCTTCTCTGTGGAACGGTCTGCCCTTGGCTCTTTGGGAGAAGGAACGCTGCAGGCCGGGATCCGTACTCTGGCCAAAGCCTCGATAGGAGATGGGCGGCCCGCGAGGCACTTCGGGCGCAGCAGGAAGGGGTTGTTCTGCATTTTCAAAGTTCTGCGATATTGGGCGCCTGCCCTGCCCACCACTGTAACGACGATTATTTTGTCTGCTGCGCACGGTACTGTGAGTGATCAAGGAGTCGAGGGCCGGATCGTGGTATAGGTCGACGGGGTTCATGGAGGTGGCCATGGTGGTTAGGTCCAGATTGAGGATGAGGCTGCGAAAAGCGACAAGCTTGCGTGAGGAGGCCGCCTAGAGATGTATGCAGGTAACGGAGACAGCCATGGACATTGGCATCCAAGCATTTGTCAGTCTTTTTTTCGTTCAATGCGATGGCCAAAATGAGATGTCCGGTTCAAGAGGACGCGAAATGTCTGTTCCTTAATCCCGACACGTTCACATGGAGACGGAGAATAGATACTGTAACACAACAACAATCGGACACCAATAGATGACCCGAAGCCTCAATTGAACAATCTCATTATGTACAAGAGAAAAGGAGCACTTGAAGCAAATACCGCAGATTGACAGTCGCAGGAAAGTGAAAGAAGGATAACCCGTCCCCCAGGATCATGATCTGTGTGGCTGGTAAAATGTGGTATTTTTGTCGACCACGTCAATCGACGAGACGAGGAAACTCCAACTCCACGATCTTGCGACACCGGGTCCAGGTGGAGCTTCGGATTCGTCACAGCAGTCCAACTCTGCTAGAGACACGGGCGCGGGCCGCATGGTTAAGCACCCTTTATGGGGCAACAATGGCCATCCTAGGCTCTGTCGCAGCCAATGGCCTCAATGCACAAGTCCTGAGCAGCGCCTACTAAATCGCAGGGGAGCCTAAGCTGGGGCACGGCAAACTTACCAGATAGGCACCGGCAGCCTTCTCCTTCGCTAACATTACGAGGTACGCTGCTCGTGCTGCGCATTGTGGTGATCCAGAACATCATTCTCCGTGGACAGCCTGCGGCTTACTATTTATTTTTTTTAATATCTAGCATACGGAGAGCCACCTGTCCCCGAAGACTATTTTGCCTTTCGTGTGTTCTCTGACCCTGAAAAGACTGTTAAATCCTCTTCAAATACCCAAGGATTGCCATTAACCCCTAATGGAGGCATAACTACACTCCTTTGTCTTGTCTTTGCCATTCTTTGATCTTGCGCCAATCCTCGGGTTGACTGCGACCACCATAGTGTCTACGTAACATCAGCAGTGTCGGACCGTCAATCTGTCCCACGTTGCATATATCTTTCACTTATCGCCACAACTTACGTACCTACATTCAACGGATCGACCGAATTCTCTCCTGTCTCCTCAGAACCCCAGCGAAATTTTCGCAATAACGCAGACTGCACTTCTCGGCAAAGTCGAGTCGAATCGCCCTCTTCCGATATACTTTGCAATCGTTTTCATATATTGGGTGCCAGCGATCCCCTCTCAGTCTCCCCGCGAGGCATGCCTGGCGCTCTGGGGTGACCACGCTTTGCTCACATTATCATGCGGTTGCCAGCATGGCTCCCGCTTCTCCTCCTGACTGGGTTTACCCGAGCGAGCCCACGCGACTATGAACAGAATGACTACTTTGCCCTCCATCTCCACCCTTCCGCAGTCCCTGAAGAGGTGGCACGGCGGCTAGGGATACAGTTCGAAGGTCAGATCGGGGAATTAGCCCATCATTATTCTTTTTCATGTTCGAAGGACTCCTGTCAGGATTTGGAACATTCATTTCAAGAATTACAGCGGCGGAAGAAGCGAAGGCGACGCTCTGTGGAAACAAGAGATACACTGGATTCGGAAGGACAAATTTACCATGATTTGAGTGGTGTTCTTTGGTCAGAGAAGCAAGAGTTGCGGCACCGACATGTGAAGCGAATACCCCCTCCTCCTCTCCCTGCCGTTCGTGTACCTCAAGACGCAGCCGACACAGATTCGGGTGATTCGGCGGACAAAGCGCGGCAAGAAGCTATTCAACGCTTGAACACGATTGCGGAGACACTGGATATTCAAGACCCTATCTTCAAAGAGCAGTGGCATCTTTTCAATCCTTTGCAGCTGGGTCACGACCTGAACGTCACTGGAGTCTGGCTGGAGGGCATCACCGGTAACGGTACCATTTCGGCAGTCATCGATGACGGGTTGGACTTGTACAGCAATGACCTCAAGGACAACTACTATGCAGAGGGCTCTTGGGACTTTAATGATAACTCTCCCGAACCGAAGCCCCGACTTTTCGACGACAAGCATGGTACCCGCTGCGCGGGAGAGATTGCCGCCGTGAGAAATAACGTCTGTGGAGTGGGGATGGCTTATGACAGCAAGGTTGCAGGTATTCGGATTTTATCAAAACCCATCACCGATGAAGACGAGGCAATAGCCATAAACTATCACTACCAGGAAAACCAGATCTACTCCTGTTCTTGGGGTCCCCCCGACGATGGCGCGACGATGGAAGCTCCGGGTCTACTCATTCAGCGAGCCATGGTAAACGGGATTCAGAACGGCCGAAGCGGTCTTGGGTCTATTTTCGTCTTTGCAGCGGGCAACGGGGCTGCAAGTCAGGACAACTGCAACTTTGATGGTTATACAAACAGTATTTACAGCATCACTGTCGGAGGGATTGACCGTGCTGGCAACCATCCCTACTACTCCGAAGCTTGCTCAGCACAGTTGGTTGTGACTTATAGCTCCGGTCATCAGGATGCTATTCATACCACCGATGTTGGGGCCGATAAATGCTACAATGGTCACGGCGGGACATCGGCCGCAGGCCCGCTTGTCGTTGGTACTGTGGCCCTTGCACTCAGCGTTAGGCCAGACCTTTCCTGGCGAGATCTCCAGTACCTTTGTGTTGAAACCGCCATCCCTATACACGAAGACGACGGAAGCTGGCAGAATACGACGATCGGAAAGAGGTTCAGCCATGTCTACGGCTATGGCAAGGTCGACGCTTATAAATTCGTTGAAGCCGCTAAGGCGTGGGAGACCGTCAAGCCGCAAGCTTGGTTTCATTCGCCTTGGCTCAGCGTTCAGCATAAAATCCCAGAGGGTGACCAAGGACTGGCTGCCAGTTTCGAAGTCACTGAGGAGATGCTGAGGAACGCCAACGTGGAAAGGCTCGAACACGTCACCGTCACCATGAATATTGAGCACACTAGAAGAGGCGACCTGAGCGCAGATCTGATCAGTCCCAGTGGCTTGATCAGTCAACTCGCAACCACTCGTGGTCCAGATGGAGCTGCAGAAGGATACGATGACTGGACATTCATGTCAGTCGTCCATTGGTAAGTTCATGTTTTAACGGTGTGTCTTCTGCTCTGATCGAGGCTGACAAAACAAATAGGGGCGAATCTGGGATTGGTAATTGGACAGTCATTGTCAAGGACTCTCAGCAGAATGAATTCAATGGAACCTTCATCGACTGGCGTCTTAATCTTTGGGGCGAATGTATCGATCCCCAGATTCAAGCCCTTCACCCGCTTCCGGATGAGCATGACGACGACCATGAAACAGCCCCCGCTATTGTTAGTACAACCAGTGTCGAACCTGGTACTCCAGCTACTGGGCTTCCGACAACACCTACCGACCATATCGACCGGCCTACTAAGCCTAAGCCTTCCGGTACAACAGACTCTGTGGTCATTGTCACCACGACCAACACTGTCTCTGTCCCTGTTGCAACGGCGACAGTGACAGGGGAACCGACCCAGTCATACTCAGATGGGTTTCTCCCCTCATTTTTCCCTACATTTGGAGTCTCGAAGCGGACCCAGATTTGGATCTATGGCTCAATCGTGTTGATCATTCTCTTTTGTGTGGGATTGGGAGTATATTTCTTGATCCAGCGGAGGAAACGACTCCGAAACAATCCCCGGGACGCATACGAGTTTGAGATGGTTGGCGATGCAGACGATGACGAGCAACAGGGCTTGACAGCACGCGGAGGAAGAGGGAAGGGTCGAGCTCGACGAGGTGGTGAGCTGTATGATGCATTTGCGGGCGAAAGCGATGACGATCTCTACAGTGATGAAGAAACATATCAAGACACCCCAAGTAACGACACAGGAACGGGATCGAGATCTGGGAGCTCTGAAGGCAAAGAAAGGGAGAAATAAAACAAAGCGCGAGGCAAGGAGTGGTGGGAGTTCAGGACCACGGCACGCCATGGCCTGTGGGCGCAGGAGGCATTCTGGGCAACCTGTCAGACAGCCAGCCGTTCCAAGGCTGGTACAGATCTATCTTTATGACGCGTGCATTTACCCATCAGCATAGACCCGGCCAGCCGGTTTGCAAAAGAAACCTGAAGTGTCACAGTTCTGAAACAGAATACACGTTGTATCGAAATTGCTGAAGAGTGCTCGGTGAAAACAGTGAAAAAGAGGTGGACGCTCTCTCAAGCATACCTAGGTAAGGAGTTGTGCGAGGGGTTGAGGGACCCTGCTTGGGTGCTCGAGTGCCTAGTTCAGCCATTACTTAGAATCTGCGGGCGTCGCGAGACGTGAAATTTGCGCGGCAGGCGCCCATTTGAGCCCTGTGCCCCGAAACCGAGCGCAGTTTGACTTCACCCTGCAGCAGGCTCGATCAACATCCCAGAAACGAATCTTTCTCTTCTCACCGTGCATGAGCATATTTCAGACCGTTCTCATAGTAGCACCATGAGCTTCCGAACACGCTGTATACCATGGTGGCCGGCTCCAGGTCGTCGTTGAGGCGTTCTACACTACGAGGCCACAAATCATCTCGGTCCAACAGTCCTATCAACAACGAACCGCCACCTCTGCTCCCCAGATCCGGCAATGAAGGCATAACACTCAGATCGAAACGGCTTCGAGCTGCTACTGTCACCACGCCTGAGCATGGTCTGAAGAGACGCCGATTGTCGACGAACAAGAGCGAGACACCACCATTACGTATCCCGCTTCGCAGTCGAGGGGGTTTACCCAAAACCCTCTCACCACCTCCCGCCACTGCCCCGGCTGCAGTGCCTCCCAAACCTGCTCCAAAAGCAAATACCGCACATATCAACATTACACCCACCGACTCCCCTGTATCTCCAGGCGAAAAGTCACAATATGATCAGATCAGAATTATTGAAGAGAGAGCAAGAGCCGCTATTCAGGCGGGTGGTCCGTCTACAAACCACGAGGACCGGCGAAAATTACGCTCAGAGGATGGAGGGTCTCGGGCTAAAACGGAGCTGGCGCAGTATTTCCCAGACTTTGAGGAGATGTTGAGTCTGAAGCCGCCCGATCCAGGTACGGCATGTTGCAGATTTCTAGTCGAGACATTTTACTGACCGTAATTAGAAGCGTTGACACTCAGGACGAAAGTCGTCCTAGTTGACGATACACCTAGCTTTGAGCCACCTCCCTCCAAGGCTGACCCCTTTGGAGCGCACAAGCCGCTCTACAACACACAAATCATCCGCTTGGGCCAACCCGGTGGTTCTGCGGATCCTGAAGCAGTCGACCCTCTCGGTGAGGATGTGTACTGCAAGATTCATGCAAAGGCTGAAAGGCATGAGAAACAGATGAAGAATAGTGACAGGGAACGAGCCCAGCATGAAAAGTACCAACTCGAGAAGCTCCTCGATGACCTGCGGGGACCGGACTGGCTCAAGACTCTTGGAATAACTGGTGTCACTGAGACCGAGAAGAAGCGATACGAGCCCAAACGACTGATGTTTATTCGAGAAATCCAAGCTTTGATCAACAAGTTCAAACGATGGAAAGAAGAGGAAAAACGCAGGAAGCTGGAGCGAGAACAGGAATTGCTGGAAGCGGCCATAGTGGGAGACGAAGAACAGGATGAAGGCGAGGATGCAGACAATGAGTGTTCCAACAGCACCGCGGAAGGCAGTGTGGACAGCGCATCGAGCCATGCCCCGAATTCCAGTGAGCTCGACGCGCTGGCGTCGCAACAACTGATCGAGGAGGCGAATATTGCCCATAAACGCAGAAGGCCGACATCTGCACAATGGATCGACCCTTCACCGCCTAAGCCATTTTCTTCTTTCTTTGACAAACGACATCTGCGCGATGCTGCGGTTGCAGGTCGTCAGAGGGGCCGGACGATGCTTGCTTTTGGTCATGCCGTTCCCGAGTTTTCAGACGAGGAATTTAAATTGCCGTGGGATATTCTCACGGAAGAAGCAATCAAATCAAGGCATCGATCTCACAGACGACTGAGGAGACGTCGTAGTTGAAGCTGACCGCAGATGGGTATCGACGAAACCATTTCTACGGCTTGGGACTCTGTATAGGATACACACGGCGACTTTATGAGGGTTGGTCAAAGCTGGGACGGCGGTTGGGTTACGGGCTAGTACTGGAGGAGTTTCAATTCTTTCGAAACAGTTTTTGGTTTGTTATTGTGATGGAATGGGGGAGGTTGTCCATTTTGCTCAATCAGAACCAGGTTATTTCGCGCAGGTCTGGCGGATCACTCCAGCAGGAGGTGAGCACTGTATCATGGCCCCTTCATAAAGGATGGAGGAAAAGCATTTCTTATTCTACATTTGTAAGCACAATCAAAAATGGTGAAAAGATCATGAGTACCTTCGAATATGTGACGACTAATAAGGGAACGCTGGAGAACCCGTACGAGGTATACAGCCTCAACTGACAATGTTCTCCTCCGATCTCTGTATATGATCGGTGATACCTCGTACACCGTGCCGTCTCCAAGAGAGATTGGCTACGACTGTTGGGGCCAATCGTACCCCTATTTTACCGAGGACAGCCTTCCGTCCTCGTCCTTGTAGCACGGTTCGCCACACTGGTTAATTCGAAACTATCGCCCAATTATCCTGTCAGCATCCTTCTACTAATGTGATGGTGCTTATTACTGACGTCCCTCCTTGAAACAACTGATCTGCGCCGTCCTGTCCATGGCTGATGGCATAGGTGGGGAGATACCTAGGAACCAGGTATTCTCATGTGCTTCCTACTCAGGAAATCTTTGATTTAAAGTCTCTCCTCCTCACTTCGAAATAATGCCGTACGAGTTGTGCGGTATTCTGATATTATGCCCTCGAATCTTTTTCTAGAAAGGGCAAAGTGACGCTGCGTATCTCCACAGATCGTTCACTCAGCCCCCAAAGAGTGTGGATCTGCTTAAGGGACAAGCGATAATGGGGCTAGTGGCTGAATGTGTCCAAATTTGGGGGTCAAGGCTCAGCCGCAGCATCTGCGTACCTAGTAAGTCCGAATCTTGGGAAATTCCGCGCTCACTGAGACCATCCTTGAATCCTTCCAGGGCAGAGGACGCATCCGAGAGGTAGTTCTGATGCCTCGTTCTGGCCATACATGATTTCGACCCTCTGATCCTTTCGGATCTATGAAAGTTGAGCGTTTTTCCGCCGCGCAGAAAAAAGGGCCGAGATCTGCCTGGTGGATGCTCCATACCTTACTATTACATCGAAGGTAGCCCTTTACCTGCGATGCATGTTGCTTTGCCTTCAAAACTCCGGAGTCTGTTCCTCTCTTTTGTACGGGTAGCTTCGTCTTGAACAGCACCGAGCCTGAGCTCGCCTCGAGGACGAGCCGATTCCCACGCTCTTTATACCAACAACAAAACATCAGCATCCATGGCAAGGAGCGCCTGGAAAACGTGCGCTCTTGCAGCCGTCTTGATTCAGGCTACCACCAATGCTATCTCCATCACCTCTCCTCCGAAGGCTCTTCTACCACGAGCAACGGGAACCTCACCCCTCGCATCAGCATGTGCGAAAGCGTCCAGTGCTTCGAGTCAATATTTGGTTGACCAGCCTGAAGCTACGCGGGTATATGTGCCCGCCGAGCTCGCCTACGACTGCATGAGATCTGTCCCGAACTACCAAGAACCTGCAATGCGCCTCCTGAACTCTCTGCAGACGTATCTGGAGTTTCAGAGTGACAAAGCGTATCTGCTGAACCCCCCACCCGGCTACCTGTATCCTGCCTTGGATTTTGATGGAGAGTTTTACACTATAAAGAAAAAGGTGGAGGCGGGAGGGTATGAGAGCGAATATGACTTTCAGGTCGACCTCACGGCTTTTTTGACGACGGCGCGTGATGGACACCTGTCGTGGAATGGTGATTTAATGTATTCCTTCATCTTTAAGCGCACGGCTGGGAATGGCCTGGCTGCTGTCTCTTCAGATGGGGTGGAGACTCCCCAACTGTATTTGATAGGCAAGTGCAACGTCGAGCGGTGCAGCTATGGGGATTTTGATTAACAAGTGACAGATGATCTTACGGTGCTCGATGATGCAGGCAATACGGTTCCCGTAACCGGATACGCGCCTTCGCCAGTCACCAGCATAGACGGTGTTGACGTCGTGACCTTTCTGTTGACCCAATCCATGGTGGGGAGTTTTCAGGACCCAGATGCCCTATGGAACGTCCTGTTTCCCTCGTTAACCCAATCGTGGGCTCCCGCATTCCAGGACCCCGTGTACTACCCAGGGCCTTCAACAAACATAACGTTCGCAAATGGGACTACTTTTACATATCCGAACCTTGCTATCGTCAATGCGGATCTGGATGGCATCCAAACGGGAGAGGACGCCTTCTCCTCGTTCTGTTCCGGTGCTTTCGAGACGGAGACCTTAGCTGAGACGGCCACTACAACGACTGCCAGCAGTGCAGTTTCCACCACCTCACAGGCACCTGCAACAACGCAAGCCCCCCCAAGCTCACCGACCATTCCAGGCTATCCATATCCAGTAATAAAGCACAGCGATGGCTCGGTTGCCGGGTATTATTTGAATGATACTGGCCTTACCGATGTGGCTGTCCTTCAAATCCAAGGATTTGAGTCGCAAAGCGATGATTCGCTAAGTTATGAGAGGGAGTTTCAGTCCGTGGTAGAAAAGTTTCTCGATGCCGCGGTCAAGACCGGAAAGAGGAAGTTAGTGATCGATCTTCAGGGCAATGGAGGTCAGTACTTTGTCGTGGCTAAGTCTCCAGAGATATTGACTGAATCCAGGTGGCTTCATCGACCTTGGGACCGACACCTTTGCCCAACTCTTTCCATCCATCGCACCTAACTCGAAGTCGAACATGCGAGACCATCTTGGTTTCTGGATCCTGGGCAATGCTGCGTCGGCCATGGCCGAGGCCGCTGAAAAAGACTCCGACATCGCTGACCTGTTGGAAGATTTGAATGACTTCTCCCCAATGGCGTTTCAGTCTGTCGTCAGTTACCAGTTTTACGATTTCCCTGATTTTGAGACATTCTATGGCCCCTACCCAGCGAACGCCGGCAACTTCTCTGCCTTCTTCCAGAACAACTACACGGATCCAAGTTCTTCAGACTTTGCAGGGAACGGTATCATCATCACAGGAACGAATAACCGTACCGGATTCCGACAACCCTTTGCGGCACAGGATATCATTGTGCTCACTGACGGCTATTGTGCAAGCACTTGCACCGTGTTCTCAGAATATCTGAAAAGTTTCGCCGGTGTGCAATTTATTACAGTGGGTGGGCGCCCACAAACAGGCCCAATGCAAGCGATTGGCGGTGTAAAAGGCAGTCAGATCTTTGAATTTGACAATGTAGCAGGGATCTGGGTCGATCTCTTCAACAGTCCCAACAACACATACTTGAGTCTGGCAAACGGCACAATCTGGGAGAACTTCACCTACGAGCCGGTGCTACGAGAAATCGGCCAGTCCGGTGGTGGAGTAAATGGACGCAACCATTTCCGGATGGGCGACGAAACCGAAACGCCGCTTCAATTTGTGTACGAAGCAGCTGACTGTCGCATCTGGTATACGAGAGAAATGATGTATGACCCGACCTTCACCTGGTCACGAGTGGCCACTATCGCTTTTCAAGAGCGAACAGGAACGCAGTTCAACTCGAAATATTGTGTCGCAAACAGCACAGGACATCCGACCAGCATCTCGGGAGGGTGGAAGGCCCCTGGACTGGGGCCGCAAGACCCGCCGGCGAACGCGAGAGCGACGGTCAACGGTTGGCAGCTGCAAGGCAAACCCCTTCAAGCACTGCCCCCGGGCAATTCTGCACCGAACTCGAAACAGACAGGGACCAACTCACCTCCAAGTTCAACGAAAGCGTCAAAGCCCACTTCGACGCCGGGCAAAGGGTCGGCCGTCGTCTTCTCAGATGACGCCGTGGCTGACAGCATTGATGTCGGTGGCACCAATATTAACGTCGACAGCGCTGAATTGACCTCGATTAAGCAAGCATGTTCCTCCTACACGGGGAAAAAGTGGCTGATAGAGGCGATTTGTGAGGCATTGAACGGATCGAAATGAATTCTTTTGGGGAATGCGGTGACGCCTGGTTCTTGTATTGTTAGCCAGCGTGCATTGGGTGGTGTTTGGGCTATGTGCGTTTTTATATGTGCCGTTGGGGACGCAGACCACTTCATTCGAGGGTCAATACCCATGGGACTGAATAGGGATCTGTTCGGGAGATCGACACTTGTCTTACTAGCATTTGGCTCAGCCAGCGTGTCGCGGTATATTCGTATATAGAAGTTTGCCCGCGGCTAGCAAAGGTGCCATGGACAATGGTATATTAATGAGGCAAGCAGTTGAAACGGGTCCAATTAGAGTCGCTGAGGAACCCGACGACTTAGTAAGTCCTGGCAGCCGCTAGTGCCAAAAGCCTCGCCAAGAGATTCCGCGCCCAAGGGTTTCAAGCTTTCCACTAGTATTACAACACCTTTTGCCTCGACTCTGTGCTACGTTCCTGACCTAACATTGCTGGACAACAGATTATCGTTGCTTGAATTTGCTGATTAGGAGTCTATGAATCTCTGTGTACTCTCTGCTCTGTCTTTGGGGGCCTAAGGAAGAAAATATAGAATCTAGTTGACTCCATTCTCGACTGACAAGGGTGGCTACGTCAACAACACGGACTGGAACAGGGTGGCCATGGATAGCCGCAGCACTGCACTACACCATACGCAACATGGTGGCACAACTGACTCGGACGAAGAAGCAGACGTATACGACTGGAAGTCGTCACGGGTGGAAGGGAGTCAAGATGCCCCGCGCTCCCGAAAGAATTCGACCCGAAGAGGATCCAAGCAACCACACGAGGAGGAGCATGAGAAAGGGACGGGAACAGTCGAAGCGCCTGAATCAGACTATACAGATTCCTCAGAAGGAGCTCCAGAAGACGAACACTTGCCCCATCCTTTTTATCATTATGCCGCCGAAAAGCGAGACACCTACGCCGATGCCAAACTTATCTATCAGCGGCATCGATTGGACACTAAATCTGAGAAGGATCTAGGCAGTCCGTTGATGTTGGGCAAGTCCTACACCATGCCCAACTCTGCCATGGATGGAGAAGTGGGAACTCTACAGCGGACTCCCAGCATGGCATCGAGACAGTCTCGCGTCTCTCAACGTGGCGCTGGGCCCAGTGGCTTCCAACTCAACCATAGCAAGGAATCATTTCCTTCATTGCAAACCCACGCAGGCAACCTTCAAGAGATGCGCCCGGATCCGACGCTGCTTGCTGATGCCGCTGCGCGGGATCACAAACGTCACCCGGGCCTTCCGCACGAGTTCAAGGATCCTCTGCTGGCACATGAAGGTATGCATGGTGCTGGCGCCGGTATGGGTCTGGGATCTGGCCCTGGTGGGCTCGCCACGAGCGATGAATCGATCATTAGTGAAGTGCGCTCGATTTGTGACAAGATCAAGACAGTGCTGGATTTGAGGCAGAAGTATCTCAAAGTCTCAATGCAGTGTCCGGGGGTCAATCCCAAGGACGAAGAAACCTGGGAGATATATCCACCTCCGCCAAACCCGGTGTGGAACGAGCAAAAGGCTCGGGAACCACCTCAGGACTACATCCCTCCCAACAGCACCTCGAGCAGTCTGTACATGATCGACATGCGGGCTCGAAATGCAAGTGGAGGTGAGTTGAACATGTGGCCGACTAATGCAAGTCAGGCTGGCTCTGACCGGGGTCCACCGTCACCCACCAGCGCCAAAAAGGCGAGGAAGCCTGGCCACGCCATCGGCGAGGATTTCGACTTGAGCGAATGCATTATTCCGGGAAAGCAAGCCAAGAGCTTGCGCTTCGAGATGGACGCCGGAAGTGTCTATCAGGTCTACGATGAGAACGGCCAGCCTATCGCCGACGTACCGACTCTGCGAGACTATTATGTGGCGCTGGACACAATCCTCGACATCGCTTCGGACGGGCCAGCGAAGAGCTTTGCCTACCGCCGCCTGCAATATCTGGAAGGGCGATACAATCTGTACACTCTCTTGAACGAGTATGAAGAGGTAGCAGACACAAAGAAGGTGCCTCATCGGGACTTTTACAACGTGAGGAAAGTGGATACCCACGTGCATCATTCTGCGTGCATGAACCAGAAGCATCTGTTACGTTTCATCAAGAGCAAGATGAAGAAATGCCCTGACGAAGTAGTCATCGAGCGTGATGGCAAAGAATTGACCTTGAAGGAGGTCTTTGACAGCATCAATCTCACCGCCTACGATCTGAGCATTGACACTCTTGATATGCACGCGCATACGGACTCGTTCCATCGCTTCGACAAATTCAACTTGAAGTATAATCCAATCGGACAGTCGCGGCTTAGGGATATCTTTCTCAAGACGGACAACTTCATAAAGGGGAGATATCTTGCTGAGATCACCCGCGAGGTTATTACTGATCTGGAGTCAAGCAAGTATCAAATGGTAAGGAAAGCATCTGCAGTGGCCGCTATCTCGTGGACTAATCATGCGTGAACAGGTTGAGTGGCGAATCAGCATTTACGGACGCCATATCAGCGAATGGGACACCCTAGCTGCATGGGTCGTCGACAACAAGTTGTTCTCTCACAATGTCCGATGGCTCATACAGATCCCACGACTGTTTGCCCTGTACAAAGCTCTGAAGACCATGGAAGATTTTGAAGAACTCCTCCGCAACATCTTCCAGCCTCTGTTCGAAGTAACACAGGATCCCTCCACGCATCCCAAGCTTCACGTCTTCCTCCAACGGGTGATCGGCTTCGATAGTGTCGACGATGAGAGCAAGGTGGAACGACGGCTGTACCGCAAATACCCTGCGGCGAAGGAATGGAACACCAAGCAGAACCCACCATATGGATACTGGATCTATTACCTTTTCGCAAATCTGACCTCTCTCAATGCCTGGCGCAAAAGGAGAAACTTTAACACCTTCCTCCTGCGTCCTCACTGCGGCGAAGCAGGTGATACGGATCACCTGGCTGCCGCATTGTTATGCTGTCACAGCATTAGCCACGGGATCACCTTGCGCAAAGTCCCCTTGTTGCAGTACTGCTTTTACCTCGAGCAGATTGGCATTGCCATGTCCCCACTAAGCAACAACGCGCTTTTCTTGACCTACGACCGTAACCCCTTCATCAGCTACTTCAAAAAGGGTCTCAACGTCTCTCTTTCGACGGATGACCCCTTACAATTCGCCTTCACCAAGGAACCCCTGATTGAGGAATACTCCGTTGCCGCACAGATCTACAAGCTCTCCGCCGTCGACATGTGCGAACTGGCCAAACACTCAGTCGATCAATGCGGCTTCGAGCTGTCGCTCAAACAACGCTGGTTGGGTAAGTATTGCTACCTGCCAGGCGTGCTGGGCAATGATGTCGCCAAGTGCAATGTGCCCGACGTCCGAGAAGCATTCAGACACGAAACATTGAAGGCCGAGCACGCGTTCATTGCGAAATACACCAACGACTACAGTCATTTTGATCGATGTACCCCTGACTTGCCCGATCCCTCCGATCCAGCTACGCCAGTGGACGAGATATACCGAGGTCTGGAGAGTCCGAAACAATACTATGCGACATTGGCGGTGGCTGATTCAATTGCTCCTGCTCAGCAAGCCAGAGAGAGAGAGCGGGAAGCAGCTCTGTCCAAGTCAAACACGAATATGCCTGCGGGTAATACTTCACCCACCCGGCTACGAAGGACTTCGAGCGTCCTATATCCAGCGACGTCGAACCCTGCGGACGCACATATCTCGGGCCAAGAGCCACGCGTGTTTCCGGGCATCGTGCACCAACGAGAGAGGAGACGCAGTTTACGTGTTGGTTCTGGTAATTCGGAGGGCACGGGCCAGCACTCGTCGGACATGGCCAGCAGCTTACAATTGGAGCCCGGGCTCGCCAAGATCACACTGAGGGAGGACAGGGAGATGCAGATGGAGCAGGATGACAGCTGATTTGGGGCACGCACAGTGTCTCTCAACAATGTCTGGGTTTTGGCATGTAGGACGTGATGGAGGGTTGCTGCGTAGACTGACCGCCTTTGGAAATGACTGGTTGAGAACATCCAAAGTACTCTCAGACCTTGCTCCTCAACCCTGAAATATGGGGTAGCATCCCCCCTGACTGCATCGTACTATGCCTGCAGCTGTCCTTTGCAGCCTGCCTGAGATTATTGATGCCCGCGCGGGAGGAAGCACGACTGAACGTAGATCTCCTCGCAGGAGTGTGCATGGATAGCTGCGGCAGGGCGCATGGATCTCATGCTCGACCCTTGACAGGTTCGGGAGAAGTCGGGTGACAGCGGACACGGATGGATTTGGATCGAGAGGAGCGGTGGGCGCCGCTGGCCAATAACGCATGTCGCGACCTTCCAGGCCCGAAATCCGGGGAAGTAGTGTCTGTAGGTCGGGTTCGTTTGCCCTCGAGTTCACAGCGGCTTGCTTGCTAATGGAGCGACGAGGTTGGAGCGATGATCTAGATGCGCAAAGAGGAAAAGCCAACTCGGGTGAATCAGCCCGAGAAAGCTGACTCAGGGCATGGCATTCTGGCACTGGGAGGCATCAGCTGGATTGTTGGATAATCATATGGCAAAAGAAGAAGTGTTGAAATGCATGTCTTGACCGACGCGACGCCAATGGCGCACATTGATTCGATACCCGTTTCTGCGCAGAGGCGGTCGAGTCTCCAGTGGCGCTGCCTTCCGCAAGCTTGTCAGTCCCCTCGCATGGACAGTATAGTCAGTCGTCTTGTCGATCTGGAGTCTGGGGCATCAGACCGCTGTGTTCGGTGAGGAGCAGAGTAGCGGAGAACATGAGTACTACTCCATAACGGCGATGAGACAACTTGCGTCGATGACGAGTTGCTGAGGTTGATTTACCCTCCGACCGGGCGACCGCAAGTTAGTGGTGGAGTCGAGCCCACTAGCCCAGTGCCTCAGGGCTGGTGAGGCCCCAGGCACCCTCAGAATTAAGGCTTTCCGCTGGCCCCTAAATTGGGGAAGTTGGGCGAGGGTTCGGGTCACCTACGGGCCACCTACAGGTTCACCAGTGCAGATCCAGTTAAAGGCCACGCCCCCCAAGCGGCAACCCAGTCACCCAGCCAGTGAGTGCCCCCAGTGGGTGCCGGTGGTTGGTTCGTGTAATTTGGTCATTGCAGCCGTGGTTCACCGGTCTCGCCCAACACGTCGTCATCGTCATTTCGCTTGGTACAAGGGACAGAGTGCGTGCAGTGCGTGCAGTGTGTACACAATGCTCGTGCTCATCCCACCAAAAGCCACAGCGTAAGATCACTGGTGGCACTGTATCTTTTCGTACCTCGTATCATTCCATTCCCATCTCCCTTCTCCATCTCCTGGATCGGTTCTCCAAAACAGCTGCTCCCTGTTCGACCCTCCATCATTGCTTTCTTTGAACCAGAAAAGAAAAACAACCATCCCACGCCCCGTCCTGCATGTTTGAGTTCAGACTTGTTGTGTCTCGAGTCAAGGTTCCCCCCCCCTGCCAGATCAGAATCGTCAGAGAAACTTATTGTATTGTCCGCTTTCGTTCGTTCGTTTCATTCCATCTATCCCTTTCTCCTCCTCCTCATCCTCCTCGTCTGCCGCCGCCGCCGCCGCCGCCTTATCACATCCCATCTCTCGCGTGAGTTCTTCTACAGCCATCACGTCCTCCGCATATACCCGATTACTCCTCCTAGAGGACGTTGCCCCCGCATTTCCTGGCCCTCTCGCATCCTTGACGGCTCGCTGCATTCCCATGCTCGCGTGCTCCTAGTCAAGGCAAACCGTCAGTTTCCGAGAAAGGAACCTGAGCAAAACATGGGCTGTCTGAAATGAGACAAGCATTCGCCTCCTTCACGGCCTAGATCATGACTTCGACCTCCCCGCCTCCACCCAGGCGATTCACCCCCGAGCCCGTCGAGACCACCGTCAGAAGCTCAAGATCAGCTCGCAGCCAGTCAGACCACCCCTCGCCCACACTTGCTACAAGTATAACCACCTCATCTTCAGATCCCGCATCCTCCATGCCTTCCCCTCAGACCAAACCTCGCAGGTTCTTGCCTCAGCCGGTGGAAGAGACATTTCGGAGTTCTAGGAAGAAGAACATCGTGGACGGTGTAGAAGATTCGACAACGGCCAAGGAGACTGGTGGCGGTTCTACGAATGAATCCAGTATAAATGCCGACACATCGCCCGACGATTCTGCCTCCCATTCAGGTATACACAGAAGCGGTGCTTCTGCGGGACCCAGACGGTTTGTACCTGAACCCGTGGAAACGAGTACTCGGTCCTCGAGACGGAAATTCGCCCCGGAGCCTGTGGAAACAAGTACGAGGAGCAGCAAGGACAGAGGCAGCGTCCAGGAAGGGGAGACGGCCAAACCGCGAAGGAGGTTTGCCCCAGAACCGGTTGAGACGACGACAAGGAGCTCCAAGGAGAAGAAACCCCAGGACGAAGAAGAAACAACCTCGAGCCGTCCTCGTCGGAAGTTCGTCCCGGAGCCCATAGAAACTACTACAACCACGAGAAGAAGACGCGACCCTGTCCCAGAAGAGCTGGACGACGAGCCTCAGAAAACCGGCGATTCCACTACTTCTAGTAGAGCTTCATCCGGACCCCGCAAATTCTCTCCAGAGCTATTAGAGACTGCAAAAGGTTCCTATCGACGTGTCCACCTTTCTACTCCCGAAGTCAGGCCATCACCCTCACCGAGTCGACGAGAGCCTTCTCCGTCACCAGCGGAGGAAGAACAGACGGTAGACAGTTCCGGGGTTGAAGAATCGCGCTTCTCTGCGGCGGCTCTCGCCCGAAAGCAGCCAGAGGCCTTACGCCAGCATTCATTCGCCATTCCTGACCTACCTATAATAGAGTCCACCTCAGAAGATGAAGGCTCCGAAGCACCTTCGCTAAGCGACTCACCTTCGTCCGTGGAATCATTTGCGAAGAGACCAGCTCCCAGTGCAAAGGACAGCTATACCGAATATGTGCTACGCTTGGCTGCCGAGACGGTGAGCGAGAAGGAACTAGAAGAGCAGGCAATGGCCGCCTACATCAATGAACGGCCGCATGAGCCTGTAGACCACTTTGCCATCTCACGCGAAGATGAAGAGGATGGTCCTTTGCCGGTGCCAATGTTTCAAGGCGAAAAGGGGGCCGATGCACGCACCTTCCGACGGTCGTCGGCGGCAGAGTTGAATTTGGAGATGGAGAACATGCGAAAACATCACCAGCAGCTAGAAGCGGCGAAACGAGAGCTCAAGGCCGATACCGCCGGGCAGAGTCGGTTCAGTGCCGCGGCGTTGGCAACCCGGCATGCATTGGAGGCAAAGGGCTTGAAGAAGATGAAGAAACCCAGGGCAGAGGAGGAAGACCCTGAAATGGCCCGTATGAGGGCTGCTGCGTCACCTCCGATGCTGGGCAGTGACCTCGTCTTCCCCTTCACCATCTCTCCGAAAATGACGCGCTGCGACCCTGATCAGCCTCCAAGACCTAGAACTGCGGAAAGTGACGATGAGTCGACGGAACCCAGCAGCCCTGAGCTTTGGAGACCACACAAGAAGCGTGAGAACAATGCTGGCGAAGGGCTGTGGATGGGCATGTGTCAAGCTGGACTGTGGCAACCTAGGAGTCCACAGGACGGCCTGCGCAGTGGCATTCAGACACCTTCCCCTGTCACTCCAGCAGGGGAAAGGAACAATCCTTTTGAAGCCAGCACTCCCGGTCGGGGATATCAGACCCCTGGCCGACGCCGCCAACACCTGTCAGGTCTAAGCTTTCTTCCATTGACCCCGCCCCGTAGCCAAGACGGCGACGATCCGTTCACTAGCACCATTGACAAAAAGCTGCGGATCGAAAAACAAATCGAGGAGGAATTCCCCAACCGTGTAATCACCCAGATATACAACTACCTGAGCCTGGGGTACCCCAGCCTCGCACATATGTTTGACGAAGAACTCAGCAAGATTTCTCGCATTCCTATCGAAGAACTGCGCAAAGACGATCATAACGTTGATGCCAAAGGGTATGTGGGCGCTCCAGAGGGCGATGGCTGGGATGAAGCCGAAGTCATCGGCAAGTGTAAAAGATGGGAGGCGTTGAGGTTATATGTAAGGGAATGGGCCCGGCAGAGCCCGAACTTCGCGGAAGATCGAAAACGCGCATGTTTGGGCGCCGACGAGGACTGGGGGGCAAGGGTCAGAAAGGGGAGCTGGGCTCATTAGGTTCGGTTCTCCTACGGCTACGGCTTTTCGCTGGGAGGTTGCGAAGATCTTGTTGTTATCAGCCACAGGTCATGGCAGCGACTTTTGACATTTTTGCCGTCTCGTCGACACCTTAGAGAATAGAGGGTCGAACTTGTTTGGTTTCCCCTGGGTATTGAGCGTGGAGAAGACGACGGTTCGTCTTTGTGGTTGCAGGTGTTGGGTTTCGGTGCTGTTGGAAGCCTAGGCTTCGAGGCTGTCTTGCATTTGCGGGGATATAAGCAGACATCTGTATAGGGATTACCTACGGACATCAAAATAATGATTTAACGAAATGAAGAGTGATGAGAAATTTTAATATGGACGGGCAAAGCTCTTCTCAGCTTGAAGAGAGCACCAACGAAGCAGCAAGACTGGGGAGTTACAATCTTCTCTCGGAATAGTCCCTTGGGTTCCATGGAAGGACTGGCTCTTCAAACGGTCAATTGGGCACTCTTCAACCTGGCGCAGCATCTACTCGAATCTACAGTATGCAGGTAGGTCATCTCACCACTGTGCGTTCTCTGGTAGGGATAGTCGAATAGCTAGTTTGTTGCCACCAACAGAGTAGAGGTCAGCCTTGCAGATTCCAGATTTCTGGAGATCTCGGAGTGGGTATAGAGATTCATTGTGTGACAAGGATTTTATCGACAACGCTACTGTGTAGATAGACGTTTGGCTGAATGGCTGTAGGAGGCTCAACTTACATTCGTCTGACTGCAGCATAGGTGACGACATAGCGGCGGTAAAGGGGGGAAGCATCCTGTCAGACAAAAACAAGAAGAGTTCGATCCGCCCAATGGTCCCTGTCAGTCAGCCTTACCCAACTTCTCAGCCACTGTTAGGCGCTGGAAGTCTCTCTTCAGCGCGACAGGGGGCTTCACACCCTTGGCATCCTTTTTCCCCCGTTTCCCCCGGACCAAGTCTACCTCTCAATGGTCAGTTGACGGTTCCACCCTCAGACAAATTGTTCTGCATGGGAGTTTTGTTAAGCACTTAGCACAATCACCCGCCTCTGTTGGCCCAAGCGGCTGAGACCGATATCAAGGGCACATCGATGGAGCCAATCCGAGACGCAAAGATGCCACCCGAGGGCCTGGAGATCACCAGGGTCGATCGTGAGTCATGGGAGCTTGGACCGGAAGATCAAGGGGAAAGAGCAGGAGAGCTGCGTAATTGGCACACATCCGAAGCGCTTCCCAGTGTGTGGTGTTGTTTCAAAACATCCCGACTGGGCCATTTGTTTTCCCCTTGCCATTCTCCGGATCTAGCCGAGCCATGGACAGCCTTGAGGAATTTCTCTCGATGACGCCAGGTCCGGTCAGGCGGTGGTGGCAGGTGGCAGTGCACAGCAAGGCGACGAAGGCCATTTGGCGGGTTGTCTTGTTCTGTTGCTCTGCTATGGGATGCCTGACGGCCAATTGGGGGCTGCACAGCCACAGAGTCGCACTTGTCCCGGAAGTGGCAGCTCTTTTCCTTCCCCCTTCCCCTATTGTGCTTGTATCACCGCTTGGGCCCTTGCTGTCATTGTGCAGAAAAAGCCATCAGCTGGAGAATGTCGCACAAGGGAAATCCGCGCTGCTCCCCTTGTCTGGCCGAATTCCCCGGATCGCTGACATAATTCGCCGCCACCGTCACCACGGCGGTGATGATGGCGGCGCCGTGGTCCACGCCTACAGACGAAACAATACCACACAGGGGGCTGGTCACGATGAGGGAACAGATAGCCCCATAAAAGAGAATCAGGTAGGAAAAAATGGCATCTGCACTGGCCAAGCCGGGTGTACATGTTTGTCCATACCCGCCAGACGAATACACTTCGGACCAGGCTGGCCATCCCAGTCCCTTGACCAAAGGCACCATGACGGTGACCAAAATCCCCTCCGGCTGCCTTATCTTCTCATGCGAACCACCGAGCCAGAAAACATCCCTTGCCTAAAATGCCGTCAACCTCTTGAGCTGTTGACACTTGCACCATGACCTCTCAGCCGTGCATTGGGCCGAAGGATTTTCACCCCTTGCTTTCGACCCCAAAGGCTCCAATCAACAGCGTCCATTTCTCCTGGTGGCCTGTCTGCTGCCCACCATCTATCCCATTGTTTCTGTGAACCTAGCGCAAAGCAGACTCGGCCGCACCAAATCAGCAGGTGTAAGTCACAGCCTTGAACTCGGACGAGCAATATACCTGTGGCAAACGATCTCGTCGGTAGCGGGGTACTTACTATGTTGCTGACCGGTATTCGAGCTGCTGCTGTTTTGTGACCATTGTGGGTGACGGGGGATATAACCTCACCATCCCTCACAATGTCCCATACCGGCAACTGTATATGAATGCAGGCACCCATCAAAGCCTTCGCTCAATCAAGACACTCACCGTCAATCACGTCTTCTATCCGAAATCACTGGCAATCTCAACCCTGACACCTCTGTTCATATTCAACCCAAACCTATCAACCTATTTCCTGGATTGAAGTCCATCCCTTGCTCTTGGTCACAGAGACCGACTCCCAATTGTCGACCTCTTCACATCACGCCTCAGCCTGACACATATTTCCCGGGCCTTGGATGTCTGATAGGCGCCGCAGAAGCCACGACGAGTACACACGTGAACCAATATTGGTCGAAAGAAGCCCTCAGGTGCGTACTTACCGTATCGTGCCCACGTCCTCACCGCAAAGAGAGCGGCTGACATTGGGATCCAAGCTCTACAACCTCTTCCGAACTCGCAAGAAGAGAGTCCATATCATTGAAGAAGTCCCTGTTCGAAGTCGACGGCCAGAGCGCCGTAGCTGGAGCCCTCCTCCACGCCCGCCTCCCTCGCCTCCTCGAGGCCCATATCACACCATGTCGTCCAACCTGGAGGACAACATTTACACCCCTCTCCCTCCGAAGCTGCCCCCAAAGACCAAGCATCATGACGAGGATGACCCTATCGAGTATGTCGTGGAGAAACGTTCTCCACGGCATCACAAGGTCAAGGTCATCCATGAGCCGTTCGATGATGAGGAGGCTCACCCAAAGGTGGAAAGCCCCTCTTCGCCACGAAAGCGCGACAGTGGCAAGTATTATATGACCGGAGCACGAATGGACGATGATTACGACAGCGCACGACGGGAGTATGACCGTGTGCGACCAGATCCGGAAGTCCAGCGGTTGCGTGATGATCTCGAGAGAGAAGAGCGCAAGCGACGACAGGCAGAACTTACTGCCGCCGCCGCCAAGGAAAAGGCCGATCGACTCAAGGCTGACCTGGAGTACGAGAAACGCCAACGGTCTCTGGAGAAACGTGAACGAGACCTTGCCGCGCGCGAAACGCGCCTCAATCAGGAGGAGCGAGAGCACCTCGCGGAAGCCCGACGACAGCGAGAACGCCAAGGAGTCGTTGTCCACAATCCGCCTGCCGTGGTGGCCGTGCGTGAACCCAACCGGTCGGCTCTGGACCGGGCCCGGGATGACTACGACCATCTCCGCAGTCAGCAAGCTCGCGACGAGCGACGACCGGCGACAGGGGAAAGACGGCCCCGGCGCCAAAGCATTATCATCGTCGACGACGAGCATGACCGTGAGCGAGATCGACGACAACAACGACGGCAGTAGGGTCTGGGGAGGGAATATATAGTGGACCAAGGTCGGGGCAACCCACGGACGGGATATATACATACGGGGGGGTTATTGCTGCAAAGCAGGGAAAGGAGGCACGGCGTCTTAGGAGGGTTTCAGAGGATACATATATCATTCGTGGCGGTAGGGACGGTCTTCGCCAGCAACCCATTTGTGCCATGGAGAGATGCCAACTCTTGTCATTCATTGAGATAGCCCACGGCACAGGGCTCCTGGTTATTGTGGCTTGAAACATCAAATGTTGTTATATAGACAGACACACGTGTGTGTTCTCCACCACGTGGCAATTGATTATCTGAATACATAGATAAGTAGTTATGGAAATCATCTCCTCTTCGCTGAGGAATGCCCTGCAATTGATTTCTCCACCAGTTCTGTCAGAACACCCCAGTGGAGCTCTGCAGTCCGAAGTCTGGAGATGCAACCCATTGTGAACCAGTCGGGTATGCGGGCTGCAACCCAACGGTCTAGAACCAGGGCGCTCGCTGATCACTCGATAGTATCAGTTGATCCGGCATATGCCATGGAGCAGCAAGCCGGAACAGGTGGTTTGCTGACACCAACAGGGACTGACCGACTTCAAGAGATGCAGGATTCAAACATCCTCGGAGTAGGGCAAGAAATGGACGATGAGACCAGTGTTGGGGATTAATTGAGATAATTAACTAATTAACTAATCAATAACTACATAAGTAATTAATTGAACACGAACCGGATCCTCAGGAGAAAGCGGCGAGGAGCCTGGATCTCGCTCGGTGTGCCACCAGTCTTCCCTTTTTTTTTTTAACCTGTTCCTCGGGAGGGCGCGTGACACGTTGACCTTTTTCTGGGGGAAATCGGGGTTTGCCATTGATTGTTTGGCTCGATATAACAATATGTATTCGGTACTTTGTACCTGTATGCACCATTACGTTCCGAGATAGATCTCCAGCTCTATTGCGTTACTCACCATAGTCTCTCTGGTGGCTTTGCCCATTCGGCCTCCCGTCCCACAGAGTATCAGAGAAACGTCCTCACAATTACAACCACATCCCCCCTCTCATCCAACCATCCCCACAACCCTTGAAGCTCCTGGATGCGCACAGTCCTGCTGCCGGCACGAGCCTGATTGCTCTGCTACTCACTTAGTCCCTCAACTGCCAGGGTCCGTGAATGGCGACGCTTCCTTGTTCCCGAGCTCCGCGCCTTATTCATCCTGGTCCCAGCCGTGCTCAGCAGCACGTTCAAGGGTCAAAGTCAAAGCCAAAGCTGCAGCTGTCCCGCCTCTCGCCCGTTTGAACTCTTTTTTTCCTGCTCCCTCGCTACCTGACGTATTTGCAACTTACTGGCGACCTTGTCACTGAATTTCATACGCAGTGTCGGCCTATCTTGCCATCTCGCAGCAGCCCGGCCCCAGCGCGAGGCATCCAGCAGCTCCGCGGGGAGCCCCATCTTCACCTTGACACGAACTTGACCATGAGGCGGAATACTCGCCGCATATCTCAGAAACCAGCTGCGGAACGCGTCGTCTCTCCGTCCATGATCGAAGTGGGCTGATCATAGGAACGACAAGAAAAAGAAAAGAAACATCATCTGCCGGGACGGATAATATGGGTGGCTCAGAGAACCAAGGGGAGCAGAAAGAGGAGGCTGCGGTTACCACGGTGTCGTCGTCGTCATCGTCGTCAACGTCGCTGCCCAGACTACCGGCCCCTCCGGAGCCCGAGAACGACAAAGGGATCATCCCCTCGATCAAGAGCCCGTCGTTGGAAGGACTGGACGATCTCACGGCGGAGAATGTGGACATCTTCAAGCTGGAACCTGTCGCGGCGCTGAAATTGCTGTGTCGCAGTATCGACGCCCTCGTGCAGATGACCGGCGACGTGCCTCCCACCCCCCCAGCGCGGAGTCGAGGAGGGTCCCCTGCTCGCAGTCTCTCGAGGCTCCGTGAGTCCATGACACCCGATAGTGCCGCGCAGACGCCTAAGAAGGAAAACGCCAAGCTACGACCACCGGGGTCGGCCTCGCATCATCAGGAACACATCGACGGAGTGCTGTTTGTGAAGACACCCATAGGCTCCCCGGAGGCGCACGAGCACGAGCCCACAGCGGCGGCTCATATCATCGGGGCCAATGCCCAGCCGCTGTACGTCCAGCACGGGGCACTTGCGCGCAAGTTCTACTCGAAACGGCCGCCTCCTATCTCCACCGAGGACTATCTGATGCGCATGCACAAATACTGTCCCATGTCGACGGCGGTGTATTTGGCCGCCTCCTTCTACATCACTCGCCTGGCCATCTACGAGAAGATCTTGCCGGTTACGCCCCGAAACGTGCACCGTCTGCTGCTGGCCACGCTGCGAGTCGCCATGAAGGCACTTGAAGACCTGTCCTGGCCCCACGCCCGCTTTAGCAAAGTGGGTGGCGTGTCCGAGGGCGAATTGGGTCGGCTGGAGATCACGTTCTGCTACCTGATCGACTTCAGCTTGAAAGTGGACGCCGAGATGCTGCAGCGCGAGGCTGAGAGTCTGTGCCGCCACAACCGGTACGAGGCCGTCTTGGTTGAGTATCCCCTCAGCCCGCTCGAACTGCAGATGCCGGAAAACGGGGACCGCAAATCACGAGGGGCCGAGAAGAGAAAGGCCAGCAGTACCTTGCCCAGCAGGCCGGTCGTCCAAGTCGGGACGGGCATTGAAGTGTTAGGCCAGTCTTGAACGATTACCCTCTCCAAGAAAGTTGGGGGACCAAAGGATTTACCCTTGTTTGGGTGGCCCGAGTTGTGTGCGGGTTTTTGACAGTGTGTGGGTGGCAAGCGTGGTCGGCGCTCGGATGGCAACATGGGATATTTTTATTCTTTTGCTTGAGGATGATGACGAGGCATTAATGGGGTTCTGGATATTCGCAAGAAGGAAGGAAGCCAACTCGACGCGGAAGAGATGAGGACAGGCATCTATCTATCTGGATCTGCAAGTGAGTGAACGCGAGCGAACGCATACAAAATGACTGGGCCATCGTAGTGGCAATTGTCTCGGGGCGGGTCCTGGCTTATTCCAGGGAATGAATCACTATTATTGTTGTCTGGCGAGATATGGATGTACCTTGTGTCTACTTACTTGGTACCATTATGTGTGATATTGGCATTGGCACCACGTAAGGCCTGTGTCACGTTCGGCTGATATGTATGAACGCCACTCAACTCGCGGCACTCCTTCGTATATATGTATATTAGATACTACTGACTGGGATTGGGCACACACAGCCAAGCCTAAAGCCGAGCCTCGCAAAATGCTTGATCCGATGTGCGTGTGTGTGTGACAGGAGGAAGAGAGAGAGAGAGAGAGAGAGATGCCCCAGATTCAGGTTCAGGTTGAGATCCACCCTCCATGCGTCTTCCCCGGCGCTCGTCCTGGGGTCATGGGGCGAGTATTATCGCCTCTGTTCTGGAAGGGGGACCCTACTCGATCTGGCTGTGCGGTCATGGCATAGTATGTAATGAAGTCCATCAGCTTGCTTATGAGGAAACACACACGGCGTTGATTCGGTCAGGACAGCCGAGGAAAGATAAATGGACAATGCGACACTGTCGGCGTTGGAGTCGGCAATAGTGGTAGCGCAGCAGGAAAGAGACATTTCCCCTTTTGCCATCGTCCCAAGTTACAAAGTTTCAATTTGCAACAGGATGGAAGTAAGTGCCTGGTGATTAATATGTATGCTAGAGCCTAGAGGGCTGTCGTCGGCAATTGACCGGGTTGCAATGGGCCAAAAGACGCCAAAAGGCCCCAAGGAGCGAAATGCGCCTGTTTGCCGCCACCTTGGTCACCATGGTCTTCTCGTTTTGTCTGGTCTGGTCTGGTCTTGGGCCCGATCGCGCTCGGTCGATGTCCGTCCGACCTATGTAACTCGTCCTTGTTCGTCGTGCCTTTTGGTGCCAAACAAAAGCGATTGAAAGCCACGAAGAGCCCGATTGGCGACACCACAACCACCCTGTCCAATCCGGCATTTGATCAGTGACGTTAGGATCTTCGTCGGTTCTCCCCTGCTCACTTGCATGCATGGCCGTGCTACCTGAGATGGGTCAAGACTTGGATCCGGAATTTTTCGTGCTTGTGCGATACTACGTTGCGAAAATTGGTGGTGGAGCTCTCGCCAGCCAGACCCAGAGGCAAAATGCTCGGTCAGGTCGGTCGAGGCGTCTGACAGAGGATAGCTCGCTGGGCTGGCGATGGAGACTCCTCCCAGAGAGACTGTCCCCGCCGTTGAGGATTTCCCAACATGGGTCATTCATTGGAAGGGGAGAATCCCATGGCTTGTCGTGACGAATGGGGAAAAGGAGAAAGCATTATACTTCTTTGCAGTGGTGGAGAGCCATCCCAGGACCCAGGATCCGCGTGACTGGAACTGCTTTCTCACGGCAATGTCCACATCAGAGAAAGAGAAAATTCCCACTTGCTCTCTTCTCACAAATCTGGCAAGGACTGCTGCAGACCTGATCCTTTCGTGTTCTCGAACTGCCAGATCCCCAGACCCCCCAGGCAGGGAATCGCCCTCGATTTACCCCAGAACGCAGTGTAACGTGGGATCTTCACCCCGCGGACTAAACGTCTGCACACGGATATAAAGAGAAGCTGGTCGGACGATCAGCGGGGAGAGTTCACAGTGCTTGTTCAGTCCTCTTCTCCGTTTCCCTGTTTTTTGTCCAATATATTTTGGTTGGCAGGACGGTCGTCGGAGGGTTTGGAAGTGGCTGCTGGTGTCGTTGCCAGTTACCTCGATATCGAACACCCTCCTTCACCACAACCTCACCACTGTTTCATTCGATACAGCGACAGCAAGCGTGTGTGCACTGAGACGAGTTTTCAATCATGTCGGAAAAGGCCATCGAGGAGAATGTCATCTCCTCCCAGCCCTCCCACGGCCTGGCCGAGGAAGTCGCCCGGGACGAGTTCGCCCAGCAGAAAACCTTTGACCGTGTCATCCACAATGCCCAGAGCGCGACCGAGAAGGAGCACAAGATGACCTTGTGGCAAGGCATCAAGCTCTACCCCAAGGCCGTCGCCTGGAGCATCCTGATCTCGACCTGCATCTGCATGGAGGGCTATGACGTGTGCTTGCTGAGCAACTTTTGTAAGTCATGCCGGTCGTGCTTCAGGGTCCCGTTCTGTCTTTCTGACTGCGATTTCAATAGACGCTTTCCCCCAGTTCCGGAAGAAATACGGTAAACAGCTCCCGAATGGGGATTTCCAGATCCCTGCCAGCTGGCAATCCGGCCTCAGCAACGGCGCCAATGTCGGCGAAATCATCGGTCTCATGATCAACGGCTGGGTCTGCGAGCGTTTCGGCTACCGCTACACCCTCATCACATGCCTGGCCCTCGTCGCCATCTATACCGCCGTGTTCTTCACCGCTCAGACCGTGGTGGCTATCCAGGTCGCAGAGATCCTCTGTGGCATACCCTGGGGCGCGTTCCAGATCTCCACGTAGGTATTCCCTGTTGATCATCTTGATTCCGAGCGTTTGAGATACCGTTGGAACCTCTTGGGAACTTCATACTGACTTGTCACCGTGTCCCAGGATCACCTATGCATCTGAGGTCTGTCCAGTGGCACTCCGAGGATATCTCACGACCTACGTGAATTTCTGCTGGGGGTTGGGACAAACGATCGGAATCGGTGTGATCAAGGCAATGCTGCCTCGAAATGATCAGTGGTCATACCGCATCCCTTATGGACTTCAGTGGGTATGGCCGGTTCCACTAATTGTCGGTATCTTTCTCGCTCCGGAATCACCGTGGTGGCTGGTGCGGAAAGGCCGTATCGATGATGCCAAAAGATCCCTTCTCCGACTGACATCCCTCGACCGCGAAACCGACTTTGACGCCGATGAGACTATTGCGATGATGGTCCACACGACCGCCTTGGAGGAAAAGATTACGAAAGGTGCCTCGTACTGGGATTGCTTCAAGGGGACCGACTTGCGACGAACTGAGATTGTGTGCATGGTGTGGGCCATTCAGAACCTCTCCGGCAACTCGTTTTCAGGATATTCGACATATTTTCTTGAACAAGCTGGCCTAGCCCCGAGCAAGTCCTACGACTTTGCCCTTGGACAATACGGGATCAATATGGCTGGGGTATTCGGAGCCTGGTTCTTGATGACCTGGGGCATCGGACGACGCTCGCTCTACCTCTACGGACTCTGTGGCTTATTCTCCATGCTGCTCATCATGGGATTTTTAGGACTGGTCCCACGCGCTCACCGAGACGAAGCCGCCCTCGCTACAGGATCGATCATGCTGGTGTGGGCACTTTGCTACCAGCTCACCGTGGGCACTGTCTGTTACTCGTTGGTGGCGGAGCTTTCTACACGCCGCCTACAAATCAAGACCGTCGTACTGGGCCGCAATCTGTACAACATCGTCGGGATTATTTGCTCCGTCTTAACGCCATACATGCTCAACCCTGGTGAATGGAACTGGGGCAACTACGCCGGATTCTTCTGGGCGGGGATCTGCTTCTGTTGCATCATCTACACATACTTCCGTGTTCCAGAGCCCGCAGGTCGCAGCTTTGCGGAACTGGATCTTCTCTTTGAGCGCGGCGTCAGCGCACGCAAGTTCGCCACCGCACACATTGACGTCTTTGAGGAGTCGGTGGTTCATGAAACAGTGGACGGGACAAACACGTTGAAGACCTACGCGCAGAAGAGAGAAAGCACTGTGCAAGGAATTAGCGGTGAGGAGACGATGCCTCCTAGACAGTTGATATGAGGGACTGATGCATCGTGAATGGACTTGAGAGAGAGACTGAAGGATCACGGGAAGTGAACCTGTAACGATTGGGTGCAAAGTCGACCAGGCTTCGAGGCTGGACATGAAAATGGACTCTTTCCCAATGTACTACATTACACTGTATTAGTCCGATAAAGCGAGCCAATTTGGACAGGGCCTTGATGAATGATGCAAATACGCACGAGGTCCTTAATCACCATCCTGTATCCTCAGAGCTCGTTTCGCGGGGTCCCTCCATGTGGATTCCTCCCTCCTCTCAGGAGGTCAGATGTGGGCGAACGATGTCGTTAGTGTATACCGCAAAGACGCCTATTTGATTTGTGATCGTCACCCCCTGTAGATTAACATCCGCACCTCCATATTCGCGACCACGGGTTTCTTGGAAATTTGCTGCGGTAGTGGTGGGCGTGAGGTGCAGCTGGCCATCGCACACAGTGTGTATTACTTCTCACTGGCAATAGTGGTTCTCTGTCTCACAATCAAGGCCATTTAGCTTGTCCGAATGTTGTTCACTTCCTTCGGTTCGAGGAACGTTCTCCTGTGGGTGGACGTCGCCAGCATCCGTCACCCACGGCGACTTCGCAAAGACAGTCACCTGCTGCAATCGCAATGGTGGCGACGACGTGCTCTCAACCGCAAAATTCCCGGAGGCTCCAATATTCACCGTCCAATAATGATGCCGATGTCCCGAAACCATCTCAACCATATTGAGCTGACAATTCGACCACATCTGCTCGACCATGTTTCGCCTCATTGCTCGACACTTACAAGGAAGCTATCACATACCTATTTCGTAGCTATTTTGACCAAGCGATAAACTCCTCATCATATGCAGGATTGGCAGCCTCCAGCCCGATAAAGGTCTTCTGGATAGCCTACCATCAGATATCGAAATGCACTTGCGCTGGACGCTCTATATGAAGACGCACCGATGGCAAGCGAGGGGCTAACCAGTAGTCGCGGTGCTTCACCGGTATTATTGTGAGAAGGTGTTCAACATTTTGGAGGATCTCGACTTCGACGACCAGGCCGCCATTTCCCGTTCCCAAAGCCTCATTACTTCCACTGGTCTTAGATGGAACTGCCAGACGATCAGTCTCCTTAATCGAACCGACGACATCGTGCGACTAAAATTCAGCTCTTCAGAAAGACAGCTCTACGACTCCATCGAAGCTCAGGCAGTGCTCTCGCTCAGTCGGGGTAAGCCTGCCCTTCATGCAGGAGGGATGAGACCCGGTAGTGTACGGCCAAAGACCAGCAGCTCTTGAACATGCAAGTGTCGGTCGATTGGTCCTGATCAGCGATTGTCATGAGGTTGGACTGGAACAGGCCTGCAAGAGGCCACGTCAGGCAGAGAGTGCTGCGGTGCAAAGCAGGCAGAACGAGGCAGGACCGTCCATGGCGCTAGTCCAAAACTGGTCTACCTCCGGCAGCGGCCTTGCTCGGAACCTTAAAGTCCGCCTTGTCCGCATAGACAGGGTTGAGTACTAGCCTTGATTAAGAATAGTGTCAGCGCTTATGGCGAGCGACCCCACCTTCCCTCCACCGGTCCAGCTCGACAGCCTTGTCAACGACCTCAAGACAGACCGGGTTTGTGTCTCTTCTCCTTCAAGTCATATCGAGCACCTGTATTCTCTTTATGGACCACTTGCGTCGCTTTCTCCTTGTCCCTCTTGCTTTTCCCCCTGGCCGGGATGATCACATCGCTCACATACTAGAACACTGAGAAACAATGCCCTCCCGCAAAGCCAGACGGGCGTCTCATAATCGACTCAACCACGAAGACAATAGGAACAGAGGCAAGGTACTGAGGCAGCACATCACAGCCGGTCGCATATTCTTCCTCCCCAAGATAGAGCAGATCGAGAACGCGGTACTGCGGAATAGTTCAATCGAGACTGGGTGCTTCGGCCACCCTGTTGTGATATGCCACGCGGGCGAGCATACTGACGCGGTTAATTTCTTGATGGTACTTCCTTCCCTCCGCTCCCTTTTCCATGCACTGGCCTGTGGGGGAATTGTAGCCCAGCAGGCAATCTATACACACACATATACACTCACACAGAGAAAGAGAGAGATCATATATACAAGTGCGGGCGAGAGAAAAAAGGCTAATTTGCACTCGTGAACATCCTCAAGATTACGTCGTTCCGTGGCAAAGGTCTTGACGGATACATCAAAGACGCTGTCCGACGCCGAAAATACCTCCCCATCTCCCCTAGCCGAGCCCACGCGGAGAGCAACTCCATTACCCTCCACCTCTCGGACCGCGCGCAGCTGGAGAAGAACTCGTGGGTCAACGCGGCCAACGGGCTCGTGGCCGACTGGCGCATTCTCCGGCCCTTCACGGTCAACAGGAAGGAGTCAGTCTATCTCACAGACGCGTCGCTTCGGGCCCTTCTTCAGTACATTGTCGACCGCGACTTTGGCTCGGTCTCGCCGTCAGCAGCAGCCGCCATACTCTCCGTGGTGGTTTCGGGCGAGCCGCGACAGGGCCTGGGCAGCGGTGTTTCCCTTCCCACACCTCCTCCCTCGCCGGCGCCGCATCGAGGAGGTCTGCCCACGTACCCGAGCGCCGCAGGCGGTTCGACAGTCGTCGAGCATTTTCCTCGCCCGGCCCGAGTGGAGGTTCCGACCGTGTACTCATACGCAACCAACACCTATACAGCCGCAGCATCCCCAGTCCGTGCTCCACGTCCCTCTCCTGTGACTGCCCCTTTGATTTGGCCTCAGCCCCAAAGCTACTTGACATCATCCTCCCCCCCTCGGATACCGGGCTCTTTCCCGCAACCGACCTATGCCCAGAACGATCACCGACCCCTGTACACGGCAAGACATCACTACCACCACACTCGTGCGAGAGAGCCTTTACTCCCAACCACAACGAGGACGAGGACGACGACGAGGGCACCTGCCTTCAGTTCGTACACCCAATATTCTGGCAGCTGCTGGCTTGCTTTCCTTGTCGTCGTCACATTGCTCCTCTTGGGCTACGCGATTTACTTGTACAGCAACCTGGAACCTCTGATGTCATGATGGTTTCTCGACGATACCTCTCTTCCTCCTCCTCCTCCTCCTCCCCTCATCATCGCACACTTCTGACCTGCACGCACTTCTGACCTGCACTCCTGCCATATAGCGTTATGATCTGAAGGATTGTTGTTCGATTGAAATGGAAAGACACGGACCATTGCAATGCTTGCGTCTTTGCTCGGCGATGTGAATCTCTCATGTCCCAAACACATGAATATATATACTTGTCAAGTTGGAAAGAGAGGGATTTTCGCACATGATGTTCTTCATCCAAAGCAGACGGGGACCTGATCTGAAGCATATTTTGATTATCAACATTGGAGTCCAGGATGACAACACCTCGTGAAAGATCTTTCTTCTTTCTCCCTCGATTTGGTCATATATATATACATTCACTCCCCGTCGGGTCTGGTCGGCTACACGATATGAGCGAATTGGCTATATGAGCCTTCCAGGCCGAGATGAGATGAGATGAAGCAGACAGTAATTGACCCTTTCCCCATCTATTTCCCTTGCCTATTCCCCCGTCAGGGACCGTCCGACAAGCTTGTGTGATATGTATGCTTGCTTGATAATGCCAAAATGCCCCGTCAAAAGTTGGCAAGACAATATTCCGTCTACATGTATATTACTTACTGTACTACCTAGTAGTTAGTACATAACGCTTTGCCGAAAATAAAACGGGGCGCAGTGAACTATATTAGATACAGTACAGTACGTACTATGGCACTAAACTAATTACATATTTCTGACCAAAACTTTGACCTTTTGACTTTTCAGAAAAGCATGTTTCCCCCGAGGGCCGGAAGGGGGGCCCTCTTTGGCGGTCGAATTCCCCTTTGCTGGAGTTGCATTTCCCTGTATCATACATACATATGCTTAGGGTTAGAGTTGTTGATTGGTAAGCTTTGAAGGAGAAGAAGACCAAGAATTTTCAATATTGTTTTGGAATACAAAGAGGTTTAGTTAGTTTAACATACCACAGCCGAGCCTAGCCTATGGGGAAGACAGAGATAGACAGAGAGATAGAGAGAGATGCTAGCTCTCCCAGCACCCCTTCTCGCCCAACCCACAGAAAATTGCTCCGTCTTGCTTTCTTGGCTTTCTTTCATTCTTTTATCTTCGACTACGGCGTCACCGGCACCCCCAGCGCCTGACACGCCTTCTGCCAGTAGGCCACCCTGCCGTCGTCGACGGTCGTGCCCACACATCCCGTGACAAAGGCCGTCTGCCAATTCTGCTGGCCGCCCTGGCGCACCAGGGCCTTCTGGGCGTCGGTGCAGTGGGTGGCGTAGAACCACGCGGCGGCCGCGAAGGAGTACTGGTCGGGCTGCACGAGGGCCAGGACCTGGTCGGCCTGGGCGTCGGTCACGCTGCTGCTGGGTGTCCCTGCTGTCCCGACGGCCGCGGCGACCTGGGCCGTGAGCTGCGGGATCGACTCGGCGTACTGCTGCACGAAGGCCGGCGACATCATGGTGCGCGTGCCCTGGCCCGGCCGGCCCGGCGCGGGGAAGTGGTTGTGGTTGTACTTGAATTCGCCGCTCTCGTAGGCCATCCAGGACAGCAGGGCGGCCTGCTCGGCGGCGGTCGTGACGTTGTACTGCGCGAAGCTGGCGACGATGTCCTGCACCACCGCGAGGGACGACACCGCGCACTCGCTGGGGTAGGTGGCGCCGGCGCAGGTGTTGGACGTCGGTGCGATGTACAGGAGTTGCTGAACCGGGTCGGGAGCTGTTGCCGCCGTGTCGCGGTGACTGAGACGATGGAGGGAGAAGAATCGAGAGGGAGGAGGTGGAGGAGCCGCCCAGGCGGTGGTGGTGGTGGTGGAGATGGTCGCGGCAAGCCAGAGGAGGTTGATCAAGGAAAACCCCATCTTGAGTTCGAGTTGTGTGTGCTCTGTGAAGTTTCTCTTCCGTCAGTCAGTGCCGGGGAGATTGCTGTGAGTGAGAGATGTGTGAGATAGAGTGAATAAGGAGGAGTAAGGAGATCAACAAGCGATCGAGTATGTTTTTTGGTTGCCTGGAAAGGAAGGACGGTTCTCAGAGGCGAGATATTCTTGCATTGCTGGCTGGCACGAGAACCAAGCCGCCGAAGGCGACAAAGATAAATAGATAAATCAACAAAGTAAAAGCCATGCGCGAGCGATAAAGGGGGTTCCGGTCATGGAGGGATTAAGGATGTTTGTTGGTCGGTCGTTGTAACAAAACAAAGGACAAGCAGAGAAAGAAAGAAAGCGGCGCTTACAACCAGACCAACAAAGAGAACGCGGCATCTGTCTGCGTACGACTCACTCACCCGGCTCCAAAGGCCTGTCTTCTCACCAGGAGACAAAATACTTGAAAAACGTCGACCAATGCAGAGCACAAGTGCATGGGAGACGACGTCGCCTTTCAAACAGAGCTGCCGTTGAGTGTTTCATCTTTGGGCACCAATCATCAACTGCTGCCCGAAGTATTAATGAATGGCAACGTCTCAGTGTGTAATACAAGGAGAATCCCTTTACTTTTCTGCTTTTCCTATAACCTATAACTTATATCGGGGGGTATCATTATGTCCATCACGTTCGTCCTTTGATTTGGCCTCGAGCCATTTTGCAAATCCAAAGTTCCCATCAACAATTCCATCAACGCCCAGATCTATTGCCGTCAGACACCCAATGCAACCAGCAGCAAAACCCCTTTCCTGGCAGCCTGCTCAGTCTTCTTCGGCCTCGGCGTCAGTATCGCACTCGGCATCGTCTTCCTCGTCGTCATCTTCGGTCTTGATTGACGGCCCCCTGTCGCTTGTGTCGGCATCGTCATCATCATCATCATCATCAGCCTCATTGTTGTCTACTCCGCTGTGGCTCTCCCCAACTTCCTCCGCCTCCTCCTCCTCCTCCTTGATAAATCGTCGGCTTCTTCTCTGCCCGTGGGCACGCCGACTGGGCTGAGCGGGCTCGAAGCCCACGAGCCAGTACTCTCCTTTCTTATCTTTCTTCACAAGACCCTCAGCGATGGCCCACTGCCGGAGACCGTCATCGACCTCCTCATCCTTGCTCTTCACATGGTCTCTCTCAAAGTGTCGACCAACGTGTTCCATCCTTTCATCCCAGCCGCGAGACTCTTTGCCATCGACAAATTTCTTCCCACAGAATCCGCACTTGGTCTTTTGAGGAGCCTGACGGCGGTCAATCCAGCAGCGAGCGCGTATATCTTCGAGCTCCTTCTCGAAGTTGTCCCGCTCTTTCTTCGACACGTCGTCTTCGCCCTTCTTACTTGCCGCCCAAGGGGCATGCATGCGTCGGCAGTGCTGGGTGAAGAGATCCTTGCGGTTGAAGTCATTGTATCCCTTGTCCTGAGTTCGCGCCGTCTCCGCTGAGCAGGTGCCCAAGTCGCAGCGGTAGAGGCCCAGTTGGACGTGTTGAGAGGACACATGTCGTTTCCACTCGTTCTTGTTGCCGAATGTCGCGAAGCAGCCGTAGTGGTGGAAAGCGCAGGGAAAGTGCTTCGACCCGGATTCATCGTTCCGGAGCGCTCGGGGCTTCTTCTTGGTCTTGGGGCGCGATCTCCCGCTATGGGGTGTGTCAGAGGCTTGAGCACGTTTCTGCACTCGGACCTTTGGGTCAATGACTGCTTTGAGACGTCGTGGCTCTTCATCCAGAGAATGGCCTCTCGTGGTGCCAAATTGCCGGCGGGTGACATTCCTTCTGGGGCTGAATTCGGGATCGTTGTCCGTCTCAGTGACTCCAGCAACCTCCTCTTCATCTTTCATCATCTCGTCGTCGTTATCATCATCATCGTGGCCTGGCTGATCGAGCCCTGAGTCCGGGGGACTAGCGAGCTGTTCCGACAGCTCGAGCTCCATGGGAAAGTTGATCCTGGAGGGGAAGGTCTCCTTCATGTCGACAGGCTCGTCATAATGCTCTGGATCTGGCGTGACCTGGAGATGTCTCATGCTGGGGACGGTGTGGTTGGTGGGGACAGGAGTGGAAGGATGAGAGGACATGAAGACGGGTTGCCGAGTCCAGCCATGGCCCGTGGCCGATGATGTTGCCATGGGAGCGGGCCAGTATCCCACTGGTGAGTGAGTCAGGGGGACGGTAAGCGAGCTCCGAGCTGCTTCTGGACTACGAGCATGGTCGCTGATCGACGAGTCGCTGTTGCTGGAGAGAGTGAACCCCAAAGGGTCGGTGGGAGAGGGATGACGCAGATGGCGGAAATGGTCAATGTCACGGCGGTCGGTGTCAAAGCCATTCAGTTGAGGCAGGGCTCTGTCACCGGTCTCCCACATAGACCGGTAGCTAAAGCCTTGGGCGACCGGGTCGTAAGAGGCACAGGAATATTGAAACCCCTCAGCGCTCTGGTAGGGGGCACTCATATCGAGTAAGGGATTGATCGAGTGAAATTCTCCGGGGTTGTACCAGTATCGGGGGGGAGTGCCATGGTCGTCGGATCCTCTATACACATACTCTGGGCCCTCACTCCCGAGCACATCTTGATAATGTGAGTGGTAATGCATGATGTGCTCCGCCGAGAGACCAGTGGCAATCGGTTGCAGACTGCTGCAAGGTACAATGTACGGGGAAATGCTTGTGTGATGTTCCACTGACAGCCAAAAAAAAAGGACTGACAGGTAGTGTGTGTGTGAGAGAGAAAAAGAGTTCATGAACGACTGGTATCAGGAACGAGCATTTGGAGTATATGAATAAGACCACAGGTGGGCCACTTTTCCAATCTTCAAACTGATAAACCAGAAAGCTATCAAGCGAGCGGAAAGGGGGGCCATCAAAGAGCATCACGCAGTGGAATGGGGGAAGACTGCATCAATACGAGCATGCGCCATCAAACAGGGTGGAGAGGGGGAGGAACCTTCGGTGATGGCCCAGTCACAGCTAGGGCACCCTCCCTCCCAGGACTCACGCAGAGCCGCATGCTTGACCTTTCTTCTCGAGTCCCAAGCGACTAGGACAGGAACGGCACGCTCGAAGCCTAGTGTCTGAAATGTCGCCATGTCACTGGGCCAGATCATCCAGTAGGGACTCGCCAGCGCCCGTGGCCATTGGCTGGTTGAAACCGGTCTGTGTCGGTGTCCCCCACCCCAAGTCTGCCTTCTTGACGCCTCGCAAAAACGCTGCCCAAATCCCAGCGAAACCGAACTTGGACAGTTAATATGTGCCACTGCCACCACCGTTTCTGCGGGCAAGGCGTCTGCGGTCCTGCTGGTCAGTCTTTGGCCCCCCCTGCATGGCCCCGTCACGGCCACAAACCTCACGAACCACTGACGAAACACTGTCCAATGGCTTTCTCGACCTTTGGTTGGGCAGACTCATCGTATTGTAGAATTGCTCTCTGGCATTTGTGGAAGAGCTCGGTTAGCCCACAGCTGAACACCCATGAGTGAAAATTTTGCAAAGCTCGTCCCTATCGGGTAAACGCTTTCTCATTCAGTGCGCGAGAGCAGGGGAACAGCACCTCAATTGGGAAGGAACCAGACACAACACGGTTAAGCGATAGATCTGGATTCTGCGAAGGTCGCTGGGTTGGACGAGGTAGCGACCGAAGCAAAGACAAGGTGTGGCCCCGCTCGTATCGACCGCCCGCCAGAAGTCCCTCTTGCTCAAGTCAGGAGGAGTAATGAACCTGGGGAGGACGGCCACCCAGCTGGCAGGGCCGGCACGATGGGTCTTCGGGGGGTAAACTAACGGCGAGCCGGGGACCAACAAGGTTGGAGGGTAACTAGAAGCGGGCCAGCCACCAGCTCAGAGGGCGAGAGAGGAGCCCAAACCCGAAAAGGTGCCAGTGATGCAGGGGTGCATGCTAAGAATATATCCATGTCTCGACGGACACGAGAAGATGGCGTAACGGCCCTGGTCATTGGATAATCTCTGCGTGAAGTTGGCTTCTGTGGCTGTTTGATCTCTGGTTTATTTTGCACCCTTGCTACCACATGCTGTCAAAAGATAACATCCGTGTACAAGGGAATCACACACAGGACTGCCCGCTACTCAGCTGGACGTGGAAAGGATGGCAGGCAAGCGAGTGGGACTAAACCGAACTCGCGAAGGTGCAGGCGAGCAGCAAGGCGTAGAGTGGATTTCGCCCACGGATGGAGGGGAGTTCGGAGGATCCAGAAAGACGGAGGAGGAGGCGAGAGGGCCTGCTTTCGCGCATTGTCCTTTCCAGCGAGTCAAAAGCGTCAGCATATGCAGGGATTTGAGCATTCTCAGGTTGAGGAGGATGAGGAGCCTCTAGAGGAGCTAGACACGCAGCTCGGTCACTAAGGGCAGGCAGGCACACGGGATTTTGGGGGCGGATCGTCATTGAGGATGAGCGACGCAGACGTGCAGCACAGTCGGACAGATCTTCGCGGTAGACTGAGGATTTTGACGCACCTGACCAGAGACTCTGTGTTTTGTGGGAGGTGGGTTTTGGCAGTAGTCCCCGAAGGAATGCGCCATGCATCAAGATATTCTCAAAACGGCCAGGTCGAATGACAGACCCCGGACAGGGAGGGTGGCAACTATCTCCAAAGGCGAAGAGAAGTGACAGAAGTTCTGAGAGTTTGAGGTGTGAGTCAGTGGGTCGAATTGAAGGCCTGGATACTGCAGTCCCTCGTGTGGGTATCCATAACGTATGGGCCCTGGCAATGGTCATCCAGGGAGGTTTGGCCTAGCGCTAGGTACTCCGGGAGAGGGAGGGAGGGGTGGAGCTGCGCTTTTTCGACGCCTGGAAGGAATGGCTTGATGGTGTGGCAGATTAGCGGGAGTGTCATCACAGGGACAGGAGCACGCAGCATCGAGAGGGGGGAAGAGACGCCGACCTAGTGAGCCAGATTGAGAAGCCAGAGGCGCCCGAGACCCGAGCAGCTTTAGCTCTCTTCACCTGGCTACATGGGCACCACAAGTTCTCGAACCAGGTTCAAGGCCCCCCAGAACAGCCTTTAACTGTGCGTGGAGGGCCCGTTTCTTCTCGTGGCCGCCCAGAGTATCAAAGTCAATAGGTCTCGGTCCGGCTCATGGCGTTCTTCCTGCCTTCCCCTTCCCTTCCCTTTTCTTTTCCTTCGAGCTTCGCATCCACCTGGAACTTGCCGGCTCCCTGTGCTGGGTGGATAAGATGCAATAATGGCATTTCTGCCACCACTGAGTCCCTAACTCAAACAGCTTGTTTGCCGATTGCCTTCGAGTTGCGTTGCGCGGATGCAGCTAAAAATTGGTTCAGACTTTGGCGGCTGTTGGTCGCCCATGATCGACAATGCAAGCACGAAATCCGGATGAGCATTCTTGCGCTCGTGCCAGCCACTTCGCCAGCCAACCTGGATCCCCGAAAGTGAACTCTGTTGTCTGTTCTCACTACGGAGTACTTGTTGATCTTCTCCTCTTTGTTGCCCTCAACGGGTCTCATGTTCTTTTCACTTTGGTCATCACCCCTCGCTTCAGTCGTCGGCGGCCATTCTTTACCCCCCTCGAAATGCTCGGATGCTGCAGGACTAGCGTATCGCTGTCACACGCTCGGCTGCAGCAGACTGGTAGCGAGTCCAATCTTTCTGGGCTTATCTTTCTTGCTCAGCATTCGGTTGTGGCGCCTCTCTTCCAAACCTCGGACCAGCCATCCGCAGTTGCTGTTGTCACTGGCGCTCTCTGATTGACTAGACCATGCAAGATACGGTGTATTATTGCAGTGGCTTCTCTGTATGCTAATACAATAGAAAAAAAATGAGGAAGAGGTGGTGTGATCGCTCACAGTTGGCGGCGACTATCAAAGGTCCGGCCTTGCTAGCCTGGAATTCCATTTCCCTTGTCCCCTGCCTCTCCGGATGCCCTTGTTGGGCGTATGGGGGTGGCCGAGAACTAGACGCCTCCACAAGAATAGCGTCGCCCATATCTTCGCTTGCTCTTTCCCATGCTCAAGTAGTCACTCAAACTTATTCTTGTCACTCCGTCACGAAGTTGCTAATGGAGTTTAGTCAAAAGATCTCTCGATGCCCACGTGGTCGCCCTTGTCTAGTTGGAAGCCACTCTCTGCTGCCTCCTCCTCCCGCCAGCCAGCCACCCAAGCATCCGTCATGTCTACCCTGCCTCTCCGCTCCATCCGACCCCTGGACGACACTGGAGGAATCCTTCACAAGACTGCACTAGAAAGAAGCCAGATAGTGACTGGGTGCAGCATTTTGCTGTTCATCCCAAGCCCTCAATTTTTACGTCAATGTCTTCACTGTGCCAAGAGAATGGACCAGCATCCTGAGAGCTCCAATTCCCGTTCGGGTTGAGTTGAATCCAAAGCTTCCTTCGTCTTCGCCAATTTGAGCCTCAACGGCGTTTCGCTCTGCGTAATCTCACTGAAGTCGCATCCTGTTTGAGCTCTGCCCTCCCCCTGTTCTGTGTCCTGCGTGCCCGCAGTCCGAATCCAGACTCGCCGGGACCCGGATTATGTCTAGGCTTCTGCCCCGACTTAAGCCTGTCCGCTCGAGGCAAAGAGCCATTGCTGGTGGCGACCAGACTACTTCCCCCATCGTGCACCGCAGCATTGAGCTCTGTATCCAGAAGAAACACTGCGCAACTTGATTCCTATTTCATCGAGTCGTAAATTGCTTCACTTCTTGGTAGCTGGGCCTTTTTCTTTACCGGGAGATTTCGCGCACTCTGACTCTCATCCCCCCACCGTCATACCAGTCATAGTCTTCCCTCGCTCTCGGCTCGTGTCTTTCAATCACTGTCACTTCATCCCCGGGCCTCAAGATTCTAGACCCCGGCTGCTTATTTTCCTGGGATCGGGACCGTGACCTCGACCGCGACTGTCGGCGTCGGCCTCTACGGGCATGACTTCGTCGACCGCCCTCCTCGCTAACTTCGGGTTCACCCATGTATCCCAAGGATGATGACCGAAGAGGCGGTGGACTAGGCGCATGTAGCCCTAGGTGACCATCCTCTTCCTGGCTCTCGTCTGCATTTGACCAGTCAGCAACAGACGCTTACCCGAAAGCGGCCTACAAGTGTCGACGCTTACCCTCATACTCGTGTGTCATATCTCTGACATGGTGTGAACCACGCTGGCCGGATCTGGATCGCAAACGAGCGTGTCTGCGGTGACTACTTTCATCTCCGTTTTCTGAATCACCAACACTCCGTGAGCGTTGCGTGGCATGGTGGACAGACACAGAAGGGTTTCTGCTCCGGAAAGATGTTGGTCCGCGTTGAGGAGAATATCCCACTTGTCGGTGAGGATGTGGTGTTCCCCAAACATAGTGCTGTCGGTCTCCTGCGTGATCTTCGATTGGTGTTGTCCCAACAAAGGGATCCGAGTACTGTCTTCTCAGAATTCTCGGGCCTGGTGTTGGCTGTCTCGACCGTGATCTTAGTCTCCGAGTTTGGTCTTCATATTCCCTGTCATTCAAATTGTCCTCGTAGTCTCGACTCCGTCCTCTACGGTCACCGTCGTAGAAAGTACGCTCGCCGAGGGGTGAAAGATGGAGTCGCCGAGTGTGCATGAACAATTCATGATCTGCAGTTTCATCACGCCGATGTCTTCGTCTCCTGCTGCTAGATGACTCTTCTTCGGGGCTCGATGAAGTTGAGTCACTGTAGGCTGGAGCTCGGTAGGACGTATCGTTGTAGTTGATTAGCTTGGTGCGACCTCTCGATGCAGCTCGACTTCGTGATCGGTGTCTCTGTGACTTGTATCTCTCTGAGCTTCGCCTAAGGAGGGCACGCGAATGCCGGCGCCGTGAGCGGGGCGAGTGAACACTGTCTGAGCTATTGTTGTCTTCACTATCCGTGGCCTGCTCCCTGCATTTTCGACAGATTGTTTTGCCGGGAGGTTGTCCTGGTTGGATGGGGTGCTTGTAGTGATAGCGTGCCGATCGATATCGCCCGCATATCTCACACTTGTACCTCGCTTCTCCTGAGGCGGCTATCGGACCCCGGAACGCGGCCTGAGGCCCGTAAAGTTGAGTCCGCGCTGACAGTGGATTTGTAGGTATGCCTGGCGGTACGCCTGGTAGGCCAGCCAGGAACGACTGAGGCTGAGATGCAAACGGTACTGGCAGTGGGAAAAGGGTCGGTGGCTGAGGTCCCATTGGGAGAGGCGGGATGGGCCCGATTGGAAAAACCCCTGATGGATGGAAGAATTGAGTTGGTGGGTTCATTGCATGTTCTTGACCTTTGGTATTGTCCCGCGAGTCCGGCTGATTCTGGCCCTGCTGAGGAGGAAGTAGGTACATTGTGACCGGTTGCGGCTGAGTCTGAGAGGTAGGAGCCATTGGAGCGGCCGGATGAGTACCTGAAGACGCAGAAGGGTCAGGTGAGGTGGGCGCAGGCAGAGCAAACGGACCGTCACTGCACTGAACGTGATGATTCTGACGCGAGTCCCTGGATGAAAAGAGTGAGCGAGCGCTTTGGCGGATCAATGCCAGGGGAAGAAGTTCCCTTGCAGAGGGCGTGTCTGACTTCTTCCTGACAAAGTAAGCACGACCGTCTGGACCTCGTTCAATCCAAGTTGAACGAGGCCTCATGGTGAAGGTAGTCAATGATAAAGGATGTGGTTGTGTTGGCGTGACGATGTGACACCGAGCTGAAGGGGCAGGTGCACACTGACCTTGAAGGAGCCTTGTTCTCGCCTACAAACCCAAAATAAGCGTCGTAAGAAGGATAGTAGATGCGTGAATTCCCAGGCAGACAGTAATAAGAGCCGTATGGTGCTTGCCACATGATGGTGCGGTAGAATCGAAACTCGAATCAAATTGGCGGATATGGAGATCGACAATGGCAGTCAGCTCTACATACTCCAGGGTGTCCTTGAAAACGCCATTTCAAATTGAGGGAGAAGAGCTTGGATATGCCACGTCGAGAGCAAGAGTGTCCACGCACAGGAATTAGATTCTCAGGACTAGGTAAGAGTGAGAATCAAAGCGCGTGCGACAAGAATGCCCTGAGACGGTATGGCAATGGCGTGCACGGGAGCTGGCGACAGAACCAAAGCGACATAGATCAGACTTCACCCTCCCCTAATGTCCTTGCAAGACTGCGGTAGGGGTATGTGAAATGGAAACGGTAGCCTGCGACTTCAGAGCCCCCTTGTGACTTTGAGATCAACGTCCCCCCTTCTCAATCCCTTCCCTCTTTTTCCCATGGCGGAATCCGCCGCTGTTGCAGAAGGAAGTTTTCGATACGAACAACCAGCAAGCAAGAAAGAAGGATACTTTGTAGTTACGTCTTCTGTTCTGTTTCCTCTCCGAGCTCGCTAGGTGTTCAGACAGCCAAATGTTGGCAGTGGTACAAGCTGGACAGCCCATCTCGAGTCTTCTGGAGGAGTCAAAGCAAAGAACATCGAAAACGATGGAGAAGGCCATATTTCAGCAACTAGAACAGGCACTGCCCGCAGTGGGCGAAAGCTTCCCTAACGCTCGTCTCTCGTAGAAGAACACTGTTGTCGGCTGAAACCTTGAATTGGACTTCGGTAGCTTTGTGATCCAAGCTGACTGAAGGTCTTCCAGCTCCGCTCTTTCTCCATCTTTCACATCGAAAATCAAGACGTCTTCGTTCAAAAAGAAGTTCACATGGATATGCCTGAGTCTGGAGAAAAATGAGCATGGTCACGATCGACCAAGCCACTCAACGTGTGGATTGTCCTACCGGTGCTCGACAACATTAACAAGTTTGCCAACCACTTGCGGGTGGGAAAGTAAATGGGACCATAAACTGCTAATCTGACCACATTATCTACCACATGAGACACGTTCAAGCAAAAAGGATAGAAGTTCGAAGTTAGAAATTGAGGCGGTAAGGGGCGAGGAGAGGTATGAGATACATGTCGACGTGTCGTCAGACACAGCGTCGTCATCTTGCATCTCAAGGTGCGACTTCCGATTGGCCGTCGCAGTAATTCTTGTTTGTTGCGCCGTTTGTAGGCAACTACCTCGTACTGTGCAGAAAACTCCCACTGACTCTGCTTTTCAAGACCAGGCGGTGGAATAGACCCCCCAATGCCCTCTTGAAGTCTTGAACTCGCCCCGGCATACTCAGGGGCAAATGACTGCCTCACGCTGAAATCCTGGTCACTCACAACCTCGATTTCCTTACCGAAGTCACTATGCCGCCGTTCAGCGAGGCCGACACCAGAATCTATCGCAGAGATGTGGCTTTGGGCGGTCAATCTCTCTCTGCTACCGAGCGCGAGAAGCTCTTGCAACGATATCTCCCCACACCACCCTCGGGGTTTTCGCAGAAAGATTCACAATTACCTAATACCTCGCAACGCCAAACATCCAAAGGGCACCGGCGAAGAGTGCGACCTTTCCTGAAGTCGAAGCTGCACTTCCTCGTCTTCTTCCTCATCCAACTCGTTTTCGGCATATACATTCGCCTGCGTCAAATCTATCACGCTGTAGTCTATCGCCTGCTCGGCATCAGGCACCATCACCACCGCACCCCGGAGTACATTCAGAAAGATGTCCAGAACCTCGACCGCATACCGGAGCACCTCAGTGTGATATTGAAGTTCAAGGCGGAAGAGGACGGGGGCCTAGAAGCATTGATAGACGAGGTCGCAGAGCTCTGCGCTTGGTCCGCAGCTGCGGGGATTCCGATGCTGAGTATCTATGAAAAGTCGGGGATCTTGAAGACATACATGGCGTCCTTGCAGGAGTTGGTGAAGCAGAAGCTCTCGTCTTACTTTGGCGCTCCCCCGGCGACGCCCACCCTGAGAGTATTTGCTCCCAATCACCCCTCCATGAGCCCGTCGCGGACACCGTCGCCGCAAATACCAGCGCAGGCACTCGCCGGTGGAATTTACGGCTCAAACGTCGCCACGGGCCGGGCGCATTTGGACCTCCTCCTACTGTCTGCCACGGACGGGCGAGACACGCTAGTCGACCTGACCAGAACACTGGCCGAGATGGCCCAAACCCAAAAGCTACGTCCTACAGACATAACTTCCAATCTCATTAACGCCGAAATCAGCGCGACGACCGCGGTTCCGGACTCGAGGCTCGCGCACGGCGACAGGCCGGCAGGCAAAGAGGTCGACGCAGGAGAACCGGATCTTGTCATCGTGTTTGGGCCGGTTGTGAAGCTGGATGGCTATCCGCCGTGGCAGATCCGGCTGAGTGAGATCTTCTGCGTGGGCGATTCCGGCGGCGATGTTTCTGGCAGCGGCAGCACGAGGGTTGAGTACCAGGCCTTCCTCAGGGCGTTGTGGAAATATGCAGGTGCAAATTTCAACTTTGGGAGATGAAAATTAATATAGAGAGGGCACCCGTCGGTGGTTTGGCCGATGGCTGATCCCATGACTAAAACCTTCCGAGGCTTCCCTGAAGCCCTTAAAGGCACTGTTATACAAGATGATAGATAGGCTGTGAAGGAAACATGCAAACCCGTTCATCCCCGGACGGTGTATCATGCAAGCTGTGTCCATGCTTCGCCGTCCCGGGCCTCGAATGATCTGTGCAATGCGCCTTCCTTCCAGCTTACGTAGGATCAAAAGTCCGTTTCGAACCCCGGGAACACGCGGACGATATTCCTTCCAGATGCAGCACTCGGGGAAGCCGGCCCACGTGATCGAAAGTACATCGAGGGAACCAGATGAAAGTGCCCGACGGTGATAGTGATAGTGACGATGTAGATCTATCAGGAGTCAGCCGGTGCCGTGGCCGTGCTACAGCTTTGTGCTTCTCGGAACTCACTGTAAGTTGTTTCTGGTTTGGAGACAGCCTCGGTCTGCAATTTCTCGCTTTGTTCTGACGTGCTGAAGGCTAAGGTGGTGGTTGTTGACAGTGCCATGTGCCGTGCCCCCTGGAGCTTTCTCTCAACCTGCTTTTTCGCTCACTGTTTCATGGTGCGGATGCCCCTGGAAAATCCTGCCAATGACGCAAAACTCTACGTTGTGCAATCCAGCACATCCGGAGCAGTCCACAGCTGCCAACTCCATGCTATGCTTCAATGGAATGAAACGCCATCACGTCCTGTAAAGGTTTAGTCATCGTAATCATCATCGTAGCCAGTATAAGTTTCCCACATCTCATCGTTTCTACCCGAGTGAACAAGCGAATGCATCACGCGCTCATATGTCCACATGGTGACGGCTGATGCTGGTGCAGCCTAGATATCAAAGTCAGTATGTGATGTTCGCTGAGAGAGGACACTCACCTTGATCAAGCTGACAGTCAGTCCTCGATACCAACCCCGATAGCCTTCCTTCTTCCAAATGGTCGTGAGAGCACGAATAACACCCGCATATTCGGGGATATTCGTGTGGATATACCTGGCCCTGGTCGGGCCCTGCACCTGCAGTCTCTTCCTGACCAGATCCAGAGGAAAAACGGCAGTTTTTGCAAAGACACTGGCGAATACACCAGCAGTGGCATCACCGGAGCCGAACGGCAATGTCTTGCCCCCGATGTATTGATGGAAGAATTCATAGCTCATGAAGAAGAGGCCCATGTAGGGGACGATCTGGCCTAGCGCAGCGCTGAGGCCCCGAAAGAAGCCGCTGGGTCCCTCGTGCCGGATAATGTCTTGAATAGAACTGGCGAGTCCCGAATAGATCCTCTCCGGGCCTTGTGCAGCGAATCGGGTCCGCAGCAGATCCAAAGGATAGGTAATTGAAGTTGCGGCGGCGCCTGCTCCGGCACCGCTAACGAAAGACTCGACTGATGGCGGCAGACGCGACGGAAGCATAGCTTGAGCTTGAGTGATTGAGCGATAAGCGGTAAACTGGACGCCACCATATGTGATGTACATCAATTCCGCAGGAATATTTCCCTTCCACAGCGCCCGGATACCCTCATCTCTCGCGATTGCGCGCAGAGTGGGAAAGACACCCTTGTAGATTGGGCCTTTGATGCCATCGCAAGACAGAGGGTCGGAGAGCGAATGGGGCTGGAGCTGGAGTCGGATTTTGACAACGTCTAAGGGAGCGATGACGAATCTGGACACGAGGCCTGCGATGCCACCAGCTATAACAACTTGCTGTCTCGTGCCCTGTTGTAAAGGGTGAAGATAAGCAAATTGATCAATTGGAGAATCGGCCCCTGGGGACAAGGCCAGGAGTCTGGACTTACCTCATCCTTGAGACGCTCGATCTCACCCGACATGCGCCCTGGACTGGCTCCCTGAAAGCCGCTCTACAGCGGTAAGGAGGTTGTTGTGACAAGACTCCCGTGGTTGTGAAAGAGGATGAAAGGAAAAGGGCTGAGAGCGATGACATCGTTCAGCCGATCATCATTGGGGTTGGGAGAGCTTTTTGGCGAGCTGCGTCTGTTGCACGTGAGTTCGCGTGTCGTCCCAGTGGTGCAGTGCTGGGTCACTGAGGGTGGCAATGATGGTGAATTGAATGTTACGACGATGCCATGACGGGTTCTGGAGAATTCAAATTTGGGTTATTGATCGACTGGAAACGACTGGTTTCATCAATTCACTGTCACCGGAGGGTCGATGGAACAGGTGGTAGGGAGGCATGTAGGTGGGGGGTTTGTCGGCGGCCGTGTGCATGGATTTGGAGCGCGCGTCATGAGTTCTTTTTCACTCGCCTAGAAGTGAAGAACGTTCAGGCTTCACACATCACGATAGATTCACCACTTGGTGACAAAGTCGCCGCCCGCTGCTTCGCCTAAGCTTCTCTTCTTCCCATCAGCGATGGTTCCTGCTCCTCCGGTGGCGGCTTTGACCTTGCAAATATGTTCCGCAATCCTCGAGAGAATGCTTCCGTCCCAATAGACGAGCGAGTCTTGCCCTATATCGGCCGGCCGCCAACTCCTCCCTCTCCAGGCCCGAAAGGCCATCCTCTCTTCTCTTTGCCTGCCGACTACGCAAGAGAGGTCGCAGCCCGAGCCCCCGCTCCAAAGAAGCGATCTTTCATGCCTGGCCGCCAACCCACCTCGAAGACCCCGGTGGCAAAGAAGAACGGGCCTGGTCAGAACCAGAGCATCCTCAACTTCTTTGCAAAGTCAGATAAGAATACTCTCAACGGCACCGATACGACCGAACCGCCTCCGCTGTTCTTTAAGGACATCCAGCCGGGTACTCAAGCGCGTGAGCTGAGTGACGAAGAGTCTCGGTTCCACGAAGACGGTGGGCCCGTCAAAAAGAGGCGTATCGATGATGAACGGGACTTGGAGGACTTGGAGGACTTGGAAAGCTTCATCCGCACACCCTCGCCTGGAGTTGAGCGTGATGCTGGTAAGGCCAAGCAGGTACAAATTCCTCCAAATGGGAATGTCGAGTTAGCCACGCCGCACAAGAAGTACCGAGCGGGATTCCTAGACGACTCGAGCGATGAGGAAGACGACGCCTGGACTGCAGCCATCAATAGCGCTGTCAATCTCGCCGATACTACGAAGAGAGTACGAGACACTAAGAATCTGGAGACTTTAAGCACCATTGACGTCGATATAGGATCCAGAACGCCAACGGCGGCCTCGAAGCAGCCTGAATTGGGTTATGACTCAAGCAGAATCAATGCCGTCCTTCAAGATAGCTATGGAGATGCGGAAATCCCGGGAAAGGATCCTCCGCCCTTGACGCGTGAAGCAACAAGTGTCTTCGACCCTGGAGAATTTGATGATGGCGACTTTGAGAACGATGAATTCTTCGAAGGAGGAGAAGAATACATGGAGCGCAGGTGGATGGAGGAGCAACGAGAGATGGGGATGGAATTTGACGACGAGGACTCGAAGTCGGAAAGTGAGAGCGTCAGGACGCCACGAAGCATGGCTGAAGATGATCAAGTCAACGCCGAGGAACCTGGTGGTATTTCTGTCTGCCCGATATGTACCGGCAGCTTGAGAGGATTTTCCGAGAACCGAGCGTCGGCCCATGTCAATGCCTGTCTTGACGGCAATGCTGAACCACTAGCAAATGAGTCTGAATTGAAAAAAGAGATCGAAACTCGCACGTCCAACGATATCGGTGAAGCGGTGTCTGTCTCAAAGCGCTTCCAGCGGGCAGCAATTGCTCGCCCTGCTCAGTCCAATCCTTTTGCTGTTTCGAAACATGGGAAAGCAAGTTCAGCCTTTGCCAGGCTCATGTCTGGGCATGCTGAAGATGCTGCCTGGGCTGAAGCTGCAGCTCATGAGGCCCGATCTCGCGGCAAGCCCGCATATCAACGAACCTGCCCCTTTTACAAGATCATGCCTGGCTTTTACATCTGTGTCGACGCCTTCCGGTATGGCAAGGTTGAAAACCAGAACGCCTACTTTCTCAGTCATTTCCATAGTGACCACTACATTGGTCTCACATCCTCATGGAGCCACGGTCCGATCTACGCCAGCAAAGTCACCTGCAATCTAATGATCCAGCAGCTGAGAGTCGATCCCAAATGGGTGGTTCCACTCGAATTTGAGAAAAGGGTCGAGGTGCCAAATACCAAGGGAGTCTTCGTTACCATGATTCCTGCCAACCACTGCCCTGGATCGTCACTCTACCTATTCGAAAAGGTCACTGGTAAGAACAAGGACGGATCTCCAAAGTCAACCCGTATTCTCCATTGTGGGGACTTTCGGGCATGTCCTGCCCATGTCGCTCATCCTCTCCTACGTCCTGACGTTGTCGACAGCGTTACCGGCCTGACCAAGCAACAAATCATTGACACCTGCTACCTGGACACGACGTACCTAACTCCCAAATACGCATTTCCAAGTCAACAGGACGTCATCGATGCTTGTGCGCAGATGTGTGTCAGTCTGTCGAAGGAGATCGTGGACGAAAATGACGGCTGGGAGAAAGTCAAGGCCACGCGCGCTGGCAGTACAATGAAAAAATTCCTCGAACAGGGTGAGGCGACGGTCAACAAACCAGACGACGAGGAGGCAGAGAAAAAACCGAAATTGCGTGGCCGCCTTCTCGTCGTCATTGGCACCTATTCAATTGGCAAGGAACGGATCTGCTTAGGAATCGCCAAAGCCTTGAACTCCAAGATCTATGCTCCTCCCTCGAAGATGCGTATCTGTCTGTGCCTCGAAGATCCCGAACTCAATGCCAGATTAACGAAGAACCCGCTTGAAGCACAGGTTCACATGCAAACATTAATGGAGATCCGCGCCGAAACACTTCGCGATTATATGATGACCTACAAGGGCCATTTCGCTCGCGTGGTCGGCTTTCGACCGACAGGCTGGTCCTACCGCCCCCCGACATCACGCTTCACCGAGAACCCAGCGGTCAGCACCGTCCTACATTCTGAAGGCTGGAAAACACGCTACACGATGCGCGACCTAGCTCCCCAGCGGGGAAGCACACGAGAATCGAATTGTTTTGGAGTGCCCTACTCAGAACACAGTTCCTTTCGAGAGCTGACCATGTTTTGTTGCGCCCTGAGGATCAACCGGATCATCCCGACAGTTAATGTGGGAAGCGCCAGGACCAGAGAGAAAATGAAGGCGTGGGTTGAGAAGTGGGAGGCCGAGAAAAGAAAAAATGGATTGTTTACTGTCGAAGCTGGGGCGGAGGGCTGGGGAAGCGGAGATGGCAAGTTGAGCTACGGAGTGTAACTGTATGGTTCATGGTACCAAGTCGATGCACACATAGGGTGAATGTTATCGGTTGTTGTGTGACAGTGACGGCAACGTTGCTAATCTGAGAAGGATCGTTCAAGGACGGACAAGGCTGTTGTCATTGCTCCTCGTGTGGGCATCCATGCACGGTAGCAGAGCCAGCAAGCCCACTCCGCTGTTTCTAGAGGAGACAAGGGTTGCCACCAGATCAAACACACATATTGAACCTCGAGCCTTGGTTCGATCCAATAAAATCATCTGCAAACCATATACCCTGCCTCTCGCTCTCGGTATCTGAACGGTGCACCGGGGCCAGCAATCGAGTCCCCTGACCACTCCCTGTCGTTCTTCCAAAATGATCACCGGCACCATCTCGAAGAATGGTCTTGCCATTCCACCATCGCGGGCTGCTGGAGCGTAGTAGAAATACGCATTCCTGCATAGCCATCTCAGTTGCCGGCTGTCTAGACACGCCGTAGTGTACGTCGTAATGACTCCCTCGGTGGAATCCGTCTTTGCCAGCCCTTTTGGTTTTTCATTTGGTGACCACGCCTCACAGTATTTGCAGCTCTTCTTGTTTCGTATCTTCACGGTTTTTTAAGTTCCTTTCCCCTTTTGACTCATGGCTTCTCTCCGACAAGCATCCTCCAGAAGTCCCCTGTCGACCTTGTCAGGCGGCAAGTGCACGTATCGTACCACCGAACCTCTGATGAAGATGTTCTTCACGGACGACAAGTGGGGATATTTCAGTTCATCCAGCACCGTGATGTCGTCCAGCTTGATATTCAGGTACTGATCGACGGACTTCAGGGTGCCGCGGATGGAGATGTCATTTTTCAGCTCGACCGTGACGGTCTGCTGGGTCAGGGTCTTGAAGAAACTGCGCCTCTCGTCAGCCCAGGTGCTCGATGAGCGCAATGAAGTTTGGGGCGTGGGGTTACCTGAAGAACAGCATGGTGGGCGGCGCGCGTTGGTGTGTCCGCAAGTGTCGATGGTAGGGTGTCGCGCGATGTCGCCTTCAGAGTTGAACTGGCGCTCCTCTCAAGTTCAGAAATACGACCACTGCTCTCCACTCCTTCGTCGGAACGCCTTCTCACCACTTTCGGGTTCTGCAAGCCATGCCTTTCAACGGCGGAGGTAATGCCAAGAACTTTCGAAGGAGTGCGTATCTGGCCTATCTGGCCCACCGAATGCGCTACGTGCAGTCATTTGCACCTAGAGCGCAGCATTCCTCCATGGCTTGGCCTCGCCCACTACCTGGTTCTGGGATAGGATTGCCAACCGTCTCCAAGATTTTCTCCACTGATACGTCAGTCGATACTTACCCATTTCATTGAAGTCTCGTCTGCGATAGCTGGAGCGACGTTGCCAGTGGCTCGGCAACGGTCCGCTCGCCGGCCAGATGTGGCGTTGGCTCAACCTAACATGCGGTGATGATGTCGCGACATCCATATGGGCAACCTATGACATCGATGATCCGGTTCACCAAGTCCTTTATTTGCCTGCGATCTCGACTCGGGCTTCTCCACGATCGGCAGGTGCTTCACAGATGAGAACAAGACTCGAGCCAATTATAGTTGCAGCGCAAAATTGCCTTGGAAATTTCAGGTCTGTCATGTTGGTATTGTTTATGAGACACTTTTTCCCATGTAGCGATATACAAGCCACTCCTTTCCCACCTGTTTCTGTTCTTTCGTCTTTCGTTTACCCAGTCTTTGCAGATTTAGAATCTCGAGGTTGCTCCGTTGTCAGCGAAGCATTCTTAGTACGTCTTTGGCTGGGTCTACTGCTGGGTCTACTGCTGGGTCTCGATGACATCAATTGAAAACAAATCCACAGCAGAAGTTCCCGCTTTAGAGGCCCCAGATGTCGCAGACCCAGCTGCGGACTCGTGCTCATGCGGCCGTCGCATACGACGAACAAGCTCAAAAGCTCTCTCTTGAATCCTCATCTCAGATAAATGACGACGGCGATAGGGCTGGTCATGCCGTTGAAGCCAAATTCATCACTCCATTGGACCCAGTCATCGAAACCGTGGATGGCAATAGGCTGCCAGCCGTGCCCGTCCAGGAAGCGCATAAGATCAACTTGTTAAAGAACCGATCTGAGGGCCGACCATATCGTCCTGGACGACCGCGAGGTTTGAGCCGGTTCGACAGGCAAAGGGCTGGGCCTGGAGCAGTTGACCAGAATGAATTGATGAAGGATGACCAAGAGAGCGAATCCAGTCGATTAGACGAAGCAATTCCGGTCTTGCATACCCACCCTCTCTTTCCTCCCCTGCCTCTCTACGGGCCTCCATCAGTTCTACGAGATCTTCAATGTGCAGTACTTCGAACGACATCAGCTATACTCTCGACGGCCTTTCTTGCCGTCATCGTACTGGGGGCGTTGTTCACATCAATACCGCGATTTTTCAACGATGCGTGGCTGTGGCTCACCTTCAGGGATCCTTGTACGCGGAGACCTTTCCACGACGAGGAGACAAGACGTTCGGTTATACGCAAAGAGCAAGAGAAGGAATGGAGGAGGCGCGCGACAAAACAAGACGCAGCTTCACAAAACGGTACAATAGAGCAGGCTGCATCGACACAGAAGCCACTGGTACCGCTTGAGGGAGGCCCTGATAAACTAGTCTGCGACATCAGGTACTATGCACGTCGAGTGGGTCTAGACGCCGAGGAGTTCAAAGTGCAGACAGAAGACGGGTTTGTCCTGTCATTATGGCATATCTACGACCCCACAGAGTACACACCCGCTCCAAGTACAGAGCGACAACCGGACGAGCCTACCATTTTCACAGATTCCAAAGAAGGCTTCCAACGCCACATCCAGAAGCAGTACTCCGATGGCAACAGAAGATACCCCGTATTACTGGTGCATGGGCTCCTGCAGAGCGCTGGTGCTTATTGTGCAAACGATGACGACAGTTTGGCCTTTCTTCTGTGTAAGTCTGGGTACGACGTATGGTTGGGAAACAATCGTTGCGGTTTCAGTCCTGAGCATAGTCTGTTAGAGTATCATGATCCGCGGATGTGGGCTTGGAATATTCGGCAGATGGGAGTGATGGACCTTCCCGCGTTCATGTCTCGAGTTCTAGAGGAGACGGGATTCGAGAAGCTCGGGTTGGTGTGTCACAGCCAGGGTACCACAGAAACATTCGTGGCGTTGGCGAAAGAGCAGCGACCAGATCTGGGTGACAAGATCAGTGTCTTCTGCGCTCTTGCCCCTGCAGTCTACGCAGGTCCCTTGATTGGCAAGATGTATTTCAAGTTCATGCGGGTTATTTCACCGTCGATGTTTAGGGTCTTCTTCGGCATCCACAGCTTCATCCCGCTGATGATGACCATGCACCGCGTGTTACCCGGAAAGCTTTATGGAGCCCTGGGCTACCGCGTCTTCTCGTTCTTGTTTGATTGGACCGACACGCGATGGGATCGGGGACTTCGGAATCGACTGTTCCAGTTCTCACCCGTCTACGTAAGTGCAGAGAGCATGAGGTGGTGGTTGGGTCGAGAATGCTTTGCGAAGCAAAAGTGCATTCTCGCCACACGGGAAGATGGACAGACGGAGGAGGTGGAGGACGATGGAGAGGAAAGCCCTGAGCGTGGCACGTCCAACGGAGACGATCGAGGGCGAACGGCATGGTTTGACGAGCATGTCCCTCCGCTGGCGCTGTGGGTGGCCGGAAGCGACGACCTTGTCGATGGGAGGAGACTTTTGAGGCGGTTCGAACGTGGACGTGAACCCTTCGTGCAGGTGGTCCACAGCAAAATCATTGAGGAATATGAGCATCTCGATGTTCTTTGGGCAATGGATGCCGTGGAGCAGGTGGGCAACGAAGTCCGGCAGGTACTTTGGAAGACGATGCCAGAGGAGGCAAGAAGGATATGCAGGAGAATATTTGCAGTCGTGGATGATGATCGAGGCGATAGTCAAGCCGGTGACCGACAAGAGTAACTGGCAGCGAGGAATAGAGCGTCGATGTCCGTCGCAAGAAGCAATTTAGAACGAGATACATAATAGAGAGATACCCCCCGTCACACGGCATGATGATCTGGAGTATACAGAAGCATATCACAACAGGGAAGCCAATGATTGTAGACTTGGACAGGGAAGGAGGTTGGTAAAACCTGGAGATGTAGACGCTCGTTTTCCCGATCGGGCAGGACCATGCGGTGCACCCCTGGTATACACTGGGTAGCTACAGGCTACTACTGCAAGACGGTGACAGGAGCCGACCGAGATCGCCCGGGACATGGTCCAAGCTGAAGTCGCAGTGCAAAGGACGGCGTCGTCAAAGAAAATTTGACATCGAGGCAACATAGAGACCGGATCGCGCGGAGGGAGCTTATCATGAGGCAAAAAAGGGCTGACGAGAAAGATCTTTCAAGGGCAACCAACCTGATCAGATACCTCGAGCCTTGTGTGGGTGTTGTCTGCTCGCAATGTGCCTCACACATAGTGTCAGGAACTGTATCCGATATCCGGCATTCCGGCATGGGTGGGTAGAGGATTATTATGGTGCTGAGTGTTCCAGAAGAATTCCTCGTCCAGAAGGAGAACGGAGAAGAACTCAGGGTGTGTGTGACGAGTGAGTTGGTGTAAGCACCACACATAAGCCACCGCATTGGACAGGATGATAAGAAGGGGAACAGGTTCGTGATAATAGTCAAAATGTCCATAGCCAAGATCCGCATCGACAGTATTTGATATGCGGATGGATGCTGGATCGAGGCAGAGGAGGCGAAGGGTGTTGTTCTCCCACCCAGTAATTAGCTCGTTAGTAGTCAACGAGATTGTCGCGTGGCATTCCTACAAGGGGCCATTCGAGGTGTTTACAGCTGCGGGTGTTGCCCTGATAATCTGCCCAGGCGGCCCACGCCCAGCGCGATAATTGTTTCTAGTGGTCGGCCGCAAACTTAGCCTCGCCTACTAGGGTCTGCTCCAGGCTTTAGCGACGGTCGGAGACGCCCACCACCGGACCCTGTGTCGCCCGTGGTGCCCATGGTGCCTAGTGAGCCTGTGCTCGACGGCGCCCCTCCTCTCCTCCAACCCCTCCAGTCCCTTCTTTTGACCTGGTCTTATCTCTCTTTCCCCCATGACCAGCCATTCAGCGTTCTCTGTAAATCTCTCCCATACGATGCCATGTCTGTCACACCTCGTCATGGGCCCATGCTGGGCTCTGGAGAAAGACTCCACAGGCCCGATAACCAGCATCAAGTTACCTGATTCAGGCCTAGCTGCTGCTTTTTCGGAGGCCAATTCATGTCTCTCGCCTCAATTTCACCCGCTCTGAGAGGCTCGCCTGCCAGCTTGATAAAACGCTCCGTTGGCATTCTTCTATGAATACGGGCTGCTTGCCTCTCATTATCATTATTCCAAGTCGTCTTCCTTGTGTGCGCTTCACACACATCATTGCCTCCCGGAGCCAGGTCGCTTGCTGAGAGCATTGGTTCCTCTCGCAACCTGTCCACGCCGCCCGTTCATTCGAACACCTCGGCCTCGAGTCTGGTCCCCTGGACGTCATTGTACATGCCTACAAATTGAACCTCCACCTCTGATCACGTATACGCACGATCCCCCGTTCCATCATGACCGCAGACCGCAATCTCAGCGTCGCCTCCCAGGGAGGACACCGCAAATCGGTGGCAGAAGAGCCCGTGACCTCTGTGCTCCCGGGCGGCGAGGTCCCTATATTTGATCGAGAGTTGACTGCCGATGAAGAGGTTCTTGCGGCGCTTGGTTACGTGTATGCGCTCCCCCAGCTACTGGCCCTCTCCCCCAACTTCAATGCTAACCTGCACGCAGCCCAGAATTCAAACGTGAATTCTCATTATGGACGTCGTTTTGTGTTTCTTTTGCCGTTCTCGGCTTGCTTCCATCATTCGCTTCCACTCTCTACTATGGTATGGGCTATGCTGGAACGCCTGGTATGGTCTGGGGTTGGTTGATTGCCATGGCCTTCATCCAATGTGTCGCCATGGGCATGGGTATGTCTTGCCTCTGGCTCCGGAATATCCCTTCATGCCACGGCTGACATACATATAGCTGAGTTGTGCTCGTCTATGCCCACGTCGGGTGGTCTGTATTACGCTGCCGCCGTACTGGCACCTCCAGGATATGGGCCCCTCGCTGCCTGGATAACTGGTTGGTCGAATTGGCTGGTCCAAGTCACAGGCGCCCCTTCCGTCGACTATGCATTGGCTTCGATGATCCTTGCCGCTGGATCCATCACCAACCCAGGCTACGTCCCTCAGAACTATCAAGTGTTCCTTCTGACCACTTTGATCATGATCCTCCATGCGTGCATCTCATCCATGCCCACCCGCTGGATCGCGACGTTCAATTCGTACGGGAGTACATTCAATATTATTGCCTTGGTCATCACCATCATCACGATTCCGGCGGCCACCAACCGCGAGTCGCAGGGACTGCCTCGTTTCACCAAGAGCAGCACCGTCTGGGGACACTTCTATGAGGGGACGGATTTCCCCAATGGTGTGGCTCTGCTCATGTCTTTCATCGCCGTCATCTGGACCATGTCCGGATATGATGCCCCCTTCCACCTGGCTGAGGAGTGCAGCAACGCAAACATTGCCAGCCCTCGGGCCATCGTCCTGACCTCTGGCATTGGTGGTATCATGGGTTGGTTCTTGCAATTGGTCGTGGCTTATACCGTGATCAACATCGACGACGTCCTCGACTCGGATATCGGCCAGCCTTGGGCATCCTACCTCATGCAGATCCTGCCTCGGAACACGGCGTTGGCTCTGCTCTCCATGACCATCGTCTGCGGCTTCTCTATGGGACAGGGCTGTATGATTGCTGCATCACGAGTCACCTTTGCTTACGCCCGTGATAACTGCTTCCCCTTCTCCAATCTCTGGAAGCAAGTCAACCCGATTACCAAGACCCCGGTCAACGCCGTCTGGTTGAATTGCGCCGTGGGAATTCTTCTGACCCTGCTTCTCTTCGGCGGTGAGGCATCCATTGGAGCCATTTTCAGCGTCGGCGCCATTGCAGCGTTCGTGGCCTTCACCATTCCCATCACCATCCGAACGTTCTTCGTCGGCAACCGATTCCGTCGCGGACCGTGGCACCTTGGAAAGTTCTCGTTCCCTATCGGTGTGGCATCGACCTGCTTCACCTTGCTGATGATCCCCATTCTCTGCCTGCCCAGCGTCACCGGCTCGGATCTGGATGCTTCACTTATGAACTGGACCTGCTTGGTGTGGGGTGGGCCGATGCTGCTGGTTCTGATCTGGTGGGTGGTGGACGCCCACAAATGGTTCACTGGACCGAAGGTGAACATCCAACATATGATGCTGGGGCAAGATCAGAACGTTATCGATGGCAAGGAGGGCTCCGACTCGGGTAGCGGCATTTCGCCTGCGCCCACCTCAGATATCGACAAGGCCGTGTTGAACAAAGTGTGAGGAGATGCCGAGCAAAAGTACGATGGTTGATTTTAGAGCGATGTAACTACGGTTATCTTTGCGAATTTCTCCTTCTATGTGGAGAGTGGATGTATACCCTATGATTGGAAGTCCAGCTCGACGACTAGCTAGTGTAATTTGAATGTACACTCTCGACAAATCTGTGCCAGAATGCTTTCTCAATGCGACAAAGGTGCACGTGCTCGCGGGCGAAGCGGACACAGCCGGCAAGGCAGAAGGCGAGGAGGATCAGGAACTGTGGCTGTTCGTCTTCCGATTGGCGTTGATCCAGGGGCGGCCAATGTAACTGGGCTCACTAGGCCAAAGCGATGATGACAACGAAGAAAGGATCAGTGAGTGGCATGTAATAGAGCCCGAATCTGCCCTGTAAGATTATCGTCGACAAACTCCCTCGCCATTGGCCCCGAGCACACATTGCAGCCACTCAGTCAATCAGTCTGTGAACCGAACCGGCTCCTGCTCGACTTGCTCTCTCTACCAATGCGAGTCGAGTGCTCGTATTTTCTCTATCGTTCTAGAAGCAATCAATCACGAGTCCCTCAGATTTCTTGACGTCCTAGTTCTCCATCCGGGCGATTTCCGCAGTGGTAAATCTCGATATGCATGGATCAGCGGCTATCATCCAGCCATACGCAAGCTCGATTACGACAGGGCAATGGGCCGACCGTGACCTGGCATCCCTACTAGCCACCACTCGCTAGGAGGAGGCAATCCACAGATGGTCTATACGCAGCTACTCAAGTTACATCCCTCGGCACACCCCGTCCAAAGGCAAGAGGCGTTGCATCCTTCGGCCTGCTGCAGAGGGCAATGATTGACCCCCCAAAGCATCCACCTTCCCCCACAAACCAGCAGGATCGAAGCTTTATCAAGCATTTTTGGACCGAGTGCCTTTTGAACCAGCGCTATCTCGACCTCGACGAATGCAACCTTCCTATCTCGCTGCTGCCCCCCGGGGTGGTGGATGCGTCATGCCACAGCTTTGCCAGTGGGAGCGCGACGATCTGGTGTGCAAGGTAAGCTCGAGGGCAAGGTCCCCATGGCCGACATGTGGCCCATAAATACTCTCTGCTCGGTCGCGTGTGTCTCCACGTCTCTCTGCTGTCTGGTATCTCTTTGTCTGGCTCTGCAAGCATCGGAACAGCATGCATTTCACTGCTCTTTTGACCGCGTCACTGGCGGCTGGCGCGTTGGCGCAGTCGGTGGCGAACCCACACAAGATGGCTGCGCAGAGGTTGGCGAAGAGGGCGCCAGCCCCAGCTCCAGCTCCCGCACAAGAGCGTCGGTCCACCCCATTGATCAAGAAGCGACAGCAGTCGAGCTACCTGACGTCTCAGACTGAGAGTAAGTCACCCGAGAAACGCAAGAGTGACGTGGGAGCTGACCAGAACAGAGTTTGCCGTCAATGGCACCGGAGTTCCTCTGGTCCCCTTTGACATTGGCGAGTCGTACGCCGGGACGCTCTCCATCGACGGGAACAGCTCGAACCAAAACCAGCTGTTCTTCTGGTTCTTCCCCTCAGACAATCCCGCGGCGACCGACGAGATCACCATCTGGCTGAACGGCGGACCTGGATGCAGCTCGCTCGACGGGCTTCTGCAAGAAAATGGCCCGTTTCTGTGGCAGAGCGGGACTTACGGTCCATTGCCCAACCCGTTTTCCTTTGTGAACCTGACCAACATGGTCTACGTTGACCAGCCGATCGGCACGGGTTTCTCCCCTGCAGCGCCGGGAGCCCCAGCCAAGATCAACAACGAGGTCGACGTGGGCAGACAATTTGCCGGGTTCTGGAAGAACTTCATGACCACGTTCAACATGACGGGACGCAAGGTCTACATCACCGGCGAATCGTATGCGGGCCAGTACATCCCATACATTGCCAGCTATATGATTGACCAGAACAACACCGATTACTACAACGTCGCTGGCATCCAGATCAACGATCCCAGCATTGGGCTTGACTCGGTCCTGACGGAAGGTAAAGGCTCGGGCCTGTCCTGGCACCAATTTGGACCATGTGAGCTGACGTCGAGATTACAGTGCCTGCTGCCACGCACATGAACAACTACGCCAACGTCTTCGGCCTCAATGACTCGTTTGTGTCGGCCGTCACCAAACGGGCCGAGCAGTGCGGATACATTGAGTATATGGAAAATGCCCTGACCTTCCCGCCCAAGGGCAAGTTCCACGAACCAGTGAATTCGTCCAACCCAGGTCAGTGACTGTCTCTCTCCCCGGGGACCGGGCTTGGGAGCTAACCGTGGGTGATACAGATTGTTTGATCTGGGAAGATATCGTTTTCGCCGAACTCTACGTCAACCCTTGTTTCAACTTTTATCACTTGACAGGTAGGCGCGAGAGCCCCATTGACATATCTCCTCCCCAATTGTCCCGACGACGAGACCCCCAACACTAACACAATGCGTGATCGTCGACAGACTTCTGCCCGTTCCTGAACGACGAGCTTGGCTTCCCATCTCTCGGCAACGGACCCAACAACTACTTCAACCGCAGCGACGTCCAGGCCGCGATCCACGCCCCTCCCACCGACTACGTGATCTGCGGGGATGACAGCCTCTTCCCCAAGGGTGACCAGTCGCCCCCATCGTCGTTTAGCGCCCTTCCCCACGTTATTGAACATACCAACAACGTCATCGTCGGCAGCGGTCTTTTGGACTTCCTGCTCCTGACCAACGGCACGCTGATGACCCTGAACAACATGACCTGGAACGGCGCCCAGGGCTTCTCCAAGGCACCGTCTGACAAGTTCTTCGTGCCGTACAACCCCTCGATCGGGTTCGTCATCCAAGAGACCCTCAACCAGCCCATCCCCGCCACTCCCGTTGGCTTGGTCGCAGGCGGTGGATACATGGGCACCACCCACACGGAGAGAGGATTGACCTGGGTGACAGTCGATATGGCGGGTCATGAGATTCCCCAGTACGTTCCGGGCGCCGCCTACAGACAGCTCGAGTTTTTGCTGGGTAGAGTCAAGAGCCTGACCCAGATGGGTGACTTCTCGACACAGCATGGAAACTACACGGGCACAACTCCATTGTAGCCGGATGAGAGATGGGTTTCAGATGGACCACTTCCTAGCCCACGGAGCTGAGATATGACCTGAGGTTTAATTGTAAAGCACGACAGTGTATATAAATGAGTTGACGATCGAGAAACGCTTCAGCTGATAGAAGACCCAAAAATAACCCGTGTCATGACCCGGGATAAAAGAGGACAACCTAGTAAGACTTGCTAGTTGATTGGACGGATGCTCTGAATCCAACCTGTCAGACAGAAGCATTCTGTAAGATGGTACTTTTAAAGTCAACGCGTGACAGCGCGTCATGGCGACGCGCTTTGTTCTCGAAGCCACATTCTTCCCCACCGGACACCGGCTCTGGACTCACGGTGCAAGTCCTTCTTTTCTCATGCTTTCCCCCTGCACTTTCTCATTGGGCAAAGGTCTTCTGGAACATCCATGGCTCTCGAGCCCAGGTCGCCATCTACGCACAACCGCTTGATGACCACCAGAATCCCTCACCCTCGATCCACGCGATTCCATAATGGCGAAGAGTTCCCCGCCCCGCCTGCGAAGCGACTGAAGGGCACTGTGTCCGACGGTCTCGCCGCCAGCCCGAAGCGCGGGTCTTCTGCGAAGTCTCCCCAGAAGAGGAAGATCAAGGACGAGATCCCAGACTCAGAAGAGGAGGGGGAAGAAACCGATTTCAATGGACGAGCAGAGCGTATCTCTGACCTGGCCCCGGCGACACAATTGGAGGCTACTCTGCCACCAATCAAGACAGATGAAGAAGCCATAGAGGCGTACGAGGCTTACAAGGCAAGTGAATACACATACAATGACCAAGATCGTCGAGATGAAGGTACGACGTTGTCAAGGCTTGAAGCGCGCTCTTGGGTCCGAGGACGCAGCTCTATTTACGTGGATGCGTTCAACCTTGCTCTGGATACGGTTCTAGACGAGGAACAGCATCTTTTCAACGAAGCTGAATTGAGTCTTTTCGCAACATGGCGGGAACTCAGCTACGAAGCCCAGTACCTCTACGTGCGGCTGTTCCTTCGTAAGACAAGTAAATGGTTCCGAATCAGAGACCTGCAGTATTACAGCGATGTTGCAGACATGGAGGCTGCCGTTGCGGAGTTGCAGAAGGAACGACCTCTCCCGGCCGTCAATGAGGCGCCCGGTATCCATCCAGGTGAATTGGAGCCTCCAGAGGGCACGGTACTCGGTGAGACATTTACCTTTGCAGAATGTTCAACAGAACACATCAAAACACTGGACGAGGCGAGCAGTCTCTTACTTTTAGACGAACTGAAGACTCTCGCGAAGGAGGCAAAAGTCCACGGCAAGAACAAACGAGAGCTTCTGCAGAATTTCCGGCGCACCAGCGGCAGGCAAGCTGGGCTGGGCTTCAAAGGACTCAGACGGATGGAAACGCACGAGTCGGGAGGTGCCTTGTCTGAGGACAGTCATTCTGTCTATGATGAGGAAGACGGGGAGGAGAGCAGTGGCACCAGCACACCGAATTCCCCGAGCACCAATCGAGACGCTCACTTTACCAAGAAGATCCTTGACCGGACAGGACGTTGTATCCGACTCTCTCTGACTCCATTGAAGCTTTTCGAACGAGTTCATCTTGTCTTCTACCGTAGCACAGAATGGACGGAGAAAAGCCTGACGACCTTGATCCTGGCCAAGATATCCCGCCGCAATTTCCCAGAGTACATCGTCAGCCGGTCCTCCACCATCTTCGAGTCCCGTGCTCTTCTCCTCGAATTTGAGGCCAGTCTCCGCACACAGTTCCGAGTAGACAACATTCTTGAATTCAGCGGCACACCGGGCCGAAAAGCTCTGGAGGAAGTGAAAGAGATCTTTGAGGCGGTGTATCCGCGGTGGAAGGCTCTCCTGGCCGAAGAACAGAGGAAGGAAGACCGCATCTACGAAAGTGGAGAGGGTGCTTATCTGCGTCGTTTCAGCCCGGCATGGGTATATACGCGGATTGTGCACAAGGCTCTCCATCCCCTTGCCCGGTTCAAAGAGCATCTTCGAGAGCACGAACTGTTGAACGAGCTATTGGACCAACGACTCTTCCACGCGGCAAGACGAGGTGCATGGTACCAACGCAAAGCCCTATTGGAAGAACACTACATGCACGCTCTCACCCCCGATGAGGGTCGATCTGTCGAGGCAAACAAGAAGCACTGGAAGCGCGTTGCGCTCAAGACTTGCGAGCTGGGCCTTCAAGATAAAGAGTGCCATGTCATCTACCATTACGACCTCCAGAAGCGGGTCAAGAAACTGGAAAAGCAACTACGCGTGCCACTTCGGGAACAACATGACTTTGGGCACGTGAAGCTTGGGAAAGCCGTGGAGAGGGATGTCGTGGGTATCAAAATTGAGCACGGTCGCGAGGACACACCGTCACGAAGTCTGACCTTTAGTCGGAAGAACAGCGTCAACACCCCCGTGGACAGCGACCCGGCGGCGAACATTAACAATACCAAACGTCTCTCTCTTCCCCATCAACCAGGTAATCCAATGCTGGGGGCCAAGACAGTCTGGCTTGACCATCTGGACACCAACCTCCCTGTCTCGGTCGAGTCCATGTGTCTCTCCCACTACCGTCACGTATTGGGATACAAGGGCTACCACTCCGAAGGCGGCATCCTCCGCACGATATTCGGTCTGTTGTTCTACGACATCCTGTTCTTCCACCCGTACATCCCCAACGTCTTCCAGACTGCCTACCAGACGTGCCCGCTCGACCTGCACACGGACAGCTTCTTCTCGGCGCGCATGCCGGAGATTCTGGCGCGGATCAACCAGATCTCCAACGGCGAGGCCGTCGAGATCGTCGAGCGGGTGTGGGCACAGGAGTACGAGCGCCGCACGTGCATCGTCGGCGTGCGCTGGGACGAGTTTGAGCGGCATGACCTCGTCGAGTTGCTGGCCTGCTGGGAGGGCCAGGCCTTGGGGACGGTCATGCTGGTCATGGCGCAGGAATATCAGAGCCGCGGCGGCGGCGTGCCGGACTTGGTGTTGTGGAAGGTCCACGACCACGATCATGCTCAAGCTCCCTCTCCCTCTCCAGACAAGAGTCCTCGACCCCAACAAGCCCGGGGAGAAATCCTCTTCGCCGAAGTCAAGTCCGCCAATGACCGCCTGAGCGACACGCAGCGGCTGTGGATCAGTGTGCTGCTGTCCGCGGGCGTTCCGGTCGAGCTGTGCCACGCCGTGGCGGGCGAGACGCGATCCGGGCCTGAGTGATTGATCAAGTGATTGAAAGGAAGGGTCAATGAACCCGTTGGGAGCCAACACAAACTGACTGACTGACGGACGGACGGACAGAAGTCCAGCGTCCAGCCAGCCAACCCGGTAGTAGAATGAACTCCCGTCCCTGTCTGTACCAGTACCCGTACCCGTACGTATTGAATGAATGAATGGATAATATATGAAATGTACGTACAGTACACGTTGTATAACGTGCATATATATGTTCGTCATGTCATGTCATGTCATGTATATGAAGAATGAAAGTATGAAAGTATGAAACTTTCGCAAGCAAGCAAAATATATACAGCACCTCTCTCTCTACCTCTCTCCATTGATTGATTGCCAAATGCACACTCGGTTACCGACTACTAATACTCGGTGTTCCTTAATCCACATGATCTGCGATATATGTACTAGTATAGATACTACTGTACTTACTTTACCATTCCTTTCCTTTGTTTATGCAGGTCCAGGTCCAGGTCCAGTGTCTAATGCAGTTGTTCAGTCAGTTATTCAGTCAGTCAGTCAATTAATCTGTCTATCTGATATCTACTCCGTCCATGCGTCTGTCCGTCTAGTAGTCTCTCTCGTCTAATAATTAAGTCTAGCACATCCCGAGGAATCTATTGTTCTAGCTTCTAGCTTCTCGTTTCTAGTTCTAGTTCTAGTTCTAGTTCTAGCTCCTGACCGTGACCTCGAGTCCCCCATCTCTCCGATAGGTAGGAAGTAGTAGTGAACTTGTTTGTTGTACATAGCACGTACACACTCTCTTCTCTTCTCTAGCCCATGCCCGCTTTCAGCCTCCAGCCTCCAGCCTCCAGGTCCCACCTTTGCCGCCTCTCTCAACCCTCCGATGACAGACAGGCCAGACAAACAAGCCGGCCCCGTGTGTGCTGCATTGTGTTGCGCTATGCTCGTTCGACCCAGGTGAAGTGCGCCCTAGGGAAAAAAAGACCCCCACCCTGACGCTGTGGCGAACAAAATCCACAAAGAAGAGAGAGAGAGAGAGAGAGACAAAAGAAAAAACACATCACATGCACGCTATGAAGTAAAATGACGGCCCCCTCCCCCTCATGTACATATCCCAACTGATGCGTGCTTGCGTGCGTGCATGTAAGAGGGGGAAGCGAAAAAACAACAACAGAGAGAGGATTCAAGGAGGGAAAAAGATATCGCCAGTTCCAGTCCCCGGGGGAAAGCAGAAGTAGCGGCGAAGAAGAACAAGAAGAACAGTTCTTGTCTCCCCCCTTTCTTCGATCACAACTTCTTCCCGAACCAGCCAACACCTTTCTCGACCGCCTCCTTGCCCGCGGCTGCTGCCATGGCATGTTGTTGCATCAAGCTCCCCGCCTCTTGACTCGGCTTGACACGGCCGAAGTTAACGTCCAGGTCAAGCAAGATCTTCAGCGCGTTGCGGCTGCGCAGGTATGGCAACGGGGCTTTTGCCTCCCTAAGGCCAACGCCCGGTTCCACTCTGCCCGTGACACCGCTTCCCGACTTCACCTTCTCGGCCTCGTCTGAGCCAGGAAACGGGAGCATCTTCGACAGTACCTCGTACGCTGCCAGTGTAAAGCCGAATTGCGGTGATGATCGCAGGATACGAGCAGGGCCGCCCTTGAAGAAGGCCTTGAAACCTTCATCCTTGAGAATCTTGCGCGCGCAGTCCACGAGGCCGTTGTAAGTTGCTTCCCCTTTGCGGGCTTCCACCTGAAGTCGAGTCTTGATCACATCACAAGGAGTCGTGAGATATGCAGCTGGCATACCCGCAATGGCACCGGCCGTCAGCAGCTGCAAGACGCCCAATGTCTTGGTGGGTGATTCGCCGAAGAAGTCTCTCTTGAGGTGACTGTACGTGGGGAAGTAAATGGCCGAGAAAGGAACGTCGCGCAACAAGCATGCAGTCACACCCTTGTACAAGCCCAGAATACCAAGATTCCGGACGATCCACATCGCACTACGTTTGGGGACCGCGTCGGATTTCTTGGCCAGTTCGCCTTGGACCTGGAGGCGAATCTTGACGATTTCGAGCGGGTTGGTAAAGACCTGGCACATCATCAGTGTCCCGCACCTCAACTCGTGAGGTCAAGAGCCTCAAATTATAAACTTACCACTTGACAAGCACCGGCAGAACCTCCAGCAAGAATCTCCGACCAGAGGGGAATCTTGCCAGTCTGCTTGTCGGTAAATCTTCCTCGCACGAGATCATTCACCGTGAGCTTGATGGCCTTTTCAGGAGCAACCCCGACCAATTGAGGGAGCACACCCGAGTACAGCCCACGAATACCTTCGTTTCGGATGACCTTGCGCGCACAGTCGATTGAGTTTTCGTAGAGTCGTTCACCAGGTCGGGTGCTTCGCTGGTTTTGCATGCGTGTCTTGACCAGATCAATCGGATAGACCATGAACGCACCAAACGCACCGGCGATGGAGCCGAGACCGAAATGGTGTGCCGATTCGAGTAGGCTGCGCAGGAACTGTTGAGACTTGGACACGGCGCGGTCGGCAACTTCGGCGACGGCATTCAATCTGGCACCCGCCGTTTGATAACTGGCATCCAGAACCTTGGCGAAGTCATCCAGACTCAGGCGGCCGGAAGGGGTGTCGAGGCTGGCAAAGTGAAACAAGATGTCGGCTTCCATGGGTGTATAGAGAGAAAAGCGAGTCAACCGAGCAGCTTCGTTGAGGAAATCCGTGCGGTCGATTCTGCCGTCTGGCGATTTGGCCGTGGCGTTACGGATGATCAGATCGAGCAGGTCCATCTCACGGATAACGTTCTGAAAGGCGCGGACATTGGCGTACGAGATCTTGGTGCCAGATGAGATATTGCACAGCGTCGGCAGGTTCTCCAAGAGGTGGTCGGACAACTTATGTCCTGCGGTGGCTCGGATGATGCGCTCAAAATCCTCAGGGTCGATATAGCCATCCTTATCTTTATCGTACAGATGGAACGCTTGACGGATGCGCTCGCCCTGCAGACCACGCATCATCTGTGCAAACTGCGGGTAGGTCATCTCGTGTCTCTTATTTTTTCCTCCTATATATAGCGAGGCCCACTCCGAGTTGAAGTCGAAGGGGATACTCTCTCGACCTCTGTTCTTTTCGTAGATCTTCTGGAAGGTGTCTGACTTGATCGATCCCGTCCCATCTTCGTCGAACAACCTGAAGGCAATCTCATACTCTGCGTCCGGCTTGACAAGGAGGTTGTCGAAGGCGGCCCATTCCGACATGGAGATTTTGCCGCGCTTGTGACGGTCCGCGACTCCGAACAGGATACCGTATTGTTCCCGTTTAATTTTGTGCTGCGACAGGTGTTAACCGACGTGTGACACGCCCAGGGAAGGAGCAGACTCACATAATCTTCCTCTGGTGGCGCAATGGCATTGATAAAATCCTCCTCGTTCATGTAAAGCTCTCCATCTTCACCTTTGTTGGCATGTTTCAGAAAGGTCATGCGCGACTCCGTCGACAGGCTCGGGGCCGCCGATGTGCCCAGTAGGGACTCTTTTACAGCTTCTGTGACGGTCGCCATAGTGTATAGTAGAGTAGAGCTCCGTCGGTCGACAAAAGTGTTGCTGTTCAGCCCAGTCTAGGAGGTCCTCTCGGCTGGTCAGCTGGTCGCGGGGTGAGCGCGATAGGAAGATTGAAAGGAGAGGAGATACGGAAAGGTAGAAGTGAATGAGCCGTCAACGAGCGTGCAGAAGCAGCTACAGTGACAAAACTGAAAGAATAACCGGGGCCAGGAAGCAAATGATAGAAAAAGCAGAAGAGGCGGTCGGTAGTTGGTGGTTGTTGCGTGTCCCTTTCTCTGTGACCCTTTCTTGTCGCTCCTCTTAAAACCGCAGTTTCGGGGAACAAAATTAAACAAAAATTTGGAGCTTCTGGGGGCATTTCGCTATCGATGTAGCCGAGCGCTAGCCACTATAGGCAATCCCGGTCCAGGCACAATCTGGGCGTCTTCCCCAATCAGGTCTAGAGCTCGGCATAAAACCCCCGCGAGCCGAATGAAGCTCCGGCGGAGGTTTTCCTATGCGCTGCCAGCTCCAGAGCCTCACCCACGCTCTCTCCACGCCCTGCCCACGCCACCCGGCCGGTGGAATTGGGGGAAGACCAAAAAAGTTAAGTCGGCGACAGAGAAAGAGAGAAAGAGGGAAAAAAGAATAATATCATGCATTGCGAGATAGCATAGCCCTATCTGTCCCTGTGACCGTATGTCTTTCCCAGCAGCGCTCTTTGATGTTCCTCCCTGTTTGCCCTTGGACCTCTGAAAGGACATGTATGTGATACAAATAATACAGTGAGTGCATGTACGCCCGTTGCTCATTGCCTACGCCAAACAAAGCCAATCCCAGGTCATTGCGTCGTTAGATATCCTCCAACTGATAACAGGTATCCTCCTTTTTGTTTGCCAGATCAACCAACCCAGTCTGACCCACCACATTCAAGCTGTGTACCCATATGCAGTCTCTGACAGAAGACGATTGACGGAAGGCAGACTCTCTGTCGACAGACCCGTGGTGATCTCACTGGCACGTCGACTATGTGCATGATTACCCAGACTGATCCCACTGTCGTCGGTGTGGTCATATTGTTCGTCCAGGGATGAGCCCTGTTCGTAGTCACTCACACCTCCCTGACCCGAACTTGCTCGTGATCTTTGTCGACCATGGCTGGAGCGAGAAGGGTTCCTCAGGTTGCGGAGTCCCTGTTGAAACATCTGGGCACGAGGTCAGTTCGGCGGATACCAGATGGCAGGCGTTCATTCAGTCTCCACGTACCACTTTTTCCACATCTGACATGGACTCCCCCAGCTCTTTGCACAAAGGTTGCCATATGGAATGCCGGTGCCGGTTGTACGCGTCGGTGACCCGCTGGATCCTTGCCTCATCCCAATCAGTGTCGCGCATTTTCGCCAACACCCTCTCGTGTCTCTTGCGACATGCGTTGGCCGATTTGTTGGGGAAGTACCGTCGATGGATCTCTTCCCAGGACAGTCCCCGGCCCTTTGCGTCCAAGAGGATGTTGTCCTCCTCGATGATCCACGGACCGCTCTGCCCGGGACGCGGGATCGCCTCCCGCTGCATATGAGGAACCGGGGGCATGGAGTTCGGGACCGATTGGAGATAGTTGGACATCAGTTGCTGTTGACCATATTGGAGGCTGTGGTCTGCATAGTGCAGGCTGTGCATCTGAGGGGGATTCCATGGAGCCATGGATGGAGGCATGCTGGTGACCATGGTCGTCGGTGTTCGGAGGCTGTAGGGAGCTGGTCGCTGAACTCGGCGGGCGATGGTTGGCTGCTTTGGCATTCCTTGTCATGAGCTGGCCGATGAGTCCGAGGCCCTCGGTCGCTGGAACGGTTGCGGCGAACACAAAGGGAAAAGAAAGGGACGACCCGAATTATGATTAAGAAGGTGGAGGAGGAGCGAGTGTACAGAAAGAAATGGAAACGATTGTGCTGGAACCCGTGCAGCACAAGGTTTGGGGACTGGATGGCATGAAATGGTGTAATGCCTGAACTGACTCGAGCCTGGCCAACCCCCTCTTATGAACAATTGCGTCCAGCGCAAACGACCGTGCCAGAGAACTTCAAACACACGGGCGTCAATCTCAGATTTGAAAGAGACGCGAAACCCAACAGCTCCGGCCTTCGAGCCACATCCGTTTCATCAGGAAAAGGGCTCGAGCATCCGCCTCCCGGCGCAAAACATGCAACGGCGCCTCGGGGAACTGCAAGAGATGCACATCCACGGCGAACCCGGTCGCGATAACCATTGGAGGATCCCCTCTAACGAGCAGGTGAAACTCGAGCCTCGAGAGATGGGGGCCATGAGGTGGTGGATCGCCAGCCATGCACGAAAGCGTAGTTGTATAAAGTATATTTGGCTACCCAGCCAGCCCTACCCTGTCGAGGCCCAAGCGAGCCACTCGCAGCAGACCACAAAGCGGCTGTCGATCAAGCGAATCTCAGTAGCCGCTGGCAGACATGGACCAGGGCGTTCACGCCGGAAGAACTCAAGCGGTTTCGAGAATTTTTGGCTACACATACTGCGTAAGGCTCGCCTGGTCATCAGGAGCGGAAACTTCCGATGCCCCAGAAGCCTGGCATCTCGTTGGATCCCACCACGCAGATTGGTCGGGTGGGAGGCCATGGCGTGCGTGCGTTGGTTTGGAGAGGAATGGTAGCCGCTGAGCAGCAATTTCTGGGAGGCGTAGATTGACACAAACGGGTGCCAAAGTCTTCAGGAACTCCGTAAGAAGCAGTCTCCACGACAACAACACCGTTCGACTCTGATTTCGAGCGGACAATCGCCGTTAATGGCGTCTGAATTGATCGCAACCAGACACATTGCGTCCTTTGAGGTGTTCGACTGAGGTTGGAGAACATGAAACTCGGGGTCGCTTACCAGGCGGTTAATCTCTTGCAGGCCCTATATTTAGCTAGGGCAGATTGGCTGCCATGACACGCATACCGATCCCTCGGCTGATTCCTCTGGGCGGTCTCCATGGTATCGGACATGCTGAGTTGGATTCGTTGTGGCAGTTTGCAGAGATTCTGTAATAATATGGCGCAGACATAGCATCGAGCGAATATTGGTCATGTTTGCCGTGCCTAGGTAGTTACTCGATATGCCACTGCATGGCTACTAGAAACGAACATACCGCTCGCCCTCAGGAGGAGGTCAAGTACTCGATATACAAGAACGATACTCGTCCTCTTGGTGGCAGCGACGGAAACAACAAAAGGGAGGCGACAGTAGACAGGACAAGGTCATATATTGACTATCCTGGAGAGTGTCAGGTAAAAGACAGTGTGTTTCCCCGCTTCAACTCTTCTGTAATTCTTGGATTAGGTCTTTTTGCGAGCCGACGCGTTACATAAAAATGGTACATCATCAAAAGGTCGTTGTCCAACAACCAATCCCTCGCTGTGGAAAGGTCTATGTCATATCAAAATCATATCACATCGCTGGGGAAAAAACCAAACAAGAAATTTGGCAGACAAGTCCTTCTATCTCCGTCCCCATCGTCGCTCGTCTTTCGACATCTTGACGTGAGCGCCATAGTAGTCCTCTTCCTCGATTGGTGTCACACTGTAGACGACGGGCGTGTCGGAGAAGGATAGCTGTCGTCGTTGCGTGCTGGTCTTGGAAGGTGACTTCTTCAAGATGCTTCTTGATGAGCTGCTGTTGACATATGAGTATGTTGGCTGTTGCAGCGTCGAGTAGCCTCGCTGGTTGAGCCTGGTGTTCCGTGCAGTTGGGCTCGCAGGTGATGGCGACACAGGTGATTTCAGCGGTGATCTCAATGGCGTCAAGGGAGACTTGAGTGACAGTGTTGGTCTGGTTGCTTGAGCAGTAGCGGTCGAGATGCTCAAGGACAACTTTGGCTTTGCGGTGCGTGAGGCAAGCATGATTAAGTCTTGATTGATTTGATGAATGTGGAAATTGATATGATGTTGTTAGCGGATTGTATGTCGAACCTGTTCAACAGATTGTTCACTGAAGTGGCGTTTTTGAGGATATAACCAAAAGGACGTAGATCTGAATCGCGGGGCAGTTGAGACAAGAATAGCAGTCGAGTACGATAGAGATAAATATAGAATTGGACCAGCCAAATCTAGGTCGTTAGGAAATCGAGGACTAAGAAATGCCAGACAATCAATGTGTGGATGAAGAGAAGAAAAAAGCTGGGTCGACAAAGCGGTCGGATGGGCGGTTAGATATAGACGTTGAAACGGAGGGAGGAGTCGAATCCTGGGCTGGTCAAGGGGAGTTGTCGTCCCTATTCGCCCAGCAACATCCTGGTGGTCCGAGCTTCTGCCTTGCATTGCGCCCAATCATTGCGCTCCTTGACGCGCTCACACTGTGATACTGCTGTTTCCTCACCTTCTCTTCCAATGAGCAGTGCAGTTGTCTCATGCGAAGTCGGGTTAGTAATTGTGCCAACCTGTGATGGAACAAATCAGGACGGCTGGGAGTGTTGACATGACCTTCCTCACGGCTCCTTGCCTTGCATAAATCCATCGTTCGACAGGCTCTTTTTAGACATCTTGCCTGCCGTGTATGCCTGCCAAGCCGTCGACAGTGAAACTATCGATTTTGAACTATGCAACTTTCCCTCCTTTGGTCTTCTCTATAGGGTGATAATGGTGATTAAAAAGTGCTGATGCGGAGACCAGAAGATATTCACCAATGTGGCTGCTGGCATTGCAGAAAATAAATTGAAGCCACCCACCAATGAACATTCGAGGCTGCGTTCACATCTAGAGTCGCCCGGAGAAAGAAGCTGGTTACTAAATGCCCTGATCGGGCCACGTACATACTACCAAAAGTATGAAGAAGGTAGATGGTGCAATACTCATCAAGTTCGTGAAGGTGGCGATGACACCTGCCCGTGATGATGCAGGACCAGCAAGTATGTAGCACGTTGCTTGGTCTCAAGGTGTACCCATGACTGCGGGCAACGAGGCCGCTGTGACCTGTAGAGCATGCAGGGGAATCCAGGAAAGTATGATCCTTTAGCCTAGGACAGCTGGGATCTGTGCTGGTCCAGGCGCAAACACACCGGTATGTTACTCTGGTGCATCTTGTGAACTTACCACACAGAGCGACATCGCCTGTTTAGACCATGGTTGTATGATCATGGGGTCGATGAAGGCTACGCATTACCTGGTTGCTCTGAGAGCCGTTGCACTCTTCGTGCGACACATAGTTGCCAGCTTCTCCAGCTTGGCACCCTGATCTGCAATCCCAGGTACATCCCGGAGCATGAGGTAGAGGCAAAGCATCACTGTTTGCTTCGTGCAGAGCATGTCACATCTGCGACATCAATGAGAACTGACAGCCACGCAAATTTTCGTCCCCAATCTGCGTCTAAGTCGACTTGCGTCCAGGTTGCTGTCCGCTCTCGTGGATGAACATGATCAACTGCCAGGCGGTACGGTATGATCTGTCCACCTTCATCTGAGGGCTGCCGTATTCGACTTACCTGTTTGCAGCAGTGAAACTGTTGGGCGCGTGCAGTGAGGATGGGTGATGTTCACGTGTCGAGCAAGTGTCGTTCTGGTAGTCGATGGGGCTGCGCCGCTGATCGCCCAGACCACCACGAATTCATGGCGGCATTGGCATGACGAAATGACGGCGCAGAGTCGACAATGGCGGGTTAGAGCTGCTGGGTGAAACTACTGGCGTGTGAATCATGCTGTGTGTATGTACGGCGCGAGGCGAGTCATCTTCTTGGTTTATTTTGGATTGAAATTTGCGTAAGGCAAGCATGTCAGTCGGGTCTTGACGCCGATTCTTTGGCGGAAAAGGCGAACTATCGAGGCTGAAGCAAGGTGCGCGGAAGGAAAGTGTGCTGAAAGGACTGTCGCAACAAGAATATGATGAATCAGTCGAGTACGAGAGAAAAAAGCCCCAGCCGAAATCGTTGATACATGTCGACACCCAAGTCGTCAATAAAGAGCAACTGTGGCTTTGCTTTTGTCGCCGTTGCCCAGTCCATAACCGTAATCCCGCTGCGCCGAATGAAGTCGACCATTAACCATTCTGACTCGAAATCAACTGGGTGACGTTTTGGTGTGCCGCCGCTAGCAGAGTGCACATTGCGGATACATGGAGCGATTCGAATTCCATGTCCTGAAGGCCGAAATTCCACAATTTGTTAAGGAAACGGGGCAACAGCCGACTCCCCTCTCGTCCATCCGCTTACCTGCTGGCGTAACGATCTTCACGGGCATATTCACGACCGCCTGCGTATTCGCGAGGAGCTTCGTCGCGGGTGGCGGGAGGGTAGCTACGGTCGTCGTTACGCTCGTAGTAGCCACGTCGATCTCCACGCGTGCCACTGCCATAGCCTTCTTCGCGCCTACCGCCCTCGTATCGGTCGATGCCGCGGCCGCTGTAGCCTTCATCTCGGTCACGTCTGCCACCTCCGTAGCCGCGTCTGTCATAGTCGTCATATCGGGAACCACCACGGTAGTCACCGCGATATTCACCGCCACGATACTCGCCGCCCCGGTAATCGTCACGGCGGCCTGAATAACCTCCTCCTCGACGATCATCATAGCGGTCTCGATACCCACCACGAGGGGGGCCGCGGAAGTCACCTATTCAAGGTCAATATTTCGTGTGTGGTGTCGGGAATCCTACTTACCACGCTTGGGGGGGCCGAAGTATTTCCCTGGAGTGGGAGTACGAGGGCGGGCACGACGAGCCTTCTCGATGCTCAGGACGCGCCCTTCAACAACCTCGCCTTGCAAGGCTTCCTTGGCTGCCTCCGCTTGTTCGTTCGAGACCATTTTGACGAAGCCGAACCCACGAGATTCCTTGGTATGCGGGTCCAACATGATCGAGCAGCTTTCAACATCACCATACTTCTCGAAGAGGCGAGAGACGTCGGCTTCGGTGAGGCGGGGGTGAATGCCAGTCACGAAGAGATTGGACCCATTGTTCAGGGATTCATCATCGGCGTCTTTCATGCGAGTGTCAGATGGTGGAGGTGGCCTAGTGTGAAAACGGTCAGATCGCTTTGAGAAAGGCAGAAGGAGATAAAACGTACGCTCTATCACGGCCGTTTGGAGATCGGCTGCGGTTGCGATCATCACGATCTCCTCGAGGCGAGGCAGATCGATCGCGACGTTCATATCCGCGGTCATCTAAGAAATGTTATTAGAAATGCCCTTAGCAAGTCGCGTTACGGCTGAAAACATACCTTCGTAGCGAGCAGCAGAGTCCTCGAAGTCGGCCATGGTATCAGGTTTGGGAGAAAGGGATTAAGCAAAGGGGGCTGAAGTCAAGTTTGGCTGCGGACCTCTTCTTCGAGGCCTCTTTGTTACACTTTCGACAAGATCTGGAAAGTGATCGCACCGGGACTGATCAAGGAATGACAGGAAGTTTCCTTGATGATGAAGGGAGCTGAGAGTGCTGGTGGCGGTGGATTGTTTGTAAGGCTACGATGAAGAGTGAGGCGAAGGCAAAAAATCACTACAGGACACGCGCACTCAGCGCCAAGGTGAGATTGCCCAATTAGGAACGACCGCGGAGAAGGATAAACCTTCTTCCGCCAAGATCTTGCTTCAACTCTTAGTGTTTACATGTTTACAGTAGATGTATGAGGTTTAAAAGGGTGTGAGATGGTGCAAACAGGCCCACTTCATCTCTTACTACGTCCCTGTACTGAACAAGTTCACAGCGTCAATAATTTAATCTGCCACCAAATACTACAGCTAATCAGCCACACTGAGAGTGTGGCGCAAGAATGGGCGAACAATGGTGTCATGGAAGCCCAGGCATCCAATCCAATAATAATCCTCCCTATAACTCTCATCGTCTAGTCCGAAGAGTCCTGGTACTCCAATTGGGAGTCTTGTTTTCTTTGCCCCTCAAAATCCTTTTCTGGGCCGTAGCTTCCTCGGCTTTTGAGTCTGCAGCCTTGTCACCGATGGCAGCACCATTAGTGTGTCCGAAGATGTCATCGCCGGCACCTAGTCCTTGGAGCTCGTCTTCATCCATCTCACTTAACTCCTCACTGAGTTCGCGTAGCACTTCTGGTCCCGTCCAACGTTCCTCAAAGATGGTCGTGCCTTCTGGATCAAATTGAGTAACGTACCAAGGGATGCCACCTTCGGACTGGAAATGTTGAGAATGACCTTCCAAACTCATCGGAGGCGTAGGCGGTTCCACTTGTTGGTCTTGTTGCCTCGTTCCAAGTCCATTCGCATGTGATTCGTTCCTGAAGCCATTCGTGGAAGCAGGCGGTGTACTGGCGGAGACCGGATGAGACGGCATCTCCAGGCCGTTGTGCTTAAGCACATCATCTTGCGCAGCAGGCATTTCCGACTTCTTGACGGTTTCGTCGATACGAGCTGGTTCTTGCGCAGATGTTGTAGCTTCAACCATATCAACATCGGCCTCGGCTGGACTGGCGATCCCAACCTCGTCTTTTGATTCGACAGAATCAATAACCGGACTTCCCAGGAACTGTGCCAACGAGCCACGTCGAGAAAGGAGGGCTTCGTCCATCTCTCTGATCTGCTCAGCGTATGGTCGACCGTGCAATTCAGCTTCTTTTCGACTAGCATCTTCGAGAAGGGGTTCAAGGCCCTTGACGATTCGTCGAGCAAGTGTGCGTCGATCCCGATCTTCGGATGTCATGTCTTCGGCTCGGCCGCTGACCAAGGATATCAATTCTGAGATGCTTCCCGCGCTGTTGCCGAATTCCGTGTTAATCACTTGCACCACATCATTGGAAAAGCTCGCGATTGAAGTATGCTCTTTCCTGAGGACTTTGGCTTGCAGTTCAAGCAGACCTGCACGGAATAGACCTCTGTCAAGTCTGAATCTTGTTAGCATCGACCCTGGGACATGAGATAGCTAGACTTACTTGAGCGCCTTCTCGATGATCGGCTCTAGAAGATGTGGCACAGGGAAGTAGACGATGTCGACGACCTCCTTCATTAGGCGAGCCTCCTGTAGTTTCGCCGCTTCGCGTTCTCTGACCAAGTTGCACAGCTGCACGAGCTTGTCCATGTCCTCAGCTAACCTCTCGGCGAATTCAATGCGACGCTGGAGCCTGGCACGTCCAGCTGCACCTTGAGCCTTGTAATCGCGACGCGTCACCTCGAAGGAGCTGAAGGTATCCATTTGTAATTGCAGCCGCTTCAGAAGGGCGGCACCACGGCGAGCTTCGCGTTTCAGAGTCCAGTATTTGCAGATTTCAGAAACATATTCCTTTTTTTTCGGTACAGAGAATCTCATCAGGGACTCCTCGATAGATTTGAGGATGACCTCGGGGATGACAGGAGCACCTGAAGGGAGACGCCATACAGTTTTCTGTTTTTGCCCCTTTTTATTAGTTAGCGTCACCTTCAGATGGGCCTTGTCCGTGGAAGGCGTATCTTGGACGTCATGAATCGCCAATGCAGATGCACGACTGTCTGCCCAGATTTGCCCACGGAAGTGTTCTTTGAAGTACTTGACTGCCTCCTCATAGGCTCTATCCGTGTGATGCTGACGTTTCCAGTCGCTAGGAGTGTGTTTGTGACAATACGCTTTGAGCTGCGACGGTTCCATCAGGGCGTTCTGGCCGCCGCCGGTTTTCATTTGCAAAAACAGGCCAGCTTGGCGTGCACAAGTTAGATGGAAGGGTTCGTAGCAGCGGCCGTCGCTGCATTGAATGCTCGCCCCCATCTCCTGTTTACAAATGTAACAAACAAGTCTCCAACGACTTGCGGGCACTTTTTCAACGTCGGTGATAGGTTCCATCAAGGACAAGTTGCCGATTGTGACTTCCGGAATCCAGATGGCGCAGAAGAGATGCGCCCATTTCGAATTGTTGGTTTGCTTAAACGCCCCGCCCTCGTTCGGGCAGAAGATGCAGCTCGGTCGAGAATTTCCCACAAGTTGGCATTTCCTGCATAACCACTGTCCTTCGGGGATGTAAGGCACACCATAACACTCTTGATGCACTGCGAGATCACAACCATCGCAGAACACTATCGCGTTGGCATTCTCGCAGTCACCGTCGTCGCAAATGGCGCATTTGCTGTCAGGCTCTTCTCCCGCAGGCTCACCGTTAACCGCAGCGGCCGAACTCGATCGTAGCCGCTGCGTCTGAGGCGCCTTGGGATTGGGTTTCGGTATTCTCTTTTCTAAGGCATGCCATTCCTTTTCGATTTTGGTCATTGTGATCTCGAATATTGCCGGCTTGATGGACTGGATGCCGTCTTTGACCCTCCCTTTATTGAAGGCCTCGAGCCACTTAACATCCTGCTCGTCCATGTCATATTCGACTCGTCCGACACCCGTACTACCTATGGCAGAGTTCTCTCCGTGTGTCATGAGGTCAGGGCTGAGATCAAGGTCTTCCTCTGCAGAGCCTTCCATCTGTCTGATCAATGTCCGCGCCGGCCGGATGAATATTTCACTCTCTTGATACCCAACATTTGCCATAGACTTGTCCACGAAGTCAACTTGGGCAATGTCCTTGTTGAGTTCATACGATAGAAAAGGATCGAGTTCTCGGTACGAGGGTTTGGGCAACGTGAGACGTTCTCGTGGATTCGGGCCTGGCATGGGCACGAATTTGGGAACTTCAGGTGTCAGAAGAGCGTTGACCATCGAATTCTGGGTTCGATGTGGCCTTCCAGGTCGCCTCTTCAAAAGCGTCGCAACCCCAAGAACCGGAATTTCGCCCTCCGTCGGCGTCAAAGCGCCGTTGCTGGACGCATCTGTTGTAGGCTTTTTGACCAGTCCGTCTACCTCTTCGGAAGGCAGTACTGCAAAGTCCGCATCAAGGTCGAGATCAGGATGGAACTCTTCCCAACCGCGTTCCTCTCGAGGCTTGTACCCGTCTCCATGTGTCACTGCGGCAGAGGCCGCAGCTGCTGTACTGTATCTAGGCCGTGCGCTCCCTCTATTTCTGCTTCTGGCCGAGTATCGTGGAGTGGATATCATTGTCCTCTTGGGGTTGCGGCTTTGTCTGGTGCGTGTGCGGGGAAGCGCATCCTCTTCGTCTGCATTAGGTGTCCTCATGGTCGAAGGAGTGCTCTCAGGATCAACATGTCTGCCACCACCTCCTCTGCCCCCGGGTGTCCACTTCAGTGAGGATTGAGCCCTGCGCGACGTGCGGATGCGTTTCGAGGGAGGCTCTGCGTCTTGGAAATCTGCGAGATCTTCCTCGTCTGAATTGTTGAAGTCTTTTGATATCTTTTTGAATTCCCTGCGCGGGCGTGTTCTTCCCTGCACAGATCTCAGAGGACCCATCCTGCCAGCACGGTGGCCGGCAGTCGACGCGACTGCTTGTGATCAACCCTGGACTAGGAGGCGCAGGCGGATTTCGGATCGCTTTCTTGTACGTGGGGTGCCATTCAGTCTCGTAAAGGCGGCGCAAGTAGGAGCGCAGGTGGTAAGGCCCGTGGTACGGTAAGGCTAAGGCGATGTATGCAGTTCTGGGGGATGTCCTGTAGTCACAGTGCGCTGAGGTGCGTTTTGAGTGTCGTCGCTTGAAGATGGCGATCTCCCGTCGATTTGGTTAAGCGCGACTTGCAGGCCCGACGGTGTGGATCCACCGGGGCTTGGCATCGTATCGCGGGATGTGATTGCTCTGTGCATCGAGAATTCGCCCTCTCTGTGAAGGGAGGCAGTCACGGTTTACTAATTTTGTTTTCTGCCGCTACCCTCGATGAATGCCATTGAAGAGTGAGTACATATACCTTGTCCACATTCGCAACTCCTCAAACGTTCTTTCATCCACCCAGTTGTGGTAATCTGCTCACAAAATGACCTCCAATGCCAGGAACCGCCCCGGACGCCGAGGAAACGATCCCCGAGGTGCGAACTCCCACCAGCAGCGACAGTCCACTTCCGCGTCTGCAGCATCCCGAGATGGCAGCTCCAATACGTATCAGAGCAGAAGAGGTGGAAAAGCTGGCTCAAATCTGAGCAGGTCTTCTGATAACATTCAAAATGGCCCTACAACAACCCCAACTACTCCTGCACCATCAGACGATCATGTACCGATTGCGGGGTTCAATGCGGATGTCGTCGAAGCAATGTTGAAGCAAGGATACGAGGCCAAAGCACCTCTTCATAAGCTGGACAACAAACCTCAAGCTACCAACCCCCAGAGCCCCTGGGGCGTCAAGTGTGAGTACAGCCCCGCTCATCAGACGATAAGCATTAATTCGGTCGAAGCTGGAGCCATGGCCAGCGGCAAAGATTTCTGGCTCGACTTGCGCAGACAAGTTTTCGCCTTGCAGCAAACAGGTGGCATCAGTCAGGGTGGTTGAAGTACGAGTTCCGTTGAGGCGGTTCCTGTCACTCACTATTCAGCGGCATCACGGCTGGCGTTTTTTCTGGAGCATTCAAGATACCCAGGGGGATCGGTGCATTCTACCAGCATCACTTGGAAACTACATGGATATTCGCGGTAAAGCAATGTCCTGGTTACTGTATTCGACTGCATGTATCGGTTCTGCATTGACAGCATCTTGGGTGGTTGTGTACTGTTCAAAATCAAATGGCGTTGTCTGGTACAGTTACATCTCCTTACAGTGTCCATTGACATGATATTGCCGTTCTTCGGATACTTGCCCAAGGGATATCAAGGCCTATCCCTCGTGCCACTTTAGGGCCAAGATTACTGCCCACCTGGATATAAGTCGAAGCACTGTAAAAGTACGACTTTCGTTGTGGATGTTCATCGCGGGCTTTACGAAGTGAGGAGGTTCAAGACTTTCAAGGGAACATGTGTGCAAGAATGCATTTGATGCCGAGCCTAGTACGGTATGTGGGCGACATCGGCCTGTTTGTCTATCGACGACGAGCTCAATTCGAAGCTCTCTTGTCCATATCTCGTCCGAGCTTCACGAGGTATTTGAAATAAAGGTATCATGATGACTCCGATCCGCGCTCCTCAGCATGGTCGCCGGTACACCATGACCGGTTGAAGACTTTTACCCGTAACACGCGGCCTCCTGGCTGCCTCATTCGATGGTCTGCACTCCGTTCAGGATCCTCCGCCCTCACCACACTACGCTTATGCCACCATGGTGCTTGCGGTGGCGCTCTCGTATTTCCAGTTTGGTTGCAGGACACCAACCGTCTTGTAGTATCTGCTGAGGCGGTGAATCCTAGACTCGATCAGGATAAGTCGGAACTTGGAGTCCTTGTCCTTTCGGTTGCGCTCGAGGTGTTTGCGGACGGCGACAGCCTACAGATAAACCCAAGTCAGCCAAAATCCAGGCCAGGATAACTGTCATCCGTAACATCTATGGTTCTGTTGGGGGTATGCGCACCTTTTTGATCAAGAAGTAAAGGTCTTCAGGAATTTCCGGTGCCAGGCCTGTGTAATGTCACTCTGTCAGTCTCACTGGACCAATTTCAGAGGCCATGCTGAGAATGTTTGTTCCCAAGATCTGATGATTGAGATTTGAAGCATCGAGTTCCCCCTTTTTCACACTTCTCCATCTCTCACACCGGGGTTGATTGAGGCGCGGGCATACCGTTCGACTTCAGGATTCTCAGAATCTTGTTACCTGCAGCCACAAAATCAGTCAACGACCGCAATGCAGACACCTACACGGTGCATCGAGGATAACTGCGGTTGAATAACTAACCAGTAACGACTTTGACTTGTGCGACACCATGGCTATCCCTCAACACAACACCGATTTGCGACGGAGTGGCACCCTTCCTTGCGAGTTTGCAGATGTTGTCGACCACAGTCTCGGGGGTGGACTTGAACCAGGTGGGCACAGAGCGCGAGTAGGGGATCGCCGAGGCGCTGATACCTTTGCCTTTGCTGTGAAGACGACCCATGTTGGCTGTGTTTCGAGGATTGTCGCAGGTGAAGAGAGGACGGCTGATCTGAAGAAAGTTGTAGGGTGCAAGTTTCCAGACGCCCTGGGTCGGAGTTGTGTGGTGGGTCCGCCAAGAGCGGTGAAATCTTGGCGGCTTCATGAGATTTGGGGGAGCTTCGAGTTTTGCATCTGTTCAACTTGATCTCCTAAATCTCGAGTCTCGCATGAGTAACTTGGAAACTTTAGCTGTTGATATCGTGCCTTGCAGTACAGCTTACTGCTATTTTGAGCGACCGTGATCCATATTCAGAACAATACTACGAGGGCGGCGCTGCTGCTCGGTGAGCCTGAGCAACTTCAAGGTATGTTCTAGTGCCGGTCTCATACATTGTGCTACAAGTTTTCATGATGATCAAACCATTCAAATCCTTTTAATTTCTGGTACCTCTTATGCCAGAAGAGAAGCCCAGCAGGGTTCTCTTCGATGATCTAAATGGACTTCTGATTTATCCCACCCCCAACCCTGACAGCTACACTTTCGCTCCAAGGTAGAGAATGGGACTGATGATTTGAAGCAGGTTTGGCATATTGTTCCTCTGAGGGTATATGTAGAACTGTGATGTGGAGGACAGGGTATACCAGTCGTGCGATCAAGATGGTGTCGCAGTCTCCCGCTGATCAGGGTGCACGAGACTCCCCTTACGCAGCTGTAGCGCTTCACGTCTCCTTCCCGTGTCAAATTCGAATATCCTTACTTTTTCCACGCGTGTGATTCTGCTTTCCATGTTATGGCTTAGATTGATAGCTGGAGGGTATCAGATTTTAGATTCCAAGTCCCAAATGATCGGCCCAGCCGAACTCCATATCCAAGTACAAACGCCGGCCGACACTATGTAGTCTGAGTGTGAATTCTACTCTTCGTCATGATGTCCCTCCCATTTCAGTATCGACGTCTCTTGTTGCTTCACCCACCCTTGCCTCTTCTTCCTGCTTGATTCCATTGACAGCAGGTTCTTCTTTGGGCGGCGCAGCTTGCGGCGCCGCGTCCTGGGCATCAACTTGTGGAGGTTGCGGCTGTTCTGCAGTAGTGTCGCCTGCTTCGTTCATGGTAATCTCGGATTGTTGCTCGGTAGACTCTTGTCGTTCGACCGGCGCTGGCTCTGGTTGCGCCGACGGTGAACGATGCGGAGCTGCTGGTGAGGTTGCGGATACAGGTGCTTGTGCAGGTGCAGGTGCAGCGGGTGATATATCTGTCGGCTCTTGCGGTTTGGGGTCTTCGAACTTATACAGAAATCTTTCGCGAATATTCGTGCGGTCCGGGTTGCCCTCGTATAGGATGGACTGGTGGATGAGGCATTCTCCAAGCCACTGGAGAGGGAATTCCGCTCTGTTGCGCAAACGCGAATTAGCATGAACCCCTATCGCAGAAGTCGTCGCCGATGGATGCAGATCATTTCGTTCTTGGGAACCAGTCCATGGTTGTGAAGCACGTACTCCGCGGCCAGGCTCTCCGTGATGGCCTTCTTCAGGAACGGCGCAACTCGTCCGTTTAAGTAATCCCTCAGCGGTACTTGTTGTCTTTCTGTGGCAGTATTCACCACCACCGAAGGAGGAGTAGGCACGGTGTGCGACATCGCGTCCAGTCTGCCGTGCTCAGTCTGAAGGTGGTTTACTGACAGATTCTATACATGAATCAGTGAGCCAAACAGAATACTCCAAATGCCTGGTCCGTTTTCAGATCCCAGGGTCACCCACTCAACCAATCATGACCAAGAGGGCGATTAAACGCTGCGATTGGTGCCAGCAATATGGCAGCGGAGGGGATTGTCACGTGCCACTGGCACTTTGGTGATATGTCAACTATTTACAAGTCGCCATGAAATATCCCTGAGCCATTGAACTAAATTCTGCTTTTTTGCTTAAAGACAAAGCTCTTATGCCGGGGCAGGTCAGGGTTCTTGCACCGTCCAACTACCAACGAACCACAATGCCGACTTGACGAAGTGTAGAACTTCTGCAAGCAACGCCAGATTTGGCCTCGACGGGTTCGACAGAGGGAACTCGACAATACTCAATGGGAAAAGACTGGCTACGAACCAAACACCCAAACATGTGGGGAAGTTTGAGAAATAATACATGGAACGTCCGGGTTCGTCGACAAGGATAATGCGACCACTGTGCCTATATGTAGCGGACCATATTCCTGTGGGATGGGATATGACTATAGCTCGAGGTAAAAGAAATGGTCATCTTCAACGGAGGTTACCATTGACCTAAGAGGGAGTAGCACTCTCCTCCGGCAGGCTGTCAAGAAGACAGAGACTATACTCAGTACTTCCTGGCATGTCTGGATGTGTATGCGAGCCGTGTTGTCTTTTGCCGGCCAATGACATGACGAAGAGGACAATAAGGAACTAGTCACTCAGGCCACGCCCTCCAACATTTGACATGCCTTTTTTTATTTGATCCATCGAGCACGGTGTCCACAGCCGAGCATGTTCAAAATGATACCCTTCAAGGGTTCGAGTGTCCGAAACCCTCATGAGTAAATGCTCTAGGAAGTTGCTCTGGAGGACAAAACAACCCCGAGCACACAATCTTTTCGAAGAAGAGGCGACATCCTCCCTCAACAACGACAAGTCACTGAGGTCTCTTGCATGTTTTGATTGCGGACACCATCGTTGTTCCACAGGAATAGTGATCCTGTGGTCCGCTTCACTCCAATGGGGACGCTTGGACGCGGCCAGGGAGACAGGAGAAGGATGGCTTGGGATGGGCTCGTAGCTTGCCTTGAGCTGGACGTGGCATTGAAACGGGTCAAGGAAGTCTCTCTCCGTCTCAGATCAGGTCGGGTTCATCGGTAGCAACCCTGCCACGTGTAAAGGCAAGACTGGAAGCGAGGCGAAGCTAGTTTCCCGCGATCTGCTGTTCGGTAGGAGGAATCTTCCTGTTCGTCGAGCCCAGAAGCCGGGTATCTGCCGTGAACGGGACAATGGACAGCACCTGACGAGGATTTGATGCAGCGAGAGCTAAGATGACGAGATTAGCGCAATGGTGAGTGCATGTAACTGCTCACTAAAAGTGAGGCGAATGTTTGTTTAGCTTCCCGAGGTGAGAGGAGGAGAGCTCCCGTACGGCGCAACGTGGCTCTGCACATCTGCCCAACTTCCGTCATTGTTGCGCTGGCGTGTTTTGGCAGATCCGATATTCGCAACAAAGAGCGGTCAGAGGAACAGCGGCTCCGTCTATATAAGAACAGCTCGTGGTGTGCGAGTTCTGGGGAGGGGAAAGGTGGACGTGGTCGGAGGAGGAAACGGAGGAAATGCAGGAAGTCCTCATCATGCTCCCGCACCCAGTGGAATTGGAATTGGGGGTTATGGTGTTATTTTGTTTTTTTCGGAGAAGCCCTCCCTCATCCCAAAGGTCGCTTCGCCGTCCCAGGCCCCTAGGCCAGGATTGCCCCCCTTCGATCTCAACTGCCTGGTGCTGCCTTCCGCTCACACGGGTGAGTTGAGTCAATTCGGAGCCAGTCGCGATAGACAAGGCTGCGACACGCCGGAGAAGGGTCCATTTATTCGCAAAGCAATTGTTGGACGCCCTGGCCACGAGGCAGTTGTGATTGAGATATGGGATGCTGAGCATGGTTGGACGGAGGGGCGAGGATGGCGAAGCGTCACACCCGGGACGTTCGAAGCTTAGGCGTCGAATGGCTCCTGATTCGGTGGCTCGTTATGCCCCCAACACGGCATTCGGGCTCCCTATTCGACCCTGGACCCCCCCGACGGCAAGTTCGCTGATTTGCGGGCTGCCCGGAAGCCGCCTCCACTCTCCTCTATCAAAAAATCCACCGCCAGAATCGAGGGATGCACGCACGCCCGGTTGCAACCCTGAGATTGACGGGCGAAAAGGCATCAATCTTCGGCACGCTGCAGGGGCGCGGAGGCTGCAGCTGCGAACCCCCCGAGCACAGAACTGATGGGGGATTTAATCTTGTCCAGCAGGAACCCAAACGCACCCAAACACCCCCAAGACATGGCTGGGCTAACCTGAACCGCACTGGAGTGCTGCACGAGAGACAGGATTCTCCCACTTGTTCCCACCCCCCCTACGACCCTTCCACCCTTTCAACCTGCATCTTGTCCTACCTTTGCGCCTGCATCCACCCAGGCCGCTCGACCGAGTCTAGCTCGCTGCATAGCTTGTCCAGAGTTTGCAGCTTTAGCCCAGACCTTCGGCCGGGACCCAGACCTCATCAGGCGCAGCTCCAGCGAACAGAGCCAGCAGCACCACCAGCACCACCAGCACCACTTGACCCAACCCCAAAAAGTGACCAGCATCTAGCATCTGTCGAGCTGGAACCTACGCCGTACGGGAACCTTCCCTCAGACATCCTACTCCGGACTCTAATTCCCTTGCTCTCACGCGCAGATGGCCACCGCCCGGCCACTCACAATGCGCCGTTGCAATGTCTTGCAGCTGCGGCCGACATTGGTCGACCGGCGGCTCCTTGATCATCTGCCACTGACAATCACTAGACTGTTCTATGCCCAGTTGCTCTTCCCAAATGGCTAACTTGGAATGATTCCCCTTCTGCGCCTGGCTCACTGGCCTCGAGGCAGAAGGACCACCAGACCTCCCAAGGCCTTCTGTCCCAGCGTCTGGAATTTTTGTTCTGCCTTGTCGCTTGAATGGGTGACCAATCTACGACTCTTAAAGGTTCCCTTACAACCTCCTGGCCCAGTCACCTAATACTGTCCTTTCCGTTCTCTGTACACCGTCCAGTCGAGTCCAGAGAAATTTTGCCATACCACTCGGATCTGGATGAACAGCGCTGCGGAACCACCCCCTAACGTCTATGCCGGTCACTATTGCGCGCTTGACGACAGTCACATGCATCCCGTCCCTTCCAAAAATCAGCTTGCGCTCCGCTCCCTCCCTTCCCAATGTCAAATTTGTTCAACCAACCATGGACACTTTCGGAGCAAATCGTCTTGTTGACCAACATTATTCAGGGTGCTGGGCAGGATGTGCCAGCATTTCTGGTGCGCGCCATGGAGCAGTCCAATATACAACCCAGATGGGACGACGTGGCACTGCCAGCAGGTATGTAGCCTTCAGGAAGGAAGGGAGGTCGCTGCGAATCTCGACGAGTTAGTCGCCGGACCACCACTCGAATTGGCACGCGCTGTCTCGTTCCTGGTCGCAAAGAAAAATCCCTCGTTTGGCGCTGACCGTGTTGTAGGCCGCACTCCTCCCGCCTGCCGACAAATGTACAACTACTTGCGTAGTCAATACCGCACCTTCCCAGGGACGGGGGTCCAAGGCTTCCCTCAGCAACCGCTTGCACCATATCCGGAAGTGAGGGCAGTGTCGGTGCCGGAGTCGGATGCGCCCCAGCCAACACGACGTGCGATTCAGCCTCGTCCTCCTCGGTCGACCGACTCGCCCATCCCTCCGACTACGAATGGAGAGGCGTTCCGGATCTTTCGCCCTTTCACTCAACCCGAACCGCTGGGCGAAAAGCGCAGGAAGCGCGGTCGTCCAACAAAAGAAGAAGTAGAAGAGCGCGATCGCAAGCTGGCAGAGGTTGGGCAAACTTACGAGCCGAAGAGGAGGCCAACGAAGAAGTCGAGACCGTCCGAAACGCCTGGTTCGCTTTCTGAAGCCCTTGCCACAACGTCCCCCGTGATGCAAACTCCGCGCTTGCAGCAGGTGACACCGAAGGAGGAGACGTCTAGCGGGAAAAGACGGTCAAGGCGCCAGCGCGATGAGGGGGAATCGTCTCGCCAGGCTCTGTCTGGGTCTCCTGGGGATGAATCGGGTGACGGACGGAGCACAGACGCCGCCCAGAGTCCTTCCGACCGACTTCTCGCCAGACCCGAACGGGCTCAGCCAGCTCCCTCTCTTGCTAGAGACGTACAGCAGATATCGAGCGCACCTCTTGGGTCTCAATCAGGGGGAAAGCAGACCGATCCACCACCAGGCCCTCCGTCCATTTAATTGTCATCTGTGAGAGACTAACTACGAAGGATGGCAGTTTACGCGCACGCCCATCTTCATACATTTACGCCGACCTATCTTGGAAAACGAACACCCGGATACTTTCACACCATGAGCTACGACTATAGAAAGCGGGAGATACATGTGTACATGATACCCATGCGCAGCACGACAGACAGGAGTGGCTTGATTCTCTGTGTGCGATTTTGATTTCGATCTGTTGTTCTCGTCCGGCCATCAGTCGCTCGATAGAGCTCTCGACTGACGGCGCATCAAACAGACGCCTGGTCGCCAAAATTTCTGTTCATTCCTATGTATTTATATAATCAGGGACCGCGACAAAGGTCTGCTGGCCAGACTAAGCATACTCGGGCGCGCGAAAAGGGGCAAGACGAATATTCATTGATGGACACACGCCCTACAGACACAAAGGAAACATAATCTATAATAACACGCTTTGACACATCTGGCGCACGAGGCACGGAATGTCGACAAGGACCACGAAACGATCACGACTGTTGGAGTTCGTCGATTTCTCATCCTTGGGAACGCTATAGAAATAAAGAGGGAGGGCGTTCTGTTGACTCTTCTAGGTCGGGAGGACCTTATTGTCGACCTTGTTATTTGATATATCGAATGCTTTGAATCTTCTGTCAACGACACCTTGGAGTGGTACTGGAACCAATCAACCTCGAATGCAATACACTGAACATTTCCTGTAAGCCTCAGTGTCTGGATGGTCGTCCTCGTCCTGAGATCGAGAGGGAAGCTGCTGGAGGAGGGGGGTTTGCGCAGCGAATCTCTCTCTCAAGCGACTCACCCACCTCTCCTCTTCCATTCCCTGTTTCGGTCTTCGAGTCCCCCCCTTGTCGACGAGAACAGTGAGCTTTGTTCAAATTGACCCTCCGTCAACGCCTGTTTCAACAGCCGAGCATTGCGCACTCTTAGATCGTGCGGCCCGGTGACCCACTTTCTCCTGAAGATTGCATATTAGACCTGCGGCGTGACTTTTCTAGAACGGCGCTTGAACGGTTCCAAGACAAACCGTTTGATTAAATCCCATGCACGTTTGATAAACGCTTATTCTCCTTCTTGCTTGTTACGGCGCACGCGAGACGAAGTGATCATTTGGACCAGGGGAAGGTCAAATCTCGGAGCCCACTAACGGAGCCACAGCGGTGCGAAAATACGGAGTCCAAACACGCGCGCTCGTCCTCGTGTGCGCGTGTTTTGACTCCATATCTCGACCCATGGATGGGCCACGCAGGGAAAAGAAAAGGTTCAAAGACAAGACAAAGCGGAGATGAGGCGGGACGAACGAAGCCATGTCGACAAGGCTCAGGCGTCCTAACGGTATTACCGACACCACACCTTTGCATCCATCCCCCTTTTTTGCTTTTCTCCGGGGAGAAAGGAAGAAAAGACAGAGAGGGTGTGAAACGACGTCGGAATCTCGACACGAGAATTTTCCACTTCCATCGCTGGACCTGAGCGTGGGCGCGAGCCTCGCCGCTTCAACCTGAAATGCTCTGCACGTGACTGAGCACGGTGGAATGCGGCTTGAGCAACGGATCAGTCGCGCTGAATGGCCTGGAGGAGATCTGTGTTTGGCTTCAGTACGGCTGAGCGGACGGGAAGCCCTGTTTTCCATATCCTGTGGTCGGTTTCTGGGGGTGGAAAGGTGTATACCATCAGACATATTACAAGGTATATATCTGTTACCTGATCTGTACAGTGTGTTTTAACGACCTCATTGTGCACTGCACGGCACTTTCTCCCTGTACGAAGTCTCTACCTAGGTACTGTACTAACTGAATTACACTTGATTTCAATCTACTCGACCCTACTCTACTCGGGCCAGCCTGCGATACTGCTCGGCGACGGTGCTGGCCTTGGGGAGTCGCGCTGTTCCCGGTGGGTGGTGCCAGCCACTGGCGATTGACGTCCAACTTGTCCTCAATGGCAGCGTGCCGAAGCGCCTCTTGCGAGGCAATACTTCCTCCTCCTCCTGCTCCTTCTCCACCTCCTCTCCATCGCGGTCCTCGCCCTGTCCGCCCTCCTCCGCCTCTTTGCACCGAAGGAAGAGATGTGGACAACCTTGGCGGTCTGCGTGATTTGAAACCTGGTCTGCGTGCGCCGACGGCGAAGACGACGCCTCGTCGCCATCATCTCCCCCTCTCCTTGCTTCCGACTCGTGCATCTCGATGAGCCACTTCTTCCCCAGGACTTCGCCCCTAGGCCCGCCGACGGATGTCCCCGCCATGACCGCCGAGGGCGGCGAGTTGATCGCCACGGCGAACAGGGCCTGCGGCTCGGTGTAGTCGGTCACGATCCCGGAGTGCATGGTCAGGTACAAGTAGGCAGTCGAGGCGGCGCTGAGCACGAAGACAAGGAACAGCACGACGTAGAAGAGATTCTGCCAGGGCTGGGAGGCGCTGGACGAGTAGTCCACGAAGGTGTGGCGGGCGTGGAAGTTTTGGTACTGTGGCTCCTCCAGAATGGCGATCGAATAGTTCCAGAAATTGAGGAACGGGGAGTTGATGGACATGCGTGCTAGCGTGCCCATGGCAAGCACCCCCAACGCCTCGGCGATGGATGGTCGGTTGCTGGGGAGGTACGTCGGCTCGCCCGCCACGAAACGCGGGCTGAATTGGTTGACGATGCGCGCGAGGGTGGTAAGATTACTGTTGACCTTCGCGCCGTCCGCTAGGCCTATCGCCGTCAACCAGTCGGCCCCGACGTCCTTCCAGTCTTGCTCCGGCTGGTAAGGCCCGGCGTTCGGGGCAGAGGCGCCGTAGGGGATGGTGTTCCGTGAATCCGCGTCACAATATACAGACAAGTCCCCGGCACCCAGAGCGGCACGATACGATGTGGTGCAGTTCCAGTACTGGGCAGACTGTATAGAGCAGACGACGTGGTCATTGGTGACGGTGAACCTCGGGGGTGTCACAAGAATGTATACCGCGGGGGGGCCGTATATCGGCGGCACATACGAAACGGTGTCGAACTCGTTCGGGATTCTCGGGAAGTACGGTCGAGGAAGCGTGGGAGGATTATCGTTGTTTTCAAATGCATTTGCCCAGGAGAAAATCTCGTCAACCGCCGTCGGGTTCGGATTGACAAAGGTGGCTTGTTGGTCGGCCGGCACGTCGGACATGTTGACCACCAAAGGAAGCACCTCTGACCTTGACAAGCCCACACATACCACATTCAAAGTCGGCGCGGGCACGGATGCCTCGATCAAGTACTCACTGCCGACAAGGTCCGCAGGCTGGATGATGTGGTTTCTCGCGTCCTGCACGGCGTTGAGGACGTTCAGGTGAGGCATAGCGATGGTCAAGTTCTGGACCAGACGACCATGGCGCTCTGAGTCCGCCGTGATGTTCTCCCGCCCCGGCGTGATGAATTGTCCCATGATTGTTGTGTTCGTCCTGTCATACATTGTAGTGATGGGTATTGGCCTGTTCTCGTAGGACGCTGTCTGCTGATGATTGGACTGGCCCCAGGTAGACCAGTTCGCCGCAAACATCCGATAGTTGTTGAGACTTTCGGCGTTATAGGTCGTCAGCACGCAGGTATAGTTGTATTGACATTCAAGGTCGCCGTCAACCCCGCAGGGGACCTGCTCCAGTCCATCAGGGCCTTCATATATGTCTGTGACTGCGGAGAGGCAGAGTGAATCGAAGTATTGAATATTGGCGTAGGTCGCCATGACCTTTCCGAAAAGGAGTTTCCGCTCAACGGGACCAAGCTTCAGCTTGGGTGCCACCAAGGCTTCGGCCGCGGTGGTATAGAGGGTAGCAGCAATCACGGCAGCAAAGACCACGCCGCCGAGGAGCGTCTTGCCTGCGTAACGAACCCCCTGCCAGTTTGTGATCAGGGTACCGGGCTGCATGATCCACGTCCTCATGGACATCTCTGCAATGCTGATACCTCCCAGGTCCCCAAAATGTAAGAAAGCGCGCCGGGTCAGGATCTGACCCAGAACCGCGACAAACACAGTCACAAACGCAAGTTCGACGGTCTTTGAGAGCAACGCGCTGATGAAGGTCGCCGACGAGATCGGGAGACCTCCTGTTGTGCCGATCCTGTGTCCCCAGCGAGGCCTAATGAGGGCGATACAGAGAAAGATGCCAGAGAACACTGTTGCATACATGGCGAGGACCAGCACGGGAACGGTAGCCCACGATAGAGTTGGCTTGAGTATTCCCTTGTCCGTGGCACTGGCAGAAGTCTGGCTCGGTATGGTACCTGACGCCTCCTGGTCCGTGGCCGCGACGAGCTCAACCACGTCCTCCCGCGCTAGGTATGGCTTCAGCTCCGATTCCTGATCGCTGGCTTCGAGAATGGCATTATCAGCCGGAGACATCGATCGTGGTGTCTGAGTATCGCGTTTTTCCAAGCAGCGAGGATCGCGATAGGCAGGGCTAGCCGGATCGAGACGCATAGAGAGGATGTCCTCTGGTGTTGGCGCGTGTTGATTTTCTCCGTCAGCTATGAGGTCTGTGTGTCTCGAGGTTGAGGAAGTTTGAGATAGTACTCGCTCCCTTCCCAGGATCTGAGTCGGGTTGACGTTGGCATCCATTTCGCTGGCTTGGGTTATGCTTTTCCCTGCTCTAGGGCCAAGCCCTTCGGTATTGTGACAGCCAGCACGGCACAGGAAAAAATTGCAAAATAGCAGCAATTAATTGTCTCCCGTGGAAAGCAGATAGATTCTCGCGGGGGTGTTGATCGTTGAAAGGCGGTGCTGGGCGTGCAATGTCCACAGCCTCACTCTGGACTCGCTTAGGGAGGATTGGTCGACTAAGGAAATGGTACACATCGCCTGCAAGGCAGCCAGCGCCAATATGCAATGCAGGCAAAGATGCTAGCCTTCGCCCCCTCGAGTCTCGCGTGATTTGAGCCATGTTGCCCTGAAAGGGTCAAGGGTATGCTCAAGCAATACAGCTCGGTGACAGGGCAGCCTTACCGTGCCCACAACCACGACTCTGCATATTGCTGAACTGGCAGGTGCTTAGCTGCACGAGTACAATCAGGTTTGAAGTGGTTCAGGCTGTGTAAGGCAATGTTCTAGAGGTGATAATCCTAGATATAAACCTAGGTCGCCCACACCAATCCCTCGAAAACACCTTATCAAAGAGAACGGCACGAGATGGATCAGTGGGAGAGATGGGAGAGAGACCTGGTCGGCTTGAAGCTGGGGGGTCTTTCGCATGCGTCCTCTGTCATGATTGTCCGTGTACCTTGTAGGTTTTCCCGCTAAGACCCATGACTGAATCTAGGGCTTGTGATGCTGTGAGGCTAATATGTAGGTATCGATACCTAGGTACGTGTATGTCAGAGGCGTGTATGTGTCTAAGAGGGAAGGGATACCGTTCAAGTTATCTGATGTGAGATATACAGTATATGTACATTACGTAGCTGTTGGTGGGGTACTCCTTGGCCCACTAGCTCAACATCGTAGGCCTAGATAGTTTAATTACCTTAGGTAGGTAGGTACCTGGGTTAGGGCAACTATTAACTATCCAAGTACCAGTTGGCCTTAGGCACGCTTAGGCACTGTCCAGCATAGTCGGTATTAACAATACCTAGTAGTTGTTACCTAGCCACGGCCCTTCCCTTGCGGCCGCAGCGTATATTCCCATCTTCCCTTCATTGTTCTTTAATCTCCTGATATAATGCTGACGATACCAATCCTCCTTCTCTTGTGAGACCCATAAGACTCATACTAACAGCACCTGATAGCCTAGGGTTGACATGGCACTAAACCAATCGACAGAAGGGACGCCCTCCAGGCTTTGCCCGCTCCGAATTCGCCAGCATGTCCTCATCACTTGGAGAGCTCTCCACAAAGTGTCCGGACCTTGGTGGACCACGGTGGTACCTGCAGCCTTCAGTGCCAAATATTCAAATGACGACTCTTGGTCTTTGAGCGCCATGCAGCCCGTAATGCAGAAAGGCCAGAGCATGCCGTGCAGCATTTGGACATGGATGTCATCGGGCAGCGCGCGGAATATCCTGATCGACCTGGAAACTGCGTCCCGTATCTCAGGATTATGCGGATCGGGGCGTCCAGAGACAACCACTGTAAGGTAGACCATGGCTGCACAGGCAAAGATGTGGGTGACGATGGGAGTGGCTTGGATCAGGCGATGTTCTGCCGCTGCGCTGTCCTTGGTACCCCTTGCTAACAGTGACAAGTAGCTCTCCCAGGGTTCTGCGAGGCCGAGCTGCAGACGATCCTTGAGCTCGATGTATTTCCGCCTCACGCCCTCGCCCCTCCTAGGGTGAGGGTGTCCTCCTTGTTCGTCCCTCACGAGTCCATCAAGCACCGCGATATCCCGGATGACGATCATCACCCAGTTCTCGCAGCCCATGATACTCCGCAGCCGGACCTTGCAATCTGGAGCGCCAAAGGCCGCCGCGCAGACGTCGGCAAACCGGGGTCTGCGGCCGGTCGAGACGGTGGCCAAAGTGTCGAGCCAGAGGAATACGGCACTGAAGAATTCCATGGCGACGTGATCCACAAGGGATAGGGAGGAGTCGATGGAGCTTGCCTCCTTAGCCGCCGCTTCAACCTGCTCATCGTCGTCCTGCAGAATAGAAGTATCGTTGTAGGGGAAGTTATTCAATAAGTGTGCAGATACGGAAACACGCCCTGGGAAGCTTCCATGTGCCTCTGCCAGTTATCAAATCGCCCTCTCGAGTTCTAGGCGCAAGGGACAGGTGCATTAGCAAATAGACAACTTGTCGACTCCTGGTGTGGCTTTCTGCCGTCCAAGACTTACTTCGAGCATGATCAAGTAGGTGACACAGGCAAACACTTCAATCCCGCCCCGCAATCCTTCTTGGAGGCTTTTCTTGCTGAGGCGGTCAATATGCTGTCGTAAGCCCGTGACGGCCAAAGCATAAAGCTGTTGCTGTTCATGTTCGCGAGACGGCCCGTGCAGAACGTCAACACGGTCTGAGCTCGAATTCCGATAGACGATAGCCAGGGCAAGCGCCGCATAGCAGAGCGGTTCACATCGTCTCATCAGAGAACGGAGCCAGCCGTGACCCCTCTCGGGGACAGAAGCGACATAAAAGGGAAACTGCAGAGGGAAGACACGGTCGAAATATTCATTCAGTAGTCGCTCGTCTGAATCCGTGGGACTCCAGGTGGAATTCTTCGCGCCCTCGCGAGCGTTCCGGGCAAGCAGCGACAGCGAGCCATTATCCGTTGCTGTCAAGGGGTGGCGTTGACGCAGGGCGTTCAGAGCGCGTGCGCGGCGCAGCCCGTCGGTCGTCGACTTGACCCCGCTGCGAATCTCGGCCACCATCTCCTTCTCTCGCTCTCCCCCGTCCATCCAGCCCGGTTTGGGCCCGTAGCCATAACAGGGGATCAACAGCAAGCGGCATACGTCGCAGGCGGGCCGTTGGGCATCGCAGCCTTTTCTCCGCAGGCGACAAGTCCAGCAGCTCGGCATCCGAATGGGGAGGGAGGGTTCCGATACACTAATAGGGCTGTTTCACTGGAATGGGCTCAATGAGATTGTCACCCTTGGTGAGGGTTGTGACGGGGAATTGGAAACGGGTTGCTTCTGTTGGTCGATACCAAATTGCTACAGACGGCACCATTAATACTGTGTGGCATTACCAATCAAATGCTACCGGGGGGGACGGCAATCGGGAGGTCTGCCAGTGATACAACTCGCATCCTCGCCGTCAGCAATGTGCATGAGCTAGCTGAAGGAAGGATAGATGTACTGGCTTAAATGCGATAGATCCCACCAGAGACTATTTACGCTCGCATATGCCAAACGCCAATAGAGCCCAGCTACGTTCCAGCTAGGTCTCAGGGCCAGGCGGTGAATTGCTCAATGCTGATGCCGGTCTCCCTCAACACCCGTTCGAGTACCTCGTCCTGGTGCTCTTGCATGGCCTTGCTGATGCGCGTCAATCCAATCTCGTCGTCCAGCACAAAGTAGACTTCCTTGTTTCCGCCCTCTGTTGACGCATCGAACGCAGTTTTGGCGACAGCGGCCGCCGGTACGCGTGGATGGTTGATGATGCTTTTCTGGAACCGTCGGGCAAGAGGTCCCAGGATCGACAGGACCGTCGCAGTAAATTGCATAACCGTCGGCATGGTTCCTCGGGACAGGTTGCTATTGTGGTGCATCCCCCCAGGGTCCAACGAGAAAATGTTGACCGACTCGATTCCGGCCTAGAAGGCAAAATCAGTTTGTATGCGTCGAGTTGATGGCTTGGACTCCTCAGGGCAGTGGTATCTCTTACCTTCAACATCTTCTCCCTCACGGTGTACATCACCAGGTCTGCGAGCAATTTACTGCTGCCGTATCTTGTCAACCCTTGCATGAAAGGTAAGCGTGAGCCAACAGGGTTCTGCTCGGTAGGTCCCCAAGTGTCGAAGAAGTCGACTTTGCCCAGTGATACACTCTGGCTCGTGATATTGATGACTTTTCCACGGGGTGTGCCCCGGTCCATCTGAAAAGCCCCTTTCAACAACAGCGCCGTCAAGAGGATTGGCGACAAGACATTGGTCTGATACACGGGGTCAAACCCGTCCCCAGTCTTCTCGTCCATCTGATACGACGAATACGCGGCCGAGTTGACCTGGACAACAATTGGCGGGGTATTTCCTGATTGCACCTTTTCGGCAACTTTGGCTGCGAACGCCCTCACCGATGCGAAACGTGCCAGGTCGAGGGTGAGGAACTCGAAGGCCGTCACGCCCTCATCGCGTAGCTGGGTCGAGATCTTTTTCGCCTGAACATCGTTGTCCCGGCGTGCGGTAAGGATGAAAAACACCTCCGGATGTGCTTTGGCGATGGCAAAGGCTATGTGTGAGCCTAGGGCACCGTTGCCGCCAGTGATCAAGACTGTTTTGGATGGCTTGGGCGACATCGTCGTGAGCGTGTGTCTCTCTGGTCTGAGCAACACCTTGGCTGAAAGACTTCACGAGCTCGCAAGATGTGACAGGGTAGAGGTTGACCGGGTGGAAAGTGTAAAAATGGTATGGAAAATCTTGCCATGGTGGTTTCATTCCGGCCCTTTGTAGTTATCTTCAACCGCATAATATTCGTTCGTCCGTCCGAGCAGGATATCTCAACGACATAGTAATATGCACGGAGGTATTAGAAATGCACTCGTCCCCTTTCCATCGGTCTAAGGTGGGTAGGGAGACATTCCTTTCCACCTCGTACTCTGCTCTCGACCGAAAAAGTCGTGGCCAACCCCCGGTGTTGTGGAGTCGCGTCAACGGCGAGGTGAAGGTCAGTTGGTCGAGGATGACGAAGTCATTAAACGTGATGGACCTATGGAGCGGCTCAAGGCTCGCTTCGCAGTGCCCTTACTTGATCGAGGTAAATAAGCGAACGTGGTGGATGGAGCGCGACACCAAAGACCAACCTTGGATCAGCAGCCGACGTCGGAAGAACTCAATCCCGATTCACTGATGTACCATCCCCATCTGCTCGGCAATGCCACTTGAACAATGGCGTCCTTCCAAAGCCGGATCTGCATATAACGATTACAGCATATATACTGTACAGTATCTGTACGAACGAGTAAGCCTCGATGAGGCACCTCTCACACAGACAGGCCAAGTGAAGGATTGGAGACAAATCGAGGTTCTGTTGTAGAGGGAGAGCAAGCTCAACACACGGAAGAACAAGCAGCAAAATATGTCTAAGTAATCAAGATTTCAATGATTATAACTTTTTCTTGCTCAAGATGGCGAACAAATCATCCAATCCCTTGCGGTTCGTGGGTGCATATCCCGGGACGTTCCTCTCCATATAGGCTACCATTGAGCTCGCCGCGTATTGCAGTGTCTCGAGACAAGGCTGCGTACAGGCCTGATCATTGATCACACTATATTTCAATCGTCATACAGGCCTTCGTCGTCTCCCTCGACATCATCCACAAATCCATCGGCCAACGCTTCTGGAGCTATCTCCTTTAGTTTGCCCTTGCCCTTGTTTTCCACAGATGTTCCTGTTCCATTGATCGCGTTTCCATTCATATGAGCGGGCCTCATACTGAAGCCAAAGTCGGAGTTGTCTGCGTCTGAAGAGTTGCCAGAGTCGGGATTGCCGATCCGTGGTACCGTTGTTTTGTTGTAGCTCGAGTCATGGGTCGGAGAAACCGGTGATGGGGTGTGACCGGAGTTGGGCGTGTTGCTTTCTCTCTGTTTGCCCTTGCCCTTGTCTTTGATTTGCGGCTGAGTATCTCGCGTTTGATCCTTGGCCCGAGGAACCGATCCGGGTTGGGAAGCCAGCTGTGGCGTCGGCGTAGGACGCAAAGGTAAACTTGCAGGGGCATGGCCACTTGTACCGTTGGTGGACGGCGTCACAGTGATATCTTGCTCCTCGAACAGCTTGCGAATCCTCTCAAAATGTTCCAGTTCTTTCTTGCTCACGCTACCGACCAACTCGTTCTGAGCCGCCATGAAATCTTCTTCAGCCACCACAACCTGCACGTCCTCCTCGCTGGCCAAGTGGTCGAAGAAATAACCAGTGCTGATGTCTTCACCGCGCGCCTTACTAATCTGTTGTACCTTCTCATCCACAGCACGTGTTTTCCGCGTGATCGCCTTGAGCATGGCGTCACTGCACAGCGCGTACAAATCTGCACCGGTGTAGGTGAAAGGAAGCCGGCGTGCAACGCTCATCAGGTCGACATCTGGAGCCAGTGTGAAGTTTCTCGTGAGCGCTTTCAAGATCGTAACTTGCTGATCGTGCGTGTCGGCGACACCTAGATAGAGCATCTTGTCGAACCGACCCGGCCGGAGAAGTGCAGGGTCGAGGAGGTCTGGCCTGTTCGTTGCGCCAATAACAAAGACTCCGCCGGCGTTTGAGGTCGAAGTGGGATCTCCATCATCACCACCTCCGCCACCGCTTGACATTCCGTCAAGCTCGGCGAGGAGTTGGGACACAATCCGATCCATCACACCACCGCTGTCGCCCTGGTTTCCACGTTTTGGTGCCACCGAGTCCAGTTCGTCGAAAAAGACAACACAGGGGCGGGCGTCTCGAGCACGTTGGAAAACCCGACGCACATTGGCTTCAGACTCACCAATATACATATTCAGCAGCTCAGGGCCTTTGACGCTGAAGAAATTGAGGCTGAACTCCGTAGCAATCGCCTTTGCCAACAAAGTCTTTCCGGTTCCCGGTGGTCCGTAAAACAGGATGCCGGACCGCTTTCGGATGCCATTGGCAAAAAGCTCGGGATGGGTAAGAGGCAGAGAAATTGTTTCCATGATGGCATCCTTTTGCGATGACAACCCTCCGACATCTTTCCACGTGACGGTTGGAATCTTTGGAGCACCGATAGCGTCCGAGAAACTCGATCGTGCTGCGGCAATTGCGCGAGTGAAGTCGCTTGGGAGAAGATGCGTGGCCGTTTGACCTCCAGAGATGAAAATGTCGGAAACATTGCAGCTCTGAGACTCTGCGAGTGACAACAGACGGGTCGACCGTGCGAGTAAGGCTCGATTCACTACATCTAACAGATCACCAGCCACTAGCGCCGCGGTCTGAAGAGCTATTGATTTCAGGTTGACAGTGGTTGAGAGTGGTGTCGAGATGGAAACACACGCATTGCGAAGGATAACTTCTCTGGCCTTCTCGTCTGGCGCTGATACCTCCAGTTCGTGAGAGAATAGACTGCGGATTCCTGCCGGGATATCATCAATTTTGGAGGTTGTAGCAATCAACACACGAGACTCTGAGATGATCTCCTGTAACACAGGCACCATTCTATCAGCAGTCAAGGCATCAATGTGCTGGATAAGCAAGGCCGTTTGCTGAGCACCTCCTGAAAGCGCTCGTTCAGCTCTGGTGCGTAATAATGCTTCTGTCTTCGTATCACCGCCTCCTGTGGTTGACGCATTCTCCGAGAGCAGATCGTGGGCAGATATGGGGAAGACGTGCACACCGATAGCCGAGCAGGCAGATTTCGCGATGTACGATTTACCGATCTGTCGTTGGGTGGAATATAACAGAATGACGAGGGGCGGTAGTCCCAGACTCACAGCACGGTTGCTGACCGCAGCGGAAATCAATCCAGACAGACGTCTCTCCAGTGGAAGCTTGTCCAGGGGTGGGATATCTGTGGCTGTAGGAACATGATCGATGCGGTGTATGTTTTGCTGCGGCAGTTTGCTGATGCCAAACCAGTAGCGACTCCAAATCTCTGTGGAGTGTGACACCGATTGGATGGTCGTCCCACTTTGAGACGCTCTGGTTTGTAGGCTGTCGAGGGTTACAACACCACCCCACGTATTTTGATCCTCCTCGCTCTGATTGCCCTGCTGTTCAATGTGAATCTGTTGCACGGAAAACCATGCAATGGCAAATCGAGAACCGCCCACAGTCTCAGGGCAGTTGAGTCGTTTTATGGTTTCATCTTCACTCGGTGCTTCATCCGAGCCACCTTGGGAGGTGAGGGCCTTTCCCAGCTCTTGGTCTACTGGCACCGCAATGAGATCGCCTTTCTTCAAGATGCGCTTTTTGCTCTGAAGGTGATACTGGAGGGATGAGAATAGGGTTGGCTGGAAAGCGGGGTTCGTTGTCGTTGGGTCCGCGATCTTCGACAGGACAACCTCCTTCGCAATTGGCGGGGACTTGAACGTACTGGACCGTGGCAGGTGGTTTGATTTAAGATCGTGCCGGGGAGTGGTGGGCAAAGCCCCGAGCTTGACGTATTCGGCATTCGATAAGTTGGCCAAAAGGATTGGGGGGAGATAGACCACAGGTGAAAAGGGTAACATGAGGTCCCTCTGCGAAAAACTCGACCTCCTGTCACCAGTCTTGTCAACAGCGTAACGTGGCTGAAGATTCGCCAGCCCCGAAAGGCCAAAGACCTTGACCGTTCGCCAGTCCGATTCTTCTTCTGTGAATCCGCCAAGACTTCTCAAAGCTGAATGCGGGAAGCCCTGGGAGCTCACATTTCTGGCGACCTCTATTCGAACCCAGTCACCAGAGAAACACCCAATCTTGGCAAGTGTGCTGGTGTCAATGAAAACAAAGGATTCCTCATCGTCGTCAAGACTGGGCTGGGGGTGCATCAGTTCAATCGGAACCCTGCGAAGAAGGGCCTCGGTTCTGAACACTTTCCCGGGGCGACTGCCACCCCTTGCTGTCACAGATGTGAAGCTCGAGTAGAGCGAGCCTGGGGTGTGCGTGCCTGTGGCCCTTTTCCCGCCAGGCCTCGGGGTAGCCGCAGTCATGGCTGACAGCGTCCCCGCTTGCTGGGGCGGCAGCCCAGGGGCACTAAGGGAAATCATGTCGTCCATCGAATCCGAATCCTCGTCACTTTCTTCATGAGGGGAATCAGTGCCCGATTCCTCGTCCGAAATATCATCATCGTCTGAGCCGGTCTCTGTCTGCCTATCCTCGGCTGCTGAATAGAATTGGTCATTCGAGGTATCCTCAGCAGTATCTTCAAGGGACTCTTCGATGATTGGTTGGACGGGGGCCAACTTTGAAAGAGCCTTTTCTTGTGAAGACCCGGTCTGTATTAGAACAATCCTCGTCTTTGCAGAGACCTTCCCTTGAGACACTGGCTCGCACTCCACCACGATGGCAGGAGGCGGTCGAACGTGAGTGATTGGGTGTGCCGGGAGTGGTAGAGGAAAGACATCCCCAGAATGAACCACGGGTAGCTGGGAAAGCGCTTCTCGGACAAGTGAGGCTAGTCGACCGGTAATAGGAGGCACATTATGCAGCACGCCGTTGGGTGTAGAGGGCTTTCTGTCAATCTTCAACTGCCTCCCGTATTGAAAGCCGCCGCCGAACTTAGCCTGGATGTCATCTATCTTTTCAAGCATACCCTTCTCGACGGAAACATAGATGGTTTCTAGTGTAAGAGGTCTCGTGGAGATCGCCCGAATCTCAATTGACTTGGGAACATGGCCTGGATGGCGGTCTCGATCGATTGCCGCATAAGTCTTCAGAATCGATTGACAAGCAGAGGAATTTGGCGAAAGCTTTATGGTGTCAGACTGTCCCAAGCCCTCAGTAGACGACTGTGGCTCGCGCAGTTGAACAGGAAGAATAGTCCATGGAGAATCTTGCAGCTCCGTATGGAGAGGGGACGAGGGTGTGAGGGCTATGAACAGGTTGGACGAGGGATAACGTGCATCTAGAGATCGTCGTCAGCATGTTACTCGAATAGGGTGGGTTGGACTCGAGGGAAACCAGCGTACCTTCAGAGCCACCCTTCAGTCTGGACCAGAGTCCTTGGGATATTACGGCTGCATCAGTCTTCACTGTGTCGTCAAATGCCAGCCGAGCGGCGAGTGGCTTCCGTTCAATTTCACGCCGCCGACGTTTCTTCGGGTGCTCGAGTTCGTGTTCGAGACTGTCCATGTCCGCTCAGTCGACAACGGTAGGCAATTTCATGTCCATGCGCAACAGCGGGTTTGAACGAAGGGTCAAGTCTGAACAGATATGCTGCGTAAAATGTGACAGCTGCGAGGGTAGGAAGAGTGTGAGGGTCAAATTGACTGCTAAGCAGTGACTGGGGCGCCGGCAATGATCATCAGCCACTGGCCACTGGAATCCAAGCCGAGGTTCAAGATGAGATTCCGAGATCAGAAAATAAGGAGCAACAATAGCCACGGGCTCATCTTCCATCACCCTACGGCCGATTCTCTTCCTTCTAACGAGCACTCGTGGCAAAGGCAATAGTTGAATTTGAGGACATGAATGCTGTGTCTAGACCGCAACGAAGTCTAGCTAGTCCCCTGCGCCCTTTTTCCGGACGGCAGTTAGCTGACTCTGGATTTGCACCAGCCTGGCCAACGAGGATGGTCACCCCCTCGTCTTCTAGCTGCTTACACCAGGCATCTGCACCTCAAGACCTGTAACCTCTTTGCGGAGATGGCGTTCGTCCATCCTATGACTGTCGTGCGTTTCGGTCTCCGCCAAAGGTGTCGCAAACCCCCATTGGGCTCTCCGCAATTGTAGACATGGGCACGGCTTCTCCGGGACTGCAATCTGCTGAGAAGCGTCTGGCACGAAACAGCAGGAAAACCGCCAATAGGAGCCGAATTGATTTACAGGGCTACAAAGCCCGGTCGAAGGGGGTTTAAACAGCCTACAACTAATCAAATGTTCATTGTCATGACCACCGACCGGGTATGATCCATACATCCTCAAGTGCTTGCGAAAGAAATATGTTGGACTCCTTTCTCGCTCACCCAGGAAAAGCACTTGGCCCGTTTTCGATATTCGCCAGGATGGTCCATACTCCAACATCAGTCCTTCGTCAATGACCCTTAAGGTTCGAATGGGTTCCGAAGATAGAATCCACCAACTCTCCGCTTCGAGTGGACAGAATGGACAGCAGAGTATCAGACAAGCCGTGAGTGGCCTCATTGCATCCCTGCAGCCAGAGTCCAATGCCATCCTGCACAGACGCACGATCCAGTTTCAAACCGTAATCACGTCCAGGTTGCCACTGCCCATCCAAACTGGAGTTGATGCCCTGACAAGCTTTGAGCATATCAACATGTGCGTCTCGCCGATAGCCAGTGGCCAACACAACTACATCGACCGACAGCTTTTCCCGGCCGTTGCTATTCGACGGGTTCAGGTCGGTCAGAATCAAGCTGAGTTGTTCATTGGGTCCATTGTCGACGAATTCCGAGATTTCCCGGAGCGGCAGAATCTGATGTTGCCAAAGCCGCTTATCTGGTTGCTTGATTCCTTGGATATAAAGGTCATCGTAAAGCTTCTCAAGCAGTTCGAGGCGCACAACACTGTAGTTGGTGGCCTTGTTCTTTTTCACATTTTCAGCACGGATATCGTCTGGCTGCTCGAAGAAAGCATCGACTGCTTCGGGATTGAAGACTTCATTGACGAATGGTGAATCGTCACTGGGCCGAAGTGCAGAGTCTCGGATGATGAGCCTGGTGCTGGCGTTGGGATAACGGTGATGGAGATCATTGAAAACCTCGGCAGCACTTTGGCCGCCACCCACAACAGCAATGTTGTAAGTTTGGTCCCTATCAGGCAGCACGTGGCTGATTCTCGTGTGGTATTCAGATGAGTGCAGAATACGGTCATGGTAAGCCGGAAACAGTGACGGCCTTGCGGGTCGACCACCTACTGCTATCACGACATTTCGGCTCAGAAAACTCATAGTCCGGCCAGTGGCGAGGCTCCGTGACACAACTTCGAAGCAGTCATACTTCTCGGCCCCAGCCAATCTTCGTGGCTGGATCGAGTCAACCTCTTGACTGTACTCGACAACATGTTCAAAATGGCGGGCCGCCCACTGCAGATAGTCGTCGAACTCCAGCCGCGACGGGAGGAAGGTACCCAGATTCGAGAATTGTACCAATCGATCGTGCTCCTTCAGGTAATTCAAAAAGGTGAAATGGCTTGTGGGATCTCGGAGCGTGGCAAGGTCTTTGATGAATGAAATCTGCATCTTTGCGCCGGGAAGCAACATCCCGGCATGCCATTTGAAGGCCCCTTGTCTTTCCAGGAAGCGTACGGTGGGAGGGGCAACCTCCGGGTCGGCTTCCCTCTGAGCACGCAGCGAGTCATGGAGAGCAACTGCAATTGCCAGAGAGGCCGGCCCAAAGCCCACGCATACAAGGTCGTGGATTTCCCCTGGAGATGCAGAATAGAAAGCCGGTGCAGCAGAGCGGTCCGTGCCCTGACCGTTACTTAGAAGTTCAGAGATCCTGCCATTAATGCCATTCGCGGGGCTCGCCGAGTCTGACCGATGGTCGTGTCCATTGGTGCTAGACAAAACCCCCGGAGCCATGAGAATGGAAAATCAAACACAGGATACAATGCAGAGCAGTGTGATGTGCCCAAGAGACCCAAATTTCTGAAGGTGACAATAGAATGGCAACCAGTTTCGGCAGCAGCTTTCTCAGGAGAAGAAGCAATCACATTTGAAGCAGACAGGAATAGGCCAGTACGGTGTACACCGTTGAGCAACGAAGGGGGCCCCTGTGTTGGTGGCAACCATAAACGCGGGATCGTCCGGTAATGAATGCCCTGGTGGTGCTGGCTGTTTTTGTCCCTCCACAACTTCGGGTCTCGTCATGACATGGTCAAGAGATTAGATGGCAGATCTTGTGGGCAATGGAACGAAAGCATCCAAGCATCCGTGTGCATGAATACGTCACGCCATTTGTGGTGGGTGAAAAGACAACGACTTCTGCAACAGATCCGATTACGGAGCCAGAATTATTATCTGATAATCGGGGAGATTATCTGATAATCTTTTGTCACGGCGTCTTGTCGGTGTCCTGGCCTGACCTGCGAACCCAGTTAGTCCTGGATTGTCGTAGGCTGTGGCGTGGTGGAAGGATGGACGATGTGGACAAGGCCCCGCTGTTTCCCTCAAAGCGACCGCGGCATACATCAGACGAGGCTTCGAGCGCCGAGCTAGCAATTTTTTTCTTCCTCTTGTGACTTGAAGCGGATCGGCTTGCGCATTGCACGGGGTATTCGATTGAAAGTGGTGCCTGCAGACTCTTTGGCGCTTTGTGCGTTAGCGTGGCTGGACAATTGTGATCGTGAAGATGCAAGTCGCCCAGAGTGGAGGGTCTGTTGTCGACATCATCTTCAAAGGCACCAGAGGCTATAGTCCATCCGTCCGTATTCGCGTCGAGCACTGCTACCCCACAAGAGATTCTATGTGAAGAGAAGAAGTAGGGAAACAGGAATTTCAGCAGACACCGGAGCAGCAGCTCTACCATCGTCGTTTCACTCTCATGACGTCGACCTTAACCACCGACTACAGACACCAACAGACCTGACGGATCACCCTGGTGGCTGCTGCCTTGTGGTGTGTCATTCGATACTGTGAAAGTATTGCATGGCAGTCCGTTGCTCTCTTTCTCTTCCTTTCTCTTCTTGATACCATTCTTCTTCAAAGGCTCTCATGAATTCCAAGAGTCTTCCGAACCAATTCCACAAAGGTAACATGCCATCGACCGTCAATGGCTTCCTTAGGCCCCCCAATCTCTCCATTGCCAACGAGAATCGTCAAATACTGCCCGGGCCTCAACTGTTGCACGAGCTGATAGCACCCTCCTCCGAGAACGTCATCTTGGACTTCCTGCTGGCGGATAATGGACGCGTTATCCTCACCTACGACGAATTCCATCACCTGACGAACCTCCTGGCCCGGGACATTCAGGAGTATACCTCACAGAGAGCCGACAAAAGATGCATCGTTCCTGTCATCATTCCTCAGTCTCCAGAATTGTACGTGGCATTGGTGGCAATATTGAAGTCTGGTTCTGCATTCTGCCCTGTCAGTCAAGATGTGCCTACGGAAAGGCTGAAATTTATCCTTCAAGATACACAGTCAACCTTCGTACTGGCAACCGCCACCACAATGGCTACCTTCAAGGATGCCCTGTCAAATATCCAGTGCAAGACTGTATCTCTGGAAGCTCTCCAAGGATCGTCCCGTTCGGCACCAGTGGATGACACCTGTCCTCGACACGGTCAGTGCGTCAGTGCCTCCGATCCCGCGTATGTCATGTACACTTCAGGCTCTACAGGACTGCCAAAGGGTGTCGTCTTATCGCATTCGTCGGTGTCACAGTCATTACTTGCGCACGACGAGCATATCCCTCCGTTCAAACGTTTTTTACAATTTGCTTCACCAACGTTCGACGTCTCCATGTTTGAGATATTCTTTCCATTTTTTCGGGGAGCGACCTTAGCCGGCTGCGAACGTGAGCGCATGCTTACTGATCTCCCTGCCACTATTCGAATTCTAGACGCAGATGCTGCGGAGCTAACCCCGACGGTGGCGGGGACGCTGTTGAGGACCAGGGAGGCAGCGCCCTGCTTAAAGACCCTGCTGACAATTGGAGAAATGCTCACAGCCTCAGTCGTTTCCGAATTTGGAGGAAGCGCAGATAGGCCGAGCATGCTGTATGCTATGTATGGACCCACAGAGGCGGCAATCCATTGTACTGTGGCACCCCGGCTAGCTGCCGATGCCTCTGTCCGCAGTATAGGGAGACCACTAGCAACAGTGACTGCTTTTGTCCTTAAAGAAGCTGAACCACTTGAGATAGCACCAGCCGGCGAACCTGGGGAGCTCGCAATTGCGGGCCAGCTTGCTGTTGGATACTTGAATCGGCCAGAACAGAACGAAGCAGCATTCGTTGAGCTTGCAAACTATGGCTCAATCTATAAAACTGGCGACCGAGCAGTTTGTCGTCCAGATGGCCAACTAGAAATCCTGGGACGTATGACATCCGGCCAAGTCAAGCTCAGAGGCCAAAGGGTAGAACTGGGAGAAATCGAAGAAGTCGCTTCGAAGACTGATGGCGTTCACCTCGCCATCGCAAGCATTATTGACGATGTTCTGGTCTTGTTCTGCGCTGCAAAACATGGCATGATGGTTTCTGATGTTTCCGCTCAATGCAAAGCATGGTTACCACCATACATGCGTCCGGGCGAGATTGTGCTCTTGTACAATGACATTCCTCGACTGCCTTCCGGCAAGATCGACCGCAAAGCACTTGAACGCAACTATCGAGAACACCAGGTACCCATCAACCACGAGATCTCTTTTGAAAACCCGCTAGAGAAGGATATAGCCCGAGCATTGGACGTTGAGCTGGCGTGCCGGATTGACAGATTGGCCTCTTTCTGGTCGCTGGGCGTAGACTCCCTCCGAGCCATTAAGATCGCGTCTCGACTACGCCAACAGTACAACTGTGTTAACGCGGCGATGATCTCCGAAGCAGACAATATAGCCACGCTTTCAAATTTGATTGCCAAGTCGAAAGATGTCGAAGGAGGAAGAACTGAACCTGAGTACGAGACCTCGGACGCATGGCAAGAGATCACGGCAAAACTGCAGCAAGATCTTGGTACCTCAAGCATCAAAGCACCCTACGAAAAGATCTCACCTTGCAGTAGCATGCAGGTTGCCATGCTGATCGAAACAGTCACGAAGGCGGCTCAGAATTTCAACCAAATATGGCTCAGGCTCGGGCCAGGTTTGACACTGAGAGACTTACGTCGAGCATTTGTTCAGCTTTCCAGGAAGAATGAGATACTGCGATCCGGATTCGTCGCTACTGGGGTGCAGGAGATGCCTTTTGCGCAAATCGTATGGCGGGACCTGCCATTCGACCGCGAATTAAGTCTTCTATATCCCATGCAGCTGGCAAACTCGAAAACAGAGGACGAGCGAGATGTCCTTGTTTGGATCCACCATGCTTTATATGATGGTTGGTCCTGGGACTTGATCTTAGACGACCTGAATTCTATCTTGTCCAGAGAGGATGCTCTTCCTAGGACACAGTTCTCCGAATTTCGGTCACACGAGTATAGTCGTCTGATAACCGAGAAAACGGGAGATCTCGACTATTGGCGACACCAAATGCAAGACTTCAAGCCCTCTCCTTTTCCGATGATAACACCTGTCCCATCTGAAAAGCCATCCAAATATACAACCGAGTTGCTACTTTCTATAACACATGAACAGCTCTCTCACTATGCGTCAGTCTCGCACTGTAGCCGGGAGACGGTCTTGGAGGCAGCTTGGTCACTTTTGCTCTCATCATACGTCGACAATGCAGACGTCGCTGTTGGAGTGGTTGTGGCTGGTCGCCATTTCTCACTTGCAGGAATCGAGTCGATCATTGGGCCTTGTCTATCATTATTTCCTCTTCGCGTCGATACCAGTGCTTTACGAACAATAAGTGATGTCCTCAATCACATCCAACGACAACGCAGCCAGTTTCTTCGACATGGTAGCGTTGCCCTACGAGACATCAATAGTGCAGCAGGTGTCCGCCCCGGAGACAGGCTGTTCGATACGCTGTGCGTTTGGCAACAAGACAGCGAAGGAAATTGCAGGGATCGTTCCAATGTTGCAACCGTCAAGACGCATGATGCCTTGGAATATGCGATAGTCCTAGAATTTGAGCCCCATCAGAATCACATCCATTTAAAGTTGACTGTGGATACAGCACTTGTTCCAGAAGACCATGCGAAGCTTTTGACTCGCCAGCTTGACAATGCCGCCTCTCGGATCATGAGCAACCTTGATCTCAGTTTGAGCTGCTTTTGGGGAAATTTTGACAAGAATACATTGTCCTTAACCAACACCGACTTCCGGAAATTCAGCGGAGACTTCGATCTGATAACAACTATCTCAAAACTTGCAGAGTCGTGCCCAGAGAGAGCAGCCGTTGAATTCGTGCATAGCATCAATGAGAAAACCAATCAGGTGGAGAAGGAAATCCTCACTTATGGCGACCTCTACAAACGCGCCCAGATCGTTGGCTGGGTCTTGAGGACTGAGTACAATGTGCAAGTTGACGATCTTGTCTGCCTAATAGGCCCTCGCTCGACTCATCTCTATATTGGCATCCTTGGGGCCATTATGGCTGGGGCCGCATACATGTGCGTCGATCCTCGAACGCCAGCAGCTCGAGTCCGCCGAATTTTGGACGAAGCTCGATGCAAGCTTATCCTGTCCACAGGAGATGCGCCTGAACCAAAGGAGATTGATGCAAGATCATATCTCCCCATGGATACTTTGTTGCAACGCCATTCCATGACAACTATCAACAGCACTCCGTTCCCGAAGAGTGATCAATTGGCCTATGCCGTGTTCACCTCTGGCAGTACTGGTGTTCCCAAAGGCGTCCTTCTTAGCCGTCGCAACCTGCTCAGCAATCTGGAGGAGCTGTCGCGAATATACCCCTGCGGACCTGAGAAAGATCGACTTCTGCAGGCTTGCTCCCCAGCGTTCGACGTCTCAGTCTTCGAGATCTTCTGGGCTTGGCACAAGGGAATGTCCTTGTGCACAGCGTCAAATGACGTCCTGTTCAGAAACCTTGAAGACTTCATCAAACGGCTGAATATAACTCATTTGAGTATGACCCCTTCGGTGGCCGCTCTTGTTCGACCCGACAACGTCCCACACGTGAAAATGTTGGTCACAGCTGGAGAGCCTATGAACTCGAAGGTGTTCTCAAATTGGGCCGACCGCGGACTGTACCAAGGTTATGGCCCTAGTGAGACGACAAACATATGTAACGTTCGACCGAAGGTCTCGAAATCTGATATGCCGAACAATGTTGGTCTTCCGCTCCCGAACACATCCATCTTTGTTTGTCAAAGGCAAGCCCCGAAGCTACACGCTGCCACTGATTCGCTCCATGATCAAGCCTTCCCACAGTTTCAGCCAGTAATAAAAGGCGGGGCAGGCGAGATCTGGATCGGTGGAGAACAGGTAGGACGCGGATATCTTGATCAGATGCTGACCTCGAAGAGCTTCTTCGATCACCCCGAATATGGTCGGCTTTACCGCTCAGGCGACATCGGAAGGCTTCTTTGTGATGACTCTTTAGTCATACTGGGCCGAGAGGACGATCAAGTCAAGCTCCGGGGTCAGAGAATTGAACTAGGAGAGGTGAATGCTGCACTGATCAAGTGCAATGAAGTTGAAGATGCGGTAGCTATGGTCATTGACAAAGGAGGCGATACTGCCAGCCTTGTTGCTTTCTGGACTCGAAGTCAGTCCCCCATCCAAATGGGCCCCGACGGCATGAACACCAGTATCTTCGAAACTTTGGCAAATAACCTGCCAGATTATATGATACCTGACAACCTGATCTGCATTGACAAGATACCTCTGACGCGTCAGGGAAAGATCAATCGCTCAGATTTGATCTCCTACTATCGAAATCTCGACGCAGAAGAGCTTCAGGCCACTTCCAGGGGCAGTAAGCCTTCTGATGATGTTGACTGCCTCTCCGATTCCGAGTGCATTATCGCTCGTGTTGTTACTGATGCCCTTGGCGTCGGTTCTGCGAAGATTGACCGTACTACCTCTTTCTATGCTCTGGGCCTGGATTCGATTAGTGCAATTCACGTCTCACGGGCGCTCCGAGAACATTATCCTGTTGTGGAGATATCCTCGTTGATGCAAAACCCGTCTGTTGGACAGCTCATGAAGTACATTGAGAGCCATGTTCCGGAACGTAACAAATTCGACGAAAAGAAAGATCTGGGTCTTCCTTTCAAAAGATGGGAAGACCAAATCCGCGGCCTGTATTCTCGGGTAGGGCTGGAAGTAGAGAGAATCCTTCCGTGTACGCCTTTGCAAGAATCCATGGTGACCAGTTCGACGAATGTTTCCTCCGAAGTCTATCGAAATACTTTGCGATTCAACGTCTGTGGCAACACCTCGAGGCTACGACAGGCGTGGGAATACGCATTGGCGAGACATCAGATCCTTCGCACTGGCTTCACTGCAATCGATAGCGCTGAATCTCCTTTTGCGCAAGTAGTGTTGAAGAATTTCCAGCTTCCTTGGCTGGAAGAAGGCACGCAAGGCGTGAGTTATGCCTTGGATAATCTCATGGTCCCGCCATGGAGCCTCGAAATCAGAAAGAGTACAGAGCTGATCCTGAGAATGCATCACGGTCTTTACGATGCAGAGGCAATGGCCGTCCTACTAAGCGAGATTCAATCCCTTTACCACGGACATCAACTACCTCCAACAATCCCCTTCGATGACTATCTGTCATTCATGAAAGCCTCTAACACTGATGGAACATACAATTTCTGGCGCACAAAGCTGCAGGGTGCTTCTTTGCAAAAGCTAAGTGAAGTCATATTGTCTGAGGACAAGGCTCCCCCAGGCACTCATTTGTTGGTCAAACGCAAGGCCACAATCGATGTTTCCGAACTTCAACGATGTGCGCGAAAGATGCTTTCAACTCCCTCGGCTCTGATTCAAGCTTCATGGTGTCGGTTTCTCTCCTGTGTGTTCGAGAGTCAAGATGTCTGCTTTGGCAACGTCCTGAGCGGTCGCAACCTTCCTATCGATGGTGTGGAGAGCATGGTCGCTCCATGCTTCAATACGGTTCCATCGAGAGTACAGCTGCAGTCTGGCAGCACCAACAAGGAACTGTGTCATTGCCTTCAACAGATGAATGTGGAGACTTTACTGCATCAGCCGAGCTCCCTTCGTGAAGTCCAACGGGTCCTTGACACCCAAGGCAGAGCATTGTTTGATACCTTGATTTTGCTCCAACAAGACGAATTGCGGCTCGACGACAAAATCTGGACTCTGGTTGAGGCATCAGGGGACATGTCTTTTCCTTTCATCCTTGAGATTACGATGGACAGGAAGGCTGATGTAGTCACCCTCAATCTGCACTCTGAGGTTGCCAAACGGAAGACATTGAGTAAATTCCTGGACGCCTACGATGCATTTCTTGTGCATACCGCCAAATACCCGCAGTCAAGGGCTTCAGATTATTCCTTCATTGCTGGGATGTTGCCGAGACTGCAGCCTTCTGTACCGTTGATTGTACTTGAAAGCTCAGCTTCCGCTGTCCCAACCAAAGGACAGGTTTCAATGAACGAGGGTCTGTCTCAAACGGAGACATTGGTCAGGGATATCCTCGTGCAATTGAAACCCGGTGCTCTTCCAAAAATCTCTAGGGACACTACGGTCTTCAGTCTGGGGTTCGACAGCATCAATGCTGTCCAAATTGCAGGAAGGCTGCGGAAAAAGGGGTTCGATGTATCCACTGGGGCCATTTTGGAAGCTGCAACTGTCAGAGATATTGCCAATTTTTGCGATTCCGTGCTCCGACAAAACAAAGGGCATTCGCTCTTCGACCTTGACTCCTATGAACGGAGTCGCCGCCGATCTATCTGTCAAGCTAACTATCTCGACGAAAGCAAAGTCGATTCCGTGTGGCCCTGCACACCCACGCAAGCAGGTATTCTTTCGCAGTTTCTTCGATCGCACTACAAGCTCTATCTTAATCATATGCATTTCAACTTGGACAAAGACGTGGACTTATCAAGGTTGAGACAGGCTTGGTCTGTTGCTTTGCGAACGCACGCAATGCTAAGGACTGGCTTTGCCGAGACAGATGACCCCAAGACTCCATTTGTCATGATAACCTATCGCCCAAATGTAATACAGCTACCCTGGATTGACGATTCAATCCCAACTCGGCCAGACAGAGGCGAGAAGAAATTTCCGAACTTTCACAATCTCACACGGCCGCCGTGGCTCATTCGGGTTTCCAAAACAGGCTCTTCGCCGAGTCTTGAACTATCCATGCTGCACGCCCTCTATGACGCGCGTTCTCTAGACCTCATACTGGGCGACGTTGCTTGTACGTACGCAGGCTTGCAATCGCCCGTGGCTGTTCCTCTTGGCCCGGTCGTTTCGAAGATCGTAAGCGCGAGCGGAGACGACGAAAGTTCCAAGACATTCTGGATGGAGGTGTCGACTGATATGTGCCCAACCCGCTTCCCGGACTTGGACGTGTACACTCAAAAGGCCGACAACTATTGTGTCGTGACACGGCAGTGCAGCATGTCTTTGAAAGCACTCGAGAATGAATGCGCAAATGAAGGTGCAACGATGCAAGCCCTGGTTGCTGCCGCTTGGTCTTTGTTACTTTCGGCGTATACTGCCCAGGACTGTGTCACATTTGGTGTCATCCTTTCTGGTCGGGACTTTGACGAAGAAGAAAACATGGTTGTCTTCCCTTGCATCAACACTGTGCCGTTTGCGATGAGACTATCCCATGACAGGGCCGACCTTTTGCAATCAGCTGTCAGGCGGTGCGCTGGTATGTTGAAACATCAACATAGCTCTCTGAGCTCGATCAAGCGTTGGGTACAGGCTGAAGGCGATCTGTTCGACACTGCGATCGTTCTACAGAAATATGACACTAAAAAGGGTGCAAATAGGCCTTGGACACTCGTAAAAGATGATGCAACCGCTGAGTACACAATCTCTTTGGAGGTCGTTCCTCGAGAGAACGATGCGCTGGATATCCAAGTAACTTTTCGCGAAAAGGTTATTCCACCAGGCCAAGCTGTGTACATCCTTGAGGAATTCGAAGAACTCATGAAGAGCCTGCTCACGCAAGCAACACGTACTCCGAGGCTTCCAGAATCTCTTCTGTCAGTGGTGCCTGCCAAAGAAGAACGGATTCCAAGTACGGTACGCTACCTGCACGAATTTGTGGAGCTGATGGCAAAGCAGAAACCAAACAGTATTGCCCTAGAGTTTGTGCAAGGCTTGCACGGAATCACTCCATCAAAACAAATTTGGACGTACGCCCAGTTGGATTCAAATGGCAACAGAATCGCTCGACTGATCCAGAGCAAAAGAGTGCAAGTCGGAGACCTCGTGGCTGTTTGCTTCGAAAAATGCCCGGAAGCTTCTTTTGCGATATTGGGGGTACTCAAATCAGGGTGTGGTTACATTGCCATTGACCCAGGTGCACCAACTTCAAGGAAGGAATTCATTATCCGCGATTCTAGTTGCAAAATCGTGCTGACAACAGATGACAAGACATCGGAGTTTAATACTATTCCTGATCTATCGACTTTCGCCATTGACAACACCAATTGGCAGGGATTTCCTGGCGAGAAACCTCTGCTCTCGAAAGAACTAGATACGCAAGACATCTGCTACTGCCTGTACACCTCAGGAACTACAGGGACACCGAAAGGCTGCTTGATCAGCCATGACAGCGCAGTCCAAGCAATGTTGTCGTTTCAGCGGATTTTCTGTGGTAGATGGAAGGAATCATCTAGGTGGCTGCAGTTCGCATCCTTCCACTTCGATGTCAGCGTGCTGGAGCAATACTGGAGCTGGAGTATAGGCATCACCGTGACCTCTGCTCCCCGAGACCTCTTGTTCGAGGATCTTCCGGGAACTATCAACGCTCTCGAGATAACGCATCTTGACCTGACCCCCAGTTTGGCAAGGTTACTTACACCCGAAGAAGTGCCCCGTCTATGCGAAGGTGTCTTTATTGTCGGTGGCGAGCAAGTGAGCCAGGATATCTTGGAAATCTGGGGCGATACAGGTTGTCTTTACAATTTCTACGGGCCAAGTGAAGTGACCATCGGGTGCACAGTGCATCGACAAGTGCCCAAGAATGCGAAAGCCACGAATATTGGTCAACAATGGGACAATGTGGGCTCTTTCGTTTTGGAGCCTTCGTCACAGAATGCAGTTCTTCGCGGTGCTATCGGCGAGCTTTGTCTCTCAGGTCCTCTTGTCGGAAAAGGATATCTCAACCGACCCAACCTTACACGGGAGAAATTCGTAGTGTTGGAGGAATATTCGACAATGGTCTATCGCACTGGTGATCTCGTCCGTCTCCTGCATGATGACAGCTTCGAATTTTTGGGCAGGATCGATGATCAGGTCAAGTTGCGAGGGCAGCGCCTGGAGATTGGGGAGATCAACCATGTTGCTATGAGTACGGATAGCACCATCAAGGACGTTGCCACCATGGTCCTGAAACATCCAACACAACAGAAGGACCAGCTGGTGACTTTCTTCTCTACGGCTCAACGACGTGCAAAGAACGAGAAACCGGCAATTGTGGCCACGAGGGATTCACAAAACCTGGCTGCAAAGATTCGGATGAACTGCTCTGACAAATTGCCAGCGTACATGGTGCCGTCATACATTCTCGCAGTCTCGTCTCTTCCATTATCAGTCAACAACAAGGCTGATCACAAATCGCTGAAGGCCTTGTACGAGGGAAACCTGCCAATCTCAGAACAAGACGAATCAAACGAAAGATATGCAACCTCCGAGGAAGACCTTCAAGCTTATAATGAGGTGGCCGCTGTGCTGGCGTCTTTCTTGCGAATCCAGGCATTGGACATCAAGCCAACTTCGAGATTATTCGAACTTGGACTGGATTCAATATCAGCAATTGGGCTGTCTAGAGCTCTCAAGCGGCAGGGATTCCAAAATGCCCAAGTAGGCACGATCCTCAAGCACTCTGTCGTTCAAGATCTAGTTCGCGTCATCTCTGAAAGGGCCACCTTACACCAAGACCAAGCTGTTGAAACCGCCCGAAGGAAGATTCAGTTATTCCGTGACGCCCATTACAAGGAAATCGCTCAAAATATAGACGTTCCACCGGAAAACATCGAGTACATCGCACCCTGTACTCCTTTACAAGAAGGCATGATTTCCAGAGTTATGCAAGGTGGACCCGATGACACTGTTTATTTCTCCTGCTTCCTCTTTGAACTCGATTCCAATACTGACATGCAGCGACTGAAAACTGCGTGGGATGCGACTCAGCGGTCAGTTTCTACCCTAAGGACACTCTTCGTACCAACAGCAGATGGTTTTGCTCAAGTTGTGGTCTGCAAGGATGGCAGTGCCGTCAATATGATCAGTTACGAAGCTAGAAATGAAAACATCCGCGAATTGCAGGATTCCTCCTTCAAAGATTGGGTCAGATCTGCCAGATCGCTATCAACATCATTTCCTTGGAAAGTCGGGTTGGCACAGTCTGGAGATGGGGGTTTCATGATTCTCTATATGTTCCATGGGCTCTACGACGGAAACAGCCTTCCGTTACTATTGAAACAAGTCGAGAAACAGTATGAGCACCCTGAGGAGATCCATAAGCTCAAGATGCAGTTCTACGAAGCTTTACCTTACGGTCCGTTATGTCAGCTACCGGATGAGAAGGAATTCTGGCTATCACACCTGGCTCGCATCCGGCCACAGAAACTACCATTGGCCCATGCAGAGCGTGAGACAGATACCAATTGTGTCGTCTTGAGGGATCATCTTACCATTAACCATTTGCAACCCTTGTGCAATGAACTGGACGTGACAGTATCGGCTTTTTTCCAGGCTATGCTGCTCTACGTGCTACAAAGAGAATTCGACTTCAATCCCACAATAGGTGTGGTCGTGTCGGGCAGAGCCATATCCAGGGAAGAAATAGAGGAGGCCATCGGCCCGATGTTGAACACCCTTCCATGCGGCATCAACTCTCTCAGAGATGGAGCAGCAGTCTCCGATCTTGTCCAAGCATGTCATCAGTTCAACGTTGATATCATTCCTTACCAACATACGCCTCTGCGGAAGATTGTTCAATGGCTCGGAATGAATGCAGATCAGCCTCTGTTTGACATATTATTTGTGTTCCAAAGGACATCAATGGAACTTGACGACAGCGCGCTCTGGCGAGCAATTCCAACGGACAGTTCGCCAGATTATCCTCTAAACATTGAGGTAGAGCAAAGGGGCACCGAGTTCAATATCACCCTTGTCGCAAAATCACAATATTTGAACAGAGAAAGGGCCAGCCAGTTGCTAAACAGGTACCTTGATGTCGTTCGCAGACGGGAAGAGATGGGTATGACCTTGCCCGCTGGCTTTTGCTCAGCACAAGACCCTGTGGCTCTGAATGGAGAATCCAGAACTGGCTTCTCTGTCTCCAACAACATTCATGAAGAGGACGATGGTGTCGCTTTGAGTGCCACAGAGAAAATCATTCGCTCTGAAATTGCCAAGCTTACTTCAGTGGAAGAAAACAGGATACACCGTCACAGACCTACGATCTTCGAACTAGGCTTGGACAGCATAGAAGCAATGAAGCTCGCGGCTAGGGTCAGGAACAATGGAATGAGAGTCGCCGTGAGTGCAATCATGAGATCGCCCACTGTTGCAGGGATTGCCGCAGCGGCCAATTCAGACGTGGATACCCGAACAAGAACAAAAAAAGGCAAACGCATACCTTCCATTGAAGAGCGCCAGATTGCCTATCGACATATGCTTCACGGTCACGGGATTGATCTCGACCACGTGCGGGCCGTCTTTCCTGCCACACCGATGCAGGAAGGTCTGCTTCTGGAATCAGACAAGTATCTGAACGTGATGACGTTCAGATTAAGCCCCGACATGGATACCCAAAGACTGATCAGAGCCTGGGAAAAGGTCTCCCAGAAAGAGCCCATCTTGAGAAGTCGCTTTGCGATTATCGAGTCATCAGACAAGCGCACAACTTTCTTGCAACTTGTGATGAAAGAAGGACTCGAGGTGACGACTCTAGTCGACAAGAGACTGGACGATGTTGTTAGAAGTCTCAGAAAGGCCGCAAGCGACCAAACCTTGGAAGATCAAGAGACCAGCATCACCATTGTCAACGAAAATAACGCGTCGTTCCTTGTTCTCGCAATGCCGCATGCATTGTACGACGCCTGGTCATTGCATTTGCTGCACCAAGAAGTCACCAAGATCTACGAGTTCCCTAACCTAAAACCTCAGGGGGAAGTGCTGGATCAGTATCAAGAACACCTCGAGGAGATCATCAGTCAAGCAGAGAGCTCAGAAGCTCGTAAATTCTGGGAGTCTCAACTACTAAATATCCAACCCACCACTTTTCAAACGCACATCGAGGATCACAAAAACTCCACCTCTGCGATCTTGATCCGCAAACAATCGAAGACCAGCCTTGCGGATGCCCTCAAATTCTGTAGGCAGCAAGGAGTGACACTCCAGACCTTCGGGCTAACATGCTGGACAATCGCACTCATTCACTATACCTGCCAGTTAGATGTATGCTTCGGGCTCGTTCTGTCCGGCCGCACAACTGATGGCTCGGATCGGCTGATCTTCCCAACATTCAACACTGTCACCTTTAGACCTGTGCTTGAAGAGAATATGACAAAGTCAGAAGCCCTCCACAGGATGCACGACGCCGTGGTGCGAGTCTCAGAATACCAGCACTTTCCATTGCGAGAGGCTCTTCGTATTGCCCGAGGACAAGGGGTGAATGAAGACTTGTTCAATACTTTGTTCACCTTCCAAAAGCTCCCTACTGCCGAGGGCGATCTCCCAGTGTTGTACGAGGAAGCCTCTCCCGATGGAGTAGGCACCACGCCGCCGTATCCTCTAAATGTGGAATTGGAGGGCGATGCAAATGATCTGATCTGGACTGTTGCATTTCAAAACGGAGTCGCCAATGAAGCATTTGGGCAGACGCTGCTGAGCAAGCTGGATGGCATTCTGGCAGCTCTGATGAACAGCCCTGGCCGGGATCTCCTGGAAGACAAAGGGGGGAAAATGTCGATTTGCGGTCTGCCGGGCGTGGACCTTGTTCTCAAAAACAACGGCAGGCGAAGGACACAAACTGTACCTGACGAGGATCTACAGCAGTCCCAGGGTCAAGAAACTTGGACTCCAACGGAGACTATCATAAGGGATGTCCTCGCGAAAGTCTCCAACTTGGACAAGGAGCAGGTCAAAAAGAATACTGGGCTGTTCCATCTTGGCCTGGATAGCGTCAGTGCTATCAGAGTGGCTAGTCTGCTGAGAAAAAGGGGCGTCAAGCTTCCAGTGAGCCAGATCATCAGAGCACAGACAGCTGAGAAGATGGCAGTGGCCGCTGACCAGACCAAAGTTGCTGTTGAAGAGAGCGCCCATGCGTCAAATGGGCCCATAGTCAAGGCATCGATTTCCGAGGCCGTGAAGAAGAGCATCACAATGCCCGAGGGCGACATTGAAACGACCATACCATGCACTGCTGGTCAGACGTACATGCTTGACATGTGGAGTGCAAGCGACGGCCGCTTGTTCTTTCCCATTTTCTGGCTGAAGATGACCGGCGTCTCGTTGGAGCGTCTGCAGCAGGCGATGAAGAAACTTGTCCAGGAAATTTCCATCTTGAGGACTGTCTTCGTTCATACCAATGACGCGGAAAGCCCAGAAACATTTCAAGTTGTCGTTAAAAGTGAGGCAGCGGAGAAATATGACTTTCCGTGGAGGCTGCGCTTCGATAGCGCAGGGCAAGAATCGATTGTCGCTCTCCGCATCCATCACGCCTTGTATGATGCAGTGAGCTTCCAGCTGCTCATCACCCGGCTTGAGAAAATATGTGCTGGGACCGGCTCTCAGATCCACCCTAACACGGATATGAGCACGCTTATCTCGAATATTCGAGCAGCTCGTCCACTGACTCAAGCGTTCTGGACGCAGTATCTCGGTCAGGGACGAGATACATTGCGAGCTGTGAGTCGAGGCTCATTCACAGCACCGCGCGTTGAGAAATATTATGCGAAGCTTTTGCCGGTTGAGCGACTAAGCAACCGACTGAGGCATCATGGACTGGGCATTCAAGCACTCTTCTTCGCCGCATATGCCAGAGTTTACGAGGGTATTTGCCGTGATGTAGAGAGAGGAACCAAGGCTGGATCGGGGGATGTTGTTGTCGGTATCTATCTCGCAAATCGGTCACTTGATATCGACGGAATCATGGAGCTCGTAGCTCCGACGTTCAACATTGTGCCGCTGAGAATTCGATCTGGGCAAGAGAACCTTCTGCAATCGGCTTTGCAAATACAGCATGATCTCAGCGAGATTACTAACCCAGAGCACTGTGGAGTTTGCATGCGGGACATTTATACCTGGACTGGCGTCAGCCTCCACACTTTTGTCAATTTCTTGTCTCTCCCCACCGACGACCCGGAGGGTGCGCAGTCATCCGGAGATCAATCCGGTGAAGTGAAAGTTACGCATGCGGATATGTCACCCGAGCAGAAGGACGGATTTCAGGAGCTTGATACACCATCGCCTTTCCTCAACGGCATGGCAGTTGATGCTGACACCACGAAGTGGTGCTTGGTTAGCCACGACTCCTTTCCCCCATTTCTATTTCAATTGACTAACATGATTGCTTACTGCAGCCTGCGATTGACATCGAAGCGAAGGTTGAAGATGGCTACCTGGACATGGGCGTCTTCGCCCCAGTGGACATGCTCTCTGACGACGAGGCTACGGGGATTCTGGATGGCGTGAGAAGTTTGATGATGGATTTCTCGTAGCAACTATCCTTGACGAGTGGAGTTTTGCAGCATATCTAGAGAAATGAAACAGTCCTGTCTTACTATCTCCACTTTCAACATTCGACTGCCAGAGTAGAGACAGAGAAGAGTGAGTGAATAATATCCCTGACCCTCCCTGGGCGCCTAACTTGAAACTCTCCGAGATAGGTAGTACCTCATACTCGTAATTATCACCCAACCCATTGTTGATGTGGATAAATCCCTATTCGCTGGTCAGCCGGCTCATGATTTCCGGATGCCCGTCCTTCCAGAAGGTTGGAACGATCCCATCGTCGTCTTCCTCGCAAAAGAACCAATTCGAGGAGACTTGATCGTTTTGATCACCCTCTTAGTAGCTTGGACAGCCGAGCTCGAAGCGCCAGAAAATAACCAGCATCGAGTATATACATACTGTAAATATATTCACCCACCTGGACATATACTCTTCCCACCTCCGCGCCACTCACCCACGGCACTTACCTAACCAACTCCATGTGTGTTTGGTGGTCAGCCAGCACCCAGCCAGTCTCAGTTAATTACTGTATGTAAGCGCGACGAGTTTTGCGCCCCCAACGGCGGTACGCAGTGCTCTCGGTTGTGCCTTGATCGGCAATAATCCAAGTGTGGTACCTTCCCCTTTCAGACGAGTACGAATACGGGGTACCTCGTAATAATACGGATTCAGGGGAGTGAGGCCACCCAGCGGCCGCGTGGGAGAACAATGAGTCATCCTCCGCGAGCGCCACAGCCACCCACAGCGGGTGACAGCAGAGTGCGGGTAAGCTCGCGTAATGAATAATACAGTATCACTTGTGGCTGCTGTACGAGCTACTCGTGTCATGCTGCTAGCTAACGGCCACTAACTATTCACAGCTAGGCCATCTCTCCATCTAGCTCAATGGAGTTGAAATGTATCTCGTTGTAAGTAGGGGGGTACCATATATAACAACAATACACGCCTTTCTCAACGCGCACAACCTGGTCTTCCTCCTGCTCTTTCACATATTGAATCTTTTGATCCCGTCGTGCTTGTCGCGCTGATCCTATTTACCCCCTTTGTCTGCCGTTCGCGAGATCCGGAGCAGCCAGCAAGAACAACCGCCAGCAGATCTGAAGACAGCGAGCATCATGACGGTGGTAGAGGAAGAAGAACCAGTCATTGCGGGCCCGTTCGCGCTGTACGACGGGTCTTTTGTCTTGGAGTTTCTCCAGCCGAAGCCGTCGAGGAATGCGTCGTGAGTATATGTCAATACCAATACCCTGTTCCCTTGTTTCTTTCTCTTACGTTTCGTTTCATTCATTGACTCATTGCTTCATCTGTCTGGCGTCTATTCCTCGGAAAGAAGGGAGGAAAGGGGTGTTGCGAGACGGTACATATACAGCCCGATGGGACAGAGACAACCCCAACGAGCTGAATGGTGCTCGACTCAATACATGCCCGGGAGCCAACTACCTACCACCTAGCACATATCTGCTATGGAGGTAGTAACCAAGGTGCCTTGGTTATTGAGGGAAGCTCAGGGGGTGGGCGCAAGGCTGGGCCTCGTCCGGCATCCCTTCGAACGTGGATTTTATTGTTTGATACAGCACAGTTTGAGCCAACTTCACAGATGGCCTCTGCGTACCAACTTACTGACGACCTGCTTCGTTTCCAGAGTATTGATGCGGACGACGTATAAACATGATCACCCTCTGTGCAAGAAAGGGAAAGGCCATCCTCAGGTATGTGGTTCCACATCCCTCGCTGTTCGTCCATTCGAGAGAGTCTCCCTGACAAGGGACATCTCTTCCCTCCCCCTCACACGAAACCGGATCCAAACACGACGGGAAATGCTGATGTTCTGCCCGCCATGCTCGGGTGTCCTGTCTTTCATAGTCACCGCCTTTGCACCTGCACTTCCAACAATACGAGGCTTTTTCTGTGCTCAGCGGCGAAGTCGGCACCACGACGACCTACTCCAGGATCGACACCATCCACAACGCCCAGAACACGCCCGACTCAAACCCGCACCACGTTGAGCCCTACCTGCCTCACACATTCTGGCCGTCGCCCAACGCGACGGAGGACAGCACGTTTCTGCTCTGGGCGCATCCGAACCCCGATGACATGGACGACAAGATGGATCGCCTCTTCTTCCAGACGCTGCTGATGTACGTCAGCGATATCAGCGAGGGCAAGGAGCAGTTAAGTGTGTTGCAGATCATGTTGATCCAGTACGTTACGTTATATTCTCCGCCTAGCTATCTATATCCACTCCCTCCCTCCTTGACTCCCTCTTTCTCTTTCCCGCTCGCTTGCTTACCAGAATGAACACAAAAACAGACATATCTCCGCCACCGCACTGATCATGTTCCCGGGGCTCTCGTTCCTCGGGCCTCTCCGGTGGTGGGTCCCCTGGATGTTCCAGTGCCTGTGCAGCCGCATCGCCTTGTGGACGGGCAGGACGCCGCTCATCAAGAAATACTTGGCCGCGGAAGATTGGGAGGATGAAGAGGTCCAGGAGCGCAATGGCCTGTCAAAAGAGAAGAAGAAGAAAATGAAGAAGGATCCATGATAGCCGACCGTGACGACCATGACGGCTGTGACGGTGGTGGTGATGGATGTGTTTCCTCTCTGGTGCGCAATGCGGAGAGGAGGAGACACGGTCCTGCTCTCCATCTTTTGAGCCATCCAGCCTCTGGGCGTGGGTCTCTCGAACAGATTCAAGTCCGACCGAGTTGAGGTGTTCGTGACACACACACATCCCTCTCAGAGAGGGAGCGAGAGCCGTCAGACGGACGCACACGTGCCACGAACTGCGTGGAGAAAAGGCAGCCAATCAACCCGGGAAAAGCAGGACGTCGCTGACAGGTTTCCAGGAGAAGGATCGAAATCAAGGAAACCATTTCATTGGGGGCATTTTGTGATACCTGACTTCGGGGAGGGTGGAAGGTAGACCTACTGTAGCATACCATAGTACAACAACAACAACAACACAATACAGTTTAGTTCAATCATTGAGCAACCAACTGCCATCGCTCGAATCAAAACACCCATCGAAAGCGCCTCACTCGGCGTCTGCTCGCTGACCTTGCACAGAAGAACAACGGAGAGGAAAAAGCATGTGAGAGAAAACAAAACAGGGCGAAACGGTGGTGATGCCCCTCTCCACTCACTGTCTTGTAAACCAGTCAGTTAGTTACTCCCTTCCCCTTCGAACAATCCCCATCCACCCAGTGGGTGACAGAATTCCGTCCCCAGCGAGGTAGGTAATCCGGGCAGAATAACCTCAATAGTGGGGAGGGAATTCTGTCACCCACTGGGTGCCATCCCATGCCATGGCATGCACGCCATGGCTGGCGAAAAGGAAATCAATCCACTGTGCGCGCTCGTGATGACAATACCTCGTGCGCTATTGGACCACGATCTCACCCCTCCCAATGCGCGACCTGGCTTCACCTGCATCCCACGGGTGGGAAGGGGGGTGGTCATGTGGCACTTTGGGTCGTTCTCTTTCAGTCCATCAAACGGCATTGGATGGTCGGAGGCCACACTGTTTGCCTGCTTGACCTCCCTCTGGGGCCGTTTTATCACCTTTCGTTCGCCTAGTCGCTCGGGTGAACAAGTTCGGATGGGTGCGTGCATATGCACATGCATGCCACGCCGGATGTTCCAATCGGAAGGCTGCTGTTCCACGCCATACAGCAAACGCACACATGCAATGCATGAACGTCCAAACAAACCAGCCAGCCAGCCAGTCAGTCAGTCAGTCAGTCAGACAGGCAGGCAGGACAAACCATCCATCCGTGTAGCCGTCATAGATAGACACATGACGTAAGAACGGAAAAGGGAGGGAAACTCTAGACGATATCAGATCAAGACTGGTGAGATAAATCTAGTCGAGAGGATCTAATCTGATGAGGCGAAGCTCCGGTTTCGGCTCTCGTGGGAGCATTTGTTGTTCTCCTTAAGTATTATGGAGATATATAGAGAGAGAGACACACACGCATTATGCACAGCGAGGGAGAGAAAGGTGATAATAAGAAGGGAAGAAGAGTAAAGTATTAATAGCAAGGGAAGGGCGAGACGAAGGGATGGAACTGAGGATGCAAAGGCCTTGTAGATTAATATAAAAAGAAAGAAAGCCAGCAGCAGGAGGAAGAAAAGGGTATATAAATGTGCTTGGAAGGAGTGAGTGTACATATACGACTAACAAAAGGCACGTCGAAGAACGAGAGGTATAGTCACGGAATGTGCAGTCCTTTCCCTCCTGTCGTCTTTCGCGTAGACGAGACCAAAGGAGAAAAGGAGGGAAAGCCTTGGAAGCGGGAATAACTGGGAACTTTAGGACTCGTTATTTCATGTTTGGATGGAACTTGGACCTGGCATTTCCACCTCTGGTACGAGTAAGATAACTAGTCGTAGTTCATTCCCCCTTCCTCCCTTCCCCCCTCTCTCTCTCTTGCTCTCTGCCTGCACGTATCTATCCTGGGACCAATGCACCCTGTGATTCCAGGGCATCTGTGACTGCCCGGGATTCACGATGATGTCCTCCAAATTGACGGCATTGCCGCTGCAGTCACCGGCAAAGCTCATCCCGTCATCGTCATCGTCATGGTGACTGTCCACCTCCGTCGAGAAAGCGTTTCGCGGATTGCACCCAATCCGGCGAATTTAGAGACTGTAGATGAATTCCGGGTTCTCCTTGTCGGTCAGATCAAGCCATCTGCACAAATGTGGACGTTAGCTGTTGGATCACTTGGATGTCGTTGGGAACGACGGAAGTAGGAAGTGGAGGAAGAGACATGGAGGCGAAAAAGTGAAGTGACAACTTACTCCTGGTTCTCCAGCTTGACATATCCAGGCTCGGCCCGTTCAATCTCCTTCTTCTTGTTCATCCGCTTGCAATACCACCAGATGAAAGCGAGATCAACCAGGCACGCGCCCCAGCAAACGATGATGGTAATCTCTGCAGGGCGATACTCTGGAGCATCTGATGGGCGGAAGACCTGGGGCCCGATGATATTACCGACGCAGTATCCAATGAGATACAAGGCAGCCACCGTGGTCTTCTTGGTGTAGCCCGCAACGTTGGTAGAGATGAGCGAGAGCAAGGCCACAAAGGGGGTCGGCGACGCTTGAGTGAGATAATACCCCGCGAGCCGGCCTCCGTCCTTGTCCAGAGGGAGGGCAACGATGAGAATCATCCCAATCAGTGCAACGCATAAGCCACCCATAGAGACCAGAAGGCGCTGACCGATACGATCGCCGAGCCAACCACAAAACATGAGGGAGACGACTTCGACCGCGCCACCGGGGGTGCCGTACAGCAGAGATTGCTCGGGCGTATAGCCAAAGGAAACAATCTAACACCATACAATTAGAAGAGCGCGAAAAAGGGATTTGATGGAGTCTCAGGAATAAGGCAGGAAACACCAACCAGTTGTGAAAAGAAGTTGCTGATGCCTCCGTTGGGGATATCCGCAGTCAGGGCGTAAAAGGTAAACGCCCAGGTCAATGGGTCCAACAGAGCTTCCTTCAATTGATACCATTTGAAGTGCTTGTTGCCGATGCCCTGCTGATTTATTCTCACTCTCTCGATGGCCAACACTCGATCTCGAGGCTTCAACCACCGTGCGTTGAGCTGGTTGTCCGGCATGACGAAGAAAAACACAACGCCCAGCACCGCGGTCAGGCATCCGTTGACGAGGAAGACGATTTTCCAGGGCGCGATGGCGGTCCCGTGCTTGCGAGCCCCGACAGCAATGCCATAAGCGACAAGACCGCCAAAGATCTGTCCGAAGCCGTTGAATGAAAACCAGAATCCCGTGCGTGTGCCTTGTTCGCGCTTCGTGTACCACTGAGAAGTGAACAGGGCGAAACCTGGAGTGACAGCGGACTCCATCACACCCAGAAAGACTAAGATTATCGTTAGATTGAGCTATGGTTCGCAATGGGTCGAGATAGAGTATCAGAAAAAAGCACACATACATCGTATAGCAACAGCGCCGCCAAAGTTGGTGACTGTGGCAAACAATGCCAGAACCACGCCCCAAGCCACGACACAGAAGGCCGAATATTTGGCAAGCGGCAGACTCTGCAACAGTCGGTTTGTGGGATACTCCCAAGCCAGGTAGCCAAAGTAGAACATGCTGGAGAGCCACTGGTAGTCGTCGCCCACAAGGTTGATGTCCGTCTTGATGCCCATGATACTGGCATAGGATAGGGTCGTCTTGTCGAGGTAATTCAACCCGTAGATGACACAGAGCAGTGGCATCAGATGCCAGTCAATGATGCGCAGGAGCCGCTTGTTGGTGGCCTCGTCAATCTCCACCACTTCGCCCGAGGCGAACGCCTTCATCGCTTCGTCGGCATCGTTACTGTGCTCAAGGATTTTCTTCGCCGCGGCGGCAGAAGAAACCGAAGCCCGCCGCTCCTCTATGTTCACAGGAGAAACGGAGCGGCCACCCGGAAGTTTCTGGATGGTGACAGACTTCTCGTTCTCTTCAATGTCGCCCATGGTCGCTGTCGACGAAGGATGATGACGGAAGGATCGAGTCGAGGTGGGAGGGACAGCAATGTAACACGAGAATGAACAGAAGTACCGAATCTGTTACACCAAGCACTCGCGCCGTCGTGTAGCCTCTGTAAGGAGAAGCAGGGACATACAATAGAGTCTTGAAAGACCAGACATCAGCCAGAACAGAACACCGTTGATCTTTTAGCAATCAATGACAGAAGGATACTTTATCTCCCCGGGATGTCCACCGAGACAATCCCGACTGTGAAGTCGCGATCCCATTGATAGGCAGAGAGGAGAGGAATCCAAGGGACGTTGCATCAGAGATGAAGCAAAAGCCGGGGTTGGATAAGCAATTCCCGACGCGCATCTGGCAATGCTTCATCTTGCGAGGTGGGATTGCATCAATCAAAAGGTCGAGATGCAAAAGAGGGTCGAGAGCGGGGGACAAATGGGAACAGCCATAGTGCAAAGCGTGTATGGAGCTCCCCGTGGATGGATAGAGATAGGAAGGAGGAGGACGATCGCCATTGATAGTTGGAAGCGACGTCAATGGCGCTCTGGTGCCAAGTGGGATCTTCATGTGTACTCTAAGCCGCTTCAGGAAGGTATGGACCAGCCGGGACCAAGTCGATCAGTCGACCAGTCTGTAGGGTGGCCAGACAGCAGATAAAGTGGCCCTGGGAGCGGCAAATTTCCACGCGATATCTCGTGGCATTTGCATCCGAAACCACGCGGACAAGTCCTTCCGCTGGAACAAGGGCGATGATAGGGTTTCAAGAGGAGAACATCATAAATCGTGTATATAGACCATGGTCTTCCGAGGCACGTCTCACATACTGCCCTCTCTACATTGACCTCTTTCCGTAAGGCTCAAAAGGCATAATCACGGCCACGATCGCCTGCACTGCTTGTCAGTACCTCGTTTAACATGCATTTGCGTAAAACGACATCCACTTACCATGGCGATGTACAGAGATGCACATATATAGATGGGAGCGCTGGTGGCGGTATTGGAATAGGCCGCCACAAAGGCACTCACAAGACCCATGACCCGATTGCAGCCGACTGCGATACCATTTCCCGTAGCTCTGTGGGCAGACGGCAAACTCTAAACAAGTCGTGAGTCTCCCCATCAATCAGATCTTTCAGCGTGGACCGGGCAGGACTTACCTCGGGGGTATACGCATAGAGCGTACCGTAGTACACGTTGACGAAGAAGTAAATGGCACATGTGAAACCTATATTTTGGGCCGGAGTGCGCACCGCAGTGTACGCGAAGAAGAACGCCATGGAGATCAGAGCTCCGATCACCATGGTATATCTTCGTCCCAGGAATTTCCAGTTGCACATGAAACCTGCAAGGACCGGCCCAAAGATGCCAACCGTATTCGTGATCATGTAGTTTCGCCACGTGTAGTATGCGCCGCTCTGACCGGTCTCAGCCCCACGACTCTCGAGGAACTGGGGCAAAAAGACGTAGAAGAGCGGATAGGCCAATCCTGACGAAACTGTTGTCAGCCTCAAGATTTGGGCACAAGGTGGGCGCCATCTCCTGCACTTACCGATCAAGGTCCAGGATAACCAGATCAGGGCAGTAGAGACTCCGAGTTTCTTTGTTTCGAAGAGGCCTCGCAGATGAGCCACAAACTCGGAAAACCCGTATCGCGATTTGCCATATGTGGATTTGATTGGGCCGCACGCCTCGAGCTGCTCAATCGTGAGCGAGCAAGGTCTGTTGTATTTGGCCGCAATTGAGTGAAAAGTGTTGACAACTTCCTGGTCTTGGCCCTTTGCCAGCAGGTATTTCGGAGTCTCCTTGAGCCGGATGACTGTGACACGGAGAATACTGAGAACGAAGACCAGCGCCCCGTTAGAATACCAGACATAACGCCATCCCTGATGACCAGTTGTTAGCAGGCATGAATTGTTCCAACAGGACGAGGAAAGGTACCATGTTATTGTGGTAGGTGCAAGTCGCATGACTTGTGCAATTGTATTTGGAGATGGAGAGAAACGGCCATGCGAAAGCTGCCGCGATCACCGGAGCGAGCCCCCACCAGCACGCCATCAGAGTGAGAAGCCATTGCTTGTTGCCAGGGAGGTATTCCAGGAAAACAGTCGTATCCAAGATCAAATTGCCTCCAGAACCGAACGCTGCCAACGCCGTGAAGGCTCCCAGAGCATACCAGTTCGGAGAGGCACCAGCAACGGTGGCAAAGATCGAGCAGCTGAACAGGGAGACATTGAAAGCGAATCGACGACCAATTACATCGGCACCTTTGAACGCGTCAGTAACGGACACTTGCCTCGAAATCTATCGGACCACCTACTCAATCCCCAGAACAACGCCCCAATCAACATGCCGCAGTATGCAGCCACGGTCAGACCATTCTTGAAGGAAGGATTAAATTCGAGTGCGGCTTGGCCAGAAGTGACTGATTGCAGCAGTAAAATCAAGGAGTCGGCTGCGTAGCCAAACCCATTGAGGAAGAAAAGCTTCAGGTGCATGTTAGTCCAGCCGATTTCGTCGATGGCCTATGCATGTTCAGTCAGCAACCATCGTATACAAGTTTATTTCCTCTGCACTCGGAACTCTTGAGGCATTTGCGTATATTTGGGGGACGACTCACATCGTTCACCAGGCGCATTTTCTTATCAAGAACAGGGTCGATATCGTTCATGGAGAAGATCTGGCCTTCAACCGTGTTCTCGTCGAGTGGCTGCACAGAGATACTGTGGCGCACTCTCTCGCTAAGAGAGTGATGGCGAGGATGGTCATCTTTCGCGTCGGCTTTGGTTTCCACCACCTCTTTTGTTGGATAATCGGTAGACATGACGGCTAGGTCTTGAATCTACAAAGGGGGATACCTGTAGGGCGACAATGTGGTATATAGCAACGTCGCAGACGGCTGGCCCTGTCAAAGGGCTGGCAACTCGAGGAACAAGGTGGCCTTTCCTCTCTTTTCCTGACGGACTGTTCGTTTCTATGCTCTCGTGTCGCACGGGGGAGAGATCAGAGTGACGGGTGAAGAAACACCATGGTAGAGATGCAGGGACAGCAGCAGCTTTATCAATTCGAAGAAGAACCCATGGGCTCGGGGTCGACGTGGGACCCTCTCCATATCCCTGCCAGTCGATTGGGAACTCTGTCTCTCGATTCGCACGAGGGAACGATCCTTCCCCGTCGCCGAGTTGACATCAAAGCTAGATGCTTTTAGCTCGAGCTGAGTGGGTGCTGTATGGGGAGAAGGAAAAAAACCAGCGTAACGATCAGCCAGACCTTATCGGATGGGCATACCTCGCTAGACCATTGAAGACACGCGACAAGCAATCCAAGGCACACGACGGGCGAGTTTTGTTGTAACGCTGCCGTCGATTTGCCCTGCTGCAGCCAATCCGAATCGCTAAGGCTGACGACAGCGACGAGCTGCGTATGACGAAAGAGCTGCGCCCGGTGGTTTGGAGGCGGCCGTGATGTAGATCTGGTGGCACCAGAGGAAAAGATGACCGCCCCAAGGGCCCGAGCGAGGCACCAAGACCTGCGTTGATTCGGTCACCTGCCCAGCGCGGGGGCAATGGCGGGGTGGCACTGACCCAGTGGGCGCGGCTTTAGGCCTGGAGTGGCCTAGGGCACCTGCAGCGAGCCTCAAGAACTGCAAAAGACAGTCAAGGTGTTGGTTAAAGGGCCCTGTAATAGGCTAGACTCGGTGCCTAGAAGCCTACGCTGGAGGGCAGCCTCGGCGGGAAGCACCGCGAAATCTTGTTCTCCTCGCATTTGCCTGTTTCGCTCTCCATTGCTGCCAGTCACCAATAGTCGCCCCCAGCATCAGCACGTGTATGGAGCGCAATAGAGAAGATAGACATCTTTCCCCTTCCTCTCCGACCACCTAAGCCGAGATTTGTTCGCAAAGGTTTTTCCAGGATGATGAAGGTAATGCTCGCATCTTTTATCATCAACAGAACGACAATAGACCTCCTGGCTGCGAATCTCGGAGGCAGGAAGGGCTTTTTTCTTGAGTGGCGCCGAGACACTTCGCAGCCTGAAAGGGTTTCTTCAGACGCTGTACCTCGGCCTGACACCATGCAGTAGAGCGTGGCCAAGCGATACGACCTTTTGATGTCTCAATGGCTTCGAATTGGACGGACGACAACCGATCACGCGGCCGCGTTAATACGACTGCAGGGGTATCTCAACGGCGGAAATCGCAATCAAAACTCCATTTCATCTCCTTTTTGGTTGCCATCAAACTCCGTCGCTAGCCCAAACGCTGCCGTGCTGTCTGATCCGAGATAACAACAACCTCTGTGATCCTGAAGTATCCAAAGGACGGGTCAGAAGAAGGGGGTCTCTCTTGTCGCCTGTGTCGATGCTCGCCTCGAAATCCTCCGACATCATATCTCATAATAGTAGTCATCATCCAGTCCTTCTCGGCTTGGAATCTCAGGACCATCCATTCCGTCCATCCCCTCCACAATCCCTTCCTCGTCATTGAATCGTACGTTCAGGAGCCGAACTTTCAGCCCATAGTCGCTGATCATGTGTATGAGACTATTGGTTTCTGCAGTGATGGGTTGTTGGTCCAAGAGCATCAGGAGTCCATCGAGCCATTCTGAAGCGAGATGGTGACTGTTGGGGTGGAAGGTAAGGAGGACCGATTCTTTAGACCCGTCCCGGGCTGAGGACGTCTTGGAGGGATTTCTCGAATGCCCTTCTCGGCTGCCACGAGATTTGGGCAGGTAGCCATGGATCGTGATCTTGTTCGTGGTGAACCGGTCATGTAGCAATTCTTTCAGCGTCGAGTCCGAGCCGATCGACGACCTGTCATTGGCCGTTACATTGGAAACCACAGATGATACAATCGAGAGATCGATCTTGTCCCGGAGACTTGCAGCGGACGGTGATTGCTCCTCCTTTTCGTCAAAGTCGCCCCAATGTAAGTATTTGCGGCTCTCCGAGAGCCTGACGAATCGATAGCCATGTGCCGTATTTTGAACCAAACTATCCTCCGTTACAGGCCCTCCACCTTCTTGATCCGTATATGTGCCGTTAGGAAACCATGCTCCAGCCAACAGGCACCGAATCCTCTGCTCCTTGACGAATTGCAGAGCTTCGGTTTGCAGCTCTTCCTTGACTCCACGAAGGTGCTGGCCCCAAACGTCTTCGTATGTTAGCTCCAAGAGTTCCATCTGCAGCTCACGAAGTTTGCCGTACTCAAAGGCCGCCATCTCTTTTTCAATATCTTCGATCCCTTTAGTGCGATCTGCTCCACCAACAACACTCTCTACCAAAATCCGGACCAGCTCGACAATTTTGGGGAAATCATCCACTTCAGCACCCGTTGCCTTCCATAGTCTGAAAAACGCATGCAATCCGGCAACATGTAAACGGCTCCAATGTAGCAACAACGGTTTGAAGACTTTGTCAAAATTGGTCCGGCTCTCCAGTGCGAGATAGCTTTTCGAATCCTCCAGATCCATCTTGTCTACTTCGAAATGCTCAAAGAGAATTGCCGTCAGCGTCAAACTTGCCCGGGCTAACGGACACCTTTGCTGCTCTGGCAGCACTGATTGTTCCAGAAGAATGTTCTGAAATTCATCCTGATATTTGCGGACGTAGTCGGAAAGATCCATCATCCCCAGGAACCCCATGTCCGCGAAATCTGGCTCCGGGTTCTCGCTGGTGAACCCGAGTCGTCTCCATTTGAGTGGATTGTGCTTTGGCTTGGATTCTCCGTTTCGAACCTCGTATTCGGTATGCTTTTCTGGATTGCTCGAGAGATGGACTGCTTTGATTGTCCGTCTGTGCTCAGGCTTGACCAGGTCCACCGGTACGTCTCTCCACCTTCTGAGCAATATTTTGGTCAGCGCTTGGAATTCAAGCAAGGGATGCGCCAAGTCCTGCAGCGCAGAACTCTGCATTAGCACGTATACTGCTTTGATGACTCCAAGATCTTGTATTCGTTTGATGAATTTCGGCCATTCAGTTTCATTGTCGTTTGTGATCGCGTCGCGCATGAGCGAATTGATCAATTGTAGGGCATTGGCGCAAAGAGCATGATCTGCGGAAGATAACCTGGTCACCAGCATCTCCAGAAACTGTGGATACACTGCAAGGGCCGGTTTCAAGGCTTGGAACCCGCCGGCGTTGTTATTCGTATTGATTTGGGAGGATCGATCGACATGGTATGGCCGGGAAACGATAGACACAAGTATTGCCATTGCGCCACGGAGAATGTTCACTAAAGGTTGGCAGACGACCAGTTCTACCACCTGGATCAAGAACGCGCAGTCAGTCGGTGGCGCCTTTTCCTCTTGAAGGTTTAGATGAGGGATATCTTGCCTTTTTGACAACCTGTTCATTGACAGCCTCCCAGCCTTGGTCGACCTCTAATAGTCTGGCAAAGCTGGCCAGACTGTATGCGAGGGTATTTCCGCTGCTTTCGAGGACGAGGGCGCGCAGCTGGGGCAGGCCGCCCGCAAGCACGAAATGTTCTGCGAAGGAAGGGTCGTTGATGAGCGACTGCAGCTTGAAAGCCGCCATTTTGCGGCTGGCATCGTCTGGACTAGACAGGCCCGTGAGCAGGTCCGCGAGGTTAGGGGTCAGAGTCGGGTTATTGGGATCCATCTTGGTCAGCTCCGACCAGACATGAGCTTTCGAAGGCAGTCGAGGAGTAGTAGTCACCGTGTCAGAAGGCAGGATGTAGACTTTGGATACGTCGCTATCATCGCCATACTGGGGTTTGCGCTGCCTGTCTGGTGTCAACGACAAGGTGGGTGCGCGTTGTTGATGGTGTCGACGGAAGGGGAGGGCGAATAGTGAGCGAGCCCAGGACGCATTGCTCGTGTGGCTGCTCAGGGAAATTTTGTTTGGCGATTGAGCGCCAGGTACCCGTGGCTCCCCGCTGGGGGCGAGCCAGTCAGGCTCACTAGGCCCGCTGGGCCCGGCTCCAGCTGATATAATAGAGTGGGCAGGGCCAGAAGCAGCCCCTTCTGGAGGCTGTACTTGACTGCGGAAGCGTGACCATGACGTCAACCAGGGCTTCTTTTTCAGTGTCGACTGAACCTCATCGCTCGCACTGCGAGAAGAGCTGCTGCTGCTGCATGAAACCCAATCAGAGGAGCTGTCTGAAGATGGACGCCGACGGTGAGACATGTTGGACTGTCAAGCACCCACAGGATTTGTGGTCTTGAAACGCCATACAGTTGACGGGAAAGGGAAATGGAAGTGGAAGATGTTGCTTGAGAAATCCAGCTTTAGGCGGCAGCAGACATAAATTGCTATCGACCGTCTAAGTGAAACATGCTGAACTGGTGGGCTTTAGGCGGCCCTCATGATCTACCATGGCACCTCAAGTTCCTGTGGTCAGGAGAAGTCGTTCAACTGAGCATTGGCCCTCTTCACCTTGACATCAATACTCAGGTCATATCTTTTGAGCATGTCGGGATTCTCCCTCCCTGGTTTCCAGCACATTTTTCCGGCTTGTAAGCGGAGCCCTCGGCCATATTGCTCTTCGGACACGGGGGTTGTCCAATCCTTGCCTTTCAAGCTTTCTTCTTTGTATCATCCTTCATATCCAAATTATCCTCTGGTATCTCAGGATACTTCTCCAGCAACCAGTCAAATAGATCATCGCTCACATCACCTTGCACGGTGATTTCCTCCCCTCCCGCCGCTGTCTTGGTGACACTGCTTCCCGTCGCGAATTTTTTGCCCAGCTCTTTGGCTATCTTTTTCAAATCCAAACCATGCTCCTCCAAGCCCGAGACCACTGTGACGTACTTCCGCTTGTTTCGTTCGACACGCTTTATCAGGACGATGGCTTCCGCTTTTCGTTCCGCCTCGCGCTGTTCGGCCGCCGCAGCTTTGGCAGTCTTTTTGGCAGCATCTTTTTCTGCTCTTTTCTGGGCATCGACGGAGAGAGCTGATAGGTTGGCGCTCAATGTTTCTGCGCCGTAGCCCTTGTTAGATCACCAGACAGATAGAGGTGACCGGGCTCCAAACCTTCCGAGTATAACTTCTGGTGCATGTCAGGGTGGTTCTTCTGTAGCCATTCTTCACACTTCTTGACCGTCCCGCCGAATTCACAATACTAAATGATTCGAAAGTCCGAGTTAGTTGTCCACCAGTCATACCATTCGAACTTTTGCGTTGAGACGCAGGTCGTACCTCGGGTGGAAGGGTGCACACTGTAGAGTTCCCAGTTTCAATATCAGCATCAATCCTCGATCCATAGGGGCTGTCCAGAAAACAATGAGTTCCCACCTCCGCAATAGACAACCTTTCTGGGAGAAGGTCCTACAGCAGCACCAGCACTGGGGCCTGGCGCTGGTGCGACCTCCGCCGACATCAGGATTTTAGGCTGAAACCCCACGATTAAGGTAGTCAAGTCACGCCTGTGGTTAATGATAGATTCCGCCGACACTGGTGTTGCATGTGGCTTGTCGCAAATAGTCTCGGCCAGTCATCAACCTGACACGGAAATGCCCAGTTGCACTCGCAGTTGGCAAGGGTGGTTGGTGGTGGTGGTGATGATGATGATGCAGCGGGAGGATGTTTGCCAAGCCATATACGGTAAATCTTCGGGTGGTGGGAACTGAGTAAATGTCACATGTCTGGGCGTCCAGCCGTTGCTGAATCCTACGATATTTGACTTCGCGCATTGACTCGCTGACCTGCATATCTTGACTGATTTTCACGTGCAATTTGCAAGGGCGTGTTCGAAATGCAGCATTCGTATGAAGACGGCAGGGATCCAGCCACTTGAGCTGATGCAGAGCTGTTGGGCCATGTCTCCGTTGTTATCAATATTTCCCCGGTGTTACGCAGCTTTATCTGACCACGCTCCTCCCGTTTCATCCAACTCATTCCTTTTCGGTTAAGTCATGAGGATTTATCTTTTGGCAAGGGCCCTGTCGCGGTCCTACAGAATTGATGTTCTCACTTCCCTGCCGAGACGCTGCAGTCTCGTATCGAGTCTGCTGGTGATATTGACGCTTAATGCCATAAGCATTGCCGACCGCGAGATTCTCCGCCGTTCCGCTCCCAAGCCACCTGCTCCTGGTGTTTGACACACGGTATGACAACTCACCAGAAGAATCGAACGGTAGGAGGCATAACTGGCCGATCGACGTGGATGACTGGTACTGTCTCCAGTTTTCCCATGCGAGGTCCACAACGGTTGTGATGAGAGAATTAACGGACGTGCATCAATCACTTGCAGATGGATCAAAATTTCTCCCTCCAGCCCCTGCAACGTATGAGACTTCCCATCAGCTGCTGTGGACTCCTCCACACAATCACATCTTGGGGCTCCTCAATGTCGACTTCGGTTGCCTGAGAGGTATTTTCTCCAGGCAGGTCTAGGTTTGAACGATTCCGAGGGGTTCAGATACAGTTGCCACAGCACACTATCTCTGGTTCCAGCACCCGCCACACGAAAGCCAAGGGTCGAGGCTTTCTAATACTGCATCAAGTAGGTTAGAGGACGGAACAAGTCGGCGAAGCCTCGCTTTATTCCTCCTTGGAGGCTGGATTCCTTTAGCAAATGCCATAATTGGTACCACCCTATTCCTTGTCCGCGTCCCGTCTCCAGCCTCGCCCCAGAACCCCTCACTCGTGGGTCAACTAAGACCATCTGAGTGCTTTTGATGGTGTCCTGCCAACAGCCTATGGGCTCAGGCGAATCGAGACATGTGAACATATCGAGAGTTGGGAGGTTAAGCCTCCACCCTGTGATGATATGCTAGGCAAAGTGGACTGTCGGGAACAAGGGAGCACTAAAGCGCCCGTGCCGGCCGGCAGTGGAGATCCAAACAACACATCAACGCTCCGGGAGAAAAGATATTGCAGCTGCTTGCAAAGCGATGTTCAATAGATGCATCTGGGAGAACAGGGATTCGCAAGAGTTTGAGCGTTGCACAAGGTTCGAGTGACATGCCGTCGTCAGAGTGGGCTCGCCAGGGGTGACAACCCCGTGGCACATTGTAATGTAGGTATTTCCTTGGGGAGTTCAGTCATTACGATTCTGTATGCCCGCGCAATGCGGAAAGTTTCACCCATATGTTCTTCGCTGACATGCCCTGAACGGCCAGCCCAAGGATCAAAGCGAGTCTCTTTAGCCTGTACCAGGAGCGGCCTTGCGAGCGCCTATCAATCAGCTTATATGGATCTAGAAAGCCCTGCAGCAGGGATCAACCTATCGATACTCGAAAGTCGTGATGGGACACCAGGGTCTCGCAGTCATCAACGGGAGGAACAAAGCCCTCTCAGCACGCTTCATCAATGCTGCAAACCTCGCTTGAACAGGGCTGGAGAGGGTGTGGTTTATCAAGGATCTCGCTCGACGCATCTGGGCCTTTCACTTGGGCATGCTCAAGACCCCGACATGTAGGTGTCCATGGGTTCGAACACAACATTTGCTTAGGGCCGCCGAACGAGACAAAGGCCATCGTAGGTTCACAGGGGTGGAAGACACAGTACTCTGACAACCAGCCGTGCTGCCATCGACGAATGCGAACCCTCTCTAAATGATCTGCCTTCGTAGAAGGGTCTTTTGTCTCAGCATCTGTCGTTTCTTGATCGCCCTTTTGGAGATCCTTTAGCAAGGCCTTATCAGCGAACATTTCTCGTCATCATTAGCAGGAGTTTAGTTTAGGTGAAGTTTTGTCCGTGAATAAACCGTCAACCGACAAACTCATCCACGGCACGGAAATGGCAGTGATGTTCCAAAAGTCTGTGCATATATCCCTCATCTGTGGCGAGGGAGGCAAGCGAGGCGATGAAATGTTTTTGGCTAGGAGGGTGGTGAGGCTTGATTTGGCCTTATCCTCGGTCAACGGCTCGGGCTCGTGGATGACGGTACTGCAAGGTTGTTCAATCCTTGTCCCGGGCTGATTGAGCATCGAGGCAGGATGCCCATCTTCCGACCGCAAGCCCGGCCAGAAAGGTGGACAGAGAAGCAACCAATTAGAACCGCTCTTGGTGAGGTGCGCTGCGAGTTTGAGCACCGGAATGGTCAGATAGTTGAAACGCAAAGAGGTGCACTCGAGCAGGCAAGAGATGCACTATCCCTGCAAGCCGCTGAAGTGGATAATGTGCATGTTCCAGGCAATGGACCCTTTTTGGATTTAGCAAGCGGAGATGCCCTCGGTGTTCAAGGTCCTTTAGATCTTGTCCTTCTGGACGGCTTTATACGACCGCCGCGAAGGAATGCTATGCACTGAGGTGCGGTATTCCATCCAGTTCGTCGCCTGAAGTGTGATATCGAAGGGATTGGGCCTAAACATGGATAAGAAGAGGGCTACTGTGCCGCGCTGAAGTCTTAGCGGGAGCAGTATCAGGAAATTTTCGGGTGGCGCATCCGTAGCTGTGGCTCATGGTTGCGACGCAGAGTGGGATGCATAGCGGGTGGACCATTGATAAAATTTCATAGCTCTAGGTAGCCTGTGGTGGTCGACGGAAAGGGGGAGATGGATCAGGCCAGGTTATGTTTAGATGATTCTCAACACGAGAAAAGTGGTGCGACCCCAGGCTTCATCAGCTTAGCCAAGTCATCCTCACCGCGGGCTCCCGTCGACATCTCAACACAAAGAGCAGCAGCAACCATAGGCAAGTTCCATCTTGTCCAATTGGATACAATGGTTTGGATGAATTATCCGAAGAAAGGATTCGGGTGAGTGGCTTGCAGGTGTGCGCCGCATCATCAGTGGGAGGGACGTGGGATGTTGCGTCTTGGTTGCAGGGGGAGCCGAGTGCTCACGATGGAGGGTGAGGGAGGGGTACAGAGACCCGGATACCAAGGATCAAGCAACCAGCATTGAAGCGGGGAAAGAGAAAGGATTGTGAGTCAGAGAATGAAAAGACAAGGGAGAAGTGAGGACGCTATCAATGCATCTTCGATGTCGTATTGACTGGGGGTGATTGAGTTGACTGAATTGACAGCTGGCAATGGCATCACAAATGACAGCGAGGAATAGCAGATTCTGGCAGACAAGCCATGTCCGCAGATGGGAATTCCCGCGCTCAGCTAATCATACTCGATCTGATCTGCGATGTGAGCACAACCTAAAAAATACCTCGCGCCTAAGCGAAAGTTATATGGGACCAGAGGTACCGATTTCTTACTCGGGTCTTGATTGCTCAACCGCATCTACTTCGGAAGACTATTCCCCGCCAGTGATGATTGGCTTACGAGAGGTCGTCATCGTCATTTCACTCCTCATCTTACTCGCACCCTCTTTAATTGCCCCTGTCTGACTGAGCAATTATAGGGACAGCCACTCCCAGCTTCTCGATGGGCAATTCTCGCCTCGGACAAAGGCTCGCTGATATTCGCTACGAGTACGGAGTACAGTACGATGCACCTATCTCTTTGTCTGTGGCTGGTCGCTACCGCCCTACGCCCACGTCTCATTTTGCCTCCAGCCCTGATGCATGATGGCATTATCTAACCACCGGCCGGCTCATTTTAGGGGCCTTTTCATGCTCCCTCCCACGCGTCCAAGTTTGTTTAGGCTGCTTTTCTGCCATGAGACTGAACCCTGCAGCATCAGTCATCTCCGACCAGTGCCAGGCCACTCAGATCGCGGCCTGCCCATCTACCTTGGCTGGACAGGTGGGAGGGTATGCAACTCAAATCAACTTTTTTGGGCAAGCCTCCAGAGTCGGGTCCCCCGGACAATCACCCAGGCCCAGGCCTGTGCTTGGAAGGATTTGCACGTAGCTGCACGGGCGTTCGGGAAGCCGACCAAGTCTCCCTCTTCTCTCGCCCGTAGTTGGTCTGCTGCCAAAAAGGGCTCCACCGTTCGCCGCGGGTACTCCAACAATTATCGTCTTTGTCGCCTCCCACCCGGGGCCCTAAGCACCTAACGTCTGAACTACTAGGCCTTTTGGCAGTTTGGTGGCACCTAAGCAGGACCACCCACCCCCTGGCCATTTCAGGTGGGCAGGTGGGCATAGCGCCGCTAAGGATAGTCGGTAACCCCTCGCTCTGATCGAATCCTTCGAGACTCTGTCCCTCCTCCAGGTCGATTCCCCCACTCCAGTCTGCAGTCTGCCCACAGTTTCCACGCTCATTCATTTTTTCCATCCATCCACACAGCCGCGACATACATCTCGCTACAACCTCTGAAACTCCACACCTCTGCTTCCACACATCTTTCAACGCCTCTTCTTCTGTTCTCGCTTCCAACGTCAAACCTGCACATCCATGCCGCTTGATCCTCGATCTCTTCTCCTCTCAACCCTCTGTGCGTCCTCGCAGATCATTCTAAATCGCTCGTCGTCCGCCCTAAGCGCACCCCCGCGGGCGCTTTACCCTTCTACCATTCACACTCCCAATTGCCGTCATATTCTAGTCCTATACTAGGCTGTCCAGCAATTCGTTGATTTGCGTAACCTGTCGAAGAAATCTCCTCAGTTCAGAGACCTGCCGTCGGGATACAAGCTCAGCAAACTCTGCCGACAGAAAAGACGTGGGACAACCTGCCCACCGGACGACCCTCCTCCTTCGGTCTTCAATTCTGAATCTATACCGACCTGATCTACGCCACTTATCTACTTTGTCTAGCATTTCTCCCACCCAGGCCGACCGCCTCAACATCAAGGAAGCCCGACCAAAAGGCTCATGAAGTACCACTCATGACGACCGTTCTACAGGCTCCTCTTGCTGGGGCCTCGCATTTCTCGTCGAGCACCATACACTCCAGCTCATATCCAGATCTCTCCTCTCTAGACTCCTCAATATCTTTCGACGAACCCCAATCCCAAACCTCCCATTACTCTCGCCACGACTATGACAAAGTATATTCTGACTCCGGCCCCTCGACCGCACCTTCTTCCCCTCAATTGACCTATTCCTCGCGTCGGGACTCTAATGCCTCAACGCCCGCGAGCTGCTTGTCCCTGGATCACAGGGACATGATGGACGAAGATGACGACATGGCATTCCCTGCCTTTGGGGCCTCTGACGTGGGCAGCAAACCAGGTCAAGACAGTCCTGTCTCGGGCGGGCAACATCCTGATATCACAACGCAGATACCGACTCCTCCCACAGACGATACTGCTCTTACGGGGAGAACAACTCAGGACGACCAATCAATAGAAGCGGAACCCACGAGACACGTTGATTACCTCTCTCACGAATGGAAAGAGGAAGAGATCTGGAGGTCATGGAGCTACGTGGTTCACAGGCGCGGCGGTCTCACCAATGGCACCCGGCTCGAGAATGCTTCTTGGAGGTCGTGGACGAAGGCTAAAAATCACCTCAAGACGGTCTCGCCGGAGACTCTCAACTGGCTGAAGGACTGTGACGTGACATGGCTGTACGGCCCGCTGCAAACGAACGGGAGTGTCTCTCAATCCATGAACAACACGTCTCCTCCGCCCAGCAGGTTATCTCATTCATCCTCCTTCATCTCCAAAAAGCCCATTCTCAAAAAGAAGTCGGCATCGGCTGTGATCTTGGAACGGTCGAGGTCACAACATTCTCTGCTACAGCGAGCTGGGGATATCATCAGGATACAACAGTCCAGTCCCGCCAACGGACGTCCTATTCTGAGACGAGGCAATTCTGAGTTTGTTTTACCGCGCTATGATAGTTCGGTGGTCAACACCCCCGCTGAACACGAGACGCCTGGCTTCAATGGGCCGCGATCTTCTTTCGCTTTTGACGTCCCGACCCCTTCTGAGTGTAAGCACGTTTTGTTTGACGAAGAGGTCAGGCAAGTGCAGGCTATTGATTCCGAGGATGATGACAAGCCTGACGAAGAAGACGCAATTCTCGAGGATGATGAGGACGATGATTGTGGCTTGATGATGGCCCCGGCTCAAAGATCGGGACGGGGCAGCGGTCGAACTACGCCCCGTGGCAGTTTCAGCAACGAGTCAAAGACCATCGTGCCATTACCCTCCACTACGTTGAAGTACAGGACTGACACCCCCGAGCCTCATGAGACGCCTAACGTCCCAAATGGATTTTGGCCCAATGGACGAAAGCTTTCACCCTCACCATCCCAAGAGACCTTGCGGCCTCCTCGGCCGAACCAGAATTTCCTTATTGATGATGATCCGGAAGTGGTGGATGAGCCATGGCAACCACAATCTTCATTTGGGGACGAACGGTCCCCTTACGACGAAGAGGATGACGACGACGATGGTCACCCGACGATGAGACGCACGGAATCCGGCATGTTTATGCCATACGACGAGAATGAGGACGAGGTGGCCATGAACAACACCCTATTTGGGCAAGCCATGTATGCCGTGAACACTTTTAGGGATATTGCCCATGTGGTATGGAATGTGGGCTGGAACCGAAGATAAAATTGCTCTACGACCATATCTGAGCGGGAGGAAAAAATTGGCAATGTTTTGTCCCAGCAGCATAGCGCGGCGTTTTTGGGAAATTTTACAACATGACGACCCTAATGACGGTACCAAGCTGGAAGCGCCCCAGGCCTCTACGATGAGGTTCACAGGACCACAACTTGGCCGGAAACTGAACATGGAATCTTGGAACACTCTACCTCAGAGTCAGGTGACCGCAACAATCTGGGAGATACGCGCAGCCTTGTAAATATGAAGATGGCGGGGGTGGGCGATTTGGATCGGAGGAACTCGGACAAGGCTGGGTGACTGAGATAGGATTCTGGCGAAACATATAGACGGCTGGCTAGCGGTACCAATAGAAGAGAAGGTGAAACCTATGTCCGAGAGACATGAGCAGGCTGCGGGGAGAGAGACGACGTCGGGAGAAACCGCAGACGAGGGTGGCGCGAGTGCCATTGCGCTGTACTCACCGAGCAACCACCAACAGAAGCTTGCTTGCTCTGGAGGACGCTCGGGCCTCGGTTTCCCAAGGCGATCAAGCACGCCAACATGGCTTCTGCCAACAAGGGTGGCGAAGGGATGATGAGGGATAGTCGCATTACTCGATAGCAAACTATGAACAGAGAGGAATGCATGATGTGCCGCAGAGTTGATTTGGCTCGGATCAGATGGAATGCTGATTGGCGGTTGGTCCAGACTGATGCTCCTGCCCGAATTGGCATTTCTAGACTTTTTGATTTGTCTATCTCGGGATGCCCTAGGCCTGATTGTGCCTCTCTGTCCATTGGTCACTCTGCTTACAGTAGCGCCCACGCCGCCGTTCCAGTTATTGCGGGGAAAAGGGTGCACGACAAGCGCAACAGGTTGGTCACATAGCACACGATGACGGTGCCGGTTTGTGCTACCATCGGCAGAAGATAAGAGCCACATTGGTGACATTGAACTCTAACTCACTCATCCTGGCAGGGGTAGGACGGAAGACAAGGGTTTTGCGGAGGATCATCGCCTGCAATCGAGAAAGCTCGTACGTAATGAGATCAACAGGCACGCAACACATCAGGAGAGGACGACGAGACGTTCGGGGCGTTGAGGCTGATCGTGGTGTCACCACATGCAGTGCTATTCTTCTTAGTTGCAAGGGAGGCGTCGAGATGGGTCCCGTTTGCGCCTTCACATGTTCGACCGACGAGACAAAGCCCCCAGCTCCGGCCAGCTCAGCCCAGCGCTCAATGGACGGGTGTCTCGACGGTTGGGTCGTGATTGGCGATTGAGACCCTGGACAGCGGCGACATTCTTTGAAAACTTGCCCTGCTCAGGCAAAACAACTCATGCAAGACATCGCGATGGCGAAATATGGCACCACCGCCGCCACGAACATCGAGCAATGACTGAAAGAGGTCCTTTTGGGAACCTCTCGACTAACTTTTCACAGCTTCTCCCCTTGCCAGGTTGAGGTTTGTCTCACCACACCATACAACACAAAGGTACGCTCCTCCCTCCCCTGCACCTCCCCGCCGGAGTATTTCTTACCAACTCATGGGTCGTTGGCACGACATTTGTCGCCAACCACCGACGAGATGAGGCCAGGGGGGGAAAATTCCATGATGATCGCGATGTTTGATGATGTCGCGATCGACAAGTGCCCACGAGGGAACAGGCCGCGGTGCCGTCTTTGTTCCCTCCCTTCCTCCACCGCTACGCGAGCCAAGGTTGACTATGCACAATCCACTGCATCTCCCTCCTTCCGAGCCAAAACTATATCGAGAGGGCAAATCTGGAATGGAAAACCTCTTGGGCCAAATTTTCTTGTCTCAGGCCGGGGTTGTGATGTCCCCGCCCCATTGCTGGACCCATGGGGGAAAGGGAGGCAGGTCATCGCGAGGAGGCGGCGGCAGTTTCTTCCACCTGGAACCCAGCCGGGTCTTTTGAGAGGATGGAGGAGACGGAATACGTAGACCAATGGACCTACTGTAAGAGTTTCGATCTTTCACACATCGGGCAGCTTGAGCCCCAGACAAGACGCGCAACGAGGACAATGGAAGGACAAACATAGATAACTACCCATAAACGGAATTTCTCTTTCTCTCGCGCATGTTTTGGCGCCCAGTTCGACCACACAACTGCATACACACATACGTGTTCCTCATGCCCATGCCGTCTGGGCATCTTGTCTTCCCTTATGTACATATTTAGCGGGGCATTAGCATATACTTATTTTACTTTACTTGCTCAACGACAACGAGAAGCACATGCAAATGTTCTCTCTTGTAACACCCTCGGCGGCCCCCACCACCCCCACTCTTGTCGATGTTTCGCAGATTTCTCTTTGTTCCATGCGATTTCAGCTCCTTTTCCACGAGAAACATCCTTGTGCCGTCCGTCATCATTGAGCCTGTACGTACGTACGGTACACGGGGCTGGCTCTACGTATGGCCCGTGGGTACTCACTCAGGCCACGAAAGGACACACGACAGGTTGCCTGGAGGCTGGTGGTGGGGGTCCGTCCCTCATGTCACCAACGTTGCCACGAGTACATGATACATGGATTGCTCTCACCTGGACCTCCCCCCCAAAAGATGTTCGATCAAAGCACAAAGCAGAAGAATGACCCTGGAAACTCCACCCCGTGGGCTGCCTCGGTGGGCACAACACAAAAGGAAAAACCCCCTCCCGGAATGGGCTGGCTTGATTTATTCTGGTCGGAGAGGGGGACTGTAGGTACTCGCGGGGAGGGATGCTACGAGGACAAGAAAACCATGCACGAAGTGCAATGCCATACGATTGACGTCCAGAAAATGAAAACAGCTTTGGATGAGATCTCTGGCTCTGCGCTACACCCCCGTCCCCTTTGCTCTCTTTGCTCGTCGCCCATGCCAACCAACCCTGCATGCTTTTACATACCCGCTGCCCCAAGACATGTCTGTGGCGGATGTGTGTACATGGCTTGTCGTTCTGTCTGGGCGTGCGGCCCCAAAACAGAAAAAAGGGCAAGGAAAGCGGTTCACCTCTCGCTCTCTCTCCAGCCACCGGAACCGGAGCCGGACTCGGGTTCATGGATTCCCAACGGAACAGGTGTAGGTCGACCTACAGTATATCGATGCATGCACATAGCCGATTTGGGAGAGAGGGGAGGAAGGTATCAAATATGGTAGGTGCATACCTCGCCTAGCAAGAGCAGCGTCTGCTCGTAGCGACATGATATTTAGCTAGTGGTAGGAGAAGTGAGTTGGCGAATTCCCCTAGCGCAACGCCGATGCTGCTGCTGCTGCTGCTGCTATTGCCCTCGAGCCATGGGTTCGGCCGTGACGGACTAACCGTGACTACGCTACCGAGGGATAGGATACACGACGACGACTACGACGACGACGACGATGATGAAATGTGGTGCATGGCTTCCAGTCCGCCAAGTCAAAACGCCAGATCGCGTCGCACGCGTCGCGTAGGCCTCGAATGGAGAGAGGGGGGATCCGCGTCACGAGCTATCACTTCGTCCTCCATCCTCCGTACCACCTGCGAGGATGTCCTGCGGAGCTGTTACAGATGTGCATACACACTACGGAGACCCCCTCTGCGATTGCCACAGGAGTTGGCTTGCTGGCTGGCTGACGCAGCAAGCAAAATGGGAATTTTGTTACATGGCTGAAAACTTTGGTCGAGATTATTGCAAGACATTGGGGGCGGGTATGTGCTCCGGGTAGTTAGTTACGAGATGGGTGAATGAGTGGGTGAGTGGTTGAGTGGGTGGTGCCGACGCTTTGGACGAGACGCAGGCTGGAACCGCGTCTGTACCCACTCGCATTGACTTGCTGTGTCTACTGCATGTATGTATGTATGTATGTATTATGTAGGAGTAAGTTGCCGAGTGCCTACATACGCAGTCGGTACATACCGATCCTCGTGCAGGGAGGGAAGGCGGAATAGCGAAACACTCGATCCAGTCGATCAAACCACCACCCTACTCATGCGCGCTGCTCGTTCCGGAGGGAGGGAGGATAAGGGCGCGTAGGCGTACATAGGTGACGAGCGGAATATCGGTCAGTGGATATCAGTCACTTCTCGGAGGTTTCCACAGTCTTTTTTCCTGTGTGAGAGAGAAGGTTTATTGATTGACTGGCTGATTGATAGCTAGGATGGGGTGGGTGGAGTCCGGGTTGAACGACGAGTACATGTGGACAGTAGACAAGATAAAAAATGGTTAAAAAAAGGATGCTCGAGGCTGGCTGACTGACTTGACGGACTGACGCTGATCGTCCCGTAGTTTTTGATACTCGTGTAGTGTGAGTTGCCGATGGTGTTGATAGACAAAGCTGCACATGGTACATATCGGCATCAGGCCACAGGGGACTGGGGGGAGTGATGTGATCGCCAGGCGGATAGTAGTAGTACATAGACTGCTCCGGGATGACCCAGCTGGTGCCAGCAATTGAGTCGACTACTGCGTAAGTTCCCACATTCCAAAGCCATATCACCGCGTCTGCTGCATAGAGGCGAAAGCAGACAACACGAAGCCCTTTTGCACCACGACGAGAAGAAGAAGAAAGGGGCCACCACAAGGTGGATGCAGGGCGAGAGTCAACCGGAATGGATGGATGATGAATGAATGAATGAATGAATGAACGAATCAGTAATTTTGCTTTCTTCTTTCTCTCACTCGACTTCTCTCTCATCTATTACCCGGTCTTCGCCATGCCCGTACCCATCCATCAGCTCTGGTTGATGATAACACTTACTTCATCGAGGCCGTTAGGCCCCATTCCCCCCCTCCCTTCTTTACCCGCCTGCCTGTTTACGATTGCATTGCCAACAAATCTATCAGGATGGGTGGGTGGAACAATCGACAGGAAGATGATGATGGAGCGTATCCCTATCTACCTCCTGTATCCATCAGGGCAGGCTAAGCGAATGAATTGGTGATGAGATAGATATGCTTGCTTGCTTGCATTATCGAAGAGATGGCGGTGAGCAAAGTAAAGCCGACGTGGGAATTTCTTCGCTTGCTTGTTTGGTTTGGAACAGCTCGGGAACTACGGTCGATTTCTCGATGGATTGGTTGATTGACTGAATGACTGATAACGTATGTCACCCCTGCAACGACGTTTGGTGATCTACATACAGGAGATAGATAATGGCACCCGAGCTATTGCACGTGCAACAAGAGCAAACGTCGACAGGGTGGCTTGCATCCGTGGACGGCGGCGCCGCTCGATGCGTTCGCTTTGCTCCTCTCTTCCGTACTCGCATGGGAAGGTCCTACTTAGGACAACCTCATGCTTCCTTATTTGGGCAGTCTGATACTGACTAGGTCGACCTCCGGCCCCGTTTTACCACCCACCATCCAACGGACAAGGGGGGTGAGGAGCGGCCAGGTGTCGAAGAGCTTGAACAGAGAAGATTCTGTAAGCATCCGCATTGTCTGTCTACATTTTTCTCTCTGGAATGCAACCGCCGCCCTGGGCGTCGACGACTGGCTGACGAATTTGGATGTTTGTTTGCTTGATCATGTTGGTGTGCCTTTTGTGTCTTTTGAGTCTTGAAGGATCCTTGTGATTCCTAACCTTGGCCCCCCTTTCTTTGTGTTCGTACACATTGTACCGTCATCTTGAAGTCAGCATATGCAAAACAGCAAGGAAATACAGCAGCACCTGTGCAATTGAAACATTTTATTATTCCTCTGTGCTATGCAAAGTGCAGCGTCCTGTTATCCAGGACCCGGCTCCTGTCCCTCCTTTTGACACACAAGCGCCATGCTCGAAATCCATGTACACGCTCCATTATGCTCCCACGAGACCTGTACTGAGCAATTAGATGCCACTCGACCTCACCGAAAGATCTTCTTCCTCTGTCAAAGTCAATACAGCGGTACAGGACAAAAATTGAAGCCCCAGTCCGAGCAGAGATGCTATAAACACAGACATCTGAAAGGGTATATCCACGTGCTGGTGATGTGGATGCCAAGATTGTACAAGAGGATCGGACTCCAGCTCTGGAATTCGTCTCCGGAGGACACACTCTACAAGACTGCGATCAATCCAACTGCCATGGCGAGCATGCCTCCCTGGACCTTCAAGCTGCCAGCCCCGTTGCTGTTGGAATCTGGGGCTGATGTGGTCTCAGATGGGACAGAAGAGCTCGTTGTCGAGGTCACCTGCTGAGAGCTGGTGCTGCTTGCCGAACTCTCGCTACTGCTACTGCTGCTCGCAGAGCTTGTGGCGGAGGTGGTGGAGCTATCGGTGGTGCTGATTGTTGCAGAGTCCGTGCTCGTGCCAGATGAGGTATCGGTACTGCTGCCAGAGGTAATCGAGGCGGTGGCGGTGACGGAACCGGTGACCACTCCAGTGGCTGTACCGGTTGCACCTTGGATGCCGAAGTTAGGGGAGAAATTAATATTGTTTGGGTTCGTGTCATCGATGATCTCGATGGTGTAAACGTGAGAGTTGACGTCCTCCGCAGGAGGAATCTGAAGGGTTGCCGTCAAGGCAGAGGCAGGGATGCCGGCTACACTCAGGTAAGCAGGTATTCAGAATACTCCAGGACAGTCAAAGTGATCACATACATGCGAGGATTGCACCAGAATCGGGAGTAATAGGATCTTGCTGCAGCTTGATGGTAACAGTGCCGCTTGAAGGATTGGTCCATTCGATAGTAAGGGGCTGGCCTGCGGTCACGTCCAAAGTGCCCTGGCCACCAGGAATGCTGATTGCATTGTTCTGCTGTGCGGATGCGACAACTGCGCAAAGCGCAGCGGCCAACACGTGAGCGAAACGCATATTTGCCTTTAGGGAGATTGAAAGGCGGGAGAATAAGCTGAAGCCGATGGATGAAGCGCGATGCCTGTAAGGGATGGCTCACGGGGAGAGGAACTCGGGGACGCGGTGGAGATGAGTCGCACAGATGTTAACACAAGAGTGACAGCGAAGATATAAGCAGGAGAAAGACTTTTTTCTGCTGTGGGAGAAGTATGGTGTCAGTAGACGACCAAAATAAAATCAAGGAGTGCGCAGGGAAAAAACCGCAGATGTTGATTGACTGCTTGTTTGAGACATTGACACGGGGTTTCTTCAGCCGCGCCGTCGCGTTGGCTGGAGGGTTGCGATGCCAATGATGCCACCCGTGCTAAGGGAGCCTGCCGCGACACACCAGGCACCTTCGGGAGCCCAGTTTCGGCCACTTAGCGCCCAGACTAGAAGCTTTGCAGCTCTGGCAACCTCCCAACGCACGAGCACGTTAGGGAGGCCTAACTGGTTGTGGAATAGGGGTGTCCATCTCCCCCATCTTCCCCCCTGCTTCCTCAGCCTCGATTTGAGCGTCGCCCTCCTCAACCACCGCCACCCTCTACCAGAGGCAGCCACTACCACCACTCGGCTGCTGACTTTTCTCCCCGCATGGGACACCATCGATGGAACATTGTTCCAGGCACAGAGTTGTGGTTGGCTGCGGTGGCCAGCCGTGCTGTGCCGCGTCAGAGACCTGCAGATTCCTCTGGTGCCTCTGCACTGTTAAGTATTCATCTTTGCGAGCTGAATAGGGTGTGCATGCTCTTGCCCTCCTGAGGGAATAATACGAGCACAGGGCCGCCTTTGGGATATGTCAATATTGATGCAACCAGGAGACCACTAAAGTATCTGTTACAGCCTATTTCTTAATGTCCCTCGCTTCGTAGACCTTCTCTTCCCCTCAAACAACCACGGTGCCGTAGCAGGTTTGGCCTTGGACCAATAATGCCAACACCACCACCACCACCACCACCACCACCACCAGAGCCCCCTAACCAGGGCCCTTCCTCGTGCCAGCACGACATACGGGCACTGGTCGAATGAATGAATAATGACAGGCTGAACTCCCCCTTTCGAATTTTCTACTACTCTGCAGTCCACTCCCTACAGCCGTACGCTTCTAGCGGCAACCAAGCCCTCAGTACTCCGTACCCAAGTCGAGCCCCTTTTCACGAGCTTTTACCAGGGTGGTGACCCAGACCCAGGCATAGCTTGACACCGAACCCGTGTATCTGTATTTTCGCTCACTCGCTCACTCGCTCACACCACCAGCTTACCAACCTTCCCTTGTCGAGAAAGACCAGAAGTAATGCGTTGGATGATAAGCCACCAGTATGTTGGTCAGAACGCAGACCAGATGACTGCCTGCGTCTGCGCCAGCGCTTCGGATTTCTTTTTGCCGATTAGCTTTTTATTCTTGCGAGCTGAAGTGTACTCGGTACCTGGGGAGCTCGGTTCTGCACCTCGCTAACGTCTTGCGCCTAACGAAACTTTAGCCCACCAAAGGAAGCCAAGAGATGGTAACAATAGAACTTTGGCATATTCTCACTGTTTCACGGGTTGAGTAAGAGCTACAACGGAGACAAAATCCCTCAATATTGGGTTCCGGTGTTGCCTATCATTGCTCCCAGTCTGACCTCAGATGGAGTGGGGGATGGGAAGAGCCTGTTCGATAAAGCAGCTGATCCGGAAAGCATCGATTCCACAAGGAGAACTTCTCAAATACGTACTGTAGGAAAGGTATGACAGGCACTTGGGAGACACCGCAGTAGAGGTGCTTCCCACTAGCCAGGACGAAGGGTGGTACGGGGCAGAACCACCGAGCAGGCGCATCAACGCCCCGGTTCTCTTGTTCCCGGTGTCAGTCCAAGATGTAATTTCTTACGTCCAGCAATCGGTAGTGTTCGTGCACGACTCGTCCTATGTAGATTCGTTCCTCCAGATGGTTGCACAATCAGTGCAGCTTTCCAGTGTGGTTACCGCAGCATTTCGGAAAGAGCGGCAGCTTGAATCTCAAACTGACCTGGCTGCACCTTAACAGCGACTTGTTCAACCAGGATCAGAAAATTCACGGCCTTTCCGTGCGCCTCTTTCGCTTGCAGGCATGCTGGCGTCCCGATCTCCTGACATCTGAGACTGCTCTGCAGCCACAATTTGTATGCTGTGCATTGAAGGACAGAAGATATTCTCTGATCCCGGTCTGCCACGTGAGTTCAGGCGCCACACGTGCCATTCCCAAATCTCTTGGTCCTCCTAGTGGAAGCAGCCAGAAGAATAGAGAGCCGAGTCGTGAGCCACAAGAGGGCATCAAACTCTGCACATCTGATCGCCAAAGAGGGGTTATCTTGACAGCAGAAGCTTCCTGAAAGCCTCAAAGTATGACACGTCGACTTGCACCCTGATGGATGTGCCTGTTTGACTTCGGTTGTGCCCTCAGCTTTTCTTTGGTGGCATTGTCATGACCTCCGCTTCCATCCGCACTCTGTCGCTGTCCTTTTGGTACGAAAGGACATGGTAGGAGCTCGCCAGATAAATTGGTGGCACAATGTACCGTATACCTGATACGGAGGAGGGATTCCAGACCGTTTGAAGGAGTTCGTTTGCTGGCTTCAGTGGGTTCGCCGGCATCTCACGTCTGCTGGTTTCGCGTTGCGGCATGAACTTGGTGTCGCTTAGCAAGAACCACGAGGGCGCCTCGCGGAAGATAGCGGACCAACAGGAGAGTTTCGTGTGGATTGGGCGTTTCAAAAGCAGCCGATGGAGCGAGGCACGTACGTCAAAATCAGCAGGACGGATGAGCAAAGGCGGAGGGCCAACGCAGGTCTAGACAACCAGCAGCAGCGCCACAACGATTCCAGGCGTCGTAGGGCTTTGTATCTAGGCCGCGTTCGCATCCTGAGCAGGGCTGCCATGCCCATGCACGGAGTAGACTTTAATCTCAGCCCAGGCCCATGCACAGCACGGGTCAAGAAGGGCTCATTTCTCGAGTGCCAGGCTTTAGAAGATACATATAGCTAGGGTAGATGGGCAGCACCTTATCCGCTCCTATCGCCTTATTGAATCTCCTCTTCTACACTCTTACTGTTGTTACTACTATAATAGCCATTCGTTCCCTACCAATACAGTTCCTTTTTTGATTCATTTTATCCCACGTCTCCATCCTCTTATTTGTCCGCCTGCACGCCTAAGCATTCCCTTACTTCAAGCGAGAGACTAGCTGCTGTGTGCCCGACAGCACAGGCAGCAGTTAGGGTCGATCACCTGCACACTTCCAGGTACATTTTTCACTTTCCGAAGCCAAACTGCGAACTACGAGCACCAATCTTCGGACCGAGCGCCCCATACCTACCCGAAGAAAGTCGCCTCCTTTGAGGGGGGAGGACGCGTGCGAAGACACGACAAGAATATGCGGCGAAAATCCCAAAGCGGAGTTAATATTACACCACCATAATTGTTAGCCAAAGGCTGTCGACAACTCTTTCCCAAGATGCGGAACTCTCGACGCACCTCGTTTCCCAATGATGTGGCTTTCGACACGCTACCTCCCGTCGTGATTCGAAAAGTGAGTTAGTTCCTATCCAATCTCTCCGCCTCATTTCGGTCGGAATGCACAGTCCTCCTGGCAAATTCATCATCATCATCATCATCACCACCACCACAATTCTTGCCGGCAGCCCTAGCTGGGTGCCTAGTGGTCGCTTCGGGGGATGAAACGGGATCTTCGCCATGATCTTCAGGCCAAAAGGCCAGGGAGACGGAAAGGAGGATGCGTATCACTGCCATCTCCATCTTCCTCCGGCCCATCCCACGTCATTCCGGTCAGATCATGCCCCGTACCACGGAGGGCCGAATCCGCGCTATCACCACTACCGACCGCCAACAATCAGGGCTTTGGACGCTTGGGGTTTAGGCATGCTGCCCCTAGCCCGAACGGGGAGCTCCAGGGATCCTGGGCGCGGCACGGTCCTCCGACCTCAAAGCAGGGACCACCAACACGACCCAGTATTCCAAAGGCTCTCATCCACCATCTTGCGGCTTGTCTTTTGCGACCGTTAGAAAAAATGACGGCCTTATTCGATCGCTTAGTCTCTAGGTCCACGGGCTAACATATGTGTTGCACCAGTATTTTAGTAGTTTAGAACGTCTCAGACTGGCTGAGGATGGCAGAAGCCTCTCACGTCCCCCTTCCCAACTCTCAATTCATCCCACAAACAATGCTGGCTTCACCACTCAACCCTCCGACACTCTCACCATCCTGACCCACGGAATCTCCCAAACCAGCCAGTTCTTTAGCGGAAAAAGACTGCGAAGGAGGCGCTGCTCGGCAGCAGATATCACTCCCACCACGGTCGCGTGGTTCGCTTCCTTGCCCCCTGCCGTCCAGAGGAAGTTATTCTCGAGAGAAGAGTGCTCGTTCTACTCCCAAGAGAAAGCCACCATTATACTCGACTCTGCCGACGAAACACTCCGTCGTCGCAGTTGGCATCCGAGCCACTCGCCCGCGTTTGAGCGTCGAATATCTGATGACGACGCCACCGTTGTTGACTTCGAAGGATTCAAAGACGAGTCCCTGGTTGACTCTGCTATCGATATGGGTGACTATTCACTAGATGGTTTCCGATGGCTGGAGGATGAAGGAGATCTCGATCTCAAGCTGGACGACTACCACGCAGCCATCGCGGAAACAAACCGGCGAACAGTGTCGGTATCAGCACCAATCCGGCGGCGCTCACGACGGAATCCCTCCCTGTCAAGCCTTTCTATACGCCGTGGCCGGAGCTCGACATCATCCTCACGCCCTCCGATCGAGGTCCCTCCGACGCCAGCCCTGCCTTTTATCCCACCCCACACCCGCTCCTCCTCGTTCTCTCTCAGGCACCTTCGCTCTCAGGCGTCAATATCATCCATCGATCCTCGAGCAACGCATTACCAAGACCCGGCTGCTCGTATGAAGCTCAGGCTCTATCTCGCCTCGCCACAAAAGTTTGATGAGGCTATCGAGTTTGGGTTTCCATCCGTGGAAGAAAGAGAACAGTGGAACCACCTTAGACCGATGACAAGTCCCCAGCCCAGACCTGAGTTCAATCGAACTTTCTTCCATGATGACACACCGTCGTTATCGGGAGATGATGGGGACGATGGCGATGAGCCAGATACAATGTTCGACCCCCGAACCCCTGAAGAGCCGGTGTTCCACATGCACCGTCCATCCCACAAGAGCAGCATCGATGGAGTCAAAGGACTGAGACCGTTTTCAGTTCGAAGACAGCCCGAGACATATACCCGTGGCCTGACCGCAGATCGAGAGATGACCCTACATATGACCTTGACGAGACCAGATCTTCGCTCACCTGAGGAACAACGATCACAACTAGACCATCAAAAGAAGGTCCACCGACCATCACCTGAGCGACTCGATGTGCCCGTGGACGGAAATGCAGTATCCATATGGGATACACTACCTGCCGAGGAATCCAAGATGAAACGATTTCTCCGAAAACTCAGGCTCAAATGAGTCTCGACAACTAGACGTTGGACTGGCATTGATTGCCCTTTTTTGGTATGGTCTGGACGAAGCAATAAGCATGGGGTATCCGCGTTTGTATCAATGCGTTATTTGAGCGTCGGCGTTCAGGCTGGAAATATCGCGTTTCAGCCAGCGAGGGGTTCGGCGCCTGGAAAGCGATCACTGGGGGCAATAGACTGCCACGGCTACCTGCATATCTAAACGCTTTGGGTGGCATTCTATTTGGGAACTTAATGTGGTTGGACAAAAAGTGGCAATCTGGGAAACAGATACAAAGGCAAGAATAGTTTGACGAAAATGAACAATAATACCCCCTCTCCTTCAAACATACAGAGTGCAATAACATGGATTCACAAGGGGCATTGATGGGGGACAACATTCTGCCGCCCAGCCACTGGCCTTCTTGATAGTTAAAGGAGACAGGAGCTTGCAGCGCCGCAGCTCCCGTTAAGGGCCGCGTTTTAAGGCACTGACACTTACCCGCATTCGGGCAGGCGCCCTGATCTTAGATGGGCGCAGTGCCTGGTGAGCCATGAGCCTCCTCACAGAATTTGTTGATTGTAGGCAACGCCATTCTGTTTCTCCAATCCGACAACGGTGTCCCTTTCAACTCTTGCTTCGTTTTCAAGCCTTTTTTGCAGTTCTTTCCCTGTCTTTAATTTGGCCTCTTCCGTCCGCTCGATGCGGTAATCAAAGATGATAATAAGATCCTACTGTCGGCGCGCAGTCGTCTCGTCGGTCGCTCTCCTCTTCCTACTAGCCTCCGCTCCGCAGCCTACGCAAGCAAAGAAAGATGGCCCTACCATCTCCGCCACCACCTTCGATAACCCTCTAGAAAATGTCTTTTACTTTGATGACTCGGACGTGGTCATTGGTTACGATGGAGAGACAGGGATCGTCTGGCGCAGTGCCGATGCAGGCGAAACCTGGAAGGAGATCGATGACCTGGGACAATCAGGAAATGCCTTGGACGTATTCCGGCATCCCTACGATAACCAGCGCGCATATATCATCGGCCTAGACTCCGATCACTGGGTCACAACAGATACCGGCGAGACGTGGAGGAAATTCTCCTCCGATGGCGATGGTCTTGCAAGATTCCGCAACGCCCCGTTGAGCTTCCACGGTCGAGACCCGAAACGAGTGATATGGAACGCTGAGCACTGTGTTGGCTTGGCCTGCATCGAGCGAGCGTTCTATACCGATGATGACTTTAAATCAATCAACAGATTAGGTGATATGACACGAGGCTGCCAGTGGGCTGTCAGCACACCGGACTTTGCAGAGGAGATCGCCCCTGAAATTAGAGATCGGATATTTTGTATCGTGGAAGGGCTATACTCCCCGTGGCCGAAGGACAACAGGCTGCTCGTGTCCGATGATTTCTTCGAGAGAGATCAACTCGAGCCTGCGCTTGATGATGGCCGAGCTGTGTCCGGGATTATCAGCATGGCTGCGGTCAAAGGATTCTTGGTTGCAGCTGCAAAATCGGAGGGCACAGATGAACTGGCTCTATACGTGACGAAAGACGCATCACAGTGGCACCGAGCGGAATTTGGACAACACAGGATAGATGAAGATGCATACACTATCTTGGAAAGCACCAACTACAGCTTACAGGTCGACGTGCTCGGATCCCGACCTACCAATCCCATGGGCTACCTTTTCACCTCGAACTCCAACGGCACCTATTTTACTCGGAATATCGACCACACTAATCGCAACATTTTCGGCAACGTCGACTTCGAGAAAGTCCAGGCGATTCAAGGGATTGTCTTGGTGAATGTTGTAGACAACTGGAAGGATGTTGAGGGCTCAACTATTCCTCGAAAGGAAGTGGTGTCTCAGATTAGTTTCGACGACGGAAGAACGTTCCAAGATCTTAAAGTTGGCGACAAGAGACTGCATCTCCATTCAGTGACCGACGCAAGGCAAACAGGGAGGATCTTCTCTAGCCCCGCTCCAGGGATCGTTATGGGAATTGGTAACACTGGAAAATTCTTAAAGGACTACGAAGACGGTGACCTTTACGTCTCGGATGATGCGGGTGTCACATGGTACGAGGGCTTGGATGGTGCTTACTTGTACGAATTTGGAAACCAGGGGGCAGTCATTGTCGCTGTCGATGATGAGGATTCCACCAGCCACATAAGATACTCGATCGACCATGGGAAGACCTGGAAGAAGGCAGAACTGCCAGAGAAAGTGCGAGCAAGGTTCCTCACTACCGTACCGGATTCCACAACCCTCAAGTTTCTCATGATGGGCGCCAAAGGAGCAGGTTCCAAGACTGAATGGGTCATGTTCAAAATCGACTTCGAGGGCTTGCATGAACGAGCGTGCGGCAAGGACGACTTCGAACGGTGGCCCGCGCGCGTAGACAAAGACGGTAAACCGAGCTGTCTCATGGGCCACAAGCAATTCTTCAGGAGACGTAAGGCAGATGCTGAATGTTTCATCGACGAGGAATTTAAAGACCCTGTGCCCGAGTTCGAACCGTGCGTCTGCACGATGGCTGACTTCGAGTGTGACTACAATTTTGTCAGAGATCCCGACGACCGCACCAAATGCAATCCCGCACAGCCAATCGCGGTCCCTGAGGGCGCATGTAAGAGCGAGAAAGACACCTTCAAAGGTCCTTCTGGGTGGCGGATGATTCCTGGCAACGAGTGCCAGCGCAAGGGCGGCGAAGAGCTCGATAAGGAGATCGAAAGGCCGTGTTCGGACTCGGTGAAGACGCCTGCCTCGGGAGAAATTACTGTCGAGAAGACCAATTTCGACGCTGATCGGTTTTCCGAATGGTATTATCTCGAAAGAAGCGACACTTCCAGCGGCAGTGATGAGGCCATTGTCATGCGTACAAGCGAGCAAGATATCTTCTTGACACGGGATCATGGCAAAACCTGGGAACCAATCCTCAAGGGCGAACCGATCACTGCCATCGCACCGAATCCTCACCATCACGATGCAGTTTTCTTCCTGACAGGCTCCAAGACTGTTCACTACACCATCGACCGCGGAGCTAGGTTCGATAAATTCACCGCCCCAGAACGACCGAGCACTCTACGGCTGCCGACTTTACGTTTCCATCCCGAGTACAAGGATTGGTTGCTCTGGTCGGGCGCTGTTGGAAACGACGATCATACCAACATTTGGTTGTCGAGAGATCGTGGCGACCACTGGGACACATTGGTTCGTTACGCCAGAAAATGCGAATTCATCACAAGAGAAGGTCAAGGCCGTGGCGATCAATTGATATACTGCGAACAGTATCAAGATGAGAACCCGGATAAGAGCCTCATGCTTTTGTCCAGTGACAACTTCTTTGCGGAATCGAAGGTGCATTTCCCTGATATTTTGGACTTTGCGACCATGTCCGAGTTTATCATCGTCGCAGCAAAGACGGAGGACAGACAGAGCTTGAAGGTGGACGCCAGTGTGGACGGGCGCACCTTCGCACCTGCAGAATTTCCTCGGAACTTCCAAGTACAACATCAACAAGCCTACACAGTTTTGGACAGCTCTACTCATGCCGTATTCCTCCACGTCACCGTCAATGCTGCTCAAGATCACGAATACGGTGCGATAATCAAGTCGAACAGCAACGGTACATCCTACGTCTTCACTCTGGGCGGTGTGAACCGTGACACCGAAGGCTATGTCGATTTTGAGAAAATGCAAGGTCTTGAGGGCGTTGCTATGGTCAACGTCGTGTCCAATGTCGATGAGACCAATAATGGAGAGAGGAAAAAACTCAAGTCGATGATCACCCACAACGATGGTGCCCAGTGGGCGTATCTCCCTCCACCGAAGGAGGATGCGCTGGGAAACAATTACCCTTGCGTGGGAGAGGCTAACAAGGCGACTGAGAAATGCTCCTTGCACATTCACAGTTATACCGAACGCGCCGATAAGTCAGCCACGTTCTCCAGCCCTAGTGCGGTTGGATTAATGATGGCCGTAGGGAACGTGGGCGAATACCTCGTCCGGAAAGACGACGAAGCTACCGATACCTTCATCACTCGAGACGCCGGCATCACTTGGCAATCCGTCAAGAAGGGCAGCTACATGTGGGAATATGGCGACCAAGGCAGCATAATCGTGATTGTCAAGGAATCTCAACCCACCAAATCTCTCTTTTACACCCTCGACGAGGGTAGGACGTGGCGGGAGTTCGTGTTCTCTCCAGATGTGGAAATGCAGATTGACGCCATCACTACCGTACCGTCAGACAACTCTCGCAAGTTCCTCCTTTGGGGTCGTGAACTAGGGAGCAACGCGAAACGTGGCATTTTTACCGTGCACCTCGACTTCTCCGGCCTCGAAGAACGTCAAGCCAAATGCGAACTCGACGAGAAAGACCCCGAGAAAGGCGACTACACGCTCTGGGAACCCAAGCACCCAATGCAAGATTCGAACTGCTTGTTCGGCCACGTAGCTCAATATCACCGAAAACGGGTCGACGCCAAATGCTACAACGGCAAAATCATCAGTCATCTCCACAACATTGCCAGGAATTGTTCTTGCACACGTCAGGACTTTGAGTGTGATTACAACTACCAGGCACAAGCAGACGGAACGTGCCAGTTGGTTCCTGGACTGCAGCCAGCCGATCACGAGCAGAAATGTCGCGACAATCCGGGCCAACTCGAGTTCTGGTATCCCACTGGATACAGGAGAATACCGCTCACGACGTGCCAAGGAGGGCGAGAGCTTGACAAGTTGGAATCGAGACCCTGCCCAGGCCATGAAGAGGAATACAAGAAGAAGCATGGCATTTCAGGGATTGGACTGTTCTTTGCGATCGTTGTTCCCCTTGCAGTCTCCCTTGGCATCGGGTATTGGGTGTATACGAAGTGGCAGAGCGGATTCGGCTCATTTGGACAAATTCGGCTGGGTGAAAGCATGGGCGCCACTGGTGCTTCTTCTGGGGCCAGCGGTGAACCATTGTGGATCAAGGTCCCTGTGGTGGTGGTGAGTGGCATCGTCGCGGTGGCCAAAGCGACGCCTTTACTCGTGATGAGTTTGTGGAGAAGTGCAAGAGGATATATGCCACTTGGCAGTGGAGGTGGTGGTTCAGGGGGAAGATTCGGCGTGGGTAGAGGGGCGGATGCTGGGTACGGAGCTCCTTATCGCTCGAGAGACGCCTTTGCAAGAAGAGGACAGGATTACTCTCAAGTTGTAGAGGACGATGAGTTGCTGGGGGATGGATTGGATGACGAGGAAGAAGTTTGAATGACAATTGGGAACGGCAAAGGACAGGAAATCTCTCTCTCGGGCCAGCATGACACGACGAACGAACGCACTGGACAGAAAAGCAGGTGGCCCTTGGACCGAGGGCTCGCCGAAGCTGGGAGCCGTGTTTATCCAGGATGACAGGACCATGACACTTCATGACACTTGGGCAGCAAGTCAAGCAGAGGCCCTGCCCCGGTCGGATATGCCAATCCTGCATCCTTGGTCATCTGCTTGTCTGTCTCCGCGTGCAAGAACGTCTTGCAGGGCGTTTCCATATTGGAGGAGTGTGCGTGATATGGACCCAGGCGGGCGCATTCAAAGCTGTACAAGAATCATGTGTCCTTAGTATATTTGCTTTAAGTATTTTACGGTACAGAAATGAAGAGCGAGTTCTGCAAAAATTTTCTACAAACATCCTCGGGCAAGTTCGCGAGCCCCAGCGGGCTGTTTCATAAATTCCCGCAGTTGGTGGAGTGTTGCTTGCTTCCCTGCCGTGCTGTCGATGTGTCATGTTTCAATGGCATGGCATGGCAATGCACAAGCTACTGCGCTCCCACGGCGTGGTCCCCTCCCTCTCCTGTTCCCATCACAACCCTTTCTGCAGCTGATTAGGTAGGTGGATAGCTAGCTGGCTAGCTAGCTACAGTACATGACTAACCACTAGCTATGCAAGTACGCAGTACAAATTGAGGCAGGCCAAGGAGACCGTCGGTGCCGTTGTTGCCAAAGTGAGGCTGGCCGGCTGGCTGTGGGCATTGGCTGTAGGGGAAGGTGTTTCGATAATGGGGGTACTCCGTAAACGAACAGGTGACCCATATATCCACGGTACCTCCTCTGTGCAGTAAGTACGAGGTGAAACGTTTCGTTTTCTCGCTGCAGGAGTAGTCTTGTATGTAGAGAAGCGGGCGGGATGCGTTGGCGCGATTTTGCCCTTTTTTCCCTCATCTTTCCTTTCTGTCTCCTTCCAGCCAAGCCCGCCCGTCAGCAAGCCAGCCAGCCAGCTAAATCTAAGTACAGTACGTGGGACGTGATGCATCTGCGTAGGTACGAGGTCTACCGCGTACAAGCGAGCAAGGTACCCATTGCCAAGACGCGGTGTCGATGACTTCTGGCTGCTGGTCTGCAGAGTCTGGTCTGGTCCGGTCCAGACTTGGGTACGAGCACAGGCACAGACATACCTACATACATACATACAAAGAGGTACCTACATACATGCGTACGTACAATGACTGCATGCGTAGTTTGAATGCGTTGCTCCAGTCTGCCCCAGTCCCTCCCTCCTCCGGTCCGGTCTTGTGTGTCCGGTCGGTTTGTCGGTTTGGTGGATTGGGTACCTATGTAGCTGGCTCGCTAGGTATGTAACATACGTTTGGATGTACGGAGTAAAGTAGTACCCTCCCCATGTTACCTGGCCAGACAAGGACAGAGACGGGAACGGACGGACGGCATCTAATCATTACTCCTACAGAAGTGAGAAATTGGACAGCTCCATGCATGGCTCGGTGGGAAGGAGGGAAGGGAAGAGAGTGTGCGGCCAATAGGTAGGTAGGTAGGTACGTGTCACGGCACTGTTGGTTTGAGAGGGTTGAGTACCGAGTTGGGGACTGGAAACCCTTGAGTTAGGAGGATCATGTCGTCCGGGGGTGGATAACCAGGTGGGAAGGTTGGGCATTCAGTCCATTGGCAGGCAGGCATTGCAGATTTAGCGATCGTTTGGGAGGAGGGACGGGGGGAAAGAACCGCGTGATGTAGCTCGAGGGTGGACAGGACCGGAGGGTAGAGCAGAGCGAAGAGGAGGCGAGGAGTGGGAAGAAAGGACGGACAAGTTGGACCAGGCACGGCAGAGAGAGAGAGAGAGCGAGAAACAGAGACAGAGCAATATCAATGACCTTTCGACGCTTACAGCGCGAGCATTACGGGATACAGATGAACACAGGTAGGTGAGGCTGAAACAAAAAAGGGGTACAACATGCTGGAAAGGTTTAAAAGGTACTCGACGTTGGTCTCGCTTTCGTCGGGGGTCATGTGGTCGTGGGCTGTGTAACACGAACAACGACAATCACGAACGGAACGACAAGACGTGCGGTTGAGATCCTTCTAAGAATACGCGTCAATTCCCTTTGTTCTATCAATTCTTGGAAGCTTGTGTCTGTCAAAGGTATGAATTGTATAGGCTTTTCTGACTCCTTCGCTATGGAGAATCAATCCCAGTTGCTGTTGGGGCACGATATGTAACATTTCCGAACTCTTCTTTCCCCATTTCCTTCTCCCTTGGTTCTCAGGGTGATGATATGACTTGGCGTCTTGTTGGCGGAGAGGGAGACGGGGGGAGGGGAGTCTAGATGTATTGGCTGGAGAGGAGGAGCTCAGAGAGGTGAACCGTCGAGCCACGAGCGCTGGCTACTTATTTGCCGGCGAAACCATCCTCGACTTGCTTGGTGGCCTCCTCCTTTGAGATGCCGTACTTCTCGGCGACCTTGGCGGCGAGGGCGTCCTTGTTGCCTGCAACCTCCTTGAAGTCGTCGGCGGTGAGCTTGTCGAACTTGGTGCGGAGGTGGGCCTTGGTAGCTTCGTCGGCCATGTTGAAGGTAGTTTGGGAGATTTGAAGTGGGATTTGGCTGAAGGATTGGAAAATAGACAACTGAAGTGGAGGACTTGGGCTTGATGGAGGAGCTTGAAGAAGAGAAGAAGAAGGCTGTGTCACCATAGATGATGCTGTTTATATAACCCCGTCACCACGGCACTGATCCTACCCCTCCACCCCTCATTTCCTTCAGAGTCAACCGTCTTCTGCTAAACTCTCGATTGGGAGCAGTGTGGATTGCACAATTTGATTGAGACAAGCCCCACGCCTGAAAGCGACAGAATTGAAGGCCACGTCGTGTGTGGAAGACCCAATCAGGGCGAGCATGGTCCTCACCGATTAATCGTGACGCCAAATGAAAACGCGTGACGGTCGGTGACGGCCCGCTGGATCGAGCAAGGCGCCGCATGTCGAGCCGTTAGCTTTGAACGATGGAGGGGTCAAGTTCGCGTGGGCGCGAACTCGACCGTGGGTCGAGCTTCTGGCGGTGAAGGGAATCGAAGATGCTGAGAACTGAGGTCGAGAACGAATGGCATGTGGACGTGTAAGGGGCTTGAAGCCCATCCGTCAGCAGCAGGTCATCAGTCACCACTAGCACCAGGGAAAAAAGACCTCGTTCGAATGTGTTTCCATTGTTGTCACTATTGTTTATGTTTTTTTTTGGCTTCTGGCTGCCCCTCACTGTTTTTCCCCTGCGTACCCCTCGATGCCTGGAATCGGGCCCTAAGCTAATAGTTAGCATCATCTCCCGAAGGGGGCCTGGGTAGCAAGGGGGGATCGAAGATCGCTCTCAGCTTAGCCAGCGCCACCCGGTGAGAGCAGAAGCCAATGCATCCTTTTACGGGGCGCTTCCTTCGTCCTGGGGGGCAAAGTCGGTACGATTTGGGAGGCCGGCAGAAACGAGACACTGGAGAGCGGCTCGGGTCAGTCTGGACCTCTGCAAGACCGTGATAAGAGACAAACACGATTGGGTGCTGGCTCTGAGGGAGTCAGACCGCTGATCAGCCCATTGGGTGCTCTGCTGGCTCGATTGAGCTGTTTGGCTCGTTTCTAGCACCGCTGCTGGATATCGGCTTATCGTTGGGCTCTGCATACCTGCAACAGAACGGTGCCCGTGACCAGAGATAGTCTAGACTACGGAAGAAAGAGAAGATAAGGGACTCAGAGACGGTGCTCCGAGTGGCATAGTGGCATAGTGAGCTCACATCGGAACGAGCAAAACAACCCACGGAAAATAATCAATCATGTCGCTACCAACACAAGTGTACCTTGTCACAGCAATGTCACACTTGCAACGGCCATCTTGACGCCGGACACCGGCTCAGCTCTCTTGTCACAATGCGAGGCTGGTAATCTTCGCACGACCTTGTACAGCGTCTTACATCAGGAACACCAGTTGCTCTGCACCACGGCCGCCGCATTCAGGGCTATGCAGTCTTGCTTCCCGTGGCTAGGACAAAGTTGAGCTTGTAGAAAACGTGGCAATGCCGCAGGATAGCCCGTACACGCATCACCCACGGTTGGGCATGCTTAAAGGCTTCCATAAGCTCGTCCTTGACCTCTTCCTCTTCATTCTCAATCTCCTGTGCTTCTTCCTCGACTTTCTTCAGGTGGAAGGTTATCTGATCCAACTGGTCGAGAGTGATCACGGTGGCGGTGTTCTGATCAATGAGAAACTGGGTGCTAAAGGTGTGATACTTTCGAGAGTTGATGGCGTTCTGGTAGGATTGGAGACCTCGCTGCGTCATGCCGATTCCCTCAATCTCGCCTCTGATTGCATCGAGGAAGGCCCCTTTCGTCCTCGGGACGGCTGATGGCTCATCGAATGAACCGGTGAACCCGAATGCACACACGAATCCAAATGGGTCTCTAGAAGTCGGTGCAGGCACTTCGGTAGGTAGATCGGCCGCTGACTGTCCGTGGAGAGGCACTGTCTCTTCAGCCAGAACAAGGGCTTCCAGTTTCCTGTCAAGTTCATTGTGCAGTGCCGCAGTTGATTCGCTGATCACGGAGCTGCTGGTGTCGCTCTCGGCTGGAGTGGAAGGCTGGGCGCTGGTGGACCAAGTCGGAGTGAGAGCCCCAGTGCTGTCACAATCAGAAAAAGCTGGAGACTGGCTGGGGAAGGAGTCGGCATGGTATTCGTCAGGACAAATGGGTAGGTCGGACATGGTGGTGGGTGAAATGGCAGCAGGTAGTGGTCAAGGAAAGCGTCAAACCCTTATGAAGCACAACCAGCTCTGGCTTGAAGGAGGAGGTGTAGATTCCGGGAGCACAGCAGCAATGGCCACAGCAGGCATCTGAGAGCAAGCAGCAAAGACAAGCAAGACATTGCGTTCAATTTGAATCAACAAAGCAGGTCCGGCAGGAAAGGAGGCAACGGTGACGGAACAAGGAGCACCAACACACCACAGACACAACTCACACACCACGGGTCAAGAAGACTTTATTCCTTCGCCATACAGGCTGTCATGATAAAGTAAGATCTGTACCTTTAGTCCTGGTGGCTCGTCTATATTGTCTGATGATGATGATGCGCATGGCTTAGCAACATAATAGCGAAATGATCCGCCATGCAAACCGTTCGGACTAAACCCGCCCCGAAACCTCAGCCCGGTCTGGAAAAAGAGAACACGCTGCTTCACCTTAAATCTCTTGTGAGTTTCCTTCCATCTTTTGTTCTTGTACAACTCCTTCCCAGACAAAAAGGCAGTCTCTTCTCTCATCGGCAGCCCAAATGTGACCAACTCTTGCTTGTGTTTTTGGCTTTTCACAAGTTACCCACACAGCAGCTTGTTGAACTCGGGAGGGCGGCTGGAAGAAGTGGAGGGCTCGGAGGGTTGCTTCGAAGGTAATGCGATCGTTGGCCGGCCTGACGTGAAGACGACTCTGTTCCTAGGTGCAATGTTATGTGAGGTGCGACGAGAAGGCTGCCTTGCAAACTGTCCACCTGATGAGCTGCCAAGGGGGAACACAACAGCACAAGCCAGTGGCTTCTTCCCCGCCAATCGATGTCAACCACTGACCATTGCACTTACCCTACCCTGCTTCAGTGACATGTCCCATCAACCTCTTTAACTCATACCCCTTCCCTTGCCTTCAGCCTGTTTCATGTACATGCTCAACTGCCTCTATATCTCGGCCCTTCGCTGCGGTTGTCTATCCATTCTCCCTTGCCTTTTTGTGTTGCAATCAGTGCGGTTGACTCCAGCCTCACCAGTCTGAACAGCTTCGCACCCATTATACATTGACCAAGCTTCAAGAAAAGCTCCTTACCGTCCTCTAGGCATCTTCGACCTATCGTCCTCGTGTCTGCCACCCCCAGAAGCTACCTTCTAACCTTCCAGACACCAGTACATGTTCGAACGCCTACTTCTTCCTTCAATCCACTACACCAGATATTGCGGGCAATGACGCACAATGGAAGAAGACAAGGCGCAGAGAGTCAGACTGCCCATACCTCCCCTGATCCTGGTGGTATCAGGCGAGTCTCAGCCAGATCGACCGTCACCTTGCGCAGAGCCAAGCCAGTGACTGACCAAGATTTCATCACGCGGGATACGGAAATGAACGACTTTCTTGCTTTCTGGAAAGGTGAATCGGACACATTCACTCTATCCCATGTCGAAATCGTTGAACATCCCGTGGACTCAGACCACAAAATGACAAACCAACCAAGCCAGGAGGACCACATCGATCTTGATTTTTGGCCAGCCTCCCGTGCTGTGCCATATTCTGGGATCGCTGTTGGAGATATGGCTCTTCTCCCAGATGAGTCCGTGAACGCGTCTCCAATGCCCAACTACCAGGAGATGCTTGGCCTAGGCGCAATGCGTGGGCGCCGACGAGGATGCACGCTGACGCTCAAAGAAATGTGTAGTCCTGAAGACAGCAGGCATGTCGACATGGTGATATGTCGAGCATGCATCGACGAAGTGAAGGAGGCCATTTTCCTCAACTGCGGCCACAGCTATTGCCGACTTTGTCTGAATCAACTGGTCAATGCTGGCACAGCCAACAAAATGTCCTGGCCGCCACGGTGCTGCTTGTCTTGGCCAGCCATGGATATCGGCTCAGTGCAGCACCACCTGGACGAGGCAGTCTACTCCCGCTACCTTGACGTCCGTGAGGAGTACTCAGATCACGACCCCGTCTATTGTTCCAACAAATACTGCACCAGTTACATACGCAAGAGCCAGATTCAAGACATAACGGAAAAATTTGTCTTGTGCACCAAGTGCCATTTCCAGACCTGTACCGAGTGCAAACAAGGACGCGATGACCATATCGGAGGTGCAGGAACCACCTGCAAGAGCCTCGAGGAGTTGATGGATGCGAGAGACCGGGTCCTTGCCAAAGACAAGCAATGGAAACAATGTCCCAGCTGCAAGAACCTGGTTGAGAGAATCGACGGTTGCGATCAGATTCAGTGCTCGTGTGGTACGCGGTTTTGTTATAAATGTGGAACGGATACAAGCAGCCACGCTCAATGTCGCTGTTTCCCGCCTTTAAATTGGCCGCCCGTGTGGCCGCCCGTGCTTGACTCCGGAGAGATGAGGCAACGCCAACGCCAGCGCATTGCCCTGCCGCGCCAGCGAACACCGAGGAAACTGGCTTTACACACTGACTCTATTGGATCAACCCCGGCATCCTCGTCCCTCGCACTATTTAGAGAGAGACTCCCGCGTTTCCCCAAATCATCCAGGCACAGCAAGCTATCTGCTCCTCTTTCCTGTATTCCTAGGAAAACGTTGAAGTTGAAATCTGGAGCATCCACCACCGATTCCGGTGTAAACACATCAAGGCTACGAAACGTCATACCAACCCGACCCCCCTTACCTTCTCTTCGTACTGGGGACCAACCCGGTAACAATGAAGGAATCAAGAGAGAGGTGGGAAACAACGGGTTTGTACCCTTCGCATCAGCGCAGGGTAACTCCGCGCCGGTTTTTTCACCTTGGGGCGTATCTGAGTCCAAGTATGGGACTTTGTCGGCAACACCTCCAATGGCGCCAATATTTGAGCGATCATCACCTTGGATGTCTTTCCCAGCCCAAGGCCTGCTCCCTGAAATGCCAGATGTAATGAATACGACGCCGACTCTGCCTTTGACGTCGTTTGCAGAATACCCTCTGATTTGGCCACAGACTCTCCACAACAGCGAGTCATCCCTGCTCTCTGAGCATGTAGACCTACCAAGCGTCCACACATTCCTTGGGACTCCTGTCAGAGGTGCACATGGGTGGTGGCCATGAGAGCTGAATCGAGAGACAATGAAATGACGAGGACGTTGGAAGGCTTTAGGATAATGGACGGACGATGGACAACATTTTACCCAGGGAAACAATCCTAATGGCTGTATATTTAAGGGGATCATGAGGGCGAGGAAAACACACAACATGGACTTTATACTTGTCCACTGGTGCTTTTGTGTGTTGGGTAGAAATCAACAGCGACAACATTGTTGCGGGCAAGGAGCGCGGTATTGTGCACTGGACATGGATATGGATGGCTGTTTGGAGGGTATGAGTTGAACACTCGTGATCTTCGAGGTCAAGATTCGTGTCTTTGGCTTGTATCAGTTCTGAGTTGGCTAGCTGAGTGGAGGGAGGCAATTGCTCTGGCGGGAATCCAGAAGAATATGGAGTCCAGGTTTAGGCTTCCAATTAATATGGTTAATCATGACGTCGATGACTTTTTTCCCCCGTGAGATACACACATACATACATATGAGATGGGTTCATCATCTCTTGTCTCCATTGGAAGTACAGATCATGATGTGTGTTGCCCCGGTATTCATGGTAAGTTTTGTGATCCCGTGTGGTTGAGTGTCGATCTCAGTGCGTGTGCGTATGCGTGTGACTCGACTTCAGCCAGCACCGAAGGAATCATTAAAATCAAGCTTCAATCTGGACATCCATCCATCCGTCTACATGCGATTCCCCTCGCTGCTCGTTGTCTCACGGGTAGAGCAGCCGGTCTTGATTTGGCGTCTTTTCTATCGTTGGCCCTTAGATACTTACACGTCTAGACCAGGGGATGACCTCATTGCAGGTTTTCAAGGTTACATCTGATCCGGGTTTCTGGACTCAGTACAGCGAACAGGGACGGGGGAAAGAGACAGGTGAACGCGACGAGACGAGACGAAATAGCACAAGCCAGGGCAAGATACGGCCGAAGCATACCATACCATACCGTACATACCATACCATACGATCTGAGGAGACGAACAGAGCTGATCATATCCCAAGTATAAAACGAAGTTATCATCCTGTCCTGGTCCGCGGGGACATACAGAAGGAGACATACAGTACATCATCCACCGCCCTCACCCTCGATCGACCGACCGACCGACGTGCCAATAATGACTCCTTCTCCTTCTCCTCCCATTACTACCACAACGACGACGACGACGACGATGGCGGACAACACCCACTCTGAACAACACTACCACCACCACCACCAGCATGATGAGAGCGGCTCAAAACCTTACTCCCCACGCAGCATGGAAGTAACCACGCGCTCGGACCTCTCATTCCTGTACCGCGTGCTGCGCGCCGTGATCAAACCGCTCCGTCCGCGTCTCGTGCGGCCTAGCGGCGGCGGCTCAGGCCAGACGGCGGGGTCGCCGCGTCTGTCGCCGCCGACGCGAAAGGGGAAGCGATGGCCCGAGATCGCCGAGACGCAGTGTGAAGGAGTGTGGATGTATCGGTTCCGCGCGGTGGGGAGGAAAGGGAAAGGGAGTGTCGGAAGGGTAAGGGCGCAAGCGGTAGGAGACGCCGAAGTCTCTGCCGCTGCTGGTAGTGGTGGACGGCAGCATGGAGAGACGACGACGACGACGACGACGACGACGACATCTCCACCGACCTCCAGCCACAGACATCACCACCACCACCACCGCATCTACTACTTCTGTGGTGGCGGGTTCCAGTCTCCTCCTGCGCCCGAGCACTGGCGGTTCCTGGCACAGCTCACGCACGACCTTGACCTTGAACCCGCGAGGCACCATTCCAACAATGGGCCAGTGGTCGACAACGACAATGACAACGACAATAGCTATCAACACGCCCAGGACCTGCATCCAGACACAGAGATCGAGTTGGTGTTGGTCAGTTACCCATTAGCGCCGACGAATCCGGCGAGTGAGAGTTTGCGGATCCTCCGAACGTGGTTCGCAAAGGTCATGGACGAGGCGGTCGAGAGGGGGCACACGCTGAGCCTGATGGGCGACAGTAGTGGTGGGAACGTCGTGCTAAGTTTGGGGTTCTGGGCCGTGCAGCATTATGGAGTCACACAGTCAGAGCAGCAGCAGCAGCAAGTACCTTGCAGAGCAGAGTCACCGAGCGCCGACGACGACGGCGACGAAAACAGACCTGACCATCGAGGAACCGGTGCTCGAAGGACGAGCAATTTCCCACTCAGGTCGTTAATCAGCATCTCCGGTCCCACGGACCTGACGAACAGCAACCCGGAGATTCGCACGGCGGACAAGCTCGACTGCGTGCTCACGGCGGCGATGACGCGAGAAGTCGCCGAAGTGTGGACGGGAAACGTGGACAAGAGGACGTCGACCAAGAACCAGAAGAACGGCCCTTCCTCCCCGTCGCACGACCCGACACCGCTCGCCGACCCCAGCGTCTCGCCCCTCCTCAACCCGGACGCCGCCTTCCACGCCCTCAGGGGTCGCGGGGTCGCCGTGCACGGGGTCGTGGGCACGCACGACGTGCTGGCGCCAGACGCGGTGGAGTTCATGCGCAAGTGCCGCCGACTCGGCGTGAGGGGGCGCTGGTTGGTCTGGGACGGCCAAATGCACTGTTTCCCGCTGGCGGGCGGCAGGCTTGGGATCAGAGAAGGGAGTGAAGGGCGGGAGTTTGTGGTGGGTGTGATTCGGAGGGATTGTGGGTTGGGAAGATAGATGTATGATAGAAAGATAATCAGTAAAACCAAAATGAAGTTGCTCAGACACTGCTGGTGAGTAAGTGCATGAGTACATAAACGCTTGCTTGCTGTGTAGAAATGAACATGGCATGGTATGGTGGTGAACCCAGAGTGTAGGAGAACGGTCGTGCCCCTTATACGGTGCCTTCTGCCTTCTGTGACGGATCCTCAAGCACTCCCTTCTCTCCCAGGGCAATGATGGCACTCAGTAGTCGTCTCCGACTCTCTTCTTGCTCCTTGTCCACCATGACCTGCCACAGACCTTTCCTCCTGATATTGCCAGCCGCGGTGGTCGTTGGCTGTTTGGGTAGACTCGTGGAAGTCCGCGTGTCGCTTCTCCCATCCTTTCGAGTCAAGTCGTGCGAATAGCGACAGCTCGGACCCCACTTGCAAGTTTTGTACTTAACAAAGTGTTTGCAGAGTTGGGGGGCGTGAGGTCGTGCCGGCCGCGACTCGAGCGAAAGAGACGCACGGGCACGAGACGCCTGTTTCGCGCTCGTCACTTCGGGAATGGAATCTGCATCAGAAGAGCTCGCATCGGAATCCGTATCGGAGTCGGAATCGGAACTTGTGGACGAGCCAGAGGATGAGGTGGCATCGTCGGAGCCTGTGGGATCCGCGGTGGACGAGACGTCGACGAGTTCTCCTGTAGGAGCAGGTGGATTGGGTGTCGCGGCGGTTGTGCTCTCTTTCATCTCAGCACGCCGCAATGCCGCTTCCGCCTTCTCCAGTTCCTGTTGTGCTTCGAGAGCTCTCTTGCGTAGCTTGTCGGCCTTCAATTTCGCTCGAGCGGCAGCGTCTGTGTTTGCTGTCTCCTCGTCTCTCTGAACAAGCCGATCCTGATGGCGTGGGTGTTTCGCTTTTTCATTGACTTTGAGTCTTTCGGCTCTCTCTTGTTCTCTTCTGGCCATGGCTTCTTTTCTGGCTTCCCGTTTCGCCTTCTGCTCCTCCTCCCATTTTCGCTTCTTCTCTTCCGCCTCCTTCTTCGCTGCCGCCACCCGCGCTTGAGTGGGATAACGCCGTCTTCTTTCGGCAAGCCATGTCAGAATCTCTTCTCGGGTCCGGAGAGTGAGAGGGGATCCGTTGTATTCAAAGATGTAGCCTGCCACGCTCGACGACGCTTTGTTCGCCAGACGCTGTTCTTCATCTTCGTCGTCCTCCTGGTCGGAATCTTGGTCAAATTTTGCAGGAGTTAACCCGAGAACATTATGTTTTCGGGGCTCTGCTTTTTTGGGCTCGGGTGATTTCTGGCTGGTTTGGTCGAGAGACGGTCTGCGTCCCAGCAGGTGTTCGATCGAGGCATTGAAACTAGGCACCGCGGGTGCAGCCGTAGGACGTGGGCGATGTTGGTGCCCGGAGGCAAATGCAGTGCTGTGATCCCGTTTCTGCGGGCCGTTGAGAAAGCTGCCTCTTTGCGGACCATGATTCAAGGGTCTCTGTAGCCGATCGTGACCGTACACCGGGGACGACGTAGTCGGTCCTGGACGATGACTTCCATATCCCGCGCGGCCGCCTCTTGTGTGTCCTCTGTGGGGATAACCACCTCTGGATGGCCCCCTACTATCCTGAAAGGGTTGATTCTGCTGATAAACGCCTTCCGATCGCTTCGGAGGAGGTGGAGGCGGAGGAGGGAACGCAAAGGGCTGGCCTGACATCCAGAAGTTACATCGACAAGTGCAGGTTTCGCTGCTAAGATGGGTTTTGAATCATGGAGTTACGTAGTTCCAGATAGGGATACTTATGCCTGTATATCCAAGCAGCAAAGCGTGGAACAGAATGTACAGTTGCGAAGAACAGTGTTCAGGCCGATCCAAAATTTTGGTTGGCATTTCTGCCCGCGGCAAGGCTGAGTGGCAAGGCTGAGAAACACGGCCATGAGCGAATCTCTTGCCGCTCTTTCTGTCGTCCTTGGATACTATCTGTTTTCCTTCATGGACTAATGTCTAGGTCATTGCTGGCTTAGCAGCTGATGTAGCGTTTCGTCATGCACCGACATCCTAACTAAAGGCTGAACGGCAAGAAACAGGTGAGCGGTGGGCAGTGAGCATTAAACATCACCTGATTTCATTGACTCTAGGACTACCCCGGTATAAAGGCAGTCTACAATTCCCAAGCCGGCTACAACACATCCGACACACTGAGCGACCTCTCAAGACTCAAGCTGAACAGCAAAGACATGGAGCTCAAAACCATTCCAATCCCTCACCGCGAAGGCCTCAATCTGATCCTGGGTCAGTCCCATTTTATCAAAACAGTCGAAGACCTCCATGAAGCCATATTCAACGCTGTCCCGGGGGCCAAGTTCGGTCTTGCATTCTGCGAGGCGTCGGATGCCTGCCTGATCCGACATTCAGGAACGGATCCGGAGCTTGTACAACTTGCCCAGGACTCCGCCGTGGTCATAGGAGCCGGCCACAGCTTCATCGTTCTCCTACGCGATATATATCCCATCAATGTCCTCGGTGCCATCTGCGCCGTCCCCGAAGTGTGTCATATCTTCTGCGCTACGGCGAATCCCGTGGAGGTCATCGTGGCACAAACAGAACAGGGACGGGGAATCTTGGGGGTTGTGGATGGTTTCCTTCCCAAGGGCGTCGAAAGTGAAGCGGACATAGCAAAGCGCAAGGCATTTCTGCGGCAGATTGGATACAAGGCCTAAGGTAGATATGGCAACCATGGCACAACTGGCAAGATGGAGATGTAGGGCAAGTTGTAGAACAAAGATGCGCTCATGGGGGAAGTTGGGCAAAGAAAAGCAGCCGCCAAGACCAAGTGGCATCTAAAGCGGCGCGCCACAGCGGATGCTCCATCAAAGTCGATTAACGTCGACAAAGATTTTCCTATATACTCACTGGCTCATGGTGACGGGATTTCAGTGCCTACTACGATTTTCTGAGTTTCAGAACATGCTGCGGTACATTCTGTCTAAATCACAATCACGGAACCTCTTGCGTATCCCGTAGGAACATGTTCATCCTAGTATGGCTACCTCACTGCTCCGACAGGTCGGGAATACAGGGAATACTAATGAAGCAGACCACCTTCGACGACCTGGTGCAGATACCGCCACATGGATTTGTGAATAACCAAATCACCGAACAAGATCTTGAAGACCGCATCAACGAGAAATATTCCAATAAAGTCTGCTTGCTCCACCATCCATGCATCGACTTCCATTCCTGACGAGGGTTCCAGATTGTGCAGAAGGTCGGGCTGTGCATTTGCGTGTATGATCTGCTGAAAGCTTCTGATGGCTTGATCGGTCATGGCACTGGAAATGCCAATGTCAACGGTACAGGAAGATTTAGGCTTATCGAATGTCTTGGAGCTGACGGGGAGTCCAAGTTCAATTTCGAATGATTGTGTTTCGACCCTTCAAGGGCGAGATCATTACGGGTGTGATCCAGCGATGCACACCTGAAGGCATCCGGAGTAAGTTGTTGAACACCACATCTCAAAGATGGAGCTAAGTCTACGGCGTCAAGTAACAACACGATTCTTCGACGACATCTTTGTGCCGCCGACCATGCTTTTCGAGGGTTGTGTCTAGTGAGTTGAATCAAGGAGAAAACCAGTGCGAATCCTGTATTGAACCGCCCACAGTAACGAGTCCGAAAAGACCTGGGTTTGGGAGACCGAGGGCGACCCCATCTACCTCGACGAAGGCACCATCGTCAACGTGCGTGTCGAGGCCGAAAAGTGGAATGACCAAGCCCCGGCACCTCCCAAGATCAGGAAACCGGGTGATCCTGAGCCAGACCCGGTGGTAGAGCATAGAGTGCCCTACTCTATCGAGGTATGATATCCAGACCACGGGGTAAGAGGGCTTTTCTAACCAGGTTCAGGCATCAATGGGTGAGCCTGGGCTCGGGGGTGTTGACTGGTGGTGACACAATGCTGCAACCGATCGCATGTGGTCGTGCTGGTTTACTTGCTTGAGAAGCCTAGTGCTGTCCTTCTCGTCGACGTGCTGGACTGACCACTCTTCAGGCACGACGGAATCTCGACCAGCTGATAGCGTCTTGAGCGCCGGTGCTGTCCTCGCAGATTCTGCTTATTGGTTAGTCAAAGAGCAGCGGTCAGTGTCTGTGGTTTGCAGTGCTCAAGTGCGGGCGGGGTTAGCCGTGGTTAAGCGGCGACTACTGCAATTGCCCCTGGAATCAGTTTGTCATCACGTCCTTTGGGATGGGCGTAGGGGGCGTACAAGCAGCTATGTAGTAGCCACTAAATTTACACGTGCAGGGGGCATCTCTAGGCTAGTGAGGCCTCCAGAAACTGGCCGTGGTGCCTGGCGGTGCCTGGGTCCTCTCCCCAAGCACGTCATCTCTCGCCCTTTTGTTTGATTGATTATTTTGTTCGATGACACGCGGGCCAAATGAGAGAATTCCATCGGATAGGGAATCACTGACTGAAAAAAATGTCTCTTCTTACAAACAGGACGAAGTAGTGGTGAATAACTACAAAACCCTTATATACACACACCCACTCTCTCTTTTCCATCGTGTGCCTCGTAATCTTCATCCTCCCCCCATTCGTGTTGTTCCCACGCCCTTCACCTCCAGCTCATATCCGTTGAACCCCGCGACAGGGATCCGACATCCTCCCAAAAAGATCTCCTATTAATTGCTTCCTGGTGGTTGTCTGGAAACACAGCCAGAAGAACCATACCTCGTTAATCGTCATGACTGTTCCAGTGCAAGTCCCTCTCTCGCCTCGTCCTCTGAGACCCCACGAGCGTATCTTGACCAACGAAGATGGCGGCATCGTCACGCCTGCTCGTGCCCCTTCGCCTGTCTACAACTTTGGTACACTGGCCGTTCACGCCGGCGCACCGATAGATCCTTCGACGGGCGCCGTCATCGAGCCTCTGTCCTTGTCGACGACCTTCGCACAAACGGCCGTGGGCAAGCCGATTGGCCTGTACGAGTACAGTCGCAGCGCGAACCCAAACCGGGACAACTTCGAAGAAGCTGTGGCCGCACTCGAACACGCGAGATTCGCTCTGGCATTTGCCTCCGGCTCCGCTACCACGGCCACGATTCTGCAGTCGCTCGCCGCGGGCTCCCATGTCATATCTGTCTCGGACGTCTACGGAGGCACGCATAGATATTTCACAAAGGTGGCCCTGGCACACGGAGTTGAGGTCACGTTCTCTCCTTCAATCGAGCTTGACGTGGAAGAGTTGATCAGGGAGCAAACGAAACTCATCTGGATCGAGAGTCCTTCGAATCCCACACTGAGTCTTGTCGACATCCGGCATGTCGCCTCAGTCGCCCACAGACACGGCATTCTGGTCGTAGTGGACAATACATTCTTGTCGCCTTACGTGCAGAATCCGCTGGATCACGGAGCCGATATCGTGGTGCATTCGGTGACAAAATACATCAACGGACACTCGGATGTGGTGATGGGCGTGGCTGCATTCAACTCGGAAGAACTGAAAGAACGACTGACTTTCCTCCAAAACGCCATCGGCGCCGTGCCTTCACCATTTGACTGCTGGCTTGCCCACCGAGGACTGAAGACGCTGCATCTCCGCGCCAGAGAGGCGAGCACGAATGCACTGGCCGTTGCTCGAGCACTGGAGGCGTCGCCGAATGTGATTGCAGTGAACTACCCTGGTCTGGACTCTCACAAGCAGAGAGCGATTGCCGTCAAGCAGCACCGCGAAGGCATGGGCGGCGGGATGCTCAGCTTCCGTCTCAAGGGTGGACACGCCGCGGCAGAGAGATTTTGTCAACAAACACGTATCTTCACTCTCGCCGAAAGCTTGGGAGGTGTCGAGAGTCTATGCGAGGTTCCCAGTGCGATGACGCACGCGGGCATTCCCAAGGAGCAACGCGAGGCTATCGGCGTGTTTGACGACCTCGTCAGACTGAGCTGCGGCGTGGAAGATGCCGAGGATCTGAAGAAGGATGTCCTCCAAGCACTAGAGAAAGCAGTCGTTGGACCGAAGATTTCGAACGGTGTCAACGGAGGCAGCAGATGATCTTCTGGCGCAAAAACCATGACTATCTATTTCAACCCGCTATCCCTTCCCCATGAAGGGGATGTGGTCCTTTGGCTCTCCTCATGCGGTTCACTGCTTCACATATTCATGTCCGATCACTGCGGGGATACCATGGGACAGCCTTGCCCAGCAGACATGTTCAACAAGATTCCAGCCTGAAGGTAAGGCTGGGGCGACGTTCATCCATCGCCATTCCTCTCACGGCTCCTTCCACCTTCCCACGCCCTTTTCAGACCTTTTGTCAGCTTTTCAACAAGTCAAGCTCATATATCTATCTCTACGAAAGAAACTTCAGGCGGCGCGGCCAAATCATCTGATATGCACTGTCCTGTACACCGGCGGAGAAGGGGTTTAAAAAACAAAACGAAAAACAGCCAAGCGTTCCACCTCCTCCGCGATGAGAACAGTAGTTTTTCACAGAAATGGAAGTGGGTGTGGAAGTGGAAATGAAAATGAAAATCAAAATGAAAATGGGAGTAGAAATGGGAAGAGAAATGACCTGAATACCAATCACCACCGTTATCACACACTGTACCTACTGTTCGGGCCACAATCATTCGCACAAGTCCCATACGGGCGTTTGTTTCTAGGGGGTTTGGGGGATGGAACAAATGAATGGCAGGCACTCTCTCTCACCTTAACCTCTGCCAGCTATATGGAGGGAGAGAACTTTTTTCTTTGGTGCTTGTACATATGTACCCAGCTGAAAGCTGTAGCTGTAGCTGGATTTGAAAAGAAACGAGATTTCCGCACGCTCATCTCTCATGTCCCATCACGTCACGTTCGGATGAATTTTACATACTACCTACCCACTGAAGCAATTAATGGATACAGATGCGTCTCATACACACACACTCTCCCCCCCCCCTTTTTCTCTCCTCCCCCCTCTACTCTCTCTCTGTCTGTCTGTCTGCTTACTAGGCACCTTTCTAGGCAGTCTTGTTGGTGTTGGTGTTGTTGTTGGTGGTGTACGCATATGCATACTCGTAAATCAGGGAGGAGGAGGAGGAGGAGGAGGAGGAGGAGGAGGAGGAGGTGGTGGTGGTACTAAACCTACTACACCTACTGGATATACAGTATAGTGGATAAGAGAACAAAACAAAAAAAGTAGTAATTGAGACAGAGATGATGTACGCCGTCGTATCCGAAAGATCAAAAAGCTCCTTATGATTCCTTTTTCTTCGCTAACAAATAAGTACGCAAGTAGGCAAGTAAGCACGCACGCAGAGGGGGGTATCTCTTTGCAAACATTCCAATAGAATATGATAAACATCAACAACAAGACGCCAGTGGACCATCCCCGTCCCATCCCCGTCCCATCATCCCATTCCCTTTCCACACATCTCTATCCGTAACACGTCGTGTCCCTTTCGGCAGGAGTGCGATGTTGTGCGCCCATACACATGTATAGTCGTGAACGAAGACTCAGCTGTGAGAACTGGTGGGTGGAGGGCCGGCGAGGTTGTCTAGACAGATCACAGCTCGTCCAAGCTGGCCAGTCTCGGATCCTCCTCAAGACACTGGTATTCCTCGGGGCTTGTGGTCAATCGAGGAGTCCCATACTCCATGCTAGGAACCTCCGGGAACGCCTTTTTTCTGATGCGGTTCCTCTCGGCGATGTCCAGGAGAATCTGCCTCACGTCGTCGGGCACGTTCAGCCCCTTCCCCTCCTCAGTGTCTGTCTCGTTCTCGCCGAGTCGGAGGAGTCTCTCGTTCTCTTCGCCTCCCGCCGTGCCGCCCAGTCTCAAGCTCCGGTTCCAATTCCCCTCCCCGTGCTGTTTCAACCCGGCCTTGACGGGATCACCATGGAAATACCATTCCTTGCCCAACACCACGGCCACCACAATGACAATGACGGCAATGCTCGTCCACCACACGATCCCCCACACACGGTCCCACGCCTTGCGGAATTTCTCTTCGGCGTTTTCCCACTCCTCGACCTTTGCTCGAGCCTTTTCCAACCGGGCGGACAGCTCTGTCGCCCGGGCATTCGCCTTCGCTCCACGTTCGGCCAATTGTCTAGCTTTCATCTGCCTGGTCTCAAAGCCGCTTTGGAGAACTTTGACGCGCCGGCGTGTGTCTTCGTCCACCCTCCTGCTCTCGCGCTCAAAATTCCCGATTAGCGTCTCACTCTGTCGTGCCAGTGACTGGAAACTGCCGATCATGCTGACCAGGTTGCCAACCTTCTCGAGCAAGTTGTAGTATCCATAGTCTAAGCGACGAGTTATTTCTACCCCCGTGGCGGTGATCTCTGCAATGCGCGAGCGCAGTTCTTCTTCGCCCATCCGGAGTTCCTGGTCACGGCGCTGGAGATCCTCAACTTTGACGTGGATACGCCGTGCCACGCGGGCGGCGTCACCGCGGTCGAGGGCTTCTTCAAATGATGTCTTGGGGCGAAGGGGATGTGGTGGAGCCGGCTGGGAGACCCTGTCACGAGAGGCGGGATCCGATGTCGCACGCCGGCGTAGTTCAGGATGCCCAGAAGCATTGTACTCGTAGCGGCCGCCTGCCTGGAAATCGCCGGATATGACAGCGGAGGGACCAAAGGCATGCGCAGCCGTGCTGGTGGTACCATTGCCGCCCCCAGCACTGCGGTTTGTCGGGTTTATTGGGTTAGACATGTTTCCCGCGTGTGTGCGCCTGTCGCGTTCGGCGTTGAGCCCTGCAACCAGGTGCGGGAGCGTCGAGAGAGCTTCCTTTGAGGCAAACCGGCGGGGAGCATGTGCTTCGGACTGGGTCGGGCGGTGGCGTCTGAAGGGAAGACTATGTGTGGAATCATTGTTATGGTGCAATATGTGCGAATGCGATTGTGAGTGTTGATGGCCACTGGAACTGTGGTCTTTGTCCTTGCTATGATGGTGCCGATGTGAGGCCCCTGGCAGGTGAAGCCGCGATGCCGTCTTCTCGAATGCACTGGTCGCAGCGGGCAGGGTGATTGCGTTTCTGGGTTTGGGCTCTGCAGGCGAGAGATATGATTTAGATCTGACATGTGACGGTCGCGTAGACTGAGTACTAAGCTCTCCACTCTGAGGTTGGCTGCCAGATGAGGCCGTATCGTTCTTGTTCGAGGAGGTAGTATGTGACAAGGAACGGTGGAGAGCTGGTCGCTGTTGCGACGGGGGGGGAGGGTTCACAAGGGACATGGTAGACCCAAAGGTGGCGGAACTATATGGAGACCGGAACAAAACGACGGGCCATTATAGCTAGCTATACGACTCTGCGATGGTCGAGCAGTCAGGTCTCAGCATCGCAGGAGGGGAGAAGTCGAGATGTCTTCATTTGAGTCACGTGTTCGGACCCTGCCCGCCGACCCGGCGCGGCTATCACACTCGAAGCGTTGATTGAGCGATGCTGTGAATGCGAAGGTCTCGCGGTCGAGGACTGGAAGATGATTTTCATTCGCTATCTAGAGAGCCACCATGAACTTGCACTCTAATGAACAGCATCGTCCCTCCATCAAATCCCATATCTTTCATGGTAACAATCAATATTTCAGTCTGTGCTATCGACACCTTCGCTGCCGTGACTCGTCTCATGCTTCATATCGTGGGTCTCATTTACTCCGCGCACAATCGTCAACAATCCGCTTCTCTGGTCCAAAGTGCAGATGGTATCATTCATGCTTGAAGGACTTGGAGCTCCGTTCTCTACCCATTGACCGTGTCTGTGTGGTTGCAAATGAAAATGTTCCGCCGATCTCACGCCGTCGTCGGACACTTAGGTGTTTGGTGAATCCCTCAGTACTCGGCGCCAGCCTCGTCTTCCGCCTCGAGACTGTCGCTGGCAACTTCCTCGTAGTCCTTTTCCAGTGCCGCCAGGTCTTCCCGGGCCTCAGAGAACTCGCCTTCCTCCATTCCTTCGCCAACATACCAGTGCACGAACGCTCGCTTCGAGTACATGAGGTCGAACTTGTGATCAAGTCGACTCCAAGCCTCGGCGATGGCAGTGGTGTTGGACAGCATGCTCACGGAGCGGTCAACTTTGGCGAGCTCGCCGCCGGGAACAGGCATAGCTAAATGGAATTGTTAGCAGAATAGACCCGAAGCACGACAACGATATACTTACGAGGTTGATAGTTGATGCCAACTTTGAATCCAGTAGGGCACCAGTCAACCAAGTGGAAGCTTGATTTGGCCTTGAGGGAGGCAATGGCGGCGTTGGCATCGCGAGGAACGACATCACCGCGGTAGAGCAAGGCAACAGCCATGTACTTCCCGTTGCGAGGATCACAAACGACCATCTGGTTGTTTGGTTCAAAGCACTGGAGCGTCAGGTCGTGGACCTTGAAGCTTTCGTGGGAAGATCGCTTGGTGGAAACAACGGGAGCATAGCTGATGAGTGGGTAGTGGATACGAGGATACGGGACCAAGTTGGTCTGGAATTCGTTCAAGTCGACGTTCAGGGCACCATCAAAGCGGAGACTGGACGTGACGGAGGAGACGACCTGCGCAATGAGGCGGTTCAGATGCTCGTAGTCTGGGCGAGGGATATCCAGGTTGCGACGGCAGATATCGTAGACAGCTTCGTTATCCACCAAGAATGTGCAGTCGGCGTGTTCAATGGTGCTGTGGGTGGACAGAACAGCGTTATAAGGTTCGACGACAGACGATGACACCTGGGGGGCAGGGTAGACGGCGAATTCCAACTTGCACTTCTTACCATAGTCGACCGAGAGACGTTCGAGAAGCAGAGCACCGAAGCCGGATCCAGTCCCACCCCCGAAGGAGTGAAAGATCAAGAAGCCTTGAAGAGACGAGCAGTTGTCTTGCGGAAGGTCAGTATTTCTCTGCAGCTACTTGCAGTAATAGACCTTGTTATTCCTCACCTGCAACGCGACGGATCTTGTCCAAAACATCGTCCACAAGCTCTTTGCCGATGGTGTAGTGACCTCGAGCGTAGTTGTTTGCAGCATCCTCTTTGCCACTGATCAGGAGCTCCGGGTGGAAGAGTTGCCTGTATTGCCCGGTTCGGATTTCGTCAATAGGGGATGGGTCGAGATCGACGAAAATGGACCGAGGGACGTGTTTGTTGTTGCTGGTCTCGGTGAAGAAGGTCTCGAAGGCTCCAGCATCGCCAACATTGGCATCGGGATCAGGTCGGCCATCAGCCTTCAGGCCGTGTTCAAGAAGATACCTGGATGAGGGGATTAGAAACCGTGATTCAAAGTAGCGGTGGGCGCAGGGTTCGTTCGTACAATTCCCAGGCGGCATTTCCAAGCTGAGTACCAGCCTGCCCGATATGCAGGTGGCAAACCTGTTCCAAAGATCAGTATGCGACGGATCGTAGCAGAGACTTACGACGGATTCGAAGGGCGTCCGGGTAGAGATAGGTACGGGTGGTGCGGGTGTGATTTTGGGCACCAAATAATAGAGGGGTACACAAAAACAAGGGCAAACAAACTTACCTCCCCGTGCATTCTGTAGGGGTTCTGAAAACGCAATACAGGATAAAAGTACGATCAAGACGCGAGACTATCCAATGCCGACTCTGTGCGAGATCTGTCGGTGCACAGGACAAAGAAAGGACGAAGAAGAGAGTGAAGCCTAAAATGCGCGGATGGTCAAGTGGTGTGTATCAATTTGCGATTGGCGCGTCCTATTAGGGAAGACGGAACAGGATAAACAAGCCAAGAACCACCAAACCGGTCGTGCATTCACTCCTCCGTTCACACCGCGACCATGCACGAGGGATGTACCTGCAGCTGTCGTCGTGCCGCTCCCGTTCTCTGCCTTCTGTCCTCCTTGCCGTCATGTTCCATTTTGACCAACTTTGAGTTGATTGCAGAGGTGTCGCTCATGGTGCGGATAATGGACTCCTTCATGCCCAGAAAAGACCTTGGTGTACCAGACATCTCTGTATTGAAACCACATCTCTTAGACTTGTCCCTCTGCAGCCCAAAACAGGGCGGTGAAGGTCTGTCAGTGGTCTCCGGGCACGGAGAGGATTTCACGCGCTGAGCCTCGGCTGCAGTTAGAAGTTTGACACGCCTCTTGATCTGAGACCTGAAGATCTATCAGGTACAATCTGCTTCACGCTTCCGCCTTTTCCTCGCCTATATACGAAAGTACCGAGTATTCGAACTGTCAGGGGGCGGGCCAAACAAGGGCTGGCTGTGGACATTGTTTCAGCGTACATTACCTGGGCATTGATAAGCACAGCAGCAAATAAACGCGTCTTGAGAGGAAGCACATGTTAAAGATGAAACAGGGCTTGAAGGTCAATCGCTGACGGGCACAACGGCGTCAGCGCCACACGTTGATAAGAGGCCCAGTATAAAATTTGGATTATCTATTCGGCGTCTGCTCATCTCAAGCGCCACAAAATGCTAAAACATTGAGTTCAAATGGTCTTCGTGCATGGCTTTGTCCAAACGAAGCATTCCATGACTGCAGTGCCTGGATATCGCTGTAAGCGAGCTGAAGGCACCTACCGAGTCTCAGTGTGGCTGATTTATATTTGGCAAAAGGAGAGCTGCAAGGGTGCTTGAGTCTCACTCAATAGCCGATGCGAATTATGCTGGGGTCCTTGCTCGGAACAGCCTATACAGGGAGTCAATTGCCCTGATGTTGGCATGGCAGAATGCCCAATTGTACAACAGAAAACAGTTGTGAATAATGCACAAATTGTATCCCTCGGTTCTTCTGGTCTTTAATCGCCCGAGAATGCTCAGTCTCAATCTCGATCATCGCAGGAGAAACGACGGAGTTTTGCTGATCGACATCAAATTGCTTTGAGAGACGGGGCGACACACGAAAAATGATGCTTAACACTCCACTGGCGCCACTGTCAGAAAAATCCCAGCAAAGAACAAGCACCAACATTTGTTTTGGGTGGCTTGTCCAGGGGTCACCCACCTATCGGAAACGCGGATTGGGCGGCACCATTGGCAGTTTGGGAGATAACCTCTGCCGCCTTGGGGACCCATCCGAGGCGCCTATGCTTGGATTCCCCATGCAGACCCGCCTGTGGAATGCTTGGGGGCTTCCCGCAGCGGTCTCGAAAGTGCCAAGCCTGCCTATCCCTCTCCATCGCTCCAGTTTTCGCGGTATCTATCTTTTTCGTGCCTGGGCTTACTTCTGAGCCATACGTAACTGCCCCTACCAGTAAAGGCTCATTTTTTTTGTGGGAAGGGTCTGCAGGATGCATAAAGCGAGGGACAGAGGGAAGGCCCTTTCAAGACTTCGGCCTCCGTTACAGATGCAATTCCAATTCTATCACACTTCTTATACACCTTCGTTTACTGTAAACACTATAGACTGACACAACACCTCTTTGCTATCATCCTTTCAGACATATTATCGTTTCTCTAGTTCTGACATTTCACGCCAATGTGAGACTCCATCCACCCGGCATTGATCCCCATTTCTTTGCGTCATATACACCCACACGTTCGCTTCTTGTCTCCAGAGCCGCTGGCTGGCTGCTGATGTATGATATTCGAGAGTAAAGAGAGGGATCATCTCACCAAGAGTCGTCCTGCTCCTCTCCATATCCGTACCACTCGACCTCGACTCTGCTCAACATGGCCACCCCCGAGCAAGAACTGCCTCGCTTCGAATTCGACCCTTCCAGCCAAAGACCTTCTGATGACGATAGCACGGCGGTGGAAAATGACAGGCACGAAGGCTCGGTCGACAGTAGGTTGTTACACGACCGGCTGAAGGTGGAAACACAGCGTCGAGATACAAATACACGCTTTGACGACCCGCGGTCCCCGAGCAAGACACGTGAGGAGGCTCATCGACTTGAGGATGAATTGGCCGTGCAGAGAGCTGAACGGCTCACGTCAATAGAATCCCGGGGGTCAGAGGGCGGTCGGACTTCGACACAACTTCATCGATCCCGGTCAAGAGCACCCGAACCACTCGACGAGTTCGATACGGCTACGAACCCTATCCACGAACGCACGGCCATATACAAGCCGCCTGAAAACCCCAGCACCAAGATCGCCAAGTTCTTCAAATACATTCATCAGTCCAGCTTTGTTATCCGCTACTTCACTTATATCGTCCCGGTCTTTGCCCTTCTACTAATTCCCATCCTGGTGGGAGCATTCCTGCCTGTCGCCGAGCATGCAAGTGTTGGTGGTGTTAAGTTGATTTGGTTTGGTGTATGGCTTGAAATCATCTGGTTGACTCTCTGGGCCGGCCGTATCGTTGCCCGGATGATCCCTTATCCTCTCGGTCTTATCTCAAGCCTCTTTACGAACAATGCCAAAAAGTGGCGAGATCTGGGCAAGGCCCTTGAAATCCCAGCGACGATCTTCTTCTGGTGGCTCGGTATCGAGGTATCTTTCTTGCCAACAATGACTAACCACCATGTTGATGGCTCCAAACAAACCAAGCATTGGGAAAGGACCCTTAACAAGGTCATCATCTCCATCTTCGTGGGCGCGACCTTGAACTTCATCGAGAAGATCATTATTCAGCTGATCGCTATTTCCTTCCACTTGCGGACCTATGCAGACCGCATTGAGATCAATAAATTCCAGATTGGCAGCTTGACGAAGCTGTACATATTTTCCAAGGCCAAAATCGCCATGGAGGACGCCGAATTCGAAGAGAAACACGTGGAGCCGGGGTCGGGTACCAAAACACCTGCGCTGTATGCCGCTCAAGCTCAGGAAGCTCTCACCAAGGCATTTGCCAAAGTGGGTGACGTGGCTGGTACAGTCGCGGGTGATTTTACTGGGAGGAAGGTTGCAAAAAGTGGCCACCCTTCTCAGGTCGTCTTGGCCTTGCTCAACAGCACCAACGGATCACAGGTTCTGGCTCGACGCCTGTATCGTACATTCGTGCGAGAGGGTTCTGACACCGTGTCGTCAGAAGACTTGAAGTTGGCTTTTGACAACGAAGACGAAGCTGAAGCTGCTTTCAGCATGTTCGACAAGGATATGAATGGGGATATCTCCATGGAGGAGCTTGAGGCGGTCTGTGTGGAGATTGGAAGGGAACGCAAATCAATCACGGCTTCTCTCAAGGACCTCGACTCGGTCGTCAGCAAGCTTGACGATGTTCTGTTTTTCGTTGTGGGCGTCGTCACTATCCTGGTCCTCATCTCTCTCATTTCCACGTCGGCGGCCGGAGTCCTGACTTCTGCTGGCTCGGCAGTCCTCGCTCTCTCCTGGCTGTTCTCCGCTACGGCTCAAGAATTCCTTCAGTCTTGCATCTTTGTCTTCGTCAAGCACCCTTTCGACGTTGGAGACCGAGTTTCGATCTACGGCAACACCGGGTCGTCGCTGAAGGGAGATGACTACTTCGTCAAGGAAATCTCGTTGCTGTACACAGAATTCAAGAAGATGGAAGGCCACATTGTTCAAGCGCCAAACTCCTACCTTAACACGTTATTCATCTTGAACATGCGGCGTTCTGGAGGTCTTGCTGAAGCCGTTCCTATCGTCATTAGGTTTGGGACCACTCTGGAACAAATCGAGGGTTTGCGCAACTCGCTACTCGAGTTTGTCAAATCGGAGAAGCGTGAGTATCAGGGCAATATCTTGACTGAACTTAGGGAAGTAACCGAAGCGTATTCCCTCACATTGAATGTTGTCTTCTTCTACAAGTCGAATTGGCAAAACGAGCTGCTTCGACTGCAGCGAAGGAACAAATTCATCTGCGCAATGATGGTTGCTATACAAGAGCTTGGTATCGAAGGACCTCGTCGTAACCAAGCGGGTTGGAGACCGGATGTTCCATACTTTATGCAATTGCCTCCGGGCGCTCCTCCCCTCGTCGGTGCTGGCAACGACCTGCAACCTGGCCCTCCTTCAGGAACTATCACTGGTGATCCGATCCATCAGACACCGGCAGTTGCAGCCCCCCCGTTTCAGTACCCTTCTATCTTGCGACGACGGCCTAGTACAGGCCAACTAGGACGACCTAGAGGCGAGTCACTGTCGGCCATGGCCAGGAGAGTGGATTTTTCGTTGGGTATGAAAGACGTCAGCTCAGGAGAGCAACTCTCGGATGTGTACGAAGATCGAAGTCGCCCAAACTTCGAAGAGGTAATTCGAGAATCCAACAGGATCGAAGAGGAGCGCAGGGTCTCCGAGTCTCAGGAACGAGATACCCACGGAAGGTCCACGTCTCGCGAGGGGCACATGATGAGCGGGATCCTTCGGCGCTCGACCACTCAAAGCTTTGGCGGTAACAGCAGAGCGTCCGTTGGGGGTCATCATCGGGCTTCGATCAGCAGCACCGAGACACATCGCAATCGCTTCCTGAGCCGCTTCAATCGTCCTGGTCGAAGCATTGATCTTCCGCGTGACTCATTGGCGGAAGAGGGCCAGGCACCTCCCATCCCATCAGTCCGACCTCTTGACGCGAGGTCTGGGAAAGTCAGCTCGCAGGCAGTTCGCGCAGACTCCATTGCATCCCGCTCTCATGAAAACGAGCCATTCCCAGCCATGGGCCCTGTGGATAGCAACGCAGAGGACTTTGAACTGAGGAGGCTGGGTGGAGAGAGTTCGTCCGGCCGACAGCATTAAAATCCACGGGTGTACTGAACCCCCTTTTTTCTGACCGGTATTCAGGGATCATAGGGTGTCAAATGGTTCGTCTTGGAAACAAAAGTTCTACAAATGGTGGCCATTGCAATGGGGTTGGTTTTCATCACGCCCAGGCCGGCCTTGATTCAGGATTGTGATTTTTTTACGACATTCGATATGTATAGACATTTTATGAAGTGGTCTGCTCGGACCACATGGTGATGATTATAGAGATAGAGCTTATGAACCGACGGAACTGACTTCTAACAAGGCCGAATGGCCACGAAACACTCTATCTCTTCCCCATGTAGATTTCTGATCAATACATAGACGAATGAGGGAGATGATTTCAACAAGCATCACGAACCAGGACCAATCCCTCGGACGAATTTGTAAACCATGCATTATTACAAAGTATCGAACCCTGCAGCTGGTCTGATTGAAAATCGCAAACGCGGAGACGGCGAGTAATTACATGCGGTCAACTGTTTGGATTCGGCTTAGCCTAGGCCGCATAGATTTCCTTCTTCGACACTTATCGGCAAACAGACTTTGACCGTGGTGCCGCGCCAGCTTTGGGCCTCTCGACTGCTTGATCTGGACAGAAGAAAGCTCAATCAGCACAGCTCTTCGGCCGATTTCCTCGCATGGAACCTTTTCTCACGGGCTGGGATCGGCACTGACGGGCTGTCCAAAGAAAGCAATCCCGCAACATGCGCCGTGCCCACAGCCTTTCCAGGTACGCAGGGGGCCTTGTGGGAGTTCAAGCCAATACGGGCCACCCGGCCAGACCCATCGTGAAAGCGGGCGAGTTTGCGATTTCGTCAGCTTTGGCCTTCATTTCGTCCGTGTCCCAGTTCGCCCAGACGAACTTGTTCTTGAGGAACTTGGCCTCCGGGCTGCATGCCCAGACTGCGAATGAAGCTGGCAGGTCCGCTGTTGTTATCGCACGATGAGACAATAAGTCAGCCATGTGGAGAAATCAGACACCGTGTTCGAGGGCGGAGCTGAATCCAGCTCCGATATGCCGTTGAACTGATGAGAACACGCTGGAAGGAATCAACTTACGCGTATCCGTGGGTGCCAAGGCCCCATGTTTGGCATTGATGTCGCTCGAGATGACCCCCGGCTGGACATTGACCACATGCCAGTCCGGGTGCTCGCTTTGGACGAACTCGAAGACCTTGAGGGCGGCGAGTTTGGACGACGCGTACGCTGACAAATTGGTGACCAAGGCTGCGGGGACATGGATTGCTGCGGTCGAGATGTTGATGACTGTCGCGGTGGGAGATCCCACGGCGATGAATGCTCGCACCGAGTGGAAGGCCCCAAGGATATTCACTTCAAACGACGTCCACCACTCTTTGGGATCCGAGGACGCGATTGTCGCGGGTTCGGCGAGATGGCCAGCATTGTGGACAAAGATGTCGATCGGCTTGTTGGCTTGTTGCTGGATGGACTTGAATGCATCTTCCACACTTGACGACGAAGCCGTGTTTGCTGTCACGGCGACGATCTTTGTGTTGGGGTACTGGGACTCAAATTTGGCTTTCGTGGCGTCCAAGGTCTTCTGTGTTCGTCCTACGATGCCAATGAGACTCACCCCTGCCTTTGCGAAGGCATTGACGATCGCGGAGCCGATGGCACCGGCGCCTCCGGTCACGATGGCTGTCTTCCCCTTGAGTGAAAGCTCGGGACGCGAAGGGTCAATACCCGGGTAGGTGTCAGCGTGCCAGGTCTTGAAGGGAGAGGGAAAGGGAGAAGCACCAGCGTCGCCCATTGTTCCTGGAGGTGCTGATAGAACTGGGAGAACACAGGTACAGAATTCCGAAGTTTGGTCCGAAGGTTGAAGAACGCACTGTGGAATACTCTGTGCTCAGGTGAGGACATGAACGGATTATATATATATATAGATAGCCTTGAGCATGCTGACCAAACTATACGAGCGTTTGATGGATTATCTAACAGGGCCTAGTGAACGGAAAGAATCCGGTCATCAGTTGACGCCTTTGGTGTCTCCTATGTACCCACTTTTGGTCCTGCACAAAAGCCTGTTATGGGTATTGGGCTCACTGGCCCTGTGCATGTATTGCCTTGATGGCAAGGCTGCAGGCTTACACAGATCTGAGCGGCTGCCGCATGCTGGACTGTCAACGTCTAGCCTTGAAACTGAACACAATGAAGACAAGGCGACGAACAGTTTGTGCTCTATGTCGGGATCCATCGCGAATGGCATGGAAGACGACAACATTGGGACAAGGGGTTCCCTAAAGAGTTCGGCTGGTAGACAAAAATGGGTACGGGAGTTCAGTGCAAGACAATATGAGGTTGAGAGTCTCGTTCCAAGGCGACAAAGCACAAAGTGAGACCGTCTACACTCACGTTAAGGTGAAAAGCGGCGAGATGGATCTCTGTTCTGAAATGTCTTTCGCTTTGATGCGGCTGCCGCACCCAACAGTGACAGATGGGTGACAATGAGTGACAATGGGAGAAGTGAGTGTTGACCTGATGACTCGGTCGCCAAGTGAAGGTCGCACTCAACTGATTTCATCGCATAAAAGACTCCTTCTCTCATCGACAACAACATCTTCATCTCCTCCTTCTTCCTCATCACCGTTACTGTCTTCTTCTCCTTCATCAATCGCTTCTTCTCCACTAAGTCGTTCTTTCGCGCAAACAAGTTGGTGCTCTTGCTCGGCACCACCGCCGGGGCTGTTTGGCTCCATTCACTCCTGAGCTCGGACACACCCAGCAGCTGCTTGGCCACCACCATGGAGGTCAAGATGAAAGGTACGTCTGGGCTCCATACTCGACTAGATACCGTGGCAGTGGCTGATGTGGCACCCTTTTGCAGGCTGGCCTCAAGCCACAGCGCTCTATCTCACCGTCATTCTTTGCTTCCTCGCCGGTCCCCTCAATGCTGGTCCGCTTCAAGGCAATCACCGCACCAAAGGCCACGTCTCTGTCGTCAGTAACTGGCGTCATACACCCACCTCTCACCACGGCTACCATGGTCCCACTCTGAGTGCTTCAAAGGAGGTGGCAGCTCATCCCTCACATGACATGGTCTCCTCGCTCGCATCTGTCAACCACGTGTCCGCTCTAGGGCGTCGAGACGGAGATGACGACGGCGAGGACAAAGCTCACCATAACTGGGCACTAGTCTGCGACAACAGAGAATGGACCACCATGTGCCAAGGCAGTGGCTACTATTGTACCTCGTCAGGCAAGTTGAAGAACAAGGGCCGGGACCTTTTGTGCTCAATGATCTGCACTTGCGAGAACCTCGTACCTGCGCCCAAACCTTGTGTTATCAACAACAAAGGCTCCAAAGCATGTGCAGTGGCCAACAACTTGGTGTTGGATGCCACAACTGGCGAGATTATCGGCAATGTCTCCGACGCGAGCATTCTTCCCAATGGCGCCATGGACTTTACTACAGCAATCGCGAGGCGCGATACAGAACTCAGCCACGACTATGCACTAGTCTGTCACGACCGCGTTCTCACAGGACTGTGCCAGAGCTCAGAACACAGCTATTTTTGCAACGGCCTTAGGACGGTCAACCATAAAGGCCAGGCAGAAATCGCTTGCGAAACCCACTGCACTTGCGTCAACATCGCTCCAAAGCCGTGCCTCCTTGGTGGAGTCGTGCCTGTCGCCTGTGGTTTCAAAGATGGGATGGTCTTTGACACGATCGATGGGACCGTTATTGGCAACCTTACGGACGCCCAAGTCCTCGGTAATGGCTCTCTGAGTTTTCCGCAGACCAATGCACTGGTGAAGCGTCATGACTACGGCTTGGTATGCTATGACCGCGAGAACACTGCCTGGTGTGGTTCGACGTACGAATATTACTGCACAGCGAGGGGTGCTCTGGTGTCCAACAGCGCCGGTGATTACTGGTGTGAGCACAATTGTGACTGCATCAACCTTAAGCCCCAAATTGCATGCTTCCCAAATGCAGCCCTTCTCACTTCATGCCTGCTCAAAGGAAAGATGGTCTATGCTGACAACGGAACCCTTCTGGGAAACGTTAGCGATGCATATGTCTACGCCAATGGTACATTGGACTTCCGCAAAGCGGTTACGAGAGATTTGACCATGGTATCCAGCGACTCAAACCAAATAATATGCAAGACGCAGCAATCCTCTCAAGTGTCTCCTTTTGATGGCGGTTTGGTCTATGACAAGAACTTGACCACGTTCTGCGCCACCCACGGCTACTTCTGCGCCAGCGACCCTGCACGCGCAAGATTGGATTTGACTTTACAGCCCGGCTCGAAAGACATCACTGAGTGCGATGCCGGTTGTGAGTGCCCCACGGAAACCTGGAAGCGTCAAGCAATTGAGCAAGAGCTATCGCAGCCTTCCCCAACACCCATTGGCGTGACCATTCAGGACCTTCTCCTTGGCTGCAGTTCGAACGATGGGTTGACCCAAGATAGCTGGTCATTCAATGAGACTTTGACCGAGTACTGCAAGAGTCATGGCTATGACTGTGCCATTGAGCCAGGACCGGTTTATGTCTTGCAACATCCCAAGAATGCCGTTGATGTTTGTCAAGTTGGCTGCGCTTGTCCGCCATCACCACGACGCCTTTTGTCTGCAAGAGCCAACGCAGAGCCGAGAGCAGACGACATGGGGACTGTCCCAACAACCAACAGCTTTGATCCCTTTGGCATGACCTGTTCGTTGTCGCGCAGCAGATCCAATGAATCATTCACCCGTCATTGCCAACAGGAAGGCTATTCATGCGTCACCATGATGGGCACTGTTCTACGAACTCTCTCTCACAACGGTACCGAGAATCATGAATGCACTCACAACTGTCAATGCCGGAATCCTTTCGGTCTCGATGACCGTTCAGGACAAGTGGGAATGTCTGTTACTGAAGACGAGACTCCGGACTCTACGGCCGTTGCCCCTCCCAGCGGCGTTCCAAGTCAATCCTCCAGCCCATTCGCCCTCAACTGTGGCAATGTGGCAGATGGTCCTGGCTTCTGTCAGTCGTCTGATCTGGGTTACTTTTGTGGCTACAACATGACTGTTATGCGGACGACCACGGTCCAAAATCAGGGTGTGACTTGGTGCGACTATTACTGCAGCTGTATCTTCAAGAACCCCGTCGCTTGCGTCAACGAGTGGAACGTTCCTTTCTGTCGCGAAATGCCGGATGGCACTGTTCGTGATGCTTCGAATATGCAGGTCGTCCTTGCGTACATTCAGGATGTGGTCATACTACCCAACAATTCCATCTTGCTGGATCGTGGCCAGGACGGTGGCTTCCCGTTTGTGGCTGCGATGCATGGTGCACAGGAGCCTGGCCGAAACGACAGCAGTTCAGATTCCGGAGATTCGCCTCGCTGGACAGACTGGCCCATGAATGGCACAGCAAACAGCTGGTGGAATAGGACTGGCCGCGCTGATGACTGAACAAGTCGCGCAAGAGACAATATCTCAAGACTTGTGTCAACGCGAACCAGGCGTATGTGAGCTGATCACTATTGCCCTTATGAACAGCAAGTTTCTTGATAAAAGTCGATCACCATCAATCGCTCCACGCCAATGTCGAATATCAATCAATTGCTCTTAGGATTTCCACATCAACACACCGCCATCGACAAGCAAACAATATCTTGAGGTCTGGCTTGAGGACTGGGGATGTTGCAGGTCATTTCCACCTCTGATTCGTGAAAGTTTGGTACGAGGTCCGGTGACCGAGAGTTATGGTAGAGATTGGGAGACTCTGGTACATAGGTATGGCACTGGGAGCAAGGAGGGATGGTGCTTTCTACCGATCCGCAGCAGGAGAATCAGCCCTGAGAGATGATCCAGGTCGCATGAAAAGAAAATACGAAACTAGATGTGTATTCAATTCAACATTGGACGCCTCCATTCTTTGTTTTTGTTCAGTATCCAAGTGTCCAGTTACCCACCGAGCATGAATCGTGAAAGCTGAATATCCTACCCTCCCTCTGTAGACCCGCAGGTTGTGCCATTTCTGCCGCGCACACATATCCAGTCTTCGTCCTCAACTATATCTATCAACCAGACGCTGTGCTGTAAAGCATTTCCGTCCATTTCAGTCCGGACCATGATTCTTAACCAAGGGCGACAGGGTTTGAAATGAGTGAGTGGGTTGGCGGTAGGTATCAACCAGGGAGGAGAAACGAGTAGTGGAGAATCCAAGCACAAATGAGCATTGCCTGGTCCGGACTGGTTCATGTCATGTCTCATATTCATTCTCCATGAGTTGCACACTTGCAATGACACTTCCTGCACACTCTCTGATCACACAGGCCAACAATACCATCTTCTGCGTACTCATCCGTCCAAAATGACCGACATTCCAAGCAGCCCCTGAGCCATCGTATTTTTCTGTCAGGACACACATCTGGCCACATCTCCAAGAAATCGTCTACCAGTCGTCGTCTTCATCTCGATCCTTGTCTCTGCTGCTCATCGCGCTCTGCCTGGCTCTCAGGGCCTCAGCCAATCCACCCGCGAGACTGCCACCTCCAATACTGCTCGGCGTGGCCCGGCCAGAGTTCGTCCCACTGTTCGTGCCCAGACCCACTGCACTGTCTCTGGCTGGGGACGCGTCAGGCTTCCTTCCTCCTGGTACCGGTCGTTTGGCCGGCGGTGCCGGAGGCGTGGGTTTCGCCCTGCCACCAACCGGCGGCGTCCCAGGCTTGGGGCCTCCGTTGACCACAACCGACGGGGTCGGAACAGGACGGTGATGGGCAGCTGGGGGCGGTGGCGGCGGAGGAGGCGCGGCACGTGCCTGCTCAATCTCTTCTACGTAGGCAGACGGGGTCCAACCTTGCGCCTCGGTGTGAGGGTTCTTGCAGAGCCACCAGCCTGAGCGGTTTACGTCAGTTTCCATTCCGAGGGCAGCCAAGAACTTCAATCGACTTACCATTGTTTTCTTTTTGCACAATTTCCACAATGTCGCCTGCCTTGATGGACAGCTCGTTCGCGTTGGGTGAATTAAAGTCGTACTTCACTTTAGCTTGAGGCTTGGAAGGCACTGCGGCAGGGGCTGCAGCTGGAGGAGGCGGTGGGGGGGGTGGAGGCGCGGTTCGACCATATGATGATCCGGAATCATTTCGAGCATGCGAGGAAGCGCCGTTGAGTTGTTGAGGAAGAGCATGAGCCGTAGCAGGCGTGGGAACAGGACGCTGAGTTTGTGCGGCAGGTCTGGGCGCCGGGACAACCCGTCGGGCGGCTGTCTTCGACGGCTGGCCTCCTGGACCACCTGGTCTGAGCAGTTTACCGGTGGTGATAGGTCTGGCAACTGCTTTGGCACGCGGAGTTGGTTTCGAAACCGAATTGGGAGATTCTCCTTGCGGCACGTGGATCGTCCCTGACTTGTAGACGTCGTCTCGAGAGACTCCGGGGTCTTTCTGAACTTTGACCACGGCGGGTTTCCCTGGCTTCTTGTTGTACTCAATTTGGGGCCCGATCTTGAGGTTCATGCCGCCGACTGCGACCGTCTTAAACTGCAAGAAGAATTCGGTCTTGAAAACACAGTTCAAAAGAGGATCCGGCTCTTGAGCAGACCCGACGCCGAGGGCAAACCAGTCATCCCGCAGGTTCGAGCACGAGATATATCTCACCGCGCCAATGGGTATCGTCCTTTCGGCAGAAATTTGAAGTTGGTTGTTCACAACGGCTTGCACGACGATGTAGACCGATTTGGGAGTCAGGACAAGAATCCTGGGCATCCGCTGCGAGGATCGGCCGAACTTGGTGACCAACAGCTCACAACGCGCTGAGAACACGCATCGTTCCTGGGGGTTGAGGTGGATGGCATCTCTGAGGACCCGGCCTTGACCACCGGGCATGTTGAGGCCAAGGTAATCACCAAAGAATCGTCTGGAGCCAAGCAAGCTGTACCTGCGACGTTCCTTCCGACCAGCGAGGAGTTTGTGTCCCTGATCTCGGAATTCAACCTCTTTAACGCCAACCTTGGATTTGCGCCAGAACCTTTGAATTCTCGTGGCGGCCTCAGCCCGATACCGCAGGTAGTTTCTCCAGGCTCTCTGAATGCGGACGGCCATGTTATGCCAATACCGGTCTCTCATATGCTCGAGCCCGAACAAGGTCTCAGGAGTCTTGATGAAGGCTTTAGTCACACCCATCTGGTATTCCTCTTTCGGGATGCTTGTGTCTTTGAAGATGATTTCCGACGCCGTCCTGACGTCTCCGGTGTAGGTGTATTCTCCGGCGTATGAAAGTTTGGGTGACAGCAAGGCGAATCGTTCCACAAATTTATCAAACGTCTGACGATAGGCGAAACCAGCTCGCCGAATACGAACATTTTCTTGTAGACCGAGATATTTGATCTGATGGAGCACATTGGGCTCGTTGTATTCTTTAGGCGACTTGTTCTCGTTGGGTTTGATGGTTCGGATGTACGACGGCTGAGCCTGCATGAGGGTGTCAACCAGTTCATTCGCAGATATCTTGATCTTGTCCCCGGCGGTAGGAGGCCGTCGCTTGTCGTCCTGATCCACTTGGTGTGGAAATAGCTCGTGGACAAAGCCGTTCGAGCTTTCGCTGACCAGATTGAGCAGATCTTTCAGTAGTTGATCCTTGTTCTTGTCCGTCATTCCCGCAACCTGATAGCTCACATCACCGGCATAATGCTTGATGATAAATTGGCCTTGTCTGCTCTCAAAGTTGGGGTTGCTCGAAAGGAAGTTCAGTCGGCCGACAAAGGTCTGGTCGGCAGCCCCGGAGTCTGCGTGAGCCGTTGCACAAGCGTCGTTGAGAGCAGCGAACACCCCCGGTGGTCTCTTGTCCTCGATCAGCGAGCAGACGACTTTGTTGTCGAAATACTTGATTGGGGTCCACTGGATCTGTTCGCGAGCGTACTCCTCCTGCTCGGCTTTCAATGTCAGTTGAATGAAGATCTGCTGCAGTTTTTCGTTGACGTAGTTGATACACAGCTGTTCGAACGAGTTCTTCTCAAAGATTTCAAACCCGTAGATGTCAAGTATGCCAATCGTATTCTTCACCGCTCCCTGGGATCTCAGTGAGACGTTGGTGCGCGCCACAATCCAATCGAACAGATTGAAGTATATGGCTTTGGCAAGAGCGTCTCGAACAGCGCTCGCCTGGACCTGGTTCAGGGGTGATTCGTAGATGGACCCTCTGCGTCCGCCGCCGCGGGCCGTTTCGACGATTCTGATGGTCATGGCCTTGTGCACGTGAGACGACTCAACTTCGAGAAGGTAAGCGACAAAGTCCACCACGGATTCATCCGCGATATCGACACCGCCCTGATCGTTCTCCCTGAAAGTGATGTTGCCAATCCACAAAATGGCTGCCAGAAGACGGAAGATGTTGTCCTGCTCAGCCTTGGTCAGACCAATGATCTGCATGGCATTCACGGTCTCTCGGAAATCGCTGGCATCGTCCATTCCGGGGACATCGAAGCATTTAGACTTGCTCGTATATACATACGACTGAGGTTGCTGCACACCGAAGGTATCTCTGTACTCTTTTGGCGCGGCTTTCGTGAACTGATAGAAAATGTGGAAATTCCTCTCGTTTGTGATCTGTCCCACCACCCGGCTCTTCTCCAAGAGGTAGTTTGTGATTTTGGCCCCCACAGGCTCACCTTGTTCATTAAACTCGAGCTCGAGGTATTTTCCAAATCGGGAGGAATTGTTGTTTCGCAGGGTTTTGGCGTTGCCGAAGGACTCGAGCAGCGGATTCGTAGCCAGGACCATATCCTTGGTCCTCTGGATTCTGGAATCGGTGCCGCCAGAGACGCTGGCAATATACTGCATCAAGCGCTTGGCAGCCTCCGTCTTGCCTGCGCCCGACTCACCTGAGATGATTACACATTGGTTGTCTTTGTATGCCTTCATGTTGTAGTAGGCTGATTCCGCGACGGCAAAAACGTGTGGAGGGACTTCCAGACGATTTCGGCCACGGTAGCTCTGGACCACCTGGTCTGTGTAGATTCCCAGGTCTCGGAAAGGGTTGACCGAGACCAGCACATGGCCGATATAGGTGTAGATCTCGCCATGTTCAAAGCGCTTCTTCAGGTTGTCGTTGATTGCCTCATTGGAGACTTTGCTCAGCAGTGTGAGATCTGAGACGCCCACTTCCTTCTTTTTTGTGATCTCAAAGGTCGCCTTTTTGATCTGGGGCTGACCGGAATCCGCCTGCGTGGATCTGCCGCCGCCGCCGAAAAGAGAAGATTTAGGTGCGCGAGAAGACTTGGCCTCGCGGCGTTTTGTTTGACCCTAGGAGTTGAGTGTGAGTGTGTTTGTCTCAGCGTGATGACTGCGGAACCACTGACCATGGTGGAGGTTCGGATTGATTAGGACATGCGCGCGAGGGGAAACGGGGTAGGAAAGAGACAGACGGTCAGTTCGCACGAGAAGCATGTGCTGACGACGAGAAAGGAAATGCGAACGGAAGAAGGACGATGGGAATTTAGCTGGAGGCGGCGTTGTGCCTGTCACGATGAGATTGGCAGTGAATGCGGCGGTGCCCTGTCGATACTGACTGCGAAAGTCAGTCAGGCACCGAGACAGGCGCCGGAGAGACTATGACATACGCAACGGCGCTATAGCGGAAGCTGCGGTTAGTCAGTCACCACGGCACCATGGCCCTCACATCCTACGAGACAGGCACTCATCCCCTCCAATCTCCGTCGACACAATTCGGTGTGGCTGTGAGGCTACGACACGCAATCTGTTCGCCGTGTTGGTGATCCGTCATCGTCTTGGCTTCAACGTATCCTACTCCACATGCGCCGCTCCGTTTGCCCCAGATCGACCCAAGCACCTAGCATCTCCCTTAAAAGGACCCTGCGTGCCTAGATACCCGACATTTGCCTCAGCATCGCGCAGGCAGACGTCAAGTTACGAGATTGAGCCTCTTACGACTCCTCCACAAGGCACATACATCGCAGGACCTGAGTATGTCTATCAAACATCGGACCTCAGGTCATGCTAAGAGAAAGGCGAATAGAGATGTTTCGACAATGCATTGGAATCTGACCCTGCATCTCGTATGTCAACATCATAGGGATGCTGTGCAATTGGATATTGAAGAACCCCTTTACTGCCTGTCTGTCAGACTTTCACCCACAACTTGTGGCAGGTAACACTAGTTTATCTTCCCACAATCTGGGTGGCGCTGTGTTGAGCCCAGATGAGCATACTATCATATCATGCCTTGCTACTCTCCCATCATCTTCTTGTCGGGTCAGCTGCTTGGACATAGGCCGGGTACACCTCAACCACCCTCCGCCATGGGTTCCTTCGACATGATCAGCCACAAACACGCGCTTCATCAATTCCTGAGCTTCCTCCATGACCTTCGCGAAGTTGGCGCCGTTAACGTATGCAGAGTAAGCTCATTCACCTCGTCGACATACGCGGCAGAGAACACGCGCTTCGTCAAATCTTTCGCCCAGGCGATGACCTCGGACTCTGGGACACACTTCAATTGGCTTCGTGTCATGTCGTTGGTTTTATCGACGGCAGTGCCGAGACAAGAAAGTCCTGAGAAGAATAAAGGGTATAGAGTTGAGAGTAGTATGGTGTATTAGGTTGTTTGTTGATCTTAAGATGTTCGAGACTGTGCGTAAGAAGCTCGCTGGGACTTGGACGATGGGAGCACCGGGTCTCTTATACTTGGAAAGGGGTTGCTCGAAAGTGATGATGTGTCAAAGTGATGTGACGCCGCTCCTTATCATCAATGACCTCTCCCGCTCACTGACCTTCACCTGCTGTCGGAAACAACTCCATTTGAGCGCCGAGACGGTTGAATAGCTCAAATTCCATTCTTTCACCTGCTTTCGGGCCCCGAAGTATCTGACCAACGATATCAGAACCAGGTGGGAAGTCGTCTTCGAAAATCGGCTCTCCAGCACCTCTCATGTTCGTCAAGACAGCCTGTCTGAAGTGCCATCGCAAAAGCTGATCAATAGGCGCATCAGGGCGAGTGAATAGCTCCCGATCAAGATACTTGCCCTCAAAATCATCTTCTACAAGTGTAAAGGCCACAACCTTGTAGTTATCGTCCGGATTGATCGAGATATCGAATGCGTCGAAGAGTGCATGGATATCACGCTTGAGTAATAATCCATTCTGCACTGAGTTGATAGATCCTCCCCATCGTGGTGGAATTGTGATCCACCGATCGTAGTTGTAGTCTCTCCAGAGATCTTCTTTCGCGATTGGGAAAATATGTGCAGCCTCAAATCTTCTCCAGAGGTAGTCCCCACCGAGCCGAGGTACAGGTTGTCCGGATATAATGCATTGACGATCTCGTAGACGAACAGCATCCTGAAAGGCATGCGTACGGGTTCCGGTAGATTGGGTGATTGTTCGGGCGACGACTTGCTCGTTGTTGAGGTGAAAGGGCTGACTAGCAACAATGTAATATTTTCCAGGTTGAAGTGGCTGGTCGTCTTTCTCGATCCTCGTTTCGTTCTCATCTTGAAGAAAGAAGGAGCTCTGAAATATGACAATTATCTCGATCATTGCGTAGAAGTTGGCATTTGTAACGCCAGGCCGAAGGATCAAGCCGCCAATTTCAGTAGAATCCTTCCGGTCGTAGATGTGGACATCTCGCCCTTGGGAGCGACTGTGTGGGGGCATGGCTTCTGGCGGCGAAGGGGATTCGCACGCGGAGGCGAGCGTTCTCGGGGACGAGGGTGAGGATGCCATGGTGGAAGCCTGCGACTCAAAGGTTGCTTTGAGAATGGCAGATGGTAGACGATAGATGGCAGGTGCAGCTTGCAATTAGCAAGAGGTTACGGGAGGAAAGACCGCGTGCGAGGTGAGGGAGAGCAGAGGTTAAGAAGCGGCATGGCCAGCCAGGGTGAGTTGCGAAGTGAGTGAGTTAGATGCAGTCACGTGGCAGTTTATGTTGGTGTCAGAATTCCGTGGCCACGCTGTTAATAGGATAAGGGGAGTTGATGACGCTGTGGAATTGGTGATATGGATTGAATAGCCTTCGAAGATGTAGCAGACATAGGTATTTCTTCATCTACATACTTTCGCCAATGCGCTCAATGGAGCAGAGCGATTTCTTAGCCAATTATATCGCTGCACAGCTCGTTACTACTTGCTCTAGACCAGATTAGAGTGATGCTAGCAGGGGTGCGGTACGTACATGCCACCGCCATATGCAGGCGGAACGGGCAAAAGAAAATATATCGTTGGGATTGTAATGCACTGAGCGTCAAGCTACACAACAAAATAACAATAATAATAATAAATAAATTAAACCGTTTCTTGGTTTCCCTTACAATCCCGCGCATTCCGTGGTTCCTTCGTTCTGTGTTGGTCGGTCGTGTTAGCGTTGGTATCGTGAAAGGCGGCAGCATCTATTTCCCCGGGTAGTTGACTCCCTTGGCTCCATGAGGAAGGAAACAGAGCCCTCATTTGACTGGGCTCCTGGGTTGATCGCCCATGCTCAATTTGGACCAGGTCCAATCAAATAATCCATTCATCCTCCCAGAAATCAACAAGATTTTTTGTGACAACAGGCCCCAGATACTCGGTCAATTGTTCCCTCCCTCTGCTTGTCCTGGTAGCTTCCTCCAACTCTCGAATAGAACTGTAGAGGTCGGTCAAGACACTGGCATCGTGTTGCGAGAGAGGCTGAGAGGGTGCAGAGGTGGTAGCGTGAGCGACCAGAGCCGTCGGCAATACCATGGGCGGCGTTTTGACCTCGTATTTCTTGTGTAGCTCTTGAATGTAGTGCTCCATGGTCGATATGATACTCTCCACCGACAACACGATGAGAATAGGGATCGGTGCCGGCACATCCAGCATTCTGGAGCACAGTTAGAGACGTCGGGGTACGGTGGAAGCACCTCTCTTAAGTGAAACTGCTCCTGAACGCCGAACGCCTTACCGGCTTTGCAGAGATGAGAGGATCTGCAGCGCGTGCATAGGGTCTCCCTTTCCGTCAACCACCGCGGCAACATAATGATCGCGCGCTGGCTTGGCCTTGGACAGGAATGGGCGCATCCGTTCTTCGGTAGAGGCCACGGGATCGGACGACCACAGTAAGAGAACGTTGAGCGTGGCCAGTGGCTTGGATCCGCTGAGTGGGATGAGAAGGTCGCAATCAGTTACTTCGCGTTCTACCACGTTCGTCAGCTTTACTCATGTGTTTGTGGAAGAGTCGTTCGTGTATGACCTTGGAAGTCGAAGGACGTTGCAGCAGCCAGAGCAGGTCCTAACGTGCGCCATTCTGGTCGAGTGCGGAGCGACACGGAGAACTTCGCATGGATCATATCGGACTGTGTCTTTCCAATTGGGGGGTATCTCTGTAGGTAGGTAGGTATCAAGGTAAATGTACAAAATGTTGAGTCGGGAGTTCTGGTCAACATGATCATCATCATCATCGCCCAGGTGCCAAGGAGAAACGGGATCCTTGTATAGGCATGCATCCCCTTTTTATCTCCTTCAGTGTCTCTCTCATTTTTTTGGTTTCTGTTCAGCAGCCGCCTTTTCCGCCTGTTCAAGAGCCTTTTTTTGTTTATGCTTCTCCTCGAGAGCCTTGTCAGACTGCACGAGGATCTTTTCTGCAGGTCCCGGCTCGTTCTCTGCGAGAGCGTCCTTTGCCTCCTTGTCATCCTTGCTGAACGACACTAGGGATGTCAGGCGTGACCAGTAGCCAGCGGGCTTCGCTGGCTTCTCGTCCTCTTTATCTTCCTCGTAGATTTCCTTCGGCAAGAGTCTAACGGTGGCTGTTGGCTTCCCATTCTTCTCCAGTGCCCGCAGGCGGAGGACTTCCCGCTCTAACTCGACCAACGCCTTTCGTGCTGCTTTCTCAGACTCCTCCAGGTCGTTCAGTCTCTCAGCGACATCGTCTCTCCGTTGAGTCTCTTTCCTGCCCGACCGCCACGACTCCAGCAGGATCAGACTGGCCGCGACACTGAAAAGAAATGCCTCGGAGATGAAGTTGGCGCCCGATTCAATCGCTTTGGCTTCGGAGAGCGGTCGAATCTTGGGTTTTACGCGCGGTTTGGGAGGCTCCTGTGATTCTTTGGCGGCCTTCGTACCCGCTTCCTCTTCGGCTTTCATCTGTGCCTCCGTCTTGACTGTCGGGACGTTGGTGTGTTTATGCCTCTTCGCAGCCTCTGCAGCCTGCTCTTTCGCGACCTGTCTTTCTAGAGCGGCGGCGTCTTGTAGCAGACCGATCCGCCATCGCATGTCAATTCGGTGCAGGGTCTGGGCAAAAGAGATGCAGGTCCGGCGGAAGCCTTCATGCTCGCGTGCTTGTTTCTTGATGAAGTTCTTTGACAGTCAGAGGAGATTCGAGCGGCGCCCTAGCACTTTATGACAACTTACAGCTATTGGTTTGGAGAGAGTACGTATAGCGAGAGACGTGAATTTGAGAGCGAGCGACATGTCGACGCCGATTCCGAAGAAGTGATGAGCATTCAGTAGGCGCCATTAACAACGGTGACACATTAATCAGTCGTTAATTATGGCTCATCATCTTGCAGCACTTTCCATATTGCCAGCTACGCAGACAATCACTGGGTCATTCAAATGAACAAGATGGAGAGCCTCAAGATTGAGCGACTTTTTGCTCGGCTTCGTTAAGGCCGGGCTCGGGGCCGTTCATGCTTGAGCTCCAGTTGGCACGCTGGGTGCCTGTGGGGAGCTTGGAGGCCCCTCGCCGGATAATGAAATTTCCGCACCACCGACAAACACGCCAAGTCGATATTGATCTTTGCTTGTTGTGGTTAGTCAATGTTTATTTTCTATCCCTTTTCGTCACCAATGCCATTGCATGGTCCACCTAACTAGCGAGTTGTTCCCATACTTCACGCTGCAACGGCAGCTGTCTTTGTCTCTACTGACCATTTGCAGCTGCAATACAAACACCCACTGCGTGGCAAGGCCATCGCATCTGACATGGAGATTCTTTCGCCACGATCAACAAATCTTCCCATGGCCCCTCCAAAAGCCATAAGGAAGCCCAAAATCGACTCCAAGCCAAAGCCGGACGTCAAACTTACCAATCCCGATCGCATCGACGACCGATGGAGACCTCCGCCCTCAATAACAGAGCCTGGCTCATCACCAGAGACCTATATAACGGGCAAGAAGCTAGGAAAAGGAGGATTCGCAGTTTGCTTCGAAGGAAGGTCAAAGACAACATCTGAGGTATTTGCCCTCAAAGTGGTCAAAGCAAAGGTTGAGCAGAAGAAGATGATGGAGAAGTTTCGAACCGAGCTGCAAATCCATGCCAAAATGCACCATCCCAACATTGTCGAATTCCTTCGTGCCTTCACCATCGACGAGTACACCTATGTAGTCCTTCAGATGTGCCCCAATGGGAGTCTTACCGAGATGGTCAAAGTCCGCTCCTGCCTCAGTCTGCCGGAAGTGCGCCGGTACATGATTCAGATCTGTGGAGGAGTAAAGTACATGCACAAGCGATCTGTCATTCATCGAGATCTGAAGATGGGCAATATTTTCTTGGACGCCCGAATGAATATTAAAATCGGAGACTTTGGGCTGGCTGCCGTCATGGCAGATGAGCATGATCGTCGGACCACACTGTGCGGGACCCCGAATTACATCGCTCCCGAGATTCTGAGCAAGTCAGGCAACCGTGGCCACGACAATAAGGTTGACACCTGGGCCGTGGGAGTGATATGTTATGCCATGCTCATGGGCACTCCTCCCTTCCAGTCCAAAACACAACAGGAAATTTACACGAAACTGAGGACGTTGGAATACGAGTGGAGGATTGACAGTAAAAACTACATTCCTCAACAGGCCAAGGACTTTGTGGCTTCGTGTCTGAACCTCAATTCTATCGAGAGGCCCGAGATGGATGAGCTTGTTGGACATGACTTCTTCACGATGGGTGCGATAGCCGACGAGCTGGACACTTCTTGCCTCAGGGTGACTCCGACCTGGCTGGAAAATGCTGACCCACGTGGGGACAAAGTGCATTCGGGCTACGGCATCAGTCACAGCAGAATATGCCGTGAATGTGGCGTTGGCATTGGCTCTGATGGTCGGCCTCGTGCTGGAGTCGGTGCTGGATTAAACGTCTCGACACTCGTCGAAATCGAGGCTGAAAATAGAGAAGGGTGTGCACCAGTTGTGCCCTTGCCACCAGGGACTCTGTATAAGCAATTTTCAGACGCCCACGCTGAATGGACAGCACGCCAGAAGCATCCTCTCCTGACGTCGCGCGTCCGCAGTCGAAAGGCTGTACCAGAACAGCCAGAGTCACTCCCTTCGCAGACCACCAAAGTTGAAACAGAGACATTGCCAACTCCGGCGCTCAAGGCCCCTTTGCCGCCAGCGGGTGCCACATCCAGACCGTTTCAAAGCTTCGCAGCCCAACAACGGCAGCAAGCAATCCCTTCAGGAGCAGCCCGACGAGGACCCATTATTCCTCAAGAAGACATCCCGAGGCCGGAACAGCCGCAAATTGTTGAACCTCCTCAACCGCTTTTGCGAGAACGGCCCATGCGAGCTGCTACCATCCGCACAACAAGAACCACCGCCTTGCGTCATGATCCAGTTCTCCAATCATCAAGGACATTGCCGAGATCAACGACTGCACCTGACGGACTACATGAGATGGTCAAACAAGAACTGAGCCAGAACAGGCCGGAGGGTCGCAGAATCAAAAGTGGGATTGCCACAGTCACCTCACATTTGGAAAGCCAGCCAGTGAAGAGTATCTCGCGATCGATCGCAGCAGCAGAAGGTGTCACTGCTCGCCCAACATCCTCTTCGACCAGCTTGTCAGGATCACTGGGAGACGCGGCTCCACACGTGCTACAGCCCACCAGTGCAAACGACAGACAAACGATTTCCGGGTCGGTAGAGAAGCAGCAGAGACCGGCCAGCGTCGAACAGAGACAACGAGCCGGATCAACAACAGATTCCCTGCGCACAATGTCCTTTCCAAAACATCAACCGAGAATTATTGCGGGCATAGACCGTGCCACCTTGGTTCCCCAGTCTTCCAATGTCGATGTTCTCCACTCTCTGCAAAATCTACACAAGGCTCTTGACCCCCGAAGGTTTGACGAGGCAGGGAGGCGGCCCAGGTCAGCATATGGCACCAGGAAAGTCCGCACACGTTCCAACTATCCTCGGGTTGACAAATGGGTGGACTATTCCACCCGGCATGGTATAGCTTACATCCTCTCTGATGGCACGGTGGGAATGATCCTGAAATCGTCGGAAGACAACTCTTTGCCAAGTAGCTGTGTGGTCGTCCGCCATGCCAGCACCCACACCATCCGGCGTGCCAAGGGACTGGAGTATCAATTTGTGCCACAAGGACCCGATGCCGCAGACGTCGAATTCTATGAACAAAGTGACTATGAAAAGGGGATGCAGCGACTCGACGTTCCGGCGCGAAAATTCCGACTCGACCTTGAAACACACCCAAACCAAGTCGCCGCGGCCAACGCGATCCAGACCCGTCTAGAGGGCAGTGAGGCTGAGCGGATGAAGGAGGTGGCGCTTTTGGACAAATTCGGGAAATACATGAACAAACAGGGCAGGCATGACGACTCGGCCAGTGGCAGGGCGGCGGACAAGGGCCAACATTTTGTGCACTTCTATCAACGAGTGGGCAATGTTGGTGTCTGGAGATTCGCAGACGGCGGATTACAGTTCAACTTTCCCGACCATACCAAGATCACCATCCACGGGTTGGCTGCGGAGGAAGATGGTGAGGATGGGCCGTACCGAGTCAATTGCGTGTATCTCATGCCAACTGACGCCATTGGGCTCGCAAGCCACGGTGGACTAAGCGGGGAAGCAATGGAACGTCGCGACGAAGTGAGCTTGCCATTGGAAGATATCATGAGCGGCACGCTGCGTCGCTCGGAGATGGAGATTGTGCGCACGAACGAGATCAAAGAGAAACTGTGCTGGGCTCGTGCCGTCATCGGGTGCTGGATCAAAGAAGGCGGATTGGGCAAGATGGGGGAGGAGAGGCTGGGCTGGAGCGGGTTACAAGAACGACGGGATGACAAGAGGATCAAGCTGCAGTGGGTGACAGTTGGGAGGTTTGGTGGTGATGGCGAGGGCCAGGGAGGCAGCAAGGTCGGAAGCAAGCATTGAATTGACTGGGTGGAGTAGGGAGTGTGTGGTGTTTGATTGTTGATGGACTCATCAAGCAAGCGTCGGTGTTTGAATTGGGGGCAGCATTCGGCAATGGGGGAATTGAATAGTTGGACTTGACGATGACATGGAATAGATCATTACCCGGTACATGATACATGGCACATGGCTTTGATTGACGGCTGAAAGACTCACTCGCTCGCTCGCTTCTGGACCGATTCGGTTCATGCGATCGGAGATAAACGGCTGAATTGCCATGTCGCCATCATTGATTGATTATCCCGCCATACAATGCCGTCGCTGTCTGGCTGTCTGTCCTTCTCTCTCCCAGTCAGTCCATTGCCATCTCGTTTTCCATCGCTGCCCATTCTCGATTAATATCACCATTGTCTGACTTGGTTGGCATCAATCCTCCTGTGGATACAGATACACGCAGTCGGCAAATATGGGAGGAGGCCCCGAAGAACATCTCCTCATCGTCCTGTGGGAACCCCAGCCCCAAGAGCTGCTGGACGTGATCCTGCAACGGCTTCCCCATTTCAAGATCACGTATTTCCAGCTGACCAGGGGAGGCGGGGGGTCGGTACCAAAAGGTAAGTGAGTTATGAGGTTGCTTTCGTTGGGATAAAGGGAAAGAGAGGAAGCAAGAGACGAAAGAGAGTCTCTATATGAAGACATGAAGACAGGAGTTGATTGATCGATGATCCATTGATCGATTGCCTTGATCCCATCCCCTTCGATAGATCAATATATCCATCCATCCATCCGTCCACTGACCGAGGCGATCTCTTGTCGACACACGCAGAACTGTGGCAGTCGGCCACTGTCCTCATCACCATCTCAGCCCTGCCCCAACCGGAAGAAGCTCCCAAGTACGTCCTACCTACCTATATCCATCTCAAGTTCCCCCTTCCTCTTCTATTGGTTTCCTGGCTCCCTCGTCCCTAACATGGACACGCTCCTGCGTCCCTTTTCCCTCTTCGACAGCCTCAAACTCATCCACTTCTTCTCCGCCGGCGTCGACCACCACCTGAAGCACCCGATCGTGACCGACACCGACATCCCCATCACCACGTCGTCGGGCATCCACGGCCCGCCCATCACCGAGTGGATCGTCATGACCACCCTCGTCGCCAGCCGCCACTACCTCATCGAGTACGAGTGGCAGAAGCAGCACCACTGGGGCACCGAGCGCAAGATGCTGAGCGCCGGCACCGACTGGGTCGGCAAGACGGTCGGTATTGCTGGGTACGGGAGTATTGGGCGTCAAGGTACGTCCTGGCGTTGCTCTTCGTCCCCTTTTCCTTTCCGTCTCGACTCGACTCGAAGAAGAAGACGCCGCCGCTAATGGATGTCGACTCCTCGTTCAAGCCGCCCGCGTTTTTTCGGCCCTGGGAGCCAATGTCCACGCCTACACCGCGGGCCCGCGCCCGACGCCCGGTAGGTCACTTCCCTCCCCCGTTCGCTGCCCCTTTTTTTCCCGCGTTTTTCTCCAGCCAGCAACTCCAAGCTAACGAGGAGGGGGCCGCCTCCTCACTGACAGAGTCAAGAGTCGACTCGGGATACATCATCCCGGGGACGGGCGACCCGGACGGCACGATCCCGCGGGCTTGGTACTCGGGGACATCTAAGGCGTCGCTGCACACGTTCCTGGCCTCGGGGCTGGATGCGCTGGTCATCGCACTGCCCCTAACGCCGGCGACGCGCCACCTGTTCTCGACGGCCGAATTTGAGATCCTGGGCCGGGGCGGCGCGAGGACCACCTCCGCCACTACTCCCTCGTCCTCCTCCTCACAGCCGCCCACAACGTCATGGCCGGCCAAGAAATCGCGCTCGTGCTTCCTGATCAACGTGGCGCGTGGGGCGCTGCTCGACCAGCCCGCGCTCGTGGACGCCTTGAACAAGGAGGTCCTCCTGGGCGCGGCCCTGGACGTCACCGACCCGGAACCGCTGCCCAAGGACGACCCGCTCTGGGACGCCAGGAACGTCATCATCACGCCACACATTAGCGGCCTGGGCACCGAGTACGCCCAGCGCGCCTACGACGTCTTCCTAACCAATTGGGCTCGCAGGGAGAAAGGGGAGAAGATGTTCAACCTGGTTGATCGTCGTAAGGGGTATTGATCAATCAGTCCGTCAGTCAGCCAGGCAGGTAGGTATTCAGTCAGGGATGGAGGGAGAGAGGGAGGGGACCGGAAAGGGCGAAGAATGAGAGACTCTCCATTCGGTGTCTGACCCTCTTTATAGCCTGGTTGTCGATTCGAGTCGAGATGGTTTACACCCTGGCGAAGGAGTCGACGTATACATATAGCCCCAGATAGTGATGACGGCCCTCTACCTGGATACACAAGCGGACGGAAGGACAAGAACCGGAAAGAACAAGAACTCTGAGGGTCCTTTGTTCATTCATGGGATAAGGGTAGACAGACAGACGGGTAGACAGATGGATGGATGGATACAAGGATAGATAGATTATCTTTGCCCTGCCATGCTCATGCACCTGCCCGCCTGCCTGCCTACCTAAGCTATCATCCCCTTTCGTAACCTAGTGACAGAACAAGACGACAATATGCGAGATATCTCCTTTGCAACGGGAAGTGGGAAAAAGAAAAGCGTTTGTAGCTTGTGTTCCATGTGGAAACATTATTATTACTGATCCTCAATTCTTAATGCTGCATGATTTCGAGGGAGATAGACCTCAGCCAGGCATGACTGGCTATATCGATAGATATATGTATTATACGCCAAAACTAGCAAGTTGAACACACAAACAAAACAATAACAATAAATCAAAACAATCAACGCATATCCATCTTTGTGAGATTCATTTCCCTCCCTCCGTATTACTAAGGTACACTCAATCGTTGGTCGTCGTTTTCGTCGTCATGATATGGTTTGACCTTCCAGGTCCACGTGGGGAGCCCTGTCGCCATATGTGTCGTCAATATGTATGTATATGTGTGTGCATAAAATCATCGTGTTGCGGAACATAACGTCGTGATAAGTAGCGTAGCCGCGAGGCTGTGGGTGTTTGGCTTTGGTTTTCGTATTGATATCGATCGATCAAGGTTGAGTCGCTCGCGATCTTATCGTTGCCGGTCTTGTGGGGGCATCGAGAACCATTCTCGCGTCATATCAAGCAATCGAGCGAGCAAACAAGCATTACATCTCCCTCCTCTTTTCGCTTTTCTTCACGTTCACTCCCCGAAGCAGCTCTTGAACACCCTCTTCGCAATCCCTGGCTTCTTCTCTCCCTTCGTCGCATCATCGACAACCACTCCGTTCGGAGCGCTCGTCTTCGCTGACCCGTCCTGCCAGAACAACCAGTCAAGGACTTCATTCCCAAATCGTCTCCTCGCATCCGCGGTCGTCCAGCCATCTCTCGCGGCCAATCTCCCCACGGAGCCTCTCCACTCCGCGATCTCCTTCTTGAATCCACCGTTCTGGCTCTCCTCTTGCTTGAAAATCTCCTCCCAACGTCTGCCGCGCACAGTATACCCATACCACTCTTTCGCCCAGTGTGCACGCGCGGGCACTATCTTGCCCTCGTGGTCTTTGTAACTCGTCCACTTGTCCAAGACCTTCTGGGCGTACGCCGGCCAGATATCTGCGACGTTGTGGAGACTGAGGATCTCAATCGCGCAGGTCCCCAGCTTGTGGCCTCGCTGTGGCGCCAGAGTCACTTGCGATCCAGCCATGATGCGCATCTCGAGCGGCATGCGTTGAGGACAGGTTTTGATGGCGGCGTAGCAGGAGAGAATGGCGTCCCACCACGCCTGTTGCACGAGTGTCAAGTCGATCTCTGGGGTTTTCGTGGCTGGTGCCGTTGATAGTGCACCATTGGCGGCACCGTTGCCGTGCCCGTTGACGCTTCCGTCCGCCGCCCCATTAACGTCTGACTTCACTTTTGGTTGAAGCGGAAATTCCACCTCCAAATCTCTCACCCGGAGATTCTGGACACCCCTCTGAAAGTGTAGAGCATCGGGAACCCATGTCTTGATGATCTTTCCGTGCGGACCGACATCGTCCAAGTTCTTCATCGCCAGCCAGGTGAGCAGCTTTGTCTGCGTTTCCGGAAGAGCCTCGGTCAGCTTCAGCAGGATCGTCGCATCTTGTGCGATCTGGACCATGAAGGTGCCCAAAACCTGTAAGATCGTCTTTGTGTTGCTTGGATAGGTGACTGCATTCGAGGTGTCGAGTGTCTTGTGCCAGGTGTTCACCCAGACCTCGCTTGAATAGGGGAACCAGAACCACTCCGCGTAGTCGGTTGTCGTGGCGCGGGTCTCAAAGTCTCGCTGAATCTCGGCTTTCCGCTCCGCGCTCAAAGGATGCTTTGGCCGTAAGGGAGCTGGAATCGCCGACTCTGGCATGCCTGGTGGTGGAGGAATCGCTTCGATGACAGGAACTTTGCGGGGTGCCATGAGCGCACACGATAGAGGATCCAGCTCCAGCACCAGATGTGTGACGATGCCTATGAGGCCGAAGCAGCCTGCCGCAGCTCTGAGGAGGTCAGGAGTAGACATGTCGATTTTGTAGAGCTTGCCGTTGGCGTCTACGTACTCAATACACCGGACGAGATCAGAGATTGTTGGGTTTTGAATTCCACCGCCGTGGCTGCAAACACATTAGTCAATACATCACTAAAACTTGAGCAAGGGAACAAACCAGATTGTGGCATTACTTCCACCCATGGTGATCTCAACCTCGACGATGTTCATCGGCATCGTGACTTTGCCGGTATTGATGCACCATCTGCGGAGCTGCTCGTTGGTGGTCGAAGTTCCAACCCGAACATACTTCTTCCCGCCCGTGAGCTGAGGACCTCTAACGTAGGTGTGGTCGACGACCACTATCGAATTCAGGTCCTTTGCTCGCGGTTGGAAGATGTCAGTCGGTACGGATGTGAGGTTCGGTAGTATCGAAGCGTCGATAAGTCCCAGGGTGGAGATGAGAATATCACCGTTGTTCTGGCTGCCCTTCTTGTTGGAACGACCAAAGACGGGGGACCACGAATGACCTGGGATATTTCAGTAAGCTGGCACGCAACTTGCGAAAGTTCATGAGGTGGCGATCTTACGGAACCCCGAGGCTCGAATACCCATATTCTGCTTCTTTGCAAATTTGATGATATCGCAGACGTCTTTAGAAGTGTTCGGTACACATGTTAGTGCTGGGGTGTTTTCCACCGTCCGACCGTGGTTGAGAAACTCGAGGTTCTTGTAAGTCTGCAGAAAGTTCAGCGAGTGGTGTTTGTAGAGATGGAAAAATTGTTATGAGCCTACCGGAATATAAAGTGCACGTTTGGGATCTTTCAGAGACGGGAAGACCCTGGCGAATAGCCCTCTGATGCGAGAAGGGATGCTTGTTGGAGCTGCCAGCAGAAGATTGATAGGTTCTGAAAGGATGTTTGTCTCGCCAGGAACGGGACTGGCGAGCCCTCTCCGTATATCCCGTTTCAGTCTTGGACCTTTCTCCGTAGCAGCTTGATTATATCGCTGACCAGCTTCGTTGGCATCGATCTTGCCATCCACAAAGTCGTTGAAGATTCCCTGTACATCGTCGTCGTAGTCGCCAATGATTTTCCCATATGTATCGTCTTTGTCAGTTTGTTTGAAAGTATGCAGAAACCGGCGGATGAACTGCTCTTCATCCACATCAACCTTCGGATCAAACCAGTCGTCAATCAGCTCCGCGAAGCCTGGGAGCTCGTCATTGTCGACCTTCTTTCTGAGGCCCAAGATACAGTCGGTGACGGACGTGACGGAGTCGTGCTGATGACTGCCATGGTCGGGTTCTAGATTATTAGCCATTGGGGCATCTTCCTCGAAGTCTATCTAAACAGCAAAACAAGAAGAGACGAAAGGCGATGAAATGGAATGAACAGCAAACTGCTTGACGAAGTGAGCTTGGCCATGATGAAACAAGCGGTCACAATCAGCTTGCTTTTTTTTTTTTCTTGTGGCGGGGCTTGCATCTGCCTTGCCGGGAGAGCTACTCGGTACAGCAACTAGAGGTCCGGAGACGACGCAGAGCCGTTCATCGGGAAACGGCAAGCAGAGGCTGAGAGGTTGGCGGATACTCGATGCCAGTCAGAGGCGGCCATATGGAAGACCGGCGGGTGCTGCGTTGTCACGCTGGCTTGGAAAAGGATGCTGAGGCTGACGATCGCTTATTGCGAATCCGGGAAATTAACCTGATCATTGACATGGAGACAACGTGGTCGGCATTCGCTTGTCTATCTCTTTTGGACAAGGAGAGCGTATCGCCGATGGCCTGATGGCCTAACGATCCGGGTAGCAAGACAGAGTTTGGTTAGTCGACAGAGCTCGGTGGCTTCATGTGCGTCTCATGTCGGTTGTGCGTTGGCCGCTGCAACAGACTCCCGAGATGCGTCTGACCCGCGTCAACCCCAGTGGCCATCGTCGGCGCCATGACGGGCAAAGATAGGACCGGCAGGGTCCTATCCGTAATGATGCAAGAGGGGTTCACCGAGTTGAGATAGAAATTTCCCATGGCGCGCGGCTGGTGAAAAGAACTTGAATTTACAAAAAGATGAGGTATGGGAGGTGGAAAGTGCAATGAGGTTGAAAAGCGAGCTGAAGGAGAATGGATGATTCTTGGCTCGTTCTTAATGAGGCGCCGACTGAGAATTGGGTACAAACTAACAATAGGTACATAGACCTCTAGGGGCAGGTCGGGGCCACCCCGAGTGTCTAGTGGTGCTTAAAGGAGGACTAACCAAAGGCTCACTTGGGCCTTCAGCACCGAGGTGGTTGTTTATCCCGCCTAAAACCTCCCTAACTAGTCGGCGCCCGCTAACAAACCTTTGGGCAGATACGAGGTCCAACAGTTACGGGCCAGAGAATCATTGATGAATTCTTGAGCTCCAACATCGACTTGACAGTGGGCAGCTCTACCTGTTTATCTAACTACCCAATGTCGTTGCTGGTATGTCAGCAAAGCGCATTGGCTGTATCAATTACCTGAGCCTCGACAAGAGTCCCCTTGCTTGAGAACGTCAGTCCGGCCCCAAAAGTAGCGTAGCACTGTGGCCTCCCTGAATGTGGAATTCGTCTACCGAAATGTATCTCCAGCAACGGCGTCGCCCTCACATTTTTTACAGTGAGTTCTCCAACTCGACAACCTCCTTCAACATCTCTTCCCATTTAGCCACCTCAACCTTGGTCGGCTTAGGCAGTGGCCGCCGGGCGTAGCCTCCATACCCAAAATATGACTGCATCGCACTCTTGGTCCCCGAGATTCCACCGGCAATGACTCCCCAGTCGCCTCGCGCCACAATTGCCTGCAGCTTCTGGGCTTCCTCCACTTTGCCTTGTGCATACAGGTCGTAAACCTTGACGCAGGCCTTAGGCGCAACATTGCCCAAGCCGGTGATAATGCCTGAGCCACCAGCAATCAGCGTTTGCAGAGTGAAATCCGCCGAGCCACCCAAGCACAACCAGCCTGATCCAAGGTCGTTCGGTTTGGCGGCATTCACTGCGTGTGCAATCCGGTTCAATTTGCCAGTGTTCCCGCAAGTGAGCTTGCAACCGCGGATGTTGGGATGCTTGGCCAATTTAATAATGGTGTCCGAGTCAAGATCCACACCAGCGGCTGCTCCTGGGTAGTTGTAAATGAGAATGGGGATCGGTGAGCCATCTGCAACACCCTCAAAGAACTCGACAAATGACTCGGGCTTGTATGCCGTCTTGTAGTATGAAGGGGGCAAGACCAGAGCAGCATCACCACCGGCCTGGTAGGCATCTCGGCAAAAATCAATCGTCTCTCGCACCGACTGAGCTCCACAACCGACGACGATCGGCATATCTGAGAATCCAGCTTCATCCAGTGCTTTGCGAGTAGTGCTCGTCACCAATATCCGCTCCTCTTTGGTGAGATGTACTGCTTCGCCGTTTGATCCTTGGCAGGTAATGGAGGACAGGCCAGCCTTAGCAAGTCTGACAGCGTGCTTTGCGACCGCCTTGACATCGACATCTTCAGTTTCGGGATCAAAGATGGTGACCATAGGCACGTTGATGCCCGGTCTGAGGGGTCTGGCCGTGTGATGTCCGTTCATCCTGCAAGATCCTCCAGTGGCGTTGGTTATCCCTCACGGGTGAAGGGTGTAGAGGTGAGCAAAGGAGTGAAAACTGGGTGAATAAATTGCTTTGTCTCTCTCGTGACTAACCCGTTTTACTAGCATTCATCAGAGGTTGATAAAGCTTGAACTCAGCCTCAGAGCGAAAATGAGAAAGCCGTCACTGTTTATAAAGTAAACGACCTCGCCCGGCATTGTGCCGACAACTGAGTCTGAACTCAATGACAAAAGCGACAACTCGTTCACGCCCCGCACAATCTGGAGGCGTGGGCACTCGTGGGGTAAAGGGTCCAATTGCGGGCGTGGGAGAGCGGCGATGGCCGCAGAGCACTGACCATAAAAGTATCCCATGGCATCTTGACACGAGTGCGAATAATGCCCAAGGGGAGCGGCGATTTCAGCCGGCAAATGCCAATCAAACACGCCGAGGGGATCGCCATGTGGCAACGGCGCGTGAATTGGAGGGTGTACGAGGACGTCTGGGTATTCTCAAAAAGAGAGCTCGAAGGTCGTTTCCCGGGTCATTGTTCTTCCGGACCGAGTGTCGTGCACACAGTGGGGTGAGAGATCGTTCCCCCACGCCCGACGGCAACTCTTACGCCCTTGTTTCGCAGCGAGAAGCCTTCATGTCAATATGCCGACTAGAGCATGGAGCCTCTATTGGGGACGGGAAGGGGTTTTGGCTTTGCAGTGCCGATCCATAATCGTGACAAAATGGAGTACACGATAGCGGTTGTCTTCTTGCCAGAGTGCGGGTCAAAGACTTCCGTCGGAGTAGGCGTGGGGTACATACCATCAGCATATATCAGGTCTGGCCTTGCCGCCCTTCTCTCCGTCGGCTCAACAGCTCTGCAATGGGGATGCTGTCCTCATCGTAGAACTCGACATCTTCGTCGACCCCGTAGTCTTTCAGTCGATTTCCTCCAGAATCTTGCCATCCTTCCTCCCCGCTGAGAGAATCATCTTCGTCCGGATCGATATAGTCGTCTTCGACCGGCACGAGATTCTCCTCTTCGAAACGGTCGTGGAATGGTTTTCGTCGTTGAACCCCGTAGAAATCCGCACGCCGTTCAAAGTCAGCCTGCTGTCGCTGTCTGAACGCCTCCATCTCATCGTATGATGAGAGATTGCTGTGGTTATGAACAAATGCATTGTGGGCGGAGTCAAGCGGCCGATCAAGTCGGGGCATTCGGTCGGGATCTGGTGGCGGCCAAGTTGTGCCAGGGTCCTCGAAGCCATTGGTTTCGAAGACTAACCCACTCGTCGTTGGAGTCGCGGAGAATGGCCAGAACCAGGCCAGCACGTTTGCTGTCCCCATCCCTTGAACAATATTGCTCCATATGCCTATATCGTAGGGAAATTCTTGCTTGACGATTTTGACTCGAATGCCATCAGGACCATCTAGGTATCCTCCAAGAGCGCGAGCTCGACGAAGCAGCTGTTCGTGGCGCTCGATCTCCCAGCTCTCGATCGTGGTAACATTGGCCCCAAGGCCCCAGATGGTGCGAAAGAAGGTGATCGAGACGAGGAAGAGTGTCAGTGTGTTGACAATGATCAAAAGCAAGAGATGGACTAGCTTGGGAGCGGAAGGACCTAGATACTGGGGCATCGAGTTAGTTTCCGCTTATGCCAAGGGTGGAGAGCCGTACACTAGGCAGATTGCGGTCCTCCCAGACGACGCCAGCTCGGACGAACAGGAAATATTCAAGATATCCCATAGCAAAGACAGCATACCAGAGAAACCGCATGAAATGAGGGAGGGTGAAGTGAGATACACAGTTGACAGTCCATGGACAATGGTGGTCCATCTTTGGAATACATCTGATACGATCAGCATGACTTCCAAGGGAGAGGAAAGGTTGCTAGCCTTTTGCATATTCTGCAATGATGTGATCTTGGAGGCTTGACGGCTTCGCATCTGCGGCAGTACCTCAGCCTTGAAGCGACCCCGTCTCCATGCGAGACCAATCTGACTTCCTCGGCCTCATCCGGTTTCCAGCCAGCCGGCACCCGGCCGGGGCTGGTCATACAGGCACGAGCATAACATATCCAGATACATCCTACCAAGGTGTTGAAAACGATCTTATCCCAGGAAGAAAGCGGACCAGGTTGAAGACTGTAAAAAAGGTACTGGGACGAGTATGAAAGGAAGGTAACGAGGATCACAACCACCGGCACCGCGAATCTCGCCAGCTGCTGAGGGTCCATGGCTGACACCTATGGGCTGGCGTGGGAGGTGGTTGGTATCGTAGACTGTCCGGAAGATCCGCTTGCATCGCTTTTTCTTCTTCGAATTGGCGGTGAGCTTACAAACAAAGCTGGTACCCGACCTTCATGGCAAGGAATATCGAGAAGTTGAGGACGGAAAACAACTGAGACGACAATAAGGGCCAGAAGAAGATGTTCGAGTTGCTCGACACACTACGAAAGGCCCGATGATATGCCAAGGCGCTAGTGGGCAATTCGCGTGTACGCGTCTGTGCGCACTACAAAATCGACGGCGCGTTCCACCACTGTCAATCACCGCCCAATCCATCCATGCCGGCGCCATGCCGATTCGAGTCTTACCAGAGAACACCGTTCGGGTCCTCAGCGCTTCACAGGTCCTCACCGATGCCAGATCCGTCGTCAAAGAGCTTGTTGAAAACGCTCTCGATGCACGTGCAACAGCGATCACCGTCGAGATCTCTAGCAACACTCTGGATGTCATCCAAGTTAGAGACAATGGCACTGGCATCGACATCGAGGATCGACAGCTCCTGGGTAAACAAGGTTGCACATCCAAGATCCGGTCTCTGGAGGACCTCAAGCGACTTGGCGGCTCATCTCTCGGATTCCGTGGTGAAGCACTGGCTAGTATCGTTGAACTAAGTGAGGCGGTAGTCGTAACTACGCGAGTAGATGGAGAGGTTGTAGGGACATCTCTCAAGTATGCTGCCTCAGGGATGCTCAGGTAGGTCCAGTGGTCTTGAATTCCTGAGGTTGACTGTATCATGACTGTCTCAGTTCTTCTTCAGCCTCCCATCCCGTTGGAACGACGATTCGCGTGCAGAATTTCCTCTCCAAAATACCGGTTAGAAAACAAGCGGCGCTCAAAGAAACCACGAAAGTTTTACAAGCTATCAAAGACCTCCTTTTCTCACTCGCTTTTGCCAGACCGGAAGTGCGTCTCTCATTGAGTGTCCTGAAAGCAAAGAAAAACAAGATCAATTGGAGATATGCACCCCCCCGGACACCGTCACTTACCGAGGTGGCAACGAAGATTCTGGGAAAGAATATTGTGTCTGAATGTGTCACGCACAGTATCTCTTCGGACGGGTTTAATGTCGGTCTTGACAATGGCTGGAAAATCAATGCTCTATTGCTATCGCCGACTGCAGGTTCGTATGACCCATTCCGGTCTCAAAGTAACATGCTGAATTTACTAGTTGCTGCCAATGCTCGGCAATACATTTCTATTGACGGCCGTCCTGTCAATACGGATCGAGGCACGATGCACCAGCTGGTTAAGTCTTACAAGCGTCACGTGCAGAGTCGTCTCCCATCAGAGAGCGCTTCAGTCTCAAGACCCTTCCTCCTCATGCACATTCAATGCCCGCCTCAGAGTTACGACGTCAATGTGGAACCCACCAAAGACGAAGTCCTTTTCGGTCGACCCGATCAGTTCTTGTCTCTGATGGAATGCTTGTTCAGCCGGGCATATGCTGGACAAGAAGATAATCCAATATATGTATTAGACGATGATGAGGCACAGTTCCCTCCTGCGATTGTATTCACACCCAATCCACACAGCTCCGATCGAGATCTTGTCAATGCCGAAGAGGAGGAGAGTTCATTGCAGCATGACGACCTCCACACCGATACCGATGTGGAAGAAAGACTGACCACCAAGGCAAACGTACGGAATCCATTTACAATCGCTGCAATGAATGCACAAGTCCAGCCCATAAGGATGGACATGCATCAAACTATTCCAAAGGATAGAGATATGGCTGTGACTTTGGGAGGTGTCTCCGAAACCGTGAGAGCATGGACCAAGCCCCCAGACTCTCCATCGCTAGACGATCCGAAACCCAGTCCCTCGTTGCCTCCCAGCCCAGGCCCGCCCATGAGACGACTAGTCAAAGCTTCGACGAAGAGAGAAACCAAAGGAAGCACGCAAATCTCAGACGACGACTATGCGGCTACCACGCCACAAAAGTCGAAATTGCAGGGATGGCTGACCCGGCAGCCTGTATCACATCTAACATCTGGTTTGAACGTCATTTTTCCGAACGGCCCAGACCCAGATTCGTCCGAGAAGAATCCAGGTGCCTTGGAAACGAGGCCAAGATCATATCTAGACATGGGGCCGCCTCCGTCTACCTCGGAGACGCGTCGGGGATGGGGACCGGGCCAGAAACCTTTCAAGGTGCCACCCAAACGTCAAGATTCGGCCGAGCCTTCTGGTGTTGAGCTCCTAACGCCTCCTTCAAGCCTTCGTAGACACCATCAGTTGTCATTACAGAAGGATGGGCGCGATCTCCCTGGGGCATTCGAGCCGGGCAAGGCTGGCAGTGAGGATGTCCATTCTGTTCACCAGTTTCGATCAGGAAGGGCCAGCGTTCCTCTCACAAAGCCTTCAGAAACTGAGCATCCGCGGCCGACTTCTGAGTTGGACGATATTATGGATTTCGAACACAGAAAAAAGGCCACAATCGCTCATCAGAGAAGATCTGCCAGGGCTCTCACCTCTGCTTCTCCCAGAGGGTTGGAGAGATCGGGCCAGTCCGAGTCAAGTTCTGCTTCAGCATGGGTTTCTCGCGAAAGCGAGTCAATACAGAGTGCAAGGCTCGAGGATTACGGGACAAGGTTTGGGGCTGAAGAATCTTCTCGGGTTTCAACACCGCCCAGGTCGAGCCCACGTCGCAACCGCTACTTGAGGGCGGTGCAGGACTTGTCACCTGCTCACCTATGGTCAGCAGGTGAGCTTCAACTCGCATCCGACGAACAAAATTACACAATAGAGACAGGCAGCGATCTGGGGACACTGAAAATCCCGGCCCGCAACCCACGAGCTCACTTGGCTAATGGAAAGATCTACCGAACAAAGTCGTCCAAGCTACTCCTCGAGAGAATCCCGTCGGACGCGTTGACACTTCGCCTCATTCTCACCACGAATGTCTTCAAGGACACTAATGGCGTGATTTTGCGACATATTCAGACCTTGGGAACCAGTGATCCGTACATCACCCGTGGCCTTACACAATACATAGACTTTGACGACAGCGACGCGTCATCAATTGACAAGACATGGGGATCTGTTCTACAAAATGTGCTCAAGACAACTTTTCGCCGCAAAGCCCAAGACGGGAGCGGAGTTGTTCCAGAGGACGTGAGAATTGTGGTTTCCAAGGTCTTTTGAAGGTTGACGCGCAGATTTGACAGTGGAGGCTCGTTCTATCTGATATTACTGACCAATATTGCATTGTTTTGTTGTTCGTATCTTAAGTTTGTGTCCTGGCAGTGGGTGGTGTAAAAGAGGTATCTGTTCTGTTCTGTTCTGTTCTGTGGCGTTCAAGATGGCCACAACTCGAAAGGCGTATCAGTGAAGACCTAGTTGATACCTACATAGCCATGTCCAGCGAAGACAGCCATCTATCAAAGTCCCTGCTCCGAGCACGAGTCATCACCATAATACGTCTCCCTCCTTTGATCCTTTGACCGATCCCCTTTCTCCCTCCCCTTCTTCTAAAACCCCTGATTACCGCTCCCCCTCCCCCCTTCCCCCTGTAACTCCCTCACGGCCTCCTCCCTCACCTCCGCCAACACCGCAACGGCCTCGTCGGCCCGCTCGACCGGCACAAAGAGGTGATCGTGATAAAAGGCGCTGACGGGGTTGACGCTGACGCCGCGCTGGGCCAGGCGCGCTGCCAGCACGGCCATGAACCCCACGGCCTCGAGCGACGAGTGCACCGCGCAGGTGATCATGCGGCACGGGTACGTGTACTCGGCGAGGCGGCGGGGGTGGGCGCGGGCCGTCTCGAGGCGCACGATCAGCGTGACGGTGTCGGTTTGGACCTTCCCCGTAGTTGCTCCTGCTTCACCATGTTGCTGGCGCGGTTCGCGGAAGAAAAGACAGATCTGGTCGAGTGGGACGGGCAGGTCATTGATCTGGAACTCCTCGGCTGGGATGGTCGCGAAGACGTATGTCTCCGGATGCAGCGTGGCGCGGAGGCTGGAGAGCAGCCGTGGCAGGGACGTCTCGCCGTGCCCTCCGACGACGGGGACGTCGTTGGACATGTCTTTTCGGAGTGGTCGTAGTGGTGGCCGGGTTGGAGCCCTTAGTCTGGTCTGGCCTGGTGGAGAACTGATGGATAAAGAATTTCCTTCCGGTTCCCTTCTAGCGGAAAGGCAAATGCAACGAACACCAGGACGCGCTGTGATATATATCGGTATACACAAGGGATGACCTAGAGAGTTCGATTGATGCAATTCAGTCCGCTTCGTTTCTCTCTATCTCTCTCTTTCCGTATGTGCACCTATCCCTCTATTTCCATCTTCTCTCCCTTTTTTGGTTTATATGATATCTCTCGAGCGCATTTTGATGATTTTGTAGAGATTAGTCATGGTCACCCCGAGAATCCACGTAAGGAGTGAATCATCCATAGAGAATGAATGGAGAGGTGGTCGACGATCTCTACATGCGGGTCAAAGGGCGTGCATCCATTTCCTTCGTCATTTTTTTTGGATCGAGTAGACTTCTCCGCCTTACATATCCCCTGTTCGTAACTTCGTTGTGTACCTGTATGCTTCCTATTGGAACAGGCCTGTTCGCTCACGTGAGCAAAAGCATGGAAAGGTGCTTTTGGTTGGAAGATGGCTGGCGTCTCTTCATGACACCGCTCGTACTTCTTCCCGTCTTCATCACAGGTGCCCGGAGACTCCGACTACCCATCCACCAGCGCTCCCTGGGGACCCGTGTACTCACTTCATAACCCGACAGCAGTTGGGGATGCAGGCAGCTTACACAAGAGAGAGAGAGAGAGAGAGGGAGAGAGGGAGAAAGAGAGAACGGGCGAAAAGTGCTCGTTCTCTGTATTTTCTTCTGTGGTAAATTCGAAATAACTTTTGCAAGGGTGAAGACGAACAAACACTGTCATGAGGTCGTCGCAAAACAAATGATCAGCTGCCCACACAAACATTCATTTGGCGTACCATCAACCACGGCCAGCGCCGCTCACCTGTACCAGACCATATCCGAAAGCCCTCAACACTGACACACATAGTCGTCGGGCATCGGTCTCTGCCCCATGCCGTAGCCGCCACCGTACACATTCTCCGCCACCATACGCAGCGTCATCGGCATCATGCTGTCCTTGTAGTGGTCCTGGATGTCGTGTTTCTCGACGGCGAACTGTATGTTGAAGTGTTCGTCCTCGAGAGCCACGCGCACACACTCCTTCTCTTTGTCCTCGTTCCACCACGACGGCAGCATCCCCGCGGTCTTGGCACGCGCCAGGAAGTCACGGAAGACCGGCAGTGGAGGCTTCTGGCCGTAGATGCCGTGGTAGTGGGTGCCGTGGGCGTAATCGTCGTCGCAGCGAAGGCGGAACGTGTCGATCAGCATCTCGTACGTCTTCCTCTCGGTGTCCCACTCGCGGAAGAAGCTGACCATGTGAGGGAAAGGCGGGGAACGAGGGCGGGAGTTAGTGTTGGTGTTGGTGGCGCTGGGTCGACGACATGCGGTTTTGTGTTGTGGCCAGTGAGTCGTCTGACATTCTGTGTAGCTACTGGTAAATGAGGCAGAAAGAGCAAGGAGCTGCACTCAGCGTTGACGGACCTTTAGAACAGTACGTCACCTTCTGGCAGCGGCTACATCTTTTCAGGGTCGTGCCACTAGGCAATTCGGCCGCTGGCTTGTTGCAGGCAAGGCACGCTCGCGGTTCAGCCGTGGTGTTTGTAGTGTCCGCCATATCGAGGGTTCTTGAGGCCAACGGCGATGTTGAGACTCTAAAAGAACGATGGAATGACGAGGCAGTTGACGATAACCTCTCGCTTCAAGAGAAGTACGGTGTGGGATACATAACAGGGTGTTAGTCCATCACTGGCGACGCGCTCTGGGGAGAACGCGGGGGCACGTGCACCATGCCAAGATGAGTTATTGTAAAAGTGCTCACATCTCGCCTGCGGATCGACTGTGTCCCTGCTACTTACTGTACTCTTCCAATTCACATTTTCCGTCTAAGGGCGGCTCTCGTCTCCTCAGCCGCGGTAGCAGCTGACTCTCTACAGCTGTGAAGCAATATTACTCTGATCGAAGCGCGTAGTGTTGGGGATCCCGCATCGAAATCCGAGACCCTATCCAGCATGGGCCCAAGATTTGCACACCAGCTCTAATGGGCCACGGATCGGAGCATAAGGCTCGAACTAAGTTGGGTGCAGGGCGAAGGTGACCGGACAAGTGTGACGGACTTGTTCAGTTCCACACCTCTTTCACGCACTCTTTCACGTCGGCAAGAAGGACAAGGACTAAATCCCGGTCACCGCGGAAGTTTGGCAGTTGAAAGGCAAGTTAAAGTCCTTTTCGGACTAGTACTGTACAGTGAGGACGCACAGCTTAGGATGAGAAGAGTAGCATGACCAGAAGTTTTCGGCAATTCGCTCTCACTCTTCGAGCCCCAGCTTCTAGGACATGGTGTTGTGGAGAAACAATACAACTCATTGTGCTTTGGTTTTCTGGTCGCACAACATATGCAACTGTGTGCTGTTTATCACTTAGCTCTACTTATTACGTACCTTAAGTTTCCAGCCTCACCAGGCCTCACTTTTAAGCTCTCTCTGGTTGGCCATAAACAGAACAGGACTTTGAATCCGAATCTCAGTCTTTCTGCCAAAAGTCTAATGGTTGTTCGTATTGGCCTTCTATTGGAGGCCAAGTGGCTGAAATTAGCGTGTCTCTTCCTGTCTTCTTGCAGATGTTAATTGCTTCTTGGAGGGATGGCTGGCTCTTGGGCCATCGTTCCCGCTTTCTGTTTGCCGGGCGGTAGACTATTGGTATGTGGTAAGGGACCTCTGAAACTAATCATAGGAAGTATGATCACCCTCTTATTGACTACTGACTTCCCTTCCTCCTCCAAATCATATGGAATGTGGTGAACAGTTTTGTTAGCGGAGTAAGGACCAGGCTGATGTATATAAGGTAAGTTGTCTGAAATTCAGGCTAGCACTTGGTGGTTTTTCTTTGATTCTTATAACCAACTCCTCCTCACTCATCAACTTCCAATCGGTTTGAAATGGATTCCTCGGATCCCCAGCATTTGGCAGATGGACAGGCTGTACGGGCTGTGGAAAGCTTGGAAGCTGCCAGGCGTATAGACAACTTTTTGTCAGCTCATTCTCAAGGCAAGCTTCCGGCTCATCTTGCGCATCTACAAAGTGTCAAGTGGGCCACGGTTACAAGCAAAGACGGGCTGCCTTATCTTTGTGGAACCAAGTGTAAAAATCCAACGGAAGAGATCGCTGGCGCACCCCCAAACATCGAAGCAAGCGACCTCAGCCCGCAGACGAGGACGGCGAACAACCCCTTACCGAAAGACATCGCTATCTTCTGGGATGTGCAAAAGAAAGGCTTGTTCGACCCAGACCCGAAGTTTCTACCTGCAGAAAAGGAAGCACAAGACATCGGCTTGAAAGATCACAGGATCATGGATTTGGGGCCACTCCTGCCCTATGAGTTGGATTTTCATAATACCTCTGGTTGGTTTTTCAGGTTCAAGAATGCTACTGGGGACTTTTGGGACATTATTACTGTTCTAAAATGCGAACACTGCATCCTTTACTATTCTGATAGTCCGAATCTCAGATGGGTCACAAATCGGGTGGTATGAAGAAGGACGGATGCGAACAAAATGAGCAAATACAGGAGCATGCCGGGTGCGCGAGGGGCCGATTTCACATGAAAATGTATTGCCACAGCAAACTCGGTACAATTAGTGGGGTAAGGGGGCAAACCTGTCAGACTGAATACCCACGAGTCTCTGGCACTCTGGTAATAGGCGTGACCGTCTTTACATTCTCTTGGCAGCGTTGTTCAGCAGAAATGATTGTGCTGTTGAGCTGCGAATCCCTTCCACATTATCCCTTAGGCACTATTAAATACTGCCAGTCCATTGGCCAAACAAACTTACCATTTCAAAGACTCGTGGTGACTGTCAAGTGCCTACATCTCGACGAAACCTTCACATCCCTCCAGGCGAAAAACGCTGGGGAAAGAGAAAGGAAGTTCGAAGAAGGTTAAGTTTTTCGCTAAGTTAGCACTCAGTGCTTGGGTCCACAGGAGAGAAGACAGAGGTGAATTTGCCCACACAGTTTTGTTATGCAGCGCAAATGGGATACCAACGACAGTGCCATTTGATTTGGCTCGGGCTGAGATGAGCTATCGGCCCAGAGAAGACGCCTGGAAAATCTAAGATGTCAGGAAATGCCTCGTTGCGGCCGGATGTCCAGTGGATACACCAGGATAAATTAAATTCAACGCACGCGCAAATGTTTCCCACTCCACGCTGCTCCTGGAAACTTACTTCGAGAAGACCAAGACGCCTGAGACGGAGGGTATCGATCATCGTGCCAGTCTATCTAGGGTGATGCTGGCGATCTGTCAAGGTATCGGCTGGAGACTTAATCGGCGATGCCAGGTGGCTCGGTCGGGACAGGTGAAGCGATGGGCACTTCGTCATTAAGAAGTTGATGAGGACGCCCGGCTTTGCCTTGCCTGACCGCCCCACAGTCGTGCGAGCCTTGCCGCACATCATATTGGTCGGCTATCTTACGTTTTACGCAGTAACGACGTATTTTACCATGCCATTCGACCCACCAGCCCACCCACGCAGCAGGCTAATGCATACTCCATCACAAGAACTGCTCGGTACCCTGCCGTCGTTCTCAGACTCCACGGCCCTTTTCTGGCGAGGCGCTACTTGGGAACGAGATCTTCAAAAAGACCAAGGAACTCCACTAAGCTGAGCCTCAGATCAGTCTCTTGTCGTTGCCTGTTCGACTGAGACCATTTTCTCTCTTGAGACGAAAACCCTGGATTTATTCTACAACAACCTGGGTCATCAGTCTACATACGTGACAACACATCGCCAGCAACATCGAATACCGCAACCCACGAGGATACCTATCCTCAAGTGGCAGCCGGCTCCGCAAAGGCGATGGTGACCGTTCACCATCCCGGTTGGCATTGCGCTGGAATGCCGCCCGATTCACACCAAAATGACCAATGTTGTAGCATGAGGGAATTCCTGTCTCAGCAGTACTCATTCTCCTGGGCCCCAATAATGGATAGCGTTGGCGTGGCACGGATCATCCTTCATTCAAACCTGCACTGCGACTTTGACCAGGTGCGGTCTGGGTTTGCGAGTATCACAGAGACCGAACGTTGGCTACACAGGAGCAAGTCTAGACCAAGTGTGCATGCTGGTTCCGCATATGTCACTCAGTGTAGGCTGAAGCCAGAACACGCAGCCTCGACAGGATTTGGGTACGCCTTTGCGGTCAAAAGGCTCTTGTCGATCGATGCGGAGCTGGGTAGCGAAGAAGCGGAAATCATGAAACTGCTGAGATTTCCTCATATTTCGGCGCTGCTGGGAACTTTCGAAGACTTGCAACTATTTCATATCATCAGCTATCCCGCAGGCTGTTGCGACCTGGGCGACTTCATGCACTGCATTTCCGAGAACCTCAAGGGAAGATTGTGGGAGTTCCGGAGCGATCTACCGCATAAGCCGAAGCCCGAAAAGATGACGCAGCAACAAGAAGAGCGAGAGAAGTTGTATAATTGGATCTTTGCGCTCGATGTCGCTTGCCAGCTTCGGATGTTGCAGCGGTACTTCCTTTGTCTTTGCCAGGCTTTAAGGTTTCTGCACGAGACCGGCGTTCGTCACAGAGATATAAAACCCGAGAACATCATCATTGACATACATGGCAACGTCTTGTTCACCGACTTCGGAATCTCTCGCAAATATGACAAGGAAAAAAACCCCAACCTAGCCAGCGATAACAAGTCAACTGCAATGACCAGAAAGTACCAGCCGCCAGAAGTTTATAAGGGTATGGACAGGGAGCTGAGATCGGACGTGTGGTCCCTGGGCTGCGTATTTGTTGAAATGCTCACACTCCTTTATGACATATCCTTGGACGAACTCAATCACAAATGTTTGGGGAACTTGGGCGAATACTGCAACGCCATCGACGAGTTACAGGCCTGGGTCACCAAGCTTGGAAACCAAGAACCGCATAAGGCGTTGAAGGACGAGGGTGTCGCAAGGTGTCTTACTACCGTCCGGAATATGTTGCATATAGAAATTGGACAGCGTCCACTTTCTACAACCTTGTGGAAGAGTTTTGATTTTCCGCGTCAGGGGCGTTGTCCCGACTGCCATCCAGAAGAAGACAGCGCTTGGCTCAAGCATGCCTCCACGGACCAGCTCAAAGATCGAGATCTCGCCAGGAACAAGACGAAAGAAATTCAGAAACTGAACAACGACTTGGGTCAGCAGTCACAAGCGGAGCAGCAAGCCTCCCAGCCTCTCTCGCAACCAGCCAGTACGCAATTACATGAATCGAGCGATGACACGCCCCGACGCCGATCGATCTCAGGAGTCCTAAAGAACACAGGAGAAAACCGACTTCGGGAACGCGGTAAATCTCCCCATTTCCATGTCCATTTCTCGCCTGGGATTGGCGACCACGGTGGAGTGGGAGAATCGCCACCACATAGCATCGCAGGAACGGTACGCGGTGCTGGAGCATCACGACCTGGTGGTCCCGCAGTCGCACGCAATGCCCTCAGATTTGTACCAGAAGGAGATTCTCCCAGTTTCCATCTACCCACAAGTCAACGCGAACTGCTCGGGATTCGCGCGACCAGCGAGAGATGCCGTGTGCCAGATCTCTCTGGCCCAGCGGGACCTGTACGAAGTGAGAACAGCGGTTTAGCCGGGACTCTTCCCACCCTCAACACGGGCCCTGCATCGCCAGATATGTCAGGCTTCAAATCTGACCAGCCACTTGTGCTGCTTGATATTTATGTAAATTATCTGTCTCAAGCTTGGCCACATGTCACCTACGGGGACATATCTAGCTGTTCAACAGGTGAGTCGCCGTGAGCAACCCTGTCGGTGTCACAGATCTAACGTTCTCGGCAGAAGACTATATAGAGCGACTCTTGGTTTCAGAAGACACAGACCAGTACGAGATCTTGTTTAAGGCCAGCGTCGTTGCGGCATTCGACCTGTCGGATTGGTCAGCCGCTCGCAAAAAGCTGGCACTGGACTATGGTATATTTGTGTTGGTAAAGGCTGTCGACCGCGGTGTCAAGATATCTCTCAGAGCCGGAAAGGGGCCCGCGAGGTCGAGAATCGCAGACAATGTCTGATACAACGGACGCTAAGACTCCTGGTACATCGACAGACAAATCCAACACCTTTCCATGGGGGTAGTGGAGAAAATTACGGCAGCATAAGCCCCAAAGAAATGAAAGCAGCTAACATCCTGAACCATCAATCACTGTGACTCCTCCCTTGCTCCACTAGCTTGTTAACCTCTTCGTCGTACGGCGGGTCTAGTATAAAATCATGAGCAGCGAACAGGTGATAAGCTAGTTCTGCTCTGCTTTTGACGACGACTGGGTGCTCCTTTGGGCATCTGCGGCACGTATACGTCCAGCCAAAGGCAAATCGTTCCCATTCTAGCCGCCGACAGCGCCACCTCCTTAGGTTCACCAAGGCTCTGGCACACCGGTCGAGCTCAGTTTTGGTCTCCTCGTTGCTGAGGAACTTCCGGGCTTGTTCTTCAAAGGCGTGGCGAAGCTTCTCGGGACTCGAAGTGTCTGACAACTCGTCGGGTATCTCGCCGAGATCCAGATCAGGGCCGAGCCGGTAGTACTGGAGATCAGCGAGCTGGGTACTCAACTGCTTCATGGATTCGTGGACTTCGTTAACCGTCTCTTTCAAGGCCTTGTTCAAGCCCGCGTTGGACCGTGAAGGAAGATGTTGCCTCGCCACGCTGTCTTTCGGGCGGTCTGTTCCGGCAGATTGGATACCAATGCTCACCACGATGCCAACCTCCTTGGCCGCCTCCTGTTTGATCGCAATGTCTGTTCGGATGTCCCTGACGATGAGCCATGTGGGATTGGGCAATCTAAAGCCCACGTCACAGAATTTGGTGTCTCCGACTTGTGTCCACGTAGTGTCGAATGGGTTGCAGGCCACAGCCTCTGTTACTGCACGGATGCTAAGGTTTGAGATGTCGGCTTCGAACCATGTGTGTATCTCAGAATGATAGGAGCGGAAGAGGTGTGGCGCACTGCCGCACCATCCTGTGGACGCAGACTTAGCCATCGAACACACAACGGTTTTACACCGGAACTTGTCAGACTCCAAAGACTGGCGGGATAAATCTTCGAGGAGTCTATCGAGTTCGGTGACCTGGCTTTCTTTCATCTCGTCCACGTCAAGCAAATCTTTCACCCTAGACATGCGCGAAGGTCGGTGAAGTTCGTATATCCATGGTAGGAATATCTCATAGCAAGCAAGGGCGCCCTCTGCACTCATGCGAAGCCTCCCCAGCAACAGTGCCGCGAGACTGCTTGTCGACGTGCTGCCGATATAGTCAAAATAATGGCATGGCAGATATATGGAAGACGACTCCTGGTGCTTCAGCTGAGCAACTTTGGGCCAGGTCTGCTTTATCCTCTTGAATCCCTCCCCACAGGATTCTTCGAAAATCCCAGGCGAATCAGCACTGGTCGACGCTCTAGTCAACATCTCATTTTCCTCGACCCAACGTATCCTGTCCATCAGATCTTTGAGAACGTAGAGTGTAAATAGGCTGTGGTAGGCGCTCCCATCTAAAGTGAGAACCACAGACTTGGCCCACGGATCCGCCAGTCGCGCCCGCCAGTAGGCCGCACCAGTAGCCGCCATTTTGGAAGCACAACGAGAGTGGGAATAGTCGGGGTGGTCACTGGCCAGATTGAATGTCAGCGATCACAAGAACCAAGCGGATGTCTAGTGAGGTTTTCTGTAGGAGGAGTTGTATTGTGTGTCCTTTGATGGGCTGCCGGGAAGGGAGACTTTTTGGCTTGTGTGAAGCAGGAAGCAGGAAGTCGAAGGGGGAGAAACATGCGCAGCTCCAGGATGCCGCAGGGATTCCAGCAAGTCAGGCGGACATAACAACTAAGGTATGTAACAGCTATGTAACACCTGGGCGTCTGTCAATTCAGGGATTCTGCCTCGTCGTCATGCCAGTTCGTCACACGGTCTGTGGTTGGTTGAAAGGCCACGTGTATGGTACTGTATTGGTAATTCTGGGTGGATTGTGTGTAACACTGACATGTCCACAAGGCAGAATTGTGACGAGCAGATGGATCTGTATGGATTCTCTTCCACACAACCCTTTCGCCTTGCTCGTACTTCCCAACGTCAACCCACGCAGCTCTCATGCATACCCTTGTGACTTTCTGCGGCATGCGCAGGCGTCGTGCAAAGGGCGGTCAATCCGGCAGATCGAAGAGCAGGCTGCCTATACGAGGCAAAGACTTGCCATTCCTGCCATGCCACTTCCAGATTTTAGAGCCCGAGCCACCCAGGGGATGTCCAGGCTCCTCTTCCCCCGCTCTTTACAATGAGGCTGTACACATCAATGTTGAACGGCTTATGCGCACACAACGCTTGAAGCTCATCGCCTGCAACAGAACAGCAGCCCTCAAGGATCGTTTAAAGAGGTATGGCAGAGGTGGCAGGGTTCGTGCTGGGTGGGGTGCCTATATTGTTCGAACTTCTGGATGGAGCTATGAAGGGTCGGTTGATATCCCTGATGCTCTTGGTCAGGTAGAGCTCGTACTGATGGGGCTGCAGCCTACTCGTTCTTCATGAGAGTTGCGGATGCTGACAGCCAATATGAGGAACTACGCACTAAACTGGAGATGGAGCAGTTACGCCTCCTCACCTTCGTCGACGCGGCTGAGTTGCTGGACGATCAGCCAGACATTAACTGGCCCAACCCCGTTCGCGAGCAGCAACACATCATGCTTATAGCGGTCCTAAAGGGGATCGAGTCGAAACTGGACGGACTCGCAGGTCTGACCCGATATGAGAAGCACAAAGAACAGGCCGCTGGTCAAAATGGCGGGAAAGACGAGAGCCATGACGACTATGCTGAGTTAGATATTGCGGGTAGGTACTCGACACTCAAATCCAAGTGGTCGGGAGGCGCGAAGAAACGTGCACATGTACGGGGGACGAATCACCCACGAAAGCTGTACATGATCGGGAAACAGGCGGTGACGAATCCTCGGGTGCTTCGGTGGGCTATTCACGATCAGGGGAAATTCGAAAATGTGGTCCGGGGGCTCCGGGAGTATACCGTTTTCCTGGAGAACATGTTGCAAGGCGAGTCGGTGAAGAGACTCCTGGAGGGCCAGCGCAGGATGGAGGTCGAGGTGATCTTCGTCCGAAACAAAGTGCAAGATCTGGAAAGGCTACAACAGAGCATGATCACGCTCACGCTCCGCAGCCAGTCCCAGTTGGCCGCGATGGCGGGCGTCAAACTGGTCAGCCTCGTGAGCAGCCATAGCGATTCGGACCTTCCGCCAGACTACCATTCCATCTTAGCCTCCAAGGAAAAGATTGCCATTCAGACCCTGGTCGACCTTGAAGAAGTGCCGACAAAGGACGACGTGGTCGCACTGCGACGGCGGACGAGTGTCAAATACAGACCAGGCGGAGAGGGGAGCGAGAGCATGGACATGTGGATCGAATGGAAGTCGTTTGAAACCGACTGGAACGAGGAAGGGCGACCAGAGGTCACGCAAGACAGCATTGACAGAGTTCAAGGTCTCGTGGCCCTCCTCCAGCAGTCCTGGCAGCACGGTTCCGGGGTGTTTGCTATCCCCGACTGTCTCGGCTGGTTCAATCTCCACGACCTCCACCAGATAAATCCTTCCCTTCACGCCCTCCCTAATCTGTTTGGCATCTTATACCGGAAACCGTCCTCGCCGGCGTCCGCCACCAGATCGACCCCGACCCCTGTTTCTCTGTATGCGATGCTACACGATCATCCCGTGCCTTCGCTCACGGTCCGAGCCCGATTGGGCCAGCAGATCGCAACCTCAATCCTATACCTGAATACGGTGCGGTGGTTTCACAAATCGCTGCGGTCCGACGCCATCGTGTTCCAGCGAGGCCACGCCGACGGGAGCGTCGATTTCAGCCATCCGCTCGTGACGGGCTTCGAATATGCCCGGCCGAACAGCACCACAGCCCGCAGTACTTTTGTCGGGCCCGCGTCGTCCAACGCCCTGTACGTGCATCCGGTCTATCAAAGACAGTCGAGCGAGAAACATCGCTACCTGCGCAGCTTCGACATCTATTCTCTCGGGATCGTCCTCCTGGAGATCGCCTACTGGATGCCCATCAGCGCGATCCTGAGGGCCGAATACGATCATGACGGGCTGGGGAAGCCACCGTCCCAGGGGTTCGCGGCCGACGTGCAAGATATCCTCCTTGGCCACAAAGGCAAGTGCAAGACGTACATCCACGTTTTGAACGAGACCATGGGCGAAAAGTACCACAATGCCGTTCACGGCTGCGTTGCGGGGTTCGTCGATGTCGAATCCTACGATGAGAACAACCAAGCACTCGCCATGAAGGAACATCTCAAGTTCATGGAAGAGGTCGTCGACAGCCTCGGTGGTATCGTGGTCTAGCGTCCCATGGACTGACTCCATATCATCCACGTGGTCTGCGCAGCTTATATATAACTATATATTTACTCAAATGAAGGGGATTTCCCCGGCCTTATATCACCGCCCACAGCCTGGACATGTCGAGATCCTCCTCGAGATATCTGTGTTCGGGACGAGGAGATCTCCCAGCAAGCAAGCAGGTAACCCTCAGCTCCTCAACCGCGTGAGATATTCGCCGCCTTCTTCTTCTTCTTCTTCTTCTTCTTCTTCTTCTTCTTCTTCTTCTTCTTCTTCTTCTTCTTCTTCTTCTTCCTTCTTCTTCTTCTCGTCGACAGGAGTGTGGTTGTCATGTTGGTCGTGTCAACACTGACGGTCTCAGGCACGATAATCAAATCAACAAGATCAGCGCAAACTCGATTCAGGGGTTCTACAGGGTCATCCAGGGTCCCGAACTACATAAGTGGCACCACCATATTGGCTCTAAGCTACATATATATCTATATACTACAGTACCACACACGGCACGTGGTCTTCACATTATATATGTATGTATGTATGTACCTCATCAGGATGCATTCATCCCGCTTTACGTTACTCATGGGTGGTCTTGTCGGTCGGGACACACCCCTTCCCCAGATGTGTTTTCTGTTTCCTTTTTGGACGTCGACCTAAGTAGTGAGTGAGTGTCCCTTGGGGTAGCTACGCGGCGGTCGATGAGGTCCATTGGCATCAGGACCAACAACGGCGGGCAAGATGAGGTGCGGCTGAGGCTGAGAGGAACCGGGAGAGGTATCTCTTCCACTTTATACGCCAAACGAAGAAACAACGTGTTCACAACGGATTCCAGAGTAAGATGAGCATTGAATGGCTATCCAACCAAGCTCGATGGTCATCAATATAAATATCTCCACAGTTCCAAGGGTGGAATCTGGCCCTGGTAGCCCCCCAACGGTAAACCTTAGGAGACTCTCCAAACTCTCGTTCAACTCGAGGACTACCGGAGTTGCAGGACACCGTGCGCCGTCCAGAGTGCGTGGCACTCTGGGTGTCACAGCAGAAACAGGCGTTGTCGGTCGGTGCTCTCGCTGGAGCCGAGAAACTGTCATTCAGCCGGTCAGACCCATTCGATAGGTCCGGGAGCGGGCGTGATGGGGAGTTACTGTTGAAGAGGACCCGTGGCCGTGATTGAAGACCCGCGTGACATACAGTACCTTGAGTATCCATCTACAGTGCTTCAATTACGGTGCGAGCCAGTCAGGGGCAATCACAAGGAAAGAAACTCGGGAGTCGACCGGTGGCATTCGTTATCCACTTGATTGTCTAAAAAGACCACACGCCCTTGATACTTGAAAACAGTAACAACAAAAGATATGATATATAACCCCACGTTCCATCTGATCGCCCCGTCCTGACCTCACCTCGCTCGTAACACACTCACTCGAGCTGTTACTTGGCCAGGTCCTCGGGCTTGACCATGCCACGCTTGATCATCGCGGCCACGACGGGCGTGCCATCGCCATATATAGTCATGGACTTGACCTTGAAGCCCTTGGGGCCGGTGGGATCGGCGACACAGTTGAACAGGAACGCGCCAGGCACGACCACGTCCCACAGCCGACCCGAGAGGTCGGACTTGGTCTTCTCCTCGCCCGGGGCGGCGAGGTCGGCGAAGATGTGCGCCACGCCCATCATCTCCCACGCCCCGCTGCCCTCGCCGCCGCGCTCGTACACGTTGCAGTAGCGTGCCTCGTGCCGGTGTGCCGTGAAGGGCGCGTAGCCGCCCACAAAGGCCTGCCACGACGGCTCGCCCGGCGGAAATGCGGTGCCGTCGGCCTTGGTGAAGACGAAGTCGTCGGTGTGGTAGCGTGTGTAGGGGCCCGTCTTCATCTTCTGGTCTGGGTTGTCGAAGGCCTCTGAGTGGTCGAACAGGAAGTCGAGCACCGGGTGTGAGCGGAAGCTCTGGCTCTTGTCGGACCCGTCGATATGGACGACGTAGGCGGACACGGTGGATTGAGACATGGTTGTTGTCAGAAAGGACGGAAGAGATTGGGTTTTATGTGTTCGTGCCGACGCGATGATGAGATGGTCCTGTCTATGAGGGTGGATCTATCTGTATTTGAATATCCGTCTGAATGAAGACATCGTCTTGGGGAATATATACAAGTTGTACATATGTGCCTCCCTTTCTGCCTCAGCCGCGCCACATTCTTTCAGCTGTATTCTCCGTGCCTCGATCTCCTCAGCCGCACGCACATTCTTAGAGGCTAGGGCTAGATAGACCCCATGTGCAAGTGCAAGCATTCTTAGACCGTCATTAGGCTTTTGTGCAGGCTCGTCAGATGAGCTCTCACTCACTCACTCTAGGTACAGTCTGGCATGTGGCTTGCGTCGTTGTCACTAGCCCAGTGCCGGTGTGGCCGTCGTCCTGCGACAAGGTGACTGTGGCTAGACTACTATCTATCGACCTTTGACAAGCGACGGCACGAATGAATACGAGTTTCGAGTCGGAAAAGGGAATCTGGTTCCGAGAAGACCGAACTTCCAAGGAAACAAGCGAAGCCAAGGAAAGCTTCGTGGTTCGTGATCCCCGATTGAAGCTAATTACTCACTCGTCTTTTATTCTTCTTCTCATCCATCATCATTACTATCATCATCGTCGTCGTCGTCGTCGTCGTCGTCATCCTCATCCTCATCCTACCACTCCACTTCAGATCACTGCACAGCGTCCGTGAATTGTCATTGTGTCTGTGTCCTGTGTCTGTGCCTGCTCAGATATCCTTCGGAAAGCCCTCCACGTCCTGCACGTCCTTGGGCAGCATGCTGTGCGAAGGCACGTCGCTGCCATCGTCACCGCCAGCCCCCTCTCCTCCCGTGGCGTCCCATTTGTCCTGGTACTCGGCCATGACCTGCCTGCCGGACGCCGGGCTCCTGACAAAATCCTCGACGCTCGGGGCCGGGAAGAAATGGTGCAGCGCGACGAAGACCACGGCCGCGATGGAAAACCCCACCAGGAACGAAATGTAGTACAGGTGCGTCCAGCCCAGCGACACGTGGACGCCGTTGTTGACGTTGCTGATAAACCCCGGCATCGAGGGGAAGACGCCGCATGCCCACTGGGAAACGAGGTATCTTGTTAGCTTCACGACTCCGACAGGGGTGGCACAACACGACTGTACGTACCGCGATGGGCGCCCGCCAGTTAATCCCGTACGCGTACCAGTAGACGCTGGTCCGGTCCCCACGGAAGAGATCGTCCACCTTGATCTTTTGCCGGTGCACGATGAAGTACGAGGAGATCATGAGCCCGATCATCGGCCCCAAGAAGACGCCGTAGCTCGACAACACGGCTAGAAACGTCGACGCCGTGGCGAGCAGTTGCCACGGGTTGACGGCCATCGAGAGCACCGCGGTGATGTAGGCGCCCCGGCGAATGTTGATGTACCGGGGAAAAGTCGCGGCAAAGTCGAACCCACCGGAGAGGGCATTCCCCGGGACATTGATCCCCCATTGCGAGATGACCAGGGCAGCACCGCCAAAAAACCCCGCCGCGCGAGACCTCGAACCCCCGGCGTGCATCATGGCGATCAGCAGGTCGGGCAGGCTCCACAGCGCCGCGCCGTACCGCCGTTGCGTGGCCGCTGTGACGAGAATGCCCACGACGGAGCTGATGATCGAGTACGTCGCGGCACTGGCAATTTGACCCCAGATGGCATCCGCCGGTCGACGGGCGAAACGCGCGTAGTCGTTCTGGTTCAGGATTCCCGCCGCGATGCCTCCGATGGCGCTGATGATGCCGTACAGCACTGCCCAGCCGATCGAGGTGTCTTGCGTCTGCGGGTGGCCCGTTATGGTGTCGCCAAATCCATCCATCGTGGCCAACGCCCAGATCAAGAGCACGATCTCGAAGATGAAGATGGACGCCACCGCAATGTAGAAAAACACCTTCAGCTTATGCGGCCGAATCCAGATCAGGGGCAGCGATATGATGCAGAAAATCCAGTAGGTGAGAAACGACGCCGACGTCAGCCCCGTGGCGTGGAGGTGGTTCGGTATGCGGTGTTCGAGATTCGGCCATATCGCCTCGAGGCAGACGTAGACACATTGTCCGCCGATCCAGGCCTGCACGGCATACCACACCAGCGACAAGAGGATGCGATTGTAGATGACGAAGGAGCTGCCGTACATGCCCCAGACGTAGCGATTGGCGATGGGGAACCCGAGGTGGTAGAACGCGCCCGGCATGCTGTTGAGAACGATCTATCGCCCGCCAGGTGAGGTGGTCAGTGCCGTCTAGATCTTGGACAACTGCAAAGCGCCGAGCACGTACAAAGACGGTCGACAAGATTGCCCCAAACACTATGGCAATAATGGCTTGCCACCAGTTCAACCCGAGAGCGATCAGCGAGCTGCCGGTCATGTACGTCGAGATATTCGTGTTGGTCAATACCCCTGACGAGATATCAGCTTGGGGGCCATTTCAACCAAGTATTCCACGGGGGCCGGTCACGTACAGAGGTTGTGAAACGTCCAAAACGTCCATGTTCGCCGGCCCTTCTCGATGGGCTTGATATCATTGTTGATCCAGCGGTTGGGAATCGTGCCGCCTTCGTAGGGCACCTCGAGCCTCCTCAGGAAGCCCTCGAGACGGGCCATTGTTCGAAGGTGACAGTGATAGTGATCGTTCGAAACTGGACTGTGGCTGGAAGAGGGCAGATGTCGCCCATCGCCATTGTTGATGGGTCTGGCAGGATCGACCGCGAGTTATAAATGGGGAGTTTCCCGTCGCTCAGCGTTCTCGTAACCGTTGCTTAATCATGCAGCTTGCATGCACTGATAACGACAACGTGTGAGAGGATCAATTCCTTCCTTGGGTTCGTCATCTTTAGCGAACCAATTGAGCTCGAGGTAAAGAAACAATCAGGCCGGGGTTGTCCAGCTCGGATTTGCTGGGGGTTCAACAGGGGTGGCTGAGTATAGGCCATCAGATCACCAGCGACATGGCCTATGAAGTTATACGCAACAGACAAGTCTGTCGATAGATAAGAAGCCCATGGTCCGGGCCTTGTCACCAGCCTGTTCTGGATCTTTACATCCGACCTAGGAAGCTGGCGGGTCCATACAAACAAACACCTGTTGGTGAGAAAAAAAGACGCCATTCTGCGCCCGCAGATCTCCGTCTTCACACACTTGTTCTTGGGCACCAAACGATTGTTCCAAGAGTGTGGTGGAGATGGAAGCCAACTCGGCCGTTGTGTCTCGGTCCCTCGCCCGGTGTTCCACTGGCTCCATGGAGGGCCGTTGGTAGAAGGGCGACATGGAAGAAGTCTCCCCATCTTCAAGACGAATCGCCGCCTCGGACAGCACAGTTATATGTTGCTGGCAATCTATTAGACGTCGGTCGAAGACAACCACCAAGCGAGGGCCTTGCAGATAGGTTTCTTTCGCGACCATGTACCGAATTGGAGTCGACGTCGGTGGAACAAACACCGACGCCGCCATCCTTGACATCAATGCGCTCGATACCGACTCGCGTGGTGTGCTGGCCACATGCAAGACGTCCACGACATCCCACGTGACGCTAGGCATCCAAGACGCAGTCAGAGAGGTGCTCGCTCGCTCGAACATCGACCGAAGTAAAGTGCTGAATGTCGCCATTGGGACGACGCACTTTGTGAATGCCGTGGTTGAGAACGATGCCCGGAGACTCGATCGGGTCGCCGTGATAAGGCTGTGTGGCCCCTATACCAGGAAGGTCCGTGCATTGTTGTTGTCTGCTTCTGCATGCGACCAGCTCACAATAATGTCTAGATCCCCCCCTTTGCAGACTTCCCATATGCATTGAAGAGTATCATCGAGGGACCTGCCTTCTACCTCGACGGAGGACTTGAAATTGACGGCCGGGAGATCTCTCCGCTCAACCCGGACCAGATCAAAGCCACCGCGGCGGCGATCGTGGAAGTAGGCATCCAGTATGTCGCTGTTGTCGGAGTGTTCTCTGCGCTCGACCACAACGGCATCCACGAAGAACGATGCAGAGCACTCTTGCAACAGTTCGAACCCAGCCTCTCTGTCGTCTGTTCCGGCCAGATCGGCGGGACGGGACTCTTGACCCGCGAGAACGCCACCATCCTGAACGCAGCCATCCTGGGATTCGCCCGCAGGACCATTCGCGGCTTCAGGCTTGCCATGCACAAGCTTGACCTCTCGTGTCCGCTGTATCTCACTCAGAATGACGGGACACTCACGGATGCGGCGGTGGCGGCGGAGTTGCCCATCAAGACATTCGCCAGTGGTCCCACCAACAGTCTGATGGGAGCCGCTTTTCTCCAGGGGCTCGATCATGGCGACCAACGACTCGCCGATAAGCAGGTTGTGGTGGTGGACATTGGCGGGACGACGACCGATATCTGCTCGCTCTTGCCGTCCGGATTCCCTCGACAGGCGCCTAACTTCGTCGAGGTGGGCGGCGTGCGCACGGCGTTCTCCATGCCTGAGGTGCTTTCCATCGGTCTTGGGGGAGGGAGTCGCGTGCGTCAGTTGGCGGCGGATGGTGGCAAGGTCACGGTTGGTCCGGACTCGGTGGCCCATCGTCTCACAACTGACGCCATGGTGTTTGGAGGGAACATCATGACAGCGACGGACATCGTCGTGGCTTCAAGGGCGGCCAGCGTCGGTGACTACGAGAAGGTCAAAACCATCCCCGAACAGCTGATCGCCAAAGGAAAAGCCGACATCAAACGACAGCTGGAACGGGCCATCGACAAGATGAAGGTCTCGTCTGCACCCGTGTCTGTCCTTCTCGTCGGCGGAGGCTCCATCATCCTCACGGAAGACCTTGACGGGGTCGAAGAATGTCTCCGGCCGCCCCATCACGACTCGGCGAACGCCGTGGGAGCCGCCATCGCCAAGGTGGCGGGGGAAGTCGACGTGATTGAGATATTGGCCGGCCGAGACGAGAACGTCGAGATCGAGGCCGTCAAGAAGAAGGCGATCGCGGCCGCCTTGTCGAACGGTGCCGACGAGAGGGACGTCAAAATCGTCGAGATCAAGAAAATTCCGTTGCAGTATGTGACCAACAAAGCCACCAGGTTTGTGATGAAAGCCGTCGGGAGTCTTCGGGCCCGAGACGACGGTCCCCTGCAGAATGGCGTCTCAAACGGCAAGCTCGGCCACGACGAGCAAGAACTGGATGCTGACACGATAACACCCGAAGAGGCGTCGAAGGCCGAGGCGACAGATGTGCAGAAGGGCAGCCTCGCGAAGCCGACATTAGGTGTCGACATTGCCCAGTATCGCCCCGACGTCAGGGATGGCGTGTGGTACATCTCCCCCGTCGACGTGCAACTCATCGCTTCCGGCGCAGGGGTGCTCGGCACGGGCGGCGGCGGCTCGTCGTACCTGATGGCCCTGTACACGTTGGACATCCTGCGCAAAGCGGGCCCGGGCGCCATCCGCGTCGTGTCGCTCGAGTCTCTCAAGGACGACGCCACCTGTGTGTTCGGGGCGGGATACGGCGCGCCGTCCGTCAGTGACGAGCGGGTCAGCGCCGGCACGGACGTGTTCGCGGCCATCGACGCCGTAAACAGCATCATGGGCATCAAGGACTTTGACGGCATCGTGGCAGACGAGATCGGCGGAGGGAACGGGCTGGTGACCTTTCCCACCAGTGCCCGCTACGGGCGACCCGTGGTGGACTGCGACTTGATGGGTCGTGCGTATCCGACTCTCGAGCACGGCACGCCCTATATCTATGGACAGCCCGTGCTGCCCTTTGCGACGGCGGACTGTAAAGGCAACGCGGCTGTGGTGCTGGTAAGTCTTTCTTTACTCCCACACTGTCTCTCTCTCTCTCTCTCTCTCTCTCTCTCGTTCGTCTATCTATTAATAGTAGACTGACTCTCGCCGTGTGTCCCTGTCCATGTATCTCTCCAGTCCGCCGAATCCAACAAGCGAGTCGAATCGCTGATCCGCCAGACGTGTATTGAGATGGGCAATTCGTCTGCGGCGGCGGGACGACCGCTCTCAGGCAAAGTCATCAAGGAATACGCCGTGCCCAACACCGTCTCGCAGTCGTGGTACCTGGGCCGCGCGGTGCACCTCGCCCGTGAATCGAAAGTTGATTTTATCGAAGCCATTGTGAGTCGTAACGTACATTCCAGCCGAGTGCATGAACGACCCTAATTGACACATGAACTCTCCGCGCTTCCAGTCGAGCATCACCCCGGTCAAAGAGCTCTACGTGGGCAAAATCGTCGACGTGACCCGCGACGTCTCGCGCGGCTATACCGTCGGCCGGTGCGTGATTGCGCCGCTGTCCGCCGACGAGCAAGACGACGACCACCACCACCACCACGACTCAAGCTCAAACTCATCCACCACGGCCACCAACACCCGCGCGACCCGTGAAACCCGCCACCTGGTCATCCCGTTCCAGAACGAATACCTTTCCGCGGGGTATATCGCGCGGTATCCGCCCCCAACCTCCTCCTCCTCCTCCTCGTCACATTCGGAACAAAAGCTCGATGACGACGACGAGGAGGAAGAGGAGATCATCTGCACGGTGCCGGACCTGATCTCCATCCTCGGCAGCGACGGCGAAGCGCTAGGGTCCCCCGAACTGCGCTACGGTCTCCAGGTCCGCGTCATCGGCATGCCGGCCTCGCCGCTGTGGACCGGCAGCGCCGAGGGCCTGCGGGTCGGCGGGCCCGAGTTCTTCGGCTTGAAGTGTCGCTGGGAGGAGGTCCGGGAGCGCGGCAGAACCAATGGCACCGGAGGCGTGGGAGAGTATCAGACGCCCCGCAGTGTCATTGACGAGTTCAATGTGAGCTGCTAGCTGCTAGCTGCTCTTACCTCATGAATGAAGGCAATCAAGGCTACGCAAGTCAGGGCGTCGGGGAGGAAGGGGAGGATGAAGAGAAGAAGAGTTGGGCGGAGACGTGGGGGATACGCGCCTGGCATATACATACATACATACATATACTCCGTACATAGATGCACAATCCTCATATGGTGGATGGGGCATATACTACATGTACAGTTCAGTCGGTTATTTGTGCCAATGCATTGCGAAGGGTGGAGAGGAGGAGAGATCGTAACCAGGTAGCTGATTGATTGATTGATTGATTGATAGATAGACACATCTCTCTCTACCTTATTTTCCTTTGGCAACCAGCCCTCATCTGATCTGTCTGTCTGAATCCATGATTTTGTTCCTTTGCTTGCGTTGTTCACATACATCCATCTCCTTTCCACATGATATGATATGTATGGTGGGTGGGTGTGTGGGTACCAGTCAAGTCAGTTTCAGACGTAAACGGCGGCGGCGGCGCCGCGAATTTCCAGCCGAAAATTTCTCTGTACCGTGTAATAACAAGTATCATATTATCATCCATTTGCGGCCGCCAGGGCCTTCCTCCTTCTCGGATCCGATGCTGCGTCCATGGCTGCTGGGTCTGAAGCAGCGGTGGCAGCAGCGGCAGCAGCAGCAGCAGCAGCAGCAGCAACGGGGCCAGCAGGGGCATGACTGGCAACAACTCCATTCGACTTCGTCTCCTGCTTCACATCCGGCTGATTATTATATTCAGCCTCTTCTTCTTCTTCCTTCACGGCCTTTTCCAGGAAGCCCGGTCTCCACTTCGCGAGCACCTTGCGTGTGGCCGCTCGGGCCTGATCGTCTCCTTCTCTCCAGATCCCTTCCATCGTGTCCAACACCATGTCGCGGACCGGCGGTCTCATCAACAGGAGGTACTGCATCGCAAGAATGCACATGTTGATCCGTTCGGGATCTCTCGCCAAGCTCTTGACCCGACTCAGAATCTCGCGGTCGACGCTAGGGATTTCAGAAAGGAAGCGAATCAAGAGATTTTTATCACGGGCGTCGAGGTATGGGACAAGACGATCGATGAGCCGGGTCGCCCAACGGGTGTAGTTGGGTAGATGGCCGAGCTCCGGATGTGTCTTTGCCGTCATTTTGTCGGCGTACCATTCCTCCGTCAACCAGGAGATGGCCATGTTAAGGCGCGGTCGGAAGTCTTCCAGGACATACATGAACAGGGTCTGGCGGATGCGATTGGCGACATTGGCTGTCTCTTCGGCGTTTTCTGATTTAATGAGCGGCCTGATGGCATCATCGTCGTCGTCGTTCAGGGCTTTGACAACGTCATCGAGGCCGGTCGGTGATCTGGTCGCCAGGCGCATGAGGATTGTTGCCCAGGAGTCTCGGTCGTTACCGCTGGCGGCTATGCGATTCAGACCAAGTTGCTGCTTGGTGTGCGAGTGTCCCGCGGCCTCGAGCGAGGCAACCAGTTGAAAAACATGTCCTACAGTCTGATCTGATAATGTCGCAACTTCCGCCCCTGTTAGTGGCGGGGGCTTAGGGAGCTCAAATGGACCCAACTCAATGGCTGGTTGCGCGAGCTGCTCCAGGGCTCTTTCTGTGGTTGACTCAACAATCTGCTCCGTGCCAGTGGCAAATTCAGGATCGTAGTCATCCTCGTCATCAATCCCTGTGGGGCCCAGCATAGGCACATCGGGCACCGGAGTCGGTTGACTCACTTTCTGCAAGTGAGTGTATCTGGACCGGACTGCCTCGACAGCCCCATCCACAGTATTCGAATCAACGTGCTGTAAGAAAATCGCCGTGACCGTGCTGACGATGTCCGCAGGGAGAAGAGTCACGTCAAACTGCTGAAGGCTGATATCGTCGGTGAGCGTGAATAGATGGGCGTAGGTGTTGGGTGGTGGCGGCATCGGTGGGAACTTGCGAATTCCTGCTGTGAGTCTCTGGCGTTTTGCATCATCCAGCCCGTCGGTCGGTTCTGCGGGGCGTTTCTGGGCCGTAGGTTCTGCAAATAATGTAGAACGTGACTGCTGAAGACGCATGAGATAGGCCTGGATCTTCTGTTCTAGAGGGTGGTTGGGGACAGCCTTCAGAGCCCACCGCAACAGAGCCCTCGTTGTTCTTTCCATTGATCTCACGATGACCATCAGCCGAGGGGTCATGGGGGCGTTTGCCTGTTTCATGGGGTTGAAATTGAGAATGGCAGAGAGAATCTTGGTGGAAATGGAGGGCCGTGTTCGGATCAGGACGGCCAGGCAGTTAAGCGTCGCATCAATAAGAATGGGATCCATCGGGGTCTCGTGGAATACACTCAATAGCCTGTCCAGCAGACCAGATGCCTCCGCCTCCAGGTTGGGCAGCTGCAGTAAAGGATGTGTTCGGGGGACCAAGGCGATGGAGATCTCATTTTGCTCGGGGCGCTGCGTCACGTTAGCATGAATATCACAACGACCAAGGGCGCAGCAGGCGGACTGACTCGAGGGTCGGAAATCAAACCAGGGGTCTCTACGTGGACGACCTTCTGCACAAATTTGATGCAACACACTCTGACCGCGATAGGAGCAGAATCCATACGCTGCAGAATATTCAATTTCATCCGACTCATGTCCTGCCACATGGCAGTTTCTGTGGGGTGTGAAATTCTGGACGCTTTTGTTAGAGACCGGTTCTTTCTAATCGTGAAGCTATCTGTCCCAAACCACGTACACTCGTCTGAACACCAGAGGGTAGAGACTAGCCGCTGCTTGTATCACGCTCTTGACCACCGCAGGATCTTCTCCCGGTGTCTCCAACATGGCTCGTAGGGTGGGAAGCACGTCCGAGGAAAGCTGTTCTTTCTGAGCATTAGGGAGGGAAGGGCTCGCGAACGCCTCTGCGAGGAAATCCGCACCCCATCTTCGAATTTCGACATGCGCCGCAGGACCGATGATGGGTAAGATCCCTGGGAGGACCTGGTTGTACACTTGAGGATCTGACAAGGCGAGTTTACGCGCTGCTTCCAGTTGGGAGATCATTTCCGCAGCCGAAGAGGTCGACATAGCCATGTCGAGGGCACAGAGGGAGTGAAAATCACCAGGGTGCAGCTATCGGATGGGGGAGGAGATTCACGAATCTACGAGAAAGTGAGGCTGACAGGGTGCTATCGAGTAGGGCGGCATCGAGTAGAGGAGAAGGAGGATCCTGTAACACAATAGAACAATCTGTTAAGACAATAATTCGAAACTGGAACACAAAGGCAGAAGAAACTCGATGATGTTATGGGGAGGAGGATGATGATGGGAGGTGACAGACAGTTTCACGGGCTTGGAACTGCGGAGCGCGGAGCCGTGCCCTCCAATAGCATACAGGCAGTCACGTGGCTGTCTCGCCGGTCTTGGCAGGCCAGCAACTCACGTGACCTACATTCTCGTGCCCTGTCATCTCCGCAGGAACCAGCCAACCACATATTACATACCAAGCCTTGTCGTAAAGGGGTCACGCGGAACGGTACGTGAGAGTCATGCTAAAGATGCCAGTCTTCAAGTTATTTCCCAAATGGAAGCGTAGGCTTTGTCTATTGTCTTCGTTTATTGAATTGGGAGCGTGTAATTTCAACAAAAGAACCAGATCCTGCGTGGCGTTAATGTACATCCATCTCTAATTGACCTTGCTGCAAAACCAGCACACTCCCGCCAACCCAAACCCTGACCACGTCGGCAAACCCCTCTCACCCGTCGTGAGTGCAGGGTGGGTGTACTTCGGAAGTTCAAAGACGAGTGTTTCCGGCGTCTGAAATGCTGCCGACCTTCGTGAGTCGTCCTCAGACAACAGAAGTGACCCCTTGTTTCACTCTTCCGGCCCACCTATCAAAGCATTGTGGGTGCTGTACTCTGGACCATTGCGATTTGACAAAGACCATCGCATCTTTGGCAATTTCCTCCGTATTTCTGTGATATTTGTTGGAGAGGAGTTTCAGCCGCGTCCTCGATCGATTGAACTCCTTCTGTCTCCGTGGAGTCCCCGTGTTCTCCAAATGATATGTCGAGAAGGGATTTCGCTCTATGTGAGGATGTGCTTGTTTGTTGTACACTGCGTCACTAAATCAATAATTGTGCTCAATCCGTGTAAAATCATGGTGATTCACTCCGTCTTCGTTTCTTCCTTGACATCCTCGGATAGGCTTTCTTTGTCCTTCTTGGCTTTATCCTTTTTCAAGGTCTTCCACTCCATGCCCAAACCTCCGAAGATTGCTGCACAAGCAAATCCCAGTGCAACATAGAAGACAATCACCAAAGCGTGGTTGTAGACGCGCAAAACTTCCGGTAGTTGTGAAGGGCTGAAAGCCTGCCTCAGCTCGGTGGCTCCGGTATTGACAATATCATGTGGGCTGATGTTGCTGAAATTCTTGAGACCCGATATCAGCTTGTTGTCCAAGACGTTCTGGGCAACCGCAACAGAGATGGTTCCACCGAGACCCTGACAAAAGAACACCAATGAAACTCCAGTTGGGGCATCCTTCTTATCCAGAACAGTCTGAGCGGCGATGTTAGTTTGTTGCAACCCCAGGCCGACGCCGAATCCAAACAGGACCTGGGAACCGATCCAAAAAGGATGTGCTGTGTGGGTGGTGAACAGTGTAAAGAGGCCAGCACCAATGGGCACCAGGACTCCACCTGCCAAAATTGACGGGTTGTAATAGCCTAATCTTGAAACAAACGCCCCTGACATGATAGACGCAACGACGAGGGCCAGGATGAAGGGCAACGTCGAGTATCCGGACCGGATTGCTGAATCACCTTTGATCGCTTGGAACCATATCGACAAGTAGTAGACAGCAATCATAAACGACGACCCCAGGCAGAAGGCGTAGAAGCCAGCGGTTGCGATGGTGCGTTGTTTGGCGATCCGGGGCGGGACCGTCCCAGCTTCCTTCCGCCAGAATTGAATGCCGATGAAAATGATGAGGAGGACGCCGAATAGAACCAAGAGGGCGATAATGCGGCCGTCCGACCAGCTGTACTTTTGACCGCCCCATTGCAGAGCCAGAAGTAGGCAAACAATGCACGGAAGGAATACCAACGTGCCAGGAATGTCAACTCGTGCAATCTTCTCTTTCAGCGGCAAATCCCCCAGTGCGGGCGCAGTGTTGTCAATGACCAAGAAGAGGAACACCAGCACGACCGCGCCAATCGGGAGATTGATGTAGAAACACCATCTGGACTCGGCTTAGTTTTGAATATAGCAGTATTCAGGAGAACGAAGACTTACCTCCAGGTGACCTTGGTCGTGAACACACCACCTAGGAGCGGTCCAGCAACTGACGCCACACCAAAGACAGCACCAAGGAGACCCATGTAGAGAGGTCTCTTATCGAGAGGCGAAGCGTACATCATCAAGATCATCGCACCATTAAACAGTCCTGCCGCACCCAGGCCAGCCACCGCTCGCCCCCAGATAAAAGCGACCGAGTTCGGGGCGGCGCCACATATTGCAGAGCCGATTTCAAACACAAACACTTCAATCAGGAAAATCCACTTGGGCGAGTAGAACGTGTATAGTCGGCCAAAGAGGAGTTGGAGAGCTGTGGCGGGAAACAGAAATCCGGCATTGTACTGTCTAAAGCGTTAGTTTGGCTCCTTCTCCAGCAACAGCTTTATCGGCATACCCAACCAACGTCTCCGAAGCTTTGAAACTTGTCCGTGATTTTGGGCAAGGCGGTAGCAATGATTGTTCTGTCGAGTGCGACCAGGAATACGGACAAGTAGATGCTCAGCAGGATCATGCCCAATTTGATGCCAGTCGGATAGTTTTCGATGCGGCTCGTGGTTTGTTCGAGGGCATTTTCGTCGGAAACATTTGCCTTCTGTTCCAGGGGAAGCGAAGAAGTGCTACTTGCATCGTTCGCCACGGATACAGTCTGGTCTGCCGCCGGGTCTGTCGACGACGCCGCCATCTTCTGGATATTAGTTTTGTCTTGAGGATGAAGAACGACTGGCCAGTTAGCGCGAACAACACAATACAAAGAAGAGACTCATATTTCAGGGAATGCGATGAAAATATGGAGTCACGTCGCCAGAGCGAACTTTATGCACATTCCATGGTGTTAAGTCAGTGTGGCGTCATATCTCCGGCGTGAAGCTCCACAGAGCTCGTATTCTCTGCTAGAGTCCGAGATAGCCAATCACAAACAAGCTATTGATACCAAGCTCGGTAGAGGGACTCCACTCGGAAGGTTGGCGTTCCGTCCCACCAAATTCGAGGGGCTATCCAATCACATCACTGGAAAATTCACTGTAGCATTATGAATGACGAGCAGACTTTCTCTCCAACCAACCGATAGAATGCGAGTACGACTCCTTTCTCGTTCTGTGTCGCACACTTCCGTCCTTGAGACCAATGCAGATGCTCTTCTGTCGGCTTATATCGCTAGTCCGCCGAAGATAAGGCCTTTAAACCGGTGACCCGCTACCTGGTATCACAAGGCAAATACGTTGCAGCATGACCCTAGGTCGCGTCATTTTTCCGTTCTTGGAATATACGAACATTCTGGAAGAGCATGGTCGGTCGGCGTTCCATATGCTCAACTTGTACATACGGAGTTCAAAAGCTGGACCAACAGCGAAACGCAAAAATTATATTTATCCAATGCGACACAAATCCAACATTGCAACCCTGAAAACCCATCTGCGGTGTCAACCAACTCGCCCTCGAGAACTTTTCCAATCTCATCTGAGTGGGGCAATATGAGATTACTCGCCTAAGCCGCGTGAAGGAAGATCGGCTTTTCTCCACACGTATGTTCACTAAAACAGTAAGTGTTCACGACTACAAAGAGAAGTGCACAGGGACGGTTATCATCATCATTTAATGCGGACATAAATCCGTCAGATGTATAGTGCTGAGGCAGATTTCACCGTGTCGCCCGGTATCTGGGTGAGAAGCTGTACCAACGGGCTCTCCTCACCAATTTGTGGCACGTGGATAGTTTGATCCAGCCTGGTTAGTTGTCCAAGTCATCGGTAACGTGACAGTTTGATTCTGGAGTCTTGAACATGCAGCATTCATCGCAGCCTCAGAGCAAAAATTCTACCCTCAAGGCCGAAGCAGATTTTCTGGATGCATCATAATTGTGGTGGTCCGAACATCAAGGCTCAGCTTGCTAGCTCCACAAATGGCATTGGGAGAATCGATTTTTACAGCCACGTCTTCGTTTTCAGAGGGATGATCTTCGAAGGAATGCCCTCTTGCTCCGGGCATGTCTTCCAGGATGTCTTCTAGGTGCCTGTCTGTTGAGTTCGGCCAGAGAGACTATCATATCCGCTGACGAGACACCGGTGACCTCGGACGCAATGGCACACGTCTTCGACATAGCTGGAGTCATCAGGGATTCTTCAGGCTTGTACAACGATCGAGTCGGGGCCGATCCGAACCCCGTCAAGTTTCCCTCGAACGACGTCTTTCACGCCATCAACAAAGCCTCCCCACGTCTTGTCTTTGACTTCGTCTAGACTACAGGTCTTCTGCTCGAACCCCAGCAAGCTTTTTGAATGTGGATCCGGAAGAAAATACATTCCAAGCCATGCTTGGATTTCGAGGAAATGAAACTCAACACCGTGCACGAAATTGTCCTTCTCTCCTCCTTGACATGCTGCGCAGTCGCAATGTTTGACGTACCCTCATCAGCTGTGGCATTGGCCTGATCAATCCCGCCATAGGCGACATGTTCGTCATGTCCTTTGCCACGTACTTCTGCTCTTTGGTAAGGTCACAGCCTTTCCTTCTATCCCTATCACTCAGAGAATATATTGACAACCCTGCTCGCGACTCAGGTTGATGTTGAAAGTCCTTTCCGGTGGATTATCATGTGCCAATTCTTCGGCGGCTTGGGCCAATGTACTTCATACTTCTTCATCGGCCGACTTGGACGCAGGACGATGCTGCTCATCACTCGGGACCAGTATCTGCGCGATTTCCATGCTGCTTCGCGGTATCGTGTCCACCTCTCCTGTATGCGGGACTCGAAAGCGTACGGCAAGGTCGTTATCTTCGTGTTTCTGTTCGTACCGGAGATCCAGGGCGAAGAATATGAACGAAGAGATGTTCGACAAGGGGACCGCGCCGAGAGACTTCTCCACGTATGTTTATGATAACGTCATCAATGCACGCGAACAGGCTGAGGAGGTCGTCTATGGCAAGAAGGTGCCGGAGCGAGTCGAGGTTATTCATGTCAAGACGCATGTCAAGACCGTTGATAGTGTGCGAGCACGTCCCTCTTACCGTGAGCTTCGATTGAATCACGGACTTCGAGGAGCAGCTCTTAAGACGCCGACCAGTGAAGAATGGGGGTTGTAGATATGTGGCACATCCAAACTTGCATTCTATATACCCAGGTCTAAAGCTGTTCATTGACAAACAAGCCGGCCATGCCCATGCCGGTTCCCAGGCACATACTGGTGAGCAATACCTTTTGTTTTCTCCGCCTCAATTCACTGAGACCCGTCACGATCTGTCGAACTCCCGTGCACCCGAAGGGATCTTTTTCACGCGTGTTAGTACTTGAGAAACGCTACAGGGTTAGGAAGGGTGGTGGAGAGAGGGGCCCCAGAAGGGAACTGCCCCTGTTGATCTGGCATGGGTGAATGGGAGGACTTACGGCCGAGTCTACAGGTCTCCGTTAGCATGGTATCGAACATCGACGTTGAAACAATATTTCGAGCAGGAAGAGAATCAGGGAAGAGACTCACGCGATAGCACCACCTCTTGGGTTCATCTTCGTCCAGTCAAGATGGAGGTAATCTCGACAGTAGACGGCCATGGAAGCGAACGCCTCGTTGATTTCCACCACGTCGATGTCCTTGTCCAGAGACAGATTATATCGGGAAAGCAACTTGGGAATGGCGAAGACGGGGCCGATGCCCATGATACGCGGTGGGAGGCCTGCGAGAGCGGTACCGACGTACTTGGCAAGGATGGGCTGATTCAGCTCCAGGGCCTTGGAGCGCTTCATCAGAAGCAGAGCGCCAGCTCCTATAGGCAAAGATGAGGTATCAGTCTGGGCCAGTCCTATCTCTCGGGAGCCTCTCCTCTCTTGATGGGGCTTACCATCGGTAACTTGGCTGGCATTGCCGGCGTGTGTGGTGTCTCCGTACTCCGGAAAAGCGGGACGGAGGTTCTTGATCCCGTCGTACGTGGTGCCCCATCGAATCTCGTCACGGGAAACAGTGATGTCTTTGCCGTCCTTCTTGACAGTGATGGGGACAATCTCGTCCTCGAACCAGCCGCTCTTCTGTGCGACCTCGGCTCGCCGGTAAGACTCGACGGCGTACTCGTCCTGCCGCTGCCGACTGACGTTGAACTCCCTGGCCACATTCTCGGACGTTGCACCTATTTGTCAGAGAAAAACGGGGGAGTGTCAGATCCCTTTAATTTCGGTCCAAAGGCGCGTGTTGGGCTTACCCATCGGGAGCATGCAGTCCTTTGCATCCTGGCTCCCGTTCATGACCTCGTCCACGAAGGGCCGACTGAGACGCTCGTTACCTTCGCTGAGGGTCTCGGCGCCGACCGCGACGCCGATCTCAATGGTACCTGTGATGATCTCATTGGCGATGAATTGCGTGGCCGTCAGCCCCGAGGAGCAAAAGCGTGCCACGCTCGACGCGGCGGACGTGTTGGGGAAGCCTGCCGCGAGAGACGCGGCCCGGACATAGTACGCGGCTTTGCCGTCGCGAACCTAGATGAGATAAATCGATCAACCGATCAATCAACCAATCAACCAATCGCCGGAAGTTTCTGCCCTAGATATAGAAGAGAGAACAAAAAAGCCCGCTTACATTCCCGAGGCAGACGTCGTCGACCAGACGCGGGTCGACCTTGCACCGGAGCCGCACCTGCTCGAGGATCTTGAAGACCATGCCGTCCAGCGTCAGGTCCTTGAAGCCGCCTCTCTTGGCCTTGCACATCGGCGTCCTGATCGCGAGGGTGATCACCACATCGTCGGGACTCTGCTTCGCGCTGGTGCCATCATCACATTGTCAGACCTGGAGAGACACACATACAAACGGACGAACGAAACATCAAAGTGGCCATCCATACATGTTGTCTACCGCGCTCGAGGTAGAAGGGAGGTGGGACAGGACGGCCGAGAGACGTTGGGTAGCCATGGTGTACGGGTAAGTCCCAAAGGTGTTCACTCAAGCTGCAGATACGATCTGGTAACGATGGTAAATGCCTGATAGAACCTGTTTATCTGCGTTGACTTGGAGTTCCTAGGCTCGAACCGGCTGTGGCCAAGCTGAACCTCGGATGTTTTTGTTGCATTCGGCGAGCCGCGGGGTAAAACGAATGGGGAAATCGCCGAACTCGTTTGCCGTCGAGGTGAGGATCTGCTTGCTGTGAGTACAGGTGATCTCCTCATGTGTGGGCACCAGGCGAATTGACTGATTACTATTCGATGGCTCCTCCCTAGTCAATACTGCCGATTTGTTGAGTTTCGAAGTCAGCCATCTTGGGGTTTTACATGTTTGGCAGGGCCGCACGAGGCTCTAGAAGTGGGGCTCGAATAAGGGGTTTGTATTCTCGATACTCCCAACTACAACGAAGCCCAGCATACATCACCCGAGCAGCAGGCCTCATATATCTCCAAACATTACTTCCTCTCTCGTTCCAAACTCTGTGCGCAGTGCTCATGCGGTACACGAGATGGGATCGAGAACACAGGGTACACGATTAACGGAAAGGTATTGCCTAAAATGTATTCTTCAACAATTGAGACGGAAAGGAAAACGTATTACGTATTACCACTTAAGCGCTCACTCTGAATGAGAAAGAAAGTAGAGTGTTGCGTCTCCACGCCCTTCCATCGGCAAGGCAATCCCGTGGTGTTCTGATCCCAAAACTTTTTGCAGGAACAAGACGCGGCCTCACGCGGGCTTTGCTTTGACCGTACACAGCTTTTCACCCATCAGATGATGTGGACTGGGATCCTCGTCTGTATTAGGGGGTGGGAAATCGGTCACTTCTGCCTGTGCTTCAAACACCAGGACCAGGTCGGAGCCGCCAAACTCGAACCACGAAATCTCCTCGCCCTTCTGGACAACATTTCCGACCTTGGAACCCTTGGACAGATTGACCGAAGAGACTTGAGCCATCCCCATAGGGAGGACAGCAACCAGACCAATATTGGCAAAGCCTGTCGTGTCAATCACGATGCAACCTCGTTGCTGGATAAATTGGTATCCGGCACCATCAGGAGCATCTGGCTGGGCGCCCACTGCATCTCCCGCCCGAACAGCCGGCGAATGGCCTCGTCGTGGGCTGAGCCTCTTCTTGCCATCATCGCCAACCTTGGCCTGTACTTGCAGGTATGCGCAACCCTCGACAAGGAATGCTTCCTTCACCGTTCCCGACACGGGAGCGTGCTGTCGATGGTAGTCGAAAGTGTTGAGGAAGATGTGAGCCCATGTGCCGCCCTTGAATACCTCTTTGTATGACGAACCTGCAAGCAAGGCAGATAGTGGCCATTTAACGAGTTTGACGTCAACCAAATCCTCTTTGCCTGAGGATGATGGAGGTGCATCCGGATCCGCGATGTCCACGTATAGATCGTTGTCAATGGGCCACGAATTGTCGAATGTCGAATCCGCGGGAAAGACAACAACATCGATGTCCTCGTCAATCGGTCGGACACTGGGATCTCTGAGGAAACGACAGAAGAATTGGTTGAAACTTCCGTAGCCACCGGTGGGAGAGGCAGGATCTGGAATTAGATAGTCGCGATATCTGTAGAGCGTGGCGTCTTGGAAAGTCTTCCAGGAATTTTCTGTCCAAGAATCAGGAGTGCTTAGCCAGGACCCAACCCGTCTAGCGTATCCAACGATCCAGTCAGACAGTGGTCTCATCTTGGGCATGTCGCCCTCGATTGAGTCCGGACTGATTGGCGTCTGCAGATCGCGGATCGCCGGTCGATCGAATATGTAATAGAAGACTGTGAGGACGTAATAGAGGAAACGACTGTTATGTGTCTCGGTTGGAATCCAGTTGGTGAGCAGGAAGCTGGCGTAGTACATGAAGTTGTCGGCACTCGTGATATTCCATACCTTCAACTCCTCGATATCTTCATCGAGGCCTTGTTGGATGGCCTTGGCGAGGGATTGATCACCTTGGTCGTAGCGGCCAAGCTTGGTGAGAGTATCTTTCAAGTAATTGATGTAAGGATCTAGTGGTCCCGACGTGGGAAAAGGGAATGGAGGAATCGGTTCCGATGGCATTGTGAAAGGGAAAGCACACAATGATCAGCTAGGATATGAGTTTCAATTGGGGTTATGGCAAGTTCTGTGCAGAGGTTTTCGATGAATGGACATATGAGAGAAAATTCGAACGATCCAGAGCGCATATTTATATGTCACCCCTCCCTCCACATTCTCACATGCCCACACGGTCGATGCTCACATGAGCAATATGGACAGGCCTTGATTGTGGTGGCGAGCTGAGGCAAGTTTCTAGATGCCAGTCTGGTGGTCGCTGAGGCAGGGATGGTTGAACCTAGGAGCCGGTATGTCCAGCATGGTCGTCCAATAGGTTGCTTGGATGGTCCTTCGCCATGAGATACTCCTGACAAGGGTCATGAAATAGGTAGCTGTTAGAATGTAGAGAATGCACAAGTGGAACAAGAGTCCGTCGCGGAGAGGAGCTGAGGTAGGTGGAAAGAGGGTGGTGTGGTCTTATCACGGACGTCGCAGAGTGACCGCATTGTCGTCGTCGAATACCACCTGTTTTTTGCTTCAATGGACATTTGCAGTGCCATCAATGGGTGACGAGGATGTGCGTTGGGAGGTGAAGCTACGCTCAATCCGACTAGCTTCCTCCAATCCTCTACTGCGTATGTGCACAAGACAAAGGCGCGACAATGCCAGGGCTATCAAACCATCTAGCCATGTAAGAATGGTCAGCTTCGCACACACTGTACACTGCGTCGAAAAAGAGGGGAGACATCTAGAATCTCAAAGACTTCAGCTGATCAAACACGAGGAGCGGCCGCCCGCTGCACGGAGACGTTTTGGTAGTCGGCATCAGCCAGCCACGTTCAGCCATGGCCGAATGATTTTCTCCCTCGTGAATTGATGATGCCCATCATGCTGATCACCAATTTGGACATGGACTTTTCGGCCCTGCATCATTTGGCGCAGGATTTTCCTCCCTCACATGGAAACCAGGATGGCCAGACGAAAGGCTCACTCCATAAATGTGGAGCATTTATCTCCCTGCTACTGTTTTTGGAGATGTGAAGACCTGGAACTCGTATGCTGTGCTTTCAATAAAATTGCTGGTCAACTTTACAGTATTGTTACACATAGCTTTCCCCAGGGAAATATGCAGTTCAGCCGCACGCAAATCGCCGATCTGAGGCTGGCTGAATGTAATTGCGCTGTACCTCAGCTTCGAAGAGACAGTGTTGATTCAGTCCTTGACATGTGCGAGCATTTGATTCCTTTCGTAGGAATTTGCCGAACGTTGGCCATCGATAGATCTCTTGATAGCTGACGAGGACTTTCTGCTAATATGTGTCAAGTATGTCCTTTCAGCTCAACGCTTGGTCAGTGGCATCGGGAGAGGGTGCAACGCCCACGCTACCTTTGGCAGGAGAAAGGCACGAAAAATGTGCTCTTGAGAAGCATAACGGTCGTAGCGCAGTAGGCTGGAGACGCTCTTTCCAGGCGAGGGCCGCACTCAAACAAATGGTCCTCGCAAAGCCGTAAATCAGGACAGAGCCATACATATGGCAGGAGACCAGATCTAGGAGCATTGATCAGCTACTTGGGGAGCTACCAGCATGCTCATGCCCTCTGTGTCCATGGCAATGCTGTGCCTGTTCGATAAGAGAGCTCATACTGCGGCACCGTTGATGGAAGCAACCACTCTTCTGAGGCGTCCGGTCGGTCGTTGAGTTCTAGAAATCAGAGGGTTCTTGCACCCGAGTGAACAACAATGGTAATCATATGTTGTAGAAAGGCTTCCTAAAGCTTGAAACAAGCAGTGTCAGCCGTCCGTCCCCCCCGAGAAATCATCACTGGCTTAATGCTTTCCCGTAGGGCCGCGGATATTATGTAATCCAACAGCAACCAGGCGGCGTCATTTTTTCCCTAAAGCGGGGCGGACTGCACCTGAAGTTTTGTTTCCGCATAGGTATTCCTTGGATTCGTGGAAAATCACTGCTTTTGGGAGGACTGACGGCTCCCAAGAGACTCGCCGCAATTGCACATGATCTGAATCCCATCTCCGAGAGTCCCAGCCGCCAAGATGATGCACCCGGCGCGTCAGGCGTATGTGGAGGAGGAGCGTCAGGTAAGAGACTCTCCGCCACAAAGCATACTATTCTGTGTCTCATTATTTACATTTGCCTCCAAGGCTCTATCTGCCCCCGCGATGCATCAAGAGGCGGAGACACGCAAGACTGACGGAAATGGCTGAGACGCAGGACACCGAGATGGGCGTGGATCTAGCAAGCATTCGTAAGTATTGCGTACTCAGTGCTCTCAAATACCTGGACTCACTTTTCTGCCAGCTGTCGATCGAAATTATGACCTCCCTACCGGCGCGGGGGGTGTTGCGCCCGAAAAAGCATCTGCGATTCTCTCCCAATTCGACCGGAAACGGAGGCTGGCCATGCTGGCTGTCCCCACGGACGACGGAAAAGTCAGGGCACGTCTGCGCGAACTCGGAGAACCTATCACATTTTTTGGAGAAGACGCCGCTGACCGACGAGCCCGCCTGCGGGAGCTGTTGTTGGATAAAGAGGATGCAGCTGGTCCGGATGGAGCTGCCGTCGACGTCCAAATGCAAGAAGCAGAGGAAGATGCCGATCAAGAAGAAGAATTCTACACCGAGGGTCTACCAGAACTGCTCGAAGCGAGAAGAGAAATAGCTCGGTTTTCACTACCAAGGGCAAAGGCGCGGATACAACGGCTGAGAGAAGACTCTACCATTCCGCTGCGCACACATATTAAGCATCGCAAGGAAATCAAAGAGAAGTTACAAGGCTTTGAACTGTTCGGCACGCAGATTGCTGGAGAGCGGCCGGTCAGCATCACTCGGTTTTCTCCCAATGGCGAGATAATTGCCGCCGGCAACTGGGGTGGTGGCATCAAATTGCTCGATGTGCCCAACCTAGACGAAAAGGTGACCCTCAGAGGCCACACGGGCATTGTTGGTGGACTTGCCTGGTATCCTGGTGCAACACTACAGGAATCCAACGTGTCTCCAGATTCCCTGAATATTGCAAGTGGTGCTGGTGGGCAAGGCGGAGAAAGTGACATACATCTGTGGTCTTTGAACAAGGAGACACCGATTGGCACTTTGCAGGGACATACCGATCGTGTTTGCAGGGTCGAATTTCATCCCTCTGGAAAATATCTTGCATCAGCTTCATTCGACACGACCTGGCGTTTATGGGATGTGGAGACTACAACGGAGCTTCTTTTACAAGAGGGTCATTCGAGACAAGTCTTCGCTGTCAGCTTCAACACCGACGGCTCTTTACTGGCGAGTGGAGGATTTGATAGCATCGGGAGAATCTGGGATCTTAGGACAGGGCGAACGGTCATGATCTTGGAAGGCCATATCCGCGAGATCTTCTGCCTGGACTGGGGCATTGACGGGTACCGCGTCCTATCAGGCTCTGGTGACGGCTGGGTCAAGTGCTGGGATCTTCGTCAAGTGCGCAGTGTGGGGGGTATTGGTGCGCATAATGGCAACGTCTCCGACCTGAAATGGTTCAAAGGCCTCGACGGCGACAAGTCATCCCTGGTGGAGAGCAGTGGCGTCAGACAGGAGCACAATCCTCGAAAAGCTGGCACATTCTTTGTGACGAGTGGCTTTGACAAGAACGTCAACATCTATTCGGCGGATGATTGGTCGTTTGTGAAGCAGCTCAGTGGACATGCCGGCAACGTCCTCAGTGTCGATATTACGAATGATGCCAAGTGGATTGCCAGCAGTGGTCACGACAGAACTGTCAAGCTCTGGGGTCGTGATGATGGCCAAGGCATATGAAGTCTCTCTGCCGTGGAGCATGAATAAATATGCAGCAAGGACGCAACGACCATGCACGTGAAGAAGAAGTCCCAATAGACTAGGGCCCCCCAAGTGACTGCTGGGTAGTGCACCAACTCCTTTAGTTGTATCAATACTACAGAGTCCTACAGACAATGTTATAGACCAGCGACGAGGCTGCACAAAGTCTCCATGATCAATGACTCACCACAACCTCTGCGCACGGTGATTGGTTCACACTCCGACTCGGACCCAACTTCCCGCCGGCTCCGAAGTAGCTGCTTAACAGCGAGCCGTAAAAACCTTATTCCGGTCCAGCAGATGCCTCATTTCGTATCTGATTTCTAATTGTGCCATGGCTGCTGCTGTCCTTCCTTATCCCTTGTGTGTTTCTCACTCCGACTTCTCTCTGGGCATATGCTATTCAAAGGGAAATTGTTTATTGTGGGTACCTTGCTCTCCCCGCGAGCCATGTCAGCCTAGTCAAGAATTCAGTTTGTAATCAGGGGGACTGCCTTAAGTTGTTAGGCGGGTCTGGTATGACGGGTTCCTCAACAGGCACACATCGACACCATGTCGCCAGAGAGACCTCTTCCCCTGGAAAGCCTATTGCCATTCAAGCAGACTCGCTCTCCCGAAACACGTGCTATTCTTCAAGAGACTCAGTTTCAAGAGTCGAACAGCCACAGTCAATCTCCAGACAGCCTGGAAGAAGATGAAGCCTCAGGCAACGAAAAGCCCAAGCGGCAAAAACGGTCACGTGCATGCATTGCGTGTCGAAACATGAAAATCAGATGTCTCCCGGTCGAAGGACAGGAGGCCTGTAATGCATGCTCCAAGGTCAATCGAGAATGTATCATGCCAGGTCCTCCGCGGAAACGACAGAAAACGGTCCACAAGGTCGCCGAGTTGGAGAAGAAAATCAATGCCTTGACCGACGCTTTGCTGGCCAAACAGCAGACGGCAGATGGCAATAAGCCCGACGATGAATCGCCTCCCAAAGACGTCCCTGCTCTGGGGAGCTCGGAACCAACCAAAACTGATGACACAGGCAGTCCCAACCTAGACTCGTACCAGCAGAACTTTTTGGACAGACCATTCCCTTCGACCGCCCAACCGGAATTTCAGAGAGGCTGTAACCCGGTAAATGTCGAAGCTATTGCTAAGGACGACTACGTGGATGTCATTGATCGTGGTGACTTGAGTATGGAGAGCGCGGCGGCAATGTTCAACCACTGGAGGAAGGAGATGTGCGCTTCTTGCCCACATGTCGTCTTCCCCCCCGACACAGACCCGAACGAACTTCGAAAGACCCGACCTATAACGTTTCTAGCCATTTTAGCACTGGCAAGCCCTATTGTGCAGCCGTCGGCCCAGGCAGCACTTACCATTGAAACCAATAGGCAGATTGCAGAACGGGTGCTCTTCCACGGTGATAAGTCATTGGACATGGTCCAGGCCATGCTGCTGAACTCTCAGTACTATGTACGGCCGCGGACAGCGAGGGATCTTGCTTTTAATCAAAACATCCAGTCCGCGATCATCATGTCTCTAGAATTAGGAATAGGCAAGAGGTCAAAGCTGAAAAGGACTCCGGCCGAAGAACTTGAGCTGGCCCGTACGTGGCTAGCCTGCTATCAGACCAACATCAGGTAGGTTTGCTAACTCTTCTACCTCTCGTGACTTGGATGGTACTGATTTGTGTGCACAACACAGCGTCACCACTATCCTTCGTCTCCCGGCTCTAATCAGGTTTAGCCCGCGCGTCGAAGAGTGCCTGGAGATCCTCAAAACCAGCCCATATGCGGCCCCAACCGACAAATGGCTGTGTGACATGGCGCACCTGGCGCGTATTGCGGAGGAAGTGGCAGCAGCTTTCAATATGGACGACCCAGGTGCCGATCTGAACTTTACAGAGCCACGGGTGCAATATCAGTTGAAGTGTTTTCAGAGGCAATTGCAACAGTGGGAGAAGAACGTCGATCCTTCGGTGGACAAACGTAAGTCTCAATCATTCTGTTCTTATTGTGGAGAACGCGGGCTGAAATTCGCGAAGGACTTGTTCAACACCAGGCAGCATGTCTCAACTTGTATATCCACGAGATCGCCGTCCACTACGACCACAATGTCGATGACTTCCGACCCGGAGTGGCTCCTTTAGAGCTGCGACGAGTGCCCGACTTTATGACTTCTGCTCATGTTGGAGCCTTCTCGACTCTCCTAGAGAGCAGTCACCGAGTGCTTGACACATACCTCTCGCTCGAAGTCGAGTGTGCTCGAAATCTGAACAATCTCTACATTGTCTGGAATGCATATGCCGTTGTGGTGCTGATCAAACTTCACTGGATCTTCAGCTCATCAGATTCCAAACTTGGCGCGGATATTGTACCTGATCTGAAGACCGGGTATTATTTGGATGCTGTTCTCAGTCGACTGGGCGAAGTGTCCGCGGGCGGCACGAGTCCTTGCGCCGAGGCGTTTGGATTTGTCTTCATGAAGCTCAAAATCTGGCATATGCATCGATCTGGCCAACTCTCTGATGACGAACAATGCCCAGATGGCCAGACACGACAGCAGCGAGCATCTAGCATCCTGCGGCAAAATCCCGCGGACATCATTTCCGCTGCTAAAATGATGCAGTGTCCTGGGCCTGGAAACGCCACCACCCTACCAGCGACGAGACCTTATACCCCGGCTCTCCTTCCAGGGGGAGCTTGGTCGAGCGTGGACAAGTTCGGTGCTAATTTGAATGCCGCCTATGACGCTGCCAGCTACGGAAACACCAACTGGGACCAGTTCAACTTCAGTACAGAAGAATTGGACATGTTTGATATATACATGAACAACAGCGGATGGATGGGGTATCTGCTTTAGGGCGGGTCTTCCGAAGCTCACATACAAGCAATGACCAGCCGTCCAGACTCCGTCTCAACATCAATTTTCACCGCTGCCACCAAAAGATTGGATGTTCCCGCGAGGTAGACAGCAAAAGCAACAAAATTCTTTGCAAAGACCTCAACTCCAACCAATAACTCCCTCTCCCAGAAGCTTTCTCCTCCGACCATCCACTATCGATACTGTTCGTCCCACGACACCATCTCCGCCGACACCGAGATTGAGCCTCACGTCACCCGTTCTTGAACCGCTGACGGTGTCGACAAAGAACGAATACAATACGGGGTTGGACGGGTCATATTCGTCTTCCGAATCTGAGTCGGCACCGAATTGTGACGATGTCGTTATGGGTTGCCCGTATTTGCTGAGGGAGATTGTCAGACACAGAAATGCAGTACAGCAGGGACGGGGATGGCGTTGGACGTACTGTATTCTCACGTACAAGATCTCGCCCGGTCCACCAAGGTCTGACCAGTGACCTGCACATTGGAGGGTGGTTGTGGTCGCTCCTGGCGCCCGATTTGACAGTTTCAGGCGTCCTTGAAACGAAGACTGCGGGTTTGAGTGGATGATGGCGATCAGGTCGCCGGATTCGGGGGCCGGAGGAAGATGGGAGTCGCCACACATGACTTTTCTTGCTGTCGGGGTTCAAAATAAATGGGCTGTTCGTCACGATTCACTGACTGTACGAGTATGAGAAGGCGAATTACAAGTTGTGATGGGAATATCTCAAGGCTACAAGATGGGCAGACGACCAAGCACTTCTCTTCTCATATATACCCTTGCCACCGAGACCTCGTTTACGAGGAATATCTGCTCACGATCTCCAATCAATCAATCAATCAATCCAATCCAATTCCATTCCAACTCACTCACACGCGGCCAAAGTAGCAACGTTGAGCAAGATATCAGTCGCCACTCTCGTCCCAGCCTCGTCCCCATCTTGTTTCGCAGGGTGCATTGGGTGTATACGCCCTCGCGCGTTTGAGGGAGGTGAGCAGGTTTTTTGGTTGTTGTCATGTTGTGGCTAGGCGCGGAATGGGGTGTGAGGGGAGGGAAATGAGGCTGAAGGGAGATTGATTGATTATTCGTGAGCAGGTTTTTCTTTGGTTGGGGCTCTAAATTTAAATTGGGAGGCTGAAGTCCAGAGCCGAAGGGGGCGGTGCCTCCGATATTGTTACTTACAGTACATACTGTACCGGGTACGAACAATGCGGGTCGTTAGGTGCCTTGGCACCCGTAGGGAGCCTCTCTGGCCTTGCCGCGCCCCGAAGCTCGGGGGCAGCCCTACGCCGTTCTTATTCCTAGGTGCGACCTCGTCAGCCTTGCCCTCTGTCTGATGTTGGTCGGCCCATCCCCAGATCTGAACGAAGCCCTCAAGTCTCCCTTATTGTTTTGCACACACAAACAAGGATGGACTTTGATGGGAATAAAAGTGCATTGACTCCGTAGCCATCTATCTCTTCTTTGATGATCCCGACAGTGCGTTCCGTTGCCTGTTCTTAGGGGCACACGTTGCTATCTGACTGGGGATTAATGGATAGTAGCAGAGCTGTATCTATGAACTTGGTTTGGATGTTGTCTTTTAAGATGGCAAAGGAACGAAATCACTTTGCTACTGACGCCCCTACGCGAATTCTCGAACGCAATGTAATAGTAACCACGACAGCACCCATCGTGGCGTGGCTCCCGAATGCTTGTATCGCCACAGTTGACACCCCGTCGACATCTGCCAGACAGTAAAATCCACCAGTTCCCGTTAGAAAAGCCCTTCTTACAATACACTACTTCACCAGCAGCAGAGCGTCATGGCTCGCCCCAAGACGCACCACCTTCCTCAACAAGCTCCTCAGTCCATGGCCACCGCCAAAGCCCCGGCGACCACGCCCAGCACTAAGACCCAGGTCCGGAGATAATTGTGCCACTGCCAGCGCTTGATGGCCTCCGCAACGGTCATCTTTCGGTCCCGGTCGATGCTGCGTTTCTCGTCGAACGCGTACGTCAACGCCATCTCGCCGCCGCCAGGACCGGCCAGCCGATCGGCTTTGCGGGACAGGGCGCCGTTGGTGCGACGCAGAAAGGTCAATGCGTAAGGCACGCCCGATGCACTCGCCGAGGCGGCGAGGATGTACAGGTAGCGCAGCAGGGATCCGGCAGGGGCTGTATGGGTGAATGAATGACCCCCCAGATCAGCAACTTCAGGACAGACTCAATGGCTCCGGTGAAGGTTGGAAGGGACCTCAAAACCTACCGTGGTATGCCAGGTAACCGAACGACAAGCCATTGATCAGGCACATGGGCCGAGAAATCTGCATGTTTGCCAGACGTGTCAGAAGAGAACACTATTCAAACTCGGGACGTTGAGAGGAGCGGTGCAGTCAACCACTGACATGGAACCCCATGAGATACTGGTACCGCCACTCCCGGGCGGCCAGGGCATCTGGAGCAAACAGGATCGCTGGCACGGCCGCATGCGAAAGAGCCCAGGTGTATCCTGCATCAGACGACAGAATGGGTCAGCCTCATTCGTTATATCCCAAACGGACCGAGCAGGACTTGCAAATGCACTCGCACCCAAGGGAAAAAGAGGGCCGAGGAACGAAGGAAGGGAGAAAGGAGTGAAGGAGGGTGGTCAGAAACAACCTGCAAATATGCCTGACGAGGCCAGTCCGAAGACCTTTGCGAGCACGAAAATGTCCATCGTGCCGTGCGTGTGTCCAACCAGTTGGGAATCTGTTCCTTATTCTTTTTATACACACTGGACCGAGTTGATATTTCCTCACTCTCTCTCTCACGCAGCCTCCCCCCGTTCCAGCAAGAAACAAACCAAGCACGGGAGCAGGATCAACAGAGAGTGGCCAGGCCAGTTCAATTCCAACACATTCGATATTCGTTTGAACAAAAAGACCACACCACAAGCCAGCCAGAACACACACGAGAAAAAAGGAAAGGAGCAAACAAACAAACCACCCCCATCGGCTTCGGGACTATTATTTAATTATAATCCCAGGGCCTGCACAGGCGACGCGCCCTCGCGGACCCGGATAGGGCGTCAGATCAGCGCTAGTCGGAGCCAGCTCGCTCGCCCGGGACGAGTGGACGCAGATAGGCACCATGCGTATACTGTATAACCACTAGCTAGCGGTGGTGGTTAGGCGAGACGGCAGGGCCCTTTCCATGGCCCCGTGCTCCTTCTTCCACTAGCCCTGACTGAATGCCAGATGGGACAACGAGCAAACTCACACTCAGTCCCCAATTATTACATATGTTGGTGTACGGGAGCATGGTATCTCCAGAACTCAAAGGATGGGGGGATAAGCATAACCCATTGCTGCAGATATTAGATACTTGGTTTGGCGAAGACGGAAGTAAAACCCCTGATCGTTGGAGTGAAAAGATGAAGCCCGCCTCGCGCAAGATAGATCCGTGTTCTGTCTGGTGTACTGTACGAGGGCGGTCGCTTCGTATCGACGTCGTTATCCGGGGTGGATGGGTGGAACTGGTCTGTTCACAGTCCACCGGGAGCATGACGATGTTGCGCGCCTATCATCGTCCGTCCAGCTTCTGCAGCCTCCTCCACCACTACTACCCTGGGTACCGAGAACTCGTGAGTACTGTACTACTGTAGGTAGGCGCGTGGTCGCCAGCCTGGTGACCCGCCCGTCCGCCAGTCCGCGCGCAAGAAAGAACCAACTCTGGCCTTTGACTTTTGGTTTTGGAGCTGAGCTGAGCTGGACTGCTTGCTGTGGATTCGTAAGTACACTATATACAAGGTACAGAGGGTGACCTACCTACATACTTCAGGAGCACGAGGGACCATGTATTCGGTATTCGGGACGAAGTTACATTTCCACCCTTGATAGTTGGACCTAGGACATCGAGTGCTGTTTCTTCTACACATAGCTAATACTATATCAGCACTTCTTACCTATTCGGGCCATCTGGTCCTGTTATTACTACTTAACTTAATCACCTAGGTAGTTGGTTAGTTATCCAATCCATTCCGTCTCGACCACGGACTGGGGCTGGTGTTTTGTACCGACAACTCGACGACCCCCGGACTAGCTATCTACATAAGCACTGCAGCAGCAGCGACGGCGGCGCACTGAATTTCCCTTTCTTGTCGTTCCCGCCCTCAAACAAGCAAACAAACACCCACCCATCCATCCATTCATCCATCCACCCATCGTCCGAGTCAGTGTAATTCAGAAGAGACGGGAAATCGTCTCAATCTTACTTGATTCGCCCTTGTTCTGGGACCAGATTCGACAAAGCATCACGCGAGGTGCGGCGCACGATCGGACCTCACCTCGAACCGCGCACAATACAGACCTCCTTGTCGGGAGTAGATGAGTGTCAGAATGACAACTCGGATGCGATGAGATGATGATGGATAGTTTGCTCGCTTCATTTATTGGGAGTCTAGTCTGTCTGGCTGCCTGGAGCTAATTAACATGGCGTGGTGTCATGTTCTCGAAACCATGTGCTTCCTGTTCTATGTGCAGTGTTTGTACTTTTGTTCTATCTCCAAAGCATACCTGAGCCTTGCTTGCTTGCTTGCTTGCTAGTTGCATTCGAAACTCGATGTCTTATGAGGCAACCTGGCAGGGTGTATCTATGACACAGAGACCTACCTCTCTCTCTACACCCTGAAATAGATGTCCCCATAACTCCCAGAGCAGGCAGTCGGTCAGTCAGTCACCGACAGTCACCACCGTATCCTCCGCCTCCACCTCTGCAGCCGGGTCTCGCTAGTTACTCGGGCCTGAGCTTCTCGTTCGTCAGGCTTGGCCACATTCCCCGCCAGGTTGTGCTTGTCGCTCAATTGCAGATTGGGCAGGAACCAGACCATAACCATCGGCACCGCAGACGCCACCAACGCGGCGATGGTCATGTAGCGCAGGATGTCGGAGTACGCGAGGTTGATGGCGTTGCGGTCTCCCGTGTCTGGTGAAGAAGAAGAAGAAGACGACGACGACGACGCTGCCGCCGCCGTGATGGAGTCGTAGACGCGCTCGATCGCCGCCGCCTGGGACGCCGTGCCGGTTCCCATCCAGAAGCGCAGCCGCGCCTTGAACAGGCTGGTGTAGATGGTCCCTGCGACGGCGGCGCCCGCGCTGTTGCCTAGGTAGATGCACAACAGCTCGAGGGCGGTGGCGTGGGCGAGGTCGGCTCGCGGGACGACGACCTGGGCGACGACAATGACCACGGTGCCGACGGCGCCGCTGCCGGCGCCTTGCACGACCTGCATGGCGATGATATCGGCCAGCGAGTTGTCGGCGCCTCGGAGCCGTAGCATGATCCCGTACCCGACCAGCCGCACCACGACCCCCAGCAGCAGCAGCCACTTGTACCGCCGCGTCCGGTACATCAGGAACCCCGTGCCCAGCCCCGTCGCCACCTGCACGCACCCGGCCGTGTAGGTCAGGAACGTGGCGTCGCGGGGCGCCAGGGAGTGCACCACCGTCGCCCACGCGTACAGGTACGTGTGCGTCACGCTGTAGGCGAACGCGTCCAGCAGCCCGATCACCAGCGCCAGCGCCAGCGAGATGTTCTGGAACAGTCGCGGCGGCAGGGCCGGCTTGGTTGCGACGCGGCACTCGTAGTAGACTAGCACACACAGGCACACCACGCCCATGGCGATCAGCGTCGGAACCCAGGGGGCACGCCAGCTCCCGTTCGCGTTCCCCGCCAGCGCAATCGGCAGCAGGAGCATCCCGCAGCCGCCGCTGAGCAGCAGCATGCCGCCGAGGTCGATCTGGGTCGCGAACCCCTTGATGGAAGTCCTCCGCCGCATCCTGCCGCCTGCCCGCTCCACACGGCGTTGAAACCAAACTAAGGGAGCGATGACGCTTAGCGAGCACACGGGCATGATGATGGCGAGCATGCCGATGCCCCAACGCCAGCCGATGGTGGCCAGGGCGCTGTCGACGATGAACGCCGAGCACCACGGGATGACCATAAAGGGCAGGCTGACGAGGGCGTTGGCGAGCCCGCGCCACCGCGACGACGTGATGTCCGCCACGATGATCTGGTTGAGGATCTGCATGCCCGTCTGGCCGACGCTGTAGACGATGTAGCCGCCCGTGTACTGCCCGAACCCGCGGGCGGACGCGCAGAGGATGTACGACACGACGTAGCAGACGATCACCACCGCGTATGTCTCGGCGCGTCCCATGACGTCCGAGACCTTGGCCAGCGGAGGCTTGAGCACGGCGCTGACGATGGTGCCGACCGTCGTCAACGCCCCCAGCAGGGCGATCTCGCCAAAGTCCGAAGCCGCGTAGTTTTGGTAGTTGTAGATGGTGGTGTAGTCGAGCTCACTGCGATGGGATGTGTCAGCAGGGATGAGATGCCCTTTCGGGCGTGCTAGTTGTACTTACAAAATAGTCCACATCAGAGCGATGCTGTATAACGGTGCATCTGTCAGCGTCCACAACCATTGATATTGAGGTTGAGGTCCAAGGCGAGACATACCCCGTCCACATCCACCATCTCCCATGCGTGCCCCAGGCGGCATTCAGGATCTTCTGGTGCTCGCCTTCCTCTTGCTCCGATTCGGACCTCACGCTATCTTGCGTCGACTCGTTCTTCTCTTCATCCCCGACGGTAGATTCATTGCTTGGCGTTGACGTGCTGTCCGGGGATGACATGACTTGGGCGGACGTGCGGCGTGAGGGAAACACTTGGAAGAGGAACCCAAAGGGGCAGAGAGCAGGAACGACAAGCAGTCAAATAAAACAGACAGGGGAGGACATAGGGAGTGAACAGGAAATAAAATCAAACCCAGCGGCGGAGCTTCAAGAAGAACAATTCAGCCTTCCAGGGCCGATCAAATCAATCAGTGGTGCTCACCTACAACCAACTGAAGCTGAAAAGTCCCTCACCGAGTGCCAACAGCATGATCAGCGCGCGAAATTCTCGACATCTGGTCGCTAGCACACGATGAGGAGGCCCAAGCCCGCTGACCAAGACGCGCACTCGTGGGGCCAGTCGCTGCAGATGTCAGGGAGACAGACATAATGGACCGACAATCCACGAGAACAGCGATGTCGGCAAGCACTTTTGTTGTGGTCGGGCTCCTTGGTTGCAGTATACAAATCCGCTGTGGGTTCGCCAGGTCACCAAAAAGGGGAGTCAGAGGATGGGGAGCCCACCGAAAGTCATGTTGGATAATCTGATCAGATAATTTTCATCTAATCAAGATAAGATGATCATGAAGAATTTTTTTGCATCGTCCTGTTGATCAGTCTTGGAAGAGGCAGGCAGTGTTGGGGGCATCCACCGTCCCCAGACAAAATGTGCAGTTGAGCATTGGCATTTCATCATCCGTTACAGTAGGCCGAGTCTGCAGTGGGCCACCAAGTCTCCGAAAAGAGGATCGGTCCATCGATCGATCCTTCCGGAGAGAATGAAACACCAGCGTCGGACGAGACACGGGAAACACGGCGGGAGAGCATGGTGTGGCGGCGGTACAAGGGAGTAACTGGACGTGCAGATACGTCTCTCTATTATTCATGTATTCCGACTTCGCGCGACGACATTATATGTGTCCTGAGGCGGACGAGATGGACAAAGAGGAGAAGGGATGAGGCACGAAGAATGCAAGCGCCGAGAAGTCGATCAGATTGCTTGTCGATCCACAAACTCCGCAAAATGACGCCATTACAAGGCTCGTCTGTCTCTGGTGGTAACATTTCTCAGCAGACGTAGCATCCATCTTGCGTGATGTTGGAGAGTGGTTCACGGTCAACCTCAAGAACTATGCTAGAGGGTCTAGTAGTTGAACTGTCTCTTTGTTCTTTGTCGTTCGTTTTCGCCAGACGAAGCGTTGTCGCTCACGTGCTCGACTTGCTGATGCCCGAGTAGTGGTTGATCCATGCAAAAATCTCTCGGTGCCAAACGAGGCTGTTCTCGCGGTTGGTGACCCTAAAACACATTGTCAGCCAGACATGTAAGTTTGCCAGCATTGAAGACCCTACCAATGGTTCTCATCTGGGAAGCTCAGAAACTTGCTCGGGACGCCCCTCTCCTGCAACAGGTTGAAGAGTGTGATCCCTTCGGCGATGGGCAGTCTGTAATCCAGCTCATTGTGCACCACAAAGTGTGGCGTCGCCCAGTTGTCGATATGGTCCATTGGATTCCACTCATCGTAATTGTGTCGGTTGGCCCAAAGTGTGCCGTTCATCTACCTCACGGTTAGCCACAGTCTCTATAGGGTCGGCTGTCACGCATACATCATGTTGCATAAACCACAGCTCGTCAGTCGAGTAGGAACCTGCCGTATTGACCATGCCATCATGCGTGACAAGAGCCTTGAATCTTCTGCCCAGGTCATGGCCTTGGATCCAGTTCGTCATGTAGCCGCCGAACGAGGCCCCAGCTTCGATCCCGTTCTCGGTGTCAATGTAGTCATATGTGCTGTTGACGTGCTCCCATACGGCAACGAGATCTTCATACGGGAAACTACCCCAGTTTCCCTGAATGGCATTCTGAAAAGCCATCCCCCAGCCCGTGCTTCCGGTCGGGTTCGGTGCCACTACAACGTAGCCTTGATCCGCCCACACCTTGAAATTCCACCCGGAGCTCCAAGTGTTGTAGTATCCCCCTTGTGGGCCGCCATGCACAAGGAATGCCAGTGGGTATTTCTTGCTGGGATCAAAGCCTTCGGGGTAGATCACCCAGCTCTGAACCCGAGTGAAACTGCCCATGGTGTAGAATTCAGACACGTCTTTCGGACCGAGGCCTGCGAGCTCGGGGTCAACTTGGTTTGACCGGAAGAGATCGGCAACCAGCCTTCCCCTGGGACTAATAATGTAGAAGTCACGGGAAGACCAAATCTTGGAGTCCGACACAAGGAGGTTGCCATTGGGCAGCGCGTAAAACGATCCAACAGTACCGGCATTGGTGATGTTGGTGGGTTTAAAATCTGCTCCAGCCGTAAGAGGAACCTGGAACAAGCGTACGTTACCCAGATCAGGTGCCACAACGAAAAGGGAAGTGCCATTGGCAGACCATCTGAGCTGGTCAGGAGTACTGTCCCAGTTCTCTGCGAGGTTGGTGATGTTGAAATTGCTGGTATTGACACTAGCGACGTAGATCTTATTCTTGTCGCTCTCGTACGAGATGCCGTCCATCTGGAAATATGCAATTTTGGTACCATCTGGGGAGAATAACGGGTTTGCCGACGCCCCTTTGGCGTTCGGAGGCGTTGTCTCTCCAGAAAAAGCATTAATCGGCACAGCCGAGGAGGAGCCATTGTGGGGGACGAGGTAAATCTGGGAGGATGTGTAGTTTGACAGCGGCAGGTCAATGTTCTTGGTCAAGAAAGCGACCGTGGATCCATCTGGGGTGATATCGTAGTCGCCGGAACCACCGAAAGGCTGAACTGGACTCTCAGCACGAGTCACATTGGAAAGGCCTGCCACAAGGTTCTTCAAGCTTCCTCGCAGTGAGTACCTATTTCCTCCGGTCAGCGTACCAGCAAAGACAGCGTATTTCCTCTCCGTAAGCCAAGTGTCCCAATGACGAACATAGATGCTAGTGTAGATTCTTGCGGTGCTTAGTGGCTTCTCGGCCAAGACTTCGTTATAAGCTGTCCCGTTTGGCCACGCCAGACAGTTCAAGAGGAAATTGACGTCCCCAGTCGGGGTTACAACTGCCTTAAGCCCAGAGTATGGGGCGGGAAGCGATGCGATCAGATACCTGCGAAAGTCAATCTAGCTCTTATCCTATATCAAAGTGAACTCACGCTTCATCTATGGCATTGACGTCGCCGGCATACAGGCTGATGCCACCATTATTTTCTTTGTTGGTTTTATTGATGTAGAAGATGCTCGTATCAGTCTGTCCGACCCAGACAATCTCCGAGATATCGGACCCATTGTAGAGCAGAGAGGTTTCGCCTGTGGTCAGATTCATTAACTGCCACACCGTCTCTGCATTGTGCGTCTCCCATGAATAGGAAGTTGCACTAAAAACACCTAGTTCCTGTCGGACAGGCGTCAGCTATGTGTTCCCCTCTCATGATCGACGTACTCCTGAAGGATTTGGGGCCAATGGGCTGCGTCGCGGCGCAGCGAGTATTTGCCTGGGAGGAGTGTCAGGAAATTCCAATGGATGAGCCGGAAAGTTGGACTGACTCCGGCGTAATGGATAAAACAAATGGCAGAACAGCTACTGCTGTCGCCACAGTTCGTGGGATAAACATTTCCAGTCTCGTCTCCGTGGACGAACGTTGATACGCTGTGCTTATTCTCGAGTGCGAAAGGGTTGGACTGATTGCCCGGTGGAACAGAGGTTACCATTCGACAAGTGTATCAACCCGTTCCATTCACTCTCCTGTCGCATTTACCTCAGTAGAGAGCCTTGTTACATACGGCGGGTATCGATAATACCTAGGTTGCTCAACAAGCTGGTCACCCAACAAGGAAGAGAGTTATATCATATGTTGAACAGAACTTGATTGAGGGTGGTGAGCCTTGAACCTGTCCACGGCAGATCTTTGGAACACAACACCTTTCTGATATATATGGAGCAAAGCTTTATATGGAGGCCTTGCCAGCATCTGACCCGGAAATTTAAGTTTGGCTGTCAATAGCGAGTTTGCTGAGCAAGTATAGCCCGTCGTAAATACCAAACTTTTGAACGGTACCAAGAACTCAAGAAGCCTTCCGGATTGCCCTAGCTTCCGTCTGAGAATCTTGTGGCGCAGAACAGAGTCGCACTGTGTCCTCGTCAGTCCAGATTGTGCCTCCATTGGTGAAACGCGAGATCTGATGCGATCTTGCAGCACAATCTGTACTCGACGGGCAAACATCCATTATCACAAATGGCGATGGGGCGGGAGTTTCCGGCTGGCGTTAAGCGGGTTTCTGGGAACGGCAACCCCGGAGCACAGCAATGCTTCATTGGAAATCTCCGGGGTGGCTGAGATGAGATACAGATACAGTGGACATGGGAGAGAAGCTTGAAGGTAGCCTCCGTCGAGGCTGAAGACGATCTCTATGCCAAGACCCTTGCACGTGCTCTCACGTGATGGCATACTTCTCTTCTCCTTTTTTCTTGTCATCAGCTTCATCGTAAGAGCAGAATTGTAAATGGCATGTTGCTCTGATGTCGCTCTCCCAGTCGGATGTGACGGACATCAACAGCCTCTCGCGCTTCCTATCATGCCCGCAAGTCTCCTCGCTTTACAGCTGTCCCGCGGTTGATGTCATTGCCTTGTGCGGCAACGCGATCCTGTCCATTGCCGATCATGTCTTCTCAGCGTTGGAAGCGCGCCCAGATCTCGCCAAAGTCCTCGTTATCACCGGCGGAATCGGACATTCTACTCGGTTCCTCTATGAAGCTGTTCGAGCCCACGGCAAGTACCGTCGTCTGGCCGATAGGATTGATGGACTCCCCGAGGCTGCCGTTTTTGAGCTGATCCTCACGGAGTATTACCCCAAACTCGCGGAACAAACCCAGTCGGGCCAAATGCAATGCATTATTGAACCCAATTCGACGAACTGTGGAGCCAATGCCATCGAGACGCGCCGAATGCTAGAGTTACACTCAGTCCCTACACCCAGATCTTGTATCGTTGTTCAGGATCCTACAATGTCGCTACGCACCCTCGCCGCCTTTCAGCTAGCTTACCAAGACGTCGAGCCTTGTCCGGAATTTCTCGCCTGTCCAACTTTCATCCCTGTGGTCTCTCGTGACGAAGATGGCACTATACACATCAGGGCAGACGACAATCACTCAACCTCAAATATAGAGTCTGCAGGCCTTTGGGAGAGCAATCGTTTCTTTGACCTATTGATGGGGGAAATCCCCCGGATACGGGACGACGAGAATGGGTATGGCCCGAAAGGAAAAGGCTTCATTGTTCACGTTGATATTCCAGAAGAAGTGGAGGCTGCATGGGAGCGGCTCAGAAACGTATTGCTCTTCAAACGGTGAAAATGCTGGATTGAGGCATCACTTGGCTACAGACTGGCAGCAGCTTCGTGACCTCCGCTCAAGCCCATGGAAATCTGCGTTGAGAACAGGCATCCGGCCTTCCTGAGCAGACCAACTGGCCTGGTCCGACCGTCGACATGCAGTGTTGTGTCCTTCAGGTGGCTGAACGTTGCAACATAATCCGTCGTCGCTGCATCGTATCGAAATCAGAGTCTGCCACCGACCCACACGCTTGCCGCTGACATTCCCGATCTCAAACTTCGTCCCACCAGCTCGGGTTGCCTCGTCCGCTTTGCCCTTCGTACTTCTGCCGGCGGTGAGAAGCACAGTCTTTGGTCTGTCCGGCCACGGTGCGGTGTCTGTGGCCCTTGCACGGTTTGTTCTTTTTCGCATGGCTGCAGAGATTGTCCTTGGTGACCATGGCGCCTTTACAGCCTGCATTCGGACAGTGATGGTGGATTCGGATGGTTTCGCACATGTTGAGGTTGAGCAAGTTGGTGTGAGGGCTGCGACTGCGGCTTGAGTTGTTGCCACACGAGGGAGGCGTCAGTTGGGCTCGAGGTTTTGCTGTAATCGAGACGGTGGAGGTTGGGGGATCTGGAAAAGGATCAAAGGACAATCGTGGTCATTTATGTCTTTTACGATCGAACACTCGTGCACCTGTCATGACCGCCATTGTGATGTTTGCCTCAGTCCAGCTGAAGGCGGACTTCCGCCACAGTTGTCGTTGGCAGAGCCGCAACGTCTGTACAGACACGAGCTTCGGGGAGGGGGTTGGTTTCCCCCTCCAAATTTCCGTCGCCCGCCTCTTCTTCTCGGTTTCGTAAGAAGACGTTGTGGGTGACACGAACCAGACTTTTCAAATTGTGGGCAGCGGGTGTTTGCTTCCTCTCGTTTCGGCCACAGACCACAAGAGCAAACTCGGTAACGGATCGTGTTGGGGCGGTGAGGGGAGCCAGTCAAGTCACATTGGCTGGGAGAATGGATATGCACAAAGTACAAACCCTGTGGTCCAACCAAGGTTCCAAGGTGTGTGAGGAACTATTCTCCGTGCGTGTTTGTCCTGGCCAGGTACGAGCTGCTACATCATCATCCCTGCTGGCGCCGATTGCAAAAACAACAAAAAACAGGAATCCGAAGTTTCAGGATTCATAATCATATCTCATTTCGTCATCTCATAAAAAGCGACAATTACATGGGCGGTTGTAACAGCATAGAAACAAGGGTATCTGCATGCGGAAGAACAAGCATTAAAAGGGAAGCCGCACAGAATCTCCCAGGCAATTCGTCAAATGACCCCCTCTCTTTCCATCATCTTGTCTCCTCTCTGGCCACGCGCCTCTTTCCTCCTCGCCACGGGAACGCAGACGGAACAGAGGGGTCGGTCAAGTACAGGAATATGCAAGGAAGAATTCCGAGCACTGGAGTTGTCAAGACGGTTCTGGGCGACGATCGAAATGATCACAAGTCTCCACCAATGGGTCAAGAAAGTGTGGAAGGGAACACTGTGCCTGGCCAACCTCTCCACCTTTAGTTATGAAACGCCCACGTCGATCCTCGCACAGTTGGCGATGGTTGATCGCACTCGTTGGTGAAACTTGCCATTTGCAGCAGTGTCGTACAGTTCGCTAATCTGCCGGGGTAACATGCCGACGCGGCTGATTCGATCCCTGACAGCCTCTTTGGCAGGGCCCAAGGCGTTGGCGATCCCATCCGCCCCGATCCGGAGATTGTAGCAGATGAGCTTGTCGTGCTTGACGCTGGGGTAGCTCTCGGAGGAGGCGGCCACCGAAAACTTCAGCTTGGAATTGGCGAAGGCAATGGCCGCGGATGGCGTGAAGCAGTACTGTTCCAGGACTTCGGCTTGAATGGCTGACATGTCGGGCTCGGGCTCGGGTTCTGAGTCCCAGCAGGGAGAAGAACACAAGCTCGACGGCGGCGAGATCGGTGACGAACTGCCGCTGGAGATCGACCCTCGGGGAGAGCCACGCGGCGACCGGGGTGACCTAGGCGAGCGTGGTGTGCGAGGGGAAGGAGGCGCATTCATGTCGGCGTCGAGCCCGTCAAACGCGAGCGCCAAGGTTCGGAAATGCGATGATGAGCAAGCGTCCAGAGTTCGGGCGTAGAAGCGGGTCTCCATGGCCTTGAGCCGGGGCAGACTGCCTACGCAGATGTCGACGAGATTGATGTGGTCCTTGAGGATGGCATCGGCATCGGTGCTGTCGCCAAAATCCACCGCAATGTGCGTCAACGACGATTTGATCAGGGGGTGGATATCCACATCGGACAAGAATGCCAGGGCGTCTGCTGAGGACCGGAACACCAAGGCGTTAAGACTGTAAAACAACGTGATGGCCTCTGACCGGATCAGGTGGCAGGTGTCCAAGAACCCACGAGGATCGTCTTTGGAGGGCCGCGATGGGCGGAGTCGTCGTTGCGACGGACACCTCAGCTTCAGCGGTTTCGGCTGTTGGAAAGCGAATTTATAGATGAGATTCCTGACCTCGGGAGGAAGATTCAGAAGCGTGGATGACATGTCTGGAGAAGACGCCATGGTTTGTCGTCCTCGTTGTTGCTATTTGCCGTTACGGTTGTCGTTTCAGTTTCCAAAGAAGTGTGTCTGTCTGGGTTCAACCCGTTGAACCGATGCTGAGAGAAGGTGAGAAGATAAAAAAGAGCTAACGACGTTTTTGGCCGTTGAAAGGGGGGTAGTATTCAGGGCGAGGACCGGTCTCTCTGGGCTACAACAATAAACAAATGTCGTCGAGAAATAATTGAATCCACCAGGGTCTGCTATCGGGTTTGGTGGCGGTTTTTGGGGCGCGCCTCGTTCTCTGGACTGGGCGGCTCAATTATTGATCGAACAAGGCGGAGGGAGGCAGAGGCAAGAGGCAGCCCGGGGCCAAATGTGTACAGGGCTACTAAATTAAGAGTCGAGTCGATCCCGCAATCTCGTCAGTGAGCATTGAAGCGAAAACGTGTGTGTACTCGGGGCAAGAAGACAACAGGCGGCGTGCTGTCCACCACCATGAAAATCCGGGGAAGTTCGAAGAGTAGATAAAAAACGATAGTTGGGTTTTTTCTTTTCCAAGCTTAGATAGGAAGAGTTGAAAGCGAGAGTATGTCCAGGAGAGAGGAGTCGACGTGGTGGAGAGGAGGAGCAGCAGCAATTTCGAGCGAGAGACTCAGGCTGAGGCCGGGCAGATGATGGTGATTGTCGAAAAAAAGGGAGAGGTTGGTGGCCTCTCGCGTACTCGGCACGTTCTTTTACATGAGACAACCTTCTGTCGATGGTGACGCTTGTTGGAGTGGAGGTTGCCGTCGGTACTAGTGCTGGGGTGGTTGGTGACACGATTGCTGGCTCTCTCTCCGACTCTCACCGGGCAAGAGGGCTGGCAGATTGGGGCGTCTGGCATTGATTGTTGGTTTCTCGATAGAATTTTTTGGTTTGATTGACATGGGACCTGGCATGGCGCAATGTCTCAGTTTAGCCCCTTGTACCGTGGCCTCGTACCAGGAGAGAGGAGGCCAGGAGGCAGGGCAAAAATCAGGGCTATAGCAGGTTTAGCCCCCGGGAAATTGGATTAAAGGTACCTGCGCAGTGGAGACCGGGGTGGCTACGGAGTATGAGCCAATGGCGGTGCTGGAAGAGCGGAGCCTCAGGAGCATGGGACGCGCTGAGTGGTGGATGGCGTCGGGGGCTTGAGCGCTAAGGACTACTAGCGGCTCTTAGCGAAGATATTAATATCCGGCTGCTAATGCACGCCACAAGGCACTGCTCCACTGCCAGCCAATCATTCGCGGATCCCGGCTATCCACCCCAGCCACGGCCTTGCCAGCAATCCTGATCCGGCCACTCTGAGTCTCCTCTGTTCCTCTTCCTCGAGCTTCCGCTGGATCCCCTGTCCGTTGACTGTGCTTCGGACTCTCGAGCTACTGCTACGTCACTCGTGACCACATTCCGATAAGATACGCACGATAGACCCTTGGTCACACCGCGAACCGGGGAGATCCAGATTCCTAAAGTGTGATTGTCCGTTCGCACATCATCCGATGGTGGATGGCGGTGATACTCGCGATGGCTTTCTGGAGATACAGTATTTTATGCACGAGGCACTTCGAGAAATGCCTGGGCTCCGGACTCATACCCTCACAATAATGGGAAACATGTCATGCCATCGCCATCACCAGCGGAGCCCTCTTCCCTCCTCCATCTCAAAGATTCGCGTTCCACCAACCACGCTTGTTCCATTTTAGACTTTCAACGCCGTCATTGTACTCACCCCCTCAACGCCGCCTTGCCCCCCACCCGAGGCGAACTCGTGTTTTTCATCTTGGGCCAGGACCTTGGCGGTTAGCTCGTGACGTTGTTTCTCGGTCGCATCCGCAAAATGCACCACGACTTCGTCGCCGAACAGGGCGTTAATCTCTTCCAGCGACTTGCCTCGAGTCTGAGGAGGAGGAGTTGTTGTTGGTCAGTGAAGAAGAAGCAAACAACAAGGAAGCTCTTCTTACCTCGGGACACCAAAAGTAAAAGATCCAGATATTGACAAAGGTCAGGCAGATGAAGACGATGTAGTACTTCCACTTGATATTTGCCAAGGCGGTCGGTGCAGCCTCGACGTACACCAACGTCGAGAGAAACGTGCCCGCCAGAGACCACGCCACACCCTGAGATCGGATTGTGGTCGGGAAGATCTCGGCTTCAAGATGCCAAATCCGAAAATATGCATGTCAGCGACGCAATCCGGGGTGCAACCTTGGAGGAAAGAAGAATATGACAAAGGATGCATGTCCACCCAACTGAGCGAGCAACAGTTCTTACTCGTGCCGTGCTTAGAGGCCGCCTTACGGACCAGCACGCTGGGATGCCGTCAGGATCCAGCCGCGGTTTACGGCCCTTCCCCGTTCAGGCACCTCGTTTTGTTGCACGACGTTTCTATTGCTGGCGGGCGGCGGTGGGGGGTTCATGCATGGAAGGACCGAAGGAAAAGACATCGGGAACGCAAAACCACTTACAGCAATAGACATAGCCAACCACGTCGATGCCGCCGCCGTAGAAGCTGATAAAACAGAAGGAGAAGAACACCCCCATCGACAGTCCGGCCTTGTTGGTGGTACCAGCGAACTCGGCTATCATGGCGGTTTCGAGGCACACCGAGAGCATGCACCCGGTAAGCCCGGCCACTATATTTACACGACCATCGTGTCTTTTAGCATTTCCTTCCTCGCTTTGTCACACAAAAACGGGAAGCCCCGTTTCCGAGTTGAAGGTGGGTGGGTGCTGGAACACTTACGCAGAAGTGGTTTTCGTCCTACTTTGTCCAGGAGCAGCGCCCCGACGAAGTTGGAAATGGTTGCGACGGTGACATACGCTGCTCCCAAGATCAAGGGAACCCCCCCGGTAAGTCCAAGATTTTGGTACAAGGATACGATGTACACTGACGAAACAAGGCCCCGGACAGAATGTCAGTGGAGCTCTGATATTTGACGCTGTGTAGCCTTGGTGTTTTTTCCCGACAGAAGGTGGACTTACCGTAGATCACCTGAGCACCCGTCGATTGCGCCGCATACTGGATGAAGAAGCCCATCCAGAAGCGCTTCCGGTACCTCTTGCTGGTGAACATACCGCGCCATCCCACCTGCTTCCATGCGGCCGCATCTACTCGGACCTGCTCAGTCATTTGGTAGAATTCTTCTCGCGCATACTGGAGGCCTGCTTCGTCCTCCGCTGCGCCACCGTGGAGGCGCTTGACGATATTCCAGGCCTCCTCGCGTCGGTCTCTGGTGAGCACTGAGCCACGTGTGAGTGAGTTTGTGGTTGGGGGCCACGATCGACTCGTGCCAAAAATGGTGACTTACGCCAACGAGGGGATTCGGGGATCCAGGGAGCACACATGGCCAATGCAAGGGGCGGAATGATCGACAAGGCAATCGGGAACCGCCACTGGAAGGACAGGTTCGACGAGTAATACGTCCCCGCGCCCACCCAGCCGGCAATAGCGTATCCCAAGACAATCCACGTCCCATGCTGCCCGACAAGAAAGCCTCGAGCATTGGGAGGGGCTGATATCCACGTTAGCCACAACCAAAAGCCCCCAACGGCCAGAACAAGGAACGTACAGATCTCAGCTTGGTAAATGGGGATCAGGACCACCATCATGCCAATCCCCCAGCCTGAAATGAAGCGCGAAACGAGGAACATGGCCATATCGACCGAGCCCGTCTCGAGAGCGCCGCCCACGACGTTGACGGCCGACGCCAAATACATGGTCTCTTTCCGGCCACGGGCCTCGCACATCCAGCCCACATGGAGCGCCCCGAACAGCGCTCCTGCACAGTACAGCCCATTGATGGTGCCGGTGATGGCGTTGGTGTAGGCCGAGTTGGCTTTGAGGTTGAAGTACTGGATGAACCCCGGTTGCCCTATGGTGTTGGAGATGACGGAGAAGCCATACCCAAAGGTCAGGCTGCCCAAGGTCAGGACCAGGATGATGCGCAAGTTGTAGAGGGTGTATGTTCTAGCCATCGTGTCGCAGCCACCAACAGCAGGAGAACAGAAGCGAGTCGGCAGGAGATGGTTGATCCTGCAACTGCAAGACTGTGGGGTCCCCACGCACTGATATACATATCATGTTTTCCATTTATTGCGGGTCTATGTGTGAACCACGATGTCGTCGTGGAGAGACCTTTGGTTAGAGGTCTGACGCCCACTATGCCTTAGCCTATACCGGGCTTACGCGGTTATCCAGGCTGCCAGACCAGCAGATACTCATCTCGTCCGGTGCGGGACGGGCCACAATATGGATTTTTGGTGAAGAGTTCCCTATCCCATCAGCTGTGCCTTTGTATATTGTCTTGTGGAAGAAACAAGATGATTTGTCACGCCATCGGCAGGTCATAAAAAGCTGCTATGCAGGCGTTCAAAGTCGGGTTCCTTCGCATTACAATGGCATGAGGTACACACCTCAAAGTGGTTCATTATTGGAGAGACCGGCCCAGCACTCGGCGACAGGGGCATGACGGGGGAAGGCCTGGATGGCTATAGTTCCCCGTCGATCTTCTCTCCATTTGTCTCCTTTTCTCCAACTCCCACCCTCAAAAATCATTGCCGATCCTTGATGCCAGACGCGGAAGGTCGCTAGCAAGCAATACTATCCTGGTGGTGGAAACAAAACACACGGCATGGCACCTAGCGCCGTACCCCTCGTCCAAAGGCCATGCTCTCGGTGGGAGTCGGGGGTCTTCCTGGGAATTGTCCTAACCCAGAAGTCGAGGTGAGTGTGCTGTTTCTGCAAGAGTCATTCATGCATGCAAATAGGCGGAGGCGGAGGAAGACCCGAGGGCGGCCAGTGGCCAGGAAAAAGAGGGGGAATGGCCCGTCAGCTCTGCCGCCTCCTACAGCCAGGGAGAACGAGATGAAAATCCTGGGTAATGTATGCGTCTCTGCTTCAACATGTGAGAGGGAGGTCAGCACGCCTTGATGTCGATATTCCCAACGGCCACATCGACATCTTCGCCGTGAATTTGACGAGCTCTCGCCAACAACAACGCGAGGGAGGAATATCAAACCACCACCACCAGCACCACCACTCCCTCGGTCTACTCCGTAGCCTTACGGACATGTCGGTGTCGATTCCGCGCTGCATCATTACCCCGACCTTCGTTCGCCCACAATCCCGCAATCATACAAAAGGAACAGCGTCTGGCCATTTTCCGGGGCCATAGGCTATGACCGCCTTCTCCCCCTCCAGACTTGCCGAATGATGACTCCACCAATAATAATGGATCAGCCGCACCAGACGTCCTCGACGCAGCGAGGGCGCCCACGACAGCGCTCGGCCGTCGCCTGCACCTGGTGCCATTCCCGACGCGTGAAGTGCAATGCCGCGGCCAAGGGGACGCCGTGTTCTAACTGCGAGGCTGCTGGGCGCCACTGCATGCTCATCGAGAGCAAACGAGGCAAGAAGAGGAAAGTGTCGGCTTCCCCCTCTGCTGCCCAGCAGCGTGACCTGTCCAGTATTCCTCAGGCTTCCCCGACGTCTGAGACGAACCAGCCGGCGGCGCCTGGCAATGTCTACGACCCCCTCAAGGGCGTGAGGACCCAGCCCAAGAACCTACAGGAGAACCGCCGTCCGCGCACGGCATCCACCTCCACATGTGTTCCCGATAAACCTGATCTGGGGGCGCAGGACTCGCAGGAAACCCTCTATGCTCAGGTCTTGGACAAGGCCACCGACACGGGCACGGCCACGGGCATGCTGCCGGACGTCAAAGAAGGTGTGGTCCATGTCATGTACATGGGCGAGACGTTCAACTTGACGCATCTGCTGCGCCAGACCAATCCCGACTCTGCCCGGTCGACACGGAAGAGACATTACGTGGTGCGGTTCAACCCCAAGAATCGCACGGTCAGTCCCGTAGAGAAGGAGGAAGAGGAGGAAGAGGACAATGTGCTCACGACGTTCCTGCAGCACCAAGGTTGCTTTACCCTCCCCTCCGTCCATACGTGCTACCAGCTGTTCCAGACCTATTTCGAATACGTTCACCCTCACTATCCCATCCTCGATCGCGAAGACTTTGCCGCCCAGTACACAGATCTCAAAACACCGGCCTCGTACCTGCTGCTCCAGAGTGTCCTGTTCATGGCGTCGGGACACTGCGAGCTGTCCGTGCTGCTGGACGCAGGGTTCGAATCGCGATACCACGCGCGGAGGACGTTCTTCCAGCGCGCCAAGGCACTCTACGACAACGACCACGAGCCCAACAAGGTCACGGTCGTGCAGGCCGTGTTCCTGATCAGCTTCTGGTGGAACGGGCCGACCGATCAGAAGGACACCTGGCACTGGCTGGGCATCGCCATCAGCCTCGCGCTGACGCTGGGCATGCACCGCTCGACGCAGCACTCTGACATGAAACCTAAGGACCGGTGTCTGTGGAAGAAGATCTGGTGGTCGCTCTTCGCCGAGGACAAGCACGCCGCCACGGCGCTGGGTCGTCCCGTGCACATCCGTCGCCGGGACTGCGACGTCGAGCCCCTCGAGATTACTGATTTTGACGAACCCCCCGTCGCACGATCTGACATCTTCGGCAGCCCCGAACGTGTCGACGGACTGTATGTCATTGCGCTGGTCGAGCTATCCATGATTGCCGAGAGTATCATCGAGAGCTCTTTTACCGCCTTCAACGCAACCACCTCGGACAATACGGACATGTTCCAGTCTTGCTCGCAGGCCCTGGAGCAGTGGCGGTCGGGTCTCCCGCTGGAACTGCGTATCCAGTACACCGGCACCTGTCTCTGGACGAGCATGCTGCACATTGCACACAGGTAAATACATACCCTGCTTTTTCACCCTCTCTCTCTGATTCCGGCTAATGCTCTAACTGAACAGTTGGTTCGAGATCGTCACGCACCGGTCCATCGCGCCACAGAACCTGTCACCGCCGTCGATGAAGACGGCGCACTTCCTGGCCATGGACGCGGCGAACCGCATGGTGCGCATCGTCGAGGAACTCCTGTCCCAGTCGCACATCCTGCACTGCCCAATCCATATCGTGCCGGCGCTGTTCGCCGCCATGGGCATGCAGGCGGTCGACATCTGCTCGGGCCAGTCGATCCTGGAGCAGCTGGGTGTCGTGAAAGTGCGGCTGGCCATGATCGCCCTGCGCGAGCTGCAGAGCACCTGGCCCGTCAGCGGCTGGATCTTCCGCCTCTTCGCCAAGATCGTGCGCCGCATCCGTAACGGCGACGTCGAGCTGTTGCTCCCCCACGAGTCCGTCAACGCGTCGTCGCCTGTGCAGAAGGTGAAGAGCTGCAGCAGCACCAGCAGCCACCGTGAACCGCTAGCCACCAACAATGAGGGCGCCTGTGGGAGTCCCGCAACGGCACCAGCGCCCAGCCAGGCCATTGACCCTCGGCCCCAGCCATCGTCGCTGGTCAACGGCGGCAAGTCCCAGTACGGAGGACAACAACAACAACAACAACAACAACAAGACCCGAGCCTCACGCCGATGTACACGATGCCCAGCCAGCAGGCGGCCAAATACTTGTTTCCGGAAGCGTCCAACCTGGCCATGCCCCTGAGTTATCCGGCGGACTGGGGAACGATCCTCGACGACGGGGCGTGGGCCGACTTGGAATACGAGTTCTAGAGATTCGGGATGCTTCGAAAAGGAAGGACGAAAAGTTCGTGCGTGGCACACTCATGGCCCCTCGAACAACGAGACAAAAATACATATCCCATTTGAGGAGATTCACATCTCTCCCGGAAAAAAATAATCACGAAACTGGCGAAGGCCTCCTCGTGATCCCCGTTTTTCCGTGTTCATCCCAGACACACCCTCGTCGTCATCGTGGCCGATATCATTAATCGCTCACTCACTTCCACCCCTGTCTGTGTGCCTCAATCGGCCAGCACCATGACCTACCTGGTACCGCGGTGACCGGCTGGGCTGGTTAAGATGCCAGGGGCGGCGTCTGGCAATTCGTCCAGGCACCGACCGCCCGTCCAATACCAGTTGATGTATGGCGGACGACGCTGATGCGGCGCGTTGCGGAATGTGCGATCTCGCGGTCAACCTGCACGACGACAGGGCTCCAGACACCCCGATCACGCTGATTCTGGATTCAAGGGCGTGGGGCTGGCTATGTATGTATCTCTTGGGGACTGGGAGGGGTGTCTTGTACACCCATGTAGACTAGACATGGGACGAGGACAAGTTCCACGAGAGACATCTGCGGGGGCTATAGTCCACAGTGGACTCTCGATTTCACGAGCATCGTTGGTTGGTTGGTACTTGGTACCTGGTACCTGCCACTGGAACGTGATAAATTGGCACTTCGGTCCCTGATCCTCGCAGGGCAAGAATGACATTCGATGTGAGTGTAGGCAGATCAAGCCCGCAGAGGAACAGAGAAGATATCTAGCCTACTGAGGCACCCCCACACACGCACACCTTACTTGCTGCAGCGCTGCCCCGGGTAAAGAAGCCATGCCCTTGGTAATATGTCGATGCACTTCCCGAGCGGGAGCTGATATGGGTTGGTGGGTACGTATCTACATATCTATCTCCTTTGGCGGTAATATTATGTGTGTGTGTATATGTGTATACACCTTCAAAATTAGGGGGGGAGGAAACCCCTCGCAGATCATCGCCAGTCACACATAACACATATCAAGTACACAAGTCCTTCTGGAAGCCCGGAACTAAAATCGACCAGCCCGTTTAGAGTAAGTCCGTCCGCCTGACTGACTGGCTGGCTGGCTGGCTGGCGGCTATGTAATGCCATGTTCAAAGCCCAGTTCAAGCAAGCATTTATTCGGCTATGGCCATGTCTCGGTACATACACACACAGCCTCGGCCTGATCATCCATCCGTATCAAGAGGAGGTTGGATGTGGGCGATGGCTATGAGCTGAGCGAGTCTACTCGCCTGTTGATAGCCGATCTCGAGAAAAGGGCAGCTGGGTGTGTGAACGAGTTCACAGCCCCTATGATAGCCATGTATGCATAATGTATAAAAAAAGGACGGTAACGGAAACGGCAACAGCTGAGTAGGCGATGCCTGCTAAGCTCTTTTCCTCGAACAGTCACCAAAGTGCATCTGATGGAGAGAAAACCCAACTCCGAGACGATGGGCAGGAACAGTAAATAGGAGCCTGTTCAGTACTTCAGCCTTGTGTAGCCCTGTTCATACAGTACATACCGAGATAGTGATGCCCAAACCCTGTGCGACAGACCCAAGTCCAGACTTTTTCTATGCCGTGCGCCGACCAGCGTCCACTAAATACCTCCCATTGATCATACCCGTACATAAATATGATTTTCTGATTGCACATCATAAGAGCATAATCTTGTAAACATCCGTCGGTTTTGATATCCTGCATCCCTGACAAGAAAAATATTTGCGTGTAACTCTAAATCTTAGGGTCAACCTTTTTTCGATACCTTTCTGCGGATGACTTGCAACATTGAAGATACCTCGTAGACATCGACAAGGATCTAACTCTGAAAATGATCGGGGAGAACTCTCCGCGTCGATTTCTGACGCTCGTAAGTGAGTGAGTGGTGCTTTCTCGCATGAGCGTCATCACAGCCTTATAACAGGGCGTATGTGTAAAGGAGTCGAGTTGAATATAAGCCCAAGCCTCAATCGACAACCGGTGAAGTTTGCCGGTTCAACAAATGGAAACCTGTCCCTTCAGTGGGCTTGTCGCCTGTTCTTCAATATCGCCTTCAGTCATTCCGCAAGGGAAGAATCATCGCCCCATTGGGCTTGGGCTCTTTCTCGACCCTTCCTGTGGCGATTCTTTCAAGTTTGGCAGTGATTTTCGCAAAAACTGGCTCCAATTTCAAGTTCCAGAAGTGGCTTGCCACACCGACACAGGCGCCCATGACGAGCGTTGCCACGGCACATTGAAAATAACCCGGCAGTGGGTACCGCTCCACTTGATACTCGTGGCCATTTGGTGTGTGTTCGATAACGGCATGTTTCGAATGGCCAAAGTGCAATGCCCACGCGAAGACTGTCCTCATGAACATGCCGTGGATGAGGTAGACTGCAAAGCTGACTTTTCCAAGCCACAGGAGAGGTGGCCGGCTCAACATCCAACGAGCGTGGGGAGAGATGAGAATACCAATAACAAGAAGAACTCCGCCCAGTGAACCGTACATTCGCTCGAGAGCGCTGGTCGCCTCGGAAGGGAAGTACTGCGTCGCGAAATCGCGCAGCCACAAAGACCAGGACGCCGTTTCGGCAAAGGAACTAGGGTACGACATGAAGATGAGAGAAATCAGAATGATAGGCGGAGAAACATAAGGCGAGTAAGGAGCCAGAAGCTTGGGGACATCCGAGAGGCTGAGTTCGCTCAGGGAAATACCAAGAAAGCAGCAAAGACCTGCCCAGGCTGTTGATGGTTAACTTGTGCATTCTCCAGAGCATTGCTGGCGTCCCACTTACGATCTCCAATCATGCGACTCCAGTTCAGAGACCAATATGCGAGGAAAAGCAAGGTAATGGTGCGCCAGGTAGGGGTCATGGTCACCACCAGCGACAAAGCGCTGATAATCATAATGCTTCCTTGGAGCAAGTACACAAGAGCCCATTGCGGTTGATCATAGACGTTTTCGTCGCCATAAGTCCAAGTCGCCCGCAGACCGTGGAATAGATCCAGGACTGCTTGGGCCCAGGTCAGGCTGGGTTGGGGAGTGTTGGTATTCAACCAGTATGCATCGCTCTGCGCCGACATGGAGTACATATTCAGATTGCAGATAAACCAAGAGATGATAGTGGCCGTGGTCGCTGGAAGGACAAGCCGAAAGACGCGGCTGAACGACGACGAGGCCAGTTTCTGCAGAGCCTTATCGACTTGTCCGGACCTGGCGAGTTGGATGGGCTTCAACCCATTGACGAAGCCCATCAGAATGAAAAAGATGGCCACCCATGAATGACCACTGGCCACAAGACGAAAAACAGGCTGCTGAAAAAGATACGGTCGATCGCTGAAGAAGGCACAACATGGCGGCACCAGAGCTCTTGCATAGCATATAACAACATGGGACGAGACAACAAATACTGCTGCGACGCCTCGGAGGCCCTGGCTCGGGTGTGTCAATAAAGGTTTGGGGCTCTTTTGGGTTTTATCGAACGCCACCTACATCGGCCCAGCCGGTATCTTTCATAGCATGCTCTTTAACATCGGGAGGAAGTCGAAAAGAAACAAATTGCTGAAGGGCACGACTCGCTCTGTCCATCATGACGCTCGTAGCGATGGTCGATGATGGTGGACATGGCAATGGGATGAGAACTGTCGCCGTGGTATTTCTCTTCGAAAATCCAGTCTGGGCAAGGTGGTCTTTCAGCCTCAGGCGCCGGGGACGTGAGATGTCTGACCCTGGAGTGGATGGGCAAGGGTGGGTTGCAAGGGCTGGGTCCCTCTGTGTCCCTGACCCGTGCCGCGCCGAACCAAGGGCAAGGATGGTTGCGAGATGGTGGGGATGTTGGCGCAGATGGCGCAGATGGTGTTTGGGCTTTCTCGCTTAGTCAGAAGCTGGAATTCATCGCCTGGCAGCAAGTTGAACGAACGCAGTGCCACTCTTCGTCCATCGGGTTCAATTGATTTCATGTTTCTCTTCATCAAACTCCATCTCTCGTTGTCGTCACCGTGCCGTACCTACCCCATGACTGCCTCCGAGCACCCGCTCATCCCTCGACGCGTCATCCTCTCTCCTGAGTGAGCAAAATTGTTTGTCAACGCGACTTCTCTCCGAGACTGGAACCTAAAACACAGGAGTGAAAGACCCTTGCAGAGGGCAGGGGCCTCAGCACATGCCCACACACGCACACGCATAGAGCACATAAGCCACATTGATATTATGATTGGGAAAAGTATTCAAAATGCTGGTTTGAGGTGGTACAAACACTGCTGAATCTCCAAGTCTGGAAAGTCAAGGGCCCATCGACTTTCCTGGTGTCACCCTGCAAAACGCCACCCACAGCCTCTCGAGTGTGACAGCAAAAACCCTCGCCAGTCCCAGCACAATGGTTCTGCGATCTTCGTTCCCCTGGATCTTTGCAAAGTAGCACAAATCGAACAAGATGACGCTAAACAAAAAGACTTGACTAACCCCCCAGCTTCTTCAAACCCCCTGACATCCATTACGTGTAGATTGCCCTCTCAAATGCCGCCACATCGCCTCCTGCCACTCGCACCGCTTTCAATGCCGCTTCACTTAGTTTCTTCCTATTCTCCCTTGCTGCTTGCTCTCTTCGCGCCCTGGTCTTGGAACTTCCACTTGGTGCTACGTCACTCAACAATTTGGCAGAGTCCTTAGGCGTGAAGTTCACGAAATCTATCACGGCCCCGCCGCCGGTCGGTGTCTTGGGTGCCCTGGGAGTCCGGGGAGGCCGAGATGATGATCTTGCCCGTGGTGCTGGAAGAGGATCCTGTGCACCACTGTCTTTGATTGGCCCTGACTTGTGGATGGACTTCCGTCGGCTCTGGCTGTAGTCGGTGACGCTGCGGTTCGGCGATCGTGCAGGGTTGCGTCGAGGGCTGACGTTGGTGGGAGACACTGACGGAGATGGTGATCGAGATGGTGACCGTCGTTGTTTCCGAGGAGTGTTGAAGGGAGAAAGGTCCGGAAAGACGTGGGACGGCGGTGGTGGCAGAGGTGGATAAGAATACATTGGGTTGGGTGCCGTTGTCGCCGAGGGGTAAGGCAATGCAACACCAATGGCTGCAGGTGCTTGCGGGAGATACCCCTGTGGCTCATAGAGCACGGCCTGGCTCATCTGTTCCAGCTCCGGGTAGTGGATTCCGAGCCCCATCAACGAGTTGTCGCTCGGCTGGTGTAGAATCGGATGGGCCACGCGTTTTGGGGTGGGAGCAGCCAATGCCGGGTAAGCCTCCTCTGGTGCCAGTGTCGGTAGCGGAGGATGGCTAGACACTGTGGGGGCCGAAAAGACAGCCTTGGAGTGCATGCTGAGGTTGGTATTGGAGGTATGCGTTCTTGGGCCGTGCGATTGAGTTGAGCTGCTTGATGATGGCAGGCTTGTGCTAATGGGAGATGCCATCGAGTTTGGCCCATTCACGCCATGTCGGTCGTGCTGGTAGAAGGAGTCACCTCCGTATGCCTGCAGGTCGTCTCGAGACCTTTCATACTCTGGACTGAGCAGCACAGGATCAATGGCACTGGTCTCTGGGCGGGCCAAGTTCCGGTAACCGTCAAAATACCTATGAGTGTGGCTTGACACGCCTTGATTTTGGCTCATTATCGCTGCATTCATGTCTTGCACCAAGCGACTCTGTTCAGTCTGCTTGTTTGGGAGGGCAGGGGGCTGCAACGGCCGTTCGTATGGCATGCGCAGGTGGAAGTTCTGAAAGTCTTGTTGCCAGTTGGTCGTGTCGCCATGACCGGCGCGCGGCGATATTGGGAGTTGCGCATACATTGGACTCGGTGACAAGGTAGTTTCGCGAGAGAAGGGAGGTCGGATGTACGTCGTGGGATCAAAAGCTCCAGCGGCGGGCGAGGTGACGAATCTCTTTGTTCGGCTGGGCGAGGTGATCTCCAGTGGCGACATGGGACCTTGCGCATATTGGAAGTTCTGATTGATGGCATTCATTGTTCCAACTGGTTCTGTTCGCTTTGTTTCCGGTCTGCGCGTTTTCTCTACCGCCAGCCTCGGCGGCTGTTGTCTTTGCTTCAGACACCACAACCCCTTGCGCCACGGTTGGGGAGGTGAATGCTCGATCTTGGCCGCTGAGGCATCCAGAGACGGAAGCCGGTATTCGTCTTGGTTGAAGACGTCGGCAAAAAGAGCTTCGAATTGGTCTGGATGGGCCTTATTTTCCTCATCGCTGCCCTCCAGCCTGTACATCTCCTCGTTGAAGAAGTCGTCAAAGGAATTGCCTTCATCGGGGACACTCGGAAACAGCATCTTGAAGGCTTTGTCTTCTGCTTGGATCAAGCAGTCAGGGGAGCTTGTTAGGGACATGGTCGTCTTTTTTCCAAGGGATGACTGGAAGGCGGGCAAAATGTACGCTACATGAGGAAAGTAAACAACATTTTTCCAACACCCCGGGAACCCAGTTGAGGGAGGCTAGAATACTGGGGAATGCTGCAAGAATGGAATTCGTTATATGCTGGGGTCCAAGCGTGGGTAGGATCAAATCACCACCTGGAAGGAGGAATTCGTCGAGGCTCAATAACAAAGTTTCCAAAGACACAAACCTTTCTCTGAGGAAGTTCTTCTCTGACCACCGTGATCAGTAGAAGACGCTTCCTGCTCGCTCGCAACATGTTGTCCAGCTATGGCCGCGGAACTATTATCTGTGGATTTGTCGTTGGAGCATCTCTGGTATCACATGGCCATGAACCCTTCGGTTCATTCCTTCACTCACCGTTCTTCAGACCCAATAGGTTTTGTGCGTTCGCTTTCAGGACGTATTCAAATTCCCAACGTTGAAGACATGCCCGACTCTCGGTTATGTCAAGAACTGGCCTCCTGTGCACAATCATGCCATATTGCAGGAGTAGTTTCCCTGCGCTGAGTCATGCATTGATTGGGGGCAACCGGGCGTCCGATAGCGCCGGCCACCAACGTCATTGGGCGTCTCAGGCTGACTTTGTGGGGGAGGCAAATAAACAAGAGGGAGGCAGACGTCTGCCGTCTGCCCTGGGCTGCATCTGCCGATTTATCAGCACACCAAAGATTTTCAGGGCACGAGGAGAATGCCTGGGAAATCTCTGGTCTCAGAGCAGTGCACGGCAGATTTCTCTGTACAGCAGCAAGCAACGTGGGGGATGAGAGGCCGGAAGGAGATAGCCGCCGTGCTATCTGGGCGTGGCAATTGCTCACGTGGACGTCGAAAATTGAGGACAGCCTGTGTACTCCGTACTAGCAGGCAAACACAGAAGAGGCAAGAGATAGAGTTTGATACAGGCGAGATGTGCCATTCATTCATTCATTCACTCACGCATCCATTCAGAGTTTGCTCGGTGAATACGGAGTATGTACGGAGTATCTGGTCAATGAGTAATACCAGCCGTTCTAGTCCCGCTGAGACTCTTCGGTTGCCTTCTGGGGGCTGCCACCCACGCCTCTTGTCCTTCCCTGATTGGCCCGGCCACTGCGGCCACCCCTTCCCCCACCTGCCCTTGCCACCCTGTCACAGCCTGCGCCTGCCGCCTGCCACTTCCTACTTAAACCGCTCTTCTCTCACTCCTCGCCTCTCTTCCCTTCTCACTTACCACTCATACCACCCTTTGCTCTGGAACAACCAGCAACCTTCTTCGTTCTCTTCATCATCTCAACAACTTTACAACATCATCCTTCAAGTCCGCAGCCATGCAGATTTTTGTCAAGACTTTGACTGGCAAGACCATCACCCTTGAGGTCGAGTCCAGCGACACCATCGACAATGTCAAATCCAAGATCCAGGACAAGGAGGGCATTCCCCCCGATCAACAGCGCCTCATCTTTGCCGGCAAGCAACTCGAAGACGGCCGAACTCTGAGCGACTACAACATCCAGAAGGAGAGCACTCTGCATCTCGTCCTCCGTCTCCGTGGAGGCATGCAAATCTTTGTCAAGACTCTGACCGGCAAGACGATTACTCTGGAGGTTGAATCGAGCGACACCATCGACAACGTCAAGAGCAAGATCCAAGACAAGGAGGGTATCCCACCCGACCAGCAACGTCTGATTTTCGCTGGAAAGCAGTTGGAGGACGGTCGTACGCTCAGTGACTACAACATTCAAAAGGAATCCACACTCCATCTTGTCCTGCGTCTTCGTGGTGGCATGCAAATATTTGTCAAAACTCTGACTGGAAAGACAATCACGCTCGAGGTAGAGAGCTCAGATACGATCGACAACGTCAAGTCGAAGATTCAGGACAAGGAGGGCATTCCACCGGACCAGCAGAGATTGATCTTTGCCGGTAAGCAGTTGGAGGATGGCCGAACACTGTCAGACTACAACATCCAGAAGGAGAGTACTCTTCATTTGGTGTTGAGACTGCGTGGTGGCCAGTAAAGCAAAGCAAGCGTGACGGTGAACTAGGGGATTGATCGATGACTTCTCATGCGGCGTTGCGACTTGACTTTTTGGCGGGTGTTTGCCTGCAGGTTCTATGACAGAAAGCGGATTACATACAGATATTCCTTAGAGAATCATCAAAGTTGCGGCCAGGATGGAATGAATGGCTGTATTCAAGCTGAGCTGAGCTGGTTTTCGGATTTTGTCAGTGAACAAACTCGCGTTGCACCTCGGCTGGTATAACTTGGGCTAGATGGTCACGTCGCTGTCGCCTGTCTTCGGGTAAACCACTCCGATAGCTTCGAGCAGTACCCAGATAAATACGGTACTGGAAAATAGAATCCTGTCTGACACACCTGATTCACGATGTAGCCACCATCTTCTGAACGTTAAACCATTTTGTGATTATCGCTTCGTGTTTGCAATGCCACGATCTCAAGCCCGAAAGAAGAGCTCCGTTCTTGAGATGTTCTTGAAGTGAATCCGATCTCCCTAGTTCGAGCTCATTTTGAAAGCCCATCCATCTATGGAGAGGGAATTTGCGGCGGTGGTGGTGGTGGTGGTAGTGATTTGGGGCAGCAAATCAATATTAGTTACATGTAATTCTCGCAGTTGTAATCAGTTTCAACTCAGCCAGCTACAGCGCTCCGTGGGTGTAAATTACAGTCTCGGATCAAGGCGGTATTGACGCCAGGATGATCATTCGCGCCCGTGGCTGGGAATAGGGGCATTCTTTATATAGATAGAGAGAAAATAACGAGAAGCAGGACTGATGGATGGTGTTGGTTCCACGAGCAGCCACACACTCTGCTGCACCCCAGCCATGTTATGAACGAGTGACGGTGTCGATCGAGGAGTCTTCAGCAGTATCAAGAAATGACACACTCAGCCAGCCACCTCAGGCTGGGTGGCAAACTGTCATGTCTCTCTCCTCTCTTCCTCTCTTCAAACACCAAACTTACCAGGTGCCAATAGGTTCCAACGATGGCCCTACCTGGTGGGGTATCGCGGGGTTGTCGTGATCCTGATGATGCATGAAGGACGCAGAGTACCAGAGGACCTGATCCTGATGTTGAACCGAATCGAGCGGGGGTTTCATGATCGCTTTAAAATTCGCTTGGGCGCAGTCCCCCGATACGGGCGGCCAGGATCCTCTGATATTAAGACAGCCGTCGTCAATCGGATCACTCGCCTTGACAAGCCACAAATCGCCCACGCCAAATCCAGTCGCGTCACCAGGGTCACCGGCCTTCCGATCTGTCTTGCCGGGCGTCAGCCTGTAGCCACGGCCAGTGGCGGTGTTGACAATGTCCCAGTGTCTGTTGGCGGCCTTCTGCATATTCACCTTGTACTGCTGCGCCGTGCACTGGTCGCCGTCGCACTGGCGGACTTCGTTGTTCTTGGAGGTTTCGATGTCAAAGTCCAATCGCCAATATGCGTGGTGATGATGCTTGACACAGATGCAGGGACGATCTTTCTGCAGCACGCCGCCGAACCCCCAGCGTGGCAAGATGGTGCCGTTGGCACATAGTGTCCATTCAGGAACATAGCGGTACCAGTCCGCCCATAGTTGTGACCTAATGACAACTCTGTCGTCGTAGGCATCAAAAGAAACGCCTCGAAAACCGTCCGCATCGGGTCTGCCGTCCGTGAACGTGTAAGATCTGCTTGGTTTGCACTCGCGAAATCCCGGCACGGCATCATTACCGGCGCAGTCAAATGGATACTCTCTGTACACCCAGTCTCGATACGTGGGTCCACAATTCGGAACTTCTTCCAGATAGTTCACATTGAGTATGGGCAAATGTGCTTGTTTCAGCACCATCCTGTTCTTATATCGTACGTCGACCAACTCCACTCCAGATCCAAGGCTCCCACTCGACGCTCCAGGTCTGTTCACCCTTAACTCCCAAAGTAAGTTGTTGTGAATGTCGGTGATTCTCACATGTGCCGTCCCAGGCGTCCTCCCCGAATAAGTGACCGATTTGTTCAGTGGTACTGCTGTACAGGTTGGCAGTACTTGGGGGGCCTGGACGGACGTCGCTGTCCTAGCATACATATTGACGTCGAAAAACCGGAGCGCCTCCTTGCTGCTATTGCCAGCGTGAATGCGAAGGATTCGAGACGTTGACCCATCGGGATTCACTTCGGGAATGATGACAGGCATTCTGCTGAAGACGGTCGCATTTGGTCCGAATCCTGCGATTGAGGCGGCATCCCGGAGTTCTTCCTCGCTCGGAAGAGGCTGATCATTTGTTATCTGGATCGATGCATCCGACGGAGGCCCGAGCGCATCATCAACATTCACGTAGACTGTCCTGCGGTTCTTGTAGTCTGCTACAACAGCTCTGAAGCTGTTGCGCTCATTCTTCTCGTTGGGCTCACGCAGGTTGTCAACATAGAGGAACCGGTGGGAAGTTGGTCCGTTGAAAGTCTCGTCAGCCGATCCAGCCAGCACATCGCGAACTTGTCCAGAATCAAGGACTTTAGACACGGCAGTCGCGAGAGCGGATGAATGGACCTGTCCCGTTGGGGTCTGTATGGATATTCTCAGAGGGGGCTCGGTCGTATCAGCCAAGACCGATTGCTCTTCCTGACCATGGGCAAGTGCAAGGAGAGCCAACAAGGAGGAAAGGACGGTAAACTTCTGTCGAAACGTCAGCATGCCTCTATATAGATTGCTGTCGCCTTATACTTTACCATGGCTGAAACCTGCTCCGTTCATGTGGTCCTGCCCTCAAGAACCCCAGGTGAAGGGGCCCATCCAACATATATACACATCGGTATGCAGCCTGATGCTGTCCGCATGGACTAAACAATTCGATTCCAGTTTAGTAACGGAGGTGGCCAGTTTCATAGACGTGGTCAAGCGCCACCCACTTCAGTATTTGCATTTCCCAGTCAGCTATGGAGATTTCACCATCCACAAGGTGATATGCCACTTCAGGGTCACTGGACAAAGTCCTCTTAAGTGCTCTGATTCGCCGATGCTCATACAATGCGAAAACGCCAGAAAAAGTGTGCCAGCCCTTTCGGGTCTCGTCATTGAGATCCAGGCACTTACCGATGCTTGTTCGTGTAGCTTTCCCTGAAAGCGGACGGCTGAACGACACGTGGTAATACACATCTGGCTGCATTTACCACTCGCAAGTCTCAAAGAGGAACACGCCACGAAATGAGCTATTCCATCTTTTGCCGATAAATGGTTCCAGTGCCCCGGGTCGAGGATACGACAAACCAGCCAATGCGACACTCCATTGTGCATACAGTTGACGTGACTTTCAGCTCCTCCCGACCCAGCCACAGCCCGAGAGTGTGCACCTCGAGAGCGAGCAGACGTGTGACTGCCGGCTGTTGATTGCAACAACCACATTGATATCTCCGGTGACACAGGTTCTCCTGCGATATCCTGGTCTCAAAGGATGCATTCCCATGTTTCTGAGTGCCATTGGTTGAGTGTACAGTCCGTAGTGGCAGGACATTGTGGTGGCGCGCTGAAAGAAAGCCTGGAACTTTGGACCTCCGTAGACACTCCAAATTTCCTCCAATTGAGAGTTTGTGGCGACGAGCTGCAAAGACAGACCAGAATCTCACCGGAAGGAAAGATGGTCATTTTGAAGGAAGAACGAGGGCTTCATGTGCGCTTTGGGGAACTTACACATCAAGCTTGTCCCAATCTGTGTCTCTCAGCCAGCCACCCGAATCCTCCAGGGACGACATCACTTTGTCTATCCTGGTCCTGTCCAGAATCACACTCCGGCTCCTCCTCTCTTCCTTCTGGGCTACACGAACGCCTTTCCAGATGACCTTGCTCAGCAGACCAGCGCCCCGATCTCGATGACGACCGCCAATATCAGCGCAGCGTGTCTGTCGCATGGAGAGTCATCGCAGCATTTCCTTACCATAGCGCCCATGAGCTTGCCTTCTGTTCAGCATGCCAGATACAGACAGCCGGGACAGGCAGGAACTTCCCTGCTTGCTCATATTGTGCAGACTGACGGGCATGTTGTGTTCTTGTAAGGAAAGAGGTAGCGAGGGCTCGGTGCTCCGAGATGGACCCTTGTGAGGTGGCATTGGACTGCGTAGTCACCTTGCTGCGGGGTTGGTGCGCTCGTTCAGTTGCGATATTGGGCAAAGAAGATGGTATCTGGCTCCGACTGGGCAGGTGGGCACGGTACACAGAGGAACTGTAGTAGAACATGTGATCGGAGCAGCAGCGTCGTGATAATTGCCAGATGATGGTGAAGCACCAGCAAGCTTTCGGGGCGCGGACGCTAGAAACCCTTTGGTCGCCTCCTTGGCTTCTTTATTGCTACTCTGGCTCTTACCATCGATATCGGGGACGAAATGTTTACCAAGCAATTGACATCATCCGCCAGGAATCTACATTTGCCTTTGTTAGGTGAGTTAGGCTTCTAACTGTGCGATATAGGCCTCTTTGGCCGCCAGGCTACGAGCGACCCCGATGATCATGAATTCGAGCGGTCCATCACCAGTGTTCTTGATCAAGGCACTCTGGCCTAGTCGGAGAGGAACAGCATCGCCGACACTGATCGACGTCGCCGTCGCATCAGTAGTCGTCCCTCCTCCGCTCGTTCGTGCCACCGTCCCAGAACCGGCCAGCACATAGTACACCTCGCTCATGTCTGCCTGCTGATGGTTCGCTCCCGCCACTGTCCCTGGTGGCAAGGCCAGGTGGTCGACGTAAGACCACGCTGTGTTGAAGACGCTGGGATTGAGGACGCGCCGATACTGGACTGTTCCCGAGCCGCCATGCAGATTCTGCACCGGTTTCAGTAGAGCCGGGTCCAGACGCATCGACATAAACGTCGGACGAGGATCGAGCGGCACATCCACCCGCGGATCGCCGAGATCAAAGGCATCGTAGGTCTTGGTCAGACCGACATTGATGTTCATCCACTGGACCGGCTTGTCGGTGGGATTGAAAATGCCGTGTGAGTGTCCAAGCCGGGTGGGTGCGCCGGCAGGTCCTTTCAACAGCGACGTCCTGCCATCGATGGTGAATTGCGCCTCGCCATCCAGGATGACGAACATTTCCTCGCAACGGTTGTGGAAGTGAGCCCCAATGCCGCTCTTTGGCTGGATCACACCACGATGGAGGAAGATCAGGTTCGAGTCCAGCGCGTCCACACCCAGCAACCCGCTGTATGCCAGCGTCCCCGCACCACCATGGGCCCCAGACCGATTCTCGTACTTGGACGGGACTGTGTGGGCAATGCACTGAGCCATTGAGCCGTTGGGATCCATTTCGGGCGATCGTTTCTCGCTAATCGTAGGCGGCGTATATCACAGGAATTTGGGCACAGCTGTACTCGCAACTCGAAGAGAGACGTACTTGTTGGAGAAGGGTTCCGACGATCTGTCAAGAGGTACCCGAGTATATATTCCCGGAGTGCCTATTAGCCTATTTTTTAACCATGGATCAACCGCAGATCATCAAGTTCAATAACGCTTGATAGCCTCTAACAGCCCCGATACCACTGGCGTCGTCGTTCCACCTACAGTTTGTTGATCTATCGTGCGGAGCTGGATGTGAGCCCCCTGTAGTCTTTCCTCATCTTTGGCTGCCAGGAGGAGGAAAAAGCGGCTCTCCACTCGCTCTGCTTTTGGGACGAGGGAGACGCCGCCCTGGTGAGACCACATCCGTAACTCACACAGCCATCGTACAGTCCCGAACTTCTTTCGCCTTGTCTTCGTTCAAGGCTTCCAGCATCTTTTCGGTTAACCAAACAGGACTAGTGTGAGGATTACCACATGACCACAACCCCGCACTAAGATACAGCCCAGTTGCTTATATCCGAGCGACGAATCATCGGTCGCGGAGATTAATGACCGTATTTTGCCTTGCAGTCCTTGGCATAAAGCATTCCTCGACGGTACTATTCGGCCATTTAGCACGTGAGGTACGTGTCACAACGGCTACATGCCCAATAACATGTCTCAAAAACCCAGAAGCCTGCCCTGTAAGAGCAGCAAGAAGCGACAGCCCGTGCCGGGGATAAGGCTGAGAACAAAAGGTGACCAGCTGCCAACGAAACCGCTATTATCGTCACCGACAACACACTCAACATGGAGCAGAAATACGCAGTCCATTGGTTTGCCTGCGTCCTCGCTCCCATTGACACGAACGGCCACTTTTCCCCGCGAGAAGGTGGAGTCCTCTTAGACTTATGATGCGTGCACGCATTGACGTCCCTCTTCCACCGAGGATTATGCGGCTCAACGGGCAGGTCCACCAGTTTTGACGTCGCATGCCAGTCCATTCTCAATTCTGCAAAACACGAATTTTTTGTTTAGGAGGTCCCACGAACCATCTTGAGTTTCTAATAACTACCGAGTCGAACTCTGCAGCAACCCAAACCCCAGTGTGACCACATATCCAGACCACGAAATGTCCTGATGTCCAACAAACATCCCCGGCCTACAGGCCGCGACTGCTTCGAGATCGCGATTATCTGCTCTTCGGCCGTCGAACGAATCACAGCTGAAGCTATTCTCGATGAAAGGTATGAAACCGACGGCTTCTCTTATGGGAAGGCTGCAAGGGATTGGAACACATACACAACCGGACGGCTGGGAAATCACGATGTGGTGCTGGCATACATGCTGGGTTCGGGCGGGATCCGTGCCGCGGCCGTTGCAGCGCACATGGAATCCAGCTTCCGAAATATCAAAATCGCCATTGTGGCTGGCCTCTGTAGTGGTGTAACCAAGACTCGGGCAGGAGGTGAAATCCTCCTCGGCGATGTAATAATCAGCACCTCAGTAACTCAACTTGACTTCGGCCGACAGTACGCCAATGGGCCCAGCCGGAAAGAGGTGAAAGATACACTTGGGCCAGCAAACACTGAAATCAGACGAGTCACAACTCAGCTCTCTGGAAATCGGGTCAGGCGAAGACTGCGGGAGAAGACTCATCTATACGCTACACAAATAAGTATGAAGGATGGGTTTTCCAACTCAAACTATCCTGGAGCGGAGAGAGATCGACTGTTCCCCCCCGAGTATCGACACAAACATTGGCGAAAAGCTCCTACACAAGAAGGCTGCATCTACGACAGCTGTCGATGTCAAGGTGATGAGGTTTGCGAGGCAGCACTGCAGAGTAATTGTGAGGATTCAGGCTGCGACGACTACCTGTCGATGCAACGCGGTCGGATACAAATGGCGAGAGGGTTTGGGCTTGATGGAAGCAAAATTTCAACCACCGAGATGCAGGAGGCACAGAAGCCTCTGGTCCACATTGGACGCATAGCGTCCTGCGACGCGGTCATCAACAGTGGGCTGCACCGCGACCGGGTCGCGGCCCAGGATGGTGTCATTGGATTCGAGACAGAGAGCGCGGGCACATGGAGCTACCTGCCTACGATTGTGATCAAGGGCGTGGCTGACTATGCAGACGGCCACAAGGACAAACGATGGCAACAATATGCGGCGGCCACAGCAGCGGCCTGTGTGAGGGCAATGCTAGAGGAGTGGGTTAGCATCAATAGCAAAATGTTTGAGCCTGCCGATCGCGACATCCAGAATCATCCAGCGACGGCGCCATTCATCATTCCTTTTCGCCGCGATGAAGACTTTGTTGAAAGCGGAACATTGTGCGAGCAGATCGACAAACGATATTCGGAACCTGGATCGAGAACGGCACTGGTAGGGCCTGGGGGAGTTGGGTAAGTGACCCCGACATGCTGGTGATGCGTCTGGTTCTGCTGACAGAAGAATAGGAAATCACAACTTGCAATCGAATGCGCTTACCGACTTCGCGAACGATCACCAAGGACGTCAGTCTTCTGGATCAATGCAAGCAGCGTCGCCTGTTTGACACACAGCTTTCTCGAGATCACTTACAAAGCTAATATTCCAGTGCAGAATCAGCCTGATACAGACATATTCCTGCTTATTTTCAAATGGTTGCATCTTCACTTCAAAGGAGGGTGGATGCTGATCATGGATGACCTCGACGATGCTGTGCGCCCCGGAGTTCGTGGGGACGGCCAAATCTGCAGCGAGAATCCACAGCCACTGATCACGTACACGTCCTACTCTCAGAATGGCTCGGTCCTTATTACGACTCGAGGCAGAAATGCAGCATTGAGATTTGTACAAGCCCATGACATTATTCAAACTCGGTCCATGACTCAGCACAGTGCTCTGGCATTGTTACAAAAGAAACTGAACTCGACATGGAGGAGTCATGACGATCACGCTGCCGCCGAGCTTATCGCAGCATTGGAGTACATGCCGCTCGCCATCGTCCAAGCTGCCACACACATATCCGAGAGGTTCCCTGTATATGCAATTGAGCAGTACCTCGAACAGGTCGTGCGCTACGGTAGGGGAAAGACGATCTTGCTGAAAGACGTCGGCGACGGACAGCATCATCAGGCTCGAACGGCCGAGAATTCGATCAGCGTCACATGGCAGATCTCACTCGAGTACATTCGTCGAGTGCAGCCGTCTGCGGCGGATTTGCTCTCACTGATGAGCTGTTTCGACCGGCACGGGATTCCCATGGCCCTTCTCAGGTGCCGACGAGTATTGAAGAGTAGAGATCAGAATGAAGAAAGACCTCACAAAAATGCAGATTTGGACAATCGTTGTGGCCTCGAAGACGCTCCGCAACTGAACAAGGATAATCTCTTGGAAGATGACATTGAGATGCTGCAACGCCTCTCATTCATCTCCACTGGGCAAGACGGTGTGACGGTCGATGTGCATGCGCTTGTTCAACTGGCAACGAGGAAGTGGCTTGAAGCGAACGGAAAAGCTGAGACGTGGATGCGGGAGGCCATCAATACCTTGAGCGCCGCATTCCCGACGGACGAGCATAAGAATCAGCATTTATGCCAGGCTCTTTTCCCACACGTTCAACCATTGGTGTTTCAACAACCCAAAGACGTCGACGGTCTGCGTGATTGGGCTTCACTCCTCCATCGTGCAGCAAGATACGCATTAGGAAGTGGCAATGTGGATGATGCAGTAATAACGTTGACAGCATCGATCGTAGTGATAAAGCAATCACTCGGTAACACGCATGAGGAAACGTTGGCTAGCATGGACACCCTAGCCTGCGCGTACTCGAATCAAGACCGATTTCCGCAAGCCGAAGAGCTATTAGCGCAAGTATTAGAAGTGCGGATGAGCGTGCTGGGCCAAGAGCACCCTGCCACGCTCTCCAGCATGAAAAACCTGGCCTTGACGCACTGGAATCAAGGCCGATGGAAGGAGGCCGAAAAGCTATTTGCGCGAGTAGTAGAGATACAGACGAGCATGCTGGGTCAAGACCATCCTGCCACGCTCACCAGCATAAACAACCTGGCCTTGACGTATTGGTCTCAAGGTCGATGGAAGGATGTTGAAGAGCTAGAGTTACAGGCAATGAGAGCGCAGGAGAGGGTACTGGGGACAGAGCATCCCGACACGCTCACCAGCCTGTCCAATCTAGCGACAGTGTACCGAAACCAAGGCCGATGGGATGGAGCCGAAGAGCTGGATATGAAAGTGCTGGAAACGCGGCGGAGCATACTAGGGATAGATCATCCTGACTCGCTCACCAGCCTGGATAACCTGGCGTTGACGTACCGAAATCAAGGTCGATGCAAGGATGCCGAAGAGCTGGAAATGTTTGTGGTGAAGACCAGGATAATGATATTAGGCGAGGAACATCCAGACACGCTGACGAGTAAGGGCAACTTAGCGTTGGTGCTTGGGCAACAGGAAAGGTATGAAGAGGCGAAGCAGTTGCTTGAACAGACGCGGCGTTCATGGGAGAAGATACTCGGACGAGAGCATCCTGATACAATAATCAGTACGAGTAACCTTGCAGAGGTACTTTGGCGTCTGGGGGAACATGAGAAGGCGATGCAATTAGTCCAACAGACGTTGAGATCCGCACAAGAAATACTCGGACGAGAACACCCTGATACATTGACCGTTACATTCAACCTTGCACAAGTACTTCGGCGACAGGAAAAATATGAGGAGGCGAAACAGTTACTTCGACAAACGTGGATTGCCAGAGAGAAGATACTCGGACGAGAGCATCCTGATACACTGACCAGTATGTTCAACCTTGCACTGGTGGTTGGACGACAGAGAAAATACAAGGAGGCGACAAAGTCACTTCAACAGTTGTTGGGGTCCAGAGAAGAGGTCCTCGGGTCCGAAAATCCTGATACACTGACCAGTATGTACCACCTGGCTGCATTGGTGCTGGGGCAACAGGGAAAGCAGCGTGAGGGTGGAAAGCAGTTTCGTCGACAAACCGTGTAATGAACGATTGCCATGATCGGCTTGTCAAAGAAGTCTGCGACAGCATCTTGGGATATCGCAGCACCCGGTCTTTCAGGTTTGGGCTGGGCTTTCCTGGTTTTTGCTTTCTTTATGTAGCCAGCGAAGATATGTTCTCGTGAACGGAGTATGCTGAAGCTTGATATGTGGCGGAGTTTGCTTAATGGCGCAACCGTGCTAGGTTCTAGTGAGACTGAGTGCCGTAGATACTGACTAATATAGGCAAGCCAGCCTTTAAGGTCGATGGGAAAAGGCAGACGGGCTGGGAGGATTTCTTTGAACAAGTGGATGAGAAAGTGGTAAGTACATATGTAAGAGGGAGGAGTGAGGTGTTATAGAAGTGGCACGTGCTCCGCTCAGTTTTCGATCCTCTTCCGCCAGCACAATACATACACATCATCCAGCCCTCTCAGCCACTCGAAGTATCTCTCGTGAGGGCGAGGATTTACTGTGATAACACTTCTCTCGCCTTCTGCCCTGGTTTCCAAGCAGAATTAGTGAGCCTAGCCTATGCCTGGGAATGACTGCCTGCGGTTTGCCACTTCGGGAATCCCGTTGAACGCGGTCAAGACTCAAGAAATGACATCGCCATTTTAATGCCCGGCCGCACCTTTTGATTCACTTCATGTCTCTGTCCCCCTCGACCTACGCCGTGATCGCTGTCTCGATGCGTGTGCGACATGCCTGATTACTTCTTTCATGTCGCTGTTGAATTGTTCACAGATCCAACCGTCGAAGCGAAGCAAACTGACCAGCACCAGCCTCCGAGCCTCTCATCCTTTTTCAGAGCCCTGAGGCCGTTTACCACTTCCGGAGGAAGACAAGAACCACGGGATCACCTTTTTGACCGCAGGAAAGACTACCTTCTCTCAAGAAGTGCTTGTCCAGCCCCCGCGGCGCAGTCGGAACAGACTCCTCGTGACCTCTGTCACTCTGATCCCAAGGACCACCGACTAGATACCATCACCCTCGAAAGTACGGACATGTCGGCCCACTCCGGCGGGAAGGAGGAGGTCCAGGTCGCAAAAGAAAATATAATCGGAAAGGGGATCGGGAGTGCGCTATCGGGTCACCACATGAAAGGACGTTACGAACCCTTGGAAAGCCACGACAGCGTAGAAGGTTGGGGGATTGTTCACCTCTACAGAGATGCAGAAGAGACGGCTGGGCTATACAAGGACTCAGTCTACCGCTCAACTGACTTCTGGAGCGACGGACTGCGCAACCCTCCCACAGGAAAGCCACACCCTCCGCCCAAAGATGAAGACTGTACAACTCTGTGCATCCTAGCGGTTCCCTCATACATGACACCTTCCGACTTTCTCTCCTGGGTGGGCGAGGATACGCGCAGCGAAGTCAGCCATTTCAGGATGGTGCGCACCTCAAGGGCGAACCGCTACATGGTCCTGATGAAGTTCAGACACGGCAAGAAGGCACGAGAGTGGCAGCACGAGTGGAACGGTAAGGTGTTCAATAGTATGGAGGTACGTGCCCTCTGCCAGCAACTGTGGAGAAGTGCTGACAATATTGCAGCCAGAAACATGCCACGTTGTGTTTCTTAAATCGGTGGAACTGATCCAAACTCCATCGTCCGTGGATCAAACCACGGGGCCGAGCTCGCCGACGACGAGCTATCCTCGCATGTCGAATGATCCCTTCGTCCCAGCCTCGGCGACGACGAAACCGCTCGCCCCGCGGACCCCGTCCCTGGTCGAACTGCCTACGTGTCCGGTCTGCCTTGAGCGCATGGACGAAACCACGGGCCTTTTGACCATACCCTGTCAACACGTTTTCCACTGTACATGCCTGGAGAAATGGTCCGGCGGCGGCTGCCCAGTCTGTCGGTACACTCATGACGACTTCTCCTCACGACTGGCCTCGTCCAAATTCAAGAGCAAAACATCCAAGGGAGAATATGAACCGTACGATGGCCCACTAGAGTGTGAGGTCTGCCACGCAGACACAAGCTTGTGGCAGTGTCTCATATGTGGGAAGATTGGTTGCGGCAGGTATGAGGGCAAACACGCATATGCCCATTTTGAAGAGAGTGGGCATACATTCAGCATGGACCTAGAGAGTAAGAGAGTCTGGGATTATGCAGGCGATGGCTATGTCCATCGAATCATCCAAGACGCTGCGAAGCCGGGCGAGAAGTTGGTCGAACTACCGGGCAGACGACGTGAGCCGACCGCTCTCCAGGGAGAGGAGGATCTCGAGGTTGCCAAAATGGACAATATCGCATTGGAATACACGCACTTGCTCACAAGCCAGCTGGAGAGTCAGAGAGTGTATTTTGAGGAAGTCGTCCAGCGAGCCGTGGACAAAGCCTCGGAAGCAACCAAGAAAGCGGACCGGGCAATGGAGGAGAGTCGCCTCGCCACAGAGAGACTGTCCACTCTGGAAAGCGAACATGACTTTGTCGCCAAAGGTCTGGTTCCCGAACTGGAAAAGGAGAAAGCACGACTTGAAAAACGAAGCGCGAAATTCGAAGAGATGGCCAGGACCATCAACCAGAAATATCAAGAAGAAAAGGCACTGACAAAGTCTTTGATGCAGAGGATCGAGCATCACGAGACTTCCCAGGAGACGCAGGTAGAAAAGCTGAAGCAGACGATACAGAGACTCGAGGAAGAAAACGCCACCAAAGACTTGTTGATGGAGGGCCTCAGGGACGAACACCGTGATGCGATGATGCAAATCTCCGCTCAGAGAAAGTTACAGGAGATGGTGGAGAGGGGCGAGCTGGAGCAAGAGGACCTGGAGGGCGCCGTCATTGAAGCTGGGCCGGCGCCGGCGCCAAAGAGGACATTGCGTGGAGGGAAAGGAAAGAGAGGTTTGAACAGTCCGAGCCGCAACTTTGAAGCATCCAAATCTCCTTCCCAGCACCAGCAGCAGCAGCAACGAGCAAGCCCCGTCGACTCGAGACCGTCTGCTTCTAAAAGCATACCCGAGGAAGTCCAATCCATCTACGAGGGCATCTTCGGCGAGAGCTCACGGAGCCACGACTGGGACGACGAGAAAGCAAAGCGGATCCTCGATGAGTGTAGGACCAAACTGCTTGGGGAAGGCCTCCTTGTCCCTCCCGCACCGACGTCGACAACATCCCCGCACGTTGACACCGAAGGCAGCAGCGATGTTGAGCTCGACGGTGAAGAGGGTGGCGGCGAGGGAAAGGCCAAGAGCGGCGCTGTGAAGAAGAGGAAAGGGAAGAAGAAAGCCAAAAAGTGAAGGCTCCTGAGGATCTTGAAAGGGGGCAAACTCGAGCCGGTGCTGTGCTGTGCTGTGCTGTGGTGGATTGGTGAGACACATTCATTCAGGATACGGTGTATTCTCATTAATGGACTGCCACCTGAATCCCTAGCTGACTGTGCGGTCACTAGATTGCCCATGGTCTTGGTTTGGCTATCATCACCTTTGGAAAAGCGGGATCCCTGTCTCTCGTGAAGCGAGGACGAATGAATGAAGAGTGTCACTATCCTCCTCTCCTTCTCTGCATTGGCCTTCGGCCCCCTTCGTTCTTCCTATTTCGTAGGCAAATGGTGACCGCATTTCTGCTGTGAACAGATCTCCAAGAACACGTCTCTCGCACTCCATACTCTTCTCCCTCTCTTCCGGCTTGCTTGATCCTCTCTGCCCCAACCTGCACGCTCGCGCGCCATGAAGATGGATCAGCCAGTACCGTATTTCCAAGAACACCCGGCAGTTTTTTTCACTTTGAAGAAGCAGTGTTATTAATGATAAATACATAGTCCAGGGTGTATGATTTGGCTTTCTCTTTGCCCTCGCTCGCTCGCTGCCCGCTCTCCCCCTTCTGAGGCGGCATGCAGTATGGAGCTATAGATATATAGATATATAGAATCCCCAAAACACTCGTCCTTCGCGCACAATATCAAATAGCTGACTATGGAATGGTCACCACCGCTTTGCTCCTCCCGCTAAAACGGCGATTTTTATGTAATATGCTAAATCGGCCATCTCTTTACAGAAGGGTTTCGAAGACGACTCTCTATTGTCTCGGTATTTGAATGTTCGGGCTTCACGGCTCAGCAGACCAGACGGGCGATGCTTGTTTTAGTCGAGAAAAATGACTTTCGATTTTCTAAGATAGCTGTTGAGCCAGGAGGGCCGCCTCTAGGGTCGTCGCGTGGTATTCAGTGGCATCAGCAAGCAACCCCATCCATCCTTCTCATCACCGTTGCTTAGTCCCATTGTGTGCTGGGCCTCCTCCCTCTTCTATATCTATCTATCTATCTTTGGATACTAATATCCACTACGCAGGCTTCCGTCTTGGCGGGGTGCTTGAGAAATGCTTCGTCGTTGATCCCGTCGAAGACATCGACCGGTTGGCCATCGAGGATCGTAGTCTTGTCTTCGCCCATCCGTGTGCGCTTGATGTGGGCTTCCAGCGAAAATGGAGAACTCCCAGTTTGTCTCTCCACAGGAAACAAGGTGTGGAAGGTCCAATAGAGCAGCCCGGCCGTGATGAAGCCAAAAAAGTAGCTCATCTGGTACAAGCGGTCCCAACCGTTTCCGTCGCTCGTCCCTTTGACTTCTCTTGCGAAGCCGGCTGCCATGCATGATCCAAGTTAGTGCCAACACTGGTGCTTTTTGGGGAACTCGGGAGTTTTTCAGAGAGGACAGGGATAAGGTGAAAAGAAAGAAAGAGAAACTACTCACGTAACATGGGCCAAAGAGCCATGGCCCACGCACCGAATCCTCGCCAATTGAACCCTAGAGTGTACCAATACGCTCCGCGCTTATTGACACCCAGGTACAGGTCCCCGATATGATACTCTCGCTTCCGCACCATGAAATAGTCGCTGCACAGGATTCCAGTCATTGGGGAGAGGAAGACACTCCAGCCAGAGAGAACAGTGATGAAAACAGTCGCTTGAGTGACATACTGCCAAGGACAAATGGCCACAGATATCAGGGTCAAGACATAGGCCCCCCTGCGGATATTGACATACTTGGGCATGAGGGCAGCCATGTCCATACCGGCCGAGACGGAATTGAGGACAATGCAAAGAGCAAATTGCGAGGCGGCGAAGCCAAGGGCGGCAAAGAAAGTGCCGGCTCTCGCGCCAGGGGAGAGGGAGTGTTGCTGGATCGCAAGAAGAAGCTCGAAAGGATTCCAGTAAACGGTGCCGTAGATCGACGCCGTCGCAGAAGTGATCAGGAGTCCGCAGACCGCGGTGACAGAAATGGCAATAGGGGCCGTGACGGCTTGCCCGAAGAGAGCCGCATTTGGGTACCGTGAATAACGAGTCCAATCTACACGAAGGAGGAACGTCAGATGGGAACATCAGGAGTGTGTGTATCCCGTAACAGGAGACTCGGAGGGGGGGACTGGGAGAATGTGCAAATATGGGATGAATCATACCTGACTGCCCAAGACAACCGCTGCCATAGCCACCGACGAGGGACTGGAGTCCTGTACATATGTGAAACGTCAAAGAAGGCTCCCACGCAAGTCAAGGGGATCACGGTGCTGTTTTAATACCGTAAAGCGTGTTCCAGCTCAAAACAGAACCACTTTGTGTTGGGCGAGAACTGATCAATGTTCCAGCTCCATGGGCGGCACACAGAGCCCAAATCAGCATTCCGAACATGGTGCACGTAATCATGGCGAATGCCACCTGCCACGACCGGTCAGAGGTCGTCGTCTTTCTGTGCGCGCGTAACGTGTGGGAAGAGGGCCACGCCATCACATACCAGAAATGGTTTTTGCAATCTTTCTGGCGGGACCATCAGAGTTGGCAGGAAAAAGATCAAAAATATGAAGAAGCTGATCAAGCTCGCCGTGTCAACATGGGCAGATTCGGGGAGAGTGTTCCGCATATGCACAAACGGATGGCCGATGATGGAACCGAGAATGATCTTGACCGCTTGACCTCCCCAGTACAGTTGAATGCCCATCTATAAGATCATTAGCGAACGGGTGTCTGTGCCCCAGTCTCGAGAGAATAGAATGTGCTCCAGGGCAGGCAGAGAAAACTTCCTTACCCAGATGCTAGCTGTCATAATCCTGTTGAGGACCGGCCAAAATCCTCCTCTCATTCCCCATGATCTGGGCCGAGTGATGTTAGCGAGAAGTACGCCACGGCGTGGGACAATGTCACACCCATGGAGAGGAGAGAACTCACGATCTGGAGAGGACAGTAAAGCCCAGATACTGGTGTGAACCAGGCCAGCCAGTAATGACCGATATCAGGGCGGCGAACAGGGAGGCGCCAACAACGACACCCATCGCCTGGCCCACACTGAGTCCTAGCGACAGCAAACTTGACCCAGCGGTCCACGCGGTGGTATTGATGCCTGGAAAATGGGGATGGGACACATGTCAGGGCAGCTCAGCCAGGGAAGACTGGTCAGGTATATCGCGTACTCACCATTGATGATCCAGTATCCAGCATAGCCCTGCCACGTCCAAGTCCGTCGCTCTTTCGGAATCGGAATCAAATCACGATTACACCACTGTCAACGTGATCAGCTTGTCATCGGCCCGCGGTTCATCAAACTTAACTGACATAAGTATTTTCGTAATCCCGTTCCTCATCGACGGGACATTCGAGTTTCGCGGCCCAGTGTTTGACCTTTGCCTTGGCTTTGTCCGACACCATCCTGGCGGATCAGAGAACAAGTTCGAATTTAAGAGAAAGGACTGTTCCTGAGAATTCCCGAGGGTGATATCAGTACCTGAATCCCAGACGGAAACCTCTCTTGCAAACATGCCTCCTCCATCTTTATATGCAAGCTGATCATGGCATTCTCGTCAATCGGCGTTATCAGTGCCAAAGAAGCCATAGAATTACGGTATGCATATTTGGACGTACATAGACCGTTAGCGAGACACCTTGTGAGGCAGTTGGCCGACGCTACGGCCAACTCTGTCCTTCGCGATTGGGCCGATATGTTCTTGTGGATCTGGATAGCGGTACTTTGCAGCCGTTCACCATGGTCCACTAGGCTCGGCGAACTAAATTGACTCTCAGATTGCTTTGCGGAACCATATCACAACAGGTCAAACCTGTCGGCTGACTGGCCGCCACCAGATGCATCTCCTAATAGAAAAAGAGCGCTTCCTCTGGACGACACCACTTCCTCTTACCTGTTCATTCTGGCCTGGTCTTGAAAAGGGACGATAAGAACGATAAGGACAATGGCACAACCTTCGGTCCTGAGCGAGAAGTTCGACATCCCCGTGCTGGACTTTTCAGCATGGAGGTCTGAGAGTAGTACTCCAGAGGACCGTCTCCGGATTGCCAGAGCATTGGTGGCCGCCTGCCGACGAGTTGGGTTTGTCTACATTGTCAACCATGCTCTTCCCGCCGAACTTCTCGAGGAAGCATTTGAGTGGACTCGCAAGCTCTTTGCTCTGGACATGGAAAAGAAGATGCTGGCGCCGCATCCGGATGGAGCGAAAGTGCACCGTGGATATTCTTGGCCTGGCCTGGAGAAAGTGTCCCAGACAATCAGCGAGAAAGAGGACCCTGAACTCGTGAGCCTTCTCAGAAAGACCACTGATCTTAAGGTAAGTGAAGGAAGGCATTGGACGGTCTGACTGGAACGTGACAGACTGACGACATGTAACCGACAGGAGAGCTATGAGATCGGGAGCGAGGAAAACACAGGACAACCCAATGTCTGGCTTCCGGAAGACGTCCTGCCAGGCTTCCGTGCTTTCACCACCAGGTTCTATTGGGAGTGCTCTGAGGTCGCACGGTCGATCCTGTCTGCTATCGCGCTGGGACTGGACCTGGATGAGGATTTCTTGCTGAGATTCCATTCCGGACACAACAACCAACTGCGCCTCTTGCACTATCCGCCCGTCAAGGCGGCCTCCTTGGCCAGTGCCGCTGTCGCTAGAATGCCTGCCCACACAGATTGGGGCTCGGTGACTTTGCTCTTCCAAGATGACTGCGGTGGTTTGGAAGTTGAAAATCCACACAATCCAGGCCACTTCATGACTGCCACTCCCATCAAAAATGCTATTGTGATGAATGTCGGCGATTTGCTGATGCGTTGGTGCAATGGTAAGAAAGATCGACTCAAGCGTGAAAAGATCTTTGACAAAACGATGATAGACTACTTGAAATCGACCCTCCATCGTGTTACCCTACCACCAGAGCAGGATCGATACACGGGCTCCGAGCAACTGACAAGGCGTCGATATTCGATCCCATATTTTGTGAGCCCCGACTCAGATTCCCTGATCGAATGTTTACCGGCTTGCACCGATGCAAGTCACCCTGTCAAATACGCGCCAGTGAAGCAAGAAGCATATCGACTTCTCCGAGCCAAAGCACAGTATCAGACGAGGGCGGCTGCCGTAACCGCATAGGGGCAATTGCATATGCTAGTTATTTCTTCAGCCTAAATAAACCCATGTCGAAGGATCCACGGTGCCTGTTGGAAAAATGATTCAGATCGAAGGACAGCTGGTCTGATTAATCCCATAGTCTTGCTGTCTGAGACCTTTACCAGGTAGCACAAGGAATTGTGGTAGCTTTCTAGAAGATCATAAGCGTTCTTGACATGAACTTCTTCGACTGCGAGTAAGAACAGATACACGAGGAAATTCCCAGCCAGGAGGAGGTTTGACCGAGCATCTGAAGAGTTGGCAGCATTAGTAGATATATTACATATAATGTGACTTGGAAGACCCACGGCGGCCCCAGAACATTTCGGTATCCCCCGCGCGAATCTGAGCGACGTAGTTGATAAATGCACGGGACTGAGATAAGGCTTCTGGGAGGTTCTGCCGCAGTTCGGAGCATGGGTTTGCTTTCGATGCCGGAGTTGCCGGGAACATCAGAGCACGGAACACCAAGGTCTTGACGGCGAAGTATGCGAGGTGGAGCGACCCTAATTCGCAGACGTTCAGCTATAGGGGTCGCCTCAGACGGAGCGAACATGATGCCTACCATGCATATTAGGCACCCCTTGGTTTTTCGCATAATCCATCGTCAAGCATTGTGGTAGGAGCGCATACCAAGCTTCAAGCTGGGCCAAACAGGATCGTAGAGCATCTCCTCTTGTCTCGTGCAGATAATCACTACTCACACATTTGATCGAGCTGTGGCAGTATCAGAATAAGCCATTGTTCACATATGTTGCGGTAGACTTACTAAAACCTCTCTAGTATATGACTTAGCTGTTGTGACAGTCTAATCATTTCCAAGAAATGTGAAGCGTTTTGGATGTCGAAGTGCGTCTGTTCCTCCGGGAGTAGACAGTCCGAAGCACTAATATCTTCATCACAAGCCAGATCTGCCATTTCTAAAGCCGGTGTGTCGAACCCATCGTCTGCAATGTGAGATGGGTTCCCGTGTCCGATTGACGAGAACTTGTCAGTCAGATACACTGCCCACCACAATTTCTTCCGCAGGCACTTCTCCCAACGTGGAATCTGCCATCTTGAAGGGTCTCGATAAAGGCCGAGGCTCTGTGCACACGAAACTGCCTGACTGGACATGGCCCAGATTCTTGGGCTCTCTAACGTGCCAGTGGCTTGGGGAAGTTCATGCAGGATCAGAAGAGCTGCCTGCAGGGTAGAGAGCTTCGGGGAGTCCAGCTCCCGGTTGAGTGACAAATGCGCAAGCTCAAACAGCTTTCCTTGATCGATCGGATCCAGGCATCGAAGTGTCTCGTCTTGTTGCCAGAAGACCGTTGCAAGGCCATACACAACCCCCCGGAGTGCAGTCGAAATACCCAATTTTGCGGTACGATACGCTTCCAGAAAATGCCGTTTGGACAGAATGGGAAAAGTCGGGTGAACGAAGCGAAAGAACAGGCGAACCAAGGCATCGCCGTGGTTGCCCACGTGAGTTTCGATTAAATCAGAGGCTTGTCGTTTCACCCTTTGGTCAGGCTCAGGGAACCGGTTTCTGATGATGCTGAAGTGTATCGGTGGCTGTCCTAAATCGTCATTGCCTGCGAAGACTTGACGGATTTTTGCGTCGACGTAGCTGGTCTCGTTGAGGATATTGGAACGAAATGTAGAGAGAAGATGTGGATCTTGTTCGCTGGCAAAGCCCAGGAAATGGGCTGTAGCGTCACAATACTCTTCCAAAGGCTCGACTCCGCTATCTTGTTCACCTCCCCAGCTACAACGTTGCGGTGACGATCTTTGAAAGGGCCCCACGACTCCTGATCCGAGTTCGAACCGGGATCTTGTATTTCGACTGGCGGACAAGTCATCTGTAGGAGTGGACACCACTGTCAGGTAGAGCTCCTGCAAGGAGGCCGGGGATCCCGCATGTCGAGATGTATCCAGGTCTGAATTCAAGTGACCCTGGCCACTCTTAGAGGCAGAGTCGGCCGGAGGCGAGGGGGATTGCGTACTCTCCCGGCGACGAGGCCTCGTGAGGAATTCACAAGGCTGATTCCGCCGCAGACAAAAAGCGCAAGGCGGGCAGAGTGGAATCGTGCAAGCGATTTTTTGTTGCCGACAAGCATCACATGGACGATATTTTCGGCTCTTTGGAGGCCTGGCCGCTCCATGGTATGTGTCCATTCTCAGCTTTCGGCGCCCCATCTGGATTTATGGGGATTGGATAACCTGGCTTAACCGTGCTGGATGTTGAATGAACGGGGATATCGGTCCTTCCTATCCTCAAACCTCAAACACTTCTACATCTTTTGTGCGTGTTCTCGATTTGACAGTTATGGTGTGAAAGATTGACAAAGAGGTAAAGTCCGCCGACCATATCTTGATCAGGCCTCAAGGAGACTAGACCTCTAGGTCCAGCCAATGCTCGACCGGTGGCTTGTCGAGTAAAACCATAGATAAGAAGCCTGATTGGAACCCACTTTCGGGGCATCCTGTTTACCAGAGCTGGGCACATCACTTATCTCATGAACCAATTGGTCCCTGATATCTGGCATCGATTGCCAAATCCTAAGCAAGATACCCATGATGCTCTCAGCTACTGAACACTTGATAAGGAGAGAACCATAGCTTGTGCGAACGAGGTCGTAAACATACGGCAAAGACTGTCATAGAGTATGACCGCTGGATGTGGCAGGTGGACCGAGATCGAGTCCTTATGACTCCTGCGTCTCTCTCTCCAATCTCTTGGTCTCTTTCTCTTCTCTCAGTTTAGCATTCAAGATGAACAGCTCAAGGCATTGCAGCCATTGGGACTCTCCTTCCTCGCCCCGGATATTGAAGAGACGGCTACCTGTATAAAGTCCATTGACACTTGACACAAAGAATACCTATTGTGGTTAATGACAATCCGTCTGCTGGTACACGCCACCATGTCCTCCAGGATGACATCGAGGCCCTAGCAACCGCACGGTTGCGCAGATTTCCATAGCGTCCACGGGTCGGGTTACCGCCCTTGCCGACAAGGAACTTGAACATCTTCAGCTGGTCTGCGGACTCGTAGTAGCCGAGATATTGGCTCCTCGAGACTGAAGCAACTCTGCTCCCTGGTCGTTTACCCTCACTGATAGCCAGATCCAATGGAGTCATATTATTCTTGTCTTTGACATTGACATTCGCACCGGGGTCCAGGAGTACCACCTGTGTTTTTATCGTCCTGCATACCATGTCACCGCCGCCATTTTTGGTTGTCCTCCGAGATGGAGTGAGTTCGTCTAGCAGCCTTTCTGATGATGTTCAAGCAACATCTGGTTATTTCGACGTGCGAATGTGGGCCGACACGATATGCTGTGTGAGATGAGGTCTCTTTGGATGATTTGCCTCGGAGTCCCTCTTCCAATTTCGATTAGATTCCAAACACCCATGGAGTGCCATGTAAATAATCAACCGATATGATGGTGTTCCGTACACAGAGGCCTGTGGGCATGGGCATCGTTTGTGGTCCACTACGAACCCGAAACCAGCAGGAGGCCAACCACCCACGGGTTAAAACGGTGTGTACGTGCATACGTACATCCATGGCGGGATTGAATGGGCACCCGTTCAAAAGATTCACCGGTTAAATCGTGTGTTGGGGAAGGGGGGAGGGTATTGATACAGTTGAAGTATGTATGGGACATAATTCTTCGAATGTTGTACACACGACTTGAGACAAAGGTACGCAGCATCCAGTCGACGCCACCGAATGTCCCAATATCGACCAAGGCTGCCTCCGTTTTCTTCACGTTGATTCCAGCTTCTGCACTCCAAAGAAGTAATTCCCAAACTCCTCGCTGCCCTGGATGACCTGCCACCCGAGGGCGGGGAGGTAGACGACCCCCTGGGTGATAAACTCTGCCCACCGCCCGGGCGCCTTTCCCGACTCGAAATACCCCCGCAGCTCGGACGGGTTGATGTACTTGTCCCAGTCGTGGGTGCCGCGCGGTACCACGCCGATTAGGGGCGCCTCGGCGATAAGCTTGGTGGTTAGGTAGGCCACAGGCGAGCGGGCGATGGTCGACCCGATGAGCCATCCTCCCGGCTTCAGGTGGGGGATGGCGAGGTCGAGAAACGAGGCGGGCGAGTCGATGTGTTCCAGGACCTCGAACACGGTCAGCACGTCGTATTTGGCGTCATTGGTGACCGGGACCGGCAGGTCTTCGATCGCGCAGTTGATGTATTCCAACTTCCCTGGCGCGGCGAGAGCAGGGTCGCCGCGCTGGTGCTCCTTCGCCACCTGGATAACGTCCTCCGTGGGATCGATGGCCGTGACGCGCAACGTCGTCGTGAGGCGCGCCGCTGAAGACGCGAAAATGCCTCCGCCACAACCCACGTCTAGATATGAGTATCTCTTCTCGTTCTCGATGTTGCGTTCGGAGGAAGACGGCTGCACGCACGACCGGATGAAGTCATGGCGGAGAGGGTTCATCAGATGCAGCAGGCGAGAAGGGCCGTGAGGATCCCACCACGAGGAAGCGAGGCGAGAGAAGTGTGACACTTCGGAGGCAGAGACAGAGGATCCTGGGCGCGCACTCGCGGCGGCGACGGATGATGAGTGATGCCGGCAACCTTGCGAGAGTAGTGTATTCCGCGACCTTGCTCTTTCATGTGTCATCAACTGCTGTAGACACAGTCTTGTGGTCCAGGGCGTTCGCAGCACATCTGCACGCCGGAGAGGTGCAATCGCCGTCGCAGGCATTTTCTTCCGCAGGATTGGTATCGACGCCGTTCACGGTGCTATGGGGGTTACAGAGTGGATGTCGTCGCTACCGCAGCTTGACATCATCTAGGAGAGACAGCATTGTATCGAGAGGTGCACATGGTGGCTGCTCGGTGGGACTCGAAAAGCATTGATGGGTTGTTAATATGAAGCAAGTCAATCAAGTCAATCAAGTCAATCAATATCTGGATATCGAGGCGGGAAAATAATGTGGAGCCGGATGAGTGACGGCCACCAATCAGAGTAAAATATCATAAGGGAGATTTAGTGTGTCGCTTGGGGCTGCTTTTATTCTTTCTTTCTTTCATTAATCGCCCTGAACGTTGGAAACGGTCATCCAATCTGATTGAGAACGTGTGGACATCACGATAGCTCGGGAAGAGAACGAAGAGAAGGGCAGGGAGACGGCCAGCCTTGAAGTTGGGGCGTGTATTCCCAACGAGTTCAGCACAAGGGGGTTTCCTGTGACAACAGAAACGATTCAAGACTTCTGGGAGGGCTCGGGTTATGGGCTATCTTATAATCCCCGTAGATCTAGACAACAGATTTCTGCATTATGTTACGGTTCTGAATCGGCAGAGGACCATGAACCGGAGCCGGATTGGTCTCGGCGTTTTGGTTTTGCCGAATCTCCGCATTCACGGTTCCCGTATACATACAACATGACTGCCGGAATCTTCTCATCGTACTCCGTATTCATGCTTGCAAGGCATCCTCGGTTGCCACTTATGGCAGCAATAACCGCGTCTCATATCCCAAAGAGGGATCAGGCCACCGGCCTGCACCAGAAGAGATCTAACGTTGTGTGTCTGCGGTGCCACGAGAAGAAGGTATCCTTCCATGTCTTGGACAGTGGCGGCGAATTTCTGACCACAGGTGATTGATACCAGGTCAAATGCGACCTCAACTCGGTCCCAACTGACAGCAAATGCACCAATTGTCAGGCGGCTAAATCGGCCTGCTCGTGAGTGGAAACACATGCTTGGTTGCTCTCCAGAGCCCATGGCTCAGAAAGCTGCAGTCTTCGAGTATCCAGACGCCGGCCTCCCCCCGGTCGTGGGAAGTCCAGAAGAAAACCCCTCCCGCCTTCGGCAAGCGCAAGGACTGTTTCGACCGCGCTGTTAGATCGAGCGCCGCCCGGCAATGCGACTAGAGACAACGACGCAGGACAGCCTTCTCCAAGCACACTGGGGAGCAATAGTGCTGGTGGGCGACATGATACCGGGAACGAGGACTCCGGACCAGCTAGCTTTCCCGAAAGCCATCAAGGGGAACGAAGCTATCTGGGACAGTCAGGTTTCATGGCCATGTTTGACGACCATCCTTCTAGAGAGGAAATTGATCCGGGTATCAGTCCGTCGATGACGCCGAATCAGCCAGTCTCGGGGTTGCCTCTCATTCTGCGACAGAGCTATGCTGAGACCTTTGTAGAATACTGCTACCCGTGGTGTCCGGTGCTATACCGGGAGGACCTTCTGGACGTCCACCTCCCCTTCGCACGGTCCCAACTCCTGCAGCAAGCAATGGGCCTGTTGGGCACGACCATCAATCCCCCAAGACTTTCCCATCCGGCTCGTCGGGCACACTATGAGAAGTTCAAATCGCTGTTTCATGGCAGCACGGAGCGAAATCCTTTGGTGAGGATTGTCTCCATCATTCTCATCTACTGGTGGAGTGCTGGTCCCCCCAGTGTGGTCAGCATGGATAGTCAATACTGGTGGACGTCTATTGCAATCCGACTGGCTCAGGAGATTGGTCTCCACCGTGAGGTAACTCCCGGGCAGACGCTAAGACCTGGCGAAACAAAAATCCTGAGACGTTGCATATGGTGGACGTTATTTGTGAGTATTCTTTGATCCTTCCTGTGCCTTGCGTTGCTGATTCTCTTGTAGGCGAGAGAACGCTTGACATCGGTGTGTCAGGGACGCCCGTGCATCATCCACCCCGAGGACACCAACGTCAAGCTCCCGAGAGTGGACGAGTTCCCGTGTGACCGACGCGACCAGGCCGAAGTCTTCATCTCCTGGGTCCAGGTTTGCCAGATCATCGGGGACTTGTCCAAGCACTTGCACAGTCGGAGCAGTGCAAGCGGATCTCCCTTTGAGCTGGCACAGAGGTTGATCACATGGGTGACGGCGCTACCAGCACGCTTGAGGCTGCCATTCAGCACCGCGGGGACCTCCCGCTTCGACCGCCATGTCTACCAGCTCCATCTCCCTTACCTGTCGGCCATCACCCTCCTCTACATGAGCGCTTCGACGCAACCGCTCCCCAAGGCATATAGCGCGGCCGTCCTTTCCGCTTCGTGCGTGGCGCGCATCTTCGAAGACTTCTTGGCTCGGGGATCCATTGCATTCCTTCCAGGCGTGGCGGGCTGGTACGTCAGCATCGCCATCCTTGCCCTCCTGCATGCGCGTCGGATCGAGCCCCTGAGGATGGCCGCGAACGAGGAAATCGACATTCTTTTCCTTGCTCTGCGGGAAATGTCCCGCCTCTGGCACTCCTCGAGGATGTTCTTATTGGGCTTTGAGAAGCTGCTGGCCGGCGTCAACCCTGACACATCTGCCTCGTCCCAGGTGGCGAGCGGCAATCTACCTCAGGCGCTGGGGTTGAGTGAGTTGGACATCTTGGATGGCGTCGATTACCACGACTTCTTCCCCGGTGCCACGACCGAGACGACCCGGCTGTTCGCGGTTCTCCTTGGCCATGATCGCCCGCCACTCTTCTTCGACCCGGAATGGGCCAGCGACATCGGCTCACAACTCCAGGGCATGTTTGATCAATCGTACGACGATCTAGATCTCGGATTTTCCGTGAACGGCATTTGAGTCTCCACCTCATGTTCTAGTTCAAATACAACGACTTTGAGAACACGTTCACGCGCCAGGGAGTGAGATGCAATCGACGTCCTGAGTGGTGAAGATAGCCACCTCGACGCTGTATTCTGCCCGACCAGCTTTGCGGTATCTTTCATGCCACGCCTCCCGCAATTCGACGAGACAGTATCTGCTGGACGATAGATATGTTTACACGATGGCTCATGGTTGGGGATGCCAATCCCGTGCCCTGTCGACGCCCTCAGCTAATTGGGGAAGAGATCTCGATTCAGCGAAACCAGCAGACAGAAAGAGAGCTCGAGGCTAGCAGGTATGTCCTGCAGTTTGTTCCTCGCCCACCACCAGCACCCTTCTCGAGTGGCAACGCCTTCACAGCCATGGAGGAGCCGCCGAAGTACATACGCCACACAGCCCCGAACAACGCTCACATGGAACTTGGTGATCAGGCCTGAAGCAAGACTTTCTTTCTATAGCCACGTAAGAGCAACCCAGGCTGGTTAAGGATTAAATTTCTTGCTGCGGGGGTGCTCACACTCATACTCAATCGTCCCCTACATATGTACGTATATGTGACACTACATACCCTACGCAGGAGCACTCTTCCTGTCCGCCTCGAGCGCGGCGTAGACGTCTGCCATGCCCTCCTCCTTCCTGCTGGTGAAGGCATGCGGACCGGGGCCGGGGTCGTTCAGGAGGTTGACCTCCCTCCAGCGGTCCGGGTGAGTGACCTCAAGGACGGTGCCGGGCGGAAAACGTTCGCGATCGAACGCCACGGCCATCATACCGCGGCCGATCTCGTCGGGGGTAGACAGCTTGTCCTTGTCCGGGTCAACGAAGCGCAGCGCCTCCGGGTGGTCGTACATGAGCGGCGACATCGTCGGGCCGGGGGCCACGGCCACGACGCGGATGTCCTCCATGTCCTGCAGACGCGCCATGCCGCGCGCGAGGTTGCTGACCCCTTGCTTGGCGGCGCCGTACAGCGGCGTCAGCATGCTGGGTTTCTGGGCGCCGGTGCTGGACACGAGCACGATGGTGCCGGGTCGTCGGTGCTGCACCCACTTCCGGATCGCGATGCGCGACATCTTCAGCGGGTGCTCCAGGTTGATGCGCAGCAGCGTGTAGAACCCGGCGTCGTCGTCGCCGTCGTTCCAGAAGTTGTTCCACGACGGCTCGTACACCCCGGCCCCCGGGCACACCACGTCCGGCACGCCACCCCCGAATTCCCGCGCGTAGCCGTCGAACGCTCCATGCAGCTGCTTCCAGTCCGACACGTCGGTCTTGAGGAACGCGACCCGTGGTCCTCCTGACGGCGAGGAGGAGGAAGAGGCGACAGTAGGATGAGAGGTTGTACTGGTATCATCCTTTCGTGGTTGGATCGTATCGAGCCACGCTACCGCCTCGCGATGCAGGGCGAGATCACAGATCAGGACGTTGAAGCCCGCTCGATACAAGTGCTGGACAAAGGAGAGACAGATACCTGTTCGTTCAGAACAGTGTTGCGTTAGCATCATCTCCATAATGTACATCGTGCTGGCCGGGTCAGTGGTTGGGTGGGCGATGATGTTGGGAGGGAATAGAATAGAATAGAATAGGTTACCGGAGCCGCCTCCTGTGACGATGGCTCCTTTGCCTGTGAGAGCAACATCGACGACTTGTGCCATGACCCCCAGGAATAATCAATTCCTCACGCCTCAACGAGAGCAGCAACTTCGTCTCAGTCAGTGCTCCCTGTCAGGAGGGCCAAGTAAGGGACTTTGGGCGTTCGTCTTTTTCGAGGCCTCTTTCTATTGAATCTGTGTGGTGAGCGAGTGAGTGAGTCTTCTTGTTGGGTTTTGAGAGGGCAGGGAGGAACACAGAGGGACGTTTCCTCGGGATGGATACCATAATACACAGTATATTTCTGTATGCGACTCGGCACAGTATCCATTACATATACACACATCGGCTATGGGAGTAGTACAAGGTGTACAGTATCAACCCCCCAACCCCCGCAACTCGGTAATTGAGATGCATCGAGAGGTGGAGAAGCACAGACGGTCAGTCCAATACACTTCCGTCAGATGAGATCAGCCATGGTTGGTCTGCTCGGCCCTGTCTGGGTCTGTCTGCGTCTCTGCCGGCTAACTCAAGCCGACAGGTGAACCGGCAATGATAGCGGGCTGTGCGATACATAATGCCGTTTCGCCCCCTTACTTACGTAGATACATATTGATTGTCAAGATGATGGACGGGTTAGGGTAGGTTAACAAACACGAAGGTTTCTTCTGGTTGAAGCATGTTTCTACACACACACTCTCTCTCTCTGAATTTATGAACTCGGAAAGTTTCTAGACGACAAGCTTAGTGGATAGCGATCTCTAACCATCCGCCACACCAAAAATGAATCTGATGCCCAACAGCTTCCGCTTACCCCCCGCTGGACCGGTTTACAGCGTATACCTGAACGTCGGGCTCTTGTCGCCGAGGTCAGCAAGCTGTTCGTCCGTAAGCTCCTCGGCCACTCCACTGCGCTCTCTCTTCTTGTTGATGGCCCCGTACGAGATCCTCAAAACGATGACCGCCGCAAGGCCCAAAACGACGAACATGATCTCCAAGCCGTGGCCGAGCAAATACTTAGGCGCGTCGACGCTGCGGTAGAAATTGCTCGCCATGGCTCCGCCCAAGTTGCCGAGACCGATCTGAAGGGCCATGCCGGCGCTTCGTTTGTAGCTGCCCGCCAGGTTGTTAGCGATCCAGGTGACGTTGCCAGGGAAAGCAGGGTAGATTCCGCACGTGGCGATAAACACGCCCGCATACACCACACCGGGGACGTCTCCCGCGGCAGAGCCAGCTATAGCCAGGATGAAGCCGACCAGAATGGCACACATGGGGAAGAAAATGTAAGGCCAACGTGAGGCACCTCGTTTCGTGGCTCTGTCGGAGGCCCACCCGACGAGAACGGCCAGGATTGCGGCGGTGCCATAGATCGGAATGGTCAGAAGCTGTGCTGTCGTTGACTCGTACCCGAGTGCCTTGATAATGGTCGGAAGGAAGAATGAGATTCCGTAAAGTGGAACAACGATTCCCCAGTACATAAATAGGGACAGGTAGAGTTGCCAATCGGTAAGTGCTTGAGGATAATTAGCCGCAGTTCGCTAGGAAGAGTCCAGGGGCAGACTCACCTCTGACAACGTATTTCCATTCAAAGTGATCACTTTCAGCAACCAGCCTTCCACTCTTCTTGCTCCCTTGGTATTTGAGTCGGTGCACAACCCAGGCCTTTTCCTCAGGGCTCAAGAAGCTTGCAGTGTCTGGGAAGTCGTGCAAGAGGAAGAAAGCAGCACAGGCAACAGCAACGGTCACGATGCCCTCAAGGATGAAGATCCATCGCCAGCCTGCCTGACCAGCGACTCCGTCCATTTGGGCGATGGCATATGCAAGTAAACCTGAGAAGGCACCCGCCACGCTCGCGGCGCTGAAGAACAGACTTTGGCGGAATGCAAGTTCTTCCGTGCAGTACCCTAAATGAAGGTCTCGTCAGCATTCGAGGTCACGAATAATCACAGCCGAATGCGAGGAGCTAGAGTGGTCACTTACACATTGTCAAATAGTATGCAACACCCGGGTAAAGCCCTGCCTCGGCGACACCAAGGAAGATACGAGCGATGAGAAGGCCGTGGTAACTTTGGACGAGGCCCATCAAGGTCATGACCGTGCCTTATAGTTGTCAGCGGCTAAATCTTGTTCGCCAATGCTTCAATTACTTACCCCATGCGACCATGATAGACGGTAACCATACGGAAGGTCTGAGGCGCTTCAAAAGCAGATTCGATGGGATCTCAAAAGCGCAGTATGTGAAGAACTAGCGGCGATTTACGTTAGCCCGCGCACGAACTGTAATGAGCTAGAAACTCACAAAGACAGTGGCGCAAAGGCTGTACTCCGGGCCGGAAAGATGCAGGTCGGTCTCCATGCCTTGAATCTTCGCGTTGCCGATGTTGCCTCGGTCGAGGAAAGAGAGGAGGTATAGGATTGCCAGCATAGGTATCAGACGCAAATCCATTTTGCGCAGGACCTTCTTAGAATCGACGTTGGAGGTATCCACCCCTTCGCCCGTCCAGTCTGGGTCATGATGCTTCGATTTCTATAGCAACAACATATCGTTAGCAAGGATAAACAATCAGATCAAGCGCAAGATGTCCAAGCTCGAGGTCGACAATCACATACAGCGTGTTCATACACCACATCCTTCTCGGTGAAGGTTGGCTTCTCCACACGTTCTTCAGCCCATTTCTCGGGCGTCGTGGAGATAGTCCCAGACATGGTTGATAGCAGTGTTGGGGGTATCAAATATATTGAAGCCTCAAGAACTTTCTATATTGAGTGAGCAACTGGAGAGACTGGCGGAGGAAGTGCTGATCTCGAGGAAAACGTACCAGTTATATAGATAACGTCAGGAATGTTCGAAATGAAAGCGTTGAGCGTTAGCCTCTGACATGTGCCCAGTCCCCCAAACGGAATTCCCGCGCCAACTCCAGGTTTCTCCGCGTGTTTGTAGAACATTCCCCTGCGGAGGATAGTCTTAGCGCGGAGCGAGGCTCTTGGCAGAAGACACTCACTGGCGGAGAATGGAGCCACAGATGTCGGATCCGGAGTCCTCGCTAACGTAGGAGGACTCATTGGCCAGGAGAGGTCGTATCTGACGCCCCAACGAAGCCTCGTTGGCCTGGACTGACGGATGACTCCCGAAAACGTTATTTTCGGATCCGGATGCAACATCAGCACATAAAAGGAGCCATGCCGCTTATCGTAGTCTGCAGATAATTTCTTTTCCACTTTGCCACCGAAGAGCAAAGTGTGGAAGGGAAAGGCTGGAGAACACGATTTTGCGGTAGGACAAATAGCTTTGTAGCAAAACATTGCCGTTTAGAGCCAGTGGGAAAACGTTTCTGACTTCAGGGGACCCCTTTATCCACGCTAAGGTCAACAGTTGTCACTTGCTCACCAAAACGATCCGCTCGCCACTTCTGAATTGAATACCGCGAACCAGAATGTCCGTACTTTTGCCTGCATATGCCGTCTCCGCGAGCCGGGGTCGACGATGAGGAGCTTGGAAGTGGTGTGATCTCGTGGGTCGTCAATGGAAAGTCTCCTGCAATCTCCATGTATTGGTTCAATTTAGTAGACGGAAATTTGACGAGGCAAGATAGCGGTCATTCAAAGAATCGCCTCACGCAACGCTTCCAGTTTCATGGATATAGTGGCTGGGGTGGAAACTCAGCTGTCTCAAATTCCGCCCTTGTTGTCTGGACCGATTTGGAGACTTGCGGCAGTTGTTCTAAGGTGTGCTTCAGGGTAGAACGCAGGTTGTTGTAAGCATCTCTGCTGATCTTGTCGGCTCCAAAGTCCCTGTCTATGGCGTGTTGCATCAGCTTCACGGCCGCGACGACGTGGTGAGGATACGGATCAATCGCAATTAACGGGACGGTCAAGCTTGTCGACTGATTGGGTGCCATTTCCTGTTCGGAAACAGGAGGTTCAGGTTGGAGTTTTAAGGTGTATTTGTTGTTCAAGCCAAAGACCAGGCAGTTCATGACCCAGGTTTCCGCATCAACTCTTTTTGCCGAGAAGAGCGAGAGGAGATCTTCTCGTAAAGTGGCGGTCGCGATATCGGTGACCATCAAAATCGCCAGATTATAGTGCAGCATGAGTTCATCTATAGGCAGCTTAAGTACCATGACTCCGTACACACGTGAGGGATCGGGAAGGCTTACACCAGCGAAGTCTCGTTTCTTGGTTGAAGAACTGTATTCGCCTCTGACAGGCAATGAGCAGCTCGCGGTAGGTTATGTTGAACTGGTCGATAGTATTGGACACGGAGTTGAACGCCCTTAGAACTTCTGCCTCATCATGGCCATCCCTCAGAGATTCTTTGAGATTCGCAGTCAGTTTCCAGACCAAGAGTTTCCATGCTGCTCCGGCCGCAATGACCTGATTTGCTTTCTCATCTGTTAGATCGACGTCAAGATTGCTCCAATCTCGTGTCGTTTCGCGGAAGATGCCGATACAAGTCCGTACCATACGCCACGATGGCTCAGACTCGAACCCAAAAAGTCCAGAAGAAAGCAACGGTCGGCAGTTCAGAGTCAACGAGGCGGACGTATCGAATGTGAGCGCAGCCCAGTATGCAGTGCTCTCGGCAATAATGAAATTGGCGGTTGCAAGTGAAGCGGGACTTGCTCCCATAGGGCGGTTTGAGTTGGTGAGATTGACTCGTGTCCCGTTGAATTGAAGGCTCTTTTGACGCGCACGAAGTGTTTGAATCTGCTGCAGTGCGGCGTGAACACAAACCTGTCCCGATACTCCCTCAAGTTCTTCCTCTTCAGGGATGCCCACCGGGATTGGTGTTAGAGCAAACAAAAGCAAAGTCAGCATAGATCGATAAGATGGCCTGTTGATGACCTTGAGCATGTCTGTATGTGCACGGCGCCAAAGTCGACAGATGATATCCGCCTGGGAGAGGGCTGGCAAAATGGATCGCTGAGTCAGGGGGAGCCAGCGAGCGGCGAAAGATTGGACAGCATGGTCGAGGAACTGGTCGAGCTGTGCATCTCTCTCATGCCTACCAAGATCTGGTGAAGCTCGGGAGTCGTGCATTGCGCTTCCTACAGTATCCTCTTCGTCGATGTGTCTATCGAGTTCGCTGCAAACTCGGCGTATACTGACCACATCTGATAGGCTCTGTTCTCCAAAACTGATGTCGTCAGTAATGCCGCGCACTTGAGTTATGGCGGTGTGCTCACGCAAAAGGGTTGCTGTAGCGACCCATCCAAGAACCGAATATGGTCTCAAAAGCCCCCTCGTATATGGTATGGAGCCATTGGGTTTCAATAGCACTGATGGGTTCTGGTGTCAAATGATGTTGTACGAGCAGAGGTTGTGATAGCTGATCCGACGACCAGGCCCACTCATAATTTGGCCTGTCATCGTTAGGAAAGCATTTCAACAAAGTGTTGGAGCATACTTGGTCGATAGTTCGCTCGTGGTACTTTCAGACCGCTGGTGGACGAGCCTGGGCAGTGATTCGCCATCTATGCTAGTATCGTTCTCTTCGTAAATAGTCGTCTCTGTTGTGGGTATCTTAGACCGTCTCCTCTTGACTCTTCCGTCCTGGCCCTTGCGATTAGTTGCAGAAGTGCCAGTGCTCGGCTTCATCCACTGTTAGGACACAAGGGCTTTGGTCAGCACGTGTTGCCAGCCAATCCAGTCCATTGACCATGCAAACCTCAAATGTGCATTGCAGCTGCCGGTTGAGACACCTCGTGCAGGACAGAAGCTCCTGTTGGTCCTCTCGGTTCCGGCGAGCGCGACCGGCATCACAAGCGACTCTCGCCCGACGACATTCATCGCAACTAGAGAACTGGATCCGGCGCGGGACCATCTCTCCTTGAGACATGATGGTGCAGATGGCAGCCCATGTGCCCACAAGGCACAGATAGATGCATGAAATTGTTGAGAAACCAGAAGTGAGAGTTGGAAAAGAGGCGGCGAGTTGCAGTGATGAAATCGCTGCCAAAGTTTTGAGGCTACTAGGCATTCGAGCCGCTAAACTACGTTGGTTGTTGGCGTGTAGTTCGTACGGACCGCCTGGTTGGATGGACAGCACTCGAAACCGCCTAGAGAATGTTCGATAGGGAGAACCCGGGGGAAAAGGGGGATCTCGGGGCAGGTTTGCGGGGTAAGTGAGCGCCTACGACTCCTAAGCTTTAGGCAGGGTAGGCTATCCAGGTGCCTAAACTTCGTATAACCATAACAAGTGGTGCAAGGGGTCTTCATTCAACAATCTATTTGCAGAACAGTCATGGTTTCTGATACTCGTAAAATCCCTTACCGCTCTTCACACCGAGGAGACCATCTTGAATGAATCGCTGCAGATATTGGCGAGGCTCAGGAGGGACATCTTTCCTCTTTTCTGCATAATGCTCCTCGATGTTGAGCACGACGTCGAGGCCAACGACGTCCATCTGCTCGAAGGGACCTTTCGGCGTCTTCAAAACGTCCTTGAAAATGGCGTCGATCTCGGATGGAGTAGCCACACCCTCTGCTGCTGTGAGCAAGGCTTCCCGTTTGATTGCAGCCCATATCCTGTTTCCACGGGATGCGGTCAGTGCTTCTGAATGAGACACTGGAGGGTATGGGAAGGCGATCAAACCTGTTGTATATGTATCCCATGGAATCTTTCTTCACATGGAAAGGGCTAAATCCATGCTCTCGACATTGCTCCATCAGAAGTGGGATAATTGCAGGATCAGTATTCGCATGACCCATAAGTTCGATGGCTTAACCAGAGGTTAGTGCGCGGACTATATGTTTTACAGCTTAACTTACCAGAAGTCTCTGGAGGCCAGTCTTTATGACAGATCTTGGTCAGTATTGCACCCAGAACTCATGAGGTTTGTACTTACAACAATGAGCGCTGAGAATCCGCTGCTCGTGGGATAATTTCAAGCCGTCAATGATCTCGGATATGCTATAACTGCTGGAGTTGGAGGCAATGATGGTGTCGGAGTCCGCCAGCTCGTCCACCTGTTTGATCATTTGTCGCTTGAGCTCAAGCCTCTCTGGGACGCACTGCTCTCCAAACGTCGATCAGCTCGATTTCAATATCTCGACTCATAGTTTCGATGGAGCTTGCGTACCTCAACGATCAACCATGTATCTTTCAGCCCTGCGGGTAATGATTCCGAGGTAAATGTCTTGATTTCGCCCCATCGTGCGTTCTGTCGTTGAGATGCAGACCGAAGTTGGTCTATATATTTGACACTATCAGAAAGCTGCTTCGCCTGGGCGTCAATGAGATGAACAGCTCGGCCCTGACTTGACCACTTTGCGCCGGAGCCAGTCAGTCTCGATCCAAACTCGATGAAGGGTCACAGAGTTGTTCACCATGTATGCCAGCCGTCGGCCCTGCGTCCCTGCCCCAATGAGGGCAGTTGCCTTTCCTGTCAGCATGTCTTCTGTGATGACTGAGCCTGACCAGACCTAAGAAGACTTTTCAATCTTGTGAATCAAAGGAAAAAAGTCGCATCAGCGGCGTTGTGAAAGTAGTGAATGCGTCCGGATCCGGAGAATCTCGGCTATCAAAAACGATTGGGAGTCGTAGCCGCGCGGGGAAACCGGCGTTGACTTGTAACCACGGTGCCACGGCATCGGTTAATTTATAAGTTCCCAAAGAAGTGCTGACAAGACACTGGAAAATTCATCCTTCCTAGAAATTGAAAAAGATGTCCAAAAATACGACCACATTCCCAGGGAAGGGTCGCCTCGTCGGCTAAGCTGAGGTGACCTGTCAGGAGGAGCTTGAGACCCAAAGTGATACACGGCATCTCGCAACTGGCAGTTGCTGTCGAGATTTCCACGGGATAACGTTCATGACGTATTCTCCCAGCACAGCATTGGTGCTCTGGTATACGGTTCATAGCGCAACGTTCTGCCCGTACCAGCCAAATGTGCCGATATGAAGATGCAACAGCCATCAGTGCACCAGGCATGCAAGCATACTTGGGTGTACCCGGTTTGCCTGGAAATAGCCTTTACGTGTCCAGCTGCACACTTGGGCTGGAGCGATGTGTTAAAATTTGATCTCATGGGAGGCAGGTGGTTTTGAGAGTGTGGCATATGCATCAATGGAATAAGTGAGAGGAAGATGCACTCAACGGAGGCTGCCATGTCATATTCCGTTTCAATTTGGTCGAACACCAACCCACCCAACACAAGTGAAAACGAAATATACTTGACCACCTACTGTCATTATTGTCATCGCATCGGGATATTTTCTCTTTACGTGAATGACAAGGTGCCGATGATCTCGAGAAAGTGACAACGACCTACCTTTTGAGAGATACTCTTAGTACCCCATAGACAGACCCGCATCATAAAGATGTCCCCATCAGCCTCGATCCTATCAAGTAACCTCAAGCCACTCTTTATGTGACAGTATGGCACGTTTGTAGATGCTTGGCCAGATTCCCCCGGAGCACATGTCAGATCGGCACTACCCGTCACAATGAAGTAGTCAATGGATGTCATGAGCCAAGATCTACGGCCAGGTCGCTGGATAACAGTGGGCAGTGGAAAAGTGGCGGAAACACTTTGTTCCGGGGCTCGGCGAAACCGAACAAGCGGGCGATGATCTTGGCGCCAAGCACTCATCCTCTTGACTCCGCTCGCTTACAGGCTCGCATCACCTGCCATTGCGTCAACCCAAGGCCCCGGGACGGCGACGTGCTCTTGGTGGCACCTTGTCAAACCGCCTCCTACCTCCGCCCAGGCTTGGCCGATTCCGCACTTATGGGAGTGCCGGTGCTGTGTCTCGCCACCTTTCCACCGCGCCAAGGGCACGAAGGACGTGTGTCGAGAAGAGATGTCGCCGTGATGGCTCTTGGCTCCAAGGGTACGGACACGGAGGAAGCCTTGGAATATCAGGGAGCGGGGGCCTTCGGGCCTAATCGTCCGACAAGATGCTGTTTCAGCTCTATATAACATGGGACTCATCCCTTGATTCCTGATGGGTCCACCACACTCTTTTCAAGCTTCAGCAAGACTTATACTTGCTTGTCCCTCACTTGCATATACCAGACACATCTGATCAAGCTTGACATCAAGAGCATTACAATTGTCTCCACTTACCTGGAAGCAGATCTCGAATATTCCATTGCTCATACACCTAGTTACTGCCTCGACGACCGCCTGATATGGGCAAGCAGGGCGGAAGGGCTGAGCAGAACTATCCCAAGCACCCTTTCCTGCTCTCTGCCGATGAAATCGTCAATCACCTCGAGACGAGGCTCGACTGGGGACTGAGCGATGCTCAAGTCCAGCAATACCAACAGAAATATGGACCCAACAGGCTCGAAGGAGATGGAGGCGTCTCCTGGTACGCCATTCTGGGGAAACAAATCTCCAATGCCATGATTCTGGTACGTTCCCTAAACATCAAGCAGGTTTGTTCATCTTTTCAAGACGGCTGACCGTGTGGCAGGTATTGGTGCTCGCCATGGCACTCTCGTATGGCGTGGAAGATTTTGTTGAGGGTGCCGTCATCACAGCCGTCATTGTTCTCAACGTCGTGATTGGCTTCTACCAGGAGTTTCAGGCCGAAAAGAAAATGGACGCGTTGCGGTCTCTCTCCTCCCCTTCAGCAGCCGTGGTCAGGGGCGGGAATGAGATGACGATCCCCTCCGCCGAAGTTGTGCCCGGTGACATTGTATCAATTAAGACCGGCGACACTGTTCCAGCGGATTTGCGACTGTTCGAGGTCATGAACCTCGAATGTGACGAAGCCATCTTGACCGGCGAGGCGCTGCCCGTGGCCAAAGAAGTCGAATTTGAAGACAAGCACGGTATCGCCAAAGAGGAGCTGGGCCTAGGCGATCGACTCAACATTGCATACTCATCTTCCACGGTCACAAAGGGGCGAGGCCGCGGTATTGTGGTGTTCACGGGCATGTCGACAGCAATTGGGGGGATAGCTGCCTCGATGCAGGGCAAGCGGCGGAAACCGAATCGATCCATGTCCCGAAAAAAATACGGACGCATGCAGCCCGTCAAGGGCGGTGCACTGCGTACATACGACGGTGTTCGCAAGTTCCTCGGCCTTACCGGAGGCACGCCTCTCCAGATCAAGCTCAGCAAACTCGCCTACGTGCTCTTCGGCTGTGCCATCCTGCTTGCCATCATCGTGTTTGGCGTCAACCGATTCAATGTCACGAACGAGGTCGCCATTTACGCCATCTCGACGGGAATTGCCATTATTCCAGAGTCTCTGATCGCCGTCCTCACGATCACCATGGTCGTGGGCATGACGCAGATGCGGAAGCGCAAGGTCGTCGTGCGACAACTCAGCGCCCTCGAGGCCCTAGGCGGCGTCACCAACATTTGCTCGGATAAGACCGGCACTCTCACCCAGGGAAAGATGGTGACGCGGAAAGCATGGATCCCCGGCGTCGGCATCTATAGCGTGGAAAATTCCAACAACGCGTCCGACCCCACCGAAGGGACCATCACGCTGGGAAAGGCCCCCAAGTCTCGTCAGGAAGTTGAGGCAGAGAAATTAGCCCGAGAAGAGGCCTTTGACCGCAAACGCAGCACCGCTGGCATCTCGTTCGATCTCCCGAGCGAGAAACAGAAACTGTGGAATGACCCGGAAAAGGGAACGAAGAAATCAGAAAGCGACGTCAAATCTAACCCCGAGGTGACGCCAGAACTCCAGGCGTTCCTGGAGTCCGCAGCCCTCTGCAACCTGGCCTCTGTCCGCAAAGTCGCCGAGGACGGGCAGGAGGAGAAGTGGAAGACGACCGGCGACCCGACCGAGATTGCGCTGCAGGTCTTCTCGCACCGCTTCAACTACGGCAAGAAGACGCTGGAAGAGAATGGGTGGACGCAGAAGATGGAATACCCCTTCGACAGCTCCATCAAGCGCATGTCGGTCGTGTACACCAAACCCGGCATGGACCAGTCCGTCATTTTCACCAAGGGCGCCGTGGAACGTATTATCGATCTCTGCACGGCCGTGGGCGTGGATGAACACGAACAAGCCATGACCGCATCACTCAAGGAGGCCATCCTGGAGCAAATGACGTTCCTCGCCGAACAAGGCCTGCGCGTGCTCGCCATCGCGAGGAAATTCACGACCATGGAGATTGAGGAACATTCCGATGTGGACCGCAGCCTCGTCGAAAAGGATCTCTGCCTGCTCGGTCTCGCCGGCCTCTACGACCCACCGCGCCTGGAAACCAAAGCCGCGGTGCAGGCCTGCACGACCGCTGGTATCACCGTGTCTATGCTGACAGGCGACCACCCGTCCACGGCGACCGCCATTGCGAAGGAAGTCGGCATCATCCCGAAGAACATGGGCACTCTCCCGGCAGACGTGGCGGCCGCCATCGTGAAGACGGCCACCGAATTTGACAGGATGAGCGAGGCTGAGATTGATGCCCTTCCAACGCTGCCCCTTGTGGTTGCCCGTTGCGCCCCCGAGACCAAGGTCCGCATGATCGAAGCGCTGCACCGACGGAACAAATTCGCCGCCATGACCGGCGATGGCGTGAACGACTCGCCGTCCCTGAAGCTCGCCGACGTGGGCATCGCCATGGGCCTCAACGGAAGCGACGTGGCGAAGTCGGCGTCGGACATCGTGCTGACCGACGACAACTTCGCGTCCATCGTCAATGCGGTCGAGGAAGGCCGGCGCATGTTCGACAATATCCAACGCTTCGTGCTGCACCTGCTCACGTCCAACGTGGGCGAAGTGATCCTCCTGATCTGCGGTCTGGGGTTCCAGGACGACACGGGCTTTTCGGTGTTCCCACTCTCTCCGCTGCAGATCCTGTGGATCAACATGCTGACCTCGTCGTTTCCCGCATTCGGGCTCGGGCGTGAAAAGGCGTCGCCGGACGTGATGGAGCGGCCGCCACACGACAACAAAAAGGGCGTCTTCACCTGGGAACTTATCACGGACATGCTGGTGTACGGCACCATCCAGGGCACGTGCTGCCTGATGACGTTCGTCTTCATCGTCTACGGGCCCGGGCCCGACGGACTGGGCCAGGACTGCAACCGCACGTACAACGACACGTGCGACGTGGTGTTCCGCGCCCGCGCGGCCGTGTTCGCCGAGCTGACCTGGCTGATCCTGATCTCGGCGTGGGAGTTCAAGGCGCTGCGGCGGAGCATGTTCCGGATCAACGCGCACGACACGCGCGCCTTCCCCTTCTTCCACGACATCTGGGAGAACCAGTTCCTGTTCTGGTCCGTGGTCATCGGCGCGCTGTCGGTCTTCCCGGCCGTCTACATCCCGGGCCTCAACACTTCCGTGTTCAAGCACAAGGGCATCAGCTGGGAGTGGGCCCCGGCCGTCGTCTGCGTCTTCGTCTTCGTGAGCGGCATGGAGGCCTGGAAGTACGTCAAGCGCGCCGCAGGCTGGTTCAAGGAGGAAGAGACCGAGGGCATGAAGGGCCGACGCCCCGGGCATGCCGCCGGCGCCGCGTTGTCCCTGCGACAGGGCTTCTTCACCATGACGAGGAGTTTCACCAAGAGCAAGTCCGAAGAGAAGCAGAGGGTGCCGACCGCGAGGGCGCTGGAGGATGGGGCTAAGACCGGGCGGGCACCCGTCGTGTTGCCCCGGGTTAGAGAGGATGTTTGAGCGTTGGTTTGTGCCTTTTTCTTTTTCTCTTTTTGGCTCGGTTCACCCAAATTTGTAATACCACACGTATAATGACCCAGTGCTAGGATGGATAGATCATGGATATAGATCACGTCAACGAGAGTCTCGTTGTTTTTCTCTCTCTCTTTTCTGAAATGGTAAATATGCAAAGCGATCTGGTAACCTGGATGATTCTGGAGTGGAGATTTTGACATGTCTGCCTTGGACATTGCCGTGAAATTCAGTTTTACGTTCCAACCATCAGTCTATTTCATTGTGTTCGCCCGTCTATAGTCCTTCAGGGGGCGCGTGTGAAGGCTCTCCTGTATGTTCCATCCAGAAGGGGATGTCACATGTAGAGGCGGATTCGTGAAATGTGCCATACATACAGTATGTACATGCGTGGTGATGTGTGAGGGTCGCAATTGAAAATGTCCTAGGACACGGTACGTAGATCGACCGTAGCAGGCCCTGTCGCGACACACACAGGCTTTTCGCATCAACACTGGAGGCGGAATAACATAATACCTCTGTTTGTTGTCAGATCGAGTTCGTGCGAGCTACAGTCTCAGGTAACTCCTCGCTCCATTTCCGTCCTTGCAGCTGCAATCATTTCCTCCAGCTCACGGGCATCACGCTCGTATGAATCGTTCGACGCTAGGGCTTCCGAAACACATTGGACTGCAGCACGTCGCCTGATAGCCGCTTCGTCTGATAGTTCAAGGAGTCGCAGAACGTTCCCTGCTGATTGACAGTCCCAACTCAGTGTGAGGTCGTCGAGTTGTCTTGTGGCGGCCGTGATATCAGATACCTTTCGATCCCCGACGTCCAAACTGAGCCCAAGATGTTGACTTAGAGCTTGTGCCGCAGGACCGATGTGGTCTTCTGACTCTGCTCCTGGGTGGTCGATGGTCGCCGGTTTTGTATGAGAGCGAGCAGTATTTTCGAGATGCAGAAGTTGCCCATCCAATTCGTGTAAGCCCCGTCGTCGAGATTGCAGGCTTTCCAGCCGCTTCGAGAGATTGACCGCGGCTTCTGTGAGGGAGCAAAGTTGCCGGTAGACCTAGGTAAAGTGTCCGCGTGTGAGTGATTTTTTAAACATTGGACTGCAAGACATAGATCCTCTTACCTTTTCATTGAGTTTCCTCTCATCTTGCTTCCGCGCCCGTCGAACACTCTGGAGAGCTGCGTGAAGTGCATTTCCATGCTCCTGAGCCACAACAATTCCTACAACATCATCGATCTCCGAGTAGAGAGAATTCAGATCTCCTTGAACAGCGTCCGTCGTACCGTCAGTCACATCCTGCGCACTAGGGACGATGTCTGCAGCACTGAGTGATTCCAGATAGGCACAGTCAAGACGATCTTTAACTGTCTGGGCACGAAAATGCCGCAAGGCGCCTGTCAGTCTGCTCACTCGCTCAGCCAACGCGTCGAGGTCTGTCTGGCACTCCACCTTCACGCTGGAGGATGAGAAGTCATCGAGCTCGGACAGCACGCGGTCGTCCGAATTCAAGAGCTCTGTAACAGTCGCAAGAGCTGATCTGACGTCTTTGGCAACACGACCGACTTCGGCTCGCAGCGTTGACCTCAGAGCTTCGAGGAGTTGCTCATTCTTGTCCACGGGTCAGATATCGACAGGCTCTTCGATCGCGGTCAGCAAGTGGTGAAGACTTACAGCAAACTTGACATGCTGCACCTCAGCGGCTCGTTTCTGGTCGAGGTACTGTTCTTGTCTGGCCTTTCGGGCATTGATCGCGTCTTCAGCCTCCCCGAGGTGCTTTAAATGAGCATTTTGTGCGCGGAAAACCCGCGTCCGGCGCTCAATCGCCTTGGTCGAAGACTTCAGAGCTTTGATAGCCGATCGAAGCTCTTCCTCGGTCGAGGGAAGTGTCGTCGACCTGCTTTCCCCGCAGGCTGGAGCCCTCCGTTCTAAACCTTGTAGCAATTTCCATCTGTCTGACTGTCAATTGCTGCTCCGAGGGAGGCGACAGACTGACGAACGTTGCGGTTCCGTCCTCAGACAAAGATTTCGCATCACTAAGCTTGTTGTGCGTCCATCCTGGCAACAACGAACGGTCGCTGGCCCGATTGAATTCTTCAATGGCCTGTTTGTGAGAGTGTGAGTCGTGCTTCAGAGGCGCATCGAGCGGAGTGTCGACCCGTGCTTCCAGGGGCATCATCACACCGAAGGAGCAAGATTTGCTAGACCGCTCTGCAGGGATGGTAATAATACATGTCGAAGGCTTGGCAACTCCTGTCCACTGCTGGCTAAAAAGAGGGCAGGGAGTCACGAAAATATACAGAGGACTGTATGTGATATTATCGTATAAAACAGGTGCGACATGACAAGTACACTTTTTGGAAAATTATCTAGGATTGAAATCTACATTTTCGGTGGCATCCTGACTCTGCATGTACGATCAACAATCAACCAACGCCCAGCGACCGCAACACTTCAATCAGCTACTTTTGGTGAAAGGTCATCGCTTGAAATGTTTGAGGAAACATAAATTTCGCCCAGCCCGATATACACAGCCAAAATAACTCCGCCCGAATAGCATGTCGCCGCTCCTCGTGGAAAAGTGCCGGAGGGGAATCGATAGCGTTGTTGTATAGCTTGAACGCGCTCAGTAAATTGAAACGTCATTATAGAGGTCATCATCCTCGAGTATCACCCTTTTGTCGGCTCCCTCATCGCCGTCGTCTCCGAGCCAGCTGCTGTCATGGTTACGATTGCTTGGCGTGGCCGTTGGCAGCAGTCCCGTTCACCTGCCCATTCGCCTTCTGCGACTTGGACTCGCGGTATTTGGCAATATCTTGCTCCACCATCTTGTCCACTCGGCTCTTCAATTCTGGCCTGTACCCAAGCGCAAACAGGATCTCTAACCAGACAAAGAGCGGGGCCAAGAAAAATGCCTGGAAGATGTTGTCCAGCAAAGCAGGAGCACGTCCTTCAAACACTCCGTGGCCCAAGAATTGTGCGATCCAGGATGCCACAAATGCCGCCGCCGCCCAAAAGTTGGCAGTCATCCCGTGGACCGATACCAGTTGGTGTGCGTAGGCGGTTCCGGCGAGAAGCAATGCGGCGAACGCCGTTCCGGCCACTGGCTCGAGCAAGATGTACAAGCCGCAGTAGGATAGGCAGAAGAGGGTGCCAGCATTCAGTTCGAGGTGGGGGATGGTCATGGACTCTGGTAGTTTGATCAGGGTGCCGGAATTCGTGAACTACCAGACGGTAAGTCGTCATGTTCGTTGGGCGCATGGTTCTGTCTCATACCAGGAGAAATGTAGTCCAGAGGATAATGGGAACTCCGACCATGTGTATGCCAATATTGACCTGCAATTTTCATCAGCGACGTTTGTCCTGAACCGACATCGAGAGCCGTACTGCGTCATGGTGGTATGCGCCATACTGTGTGCAAGTGGTCAGTGGGATCGACAACGGAGGGGTCGCCGAGTGCTCACGAAGCGCAGTTGTTTCTCCAGGTTAAGAGCCATCTTGGGACTATGGTTGCAGATACTGGGATCCGAGGGTATTCGAAGGCAGAATTAATTCAGCTCATCGAAGTCAGCGCAGGCAATGCCTATGTTTGATGGGCGACAAAATTAATTATTGAGACGCACATGGCAGTTGAAATGGGGGCGGAACTGCAGCGTCTCACCACCTCGGCGTCATCGCCTTCCTTCACAATCCGAGTCACTCCGCACGCCAAATCGATTTCACGATGTTTGCTCGCCACGCTTGCCTCAGCAGCTACTCGGCCTAGAGAATCGCCAATTAACAGTGCGGCTATTGCCATATATTGTGGACGAGCAGATGAAACCCCTGCAGCTTTTTATTAACAAGCAACCAGACAATAAGGCGGCAGTCTTTTCCCCAAGTTTTGTGTGTGCCTTCTATTATGTTTTGAGGTCCTCCGACGCGTTGGGCCCAGAAGCTCGTGTTGGACCATTGTCGGTTTTGTCCGTGTTAGCTGTTTGCCGTAGGATTTGAGGTATGAGGACGCCTCTTGATGAGAAAAAGGATCACCCATCCCTCAACCCTTGTGCTGGCATCAATGCCTCTTTCACAATCCAAGCTTGTGCTTTTTAATTCGCGGTATCACACCCACAAGCACTAAAACGCTTGCCACAATAACCGCCCACAGCTTGATGTGCAACACTTTCTTGTTGTAGGTGGTCTGGGTGGCTGCTGCAATGACAGCCAGAAAATAGACGGCGAGGATGTAGCCCGACATTCTGTCTCATCATTAGACGACGCTGATCGCCAGAAATTCTGGATCACGTACCGGTGGTATTTATACAACGACTTGGCCCGATCGACAGTGCCAAACAGCGTCTCGGGCAGGTAGAATGCAGCAGCTCCAATGAGCCATTGCAGGAAGATGAGTATGTAAGCCACCAATGCCATCTTCCCGTGGATACTCTGGAACCGGGTCTCTGGGTGTGAGGCTTTGTTCATCTCGATAATGACCAAGCCGGCAATGAGCAATGCCACTGCCGACGTATTGATTGCTGAATGTACATATGTGGCTGTAATTTTGTCCCTTGGAGCTGCCGTGGGTTGGAGGACCAGCACGCCTTGAACGAGCAGGAGGACGGCCAAGGAGTTGAGCAGAGGGTGGTAGGAGAAGAATATAAACGTGTTTGTGAACACTGCAGCCCAAACCAGGGCGGTCAGGATGACGACGCCTACTTGGGCGAGGATAGCTGTAGCGAGTACCTCGTCAGCAACGATGCTAGGAACAAGGAGGGCTTCGACAAGTAGAAACGCAGCCTCTCGTACCTGTTCCCGTCACAAGATTGAATTGCATTCCCTGGCCTGGCCGTTGTGTGACATCTCCTGGTCGTCCCAAGAGGGGCTCCTCCTCTTCAACGGCGGGATTTCGCTCTGGAATACCCGTAGCAGAAGCCATGGTGGGCGTTGGCTGCAAATACAAGGGAATGGGGTGCGCTGGAACGCTCAAAGGACCGGATTCAGTAGAGTTTGAGGACGGATGCGGTTCTGCATGTTGGAGGAGGGGAAAGCGGTAGAAGTCATCTCAAATATCATGGATCATCACTCCCTCCTGCGGAGCACCCTGGTGCCCACTAGGCACCTGGGGTTTCGTGTGTAAACACCGTTGGAGGCCGTCAAGCTGACCAATTTGACCTCCGGATTGGACGCCTCTCGGCACAGTCGCGACTGGGATCCGCGCCATAACAAAAGAGTATGACGCTATCGGGATCTGATAATCTGATGAAGCTCCGGCGCTCTCTCTCTCGGGGCATTGTTTATCCAGCCACTCTTTGCAGCACTGGTGCATTTCATCGTCGAGGCAGCCTATGTATTATCACCTTCTTGTTTACAAGGCAATGCATTGATACTCAATAATTCATCGCACTGCCTCGCAGCAATGTTGCTCAAATCATCAAAGGACAAAGGCTCCTCACCGCTCTTTGCAGGTCCTACATGTTTATTCCATTTCATTCCTTGACAGGCTGCAGAAACACCATCACCATTCATGGCAAAATGTATCCTTCCCTCATCCTTCCATGGTCCACGAATCCCGCAGATCGCGAAAACAAGTACCGTGCTGCCGGCCTGGTGAAAACCAGAGGGACACTCTTTCTGCTACCTCCGTCAACATCCACCTTGCGCGATTCATTCAATGCACCACCACGTCCCCAAACCCGTATGTCCTCGGGTGCAGTCGCCCTTTGCAAACATTTTGAGCGGGGCGGTGCATCATCGGAGCATGGCCGGCCGCATCCATTTTGGTCCCTGCCTTCAGGGAGCAACGAGAACAAGACGGAAATTGCAAGAGGGATATTAGAGAACATGCTGGAGCAAGCAGTTTGGAGGAATGTGATGCTTCTACACCACAGGGTAGCAGTGTACGAGATCAGGAATGCAAGCGGATACGGGATGAGGTGGACACTGGATATAGAGGAGATGAAGGGAGACAAACAGGCTGATATCGGCGGACAGATGGACATTCGGGCGACGACGGTCAGTCCACCCTACCCCAACCAAGGTAAAGAGGAGGATGATTTCCACAAGAACTGGGTGATAACCAGGACGACATTCCGCGGGTTCTTGGAGCCTATTGCTGGGATGGAACACGAGCTGGTGGCTGGTGAGTCAAGGAGTGAGCCAAATCGACTCTTGACAGCCTGATGAGCAGCAGACCGTGATGTGCAGAAGATCCCTCAACCAGATTCTCGTTGGTGGGGTACCTTCTCTTGCAGCTCGACAGCAATGCAGAAGTGCACAAACCCACACTCATTCAGCTCGCCATGTGGTTGTATACAAGCTAGATTTCGTGGCAGTAATGGTGGTGACGGCCTCCTTTATCGTGTCCTTCTGCATAACTCTGCCCCCTAGCAGCCGGCCACCCAGCTTATTCCCCCTCCTCCACATTATTCAACTCCCACCCCCGCCAGCTCCACCCCCACGGGCGGCTCTCGTACACCCAGCATTATTATTGTCCCCTCGAGGCAATCGGTTGGAGGGGCATCAACCTTGCCGATGTCGCGAGCTACGCTTCCTTCCCCTGCTATCAATGCAACCAGACAACAAGCTTCAGGCACTTTGGAATTCCTGGATGAGCCTAGCCGTCATGTGCCCGTTTCTCCCTCGGCAGTCTCATCGGTTCCTTACAGGTCCCGCTGCCCGCTAACTCGACTGCTGTGCTGGTGAGTCGTCTTCATCACCAGCCTGCCACGTTTTACCTCCTCATCTTTGCTCTCCAATTCTCCCCTTGTTTTTTCGGGCGTTTGTCTACGCTGCCAGTTCGCAAGACGCCTTCGGGTCCAGAGCATGCCATAGAATCGTGTCTTTTTTGCTTGACGGGTGCCTCCGGGCTTGACATGCAGGTCATCGCGGTTATCTGCAGCTCCAGATCCGAGTTTACAAGGTTCCTATCGAGCTTGTTTGTGGCGGTGAGACAGCACGATGGCTCACGCCTCTTTTCCCGTCTTGTCGGCGCCCCTGTCGGTAAAACTATCAACCAAGAGCTGCTTCAGCTTTAGAGATTCAGGTACTGCTGGAATCCATTTGCATCGGAAAGACTGCTCGGGGGACCCTGAGATCCAGGCTGACCAAATGTGCTGCAGTTCCAGGGATAGGCGCCATCTATGGTTGTGTGCGGCAGAGCCGTCACGCAAACCGACATGTGCACTCACTCAATTGCGGGCTGGTTCCGCTCACCTCGAAAAACCACCATCATCATAAAAGTCTGATAAAACTCCCGCCAAGGGCCGTCACAGTATGGTCGAGATTCAAGTCCGACCTGCCGGCTGAGCCAGTTCTTTACTCGCAATTAACCATCGGCGTTCCAAAGGAGACCCTCCCGGGTGAACGTCGCGTCGCCGTCGCGCCCCAGAACATCCCTTTGCTGTTGAAGAAAGGCTTCGCAAGGGTCCTGGTGGAGCGAGGTGCTGGTATTGAAGCTGAGTATTCCGACGAGGTCTATGAACATGTTGGCGCCACCGTGGTTGACAGCGAGACCGTGTGGTCGGAGAGCAACATCCTACTCAAGGTTCGTCCACCAAACTTGGAGTCGGAAGTACCCAAGATTCACCCGGGAACGGCCTTGATCTCGTTTCTGCAACCCATGCAGAACAGGCCCCTTGTTGAGGCTCTTGCTTCTCAACGAGTGACTGCGTTTGCTATGGACATGATTCCCCGGATTTCGCGTGCTCAAGCATTTGATGCGTTAAGTTCCATGGCCAACATAGCGGGTTACAAAGCTGTGCTTGAGGCGGCTAATCACTATGGTCGCTTCTTGACTGGCCAGGTCACTGCTGCTGGAAAGATTCCTCCCTCCAAAGTCTTGGTCATTGGAGCCGGCGTGGCTGGGTTGAGTGCCATCACGACCGCCCGCCGTCTCGGCGCGATTGTCCGCGGGTTTGACACTCGTTCTGCCGCCCGAGAACAAGTCCAGTCACTCGGAGCTGACTTCCTGGAAGTCAGTGTGAAAGAAGAGGGCTCAGCAGCCGGTGGTTACAGTAAGGAAATGTCCAAGGAGTTCATCGAGGCAGAAATGAAACTGTTCATGGAACAGTGCAAAGAGGTCGACATCGTCATTACTACTGCTGCAATTCCAGGAAAGCCTTCTCCCAAACTGATCACGGAGAAAATGGTCAGTGCCATGAAACCCGGCTCTGTCATTGTCGATCTTGCTTCAGAGGGCGGTGGAAACTGCGAGGTTACACAGCCGGGTAAGCTGATTGTGTATAACCATGTCACCATCATCGGATACACAGATTTCCCCTCTCGACTACCTACACAGTCCACGAGTTTGTATTCCAATAACATTACAAAGTTCCTGCTGGCCATCTCGCCTAAGGACAACCATTTCGGCATTGACTTGGAGGATGAAGTCGTCCGAGGCTCTATCGTTACCCACGATGGTAAAATCATTCCCCCGGCTCCGCGGCCGGCTCCACCCCCGGCTCCTGCACAGCAGCACCACGAACTTGAATCCAAGCCCGTCGAATTGACACCTTGGCAAAGTCAAGCCCGCAATGTAGCGGCCGTGACCGGAGGAATGAGTGCAGCTCTTGCCCTAGGGAAGTTGACATCCCCATTGTTCATGGGTAGCGCATTTACGGCCGGCCTGGCAGGGCTTATTGGCTATCGCTCGGTCTGGGGGGTGATTCCGGCCCTTCATTCTCCTTTGATGAGCGTTACCAACGCCATCTCCGGCATCGTGGGTGTTGGTGGCTTCTTTATCATGGGCGGCGGATACCTGCCGGAAACAGTCCCACAAGTACTCGGTGCGCTGTCTGTTCTGCTTGCGTTTGTCAATGTCTCGGGTGGTTTTGTCATTACGAAGCGAATGCTGGATATGTTCAAGCGACCAACAGACCCTCCGGAATATCCATGGCTATACGCGATTCCCGGCGTGCTCTTCGCCGGTGGGTTTATCGCCGCCGCAAGCACGGGTATGAATGGGCTCGTGCAGGCCGGATATCTGGTGAGCAGTCTGCTGTGTATTGGTAAGTGCCTCAGGTCTTCTATCGACAACGCGTTCTAGGTACCTGATGCTCGTCAATTCTAGGATCTATCCAAGGACTGGCATCACAGGCGACAGCGCGAACAGGGAACCTGCTCGGCATCCTTGGTGTGCTGGCCGGTATCATAGCCTCACTTGGCGCAGTGGGATTCTCTCCAGAGGTGTTGACACAGTTTGGCGCGATTGCAACTATTGGTGGTGTTGTTGGTACGTTCTTCTCTCGATTTGGCTGCCAGTGGACATGACAGAGGTACTCATGACAACCAACAGGCGCCCTCATCGGCCGGCGTATTACCCCTACCGAGCTTCCTCAGACGGTTGCTGCCTTGCATTCCGTTGTCGGTCTGGCCGCGGTGCTCACCAGCATAGGCAGTGTCCTTGCTGATGTCTCGGAAATTTCGACTTTACACATGGTGACGGCGTACCTGGGCGTTCTCATTGGTATGTTGCCAACGGGGATGGTCGACTTCCCCAGGTCACCACTTCGTCTCGAAATTGACGCTGATGAACTTCAGGTGGCGTAACATTCACGGGGTCTCTTGTTGCTTTCCTGAAACTCGCGGGACGAATGTCGTCTCGGCCGACCATCCTTCCTGGCCGCCATCTCATTAATTCTAGCCTGTTGGCCGCCAACGCCGGCACAATGGGTGCGTTCTTGACCATGGCGCCTGGTGCGCCTGCCGTGGCTGCAGTGTGCCTGTCTGCAAACACTGCTCTCAGTTTCGCTAAGGGATTTACGACGACGGCCGCCATAGGCGGAGCGGATATGCGTGCGTTCTTGCCAGTCCCTCATTCTAGCTGGACCTCTACTGACCGCTCGTGATAGCTGTGGTAATTACGGTGTTGAATGCCTATTCAGGCTTCGCTCTCGTCGCGGAGGGCTTCATGCTTGACAACCCCTTACTGCTGACCGTAGGCTCGTTGATCGGTGTCAGCGGTTCCATCCTGTCGTACATTATGGTAAAGAACCAGCCGTCCCAGAAGATTCTTGTGTTTGAGCCTATTGGAAATCATTTGCTAACACTTTCCAAACCAGTGCGTCGCGATGAATCGTTCCCTCACCAACGTCCTCTTCGGTGGCATAGCCCCGATCGCCCAAACGTCGCAGGAAATCAAAGGGCAGATCACCAAGACCAGCGTGGAAGAAACCGTCGAGGCGCTCGCCAATGCTGAGTCGGTCATTATTGTGGTCGGCTACGGCATGGCCGTGGCGAAGGCCCAGTACGCCATCGCCGAGATCGTGTCTCTGTTGCGCTCCAAGGGTGTCAACGTGCGCTTCGCCATTCACCCCGTCGCCGGACGCATGCCGGGACAGTGCAACGTGTTGCTGGCCGAAGCCAGCGTGCCGTATGATATTGTCTTGGAAATGGACGAGATCAATGACGATTTCCCCGAGACGGACCTCACGTTGGTCATTGGCGCGAACGACACGGTGAATCCGATCGCCCTGGAACCTGGGAGCCCGATCGCCGGAATGCCCGTGTTGCATGCGTGGAAGAGTAAGGGCGTGGTGGTGATGAAGCGAGGCATGAGCAGTGGATATGGTGAGTATAGAACCACTCATTTCCCCCTCTTTATCCCCTCCACCATTCCCCCATTCCACCTCTACGAGTAAGGAACCCCTTCGCTGATGATGATCTCACCCACCAGCCGACGTCCCGAACCCGATGTTCTACATGCCCGGCACGAGGATGCTGTTCGGCGACGCGAAGCAGACGTGCGACGCGCTCAAGGCGGCGCTGGAGACGCGGTACAAGGCGCAATTCCACGTCTAAAAAGCAAACCGCGTTAGAGGCCTCAATTGCAATGCCATGCGCGCGCCGGCTTGCATCCGTGGTGAGTCAGACGGCGGTGGTATGGTATGGTACGGTATGGTTTGAGATGGCACTGGATGGTAAGAAAAAGACGTGTGCGTGCGGGAGTTGCAGCGAGCGTGGCGAGAGTTGTGGCCGTGGTACATGATGCACGAGGCGCCCGCCTTGGCCTTCATCACCCACCCGGGTGGAAGTTTTCTTTATTATAATATTAGATTGCCAGACAAATCACAAAAGAAACCCCAAAAAACACACAGAAACACACAGCGAGGGAGGCAAAACAGGTCATTTGCAAGGTCATGCATTCATCGAAAGAGCGACGAACGACGAATAGCCGGTGCCGGTGCCTGTGCCCCGGTGGCGGAAAATCAGCAGGGATCGGATCGGGTATGGTTCTTTCTGGTCCAATGATGCGACCGATGCACGTGGAAGACCGATGATAGTCCAGTCCAACAGACAGACAGACCAACGACCCGCCCGGTCACTTACTTACTCACTCCCTAATCGCCGTCGTGGATGCTGGGGAGCTTTCCTTTCTTTTTTTGGCCAGAAAGCCAAGTCAAGCTGCTGAGTTGGGGAGTGGGCCTTGGTCCGTTCGTTCTTTCGTTTGTTTGTCGAGGGCGGGAGAGAGGGAGAGAAAAGGGCAGAGGAGAAGAAGAAGTATGAAAATATGAAATTGAGTCGAGCTGAAGGCGTGTATGTATACATGCATGGTTTCGTCGGAGGGATGAATGAAGTCGGGATTTGGAGCAATAGGATAATGAAGAATAAATAGACAATGGCATTGATTGAATTGAGACATTGTGTTTTAGGTGGTAAGGGGGCCCGGGCTGCGAAGATCTGACAGACTTGGTCTGTCTATCTATCAATATATCGATCTATAACTATATGTTGTAAATGCCGGGTAATAGCACAGGAGTAGTAGCTGGCTCCGATAATACAGAATCACATGACTGACCGACTGACTGACAGACTGAATGACGGAATGCATTACACCAACAAAAAAAAATATGTGAGCCATCATGCCAGCCAGAATGATGGGGAGTGTTGGGAGAAGGATTAATCATGTTATCGAAAGGGAAAGAGAAAGCTGCCGGATTCGATGATCCCCCCACCCCCCCCAAAAAAGAATCCGCCGGCCCATCAACACACACACACACATCTACCGACCCATCCACCCCCTGCTCACTCACTCACTCACTCACTCACTCACTCACTCATCACGGGCGCAGGTCGACAGTCAAGCCGTCTAGACAGCGGCCCATGTCGGGCTGCACAAACGCGATGGACTGCATGACGCGGCCGTCCCGGAGCAGGGTCGTCACCATGCCGCCATGGACGAAGCCGATCTTCTGCGCGACGCGGTGGCTGGCGGCGTTGGTGTCGAACACGGCGGCCCAGATGTTGGGCACGCCCATGTCGTCGGTCCACCAGCGCAGCGCGGCCCGGGCGGCCTCGGTCGCGAAGCCGCGGCCCATGTAGGGCTCGAGCACGGCGTAGCCCATGTCCGGGTAGGGGAGCGGGTGGCGGTGGAACAAGGACACAGTCCCGACCAGCGTGTCGGTACCGCGTAGGTAGATCAAATGCCACGGGTGCGAGGGGAGGGGTTTCGTAGAGGAGTCGGCGTCGTCTTCGTCGCCGTCGTTGTCGGAGGTCCGGGGCCGCAGGTGGAACTTTTGGCTGCGGAGGTCGAGGTCCTCGCGCGTGTGCACACCCGGGTCACCCACCGTGCGCAGGATGAAATCGCTTTCGTAGATGGTCAGGATGGCCTTGTAGTCGGAGGGCCGTGACGGGTCAAACATCCGGAGCTCGAGTCTTTCCGTGTAGAGTATCGGGAAGGTCGGCGACGCTGGTGATGAAGACATATTTTGTGGTGTGAAAAGGGAACTCGTCAATCAGGTATGCACTCTGCGGACTCTCCCATTGTCTCGCCATTTTCTTCTTATGTCCTTATCAATGTCGTGGGCAAGAAAAGGGCTCGCCCATCACCATCGACTGAAACGACCTCGTGCATCCCTTGTACGAAGTCGTTCTTCAACCGCCGCGCCTGATTCGAATCAAACCGAATAGAGATTACCCACCCGTGAGCACTATGCAAAGGAAAGGAGCTCTGGTTACATTCGGCTTCAGCAACGTCATACCTGTTTTGGCATCATATTGGTCCTTTCGCCTCTTGCTCTCGTCCTGAAAGTTGAATGGGGATCTCCTTCCTCCAGTGTGGCACCCAGATCAGGGCAATCACCATCAGGAGCAGTCATACTCCCACGGGGGGGATTGATTTGGAAATCTGACAAAGTAAGTGCCGGAAGAGGGAATTTCATTCCCAGTCGAGCCTATAAGGAAGGTGGTCCAGCGCTGTTGACGACGAAATCGTGGGAGGGTTGCATTGGACTGGAGCGACGAGGTCGAAGGTGGAAAGGCGTTACCGGCCATATGATCGCCCGGAAATACTTTCCAGTCACGTGAACAAGCCGCCAAGAGATCCCGTGCCCCCACCCACAGTCCTTTTTATCTTTTTAATCTTTCGCCGGCACAACCAAGGTTTGTGCTTATCATGCTGCTGATGCTGCTGTTGCTATTGATGTTGTTTGTCTTCTTGCTCTCGCGTCATCCCGGAACAGAGGGGCGAAAAATTGTTGAGTGGGTGGGAACGCGATGGCGCAATCGAAACGACGGACCCGGAAGCCCATGCATCAGCAGCGTCCACCGGCCGTAAAGCCCAGATTGCTACTGCTGCTGCCACATGCTGCCGTTGGCTGGGCAAGAACAGGTTGCTGTAGGTAGTGCGTCACGAAAGGTAGACGTCGACGACGAGAGTCCTCCTCCCGTTCTTGTCCTCTTTCGCTTCCTCGGCGGGCTGGATCGAGACCTCTCGCCCTTGTTCATACTTGTTCAAGGTGCCCGCCACGTATCTCTTTGCCCAGCGGTGCATCTGGCAGAGAAACCAGTCGTCTTGGTTGTCATTGCCCCAGCCGACGAACAGGTTGACCCGCACATGCTTGACCCATTTCCAGTCACTTTGGTCCAGGGACTTGAAGAAGTTGTCGAGGCAGAGATTGTTGCAGAGCACAAAGAGTCGCTTGCTCTCTGCGTGCTTTGCCATCGGCTGGACCTCTTCGAAGACTTGTCGGCTGACGCGAAGGATGCGGTTGTCACAGTGCTGGTAGGTGGAGGCGTTGTGGCAGCAGGCGCCCGCACGGTGGGCTTGACATTGTTCGTCCCTCATGGCGCATTGGCAGGGGTAGATGATCGTCGGTTGAACCAGGTAAGACCATATTTGCGTACGAATCTCCGGTGGCAGAGTAAAAAGTGACAATTCCGCCATTGTGAGTGGAGGAGCCTGGGGACACACACATCAAACAAAAATCAATCAAGCAGCAAAGGGGAGGAGCTGACTTGTTTGAAAACTGCGACGGAAGAAGCGAGTTTTGGACTGTATCAGAGGGTGATTTTGGAGAGGAAGTGGCAGGGTTTTAAAAGCTGATATGTAGGAACAGCGGTGAGGTGCCCCCAGAGTTCTGGAAATTGTCAGGTCGTAAGGGCGAGAGCGAGAGAAGCTGAACCGCAGCACAGCCAGCGTCCACTCGCACGAGCGCCGCAGTTAGTGGTTTTTAACGGATACGGTGGTCGTGGGACAATGATAGGGTAGTGATAGTAGGACAAGGCTCCAAGCCCGGGCTGAGGGCTGGAACAAACAACACATTCCAAGAATTATTGGTATGGATGCGTCATGCATGGCGTAAGAAGAGTCAAGTCAAGGGAGTCCAGGGGGTGAACCAGGCCCCTGGTCCACCACAACCACCACCACCACATGCAATCGCACCGTCCTGACTACGATTCTAGTTCTAGTTCTAGCGTGACGAGAAGAAGTCTCGGATATCTTGACCGCTCTCAGAGGGCCACAGCAGTACGAGGTATTAGTCAAGCCATGGGTGTGTCGGCCGGGTCGGATTTCTGATAAGAAACAAGGAGGCTGAACGTCAGGCTCGGAAAGAACAGGACGGTGCCCAACCCATCCACACACGCATCTCAAAACGGTTGCCGAATCCGGCTGATCCGTTCCGGGTACCAAAGGGGGGAGGGGGCCACCAGACAACTAATACTGGACACCTTCCGAGGTGTGGTGGGTGAATGGTCGTTCGGTAATGATGATGACAATGATCCTCGTCCTACTTCCTGGAAGGACTGAAACCGAACAAACAAACAAAAGAGAAAGGGAAGAGAGAGAGAGAGTGGCAATGGATCAGATCCTCTTCCCTCCGGTGGTGCTCTCCTGGCTTACTTTCCGGCTTATCCCAAGGAACAAAACAAAGAAACCCTTTTTATTTTTGACACGCCTGTTACCTGTCTGTCGCACCGTGCGTATGCAAAGAGGCTGCTGCAAAGCAGCAAAGCAACACAACCGGGCAATTTTCCCACCAAAAAATAAATGCACATCATCATCATCATCCTCCTCCTCCCCCACTCCGCTTGATCCCCCGTGGAGAGCATGTGGGCCATCTGAGATCGCGCCCTTCTACATTTTGTCGCTGATACATCTTTTGTCTTCTGGTACTCATGTCGTTGGCGAGTTATGTAAAAACCCTCAACCTACTGGTAAAAATGCAATGCGCTTGGAAGCTTGCTGACAGCCTCTCTCAACTCAGCGGGTGTATCACACGCCGCAAAGACAAAGCGATCGGGCCGGAGAATCACATACTTTCGGCCCTGGACTTCTTTGTAAAGCCGCAGCTCGTCATAGCCGATAGGGGGAGGACGGTTCTTGCAGAGAAGCGGGTCTGCTGCGAATTCGTCGCCCGCTGCAATTCGGGCCACCACCTGTTGGAAGGGCATGTCGACGCCCGAAATCGAGGCCTCCGTGGACTGAATGAGGATGGTAGCTTCCTCGCCCAGGATGAGGATGAGGTTGCCTGACCGTTGGCTGATGGCCTCGATATCTCTTGTCAGAGACCGGATCTGGCCGGCTGTGTCGGGCAAGACAAGCAGCTGGAACAGGCCCTTTTTATCAGGAGAAAAGACGAGGTCGTCCGTGAACTCGATCCTGTTCCTCGCGAAGTTGAAAGCATAGATCTGCGGGAGAAGCAGGCCGCCTCCCATCTCTCCCACGAATGCCAGCCCGGGGCTATAGCGATATTGGGTCATCCCCAGTGCTCGGGCGCCTTTTTGGAGCTCTTTCCTCCAGCTGGGGACCAGTTGGACCGCCCACATGTACCATTCGCGGATGAAGACCTTGATGGGGTCGGATTCCGTCACGTACGCCCCGTTCTGGATGGTGGCGGCGAGGGACCGTTCGAGCTGTTGCTTGCGTTCGGAATACCATGCCGTCAACAAAGCTTCGTGATCCGTGGCCGGTCGCCGATGGAGCAACGCCAGTCTCCAGGCCAACGCGGAAGCATCCCGGAATCCAGAAGCAATACCTTGCCCGCCTATTGACTCGTCAGTGGGATCACTCTCACATGAGAATCTGCAAGAGCGATGGTTCTTACCAAAAGGAGGGAAGACATGAGCCGCATCGCCAGCCAAGATGACCCTTCCCAAGGCCCACTTGTTACAGCTCCGCGCCACGAAAGAAAACGGCCGAGATCTCAAGGTCTTGATGCAGTCCTCGGGAAATCGCACGGAATTTGGGAGTCCGTACCAGCTGCCGGGATGGGTGAGGTAAGGATAGATGATCTTGCTGGTTTCCTCGGGCGAGGCCATCTGGTGGCCGTCTTCGCCTTCCAGCACCACGAATTCGAACCGCCACAGCCGATCCGATTGCAGCCCGAACCTCCCGCACACCGACGGCCGCCTCGGATTGCAGAGGAATCGAAACTGTCTAGGGAAGAACCGGTCGTAGACTTGTTCGGGTGTGTACCCGAGCCTCCAGAGGGGGAAGTCGGGGTGAGTCTTCTCCGTGGGTAAAGAAATTTGCCAGTTCAATGCCACCCAGGTTTCCTCGTAGTCCGACCTGCATTCCTCCGATCAGCACGAATGAACCGCCCAGGAACGGGGGGGGGGAAAGACCTCACTCTTTGCATCGTTCCATGATGACGCCTTTCGGCTCGAGGTAGCACTTCCTGACGTAGCCCGTCTTCCCGTCTGCTCCCACCAAGAACGGTGCCGTCAATTTTCGAGTCTCTCCCTGCGCGTTCTTGTATTCAACGGTTACTCTCTCGCAATCCTCTGATACCCCGACCACCGTAGACTCGGGCCGGATTTCCGAGAAAGGGATTCGGTGGATCTGGTCTCGAATCGCCCGTTCCATTGCTGGCTGCTTGTGACATATAAACCCGACATGGCCCGTACCACCTTCCGTCGTCGTGTAGTCCATCGTGAGGAGGGGCTTTTTGTATAGATTCGGCTCGCTGCCAGTGACGAAGTTGAATATCTCCATACCTTTTTTCCCCAACCGGTGGGATTAGCCCAGGAACGTATTCCAACAGGAGAGCGGGAGGAATCACTTACACGTCCCAATTTCTGTGTATATCTTGTCGTAGATTCCAATCGATTGCAGTATACGGATTCCATCTTCGTCCAGGGCGATGCCCCGAGGGTCGGTGGTGATGTCCTTCTCCCTTTCCAGGACGATGTTGGGCACTTTCATCGCCCCGAGCAGGGCCGACAACACCGTGCCCGTCGGGCCACCGCCACATATGATGACTCCAGTCTCTTCAACATCAGGTACTCCTTGAGTCATGACGTTAAAATAGACAGTGGATGAGAATCCCTGAGCCCACGACCAAAGTGGTCCCTGTTGTGTTGGTCTATCAATCGATGACGGGACAAGAAGCTGAAGCACTGGTCGAACTGTTGTTGTTAGATGAAGTCACCCGTCCCAATTATATTGAAAAACTTCCAGCACGCGGATCCCCGGTGCTTTTTGTCGGCAAACGTTCAAAGGCTGAAGGTCCGAGGAATTTGCTCCAGGAACTGAAAAGGGCGCTATTGTGGGACGTTATCCGTGGGGTCGTTCGCGAGGCTCCTCTGCTGGGTGTTGCTGCTTCCGGGGATCAACCCTCATCAATCTGACAGAGATCCATGCTGCTAAGCAAGCATCCACCGAGGGAGATCATCCTATGGCGGTAATGTGTGCAACTCAGCTGCCTCTGCCGCGGCAAACTCCTCCCTGGGCGTGGAAACGTCCCACATTTTGCAGATAAAATCCCCACAATCTACCACCAGAAGAGGTGGCGGGAGAAAGGTACTCGAACGGCATTCATGGCGCCGATAAGTTTTCGAGAGATTGCTGGCCAGGTACCCTCGAGCTCTGTATACCCAGGGAACCTGATGGTAGGAACGCTTCAACACTCCCAGCCACTGAAATGGGAATGAAGCTTTCCGGAGCAATAATAGGATTCGGTTCAACACCAGAGCGTCGAGATCTTTCCAGGGATGACATCGTGCTTTTGTTCTGTGTATGCATGGTCACGCAAATAGACAAGTGATAAGCAAGATGTTCGAACAATGGTAGGTGAATGGCACCTACAGTAGGTCCGCAAAAGTCACCGGACACTAGCCCCTTGGCACCCACCACCACAGATAGATGTATACAATTCAATCAATTATTTCTCAACCACCAATGCTTCATTTGTTATTTTATTTGTTTGAGAGATGTCTGCTAGAAAAGAGCATTCTGAATATCAGCGTGGCCTTGTTCATGGACTGCATTTATGGGGTGCATCTATCCGCGAAATCGCAACCACCACTGGGATTCCAAAATCAACAATTCATGACATCGTACAAAATCCACAACCAGACAAGAACGCTCGCACTGGACGACCTAAAAAGCTATCTAAGCGTTCAGAGAGACTCATTCTACGTACTATCAAACACTTACCTAAAATCTCCTATCCAGAGTTGAGAAAAAGGCTGCAACTTGAAGTGTCCGATGACACAATTTCTCGCCTACTAAAAGAGCACAATATCAAGAAATGGCTTGCGAAAAAGCGTCCTAGACTTACGGACGAACATGCTAAACAACGCCTTCAATAGGCAATGACCCACAAGGACTGGACGTGGGAGAATTAGCTCAAAGTCATCTGGAGCGATAAATGCTCTATTCAACGCGGCAGTGGAAACCAGCGAGAATGGGTCTTCCGCACACCTAATCAGAAATGGGATAGAGACAAAATAAGCACCAAGGGCATATCTAAAGATGTGTCTATCATGATTTGGGCTGCAATCTTCGGTAGCGAATCTTCTGATACATACATCTTGTCGCGCGATTAGGAGTCAGCAAAGATGGGCTATTCAGCCAATTCCTATCTCAAAGTCCTTGCCGATAACATCCCGTCAATCTAGGAGCCTGGCCGGATCTTCATGCAAGATAATGCACCTATTCATAAAGCCAAAAAGGTCACGGAGTGGCTTGATATCAATGGAATAACTGTGATGGAATGGCCACCATTTTCGCCGGATTTGAACCCTATCGAAAACCTATGGTTTGAGCTCAAATGCCTGGTTAACGCGATCGATCCAGAGCTTCAGTACACAACAGGAGACTCGCAAGAGACTCTCGATCGATTTGCAAGTGCTATTTCAAGGGCATGGGCGAGTATCGATAGGAAGAAGATCAAGAATGCTGTCAAGTCGATGGATGAGAGAGTCAACGCTGTCATTGAAGCTAAGGGCTGGTATACGCGATTTTGATCTGGACGATGCGATATTCTGAGAGTGCTTATACTGAGCTATCGATTCATACTAATTGTATTATTCTACCATAGCAGATACATAGAAAAAACTTATGAAAGGTATGGGGGTGTAGTGGTCGGGGAGCGTGCCAAGCGGCTAGTGTCCGGTGACTTTTGCGGACCTACTGTATCTATCAGGCTGTCTGGTTCAAGGGGCCCCCGGAACCGGCCCCCCTTGCGCCGTTCCGGGGGCCCACTAGCCGCGGCTTCTCCTCTATTACATATGTGCGGGGCCGGTGAGGCTGCGCCAAGCCGCCAACGTCCCCCAGATTTCCCGTCACATCTCGTTTCTTCCTCCCCCACAAATCAATGGGCATTTCTTCTACCCTCTATCACGTTATGAGTAGACAGTCTGAGGTTGAGTTTCCTTGCCACCTTGATATGGCGGTCCTGTCGTTTGCCAATTTCTTCCCTCTCGGCAATGCCTGACCCCGTCACCGCACCAGTCCCAAAACATGGTCCGCGGGGCCGCCGGGGCGCCAAAATCAGAGAGTGTCCGACCTGTGGGCGTACCTTTGCCAAAACTGACCACCTGGAGCGGCACATCCGATCTCACACCAAAGAGAAACCTTTTGTCTGTGTCAGGTGTGGTAGGAAGTATGGTCGGCAGTAAGTGGTGCCTGCGGTTCAAGCGGAATGGCTTTTGTGCTTACATCTTCTTCCTTAGCGATACATTACTCCGGCATCAGAAGGACCACTCGGCGGAAGATATCACTCTAGGTGTCGCAGAAGACAAGCACCCAGCCAGTAATCTATTTGGACCAGAGAGTGACCAGAGATCGTTTTCCGCCAACCCAATACCGCTGGACGACACGCCAATCTTGCCAGAACAGCCCGACCCGATACTGATTCCCAATATTAACTCGTCTCTGAGCGTGTCGGACCCCGATTACCTCAAGGATGGGAAAGATTATCAAGGGAGCCAAATGGCCAGCAACACATCCACCGACGTGTACTCGAATCCGGTCCCCTCGGACCAGTCGGGGAGCGGATTTGACACGGCGATCGACGTCTTCAACTTCGATTTCGAGGCCCAGTTCCCTTCCTGGCTGGTGGACAGCGACTTGCACGGGGGGATCCTGGACACTCCCCTTGTCGCGACCATGGCGGAATTGCGTCCTGCTTGGCCAGAAAGCCCCTACGCCACGTTTGGTTCGAGCAGCTACAAACCCGTCTCCAACACGAAGAGGCTCTGGTTCCTAGCCAACGATGATGCCCTGGATGAAGTGACACGCTCAGGCCCTGCAACGCCTCCCGGATCCCGGGACGAAGTCGACGACACGTATCGCCAGACCTTGACGCAAAGTCTCCAAATTCGCCAGATCCACGAACAGACACTGCCGTCGGCGGACTTTCTGAATCTGTGCGTCAGGTCGTATTTTGCACGGTTTCATCCAGTGTTCCCGGTGGTGCATGCGCCCACATTCCGTCCTTCCAAGGCAAATTCCATGGTGCTGTTGTCAATATGCTCCGTTGGCAGCCTTTTCACAGGCAGCGTGCATGCCATTCGGCAGGGGGTACATATATTCGAGAGACTGCACAAGGCTGTCCTTGCAAATTGGGACCGACTCGTTGCCCAAGGCGTAGATCAACGAATCTCTCTCATCCAAACAGCCATCATTGGACAGACCTTTGGTTTACTTTCTGGAGAGCCGAGACATCTTGCCATTGTCGACGCCTTCAATGGAACCTTGATTTCGTGGGCGCGACGTTGGTCGACCTTCAGAACGAAGAAGATGATAGGACTCGACCTCAATGTCGACTCCCTAGAACTCGACAAGATTTGGAGGGAATGGGCTAAGAATGAAGAACTGATCCGGATTGCGCTCAGTGTGCACATACACGACGCGGAACTTGCCGCCATGTTCCATCACGAACCGTTTCTCCGCCACAATTCCAGACAGCTGCCGGTCGCGGCATCAAATCAAACGTTTATGGCTACTCGACCGGAAGACTGGCGCCAGTCGTATCTCAATGACCCCAGCAATTTCGAAACCCTCAATTCCACCCCAGCGTCGATCGATGCGCACCTGGATTTCGACCTGGCTGCCATCCCCGGCAACAGCTACTTCACAGCGTATACGGTCCTGGAGGGCATATGTGCAAACATTGTTGAAAGCCGAATCAATGCTCGTTCCACGCCATCGAGGACAGAAGACTTCTTGAACATCTTGGCGTCCTTTTATCGAAACTTCTTGCAAGAATCGGCTGCCTGGGAAGCGGATCACATGGACATGAGCATCCTCTGGCATCTGGCCTTCATGATCATGTTCGCCGATTTTGATCTCCTGGAGAGAGCGATTGGTCGAAATGGACCTGACCTCTCACCTGAGGACCAACTTGCCGTGACGGCTTGGGCGAACTCCGACCAGGCCAAAAGATGCGTGATTCACGGGCTGATTGTGCAGAAGAAATTGGAAAGTCTCCCACTAGGCTTTGAGCCGGCAATCCACGTGCCCAGGGCCATGTTCAGAGCGGGAGTCGCCTGGTTTTGCTACACTCGGTTTGGTTCTCAAGCCGCTGGTCAGCGATCAGCCGGCGCCGCCGAGGCCCTGGAGTTTCCAGAATTCAAAACCATCGGCGTCAATCCTGCAAAGTTGCTTTTCCAAGCGAGCGGATACAAGCACGGAAAGCCTACTACGACCGAGACTAATGCAGCCCTGAGCGGACTGACCGATCTCTTGAGGCGGATTGGGCATTGGGAAATTGCGAGACGGTTTGCCGCCATTCTGGGTGCTCTCTTACACAATGAAGCCGACTAAAGACCGATCTTTCTGGCCCGTTGGAAGGGTTTTGCTCCCCAGTAATCTATTCTCATTGTTCCTCGAGCCTTGCCTTCGCAGTGTCTGTGGTCACTCCGTCGACCGGCAGAGTATGGTCTTGCCACAGGCAGTCACCGCATGAACCTGGCCAGACCGTGCCACCGAGATGATCTCCTAATCCGACAATTTGACATCTCTCTGTCCTGACATGATGGCCACAATTCGGTTGCAGATCCATAAGATTTGAGCTGACATGCCCGTGGTTCTACGAAGTGAAGGTGGATTTTTGCAGGCTTAGCCGCCACCACGTTACAATTATTAGGACAAGATCAAACGGGAAACAGCCGAACGAGGGCGAAAAAGGAAGAGAACAGTGACAAAGGACGAAAGACCGCCGCCTCAAAATGTAAGGTCCTCGATTACTATGGCGAATGCGGGAGGATCCAGCTGTCCAGAGTGCAACCTCTCGTGGGGTTTTCTGCTCGGCCTCCAACATCCAATGGCTCCCATTATTCATCAGCCACCACGTTCACGACCCAGTCACCGAGGGTTATTGTGGAGGCAAGGCTGTATCTCGCTTTCTTTACATGCCGGAAATCGAGATGGACCTACTGCATCGGGTTTAGTGGAATCCCGGTACCCTTAAGGTCCTCACTTTTTGCTCGGGCCATCCTGGACGTATGGTGAAGTACCCGAACTTCAGGGCAAGGGCAAGCCTTACGGTCGGCAATCCTCTTCCATGGCGGACATGTTAAAAGGGCCGGGTACGCGCTTCCCTGCATGATCTTGAGTCTCTTGGCCAATTCTTGTTCCGATACTCCTGCATCCCAGTACCATGGCTTCTTCCAATTCATCCTCCGACTTTGGTGGAAACACCTTCAACCCAGAGAACGTCAATCTGACCTCTGCTGACCCTCGAGATGTCATCTGCGCCCTCGCAGAGTCGGGGAATGACTACAATGGCCAACTTGGAGCCAGGATCTCGGCGCTGTTCGTCATCCTCATCGTCTCGTCCGCCGCGACGTTCTTCCCCGTCATCGCAAAGAGGATGCCACGGCTGCATATCCCGCTCTATGTCTACCTGTTTGCACGGTACTTCGGCGCCGGAGTTATCGTCGCCACGGCCTTCATCCATCTCCTTGACCCGGCATATGGCGAGATTGGCCCCCAAACTTGTGTGGGCATGACAGGCGGCTGGGCGGATTATTCGTAAGTGTCTTTGTTGAGATATTATACCATCATCACCACGCGAAACTGACCATGTGGATGCTGGTAGGTGGTGCCCGGCCATTGTCCTCACGTCGGTGATCTTCATCTTCCTCTTCGACTTCGGCGCCGAACGGTACGTGGAGGTCAAGTACGGTATCGACAGTGAAGCCGACCTGCAAGAAGCGGTGACGGGGTACACGGACCGCGTGCCCACCGAGGCACAACGGGATCGCGCCACGAGCATCGCGTCGATCCGGCGCGAACACGACGAGCGGCGGAAGTCGTCGGCGTACGAGAAGCGATTCGCCGAGGACTTCGGGGGGGAAGAGGACGACGACGAGCTGCGCAAGAACTCGTTCCGGCAGCAGATTGCAGCGTTCCTGATCCTGGAATTCGGCGTCATCTTCCACTCGGTGGTCATCGGGCTCAACCTGGGCGTCGTGGGTGACGAGTTCAGCACGCTGTACCCGGTGCTGGTCTTCCACCAGTCCTTCGAGGGGCTGGGGATCGGCGCGCGAATGTCTGCCATCCCCTTCAAGTCGGACAGCTGGCTGCCGTGGGCGCTCTGCGCGGCCTACGGGCTGACCACGCCCATCGCCATCGCCATCGGTCTCGGCGTGCGCACCACGTACAACCCCAACTCGTTCACGGCCAACGTGGTCAGCGGCGTGCTGGACTCCATGTCGGCCGGCATCTTGATCTACACGGGGCTGGTCGAGTTGCTGGCCCGGGACTTCCTGTTCAACCCGCTGCGGACGAAAGACAACAAGAGACTGACGTTCATGGTCGTGTGCGTGTTGCTGGGTACCGGTCTGATGGCCTTGCTTGGAAAATGGGCTTGATTGGTTTGCTTTTTGGATTGTCGACGATAAGACCGCGCAGGGGGTTTGTTGGCAGAGTCCCTTGCTAGCCATTTACCCCCTTTTCTTTTCCCCCCAAGGTCCTCCCGCCAGAATGTTTCATATCGTCCATGTACTATAGTTGCCCGAGACCTCCAGCACATCGGTGCAGACAAAGAGAAAAGAGACACGTGAATCACAGACCGCGTTCAAGCCATTATGAATTCTGTTTGAGACAAGCTCCGTGTACCTGAGTAACGTGTTTCCCATGTACAGGAGAATGTCCCTACTGAGTTGCGCCAGAAGGGGGGCCTCGACGAGGCTTAACGAAGCTTTGAGTACTTGCGGGCCTGGATATTGGAGTGTCACGCGACCCGGGCCCGAAGCATTTTCTTTCCCTTGTCTGCTGTAATTTAGAGGCGCCTAAAGTGCTAGCCAACACTAGCCTGCTTCACTCCCTCCCTGGTAACAATACAGTACCTCGGCTGCGGGGGGAGGGCGTCCCTGAGATTACACATCGTGTCCAACAGATGTCGAACGGTCGTCTTATGGGTGGTTGTTGGTGTTTTTGGCTGGTGGATTGAACCCGAGGGCCTCCACACAGACGATGGTGCCGTCGACGCCTATAACGGCTTCAACAGGACGAGGGAATGTCACGGATACGAATAGGCTCGGAGCTCCAGGAGAGGCCAAGAGCGGGTCTCGGGCCAGCTACCTACCCCAGGACTCAGTTGTACTAATATATATATATATATATAGTAGATAGATAGACACCTCCTCCTTAGGGAACTATCTCAGGACGCTCTCCGACTCGTGGCATGTATCTCCCCAATCCGAGTTTCGCAGCGGAGTCCATGGACGAAGATGCCACGATGTAATAATAGCACGGCCCTCACTATCACCCACCATACGAAACCCATTTGTGGCTCGAAGCTTGGCTTCGTTTTATCAACGTCCAAGCGGCCGCGGTGCCCAATTGGCTCGTTGGCAATCTGGCATTTTGCTTTCGTATCTATAAAACGGCCTTCCAGCACACAGTACTCGGTACAAGATATCGGGCGGACCCCAGCAGCCTGGCTGGACGCAAACTTTACTGGTTTAGGGAGGTGGATAGGCGGCTGTGGACTGATAAGTCGATGCGGTTAGGTACTACCCCCCATGCACCAGGTATTCCTTGGTGTCGGTGGAGTGGCTCTTATCAACCTAGGGACATGGCCGGCATCTGATCCTTTGGTCTAGAATCGTGTCGTTGGTGGTTTTGTGCCCGGCCTGTGGGGACAGATATATAATGGCCATGTGGGATGAGCGATCGAACAATGCCCCTCTGCTGCTGGAGAAGTGGGATTTTTCTCTTCATTCTCGTCCCGGATCCTCCACCGCCTCCTTCGGGTTGTTCTTGAGCTGTGTTGTTGTTGTTTGTTGCTGCTGCTGTTGCTGTTGACCTCAGAGGTCGCCAACGAGAAAAAAGTGGTGAAGGACAAAAAGAACAAGACACTGGTCGCCAACATGGCTGCTACCTACGAGAAGACCCCGGCAGAGATCCACAGCGATGCCATCGGCACTCCTCACTCGGATGCCTCTCTACCCAGTGACAAAGAGGCGACGCTGGAGGCGCGCGAGATCTTCAAGGACGGCCACGAGGGCGTCAAGTTCCGCACCGTCAGCTGGCAACGTGCCACCATCATCTTCCTCAAGATCCAGTTCGCCATGAGCATCCTCGCCGTGCCGGGGGCATTGGCCACCTTGGGAGCCGTGGGGGGCGCCCTGTCCATCGTGGGCTGGGAGATCCTGAATACCTGTGAGTATTCCCCTCCCAGGCTATGTGTGTGACTGAAGGATGGGCTATCAGAAAACTAACCCCAGCGTGCAATAGACACGGCCGTCATCCTGGGCGACTTTCGCAACCGTCACCCTGAATGCCACAGTAAGTCCTTTCCACCCGGTGGCCAGTGAGGAACCATTCCCTCCTCTGACTCTCAACCCGCAGCACTCGCGGACATGTGTGGGCTCCTCTGGGGCCGCGTGGGCAAAGAGCTCGTCGGACTGCAAATCCTGGTTGCACAGGTACTCATCACGGCGGCGGGGATCGTGTCGTGCTCAACGGCCTTCAACGCCCTCTCCGAACATGGCGCCTGCACGGTGGTCTTCAGCTTCGTGTCGGCCGTGCTGATCACGGGCTTCTCGTCGGTGCGCACGTTCTCGCGGCTTGGGTGGTTGACGTGGCTGGGTTTCACGACCTTCTTCATCGCGGTGTTCATCTTCGTCGTCGCCGTGACGCAGCAGGACCGGCCGGCTGCGGCCCCACAGACGGGCGCCTTCGACCTGGGGTGGACGGCGGTGGCTCACCCGACGTTCGTGGCGGGCATCACGGCCAGCGCCAACATCTTCATCAGCGGCAGCGGCTCGCAGATGTACCTGCCCGTCATCTCCGAGATGCGCCGGCCCCGCGACTACCGCAAGGCCGCCATCGTGGCCGGCATCCTTGTCGGCGCCATGTACCTGACCTTCTCGCTGGTCATCTACCGGTGGTGCGGGCAGTGGCTGGCGACGCCGGCCTTCGGCAGCGCGGGGACGCTGTTCAAGAAGATCTCGTACGGCATCGCGCTGCCGGGCCTGGTCGTCGGCGTCGGCATCTACCAGCACGTCGCGGCCAAGCTGATCTTCGTGCGCGTGCTGCGCGATTCGCGCCATCTGCAGGCCAACACCGTCGCTCACTGGGCCACCTGGCTGGGCAGCAATCTGCTCCTCGGCGTGCTGGGTTTCATCATCGCCGAGGCCGTGCCCATCCTGAACTACCTGCTGGGTCTGGCCGGGTCGCTGTGCTTCGCACCCTTCAGCTTGATCTTCCCCGCCATGCTGTGGATGTACGACTACAAGACGTACGCGCGGGGCAGTGCCTCGCAGAAGGCCATCTACTGGTCACATATTCTGATTGTGCTGGTCGGACTCTTCATGGTGGTTGGTGGAACGTAAGTGACCAACTGGGTTTCCTGCTGAACCTTTTCCCAAGAAGCCCAATGCTGTGTCTGCTTCTCTTGGTTTTACTTTCAAAGTATTAGGGATCATTTACTAATAGCGGTGTGCTGTAATGCAGATACGGCGTTGCGGTATCTATCAAACAGGCCTTCGATGACGGACTAATCTCCAAAGTCTTCGACTGCGCCGACAACTCCGGGACCATCTCTTGAGGCTCAGCTCATTACGCCACTGTATCGCACCACATACACAATAGACAGGAGGAAGACCTGGTCACGAACAAGTTCACAGCTATCGGACGAAGAGAGTAGACAATTGACGGTTTTCCATATCTAGCCGACTTTGAAGGGACTACGAGAAGCGAAGCTCGCTCAATCTTTTGCGTCTCGTTTCTCAAATCCCCGTAGTGATGGCCGTGATCCAGCTCTCGAAAGTCTACACGTCCTAGGATGGAGTACAGATCGGTCTAAACACACACCGACCCGCCCCAGCCCATAGCAAAACGTAGAAGAAAAGAAGGAAAGAGGACGAGAACACCATCGCCACCACCGACCCTAACCCTGACCCTACCTTGTCTTCGTGCAGAGAGTCTAATCTCATCCATCAACTGAACTGAACTTGACTTGACTTGACCCAATTATCCGCGCGAGTATTGGCAAGTTCCAAAACTTCCAAATCGTAAAATCAGGAGACCAGGAGGAGGGCGTTAAGAACAAGGGAGGGAGGGAACCAAAAAAAAAAGGAGAACTTCAGCCTCGTCACGTGGAATGGATCCCTGGTTTTTCTTTCCTTTCTTTTCTCTGTAGGATATGTAACGTTACAACTGGTTAGTTATATATAATATATAGAGATCTGTTATGTACGTCGACGACAACACGCGTCTCCCACCTTCTGATCCTCCTCGTTTGTTTTGTCGTAAAGAAACAAAAAAGGGTTATATAAATGGCTTGCAGGGTGCCCGATGCCGGACAACCCATGGTTCGGAGGAGAAAAGCCCTGGCCAGTGCTCCGAGCGCTGTTGCTCTCTTTTCTCTTCTTCTACTTTTCCCCTGTCCCTGACCGAGATAGCTTCTCCGCTCTCCCGAAGCCAATACGTATACCAACCATGGAGCTATGTAGTTGGTGACTTGGAAGTCCCGTTGTGTTGTGGTTCTGAACGGTTCACGACAATGAAAGCTTTCTACCGAGGAGATGAATGCAGTTCATGTCATATTGTGAGTGGCCGTTTTGGGGCAGGCATTTGGCAATCTACTGCATCTGCCTGCTATGGGGCTATGTTCTCAAAGGATCCCTTTTAGCCGCTACCATGTCCTGTTCATGCAGCTCTTCTTCACAGGCTGCGTTCACAAAGAGGCCCATCCACAAGGCTGATAAACCACCCACAGGGAACAAGCTGGATAAAGCCGCGAGGCGAAGCAGCTGCACAGTAGGTGATTGCTGTAGACACCGGTCCGCCGAGCTCCAGTCGATCCCATGGAAGCGGCCGTATCTCATACCCGAGTGTCATTAAAACGATCTCGCTGCTGTGTCAGCCGAAACCCCCTCCCGCGACCATCAGGATATGAGCATACCGTAGAGCGAGAGTCGCCACGAGAGAAGGGGGCAGCCTTCGACCTACTTGCAGGACTTCAATGACCCGATCTCCCACGTCTTTCCATGGTCTGTTTGGACATCCAAATAAGCCGAGGGCTCGCCCGCTTCGTCCGAAATTCTCAGCACTCTGCATGCTTCTACCCCTTTTCCGCCTTCAGCATAATCACCAAGGTCGGTCAATCTGGCGAGTGTCTGATCCTCTCGCTCGTTATCATTTTGCCGAGTCGGCTGAGAGACAATGTTCCAGGCCTCGGTCAGGCTCTCTTGCATGGAGCCAGAGATTGTTCACTGATTGTAGGAAAACTTTGGAAGACTCGTGGTCATGAGCGATCCCAAACGCGACGAGAGGACTTGATCGGTTGCCGCACGGCCAAGTGACTGAGAATTCATCTCGTTCGCAGACGGTCTGGATGGCCATAACACCTTCGTTCGAACTCCATCCAGTCTTGGGGATGAGTATTTTTCGCGTCTCTTTATTCGGAAGCAAATATTCACATAGTCTTGTCAGTCTGAGACGGAGTTTGTCCAATTGAGGAATCAGGTAGCTCAGCGTCGTACAGAGGTGCACCGAGGCTGATCTGCGTCCATAGCACAGTGTATCGACTTCCAGATTTCGAACTGATTCTCCCAGAATGTGTTCAGGCGCACTACGACGTGGAGCGACGTGCTTCGTGAGTGACACGGAACGAGAAGGTTTGCAGGTTCGTCATGAGCGGAGCAATCTTGGATAACTGCCGCACAACACTCTCTCCTCGGAGACCTCTTTTGGCCGGATAAGGGACAAGCCCACGTGCGTAACAGGGATCGTCAGTTCCAACAGTCAGAGACTCGTCCGTAATTTATCGGGGCGCGGCGATTTGCACAATTTGACGAGCTGGGAATCGTTCCGCGAGACACTGGAGTATAAGATGGGCTCGATAATCAGTCGCCAATGCCAACCGGCCAACATGCACTTGAGGAGAGTCTTATCACGATCGATAGAAGGGGGGATGTTCTGTTGAGCATATACCGGAGGTGGTCGAGAGGAAAGTTCCTAAAGGTCCCTGATTGACTGGGGCATGTTGACATGAGAACAGGATGACTCTCGATCGACAGGGAAAGAATTTCATGTACGAACTGAGACTGGCATAGAACTGGGAAATTTTGCGTTGCACTCGCTGCCGTGGCGACGACTTGCCTCACAGCAATCTTGGGAGGGGAAGTGGTACCGCTGGGAAAAGCCATCTTAACGGACAGCCGAAGTCGATTGGCAAGGATGAATCTTGAGATTTGTGCTCCTGACAAGTGTGCGCTGGGTGTCAGAGCTGTGTACGGGTAGAAGGCGTAGCGCTCTTTGTGGCTTCGTCCGCCTGTCGGTGGAACTGGAATCTTCGAGTAGAAGCCTGATGATTCCTGCCGTTTTCTCCTGCCAGTTGCATCCGTGAACCGGGCGAACATCACATTCTCTTCCATGCAAGCCGTCTTCGGGGAAAAATCTCCCAAGAACGCCACAAGACCTCCCGGCCAAGCTGCCTGAAGTCGTTATTGCCCGTATCGCAAGGGCGGGCTAACTTCTGACAGCCTGCCTGGTTCTAGAGCGATCCCGAAGCGATTTAGAATTCCAGCAGTTTCATAGATGGACCTGGCTTAGTTGGCAGCTTGAGAAAGCTACACGCGGCCGCACAAGATTCCGTTTCGTTGTAGATATTATGCTCAAAAGGCAGGCGTCCATACTCACACAATGGTAATTGATCCTGCGGGTTATTGACCCAGCCGCTAGCCGCTAGGTCGGGGACAGGAGTACTCATAAGCCTCGTGCACGCAGCTTCGAAAGGCAATCGTGGATTCTGGATTCCTGCATTGCGAATAACACTGGATGCATTTCCAGGGGTTTCCAGAGGCATGTCCCCAAGATTCAATTCAGATGATCGCTTGCCGGCAGGGCGTCTGAGGTCGAGGGTCTGAAGTTCATGCTGGCCTCCTCTTGACAAACTCCGCCAGATCACTCCTAGTGACGACCCCCAATACGAACTTCCTCCCGCCGTCAGTGACGACAGCAAAATCTTGTTTTGCACCAGTTGCCAGCGGCCCAACGTCTTCAAAAAATCCTTCAAGTTCCCACAACTCGGTCTCCATTGTGACAACCTGGTATTTATTTCCTCCGCCCCGCTGAAATTTCACCATAGCCTTCGACACAGGGTCAGAGGGCTGGAGATGCCCGGACTCGAAGAGTTGCTTCAATTTCGAGATCGGGAGGTAGCCCAAAAGGGAGCGAGTATTGTCGGACAGGACCGTCAAGTGCGAATAGTCATGGGATGAAGCTGAGAGCATAGCGGAGGCAAGTGACGTGCTTGGTGAAGTAGACAGTGCAGGAGGGAGGTCTAGGTCAGCCACCGTGGCACCTCGATATTTGTCTGCCCACATCGACAATTTGGCAGCATGTTGGTCTTCATCAGGAGGAAGTCCGTTGGGCTGAGGGACGACCGTTGGGCCCAAAGGCACGCCCTGCTCGAGAAGAGACTGAGAATGATCCATGGGTTATTTCGGTGTCCAGTAAGAGAGAGAGAGAGAGAATATTGCAAATTACAGCTAGCTGTTGTTAGAAAAGGCTATCATGGTCGAGTCGTAGGCTAGAGACGTTGGCCGTTCAACACATGGAGTAACCAGCAAATCTGTGCCTCAATTATTTTGCTGGATCTCGTGATATTTGCGGCTGGATATCTCTGTGGGCAGCCGTAGCAGTGACGTACTGCTACTCGGACGGGGGGGAATTCCCAAAGCCCACCTTCCCCAGGCCCGCAAGAGACCGACCAGTGGACGTCGGAGCTGGCAAGCTGTGACGATAGCAAGCACCACTGACGCCCAGCTTGGCCCCCCTTCGCTCCCGCATGCAATTGCTCGCTTCCTCGAACTGGCCTGCTCTCTCTTCACCTCATCGACTTTTTTTATCGTCACTCGTCGCTCATTTGCACGATACCTAGCATCCATCTGCCGCAGTCGATTCACCGATCCAGACTCGAGGTATTTCCCCAGCTCACTCACCATCCCTTCGTCCTGTCTCACCAATAGCTCGTTCAACCTGCTCAATTGGACTCCCCGGAGATAAGCTGATCAGTACACAGCACCATGGTCGGGCTCTTCCCTAACTCGACGGCTTTGTGCCAGGCATTCACACCCACCTCCCCATACTACAAGCCTGCCCCTAAACCTACCGAGAACCTCGAAAAGCGCCGCGTCTTCTCCTCTTGGAGTGCGGCCGAGTCCGCCAAAGACAAGGCGGTTGAACTGAGCGAAGCTGCTCAGAAAGAATATGAGAAGGCCAGCGCAAAGGCCCAGGCCAAAGTCGGGGGCATCGAGCTCTATTCTGCCAAGTACTATGCCGCATGTACCGTGGGAGGTATCCTGGCATGCGTATGTTGATGGTCTTGTTCACCCTACAGTGCTTTCGGAGTTAACCAACAGCATAGGGTACCACTCACGCCGCTGTCACTCCTCTCGATCTCGTCAAATGTCGTCGTCAGGTCGACCCCAAGCTTTACAAGGGCAATTTCCAGGCCTGGGGTACCATCGCCAGGACCGAGGGTTTCCGGGGTATTTTCACTGGTTTCGGCCCAACCTTCTTCGGCTATTCGGTGCAAGGCGCTGGCAAATATGGCTTCTATGAATACTTCAAACATCTGTACTCCGAGCTCGCCGGTGAGGAGAATGCTCAGAGATACAAGACCACACTCTACCTGACTGCCTCTGCGTCGGCCGAATTCATCGCCGACGTGGGTCTTTGCCCGTTCGAGGCCGTCAAGGTCCGCATGCAGACCACCATACCGCCTGCATATTCCGGCACCATGAATGGACTGTCCACCATCACCGGCAAAGAAGGAATCGGCGGGTAGGTCCCATCTCCAAGGATTCCAATGTCAAGTCATGCTGACAGCTTCAAGCTTGTACAAGGGTCTCTATCCTCTCTGGGGCCGACAGATCCCATATACCATGATGAAGTTTGCCTCTTTCGAAAACATCGTTGCCGCCATCTACAACTACCTCCCCGGCAGCAAGTCAGATTACGGCAAGGGTGCCCAGACTGGTGTGGCCTTTGTCGGTGGTTATCTCGCTGGTATTCTCTGCGCGATTGTGTCGCACCCTGCGGATGTCATGGTCAGCAAGCTCAACGCCGAACGTGCTCCGGGCGAGAGCTTCGGCGGTGCCATGAGCCGCATCTACTCCAAGATCGGATTCTCGGGTCTCTGGAACGGTCTTCCCGTCAGAATTGTAAGTTGGCAGCACCTGACCGCAGAGGTGAGACCGACGGCTAACGCTCTGAACCCTTTAGGTCATGATTGGAACACTGACCGGCTTGCAATGGATGATCTACGACTCGTTCAAGATCTTCATGGGCCTGCCAACCACTGGGGGGGCCCCAGAGAAGAAGGAGACCGCGAAGATGTAGAAAGTGGCCACCAGGTCAAGACGACACGAGAAAGAGGAAGGGGATAACTTGCCAGAGCAGGGCGGCGGTTAAAGAAATTACTGTACATGAATGACACCGGGCACTGGCTTGCAAGAATGGGACATTTGATAGCTCAACGATGAATTTAGTACCACGAGGCGATGAACAAGTCTGTGTGATAAGCCTTGGAGAAACGTGCCCCGTGCCGTACTCCGGACTCGGTAGTGTCTGCATACTATTTGGCAGTAGTAGGAGGACGACGGGGTGAATGGGTGGCTGGGATTGGCCATTGATAGCGCGAGGCTGGGCAGAAGAACTTAGCGAATCTTGGCCCACGTCAAAAGGTGAAAAGGAAACTTGATCCTGTGGACGTCATGTTGAGCAAACCGACACAGCCAAAAAAACGGCGGCTCTGGGCGCTGGGCGCTGGGCGCTGGGTGAGAGTCACACCATTTGCAGTTTGTCTTTGTCAGGTGTAATTGTCATGGCATTTCTTGGTTTGCGCGGATAGCACCGAGTACCTCTGCCCATATCAACAACCCGCCGGCTCACTCTCGTTCACTTTCTGTTCCTCCTCCAGTTCCCCAAGTCACCAGCCCTACTCAACCTGCACAACTTGACAAACCTTACGAAATACAGCCCAATTTGCACCCCTGAAACCCATCCATCTCACTGTACATCACTGCAGTAAGTGAACTCTCTCTCTCTCACCTGTCCACACCCAGCCTTACCTCAGGCTTGTGGGGCCGTCTCCCAGTTTGTCTTGTGCATTGACAAATTTAAACCACAACGCCATCCACAAACCCGGCGCTTTTACGCAATCTTAATGACAGGGACATGGGAAACCGCCAGCTAACTTTGCCAGACCCCCAGACTCCACCGCGCACATGGCCAACGTCTCTCACGGTCGTGGAGGTAGGTTGAGCACCCCTCGATGCCAGGCTGCCCTGCTCACGTCCTTCAGGTGCAGCAAACATTGGTCCCGATAGCCTGGCCTACGCCGATGGAGGGATAGTGCGAGAAGGTCCAGTCGGTGACCAGGGCGACGGACCATACTCAGCTGGTCGTGGTGGTGTAGGAAATATCGAGCACGATGCGAAACCAACGTCAGCAACACCACACGATACGGATGTTGTTCCTGAGACGGCCACCCGTATCGCCAAAGTAGAATCTCACCACGTTGGACGAGGAGGGGCAGGGAATGAGCAACATATCCACGAGAAGAAGCAGGATAGCCTGCTGGACAAGATCAAGGGATTCTTTGGGTCTCCATCGGTCAAGAAGTAAAAATGGCATGGCTGGTGGAGAGGAGTTAGCAGGCAACCGTCGGCGCTGCGAACGACGAATGATGATACCCTCATATGCTGGTTTCTCCAGGCGTTGTCGATCTACAACACAAGCTTTGAGTGCGAATGGATAGAGAATCTTACAGTAGACAAAGCAACTCAATAGGGTGGTACCATCCTGCATGAATGAGTCACATGCGCGTCTTTCATGCTGAATAAGAAAAACACGACCACACACCATTATCGATCCACCGCGCTCAATTCCCCCCGAGCCCCCTAATGGCATGGGGATCCGGCAAAATGATTGGGTCACGTCGCGTGCCAAAAATGCGCTCTCGCAGTGACCACATCATAACATTCTTTGTTCACAACTGAGGGGTCCTTTTACCCACCAACCTGTTCGTGGTTGGCTGAACCATAGGGAAAGCCTGGGTGGAGGCGTACAATAGCGGCCTGCACAGCACAACAAAAAGCTGTCGCCCGCCAGTTTTGTGCAACCCCAGCCCCGACCTTGTACGGAGCACGTCTCCTCCTGTTGCTATTATTCCTGATTCTCTTTGCTACAATATTGCCAAAACCACAGCCACTGGCCTTGTGTTTCACGATCCTCGTCGAGTGAGGTGTCAAGGCGGCGAGTCATTGTCGTGACTGTGCAGACGCCGTCGCTGCTGTTCTTACGTTCACTTGAGGAGCGCTCCGAAGCCATTTGAACCCTCCTCCACCTTCATTGTTGAACCACCACCGACCATGAGCCTCTGATCGCCTTTGGTATCGAACCCTGTCGAAACTCACCACGTTTCGGAAACATCTCCGCTTGCCACGACGCGCGCCGGATTATACGCAACCCGCAACCCGCGACTCATCGCTCCTGATCCCGTTACCCCTGCTTTCCTTCAGTCGTGTTCGCAATATGGCCTCTGCTTTGGAATCGGCCGAGCCAATGTCTCCCGTTTCCATTTCTGAGACCGGGAACCAGAGTGGGAGCGAGACAGATGGATTTTCTACAAGCTCCGAGGAGACAGGAGCCCCGACATCGAGCCGGGTCATCGGGCGCAAGCGAAAGGCGGGGGAAATGGAAGGTGACTGCGACACGGCCACCCAAGAAACAAGCCGGGGTTCCGGAGTCATAAGCGAGGGGCATGACCAAGACGCAGGCGCTGCCTACGGGTTCACTGTGACTTGCCCCATCTCGTGGAGACAGAGACAGACAATTAAAAGTGACAGCGGGCACCAACTATACGTGGACCACCCTCTTGGACTGAAGTCCCTCCGTATTGAATTTCTCGTGGAACCGGGCGCGAAGTGGACTCGCTTATCAAGGTTCAAGAGTGGTGTGTGTGAGTATTGACCAACCCAACAGCCATGATCTGTTCTGACGCGATCCTTACGCATCTAGATGCGAACGGTGCTACTGATTACACTTTCTGTGTCAACGACTACGTGCTTGTCAATCGCCACACGCCTCCGCGACGGCCACTTCCAGAGGGTGTAACAGACGAGGAGGAACTTCAATGGCTGAAGGACAATTTCTGGGTGGCGCTTATAGCTGGCTTCCATTCCCTAGAGCGCAAAACGGCCTTCGTCCGGCTGTGGTGGCTTTACTGGCCAGAGGAGCTACCCATGGGGCGGCAACCATATCATGGCCGAAGAGAACTGTTGATGAGCAATAAGGCCGACATCGTCGAGATGACGACAATCTCAAACCTCGCCTCCGTCTGCCGGTGGGAGGAAAGGGATGAGAGGGAAATCGGATTACTGAATGCAGAGCTGTTCTGGCGCCAAACTTACAATCTCAACGTGCAACAGCGCAGCTTGAGAGCACTCAGTAAGCTCAAACGACACTGTGTCTGCAAGGGCTACGACAACCCCGATCGGGAGATGTACGTGTGCTCCGGCTGCGGCTTAGGCAACCACGAGGCTTGCCTAATTGCCGCCATGGAACAGAGGGCATGGCAACGATTCAAAGAGGGGACGCTCACCCATGAGAATCCCGAGGAGCATGACTCTTCAAACCAGAAGACACGAAAGCCCTCGAATGGCGCGAAACCTTGGGCAGGCAAATTGGAAGGCAAGATCTCGCGAACTCAAAGGTTCGCAGTTGACATCCAATCTACGGATTACGCAGTTGAACTATATCATCATGCTGCCACCATCCAGCAGCTTGTACCACAAAGCAAGCAGAGTGCTAACGGTCCGTTCCAACCCGTGGTCTGGAATATGAATTTGGATTGTCTGCGATGCGGCGCACCGTTGAATGAACGGCCTGTATGAAACCGGCTGGAGATGCGTATGCGCGCGCGCGTGTCGGGTACCTCGATTTCCCCGAAGATATTCCTTGCGGCTGAATTTAGATGGCATATTTGATCCGATATCGGGCGATTTTTACCAGGATTTTAGGAGCATAAGGTGGTTTGGAGTTGCCTGACGTTGTCACAGAGTTTGAGCTTGGAGCTTGAACAGGGATATCCTGTTGTCTCAAAAGAGAGGCTGAGGATGATGAGACGAAACTTCAGCAGCGCAGCCATGTAACAGATTTATTGAGTCTGAGAACGGCCGAAAAACATTACGTTGGTGCCAGGCTTGCCAGTACGAGCTGTTCCAGGAGTCCCCCCGTGGTGGTTGCAATGATGATGGTGGTCAGGAATGAGTGAGGGTCAAAGCGAGGTCACATGACGCGGGACCGGCACCATGGAGAGCCGAGTAGATTTTTGTATTATTCCATACTCCTTTCCTTTCTGCCTGCTTTGCATGTACGAAGCGACTGTGCGAGAATCCTTCGCCCTTCTCCACATGACAGCGACGGTTTTGATTTGACACGGGCGGCCCCTCCGCATTTAATATCCTTACCTAATGGTTGACGAAACGCACCTCCGTAAATCGCTCTCCCACAGCTCATCCCATACGAGTACGCGGCATGCCCCAGCCATCGTCACGACGCCCTCTCCTCCCGTCATCGATCCGCTCTTGCCCCCATCGAACGTCCACCCCTCTCCAGATCCCGTATTCGGCTCGGCATCGCCATTCGGGCCCGATCTGTCTCTTTGTTCGAGGCCAAAGGCGCCGGGCATTGGGCTGTTCTCCATCATGGCGTATTTTCACCACCGTCGCCCGCCATTCTTTGATTGTAAACCAAATATTCTGTTATCCTTCCAACTGCCTGGTCACCATGCGCAGGAGCTAGCCACTCGGGGCCTCTGGTATTGTTTGTCGGCTTGACAAGGCGCCCTCTTTTCTCTCGGTGGCCCGGACACACGGCCTGAACCGTGGAGTACAAGAGTATCACATACAAATATTGACCCGTTACTCACCACTACCGTTTCGCCTCAGTCGACATATTTCCCAGAGATCGACCAATTCACGACCCTTACCTTTCATGAGGACTGCGCACCTCGCAATCAATATTGTTACCTTTTAAAATCAATATGCCGTCAGACCCCGAGCAGAGAGTCGAGGCAGCGACCGAATATGTCGCGCCCGAAAGTACTGCACCGCCAGGCGCAATCAAATCTCCAGAGGGAGCTGCTGCACCGGATGGTGCGCCTTCATCTGCATCTTCCAGTAACCCGGCATCAGAGAAGTTGCCTGACCAGGCAAATGATGTCGTCGTGGAAACGCCGCAAGATAATGCATCACCGACCGAAGAGAATGCCCTGGAAAAGCCCACGCTGGACAGAACAAAATCCAGAGCCTCCGATTTTTCCAAAAGCCGAACTATTATCATCATGTTCTCTCTGTGCATGGCCTTGTTCCTGGCAGCTCTAGACGTCACCATCATCACGACAGCTTTACCCACCATTGCTCAACATTTCCAGGCCTCGGCTTCGGATTATACCTGGGTTGGTAGTGCCTATCTACTCGCAAACGCCGCAAGTGTCCCCTTATGGGGCAAACTCTCGGACATCTGGGGTCGCAAACCTATCATTACGCTGGCCAATGGAGTTTTCATGGCCGGAAGTCTAATAGCCGCTTTGAGCAACTCAATCGGTCTCCTTATCGGGGGACGGGTGATTCAGGGCGTTGGCGGAGGTGGTCTTATAACACTGGTCTACATCTGCATCAGCGACCTATTCAGCATGAGAGAAAGACCGAAGTACTTTGGTATCTTGGGCATGGTATGGGCCATTGCTTCGGGAGTCGGTCCGGTTGTGGGCGGCGCTTTCACCGAGGGTGTCTCATGGAGATGGTGTTTTTACATCAACTTGCCATTAGATGGCCTGTCCTTGATCCTGCTCACGTTCTTCCTCAAGCTGGACACTCCCAAGACACCCTTCTGGGCCGGAGTCAAGGCCATCGACTGGGTTGGCGTCGTCACGATTGTGGGTGGAGTTGTCATGTTCCTGTTTGGCATGACCTCGGGAGGCACAACGAGGCCCTGGGACAGTGCGTATACCTTGTGCCTCATCATCTTCGGCATCATCACCATTGCCCTGTTCTTCCTGAACGAGTGGAAGCTGGCGAAATACCCGGTCATCCCACTTCGACTCTTCAAAAATCGGTCTAATCTCGCAGCACTGGGTGTCTGCTTCATCCACGGTTTCGTCTTCATCGCCGGGAGCTACTATCTCCCGTTCTACTTTCAGACCGTGATTGGCGCTTCCCCGCTCCTCTCCGGGGTGTATCTTCTGACAATGGTCCTCACGTTGTCCTTTGTCTCGACCTGTACCGGGCTTTATGTCAAGAAAACAGGACGATTCCGAGACCCCATCTGGTTTGGCCTCTGCGTCATGACTCTTGGGTACGGATTGTTCATCGATCTGCCATCCAGCCCGGATTGGGCCAAGATCATCATATATCAGATCATTGCAGGTATCGGCGTGGGTCCCAACTTCCAGTCTCCATTGATTGCGTTACAGGCCCACATCAAGGGCCACGATATGGCAGTCGCGACGGCGACTTTTGGCTTCATTCGCAACCTCTCCACCTCGATCTCGGTGGTGTTGGGCGGCGTCGTCTTCACCAACGAACTCTCCAAGAAGTATGACGGCCTGGTCCCCGTGATAGGATCAGAGCGCGCGAGGCTTCTGACTTCCTCCTCCTTCGGCGCCACCACCTCCATCGTGCGCAAGCTTCATGGACCAGCTCGCCACGCCGTCGACAAAGCATACACCGACTCATTGAGGACGATGTGGATCTTCTACACTTGCTTCGCAGCGTTTGGGATCGTGGTGAGCCTGTTCATCAAGAAGAAGGAGCTCAGCACCACGCACGAGAAGGCCAAAACGGGGATCGAAGAACAAGAAAGGGTGAGACAGGAGATATTGCGCGAGAAGGAAGAGAAGCAACGAAGTAGGAGAGGCACTTTAGAAAAGGATGTCGAAAAAGCCATGACAGCGGGAACGGGAGATAGGCAGCAAGGGTGAGAAAACATACAAAGCCGCTGCACAAACTCAGCTGGGAGGAGAAGATTGCATTTGACAGCGGAAACCTTGGTCTTTTTCTTTGGTCTATTCGAGCTCGTTTGGAAAACTTCAGACGGACATAGCAGGCGGGGCGTTGTCTTTTCCTCGGATAACTACTGTACGTCCTTTTATACACAGCTACCTATGTATCCCCCCTCGACAGCCAGGGTATGTTTGCTTCCTGGTTGACCAACGACTAACAGAACCGATGGTCTATGGCGCAAGGATTTGAACAAATTTCCTCCCCGCTCCGCCCGCTCCTCCTCCTCCCCCAATAAAACATGAATCTACTCTCTCTCTCTCTCTCTCTCTCTCTCGTTTCCTGCCGCAGAATCCCGAGATATACGAGAGCGAGCCAGCGAAATGCCTCCATTCAGCTCCGTTATTTTTTCTGCCTGCCACTCCTTCGCCATCACAGTAGTCCAGATTTTGGGCGAAGATGTACTCCTCCTCCTCCTCCTCCTCCTCCTCCTCCTCCTCCTCCTTTCCTGCGCTGCATTTACAGGGAGGAGGGAGGGAGGGAGGACGTCTGAAAGAAAAGAAAAAAGAGAGAGAGAGAGAAAAAGACTCCTCCGGAAGGGGTCAGGGCCGTGTCTCTGCTCTGTGTTGGAGGTGTAGAGTAGAGTAGGCATAATAGAAGACAAGATAGATTTGTCTGTCTGTCTGTCTGTCTGTCTGTCTGTCTGTCTGTCAAGCACCAGAGAACAGCCGCTCGATGTAAAAATGATATGGTATGGTATGGTATGGGATTGCCCGGAACGGGGATGAAAGGATATGTATGTATGATATCAGAGGTATAGATAGGTAGGTATCATGTGTTTCCGTGAGAAACCCATATATACATACATATACATACATACATACAGTATGGTGGTGGTGATAGTTAGGTTGACGTGGGATAGAATTGACATCCTGTACTGGACTGGACATACAAATACTAGATGAATGAGAAAGGAGGAAAGGAGGATGAAAAAGAAAGAGGAGAAGAAAAGAAGAGGTATTCAGTAATTCAGATCTGATCAGGACCACGCGTTCTGAGTATTTATCCCTTGTAACTTTCATTCTCTAATCCACCTGGTTTGACCCGGCGTCTTTTGTATGCTCCAAATTTCGAGGATTGGAGGGGACAATCTGAATAGCTGAACCGTGGTAGACTGTTCACACTATGTGAAACCCACTATTCCCCCTTCAAGCACTCCCCCTTGCCTTTTTGCGCTCTGTTTACCTTTGGGCGACGAGAGTCGGTCCACGGCGGTGAAACTCATTCGAGACAAGCAGGAGGATAGGAAGCGATTGAGCTCCGTGGGTTCTCCTTGACCATTCGAACAGCCCATTTGCGAGCTCGTTCGGTGTCTGTAGGCGGTCAGAAAGACTAGAGCTCCAGCAAAATTCTTCGACCTGCCAGTCAGAAAGGGCGATGAGGCGTTCATCATATCGAAGAAGGTTTGAGCTCTGCTTCAGTCTTTCACAATACCCAATTCCGGGCGTCGATGGCCCGGATCAAGGGCTCCCTTTGCTGGCTGGTTCTGTCGGCGATGCCCATAGGGTGTATTGATCCGATCAAGTGAAAGTTAGCGCAGCTCCTCCATCTAATGGAAGATTGTCCTGGCCCGCCTGATGGACAAGGGAATGCTGATAGTGGGGAGAAGCGAGGCAGAAATTACCAATGCTCCTTTCGAGTATGGCAGATGCGCTCTCTCTTTTCCTGATCACCTTCTGTCCCGTTTGCTTCGCCATCGTCCTGCTTTCCCACCTCTGCCGCCCTTCCAACCGTAGTCTTTGCGCGATTCTTCGTCCCTTCTTTCCAAGTCCGCGGCCCTTTCTCTTCTGTGTGCATCTGCTTCCCTCTCTGCTGCCGCCGCTGCCGCCGCGGCCGGGCCGCTTTTCAGATGAACCCCAAATTTGCACTCCCTCCCGTCTGGACAGAACCCTGCCAGATAGAATTCGCACAATTTCCTCCTGACGTGTCGATTCGGACATCTAGGACCCTTCTCACAGAATCCTTTGTTATAATCTTCACACATAGGCAACTTTGAGCCCTCTTTGACATGTACGTAGAGGCACTCGTCGCCGTTCTGGCAGTACCCGTTCTGGTTGTAAAACTGGCATTCGCTCATCTTTCGCAGGTTGTATTCATGCAAGTAATCGCAGGCGTCGCCCTTTTTGCAGAGGCCCTTGAGCCAATGTTTGCAGACATAGTTATCGTTGGCGTGGCGAACGTAGTGGTGTTGCTGGGAATGGGGTGCCAGTGCTTGGGTGGGAGTTGGATGTCGGTCGGGACATCGACGCCCGCGCGGACAATGGCCGGTTTTGGCGAAATCAGGGCAGACAGGGACGGTAGAGGCGAGGGCGGCGAGACCGTTGCTGCGGAGGAAGGGGGTGAAGCTGAAGTTGTAGGTCGGTTGAGACGGACTGGCGGTCTTAGAGAGGGTCGCTTCCTGTACAGAGGGCGTGTACGAGGCCACCGACGCCATGACTGATGCTGAGGGGGTTCACTCGAGGAGAGAGTGCACTGGGAGACACAGAGACACACGTAAATCTGAATAACACAAGTACACAGAGGAGATGGTGGTGATGGTATCTTCTGGCAGCCTCACGTGCAGTTCCGAAGTATTACCGAACTTGACCTGCGTCTCCTGCGCGTCCCTCCTGCGCCTTTGTCTCCCTTCGAGATTCATTCCACCATCATCCTCTACAATAGTGTTGTGATCACAGGCTCGACCATGACGATGCCTCTTCTGTCTGATGTTGTTGCCTGTCCTATTTCTAACAAACAACATGCCGTGGGCTTCGGGCGACTATCGGCTGAAGACCTAGGACTTCCGGCCCTGATCGCCTTGAAACAGCTCTACACGGCACAGAGACAACCGCTTCCATCTTCGGGACTCTGAACTCGGAAAGGAAATTGTCGTCGAGGCGGAAAACGTATCCCAATTCAATCTTCCTCGCACTGCCGATAGACTGATTGGAGAGGCTCACGTCGGGCCCCTCTTCCTTGATCCACCTGTTTCTTTCCTTCCTGCTGGTGCTTCTTCCGGTGAGATTGCAAACTCCCGAGTTGTCCCCTTTGGATAGTGAGGGCTAGTGAGGCCCAGATGCTGCTCGCTGGCTGCTGTTCCGCATCTGCCACCTGCGGGGCAGTTTTCCCTCGTCTTCTCCAATGCGTCCTCCCCCCTCCCTGCGCTGTCCCCCACGTCATTTCTCGCATGCAAAAACATGCTCTTCGAAAACATTTCTTCATAGTCTGTTGTTGTCTTCTCGTTCCTCCCAAAACGAAGTCCCTAAGACACAGAATTGCACCATGTCCGTGACCACTCAAGCCACTATTGCAAACTTCGGCGGAAAGCTTCTGAAGCTCGCTCACAATGCCTCCACCACCGGTTGCGAGATGAAATTCAACCTGTTCCTTCCTCCTCAAGCTGCAAACAACAAGGTCCCTCTGCTCATATGGCTCTCTGGCCTCACGTGTACCGGCGACAATTGTTCTGAGAAGGGTTTCTTTCAACACGGGGCCAGTAAGAAGGGCATCGCCGTATTGTACCCGGACACTAGCCCAAGTAAGTTGTTCCAGGGCTTTCACGATCACTGCGTAGACTGACAGTATGAAGGGGGTATTGGCATCCAGGGCGAGGACGACGCCTACGATTTCGGCACCGGTGCAGGTTTCTACGTCGATGCGAGTGCCGACCCTTGGTCCAAGAACTACAAGATGTACTCATATATCACCGAGGAACTTCCCAAAACCGTCTTCGAAGCCTTTAAAGATCAGATCGACTCTAGCAGGGTTAGTATCAGTGGACACAGTATGGGAGGCCATGGTGCGCTATCCCTATACCTGAAGAACCCGGGGAAATACAAGAGTGTCAGCGCCTTCGCTCCTATTGCCAATCCCCTGAAGTGTCCCTGGGGCGAGAAGGCGTTCAAGGGTTATTTCGGTGACGACTGGCAAAAACTGGGCGCCCAGCATGATTCGACAGAACTAATCAAGCAGTGGAAAGGAGGGCCACTTGACATTTTGATCGACGTGGTATGTGGCCCTACAAGACTGTGCTCATACACTGCTGACATCCTCAGGGTACTGGTGACAATTTCTACAAGCAAGGGCAGCTTCTGCCCGAAAACTTCACCGCAGCTGCAAAGGAAATTGGGCAGGAGAAGGGAGTCCATGTCAGGTTCCAACCAGACTATGATCACAGCTACTACACAATGGCGACTTTCGCGGATGATCACATTGACCATGCCGCGAAGTACCTGTTTGCATAGTATGTTGCATGATGTACAGACACAATAGAAAACTGACAGGGATAGAAGCGGAATGAAAAAGAACCAGAAGCTTTGACTATGCCGATTCATTCACTGTGAAGTCTAGTCCTTTATTCAAAGCTTTGCTATGTCGCGTTCGCGCAAGCCCGCGCCGTCTGCTCTCCATTCTGTCATTTCCTATTTATACCTACCATGTATCCATGATCTCCTGCTTTCTATGCAAAACTCAAGCTGTTCAGATTAATATCCTGACTGTTCCCAACGCTTCATTATCTGATACGAGACCTGTCTTGGATCACGAGCTGTTCAATCCTCTCAGTCTACGTTAAACTCTTCTGCTGCTGCTTCTCCTCCCCCTTTCAACTTCACATAGCTCTCCAGCCATCGTCTTTGATCTGCTCACTGTCACTGTCACTGTCACGGCCAAGATGAACTCGGACTTGGACTTGGCCTATCTGGGCGCAACAGATGGCGTGTCTTCTGCCTTCAACAACGACAACCACCAGTTTTGGCAACAGAAGAAAGCCTTTGAATCAATTCCCAACATCAAACTGTCCCGATCGCTAGACCATGGTGGTAATCCCATCAGTCATCCTCAAGTAGGTACCCCTTCTCGTCCATCACGTGACGAGGCTGAGCGGTGACTGACTGGTGGTAGTCCCAGTCAACGCCCCAACGACAGGCACAAAGCTCAGTCCAAAAAACGCAAGTCAAATGACGGAGAGCTGCCGATTCTGCTTACCTAGACAATCATCGAATCCCACTTGCCAACGCCATTTGTTCCACAACCCGACATCTCAAACGTCGACCACGACAGGGAACCAAGAAACTATGGGTTCCTTGCCTTTGCTGCCCTTTTGTCTGTCGAGATCTATATCATCTAGAGCCCGGCAGATGCGCAGCCCGCTGATCCTGTGTTTACGAGTCCTGCCACATCGCCAGCGGCTGGGGTTGGCCAGGTCGTCTAGGCAGTCCGGGTCCGAAAAAGTGGCACGTCTTTCCTCGCCAACACTTGGCGACCATGGGCAGAGGGATCGACCGCATGGCGTTTGAAGAGACGGGCTGCCGTGTGCCGGGCGTTGCCAAAGAGTGCTTTTACAAGAAACCACTCACTGCCCTGGAATCCACTAGCCTGCCATCCTTGGGACAATATCCAACCCTCTGAATTGTCATGGAGCCGCACTCAGAACCATCCATTCATTGTTGGAACAATATGGACCGGTCAGAGATGAGCACCCAGCATCATCCCCGTTCACCCTCAACAGGCACGAGTAACGCCAAATGCCAGACACCGAAGGCATTGACGACGCCAGCCACACGCCGAGAGCTTTCCCCAGCAGTGCCCCCTCATCTCCGACAATGATTGCGCAGAAGCTCTTCGTCTGGCGTTAGCTTTTCGACGCCACTCTCCGTGCCGCACGCGCGACGGAACTTGTGGGGAACAGTCCTCGTGCCACGGGGGCTCCACTCCTGTGGAAGCCGAAGATATGTTGCTCACGAGAGGCCGTGGAGCCATCGGTTTATCGGAGCCTGATCGAGCATCGAAGGACACGAAGAAAGGCCGAGGAAACAGCGAGGGGGGTAGGTGGATGAGATAGCAGCAGTATGGATGAGATAGCAGCAGTATGGATGAGATAGCAGCAGTATGGATGAGAGAGCAGCAGTATGCATGCAGCCAGGCCATGTCCTATGAAGAGGCCGAAGAATGTCTTGGGAGGAATCCCTTTGGGAACGAAGGGAGGAGGTGGGCGTGGTATTCAAGAAGCAGATCGTCACGCCGTAATCAGTGGAGAAGTGGGAGGTAGATCGATAGAGAGCGCCGTGTCGGAAGAAGAAAAACAGGTCTCTAACCGGCTTATGTGTTGAAGTTCTCCGCCTGTCTACGATGTTTATCTATCCTTCAAGGACCTGCAAATGTCCAACTCCTTCCAGTTGAGGGGCGCTGTGGAACTTTCTTCCCCTTTACAGATGCCCTTCGGCCTGATAAATGCGCTCCGATGCTTTCGAACAGTATACTCCAAAAACGCCATGCAGTTTTATCGTTTGATTTTTGCCTCGTCGACGGAACGAGGCCCCAGATGGCCTCCACATACCACCCACCCGTCTTTTTCTTCTTCTTCTCAGTTTTCTTGTTCCGTGTACGTCGACAACTTCCTCCACTTCGCACCATAACGGTAAATCAGGACAGGGATGGGCGCGGTGGCAAGACTCAGCACACACAAGATAGTGAAGCCCCACCCGTACCCCATGGCCTTGACCAAGGGCTCGACGCCGAGCGGCAGGAACGTGCCCATCAGGCACCGTGTGACGATCAGCGCGGTCATGGCGCTAGCCGAGTACAGCTTGAACGCGTCGACCACGTAGGCCATCAGCGGGATGAAGCCGAGCATCAGCGCGGCGCCGAGGAAGACAAGGACGAGGATCAAGACCGGCAGCGGGGCATGGAGCTCGGCCGCCCAGCCGTACAGGGCGACCATGAAGGGGAGCGTGAAGCCGCCAACCATGGCGAGCGGGAGGCGGTACTCGGGCTGTCCTTCCCGGATGGCTCCTTTCTGGGCGTCGCGCAGCCGGATGTAGACGCGGTCGAGGAGGAGGTTGCAGATGATCACGCTGACGACGGATCCGACACCTGCAGAGACGTTGTTAGCATTTAAAGAAATGGGGAGGGTGGTTTGCACGCAAAAACCAGCACAGAGAGAGAAGGGAGGGGGGGAAGGGTGCTCTGGGGAGGACAACGGGGCTGGAAAACATACTGAAAGTGATGAACATGGATCCAGTCAATGCAGGTGAAAGACCATAGATGCCCTCCAAGATATCCGGCAGCGTCGTCGACATGACGTAGAAATAGGTGAATACCAGCGACCCAAAGAGGGACATGGCCTGCAACACACCCGAGTCGAAGAAGACGACAAACGGCCGCAGGACCGAATCCCACAGCTTCGTGCTTCCCTTCACATTCGCTTCGGCGTCGTCCACATCAACCGCTGTCCGTAGTGCGAGATTGCCGGTCTCTTTCCTCAGCCTGGCAACTCTGCGGTTGAGGATGGTCACCTTGTAAGTCTCGCGGAAACACGTGAGAAACGCGATTTCACACGCGCTGGCCAGCGTCACGCCCACCCAGAGGACCTGGCGCCAGCCCAACGTCTCGGCGATGGCGCCGGCAATGGCAGGGCCGATGGCCCCTCCCAACAAAGGCGCCAGCATGATGAAACTCATGGCCGACCCGCGCTGTTCCGACACGAACATGTCGCCCACAATGGCCGGGTTGAGCACATTCGAAGCGACGGCGACACCGGTCAAGGCTCGCGCGGTGATGAAGAGCGGCGTGCTTTGGCACAGTGCCGCCAGCACCGTGGCGGAGATGAAGAGGACGTTGGCCACATTAAAGACCGGATACCTCCCAAACGACTCAGACAGCGGAGCGAGCACGAGGGGGCCAAACGCCTCCCCAAACTCCCATATTGTGACCAGGAGGACGCTGGCGGACTTGCTCCTGGTGCCGTCGAGGTCGTACACGATCCGATTGGCAACGGGCACAACCGATATGCATGTGAAAGTCCTATGGACGAGGTTAGCTTGACTGCTAGCGAGGGGGGTATTCAAAAGGTCGAGGACTTGGATGGGAACATACACTGTGAAGGCCATAAAAGCGAGCAAAGCCACAATCCCCCATTTGTAGACATTGGGCCAGTCTCTTGGGTTTTCCAGGTCACCATTTGGGTCGAAATCAACGATGTCGCTTGGGTGAGCGGTCTTGTCCGGGCCCGGCTGAGCCTGGATGGCATTTCTGAGCAGTGGTTGCGTCTCGTCCATTGTACTCCCTGTCAATTGAGAACCTCGTCCCTGCAGGGGAAACTTTTGGAAAAGCAGATTCGACTGGTGATATCTTAGTTTGAAGAAGTCAAGGGCCAGCGTACAGTATATGTAATCTGTCCATGCAAGCAAATGGATAAGAAAGCACCACCCTAACAATGCGGAGAGGCAATTTTTTCTATGGTATAAAAGGTTCGGCCGCGGCGGAGGCAAAAAGCCAATGCGGTACGAATCATCATGAGAAGTTTATGTAAGGCGGCCGATCCTTACTGCACAGGATGAGGGCGTACCGAGATATATTTCTGGGCCACAAGGTATTTGATCCTTGTGAGCCGAGAAGGGTCCATATGTGTAGGCAAAAGGGCGCAAAAATGGCCTTGTAGGGTAGGGGGGTGATGGCGCCGTCAATAGCCGAAGTACGATCGTTGATAAGAACCATGGACCAATGAGTTGTCTCAGTTCCTGGTCGAGACCAATTTACCGCAGACGAGCTCGCAGGAGGAGTCATGTTGCCTGGAGAACGGCTGCCCACTTCTTTTGCATTTGAATGGGGAACATCGCGCAAGGCTACAGCCTCTCGAATTTGCGAAATTTGTAGCTAGATAGTAGATGTATGTATGTGGAGGGAAACCCACGAGGGAAAGCCTTCTTGAATCCCCGGCCTCACGGAGTCATCTCTGGCTGTGGAGTGCTGTCCCAAGTATTTTCACGGCTCACCATCTCTCTTTCCCTTAGCCGAGCCATGCTGACACTTATGAGTCCTTGGGAGTGCCGACTTCACCGACTTCGAGGTGTTGGTCCTAGATACTGGCGGTACACATTGTGCATCCTTAGGAGCCTGTGAGTATGTTGCGAGTGGAGCATCAAACACCTGTAACTTCGCTATGCTTTTTTCAGACCCTTTCAAAACCGATATGATGCCTTGTTTTTCACTTCCTCCTGAACAGGTACGCCGTGATCACAAGAGTTGAGTTGCGCAACGGCGAACGGATTGACGCGAACCAGCATACTCGTCCCAGCAGTCCGAATATCTGGCAGCGATCGGAAATGCCGTATGCCGATGAAGAAGGAGTCTCAGGACGTACAGATCTTCACAGTAGTTGACACGATCAGGCAGCCTGCCTTACCCTCACCGTTGATATGGAGCAGCCTGGAGCCTGGAGCCTATTGATGCTGGGCTTTCATTGGAGCTCGCGGTGAATAGAACCGAACCCAAATGCTCTGCTGCAGAAGCTTCTGCAAGATGACACTGGTTCCAACACCAGCCGGCTAGGAGCATTCATAGGCTGGCAGCAGAAATATTGTGTCTTAGTCAGGGGAAGGAAATCGAAGGATGAATATGTGCGTCATTTGGTGGTGGCCGGTGGGTGGTTTGATGCCAAGACCGGAAACTTTTGGAGGGAGATTTCTCCGCCTTCGATGGTGCAGACTCAGGCTTGTCGAATGATGCCCGACGCTGCGGCATTCTCTGTCTTGCACTAATAACTGAGAATTTAGAGACATCCAACTGAAAGTTCTACCGATACTGTTGATGCCTGCACCCATTATTCATTGTCAATTCCTTAACAAACAAGGCCTTTCTCATGGACTAACTCCGGAAGCACGTGCTTCCACTTTCGTCACGCCCAAATGCGGTGACTATCATTCCTGCCCAGTGTTCCTGAAGTCATAGCGCGGTGGGCGAGGAACACTGGCATTACCTGATGGACGAACAGGTTCGTCATCTACCAGAAAATGATTTCAGCGTCTCTGCTAACATGTCCTCCAGATAATCTCAGCGATTCAGATCGCCTACGACCCCTCCGCCGACCCAGCCCTCAAACGACAGGCTTTTGACTATGTCAACCAGCTGAGGCAAGAGCCTTCGGCATGGCAGCCGTGTCTGGCCATCTCCCTTCAAGTCCCTAGACAGCCCATGGTCATTCGAGTCTACTGCCTCGATATCGTCAACAATGCAGTCCAGGGTGGCTTGGTGGATCAACAAGGCTTAAAAACCATCGAAGAGCAGCTCTTGACATATCTGCGGAAGTTCTATGGGGCACCAGGCCAGACAGACACACCAGACCCGGGCACAATCCTCAACAAGTTTGCTCAGACTGTGACATTCCTATTCACAACCTTTTACGGTTCTGGATGGGAGACTTGCTTCGACGATTTGCTGGCCCTGACCTCCACAGGCACCGGCCCCAAAGACAACTACCCTGGACTGGTTTTCTATCTAACAGTCCTCAACGCTATCCACGATGAGATTGGAGATCAATTGCTGTCCAGGTCTCGGGCTGAGCAGGACAGGGCAAATTCATTGAAAGATCTGATTCGAGCCCGAGACGTTCAAAAAATTGCTCGGTCATGGGAGGAGATTCTGTCCCACTGGGGGACTTCCAACGATGTTGTGGCCGAGTTATGTTTGAAAGCTGTCGGGAAATGGGTTAGCTGGATCGATATATCCTTCGTGGTGAATCAATCGATGCTCGAACTCCTTTTTCAGCAGCTGGAACGAGCCCAGAAGGTCGATCCTCGCAAGAGTGAGGAGCAAGCAAGGGACGCAGCCATTGATGTATTCACAGAGACGGTCGCAAAGAAGATGCCGTCGGCAGACAAGGTCAACATGATCAGTTTTCTTAATCTCGAAACAGTCGTCTCGCGACTCGTGACTTGCCCGCCACTGAGCGACAGCAGAGCATCAAACTACGATGTCGATCTCGCGGAAACAGTCGCCAAATTGGTCAACACTACAACCATGGATATTATCAAAGTACTGGAGACGGAGACCCAGGGCTCAACGACTTGGGTCAAGGCTGAACAGCTGCTGGCTGCGTTTCTGCCACATTTGCTTAGATTCTTCTCCGACATATTCGACGAAGTCTGTTCGACGGTTCTCAACGCTATGAACGATGTTCTCACTTTCTTGAGACGCGCTAGCCAGGGTGAGGCCGCTTCTGCCCAAAGAGCAGCAATGCTGTTGCCCATCCTCAAAGCCATATTTTTAAAGATGAGGTATGATGACACTGCCGACTGGGGCCAGGAAGACGAACAGACAGACGAAGCAGAGTTTCAGGAGTTGAGAAAACGATTGGCGAGCTTGCAGTCGGCCATTGCCGCCGCGGATGAGCAGCTCTACATTGAAGCAATCTCCGCACTTGTTCACGATACTTTTGAACGACTCCGATCGGAAGGATCACGGCTCAATTGGCGCGACTTGGATCTTGCATTGCATGAAGTCTATCTGATGGGGGATTTGGCTGTAAAGGGAGGTGGGTTGTACCAGAAGAACAAGCCAAACTCACCAGCTGCCGAAAAGTTAGTTCGGATGATGCTGGAAATGGTACAGTCAAGTACGTGAGAGTATCTCCATATCTACAAGATTCTGCTGACAAGTTGGCAGACACAGGCTCCTTCGCACACCCCGCCATCCAGCTGCAATATATGGAAATAAGCGTCAGATACAGTTCCTTCTTCGAGAAGCATTCAGAATACATTCAGCCAGTTCTGCAAAACTTCCTCGAGCTGGCCCACCACCCCAGCTTAAAAGTCAAGGCACGAGCGTGGTATCTCATTCAGCGTCTCATCCGCCAACTTCGGATCTTCGTGGGAAATGCGGCGGAAGCGGTCGTGCAGAGCCTCCAGGATCTCCTGGCTATACGAGCGGAGTTACCCAGCGAAGAAGACAGAGATGACATGTCCTCCGACGGTGATGCCGCCGCCGACTCTACATTTACCAGCCAGCTGTATCTATTTGAAGCTGTTGGCTGCATCTGTGGTGCAAATACCGTCCCTACAGACAAACAGGTACAATATCTATCTGTCGTCATGCAGCCGCTCTTCGTTGATATCGAGCGTAACTTGGAGGCCGCTAGATCAGGAAATGAGCTCGCCTGTCTTCAAGTGCATCATGGTATCATGGCGCTCGGTACAATTGCCCGCGGCTTCTCCGACTTCAACCCTGGGCTCAGCACGCAAGGAAGCGGAGTTGAGCCATCGCCACAAGCGAAACAGGCATTTGCACAGGTCGCCGAGGTGACTCTCCTCTCTCTGACGGCGCTTAAGTCATCCTTCCAAATCAGGACTGCTGCCAGGTTCGCCTTTTCACGATTAATCGGCATGGTCGGTACTCAGATGATGCAGCAACTGCCCCAATGGGTTGACAGTCTATTGACTGACACTTCGACGAGAGACGAGATGGCGTTATTCCTGCGATTGCTGGACCAAGTCATTTTCGGTTTCAAGAACGACATACAAGACTTTCTCGATCGGCTCTTCTCAGGACTTCTTCAAAGAGTCTTTGCTGGCATATCTGCCGCCACCGCAGGCACGGACGATGAGATCGAGTTAGCAGAGCTGAAGAGAGAGTATCTAAATTTCCTCATGGTGATCCTCGGGAATGACCTCGGTGCGATCCTAGTCAGCGCCAGAAACCAGCCGATCTTTGAATCAGTGATCGCCTCCATTGAGCACCTCGCGAGAGACGTGGAAGACTTCCCCACTGCCAAGATGGCGTTTTTGCTGCTTTCGAGGATGTGCACAGTATGGGGAGGACCTGATGTTGTTTCTGCAACAGGTCAGGTGAACAACAATGTGCCTGGCCCGCAGCCTGCCCTTCCTGGATTTGATCAGTTCATGATCACCCGATTCTCGCCACTCTGCTGGGCTCTGCCCACTAACCCTTCGTTTAATAGCAAGGATGCACAGGCGCGGCAAGCTCTTTCCGAGGCCGCGGGTCTTCAGAAGACCATCTACACAAAAACAGGTCAGCAGTACCTGACGTGGTTGCAAGAAAAGGAGTTGAGATCCATGGGCATGAATGATACCTTGATCAACGAGTATTTGCAGAAATTGGCGGCCATGGAGCCAAAGGCGTTCAAAGTCTTTTTTGCCAAGTTAATCGCACAAGGTGGCCAGATGTGAAGATGTGAAGAGAGAAAAGCATGATTACGCTGAGAATGTGAATGACCCCTGCATATGATACCAAAGGATTCTGTTACTCAAGATGCATATGGACCTGGATGAATGATGGCCGCTGCGCCTAGACAGAAAAACATAGCTACCATAGACGAGTCAGATATGTCATGTTGCCACACACTGCTGTGTGCTGGTGTGCACTGCGATGACGACCTGTCTGATAGCACATAGCGATACAGTCGACAAGTCAACCTTTAATTGGACTGATCTCGCAGCAAACAAACTTGTAGAGTCACAATGGCAAGGCTGGCACGAGGTTCCAGAAGCAGCCTTGCGAAGGCCCACGCCAAGACTTCGGCAAACTTTCCCAATATTATGCCCACATTTGACAATTTGGTCGAACTTTTGGACGACCGAGTTCGAACGATCCGTCAATCCAGCCTACAAAACCTTACGATCAGTCTGTCGTTGAGAACCTCAAGATGGCCAGTAAGTCTACACATGCGTATGGCTGAGGATGCTGAAGCGCCGGTCTGACTTTGCCCAGAATCCAAGAACTCGTCTCAACACAACCAAGCCAAGAAGGCTCACAAGAACGGGTACGAGATTGCGGCCTCAGCAAGCGCGGCCACCGTGCTCCTGGCGATCGCTTTCCCCAAAAGTAACTTTACGGTACTGACACAGATGTTGAAAATGACAGGATCAAGAAGCCCAAGACCTTCAGATACCCATCCCTCAAAGGCACGGATCCCAAGTTTCGAAGAAACCACAAGCACGCCCTGCACGGAACGATGAAGGCGCTTAAGGAGGTGCGGGAAGGAAAGAGAGACGCTGCATAAATTCGGGAACAGAGGCATAAAATTCTGATGAAGCCTGAGTTGTGGTATGCGATTGATGAGCATGGTAAAAGCGAGACGACACTTTCCACGGCGTCTATGGAAGAGGGTCTCTGTTTTTGCGCGATGGAATGACACACAGTTGTGATGGGAATCATCCAGTACGATCGTGGGGGCTGTTTTCGACGCCAACGGACATGCTCTCGGACGGCCAGACACTGTCTTGAATGGGAGATGGACAATCCGAAGAAGAGACAGAACTTCCCCCACAATTACCCTATTGCAAGGCTGCCCAATTTCCATTTCCTCCCGATTGATTTCAACGATTTTCATGATCTTTCACAGCACCTTTGATCATTGGCATTTGTGTGTACAGCGTCGTGTCTATTTCTTCAATGCACGATGTCTGAAGGAGAACAATCTATCGTGCCTATATGGAGATTTTGACCTTCCAATTACCAAACACGGTCCTCTATATCGATGGGGGATTGTGCATGGACGGGAGGTGACAATTGTCTATTCCCTGTTTTATGCCTGCGTCGGAGCCCTGGAGCAAGTCTTGTCGCAGATTCATTTGTCGCGGAGTCATTTGTGATTACTCGATCACATAAAAGATGCTCGGATGAGGATAATCTTCGTGTGCTTCCATGTTCTTGCCGAATATCGGAGCAGCACAGCCCTTTAGTTGAAGCTCGTTCACCACGGCCTCAAAGATCAAGGCCCTGCAGGTCGCACGTGTTGCATGAGTGATGCCTAAGGATCCTCCTCGTGTCCAGACCGGTAAGGAAACCATCACATCATTGCGCCCGGTTTTTGGCCCTTACAACGAGACTGCCGTCCTGGGGAGCTGCTTCTACACCCTGTCAACACTCCAGCTTAGCCCGGAGAGGAAAGCACATGCTGGCTTTCTACTCGTTTGGATCCCTCCGCCCAAACCCCTGCATTTGTGACTGCGGGTGATCATGCTTGTTCATGGGCCAGACCGTGAACCATATGCCCTCCCTGCCCGCCCATGTACTCGGCCGAGACGTCGGCAATGAACACCCCGTCTCTGTCAGATCGTCCATTTTCATGGCTCGAGATGCAAGCATTCGAAGCAATAGCTTGCGATCCATCGAAAACTGTGCTGTCAAAGGAGCTGGGGACGGGAACGAGCAGCACGTGCAACACTGGTGAATTTGACTTGGCTGCTAATTCATCTTCGTCAGTCCTGTCCTTTGAGAAGAAGACAAAGCACTGAGTTGAGATCAAGAGAATTCAAATTGCTCCTTGGCTGAATCCCACCTGTTCTCCCAGGTGTATGCATTCGTTTGCTTTACTCCGGTACGGGGCACCTAGGCCCATCTTCAAGTCTTTTTTCCCTTGAGAAATCCTCTTTTCAACTGTGCCCCTCAAAGCATAATTCCTCCCTTCGACACATGGCTACGATGTCATTATACGCAGAGAGAACTCCGCTCGACCCAGGGACCGGTTCGTCACCACTCTGGGATGGTCATGGAGCAGGGACTGCCCCCCCCACAGCATGCCGGAGGGGCTCACCTGTATTTGGCCTGGCCAAAAATCTGAAACACACCGTCTTGATACAGCCAGACAGAAATGTCCAGGCACCACTGCAGCAGAAATCCACCAGTGGAACACTTCTCGAAGAGACATTTTCGCTAGGGCCACCAATGCTTCATGCAAGGCCCAAGGCCGAGGAGCGAGGTTCCTGCATCCGCCCTGAAGAATTGCAGTTCCAGGAGAACGAGGTGCCAGTCAGCACTCCTGCGCTAGGGAATCCTTCCTATTGCGGTATGATAGCAGTGGAGCTGTGGGACCACACACACACACACACAACCAGGTGAGGAGGTCACCGTTCTTCGTTGCGGTGCTTGGGGAAGGATATTTCGTTCTGACAAAGTTAAGCCATCTGCATGATGTTCCAAGGGCCTGCAAGGAATTGCTGCGTTGTACAAGTACCCGGATGCGAACTCTGGTATTACGATGTTTCACGACTGATGCATGCACCGCTATGCAGTACCAGGCGGACGAGCTTTGTGAGTACTTGTGGCTGTTCTGAGGATGGGATGGCTGGAATCCAGGACGGTGTCTGACCTGGGAGACAGCGCGACCACCGGAGAGCGAGTTTACCGGTTCTGGTCAGTCTCTGGTCGTGGTGGGCCTGGACTCGTTCATGAGAGTTTCTCGGTGCTTTTCGAGCAGCGATGGAATTTTCTCCTTGGGTGGTCTGTGACTGACCAGCACCCTTCAGGCCTGCAATTGTCTTGAGTTGACAAGCTCCAGACAAGATGGGTACGTCCGGTTCCACACCTACTTCAAGCCAGCCGGGACCGTTTCCTAGGTGCAGGTCCATGTGGAATCGTAACATCTGGCATTGATCCAGAGCTGATGCAGAATGAGAATCTCCTGGACCCCGACGAACTTGCATGCTCCAGCATGCCTCTGCACCGGCTTTGTGGGGTCATGGACTTTGAGTGTCAAAAGATCATTGGGGAGGAGGGGTCTACCATTGCTCAAACCCTCGACAACGAGTCGTTGAGGTCGTGGAGAAATTCCCCAAGTTCCCCTCAGAAAGGTAAGGCACATCTGCAGGGTCCTCGCAAGGAGGATCCAAAAGATGCATACAAATGCGTTTTCGTGACGTCGACAGACAGGCATGGAGATAGTCGCCAACCCACCAAGTAGTCGGTTCCTCAGGCAAGGCCGCCGGTCCCAGAGGGCTGGATCTGCACACCTGCAACGGGAGTACGAAGCGAATACCCTGGAACCCTCACAGACGCAAAAGGAGAAACAGCACCGCTGCGTTCAGTGTGAGCTCTCGTCCCACAGGTTTCCACCCACGAGACAAAGCGTTGACCACTTCCTGACACCGAACCATGGATGTGACGACCGTTGCTGGATTCTGGCGATCTTCAGATTAGAACTACTTCCTGCAAAAGATGTCAGCACCCTCCAAACTTCGCTGTGCAGATGTTGGGCTCAGTAGATGAACTTCACTGCAACGCTGCTATCCTACCATTGGGCTCTTGATACAAACCAATGTTTTGAATTAGGCGAGGGCTCTGGCACTGAACCGCACAACTAGGTAAGTGCAGCAAAAATGATCTGGGTCCACAATGGACAGAAATTTCTTCATCGCAACATCCTCGCCGGTGTCTCCAACCTGTTCCGTTTTCGCGGGTGTTTCGTATATGGGAAAACTGCCATCGTCAAGCTTGAAACACCCTCTGAAGAAATTATCATGAGCCTCCAGTCCCTGCCTCATGAGCAATCTCTTACCACTCCATGGATGTAAACCACTGGGTATTGCCTTCAACCCTGCATGGCCCTTCACCCACTGGCACACAGTGGATCTTCCGCACAGGATCATTCTTCTGAATGCCATGTTGCGGGACAATACCTCGTGTCTGGGGCTCACAAAGGGTGTACAATGCTTGAGGCCCTCCATGTGAGCTCGAGACGATTCAGTGCCCCCTTTCAGTCATCGAATGCTGCCTGCCAACGAGCTCTTCAAACACCTTCATGCAGTCTGAATCATGCAGCCCCCGTATCCCACAATGGTGAGAACGCCTGGTTGATTGCTCATTCCTTTGGGTCTGCCCTGGAAGGGAACGTGCACCGAAGGGGTCGAGTCGCTGGATGAGGCGAAAGCCCCTCGTGTCCATATGGACGATGTCAATTTCTGGAGCCCAGCTGAGCAAATGAATAATCCAAGTTGCCCATCAACAATTTGGTTATACGAAGACATGTTGCTTCACTGTGCAGAGACATCATCTTTGCAACGCTCAAGCCAGCCTCTGTTAGAGACAAACCCTACTGCTGTCCCATATAACTTTGCACGTGGCAGGCCGCGTGGTGCCGGGATCATGGGACTCTTCAAATCTGGAAAACTCTCTTTGATTGTTGGTTTCAGTTCCGCGACCAGGCGTTCCTTGTTCAGCAACGGTCGATTGAGTTTGGAAATTGACCTTTCGAGTCCTGACAAGCATGGTGGCCTTGGGCACGCCGATCCTACCGAGTCCTTGGATTATGCTAACCACCTGGATATTCACCCCTGCGCTGGAAGAGGATAAAGCACTCGAACGCTATGAGTTTCCTTCGTTATTTCCGGCGGCCAGCCTCCTGGATCTGGGCGTCGTCGTGGTTGTCACACTGCCCAATCGGCACGTGGATGGCGTTATGCATGCTTAAATTGGCCGGCCGCAGCCTCGCCAGCCTCCAATTTACGACCCCGGAACACGCCCATGCACAGTTTCTTGCTGCAGCACCCCCAATCTGTCCGTCCTCAAGGTATGTAAGTTGCACTCAGAGTTTTGCAGCCGCTCAAGGTGCGACGAGTGTGGCTGCCGGGCGCGTGGTCGAGCTAAAAAGGCCGTGAACCATGCATCATGGCGCGCCATCTGATCTCGCTTGTGCCAGAATGCCATTATTTTCCGACATGCTTCATTATCATAATCGTCATCATCTTCTTCTTGAATATCTTTAGAAAGAACGGAACCCCAATTCCTCACTAGTTCTTGGCCTTTTTTGGCGCTACTACTACTCTCAAAAAAAGCCAGAGAGATCCGTCGCGACGCCTTCAAGCCACGCCCACGACCGTCCGAAATCAGTATTTATGTCAAAACACTCGCGCCGGCATCAAGCTTGCGCATCGACGCCTACGATGGTGCGACTGCGCCGGGAGAGCAAGCAGACAAGGGATACAGCAGGGCAATCTATCAGTCAGTCAGTAAGTTAGAGGTCCAGCAGCGCCTCCCCCCATCAGTGGCCACGAAAAACAAATTTCGCATTCCGGCTCTTTGGAGGGTTTTTACGGCCCCCATACGTACGACGACGAGTATTGCTTCGTATTGTCCTCGTCCGAAGGGCGGGCTCTCGCTTCTTCCTTACGTGCTCGCGCTCTGCCTACATGCCTAGGGGGCTCGGTTATCTCAATGACCACCACAAAAGGACGGCAAGGCACGCGCGAAGGAACATCGTCTGCCCACCCGTTCACGCGCACGAGCACTACACTACTCGTAAACGAAGCCCGGAAGGATTTGCTTGGGATGTTCTCCGTACGGAGGAATGCTGGTACATATGTTCCTACATATGTCAACAGCGAAAAGCGTTCGCATTAAGTTTCGAACCGGTAGTCCCTCCGTGCTCGGTACTGCGTACATACTCCGTACACAGACCATCGATAGATTACGCGAGCCGAAGTTCGCTCAGCGGACAAACCACGATAGCGAGCCAAGAACGCTCGCTCGCTCGCTCGGCCTGGCGGATGCACCTCTTTGCCTGCCTACCGAAAGCACTGATGCACGGAAATAGGAAAGTAGAGAGGTGCTCTCTCACTCCCACCCGAAGAGGTAAAAGGGGGAAATATTTAGTACTGATAATTAGTATTCTTGATTTGCCTGCTGGCTTGCTTTAAAACTGAGGAAAGGGGGGACGCAGAAAACGACGAAACACGGCGACGTTGGCTTCACTCAAAGGACTGTCCCATGAGCATTGAAGGACGATGTAACCTTAAGAGGCGTACGTCGTTGAGTCAGTGATGTATGTATCGTACCTCGTCCTCAAAGTGTTGCTTCTCTGTGCATACATACAGTAGTAGATACCTGGTAGTAGTACTAGTACATAGTAACGATCAAGTAGCTACGGTAGCATGCGAGGAAACAGGCACGCACCACCAAGCATGCCTGCCAGGCTCGGATTCAGATTTCTGCAACCCCAGCCACACCCCCCTCGGAGTCCGTGCACAACTGACTCGCTCACTTATCGGAGACCTCACTAAAACTAAACATGTAACTAACAAGGTAACAAGGATCTCGCCCCCCTTATTGTGCCACCGCCGCCGGCGGGTGCCCACCAAAGTGCCACAATTCTGCAGATCGAGATCAGGTTCCCCGAGACCATTAGCTTTACTTTTGTAGTCAAGTTCACCATGTCCTGAGTACGTATGAATGTATGAATGTCTGTACTTGTACTTGTACCTAGCTAGGTACCTCGTACTTTGATCCGGGGTCGGAGCTTACGAACTCATTGAGAACATACATTCGCAGTAAGTAGCATTACTGCGGGTACGGACACATGGGAATACATACAGTATGTAGAGAGACAGGCCCCACACGTAAGAGGATATCCTGATGCAAGCAGCTCCGTGTGAGTCACTTCCGCGTTCCCTACTCCTTACAGATATACATACATACATAGAGGTAGGCTACGAGTCGTTGTTGTTACAAGGGGGGAGAGAGACAGTACAGCGTTCGCAGGAACCACTAATGTATGTACCGAGTACTGGCGTCTTTTCGGGAAATAAAACCCTCCCTCCACCTCCCCACATGGATCCAGGATCCAGGAACAGGAGACGCATGGCCGGCCCCCCCCTCTTCTCGAGAAGATAAGCTTTGTCGCAAGGGGGAAGGGGAGGTCCTTACTGTACCTACTCGCTACCTACCGAGCTACCTACCTCCCTCCCTCGTACTCGTACCAAGAACGGCTTAGTACATCCACACTGTGCACGGAGATATCTTCAGGATCGGATCTAGCGTGCTCCGCTAGTCAGGCGGGATTGGCGTAACGGCCAGTCCGAATACGGACTCGGGCGAATTATTACCCAGTTGGCGTCCCTTTCCTCACACGTTGGTGGGGCCCGCCTGACTCTAGGTACAGTAGCGGCGACGACGTCCTATCCTGAGCGTCGCAGTTGGAATTCCCACTGCTCGGTCGACGATTTGATCATTGAGCGAGTAAGTGAGTCAGTGAGTCAGTGCCAGTCAGACATAATAGGCTTTGCCTAGCCCTCCGCTTCACCTGGCCTGTCCTGTCGGCAAGCGTCATAGCGAGTGAAGGTCGGCTCGAACGCGTCGAAACCTACTCGCAGATTGCAGAATCCGGGGGTGTTTGGCGAAAAGCCCTGTGTGCGTAGTCTACCCACCCGGCTGGACCGAGGGCGAGCAGGTGGCCAAGACGAGGTATGGATACCACGAGCTGGAGGACGACGGAGAGACAGCCTTGTGGTGGTACAGAGGACAAACACAGGACGAAATAGACTCTTGGCTGTTGAATCTTCAAGGAAGGCTTGATTGAACCTTTCTATCAACTCTATACATACATAGATACATCTACCCTCACATCGGTCACTTCCGGCCCAGTGCCTCTCGTCCTGCTTCACAACCCCAGAAGTCAAGCTATCACGGGACAGGATGGCCCGACTTCTCCCACTCTCCTCAGTGCTGCCTCACCCACCCCATATCGTTCGCTTTCGAAAGGAAAATAACAGGCAATTCTGGTACGATCCAGCACCCCTCTTGCCATGCATTACAAAGCGACAAGGGTGAATCTCTCTTCATCTTTGTACAGTTTTTGTCGAAGCCAGCAGCTCACACTGCCGTCCCAATCCAATTCCTTCTCGTTTCTGTCACTCGCCGTCAACGTTGCTTTTCTCGCTGTGAAGCGTCCTCTCCTCTGTATTGACAATGTCGACTCGAAAGGGGAACCCTCGAATGTTGAACCACGATCATGGTGGCTCCAGGAAAACGCCCTGCCGACGGGCGATCTTGTGTACACATTCTGCCGCCTCCCAATGCTTTCCGTCTTCCCAGTTGTACATCACAATGCTGCACACACACTGTGCTTTCTTCCATTTCCTTTGTGGGAACATAGAAGCCGCGTAAACTCATAATGCATTGAAAACACTGCGGGACCGTGGACCATGTAAGTAAGATATGGTCAAACAGCCACTTCCCGGCCATATGAAACAGTAGCAAAATTCCTGCTGCTTAGATCATAAGCAATCCTCGGCGCCACACGCTGAAATGTGCAGAAAGTATATATTGTTGAATAAATAGAGTGAAAAGTTCGGGTGAGACACATCGATATGTTTCATCCCGAATAATTGTCCAGTTCGATCCCCTTTCCGGAGAGATCCATCGGTCTCGCGTGTGTCATCCTCGGATCCCAATCTTTGTGTTGACTCGGCGGAGTGGGATGGGAGTAGCTCGATACCGGCGTAACGTACGCTCGAGCTGAGCCATAGAGTTCTTGCTTCGTGGCCGTCGGCGAGAATTCGGTTCGCATTCGGGGACTGGTCAAAGCTCGATCTGGGGTTTTGAGGTTCAGTTGAGGCGTCGCTCCGCTCAGCATTTCGTACGTACGAGGGTCGTTCGAGAACCGTCTGGCATCAGCCGAGACAAATTCACTCTTTCGAAACAATTTTGTTTGGACAAATTCCACCCAGCCATGAGTCATAGACCACCGGCCCATGAACATCAAGCACCAGAACCCGCTCAACTGTGACAAAGATCAGAATATGTTTGGGAACAGATGAAGATCAAGAGAGCCTTACCCCAAGAACAATCAGCACCGCCAGAACGACCCCCTCGGATTTGACCAGGCCGCTCCCGAGCGACAAGCATTTGTTTTTGTCGCCTTTGTTGGCGACCAGACAGGTGAGCCAAGGCTGGGCCTTCTGCAAAAGCGCCGCGTCGACTTTAGTGCTGTTGTCCATGGACACAAAGACCACCGAGAAGAACACAACTTCTGCAATGATGACAAGCACAATACTGGCCCCACGCCATTGAAGCTCGACCACCCTCTTGACTCGGCGGTAAGTCTGTCTTGCCGTCACCGTTTTCATGCTCCCTTGGTATGTCGGAGGCTGAGAGCTGGAATTGGTGGTTTGCTTGTCATCGAGAAGACTCTTAACGTAGACCTGCACGCAATAACCGATGGTGACGAATTGCAATACCAACGCCAACGCGCCGAATGCCAACAGAGGTCCCCAGTAATCTTGAAGGGCGTCTTTGTGGTTGATGTGGCAGACATTGCCAAATCGGAATGACACTCCAGTCAGGCTTAGGGTCAATGCAAGGCCAATAATAGGGATTAGCCATCCCAGCACCAGTGATGTGTAGAAAGTCTTGTTCCCAAGTACAACCTCCCAGCAGATCTGGAGATGGAGGGCGAGTGCTCTGCAGAAAACCCAAATAACAATGGCCCAACCACCAAATAACAAGAAGGCCCCGCTGATTGCGCAAGAGCCGCTCGATTTCATGTCATTCGGGGTAATTTCGTTGTAGCACTGCGCTGGTTTCGTGGCCAGTGGAATAATGAAAGCGAGCTTGACCCCAAGAACATCAGCCACAAGGTTCAATGCGATCATCAACCTTGAACATACCTCCACAAAAACCACTCCCAAGGTCAGACAGACACTTAAATAGTGTCTATGGGTATACTTGACGGGAAGAACAGCAAATGACAGAAGAAGATATATGGACAGCACAAAAGCCGCCACATTTACCCAGTTGGCAATTTCGGTGCGGGATTCAAATCCTGACGAAGAAGTTCAGCACGTCGACTTCTAACAGTGTTTTCTGCCCTCCGCTTACCGTCCGAATATGTCCAATCCGTCATCGGACACGGTAAACAACAGGTTAGGTTGGGTTGAAGCGTGGACAAGGGCATGCAAAACCGTCCCGCCGTAACTGAAGATTGTTAGCGACACCACAGGGAGCAGTCGAGATCGAAGATAAGTACATACATCCCCCTGACTCTGGGAAGAGGCTCTCTTGCAGGAACGGGGCCGGGCAAGAGCCCCCGAGACTAGACGTCGAAGACATTTCGAGTTGTTTGCGAGGCAGTCAAGCCAGATTGTTCAGTCCTATATTCTCATGACCGCGGTTTAGGTCATTGAGGCTGGTGGCGATTCGAGAGGTATTTGTGAGTCCAAGTCGCGTGATGTGATGGGTAGAATGGGGACAAGTAGATGTGGGAGAGTTGAAATGGAGGGTAGGGTGGCACGGCAGAGGATATGAAGAAACAGACGCTGGTCCGTCAGATTTCTCCTGGTGCTCTATGGACAAGATGAGGGGTGGAAGAGAAAGTCGTCCAGACGGATCCTCAGACGCGCAAAAGGGCCGTCTTTTTGTCTTGAGAAGGAAAGTCGTCAATCAGGGCTGGCCCATGTCCAGCAGACGAGCGAGGATTCGGCGGGGTGGAGGGCTTGTGGGAATTCGGAAAAGTGGAGATAGAACACAGAGGCCCTGGTCAAGTAAAAAGCGGTTGAGTGGTGGCACGGGTTCTTGAAGGACCTGGACCTGCAGCTGACTGTGAATTTATTCGGCTTGTTAGGCGTCTTGGGTTGAGCAAGGTACAGACGTCGTAGCAGCTCCGTTCCACATGGGGGGAGGATGTATTTGATCGTGGCCGATGCCAGTGGGGGAGCGGATCCTGTACTTGGCAGTGGTGGTGGAGATAACTGTCAGGCACCTCTGGATGACTGGCACACGGCAAACCCATGGACAGCCGCCGTCAGCCCAATCGCTGGACAAAGATGCAGAGGCTGGGATAGGAAGGAGGCGAGGGCAAAACACCAAGAGGTACTCCCTGGAAAGGGACGTACCCAACTCGCCGAATGTGCCAGTGGCGCGATGCATTTTCCACCGCCTTCGCCAATGGAAGGTGTGGATAGAATTGCACACAACGGTGCCTGGGTTAGCCCTGGTCCCTGGGAGCGAATGGGGTAACAATGCGTAAGCTGGAGCAATTTTGACCACAAAGGAAAACCCGATGGATCGGGCATGGAGGGATTGGGCGTTGGGCCTGAGAATACGACTCTCTGGGTTTGACGCGGTTTGGCAAGGTTTGAGAATGTGTGAGTTTGGGACCAGGGTCATCGACCAGGGCCGCTCAAGTGGAAAAGAAACCGGAGCTAGCCAGCCAGGCTAGGGAACTCCAGGAACCGCCAACGGTCCAGGGTGTGTGCTGCACGTTGGGTCTCCGTCTTTCGTGATGGACCAGGATGGAGGAGTCCCAGGTACTCCGTACAGTAGGCTTCATCTGCCCCCCCTGCTGTGGTACTGCGTGGTACTCGGAGGAGGAGTACGGAGTACGGAGTACATCATCTCGCGCCAGGGGGTGTTCGAGGGTCACCCACTCCTTTTTTTCGTCGTGACTAATTTTGATATGGCAAAGAGAACAACAGGAAGAGACAGACAATGACTGCGAAGAGGGCAGGGTACCGAAGAGTCGAGGACTCGTAAGGTAGTCCGGGCCATAACACTGGTCTAGAATCAGTAACACGCTCACACAAGCTGGGAAACCTCAGTAACCTTGCAGCTGGCGTGTTTCCTCGTGTTTGTCCATGGCGAATGTTGATGAAGAATCAGTGATGCGATGTCATTGAAGTGGAGGTGAAAAGTTGATGGACACATGGTCAGCTGGAAAAGTGACGAAAGGCGCAGGGTGCGCGGGACACCAGATGCAAGCTGGAGTTGGCATTAACTTTTGGTGCCTGAGCATTGGACTCGGGGCCCTAATTACGGAGCTCGGAGTAAGAATAGGTCCCTGGCTAGGGCTCTAGGCCCTATCGTCCCAAGGCCCTAGGCGGTAGTACTGCCCACACCCCAAAATACCAAGCCGGCCAGTGCCGAATTGTGTATACTCAATAGCAGGCACAAGGTACACCAGTCCTCCAGTACTCTTACATACTGTCTCAAGTTCAAGTGATTGCCTGGCTTCACATCGATGCAATCTACCTGACCGGAGGCCATGTACAAGGTACATACGACGAATTACCATCTTCTTCCTCCAGCGAAACAAGCCTGCTGCTTCGCCCTGCTCGGGCTATCCGAAGGTAACTCCTACCTCCTTCCGCCCCAGCCTCACGCTTTCGGCGAATATACCCGCAAGCTTCTAGACGATGTATCAGAAAAAAGCAGTACGATGGTGCAGGTACTCGTGCTCCGTCCACACTGTCAGCTGGCCACTTCTGCGGCCACCTTGACAGCCTTGAATCGGCAAAGTGACAGCCCAGTCAATGCGGCCAGCCACCGCTATCACCGCGCTGCTTCACCGATCTTTCCCTCGGCCTGCGTCACTCCATCTGGTCGCGTGCCAGCTTTGGCATTGATCTTCCTCTCCTGTTCTTTCGCCACATTCTCAGCTAGAAAAGTCCTCAAACACGAAATCTCGCTGGAGGGAAAGGGGGGTAAGTCGGATAGTCCACTAAAGGACAAGAGCTCAACAATTCACTCAGCACTCCGAGGGCATACAAGGTTTCACTTGGTGTATCACCCTCAGTATGCACGCTGAGAGTCGCACTTTTCTGCCTGGACATCAGCATCTACATGTCATTGGACATGTTCCCCACGTCAACTTCCAAAATGCACTACAGTGATGCATGCTCGACAAATTTCTCTGGCCCTGTCCGGCCCAGAAAAAGTTCGAGTCCCGATTTTGCAAATCATGGCTTTGACATTGTCAACCTTACTGACCGCTTATCTGACCCTATGTCTTTCCCTGATCACGCAACCAGAAAAGTCCCTCGCCCAAGCCAGGCCCGGCCAGGCCAGGTCAGTCCACTTGCGGAGTATTCCCTGGTGAGGCTGCGCCATCTTGGGCACGTGGATGGCCAGGACAGTCCATGACACGCCGATCATGGAGATCGCCATGGAAAAGACGGAGCATTTGCCTCGAGATTGGGGATGAGCGCTTGCTCTTTCGTATATGCAGATATTTGGGATCTCCGGTAGACTTTCTCCGTCTGAATTTTATGATTCGCCCGACTTTTCAGCAACGCCATCGCTAGCTCGGCACCAAGGATTTTTGGCACATATCCAATCAACACCGAGATCTTCGATTTCGGATTCACATTGGTCCTCTGCTTTGTGTCGACCAATTTATTTCTCAAACTTATGTGAGCCCCAGGTCGTCTACGCGCTGACCTTTTCGGTCATCCGTCCAGCCGGAGCCGCCCCTTGCGGCTTGCTCTTGAGAATCTAGCCGACGTGCCACAGTGCCAGGATTGTCAAGATTCCAGAATTCACCAAAACCGTTGCTTCCTGCACGCTGGAGATGCCGGCGCTCGCATCTGACCGTACTCGTACAAGAATCTTGGTCAGCTGGATATCCATGTTCGTCTCGTCCCTTGTGACCGCTGCCTTGGGGCGAAAAGTGATACATTGTTTGATTGTGATTGTTGCGACTGGCAGCGAAGCCGCGCCCAGAGTCTGGGGGTGGCTAGATAGTAGGTGGATTCGTTCCGTGCCGATGTCTCAAGTCAACCCACCTGCTGCAATTTTACGGATGCAGAAGACGCCCGGGAAATCCACGAGGGAATGTGAGGTAGGATCTCCAAGGCTTCCAGCACGCGAGCCTACCCCTTCCCCACGAGAGGAATCTTGCTGTCGTCAGGGAGCGTTCAGCACGCGGTCCTTCATGTCTTGGTCAGCACAAGGCTTTCCTCCAGCAGGGGCAATCAACCCTACCACAAATTGTTCCAAACTTGCTTCAAACAATTCGTTGTTGACACCAATCCCGCCAGGATGCTCGACAGGTGACAATGGATTTTTGACTACGTACTCGACATAACAATTGACGTAGATTTGCTGCAAAGCTATCCTCATCGAGCCCGACTTGGTGTCCGTGAGCATGACAAACTTCGTATTGGTCGGCGTCTCGTAATAATGCAGTTTGTACTGGGAGGTCCGGTAGGAAAGGAAGCTGTATTCTCGATCAGCAGAGTTGGTCTACCAGGTTGCCCGACCGGCCGACCTGTCATCTTCGCCTCCCAACTTCCGCACCATGTTTCGCAGAGAGAACACTGTCCCAAATATGAGCTTTGCGTCGTCCTCTGCGCTCAACATAGAGCGCGCTTGCGGCCCGCCATTGACGTATGTCTGGGAAGACGGCCTTGAGGTTTTGCCGGTGGTCGAGATTGATGGAGGCAGCCATCGCCTCTTGTAGATGCATTCAGCTGCAACAATCAGACATCTCGGATCATAAGAGGTCAACCTGTAGCCTGAATAATCCCTCACCATGTCTATCGAATATGTAGAAAGAGTAGACCACCATTGTGACGGTGAGTGTGCTGGTTTCCAATCGTCAAGAATTGATGGCTGCGGACATGCACCGAGGGCGGAATTCACTCAGCAGGTCGACCAGAAAGAAACAGTGACCTATTCAGAGGCTCTGAGATAGAACAGAATGTCCGATTGTCGAACGTGACGTTGCGCAGCGTATGACCGGTGGTCACTTGCAGATAGACACTTCAGACTTCCAGCACCAGCCAAGAACGGGCAAGTGCAGCGGAGAATTCATCCACCGATCGACCATGGTCCTCGACCATCCGGCGTCATTCTTTTGCTGGGTGACGGTACCTAACCAAAGCTGAGCTCGTCCGGGCTCTGTATCCAGATATCTAACGGCCATCGTGGGAGGCTTCCAACTCCAATGTCGAGTGCCCCATGGATATCGTTGCGTCGCCTACGTCCACGTCGGCGGAGGAAGCTGGTCGCTTTCCCGGAAGCAATGCATCAGACCAGCCCCGCGATCGACCACAATCACATGTGAATACCCTCCAAGACGGTGCCAACACCAATAACTCGTCCCCCCTCATCAAGCCTCCTGTGGTCAAACACTTGTGAGTCGAAGATACCTACCAATCTACGACGGGATCAAAGTGTCTGACCTCCGCTGTAGGTCCAGCCCCGAGTACAATACACCCTCACGCCATCATCGCCGGAGCCCTTCAGCGGCCAGACAAGTCAAGGTATACCACCTCCGAGACGACTCTACGGGCCTTCTGATCTAGCCTTTGCAGGAATCTCTCAATGCACGATCCGAATACGTCACCAGCAAAGATGACGGCGTCGCAGAACACCGCATCAATCAGTATATTATCAAGCAAGAGATTGGCCGCGGATCCTTTGGCGCAGTTCACTTAGCCATCGACCAGTATGGGAAAGAATACGTAAGGACTCCTGACGGACCAGTCCACGGAGCATTTGCTAACCTGCGGGAACAGGCCGTCAAAGAATTCTCCAAAGCGCGACTGCGCAAGCGAGCACAGTCTCACATCCTCCGGAAACCTCTGTCCCAAAGGCGCCGGGGAGCGTTACAAGGCTTTAATTCTCCCCTGCACCGAAATGTCGGCAATGAGGGCGAACTGCAAGCCAGTTCGATTGACCTGATAAAAGAAGAGATTGCCATCATGAAGAAATTAAACCACCCAAACCTGGTCTCCTTGATTGAGGTGTTGGATGATCCCACAGAAGATTCGCTATACATGGTATTGGAGATGTGCAAGAAAGGTGTGGTGATGAAGGTAGGGCTGGAAGAAAGAGCAGATCCGTACCCCGACCATGTCTGTCGATACTGGTTTCGAGATTTGATTCTCGGAATTGAATATTTGCATGCTCAAGGGGTAGTGCATCGTGACATCAAACCGGACAACTGCTTGGTCACTGAAGATGATGTGCTCAAGGTGGTCGACTTTGGCGTCTCGGAGATGTTCGAAAAGGACTCCGAAATGCTTACTGCAAAGTCCGCCGGCAGCCCAGCGTTTCTCCCCCCGGAGCTCTGTGTTGCTCGACACGGAGATGTATCGGGGCGTGCGACAGACATCTGGTCAATGGGAGTGACTTTATACTGCTTAAAGTACGGCAGAATCCCATTTGAGAAGACGAACATTTTCGAACTCTACGAGGCCATCAAAACCGACGAGCCAGACTTGGGCGACGAAGTAGATGAAGATTTTCGGGATCTCATGAACCGCATTCTGGAGAAAGATCCGCAGAAACGTATCAAGATGCCGGAGTTGAGAGTAAATACTCCCGCTGAGTCGTGTCACACATGCTGACCTGGTCCAGGAACATCCGTGGGTTACGAACAAGGGCACTGACAAGCTGCTTCCAGAAGAGGAGAACACCTCTGATCTCGTTGAGCCCCCCACGGAGGCTGAGATGAACGCGGCCATCACCAAGAATATGAGGAATCTCATGACAGTTGTAAGCTTCGGAGATTGAATTTGGTTGAGAACTTTGCTGATGATCATTTTCTGCAGGTGAAAGCTGTCAACAAATTCAAGTCGCTTGTAGGAAAGGATAAACCGAAGGGTATGACCTCGATACTGGGCGACCAAGAAGGCGCACATTTCTCTCACCCTCCGGGAGCCATATCCAAAGATTCCGAATCTCCTCTCCCGAAATCACATAGTTTCAATGCTTTTGGCCAAGAGCATACCGACGCGCAACCACGAATTGAGGAGCTTTCCCAAGACGTGAACAGGCTGAATGTCCGACCAGTACCTACGCTGAGTATCGACGATACGACAAAGAGCGAAGAGCAAAAAGGTGTCGAAAGAGGCAGGGACATTGGCAGCCCTTCGGGAGGACTGACTCACACACCCACCAACACAGATGACTCGCTCTCCAGAGTTCAAAGCCCAATAGACATTGAAAAGCTCGATCCAATGAAGCTGCCTCCATTCCGATCGCTGAGGCTGCATGCAAACACTACTGACGAGATAGGCCACCGAGGGCACGCGCACGACCCGTTAGAGGACCAACTATACCTTTACATTGGTCCGTCCACATTTTCGGGGGTCAGTTCTGGCCCCGACGACGACAGGACCTTTGTTCCCGGAGACGAAGATGTGCCCATCGTCAGTGAAAGCCCTGGGGCAGCGGACGTGGACATTTACGAAACCGCGTACCGTGACGAGATTGAGCGAATCATGGCTCGAGCCCAGGAGGAGAAGAGGGAGCCCAACGTTTACCTCACGAGACGCGTGGATGCTCGGTTGATGGCCATCAGCGGACTCGCCGGTAAATGGGCGGCGAAGGGCGAAGAAGCCAAGAACCAGATCAAGGACTATACGCAGTTCTCTGCTCGAAAGGCCCGGGTGACCGAAGTCAGCCGCGCACTGCGACAAGCCGCCAGAGAAGAGTATGAAAGAAGGAGGCAGGAACACCGGGAATGGATCGCCGCCGAGAAAGCACAACGAGCACGAGCCAAAGAAGCAGAGGCGTCGAAAGCAAGCACCCCTCCACCCGCGGGGGCTGGAGCTGAAGTAGAAGAAAACACGAGCACGCCCACCAGCCCTCAGTCGCCCGGGAAGTACTCTTCAGCATGGAAAGGTAAGGCAGTAGATGCTGGACGACAAGCAAGAACCTCGCTCATGGGACTTATGGACATGGTTAAGAGCAAGAGCCGAACACGGTCGAAAGACGAGGCCAACTGAACCCGGAGATGCTATCTATCACCAATTGGGTATTGCATAGGAGATTTGGCCCTGGGCCTTGGCTCCATGATACACCATCTAGAGGCGCCAGGCCTGGGACGAGAAGACATGGCAGGGCCTCAATATGTTGTTTTGACGCCTATTGGCTACTCGATATTCCAGCCACTTGGAGGACCACAGGACATACAGGCTGATATCTTGTGGTTTTCCGTGTCTGGTGATACACGCACGATCCCACCATCGAAAACTTTTGTCTTGGGAGTAAACGGCACTGGAGGGTTAATAGACATAGGAAGGGCTCACAGATAATATGGGGATAGACAGGCGAGAGAGGTGGAATTTTGAACGTCTGAGGAGCACCCGACCTCGGCCTGGGGATACATTGGAAGATGGAGGAGGTACACAGAGATGGTGGGGCTGGTGAGAGTGCTACTGCTGCCATTATCGCTTGGATACGGGGGGAGGCATAGTGAATGGAAGGATAAGAGAGACAGCGCGATGCCTTTCCGAAGGGGTGCGACTGTGACCGAGACTGACTGTGAGAGGCGGAATGTCGGAGGCTCGTCTTGGCAGAGAGAGACTGTGAGAGACGAGCGAGAGAAGAGACCTTTCACCCATTCATCATCCCATTCCTCCCATTCTCCCAACAATCAACCACCCTCAGACTCACCCATCTTCGTTTTCTTCTCTTTGGCGGTTTCCTGAGGAACTGCAGCCGGGACTCCCTGATTCTTGGTTACATATTTCGCTGCCTCGTGCCCGGTGTCTGTGGCGCCTGGAGATGATGGGAGGGAGCCACCACGCTATCCTGCCCTCTTGAATGTCCTTCACCCGCCGCCGCCCTATTGCTTTTGCTTCGTCACCTGGTCCCCGGTCATTGCAGAGACAATTCATCTCATTCACTCCTTGAAAGGAAGAGAGACACAAAAGATCACCGTGCGACGGCGAATTTATGGGGTGGTAGACACCTCTGCCCCTCGTTCATTGATAGACCGTTCGGCGGCTCCTCTGCTGTCTCATTCCCACCCTCGAACCTCAGGCAATTTACGCAATTGGCAAGTGCAGCTAGGGAAAACAAGGGCTTCCTGATCATCGCACCTTGAACTCTGGATTGTCCAGTGCTGAATTGCTATCTTTGTTGGAGCTCCACGGTCGCCCAGATGCCCAAGACCCCGTGAAATTTCTGCACCACCTCACTCTGGCGTCGGTTTGACACCAAACCATCCCTGGGGGTCACACATTCATCACAATCGTCTTCAAGATGGGTCAGCTAAGCAGAGATTCATCCCGACGTGCATCTACAGACGAGCAAGAGACGATTGAGGTCAAGCGCGAAGAGTCGGTGGATGCAGAGCTTGCCCACGAGCTGAGCACCACCCGCGTAGCCGCCATCAAGCATCACAGCTCGGCGAGCCCGTCGGCTTCACCTTCTCTGGAACCGGCCCGGTTAAAGTCCTCACGTTCATCCTCTGTATCGACATCTTCTTCAGTTCGGCTTCGCGCCGCTGATCCTGACACGTCAACTGCCAAGAAAGAGCCGAACGAGGCGAATGGTCACCACTCGACCTCCACCGCGCCCGTCAAGCCTGAACCCAAGGAGCCATCAAAGCCCGCAAAGACCTCCCGGGCCACCTCTAAGCTTCCCCCTCGTGTCGCTCCTCTCTACGACCACCTCCCCGATGCAACAAAAGAAGCCACCTCGACATTCACTGTCATTGATACGTGCACTTACCAAAACAAATATCTCGGTTACAGCGAACATGCTCTCGACTGCGATTGCAGCGAGGAGTGGGGTGAGTCTGCCGCCCATTTGGATCATTGATAATTCTCGCAGCGGCTGATTATGTATATATCCAGACCCGTCCACCAGGCAGAATCTTGCCTGTGGAGAGGATTCCGACTGCATCAACCGCGCGTGTAAAATGGAATGTGTCAATGACTGCGGCTGCGGTACCTCGTGCCAAAACCAGCGGTTTCTCAGACGCCTCTACGCCAAAGTGTCCATCATCAAAACCGAAAAGAAGGGCTATGGTCTTCGCACCGACGTCGATTTGCGACCCCATGACTTCATCTTTGAATACATCGGCGAGACCATTCCTGAAGGGACTTTCCGGAAGCGCATGCGGCAGTATGACGACGAAGGGATCAAGCATTTCTATTTCATGTCTCTGAGCAAAGGTGAGTTTATCGATGCTACGAAGAAGGGAAACCTTGCTCGTTTCTGCAACCACTCTTGTAACCCCAATTGCTACGTTGACAAATGGGTGGTCGGTGATAAATTGCGCATGGGCATCTTCGCCGAGCGCTATATCAAGGCTGGGGAAGAACTGGTCTTCAATTACAATGTCGATCGATATGGCGCCAATCCGCAGCCCTGCTATTGTGGCGAGGCCAACTGCACCGGTTTTATCGGAGGCAAGACCCAGACCGAACGAGCCACCAAGCTGTCAGCCGCGACTATCGAAGCCTTGGGTATCGAGGATGATGATTCATGGGATACCATGGTTGCGAAACGGCCACGCAAGAAGAAGACGGCGGAAGACGACGAGGACTACGTGGACAGTGTCGAAGCCAAATCTCTAGACGTCGATGGCGTTACCAAGGTCATGGCCGCACTGATGCAATGCAAAGAGAAGTGGATTGCCGTCAAGCTCCTGCAACGCATTCAACGATGTACCGATGACCAGGCGTGGCACCGAGTCGTCAGATTCCACGGGTACCAGATCCTCAATTCGCAGCTCTCGGCATGGCGCGATGACGAGAACATTATTCTTCAGATTCTCGACGTCCTTGACCGACTGCCCCGGCTCACGAGGAATAAAATCGTGGATGCCAAGATTGACAAGACCATGGAGTCTTTAACCAATCATTCTGACGAGAGAGTAGCGACCCAGGCGTCAGCGCTGCTGGATGCGTGGTCGAAGCTCGAATTAGCGTACAGAATACCCCGGAAGAAGAGGGAAGATGCTTCCACACCCGTCAAGACGGAGACCACGCCATTTGAGCGGAGAGAATCTGCCCAGGGACGAAAAAGATCCAAATCGAGGTCGCCATCTCCGCCGAGAGGGCCTGCTTCGATAAGTGCGCCCTCCGGCCCACGGTCACTCCAGCGACCGGGATCCTTCTACTCACGTCCCCCCATACCTTTTCATCGTGGGCCGCCTCCATTGCCGCGAGGCTGGTTTTCGGCCCAAGACAAAGGCAGGACTTATTACTATTCTGTTAACGGGCAGACCACATGGGCCCGACCGACGAAACCCGCAGAAGAAGCCCCTCCCCCACCGCCACCGAAACAGCCATCCGAGCGAGATGTGCTGAAGAGTATCATTGAGAACATCGTCACGTCTCACGACAAAGACACCAAAAACAGTACCCCGGACACGCCGGAGCCTACCAAAGTGAAGAAGGAAGAGAAGTGGAAGTCGTACGACATTGAGAAACAGAAGAAGCTCTACGAGAACACTGTAAGCATTGCTTTGTCTTCCGCATCATGGGGAAACTGTCTAACCAGCTGGTCTAGCTCTTCCCCCATATCTCACACGTCATGAACAAATACAAGCACAAAATTCCCCGGGACGACCTGAAACGATTTGCAAAGGAGATCGCTAAAAAGCTAGTGGCCTCAGACTACAAGGCGGGGCGAGTGACGGATCCCACCAAAATTGATGAGCGGCAACAGAAGAAAGTGAAAGAGTTTTGCAAGCAATTCTTCGAAAAGGCTTACCAAAAGCACAAGAAGCACGAGGCTGAAAGGGCGGCGGCAAAGAAGGAGAGGAAGAAGGGCCCAGGAGACGGTGAGGGCGCCGTGGCGTCACCTGCTCAGTCCCCTACCATATCGCCTCCTGAAGCAGATGCCGCCTTGGATAATGAGGACATCAAAATGTCGGATAATGAAGACGGGGACGCAGATGCTACGCCCGGTTTCAACACCCCATCCGAGCCCAATGGAGCTGGGACGTTAAAACGGAAGCGTATCGAGACAGAGGACCTCGCTGGGGCCGGAGCCGAGGACGAACGAGAACCGATTGGATCCCCGGTCAAGAGAGTCAACGTGGAGGCTGAGACGCCACCACCCCCGCCACCTCCTCCTGCGCCGCCAGTAGAGACGCCGCCCGACAGTACACCCCGCGACGGGGAACATGAAGGCGCTGATGTGGAAATGGGCGGCGACACAGACATCTACGCGGACACCAATTTCAAGGGAAAGAGCATGGCGGACGTGCTCGCCCAGGCGCAGGCGGAAGATGTGGATGACGGGGATGACGCGGAAGACGTGGTCATGAGGAATGGCATTGGCCCGGAGGCGGAGGGGGCGATTAGAAATCCCATGGTCGATGATCAGCCCGTTGACGCGACAGAGGCAGGCGGATAACAGCTATGAGCACGGAGTCGAGGTTGGAAGTTTCTGCATTACTTCACGAGCGTACTACCATTGCAAGGGGGGAGGATTCTTGGAGCAACTTGGACATTTTTGTGTACATCAACCTGGTAACTCGAGGATCGAGGATCAGAACGGTTGGCGAGATCGTCCACAGCGCGCGGAGAGTGACACTGCTGGGGTTGACTGATTGAGTCTTGGGGGTCACGCCCACTGTCGTCCCATCCTTCTAGGGATCAAGAAGGTCTTTTTGCTCTCTTTCACATTTGACCACAGCGTGTGGGATACTAGCCTAAGCTGTTCTGTGTAGTTGTAGGAGCACACGCTAACCAACGACCTGGTTGATATAATAGCTACACGAGAGAGAAAGAGAGAGACAAAGCGACGAAGTTCTCGAAAGGCCCAAAAAGTACCCAAGTTCTAAACGACTGTGGTCGGGTTTTATTCACAATCGGGATCTCTTAAATCCAGTCAGGCCAGAGAGGGGTAGAGACAGAGACAGACAGAGATGGATGATGGAAAGCGAAGAGAAAAGAGAAAAGAGAAAGAGGCTCCCATGGATGAATATGATATCTCGATCGAGGATCGCGCGATGAATGTTGAAAGGTTAACTTGACTTGTTGAACGGTGATGGATGCTTGGTCCCTGAACTGACTGGCCTGATCCTCGAGGCGATGTGCTGTGTTGCTGCGATATTGATGTAGCCTTGAGATGACAGACAGACAGACAGATCTCAACGGAGTCTCAACTCTCGACCGAGTTTACCGAGTCATGTAATCAATCAAGCTCTGGTCGACGGAGGGAGGAAAAGACACTCACTCCATGGATCAATCGCTGCTGCTGCTCAGACTCTTCCTATGAAGCCCCGATCTCGGTCTATTTCTTTTTTTTCTTCATCATCATCATCATCGTCTTCTTCTTCTTCCTTCCTTCCTTCAGTTCCCCCTCAATCATCACGTCCTTTTGGGGAGCATACCGGGCGAATCATGCCTTTCTGCCCTTTTCCTTGGCCTTGTCCTTGTAAAGTGATAAAGGCAGGCCTCATAAGTCACGTCGTCAAGTCCCGTCTGTCCGTTCCTTCATGGAGTTGGCTGAGTCGTTAAGCGATTCGTGGGGGTCCCGAATCAGGAGATGTCGGGATAGAGAGCCACCAACCAAGTAAGTTCGCCGCGCTTTGAATCTGCTCTGCCACTCGCGCTCCTGCTCGTGCTCGTGCTCGTGCTCTTGCTCTTGCTCTTGCTCTTGCTCTTGCTCTTGCTCTTGCTCTTGCTCTTGCTCTTGCTTGTGACACCTAGCTCGCAAGCTTCGGTAGTGATCATTCCCGCGCATGTGGCCTTCCTCAGAAAAGGCCTACATCGATCCTCTTTTTTTTGCTTCTTCTTCTTCTCTCGTCTTGGAATCCTTTCTACACTCGCTGCCGAGGCAGATCTCATCAGAGGTTGCGGGAATATGCGGGATGGTATGTAGAACCTCGTCGCTCGAGATAAGTATTTTTTTTCCTTCCCCTCTAATCGCCCGAGGTGCGTCGCCGCCCGTTCCCTCATCTGCGACTGATTCATGAAAACCAGTCTGCCGCGAGGGAATGTACCATTGTTATCCGTGAGCCAAGTTTGTTGATAATGCCAATGTCCGGTGTCCCATGGGATACGTGCATGTGTCGCAGAGCGGTAGTGGCCGTCAATAGAAGCTCTCGACAATGCTCTCTTTGTTCGCCTTCATCCTGGCGTCCAGGCCGCCGGGTCCGCCTTCGCCCAGTCTGAAGACACTCTCGATCACACTCAGTTCTGTAGCTGTGGTATCCATGCCGGTCACGGCCAGCCAGTCGTTGACGACCATGCCGGCACCGACGACGGGGCTGCCGCGATTGACACTGCCCGCGACGAGAGGCACTTGCAGTAACGAACTCAGCTCGTCTTGGTCTTGGATGCTCGTTTTCGGGTGCACGATGCCCCCTTGGTTCGAGAGGGACATGTAGGAGCCCGTCAGTACGTTGCCGGCGATGGTTTGGCGGAAAACCTCAACGCCGAGGGTGTCGGCGATGATTTCCTCGGTTTCGCGTTCGAGGTCCGGGTGGACGAGGGCGACATGGTCATCTGCAAAAAAAAGATTAAAATGAGATGCGAATGCGCCATTTTCGCAACACAGAGCACGCCACTCACTGCAACACACGACGTTCCCAAGCGCCGATAATCTCTCCTCTATCCTCTCAACCTTGACCTCGTCGGGCAGAGTATTCCGTATGTGTTGTAATTCCTGGTCAGTGGTGGACGTGGGGACCAGCAGGCCCTTCTTGTTCCCAGAGGTCAGGCGGCCTACGATGCGGGTGCCGGCGATGGTGCAGTGGGCGATGGGGATGAGGTCGGCGAGCTCGGATTCGAAGATGGAGTAGAAGTTCTCCGAGGCCCCGACGGCGACGAGGCAGTAGCTGTTGGTGAGGTTGGCGAAGACGCCCACTTCGTTGGAGTTCTCGAACTGCGGCGGTGAGAAAATGTTAAGAGACGGGTTTGGGCTACGGGTGACCAGCAGCAGGGAGGAGGAGGACGAGGAACATTTACCTGTGCTCGGACCGCCATTTTCACTCAAGAGGCGCAGTTGGTGTCAAAGGGAGATAGAAAAAGAGGGTGGAAGATGTAGCAGGAGGGGCTAAATGATAAATAAAATAGTGAGTTGCGGGGGTCGGTCTGGAGTTTGCTTTCTTGTGCTTCTTTATATGCTCTGCACGGCAGGCGTTGCTGTTGTTACTCAAGATGCTCTTTCGTGTGTCTCGGTTGGCAGCGAGGCTGATCGAAAGCAAAAGGGCACACACTGAGGGTTGCCAAAGGTCCCGGTGGGAGAGTTGTGAATCATTCAAATGGTGTGTATGTAATGGTGCATGTCGCCCAAGAAGCCACCGGTGTGTGCGACGTGATTTTTCTTCCAATCACCAATCACCAATCACCGCCAACCAGTCGCCACAGCCACAGGACCGTTGAACGGGCCAAGCGCGCACGGAGGAGTCATCGCCATCGTCATCATCACCCATTTATTTGATATTAATTATCACTTCTTCCACTTGCCGTTTACAGTACGTCTCGTGCGCCACCAACCCAAAAGGATGAATTCAAGAGTCACAACATGGCAAAAGGGCCAGACTTGGTTCTGATATCCCCGCTAGACTACGGATCCTCTGGGAACAAACGGTGGGTTTCAGAATGCATCCATCAATTTGTCGGAGCCAATGCAAGGGCGAGTCAGAGATCTATATCCTATCGCTGCAAGACCTCGGATATCCATCCCCTTTGCATCCGGACTCCCTCGTTCTCTCTCTGTGTGTGTGCCTGAGGATAAATACGTATAATATATATACTTCACCAGAGTTTCCTTTACCGGCCACCATGGTATCTAATGCTCACCCAGAGCACAACGTCAAGTTGATATTGACCGAGTCCGAACAGGTCCTCATGCCCTGAAAGTCGTCGTTGGACTTCTCGTACACGTCGTTGCAGGTGGTGTCCCCGGGCGCACAGGAGGCGCCGTGACAGCTCCGGAGAGCCAGGGTGGGATCCTCGGGGTCGTCGACGTCCATCCGAAACCCCTCGTTGACGAAGGGGGCGCCCGCCACGTTGCTGACGTCGAAGTACGTCTGGCCCTCGTCCTGCTCCCACGCGTATTCGAGCTGCGTGACCAGCGGCGTCGTGGCCGAGGGGTCTCGCGTGCACATCATTGCAACGCCCGTGTCCGGCGGGTAGTCGAGGAAGTAGCTCGTCAAGAGCGCGCCGGCGGGCTGGTTGACCCAGGTCACCGCTGGGCGTGTGGGTTGCGGCGTGGGGTCGTCCGGCTGGTATCCGACAACGATGGCGCACCACACGGCATATGGACAGTTGTGCACTACGTCAGCACGAGCGTTGACGAGCTCGAACTGACCCAGCCCAACGAGGAGAATGAGAAGCATCCCGAAGCTCAGACCAGCGAACGACTGCATTCTGACAGAATGTGAAGTCCTTGTCGTCAATATACCTATATCCTGGCTCTGGTCAGACCATATCTCAACCTCCCTCCCCTCTGCCCACTTACAAGGTGTGATTTGTCCCGTTAATGAGCTGGACTCCGGTGTTGTCCTTGTTACTGCTCCCGCAACGTGTGGTATGGCGGGAGGATGATAGCTGTTTGGCTTTAATATACCGACGTCCTTGTCGCTTTGTTCCCCTTCCCCTTCTGGAGACGAATGGAATGCCGAGGCGAGCACAAGACCGAATTTATTTGTTGCTGATATCGTTGTCTGTCGTTATCGATGCTTTCTTTCTGTATGAAGAGAGCAGGAAAGGAGAAACCCATCTCAGAAACCTCGCCGTCTCGTGGGATGTATATATAGAACCCAAAGTCGGCATTCACTGCTCTCCCCCAGGGGCAGCATGACCACCCGGTACAGCTGATGCTTGCTCACATGTTTCCCAGCGCCCCGAGGGACAGGGGACAGGTAAGTGTTACCGCTTCTTGCCGCTCAGACTGGATGGACACTTGATTATATAACAAGTCACCGACGGGGGTCGCGTGCCCGTGTGCGTGTGCGTGTAAGCGCGTGGGAAAAGGGAGCCAGTTTGTCACAGATTCACTGGGCGGGCACAGGAGGAGTGAAAGATAAAGAGATAAGGAAAGAAACGATGGAAAGGGGGAAGACGCAGACAAACAGTGCCGCACCGCGACGGGTCGATCTGAACGGGGACGGCTTGTCTAGGCCTGTCCTGTTCTGTTTGCAAAGGAAAAAAAGAAAAGAGAACACAAACAAACCGACTTGGCTCCCTTCCACTCATTCTCCTTGCTTCTCAGAAGGGTTGGACGGATGTGTTGTTTCCTTGCCTAAAATCAAGGATCAAACACACATATATGCTTGCAAATCCAGTCACTGTGTAATGAGATCGAGCAGATGAGATCGAGCAGATAATGTGTACCAGCAAGCAACATCTGACATTACGTGGGATATATATATCTCTATATATCTGAATTAGTCCGCCTTTTTCAAGGGGGGAACCTGCAATGGTCTCATAGAAAAATCGTAACATCGTTGACCCGCCAACAAAAAAAAGCCATACAGCTCATTCTTCACAGATTCCTCTATCCAATGCCGCAAGACTGGCCTCGTATCGGCCGGGGCTGTGATCGCCGAACATATCTCTTCCAAATCTCAGCTCGCCAAACCGCCTCTCCACATCCCGCACCAGTTTGAACTGCACTCTCGTCGCTGGTCTGCCGAGCGCCCGATACAGCTTTTCTGTACGGTCATCTTTCGAGTCATCAGGCCCAAAGACAGCCTCGCGCGCCACGTCCGGGTCCAGTCGGTCGAAGACACGGGTCGTCTCCACCACGAAGACTTCGCCAGGCGGAACCAGTTTATCATTCACCATGGCGGCACGGAGAGTTTTGAGTGCTGCCCATGCCCATGTATCTTCGCCGAGGCCATCGCCTGCCATGTTTTCGGGCGGAGGCGGTCCCCTGGGGTTGTTATAGAATGCCGACTTTACGGCGCTTTTGAGACGACTCCAAACCCGGGTCTTGAGAGCACCAAGCGCGTCCGTCGTGTCGTGTTTGAGGTGCAGTGCGACAGTGCGGAAGTCGTGGAGAATGCCCAGGGAGAGGCAGGGCACAATGTCAGCGTGGTTGACAATGGTCGTAATGAGGCCGCGGGTGGCCACACGGAGCAGCTCGGACATGCATGCGGGTGTGCCGTAGGCGTAGACGTGAATGGGACGCCCCGCAGGAAGATTGATGGGCGGGACGTAGGAAGTAAACGATTCGCTGGTGGATTGATGGGTGAGGAGTTTCGGCTTGCTGCCGGTAACGAACGAGGTCTTAGACTCGTCGAACGACGGCTCCGCGATCAAGATGGCAAGGATGGCCGCAACCGCACCTCCCAGGGAGTGTCCACAGAGGATAAAGCCGTAATCGGGATATTGTTCCAGTGTCGCTCTGATGGTGGCCATCATGCGGCTTCCACTACCGCCCAAGAGTCGTCTTGCCGATGCATGAATGCCTTTATGGACTTTGTACCGCTGGCCTTGCCACAGCAAATCATCATAATCGCACGTCATGTCAGTCAGAACGTCCTCAAAACCAAGCGTCCCGCGACAGGTCAAAACCACAGCTTTGGAGTCATCGTCGATGGAGATGAAATGGATCAGTGGTGATATTGCCGAGGGAGACCAGTCAGTATTGCCAGTCACACCTTGTGGATCAAAGAAGGATGACAACAGAATGGTGTCGGGAGGCAAGCCTGTGTGGCTGGAAAACGAGCTGTGCTCGTGGTGGACGTCAAGGGTCATGAGCTCCGTCGACTTGCTAAGCTCCTCTTCTGCGGTTGTGAGACCCATAACCCGCAGGAAATTTGCACCATATGAAGCAGATGCGAATCTTGCAAATCGTCGAACTGTTTTGACAAGATGACGGTCCGGGAAGATCCCTGGCACCTTTCCATTTGTGATGAGGGCAGCCAATATGCTATGGTCCTCATATATCGATTTTCGAGGTGCCGGGGTCTTCGGCGCTAAAAGGATAGCTTCCGTGGAATCCTTCGTCGCCATCGAATATAGACTCGGAACAAAAGACCTGGACCGTCTATGATGGATGGTGCCCGCAGCTGGGTCGACTCTGGCTTCGGTCTCATCTAGTGCCAATCCGAGTTCCGATCTCGTCTGGGTCAGCCCGTTCACCACTCGAGTGCGAGTCCGTGTAAACGTGGGGGAGCCCGGTCGACTGTCGTGCGAGTGGACAGAATATGTTTCCGTGGTCTGCGAGACAATAGAGTCTCTTCTCCTGTCGTGCAATGCAAAATAGCTCGTTGATGACTCGGTGGCCCGGTGTAGACTCGGACTCGTCAAGGGGGTATGACCATGGCTCAGCGAAGCATAAGTTCTCTTCGGCGTGACGTCCTCACGGTTTGTCGAAGGCGCACGAGACCTGGGTGGCTGCACTGTCATCGAGGCCGATGGTTTCCGTTGCGGCGGTGGTGCTTTTTGGAGGTCTTTGACCGCTGCTGACGACTGACTTGGACTGAGCGTTTTCAACGCTTTCTTTATGACCCCACCCTTGTCGCTCTTAGCCACTGGAGGTGATTTGTCCTTTTTACCTCTGACGAGGGGTATTCGACTGGCACCGCTCGTATGGGAGGAAGACTTGCTTGAGTTAAGAACTGGGCGGCGGCTCTTTTTCTGATTTGCAATTGGGCCCAGAAGCTTTGGGGGAGAGGAGGTGGGTGGTGAAGAGGACTCAATCGCCGACTCATCGCGGTCCGAACTGGAAAAAGTGCCGTTGTCTATCTGGATTGGTTCATCCACGATAGAGATTCGTTTCGGGGCGGTCCTCATCATGAGCAAGTCCTCGGCGTCAGGGTGGTCCTGGGCCAGCCCGTCATGGCCTGTTAATCGCAATTGTTCGGCTGAGGACGGCTTCTCTCTGCTGCTCGATCTCTTCAAAGCCGTGCGGAATATGACGGTTTGATGAGGTCCGACGTGGTTGCCGTTTGTTGGGCTTTCATGGTTCAGCCGTTCTGCGACCATGATGGTCCCTGGCGGAGGGTCAATATGAGCCGTCTCAGTATCGTATATCTCGACTCGAATCGTTTTGGCGGTGATGGTCTCCGATGTAATGACGGCACGAGCCCCAGAAGGTATTTGGCTCATGATCCGCTCACGAATTTCTTCGTCAGTAAGCTTGGTCTGGTTGTCGGCTGAGAGTGCAACCGATTGGGCTTCGAAAGTCGTGCCCCTTTCCAATGCCTCAAAGTCATCATCGCCATCTGGAGAAGTGAATGTCATGGGCGGCGCGCCAGCATTGGCGTGTATACTGATCATGCCTTTTTTCCTTGTCCCCACGACGTCGGCTCGGAAACCCTTGTCGTCAATGACAGCGTCCCAAATCGTTTCTTCACCGCCAGCATCCCGAAAGTCCAGTTCTGTCTTACGCCTCCCCCACCTCTGCAGCATCACGAATCCGATGGTGGCAACGATGAGGTCCAGGTATGTCACCACCTCCCCACTTCCACCCACCTCGGGCTTGTTCAGTTCATCCCTGATCAGCGTGATGATTGCGGCGACGGCACGGGAGGATTCGGTAGAGCCGAGAATAGCATTGAGTGTCGCCAGCCCTTGGATGGATAGACCAGAGATGGAATTCATAAAGGCTTCGGTGAGGTGAAAGCCGGTCGAGGCAACGAAAGAGGTGGTGGAGATGGTCGAATGCAGCGCAGAAATCTGTGAGAATGTTAGTCCCATGCTCTTCAATACCAATTCTTCCGACGCACACTCCTCTCCAACAGATTCTCTGCTTCTGCCCGTCCCAATTCGCCGGTGCTTCGCGTAGACACATCTCGTCCTGCAGCGACGAGGATAGACTCAAGTGCACTGCGACTGACGGCTAGTGTCTTGAGCGTAGCTTCTCTGCCGGCATAAAGTCCCCAACCTCCGACTTTTGTTGCACCCCGAACATAAAAGGAGGTCAGGCCGGTGACGCCGCTCACAATAGCAGCAGCTGGCGCAGGCAGAAGCGTCCGTCCTTGCTGCGGCTGCGCAAGAACGATTTCCTTGGGGACATCATCGTCCGAGTCCCCAACAATTTTTTCATCTTCTGAGCCCGATGCATTCTCTTTATTCGAACTCCAAAGCATCTCGCAGGGCAGCCGGAGGAGCAGGCAGAGAAGGCGGTGTACAGGGTGCGACGAGTGACGGCTTCACGTCGTGCTCCATGAAGGGTCGAGGGCGAAAGTCAAAACACAGTCAGGAGGGAGAGAGAGAGAGAGGAAGACGCGACAGGGAGCAGGGAACCAGGCAGCATGGAAAGGGTTGGGAGGATGCAGGTACGCGTTCGGGTTCCTGGCTTTAGAGCGGGCATTTGCCAATGATAGAAAATGATGCGGTGGATGTGGAAATCCGACTATGAGATGGCCAGGCGACGCTGAATTGGCCGCCATGACGTTTTTTCGCACATGTGAAACTGTTGATTCCATAGCCAACGCTTCATAACAAGGCTCCATGTTCCTCCAGCACATCCAGACCACGTTCTTCCACACGATTGGAGTTCGAGATAGAACAGCGGCCAATCTGGAATGGGGCTCCATTGGTGAGGGCGTTGATACCCCTCTCAGCAGGAGGGCCTACTTTTTCACATGCTCGCCAACAGCAAGACAACGGCGATTACAAATATACAATATCAATGTGATTCGCCCTTCTCAGGGACGTGCTCCCTGGGAGCAAAAGCCATGCTAAAAATGCTATCCAAACGAGCGCCATGCTGAAAGTGCCATTCTGAAATAATAATAATAATAATAACATTGTTGTTAATTCACCCCAGGTCCAACATGACCACGTCCCCTCCATTGTCCACAAAGGTCTCCTAAACACCGGGTATAAACTTCTCCGCCGGGATGGCGCCTTGGGCCTTCAGCTCCATGAAGTTCTTCATGGCTGAGTCGTAGTCCCAGTTGTTGGCTACCAGGCACTCTTCCACGGCAGCCAGCCGCAGTTTCGTGTCGAAACTAAACTGCAGGCCCATCTTCTCGCGTTCAAGCACTTCCGCAGGCTTGTCTGCCTGCGGAAGGCCGAACAGCGAGTCTGACGGAATTTCCGGATGGGGCAGGCGGCCGGTCACCGCCGGTACCGCTGGTGCCGGTACAGGCTGGGGGTTGGCTTGGAAGGGTGCCAGTTGTACAATGGGCGCCGTGGGTTGATTGTCGCCGACGGGGAGATTGTTGAACAATGTGAGCTTTGGATACCACTGGCGCAGAGTCGGCAATGTATCCGGGAGATCGTTGACGGGGTTCCCCTGCAAGATCAAATGCTCCAGATCCCGAAACTGGTTCTTCCAAAACTTCAACGAGTCCATGCTCGCAAGTTTGTTGTGACCAAGATCGAGATTTCGAAGGCGCGGAAAGGTCCTTGACAGGGACATGATTTGTTCGACGGATTCAAAACCGTTGTTGCTCAGGGTAATGCTGTGGACGGACTCGTCACGTTTGCTGGGGGTTTCGAAGATTTTGGTTTTACAAAGGGTAAAGATAGCCTCGAAGACTTTGGCAGGGTCTGAACCGACTATGCCAGGAATTTGTAGGAGTTCGTCGTCGGCACCGAGAGCATTGAGACTTAGGAGTTTCATGGAAGGATCGTAGCGTTTGCGTAGGACAGAGATCATGGTATTTTCCACTTCGTTCGTGAGAGGGTCATTTTTGTTGGTATCTTGGGCACCGAAGCGGGGGCCGTTTCGAGGTTGGTTGAAGTGAGCGTTTCCGCCTCCTCGAGGTCCGCTGGGTGGTTGGTGGTGACGACCATGTGGTGTAGTGCCATTCTGGCCAAACGCAGATCTTGCTGGTTGAGATTGCTGAGATGAGGGTAGATGATTTTGAGACCGATCATGAGCCTGATTTTGCTGAAATCGATTGGTATTGTTGGCGGGAGATCTGGAGTCTTCGACCGTAAGAGTACTGCCAGCCCACTGGAAATTGTTCAGATGGTAGAATCGATCCTTGTCGTTTTCATAGACAGTGATAATGAGGACATTGTTCGCTCTGCCGACGACCTTGCTTGACAAGATTTGTCGATCCCCGGACTTCTTGCGGAGGAATACCAGTAGCGAGGCAACTCCTTGGTCTGGTGTGGATGCCAGTTTCGAAGTTGTCCATCCCTTGATCGCAAGATCGCGCGTGGCTGCAGATTGATTGCCTTGTGACGATTCCCCGAATCTACCGAATGCCATTGTGAACGCTCTGACCCGCGATGGCTGCGGGAACAACGGCCGGTCAAGTGATTGATGCCGCAGGTTGTGTTTCAAATGGCGTAAGTAGATGGTCCGTGTCTTGAAGACGGATCTCGAATTTTGATTTGTTGAAATGCGAGCGTGAGTCAAACGACTGTGCTGATTGTGCTCTGGTGGAGACCTTTTCAGCAACTCTCCGAAACCCGTCCAGCACCTAGATTCTCTCAATCACCGAGTTGAAGGCAATGTCTGCTCATGTACCTGATCGAAATCTGGGGGGATTGAACGAGGCGGGTATTTGGCGGGATGTGGCTTGAAGATTTGTATGTGGCGGCTTATTTAACCAAAAGGTATGTTAAGTATGTCCAAGTAACACAGCCAGATGGTGAATGTCGAGAAGATTAAAACGGTGCCAGCGAGAGCAAGTGAGTGACGGAAGACGATATGTTAACAAAGAAGATATTGAGAGATCAATAGAGTAGACAAAAACACTGAAGCTGCCTCCTGCGAAGGAACAAGGGAACTTTTTGTAGGCAAAGTGGCAGACTCGAGCAAAAAGGCGGAGGCCCACTTGTTCGTCAGGCAGCCTCACGTGAAATACCGCTAGCCTGTGTTAGGCATGGTCAATTACCAGGGCTTGGCAAGTTGGCACAGGCCTTCTTGTTCGGCTGCTGTTGCCATTGGTCGGTTATTATGGTCATCGGCCATTATGCTCCTGGTGGCCCCTGTTCCATAAAGACCTCGAGGCGCAAAACAATGGATCGACCCCCTTGATCTCACAATGGACATGTATTTATGAAAGCGTCGAAAGCCGTGAGCTAACTTTTCAGTCCGTTGTGCTGGTTCGTTTTATACCTATCCTATCGGCTGTTGGCGCGGTCTTCGGGAGGAGCAGGGCTCGTGGTTTTACTACTTCCAAATCGACCTATACCCCCAAACCCGCCCAGGTCCCTCTTGAAGAATTTTCCTAGGTTTTTCAAATTCTCGTTCAGCTTCGCCCCAGCCTCTGCGCCGGGGAACCCGCCATCACCAGCAGTTTGCAGGCCTGTGGCGGGTCCACCGGGTGGGGGACTTGTTGCTCCCTCTCGAGGTGTTCCCAGACCGGGGCTACTGAACCGGTCGATGATCGCGTTCCCCAGTCCAGAAGCGTCAAATTTCATGTTCGATGGAATGTTTGCCGTGCTCAGGGACGCCGCCGCAGAGTTGCCCAAGGCAGAAAGATTGTGGAGCGCACCTGCTGGTGTGACCACAGCTCCAGTGGATGATCCTGATGCTGAAAGATTAAGTGGAGTGAGCAAGGGCGACTTCTCCACCAGTGTATCCTTGTATCGTGGGCTGAACTTGTGCATCTGAAATAATTCAACCAAGTGGTTTTGTTCTGCCTTTGCGCGGATTCCTTTCAGTTCGAGAATTTTGCGAAAGTTGACCTCTGACAGGTCGGCGATGTGGATCAGGTATGCCTGGACAAGGGCTTCCGGCGGTGATGGTCGAACTTGCAGAGTCTTCAACAGCGGCTCAATCTTGCCAAAGGCAGCAGCAACCCGTTTGAGGTAAAGTGGCGGGGGAGTCCCAGGAAGTATCTGGTTCAGGATGTTCTTGATCTCGTGAGTGTCGAGCAACATCTGCTCAGCTCCGCCTTCCGAGATGGGCTTACATTGAGCAATGTTGGCAAGGTAAGTGGACGCGAACAGCTCAACAAGATTGTCGGCGAATGCTCGCGCATACTGCTGCTTATGTAGCATGCCCAGGATCTCACTGGAACGGTCTCTGACTCGGTTCTCCAAGCCTTTGATGTAGGCGCTTTGATGTTCACCAATTTCAATTTTGGACCAGGACGTATTTCGCATCTCACGCCAGCTGGGTTCCAGGTCAACTTCCACACGGCGGACCAAGCCTCGGACTGCCGCGCTCGCTATTCCCATAAAAGCATCCGCTTGGCTTTGCAAATCGACTTTGTCCTTCAGCCCTTCATCTATGCGACTTTTGATCTTTTCTTCAAGAGAATTCGAAGTGTGGAAACAGTAGTCCGCCGTGTTAAGGACTAAGATCACGTCTTCGATTGTTGGTATTCGAGAGGGGGTGCCACCGGTCGGCTTCTCCGAAATATAGAACAGCAGTACTTGCTGAGCATATTGATCAAGATAGCGGCCAAATACCCGCGACAGGTCGAGCAAGGGCTGCCCCGTGGAAAGCTTCGCGCATTGCGCGAGGGAGTGTCGATAGAAGTTGAACAACTCAGTCGAAGAAGCAATGACGTGTTGTGAGGAGAACTCCTCGTCCGCAAGTTTGGTCGGTCGCTGTCTGTATTGCGGTATCAGACCAGCCAGCTCCTTATCCTGTGCTTCCACCCACAGACTCAGATACGGCTCGAAAGCCTCGGAGATGGGCTGGCCAAAGACTGGAGTGTCACTGGCTGACGCCATCGTATCGATTGACGTTCTGGAGGTCTGATTGAATCTCCGTTCCAGGCTGTGCTCAAAATCCAGGGTTTGCTGCAAACATGACAGTAGCAGCTGGACATCAATGGTCTGCCCGTTGCGGGTGGTTCTTGAGAGGATGCCCTTATAGTCTTCCCGCGTTCCTTCAGCAAAGACGTTGGCGAGGATCTCGTTAACCCGCCAGTGTGGAGGGAAGATGGCGGCATGGTCCTCGTCGTATATCTTCAATGTCTTTTTGAACCATGCGTACCTCCGATCAATATTGTCGAGCGATCCTGCCTCCTGGTCCCCCTTGAAGATATGCCGATACTGCCGAAGTTGCGTGTTGCAATACCAGGTGGTCAGCCTGGACCGGGCAGAGTCGCCGAGTGCGTCGACGACCAGACACGCCTCATGGAGCAGGCCTCGTTTCTGAGCCACCTCTTCCTTGCTGAAGGTGATCTCAAAGTCCTCGCACACCTGTTCTAGCAACTCCCGCTGTATATCCGCCACATTCCTGCTCAACGTCGCAATCTGATCGATCGACCGGTAGGATTTGAAGTGCGCCATGAGCTGGATCACCGCCTGCAGCAGTTGCGCACATTCTCTGTATTGCCTCGTCTTACTCATGGCTCGCAGCTGCTCGTAGGCGGTCGTCAACATCTGCAGTCTCTTCAGTGCCGTCATCGACAGCGTGAGATTCTTCTTTGTATTGTCCAGCTGCTTGATATCCGCTGTCATCTCGGTGATATTTCGTTCCGTTCGCAGTGCCCGCTCTCGGACGCTCTCAATGCGCTGGAATAGCTCCGCCAGCTCGGCCTTTGAGACTTCCATGCGCTGCAGGCATTCTGCGTTAGACTGGATCTGTTCATCTTCGAGAGCCTCGATCTCGTCGTCGAGGTCATCCTGGTATGCCTGGAGGATTTCGAAAGTCTGGCCAACAGAGGAGAGGGTCGAAGGGTGTGAGAATATCTGGTCGAGGTGTTCTATAGGATCATAATCGTCTGTCCGCAGTCAACACAAGAGCGTAGCCGTCACCGGACTGAGGTTACCGGAATCTAGCAAATCCTCCTCATGCTGAGCGCCATTGACCGGCATGTGGGCTGCGATAATGGGGAAGCCGGTCCTTCGTGGGTTGTTCGACTGGCCGGCAATCTTGCACCTGCCTTCAAAATGCAAGAACACAAATGGAACAAGGCTATAGCCAAAGCACAAGGCGCTGGAAGGGTGGATATAGAAAATGTGTCGACATCAGAGGTCGCATGTGGAAATGCCACGATAGACGCGTTGGTTGATTTAACCGGATTTTGCCCGCAGACAAGAACCGATCCTTCAAAGTGCATTCTCACTCAAGGTCTCTACCTCAGATAATTTTCACCCATGAATTCGCAAAATTCCCGTATCACGATACAGCAGAGTGTCACAATCATGTGCTCGCTCAAACCCTCGCATACGCCTCTCCACTACGGCTAATGAGATTCCAAAACTGCGAATGGCCATTCTTGGCGGGAATCGAACGAACAGGGACGGAGAGCACTCAAGAGGCCAGTAGACTTCCCTCAGCTCACACAAAATACGCTCTACTCTGTTTCATATTCCCCGAGATCGATTCGAGGCAAAGTCGAGGCCGAATGAGGCGTCCTTAGCTCTCACAGCATAATGTCGCCCTTTTGCCTTTGAATTTCCCAGTGCTTCCGCATATGATCGCCAGCCCAGCCTCCGGCCTCGTCTTCTCCCATGTCAGAGTAGCCCTCTGGCCAGATTCCCCAGGCTTTGCCGCCCACATTTGGGTCGGTGGCAGACCTAACCATCGCATCGACCACATACTCGACGCTGGCCCACGAAAATCCCTGGCCTGGCTTCACTCCCTGCTTTTCCAATGTTGGTAAAACCGACTGAACGAGGGGTGTATTGATCCAGTAAGGTGCGAGCAGGTTCAAGTGGACATTGAGCGCAGCAGTCGTGTGCCGAAGACCTCGGAAGAGGCCTCGGACGGCAACTAACACTCCGAGTTAGTCTGAATGTTCTCATGACTCCATGAGGAACTGGTTGAAGTCGCTGTAGCACAACATGCGGGTTTGCTAAGAAGAAGAATCTTGTCGTCCCGCAGACAAGCAAAATAGTGATGACCACCACCGCATTCGGCAAATCAATCAATCTCACCCGTTTGTGCTGCAAAAGAGACGTGTACTCACACTTTGAAGCATTATAATCCGAAGAGGCCGGCATATCACCATAAGCTGCCAAAGAGGCAGTAAGGACTATTGTTTTGTGCTGTGCATTCGCTGAATCGACTTTTGACGGCAGACGCATATAGTGCAATGCCAACCAGCAATTGTCGTAAATCCCCAAAAAGTTCACAGCCGCTCCTTTGCGTGTTGGTCGTGTTGGGATGACATCCGGGTCCAACGAAGGCTCAGGAGCTGCCAGGACCTGATCTGTCAGGCTGCCCCTGTCGCCCTCTATGCCGGCATTCAGAATTGCGACGTCCAGAGATTTACTTGGACCGAAGGAAGCGGCGTGTTTGAACGCAGCGACACTCGACTCCCAATCGCTCGTGTCACAGTGGACGAAGGAGACATGACAGCCTTTGGCATTGAGGTCGGCAGCCACCTTGTTCCCGACAGCATCTTGAACGTCGGCGATCGTGACATAGGCCCCCCCTTCGGCGAACCGTGTGACGGCTGCGAGCCCTATGCCCGAAGCACCTCCTTATGGTTTCTGTCAGGGGTTTGACATATCAAAATGCATCGGCGTGGACACACCTGTGACAATGATCGACCTGTCTTTCAGGCCAGATGCATCCAAATGCCCGCTCATGGTGACAGGGTCCTGTTATAGGACGAAGTTGTTTTCAGTGTGGGTTGTAATTCTGGTCAACTCGGCACATCCACGCTCGGTGAAGCGACTTTATACTTTACCTGAACAAGTCTGTACGCTGTCAGCACAGGCCGCCTCATGCTCGCAAGGTATTCAACTCTTTAACACCCATGTCCTAGGGCTGCACTTTTGTACCTCGCTCCCTTGGCTTCATGAGGGACCCTCTCTCCCCGTTACCGGCCGGTAGTTTTGCTGGGCCTAGGCAACTCGAGAGCCGTTGGTAAAGCCTGGGGTTGACCTTGGAGCGGGGTCGCCTGTCGAATGTGGATATGCACAACATCGGTGCAATCACAGTGCTGTGCTTTGCTAGCGGTGACCGAGGTCAGGATGAAGAATAAACGCACGCGGGTATCTGTCTATCTCTCGTGTAAGCTTCGTACTGCGTATGGCCCCTGGTTTTAGTCACCTTCATATTACCTGGAATGCACTGCTTACATCTGACATCGGCCAGTTCTCGCGGGGACTTGTCCCGCAAATTGAAAATGGTGAGCGGGGGTGTGTCGATAGCATATCAATCCAAACGCGGCTACTTCTTGCGCACCATTGGTCTTCTTCCCACTGCAAGGGCAAGAGTATTGTCATTTCTGACATACGAGATACTCGTTATTGCCTGATCGGCCTCTTTCCATCCCACCATTCTCGTGACCCGAATTCTCCATGGACCTTCCTTGGCGAAATACAATTGGCTCGAAGCCGCTGGTCGAATTGTGTGTCGTTCGGGCCTTTATGACGACTCTAGAGATGTGTAAGCTCTGCTGACGGACTTGAGTGGAAGGCGGGACGCCCCCTGTTGTGGGAGCTTAGTTTAGAGAGGGCGCCCTGCCCCGAAAACGGGGGGAGAACTCTAGCATTTGGTCTCGAGGAAGACAGGGAAAAAGCCTTCTAAAGGAGACGACTGATGGACACGGCAACTACAGCATTGAATGGAAATTTTGAGAAAATGCCTGGCACACAAATGCACACCAAAAGCTAGAGTTTCCTAGCTGCACGGAACTAGGAGATACACCCTTCCTAACGCGGTTGAGAGCAACAACGTTAGCAGTCTTGGAGCATACGGGGACACCTCGTACCTCGTATCAAGAAACACGAGTGCCCACAGTGTGTGTGTTTTTATACTGCGTATGCATAATATTGCATAGAACCACTGTTATGTTGACAGCGGCCGAAACAGGCTTAGAGGAAAAGTCCCGAAAAGTGGCCTTTCCTAAACAGGCAAGATGTATTTTCACCAAACCACCAAAAAAAACTTTCCATAAATTCCCATTTTGTGACTTGTGACTGACTTGACTAGCCACGACAACCAACCATCTTTCCGTGCCTCTGGAAGAACTCGATGCGATGTCATGCCCCTCCCTCCGTGCTTGGGGCTATCGCGGCTAACCGTGCTGTGCCGCGCTGTGCTGTGCTGTACTGTAATGTTTAACCCACACATCTCACCAGCCGCATGAATGAATGAATGGATGAATTTGCCCATCTGAAGTACCAACCTCCGAAGAGCAAGCAGTAAACGGCACGCAGACACAAGCACCGTATGACAAGTCAGTCCTATACGTACGTCTCTCTCTCTCTCCTTTTGGTTTTCTCCTTTCCCAAATTTAGCAACAATATTCCTCCCAATATGATGAATACAAGAAACCTCACGGCATTAGGAAGAGCCGGAAAAGGATGCCGCAAGTTGTTTTTTTTAAAAAACTCCCCCCCGGCCCCAATCATGCACACACAAACATATCCAAACACGGATGGAAAGACAGGCAAAGAAGCCACATCGTCAAATGTGGTGCTTTACTTACTTGCTTCTTTCTTTTGTGGTCGTGTGGTCGTGTGGTCGTGGGGGGTCTGTCTTGCCCCAGGCGTCGGTGCTTAGAAACTGGTTCTTCTGATACATGGGAAACCCGCCTTCCCCCAAAAAGGGGAAAAAGGGAAAAAGCAGAGAGAAAGAAGATTCTTTCTCTCTGTCTTTCTTTCTCTTTTGCCCGTCCGCTTTCGGTCGCATAAGAAATCTCATCTTGTGTGGGGAATATATTTCGCTGACAATGTGTGCACCGACATTCTAGGCCTGTGTGGGATTCGATTGCAATAATACGAGGTACGGGGCGAGAGCAAAAGCGAGGAGCTGGACTGCATGAAGGGGCCGGAGCCAACGTTGACACCGAGACTACGAACTTCTCGACCGTCGTTTCGATTTGAAGATCCCCAGGAAAAGCAGACATTGCCGTTTTCCCTTGGGATATAGAATACGTTCTATCACGTCCGGCCCAGATATTTTGCCATACAACGCCCATGCTGGATGCAAAATGGACACATCATATTTCCCTCCCAAGATTCATTGCTCTCCTCTCTATTTCAACCCTGATGAACTTTCTTTAACCTCGTACTGCCCTCGTACAAACCCCTATCAATCGCTGCCGCCACGGTCAGCGTCCCTCCCACCACCGCGCAAACACCGGTTAAAAAGTTGGCAAAGGTCTTCGGCCTCGCCTCCCGGTTTATCACCTTCATCGGAGAAATGTCGTAGCTGAAGAAGACGCCCGGAATCCCTCCATGCGCGTGCAGTCTTTCCTTGTGTCCCTCGGCTGCATCATTGCCACCACTCAGAGATCTCTTGTGCGAGGTAACAGAGTACTGATGCGTCTCGATCGACCCCTGGCTCCCGGCACCCTTGCCCTGCATGCCCAGCGGGATCAAATCCGCAAGAGACGAGTGCTGTTTCGCACTCCGATCCTCGTCCCAGCCAAGCGGGAGATAACTCGTGCTCACCACCTTGATGAAATACATGAAGTTGAACCCGGGTTCCTCCGTCTCCTGCTTCACGCCGTCCAACGGATTCGAATGGTGATGATCACTCCATTTCGCCGTCACTCCCATGTCGTTCTCGCTCAACTGCGGGCCAAACCGCAGCGAGTGGATCTCATGTGTAAATGTATGTCCGCCCTCGACGGGCGTGTCGAAGTAATTGTTCAAGTCGTGCACGTGCATGTTTCCGTTCGAGAAGCTGCGCCCGGGCGCAATGTGGAAATTCCCCACGACTTTGTTCACGCGAATGACGCCCTCAATGCGACATCCCTCCTGGCGCTGTGCGTCAAGTCTTTCGCCGTAGCCTTCCCGCTCGCATTGTTCCACGCCTTCGCCTCTTCCGAAGGCCCAACTGTTCGTCGCATAGGCCTCGCGCACTTCGTCACACGTATTACAGCAGCCAGGTTTAGATGCATTGGCTGGAGCAGGGGCGGAGTAGCAGGAGCCGCAGTATTCAGGATCCAGGTGCGCGGCGTTGTCTTGCTGACTGTGGAGGATCAGGGCGGTCGTGTCGATGATCTTGGAACCCTCGGCGACGGAGGAAAGCCGCACTTTGTTGACCCCGTGCACGACGCCCGTCTGCTGCTCGCCCGAGACGTCCATGACGTCGAGAGTGAGCAGTTCGCACGGGATACGGGGAAAAGAGATGTTGAGGTGAATTTCCATCTTCTCGCCTACATCAACCAAAACACCACATCAGTATGAGCACTTCCACTTGTCTGTCTTCCTCTTGCAAGCAGCTGCGGCTCCCGGCCCTGGAATCAGGTTCTTCTTACCTCGTCCCTTATCCACAATCAACTCGGGCATAACCACGATCCTTCGGTAGTCGCACCATTCTCCCCATACCAAGTAAAGGATAATAAGGATCGAGGCAATCGTGACGATGCCGCCGGAGGTCGTCCGCACCCGTGCATCTTCCACGGTCTTTGTGAAGGCATCCAGCCGGTGAAACCGCGATTTGAGTGCCATGGCGAGTTATGATGCCGTCTATAGGTCTCTCCAGAGGAGCTGGTCAGGAAGACAAGATTCTTTGCCGGAAGCGTGGAATGAGAGGAAGGAGAGAGAGGAGGCTGCAAGGGAGCGCACAGCGCCTCCGGGGAGGGGAACTGAGAAATTCAGTCGCTAAGACAAAACGAAGGGACTATGGTTATTTTGGAATGCTTGCCATATTAGCAGCCAGCGACATTGCACTCGTAAATTGCCCAGCTATCAAAATGGGTGAGAGTGGACAGCATGTTCTATTGCGACTTGCGGATTTCATCTTGGAGAAAGCAAGCAGGGGTCCAGAACACGCCGCTTGGCGCAGGCACTCCGCTCCAACATAAATATATGTGGCTACAATATGCAGTAAAATCAAAGGCCACTTTCTACAACAAACTGAACAGGAATGAAAAGTGTTTCATGCAGATGTTCTCATCTAATCATGCTCAATTGGAACTATGGAATACAGGAAGCTGTGACCACAACCACGAAGATATGCCCACTGCTTGACCCGTTCTTCTTCCATTACCGCCCCATCCGCTTTTTGGTGGTCGTTGCAATCCTTTCCTACCACCAGTCTTTCCCAAACCATTTCACTCATTGCCGGGATATCGCTGAAAGAAAAACATGGCAAGGACAACCACGTCTGACTGACACCGGAACGCCAAGAGGGATGACACAAAGACAATCGCTCAAAAAGTTTGAGATCTCGTCGATGAAGCACCTATGCTGTGGTAGAAGCCGTCTAGTCGACCTCTTCCATGGCGCTCTCGCCGGCACCCTCGGCAGCAGGGGCCTCTTCGGCGGCCTTCTCCTCAGCAGTCTCTGCCTCCTCGTCCACATTCAGACCGAGGGACACGAGCTTGTGGATGCGCTCGGCAAAGCTGGCCGGCTCCTCGATGGTGAAGCCCGAGACGAGCAGAGAGGTCTCGAAGAGAAGCTGAGTGATGGACTTCACGGTACGGTCGTTCTCACCGTCGGTCTCGACCTTCTTCTTGAGCTCACGGATGATGGGCGACTTCGGTGAGATCTCGAAGGTCTTCTTCGACGACATGTACGAGGACATGGAGGTATCACGGAGAGCCTGGGCCTTCATGATACGCTCCATGTTGGCAGACCAACCGAATTGGCCTGTTCTGATGGCGCAAGGAGAGCCGACAAGCTTGTGAGAGACGACGACCTTCTCCACCTTGTCACCAAGGATGTTCTTCAAGCTCTTGGCAAGACTCTCAAACTCCTTCTCTTCCTTTTCACGCTCCTTCTTCTCCTCTTCGGTCTCCTCCATCTCGAAGTCCTTGGTGATATCAACGAGCTTCTTGCCGTCAAACTCTTTCAGTTGAGTCATGGCATACTCGTCAATGGGGTCAACCAAGAACAAGACCTCGAAGTTCTTCTCCTTGAGAGAGTCAAGGAAGGGCGACTTCTGCACGGCCTTGATGGATTCGCCGGTGATGTAGTAGATCTGCTTCTGGTGTTCTTGCATGCGGGTGACATAGTCGCTGAGCGAGGTGGCCTCTTCGCCAGACTTGGTCGACTGGAAGCGGAGAAGTTTAGCAAGGGACTGGCGGTTCTGCGAGTCTTCGTGAATGCCAAGCTTGATATTCTTGCTGAAGGCAGAGTAGAACTTGTCGAACTGCTCACGGTCTTCAGCGATCTCGTTGAAGAGCTCGAGGCACTTCTTGACAATGTTCTTCTTGATGACCTTCATGATCTTGTTCTGTTGAAGAGTCTCACGCGACAAGTTGAGGGGTAGGTCTTCAGAGTCGACGACACCCTTGATAAAGCCAAGCCACTCGGGAATCAAGTCGGTGGCATCGTCGGTGATGAAGACACGTCGGACGTACAGCTTGATGTTGTTCTTCGTTTTCTTCGTCTCGAAAAGATCAAACGGAGCACGCTTGGGGACGAAGAGGATGGCGCGGAACTCCAGCTGACCCTCGACGGAGAAGTGCTTCACCGCGAGGTGGTCTTCCCAGTCGTTGGAGAGAGACTTGTAGAAGGAAGCATACTCTTCTTGGGTAATGTCGGAGGGGTTGCGAGTCCAGATTGGCTTGGTCTTGTTGAGCTCTTCCTCTTCGATCTTGGACTCCTTGACCTTCTTAGTCTTGGGTTTCTTTTCCTTCTCCTCGTCATCGTCGACTTCTTCAATCTTGGCTTTCTTCTCATCATCCTCCTCAGCCTCCTCAGCCTCCTCGTCGGGGACCTCTTTCTCGGTCTCCTTCAGGACGTGGAGGTAGATGGGGTAGGAGATGAATTCAGAGTGCTTCTTGACGACTTCCTTGATCTTCGACTCGTTCAGGTAGTCGGTCTGCTCGTCCTTGAGGTGGAGGATGATCTTGGTGCCACGGCCAAGAGGCTCGCCCTTCTCATCGTGTGTGATGGTGAAGGTACCACCTGCGCTGGACTCCCAGATGTATTGCTCGTCGTCATTGTGTTTTGAGACAACCGTGACTTTGTCTGCGACCAAGTAGGCCGAGTAGAAACCGACACCAAATTGACCGATCATGGAGATATCAGCACCAGCAGTCAGGGCTTCCATGAACTGCTTAGTACCGGACCGGGCAATGGTACCAAGGTTGTTGACGAGATCCTATTACCCAAAAGTTAGCCATGACGGCTCGGAACTATATCATCACGGATTGATTGAACTTACAGCTTTGGTCATACCGATACCCGTATCACGGATGGTGAGGGTCTTGGACTCCTTGTCTGGGATGATGTCGATTCTGAGGTCCTTGCCAGAGTCCAATTTGCTTGGATCCGAGAGGGCCTCATATCGGATTTTGTCAAGAGCATCCGAGGCATTGGAGATCAGTTCTCGTAGGAAGATCTCTTTGTTGGAGTAAACGGTGTTGATGATGAGGGAGAGGAGTTGGGAGATTTCAGCCTGAAACTCGAAGCTTTCAGACGCCATGGCTGTGGTATTGTGCGTGAGAGAGGTGATCTGTGGGAGAAAGACAAGAGTCAGTACATATGGAACGAAGATAACGCTGAGCTGACCAAGTCGATGCGTGCAACCACGGTCTCTGTTACTGCCAGCGACGGCGCAAGTTGGAGAAGCCACAGACAATGGAGGCAGGCAAGACTGGGTCAATGCGGGCAGGTAGTATTGGGGTTTCACTTACAGAAGTATTATGATCGTGTTAAAGAGACAGAGATACTGACTGTCCTTTTGGTGCGGGAGTAAGAGTGGAAGAAAATTTCTGTGTGATGGTCTGAGTGAAAGAGAGGGAAGGCTGGAAAGTGTTTATGCCTTATAAACTTAGCCGCAGTGAACCCTGGGGAGCTTCCATATGGTTCTTTTTTCCTCTGCAGTCGCAGTCCCCACAGCTCCCTTTGCCAAGATATGGGCCCACAACCCTGAATAAGCACGCGCCAGACGAAAAGACACAGTCTGGCAGAAAGGGCTGCAAACACGTTATGCAAACAGCTTACATTGAGGTCCTTGAAAGGGATTGTTTACTCTACCTATGTAGTAACATAAAGTTTAACCTTCATTCTGTCTCTCAAGAATCGGGATCAGTGACAGCTGGGCCTGGTTTCCTCCTGCTTGCTTCGCATATAGCTGCTATCTCCTGCAGCGGCTCAAAGCCCACCCCTGCTGGTTATTTCTGTCAGACAAAACCCATTGACTAGGCCCACTCCTAAAGCGTTGCCTGGCCAGTATAGGCTGGGGGAGGACGAGGCTTCTCGAATCTTGCAGCCTTGAGGGGCCACCCGTCTACGCTCGTAGATTCTACAGGGTTCGGCGCTCAAACAGCTGGGTCGACCATGGAACGGTGATACTGGAAGATTCATGGTTGATATTAACATTTCCTTTTTCATCAGCATTGCGCGATGCTGTCTGTAGCTATGTATGCATGCATCACACAATGCAACCAGAACAACCAACCGCCCATCCATCCGCCATTGTGATATGTAAGATGGTTTGGTAGAATCACAGCTATCTATCGAGTCTGAATATGTCACAAGATTAGCAATCCCTATACTTCCATGTCTCGTCCCCTGATAAATCTTCAACTCCTGCTGCCCACCGGGCGGACTTTATTCTTCATGGCGGTCTGAAACTCATAAACCCATCACGCCATTAAGCCGTATCCAAAAACTCTGGGGTCGTCCTCTATACGCCCTCCGCTTCCGAGGTGCCCTGGCACTCTGAACTGCTCTCCCTGTTGCTAGCTTCAGCAGCTTTCTTCTCCGCAGCTTCGAGTCTTTCTTTGGTGTCTTTCAATTCGCTTTGTAGACTCTTTATGTAGACGATGGCCATTTCAACCGTGCTAGCCTTGCTCGCACCCTGTCCAGGCGGCGGGGGCTTTCCAGTCGTCGCCGCAGCCAATGCCTCGCCGTCCTCGTTCTCGTCTTTGGATGGTCTGTCTTTCTTATTGTTGGCCACGAGGATAGAGGCAGGAAGGAGGGCCTCGATCTCTTTCAATGCCAGATTGATTCTATTCCGTCGGCCCTGCTCAGCGATTTTGTGTGATGTTCGCTTCGACGTCAGGTTTTCAGCCAAAGTCTCAGGATACGAAACTCCTGGGAGATGCGTCCCCTCTAGTATATTCTGATAGTTTGATTTGGACGCAAGATATAACGCGCTCGTCTCTGCTGAAAGATGTGACATGCCCGGGCCTGGAAAGGTCAGCCTACCCTGCACCTGTCCGCGTCCGAGTTGACACTTACCAGTCGCAGGAGCCAATGGGCTAATACTCGGGGAAATTTTGGGTCGCAACGCTGGAGAAATTGTTGCAGAGGACGTGCTCTGGCGCTTCTTGCTGGCACGACCTCCTCCACGGCTGTCAATCTTGCCAGGTTTGGCAAAAGTTTCTTGCGACGTCGTCCTTGTCAGCGCACTTCGGGGTGTACTGGCGGCGCTAATCTTGGTAGATTTGGCAGAAAGGGTCGGCGTGTTCTCGCCGGAAACAGAACTCTTGCCAAGGTCAATACTTTGCAACCCTTGGGACATGGTGGCAGAAGCCGCTGCGGCGGGTAACATAATATCCTCCATAGGCTCATCTGCGCCCTGGACAGGGCCGTGGTGCTCCATCTGCCTCATGGCCACCGATTGGTTACTGGGCATCCTCATCAACGTGGCAGGAGTCACCGGATTGGTGGACTGCGCATTCTGAGCGGTGATCGTCGACTGCGGCGACTTGCCTGGATGAGGCACAGGAGGAGGTCTCATCGCGGCTTCGGACAAGGGTTCTGGCGAGACCGAGTCATCGCTTCCCAGCAGCGCAGCGCTATTGGGCGCTGAGGGATGGAGTGTAGAACCAAGCGTCCCCTGAGGAAGCATGCTTCGGATTTTGTCCATAGGCAAAGACGTCAGGGAGGGATGTCGGCGACGCGGCTGAGGCTTCATCGCAGGTGACTGCTTTACGCTGCGAGCGGGTGCCCGAGCTGCATTGCTACCTTTGCGTCGAGGGCGCTTCGTCCCTGCTGTGAGAGGTTTTCCCGCCGCACTCAAATCGTTGAGGTCAACAGGCGAAGCGGTGGTCCCAGTCGAGGTAAAGGCCGCCTGTGCTTCAATCGCAGGAGACGTCAAAGGACTGAAAAACTCGTCTGCAAGCCCGTAATCAGACATGGCAAACCCGCCGTCCATTGGTGTTTGCGCGGGAGAGACCAGCGGAGTAAACGACACCTGGAAAAGCCGTCAGCAAAATGAGAGCCTTAACTCTGTGTGCCGCCGCCACGCTACCTGTTGATGGTCGAAGAGGATCTGTCCGTTGTTTCCCATCTGTTGCGCATATTTCCCCGGGTGCATCTCGGCGCTCACAGGAGTAGGGGGCACATGGTACTGCTGCGCCATCTGAATTTGCTGATACTGCGGGTATTGGGCGTATGGCTGGTTCGACGCGAGCTGGTTGGCGAAATCGACTGGGTCGCTGGTCGGCGTCACATGGACGTTCATCTGTTCAGCTCCAGAGAACCCTAGATCAGCGGCGTTATTCCCAAACCCCAGGCGACCCATGGGGGTGTCGAGGCCGGAGTGGCCATTATTCATGGCCGCATAGTGTTGGAAGTCATTGTCGAGGTCGAGGAATTTTGTAAAGTCCTCGTCGCCGACCCCGGCCACCATGCCGTCATCTTGCATATCTTGAGCCCATACGACATTCTGCTCGCGATCTTGTTGAGTCATCCTCGAGGCTGACGGTATGAGGGTAAAGCCCGCAGGTGGGCTGCGGGAGGTAGCTGATGGGAGACACGACGGGTCAAAGGAGGTTCATCTCTGAAGTCGGCAACACAGGAGCAGCCCACTCGAGCGTGGCCGGGACAGTGATGGCAGTACCGAATAGATCAAGTTGGCAAAGCTTGACGTTCGGCGACACAGATGCAGCGCAGCCTCGTGAAGGGACGAATTGGAAAAAAGGACAAGGCCGTACAACGCTGGACAAATGCGCTGAAAGGGCAAAATTCGAGGTCGGCGATGGTAGCAGTCAAAAGCCCACTACGGTACCACTTGCAGGCTCAAAGGTCAGAGAAGGCTTTGGGACGGTCTAGGCTCCACCCAGCGGGGTTCTGCGGTTTGGGGGGGTGCGATGGCGTGGGTATGTTCTTCCTTGACTTGCAGTGAGCGTGCAGTAGGCGGACAATGGCGTGGGCGTCCACCAGGGTCATGCTTGAAGATGGTTCTGAGTCGCTGGCCGGGCGCCGCAGGGTGTGTGTGGGAAGAGAAGGAGTGGGCTGGGAGTGGGTGGGGAGGTCCTGGCGGTTTTAGGGCTCGGGATGATCGTATTGAGGTACCGAGTGCTTGTGGATGGAGGGTTGAGTCAGTGGGAGCGAACTCGAGATGGTGGGTAAGATGTCATTGACCAGCAGACAGACAATCATGTGCAGTGTCCACGTCCTGTGTCTGCTCTGATCCCATGAGCAGACTGAGAAGCCAGCCCTAGCCTGGTGCCTCGGTGGCGTGTGGGAGAAAGAAGTGGTGAGATATACGAGGTGTTGCCGCTGATGCTCCAACGTTGAAGCTGGACGATGGCATGAAGTCGCGGAGATTCATTCGTCCGGGCTTGGTTTCGAGGCGAGGGCGGGAAACGATTATTTAGTGACTGAGGGGGATTGCGAGAAGGGATCAATTTAGTACCGAACTTCGGCATCAGGCTCACACCCCAAAGGCAGAGCATCCCGATGGCCCAGGTCAATCGACCATCTCTATCGTGCTGTTCAGAAATCAATCATCTCGCATTTCTGTCTGTTTACCGCAAAGCTCCCGCAGCTCCTGAGGCTCACGGCCAGGGACGAAGCCTTATCGGCACCTGACTTCAACTTGGGGAGGGAGGGGGGAGGAGGCCAGGCATCTGTCCCGATTAGTAGGGGTGCTGTTACAGGCACCGGTAACCTACCTATGTAGGCCTCCTGGGCGACCTGAGTGTAACCACAGGCGGTAACCGGCACCTAGCAAGGAGAGCGTCCGGAAGGAAGGGGGGGAGGGGGGCGGTTGATTTGGCGAGAAGGGGCGGGGCGCACCCGCCGGGCGACAGAGGGACAAGCCTGCGGTCATGAACCACTGGACCATCTGTTCCTCTCACGCCTGTGCCTGGGGTACGTATCCCGTCTCGTTCACCCCTTCTTTCCCCCCTGCGTCGTCTATGTGCCTCACTTGGAGTTGATCATACCGTATCCGATCATGTCCATCTTCTACAGTACGGCAGTGATGTCGCCGTTGAATCGTCCGAAAGAAGAGATGGCTGGGTTCCCAACTAGCTCCTCAAGGGTCGTACTACGTACTTTTCATGCGGGATTCCACCCACGTCGCTCCACCGAATCAGAGTTTTCAGGCCTTGTCTGGATCTCGAATTCGCCATCCGCACTCCCATCCTAGCAGGCGCCCTCTGTTTGATTGGCCTTAGCCTCGTCTACCACTCAGGCAGCGCGATCTGACTGTGCGACATCAAGTCGGCAGATTCCACGACATCTGGGTCAAAGGAGCTCCCGCGTTCATACTATCACTTGCCAACCGACGACGATTACTCGTGCAGAATCCTGTCTAGTACGAGCCTTCTCCGAAAGTAGCAACAGGTATAGCCTTGGGCTGTGTGCGGCTGCACTCTGCCTTGTTCCAGGATGTCTAAGCCCAAGGCGTTCCTCAAACAATCAAAGTCGAAGAAGAAAGCAGAACAAGTGAGACGGAGCAAACCCCGGCTGGCTGATATTAATAAATTACATAGGCGCTAGAAACCGTCGATGATTTTCAGGCAGGTGAGTGATCGCATGAACAGCCATTCCCGGACCAGCCGCAACGGCTGATTCCTTGTTAGCTGGAGTGGACTTCGAAGAAGCTGCAGGGAAATGGAGGGCTGGGGACGCTGTCAAGTCCATGCGTTTCTTTTCCAGAGCCATCGAGGTCTATGACCAGGGGTTGCAAGCCTACCCGACTAGCATTGATCTGGCGTACAACAAGTCTGTCGGCCAATCGTACACTTGCTTCTGGCACAAGGCTGACCGTCAACTAGAGCAAGGGTCTTGTTGGAAATTGCAACGCATCCTCTTCTGGTGCCACATCTGCACCGACCACTTCTCGAGGTCCTGCAGCAGGCATTAGAGGCGCATCGTTACGCTCTTAGCCTGGACCAGGACAACCCGGACACTTTGTTCAATACGGCTCAAGTTCTGACGGCTGTTGCCGAAGTCAATGCCAAAGATGCAAGTCACGCTGATCAGGATGTTCTGCAACCACTCGAGGAAGCCTTGGAATTACAGAATCGTTGTTTGAGTATTCAAGAGCTCAGGCTCGAGGAATACATGCAACAGCAGGACGAGGCGGCCGCCCAAATAGCATCGGAACAGCCAGCTGAACCCGTCACTGGTTTGGACGACGCCCCCGATCCTGCTCCCTCTGCAGCTGGCACCGAAGACCAGTGGTTCTCGGTCGTGGAGCCGGTCACAAAAGAGACTCTTATCGACACCATTCTTGCACAGCTGGGAACCCTCACTACCCTCAGTAGCTTTCTGAGCTCCTCTGACTCCGTCGCGGCCTCTAGCTTAGGTTACGTTGAAGAATGTTCCTCCAGACTGATCAATATAAAGCTGCCGCCGCTCCTTCAAGATGCTGAGCCAGAAAGACTACAAGAAGTTGCACTTGCTCGGGCGAATCTGGCATCTGAGTTGCTCAAAGCAGGCTACCTATTGGGGTCAATCGACCCAACGACATACAGGAGGGAGCGGGACGAAGCATTTCAAGTACCTGAACTGGACCTGGAGAGGAACTTTCCTGCCCTCCTGGCTAACGCGAACAGTCTGATTGCGTTCAACTCTGCTCTTGCGGATGGCGAGCCCTCGAATGCCGTGACCCATGCGTCCATGCGGTGGAGTGCTTTAGCCGCAGCGATCGCTAACATGGCTGCTGCATCTAAGATCTCCGGTCCTTTGCCTGAGGATATTGCCGAAACACATTTTATCCGGGGGAATTGCTCTCTTCTGCAATATCAGCTAGGACGGCCGCCCATATCCTTCAGCTCCGCCATCGCGAACGCGTCCCAGCTCCTGAAAAATGCAGAAACATTTTATCGCAATGCCAGCAAACTCTACCAAGACCCCGAACAGAAAGCTTCATCGCAGCTGAGAGCCATTCTTGCTCAGGCTGTTCCGACACAGAATGATATTGCATCCTATGCTGCCCAGCATGACCAGGGGAGAGGCCAGGACTGGGTTAGGGTTCAGCTTGATGACATGGTCGACGATGGGCTCATAATGCCGCCAGCTCAACCTCTTTGAAATGTCCGACGTATATCTCGCTCTACTGTTGAAGGGTTGTAGGAAGAAGACCTGGTCGCTGATCCTTCAGCGACCAAAAATCGAGGCCTCGGCGAAAGAGTCAAAGAGTTGTCGAAATACTTTTACCACTATCGGAGACCGAAGCTAATCCTGGCCTTTCAAAAAGTTATTTCTGTCTGCATTGTTCGCGCTTTGCATGCATTCACTGCCGGATTTTTTGCTTCCTTTCATTCGCTATAGGCAAGCACCACAACAACTCGTACAATATCGAAGCTGAACTCTCCAAGTTGCTTTTGGAACTTGCACCATGTCTATTATCAAATGAGAATGGCGTCCTTCTGTTGCCTGGGTCCGGACGTGCCCCTCGTGTATACACGAACTCGGGTCCGGTATTAATTCACACAGGCTAGTTATCGATCTCTTAGTTGTCACTTCGATGGCTTCTTCCCAAACAAGTCATGAAGTGCTAGAGCGAGCCAGTTCTTCAGAGTTGGAGATGAGCCTGGCGCGTGTCAAGTCGCCTCATGGCGCGGACACAAGAATATCTTATCACAAAGACGAGCTCGTTAAGGTCCAGAGTCTCTTTTACGCGCGTCGCTACAAGCAGTGCATTGCACTTTGTGAAGAACTCCAGAGATCGGAGGTATGTTAACTCAATCAAAATCTAACCTGAAGGATTTCGACTCCCTGACTACATTGAAGATTCACGCCCTACACAAGGCTTTCCTCTGGTTCTACCATGCTACCTCCTACGAGTCGATGGGCCTGATTGCGCACAATTTTTCGGATAATAAACTTCGATTTCTGGATTCCGCAAGGGAGAGCTTCTGTCAGGCTCTAAAATGTGTTCCTCTGCCATATGTATCAAGTGAAGTCGGATCTTACGAACAGCCGGAGGAGTCTCCCGTCACAACCGGTTTCGGATCCACGACCATCACGGGAGCCCAGCAAGCAGGTCGAAAAGAAGTGTGCGCGCAGGGCCGTCTTACAGAGATATCGCCTTCACTTTCTTCTGGTAGTGTGTACTCGCTAGGAAGCGCCGGTTCAGAAGGAGGATCTAGTGCGGATTCCAGTGAATCATCGCCGCAAAAACACGCATGTCAAGAGATGTCGGCACCAGTGGCACACGTCGATTCAGAAGAAGGAACTTCAAATTCCGACGTAGTGAAATACCCAATCACTCCAGTCACTTCAGGTACAGAGGTGTCTCGACTCGGGCGCAGCCCCAGCTCAGCGCAAATACTGCAAGACAATCTGGTACCGTCGCCTCTATTCAGCCGAAATCCCAAACGGCCTTGCACGGGGCATCTTGACAGTAATGTCAATGCCCGGCCACTTCCTCCTTTGCCATTCAATCACAAAGCCGAGTTCAAACTACAAGGCACTCGCATCATCCAAGACCCGTTGATGCGCAAAACTGCAGTTCAGACCCTCATCGCACGCTTCGAAGGGATTCTACCCTTGCCTCCGTCTTCTCCGTTGGCGGCGGCAAGATCCCCCTTGCGGGAGCACGTCTACGGACTCGACACTCCAGCCCCCTCTCCTGCCATCACATCCCCACGATTTCGCATGATTCGCGATGCGTTCAGTCCGAATCCGCACAATGAACACCTCGAAGCATACCTCAATACCTGCACCTCGACCAACCTGACGCTCTACAACGTGCATCTCGCGGACTTCCGTGCTCAGCTGAGAAAGCACATTACTTATGTAAATGGGGAAACCGGTCGCGTGCAGAAAATTCAAAGCGAGAGAAGCGCTGCTCGGGCTTTGGGGCCGAAGCAGCGGTTTGCAAGTTTCTGGTCTCTCGAGGCCGCTTCTGCTGGTTCCAAATCGAAGTTCACTACGAGATCGGCATATGTAGGCCGAAGTGCTGCCCTCGTGAGAGATGATCGTGACCGTGACTTCACTGGCGGAGAGAATCCTCGAGACAGATTCAAGGAAAAGGTCGATGAATTACGACGCCGCCGGTGGCGAGTGTGCAAGGAAAGACACGGCTTTAAAGGAGTGGAGTTCTACGAGGACTTGAGGGCGCGTGCCGAAGCGGAATTGGAGAGTTATCGTTGATTTGGTTCAAGAAGCACGAACGCAAGGGACGTATGTTGCGGTTCTTCATGCAAGTTTCACAGGCCTCGAGTTGATGGTTGGCTAACGCAAAGGGGTGTTGTCGCGATGTACGAGTCATGGTGGGTGGTTGAGCAAGTACCTCGTTGTTTTGGGGCGTGGATAGATGCTTTAGCTCCCCAACACGAGAGATGTGACCTGAGTTCTATGAGGCAGTTCGGAAACTCAACAGCAACAGAGCAACACAGAGAGCAAAACGCCAATCCTGGCCATGTCTCGAACACTACCAAGGGAGGATAGAGTAGACCAGAAGAAAAGCAAGCACTCTTGTCACTTCCACAACTGCTCGACGCACTTACCCTACTGCTGTTGTAGTAGCAGTATGGTGGTACCCAGTCCCGTAATATGTCAAGCAAGCAAGTGAGCAAGCCCAAGCCAAGTCTCTATAGATAGAGGACGACGAGGTACAGTACAGTGCAGCACATACGCATGCTTGTAAAGTCAAGTAAGTATTCGGGACCCTGTAGAGTTAATTGGTAGTTGAATTGCCCATCTTTTCCTGAGACATTGCAGCTGGGACGCAAGCCCAAGAGGCTCGCTTGCTCAGTGGGCTGTGGGAGAGAACTAACTACAGTTTATACGTACGCACGCGAGATCATCATCTTTACCGATAGGTCCCAAAGAACCGAAAGGGCGTGAGTCGTCTATTCATCTATCCATCAATAATGGGGCTGGACAGAGTTCTGAGTCGTGGCAGAGTATGGCATTCCGTGTACAAGTCACCGAAGCTCGAGCTCGACCGCAGAGACCAGAACCGGAATATGAAAAAGGAGCACAGGTTAGATCGAGCAATGAAATAAGCTTTCTCAAGGAGATGGATTTTGTATTTCTGTATCTTATATCAATGTCATGGTGACCCGTTTCCCCCATTCTCCATAGCCAAACAAGAGCTATTGAATCATGATACGAAACCAGCACAAAACGTGGATTGATTGTAGCAGTCTTTCCCTTTTGATCCTCTGCTCCCAATCACAACCGTGAGCCTGTCCATTGGCATCATCCGGCTGCTCCGCCTCGACTCTCGAACCTCCAATTCCTCTTCGTTCCACAGCAAGAAATTGAGAATGGAAAACAACTGGACCAATATCATCACGTCATCAATTATTCAAGTCGTCAATCCTCACACCGCTTCACTCTTGTCTCAACACCGACATCTTTTTTTTGTGTTTATCGATGGGTGGAGTTTGGTAGTGAAAGAAACAGGTCCTTCAAAATAAAACAGAAATTCGCTGCACGCAAACATGCTCAGGTGTACATGGCGGCGGGTAGTGTGCCCATTGCCGCATTCTCCGCCGTGATTTCCACCGAGAATTCTTCTCAGTGACGTCTAGTTGTTCATATCATAGTCGATGAAATCGCTATCGTTCCATGCCGAATCGAACATGGGGTCGTTGTCCAAAGTAGCAAAGGCCTCAGGACCACCCGGGAACAAAGTCGCGGTGGCAGCGGCCGGATTGGAAAAGGCATTGCTGGCCTCGCCCGCAAAGAGTGAGAAGTCACTGTGGGGGAACTCCACGTCCGAGCCAATCAACGGGGCATCGTTGAATGACTGTCCAGAAGGACCGGCAATCATAGGAGAGTGGCTTGAGATGGATGGGTTGCGGGAGGTGGGCTGGAAGTAAGAACTCGGTGTCGGCAGCCCTTGATTCCAAGAAGTCGGATTGTTGCAGTCCACCGTGATTTCCATTGCCGTGTTGTATGGAGACGGCTCGGTGATGTTGCTGTATGTTGGTGTAATAGGCGTGGTCATCATGTTGGGATACTGAGCAGGCTGGTAGAGGCCCTGGAAGGGAGCGTTGAAGTCGAAATCGTCACCCATTGGGTTATATTGTGTTGCAGGAGTGTTGCGTGGGAAAATCGGGTTGGAGTAGGTGACCGGCGTTGAGTTGAAGTTGTCAAAAGCATTGATGGGCTGCTCGAATGGGGTTATGGAAGAGCTACCTGGCATGCTTCCAGCGATGCTGCCCGCAACAGAGCTGGCGTCGTCCCAAGTTCTGATGGAAACGGCGGGGCTTGGAGAGTAATCCATGCTTGGAGTTCGTGGGGTCTGAGCCGGCGTCATTCTGGTGACAGCCTTGTCTTTGCCCTTGGCACGTTCATAGTGCCAACCATGCTTCTTTTCCTGATGCTGCTTGCAGTTGCTCTCACGCTTGGTTCGGAACTCACAGAATTCGCACTTGTAGAAGACAGGATTCTTGGAATGACGGTCATTGACATGCCGCTCACGTTCCTTCTCAGTTGGAAGGCCAAGTTCGTGATACTTGCAGCTCGTCTCAGGACATTTGAAAGGACGAGAATGAGTCTTCTCGTGCTTGGCCAGATCACATTTCCTGTTGAAGACCTTGTCACAGGTAGGGTCGGAGCATTTCATCTCGACAATTTCAGGGATGTAGCCCTTCTTTCTACGAGCCATGGACCGTGCCACGTCTTCATCAAGAGCCTCACTGCTTGATCGCTTGACTCCAGGTGTTGGCACATAAGGAAGACCAGTCCGTAGAGAGTAGCCCTTGCCGTTCTTCCAGCGAACGAGTTCAGCCTCATTGCCAGTTTCACCGAGGCCACCCTCAAGGGTGACTTCATCATCAATGGAGTAAGACATGTCGTCGTCTTCCTCAGCAGTGCCCGCCTGCTGAGCGCGACTGGAAGAGCCGATATGCGCAGCTAGTCGGTTGACTTGTTGGACGAGATCAAGGAAGTAACCGTTATCGTATGGACGGTCAGCAGCACGTCGTTGTTCAGATTCAGCAAGATGTTGATAGGTATCGACAACAAGCTGGATCGTAAACTCGCCAAAGATGCGGTACAAATGCCTCGAGATGGCAAGGGTCTTATGATGATCGACGTCAGAGAATGTCAATCGGTCGACGATGAGGGTGCTTACCAGTGGCTGGAAGATGAGGCTCTGTTCAAGATCACGCAGACATCTGACAGCCTTATTGTTCTTGGATCCAAGTGCGGTGACCAGAGGATGGAAGTCTTCAAACCGGTCTTCTCGGAGGATGGGAGTGATTATGTAGTCCTTGATCTTCTTCCGTGCGGAAGGACTCAGTGCGGGGTGTCGCAGGGCAGGTCGAGAAATAGGCGGACTGATGCTCTGCGTGACAGCGGATCGGGTAACGACGCTGGAAGCCGTAGATGAGGGGAGACTGTCTCGTTGCCTAGTGTGTCGAGTTGTCGCTTCTGTAGAGTCAGCTACTGCGGGAGGTTTGTCAACACTGTCTTCACACATCAACATGCAGCGGGCAATCCAACCTTGAACTGCTTGTGCAAGACCGTCGTCTTCGGGAGTGGCCCCCACGACTTTCTCAGCCGAGTCACTGATGGAAGTGCCCAGCCCACTGTCCTTGTTCGACAACAAATCCAAAGCTCTTTCGAATGTCTTGGCCAGACCTTTATCACTCGACGGGCTGATTGAGGAACCCAACCCTTCGTCGGAAGGCAGCGAGACGCGGCGGACCCAGACCTGTTGGTCAAGCGGTTGAGTCGAGCGACGACGGCTTGATGTCTTTCGACCTCGGGCGCCAGAGAAGGTGTGTTCGAAGTCTGCGATAGACTGCGTGACGTCTTCCTTTTCAGAAAGCCAGCTAGTGAGAGTCGACTGAGAGCATGTTGGAGAGCGACGAGTCAGGTGAGGGATACTGAGCACTGGGTCATCCCCAGTCGCCGGCGAGGATGAGTGATGGAAAGTGGCGCCCTTGGACAGGGACATCTTATGCAAGATGCATGCTGATGACTCTGTCGAAGTGGGAGAAGACGCGGAGAGACCCTTGGTGATGAGTCTGGGAGTACGGCGATGAGCAAAAGGAGTGGGTGGAGGAGGCATGGTGGTGGAGGACGCCATGGTTGGTATATGTAAAGTCCTGGATGCCCCAAGGCTAGAAGAAGATGCAGATGACACGCTCGAAAGTGCTAGCCCGAAGTTTAGCACGCGGTCGATTGGTCGATTTGGATCATTCCCCGTTGCTTATGACTCACCCGTGCCAATAACCCCTCAAAAAGGATATAAACCGAAGACGGAAGATGTATGGAAATCGAAGTCGTCTTTACTCACAGTTGCCGCGTTGTTGATCTTTCTTTTCCAGTTGGTGCCAATGATATCCAGTTAGGAGAACGCCGCTCCCGTCTAATGTGTGGGGTTCGTGTTGAGTACAATGTGGCCTCTCGAATCGGGCGTGGACGCCGCCGAGCAAGGTATATACCGGTCGTTGGAGGGTCTCGAAAAAGCGGACAGGTAATGTACAACGACACCAGTGGGTGGAAACGAGTTGGGCTCACAGCCTGATACGAACGGGGGTTCTAGGAGTGCACCAGCGTCCCTTCGCAGGAACACAGAAGTGCAATTGAACCAAATGGGGATGAAGTGAGGTTCAGTTGGAAGTGAGATAGAGGGTCTCGGAGGGGTGGAAGCGACAACCTGAGGCCAAGGTGGCGAGTCCCAGGTGGTGTCCCTAGCTGGTGTAGCCGAATGGAAAGGCTTAGGTTGGGAGAAGGGAGGATGGAGGGAAGCAGGGCAGAAAAGGTCGCAGTTGAGATGAAGAAGTGTGAGTCGAAGTGAAGCCTGTTGCGCTGATGATGTTTGAATCTCAAGTTCGCTGTTGCCTGCTTGGCACGAACAGGGGTCGTCCACCGCTTGGATGCTATTGGGTGAAGAGGGGGGTTCTCTATTCGCTTCCCTTCCCTTCCAGTGTGGCGCGGGCAAGTGCTGTGCCCCCAGTGGTGTATTCGGGCGGCTTTAATACTGGGTTGACGGGCCCGCCCTGGAGGTGCCCGGAGGTTGCTGGTCATCCACGTCTCGGTCTTCAACACCCCTGTCCGTCGGCCGTAAGTCTCCTAATCATCCGCCTGGCTGGGTGCCTGGCAGCCAGTCTATATCTCTGGGCCCTTGTGCTTCTGTTTCTGTCCCATGCACGATGAACCAGGATTCTTGTTCCTATCATGCCCTAAAGAGCAAAAGGGACTTTAATGCAGCATGAAGAGCCTCAGGAGAAGCCAGTCCACATTCACCATCAGGCCTCTTGCTAACGCCGAAGTCTGGCAGTTCCATGACGGAGTGGTGGTGGCAGCTCACGCCATCGCTTATCTAATCAACTGAGTCCACATACAAATCAGAGTCAGCCCTGCCAAGAACGGAGTCGGCTCGAAATCAACCCGTTGCACATCTTGATTTGTGATCTTATCATTCCCTTTCTAACGCAGGACAGATGATCAGTTCGGGATCTCAATGACACTCTTTCCATGCCAACCCGTGAACACATGCGCCCGGGTGACAGCCATTATTCTACGGTCTTGAAAATGAAAGAAAAAAGCTCGTCGTGCGGAGAGACTCGGGATAGGATAACACAGGATGCAAACAAGGCACTGGCTGTGGCAGTGCAAGCTTTGACACGAGCGACCATTGGGAAACCTTGCCTGTGTCGGGACTTGTGCATGAATTCCACATGGACTTTTGGTGAAAGTCGCCACTCTGTTCACTCTTTGGGCAATGGCTATCCATTCGTTCCTGGATCACAAGCCCACAACGCGTCAACCGGTGAATACAGCAAAACAGCGTTCTGGACATCGGCGATTGGCTGATATGCACTGGATGCAAGGGACTTCAGGCGTCCCATGTGTTCATGACGCATGTCTGGTTACGGCATTTTGTAACCTTGCATAGTTAGAGAGACGTGTCTCTTCCATTCCCGCTGCAATAATCCTGCTCCACAAGGAGAAAGCCCGTCGAAAAGGACACAATGCAGCACTTAAGTTTCAATCAAGGTGACTCATAGGTCGAGCGGGTAGTCACCCTCCTTACTGCAGTGCCTCGTATTTTGGGCCAATCGAAACGCCTCACTATCCGAAATTTGAGCCTCTGTCTGCGCGTGTCACTTTCACGCTATCACCTGATCACCACCTTGACCATTAAAGAGAAGACTAATATGCGAATGGTGTTTCTTCGCGTGGTGGTAGGACGTCAGCCTTGTATCGTCGAGAATGGCAATCTCTACAGTCTGTCTCGAACCTGGCTTCGCCTTTCGAAAGCTACGCAGTAAATGCCCATTTCTATCAGTAACCTAGACACATTTTGTCACTGGCCAATGGTCGACAGGCAGCTCTCGCGACTTACGATACGTATGGCGGTCCGTGCACTTCCGTGACTACATATAGTTTACTCGGTACCTGGAACCGAGTCTTAGCAACTGCGCCTGTCGTCCATATTTATCGATTCAACTCCTTTCGTGCCTCACGAACCCTCGCACTCGGATTTTCATTGTCACAGTGTTTGACCTCGAATTCTGGTGGTAAATACTCCTTGGGTAAGCTTGGACATTATCCGACATGTGCAAAATGTGCGCCTAAAGGAAGTTCTCGATGATCACGGAATCAAGAGCGGAATCTATGAATGTAGGTGTGCTAAGTGGTAAACCCGCTTCCCCCGAGGCCTCCTCCGGAGCCTTATACCGAAGCGGACATAATCCGATTTCTACGATCATTTACTTCTGATTACGACAGTTTCAGATCTTATCCAAGATGGATAGTAGTCTAGTTTAGATCAGGCTGGATCGTAATAAGGACATGAACAAAGTCATCCGTATATAGGACCTGGACGTTGGTTACTCCATGAACGGCCAGAGGTTCCACGACAACCAACTCGGGATCATGAAGAGATCAGTCACACCTGACAAGCCGTTGAACAATAGCAAATACGACAATGAATGCACTTAGCCCATAATGGGATATTACCTTGGTTTATTTGAGCCGCGCAACTGGATCGCCCCGGTGATTCTTGTGGATGCTGCCGACGATGCTTTAACGATACCGTTCGAAAAGACGTGGTGGACGGCTACTCAGTCTTATAAGAGGCTCCTTTCCGAGCAAGATTCCAAGCAGACGGGATCTGAACACCCAAACCCATAAGCGCCTCAGCTCAACATCAACTATGATGTTTTGCTTTGCCTTCCTAGACTAGGCATCAAAAATGTCTGAGCGACGTGGCACTGCATCCTTCGACCGCTTGGCGATATTAAGTGGCCCCATTCGTGCCGCTCTTAGTAGACCTCCCCCTCGAATACGGTATGGGATTGTATTGGGGTTGTATCTTAGATTTCCGTGATCTGGGGAAGGCTGCTGTGTCCGGTCTTCAGTTATCCCGCTAGGGGAAGTGTTGGGACTTAATGTGTTCTCAAAGAGAAGCCAGTTTTCAGGCCGGGCTGTATGGGTGCTCGGTATAAGTAGCAATCGACTACGATTAGTTCATGAGCCAGCCACCAATCCCCAAAATTCCTCCATCTCGCCCTTGGCTGTCCATGGTCCATTTCTTGACCGGTGCGCAGCCAAGGTCTGTTGTATATCCAGCCTCGAACATCTCCATGCCCGCCCAACCAATCATCGCAGCATTGTCCGTGCAAAGCTCAACGGGCGGAAAGACCAGGTTCATTCGCTCAAAAGAACGCACGTCCAAAAGTCCCCGCAGGTAATAGCGCAAAAAGTCATTCGCCGCAACGCCCCCACTCACCACCAGCGTAGGGATTTCGACGCCTTCTGCTCGGAGGCTTTCCAATGCAATTATGGTTCGCGAACCCAGATGTTCGAACGCTGTACCCAGGGCTGACTGCGCCAATACAATACGCTCCTGTTCCTCCATTGGACCGGTTTCGGCTCCACGCGCGAGTATAAGCCTCTTGACCTGGCTCGCAATGCCCGAGAAGCTGAAGGCCAGATCTCTGTTTTGAGACATCGGGGTAGTCAATCTCCACCCAAACTCATTCATAGGCTTGCTGACCTCTTCGACGCGTGTTCGAGGCACATGCCAGGACTTGAAGTCTTTCGGGTCCTTGAAGGCGTACCTGGAGAGGTACTTCCCGAACGCTGTGTCCGGGGTGCTCTGCTGCAGTTCTTGAGGGAGGATGAGGCGTCCGCACTTGTCCAGCTCATCCCCGATGGCTGTGTCGGTAGTTGTAGCTAAGATCTTGTGGTCGACCAGACCTTTTGAATAGAGTAACATGGTATGTCCGCCACTAACCAACAACGTCAAGAACGGAAACGATGGTTTAAGAGCTCCAGGTTCGGGACGGCCATCATCCGCCAGTGCATTGACAAGCCTTGGTGTCAGAGCGTGAGCTTGCATATGGTGGACGCCAACCATGGGTATCTGCCATGCGGTTGCGAGGCCTTTGGCGGTAGCTAACCCGACACCCAGATTGGCTGACATGCCGGGTCCCCTCGTCACCGATATGAAGTCTGGTTTATGCTTCAGCGCGCCGTCTCGGAGCCATATTCTCTTTGTATCGGGGGGCGCATCAGTGGCGGCTGGTAGAGACGGGAGCGCGTTCTCTAGTAGTCTCGAGAGGTTCGCTTGGTGACTCTCTAGAGCCTCGGTGGGGAGAATGCCGCCTTTGCCGGTGTTCTTGGCCGTGATCTTGCCATTGAATAGCAGCCGTGCCTTCACATGATGCGGCTCATTCGCCGTCGTACATTTGGAAAGGATGGCGACGCAGGTGTCGTCGCAAGAGGACTCAATGGCAAGGGTAAGGAGGCTCCGCCGTCGTGGCACAAGGTTGCTGACAGTTCGTCTGGATAGGTTCAACAGGACTCTCGAATGGGGAGAGCCATGAAGCATCGACGTGGACCAATGAGTTCAGCAGCAGGCTTGCCCTGTCGACGAACAATTGGTGTCGTGCAAAGAATTGTTGCTGCCCTGAAATTGTGAAATTGGGGTGCTGATACCCCCGATGTTTACCCGAGCATTTACTGAGCCACCGAGCCACCTCTGACGGCGTTACACTGTACGAGGTACACGCGCTGGATGTTCATCATGTACCACTTCATTGCCTCAAAGCTCTTGTAACCAAGCTAGGTCCAATTGCTCAGTGTACTCCGTAGTCATGGTGGTGTCTGTGATCTCAACAATGATTGCACGATTCGAAGCCCATAACGCAACCCCTGTCGAGTGTAACAACCGTCCTCCCACAAACGTGAAGAGGTCATCAATCGTCATCTACTTCTGTACCAATACCTTCGGGACCAATTTGAATTCGTCCGCTGCATGCCAGAAGTAATCCGCAGTTCGATCTATCATCGAGATGCGATGCCCGGGACAGATGGATGGCGCAGGTGTCATTTAGGTTCGATGAATCACCACTCGACAAGTTGATGTCATGACTTTGCCCTGAGGCTCTGACACCAGAGTATATGAAGCTCTTGAGGATTCGGAGGGGTAGCCGTGGCCACTGTGTCTCTTCTTCAAAGATTCCTACTCCAGGCAAACAGTGAAAGCAAAAATGCAGCGTATTCAACTCCTCCAACGCGTCGTTCCTCGCGTAAATGGAACCAGGACGCTGAGCCGGACAATCATCGCCAGTGGTCCACGTCAGGCAGGGACTTCGCCAACCTCCAATGACAGCAGCTTCAACAATCCAGGTATTCAACTTGTGTTTGGTTGTTGATAGCAATACCCCAAGACTGACACGACGGCAACAGCGCAGGGAAAGAGCCACGCAACGGGTGAGAGCGTGGTTCCCGAACCCGTCCAGCGAGCCGCACCGGAGGGACTAGAAAAGGCTCTCCCTGAAGGTGTGCACCCAACCAAAGGCAGCGCCATCGACCCCCACAAGAACGAAGAGTCCAGCTTCAAGAGCCACGCCACGGGGCCCAGTGTAGTCCCCGAATTTGTGCAGAAAGCCGCCCCAGAGGCGCTGGAGAAGGCTCTCCCAGAGAGCATCCACCCGACCAAAGGTAGCGATATTGATCCTCACCCGGGCCAGAAACAGACTACGAAATAGGGCATTGTACCTTAACTTGGGAAAAAGTGGCCTACCCGGCAGAGGACGTGTTGTTGGAACATGTCGGCGCCTGCTTGTACATATATATCTCACCATTCGAGGCCAATGGTCCAATCTGGTTGTATATCCGGGTTGTGCCGATTCCAGTTCTCCCCTCTTGATGGTTGGACCGAAATTGGAGGGCTTACATCACAAGCCTTGACGTGAAGCAATCAACACCATTATGGCAGTGTCGAAGAGCGTTCCACAGCACTGCTGCTGCATTTAGACATGAAAGAGTGGGATAAACAAACAAAGAAATAATTAAAATCCACAAGCCTGTTGCCTGGTGTGTTGTCCATGAACCAATTGTTCTCTCATCGATGATTCTCAGTTTTCGGAGTAGATATATTTCTTTTCTTCAATCACCAGTGTTTTATGGCGAGGCAATTTTTGTCTGAACAAACGCCAAAACGTGCAAAGCAAACGGATAGGGGGGATTTAACATCCCCATCACCAATGGTACCAACGCTAGAAACGTATGTCTCCTTGGCCTAGCCATCGTCCTTCTTTGATCTCGCTCTCCCTCTCTCGATTCAGTGGAATAGACCGGTAGAGAGATATCTACTCAAGCACTTCAGCAAAGCAACAGACACCTTACTTGGTTCGGGTTATCCTGCGTCGAGTTGCTTCCTGCTGTGGGGAGGAGGGAGGGAGATACGTACTGTAGGTCCAGGTTAACAATGCCTGCTATATACGTGCTGTTTTCGATTATGGAAGCTCGAAAGGGTTTTTTCTTCTTCAAGTCGCTAACCGACCGAGTACTGGAGCATTCTACGGCGTCTTCCAGGTTCAAGCGGTCAAGAACTCAACAAGCCGTAGAAGGAAGCTAAGGCATCAAGAAACAACATGAATAATCAATCAAGTCTCTTTTCACCTCTCTATCCCGTGAAGTCTAAAACTTGATTTGACGATCTTATCAAACACATATACACGCACGCACACACACACAGACAGACACTCCTCTATCTGACAGGCATGTTTTATAATCTATTCTATACCTTTGACGCTCGGCGCGCCTCCATGGTGTTCGCCTGGATCATCTTGCCCACGTTGGGCCCGTCGTACTTGCGGATGGCGTGGAAGAACCACCAGAACGTCGTGAGCGCGACCACCCCGACCAGGATGACCGAGTTGTAGTTCATCGAGTCCACCGTCGTGGGGAGAGCGTACTATATAACGGAAGCAAACGGGGTCAATATGCACTCACGGAAAGAGTAATAATGGAGGACATGTGGCGGGGAGGTGGCGAGTACAAACTTACCGGGAAGCAGTAGAAGGTGTCGAAGAAGATTATAAACACCACCGCGAGGCCGTTGACCAGGTAGCCCCACTTGCCCAGGTTGAAGGGCCCGACCGGCATGTACTTCCTCCGCGTGATGATGTTCGGCAGGATGGTCACGACGTACGAAACGCTGCTGAGGACGACAAACGACCCGGCCAAGTCGTTGAAGGCGGTCTTGCTGCCGAGCGTGATGGCGCAGAGACCGATGGTCAACAGACCCGTCAAGAGGGTGGCCTCGATGGGACAGCTCAGCCGTTCGTTGACGTGCGAGAAGAAGCCCGCGAACGGGGTCGCGTTGTCGCGAGCCAGCGCCCACCAGGTCCGTCCGACGGTCAAGAACGTCCCGATCAGACAGGGAACAAGTGACAAAAAGATGATGAAAAGCAAGCCGAATGTTGCACCACGGCTGCCGGTCGCTTGCGCGTAAGCCTCCGCCAGGGGGAACGATCCGTTGCTGTTCTGGACCGCGACGAGGTCGTTGACACCGTAGAACAGGGCGATGGCGAAACACCAGGCGTAGAGAAATCCGAGGCCAATCTGGGCGAAGATGGCCTTGGGTAGGTCGCGTTTGGGGTTGGGAAGCTCTTCCGCCATGTGTGTCACCCCGTCAGCTGTTCCGATGGTGAAAGCCCCGTTGAGAACACCGGTCAAGAAAGCCACCCCGCCGCTCCAACCCGTGTTGTTCTGGAAGTCGGTCCAGACAAATCGGTTGGACGCATGTTTGGACGGCATCCCGGCGAGGACGATGATGGTGACGATGCCGCCTACGGTGACAATGAACAGGCCGAACTGCTGAAGATACGCCAAGGTGTTGTTGAAAAAGATAGTGACCGTCAGACACAGCACGATGATGCACAGCAAGCCCACGAAGAGATTCCACGGCTGAATGACATAGTTCGGATGGTACAGTGCGTACATTTGGACGCACAGCTCCGACATGATGTATGCGATGGACGCCAGGTCAAAGAGCCAGCCGAAATAGTTCAGAGAGCCGGCGAAGAAGCCCACAGGACGACCCCATCTGGGTCCGGCGGTGATGGTCGCCCAGTGATAGACACCGCCCGAAGACGGCACCGACGACGCGAGCTCGGCAATGGACGCGTTGATGAAGCTGTAGTAGAATGCCGCAATCCACAACTCCCATATCACGCCAGCCGCGCCTCCGTTGTAGATAGAAACGGCGAGCGAGGTCCCCAGCGCGACCCAAGCATTGTCCACCGTCAACGCGAGACCCAGAATACTCAAAAGGCCATACTGACGATTCAGCTGGTCGACATGGCCCGAGGCGTTGACAATCTCTCCCTCCAAGGATATCACAATTTGTTGCTCGCCAGACGCGAGAGGCCCCTCAGGGGTCTCTGACGGTTTCTCCTCCTTCACGTCGTCCATTTTGTTATACACGTCCGGGGGGGGGCCAATATTAGAGCGATGTCAGTCCCACGTACGCCGTGTCAGAAGGAGGATAGACGAAAGATAATAGGGGATTGACGGGACAGAGACAGGTAATACAGGGGGCTGAAGCCATATTATGCGAGAAACAAAAGATGCATTACATACACCGAGCCAGGCGAGATGGTCGATAAGGGCATGGGGCGGGAGCCACCACCAGGCTGGATCCCAGAGCTCCTGTCCGATTAGGGAAGCTGGAGATAGACTGGATCGTAACCTGATGCCATGACACGTATCTTTCATGAAGCGGATATCAAATATAAACAGTCAGAGGCGGTGCAGAGGGCGACAGGAAGATAGGCTGATGATTGGTGATTGGTTGTAGATAGGCCTGTGGCTGACATCCACGTCTCAGATCTCGTTCACCTCGTGTGTGTGAAGGCCTAGGGTTATGCTTAAGTTAGTATCCAGATAGCCCGGGGCTTGTACCGCGCGGGAGACGACGAGATAGAACTCTGTATAACCTCATGCGTTGAGTCAATTGGATGATAGGAATAGAAATCTCGTGTGCGAGGATCAGCCAAGCTTTTTGGCCGTTTTGGCTTCCAATACCGAGTACACTTCAAATATCCACCTTACCTGTCGGGCTGGTACATCTGCTCCGTGCATCTGCTACAGCAGCACGGCTTCGAGACACCTCCAGATTGAGATTGCCCTGCCAAGTCAACGTGGCATCTCCAGAAAATGGATGACAAGGGCCTGAGGCGTCGAAGAGAATCTGCGGATCCTACGGGGCGCACAAACGCCCTCGGGCTGTCGCCGCGCAAAGCTCACCCGTGGGATCTCGATTCGCACGTCCTCTTTGATCCGTCATCACATTTCGGTGGATGGCGACGTACAGTCTGATTGCATGAGAGAAACATGTTTGGGTGGCACAGGTGAAGGCGTAGAACATCGCCACAGGCCTCGTTTGTTTACCATATCATCCCAGCGAGGAACTGGACCTTATGCTAGTAGATCATTACTGAAACTCACGGCCAGGTCGCAGAATCTCGCTCTACCCGCATCCTGGAGCCATGGGCCGAGCCACAAGTTCTCCACTCCCGGTAGGGTTGTGCCAACAAGCTTTCCTGCGCTCGCCAAAAGACTGATCTCTTGGCTCCTTGCATGCTTAACGAAAGCACGAAGGTGCACAATTCCTCATGAGAGAGGATAGTGGACACAACGGCCATGACAAGTCATCACACTAGCAGCTCAATGTCCCTCCCTGTTCAGAACAGCAGAACAAGATAACCGACTCCGACGAGGAGCAGCAACATTCGAGGTCGATGGGTTGGCCCCGACGAAGGCGAACCCGACGATGACGTCGCAGTAGAGGCTGCAGAGGCGCTAGCAGAAGCTGTTCCCGATGCCGACGAAGGTGCCGCTGACGACGGGATAGCTGGGGATGGCGAAGGCTGTGACTCCAGGTTCCCCGTAATCACGCCTCCTTTGGTTACAAGAGGATAGATATAGGTTCCATTCGAAAGCCCCGGTGCAGGCACATACCACCGAAGCAAGGGGACGAAGGGACCCGGCTCTGCAGGAGAAGGCAGCCAGTTGGATGTCCAATTGCTTGGTGGCTGCGCGGCCTGGATGAGGATATCGAACGGCTGGTCCACCGCGGCGTCACTGCCTGGCCCGTACACGGGAGTGCCATCTGGATAAGTTAGATTGTCGCGGTCGCCGAGGGAATATCGGTTGATGGGATTATCCACGAGATAGCCCGCGGCGTTGTACATGGTGACGCTCCAAAACCCGAGCTCCGTCAAAGGTGGTTTGCCAGAGAATCTCAGAATGTAGGATTCGTTTGCCATCAAGCTGAGATTTCCCGCGAAGGAGGGATAAATCGCCTGTGAAGGCTGAAGCATCAGATACCCGAACTGAGCAATATAGGCCCGAGCCAGAATGTTGGGACCGTATACACCTGAGATTTGCGGGTTGTTGATGGTCCATCCGTTACCAACATCCACCACGCTCCCATTCACGCGAGGGAACGACTGCACTGCAGCTTGGACGGCCAACCATGTCGAGGTCATATTGACGCAGTCTGGTGCTGTGTACGTGCCGTCTGAGATACCGGCCTGAGTGAAGTTTGACGTCGTGTCAGGGGACATGCGACCGGTAGCATTGTAAGGAGAGACGGGCTTGAATCGTGCATCCAGCTCCATCACGCTCTGCGCCGTCGAATTCGGTAGTCCTGCGAAAATGGCACTGTCAAGGGCTGGGCCGACAATCGATCCGTTGCGAGATGTCGGCGTGATGGTGTAGCCTTGCAGGATGCCGCTCACGACAGATAAGTCGCCAGTTGTGTTCCGGACGAGAATTCGATACAGAATAATGCCAAAAGTGGTGGGAGAGTACACGGTACCCATAAAGCCATCGCTGCTACCAGAAGTTGAGAAAGTCCCCATGTTACTACTCGAAGGCGCCACGGTCAGGAGATACTTTCCCGCTGGATTGCCGCCAGCTGGTCCTAGATTAATATAATTATCCCCGTAACTGATAAAATATGATCAGCAGGTACCCTAGTGTGGATGAGCGCTGACATACGGTGTGTAGAAGGAAACAGCATAATAGCGGTCATCGACTTGTGGAACATCAACCACTAGATCTTGTCTAGATAAATCGTAGAAAAGACTGGCATAGAGAGTGTCTCGGTTCGGTTTGACAACTGCTGTAGACTGGGGAGTGGCCAATGTCGAGCTTGGAGCGAGCTGGTTTGCTCCCAGGCCTGCTTTCAACAGTCCTCCGAACCCTTTTTCATAGGCGAGCAGGGGGATACCGTACTGTGATTGACCGTGTCAAAGGACTCGCCGCTGTGCGATATCAACGGGAGAGCGGCATCTTACCTCCAAGCTCCATTCCGTGGCTCCTGCTGCAGGGCACGATGATCCAGAGGACTGTGCCCGTCCCAGTAGAGCACACCGGAGGATGCAGATCAAGAAGAGCTTGAGAGTATTCGCCAACATTCTGTACCTCGCTGTTGCTCTTCACGTAGGTACCTGTAGAAGCACAAAAGTCCACTGCTGAGCATTGTCGTGCTCTTTATACCCTTCCAGACCCCTTCTCCGCAGTTTCAAGCTGTTCATTTTCTCGACACGGCAGTCGGCATGCAGTGACATGGTCATTTTCAACTCCTCACCCTAACGTACCTGGTGGTCCCTGGCGAATTCGCGAATCAAGTGTAGCTGCGACGCGGGGTACTTGTATCCTTCGGAGGCTTGTGGGCTCTCTTCAGGGGGGGAGGCTCTGGAGAGCGAGCTGCTCTAATTCGTGGAGTCTCCATGGCTTCGAGCCAACTGGCGGTGTGCAGACGAACAACCTCGGTCGGCACAGACAGGCACAGATCTGCTGTAGAGAGATAGATATAAGGGGCAGTACAAATGTCCGACGCAGGCCGCAGCAAGGAAGCCTCGGCAGAATACATATGTAATTACGAGCAAAAAGCCGCACAACTCAGCAAGACGTTTCCTTCACGTACGTCGGTGTGCTTTTAAAAAATGAACGTTTAATGCATTTAATGTAAGTACGAAGATTGATTTGATTATCAGTGGTATTGCATCTTTGTGTATGAAGACAATGTAAACCACCGCCACACCGTCAGATTGAGACCTGTGGCTTAGCGCATAAACTAGTAGTTTGCCCTCCTGACTTACCAAGCCACGTTTCCTCCACAGGTAATAGAAGTCCTTGATTTACCATGAGACGGTGCGGCGCACAAGCTACACCTCACATAACAGGTGTATCGAAAATGTCGTTCCTCCAGCCACCACCCGTCTCTTCTCCATCCTGTACAGCCTCTTCGGCCCGCAAGGCCTCCTCGTGCCACAATTTGACAATACTTCCTGGTGTATAAACCCCTCTGAAAACCCCTTGCTTCGGAGCATCCACACCCACTCTCGTGTATAGATCCGGGTCCTCTTCTGGCGTCAACCTCGCCATGACGGCTTTCAAGAACGTGACGACATCTTGTGGATCAGCGATGCGAGTGGCACGCAGTCGTTCTCGGGCAAAAACAAGCTCACGGTTTGCGGCTCGTAAAGCCTTGACGATGTTCTCGGCAAGTGCCTTCTCCAGGGAACGTCTAACTAGGTGTTTTAGTAAGGGTTTGAACAGCCACCCTAGCCAAGACAGTTTTGACTGGCGGAGGTCATAATCAAGCTTGTGAATGTGAACTCTCACACCTCGCAGGGTGAGAATTTGTTCAAGTTTCTCGCGACCAATCTCCAGGTCGAGAGAGACGTCAATGCCACGCTCATCGAGATAGAAGCTAGCAATGCCTTCATCGGCAAAGTGAATGAGACCAGCATGGCCGCGAATCCAAAAGCCTAGATCCTGAGCTGCGACGCTCAGCCCGTTGATGGAGATGGTGACGATAGACTTGGTGCTGGAGACCGTCTTTTTAGAGTGCGTCTTGCGGATTTCGAGGTCGTTCTTGGTTGAGACAAGTAGACGATAGGGAAGGAAAGAGGTCGAGTTGACGTTTCGACCGGGCTCAAGCACGAGATTTTCCAGAAGAAGGTCCATTTCCGGAACACTGACTTCAACCCGGGGGATAGGGATGTATTGAACGCTCCGAATGAGCAGAGGCAGGAAAATGTGGATAGCGTCAGTAATCAGGTCAGGATTAGTGACCTGGTTTGGAGGCGACAGGATAGAATAAATCCGCTTCGTAGCCAGAAACAGCCCGTTGACTTCCTTGTCTTCCATCACAGAGGTTATGGTGACCTGTGCTTGCCTCAGCATTTTGTCGAAGTCCGTCCTGAACTCGGATTCGTTGCCCAACTTGGCCGACTTCTCCTTGAGCTCGTCGAGCTTCTGGTCCACATTGTCGAAGAAGTCCGGATCAGTGAACATTCGTTGCACCGCGTTACCCACTTCGATCATGAAGTTCTCGAATTGAGGGTCTGATTTTGCGTGGCTCATGACCTTGTTGAAGTCCTGCTCCAACTGCTCCCATGCGTTGGGATCGCCAAAGCTGCTGAGAAAGCTCCAGAAATTGTGCACGGCACGATCCAGGGCTGGGTTGGTGTGGATATCTTCTTGTGCCGCAGCGATGGCGGTATCTGCGATCCGGGAATACGCCACAGCATAGCGCTGAATCAATTTGGAGATTGTCGACACCGAGTCGTTGTAGTCGGTCCGACTTCTCAGTCTAAGGATGGCTTGCTTGAGACGGTAGAGCAGGGTATCTTTCTGAGAGCCCGAAAAGTTCTCTTTGGCGCTCTTGACCGCATCTTTTCCAACTTTTGCTACTTCCGAGCCGATCGCCTTGGATGTCTCTTCTGCGTTCGCTTCCAGTTCCTGCTTGGACGGTAAAGTGTCCTCGTCGGCTCCAGGTTTCGCTACGGTCTGTTGTTCCTGCTCAGAGAGTTCGAGTTGTTTGCCAGCCTTCTCGGCTGCGGAAGACAAAGAAAACGCGGTATCTGCCAGAACCTCCCTTCCGATTGTAGCAACATCATTGACAAACAGTCTAAAATCAGCATTGGTTAGGAGTAAGCTGCTGATTGTGCGGAAGCTTTCATAAGCAGCACGGGTATCTGCCCTGGCTTTGACTTTGGAGGCTGAATGAGTAATGTCATCGATATCCAGCGAGATTCGAGACTTTGTCGTGTACCAAATGAAGTCCTGAATCTGGTCTTGATTGTTTTTGTTTTTCAAAATTTCGATGAACAGCTTGATCCAAGTTCGACAATTCCGGATAAGGGCTCGGCCTGACTCGCTCAACTCTTTGTTGTTTGGATTGAGTATGTCTGCAGCGAGGAGGGTTCGCAGGTTGATAATGGTCTGCTCGGTGGAGGGCATGTAGCCTTTTGAGAGGGCTCTCAGCATCTGATACGTGTGCAGCTTCTGATGGAGAGCACGCTGGCGAGCTGTGTCGTCTGCATAGCGAGGCAGCAATGGATCAGTGTCTTCCCCTCGTTTGCGGCCGAAGCCACAGCATCGGGCAAGGAAAGACATGATAGCTGCGGCTGGAGAAGTGAGGGAAGGGGACGCGGGTGTGTGTGAAGGATTGATCGCTCAGCGTAGCAGGGAAGCAGCCGCGTGAGAGAAGGAAGACAATTGTGAGGCAGCCATCTGCCTTGGAAGATTTTGCTCAATGCACGATGCAATAGAGAGGTGAGGATCAAGTTTCAAGACTGCGGAGTTGCAGCCTGCAGCTCAATCGTCATCGCTCGTCTGCCAAGCTCGCGGAGAAGATGTCCGCCTTCCCACCAATCGCCGTTGCTGGCGTGTCGAGGTACATCAGCCCTACCTACTGTATATGTTCAATTGAGAGCAAGAGTCTCAAGGTGCGATATCAACGACACAGAGCACCTACAATGTCAACGTTGATAGGCCTATTCGCAGCTCCCATCCCCGGGACAGCCCACAGCTGCCCACGCCATTCTGGACTTTCTATTTGGCCCCTCGCTGCCCACGCCCTTCGGGTTGCGAACAAGGTTGAAAGGGTCCGTCGTTGCGAGAAGTTGAGGCAGCAGTTCCTCGCCATTCGGGCTCGGTGACTGGGATATGCTGCAGCTCGGGTTATTTGATTTCAGGCCTGGCCTTGCGAAGCACTGGACTTTCCGAGCCCTCGTATCTCTCTCCGCATTTTCCTGCAGCTCCTGCATAAGCGGCAAGCCCACGAATATCTATGATTTGAGCTACATCGCACTTTTGAGTCTGGGGAAGGTAAGCAGGTACTGTAGGGCACTAAATGAGTCACAAGGTCAAGCGACGATGAGAAGTCGGAAACTTCACAGACCGCCATGCTCACCGATGGCTCGAGACCGCGTGCAACAGCCTTGTGGTCCCTTATCTGGAAATAGATTGCGGGCAACTGATAGTCCGACATGCTTGATCGAGATTGTCAATCGGACGGAGATGTGCCGACCTTAGAGATTGGGATGAACTATTCCTAGCTGCAGCGGACGGAAAGGTTTTACAACATATCCGACACCGCTCTGTTGTTGACAAGCTCATAATAGCGCGTAGAACTGCGTAGGGTCCTCGACATCACGCTGGCAACGCTCGACATTATTGAACTGTATCGGGATGAAGGGTTGAGACACAGTAATAATCTCGGCCCCATGGTTTGTCCGCTGACAATGGTGACACTATCGTATTCTGTCGGTCGCCGGGAGAAGCGTCTATGGAGGCCGAGATCAGGCTCTTCAGCTCCGCCAGAGTCCCATTGGGAGGTTTAACTAGCTCGCCTCCTGGAATTACTGGGGATGGCGGACGCCAGCCGGAAGCCCCAGAGCGCACGAGCCTTTTAGGGGTGCGCCGGCTGTTCCCAGGGTGCCTAATGCACCCCTGGTACCCCTAAAAATTTAGAGCTCTTTGCCCCTTTCAGCAGGCTTTCCGCGCCTTGGGAGTCGCTCAACTCTTTCTCACTCCGAAAACTGCGCCCTTGGATTGGCTGCCCGGCTGTTTATGATTCATCCATCGTCCGGGCAAAACAAAAAAAAAATAGTTGAGATTTCAGTTCAACAACTCTGGCTCACCAAATTGACCGCCTCACTGAGTGAACGTCCCTCACTCACCGCACCCAGTTGCACGGCTGATTGCCGTCTCATATCCGCTCCTTCCCTCTTTCCACCCGTTTCTCCACTGCCAGTAATGCCCGTTAAAACATTGATGATACGCCTTCCGCGACTAGTCGGGTGTGACTATCTCGCCCTGTGCGCCGCGTTTCTTTTGTCTAATCCTTTTCCCACCCGGTTTGTCCCATGGGCTGACACGTCCCTATATGTTTGGGCCTCGTGGGAGATAAGTCCCGTTATTCATCCTCGTACCTCTTCCGAATCCACCTGAGCCATTTCCTAAGCTACTCGTACGGAGCACTCTGAGCCAGTGTGTTGGTGCCGGCCCGAGTGTCAGTTCGGAGTCGAGTCGAGTCTGCATTTCGTACTTTACGGACCATTGATAAACTGTGACATTCCCTTCTTGCCCTCCGAATGCTTTCCAACATCTCCAGATATCCAAAATCGAGGCCAAACCTCTTCAACCTCGTTCACTCTGCAAGCATGTCTTCGACCTCATCTCTCGACGCGCCTGTCGCCCAGACGGTTGGTGGTTTGACCTCAGCCACCAACCCTCAGACTGCCCATACCCACCGACCCAAGTACACCCATGCAACTGCTCATGTCCCCAATCGAGCGGCGCACTTCGACACTTCTCTTTCTGTCCCTGTCCGGAAGTACTTCCAAATCTATGGTCTCACTCCGCCTCGTGCAGAGAGTTCCGAGATCCAGAAGAAGAGATGTTTGGCACAATTGGCTTTGAAGTCAACAGATCTGGAGAGGTTTCTCTACCTGAGCACCATCAGGCACAACAATGTTCACTTGTTCTACCGCTTGTTGACCGATCACTTCACTGAGTTGACTCCTTTGGTCTACACTCCAACCGTAGGAGAAGCCTGCCAGAAATGGTCAGAAATCTACCAGCAAGCTGAGGGTATGTATCTCAGCTTCGAGGATCGAGGCCACCTTTCGGCTATCATCCAAAATTGGCCTCAATCTAACGTTGAGATCACCGTCATTACTGATGGCTCCCGCATCCTCGGTCTGGGTGACTTGGGAGTGGGTGGCATGGGCATTCCAATTGGAAAGCTTGCGTTGTACACTGGCTGCGCAGGCATCCGACCAGAAGGCACACTCCCTCTGACCGTTGATCTGGGAACCAGCAACAAAGATCTGCAAGAAGATCCGCTGTACATGGGCAGTCGGAGAGGCAAGGTCACAGCTGAGGAAGAGCAGGAGTTCCTTGATGAGCTGATGGCGGCACTGAAAGAGCGTTGGCCTGACATTGTCATCCAATTTGAAGACTGGAAGAACCCATTTCCCTCCCTCGAGCGCTACCGCCAAGACTATGCCATGTTCAACGACGACATCCAGGGCACTGGCGCTGTCATCATGGGAGGCATGATTGGTGCTATCAAGGAGTCTGGAGTTGCACCCAGAGACCACCGTGCAGTCTTCTTGGGTTCAGGATCAGCTGGTGTCGGTGTCGCCAAGCAGATCGTGGACTATTTCATGCACGAAGGACTGACTGAGGAAGAAGCCAAATCTTGTTTCTGGCTTGTTGACAGTAAAGGCCTCGTAACTCAAGACCGAGGCGACAAGCTGGCTGAGCACAAGATCTACTTCTCACGAACGGACAACAACGGTCAACAGTTCAAGAGCTTGGATGACGTTCTCGAGTATGTTAAGCCAACCATTATTATGGGTCTCAGCACGATTGGAGGCGCGTTCACCCCGGAAATCTTGCAAAAGATGGCCAAATGGAACGAGCGGCCGATCATCTTCCCACTATCAAATCCTTCTTCCAAGTCGGAATGCACTTTCGAGGAGGCAATCACCCATACCGACGGCCGAGCACTGTTTGCGTCCGGCTCTCCGTTCCATCCTGTCGTGCATAAGGGCAAGACGTATCATGGAGGTCAGGGAAACAACATGTATGTGTTCCCGGGCATTGGCCTTGGAACCATTTTATCCAAAGCTGTCCAAGTCACTTCCAACATGATATATGCTTCTGGCGAAGCTTTGCCTACCATGATCACCGAGGAGGAGAAAGACCGAGCTTTGCTGTACCCTTCAATTACACGCATCCGTGATGTCAGCGCTCGCGTTGCGTTGTACGTCATCCGAGCGGCGCAGAAAGACAATGTGGACCGCCTGCACCATCTGCGCGATATGAGTGATAGCAAGCTGGAAGAATGGATCAAGAGCAAAATGTACGACCCACACAAGGAGACTCAAGAGCTGGAGAATGAAGTCCGTGGCCTTGTCCAAGATTTCATGACCACGCCCAAGTTGTGAGCGTCAGGTGAGCGGTGTGGTTTGGTATTTAGCGAACTTGCGATGCTCTGCAACATTTTTGTGCTGTACGTCTTTTTCACAAGGCTGGATGTCATGGGAGGTGTGTATGTGGCTGGGCTTGGACTGCAGATAGCACCACCATGAACTACTTCGTGCGGGAAATGGTGACGAGGAAACTGGCGAGCTGCATCCTGGGGCTTTGTAAAGGCAGGGCTGCTCTTAGGTACGAAACAGCGAGGCTGATGAAACTTTCTTCCGGCCAAATTAAAGTGAGCAATGGCATCTTTTGCTCAATCCAGTGCTCCTGCGAATGCGTATTTGACATGAAAGTGACGATGCTGGTCACCCAGCTGGTGGCTTGACGCATTGATGCAGATAAGCCGAAGTTCTCCCTGTTGCTGTGGCTACGTTGGCGCCAAGGCTGCATTCAGCCTCCGATTGTCGTCTCCCGCAAGAAGGATTGCTCGTTGATGGTGATTACCGCAGACGTGATCTTTCAGAACGAGTTCAAATTGTGCAAGCAGCTCTGCTACACAGCCCTTCTATCTCTGTCCTGTCCCCACGCCAGCAACTTCGTTTGTCTGGTTTGACCGCGGCACCAAGACGGGAAAGCACACGCTCAACTCTCCGTGAGTTTGGCACCAGACACAACTTCACATCCTAAGGACACTTTGACCACTGACTCCTGGAATGTGCGGCAGAAAACGTCGTGCCCCTACAGAGATTTGAACTTAAGCCTCTTCCTCAGCCGACGACGAGACCACCGTCCTCCAACCACATGGCTTCTTTCCTGACCACCATGTACGAATTTCTCAATTCCTCTCCCTCTCCACAGCCTCTCTCCCCTCATTTGACCTTGAAACAATCCTCTTCATGCGTTACCATCAACTCCTACATCTCATGTGAGAGGCATGGCGAGAAGGAGGCTCCCCAAACTGCCACCAACTCGCCCAGCACCCCTTCCCGGGCCGTCCAACTCCTGCGTCAGGGCCTGTTTTCTTCTCCTTCCCAGAACAATATTGACCGATGTCCTTCACCATCTAGCAATGCCCGCACTCGAGGCCAGTTCAAACCGCAACGCGCCAACAAGGGGACCTCAAGCTATCAACTGAGACAATTCGCCGAGGCGACACTGGGAAGTGGCAGCTTGAGGAAAGCCGTCAAGTTGCCCGAGGGAGAAGATCTAAATGAGTGGTTGGCAGTCAACGGTAACCATACATGCCTTTCAGAGAGTGCCAGGAGAAATTTCGCAAAGATGAGTCGCTGACAAGTGCAACGGCGCCCGACAGTGGTCGATTTCTACAATCAGATCAACCTGCTTTATGGATCAATCACTGAATTCTGCTCACCACAGTCCTGCCCCGAGATGAAGGCTACTGATGAGTACGTTAGCCCTGTCTTCGTGCTTGAAGCCGCTTACCATCCGACTTCTAATGCTGCTTGCAGATTTGAGTATCTCTGGCAAGATGCCGCAACTGGTTTCCCGAAACCCACCAAGATGCCCGCCCCAGAATACATTGAACATCTCATGACCTGGGTGCAGTCCAACATTGACAACGAGAGTACCTTTCCCTCCCGAATCGGCGTTCCTTTCCCCAAGCATTTCCCCTCTACTGTACGACAACTCTTCAAACGACTCTACCGCGTGTATGCACACATCTACTGCCACCATTACCAAGTGATCGTGCACCTTGGACTGGAGCCGCACTTGAATACGAGTTTCAAACATTTCGTACTCTTTGTGGACGAGCACGGTCTTGAGAAGGGTGGCGGTAAGGATTACTGGGGTCCACTTGGGGATCTGGTAGAGAGCATGTTGAAGAGCGACTGAGCCCACTGTGCTCTGTTCGAGACGAACGAGTGCATGAAGCAGCGACCATCACATCTGATGACACCGGGATTGGGTTATGTTTCAGGAGACAGACGGGGGGCATGGAACAGGGTGTACTGGACCGATCAGCGAGGCGTTTCCCACGGGTGATTGACGGGGGCCACAGATGGGCTTTACAGCTCCATGGAGACAGATGGATACCTGGCATTAGATCCGTTTATGTTTTTTGATTGATTGATTGACCAACATGCGCGACGAGTTTTGTTCTTGATATTTTTTGGTTCTCCTGAAGGACACACAATCAGGACAAAGGGGGAGTTAGCTCGAGGCGTTCTTCGGGTACTCAAGAATTCCAGAGGTCCCAAGCATCAACTTACGCCGAACGCAAGCATGCATGCATGGACCATTAACGGACGAGAAAGGAGTGAGGGAAAAACAGGAACCAGACAGATACGGATTTAATTGCAGGCTTGCGAGAGAGTCTTTGGTTGGCTTTTCTTTCTTTTCTCTCTTTTATTTGTGTTTTGTCCGTCCATCCATCTATCCCTTCGTTGCCCGCGTGGGCTGGTGTAAATTGGGATACCTCTGTTCCATTCATGGTTTTGGGATTCCTCTCCCCTTCGCCCCATCCTCCATACGAGTAGATCAGAGCTCCAATCCTATTTTGCTGCCTTTTCCCTTTGTCACCGTCGTAGAAGTACATCGAAACGCAGCCCAGACCAAAGAAATTCGGTAGACACAATGATGGCTGAGCCGGTCCACGTCCCACAGCAACTCGCCAGAACGTCAAGATGCAGAGAGATGGGGAGGGAATCACTAGTACCCTCCTCTTCTCGGATATCCTGCAGGGCCAAATCCGAACGGTCCGCCACCTCTCCGACCGCCACGCATCCCGTCGTCGTTGTACATCCGACCTCCACCCCGCGGGAAAGGTCCCGCCGCACCGCCGCCACCGCCAAACATCCCTCTTCCAGGACCCGGGGGCCCGCCGACTCCGTTGCCGTAATGCGAGGGCCGTGAGTTGTAGGTATCGAGTCTATCACCGTGACGATAGGCGCCGCGTCCCACAGGTCGAGCATCATGACGATCGTAGCGGTCTCTCTCTCTGTCCCGGTCCCGGTCCCGGTCCCGGTCCCGGTCTCGATCTCGATCACGGTCGCGCTCGCGATCTCGTTCTCTCTCTCGTTCTCGTTCGTGCTCATGGTCGTGGTCACGTTCACGGTCACGGTTGCGGTCTCGTCGATCATCGTCTCTCCTCCTGTCGCTGTGGCGTGCATGCAAATCAGAAGGTTGCTGTTCTTCAAAACCGTAGCGTCCGTCTTGGACATTTAGTTCAGCATTTCTGGGTTCCTGATTGTGTCGATCATCAAAGGAAGTTGCGCCCTCTGCTTCCATTTCCACGTCCTCCATAGTGTCCGCATTCTCGGGCTGAGGTTGTGTTTCTGGTAACAGCTCTTCAGGTGCCGGACTGAGGTTCCGTTGGTTGGACTGCAACGTAGAAGTTAAGCCTGTGCCAGGTCTCTTGAGAGAAAGTCGCAAGATCCGTCCGTCTGCTTTTTGATTGTTGTAGGTGGATATAATCTGCTCCGCGATTTGCTTTTCAGTAAACACCAGCTCCGCTACAACAACTGGATTGGTCTTGACGAGGCGACATGAGAGCATTCCGCTGACGCCATTCTCGTCCAACGTTTCACCTTGTAGGGCAGATTCGATGTCGGCCGCCGTTGTGCCTGGGGCAAAATTGCTGGCTTCTACCACGAAGGGGCCTGCCTTGCCTTTTATGCTTAGACCAGAGCCTCTGGGTTTTGTCTGAGAGGTTACTATATAGGCATTTGAAGACTCGAGCGCAGAAGCGAGGCGAGATGAGCGTGTATTCTGAGGGGTGGTTGAGGATGGTCTTGACGGTGGAGTGAACACATTGTTCCGGGAAGAGCCTGAGCTGGTAACAGATGAAGATCGCTACACCAGCCATTCCCATCAGCAACGAGTCCGGATATGATTCTCAGCGCTTCCAATGTGCCATGACTTTCTGCTTGGTTATACCTTTGTGATGCGACTCGCAAGGTCGGGCGTCCTTGAAGAGCCTTTGTTTGCGCTTCTCGGGGTGTTCTTGTTCGCTTTATTCCGGCCAAAAATCTCATTTGCTAGGGCTTCATTCTTTTTGCGCTGTCGATCTGGAAATCCAGTTAGTGGCCCATCAAGCGCAAAGAGCGGGACAGAGAGCGAAATACCAGCCTGAATCATCGCATCAAAATCAGCAGCGATTTTGGGCTCGGACATGGTGGCTTAAGGACGGCGCGAGGGTCGAGATCAACAGATGCGAAAGAGAGCATGTACTTAGTCAGGCAGGGGCAGATCTAGAATTGCATGGACAAGCGACACTTTTTAGACCAGGAGAAGCCGCAGTTGGAGACGACAACAAGCTGCCTCTTACAACATGCGGCGCAGGCCACGGACCCGCATTGTGGGCGCAGTCTTGGCAGATCAAAATGCTCCATTCGACTACTATTTACCAGTCCTCACATTCAGCAGCTTGCAGCCTTCAGACTTCTATCTCCACTAACGTTGCTCGGAAGTCGACACGAGTGGCCGCTCAAGCTAATTCTGCTTCAATCACACTTTGGTCGAACTGACTGTAGCTCCAGATCCCATTGACCTTCAACCCAACCTCGGGATCCTCGAGTAATGTCTTCCACTGACCCTCTGACCTCTCACTGGCGGCATAAAAAGACATCATTTCCCAATCTAGAGCTGACAGTGTCGAGGCCACGGCCTTCTCTGGGAGCACGAAATCCCACAAGATAAGTTTGGAGTACCCCTTCTTCATTGCCCGGGCGATATTCTTTAGAATCAACCGTGCCCTGTCATCTGGATAGTCATGAATTATGCTGTGCATAAAATATGTTCTCGCCCCTGCCGGCCATTGAATACGCATATCAGATCACAGGCTACAATCTTGAAAAGAAGTCTGTATACAGAATTGTTACTGTACTTACCTTGTACCGGCTGTGGAGTGAAAAAGTCGTGGGCCGTCGCACGGATCCCAGCATTCAGGCTGTTCTCGGGAATCGAATCAATGACTTCAGTACGATCTTGAAGGACCAGGTGTCCGGGGAAGCTGTTGAACGGGTGTCGAATGAGAAGCTTCTCCAGATCATGCCCCGTGCTGCCTCCAACATCCACCAGAAAGACCGAATCATCGTCACCGGTCGCGCCTTGTATCAGTCGCTGCTTCACCGGATAGAAGCCCAAGTCGTCGTCGGACCAGTGCGGCCGGTCGAGCATCCAGGTAGCCATCATACTGGCAAGTCCCTGAGTCTGTCCACGTTGTGCAAATATGTCTAAGATGTGTGTCTTGCCTTTGGCATTGAATGTATGTTGAGCTGGTGTGTTGAGAGGATCTGTCGGGCTGGTGTAGCCATTTTCTGCGAAGAACTCGGCCGTCTTCATGTTGATCGGAATGCAAATATCGTGCCTGTTTTTCCAGAGCGGCCGGATGTCTGTCAGCTTCGTGGCACGAGGCTGTGGTTTTCTCTCCAGGTCGAGTGACGCACATCAAAACAACGCTCTCTCTGAAGATGGATTGTGTCATGGCTTGTGCAAACGGGTTTGGCACATAGCTATCTGCATCGACCTGACGAAGGGTATTCATCGCAGCGAGATGCCTCATCATCCGGCCTGAGAGTGGAAACTCGTGTCAGTATGACGACGTTCTTTTTTCCTAACATCAAGAAAAATGAAATGAAATGCTGAACGGGCTGGCCGAACCAACCAACCATGGCTCCGCTGAGCACGCCGCCGCAACCTGGGCACTTGTCTTCGGGGAGCCTTCCTCGGCAGCGACATGCTCATAGAGCCGCATATCAACAGCCATGCGCAGCGCCGCAAGATGACTGGGCTGTTTGTGGCCGCTCAAGGTCAGAGAGAGGTGGCCATGTCAATCATAGATGGCAAAGCGCACTGACCTCGACCCAAGTCATTCTCACCACCGCCTCACTGGGAGTTTCGAGGACTGAGGCAAGCGACCGACAAGCCTCGATAGCTGCTTCACGCGTCTTGAGGTCTCCCGAGCCAAAGGCCTGCACATTCTCATTTACATCTTGCAAGAGTTTGGAAACGACGTCCATGTCAACATGCGACGGCAATGAGGCCGGTGCCATGATGCTTTCCCAGGTACCCTTCGCGGATTCGGTTCTTACGAAGCAGGAGAAGGTTTGTCGCAGGAGAGCCAGCAACCCCGCGTCCCCAACGTTCGCCGTGGCTCGCGACGGTGCGAAAGGTAGCAACGCCGGCTCGTCGATGAACGACGGTGCTAGTTCGCAATAGGCTCGGGGGTCTGGGCTCTTATCGCCCCTCGCTTTCCCCGTCCAACATTCTCCTCCGCTTTCCACTCTAAAGATCTCTAGCCAGCTACTACGCCCACCACCAGCCCCGTCGCTCACATGGCAGCCCACAACGAGGACCTCATAAACGATGACGAATATGATTCGTTTGAAGACGAAACATATGGCTCCATGTCGGATGATGCGAGCAGCTACATGACCTCTATCTTAACGCACATCCGCAACGGCATTGAGGAAAATGGCCGGCAGTACCCCGCTTACGGCAGAAACATGTACGGCCTCCCCGTTGACGAAAGGGAGCAGGAGCGCAACAACATTCAGCACATCAAATTTCGCCTCATCATCGGCAAGGTATTACACCGAGCGCCGATGCCCTCCGAACCGATGAGGATATTGGATCTAGGCACTGGGTCGGGTATTTGGGCGATAGAAGCAGCCGACAAGTACGAAACCGCTCTGGTGACGGGCGTCGACATCGCGCCCGTGCAGCCCGAGTGGGTGCCCCCGAACTGCCAATTCGAGATACAGGATATTGAGGACGAGTGGCTTTTTCCCACCACCGACTTCGACTTTATACATGCTCGCGAGCTCATTATGGCCGTTCGCGACTGGGACAGGCTGTTCCGCCAGGCATTCGACCACCTCCGGCCAGGTGCATACATGGAAGTCGGGGGCACGTATCCGACACCTACCTCGGGCGACGGCACCCTGCCGGCAGACTCGCACCTGAAGGAAGTCGAAAGACTGTTCTTCGAGATGGCCGATGCCATGGGCACGCCGTTGAACGCACCGACGCTGTGGAGAGCGCAGATGGAGCGCGCCGGCTTCGTCGACGTCACAGAGTCCATTTACAAGGTTCCCCAGGGCATCTGGCCGAAAGATGCCCGGCTCAAGGAGATCGGCGCCTACGAGAACTACAGCCTCAGGAATGGGCTGGACGCCTACTTGCTCCGCGGATACACCACCATGCTGGGAGGGAACCCTGACGAACTGCAAATTCTGATCGCCGAGACGAAACGCGAATTGCGAAATCCAAGAATGCACAGTTATATATTCTAGTGAGTGTAAAGTCTGCGGTAGAGCGTGCACATGCTAATATATTCCAGTTACAATGTCTACGGGCGGAAGCCTGGCCTAGAAGAGTCTTGAAATCAAAGGGTCATCCTCCATCCTGTATCTCATCAACTGACCCTTTTCTCCATGCCACATGTTGGGAAATCCTTACAAAATTGCCTGTTAACATTTGTGTTCACGAGACATACAATCCGCCGTTGTTGCTTGGTTTAGTTAGCATGGCTAGCCACCACCACCAAGATAGTCTCAAAAAGCCTTATGCGAACTTCGGACGACGAGCACAAGGTTGACTCGAAATCCACTCTGACTAAAGCCTCAGACCGACGATGTGCTCGACAACATTGGGTCTACCCCTGATAGCACCTCAAATGATCCGCTTCTGCTGTCTTTCTGGCATGTCGGGAATGACGTTTTGTCTTGAACGTTGTTATCGCACTCTACTTTCCTCCGCAGCCATCACTTGGTGGATGGACAAATAGGAGAGGCTGTCTCAGGAGCAGGCAAGCAGAGCTCCGCTTGATCCAGGCGTCTGAAACACGCCGCCACCAGAGAACAAGCATCAGACAGACACCTGTGGTATTGCCCCTTAGAAGAACATTTTGTGCCCTTCACCAATGACAGCGAAGGCGTGAGACGTGGTCATGCCAAAGGCCACATTCTCCCGAGAAAGAGGCCCATAGAGGGACTGCAATGACATCGGAGCGGCTAGGGGCGCCGTTGTTCCCTTCTTGAACATACCTGGACATCTTCATATTACCATATAGCACGCATTGCACGTTGACGTCACAAGCGCGCTACTTGTCGCGAAGACCATGGGAACACTCCACCGGCAATCCATCAATTACCGGGTTTGCGCTGGACCAACTCGAGACTGATGGAACCCGGTTGCCTGGAGATGCCAGTATCGCGGTCAACGCATAGGTTCTACACCGAGATCGCTGCGTCTTCGCCCAAGGCGCCGAATCCTACCAGCCAGAACAATGGATCGAAGAAGGCAGATCCGAAGCTCCGAATGATGGAGCGATGCACGTTCCAGGCCGAGTTCGACCATCCCCGGTCATTTCTTTATCTAACCAAAATTCTCATGCTTCAAGGTTGGGTGGCAGGTCCCATATGTGCATCGGGGGGCATTTGGCGCTGTTCAAGATGAATACGGTGCTGCTGCCTCAGCTGCTCCGGAGACAGACCAGCAGTCTGCCTCATCCCGGCAAGCTCTTGGGAATAGCATTTTGACTTCTTCGTAGTAGCCCAAAGAGGTTTGGTTGTCAACGTCCAGCGTTGAGAGGGATACCTTTTCCTTTATGCTGGTAAATGCCTGAAGAATAGTCCCAGGAGAATATATGGCTGGACGTCATATGCCGCTTGTGTATGAGTAATATCTGGACCTGGAGACAGTACAGACCTCACGGATATCCGGCAAAGCTGATCCTGCGTTGTGAAACATAAATTATTCTATACATCCTCGTCCTCTTTGTTTAGTGACAGTGGCAACCATCTCCGGGAGTCAAAAGGTGTATGTACGATCTCGGGCTACGGCGGAGTACAGAGCGGCGCCTTCAACATCCTTGGCGGAGATCTTTGTTCAACTGATTGTCGTTCCGCAAACTCCATTAACCACCTTTGAAGAAAGAGTGTCTCATCTAATGTCGAGAGCGGACCCTGTCGCTAGTTTTTAAGGAGAGCAAAGACAATTTCCAATTACCCTCATCAGAGGAGGCACCCAAAACCCTCAATGTCGGTTGCCCTTCGTCCCAGTCTGCGACCCAATTCGCTACCCAGTTTACCTTCGGCCACCACCTCTACCACCTACGTCTGTCAGGCATGTCGACACGCGCGACTCATAAAGCGACCGAAACGGCCGTATACATTCACTCAGCTGGTCACGCTCTCCGACGGTAGCGCTTTCACCATGCGGACTACTTCTCCCATCCCGGTATACAGATCGACCCGGGACACCAGAAATTCTCCCTTGTGGAACCCTACCTCGAAAGAGCTTTTGAACGTTGAAGACGACGAGTCAGGGAGGTTGGCGAGCTTCCGAGCCCGGTTCGGCACCAGCTTCGACAGTTCAAAAACAGCCAAGAAGACCGACCAGGTTGCCCCAGACTCTCTCGCGAACCCCCCGTCCTCGTCAGAGAGTAGAGCCGCCCCTACAAAAGAACCGACATTTGAGGAGGAGCAGAATATGTTTGCTGAGGATGACATCAACCTTTTGGACTTTGTGAGCTCATTCGGCCAGGAAGGCAGTCAACAAAATGTGCCAGCACAGCCGAAAAAGAGTGAGAAAAAGTAGGACCAAGAGTTCAATTCATACATGCATCTTGAGCATTTCTGCATTGCAGGGGCCGGCACATCTATCAGGAACGACCAGCAGGGACAAACTGGTCAATGTACAATACGTGTGAAGAGGCAGACTACAGTTAGACCCTGGCCACTGTACCATGCTCCATTCCTGGCCACACATTGGGCCATATTGTTGGCCCAGCAGCCTTCCATGGTTTCGATCTTGCTCTTTCGAATGTGAAGCTCTCTCCGCAGCAGCGGTACGGAGTATCTACACCTACGAGAAATATGCTCCGTAGCGTATCACACTGATATAGCTGCGACTTAGCAATACGTGAGATTGTTCAAACAGTTACACCAGGATGTTATTGCTCATAGAAGCCGAGCATACTACTTTCCAACCTCTGAAGCTTCAGAAGCCACAGTAGCTAGAAATTGTTTTATAGCAGCATTTCCTCGAGAAAGGAGCAGACACGTACTATTACTCCGTACAGTTCGGAGAGTTCATCACACGTGAGTCCGGGGAATTGGCGAGTTTGGTTTCTTTGCTCCGCATTGCAAAGGTTCCAGACTAATGAATAACCACCCTCGTCCTCGATCTGCAGTGACATTATATCTCCCTCCTTACGCTCTATATTTACAAAGATGGATGACTCGCCGTGGGGTGGTAGGTGACTGCTGCTTGGGTCCATTTGTCTTTTGATCCAGCTGACCAGTTCCTGTAGACGTTCCATCCCAATCGCAGTCAGATAACCCGCAGGATTTGGCCAGCTCGACCAAACCAAACGACAGTATGAACATGCTCCTAACAGCTGGCTGAGTCCGACATGCTCATCTGACATATAGCCCCCTCTTCCACGAAACAGACCTCCTCCGGCCCCCGTCCCCCCTCGTCTCGAAAAATCCCGGCCCGCAAGATCGAAGTGCAACCGACCAAGCTCGAAGCTGTGGACGATTCTCTAGATCCCCTCGGTCCTTTGGGCGCAGATCCAGCTCCCGCGGCATCTTCCGTATCTGCAGATCAAGCGCCGACTCCGCCGCGGAAAGAACTCACGGCGAGAGTGAACCGACAGCCCTCTGCGACTTCGCCTGGTTTCGCCGGTTCGGAGTATGAAGATACCACTCTTCCTCTCGCGCGACCCAAGGGTCCCCCGCCGGTACAGCCACAAACCAGCGCTCCTGCAGTCCGACAAACGCCGTCCAGTGTGAGCGTGGAACAGGCCGCCAAACCAAGCTTCGAGATTTCGGTGGGAGACCCTCACAAGGTCGGGGATCTGACCAGCAGTCACATTGTGTACCAAGTCCGCACAAAGGTATGCAAGTCGAACAGGCGCATGGCTACAGATTCTGACGGTCGCAGACAACCTCAAAAGCATACAAACAGCCCGAGTTTGCCGTCTCACGTCGGTATCGAGATTTCCTTTGGCTCTATACTGCATTGCACAACAACAATCCTGGCGTGGTCGTCCCCCCGCCCCCGGAAAAGCAAGCGGTGGGTAGGTTCGATAGCGAGTTTGTCGAGTCAAGACGTCAAGCTTTGGAGCGGATGCTCAACAAGATTGCCGCCCATCCGATCCTCCATCACGATGCCGATCTGAAAATCTTCCTCGAAAGTGACGCTTTTAACATTGACGTCAAGAACAAGGAGAACCGGGAACCGGATCTGGGTCAGAATAAGGGTATGCTGAGTGCCATCGGAATTAATGTTGGTTCGTCGAGCGGCAAATTCGTTGAGCATGACGATTGGTTCCATGATCGCAGGGTCTACCTCGACGCCCTAGAAAACCAGCTGAAATCCCTACTGAAGGCTGTCGACACGGTGGTTGACCAACGGAAAGGTCTAGCTGCCGCCGCAGGAGAGTTCGCCGCGTCGGTTAATAGCCTCGCCCAGGTCGACCTCTCACCCGCTTTCTCCGGTCCATTGCTGGGGTTGTCGGATGTGCAGATGAGGATCCGAGAGCTCTACGAAAGACAAGCACAGCAAGACATATTGACCTTGGGTATTACCGTGGATGAGTATATTAGGCTTATTGGCAGTGTCAAGCAAGCCTTTACACAGCGGCAAAAGGCATTCCATTCGTGGCATGCTGCAGAAAGTGAACTGGCCAAACGGCGAAGTGCCCACGAGAAGCTTCTACGGCAGGGCAAAAGCCAACAAGACAAGCTGAACGAGGTTGGCGCCGGCGTCAGCGATGCAGAGAAGAAAGCGCACCAAGCTCGGTTATTGTTTGAAGACATGGGTCGATTAATGAGGGGAGAACTGGAAAGATTTGAGCGGGAGAAGGTGGAAGATTTCAAGAGCGGCGTGGAGACATTCCTGGAGGGTGCTGTTGAGGCGCAGAAAGAGGTATGTCTGGCTGTCTGTCTGTCCCCAACCAGGATCTTTGCTAACCAGCCCAACAGCTGATCGAACTGTGGGAAACCTTCTTGCTCCAGATGGACGCCGAAGACGAGGCTCCTCTCAGGGGCCAGCAGGCTTCAGGTGAGCCGGCAATCTCGGACAGTGCTGGGCCAACAGGGCAGGCTGGCGAAGGCGAGACAGGCGAGTCTCATGACGCCGCCGCCCCGGCGACAGCAACAGACGTCGCTCTCGAGCAGGATGCCTAGTATTCGTCCCTCGAGCGGGTTTAATGAGTAACCATTGAAAGAAAAGATGCAAGCGACCATATTACCCAAGGGCGGCATTGAATGAATCTGCAGCTTTACAAGCACAAGCAAGCCGGTCTCTACTTCACTTGTGGGTGCGTTGGTGTGTCGATTCACTTATCGCTAGATACCCAACTTCATGACTTGAATTCACTCACTACCTGCCATCCCGTTGCAATGTCGACTTCGTCTCCCATCTTGTGTGATTATTAACATTGGTCTCTCTCTTTCTCTGTCTCTCCACCATTGATCCAATTCAAGCTACAACGTTATCAGGGTACTCTGCCTCCCTCACCTTCACCCAGATCGCGCTCAACTTGAGCTCACCAAGTCCAATTGCTTTCATTGAAAGCGGATTACCGTCTGAACCACATCATCACACGCTCATCTTCCGACGCCACTTCCTCGTCCTACCCCCTCTGACCGAGCCGAGCCTTCTTTTCGACGCTCGCTGATATCGGACCACCCGCCAGACGGCCACGATGATGGCACGAGTACGGGACACCACCAACAATGACAACAACGACGATGAAGTCTCCTGCTCCGAGACCTTTCCTCCCTTTTTCCCTCCTTTTTCTGGTCACCGGGTCTTCGCAACAGGCTTCGAGTCACTTCACACCCGATCCAAGTTCACCAGAACCGCTGTGGACATCATGGACACCACAACCGCCACCAACACGAGTCTCTCTGCGTCCAACACCTCCACGGACGATCAACCAAGGGAGACCTCGACCACCCAATGGCCAAGTGAAGATTCACAAGACCAAGGTCCGTCACCCTCGACCGTGAATGAGGTCGACCTCAGCTCAACAGGGTCCGGCTTGCCAACAGTCGGCGACACTTCAAGCCCGACTGTTCCGTCATCATCGTCCCCCTTGTCTCTGCTCGCGGCGACGTCTCCGTCTGCGTCTATGACCACCTTCCGCAGCACATCCCCGTCGCCGATCCCGTCGCCACACAGCTCCACCGTCTCGTGGGCTAGTGATTCGAGCTTATCACCGACATCATTGAACTTCTCCACGTCTACCTCCACGCCTACCTCTACCTCTGCCGTGAATACGCTGGCTTCGCCTCCGTCCTCTGCCTACACCACCGGCATCTACATCGCGCTGGGAATATTCCTCTTCTTCGGCGTCTTGTGCGCGTTCGTCACCAGCCATATTTCAGCCAATACAATCAAGGGGTTGTTCCACAGGGGAGAGCGAGGGAGTGGAGGAGCCAGAGAAGAACAATGACGGACCGACGATGAACAGGGAGGAAGAGGAGAGGATCAGCAAGCAAGCAAGCAGCATAGAGCAACGGAGCGACGATGACGCTCCCAAGTGTTGGATTTTGGTATATGCATGCGCTTTTCCAAAAGAGAGACACAACCACAAGATACAGACATACAGCTAAGGAGAGGGAAACAATGGGGTGGGACGGTCACTGAGACATGCAATATGCGGCAGTGCGGTCTGCACGAGACCAAAGAGCTTTTTCTTTTACTGTTTGTCTGAGTACGTGAGTTTCGCCTAGGTGGACTGGCTGGAGTTCGATCGCAACAACTCGTCGGGATGTCATTCATATCATGTCGTGTCATGTCAGGTCAGGTCAGGTCAGGGGCCTTTGAAGAACATCAGTATGGCTGGCTGGCTGGCTGGCGGAGCGAGGATGTCAGATGGCGGGCGGGTCTTCTGCATCCAGCCCCCATACATACTTACAAGCATACCAACAGTACTTACTTTCTGTGCACATTCAATTGAGTTGAGTTGAGTTGAATGGTCAAGCAAAGTCCCCCACCGCCTGCCTGCTTGCCTGCCTGCCTGCCTGTTTGCCTCCCTTTCCATTTCCGTAAGTACAATGGTGGGACGAGATGAAAGAGATCAGAGCCTTTAAGAGGTGTGCACGGACAGAGAGAACGAAGGAGGCCAATGATTCAATCAGTCAATCGGTCAATCAATTCTGTTGATCAGCGATCGAGGGTCGATCGGCCTACTGACTGACTGACTGGAAGGTTGGTTTGCCGGGATCGTGGCTGGGAGAATCATCGGCATGGATGTTCTCTCATCACACTCGTGGGCCTCGAGCAGTAGCATAGGTGTATGGAACGTCAAGAGTAAGTCGATTGCAACTAGGAAGCAAACTCCTTCAGCCAAACGATAAGCGATATACATCAGGACCATTGCCTTGCCCACTCCCGCCTGAGAGCTGAAACCATGCTTCACAGCATGTTGCACCGCTGTTTGTTAAGAAATAACAGTACCTATACCAAGTCGACAATAACTTCCCTTCTTCGCTCCACGTCAGTCTCCACGTATTCACTGTAAACAAACATTCCACACTGTTCCAAACGCTGGACGCCCGTACGCGTTCGTAAAGGGTCCTGTCTGGTGCTGCCAATCAGAGAGCCAACCCTCAATCACTTCCCTTCATCATCCATCTCCGAAACGTCTGCCCTGATGATGACAATCTTGTCCCCCCTGTCTCTGGCCTCGCGCTCGGGGCTATCACGGATTTCCACCTCGACTTTGACACCCTGACGTTGCTTCGAACCGTTGCGGCTCGGCCCAGGACTAAGACTGAATTGCTGCTGCACAGAGCGTTTGTTTTCCCCAAGTGAGGGCCGATGGGTAGAGACGGATCTTCCACGAATGGGAGTCTGTGGAGGAACTTTCCGTGGACTTGATCCTGATTCACCGTCTGGATCAGTCCGCGTGGGTGGTGCTAGGACCTGTTTTTCTGACATAGCACGTTGGAGAGGAGTCCTAGGGGGTGGCTTGTTGTCGCTTGTCTCCAGGGGGATCTTCAGATTGTGGAATGTCTCCTTTCCCGGGGTGTCCGGAGATATCGGATCAGCTATTTTCTCCTGTTCTGGCTCGTCGCGGCTTGCTTCGGCCTGCCTTCTTGGAGGTTGAGCCCGAGTTGGTCTTCTGCTGAGACGACCTCTCTCCGCGTCTCGGCGTCGCTGCTCTGCGTCGTCTTTCTCATTTGCAGCCTGGAGCAGATCTTGAACTTTGCTCCGGACAATACTATGTCGAGTGGGGGGGTAATGTTCGTCTTTTGCCTCTGCCTCACCGGAGGGAGTGTCGGTCTCCTGAGGTGGCGCAGAGGCTCCCTTGTTAAAAATGCTCCATCGAAAAGGCCAGCTCAAGGAGGGCTTCCTCTCCTCCTTAAAAACATCGTCGTCTGCCGTCTCTCCTTCAAGAGGGGCAGGGAGTTCAAAGTCGACTCGCTCTTGCTTCATGGTGCTCGGAGGCCTGCTGGTCTTCTCTTGCGTGACGAGTGTTGGCAATGTCAAGGGAATCAAGGGCGTGCCGGGTCGTTCCTCAATCGTGTCTCCAAACTTGATACGATGGATCTTCTTGGTCTCCTTGTGCGGGGAAGGGAGGTGGTGCTGATGCTGTTGTGATGGCTCGTGTTCGTGCACAAAATGCTGACAAACTTCTTCGTGACCGGTGGGCTTTTTGCTGAGGCTCTCAAACATGGCAGCTCTTTGCTTGACGGGACTCAGTTCGCCGATTGGGTCAGCGAGTGGTTTCAATCGCGGGGCAGCAGGAGACACTGGCTGCTGGCTTTCTTTGCTGCTCGCATCCTGTTTTTTTGGCTGCTCCGTCTCCTTTTCCCTCTCGTACTCCACTCTCGTCGATTCCTCACTGCTACGAGGCATGACGGACTCGGTGCTTCGGCCGGTGGACCGGGGACGAGGCTGCGAGGGCCGACGATCTTGCCGGATAGATGCTCGACGAAGGACGAAGCCGGGCTTTGGGGCAAGATTGCCAGGCTGCTCGACGGGGGTGCCTTCAGGTTGGGGTGAGCTATTCCTGATCGCATCATCCAACATGTTATTCAACTCGTCCATCGTGTAAGAGCGGCCGCGTGATGGCTCTTGCCGGGCGGCGTGCTGTTTTGGAGCAATAGAGCGAAGTCGAGATCTGGCCATGGCAATCTCCAGCGCAGGATCGTCTCCGACGTTCTCCATGGAGCGGTGTTGGCGATGGAGTTGATGACCGACCTGGCGGAGGGCTGGCCAGTGGGCAGGGGCTCTTTCATCACCGGGCCCGTCCAAACTGGTGAAAGGTCGTAGAGGAACAATCTCGTGACTCTCTCCTTGCTCGTGGGCTTTTACCCCTGGGGGACGTCCATCTCCTCTGGTCCCTTCAATACCATCCCTGAACACCCGTCTGGCTGGAGGAGGGAAGCTGGAGTCTCCTCTTCGCCCTTGGCTGGAGAAGAAACTGAAGTCTCTAGGTTGGGTGACGACGCGAGGTGGGAGAGCAAAAGGGGGAATTCCTGCTCTGAGTTGCTGGACCTCCTGAAAGACTCGAATACGTTTGGCCACCGTGCCACCTGGCGGACTGTGTGAATTCATTAGCTAGCTGGCCAACCTGAGGCGAGTCGACACCACAAACCTCTGCGAGCTATTCATGTTCGGAGATGGGTACGGCGGCTATGTTGATAAGGGCCCTATCATGGTGACCGCGACGCTTTGAGGGAACAAGTAAATAATAAACCTAGCTTAAGAAAATGAATGTTTCCTGAGAGAAGGGAGAAGAGAAAGGATCGTTCCTGACCAAAGGTTGTTGTAAAGCAGGAAGCCAAACTCCGACATGGCAGGAGCGTGAAAAACTCATTGATCAGGATATTCAGAGGGGATGCACACCGAAAGGGCACCATGCTCTGGGCAAGTCTTCGCAGTGCAAGAGCAGCATTTGGCTCCATGCACTCCCTCGCACGCATAGGCAATATCCTGCTGAAGTATTGTAGACGAAAAAGAGAAAGTGAAACAGTCAAGTAGTGCGCGGAATAGGTCAATTCAAATCTTCTGAGGGTCGGAGAGCGCTCCTCCTGGTTATCCTTCCGCCTTACTCTATATGTACAAAGCGTAGTGAGTCAAATTCTTTACTTCATCGCTGCCTGGATCGATTCGAGAACCTGTGTAGCGGGAAGAAAAAAAGGAAGTCAGTAACCAGCCGGTAAATCCAATGTGTTTATTCTCACCTCGAGCTCGATCTTGGCCTCGGCAATGTCTTGCTCGCTTCCACTTCCACTAGCAATCTTCTGCGCCTCCGCGATCTGTGACTTAACCGCCTCTTCGCTGAAGTCCTCAAGCGGGAACCCTTCCACGGCGTTTATGCTCAGCACGGAATTCGGTTGGACAACGGCGAAGCCTCCCGAAACTGGCAGCAAAGCGCTCCTTGTCAGCTACTGATGCAACATGCCTCATGTCCCGTGTTGCGGACCCTTTCCTTCAGAAGTGGAACGTACGGAAAAATTGCTTGCTCCCACCACTCTCCTCGATAATTTCGACCAGGCCCGGTTTCAACTGCTCGATCGAAGGGACGTGCTGTGCCAGGATACCCATTTCTCCGGATTCGGCTGGGATGTTCACTTGTACACTGTAGGTGTGGTGTCAGCTCGACCCTAGTGAGGATTCGAATCGGGAGAGCGGGTGGATAACGTACACATCTTGTGAGGTGTAGATGGACTAGATATCGACCACATTGTCAGTTCAGCTCTTGAAGCTAGAGTCATCTTCTCTTGCTTTGCAGGCCAGCGATCGCGGGCGGACGCACCTGGTGAGGAAGAGCGAGGGAGAGCTTTATTTTGTCGGAGACGGCGTCGGCGTAGCCTCTGCGTTGGATTGGTTTCAGGGCAATAGTAGACCTGGCGCGTAGCGCTGCTCGGGACAGTCGGAGGGCACTCATGGTGAAGGCAAGCTTAGAAATGTTGCACGAGACAGCCTGAGAACGGTAGCGAGCTCCAATTGAGCTTTCTGCGGACCGTGATGTCGAGATGGCCAAGCTGCAATTCCGAAATTGGACTAGGCCAAGATTTTCAGAAGAGGTAGGTTGGCCGAGCTATTAGTTCCACTGAGCAATATTATGCAATGCTCCTCTTCATAGCCAACTACTGTATACAGATTGAGGCCTCTATGATACGGTCAGGCCCCCTTGGTCGCGGTGCCGTAGTCTCCCAGGCTCACGAGGGTGTCATCCATATCGTCTTTTATCTGTCATGTCTCGGATAGTAAAGCTCCATGGTCATCATTCACGGAACAAGATAACCAGTAGCGTTTGAGTTAACCCATGATCTTTCGCTATGGTTAGATTCAAGTTTTGATCGGCAGAACCACACACGTCGAGAAAAAGGTTCCGTGGTGATGTAACGGCGCATTATAATCACGCGGCGACAGATGACCGATCATCTCCCAGGGAAACCATTTCAATGAGCATATGGGGGCTCAACACTTTCCAGTCACGTAACTGCACTCTCAGAACCTAGCAGTCGATTCCGCGTTATCGTGCTGTGAGGGAAGGAGGGCTTCCGAGAAGCAAAAAGAGCCGTACGAACCCACGCACTTCATTTCATGCGGTATATACAAGAAATCACAGCGGTCAGCCCCGTGGCATCCAGCACTGTCTCGTTCGGCTTCCGGCCATTGTGCTGGGGTTGACGAAGCCACGCATAAGAAAGTGCTCGTAGGCGATCTGAGGCTATTGCTGCCATCATTGATAGCACCAAGCTGGGTATCAGATGAGCCGTCACATGGTATTTTGTCCGGGTTCCGAATGCTGACAACTCGTTCCAATTGCTGTTTGAGTGTGTAGGCTGTTCAACTTCTGCGATTCCTGACGTCGAAGCAGCACGGTACCGTGCTAAGGGTGCGGGATTGGACGATCCATCCGTCCGGCATTTATAAGATCGACCATATCCGGAGCCATGTTGCTCGGTCTCAGATCTTTACCGGGACGGTAGGCTGACCCAATGTCAAGAGTCCGTCGCTACGGACGGGACCCTAGATGCAGACCTCAAAGATAGAGCTCCTGCATCCCTGCGGGTAACTTGAACAGCTCGAATCCTTCATCCACCTTCTTGTTCAGCGGGTTCTCGTCCATCCTCGCGGAGCCTGTCGCATTTTTTTCCCATCGGTCCAGAAGACCGACGTCCCAGTCCTGGAATGTTCGCGCCGATGGAGGGAGGATGTCTGTGCTTTCTTGTAAGGTGTGTTTGAACTCACCAAAGTCTTCTTCGGGAACAACAAGCTCTTCACAGTTCGAACCCGGGCCATCCAGAAACTCCTCTGGACGAGGAAGGAATTTGTAAAACACCTTCATCGCGCGGTGGGCTGTAGGTCCCCGCTTGCTGCTGGAATAGTAGATATCCGGGTTGAAGATCCAGAGGAGAAGACCTTGACGGCCGTGCTCGGAGTCAGATTGCTTGCCGTCATGGACAACAACTCTGCGATTTACCGAGCTCCCAATCAGCGACAGCAGCTGAGCGGTCAGGAAGACGGCAGCTGGGAATCTTTCAAGAGCCTGACCTGGTTCTAGCATCACTGCCAGCCTGGACTTGTAGAGGCGGTAGCTTCTCTCGTCCCCTGCACCAGATCCGAGACTGCCTTTACACGAAACGCATCGAAGGACGTCGACACCTTCCTTCGTAGGGTCCTTGGTCACCTGGTTCAAGGTCAGCTGGAATGTACCTCACGCATATCCCTTCGCGCAGTGCCACTCAAAGGCGCAAAAGTGAAATAAAGGAGGCATGTTGTCTTGGTCCACGGCGGCAGATCATCCGTCACTGACAGGAGGTTGAGTCTGCCACCAGGTCACCCATTACAGACTTGATGTCCGGCGATTGTATCAGAAACTAGATCAATGGACTCTTGGCTAGACACCTGAAAAGCTTCTTTCTTTGCGCCGATAACGTCTGCGGCTTTTTCTGCCGGGGATGCATCTATGGTCCGACTCACCTCGATGTTTGCACAGTCTTCTCCACACAATAGGAAAGAAACAGTATCCACTAAACCCACCCCCGGAGAGGGAGTGACTTTACCCTTTGCAGCGAGGTTTGCGGACTGGGCCGCATGATCATGAGGAGACTGCTTGTTGTGAGGCTTATGGCAGAACCAAAAGTCCATCAACTCGGCCCAGTTTTCACTGGGCAAGTCTTTCCAGGCCGTGATTCGGTCCGGCACCAGAAGAGCAGCATCGCATTGGCTGCAGTAAATGAAACTATGTTCCTGCAGGCTGACTGCAGACCAGGGAGCTTCGACGTCGGTCACTCCCTCACTCGTAGGTTTGAGCTGCCCGACATCGTCTATCTGCAACCGAGTTGAGATTTCTGTCCTCTTGTCAATGGGAAACGTGACGTGAGCAGTGCCGGAAATCTGGGTGGGGAGATAGATGCTCGAGGATTCCCCATCGTGAATGGCAGTAATGACTTTCTTATCGGAGGAGAGCAGGATCTTGGTGTGTTCGTTTTTTTCTGTTTGTAAGGAAGCATGCAAGTTCAATTGTCCGATGTGGGTCAGTGCTTCCGCGTAAAGGACGATTTTCGGCTTAGGCATTGTTGCGAGGCCCTGGTGGCGTGACATAACATTGGCAGCCCTGAACTTGTTTCAGGAATATGGATGTTCCAACTGGGACTTTTGGACTTTAAGCCCTGGGAGCACATGTGGGGTTCTGACCAAACAGGAGGGTAATGCCGATATCTCAGGAACCCAACCAACGTGTCTGTTTGTTCAGGGCGAGCCAAGGATAGATGGCATTGCTGCCTTTTTCGGTGACGCCACAAGAGGGTGGTGTACTCGTACGGCCTGGCGGAAATGTCCCAATGGCAGAGATAAATCCGGGTCACCCGTCGAGGTGTCGCCCAAGCTGTGTGTGAGAGAAGTGTGAAGGAGTAGTCCGTGCCTAGGCCAGATCAAGAGAAGGGCAAGTGGTGCACCATTAACGTGGTGTGCCCAGGCAGGTGGTGGGTGGTTGATGGAAAACGGCCTCGGTTCGCTGCCGAGCTGACGTTTTGAGGTATTGGCTTCCACCACTTCCAGATGGGTGCGGTAAATGGGGAAAAGGACCAAAACGTGGTTGATGGGACACGATGATCCTGACAATGATGAGCAAAGGAGCCTTGCACCCAACGTGGGTGGCTTGCCAAGCGTCAACTGAGGCCAACGATGCTCAACGATGCGATGACCAACGCCGACGTCAGTCTGGGCCGAGAATTTGGCTGGTGGTCCTCCGAGGGGTTGTGTTGTGTTGTGTTGTGTTGAGAGTGCGTGTGCGTGTGTGAGGGCGTGCTGGTCCTCGTACAGTACAGCTGTGTGTGGCCTGGCCTGGATTCAAGCTGCAAACTGAAACTTGGCGTTTCAGGTGGGGTCCGAACCAATCAGCTTGCGTCTACTCTGATTGGTTCCTGTTGCGGAATCACACTCCCTGTTCAAGTGGCTTTGCAGTCTTTGGACACGTACAACAGGCACCCCAACAGGTATACCCCTTGTCCACACCATGCCTAGGTACATACACATGACACAGGAGGAGGTGTGGCTCGTCCCACGCACCCCCATGCCAGTGATTTGCAGCCGCCCCATCCAAGGTGCATTAATCATTTATAGATTCGCGCTGAGGATCTTTGGCACCACGGAACGTTCCCCTACGGCCATTCGTAACATGACGTCTATCCTTCCCCCTGCGCTATCCTCCCCTCCCATCAATCTGCGTAGGTTTGGACCTGTAGGGCTCCGACGACGGGGCTAACTCTCCACAAACCTTGTCCCCAAGGCTCATTTGAAATCGCTCCTGTCCCATATCCAGCGTCAGCAGTGTCATTATTCTACCCCCAAACCAGCGTCCTTGCGTCAATGATGGCGCAGCCTGATAGAGACATACAGGTCCGGACGTCAGTGCATCTGCCCTCTTCTCGACCCTGAACCCACAAGTACAATGCCATGAAAAGACCCCAGCCGGTGACGGCCTCCAGATGACAGAGTAGTCCCCAATGCGAAGCGTGTATCCTCCTCCCTTTGTAAGCGTGCATCCCCCAACGGCTGACCGCGACGCCCGCACAGAAACATCCGCACCATTACTGCCCTGTAGAGCATTTGGCCCCTTCCGCCTAATGTCACTATGGCACAGCCCGCGGATCACTCGGTCAACCCTTGCACAAAGAGCCTTCTTAGCATACTCGTGTTCGATAATGGGCGTTGGCACTTCGTCCCTCAACAGGGAAAGCCACATCGGTGGCATCTGGTCCCGCTGCCGTTACTGTCAGCCTGTCCCGACTTTGCCGCGATCGGAGGACAGTCAAGTCTGCGAGCAGGACTGACACTTTCGAGGAGGGGGAACACTCACGGAATGACCCAGACTTCTACTCCGTTGGCCCTGCAACGAGGGCAGCGTACTCCATTCATCTTCGCCTCGAATTCATCAGCTTCCTGCTCAGGCAATGTTTTCCATGGAGCGGAGGTACCGGTCTAGTGAGAACATTCGGAGGCGTATCGAGCCGGACCTTCGAGTGTGCCGCTTCTCGCTGGGGGGGAAGGGCGTCGTCGAGGTTCATTACTGTAGACTTCATGATGTGTGTGTCGAGGACGAAGTACCGATGAGGCAAGATAGAGTGGCTGCGTATAAGTTTGTAGAGTTGCACCTTTGGAGTCGCAACAAGGTTTCACCTGTGGGAAGCGGATGTAGTAAGGCTGGAGTGGTGATTTTTTGACCATTATATATCCTCTGCTATCCAAAGATGACCTCTGCAACTTTGTAGGCCACAGAAATGGCACTGTCCCTGGAAATCAGAATTCCCAAGGACCGGCAAGGTTCAGGAGCAGCTCCATTCCCCGCAAGATGCATGTTGCCTGAAGCGTGGTCATTCTAACCAGGGCCATCAGAATTTGCTGACTCTATAGCCTCATCAGAACCGATGCGAGTCAGTGGAACGCTCGTCTGCCGACTGTGTTGACAAGTCTTTGTCTTTTGATCAACAAGGGAGTAGGAGTTCTACCAGACTCCTGGACGGACCGCTGTTCAGATCGGCATATCCTAGTTGAAAGGTACCAGTCTGTTTTCCGAATGTGTCTGGATGGGAAATCGCTGAACTCGCCACATGTGCCACGACGGATAAGTCAGAAGCGGTCCCACCTGTCCTGTTACCTGGGAGGGACATTCCAGTGGCACGGGAAATGAATCCTGGCAAACGATAGCCCTGTCCGTCCTCTAAGATGAGCATGCCATCCCGATAAGCTCAACCTGCATCTGAAGTCTGTGCACGGCATCGAGCTCGTAGCAACATCACAAAGAGGGCCCACCCTCGCGCAGGCACCGTGACAGGCTGTGTCTGGTATCTGTGGACCAGTCGAGGCTCATCCATTGCGGGACTGTGCACAAAGTATCGAGGATCCAGGCGCAAAGTTTGTTACGCATTTGATACGAGAAAATAGTCGAGCCTCCTCTCAAGCAGGAAAGCCCGGCTTTGCTGGTCCAAAGTTGTCGTCGAAATCAGCGCTAACAGCAGAGTCTTCGACCAAGGCCCTTGCCAATTCGCCCAGTAAGTCTCATTGGCTGCCGACGGCCGACCAACGTAGGTCAAATAACCCGGGAGACTCAGGGGTACCAAGACTTTAAGCCCGCATTCGTCGCGCTGGAGGACGGAGTACTGCGTCCAAATCAGATCCAGTGCCTCTTGTTCTGCAAATAACAATACAGGTGGAGCCCGAGCGCATCTCTCTCAGATGCGACGTCTCCCCCAGCCTACCAAAATGTGGGCTATGGTGTTCAGTAGGGAGGAGAATTCCCACCAGGACCTTCTGTTCGAGCGGGGAAGACCAGCCAGAGGGTTTCCACTTTTCGTCGACCACTTAACTCGTACGCTTACAGACATGAACAAGCAGTGCACCGCGTGATGGCATGCCGCTCGAATCGAGTAAATGGATGAATCGATACCCTTGCCGGAGGCGGTCGAGTCGAATGCAGGCCCATGCTAGTAGGTTGTCTTTGCTCATGGAGCGGTCGTCGATGACCTTTAGTCTATGCCCAGAATTAGAACAGATTCAGGTTTTCTGCAACTCAATCAAGCCACAATATGACCTATCAAGCGTGAAATGATACATAACGGGAGGTGAAAGTGGACAGGCGAAAGTCAAAAGTATCGTGTAACACGATCGTACATGAAGATCGCACGCGTGTCACACAATCCTGCAGTTGGTCCATGTCCTGCATCTGCGCTGCTCGAGCGTTGATTAGGCTCTAACCGGAAATCGTTTTCCCTGCGAGGATTCCAAGATCACTGCGCACCAGCAGGCCCGTGGAGAGGCAGGCTTTACCCGTCGCCCAACATCCCAGCTTGCCAGCCGCTGAACGGCCTTTTGGCTTATTATCGCTGCTCAATGCGCTTAACATCGAAACGGACGACGACAACGTCGCAGGTATCCTGGTAAGACGCCGGCAGAAGACAGCTCAAAGGGGGTACAAGCGAAGCAGTGCCAGACCAGGAGGGAACTTGCGGTGAAACTGATGTCGCGCACCGCATGATGTGAGCCTCTGTCGCTTTCGCTGCAGCAGAGAGTGGCGTGATGCGTTCAGCCGGGCGCATCTCCTTCCCAGGCACGAAAGCCACGTTCGAATAGCACCAACAAATACTAGAAAGGCATAAACAGAAAAGACACTTACCGAATGAAACTCAGGTCTTGTAGGACGTCTGTCATATTCAACCAGCTCATCACCTCGCCCCGGAAATCAGGAGAATCGGTGCGGGAATCAGCGGACCTACGTTTAAAAAGGCTGGAATCGACGTCTTCACCGCCACGGGTTTCGATTTGGTCTTTGCTGCTGCGGTCGGGAGAGGAAAGCGAGTCGACGTGTAGTTGCATTTTGACATATGGTTTCAATCTGGGACCGTGTGAGAAGTCTTTGTCGACCGGAACGGGCAGTCTCTGCGCCGCGAGGAGTCGGATTTCCAGATCTAGCCGTTCCCTCTTGGGTTCTACTTCCTTGTGAGAGTTTGCGGGTCCAGCTGCGGCAGTACTGCGGTAGCCTTTTGGCTTGAGCATCCAGCCCCCAGTCGCTGTAAACATTCCTTCGTTGAGCATCATTCCCGTGTCCAGCTTCTGCCAATTCAGGGCCACCATTTGTGCGCCCTGTCGCCAGTGGAAGATCGGATCGACATTTGAACTGTTGATCCTAGCTCCTCTGGGAAACACGCGCATCAGAAAGTTTCTGTTATGCTTGAACAAGGCAGGCCCGTGCGATGGGTCGTCGTGCATGCTGTGGACTTTCTTCTCGGACAGACTGAAAACGTGTGTTGGGATAGTAGCTTCGGGCTGTGAGAAATGCTTGAACGTATAGGCCCGAGTATAGATCCCCAGCTCGGAGAGTGCAGCCAGCACTTTCGAGGCCTTCTTTCGTTTCTCCGGGGAGGTTGGTATCGCATCGCTCCCCGCCCCGTCGGTGGAATTTGAGCTCACATGCTCAATTGGGTCGTTGGACTCTCCGGTTTGAGAGTCTGGAACCCACTTGACCTTAATCAATATCTTTCTCCGGAGTGACGCCGGAGATGGAAGCGCAGAAACGTCCGTTCCTTTGGGGAGGCACACCAGGAATTCCGCCCAAACATCGCGCATGATCTCGACCATGATCTCTTGCTGGGCAAGGGAGGCGTGCACCTCCAGGGACACGATCAATGGTAGCTCCGTGCTCACGAAAGCCGACTCCCTGATAGCATGGCAGACGGCGCGAAAGGTGATAGGGTGAGTCAGTGTGTAGCCATGGAGTACTCGCGGCTCCATCTTGTTAGACAGGGAGGGTGAAGGGTGCGGTGAAAGGCGGTTCGAGTCAAGCGAGGAGGATTCTGGCTTTTGCGGCGAGCCCGTGTCCCCAACCCTATCTGGCCCGTCTGTGGTTTGAGCTCCAGGAAGACCTCCGGGAGGACCAGAGGGCTGAGCGAGTACGGCGTTGTTCGTGTTGGCAGCATGTGACCGAGAGCTTGAGCGCATGCGTGCTGCACGAGCTTTGACCCTACCCCAGCGTGAAGGCTTCGAGTCAGACTTATCAGACTTATCCTCGTCTTCATCTGAGCTGCTGGGTTCCGGGTCGCTTTCCCCGTCCCACACGTCTATCTCCAAGCACCTACACCCGCGTTTGAGAACATTGGTGTATGCATACACAGAGGCATCGCCGTAGAGCTGGTTCCCGGAAAGGTACGTGTTATGACTGGAGCTTATGAAATAAGAGGACATGGGGTAGTCCAGGTTGTTGTCTACAGGGGTCGACATTGCACTGGACTTTTCCGAGGCCATATATGTCAAGAAGGACGCCTCATCGGTGAATATTTGCCCATCCTGGGAGGAGACATCTTTCCTCGCTGCCACGAGATGCGACAAGACGGACTCGGAAAAGGGCGTCAGGGTGAAATCGGTGGCAGCCTCAGACGGCTGCCCGCCTCCTCCAGCGCGAAGCGGCAGTTTGTAGCCCATGATCGCATGTGGCATCATCTTGTGGGTGATCTCTCTCTTTTTCTCTCTTCAACGGGACAGGTTGTGGGGGGAGGAGTCGTGTTGCCCAAGGGAGGGAATGGGACGGCGTCGCAAGAAGTCTCCAGTTCGAAGAGGCAGTTCGAGGGAACAACAACAGTTCTTCAAGGTTCAAGTCACGTAGAGTGAGCCAACGAGAGGCATGGAGGAGCGAGGTCTAGGCATATCGAATGTGGGAATTGGCAACTGTCATGTAGGATTTGGAAAGTTTGAGAAGGAGGAAATGCTGGCGTTAGCAGTGGTCACTAGCAGGACGGCATTACCTGCTCAGCCATACAAATGAACGGATCGTCCTGAGAGGGGATTTCCACCCGCAACTGGCGTCCGCCATCATCTCTAGTCTCAGAGACAGAAATCCTGGGAGAGCTGAAAAACAACAGGTGGTTGCGCATCGCTAGCTGCGCCGGTCGTTTGATGGAACCCTGGTACAGCCTGGGCCCTGCACAGCCTGCGTTTTTGCAGCGCCACCAGCGTCTCAGAGGGATGTCGTGTGCCAAGACGAGGTAGATCGAAACCTACATGGCTTGCCCCTCTTTGGGACGAAAGTGATGCCGCTCTGTGCTCACCCCCAAGCTCGCGCTTTGCTGTAAACGTGCTGGTCAATCATCAATATCTCGAGATGCGTTGGCCGGAATGTTCGACAAATCCAACAATGGTAAGATGGAAATGAATGGAGCGGTAGCAGATGTCCCTCAACAGAAAATTGTCTTTCAACGTGGCCATGGTTACACGACCTGGGCTGAGAGCATCGAGGGTGAACTATGGAGGGCTATCTATATCCGGCGGGATGCAGATATTCAACCGGCTGCCATGTGCCAACGAGAAGCAACAGAGCAGCACGTCGTTTACCTTACAGAAAGGGAGGCGAGAGGCTGAAAATACCATAAACCGCGTAAACCGCGCCTCGCCCGAGCAATGGCTCGCACGGATGGCAGAGGCGGACAGGTCAGGATTCTACATGAATGACCTGAGATTGGGTCTGAGCGAGAGATGAACCAAACGTTCTCTGACCTGCCACGCGGTTCTTGTTGCCAGGGGTGCGCACAGGTTAGGCCACCATTCAAGCCAAATGTTGCTGACTGCTGGCACCGTCCAACGTTGTATGGGAGAGATTCAGCAATTGGCCCACAGTCGCATTGTTCAAGACTTGAACAGAGCGCGATCCGGTTGGGGGCAGCGCCGGAGGTAGATATATTGTGGTGTCAACCTCGGGTGCAGTTTTAGGACCCTAGCGAAACTCGTCGCACAGCTAAAGAGAAGTTTGAGTTGGAACGGGATTCAGGTAGGCTGCAATATTCCCCCTCGCTCATAAGGACTAGTTATATCTTGCGCGTCTACAGGATTACAGCGTCCCCTTGAAGCAACGACAGGGCGTCGTAAGAATCCAGAATAAGAGCAATTCCTCCCGCTGTTACAGCTTTCCCCCTCCTTCTCGAGCTTTATTTGCTTTTGTTTTCCCGCTTTCTTCCGAGTGCGTAGTGTTGCGTCTCAGATGCAGAACCCGAGTTCAACATCGGGCGTTCCGCCCAAACAGATCAGCCCGGCACAGCAGTCCGCATTGGTGTTGCAGTAATCTGATTCGGCGGCGCAGGTTTGACATGTGCCGGTTACCTGTTGAAGAGTTACAGCGCAGACGGTTCCGACGCAGCAGTCTGGGTTGGATTCGATCGCCTGAAAATCGGTTATGTCGAGGATCCCGCAGCTGTTGTTGATGCAGGTTGGGCCCGCTGGGGCTACTGATGTGGTAGTAGTAGTAGTTGTTGTCGTTGTAGTTGTGGTTGTTGTGGTCGTGGTTGTCGGTGTGGTTATTGCCGAAGTGGTGGTAGTGGGTATGCTTGACGTTGAGGTGGTAGTGGTTGTTGTGGTCGTGGTTGACGGTGTGGTTGAGGTAGAAAAGCTCGACGTTGTTGGTTGAGTGGAAGTTGTCGAAGTGCTTGTGGAGGAGCTCGAGGTCGTGCTGGAGGATGTGCTCGAGGTCGTGCTGGATGTGCTCGAGGTCGTGCTGGATGTGCTCGAGGTCGTGCTGGATGTGCTCGAGGTCGTGCTCGTAGAAGGACTGGTGGAGGTGCTCAAGGATGAACTGGTTGGGGAGCTCGTAGTCGTAGTCGGGCTGGTCGAGGTGCTACTTGAAGTAGTACTCGACCTGGTATGATGATGCGTGGATGTCGTGCTGGTCGAAGTAGTGCTCGATCTTGTGGGATGGGGCGTAGATGTCGTGCTGTAGGTCGTCCTTGTAGAGGAACCCGACAGAGATTGAGAAGTCCACGAGTGTACAGGAGTAGTACTGAGATGATGGTGATTCGTCTCTGTCGAATGTGTGTGTGATGATTGCTTACTTATCCAACTCTGGCCACTATATGTAGTGCTCGAAACGGCAGTATCACTGCTCAGCCATTCATTCCAATCAGTGTGGCTGTCATGCTCGGATTTGAGCGAAGACGTGGTGCATATCGCTTTGTCCGAGTGCGTCCATGCCTCTGGTGTAGTAAGAGGCCCAACACAAGGGCAAGTATATACAGTGGATGTAACTATAGCGGTCACTGTAACATCAGGATCTTCCCATTTGGACCACGAGTCGGCAGAAATAGAGCGAAGTAGGCCAAGCGAGCAAACCAGAAGAGCGCGTTTGAACATGACGAGAAGTAAAAGAGCGGACAACGATGTCTCGTCAATAAACACAGTGCAGACTTCAAACCAGAACTCGAAGGAAGCAAAAGTCTGGGGTGAGAATTCCCATCTTGTATGTAGGTCTGCAAAGTCCCCATTCTCCCATCGACCGCCACTATCTGAATCCGGTGGTGTACTAGCTCCGTGACCAAATCTGAGGCGCCGTGAAAATAAAGAACTCGCTTTGCCACAAAGAGAAGGTAGGCGAACAATGGCAGTTTCAATTCGGCAATGGATCCACAGACTCATCTCGCTGATATTGACCTCATGGTTTCGCCTCTACTCGGATAGGCTAAACGCAAAAGGACAGCCAGCCATTTGGAATCTGCAATTTTGGAATCAAGATTTGGTAGTCAAGAGCTTGGTTGATCGACGTAACGGTCCCAGGAACGGCCTAATCTAGAGCTGCCTCAAACCCAGGCTCAAACGACAAAGTGGGACACAAACTCATCCATCTATTTATACGGTTTTGACGAAGTAGCCTTTCTCGCCCGCACCATTACCCCAATAATTCATCACGCGCGACCTAACACATTCATCCTCGCCTATCTTCTCGTCTTTCTGAGGGCGTTTTGTTTTACTGGTCCGGGTACTGAAGATGAAAGCGGATAAATAAATGACTTTGGTTTGGCTGCCTCAGGGGCCGCATTGTAGTCTTCCGAGCGTTTGATCTGTCTCGACGCACCATAGTGGCTCGGGACGACGGAGAAAGGAACGTACAGTATCATGTAGTTGCAGGCAGCCTTCTTAGCGAAGGAGAGATGCCAATCACAGGGGAGCTGATGCCTCATCCTCTGGTTCATTGTAGCATTTTAGAGTTAGCCCCTATTCCCCGACAATCCCCTATATATCTCCCCTATATATCCCTTTTACGAAAGTATGTACCACTGATGTCGAGCACGTGGCCATCGTCTCACCTAAGAAAGGCTCCTACTTTTCGCCTCTAACCAAGGTCCAAGCCAGATCGCCTATCCCCAGAAACTCGTGCAATGGACAACAATGTCATTCGATCTGGACGAACAGCGTGCCAAAGGCCGCACGATTTAGCTCGTCTTTTGCTGCCAAGACCTCGATCCTTGGTTAGAGGGAGTCTTAGAAGAGGCAATATTAAAATAATATTATCCTTACTGAAAGAACTCTACGATCCTCCTCGATTGAAAGGGATAGTGGCGATTCATTTGCCCTATCAAATTAAAGAACGACAGGAATGTATCATCCGACAACGGTCGTGTGCTTCTTGCCTTGCTAGGTTGGACAGACACCGAGATGATGTGACAAAGGCCAAAACGACAATCCACCTCGCCCACGGTCTATCTTGCGAAAATGAGATGCGCCAACTACTAGCCAGGTCAGCTTGGACAGACTAGATTTCACGTATTTCCCTTCTGATGTTTCTGCATCCAATGCTCGGGCTTCCCTGGCTGGGTTCTTGAGCATTGACTCGACTTGCCTGACAAGGAGTGTGACTCGTTCCCCTCAGCGAGGAACAGGCCACGGCGACGGCATTTCAATGGTATCGACATCCGTATGTGTATGGAGCACCCAGCCCTACCCGAGACAGTCGGTGAGGGTGGTCGACAATGGGATGAGGATGAGGATGTCTTGCCTTTATCAACCACTCTTGAATTGCTTGTCCTGCATGAGATGCCACGCGCTTTTCTTCATAACCCTTGTCATGGTCGTGTCACATTTCGTGTCTTGTCTCATATCGTGTCTCAAGGTTGCTTGTGAATCGCTGTGCTGTTAACAAAGCAGATTAGGCGGTGCGGGTTTACCAACTGCACCTTTGCTCCACCGTTAGTAGGTTTTGTGTAGCACTGCGTGCACGAATGCACCGCGAATGCTCGACCGGAGGCTCTCCAATATACACCCTGCACATCTTTTTGATTCTTGAACTTTTCCTTTCATCGACATCAACAAAAGTAATCCTTCACTTCATATCATCAACAAAGAAACAAAGATTGTGTGACTTTGTGGAGGAAACATGATGGATCAAATCATGGGAAAACCTGCAAGTGATCTCGAGCCCAGTACCCCGTCAAATGGCGCGCAGCTGTCACTCCCAGATGCCATGCATCAACCAATCACTGCTCAAGTCCAGGCAGTTCTGAAAGTCATTCAAGAGAACGTGTCAGGTATTCATCCTCGGACGGAAGAGCCTTTTGAACTCACCCTTTCTCGACAGGCATGGCTAGAGCTGCAACGAAACCCTGACTTTGACTTGTGTATCGAACAGTAAGTACCATCCCAATCATTTATGTCATGTCTGTACTAATCCAAACCAGAAAACAATTTCCAGTCTCATACGATAGCTCGACCGCTGTGCTTACCATCATGCCACCCCCCCTCTTCATGCACCGGGCTATCCTTGGATTCCTTTCAGAAGTCGGCTCCGGTGCCAGATCCAAGTCGAACGAGAAGGCCCAGATGTCGATCGTGCAAAACCTCTACGTTGACAACTTTGAAGGACCATACGCGTCGTCTGCGAAACAGCCAGACTTGGTCATCAACTGGGGCAAGGATCTGCATCAGCCTCACACTGTTGTCGAAGTTGGGAAGTCACAGTCTCTCGAATGTCTCCGCGGCTTAGTCCCTCTCTATCTGACCGGTAACCCCACTATCCAACGCGTTGTCTTGGTCAAGATCATGGAAACTCCAGCGTACGCAAGCTCATCCCGCCTCCCAATTCATGTAACATCTGCGCAAGATCTCCGCCGCGATGAGGTCACAGGGGCAATCTTCTATGGCGACATCCAGCTGGTGGGCGAAGTCAAGTTTCGATGGGAAGTTTGGGAGCGCGTCAACGGACAACCAACCACGACCTTCGAGGAAGAGTTTGGTTACGGTGAGCTGCCCTGCCGGCCCTTGCCCATTTTCAAGATCGATGCTGCAGGTATGGAGGCAACAGTCCAACCAGCGGCCATGAAAGATTTCTGGGATTGTACGTGGAACCCGGCGACTTTGATGGATGCGGTTAGGCGTGCGAGATGTTAAGCATTTTAGTACCTTGGCTCTTTGCACTTGCCTTGCAGGTAAGTGGACCTGGCACTAACGGGCATACTTCTCTCGACAACCTCATGTTCACTCGATGGACGGGATACTCTCTCGATAGACAGCACACTGTTTCAACGGAATCGTGCTCTCTCAGTAGACGGCAACTCTCCGGATAGACTCATGGTCTCCAGATAGATAGATAGTCTACTCTGTACGAGTATTAATGCAAGCTTTCAGAAATGTCCATTTCCAAGTTCTGACTGATTCAGCAGCTTCTGGTGGTAGTGGTGGTGGTGGTGATAGTGGACATGGGATCTATCTCGACGCGCTCTTCTTGAGCATCGCCTTCATCTTTACCATCATCGTGCTGCGAAAACTCTCTCGCTCACCCATCCACCCAGCCCACCCACCCATCTCTGTTCCCGAGTCTGTAACAGTGTAGTAGGTACGTAGTCTGCCTGTGGCACGGCACAACCCGGCACGGTTCTTGAGGATGATGACGAGCAGCAAGAGGTTGTAACGCAACGCAACGGCTTTCTTCCTTGCTTCCTTCCTTCCTTCCCCCAGCCCTTCCTCCTCCTCCTCCTCCTCCTCCTCCTCCTCCTCCTCCTCCTCTTTGCTTCCCCTACCCCGCGACGAGTGCTGATAGGGAGTCCCGGTCAACTCCAGATCCTCACCACGACAACAATAAAACAAACATTCTTCTTTTCCCTCTCGGCTTCATTGGTCACATACCCATTCATTCGCTCACTCGCACCTGGCTTGTTATTGGTGTTCCCGACAGCCCAACCACCATGGTGAATGGGTGGGAAGTGTATTATCATAGTCACGACAACAATGTACAAGTCGTCTGCCGGATGTGCGTGCTTCTGTACTCGTGAAAAGAAAACAATTGGACCAAACCTCCATTCACGCTTGGATTTGCGCAAGATGGACAAAAGATGTCGTCGCGAGAACAAGGGAGCAAGCAGGTAAGGAAGTTGTGGCATTTTTGTTTTTTTGGATTGGAAGGCGTTTATTTAGCTACGGAATACCCTAAAAAGCAAACTATCTACCTCTTTTTTCGCTCGTTCATTTGGATCGTTCCATGAATAAAACCAAAGGAGGACAAAAGTCAGAGAAAAAGACCGAGATAGAGAGCGAATGGAAGAAATGAATGAATCAGATAAAATCTGAAACGAAGCAAAAATACAATGCATAAATGCATAAAAAACGAAGTGTCATACATATATTTCCAGCTCGGCTCTACACACAGAAAAACACACAAACCAATGTCGCCCGTCTCCTTCTCGCTGGATGTCCCTATATCCCTCCTCCTCTGTTCGTCCCACCGCCTGAGCTTTGCCATAGATACGTCTCCTTGTTTCCGAACAGGAGACCATATCTTCTTTTTTTTCCTTTCAATTCCATCAAATCGGCGTGACCTCCAATCGTCGAGGAAATAATTCGAGGTAGTAGTGGTGGTGGGGACAGGACGACGCGTCGTCGCTCTATGCCAAGCTGCACAAACACATCTGTTAGCTTTCAACACGTCCACAAATCGCAACAGAGATGATACGTACTCGCAGGCCCAGACGCCTGTAGACAGGGCCAGAGCACAACCGATCTTGGAGTAAGAGGTCGAGGTCAAGATTTCGGCGTGTCCGGTCTCGCCATTGGAGTGATCCCATCCTTGAGCCTCGGTGGCACAGATGCCGTTCAGGCCCGGAAGCGTGGGGATCTCGCAGAGCCATCCACCGACGTAGACGCTCTCGAAGTTGTCGGGGGTGCCAGGGGCCAGGACCTGGGCCATGGTGCCGGGGTTCAACTCGTGGATGAGGCCGCCGACGCTGTCCGTGCTGGTCTTCATGGCATTAGCCTCGAGCTGGCTGTTTTGGGTGAGAGCCGGAAGACCCCCAGCGGCGCGCCATTTCGAGACCACATCCATGTAGTCGTACAGGGACGACCCAGAGGCGGGCGGGGCGGACGACGCCGGGGTGGCAGGAGACGACGCCGGAGCTTGGGGAGCAGAGGTAGCAGGGGGCGCTGGGGCTTCGGTCGGGGTGTAGTCCTGGGGCGACGGTCGGTTGAAGGGACCACCGCTGCCGAAGTTGCTGTCAGTAGCGGCAGGAGTCGCGCTAACCACATCACTGGTCGTGGTCGATGTAGTCGTGGCCGAGGTCGAGGTCGAGGTCGAGGTCGATGCATCGGTATACCAACTGCCACCAGTTGGCTCGGGCGCGTAACCAGTCACCGTGATGTAGGCGTCCGGGTTGGGACGCTGCCAGAATCGGTTTCCCCCCCACCATTGACGTTTGGCAAGTCCACCATGTTCCGCGTTGGCGGGCATAGCGACGACGGCACCGGTGGCCAGGGCCAAGACTGAGACGGTCTTGATGAGCTGCATGTTGGTTAGTTGTTTTCTTTCCTTCTCGCTGCTTTCTTCGGTTGAATTCGAGGATTTCGTGTAGGTTGTTTTCCAACGGGATTCCAAAAAAGAGCGCGGCGGTCGAGAACGGCCTTTGTAATGAGCGTCGAGGGTCAGGAAGGTCTCGGTCGGTATAAAAGAGCGTGATGAATCCTCCGGGGACAAAAAGAGCGTGTGTCGAAAGAGCGCAATGAAAGTCACAGACTTCTTTGGGATACTCGACGGAGGTTATCAACCAACGACAGAGGGAAGAGGGAAGAAAGAAACTCGGGGGAGGGAAATATAGCAGATCCATTTTCGAATAGACTATCGTTCAGCCCCCATGACCTACCGTAAGCCATGGAGGTGAAACAAACAATGCCGGCCGACGGGTCCACTCTCATTGTCCTGCCCAGATTGTCGAGGCGTTGGATCGCCGACGTCGTTGGCCGCGTCTGGCCCAACAATGGCCTAAAAGTGGAGTGCACACGCATTCTTTCTCGGTAAGGCCAAGCTCGAGTTGGGGCAAACAAAGGGAAAGGGAGGGCTTGACGCATTTTCATGCAGGGGGAGGGAACGGATCCTGGCGCCCTCTCAGCCTTGGGGCTGGCTGGGGGGAGACACCACCGTGGTCCTCTGGTGAGCAGCCATAAACAGCTCTCAATGGCGTAGACCAGTTATCCAGACACGGTAGTGGCAGGCTTCAGGCCTGGCAGGGTCTGCTCTCAGCGAGGAATGACTTGCCCTCACTCCTCCCTCCTGTCCAGGACGATCAGGTCTGTCCACGTATGGTTTTTTTCTCCGTTGCTAGGAGGGCTGCCAGGGTGCACGACGGTGTCGGTTAGCTCTTCGGACCCTCCACCAAATGGTCTAATTGGGACTTGGCCTGAGCTTGGGAGGAGAGACCAGGCGAGAGAGCGCGAAGTTGAGATAGCCCCATCACCCGCGCTAGCCCCAATTGGGCGAATACTGCTCCACCAGTTCCCCTGAACACTTCCCCCTTTGTTGACTATCTTCAACGTCCACGCTGCCGCCACGACGCCTCCTAATGGCCGGCCTTGCACCCAGCTAGATTGCATTACGTTGCCGGGTGGAGCCAGGCGACATCCGGGGAAATTGCATCTTCCGCTTCAGACTGCCCCGGTTCGCTGACATGGCCGTCACTTCTCACCTCCCGGACCGCATTTTATACTGTGTATTATTATTCTCGACGCGTAAGCTTCGGCGAGGGCGAAAACCAGCAGTAACCTCCGAATTCACCATCCCGCAAATGAAGTCCGTGGAGCAGGATCAGTGTTATATTATTCTCCACGAGGCTTCCACGCTGGGTTCATGGATGTACCTCGTAGAGAGCCTTGCTTCCAATTACCAGCCCTTGGTGAGTTCAGCCTCATGCTCCATAACCGTTACCCCTTGAGTCCAATTGCGGCTCTCAGTGATACTTTTGTTGTTTATCTCGGAAGTCCGGCGGTGTCCGGCTTCATCCATCGGTGGGTTTGCAACTTCCATCAGGTCCAGGTCAAGGAAATACGCGTCCAATCCATGACGCGTTCTTGGAGAGGGATCAGCTCAAGGTTGATGTGGTGAGATATTTTATCGCCCTTTTGTCGCTGCGGTGACTGGATTCTGTCCAAGTGTCGATCGCAGACCAGCCAGAACTGCAGTGACGTGCAAAGGGAACGTCAGACGTGAATGCCATGGTAACGCGAACGAAGAGCCCAACTCTCTATCTATCTATCTCCCGACTCTGCGATCAAGGTTGCCATGGCCATGCCTCAGCTGGGGATGAGCATAACATCCCCCCGGCGACCAATGCTGCGGCCCACGACCCGACGAGCCTATGGGAAGCTTCGTCGAGCGCGTCATGATCGCGACCGAACGATCGTCGGAGAGAGATGATGCAATCCAATATTTCCGACCACGTTTTGCTGATAACCATATCTATCTTCTTTGTGTATTTCACACTTGGTGGCCATGTGTCCACACACTGGCTGCGCAAGAAACGGGCAGTGTGGTGGCGACACGGGTGCTCTGGACGTTGCTGGCCCAACCCTATGGCTATGACTGTGCGATCTACCCAAAGTCTAGCCAATCGACAGGTGAGCAACGAGGCAAGGAGGCATAAGACATTTCCAGATTCCACCCGTCTGTGCGAAGTCCAGGCCGTGGCAAGATGGTTGGCATGAAACATGGATCAAAAAGAAACGCACGCATATGGACCGAGCTTGGCATACGTAAACCTCGTCAAGCAGCAATCTATCACCTGCTCTTACGTTCCTCCCTTCACCTCAGCAACACCCGCATCTCGAACTCGTCGCTGTCTCTGTCTGAAACCATCACAGGATACCTGTCAATCATAGCATTCCCAAGCCATGTCCATGCGGTCAACGTCCCGCTCGCAGGACGAGAAGACGGTGAGGGAATGGGGGTTTTCCCACGTCTTCACGTGGACCGACGGCCCGTGAGTGATAAACCTCTTTCCCCCCTTCCTCCCGATAGCCACCTATCTATCTATATACACTCCCTAGCGTGCATGACTATCGTGTCTTGTTGCCGTGCATACTGAAGCAAAAGACGCAGCCATGCACATTACCCACCCCACTCGCACAGCGGCCTGACGACACACCTGATCCGGCGCGGGTCGCTGACCATCACGTACCCTGAGGACGGGAATCCAACCAAGGAGACGTTCGGGGTTGGCGCTCGCATCGACGTGCCTGCAGGGAAGGTCCACGAGGTGTGGATGGGTGAAGAAGGTGAGTGCTACCCGTACATGTCTGCCTGAGTCTGGGAGCCTGGACGATATGTAATGGTAACTACGGGCTGGCCTGTTTCACGAATCCCGCCAGTCGAGCATTCTCGGCCCCTCGTTATCTAGAGTGCTCACACTGGATGCTGGCTGACTGGTAGTTCATTCAAAAGGATGTGAGTATGTTATAGGGGAGTAGAATGCAAAGAGCTCAGGAGAGCTGGATGGCTCGAGACTCGGAAACTCGAGCATGCCTCCACGGGATAACGAATTCACAGTAACCTTTTTACATTGATTTGCTTAGAGTACGTGGTATATGACCTTCCTATCGACATAATGCGAAGCTCGTCACGAAACACCCTCTCAAACCTCCCCAGAGCATGTGCGCCTGTTTGCTTAATACGTTCGCTTGAAAGGCGGGACAGACTTGCACTCGTTCTCGTCAAGGGTGTGGCTGGTGACCGCTCTGTAACCCAACTCGACTTTGCCGTGTGGCGACTTCTGCCACGAAAGGGTGTGCTTCATCCAGTGCTCGTCGTCACGTTCCGGGTAGTCTTCGCGGGCGTGCGCACCGCGGGATTCCTTGCGGTTCGCCGCCGCGGCCGCGGTTTGCGTCCTGTAGATCCCGCCGTCAGTATCTCATCTCACGAAAGGGGACCTCGACCGATACTTACGCGCATGTCAAGAGATTCCGCAGCTCGAGGGTCTCCACGAGATCGGAGTTCCAAATCATGCTTCGATCCTTGATGCCCACCTGGTCAAACATCTGGTCAACCTCGGTGATCTTCTTCACACCCTCGTCCAGCGACTCCTGCGTTCGGAAGACGCTGACATCGGTCTGCATGGTCTTTTGCATGGCAGCCCGAATTTCTGCTGTGCTCTTGGGGCCGCTGGAGTTCCGGATCTTGTCCAGCACGTTGATTGATTCTGCGCCCGCCTCGGCGGCGAGCTCCTTCTGCGTCTGGCCAGGTGAGAAGTTGTCTCGGATCGTGTGCGACACCGCACGCCCAAAAACGATCAAGTCGAGCAGAGAGTTGGCGCCCAGTCGGTTGGCTCCGTGGACAGAGACACAGGCGGCTTCACCGCAGGCGAACAGTCCAGGAACGACTTCGTCCTTGCCCTGGGCGTCGAGACGGAGCACTTCACCGGTGTACTTGGTCGGGATGCCGCCCATGTTATAGTGGACTGTTGGCAGGACCGGGATAGGCTGTTTAGTGACGTCGACGCCAGCAAAGATCGAGGCCGTCTCCGAGATGCCCGGAAGTCGCTCGTGGAGAATCTCAGCAGGCAGGTGGCTGAGCTGGAGATAGATGTGGTCCTTCTCCGGTCCAACGCCGCGACCTTCACGGATTTCCATCGTCATCGATCGTGACACCACGTCTCGGGATGCGAGATCCTTGGCAGTGGGAGCGTAACGTTCCATGAATCGTTCACCTTCGGAGTTGAGGAGGTAGCCACCTTCGCCACGAGATCCCTCGGTAATCAAGCAGCCAGCCCCATAGATACCGGTCGGGTGGAATTGGACGAATTCGAGGTCCTGATTCGGCAGACCTGCACGAGCGACCATCGCCATGCCGTCACCGGTACACGTGTGCGCCGACGTGCAGCTGAAGTAGGCTCGACCATAGCCGCCTGTTGCCAGAACGGTGTTTTGCGCCTTAAATCGGTGGAGAGTGCCGTCTTCCTGGTTGTATGCGATGACGCCCTTGCACACTCCGTCCTCCATGAGCAGGTCTAGTGCGAAGAATTCAATGAAATAGTTGGTGTTGTAGTTGAGCGATTGACCGTACAGGGTATGTAACAGAGCATGACCCGTTCGATCGGCAGCGGCACAACATCTATATGCCTGCCCGCCCTTGCCAAATTTCTGCGACTGTCCGCCAAAAGCACGCTGGTATATCCGGCCGTCTTCGGTTCGAGAGAATGGGCATCCGTAACCTTCGAGTTCGATGACGGATCGAGGGGCTTCGCGGGTCATATAATGAATGGCGTCCTGGTCACCGAGCCAGTCTGATCCTTTGACCTAATCTACGTTTAGCATCGAAGTACTGCGTACGAAGCGTTGGGAAAGCTTACCGTATCGTACATGTGCTGTAGGTGGGAAGCCACTGGTTAGCTCGTTCACGTGTCATGGAAAACAGACATCCCAATTATGCAACAGCTCTCAGGAGCTCCAACGGAGGCTGTCCAAAAGCACTTACCCATCTCCAATCATCCTCGTGCATGCTGCGCAACCGTCAGTCACAGGTCTTTTCACCAACAAGGGCCCTACCCACTTTCCCAGCGCGGCGTTGATGCCGCCCTGCGCCGCCACCGTATGACTTCGCGTAGGGAACAACTTCGAGATACATGCCGTATTGAAGCCAGCTTCGGCAAGACCTTCGCCACTGTCAATAGAGAACAGGAAATCAAGATGCGAGGGGCAATACCGAATGCTGCTCGTAAACCTGCGCCACCTGCACCGACAACCACGGCGTCATATTCGTGACTGCCAAAAATGATCAGTTTGTGTCAAGCTCTTCCCTCAAAGACCGACGAACTCTATGATCGGATAGGTGCCATAGGGGAAGGATTCGGCTTCTTTCGCTCGCAAAGGTTGAGAGGCGATGACCCGGGCTATTTGACAAGTCTTAGTCTCTGGTGGACGCCACAGTCATGATTTCCGAACATACCGACAGGTCTCGTGGAGGAAAATTGACGCCTGTTGGTTTGTCTCAAGCTTGTCGAGAACTGTGCACACACACGGTCAGGTTCGGATCGGGGCCCAGGAAGCTCGTATGTACCTTGTTGCCGGGACCTAAGCTCCGCAGAATCTTGAGACAGCTCATCTTGGGCAGGCACAAGTCATTCAAGGCTTGAGCTTCGACAAGAGAATGGGGATGATGGAGATGAAGGGCGAGATGGCGTGGTTCAGAGGAGGGATGAACCTACAACATTCGACTGATTGAAGCAAAGACCGCAGTCTAGTCCCGAGGTGTACGAGAGACAGTGGCCAATCGGAGGCGAGGTAATTCAAGTGCATTACTCGCACTTTGGATGTTGCGGCACCAGCGGTGGGGTGACCAACACCGTCCCATATAGGAAGTCGTCCATCACCTCTCCTCTAAACAGCTCTGCTCTTGGGGCAAAACAGGGCCGTTCTGGAATGGGACTTGTACACTATGTGAAGCAACGAGTCGTTCTTCCTTACTAGCTGCTCTGATGCTGTGCACATCGATTTCGGCCGATGGCCAGCCCTCAAATTGTGGCTGGAATACACAACGAAGGCTATAATGGAATACGGAGATACCGGCTGGCTTCCAGCTAATACACGTCTTGAAGCAAAAGAGGTCGATAAGTCCCTCCCGTTGTTCTAGCTCCAAATTTATGGTACATGCCCCTGGACCCGTGGTCTGCTGGGCCGTTCCGGTTTCAACTCCAGGAAATGCACGCTCGAAAACGATCCAAGAACCCATTCCCCCTCTAATTGTACTGTGCATATGCCGCTGTACTTCCAAACTTCAGGTTCCCTTTGATAACCTTGTCGATTGCCTTGAGGAAGTCGGACTCGGAGGTCAATTTTCTTCTGTCACGAATGCTGCAATCGAGTGTTAATTAATTCATCATGCCAAACATTGGCAAGTTAGAGAAGACTCACGCAAACATTCCAGCTTCAGTGGCGACCGACCTTAGCTCGGCACCGGTGGAGTTGGGGCACAATCTTGCTATGAGCTGCAAATCTGTTAGCCATGCAAACGCGGTGAAAGGCTGGAAATTGCTCACCTCCCAACGTATATCCCTCTCCACAGACATCTGGTTTTCACAAGTCAGCACCGTTCTGCAACGGACTCCAGAAGAAACTACTCACGGATTTGGCGTGGATTCTGAGAATACCAGCACGGCCGTCCAGATCAGGTAGGGAGAACTCGATTTTACGGTCGATACGCCCCTGTTGCGGTAATATCAGTAATTGCAGACATGCGTAGTGAGTTGACCATTTGGCCGGAGCTTACCGGTCGCATCAAGGCTGGGTCCAGCGTCGAAGGTCGGTTGGTGGCAAACATGACTTTGATGTTTCCTCTCGAGTCGAAACCGTCAAGTTGGGTAATAAGTTCCAACATGGTTCGTTGCACTTCGTTATCCCCCCCGGCACCATCGTCGAATCGAGCGCCGCCAATCGCGTCAATTTCGTCGAAGAAGATGATACATGCCTTCTTCGTTCGCGCCATCTCGAAGAGCTCGCGAACCATTCTTGCACCTTCACCGACGTATTTCTGAACCAGTTCGGACCCGATGACCCTGATAAATGTAGCATCCGTTCGGTTGGCCACTGCTCGCGCACACAGGGTCTTCCCCGTGCCTGGGGGTCCGTATAACAGGGCACCTTTCGGAGGATCGATTCCGAGTTTGACGAAGCGCTCCGGCGACAGTAGCGGCATTTCGACGACTTCTCTTAATTTTTCGATCTGCTCTTTGCAGCCGCCGACGTCTCCATACGTGACGTCGGGCTTGTCTTCCACCGTCATCATTGTCACGCTGGGGTCGATCTTGGGTGGTAGGGGAAGCATAATGGAGTATTTCTGGCGATCAACACCGACGCGCATTCCCTCCTCGATATCTGTAGGACTGACTCGTTCCCCCAGGTTGACGACAAACTTTGCGATCTGCTTGACGTTGATGACATATTTGCTCTTCTCGCTGTCCTTTTCATCTTGTATGATCTTGGTACACCGGGCGACTTGAAGCGGCTGCTCCTCCTGCATTCGTTGACGGTCGGCGGCGACATCCCAGAGATGAGGAGGCGCGAGACCAGTGTCTGATTCCTGAAGAGGCGTCAGTATGCGTCTCCAAGCAAGCGCAGCTTATCATACCTTTACGCCAATCTTCTCGTTGATGCTTTGTTGCTTCTCTTTGATCTGCTTCTCGATCTGCTTCAGCGCAGCAGCATAGGGCGCCGCTCCATATGTTCTCAATACCTGGATATCCCTAGACAAAATCAATACGGGACATCCTCGCAGCCTTTGTGGGTCTACACATACTCTTCTGTCAAGGGTGTGATCTTCTTTTCTGGCACATCTTCGTCGGCGAAGTTCTTCTGGTACTTCTCCCAGTTCTGGCCGGTGGCACTGGGCATCTTGAGAGGATATGGGGAGAACGGGAGTCGAGACTAGGAAGGAGGACTGGACACCGATGGATGGAGTAAGTAACCGTGAAGCTGACGGTACAGGTTGTGAGAAGATTATGGAAATGAACGGGACAGCGAGGGTGTTGACAAGAGCATGCGAGAGCAAAGCGAATGATGCTGGTCTCCGTAGTCCGCGCAGCCAGCGCGGTGCCTGAATCCCCATTATGTAAGCCACAGACCGCACTCGTGGCCCGCTTCGATTCTCCAACTTTCGAGGAAATTTCATGTCGCCTGTACAGGCATTCAATGAAGTGTATCTCCCTCACGAGGCTATTGCGACACCGGCTCAGGACTCTCCAGCCAAGTTCACTTTCTTCTTACTGAGTAGCCACCATGGCTGCAGCGTTGGGAATTCAGGGCAACGTGGGAAATGCGGCGTTCAAGGTTCGTTCAGATCGCAGACTGTGCAAACAACGTTGGCCCTAATGTTTTTACCAGGACAAGGAGAAGCCGATGGCCGTTCGGACGGCCAACATAATGGCTGCTCGGGCAGTCGCCGACGCCATCAGAACGTCCCTGGGCCCTCGAGGAATGGACAAGATGATACAGTCGGGCAAAGGCGAGAACCTCATCACGAATGATGGAAGTACTATGTTGAAGAGCATGAGTGTTATGCATCCTGCGGCGAAGATGTTGGTGGACCTGAGTAATGCGCAGGATGTTGAGGCGGGCGACGGTACAACGTCTGTGGTCGTCATTGCAGGCAGTCTCCTGGGAGCCGCAGACCGATTACTTGCCAAAGGCATCCATCCCACCATTATTTCGGAATCGTTCCAGAGGGCTTCCAAAGCCGCCGTGAGAATTCTGCAGGACATGTCGCAACCGATTTCGCTCTCTGATCGCACCACCCTACTACAAGCTGCCTCGACATCCCTCTCTTCGAAAATCGTGTCGCAGCATTCGGGACTGCTCGGCCCGATGGCGGTCGACGCAGTGCTAAAGACCATCGACCCCAAGACTGCTGAAAATGTCGATCTACGAAACATCCGAATCATCAAGAAGGTGGGCGGGACAATCGAAGACTCGGAAATGATTGACGGACTCGTCCTCAATCAGCCGGTCATCAAGAGCAGCGGTGGTCCTACCAGGATAGAGAAAGCGAAGATCGCCCTGATTCAGTTCCAGCTGAGCCCTCCAAAGCCGGATATGGAAAACCAGATTGTGGTCAATGATTACCGGCAAATGGACAAGATCTTGAAAGAGGAGAGAACATACCTGCTCAATATGGTCAAGAAAATCCAGAAGGCCAAGTGCAATGTTCTGTTGATCCAGAAATCCATCCTGCGAGACGCGGTCAATGACCTTTCTCTACATTTCCTGTCGCGTCTGAAGATCATGGCGATCAAGGACATCGAACGGGACGAGGTGGAGTTTTTGTGCAAGAGCACGGGCTGCAAACCCATCGCCAACGTCGACACGTTCACCGAGGACAAGCTCGGCAGTGCCGACCTGGTGGAGGAAGTACAGTCATCGGGAGCGCGGTACGTCAAGGTAACGGGTATTCGAACGGCGTCTCCACAACATCAGACGGTATCCATCGTCGCTCGGGGTGCCAACACGCTGGTGCTGGACGAGGCGGAGCGGTCAATCCATGATGCTCTGTGTGTCATCCGGTGTCTAGTGAAGAAGAAGGCTCTGATCGCTGGTGGCGGTGCGCCCGAAATCGAAATCGCCCATCAACTGGCCAAGCAGGCACGGGAGTTGACAGGCACGGAATCAATATGCTGGAAAGCCTTTGCCGACGCGATGGAGGTGATTCCGACCACGCTGGCGGAGAACGCAGGTCTTAACAGCATCAAGGTGGTGACGGACCTTCGCCATCGACACGACATGGGAGAACGGAACGCTGGGGTGAGCATCAGAAGCGGCGGCGTGAAGACGAACATTGCAGACGAGAAAGTGCTCCAGCCCCTGCTTGTCAGCACGAGTGCTATCGAGTTGGCAGCGGAGACGGTCAAGATGATTCTACGGATAGATGACATTGCGCTGTCCAGGTGACGCAGAGACGACCAGAGAGAGCTGAATAGAAGTGTGCATGTGTACCTCGTACTTCTCGTGCGACCCACGGCGGCTTAAGGAAAATGTAATGATTCAATGCATGGCGAGGCTCGCTGAACGAATATACCCTTTTGACCGCCCATATCTGGTTGGGCATTTGTAGGACGTAGATGTTGCTCTGTCGAGCCAGATCCTGGATCCTTGACCAGAGCTATGCTATCTCCTAGACACTGGAGGATCAAGTAGAATGCTGATGGTGGTGGTTCGTCAAAGTGTCTGAGCGGTTTTCTCGTATTTTCAATCAGGCGTCCAGTAGCTGCTTGGAACATACACTACAGATCCTAAAACAACCGATAAAGCGCTTTGCCCTATCTCAACCGACGGGGTTGGTTTCTCTTCTGCTTTGAGAAGCCTCACCGTGTCATGGTGGCGGAGTTATATATGGTGGGATGACCTTGAAATACCATATTTATACTCGATATAGATAACGGGCACATCACAACCTGCCCCCTTCCAATTTCGCCCATTGATCGGGAGAGACACACACACATCTTACAGATCTGGGAGCTTGAATTGGCCCAAGAGAAAAAGCCACAACATGTCGTGGATCGCGGTGCTGGTGACGCTGTATGGACTGTGGGTGGCTTCCACACTCTGGAACCTCTTCAAGAACTACCTCTCGGCGCGCAAGACAGGCCTCCCCATCGTCGTCTTCCCGTTCAACAACTACCACCCCATATGGATGATCCTCTCCGTGCCCCTCCGGCCATTCTTCGAGAGGTTCCTTCCGGCATGGGTGTACAGACCGATCAATCTCGCGACCTACGGGTTCGAGTTTCGCGACAAGACGGCCCTCTTCGAGAAGGGTAGCCCGGCATTCGTGCTCGTGACGGCCGGCTCCAACGAGCTGAGCCTGATGGACCCGGAACTGGCCACGGAGGTGCTGAAGCGCATCAAGGACTTCCCCAACACGGACATCGCGGGCGTCATCTTAAACATCTTCGGCCCTAGCCTGATCACCACCAACGGCGAGAACTGGGCCCGCCAGCGCCGCCTCATCGCCCCCAACATCAACGAGAAGATCAGCGGGCTCGTCTTCGGCGAGTCGTGTCGACAGGCCCGCGAGATGCTGGACTCGTACATGCACGACCTCCGTGGCGTGACGGACGACACGATGCGCGGCATGAAGCGCGTGGCCATCAACGTCCTGGGCGCGGCGGGATTCGGCATCTCGCAGCCGTGGAAGGAGGAGACGTCCAGCCGGCCCCGGGGATACCGCACGACGTACATGGAGGCGACCAAGGCGGTGGTGGAAAACGTCATCGAAGCGGCCGTGCTGCCGGCCAAGCTGCTCACGCTGCCCGTGTTTGCGGCGTCGTGGCAGCTCATCGGGCACGCGAAGAACGAGTTCCCGCTGCACACGCGGGCGATGCTGGAGAACGAGCGCACGCTGCAGCGCGACAGCTCCGAGCCCCGGAGCAACCTGATGAGCATGCTGGTGCGGCTCTCGGACTCGTCCAAGGCCGGCTCGCAGGGCCTCTCGGAGGAGGAGATGCTCGGCAACCTCTTCATCTTCACCAGCGCCGGGTTCGACACCACCGCCAACACCATGGCCTACGCGCTGGCCCTGTTGGCCACGTATCCGGAATGGCAGGATTGGCTGTACGAGGAGATCAGCGCCGTCGTGGGTGATGCCGGGGCCGATGACCTGGAGTACATGGAGATATACCCTCGTCTACCACGGTGTTTGGCTCTGATGGTAAGTTTCTCGCGACGCAGAGAACAAGGTCCATCTTGTTGAATTACCTCGTCTCTATCTATCTATCATGGCTCCTAGAATATACGTAAAAGAAGGCCAGCCACTGACCATGTTTCTCGACACAGCTGGAAACGATGCGACTCTTCCCGCCCTTGACACACATGTGAGTTTGTCCTTCCAGGACAGTCCAGCATCTGCCCTGTTGTTGTTGTTCTTGTGGCTGAAAGGCTCCTGTTCCTGTTCCTTCTTCCCCTCCTCCCCATTGTTGCGAGAAGAATAATGCCCCTTTCGTACTGACGACGAGAATCCAAACACACAGCGCCAAACAGACGAACTCGAGCCACGACGTATCGATCACGACTCCCTCGGGCCGCTCGTACCACATCCCGACCAACACCATCATCTACGTCAACACGGTGAGCCTGCACCTTGACCCGTCGACGTGGGGGGACGACGCGACCACGTTCCGCCCGTCGCGATGGTTCGTCTCGCCGCCGGCGGACGTGGTGGCGCCCTCGCGCACCCACCCGGACTACACCATCGCGCAGGCCCTCCGCACGATGCCCAAGGGCACGTACCTGCCGTGGTCGTCCGGGCCGCGGTCGTGTCCAGGCCAGAAGATGTCGCAGGTCGAGTTTGTGAGCGTGTTCATGACAATCTTCGCCCACTACCGCTGCGAGGCCGTCCCCGTCCACCCAGACGAGACGCCCGACCACGTCCGTCACCGCTGCGAGGCCGTCATGGCCGACAGCCAGCCCAAGCTAACCCTCCAGATGGTGAGGAATCAGGACCTGAAACTGCGCTGGATGGAACGCCGGAGCAGCCGCGGCAGCAGTGGCATGCCTTTGGGAGGATCGAGGGAGTGACCGAAGGGGATGGGGAGGAGCTGGAGAAAGGGACAAACGGAGAGAGAGTTCAACGGCATGCTGGTCGGCCGGTCGTTCTTCTGTTTCCTCTAAGCCAAGGAGTGATGGTGGCGGGCGCCACGATTTTGCTCGCAGCTGTGAGTGACCGACCATATTGGGAAAGCAAGATATATATATATCGAGAATCCCAAGAAGGACATCCTGTCTACGCGGTCAGAATAGCGTCACACTTCTTCATCTGCTCCCCTGTTGAGCGATATACAACGACCTCCCCAGTGGTATAGAGACTTACAAACATATGGGACCCCCCCATTTCTATAGAACGAGCACTTCAGATTCTCAAAAGCGTCCGAGTGAGAGAGGCATAATGCGTTTTTCGATGAGCCACAAGCAACTTGAAGTTTAAGGCGGGTTTTGATTTGTGTGTATCAGATATCTGCACGGGGGATGTAGCTCGTGTCCATTTCGCTGACATAGAGCTATGCACGATAAGAGATCCTTTCCTCCCACCGGCCCTTGGTGTCGTTGGTCTTGTTGTAGCGCTTATCCACACTGCCCAGATCACTCCCCTGATGGTCCAGTTCCCAAAAAATACCCAAACGCCGTGAACACAAGTCCTTCTGACCACGTCACCCAAAATGAGACCCAGTAAGACATACCCAGTACAAGCGTAAAAAGCAGACGAAGAACCCTCATGACGCGAGAGACTGTAAGATGGCGATGACTGGTACCGATGACCACACACACTCTTTCTCCCTCTCTTTCTTTCTCTCTTCGTTTGACGCCCATCCATCCATACAAGCCGCATGTTTCCCCCAACCAATCGACATGATCCCAAATACAAGGTACAAAAAGAGCAAGCAGCACATGTCATGTCATAACAGCAACGTGGTCGAAAAGCCCAGGACCTTTCATGTCATCTCGATCCGGGCTGTGACCTTGTAAGCCGGTCATGCCTGGGCCTTAGCCTTTGATGTTGCCTTGGGTTTTGAGCTGGGTTCGGTCTTTTGCTTGGTCACGCGACCTGACTTGGTCTTCTTCAAAACAGTCGGGACTTCCGTAACAGCAGGAGCCTGGTTGAGGGTTAGCAACACGATCCGCAGAGCGACGGCACGGACTTCAACTCCATACCGGTGCCTCAGCCTTGGTCTTGGTCTTGGGTGCTCTCTTAGTAGCAGTGTTGGCCTTGGGCTTGGCGGCGGCGGCGGCCTTCTTAGGGGCGGCTGCTTTCTTCGCTTTCGTGGCGACAGTCTTGGGCTTGGCGACAGTCTTCGTTTTGGGGGCCTTGGGTTTGGCCTCTTTGGCCTCCTTGGGCTCCTTGGCTTCCTTAGGGGCGGCCTTCTCCTTCTTTGGGGAAAAGGTCAGTATATGCTGGGACCGAGGACGATGGGTGCAGTGCTACGAACCTTGACCGTCTTCTTCTCAGCAGGTTTGGCCTCCTTCTTTGCCAGCTTCACGGGCCCAGAGGGACCTACAGCAAACACAGTCAGTATGATTAGACTTCGGCGACGCGATGATACTGCCATACCCTTGGGCTGTTGGAAGTCACCCTTCTCGACACCAGTCTTCAAGGCCTTGTTGAACAGAGAGTCGAACTGGGTCTCAGACGTAACGGTGATGTTGTTGTTTGCCTTGACATACTTCTTGATGGCTTGTCGGCTGGGTTCAATTAGCAACTGGTCTTGGATTGGGATCGCGGGGCGACGATGAGGTGTAGATGAGATGCTTACCTGCTTCCATTGCGCTCCTTGAGCTGCATGTTGAGACGCGTCAGTATCATGACCAGACAGTAAAACAATTGTCAACAACCACGCGCTCTTCTGCCTCTCCTCCACTTCACACAGGCCGGCACGGTCGGCGGTCGCGGGAGGGCATCGAGGTTGTCGCAATGCAGCTAGACTTACGTTCAGGATGGCTTCCTTGATCATGTCTGATGTACAGAGTCAGCATTGACACGCGACAATGATGGACTTGCGTCCGACGCGATGCGACCGTGCCTTGAGCGGCAAACGCACCTTTGTAGGAGGCATGAGCGGGGGCGGCAGCAGGCTTCTTTTCCTTTGTTTCCTTGGCCGGGGCGGCGGCGCGGCTAGCAACTGTTTTGGAAGGCATGGTGATGATGGAAGATGTTGAGTTGGGTTGAGAAGCTGATTGATGGACAAAAGCGACGAAACAGTGAGCGGCGGGTGAGCTTTGGGTTGAGAGGAAAGATGCAAGATGAGAGATGAGAATGGGCTATGGCTGCAGCGAGCGCGCGAGGGCGGGGGACACGGCGCATGCTTTATACCTCGCATGTGACGTGTGGTTGATCCCGCGAGCAGCACTGGTCTTCAGCCAATCAGGTCCGGCAGCCAGCGGAACCCAAAAAACCCAGCTGCTGTCCGCCCACCCGCCCAGGACAAAGGCGACACGCACCCAGAAACTCTCCCCCCCAGCGGATCATCATCAACAACACACAACAGCCAGATCACGCGCGGCCACACCAAGAGTCCTCGCTCCGACCTACCTCCCTGCTCCCCCCCCCCATTATTCCGTGATCTGGTTTTCTGTTCTCTCTCCTCTTTCCCACTTTTGTTGTTTTGATTTCCTCTCCTCTCACTTTCCCTTCCACTCCACTCCACTTCACGCCACACACCCCTGTAGCCTGTGTCTGAGTTTGTGTGCGTATCCTATCCCGTGCACATCACCCTCCTATGGGATTTCCTTATCGATGTCCATGGGGATGTCGTAACTCGATACCTAAGCTGCCTGTGTCGAGCTTGTCTCATGATTCAAGGTCCCTGCCGCGATGTTGACGATGACTGCAACCCTGTCTGTCACTCGGCATGTTACTGTTCCTACATACTTCCTGCTGCGGACGCGCTTGGGCCAAGTCACGGAAAAATCCCTTCTGGTCATCTGTCCATGTGGCGACTTGGAGTCATTCAAGAGGGATTCACAACGGATCGTGACATTATGAACACGCAGTTCGCTGTGAATGCTGGCTTTCTCCCGCTCATACCTCCAGAAAAACTGGAGGGGAGGATGGATCAAGCTCAGCCATTGGGATTGAGAGGATCCGATCTGCCGGATCATGTGAGATGTTCCCGGACAGGTTAGAGCCAATCCTATCTCAACCTTCTGTAATCTGTGCCCAGCGCAATGATACGAGAGTGAATAGCGTGGCGTGAGCCGTCCACTGCAAAACGCCATGCTGTGTGTGCCCTCAGGTCTGTGTTGTACACAGTAGTTTTGAACCCTGCCTTTGCCCATAACCTCATGCGTCATAAACTGCATGCCCGAATCTCCCAAATATACCGTCCACGCTTCCTCGGGCAATCCCTCTCAGGTCGACAGGTGCGCCTTGGACTTGGACTCCTTCTTAGTCTTGGCGTCTTCCTTCTTTTTCTTCTTAGCCTCCGCGATCTTCTCGTCGTGCTTGCGTTTCAGGCTCTTCTTCTCCTCTTCGGTCTTGGGCACGGCTTTGAAGAACCCCTCGAGCCGCGACTGTTGAGCGGTTTTAACATTTTTCTGCAGTTTCTGAGCCGCGCTTCGGACGCGATCCTCGTTGAAACCCTTCTCATGAACGAGGAACTGGACGAGACCCTCGATGTCAGGGGCTTCCCACTTGAAGTCACATTCTGGATCATCGGCAGATCGCACGTCAGGGTGCAGAAACAACTCTCTCGCCTCCTTGTATGGCCAGTCCTCCGGAATCGTGTATCTCTTCTTGGCGTCATTTTCAATGAACTCGACAACCCCTTCCAGGGAGCCGTGCTCGCGGATGAGCTTCAACGCTGTGTTCGGGCCGACTTTGGGGATGGGATCCAGATAGTCGCACCCCAAAAGTATACATAGGTCGATGAACTGGTGAGGTTAGCTGACCGGACCTGTTCGTGATTTTCGTGAGGTCCATACCTGGTCCCTGTCCATACCGAGCCCCTCCAAGGTCTTGTCCAGGTGTATCTCCTGGATGGGTTCCTTGCGCTGTTCACTGAATGTCAAGTGCCGGAGCAAGATTGGCGAGTTGAACGTCAACGTGTCCATGTCCTCGGACGCTGCCGCGTACACTTTACCTGCACGCGCTAGAACTGCACACTGGGCTTCGGCTTCCGTAGGAGCGACAATATAGGGGATGCCCATCAGCTTGAGCAGCCGCCGGCACTCGTCGTTGTGCTCTCGCGTGACTCTGACTGTGCGCCTGGAAAATTTCTCCACCTCTTCGGCCGTGCCCGTCTCTTTTGCCTCTTCATGTTGGTCACTCGCTTCGTTCTTTCGAGCAAAACGCTTCGCCAATTCTCCAGATTTGAGCTTGGGGGGCGCGCCGTCGAAAACGTAGAGTGGCTTGATGCCGTTGTCGACCATTCGCAAAGTGCGGTAAAACATGCCCATGAGATGGGACGTGGTCTCGCCCGTGTCAGACATGAGCTGTTGGCCATCTGAGCGGACCGCTATCAGGAAGCTGTAGATACTCATGGATCTGTGAGAGTCAGTTGCCTGTTCGCCGATTCGGGAGGTTATACGAAGCATACGCATCCTAGCAAGTCCCTGTTAGTTCAAGGCATCAGCTAGATAGAGCAATCACGTACAATCGCAACCTTCCTCCCAAAGTGGTTCTTGATCTCCCCAGTCTTGATGGCGTCGGGCGCCTCCTCGGCGATGACATGGTAGAGTTCTATTCGCAGTGAGCTTTCTGACATCCAGCGGAGCAATGCAACATACGTTTGATACCCATCGTTTCAGGGCGTTGTAACTTTCACAGATCAGTTGAGTGGGCGGTGGGTGCATCGCATGACAAGAAGGTGGAGGTCAAAAAGTGCGCGTAAAGTGATCCGTAGAATCGCGTTCCGCGCCGCCTGCAGGACGAGCAGTGGATGACGTGCATAACTGCGCTTGCGCTCGTCCAGACCCTCCGAAGTCACGGGGCCCTTGAGTACTGCCGAGTCCAAAGGCTGGGTAGTGCAGTCTTGCCTGCGGCGACCCGACATGTACTCTGTAGAGGCGGACATGCACATCCTTCTCAGAAGCCATTGCCAAACACCAAGGTCTTCAACCCCCTGAAGAGAGTCCTCTGAACGCTCGTGCAAAGTCCTCTGTCTCCGACACATTCTGTGGCTGAACCCCTCCGCCGCCTCGGAGATTCTTCAATCTTTCGACTCGGGGGCGCATTAAGAAATCGCCTCGGCAATTTGCCAATATATAGCATGTATTGAATCACCTCGCTGATCTCCACGTCAACAAATCTAGCCCTTTCTGTTCAACTTGAGGCTCTCGTTTCGTCTGTCTTCCTTTCCTCTGCACGCCTTCTGTAGAGTCCCTCCAGATGTTGTCTCGCTCCCTTCTTCGTCGAGCTGCTCGGGCGCACTTGTCCCCGCCAGCGCCCCGTTCTCCTCGCCGGCATGCGTCCTCCGCGGCAGCCTTTCGATGGGAAGACCCTCTCAACTTGTCGAACTTTCTGACCGAGGAAGAACAAGCAATTCAAGAAACGGCGCATTCTTACTGCCAGGAGCGGTTGCTGCCCAGAGTTCTGGAAGCTTACCGCAAGGAAGACTACGACAAAACCATCTTGCAGGAAATGGGCGAGTTGGGTCTACTGGGTGCTACAATAAAAGGCTACGGGTGTGCTGGCGTGAGCAACGTTGCTGCCGGACTGATAACTCGAGAAGTGGAAAGGGTTGACTCCGGGTACCGATCAGGCATGTCTGTCCAAAGCTCTCTGGTGATGGGACCCATAGATGAGTTTGGGACGCAAGAGCAGAAGGATAAATATTTGGAGAAGCTGGCCAGAGGGCAGCTGGTTGGCTGTTTTGGCCTAACCGAGCCCAACCACGGCTCTGATCCAGGCTCAATGGAGACGACTGCGAAGCCGCACCCGTCGAAGGAAGGATACTTCTCGCTGTCGGGATCAAAAACTTGGATCACCAATTCCCCCATTGCGGACGTGCTGCTCGTGTGGGCGAAGCTGCAAGAAACGGGGAAGATTCGTGGATTTTTGATCGAGAGAGAGCAATGTCCACCGGGCACCCTCGAGACGCCACCCTTGAAGGACAAGAACGGACTTCGAGCGTCGATAACCGGCATGATCCAGCTCGACGAATGTCCCGTGCCTAAGGAGAACATGTTCCCCGACGTTGAGGGTCTCAAAGGTCCGTTCGCCTGCCTCAACTCGGCGCGGTATGGGATCGCCTGGGGGACCATGGGCGCCCTCGAAGATTGCATCAGTCGCGCCAGAGAATATGCCCTCGAGAGAAAGCAGTTCAAGAACAACCCGCTTGCCAAGTATCAGCTCGTTCAAAAGAAGCTGTCCGATGCCGTTACAGACGCCGCCTTTGGACTTGCCGCGGCGTATCAAGTCGGTCGTCTGAAGGATGAGGGAAAGGTCACTCCAGAAATGATTTCAATGATCAAGAGACAAAACTGTGATCGAGCGTTGGTGAATGCCAGGCATCTTCAGGAGATCTTCGGAGGGAACGCTGTCAGCGATGAATACCATATCGGTCGGCACGTTGCAAATCTATTCGTGACGCAGACATATGAGGGACAGAGTGATATACACGCCTTGATCCTGGGCCGGGCCATTACCGGACTGCAGGCGTTTTGCTAAGGACGGATTGACTGTTGAAAGCAGAATCTGAATTAGTTTTTGCCGTTCCAGCTAAATCCGCATTCTATCGGGTCCCCGGACGACTACACGCTGTTCAGTGACGCTGAAAAGACCCTTGCCATCCCAACCGCGGGTCCGTCCGACACCTGGACAGGCGAGCGATCTGGTTGCAATTCGACGGAAACACAATCCTCCCTGATGCAATAATCCTACCTAGCCGACTGTATTATTTTCCGATGGGCGTGTTTCCTCCTGTATGCTTCAAACGCTTAGGGATCCAACGGAGCAGTTTGGCACTCGGACGTTTGTGGTTTGTATCAGATTTGCACTGACTGGAGCGGCACAAGCTCAAGCTTCCACGGCCACATCTGTTCCTGGCCGGGAATTGAAGCAGGAAAAGTTAATAGCATTTACTACACGGAAATAGACTGGAAACTCTCCGAGAGAAAAAGCTTCATTCTTGACCTTCGTTTCTGTATAACAACGTAAGTGACATAGTAGCGTCATTGCCACGTGTGCTCCGGTAAGCATGCAGTGTTCCTGACTCAGAAGGCGGAAAAGACAGCGAGGGGATAAACGGGCCTCTCGAGGAGTATTTGACGATGGTTTTCCAAGGTCGCCAGCTATGCTTTGTCAGATCCAGATCTAATGACAAGGAACTATGGCCTTGCCGGGTGGTGGCGAAGTCAAGGAAAAGTTGAAGCCCAAGTGGATATCATTGGGCACCCGGCGTTCCAGGCAAAGGCAACACCCACGCACCGCCCACGCCCGACCGGCGTCACCTGAAGTCACTACTACTATGGGTGACTACTATTAGGTACTAATTAGTTGCCCCCCTCGCTCTGCCCGCCTGTCCGCCCACTACTGCGTCCAGCACCTTCTGCCGCCTGCCAAGCGTGAACGCCCTTCTTTCAGTTTAAACTGCGATCCAGTCGGCTGAAGGAAAGTCGATCTCTCTTCCCTTTCACCACTTGACTACATAACAACCACCTGGGAACAAACGTCCTAACACTGCTGTCTACTTTACCGCGATAACCTCATCAACTCCTCTAATCCTTAATCTCTCCAGTCTGCACATTCCTCTGGTTCGTATGCCATCCTTTTCTCCTCTCGACGTTATTACCAAACAAGGTTGACTCAGATCGCAGCCCCACGTCCCGCTCGACATCGACCATCTTTGTCCTCAAACACTCTCCCTACGACACATTTTCAGCCATGGCTCTGAAGCGAATCAACAAGGAACTCACAGATCTTGGCCGGTGAGTCCGATCTGCCCCTCGAAGTGCCGCAGCACGCTGCACGAGGCAAAAAAAGGGCCTGATAAGATCATATGGGGGGATTTTGGCGGAACGGCTATACTGACAATATCGGATGCAGTGACCCCCCTTCCTCATGCTCAGCCGGTCCCATGGGAGATGACCTGGTGAGTACACAGTCCTCGAAAGCCGCCGGCCACCGACGAGGCGGTTGAGCGGATGTCGCTTGTTGGACTGGAATATTCAGCTAATATTAACAACAGTTTCACTGGCAAGCAACGATCATGGGTCCCGTAAGTCATCATTGTTCCCCTTGACCAGGTCGATTTCGGGACTGACCGCCTCTTCAGAGTGACAGCCCATTCCAAGGCGGTGTCTTCTTCCTGGCCATCCATTTCCCTACAGATTACCCCTTCAAGCCACCCAAGGTCAACTTCACGACTCGAATCTATCACCCCAACATCAACTCCAACGGCAGCATCTGCCTGGACATTCTCCGAGACCAGTGGAGCCCTGCTCTGACGATATCGAAAGGTTTGCACGGTTCCCGCCTGCCTGATGGGACATGCTGGGGCTAACCATGGAACAGTCCTTCTATCCATTTGCTCGATGCTTACCGACCCTAACCCCGACGATCCACTTGTTCCGGAGATTGCTCATGTCTACAAGACCGACCGTGCTCGATACGAAGCAACCGCCAGGGAATGGACAAGAAAGTTTGCGATCTAGTTCACATAGCAGGACGGGCGGTGGCTGTTGCAGGGCGGTGCTCGGCAGTGCCAAACAGCAGGGGAGGCAATAGTGCTTGTTCAGACGAGGGTTGACAGCGTTCGGCACGGAGCAATGGTGACGATAACAACCATTCACGAGGGTTTTGCTAGATGACCCGCGACTCCACGGATGCGGTTGGCCGAGGATGACATACGCATTACGCCAAGGGATGCAACGACGAGCAACGGGAGAAACAGGCGCAGACGTTATGGAGGGATGTTTATGTCCAGCAGCACGATCTTCGGATGAACTCTTATGATGCATTACACCAGGGGGTGCTTGATGGATAACTGACAAACTGTGCTTCTTGCTTATCCCGCCGTGTGTGTTTCTTCCTTGATCACCTGTTGCAGCTCGTCCATTTGCAATTCGACGCTCGTTGATCACGTCAAGAGGGGCGTCGACGCCTGAGATTCGATGCTGCAGCCGCCTCGCCCCCCCAAGCCCTCCAGGAATAATCCGTAAGCTGCGAAATGACCGCATGCATGGCCAGGATTGATAGGACACCACCTGGCCACCCAATTAGAGGAGTTGTTCGGCTTGCGAAGGCCGCGCTCCGACGATGGACGAGGCTTCAGGCACGTGCCTCGACAAAACTGACCCAGAACTGGCCAAGGTTGCGTGGCCTGATGGATCTGATGGACCTGGATGGATCCTACGTAGCAATGTGTAGGAAAGCCTTGCATCGCCTGAAACAAGGAGGCTGAGCGGCAAACAGGACGGGGACAGGCAAAGAGTTGGTTGTCCGGCGTCGGCTGGCCCGTTTGGGAGTCTCTCCAACCCCTGGCGCGTTTCACCAGGCCTCATCCACCACGCATCACCGCCAAATCATCGTCTTCCAATGCCCTTCTCTCGACCTTTTCGTCCACAGCATCTGGCTTTCGCTTTCTCGTCGGGTCTCGACGCCTGTCACGCTGTCTCCAGCGACCATGTGGATATCCCAGCACTGGACTCTGTGTTCCGATTGATTTCTGGCTCGCGGGATCTGCACCTGCCAGAACCTCCCCCTGAAAATTGCATGAAAGAAAAAAAGGTCGACAAACTCTGCCATGGCCGCTGAGGTCCATCGTGTAGCGAGAAGCGCCCAAGGGGGAAAGGAGGGGAGAAATGTCAGGTTAATACTTCAATTGTGGCCAGGTTCCTTCTGATCTTCCTGTTTCCTTGTGCTGATCACCATCTTTTCTCTTCTGCCCAGGCCCCGGTGTGCCTTCTTTGGACCGTTTGGATAGCCATTTCGGTGTTGAACACTTTTCATTTCGCTTCTGACACGCCGAGACACGCTCGTACGGGTGCTAAGACTCGCCAGGTTTCCTGGTGTACGAGGCGAGTATACCCAAGTCCCTTAGTGAGGCGGTCATTTCCTTCATACTAATACTGTGTCAAGACCGTGTTTCGAAACCGTCGTGCGAACTCGTCTCTGACCCTGCGACAACCTCGGTCGCCGAATTGCAGTGCGCAGTGGACCGTCACTGGAAACAGAATCGTATCAGGTTGTTCTGGACCGCAGCTCTGGAACTGTACATTATCACCTGCCCGTCATGAATACCTCGACGCCACCGCCCTATCCTTCCTACTTCTACGAGAAGCCGCTGGGACGGTCTAACACAACGACGCACAATAATGCTCCAATGTATTACCTCGAGAAGCCGTTGGCCAGGTCAAACACGTCGTCGACAACATCCTCGATGGCGGACCGCACACGATCAACTCCTCTGTCGAGGATGCTGCTGTCTGGCGAAGTGAGTGGCGAGGCGCCCCGGGACCTGAACATGAGAGAAAAGTTCGAGAGGTGGATGGTCAACGAGGGCTCGCGGCGGATAGTGGTGGGAGTGTTCGTGCTGGTACACGGACTGGTCTTCGGCTTCGGCTTCATGAACTACCAACTCAAGGACAACTTGACGGGGGCACGGGCGACATTCGGCATCACCTATCCCATCGCGAGGTCGGCCGCGCTGGTCCTGCACTTCGACGTCGCCCTGATCCTCTTCCCGGTGTGTCGGACGCTGATATCGTTGCTCCGCCAGACGCCTCTCAACAGCATCGTTCCGTTCGACAAGAACCTCACCTTCCACAAGCTCGTCGCCTACTCGATCGTCTTCTTCACGTGGGTGCACACCATTGCCCACTGGAACAACTTCGCACAACTTGCGGCCAAACAGAAGCTGGGCTTCGTCGGCTTCTTGAAGATCAACTTTGTCACGGGCCCTGGCTGGTCTGGCTATGTCATGCTCTTCGCCTTGATGGCGATGCTCTTCACGTCCATTGAGAAGCCGCGGCGTGCCAATTATGAGCGGTTTTGGTCCGTCCACCACCTCTTCATTGTGTTTTTCGTGTTCTGGTCCGTCCACGGTGCCTTCTGCATGATCAAGGCCGACACCGCTCCGTTCTGCTTCGGGACGGGCGTCTTCTGGGAGTACTGGATGTACGGAGGCTTCGCATATCTCCTGGAGCGAGTCCTTCGCGAGATCCGTGGCCGGCACAAGACCTACGTGACCAAAGTCATCCAACACCCCAGCAACGTGGTGGAGATCCAGATGCATAAGGAGAAGACGAAGACCCGTGCAGGCCAATACATTTTCCTCTGCTGCCCCGAGGTCTCCATCTGGCAGTACCACCCTTTCACCCTAACCTCGGCGCCAGAAGAAGACTACATCTCGGTGCATGTGCGGATGGTGGGCAACTTCACCAAGGCACTCGGTAAGGCGCTCGGCTGCGAAGACAGCAAGGGGAGAGGCGATAGTAAGGGTGACGGTGCCAAGAAGGCTCGCTCTGAGGTTGTCTCCATGGCTCCCGGGGGTTTGCAGAAGCTCCTCCCGCGGATCTACGTCGATGGGCCCTTCGGTTCTGCCTCCGAGGATGTGTTCAAGTTTGAAACAGCGGTGCTGGTCGGCGCCGGTATTGGAGTCACGCCCTTTGCCAGTATCCTCAAGTCTATCTGGTACCGCATGAGCCAAGGCGGTGGCAACAACACGCGGCTGAAAAAGGTCTACTTCTTCTGGATTTGCCGCGACTTCGGGTCTCTGGAGTGGTACAAGAGTCTGCTCACGGCTATTGAAGCGCAAGATAAACAACACTCGATCGAGATCCACGCTGTATGTTTTCTTTTTCTCTTTGACTTCATTTTCAACGCACATTTTGCTGACTGTCTCGCCTACAGTACCTTACCGCCAAGATCTCTGCCGCAGATGCCAACAACATCATGCTCAATAGCAGCGACACCGATGCCATCACAGGGTTACGAACTCCGACCAACTTTGGCCGTCCCAACTGGGACATGGTCTTCCGGGCGATTCGCAAACTACATTCCCCCGGCGAAGCGGGTGTGTTCTTCTGCGGTCCCAAGGGCCTGGGCTCGCAGTTGCACATACTGTGTAACATGTATAGCGAGGGCGACAAGGGCTTCCGATTCGTATGGGGCAAGGAGAACTTCTAAACTCTCCGGGTCTTTTTTCCCTTTTGCACTTTGGCTCACTTATGTTGTGATTTGAGAAGCGTTATAGCACCTTGGGATACTGGAGGGACATACTTGGACTCAAGGCCAAGGCCTGCCCTTGGCTTGTTTTAGGAAAATCAGGGAAATTGGGGCGGCAGCAGCCAAAAGCCTCATGGGACTGACTGGTGGTGAACCGTTTCGGTTGGGGGAAACCACCGTCGTCCATGAGTCCGACCTCAACAACAACAACAACGGACGGATCGGACATTCGTGTCCTCTGCCACTCATACACACACACGCGCAAATGAATGGCACACTTTCAAGCAAGAGGGGGGGTTGTCATGTCACGTCCTGTTTGTTTGGCTTGTACCAACGCTTTTTAACATATAGAAAGGATACCATTGATGATACATTATCACATCACCATCACTCGGTCAACGAACGAGGCTTACGAGGCGAGAAAGATAGAGAAAGAAATGACAAGCTTTTTTCAGAAAACGGCGAAAAAAGAACCTCTCGGAACACGTTCGACTATACCAGTATCGTAGATAGCCCTATCCTGTCCCGTCCTGTCTGTCGCTTCCCTTGTGGATGATACATTTGTACCTCCTGCTGGCTGGCTAGCTGGCTGGTCTGGCTGGTCTGGCTGGTCTGGCCGGCCCTCGCTCCACTGTTGAGTGTGTGTTTTGACCATCTGTCTCTTTTTACATATCATTATTGCTGTTCGTCCACTATTTCCCGGCCTGCGATTGTATAGGATGGTGAGACGCTCGCCGGGGTTTGCTGCTGCATTGATTGTCACTGATCCCGTCCCGTCTTGGAACGAGATTTATGACATGTATGTAACCCCTCCTCTCTGTCTCTCTCGCGCTCTCACTCTCTCAATAAGGCCACGTCCACCACTCACTGAGGACGAGGGATGGATGACAGAAGGAAACTATTTTGTATGCTACCCGTCTGTGACTAGAACCCCCAGCACTAAACTACAATAGTTTGTTGGTTGGCATCTCGCGACATGGGGCAAATCAATAAAGATTCATTACGCTGCTGTTCGTGAGCAGTTGTTGTGGTGACAATTACTTCTGCTGCATAACTGGGTCAGACTACCTTGAGCGTGCTGTGTACCGCGGGCACGGGTAGATGACAATCTCATCATCTTAGTCTGTAAATACTAAAATCATACATTTCTGTCAGAACAGCGATCCCAATCTACTGGAAAATAAAAATCCCACCAGCTACTTTTCTCCCGCGCGCCGCGCCACATAGGAAAGATACCCTAAGGCCGAAACCAGGCCCGCCGATAATGCATCCTTGAGTCAACTAAACAACGACACCATGGTCCGTGTGTGTGTGTGTGTGCACCGTCCCCACATTCATCCGTTCTTTTGAAGAGACTCTATAGCGAAGCGAAGCACAGAGCCATGACTTTTGTCCCCTTGCAGAATTCATAATCACGGAAGGCCACGTCCTCTGTCGTTCCCTTTCAAGCTGTAGACCGACACGATCCTCCTCACGACCCTGCCACTGCCCCCTTTCAACAACGCGTTGAGCTCGCTGCCGTGAAACACGGCAAAGAGAATCATCGTGCTGAACATCAGCACGGCGTCGAAGACGTACAGAAACACCTCGTGCGAGATCAAATAGCCGGCGTTGCCCTGGCCGTATTCGACCAGCCGGAAGACAGACCGTACGAGGATGAGCACGCTGCCGCCGTACAGGACGAACATGTATTTCTTCCAGGCGGCCGCGACGTCGGCGTTGGCGAGGACCCGCGCCGTGGGGTTGTTGACCAGTCGTAGGTGGAAGGTCACCCCGACGGCGACGAAGAAGGAGAAGAAGAGGACCTGCAGGATGAGGCCGCCGATGATGATGTTCTTGCCCGTGTTCATGGACGACTCGGTGCCGCCGGCCATGATTCCGCCACCTGGATGAGAAGAGTGTAAACGCGTTGGCCATCAATGGACGATGCAGGGAAGAAAGGGAGAGGGGGGGGAGAGAGAGCATGCTCTCACGAGCCAACCGACACACATACCAGACGCTTGCAGCAAGAACGAGAAGACATCGCCCCCCACGAATATCTTTGTCAACCACCTCGGATTCAAAATGGCCAGCCTCGTCCCGTCTGTGAGCACGATGATCCGTCCGAGCTGCATGTAGATGCTGGCCGCGAACAGCGCGGGAGCCACGAGGATGAGGACCGACTGCACCACGTATGCGCCCACGGTCCAATTCGGGCTCTCTTGAGACCCAACCGCCCGGCCCACGTACCCGATGGCCTCAAAGTACCCACCCACGCAGAAGGGTATCATGAACCATGTCCGTGTGCGGAGGAGCTGGTACGTGTGGAGGAAAGATGCGAGAGCGAACAGGGTGACGAAGATCACGGCTGCGGCGAGGGAGGGGTCGTAGCGGTAGAGCTTGAAGTCCGAGTGGCCATGCGCCATTGTGGTCGATTCGGCTGTTCAGATCAAAATTCTTCTGGTAGTGGAGGAGGAGAGGAGAGACGGGGGGAACAGATAGAGGGAAATAGGTCGAGCAAGGACGAGAAAATCACCCTTTGAAAAGCACTGAAAAGGAGACGGGAGCATTCGAGCACTTCAAGATGTGAACCTTCAATATATACCCAGCGGTCTCCTCCCTCTTTGGCTTTTTTCTTTGCCGGCTGCCTGGCTGGACACCAGGAGGTTGGCATGCATCTCTACAGTTACGTGGTGGGGACCATGAGAAAGAGTGCGATTGAGTGCGTCGGATAAGTCGATGTATCGAGTCTAGCAAGGAAAGATGTACGGGCGAGAGAGAGGCCGTGGCTAGTGAGGCTGTGTTGGGAGCCAGGGGAGATTTGTTTGATAGTCGGACGGAATACGCGCATTGGAGGGACGAAGACTCCACAGCTATCCGCGTATTCGGCAAACTTGCCTCTGTTCATTTTACGACGACGGGGGCGACGACGACACTGACAACGACAACGACAACGACGCTGTGCTGTTGTTTTCAATAACGCCTCCCTTGCAGCCTCGAGCCAAATTTTCCTGTTCCTGCACGTCTTCTTCCAGTCTCGTGTGTGCCTTGCTGTAAAAGCTTTGCGCGCGCTTAGCTGGCTAGGAGAGGGGCCGACAACATGTCGGAGTTGTGATTTTGGACGTTGCTTGTACCTGCTGTTGAAAGTGTATTGGAGCATATACCATGCTGCCAGTCGCTGATCTCGACTCATCTCTGGTTTTGGTGCTGGACATCTGTTACTGCAGTTAGACCTACAATCTGTTGTATTTTACTTTGTTTTATTTTTGCTGCACTTGTACAGGAATCTGCAAACCGAACCACAAAAGTTAACGCTGGAAGAATCCCGGGCGAAGGCCACAGAGAACTAAAAGGCAGTACAGATAATGTCGGACGGAGCATTGTCGCCCTCTCCAGATTTTTCCGTCGTATCTTCACCGTCATACGAACCTGGAAACTCGAACGGTGGCCATCCCTTGCGCAACCTGCACGTGGTCGACCCTTCGAGGGTCGGTTCCAGCCGCGAGAGCCTCCTTGGCCCAGCCGAACTAGAAGACTATGACCGAGAAGAAGCAAGCATTCTGATTGCTCCTCCAGCTGATGGCGACGGGTTCTCTTGGGCACGCCAAAACCGGCTACTTAAATCCAAGTCCCCCTTCCAAGCTGTTTCGAAATGGATTAGAGGCCCTCAGCCTCCTCGAGTCTACCACGTTCAATCTTCCGAGTGGCTCCAGGATGCGTGCGACCGGCTCCTTGACCGGATTTTGCCCGGTCGATGGCTCAAGCTCTTGGCCCTGCTTGCTCTCTATGTTTCGTGGAGTGGCATGTTTCTTTTAGCGCTTCCAAAGTCGGTGATATCGAGCATTGATTCCGCCGATGGCCAACCGATCAGGCTAGACTGTACATCTCGGCTATGGTATGTGTTTGGATGCGACAAGTATGAACTGTGATTAACCTTCCACAGGGCCAACAGCACCGCCTGCGGGTTGGACGGCCAGGAATGCCGTCCTTTCGATGACAACCATTTCGCATTCATTTGCCCGGCTGGTTGTAAAGACGTCATGTTACTTGAGCCTCATTTCATTGGATCTCAGGAAGTCAATTACCGAAGCCTCGTGGTCGGAGGACCACAACGTCTTGAGGATCCTGCTTCCGCCGTCTATCGCGGAGATTCCTTCATCTGTGCCGCGGCCATCCACGCCGGAATCACGACCAACTCCAGAGGAGGTTGTGGGGTGGTGTTGCGCACGGGAGAGCGATCCAACTTCCCCAGTGTTGACGCCCACGGGATCCTCAGCATTGGATTCCCATCCAACTTCCCGCTTTCCTTCACCTTCAACTCGTCCAGCTCGGCAACGGCCGCGTGTAAGGATTCTCGGTGGACGTTCTTGGGCACGTCGCTCCTGATCACTTCTATCTTGTCCGTCTTCGTCACCTCGGCGGTGACGTTTTTCTGGTCAATATTCGTCGGCGTTTTTTTCCACGTGGCCCTGATATCGGATCCCCCGTATTACCAAGACTACGCCGACGCGGTCTCGCTGGCATTCAGACGATTTCTGCCGGCGGCCTTCGTGGGCCATGTCATCTACCAGTACTGTGTTCGCCGGACCTTGTCCGATCTCAAGGCGCCCATCGAGAGGACTGTGCTTTGGCTCGGGGGATGTTGGGTCGGAGCACTCAACAACGTCACCTTCGACCGCATCCCGATATCGCGGCTGACTCCGCACGACTTGAAGCAACAGCCCGGCGCCATCTTGGCGCTGTCGCTGATCGTCGGCATCATCCTCGTCATTGCGGTGGGGCAGGCCTGGTGCTTTAGAACCGAAGGTCGGATGCCGCGGTATCTGCTCTTCTACGGCGTCGTGGGCGTGTTGTTGACGGCGCTTGTTTTGATCCCCGGCATGAACCTCCGGATCCACCACTACATCCTGGCCCTGATCTTGTTGCCGGGGACGTCTCTCCAGACCCGCCCGAGCCTGCTGTACCAGGGCATCCTGGTCGGACTGTTCATCAACGGCGTCGCGCGGTGGGGCTTCGACAGCATCCTCCAGACGCCGGGCCAGCTCCTCCAAGACGGTGGCGCGGTTGGCAGCCTAGTACCACACCTGTCCAGCGCGCCGGTCGTCGGCGGGGACAACAACAACATCACGTTCACTTTCGACGGGGACTTCGCCCTGTCATCATCATCATCATCATCCTCGTCATCATCAGCATTCGACGGGATCGGCGTGCTCGTCAACGACGTCCTGCGCTTCCGCGCCTTCAAGCCAGACGACATGACCTTCCAATGGACGAGGCGGGTGAGCCAAGAGCCCGAGTTCTTCAGATTCGCGTACGTGAAGAGGCTCGACTTTGCGGCCGGGGAGTGGTACGGCGATTTCACGGCGCCGGCGGTGTGGCATGGCAACGGCACGTGGGTTCCGGGCGCGGGTTAGATCGGGCTGGCGATGGATAGATAGATATATTGATATATAGATAGACAGGCAGGCAGGCAGAACAGCGGCTGGGATGTGGCAGCCATGTATGTGGATATATATAAAGGAGATCTATTTACACAGACAGACCTCGTCCTTCGATATTCCGTCTTCCTTTTCTCTCCCACACACAAGCTTCTTGCGTAAGGGAATCCAACTACTTTTGTGTGTGACTAGATTATGATGTGTCGAGTTCGATCGAGTCCTTTCTGCACGAGAAACAACTGCTTGGGCTTCTGTTTCTTTCTTTCTTTCTATGCCGACATAAACATGGTTCGACCGCCACCATGTCACATAGATGGCTCGCCGGGAATGATCACGATAACTCGTTCTTTTGACAAACAGAGTTCCAGACCGATATCGAAGAAGATTTCAAGATTGCGTAACTCCTGTGAAAAATTGTATCCATTTCTGGCCCGCGACCATCGTTTCTAATGATAATAATGATAACAATGCCCGGCTTTCTTTCCGTCTTAACTCCTCGCCCCCTCCCAAACTGGTGAATAGTATCCCAAAAAGTCGTGTCACATATTTCCGAACAACTATTTTTCGTGTGCGTTTTTGGTGGCAGGGTCTCTTTGGTTCCGCAGGTTCTCTTTCCCACCTGGAATGAGCGGTGTTGATAAAGCCCACGAGACATCTGCCAGCCCGAATCGCATAGATGGCCGTGAACAACAAATTTCAGACTGGTTTCCCAAAGCGAACTCAAGCCGAGAACTCCTGTCAACTATTCAGGGGCCAGCCATCATGCCACATGACCCAATTCCGGAAGCACCTGCTTTTCCATGGTCGAATTCTGAATCAACGAGGGCGAGAAATTCCGGGAATAGTTGCCGTCGTCCCGGTCGTAGATGCTGATGCTATCCCGGCCCGCTTCGTCGCCCGACTCAGGATCGCTGTCATCCCGAAACGGCTTCTGTATGGTCCTTGAGCTAACTCGGCCTTCCACGTCATAATCCTCCACCACAAGGATCGGGTTCTTTTCGACTGAGCCGGTAGCTGTGCTCTCAATGGCCTTGGGGACCTCCGGCACGCTGTACAGATAGGTGGCCAAGAACACCAAGATTGAACCAAACAGGAAATAGAGCGTGGGAACAAAGTTGAAGATGAAGATCGAGGCCACGGTCGAGAGGATGATGGAGAGGGAGGTGGCGAAGCCCTTGAGGATGTTGTCGGCGTACTTGATGACCATGGCCACGATGAGGCCGCCCGCCGCCTGAATGCAGACGGTCGCGAAGACGACGGAGTTGTAGCCCTGGAAAAAGCCATTCTCGCGGATTGCCTGGCCGTCCCATACCAAAGCCCCGGTGAGAGCGATGGCCAGACAGCCAATGCTCAGTTGGATGTTGCGGACCCAGATGGACGAGCTCTGACCATTCTTCAGGACTTTTTCGAAATAGACACCGGCGAATCCCGAGCAAATGCAGGCAATTGCGACAGCAATGATCCCCACCGCATAATTGCCCTGCTGGGGGTTGGCCGGGGCAGTCGAGGAAGGTATCTGCACACAGGCGACTCCGGCCGTGAGGATGACCAGGGACAACCACTTCTGGGCCGACAGGCTCTGGCCGAGCATCAACACGGCAAACAAGGCGGTCGTCAGGATCTTGCATTGATAGGTAACCTGGAACGTGGCGGCGTCCAAGTTGGTGGCCGCAACAAACTGCAAGTTGTTCTGGAGGGTGTATAGGATCGCCGGAACGAGGAGCTTGAAGAAGCCACTTTTGACGCTGAAGATGTCAGCCCACAGCTGCCTCAGACCGTAGCTGGTGGGATTCAGGTGCGAAGGTGCGTCGTTGGAGAGGGTCGGGAGGTGCGAGGATCGGTACTGGTGCCGCTGCTCGCTGATATGGACGCAGAAGCATATTAGACATTTCAGGACTTCGGACAGCACGACCGCAGTTGAGCTCAGGTATCTCGGACCGGGTAGGATTCGGGAATATCGCATAACAAGGACGAGGGAGGAGTTTTGGACGACGAGAGTGAGGAGGGAGACGTATTTCGTAGGGATGCCATGGATGGTCGAAACACCGTCTGTGGTGGGTTGTCAGTCAGTCAGTGAGTATCCTTGTGCCGCATCGCGGCCGGCCAGCGTATGGGCGTACCTTTGGTCGTCATTTTCTTGAATTGCAGAGAAGAACTGTAGGGGGTATCCAAAGTTGTTGATATAACAGAGAATAAGAGTAATACGACAGAAGATGGAGAGACAGCAGGTAACGAGTGACTGTTGTTGGCTGAGTGAACGAGTGACAACCGTAAGGGTAGTGATTCTTTAAGGAATGACCATGGGTGGATGATGCGAGCTCAAAAGCACAGAACGCAAGGGATGATGCATTTCATATCATTAAGGTGATCATAGTGTCAGAGCGGGATGAGTGGAGGGAGGCCCTCGGAAGCACTGTGAGAGAGGAGAGAAGAGGTCTGTGCCTGGAGGGGTGGTGTGGGTGGGATGAGGGAGTCTTAACAAGACATGTTCGAGAAAGCAAGGTGGTATGGATGGATGGTAGTAGTTGGTGAGAGTCAGCAGTACGAGGGACGCAATACTCCACCAACACCAAGGGAGAGCGACGTGGTGGTTGGTGGGAGGCGCCGGAGGGGCGTCAAGGCGTCATTGTGAAATTGCAAGGGGGCAGGAATGGACACGAGGGGGTTGAAGCATTTCCACCGAGATTCCTCTCCAGGTAGCAGTAGTGCTCTGTGAGACCCCTACGGAATGCTTCGGTACTCCGTACGGAGTACTCGGTACATAGTCATCATTCGATGCGAGGGCGGGTGGCACAGGGTTACGCGCAGCAGCAGGGCTCAGCTCTTTTTTCTTCTTCTCTTGTCTCTGATTTTTTCTGCTCAGCTGTCAGCATGACAGTCTTTCACCAAAAAGCAGGTCCAGACGGGTACCACCTATGAGCGGGTTGCTAAATGGCATCCACGCTTTTCCCTGCTGTCCTGCACAGATGTACGTGTAGAGACCCAAGGAGATCGCCAGGTTCACGCCTAAAGTACAGAGTACGAGGTACTTCGGACCTAAATTGCGTGCGTTTGGTGGTGGCTAGTAGTAGGCCAGGTAGTTAAAGATACCAAGCATCAGCCTTCCCAGCGCCCGCAGGAGTAGTGCAGTCCCTCCCCCGGAACGGCGACGCGCAGCGGGCGTGGTTGACCGTGTTACCGCGTAGGCACCTAACGTCGGAACCCCTAGTGGGTGCCGCGGGTGCCACCATTTGCACCCTCAGCCACAGAACCGTCACGCCTAGAAGCAAATCTGGCCCGAGCTAGGCCAGTCCCATTCAAGGGGCATCTTTAATTGGAAGATTTGCACCATTTGTGCCGTCACCGCCGTCTTTGACAACATTTCCTCATTTCCACCGCAAGGGTTACAGACCACCGACGGGTGCACAAAATGCCCGTAGCATTTATCGATTATTTTCCCGCGATTGGCGTATCTGGCTAATCGATAGCCAAAAGATATTCTCCGAATCTTACATGTTTCCGGCTGCCCCCCTGGAAGCTCTCGTTTCGTCTCAGGCACACGTCTCCCGCGTGTTTCGGGCTCTGTGTCGGGTCTTGGACATTTTCATCTTGGACACTAACAGCAGCTAGCACACACTCAACTCGCGTAGCTGAAATGGAATGAGGCCAGGTGGTACGGTGGCTCGACGGGCTTGCCGGTGAAAAATGCCAACAACCATTCCTTCAGCGACAACTGCACGTTGTACGAACAATGCTTCATCACCCAGGCAAAACTCGCTGCCCGCCATATCCGCCGGCTGTGAGCTTCGCTGTGGTCGTTGACTTGGATCTGCCACATGGCGTTGTTGCAGCTTTGCCCCGCGAGCCGGAGGTCTTCGATGGATTGATGCAGGTTGTCCATGTACGTCTGTAACGCCCGGAAATCGCTGGCCAGGTCCATGGTGATCATGGCCAGGGTCAGCAGGCAGGTGAGCTGGAATATGAGCTCGAGTCGGCGTGGCTGCGTGAGCTCGGCGCCGGGTGGAGGCTGCCTGGACACCAGCCCAAGCAACGTCGAACCCTCGTGGAGGTCGAAAGAGTGTATCCGTCTCTCATCAGCCTCGTCGTCAGCCTCTCGAGGCGAGGGCGCCGTCAGGGCACTGATATTCGACAGAGACTGCCAGAACTCCCATAGCTTCTCCAGGGAGGCATTCAGGCTGCGTACCAGCCTCTTGAGATCCGAATTGTCCCATATGTAGCTTTCGGGGCTCGTCCCATAGATGCATTCAAAGAAACACATGACACGCGACAAGAGCACCGAGTTGACCGCGAGAGGACCACCGGTGGTCTTCAGGATCTTTCTGACCGCCTGGTAATGCATGCCCGCCGCTTCTTGAGACCCGGATCGCCGGTCGAATGTCCCCAGGCTGATGATGGACGCGAGGAGGTCATCCTTGCGATTGGGGTTCGCCCGGGAACTCAGCTGGCGGACCATCTTCAGAGCCTCGCCCTTGTGCCGCATCACGGCCAGCTCAAGCGACCTTTTCTCCGCGTCGGAGGCATATTTGTTCAGCGAGACCCGGTACATAGCCGATCGCGCCATGATGACCTGAAAACAGGCCGGAGTGGTCAAGGCGATGGAGAAGTTGCTGGCCACCGGGTGGGGCCGGAGCCGCGGACTGAACCCATACGTCGCTTTGGGGTAGTAGAGCAAGTAGAAGCTGATGAGGTGCTCCTGGAAGCGGTCGAGGTTGACGGGCAAAGCGGCAAACGGGTCCAGGCGGTCTGAGAAGGGTTGGACGCTGTGGCGCACGATGGCCAGCAGCTTCTCCTCACGCGTCAGGTCCTTGAAGCGTTTGGGTTGAGGCTTTTCCTCCTCCTTGTTTGGTCCATCTTGAAGCTCGCCCGGCAGAGCGGCCGCCGGCTTGGGTTCGATGGGCACCAGTTCCCTCTTCACCCGCGCAAGAGATCTGCTAGTGGAGGACGCCATCGGGGTCCAGCACCATTTTGGTCCCGAAGAGAGAAAATCGATTCGTGTCTACCTAATAATACTGCCTGCCTAAGCAATAAGGAGCAGAGAAATCGTGAGGCGAGTCAGGGACGCGAAGTCGCGGCCAAGGCTCCTGCAAGATGCCCGAAAGGGCACAAGGTTGGTTCGTCTAACAAGCGAAATCAGCAGAGGGTGAGATAGGCGTACCTCCTTTTAGTAGTTAGTAGTAGCAGGAGGAGGAGAGATATCCGCTTCGCCAGGATTGTCACTCAGTGCGACCTCCATGGTTCCACGGCTGACTCTTTGAGGACGTCTTCAGATAACCCCGTATGCATATATATATATACATTATATATGCCCCGAACTGTGCTTCGTTCATTACCATTTTCGTTCGGGAAAGGGAGCGCCGCCGCTTTACTCGGGCACGTGACGGATGTCCGGCCGAGTACGGGAGAGCGCACTTGGGCAACGGGGGGAGCCATCCGTCAGTACGCTTAGCGTGGACAATATCCTCTGGGTCGAATTTTATTGGGCGGTGCGGTAAGTTCTTATTGACTCGGTATTCTCCATCTGCGAGAGTTCTGGTCTCATACTGTAAGTCTCAAGCGCTTTCTCCACATTCCCAACCCATGAAGATGTCGCGTAGACACTCTGGGATGCAATTCTGTGTCGATTTGGACGTCGTAATAGACTCTTGCATCTCTGTTTCCGTGCCTTGAGCAATACGCTCTCGGTACTCTCCGTCAACAGCCAACTTCTCTGATGTTTCTTCTTGTGCTTCGTCATAATCTTCCCCATCTCCGTCGCAGCAACTCATCCTATCATCTTCATCGGTGTCATGCGGTTCAAGCTCTTCGAGATCCGTCACAGAATGGGATGTATCGGTTAATGGCTGGGCACGTTGGCGGGCAGCGTAGCGGTTGCGTATTCCTATACAATTCAGATCGACGATTATCTCATGATTCTCACGCAGATGTTCTATAATGCCGGTTTTCGTGTATGGTGCGATGAGGGTGCCACACTCCGGGCAGGAATTCTCGGCTGACTGAAATGCGCTGTTCCTGCCTCTGGTCCAGAATGCGGCCCGTGGGATGTCACGCGCAGAGGGGTCACTTTCTTGATATCGTGCGCGTGAATAGAGGGCGAATGCTCTGGATGCTCGAGTTGGTTCTTCCTGTCGTCCGTGCTCCCGAAGGATATGAGAGCGGACTTTATCTTTCGCTTCATCAATGTAGCCACAATCCTTGCAGCCGAAGCCTGTTTTCATGTTATGCCGCGTCTCGCAATGTAGGGGAAGGTTATTTAAAACAAAACTCTCCTTGCAGCCATACCAGGCGCAAGGCACATATATAGGAGGCATCGTGGATTGACCGATTTGATTCGACCTGGGATTTGAAATTCTCGGTTCATGCAACAATCGAAAAGGGGTCGAATGTTCGCAAGTGTTTGTGCGCATCCAGCCTCCTACGGTTACTGTACCATTCACTGCCTAGTTAGATTCACTGTCCCAGGCAGTTGCCTTCTTATGTGACCGCCGAGCGTACAGGTAAGGCTGCGGAGCCTCTGTTGCTCAGTCCTAGCTTCTTCCTTAAATACCATCATTCTTATCAGATTTGCCAGATTCTAATGATTATGAGGCCAAGGCGTAACTTCCAGCTCTCGTCAACTAGATGTACCTTACAGCAGTGGTCGCATTTGTTATTTGCTACTTCTTGCCGTTGCCGTTGACGTCCGTCATGCCGCTAGATTCTTTCTCAGCCACCTTAGCCTTGAGGGTCTCACCCGCGTGCGGTGGTCACGTAAAGGGATACCGTAGACTAATACGATCACAAATTGAGTTTGGTATACTCATGCATTGTAGAGGGTGGAGACTATTGTAGAAAACAAACACTACGAAGCATTGATGAAAGATGCTGGCGCCTGACAAGATCAAAAAAGAACGAAGCGGTTTGTCCTGAGGCTTGTCATCATCGGCCAGAATGGAGATCGAACTTCAAACAAAACGTCAAAAAATTAAGAAATCTCCCCCGGGTGGGCTCGAACCACCAACCTCCTGATTAACAGTCAGACGCGTCTAGCCAATCTAGAACTATGTTAGTGAAAACCTTTGCAAGCCAGCTTTTGCAAGGAACAACGTACTGCGCCACAGGGGAATGTTCCCTTGTAATTGTTGGTAAATATTCTGAGAAAATATATATATTCTTGGTTCTAAAAGTTTACTCTTCCGGGCTTCCGGGCTTCCTTCTTGGCATACTACTACCTAATGTAATGCCAGCATAATGATCCGACATCTCTAGAATACGCATGTGGATGTTCTCCAATCCAAATTCTCGTCCTGCGTAAATGCCTTCGTCGACATCTTTCCGTACTCTACGACACATTCTTTGCTTGAGCATATTCCAACAGGCTTCTCTGGTGTAAAAGACCAGGCGATTACAGAGGATGAGCCAGGCAGTCGTTACCTTGGGTGACGATTGGTTGCTCGCCCGCCCTGAGTCTCTCTAAACTGAGTACTTCCTTGGTTGACCCTATCACACGAAGAAAGTTGTCGTTGCTACGTACAGTAGGAGCATCATAAGGTGGCGCATTGTGAGCAGTGTGGGCAGATTAGAAGAGGAGCTGGAATGAGATTCCCAGCACCCAAATAGATCCCATCGTTTAAAGTCGACTAAAGTTGATGTTTTGAATGAAGAGGAACTTCAAGGCTCCGGGAGGCTCCAGGAGCATCAGAGGGAGAAGGGGCTCGGTGATGCTGTCAAAAAGATAATTCTCCGTGGGTTAAATATCGCCGTCGCTGCAAGTGGGATATCAATGACCGTCATGAGGAATGGGGCGGAGGATCAAACAAATGAGACCCCAAGAGGGATGTAAATAGGAAGAATCGATATCAGAGCTTTTCGACCCTAGGGTGGCTTCCTACGATAATTAGGATAGTTAAACCCACTAAAGTACCTACGGCGTTTTACCTTATCACTTCTCTTCTTCCCTTAGCACGTTCGACCTGCTAGAATATCGTCGTACGGATGGGAAATAGGTTTAGGTATGTCTTTCCCTTTATATATCCACATCTAAAGGTCCCCTCGATTGGTTCTTCAACTGTGCATATTTCTAGCTCGTATGTATTTCTCTAGTGAAATTAGCGAAGTGATATTGCCGGTGTAACTTATAGATTTTACCTAATTCTATTCTGGATGCATAGAGTTGAGCTTTGACTGTCGCGAAGTGTTTATTACAAGCAGCTAGCCTTCACTTACCGGAAAGTGGACCTTAAAGTATATTATCTGCAGAAACGAAAAACCACGTATATTAATTTCGACCAGTGGGAGGAAACAGGAAATGAGTGCAGAAATTGCGGAATCACGTAGGCGCAGAGGCACATCACATCCATGCATGTAAGCAGTTGCAAGGTGAAAGACCCGGATTACTCGAGAACGAATAAGGCACCGGGGACAACGGATCATGCAGTCCAGTCACATACATAATACCAAGGCTGCATCCGTCTTGGCTCTACTGCGGCAAGTTTATCACATTTTGCCGCAAATCCAATAGATGCCCAATTGTCACCAGGCGCCGCTGCGGCCTGGATGGTGCAAAGTACAAAAGTAGGGCTCACGGACGAAAATGGCGGTTCGGAAACTTATCCAGAATTCTCGAGGATATAGTGGAAGTAGACTCTACTCATTCATCCTCATTCCACCGTTTGCACAAACGACACTCCCCGTACACCACGCCGCGTCCGCCGTGCACAACATCCCCACCACGCCGGCGACCTCACTCGCATACGCCGGCCTCCTCCCTCCCATCTTCTCCCTAACCAACTTCAAAAAGACCGCATTGTCAGCATCTTCATCACCACAAGGATCCTCAACCTTGCTTAAGGGCGTATGATCCTGCCACCCCTGAAGATCCCTCCAAAATCCTTCCCCAGCAGCCTCATACATGACTCCTTTTACTGGGCCTGGGTTCACTGCGTTCACCGTACATCGGTCGGCCAACTCCCTCGCCCAAGTTCTTGTCATCGCCTCTAATGCGGCTTTCGTTCCGCCGTATACCGTCTGGTTCGGAAATCCTAGGCTTGAGCCTACGGACGATACGTTGACGATTCGGCCGGACCGATCTTTCGGTAAGTAGGGTAGAAGGGTTTGAAGTAGAATCAGTGGGGCAAGAACATTGATGGTGTAGTGGCGGGTGAATTCGTCTGTGGTCACATCGGGGAGGGCTTGGTTAAACGCAACTCCGGCGTTGTTAACAATGATGTCAATTTGTAGAGTTGCGGTAGTGGTAGTATCCTCTGGAGAAAAGGCGGTGGTCGAGGAGGAAGGCGAAGAGGAGAAATATTGTTTTGCGGCGACAAGGATCTTCTCCGAGGCAGGCTTAGGGTCGCTGAGGTTCGCTTGGACGGGGTAGCACTTGATGCTGTGAGTGGCGGAGAGGGTGGCACAGAGCTGCATGGTTGGCGCGGTTGAGCTGTCTGAAGTATAAACAAGAAGAAGGTTGCAGCCTTTGCTGGCGAGGTTGTTGGCTATAGCCTCTCCAATTCCTGTTCGGGACGGTATTGTGAGTGGGAGGACGCGAATCTCGCAAATCGAGAACAAGATATCTTACCTCTCGAGCCGCCAGTCACAACGCCGAACTTGCCCTCAAGCAGTCTAGCCATTACGGAGAACTGTGCTTGTGGTAGAACGTAACGTATATTGACTCATACAAGAAGGAAACAAGTCCCAGGGTAGGTATGAAGAAGAGAAAATGTGAAAATGGAGAACGCAAGATGTCTAGCTGTTATATAGGGCAATATCGGAGGCCATAGCTTCGTCGAATATCAACTTGTCAACTAAATGATCTACCACCAACCAACCAATGAACTTGCTGACTGATCGCCAGGATCTTGACCAGAAAAGGAAATTCACGTTTTGTCCCTCGCGCCAGTTGGCCTTCAAACGTGTTCTCAGACGCTTAATGGCATGTCTTTTCGACCGACCATCCCGTCAAATTCAATTGGATGGACTGCTCGGGTAGCTTGCATAGGTCGCAAGGTGGTGTTGATTACCGTGGCTATACATTTTGTTATTGATCAGAGTTAACAGTCATATTAATTAACGAGTACTAAATCAGTCCCCTCGGTCCCTCGTGCGGTCATGAAAGAGAACTAAGAAGTTCTTGGATACCTGGGGTGACTCCTCCTGTGTTGGCGTGCGGCGTCGGCGGCCCGCCGCAGCCGCCACTTTTATTGAACGGAGTTCCCTAAAGGGAAACCCGGAACTGAGCATTTCAGGTGCACCACCTTCATAAGGATGGCACGCCAGCCCGGCTTCTCTTTAATAGGCAGTAGCGCGGCACGTACAAGTTTCAGGCTGGGGGGCGTATATAACACTTCTCAATTTCCAACCCAATCGACAACGACTCTTGCTAGAACTATACGGGGACTTGAACTGAGCCAGTCAATCCCGGCTGTCTAGGAATCCCGAGCTCTCATGCTTGGGCATGCCGGTGCATGAGTCAGGGCTAATGTCATGAATGACAGGAGTGTTATCCTTATCTACTATAGTGCCTAGAATCTCTCAATAATTGATAGGATTCTCTGTCTTTTTGCCTATGGCAGGGAATTGAGGCACTATTCCTGACATTTTAATATATATTATTACGTATATACCTATTAAGATCTCTCCTACCGCCGACTAAGTTAATACCTTTAGCCTTTTAGCCTCGCCCTAGTTTAATATAGCGTGTATTCAACTAGAATATTATTCTTCCGAATAAAAACGAGTTATCACGATCGTTATCAAGAAATCGAGAAAGAAAAATTATACGTCGTTAAAAGTCTATCGACCGATTGCACTTCTAAATATCTGCGAAAAGCTGCTAGAACTAATAATAGCTCGAAGACTCTCGTAACTCGTCAAAACTAACAATCTTCTCTCAGAATCACAGATAAACGCACGCGAAAAGAGATCTACGAACCTAATACTACGATTTCTAACAGAACAAATACACACAGTCTAAAACAAGTTAGAAAAATCACAAGTAGCTACGATACTTTGTAAAGATCTATTAGAAGTATTCAATAATGTTAATCATCAGAAAGTAATCAAAGCTCTTCGTCAAAGAGATATTTCACGAACACTTACGAACTGAGTCGAGAGCTTTCTAGTAGACAGAACTACTACTATTAAAACAGCAGAATAAGAGTCGCAAACGTTCGCAATCTCAACGAACATTTCGCAAGAATCATCAATATTATCAGTTCTCTTTCTCTTCTTTATTGCGAATCTAATGCATACGATTAATGACGAAAAGTAAAGAGTCTCTACAATAGATTTCGTGAACGACATCAACATCATCTACGAATACGGCACGGAGCTCAACTGCAAGATTCTCGAAGAAACGCATCGTAAATGTCAATAATAAGCCGCACAAAGCGAAGCAAAATTTGCTCCGAAAAAGTACGAACTTATACACTTTACGAGAGCAAGAAGACATAACATCAAAGCCACGATAAACATCAATCAGCTACGACTAAAATCGAAAGAACACGTTCTAATTCTGAGAGTATAAGTCGATAGAAAGCTCAACTGAAGACCACATCTACGAACGATTACGAACAAGACAAAGACTCTACTAGTCGCTCTAAGTCGTATCAAGACGTCAACTTGAGAAGAAAGAGTTCACCGCGTAAAACAAATATATCAAACAACGATTCGACTCACGATTACATACGACGCAACTACGTGATTTCAATCGAAAGAGATCGAAAAAGATCGCAAATGAATGTATAAACTTCTAAACAAAATTTAAGAACAATTCTTGAGAAAGATCGTCGACGTATATAAAGCATCGAATCGAATCATTCTCGAAAAGAAATTCGAGATACAATCAATCACGAGCTATCTCACATACCTCATAGTCAAGACATTCAATAAGAAGAAAGACCACGAAATAGATCGACTAATCACGAACTTATGCGACTCAATAGTAGCGAACGCAAGAGCAATTGAAAGAAAGCGTCTTACTTTATATTAAGAACTAAAACAATAGATAATCAAGAAGAAACTCGATCAGACCTCGCAACAGAACGCAACCGAGAACAATCAATTGCATAATCAGAATAGAAAACTAAACGAATATTTACGCAAGCGCGACAGTCAGAAATGAAAAATTTACGTTCACAGACAAACAACACGCAATCGATCGTATTCAGGGGTAATGAACAAGACAGATAAAGAAAGACTCAAGAGATACGAAAAGTTGACAGCAGCGAAAGCGACAGTTTACATTCAAATACGAACAGAAACGATCGGTCTTAACAGCTTTCTAAAAGACGAAAAAGTCTCAAATATCACCACCGAGTGTCTCTGCGAATGAAGACAACAAACTGCGAAGCATATCGTCATGTTCTGCTCTAAACAACAGAAACAAAGACAGTTACTAAGAGCTACGACAAGATTCAGCAGATACAGCCAACTCACGAACGATAAGGAAACTGCTAAGATTGTGACAAGATGATTCATAGAACTCAACATTCTAAACCAATTCAAAGAAGTATAACTCAAAGAATAGAAGACGTAACGGACCATATCCGCGACGAGATGATAGTAAGCACTCGAAATACAAAGACACTCGAGACGAAGAGAATAGTAGCTTTTCCCTATAACTAATAAAGAAGTTACATACTATTTCTCATCTTCTCCCTCCTCGCCAGCGCCCGTCGGTTTATCTCTTCCGCCTGCTCGTACTTCCCTTGACCCTGTAGTACTAACGCTAGATTGCTCATACTCGTCAACGTAGCAGGATGATCCACGCCCAGCATCTTCTCCCTCATCGCCAGCGCCCGTCGGTTTATCTCTTCCGCCTGCTCGTACTTCCCTTGATCCTGTAGTACTAACGCTAGATTGCTCATACTCGTCAACGTAGCAGGATGATCCACGCCCAGCATCTTCTCCCTCATCGCCAGCGCCCGTCGGTTTATCTCTTCCGCCTGCTCGTACTTCCCTTGATCCTGTAGTACTAACGCTAGATTGCTCATACTCGTCAACGTAGCAGGATGATCCACGCCCAGCATCTTCTCACTCATCGCCAGCGCCCGTCGGTTTATCTCTTCCGCCTGCTCGTACTTCCCTTGATCCTGTAGTACTAACGCTAGATTGTTCATACTCGTCAACGTAGCAGGATGATCTGCGCCCAGCGCCTTCTCGTTCCCGGCCAGCGCCCGAATATACATCTTCTCCGCCTCGGCCAGCTTACCTTGGTCGGCGTAGAGTCGGCCTAGGTTGCTGACCGTATCGAGTGTCGATATGTAGTCCGGTCCAAGTGTCTTCTCGTTCCCGACCAGCGCCCGAATATACATCTTCTCCGCCTCGGCCAGCTTACCTTGGTCGGCATAGAGTCGGCCTAGGTTGCTGACCGTATCGAGTGTCGATGTGTGGTCCGGTCCAAGTGTCTTCTCGTTCCCGGCCAGCGCCCGAATATACATCTTCTCCGCCTCGGCCAGCTTACCTTGGTCGGCGTAGAGTCGGCCTAGGTTGCTGACCGTATCGAGTGTCGATATGTGGTCCGGTCCAAGTGTCTTCTCGTTCCCGACCAGCGCCCGAATACACATCTTCTCCGCCTCGGCCAGCTTACCTTGGTCGGCATAGAGTCTGCCCAGGTTGTTGACCGTATCGAGTGTCGATATGTGGTCCGGTCCAAGTGTCTTCTCGTTCCCGACCAGCGCCCGAATATACATCTTCTCCGCCTCGGCCAGCTTACCTTGGTCGGCATAGAGTCTGCCTAGGTTGTTGACCGTATCGAGTGTCGATGTGTGGTCCGGTCCAAGTGCCTTCTCGTTCCCGACCAGCGCCCGAATGTACATCGCCTCAATGCTCTCTTTGTCGGGGACGCTCTCGTCGTCGTCAGCGATGGTCGCCTCGGCGAGGGCGGAGTCCATTTCTTGAGCAGATAGGGGAGGGTTAGCCTGGGTACGGCTCGAATACGTGCTACTAGAAGCTATAGATAACTGCCGCGTGCTAGCCGAATGGCCGGCTTGAGAAGAAGCCCCGCGACTGCTGGCATCGTCTTCGAAATAGTCGATTTCGGCGCGGTCGAAATAATCGGCCACGATGGGGTCCGCTCCGTCTTCATTATCCATGGCCTGATAGTCGTCCCAATCAAGGTCGCGGATCGTTGCCCTTTGTTCGGGAGTAAGGCTCTCTTCTTCTGGATGAGGTTCTTCGACCCATTCTAGAATCCTGGTGTGGCTGAACATTCGCATCTCTGTGGCGTCTTCGTCGTCATTTGGGTCGAGTACTGGAGCGATGTCGTTGAAGGTGCGGATTGGTTTATTTAGGCCTGTCTGGGGTATTGTTCGCCAGGGGAGAGCATACATGGAAAAGTCGTAGATGTGTCCGAGGACGTGCTCGATGAGCTCAGGAGAGTCGGTGGGACCATGGTCGTTGCACAGCGGGCAGTTGGTTATGCCAAAGGTTCGAAAGGTTGACTTGGCCGTTATGCGTTCAAAGGTTTCATCAGAGACCTGGCTTTCATGCTTTTCGTCAAGGTGAGCCATGAATGACGGCAGAGATTGAAAGACGGGACGGGTTCCTGTGCAACAGGAACATCTCCACTTTGGCGGGTGGTCGCATAGAACGTGCTCTCTCCATTCGTTTCGTGTGACGTAGAATCGATACGGCGTAGGGCAGTTTTCTACGATGCAGGTGTACGGGCTGATGTCATTCTTCATGTGTTTCCTGCGCGGGTGTGAGGCGAAGCGATTTCAAGGGCCAGGATACTTACGCCCATAGATCTGGATCCTCAGCTTCCTCTAGTGGTAGGGCCTGGCAGCAACAAGGACACAGCAGTATCTTTCGTTGCGTCTGTGATTTCTTTGCCTTTGGAAAGCGAGCAAATCTGGTGATGCTGCTGATCCGCGTCATTGTAGACTTCGCTGGTCGGGCATATCGGCCCTCGAGTCCTTGGTATTCACTCCCAAACGCCGAGGCTGACAACCCAGCGGTAGTGCGTGTCTCGCCTTGATCGTTGGCCTCATTTCTTTGTTTTGCGTTGGCGGTATTGATTCGCGGCGCGGGGGTATTCGTTGGCTCTGCCGCCGAATCAGGTGTAGTGACTTCTGGAATGACATGCATTGGCATGTTTTGGACAGCTCGTGAGGCTCTGAGGACGTCGGAGTGGCGTTGGGCATATCGGAATCGGTGCCAACGTCGTAGATTGGCCTCCACCAGCCGATTCTGTATTCCTTGGAGCTCTATGCTGTGAAAATCTTTTGAATAGTCTTTCGACTTGGCGGATTCAGTCGGTCTGGACTTCATGATGCAGATAAGATGTGCTCGCAACTGGTCACACTGCCGCTTGTCTTTCCCGGCCCTGTCGCGCTCAAAGGACATGTCGGCCTTTTGCAGCCGCGATTTCGTTCCGGACCGCCGAATTGCAGAGCCAATCCACGCCAAATTGTCCATCATCTCATCAATGCCCTGCTCGGCCTCTTCGATCTCGTCCTCGTCGCCATCCTCGATGGCCGCCGTCTTGTAGCCCTCCAGAAACTGCTCAAGCATGTCCAGCAGGCTGGTGACGAGAAATATATCCCTTAACCGCCCGCTGAGCCGCCAGTCCAGCGACGCCTTTCCATGAGCCAGGGCGCCCACGCTGTCGGCCCAAAGCTTCAGGTCCGCAAACCGGACCTCGAGGTGGGTTCTGTGCTCGCCATCTAGTGCGGCAATACACGACCGGAAGCGCGCGAAACACGCGCGGGTCGCGTTGCCGGCCAGCTCATCAACCTGCTCGGCCTTGTCCTGCTGCGTCGGCTCCATCGCGATGTATTGTGACTTATCTGAGCGTTCAGGGTGTTCGACTCACTTTTGCGCACCTCTCTCGATACCAGCGGAACATGGAATTCAAGCTGAATTAAAGCACGGGCCTTTTCCGGAGCGACTACCAGGTTCGTTTATCTTTCACACCACATATTGCCTATAAACGGCTTAGTGGTAGAGATGATTCAGCTACCTAAAGTCTCTGCTACTCGGCCGGTAAGGGAGGTCGAATGATTCTTGGCGGGGGCGTACAGCGGCTCTTGCAGGAGCTGAAAGCGTCGACATCCATGGCTGGACGCCACAATTGCAAGCGCCGGAGCCCCTCGTGGCAGGCGGCCCAAACACACGAAACAACCCAGCTCACTGCCGCAGAAGCCTCTTCTCTTCTAAAGTTACGACCATCTAAATGAGTATCGCCCGGCAGAGAAGCAATGAGTCCACCATGGCTTCGTCCGGCGAAGCGTCAGAGCTCTTCAGCTCGGATCTGCTGGTCGAAGTCGCCCCGCTGGCCTGCAAGGAGATCCTAAACTGCGCCAGCAAGAAGAAGCCGCTGCCGTCGGTGTTAGGCTCGCGGATTGGCACTGCGCTGCACCTCATTGCGAGGCACTTGGAGGTAACGCAGCCATTCCTGCTCCCTGCCACGGCCCAGGACCTCTCGCGCCGGGCTCTGCAGGATTTTCTGAAAATTTGCAAGGTGAGGAGCATTCCGGCTCAGCCTGCTACATAGTGCATCGTTCCAATTGCTAACTGTCAAACCCGTAGTGGCCAGCAAAGTCGGCCGCAATCAAGGCGGAGGACTATGAAGAGTTTAATAACTGGCTGCCGTTTCCAAGTTCTCGCAGCATCTACGACGAACTAAACATACTATTCTCGTCGCGGCCGGTGATGATGCGCGCCGGCATCAAGAATTTCCTGGCCGCGAAACAGACCGACGTGGAATTCTACGCCAACCGCTTCCAGGAGCTCCTCGACCTGCTAGAGCCAGACAACCGAAAGCTCGACGGCGTAGGCCAGAGCAGCTTGCACGGCAGACATCTCAAGCCGCACGACGAATATGTCTACCCGGACGACATCCGTGAGAATTTAATTACGGCACTGAAGGAGCATGCGACGTGTGTGTCCTCGGTGCATAAGTCAGAAGCACCGGTGGGCATGAATCCTCGCCATCCCACCAGATTGTGTCTCAGCACCGAGGGACGAAATGTGAAACAGCTTGTCGAGTTCGATCTCGTCATGGCTTTTATGAATTTCGAGTTCTGGCAGGACTTCTCGCTAAGCGTTGCATTGTGAGTCTGTCTGCAGCATATCCAGACAAACTGTGTGATTTAGAGCTGATTGCTCTCATAGAAAACCCGACGAAAGGTCCAAGATGTCATCTGGTGCCATGGCTTCAGTCGAACTACCAGACGATACAGACCGCCAAATCATCATCATGAAAGTCGGAGACGTCTGCCGCATCCTCGAGCGCGAACGCAAGTCGCGCTCCGGCCTTAAGCTCCTCCTCGAGCTGGACCACAACTGTCACCTGCACAAGCACCGGATCGCGCACACGCTCCCGTACGCCAAGCCGCAGGGCAAGGGCCTCTCGCTCGCCGAACTCCTCGACTTGGGCCATTACGACCTCACCCCAAAGGACAGGATCATGCTGTCATTTGCCGTCGCGCGCAGCTTCTGGGAGTTCTACGGGAGCGAGCTGACGACGGCGCGGTGGTGCAGTGAGGACATCTGGCTCATGCCACGGTGTAAGAAGGACCAGACGAGCAGCGATAACTTGGAGCTCAAGGCGTTTGTGAACTTTCCGTTTGGGCAGGACCCGCCGGGGCCGGATGAGTTTCTGGAGGTGGATGATTTGACACACAGTTATCCGCGGATTCTGTCACTGGGTATCATCCTGCTTGAGATTGGGCGCGGCGAGAAGCTGGGATTACTACCGCTGACTGCTAACGAGAATCTTGGGGAACTGCGTGATAGTGTGAATGATGCCCACTCGGACGCAAGCAGTCAACTAGCGGCGCTCAATAACGAAGTCTGGGAAATGTGCAAGTACAAGAAAGCCTTCGACACTGCGGTTTCAAACTGCCTGGACCCCAGCAAGTTCATCGAAAGCCCCAGTACCCGCAAACGGCGAAGCAGGCTAACTCCAGAAGAGTACGAGAAGCTCTCACCGCAGCGGAAAGCAGCCGAGGACCAGAAGCGGACAGAGTACCAGAAGCGCGCCATGCAGGACCGCCGAGAGGCCATCTACCACAACGTCGTGTCGCCACTCTACTGGCTTGCTAAGGTCGGCAACGGCGACGGAAAAGATGACATGTTCATCAGACCCCGCAAGGGGCAGCACGCCAAGAGGCGCCGCCAGTCCACCTTTTCAGACAACCCAGACAAAGCTGAGATCCAGGAGCTCTGGAAACGCGTCCAGACCCCGAACTTCGACAGCGATCGGCGAGTGGAAGGAAGTGCTGAAAGGTGGTTCGAGGACATCCGGGCCATCTCCAACTTGGTATTTCATCGGAGACGTATATTAGATGTCAGAATGGGGATCAAGTTGCCCCCGGTTCGGATTGCCATTCTCGACACGGGCTGCGACTTAACCTTGAAATCTTTCCAGGCGGCAAAGTGCTTCAAGGGGTGGCGCGACTTTGCGGTAGAACCGCCGTCTGAGACTGGGGTGGATGAATATGGGCATGGGACGTTCATGGCGCGGCTTGTGATGCAGATGGTGCCAGGCTGCGAGCTCTACATTGCGCGCGTTGCGCAGACGGGGCAGCAGCTGGAGCGCAATGAGGAGGGCGTCGCAAAGGTGAGTAACCTTCATTCGATCCATACGCCCTCTGCTTTGTTAAGTAGTATTTACAGGCTATAAGACACGCGGGCAAGGAGTGGGAAGTCGACGTTATCTCCATGTCCTTCGGCTTCCCCAAATTCAGCCAGTCCATTAGCGACGCCATCCACGACGTGAAAAAAGCCCGCGAGGGCGCCATCGTCTTCCTCGCCAGCGCAGGCAACGACGTCGATCGCGCCGAGGCCTACCCGGCCTGCGACCCCTCAGTCATCTCCATGTACGCCGCCGAAAGCACCGGCGCCTTCCTCAAGACCAACCCCATCCCCTCGGAGGAATCGCGGCGCTTGCTGGGCACGTACGGCGACAACGTCCCCGACGCTGTCCTGGCGGAGCTGCGCGCGCGGTTTGCGCAGCGTGACTTTAGTGCCGGGACGTCGGTTGCGACGGCGGTGGCGGCGGGCGTCATGGGCCTGATGCTGGCGTACGCGGCGCTGGTGCCACATGTGCTGCGCGGGTGCGGCGCCGAGGGCGTGTACAGCGACCTGAAGACGACTGACGGCATGAGACATATGCTTTTTGGCATGGCGAAGTCGTGGAATGCGCTGCAGTATTTCATCAATCCGATTCTGTTCTGGTCGTACAAGTCGGATGATTCGAGCATGTATCGGGGGATGTGTAGGGCTTTACCGCAGAAGGAGGTGATGAGATAGATACAGTCACAGGTCAGAAGTCTGTGCGCACCTCGTCATTTTCACGCTTTCGTGTCGCGTCTCCCAGAGATAACCTTCTTTAAAGCCAACGCCATGAACCGGCAACGGGCCCCTCTGGCCCCAATCTCTGGAAATAGAGGTCCTGGAGATGAGTTGACCCTATTTCAGAGAGGAATTATTCATAGCTAGAAGCTTGTAGGCCGTTCTGGCCGTGCCATCGCAGTCCTTATCAAATGCTCTGAATCTGCCGTCAGACGCACCATCTTGAAAGCTACAGAAGGTGATGACGGCAGATCCGTAACCAGATCCGGCCGACCGAAGTCTTATTTGAAACGAGAAGAACGCAAAATCCTTCGCATTGTTCGAGCCAACCCTAAGTTGACCTATACCTAACTTAAAGCAGCGGCTGGGATCGATTTTTCGAAGACCACACTACAACGCCTTTTGAGTGTCTATGACATCACCAAATGGAGAGCAGCAAAGCGGCCATTGTTGAAACAAGAACATGCAGATGCAAGGCTGAACTGGGCAAAAGAACATATTAATTGAGACTTGGACAAGTGGAAATATGTCATCTAGAGTGATGAGTGTTCTGTAGTACGCAGTTCAGGCAAAGAGCGTAAGTGGGTCTTCAGAACGCCGTCGCATAAGTGGGACAAAGAAATGATTAAGCAGACTCCTAAAGGGAAGGGAGTTTCTGCAGTGGTTTGGGCAGCCTTTTCAGGAGCAGGAGGGAGGTCAGAACTTGCTATCTTTGAGCGAGATTTTCAGTCAAAGAAGCATGGATACTCCGCTGCTAGCTACATATCAGTTCTGGAGGAAGTAATCCCAACTCTTTGGGAACCTAACTTTCTCTTCATGCAGGACAACGCTCCAATCCATAAGGTCAAGAAGACGATGAAATGGTTCCGAGATCAGGGCATTCCAGTCGTTGAATGGTCACCCTACTCTCCAGACATGAGTCCCATCGAACAGATCTGGTTTCAGCTCAACAGTCTTGTCTATGAGGTCAATCCAGACATTGACGATTTATCCGGAGGCGAGGACAAGGCTAGGGAAGAGTTAGGCAAATCTTTAAAGGAGGCCTGGGAGCGAATACCACAGAACTTGATGCTCCTGATCTTATCCCGCACTCCTGAGCGTATGAGCATGCCAGCATCGTTCTCGCTACCCTCGAACGGCCCGCAAAGCGAAGATATCATCCCGTCTGGTGTAATAATAGCCTGGTACTTCATACCATGGCTATCATAGTGGCCTGGGTAGAAGTACTTCTGCTTAGTTACCTCTGGCCGACAAAACCCCACGAAAGTACCATCGATAAACCCCTAGACCTTTCCTTTCCCAGCTTTTCTATAACCTATAGCAGATACCGCTTTCGAAAACTCTCGAATCGTGTGGTAATTATTCAAAGCTGGCCGCTACGCGAGCAGTTCTCGGTATCTCTTCTCAAGATGCATCACCACATCGTTGAAAACCCGGCATAACCACCCTATAGAACGACCAAATATATCCGCCTCCTGCAGCTTATTTGGCCATGACATACGGTGGAGAAACAGGCAGAACGCGAGTACAGGATCTGGTTGATTGCGATGCTTCCATTCGATCGATTCGATGCCTAGAAGAGGGATGAGGCGGCGAATTTCCGCATGATCAAAGCTATAACAATACCATTAGCAGTGTGGCAAACACCCCAGGGCTTTATTTGTACCGAAATTTCATGCGCGCGTTGCATTCCGGCCGTTATCCAGCAGCCAGATGAAATGGGGGGCTTGGTGGCTGATCTGAGGCTTCCAAACGCGCTTGGGAGGCTTTGCTTGCTCAAGGAGCTCGATGGCGATGAGGAGAAGTAGGATCCCCATAAATAACACCAGGATTGATTGATTTCATGCTAATATACGGTCAAAACATCGATATCGAGGCCACATCAGGGGCATCAACAAGCGCCAAGAGATGCCACGGGTTAGCTATATTCCGGTGATACGCCACGAAAGCGCCATAACTCAGCTGCCTAAAGTCTCTACAAAGAACACCACGAACTTCGGCCAAAAAGAAAAATACGATTCCAAGGACTTCAAAATAATGCCAACTTGGTTCCTTCCCCCAGACTTCACCTTCGCCGCCGATGGCCCCCTCCAGCTCGGCACCGTCATCGCCCACCCCAAGAAACCCACACTGGTCCTCACCGACCTCAGCTCCCCAGACTCTGGCATAACGCTTCCAAAGACTAGCATCCTCACCGAAACCAACCACGTCCACGACAAATCGCACGCCCAGTCCAACGGCTTCAGCAGCTGGATGCAATTCTTCGCCGTCGCCTCCGCCTCGGTAAAGACCGACGTCGGCAGCAGCGCATCCCTCAGCTATGGCGCCGTCAACCATGAGATCCGCTCCTTCGCGGAGCCGCTGACCGCAGAGACGGCCCTGAAGATTGCGGCGCTGCCGGTCGTGCAGCAGCAGATGGCTAGCGGCGTGTTTGGCAAGCGCGCCGTGTACGTGGTTTCGGGGGTCAGGATTGCGAAGACGTCGTTCACGGTCAAGAAGGGGACGGGCGCGAACTACACGGTCGAGCTGTCCGGGTCCGGCCCGCCAATCCCCGGGCCCGTGCCCCTGGAACTGGGGGCGAGTGTGGCGCACCATCAGGAGAAGACGGTGACGGACTCGTATGAGACGGCACCGGGGATTGTGTTTGCGTACCGGGTGCATGTCATCCGGTGTAAGCGGGCGGGCGTGGAGACGGAGCTGTTCCAGAGCAAGGGAGCGTTCATGACGGGGTCTGGGAGGGCGGACGACGAGGAGCCGCCTGTTGTGGTGGAGGGTACTAAGGAAGAACTGGATGAAGATCTGGAAGAAGAGAATGATTACACGGAGACATCGATCGGAGATGATGACGTATGTATTAGCTTTTAGACCTATTCTCTCTTTCATTCACCATCACAGGTCGATTTGCGATAGATACATGGATCAGTTGACAGTGTCAAACGCGCTTGCGGTGTCACGGTTCTATACTAGCTACCTCCAGCCAACCCCCCTTTCCTCGTGTATATAACTCCGTCCATAGCGCTCTGCACTCGCTCCTCGTGCAACAACATAGTCAATATACTGCAGTTCACCTGAGACCTTGACATGCGGGAAGTTGACGTAATGAAATGACATCCTCAACTAGCATGTATATCCGAAAGATGCATAAAGAGCACATAGCGTTGTGATGAACAGGGCGTGAAGCGGTATTTCGAGCGATGGATCTTCTTTTAGACTGTTGTTCCGAGTTCTTGGAGCATTAGGCTGAGTCAGGACTCGCCCAATACCCAACGTTAGCAGGTGCTGTAAACGTTCGCAAACACTTTGCCATAAGGCTGAAGGCAGCTGCCCCTCCATGTATGAGCAGGTGAATATCACGAGCAGCTTTCCTGTTCGATTTGTACTGCGGCGTGGAGGCACTTTCAGAAGAGGTCTCGTTGCCGTTGGCGGGGCCTTGGTGGAAGGGGCAGGTTGCGCGGCACTCGACCTCAGAGGGTGAGTGACTGGGCCAAGCCAACTGCGTATCCTCGCTATAGGGTCTGGCTAAGTTGGGATAGATTAATGCCGCTTTTGCGTTACAGCGCTGCCACTACTATTGGGAGGTGATGATGATTGTCATGTACCGTAAAGATCGCACATGGAATCGGAATATGATTCCTCCGTAGATTACCTAGATAGGCTTAGTTATTAAGTGACTAGGCTATCTCGAAAGGGCGTCTACGTAGATAGGCGTTGAGAATTGTGCCTACGGTAAGAGATCAGTTCTACGTTGGCCTATAATTTATATAGGGTAGGGAGCTAGCGATCCCTTCAGGCTATCTACGCCTACTACCTGACGGTCGCTATAGCTACTACTATAGCGGTAGTAGCGAAGGCTACCGCCTCGTCCTTAATGTCTCCTTTAATGTCCATTTAGACGCGTGAGCCTCTCAGTAGGTAAAGTTGTATACAAGTCTATTCGCGCCTAAAAGATTACTTTGGATACCTAGGCACTAAGTGGCACGCGAAACACCTTACTAGAATAGGCGGCGCGAGGAGGTTTCGCGGAGGCTAGCCGCGGAGGTTGCAGTAGGGCCCTATTAGGTAGCGCTCCCTGTGGCTCGCCCAGTGCTCGGGCGTGCCTCCCCGGTCCTCGGGCGCGGTCCCCCGTACTCTGCCGTGGCTCCCTCGACGCTCTCCCGGGGTCAGCCGAGCCTCCTGAATGCTGCATCACGTGCCCGATTAAAGCGGCCTCGCTCCCTTTCCTGAACGAAAATGGTAAGGGATAAAGCATAGTCTGGGGTATATAATATATATATATATATATACATAGAAGTCACACAGATGGAGAAGGAGAAGTATTTTGCTGTTCCGCCTATGCATGCAGCTGAAAGGGGGGAAGTGGGAAATGCTGTTTCCCGCCCCAGCTAAATGACACTACCGAAGTATACTACACACTGTAATTGCTGTACGGAGTACATACGGAGTAAACCTGTATAGTCCCGACCTAGCCAGGAGACGTCCAGCCTTTCGAGATATCTCTATGTAAAGCTCGAGAGAATACCGACCGGACCATGGCCTGGCACAATGTGATTTGGCCATCACATACCACATCACATCACACCACACCAGGACAAACTGACTCGTGCTTCTTCTCGAGGGCTGGTGCATTCTACGACATCTATTCTATCTCTATAGCCCATCATTCCCTTCGCCTATGTAACTACGAAACAGGCCCTGATGGCAGGGAGCATGTCTCCCTCCATCCATCACAGCCGTGCCCTCTCCCCCCCGTCCCTCACCCTCAGCCCCCTATCCTTGCCTTCCTTGTCCTTGACCTTCAGGATCCGGCGCAGCAATTTGCCGGTTGGACTCTTGGGGACCTGCTGCGTGAACTCGATCTCGACGATCCACTTGTAGCGCACCTTGCGCTCCTTGACGAACTGCAGCAGCCGCCGGCCGACCTCGTCGCTCTCGCGCACGCCAGACTTCAGCACCACATACGCCTTGGGTCTCTCGCCCGAGTACTCGTCGGGGATGCCCAGCACCGCACAGTCCTCGACCTCCGGGTGGCCGAGCAGCAGATCCTCCAGCTCGGCCGGCGGCACCTGCAGGCCCTTGACCTTGATCATCTCCTTGATGCGGTCCTCGATGTGGATCAGGCCCTCGGTGTCGAAATGGCCCACGTCCCCCGTGTGGAAGAACCCGTCCTGGTCGAACGTCTCGGCCGTCGCCGCCGGGTTGTCCAGGTAGCCCATCGCGATCTGGGGTCCCCGCGCGAGAATCTCGCCCGTCTCCCCGGGCCCGAGTTCCTGGCCCGTCGTCAGGTCAATGACCTTGGCCACGGTGTTGGCGACCAACAGCCCTCCCGTGGTGGCGTACTTGTAGTCGTAATGCGAGGGCGGATGAGCCGAAATGCACGCCGTCGACTCCGTGGCCCCGTAGCCCTGGCGGAAGCCCGTCCAGGGGAACTTTTTCTGTAGCAGGGCGATGATTTCGGGCGAGATGGGCGCCGAGCCCGACGACCACCGGTTGACGTGGCTGAGGTCGTAGTTGTCGACGATCTTGTCGCGGACCAGGCGGATGATGATGGGCGGGACGAGAATCAGTTCTTGGATCTGGAATTCGCAGATGGCGCGGAGCATCGACTCCATGCTAAACGCCGGGAGCATCACACTGTCCCCGTTCATGAAGATCGGATACGTGCAGAACCTCACCAGGCCGGTGACTGAACTCATCCAGGGCCACGGTTAGCTTTCTCGCCATTTTTCTTCCCCGTGAATGTGGGACAAGACATACTGTGGAACAACGGCATCACGGCCAGGATCTTGTACGGCCCGGGGGCCTGGATCTGTCTGAGCTGGTGGCACTGTGCGATGACGTTGTGGTGCGAGAGCATAACCTGTGCGGCCTCTCCGGTCAGCCATCGCTCTACACCTCAAAACATGGGGGTTGGTACTGACCGCCTTGGGCAGCCCCGTCGTGCCGCTGCTGAAATTCAAATACCCACAGACGTCCTTATTCGTCTTGCCGCGTGGCACCCGGTACGGCGGATCGGGAGTGTACCTCTCGCCGCGCTTCATGAGATCCTGGATACTGATGCAGCCGTCCGCCTTGCCTTCGAGCAGGAAGACGTGGTGGCGTGGAATGCCTACATTGCGAGCCGCCGCCAACGCCACATCCAAGGACGTCGGCAACGTGACGAGGAACCGAGACTTTGCGATCTTCAGCGCGTAGGTCATCTCCTCGACGTTGTAGGCCGGAGACGCGCCGTTGACCCTTCCCCCTGCTCGGATGACGGCCCACATGGCCACCGGGTACCAGATGGTGTTGGTGCTGAACAGCGAAACTGTCTCGCCGGGCTGGAACGCATACTCCTTGACCAGTGCGGTGCTCAGCTGTGTGGCGGCGGTCTTGACGGCGGCCCAATCCAAGCGCTCCTTGGTGATGGCATTGACATATCCGGCCAGCGGCTGCCGGGGCGTTTTGTACAGTGGGGAGAACTCTTTCGTCTCAAAGACCCATTCCCACGTTGTGATGTCTTCCGGGACTGTGCCAATGCATGTCAGTCTTAGCCTTTGCCACGATCGGTGGGATGGGCTGGTTCCAGTGGTGACTTACTCTCGATCCGCGGATGAGGAGACTTGAAGAGCACCATGTTTCACACACCAGCGACTCGCGAGGCCAGCTCCCTACACCATGGATTATGGACCAGGACCAGAACCAGGATCAGGATCAGAAAGATCAAGAGAGCAAGGAGTTGTGTGACCGGCTATCTCGGCCATCATCGCTAGGCTATGGGCGACGCCAGCCAAATAATATCAAGTTGGATGCGGAGAACGGATGTGCAAATACTGCTGAAGACCTCGGCAAAGCTGCGGCTCAGACTGACCCGGGTCCCTTAATAGTAACGATTGAATTCTGCCGACACGCACATATTATATCCATAATTCTGTCCGTCGGCTCATCCTAGAAGTAGCTGCCGACGGACTGTGCTTCCTTTACTTCCCTTGAACCCCGCTGCCGGCTCGTGACCGGCCCAGTGCTGCAGAACCTCCCAATCATTACTAGAAACCGCGAGTCGATGGTCCTCCCTAGGCAGAGCCACCCATACCCAGCCGCTGTGCCCTGCCCAAAAACGTCCGGAGATCGCTTTTCGATAGGTCAGGCCAACTGCCTGGCCCGTCACCTTGTTTGGCATCATCAGCTAAACCCTCGCCGCTGAAAATCAATAACACCGTCATTCCCTCCTTGTACGTGAGGCCGCTCAATAATTTGGGCGTGATCAAAAAGTATTGACTGGCGCCGACCGTCGCAATGTCAACGATCCGGCCATGGACCATCCGCTCGTTTCGCGGGTCCATGCCTTGGTTGATCTCGTCGACCACCCGGAAGGGTGCTCGGCTGAGACTTTGTAGAGCCATCAAGTAAAAAATGGTGCTGACGGCTCTTTCACCGCCCGACTGTCGGTGGCTGTCGAGAAGACTCAGCGGCTCATTCTCGCGGAACTTGACGCTGACGTGAATGGCCCAATTGGCAAAGTCGAGTCCGTTGTCCATTCCGCCATTCTCCTCGGTGCAGTCCGCAGGATACTCAGATGATGCCTTGTGGACGGCAACCTGCCCAGCACACCCAATTCGCGCGAACGCGTCGGAGAAAGCGTCGTTGATCTTGGCCACGATTGCCTCTAGACGAGGTTCCCAGGCGCCTCGGATCTCTTGAATTGCACGTCTTTTATCCTCGCGGAGCCGGGTAGCTTCTTCGAGTTTGCTCTTCAACACCCCAATGTCTCTGGCTCGTTTCTCGAACTCGGCGATGGCGTCAACACTGCCCCCCTCAGTCAACTCCAGCTTGGCCGTCTCGGAGGCGATCTCTATGTTGAGGTTCTCTTCCGTATCTATGTTCTGCCTGACAAACAGGAGGAGTTCGAGGAGGCTCCGATCGCCATCCGCTTCAGCCCTCTGGCCTTCTGCCTTCAGTTGCTTGAGGAGCTCCCGACCACGCTGGACTCGATCGTGCGCCTGATTGAAAGTTTCCTCATGGGATTTCAACTCGGCCGTCATCTTAATCATGCCTTGGAGCATGTTCTTCTGGAGGCCTCTCAACTTCTCGAGGTCTGAATTGGCCTCCGCGTGGAAGAGCTTGGCTTCGTCTAAGCGCGTAATTTTCGATTTGACGTCCCTCAAGCCAGACGCAAACTCGAGGACCGCTTCGGCTGCGTCCCGAAGAGCGTTGTCGCGCCGAGCATTGAGCTGAGTCAACCGAGCCCTGACTCCACGCATCGCTTCTACCAGGTTGCGGATCCTCTCTTGGTGACTTTTGATCTTGGGGTCCAGAGCTCTCCATTCGGCAAGGGCCTGTTGTTTGGCGGCCTTTTCTTGCTGCTTAGCCTCGTACCTCCTCTGCAAGGACAACCGCTCGCCTTTGAGTTGCTCGACTTCGTTGTCAATGGCTTGAGCATCAGCTTTGAGCGAGTCAAGCTCGCCTTTCAGCTCGCGCATCTCTCGTTTCAAAGCTTCTTGTCCTCCTGCGTCCACCGGCTGCTCTGTCCACATTCGTGCTGGAAGGATGTCAGAGACTCTGGCAGACGTCCCCGCTTGACCGTACTCGGGACGTCGGGAGAATGAGTAGATCTTTTTCCCTGCAGCGTAACTTGATGCTACGTTTACCATCTCATCATGCTGTTGTTGACCAAGCTCTCTGGAGCTGATCGCACACTTGTGAAGGGACCGTTCAGCGGCGAGTTGAGCTAGGACGATAGTTGGACCCTGCAGATGGTCTAAAGCCCAGCCGCTCAATCCGAATCGCTTCATTTCTTCCCCTGTCAAGGGTGGATGGAACTCGTCCAGGCTGTCGCTGACGCATTCACGGAGACTGACATCGTGCAGCCCGAGGGTGCCGAACACCTGTCTCTGAAGTAGGTGATAATCAGCTTGGTTCTGGACTGTGATGAACTTGAAGTCGCTGGTGTGCATGAACGCCTCGACCACATCGGCCATGCGTGGGTCTTTGAGGGAGCATTCCACGAGCGGGGGCCCGTACACACGGGCGGAAAATTCATTGCGGTGTTCTTGAATCCACCTCCACACTTTCGAGGTGTCGCGTGAAAGCTTCTCTAGTTTCGCTGCCTGTTGACCGGCTTGCGTCTCGAGTCCTGCCAGCTGGTTCCTCTTCATGTGGAGGTCTCTGTTCGATCTGTCGACTCGGTCTGCTATGTCTGCCTTACGCGAGTCCAGCTCACTCCTTCGATCATCCAATGCCCGCAGATCTGTCCGGAGCTGCTGAATTTCCTGGTTCAAGGCCTGAGGATCGAATGCTTCTGGAATCTCTGCCTTCTTTTGCAGTAGGTCGTCTAGCTTCATCTGTTCCCGCTGTTGTTTGATCTTGTTTTCCGGGACGCTCCTCTTCTCGGCTTGGATTTCATTGTCGATTTCGTTCATGACCTCTCGTCTCTGCTCGATAACTCTCGATCTGCGCTCGCCCTCCTTGACAGCTGTCGCCAGTTCCTTTTCACAAGCTGCTTTGTAGGCCCGTGCCGTGGTCTCGTAGGCCTGTTGAGCATTGACACTTTCGGAGATAGGTTCTACCGCGGCCTCGAGACGCTTGATCTCGTCTTTCAACGCCGTTATCTTCTCCTTCTCTTCCTCACGGTTTTTCAAAGCTTCGGTTAAAAGAACCACAGGTCGAAGCTTCTCCAAGCCCGCAAGTCTCTTTTTGACCGTGGCCCTCTCCCTCATTCGTTCCACCTCCGAGATTTGCATTGCTTGTCTGCTCTCCAGATTTGCGAGGCGCTCTCGCATATCTCTGTCGTTTGTCATGGTTTCTTTCTGCTTGCTGCGGAGCTGCTTCAATTCCTCGTGCCAGGTGATCATTTGCGGTTCGGCCACGGCTCGCAGCGTGCTGGTGAGAAGATCGATGGGACTCAACTGGGCAAACTCGACAACCCTGTCCTGAGGGAGGAACTGGCACAGGTTGTCGATTTGAATGTCGAGTTTGCCCGCTAGTCCCTTTATCCGGGACGCTGTACAGGGCTCTCCGTTGAGAAAGAATTTGGATTGGCTTCCACCTCTTTCTATCACTCTTTTCACATAATAATTCTGGTGACTGCCATTTGATCGCCGCAGCTCGATCTCGATGATGGCCTTGTGGGTCCCATGTTTTATGTATTCCGTAGGATCCTTTGCGCGCCCGAGATACTAGAATGCGTGAGTGAAATGTTCAGACATAGGACGCGATCCTCGACTCACGTGAGGTGGCCACCCGAGCCCAAGGCAGATGGCGCAAACCAGTGTACTCTTTCCAGTGCCGTTCGGTCCGATGACCATGTTCAAAGTTGGTCCGGGAGTGAACGTGACAGAGCCGTATGTGACAAAATTCGTAAGTTTGACACTGACGATTGCACCAGTCCGGTAGCCTCTCTCGGGGTGGGCACCACCACCCACTCCCAGGAGGCTATAGACGTGCTCTGTTGACGATGCATGGTCATAATCCTCGACGTGGCTCAAATGTCTTCGGCTGCGCTTGCTGTCGTGAGGGGCGGTTGAGTTGGGGGTGTCCGGCCGTGATCCTTCGTCGTCCAGGTCTGACGGTCTTGGCCGTCGTACACGTCGAGAAGACATTGGGCGGAGAGTTCAACCTCGATTCACGAAGGCAGCCCATGTATGGGAGATCGCAGGACGTTAGAAAGGTGCGAGAGCGCGTAGTTTGGCACGGAAGGCAGATACACGCGCCGTTAGAAGGTGCCAAGAGATGTGCCTAAACGACCACACTAGCTCCTTGGCAGAAGACGCTAAGGCGCCCCCTCGCCTATCGGCGCCATGCCCTTTCTGGAAAGTTCTAGATGTAGAGGAGGTCACAGTCGCAAAGCCTGGGACAAAGTCGGAGTCGACGATATATGGATGACTTTACCTGTTCACGTCAAAATGTCTTTGCAGGGAGTTTGGGGTAGACTGGGGATCTCCTACTCGGGCAACCTAGGTAAGTGGCCACTGCGCACACGAGGATGATCTATCTCGAGCTCCGCAACAGCCTTGTCCGAGAGAGTGGACTGTGGGCGCAATTGAAAATCGCCCAGCGTACTCGAGAGTTCTCAAATGCCGACGCCCTTCACACAACGGGTGCGTTTCTCCAAAGCCTCCATCCACGAGGAAGTCAAAGATGTCTTCACCAATACTTGTCTCGTTCTGGTGACGTTGACTGACTTCCTCCGTTTGACCTGGTGTGAGCACCCCGACGATCGGAATTGGTACGCCGAATTGGCCTGCTGGACAAACCCCGGAAGGGCACGCGAGGGACGCTACTGCAGATGCGCAGAATACTGTCACCGACTCCTCCACATGGCCCTGCTTACAACCTGGCCCAGGGGCAGGTGGCTCTACGCGAACAGAGTTCCCATTGCGAGCTCCATTTCTTTTTACTCGAGAAGACGCTAGGGGCGGATCAAAGAGCGAAGGTGAGAAAGAAGGGGAGGCCAGCATTCGCCTGCATTGATGATGGATTAGCCAATCATATACAAAGTTGAATGCGCCTCTGGTCGCGGTGTATGAGGAGGTATGACAGCCACGTTGGCTTGTTACTAGCACCAACTCTGTCGTACAGGATACAAAATCACTCTTAATCGCAGCGTCATGGACAGAAACGTTCAGGAGTCATCAAAACCCGCGCTTCACCTCTTCGTGTTCTGACGATATGTGACACAGGACATAGCACCCTTTGGCCAATATTGACGCCTTCTAATCGTTCCACTGACCTTAACAGCAGTCATATCCGTCTCTAGCATAGACCCTGAAGGAACTATCAGATAGTATTTGCCTCAGCATTTCGCCATACAAAAGTCGTCCAACATTATACAACGTACATCCTGAGTTGCACGAGATACCCGCCAGACTCCGACTGCCCTACCCACCAAAACATTTTGCTAGTCCAGATACACAAGCACGATTTGTGCCTTCTTACCACGCAAACTCCTGTTATCTGGCCGACATGTGTTTACCGAGTACAAACAAAAGCCTGTGCATCTTCCCATATACTCAGCTCAGCCCACTCCTTTGACAATATCACTGGACATGTTAGTTTTTCTGCCAGTCACGCTCCCTGAGAGTTGTCTCTTTTCAGGGGTTACTTTTGTTTTCCTGCTGTTCTACGCAAAAACCTCAATATCAATTGGCGATGTCGACAAGGGAGCTCAAAAGAAGTTACCGCGGGGCACCTATCGATTCAAGTTAGAAGAAAGCACGATATCACGGGGAAGGTCCTGTCTTTACCGCGAGAAATATAGCAGTCGTGATCGCTCCGATAACAAAGGCGGTAATGAGAGCTTGGACGAAGATCGTGTCTTGAATCTGCCGCAGTGCAGGCTCCTGGATCCAGACCTCACGATCGAAGATCTTGCGTATGATGTTGCGCTTCTCATATTTGGCCACCCAAGGCTCATCTTCATAACTGTTGGCAGAGCCCAGGCTGTCGAACGAGGTTTTCTTTTCAGACGAAGCCTCGTCTTCATCGCCGAAAAGCTCCCACGGTCGAAGATGTCGGTGGTGCATCCCATGAAGAACCTACGACGTTAGAAGAGTTGCCTTGAAGGAAGAGACTGGTCATGACTTACAACGCACATGCCTTTCCAAGCAGCAAAGAGTGTCGCAATGCCGATAAAAAGACCAAGGAACACCAGAGCCCTCCAGCCTCTATTGGCTGAACTGAGTGTGATGACGATGCCGTAGACGATGCCGCCAACAATTCCAGCTACGCCCAGGAACCGTGCAAAAGCTTGTCTGGGCTTGTTGCCGTTGCAAATGGTCCAGCGAATAAAATTGGGATGGGCTTGATGACGAAGAGTCCACTCGACCGTGGCAATGACATCGCGGAATGCTGAAGGATGAGTGGTGACAGATAGTGCCTTGAGCAAGCCAGCTTTCTCCTTGGCCGACAGGTTGAGCAATCTCGCCCCACCATCAGCGATGTAGATGGCGATGATGCGTGATACTTCCTCCCGGAATGGTTGAATGGTGACTAGAATGCGGTTAGTGCGAAAAAGCAGACCAGGAATATTGACCACCTACATGGTTGAAGAGTTCCCGCTTCTTCAAATGCTGCCTCGGCTCGTTTTCCGTGCTCAGTTGATCCCGCTCTAAGGGTCGTAGCATCGTCGCTGTAGCCGAGAGTCGACGGGACCAAGCTACCCTGGTCTGTCGCAGTGGCTGAAGGCGTTCTAGGAGGAGTGTTGAAGGGGTTTGGGGCGGCCTCTGGAACAGCGATTTTTGCATGAGGATCGAAATCGGTCCCTTTCAACACAGAAGCAGCAGCGCTTGTCATTTTCTTCGGGAGCTTCTCCTTCTCAGCATGCGTCTTGTCCGCCAACGCTTGATCAACGGTCCATTCGGGAGCAAGCTTTTTCTCGCTGTCGGGAAGTTCATTGAAGCGCTTGCAGTAGTCATGATACCACAGATAGAACTGGAGGTTCTCGGCGTCAAACTCAATGTAACGGAGGAAGTCCATGAATTCGCGCGTGGTCACAGGCTGCAGCAAGAACAGGTCAGCTGAAGGGCTATGCTATCAAGCTTGGTGGTACTCGAGGTCGCAACTCACAGGACAGGTCCCGCCACCGATGATTCTATCGAAGGAGAGGGCGTCTGGAATACCATAGGGGCAGCTGGAGCCGGAATTGATGGACTCGACTCGACCATCCGAGTCGGACTCAACTGAATCGCGAGAGGAAGGGACATAGGCCGGACGGCGGTACGACAGTGAGAGAACCATCTTGGTCGGGCTCAGCGGTGTCTCTGACGCGCAACGAGGTACCAGTCTTCAAGGATGGAGACCCAGGTTCAGTCTGAGGAGGTGACACAGAATACACCGTGACGGAAGGAAGAGGTGGTAGCGGTTACCCCAGGTATGCTTGAAACTTCTGGCAGAGGCGTTCGAGGGCCTCGAAGAGGGAGTTTAACAGTATTTTGCGGGGGTAGCCTGTAAGTGACAATGGGGGAAGGTGGGCAAAGCCAGGGCAGTTGCTTTGGATCAACAGAAATCTGAAAGAAAAAACCAAAAGCGAGGTCAACGTCGTGCTCTGCAAGGACAGAGAGAAGTAAGTCTCTGGCCGTTTCTGCTACAACAGACAGAGTGCATCGAGACACGCGGGAACGAGGCAGGTTTATGTTCTACGTGTCATACCTGCTAGACAGAAGCCGCATTGAGAAGCCCAAAGTGGTTGACCAGGTCCCGACAAGGTTCTGGCGAATGAACACCAGGAAGACAGGCCGCGATGGAGGGCGCAGACATGCTGTGAAGCTTCGTGGCCAAAGAAACATGGAGCCACCGAGAGGTCACCGGGTTCTGGTCAGGGTTTGGCAGCAGTAAGGGAGCTTCTTTTTCCCCTTCCGAAGTGGGCTGCATGAAAAGGTTCGTGCGGGTGCCGTTGAGCAAGGGGGAGGGAGGCAAGGCGCAAGGGGCTTGCTTGTTATGTTTTCTCTACGACGTGCACAGTAACAGTAACAGCAATATGAACCGATGGGCTGGAGACTGGCCAAGTTCGGATCGGCGAAGGCGAGGGGCATCTCAGTCCATGACTCCATGTGTCAAGCCATCGAGCTTTCTCCACAGGCAGCTGCAAGGCAATCGGGAAATGATCGGCGCGATAGCATCGGCATCGAGGCTCCGCTCGCTAAGCTAGCGTCACTAGTCTACGCCACCCAGTGCACGGTAGCCAATCATGAGGCTGCCTCTGTACGTCAAATGAGTCTAGTCGGGCTTCACGGCGTCATGGCACACCACTCTTTCGCTTTTCTCTTATGGCTTCTCTCCCCGTGTAATGCGAGCAAGAGTCGGAGGTCCGTGGCCATTGCCAAACCATCGACTCGATATACTGGGCAGAGGGGGAATGCTAAAGGTGACTGTCAACACCAACAGAGGTGGGTGGCGGGCTGAGAGAGAGAGAGACATACACACACAAAAAAGCTACCCCCCGTCGTGGCTCGTATTCAATGACCCAGTTGACCCAGTTCGTTGACATGTGTCGGCCTCCAATCCACATGTCAACAGGCACGGTGGCTATTTCCCCACAAATCTTGAGCCACTCGTTGCTTTTCCATGCCTTCGACACCTCACACGCTAGGAGCAATCAAAGGAAAAGTCAACTTCTCGTACCTGATTCCCCTGGCTCAGCTGATCGAATAAGTGCAGGTTGGCAGTTCCAGGTTGAACTCAAATATGGGCAAAAACAGACTGGATGGGTCATGGATGAAGACATGGTTGATTTTCTCCGTCACACCTGGCAGATGCGAGCACCGGTAGCCTGAAACGGATACCGACATGCACACATGGCCATTTCCAGCCATGGTGGGCTTTTTGCAAAGTGGGCACTGAGATAGGCGAGTGGAGCAGAACTTTCTCTTTTCCTCCGACCACAACTGTGATGCCCTATCATCGGACCGGCGTATCGTTGGTCGCCACCTTGGCCTCAAGCGTTGATCGCAGGTTATTTCGCGAAGTCCAGGGCTGTCGAGAAACAGTGTCTCATGAATCAACATCTGGGCCGCCGCGCCACGGTTCGCGACTCGCCTCCCCCCGACCAGCCGGCGTCGCTTCAACGCCTTCAACTTGGCCAGACTTTCCCTGTGTAACATGTCAAAAGTGGCTGGCAGCTTGAAATCCCCTTTCTGGCATAGCTGGTGTGCGAAGGTAAGGTCGCACTTGTCACACTGCGACTTCGTGTTAACCCAGTAGCGCCGCCTCATGCCTCCCGGGTTGCGCATCAAAATGCCGGGTAGCTAACGTATCCGAACAAACTTCGGCTTCGCACCTCGACTTCGGATTGTTGGATTGTCAGCCTGCAGCCTCGAATCAACGGTTCGGGGATAAACGCATTCTTTCGTTTTGTTCGCTCAACCGTTGACAACAGCCTTATCGACTCTAGATTGTGGTCTGGAGACAAACACCACTCGCTAGTTTCCCAGAACAGGGAGCATCCACGCCTCTTCATAATCCATCAAGCTAGCATTTACAGCCTTCTCATATGTCTAAGGTCTCTTTGAAAGGGTGGGATGGCACTGGACCCGCTCGCTCGCCGAGTTGCAGGCAGTCCTTCCGATACGTCCAACTCTTTTCGTAAGTATCTTCCTAGCCATGCCTTGAGTTCAAGGTGGAAGGCAACAACCGCCTGGGACAATTTAGTCAGGCACTGCTCTGGGCCTCTAAGAAACTTTTGGATGGGGGCTGTGTTCCTGATTTCCCATGTGGACCAGTTAGTTAACCTGCCGTCCTGCGTACTTAAAAGGCACTGGTGTGCATCGGTTTGAGCCCAACTGTGAATCTCACCGAATTGCCACGCCGGCTTAGGGCAATCTAACTCTCGCTAAAGCTTTGCCGTTTCCGGTTATGGACTCCACCAAACCCCAGACAGCAACACCAGTGCCCAGAATTGGATTGCACACCTTTCCACTCAGGGGGTTATTTTGTATGTAATTAAGAGGATGGCGCAACTCTCCGTTCCCGGCAAACCCATAGGCGAACACATTTTGCTGGAGGTTTACTCCGGAGACTTTTCCTTTTGCCTCCTCCAGCTAGTGTGGTTTGGGGGCTGAGATCTCTGCCGCAACACCCCACTATTTACAGACCCATCCCTGTGTTGGCTTATTCGTTGGGGGGGGGGGGAGCAGATCTGGCCCCAAGGTTTGTTTGGCGGCTTGAAAACCCTCACAGTGCTTGTTGTCGTGCTTGTTCGAGCGCATATGAGGTGCCAACACCGTCCATTTGTGGGGGAGGCTGCCCAACGCTGGAGCCACGAGTTGGTAGGAGCATTCCCTGCTCCAACCCACGTGTCTGTTCTGGTACCTGGCTGCGATGGTCAGCCCCTTGCTGCCATATGCGTTTCTCTGAAACCCAACTCTCTTTTGTCTTTCAGAACTTTCAAACCCTTCTGATATGCAAGGGGTACGGCCTTGAGAATCGGGTCTTGCGGGCTTCACCAAATTTTTCAACGCAGGAACGAAAAGAGGGAAAACCTACTCATGCTCATGTGGCATCCAAAACGCGAGCCTATGTCTCAAGTCAACCCATCAATATGAAGGCATGGATTTCTTGAAAACGCAGTGGATGCTATTCCGCGGCAAAGGAGGTACCAGAAGGTCTTTCGTGGTTCTCGAAGATGGCAGGACAAAGCCTTCATTGTCTCATGCATGGGAAGGTGTGCACGTTGAGTTATCTCAGTTGTCTGCTATATTTGGAATTTCCTTGTGCTCACTTGTTATAGTGGTAATTTTTACTTGGGAGACAACAACAAAGACAGCCATGACTGTCCCAATCCTGACCTTTGGGATATCAATGTGCACTTTCCTTTTCCCAGTTGGACATAGGCGCAATCCGAACAGCAAACTCGGCTCTTTCTTTTTCCCCAGCACCACCAAAGTTTGTGTCTTCTACCCAATTGAGGTACTCATTTCTACCATATACCACGATGTTTTCCCTCTGGCGCAGAGATGACTTGACGTGCCCTGAAAATCAGAACTATTATCACTGTTCTTCCGTTTCATACTCAGGCTGCTGCACCCACGACCCGTGCAGTGCTGGCGTCTGCGCAGACACCTTTCCCGATTCCAATTCAGACTCATGTGGCGCTGGCGTTACTGTCACCGTGACCGAAACGGTTCTCCAGGGTGCTGCAACCAGTACTATCAGCTCTCCCACTAGCTCCCTTTACGTGGCAACAGGTGAGCTAGATGAGACATCCAACAACCCAAGCAGTCTGATCCCCAGTGCTATTGGTACTTCTTCCACGTTACCCGGTGCACAAGCATCCTCGATTCCATTTCCTTTTATCCCAATATCGACCGCCAATACCACCTTGACCACTGTAGCGCCAGGCACAACCTTGACCATCAACCTTGTCCAGGCAACTCCCAGCTCAAGCGCCAATGGAACCGCCAGCGCGACATCAAGCAAATGCCCAAAACCGACGGCATCTGCAACAACAAAGTCTACGCCAACACCTCCAGCGACGATTGCCGGAAGTGTCATCGGCTCAATGGCAGGCCTGGCCCTGATCGTCACTCTACTCATTTGGTGTTGCCGAAGAAAGCGCAAAATAACCTTCAAGCGGAAAGTGCAAAAAACTGACCAAGAAGAGCAGTCAAACGAACTACAGTCCGTCGAAGAAGAAAGAGACCAGGCTCTTCGATGTCTCGAGCAAAACAAGACGCTTCCAAGCCCGCGTCCGTTTGATTTTGGTCTTCCTCAGGTACCTAAGAACTCGAGCCCTATGCTGCCACATCAGTGGATATGACCCGGTAACCGTTGATGCACTCCAAATGTTAGCAGCAAAATGGGCGTCAAACTCTTGACCCAAGATGCGTAACGTACAAAAATGGATACGACCACATTTACTTGCATTCTTCACCTGGCCTTCCATTGAACTTGCTCTAGTCCTTGCGCCTTGAGAGGTAGGCGTTCGCGATGTCGTATGCCGCCGGACAGCAGCGGAGTAAAGGCCCGGCATCAGATCCTCACCTTGATGGTTCATAGCTGACATGATTACCGCCTCAGACCCCTCGACCCAGCTGTGCAACTCGAGTGCTGCCACGAAGATGACCTCGAGAGCAATCAAACTGCTCGCCTGGCTCTCGCCATGGGTAAAGCGGTATGACATCGAAGCTGGACGCTCTTGACAAGATCCTGCCAACCGTCCCTCAGTGTGGCGCGAGACTGGCGTGCACTGAGGAGGAACACAGCGATCTGCGCTCGATGAACGAGGCGGCCACTTCGTAAAGAGCATGGATGACGCTGGACAGCAATTGGTAACCCGAGACCTGGTTGGGTGAGAAAGGGGAGCCTGGACGCTTGGGAATTTATGTATGAATAATTGATTGACAGGAGACCAGGATAGCATCAGTTTTCCCTAACCAATCGTGCTCTCGCTCTGGAACCCAACTCGCTCTCTGTGGTCAGCTCTACAACATACATATGTATGGATTCCTCAACACCGCCAAACCCAAAGAGGAAACGCTCCTTTGCAAGCTGAGTCTTGTTCCTTTCTCTGTTTGCACGTCAAAGCTCTTTCAAAGTTCTCTCTCTCTCTTTCTCTCTCTCTCCCCATCAGCCACCAGTCGGAGAATTTGCCCTGGTTCTGATATGATATGACTTGACTTGACCTGTCATGCCCTTCATCTTGCGCTCCGATCGGTCAAAATCGTGTGAATTATCGCTTGCGAGCCGGGAAGGAAACAGGGATGACGGTGTTTGTGGTGTATGTGCGGTTGGTCCATTCCAGATGATCTGCCCTTCCCTGCGCAGACTGTTCCCAAGTGCGATCTTTCGTCTCCCCTTTGCGAGCCTCCTTCTCTTCTAGCTTTGGTAACGTCTAGGAGCACTTGTGCTCCTGAACATGAGTATGCCATCGCCATCAACGTGGGCTCTCACAGCAATGCAGAACGTGTGCTGGTGGCTGAATTTCAAGACGCATCCAATTCTTCAGCAACAATAAGTAGTGTGAGTCGCGGTAGCAACACCAAAGTGAATGGGATTAAGTATGCAGAAATACTGATCCTGCAACTCACGTCCTTTGTGCATGTCCTGAGTATGTAGTAACTGATGCAAGCGGGCGGTGCAGAGGACGTGTGAGCCCCCATGTTCAGGATTGACTCATGCTTCTTGCCCGCGCAGTGACGACGACCGCTCTCCCCGTTGCAAAGGAGGAGGAATCGTATGTAAATGGACGGATGCATGGATAAACGAATAGGCGGGTGGAGACAGATAGACGAGAACAGGACCGGGGGGGGGAGCGACATGCGTTCCGCGTATGAGATCGAGTCGATAGACACTGCCTATGGCGACGGCACATCCAGGACTTCTGAGGACTTCGCTATATGCATGTTAGTAGGACAAGTGTTAGTCACCCAGAATGAAACTGACTTTCGACATATCCTGTCCTGCCTTTGTTTTCCTCCCTCCATGAGCAACGATGTCTTCTGGCGTGTTGGAGTCGTGTCTGTTCCTGTGTCTGGCAAATCCTGCCCTAGGGGCAATAGATCAAAGCTGCAAAAGGGAGGGGTCATGACGATAAGGAGAAGAACAAGAAAACAACACCCGTAAATTGGACTGAAAAAGGCGGATATCATTGATTTCGGGACAACGTAGCACGAGATTGATTTTCCTGATCCCATCCATCCCTGTTGCGCTCAAGTCTGTGAGGCATACGACGCACCAGGCATGAGGCAGGGGCAAGATTTCCAGTGTTATTGGTTGCCCATCCATCGCCCACCTCAAGCCTCAGCCTGATACAAGATTCCCTGGCCATTCCCGTCCGTCCCCTGTCCATGATCGGTTGCCCTATCCGCTACCTGTTCTCTCTCCTCTCTCCGTGTGCGTGATCGGGATTTTTCTGGATAGCATGACCCATGAACCATGCTGCTGAGACAAAGCTCATTTTAAACCTTGTTTTTGTGATTTCCCAAAATGACAGTTGAAGACAGGTGAGAAGAAAACCACATGGCCCGCAAAAGATAACGGAGCAAACCCCGTGTACAGCCCCCCTATCAGCCCCAACCCTCGAATTACCGGAAGAAAGCCACCGACTTGGAGAATGTGTCAAATAGAAAGTGCTTCACTCGTCCGGAGGCTCTGAAAAGAGCCCGATTCGCACACGATGGAACTGCGGCAATTTCGGTATCACGACAGCCATGAGAGCCATGAAGTTGATGCTGAAGTACGTGAAGTCGTAGTGGGTATAGTGTGTACTTAACAGAAATAGGACGATGGGTACGGTGAGAAGGAACTTTTTGGCCGGTGTGTATTGGTCACCGTTGTCAATCTGCTCCCACATGTTCAGGTTATCGTACGCTCCGGCGTTGAATTCGAAGGGCACGCCTCGAACCCAGTGGAACATCAGATACGAGCCAGCCATGTAGGTTATGTTCGTGAGGGTCCACGATATCTCTTGGGTGACGCCGGGGATTATGTCAAAGAGGATCTTGAGGCCGATTATCAGGACAGGGTGTATCGTCCAGGCTCCTGCGAACGATGTCAGATTACTCCCTCACTCTCCTGCTCGTATCAGGCTGTGGCTATCTCAGTATGGCGCACCTTTCGCATTCACCCATTGGGAGTTGAGGTTGGGAAGAGCCGACTGGTCGCTGATCTGCTCTAAGGACTCTGGAGGTTCTTGGTATATGATACTGCTCGATCTCCTCCTCCGACCACTTTTCGTCGTGCTCATGGCTGGATCGTAGGACGACACGGGAGGGGCTAGTCTTGCATTGGCTTCGAAGGAGATGGAGCGGTGGAGGGTAGTTTGGGAGGTCATCGAAAAATCGCAGGTGTTGCAAGCGAGGGGAGGATATCTGGGGAGGCGTAAACGAGGAGTTATGAGTGAAATATGGCGAGGTGTGAACTGAAGAAAGCCGGCATGTGGTCAGCAACGCGAAGTGAGTGGCGTAGGCTTCAACCGTACCTGAGGTAGCCCTGGGGGGTTTGAAGCGGGATCAATCGCGTTCGGAGTGTGCAGCTCGCCAGCAAACCGGAGTTTGTTGTCATGAAGTGAAATAAATGACAGAAGATGTTCAGATCAAGTTGATAGGCTGCGGACGGTAGTTGCACAGAGTATATAAGATCCGGAGACACAAAGACTGAAGGAGTATGTAGTGAGACGCGCACGGTGTTCGGATTCGATGAGGTCTCAGATCGGGATGTAAATGGGGGAAGGTGGCTCGGCGGATGGGGAATTGGTGACGACGGTATTATGAGACAGTCGCCCACAGTAGGAAGGGGGACCTAGAGAGATCGGCACTGGTTAAAGAAGGGCATAAGAAAACCTAGTGAGCCCTAAATGCACAAGCTACCGAGGCCCAGTGAGCCCCGAAGGCCAGTGAGTCAGTGACCAGCAGTTGCGCACACGACCCCCTTCAGAATTCCCCCATCGGCTTGCTTCAGCAACGTCACACTTCTTGGCAAACCCAGATGAATCAAGCTTGCTCGCCATCCACACTTAACAAGAGAAGCTTCATCTGCCCTCATTTTACCATGTGGCTTGGACTGGCATGCCCGCCTATCTGTAGACACTGTTTGGGTATGTCTTTCACCTCAGGACAACCATTCTACCACCTCGTGCACAGCCACGTACTGCCTTCAAAGAATGCCCCCTTTCCAAGTCGTTATCTTACATGGACCGTGTCAAGTCGAGCTCAAGTCGTACCGATGGTTCCAGAGGATCAGATTATCCAATGAGGATGGGCAGTTTCGTGCACAAAGACCCGAGCCGGCGTTGATACAATGCGACGCATTTTCAATACAAAGGTTTGCATATTGATGAGTTATCGCTCATGCCAAACCAAGTCTGTAATTAATTCCGGGATTCGCGTCAGCCGGTTTTGTTTCTCGTCAAGACATCTCCGTCACGGTAAACAGGCCGCTTTTGTTGCATACACTCCACCGCACATTGCTGTAGAGGACTGAGCATGCCTACAGGTCTGAATGTGCTCATTCAAATGAACATTGGCTATTCAACAGATTCTCTATATATGGCTGAATGACCATCCTCTCATGAGTCCATGTCGAAACCGAGCGGGACCTACTAACTGAACCATAGAAGTCACACTACCCTGCTCGAGCCAAAGGGATGGAAGGAGGAGACCACGCTTGGACACCCTGACGACAGAGTTGACAATGTCGGAAGAACAAACTGGTTGAAACAGCATGCTACTCTTCCACGTTTGTCGTTGAGAGAACCTAACTTTGCAGGCTATAGGCTAGAAGGCAACCCTTTCATGAAAGGCAAAGCGCTTCGCATCAGCTCCTTCAGGACAACACCATCAGTGACAGACCTGACGCAAGGTCATCGGTTTGCGTTGAACGAAGGCAGAGTTCTGGACTCAGTCTCTCTTTGTTCACCACCTGGAACCCCTAGCTTCGAGAACCCTCATCCTGGTCTTCTATCAGGAACACGTTGTCGGCCTCCTTTATGCTTCCCGAAAATTTCACGCAGCAAGAATTTGAGCAAACCCCCAGCATACGCATCCTCCTTTGGGAAATACTTTCCGGTGTCGATTGTGTATTTCTGTAGCTCCTCCAGATTTGTAAATACCTCTACTCGCGCTCCTGTCCGTGGAGCGTCCACGAGATCCACAAGGTTTACATGTGTCCGTCGAACTCTCTGCTAATGATCAACAACAGCTATTCCCTCGCGGACAACGAATATTCCGGGGTGGAACAACACAGGGGCTCACCTTTCGGCATTCGTCCAGCTCGGTAGGCGGTGGAAAGATGTTCAAGATGCGGCACAGCCCTTGCCAGGCATTCAGGTCGTCTCTGTCCGTACCATAGAGATCGTTGAACTGAAGAACCATTGCTGACTTGAATCTCTCCTTCGCCTCCTCTTTCTCATCATTCCTCCCTCTCCAGCCGAATCCATCGCACATGCGATAGAATTCTCGCCATATCTCCGCAGACTGGTCATAGTCAAACTCGGGATATTCGGCAAAGAAGTCGCCAATATGATCTCTGCGCTTCGATTTGCCTCGACGCTTCATGTTTGGCCTGGCTCGGGTGCCTTGAGGGCTTTGTGCGGTAGACTATTATATTCGACTCAGCAAAGGACGAGAGCACGGCGGAGAAGAGATACTGGCATGAAGGGGGAATGTGGTAACGTACTTGAGATCCACCCTGTGTTCCTGGCTCGATATGCGCGAACTTACATGTCGACCCGAACCGGCAAGTCCCATAATCGAGATAATTGAAACAGATCTTGCTGCCGCTGCCGTTCATTTTAAAAGTCTGTTGAAAAAGCAGATTAGAAGTTCGGATGTCTTCCAGTACGGAATATAAGGAATGGAGGTGCGGAGGGAAACCCCCTGGGCGAGAGAGGTGCAACAACGCCCACACCGGTCCTGTTCAAAATCATGGAACTCATTCGCCGATATGCTTTCGTAGCGAGAGCGATGCTCAACGAGAACCCCCGTCTTGATGGTCCTTTGTGGGTTGAACCACGTAAGTGAGGCAATCCCGGACGTCGTCTGGCTCAATAAACAAGGCTACTAGCCAGGCTGAATACGAGCACGCTGCCTATTTGCTCGTCAACAGTGGCCTACAGCACAGTACACAGCACTGGTCAAGTAGTGGGGATTCCGCCTTTCTAGCCGGTAGCCATGCAGCTCCCCATTGCGAGCCAGCCTGCAGCTTCTGAGCAGACACCATTTATCTGAGTGGTTGATATGCTTGGATCACGTGATCTTTCACCAGTACCAGTCCAGATAATGCCGCTGGCCAAACCGGGGACCTGCTCCTTCGTCCCGTCTGCCGCGCAATCCGACCCATTTCCGCAGGGTCCTTCTAACGATTTGACTTCACTGGCTGCCTTTTTCCGCCTTATATTTTCTCTTCGCATCTGACCGACAGAGAGCTGAAGCCAAAGCACGCTTTCCTGGCTTGTAGGCGAACGACATGATCTCGTGGGGTGGAAGTACGGTCTATTGAGCCCGATCCTGCCTCTGCCCTACCCCACTATCCGCAGAAACACGCAGGATGCGCTAGAATTCTTCATGTGTAGTGGTGATTTTTACTAATATACAAAACATTCTGTTTTGATCCAGTCCCTATCGAAAGGACCGTATTAAGCACACAAAAGGATCGTGTCGCTATGTATTAGATCGTCGGATGAAGACGTCCACGAGGTCCTACTAATAAGTACTATCAGCAGACAGCCATCGGCCCGCTCCGCCAGACTAACCAAGCTCTATCATTTGCTTAAAAGCGCCTCGTCATATGATTGGAGGGTCAAATTAAGGTATCCCGCGCCAAGAAGAGTATGGCCTTCAAGGTGAGGCTGCTCATGTTGAGTAGGCTGAAACCGCTTTCTTCTCTCAAATATTCTACCGCGCGGCTGCTCTTTTTAGATGTGAACATTCTCGCGTGCCTGCCACTCTCTGGAGTAGAAGGCCTAATGATACGGTAGCGAGACTTTTGAGTTCCAGCTCCCACCTATTTTCCAAATCATTCCGACAAGATTAACGGATTTCAGGTACGTGACGCTATCGGGTGCATGCTTGAGAAGGGTTGTATAGTCCCGCAGCCAGCGAGGTACGTCTTCACCTTGCAGCTGACTGGTGACCCTTACAGGAAATACCATTCCGTTACCCGACCGCCCGATGGCGGACTCCCAAGATCTGCTGGACTGGTGAGTATCCAAATGCCATCAGCTTCTGGGCTGCCTGCTAAAGTGCCGTAGGTACGATGACCTGTATTCTCGCACTGTCGATCTCGTTGGCGACTATGCGGGTGACGAACCTTTCATCATCGAAGGGGACTCATTACTTCTCCACTCCTTTTCGGACGACAAAATCGACTTCTCGCCGGGCTTGCAACTGCTCCATGCCACCTACATTGTGGAAAATTTCCTTCGAGCTCTTCTCCAGCGAAAGTGCAAATTCAATGTCGTGTTCTTCAACAATCAGGCACACATGTGCATCCCACAGAATACCCCAGCTCACCTTCACTCGAGGTATCTCCTCGCTCGAGAGGCCATCATCCAGCACCTCAGCTGCAATCTTCCCCTTACTGTCCCATTCATAGAAGTCAAAACATTCGAATCGTATTTGTCCCATGACTTTGACGAGTATTTGGCAACAACAGGAGCATACTTCTTCATGTGTCATGATGGCTCTTTTCCACGGTCCGGTATCCAAGACGAGTTCGAAGGATCTTCAACAGAAGAAGAAAAAATCGAAAAAGAATCTCGAGCTCCATCTGAGCTGCAGGCTGACGACTCTGGTACAATCGGCGCTTTTGGGCACGGCGAAGAAATACTTGGCAATGGAAATATCAAAGTAACTCGACTTGATCAGACTCGGAAGGTGGTGTTGCGGCTGATGATCCACTGGCTCATTGGTCGTGGCTACAATATTGCTCTTGTCACCACAGTGGAGTTCCGGGACACAAAGGTAGGCGGTCTCTCCTCCGAGTATTAGTTTGTCGAGAAATATCTCACTATGGTAGCAGGTCATGGCAATGATTGTGGAAGGCTCCAGAGAACGGATGACCCTGCTGAGGCGTGTTCAAGGCAACAAATCTCAAATACCTCCTGCCTTGGAAGACCAATCACTCTCCAATATCCCAGGCGACGCTGCTTGCGATAGGGTCGAAAACCCAGTCATCAAAGAAATTGAGGAAGCTGTGCCTACCTCATCGCAGAACTCGTATTCCACAGAAACGGATGTCCACGTACCGCCAGCAGAAGTCCTGACAAAGACGTTGATGCTGCTAGACCGCACGCCAGAGCCACCTCTGACACAACGGGATTTGCTTATAGTTGCAGCTCTAAGCATCATGCTTAGATCTGGCAGAATCGGAGCGAATTATGCACTAGAAACATGTGCAATGATCCTCCATGCGATCGTGATGCGGGACTGTCGTCTTGACGGTCGAGCAGTGGATGCAATAAGCTCTAACATGAACATGATGTTCTTGACGGACTTTGTCGAAGTATCCCGCGAGATTCTGGTGTCAGACGCCTGGCGAGACAGTGTCCTGCGTCAAAAGCTTCCATGTGATCTAGCCGATTTGCTCGATGGAAGGCTATTTCTCAATGTGGTGTCTGAGCTTCAGAGGTCTCGTGGACCAACGGCTCTCGGCCCCTTGATACTCTCGTCATTGAGAGACTTCACATCTCTCATGAAGGAAACCTGTGGCATCAATCTGCACTTCGAACCAGGGGACTCGAGAACTCCTTCTCAGATAACTATAGGACAACAAGAAATGCGCTTCAACGTTATACGGCACTGTAGACAGGGGAGGGACACAACCACACCTACGAATAGACGTAATGTTCGGACGACGGTACTCCCTTTCAGCAACCCGGTGTTCGACACCCACCTGGGTCCTATTAAGCTTGCCATCGACGTATCGGTTGACAAAAAGAGCACATCGCAAATCTTTAAAGAGATCAGCCACTGGCACAATCATCGACGACCCATCGACAATAAGGCCGCTCGGGTAGTGACAGAATGGCAGAAGGCGCGCGATAATCGAAGGAATCAGTTTTTCATGACAGAAACTAGGGACTACGCTGCCAGCCTGACTAGTGCTATTGGGGGCATTCTGGAGCCCGAAACCATCATTGTCAAGTCGAAAGATGGGCCTTCACGCGTTTCCAGCAGATTGAAACCTCCGCAAACCCCAGCACACGGTGGAAAGAAGCAAGGCTCTAGATTCAATGTCAAAGAGCTGGCTGCAGTAGCGGCGCGAGAAAAGCAGGATAAGGATATTGCTAAGCTGCAGGAAGCATGGACTTCCGCGAGAACCCAGTTTGCTAAAGAGCTAAACCTGGCATCCCGCTACTTCAAAGTCAAGAGCTATCTGAACGGGCTGTCAAAGACCAAGCGAGTCGCGGTGGAAGCAGAGGTGTCGGTGTACTTGCTCAGCATTCTGGTCGAGATGTGGACAGTGAACTGCTCGGCTGACAACCGAGTCCATGCGATGCCGATCATGGGACTCATCTGGGACCAGATCCTCCAGATTAAAAGACTGAACCAAGGCATCACCACGGAGATTGCAGCATACGTCGTCAACACGATCCAAACCTTTCGTTTGCCGGCCTTGGGACCTCTCCAAGTCCAAGAACGACGCAATACTGGCTCCGCAACCGTCTTGTTCACCCCTGCGAGAGAAGCAGTGCCGACGCAACTATCGCCCCTGGAATTCCAGCTCGTCCACGCAGGGCCCTTCTTTGACCGAGACATGGGCTCAGCACCGGATGATCGCGTGCACGATTTTGAGCCGGATAAGTGGCAGCGAGACGTCCTGGACCAGATCGATGCGAAGAAGAGCGTCTTCGTGGTTGCTCCCACCAGCGCGGGAAAGACGTTTATTTCGTTCTACGCCATGAAGCAGGTGCTCGAGGAGGATGATGACGGGGTGCTGGTGTACGTTGCACCCACCAAAGCATTGGTGAACCAAATTGCCGCTGAGGTGCAGGCTCGATTTTCCAAGAACTTCCAGCACCCTGGAAAGTCCGTCTGGGCCATACACACACGCGATCACCGGGTCAACAACCCGACCGGGTGTCAGGTCTTGGTTACGGTCCCTCATATGCTCCAGATCATGCTTCTGAGTCCGTCAAATGCGAAGACGTGGTCTTCTCGTGTCAAGCGTATCATATTCGACGAGATTCACTGTATTGGCCAGGCCGATGACGGGGTTGTGTGGGAGCAGCTACTCCTTCTAGCTCCGTGCCCCATCATCGCGCTCTCAGCCACGGTTGGAAACCCACGAGAATTCAGCAACTGGTTGAGCAAGACTCAAGAGACCAACGGCATCCAACTCGAGATGATAGAACACCATCATCGCTACTCGGACCTACGGAAGTATATCTACAGTCCACCACAAAAGTTTCTCTTCGATGGCTTGTCCGAACGTTCACAACTACCCTCTGTTGGGATCGACAACGCAATCGGTATGAGTTTCATGCATCCTGTTGCGAGCTTGGTCGATCGGACGCGAGGGATACCTGATGATTTGACTCTCGAACCGCGAGATTGCTGGATGCTATGGAACGCCATGAAGAAGCACGAGACAGAGGCATTCCCTGTTGACGAGTCGTTAGACCCTTCAAAGTGCCTGCCACAGATCGTACGCAAAGTTGACATCGTCGATTGGGATGCTAATCTCAAGGCACTCCTGAAGACGTGGGTAGAAAATCGCAAGTCTCCCTTTGAGCTGGTGCTGAAGGATTTGGAGCAGCCCGTGAGGGACGCACAATGTCCAGGGGTACAGATATCTTCTGGGAAAGTCAACAACAGCAAGACCCTTCGTGCCGTCCAGGAGGCTGATTTCCTCGACACCACACTGCCTCTCGTCTGCTCGCTCCATGACGAAGGAGCTCTTCCCGCACTATTCTTCAACTATGACCGGAACGCGTGTGAACTCATATGTCAGCGTCTCCTCCAGGAGTTACAGGAGGCAGAAGACCGCTGGAAGGAAGTTAGCAGAACCTGGAAAACTAAGATTAAGAGCTGGGAGGCTTGGAAACTTAACCAGGACAAGCTGAGCAAGAAGAAGGCTCCCAAGAAGGTGCAGAGAGGGAATGCAGACGACGAACCAGCAACACGGGCCGAGCGGATGCGGGAAACAGGCTCGGAAGAGTCAAGCATCCTGGAATCTTTCAATCCCGATGATCCCGTCTCTGGATTTCACCTCGCCAACACGCAAAAGCTCAGTCGCCTTGATTTCCAGGAGTACGCCAATGAGCTTAAGAGGCGCTTGGTGCCGGACTGGCTGATCAACGGCCTGAGGCGAGGTATCGGTGTCCACCACGCCGGCATGAACCGCAAATACCGTCAAGTGTGCGAGATTCTGTTCCGCAAAGGGTACTTGCGCGTCGTGATAGCCACCGGGACACTGGCGCTGGGTATCAACATGCCTTGCAAGACTGTTGTTTTCTCTGGAGACTCGATCTTTCTGACGGCTCTCAACTTTCGCCAGGCGGCGGGTCGAGCAGGGCGCCGAGGATTTGATGTCCTGGGTAATGTGGTCTTCCAAGGAGTACCATATTCAAAAGTCTGCCGCCTGCTCAGCTCGAGGCTACCAGACCTCAACGGTCACTTTCCCATCACGACGAGCTTAGTGTTGCGCCTTTTCATCTTGCTCCATGAATCAGGGAATGCAGCATACGCTGTCAAGGCGATCAATTCGATCCTCTCGTGCCCGCGGATCTATCTGGGTGGTCCAGAGTCAAAACACACTGTCCTGCACCATCTGCGGTTTTCAATAGAGTATCTTCGCCGCAACCATTTGTTGGACGTCTCGGGTGCTCCACTCAATTTTACTGGCTGTGTCTCTCACCTGTATTACACTGAGAACGCAAGTTTTGCGTTCCACGCATTGCTCAAAAGTGGGTATTTCAGCAAGCTTTGTGGGGATATTCATGTCAGCCCTAAACAAGTTTTGCTTGACTTGATACTTGTCATGTCACACCTCTTCGGACGTCGGTACCTGAGACAGTCTGTTCTGGAGTCACGCCGCGCCCAATCACGGTGGTCATCGTCGGTCGTCGTACTTCCACCTCTGCCAGAAAAGGCAGCGCGCACCCTATTGGCCCACAACGATCAAACACTGGATGTGTATGCTGCTTATGTGTCAACCTATATCGACCAGCACGTCACGGAGCTTGATCACTACTTGCCACTCACTGGACTAAAATGCGGCGGAGACAAGTCACTAGAGGAGATCGGCGTGGCTGTCTCTCCTCTTCCTCCCGCCCGCATAAACTCGGCTTTTGTTGCTCTCTCGGGCCATCGAGATGAGTGGAAAAGCGTCTCTGATTTGTGCAAGATGGTTCGCAGTGGAGTCTGGCTGGAGGAAGCCGTAGTCCCCTACGTGGGGACCTATCCGAACGACAGCACAGCGCTTTTAAATGCTTACCTTTACGACTTCTTCAAACATGGTAACGTGGTTGCTCTCGAGAAAGAGAATGGTGTTCGCAAAGCTGAGGTCTGGTTTGTCCTCAATGATTTCTCTCTTGTCCTTGCGACTATCGTTACCAGCCTAGAGAACTTTTTGAAGCTTTCCCTACCAACGGCAGCCGAGATGATCGACATCATGGGGTTTGGTGATGTACACGAGTCAGAGCTGGATGACAAAGCCCTGGAAGCGGGTCCAGACAACAAAGCCACCTCCAGCGCTCGGACACTGCCCAATCGAGAAATGCTGAAGCAGGAACTAACAGCTACAAAGGCGGGATCTAGCGATGGGAAAAAGAAGGTGGTTGACAGCTGGGAAGACGATGCGAGTGACCACGGCGATAAGCCCGAAACAAATGGGGCCATTCCAGAAACCATGGGTGAGGCGGTCAGAGCGGCCAAAGCGGGAAAGAAGCCTATGATGACAAGTGCGAAGGAACCGGCGAGGGAGTCGGAACGACAAGGGAAAGAGTCCGAGATCGGGGATGGAAACTTGTTCATGGTTCTGAAGGCCTTTACCATGCTTCAAGAGGAGTTCAACCAAAAGTTCAGGGCAATGTGGGCATAAACGCCATAGTCGAAAGGATGGATGCCGGTGGGAAAGAATACCATATCGCAGCGTTGCAAAGCTTATGTCTTCTTGGTGATCTTGGGGGATTTCATGCACGATTGATTGATTTCGAGTTTTTACGGCTATTGGGAATACGTTAGACAGTGCCTTTCTATTCTTGTTCAACTCGTGAAAGGATTGAAAGGATTGAAAAGATAGAGGTAGACAATTCGGGAGTGTTTTCGCTGGAATGCAAGGCTGTGAGACGCAAGGGGGCTGTTCTCATAAAATGTGACACTAGTCAGTTTAAGGCTAGCACCTCGGTACACTTTCCATTCCGCCTCCCCAATATTCCTGTGCCTGAGGGACTGCGGGCTGCAGTCTGGTAACAAACGGGGCCTCCAGGGTTAGGAAAACGCGATCCCGTGTACCGAGTACTGCGGACGCGTTCCTGAGTGTCTCTCAATGACGTTGTCCACGGCCCAGATGGCCCGACTCCCTTCCTCTGATGACGAGACTGAGTCGAGGACCGCTGCAGTCGGTTTGACGCGTGAAGCAAGACAAAAAGGTCAAGTCAACTCCGCACCACTTCTTCCAACTGATTCCTCGATATCTTCGCAATCTTCCGCTATGGGCAATGCGACTTCGCGGGCAGCGGTGGCGGCGACCCCAGATCAAGAGAGTCCAAAGGACACGGCGTCGACAACGATCTACGCCTCCGGAGGCTTTGGGAACAACAGACTGGCTACAGGCTTCCGCACAGCAGCCCTTCCCGCCGCTCCTGACGAGTCGCAGCCCATTATCAGCAAAAGTGACAACTCGTTGAAACCTACTTTATCATCAGGAGATTCCATAGACGATGCGATCGAGATTTCTGACGACGAGCAAGAGTCCGATGACGGGGGGATGGTCATTAACATTGACACCGTCCAAAATCACCAGCTCTCTGACGATATGGTCCTTGATGACGATCAGATGGATGTGGAGAAAACGGAAAAGGAGGAGGAGGAAGTTGAAGAGGAAGACGAAGACAGCGACGACGAGGAAGAAGGAGAAACACATTCACATTCAGAGGAGGACACAGAGCCCCAGTCGTCTACTAGAGAGACAACACTACCCCTCTCTTCTACCGAACGGGATGCTCACGACCAATTACAGGGCGATATCGAGAGATTCTCCCGTACCGTCATGGGCGGACTCCCCTCGCATTCTGTTGCCTCCAACGTCCGAGTACAGCCAGGCCCTCGCCTTGCAGATCTGAGCCCGGAAGAGCTTGAGCTTCAGCTGAAGTACGCTTTCTTCCACGTCAGTCGCAGCAAAATTGACCTCAATCAGCCTGCTGTCTGCCTGAGCTGTCTTCAAAGCGGCCATGCCGAGCGAGATTGTCCCGAATTGACCTGCGTCCACTGCTCTGCCAGCCACTCTAGCCGCCTTTGCCCTCTGCTTCAGAGGTGCTCGAAATGTCGTGACCGCGGACACACTGCTGAGTCTTGTCCCACAGGCCTGAAAATCACCACGATACCCTGTGATATCTGTGGCACCTTCAATCATACGGAGCAGACATGTCCTCAGCGATTCTTGCCATCTTACGGGATGTCAGACGTTGGTCCTACCAAACACTGGATCTCTTGTTGCGTCTGCGCAAGTAAGTCCCATCTCGTAGGTGACTGTCCCAATGCGAACCAAGTCGCAGCAGCAAGATGGTCATTGAAGTCCTTCCCCTCCGAGCAGGTCATCAACCTAAGCCTTGAGTCAAATTCGAAGCAGAGGGAAATAGAATCGGCCAACCGTGGTCTACGGCCGGAAGGGCTCAAGATCAGAGGTCGTGCCGGCCTTCACAGTGCGCGCGGCCCCAGTGGCAGGCCGGAGGTGGACACTTCCGACAGCGACGAGCAATTTCTGAAGCCACGAGTCCAAGGCCCACGCAATGCAAAGCGTGGCAACTTGACATTTACAACACAGATGTCGAAAGAGAGCATGACAGCTGGCGCTATCCCGAAGAAGTCGGTGCTCACCGAGTTCCTCAAAGCCATCAACCAACAACGGCAGGCTGGTAGAGGGCGGTTTGAAGTGGTCTACGCTAACAAGTAAGATCCCCCTTTTTTTCCCTTTGGTGTGGCAGAGCACGGTTGGTCACAATGTTGCTGACTTTCCCCCAAAGCCTGGTATCCTTCGTAGACCACTCAGACCCACAAAATTCGAGGGTGATCAACGGCAACGTCAGGCAGATCGAGGTGATCCAGAATTGGTGGAGGTAAAAATGAACCCCCAATCCAGCACTTTGTAAACAACCCACGGCTGACGCAGGGTACTTACTTACTACCTACCAGGTCACGGCGTCTGGACGAAGCGTATCTTGTTTAGGAAACAGCAGGGCTTCACCCAGAGACGACGGCACAGAGACGAGCACCGCCAGCAGCTGGCCCAGCACGATCCAGTCCCCAGAGCCTCGCAGGCTCTGGCGGAAGCGTCTCCTCACAACAACAGCAACAACAGCAACAACCATCCGCCACAGGGCTGCGATTGGTGAGCAGGTGCAAAGACCAGGGACGGCAACCGCCGGTGTGGCATAACATGTACCGGGGGCCATGAACGAGCCAAGCGACACTCGAAATTATTATTACATGCACTCACTCACAGAGCATGAACCAGCCGGCAAACGCACTCAGTGGCGGCCGTGCGGCTGGAGATGTATTGCTAATGGTCGTCCTCATTGGCGCCGTCGGTCCAGCAGGAGGATAAGTCGGATATGTCTATGTCTCTTTCACCGGCAGGATGCGACGAAGCCAGGATATATTATGTATGCACACGCGCACATGAGCCTTTTTCGAGTTCGGAAACAACGAGGCAAGGATGAAAGCCTCTCTCTTCTCTACAGTTTAGTTTGGTCCTCGACGAGTCACTCTCAGGATAAGGTTCAAAGCACAAATACGAGAACTCAGACTCGGACTTGGACTCAACAGACGAAGATGATCGTGCAAGGTGTGTGTGTGTGTGTATGTGTGTATTTTGATCGCGCTCGTTGACGCCGGTTCGAATGCCATTAGGTCCATCTCTATCCCTTTGTGCCGGACTCTAGCCATCTTGAGCTCTTCGTTTCTTCCCTGTGCACCTTGCTGTGACCACATGCTACCAAGTGATTGACTATTCCTTTCCAGCGGGTGATGCCCAAGACCTGCGCCGGGTGTTTCTCTCACACTAGCGATTGTAAATTCCACCACGCGTCTTGCTGGTCACTATCTTTACCAGTTAATATTCCTATCCATCATCAGCTGGCTGTCATCCCAATGTCCTTCCTTCCCCGTGCTTGGCTCCCTTGGTTCGGGGCTGTCGAGGGCGATGGAAAGCTCTCGTGGGGAGGAACGGGCCTGCTCACCACCATTGGCATACTCCAGCATTTCTACATCCGCACCATTGCCTAATCTCTGAGTGGGTGGTACAGCCGTCATCTGGCTTTGGGGCTGATCTTGTCGTTCCGCGGCGCCAGGAGGCGGGTTCACAATCTCCCGTTTGACTGTCTCCGCGAGGTCGTCGATCCGATTTGCATCCAAATAGACCAAGAGGTACGGGTTCGGAGGCGGGTTCAAGCCGCTGCCGCTGGTTGGCTGCTGTTGACCTTGGGACTGAAATTGTGCATACGGGTTTCCGAAAATCTCGTTTAGATTGGTGACAGTGGAGACTCGATCGTCATTGTATTTCCGCCATACCTCTTTCTTGTGGTCGAATATGTACACCCAGTAGTGGCCTCCACCAGCCGAACCGCGGTGGAAGAACGCCGCATGGAGGCGGTAAGGGTGTTTGCGCATGTCGACGAAAGATTCTTTGATTTGTTGGGAGAGATGGAACACACGAGCACGGATTTCTGTGGCGAAGCAGAAGGGGAGATTAGGACTTCATCGTCAGGGGTGTAGAAGGGAGGGAAGCCCCTACCTCGGAGCTCAGAACGAGCATTCTCAGCTAAGATACCGAGAGTAGCGATCGCGTTTGGATTCACATGGAGTTCGCCTGATGTTTGATCTCCCGGCACTTCGGCGAGATATTCCAAGATGACCTTTGCATCTTCGAGAAGACCAGGCACATCTGCAGATTTGCCCTGCGCATGGTGTCAGCTCCTATTACAGTTCATGAAGGGAGGCCTGTCGTCTTACGTATTTTTCCTCAAGCTCATCCCTCCGTGTGACCAGTGATGCCAACTCCTTCTTGATCTCCCACGTCTGCTGCCGTCGTTGCAGGAGGTCAGAGCCAGGTGAACTTTCCAGGTATCTGTCCATGTAGATGGTCTCTGGAACATCGATGTGATAGTTCAGCTTCTCTTGACGTTTCGTCTCGTTATTCCACGACACGCGGTCCAAGGCTATGCTCAAGACTGGCGGTAGACTGGCGATTGATGTATATGCTTTTGCGCCATCTGGGGCATCTTGGAGGTCGAACTCGTTGTCAATCGCAGCATATACATCAGCGGGCCGATGGAATACCCGTGTGATGATATTGAGAAACGGTAGAGCCTCTGGTGCTTCTTTCTCAGGTTGGCTGTGGATTACCTGCTGCCCGAAAAATAGATCATGCACTTCGTCGCGTTGCTCTCCTGACCTATCGAAACCTGTAGGCCGTATGGCGTACGACAACTGGATAATGCAGTGGTTCATGACCTCGGTTACATCTTGTTGGCGGGCATACTCTTCCAACGTAGTTGTAGTATTCAGGATGGGTTTCCGTGGAGGCACCGGGGGTGGCTTCCCAGGAGGCGGGGCATACTTCAACAATTCAGGATCTATGCCAGAAGCCTTCTTGTCGGTATCTCCAGACACTGCACCTGATTGAGCATTTGGATTTGTTGGTGCTGCTGTTGTCAGCGGCTGCCCAGTCCAAGGAGACATAGCCACCGATGTTTTCGTGGTATTAACGGGTGACACATTCTCCTTGTTATCTGAGATCGACATGTGTTGTTCAGTTCTCTCCACCGTCACATTGCGGTCACTTTCAGAAGTTGACACCAAGGTGGCATCACTGGCACTGTCATTGACGACGGGATCATCGACATTTTGCTGGCCGGGACTCACGTCCTCTTCAGCTTCCAATTTCGAAGCGTCAGAGCTAGAGATCTTGTCAACGTCGGCGGTCTGAGTGTCGGTTGGAGATTGGATGGCTATCGTATCCATTGTCCCATTCGCCTCGGAGTCAACCACTGGCGAGAGACCCGAAACAGGTAACGACCCGATCGAGCCCAAGCTGGGGCGTTCATTCGATTTGAGTGTTGACCTTCGTCGCATCTTTTCCTTGACACTTTCAGTCTCCAGGGTCAACCGCGCAAGCTCCTGCTCCGGCTTGATGGATGAACGGGGTGTTTGTATCATGCCGCGGAACAGAGACGCCAGGCTGTCGACAAACCTCTGCGCAGTTTGAACCTCCTTGACGCTGACTTTTCGTTGTCCAACGCGCTTTTGCTCCATGCTCTTCTCGTCCAAGGGCATCTTGTAATCATCAAAGTTGAGAACTAACTGTCGCACTTGGTTCATCGTGAATAGGAACTGCAACAAGCTGTTCAAGTAGCAGGTATTCCCAATATTTTCTAGTCCGACAGGTTCCTCCGGCCTGCCCTGAGGTTCTTGAGGCGCCCTGCTGTGTAAATGGTCCAACAAAATGGAGCTATTCCGACCTTTGGCGATTGCGGCCAGAGCTCTGTTGTAGTATTCCACGCTGCCGGGATTTTCATCGACGGCTATATTATATTGATAGAGGATCATTTCATCGTCGATCTCGCGGTTGTCAATCTGGAGGGCTTGGTAGCCCTCAGCAGGCTCCATCTGGTTGCGCGTTTCGTTGGAAAACCCTGAGTCGATCCAGTTTGTCAAAAATGCGCTTTTGCGATGTTGAGCGATTAGGCGAACAGCTTGAGTAGCTTGCTCCTCAAGTGCCTTGTTGTCGTTTGTCTGCAAACAAAGATGAGCACGGATTGAGTGACAAGTGAGCAGGCAACAAACCTTGACAGCAAACAAAGCTTGGATGTGCTCGTCTTCGACTGTGGGATCGGCGTCGAGGAAGGCAAGTGCAGACTCGTAGCTGTCAATAACTGTGGTCAAATTGTGAGTAAGCGAATCCCAACTGATCGAGAGCGTGCCAACTCACTGTTCAGGGCAGTGTCAGTGATGCGTTTACTGTCACGATGAGCTCCGATGATACGGAGATAGTCTCTCAGTTGGTGTTCGTGGCCTGGTGAGTCTGCGAGTTGGGCTGTGAATGAACCGATAATGTCTTCGTCGCTAACCGGACCCCCAACATCGCTCAGATGGAAGGCTTTATACGCTTCATCCAACATTTCCGCATCATACCGGCCCCGTGACGTCTCCAATACGACTTCAGTCTCCAAAACTTCACTCTGGCGCTGATGCACAATATGCTTGAGGTTGGTGAGATACACATGTGCGTTTGGAGCATCTGTTTGCACCTGCCAGTGGTACGCTTTGGCCACCAGTTGGTCCGACAGATCCATCGGGCACCCGAGGGCAACGAAAGGACTGCGTCCACGTTAGCACACGCCCCATGATAAACCGGAGAGGGTTGCCTGTACGCAGTTTTCAGTGCGGGAGAGATTCGGTCAGTGCTGCTCTCAGGGTGCCTGTCATCTGCGACACATTAGTCCATCTCCACCAGATGCAGGCAGGCGACTCACAGTCCTGGCAGCCAAGGGCTCGTGAAAGCTCCCTATCCGCGGGTGCAGGAGGGGTGCTATCTTTCAGCAGCTTTCGTTCTTCATAGGGGCGCGACAGAATGAGAGCCGTCAATTCGTGTTCGGCATTATCTAACCAGAGGTTGGCAGGACTTTGGAACGGAAGGTTCTCGTCGAAGTCGGGTTCTGGGACCATCCAGCAACCTCCAGGCTATGATCATGGAGTCAACACACATATATCAACGTCTGCAGCTTGTCCACCTACCGCAGGCCGGAACCCGAGATGCTCCAGAACATCCCTACAAGCATGGCCCTCCAGTCCAAATCGAACAATGAATCTCCGATTTGACGCACTGATTGATCTATAGGTTGGTTGTTCTCTTGCACGCCAGGAATTCCTGATATACGTTCGAAGATCATCTAGGACATCAACCGGCGCCGGAGCCCTCATCCCCTCTGTGTCCCCTGCCTTCTTGCGAAAAGCCTCTTTTGATCTTTCACCAAGCAGCGACGGGTCGGTCAGGGTATGGATGTCGCTCGGACGCAGGACTGGAGGGCCGTAACGCACGGTAACGGTGGCGGAGCAGGTAGGGGAAGAACATCGGTAGGAGTATATTTCATCTTGAGAGTCCGGATTCTGGCGCCGCCACGCATTCTGTTCCAACGGCTCTTGAAAGGCTGACCTCACCAGGTGATGCAGAGGATGATCGACGTTTGGACAAGAGCCATTGTTAAATCTGATGCTGTAATCGATCTTGACATGCAAATGCACCCGGCACACTTGACAGAAAGCCGCGATGCACCATATTGACTCCGGCCCAGGTCTCTCGTCCAACGCGGGAAGCTCACATTGTCTCGGCTTCAACCCAAATTTGTGCCTGCAGCTATAAAGAGGTAGCCGGGCGGCCAAATAGGGCGCTTGGATGAACTTGAGAGGAGAATCAGCGAGCAGATTCGGAAGGTCTTCGGACTCTCGCCATGGCTCATAGAGGGTCAAATCCTCGATGAATGCCGGGGCAGTTCGACCTGTGGTATCTCGTCACTATACAGCATCTCTTGGGTATTATCTCTTGTCTACGCACCAGATCCTCTGATCGGCGCAATGAAGGACCGGATGTTACCTTGCACGCCGGCCATGCAAGTCGGTTGGAAAGCGATCGACCAGCTCTCCGAGCCAGCAATGAGGGCAGGCGTGCAAATGTCCTGTCGCTGAATCTAGACAAAGCGGGATATGGACGATCTAGGCTCATGCGGGCGAAGGAGACTTGGGACCGGGGAACTACTGTGATGGATTGTTGAAACGGAGGATTCGAGCAATGAAGCAGAGGACTGAACTGGACCTTTCCCCGAGACCGTCACCTCCGCAGTCTTCTGTCGAGCAGTGACAGAAGAGACGTCGGACAGACTCAAGCACATGCGCGGTCAATATGCTAGGTACCAGAGGAGTCCAGGAGATCCTGCCATAACTGAGGAGAAATGATGTATTTCGTAGCAGCCTGCGAATGGCGAAAGGCATATGCGACTCGAGAGCCCGTGGATTCCAAATCTGGGGGGCGCGTAAGGCGGCGCCACTGCCCAATAGCTTCCTGTGCGGCAGGTTTGCCGAGTCAAATTCCCATGCTCGTGAGGCCGCTTCATCGGGAGCCAGATATATTACGGACGGCGCGATTTTGTCTGGTCTAGACCCGTGTCAGAAGAGAGTTTTGCTCGTGCAGCACTAAGGCGGTTGTGAACTTCATTCAGCCTCACATCCCCGTGACATTGTGATCGTGACAGTCGACAACTAACTCCTGACGGACCGTCTCTCAGCAAGCACTAGGTAGAGACACAGACTGGTTTTCAAGCAGCCGAAGCCATGATATTGAGCCTCCATGATGTGCTGCTACCTGTCATAGACCTTGATTCCCACCACAGCTGAACCGTCAAGACTCAAGTTGCTTTCACGTCACCAGAAAGTGTGCCTGTTCTCAGTGTGAGAAGTGGAAGCCCAGACATCTTGAAGAAAATGAGATTAGTATGCTGCAGGCCAGCTCGACATCATAGAGTGTTGCAAGTCTCTCTGGGAAGTGCAAGTATATACATCTTTGCTCGTGGCGTCCTTGTCATAGCCTCGTATCTCTAGCCGTTCATTCCTCGATGGAACCCCATTTATGTATGGTTTGCCATTCAAACCTACCAGTAAAAGTTGAAGAACAGTTCTCACGGATCGTGGCCGATGTATAACCTACGTGCCTAGAAAGACGCGATTGAATCTAACGGTAAAGGAGTAGACAATGCCAATGTGACAGCCTACCGTGTGCTGTCTCGAGAGGACACAGAGCAAATGCCCACTTCATGAGCCGGAATTAGACGGCTCGCACATGTTCTGTATTGGTTGAAGGAGGAGTGTATCCGAACAAAGGGCAGTGGTCGAATGCCGAGTGGGCATATTCCGACCAGCGTCATGCTCGAAGGAGTAGCTCAGGATAAGTGACTACGATAGAACAGTATGGTGATATAGGTGAGGCACGCCGAGTTGTAAAAGCGGCTCCGACCAGTTCCTACTTGGGTAACCAGAGGCGCCAAGGCTGCGCCCGCCCGACTGCTGGTGAGAGCTTCAGCATTGAGGATTCTCACACCAGGTCAATCTCCCCATCGACACCACACCTGCCACTCCTTTCTCCCCCTCCACCGAGTCGATATCGCCCTGACCCAGTTTCGGATGACTTGACCCTGGTTACCCTCAACTCCCAACATCCAGGATCGCAGCCATGGGGGACTTGGTGGACCCGAAGCCCAACTACGATGTCGATGAACCCGTTTACCAACCTCAGGATGCTCTGGGCATCTCGGCTCGCTCGGCTGCATTGACTGGCGCGGCGGGGCTTTTCATTGCCTCTGTCCAGAACACTGTTGCGAAGGAACAAATCGGTGCCTTTGGGGTGTTTACACGGTTTGGGCGGACAATTGGTCTACTCAGTATGAATGGGATTCTCCTCCGACCATTGAAGTACAGTTCTGACCGTATCCAGCGGCAATGGGAGGTACATTCCAATTCGCAAGTACGGCTTCCGCAAATCTGCGAGAAAAGAATGATTACATCAACCATGTGATTGGGGGTACCATTGCAGGCTCTTTGAATGGCCTCTGGAGTATGGAACGCAAAACAAGACACATTGAGGATATTGCTGACTGATGGACAGAGCGCTCAATGGCATCGACGCTGGGCAGTGCTTTGGCTCTTGGCACCGCGATGGGCGTGATCAGCTACACTGGCCGCTCGATTTTTGAATCATCTTCAGACAAGGCCTTCGACGACCGGATGACACATAAAGAGGAGGCCAGGGCTCGGTTCAGGAGGCCGCTCAATGAAACAATCAACGAGCTGGGCGAAGGACGAGGTAAGCGCGCTCGGCAAGATAATCTTCGCAGGCGGCTGATTCACACGGCTTCAGGTATTTACGGGCCCGGGTACGAGGAAAGACGGAAGCAGAGAATTAAGGAAAGATACGGCTTCGATGTCCAACCGCCTTACTACGAGGGCAAGGCCGCACCTGGGGCATGATCCGCGACCCCTTTCTCCCCGGGCGACACCATTGGCTCCGAATCTGAAGCGCCGGCCTGGGCAGTTGTACTAGCGAACAAGGCTCCAGAGTGATGTTTTTTCAACCTTGCAAGAAGAGGGACGCAGACAGGCTTGTTACACCATGCGCAAGGCTGAATGTGAGGAATTGGCTGGCTCAATGGCCACGAAAATCATTTGTACATACGCGAACCATACCAAGATGTTCGAAAGCATATGCTTGCATTCCAGTCCAAACTCGAAAGACGAGGCTACGAAGATAGCTTCCTCCCTGGGTTTCTGTGGACCAGAGTTCCCATGTTCAACATCATGTGGCTCACTTTAGATTGCTGCCTCAAGACTCTTATGGGGAAAGCAACAAGCCACGGCGATCGAATTGATGGCCGGACTGATTAGGTACAAGGTGATGGATGAGCCCAGCAAATGCATGTGCATCAGTAAGCAAATCTAACCAAAGCAGGAACAAAATCTGCACACATGGAGGAATTGGGGCCATGCAAGAGAACAATGGCCTGGTCTTGGTGTTTTATTTCCAGTGTTGTGCCGTATTACCTATGTAGTTGCCCATACACCATGGCTTGGGTGGCTATTGTTGCTATATCTAGTGGTGTCGAATGCCACCCCTTGGACAAATGACACTGCGCAGTCCCTTATCCGCTGGTTTCCAGCAGTCACGCCACAACTTTGTACCAAACTTCGAACTCGATGGGATCTGTCGAACTCCCGTCGAGACATGAGTCCTCCACACCCAATCCAGATCTCCCGTGAGGCATCAAAAGGTGATGTTTCTGCTGGATAGTACTTCCTCGGTGCTTTCTCGCACGGGGCCAGGCAAAGAGGAGCTTGCTAATAGCTGACTGAGTCCTGCGTACGACGCTACAATGGACCAGCCCACTGGCGGATCGGTGGAGGGGGCGCAGAGATGAACGATTGATGACGGTATGTGCCGATTTCCTGAGCTTTTGCCTTTTGAGTGGGCAGCTGGACTATCGAGCCATTTGACCTGATCATCAGGCAATGCCACTGGCCCAGCCACCGCAGAGAGGATTTGCCTAGGTATACGGATTACCCTTCCCACGAGCTCCCGTCAGTGTCCATCGGAGCATGTTTCCCTCTCCTGCGAGTCTTCCCGTGGTGTCCTGCATGCCTTGAGAGCTGTCCTCGTTGCTTAGATAGCTCTCTTCTTGTTCCGGTTTAGAGGGTGTTCCAGGTTCGGAAGGCTGCCGCGCCTAAGAAGTGCAGCTGTTCACGGTTTCCAGTATGATTTGGCGGGGTGAGTGGTTCCCTCAAATAGTTCATGTGGCTAGCGACGCAATCGCGGGCGAGCTAGCTACCACGAGAGCTGTCGACTTGGTTAATCCTGCGAGACCACCCTCGGCAATGCTCAACCGGCGATCGAGAAGGAAAACCTTGGGGCCATGCTGTCGTACTGCGACGGGTGGTGCTCTGGCGAACGATCTCTGGAAGGTGTATATACTGTAGGGTACTGTAGCAGGACAAAGCGAATGCGAGTCATGACATCACCAGTGTCTGACGCTGGGCAGTCAGGAGAATGCCTCGTCACTCCACTGCCGCTTGATGCTCAGCACTCAATCTCGAGGGGTCGAGCTCCTCAGCAGCTCCACGCGCCAACCGCCTGGCCGCCATCCGCCGAGGGGGGCCCCCCAGCTCCTTCTAGTCACCCAGACTCCCCTTGGCCAGCTGCCAACTAACCAACCGCCCAGCAGCCTAATCCCACCACCCTTGGGCGGACCTTCCCCTCTCTTCTTCCAGGCGCTCCACTGGGCACCGACGCCCTGTTGCCATTCGACCAACGTGTTCCCGCCGTGCCGGTGGCACTGAGCAACTTCAAGGAAGGGGCCCTAATCCAAGCCTCCACCTCCCACGGCACCCACCCCAAGCTTCCCAAGCGGGCACTGACTTCACCGTTTTTATTATTGCCTTGGACCTGTCCACCTCAACGTCGACGCTCCCGCCCGCCCTCGAACCGCCCTCATCATCGCAACTTTCTTGACTCTTGGTTCTTCCTGGCATCGACGTCATCCATTTTTGCGCCGCCTGTCGCATTTCCTTTCCCTGGACTCGACTCCCCTCGTCTGAGCTCTCTTCTCAGCTTTAATTGCTGTACCTTTCGGACTTTCGCACCAACTAGGTGTGCTGAATACTCGAAAACGCCTGTGTCTGCTCCAAGATGCTGCTCACGACATAGCTCTCCAACGAGACCTACCGGTGTTCCTAGACTTCAATGACCTACAGATAGCGCTGCAACCGAGCTTTCACGTCCCTATCTTGACCTCGTCATCATGTCCTCGAGACCTATCACTCCTGTTTCACCGGTTCAAAGCGCTCACCCTGATGCTTCGATACATTCCGCGCGAGCACCGAGTGCTAGACTATCTTATCGGCCCGTATCCTATGCTGGTACCCAGCACACTGAGACCGTGTCGCATCCAAACCACTCTCAAGCCGCTTTACTGCAGGACCAATCCACCGTATCGCAAGCCGCCGACCTCCATGATGAAGTCGTCCACCAAAACCAGGACTCCCCAGAGCTCCCTCGGACCAACTCGCACATGTCAGGATCGCAGACGCTGCTACCATCGAGAGGCGGGACACTGAAGAAGAAGGCCTCCCTTCACAAGAGCGCAAGTCTGAAGAGGACTGCGAGCAAAAGAAGCAGCTATGCTGGCTCTGTGCGAAGCATGCCACTGGCCGAAAAGGAGAAGTATGGCGAAACCGAAGAGAGCAATAGTGTTTTCTACTGCCCGGTCCCGACAACCGGAAATCCAACAGAACTTCTCGCAGCGCGCTTCCAAGGTATGCTCTAACCCCCCATTGACCCACTCGGTGGTGCGTTCCTCTTCTAATCTCGGCGGCAGCATGGCGGAAAGTCCTCAAGGATTTGATCAATTACTTCCGCGAGTTGCACAAGACGTATGAGATGCGGTCCAAGGCGCTCATGTCGACCTCCAACGTCATCAACAACACCACCATCCCTTCCAATTTCTTGACGTCTGGTGGTTTGGGCGACGCCGCATATATCCTTCGAGATTTCCACAAACAAGGACTGAACGAAGCCAACAAGGCTCGGGATCTCGAAAATGAAGTCATTATTCAACTCACGGGTCTGCGTAGTGATCTCCAACAGAAGATCAAAGAGATCAAAAGCTTGTCTGGTGATTTTAAGAATTCAGTAGACAAGGAAAAGGAGGCGACCAAAAGGGCCGTCCAGTCTCTCCAGGAGTCGCTCGGCATGGTTGATCACGACGCAACATCTACCGGAGGGAAAGGGGATCCTTTTCTGGTCAAGATGGCTGTCGACAAGCAGATTGAGAAACAGATCGATGAAGAGAACTATTTGCATCGGGTAGGACGCCTCGGCAAGCTCCGGCACAATTACTTGAGCTAACATGAACAGGCCTACCTCAACCTCGAAGCCTCTGGCCGAGAGCTCGAGTCTATCGTGGTTGGCGAAATCCAGAAAGCGTACAACGTGCTTGCTGGTATCCTGCGCCGCGAGGCCGACGACGCCTATGATACCGCCGAGAAGCTCAAGGACGGACCGCTGTCGATGGCCAAGGACCATGAATGGGACGAATTCACCAGGAATAACAATCAAATGGTGGACCCAAGGATCCCGGTTCGACAAGTCTCTCACATTATCTATCCGGGAAAAGACCACCCCGCAGCTATAGAAGTGAGGAGCGGGATGCTCGAGCGGAAGAGCAAATATTTGAAGAACTACACCCCAGGATGGTGAGTAGAAGAAGCTTGCACTGCGAATGTTGCGGCTACGGTAACTAACTGCGCCCGGCAGGTACGTGTTGTCTCCGACACATCTGCACGAATTCAAGTCGGCAGACCGGATCGCATTCCAGTCGCCTGTCATGTCATTGTACTTGCCTGAGCAGAAATTGGGCTCTCATTCCGAGCGCGACTCTTCGTCTCATAAATTCATGCTCAAGGGTCGACAGACCGGCTCGATGCACCGAGGGCACGCGTGGGTGTTTCGAGCCGAATCCCACGAAACGATGTTGGCATGGTTCAATGACATCAAGGAGCTTACTGAAAAGCGAGGCGAGGAGCGCAACGAGTTTGTCCGCAGAACGCACGCTCGATCGCTGTCTGGCAATAGCGTCAAGCCGGCGAGCATTATCAGCTCGGAGGGCGAAATGGAAGACGATGAGGCGGATCGCGTTGCGTTTTCCGGTGAACAGTCCGTGCGAGGAACGTCTGCTGATGGAGCTGGGGCGGCTGCAGCTGCGGCTGCCGCCAGCGCCGGTGGACTCGGTGTGGTTGCGTTGAACGACATCGAGGACAACAGGTCTGAAGCCGGGTGGCGTCCTCCACAACGACCAGCACCAGGTGGGCGATTTCCATCTGATCTCAACGTACAGCGCGGCTTACAGGCTCCGCTGTCCCCTTCTAGTGGAGAGAGTTCTGACCCAGACCGTGATGTGATAGCAGCAGCAGGAGCTCTGCCGGGCAGCGGAGTACCTTTCGCCAATACGACGGAGAAGCACACGGATCTTCAACCGGACGCTCACCTCCCTGAAGAACCGACTTCACAGATGAACACGACCAGCCAGTATACACCAGGTCACCATCCGAATTTGTTCCCCAGCCATCAACCTCCTCCCGGCTCCCGTGATGGCGCGAGTCAATACGGTGAATGGATGGCACCGATCGCTGCAGGCACGGGAGGCGCGGTGTTGGCCGCCGGCGCCATGCATCATCACCACGAGCATCTGCAGGAGAAGCAAGCTGAGACCACTGCCCAACGACTAGACGGCGAATCAGCCATACCGCACTATGGGGAATCTTCTGCTCCTATCCCCGTAGCCACTGCGGCGCCTGTCGACGCGCCGTCTGGGCCGCGGGCAATGAGCGAAACAACGACAGCGCCCAGCTCGGCGGTTGCGAACACCGTATCCTCGGGGACAGAGGGAACTTTGTCAACCGTGCCTACAAGCAGCGGTCATGGCGCGGCGACGGACACCATGTTTGACGCCAATGGTGTGTATGCGGGGCCCAGAAGCTCCAAAACTGCGCCGACGGACTACGTGGTCAAGCCGGCGCCGGCCTATAGCAATGAGAAGAGCACCAGAGACTTCCATGTGCCAGGAGAGTTCCCTGCGACCCCAGCTCTCAATGACGACACAAGGATCTACCACGACGTGGTCCAACATTAGACCTGCTGGTAATACTGGAGCGTGGCACGTTGGACTGAGCGCGCTTGTCGCTACGAGACGAAATCCGGGACGGCTGTTCATTGGGACCAATGCATCTCACGATCTGTGCATACATATTGCGTGGTAATAGTCGAGATTTAACGTGGTCGTTCCTACGTGTTTGCAGTTTTGAGATACCACGATCGTTACGGAAGTTTGGTTCGTCGCTTGTCTATACGGTACTCGGGGGAAGCGCAATATGGAAGCATCACGACACATGATTTCCTGCGCGGCCAGCAACGTTCGAGATACAGGGAGGAACACCGTCTTGTGTGGGAAAGGGGCTATTGCAACGAAGGATTCCAGTCGATAGGGCGTCAGTGGGTTACACTACACTTAGCAATCGAAAAAGTCTTGAAGTCCTGCTCAGTCTTTTTTGTCCGACCAGGACTCACTCACAGTGTTCCATGCATATTTTTCGTTTCTTTTCTTCTGTTTCCTTGCAGGATGAGCTGAACGTTGTCGCAGGAGATGGTGCAAAGATGTGCCTCTGTCCAGGTGAGGCACCGTCCTATTCGGGTCAAACGTGCTTCATTGGACGTACAGTGTCAATGGCGTCCATGGTAGAGGGACTCTTTGGAGACGTCTCCAACATCGGCGAACCGAGATGATCCGAAATTGGTAGGAGAGGTGATGTACCTCGAACGCTGTATGTATGAATGTCGGCCATTCTCCACGACAGCTCCACTATAGATCGGGGCAAGGACGGGTCGATGGGACCATAATACTCGTTGGACTATCATCCTGAATCGCCAGTTTCCGACCGGGATGCAGGAAGTGAGCAAAACCAAGGCATAACCTCATCGGCTATTGCATCCATCCACCAAGTCGATAGATATCATGAAGCCCTTTAGGCTGTCGTTACCGAATGGGGCTCACCTTTCAGGCATTCTCTCGGTGCCGACCCGAGCCCCAACCTCGACGGCAACGCCTGCCTATCAACCCTTGGTCGTTGGCATACACGGTGGGACATACTTTTCAAAGTATTTCGACGCCGGTACCACCAACTCCGCCCTCCGGCTGGCAGAAACACTGGGAGTGCCGTTTGTCTCCATTGACCGGCCGGGCTACAAAGACAGCACGGAACTGCCTCCGGTGTCAGAGGGATCCACGTTCCTCCAGGAAGAAGGCAGATACCTCCACCGCTACATCCTCCCTACCATATGGCAAGAGTTCGGGACCAGCTCTGGAGCAACCACCGTCGTCGTCCTCGCACACTCGTTGGGCTCCCCAAGCGCTATCGTGGCCACCGCTCTCCATGCCAAGGAACCTCAACCTCAGTATCCTTGTGGAGGGCTGATCATGTCCGGCTGGGGCACGGTTCATGGCCGTCCACGCGCCAGTGCACAACATATTGTGGCGAACGGGGTCGTCGACGGCCGGATTGCTTGGCTGTTGGAGTTGAAAGACGGCCCAATGTTTGGGGATCCCCGCCTGGGACGAGTGTCACGCGAGATCCGGGACATGGGCGAGGAGCTGAATACGTCCATGTCCCTCGGGGAGTTTGCTGACGGCTCGTTCCAGTGGTTGGATTACTGGCAGGATTATGCGAAGGAGATCAAAGTCCCGGTCATGTATGGCCTGGGGGAACATGACGCCCTGTGGAAAGCCTCACGGGAGACTGTCCATGACTTTGCCCGGGAGTTTCGCGGGAGTCCCAGGGTCGAGAGCGGAATCGTGCTGGGAGCACCGCACTGTATCGAGTTGAGCTATTGGGGACCAGGCTGGATTTTGAGGTGCTTGGGGTTCGCGGCTGAGTGTGCGGCTACTGAGGGCGTGAGTCGGAGAGCTGCAGCAGCAGCAGGGGCTCAAGCCTAGCTGTGTCGAGAGAGAGGGAGGAGGACTAGGAACCTACCTATCTACCTACCTGGGACAGACACACAGAAACAGAGAGCCAAACGGGTGTACTCGACACATTGCCCCTGTCGTCAGCAAGACATCTTACGCATCTGCCAGCCAGCTTTGAGGGCCTCAACAGGACCAGCTTCACACTTCCCTACCCTTATCAGACTTCTCTTCTCAGATAGGTACCTAGGTAGGTTATCTGGCCTTTATTGTATTGATCAGATGCGAGGTTGGAGGGTTGGGCATGTCGACAGTGAAGACCGTGAAAATTGGTACCTACCCCAATATGTGTGTGACATAATATCTCAAGCCACTCAACTCAATCAACAACCGTCTTCTTTCTTCATCCTCCTCCTCCTCCTCCTCCTCAACAACAACAACACCACCACCACCACCACAACCACACAGATGGACAACACAGAAATCCGAAGAGGCGACTTCGTCTACAAAGACACGCTCTTTGTCGACCTGGGCGGCCCCAACAGACGCCATCCCCGCGCCTCCACCACCGACCTCAAGGACCTGTTACTGCCCAAGCGTGGTTCGACGCCCAAGGACCAGGTCGCCCACTGGTACGAAGCGCAGCTGCTGCACTACGGCCTGCCGCGCTCCAAGGACAAGAACACGGCCAAAGTCCGCCTGACCAACGCGCTCTCGGCCAAGGCCCTGGCCGTGCCGCCGGAGATCGTGCAGATGGAGGCCGCGATGAAGAAGGACTTTGCCAGTGCGCTGAGGAAGGCCAAGAAGGACGTCCACCAGCCCGCCGCCGGGCAGAAAGAGAAGAAAGCGATGGCCAGCAGTGGTGGGAGCTCGAAGAAAACGACGACCATCGAGCTGGAGGTCGACGGCGTGAAGCTCAAGATTGACCGGGACGTGCTCGACGCGGCCAAGAAGAAGAAGTCGTCGTCGTCGTCGTCGTCGGCCGCGGCCAAATCCAAAGACGCCTCTGGTGGTGCCTCGTCATCTAAAAAGCCCCCCAAAGGCGCCAAAACATCCTCTGCCACCCCCAAACCTGGCTCTGCACCCCCAAAATCTCCTGCTCAAGCGCCCGCCAAATCAACCGCCGGCGCAGCACCACCACGAAGGCGACAGACTGCTCGACGAAGCACTCCGTTCCCTCGTAAAACCAGCGCCCGGCCCGTCGCAAACCCTCCCACACAGGTCCATGGCCACACACCCGTCTCATTCCGCCACGACGTCGACATGGACGACGCCCCTCCGGCCTACGAGTCACTGGGGTTTGATGAGGAACCGGACGACCTTCCCCACACCTCTGACGGCGGCGTCGTCCAAGTCTCCGGCACTTACTTCATACCCAAGAAGCCGTTCTTCCCCTTTGACGTGACGCTCCAGATCGACCACCGCCAGCAAAAGCTCTGGGGCCGCTTCAGTGTGGGATCCAAGCTGGGGGTGCTACACGCGGACGACATCTCTCGCATCACGACCGGAGACGCGGTGTCATTCGGGTGGAGGTCCGAGGATGACAACGACGGCGACATGAAGTTCGGGCGGGGGTGTGATGGACACATGGAGTTCGACCGGGAGGGTTGGGTGCAAGGCCGGTTCCGGGGACTGATGCACGGCGATGATGTCGACTTTCAGGGACATTTGGTGAATGAAGATGGGTTAGATGTCGAGGAAATGAGGCATATCTGGGACGACTTTCCCCGGAAGGCATATGGCAGACACTGAAGTCGTGGTGGTTGGTTGCCGAAGAAGGATTCTGATTTTATTTCTGTTTGCCATTATTGGCAAAGACTACTAGGGAATCTCGGTCATGTTGGGATAGTGAGCGAGGACGAGGACGAGGACGAGGACAGGGACAGGGGCAGTCATTTTATGACACCGTGATACCCGTGGGCGGTGATATTGTTTGTAGTGTTGTCATTGTCATAGTTACAATCTTTCCCCAACACTCTGGTGCTCCCTCCTTCACTGTCTCTCATCTTCGTCTGTCTCCCTTGTTTGCAATACTTCGGTACGGACATATTCATCGATCCGAAGTTCTTCTTGGCTGGTGGTTTCTCGGTTGCGAATCGGCTGCAGCCCCTGATGGATCGACCAGGGGGCCTCCTATCATCCTCGTCCAGCCAAAGATTCCTTGCTCGGGCCAGGCCATGTATTTTCTTTTTGCCAGCCTCGTTGTGTGTTGGGGACGTCCACCACCAAAAGAAGGAACAGCCACTCACTCGCTCACTTCTAGCACAATGTCGTTGTCCTGAATCCTGACCATCATCACTATTATTACTATTCTTGAAACGAAAAAGAAAAAGATCAAAAGAAAAAGATCAAAAAAAAAAAGAAAAGAAAGATCTATCCGTCCATGGCGTCAACAGCAAGGAGATCTTCGACCCTGTCGACACGGTCCGCCAAACAGAGGAAATACTCGACCGATCGCCACCAACGCGCCGCCGAGCTCTCGATCCGCATCGAAGAAGGTCACGGTCGACCCCTGCGCTGCCCGCCGCCGCTGGTCCGGGAAGAAGACAGCCCCTCAACGACGACGACGACGACGCCGACGTCGTTCGTGCAGGATTTTTTCTCCAGACCGTCCCAGGCAAAGAAGGGCCACGTCGCGGCGGCCTCGTCGCTAACCCACTCCGACTTCTTTCCGTGTCCCCTCGACGTGCACCCGGGCCAGCGCGTGAGGGGCTTCTCGGACGCTGCTGCCATCGCCTTCGACGACGAGAAGAAACACGGACTCGTGGTCGACGCGCAGGAAGAGCAACCGCTGGCATTCACCAACCCGTTCCCCGAGCCCAACCCGCAGCAGCAGCTCGAGCTCGAGCAGCGTGCCGCCGTATTTCGACGCGTCAACACCGACATCAACGCCGAAGAGGCCCAGATCCGCATCACCCGCTCCGCGTCGGACGTCGTGGGCCGTCGCGCCGGTGCCAGTCGCCCCATCGACCGCATCCGGCGCTGCTTGGGCATCAAGCCTGCCATCAAGCCCGGTGCCATCAGTGGCATCAAGCACGCCGCCGGGCTCGCGACGACGCACGCCACGGCCATCCTCTCACAGAAACCGGCCCCGCTGTTCAAGCGCAGGGCGCTCTATGTGTTGGAGTACGACGTCGGTGAGTCAGATAAGTCCCTTGTTGAGATGGATATCGGCTTTGGACTGGGCTCTCTTTGATTTCCCATTCTCTCTCTCTCTCTCTCTCTCTCCCTCCTCATTCCTTCTTCTAACGCTACTCCCACCAGACGACCAGGGCGTCCTGCTCTGCGCACCGCCCAAGCTGTGCGAAAACGTGGCCGGGCTGCGCAAGCACCTGGAGGAGGACGAGCACGCGGAATCCCTGCTCCGGCTGATCTACGTCTGCAACAACGAAGAGGCCATCAACTACCTGAGCAACGCGTTCGGCATCAGCGGCTCCAGCGCCGAGACCGGCGAGCGCAGCTTTCGCGACTGGATGCAAGACGACCGCGACACGCGCCGGGCCTCGCACAAGGCCATTCGCTGGCGGCCGGCGTTCGACATTGCCAGAGGTGTCATCTGCATGGCCTTTGGGCTGGATTTTGGATCGTTGGTGGTGCCGCGCCAGGAAACTCCTTCTCCTCATTCTCATTCTCATCATCATCATCACCATCATCATCATCACCCGCATCTTCATCGGCATCCCCAGCAACACCAGCATGCGCAACAACCCGTGCAGCCCACCACCAGGCCCTCGCTCTACCGGCAGCGCATCTCCGTCTACATGCAACGTGCCTCGTCGCAAGCCCTGCCCGGCCCACGCGTCACGCGCTTCAACTCGGGCTCCCGCCATTTGCACGACATGGCCAAGCGCGACACGATCATCATCTGTGAGTATTCATCCGGCGAGGCCGGGGAGATCGTCAGTGCGAATGTCCTGCTGGGTCTGAACCCGGGGGCTCTTTTCCCGCCGCCGGCGCCCTTTGCCTTCAGCCCTGGAGCGCAAGAGGACACCCGAAAGACCCCGGCTCCCGTAGTGGACACCACACGACGGTCCGCGTCGACGCCCACGCTGCAAGCCGTCCTCTCGCACGTCTTCGACGGCCTGTACCAGCTGTGGCGCGACCAGATCGCGCTGATCCACGAGCCGCACGCCGCGCTGGAGGACCACATCTACGCGCACCCGGCCGACTCGTCGCGCGCCCGCGACGTTTGGGCCATGTCGCAGCGCCTGCACAACATGCTGAAGCTGGTCAACCGCCACTCCAAGGTGGTCGAGGCCGTGCAGGACGACTTTGCCGTCTTTGCCGAGTTTGCCGAGATGATGATGATGGTGGACAAGTACCCGTACCAGTACCAGTATCAGTATTATCACTATCACGATGGCGGCGGCGGTAAATGGCACGGGGGAGGGGCGCCTGAGCAGTGGCGGCCAGGAGAAGACGGGTTCTCGGGAGCCAGAGAACGCAGTAGTGGTGGTCCTCGTGGCGCCGGTAGTGGTGGTGGTGGTGGTGGTGGTAGTAGTATTGGAAGCAATGCTACGACCTGGCTGACGCCGCTGCTGGACGACTTTGAGGTGCTGGCCGAGAACATTGGCACCGATTACCTCGAGCCGCTGGAACATATGATTGACCTGGTATGGACTTGTGGATGGATGGGGGCATCTTCCCTTTTTCCTTTTTCCTTCTTCTCTCCCCTTTCCCCTTTCCCCCTTCTTCCATCTCCTTTTCGCCCCAGAATTGTCTGCTTGCTTGATCGGTCGGTCGGTCGGTCGGTCGGTCTATTGACTCACTCTGTCCAATTCACCATTCACACAAAATATACTAACTACCTCTCCCCGCTCCGCTACTACAGATGTACAAGTCCGTCACGATCCGCGACTCCAAGGTGTCTCTCGAGCTCAACGCCAGCCTGTGGCGGCTGAGCTGGATCACCTTCATCTTCCTGCCGCTGACGTTCCTGGTCGGCGCCTTTGGCATGAACGTCGACGCCCTGCGCGACAACCCCAGCCTCAAGTGGTACTTTGTCGCCGCCGTGCCGTTGGTATGTCACCATCAACACACACAGGGAAAATTACATGTTCCTTTCCCTTTGCCTTTCCCTTTCCCCTTCTCCTTCCCCTTTCCCCGTTTTGTTTGGGTATATCTTTATACGCCTTGACCTCGACCTTACCTGGTCGAGACTGCTGTTTTAATCCATACCGTGCCATGCCCTGCCACACTATGCTACTCTACGCCATTCTGTGCTCTGTATGGCATTACGAAGAACAGACCTCCTTTGCTGACACCGAGACAAATTCACGACGATCAATAGATGCTGGCCGTTTTCTTCCTCTGGTTCGCCATGCGCCGCTTCGCCCCCGGCCGAGACAGGGCCGGACTCCTCGACGCGGCCGTCCTGGGTGCCGGGCTGGGCACTCGCTCGCTGTGACGAGCCATCCATGGGTCGTGGATATTATCATCTGTATTTGATCGGGTTGGGTCGGGTTTGGTACCTATGGTCAAGGGTCAAGGATAGAAAGTAGGAACTGGATGGCTGCGGATCGGGGTCTATGGGTTTAGCGGTTTACGGGCTATGGCATGTGCGTGATGATTAATGTACTGTCATGTCATGTCATCATATCTGGTCCGGTCAACCCTTGTGTGCTGTTTCGTCCCGCTCATTGTTTTGTCTTGTTCCTTTGGCCCGCGGGGGGCGGCGGCTTGAGGATCGATTGCACCTGTTGTCCGTTGGTCCAGGCAGGACCACCAACGTACTGTACACTGTAAACATTTAAATAACTACAATCATGTGTTCTTCCGAGTACACTCTGTCTGACACCATCCCTGTCCCGCGGCAAACTTATCCAACACCGTCGTCGCCTCGTCCATGGCGGCCAACACAGGCTGCATGGTCGCCGTGTTGTTCTGCATGCTGAGCAGGTGACTCCGCAACTGACCGAGCAGCGAGTTCATTTCCGGGTCGCTGTTTTCCGAATCGAGCGAGAGCGTGGGCGTGGGTGACGTGGAGGAAACACTCTTGTTGTTGTAGTTGTTGTTGTTCGCAGGGCGTATTATTATTCCTGCCACGTGGTTGACGCGCTCAATCTCCTCTCGCTGTCTCGCCTCGACGCCGTCTCCGTCTCCGTCTCCGTCGTCGTCTTCGCCCCTGGGGCGGTGCATGCTCCTGGCCAGCGGATGCAGGCCCTGCTCTTTCTTCCGCCTGAGCCTCTCACTGCCCTTAAATCCTTCTTCCAACGTCTTCAGCTGCGCGCGGTCCCTCTTCAACGCGAGTTTCTCCCGCCTGATCTGGCGCCGGAGCAGGTGCGCCGACTGGAGATTGGTTGTCAGCTGCGACTGGAGGGTCGCGATGCGCGTGAGGGTCGCGGACAGGTCGAACGGAGAATCGTCGACCGTGGTGGTATTTGTATTATGTGTCTGTGGGAATGGCATTCGCGGCAGGCGGGCGAGGAGTCTGTCATAAGGGGGGGTGGGTGTTAGGAACGGCAGTCAAGGGAGGGTAGGGGGACGATAGAGAAAAGCGTGGACGTGGCTTGGTTTGGAGAGTAGATGCAGAGCAGAATCAAACGTACTTGTCAGCAACCTCCTCGATCATTTTCTCATACTCTTCCTCTCGGATACTGGCCGCCGTCGCGTTCTTTCTCTGCCCCTTCGCGTTGTTGCGCGACTTGCCGATCGGTGGGATCCTGCCGTTCCCGCCAGCACCAGACCTCTTCGTCTTGAGGTTCAAGAAGATCTGTCTGACCTTGTCCTGTGACGACGCCGGGAGAGGTCTCCATTTCTTGCGGATCGTGGATTGGGACACCTGTTTTATGCGCGGTTCGAGGGTGGCCAATCCCGCTCTGGGATTTGATGAGGCAGATACAGATGGAGAGGGTTTGGATGCGACCATTATGTCTTCGCCTGAACAGACAATGCTTCCGCAATTTGGAAAAATAGGACAACAGTTTGGAGAAGCACGAGTATTGAAGTACACGATCTGGTACATCGCAGTCGAGTCTCGTGTTGATACCATCCCAATTAGGCTTAGTGCAATAGACTCGACTAATGCTAACACAGTTAGACTGGATTGTGTATACACATAATCTCTATCTTCCTTTCTACGGGGTGTAGGTATCATCTATCCCCTCCTCTATCCTTCTATCCTGTCGCGGCAAGATTCACTTCCCATACCATCTCTTGCATGTTCCCCCAGTAGACGCGCGTAAGGACTCATCTCAATAGGTGTAGTAAAAGTTGGCAACTCCCTCGATCAAACTTCCCTTCCTCTTTGATCTGCGGTTGGCGATCCAGAACCACAATGTACATGTTGCAACCACGACGATCATCAAAATATGACTCCCGATGCTCACCCATATTGCGGTCAAATATCGGGGGGCTTCGGGTTGGCGGACGATGTAACTGCCGGCTATGCCGCCCAAACCATTGCAACCAGAAACGGCCGCTGCCACTGTGGCACGCTTCCATTGACCCACGATGTTGTTGGCTTGATAAGCGTTCAGTGCGGCCCAGTTGGAGATGTACGCGCCGGTGGCCAGAAACGTGCCAATATATCTCACCGTTACTTGACTGCTGAAACCTAACATGCAGAATCCCACGATCAAGCAAATTGCATTGAAAATGATCACCGGTGCTCGAACCCTGTATTTGTCTCCAATGAACGAAGAAAGTAGGACGGGAATCACCGCATAGTAGTAGGGGGGCGATGACAGAAGAATGGCCTTGTTGGAGTCGAAACCCATTCCGCTCTGCAGAATAATGGGCAAGAAGTACGAGAGAGCCGTTGAGACCAAGTTGAGCAAGAAGAACAGCACGCAAAAAGCGTAAAGCTTCCAGTCAAGAAAGTGTATCAAAATGGCACCCAAGCTGAATGGTTCGGGTTTTCCACCATCACGGCGATCCTCATTGATCCGAGAGATTGCAAGACTCTTCTCATCCTCTGTCAGGAAGTGGAACGAGTTCTCGCAACGGTCGGGGAAGTCGATCATCCAGAAGTAGGTGATCAGCCCGAGAAACACAGTGACTGAGCCTTGGACAAGATACATCCATTGCCAACCTCGAAGGCCATCGTGATGATCGAGGTGATTCAACCCAAAGTTGACGATAGAGCCGGTGGCAAGGATGATGATTTCTCCAGATTGCAGCAGCGCAAATCGGAGCTGCTGCTCGTGGCGAGTATACCACGTTGAAATGAGATATGTCAGTCCCGGATAGATTCCCGCCATAGAGATACCGAGGAGGACCCGCAGGGCTATCATCTGTTGCCAGTTGGTGATCGCGGCGGTGCACATGGTGATGATACCGAAAGCACAAGTAATGGACGAAAAGAACACCCGAGGTCCTACGAAACGTAACAAGATAGTTGCCGGGAGTTGACAGCCGACAGAGGCGACGGTAAAGATGAAGATCGAAACAGAGTAGCGATCTCCGACAAGGTTGAGATCAGAGAGCATGCTTGTGACAGCTGCCGACGAGATTATTCCACTGTCGAGGAGATTTAGACTGCAGAGAATGCCAGCAATGGTGCAGAGCCGCAGGTCGACCTTGCGACGGAGGCGAGCCTCTGCCTGGGCTCGAGCTGGATCATTTTGCAGTCCCTCCTGGACGACCTCAGAGCGTCGGTTTGGGTCGGAGGGGCCAGTCACTTGAACACTGGGTGCAATTTCGGATTGGTTCTCTAGAACTCGTTTCTTCCCGGGGAAGAGAGCCATGGGGAATAACCTGCGAGTCTCTCTAGCTAAGAATTGTCTCGTGAAGGAAATGGGTGTTATTCAGTAGAGAGACACAGGTCTGTGGCAAAATGCCACCCTCCATTATTTTCCCCCCGGTCACAAAGACTGTGCGTTGGTGCGGGGAAATGAGGGCGATAAAGTGCGTATGCGATAGCGGTAATCAGTGCATGAGTAGCACCGTGATGCCATGTCGAAGCGATCTGCTGGATACGTTGGAGTCTGGGATGAAGATGATCATCGCAGTGAGCACGTGCCTAACTCTTCCCGTGATGGACAATAGCGTGTTGTTGACAGTTATCTGAGGCTCTGCTGTGATGCAGGATGCAGGTTCAGCTGAGCACGTGAAAGAGCAGTGACGAGCAGGTTCTCTCTGAGTCAGGGACTGGGAGCTGATTTGACTGCTGCTTCCCAGAAGTGATCCTGTGGCAGGCGGCTAGCTTCCATTTTCACTGTGGTCACACAGTATTCAAGATTGACTGAGCTGAAGAAGAGCGACAGGCCGATTGTCCGGAGTAGGTGGCACATGTCAGCCGCCACCGCAACTGCGGAAACGCTGAAACGCTGAAATGCTCAGCCTCACACGCTTCCCGGGCACGTGCGGCTCAGCCTGATTCCTTGGGACCAATCAGCACTTCTTCCGAGGTGTCTCCATGACGATGCGAAGCCGGCCGGGCGAATGGAAAGTGCAACCCTGGGACTGGGACGCCCTCTCTTCGGTCACCCGATTTCCAGATCCAGACCAAACCAAACCAAACCAAACCAAACCAAATCACAGCCCTCTGGGTGCTGTGCCGCCTAATAATGCCTACCACCTACCGCCTGGCCACCCGTCGCTCGTGCATAGAGGAATCTCCCATTCCCATCCTGTTTCTCAAAGCTCAACAACTTCATTCGGTTATCGCCATTACTTTCGCACTGAGCCAAGTTCCCATATTTTCACACTGACTGCTGCTACAACCACATAGACTCCGTCCTCGCTACAGCCGACCCTCCCCCCGCAGATGACAACCTCAAGTTGATACCTCCCAGGATTAAGCATGGTTGAGCTGATACCTCCTCCTGATCCCCTCTCTTTACTCCCTCCCTTGCTCGCATGTCTACCTACCTCGTTCGCATCTCCTAGACCACCGCCCGCACTGCTACCTTTGCTGTCTCCCGTACTACGGCAGCGGTTACAACTACACACACCGACTTCGTCACGCGACAGCTGGGCTGGGCTGTTGTGTTGGGATGCCAAAAAAGGCGAAGTGCTGAAGGACAAGATCGAGGGCGCAGTCTTCGAGCCTCACCCAGCGTCTGGCGAGATCGAAGTGGGTGAGACACATCAGATAAAATACAAGAGGTTTGATGAAGAGACATTACGGGCACAGATTCCTCTAGTGGACTGGCCATTCACCGCCTTATATCTGTGGTGCACTGGGAATGAGGAGGGCAATGCCTGGAAGCTTGCAGAGTTGTTGCCGTTTGACCAAGACCTCCAAAGAGACCCTTCTTGGTCGACCTCTATTGGCGAAGCAAACGAGAGTTCCAAGGAGCGGCTGGTCGACGAAGCTCTGCAGGAGGCCGACAACGCTGCAAACGCGAGAAGTCAGAGAAATCTATCAGTTCCACCGGCGAACGAGGATGACTACTGGGCCATGTATGACAACACACCCAGCAGGACCCCTGCTCGGAAAGAATCCGTCCAACCTGCACAAGGTCCTTCTGAAGACGAGTATTACGCTCGATATGGGAGTGTTCAACCTGCCATGGATAATCACGACCCAGACGAACAGATGGAGAGCAGCGAAGAACCTCGGTTGAATGGGCACGCGCTGCAGCAGATGCTGTCAGCAAATCGGCATCCTCATACCGAACCAGATCCTCCTCCATACCAGGGAGGATTCGCCGACCTCGCAAACGATCCGGGGGAGATAGAAGTAGAGGTCAATCAGCCAGTACCGTCGTCCCCGTCGTCGAGGGGATCTGACGCGGTGGCCCGGCTGGAAGAGCATGCAGAGCGGTACGGAGCATCAGAAATTGGCATCAGGCAGCATATCAGCACCACCATGAAAAGCATGTATCGGTTGGCACGTAGTGCAGGTATCACTCGGGGGGAATTTGAGCGCATGATGCAACGGGAATTGGAAACTCTGAGTCTGCTGGATCTAGATGAGTGAACAGGCATATGCTCTGTGTTGTGTGTTGTAAATAGTGTTGGCAAATTCGAAATGAGATCCGGATATTCACCAGGAAGTGCTCTGATTAATATGGTATGCGGGTAAGGGGGTGGGTGAATATCGCCCCTTTCCACGAGGCTCTGGCGCACGGGCCACCTCTCCTTTTTTGGGGGGCGGGGAGGGAAACTCGTAACGTCGCGTCAAAAAAAGTTCAGGACACGTTAATGTGTTAATGTGAGACCTTCTCCTCATTTCCTCATTCCCTTCCAACGTTCATGCTATGCTCTTCCTCGTTCCGAGGGCTGTGAACCTCTTCTGATTCTTCGATTCTCTTCCTTCGTTCGTGGCCCGTTTACTTTCCGTTTTAAATTCCCGCCAGTCAACACCGTCCTCACTCTTGCTTGCATTGCACCCAATCCCTTCGTTATCTTCGAGACATCGAATATGTCGTCCCCCAATTCGACCCTGCGACACCGGGGACCAAAAGAGAAGAATAAAGCTACAGTCGGCGGGGACAACGACGATGAGGTTTTGAACAAGGCACTCAACAATGTGCAGAAGGGTCTGACCAAAGAATGGGACTATAAGCTGGCTCTAGGGGTAATTACTGCCCTTGCGTTTGCAACCCGGTTCTTTGGGATCAGCCATCCCAATGAGGTCGTCTTTGACGAAGTGCACTTTGGAAAGGTATGTGGACATGACAAAGACTTGAGATGATAACCAGCTCTGACGGGAAGCTACGCGCAGTTCGCATCCTACTATCTCCAGCGCACGTATTTCTTCGACGTACACCCTCCCTTTGGAAAGCTCCTCTTTGCCTTTGTGGGCTGGCTTGTCGGTTATGATGGACATTTCCTGTTTGACAATATCGGTGAATCCTACATCACCAACAACGTTCCCTACCTTGCGTTCAGAGCACTACCTGCGTTCCTCGGAGCCCTTACCGTGGTGGTCGTCTACCTCATTATGTGGGAATCGGGGTACTCGCTCCCAGCGTGTGTATTGGCGGCTGGACTGGTTCTCTTCGACAACTCCCACGTAGGCCAAACCCGGTTGATTCTGCTGGATGCAACGCTGGTCTTCTTCGTGTCGCTCAGTATTTATTGCTACGTTCGATTCTACAAGCAGCGGCACGATCCTTTTGGCCGAAAGTGGTGGAAGTGGCTTCTTCTGTGCGGCTTCTGCATGAGTTGTGTTATTTCCACCAAATACGTCGGTGCCTTTACCTTCTTCACCATTGGATGCGCAGTCCTCATCGACCTTTGGGATCTGCTCGATATCAACCGGAAAGACGGCCCCTTGGATCTTTTCACCTTTGGCAAGCATTTCGTGGCTCGCGCGCTCGGCTTGGTCATCATACCTTTCTTCTTCTACCTGTTCTGGTTCCAGGTCCATTTCGCCATTTTGAGCAGATCTGGGCCAGGGGACGACTTCATGACCCCAGAATTCCAGGAGACCCTGAGCGACAACTTGATGCATCAAGCGTCCGTCGACATCCAATACTACGACTACATCACCCTACGCCACAAGGACACGAAGGTGTATCTGCACAGTCACCCAGATCGATACCCTCTGAGATATGACGATGGCCGAATTTCGAGTCAAGGTCAACAAGTCACGGGTTACCCCTTCAACGATACCAATAACGAATGGCAAATCCTGCCCAATACTGTAGTCCCTGACCCCTCGATGTCGGGAAAACCGGTTTTGAACGGCGACGTCGTCAAGCTTCGACATGTGGTGACCAACACCCTGCTTCTGACCCACGACGTTGCATCCCCCTACTTCCCTACCAACCAGGAGTTTACCACCGTACCCCCTGAGGTTGCAGCCGGAGACCGCCACAACGACACTCTGTTCGAAATCCGCATGGAACAAGGCAAAAAGGGCTCCCCATTCAAGACCATGTCTGGCCAATTCAAACTGATCCACTACCCGACCAAGGTCGCCATGTGGACGCACACGACCCCTCTGCCGGAGTGGGCTTTCAAACAGGCAGAAATCAACGGCAATAAAAATGCCCAACAGTCGTCGAACATCTGGTATGTGGACGACATTCCCAACCTTCCTGAGGATTCCCCGCGCCGAGTGAAGGAGGTCAAGAAGACCAAGTCCTTGCCCTTCTACAGGAAATACATCGAACTGCAGCGTGCCATGTTTTACCACAACAACGCGTTGACGGCTTCTCACCCATATGCAACCCTACCCTACCAATGGCCCTTTTTGTTGAGGGGAGTCAGCTTTTGGACCCAGGACTCGACCAAGCAGCAGATTTACTTCCTGGGAAATCCCATTGGATACTGGATCGCGAGTGCCTTGTTGGCTGTCTTTGCCGGTATCTTGGGTGCAGACCAACTGAGTCTGAGGAGAGGCATTGATGCGCTTGATCGTCGTAAGTTCAACCCGTGTCCAATTTCGACAGCCTCACGAAGGAATAATTTACTAACCGTGGATCACCTGTTGACGTAGGTACCCGCTCCCGCCTTTACAACTCGGCAGGCTTCTTCTTTCTCTGCTGGGCCGCGCACTACTTCCCCTTCTACCTCATGGGCCGTCAGCTGTTCCTCCACCACTATCTCCCTGCCCATCTCGCCTCGTGCCTCGTGACGGGTGCCCTCGTCGAATTCATCTTCAACGTCGACCCTGCCGTTGACGACGAGACCCACCACGCCGTGCAACAGAAGAAAGACAAAGTCACGGGCAAAATCCCAGAGAAGACGAGGAAACACTTCCAGACTGCCGCCGAGAGACTCAAGGGCCAGAGCATGCTGGGCACTTGGATCGCGACGGCCGTCATCCTGGCCGCCGTCCTGTACGGGTTCTACTTCTTCTTCCCACTGACGTACGGCTGGCCGGGCTTGACTCCCGCTCAAGTGAATGCGCGCAAGTGGCTCGGGTACGATTTGCATTTCGCAAAGTGACCGCTCTCCTTCTTTCACAAACCTTCGGAGGTGCCAAAGCGAAGGGCAGCGACTCCCCAAGGCAGAAAGACCCGGCGAGCAAGGCTAGGCAAGACGGCCAACGGAACCGAGAGCCGGAGCCACGTCTTTCTTTTCCTTCTTGGGCTACGTCAGCTTCCACGCATGACGTGGATGTCAAGGAGGGGGATAATGGAGACGGGAGGATCCGCACTCTTTTTGGGAAGATACACGGCGAGACTGGAGGGCATGCGTGCGAGTGAGAGCACGAAGCGAATGAAACCAGGTCAAGGCAAGACAATCGAAGAGGGTTTAGAGGCACTACTACCCTACCGAGCGCACAGCCTTCTTCCTACTTGGGGAGCGGGCAAGAAGCAGCGAAGAGCATCTGTCATACATCACAACAACCTTCCACTGGAGTAAATCGGCACGTTGAATTGGAGTTGAGAGTTGAGTCGAATTGGGGGACCTCTCCGTTGGGCTCATCGACGGTCTCACCAATTGTGTATGCAATGAGTGTCTGTTTCGGGGCCGTTGCTCCGATGGACCGGCAAAAAAGTACTTTTTGAATGAATGGAGGGGACCATGACATGAGATTCGAAATGGTAGATAGATACGAGTCCACACCTGATGAGGTAGCTCCAGTATCTACAGCCGAAATGTACCCAACCCCGAAAGTGAGGACTCTGTGCATGTACACGCAGCCGTTTGTCTGGCTCTTCCTGCTGTGCTGGATAGAGCATCTGGCATGGACGGAGGAACGCTCGTCCCCTTCATTTTCAGTCTCATGCGTTGTTCGTTGTGGGGAGGCGGCCCATGTCATGTCATGGCAGTAGTCCCTTTTCCCTAATTGAGTCAACACACACCACATTGCCGTGGTTGCTGTCGCTTGCCCGCTTGCTCTAGCCTTGTCTCGCCGTGGAAAGGCCTGTGCCAGAGTCTCGGCTCTGCAGGCCCAGCCTGCTGCCGCCGATCAACTTACTGCTCCTCTTATCGTGATCGCGCTGGTCTGCTCTCCTCTCCTCAATCCATCCGGACCGCGCGACAGGTGGACGGGCTCGGGTATAATCTACCCAAGAGTGTCTGGCTGGCGGTCGCGGTCCAAGTGTGACCGGCCAGGAGATGCACGTGGAGCCTGCCTGATAATCGCCTGAAAACTTACGGTGTAATCCCTGCACTGCGAGGCGTGGTTTTGGAGCATTGCGCACGAGGTTACCGAATGGGAATCAGATAAAGAAAGAACACTATCGAATGCCTCGGGGAGTACATGGGTCCCGGGACAGTCGGATTTGCGATTCTGCCTGGCAGAAAGGCTCTGGTCCATTGGACAGCGTGCCCAATGGGTTGCAGTGCCTGCAGGTATGTTCGTGCCCTTCGTCGTTTTGAGGAGTCGGCTTTCAGCTGATAGTGCAGTTTGCGTTAGTCACCGCAAAGTTGGCGTGGGTGAGGATGAACGTAGCGACGGGGAGCGCGGCAGGCGAAGGCAGAAAGGTGGACCGGCAGTGGTGGGAAGGAAGCCATCAAGCCCAGATAAAGTGGTCAGATGATCGCTCGAGGCTCTGACTTCTGGCCTCTGACTTCCGCAAGCCCAATGTCTCGGAGAGCCTAGATTGCATGCGGCCCGACTGACAGTTGCATCCTTGGTGGGCTCGAGTTAGGGTCGGTGTGTTGTCGTGCCCATCGCTTTGCCTGCCCTTGTGCTTGTGCTTCCCTTGTACTCTGCTGCAGCCCGTTGAGCAGGCAGAGACACACGGGTTGCAAGAGGCACGCATCCACAGCCTCAGAGACCCCGGTGTACGAGACGCTTCCAGGCTCTTCAACTCCGACGCATTGGACGCCGAGCAAGTGGCAATCCTGATAAGACTCCGGTCTAGCTTAGCAAGTCTGTCTGTTCTTTCTCCAGTTAGTCCGGTCACTTAGTTCCACATGGATTCTATGCCTTGATTCGATTTAGCGTATGTGGGCACTCTGATTGGATCTTCAATTGGCACTTAGCTGTTAGACTTTCATGGGTCTTTTGACCTTGTTCATGGGTGTGTGCTGTGTCAAAGTCCTCCCTCTCGCTCGTGGCGAAGGAACCCGCCCTTGCCAGCACTGTCGGGGATGTCTTCATGTCTCACTGGAACTGCGACCAGAAGGGTAGTCGATGTAGTCGATAAGCCGCATGACAGTGATGACCGTAACGCCTCGTATGACGTGGGGAAAACCCGCTTCCCGGCCGCCGACAACCGTCCTCAACGTGACTCGCTCGTGATCGCGTGTAGATGGCTATACTCCCCGACCTCATAACAGCCTTGAGGCAGGCGGAGTTGTGCTGAATGTTGTCGACGTGGTGGGCTGGGCTCATGTTTGTCTTCGATATGTGGTAACCATGGTTTGCAGTCGCTGCGTTGCGCTGGCGGGAGAAAGCATGACGAGAATGAGCACTCAAAGGAGACTGCCCAACCTGCTGAACACACACTGTCCAGTCCTCGGGAGACACGGCAGAATGGGTGTCAATGGTTGTGACTTCCCTTTGGTTGGTTCAGTCAAGTAATAATGTTGATGGGGGTGGCAAGTTGCTCACCTTCGGGTTGACCATGGATTCCCAATAACAACCAAATGGGCAGCGTCCCCATGCAACCGTGGAGGTGTTGATCATGTGGTGCCTGCAAAGCCATGCAAGGCGCTGGAAACGTCAGGCAACGTCGGTCACGTAACGTAAGGTAGGAAAAAGGAAACAAGACGAACATTGGGGAAGAAGGAAAAAGCAATTCTAGCTCAAGCCAATGCAGAAGGTGATCGTAATTATGCGTGATGACTGGGAAAGAGTAGGCCAACGGCCACACAAAAACACTGTATTGAGTGGATGAAAGTGAGACAAGCACAAGCTGAACTGCCTGGTGCAGGAATTGGACAATGGGTTGTGGTCAATAATGGCCTTTTTGATTTTTTTCCTTTTTTCGGGGTTTTCTCTGTACTTAGCTAGATAGCCTCCCTCCCCAGGTAGTTCATCACCTCCACTCGACACGAGTGTGGGATGTTCTGTCGAGTTGGACAATTGCATATCAGCAATACCAACGTCCCAAGCCAGTCCCTTTCCTCCCTATTATCCGAATATCAAGGTCATACACAGTTCAGATCCAGTCCCGTGGAACTCCATTAGCGCAGGTCGTTAAAAACCGAAAGTAGAAGCAAGGCATTGCAAGACAGGAAAGACGTCGACCAAATGCGGTGCCAGCAGGGAGGACACCATACCGACTCCGTAACCCCACGCTTGCGAGTGCGACACCCCAGAGAACAGTAGTCTTGGAACCAGAACGCCCACCCAATCAGGATCCAAAAGGAAGTCGTCGTAAAGTGGTCATGGAACTCAACGATAGTGGACACCGTCGCTCGCAATTTCGGTCAACCTCTTCGGCTGCAGGCAAACCACTTCAGCCTTGTTGTTGACAGAAATTTGGGCAGGCACGTTGGTGTGCATAGGATATCGAGCTCGCCTTTCGAGTTCGTCCAGGGGGATCTGAGACCGGATGTACTTGATGCGGCCATCATCGATGGGATTCCAGTCCCAGCTCTCAAAGCGGCCTTGGGTCAAGGCCGACCAAACCAATCGACGTTGACGCTGACACCTCAGGACATCGTCGGTGATTTTCTTAAAGTCCCACTTTTGGTTTGCTTCTTTCTCGAAAGCTTTGAAAACAGCCAGAGTTTCCGGGTCTTGGCTAGTAGCCAGGTTGGTCAATTCATGGGGGTCCTTTCGTAGATTGAACAGCTGAGGAGGGTCAGCTGGACATGTGATGTACTTCCAGTCGCCTCGTCGGATCATCATTAGGGGAGCCACGGTTCCCTCGCCCATATACTCGGCAAAGACGGTATCATGGCCACCGTCACTACCGTAGAGATGAGGTAACAAGGACAGACCGTCCATGGGCAGTCCAGGAACCAACTTTGATCCGATCAGGTCCACAAGAGTTGGCATGAGATCCAGAGTCGAGACATTTTGAGAGACACGGTGAGGATGGAATTGTTTTGGATGACTGATCAACATAGGCACCCGGACGGAATTTTCGAAGTACGACACTACAGACGCTTTGTTAGCTGTCTGGACACGACAAATCAAGGGGTTCTAGAGGGGACCAAAGAGCGAACTCACTCTTGTACCAGAGGCTTCTTTCGCCCAGCATATCCCCGTGGTCACCGGAGAACATAACAACTGGTTGGTGTCAGTCTGTGGAACTCTACCACCATGGGGATGGAAATCTCTGCTTACCGGTGTTATCTTCCATCCCACACTTCTTCAGAACGTCAAGCAACTGGCCAATACAATCATCGACGTAGCTCACGGCACCATAATACGCTCGGCGAGCGCGTTTGATCTGCTCATCCGTGAATTTGTGGCCCTCGATGTCGCAGACATGCATCAAGCGTCTGCTGTGTGGATCCTGGTCTTCCTCGCCGATGTTCACATTTGGCAGGTCGATATCGACGCCTTCGTACAAATCCCAATACTTCTCCTCGATGGCATAGGGATCGTGAGGATGCGTGAAGGAAACTGTAAGAGCGAATGGTCGTTTTCCGGCAGGCGCTCTCGCATGGTCGTAAAGATACTGCTTTGACTTGTACAGGACCTCCTCGTCGTAGTCCAGCTGATTGGTCCTCACACACGGCCCAGCTTGCAAGATAGAGCTGCTGTTGTGGTACCACTCGAGTCTTCGGCCAGGGTCGTCCCAGTTCACCGCCCAGCCGAAATCACCAGGGTAGATGTCAGAAGTCAACCGGTTCTCATAGCCGTGAAGTTGATCCCCAATGAAATGCATCTTGCCAGCCAGAGTGGTCTCGTAGCCAGCAGCTCGCAGGTAATGCGCATATGTTGGTGTCTCTGACGGAATGGAGCAGGCGTTGTCGTACGAGCCAATCTTTGAAGGCAATTGGCCACTGATCAAACACATCCGAGACGGGGCACACAGCGGAGAATTACAATACGCCGAGTCAAAAACGACAGAGCGCTCCGCCAGCTTGTCGAGGTTGGGCGTCTTGATCTGGGACTTTGGGTTGTGCATCTTCAACAAAGGAGCAGCAAGTTGGTCCGCCATGATGAAGAGGATATTCGGTTTGGCCGGGAACAAAGGCGTCGAAAAGCCTTGGACGCCCTCATAGCCATTGGGAGGTGACACTGGAGGGGATTGAGGGAAGGGATTGAAAGAACCCATGGTTGCAAAGATCAATTTGTAGCCTGGAGCTTGGGAGGGCGATACGGGTCAAGAACGCAGCAGAAGGCCTTATTGTATCTGCCTGAATGACTGTAGCCCGAATGAAGGAGGGTAGGAAGTCTGGGAACGTGAAGGGAGGGAAGCGGACAGATATAGTCGGCAGAATATGATGAGAACGAGGGGCAGGGCGTGAGACTTTCCGGGGTCACACGTTCAGTTTCCCCAATGAGGAACAGAAAGAATGACAAGAGGAAACTGGAGACCAGGTTTAAAATCCAAAGGAAATGGTACTGACCCTGAACGGAAGGGCGAGGGAAGACCACAAACAAAACAAGGTCAATACGGAGCGACTGGCACCGAACGGCTGTGGTTTCGAAAAAGAATTTGGCCTGCAGCTACCCACAAGGTTTACTGATCCCGGTATGGCGTATGTGGGGACGATGATATTCATTCAATCTGGCCGACTTCGCTAGCCATCGTGCAAGGCGGTAAGGCCGTCACTCTGTGTGATTGATTGCTGCGAGGGCGGACTGGGCGCTGCGTGCTCACGGTCAGCACCCTTTTCGCTTTGAGAGGACTAAGGGATTAGGAATCTGGCCATCGGTCTTGCCAGGAGAGCGTACGGAGGAAAGAAATTGGTAAGAAAGGGGCACACCGAGGCAAAAACTATGATGGAAGTATATACAGGATGACGAAGAAAATCGAAGATGGAAATGCTCCGATGTTACAAAGGCGACAATAACATAATATGAAGGCGCGAAGGCATCATCGAAACCCGCACAGGAGGTTGCTGGAGGAAATGACAACATCTGAGAGTGTGATCACGCCATTGTTTGCCACAAGCGGGCAAGTGAAGGCGGTGTATCACCACGCCGCCTCGTTGGATGCCGGCTAGTACAGTAGTAACGCGTCGATGATAAGACACCGACTCTTAATTTCGTGGCTGCATTCGGAACAGACGTTGGAATTGGCGGCGCCGCTTCTCCGACCCTGCAGCATGGCCTAGTGAGCCTCGCCTTGGTGCCTAGGACGTTGAAGGGGAAGACACCCAGGAGGGTGCTCGGCTATGCACGGCTGGGGGCACTAACCGGCTCACCCCCAATCATCCCCCCTAGTGCCCCTAACATCTCCCTTACATGCCCCTGTCTCCCCCGAAGACAATCCCCAACTCTATTCGTCGCTTGAGTTACCACTTCCAGTTGATTGCTTCCCTGCGATCTGCCTGTTACGAGATCCGCCATTGGTGGGATAGGTCGGCCCTTCGTTTGGCAAACTCGGGTTCGTATGTGCGAGGTCAAAAAACACGGGGTACGGAAATTGGCTGACTGTGCTACAGGAAAAGACCTTACGAGGACGGCGCCTCCGTGTTGCAACAAAGGGCCATCGCCAAAGTATCACAGACAAGACGCCGGACACCTCGCTGTACGGGAGGCCGAGGAACCTCCAAGATATGACAGTCTCTGCTGTTGTTGCTATTATTATGAAAATGCTGTAGGATGTGAGTCCAGACCTGGAGTCGGTCATCGGGCAGCCTTGTGCAGTACGAGGTAGTTGTGCGTAGTTCTCGACCTTTGTGGCTCCCCGCATTTCTCTTGCCCCGCCAATCAATGCCATGTAGAGCATGTCTTGGACGATCCTTATCAACCACGTGAAGCCCCTGACTTCTTCTACTCAGATTGCAACCCTTCCTTATTGAGCAAACAGGTACATCTTTCCCACATGCAGCAAGATGTCTCGACGTGAACCACGGGAACCCTCCACACAACACGCACGTGACATCCCTCTACTCCGGACCGAGTACAAGGTACCCATAGTTCTCTCTCCTGTCACTTAGAATATCTTTCACCGAGATACTCAATGTCCTCTGCCGTCCAACCAATTTGCACGGTGCTTGGTCTACTATGCTATCGACAAAGAACGTCCCCTTTCGCAAAGGGCCGAAGTCGGAAGGTACAGAGCACGTGATTTGTACTAATCTGTTGCCGTGAACCTCTTCTGCCGCCTGACGACAGCTTGAAAAGGTCCAGGCTAGTTTGTGCAGTATCGATAAAAGCATGAGAATCCTAGAGACCAAGATACGTGCAAATGAAGACAACAAAGTCTGGCAAAACAGTGACACCAGTGAGAGAGGGTATCTGTCCAGCCACCGGCATTCCCTACCAACGCTCCGCAGCTGCGACTCCAACAGTCCCAACCTTCTCATGCTCTACATGTTTTACCCTCTTCGACGTCTTTTCCCCCGTTCGCTGCTCATTTTTTAGTCATTCGCTCCTTATTTAACATCATTGTGTACTGTACCTGCTCTATCATCGACCTTTTCGAACTGACGTTCTAAACAAGCTGTCTGCACGAGAACTAGATATCCCCCTCTCCTTCCGTCGCAAAAAGCCTGGCTGACCACGAGGAAAGCGGGCAAGCGCCCGAGCCCGGTGAATTAGATGTCGAGATGGGGACTATGGAGGAGATACAAGAGACGGAAGTTGATCAGGCGGAAGGTGCAGAGGAAGGAGGCAATGACACCGTGGTGGCCAACGGCAATCCCTCCAATCCGCAGACTCTGTTTCTCGAATACCTCAAGTCCCCCATCGTCCAGCTGATCGTGGGCGCCGGCGATGACGCAACCACATTGACTGCCCACAAGGCCATCCTCGAAAAATCCCCCTACTTCAGCGAGATACTCTCGGTCCTTGACGACGACGCACTCACGATTGATCTGCCCGACGAGTCTTTAGATGCAGTGGGGTGTTTCCTTCAATACCAATACACCGGTGAATACTTCCCTCGACGCCTTGCAGACTCGCCGGAGGGGCTGGAATTGGATCCTTCAGTGCCCGCCATTGACAACACCGGCGCACAGCTCCTCAAACATGCTCGCGTCTACACGTTGGCCCAGAAACTTGGATTGCCTGACCTCAAGACGCTGGCGCATTCCAAGATCCATCGCATCAACTCAACCGCTGTCGGTGAGATTGCATACGCACGATTTGTCTATGGCAATACGCCAGCAGACGATGTCACGATTCGCAGACCCGTTGCCGCCTTCTGGGCCACCCGATCACACATCTTGCGCCACGAAGCCGAGGACGAATTCAAAAAGATGTGCCTAGAGTACCCGCAATTTGGCTTTGACGTCCTGAGTTTGGTGCTAGATCAGCGAGAGAAGAGAGCCAAAGAGCGAGAGGAGGAAAGCACCCCAGGAGGAACGAAAGGCAGAAAGAGGATGCGCCCCAGCGTCAACATTTAGCCGGCTCGTCTTTGTTGTTTTCCAGCGGTCAGTGGCATTGACGGTCCATTTTCGGGATAACCCCGTTCTAAAGACCTTTGGGATCTGCGCACTGCTCCTTTCGAGGCTTGAGTCGGTGGGTGGTGCGGTATCTTTATGCTTCCACGGAGGTGCAGGGCAGGAGATGAGAGACCATCTGTAAAAATATGTTCGAGGACTTACTATCAGCACACTTCACTGTGGGAGACGTGCAATAATGTTGTCCCTATCAATAAGCATTCCAAAATACCAATCAAAATAATGTCCTGCATGCTGCGTCCTCCGTCCAGAGTTTCCCATTCTGGAGCCGTGCGTCTGGCTCAGGCTAACAAAGCTCAATCCGTGGCTGCAGGAAGCCGAACTCCACTCAGCCGTGGTCCGTGGAGCCTGTTCCAAAATTCTGCAAACAAGTTGGGCTCAGTCAAAGCGATTGCGGGGTTTCCGCCTCGCCGTCGCCTCCCACGGATTCGAACTCCAAGACCCAGCCTTCCGGCACCGGCCTTGGTGCACGAGATACCTGGCGAGCTGTGCTCCGAGGCTCACCTTTCTTCTGCGTCAGGATCACACACTCGTCACTCATCCCCTCTCTCTATTTTCCCTCTTTTTGTGCGTCGTGCCGCTGCTCAATCTCCCGTACAGGTATTCTGCGCCGCTCCCTGCAGACCATGAGCCCATGCGATCAGGTCGCACGCAGCTTTGCCCACGCTCTCTTTGTTGGATCCTTACGCCGCCGTCCGATTTGCAACTTGTCGGCAAATGTCAGATCTCGCAGATGAGCCTGACCGTGCAGGCAATGGCATGAACAAGTCCTTCGACGGCCGAAGTTCGCTGCCAAACAACAGTCTGAACGAGGCGACCTCTCCAACTGCGCCCCGCAAGTTGAACCAGACCTCTCCATCCACAGACCAGCCAAAGAAGAAGCGCAAGGTGAACCATGGTGCGTACATGTTCCAACGAGTCTTGAGCATGACCCGCGCTGACATCTTTCTTCAGCGTGCGTTTATTGTCGACGTTCGGTAAGCTCCTCTGACCTCTGTCGCGCGGAAGTACCGAGATTCGAAGACATGGCGAGACACAGTATGGGCTGACTGCTTGTTTTTGGTGGGATACACAGCATATGACTTGCGATTCTGTACGACTCCCTGACACTTGGTGTCGAGCTCGATACCGTCCACTCAAGTCCTGTCTGGCTAACGCAACCCTCCCATTGGGGGACCGTGTCTCAGGATCGACCTTGTAAACGCTGCATCAAGAGAAACATCGGCCACCTGTGTCATGACGAACCAAGAGAAGGACATGGCTATCACAAAAAGTCCAAGACCGATTCAGACACTGGTGGCCCGGACGAGCAGTCTCCCCCTCGGGATGATTTTTCCACGGCTCCCAGCTTGCCAGGTCCCGCTTTGATGGACGACTCAACTCCTAACCTACTGCAAGACGACAATATTGGACTGAGACCCTCCACAAATGACAACATGGCCGTCTCCAATTCGAGTACGGCTGCACCAAGTGCTGGCATCAATGGGAGTGCTCACCCTCGTAAGTGTGTCTCAATCTTTTTGGGGGAAAGCTGTTGTCCCTAATGACGTGCAGACTTCGGTTATAATGATCCATGGGCCGGAGTCCAAAATCGCTTTCATGACATGCAGGCCTTCCATCCGAACTACATGTTCAACGCCAACGAAGTCACCGATGAATTCAACTTGTTGAACGACTTCCTCAGCAACAGCCTCTTTGAAGAGACAGGAATGTATTCCACCGAAGAATTCCAGGGGCCGTTCAACGACCCCTCGTTCATGAATTCGATGGCGGCTTCCTCCTTCCCGACCGGAGCGGTTGAAACCCTTCTTCCGCCGGAGCACATCAACCACTCCCAAGCAACAACCCAGAACAACGCAGCTCAGGCGGCCTTGATATCGAGACCATCTAGTGTCAAGCCGGTTTCGGACAAAGCCCGAGAGAAATACTACATGATGGCGGCAGATCCGACCGGTGCTGAGCCCCCGGAGGAGCGCATGCAAAAGCTACTCAAAGCCAAATATGACGCCGGAATGTTACGGCCGTTCAATTACGTAAATGGATATGCCAGGCTCAACAAGTACATGGAAAAGCACATGAAGCCACATTCTCGGCACAAGATCTTGATGCAGTTGGACCAGTTCCGGCCGAAATTTAGAGAGCGAATGCAGAGCTTGACTGATATTGAGCTGGTACTGGTCGAGATGTGGTTCGAGCGGAGTTTAATGGAGTATGATAGGATATTTGCCAGCATGGCTATTCCAGCCTGCTGCTGGAGAAGGACGGGTGAAATCTTCAGAGGGAACAAGGAAATGGCGGAACTGATTCAGGTACCCATTGAATCGCTTCGTGATGTGAGTAACGATTTCACTAGCAGTCGAGCCTACGAACTAACGGGTGGGCACAGGGAAAGCTTGCCATACATGAGATCATCGTCGAAGACCAGCTGGTCAGCTACTGGGAGAAGTTCTGTGCTATTTGCTTCGACCAACAGCAAAAGGCTATGCTCACCAGCTGCACCCTGCGCAGTCCAGCTGAAGGCGGTGATGTTGTGGACATCCACTGCTGTTTCTCCTTTACCATCCGGAGAGATAATTACAATATGTAAGTCTCACAGTCTTCTGGCTTTTGCCTCTCACTGATTATTCCGCTCTTCCACAGACCCTCGCTGATTGTGGGGAATTTCTTGCCCATGAGTTCTGGAAAACGTTGAAGTACAGGACCCCGGAGTTTAGTGTATAGCAGCCATTGATGATGCCAATGTCATGATGTTTCAATTTGCGTGCTCAGTGACCCTGCGACGGCTGCGGTTAACGAAGTCACGTGTCAACCACGCCCTTCACTTTCCTGACCATAGACCTTCCACAGACTGTTGGCTCTCTACTTCTTGCGTGCAGCTCGGAATCTCTCAAATGTCACCAAAGGAGCAAGCGAGTGCGGCTAGATCCATTCTTGGTATACCCGCCGTTGTTTTGGCTACCACATCAACTAACTGTCAATCAGAATTCTCCTCTCACCTTGAATCCGTCCTCGGCAACGAAGTGAGCGTGTCGGCCGAAGACTTTCCTGACCTGTCAATATACTTGAATGCTCTTCCCCTCCCCCGTAAGGATCTCGCTCCAGATCAGCGGGTGGCATTCGACCGCAAGGGTGTCGTACTGTGGAACACATGTTGTAAACTGAGTGGAAGCGATAAAAGCCCGCAGCTGCTCGCCAACCTAGCTAAGGGTATCTTTCCCCACCTTCAAAGACGCCTCTATTTAACATATACTCAGTCCGGGCATTCGCATATCTCCTCCTTGAAAGTTCAGCGAGTTCGAAGTGGAAGAGTGCGCACATCTGTCCTAGATGCAGAATTTGACTTACTCAACCACAGGCCAACGTCGATTGTTTAAGAATGGGTTGAGGGCCAGCAGAACCTGTCTTGGTAGGTCTCCCAGCGTCGTTGGAACACCCGGTCGCCTAACTTTTATCTTTTCGTCAGATGTTGGCTTGGTTGACATCGCCACCAAGGTCATTGAACAGTTGGCGTCAAAAGTAGAGCCTCCGCCTAAGAGTCCCGGCGGGGAAGAGCTCGATATCGAAGGAATCACGGGAAGTTTGAATACACAATACTTGTTGATGCGTATTACATTGGTCTGTACCCCGAAGAGTTTGGCGTGCTTCGACTAAAGAAACAGGCATGGAAGCGAGGACGACCAGACCTAGCCGAGCACTTCTACAATCAGCTGGAGGCATTTAAACCCCAGTTATGTCCTGTTCGGATCGGAGAACTCCTCGACCTATGCTACGAGATTGGCAATGATCAATTCAACCAGAAACATCACGCTCTCGCCGTGAAATGGCTCAAAAGAGGTTGCCAGCTCGCGACCGAGTATAGACCCCAGATTGAGGATGTCGACATTATTGATCTAAAACTTACCCTTGTACATACTTGCGGTGGGAAACCTTTTCATCTCCGCTGCCGCCAACACTCACACGTTCAGCAGTCCGAGCTCTTCTAGCGATTGAGGAGCCGCAGGCCGGGCAGGAGGCCTTCCAGCTCCTCCAGGGACTTCGCGAGGTAACTATCTTGACCCCAGCAGTGGCCGGAATAAGATTTTGAAAGTTCTAGGAATTCGGTCACAGGCTTCCTGTCGTCCTCCTCCAATTAGAGGTATCTACAAAAGATCCATCTACGAATCCGGACGCATTCACCGCTGGTAAGACCGTTTTCCCCATGAAGTCGTCAGTGACTGTCCCTGATTTTTCGAAGATTTACTGAATGTTGTGCGATCTGCTCATTTAATTCACCCAAATCATAAGTTGTAAGTTAGCATTTGATGGGTAAAATGCGCCTTTCTCATGGCCATCAGAATCATGCACTATGTGCATCATCTGAAAATCCTGAGGTGCGAGTAGCAAGCAATGTATGAATCAAACTGACCGAAAATAGCACCTCAAACACCATCCGAGTCTTGGAATCATACATCGTCCTCAGACTCGCTCCAGGTGACGAGCATACATGGACTGAAAACGCCATCATTACATTGATCTGGCTAATGACTGCGGAAAGCAATGAACATACCGATGTCGACTTATTGTCCCTCGAAGGAGCTTTTGACAAGATATACAAAGCTTGGAACAGAGCCCTCAGTGCAGAGGCGACCCATGGCGCACTGATTGTAGGTTCTGTTATCGCCGTCTCCGGAGAGTCCTGCTGATAATACAGCTATTGTGGAAACGAATCGAACATACCTTCGAGCAAGGGTCGAAGGAGATTGCGACCAAATGGTGCCAGGTGGCATTACATCAATTGTTTAGCAATGCCGGAGACAACAACGTTGGAAAAATTGAGAGGTGTGAATTTGTCGTGTCTATCCTATCCTCTCGCTCACTGGGTGTCTCGTCTCAGGAAGATAATCAAATGTCAAATCGACCTCTGCGACCTCGACGCTGCTCATTCAACCCTCGAGAAGATGTCTCCTGCGAGAAAACAACATCCACTTTCGCGATATCTGCGATACTGCCTCGCGCTGCGGCGAGGGGATGAAGCTGACGGTAAAGCCGGCTCCCCCTGGCCGCGTGATATGTGAGAGTAACATCCGGACAGCGAGATCGACACTGGCCTCCCTTGCCACCATCCACGATGACCGGAACAAACTATTGTTTGCCGCTGTTTCAGAAGCAACGCAATTCGGTAGCAAGTTTCAGGGCGCGCAACTACTCCAGCGTATTCTGGACAAATACAAAGACAATCTGCCAGCAGAAATTGATGCATTTGCCCTTCTAAGGTAGGACAGGACGGAACAAGATATTGAGTTGTTGTTAATTTGAGGAGATGTACAGCTCGCCTTCTCCTTCTAGCAGTTTCCGAAGCTGACGATCTTGACGAAGAGATCCTGTCTCGGCTATGTAGCATCTTCAAGTCCGGTGCGAGACCCCAAAAGCTCATAGCTTCCTCAGCTGACTTAAAATCAGCTGCTTTATTCACACAAAAACAACAGCATAGTAAAAGAGCGACTTTGGAATATCAACTACAAGAATGCAGGTGGCTGGAGAAGGCCAGCTACAACACTGCTGTGCAATACCTCCAGACATGGCCGGCGAAATATGTCATCGACCTTCTACACTATTCTTGCCAAGTAAGCACAAACTGCCCGTTCTCTTTCGCCTCCTGCGACTGATGACCTGCCTAGGTGCACTTTCCTGCCCAAGCCCCAATCCAGGTTCAAGATGAGAAGCACATTCATGACGCCGAGGCAAAGTACATTCAAGCAATCTTATACACGGTCGAGGCCAGGGCCGCCGCTACCGCGTATCCGACTGAAAACATTCCGAAGACTGCGTATTCCGGCAAGGCTCCACCATCTTCGCAGACGGAAATCAGGTCTGCTTTGTACAGAATTGTATTCGCCAAGTTCTCAGAAATTCAGAGCCACGGGGATGCATTACGAGAGAGTCCCAATAGCGCCCTGGTCAAGCAGGAAGTTCTCGATGCCATCACGCAGAAAGTTATCGTCCTAGCCCCGTTAGCCTTCGAAGCAGTCCTCTTCCTGGCGCGCACAAGGACCGCCGATGTCCCTGATCAAGCTCCGTTACAAGACGAACTCTCCCTTGCTCAAATGGTCGACCAGATGGTGCAACTCAACCCGCCTCAGAAGACGTATTCGATCTTTGCTGACATGATTTTGTCTGCCTCCACAACGGCCTCTGATGCTCCTCTTCCTGAGCAGGATCCGACCAGGTCGGTGCTGCCCATCTCGACAACCACGAACTTGATCGCCAAACTGATATCCGGGTTGCGAAACCACCCGAACTACGACAACAGTCGAGCCGCAAGATGGGTGAGGTGCGTGGTCCAGATTGTTCTCGACTGGCGGGAGTCGCGATCCCACGAATCACCCGAGAAAGACAGCGCGAGAGAAGAGAAAGGCCTGGGCACCGTGGCAAGGATCACGAAACATGCCCTGAATTTAGCGCGGTCCGCTCCCGGTCAAGATTACCCGACCGAAGAACTCGAGTGGCTCGCGGCGACGCTCTTCAATCTCGCTATCGATCTATATGCGTCGAACTCAGAATCCACAACGGCCGATAGCGGCACACAAGATAAAGGGGACAAGCATCAGAAACCAAGCAAAGAAGTCACCACTGCTGCCGCTGCCGCTGCCGCCGCCGTTACCTCCCCGCAGTTCTGGGCCAAGAGAGCCGTAGAGATAGCGGACGTGCTGGCCGTGGACACCGCACGAGGCGGCGATGCGGGAATGCTCGCAAAGCTACTCCGTGAGAGATGCCAGAAACTGCACTGGGACGTGTGATGGATGCATTCATTCATTCCAATCAATCTCTCATTCCGCAGTCCAGAAGGGACAGCCTCGGGCGGGACTGGGGATGAACGACGGGAGGAATACTTACTCCTGAGAGAACAGAGTTGCACGCACACAGATGGGGACGGGACAGGGAACAAATGAGCTGCCGGTTCATCAAGAAGCCGACCGCCGGCGGGGCGCTGTGTCAGGATCCAGCTTTCCTGCTGAGCTCAGGGGGATGAAACAGAGACCGACGGACGACAAAACTGCAGATAGAAAGGAACAAAGGGCGGCGAAAAAGAAAGTCAACCGTCCAAACTCGCTACGACCGAGCAGAAGAATGAATGAAGCCTTTTTTCGAGATGAAAAACGGTACCATATCTAATGACTCCTCAGCATTTGCATCGTTTGTACGGGTATTAGTTAGCATGTCTTGTCTTGTCTTGTCTCTCCAAGAATTTTCAAAAGCAGGCAAAATTGGTCATGTATCCCGTTGCCAGTCGCCAGCTCTTCGAGCGATTTTGCGAAAGAGAAAACAGCAATCCGTTTCTGTCTCGCACCGTGTGGCCGGCGTCGTCAACTCTACTTGACATATCCAATTTCGCCTGAGGCCGTCCATATCCACTCTCATTCATTGCTGTCTTCTGTCCTTGGAGAATGGGTGCGGACACTATTATTGGGATTAAAACCGCCCCTCTGAACACACTCTCCGACCTTCCTTCCCGCAGGTGTTGAGTCGAAAGGGATGTCTCGGGGCTTTCCGCGCATGTTCCGACGGAGCAAGGAGGTTTCTTTTTTTTCTGTTCTTTTTTGTTCTCTTTCAAAACTGATAAGGCATTTAGTATTCAAAATCCGCCCTTTGGGCGATCCGCTCCATTTTTTCTTTTCCCCCAACGCGCCGTTCCCGTCATCAAAAGCTTGGATAATCTTAAGTGGGTATCGTTGAAGAAGTGGACAATGAGAGAGAATGTAAGTCAAAGAAATTTGCACAAGTTGGAAAGGATATCGTTAAGCGGTCGTCACTTCGTTCATTTCCCTGTGGTCGATAAGTTGGGTGATCCAGTTGCCGGTGTTCGAATGTTGGACGTCCGGCAGGGTCAAGTTATTCATTAGATGGTGAAGGTGCACGGGAATAAGTGTACTGATCCATTGGGAGTGCGTTCATTCCCCTGATCGATCATTGGCGCCAGCCGGGAACGTCACTGTACAAGAGCACTCCTTGTCCTCCACTTGGACCACCGGTTCCGACCTTTGCTCTTAACTCCTCAACCTTTTGTTTCACACGCTGGACTTTGGCTACGACAACCTCGAGCTTTTTCATGGTACTCTGCTTGCCCATTTCTTCAAGTTCTGGCACCAAGTCGTACAGTTCAGCGTATGCACGGGCTGTTGCATCCCGACGTCGTTGCTCTGAGTTAGTGTGATTGGCTTTCTTCTGCTCGACGCTTAAAGGGACGCGGGGGTTGGCAGTACCAGGACGATAGATCATCTTTGATCTGGCTTTGGCGGCTGCAGATGGGGTTGTATGGGCCTTGTTTTTACGAGGATTTTTGGGTGAGGGACCCTTTGTATTTCGAGGAGGGCGAGCTTTCGAGGACGGCCAGGGTGCCGGAGAGGGTGACTTGGGTTGTTGTGTGGCGTCATCCTCATCCTCTCTTTCCACTTCTTCCTCGGAATCTAGCCCTTGCTCGCCTATCGCCGGGTTGTCAGGGATGAGTGGAGTGTGCGATTTGCTGTTGGACCGCGGTGTTGGCGGCTGAGATGCTGATATCGCTTTTTCGGGTTTGACAACAGAGCGCTTCCTGCGAGGGTTGGGCTGAGATGGAGACGGTTGAGCCATGTCCGCTTGCCGGGCCGAGGCCATCACCCCATTGCGAGGCAGTTGATCTCTCGCGAAATCATCAAAGTTTCTCTTTTTTGACCACGTGGGACTTGACGGCTGGGTATTTGGCTGCGTGTTCGGTTGAGTTGTGCTTCCACTTGCCGGTTCCAACCATTCGCTGAGAGGGTTCGTTATCTGTAGTCCCTGAGGCAGGTCAGGATCCAGGGGATTGTGAGGAGCTGCATAGCCAGTCGGTTGAAACCGAGAATCCGTGCCAAAGTCCACCCCCAGGCGACCTGTTGGAGGCATTCTGATTGCAGTCTGGGGCGGATAGGGTTGTTGCCAACCTTGAGTATAGGCCGGTTGCATCGAGTTGGCGGATTGCAGTTGAGCAATGAGAGGATTTGGGAAATTTGCGTCAGCGTACGAGACCCCATGCATTCCGCTGACCAGTGGAGTCGCCTGTGAGACCGTGTTCATGTCATGTCCCAGAAAGCCATCGCCATAGGGGAATCCAGCTCCTGTTAGCTGATGCTGGTCGAGGATGGACCGCTGCGCCAGCGCAGTATCAGAACCCACGAACATTGGGGGCATATCAAAGAGCTGGTCATGGTCGGTGCGGGGATGGAACTGAGGATGCGTCAGTGCTTTATTGGCCGCGGCATTTTGATCAAAGCCCTGAAAGAAGTTGTCCAGGTCTTGATTCTCATGCGCATTAAGCAAAGGCTGGCCCGGAGGGGGACCCGGCGTCATAAACTCCGGTAAACCAATGCCATGAAGGTTTTCAGGTTGGTCTGGCGAATAGACGTAAGTAAATGCATCTCCATAAGGAAAGAAGTAAGGGTAGGGAGAGATAGGAGAGGTGTAGGCCGTACAGCCGAACGGGAAGTTCTGGTGTTGTCCGCCATGGGACGACATTCTTTGAGTTGCCAACATCAATCACGCAACCCCTCCACCTCTTCTCCTAGGCTGCGCCAGGGCAGCCTAGATGTGTCAGATACAACCAGTGGTTGGACTTCTGGGAGACGATGTAGGACGAGAGAGGTGCGGGTCGTCCGGTGAGTCGGTCGCTGAATGTGGCGGGAAGTTGACGCGGCGGTGAGAGTATGACGACAAAGAGAGGCGCGGTGCAGAGAGACGAGTTAGTCGTCGGAGGAGACAACAGCCGTCAAACGGGAGACTGCATGGACTCGAGGAGAGAGGTCGTCGGTAACGGTGAAGTCAGGCCTCAGAAACCGTTGGACGATCTGTTGGGAAGCGTTGACTCGGGGCTGCAGAACGGGCGGGTGCGGCAAGAGGCGGTAGTCATGAGGGTGAAGCGAGCGAGACGAGGTGAAGACAAAGACAGTGTGTACGATAGACTTTTCGCAATGTCTGAAGCAAGTCAACAGAGGAGAGCAACGCAATGGACAATGGACGAGGCCACAGGAATCTTTCACATGCGATTTTCTTGTCGTGGGTTTCCGCGAGCGCAGTTTGCAGGTGGAAAAACATGGCTGCATGCTGCATGCTGCATGTTGCATGTTGGATGCTGCGTCCAATCATCCCATCATCCCACCCAGTCCGACTGTCCCGCCTCGCCGGCTCTAGCCCTTCCAACGCCGAACCGGACCATGAGGTTCAACCGTCCATATTATCCACACCTACGAGGTCCTACTTCGTATGCCGAAGCACCAGCCTTGGCTGATGAGGAGAACGAGTCGTAATGACAAACTACCATTCTGTAAATCATAAAAATACATTGATTAAACCAGCCTCAAGCCAGCCCCCAGACACCTCGTGCCCCTTCTGGCCCCTTTCTCGTCCACATCCCAGACTGATGTTTGCCATTTGACATGCCCACAACCACTGCACCATCCCCAGAGATCCATTCCATCGCTACTTTCCCCGTCAGCCTATCCGAAAGAACCAAAAACAACATCCAAATATGGCCGAGCATCTCCCCCCATGTGAATGCTCTGACCTTCCAGAGACTGGCATCTTCCAACTCCTTAGTCATACGTGTCGCCCATCCCACCTTGCCTGATTCAATGACCAAGGTCATGTTCTTCCAGAACTGCAGGAATTCATCCTCGGTCCACAGAGCATGATTGGGGCTCTGGAGATCCAGCACAATCACAGAGTCATTGCGTTTCTTGCGTGCAGTAGACCCTAGAAGCTTCAGTGTGGCCCGCTTATGTTGTCTTGATTCTCTCACAACGCTCTCCTCTGCGATTTGGATCCAAAATTGCCAATATCCCCGCTCAAGAACTCGGACGTCTCGACAAACGAATGCCGGCCGGAAATGCTTGAGCAAGGAGGCCTCCCCGTGGGCCAGCTTCTTCAAGGTCTTGGTGATATGCGTCGTAAACTTCGAGCGTCCCCCCAGAGGATACGGGGGCCGGATTTCCACAGGGAGGAGTCGTATCTGATGGTCAACCTGCTGGAGAGGAGGAGCAGGCTCGGCGCGACTGGCAATTGGCGAGGCTGGAGATCGGTAGCTGTTCACCTCCACTTGACGAGCATCAGGACTAGCATCGACTGGGCTTGTCAGATCGATCACACAGCGAGTTTCTGCTGGTTCAGGCCTGTGCGTTGCCACTCCCGATAGACCATAGGCCCTTAGCTGAGACGACGTCACAGACTCTGTGGAATCTGTCTCGTCGCCGTCAGAAGCTATGGCTGCAGACCGATCGACGCACTCAGCCTCGCTATACCCAATTTCTGTCCGTGGCTTCTTCCGTCTTCGCTCGCTATTTGTGGAAGCCAATAGAGGTTCGGCCGGGGCTGCTCCAGGCGGAAGCTGTGACACGGTGGCAGATATATTCTCGACACCTTGCGTGCCACGGGCGGGAAAGGAGTTGCTGATAGAAGAAGTCTCAGAGAAGGCACGTCGGCGACCCGTCCTCGTTCGAGCTAATCTGGGCGGGTCGCCGCTTGAGGTCAGTTCGGGGGCAGTACTCGGACGAGGCAGTTCTGGTTGAGGCGAGAAGGATCTCCTGTCTCACAGTAAGTTTTCCTGTAGCAATACAAACGCAATGTCGCGAGACAAATGCATATGCGCTGGGATTTTCCGATCGAAAGTCACACTTGCCAAAACTGCAGACGCTAAACACCAACCTAGTATCAATGAATGCTCCGTGGTCGTCGTCACCCTGGGGAGGAGAGAGGAGCGAGGGCGGACTGGCGCCAGATACTCTAGTGATCACAGCCGACCTGAAGTCCAGAACGTGTTGTGCGATGGAGACGTAGCGTCTGTCATCTTGAGCGGTGCTGGGGGCATTGATGTGGACTAGGAGTTCGTTGTCAACCGTTTCCATTGTAGGAACAACATTCGACTTTTGCCCATTTTCGGTCAGTGGGAAGAGGGTTAGAGGTGAGGGAAGCCAAACGACTGCTGACGAGGGTAGCGTATAGTAGGGTCCCGCGTCACTGACGAAAAGCGCCGATCCACGGTCCTCGAGGAAGGAATGTGAACGAGTGAAGTTGTTGGTGCAGCAACGTGTTGGGTTTTCTTTCGTGGGCGTATGTTGGAATTCCAAATTATTACACCCAGATCAAGACTGCGGACCGACAAAGCCAATCCACCAATCATGACCATGACGACGATCATCTGGTAGGCAATGGATAAGCGCGATGCGTGTAGTATGGGATGCCATGTGTGTCTGAATCAGTGTCCCACCACCTTGTCAGCCGCATGCCTCCTGTTGGCAATTTATATACCTACCCCTAGAGACCTTCCTATGTCGCAGTTGAGTCGATTTAGCACATCACGGGTTTATGTTGAGTACTGTCCCCAGTTCGTCAATCAGCAGCTCGCTGCCGAGATGCTTCGATTTCCCCTTCAATTCACTTCTTTTCCACCACCCCCATTGCTCCTGCTCGAAAACGCTTCGGTTGAAAGGGGTATTGAGTACACTGTGTCTCTGAGCTAAGAGCGCCGAGAGCGACTTCTCGGAACGTGTCCTTGTCGTTCAAGGACTACGGTCACAGAACAACGAGCATCTGAGTCCATGGCATCAACTCGGCAGAGTTGCGCTTGACACTGAGTCCCAATGCGCTCTACGGGGCTGAGAGCACCTCCAAGTACTTGTATGCTGCGTGCTAAGCTTTGGACAACGTTGCAGGAAAAAATCCAAACGAACAACTCTGAGATGATGGAAGATCACCCGTGCCGCTCTTTCACAACTTCCACTTACCGAGAGCCATGCAGTGCTGATTTCAGATACGGCGATGGGGTCGGTCCAATGCCCGGATACCCAAGCCGACATGTCACATTGATTTCGGCTGCAGTCTCGCAAAGAACCCAGAGCCTCCAGAGCATGGCTTGATGGCACAGAACAACCACTTCTGGTAATTATTTGCACCAGACCTTGATGGCCGTGCCGCACGGGGATGAAAGGTGGGAAATGTTGCACAACAAAGTTGGTGCAACAGAACGCGGTCCAAGGAAGTTGGCAGCAAAGTGCTAGATTGACACGGCGCGAAAAGGGGTCGAAAGCGAACACAGAATCTGAGAGACGCAGGGATTTTGAATGGGTGGTTGAAGGCAACAGGCAGCTGGAAAGTGCATTCTGATTCACGAGATGCCACATATGGGATGTCGACGTCTGTGCAAAGGCTGGAGATTGAGCCGTGGCACCGCTGCTGGGATCAAGTATTGGAGCTGCCCAGAGTCCACCGGATCCGTCAGTCATTCATGGTCAAAGATGTCTCCCAAGGTCTGTCCTGATTTCTGTTATTATATGCCGATGCGGCTTCTGGGCTAAGTGATTATCCCAGGGTCTCGTCTGGGGGCCAACAAGCACCTGACCTCAGTGAGTACCCGGGGACTTGTCGTAGGCGTCACTAGCCTCTTGGGGGATCATTTAGCGGGCACCATTGACGCAATGGTGCCTATCCGCCGTGGGTCTCCGGGTAGCCTTACTAACACCCGGATGAACGAATGACCAGGTGCTGCTGGGCTCTGTCCAAGGCTCTAGGCTCAAGTGCTGACAGTATACAACAACTTGGAACTGTCACTGGGGGCTGTGCCTGAGAAATGGACTGATCGAGAGAGTTGTGGCTTTTTCTCACCGGATTCGGATTCGGCTGCTGACACACAGAGAGAGAGAGGGAGAAAGAGAAAGAGAAAAGACGAACAGGATAAGGAAAAAGCACTTTGCCTCTGCTTCCACTCTTCCACAAACCTCATCGATCATCGACTGACCGACGACCTGCCTGGCTACTTAATCAAGCCATCTGCGCATCCGATCGTGAACACAGGTTGCACAGCTCGCGTCCGTCCTGCGTCGTCTCCCCATCGTGTAACGCTCCAACCCACTATCTAACCATCCTCCGACAGCCATCGCCCTCCCATCCCCCAAAGACCCCTCAGCAGCCCCTGCAAGGGGAACTGCTGCCAGCCCTCCGTGCCTGGATCCGCCGCTTCAAGGGCACCCACCGCCCCCCCAGGTGCGGCGATATAGACCCTCCAACCTAGGTATACTTACACGCAACGCTACACCATCCCGCCAGCCAACTGGCCAATTGGCTGCTGTCGCATCGAGAGACCACGAGTCTCGACGTCCCCTGCGCCATCCCTCCTCTAAAGCAGCGGACGAGTCGCCCTACTCAGGGTCCTTTGTCCTCTGTGCTTCCCGGTCTCGAATTTCAGTGGGCTGGCTTCGCATCGAACCCGGTTCCGCCTCCTGCTCAATCACGCCGCTTCAGCATCATCTTTCAACGTCTTTCTCACTCCACCTTTCACAACTTTCGAACACGTCTTTTCTGCCATCATTAACGACGATTGCTGTCGGTCCGTCGTCGACCTGCGGATCGCTCTCGCCAGCAAACCTGCGACCGAACCGTCACACAGATTATCCCTACCACGATCAGCAATCTTGTCCCGCCATAAAAATATCGCCTCGCGCGCTCGACCCCTCCATCCAGTTCCTGCAGCGTCCACACTGGCTTTTCAGGGCGCAATTCCACCCTTGTCTCATCTTTAGTCTCAGCACGACATGCTAACTGCCAGATCCCCAACCCGATTTCCTCGTCATTGTCGTTTACTTTCCCTTCTGGTGTAAACGATTGCGTCGCCTTTCCGAAAACAAGAAACTGCGCCTCCCCTCCTCGACTGACTCTGACCGGCTTCGCCCAATTCCGAATCGCACCCCAGAGTCCAGGAGTTTACCCCCGTTTTTTTCCACTCTCGCGGATTGCAAATTTATTGACTGACCTTATTGTCGCGGCGGGGTTGTTGGAGCCGGCCTATTTGTTATCATATCAGCGCATCCCGACTTGGGTCCGTCCTAACATGCAACAATCTCCCGACATGGACCCGTCGACTTGGGCAGGTCAAGACTACACGCCTGGCCCTTCCTACCGTGAGTCCCTGCAGTCTGCTTTTTCTCTACTTGCTAGGTTTATGGGTGGTCGATGATGAACTTTACTCGAGTACTCTGAACTTCATATGCTGTTGCAGCAGTAACTCGGCTGGTCAATTTGCAGACGTCGTGAAGGGGCGCTCGAGTCAATTGCACAAGACTAATCTTGGTTTTGTTGAATCCTGCCCGTTCAGTGGCTAACTAGGGATCGACAATAGACAATGGAGTTCCCAGCGATGCAAAAACCCCCGGCGGCACCGTGAACATGGGCTTTCTCAAGGGATTTGGCGGGATGCAGAAAAGGATTACCAGAGGTAAGCATCCCTGGTATCACAGGTTCCGATTCAAAGCTGACCACAGCTAGACGGGCAACCCGCCAAGAGAAGAGGACCGAAACCAGACAGTAAACCAGCACAAACACGACGACAGGAGCTCAATCGTCAGGCTCAGAGGTAAGCGGTGTCCGTTTATGCCCCGTGAGCTATCTGCTAAGGTGATGGTCTATCAGAACGCATCGGGAACGCAAAGAGAATTACATCAAGGCCCTGGAAATGGAACTCGCACGTCTGCGCGAAGTTTTCATCTTCGAGCAAGAAACACGTGACGGTACCATACAGCAGCAAAAGCTATTGATTGAGAACCAGCAACGGGAGAACTTGGCGTTGAGAGAGGTCCTCACGTCTCGGGGAATTGCATTCGAAAACGAACTCGAGAACCGAAAAGCTATGCTGGCGTTAAAACCGAAGCGGGAGGAGAATTCGATGACGCCTCCGTCCGTGAGCACCCTCACGGCGCCATCCGTCGGACCCAGATCGATAGGTTATGGAACGGTCGTAACCGGTCCTGGTTCTGTCACAAGCGGCTATTCCCCTCAAGCATATCTCAACGGTGGCTCTTTGAGCGTGTCCGGTCACTCGCCAGGGACAACTCACTACGCCAGTTCGTCTCACGGACCGGAGGTCCAGGAGTTTGGAATTAAAACGGAAGAAGGTGTCATACCAGACATGCCGGGCATTTTCGAGCGAGAACCGCAGTTGGGCATTGATTTCATCTTGAAGTGAGTGGTCCTACCGTCATGCATATCTCCGCTTGTTGAGACTAACCACATGGTTCCAGGCTGGAGCAGACGTGTCGTGATCACGAGGAGTATCTTGTCCGGCGGTCGGCGGACTCCCCCAACACTGAAGACGAGGCGCTATTTTCTGGGCACGCCTTGATGGCGACCTGCCCACCCCCAAGCCACATCGCGCGCGTTCCTGCAGAAGACGGCGGCTTGGTGCCGACCTACGAACACAAAGTGCCAGATGCAGAGTCGGTCCAGATTTTGAACAACTTACTCAATCTGAGCCAGACGCTCAAAGGCAGCGCCATCCCCAGTGGCCAAGTCACTCCCATCATGGCTCTACAATCACTCAAGGGCCATCGCAACTACGCCAGTCTGACCAGGGAGGATGTCTTGGGAATGATTGAGTCCATCAGAAGTAAAGTCCGCTGTTATGGATTTGGGGCGGTCATGGAAGATTTCGAGCTCCGGGACGCTCTCTCGAGTATCTTTGCCACGAAGCCGGAGACATACGACCAACTAGGGACGGACTACACGGCGGAAATCGACGAGATGTACTCATGATGGATATATGATATAGGACAAGGGGGCCAGCGATGGCATATTTTGCTGCTGGGTGATTTCGGGGATTTTCTGTGTGGGATGGCTGTTTTGAGATATGATATGATACGAGATGTACCGCCCACTGTTGGTCTAGGTAGTGAGCGAGCGAGTGAGTGAGTTAGTGTTCTTTTGGGCTTGTTGCTGAGTGACGTCGGCAGCACCACCGAAATATGATTACACGTGTTCACTTTTTTTTTTCCTGCCTCTTAATAGAGATCGCCGCTAGAGCTGAGGGATGGACCAAGGACAGGTTAACTGGTCGCCCCCGTCATGATGAACTGGGAGTGTTTCGAAGCGAAACAGAATAGTTATATAGCAGGCAACTTTGTCGAAAAAGCCGCGGATCTGATTGGCCTGAAAGAGCATTCGCATCCGATTGGCTCTTCTTCGTCGCATCACGTGCCGAGGGTTTTTCGCTTAGTTATAGTCACGTCTCGCCCTGGCGCACCCCCTAATAGATAGAGTCTACAGTATTATCACTACGGCACCTATTAGAGCCTAGGCACTTAGGGTTAACTTACGGTATTTTACAGATGCATTACAGGGGGAGGGACGTTGATGATCCACAAGATCGACATACACATGTACCTCGTGTCGGTCGCCGAAGCGATGCGAGTATGTACGTGGTTCTTATCATGTGTCATCTAAGATAGCCATATAATATATAATATTATGCATCCGTCCGCCTGATCTGGTCTGGTCTCTACTACACAACGTCTCGTCACAGGTGTGGCGAAATTATGCTCGGTACATCAACTATTAGGTCCCCCAAGGCTTGAATGAACCATCCCATTCTAACGACTACGACACGCCATCTCGCCGACTATTCCCAATCGATACACCCACTCAACACAACAGCAAGGAGAAATGGACTCCGTGACGGACACCAGCCCAGTCCCGGGCACCGAGTCGGGACTCATTGTCCTGACCTGCGCCAGCGGCAGGCAGTGCAGCCAGATCATCCCGCTGCTGTATGAGGGACGGTCCTCCGCCTCATCGTCACCAGACCCACACGCGAAACTCCGCCTGGTCGTCCACTCGGAGACGTCGCGCGCCCGGCTCGCCGAGCAGTATCCCGCCGCCCAGGTCGTGCGTGCCGACCTCCAGGTGGCCCGGGAGTGCGCCGCGGTCGTGGCTGGCGCGGACACCGTCTTCTACGTCGGCCCGCCCTTCCACCCGTACGAGGTCACCATGGGCATGAACATGGTCGACGCTGTCGTGGCCGAGTCTCGTCATCGTCGTCGACGATGGCAGAAGCAGCAGCAAAAGGAGCAGGAGGAGGAGGCGGAGCAGGAGGGGAAAAGAGAAGTGGACTTGTATTTAGCGTCCGTCCACTTCATCTTCAGCTCCGCCCTGCACCCGGAGGCCAGCAAGTTGCTGCACCACGACCAGAAGCGGCAGGTCGAGGAGTACCTGGGCGAGTCCGGATTGGCGTACACGGTGCTGCAGCCGAGCATCTTCATGGACAACTTCCTCGGCCAGCTGCTGAGCCAGCAGCAGCAGAAGCAGAAGGACCCGGTAACCTTCACGGCGCCGTTCAACCCGGCCGTGCCCATGTCCTTCACCGCGCTGCGCGACCACGCCGAGGTCGCCGTCAAGGTCGTGCGCGAGCGCGCGCGCCATTTCTTCGCCACGTACCAGCTCGTGAGCACCCGACCGATGACCACCGCGGCGTACGCCGACGCCGTCGTGGCCGTGCTGGGCCGGCGCGTCGACATCAAGCGCCTTCCGCTGGAGCAGGCCGCCGATGCGTTCGTCCGGATGACCTGGGGCTCCCCCGCCGCCAGCGACGACGACGACGACGATGTGGACCAGACGTACAGAGACGCCCCGGAGCGCATGTTGCTCTACTACAACAGCCGGGGCTTGCTGGGCAACCCGGGCGTTTTGGAGTGGTTGTTGGGCAGGGAGCCCACCACGCCGGCGGATCTGGCGAGGCTGAGGCTCCAAGAAGCCGGACACGCGGACTAGTGGAAAACTTCCAGGACGGGGAAAGAGGCTAATGATGGTATATGTGGGGGGTGCTTTGCATCCCCGCCTGCATCGTCTTCTTTCTCCGAGGGGATCAGTCGCTACGAAGGTTGGTCTATAGGGAGTTTGAAGACCCTGGGGGAGTAGAGACGTGGTCGGGTATACAGAAAACACACATGCACACACGTCTTTATCACGAGGAGACTGTCGACAGAAATGAAATGCCAACGCGCGAAAGAAAGGCGGGGAGGGAGCACAGATGTATAGAACGCCTGTGCCGACGACGGAGACAACAAGCTAGAGCAGATTGATCGGTGCCATCAGGCCATTAGGGGCAGGACAGGAACCATCCATGGTATTACACGTCAACCGTTGTCGAACAAACCCCAAAGCTGAAGAATACCTTGAGACAATAACTGGAGGTCCTCCGTCATCGTTTGTTTTCCGATCTTTCTTTTGGAGCCAGATCCCCCAATTCAACATTCCTGTGATTATTCAGAACTCTTTCTCTCTCCCTCTCTTTCTCTCCCTCTCTTTCTCTCCCTCTTTCTCTTTCTCTCTTTCTCTCTCTCTCTCTGTTTGTGTGTGTGTGTGCTGGCCACGCCTTCGACCACTCACCGCAGAGACAGTGTCTCGTCTCGCACGTTTTGACAGTGGTCTACTTACTCTGCGGGAGGGTCGTCTGCTGAAACTTCAGATCGGTCTTGGAGCTCTGAAACGGACCCAGCGGGACTCGCCTGGCTAGTCTCCTGATGACCAGTTGCCACTCGTTGATTTACCTCCTTGATGAACTTGTCTCGGACGGTTTTGGCGTGATCGCGTAGATTGCGAAAGGCAGCTGCTCCTTCTCTGAAAGAATGGGCATCGTTTGTCATATCGTATCCGGCCAACCGTGTCATATGATATCTTTGTGGTTGATCAGGAGTCGTGGGCGGCGATGGATAGTGTGCGTACAATCTCAGGAAGCCATCGTACCACGTGCACGAGAAGCTGTAAGCGTTGCCATCGTAATTTGCCTCGGGTAGTTTGTAGTTTTGAAGGCAATACATTACTCGAGCCCCAAGCGCTCCATCGTAGCAGGCCTGACGCGTCCCGACATCAGGACGGCCGCTAAGACCCTTGGCCTCCACGAAGAAGTTAGGTGCGGCTGGTAGCGACGTGTTGGTGCATGGAACGATATAGTCTTTGAGTTCGTACCGGACAGTAGGAAGGATAGAACTAGGTTGAGCACCATCATAGAAGTCCGGTTTTGGAGTTGGTAGGTGTTTATCCAAGGGTTCCAAGTTGTTGAATAGCCGATCTGACGCGTTATAATGCTCCTTTCCTTTCTCACCGGCAACGACAGACAGAATTTCAGCCCGTGCTTTCGCTTCATCACGCGCTCTTACAAGCTGTATACGAAAATCCCGGAAAGCATGGACAGAGAACTGTGATTCGCAGAGAGAAGCCCGGGGTTCCCGCAGAGTCCTTCGTATTTCGTCGATATTTTTCGGTTCTAGCTGCTCCTGTGTGTCATCGTGCTGATAGCCTGCTGGGTAGATTCCACTATCAATCATGTTTTGCTCAAAATTGGCGTCGTAGGTAGATTTGCTCTTCCGGCGGTCATCACCTCCATCCGGTATGGATTCCGGCTTTCTGCCTGCACGGGATGGGCTCATGGTGTAGTCTCGTGCGTCCTTGATGGTAAACTATATTACCCATTAGTTTAGACACCAGCATGCGTATAGATGGTACGTACTCCTCGAAGATGGGTCAAATCAGGGCCGCCGTGTCTTGAAAAGCGCTCTAGACGGAGGGTTCCAGGTTCAGAGAGTGGTTTGACGCTGGTAGGTCGCTTGAACAAACTCTTCTTTCGCACTGAAAATCTGCGGTCGAATTCGTCCAGCGCTCTTCGCGTCAGGCGGATTGAGGACAAGCGGTTCCAGAAGCCTGGAGTCAGACGGCCGGAACAGGATGTTCTTTTATGTCTCTTCCCAGCAGATGGGACCTCCGACGACCCCCTACGGTCTGATTCACTGATTGGGCGTGGGCGGTGAAGAGCAGGCTCCATGCTGAAAGAAAATGTCACCGCTGGCTAGGACAAATGGAAATCGGGACGGCTGAGAGCGTCCATGCGGTGGCCGCAAAGCGAAGCGATGCAAGTCGACATGAGCAGCTCACCGACGGTAGCAAGCAACATTCCAGCATGAGACGGTCCGGATTCCTGCGAAGTGCCTCGTTGCTCCAGCGGTGGTGGTGGTGGTGGTGCATGCCAGCAACTGCAGATGGAATGTCAGCCGAAATTCTGTGTCACTCCATGTCAACACATCAAACAAACACGATCAAACACGACTTCACGGCTTTCACAACGAGACTGGAGACGATCATCAGACTGCTTCCTCACCGACATCATGGAAGACCCCTTTGTCCAACGGGTCCTTGAGATTCGTCTAGGCGGACGCTACCAGATCTGTCAACCGTTAGGCTCAGGCACTTTTGGAAGAGTGTACATTGGTATGTCGGTTATGCCCTTTCACTAGCAAGGTATTAACGGGTTGCACAGGACGGAACGTCTCTACGGGTCAGGAGGTGGCCATCAAGCTCGAACACAATTCAGTGATGCATTCACACCTGGGGGAAGAAGCCGACATCTATGAGTCTCTCCGTGGACGACCGGGCATGCCTGAAGTCTACTGGCACGGGTTCCGTGACGACTATGAGGTCTTAGTCTTCCAGCTACTGGGACCCAGCCTCGAAGATCTCTTCCGATACTGTAACAAGAGACTTTCGCTGAAAACCACATTGATGCTGATGGATCAACTTCTCTGCCGGGTGCAGACGCTTCACACAGCGGGCTATCTTCATCGTGATATCAAACCTGACAACTTCCTGCTGGGGACTGGGAGACAAGGCAACACTGTCTTCATGACAGATCTTGGACTCGCCACTCCTCACCGTGCTACCAGCGATCAAGACGTCTCACGCAGCGATACAGACCCCCCCATCCTTCAGTTAGTAGGCACGCGCGACTATGCCAGCATCAATGCTCATTTCAGAAGCGGTGAGTCTCTGGTACTTGCTTGCATTGTTGATCCTACGGCTAAAGATCCTTGATTGCAGTTCAATCACCACGTGACGACCTTGAGTCACTGGGTTATATGGCCGTGTACTTTCTGTCCGGGAGCCTTCCCTGGGAACACTTGCAATGCCCCAAGGAGGACGCAGACCGGCTAGTCCTGGAGTGCAAGCAGACAACCTCTGTGGATGTGCTCTGCGATGGTTTACCCCCAGAATTTGCAACCTACATGAACTACGTTCGTGGATTGGGAAATCAGGACCGTCCAAATTACAAGTACCTTCGGCGTTTGTTTGACCGTCTTTTTCGCCGCAACGGTTTCGTTTATGACAATATGTTTGACTGGACCCTTCAAGAGTATGACAGGCTGTCTTCCCTGAACCGACCGCAGTCCACCACATCCACCAGTATCAATGCCAGACAAAAGACACATCGCCGCCGTGCAGCCAGACGCGGCCGGAAGAAAAGAGTGTGAGGAGGAGTCCACCTAAACATTCCCAACCTACATGCTGTTGATGATGGTATTGCATGTTGGTCCTGGAGCGCCTTCAGCTCCGCGAACTTCACCAAGCAGGATGTCCACCTGCAACCTCGCAAATTCTTTCACTGAGCTAGTGGGATCACGCACGGGGATTGCAATATCGCCATCAATGCAGTGTCCTGCAAATGGATATTGGGCCACATAAAGAGTGTGCGGCATATGTACCTGGACCCATCGAGAAGAGTGGACCGTCCGAACAGCCTGCTGGTGCTGACCACCAGTCTGAGTTATCTTCCTCTACTTTTCGCCACATGCGTATTTTCACGGGTACTATTATGTACCAAGCCCCTTCATCGTGACCCTGAGACGTTGTTTGGCCGCTTTTTCCGGGGTGCTGGATAGTGTTGCTTGCCACTACTATAGCCCAGCCTGTGAAGAATCCCATCCGCTGCCGCAAATATGGCAGGCAACAGTTCGGTTCCCTATGTTCCAAACTCTCTCTCTCTCTCTCTCTCTCTCTCTCCCGTTACAATTCATTCTCGGAGCAGGGGGTCAGTCTCGAGAAATCCCCTGGGTTCCCACAGACATCGCAGGAGCCCCCGCCTTCACAGTTCCCCCTGCCGGCACAGATTGAACTCGTGGGCTCGACGCAGGCAAACTCAAGGGATTCCTGTGCCGGGCATTCTGGACCCCAGTGGTCACATGTTAATTGTGTGCGAGAGAGGATGTTCACAATGAAACAGGGTGTGTGGTGGTGCAGGAGGAGGAAGAGGAAGAAAGAAAAACGTACGAGAGCAGACTTGGTCACCTGGGCAGTCGTTGCGTGTCTTGCAAGATGCTTCAACAAAGCCTGCCGTCGTGAGGGCGATGGTGAGGAGGGCGATGAGACGCATCGTGGGGACAATGGCACGGGATTGCCGTTGTCGGAGGTATTCAGGATCAATGGGGGCTATTGTCACAGGTTGGTTACTTGGTTGGTGGGTTGCTCTCTATAACAGCCCAGGAAAGCCACAAAAGCTTCAGAAGGAATTTGGCGGGTATTTAATATTATGTTTCATCATGAACTTGCTACCCTAATACAGGTGCAGGTTAGGGAGTTTAGCCAGCACATATTTCAGCCCCGTAGGTGGCCTTGCAGGACGTTGCATACGAGCTCGTATAAACATAAGCAAGCGGCCAGGCCAGGCCAGGCCAGGCGGTCACATGCTGGTCATCAGCTACTCTTCAAATCAAGTACACCGCGGGTTCTGCCCCCGAAACAGCAAACGAAGGCTTCCGCTTTGAGAAAGGCTGGGGTTGGATGAAGCCAACCAGTAGAGCAGCCGGAGAGGGGAAAAATCGTTCTCAAGCTAATTTTAGGTCTGGCATGTAGCTATGCTGTATTTGTATGAAAGTGTTAGCCAACAGCGCGTGTGAATCGCATACCCCATTTTAAGTCAAGCTTCTCCAAGTCGAGGAGCGTCGAGCTTGATCTGCCGGCGAGTAACCACGTCCTCCAAACACGAGGGATCGCGGCATCGCCGCCAGTGACCAGCCCGGAGATGTCGTCTGTCTTCCTCAAATGCTTCCGTGAAGGTGCTTGTCGCGGAGCCTGATCTCTGGTGGGTCCATTGCTGCCGTCCTTCCTCACTACACCGCTGGATATGGATCAACGGCATACTTCTATAAGTCGAAGCCGGTGCAGCAGCAGGTGTTACACACATAATAGCAATATCAATGTAGCGACAAATGCCCCCATGGAGCGTTGAGTTGGGTTAGGAAGCCAGCACCAACGTACCCAGGCCCACGACAAGATCCACACGGCCAGGGCGGCAAAGCTGACCGGCGTCCAACAGACTGGAGTGAAGATGACTCTGCCATTCTCCAATTTCGCCGTGCAGCTATAGATGCCGATGATGGCCACGATCCCAGAGACTGTTAGTCACCTGTAAGTCTCAGCATTCCCGAAAAAGGGTGTCCTTATTTATACTCGCGCAACGCAATCACAACGGCGATTCGCTTCGAGATCCTGACCCGTCCGACAAACCTGTTATTGAGTGTCCTGTTTCTCATTGCTTTCACAAGTTCCCAGTCGCAAGTCTTGGTCAAAGCTATGAAGAGAATCTGGAAGCTGGTGAAGATGAGATGCAACTTTTGATGGACATCATCACTGGAGGATGACAGCACAATCAAAAGACCGAGGAGATGAGGGAACGGGCCGGCTTTCCTCGGCGCCACCAGAAGGCCACAGCTGCTCTGCTGCCCACAATGTATTCGACCCCAAAGCCCATCCACAGCAACTAGGAAGGGTTCTCCAAAGGCTCTTGTACCGCCGAAAAAGGCCCGGCCGCTTATATGTGGTTGGTGGGCGGAAGGGTCCTGCTTTGTAAGGAACGGAGGTATTTGCAGATCGATCGGTGCTTTTCAACTTGCTGATCTCGACAGGGGGTAAGCATAATGCACCACGCATCTGAGGCTCGATCCTGGAGTATTCATATTCTCAAACTTCCTCACTATTTTGCCTCAGAGGCAGACGTGTAACGCGGCCGCCAATATACACGGAAGACGTGAATAGATCTGGGCACCAAGAAGATGCTGTCGACTGAGCCATGGCTTCGAAAATCTCCGGGGAGCGGGCTCTTGAGTCGTATTTGGTATCATTTGGCCGCGTCGACAAGTATTTGAGGCGTAGTGGGTCACGCACCGGGTGCAGAAGCCCCGGCTTCCTTTCTCAAACCCGTCTGAATGGTGACTAACTGAGGAATGCAGATCGGAAACAACGAAGTTTGCTCTATTGCGCAAGGCTGTCGCTGTAACGTCGCTCTCGGGCTTAAGTACTCGCAGCTGAATGCAAAAATATGACTGGTGGCGGTGGCAGCTGATTCCCCCACCAAAAGCTTCCAAGAAGGCCAGTAATAGCTAGTAGCCAGCCAGTAGCCCAGATGTGTGCAAGAAGAACAGAATTGATCTGTCAGCGCATGCCTTGTGCCCGTTCAGGCTTGCTGCAGGAGTTGCTAAGGCTCGAGTCACAGCCTTATAAACATGCTCTCCCAGCCTAATCCTTCACCTACCCTTCATTAGTTCTTCAGTGGACCTTTTGCTCTGCCCGGAATTAATTACAAGCTCCCAGGAAATCTGGTATGCCACTAGGCTGGTGCCATTTGGTTTCTCGATAGGTACGATCCATCTTTGCAGCGTGAACGAAAGCTCCCGCCCAGAAGGGACAAAAGCTAATTAGCATCACCCCACTCAGGAGACTTCATCACCGGCGTCGGTGCCTTCAAATCGATTTGTGGTGCCTTGAAAGACCACGGAGGGGCTGCGACAGAGTATCAAGAGGTTAATAAAGAGTTGGACGCAGTTCAAAACATTGTTCAGGGCGCGGGAAGTATCCCCGGTAACACTTCTGCGGCCAACAACGAAGTCACAACAGTGGCGACGGCGCTAGCTGCACAAGCGGATTTCTGCCTCAAGGTTGTGAGAAGCTTCACCGAGAGGTTGGCACAACACGATCCTACGCTTGGTAAGAGTATCCCGCAAGGGTACACCCGGGGCACGTGGTCCAAGTTGTCCTGGGCACTTTTCTTCTCGTCGGAGCTCAAGAAGGTCCGGCCTGTGATTGTGACCCATACTTCGAGTATTACGCTCTCTTTCTGTCATCTCCTCTATCTGCATTCGTAAGTTTTCCTATCCTGTAATAGAAACACATGCGGTCTCACACGATTAGGCTCGCATCCGAGGAATCGTTGATCAAACAACACGAACAGGCCTGGATATCTATTTCGAACAATTTTTCTGCCGTGACTGAGAAGCTTGATTCCAACCATGCAGCTTTCAGCAGTCAGAACACGTCTGTCTTGCAGTCCTTGAACGACTTGGGCGCCAAGATGGGAAGTTTGGTCAATCAGCAGCTCGACAGTCATGACAAGCTCAAGCAAGTTGCCACATTATTGGCGTCAGACTTCTCCAAGCACCTGGCTGAGCTGAACTCAAACTTGGAAAGAATCGTTGAGGAAATGCAGGCACCTAATACGAGATCTTTGAGCACTGAGATTGGACGAGCCATGGATACTGGGAAACAAAATCGATCTTAAGTACGAGTGACAGACAGGATGGTGGGTATTCTACCGCCAAACGCCCCAAAGTTAGCTGCGTGACTAAAACTAGGGGAAGCAGGAAGACAGCTTACCAAATCGCAGTTGCACACGATTCTGAGGGGGCGTGCGGACAGACGTCGTTTGAAGTTGCTCTGGCATTCCTCGATTGTGGATTTAATGAAACTGTTGTATTTGGACTCCAGTCTCGTCGCCCGTGAGGTTTTAGCTCAAAGATTGGACGTCAATGCTGGCCCCCTTGGCAGCCTTGAACAAAACACGGCTCTTTACATTGAGCTGGAGGGGGTGCTGCTCCAGAATGGTGGAATGGTACCGGAAGAGATCTACGCCCTGATTCATGATTAGCATACTTCTCCTCCAACCATATTAGGATAGCGCGAATGGGTCAACTTTGAATCTTGGAATGAATATTCCCTCGGCATCCTCTCGAGATTCACTAGATCTAGGGAATCGCCGGGCAAAATTAGGAATCTAATGGTTGCCACAGTGGTACTAAACGACTCAAAATGACGAACAAGGCTGTATTAATCACCCTCTAGAAGTGGCGATCTTAAAGTATGGCAAAATATAATGAGGAAATACATCAAAACGAAATGTTCTAATACCATCTGTATGGTGCAAACCAATCGCCAGCTTGGAGTTCCGTATTCTATGGCCCCTTGAACTCCTTCCCAGGGAGCAAGATAGTTCCTCCAGGCCAGAGCAACTAACGTAGCAGCAGATATGGGCGACGGCGATGTATGGATATTTACCTACTACTGTGGCCCGATACGTTCACCTTAATCTGAACACACCGATCTTAAATGGAAGGTCTGCATAGTTGCCGGTACTAATCACGGTGTTAACAGGTGCCCTCTTACAGAGGAACCTAATAAGATACCGCCGGGAACTCTAGCCCTTCATCGATACCATTTCCATGTCCCTCAAGGAGAACTGAGTGTCGAGGGCGCGGCGTGTCGCAGTGCGGGTGCTTAATTTCTCACGGACCTTGGCGCATGGGATGATTCTACGTCTCTCTCTTCGAGTCCTGAGGATGGTCCCGCCGGGACGTCTTTGACGCGTTGCGTGTGCCTCCTTACGTATCCTCCTAGTTCCTGACAAGGGACATTGTGGTGATGGCTTGGGCAATCCTGCCATGTGGTATCGAATGTCTAATTCGATGGCCCGTACGCTATCGGGTATACTCTCCGCGATTTCCTAGGCTTTGAGGCCACCGGCGAGTATCATACTCTGGCTGAGAACATGTTGTGGGGCCGCAAGATTGGGCGCTATGCGAAAGATGTCGAGTGGGTAAAGTTTCCACCCGTGACAGACCCGCAAACCTTTCCTAATCCAGCCGCCGAGTCAGTTAGTTGTATCTTAGCGCCAGGACCTTTTTCCAACATCTCCTGCAGCATTCCCAGATCTGACATTCAATCCATAGCTTTTACCCATCTCTGCCTATGGATTCTTCACCTTATAATGACGACGATATTGTGCGTCTCTGTCAACAATATAGAGTCCTCTAGCTGTCGCTGCTGAGCCATAAGTCGACTGGTCGCAAAGTTATACGAGTGTCAGATGGTTTTGTTGTGAAGTTCGGACTTGGTGTGACGCTACAAGAGGTAAGTGCGCAGTAGATTGCGTTCAAACAGGTCAATCGGGACGTTTTGCGCACTCCACGGGGTATCACTTCTTCGAGAGACCAGATGCGCTTTTTTGGAAGATAGGATACCTCGTAATGGAGTATATCGAGGGAGTGACACATGAGCAGATGGGCTAGGAGCAACCTAGAATGCTCATACGTATCGTCGCGGCTGTTAACGCGATCAACTCGATATCGAGCAAGTTCCCGGGCCCTATCTCTAGGGGAGAAGCACACCACTCTCTATGGTCGGAGAGTGGCTCCGGAACTGCATTTCATCACGTCCAAGAGCTAGAGACTTATCTAAACGAAAGATTGTCCTTCTTCTGAAGAAAAACACATATTCGCGAGGATAACCTATACCTTTACCATATGGACCTGGCGCCACGTAACTTTATGATCGATCTATGGGGCGGATTATGTCTACTTGATCAGGCCACTGCCGGCTTTTTTCCACGCTACTTTGAGCTATAGGTGATCGAGTTTATAGGAACTGTTCTGGGAAAATATTTTGGTCCGGACTTAGTGTCGAGACTCGAAGTAACGCCAGAAGAGAAGTTGGAACTCGAGAACCTAACTCTGGTCTATCGGTACAATTCACGTTCGCAAGGTACGACGATGAAGTTGATTCTCTCCTCCCTCCTTTCCTACTTTCTTTAATCTCTCCCAACGTAGTCAGATAAAACGATCATACACTAATTTAGTACAGCAAACATCAGGATGACGAGACGGATCTTATCATAGCCGCTTTTCTTGATCCGAGCGTTTCTGACAATACCTAAGCCATCTAGAGCCATTCGCCTTCCTTTATATCGAGTTTCATGGGAGTCTGGCCATTTGAATAGTTGAATTATATAACGGAGGTGATATATTGCACGGCGTTTACGGTTATAACTAACCATGCTTACGTCCAGTCTTGCAAAACGGTCAATCTGCTGTATCAGTGCTAGCCGTGATATGAAGTTATCGCGGAGCGCACTTACACCCAATAGCGGCACCCAACGCCGGTAGGAGTCATTATGTAGTTATGTCTCTTCTTTTCGCTCACGATCTGCAAGAAAGGCTCGACTCCGGTGTTGGGGGGGTTTCATAGTCGAAGATGCTGACTGCACAGTTCGGATGTGCATACAAATGCTTTTTGGCGGTGAAAGTCCTCTTGTCCCCTACCGGCCCGTTGCCGGCATTCCTCTGAGGGACGCCCACAGGCAACGAAGCAATGCCTTTGAAAAGTACAGAGGATCTATCAATTGGTGCAGGATAGTAATCAATGCCTACTCATACCATTTCTCGTCGAAGTCTCCCCCAATCAGTGCCAAAACAAAAAATTCCCAAATCAAACTTGAACGCTTTCTGAGCGATCAGCGTCAGCCTTTGTCAATGTAGGCTTTCGGTGCAACCTCTCTCTCTCTCTCTCTCTCTTCATCTTCAGCTTGGTGTCTTGGATCACTTGCAATCCAAACATTCTGGACACTCTCTTCTTCCGTGTGCCGTGCCATCACAGCTCCCGTACATTTCGCATTTGAGCTACAGCCCTCATTTCACAAGTTTTACGCGAAAACGCTGTCTGGAGACATTCCCGTTCGTTACGTCGTTAGAAGTTGTAAATAAAGTTAAGCAAAACTAATTTTCTTATCACTTCGAAGCTGTCAGTTAACTATTCAATCACGAGAGATGTGAGGGTTGTCTTTGCAGTCTGGGATGTCTAAACAAAGCGTATTTACTTGTCATTTCCACCCATGACCTTCCATTTTGGGAACCATATTCGACGGGAGTGAGCCAGTCGCTCACCCTTCGATCCTGTTTCACGCCTCGTCGTCAGACCGAAAATAACATTGGAGGTATATCAGCTTCGCATTTCGCCGACGTGCTCTCGCTTACATTCCAACCTCTTCCACGCTCTCGCCATCTTTTGGATGAGTTCTGCTTCGCGAGACCACCATCTGACTTCTAATTGGATAGCTTACCGCTGATGTCCGTTAAGCGACCTTGGCACTAAATTAGGTTTGTTGATCCTCTCGTTACACCTTCCTAACTAAGGCCCCAATGACTTCGCAGTTCAACTGTTTCTGAAGCAACAATCTCAATAATTCCACCCCTGAGATCTTCAGAATGTACATATGACTCAGGCTGCTGCGCTTGACCACCTTTCGATTATTTTCACCCTACACCTGCCCTTTGGCCAGTGTTGGCTTGCGTTAACTCGTCGACATGCCGCCGCAGCCAGACGATCAAACAAACGAGACAGAAGAGGGATGCAAATGGGAAAAACCGATGCAAGAGCTCGAGGAAGAAGACAATAATATGCTGATACATGTGGAATGGGATCAGTTGAGAAAAGAATTCTCAGAGTATCTTGAAAATGAGATACCTACCATCGAAGCAATTGTTACTCAACATCTGAACTTGAGATCACATCAGATGTGCAGAGTTGCAGAAAGATCCCAGTGGCTGGACAAAGGGACGTTTAACCTCTGTGTCCCTGTCTTCATTAGCAACTGGCGTGCGCAACGGGTCCTGATTAGGTGCCCTTTCCCCCACCGCCTGGGTGGTCTACACACGACTGCACTGATGGACGAAAAGCTCCGTTGTGAAGCAGCTTCATTTGCTCACCTATCTCGGAATCACCCTCGTGTTCCTATTCCACATCTATGGGGATTTGGGCTCCCAGGCGGCCTACATGTGAGTAAATACTGTTCTCGATTGTTAATCGACTCACAGATGATAGTTCTCAGCTCTGGAGCACGCGCCCTGGTACCAGCGAGCGTTAACATCTCTGAAATATTACTGGTCATGGATCTTTCGAAAACCATATTTCCGGCCATTCATTCCGTGTCAAAGTCATTTCTCATTGAAGAGCGGCTATCTGTTGATGGAGTTCTTCGAGGAAGAGCGAGGGCGAATGCTCTCTGCGGTAGAGCGTCCCACCGCAGAAGATCGGAGAACACTTTTCCGAAGTTTGCGAGACATACTTCTCGACCTGTCGCGCCCGCTATCTAGGATCGGCTCCTTTACCGTTCACGAGTCTGGAGAAGTGAGTCTCAGCAACCGACCATTGACAATGGGGTTAGCTGTACTTGAAAATGAAGGTATCCAGACGCAAATCCCCCGAGACTACTGCTATTCCTCTACCGACTCGTACCTTCTTGATCTCCTAAACTGCCACAATCAGCGGTTAATATATCAACCAAATGCGGCCCGCAGTAAACTCGACTTGGAAGGTCAGATGGCTACTATCGTCGCTCTACAGGCACTATACCCGAGATTTAGGAATATGCCATTACAGCGAAACCCGCCTGTCTTTCAATTCACGGATTTGCACGAAAGTAATTTCTTTGTGGACAAAAAATATAATATCACAGGTATTGTGGACATTGAGTGGAGCTGTGTTTTGCCTAGGGAAATGCAACATCCGCCCTTCTGGCTTTCTGGACACGAGCTCGATGATCTTGATGGAGAAGAGACAAGAGAGAACGAACAGGAGTTCGAGAGGGCTTGTGAAGAATTCCTTCAGATCCTCGAAGAAGACAATAAGGGGGAGATATTCCCAACTCGCCCTCGTGACTATGCTCAAGCAATGAGAGACTCTCTTCAGAGAAACCAGCACTGGTACTTGACCGCAGTGAGAATCCCGCGGATCGCGTACAATTTATTCATCAACAAAATACAACCCCTTTTTGCGCTTGCTCACTCTGAAGAGGACGCCGGCATATTCCAGGATGTTGTGGCCAGATACTGGAGAGTTGACACTATGGAATTTGTCGAGCAAAAACGCCGTGACTGGAGCGACTATCTCAGTCAGTTACGATCCATGAAAGGCCCATCAATGAGCATGCCAGTCTGAGTCCATTTCTCTATTTCTTAGATTCGGCCTCCTTGTTGCGCTCAGCTTTGTTCGCTGCGCGTTTCTTCCTCGCCTCGTCGGATGTTCTGAATTGAAGTTGTTTTGTCCCAGGGGGTAGGGGCTTGTTTTCAATCACGGCATCGATCTTGGCAGTCTCTCTTGATCACTGCCTTTGAGCAAGTCCAGAGGCCAAGCCTCCGAATATGGCACATGTGAAACCATCCCAGGTAGGACAGAGCTGCAGGGATAAGACAAACAGCGCAGAGGTCTCCGGAGCAATCAATCTCATGAAGAAATTTGAAGGAGCAGCGTAGGGCCACGGATTAGCCTTGAAGAATAGCACATAATTCATTCGTATACAAGGCCCATCGAGGCTTCTCGCGACATTAGCGAAAGGTAGTAGTATGCGTTCCAATCTGCCAAAGCATTTCCACACTGAATAGTGATTTTGCAGCCACGCAAAAGCGGCCGTAGGATTCCAGCACGATCCCACCACGGCATCTCCAAAACATGTTTGGTAATGTTCCAAAAAGGGGCCAGGTCCGGCTTCCGAGACTCTTTTCGAATAAATGTTCTCGCTTCCTCAATGGATAGATGTGCAAAGTTGTGCAGGAATTCAAACCATGTATCAGTGTTGTTTCCCAGCCATACGATGACCCCCTGTGCCCTATTGTAAATATACCTCAGAGGAGTGATTGCACGTATCATGATCACTGTATGACAATTCAGGAGACTATCAACGGAGTCTGAGGTGGAGCTTTGGGCGAACGTAGATTATCATTAAAAGCGGTCGGGCCGCATCGTCTCTGTGCAAAGTGGCCTGTTGCCTCTTTCAGAGGCTGCTTAGAAAACAACTGGATACAAAAGTTCGTGGAGAACTATCCGGAGACATTCACCAGGCTTGGCACTCTAGCGTGCCCTTTGTTTGTGAACCTGGCCATTGATCCGTATGATCTTTCCCGCCTTCTCCATGGATCTCACACAGTCTCTGCCAGTCCGAAATACAGCCACCCGCACCCCCGGGTATATTTGGGACTCAAGTGCCGCCATCCGCCTTTGTAGCTCCTCCATTTGAGTCGTCAGTGCCGCCATCCGCCTTTGGTCCTGAGTTCGTTGCTCCTCCATTTGAGTGTTATAGTTCGTCACACGCCCATCGAATGCATCCTGGAGGGCTGTGACGATATCGTTTGTCTTCTGGCTCAATTCTCTTGTCTCTCGACAGGAATCTCTCGTCTCCCGGTGAGATTCTCGGATTTCCCGCAGGGTCGGTCCAAGATCATCTGAAATTCTCCTGGTTCCAATAGGGAGAGAGTCTCCACTCACGCTTCCAGCTGTTGCCTTCCCCTTGGCACGTGGTCCGGCGTTCGATGGGCCTTCCATCGGGTCGCTTTCCGATGCACTTTTGGGAGTGACATGCCCCTATAGATTGAGTTAATTCTATTTACCATAACTAATCATGGATAGGGGATTAGGTGTCACCTACTTTCGTGCCTCTGTTCCGTTGATTCGGCCTCGCTTCGGAGCCCGAATTGGGTCGTGACGCACCTGCCGTATTTGAGGGTTGGCTTCTACTGCTGCGAGGACTGACTGGGCGTTGTTGGGGGTTTGTAGAATGGTCTTGCCCTCCTGATGCGTTTGCAACCTTGCTTAAGGAATTCTGAGTGGGTTGCGCGAATCCGGGCGCGCCAACCGCCCGAGTGGTCGTAGTGTCAGGCATAGTACGAGGGTACGAGGCTCGATTATAGACCAGAAGAGATTACGAAGTAATGAAAAGAAGTATTTACGATTTTAGTATCAACGATGGGACCATGCTTAAATCTATCTCTGATATATCTGCTCAACCTACCCCGCTTCCCCCACGAAGATTTGATTTGTTGATGAAGGAGGCTGACGGCGCCCGGTTGAAGTACAAAATGAACATTCTCGCGCAGCATTCTATGATAACAATCAGGGGTGTGCTTCGTGATCCCCGACACGCAATTAGAGCCGCCAATGGAAGACAGCCGCTCTTCCTTACAAATCCACGCTAGGTGAACATCTCAGCGGGGGTGGATACAAAATCATCCGTGAATGTAAGTTGAAAGCATTGCGCCGGAACAGGTTCGAAGGGAGCTGATTGCCTGCCATAACTCGGCGATGACGTCTCGTCGGTTTGTCTGGAAGTGTGCGGCCTTACGTGGACTCTGGTGATTGGCGTACATGCAACTAGCTGTGATTGATAGGCTTATAGCAGTCCCTAGAGTTCCGCTCGCAGCCAGCCAGCCTGAGGCTCGACAGCCTTCTGTGGGGTCTGTCCGTTGTGCTCGGACCATGAGTTCGATCTAAGCCTGATAGAGGGAGACGAACCTCCAATCACGCAATGCTTAATGCAACACCATCAGACCGTCACTGTGTCTGCCTGGAACTGCACACAGCATGTCAGAATGGACCACTAAAGTGTTGGGCATTTGGACAAATGCGTGTGGGGCAATGGTCAGTTTCTACCGAGTAAGGTCTGCCAGATATAGCAGACTGACTGATTGGGCACCTTAGCAGCCCCTCGCTCGGGAGCTGAACAAGACTCTCGAGGGCTCCTCTGCTAGAGAGGTGGCTAATTCTTCCCCAGAGCCGCATACCTACACCGCCTCTTCTAGCAATTGTTAGTTCGAAGAGAAAGGAGGGTCGCGTAGTGAAGAACATAAGTCCCGTGAGCGCCATAGCATAATCTAACGAATCCTAGAAGTTGCGGGCTCGGATTTTGAACGTTCCAGACATAAGAAATCCGGGTCCATGACTCTAATTCTCGAGCCATGGGCTGAGGGCCGGGATGTTGTCACTGAACGTGGGCGAGATTGATACGGTTGGCTGACCTTCCGCGATAAGTCTACATGTCCAGGTGGACTGGTTCGCACTCCAGCACCTGCTGATCTCTTTCGCGGCATGGCCCGACGCCTTGTCTTCGGTTCCGATTATATCAGATTCTATGTCCCGGATAGCCCCAGGCGTTCTAGCAGGGACTCAGCGTCATAGTCTTTCAGCTTCAAACCCTTGCAGTTAGCGTGTGTTGTCCCCTAGACTTGCTAACGAAAGTTGCTGGAATAAAGCTTTTGTCGCGTCTGCCGACGCGTCCGTCGCGAACGCCCTTATGTGACACTGAGTCATAGTCAGCATGCCGGCTGAGAAGCCGTTTTTACTTCGGGAGCTGGCTCCTGCTTAGTGCCTCCTGCGAAGCCGCTGCCTAATGGTGCCTCGCAAGGATCGGACCGTAGCTCTGTCTCCTTAGAATACTTTCGACATGTACCTCTCATGAAGTTCCTTCCAAAGCCTGAAAATGTCAACTTTGTGTCATATGTGTAGCCAGATTCCTGTATCTTTCTTCGCGCCTCATGCCAGTCTACGCGAAGACATTTCTTCTCGTCACTTGTATGGGCCTCACGTACCCCACTGGCCGGTTGGTCTACTCCGAAAGTCGGCAACTAGGGGCTGTCCATTGTGCGTCATCTTAGCCGGCACTGTTGAGGCAGATTTCCTTCCCCCTGATGTTCGTCGACACACGCAAACATATCTCCGTCGAGGGACTCTTGATCCTAACGAGAATCCAAGGCCTGAGGAGTTGGACGAAGCCGAGATCAGCCAGATGAATCCATTTGCGCTCTATGTCGGGGTCGGTGATATAAGTCATGTGCTGTTCTTCCAAATTCCTCATCCATGGTGTAGTGGACATCTCTGGGGTCTGCACGCTCTCAACTAATCATTTCTGCCCCTCCCAGCTCCTATCGATGTGCCAATCCACTGACCTGCAGTTGAATTGAATGTGGACGAGATTGAGGATACCGAATGGGACGAGACACCATACAACAAGCTTGTCCTTCCAGAGGGTGAGAAAGAACCTATCATGGCTTTTGCGGATCGCCCTCGACTCAATAGCCAGGGTTTCGACGATTTCATCGCCCACAAAGGTGAGACCTCCGTAACTTGGTCCGTACAGTTGGACCGCTTTGGCTCACACGAGGTTCAAAGGCGAGGGAATTATGATCCTCCTCTGTGGTCCTCCAGGGGTCGGTAAAATCCTGACAGCCGAAGCAAGTAAGTTGTGTTGCCCTGAGTCCGCTCGCGGTGGTTGACGTCCCAAGTGGAGGAAAAGTCGCGCGTACCACTATACATTCCGAGTGCCAGCGATCTTGAGACCTCGCCCGAAAGAGTCAAGGCCGGTCTTTCGAAGGCCCTTGAGTGCTGTCAGCTGTGGGACGCGATCCTTCTGCTTGACGAGGTCGATGTCTTCCTTGAGACGAGGGGCTCTAACAGCTTGGATCGTAACGAGCTCGTTTTCAGTATGTTTGTTCGCCCTGCATCATGATCGCCGTGGTCGTGAACAACCAGTTGATCTACATAGTCTTCCTTCGTCGGCTAGAATACTATCAAGGCCTGATATTCCTGACCACGAATCACCTCAGCGCCATTGATCCTGCATTCAGATCTAGGTTCGATCTCATCCTTCTATACCGCGATATAGACGAGCCCTCCCGCCGGAAAATTTGAGTCAACTTCATCCAGAAACCTGGAACCGGGATCAAGTCTATTGGTGACAGTGACTTTGAGGAATTTACCAAGGAGCAGCTGAAACGGACGAGAGATCAAGATCTTGATCAAGACTGCTGTAGTGCCTGCCAGCCGCGACAGGCCTTTCAGAGTCAAACATCTGACCACCGTCTTGCTTATTCGCAAGCGCGTAGCAACTATGGAGAGCACATGGTATGGGTAGGACTGAGTTGTTGGTGTCAGCATCTCTCAAATACACATTTGCAAAGGCGGAGGGCTGCATGGGGTTACCTGTTGCGGTTAATCACTGTGGACAGACCTTGGCTTTCCCATTTGGGAAAGCTGGCGCTTGGTCTAGCTTACTCGGTATAGTTTAATTACCTCGTAATATTACCGGGAGCGTTAGACACTTCAGCCCCCACCATTGGTGAGCACAGGGCGGCATTACACTAGTCCCAATCAGGGCTCAGCTGGGCGTCGATTTACCTTCTCTTGGCACTGGCATTCACAATTTACACCCCACTATTCGTGCGCGGCTTGAACAATTGTCTGCGAACAAATTGAGCCCTCGAGACTCTGGTATCTGTCCAGCATCCAATATGTCCGAGATCAGTCTTGCGGAAACTATCAGTGGGATCAGCGTCAAGGACGAATGGGGGCCGTCACTTACCACCACGACCACTCTCGATGGCATCCCCTACGCCCCATACTCCAAGAGTGATAAACTAGGTCGCATGGCCGACTGGACACAAGAAGGCAAAGAAGGTCGAGACCGAGGCGGCAGACAATATGGCAGGAATTACAGGGGTGAGGTTCCTTTACACTCGAACTGGAAAATGTCACTGACAATGGGTGTCTAGACCAACAAATTTATGGCGCAGGCACATCGTCCCTTTTCGCGGTGCAAACTGCTGAAGACGAAGCCACCTTCTCCGTCGTCGATAACACAAGAACAACCTCAAAGGGCCGTGGTTTTGGTAGGGGCGGGGTGACAGTCTTCCGTGGCCGCGGTCAGCGAGGAGCCGCTCAACGTGGCGCAAGAGGAGCATTCCAAAGAGTTGGACAAGGTCGTCAGGGGGGTCAACAGCAAGGACAATTCTTCGACCAGAGAGGTGGCCGAGGCGGTCGAGGTCGTCGATTCGGGTGGCGGGACTACGATAAGCCGCAACGGAATCGCGATTCTTCGGTCAACATCCGACCCGACTGGATCATGAAGGAGGAGATCGACTTTAACAGACTCGCTAAACTCAACCTGGAGACTTCAGACGGGGAAGACATCGACAGCTACGGATTCCTCTACTACTATGACCGGTCTTATGACAAGGCTCCCGTGAAGAACACCGAACGCAAACTCCTTTCCCTGGAACGAGCCGCCTACAATGTTACCACGTCGGCCGACCCGGTGATCCAAGAACTGGCCGAGAAGGACGAGGCCACCATCTTCGCCACCTCAGATATCCTCTCCATGCTGATGTGCGCGACTCGATCCGTGTACAGCTGGGACATTGTGATTCTAAAACACGGTGACAAGATCTTCCTGGACAAGCGGCCCGACAGTTCCATCGACCTGGTCACCGTCAACGAAAATGCCGCCGACGCCCCTCTGGAAGCAGACACCTCGACCACGCCGTCCCAGCAACAAACCGGTGTCAAACCGGACAGTATCAACACCCCTTCCAACCTGGCCGTGGAAGCCACAATGATCAACCACAACTTCGCCTTCCAGACCGTGATCGAGAACCCTAACAGCAAGGTCGAGTTCCCTCATCCCAACCCATTCTACAGCGCCTCTGAGGAAACCGACCCGCTCGCCTCGAAGGCCTACAAGTACCGCCGCTTTGACCTCTCGCTGGAGCGTGACGAAGAGCCCCTGAACCTGATCGTGCGCACGGAGCTCGACGCCGCCATCAAGAACAACATCTCCGGGGAGGACCAGTTCCTCACCCTGAAGGCGCTCAACGAATTCGACCACAAGGCCCAAGGCAGCGGCGGCGCGTTGGACTGGCGCACCAAGCTCACCTCGCAGCGGGGTGCCGTGGTTGCCACGGAGATGAAGAACAACAGCTGCAAGCTGGCCCGGTGGACGACCCAGGCCATCCTCGCTAGGGCGGACCAGATGAAGCTGGGGTTCGTGTCGCGAGCGAACCCGAAGAGCGCGGCGAACCACGTCATCCTGGGCGTGGTCGGGTACAAGCCGCGTGAATTCGCCTCCCAGATGAACCTGGGCTTCTCCAACGGATGGGGCATCGTCCGCACCATTGTCGACCTCGTCCGGAGCATGTCCGACGCCGCCGACGAGGAGGAAGCGGACAACGACAACAACAACAAGGAAGAAGCCACCGCCGCTCCCGCAAAGGACAGGAAATACGTCCTGGTCAAGGATCCCAATAAGCCGGTCATCAGGCTGTACGAGGTGCCCCTGCACACGTTTGAGGATGACGACGACGGGATGATTGGTACAGTCGGCGAGACGGACGGCGCCGGCGAGGAAGCTGAGGAGTAAAAATCAAACTTGCAAATGGGAGGGGCGGATCGCCAAGGTTGATGTATGGGTGCAACTCGGCACGAACATGTATCTACCTGCCCGGACACTGGCGATTGTGGTACAGGTCCAATCACTCACCTGAATCCAACCACCTCCTCTCTCTCTCTCTCTCTTCTAAAGAACTATCGCCTAGCTAAGCGAGCAAGAAATTTTCGCGGCAAAGGATTCTTCGCGACAACCTTTTGCACCGTGGGAGGAGAAGAAGAAGAAGGCGGAGGCAGTCGACAAGGGGACTCGAATCGACTCGACTCGACTCAAATCGAATCAGGTCTTATCTTGTTTGTCACATGAGGAATGAGTGGACGGGGCAGCAGGGGTGGGACCGACCGGTTCTCCTCCCAATCTCGAAAGAAATGAAATGAACGAATGATTGTCGCTAGCAATGGAGGTGGCGCGGCACGGGCTACGACGATAGACAGACAGACGAACGAGGAGGCGCAACGAGCCATCTCAAAAAGCAGTTGTAGACAACAGCCTCTTTTTCCTCACGTAGGGGGTTATTTAAAAAATAAAAATTACATCTTGTTTACGAACGATGAGGTGCGATGGTAGATCCTGTTAACGTAACTTCAAATCTCACTTGGATATATATTTCCATCTATGCCCTGGCGCCTGTGCTGCGCTATACTGTACAGAACCCTGGTAAAACACAGGGCGGCTTGAAATTCAAACTCCATGTTGATATACTAGAGAACTTTTGTGCTCTCCGAGACATTCTCACTCCAAAATGGTGTCTTCCTTTTATCTGACTCGGCCCATTGTCTTTCCAATTTCACTCTCCCAGTTTGCCGCCCTCTCAAAGCCGTTGGATGCGGTCTGGAAATCCATCATGGCTTGATAGATGGCTTCTTTGGAGGTGGTCACAAACGGGCCGTACTGGACAATGTTCTGATCCAGCGGCTGGCCCGCGACGAGGATGAATCGCGCAGCTTCCTGTGCGCCTTCTACCACGGAGGCGGTCACCACGTCGCCGGCCTGCTCGAAAACGACGTTATGGTAGGGAGTAACCGTTTCCGCTTTGTGTGCGTCCGAGCCGTTGGAGAATGTCACCGCGCCTTCTAGCGTGTAGGCGAACGCGTTCCATCCCTGCGGGAGTTCCTGTGTAATCTTTCCACCGGGTTGAATTGTAATGTCAAGAAGCCACACCGGTGTATAGGCCAGATCCTTCAGAGACTCGACGCCTTGGCTTTTCCCCGAAATGACCTTCACCTCGACTTTGCCGTCCTCGGTCTTTGCAATGGGGATCTCGTCGGCACGCAGATCGCGGTATCGCGGTTCGCAGGATTTGAGGTGCTCTGGCAAGTCGACCCAGAGTTGCATGCCCACGCTGAGATCTTCTGTTTGCACGGGCATCTCAGCGTGCACGATTCCTCGGCCAGCAGTCATGAATTGTAGATCACCAGGCCCGATTTTCCCTGCATTACCGGCGAAGTCTTCGTGGTTGACGCCGCCTTTTAGGAGGTAGGTGATCGTCTCTTGTCCTCGATGAGGGTGGTCAGGGAAACCTGCACCGGGAGATATCCTGAAGTGGTCGAGCATGAGGAAAGGTGTGAAATGTCGCAGTTTTGGTGTGCCAACCGAGCGCCGTACTACAGCACCTGCGCCTTCTGATTGTTCACGGGCGAGGAAAGAAAATTTGATCTGTCGTGGAGTCGTCATGTTCGCTGCCGAGGTCGAAGCTAGACGAGAGGGAATGAGAGGTAGTCCCAGAAAAGGTGTCGCTGTTGGAGATTGTGCGGTTGTTGGTTTTATACGATGTAGGATGCCGCTGAAAACTGGTCTGGCTTGTTGAAGAAGAGTCTTCGAGGAGGCCAGAGTGCTGGAGTAGTATGCAATAAGAAGTGCTGTTGTGATGGTGATCAAGAAGGAGTAGATCTGCTTCATGGAACGGAGAGGGAAGTTACTTATACCTTGGGAGAATCATGGAATGCCGAATATGCTAGAATAGGCAAGCACAGTTCGACCACCAGCATTACACAGGGTAGCTTGCAGCTTATGAAGATCTTTACAATGGTGTTTGGCTTGTTTTCGAGCCGTAGCGCAGCGCAGCGAAGCGAAATCGATGAGCAGCAAATGCCGATGGAACTAGTCGGAAAACCTTCCGCGGGGCTGATTGCGTAAGAATCAGTCAGCAGCTGGTGGCTGATTCGGAACCAACCGAGTCACGTGATACGCCAAGAAATATCCAGGGTTTTTTTCTTCTTCTGGCCACCATCTAACATGGCTATTTCCTGGCCACTATTATTACGGGAAAGGTCTCGTCGAACGCCACTTGCAAGCATCCGTGAAAAAGCTGTCACGCCCATCTCCCTGACAATAGTCGCGGTCTACAAGATGCCTCTGCTCGCGCTCTGTTAACCCCTTGAGCAGCCCAATCCGTTGACAGTGACCAGGTCACGCACACAATGGAGGATGTCGACAATCATGAGTCAATCCCCGAAACAGAGGCACTTCCCGCAACAGTAAAGTCTGTTTCGACCTTCGAGCTCGTCATCATATCTTACGGCCATGCCAAGGGCCCACTTACCCTCGCAGGCCTGGGTTCAGTCGAGAGGCTCACCTTTTCCGTCAGGGACATCAGGAACCCACCCGCCAGGCTGCGCAGGACGCACACAGGTCTCTCCTCTCATCTGCGCAAGGAGGTCATGGCCAACCAGGCCGCCGCTGCAAGATTGGGGCTCATTCTCGAGACTGTGCAGGCGAAGATGGGTGAGATGCAACGGGCCCGCGAAGGCTTGGACACCAGCGCGGAATCGCCTTCATTGTCTGCGGCACCGTCAACCACCCTCGTTGTCGGCATCATGTGTGAACGGGGGAAGCATCGCAGTGTTACCTTTGCGGAGGAACTTTCTCGGGCCATCCAACCAGATGGCTGCTGGGCCGTCTCGGTTCGGCATCGTGAGTTGGATTCATTGCCACATCGCACGGACTTAGCTGTCCCAGAGGAGAACAGCTTGATGACAACAGGAGACGGAAGAGCCGGGCCCGAGACCAGGAAACAACGGGATCTGGAAAGGAAGAAAGGTAGGTCGTCAGCCAGGGGATTCTTGCACGAAGATGCCCCCGGTGCCGAGGAGGATGTTTGAAAGCCATAGCACTGGATGAGACGCCGAATGGGCCTCTTTGAGTAAGAGTTGGGCTGTGTTCATGCTTTGTGATATCACAATCTCTGACTTGCTGGCAGTGCGTATCTTGGGCAAAGAGAGAAGCCTTCTCGGAACCAAATGAAGTATTTCCTCGATCTATTCCGAGTTAAGTAGCTCGGTCGCTCGCCCCCAATAATAATGCCTCCGACTCGCCCGCTGTTACATATGTGGATGGGTCTCATAACACGCCAGGTCCTCGATCCGGTTCGCGGGGAAAAGACCAATCTATTAATTAGTGCTGCGTAATACAGTGTTGAACCTGGAGTTCCAGGCGCCCTACTAACTAATTAATTGACCACCAGGGCACCATCTCGTCCCATGTATTACGGACGTAATTACCTCCCCACAGCATATATATATATATATACACATTATACATGCCCCGAACTATGCTTTCTCTCTTCCCTTTTTGGTTCAGGGAAGGGAGTTAAGTATGGATCTTGGCGTCGAGGGAAGTAATCCTCCAAAAGCGGCGGATTAGCCACCAGAATCGGCGGGAAATTTCCCTGCAACCCGCGTTGAGCTGTAATAACGAAAAGGAAGAAGGAAAGTCCCAGCCTTACGCTCCAGGTCTGGCCAATTCGAAGGCACTACCGCCGTCCTGTGCAATGTACAAGCACGTGACCCAGCCTTACCGCACCACCACCTAACCCTGATATCCCCATAACACTAGGACAACGGGGTGTAACAAGTATTTGTCCATAGCCTAGTTGTTCCGGTTGAATGCGGCTCGACAGGCGCAATACGTTGTTCCCGCAGAGCCTATGATTGGCGCAGCTGCATAGTCGGTCACTCCGCCCAGGATTCTTGGTAGCATATCTATGAAGACAGATCAGCACGTCTTGAAGCTACAATAGGATTTCGAGATCAAGTATGTATATCGTTGATATGTCCGATTGAACATCAGCATTAACACCAGGACACTTCACCTAGCCAAAAGGTGAAAACTCTCCTCATTGACGGCCAGAATTGACGCTCCCTAGATCTGTCTTTGAAGATGCTCACGACTTCAGCAATACTCTCCTTGTGGTCTTTCCAACCGAGAGTTGTGCCTGGAATAGACCGGACAAAAGTGACATCCGCATGTCCAGTGCTGCCCGCAATCCCCGGAATCGGTCTTCCGAAGCAGCCATCAGAAATGACCCTTTTTAATGTTGCGTTGAGGTTTGGCAGCGATCCAGCTAGGAGGGGAAGCACCGCGAGGAATAAATACGCTTGCTCGAAGGTGTCCTGTTGGGGACCATGGACGGACCTAATAATGGCCCCAGCTGGAGCTTGCAGGGCCGAGGGCCTAATAGCTTAGCTATGTCCCCAAGGCATGGGAAGGGCTAGTGGGCCTAGGCTCACCAGGCTCAATGCTCTCGGCAATACTGCTTTTCTAAGAATCTCCAGGTCGGCCGCGACTTGGACTGCCTCGCCACCTCCATTCTTTGTCTTGACTACACCACAAATTCACCAATGCCTTCAGACAACTATAACGCTGCCGACACAGGGGCACAAATCACCAGCGTGAATGTGTCGGCCAGAAACGCATCTGACGATACAGACACCTCCGAGGACGATGAGAACAATAACCGGCCGGCCAAACGTCCGCGCAATTTCATTGCGAGACAGGTAAATCCTGCGCCGCGTGACAGTGTCCAATTCATGCTGATGCCTTCAAATAGGCCTGTGAAAGGTGCCGAGCGAGGAAGACTCGATGCGACCAAGAGACACCGTGCAGCTTATGCAAAAACCTGGGCGTCCATTGTGTCTACACCGAAAGAAAACCCACCAGGTCAGTCAGCATGCGTTGATGCAGACGTCACTCGTCCCTCACAGCCCTCCACAGGAATGAAGCTTCACTGAGCATGATATTTAATCGTCTGAAGCGCATCGAGACCCAAATCAGTCGCCTAACCAGTAAGCATGAGACTGACGCCAATCATGCTGCACACGCATCTCAGAACACCAACAACCCAGGGGCGCCGATGCACACTTCGCCGCAGGGCGATGCTGGCACCACTGCTCCACCTGCTCTTTCTGCTGAATCTCTTTCTCCTCAGCAATTCCCCAACACCCACAGGCTTGCCAGGACCGCAGGAGATTCCAAACTATCTTTCAGCGCTCGTCAGGCTCTCTACTGGCTGGGTCTTCTCCCGGAGTATTCCTCCACTTCCTTTCCCACGCGCGCTGAAGGACTCGGCGTATGTCTCGCTGATGTCGAATTCGACGGGCCAGCTCTCCCTGAGAATGTCCAGACCGAAGAGTTTCCGCCTGACTGGCTGGAATCGTTGAGCCTGTCGACAGTCAAGGCGCTATCCAACGCTTTCTTCAGCACCTTCAATCGTATCTTTCCGGTTCTCGATCGGGACTACTACTTTCTACACAGCCTCTCAACCGTCGTCAGCGAAGGCTTTAACGACGACATTGAGTCGTGCTTGGTTCTGGCTGTCATGGCACTCGGCTGTCTTGGGGCAAAGGCGTTTGAAGAGGGAGGGTACCACAACGAGGATGTTGTGCCAGCGACAGGAATCGTTCAAACTCTGATGAACCAAGACGTGCCAGGGAAAGGGCTCTTCAACGAATCACGGCGCCGCATCGGACTCTGCTCTGGCGCAAAGGACATTCAAGTCTCACAATACTACCTGGCCGCGGCGTTGTTCTACGCTCAGTCAATGCGCCCTGTCGACCAGTGGATGATGACGGATCGTGCCAGTACCAACTGCCTGATATTCTGGACTCAACTTCAAAATCGCTCAGATGAATGGACCATCGATATGCAGTCCCGCGTCTTCTGGTCCGCTCTGCTCATGGAGACCGTGGCTGGGCAGGAGTTGGACCTACCAAGAAGCCGTCTCCGAGAGCTCGAGGACGTGGTTCCGCTCCCCAGATTCCTCGCCTACCCCAACGCGAAGAAGCTGCAACCTGTCCGAAAGGACGACTCATACTACCATTATCACTTTCTGGCCCAGATCGCTCACCGCATCATCCTCACTCGCATCCGAGACGAAATGTACCATCTACATCCTTCCACGAGGGTCGCAAATGAATTGCGACATCAGCTGGACCAGTGGTACAGGAATCTGCCCTCGGCCCTACAACTTGACGGTAATCTGGACACCTTCAGCTGTCCGGCCGAAGCAGTGGCTATGTCGTTGCTCCAAACTAGATATCGCTCAGCCCTTTACCACCTTGGACGACCTTTCCTGTACAAAGCGTTGAGCAACTCTTGCGCAATGACCGACCAGGAGTTGAACTTTTGTTCCGAGGCCCTGCAAACGGCCTCGGACTGGCCAATTGCGACTGGGTCATGCAAACAGATGGACAGCTTCTCGCCTCTGAAGTATTTTGTGTGCCGGTCGTTCTTTGGCACTTTGCTAATTGCGCACGCATTGAAAAAATCCCATGATGAAAGACTCATTGCGACACTACCCCAGAACTCGGATGCTCTGTGTTCTTACATGCTTCATTATATCGAAGGTCTTGCGCCACTGAGCCCAGCACTCCAGAAAGACCTGGAACTGCTCTTGATGTTGTACGAGCCTCACGATCATTGAGTCTCACTGATATTGGATATATATCCTTGTGCCGATCTCCCATTTACGTGGAATCCAAAGGCCAGGAATGTGCCAAGCTGGAGATCAGTCGTGCCCCGGGAACAAAGCCTCCGGGTCTACCACCGCCTCCAATATTACACAATTACAATGTCAAACTTGCATCCATCGACAGTCTATGTTGCACCTAAAGTTTCAGGCCAGGACTAAATATTTTGCACATTGGTCAACCAGGAGCTACCTTTTCATTCTGGCCTATTCAGAGGTGCGGTAAAGTCAAAGTCGGGTCTTTTCCTTGGCCTCTTTGGATTGCCTCAGGCCACCAAAGCGAACGCGATAATGGATGTGCCGAAATCTTCGCGCCTCAAAACTTGATGCGGCGCCGCGACGAGGAATAAGGGGCTTGGCACTCGATACCCAGGCACGCGGCGATAGATGGTGACAGCTCCTATCTTTTCATAGCCTAGCAACCTTCCAAAGCGCTGCTCGTCTCAGCCAATGCAATCATTCGCAATCGGGACATTTTGACTCATCCCGAGGGTGTTTAAGGCACTGGTATTTTTGAGGCGAGTAATCGCAACTTCTGGGGCAGCCGTTGATGGGCATTGGGCCTTTGACATGATGTCCACTGACGAGCACAGTCGGGCCTAGGACTGCCCTCCCCGATAAATGTTGATTCATGGGACATTAGCTTTACGGAGGCTCTTTGGTGGCGAAATGTTGTAGACTGAGCTGTCAACTCCACAAGTGTCGGGGGGACTAATATACATCCGACCTGTGGGAGAGAGCATCCCCCGCAAACAACTTCAAAATACCAGGCCAAAACAGCGAGCCTCCCCACAACCATGGAGCGTCTATCTACCTCCCTGCCGAGGCCCGAGTAGCAATCGAGACGTGTATCGAACTGTGCTGAAAACATCTCCTGGATGAAAGGCGATCTCGAGATTTGACACGGACTCCAGTGGCGTGTGTGACTACTCGATGGATGTCCATTGCTTGCTCCACCGGCTGAACAAATTTCATTTATTTTACCATGCTGTGCATACTATATCACACCTTCCAGACCTGATCCTCGAGTTACACCTATCTCAATTATCTGATCATTGACTTTGAATACCTGCAAGAGATGCCTTCAGGAAAGCATGACACCCTTGAGACGAAGTCCCCTTGGGTCTCATCCGAGGACGGACCCAATGTCGTCAAATACCCACCCGCGCCATATCAGCTGCTGGATCAGTATCACTCTCAAACCAGCAAGATCAGAGTCGCCTGTGCCGGAGCAGGCGCCACGGGGCTATGTCTCGCCTACAAGTTCGAAAGACAGTTGGAGCCAGGAACCTGGGAGCTCAGTCTTTTTGACAAGAATCCCCAATTTGGCGGTACCTGGTGGGAGAACACATACCCAGGGGTGGCGTGTGACATTCCGGCTCCAATGTACACGTATTCCTTCGATCCGAATCCGAACTGGTCTCACTACTATGCCTCAGGAAGCGAGATCCAGCAGTACTTTGAGGGTTTCGCGAAACGCCACGGTGAGTTTCTAGCCGCATCGGGATCTATATGCAAGCTGACACACCCTTTTTTCTTCGACAGGTCTAGAAAAGTATATGAAGCTCAACACCAAAGTGCTGGAGATCAACTGGGATGATAATCAAGGCGTCTGGAACATGTAAGCGATGAATCATGCTGCACCAAATGCACGCGTGCTTGCCTGGCTAAGTAACTGACCCGTGTCACAGCGTCCTCGAGGATCAAAAGACCAAGAAAACCTGGAATGACTGGGCTCACGTGTTTGTCAATGGCACGGGCATCCTTAACAACTGGAAGTGGCCCGAGATCCAAGGCCTGTTCGATTTCAAGGGCGATATGATGCACTCGGCTAAATGGAACCACGACGTCGATTTCACCAACAAGACTGTTGGGGTAATTGGTACCGGTAGCTCATCGGTTCAGATTCTGCCCCAGCTCCAGAAGGTGGCCAAGGAAGTCAAGGTGTTTATGAGAAGTCCCACTTGGATCAGCCCTCCCTTTGGTGCAGCTCCGCTGGCGGCCTTGCGGAACGGTGCAGAGGTCAAATTGAGCACAAGGCAATACAAATTCACCGAGGCCGACAAGCAGCGATTCCGAGATGACCCGGAATACTTTTTACGCTTCCGGCGAGAGATCGAGGCCGAAATCAATATCATGTTTGAGTTGTACAAGCAAGGCACAGAAGTCTCCAAGTCTACAAAAAAGATCATTCTGGACGAGATGTACCGGCGAATTGGTCCCGGGCAGGAGAAACTTCTAGAGTTCATCATACCCAAATGGTCACCCGGATGTCGAAGAATCTCGCCGGCCGATGGATATCTCGAGGCCCTGGTATCAGCGAACGTCGAACCCATTTACGGAGAGATTGACCGTGTCTCGGAAAAAGGAGTCGTTGTGGCTGGTCAAGAACACGAGGTGGATATCTTGGTCTGCGCGACCGGCTTTTCACCTGCTTTCAAGCCTCCGTTCAAGGTTCGTCTACCGCCTAAGCACAAGAGAGAACGCATGCTGAGCGGATTCACCATCTCTCTAGGTCTTCAACGGCAAGATCAGCCTTTCTGACGATTGGGGTCAGGGGTGCAATATGTACTTGGGTATTTCTGCACCCAGGTTCCCCAACTACTTTACAGTCGCCGTAAGTTGCTAAATCCATCTCCATTCACTATGAGGTCAACTCATGTTTTTCGTTTTGGTAAAAGGGACCCGGTTCGACTTGGAGCAATGGCAGTCTCCTTCCGGCAATTGAGACCACGATCGAGTACATTATCAAGTTGATGAAAAAGATTCAAAAGGAAGGCGTTCTGTCTGTTGCTGTGAAACAAGAGGCCACCGACGATCTTTACCAGCACTTTGACGAGTTCCACCGACACACCGTCTGGCAAGAAGAGTGTCGCAGCTGGTACAAAGACGGAAAGTTGAAAAACCGGATTTACCTGTGGCCTGGACCGGTAAGTTTAGAACCAAGTCGACGATATGTTGGGGGGAATAGTCTAACCGCCGTTTAGACCATCCACTACCTGAAAACCATCAAGGATCTCAGAATGGAGGATTACGACGTGAAGTACAGGTACAAGAATCGGTTTGCCTATCTTGGCAACGGCACAGTGAAAGCGTCAGCAAGCAAAGACGTTGCTGGGTTGAGCCCGTATGTTCGTAATTCTGACAGCGAGTGGGATATCGAATAGCTTTCTGGTCACCACAATGGTCATCATCGTGGCCAAGGCCTCACACTCGAATCTATATTATCTGCCTATATAGAGGTTGGCGAATCACCGAGACTCGGATGTCTCGGTACGACTGCTTGCAATATCCAATCTTTGATTGCTTAGACTCCTTACTGTCGATCTTCGTTTCATCAACTTGTGAGTGGAACGCGTTTGCTTAACGGGCCGGCCGACCATACAAGTGCAGCCAGATGACCACCTTTCCATTTGGTATGTGACTATAAATTCGTGATGCTATTTGTATATGGCAGGCATCATCTTCAGTCACATCCCGTATGGTCACTACAGATCAATTGGGAAGATCGTCCTCCGGAAATAGTGACGGCAATTTAGGCAATGGAAGACCTCCCATGCCATCAATGAGCGCTCCCGCCCTCCTCATGAACTGGACAAGGTCTGGGCCGAGCCATTCAGGCAACAAAGCAGCTCTCGAATGCTCCATTTCGCGCAGGATCTTGCCGGCGACCTGTACACTCGTCAGTGTGTGCCCTTGCGCCCTCAGGATACCACATACTAAGCAGCAAGCGCCGCGCATTGACGGGTCGGCCGACATCTGAGCGATCATCCGAGCCACGTTGTGAGGGGAGTTGGCCTCCATGCCCGCTGCGTACCACTCCCTTGCGAGGTTCTGCGTCAACTGCGTGGCGGTGAAGTTCGGTGCGACGCCGTTGACGCGAACCAACACCTTGTTCGCGGCAAGCTGGGAGCCTCGCAAGAGTCCAGTGGCTCCATGCTTGGACGAGATATATGCCGCAGCGCCGGTGCCGCCAAAGTAGCCCGAGGTCGACGTGACGAGGACGATGGAGCCTCGCGAGCCATCGGAGAAGCGAGCTTCGTTCTGTGCCATGTGGAAGAGTCCGAGTCGGAGTGCTACTCGCCCCGGAGGTCAGTATCGTCCTGGAAGCCGAACGGAGGTCAGACTTACTGTTGAAGGTGCCCTTGAGGTTGATGTCGATGACTCGGCCCGCCTCGATAGGCTCCTTGGGCTCGCCGTTTGCGTCCACCTCGTCGCTCTCCAGCAGGAGCGAAGACTCCATGACGCCCGCGTTGGCGACGACCACATCTATGCGGCCAAACTGGTTCTTAGTCGCCCGAAACAGCGAGACCATCTGCGCCCAGTCCAAGATGTCGACGGCAACGAACATGGCCCGTGGCGCCGGCGCCGGTGTTGATTTGGCGAGAGAGGCCACCAGCGCCTCACCAGCGCTTCGCATTCGCTCGAGGTCTGCCACCACCACATTTGCTCCGTAGCTATGGTATATCCTTGCCGTCGCAGCACCGATGCCACCAGCTGCCCCGGTGATAATGACTGTCTTGCCTTTGAGTTCGTCGAGATGTGCATTGCTGGAAGTGATTTCCTGCATGGTGAGGCTGGTCATAATCGGCGCCTGAGGTATCTCAACTTGCTGACCGCCCGTGGTAGGACACAGATTCTGTCCTGAGCTGAGTATTCAACTCCTCTTGCATCACCATTTTCGGTGACTTGGAACACGGTCACTTCGATCGGGGACGCTAAGGTCGAGGCCGATGCATGGGGCTTCTGCTTGGATTGGAGCCGGTTATAGTGCGATGGGACAATTGGTCGGAGGCAGACGTACATGGTCCACAGTTGTTATCTCAAAGGTTTCATTCATTCTCTAGCCTTCTAAAATCTATTTCTACCACCCCCGATGGAGGCATACACGTGTGCGCCACTCAATAAACACACCACCGTCTCCTCCTCCACCCCCGCCGAGAGCGCGATGCTGAGGTCTCACACCAAGGTCGAGACTCACTGACGCCGGCGAAAGCAGCTATCACGACGGGATCTGATTCGCCCACCGCCCTTGATCGTGTACATTAGCGTGGTAAACACATCCCGGGGCCCCAGAGCAGAACCTTTCCGGCAATGATATAAATTTTGCTTCCCCACCTCACCTGTCGAAGTCAAACAAAACACCCATCGACCACAAGAGTCTCATCCACCACGCAATCTTCTGTACCTCGCATCCTTGGTCGTTGATTTGTACATCTCAACCATGGCAGACATCGTGCCAAAACAGCTTTTTCCGGCTGAGATTGAGATGGTGGAGGAAATAAAACTCGACGAGCCACCCTCGTACGGTCGAGAGGATGAGGCGAGGTACGAGACACTTGGATCCCGGTCAGACATACCAGGGTATCTCTGTTGATCACGTTCTGCTCCAGGATCGTGCGCAAGATCGATGCCAGACTCATGCCGACGACCGCTTTGATCTACCTTCTTTGCTATATAGACCGAGGCAACATTGGTACGTTTCGCGATTCATGCCATCGCCGACAAGCCTGGTCCCATACTTTCGATTAACGTGCCCCCAACTGGGCAGGTAACGCAAAGATTCTCAACGCCGATGAGGGCGATGCCATGCCCCAGACCAACCATATGACAAACTATCAATTCACCATTGCGTTGATGGTCTTCATCGTCGCCTACTGCGTCTTCGAAGCTCCATCCAACCTGGCCTTGAAGGTTCTCACGCCGAACAGGTCCGTCTCCCCAAGTGACGTGTCATGTGGCTGCTGGATTGACCTCTTTCAGATGGCTCGGCTTCCTCGTCTTCTCCTTCGGTGCCATCTGCTGCGGTATTGCTGGAACCACCAACTTTGCCGGCGTCGTTGGTCTCCGATTTTTGCTGGGGGCGTGTGAGGCCGGTATCTTTCCTGGCATGGTGTTTTTCATGTCCTTTTGGTACAAGCCCGAGGAGCGAGCCACGCGTATTGCAGTCTTCCTCTGCAGTGCAACACTCGCCGGAGCGTTTGGAGGGTCAGTCGCCACTCCTGACCTGGGAACTTCTGACGGCTGACACATGCCCTCCTAGTGCGATCGCTTACGGCGTCGGGCATATGAATCATGCTGGTGGACTTGTGGCATGGAGATGGCTGTTCATCATAGAGGGACTACCATCAGGTGAGCATCCGTTCTTTTAAACCCGCCAGGGACCGTGCTTCGATCTAACCAACAAACATCGGGCAGTTATCGTGGGGATCCTGGTCTTCTTCTTCATGCCCAACTACCCAGAGAATGCAGGCTGGCTGACCGAAGCCGAAAAGAGCATCCAGCGTCAACGCCTTTCCGCGGGAAACAGTTCACATGGGTGAGTGATTGGGCTGGGGCTTACCTTTCCACCAATGATACTGATCGCGAGGACAGCGAGGCCAAGATCAACTGGGCCGATGCAAAGGCCACGCTCAAGGACGTGAAACTCTGGGTTCACTATTCCACGTATTTCGCAGCGGGTAGTGGAGCCACCTCTCTCTCGCTGTTCTCTCCCGTCATCGTGGCAGGCCTTGGGTACCATGGCCTGCGAGCACAGCTCTTCACCGTCCCGCCTTACGCAGTGGCGTACGTGGTCACTCTTGTGGTTGCTCTGTGGTCTGATAATCGGCGCATGCGCGGGCTGTTTGCGTGTGCCGCGTTCACCACCGCATCCATCTCCTTTCTCATCCTCGGTGAGTTTCCAGTTCTGCACGACACACATGCCCCCCCGGCCCCCCCCCCTTGTCCCCCATACTACCCAGCACCTATCCCTGACTTCGGAGTCCCCCATAGCTGCCATTCCCGGAACTCATTACGCGGTACGCTACTTTTTCTTGATCGTCGCCACGAGCGGTTGCTTTTCGGCACTGCCCCCATTGTGTGCTTGGGTCGGGGACAACGGTCGCTCCACCACCGCAGGATCTCTTGCCACAGCATTGAACATCGCTTCCAGTGGACCTGGGCAGATCATCGGCGTCTGGATATATCGTGCTCAAGACAAGCCGCTGTACCAGCTGGGTCATGGGGTCAATGCGGGATTCCAGCTGATTGGCGCCTGTGTCACCTTGGGATTGTATCTACACTACAAAAAGCTGAACAGGAGACTCGCCGGGACCAATGCGACAAGGTGGATTGCGTAGTGGAGGATGATCCAGAGAGAAACCATGCCCAGATGTTTTCTGGATCAAGATTGGCCTGGTGGTGAAGTTCATAGCACAACGCCAGCAGCCAGTCAGGCTGAATCTAGCGCCCGGGGCTTTCGACGGAGACTTCTGCTGAGGCTATGATTCTGTCTCGCAAAAGGTCAGGACGAGATGCGAGTTCATGGACAGCTGGAGACTCGGAACAGCTTTGATTGCCGCCTGTGAATGAGAAGCCCAATTGCAACACGCCGTCATTGTTAACCTCTCACTAAATGGTGTGTCTAGAACGTCAGCTGGCCTGGGATGATTTCACGATTGGCAGGAATCGAGTCAACCTTCTTTGTACAGACCTTTTGTTGAATCCTCTCGTGCTCTCGTGCTCTGGCGCTACCCTCCGCGACCAACCATCATCAAGATCCAAGTGAACCGACACCTAAAAGGGATTTCACTCCATTGTATAGCTCATATCAATGTGTCTACCGAGATGAACATATCTATGAGCCTGTGTCGGGCCTTTTCCTGACCTCGATCAAACTGGCGTGAACGGCCTCGATCTTCTTGAGATCCTTGACGCCCAGAACAAGAGAGATGTTCTCCTTGAACGCCCGAGTCTCACAGAACTCCTTGTGCGCCTCGACGGACTCCCAGCCCACCACCAGGACATATGCCTTGCCCTTCCCATCGGTTCCGGGAATGTCAATCCCCTCTTCCTCCTCCACCCAGCCTCCGACCCAAGATTTGTAGCCCTTGGCTTCCCTCTCCAGCACGGCGAGAAAGGCCTTGACGTTTTCCACCAGCCGAGCTTGATCTGCTTCCGAGTACAAGCGTGGCAGCCACATGGTGACAATCTCCGTGGCCGGAGCGGTGTTGGTGCTGAAGGGATCGATCGTGGCAGTGGTAATTTCGGGGAGAAACCGAACGTGATACGCCTTGGCCCCGGCGCCGAGGATGCTGCCAAATCGTTCAAGGAATGGGTTGTATGCACTTGTTACAGCATGTGGTATCAGCTCCACGGACGGTGAGGTAGGTGGAATGGTCAACAATCAATCAATATGTGCCCTACTCTGAGTCCATGAACTTCTGGTGGTCCTCCAGCTCATCCCAGTCGACGAACCATGTCAGCACCGAGGGATCCTCGACTTGTCGACCCCAGCAGACTCGCCGGGCGCCTGGTTGGGAAAGGACCACGTCAAGGGCTTCGGCGTGGACCGTTGCCGCCCTGCTGGTCGTCTCCTCGGGGTTCTCGCCGTGTCGTAGGGGGAGCAGGGCAATTTCGGTGATCGCCATTATTTGGTTTACTGGCGGGCGCTCACAATGGGTACATGATCAGTTATGATGATAATGTCTAGTAAGGCCGGAACCCTCGATGCAGCCATTCCCTATATATCCGGAGATCGGGGTCTGTGCGGAGTGCTCGATCCATCGTCTCATACCAAGCAGCACGGTAGGGACCACTTCCCAGACAGGGAGGAAACCTGTGGAGTTGTTATTCATTATTATTATGTTGTGTCCCTACCGAGGTAGGCAGGGCTCAAGGATCGGGGACACCCAACATGAGTCCGAAACAGAAGGGTCACTAGGTATTCAGCGGGTATCTCGCGGCTCCGCGATTTGTCGACACCATCAATACACTTTCCACAATGTACGGCGGTCTGGCCAAGGCCCACCTAATCAGCAGTCAGAGGGAGGTGGACAACCAGCCTCACGCGGCGTGCCCGTGTGGCCCTGGATTTCGCCGAGTTCACAATTATCAAGTCGTCAGAAATCAACCTCAGAAGTATTAGAAATCCAAAACGAAACCTTTGTTCAACTGACTGCCTGAACCAACATAAAAGATCGGCCTGGAGAGTTGCTCGATATGAGTCAGGCCGGTCTTCCCATGAGTCCCGGGTCGTTTTGCCAGGATTGAGTCCGAGGAACCGCGGACGACAAGGGCATAAAGCATGTCGTCGCAGATCCCAATTGCTCCGGCCGCACCAGGTCTGAACCCAGGTGTGCCGAATTTGCCATACTTCACGCCAGCGCATGCCGTCAGCCCAGGCGTGCCCTATCAGCTGACACCTCATACGCCTACATTATTCCGACCCCTCAGGATCCGGGGCAAGACTCTTCGCAATCGAATCGTTGTGTCGCCCATGTGCCAGTACTCGACAGCTTCTGGAGGGCCTCAGATCGGCCAGTTGACCGACTGGCACGTGGTGCATCTTGGGCAATACGCCGTCAAAGGAGCCGCAATTGTCTTTGTCGAAGCCACAGGGGTACAGCCGCACGGCCGAATCACACCCCACTGCCCGGGGCTGTGGGATGATGCGCAAATCGAGAGTTTCAGACGGGTCTCGGACTTTGTGAAATCCCAAGGCAGTCTCGCCGGGATCCAACTTGGCCATGCGGGTAGGAAAGCCAGTACTGTTCCGCCCTGGATTGCCGATCAGGCACATAGATCGGCCATGCGTGCGACGGCAGAAGTCGGCGGGTGGCCTGAGCACGTCGTCGGCCCGATGGGTGGTCCAGAGAACTCCTGGGATGGGAAGGGTCTGGCTGACGACGGGGGGTTCTGGTCTCCACGGCAGCTCAGCGTCTCGGACATCCAGGAGATCGTCCACGCGTTTGCAGCAAGTGCCAGGCGTGCGGTGCAAGCTGGGTTCGACGTCATTGAGATCCACGGCGCGCATGGATACCTCATCTTTCAATTTCTCAGCCCAATCACCAATCGAAGAACTGATCAGTACGGCGGGAGCTTCGAAAACCGCACTAGGTTCCTGAGGGAGGTCCTTCAAGCGGTCCGAGCAGAGATCCCGGCCGACATGCCCTTGTTTCTCCGAATCAGCGCGACAGAGTGGATGGAAGAGACCGCGCTCGGCCAGGAATATGGTAGCTGGGACCTCACGAGCACCATCAAGCTCGCCGCCTTGTTACCTTCGCTCGGAGTCGATCTACTCGATTGCAGCAGTGGTGGAAATCATCCGCAACAACGCATTCAGATGATGTCGTCGCAGGACTACCAAACAAAGATGGCGGCTCAGACACGACAAAGAGTTAGGCGCGCCGGGCTGAAGCTCTTGATTGGTGCGGTTGGCCTCATCAGTAGGGCTGAGCAGGCGAGAGACATTGTCGAAGGGACCCCTAGAAGTGAGGATGTCGCCATTAGACAGGCGCCGGAATGCAAGATCCCAGAAGAAGCTGCTGTGGCCGAGGGTATGACCAATGCGCAGGGTCAAGAACCCATGGCGGATGTCATTTTCGTGGCAAGGCAATTTCTGCGAGAGCCTCAATGGGTTTTGAAGGTGGCCTGGCAGCTGGGCGTAGACGTTGCGTGGCCTAGCCAATGCTTGAAAGTGCGATATCGGGAGCTTTGAGGTTAAGAAGGGAGTTTACTCACAGCACGAGGCTGCGAGGTATCCTCCGTAGAGATGGCGCTAGATCTGGGCTTGGGGGTTCTGTAAAGGATACGACCACTTTCTATCCTCGTCCCTTGGTGCAGTACCTCGGACTCAGCTGGCAGTTCCGGTCGGTAGATCTCGGATAGAAGCGACTAGCTCAGGCTTGAATGAGTGAGTGTTCAGGACGGAAAGACGAATGACTCTCCCCGTCACAGGGCCGTGACGGTGCCGAGGGAGACACAACGACGGCTCCAGATAGTGTCTTTGGACCACTTAAAGAAACGTCTTTGTTCCTCTCTTCCACCAAGTCTCGCATCAAGCAACAGCCATGGAGAGGAACTTCCCTGTACCTGCAGGCGACATTGCGCGTGTGCGTATCATCGACACAACAACCAGCATCAAAACTCTCGAAACTCACCATGTCCTCAAGCCACCCATGCCTGGCATGTATGTGTTGCCTGAACTGCCGACCTGGTCCTTCCTAGTGGAGAGCCCCGGCGGTCGCAAGGCCCTGTTCGACCTGGGCATTCCCCCGAATTACCAGGAATTCTCGCCTTGGGTGCTGAGGTTCTTGAACATGGACGGCTGGGGCTGGCAAGTCTCGTCCAAAAGACACGTTGCAGATATATTGAAAGATGCAATGGTGGACCCTGCCTCGATCACGGATATCGTCTGGAGGTGTGTCCATCGCCTGTGTTTTGGGAGACCCATCTAAGTTCGCTGTTAATCCGAGGGAAAACAGTCACTGGCACTGGGATCATATTGGTGATCCATCGACATTCCCATCATCCACTCAGTTGGTCGTCGGCCCGGGCTTCAAGGAGGCCTTTCTCCCGGGATACCCAGCCAAACAAGATTCGCCGATACGGGAGAGTGATTATAAGTAAGTCCTCAACTATCGGGGCATGCTACTGTTGTGATATGCTTAAGCTCCTTTTCTTAGGGGCCGCGAACTCCGCGAGATCACTTTTCACGAGCCCAAGGATGTCCTCCAAATCGGCCCATTCCGTGCCTTCGACCTCTTTGGCGACGGCTCATTCTACCTACTGGATACCCCAGGCCACGCCATCGGCCACTTGGCCGGCCTTGTTCGCACCACACCGGACACCTTCATCATGATGGGCGGAGACCTGTGCCACCACGGTGGTGCGCTACGCCCGTCTGAACATATGCCACTGCCAAGGGAGGTCTGGCTTGATGCTTTCCAGGGTTTCCCAGGCGGCTTTTGTCCTGGAACTGCATTTGAGAAAATTCAGCAAGACCGAGGGAGAAGGCCAGATCAACCCTTCTTCGAGCCGGCATATGGCGAGGACATCCCGTTGACCATGCAGACCATCGGCAAAGCGCAAGTCCCGGACGCGGCCGCCAATGTCTTATTCATTTCCGCTCATGATACGAGCATCAGAGGCATTGTGGACCTCTTCCCGTTGGAAGCGAATGATTGGAAGGCCAAAGGCTGGCGTGACCAGGTGTACTGGAGATTTCTAGAGGATTTCAAGGATGCGGTCCAGGCCTGAACATTTGGCGAAGGCCATAGCATGTCTGTCTAGTTCTAGCTCTCTCTCACACACGCGATCGTTTCCTAGTGTTTCCCAGGGCCAAAGTCGGCAATATCAGCCATCTCAGTGCCATGTGCCTGACGAATGACATATTTGACCTGGTCGAGAGTGCTTTCAGCCAAGTACGGCTCGTCCCCGGTGCCCATGACCTTGTCCCAGCCCCTGAGGAATTCTTCCGGCGTTGCGGCCTGCAGGCCCGGAAACGTGGCCAGAGTCTCTCGTGCCGCACGGTTTGCGCCCGTCGAAAACACCTCGCCCGAACACGGACACTCTTCAGAGCAAAGCGCGATGGTGAAGGGTACACAACCCTATGTGATAATTTAACAGATGGTCAGCCTCGTTTCTCACTCCAAAGACCTTGAGATAGATTGGGAGGGGGTAAACAGTGAAACCATCCCCCATTTCGTACCTCTGCTGGAAAATAAGTCCTCGTGACAGCCTTGGTGCTTTCGGACAGGTCTGCCATCCTCGACGACGCCGCGGTCATGGTGCAGTTGATCTTGATGCCGTCGCGGACCGACCAGCGACCTAGCTGCCTCGTCATTCCAAAGACGGCTGCCTTGGCCGCCGTGTATGCGCAATCGCCTCCCGATCCCAAGCCATACATAGCGTTCGACGAGGCGTTGACGATTCGACCGTATTTCTGCTGCGCCATGACCGCGTACACGGCGCTGGTCATCATGGCCGTCCCCAGCACTGAGATCTCCAGGACGCGCATGAAGGAAGCCGGATCGACGTTGTCGTGAGACGAAAGCTTGCCCATGATCCCGGCGTTGTTGATCACGATGTGCACGGTGCCAAACTCTCTCACCGCCGTGTCCACGATGTCCTTGGAGTCTGTGGCGACATCCCCGCCGTGCGCGATGGCGACGCCTCCGTGCGCCCGGATTTCGTCCACGACAGCTTGCGCAACGGCGATGGTTCCCGGTGCGCCTTCAAGGTCGCCGCCGTAGTCGTTCACAAGCACTTTGGCCCCTCGTCTAGCCAGGCTCAAGGCATACAGCCGGCCCAGTCCCCTACCCCCACCCGTCACTATTGCGACTTTTCCTGCCACCGACATTGAGCCACAATTCTTGCGGCGTTGAAAATTTGACACAGCCTCACGTAACAACTTCGTTTGGCCTCTGAGCAGGAATATGCTGTCTACTTATCGAGCATAGCGGTGGGCCACGAAAGCCGAGCTAAAGGTCTGAGGCTTGGTAACATCTATTGTGACAATGAGCCGTCTGAGCACATTCAACGTACGTCGAGAGATTGTCGCTGCTCCGGCGTGATCCTAGTCGGAGGGTGGAGTTATGCTTCGAAAGTGCCCTCCCAGGCATGCACCTGAGCAACAAATGTTATTAGCAGTCTAGCCTTGCTCTCTGGGCCCCCTGAGGGGAAAGCTGAACCTTTTCGATTTGATTTGATGCCGAGGGACTCTCAGTATCACAGCGTGTGCTACTAGGTAACAGTCCGAGTCCGAGACCCGGCGTCTCACCTGGGGACGCGAAGTGCAATCCTGTTAATGGCCCTTGGAATGAATAGACATGATTCGGGGAAGCTAAATGCCATGTCGGAGACGGACGTGTATTCCCCTAGAAGGCGCCCCCCTTCCTAGCGTAGTACAGATTATTGAATAGCCGTAGGCGGACGGACAAGCGCCAGCTCGCTTCCGGGGAGACGGGCGTCTCATAAAGAGGACCCATCGGGGACGCCAAAGCATATTCCGCTGTGGCAATATCGCTCTGCATAGTCTAACTGTTCGGGGAGCAATGCAACAATCCCACCAATCAAAAACTCTTGCTAGACTTTTCATTTGGCCAAAAAGTAGAGACAAGTGAGTGCCTGGAGGCAAAAGACATTATGGCCGTGCCGACAATGCGAGACTGGGTTGGCCATAAAAAAATGTACCTGAAGTAATAGCATGTCGTTCGCCGGATCCATTCACTTGAAACGCCAGCTATGCAAGTTTGAGCAAGGAGCTATGGTAGTTGTAGTGTGTCTTTTGGCTTCTCTAGACGGGAACTAATTGGCAGCTGAGCTTGATAGCAACTTAAGGCGCAAAAGTACTTTAGCTGGGATACAAAACGACAATTTTTGGTGGTGTTCAAGGTCCTGGCCGTCTTTGTTCCGCTCTCACTGTAGATATTCCGAGCCGGCCTCTTTGGCCATGATATCGAACATGGGCTGAGCTGCGAACCAACCCGCCCGGGGCGTGCCAACGCTCTTGTACGTGAACGCAGCATCCTCGTCGTCGATCTTGACGGTGGAGCTCCCTCGACCACTATTGGCTGCCGCATCAGCCAGAAGTTGAGTTCGACAACACTTGTCGAGACTGACGAACCAGAAGATAGCGGCCTCGACAGTCTGGCCGCAGGTCAACAGTCCGTGATTCTGGAGGAGACACGCCTTTCTCGGGCCGATGGCGCGTGCGATATGCTGGCCTTCCTCTTCCGCCAGCACGATCCCCTTGAACTGTCGGTAGACCGAGTGGTCGTTATAGAACATGCAGGAGTCCTGGGTGATGATGTCGAGCTCGCGACCAAATGCACAGAAGGTCCGGCCGTAGATGCTGTGTGCGTGTGCGGCGCAGTTGACGTCGGGCCGCGCGGTGTGCACGGCGTGGTGAATCATATACGCAGCCTGATTGAGGAGTCTGTTGGCTCCCCCTTCGATAACCTTGCCGTGGGGATTGACGAGGATCAGATCAGAGCTCTTCATTTCGCTGAACGCAAGCCCGAATGGGTTTACCCAGAAATGGTCTGGCATGACTGGGTCGCGCAGCGTAATGTGGCCTGCAACACCTTCATCGAAACCGAATTTGCCAAAGAGTCGGAACGCGAGTGCCAGCCGACCCTTCAGGTATGCACGCTCATCGTACTTGTCATTGAATCTAGGGGGACTGGGCAGTTTCGAGAATTGGATCACATCTGAGAATTCGGGCACCTCGGCCGGAGACGATGCAATCTCTGCGTAGGTCTCTGTTGCGGTAGGAGGACTCATGTCGAGCGTTGTGTGGTGAAAGCTCACTCCCTTGAAAGGCGAATGAACAACGACTAGGCGTCTGAGCACGAAGGTGGTTGTATATCATATTAATGCTCGACCTTGATACGGTAGCAATGGTGACAGATGTTGCCCATCGGAGTCACCAATTGTCCCCGGTGGCTTTGGTGGCGCTTCCAGTTATTCAATATACTGATCATGAAGTGCCTAGACCGTCACAGATCGACCTCGAATGACTTGTCCGATCCTCCCGATCCGATGCGACCATTTACTCAGCCGGATGCATGCGTCGGAGATGGACCTGGAGCTACTCCGCTGATATTAGGACGGATTTCCAATATAGTAGCTGGTACTTTAGATTGAGCTGTATAACGCCGGTATCCCAATCGAATCAGATAGAATTAAATTCAGGTCGGCAGAGGGCTGTTCCTCACTAGGACATCTGACCGGCCTCGTAGTAGTTATTCGAGAAAGCCAGAAGGTCGTTCTGCAAGTCGAACCCATCCCCGCTCTCGCCCAGGACCAATTCCGCCGGCGATATTGGGCAGTCAAAGGCCAAGTCTGACCAAGTGTAGAATACCGGGTCTAGCCAATGTGAGACGGCAGTCGAGCCCAAAAAGGCTCTGCTTTGAATCGCCTCCATACCAGTGTCGGGGGCTCGAAGAGCGTCTTCAGTTCCTGCTTCCGGTGGAAGGGCAAAGGAAGTTTGGTGCACAGCTTGCCGTGCTGGTTGAGCAGTATCATCGGTCGGAGAGCTCACCATGTGCATTCCCAGCTGCTCTAAATCGGCAGAAGATTGCGTGTGTACCCTTGAAGAAAATCCACCAGTGCGACTTTTCGCCATCATTCGGGCGATCAGAAAACAGGCGTAGTCGGCAATCGGCCACGTGTCCCGCAATTGGCAGAGTGCTCGGATACAGCAGGCGAAAGACTGACTCGCTAGACCTCCAAACCTCTGAGCCTTGTCCTTCGTCTCGACCAAAAACGCTGGGAGGGTGAACATTATGAATCCTACAGACAGCGGAGGGAGTAGTCCGACCAAATGTCGCTCTTCGAGGGACTGAAACATTTCCGCCATTCGTTCGGCTGCTGCTTGAACTTTCGATGTTGACTCACGAGTCGACATACTCTCGAGCATAAACATAAGCGGGCGGTTGATGTGTGCGATGGCCATCAGGTAGATCATTCGTAGTACGGCTCTGTGGAGGAAGAACACATTTCCGGTTTCGTCATTATCCTGGTAGTCGGTAACGCTGGGTGAAGAGCGGCAACTCGTTGGAAGGCTTTGACGCCAAACGTCGAGTTGTTTCTCTAACATGTCCACCTTTCTCACGTCGATGCCGGACACCCGTGGTTTATAGAGCATTGTTGGTCCATTGGTGGAGGCTGAGTTAGCCATGACGGCCAGGTGGTAGAGGCTCGAAACGATGTGACCCATGCACACCATGACATTGACATGGGCGACGCACATTTCGGCCAGACCCTGTCGGACGATAGTGCTGCGTAGTATGGGGCACCCTTGCAGCGTAGGGATGGAAGTCGAGATGGCATCCGTGTCAAAATCGTCAAGCGTGAGCGGAGGAAGGTGGATGTCTTCGTCCCTGATCTGCATCGGCCTTCGCATGGTGACAGCTATGGTTCGATCGCGCATGATACAGAGCCACCAGATGCGTCTCCATAGCCGTCGTGCCTTCGGCGTCATAAAGCCGTGTTCATTGTAGGTAATGATCTGGTGCAATCCGATGCTGGTGGCGGTAGAGATACAAATGCCCAGCCAGTGCCAGGGATCTTTCTGGTCATTCTCAGAAACATACCAATTGGTTGCAAAAAGCAGTGATTGAATGAGCACGACTCGATCGGTATCCCAATCAAAGTCGTAGAGCATCTAAAGCTCACTCTGTATCAACGATATGCCCTCCAGAGCTAGAAGGCAAGAATTCCACTTACCTTTAATTTCCTGTAGTATTCAGCCCGAGCAGCTCGTCGATTCTCGTGGCCTGCACGGACGAGAAGTCCTAGGTCCACGTAGGCAGACCCAGCGAACATGATAGCTTGGAACAGGGTGAGGCTGATTTTCGATGTCCCTTGGTTATCGAGGGCATCGAACAGGTCTTGGAGATCAATGATTGGCATGTACGGGTAGACGTAGAGGACAAAGCATCGAAGTAGTTGGTCACGGATTTCAATATCAGGTATCGTCAAAGCTTGTCGACGAGCTAGCAACTCAACGTCGTCTGGGTTGATGTTCGGTCGAACAGGTCGAATATAGGATGGGAGCTCTATTGGCGCCTGATGTTGCTCACTCGATGATCCGCCAGTGGTCTCTAGGCTTGATTCTTGCTCACCAAGTTGACCCAGATGTTTCTGTCGACCGGAACGATCAGGAAGCCCGTGATCTCGGGTAGAGGTCGGTTTTGATATTCCTCGCCCTCATCAGCTCAAAGTCTCTGCCTCTGAACCAGCTTACATACCGTATGAACGTTGTTCAACAGCCTTCTGGGATCGATCTTTATCTTCGGCGGCAGCTGACGGCGAAAATGAAGGTCGGTTCACATCCTCACTCCGGCTCAGGGGCGGAAATGAAACAAGCCCTTTTATTTTGCGTTTCAGAAGTCGATGCTTTCTGCTTCTTCTCGATTCGGGCACGATGCATTCGACTTCATCGAGACGGCAATTATGACACGGCACACCGGCATTGTGGAAATCACACTTGATCTTTCGCACACGGCAATACTGACATGCTTGAGATGCCCTTTTCTTGACAGCGTGCTCGCTCCCCTGTGATTCTGAGTTGGAGGCTGACTTCGCATCCATTGAGGTGGCCTAGGTAGCTACCTGTACTGGAGAACAAAAAGGAAGATATGAATATGGATGAATGATGTACAGCTGCGCCACAGACGAGCAAAGTTGGTAGACGATCGTAGTAGATAGTTGGAACCTTGACTAGCGTGGACTCACCACTCGATATTTATCAGGGATCCCCCAGCAGGCGCGGCTTGTCCACTGCCGGGCCAGATCTACGAGTAGATGACAAGCCGATGTGGCAAAGTCCAATTCGTCGGGATATATGGCCCTGGGCTAGAAACAAGATCAAAAAGTACGATGATACAGATTCGTCGTCAGAAGCCTCGTTTAATCAGCTCCCATTCAAAGTGCTTTTCCCCCAAAGTTACACGAGGACGAGTGCTCTCATTGAGCTTTATACAACAACTGCAGTTGACAGTGTCTAAGGAGTCATGCCACCGTCAATTGTGTAGACTGCGCCGGTCGTAAATGAAGAGTCATCGCTCAACAAGAATGCAATCAACTTTGCCACTTCCTCTGGCTTGCCCATCCGTTTGATTGGAGACATTCCTTGCCCGCTCACAGCACCCCCTGCTTCCTTCGCTAGATCTAGCATCTTAGTGTCGATAGCTCCTCTACAGTAACACAGATCAGTCCGAGGATATCTTGAGCAGGAGCATGCAGAAGGACTCACGGTGCAATCGCATTCACCCGAACGTTGCGATGGCCATTTTCGGCCGCGGCGACCCTCGTCAGCCCAATGACCGCATGCTTGCTGGCAGCGTAAGATGCTGCTTTGGGAATGCCCATCTTTCCTGAGACGCTGGCCGCGTTAACGATCGATCCGCCGTCCTCGATGTACCGCAACTGTGCCCGTTGGCATGCCATGAGACCTCTGACATTGATCGCCATGACCAAGTCAAAGTCCGCATCGGAGATTTCATGTGCTTGCTTCAGCCCAAACTCCTTGCCAACTGTCCCAGCCAGGTTCACACCACCTGAGAGTTTAGAAAAGTGTTTGACCGTCGAGGTGATCCAGGCGTCCACTTGCTGGGAGTCGGAGACGTCCACCTTGGTCGTGACCACGCTGCTTTGATACTTTTGGCGAATTTCTTCAGTCACCCGGTTCAACCCTTTGACATCCATGTCGGCCAGCGCAAGGCTGGCCCCTTTGGAGGCAAGAAATCTTGCGGTGACCGATCCAATGCCGCCGCCTGCGCCAGTCACAGCAATCACCTTTCCTCTGAGGGACGCCATTATCGAGGCTCGGAAATGGTCAAGACTCAAATCCACGCTGCGAAGAGTTAAAGTCTGGACGAATCCGTCACAGTAATTCGGTGCAGTTAAAATATGCACGGATGATCGAGGAGGCTAGAGCAATCTTGCTCGAATCTCGACGCGTCCATGCCATGGGCTGAACACCAGGTCGATTTGAGTTGTCTGAGATGTTTTCGGAGCAGTAAGGCTGGGATCCGCTTGCACGACCAGCGCCACTCTGAGGCTGGTCCATTCCCGTCGGGCGTGAGACCGAAATTTCGAGATTCCTAGACCGCCCTCGGAGGCGGAAATTTGTGGGAGAGAGAATCCATGTGGCGATGTACGGGGAAGCTGTCAGGGACAGTGGAGGAACACGAGGGATCCTATGGTTCCCGAGGACCATCAAGCCATTCACTATCCAGTAATCAACGAAGCAGTTACTCGCATTAGTCCGAAGCTGTCGGCTAAAGGCCGAGCATAATCGTTATCATATACCTTATTAACTCGACTAGTCACGGGGCGATCAGACCAAAGCCCCGAGACTCGGGGAGAGTATACAACCCCGACGAGAGCTTTTGATTGCCGAGAGAAACAGGCCACACATTACCTAGGTCCTTTTACTCCCCTGACATGGAGCGGCCCAGCCGAAGGAAATCGCCGTGGCTAACACTAAAGCTCCCCATTGGCCAGTGAATCTCGAGAAGACGAAGGGACGAGGAGACGAGGCGAAGACCAGGACGAACGTAGCATCTGCGGAGCCCCGCAATGTCCATGGTCCATCTGGACTCCTGGAGTAGATATCAAGCTCACGACGCATGCAGAGCAAGTGCCAGATCTCCCGACCTCAAGTCAAATCCAGGCGAGATCCTAGCAGACCACCCCAGGACCCATCTATCGAGATCGACATTGTCCAAGACATGGCATACACACTCGAGGATGGTATCAAACGCCAACATACCTTCACCCCTTATGTGGCATTCGTGCTGGCCATCCTCGGTACTGGGTCTATCAGCTATGGGTACACCGCAGCAATCATTGGGACAACACTAGGTAATACTGACCTGGTCCAGAGACCTTGTGGCAAGTGCTGATACGAGTGGACAGGTCAACCATCATTCATCAACTACTTTGATCTAGCCACCCGCTCAAATGCCAGTGCACTGATCGGCTCGTTGAATGCCGTCTTCCAGGCTGGAGGCGTCATCGGAACCCTCCTATTGCCAGTCATCGCCGATAGACATGGCCGAAAAGTCGCCTGCATTGTGGTATGCTTCTTGGAACTTCGCACGAGGTGGTTATGACTGTCACTGATTTGCCGCAGCCGTCCGTAATCATCATAATCGCACAGGCATTCCTCGCTGGCTCGGTGAAGATCTCAATGTTCATCGTCTTCCGCTTCATTGCCGGGTTTGGCTGCTATGCCACAGCAGCCATTGTTCCCATCATGATGAGCGAGCTTGTACCTCCCCGATTCCGAGGAGCATGCGTCGACGTGATGGGCGTAGGGCTCAACGTTGGCTACACCACGTCAGGCTGGCTTGGCTACGGCTTCTCATTCTGGACCAGTGATGGGAGTGCGAATGCCTGGCGAGTGCCTCTGGCCATAGGTTGTTTTTTCCCGCTGCTCTTCGTCGCCGGCATGCCCTTTCTACCCGAAAGTCCCAGATGGCTTTGCATGCAAGGGCGTGAAGCTGAGGCAGAAGAGGTGCTCAGGAGGCTGCATGGACACCCTTCGGACCCGGACGGCGACCTCGCTCGTGCCGAGTTCTTTCAAATTCAGCAGCAACTCGAGCTTGACAGCCACTTGGACAACTCCTGGTTCCGACTTTTCACCAAGCCGTCCTATCGAAAGCGAGCTGGGCTCGCCATGCTGACCATGTTCACCACGCAGACATCAGGCGTCCTCCTGATCACGAGTAAGTAAGCCGTCGACATCTCCAGAGGCATTTTTGACCGGGTGCGGTATTTGCAGACTATGCGCCCCTGATCTTCTCGACCTTGGGCTTGGACGCTCATGGGCAGCTCCTAATCCTTGCACTGCTTGTCACCATCGGGATTTTCGAGAATGCACTTGGCATGCTTCTGGTCGACCGGTTCCCACGGCCCAAGTACATGGCAATCGGCATGATGGGCTGCGTAGCTGCCTTTGCCACCGAAGCAGGTTTAGTCGCCCAGTATGCCAACTCCCACAATGAAAACGCGCTGAGAGCTGGCGTGGCTATGATGTTCGTCTTCGGTGTCTTCTACAGTCTCGGCATCGACGGCCCCCAGTTCTGCTACCTCACCGAGATATTCCCATCGCACCTTCGAGCCAAGGGAGTGAGTCTCGGCGTCGCCACATTTTCTTTGACCAACATCATCTGGCTCCAAGCCGCACCAAGCGCCTTTGCCAGCATCGGCTGGAAATTCTACCTCTGTCTCGTCATTCCAAGCTTCCTGCTGGCCCTCATCATGTGGTTCTTTTACCCGGATACTCGAGGCAAACCCTTGGAAGAGATTGCAGCCATGTTTGGCGACGATGATGAAGTTGCCGTCCGACAGGTCGACGTGGAGATCGACACGGCCACCCATGAGATTCATGCCAAAGGCATCAGCACAGGTATTCACGTCGAGGAGGCTGGAAACGCCCATCCGGGTGGCGAGAAATAGGCTGGTGAGGAGGACGTGCACCGCACATCGTCCCGAGCGCTGTCGGCCGTGGGGGAGCGCAGGGGGGTAAACTTGGCTGCTGAAGGATGGGAAGATAAAATATTCGAGACAGGGCAGGGCAACTAGGAAGGTCCAGTCGTAAAGAACACAGAGAGGAATCTCGCCCTTGCGTGGAAATGTTTGGTCTGCAGGAAGTGCAGACAGCCAGGAGTGCACAGGCGACCAACTCCTCCAGGGGGATGACGGCATCATTGTCAAGAGAACCTTCGGTTGTGAGGGTGTTGAGCTGGACGATATACCTTCAGGTTTGAATGAGACGGTTGCGCATTTCCCATCGACTCCCAACTCTCACGTGTCTCTCCGTCTCCCTGTGCCCTCTCGAGGTTTAGTGTTGAGTAACGTGATCAACCACTACCGAAGGCCGACTGCGTGGTGTCTGGGGTAGATACGAATGGGATGACTTGGGGCCTAGAATCGATCTGGTGAAAGGGTAGTTGACTTACCCGGATCCCTGGAACTCAACCCCAGGAAGAAACAGATCTCATACCAAACTTTCCGGGAGCCCACACAAGCAAAATACTCAACATCCCACAAACACCCGCCCTCCCTCCTCAAGCATCTGGCCTGAAGCTATCCACACCATCTCGCACCTCTTAGCCTACGAGCCCACGAGCCCACGAGCCCACGAGCCCATGAGCCCCCTGCCTGATGTTACCTTTCCCAATGAGGCTGTTAGTTCGGCAGGATCATCCAGGCAGGTCGCCCCTCCAGAGAACCTTCAAGCCTTAGGGCTCTACTCACGCTACCCAAGACGCGCTTCGGGCTCACCAGGCCGAACTCAGGATTATACAGCCACAGCACAGAATGGCTTAGTCATTCATCAGGTGAAACAGTAGCAAGATGCTCAGGTCTGGAAGCGGGAATGGATCTTGGAAAGGGCGAGATTCGACGCTGAGTATCTTGGTATTTGGTGCTTTCACTGATTTGTTTTTGCGGGGGGGTCAAATGATCTCGCTCGAAAAGGTCAAAAAGAGATGCAGGACTAAACAGTCACGGCATGCGCAGCAGATCCTCAAAGCTTAGTCTAGCAACCTTCGCTTCGTTCGTTACCTACCCTGGCATTTCACGTATCAATAGTGTTTAATAATTGTTCCGTCCGGCTGTTTATATAGCTAGTAAAAACCCCGATATGAATTTGATGTGGTTGGATTCTGCCGAGGATCAAGCAAAAACGAGATTGTACGAACGCGCTGCTAAAAACGCCGCCCAGAGTCATTCCCGGCATCATATATCACCAGCAGCAGTGCCAGATATAAAAATACAGTCATCTGTCTCTGCCTGGGGTTGTTTTACTTGCTTTTGACCAAGAAGACCTGTGTGTGTGTTCTTGCTTCACACAGAGATATATCTCCCCTCGAGGAATTGGATCTCCTGTGTCTCGACTCGACACGACTTACCCCCCAAAAAGGAGGATTTGATTGATTGATCGATTCAATTGGTGAACTTCTAATCATGTTCTACGAACCAGGCAAGACCGAGCACAACCTGCCATACGATCCGTTCAAGGTCAGTCTTCTTCCCCCTCTCCTCTCCTCTACTGCTCACTCTCATCGCACAGGCCTGCGTCATCCCGCGCCCGATCGGCTGGATCAGCACCGTGTCGCCCGAGTCAACCTCATCCTCATCCTCGTCGCGAACAGCCAACCTCGCGCCCTTCAGCCAGTTCAACAACCTGACGTTCGACCCGCCGTTCGTCATGTTCTCGGCGAACCAGACGCCGGACGCCGCGCAAAAGGACACGGTGCGCAACGCCGAGGCCACCGGCGTCTTCTGCTGGCAGCTGGCCACCTGGGACCTGCGCGAGGCCGTCAACGTCACCGCCGAGCAGGTCCCCTACGGCGTCGACGAGTTCGAGCGCGCCGGCCTGGCCAAGGAGTGGTCCACCCGCCTCGCCACCCCCGTGCCCATGGTCCAGGCCTCCCCCGTCAGGTTCGAGTGCGAGTACCACTCGACGCTGCGCTTGCCCGGGAATCCGCCCATGGGCACCGTCGACGTGGTCATCGGGAAGGTCGTGGGCATTCACATCGACGACCGGGTCTTGACCGAGGACGGGAAGATCGATGTGGCCAAGACACAACCCATTGCGAGGTGTGGCTATTATGACTATGCCGTCGTCCGCGAGACGTTCGAGATGATTATCCCTGGCACCACCGAAGCCATCCGCTACGGCATGGAAGGCAATGTGAAGAAGCACGCAGCTGCCAGAGACGCGGCCAACAAGATGGGCGTCAGTGAGTAAGGCCCACCATGATAGGGGATACATCCTCAACCATACCGTCCCCTAATCTTCAAGAGGAGAGCTCTCTATTCACATATCATGCTATCCTGATGCAATGTACTGCCGGGTTTGGCGCAACTATGGCCACTTGGTTCCAAAACGAAGGTCTGTGCCAATAAGACATGCTTCCCCTAGCAGATAGCTGTAGTTTCGCGCAGCTGAGCACTCGGCTTAATGTCCCTCCTCCCCATCAAACAATGCCCTTGCACAGACGTTCGTCCTCCTCCAGCGTTTCAGAGAGGTCTGTGGACGTCGCTGTCTTGTGGGTTTGTCCTGAACCACTGTCCTGGGACATTTCGCTTCCTGCAGACCATTTGCTTTCGACTGTAGTCGATCTCCTTCGACTCAACATGCATTGGTTCAGGCTCTCCATTTCCGTGTCCGAACTTCGACCTGGTAGACGCTTCAATCGAAGGGATTTGGTAGTATGTTCACGTGCAGATTTGGGTTCCAGCTCCGTGGTCGGATTATGCGTGGTGCTCGGACCACTGGCTTTGCGAGGGACGAATCTTTTCAAGACCTCAGCAGCTCTTGCTAGCTTATCTTCCTCTGTATCACGACCAATTGGTTGTGAAGTCCTTCCAAGGCCGGCACAGTTGTTCCGATTCAGGCTATGCTCATCAGCCCCAGTGGTGTTGGCCACCCCACATTGTCCGGCATATCCATCACCAAAGCTAGATGGCTCTCGGTCGTCTCCAAAGGGACAGGACCCGTACTCATCTGTATGCAGTTCGTAAGAGGTTCTGGCCGAGGGGCGTGTGGACAAAGGCAACGGAACGGATGCTGGAGACGGTGTTCTCGGTGCGCCAGGGAGCGGTGGCCAGGGACATGGTTCGACCTTGAAGCTGCCCCAGTTTTCAGTATACCCTTCCCTCTCGATCTATGCATTGTTAGCAATTGCTTGGCTACTGCGGTGAATGAAATCTAACCTCAGCATCCTCAGGATACAAGAAAGCCCCGCCATCTGGTTCGCTCTCCGTCATAGTTGCCGCCACCGACGTTATCCTCTCGTATCTTCCCATCCGAGGGCCAGGGAAGAGAGGGGAAGGCTGTCTCGATTGGTTGTTTGGGTACGGTCTATCCCCCCGAAGGGCGAGCTCAGCGACCCAGGGTGGGTTGTTAAGAAAGGCCTCGGGCATATACAGGTATGGGTCCTAAAATAGATCAGCGTACTGTCGAGGCTAGAGCACTGATTCTCACTCACTTCATCGGAGGTCGAACGCTGATATTTCTTTCTCTTCCGTGACTCTGGGCTTACCTCACCAGCAGTTCTAGGCGGTGAAAGCTGCTGAATCGGACTCCATTCTGCAGCAGAATCTGGCAACGGAGTAATGGCTGCTCCTGCACGGGTGTTTTCTTGTAAATTCGCCTTCGAGTCTGAAGCTTTGTCCGCATCACGAGAATTAAGGGATCTATAGCGTTCCGGATGCTTAAACCGGAGACGAATATCTTCGTGAGTTGGGCCTTCGTTCCACCTCTCCTCATCTTCACCTGTGCTCAGGGATGAAACCGCCACAGCAACTGATTGTCCATCGGAGTAATCCGAGTCTGTATCGTCTCGGGCAGCAGCTGGCCCATCGGCTTTGAGCGTGTTTGCGGCCTCGGTGAACAATTCAAACGGACTGATCTCGCAGGAGAGCTTTGGCTCGTTCGAACCCTCATCCTGTTTGGCTGCTTTCGACACTAAACTCAAGCGAGAGGCTGCCACTGGGGCTCTCGTGGAATTGCCTTGAGGCAAATTCTGCACTTTCTGATCGTTAGCGGCGAAGTCTCTGTCAATGACAATGTCCGCGGATCCACAAGCTTCTGTTCCTTTGATCGTCAACTGGTTATCGTACTCTTGGAGCATAGTCCGCCTAATTTCCAGGTCGCGCTCATCATTTGGATCTCTAAAAGGTTTCTCCACGGCGGCAGTCGCTCCCCGTAAAGGCAACGGAAGTTCTGACAGAGGGGTGCTAACAGATGCGACTTCCTGCAGCTCGTCCTCGGTGATGGACGTCTGAGCTTCAGCCATCGCCTGGCGGAAATTGATAGTAGAGTTCAGTACTCGCGGCTGAGGAGGCCTGGCGGTCGGGATCAGATGTGGGTGATCATTCCCAAAGAATTGCATGAGAGGTGTGCTCGCTAGCTGAACGGGAGGCAGGGACGGTGTCGCTCTCGGGATGTCGATGGGCGAAGATCGGGGTTCATCCTCGATGATTGATTTCCCAGGCTTGAATCTGACCGACTTCTTCGGACTGACACTCTTCCCTGGGGATATTTTGCCGTCCTCACCCTGTGAGCTGGTCTTATTCTCCTTGTAAAACAATGAAGTCGGAGCTCGAATAGCGTCAGCCAGCGTTTCCAGGAAGGTCTTTGGAGGTGATCCAGCTGGAGAGGAGCCTGAACACTTGCTACTGGGAGTGCCGCGGCTCAACTTCGACAATCGGGAGAGAGAGGAGGCGGCTGACATCTTCAGAGGATGGGGGCTTGGTGTCCGATAGTACCGCTTGGATTTGTCCGCAACAGAAGAGCGTTGGTCAGCACTAAAAGGGTCGTGATCGGGATTCGAGGCATCGTAGTCGGAGTACAGTTCTTGTCCGAGGACATGATGCTGAGGTTTGGTTGACGAGAGGCTGCAGCCACTGTCAGCGGCCGATTTATCTCTTAGAGTCCAGACTTACCTCGGATTACCTCTCTTTCTGACGGAGCCGATGAGAGATGTTAAGCTCTTGCGTGGAGTCAGGCTAGGGACGGTTGCTGAGCGACCTCTTGGTGATGGCGAAGGAGTCTTGTGTTCCTCTGGCTGCTGAACCGTTTCATTGACCGTGCGCCGTCGCAAGCTGGGAAACGGCATCGTCGATTAAGTAGATACACATGCGGATACAACAATGAGAACGAAGTGTCGGCGTCGCCAAATCCTCGAAAAGAGAAAGGCGTAGAGTTGAGAAAGTGTCCAAGGACTGTTTGTTTGGACCCGAGCAGTGGTCAGAGGTTGCGGCAGCTTCCAGTGAGCAGGCACCGAGGAGGAGGGTGACGCCGGTGCCAAAGAGGAAAGTCTGAAGGTGAAGGGGTGGGAAAGAAGGGCTCGTGGTCCTTCTGCAATTTGGGTCGTACGGAAGCAACTGGTGAGATTTTCAGATGAAAGAAACAGGAGGTTGAGACTCTCCCACATTGAGGGCGCAGTCTGTTCCGAGGTAGACGTCTTCCACAATTGTTGTTTCACTTATCGACCACGCAGCACTGAGGCTCTGGAGCATTCCATTGCAGTGATAGTGATACTGCTTTCCTTGGACACTCAGTTCCAATGTCGTCTGCCTTCTCGTCGCTCAAATTCCCACAACGATCACAGGTCCATTCACTGAGGCCTCGTGCCAGCCATGAGTCCCACGGCACAACTTCTACCTCTAGCTTTGCATGGACCAGAAGCCCTTTCGCTGAATGCCAGCCCATGGTCTGCGTTTCCGTCCCCTCTGAGGTCCTCATCAAGCCTGAAGCAATTTGCCACAGCGAAGGTTCCGCCTCACAGTTCGAGCTCGACTTCAATGCTTGCTGGGACAGAGCTGCAAATGAGAACACCGTCATCTCCCTCTAAGACCCCGTCGATTTCTCCCTTCAAGAGCTTGACTTCACACGTTCCACACGCACCAGATCGACAGCCATAGTCAGGACTCAGCCCAGACTTTTCTGCTAGTTGCAGCAGTGACAAACGATCTTTTGCCAGCCACTTGACCGTCATGTTGGATTTGCGGAACGTGACGCTGGCCTCTTCGATGTCCTGCATGGTGATTATCCTGTGGGCTGTCGAGTGTTGATTTTGTGGACGGGCTTCTCCTTCAGGATTTTCCCAATCGCTCTGTCGCAAAGGTTCAAACGCGTTGGGCGTGGGTGATATGAGTCAATGGACCCGGCAAAGCCATGCACAATCACAAAATAAGTTCAACAAGACCGATGTTGTGCCTTTGATGAGAGTCAAATGGGAAAGAAATGACAGTTGGTATACGGATCGCCATCAGCAGTAAGCTCGTGTTGGCCTCCTTGGGCTAGTGAGGCTTAGCCGAGTATCTCGGTGTTCTCCATGCGTCGCCAATGGGATATATTTCGCCACAACCACTGTCGATGCCAACCTGTAGGAGACAATGCTCTACCCGCGGCTGAGATATCAGGCTACGTGCATTAAATTAGGTACAAGAGAAGGGCACATGAACTGAAATTGGGAGAAGGGAAAGCCTGTCGCGCCTGAAGGTGCCTCCACCCCCCTAACGCCCTGGTCCTCGTCATCGCGACAGGCGAGGAATTCTGTATGCGAATGCGGTGAGAATCAATGTCTCTTCATCGACTCCAACACGGACTGCACGTTGGCGAAGCTTAATTCTTCTATTGTTTCGCGCCACAGCTTCTCGGTGACAGCTTTTCCTTCGGGGGTGTATAGCATGGTCGCAAACCTCAATTTCCCTCACGTCAGCAAAGAAGGAATACGAAAAACAGCGAGATCGGGACCGGCAGGGGAAGGAAGCTCACGGTTTGATTTGCCAGCCCATTGTGAAGCATCCATGGGACTCCTTTCCTTTGAGCAGACAGGCATCGAGGTACGTCGAAGCGCCATCTCGGGTACTTCTGGCGGTGAGTGCGGCAAATATGTTCTGAAAGGCCACCAACAGCCCCGGTGCATCTCGTGCGAGCTTCGTGCCCTTGACAAAGCCAGGATCCACGAGGTTCACAACGACGTCGTCGGCCGACACATAGTCCACAAGTTTCCAGAGGAACATGTGCGCCAACACCTTGGATGTATTATACGTTTCGCTAATGTTGAAAGCCTTGGGATCATCGAACGACGGGAGCAGCGGGGTCTTGTCTCTGTTGGGAAATTTCGCAGTGAGAGAGAGCGCTGCATTGACGATCGTCAGGCGGCCAGGTGTTCTTTCTGGGGCCTTGCTCTTCAAGACAGGAAGCATCAGCATAGCAAGGAGCACCGTCGAGAGGTAGTTGATTTGAAAGATCTCCTCATGGCCAGTGCTAGGCACGGTAGTGAAGTTGTAAGTCCACCTGCCAGCATTGAGAATGACGATATCGAGACGTGACAGATCGGACTCAGCGCGTTGGACAAACGCTTGAATGGATTCATAAGAGGCCATGTCCAGTTTCCAAACATCAATGGTCGCCCGAGGATATGAGGCATGGAGATTCTTAGCTGCTTCCGCCCCTCTCTCTGGAGAACGGACGGCCAGGATCAGACGTGAGAGGTTGAAGGAGAGGAGTTGACGGGCGCTCTCCAAACCCAAGCCTGGATATATTTGTTAGCAAGCATTAACACTAGCTCAGCGTGACCACGGTCATGGTGTGCCCTGGAGATAGGATAGGATCCAAGTAGAAGAAAGTCTTGCCTGCATTGCCTCCTGTAATAATGACTACTTTTCCGGAGAGGTCGGTTCCCTCTGGTGGGTACTGGGGTTTGGAACGGAACTGGTTCCTGATGAAAAGCCTTGGGAAGAACGGGGTGGTTATAGGTGGCAAGTCTCTGGAGGAGGGCATGATGAACGGATTCTACGTCAGATGGAGTGAGCCAATGAGAATGAGATTGCAAAACTTGGGTCGTAAGAGAGGGACTGTGAGACTTCAGTTATATAGAAATATATATCTACACGATCTTCCCCTTACGCGATGATGACCTCGGCGCCGAGTTGACAACATTCCGGACGATGAAACAAAGAAAGATGTCACTTGACGGTGGACTAAGACAAGGTCGATCCCATCGAGACGGATACTGCTATGGCTACACAAGGGGATTGATGCGATGGCGAGGCTCGGTAATTTAATAGTTATGCCACCCAGTTCCCAAAGCGGTTTAGATGAACGAAGCTATACCTGAAGTAGCAAATGATCTATGCATGAGGTTCTCCGCCTGGAAACAAACTCCAACCCACCACACAGCCCCGACTCAAGACGCACAGTCCAGGCGCATGCTCGACATCGACGGGATTTGTCCTCGCCACCATTTCCAATTCCTAGACCAGAAAGAGAAAGCAATACGTCGTCACTTTGGGAAAACAGTCACCCCCCCGACTTGCATCTTGCGAGGCACACTTGATCTGATCACATCACAATTTCGCTGAACTCGACATCATACGTACCTGCATGGTTCCTGCGAATACTTCCAATATGCCACAGCGAGACTCGCCGGGTAAGTCTCCGGTGCGACCGACAAGACTGTCCATTTCATTTGAGACCCTCTGGGCCTAATTCTGACTTCCCCCTTGCACAGCCGGCTTGACATTCATTATCACGGCCGGCGTGTCGAAGAAAGATGATCCCCAAACACGCAAACTCATAAGGAGCCATGTAATGCGAGGGAAAAATCTGGGCAAATCTCGCCGGGCCAGGCCCACAGATGGGCCCCAAACTCCCCTGCCCTGGGACGCTGAAGTTTGGGACCCCTCTGAGCGTGGCCAAGTAACGACAGCGCCCTCGTCCTCGATAATTCCGAAAAAAGTCGGGTCAGAGTGGTCATTTACCCAGCTCGCAGCCGAAATAGAGCCGGCTGCAATCGCGGATATCTTGACCTGTAGGTGCATCTTGCGCATAGGGATCAATGCTCTGAAGTTTGGGTGCTTACTGCATGACGGGGAAATCCAGATTCTTCTCTCGCACGACAAGCGACGGTGCCATTGGAGCAATGCATTGCTTTCAACAACAAAGAGAGGGTCCTCGTTGGCCCTATGGCATCTGATGCTGCCTTCCTGCACGCTACTGCGCTGGGAACCCATGCATACGTCGAATTAATGCGAGGCCGTGGAGATCAAAATGCCCTCCAAACCATGTCACCACATTTCCCCAAGGCGCTTCAGCTTCTCCGCGAGCGTCTGGACTCGACAGACGAGGAACTGAAAATCGCCAATCCCACGATGATGGTGGTCATTGCTCTTGCACTTTACGCTCGCATGATTGGCGACTATGACATGGCGAAGAATCACATGGAAGGCCTTCGCGAGATTATCAATTGCAGAGGAGGAATTATCACCATCATTCCCAAGACAAGACTTGCGATGGAAATTTTCAGGTATGGAAGCCCTTTCGACGCCGTGGCAATGCTACCCTAATGCCGAACTGTTTGCGTAGATGTGATATAGGGCTAGCGATCGAGACGGATTCTAGGCCTACTTTCTTTTCGACCAGGCCGTCTGGTGAGCCCTTTAGACCGTTCCCAGCCCAGATGTCCGCACCCATTCCTAAGGCAACCGATATGAGGACTTGCTTCTCTTACTCGGAGCAATTCCTCAGCGCCATCAACGACGATCTGGCTGCTGTCTGGAGAGCTCTGAAGGGACTTTGCCTGCAGCTCAACCGCGCCGCCAGGACGAAACGCAAACTCCCCGAAGAATTTCTGCTCGAGTCCACTGCTTCAGTCATGTATCGTCTTCTTCATATGAGCTTTGCCACTGGTACTCTGGATGCAGCCATCCGGCTCGGACTACTAGCATTCTCGTCACAGGTCTGTCTGCAACTACCCGACTTCAGGGTACGAAGGACATCCTTGTCCTCTGCCTACCAAGAATGCCTTTTCGCACTCGACATGCTAGAAGAGCAATGGCCGCCACTGTTGCTTTGGCTGCTTATCGTCGGCGGCGTTGCAGTGGTCGATGAGGCTGGTGGTACTTGGCTGAAGCCTTGGTTGAAGTCGACCATTGAACGATGTGGAGTTGATTCATGGACCAGTTTTCAGGAGATGATGGACTCGTTGATGTGGATTGGCCTGGTATTCGATAAACCTGCCAAGGACGTCTTCTACTCGGCGATATCTCCATCAGACGCGCCGGAAACTGGGAGTTCATCAAGTACTTCATTAGACTAGCGACTGCAATGCTCTTGGAGGCACAGAAACAGATCGATGGAGACGTTGAGGCTGATAAAGGAGGTGGTTGATACACAAACACGGCAAATTCGCCAAGACTATCGTTTCGGATCGATTCGAGCTTCGACTGGCATATGCAAGTTTGAAAATGTCTGTATCCTAATGTATTATCCGCGTTGGGACTCTGACCTTCAGTCGCCAGATACGCAGGTCATGGGGCCTTTAATCTAATGGCGATGCATCGGCAGCCGGCGCCTCTCCAGTCCTTGATATGAGCTCTCTACGCGTCCGGGGTCATCTCCCCAGGTTGACCTCTGTCCATCCACTGCTGTCGAAAAACGAGACTTTACACCGTAAGATCACAATGGCGACGTCGTTATCTTTACTCCAATTGACCCTGTCAAGCAACTGAGCTTCAGCGACTTTGTCGCGGTTCGAGCCGCGACTTTTCTTTGCTGCATAAAAATCTTGGCCTCCGTCGACGCCGAAACTTGCAGGGAGCATGTCTCCCGACACCAGCCCACGCAAAGACGGCAAATGCTCGCGCAATTGCGAGACGATACAGCTCAAAGACGACGGCGCAAGATTCCCAGACCAAAGAAGCCGGTGCTGGGGCAGATCCGGCACTGTCGAGTGATTCCTCCCGTTCTCGACGACTCGCCTCCGAGAACACGACGAGCAGCGAGAGAGGCCCTAATGCCCAGTCGCAAATGAGGTGGTCAATGCCTCTTCGAGAGAGAGTCAAAGGTTTGATGCGCCATGTGCCCCATCCTGTCGCCGTCATCACCTCGACCGACACATCCGTCAATGCGAACGGCGATCCTTCCGCGTGGCGGGGTGCGACGGTATCTTCATTCAACACTGTGACACTAGATCCCACACCAATTGTTTCTTTCAACATCAAGCAGCTCTCTTCGACATACGAGGCCATCAGGGCGTCGGGCCTTTTCAACGTTCACCTGTTCCTCTGCGACCACATGGGACAGAAAATCGCGGAGAAATTTGCGCGCGGCAACGCGTTTTCACCTTTTCACCGAAAAGATGGAAGTCTGGCTTCGTTTGCGCGGTGGCGGTCGGATGCAGCGCCGGCATTGCGGCCCAATTCACCCCCGATCATCCAGTATTTCCCCAAGTTCCAGATACGGTGCCGGCACCTGCCGGACAAGGCAGTGGAGATTGGAGACCACATGGTACTTTTTGGCGAAGTTGAGCATGTGTACGATAGATTGGAGGGCGTGGGGGACTCGGATGTCTGTTTGTACTACGTGAATGGCCGCTATGCCCAGGGCCCTCTTGGATTTACCCACCGGTGATGAAACAGAGGGCACCCGCAAAGCAGCCTATGATTGTACCTGCAGGAGCAATCGGAATTGAGGCAACTGGATACCAGGACGAGCAGTGCAGAGTCTTGTAATAAAACCCCGATGTATATTGTATATAACTAGTTGTATACTTGTGAATTGGTGCCGGCTGTGGTCATCCGCTTCACATCGATCGTGATTGGTCCAAATCTCACTTCCCCAACCTCAACCGTCGTTTCTCACTTCTTCATCGACACCAATTATTTAACTATTCATTCCATCGACTTTTGTGATAGAACGAGCTCCTTTATTGGTTCTAATCGGCTCCAGACGTTACAGTCCTGGCGCTCAGCAAGATGCCGGCGAAATTGCCCGTGGCCGACACCCGCTTCATCTGCGTGCAATGCCGGAAAACCCTGAGCAGCTCAGCCCGACGGCGACGACTCGTATCCACCAATGCATTCTCAGCATCAGCAGCATCGTCATCAACTCCTGAGGTCTTCGATATCGTGACCGTCGGCGGCGGACCAGCTGGCCTCGCCCTCCTCGCAGCGTTGAGTCCGTTGTTCCCTTCCTCCTACCTCGCTGTCTGTCTGTCACGAACAGCAACAGGAAGAAATGGGTTGGACAGCTAAGCTAACCGGGCTTTTTCTTTTTCTCCAGAGTCATCGCCCATCACATCCCATCTGAAAACGGCACTGATCGAGACCCAAGACCTGTCCAAGCTGCGCCAATGGAGCTCGTCGGAAGACCGGTACTCGAACCGCGCCAGCAGCTTGACCCCCTCGTCGATGTCGTTCCTCGAGAAGGAGGCGGGCGCGTGGGACCACGTCGACCAGTCCCGCGTGCAGGCCTACGACGAGATGCAGGTCTGGGACGCCTCCAACGACGCCTCCATCCAGTTCGACTGGACGGCCGAGACCAGCAAATATAACGCGCCGCCGCGGACCGTGGCCACCATGACCGAGAACGCCAATCTGACGCGAGCCCTCCTGGAACGCATCGCCCAGCTCGGGGCCGAAGCGTCCCTGTTCTCCAGCACCAGCGTCGCGTCCATTACGAACGGCGACGACGACCCCAACGGCCTCAACCTGTCCACCTGGCCGGTGTTGCGGCTTGAATCAAAACCGGCCCCTCAGGCCCCGTCATCGTCACCATCACGTCCGTCCACCATCGCAGCCCGCCTGCTCGTGGGCGCCGACGGCTTCAACTCGCCCGTGCGCACCTTCGCCGGCATATCGTCGCACGGGTGGGACTACCACCGGCACGGCGTGGTGGCCACGCTCACCGTGCAACCCGCCGACACCGACATCAGCGCCAGTGCAGCTGAGGATTTCGACTTCGACCTCTTCTCGGCGGAGCCCCAGGCCAACCGCGCCACAGCGTACCAACGTTTCCTGCCCGACCTGGGCGGGCCCGTCGCCGTGCTGCCCCTCCCGAACAACCACGCCTCGCTCGTGTGGTCCACCACGCCCGCGAACGCCGCCTACCTGAAGTCTCTACCGCCCGCCGCGCAACGGGCCATGATCAACGCCGCCCTGCGCCTGTCGCAGACTGACATCCAGTACATGTTCACGCTCCCTGCCGGCACCTCGTCGGATCCGGAGGGACAACAACACGAGGACGAACTCCAGTGGCGCCTCCAACACACGCCCGCCCCGAGCATCTCGCGCCCGGTCCCTCTCGTCACGTCCGTGCAGGAGAATACGCTCGCCTCGTTCCCGCTGCGCCTGCGCCACGCCACGTCCCTGACCGGCCCGCGGGTCGCGCTGGTCGGCGACGCCGCCCACACCATCCACCCGCTGGCCGGCCAGGGCCTGAACCTGGGCCTCGCGGACGCCGCGTGCCTGGCCGACACGGTGGCCTACGCCGTGCGCCACGGCATGGACATCGGCGACGGCTTCGCCTTGGAGCGCTACAACGCCGCGCGATTCGGCCGCGGGCTCGTCATGGCCGGCGGCGTCGACGCCCTGCACTGGACGTATCAGATGGGCAGTGGAAGTGGTGGTTCGGGCGGTATCGTGAGCAGCGTGCTCGCCCGTGCCAGGGGCCTGGGCATGAATGTCGTGGAATCGGGCCTTGTGCCCGGCTTGAAGAGTCTGATCATGAAGCAGGCCACTTAGGAGGGGAGATAGGAAGGAAGGAAGGAGAGTTAGTTGAATTGTACGTGGCTGCCGGAAAGAAGGCTGGCTATCCCCAGGGGTCTTCTTCCAGGGCGACCGTGATCAATGGGAATTACTTCTTTTCTTTCTTGTACAATAACTCTCGATTTGCAGAGAGGAGGAGGAGGAGGATGTTTTGGAGATTGTAAAGAACAGATGGCCATCCTCCCTGTGACACTAGCAGCCTGGGTATATCATACCAATGAATGCCCCTTTCCAAATCTTTCCCATCACCCATCACCCATTGACAAAATGCCGGTCCTTTCATGGATGGTGTGCACCCACCCCCAGATTAACCGTCCCCCAAGCCCCAAGCGCCCAACTCGACTCTCTCGTCTGTGAACATCTCTACTTGTAAAATCTCATCGTTCTGCCCCTCGATCCCGGCCCCCCCACTGCCCGGGCTACCCTGCGCCAACCGCTCCAGAACCAGCCACAGACCACTGGTGCCAGGCGCGCTCAGCGAGGGCTGCAGGTCTATGTCAACAATCCGGAGACCCGACGAGACACTGCTAAACTCTTCGTGGTCCATCTGGCTGGTGGCGAGAATCTGCTTGTATGGCCCTTGACCTCGCTCAAGGGTCATCTTGAAGAGGGAGGAATTCGCTTGCGCAGTGGTAACGGTTTCGTATCGCGCGACGAATGAGATTCGAGACAGCCTCGAGATCGCAAGAGGCGCGAGGAGGCGATTTGTGCCACCCGGAAACACGGCTGGGGTACTTTTGATGCTCAATCTGCCCGCCCCTTCCGCTGGCAGCTGATTCAAAGTTGTCCCACCGGCAGAGGAGTACAGGTCGAGGCAGAAATCTGAGCACTCGCCTTGGTCGAATGTAGAGCAGATGACTGTATAGTTGCCGGGTTCTAGCTGGGTTTCGACAACAGCACTCCCTCGTCGATAGTCTCCCGAATGGGCGAAGACATCCCGTGGGCGCAGTCGGGTAATCCTTGACCCGTTGCTGAATAGGACCAAGATTTTGACATTGATGTCGGGATCTGCTGCAGTGGCAGGCTTGCCCGATTCGACCAGTCTCAGAACTAGTGCAATCCTCTGCGCAGACGACAGGGACATTCGGAACTGGGGATTGGACAAGTAATTTGCTGAGTCCGAGTTTCCTCCAGCGTTCGACCTAGTCCAGGCGGAGCTGAGGCTGGCCTTCTGGGGATATGGCAGCCGTGCTTCTGATAGTGCGACCGGAGCTTTGGACAAAGCCGAAATTGTAAAGTTCATTTTCCCCCGAGGTAGATCTTGTGATATCAAAACTGCAGTGTAGGACGATCGCGCCGTAGCTTGGAACCTCAACAGGGTGTTGGGAGAGTCCACAAATGGCCCTCGTATCTTTGCACCTTCACTCGAGATGACCCTGTTGCCGTCACGGGCATATAAGTAGAGGGCGATATATCCATTTTCTTTTGTTGTCTCCTGTGTGTAGTCCCCGGTGCGGAAATGTCGCTGTAGTAGCAGCCACACTTCACCCGTGTCGGAAGCTGCCACTGAGAACTGGGGATTGTCGACAATCAAGTTGGCACTTGAAGTGGCATTGGCCTGGTCCCATGAGAAGTGGAGGTCTTCCCGGTGCGAAAACAGACCAGGGTTCCAGTTGAGATACATATTCTCAAAGTATTGAAAGACGCTGTTGAAGTCCACCCAAAATGTGCCTGGCATCATCTCGTCGTTCTCGGGCGTCGTGACCGAGGATCCTTCGTCGTTCCGGTTCGGGCGGCGTCTAGCTGCCCCCCGCCACACATCCCCATCCGCCCAGGGGTTTTTGACCAGCATCTCTTTGGCATGACCATCAGTAGATATGTCGAGGACCGCGTAGTCGTGTTCGGCTGCCAGACCGAGGTGCCTCTGCTCACGACGGGGTAATTTGCCGGTTCCAATAGTGACGAGAACATTTCCTCTTCGAAATTGGGCAATAATCTCTTCCCACAAGTGATCTGGCTCAACTTCTTCATCGTGAAGAAAGATTTGTTGGGGAATCCACCCGGTCAGCACGGCCAGATCCGTACCAGAGTTGCTCCCGGGAAAGTCGTAGCCACCACGGACCTTCAGATACGCTTTCTCAACCAGGGCCGGCCATAGCAATCGGGGATGTCGGCGGTCAATCACATGCAGGACTCGGCTGGTCTTGGAGGACGGCAGATAGTCGTCAATCTCCACCCTTCTCCAGCAACCATTGAAATATAACTTGAGAATATATTTTCCGTTAGGTGACAGTATCATGCGATCGGTCTCGTAGTCGAAAGGATGTACTACAGTGCGCAGGATCTGCGTCGGAGTCAGTGACGAGATGGTCTCTCAGAGCCCCCCATCCTACCTTTGGAAAGCCACGCTCGACCCTCGAAGTCAGAGCACAGAGGCTTGCAACCACCGAGCAGTCCGATGTCATATCCTGCACCAGGTCCATAGGCTCAGGCAAATACATGACGGCCCCGTGAGCGCCATTGTGACCATTGGGCTCGCTGTGCACCGATGGAAGTGCTTGCTGCGGTCGTTTCCAACCATCAAATGATTCCAGCTGGCCCGGAGACAGCGGCAGGGAACCCGAGTCTGTGAAGAGAGGGCCACCCTCACGAAGTGCAAATTCGTCCGCGGACGGTGGAGCTGTCCAAGGGTTGAACTTGAACCCATTCAATTTTCCGCTCTCCAGGAGGATGATTTTCTCTCTCGTGGTGAGCTCACGTTTCGAGATCGGTGGGTTGAGCAGCTCTCTTGACCCTCCCGCCGGGCCCGGTCTGTGCTGTTGTTCATCCTGGGCTGCCTTGAGCCGCTCGGCCCGGGCTAGGAGCTCGTTGAACCTGGCGTCGAACCTCTGCCGGTCAGACGGTTTGTCAGCGAGGCGAAGAGCCTGGAGGTACAGCTCAGCCGTCTTGACGGTGGCAGCCAGTACGGCCTTGCCGGTGGATTTGGACGGGATTGTCCTCTCGATGGAGCGTGCCTGCTCCTCGAGGCTGGAGAGGCTGTCACCCATGATGGCCTATTATAACCTAGGCAACTAGCTCGAGATAAAGGCACTCGCAGACGTCAGCGGGCCATGGGAAAATGTCGGAGGCGGGCCGGGATTCAAGGGATCCAAGGGAGAGTGGAAGATGGATGGACTGGCGGAATTGCCACTACCTCGGCTGGTTGAGATCGAAGCTGCCATGACCGAGCCACTCAAGTGATAAATCCCACTCAATCCATGTCCCACGGGGTTTTTTGGCATGCGAGATCGCCCATGGCTCTCGGGCAGATGAGGAATGATTGATCTAGTCCAATAATTACGCGACCATTCTTCTCTCTCTCTTTCTCTGCCATAATATCATCCCGCAGCTCCTCCAAACTCTGACGTTTTGAACCAGCCGAAAGAACCCCAGCTCCTCCTCCTCCCCTCGGACTGCCTATATCACCACGTAACCGTCGCCTCACCCCTCTCGGCTTCGTCCTCTCGTCAACTCCTTCTTTCACCCCCCAAGAGCCAGTCCAGACAAGACCATGACGAAACCCGGGGAGCTGGCGCCATGGGAGAGCGCCGTTGCAGGTGCAACCGGTGCTGTGCTCGCAAATGCGCTGGTCTATCCGCTTGATATGTATGGAATCTTCAGACGGGAAGATATAAGACACGCTACTAACTAACTGGGGCTGCAGTGTCAAGACCAGGTTACAGGTGCAGATAAAGAAGAAAGGTCATGTACACCAACACACCGCCGAGCACCACCACTACGACTCGACGTGGGACGCTATCAAGAAGATTGTCGACCATGAGGGTATCGTCGGCCTATACTCGGGCATCAATGGTGCTCTGATCGGTGTCGCATCCACCAACTTCGCCTACTTCTACTGGTACTCGGTGGTGCGGACGCTGTACACAAAATACCGAACTGCCCCCGGAGGACATCCTGGCACGGCCGCCGAGTTGTCGCTGGGTGCCGTCGCAGGGGCCATTGCGCAAATATTCACAATCCCCGTGGCCGTCATCACCACGCGGCAGCAGACACAACCCAAAGGCCACAAGAAGGGCCTGTTTGAGACGGGCAAGGAGGTCGTCCACAGCGAAGACGGGTGGACGGGACTCTGGAGGGGTCTCAAGGCCTCTCTCGTGCTCTGTGTCAATCCGGCCATTACATATGGCGCTTATCAGCGTCTGAAGGACATTATCTTCCCTGGTCGGGGTCGACTCCATCCCTGGGAGGCTTTCCGTAAGTCAGAAAAGATCATTGTTGAATACATTCGACTGACGCGCGTGGACAGTTCTTGGAGCAATCTCCAAGTCAATCGCCACGATCTGCACCCAGCCGTTAATCGTCGCCAAAGTCGGCTTACAATCCCGACCTCCCCCAGCTCGGGAGGGTAAACCCTTCAAGACCTTCACCGAAGTGATGGCATATATCATCGAGCATGAAGGCCCACACGCTCTTTTCAAGGGCATTGGCCCTCAACTCATGAAGGGTCTCATGGTGCAAGGGATTCTCATGATGACCAAGGAACGAGTCGAGCTGTTGTTCCTGTTACTCTTCTCCTACATCCGGGTCCTCAGGGAGAGGAAGCTCAAGGAGGCCGCCGCCAAGCTGAGGCAGAATGCGAAACCGTTGGCCGAGGGCCTCAAGAGCCGCGCCATGCCGGTCGCGGAGAATGTCCTGGAGAAGGCAAAGGCCAGTGTGCCCGCTACTCTAAAATAGGGGCACACGCGCCTGTTGTGGTGGATTGAGTGAGCCTTTTGGGATAGATCTTGATGGAAGGGGGGAGACACCGGGCCGGCCAAAGATCAGCATTTTACCAGAGAGTGCGTGTGTGCATGGCGTTCGTGTTGCGTCCAGGATCCGTACGGGCTTGGTCTATGTTTGGGATGATGATTCCTGGCTTTACTTTGCTTATCCTCCAGTTATGCACGCCCTGAGGGTTTAGTATATCTTTATTCTGTCTCCCTACATACATAGATTTGTAGCATCAGGCGGCCAGGGTTTTCCAGAGGCAATATGAAGGACAGAAGGACAGACAGAAGAAGAAAAAGGCGAGTTACGAGAAGAGACTTTTTCTTATAATTGCGCAATCATCCTGATTCTTTCTTGACCCTCGTCGCCGTATAATTAGGTAGGACCCAAGTACTCCGTCCTATGTAGGTAGATAGTGAGCAAAGAAAGCCCAGGTTAACACGGTACAGTATGATTTACAGCGAAATCATGCCGACATCTCGGTCCTGGCGGGAGGTAGGCAGGTAGGTAAGTAGGAAGTGTTGTACAAGCAAGTAAGCAAGCAAGCAAGCCAACCACCGGTATTTTAATCGTACAATATACAACATGTAGATTGACGAATGTGAGTGACTGATATGTTCTGTCGATCGATCCTTGCTTGCGCTCTGGTCTCCGACACGAAGGGGTGAGTGAGTGAGGAGACAGACAGCCTAGCGATTTCGCCTCTTCGCCCTCCCCGTCTGACCCTGGCGCCATTCTGCAGCCAGTGCGGCGGAGGCCGGCGACGTCTTCCTGAACAGCGCGATGAAGCCGCCTCCAAAGGTGCGCTCGCCCACGAGCGGGCGACAGACCATGACGGGTTGACCGTCTTGCGTGGTTGAGGAGATGTCGCTCTCGGGCGGCTCTTCGTCTTCAACCTCCTTATGATTTGCACCGTCCGGTGGTCCAGTCTCGCTCTCCGGCCTCGAAGCCACGACGGGCACCTGCTCGTCACTGGTCTGTTTGGTCTCTCTATTGGTGGTAGCGGTGGAAAGGGAGCTCTTCCTCGGCTTCACAAACCTCACGTCCCACTTCCGCCCTGAACTGATACCCTCGCCCAGTTCCAACACCTTATCCATGTGTAGTGGCAGGGACAGCTCTTGAACAGCCTTCACGCAATCCGCAATTTGCGTGATCGAGGGCACAAACACGACTAGCTTTGCCCCGTCGTGCATCGCGGGCTCGACGTGCTGGATTTGAGAGTGTACGCCAGGCATATCGAGGAGGACGTAGTCGAGGAATTCGTTGTTTCTGCTCCGGTGACGTGCTGTCATCCACTCCTTCACGTCTCCTGTGTAGAAATCCACGTGTGGCCAGTATAGACCCCTCCGGAACCCGCGCACAATCTTTTCCGCGTGGAGGCTGTTCGCCGGAACCGCTTCCACCGTGTGTATGACCGCGCGACGCTTTTGCTTCCATTCGTCCCACATCCGCGTGAGGGATTCAGCCTCCGGCGAACCGTCTTCAGTTTGAGGCGATGAGTGTGTGGGCTTCTTCTCCGCCAGTCTGCGTAGGCCAGGGAGCTGGTTAGTCGGAGGAGGCGGGTTCGCCGCGGCTATTGCTCGAGCCAGATGTAGAGTGAGGCTGCCATGGCCTGTTCCTGCTTCCAGGATCTGAAGGCGGGACAATGGGACGCCACTGTTTGAGATTGCGGTGTGCGGCTCAGGGTGGATGTCTAACAGGGAGACGATCGACGATGCATAGCTGGAGTAGACGGGCGTCACGAGCCTGGGCGTGAGCGTGACATAGTCCTCGAGCGAGGGAAGTTCGACCTTGTGCAGAGCGCCCCTGGAAGATCGAACGTACGTCGAGGTGACTGGCTTGCCAATAATGTCGTTCAATGGTATCTGCCCTTTCGACAATTCGAATTTCGCGTTTTGCTGCAGAGGAAAAGTGAGTTTCGATCCATCGACAAGCACTCTGTCGCCCTCCGCAAACCGCGTCAAATCTCGGACGATGGCATTCTGGAGGACGCTGGGGATCTTGTCCGGGGATCTCGAGAATCCAAGAGCTTGTCTCAGATACCGGAACACCCCAGACATGCCACCAACCTACTCAAGCCAACGGTTCCCCAAAGGTCCTTCTCTTTTGGAACATCTACAAATCCGTGTCGCTCCGGAAATTCTCCCAAGACAGGCATACCATCTGAGGAAGGTCAGCCGAAACCCCAGATTTCACTAGTCTGTTTTCGGTAATCAGACGTCGATCATTCTCCTGCCCAAATATTCGGATCGTCGACATGCGCAACACAACCGAGTACTTTCGTTGAAAGAAGTCTATCAGATGATTCGACGCCCTCGTCCAAAGAGCCTTCAATGATCCTTGGTATCGTTATACTGCATCGAATTGAAGTTGTGAGCGCTCAGATCTGTCCAGAGGGTGAGCCCGCTCAGGCGGCCTCCTCACAGCACATGCGAACATGACCAGGAGGCTTGTACGTTCGACCCCGATCCCGACCCCGGTGTGTGCCGCTGACCATCATCTCAGGTTCGCACGGGCATCCAGCTCGGTGTGCTCGTCACCATCGTCTTCTTCGTCGTCGTGTTCCTCGATAATAGATACCGAGTCCTCCCTAATGCCATCCACAGCCATCTGCCTGCGCACCACCCAGGCTTTGTGGTCACCGATCTGACAGTCGTCACCTGCTCGTCGTTAAACCCTTTCAGCCGATGTACCGTCGATGGGGCGGACTGGCACCGAGTCGAAAAGGACTTGTATCTGGGGAAAGGCTTCTTGTCAAAAGCCTATCTCTACGTCCAAAGACAGCGCGAAGACGATCTAAGCACCCACGCCGAAGTCGTTACGGATGTTAAGATTGGCCGCTTGCAGCCCTCGGTCGTCGATCCAACTTCGAAAGATGAAAGATGGGAATCTCGTCCTGCCGGGATATGGATCAAATTGTCCTCGAAACGGCACGATAGCATGGTCACAGGAGTCGATGTCCTGTTTGGCGCCGACGCCGTGGACCCGCGCTCGAACTGGGAAATTCAAGACATCTCCTTGTTCATTGACGCCGACCGTGAGTCGCCCGAACCTCGTCTCACGGTTCGCAAAGGTTCCGCTTTGAAAGTTGAGAGACCCGTCCCTCGAATACGGAAAGACGGCAAATTCAAGATCATGCAAGCAGCAGATCTCCATCTCGCGACGGGCTTGGGGACATGTCGCCACGCACTACCGGAAGGAGAAGAGTGCGAAGCCGATCCACGGACGCTCGACTTCCTTGCTCGCATGATTGAAGACGAGAAGCCGGATTTTGTTGTCCTTACCGGCGACCAAGTCAACGGCGATACCGCGCCCGACGCCCAAACCGCGATTTTCAAATACTCGGAAATGTTTGCGCGACATAAAATTCCCTATGCAGGCATATTCGGTAATCATGACGATGAAGGAAACCTCGACCGCGCCGAATCCATGGCCGTTATGGACGGCCTCCCTTACTCGCTCTCCACTGCTGGCCCGGAAGATGTCGAAGGCGTGGGCAACTACGTGGTGGAAATCCTCGGACGGGGGTCCACCTCACACTCTGCGCTCACGCTGTACATGCTCGACACCCACTCCTACTCCCCCGACGAACAACACTATCACGGCTACGATTGGCTCAAACAATCTCAGATCGACTGGTTCAAGGCCACGTCTCAATCTCTGAAGAGGAAGCACAAGGAATACACGCATATACACATGGACTTGGCGTTCATTCACATCCCCTTGCCGGAATATCGCAATCCGGACAATCTGGCCTGGGTGGGAAACTGGACAGAGCCACCGACCGCCCCGGCATACAATTCGAATTTCAAAGACGCCCTCGTCGAAGAGCACGTTCTCCTCGTGTCATGTGGTCACGACCACGTCAACGATTACTGCCTTCCCGCGAACAACAAGGAAAAGAAACCCGCCTTATGGATGTGTTATGGCGGCGGGGCGGGATTTGGCGGGTACGGAGGCTACTATGGATATCACAGACGAGTGAGATTCTTCGAGATGGATATGAACGAGGCGCGGATCACGACGTGGAAGAGGTTAGAGTGGGGCGATGAAGAGACGCTGAAGAGGAGGATTGACGAGCAGATAGTCGTGGACGGTGGGAAGGTCGTCACGGGCATGTGATGCGATGAAAGAACACCTTGCCCGCCAAACACGACATGGCGGACTCGGGATTTATTGTGGGGAGGCGACTGACTATCGCAGCCATGTTGCTTTCATTTTGCTGTCATATATTGGTCTCTTGTGGAAAGGGAAGTGATTTTGTCACGAATAGAGCATGTACAGTCGCATGGCGTTCGGCGTTCAGCGTCAAGACGGGGGGCTGGAATGCATGTCTGGTTGCGTTCGAATTGTCACACCACCTAGGGTTTTTCTTTTTGCTGTCATGGTTCAGTCGCTCGATTGAGCATGATGCTTTGCTAAGAGCAATCAATGATGGTGGATAAAAGCAAAATGGAGAGAGAGAGAGGTCACGCAACGAACGGCCGGCGGGAAGGAAAGGAAAGGAAAGAGATGATAGATACCTCTGAGAGGGAAAATGTATAAGATCATTCATTCACCTCCATTCAATCCTGAGAGAGGCCTCGTGATCGAGTCCTGGATGCTTTCGTCTACCTACCAGTTCCTCCTCCCTATTTCACCACCATTTCTCGCACAGGACTCTCCTGTCCTCCATCCCCGGCGCTTTCTGCAGCAAAGCCACGAACTCGTCCGTCATGGTCGGCAGGCCGCATACATAGACGGCCGTGTGGCCTCTGCCGCTCTCAGAGCCGAGGGCGTCAAAGAGGTCACCATGCTGGATCCGCCGGTATCGCGTCAACATGTTGCCTTGTTCGACTTCGTCTTGTTTCGTCCCTCCCGTCCCCGACTGTCCGCCCGTCACGAAAAGATTGTATTTGAAGTCGACACGGTCGTGGCCTTTCCACGTCTCAGCTATGCATTTCAATCTCTTCTCGAATAAAATCTCTTCCTCGGCCCCGGTCTCCGCATTCTTCTCTCGTCGTGAGACATACAGGACTCTGACGGTCCGGGTCATCCCGCCCACTTTGTCCGCGCCCACCGCGTGCATCGCGGAGATCATGCTCATGATGGGATTGATCCCCACGCCCCCCGCGACGAAGACCACTCTCTCCAACGCCCGGCATTCGTCTCGGTTCAACGTCGGTGGGGGATAGACGAAATTCCCACCCACGCGAAATGTTACCGTGGAGTCGAGAATCTCTGGGGCGGGTCGCCAGAGGTACGCCGCGGGCGGATTTGACGGAGAGGACTGGATGGCCAGTTCTATGTGCGGGTCATCTTGGGAGGGAGAGGCCGATTGAGGCGGCGACGTGATGGTAAAGCCGCCCACGACGTCGATGTTGGGGATGTATAGGTCGATGTATTGACCAGGGAGATGGCGGAGAGGTGGCTACTAGAGTCGTTGTCCGTGTGAGCATAAAAGTCTCCATTAAGCAAGGCAAGTGGTATCTGCTGGTCCCTCGAACTTGCAACGCTCTCATAGAAACAAACAGCAAATCATTAGATAGTGTGCAACTCTCCTTGTCGGATAACAAACAAACAAACCCACGGTGGTCGAATTGTATTTGGAAGCATGTATTTCTCGTCTAAAGAGAGAAGAAGTAATTTGCAAGGAGACAGACAGAGATTGTTCTGACATGATTGATTGAAAAAAGGGCACATACTCCATCTCTTTGCAGGCTCAGTCTCAGCAACCGGATCTTGGAATTGATTTGTTCAATCCTGCTCAGCCTGGCTGTCCACACACCCGTTTGCCGGGGATCATCAGCCGTCCTGATGATATGGGGGACAGGGTCTTTCACGGTGGCCATTCTTCTCGAGCCTGCTGTTGGGAGACAAAGGAAAGGAGGAAGAGTCCAACTCAGGCGTTTACAGGTTGTTGGTTCGACAGCTCGCGCCCCGCAGGAAAGGGATCTGGCGAATGCGTTCATAACATGACAGGAGTGGAACGAGATTTGGTCAGGCTCCTCGTGCTTTGTCGAGGCTGTCCAGGAACTCGTTAATGTCGTTGGCTCATTGAGAGATGGAGGTCGAAGAATCCCGAAGTGACCCCGCCTGCGTACATACTGAAACGCAGCTGCAGCACGACACAGACAACACCCAGGATCAAGTATATCAACAGAAATTCAATTGAAGAATGACATAGACGGCCACCATCTTACGAACAACGGGATCGAACCCTTCATTCTGAAGGCCGACGAGATTCTGGTTGCATATGAAGCGTCGCCTTGAATCCTCTCTTAGAGAGCTCACAACGGGTACTTTGTTCAAAATACGAGTGTATATCCAATATCTCTTCTACTTCTTCGTCTCTTCTTACTACGAGCAGAAATAAGTCAACCCGGAGAAGATATCTGTCGCCTGCGCTCTGACACGTGCCGGGCGCCGCCTGAGCCTGACGACACATTCGCAACAACCGTCACCAGAACCGGCCACGCGATAATTGCCAGGTTTCCTGATATCGGCGTGCTTTGGAATTCATGATGACCTGCTCCCTTATCCATGACTGCCTGACTTTTGGTCCATCTGGATACCTACGCTCTTGATCATATCCCATTCGACGTCCAGTTCAGTGGCCGAGATTCGCAGATATTTGTTTAGTCGAGGCGATGTCTTAAAAAGACGGCTGACTGTGGAAACGATCGTAAAAGTTGGGGCTTGCTAGAGAGAAACCTGGCCAGCACCAGACAGGATGGGGTTGAGAATGTTCTGTCGTGTCAGCATAGCTCCAGATACGCAATAAACACGAAGCAAGCAAATACCGGTAATTCATTTTCACATGTCGTGTCCGCATCACGTATCGAGGTATTTTCATTGATTCAGTTGAAGCCATACCTTTTCGTTCTATGCTTGGTATCCGTCCGAGGCTGAGAGCCGGGGACATGTATCACTCACCAGCGAGCCATCATGTATTGGCATCAATTGAATCGAGATCATCGCATACACAGGTGTGGACACCGAGTCTCTAGAGAGATCTTGATGGATGAATGGCTAAACCCGGTATCAAAGGGATATGTCTCAGAAGCTTGGTGGCGACACATTTTTCACATGGCGACGATATACACCTCATAATCCATCGAAAGAGCATATAGTGGTTCAAAGTATGTGTTACCTCGACCGTAGAAGCTTTGAGATATGTCTCGTGATGAGTCTCCGTTCGTGCCAATGCTTTTGAGGGTATATCATCGCCAGCGCAGGACGAGAGGCTGTAGTAATGAGGGGCTGTGATGGGTGCACCCGAGGGGGGCAGGGTAGGAGTCGGAGCGCAGTTGGTTGTCTTACGAAGAGGGCACAAGTGCTGTCAGAGAGGATGATCCTGTGAATGGATGAGAAGACAGGCATCGTCGTGATCATTTTGATGATCAGTTGGTTGATATCTTTGATGAAAGCTGAGGCGATGAGAGGAGTTGCGGTTGCATCAAACTCAGCTGGTCAGAGCAGCGCCGAGATGCTCCATTTTAGTGGGCGGCGACACAGCTGGGACTTTCTCCCTCTCTCTCCCTCGACCTCACTCCTGCCAATACATCCCCTCCAGCCAGCACCACCGGTTTGATAATGCACTCTGGTCGACCTACACTCCTTTTGCGGACGGCGTGGAGGATCCAGGGCGAGAACAGGGTGGCTTGGACAGGCCAACTGAAAGATTTTTCGATGTTAGTGGAGCATATCATACCACCCAGCTCAGGGAGGGTGCACCAGGTAACCGATACCTCTGAACACCCATCGTATAATGCTAATACTGTGCAGTAGTCCCATTGAAATACCGATTTCGATCATTTCATTTACTTCCTGGCCCGTCTTGCCACATATTGCGCCTGGCGGTCGTCAATATCAGATCACTCGCTGATGGTCATATGACTTTATGGCGGCAACAATAGCAATATCAAATACCCCAGAAATCATGTCTGCTACAATACTCGGTGTTGACGTGGCAAAGGTGTCGATGGCAGCTGGTTCAAGGTATGCTGGCTCGCTTTGTGCGTCTTATGGGCGCAACAGAGGAATCAAACTGGTGATCTTTTTGATACTGATCAAGCCCCAGCCATGATCAGATCATGCTTGACTATTCGGACGACGATTCTGTCCACAAAATGGAAGACGACTCGGACGATGCGTCATCAAGCGGCCCAGCCTCAGTCTTACGAAGCCTGCAGCTTGAAGGCGGAAACCGAGACTCTCCCAATAGCTCCATGACCTCGGGCTCGGTAGCCTCCTCCTCCTCCTCTGCAGAACCATCAAAGACGAAAATCACGCTCAAGGTGGAGGCCAAATCTGAAAGCTCGAACAATGTAAGCCCGTACATGTTCTTGAAAGCCTCGACCACCTGCAAACCCAAATCATCTATCCCTCCGAGGCTGTCACCTTCCGAGTATGCCAGTCAGTGTGTGGCAGCCGCCGAAGCCTCGAGGCTCAACCCGTATGCCTTGCACGAAGATGAGCACAAGTTGTTGCAAGACAAGTTATGTTATTCTCACGTCACCGTATATTTGAACATACGAAATGGCATTCTCCGGCTGTGGACTCGAAATCCAAGCGTAAGCGTCAACCTCGATGAAGCTATCGGTTGTGCAAGAGATGAGAGATGGACCCGTCTTGCTTGCTTTGCCTACGAATGGCTGGTGCGTCGGGGCTACATCAATTTCGGATGCGTCGAACCACCCTACCTCAGCCGAAGTGTCGGCCGTGGCCGTAAGAAGGAAGCATCACGAGAAACCATTGTAGTCATTGGAGGTGGCATGGCGGGTCTCAGCACCGCACGCCAGCTCACCAACCTGTTTCGGCACTATCCCGATCGTGCCCCCCCAAAGATCATTGTCCTGGAAGGCCGGGATCGAATAGGTGGGCGAATTTACTCACATCCACTTACCAGTATGCGATCTTCCAAGCTCGCCCCTCATCAAAGGCCGACGGCTGAAATGGGCGCCCACATCATTGTCGGTTTCGAACGCGGCAATCCTCTCGACGCCATTGTTCGTGGGCAGCTTGCTCTTGAATACCACCTCCTGCGAGACCTCTCCACCCTCTACGACATTGACGGCACGCCGGTCAACGGTGCGAATGATGCCATGATTGAAAGATTATACAATGACATTCTCGACCGGACCGGCCATTACCGACTCAAGCACACTGTCAAGAGAACTGCACGGGGTGACAAAGATTTGATTGAAGCGGGTCGGGATCCTCCAGATGAGGACGAAATCACCATCAAACAGTTTGAAGAAGCTACTGCCTTGGGCACAATTGACCAGCTTTTGCCGAATAAGAAGTCAAAAAGACGTGGCGCAGGCCACCGAGCTGCAAAGGGAGACAAATCCTCGGAAGAGGTGGATACAAGCATGGAAACCAAAGTACAACTCCCCGCGGCCCAAGCAGCCAAGGAGTTTGGCTTCCTGTTGCGCAAGACAACTCCGATGCATGAGACGCTCGAATTAGACGGTCTTGCATCGCAGCTCAACCAATCACTCGGCACCCTGATGAATGCTGGTGTGGATCAATATCAAAAGTTCCTTGACCTCAAGCCCTATGCTCTTCGCCTGATCAACTGGCACTTTGCCAACCTTGAATACGCCAATGCTGCCAATGTCGACAAGTTGAGCCTGCGTGGCTGGGATCAGGACATTGGCAACGAGTTTGAAGGAGAACATGCTCAAGTCGTCGGTGGCTATCAGCAGGTCCCGCGTGCATTGTGGCGTCATCCCGAGCCAATTGATGTGCGAACACGAAAGCCTGTCAAGAGCATTCGGTACAGCGCCGTAGGCTCGCAGGGAAAAGCCACCATCACCTGCGAGGATGGGCAATCTTTCGAAGCGAACAAGATCGTGTTCGCTGCGCCACTGGGAGTGCTGAAGGAGCAATCAATTCAGTTTGATCCGCCTCTGCCTCAGTGGAAGCGCGACGCCATCAGGAGGATGGGTTTTGGCCTACTGAATAAAGTCATCCTTGTCTTCGAGAAACCGTTCTGGGATGTCGGCAGAGACATGTTCGGTCTCCTGCGAGCTCCACGTAATGGACAGGGCAACGACCAGAGCGACTACAAAGAAGGCCGCGGTCAGTTCTACTTGTTCTGGAACTGCATCGACACAAGTGGCCTTCCCGTCCTGATCGCGCTGATGGCCGGTGAGGCGGCACACGAGGCCGAACGGCTTGGTGATGAGGTCCTTGTTGGGCAATGCCTAGAGCAACTACGCAATGTCTTTGGTGCCGTCAATGTTCCAATGCCAATGGAGTCAATTGTTACTCGTTGGGGCTCGGATCGGTTCGCTCGGGGCACTTATTCCTATGTCGCCGCTGAAGCAAGACCTGGCGACTATGATCTCATCGCAGCACCCATCCAAAATCTTTTCTTTGCCGGCGAAGCCACCATCGCCACTCACCCAGCAACCGTGCACGGTGCATATTTATCTGGTCTCCGGGCCGCTCATGAGGTCTTTGAGTCGATCGTTGGACCGATAGCCATTCCCCCGACGCTTGTTCCCCCGGCCAGCGGAAAGAGATCGGCCAGTGTGGTCGAACTAAAACTGATGGACACTCACATGGCTCAAGCCGGCAAAAGGAAAGGTGACGAACTGCTCCCCGCCGGCACCTTCACACGGCCTGTGAAGGAGAAAGACAACGCTCTGCATGAAGCATGGGACGCGGCGATGTGGGTCCGGATTTACGATGATCTCGGCCCTCCGCCGGTCAAACCACAAAAACTCAATGTGAATTCTTTCCTCCTATACTCTGGAGAGCACTGGGAAGAGGTCAAGACCCGTCTTGCAGAAGAACGGATGAGGGGTGGCAAGAGAAGCAAGCAATCCGAGCGTGACCAGGTGCGAGTTGAGCTCGGGAAGATGTGGGCGGCGCTCTCAGAGGAAGAAAAGAAGCCGTACACTGACCGTACGAACAAGAATCGCGAAGACAATGAAAGGGCGAAGCAGGAATGGTCTGTCAAGGCGGCCGAATGGGATCGACGCACGTGGGAAGTCAAAGACGTGTGGATCAAGGAAGGCAATAGTTTTGAAGAATTTTGCAAGCGAAAACGGGAGGATGAGGCGGCGATGGACGCCGAAGCTGCAAAGCGAGCAAAGGTCTGACGAGGCCACTGCATCAGATACGTTGTGCATGAGACATCCCCGGGCTGGAGATGTTCGAGACACAGGGACAGAGCCTGGAGTATGCTGCTATGGGCTTGTGGCACACTGGTGTTTTCGGGTATTGATATCGGTGGTTGACAACTACAAGATTGAAGTGGTCACAGCGTCAATAACTATTGTATATATTTTCCGAGTCACACCTACTGTTCCTCGAACATACAATCTACATATCAGGAATTCAGCCTCGTCTTGTACAGCTTCACCAGGTTTGCGGTGTGAATGTTAGTGTGAGGTCGTAGTGGAGCTGTCAGACCGGGATATACTGTGCGTACTAATACTGTATGTAGCTGGTGTACCAAGTAATACTGCGTGTAATACTGTAGGTTGCCGATATCGGCTGCACCCCAGAATCCGGGAGTCACTGTGTTGGTTGATCCGAACAGTGGGGTTGGTCATGTACAGTACCAGGATATTGACTCATCAGACATCAAATGGTATCCTTGCCATTCGTATTCGAAATCCTGCCAATACGTCCATACAGAATTCCGTCAACCCGAGGTCAGCATAGACAACAGTATCTATCTGATCCAGGTCTCTATTTCATTGACTCCACTGCGGAATCTCCTATTGCCATCACCATCACTCCGGTTTGTTCTCCAGCTTATTACATTTCAGGCGTGCGACATCAGCAAACACTGCACTTCTACTTCTCATCTGGTTTTTTTTTTTTCACTTCGAGGCACAGACAATATTTCAAAAGACAAGGGGAGAAGAGAAGAGGCAGGCAAGCAAGAATGGGCCAGTTCTTCGAAACGTTCCCGCCCTCGCTGGTCGCATGGCTCTTGGAGCAGAAGGTCTTCTACATCGCCTCAGCGCCGCTGTCGGGCGACGGCCATGTCAACGTCTCTCCCAAGGGCGTCTCGGATAAGGGCGGGCCGTTCTTTGGCGTCATCAAGGAGTCGAAGAACGGCGGCGGCGGGGACGACGCGGAGAAAAAGGCAGCATCCGACGACAAGGACGTCGTCATCCGCAAGTTCTGGTACATGGATCTGACCGGCTCCGGCATCGAGACCACCTCGCACCTGCACGAGCCCGGCAATGGCCGCATCACCGTCATGTTCAATGCGTTTTCGGGCCCGCCGCGCATCTTGCGCATTTTTGGCAAGGGTAAGTACGTCCTAAGCTATTACCCCAAGTACGTCCGTTGGATTTGCATCGAGGGAAATGAGAATGAGAATGAGAATGAGCGGACCAAGTCACCTGTGTCGAGGGCAATGATCAAGTGAGAGTGGACGAAGCAGGGGCTTGAGTTATCTTTTCCTTGTTGTCGTCGCAGCAGCTGTTACCGAAGCTCCCCTGTTCAATGCTGCTTTTCCTCTCAGATGATACAACTGACTCACAAACACCCCTCTCTTGTTTTTCCCCCGGGAACAGGCACACCCTTAGAGTACGGCACACCCGCATTCAACGACATCGTCGCCTCCCAGCACATCACCATCATCCCCGGCACCCGCTCGATCATCATGGTCGACATCCACCAGGTCGGCACGTCGTGCGGCTTCTCCATGCCGCGCTACGAATTTGTCAGTTTCCGGCCCACGCTGAACGAGTTTTTCGAGAAGCGCGTCGCGAGCGAGAACGCCGGGAAGAGGGAGGATGGGATTGAGAGGTTCGTTCGTGCTTTTAGTTCTCACCTTCTCCTCCTTCTTGATTTTCCACCTCTTCTCCACCTTCACGTGGAATTTACGTTTACGTTTTGTCGTGTATCATCCTCGTCCTATCCTATCCTGCTCGACCCCGGCTCCAGCTGACCGATTGCCACTCCCCCTCCTCCAGATACTGGGCGCACAAAAATGCATGGAGCATGGACGGCCTGCCCGGCCTGCAGCGGGGGGTCAAGACCGCCGTGACCGAGGATGTGAAGCCCATCAAGAAAATGGTCGGGCGGTATGCGCCGTCGTCGAACGGTCGATCGTGCCGACCGACCAAGGCGTATACCCCGGCCCATCTGATCCTGGTGGCCGTCCTGAGTTCGTTGACCACCGCACTGCTGGTCCTGATTCTGCTGAGAGTTGGGAATGAGAGAATCATGTTGGGAAGAGGGGTTTGGAAGTGAAAGTACTGTGGGTTGAAATATAACATAAGAGAGATATACAGTGGAAAAAGATACGGTAAAAGTCAAAGGATATACGAGCAGCAGACCGAGCGGATAATACGAAAAAAGGAAAAGGGAAAAAGAGAAAGGAATTGGAGGAATTTGGGTGGAAGAATTTTACCAGACCTGGAGCAGACATGGTGTGTTCTGCAAAAGGTCACCATCGCTAACTAAACATAACCCAGCAAAACTCCCGCTAAGGCTGAATACTACACAAAAATATAAGAGAAAACAAAGGCTTATCGACTTTTCCCCATCGCCTCCATCCCATACCCTGATCAGAGAGACGCAAAGTTGCTGCCCTCCTGTCAGAGATATCTTGATCTGATCACTGCCACTGACGTCGACCCGCTCATAACCTTGTCGGCCGCTTGTATCACAGCGGTAAAGTCATCCTGGGACTGTCATGGGATCGTTTTTGATTTGAGAATAAAAAGAACCCAATCAGGTATGGTCCCTCTGGATGCCGTGCCTTAAGTAACCAGGCATGAAAGGCTGGCATTGGGGCCGACATGATCTCGTAGCGCCGATGTGCTTTTTGAGAAAGTCCCGTCGGGGATACATTTCTCTCCTGAAAAGCACCACTCCTGTTGTGGAACGCGCATACTTCGAGACTTTTTGGTGGTGGTGGTGATGGTGGTGGTGGGGTCTCAACAAAAGGCCCCAGAGACAGCTTTCTGGCATTCAGCCTTTCTTGTTGTTGATACCCATTTCGGAAGTGTCCTGCGCCAATTGGCACACGGCCACTGCATTTCTGCCCACCCAGTCCAGCTCGTAAAAGAGCGAATTGGGCTTATCTCTGGAGCGACGTAACATGCGGTGATTTGGATTGAGCGTTCTGCTGCTCTTTTTGTTCCGGCGCCGCAGTGATTTCCGTTCAATTCGGCCGTGGAGGGCTTTCGACTTCGGGAAAAGATTCTCAACAAGATACGGTTTGTACTGGCTGATGTTGGAACTTGGTTCAGGGGTGTGCTCTGATGTTGTCCAATCTTCGTCACTGGAGGGAGGCGTGGGGCTGAGGGTAGTGCGTTCAAGTTCGCGTGGGTCGATGAGGGCGAAGTGTCCTTCCAAGTACAGGCTGTACGAGTTGCGTCTGAGGAATCTCGGTGTTTCTCTGGTTTGTTCAAGAGCGTCTAGACGTGACTGCAGCTGGGTGGCAAAGAGGTGTGCCGTCTTTTCTTCGAGAAAGCGGCGAATGCCATCGTCTGGGATGACAGACGGCGAACGCGTCCTCTTTTCTCGCCAGTTGCTATCATCCAACATTGGGATGGACTCGATGTGGCATCAGATGTGAAGGGGACCGTAACGGGGGATGTGGAAGTCGTCGTTGTGGCGAGGTGCGGCAATTCGTGTTCACCGCAGCTGGTGGATTACAAATCACGTGCACTGGGTGCCAAGCCGGCAACCACGGCAAATTCCGGTTCTGGCCGAGCGCAAACACGACTCGTTTGTCCATGGTGGATGAACACAACAACTGAGCATACAAGCAATTGGATGGTTGCTGGTCGAGTACGATTCCTGGTCCATCCATCGATGAGGAGTGTCACAGAACAAATGGTGCAGGTATGAATCACGACATGAAATGATACAGAAGCGATAATCAGGGTGGTACCCCTTTGTGGTGGTGCGTCTGCCTATTTGCACTTGACGCCTTTTGGGATCGGGGCCCCTATATATAAACCACGGGTTCCTCCTAAGGACGATCCACACCGATCTCCCTCCTGGGCATGCCAATGCACAATGGCTGATGTGGACAAGGAGGGTCCTGATACCTTACCCAATACGCCTGACACAGTGCCCCTGGATGACCACTTCTTCAGCCCCAGGACCAGTGCAAGGCTGCAGGGTGACTTCGCTCGTTTAGTCCCAGTCAATCATGCGGCAGTGCTTGCATTCCATTCCATCGCCGAACGGACGAGGCTGGAACCGGATTGGAACCCTCACATTAAGAAGTTTCTGTTCATCGAGGAAACCGCCCGGCAACTTTCTCCTGAATGGGATGGTAGTGATGCCTCCAGTGATACAACAAGTGGGCACCCTGCTCAAGTGCTGATGGGCTACTACCGACTAAGCTTGGACATCTTGACCAACCACACGAGATTGGGCTGGGTGCTTGGGAGCGGCAGAAAGGATCTCGTCAACGGTGGCGTTGATTTCCTGTTGACCCTCCAGAAAAACAGACATCATGTCCACGGTCGACATGCTCGACTGGTCCACCATGCTCAAAACGGCGCATTGATGCTCGTGACTGGCAAAGGCAGGGTTGTGCTTGTCAATGGTATTGAAAGACTCGAAGGCTCGCAGCGAGTTCTTGGGTCTGTGCGTACTGCCCTGTCCTTCGGCAACCTATCCTACAACTTGGAATTTACCGGTTTGAATGAAAACAGTTATCGGGAAAAGCTAGGAGAGCTGTTCACGAGGCTTCATCCTGATGGCGACGTGCCTCCAATGTCACTCGAATTAACCCCTCTTGAGCACCACCATGAACTGCACGGGTTTCTGATACATTCCCCCTTCGCATCCGGTGCCAGCGGTGTGGTGTCTGCTGGCTTCGAAAAGTCCACCGGCCGGGCCGTAGCCATTAAACGTGTCAAGCGTACGCCGGCGACGGTTGCCCGAATTCAACTTGAAATCCAGATCTACAAGAAGATAGGAAACCATGTGAGTAAATAAATCCGTCAATCTCTGGGGTGCAATCACTTACGGAGCAAGCCAAATCTCTGCCATTTGATGGCTGACCTATATTCTGGAGGCGATGAGTACAGCACAGGCAAGTCCAGGATCAATGATGTCTACCTGGTACATTCTCCACTGGCCAGACAGACATTCCTTGACTTGACCCTCTCCAAAAGGCCATACGACGTTCGCATGTCCGCTTTCCATCAGGTTTTGAGAGGTCTCGCCCATCTGCATCAACATGGTATCATGCACAGAGACTTGAAGCCTACGAATATGATGATCGTGTCGTATTCACCGGTACACGCAATTATTATTGACTACGGGAGCGCCACTTTCGAAGCTACTTCGACAGATCATTACTGCGGAACCATTGCATATCTTGCGCCAGAAATTCTCAGGCTCAAGTATCAGACTGAGAGTCTATATCAGGATCCGTATGATTGCCGCGTGGATATTTGGGCCTTGGGACTTTCAGGATATCAACTTTTCTTCCAGGAGCACTGCAAGTGGGAGAAAGGTGTCAGCAGCGTCGCGCATCAAGATATCATACAAAACTTGAGATCCCGACCGGCGTCTATTGCTGATGTGCTTGAGCGGATGCTTTCGTGGCAACGTGTTCATCGGCCCCATGCAAACGAGCTACTTCAATCGAAGCTCTGGTCCAAGCTTGTTGATGGTGCTGAGGCTCCAAACGCTGACATTTCCGCCTCTGCGCATGTCCTAAAAAGAGTGAAGAGGTAGAGGGTTGTGGACCGGGTGATTCGGGAGCCATATCCCTCTGGCCCTTGCAATCCAGTTTGGATTGTACATTGTGACTACCCATGCAAGTACAGTATAGTATTCCCAGCTTTCGACGAACCTCGCTACAGTTCAGCCCGCGTCTAAACGACTTTCAATTGCCTTTGGGAAGCAATCATATACGCCTACAACCACGCAAAAGCGGGATTAGCATACAGCTTCACCGCCTTCACGGTCACAGCCACACCAGCCTCGGGTGCCCGTAAGGAGTGGTCTCTGGGCTGTGTCATGCAAGAGAGCTGGCAGGGTGCAAAGTCGCTGCGTGTTGCAACCTTACGGGTTGAAATATGAGGTATCGGTATCTTTGACTGGACCATAAGATCCAAGCCAGCCAGGGCGATGGAACTCTCGCGCAAGTACCTTGACACGATCAGCGCCGCATGCGCAGAAGGGCACAGGACGGCGACCACACAGACACGATTGAAGGAGGCTTGTCTTGTGCGTGCTCTTACCCTCGAATCGTCTTCACAATGTCTGAGGCTGACTACGAGCGCGACAACGCCCAAGCTAAGATATGCCTCGGAGAGATTGAGAGGCATCGTGGAGCATTGAGCACTCATCCCCTCCCGCAGCTCAATGCCTGTGCCAATACCTGCATCACCACCCGCGGCCTCGAGCACAATTATCTCGCCATCACACGCCGTACAGAGCCCACCAGTGTCCAGCGCGAATACGCCAACATAAAGAAATACGTTACACGCACCAAGGGGCGGGGCCTCCTTATCAGCATCAAGCTGTTCTCGCGCAAGACGTTCCTAGGACGGTGTCTATGAAGACGTCCTTTCCAGCACGCCGCGAGGCCATGCTGGTTTGTGCGCGCCGATCCAGCTCAAACGGGTGCGGTATAGCAGCCGTCGCCGGCGCTCCTGGGCTACGGCCCGTTCAGTGAGGATAACGGTCTCTTTCAAGATCGTGGGTGAAGTCTCTGCGTACGATTTCATGCATGGCGAGATCTCTGCGATGGATCATGTAGAGGAGAGACGCCTTGTGCTTTGCTGAAGTCGCGGCATATTGAAATCAAATCCATCTATATTGATATATCCGTCAGAGAAACGCTGTTGGATAGCCTATAGAAGGGAAGGGAAGGGAAGCTTCGCGTGACCAACCGTGTCCAGAACAGGGGTGATCATGCTGGGAGAATCTGGCGCTCCTTCTAGTAAAAGAGAAGAGGGACAGACAGAGAGGCTGGCTGGCTGCTTTCACAAAACTCGGGGGTTCGAGGGAGTGCAGTCAGTATGTGAGCCAGCATATAACGAGGGGAAACTCAGGAAGCACTTCTAAATAATCAAAATATACAAACAGTGAAGGCCTCATTGAACGAGGGAGAGCTCTCTGTACTCTCTCTCTCTCTCTCACACACTCTCTCGGTGTCCTCATAGAAAATAATAATCGTACTACCTGTCTGTTATACTACCTGGTTATAACCGACTCTTCAGCTCCGGCCCAGGCCACCAGTCCTGCACCTTGTCCATGACCCAGCCCGCGATGCCCGAATTCACTTCCTCCGGACACTCCAGATTACCCCAGTGGCCCGCCTGGATGACGAACTCGGACAGGTCGCGGCACTTGTCCCTCATGGGCTGGGTCAATTTGGGGTTGTCGACGGTCTGGCAGACGGAATCGTACTGGGTGTGGATGAAGAGGACGGGCATCTTCAGCACGCCGTCGTCCACGCTCTTCTCGAGCGTGTACTTGCGGTTCGCCGCGTGGTTCAAGTACCAGGCCGTGGCGCCCTTCCAGCCGTTCTTCTTGACGCTGGCGATCAGGGCGTCGTGGATCTCTTGATCCAGCACGGTCTTCTCCAGAGGGAGATCGGGGACGGGCGCCCCGGGCCCGCCGAACCAGCCCTTGTGCTTGATCACCTGGGCGGTGCGGGCGAGGCCCTTGCCACCCTGCGGGCTGCCTCGGGAGAAGACCAGTTTCAGGTACACGGAGGGGTTGGACTCGAATTGTCGGTCGATGGCCTTGGGTTCCTGCTCGTAGAAGACCTGGTAGTCCCACTGGCCGTAGGGGAACTCGCTTTCCGGATACTTTTCACGGTCGATCAGGTCGAGCAGCGTCGGTAAGCCCAGCTCGAGCGTGCGGTACGGCACCGAGATGCCCACGACGGCGCGGCAGACTTCTGGGTGGTGGCTCGCCAATGCCCACAGCGGTCCGCAGCCCCAGTCGTGGCCGACCCAGAGGGCGTCCTTGCGGTCCAGGTGCTTCAGCAGCTCCAGCAGGTCCGGCACGAGCTTCTCCAGCGCGAACTCGCTCGGGTCGTCGCTCGTCCAGGTGCCCCCGTACCCGGGCATGTCTGGAGCGACGCAGTAGAAGCCCAAGCTCGCCAGGGAGAGCAGCTGGGGTTTCCATGTCAGGGCGATTCCGGGCCAGCCGTGGAGGAACATGACCAGGGGTCCATTGGAGGGGCCGGCAGTGAGGTAGGTGTACGGCTTTGCGGTGGTGGGAGAGGTGAATGGATGGGATGTGATAGGAGAAGACATCTTGTCAATTGTCGACAATGGATGGCTGGAGTGTTGTTGTATTCAGCAAGGATTGGGTGTCTATATATTATTATTATATCTCGTCCTAATACTTTCTGCCCACGAACGAATGAAGTAGTAGTGAGCATGTAAGCACCCAGGCATGATAAGCCTCGGCTTGAATGCAGTAATACTGTACATAACTTCTGCGAGTGGCAGGGACTGGTTACTCCGCCCCCGGGTTCTCCAGCAGCTCTTGGTTAATCCATACGCATGAGTCCAATCGCAAGAACAAACCTGTGCCAGAAATGGAGTCATAGCTTTCAAAGCCCAGCCGTCGGTGTGATTACTGATCGTTAATTTGTGGACTTTGCATGTGTAGTTAGGTAGAGGGAAGTGCAAAGGAATGACAAGACGGTGGACGATGCGGTCAGACGGGGATCGACCCTTCGTCGACGTACTGAGATGTGCTGCGTGCGGGGAGGAGGGTCAATGGTATGTAAGGGTGAATGAAGCGAGTTCGTGAGGTGGATACTAGACGGTAGATAGGTAGCGAGTAGATAACTCGTAGGTATCGATATGGATAGATGTTGTGTTGTGGAGGGAAGAAATCCATCGTAGGTGTTCCTAGGCGTCTCTTACGAATACGCCGAGCTTCACACAGAAAAGGCTTCGTCCAGATATGCAAATGACCTAAAACGACGCTTCAAGGGGGGTGGTCCGAGGAAGCCGGGGGATAAAAAGGTCCGATCAACTGGCCCAAGGAGTGAGCATGCACCTACATACACGCTGACTGAGCCCGTGTGGGGAGCTGGCAACCGGACGCCCTCTAGCCGATCGTGTGGCCGCCTGGAGATCTCGCCTGTGCCCGGTGCCTGCGGGGCCTCTTGGAGTGTGCGAAGCACGATAGGCTTTAACTAATTGCTTCCAGATAGGCGGGCCGCCAGCCGACCGCTCTACCTGCGTCAGATCGCAACGGCTGATCTTGACTTGGGCCAGTTGGCCCATTTTGACGACCGCAGATGATCATGTACCCATCTCGACGATCATGAATCCCCAGTAACCACTCCACGAGCGTTGATCGTTGTCATTTGTAGTTTCTCTAAAAAGTTACGTTGGCTCTACCACGGCGTGTAAGACGCACGTAGCCAAGGTAGTTACGGCGAATTGAATCGACAAGGGAAAAAATCATGACACCTGCCGCTGAGTCCCTTCGCTTTCTCAGGAGCTCAGAGCCGGAACTTGTGGCCAGACTCGATGAGATGACTGCTCAAAAGCCATTCATACCGCAAGTCCTGCGAAATTTCCTCCTCAACTGAAATGCAGTACGGGTCACCTTGCACACCAGCAAAATACGAAGTGTTTGTGCTCACCCAACACTCCTGCGACACTCCACAAACGCCGTCGCTTCACAAGCTACCCCTCCTAGGGAATGCTACTCCTTCGACCGCCGCATCATCGGTAAACCAGCTGACCTTCTCCCCGCCAGCCTCGTTGACAAGTCCACAAGGCAAGTTTCTTCCTTCATCATCCGCTTCCAAGATCTTCTTCAAAATATCCTTCTTCGCTCCTCCTGTAGCCACAAATGCAATCTTGTGGGCATGCGTTACCACGGGCAAAGTTAAGGTGATCCTTCTAGGCGGCGGTTTCGGGCTGTCCTCGATCGCAGCCACCCAGGCATCCGCTTCTCGCAGAAGTTCGTGGCCGGGGAACAGGCTGCAGGTATGGCCATCCGGCCCGCAGCCTAGGAGGATCAGGTCAAATATGGGCAGTTTCACAGAGTCCTTGTTGGCAAATATTGACATGAGAACCTCTTGGTACTTGTCCGCCAGCTCCTGGGTGTTGTCGAGCTGCGTCACATCGATGGGATGGACAACGGGCGTCCCTCGCTCGGGTGGAATTTTATCGAGGAGCTCTTTCTTCAGCAGCCCATAATTGCTGTCCTCGTGGTCAAAGGGTACGGCTCGTTCGTCGGCCAAGAAAATCTGCCATTTCGAGAATTCGGGCACGAATGAGGGGTCTTCATGGTGGCGTGGCCTGAGAAGCGCCTTTGAGAGGGTTGCGGGAAGACTGCCGCCTGAAACGGCGATTTTAAAGCTGCCGTGTCGTTGGAAGGCCGCCTTTTGACAGGCGAGGATGTAGGTGCGCAGATGCGCAGCGACTTCGTCGACGGTGGGGTAGCTAAAGAGGTTGGGTTGTTTGCCCATCTTTTTTTTTTCTCTCTGGTGTTTGGCGGGGCTAACTCGCGTAGGTCCTGACTCGAGACGGCTCACTTGGCCCTCGGCGGCAACGCAGGCCGCGATATTCGTCTTCCGTCCAACGGTATTCTTCCGGAAGAAAGTTGAGGATCGGATGAAGGCAAAGATCACCTGAGGATGTGCGCCAGCGATACAAGATCAAGTTGTATTGGGGAATCTGACGAGGTGAGGGGCTGTCTTGGGGGAAAATCGGTGCCGTGCTTCGAGCGAGTCCAATCGACTAGTGAATTTAGGGCAAGGAGAAGGAGCGTAAGGAACCAAAAGGAGGGTGACGATGAGAGCAAAATCGATCGAGGGAGAGTGGTACGTCTTTCACACCTGGCACAGACTCGAGGAATCGAGGAAATATACCTGCCTTGTCGCAAAGTTCGCAGTCGTCGATCAAAAAAGTGCGCAGGGGAAAATGCCTGGTGCAGACCAAGTTTGACGTCATGGTTACTCGGTCTGACAAGGGAACATGGGCCACTTCATTGGTGCGGCCATGCCGGGAAATCCTATCTGCCACCGTCAGACAAGACGATATTGAATCGAAAGGCCATGCAGATAAGTGATAAGCTCTGGAGTGCTGACTTTGCTCCAGGTGAGTGACTAAGCTTTTCTTCAAATTGGCTACGAGGCACAAACCGTACAAACGTTGATTCGGAAGAAGTCATCGTGAAGGTCACTGCCTACCCCGTACGCTGTGCAATTTGGACAGGGACTTGCTTCCAGTTCTTTCTACCTTTGCTTTAATCATTACGTCTCCATGTGATAATTAATCCTGGAATAAAAGTCCTCACGGAGAGACCGGAAAAGGAAATCCAGTGGACGAGTATGTCGTTGACAGTCTTCAGCAGCAGTGGCAGCCGCTCGTGGCCACAAAAGATTTGGGTAGAGACAATTTCGCTCGCCGTGAGTGATATTCTTGCCGACGTGGCTACCCACGAGAATGCCTCATATCTCAATACTCGAGGCACTTATGCCCGATACCTGATCATGTGGACGAGTACTCTCACAAGGGATGCTGTGGACGGACCATCGAAACCGATTGCCATTGTGGATGATGATTCCGGCCTTTCCTGGAACTCTCACTCTTCAGAAAACTTGCATCGATCTTAAACCCGTGGTCAAAACGGATAGGGGGCGCCGAGATGGTTGCGTTGCTATCCGAAACCAGATCGATCTCTGCAGCGTGTCAAGGATGTAACTTGTACGAAAGCCTCGGTTTCTTTCGGTTTTGCAACCTAAACAAACAGATCGGAGATGACGAAGGCTACTAGTGAAGAGCAACCAGGAAGATTTAGCTGAGCGGGGGCCCCGACTGCCCCTCTAGGTGTGGCGTTCGTCAACCAGACGCCCAATCATGCCCCGGAACATAAGCCCGCCAGTGAAAAAACCCAGCATGGAAGAGGCACAGTTGGGTCTTCCCAAGCCATGGCTCGCGGTGATTGGGGGGCAACAGCCGGAAAAAGTGCAATAACCCCCCGGGGGTGGACAACTGCGAGGCGTGAAAGGAAGCCTGAAGCCTGGAGTTCCCAGCCGGTTGCTGCTAAGGTTTTCTGTGCCGCCGCGCGTAAGGTCGATTTCCTGCGATCGAGCTGGGTGCTGGTCATCGAACATCTCATATGGAAGAATGCCATGTTTGTTTCCCATGCCATCGAAGATTTCATGCCCGTGTGTGCCTCCTGGACCATCGTCGTCTGCCCTGATTTGTCCATTCATCCCGTCATTATCCAGTTTCGACATGCACTAGCAATTCCCCATCCGCCCCCTGGTCCCGTTTCATCGCCTTCTATCCAAGATTCCCTCATGACCACCGTCGATATCCATACCACAACCCGTCGCAATCCCGGATCCCTTGTTCTGACTGCGTTATCATCTTGCTCGAGAGCAATTCCTCCCTGTTTTTCTCCTGTCGTCTTTCTCCCATACCGTCGTCAATTGAGAAAGAGCCGAGTTTGCTGAAGCCTCTTTCAGTATCAGCCCAAAGGCAACTGTGAATACCTTAGATACCCATTATCCACAAAATGGCTTCGTCGACGCCTCCTTCCATCTTGCAACTACAGACACTGGCCGCCAATGGTGCCAAACCAACCAAAATCAGTCCCAAGACCAATAAGAGCGACGACAGCATCAATACCTTGTCTTCGAGCGCTTCCGCTTCACCCAAGTCCTCCCTCGACATTGTTCGCTGCTCTCGGTGTCAACGATCCCTGAGCATTGATACCTCGCTTCCTGCTCAGAGCAGTGGCGCAGTCAGATTTGGCATGAACTCATACTACTGCCAAAGATGTGCCAACGTGGTGGGCTTTGTCAAATGAGCAGATGCATTTTGTTCGGGGCCATCCTTCATCAGAGGGTCCCCCTCTGTTCACCCCTCCTCCGATTGTCTTGCCTCCTCAATTTTCACCCTGGAACACTCGGAACGAAAGATTGAATACGATTGAGACCTGCGATTGGCGAGTAAGATGGGCAGGTGAAGACATCCGGAACAACGGACATCTCGTACGACAACGGATACAGCACACGGGGCAAACGCGGATTTTGCCCTATTGGCCATGACTCACGGAGATGTATATTCGGGACCTGTCGTGGGAGATTCTATGCAGGATGATCTCCCAGCGGTGCAACAAAGTGGACCGTGGGAATGGATCAAAAGCTGCGAGATGAGTTGGTTTTGGCAGCGAACACGCCGCCGTGGGCTGTTTTTAAAAGGCACCAGTTCTCACGGAGGGCTAGAGGCAGCTGCCATTTAGTCCGATCCAGCAACAAGGCCACGGGCGTACAAAGTGCATATTCTCTTTGCCACATTCTTGAACACGAGGGCGCAACAATCGGTGCGCTGCTACATTGGACACATTTGGGATATTTGAGCGTTGGAAGCATATATTTTTACTGCGCATACTGTGTACGTGGCAACCGCTGGAGCAATCTAGCACCATGTTATTTTTTTCTGCATAGTTGGGAAATATGGCTATAGTCAGGCAGGAAGTGAGAATAGCTTGGAGTTGCAAATTATTTTTCTGCCTCTTCCCACCACTCTTATCTTGATTGTTTGCGTCACACACTCTTAGATCCTGCAATCCAGACGCAACCCTGCTTTTAGGGGGGAATTGCTGCATGCGGGAGTATGTCTCTCTGGCATGTTCACTGGTCAATTGATCGAAGATCCAGTTCTCACAAAATAACAGCCACGCCACATGCACGAATGAGCAACTCGACCTAACACTCCGCCGATCGGTGGCCGACATGATCGCTGCTTGGCTTCTCCATTCGAACAAGCCTCATCCTATCTCTTTCGAGTCGTCTCACGACCACCCACAAGCGGAAGGTCGTACAGCAGCTGGTGTAAGCCTCCAATGAGGTGGAGGACAATCCGTTGTTCAACGGCCCAGATCTCGATGAGATAGACCCTCCCACATCTGGGTACCGGATCGGATGACCGTCGTACATAAATGCACCGAGTTTGGACATCGCATCGGAGCGTATCCCAGAATTCAGAGATCCTGCGGCGCCCGCTGTGCGACCAAGTGGAAACGGGGCGCAATCCCACAATGTGAAGAGGAGCATGAAGAGGTGGACTTGAGCTGAGCCACTGTTTGCTTGGGTCAGAGGCGACACCACCCTTTCGTGTCAAAGGACCGCAGCCCGCGTATCAGACTCGTTCGCGGACAGCCATCGAATGTGCAATGATGGCATCTCAGTCCCAAACAAGCTGGTGCATGGTGGTGTCTTCCGTCTCCCCGGCGTCCTCCTTGCGACTTGACAGCAGCATCGTAACGTGAAAAGGCGGAACTATGGGCGCCTCCTGCATGTGGAGCGGGCAATCGAGCACCGAGATTTGTGGTGTCCCCGCTGACCCTGGCAAGTCATCAATACGCCTGCTACGCGAGAGTCTTTTTTGGTCCCTAACCCTACCAAGGCGTGTGGCATTACACTGTCCTCCCCTCCAGAAGCGCTCCGGAGCATTCTTAGCTTCTAGGGCGCTTTCCCAAGAGCCTACTCGACGATCGTGAGGTGAACAGGCTGGACACCTGAACGACTCGTTCTTTGAGATCGAGGGTTTCGCCTGACCCGAGGTTGGCACGCGATCCATCCCAACAGGGGTCCAAACTCGGATGCTTCACGAACGTGTCTAGAGGTTGGGAATGCGACCATCTTGCCCTTGGCACCAGCCTTTCTCCAGTTCCATGGCCGAATCCACCCTCAGCGGCTGGGGCCGGAGGTATCTTATAAGCTCATGAGGGCTTCCGGACCCAGTCGAACCAAAGAATCTTCTCTTGACTTGCAGCAAGACCTACCGCTTTTTACGTCAGGACTCCAGAGAATGCAGCAGCGGTCGTCTTTGCACAGACACGGACCCTCTCCCTTTTCCAAGGTTGCAACTATTGATTTTGACAGATTCTAAGGGTCCCTCCACATGCCTGTCATGACCCGTTGGCCCCTCTCAAAGAGGCTTGCAGATGAACCACCGCCTAGGTATTGGTCGCGCGTTCAACAAGGATATTCCCATATCCCCGGGTCTGATACAGCAACATGGAGGCTTGCTCAGCTGGCATGATTGTCTTGTTCTCTCCTCCTCCAAGAGCAGAGATGCCTCGTCGCCTAATAATGCAAGCCCGAAGCGATCTGATATCAGATTTCCGCCGATTGGGGGTCACCTGCGAGCTTCTAGGCGACCTATGCTGTTGGATCTTCCATTGGGTTCGGCTCAAGAGACTCGATGACATCTTCTCCACTATGAAATCAAGTAGTAATCGCAAACAGATGTACTGCATCAAGGATTCAAGCCACTGTGTACCATGGTCGCAAAAGCCTGGGTAGGTCAAGTCTATAAATCAGTCTTCAGTTTCGCTCGGAAAGGCTGGTCTTCTCCTCGAACCCAAGACATCTTCACCGTGTCAGAAGTTTTGTCTCTTGCTATCAGCTTCCCCCGTCGAAGCAGGCCGGGCTCCTATTGTCTTGCTACCCCCGGAAAAAGAACTCATGATTCCACCTACCCCTGCTTGTCCACCTTCCTCTTTCTGGTAATCTCTAGGCAGGGGGCCACTTGCGTCTCTGGAGGGAAAAGCGGCCAGGGGCTCCTATCAGCCTGATCCATATGCATCAGTTCGAATCTATAAAGGCTGACCTTCACCTTCTGTTCCCACACAATTGCGGTGAGGGCGTTTGCCAGCAAGACTGTCAGATCCACTGGCCCATCTCCGGTCATATGGTAGAAGAGCAACCCAGAAACGCCGACAGCTTTGATAGGCGGATAGGGTTCACTTTAAAACATTGACAGTTTGGTCACCAGCCTTGCTGGAAAATGCCTCAGAGGCAGGAACGCCATCGACGCCGTCATTCGAGCAAAGACGAGCAACCCTATATTATCCTCGTCCAAGATGTAGGTCAGGGTGGTCCAAATCTGTGCAAATCCGAGGCTGACATGGATCTCCTAGATTCCACGCCACTGCCGATGGCAAGAGCTCAAGGACATGACACGAAGTCTCGGGGGTGAACAGAGCTTGAAAGCTGAAGTTTTCAATGTTGGAGACGGAACCCAGCTGGGTCATTGCACCATCAAGGGAAGGGCCGACGCCGTCAAGGTCTATGGTATGTTTAATGCTCAGAATTGCTGTGTAGACGCTCACGAGATACAGAGAACCTCTGCACTCAGGGGTGGAATGGCTACCGTGTGCGTGTCAAGTTGGTTGCCCAAGAGAAGGACGGGAGCTTGAGAAAAATCGAGGGACCCAAGGAAAGCAATGGGATCGTCCCCTCTGAGAGACCAGCCGGACTTTTCCATCCAACCCTACCAGGACCTGCTGCGACGGCACGGTCTTCTGCGTACGTCTTCTGGACGGGAAATTGCTGTCCTCTTCTGACATTTCTGGCAGAAACCCTCTCTACACGACCTCTGCTCATCCGCCAGCGTCCATGAGCTACACTACACAGTATGCAACCATGACTTCCTGGGCTGGTCAACCAAGCGTGCCTTCACTCACTCCCACCCTAGCTCCTACTACGATGGCATACTTATCTGGGGTCTGTCCGCCTCGATCTTCATATCTGACGCCTTCAGCTCATGCAGGTAACGTCGGCCCAGCAACCCCGAACAGCATTCACTTTTCCGGTGACTCTGGACTGCCTCCGCCAACGTCTTCTGCGCCTCCCCCCGTCCGTCGTGCCAATGACGGCAGCAAAATCTTCATCTCTGGATTACCATATTACCAATCTGAGAGCGAACTGCGTGGCATCCTCAAACGCTACGGCAGCGTTATCTACCTCGAGATCCACCCTGACAGCCGCAACCCGGGGAAGAACAAGGGCACAGCACGGGCACGATATAAAAGCCCCGCCGAAGCCCTCGTCGCCGTCCGCGACCTCGACGGTCGATATCTGTCTAACCGCAAGATCAGCGTCAAACAGGAGAAAGACGAGCCTTCGATGACCACGGCGAGCAAGGCGTCCAGCTCAGGGTCATCCCGGAGTGCGATGCAGGAGACAAAGAGTGGAAGCAGCTCGTCGAAGCAAAAGAAGATCGGTGGATGTGCTTCTAAGACCAGCAGTTCCAAGTCCAGAAGGAGTGTCACTGCATCGGTCAAGGAAGCAGCGAGAGGACCGTCTCGGTCTAATAGAGATAGAACGGGATACAGCAGCGGCTCGACATCCCCACAAGGTCCCCTTGTCGTCAATGGTGCACGACGTTCTTCGACTCGACGAGGTAGCTGGGGTGAGAAATCCGCAGACGACAGTGATGACAGCAGTGATGATACTGAATGTAGTGACGAGGGTGCGACGCTGGTGGACGATGAGGAAGAAGAGGAAGAGGACGACGACGACGACGACGACGACGACGACACAGATGATGGCGTGCGAAAGGTATGTCCGTATATCACGCTGGTTCATGTTAACATTCCCGTTCAGCAGTAGCATTGCCCTAACTATACCTACAGATAAGAAGTATGCACCATCGAGGCAGGCTCTGAGATCGCTGAAGCCGTGTATCTCCCTGGACAGTCAATCTGATGGCCCAAAGTGTATGTGGCTGGCGATTTGCCGGTGGAGTATGATTGCACCACATCGCCCTCTCGACAAGAAACGCCAGGAGAAAAGACTGTAACTCAACACACACTGGAACGCAATGGGCAAGGAACCTTTGAGAGGCTATGAGGCATGCTGCCTACGTGTTCATCTATTTCATGGGGCTTGTTGTATGCATCGTTGCTACAGTGCCGGCTTTTGACTGCCGCTTTTTTGCTCGCTGCGATGGTTGTCTGTTACCTTGTGACTTTGTTCACTCAAAAGTTGATATGTTCTTGTCTTTTTTGATTAAGAGAATCGAATCTTTCGCTCCCACAAGCACTATTTGACACACTGGGGGATTCTGCTTCCATATTCTCTGGTCTGATGCGCTCGAAACTGTTGCCTGTTTAAGCTCGTCCTGTCATAGTCCCTCCCTCTCACGCGCGACAGTTAACTCAACCTACAAATATCCTGTTACCACGGTTGTATCTCAGATTGATCGGTCTGTTATATCTGTTCTGTCTGTGTCTCGCACACGTACACCAAAAATCTATTCTCTCTCTTTCTCTCCCTCTCCCTCTTCCTCTTCCTCTCTTCCGTGCTGAACCTGACCTGACCTGACCTGCCGGACAAGTGACCAACCACCATAAGTGCTGTTCCGAGGGCAGTCTTCCTAGATAGGTTGCTGTATTGTATTGCAGTCAGCGTCCAGAAGGGGGGGGAAAGGGGCTCCTGGAACAAGCAAGCACAGTGCGTTCACCCGATAGTCCCCTCCACGGATCCGCACAAAGACATGGCTGAGATGCAGAGCATGACGAGCCAGAACCGCCGGGTGGGTTTGAAGGGTTTACTTTCGGTGGGCGAGGAGGGGTGGGTGTCGTTGGTGGGAGGTGGCGGACGCGACGAGACATCGCGCTGCTGTTGTTGTGTCTCTGGGCTGGCAAAGATGCTCACGTTAATAACGCTCCTGTTGGTGGTGTCTCTACTGCTCACGGTTGTGGTCGTCGTAGCGCTCTCCATGGTGGTGGCGGTGGCGGTGTTCAAAAGCAAGGAGAAGCAGACTGATGTCGGTGATGGTGGGAAGCACAGTCAAGTTCGATGTCGAGCCCAAGGTCGAGGGAGTAGAGCTCCTCAACTCAACCATTGCTCAATCGTAGTGCCACATACGTATGCAACGAGCAGCATTCCCCAAGGTGCATTGTAACCTGACCAGCTTCAGTGTCGATCATCTGCCCGGTTCTCGAGGAGGTTGGGGCTACTGAGGCGATCTTCTTAGCGCATCTTGCGCCATGTGTGCGTGCGTGCGACAAGGCTGTGCCGGGGAGATATATATATACATTATATCATCCCCAAACAGTGCTCCGTCCCTTGCCATTTTCATTCAGGAAAGGGAGCGAGGCCGCTTTACTCGGGCACGTGGCGGATGCTCGGCCAAGCATGGGAGCTACAGTAGAGTACGAGGGAGCGCGCCCGAGCACTGGACGAGCAGTCAGGAGCTTCTCTAGTGCCTGTTCTCATAAGCCAGTTCGGGCTCAGGGGCTCAGGGGCTTCTTCGATCATGAGCCCTATACCACGATGCTCAGCGGCGAAATCTTAATCTCTCTAAAGTCTATTTCCGCTTCTAAACCTGAGCATCTCGCTATTTGACCCGTGTCGTGACCCAAGCCATGCTGAGCCGTGTCTGTGCAATCCTGAGCTCGGCTTGGCAAGCCCTGAGGCACGCCCGTGAAATGTTTTTGCCTAAGTCTATGCGGGTTCCCATGTGCCGGGCCCACTCTCGGTTATTGCTGCCGAGCACCGTAAAGGCACTTTTCGGTCTCCCCCCCGGCACTAAACACGTGCGGTAAACTCCGCTCCCACAGCCAGAAATTGACTCGGACAATAATTTTCATGGCCAAAATCTGTCCCAAATCCAATCAATAAATTGCCTTGGTGGTCTAGGTATGATTTTCCGTCTACATGGTCTTTGATTCAAGCTAACTTTCCGAAAGTCGGTTATGACGTCGGTCTCATAAAATATTTATGATCTTGTGAACACACAAGGGCTATCCGAAGGTCACGAGTTCGATTCTCGTCCGAGGCATGTTCCTTTTTTTGCTGTTTATTTTGATGCCTGCTTTCCGTCATCTGAGATCTTATCAATATAGCAATTTCCAAAAGTTTTAGTTTTTGAGGTGAGGAGAGGTGGTGGTGGGACTACTACCTACAGAGGCGCATAACTTAGGTAAGATCCAACCCTTACCTATTTCTTTCTGTACACACTAAAACCTAGTCACCTGGAATGTCCTTGATATCATCTGGATCCTGGGATTCGAGCAGGGTCAAGTAAGACTGGATGGAAGATAGCCCATCGTCTCGGATGTAAGCGCCTGCGAGAGATACCGCAAGAGGATTGGCTTCCAGCTTTTGGACTAGTTGAAGCGCGTCGTCGAGCTCACGTTGTCGAGCACGGTCCGACATGGGCTTTGACTTCCACCTCTCTTCCATCCCGAATGATTTTGATCAGAGGCTGCGCAGCTTCATCGAGACCAATTTCCACGAGGTGGAGTCGCGCACCGAGATGGACGCCTTTCCTCCGGGTTGTGATCAGAATCCTGCCTTGTCCTTCAGGTGGTAGGTATGTGCTAATGCCATTTTCGATCGTAGTCTCCTCGTCGAAGTTGTCCAAAATCAGGAGCCATGGCTGATCTTTCGGCTCCTTCAGCCAAGCGAATAAATACTTCACGGCGGCGCTGCCGGAAATATTAAGTTCGTCGGCGACGTGGCTCCTTCTAGGGCAAGCTCGCTCGCGATCTCTTTGTAACCACTGAATAGAGTCCGTTCTGTTGTGCCGTCGATCCACAGCTGAGACCCATAATAGTCGGACTGTTCTTGAGCGTAGTGGAAAGCGAGCTGTGTCTTGCCAATGCCGCCCCCATGCCCCAAAGAATGAAGGCTGAAGGCATCGTCGTTGCCTCTTTCGTCAAGCTCGCATGGATGAGACTGATGATCGATTCGGGTTGCGAATCTGTACAGATACAACAAGTGCACACTGCTACGAGTTTTCTTTCTTACAGACTAGATCAGTTGTGCTTTTCAGACAGTGAATGGGAGAAAGATTGATCCTGATCCTTTCTTGTTCTATTCGTTCAGGATGGCCCATAGCAAGTTGACCTCGTTGTTGATTTGTTCATGTGCCTCGAGTGCGCACCTCCCTCCATACTATTTGTTCTTTTCTCTCCCTCGAACAGCTACATTGTGTCGGCCAATGATACGGGATCCTAAAAATGAGTTCCTCCTGGGCGGTTGTGTTGCTGTCGCAACTATTGCTTTAGTAAAGTCATAACAGCGTCCATTGACTACCTAGTCAAATCCTGTGGTACAAGTTCCGTCGCCCTACCATACCACGGTCATGATGCCTCCGGCTTCTGCCCGTATACGACAACGCTAGAGATCGGATTAGCTTTTGGATCCTTCCAACACCGGGAGAAGGAACGGGAGTTCTCCTTACAATGAAACATAGCTGTGAAACCGTTGGTTCACAAGTTCCTTCCTCATCTGCGCCAGCAAGACCTCCAATTCCTCTCGCGTTTTGCCCAGGTTCGCTGTATAGCCTCGAAGCAAGAATGCCTGCGCGCCTTCCATGACATTCACCAGCTCCAACGCACCGACCTTCTTTAACCTCGGATCCCGAGGCCAGGGAGAGGTGGGGATTTTGAAGATGTGCTCGTGGATGTTCTGGAAGCCGGCCTCGGCCATCCACGACCTGTAGCTCCAAGGAGCGTCAGGCGCGGCCCCGATCCGAGCCGCGATCTCTTGGAACGTGTCGCACACCTCGACGTACGCTGATCCTTCCTTGGGCAAGGTACCGTCATCGCTCTTGGGCACTGGCCACACGCAGGCAAGTTCGAGGTACCCTCCCGGCTTGAGGTGGCTGGAACCGGTGCTAATTAGTTCAGGCCGCTTTTTCGGATTTGCTTTGGAACTGCTGCTCACCTGTACGCCTGCCCGATGAGCCTGGGCCAATCGCGAATCGAGTGGTAGAGATCTCGGCCGTGGATATAATCGAATGAGTTTTCTGCATACAGCCAATCTTCTTCTGCATCATCAATCTCGAACTGGCAATTGGGAGGGACCCTATTTGCTTCTCATCAGCCTCTTTGAACCTCTTCGATTTGGACCAGGAAAACCGCTAACCATGGGGGTTGGATCGGCGAAATATCCGTTCCGAGGACTACGGCCGACGGGAACATATCGGCGAGGTAGATGGCAAAGATTCCTTACTACTGTGTCAGAACCTCTCTTCTCGAGCTTGGGGATTCGTGGATTGCAAGTTAGAAGTAAGTACCCGTGCCGGTGCCAATATCTAACATCTTCTGGGGATTCGGAGGCAACGGGGCAAGAAATAGCTTGTTGTTCTGCAGCAGAGTGTACTTTTCGTGGTTCATGTCGATCCGGTCCAGCTCATAATCGTCAACGGGCAAGCCATATTCTAATAATCCACGTTAAAAAGTCTTCAGAAGGGGAGTTGGGGACTAATATCCATATTACCATTTCGTCCGTACGCGGCATACACACGACCATTCTCAATCCGCCCGTTTCTGATCTCCGACTGGATCGAGGTACAGTAACTAGACGTGCTTTTGAAGGGGATTTTTCGTCAGCAATATGATATAGGAGATTGAAGGCTGGCTCAGCTAAATCACCTCGATTCTGCAAAACCTTCGTCTTCGGGCGGGGACTGCAATATCGCGGGTTCGGCAAAAACTCCTGGAGCAGAGCATGGATCGAACTTACGTCTGGCTCTATGGCCGCCTGCGTGATCTGCTGGATCTGTTCATTGTTGTCCGGTGGTGTATCTGCCATTGCTTAGTCGTCTCTATTTTATCATGATGTGATCTCATATGGAAAAACCATCGTCTTGCAGACCATTGAGCTTTCTGAAACTTAATCTACGCGGAAACCACGGACGCTATGTAGTCGGCACTTGGGGTGACGCTTCCTGGTGAGTGGGGGAGTACTTTTGACGGGCGGAGTCTCTCCCGTTGGCCAGTGAGAGTTCACACCTGAGGAAGCAACTGAGAAAGCTGGCGGAGGCTGGGATCCGGTGTGTGGGGCCGTAGGCCGGGACTATTACCGGCTCTGCCAGCCCGCGAGCCGTGCCGATAGCGGCCGAGAACGGCGAAATACTCACGCTGAGTCGTCCAACTCTTTTTTGGCGACTCCATTTGACAGAGGGCCACGATGCAACCAAAACACCCTCGTACCTGCAACCAGCTCAATCGAGACGGTTGCCAACATACCCTTCCCATGGCCGGATCACCTCCCGAGGTGTCATGGTCCATGGAAGAGGTCTGATTGCAACTCCCGCGTAATCCTGCCGGCCTTGTGAGGGGCAGAAGAATCCTATCGAGGGGTTTTGATCCCCCTCATCGAAAGTAGAAACCTTGTCATCTGCCATTACGGTCTTTTATTCAGGCATCGATTGAACCCCTGGAGAAAGTTATTCAGCTTTCCACCCGTCTCTTGGTCTGCTACAATGAGCTCCCAAGGAAACGACCCGCCCGCTTTGGATGTCGCCGCAAGTGAGCTCATCGAGTCTCTCAACGCCCTGACGAATCAGATTTATGAGACCTCCAAGGACTACAAGGACCCCTCGGGGCAACAGGGTCTGCTGCTGCGTCAACGAATGACCAATGCGGCCCGGCAGATCATCAACGTCGTCCGGGAGCCTGGTGAGACGCCATATGAATTCTCGACACACGTGAGTGTTTTTATCCCTCCCTATACACCCTGGACCATGCCCAACTGAGACTTGCTCCAGATGGCCGAGATGGGGGCGATTCGGATGTTTATGAAGATGAAAGCATTTGACAAGATTCCGTTGGAAGGAAGCATTTCCTACGAGGATTTGGCGGCCAGTCTCGGTGCTGAGGTGCCGCTCGTCAGTACGCTTGATTGGTTGCACATTTCGCCGAGGCATGACTGACCCGTTGCCAGCTCGCATGGCTTGGATGATGGTGGCTACAGGTCAGTTTGGGCGGATATGACTGCGCTCGAGTTTCGCCGTCTCAACCCGTTACAGGTTTCCTCCATCAAATCGGGGAGGACCGTGTCGCACATTCCAGGCTTTCGAAGCTCTATGTCTCTGGAAACGCCCAAGGGGTCTTTTTCCAGATCATGTAAACCTCCCGGCCCCCCCTCGCTTCGTGCGATGTGTGACACTGAGGACTATTCTGTTTCCAGGTTCGATGAAGCCATGGTCCCATGGGTCCAGTGGCCGCAATTCTTCGCCAAGTACGGTCTGAAAGAACCCAAGTTGGGGAATCACAATCCCCATTCGTTCGCTTGGGGCGACCCGGACAAGAATTTCTGGGAGGTCATCAGCAAGGACCCGGAACGTCTGGTCGATTTTAATCAGAGCATGAATACGCTCGACGAGGTGCTGCCGGTGACGGGCATGTACGATTTCAGCTGGATTGCGAAGAACACGGAGGGTCCCGAGGACAGACCGTTGATCGTCGATGTCGGCGGTGGCAAGGGCCAGGCCCTCAAGCGCATCATGGCTGCGTTTCCTGAGATCCCGGCCAAGAGACTGGTGTTGCAAGACCGGGCACCGGTCATTGAGGAAGTCATTCAGGCCAACGAACCCGGTTTTGAAGAGGTCAGGAAGATTCCGCATGATTTCTTCCAGCCGAACCCTGTCAAAGGCAAGTTCTATCTACCCTTCTCTTCCTTCCTTCCCACCTCGCCTTTCCCTCCGCGAGTCTAACTCCCCCTTTTTTCCTCCTTTCCAGGCGCTCTCGTCTACTACATCCGGCGCTGCATGCATGACTGGTCCGACGAGAACGATCGCATCATCCTCTCTCACCTCGCCGACGCCATGGCCCCGGACTCCAGAGTCCTAATCACCGAGCAAGTCATGCCCAATCCGCCCACGGCCCTGAATGCCTGGACCGATCTCTGCATGATGAATCTCGGTGGCAAGGAGCGGACCGAGAAGATGTTCGATGACCTGACAGCGAGTGCTGGGTTGAAGATGGTCGGCGTGCACAAGAGCTTGGCGACTGACGTTGCGGTTATCGAATGCGTCAAGGTGTGACCAGACAGAGAGGGAAGTGTCAAGTTGGACGCTGGTCTAGAGACGTGGCCCACAGCCTGATTTGAGGTCCCGGCGCGCCCCCCCACCCGCCAAATATATACAGCAGGGGCGTATGACACCATCCTCATAAGACTATCAAGTATGAATCTCCTTCCTCGCTGTCCCATTGTGAGAGAATTTTGTTTCTGTGGATTGGCATCAGGACGGGGCTCCCTGTGGGTCACCCAGTACTCGGGCATGCTCCCCCGGCACTCCCCCGTACTCTACCATGGCTCCCACAGAGACAGATATAGACCCGGTTGCACCGATACCGTACAAGCTGTGGAGTGACATATCACCGACATAAACACTATGCAAGAACTAAGAATTATAACTCTCACCCCCCAAATCTCTGTGCAGACGGTCAGCTTGATGTTGGCAATCATCGTTGCCAAGAGAGAGCACATTGTAGGCGTCAGTTGGGTATGCAAATCCTGCAGCAATCGCATTCCGACGATCATCTTCTCCGACATCGTCGAGCAGGGTTTGGCCGTGGACAGTCATCAGGATCCTCGCTGCAAATCCCAAGGCTCTCGGGACCCCATTCCAGATAAAGCCTGGCCTCTTCACCAGCACATCTTTGGCTTTTCTGTAAAGGCGCTTTGCAGTGCAGTGAATGACCGTCGGATCTTGCACACATCGTGACAGGAAAAAAAGAAACTGGTGCCGGAAGATGAACACGCGCTCGTCGTCCTCTCCAAACTTCTCGAGGGCGCATAAAATGAGCTTTTCGTATTCACTGCTGAGCGGCCGGACATGGGAAGTCGTCTCGTTCCAGCGGATAAGGTAGTTTGTTTCCATCTGCGGGATCGTGAAGGTTTCCGTAGGCCAGGCAATTCTTAGTCGCCGAATGGCGTGAAAGTAACCTCGTTCAAGGAGGCCAGTCACTTCGTCACGAGGAGCCGTGTACACAACCTCAATCAAGCGATTCAACAGAAGAGGGAGGCCGTTTTGATCATTCTCTGTTTCTGCCAGGATGGCTGCAAATAGGGCCTCGATCGGATATTCGTTGCGAAACCAATGTTGTGCGTCCTCTGTTTGTTGCATGTCCAACAGCTGTCGGCAGATTCTCCAAAAGAATATGAGAGCGTTGGCTTCCCTGGTCGCTCGGATTGCGGCTCGCACCCCGTCAAGAATCTGACGCCAGGTCTGTGAGAACTTCGCTTGAGCCTTTGGGTTCATGAGGTCAGGGAGTCCGATTGTGATCTGGTTCAGCTCTTGCCAGCTGATCTGGTAGTCCTCGCCGGGAGTAGAATACAGCAGATCAAACTCCCTTACTGCAGCCTGGTTGGCAGTGAAGTAGCAGTCGATATATGAATTCACCCAATGTTGTACCTTGTCTTCTCGCGTCCTGATATCGTCTTGGTAGAAACCAGCTTGGACTGGGGAAGGCAATATGGTAGTCTCCTGAATGCTTCGAGAATACGGTCGCTGATCTTCAGACTTTTGTGCTTGATCAGCACTCATGCTGCCCCATTTCTTGGTCCTCAAACGATTCAGCTGTTTCGCACTTTGTAGCCTCTTAGTATATGAAACAAATAGTTGTTTCTCTGACAGGATACCCCGAGCGCAGCGTACCTTGTGCTCACCCCGTATACCTTTTTGAGAGCGTGCTGTATCTTCTTGTCAGACATTTCCTCGCGGAGACGAAGAACTATTGGTCGAAATGACTCTAATGTTGCTGAACTTGGGGAGTCATTTCTGGTGATCTCCTCCAACCTGGGGAGTTGCTTTTCCATTGGCGTATAAGAGATTTGAGTCGTGCTGAAAGCCTTGAGTTTTAATCCAAGAGTGCCAAAGATGAGGCTGGGTCGAGCGTTTGATGTTCGGATCTGAAAATGCGAAAAGCTTACAAGTATGATATACTATACCGATGGAACACATTCTGGCAGCCCGTGTTCTTTCCTCGCAAATAAGGCATCTCGTGAAAGGACGCCTGGTGCGAGACCAGAGCGTGCTTATTTGCGAGCTTAGCGAAAATGTCCTGTGCATGGCCGCTAGCTGAGTTGGCAATTGAGAGAGGTAACTGTCGGACAGGAGCCCAGGTCTAGATCTCCAGCCTCACCAGTCTCTGTGCCAGGCGGCGTCCGCCTTAGTGGTCGTCCACGATAGTCACTCGCCTATTGGTGAGATTCCTGAACCTGCCCTCGTGCATATTTTGGGCGGCTCTGGTTAGCTTCAGGGCAAGGCAACATAATCTTCCCCTATCATGTGGCATCTGCAGTTTCGGCCAACACAAAAAGCATGGTGGAATCCGAAATCAGCAAGACATCAGATCAAGAGCTTCCGAGCATCGAGATGTTCAGGAGGCACTAGGAGTTGCTGACGATACCTATACTTACAATCATCCAGCGAAGCTTGACTTCTTTTCACATTCGCTTGGTTGGAATTTGTCAAACTTCCCCGTGCTTTACCAAGGCGCCGCCTCCTTTCACAGGACCTAGCTCATCTCGGATCATTGGAAAGAGCTGCATACAGGAGACTCCAATTCCGGGCTTCTCATTTCGTCATGGGCAATACGCCGCCGACGCGAATGTCCCAGGAAGGCATAGAGTTCCTGAAGTACCAGGAAGGATTCAAGAGCGAGTTTAGCCAGGACGGCAGAAGCGCAGCAAGTGGACAGTCGATTGGCTTCGGTATCAACAGCAATGCAAATTCTATAATCTGCGCCCAAATTAAAGAAGAATTCCAAAGGACAGGCAAACCCCTCAGCAAAGAGCAGGGGGAGGTTTATCTGAAGCAAGTCCTACCGCAATACGAGAAAGCTGTTAGCAGCCTTGAAAACTCGGACAAGCTGAGCCAGAATGGGTTCGACGCGCTCGTGAGGTATAGTCGACCTTCTTTTTCTTCCTTTCAGCTCCGATCAGGCAAACTCCATGAGTCTGTTTGGAGACGGCGCTAGGAAAATGAAAGTAATCGAGCACTCGAGGCTGACGGTGGAAATTGTAATAGCCTCGCCTACCATAAAGGAGGGACAGGAATGAGGAAAACGGTCGGAGAATACATGAAGACACAGGATATGAAGGGCGTCTACAAAGCAGTCAAAAATGACCAGACAACAAGCAAAGCCGGGGAGACATATTCCAAAAGGAGACTGGATGAAGCCGAGCTATTCAGATCAAGCAACGGTTACAACTCCACCATCAAGGAAGGGAGAAAGACCGGATGAGGGAGACTGAGTCATGAGCAACTCCCAAAGATAGACTCGGAGGCTATGAGGCTGAGTATAGGATACTGTAGGTCAACCCATTTGAAATTCACCAGGGTGGAGGTGAGGCTAAGCCCACTCCTAGTACTGTAGAGGAGTCTGTTGGAACCAGATGTAGTGCGTTGCATCTGCACAGGAGATTACTGCTCGTCTCAGTCCATACGTGCCCTGCTTCGTTGCATCTGCACAGGGATTCTGTTCGTCTCGATCCACACGCTCCTTGCAAAAAAATCCATGCACATGGCTCAGCCGCACCGTCCACATATGCCACACTGTATGCCTGGCCAGCGAAAGGTCACATACTCTATCTCGGGCCAATAGAGATGACCACCACATCCATGTTCGCTTGATAATGAGGCCGAGCTGCATCACGCGATCCTACGCCTTTCAGACATGCGAGGCCTTGGAAGAGAAACTGGGCTCAAGAGTGAGCCTTGTCGTGTGCCACAAAGTGCACAAGGGGGATAGATGTATTTAAGATCTCCCATATCGCTTCTCATCCGTCCATCGACCTTCAAGTCCCCCTTGCCAGATTTCTGTTTTACCCATACGACATAAGCTTAGCCCGCTCGAGGCATTTCTCTTTTTCTACCTGGATTTATCCTTGCACGTCTACCTCATCAATCATGGAGTCCACTACACATGATATTGGTTCGCGGACACAGTACTGTCTCGACCAGATCAAGAACAGGTCTGAGTCTCTCGACCCTGCTCAATACTGGTGGCTGGACTTCTCACATTCCTCTTAGAGCGAGCAACGAGCCTGCCAAAGTCATCATCATCCTCGGCGGAAAAGATGAGGGAAAATCCATCCTGTTTGAGGATCTCACCAGTGCTCGGGGTCACGCACGTGATGATAGAGGCCCTGGTAAGTGAAGAGTCCCGTTTCCTCGCAGTGTTGCTACATTGAAAAAGCCCCATGTCCTGAAAATTTACCGTTCACCACAGGAACGACAGCATTCCAGCTCGAAGAATTGATCATCAACGGCGAGCAATTCTTCATCATGGACTCACCGGGCTTCGGCGCGGGAGACGAGGTAGAAGTATTCTTCGAGGTCGCCCGTGGCATAAAGGCGATCTACCAGCACGCCACTATCGTTGGAGTGCTTTTTGTGGCCAGCGTCAACTCCTCTCGGGTTGGAAACCTCGACCGTAAGCTCCCCGAGTTCCTCAAATTGTTCTGTGGGGACGAATTCGTCCCAAGAATTACATTCGTCACAACACATTGGACGCACCCGGATGCTGCTCAGTCAAACAGATTCGCACAGCTTCGTTCCCTTTGGTGGAGCTTCTTGGCCGGAGGAGCAGGGTTATATCACCACGGTCGAAAGTACAACAATCAACACGAGGATACGGGGATTTGCCTCACTTGGCCATCGAATCGTGATGAGATTGCGGGATACGCTAGAAACATGGTATCTCGTCATTATGGTGGTGTGGAAGCCCCGGTTCTCAGGATACTCACAGAGCTGGATAGAGGAAACGGACTCTATCTCACTTCTGCGGCAAAGTTTCTCAGAGCTTCAGCGAACACATACCATGAACCAGAGGGCAACCGGTCCGGAGGAAATACGGCACAAGACCAACCGCCACGTCAACCTGAGCCGCAAGGGACCGAGCGGACCAAGGACCACGTACCATCGGCCGGTCCCGACCTGATGAACGCAGCATGGAACAAGCTCGCCAACCTCGCGCTCAATTATGGCGTCGAGTTTATCGGTAACACATTGGAAAGCCAGTTCGTTGGAAGGGGGCCCAGTAGGCCCAGCTTCAGCTCCAGACCCAGCGTCTGTTCACGAGGTGAGAAATTGCCGGTTTCGTTACGGCCTTTTCAGCAGAGTACCAATACTGACAAAAGATAGATTTGAACTCAGTTGTCGACGTATGCAAGCTGCTCGGCATACCCTCTGACATAGAATCTCGAGAGGCACTTGGGGCGGGATTCGGCATCTCTAACGTTGGTACTGCCGAAGGGAACACGGCTCTTCTCGAGATACTGAAGGGCTGGCTTTGAGACGCCCTTTGGGGGTGATGGCGAGAAAGCTCTCCGTTGAGAGGCTCCCTCCCCCCAGAACAATCGGTGTGCACGATCGTTTCGCTGAAACATAATGAGGATGGCGACTTCCCGCTATGCACTCAGATTGTACGACTGCTAGTACTACAGAACTCGGTGGGCTGGGTCGGTACGTGTTCAAGCATGAGGACTCGTTTCTGCCCGTGATTTTGGGGCTTCAAGAGGCCGACCCTCCTAGAAAGGCATGACCAAGAAACGTATGAATGATAGATACTGTAGATAGTAGGTTGTTGACCGTGCCAAGCACAAGCTTGTGATATGTAATATCTCGCGATCTAGCCTGGTGTGAATCTTAAAAACGAGATGCATACTATCAATACCAGATACTCGAGCTACGATTGAGTTGACTGCATCTCAGCCATGATAGATGGCGACTATGACAGTTCGTACTAGGGAAGACAGAGAGACAGAAATGCAATAGACAGACAGGCATAACATAAAAGAAGACGATCTCAGTCGCTTCTTTCCAACTATTATACGAATAACTCCTGCTCAGCAGCTTCATCAGGGATATCGGTAGGCAGAAAACTCTCACAAAAATACGCATTTCGCCCGAACACAGACAGCCCCCTTTTTTTGGTTCCCCCTGCCCATTCCTGCCCAGCTTGCTTCGCTTCAAGAATAAAACGCGCTCTTCTGGAAACTCTCGGCCGAAATATCACCCGGTCTGCTGTCCATCTTGGGTCCTTTCACCACCTCCGGCTGCCTCTTTGTCGCCGGTCCATACACGGCGTTGTAGCGCTCCTTGTAGTCCTTCTCCCGTGTCTTGAGCGAGTCCATGACGGCCTGAGTATCGGCATCCGCCTCGCCGGCGTTTTGGAGAAGCTTGGGCTTGAAGGAAGCGGCCATCTCGTCCGTCCCCGTCATCTGTGGCGTGAGCTTGCCTTCCGTGATCTGTGGGGCCGCCTTGGGCACGGGTCTCTGGATGGGTTCGAGGTAGGGAGACGGGAGGTATCCCATCTTGCCGTCGCGCGCACGACACCGCCACCATTCACTGGCATTACCCATAGGGTCCGTCTTGGAGAGCACGGCCACGAAGTCGCCTTTCTTGGCCTCGAGGTCCATCCCTCCAGACTGGGGCGTGGGAGTATAGTCGTACAATACGCGGCAGAAGTCGAGTTTCTTAGGGTCGATGGGGATCTGCTCTCCGTTTTCGCCGGTTGTGTATGTCATGGCCGCGACTTCTTGATGCCGACGCATTTCCTCTTCTTGAGAGCGGGCCATGGCGCGGATCAACTTGCTCATGAGATAGGGCAGGCCGAACACCGCGATGGCAAACATGATGAACGGTTTCCGGGAGGGGCGGGGGGGCGCGGGGGAGCCGTCAGGCAGGGTCGCAGGGGTCGCACCGTGGCCGCCATTGAGGAAGGACGAAAACGCCGCAGGTGTAAGAGCGGTTGCGTCGGCCGGGGGTGGACGCCCGGTAAGTTTGGCGACCAGCGTCCGAAGCCAGCGCATGAGGGTGAAGATTCCGAGAACTGAGCCCAGGGTCTGGCGTAGAGTCCCGAGTTGTTCGGCCATGGAGACCATTGCTGGTCGGGGCGGTCAGCCTTGAGCATGTTGTGTTGTGGGCAGGAAACGAACTTACCGAAAAACGAGGAACGCGTCGCCATGAATGAACTCTCCAACATTTGCGCGAACCCCCCAAACGCGCCGACGATATTCTCCATGATCTGGAAAGTCGCGGCAGTGCTGTTGTTCCATGTCTGGGTCAGACTCTGGTTGTTTGGGTCACCTGGCATGCCTGGGTAGTTTCCATATCCACCCCCATACATGCCACTGCCGTACATGCCGCCACCATATCCGTAACCACCTCCATACATGCCTCCACCATACATGCCGCCACCGAACCGCGAGTAAGGGGACGAATAGGACGAATAAGGCGCCGAATAAGGACTGGAATTCATGCCGTTCATGCCGTTCACGCCAAAGCGGTTCTGATTAGTGAAGTTGGATGCATTTTGGTTGACGACACTGTTTAACGTCGAGGGTCGGTCGGGGAGAGCTGGGGCACCCGAGTCTGTGGAGGCGGAGGTGGGTGAAGGCGCGGTCATGGCGGTAGAGGTGACAGGTGTGCTTGTGCCAGAGGGAGCTGTCGTGGTTCACTCGTCAGTATAAGACCTTTGTGACCAGCAAGCAGCTGGCTGTGGTTGGAGAACTATTTACCGGTTGATCCAGCTCGCTCCCAAGGTTTGGGCGGCGAAACTGTCGTCATTCTTCTGTTATCTCGTCATGTCTCTCTGGCCGCTGATATATCGCCAGTGGATGGGGTGGAGAGAATGGAATGGCAGAGAGAGAGGGTTGTCGACTGTAGATGATGCTGTGGTTACGGCCGAGGGGGAGGAAATAAATCTGGGGCTGACAATGAGTTCGCCGCCGATGGAGAGGAACAGAGGCAGAGGCTGGAAATTCGCAGAAAGATGCCGAGGAAGTTTGCGGAGTCAGTGATGGAAAATTCCTCGTGGGTGAAAGGCCTTTTCCCCGGCCCTCCTTCGCTTATTTGTCGGCGGGAGTCGGATGACGGAGCTGTACCTAGACCAGGCAGGATAGAGGACCTCGTATAAAACACCCAGCCATTTGTACCCATTGGGACTGGACTGGACAGTGAGAGGTGCTGTGTATGTATACATCATGATTACGGAGACTGACTGACCGCAGGTGTGTTCCAGTGTCCAGTCACGTGCCAACTCCCAGGTGCTGCCAGTGCATCTTTATGATCCTCCGTACTCTACGGCTGAGCATATATTCCATCAACCGCACCCTTCTCCAATCCGCCATCACCACCAATGCTGTCCCCCCAAGCGTGCGTAACACATCGTGGTTGCTGTAACCCATTCACAGCAGACGTAGCATCTCAATCTTCATCCTCTTGGTCTCTCTTCGTCCTGCTTTAGGCTTTGCAGTAGATGCTTCCTTTCTTGACCTCCCCTCTCTCCCTGCCCTTGATACCTGCAATCCGAGCATCCCAGCGCAATTAGCCCACCACTGCTGCTTTGTTGCTGCCTGCGGGACATTCTGTGCTTCGCCAGTGGGTTTGGCTGCAGGAGACTCGACCCGGTGGTGACGATGCCCACGAAGCAATGATTGTGTCGACGATACCTCGATGAACTCGACCCCAGATGAGGGCGAGAGCTTCCTGCGCGACGAGGATGATGGGGAGCATGCGGGTGAGATTGCTCAAGAGTCGAGAGCGCAGGATGACAACGACGTGCCACACATAGTAGCTCCTGAACCACGTCAGCCAGCGGAGAACGTGATTGACGCACTTGATACTGTGCTAGAGGCTGAACATGGAGATCCTGCTCAAATAGACGGAGAAGGGGCACCACCAGACGTGCCGGGAACGAATGGAACCGACAATATCCCCCCTTTCAATGAAGCCACGAAGAGTCCGAGTATTGACGACTCGGCCTCAATCCCCGACGACACTCCTTCTGTACGAGACTCGGTGCTTTCTTCCCCTCGAAGCGATGCAGCCTCAATCCGCAGTCCCGTGCGCAGAGGTAGCCCTGCGACCGTCCATCGTCCGTTTGATATTCGCTTTCAATCTCGACTGTCAAGTTCCCAGCTCTCACCTCTACGCTCGAGTTCGCCTGCCTTCCTAAACGCCCATTCCCGTCACTCCTCCACTGCTAGTCAGGACCAGCACACGCCTTCCGAGGCGGACGAAACCATAAATCCTTGGGACGTGATCAGATGGAGCAAGTTCAGAAAGATCACCGGGCAAGCGTTTTCCGAGATTGGCAAGAGAAACTTCGGAAGTCCAACATGTCTGGCGGTGTCAGATCAGTTGGTGCTGGGGACGTCCAAGGGGATTGTTCTGGTCTTTGACCACCATCAAAATCACAAAGCAATCATTGGCAGCGGCACGAAAGCCGCCGAGAGTGGCGCTGTCACGTCCCTCGCATTATCCGCTGATCATACCACCATTGCCGTTGGACATGCAAATGGCCATATCTTCACTTGGGAATTAGCCCGACCATCCAGACCCTTTTTGCACATCCAGCCAATTGAAGTCTCTCAACCTCAAGCTCGCAAAGGAGATGGTCACATATCAGAGAGCGCTGTTCTTCACGTCGGGTTTCTGGGCTACAGGCATACTGCGCTCGTCTCGGCCGATGACAAGGGCATGGCGTTCTCGCACTTAGCAACACGCGGTATGGGAGCGGTTGGCCGCGTGGTCCGCACGACTCGAATTCTGGGGCGTTACCCGGAAGTTGTCTCGCGAACATCCAAGCCTTTGAAGAAAAGTTCTGTCCTGGCCTTTTCACCGTTGCCGCTGGGTAATATAGAGCAAAGGACAGATAGTATGGGACTCGTGGCAATGCTGACGCCGTATCTCCTTGTCATTGTCTCGACGACACCTGTAGCCCAGACCCAGCATAAAGCCGCCCGTCCCAAAGAGGTCGCGGCGCACAGCGCAATGACGGCGGCGTTGGCATGGTTTCCAGCCATCAAGCTCAAATCCCAGGGCTCGGAAGTCTCCAAGACAAAGCTTGTGTATGCATGGTCCAACATCCTCACCATCTTGGAAGTTCATGGAACCCAGGGCGATGACGACGTCGACAAGAACAAACCTCCCGACCTCCAATTCCTGGCTCGAAGCCGTTATCAAGCTGACGAGGCGATTGTGGCGGTCCAGTGGTTGAACAAGTCGGTGTTGGCCGTATTGACCATCACCCAACAGCTCCTGATCATCGAAGACCTGACCATGCATGTAACCGAAGCGTTTGACCTCTTGAAGAAGAATATCTATCATGCAGATCTCTACTCGCAACAGCTGCGAGCTATCATCGAACAGCTTGACGAAGAAGACACGTCCATGCATGGCGTGGTGGCGGATGCATTCCACATGAGCTTCCGAGCGTACAAAGGCAGGCTGTTCTTGCTGGGCTTCAATGACATTTGGACCGGCGTCCTTACCAATTGGGCCGATAGACTTTTGGCCATGATCAACGTCGGCGATTTTATTGGCGCCATCCGGCTTGCTACCAAGTATTACCAAGGTGACGGGGAAAAGGTCACAATTGGTCTTCCGGAAGAAGACAACGTTCGTGCAGGTGTCGTCAAGGAAAAGCTGGTCGAGATGATGACCGCCTCCTTGAAGTACGCCTTTGGCAAGAACCAGCAAGCCGGGAGTGATCAAATCGAAAAGCCCCAGATGGCCGAACTTGCCGACGCCTGTATCAAAGCCTGTCTTGTCATGGAGGACGAGAACTTCCTTTTCGAAGAAGTCTTCGCTTGGTATGAGGAGCATGGACATGGGCCCTTGTTTGTGGACGTCCTTGAGCCGTACATCCTAGATCACAGGATCCCTTCGATGCCTCCGCCTGCTCTGAAGACTTTGATCAACCACTTTGTGCAGACACACACTCCGTCGGTGCTGGAGGAGATTATTTGCATGTTGGATACTGCCCCGATGGACATTGATCAAGTGACCACCCTATGCCAGCGATATGCCCTGTATGACGCCTACATCTATGTCTGGACCATGGCCCTCCGTGACTTCACGACACCCTTGATGATGATGCTCGATCTGGCTGACAGCGAGGAGCTTCCACGTCAGCAAGTTGTCAACGTGATTGATCGATACGATCTCGCCCAGAAGATCTTTCCTTACATTTCCTTCATACTGACGGGTCGCGTGTATCCCACTGGAAATATGCTAGGCGATGAGGAGTCCGCGCTTGCCAAGGGACAAATCTATGACTTCTTCTTTTCAGGAGGATCAGGTGCGAATGGAGTGGCCAGGAGGAGGAGCGATTCCATCCTGAAACCCGCGGCCTCTTTCGGCAATCTGTCTCGAGTGCTCCATTTCGATACCGCGAGCTTCATCGCTGCCCTGAACGAAGCGTTTGAAGACAGTTATCTCAATTCGGGTGACGACGATGCGCTCGATAGTCTCGCCCTGAATCAAACCGCCGCGACGCGTACCTACACCCGCCAATACATCGTTCGCATATTGCTAGAAGTGATGTCGTCAGGTTTCGACCCCGATGACACCATCTACCTGGACATGTTTATCGCACGCAACCTGGCCAAATACCCTCAGTACATGGTCCTCTCGGGCACAGTTCTGCAAGAGATCTTTATTCGACTGTGTCAGTACCCAGAAGACGACATGCAAGAAGATGGCGAGTTGAGCATCGAATACCTCCTTTCCGTCTACCAACCACCCAACGTGCTCGACTTTGTTCCCCTCCTGCGGGAAGCCAGATTCTATCGCGTCCTCAAGTCTGTGTTCAAGCAAGAACGACAATATGCCGACATGATATCAACGTTTTTCGTGGACAGCCATGACCGAGCCGGGGTATTTGCCTCGGTTGTTGAATGTCTCCGTTCAGAATCGTCTCTAACACAACGGCAGCGAGAAGAGGTCAGAGACACCGTCGAGAAGCACGCGCATGATCTCATCAACATCGATGTCCCAAGATGTGCTGCTACTATTGATGAGGTGGCGCCGGATTTGCACCGCATTTTCCTGCAAGCAATGGAGGATGATCTCTTTGTACAGTTTGAGTACCTGAAGACGCTTCTAGAGCCTGAAGACCATCTGCGCGCACGTCGGAAGTACGACCATGAGATCATGGAGCAGTACGTTCGCCTCCTGTGCCAATTCGACCCTTCACACGTGAGAGATTACGTGGAAAATATCAAGGAAGGGGACATTCGACTTGCAGAAGTTCTTCCAACGATCGAAGACAGTGGCATCGTCGATGCTGTGGTCATCTTGCAGGTTCGCCAGGGCCAAGTGAAGGAGGCAATGGATCGGTTAACACGACACTTGGCCTTCTTGGGCTCGACCTTGAGGAGCTTGAGGTCAGATTTTGTTGACCAGGCCGACGATGCATCGGTCCAGCACCCGGCCACGAACCTCCTCGAATCCTTGGACAAATACACTCGAGTGGGCATATGGTTGTGTCAGGGGCAGATGAAGAATGTTCCCAAGTCATTGCCAGTTGCCAAATCCCCGAAAAGATCCGCCAGTGCCACGCGTGCATTGTCTTTTGAAGAAAATCTCTGGCTCGACCTGATTCTCTGCGTGGTGTCGATAGCTCGAGACGTCTCGATTCATTCGCCGCCGAACCAGGAGGCACCACGAGGCGACCAAGCCCTCGAAATCACGCAGGCCCTTCGATCAACCATTCAACAGGTCTTTACTGCACTCCTCACCAGTACTACATCCATGCGAGACGGGGCTTCCAGTCGAGACATGATGTTCTTACGCATCCTACGTGCATTCCTCTCACATGCTGCTGAAGCAAGCCCGTCTCTTTCAGAACTGCGGAATGTGATCAGCTCCATATTTTCCGCGTATGCATATGAGGAGTCCCTTCTGGGCCTTTCGAATGCGATGTTGGACAAGGACGTGTTTGTCCGCTTGGACGAGGTGGCTGCTCTGAGACAGCGCGGTTGGCGACCTCGAGGGCAGGTATGCGAAGTCTGTCGACGACGTGTCTGGGGCCCGGGTGTCGGCGAAAATGTCTGGGAGCAGTGGCAGAAAAAAGAAGAAGCCCGACTCCTCCGCCGACGCCGGGTCCAGCACGTCGAAGCCGTGGTGGAAGACGATGAGGCTCGGGGCAAAGGCAAAGCCACAGTCGGAGTGAGCTCCCCGGAGCCAGTGGAGAGCGAGAGTGGCGGTGTAGTTAATGACCCGGCCGAGGAGCTTGGTCCCATTGTGGCGTTTTCCTGCCGCCATCTGTACCACCAGAAATGCTTGGGACAGGCAGGCGTGGAAGAGGGTGTCCCTGTTCCTCTTCCTCAGTTGGCGTGCCCGGCCTGCGTATAGCTCGATACAGTAATTATCACGTCCTTCACTTCTCCTTTTTCCCTTTCGACGTGGTGGAGTCTTGGACGCGGACCAAGACGCTGAGACATGGAATGTTTCGACGACACGTGACCAGTCCGTCTATAAGCTCTGATTGGTCCATTCCGACCACCTCAGACGCCCCTTGAAATGCTTCCACTTCCTCCCTTTTTTTTGCCCGCTTGTCTCTCCCTGTCACCAGCCCCCCCAATGACCAGCGTGCCCGATTCAGTCCATCCACAACCCACTTCACCAAGAGTCCCAAGACCAAGGTCAACGCTTTGGCCGTTTTTTAAAGTTATCAGACTTATCCGTCGTTACCGCGTTTCAAATATGCGGAGTGGACGCAAGCAGTAAGGAAGTGCTCAGGGCGCCAACGTTTCAAGCCCATTCCCACTATCCCAGTTTGCCATCTTTCACATCCTTTTTCCCAGGCTGTTCATCAGGCTGCCAGCCAGCTCAGCAACAGGGAGGAAGTCTCAGCTCTCCTTAATCATGTCTTGAGCAGCCATTCAGAAGTCCACGGCCTTCTTTTAGGGGGAGGTCTCGGATGTTCCTATCCTTGCAGCATGAGAGTCCATGTCCGAGGTATTGTTGATAGTTCGGGTTTCTTCGCTTCGTGACCCGCCCCAGTCCACGTTCACATGAGCCGTATATGGAGTCCCCCTTACTCCTCGACAGCGCTTTTTCAGGTATCGATGCGCCAATCCACGAAGCCTATTGCTCCTCTGCACGTCAGATGTGCATAACAGCCTCGACGCGGACCGATGGATGGATACTTCTGTTTGGGTCCTTGGCCCCCGCCTGTGCACGCAGACGCCCAGGACGGGCATCTGGACCATGGTTCACCCCTTTCTCTCGACGTACCCATACCCCCCCCTCGTGGTATACATATTTCAACAACCTGCTCGAGGGCATGGTCCGTCCGCTTTCCTCGTGGACAGGTCATTCTGCCATTTCTTGTTTCTCTAAGCCAGCATTTTTGCGTCCACTCCTTTTTGTCCCTTTCCATTTGAACCTGCATCTTTGCTGCAGTTTGTCGCTCCTTTCTGTCGATCTTTTTCTCAATTCAAAGCAAAAATGTTGGCTTCTTCACTTCTTGTCACCCTGGCGGGACTTGTCTCTTTGAGCACAGCTGGATATGTGCTGGAAGATGACTACAGCGCTGATCAATTCTTCTCCATGTTCGATTTCTTCACCGTACGCCCCAGCCCCCCTTCTGTCAAATACCAGGCATATCGCTGACCCAAGTAATCAGGACGCAGATCCCACGAATGGATATGTGCAATATGTGGACCAGAACACGGCTCAAAGCGGCGGGCTCATCAACACCAACAATGGCGCCGTCTACATGGGGGTTGACCACACCAATGTTGCGTCGGGTTCCGGGCGTCAAAGCGTCCGCCTGACAAGCAAGAAGTCCTATACCCATGGCCTGATTGTTCTGGATCTTTCCCACATGCCCGGTGGAATCTGCGGAACGTGGCCAGCCTTCTGGACCGTCGGCCCCAACTGGCCCAGTGCAGGCGAAATTGATATCATCGAGGGCGTAAACTCGCAGGCTTCCAACGCCATGACCCTCCACACCGACTCCGGGTGCAGCATTACCAACAACGGCATGTTTTCTGGGTCCGTCGCCACGCCGAACTGCGACATCAAGGCCGCGGGTCAAGCGATGAACGCAGGCTGCTCGATCTCGACGCCCAACGATGGCACCTACGGCACTGGCTTCAACCAAGCCCAAGGCGGGGTGTATGCCACTGAATGGACCTCGTCGGCCATCAGCATCTGGTTCTTTTCCCGCTCCGCCATCCCGTCCGACATCTCCTCGGGCTCACCAGACCCCAGCAATTGGGGCCAGCCGCTGGCGTCGTTCTCGGGAGGGTGCAACATCGACGAGTTCTTCAACAATAATCAGATCGTCTTCGACACGACCTTCTGCGGCGACTGGGCGGGCAATGTCTGGACCTCCGATCCCGTGTGCGGCTCCAAGGCGTCGACCTGCGAGAGCTTCGTACAGAACAACCCCTCAGCGTTCCAGGACGCATACTGGTCCGTCAACTCGCTCCAGGTCTTCCAGAGCACCGGCGGCGAAAACGCCAGCACCACCGCCGGACCGCCGTTCCCGACCGCATCGCCCCAGGGCCCTCCACCCTCGGTCAGCATTCCCGGTGCACCATCGGGCGCCCCTCCCGTGGCGCCCACCCCTCCATCAAGCTTCTCCGTCCCTACGACGGGCTTCAGCCGCGGCGGCAACGGCCGACACAGCAAGACGTTCGGCACGGCGGGCGCCACGGGCGCAGAGTTCGCAGCCGTGCCAACGACCGCCTCCGCTTCAGCCGCGGTCTCGGCGTCTTCGTCGTCCACGGTGTCCTTCGACGCGCGAGACCCCTCTACAACGGTGGGCCCGCCGATGGCCGTGGCAGTCGCCTCGGACGGGACGATCAGCGAGGTGCAGGAATCTCCCGCGTCGCCGCCTGAGATCACACCCACCAGCACCACCTCCGCCCTGGGATATCACCACGAGAGCCGGCGAGAGGCAGGGCCAGAGCCGGACATGTCCTCGTCATCTTCGTCTTCGTCTCCTCTTGCAGATATGGTGCCTTTCTTCGACGAGACGTCGCACGCCAAGCGACACTTGGCCAGGCACCGGCGTAGCAGCAGGGATATGCATCGCCATCTGTTCCGCCACGGTGTGGTTGCCGGAGGTTCAGGGAGCGAGGAGTAAAGAAGGGGCTTCTTTTCCTTCCTTCCATACTAGCCTCTTCTTGGAAGAGAAGAGAAGGGGGGGAGGCCCAGACGGTGTAAGGCAAGAGGAGGGATATGATATGCATCTTTTTATCTTATCTTGACGGGTAACGACGGAATGAATGATGGGAATGGGATGAAACCAAACAAAAAACCCCGCAAAACAAAGGATATCTGATATGGATATGGGAATGAATCTTCTTCACAAGGGCCCCCTTTCATTTGGCAATCAAATCACTCAAGTCAATGCAGTCGACGCATTCGAGAACACATTGACGGATTGATTGATGATCTCGTGAACGACGAACGAGGTATGAGCGAGATGGATAGACAGGTAGAATAGCTCGATTATCTATTCTAGGCTAGGCAACAAGGCAACAGGCAACAAACAACAAGATGTTTTGCCGCGGATCAAGAACTCAAAGAGCCCCCCAACTCATCGACTTCGTAGATAGAGGATGTGTTGATTCTCGTTATGGTATGCCCTGTCTGTGCCTCATCTTCGTTTACTTGAGCGGCGATATATAACGCCTGTACATATATACCTCCCGCTAAGCGTCATCATTCGCTCCAGTACGGCACCCGTCAACCATTGTCGCTTGCTTGCGACAGTCCTCGAACTGTTCTCGCCAAATATGCACGTCTAAGGAATTGATCCCCTCTGGAGCTTCGCGGGGTCCTGGGTATTGGTCTTGGGACCGACACCTGTGGGATCCTCGCCCATCGTCCAGGTGATGGGGTCTCTGAGACATCCATAGCCAAACATCGAGGGCAGTTGGTCGCGACCCAATTGCCAATCGCAGCATTTGGCATTGTGATCGCGTGCTGGATGAATTATGGCTTCTTCCAGCTCACCGGGCAGGTCGTGTGGCGCTTTGCAGTTGGAATGTCCGGCCTTTGCGTCGTCACATTGATGATTTCTGACTTTGTCGCAGCCTTTCAAGCCGTCTTCGCCATCGTTACCATCCTCAGTCTGCCCTGGCTTCCAGAAAGCCCACGATGGCTATATCCGAAAGGTAGAACCGAAAAGGCGGACGTAGTCAGAGCCGCTCTGAAGGCCCTTCCGGTCGAACATGCAGTGGTCTAAGCCGAACCCAGTGAAATTCTGGCCGCCATTGCTTTGGAAGACCGCTTTGACGAATGCAGCCTCGAAACCATCTTCTATGATCGTTCTGGTCAGAAGATCCCGATCCGAATAGCCCTGTTTTTCTATCATTCAGATGATCCAACAACTACCCGGTGTATGTCGCACCCCAGCCTTGAGGCGACAATCCAAGAGCTAAACTTGCGTCTAGGGCTGTTTCTGCCCCAATAGGAGCCTGGCAACTACAGCCAATACCTCGAGAAGCACGGAAGAAACTTGCCGTCCATTTCTCCCAGTCGACTTGGCCGTAGAATTCCTGATCCATGGCATTGCACCACAACCAGAACGCACTGCAGACACGGTCCGGGGTAGCCCTTGAGGTGGTTACTTTCCGTGTAGTTTCGCGTAGTCGTAAGGGGAGTATGCCGCATCACAGGGAAAAGTAGATGGCATAAGAAGATGTCGATGTGAAAGGGAAAAGGAAGGAAGAAGGACAAGTGACATTTTGATATTTGTGGTGTACAAGGCGCTAGACGCCGCCAGACTCGATGCTATCAACTTCCGCCAACAACATGACGCCGGCCCATCATTTCACCATCCCTGTCTAGCCAGAACCCAGCCAGCCAGCCTGCGACGATACGATGATGCAGTTCAGCAAGATTGCTCCTGACCGCAAGAGAGAGCACGAGTCAAGCCTGGGCGTTCCAACACCCTTCGCACCCCAGCAGCCAAACGTCAAAAGAACCAAAACTGGACAGGCATGTTCCAGTTGCAGGGCGCAAGGTACGGGGCCAGCACTTGTTGGTGATTGCGAACATGCGTGGACTGGGAAGGGCATTTCCAGGGTGAACCATATCTTGGGACTCTGTCGAAAGACTACTTCCTCGAACAGGAGACCATTTCACTCTGATCACGCAAGACATTCTTTCTCACAAGGCCCGGGTTTAGAAATATTCTTATTCGTCCCGCCGCCGTATCTAGAAGCGGAGTCCGACTGGATTAGGCCGTCTCAGCTGTCTTCCCATCCCACAAGCCGACTTCCCCTCATCATTCTCGTCTTCTTGTCTCTTTCAAGACTCTTGTTTGGATAATTATTGTTCAGATACCTTCCTCGACTCCGTCTCCACATATGCAGTAAGTTATTCTCACAAGCCGACCCGAAGACTGGTGGGATATGGGTATCATTCGCATGCTCTTGCAAAGTACAAATTCTTTCTTGCTTTTCTGACAGCGAGCATGAACAAAATGCAGGGGAAAAAAAGGACAACATGTAGTACACAAAACGATCGTCAATGTCATGAGATGACCAATAAAAAGGGACAAAATAAATGAGAGATCGCGAAGTCGAATATCACTCCGCAGCTTTCAATTTCTTGCGGTCGAATTGTTGATCACCAGCGCTCATGAGTCCCGCCGGTTCCAAAGGCGCTTCCTCTGTCACTGGCTGGACTGTTTTGTGCCGCAAAGAAGGTTAAGGAGCCTCCGCCGGCACTGCCCCTGCCACCGTTGATGTCGGTGCCGAAGTCGAAGCGCTCAAACTCATTAAGACTGCTGACATCTGATTTGGCCTCGATATCTTCATAGTCGTCGGCATCCGACACTATGCTCGCTCGAGCTCCGTCGTAATGGATTGAAGCTCTCTGGGGACGATGGATCATTTGATTGTTTGCACTCCCGCCAAAGAAGCGATCTTGGTGCTCTCTTGGACTCTCTCGCGGTATCAACTGCGAACGAGTGGCAGGGGGAGGCAATTTAGGTGATGGGGACGGCTCTCCAGGAGTATAACCTAGACGAGAAGAGTTTGCCAGTCGCGCAATGCGCAGGTTTTCCTCCGTCAATCCATGACCAGGAGGGCTGCCCGGAGTGGGTGACTTGTGCCCTTTAGGTCCAAGGTTGGCAGTGTTGATGGGTGGCGGCGGACGTTTACTCGGAGGTGGCTTTGCGATGGTTGGCGTATCCTTCACGATAGGGGAGTACTGTGATATGGACGAGGCGCCGTTGAAAGCACCCTGTGGAGGGGCCTCAAGCCGCGATGGTGCCTGTGCTCGGTTGCTTAGATTCATGTTAGGCGAAGGATCCCGCAAGCGGAAAGCTGACGTTGCTCCCGGTCGAGGAGACTCTGTAGGGTTTTGCCGCTGAGGTACGGGACTTGGTCCGCTTCGCAGCACTGGACTCGGAGCTGTCCTGGGGATTGGACTGGGGCCCGAGCGTGATGTGGGAGGTTGACCACGCTGGCCCGGCGTGCTGTTACTTCTGTTCCTGTTTGAAACTTGCTCCCAGCTTGAAGGCGGTGGTGCGCCTCGTCCAGACGTCGACGGTCGCCCTGGTGCGGATGGCCCGCGCATATTTCGGTACGGAGAGTTGACGGTTAGAGATCTCGGTTCGTCAGCAGGCCGATCCGGTCTAGCAGGCTTCGATTCTTGAGGGGTGAGTGGCCGAGCAAGACCGATCTGCGCGGATGGCCATTCGGACATGGGAGTTGATGGCGAGGTGGCAGACGGAAGCTCCTTTTGAGTGACTGCTGGAGACTTTTTCTCAAACCCTCTAGGAGTAGATGTGGTTGACCTGCTGCTGCTCGAGCGGCTGCCCAGCTTTTCACCCTTGCCCGTCATCACAAACTCCGGTTCAATGTGCAGATCTCTCTGATGCCTCCGCCTCATGAAGAACCAAAATAGACCCAACGAGGCTAGCAATACGACGACGATAGGGACAACGATGGCTGGGATAAGAGTGCCGAGGTTGGAACTGGACTGATGGGCAGCAGCACTGCTGGTTGCAGCAGCTGATGTCGTCGAGGACCGCACAGTTGTCGAGGTGGAGGATGCAGCGGCAGCTGCTGAGGTGAGGGAGGCATATTCGGCTGGGTCGGTGATGGTCCTGGTTCTTTCGGTGGTGAAGGTGGTTTCAATGCCTTGACCGGTGAGGCTCTGTTCTAGGGTCTGTGTTTCGGTGATGGTGGTGAGTCCCGACACTGCCTGAGCCGTGACTATTGGGACGGTCACCGATGGGTCTGGGGTAACAGAACTCGGAGCAATTGACTGCGGGAGACCCGACGTTGGGTTTGGTATAATCGAAGGGAGGGAGCTGAGCGCAGCCGAGTTCTGAGGCTCTCGTTTGTGAAGAACCTTCCCGTGTCGGAACATCCTGCCTTGTTTTCTGTGGGCAGGCAGGATGGACTGAACGTCACCTGCAGTCAAGTCGCGAGAGAAGATGGCGAGAAGCGAAGGCAAGATCGATGAGGTGCAGATGGCACGAAGGGTGTCGTCGCAAGCTCCTTTTGCGTGAGAGCACTATCCCAGTACAGCATGGGGCCAGTACCTGGCAAATTGAGAGATCATCGGGCGAGAAAGGTTAGCGTGAGGCCATCGACGGAGGGGAAATTGGATATGCGGTCTAGAGGAAGACTCATGCCATTGAAGAGACGGTGAGATGGTTCTCAGGAAACGTTGGCAAGAATGACAACGGGTTTGCAGAAAAAGAAGGTTCCCAACGGCCTGCGCACGCGCTGGCTTGAAACGTGGACAAAGACATGTGCGAGAGAGTTTTGATTCAGAGCAGTGGATAGAGGAAAGGCTCCTCAACGAGAGAGAAGGCTGGTGGGCGCGTTGAGGGTGGCACAGGGAAGGAGGTGTTTCGGGAGGCCCAAAAGGGAAAGGCTGCGAAACAAGGTCAAACACCAGGCTGAGAGCCAAATGGGCCCTGGAGTGACATTCTGAGCCTGTGGCTCCAAGAACACCAGTAGCAGCCGGGACACTGGGGTCACAGCACCCGCAAGTCTGGAGCATAATCATTAACCCACCTTTCCGACTTGCCGATCGCGAAAAAAGGGTCGAAGCCTTCCCAAGGGGGTGGGAGAGGAGTGTGCCGAGTCCTCTGCACCTCGTAGTAGTCCAGTGGAAAGTGCTCGCTTGACAGCTCTTGACGTGATGCCTCGCATTATGTCGTCACAGGCTGTGGAAGAAAACATTCTGATACTTGTCTCACACAGTTAACGTCTGCGTGGGCAAAGAGAGACTGTGTTCGAAGGCGAGCGAGACAGATCTACAAGAGGGACGAGGTGGATGAGGTTACCAAGAAATTCTGGAAAAGGGGGACCTTAAAAATAGATCGTGTCACGTGAGCGCCAATCTGGCACGTGACTGGGTCCATCCGGAGACCAAATTCTCCGGAAGACGAGGAGGCTGCAGCCTTGCGTTCCATTTGTGATGGAGCAATAAAGAACTTTCGGTTCTTTGAGTGAGTGCAGGATGGCTCTTGCTGGAGCTATGCGTTTTCCGGGGATGCTCCAATTGCTCGTTACCCTGCGTGGTCGCTGAGTTGGACATTAAAAAGACATGCTGAAATAAAATGCTTGCTAAAGTAAAAATAGCCCTCCCAGTGATCGTGTTGGGTTGAAAAGAAGGGCAGCGCTTCCTGAACTCAACAGTGAGGACCATCTTTGCTGTACTCTACCAGAGAGGGGTGGTGGCCTGTCACATTTGCAGCCGGTCACACACACAATCGGGTGACCTGGAGAAAAAGAGGAGACTCGGAATTATGTATTTCTTGCGTGCTATTACTCGTCCGAGCAGGGCACCTAGCACATCGAGCCCAAGGGTATCGGGCGGGGCTCCTCCCTTAGGCGTCCCTGAGCCCGGCGATTCGATGCTTATCAGGTTCTATCACCTCCCCTCCAGCCAATCGCCTAGGTGTGCTCAAGCCCCAGTCACTGCAGCTTGGGTCTTCACACCCCGCCTATTGGTGCTTCCTTGATATCGCTCTGTGATGCTCATTCGCCATCTCGACCTGTAAGCGCCTGCTGTCGTGCTGCCATGTAAGCACCTCCCACCGATCTTCATGGCCGGCTTTTATGAGACTTGCGCCATTCTCTGCCGTCTTCCCTCCTCATGCCAGGTCCATAAGTCAGAACCTCGCGTCCTCCTGAAGGGTCCTGAGAGACTCGACATCCGACGACAGCGACATCCAGGCTGAACATGCAACGAGATCGTTAGGCAAATATCCACAATCATCGGATCGACGCATCACCACCTGAGGCTCCCCAGACAAGCAGAACGAGAACCCATTCCTGAGACTCCTTCGCCATGAAGTTCTTCCTTTCTCGGCGTTGGAAGCCGAACAAATGGCCTTTCTACGTCCTGATACTCGTCGAGATCCCATTGACCATCGCTCTGCTGGCGTTATTCGGTATCGCGTCTCCAGACACTTACCGAACGAGACTGTGGCAAGATGGTGCAGACAATGGCTTCAACTCGAGTCCCTTGACGGGGCTATATGCAGCCGCCAACTATCGACCCTATACCACTCCCAAAGTCTGGTCGCAATTGTGAGTGTCTTCGTCGCGATTCAAAGACCATTTGCTGATCACTTGCACCAGCATAACTGACTACAATGTCGCAATCGTCGTCCTTTCCATGTTCATCATGCTGGTCAAATCCATCATGTACATGCTCCACGTTTTCCCGCCGGTCCTCTCTGCCTTTGTTCACGCCGGCCTCCTCATCCTATATGCCGTCTCGGTCGACTACCAAGCCAGCAGTGACACCACCGACCCAGAGCATCCTCAGCACGGCGCACCTTGGTATATCACCAAATCCTGCAGCGTCACTCATAACAAGAACAACATCGGGTACTGCAAACAGGCGAAAGCGAGTTTTGCATGCACTTGCGCCATGCTCGGTGTTTTTCTCACCTATTTCGCATTTGCTGCGTACTCATGCTTTCCCAGCAAGCAACAACGCGAGGAATACGCTGAGAAGCAACGACTCAAGGCTGAGCGCTGGGCGAAGTTCGAAACCTATCAGGACGATGAGACGGGCGAGACCATAGGACAAAAATACCCTATGCCGGATACGCCAGGTCAGGCGAGTGGTCGACTGAACCCGATGACCCCGCGAACACTTGCATTCAACACACTGGGTGGAACAAAGGATCTCCCGCTGCGGAGCCACTTCAGCTCGCCAAATATCCCGTCGGCAACATCTCCATCCTTCGCGATTCGAAGTCCTGATTTGCCGAGAAGTCCAATGAGTCCGGGGTTCGTTCAGCGAGTCGGCGCCGGCCCCGAAAAGGCGAATGGGAAGTCTCCTGAGATTGGCATAAGTCCATCAGGGTCAGCCGCACCGCAACTGTATTTCCCTCCTCCACCAAAGACGTCGAAGAAGTGAGGACCGGATTGGACTGGGCTGAGGAACATAAAGCTATTGAAACCGTATGGGACCTGATGGCTCCTTGTGGTCTGAGATGTGTGACTATGAGCGTGATGACTTGGAAGTTTTGACCCCCGATGGAAACCGATAATTGACAGCCTGCTGATCTTGGATATGGTCGTAGAGACCAGGTGTTTGGAAGTCAATCTTTCCTACGACGAGGCGTCATGGATGAAAGCCTGGGAAGAAGGGCAATGAAGGGCCACAGAGTATCTCACAGGAACAGACGGACCTATGTACAATCTGCACAATTTCAGAATCAATTTCTTCAAAATGCTTTGCTTGAGTGAAGTCAGGTCGCACTGTAATGGGGATCATCAATCCGCTTTCCACGTCTACTAGTACGATCACATTCTCACACGCCTTTGTCCGACTTGGACTTTTCATGCATCGCTCAAGCCGAATACTCAACCCTCTTGCCAAACCAATGCATCAAGCCTGTGTATCTCGATACAACCGTCGTGCAGTGGACGAAATGACTACGGATTCCACACGACGTCTCCTCGCCTTGTAGTCATATCCACACCAGGATGGGCCACGGGGACACGGATCTGGGGCTGTGGAAGTTGAACACCGTCGTAGTCTTGACAGACGGACGAACTCCCAACGCGTTCATCGTGGAAATATATGGTATTCGGTCCGTATAACACGCATGACCCATTCGTAACGCCATGACATCGGTCTAACAATCCATTGACAACCGTTACCGTGAAGAAACACTCTGAGGATGTACAGAGTCTGTTGCAGGCCCGCCCGTCAAGTTCGCCACAAACTCCTGGTATCGAAATACATCACCGCCTTTCTTTGGTGCAGGGTCCTTTAAGCCTCTTACTCCGGCGATACCAATGACATTTTTGCCCAAAATCCTCCTTCCCGTGAAACCTTCCATGGCCCGATCGATGTCCTTTCCGGTCAGCTGCCGCTCTCCCGGATCTGGCACTGTGCTCAACAACGCTGCACGAAGCTCTGCAACGTCGATCTGCCCGCTATCATCGTCATCAAATGCAGACAGGGCATTGAGAAGCTCTTGTTGAGGCGATAATCCGACCAAAATATTCGCCAGCTGATTGAGGTATTGCGGCAGGGACATTTGTTGTGGCTGTCCCGGCGGGAAGAATTGAGACAGATTGCTCTCGTGGAGTCCAAGGGATTGCAGGGTTTCGGCCACAGATGAGGCATCGATTGTGCCATTCGAATTGGAATCGAGGACAGAGAACGACTCGCGCATGTTATGCAGGAGTTGTGGAGGGAGTTTTGAGAGGTTATCATTCTGAGAGAGCATGCCATTAGACACGAGCCTGCGTGGTTCTCTGCTGGCAGGATTCCTTGAGTTGGGCATCAAGAGCGGCGCCGTCTCGTATTTTGAAGGCGAAGAAGGTTGCGAAAGGCGACTTGTGGTTGGTGATGGAGGGGGTTCCGTTTGTGCTCTTCGAAAATGCGGATCTGCGGAGGACTTCGACGGGGTTGACATGATGATCTCGTCTTCCTCCTCCTCTGAGACGGTATAGGCATGCTTGAGTTTAGATGGCGAAGTCAAAGGTGAAGCGGCGCTCCTGTTTGTTGGAGGTGTTGCCGGTCTTCCATTCACGAGGGTGGGCGAACTCGGTGAACCAGGACGGCGGAAAGGCGACGAACGGGGAGAGTTGTTGAATGTGGATTTGTATGAAGTCTGTACATATGAAGTCTCAGCGACGGAAGCGACAGATGCGAACAAACAAGAGTCAAACCTACCATTGCCGACGTCAATCACGTTGTGTACACAAGTGTTTCACTTCACGTTTTGGGTCGGTCTGGCCGATAGCTTGGAGGCAGGTAAGTTGAAGTTGTCTCGCGAGAGACTCTGTCATGTAGTGTCGTAGTTTGAAGTGTTGACTTAGTCTAAGATAGCAGTTACGTTGTTGACTGAAGCCCTGCTAGTGATAATAATCCCTCGGCATGTGATTGTGTAAACAAGCTGATGTTGGCAGGGCAGCAAAATGCGAAGTAATTGGGGGAAGGTTTTGCGAACCCCGGGAGGAGTCATCTGAACGCCCATGTCTAGCCTCACTAGGGGTCCCCTACCCCCCCCCCCCCCCCAACACCCCCCCCCCCCCCCCCCCCAATCCAGGGCCTCCCTCCCCCCCCCCCACCCCCGCCAATAGCGGAACAATATCGACCAGAAGATCCAGGCCCTGGCTCGGGCTCAAGTTCGCAGCCTGGTGAGCCTCAATCATTCACGGAACTAGATCCGGACCAGCCGATCGAAGTTGATGTAGGTT